CGTGCCCACTTGATTGAGATCTTCCACCAGGAGAGATCTTCTATTCTCATTGGCGATCTCTTCGAAGGAAGGGGGCTGTCGAATCACACGAGGTATGTACACAACATGGGGTCGATCTGTGAAGGGCTGGCATATCGTACGTGGGACTTTGGTACCCTTTTCGTCATACAGGCGGGAATTATCCTCCCATCTGTGGTTCAAAACACTTACCTAGCCGAAACTTCCAGGCTGCGCTTCATTCTTTACATATGTTGCGGAAGGGCTGGCGTCCGATTACGATGGTACGCCGTACAATACATACTTACATATAACTATGTACCTATGTATACATATACCTAGTTAGTAAGGCGTCGAGAAGCTCCGTACCAATTTACATACGAGCCGAAAGTAGGAAAGCCCTGCCTTTTGTTTGAAGCTAAGAGGAACCTGGATACCAGGCATGAGACAGGGAACATGGTGGCCTGAGCGGGTTTAGAAGGAAGAGTTGTGTGATTACCTAACCAGACTGGTAGTTAATGGTTCGTGATGATGCTATACCGATTCCATGTCTCGGGATCGCACTAAAGTTAGTCGCAGATGATACATGGTAAGAATCGAACAAACTGGTGGAACAAGCCGAACAACAAACCCCAACCACTTCCTGTTGGTTCAAGTTGAGTCATTGGACGATACCCGAAGTCTCCTATCTATTACCTAGGTAGGCAATAGGTATGTATGGGCAAAGTTGTAATACCTCGTCTTCTGGAATTTGTATGCTACGCTCGCCCGCGCAAAGTGAAACTTTTCTGTAAGAGTGTTGGGGGCCCTTTACGTAGTAGACCATGATACTACCTAGGCATTTGCCATGAAGGCATAGAAAGTTGACACGAGGCATCTGATACGCTACAAGACCTTAGAATGACCGCTCTAGACAGGCAGACCATGGTGATCAACTTCATGCAAAGTGTTTTTTTGGTGACGTTTTTTTGCGGTGTGAACAGGCTAAAGGGGAAAGTGCTAAGGCGCCGTTCAGATTGGCTGTTGGCCAACAGAGATCAGCCATATGAATGAAACTGTGGCTCATGGCGGTGAGTGTTTCAATGCGTACCTAGGTTAATGAGGTAGGTGACGATGAGGGATGATTAGAACTTGATCTTTTTCATCCCACTTGCTTACCCACCCCTTGACTGATCTATCGGCTCTATCACCAGATAGATACCTATAGGTTAAATACCTAGGCAGTTGATGAGGCCAGCAAAAGTGCTAGGTTAGGTACATATTAGGGTAGTCATACCCTAGTAGGTAAGACGAAGATTATTACTGTACTTACTTAGGCAAGGTGATTCATTGAGTCACAGTTGAATTATCGTGAGAATGACATGTAGAGTTCAAAGTTCTTATCAAATTCTAGTAAGAGGTAGGTTTCTTGATGGTCTGTGCTCAGATTGATATGATGAGGCGGTTGAAACATTAATCCGATCGATGCTTAACTTACCTGCACCGTTGACCTATGTACCTATTGTACCTAGAGAGTGGCGCATGCCACATGGACCTTTCGGCCAAACCTTTTATTGATGCCGATTTAGTGCACGGCCTGGTTCCTTTAACGTGGTAGCCTTGAGTTTACTCATCGTTAATTCAATATTCCTTGTAGTTAGTTACCTAATGTTACAAAGTTACAACTTACAACAACATTTTATAGTATCATGGATATACTCTACCAGAGTCTACCTACATACACATACCTGCATACCTCATATTCAGATCGCTATTATTAAAAATAGCTTGGAAGAAACATTGAACATCTCTCATGCAAAGATCTAACCTTAGGTATATGTAATACGTTATAACAACCATCTTTTCCAAGTCCCTTCTGCTTTATTCATTTCAGTTGTAAAGATATAGACGACTTCTGAGCCATGGATTGGTCTGGAGGCCCTGGTCCGACAGCCTCATTCTCGGCAAGACATGAAAAGGCGCCAACCAATCTCATAGAATAAATCATCCATCCCTTTTCTGTATTACCACGCTACTGCATGCGGGTATGGGCGACCGCACCAAAGAAATTATCCAATACCACCCACCTTGTTCGGAGATAATCCCTCACTTCAGGCTTCTAGGACGAGACTGCAGCCTCGAAAGGCTGGGGCTCCATCAGATTCATTACCATGAATACTACCCATCAACCGCTGCCAGCGAATCAGGCCCGCCGACGGCTAGGGGCCCTTTATTCTCTAGACTGTCGGCATGCGACGAGAACATCTGGATCTCTTGTATCATTGGGCACCTTCCTGCATTTCCTGCAATGCTACTATGTACTCATGGTCATTCTACAAATCCAGTATTTATGCCGCCACTAGTAATTTGCTCTGCAGCATTGATTCTGAACGTTGGTGAGTTAATTAGTCGGTCAGTCCATCGTCAATTTGATCAAACCGCCAGGGCGGAATGGGGTGTTTCTCGTCAATCATGTGTATCTCATTGTATCTTATGTACTAACCTAGGGATTATCCTGCATCATCGACAGCCTGAGCCTCGATGCCTACACACCTACATACGTACCTGCCTACTTGCCTACCTACACACATACCTACCTACCTACCTACCAAGTAACATAGAGGTAGTAAGTAAGCAGGTAAGGTAGTAGTTACATAGGTAATCAAAATAGAAGGATCCTCACTACATTGCTGCGCAACATTGTCCGCGCGGGTACGGGCGGTCCCAATGAATTTCCCGAATGGATCGAATCTCATCTTTGCCGCTTTAACGTACATACTGGGAAATGGCTTAGATGTTAAAGCCCAATCCCGTTCACTGACTTATATTGGTAGATTCAGATACAGGAACAAAGCCGTCCCTCACCTGGGTATGTAGCTTTGGGACGTTAGAACTTCCAGGTTAGTAGCAACAGACAACATTGAGTATGTAATTCATGTCGCCTAGCACAACAAACTACATCCTACTAACCTAGGCCGGATATTACTCCACAGTGATTCAAAACATGCTCAGACAAATTGCATAATATAACAAACAGCGCTGTGTATGCATGAACCGTGCCAGGCCGTACGTGTTGTGTTGTTGGTATTTTGCGTGCGAGAAACAAAAAGGAACAATCAAATCTACGCAAGACCGGAGAATAATCTGATGCGGTACATACGAGACAAGCTACCGTAGCCGTGGCCGTACATACTAAGTATGATACATACTACATTTGAAGTGTTGTAGTAGCGTGTCAGTCCATGTTATGTTATGGGCAGATACTCAGAGTCAGCATGCTTCTCACGGACCAGCATAATCGAGAGTGCGACAAAACAGAGACAGCGATCTTGCACGACGGCAAGCATTGGCCAATGTAGCATTGATCGAACGGGGCACGCAGCAAATTTTGCAACAAGGCTTGCTGGGCAAATTCCTATTTCAAATGCTAGGTAGCCCTAGAAGTCTCAGAAACTTTTGCCTTACCGCTTAGTAGGCAATCTTTTTTATGCATTTCCGCTACACTACTACATAGTATGTGAGAAGCCTCGCGGCCGCTTAACCGCTTAGGAAAGGCGTGACGGGGCACGGATCACCGATATGATGAGAACGTTTCCAACAGCCGTTGGCTTCAGACGGGAAAACAACATAATACACACTTACATCAATGCTATGTAGGTTAGTTACGTACACTAGCCTAACGTACACACATACGGTAACGGTAACATACCTATACTTACCTACGTACCTACATACCTACATACCTGCACTGCAGTAACTACTAACTGCTACATGTAGGTTATTACATGTACTATGTAGGTATGTATGAGCAAGCGCCCTCCTCATCTAACGGGCAATGAATCATTTATTCTGTGGGGTTTGGATAAGAGTGTATTTTTTCTTAGTTCTTTCTAACTAATTATGTATTATATGTATTTTCTCCAAAGTTTGATCAAAGGAAGAACTGATGCTGGCCAAATCAAGGATCTTGCCAACCGCCTGGCGTCCCAATGGCAAAGAAGCAAAAAAGTCATGCGAGTCACGGGCTCGTCGATTTATGACGATTTGCCCGGCCAGTAAGATAGTAGAAAGAGGGCACTAAGGAGATGAAAAAAGAGGTGGAGCGTCAGCAGCCCAGCACCAGTTCTCGCCGGCAGTCCCTATTAACAAGATCACACGCACGCCCCCCTTCTCTCGGCTCGGTCTCTGACTAGCTTGACTGGGATGCCAGGCGTGGTATTAAATATTGGACATGGCTCTGCTAGGTGCTAGGGTAGCAATGGCCCACCCTCGACCGTTGAGTGGGCCATTTATTTTCGTGTGTCAGACAATCCTTGCCCTCGTATATTACGACGAGCCACGAAGATCTCAGTCCTTGTCTAGGCTAGGCTATCCATCCGCCATCCCTCCAGTGGAGCGGTCCTAGGAGCACTGGTCCCATTCCTTGACACCTCTCTCTCACACCCCCTGTAACCTTCCTGCTCTCCCTCTTCTGCCTCTCTACCCTTTCTTGCCTCTCTTACCTCTCTCCTGTACCCGCTCCACTTCTTGCCAGGCCGCCTTCACAGCTACACTAGCGCGCCAAATTCAAGAATAGCGTATGCGTAGGAAGTGGCACCAGTACATAGTAGGTCAGACATGGATATGAGCTGGCTATTGATCATTGTGGACCATAAAGTACAAATGTACATAAGAGCATTAAAGCTAAGACGGCCGGGGTTTTCTGATTGAGCCACTCCAAACACGCGAAGTACAGACCCTTGGCAAGCAGAAGGGACTGTTATCTCAATATCTACATCAACCTCCCACGGCCTGCACCTAGCTCCGACCTCACATCGTTCACCATCATCCATTCATTGCGACAGCTCTGCACCCTTTCACCATTTACCACGGTTCCCTGAACTCAACATCGTCGCCTTCCCCGTCGCTATCAGCATCCCCTCCCTCTTCCAACCCCTTGTACGCCCTGGTCTTCGACAATCTCTGAACACGGCGACAATCTCCCAATTCCATGGCCCGTTGACTCGACGCCGTGAACACAGACGACCCAAGGAGATAAATATTACTTACAGCCCAAAGGAATTTCCGTGGATTTGCTCCCAGGATATTGCGTTTTCTTTTGGTCTTAAGGATTACTACTCCCGTAGAGAAGGCCGTTTTCTCTTAATTCCTTTCCTTTTATCTCTGTCACTCTTAGAAATCCAGTCCCAGGAAGGACCGTAATCTGTCGCATACCATGCATAATGTGGCAGCGTACGGATATCCCACGCCTCCGGCATCGCCATCCTACGATAATACGAAGTGTGCTTTTCAACAGCCACCGCTCCCAATCCCTCAAGCTTGCCAGCCTCGATACACTCCGGTTGCCCCAGAAGAAAGACTAGGAAAGTTCCTTGGAGAAAGTCTGCAGTTGATAGGAATAATTGGAACCGGTGCCTATGGCGTGGTCTACCTGGCCGTCGACATGAAGACTGGAGTACGATATGCCGTGAAGACCCTCAGCAAATTTAACGCCGACGGCTCACCTCTGGATCGGCGACAAATTACGTTCCAGCACCGTGAGCTACGGTTGCACTATCTGGCTTCGGCACACCCTAACGTTGTTTCCATGCACAAGATTGTTGACGACCCAGATTGCATATATGTTGTCCTGGAATATTGCCCGGAAGGTGACTTGTTCCTCAATATCACAGAAAGAGGACAATACGTGGGTAAGGATGAATTGGCCAAGAGTGTATTCCTCCAAATCCTGGACGCCGTTGAACATTGCCATAACCTGGGCATCTATCACCGCGACTTGAAGCCAGAGAACATCCTAGTCTCGAACCACGGGGACACAGTCAAATTGGCGGACTTTGGCTTAGCAACTTCATCTGATCGATCTGAAGATTATGGATGTGGTTCGACTTTTTACATGTCACCAGGTAGGGCTCGACGGGACATCCCCTCACAACGCTGTGGGCTTTACTAACCAGTGTGTTTTCACCTTGCAGAATGTCTGGACCCGTCATCCCGGAGGCCATTCTATTACTGCGCCCCTAATGATGTATGGAGCCTTGGAGTCATCCTGGTGAACTTGACCTGTGGCCGTAACCCATGGAAGCAAGCCTCTTTTGAAGATTCCACATACCGTGCCTATACCAGGAGGCAGGATTTCCTAAGGACCATATTACCATTGTCAGATGACCTCAACAACATTCTAGGACGGATTTTCACCCGCAACCCAGATGACAGAATTACGTTACCAGATCTCCGGAACAGCATCCTCGCCTGTTCCAACTTTACGATTACCCCTGCAGCTCCTGCCCCTCAGGTCCTGCCGACGCCGCCCACCTCACCTGGGCCTATCGAATACGTTGATTGCGAAGACGCCATTATCGAGGACTTTGGCTACGACGCACCTACCTCGCCCACCCCTGATTCCGACACGGAATCCACATGTTCATCAGACGAAGGATCCTTGACCTCGAGCGTTTCCACCATCGACGATCTTGACGAGGACGACTTTGCCATACCGGACGACGAAATTTGCCCAAACCAGGAGCCTCGTATGTATGATGCCGAGGAACCTAGAATGATGTTCCATCAGGAGTTTATTCCACAGTATTCAGGATCCGCGGTTGAGCCCTGCCAACCCTGTCAGCCCTGCTCAGCCCAAGCTCCTGTGCAGAGTAGTTGTGTGCCAGCCAAGTTCGCCTTCCCATATTTCTGGGAGATGGTGAACAGGTACACACAACCTACCCCCATACACCATCCTATTCCTTTCCATCCACAGGTTCCTCTTTTCTCCAACTTCCAGGGATGCTATTAGCTGCGACTGATTAATGTGTCACTGGCTTCCGCAATGAAGACATTTCACATAAGATCACGTTCGCTTTTATTGTATTCCTGAAATCAGGCCATAATTTATTTTTATTGGAAAGCCTGGCCACAGGCTTGGACCTTCATAACTACCATGGACTTTTTCTATTTTCGACAACTACTCAACCTGATATTACGTTGTAATACACACATACCCATTGGAGCCTCCTAGGATTTTCAGCCGGAAATACTTAGTTGATATTTGGAACCCAAAACAAACAAACCAAAAAGGGGTCGCATAATCCCCCCCACTACTTGCGACAGAAATCCAGGAGCGCCATATGGAACGTTTTAACTTGTAATTAACTTCGACGTCATGTTTATTTCTTTCATTTGTTTTCTTACTCAAAGCGTGGAGTTGGCGGGTGATTTGAGAGATGAGGATCAATCCAATGAGACCAAGGACCGGAGGAGCCAGATCTCATATTACCATCCGGACTGAAACGGACAGCATTGTTACACGGCGCAGGACATTACACTTTTAGATGTTCGAGAAGGGAGGCTTATTCTGCGCACAATTTGTGTTTTTTGTTTTTTCTCATTATCCTATTCTAACGTGTCGTTTTGCACGGGATGCATACTTTAAAAAAAAGGGAAGAAAGGGGGGACTATGGGGAGAAAGGGAAATACTTTCGCTTGGATGATACCAATGGTTTTTTTTTTTTTTTTTTCTCTCGGATACAAAGGACATGGACATTATTCTCTCAAGTTCGAGGAAAAAAAAGCCAACTGGGAAAAAAGTTTATGGAGATCGGGAGAAAGGGAATTTTTCTTACAGATGAGAGGACGTTGGGATTTTTTCGAATAGACAAAGAGAGAAGAACCACCAAAGGCAGGGCCAATAACCCTTTACCACAGCGCTTCAACCATGATGAGGGTTGGCGCAAACACTATACGTTTTTACCTTAGGGAACTCCGCCATTTAGTGGCGGTGAACCCCCTTTTCGGGGCAGAAGGAGAAGAAGGGGTGGGGGGGAGAAGTAGTCATTGCGGCGAAAAGCTTCAATAGACACCCCCCCTCCCTCCCCCTTGGACTATCCAATACAATGTTTTTGCGAGCAGTCGCAATAACCTACGAAAATATTACTACTACAACAAATCCAAAATGGGCTACCAAAAACCTAGGTAAAAAAAACCTTACCTAGGTCTTGACACACCTATCTATCTTTTGCTCATTACCTAGTGTGTTCATCATGATATCTATGCCTTTGCGCGAGCAAGTGACAGTGCTTCTGTGAATGATTGATCACATTCAAGGGGGGGATGATTTGAGAAGCCTCAATATCCGCTTACCCAATAAAAGCTCTTTGGGGCTTTGCTTCCCATGTTGCCAATATATTACCTACTTTACTGGTGGTCATACATACCTACAGCAAATATGTTTTATTTGATTTCCCATTTATACTTTTATTATTTTCCTTGATTTCATCGTCGTCACAATCACATTTCAATTTCACAATGCGCAGCAGCAGGCGTATCTCATCTAAGCCTATGTATTTTTACGAAGCCGCTTTATCGAAAACATCGAAACCGCCAACGACGGTCATAGTTAGTCACAGTCACGATCACGGACAGTCACGAGACCTTGAGGTAGTAGGGGGCTTGGAGGTATGTATGTATGTATGTACACACACGACAGGGGGGGGGAGAGGAAGGGGAAAGGGGGACAGGGAAGAGGGAAGAAAGAAAGAAAGAAAGAAAGAAAAATAAAACAATTACATCGAAGGCTGGATGGGATGGGCTTTGGGCATCTTCATTTTCCCGCGGCGCTGATTGGACGAAACCGGACGACGCCACTCGCCTTACTTTTTTTTCTTCTTGGTTGCCCCAGGGGCAGGGCTTGCAGATGTGTATGTGTGGTGTGTGTGTGTATGTGCATCGATCGACTTGCATTTGCTGCTGCTCTCAGTCTACTCTTCTTCGCCCTTTCGCTCTCGTAATCACATTTCCCGCCATCGAATGTAACATACATACGCAAAAAGCCTGCATTAGCTAGCTACATAGCTGCTTGATGCTTGCTGCAGGACGTATGTATGTATGTATGCATGTACGTACATGCATACATACATACAATATACGTCCCAAGCAATTACCCAGCCAAGAAAAAAAAATAAGCCCGTCGAGGATGTTCCCCGTTGCAGCAGTGCGCCCCCCCTAATCCTAATAGCAAGCAAGCAAGCAAGCAAGCAGTTAGATACCTACCTACATACAACAGCAGGAAGCACAGCCTCCCGAGCTACAGGATAGCATCACGCTTCCGATATGTATTGAGTAACTAACTAACTACATACATACATAGGTACTTACATACGCGCATCGCTACCAACTAACTAACTAACGAACGGACCGTTATTACGAAATTTGCAATTTAGAAGGAATCGCAAACTTGGCTCGAAATTCATGGAAACCACGCCATTGGGGTAGAGGGAAGGGTTAGGTGTTGTGTTAGGTTCGATGTTAGAGGGGCCGCTAATGGTTCAGGTTGAGCAAAGCTGGCAGGAAAAAAAAAAAAGTACCTAGGCCCCTAGCACTACATAACTAGCTATAGCAAATGGGAATAGGTTCAATGCCGGTTCTTGCTTACGCTGGGGCTTTTGGGATGGGAAGGGAAGGGAAGGGAAGGTTAAAGAGAGGGACCTATTTTGTGTATGCGGGCGGGTTTCCACTGGTTTGGGCGCAAATGGCAATAGGTAGGTCGTCAATAGTCGATAATTATTACTACAGAGCAATAGTTAATGAGAGATGAGAGATGAAAGAAAAAGAATAGGTCGGATGCTGATCCTTGGTACTCGGGAAGCTGTCACGATGTCTAACCAACTACCACCTACTGTCTACTTGGGTATCTATCTAATAGTTGTATGGGGGCCTATTCTATTGCATTCTATTCTATTGTATTTTATTGTTTTTTTATTTCATATATTACTTACTTAGGTAGGCACCTATTGATGTGCTATGTTACAGTCGGCTCGAACGTTAGTACTATATTGGAAATAACGAAATGAGATATTTGCGATGGAAATGATAAATTGAAATGAAATCTATCTACCTAGCCCAGCTACCTACCTCCATCTAACCTTGGAATTGCTCACCTTCATTGTTCACGTACAGTAGTGTGTACGCGCGCAATGTCGGGATATGCAGTAGGCTGTAGCTCGAGGGTGCCGTGTGACGGTATTTACTAGGTGCCTACCTATGTGCAAGTGTGTGTGTGTGTGTGTGTGTGTGTATGTGTTTCCCCAAAAAATCAATTAATTAAAAAAAAAACCCCCCAAACCAACCTTGGATGTGACAAAATAACTCTCTCTATACCCTAACTCTGCCTAGTGCGCTCCCGGCGCATTGGTGTGTGGAAATGGGAATTGGCAAGAAGAAAAAAAAAGGGGGAGGGGAAGAAAGTTGCAGTTGCAGTTGCAGAGTGCATGTTGTACGGCAGAACGCATCCATGGATAGGTAGTTAGTTATTAGGTAGTTCGAACTTTTCCATAGTTCTGGGTATTTTCCAATTCTCTAAGGTTAGTTACCTAGTTACCTAGTTGTTTGCCTATTTGGACTTAACACGAATTATTATATTTCATTTTTTCTTATAATTTCTCTTTCTTATGTAAGTCCTCTATTCTCTCCTCTCAGGCGAATCATCTTCGATATAGTCGACCGCTCCCCCCTACATAGTAGTCTAAGTATGTACCTAGATATGTAACTAGGTAGGGTAGGTAGGTAGTTCTATATGCAGGTCGATAGTTTAGGTATTGCATCTCGCGTGGTGATTGGGTCGATGAACTTGGGTTCACTGGCACATGGCGGTGAAAAGGTCTCTGTTTCTCCCCCCCCCCTACCTACCAATCAGGTCCAATCTAACTACCTACGTAGGTACTTTCTGCTTCCCCCTCCCCTCCTTGCTCTCTCTCTTTCTGCCTCGTCTGCCCCTCTCTTAGCTTTAGAACCTTTCGACCCCTCGAGGTCGTTTCCTTTCGTTTTCTCCCCCGCTCTCCTCCTCTTCCCCCCTCCCCCTTTTTTTTCTTTAATTGTTGCCCACTCCCCCATAATGCTTATGTAGCTGTTATTCGCAAGAACCATCCCACACACACACATACACACCCTTGCCGCCGTTATTCCGTTGCGTTGGTGTGGTGATACACATACATACCTACATACATACCTACATACATACATATTGAAAAAGAAGGGGAAAACATATGTAAAAGAAGGTGAGATACTGCATGTGCATGGAGATTGGATCAAACGGAGCAATCGTTGATGGGGAGGGCTCTGTGAGTCTGTGTGCTTGCTTGCTGCATAGTACAATACATACACTAGGTTAGGTTGCTTACGATCGCCCGCTTGCTTCCGAGTGGAGAGAAATAGAAGCAGAAAGAGAAGAGAGACAAGCAAGCACCTCCATTTGCTTCCATTTTCTTTGCAGCGAAAATTGAAATGAGTACTGTAGTATTACCACTGAAAACTTGATAATTCTATGGAGTTTTACATACCTCTAAAATCTACAAACTACCTAGCAATGCTAGCATACATACATACATACATACATACATGCGCGTGGTTTTCTTTTTCGGTTCGCATAGCGCAAGGCACCAAGAGACAGGCGCCCTTTTTTTTCTTACATGGGTAGGACCTAGGTAAGGTAGATTGGCTAGGCTGGTTCATGTTCATGTCGTGTTCATTGCTAGGAAATGCCTGCCATTCGTCTACCTTGCTATCTCTTGAACCCATATCAGAAGCGTCTGGATCGAATTCTCCTAACCTACATCATGGCTACATGTGTATGTATGGATGTGGTGAGCGAAAAGGAAAGCAAGAGAGAGTGACGGCTAGATTGTCCCTGGAACCATGTATGCTTGCTAAACTGGGGAGTGCATGTATGCATAGGGCATAGGGCACAGGCACAGGCACAGGGAGGGCTAGACATTTGAAGACCCAGAAAAGAGACCAAGCACAAAAAAACGGGACCAAGAAGTTACAAGTTACAAGTAGGTAAGGTATGTAGTTGTGTATCTTTAATTACAGCCAAATCGGAGCGATACGCCGGCTGAATCTCTACCTAGGTAGCTAGTCTCGCGGTTCGATTGAAGGCATCGCCAAATCCCCAAAGTGGTGGCTCGCAGCCTCCACAAAGGGGCCCACGTTGTCAAGTCACCGCAATGGCCTCCCTACACTACCTATCCAATTACCTACCAATCCAGTTACCTACAACACCAACCGAGGTTGGTTAGTAGCTTTAAACTGGGGAGGCTGGGCTAGGTTAGGGAGGAGGAGCGGAAAGGAAGGACCTTTTGCGCGCCCACAATGGATTTTAGAGGTCGCTATAGGTCTCTATAGGTAGGTCCTATTATGCGTATGTATGTGTGTGGGGAGGGAGCAAGAGGAAGCCCATAATTATATGTATGTACGCACGTCTGTAGTGAGTGACGTGGTCCCGTTCGACAAAGGGGAAATATTCCATCTTTCTCCATCCCATCCCTTGCTCGACCTCCGAATGGTTTACCTATGTATGAAGAAAAGGAAAAAAAGACTGGGCCGGACGGGGGCCGTGCAATCGCTCGATCTATGATTCCTTCTTTTTTTGTTCCCATCAGTGAATGAATTGCTCCTTCGCAGACCGCATCGTAGAAGGGGGAAACAAACCTACATTGCGCATACATACTTGCTAGCTGGGTATCCCCACAACCCGTACATACATGCCTACATACATACAACATCCAATGCCATGCCAGCCATACAAGCCAACCTAGGTACCTAACTACCTGATTGACATGGGACTTTGCGTATGTAGGTCGTTGGGTCGTGGCGTGGCACCTGATCCTGCTCAACTGCGTGTCATCTCGATGATTATCCCCCGTTGGGAAACATACGGTAAGCTAAAACAGGAGGCAGGTATGTAGGGAGGGGGGTCAAAAAAAAAAAGATGAGCGCGGATGTTATCCGTTTCTGGGGCCAGCCTCTCGCTTTTCTTCCTTTCTTCCTTTTCCACTCCCCGGAAGGGGGGGGGGCACTACTCATCTCTTGGCATCGGGATTGGGAATTAAAGAATCAGAATTGGGAGAGGCCATCATGGCTTTTCTTGGAAATCCTCTTTTTTGCTGATGATGTGTTCAAACATCGGCAGAAACACACCAGCAAAGCAAGGCAAGTGTTTTTGCTTTACTTCTCTTCGCTTTCCCCACACTTTCACGGAACCTCTTCCCAGTTGGTGCTGCGCAGGTAGGTAGGGGGCAGTTATAGCAGGCGAACAAAGTCCAGACCAGTAGTAAAACACCCTCCGTTTGCGTGCGCGTGCTTGTCTGCGGCGTCTACGTTGATTTACCACTATACTTCTATCAGGTATGCTCTATTATACGGCGCCCATTCGTATTGTACATTCATCGCATTGGCAACGGGACTTCGGGCCCTGCTGTGTATCGCGCACGCGTGGCCAGGCACAGTCACGAGGGGCCGGCTTATAGTGCATGCCTACTATACCTACGTATAACTATATGTATCTATCTCCATTTGAACCTTTTCGATGGGCATTTTCTATGCCCACAGCAGTAACGTCTATGTAAGTGCCTACCTCGTATGGATTAGGCATGTAGTAAGCAAAGCTGTCAGGTACGTTCCACGGCATCCCGTCGACGTCGCAATATTTGGTCTCGAGGACATTGCATTTTATGCTTTATGCGTTCCGGGCCACGGCAAATAGATGAGTGGTCGATGGGTTTGAACCAACGGGGCGGAAGTAGGGGCAGAGGGCAGGGCTACCCCCTTTCCTCTCTCTCTCTCCCCCCGCCACTAATCTTAACAACGCAGCGGACCTTACATTGAAGCGAGCCGTGTTATGTTGTATGTAATGTACCCTACATACATTGGTAAGTGCGTGCGTATGTACATATATTGTTTCCGCTCCCACGCCGATTCGGAAGCGGTGGAGAATGCTGGGCGGAGCCGGGGACACGGCTAGATCGTCGTGTCGAGATATTATTAGCGTTGGGCCCTGTATTTTAGAATAGGGCAACCTAGTCTACCTAGGCAGTTCTCCATAAAATTTACCATTACGGAACCTCTCTCAACGCCAATGATATTTCCCAATATGTACCTTGCCTGGTAATAGGTAGATAGGTGGCTGTTGTCTCTACATACCTCTACCCTGAAGCTTCATTCCAGAACACGAAGAAGACAGTTACGGCTCTCCCCTCTCCTCGTACGGGGTTTTGCTGTTCCTGTTGCTGTTAACTGTTTCGGCTTCCTGCTTTCGAAACCCAAGTCCACATAATATCGCACACCGTTTTTACCTAGGCCCCCCTCTCTTCTACCTCCTCCAAGCGGTTTCGTGTCAGGCATCCGGGAGGTCCAAGCAAGCCCGCCTGCCCGCCCTTCTTTCGCAAGACGGGGGAGGAGGAGGAGGGGGGCCGTTTTTGGTCAGATATGCATGCGAAGGACGGAAGAAAGACGACGGAAGCAGAAGGATGAGGCAAGTAAGATTGCGATTACGATGGGCGGATGCTATTGCCGGGCCGAAGGGCTTCTCCAAAAGATTCGAACCAACCATCTCATCTACATAAGCTACATAGATATATGTACATTGCTGTAGGTAGGTACATATAGGTAGCACGCTTATGGACGAGACCAACCGGCCCCCCGTGGCACCGACCCCGTCGCAGCTTTGCTGGTGGTTACGCGTGTTCTGATCGCTGTGAGGCTTACCCGAAACCTACCATGGGTGCATAGAGCGTGCGGTGAGGCTGAGTGTCTTACAGACCAAACAGAGACACCGCTGGTAGTAGCCGGTAGGGCATGACCGGTGGGTTAGTGGGTGATGGGATGGGCTATGAGGGTAATTAGTTAATAGTTGGCCAACCGAAGAGAGGGACGGATTGTTCTCGAAAAGTGGTTGGTTGGCCCCAATCGTCAAAATTGCCCGAGGCTGTTATCGAGCCACGTATGTGTATATCAAAGGTCCCTTAATGGTCAGCTGGGTTGACCAAGCTTCACTCGCAAAAAAAACGTCCGTCCCTAACCATCGTGGCATTCAGGCAATACCCCAGCCCTGTTTTTCCAGTTCGCCGCCTTGGGGGGGGTTTTTTTTTTTTTTTTAGTTTTGCTTTTGACGATCTCCACAAGGGAGGCGAGGCAAGGCGAGCATACGTGAGACTATTGTGTCTCGGGTGACGAGAGACAAGGCGCCAAATCCAAAAATTAAACCACGCACGAATAACGTGAGATGCCAACTTTGCTTTTCTCTCCTTCCGAACCATCGAAAAAAAAAAACTAAGACCTCACGTTCAAACGTGGCCCAGTCAGGGTTCACCTGTTGCTCCAGAACTGGCAAGAATGGGCTACGCTCGAGCTTCTTTTCTCTAACTCGATGACCCTTACGTTTGGATCGCATGTCTGATGCTCTCCACGCTAGGGGCAGGGCGCCAACGGCAAGTGACAACGACAGCAGCAGCAGCACCAGCGGCAACAGGCAGACCTTACCCATCACGTGTAAGACATATCGATAGTCAGAAGGTTAGTAGGTTAGCTGTCTCGCCATACAAAGCCTACCCACCTAGATGCCTACTTGGGTACCTAACCTGAGCTACCTACTATGCCGGGGCGCGCCAACTTAGCACTAGATGGACGATCGAGATAGCTACGGGGCCTATCAAGACCCATTCCATCCGATAGTGTAGTGCTCAGCTCCCCCTGTCCCCCCCCCCGCCAGTATAAATCGCCGAACGTCTATTTTGGTTGTCGAATCAAACGGCTTGAACCCAAGTGAGGCTTTCCTGGGCCTCGTTGGCCATTGACGGGGTGTCGATATATGTATGTACCTACATACATGGATAGCTGCATACCTAGACATCTATTAGGTACCGATTCGCACTAATATAGCATTCCTAACTAATAACAAGCATCAGGCGGTGGGACATCTTGGGGGAATTATTCTAGTATCTAGATTCGACTTAGGACAGGTGGTACGTGCAGCCCTGGAGGGAGGTATGCTGGCTTCTCTCACCCTCTGTCCCCTGAGCCTCAAGTGGGGAAAGACGATCGTTTCGTCCCAAGCGTTCACTCACTTTACTCACTCACTCCCCTAGCTAAGCCCACTTATCAAGCAACCGCGGGAACTGAAGCTTTGGCTTTTGCCAACTAGGTCAATGCCATGTGTACAATACGATTGATTGAACTAGCTACCTAATGGGCATCAAACATTCATGCCCCCGTTCCATAGGCAGTTCAGTTGGTTAGTAAGGTCCCTGATGCGAGAACAAGAACTACCTAGGTTAGGTAAGTTTAGGTACGTATGTAGGCACTTCTCCATTTAGAGTTGTTCTGCTGGTTCTAGTTAATGCTGCTTCTGCTGATGATGATAGACTGGTTAGGGGGGGGGGGGGGGGTAAGGTTTTCCCGTGGGAACCAGCTTCAGGTTGGGTTTCGTGCTATAATTGAGCTATGAGCGGTGAGCTACGTGTTCAAGACGGGATGCTCCGTAACGGGGTTTTTCCAGCAGCGACAACAGGGCCGGAACAACAACAGCGATTAACAGCACAACCGATCATTTCCTTTTCCTCCGCTATCAATTCTACCAGTCAGGTTCTTCGCAACTAATTTTACGCGTCTGGAATGCAAATGGGCGTTTGCTGTGTGTTAATTAGCAATTGTTGTCAATTAGTGGCTCAGTAGGTAGGTAACAATTATACCCTCGGCAGATAATATGTGGAAATCATGAAAGCCTCGGAGAGAAAAGATCCTCTTTTTTTTGTTCTCCATATTGCTCTCCGTGCTCCGTTTTTGGGGGGCCCGAGCCAAACTCACTCACTGCACTACACTAACCACCTGATTACTATCATACCCGGATTTCTTATCTCCTGTTTTTTGAGTTAAGGAACAAACTTCTAGATGGAATCTAGGTTATCTAACTAATGGGCCTAGCAACGAAGTTTGCCTGACTCACGACCTTGCGTATCGAGATAAGGGGAAAGAAGAAAACAGGATCACGAAGACGCTTGCGGCTATTAAACTTCAAGGCTCCATTCGTTGCCTGATCCCATCGCCGATGGACATACGTATGTGCGCAGCAAACTTGCGCAGCCGCGTGGTTCGACAATGAGTCGTTCTAAACTTCATAGTGGAGAGGATTTGGTATCGCTGCTTTCGGATGAGGAAACTTTTTTCAGGAGAACTTTGAAGTCTTTGAGAGATTACTATACATACCTCACTGGAACAAAAATGACTCGCGAACCCGCTTATCTATAAATAAGCGTGTGTAAAGGGAAAAGGCAATACAAGTCCAAGTTTAAGGTACAACATATGTCATATGTGAGTAGTGCAAAGGATAAACATCACAAGAAAGCAGCATTACGTAGGTGGGTAGACAGACAGACAGAACAGACAATACAAAAATATACTAAAACTAGCCTAAACGATCTACCTCTCGCAAAGCAAATCTGTAAGAAGCGACGGTAACTAGGTAACAAGAGAAGTCAAAAAGAAATAGAAAAAGTAAAAAAAATAGTCCCAGTTAATCATCCTAGCGCCTCCCGCTGACCCGTATGGTTCTTTTGACTCTTTTTTTCTTTCTTTGTAGGAGGTAGGTATGTAGGTAGTCGTAGAAAGCTCCCCGGCCGGGCTAGCTGTCTTCTGTACCTACAACCAAGCCCCTATCTTAGTCCACCCCTATCCCAACCCATCCATCCCCAAACCCATCCCATCAGCAAAACCGCCCCCTATTTTTCGTGTCCTTCGTATCCCGCAAACCCCAACCCCCCCTAATATAATCTAATCACTAACCTCGATCGGGCCCCCGGGCACAACCGGATCCGGATTCATCCCGCCCCCAGGGAACCCGGGAAGCGGGAACAGCGGGCCGCCGGGCAACGAATACCCCGGCTGCTCGTCGCGCCTCCTCTTCTTCCCGGGGACGAACGTCGTCGTCGTGCCGTCGGGGCTCTGCACGATGCGGATCCCGTACTTCTCGAGCAGCTCCCCTTCGATCTCCGCGATGCGGCGCGCGACCGGCCTCGGCGGGTCCGCCGTCCCGAACTCGTGCACCAGCGCCTCGTACTGGAGCTCGAGCGCCTTGATGTGCGCCTGTACCGGGTCTGTGGTGGTGCCGTCGCCGATGCCGATCGTGTCTTGGCGTCTGGCTTTCTTGTCCGAGGGCTCGAGACCGCCGGTGATGGGCGGCAGGATCACGTGGTCCTGGCGTTTGGCCTTCTTGTCCGACGGCTCGAGACCGCCGGTCACGGGGGGCAGGAGGGTGAAGGTTGGTGGGGGTGGGGGGGTGGGCGCGCCGATCCCGATGCCCGGGAGCCAGGTGCCGGGGTCGGTGATGGAGAATTGTCTCCGCGCAAGTGTTGTTCGCGTGGGTTCGGTGCTGGTGATGGGGGCGGTGGAGGCCAGAGCCGCGAGGGCTACGGCGGCGAGGCTGGCTCGGTGCATGGTTGTGAGGTTGGGTTCCCAGGTATTGGAGTTTCAGAGTAAGTATATTAAGATAAGGACTCTGAATGATAATATATATATCTTAGATAGGTATATATACTATAGCTGCAAGTTATCGTTTACTCGTGTTCTCGATGATGTTTCGTCTGGTTTGTTCTTCGTTTCTCAAAATGGGCCGTGATCGTCGTCCGTCCTTCGCCCTCCCCTTTATACAAAAAAAAAATGAACGAAAGACAAGACATATTGTGCCCTTATTCCGTCACCAGCCCACCTTCCGGGGGCAGGCAGATAAGAGCCCAGGGTCTTTGGCCAGAAAACAAGGTCGAGTTCATTTATTTGTTAATATCGATATATTGGCCCTGAGGCGCGACTAGGCTCTTAGATAACACAACAATATGCCCGGAAGCGAAAATGGAGAGGGAGATGGGGGACGACTTTAACCGGGTCGACTCGACTCCCCTTTCCACCTAACGCACCACCTGCGAACCACGCATGGCAAGTTGAAATGTCGTTTTCTTTCTTTTTCTTTCTTAGTCCGCGAGTCCTTTCTGACCATCTGCCTATCTAGTCGAACGGTGTAGATTGAGGTAGAAGTGAGACCATGTGTCCCTTCCGGGTTTTGGTCTCCCGCTTAGAAGGAGCTTGGAGCCTGATAACTCAGCGCACTCTGCCGGATATTCTCGAAAAACTCAATATTTCCTTCCCTTCATCGCAAATGGGACATGATGGCAATGATAGCTTAGGTACCGTCCAAAGACAATAGATGGCTCGAGATTGAATCTATTTTTGGGTCTTGAAACTTCTAGACACATCATAGGCCTCAGAAGTGAAGCTTGGTCGCTTGCTTGCTTGGGAACCGGGACATCGGGTAATATATTTGACAAGCTACCGCCAACTACCTACCGTAGCATGGCAAATGGATTTGACATACTCGTCTGTACCTACACAAGGGAGCATCGCTAAAGATGTCATCACATGTCTAGCTCCGTTCCATGCAGGGGAGCTAGGATAGGTATAAACCAAAATCATGGACAAGCTCCTTGGGGTCGGCGATTAAAGGGGGGTGACTGCGAAAGGCTCCGCAAGAAAGAAAAATCGGGAGACTGGCCGTTCGAGACTGGCCTGATAGAGAAACATTTTTCCAGGGCCGCTTTGCGCCCATGGCCGAGGTCACGCCATTAGATCAATGACTGGTAACAGGTTTTCGTCGCTGGATTGGGGTTGGGAGTTCTGGTACGTCGTCCCGGGTATTCTGCTTCGGGAAAAGGCAATATGCCAGAAATAGATGTAGGGTGACATCGCCCAAGTCTTGAGAGTGAAGTCTCTTATTTTTAGACGTTGGGCCTTTCACGAGCCTTTTTCTCTGATCAAGGGCCAGTCTCATCTTGGATAGAATACCACGATGTGAAGTGACGCAACTATCTTTGAAGAAGTGAGGATAGTATACACCGAGCCGCATCTAATAACTATGAGCATGGGCATACAACACGGAAAGATTAGAATCTGTATACTCCCACAGAAGGCGCGGAGATCGCCAACGAGAACGAAGCGACCGAAACTCGAAGCACAGTCCTCAACCGAAACCTAGAACGTTCGTCGGAAAACTCTTTGCTAGGTATAATTCATGGCATTCGCATGTTTCGAGTAAATGCGGCTTCGTGGTATCATCTGGAACTTAGCGACCTGAGTAAGCCCACAGCATCTCCCGACAACGAGGTGGTCCTTCCGGAAGGATCTAGATTCCACTGCGTGCCTGCCGAAGGTACCTTCGAAGGATCGGAACCTGAACGGATTGAGCTAGGGGTCTGGCCTTAGAAAACTTGGGGTAGTACCTAGCAGCTTTCCATGAGCATCTACCTACCTACCCCGAACTCCCGTTTGAATGGCCAAAGGGCGCCGACTTGTTGAATGCTGGCACATAGGGCCGATGGCCATGACAAGGCGGCTGTTTACATAGGCAGGTGGGCTGTCTAGGTAGGTAGGTATGTCAAGCTATCTCAAGAGGCATCACGTCACTGGTGCCAAACCAGACCCCCTGTCATTGGCACTGCCATTCATCCGCTGCAGCGACTCGGCTTGACCCTGCAGATTCACTCTACCTTGGCGTGATTATTGTTCTGGTCAGGATACGAGGTCTCTTGAAGAATAAACGAATTGGAGAAGGGGATAATGCCATACCACACAAGTATGCCTGAGTAAAGGAGTACCAGCTAGAGGGGTTCTTACCCATCAGTGTATGGCTTAAGGGGTCGGTTCTAGACATTGCTATCGAGGTCTAGGGCTCAAGGAGACTTTATTAGAATTGAATCAACCAAGTTCTTATCACATTACATTAGCAAAAATTCTCTACTATCATACATATTCCTCGATGATCTCTATATATACCCTTAAACATATGTCTGTGCCGCTGCCTACTACGAATAACTTGGCTTGACTGAAGCCTAATTGATATTATCGCCCCCTATAACAAGGAAACGGGGACTGCGAAGTCCAACACTATCGTTATAGCAAGGAACTGTGAGATAATCACTGCATCTTTATCATTTTTGCTACCTAGTAAGCTCCCTAGATGTTTATTCCTCATAGCTAACGCCATATGAATCGTTCTATATATCCTCTCGGCCGTCTGTACATTTGTCGACGAGTTTCCCTTTGCCTTTCTCCCCAACTTGCCCTTTCCCCCGTTCTTGCAAACATCTATCCGACTTTTTCCTGCCATGGCCCCGGCCAAAAGCTGCGGTGCCTCTTTAGCTGCTCGTCTTATTCCCCGTAGTGACCGTGAAAAGGCGCGGAAACGCTCGCGGATCTGGACCTTATCTCAAGAGTGGAAAGCTATGCCAGTTGTATTGCCAGCTGAAACGATCGCCTTCTGGCCAGATATACCGGAAAGCTTCCATCACGTGAGACCTATGGAAGCCAGATCCCGCATTCCGTACATTCAAGTCAACTATAGACTGGTATTTCTCCAAGTCAGGCACCCGTGCAATCGGAGGCATGTCGTCTCTCACGCTGCGTTCGACCTGCCAAGTTCGAGCAAGACTATAAAGACATGCCCGTTTTGACATACTTGCGACACTGTTCCCCATGGGCCAGGAGTGCTTGATGTTGGGATTGCAGGATTGTTGCAATTTCAGCGTCTGTAGTGGAATGCAGTCGTCTCCTTTCTTCATTTCCGATATGGTCTCGAAAATTTCCAAGGCAAGACGCTCATCCACGGCGCAGTTGATAAGGCCCTTGCGCAGACAATACCGCGAACTGGGGAAATCGTTTGTTGGAAGTGATGGCTGGACGAAGTTGAGGCATAAATGCTGTAGCTTGGGGATCGTGCCTAGCGCCCTGTATAGAGCTACTTCTTTTGTGTTTCCCTCAGAACGATGCATTGCCAAACTCAAGTTCTCGATGAAGGGGCACCTTTGTCGGATCTGGTCGATATCGTTTACTGTCAAACACACCTTTCGGGGCCAAAAAGGCCTCAATGTCAGAGCTCGTAGATTGCGACCAAGCACCCTATTCAGGGAAATGCAATATACCCAATCCATTTCCAAAACGCGAAGTCCTGATTGGCGATGAACAAACTGGGTGACAAGCTCATAGTATCTCGGGTCAGACATACGAGACAAACTGAGATCCAGTGTTGTCAGACATGGAAACTCATAATTATTTGCGAGGTCATTGACTGTGTCTGGCTTAATCCAACCTCCCAGCCTGAGTGATTGCAGACGGGTGAAATCGGTATGCTTGCTCCAACCGCGGAGGAAACGTGGCAATATGGAACAAGAATGATAGAGATCCAAGTGAGACAATGACCCATTCTTCTGTAAGGGCATTTTTGCTATGGGCAAGTCTACCCAATGTGGGCGAAACGAGGATAATAGGGCTTGTTCGTCAATTTGCTGGTCATCGCCTGGTTCACGATATAGGTACACCTTCATCAAGTTGGGGGCTAGCCCTGATACCATTCGCATGACTGCACCGGCAAGATGATATGTCTCGGGGTATATTCCTGGGTTGGCGGTACCTACTCCGATGCTGATGCTGTAGAGGCACGGTGACGTGGCGAGCATCAACTCATGGGGATCTGCAATAGCGGGCTCGGCAGATAAGCTGTATAGACTAAAAGGATTGACATGTAGTCTACAGCTAGGCCTATATTTGTGTAAGGCCTGGAGAAGGCAGGGCGGAACTTGATCGAAGCGCTGAAAGACAAGGTCTGCCAAAGCAGGTAGCTTCTTTATCAAGTCGGCTAACGGTTGCCAATCTCCATCAGTCCGGTATGCCGATTCCACAACATATTCTAGTGGGCGGCGGTGCCAGAAATTGTTGTAGCGTTCGTCTGTTCCCAAAATACTCACCTCGGAATCATAATTATATTCCCAAGTGCTGGGAGGGCGCGGGACCGGGTCGTGGTGTGGGGCCGGGCCGGAGATCTCTAGACGCCGGACCCTTCCGAAAGCATTGTCACGGCCTAGTCTATTGGCATAATGTTCCACGACTTGGACTAGTTGGGCTGGGTTGGCCATGCAGACCTTGAAGGTATGGTATAGAAGTGGCGTAGAGATTGTATATGAATGTTTGCTGCAACTTGCTAGATTGACAAGACTCCCTAGGTGAGTGTTGTAGATAAGCTCGCAAATGGTGTATCGTAGTTCCGGCGGTAGACGCATGAAAGCGAAATGAGAAGTTGTCTTCGTTGATTGCTCCATTTTTCTCTAATTCCAGCTTTCTTCTTTCTTTGGGTGTTCTTATAGGCGTGCTCTACAATGTTGGTAATGAAAAATGGTGAAGATATGGGTATCAAAGTGTGAATATTATACGTGATATGTAAGATTTGTAAGATATTAAGATTTGTATGAGATTTGTGTGATTTATGGGATATATATAAGATGATGTGAAATGGGTCGAAAGAAGAAAGAATTAAGAATTTACCTACCTGGTATTTATACTGTAGCGATATTGTACAAGGCAAGCACGCAGTTGCCCTAGCAACACTAGTAGGCAATCGCGTACCTGTCTGGGTAGATACTAGCCTGGTACTAGGTACCTAGTAGTATGAACGTTGTTGCCATGGTGCGAATGGATATACTTTCTGGTGTTGACGGCTTTAAAGTCTAAAGTTTATACTATGTACTGTGTATTTTACTTGTATTGTACCTCGCACCAGCCGCCGGGTGGTACCGCAGCACGCTAAATGCCCCCCACATTCCCTCAACCCCAGAATAAAAAAGGCACCAACCCCTATGTATTTTAGTCGAGATTCGATCTTGATAAGATCGATATGATAACGAATGACGTCGGTAGCTATGAAACTCAAGCATAGCTAAATCCATTTGTCGATAACGTTCATAATTAACCAAGATGAGCAATTAATTCACTAGGTACCTGGGTAATCATGGCAGCTAGATCAAGCTCAATCCTCCGACGGGCTCTCCTTTACGGTGAAGAACATTGATGCACCATTCATTGCCAACGATCAGCTTTTCTTGCTAACCGCGCCCAAGTGAAGTCCCGGCGTCTTCCCCGCGCATGCTCACCAAGTCCCTCGGCCTGAGCTCCGACAACATCACCTACGACCTCGAGGACTCTGTGACGCCCTCCGCGAAACCGCAAGCCCGTGAAGCGCTGCAAGCCCATCTTTCCGGTCTCTCGTCAAGACCGTCCGCTGTTTCCGAACTCGCCATCCGCATCAATGCCGCTTCAACGCCCCACGCCCTTGATGATCTCATGGCCCTCGCGCCCCTGCCCATTGTCGACGCTGTTGTGCTGCCCAAGGTGAACGGTGCGAGCGACCTGACCTTCGTGACAGAAACTCTGCAGCACTTAGCCCCCGAGCGCCACCGCGAGGGTAGCCAAGACTACAATCCCATCAAGATCGTAGCATTGATCGAGTCAGCTCGCGCCATCGTCGACCTCCGTGAGATCTGCGCCGCGTCTCCGCTGCTGAGTGGCCTGATCTTCGCAGCCGAGGATTTCGCCCTCGATTTGTCACTGACGCGAACTCCAAGCTTGGGCGAGTTTCTATACGCGCGATCTGCGATCGTAACGGCTGCCCGCGCTGCTAACCTGCCCAGCGCGATCGACTTGGTCTGCACCTCGTACAAAGGTGAGGAAGGGCTAGCAAGACTCGAGGAGGAGTGCCAAGGCGGTAAGGCTATGGGGTTTAATGGCAAGCAATGCATTCATCCATCGCAGGTCGAGATGGTGCAACGACTCTTCGCACCTTCAGAGAAGGAAGTTGAATGGGCAGTCAGAATCACCATTGCTGATAAAAAAGCTGCTAAGGCGGGTAGAGGAGCGTGGACCTTGGATGGGGCAATGATTGATGCCCCTGTTGCAGGGAAGGCGAGGGCCATTGTTGATAAGGCGCACAGATGTGGAATAGACATCCAAGGATTACAAGAGAAATGGAGAGATCAAGAACCTGAATAAATGGCACGAGGTATGAACCTGCCCACCATTCAAATGTAAATACAGCCAATATATCTACCGCTAATTACAATATGATATCCATATCTTGGGTTATAGTATAAAGGTCAATATTGAAAGAACTGGTTCGGACGCCAAAAGGCCGACATCTGTGCACGTTCTTCATCAAAATCGTCAACCTGTCGCAATCCTTCCTGCGGTGTATTTAGACCTCCAATATCGTACTGCGGATAATGTGCCTCGCTAATCTCTTCCTCTGGTAGCGAATGGGTCCTCGAGTCCCCTGTGATGGAAGTTAGACCAGGGTTCGCTTCCACTTCCTCGCTACTGATGGATAGCCTTGGATTCGACTGAAAATAGTCTGGTGCTGCCTCGTCTAGGGCTGGCTCCAAGCCCGCATTGTCATAGTCGCGTGTAATCTCTTGTAGCTTCGACTCAGTCTCTATTCTGGCAATGAACTCGGCCATATCTTCTATATTCTCAAAACCCTGCGACTGAGATATTGGCTTCTTTTGGGAGGTGCCTAGAACTGGATCCCCTTTCAATTGATCTATGTAGATGGGCGAGTTCACGATCGGTCTGGACGAAGCATGCCGACTTTTAGTCATCGTGCTTGAAGGCGTTCTCTGGGGTATCCAAGACACAGCGTCAAGGGATGGCAATTTTCGTCCAAAAGTAGAGTTTAACTCGGAGGAAGTAGGTGTGCTATGACTTTCAGCCCGCTCTGGAGTATTGAGTGACCCATCGTTGCAGTTGATAGAATGGGAAGCTTGTATACCATCTTTACTACTTAAAGTATCCCTCCCATTATATGGGATAGGTGGAGGCGGCATCGCTTCTCTAGAATTTATCGACGCTTGATCGATCGCTTTCTCACTTTGTACCCCTCGAGGTTGATTCTTTCTTCTTTCCGAAAAAGGGGAACTACTGTGCGCGGTTGTTAACTCAACGGCCCGCACAGACGGAGATTTGATAGTGTCTTGTCTTAAGCTACCATTATCCTTAGGGCGGAGGCGAGTGTCGTTGACAATTTGCTGACGATCAACTGGAGAATTGCAAGGTGTTTGCCGAACAGTGCCTCCATGGGACCCGGAGCTTTGGCCGTCTCCCATTACCTGCTCGTCTGGTAATACTTTGAGGTGTCTCGAGGGACTATCGGTCATCATGGCTTGATCTCGATACTTTACCTTCTTGGTCTCACTGGTCTCAGCCTGTATGCTTTTATCATAGTCTCCAGGTCCTGTGGGGTCAATCCAATGGGCATTTCTCTGAGCTGCTCTTCCCAACCTTCGATCAGGGATAGAATCCTCGTCGTATGGAGAAATACCAGTGCTACGGTATATGCCCGTCGCTATGATATCTCTTCTGATTGATTCGGGAGTAGTCGGCCACTCTGACCCTGATTCGTTTAAGCTTAACCGGTCTACCTTCTTATTATTTTCGGGCGAGTGTCGACTGCTAGACCATGTGAAATATGTAGTCTTCGCTCCCGGGTTCTTGTCGCAATTATTAGATTCATATACAGACACGTTATTAGGTCCTAGAATCCCTTCCCGAGGGGACCGAAGTGCATGATTGCGTTCGGAACGTAAATAGTGGGTTGAAGAAGGTGATCTGGAAGGTTCCTGACAGTATGTGGCCGAAAGTTGTCTACTTTGATGTCCCGGACCGTGGCCGTCACCACGTTCGCCTGAACCATTATGTTTTAACCTGTGTGTATTCCCATCTGTTCTATGGGGTAAGAAAAAGGAAGATATTTGCTCTATCTCTCTACCCTCTCGCTGTCTCTCTCTTAGACGGGATTTGGATAATGTTTTTGGCTGAGAGCTCCTTCTTTGTTTCTTCAGAAACTGCATTTCGGAAAAGGCCAAATCGGAAACTGTTTACTATCAGAGTTCAGGCTCAAATATCCACTAGGAATGTACATACTAGGCTGTTTCTTTGATGCTCGCCCGTTGTCAAATAGGCCAGGCTTCAGGTGTGGTTGCACCTATAATAGTAGGTCAGACCAACGCCACTATAGCCCTGCAAGGTTCTTACCGTGATACGGTTATTTAGCACAGCACCGGAGGAAAAATTGTCCACAACATTTTTACTGGATATTGCGGATTTCCTCTTCTCGGTCTTGGCTTTCTTCTTTCGTTGGGGGTCATCCTGGCCTGTAGCGCCGTCCCGTTCACGAGTTCGTTTCTTTTTCTTCGTTTCGTACTTGTCTTCTTTCGTCTTATGCCTCAGTTTTTTTTCGAACTTCACTGGCTCGTCTACTTGAAACGTAGGGGATGAAGCGTGTATAGGGTTTAAATCTAGTTCCCTTGGAGGCTTAGCCGGCGGGGTGCTTCCGCAATCCTGTCGAATGGATATATGATCATAGCCAGGAGGCTTCGTGGAAGTTTCAAAACCACTGATGAATGAGCTATCGCTAGGGGCGGGCCGTCTTCGCGTGGAGTTCCTTGAATCTACCAGGCCCAGGACCCGAAAAGGAGGACCCGATTGGCGAAAGTTGTCGCTAGGAAGGATGTGACGAGAGCTCCATTTTGGATCTACACCACTAAGGTGCTTATTGTGTGGGGATATTGGTCTAAATAGATCAGATATGCGACTACTACCTCTCACCTCTGCTTGGTGTCTATGTTTAGATGTTTGCTCCAGCCAGTTTTCAACGATGTCATAGCGGGATAGCGATTTCGATTGCGGCACATCGTTTGGCTCTTCAGGAATTGTTTTCCCCCTTTCCTGTTTGCGCCGGCGTTTCAGACGTGACTTGTCACTGGCCATTTGATATGAATTTTCGTCATGACGCGACAGACTATGGGAATAGCAATAATACACACAATGACATCAAGGAGGGTAGAGCGGCCGCCTAAAAGCTCGCCTCTTAATAAGGATTGAAACAGCAAAGAGCTCCTGAGACGAGACAAAAGAAAAGAAGATGGCACGAATATACAGCCCGTGAGCTCAAGATGTATTATGTAGCGTAGCAATGGTATCCCAATCTAAGCAACAGAGAAGCAATAGTAGTAACTCTAGACGAGATGAGATGGTAACATGGAACGTGGATGTGGGATAGTCGGTAAAGTACTGAAATATCCCAGCACCTAGCAAGCCTTGAGAGGGGTTGCATTAATAAGCAACATTGAATTTACCTAAATGCCGGTAGGTAGATACACCTGGGCATACATACATGTAGGTATGTATGCAGAAGGAGCGATTCTGTATACTTACCTACATAGTACCTACATGTAGTCAAACATCTCCGTGTAGATCCATTAAAAATGTAGATAACCCCCCTGGAGGTATGTACTGCTATGTATGCATGCATGTAGATATATGCAACTACATTAGGTAGTGCATGTACATATGTAGGGACGTCGCTGGTATGTGCATATGCCATCAATTGGATCATCAATTCTCCTAGACATCATTGATTCCATCCTGGCTTCAATGTTCTTATTATGTACATGTACGTAGTTTTCAACATTGAATCTAAGATTTTCAGGGATTCTAGCCTAGCCTTCGGGTCGAATATCCTCATCTCTATAATTAGAACGAGAGCCAAACTAGCGCCTGATTCTGCTTGGTAACATCTCATTCTCATGGATATTGAGAATGATACGTACAGGGTTGGAAGAGTGTCCAAGAGCCGCACATGAGGTTGCGCATTGTGTGGCATTGTGTGGCAGGCCAAGCTTTTCAATCCCAAGACGTCACAGAAACCTTGCCAAGTAAACCCCTGATGCCCCTGGAGGGGAATTTGGAACTCTGGGACTTTGCGAAGAGTCTCATTGGCCCATATCGATCTGCGCATGCGAGTACGGTATGTGGATATGCAGCCAAGCCCTTTACTTACGACCTTACTAGGCCATCAGACTTTATATCATTCAATTGATGCTTGTTGTTCAACATATGAGATGAGATGTCAGCTCGGGTAACGTCTTTTAAACATATGCCAACCTGAAAATATCTATTTGCGACTGCCAACTACCGATCTAGGTGTTTAGTTGGTAGCTAACATACAACATGATTATCATCTAAGCTTTATACCTAAACTCGAGACGTTTCACTACTCGAGGTCTAGATTTCGATGTTGGAACATTGAAGATACTACTAGGTATGTAGTTACATATTGAACTACCTAGGTACATAGGTAGCCTTGAGATCTGTAAGTGCATCTAATATGACACCATATTAATACCATCCATGGTATTAATAAACTTATTTCGTCGTGCGGAGGCTCGGTTCGGTAGATGGTTCAATATTACACAATGATCGACTGCGACCTCCATGGCTGCATGTGACGTCGCATCCCATGCGAACAAGCATTTCAATGCTGGAACCTCGGAACGCATCTTGTATTGAATTTTAGCTGAACTGTACTGTCGGGTCCATGCCTTTTGTTTTATTTAGAAAGTGGCATCTGGAGTTTGGTGTTCATGTCGTTTAAGCAAGTACGGTGAATAGGTACCGACCTACCATTCACATACATAGTAAGTACATAGTAGCATCAGATGGTCTTATTCTCGGAAGCAGCGGTTATAAACTTCAAGCAACTGCGAATACAAAGTGGTTCAATATAACTTTGAAATTTCTGAGGTTATAGTACCTACATGTATGTATATACTAGGTGCTATGTATAGAAACGTACCGTGTACATATGTGGATTACTAATGCAGCACAAGTTACATGTAGGCAAGCTCAGTCTTGATGTGACCGTACTTACCGGTACATATAGTTAACTAGTACTATTTAATATCATCATCACATGATAACCCCGGAATGCATGGGCAAGCATGGCCAGCATTATGTAGCGGGGCGGGGTCAACTTGAATTTCCATATTCAAACTGTATTTTTTCTTCATTTCTTCAAGTTCCAAGAGCGTCATTTGAAAATTCGGTAATTATTCGATCGCCATTTAGACATGCCTTTCATTCCCTTTGGTAGGGCCTATGATGTAAGCCTAAGCGTTTTTATTACGGTAGGTATATCGAAGTTTCAGTCCCACCCACGATTAAAATGTAGCACGTTAGCATCCTTGTGCGTCTCGCATCATACCGGGATATCTATCTGCCAGGTAGCTAAGGTGCCCAGCATTTGATACTACTAGACCCTTACCTTCAGGGCCTGTCTGTGGGACGCGACCTCGCAGACTGACCCAATAAACCCCATGGAAATCTCGGGAAGTCTGGCCATTTGCCATTGTGTAGGTACTTACATACCTCTACTACAGTACTACTTACATAGCTAACATTGGTATTGACGATGTAGCCGCAAGAGAAAAGCGTTCTCTCATTTTACTATGTTAAACAGATCATGTTTGTCACATTAGGTACTTTACCTACTACCTATTACCTACCTAGGGTACCTAAGCAACTAGGTACAATACCTACCTAACCTAGGCACTTAGTAGATCACAGCCAAGCGGAACGTCTAGAAATGGACAGACACCCTTGTGTGACTAGACTTGGGCCGCCTTTCCTCAAGCTCTTAAGCATGTTACAGCTACTCAAGACTCGGAAGGTCTTAACGAAATGTTATGTAGGGCTCGAGGAAGAACTAGGCTAAGGATGGACAGCGAACAGACTATGCTGTTCCTTTTTTTAGCCTCCGACAGGGATTACGAAACCGTGGATATCCAACTATCATCTTCGCGCCCTGGATGCGAGACTTTTAACAACTATGATCGACCACACCTGGCAAGATCAGGCGGATGTCGAGTATAGTTTATTGGGTAATTAGAGCATACTATTCGCAGATCGTTTCTAGAAGTCCACCACAGCTATTCCCGCTGCATGAAGTTTCGCACAACTCGGACCACACGAAGCGAGAGAGCTGCTACCCAGGTTAGTTACTAGCATTCCTTTTCAGGATATGGCCGACTTAACAACTTCTCTGGTATATGCAATCCGTACCGCGTGGGGTCTTATGCTGCTTCCCCAGAACAGCTCGAGGTCATTTTCACCTCCTCTGTTTGATGCTTGTTTTGGAGCCAACCCTGCTGGTTCCCTCCCTTCTCTCTATTGATGGCTACAGTCACTGGTGAATGTGGATGTAGGCTGCTTTGGACTTGCGGCCCGGGTGTCCTAGCCTGAGTAGAGGGGATGGCGAAGAGTATATAATAGTACAGGACGAGATCGAATATATCAACCTTTTCCACTCCTCGACCAGTCAGCACGCAGTTATCTATTCTTTACGACAGCATATCCAGGGCTCTTGGATCAATCTATCTTTGAAAACCCACTTGATAGCTACTATACGCTTTAAACCCTGTCATCTTGTCCCATTTCACCCTGGTCTATCATTACGCCACAGCTCCGCCTTAAATCATACGAATTATCTAGGTGACCGACGAGTAACCTACCTAACTTTGCGGTATTGGTCACCATTTAGCGTCGACTATTCGTGTTCGTCTACTGTCGCTATCTAGCGTTGTATTGCTAAAAGAGGAAAAAAAGGAAAAACTGTTCGTGTCTCTTTCCAAATCCGTCCTTTATCTTGTATATCTCTTCGTCAATATACAGCAATAGCAACAACAACAACAACAGCCTTAAGACATTCATCCAACATCTTATATACATGGGTCGGTTATTAACATCCATTCATGCAGATTTACCTAGACTAAAGCAATCATTTGATAACCATGTCTAAACTTTTTATCGGGTAAGGAATAATCACTTCACCCCGTATATTATTTACCCAACTAATACCAATGTTGTTTCCAGCGGGCTTGCATGGCACACGGAAGACGCAACCCTGAGACAGAAATTTGAAGAGTATGGCCCCGTAGAGGAAGCGGTGCGTTATTCAAAGCTCTGACTATTATATCCATACCACCCGTCAATGGGTTATGATGAATTGTGGTCTTCATGTCAAGGAGCTGGATAATGAACTAACCGAGCATATACTAGGTTGTCGTAAAAGATCGTGACACCGGCCGTAGCCGAGGATTTGGATTTGTACGATACGTCAATGAGGCCGATGCCCAAAAAGCCATTGCTGGCATGAACAACATTGAGTAAGATGAACTCTTTTGCCACTTCGAACCTGTCTCTAATAAGGGACACAAATTAGATTCGATGGACGGTCCATCCGTGTCGACAGGGCTTCTGATACCGGGCCCCGAGGTGGCGGCGGCGGTGGTGGACGGGGTGGCGGATATGCGGCAAGGGGGAATTACCCACAACCTCAAATGCCATACGCTGCCGGCCAGCCCGTTCCGTATGGGATGCCTAATGCCGTGATGTACGCTCCGGCTTACGGACGCGGGGGTTACCAGGTGCAAGCCTACGGAACACCCCCACCTCAAGGTAAATACTTTGGTTATCTTCATCATCAGCTTCCACTAAACTTGAGATGTATACACAGGTTATGCACCCTACGGATACGCAGACCCACAGCAGCAGGCTCAACAACACCAAGGCCAACACCCGCAGCAACAGCCCCCGCAACAGCCACCATACTAAAAGGCTAGTATATGGGACATGTGCAGCATAAGCAAAGTAAAATCTAAGGGGGATGCTACTTTGGATTAAATGGGAAAGGGGTTATGCGTTATATCATATCCAATCCTCCACCACTTCACGTCACTTCCACATCTAGGGCGATAGCCTAGCCTTCTTATCTCTTTTGTATGTAACCCTTCTGGCTCCCAAAGACCACCAGCATTTTTGGACCTATTTGAGCCAAGGGAAGATGCGGCTCAACGCCATATACATACCCCCCCCATGTACATAAACTTAGTACGTTTCGCTCTTTTCACTTCACGATGCCCGGTCATCCCGGTATTATTTTATAGCTTTATCTAGGTTGCTTCAGTTAGGTAGCCTCAACCATCTTTTATATCCCCACAAAAGGCTGAAAAAAGGGGGAAATATTGCTTGTGGTTATGATGAAGTTTTCCCGAGTTTGAGGAGGAGGGAGGAAAGATTAAAATCGCAAAAAGGTTCGCGGTTTAAGAGAGGAAATGAGGTTCCCTGGATGGAGTGGGTATACCCAATTGCGAGTTTTTTAGTGGAAATAGGAAAAGGGGAAGGGCAGCAACCGAAAATATGTAACTAGCAGAACCGCTATGAGCCAACAGGTTTTTCTGTCGAGATCCAAACCCCCCTCTCTACCCTTGCACAGCGATGCCACAACGTGACTCTCCTTAAGCTACTCCTTCTCCGTCTCCTCCTGCTCATCCACACTCGTCACCTTCCTAAACTCATGCGCGACAGGGTCGTGCTCGAAGCCCTCGACCAGCAGATCGCCCTCCCTCTGCTTCCTCTCGATCTCGCGCACCCGGTCCGACAGATCCGTCACATGCGCATCCCCGCTCTCGGGACTCAGCTCATCCAGCGCTTTTTCCAGACTCAAGAGGTAATCGCGGTTCAGCCCGCTGGGACCCTCGCTCACGTAGATGTGCTCGGCGAGCTGCTGAGGGTCCTGCGGGCCCGTGAACTGGTCGTTGTCGGGGGTGCCGATGTAGACGAGGGTGCGGGGGATGATGGAGGAGGAGGAGGAGTGGAAGGCGGTGTAGTGGATGCTGTACCCGTTGATCTCCCGGATGTCGAGGTACTCTTTTACCTCGCGCACCTTTTCTGGCACGATCCGGTACGCGGTGCCCCAGACTTTGTCCGGAGCGGTGTCGTGCGCGTCGGCGAGGGAGGCCCAGAAGGGGCGTTCGATGAGGGTTACGACACGCCCGGGCTCTGAGGGCGTGCCGCGGTGGTCTTGGCTGTGTGGGTTTGTGAGTAAGGTATGTGGTTTCTTGGTAGAATTGCCCCCCCTTTTTAGGTAGGTAGGTGTTGCCCCGAGATCCACTGGTTATTATCATAGATAGGGTTGGAGTTACCTTGCCTAAGGCAGTGTAAGCCATTTTTGTGTGTCTTGGTGCCCGATCAATATGCGGTGGTACGGTGGGTGGGTGTCCTACATACCTGCCAGAACCGCCTGACGTATCCCGTGACCCAGCCGGGCACCCGCCGATCTAAAAGCGAAGTGAGTCACAGACTCACGCGCTCACGAAGAAATTTGGTATGAGTCTCTCACCATAATGCGGCGGGGGCTTCCATATTAGACTCCTGTGGCTCATGAATAAGTATGTGGATTGTTTTGCCTGAACATCATCAGAAAACGCACCCGTAGCCGAAGATCCAGAATTCATCGGCACCGGACTCGGCCTCCCCGTTGGCCGCCATGGGATTATTATATATTTTTTCTCGTGTCTTCTCTGCTAGTGAAGAGTCGGTGGGGTTTACAGTACGTGATTATGATTTATTAATAGGGCAACTTCGTGAGATAGTGTTAAATCTTAGAATGCCATGTGAGATAATCAGGGCGTTGTTCTTATCTAAATCGTTACACGAAATACATACGAAGTAGTATAGAATACTATAGATGATAACTGGATATCGGAGTGTCGGAATGGTACCATTGATGCCAAGCTTTTCGCCTTATGGCGGTTGTTACCACCGGTGGACCTGCCGACTTTGTGGGCTGCCGGTCGCGGCTCCGGCTAATGGGCTTCTAGCACGTACAAACGTGACTGCCTAGTATTACCACATATGCAACAAACACAGTTCGTGCATATACTGTTTATACCGTATGCTTTTGTAGAAGGGAGCATCCTTCATGTCCATTTTTTTAGTTCCATCTCTTTTCCCTTTCCACGATCAACAAACGTGCTCCGAATTATTCGGGTCAATACCACACACACACACTACAAGCCCTATCCAACAGCCTAGTTGCCCGGTTTCAGATGAAATGTGGTCGGCAGCGTCATCTACATCGTATCAATATTCGTCAGCGTTCTAGTTAATACATACCTAACCTAGTATTGTATTGTACATACGCTATACGCGTGTAGGGACATGGATATGCACCCCGCGATAGCGCGAAAGCAAGGAAGCATGCGCCTCATTCGCATTGCACCCGCAGCCTGCAGTGAAATGGAGTTCGGTGTTCTGCGCCGCCATGCCGCCATGCCGCTACGTAATTAATAATATTCAGCATTACCTGGATTGATACCTGGAATATGTACCTACTAGGTACCCTGTGCCTTGAATGTAATGTGCATTCCTGGTAGTATTAGGTACCTACATACTATGTAATGCATGGTACTAATTATTGCACCCACCAAAATAGTTATGACGATGACGGCACGGCACGAAGATAGGATGAAAGTTGCCTCGTCATCCATGGGCAGCTGAAGAAGAGCCTCACAAAGGCAGCTGAACCTAACTTGCAATCTAGCAGTAGGGCTAGTAGGCTAAAGGAGGTATTCGGCAGATATTGGTGCAATCAGCCTTCTACAAACATCATTGCTAGTTAGGCTTTACCTTGTCTTTATTCGACAAACTCTGCCCCTTTCGGTCACGGTCAGAGAGTGCCGGAAGCGTTTGATAGACGCATAAACAAGACACACAGCCCCGCCGGTCAAGACGGGTGATATTTGGATCGCCCATACTGTTGCCTGCGGATCTGTCATCTTATGCTACTCCATAACATAACCAGGTAATAATTATTACAGTCCATCCATGGACATCCATACTATTACAGTCAGTCATACACAGTCTTTTTTAGCGGTGCCGAATACCCATATGGCGCTTGGGCAGTAATAGTTACTGTGAGACAAGACAGTTGAAAAGAACCAGTCGACTTTTTCAAGTTGAAATCACTTTTTATTTTTTTATTTTTTCTTGTTCTGGGTTTAATACAAGTAACCTACTAGTAGCAAACATTGCTTTTTATTGAATTATTCTGTACTTAAATCTTCATTGTCATCAATTCCGAGTTCCGAGGTTGCACTCACACAACCCCCCATCCTCGAAAAAGAGAAGGAAGGTATGTACATATCTCTTACCTTTCTACAGTACCAAGTTCCAACTGCTATTTTAGTATTTTGTCTTTGCTCTCTGAGTCTCTACACTTTACTTACACTTTACAAAAAAAAACTAAAAAAAAACTCACCATAATCCCTGACTACTAGAATCCTCCCTGTCTCCAACCTTTGCGGCTGAATCTACTACTGCACCAAAATTACACTGTTGATTAGCATTCTTTGTTATGTAACGGACCAGCTGCACTGCCGCTTATTAGTAGTACCTGATCATCGATTTGCCCAATTTTAACTGCTTATCTTTTCCACCTGACAGACAAACCTAGCATCTAGCGCCCGTTACATACCACCCATCTCCCACTTCATCTATCATACAAAAACCAAACAACAACTGCGCTGCTACTCCCCACAGCGCGTCCTTTCTTTCTTTCTATATAAAATAATTAAACCTCAACTAGATCATTAGTCGTGTTTTGATCTTGATCCTATCTTCTTCTACCTATAGCCATCCACTTGTAAGGTGCTTTCAACCGATCAGACACAATGGCTTACAACAGACCTTACAACCCCGATGAATTGCCAAGGTTAGTGACTTCCAATGCTACTATTATACCCCGCCATCGTCATTATTTCGCACTCAAGTTGTGATGATACTTGGGCGCAACATTGAATGAGCCCCTACATATGTAGTAGAACCTCATTCACTCCTGTATGATCGGCAATAAGTCGAGATTTTATACTTTTATGCGTCATGGCTTTAGCTAATCTTCATAAAACAGATTCGCAGAACCTGAGCCGGTATGAACATGCGCCTCCCATTGGATTCAAATACTCCTTACATTGACCCATTGACCCCTGCGCGAACCCCTCTTCCCGCTGTGCGCCCACTTTCGTTGCAACTAACAAATTTCTTATCGTAGAAGGGCGGCGCACCACATTCATCAGCTCCTCGATACGATTCGAGACCACAGCCCCCGGTTCCTAGCCCACGACACGATTCCATTCCTCCTCGACGCACCGACACAGGACGCCTAACTCCCACCAGTTACGGTCCAGGTCCTGCTGCACATTCAGGAGGCTACAGTAACAACGCTCATAGCAACAGCTACGATAACTACAAGTACAGACCTAACCCTAGCTCCACCATGTCGCCGCCACCTACTACCTCCGGACCACGCCCTGTCGCCCAAACCCGCCCACCCGCTTCAAGTCGGCCGCCCCCTTCACCTGGCCCGCCGGAAGGTGGTGCCGATCCCACGTTGCTGCCGCTGTTCAGAGCGGTTGACAAGGATGGTGCGTTACCCCTTTTCCTATACTCTCCCTCAGATCGTTGCGGTCAACATTAGTAGCAATGATGCGACAGGGAGGGAAGAAAGGGGACAAAAAGCGAGGGAACTGGGCTAATGTTTTTTTCCTAGGTGGTGGTCAACTCTCCGAGAAGGAACTCTCAGCTGCTCTTGTAAACGGGGACTGGACAGCGTTCGACTCGCAGACAGTGCGTATGATGATACGCATGTTCGACAGCGACCGATCCGGCACCATCGGATTCGAGGAATTCTGCGGCCTCTGGTCCTTCCTAGCATCGTGGCGTGCGTTATTCGACCGCTTCGACGCTGACCGCAGTGGTAACATCAGCCTCGACGAATTCAGCAACGCCCTCGTCGCCTTCCGGTATCGCCTCAGCCCCGGATTCGTCGACCTGCTCTTCCGCACATATGATAAGCGAAACGAGGGCGTCATGAGCTTCGATCTCTTTGTCCAGGCGTGCATCAGTCTCAAGCGTATGACGGACGTATTCAAGAAGTACGATGAGGACAGGGATGGGTATATCACGCTAAGCTTCGAGGACTTCCTCGTCGAGATTCTGAAGCAGCTTAAGTAGAGCGAATAAGCAGGCAAGAAACTCGCCGTGAAGAGTAGTTGTATGGACATATGTGGATTTTATATGTGGCTACATACATATATATCCAACCATGATGAGACAGGCATATATGGATGGATGGGCGATCCTAGACGCATCTCTGCGGCAGACCTGGAGTTTACGTACGCACGCACGCTCAGATATAACATAGTGTAAAGAAACGGTTATATGGATGTGAAAGAGCAAGCAAGAGAAAGAGGCAGGATCCATGGATCTTTTTTTTTATAACTATAGTATCATCATCTCTTAGATACCCTGCTCCCTACCTAAAGTACATACGTAGGTACGGTCATTGAAATAGGTAGTTAGTGATAGGGAGAAACAAAGGGAGAATAAATATTGCCTACAGGCGTCTTTGGTTTTTATTTTCTTGCATTTCATATGACTAACCTTGTTAGTACCCATGAATGAATGAGAAAACTTGAAACCTTTTCTAGTTGTCATTTTGGTTTTGGTTTTTTTTCTTTCCCTCTCCGGAACTTTTATTTGTTTTTTCTAGACCCCGAATGAAAAAGGGGATGGAGGGATGGAGGGAGGGGGGTTTGCCTGTAGGTATGTATGTACAGTGGTTCTTTATCATGGATGAACACAAGCAGCAAGAAAGAAAGAAAGTAGAAAAATCAATTCCCAGATAACTACCCAGTAGTTAGTGAGGTGCATGCATGTGTGGGAAGGAGGCAAGGGAGATAGATATAGGCGCCCTAGGTAGACAAGCTAGGGTAGGTAGGTAGGTTAGAGTAAAGACAGATCCATCTAGACTTGGTATCACGTAGCAAAATAAAAATTGCAACCAACAAAAAAACATTTTCAAAAAACAATAAATCCTCCTTTCCCGCCTGCCTTGGGTCAAAAAAAAATACTAGGTATTTGCCAGTCCGATTCCCGATTCCGTGACCCGTTCCCGTTCCCGTTCCCATATCCAATCCACGCCGAGCCCGAAATATCCGTGTATAAATTATAAACAATAAGAAAAATATGGTTGACGAGAAAGAAGGTTTCTTTCTCATCAATGAAGCCGTAAATTGAGTTTCCTCTCTTTCGTAAAATTCGTTGTAGAAGGCACCTTTTGACCACACAGCTCACCCCAACCCTTAGAACGTAGCGGCAGCAGCACTCTTGAACCGCAAAGATAGGCCTGCTCGAAATGACTTCCTCCCTTTGAGCCCAATAGACGAAGACGGATTGGGTACAAGCCTGGGCGTGTTTTGCGGTGTCGACTTCTCTCTATCGCGGGCATTGTTGTTGCTATCGTTATTCTCCCAATGCGCATTCCGGTGTGCATCGGTTGAACACCATACCATGCCCATTCCAGAAATGGTGGCCTCGTCGCCACTGCCGAGACGGAGTATCGAGGTACTTATGGCACTGGCGCTACTGTTGCTGTTGACGCTTTTGCCGCTAAATTGCCGGCTATGCCCGAATTGTTTGGATGAAGTCGTCGTTCCGCGAGTAGGAGGAGGTAGTGGCAGAGGAAGGTCCAAAGCCCCTTCCACTTCCTCGCGCCTCCACCGGCGCGTTCTCAGGAACCCCGTTGCAATGCCACGAACCTCTTTCTCGCCGTCGTGCGCGCTGATCCATACTCGGGCACCGAGACGCGTGGCGATGGCGGCGCCGGCGGGGACGCCCGCGCAGATATTGCCGCCGAACCACCACGGGTTTGTGACGCTATCCATACAATGCAGCAGCGCTGTCAGCGGTAGCGCAGCCTCGGCTACTAGGTGTGATGTGGCATAGGGTGCAAGGTGCTCATAGGAGATACCATGAGGGGAGAAGATAACTGAGAGAGGGCGGGTGATGGCAGTGGTGGTGACAGCGGTGGGGCCGTTGGATGTGGTGGGGCGGCGTAAGGGATGGTGGCCCTGGGAGGTGGAGCGCGGGAAGTACGAATTTAAATTCGGGGATGGAATTAAGGTTGATGTGGATTGTACGGAGCGCAGAGATTGCGGCGAGATGGGCGGCGTAACCGGGGATAGGAGGATGCTTTCGGGTATGGCCAGTGAGGTCCCGGTCACGGTAGAGGCCTGCGTGTTAGGTGGGCTGGGAGTGGCAGGTGGCGTGGGTGGTTTGTACATTGCAGGGGCAATGGTCTTCATATGATATAGGTATTCATGCGTGGGCGGAGGTCGGTACGTGATACCGATCGCGGCATGTAAGCCCGCTATATCGCGCTTCTGCGGTATGAAAGCGACAGTCACCTCACCTGGCTGGCCACCGGGCACGATGGGTGGTACTGGGATGCGTATTACGGACTGCTTGCCCGTCACTCTTGGATCTTCCCATCGCTCTATCGTCCGGATCTTATCCGCATCGAAGTACTTCCAGCTCTTGATTACCCGAGCCGCCGCGGGTTCGGCGAGAATGAGAGTCCTTGTCCCGCTCGCTGGTAACTGCCGTAACGTAGCTTCGTTGCAGTGGTCACTCTTATGCTGACTTATAACGACGAGGTCCGGTTGTGCCGGCAGTTCCGAGAGTGATGAGATGCATGCCGGATGTATATGCGTCGCTATGGATATCTTCGAATGGAAGATCTTAGAGGGGCCAGTTATCCATGGATCAAGAAGTATGGTGAACGGCTGTGGTCTCAGGTGGTCGGCGAGCTCGGGAAGGATGGGCTCCAAGGACAGGAGAAAGGAGGCATCGGAGTTAAGGTGCTTCACAGTTAACGACATTGCGGATGCGATGCCGGTGGACTCGGAAGACTAGCCGCTTATACTCCCTCTTGGGACAAGCGATTATTGACGATCATTGGTAACCAGAAGAAGTAGAAGCAGGTAGGTAGACCTGAGGTTGGGTGGAGGAATGGGCAGACTTTAAAGTGAGACGAGGAGAGGAAGGGCCGGAAAAGAAAGCAAATGACGAAAGCAGCTTGGTACCCTAAGGATCAATGGTCTCAGGCCAGAGCAAAGAAGGGAAAGGCAAAAGAGCTAAAGTGAATGCCCACGAATGAAGGATGAAGCAAGAAATGGGTGTAGGAAGGATTGCGTGAAGGTACGTAGGCTACTATGTAGAAGTAGGTAAGGCCAAGGTAGGTAGGTATGCAATAACATTCGTCGAGAATCTGGATCTTCATGGCTGAAATCGGGAAACGATCGAAGCCCTTGTTAAACAATGATCACCCCATTCGATATTAGATCCGGATAAGTGGAAAAATAAATAGTATGTATGTAATAATAATAATAATAATAATACAATATATGTACCTATATTGGGTAGGTAGGGAGATGGTACTAGGTAGGTAAGCAGCTAGTCTTGTCACTTACGCACACAATAGTGTAGGTACACAGTAGTGTAGGTTACATAAATCTGAAAAAGGATGTTTTGTTCTAGACAATAGACGGCCCGCCATGTTTCACTGACGAACCTTCAATGTTGGGGAAAGTGGACGCGAAGCTGTAAAGGATGTACGTAGATTAGTGTAGTAAAAAGATGCGTGTGTTATGGTAGCCATTGGTAGGACCTACCTAAGGACCTAAGGTACTGCCAAGTTCGTTTTGTATTACGCCGATTAGTTTGAAGCCCGTGCCCCTACCCCAGACCACGCAACCGCGACCACGGGAATGGAGTAGCTAGAATGGAGAAAGAGAAAGCTATTGGTTCCCACCAAAAGAATTCAATGTTAATACAATAAGATGTACATTAGTGTACTAGCGTACCTTATTTATTCCCAGGTACTACATTGTAATAAGCATCCATCTAGTTAATCCATCTAACCTAGGCACATACATAATAACTATGCTTCTTCTTTAAATAGTTGAATTGGTCAATTGCTGCCTACTATCGAAGCCTTCACGACTAACCATTGACATGCCCAGCAAGTTATACTCTGTAAGCCCTAAAAGAGGAAGGAAAAGGAAAAACAAGAATTCAATAATGCCTACCAATTGTACGACTATTCTTCAAGCGAACGAGTCTCGGGAACTCGCATACCATCTTGTCCTACCGGATTCACATTGAAGGACATCACCGCTCTCTGCGTACCTAATGTGCCCACAACCGTAGCACGAACTTGATCGAATTGAATTGAGCTGAATTGAATTTATACGTCATTCTCGAGACTCGAAAGACCACGCTTCATAGCTGAAGAGGAAGCATTCCTAACTGCACATGGAGGCACGAGGAACGATGAAATGTCGTTGCCCTCCACACGTAATCATAGTTTCCATGGCCACCAACGCTTCAATGTTACTGTAGGTAGCGGATAACGATTGGTGTATACCTACCTACCTACATACACAGTAATTAATAGGTATCCATTTCCCTACTGCCTACCTTTAATAATGTAGCTGGAATTGATATGATATAATAGTTACTTGCCGATTGGAGGAACTACTAAACCCGCAAGCATAAGACTGATGGTAGTTTCCAATTGGCTGAAGTCTTCGTCTTACATATTTGATATTTGAATGTTTTCTTTGCTCCTCGCTGATTATTAACTGCATCTCTCGAGGCAATCATATCTTGCATTCTGCCATTCCAAACTGAAATTCGTATGAGATTGTTTGGATGATAGTATGAATAGCAGAGCAAGCAAACAAACATGCCGGGTATTGCACTATCTAGGCATGTAAGCCTTAACGATCGCTCGGGATATGCACAGTTGTGTCTACCCTCTATATTTAGCACTCAAGCTATATCGATTATAGCTTGAGTTTGTCAAGGTTTCGCTGCAGGTATCCATATGGGTGTCTGTTAGGTAGGATTTCTATCATCGCCGACGCCGATGTGACCCTGATCCATTCGAGTCGTCCAGGTTAGTATAGTGTCTTCCGGTCTTTGAATTTTCATGAACCTTTTTGAAGTGTTGTCAGTTGATTGCCAGTACAGACTTGCAATAGTATCGACATCAAACAGACGGAGCCGAGTCAATACTCGGATTATTTACTTTGGTCCCAATCATAAATATTCCCAGGTCTTACTCCAGCAACACAAAGTTGCGAGCTTGGACTAGTTCCTAATGTCAGTATTGTATAGATAGCTTACCCACCTATTACCTATATACGAGGATCACCCTCACGACTGAGGGTGAAGCCAGTGTTCAAGGTATTCACAATTTCATACAACTAATTGTATGTAAGCATAGAAATGTGCAAGGAGCACATTTCATATACCTTGATCGATGAGACACCGTACTGTCTCTCTACCTTATACCCCTCACCATGGTCTGAGACCAGAGAGCATGACGAACAGCGATCGGCTCGTCCCATGTCTTGGATGTGAACGGTTTTACGTCCGACCACGATCGCGAATCTCTGCGTGATCACCCCACACCATCTAGAAGAGCACACTGCGCCTGTCAGTCAATACGAGGCCGTGCCCTACATATTCGGATATATAACTCAAGTTATAGTGTTGTTGGTCATTGCCCGGAGCTCGATGTTGACGCGCCTCCTCCATACGCTAAAGTTGCTTTCAGGTCAGAGGAGCCTATCCATTTCCCTACTTAGCTATATTCATCGAGACCAGCACTGCATTGCAAGGCTTAGAGGTTCCATTTCGGGCCGGATAGCTTCCAGTATATTATTAGTCATCTCGTGTTCGTAGTTCCCATCCCATCTCAACTTAGTGATCCGCACACGGTCGGCCGAAACTCCTAGAGCTACCTAGGTTAGACGATTGAAGACGACCGACGGATCGGATTTATGTTGTGTATTAGGAAGCTCTCTGGCGGGAATTTCCAATGTGTCATGCCCTGGCTATGGGTATATGCAAATGCTTCGGATGCTTGCTCGCATAATGACGATCGTTGAGAGTGGCTTAGTTCGGTATGTGCTTTGGAAACCCAGGGAAAATAACTCTCCCCCCAAGCCCCCTAAAGTGTTAGTTATCACGTGGCTGCACGTGATATCCTGCGTTTACATACAAACGACAAAAGCGTATAGTCGAAAGGAGCACTTTTCGAGTAACTTCAATGTTTGAAAAAGAGAAAAAAAAAGTAAAAAAAAAAAAAGATACAAGAATAAGGTAACTTGCAGTAGTGCGCTTTCTCCACTCAAAGTTGAGCAATCGGTGGTACCAAAGTATGTACGTAAAGTTTCCCTATTTTAGTAGTGCCGCGCCGGCTTTGTAAGGGTCCAAGACCAAGAAATCTGCGCATGCGCTGCGCATTAGGTACGCAGATGTGTCCCTTAATAGAAAAAGTCTCCATTTGTGCGATTCGTATACATACACGAGGCCATCTTATCTACATAACTGCCTACATATATCCCCTTGTGAAGATGCTTATGTATCAACGACAAGGTATGTAGTTATTCATAAATTAAATCAACAAAAAGGTTCAGACGAATGAATTGCCATGTGTCTGCTCAGCCTCTCCGTCCCCGATTATGGCAGCGCTTATACGATCTAGCAAGCTCTACGATTGACCAGAATAGGAGCTTATGATGGTGGTCTTTTATTTCTTTTTTTTCTTTGGCTCTAGAGTCTATACAAGTTGCATGACAAACAAGAGATTGGGTAGCTACTACATCCATGTTCTCTTTCTCCCCATTTTGGTTCATACCCAACCAGGGGGGATCCAGCTCCGTCCCGAATAAAATGTGTCAAATACCATATCCGTAATCAGGAAGCTAACAGCTGCGGTGGGAGCTGATATCTCACGCCTGATGTCATCAGGCTTAAAGGTGCTTGAACTACGTACCGATGGGATCCTATCGCATTTTCGCCGACAGCTCCTCACTCTCGACTGGCGGAGGGAGAAAGGTGATGTGATTGAATGTGGGACAGGCAACCTTGCATCAAGTTGCATGTGGTAAAAAAGAGGGAGCTCTAATGAATGAAACGAAGCCCGTTATGGCTACCCGACAATGTCTCTTTTCTAGCCCCGCCATTCCTCAAAAGCCTCCACACGAACTTTCCCACCTATCGTATCGACACCCCAAGCTCAACTGGGCCAATCCGAGAGCTCTGAAGTCTGGTTGACATTGGAGGGGGGGTGAGCTCAGTCAGTGCGTCCACCTTACCCACATGCAGAACCCCTCGCCCCCCCTCAAGCTTTTACTGCTACTGCAAGCTTGGTTTAGTATATGCATTCAAGTCTCGTGGGAGGCAGCTATGCCCTTGCCTATTGTTCCTACGCTATCTTTTTTGTAATCCATTATTTGAGGACCTACTAACGTATGCTATTAACTAGGTATGACTGGGAATATTGTGTGCTGAGACTCAGAGGCATATAATAATGAATAACAAAGAAGAACCCCTGAGCTTGCTATGTAGCAAAGCTTGCGTCGTCAGATTCCAAACATTGATGTAGCATACTAGGTACATAAGGTACGTGTGTATCTAGGTACCTATGACTAGGTATTGTACAATACATGCCTACCTACATGTAAATCCAGATGTCATATGCCTATCGTGCAGAATCTGAGCATTGATTGAAGCTCTGACAAGTTACATACAACACATATAGCTTGGAAGAAAATACACCCTTTCTGGAGATGACTACTACCGAAAATGTGTTATCATCGGCTCTTTTTATTTATTGCATGTTATTTATTCTCTTTCTACATACATAGCACCTCCGCTCACACAAAAAAAGCACCCGCCCCCAATTTTTTTTCTTCTCAAATAGCCAACCGTAGTAGCCGATCCTCGATCGAGTCAGAAAGGAAGCTGGTTCGGTCGTTAAAGCAAGTGGTAAAAAAGACGGTGGATAAGATAGCAAGCCAATGAAAAGGCTTCTTTTCTCTTTGTCTCCCTCGATTTGACTTGTCGCACAAACTTCAACAGTGCTTGCAGTAGTACCTAGTAGTAAGTATCTAGGTACCTAATACATGGTACTAGGTACATGCCTCTCAGGTGCCATTATGTAGGTACCTACTAGGTAGTAAAGTCAATGCATAGATGATGTAGGTACCTCAATTAGTGCATTACACATGCGTACAAGTATTGATTCTTTCATCAGCACCAGTACATACATACAGTAATCACCTGTCTTTTTTCTCGAATGACCTTGGAAGCTTCAATTTACCCTGTCCGGGAGCTTGCACGTCCAAGTTTCTTTGTTAGATCAATTTTGTCACTTTACCTTTTCATGCTATTTCTTTACTCGTAAAAGGACCTATCTTTTTACACCTGCGTTAGCATATACTAATATATATCGCTGATGCACACATATCTGTGCACACATGCACTTAGAGGAACTTTAGACGCAAAAGGACCTCGGGACGTGGAGGCAAAAAGAGGCAAAAAGGCAGTCTTGAGGTACATATGTCGCTACTGCCGAGTAGGTACCTAGCACATAATACTTGTTACTTCCAAGTTGATACTTCAATGTTGATGTACATATTGTAGTACTGCTATTTGCGTACATACAAGGGCCACATGCAGCTTCATGTGGAGTTGTCAAGTACTATACTGCACCCTGACTTTTTTGTGGCCACTTGCACCTTACCTGCCCTGCCTACCTTTGCTTCCTTGCTACATCCAATACTTGCTACCTCCAGGGCTGCTACCTGCTTGCTGCTTGCTACTATCCTTACTATCCTTACTATCCTACCTACCTACCTAACCTTGTCTACCGAACGAACCTACCTAGACTAAAGCTGGAAATCACTTCCATTACTGCTGCTTTCAGCTACTTACTTTGCCTTAACCTAGTTACCCTACCTAGTTACCTACCTAGTTAACTGTTACCTACCTACCTACCTACATAGTATCTTTTCCTTCCCCTCCCTCTCCCCCAATAAGGCCACCCTCCTGGTAGTCAAACCCTTCAACTCAACTCTTCTTCCATCCAACACCTAACACCTAACACCTACCACCTACCACCTACCAAAGCTTCTTCGAAACACCTCATGTAACACCTCAATAGGAGCTTAGAGCTACCTCGGCAGAGCTACCCATTATATTTCCACACCATATTCGAACTTTATCGAATGGATGAGCTTTCACTTACATAGATTATAACTTAAGATTAACAGTATCGTCAATTGATCGCTATCGGTTCGTGCTTCTTATCGCCAACCTTCGTAATCGATCTTGCGATCTCCCCCCCGCCTTGGAACTCCCGACCAGTAAATGGCGGGGTTGATTAGGTCAAGATGCCGCCTCGATCTTCCTTAACTTCTTCGTTCTCGATAACCGACTCAAATAATGAAGTCGTATGTCCTTTGCGAAATCAGGATGGCTCTAGCTGTCGCAAACGCTGCATTGGTGTAAGTCACATTTGCCTTCATTCATCCATGCCGTTGAGCAAATTGGAAACTCAGCGACGAAGCTTTGGCGGTACATAATTGAGGGAGTTGCGCTGAGTTGTTGCTGCTGTCGCTGTTGCATGACGTACTCGAAACTTGCAAATTGTCTCTCTAACCCATTTGTTCGGATAAACAGGAAAAGAGATATCGTTCCATGCAGGAGCATATTCGACGGGCGCATCCTGAGCATTATATTTCGAAGCTCCCTGCGACCGAAGAGAGCTTTCTACTTATGATTAATACCCCTCCTTCTGATCGATCTCAGCTTCAAAACTCTACCGGTCCGCCCCCAGTAAACCTCGATCCGAGTAGGGGCTACCCGCACGAGCGTCATGCATATCCTCGAGATGGGTCTAGTGCTCCCGGCACTCCGAGGCACAATGACGAGTATAACGGCGGTTCATTACTGCCAGCCGCAAGTGCTGCAGCCGCTCTCGCCCAACTAGGTGGTCAGCATAAGTATGAGAATGAATGGGAAGAAACAGTAAATATGCCATTAACCATAGTGCTCATTGATTGATCATAGCGATGCTGATACTATCATTTACAGGGCTGGCAGTCTGACAATGATGGCCGAAGAATACCTAGGAGCACAATTGAATTACCACCAATACATATAGGACATGATCCAACCAGTGAACCATTTCCTTCCCTGAACTCTGGACCACGTAGAGATTTGCTTCCGTCAATTCTTTCAAATTCTCCGCCGGGACGGTCGTCGACTCTTCCTCCACTTCAGAGATCACTCAATCCTAACCGGCCTAGGAAACAGTCCATTACTAAACGCGGCCACAAAAAGCAAAAATCTAAGGGATCAGCAGCAGACTGGCTCCGCAGAATTCAGAATGACGAGCGTCTCAAGCCCGGAGGGGTTGATCGCAAAGCTCACTCTGTCGAGCCCACAGCCGACTATGGTAAACGGTGGGAAGATCTCATCGATGCCGCAGCCTCGGCTACGGAAGAGGTCGATGAAGATAGGACACCCGTAAGTAGTGCCCGGCACACGTATTTTCCTTCTCTAACCTCTCAGGTCCCCCAATCTCCTATATCAATACACCGAGCCTCTCTACCCCCTTTCCCTCATCAGCACTTTCAAGGCTACCAAGCCTCTCCTCTACAACAAGCTCTTACTCCACCGTCCTTTGCCCAAGAGATTCCAGAACCTTTCCCGTCCGTCGAGAGTGGCGAGAGCGGAGAAAATTTTCACATTGGAGCCTCTGGTCTCTCAGATTCATCGCCAGTTTACTCGTCTCAAGAAGTGCACATTTATTGCGCTGCGTGCCAGAGAACATCCAAGCTCCGCGAATCTTATGCATGTACGGAGTGCATCTGTGGGCTATGTCGAGATTGCGTCAATATCCTCATGGAGGAGCAAGGAGCCCGTCGAAAGTGCCCACGATGTGCTACCATTGGTGGCAGGTTTAAGCCCTTCCAATTGGATATCAGATGAGATATATTGGCTTTATTTACTCCCGGTTCCACTGGCCTAACTCTAGGACACCCTATTCACCCACGGTTCCTGGCATCTATACATTTCCCCTGCCAAGCAACAAAGCAGGTGTAGATAGTACACAATATGCCTACTTATCTAGATATTCTTACAAGCTACCTACACCAGGATCCAATAAGCGCCGGGCCGTGGTCTGATACGGAAGCTAGATTAATAAGTGGACAATCAGAGCACCATTTTGCAGGATCTGAATTCCTCTCCGACGTGCAACAAACGATAGCATAACCCCCCCTTGGGCCCAAATCGCAGAAAACCAAAGACAGCACACATGACGTATAAGACCGGCGTACTTGGGAACCGGGCAATAGAGAGCGTTTGCATTTCATATCTATCATTTTCAACCACCCATTCTTTTTGTTTTTACCCATCTCGGAGCACCATCTATATGGTTGGTCGCGTTTTTGAATATCACGGTTTCTCTAAGACCATCAGGAAGACTTGGTTTGATCGGAGTTATACCAGGGGTTGGGCCACTCGTCACCTTTATATCCCCTTTCCAAATGTCCAACGAGAGGAGTTTTCGCATGATTTGTTTATAGGTTTTGGGATGTCTTTGTCTTTTTCTCCCCCTTTCGTTATTTTTATATTAGCTGCAAGACTCGCGATGACACGCAAGCTGGACGGCCCTTTTTTTTGGTTCATCTTTTTTTATCTCACCCTACATGAGGGTTTATTGTTATGGGCTTTTTTGTTAAGGATCTGGGGACACAACGAAGGTCGAAAGTTGATGGCTTGAAACGAATGTTATAAATAGCAATGTGATCATGAACACTACTACTACTACTACTACTTACTACCTTGGGTACCAACGTTTATATTTATCTGTCCGAATGTTTTGGCTTTTGGCTGTATATAACGGATGAAATTGTAGCAGCATAATTTTACGTTTTTGGGGGTTGAATTTGAACCCAACTAGGGAGTTTGAGGATCGTGATCATTCTAAGGTTAGCTTTTCTTCTGAATGTGTTTACTTACGTACATACCTACCTACCTACCTATGTTGAGCGTAACCTAGTCAGTATGTTCTGTACAGCGAGACCCTTTAGCAGGTAGGTAGGTTTACTGGTATGTAGATTGGCAGTGGTAGTTACATAGGTGATTCATTGTGCTGGATGAAAAGGTCTACTACTACTATTACCTCTTACCTCTTCTCTACAACCACTTCCTTCCATGTGGATTCTTATGTATTACTAGTAATACAGTAGGTAGTTACGGCAAACAGACAGATAGGCTGGCTAGGTAGGTAGTTCGATAAGGTATGTAGGTAGGTAAGGAAATCCCCATACTTGTTTATAATTTATTGTAAGCTAGGTATGTTAGGTATGTAGGTATGTAGGTATGTAGGTATCTGGAACCGCGTATATGTTGTTCCCCAATCTCTTCCTCCCTAACCTGCTAACCTAGGTACATAGGTAACTAATCCCTTGCTCCCCCTCCTTTCCGTCCTTATTCCTACCTAGGTATGGTTTTGGTTTTGTTTTTGTTTTTTTTGGGGGGGGGTCTCCTTATTCGTTTCCGTGTCCATTCATGGTGTGGTGATTTTAATTTTTTGACTCCAGGTCGATATAAAGTAGGTAGGTGGTGTAGTGTGGTGTAGTGTAGTGTAGTGTAGTGTAGTTATGAAAATGGAGATATCGAAAAATGAACAGATGAAGAAATGTTAGAAATGTCGAAACGAACAAATGGACGAAAGAGCGAACATATCCATACCGACCGACCTTGACACACCAGTTCCCACCCACCGTCTCGCCTTGCCGTACCTCTCTCTCACCCTATTTCACTGCCCTACCCCGGTCCCATTCCATAGCCCCAAGTTCGACTAATGTAGTTCAGTCCTGTCCAGTCCATCCTATCCATCCACCCATCCACCCACCAATCAATCGTCAAACCTCGATCCTCAGTTCTCACTTCATCTCGCCTTCTTAGCCTCCTTCGCCTTCTCAAGCAAGATATTGCGCATCGCAGCGCGGACGTTGCGACTGCCGCCGAGCTTGGGGCCCCTGAGGATATCCTCGTCCTTGGCGCCTCCGGCCGCACCTCCCTTGCCGCCGGGGGGTGCGGGGGGCGCGTTGGAGGGCTTCTTGCGCTTCTTCTGGCGCTCAGCCATGGCGTCCATGAACTCGCGCCGGAACTCCTCGGCGATGCGGTCGTCGGCGGCGGCGCCGGATGCGGTGCCGTCGGGACCGTTTTTGGCGGAGCCTGAGGCGAGGGATTGGGTGGGCGGGGCGGGGGCTTCGTAGACGTCTACTATTGGGTGTGGGTTAGTTGGTTGGTTCATTGGCCGTAGGAGGTAGAGAGTGGATGAGATTCAATAATGAAGAGACAGAAAAGTAAAAGTAAAAGGGAAAGGGGTTAACTTACGTCTATTTTCGCGTAGTATCTCCTCGACTAACTTGTCCCTCTTGATATCATCGCTAGTCCGCCTGTTTCGCGGGCGCCAGGGCTTGCCGTCCTTGCCGAGACGGACTTTAGTCGGACGGGCATTCTGCTGCTCCTCGTCCTCGACCGCTTCGCCTTGTAGCCTGCGTCGGGCGCGCTCCGTCAGCGCTTCGTTGCGACTGCGCGCCTCGTCGCCGAGGTCGATCTCCATAAGCTGTCCCTGCAGGGCTCTGTTGCGTTGTTCGATTCTAGGCGCCGTCACTTTCGGGATTATTCCTGCTATTTCCGTGAAACGAGACTCTTGGTTAGGCGAATGGCCTTGTGCGGTGCCAGCACCGGCTTGTCTCGAAGAGGAGGAGGAGATGGCGGTAGCGTTGTGTCGCCTGGCCAATTCGGCTTCTATGTATTCCTCCCTTGCTCCATCAGCAGCTGCGCAATAGCGACACGAGGTTTGCATGATATGATAGTATTACGAGGTAGGGGAGGAAGGAGGGGAGACTCACATATGCTTGTTCACAAGCTCTGTCGCAAGCCCCGTCTGCGCCGCGAAGCGTTGCTTGACACCGGCCGCAATGTCCATGGCCTTGCCCTCTTCCTCGCGAATCATCAGGGTTAGCTCATCGAGGCCTTCGCCCCCTTCAAAGGAAGTACCGGCGTCACCCGAGCTATGGGTATTTCCCGCGCCGAACTTGACGCCGCCCAGTCGGGATTTTCGCGCATTTCGCAGACGGAGAACTTCGGCAACGGACAAACCCTTCTCTTCCTCTTCCTCGGCAACGGCACTCTCGCTCTGATTTGGCGTGGTCACTTCGAGAGTCGCGGGGGCGTTAAACGTGGTCGCAGCAGATTCGGATGACGGTGCTTCGGTGGATTTAGTTGTTGCTTCATCGTCGTCGGCGCCTATGGGTTCTGCCCGCTGCCTGTACATCTTTCTCTTTTTCCCGCGGAAGACGATTTGTGGCTCCGAAGTCGCCTCTGATATTGCGGCAGCATCCATTATGATCAATTCGGATACGCCACTAGATGGATTGTATCTCGAATTGAATATAGATGGAATTGTCGCGTGGATTGGATGTTGTACGCTGTAGACAGCACGATATATTGAAAAATATGTGTAATGTGTAAGATGGAAAGTCAGTTCAGCTTTCAGGTGCGACGCATTTCCAAAAGTTCCGAGACAATCTTAACGCCATTTGGAATTACCCGATGATCCGCCGCCTATCGCTTTTTATGACCAATCCGATGCCAATCCGATACCGATAACTAATCTTCTGCATAACTATCTCGTTGCGCTCAAAGCTATGAGCTTAGTTGCTTAGGTACCTATAGTGCCCTGCAAACGCACCCTACATTGCCTACATCCAATACATCCTACACTCAACATGTCGCAAAGAGTAGGTTGATAGTATGAATTATATACTTATTTATAGCCTCGTCATTTGCCAAAGTACCTAACTAATAAAACCTCAGGTCTACTTCCTCGTTCACGGGCGAGTCCAAGGTATACATGGCACCTATAACTATAAGCTATCTGACTTTAGCATCTTCAGGAATACTGACGTCACAACCAACCAGGCGTGAGCTACCGCTACTTCGCGCATAAGAAGGCAGCCGAGCACAATGTGACTGGCTGGTGTCGAAATACTGAGAACGGGAAGGTAAGCTCAGTCACTATTCATTCATCTACCCATCCACACCCCTTATCTCTATAACCTTTGCCTTACCCTCACACCATCTATCCAGGTCGAAGGCGAGGCGCAGGGCGACGAGGACGCCCTCAAGTCCTTCCTTAAGGACCTCGATAAAGGCCCGACGCACGCCCACGTCGTGAGATTGGACAAAGAATCCCGCGACGTCCAGGAAGGGGAGGCTAGTTTCGAGGTGCGAAGATAGATTCGCTAGCTCGCTGAGTAAGTGCATGGTGTTCAACCAATATGTATTAGAAGTTACCGAAAACGATAACCAGTGGTATCCTAAAAAAAATCCTCAACAAGCTTTCAAAACCCCCTTCCTTTCCTCTTCATAACGGGTTTCTTGACCGCACCCGACGTGACGATCTTCTTTTCCCCCTTTTGCACCACGGGCTTTTTGGATGCCTTCTCTTCCTCTTGTTTCTTCTGATCCTCGTACCTTTGTTTGTCCTCCGCCATCTTTGCTTCAATCTCCATCTTCCGATTAAACTCGGTCTCCGTGATCCGCTTTTCTCGAGCCGAGTATCCCTTTTCTTTTATGGAGTAGAACACGCCTCCCAACTCCGCCAGCCAGTGAGGGTCGACAGATGTAACGGTTGACATGTATTCTTTCGATGTGAGAATGAGCTCATGATAGATAACGTAATCGGGTAGAAAGCCGAGACCGTAAAGGGCACTCGTGGGATGGAGCTGCACAGTAACTGACGTGCGCAAATTGATGTATTCTCCAATGCCCTTGACCTTGGCTGCCTGATGGTAGTATCCAGAACAGATGCATTTTCGAATGATATCCCAATCCGTACCGCAACTGATCATCTGCATCTTTTGCATCTTCATGATATCGAGCAGCTGATCCCTGATCTCCTTGGCCCTACGGAGGGACTTTGGGTGCAAGAAATGGCGGGTGCACCAACCGTCCGAGTAGCCATTGGTCTTCCACTGAGAGTACACGTGAAGATAGGTTAGGTGGTCCGATTCGGGAACGAAGAATTTCTCGCGCGCAGCATCAGACTCTTCTTGACGCTCTTTCGGGCGGTAAAAAACATTGGGAACAGACAGCATGGAGACAATAGTTACCATCTCCTCGCTACAGCCATACTCTTCAGACATGATCAAAAGCTTCGCAAGAGATGGGTCCATAGGGAAGGCATTCATCTTAGAACCAAGATCTGTCAGCTCTCCCAAATTATCCAACGCACCCAATGCCCAGAGGTCGAAAAGGGAGGTAGTGATGGTATCTTGCGGCGGCGGGTCCATAAAATCGAAATCGAGCAAGTCTCGGACGCCGAGTGACTTGAGTAAGAGCACCGTATTGCTGAGATTCGTCCTTTGAATTTCAGGTATCGTCTGAATATACAGTTCATCTTTGTAGGCTTTCTCGGTATATAGGCGGTACGCCTTTCCAGGACCTGTTCGACCGGCACGGCCTGCACGCTGACCCGAATTTGCCTGGGATATTGGCGTGATTTGTAGCGTGTCCATGCCCATTCGAGGATTATACACCTTGAGTTTGGAGTACCCTGCATCTACCACATACATGATACCGTCCACCGTTAGACTCGTTTCCGCGATATTTGTGGCCACGATACATTTACGCACACCAGGTGCCGCCCGATCGAAGATTTTGGCTTGTAGGTCTGCTGGCATTTGACTGTAGATCGGGAGAATGCTGAGCTTCGGTGGATCATTTAGGGCATCTAGCCGTTCTCGCACGAGTTCGCAAGTACATTCGATATCTTCCTGGCCTGTCATGAACACCAATATATCACCAGCACCCATTGACACGTGAATCGCAAGCACCTGCTGAACGGCTTGGTCGACATAATCTTCGACTGGTGAACGATGAAACATGATATCGACGGGGAAAGTTCGACCTGGAATAGTGAACTCGGGCGCGCCACCAAAGAAATCCGAGAACCGCTTCGAATTCATGGTGGCCGACGTAACGATTAGCTTGAGATCTCTCCGACGCTGTAATATCTTGTTGAAGAGCCCCATCAGCACATCCGTATTCAGAGCTCGTTCGTGGGCTTCGTCCATGATTACGCATGAGTAGCGGTCCAAATCTCGTTCGTTAAGCGATTCTCGAAGCAGAACACCATCAGTCATATATTTGATGACAGTGTCTTTACTGGTGCAGTCCTCGAAACGGATGGCATAACCAACTGTACTGCCCAGTTTTACCTCCATCTCCTCAGCCACACGCTTTGCTACGCTCATGGCTGCAACTCGTCGAGGCTGAGTGCAACCGATCATGCCTGTTTTTCCGTAACCGTCTTCGTATAGGAATTGCGTTAACTGTGTCGTCTTGCCCGAGCCCGTCTCGCCAACTACGATAACAACTTGGTTGTCCCTGATGACCCTCAGTAGATCTTCGCGCACTGCAAATGCAGGAAGAAACTCCCTCTGCTCCCTCAAGGACTTGCTCTGACTGAAATCACTTGCGCCATCATTCTTTTTCATGTGCTCACTGAATTTGTTATTGCCAGATTTCGAGGCGTCTTCTTCCGTCGCAATTGGGAGGGCACTGTCGCCCTCATCTTCTTTCACACCCATGAGATTTCCCAGTGCAGTGCCCGCCATATTGGTGGATTCTTTTGCCTGACGCTGACGCTCTCTTTGCTGTCTCCTTTCCCTTACCACGCGACTACCTTTGCGACTAAATACGGCCATATCACTCTGGTAATCTCTAACGGCGGGTACAGGCTCCAACTGCTTGGTGAATACCGTTCGTCCATCTAAAAATGGTGGCTTTAGATCGTGAATTAGTAAATGAATACGAGTACCCTCATTTTCATCTTCAAAATCATCTCCTAAACCCCGACGTTGAGCAACACCGGATGTGAGCATGCGGTTAGTCTCCCAGGCATCATTGTCCTTCTGTCTTTGCAATTGACGGGCGTTCATGTGCCTTCCAGCCTTTTTCTCGACTAGGTCGGCCTCCCGTTGCTGCTGCTCAACCCATGAAGTATCGTATGATCCAAAGGGGTTATGGGAATCATCGCCAAACGTATGACCACCAGTCTCATCGCCGGCATACCAGTCGCGGTCAAGGGCGGTTTGTTCTTCCAAGCTCACATCCGGTTCTGGGACATCGAATTCGGTTTGTTTAGGTGTCGGGGGATAGGCAGATTGGCCGCGAGGGGTGGAGGCACGCGAGTTAGATGCATGATTGAAGCGGTTGCTAGGGCGAGATGAAGGATGAGTACGATTTGGAAGAGACGAATACCGGTCGTCAGAGCGAAGAGGATTGAAATCAAGTTTCCGCCTCTTGGGGCTAAAATTCCCTTCTTCTCTGTCCATTTCTTTTTTTTTTTATTGTTCAAGCGTATTGCCCTTCAAGACCGGGAAGGCGATTTTAGTAAATAAAATAGAAAAAAACGGTAGATGCAAGTTCACCGCGCAGCAGAAGAAAACAGTTTAAAGCTTGGCGCATCCTCGTGGTCCACTTAAATGCTACGTACATACCTAGTAGGTATGTACCTAGGTATGTAGTACATAGTTACAGCCAGTTGACCCCCACTACCAGAGCTACGGAGCAATCGATAAGAGCCCCGCTAAAATTTTGAATTGGACTGAATTTTTGCGAAATGGAAAAGTTCGCGGGGTTCTTCATCTACATTGACAAGATATTGTCGCTAATAGTCAACAATGTCGTCTATGATTACCACTTCCGCTTGGGTGCCTCGAGGGTTCGCGGCCCCATTTCCGGCAAAGTATGATTTTGACGAGGCAGAATTCGACAGGATAGCCAGCTTGGCCAAGCTACAGCTCGACGACGCAAACGAAGACCTAGAAGAAGCGCAAGGAGAGCAAGAGGAGAATGAGGATGGCCAAAACGAACAGGAGGATATAGATATTGATGGTAAACCCTCGGATAAGAACGGCGAAACCGGAGAGTATGTTCGCATTTTCTTTTACTTTTTGTTTTTTTTTACCCATTTGTTGCTTCCGACTACCTGCTAATATCTTCTAAAAGCATTGATCTAGATGACGCAGATCTCAAGGAGTACGATCTGGAACACTACGACGATGACGAAGAAGTCGAGGGTCAAAGGATGGATATGTTTGGAAACATAAAATCTCTAGCATACTACGAATCCAATAAAGAGGACCCATACATCACCATACCCGAAGGTGAGGATCATGACGACGATGAGGACAGAGAAGAACTGCAAATATTAGCCACCGACAACCTTCTATTGGCTGCTAAGGTGGAGGATGAGCTTGCGCATCTCGAAGTCTACGTTTATGAGGATGAGGCAGACAATCTCTACGTTCACCACGATATTATGCTTCCTGCGATACCACTTTGCGTCGAATGGCTAGATATCCCCGTGTCAAAGAACAATGTGGAGAAGGACTCGACAGCCAACTTCGTCGCGATAGGCACAATGGACCCCGATATCGAAATATGGGACTTAGACACCATAGATTGCATGTATCCGAACGCGATCTTGGGCCAAGGAAGAAACCCTGAAGAAGAGGAAAGGAGAAAGAAGAAGAAGAAGAAGACCAAGAAGGCAAATGATGAGTACCATGTGGATGCAGTTCTATCGCTTGCTGCCAATAGAAAACACCGAAACCTCTTGGCCTCTGCTTCAGCGGATAAGACAGTGAAGCTATGGGACTTGCACACGACCAAGTGTGCCAAGTCATATTCGTATCATACGGACAAGGTTTGCTCGCTGGCGTGGCATCCGATCGAATCAACCGTGCTGTTGAGTGGTAGCTACGACCGAACTATCGTTGCGGCAGACATGCGAGCACCCGAAGCTAAGGCACCACGGTGGGGAGTGGAAAGCGACGTCGAGAACGTTAGATGGGATCCGCACGACCCCAACTTCTTCTTTGTATCAACGGAGAATGGAATAATACATTACCATGATATCCGCAATGCACCGTCTAACCCCTCAGCAAGCAAACCTGTTTGGACGCTACAAGCCCACGACGAGTCTCTATCAGCCTTCGACATCAACGCTCACATACCCGGATACATGGCTACTGGCTCAACCGACAAGACCGTCAAGCTCTGGAACATTCAACCAACCGGTCCCGCCATGGTGGTTTCCCGCAATTTGGACGTCGGGAAGGTGTTCTCGACAAACTTTGCTCCGGATGCCGAGGTGGCTTTCCGACTTGCTGTGGCTGGAAGTAAAGGAACGATGCATGTTTGGGACACTAGCACAAACGGGGCAGTGCGCCAAGCCTTCGCACACAAGATTTCCAATGCCAACGCCTCAGAGGAGACAATTAGAGAGAGGCTTATCGGCATTGAGGATGACGAGAGCGCATCAGATTCTGAGGGAGGCGAGGACGGTGATGAAAACGGCGAGCCAGAATCTATGGATGAGGACTAAAGATGGTTCATGAAGCTGACGGCTTTGGTGTCTCGGGGGTAGATGGCCCATCTGGTCGACCGGTCTTAGGAATGCTGGCTCTGTTGTTTCACGACTGGATTAGGCATGTTTCTAGTTTCACGACGACTTGGGACGAGCCACTAGATATGTAGCTACGGGCAACATACATAGGGGCGATTTATTTATATAACTGAGTTGAAACTAGAAGGCTTGGGTGGCTTCGCAAACTTCGACAGCCACCTTTCTCAATACTACATGATATGTAGTTGCGTACGTAGCTGATAGGCATACAAAGATACTGGAGGTTTGAATTGCTTACCGAAGCCTGACAATCCGGGCCAACTTAGGCTACACGCCGATGCACTGTTCGAATTCGTTTATTTATGACTTTTCGATTCTATGTACGATTCTTCGATTCTTCGATTCTTCGATCATATTTGATTGGTTACCGGCAACAGCGAAATTCGTACAATGCGATTGATCAATTGACGAGGCCTAACATACCAATGTACCTCCTTTATTTGACATAACTAAGGTTAGTAGGCTGTAGCTAAACCATCCCTCCTCCCTCCCCCCCTTGTCAATTAATCAAATTGAGGGAGACACATGGGCAAGCAAGCCATGCGAAACAGCGACTAAGGTGTGTGTGTACCTGACCTATGTATGTACCTACCTAGGTAAGCAACAAGTGACAGCTCCCTTTTTGTAAATACCAAAAAGAATATAATTGATACCTAACTACATGTAGTTACATATTACAGAACTCCCTCGACAGTGTTGTTTCGTAGTTTGCTAATGGAGGGAGTGAATACTTAAACACGCCCCAACAACAGACTTACACAGGAGACAAAAGGAGGGAGCTATGTACATCGGCATGTAGGTATTGTGATTCGTGAGTCGTGATAAACCAACAATACACCGAAGCAAACACGGTCGGTAAAGGGAGTAGCAGCCAAGCATACCTACATAGTACTAGATAGAGAGCAAGGTGAGAGAGACTACACTAACTAGAGGGCTGCACTACCTACCTAGGTAGGCTAGGTACTTTCATATAATAATAAGTACATACTACTAGTAATACACATGGCAACTATCAGTAGTGCAATACAGATTACATACAATACAATTGATCTTCCCGGTGGGGCCGGAGGATCAAAAGCTTAATGATCTAGCGCGCGGATGATCAGGAGAGGAGGAGCGGAATGGAGTATGGTGTAGAGGATGATGACGACGACGACGACGATGACGGCGACCTCTTCTTTGAGAAGCCGACCGCCCGGCCGCCCGGCAATTACAAAAGGGTGAACAGAGAAAGAAAAGGGGAGGGGTAAGACATCTGGGCTGCTGCTACTACATAGTCATAGTAACTAAGTTGCTTTTGTGTCTGTCTGGAGAGAAAGGCTTGAGCGATGAAACACTCGAGCAGCCACGGCCAATGGGGGGGGGATGTGGTGTGGGCGGTTGGCCGAACAAATGCCCAATGAATTGACGGCTTTCCACAGCGCGGATGATGTGCCTTGCATGGAAGTCACAGTAGAATAAGAAAAGCAATCGCGAGTTTCAAGATGTGGGCTTTCCTCAAAAGGGGCATAGCTTACTCACTCACTCACTCTCAACTTTAATGTGAAGGTTGTGTGTGCCGTGCCATCCAAAGGGCAAGGGCAAGGGCGAGGGCGCGGGCGCGGGTCATGGGGGGTATGTAACTAAGTGGTCTCAAGGCTTAAAGTGGTACCTAGATAGGTAGGTCTGCACTACACTAGCAAGCCCTAGTTAGCCTACCCTAGGTGAGTTTTAGGTCTTTCTCCACCGGCGCCATGAACGTCTTGCGGTCCGACTCCTTATGTACACTAACCTTACACTAATCTCAGTGGATTCATGACGAGCGATCTGATCCATGTCAGGTGCGGGAGGGGGCACAAATGGTAAAGGAAGGCCTAGGGTTCTGGGCTTGGTTAGTAAATTGCGTAAAATGCAACAGCAGCAACCGTTGTTCAAGTTGTTCAAGCGCATTGAAAATCTGGTACATTATGGGAAAAAGAGGGTCTTGCTGCTTTGCAAGTTGCATCCGATTCAACTTTTTTTTTTTCTATTTTGAGAACATTATGTAAGTAATATTTACTTAATACTACTTACCCTGGATGGATGCTTGGTTCCGGTTCTCGTTCGCATTTTCGTTATTTAAATTCGTTCACTTCTTCCCAGTTGTAAATCATCGTCAAAAGAGCGGCCACGTAAAAGCATGTAATTAAAACACCTGCAGGAACGGGATGAGTTGTGCATTACATAGTTAGATAAGTAAGTCATCAATGGTGTATGTATGTATGTGTGTAGTATGCAGGATGTTATGTTTTCCTGACCCCCTTTCAGAATTGTTTGTCCTGATCCTACTGGCTTACGCTGTGTTGGTACCTGCATGTGGTGGGCGATAATCTTTGCTCGACGTGGCGTGGACGGTTGGACGTCGGGAGACCGTTTACTGGGATGGTCCTGGCAAATGAAAAGCAAGAAACAACTCGCTAAAGCATGTGCTCAAGGAGCCTGCGCACCTGATTCGGCAGCCCGCCGCCTGCCGAGCCTTTTAGGTCCAGGGGTAAACGGGCATCGTCAGCCAATCCACTGCAAGTCTGCCAATATAGATTCACCTGGCTGGGTTCCCCGTTTTGCGCTAACTTCGCAAACTACCCTTGAATCTTGATAGGTAGTAGTTGACTCTAGTTAGTACTGATGTCTCTTAGTTAGCAGCGTGAAAACTCACTTTTTCAAGTCAACTGAGTTCTTCAATGTGTTCTTCAGCGCCACAGTCGATCGACTTGTCTTTCCCTAGTTTGCCTACCTACCTAGGCGGCTAACAAGTTAAGAGGTTCTAGACATCTTAGTCAACTTTGACATAGACATAAAAGAGGGAGCCCTATTATAACAAAGAAGTCGACAAAGAAAGGGCACATTTGAAGTCAGCAAAGAAGACATTACATAGACCTTCCTTGTTACATCCATAGACAGCAAATCACTGCATACATGTAGTACTTGCTGTAGGTACTGGCTTAGAATATGTACAAACGTTGAAGTGACAACTGTATAGAATTTACAATTGGATATGCCGGTCTTATTGGTACCTACGACCCTGCATTTACTTCTTGTACTGAAATTCCCGACTCCCTGTAAGTTTCCCTGCAGGTGGAGACACAGGTGGGATTGGGCTCTTTTTCCCAGGTAGGGCTTTCCCCATGGATGTCTACACTGACTCTACAGACTCTACACTACTAGGTACCTACATACACGCTACACAGGGTAGTTATTCTTTTGTCTTTTTTTTCTTTTTTTCTTTTTTTCTTTCTCGCCTACCTACCCAGTCCAGTCCAGTCCCGAACCATGACACCCCCCCTTGATGGATGTGCCTTATTATTACCGTTGTCGCGTTCCTTTTCATCAATGTGCTTTGCACTCCTTCACTTTTCCACTCTTTCAATCTATTTCCCCATTTTGCTGGGTTAGGTCTTCCCCTTCACTCATTATCATTCTCTGAGCCCTTCAGACTCGTCGCCGGTCTCGAATTAACAAGTCTCTTTGGGGTTATCAAAAAATCCCGTCCTTCCTTTCTGCAACAACTTTGATGAAGAAGATATTTTACAGATCTTCACATATCGATCCTTGACCACATCAGGAACCTGGTTGTTTCACTGTTTCGTTCTAGTACATACGACTCTTTAACCCAAAAACTGCAAATCAACTTTGGAAAGTCATATGATATAAACCATCTCTCATTTTGAACTGGTAGCTACACATTTTAGCTACATATTATTATTCACGACCCACAGTGAATATATATTCCACCAGAAGACTACCAAAAAGTTCAACGGACCAGCAAATTCAAGGCATCTTATGAGAGTTTGATGCCATACCTCGACAAACCTTGGGTAAACTGGAGAACTTGACTATTACCTATAGGTTGTCACACATTTCACTTCACCACTTCGTTGCGGTGTCCCGATAACCAATTAGGTCATCGTTTATTCCACCACAACTTTCATTTAGGAATTCCGAAGAATCATTGATTGGGAACTCCGGAAAGCCAGGCGCCAATTCTTCCGCACACCCACACTGTCTACCCACCTTGTAGGTAGATAACAAACGGTCTGGTGTTCGCAATAGCAACCTGCAACCTTACATTCACAGCTCGAACTTGATTCGGCTACTTCTTACACTACTCGGCCATTTGACGTAACGATACACCTGGACTAAGAGAGGGAACCCCGCGATCTCATAGGATCCTATCAGCTTGTTTCGGCAGAACCAACCATACTGTTTACCTGCCTAATTGGGGTAACATTCTGCGCTACACGGATTTCTGTCAAGCGCTTCCCAAAGCGGCATCTGGACCATATCGGAGAGACAAGCTATAGTGTGCTGCTGTCACTCTAGCCCTTCGCGCAATTTATGGTTGTCACATTACCCGACTTCGTTCAACCGTCATCTCTAGCCACGAGTTTTGGGTGTTTTACCCACTTGTCAACCCACCCCCCTTCAAGGTTTGGTGCTTGAAACCAGATTCACGCAGTTCGGAGAAAGTGGAAGGCGATAGGGGCACGATTTTCAGCTCTCACTGGAGCATCTTGTCAGCCGGATTCCCGCGCAGGTGACACAACTTAAATCCGAACAGGCCGGACTAGGCTTTCCAAGCGTTTCGCTTCATATTCTGGAAGATTTCCAGGTTCGAACTACAACATCCAGCTTTTGCATCTTCTAAAAAAGCTACTGGATACCCATAGTCAAGATGTCTCTAGCTCGCGCCTTCACGACAAGGCGAAAGCAGTCGTCGCAGGATCTAGGCACGCTGCCACAACGAAGCAATACTACCACTAAGGGTTCGACTGGCGCAATTCGTAGCAAGATCTCCGGCCCCATGGCTCTTACACACACAACCAACATGCTTGCATACAATGCGCCCGATCTATTCCCTCGTTCCGAGGCCTCACCTACAGAGTCTAGCAAATCCGAAGATGACTCTTCTGATAGCCCTCGCACCAGCGCATCTACACCACCAACGAGTCCTGATATCCCGTCAGCTACTGGCCGATCTGGTTCGCCTGAGCCCAACCACCTATCATGCTACTTCGTTGCGCCAAATTCAAAGTTACCTTCGAACACGAACGAGGCACCAAGTATTCCCAGACGGGCACCATCGCATACTAAGAAGGCGTCTCTGGACAATCTAGCAAACAAGTTTGCACGTCTTTCTAACCAATCTGGCAAATCGGTTTCCACCAAGGGGAGCTTTTCTCTCTCGCGGTCATCATCAACCTCGACGACAGCCACGACTATCTCGACAATCTCAGCACCACGAAAGGGTTCCATTAGTAGTCCAACCCCCGTGCATGTCATGCATACTATACCCGCCGTGCCGGTTTTATCTCCCACATCACCACCCCCGGCACGTCGACCTAGTTTCCGTCGAGACTATTCCGAGAGTCAACATCCGTTCGGGCATGAGCTAGCGCAAGTATCAGAGCTTGCCGAAGAGCTGGGTGTTAAGGACAAGATGGATGTCATTGACGAGGAGGAGCAGCACCTGATTTCGCAAGGCCTCTGCCGATTTCGACCCGAGGAATACTTGGCCGAAGTTCAAGGGCTTTTCGCCACCTTCTTCACGCCTCAGCCTGCCAAGATACAACAACCAGTATGGATTTAAAATGGCACCTGAGTCGAACTTCACCCAAACTCTCCTTGCCGGAGATTGGGCGCGTATTTTTTATGGCATTCAATGTACATATTTGAACGGCTGACTCGAGTCTACGCACCACCGCACCAACCCACTCGAGAGAATGGAGGGCCAGGTATAGGGGACTTTTACTATCAGATTATGAATTCAGTGCACGAGGAGTTTGGTTTGCTATTCCACCCAAGGCCGGTTTGAAAGAGGAAGGACCGAGGCGTTTGAGAAGGGGTTTGCGGTTTGTGGTTCGCGGCTTAATACCCAACATCTTGGCACCTGACCCCCGTCGGTCATTTCTTCTGTTATTTTGGGAGGTGGACGAGTGGAAGTAGGGTATCGTCTATGAGTCGACTCTAGACTACCTAGGCTAGTAAACAAATACACAGGTGTATCTCAAATGTCGACGTTGACGATCGCCTGTGCGGTTCTATGAGTTAGTTTTACATAGTCTAACACGATGATGAACCAAAAGTTCACTAAGTACGCATGCATGTCCAATATGAGAATGTCTTTTCATGAAATTTTTTTTTTTGGTGGTTGGTTCGTGATGGTACGCTGATATATGCGACTACCTATACTATTACTAGATAAGTACGAACCATGAGAAATGTAACTATCGTCATTGTCAATACTGTAAGCAAGAGGTCTATAGATTTTGACAATATACAACCCAAGGCAATATCAGGCTTATTGTGACTTTGCCGTGGGTAATGTAAGTCTTGTCTCTACACAGGCTATATTTACCACGTGTAATATTCTCGACAAGATGCCTATAGCATACATCGCCATCATCACGCATAAGGTAAGTAGTTTCATAGATAGGTATTACCCCACATGCCCAATTCCCTTGTAGGTAGGTAAATAGGGTATCACCCCTCTTTTGCTGCAGAGTTGCATCTCCATGATAAGAGCTCTAGCCTATCTACATACCTACCCAATGTACGCAAGTCCCCCTTTTTTAGGCATAGCATAACATCATGCAATGTGTAATGTACAGTAGGTATCCAAAAGAATATTAGTCATTCGTGGATTATATGGATGGTGAGTTGAGGGACATGATAGCCAATGTACTGTAGGTAAGTTAGGTAGGTAACCTTCCAGACGTTTTCTCGGTCTCGCATATGCTAACCTAGGTAGGTACTGTAGGTAGGCATGTATGTACATCATTATGTATCCACGAAAAAATTACCTAGTACGAAGTAAACACTTGACCCAAATCCGCACTTCCCGCTTGCTACATACTGCTATTACCGCAACTGACTGCTGACGACAATGACGAAGATCTTGTCACCAGGGTACCTACCGAAGGATGGATTGCTGTTCTGTAAGCTTCGGTGTTATTGCGACCTACCTACCTAACCTTAGTTAAAAAAAAAAGCCTAGGCATGACTTAGGTAGCGCCGATGTTTCCGAGCGCTCGGCACTACGGGGTCGAACGAACGAACGAACGCTGGACGGATGGACGGACGGGCTAACTTGAGTTTATCACCGACATGGACTGATCTACCTACCTACATACCCAGCAGCCCCAGCTACACACTGTCAATGTCATATGTACCTACCTGCATACTTTACCTACATGTAGGGTTTGTCGCTAGAAGCTTACGAATCCTTTTTCTTTCTTTCGGCTTTTCTGGAAGTGAGCATAGAATACCACTAACCTTAGAACATTCGAAGATTATTTAAGTGGTTTAGGGACACACATTTCGAAGTTCCAGCAATCGGGGTTTGACAGCTTATGGCCCACTTTTTGGGGATTTTGGGAGATGCCCAATGATGGATGTATTAGGAGGGGCAGTACTGTAAGTACTAAGTAGATGTAACTTCAACTACTTTTGTAGTAGGTATCGTACTGTAGGCCCTTAAGCTGCGGGCGGTCGCAGGTGAGGGTCATAAGGGTTCGTCGCGGCGGAATAACTACTGGGAATATAACCTAACCTAGTATCTGCCTATTGGTGCAATAAAATGCAAGACTTCTCAGCAACTAACTGCTGCTGTCGTGTGACTCCGGTCCGTCCGTGTGCGTACATACCTAAAAGTAACCAACCGCACGAGGAGGGTAGGTAGTTGGTGGATGACAGACATGTGAGTTATAATCCTTCCCTCCCCCTTCCTTCTATTTGCTATAGTACGTACATAGATGGTATAGGTAGGTAAAAGGTAGGTAGGTAGGTAGATAGTGTTGGGTTGGGAAGTTTATATATATTAGACTCATATATATTAGATTCACGTGCATGTTTTGGGATTTGGTTAAAGGGTTGGAGGTTAGGGGTATGAGGTGAGGTGATGAGGTGATATATTTGAGAAGGCTGATAGTTATTGGTGTATAAATAGGTTTTTTATTTGAATATGACAATCAATAGTAACCTACGCTAGTAGATATGCTTAAATGTAACAAATGCTACGAATAGTTATATAAACTTTGGATACATAGTACATACCCACTGTAACAGTGGAGAGAGATCGTCATCTAAGTTTGATGCAACCACTAAAATTAGCAACTACAAGATTGAATTAAGCCACTAACCCCCTAATTAACATACTTTATGTGCATTCTTCTTTTTTTTAGCGTATCTTGGATCCAATCTTTAATTCCTGTCCAAGTTTCACCTTCTTTCCTTTTAAGTAAATGTTGTTCGGTATCTTTTCTTAGTCGAGACAATCACAACAACCAACATCAACAGCCAACAAGTCGAAGCCGAGAACGAAAACGAGAACGAGCACAAGAACGACACCGCTATACCGCATGACGAAGAGTAACGGACTTCCGGTTCGTCGTACAATATCAGACGTATCTACCTAGGCACCTAGACATATACCCAAGTACGCACACTGCATAATTACCTAGGTTAGACAGACAGGAGTACACAGCATAGTACGAGTAGCATGTACCACGACGCATAGGTGCTAAAATCGTAACCATCCGAAACCAATCGATTAAGAGATTCCATATCGATGGTACCTCCCTTAGCTGCGAATCGAAGCAAATGCTGCGCTTGCCCGCGCTCTTTCGCCTGCCCTCGAAGCTGCGGCGCCGGGCCAGGCGTCGGAGGATGAATACCCTTATGTTCCTACTACTTGTGCTTTTGCTGCTCCTCGTTCCTTTCTACGTTGTGTACAAACCCCCGCGGGCCCTCATATCCTATTTTGCCCACCGCTGGCCCGACGTGTTATGGGAAGTCCAAACCGACAAGAAGATTGTCGCCCTCACCATCGACGACGCCCCCTCCGAACACACTCAGGAGATCTTGGGCGTTCTCAACGGCCATGAAGCCACAGCTACATTCTTCGTCATAGGCGGCCAGGTCTCCGGTCGCGAGGAGACCCTGGCGGATATCGTGCGTAGCGGTAGTGAGCTGGGCAACCATGCCATGCACGACGAGCCATCGCGCGCGCTGCCCGACGAGGAGCTCGCGACGCAAATCGAGACGGTGCGAGGGAAGATCCAGCAGGCGTACATCACGGCAAACGGCGAAGAAAACACGGTGATGCCGCCGCAGTACTTCCGGCCGGGATCGGGCTTCTTCAGCGACCGGATGCGCAGCGTCGTCGCGAAGCTCGGGTACAGGATGGTCCTCGGCAGCGTGTACCCACACGACCCGCAGATCAGCTTCGCTTGGCTCAACGCGCGCCATATCATCAGCATGGTGCGGCCGGGGGCCATCATCATCTGCCACGACCGCAGAGGCTGGACCGCCCCCATGCTGCGCACGGTCCTGAAGAGGCTCCAGAAGGACGGGTACCGCGTCGTCAGCTTGAGCGAGATGCTCGCCGAGACGCAGCATAAGCGCTGAGAGAATTTGGCGTTGCTTACTAGTCTGATCCTAATAAAGGGCGGACTTGTTTGAAAGAATATGGGGTGGAAGGGAGAAAGAGGTGATAATAACACCCGCGTATCCACCTAAGCCCCTGTTATAGCGCACCGCTTCGACGATTGCTCGCTCGTAGAGGCATCTATCCTGTCTGGTAGGGATCTTATCTTCTACCTCAGGTACCCCTCGACGAAAACTAAGGCACTGCTGATGCCATTGCCTACATCACTCCGTGTCGCGTGTTGATGGAAACGCTGGGCTGGCTGCGTGTAGACGAGGCCGGAATCTCTCTCGATTAGTATATAGGTACGGCATACGAATATAGACACCCATTTGTATAAGTACTGGGTACTGGGCGCTGTGCATACATAGAGGAATAGCTGATGCTACATAATGAAATGAATATATCTAAGGAATAAATTATATTAATTCCGTTCTTGAAATTGGGCATGGTGGATAACCATTGCGGCTTTGCTATTTCATAGGTGCTGAGATCTCACTCCTTTCGTGGTAAAAGGGGCTAGACAGCAAACCCACTTGTGCATATTGTACACTGGCTTCGACGTCAAGCTTGATGAACATTTTATTACCTAGTATGGGCCACGGCAGAGAAGGTATTGATAGATGGATACATTGATGCCAAAATTCCTTGATATTCTACGACTATAATGCATGCTCTAACAGGAGGCGAGAGTCTACCTTATGAAAACGTCCCACTAACCTCTATACCTCTTCTCCATCCCCCCCTTTATCCCAAATACTCCCTCCCTATCAAACAACCAACAGCCTACACCCCCCCAAGAATATTAGTAGCACCAGTCCCCGCCGCTTCCCCTTCCCCCTCCTTTCCCGTCCTCTCGGCCCGCAACGCCTCGAACCCCTGTACCAAGTCCTCCTTCAAGTCCTCGAAACCCTCGAGCCCGATGCTGAAGCGGAGGAGTCTCCTGTCAACGGTAGCATCGGTCATGGCGCGCCACTCGACCAGGCTCTCGACGCCGCCGAGGCTCGTGGCGTGCTGGAACAGGGAGAGCTTGCTGGGCAGCCGGCGCGCCTCGTCTGCGCTTTTCATGTACACCGCGAACACGGGGCCGAAGCCGTTCGGCATCTGCTGCTTCAGCCACCCTGGCTCTCCTCCTGCTTGTGGCCTCAGCGCATCTGCCTGCAAAGAAGCATGCTTGACCTCCGCCACCAGATCCCCCACCACCCCTCCTCCCCCCGCCGCCTCCCCCGCGAGCCACCGAACCAGCTTCTCCGCATCCTCGCTCTGCCTCCTCACCCGCACCTCCAGCGTGCGCAGGCTCCGCACCCCGAGCCACCCCTCCAGGCTCCCCATCACGGACCCCAGCACCAGCCTCTCGTCCCGCAGCCCCGCGATCCACCCGGCGTGCCTCGGGTGCACGGCCAGCGCGCCGCACAGCATGTCGCTGTGGCCGCCGAAGTACTTGGTGCCGCTGTGCATGACGGCGTCGACGCCCCAGGCGAACGGGTCGAGCAGCGGCGGCGGCGCGAACGTCGCGTCGACCGTGACCGTGCACCCGAGGCTGCGCGCGCGGCGCACGTGCGCCGCCAGGTCGCGCGCCTCGCCCGTCGGGTTCACCGGCGTCTCCACGTGCACGACGTCGCCCGCGCGCATCCCCGCCGCCCCGAGGTCATCCGCCTCGAGGTCCACCGCCTCCAGCCCCGTCAGCTTCGACAGCAGCGCCACCACCCCGTGGCACCCGTGGTACCCCCCCGCGATCGCCACGCGCCGCGGGTTGAGGAAGACGAGGAGCGCGTGGAAGGCCGACAGCCCCGAGGAGTACGTCAGCGTCGGCCCGTGCAGGATGGAGGTCAGGACCGCCTCGAGGCGCGTCGTGTTGGGGGCGCTGGCGCGGGAGTAGACGTGCGAGTCGTGCGGGTTGTTGGGCTAAAGGGGGGGGGGGCTTGTTAGCTGTCTGTATTCGCACATTTTGCTCTCCTTCCCCTCCCCTTTATATATATATATATATATATATATATATATATCACTGCAGTATAAGGAATACCAAAACATACATTAACATTCACCCACGGCCTCAGCTCATCCGGGTCCCGATTATACCGGAACGTGGTCGAGACATGCATGGGCGGCGCGACGGACTGGTGGGAGTTGAGGTAGTCGTCCGCGTGGATCGTCTGCGCCGACAGCGAGAGGTGCTGGAGCCTGGACGCCATCGCCGTGGCATCGGCGGTGGTGGTGGTGGCCTGCTTTTCTGCGTCGCCGACAACGACGACGGTGGTCTCGTGGAGTTCCGGCTTGCCGGGTTCTTGCACCGAGATGGGTGTTGCTGCTTCTTCCCCTGCCATAACTGGTGTCTCTCCTCTTCTGACTTGTCTAGGTAGGTATATGCTTTATAGATATAAACGAGTATTACCACTGCAATACTTATCCACCTACTTAGATTCGATACACCGACAGGGTTGGAAAAAGGGAATATACCTAGGTATGCAGGTTACAACGTTATACCTCGAATTAGGTATTTAAATGATAGTTGAATCACGCCATGCTATCCATCGTTTATCGTTGGGTGATGAAATCAATGGGTCCCGAAAACCCGACTACTTCAACTCCGTTATCGGGACTCCGTATCATACACTAAACTCGGGGGCACGGGGAAGATTGTTAAAGGCAGGTTACTATTTCTTTTTCTAATTCGGCTGTACCTACATATAATAGGTAGGTAACATAATGGATATGTACTAGGTACTAGGCATGTAGTATATAACTATCACCTTACACTCTTCCATTTCTCGGCGTCTGCCCCTCCACATGCCAATTATACGCCTACGCCCACGCCCACGCCCTTTCTCTGACAAGTACCGTTTTTCCTATACTGTACGAAGTACCACACCACTTTTTTGTACGCCATCGCTCTCACCACGAATGTCTCTTGCACGACCATAAACAAAGATTGCCGAAACGACACTACCCCATATTGTGAGTGATCAGATCCTATTACGCCTTGCTAAAGTCCCAATCGCAAAATCTTTTATCAAATCGCATCGCTGTGTTTCCCAATTATACCCTATGCTGAAAGGGGCTTGACTCTATACACCCATCGTATCCATCCACCGATTAAAGAAAATTCGTAACACGTAAATATAGGTGACTAAGCAGAAACGTTCCGTCTCCCCGACATACGTTCAGGAGCATTTTATTATTGCCGAGACGTTGACGAGATGGGACTCGGTTTCCTAGATGCGTTTACTACCTCAGCGGTGCTGCCAAGTAAGTCCATCCTTTGCTCAGGGTCGACTCTGCTGATATTATGCTGATGCACGTGGCCATAACTCGTAGGTCTCTCTTCACCCTCCGCTAAATGCGTTTGGCCCGAATCTTCTGTTTCCCCCGCCGAGGATACTGAGAGTCTTTTCTGTGAGTTGGTTCGGTCAAATGGTAACCTCGCTGAAGCGGCCCCTAGCGTTCGTACGCTGCCCGGATTCGTTTGCGGTGTCGCCACCTCTCTAGATGGTATCGACTCGAGTCGTCGGTGACCCAAAGGTTCTACGCTAGAGTTTCGTTTTGAACTCTTTCTAGGAACCTCAGGTATTGCTTCAGATGCCTCTGCCAACGTCCTCACCGTCCTCTGGGACGGATGCCTGCTCGCCTTGGAGGGTAACCTGCTAGGAAATTTAAAACTTTCGCCAGCATCGAGATCCGGAAGAAGTGGTGGTTCATTGGCAACTCTTGTAAACTCCACTCCCGCCTCCTCCTCTGACTGAGCCTCACTATCCTCGTTCAGCAACTCTCCCTGAGCGCCATCTTCAATGACTTGTTTGGTCCTCTTCGATCTTGGCGTGTCGTCTTCATCATCGCTTTCTATCGGTCCATTTCGTAGTACGCCCATTGCCACTGGGATTCCTTCGGGAGGATCATCGCTGAACTCTCCACCTCTTGCCTTCATCGCCGGGGGCATCCTAGCACTTCTGACTACTTCGAATCCCTTGCCCTTTTCCTTAGTCTTGCCGCCAAAGAGACGCTTGAGCCATCCCGTGGCTGTGGCTACCGGACTGGTAGGATCTGCCGGTCCTGTACCCAACTTGCGACCAAGCCCTTCTGAATTCAAAGCAGGGCCACGCACCCCATAGTAGAAATCGACCTCACGGGTTGCGTAATCTGTCCGGGGCGCGAAGACTGGTATGTATGGGGCAGGAGTAGGGGCAGGATTTATCTTCCCGGCAGAAGGGCCTTCGTCATCTCCGTCCGGAGCTATCCCCCCAGGTCGGCTGAGCCGGTGGTTTGACAGGTCGACACTGCCCAAGGACCCGCGAGTCCGATTCGGTGACGATGAGCCCATATCATCACTATCCGTACGGCGAGCACGCGGGGGACGGTAGTAGGGGTCTGCTGTGGGTTGAGGGCGAGTAGCTTGACCGGGGGACGGGAGGAAGGAGAAAGTGCTGGTATCTCCAGGGGTAGCTGTCGTCGGGGTGAAATTACCGCCGTTACCTAATGGGACCGAGTACGCATCAAGGCTTCGAGCATCCAAAGCGCTAGAGCTTCTCTGATTAGTGTTGATGAAGATGCCCATACTACCAGCAGACTCGCTTCTCACGCGACCGTATCCTCTTTTGATTACTGTCTCGGAGCCTAACATGGCGGTGCTACTGAGTTGGCTTTGCCGGGATGGGCCGCCACGTCGGTCTACACGTCTCGAGAGTTGACGGGCACCGAAGATCTTGGACAACCCGCCCCTGGTCTGCCCGTCAATATCGTCACCACCGGCACCCAAGAGACGTGCAATAACCTCAATGATGGTTTGTAATGCATTGAGGAAGAAGCCGAAGACAAGAACACAAGCGTGAATTAGCAAGATCGCATAACCGATCCAGCCTTTCTGGCCCTCTGCAACCCCTAAGCTTGGCGTGAACGCAACCATAAGTATGACAGACACGAAACGAAGTACCGAGAACCCTGCATGGTAAGCATTCATCGAGGTAGACGAATGAAAAGGCCGAAACGCATGAATCGTGAGCATTTGAATCACTTCACACACAGCCAGTATGACTACTTGCGCCGTACCTGATGGTTGTACGGCGCCGATTGCAATACCTTTTATGATTGTAAGTATGATGGGAATGAGTGCGAAAGCAGCTGCCTCGTCCGAGTATGTATTGTAAAGTGGCCCGTACAAAAGCACAGTTGGTAAATCATCAAAGAGGTGTGACCTCGGCTTCGTGGACGTGATGAGGTATATAAGCCATATCCCAAACCCAATCACGACGGCTAGAGTGAGAACGGCCAGTCCTACGACAGAGCCCGTAGAGCGTACAGCGACGACTAGTTGGAAGGCGGAGAGCGTTACGACAGGAAGCAGAAAATAGCTGAAGACTAGGCGGATAACAGTACCCACAGCGAAGGGTATGTTCTTGGCTCGAAGGTCTTCCTCGGGAACATGGTTGATACGGCGTAGAATCCAGCGGAAAGCGAAGCCGGCCTGTATCAGGAAAAGCACGGCGCCGATGATTATGAGCAACCACACTATCATACCAGCCCAAATATCCTGGACTTCACCTATGCCATTTAATTGCGCAACGTTCTCTAGACCGTACGTACTATTAGTAATGTATAAACCATCAACGAGGCTCTGCCAGGGCTCGGCCTTGGAGACGAAGCTTTGATTGAACATCAAAGCGGACCAAGAGCCCTGACTAATAACAGGCTGAAAAAAGCCAGGATATTCCAGGGACAGGCTGCCGGTCAAGACAACGAACTGGATGTACTGAAGACAATCTCCAAATCCTGGAGTAACCAGACGCAAGAGATCAGGGTCCCTGCCATAGTTAGACGTCCAATGGAAGATATCGCTAGTGCCCCAGGGACTGAAGATTGCCGCGAAGCCCGTAGCAAATCCAACCAAGATTAGAATGAATAGGGGGACAAATTTCAAAGACCAGGCAATTCCGCCTAGATCCGGGGTGATAATTGTGGAAACACATCCGATCGAGGTCATCGCATCGTCACCATACCAGATTATGAAAGTTGGAGCGAATGACGTAAATGAATAAGTCGATTCGAAGTCATTCGATAAGTTGAATGAGGGTAAATCGTAAGGCAAGGTTCTGTAAAAAGAAATCGAATATTAGCTTGATATGTCATGCCGAGTGATTCCCAGCCCCTTTCTTCTCATCCAGACGGGTTTCTCTATTCGATTTTCACGGGACACACTTACAAATTCCTGGTGCTGGTCTCAAACACGGGACCAAGTGGACAGGACCCGTTCAAGAGGCTGTCGCAGAAGTTCGAGTTCAAAACGTAAGGCTCGTAGGTCAAGACGTCGACTTTGGTGTGTAAGGTAGTCACCTTGCGTTTCCCGCTGGATGGATTTGGGACAGGCACATTCTGTATCTTTCCATTGAGTGCCTGGGTAGGGTCATTCCAACTCGGATCACCTGGTGCTGGCAGCGCTTCAGTACCAGCACGACCTGTCACATTTCCCCAGACCGTAACCCGTAAGTTGTGAGTTGGATTCGTAGTATCGAATTCGGCATCGACGAACATGGGAATCCATTGAAGCTGGACTTCGTCTGGCGCCTGGTTGGAATATATATAACTGTCTGGTAAACAGTTGGAGAACTGGGGTATTCTCACAGCGGAGGCGGTACGGATCCAGGTGCACGCTGCCAAGGAGCCTAGCAAGATATTGACGAGGGACGAGGGGTTGGCACCAGGTCGTCGTCTAGCCGGGGCAGAAGTGGACGACGATATCATCTTGTCTTGCGAGGCCTTGTCCTCCGTATACACATATTGATTCCCACCAAGCTCGACATCGGCATATCTCGAATAGGATGTAGGAATACCGGAGAGGAAGCTCCAGGTATGATTTAGCATCGTTCGTTTTCGGCGGGTAGCACCAATATTGCTATCGTCCAATTGTCTAGGGCTGAACGCGGAAGAAAGATCCAGGACCAACTAAGGCCGCATCGTGCTAAAAAGTGTCGACGGGCAGTCTTGCCGAACCAGTTGACCAACCTCTGCAATTGAGCGGACACGCGCGATAAGGTGGGACAAATCAGATCTGCCTAGGTTAGAAGGATGCGTATCTAAGAAAAGAACCGATATAGATACAAGTAAATGAATGGTTGAACCGTTGGAAAATAATAAGATAATTGGATTATGATCTTGATCTGAATTTTGGATTTGGATTTGTAAAAGAAGATCGAATGTCGGATTTCGGGGATGAGTTGCTCTATGTGTGTGGCAGTGCGTCGTTCGGTGCTTGATGATTATGATGTTACCGAATCTAGGCTTTAGCACTAGGCTACAGCAATTTGCATCGTTCTTCTAGCAATCTTGGAACCCGACAAAAAAAAGTCCCTTGCTCGCTTACAGCTCTTGGGCCTACTAATATTTTCAACCCTTCGCTGGGGTATTCAACGTTCACGGGCAGAAAAGTAGAAGCGAATGTGGTATGAGAATCAAAACAATATGTAGTAGTGACGATAATGATGGCGAGGTATATCAACATGAAATATTACTACGTTAGTATTAAAAAGAGTTGGGGCGTAAACAGAATAAAAGAAAATAAAAAATTATAAAAATTACGTGAAGAAGTGGAGAGAAAACTCAAGGGACCCTTGAAGCCGTCTTTAGCAGAGTGGACGCCAACGCATCTTGCTACATTAGCACCCAAAGTTACATAGTACGCCGGTACCTATTAGTACATAGAATGTAGTATGTAATACCTCGTACACAGAGGTGCTACCTGACATTTCAAGTATCAATGGATCCATGATCCATGCTCGATACATATCTACAATTCTAGAATCTACAACTCTACCTAGTACATTAAATTTACAGGTAGCTACAATGTACATAACGATATCATAACCAAATAGAATGTATGAATATAGATAAAAGAAGCCAATGCATTGCCCGAGTTTTGTTTCAATCATTCAATTTTTTACTTGTAGCTGTAGCAAATGATGAGAATATGGAGAGATACACATGCATTCGTGACAAAGATAAGCGTCAGTGCACATATTCCAAGTACATATGTCCTGTCACCCAAGTCTGCTTTGGCCAATTAAAACCGACAACGAAATGACCTAGCAATGAAGTCATAACTGCTCAATGTAGTACTCTGTTCCGAGTCCCAACCGGAAGGGTCAAAGGGGAAGGAAGACAAGGAAAGGCAAGTACGATATGATAATACTGTGGAACAAAACTCATCTTAAATTAATTTTGAACGTTGAAAATGTTTTCTACTCTCTTCAATATTCCTTGAACTGGTACGGCAGCGCGTCATGTGAGAAATTAGATACGTGGGTATGAACATAAAACTGCACATACCCGATAGCAGAATCGTGATACAGGATGCGGAGACAACACTACGGAATCCGATACATGTATGTAAGTTGATCGTTTCCTACAATACCTCCCTCCCTACCTACTACTGTAGATATCATACTGCGAACCTCGTGCGCCAAGTGTTACGCGATAATCATACCTACCGAAAAGTAGGTAGGTTTGAGTACAGGTACTACCATGAAGGTACTGAATATAAAATGACCGTGTCACGACTCACCATAAGTTTTTGTGCAGCTTTCCCGATTCTCATCATTATCAGAAAGATCAAGACCCAAGGTAGAAATTCTTCAAATAGCACAGGGGACAGCAGGGACTCCGTTGAGCTCACCTACTGTACATATGTATCATTAATTTACCTACCTAGTAGTTTGCCCTAGGAGGCTAGTACACTAGTAGCATCTACGGACCTAAGTCACCTAACAAATAGGTACCTAGATTAGGTAGTTTTGGCGCGCTCGTGTCATCAATATCTGCTGTTGAGCTAGGTATCTAGGTTAGTTTGGATGCACTGCCATCAGCCGTCGAAAGAAATACCCCGAACATCCAAGGAAAGCCTCTCGTTGGACAAAACCAATACGGGTCAACCGGGGTCTAACCGGGGGCTGTCAACTGGGACTGGCTGACCATTCTGCGCGCCATTCTGCCATTCTGAGTCGGTGGCTTGTTCTCTTATCTTGGCCTTTCTCGTGCCATGTGGTAGCATGGTCCCAAACGCCATAATCCGTGTAGTTTGGGGGGGAAATCTGAGGCCTCGCATGCCCTAAAAAAAGATTAATGATTTGCAAGAATGCAAGCATTCTCCCCTTTAAACCCCCCCTTCTTTCCCCTTCTCCCTTTCTCCACCGAACGAGTGAGTCCCGGCTTTGTTGCAACGGCGGGACTGCCGATCTTTTAAAAAAAGACCGCACCCCCAAACGTGGATCCGAAACGCATCATTCCATGCCTTTCTTCATGCAAATACGAACCCGGAAGCTTGCGTGAGGCTTGAGCCATCGAGATCGACACCCGGGGTCCCCATCATGGCACAGCATTAGCGCCGTCAAAAAAGCAGGCTCATCCCACTGTATCCCGACTTCACTTCATCGCAATCGCGTTGGGCTTCAGCTACCTGTCGCCGTAGGGCGATCCTTACTATATAAGAAGGGTTCTCCCCCCTTTTATTCAAGAGAAATTTCTAGGCTGTCTACCTAGGTAATTAAGCTGCCTAGACTAAGGAGTTGAGACGATGCCTAGCTTTTTTTTTAAACAATCTTGGGTTTGGGCTCTTGGAAACCGAAACATACCAATGTTTCCCCGACAAGTAAGGAAGTTCCGTCAGCAAGAATCCTGCGAGATCTGATTGTTGTGGCTATGCCACGCTCACTTCTCATCCCATCGCAGATGCGTGCGCCAATAAGGTTCGATCTGGCACTAGCACCTCGTTGACGTGGCCGGAGAAACTAGGTATTAGGTAGCCTACGTACGGGTAACTTCGTCCCAAGTTTTTAAGAATCCATACTGCCGGGTTCGTGCCGTTACTTTATCTGCTACCTAGTACCTAGGCACCTGGGCATGGCCCGGCATGCAATAGGTATTATTAAAGTTTCATTGCTAGTAGCCTTAAGAGCCTCAAGCTCTTTTCCCCTGCCGGATGAATAGTGCCAGCATGGTATCTCTATGTGATCTTCACCATTTAGTAAGTAGCTTGAGTTTAACTGAACTTCTACGAAAATGCAATGTGGCGATTCTACTGAGTCATCGTGAAGCCTCCGTCCTTCAAAGTCTCCAGGGCTTAATTCTAGTATCGACGCCTTCAAACGTGAACACTGCTCTATTTTCCCCGCTGAGAATTATATAAAATCACTCCTATCTCACAGTAATCGTAGTAACCCTTTCATTTGTTTCAGGAATTCTTCTCATCAACACTCATTTACGAGAATAACACCCTCACGCTTATACATACGTACTTGGCACGTCCATCTACTAGACACACAAACACCTACATAGCATCTACCCACCTACCAGGTACCTGCCTGCCTACTTACCAAACAAACAAACAAACAACTAACCCAACCCAACCAAATTCCATCATATAAAATGCATCTCCAAACATCCCCCCTCGCTCGCCACCATCGGCATAATCCCGGCTCCGACGTTCGTCCCTGCCATCACCCGATCTCTCTCAACGAGTTTGCAAGGTTTGCTACGAGGCGGAGCCTACCTGGAAGACCAGAAGACCAGAACAGCAACACCGTCGCCGTGCGGGGGGGGGGGGGGGGGATCTTTAACATCTTCTCCCCGGAGACTATTGGTAGCTGGCTACCTACGGGAAGCAAGCTACGTACAGTGGTCACATCCATAATCATATAGGTACCTATGTATGTATGCTCTCCTTGCTCCATCTAGTAAGCTACCTAGGTTACTGTAGGTAGGTGTAGCTTGCCCCCCCAGGTAAACAGACCAGACCCTTAAACACAACATCAGTGATCGGTCAGTTGACTGACCTACCTACCTACCTAACCTAGCTAATATACTGTTGCAGCTAGCTAAACTGCAAAGGAAGAAAGCTTGCTTGCTTGCTTGCTTGCTTGCTTGCTTGCTTGACTCCTGACTACGCTGGCGCGGTGGCCAATATATATATAAGGCAGCTCTAGCCTAACCCAGTGGAGTTGAAGCACCTGCAAGATATACGAAAAAGAAAAAGGGGGGAACCTCAGTTTTCTAGGTGCCCAGGTGTATACGGGACGACGAACCCACGCCCAAAAAGAAAAAGAAAAAGGGGAGAGTGGAGATAGAGAAAAAGCACTGCATATCACCACAGTAATGGGGCTTGGTTGGGCGAGACGCGAGAGAAAGGGCTACGCACCTAATAAGTCGTCAAATTATACCTACGACTTGGGACTATTACATAAGTGTATAGGCACTACCCAGCTTGGCAAAAGCTAGCCTAAGGGGTGTGGGCTTCTCGAGAGCAATTTTGGATTTTACTCGATTCGTCGAAAAGTTCTCAGTAAGATAGAGCCTGGCAGATCTTGGGGCGTCTTGTTCCTATAATGTGTAAAAAGCACATAAACCTGGTCGATTTCAAGACTGTTCTACCAACTGACCTAGGTTGAGCATTGACTTGCTTGAACACATCCGTTCTCTCAAGATTTGGAATATCTATCAGTGCCTAAATTTACAGTGCTCTGGATAGCGACATACAGCTAGCAATACATGAATTAGTGCGAGTAGCTGCTACTCGTATAGCAACCTTGGAAGCATGTAAGCGTGTAAATAGCCTTTTAACCCCCTGGCAGAAACGTGTCATATCCACTAACCTCAAGCTGCAGTCATTTTGCCCTTCAGCTGGGAACAGAGGTTTATTTCCGGCTCAACCTCTTGATTATTCAATGGATCCTTCTCCGTACGTAGCAATGCTTTAAGTCGCTTCTCTATTTCGCGGCCTATATCGAGACTCATCTCAAGGCCGTTTTCAAGGGTCCCTTTCGCAATATAATCATCATATAGCGCCTTCTTCTCCACAAGGGTGTACATAGCCTGTATATCTACACTCTTGATCAACATTACGGAATGCGTCTGATAATTAGACGGAATATTCTCCAGGGGCAAGAGGGAGCTTTTCATCCGTCTGATTTTCCTTTGTTGTGCTCCCCTCTCCCCCGCTGCCATAGATTTCTGCCTACGCAGCAGATAAGCTCGCGGATCGCCACTGGGTATAGTAGTCTTGATAGGCTCCTTTACTTCCGTGGAGTGCGCTTCAATGTAATGCGCCTCCGGGTGGGATGATGAAAGCCCCTTTTGCTGTGATACTTGATGTTTGAGACTCTGTTTTGCCAATGCGACCATATTTTCAAGATTGTTCCCAAGCCTAGGCTCTTCACGATGCGTAATCTCTTCGACTGATTCGTCGTCATTCTCATTATGTCGACGCTTCTTAGAACTTCCTTTGTTGCTCTTGAATGTTATCTTTGACTGCCGCATACCATCTAGGGTTTGTCCTGGCTCATTGTTGGTCAAGTTCTCGTTGTTTGGCCTAGATCTCTCTACTGATGACGGCGGAGACCAAGGAAGGTTATATCGACGTGGAGGCTTTAGATTAGTGGCCATTGAAGGAGCAGCCAATCCCTTCTTTGAACCTGCCCCAGAGGAGTCGGACATTGGGCTTCGATACGGGCCACCTGGCACGCGATGTCGTGGTTGGTGGGAGTTTCCAGGGTATTGTTGACTTGGGGGAACATCAAGATCTCTCGGCGATGCTCCATTGTGACGAAGGATGGGAGGGTCTGGAGTCATTGGGAGTTCAAAGTGTGGCTCAAACAAATTGTTCTGATTATATAGCTCGTTGGCTTGTCTGTCTCCTAAGCTGTGATTAGTTTGAAGTGAATTCATCTTAGCGATGACCCACGGATTCATATCTCGTGAGGTTGTGTGCTCAGGGGGTACTGGATTCTCATGAAGATCTAGCAGTGCACGAGCTGACCGAGATACACTTTTCGAGGTTTTTTCAGTGTAGTGCTCATTGAAATCTTGAGACATGTCAACCTTCCATCGAACTTGTTGCATATTCGATGGCATGTCCTGAGGGTAGCCATCTCCCGGCTTTCCATTTTTCCTAATAGATAGACGTGATGACCTGGCTGGTGTGGAGATAGTAGCGCTATGATCGGTCGAGCACTGTATTGTTGTTTGAGGTTGTGTCGGTGGGGATTGATGGACTTTAGAAACCTGCTGCTTTTGAGTTTCTGTTAAAGGTCTTGGCTGTGATACGACTTGACCTTGTGATGGCAACGTGCATGCGATACTATCATCTCCGGAGATAGAGTCAAATGTAGGCCTGTGAGACTGGAGATCACGAGGATTTGCATCATCTCTATTGTACGATATGGAATTTTGCTTAGCTGGTGACTCGAATTCCGGAGGGTTGACCATAGGTGTCTTGTATACTGCTTTGCACAAGTTATCGAATCCGTCTAGTATAAGTTTCTCGTCGGAGAACACAACATCGTCCTTTGACGGCTCCACATTTTCGTCGTAGCTTCCAGGGGGACACTTGATATTTAGACTGATGAAAGAATCCCTTGATACGATGTTTGAAGAATGCCGCTGTGAAGCACTAACATACTCAGCATATATGCCTACCAATTTCTTCATGGTGTCTCGAGTTCCTCTGATTGGACGGCCGTTGACAGAAAAGTAGCGTCTCTTTGGAACCTTGGAAGCATCAGAGCCTGGCTTCAAGATGAAAGCTTCAAATATGTAGTGATCATTTGGTGGAGTAACTTGGACTTCGTCTAGAGACTCAGATTCACCGACTGGGCCGCTCTCAAATACCTTCTCAAAGCAATGGGTTGCGATTTCTGCACCGAAAAGCTGAATAGCAGCCTCCCTCATGTTTGCAGCTCGTTTGGGCGAGTACACCCAATTATGTTTGGGAGACTGTAGGACTTTGAATGAGAGTCTTAGCTGGGGCCTTGCCATAGCATAGGAACGCAGAAGTCCTTGAATTTTGCCTATTGTTTTCGGAGAGTCCTTGATAGCAATTCTTTCTCGAACTGGATGCTTACTAAATAGATTAGTGATGCTCAGGGTCGTCCCAACTGGTGCTGAAGTTCGCTGTTGTGTCGAAATGCCTCCTTTACACGGCACGAGATGAATGATAGTTCCAACGGGTTCCGAGGCTATCTTGGTGGTAATGGCGACTTGAGCAAAGGCATTCGCGCTTGCAAGAGCTTCACCGCGAAACCCTAGTGTTTTGCTAGAGTGAGTCTTGAGTTCCTCGAAGTTCCTAATTTTGCTGGTATAGCCACGCTTTCCTAGAGCATCGTAGTCATCCGGATGAATACCGTGGCCATTGTCGCGAACCTCAACCTTCTTAATCGTATCCGGCGATACTATGACTTCTATTGATGTAGCCTGGGCATCAATTGAGTTATCAATAAGTTCCTTGATTAAGCTGACAGGAGTTGGGATAACTAAGGATGAGCTCAAGAGGCGGGTGGTAGAGTCGGGTAAACGAGATATTGTAGACATGATGGAATTCGGCTAAAAATGATGATATTATACATCGAGCGTTAACATGTCAACACCACATCTTTTACTCCTACCTAGCAATGCGTAGCGAGATAATTTCAAGTTCTGTGTCTGATTGAAATGAGAGGAAAGCTTATCAAAGCCTACTAGGCAGTAATTTCTCATCTCCATCATGCCTTCCTTCTACTTACTGAGTTCTGTTGAGGTATCGAAGTAAATGATTTAAGAAAAGGTCTACTCCGGTCTTTCCTTCCGTATGATACTCCTTGTTAAAGGGGAAAGGGGGAAAGAGATCAGGTGACTAAGAATTCTTACTCACCTAGGTTAGGTACCCCCCCCCCAAAAAGAACAGCGATAATCCCTGTCCGGACTTGCGTCATGCCCCTCAGCGTTCGCACCGTTCGGAGCAAGCGCACCTTGTATTGCACAATATAGTCGGCTCCATAGTGTGTAACCCTCCCCTCTTACGTACCTATCTGTCCAGCACACTAGATCTACCTACCTACCTACCAAACCACTCAATTGCACTCAATTCGCGCGGCCACACGGGTTATTCTGACATTCGCTCGCTGCCCATAGAAAGCTATCTTTAAAAAAAAACAAAAACCCCCCCACCGAACACCGAAAAATATGGCACACTCACTCAAGGGCCCCGCGCCGCAAGAGCACGACGGCAGCGGCTTGCGCATCGGTATCGTGCACGCGCGCTGGAACAGCTCCGTCATCGAGCCGCTGGTCAAGGGCACCAAGGATAAGCTGCTCGCCAGCGGCGTCAAGGAGTCTAACATCGTCGTGCAGTCGGTGCCCGGGTCGTGGGAGCTTCCCATTGCCGTCCGAGGGTAAGCCGAAACCCCAACTCCGAAGTTTCCTGCTTCCCCTACTCCTACTCCTACTCCCTTCCCCCATTCTAGTTCTCACCCTTCTCTCTCCCCGCACACAGGATGTACACAGCCTCGCAGATCCAAAACTCCAGCAGCGGCGGGACCTCCGCCGGCGACCTCCTCGGCGCCTCGACCACCGACCTCTCCTCCGCCCCCACCTCCTCCGCGCACAACCAGCCCTTCGACGCCATCGTCGCCATCGGCGTGCTGATCAAGGGCGAGACCATGCACTTCGAGTACATCGCCGACGCCGTGTCGCAGGGGCTCATGCGCGTCGGCCTCGACCTCGGCGTCCCCGTCGTCTTCGGCGTCCTCACCGTGCTCGACGACCTGCAGGCGAAGGCCCGCGCGGGCTTGACAAAGGATGGCCATAATCACGGCGAGGACTGGGGGCTCGCTGCTGTCGAGCTGGGCGTCAAGAGGGCTGCTTGGGCGCAGGGGCATATTGAATAGGCAGAGAGGTTGCCTACCTGTCTGCGAGAGAAAGGTAGAAGGGTACCTAAACCTAACTTTGAAAAATGAATGAAATAAAAGAAAATAAAAAGGAGTGAATATATCCGAAGACAAAAAATAAAAATGGGTGGCCACGTCGAATTACTGAGCTAGGTGCAATTGAGTTCTTTTTAGCTATGTGGATTTGTATCCAGGGCCTGGATACAAGCTTGCCATGAAAAGGGGATAACGTAACATAAACCGCTGGTGCAAAAGTTTACATAGGACAATATCCTCAGTACTAGTACCTACACCTGATGCATACCTAGGTATGTAGTAGGAGGTAGGTAGTATCTGAGCAGCCTAAGTAACCTCCACAACTTGAAGAACTCCTCCACGGACATTGAATGCTACTATCGTTACCTTGTATAGTCCGGTATATTGAGATCTTGACAGATATAACCAAATTAACACAAATTTCCTTCTGGTCCTCTACCTCTTACCTATGCCTACTCTCACCAATCATCACTCACTCACTCACTTTAGCCTACGGACATTTCACAAACGCCCCCCTCTCCCTTCCCCCTTTAATCATCACCACCACCAACAAGTACAAAACAACAAACCTAAAAACGGGAGAACATCACAACAATCAAGCTACTAGTATGTGTGTGGGTGGGTAAAAGTATTAGATTACTGGTATATAGGCCGGTCTATCATGAATCGTCCCTCCACGAAATTCAGACGTTTGCCTCCCAAGGTTCCCCCATTTCCCACACTTTGACTTCTCTTCTGTTTTCTTGGTAAATTTTTTTTCCCTTCTAAAAAAAATTTGGGGTGTTGGTGGTAAGGTAAGGTAGGTAGGTGTAGGGCAAGATAGATCTTTCTTCTTACTCTTGTCCAAAAAAAGCATATAAATAGCTGAGTCTTGTCTTCTTTCTTATGACGCCTTAGGTTACCCCCCTTTCCCAGTCTCAAACCACATAGCATTCAAAAAGCCAGCCATGTGGTTTTTTTTCTTCTTCGAAATATACAACAAAACACGGCCCGCTTTCCGCTCCAGATACCCTACACTCTAGGTGACCAATATTATAGGCTGTGAAAAAACATACATGGGGAAAAAGCATGGGTGAGGAATCCTGAACGACATGGGAATCTTGGGTTCCTTCCAATCCAATGTTTCATTTTTATGTAGCCGAAATGACGATGCTATAACCCTCGGAATGCACATGTATTAAATCCTTTAGCTGATGAGTGCTCCAATATCACTCCCAAATGTCTTCTTCGATCGCCAGGTACTCTTTTTCTTCTCCCTCTTCGCTTTCATGGCCTCCCACCCTTGTTCGTCGTCGTCATCGTCGTCCTTATTTACTGAAGATACACTCATTTGTGCTTGATGTTTTGGGCGTATGGATGGTATCGCACTGGTCATGGTAGATGTTCTTCCGGGGTCGAGCATTGCGGCGCTGGAAACCGGTCGATAACGTCCAGGCAACCCAACGTTGCTGCGCTCTGAAGGTGCGATCGACGGGGTGTAGCCTGCGCCTTGTGCACGTATCGAGGGTGCGTAGCCTCCGTTTGAAGGTTGAATCCACGACGCCGAGCTTGGCTGGACCATGCTCATGGTCCGCATTTGTGAATCGCCCCTCGGCAAGTCCAAGTGTGATCCGTTACCCAGATTATTTACCATCAGGTCTCCCATGAACGAGTTTCGTGGCATGTCGAGAGATCCCATCGAATGTGTTGGCAGATGCCCTTGAGGCCTAAGAGATCCTTGCATCTGTTCCTGTCCTGGTTGTTGCGTGCCCATCATTTGCATGAATTGCATCTGCATCTGCATAAACTGCTGCATCTGTTGCGTCATCTGCATCTGCGCTTGATCACCTGGACTCAGCATTGGGCCTGGCATTTGCGGCATTCCCATTGGATACATCATTTGGGGGTTGTTATTCATGGGATCAAATCCCCCATTCATTGGCATGCCATTTGCATGGATGTTCGGAATACCATTTCGTATGGCATCAACAGCAGGGCTACCGCGCCTCATTGCCTTTGCCCGCTCTTCATTGGCAATCACGCCAACTAGACCACCAGCTGGAATGGACTGCATTGAGGGAGCGATTCCTCCTCCCAAAGAGAATGATTCTCTTGGAGGGTGGTTGATCAGGCCTGCACCAAGATACGGATCCTGGGGTAGCCTCCTAGCGAAAGGCGGCAAATGCCCCCCCTGACCATTGGGTTCGCCCGTGGTTGATCCTGGTCCACTAACATAGGATGGTTGAGCGACAGATGCGCGCATGTTAGGGTTAGAAGACATAGTAGTGAGACGTGCTGGTGGTCGGTTCTTGTTAGGAAAACCATGTGCGGCAAGAATAGCCAAGGGTACCTCCTCGTCATCCTCGGAGCCGTCTGAAGGAGGGGCGGGAGAGGCTCCTAAGCTGGGTCCATCGTTCAAAACAAGGTTCGGTGTGCTGAATGACGCTGCGATACTAGGGCGAGACGCATGGGTGTTCGTAGATTTCTCTCCCGTTACTTTCATCATTTGTTGTCGATAAACCGTCATGTGGGCTTCCTGCTTGCGTCTTTGCTTGGCCAGCTGTTTTGTTTTTTCTCGCTCGTCTTCTTCATCATCGTAATTATCTTCCTCCTCCTTGTCTGACCCCTTCTCATCGGCTAGTCCCATTATCTCCTCTCGGGCTTTATCTTGGCTATATTTCTCAAACTCTGCGGGAGTCATGACCTTGGTGTTCGGCTGGCTATTAGTACGACCTCCAATCCTGGGGACAATCCGAGGGCGGCTCAAAGGCCGATCGAACATGTTGTCATCGTCACCCTTGGAATCGAATCGGGCGTGCTTTGAATACGACTCCGTCAGGCCAGACTTGAAACTCATGGGGCTGTCTTCATCCCTCCTATACCGGCTGGAATTGCCACTAGGCCCCGACGACTCATTATAAAGATACTGGGTGGCGGCAATCGAATCCTTCAGGAGTGTCGTATCTTCATCGTCATCGTCTGATCTCCGACGCCCCATGGAGTTGTCATCGTGCCTCGGAACGGGCGGAGGCGGAGGCGGGAGTGGGAGGTCATGAGTGTTGTTGACAGGAGACGTCAGGGCTCGGCCAGAACCTAATAGTCCATCGGTCGAATGCTGGCTGTTCCACGAATGTTGCGGAGGCTCGATGGGAGCCGATTTATCTAAGTGGAGCGGCGAAGGCTGACTAACCCGATTCGACATCAAATTGCGTTCTTTCAAGGTGGAAACACTCGCACGCTTGTCGAACTTCAGCATACTACTGAGATCGCCACCTAAATCTAGCATAAAATCCCGATCCTCAACCTTAGGAGGTGTGGCCGTGCTAGACGTCGATGTTGTCTCGGCCCGTGAATGCCTGCTGGATGTGGTGGAGTGATACTCGTCAGGCATAACGGGCATGGCGGGAACCGAATCTTCGGCCATTATTGTAGGTAACGTATTCCTTTTATTACCAAAGGAGAACGTCCTCCCGGCCTGCTTGAGAAAATTGTTTGAATTCTTATGCGACGGTGGAACAGGACCATCCATCACCGCAACAGACTTTCTGTTGCTAGTACGCCAGTAGTCGTCCTGTGGTGTAAAGTCGGTTGAAGAAGGAGCTGTAGAAGCGTTACTGTGACGGGAAGAATTATCGGAAGCTGTCTTAGTAGTGTTGGAACTACCACTTCCACTAGTAAGCATCAGTAAAATTGCCCAACGCTAGGACCAGCCTAATGCAATAAGTTCACGAGCTGTCTGAGACAACGGCTGTGCTGTACTAAAATCTGAGCAACCAGGGTATTGTAAGATACATATTATGTATCCATACCTTGTATGTAGACCCCTTGGGCCCAAACGCCCCTTGCCCCGGGCCAAACTCTTGGCAAAGCCATCCGGGGGCAAAAATAGTATCAAGACCTCTAGGGCTTAGGAGATTTATAGGCAGCCCGAGATATAGTATAATAGAAATTGATAGAACACATATAGGACTTGCACATACCGGTTAGTTTTCAAGCCTGCGAACAGGTTGTCTTCCATTGCGACGTCTTTAATGTGGGATTTAGGCGCAGCCGCCGTCATCTTGGCCAATCTGGCACCGCCATCGAAAGATTTTCCACTATTGATGTCGGATCGCTCGAGGACCCGAAACGAAGGCTCTGCTACCGGTCCATTTGGGTCTTCTGCCGCGGTAGATTTCCGCCGAAATGCGACTGGGAACCTAGGCATATAGAATGACTGCCTCGAATTCTAAAGCTGACTGTAAACCCATAAACCGAGTCCAGGATAGATCGGCCGCGGGTATGGGGCTCGTTCGCTCGAGGTATCCTTTATTGCGTGAGACGGCGATGTGAATTTACAATGCCGGTTCGAGTCGTCGACTCGATAATTGTGTGTTAAAGCTCACACTTAGTTGAGGTCTTGTGTATGACGCGAGTAGGCGGGAAACTGCATGATGAGGAGAAATTCAAGTCAGCCGTGTTCTGTGGAGATGTAACCGCCCGTTGTCCCGGGTCTTAGGTGACATGTTGTGATGGGATGATTGGGAAGCCCTAGGATTTAAGCCCGCACCATCGTCTCTCCTTTTAAGCTGGGAGGGGGGAAATGAATGGGATGACAGGCAGGAGGAAGCTTATGGGGACAGGTAAAGGTTTATTACTCCGAACTATTTCTAAATTCAGATCTCGGGCCGTTCTAGTAGTTCTAGTAGTTCAGGTAGTTCAGGTGAAATATCAAGCCACTTGTACCGAACCTGACCACTTCGTGTCAAGAGGTCTTTTTGTGTGCAAATTATTTGGTCCCAGGGCTTGTCTCAGATCAAGTAAATGGGCAGTTGTCACTTACACAAGAAAAAAGTCGGACAATTGAAGCACAGCGAAGAAGCGAGTGCAGGTTTGATAGTCGAGGGTAACGGTCGCTTTGCCGAAATCGAGAGCACAGATGGAAACCTTATTTATTAATATAGTACGTAAAGCTGCGTATAAAGCTGCAGGATATTGTATGCGATGCGATGCGATGGAGAAATGCGAATCCAAGAATTGCTCGATATTAATAAAATTAGAAGCAAAATTGAACGATGGGACGGATAACGTGAAAAGATGAAAAAAACACGTTGTTGATCACGATTAGAATGCAGTTTGTTCCTTCGAAACACAATTTGTTGCTAACGATGCGAAGCGCTGAAGCGAAAACGACCGAAGGGGGGGGTGGGCAGCCTGTGTGGTATCGAGAAGAGCTAGGTAGATGAATCAAAGGGGGAGAGAGAGACAGAGCGAGAGAGAACTTGAATCTTGCGGTCAAACAAAATTAGACTCTTAACTCGCAGGCTAAACAATAAGCACTGCTGCAACTTGAGGGATGGGATACTCGAAAGTGGCTGGTACTGAGCGAGTGAGGTTTGAGGGAATGAAGAATAAAGGAAAGGAAGAGAAAAAAAAGGATATGCAAGAGTGTTCGTTCAATGACGGAGGAGGAGCAAGTAACTAGGCAGGTAGGTATGTATTAGGCAAGGCGGTACATAGTAACTACCTAAGGACGCAGCAAGAGCAAGACGTTATCTTTCCCTTCGTTTTCGCCAATGCTTTGGTACTAGGTACATACAAATTTCTCCCAATCACGAGCAAATGCCTAGGGGTCTGGAGATCCTTGGCTCTACTTTTTTTCTTCTGTTCTTTTTTTTTTTGCCTGCTTTTACTTCAATTGCTATGTAACACAACAGGATCCTCTTCAAGTACCTACAGGTACCGTAACCTTGGTAGGTAGGCACTACATAATAGTATAGGTATACATTCATAGGTAATCACAGGTACTTATGTAATAACAAGTTACCCGCGTATACCTTACCATAGCGTACTATATTCCCCAAACAAGCCAAACAAGTGAAGTTCACAGAACTTGGTAGGCGAGTTACTATCCTATCCCTTTGAACGTTACAAGGCAACATAGGCAACAAAGTTACTAAAAATAAACAAGGATACAACCAAGCCAAATTACCCACCGTCCCATAAATCTAATATCCAATAAAATCTAATTATTCTGTAGGTACATAATTTACCACTCAATTTTGCGTATGCCACTTGTACCAACAGTACTTAGAACTACACATAGCTACATTACAAGTGCCACATCGAGATCGTGTCTTTTTTGCCTCCATATTTAATAAACTCTCCGATAATGTTTTCAATCCTCGACGAGAACGTCCCCAAATATTATTCCCCTGACGAGCTTGCTATGCAAAAAGGATGGGAGATCGCGTACCTCGGGGTCTCGCGTGCCTCGGGGTCTCGCGATGGGATTACCATTGGAACAAAACGCGTACCAACTTCAGGATTAGGAGGAGCTTTTGAACGACGCGTAGCTGGATCAATATCGTCAACTTAGATGGCAGCCGGGCACAGCTGCGCCGGCGTATCGGGTGCACTAGATACCGGATTAATATATTTACCGGCTAACTTTGTATCGCGTTGTATTTGAAGTAAAATTGGATCAATATATGGGGTTGTGGGTAAATGTGGATATAGTGGATTAAAAGAGATGTATTAGGGTTTATTTTTAGTAGTTTTGTTGCCTATGTTGCCTTGTAACGTTCAAAGGGATATTCGTGAATTGAACGGAGCCTCTGAGTTGGGTACATCGGTAAAGATGCAATTGAAGCGCAGTACCTAGTACCTATCCTAGGTACCCAAGCTTTTCCTAAATTAAACCCGTTGGTGGGTACCATGTGGAGCTAGAATGGCACGCTAGCTGCATTCGATCATGCATTGCACGATCAAGTGTCTACCTTCAGGTACGAGCCCTGCTAGTTCGTCGATTCGCCCCATGTTCTAGGCTCGCGGCGTTAAAATGCCCTAGAAAGAGAAGAAAAAAAAGGGAGCAACTGGGGATGTATTTGAGTAGGTAATAGGTACATATTTGATTTGAGAAGAAGAAGAAAACATAAAATTGTTAACCGCCTATCCGGGCCTTATTCCTCACGATTATATTCAAGGTTGTTAAGCTATCTAGCACCTCAGCTCAGGCTAAGCATTGATGTGGATAGACTCGATAGAGTACCTGCCCTAGGTAAGTTGTACAGATGCCCAACTCGGTTGCTGACTCGCTATGTAGATTGATTATTTGTGGACTTATTGATCTTGGAAATACCTATTAGGTACCTACAGAATAGGCGTGTCCGTGGGCTTTGGCGGAGTGAAAGCGCCAGGTTGGACCCGGAGAACCGTGACACCCAGGGATGAGCAAGGTGCAAGAAGGGCGCTAGAATCGGCAGTATTGCTGGGGTAGGTATTGTATTGATCGTTCATAGGGAGGCAGGGAAATACAGCACATATCAGGCGTTGCTTGATGTAATTATCGTTGGATATGGTATGTACCTAGGTATGTATATGATCCATCGTTAGTTGATGGATTGTGTTTGTTGTACGAACAGTACATCGGCTCGGCTGGGTAGTTCACCTGCCAACCTCCTCCGAACTTCACTGTTTGCATGCGTTGAACGCCACGAGGAATGCAACTGCCATTTAGCAGCACGGATGTACCTTGGAAATAAGATCGAATTCTCCGGTTTCTGTGGGTTGCCTTATCCAGTCTTCTGTATTCGTGACCTGACCTACAGTACTTGGTTGCGATGCCTACGGAGTAAGATTGATGTCGTTGATGATTCACTGGCCTGATTGATTTAGGTGCTCCCTCAGTGCGACGATCTGATGAAGTTGTTGTGAATCAGCCAATCACAGACTTGATCCACTAACACGAGGTCAGCATCAATGGAAATGATTAGCAGCCCTGGAGACGGGTACAAAACTTCCATACAAATTGATACCTCCCGCTACTTGTATTGTACTACCTACTGCTAGTTAGGTACAAGCATGTAACTAGTTAATTTATTGTATCTATCTTTGGGACAGACTATCGGATTTCATTGATCAATGACATCTGGATTCTTCAGCAAAAGATTTCATAGGGATGAATTGTTACAATATTATATAGTAATTGCGTTATCGGGTTCCACGAAATGAAGGATTATACACATATGCATAGCACATACATACCTAAATATGTAAGGTTAGATACTTGAGGCAGATTTATAGTTGGCTCAGTGCCTACTAGAGGCAGTTATATTTCAGAGCGTCCAGACTGTTGGACAGTCTTGGACTACATGTGCGTCTAGAGAAGTAGCGTTTACACCGTTCAAGGTACCAGAAGTTAGTTCGCAGGTACATGCCTACATACTAGCATACCTAGTACATGTATCATGCAGCCAACATTCAATGGAAACTTTGGAAAGTTCAAATGTTAGCCTCGACAATACATATATACCTAGTAGGCTACATAAGTAATCTTCCCCGATTTACTCGTCCAACACATGCATACCTACCTACTTATATTCTTCTCGAATGTGGGTAAGGAAGGTATGGAAGTTTCCTTGCTCGGTCCCGTCGAAAAAGTGCCTCAGCATTCAATGAGACAATCCCGGTTGTGCTGTTCGCCTGCATCTTGTTTTCTTGTTCTGATTTTGAGACCATGCCCCGCAGCCACGTCGTAGTATGGATGACACTCTACTGCATGTAAGCAAAACAAGCACTAGATTGACTCTGATTTTTTGGGGGGAACGCGTACGTAGGCGCCTATCTGTTACTGATGATGGATTACCACATACCTAAAGAATCGAGACCTACCTACCTACCTACCTAGGTAAGCAAGTTTGTAGATAAAATATGTATTGATAACGACTACCTATAAGGTTTTCGCAACTTCAATGCTCGACTCCACGTGCGAAGAAAAAAGGGGAAGAAGAAAAAGGGAGGGAAAAAAATGATTACACAAGCTATAACTTCGTAAACTCATCGGGCAACTTACCTAAGTTACACAACAGTGGAAAATTACCTAACCTAAGTGTGTATCCCTATGTACTAGGTATGTACTTAGGTACAATAACTACCTAGCAGGCGAAAGGGGTCCTTGACGCCAGTTACCAGGGGGGCATGTTATATAAAATGTTATATAAATAGCCCCCCGCTGATATTGCGCACCAACTCTTCCTCGTATGAATTATATTAACTCTATTATGGCCGGTTTCTTCAGGGCCGTGTTTAGCTCCGGACCGCTTTATCGAATCTGCCGCTCCGGCGATGGACTTTCCCGTATAAACAAGAGTAGTAACGAGATTCCATGGAATAGCTCGTACTCAACCAAGGACGTAGACTACACTACGACATGCATGGTCGATCGCGAATTTATCAAAACAGAGGGCTGCCTTGGAACATAGCCTGAAGCTTCTAGACCTCTTATGGTCTGCTCAGGGGTTCGCTTCGTTAGCTTACCATAAATACGCTTCGCCCCATATTCCGTCCAATAATTGGATACGCCAGTGGCCCAGTGGGCCTAGTTTTCCAGGGGACTCAAAACCCTCAAAATGTCCAAAACGGCCGGCAGCCCGGAGATCACTGATCGGATCTGACGTGTGAAGCCGGATATCACCACACCCCCTGCATCATTTGCATAAAACAGACAGGTTTTCCACTTCGTGTTCTCGCCGAACACTACTAACGGAGTAATATTCCCCGCTTCATTCTACTATATTAGGAGCACATCGGGACTACTAGACATTTAGTTCGATGCTAAGCGGACCCGGAATAACAGACAGACACTTGCTAGACGAGAGCTATCTACATAGCACTACGAAGTATATACCTGAGTGGTTCTTGTTAATGCTTTGCGGCTTTGCGACATATGGGCATATCTTATCATCGAATTAGATACCAACATCGCATCCGGAGACGGAATCTAAATAAGCAACAATCATCCGCCTCCTACGTATTGAAAATGTGCATGGGAAAGGGAAAGGCCGATCAGTTTAGACGGACAGATATGTAGCTGGCTCGATCCCTGGCGCCCACTAAAGCCCTTCGAACTTATTTCTTTCATCATAGTTAGTTGCAATCTATGATAAACAGGATCTCTAGGTTAGATCTGCGCCAAGCGAAATTATCGACTGATTTATCAACTATTTTTACCACAATGTGCTGCTGGGGCAACAAGTTTTGATACCTTCCTCCGCAACGCCGGTAACGCCAATCACTACCATCAATGATATTAACTGATCTTGTACCGCTTCGGAGAGAAAGATAAGATAGGTAATGTGGTTGAGTCTGAGAACGTGCTTTACCTAGGTACATTGCTGACCGGTGTAACCGGGCGCGTTTGATTATGATCTCCGATTTGATTAAGAAGGGGCCATTGGATCATCGATAAGTATTTAATAGGGATTGAATGAGTATTCTTTTTTTTCGATATCAAATCAGACGGAGCCGACTATATGAGCGTTTGACGCCTACCACGGTGTATGGTGGGATCGGTGTAAAGACTAGTAATAGACGCCTTCATTTCACGCCATTCATTGACTGTCTTCTTCGAGAGCTAGCACCACGACCCAACCTACAACCTAACTATCTCCCCGTCCCGTGTTCTTCCACACTTCCGGCCCTTACAAGAAGAGGCCTACTGGAAGTGTGCTAGGACATGGTCGCGGTACGGGTCCTCTCGGCGGAACCCCCCCCTCACGATGGCCGATCCTCGGGCGACCTAAACTCCACCATGGACGATCGGCCTCGGGGCCGGCTGGCTTCGCGATACGCGGCCATGGCACATGAACACACGGTAATATATCTTCATGTTCGGTCGGTCGCTGCACGCCCTGTAGCGGTCGTGTAGGAAATGACACCGTGAGACGTGGGTGGTGAGGTAGCGAATCCCGTTGGTCACGGTGGTGTGGCAGATACCGCAATCGAACCTGCCCGTGGTCGCTCTCTGGTAAGAGGGTAAGGTTAGTTTGGGTTTGGTTCCTTGCTTATTACCTGTTATATGGGTAGGTAGGTAGGGACCTAGTAGGTACTTGGGGCTACAATCACTTACTTCTCGCTGTTCTGATAGCTCGGCCACGGATGGGTTGCGCAGCCGGACAGGCATATGACGAGCAGGCAGACTAGCAGGCGAAGCTGCTGCACGGGATCCGTCACCGTCAGCGGGCGCGCTGGTAGAAGCGCTGCCACCGGAGACAGGCGCGACGGCTACGGCTGGGGCGTCCAGCTGTGCAGGGAGACGTCTTTGTCCTCGAGGCCCGTTGGCTGGTGTGAAGCCAGAAGCGGCGACACCCAGGGAGGCATCACGATCAGAATGTGAGCGAGAATAGGAGGCGGGCTATGGCTGCCTGGTGTCGCGGCTAGGAGGGGGGCAGGCTCTACATTGGCGGTGCTTTCTTGGAGACCTGATGCCGTGTCAGTTTGCTACCCGGTGAAGTGCGAATGTTAGCCTTAAGCTTTTTTTTTCTCAAGTTACAACTAGAGCCCACCACGTGGGGTGCGACACAATAGCCCAAGGAGAATTCAAATATAGATGTGGCAGACTTGCCTCGGCTTGTGAGGTGCTCACAGGAGCAGGCTTTCTAACTGCGGTGCCGTTGTTGGAGCTACTCACAACGCTGGCCCTCTGACCTCGTCGGATGAATCGCATACGACGTCGACGAGGGCCAGCCTAAAGTGTGGGCGCACCATGCGACATTTTTCATCTGGTTTGAATGTCATTGTAAAGGAAGACATCAATTTCACTTGCGAAGTATTGTGGCGAATGGAATTGGTGTAGTTGTCCTGTTGTTGAAGCTATAAACGATGTGAGAAGAGAATCAGCTAAAGTTGAAACACCAAGCCTAGAGTGGTTGCGGTGGTCTATGTCTTGGATGTTGATGATATCTGTGAAATCCTCTGTTGTATGAAATTGATGTTATTGTCCAGTGTCCTGAACATTGAAATGATGTGAGAAGAGAGGCAGATGGAGTTGAGACACCAGGCCTAGAAAAGGTAGGAGGGCCTACGTCCTGGAAGCTGATGATAACAATGAGAAGAATGGTAAACATTGACCTGCTGGGGAAAAAAGATATGTTAACTTTTAAGAAAGCAGGACCAGTGAAAATATCTGCTGTGCAGAGGATGTGAAGAGATGATTACCTAGGTATATATAAGTATATAAGATGGTGATGGCTAATTCGACTCAGCTAGCCCCGTATTATGCTATGGGGTCACTCCCAAGTCGACTCTGGTCATTACTATGATTGAGGACAATGTATCACTACTAAGCGCCGAATTTTCCAAAGATACTTGGAGAGCTCATCTTCTCACCTGCGGCTGAGGCGAACTGATACACATTCTATATAATGAAGAAGCTCTCTTGAGAAGGAAGCTTGATTTGCCTCCCCAGTGGACAACGGAATTCTCAAGAACTGCTACTAGATATTCCATGAGTCTGAAAACAAAGTCCAGTCAATGAATATTGAGCAAATAAGCCCAGCTGTCACTCACCAACAAATGGGAGACTCATTGCCAAACTTCCTGGGAAGGCACTTTGGTAATACAGATCCCCGAAACGATGGGTACCTCCTAGTAGGTATCTAGACGGATATGAGATAAGTATTACCACAGACAACAAGCCTTTGCTTGTCCAGAAAACAGGAGTCCTAAGCAGCTCCAACTGAACGAGCGAAAATACGATTTAGATGGACGATGACATTCTCCCCTATCACTCATCAAAATGAGTAAAGTTATTTACTGTTATTGCGTTATTTCTATATATCGGATTGATCTGTCAGGGGCCTACCCGGGGGCCAGGTAAGGTAGAGAGGGCTACATGTATATGACTCCCGCAATCTCTCTCGAGAAGTTAAGAATCACCGTGCAGCAACGATATTTTCTGCGTCTTCTAGGTTCGGTTCCGTGACACGGCACGCCCTTAGATGAGATTGAGAAGAAGTTGGTGATGGTCCTCGAAATCGCTTCGAAGTGATGTGTCGTGCTTCTCCTTGGCAGGAGCGAAAGGTTCCTCGAAAAGCGTAGCGCCAACACAGAAAGGTATCATGGTCCATCTTCTTGCGCCGACTCGGATACTACTGCGGGATCCTGCTCATGACCACAACCCCCCCGTGCAGGCGATCAACACGGCATCTCAGTCTCATACCCCACCCCTCCACGCCGAGAAACGCCGCTAGATCTGGAAGAGCTCTGTCTGAAACCCATAGCTAGGTACGACTGTCAAGGGAAAAGATTTTGACTACCTAGTTGGGAAAGGTTTAGGCTAGTGGGGGTGAAATCAAGCACCTGGCGACGGTAGCACAACTGGTGGCCACCCAGTAGCTACGAGGAGTCGCCGCTGAGTTTTGAGCGGGTTAGTATTATCGTGTGGATGACTTTGGCTAGTTTTGCTGCTGACGCAAACAAGTGGACGCGATTCTTGGAATATTGGACTAAGTGGAATGGTTGATTCCTCTTTTCTCCTAAAAAAAGGGAGGGGGGGAAGGGAACCAGGGTGTCGGAACGGATTCAGATGGCTTACCTACTTAGGTACTCAACGACTACGTGATACGCTAGTTACCGGGCTCATTAAGCTTAAATGGGTATGGTAACTCGAATTCTCAGATGTGTCGTTTAGGGGTGTCACGTGGCCCCCTCAACCAGCACACCTCTCAATCTGGATACGTGTGTAACTTAGGTACCTAGGTACCTTTCAATAACTGCAAACCGTGCGAAAACATATCTCGACCGAAAATTTCGCTCAGAAGTGTACCATTGTCGGGGGTGAAGTCCTAGTCAAGTAGAGTACGTGTGAGGTTTTACAGAATATTGATGTAAATGTTGAATTGATTTCCTCTGGGTATCTGTTAAGGGGTATCACGTGCTTCAATATCCCACGTGACCACTTATAAGATCACATGATGATATATATCCGATTCCGCATATGGCGACGATATCTCGAAGGAAAGGTGTAGGGCGGAATGTGTGTTTTTCGAAGAAAGAGGTGATGTTATTAAATTAGCGAAATGGTTTAAAATATCAAAAGGCCGGGGGATATTAAAGGAGCAAAACGTTAGTAAGTTTAGATTACGCGGCCGGTTTCTTTCGAAGTGGGACGACATACTGGCCTGTTATATGTTTTCCAAGCCCACCAGAGAACCGGGCTCGCGAGCGGCGCATGCGGGCTCATGAGTTGCTACAACATTTACCAATACGACTTCATGACTGAGAAAAAATTTGTGGTTCCATGCTCAGATCAGGGGGCTAGTCTCTACCTTAGGGCTGGTGATGAGATTTATCACATCCATCGTAAAAGCGACAAACCATTAGCACGACATTGGGGGTTCGATCAGCACTAACTAGGTGTTGTTGAACTTGTCGATAGGCGGCTCTGCGCGGTACCTGACGCACAGAGATCGAAGTTTTAGATTTGTTTTTTATTTGTATGGCCGCGTACTCTTTACGTAAGTGTCATCCCTGCAAGTCAAGTTTAGTTCCCGCAGCGGAGGGTAGTATTACTGGGGCCCCTGTTTATATATGTACCTAGCATCGTGGAATTTTGAGTACCTAGTGTATTTCTAGGGGTAGCTATCATAGAGGTGTAGGGACTCAGCGGACATTACACCAATGATTATTGCCCAATTAATCATATACGAGTTGAGGGGTACGATTTAGGTCATCTAACTACCTGTTTACTAGGATTCAAGGGGCCGAGTGGGCGGGCATTCCGCTCAGCGTAATAAAGGGGAAAGATAATGATTGGTATCTTTTCATGAAATCGAATGAGAATTTCGGTCCCGATTTCTTGGAAAAAGAGCCCCTGGGGTTAGTTAAGGGAGTCTCAGCTTAAGGAGTTTCACCAGGAAATATACAGAACCATGAAAGATAAAACAAGATCGTGGCTGAAATTGAGGCTATCTACTAGGGACCCAGCAGGAGCTATGACCCAAGAGCCAGGGTAGCTTCATCTCATTCCGGTAATCTGATCATTGCGGAGTACGGAGTTGACGTCTAAAACTTAACCTTAGGTAAATAGATACTAGGTATCCATGAATCTCTCGAACTACACCTTCAACTCTATCCCTAAGGAGTCTAGGAGCCTCTTGTTGATACCCACATCGTCTTATTCCTAGATAATTCTTTAGACTCCATGGCCCTGTTATACGACCCTATTTTATGATAGTCGGAGGGATCTAAGACGGGGCCACAGAGGAGGTATGCCTTTGGTGAGGTTATCGAACAGCGTTACGGACAATGTAAGTCTCGTAACTATCTACTAGCAAATAGTCACTGCCGGGTAATGTCGTCATGAGACTAAGATAGGTACCTACTTTAGCTTCGCTTGCTTTGGGGTTACTGTATGCTTATCTATGAGACTATGATGTTCTAAAGTATACCTGCTTAGGTAGGCACGTAAGATTGGGGGATATTATGGAGATAACATACAATGATTCCCAGGAATAGGGACGAACGAGCCAGGAAGAATGCAATACGACCTACTGTGATGTCAAACCAGGTCCCATTGCTACCTGCCAAGGCAGGACGTTGGACTAGAAATGTAACCAAAACATATCTCATCAATTTTTTCAACGCCAGCCTAAAGAGCCTGTGACAGTTCTGTTTTACCAATTATCAGGGGAGAATTGTTTCATTAGCGCAGAGCACGACTGCTCTCGTAGAAAGGGGTCCGGCACTTGGGACACAAGCTAATTACTGCCTTCGGTAGTTGCGCCCCAGTTGTGAGGTAACGCCGAGAGACTGGAGGCTCTGAGATGAACCCCTTTAGCGTGAAAGTGGAAACAACTTCCCCACGCAAGGAGTCCAAGCGAAGTTGTCTTCGGAAAAATAACATAGAAAAAAAGAAGGATTCTCAGCGTGTCGTCGTAAGCTCTTCGTAACAGAGAATGTGATAAGACTTCACTCTCTGCGGTCGCCCGCACAGAGATAATGAGCACTTGGACGATGATCGACTTCTGGGATCAGTTTGATGATTTACGCAACGTTGCCACGATATACCTCTACTCCACATACTTACTGTTTACTGTATGTGCCCGAGATTTGGTCATTCGATTCGATGAGGAGCTTATTTGTCCAAATGGTCTAGTGCTATACGGTCTGAACTTGGCGGATATTGAGACGCATCCTCTTAGCGTACCTAGATATCATCGTGATACTAGATTCTATACAGCAATTGATGTTTCACACAAGTACCTTTCGGTAATGATGAGACGAGAAGAGTACCTAAACTACCTAGGTAACTAACTCGTGCGACTACAAGGTTACGGGAATTACTAGTTATCCTCACTTGGCATCTTGAAAGCTCTCTCATGGCAGGCAGTCTAGCTTCGTTCTCGACGGAATGTTTCCCGAGGGGGGTCAGGGGGAAGAAGCGACCCATGGAGAGAGAAAGTGACCAACGTCTATCTTGTCACTTGCATGCAGGGTATCGAATATGAGCACCGCTCCTCCAGGATCATATATCACCGCCTCTAATTAGGAGTATCTCGTCTCGACAGAATCACATATAAGTATGAGGACCACTCTCGCCATGGCTCAAACCAAGACGAAAGCATCACAGCAAGTTCCTTCGTCTTCATATTTACTCTTCGGCTGGCCAATTCAGAGTTATATTCCATCATCTTGACTTCACGATCTCCTTCATCTCAGTCTTTAAACAATCTACCTTAACTTAATCTCAAATCATCTCATCCCTTTCAACAACCCAGGCACACACACACACACACACCCGCGCACGCACACACACACATCAAACACCATGTACTCTCCCAAAACCACAACCCTCCTCCTGGCCCTACTCGCCCACTCGCGGCTCATCACAGCCCAGTGCCCAGCCGTCTGGACCGACGTAGCCACCGACCTGAAGACATCATTCATCGGCAGCGACGGGGGTTGCACGGATGATGCGCGCGCCGCCATCCGCCTCTCTTTCCACGACTGCTTTCCCGGATCCTGCGACGGCTCCATCATCCTCGCGGGCGAGTGCACAGACCGCGGCGAGAACGCGCAGATGAAAGACATCTGCTCGATCCTCGGCGACAAGGCCACGGACTTCGGCGTTGGTACTGCTGATCTGATACAGTTTGCTGCTGGTAAGTCCCCTCTCCATCTTTGGATATATATCTGCGTGAAGTACCCTTAGCTCACATTTGTCCCCCCCCCCCTCCCTTTAGCATTCGGCATAGCCTCATGTCCCGGCGGCCCCAAAATCGCGGTCAAAGTCGGACGGACCGACTCCTCCGTCGCGAACGCCGCGGGGCAGATGCCCGGCGCCAACGACGACGCGGACTCGATCGTCGCCGCGTTCGCCGCCAAGGGGTTTTCGATCACGGAGCTGGTGGCGCTGATGGGCGCGCACAGCACCGCCAAGGACCTCAACGGCAACGCGCTCGACACCACCGTCGAGGACATGGACAGCACGTTCTACACCGAGACGGCGGACGGCACGGCGCCCGCGAGTTTGAACAGCGACAAAAACCTCAGTAACTCGACGCAGACGAGCTCCGAGTGGGAGGCATTTGGAGCCGATTCGGAGGCGTGGATGGCGGCTTTCGTGCCTGCGTAAGTGATTCCTTTGATTCGTGCTATATAAAGAGAGAAATAACTAACTCGTGTTGTTGCAGGATGGAGAAGATGGCCTTACTTGGTAACGACGCGGCGAGCTTGACGGATTGCTCGAGTGTCCTGACGGATGCTTTCGCGTGATCTTTCTTGTTCAGCGAGGAATGATGTTAATATTGTATTGTATAATTGTATGATTATATCACCACCGTACGAATAGCTATTTTATAATGTGGTTGAGATCGGGTTTGGATATGGCGTTGTGGCCTTCATTGGCTTGGCAGGGGGAAAAAGGGGGTAGACCAGGAGGAATGTATTATATAAATACGACTGTACTATATGACGAGCATGTACAATTTAGCCTTTTCTTTTTTGAAGAAGAATAATCAATTCGAATACCTAAAATCAAACAGTCTAATAACTAACTCCCCAACTCCCTACTAGATGCCGCTATTCCCTCTCAGCAAGTAACCTTGGTGTAAGTAACGATCTACCCTAACACTTTCGGACCAGAGGCGAAAATGAAACAAAACTCAAAAAGTACCTACTAGGTAGCTTGCATACCTACTTCAGGGAAAAGCAATCAATACCTGTCTCCCTTTAAACCCGCTTCACTACCAGACCCGCTGCTATTAGTTAGGTACCTACCCAGGCTTAGGACCGTTCAACCTAGAGAACCTGGGGAACCACTGCGAACACCACTGATTACGTTCTGCGCGTGTTGTTCTGAGATGGCGCAGCTCCACCAGCAGGCGATGTGCGCGTCGAGCCACCTCGCGCCGCACCCCCTCTCACCGCACCCCCTCGCCCCGCTGCCGTGCCTCCTCGGCTCGAACCTCCCCGCAAGCTGACACGCGGGACTCCGATGAAGGAAGGGACGCGGCTGTCGCCTGTACTCGTCGGCGTCCTCCTCGTGCTCGTGCTCGTGCTCGCGCTCGCGCCTGTCGGGGAGGAGGATGTGGGTTTGATAGGTCTCACGGGCGTCGCAGGCGCTGACACTGTTCCGGCGAAGTTGCTGCTTCGGTTGGCGGAGGCCAGCTTGGCGTTGGTCGCCTCTTGGCCCTTCTCGAGCGTTTGCAGGGAGATGGTGAGGTCCTTCTGGAAGGGGCTGATCATCACGAACATCAGCGTCTTCGAGTCGTTGGAGAGAACGGGCCGGAGAGCGCGCAGGAGAGCCGTGTCGAATGCGATGCGGCCGCCCTGCCCGAGTGACGTGATGGCCATGTTAAGGCTCATTAGCGACTCGTTGATCTTGATGCCTTCCCTGAGCTGCTGTCCTTGCAGACCACCAGCTGCTGATCGCTCAGATCCGGCAAGATCCACGATGTTGAGGATACCCGTGACGGTCTTTCGCTGCTCGTTGTCCCTCCTCCGAATCTGAAATGTAAGAATGAGATGCGACCGGCTCGAAGTCTCGTTCCTGTTCGTGGCCGATGTTTCCCGGATGCTCGTCGCTGCGTCAATCATTTCCGCAGCCATGGCCTCTGAGTCCAGCTCCACCGACACAGCTTGTTCCAGGCGAACTTGAATCTTCTCACCTTCGTCGCCTGTCTGCAAGAGATCATAAACATTGTCGACGTAGACCTCGAGAATTGACATCGAAACCGTGTAGTTGTATTTATCCGTTGATGAATTGATGGTATCGAAAATCAGACCCAACGTTCTGGGAATGAGGCCGGTGTCTACGGGTTTCTGCGGATCGTTGTGACTGAGCGTGAAAGTCTTTCCCGATCCTGTTTGCCCGTAGGCAAAGATTCCTACCTTCTCGCCAGTCAACGCGCACTCAGTGAGGTCACTGATCTCCTTGAAGATATCCTCGTTCGTCTCATCGGGACCGAAGATTCGCTCAAACTCGAACGATCGCTGTTCTTGGACCGCTTGACCCCTGAAGTTCATCCGCTCGGTCGTGATACGCAACTTTCCCCAGTGTGTGGAAAAGTCTCCTCGCTCGCGAGGACCAAAGTCGACGAGGTCTTCTTCCGGGGTGCCAACAGGGGCAGGACGGATTCGACACATGACGCGGATGTTCCCCTTCAGCGATTGAACTTGCTCGAAAAGGGTCCGCACCTTTTGTCTCTCTGCCTCAAGTTCCTGCTTCAGCTGCTTCTCCCTACTATTCTTAGCTTGTTGAGATTGCGCGAGTTCTGCCTTCCAGTGGTCTACATCCGCAAGAGCAGCGTCGTAGAGAGCTTGTGTGTCATGATGCAGGATCTCTAAATCTATCACCTGTTGTAGAAGCTCTGTAACTTGGGTGCTAGTTGTTGCTGTAGCAGAATTGGTAACACCATTGCCAGCATGGACTTGGTCTTCTAGATGCCTAACCTGCTCTTCTAAAGCCGAAGTAATATTTCGGAGCGTGGTTTGCATTGCACCATCATCGCTCAATAAGGCAGCGTTGATCTGCGCAGTGATATCCATAGTGTACTTGCACGAAAGAGTGCGATGTAATACCTGATTGCTATCTTGAAGTGAGCGTTAAGTTGTGTCAGTGGTGAATTTGAGAGTATGGGTAGGTAGGTATTGGAAAGATTATAAGTCTTAACGAATTGCCAATAAACCAAATCATTATTCATGCCCCGAATATATATTTCTATTGTTAACTGTAACAATAAATCTGTCTTGTGAGGAAATCCATTGTCCTCGCTCTATGTGGTAGTTAGGTATCACCAATGCTGTGCTATTGTTTGAATCCCTTTGTAGTAAATACTCTTTCAATTATCCGTTGCTTCAGCCCCCTTTTCAACAATGGATGGCGGACAATCACTTTGTTCGTAATGTTTAGAGTCTTATCTGGGGCTCTAGATAGGTAATAGCCGTCTGACTACACCGTAAGGGTATGAGTATAGACCCATGAAAGGAATTACGACTTTTGACCAATTCCGGTTCTCATGAAGAGATTTGGTGGTAGGTCTCGCGACGCAAATTCACTATCCACTTCATACTTGACATCTGATCCTTCACCTTGAAAGCCTAGGCGTGCATAAACACCTCTGCCCACTATAGTAGTATGAATTAGTAATTGTAAGTTCAATTGGTATTGGCAGTAGTTGAGTAGATGAGTAGTTGAGCCATGAGGGGAAAGGGGGACCCCTCTGCAAACGGAGTCCAAAGGACTGATGATACTTACTGCTCGATGCTTCAGTGATAGCCTCCAGCCCACCCCTACGCTGTGCTTCGTCAAGCCCCCACTGAACCAACTTTCCAGCAATCCCCCTACGTTGGTAGGCTGAGTGCACACCACAGATGGAAAGGTGAAATATGGACGGTTGCTCCGACGATTGCTTCTCTTTGGCAACCTCGACACGACGCGTAGTGAAAGAGCGCCAGACCTGGCACAGGAAGCGCTGCTCAGACTCGTTGCCCGGATATAGTGCTTCAAGATCGAGAGAGCTGCGCAAGTCATTGGACGGTTGATCTCCATGGCCCTCCACCATTGACAGTTGTGCCCAAACAGCCATGCCGGCGACGACACGCTTGCCTTCGCTAGGTACGGTTGCCACGAGAAAGATCTTATTTGGTCTTCCCTTGTTGTCGTAAGTTATGCTTTGCCATTCTTCAACCATCCGGGCCGCAGCTTGAGGTCTACCTTCGGGGCCGGACTTGTTCCATTCCGGGTTGGTAGCCATCCATATCGCATCGCGAGCCTGGTTGCCAAACGCATCGCAGATACAGTCGAATCCAGCAACAACTTCCCCCGGTTTGCTGACTACCTCTATCCGTACATCATCCCCCGTGGGGTGTGTTAACACAGCTTGGCTAGCCATGTTTAGCAACGAGAGACTAGTGGGTATTGAGGCCAGGTAGGTACGGAAGTGAAGATGATGACGAGGCGGGGAAGTTTCATATATTACAAAGGGGACTGGTTCACAATTCAAGGTTAGGTATTTATCTGACGTTGACCCAGCGCTAGCTATTTATTAGTCATAATGATACCCTAGGATAGAGCTGCCAAGGTTCGATCGAGACCCGGTCCGGTGGCCTTCAGTGAAGTGGAGATTTCATCCATCCTCCTATTAACAATATTTCTCTTGTAGGTAGGATGTATTATATCTCTTGGGTATTGTTTTTTTTACCAACCGTGATAAAAAACCTGTCCCTGGATGTAAGGTGGAAATAGGGGCTAAAGTCAGGGGTAAACCCACCTACGTAAGTGTCGAACAATTAATTAGCGATTGCCAATAACAATCCTAGAATAGGAGAAAGAATGCAACTAGGTAGACAATGAGGATTGTTTCAATTCTTTCACAGAAAATTGTAAGACTATGACAGAGGCAACATAAGGAGCAGAGAGCAGCTTATGCGCTTTAGTCTGAGCACCTTGGAAACCTTAGGCAACATTGGAACCTTGGAATGGTGGATAGGATGGTTCTTAGTTACTAGGTAGTAGGTAAGTTGAGGCACTTAAAAGTAGGCAGTTAAAGGAGCTGTCACGACTCCGAACTCCGAACTCCGCTTTATTTCATTCCCAGCCCCAGATCATGTATATCTTCTTTACATATTTATTAGCTTTGTGCCTAGAAAAATCACTCGAATCCAGGATAGCATCCTCAGGATGTCTATCAACTATTACATCCGTGAATCTCGTCTGCAGATCGACTGATTCGGGAGTCCTAATCCACGGGTCTTGTTTAGCCCATATCCTGTGACATGAGTATATCAATAGAAACACTGGGATGCCAATATACGCCGTGAGGAAGTCCGAAACGGTAAATTTCCCAGGGAAAAAGACTGAGAATCCATTAAGCAACCCAAAGAGAGCAAACGCTACGACGGCTATCCACGATAGCCAAGGTTGCAAGACACTCGTGTAAGGCAGGTCGGACCTATCGATCCCTTGCACCGAACATGCCTTTCTAAATCGGAAGTAAACGAGGCAGCAACACGTCCAGCTGATGAAAGCGGCCGTGTTGATGATGCTGACGAACCAATTGAACACAATTCCACTGACCGTGCCAACATTCAAGTAGGCGAGCAAAGCCAATAAGCTCGAAGCTATAACCGCATAGACGGGCACCCCGTGCGTATTACAACGCGCGAATATTCGCGGTGCGCTCCCCACCACCGCGAGTGAGTACAAGGAGCGGCTGGACATATACAGCACCGAGTTTCCGCTGCTCCACGCCGACGTGATCACAACGGCGTTGATTACACTATCCAGGCCATGAACCCCCGCATTCTCAATCGCGATAACCCACGGCGACGCGGCGACCCCCTTCCCGCCGTCCGTAAGCGCCGGCTCGTCGCTGCGGCATATAACGCCGATCGCCAGGGCGCCCAGCGCATAGAACAGGATCAGGCGCCACACGAAGTGCAGCGCCGCCTTGGGCAGACTCCGGCGCGGATCCGTCATCTCGCCCGCCGCGATGATGACTAACTCGGGACTGAAGTTGAAGCTGAAGCACGAATAAACCAACGTGAACAGAAAAGCGCAGAACCGTCCCCCGGCGCCCCCCACCAAATACTCCTTCGTCGCGCCGGGCGGGTCGCGCCAGTAACTAAACCCCAGCCGCGTGTGGTCGGGTCCGCCACCGAAGAACAGGACGACGGAGAGGACCAGCAGGCCGACGATCGCAAACACCTTGAGCGACGCGAACCAGAACTCCGACTCGCCGTACACGCGGACGGGGCACAGGTTCAGCGCGACAATGACGGCGAGCGCGAGCGTGATCCACGCGGCGGTCGGCACGGGGCTGCGCGGCCAGTACTCGACGACGACGGCGGCGGCGGTGACCTCGTACGCGACGCTGATGCCCCACGTGTACCAGTACAGCCAGCCGAGCGCGAAGCCGAGGCTCGGCGACACGAGGCGGTGCGCGTAGTACGCCACTGACATCCCCGGCACCGGGAGGTAGGCGCCGATCTCGGTGAGGGCTGTGACGATGCCGTACACGAGGATGCAGATTGCGAGGTATGCGGAGAACAGGAGGGCGGGCCCGGAGGTCGCGAGGGCTTGCCCGGTCCCGACGAAGAGGCCGGTGCCGATTGTGCCGCCGAGGACGAGCATTTGTGCGTGGCGCGATTTGATCCCGCGTTTGGTGCCGGGGACTGAAAGGGAGGGGGAGGGGGAGGGTTCTTCGATGGTGTCTCCCATGGCTTGGTCGGTGATGATGGACTGTTTGGGTTCTTGCATGGTAGTGGTAATAGGCGCTTGGGCTTGTTTACAGCTATTTTATCGACTTGAGCAACACAAAGGTGCCTAACCTAGGTAAATATGAAAGTAAGTACCTACCGAGGTGAGAGGTAGGTAGGGACTCGTATATCAAGGCGTGGAGTGGCGTAAATATCGCTTACTCAGGACCATCCTCAGGTGGGATAGGGGAAGCTCTTATCATCCAGTTACATCAGATCGATCTTATTGTGACTGTTAATTGGTAGAGAGTCTACGATTTAATTGCTGACGTTTCACAGGCATGTGAAAGAAGTAGATGGTCTGTTGAATAGGTACCTACCTATATCATTCATTGAAGACGAATACCTATACTTGCTATGCACCTACTTACATGCAACTCCATTCAGATAAACTATGCGATGCTTCTATTCCCTCCCTTCTCCATTTATTGGCAAGTTTTCGCGAATAAGGGATTCAACTTCCATAAACTGGGGGGCCGGGAATCTTGTACTCTGTGAAACTGTTGCCCCAGATGTCGACCTTGATACCGGGGTCGCTGGCGCTGTAAGCACCAGGGAATTTCACACCCTCTGGGTTTGCGGAACCTCCGCCGGTGACCGTGATTTGCTATTCACCTTCGTCAGCATGCATGGTCACACTTTTGTAAAGTGAGCTTTCAAGAAGAGTATTCGACTTACGTAGCAGGTCATATAGAACTGGGCGCCGTTCGCCTGGGAAGCTGTATGCAGAGCGATGGTCTCCGCACGCAGGAGGTAGTCTCCCGGGGCGATGTCAGCCGGGATCTTGACATCTTGTTTGCCGCAGTTCTTGTTCAAGGCGTCGTTGCCCCAGGCCTTGGTCGCAGGGTCGTAGCCCTGTTCGTAGATCTTGAACCAGGATGATGACCCGTCGGCCGAGGCAGCGTCTTCAACTTTGCTTAGGTACGCCAGGACAGGCCCGAAGTGGTTTCCACCTAAGGCCTCTCGGGTGCAGTCTCTGTCGCCCGGCTGTTGGTGCATTTCTACCGTGACAGTATCGCCAGCTAGACGCTCGTTAGAGGATGGTAGGTAAGTTAAAGGGTTGAGAAGATTGTTTTACCAGCTACACTGCACTTGGCCGCCGCGGCCTTGGTGCCTCCAACATTGCAACGAATGTCGTTTGAGGCCACACTAGTAACGGGGTTATTGTTTGACTTATTAGGAGTTAGTCTCTGAGTTATACTAAACGATTTATTGCCTTCAAGGGCCTTTTCTGTTTAACGTACTGGAAGCCTGGCGCAAGTGGATTCCTCGTCTTTCCCAGCTACCCACAGCTCTTGGAATGTAGCGTGGCTAGCAGCTGTGGCCGCCAGCGAGGCGATGACGAGTGAAGCAGTCGTAGCCCTCATTTTGTAAGTATGTGAAGAGAATATAATTCTGATCGACTTTACTTAGGGTTTAGGGAGTCAAGAGAACCTGATGGGTCCTAGATGGGCTGAGCCAGGATTAAATATGCGTCCTACGAGCAGCCCGGTAACATGGAAAACCACTACGTGCAAGACTATACCAATGGCCCGAGATACTATATGAGATATAGGGCATTCGCGGTATGGTAGGTCTCGTGTACTGACCTATGACATAGACACTACCCAATCCTAGAGAGAACACAATCTGCCTAAATAGCATATCCTGTCCTAGCGATTAATAGAAGATGGATGATCTTACCTTGAAAGAGCCTCACGACTGGGATCGAGAGATCTGGGTAGATGAAAGCAGAACTAAAACCGCCGAATGGACCGGTGGGATGCTCCCCTTTTCAGACACTCTGGTAGCGTTTCATTGGATCACCTTTGACAGATCGTCTTCATGCATCGGATTTCGGATGAGGCTTCCGCTTCATTATGCGTTACTCTTTCTGATAGCAGCATTGTGAATAGGTACTTAGGCATCTAAGTCATTCGGACAAATATTGTCAAGCCGTAGGTAGTTATGCGCTAGGTGTGAATATGAAAGAGCAGACTGCAGAACCACAAGCTCGTAGGCAGACATTTATAACAAAGTGCAAATGCACAATTGCCTACCTAGGTACCTAGATCACTTTGTCTTTTTCTTTTACAAAAGTATATTGACATGCTAGGCAATGGGTAATTTCGATGGTCGAAGTCTTGTAATGGGTTTGCTAGAGTAATGGATCCCTACAGCTTTAGAAGTCGACTATACCTAAGTGACGAGATGAGAGGGAGTAGAGACCCCATATCACTGATGACTGGCATATTAGACCCAAGGCAGATACAGGCAGTCAACTGTGAAAAACATTTACTGAGGCAGCAAGAATGCTAAGGCTACAAGAGATTTGTTGCTAGGTAGGAGGGTATTGTCCACTTTGGTTCTCATTACCACCTCCAGCTATTACAAATCATCTACTTCAGGTACCTACTATTAGATTATGCTGTCACGCCAAACAGTGAATGATCTTTCATTATTTCTCTTGAGTTTCTATCAGTATATCTGAGATACTCTAGCCACCTACTTGGGTAGGTAGGTAGGTATATAGGACCACGGAGTACAGGGTCCCTATATCCTCAACACACCTAAGAACCCTCTGAATCGCCAAGAGCATAGCTTGCCATCTACACAAGTCACCACTAAGTCCACCGCTGGATAGAAAAGTAGACATGAGCGGCATAGAGGCAAATGGTGAGAAACACACCATCCGAACATCTCATCGCATTTCGGCTCATATAACTAACCACCCCATCAGCAATGATCGAGATCCGCCGGACAGGCTTGACCGGCGGCCCTCGGGTCTTCGCGGTCGCAAACATCCGCCGGGGCACGCGCCTCGCCGCCGAAAGCCCTCTCATCACCGTTCCTCCCATTCCCGAAAACGACGAGCTACCCGAGCTCTGCAAAGCCATCGACAAGCTCCCCGACGCCAACGCAACCGAGCTCGCCAACATCTTCTGCCCCTCCTCGATCATCGAGCCCCTGCGAACCGACCTCCGCGTCCGCAACACCGTCTGGGCGCACTACAAAGCGAAGAAGTGGAAGGACGACGACTCGGGCCACGTACTATCGCAAGGCCCGAGCCGGCGGAAGCTCGTCCGGCGCACCACCAACCTCTGCGTCAAGTTCCTCGTGACCAGCGTGCAGCTGGGGCCGAGCGGCAAGTACGGGTCGGGTGTGTTTCCAATACACAGCCGAATCGGCCACTCGTGCGAGCCGAACGCGCACAACGCGTGGAACCCGACGATACAGCGGCTGACGCTGCACGCGACGCGCGACATCCGCGCCGGCGAGGAGGTCTGCGTCGACTACACCGCGAACGTGTGCCGCACCCGCCGGCAGCGCGCGTTTGTCCTGCTGTCTTCGTGGGGCGTCAACTGCCGCTGCGCGGCGTGCACGCAGCCGGCGGTCGAGAAGCTGAGACACCGCATGCTGGTCATTGATGGGGCGTTGGCGGCATACGCTTGCGGCGCGTCTAGCGATCCGAAGTTTGCTCTCAAGTACGGCGTTCCAAGCGTGACGACGCCTGCGCAGGCGTTGCGGGCGGCGGAGGAGCTGGTGCAGCTGCTCAGGAAGCAAAGGCTATATGGCATGGAACTTTGTAGAACGTAAGTAATGCATCAATTTTTCTACTGCGCTTATAAGATCCTGCTATGTCAGTGCTGCAAGGCTGATTATGACAATGATAGGTTTCGTGAGTGCTCGAAGTATGCTCTCGACAGCGGAATCTTCGATAAAGCACTGCAATATGCACAGAAGGAGTTGGAGCTGGAGAGACTATTGATCGGCACGGACACGGAATACCTTCGGGGAGATCTCTACGGCGCGGAATGTTGGATCAAGTCCGTTCGTGAGAGAACAAGCCACAGACCTAATGCAGGTTATAGTTACTGCCAAGTAGGTGAATAGCTGAAGTGGATTTAGGATCAGCATAGTTTGATGCCTATTACATGTAGGTTCATAGCCTTTATGTATTGGATATCATAAATCAATACGAAGTAGCATTCGCACAGAAGTGTGATGAAAAGAAAGAATAGGTATCGGAGTTGATCTTTGATTCTTGATTCAGGGGTATTGCAACTACCGGTACCCACCAGATACCACCTAGCAGCCCTGTAGTGGAGGTCGATACTACTACCTCCCTAACCTCCAGGCTCCAGGCTCCAGGGCCACTAGGCATTTAGGTCTAAGCACCAATCTAGCGTGTGTAAATAGCGCCAAGTAGCCCTATGCACAGGGCCGTATGGCACTGCCAATGGCGCAACCCAAGGGTCCCAGGGCTCCATTTCGTACTATTCCAGGGCTAGTTCGTACTTCGTACCGAGTGGTAGGCAGGCAGCAGGGCAGGGCACTAGAGAAGCTCCATTGTAGGATGATTCGTTCGATTTTCGCATCTTGGCTGCGCCACGGTCTTAGTCGTCGCCCGGGCGTCTTCCAGCTTCTGTTTAATAAGACTTTAAGTACATACAGCCAGTACCTAGTACCTATATGTACACTGCCATCCCGTTGACATAGCCCTAAGGCCTCTACATATTTCTACCTTTTAAATCACCTGGAAGGAAGAGAGGAAGAAGTTAGCCAGTTCGACTCATACAAGTCTTGAAATTGTCTAGATTCAGACCGTGGTGTACACGTTTTGCCAATACTTCGTTGGCTTTCTGAGTTAGGTACTTGAGGTATACCGTATGTACCTGGGTACAAAATAGTACTAGTACTTTGGTACGCGGATTCGACGATAACATCGGAAGCGGAAGCACTCATAATAATATGAGGACTCGGTAATACGAGAACTGCCACGAAAACAAGAACGGGAAGGGAAGGGAGAATACACACCATGGAGCCGGGACCCCGACACGGAGTGCTCGATGACAAGGTGGCCCGTCTAGCCGGCCCAGTACATCGGGCAAGCGAGCTGCCCGGGGGGCCAGTACACAGGACAAGCGAATTGTCCGCGGGCCCAGTACAGCGGCCCGCCGAGTTGCCGGCGAACCCTAGTAGTCGTGCCTCGGCAGTCGAGCTTCCCGCAAACATTCCCGCAGAGCTCTCGAGCGGTGACGTCGTCTTAGCAAACGCGCCTTCACACCACCAACACCACCATCACCATCACCAGCCACACCAGCCGCCGCCCTACTCCAGCCCATCAGACAGCTCTCACGATGTCCGGACCCAACTACCCAAAGGCCCGCAGTACTACCCCGGGCTCCCCATTCTGGACTATCGGCAGTACCTGCCGCCGCTGTTCGAGCTATCGGCCGACTCGACGACCATCACGAGCAAAGCAAACCACCTCTCAGAAAACCCGCGCGCTCTCGCCACCTTACTCCGCGCCATGGCCACGGTGCCGCCGAAACCACAGGTGCTGATCCAGGGGAACCGCGGGCGCAAGGTCGACTTCAGCATCAAGCTGAACCTGATGAACCTGCTCGTCTCCGCGGACCCGCGCGGGCGCCTCGACTACCTGCGGTGCGTCGGCAGCGACGAGATGGCCTTGCGCGGCGGCAGCGAGCCGGGGCTCAAGCCCGACTTCGGCGTCGACAACGGGCTCGACGCGTGGTGCGAGCGCTTCGTCAAGGACGCGACGCCGATCAAGAAGTTCAAGCTGGAGCGCGTGGTGGCGAACCTCGACACGGCGTGGATCGAGGGCAAGATCCGGGGCCTGGTCGCGTCGACCGAGTATAAGGGCCAGGTGACGGTGCAGTTCCCCGTCACGCACGCGAAGGTGGTGGTGCACAGTCCGGATAAGCGCGGCAAGTTCCTGACGAGCGTCACGTCGATGTTCGCGACGAAGAGCAAGTACGAGGTCGTCAAGGCGGTGTGGCCGTTTGCGACGAGCAAGAATGGGGACCCTGGGCGCAGGTGTGTGGTTCAGAGCGAGAAGATCTGGTGGGAGGAGTGGCGCGATCCGATTAAGTACGCCGTCGCGACGCAGCGGCAGGGCTGGGTCACGAATGAGGATAAGCTGGAGTGCATCATGGAGAGCAAGGGGAGGGGCATTTCGATGGTGGATTGGGGCCCGGAGTTGTAAGTAACGCCGGGTGTGTGCAGATTTTTCATGAACCTGGCTTTATGAGATGGGAGGCTATATGAGTACGAGTAAGACACATGAAGAGACCTGTAATTATTCTACCTTTTTTTATCTTCTCCCCCCGTTTTCTGGATACCATGGTGGTTTGGTCAGATAGATACGTCTTGCATACATAGATAGATTTAGGTATATATGAGTCTGTACAACTCTTGTATAAAGATAGAAAATATATTAACCACCTACCTAGGATACCCTAGGTACCTCGGTAGGTCGGTAATTTACATCAACAGAAAAAGGGGCAAGTAAAAAAAAAGAATTTTAAGAAACAAGAAAAAGGGGGTTTGCAATTAACAATTACCCCTGACTGCAATCTGCATACAATTCAATCGGGAAGGCGGACTCTACCGACCAACACTTTCGGGAATGGATGTGTAATTAAAAAAAAACAACGAGAATCCCAACAAAGATCTCCGTTTGGTTGGCGAGCTGAGACTGAGGTAGCAATCAACCTGTCTCCCTTTCCCGGCTGTCATATGCCACCAATTATGCACCAATTACCCGGTCCCAAGAGATAGACGAACCCTAGAACGGCAGGATATGGAGGGTGAATGGCGAGGTCCATGGACAGGCCGAGATTCTCCTCCCGATAGGAGCCAACGTCGACACTGAGTCGAGGCCTTTATGTGGATCTTCAGCATATGCAGAATTTTTATTATTTGGCTCCTACCTCGCTACCTTACCTCCGGGGCTACCTACATAATGCCTACTTTTCCAGCACCTCGCTTACTGCTAACGGCTTCGACTCTTCAAGAAAACAACAAACTTTCAAGAGCCAAGTTTACACCATGAATCTCACACACTCCCTCCTCCATCTTTCCCTCCTCCTCTCCTCCGCCCTCCTGGCAGCCGGCGACTCCCCCCCGCCCCAACTCCCCGTGATCTCGAGCATCGCATCGGATAGCCCGCAGCAATGCTCGCCGGGGCAGGACATGTCGATCACCTTCCTACCGGACGTGCTTCGTCTCGAGCTGCGGGGCATGGCGCTGGCGCCGGGGGGCCACGGCCGGACGGACGAGAACGCCGTGTGCCAGTTCACGGCGGAGTTCGGCTCCTGGTGGTACCGGTACCGGTTCGCGCTCGCGAACGTCACGTACCGGGGCCACTTCGAGGCCGACGACGGCGTGCAGCTGCACGAGCTTGCTGCTAGCGCTGTTTTCAGGTACGAGAACAGAAAGGTAAACCCCGAGAGGGCGCCGCCGGATGTGTGGAATGTGTCGATGGCTACGATGGTAAGTGTGCTGCTTCTGCTCACCTATTCCGCCATTTTTTTATTTGGCTCCTCGTCTTGCTGTATAGGTACCTAGGTACTAGGGGCTAGGTAATGGCAACTAACAACCGACAGATCGACAACACAGCCCAAGCAGCCATAGGCGGCTCGGGCGTCTTCAACGACGACTTCTCCGTCAGCGCCCCAGCGTCCGCTGACCTCGAGTGGTCGACGTGCATGGACGGCGGCGAGGGTACCGGGGACGCGAAGACGAAGATTTTGTTCATCCTTACGGCGACGACAAGCGACAAGACCGGCGAAGGTACCGGTAAGCTGACGGGAGGCATGACGTTTGACTTTGGCGTCGTCTGGGAGGCGTGCACGCCGGACCGCGCGGTCAAGAATGCTTGGGGCCAGAAGAGGATCGACGACTGGTCTGTCTGCACGTATAACGACACTAGCTTAAGTTCGAGTGCGGTACCACGGGCCTTGGGGGCGGGCTAGACTCGCTGGGTTGACGCTGGAAAGGGTAGAGGCAAGGTGTGATTTCGGTTGCTAAGTGCATGTTGTTGATACACGCTGAACCTGGAAAGCTTTTCGTTGATTTAACGAGCTGTCATTTATGATATGAGCCCTGGTCCTAAATGCTGGGTTTGGTTGGGGGTAGATAAGAGAACCATAGTTCAAGACAAATGAAACAAATGAGGATTGATGTAGGTACGGTAGCGAAGCCCGTAATATACATGTAAGTCTTTAATAGGTATACAGAACTATTGTACCATGGAAAGACATGAAAGGAAGGGTACCTATGCATGAGATATCCAAGTCCAGGCCGGCCTTTTCCTACCATAGAACGAGTCATCATGGTGCAAGTTCACACATTCTATACGCACCTGCACCTAGTCTACCCTCCCCCCCTTCATCCAAACCACCACATCCCTCCCCCTCTTCACCGCCGCGCCCACCCTATGCGCCACCATAACCACCGTATACCCCCCTTCCGTAAGCTCCTCGTGTGTACAATATCAAGAATCAGCTCCTCGATCGCCACATCCAGCAACGCCGTTGCCTCGTCCAGCAGAACGACTGGGTTCGCGCCGGATATGCTCAGAGCGTGGACCTGCAACAGTGCGCGCGCAAGCGCGAGGAGCTATCCCTGGCCTACTGAGAGTGGGGGGGATGATGACAACGGCTGCTTTAGAACGGGGTGGTGAGCGATTGCATCGTGCGAGGAGTCGTGGTGAAGTGCCCCCACAAACGCACGGTGTTTAGAGCGCGGACAATGGTATCGTTTGCCAGGGTTTGCGAGGGATCAAGGTTGGGGCGGAGGCTGGCTTGGGGGAAGAGGAGGGGGTCCTGGGGGACGGTGACGAAGCAGCGGGGGCGCAGGACGGAGCGAGGGATGGGGCGGAGGTTGATGTCGTCGATGGTGATGGAGCCGGAGTTTATGTCTAGGAGCTTGAGGAAGGTGAGGAGGAGGGAGCTTTCGCCGCTGGAGGATGGGGTTAATTATTGGCTAATTTTCGAGGGTAAAGATGTGGGTGGATAGGAGGTAGGTAGGTAAGCTCACCTTCCTGTTCGACCACATATGACGACATTCTGGCCAGGGCTGATCTGCAACGATATATCGTCCAGCGTCTTGACATCCGGGGAGTATGAAGCAGTGATATTTACGATATTGACCTCCCCACGCCTTGGCCATGCCTCCAGAGGCACCACCGCCTCGAACGGCCGGTCTTCCGGCGCAACCTCGTCCTCGAGCCCCTTTATCCTAGCAATCGCGCCAAGAGCTATCTCCATATTCGTCCACGACTCGATCAGACCGAGTAGCGTGGTATTTGCAATCAGTACCATATTCAGCGCAACCCTATTTGGCCTCCGGAGGTAGTGTCCCTGAGGACAACAGCCAGCGCAATGACGCCGACCGCGATCCCCGCGACGAGAAGGTCGAGCACGATCTTGAGCCAGCACTGGAGACACAGGAGGAGATAAAACGGCTTCTGGGACTCGTCCAGACGGCGGAGATGCTCCATCTCTGCCTTGGGCTGGCCCCCGAATGCCCGTATTGTGGTCAGTCCATCCGTGGTCTCTAGGAAGTCGATGATCACCACAGACCGGGATTCGAGTTCGAGAAGTCGGAGCTGTCGAGAGGTTCGGAGGTATACTCTCTGGACGAGATACACGATTGCAAGATATAAGGGTAGAGTGAGTGCGAGCAGTTTTGAGAGTCACGCCTTTGACCTCTCGATGATTGGTTGAGCCATGCATAAGCAGAAGCAAGTGACCCTTTTTAGGGCTAGTTTCACCATTGATATAGAGGTCCTAAGGAGGCACATAATTCCGAAGGTGTGGGAGACAGGTATCCGGGGAGAGCTTCACAATTAGGTACTAATGCATACCTCGTAGACACCAACATCTACTATCGAAAACAGGTTCAGCAATGAACCCTCACTTATATCAAGTTGTAATAATAACTAGGTGCTTAGGCAAATACATGATGAAGCTAAATTAGTTAGACCCTACCATAAGACATTGATGTTGTACAACATTGGTACATCGCCCTAAGCTTGAGATGGCTTGTAGAGCCCTTCAAGCTGTGCCTTTATCTGAACAGCCAAAAACCGTGAGAAGTAACGGCAGATGGCAAGATTGCCACCGTGGTACCAGAACCCTGGGTGACCGCTCGGCCGCCACATTACTTTGATCTCGCCTTCCTCGTCGAAGCCCCAAACATCAGAGGTTTTGCTCGCAACCTTCTCCCCAAATATGGCCTCTGTAGATGTCCGCATGTTTCCGTATCCTGTCGCGCAGACAATCTCATCTGCTTCTAGCTCAGTCCCGTCTTCGAGTTTCACGCCCTTGTGAAGAATCTCGCTGATGCCAAAGCCATGCTTGACCTTGATCTTGCCGTCGATGATCAACTGCGTGGTTCCGACATCAATGTAGTACCCTCCACCACGTTGGAGATATTTCATCCACATTCCACAGTTCATCGGACCTCGATCCGTTTTAAGACCAGCTCTGTTTGTTCATTAGCTTCATTGCCTTACCAGGGTTTACACAGGATTCGTTTCATACTTAGCGAGACCTTCAAGGATGTCCTTCTCATTGGTTTCTGAAATCTCGTTGATATCAGCATGCAGAGCCTTGAACAGCTCAGATGGTCTGCTCCACGCGATCAAATCCCCCTCGTCGACTGGGGGGCCTCCCTCGCAATATAAAGGTCCTAAAAAGTGGTCCATGACTGTCTTGTTACCTATGACGGTAGTTGACGATCGCTGAACAAGGGTTACGTCGTATCCATTTTCGTAGTAGTCTTGAGCAATGTCCATTGCAGAATTGCAGCCGCCAATCACAACAGCTTTCTTTCCTTTGGTGTTCTTCTTCGCCCCTTGGAAATCGGAAGAGTGACAGAGTACATCACCCTGGAAGAGCTTCATACCCTTGAATTCAGGGAAATTTCTCTTTCCAGAATGGCCAGTGGCTTGCACGATGTGCTTGGGGCGTAATTCCCGGACCTCGACACTTCCATCCTTCTTCTTTCGCTTCAGAACGACGACCCAGTGTTTCTTCTCATCATCCCAAGTACTAGACTCAAGGCTCGTACTAGTCCATACGTTCAACTCGAGGAACTCAGCATATGCCTTTAAAAAGTCTGCTAGCTTGTCTTTCGGAGTAAATATCGGCCAAAAGTCTGGAAAGTTCATGTATGGCAGATGGTCGTACCATATAGGGTCGTGAAGCACTAGGTGATGGTACCGTTTTCTCCAGTTGTCGCCCACATTGTCGTTCATGTCAATGATCAGAGTAGGGACCTGTAACATCTTTAATCGAGCATGTGCAGAGAGCCCAGCCTGCCCAGCCCCTTTTTCACAAGTTAGTTATTAGGTATCAAAGAGCAAGAAAAGAGGGGGAGTATGGGAACCTACCAATAATAAGTACGTCGGGGTCAGAACTTTCAAAGTTGATCTCCGCCTGCCTTCTTTCTAGCCAGTTTTTCCTCCCGATGTGTAACCCATGAGTAGCACCGTTCGCTCTCAAGGAGCCAAATGGTTCGGGGTGATCGTTAAGGCCTTGCACAGAGGTATACAGGGTCCAAATTTTCCATTCGCCACCAGTCTGAACAAGCTGGGCAAGCCCACGGCCAGATCCATGCTTGCTATTAATGCGAAGATACACTCGGATTCCACTGACGGATCCATCAGCTCGGAAATCCGCAAATTCTGCCCCGACCTTTTTCTCGGAAAATTGTTGGTCAATTTCGATATTAGCCAGGTGATGGCCTTTATCCAAGAAAGAGGTAATCTTTTCTCGGCCCTTCAAGGTGTGGAAGTCCCAAGTCAATCCAAGATGGTCTCTCCAATAGCCATTCTCAAGAAAGAGACTCGCTATAGCCTTATGGTCTGACTTTGTAAGGAGATTGTTGAATGTATCTACGATTTTGGAGGCTACCGAGAGAGCATCCACAGACTCATCTTTAGTAGTCGCTGGCCATGATGCGATGGGAAGGTCCACAGAACCAGGGACTACTTGTCGGCTCGAGTAGGAAGATTCTGTAGTTGTCATGACTGGACGTGTCGGGAGGCGAGGATGTGGTGAGACAGAAGGATGATAATAAGCAGGACGAAGCAGGCGGGTAGATATATGACGATGATATCGAGGCAGAAGAATATCGAGAAGCGAACATATACCTGAGTAGATATACAACTGGATATAGGCAGACATACGTTATTCTCGATGATCCTGATCCTCATCCCCCTCCCCGGATTCCACTAGGACGAACGGCTGCAGGACCCCCGCACGTCGTGTCACTGCTTAGCATGTAGCTAGAAGCAATAATGGAGGCATCCATGGTTGTTCCCACGATATATACTACCCTAAGGCTGCGACTTCGCGAATCAAATATAATGGACCTGAGATGCACCCCATTCCCCCGCAATTTGTAGAGCACCGGGGAAGGCAACCAACCTTATTCTTATTCCCATTGTAGAAGAGACACCGCAACGTCGTGGATTACTCGAAGCGGAAAGCCGATGAAGATTTCCAGATCATCGTCGTCCATACTCCTCAGTCTTGCTTACCTCGGTTTCAATCGACCCGATTTCCTTATCACGATGCATACTTACTTAGGTAGGTGTACGTTAGTCACAGTGACTCGTAAGTACGCAATTGGACTTTGCTCCGCTACGGAATTTGGAGGTATGCACATGATCTAGTCAGATTTTGCATTGTGCTGAAATCTCCAACGTTCCGGGTTACCTTATAATGATGTAGATGGCTGGCTGGTATTTACCACTCTGTACAGGTGTAGTACATGAGATCCACCAGCGTGTGAATATCCCATGAGCTATGCGTCCTTCGTCGCAGTTCTAATAACGAATCGGGAAATCATATGTAGAATCATTCGAATTCGGATCGAGATCTCTTGAGTGATCTTAGCACACGTTTATTTGAAGACGAGTAGAGATATCTGGGCCATAATTTGACATACAGATAATATGTAGATGCCCGTGTGCGAATCAGAATGAAGGAAAACATTGAAGGAAAGGGGAACAAAAGCTTAAGTTACTCTAGGTACGGTAGAAGCAACACCAAGGGGTCACATGACTATGGGGTAGGTACCACGTAGAACCTCCCAGAGTCCCAGGTAGTGTACATTGCAGTACACATGCATTACTAACATGCATAGTACCTTGTAGTTACTCCGATATCCGCACACATGCAAGTGCAAGGGTATTTTGAAAATACGACTCTGTTTCTATTAAAGGCCAAAGGTCTATTGGATGAAATCGTGGAGCCCCCACATATCCCTTTGAACGTTACAAGGCAACATAGGCAACAAAACTACTAAAAATAAACCCTAATACATCTCTTTTAATCCACTATATCCACATTTACCCACAACCCCATATATTGATCCAATTTTACTTCAAATACAACGCGATACAAAGTTAGCCGGTAAATATATTAATCCGGTATCTAGTGCACCCGATACGCCGGCGCAGCTGTGCCCGGCTGCCATCTAAGTTGACGATATTGATCCAGCTACGCGTCGTTCAAAAGCTCCTCCTAATCCTGAAGTTGGTACGCGTTTTGTTCCAATGGTAATCCCATCGCGAGACCCCGAGGCACGCGAGACCCCGAGGTACGCGATCTCCCATCCTTTTTGCATAGCAAGCTCGTCAGGGGAATAATATTTGGGGACGTTCTCGTCGAGGATTGAAAACATTATCGGAGAGTTTATTAAATATGGAGGCAAAAAAGACACGATCTCGATGTGGCACTTGTAATGTAGCTATGTGTAGTTCTAAGTACTGTTGGTACAAGTGGCATACGCAAAATTGAGTGGTAAATTATGTACCTACAGAATAATTAGATTTTATTGGATATTAGATTTATGGGACGGTGGGTAATTTGGCTTGGTTGTATCCTTGTTTATTTTTAGTAACTTTGTTGCCTATGTTGCCTTGTAACGTTCAAAGGGATAGATTCACAAGATCATTGTTAGATCATGGGAACTCCAATAGGATCGTCCTTACGTAAAGATAGTGACCAGGGTAGGTACCTTTCTCAGCCCTGGACTTCCCAAGAGACTGCCTGCCATGTGCTTTCTTCATTGAGCCTCTAATGTAAGAAAAAACAAAGGCAGTTAACTACTGTTTGTTTTCAAGTCATTAGACGAGCAACAAATCAGAAGTTCCGTTTTTTACAGTATCCTATTACTACATACCTCTTATAGGTAGTATCTCATTGTTATTCAACATAATTATTAGACAGTTGCTTGACAACACCACTACCAATGACCAAGCATACTGGTTCTTCCATGCACCGGGTGCCTTCGACCGGGGCAGTCGAACACGGCTATCCGAGTGGACATCTTGGGCACCTTACCGAGCATGAGGAGCAGGCACTAGTAGAATTCAAGACACTTCTTGAGGAGAAAGGTCTATACAAGCCGAACGATCCGAACTCTCATGATGATCCTACACTCCTGTGCGTAGAGAAAGCCTCGGTATCCTTTTTTTAGGTACACTATCTGAAATAGAACACCACGCTAATGCCATCACCAACCATCCAGTCGATTTCTTCGAGCGCGAAAGTTTGTGCCCCAGGATGCATACGTACAATTCAGCGAAACCGAAAAGTTCCGCAAGTCGAACCAAATCGAGGTTCTGTACGACACGATCGAAGTCGACTCTTTCGAGGAATCTAGGAAACTTGTATGTGACATCTATAACTACCTACTAGTACCCCGAGATATACTTTCGCCTAGCACATGGCAATTAAGCTTATTACTACCAATTTAGTATCCAAGATTTACCGGGCGACGTGACAAGCGGTAGGCGTTACATTCAACCGTATAATATCGCCGTAGGGTCACTAACAGCTTTTCCTTCATTAGCGGCATTCCCATCTACGTATACCAAATCCGACATCTTGACTCCCATGCAGTGGCCAAGTATGAGAAGTCGACCGAGACAACGTACAGCAGGGCGAAGACGGACGGGAAGACGCCCGCGAAGCTGCTGCGCTTATTTGCGCTATACGAGAACCTAACGAGATTCGTGCAACCGCTGTCTTCCGAGTGCACTGACCGCCCGCATCCCGCTACCCCGATCACCCTGAGCACCAATATTGTCGACATTTCGCATGTTAGTTTACGCATGTTCTGGAATTTGAAGGCTCACATGCAAGCAGCTAGTCAGCTAGCGACTGCGCATTATCCCGAGACATTGGACCGTGCGTTTTGTAGTTCTCTAGTATAACGGCCCGGGTAATAATACTAACACGCTCGCTTAGGAATCTTCATCATCGGGGCACCGATATTCTTCTCAACAGTATGGGGCTGGGTCAAGCGCTGGTTTGATCCGGTAACTGTGTCCAAGATTTTTATCCTCCAAGAGCACGACGTCCTGCCCGTCTTGACGTCATTCATGGATAAAGAGAACATCCCCAAGTGCTATGGCGGCGATTTAGAGTGGGACTTCTTCGACCAGCCAGCCTGGGACGACGAGATCAAGCGGATATGTCAATTCGAGAACGGCTACACTGCTTTCCCCACAGGCCCGCTGTACTGGAAGCCAATCGACGACGGCAAGCGACTCGAGTGTCTCGCCGTAGGCACCATCAAGGGTGGTTCAGACAGAAGGGAGCGCGTCTGCACCATCACGAGGGCCTACCCGCCCAAGACCACGGAGGATACCCTGGTGTCCGCTACGGTATCCCAGACAGACGACGCAACAATAGATGCCGACGAGGCCTTTACGACGCCCACCGAAAAGGCTTCTGTCAATGTAGACGTCCCAACTGCGAACATCGCGGCACTATCGCTCGCCGAGGCTAAGTAACGAAAAGCTACCTGCTGACTTACTACCTAAATACATATATAACCTACTCAGGATAATCCTACATACCCTATTACCCTTTTCTTCCCCTCATGCATTGGACACGACGTGGAAGGGTTGATGGATATTGAGACAATGTAAAGACTTGGATTTAACATCTGTCATATATAAGAAGATAATCGACGTGGAACTAGAATATATATTTACGATGGCGGAAGAATAACTACCTACAATGGAGTCGCCATTGGCGCAGGATTTTTTGGAATATAAAGGGGGTGTCTTATTATTTTGTGGGGGGCGTTTGGAAAGAAGAACCACATGGCATACATATATAATATTTTTGATGCTTTGGGTGATATGTATGGCACTTGGTCCTATAATCCAAACGCCAAACGCCTACTCGTCTAGACTCTGTCTCTGTCTATATTCTATCATAGCGTGGAAAAGTTCCATCTATACGCTGTGCCCCATCGTAGTCTACTGTCTAATATCCAATAATCGTAGCACGGAATCAAAGCAGCAGTATTTTAAGTAGGTAATCTGGTATCTTCAAACCCCCCTCCGCTTCCTCCACTCCTGTATCCCGCTTACGATCTCGCCCCACGAAACCCCGTCTCTGACAAGCCACATCGTGACCCCCAGGGACTCGGTATCCCTGTTCCTGCTCTCGTCGTCGAAGAACAGCATCTCGTTGTACGGGATGCCCGTGCGCTTCGCCAGCGCCTCGAAGTGGCGTATCTTGGAGCTGGGGTATATCTCGAGCCCGGCGTCGAAGAACTCGACCGCTTTCCGGGCCTTGTCCTTGCGGCTGGCCAGCGCGGCCGCCACCGCACTGCCACCTTTACTACCGCCGTCCTCCTCCCCCTCCGCTGTGGGCGCTGGTGCTGATAGTAGGGTGCTCGCGGGCGGCACGTGCAGCAGCTTGAGCATCTCGCGGCCGAGCTCGGGGGCGTGGGTGCGGCTGGCGACGGCGAGCTTGACGCCGGCGAGCGAGAGGCCGTGCAGGATGGCAGGCACGTCGCGGTAGAAGGCGAAGGACTCGCCGATGCGGTCCGTGCACGCGCTGTGCGCGGCGTTCGGCGCCAGCGGCGGGTACACGTGCGTGTCCACCCAGAACGGCCACAGCGTGTAGTCCAGGTCGAAGACGACGGCGCGCGGGAGCGGCTTGCCGTCGCTGAGGATCGAGGGGATGGGGATGGTGGTGCTGCCGTCCGGAGCGCCGGCGCTCGGGAGGGTGGGTTGCTTGGCGAGTTTTTTGACCATGGTTTAGGTATTTTTATGTATTTTTTATATGTAGGTATAAAATAAAAAAAGGAGTGGTACGTAATCGGGGTAGGTATGGTACGGTTCTCTTGCACCCGAGCCGCACTGGTATGGATTTGGGACGGTGGGCCAAATCAATTGAAACCGCCAACCCGCCAAAACATTAAAAATATTGATTATATAAGCACAGGGTACAAGGCTTGCCATACAAATTTATATGGTAACAGATGTACCTTTACAAGGAGGGGAATAACGCTACATCCTACCATATATACCACCATATACACCACCATATATACCACCATCAAAGACTCTGGATATTTCATAAAACTTATTCTGAATAGTCAATATATATATACAATTAGTTAAATAGGTAAAAAAACAGCTCAACAACAGCTGAACAACGGGTGAACAACGGGTCAACAACAGCTTAACAATGGGTCAACAACAGCTGAACAACAGCCCAATTACATAGGTGGCTAGGTATGTATTTAGGTACCTACGTATGCTACAAGCCTCTAAGATACCTCCTAAATAGCTACTTAGGCAGCTAGAGACTTGAATAGCAACTGCAGAGACCTTCAAGGCTGTTATTGAGCCGTTGTTGAGCCGTTGTTGAGCCGTTGTTGAGCTGTTGTTCAGCCGTTGTTGAGCCGTTGTTCAGCCGTTGTTCAGCTGTTGTTGAGCTGTTGTTTATGTATTTAATTAATTATATATATATATATTAATTATTGAGGATAAGTTTTGTCAAATATCTAGAGTCTTTAATGGTGGTATATGGTGGTATATATGGTGTGGGCGCAAGGTACATTTATTACCATATAAATTTGTAAGATAAGCCGTGTACCACGTGCTTTTTTTTTATGTTTTGGCGGGTTGGCGGTTTCGTTGATATGGCGCACCATATTTGGTTTAGGTGGATGGATGGATACTTGGTACTTTGGTATACGTTATGCGGGGGAGCATGGATGTGTAGAAAAGTGAGCGGCTGACGGTAATATTATAATGGCCGATGACAATGGTGATCAATCAAGTTGTCCCCGCACACCGTTCTAAGGATACGTACATGCACAGCATTCGATATTCAAATTTAATGCAGTGTATCGTACATGTATTCGTATGTAGGCGTAATAGGAATTTCGGGTGAAGGATTGAAGTGTATGTAGGTACCGGCCTTTAACTTCCAATGGAAAAGAAACAATTGAGATTCGATCGATCCTCTTTCCTTTTTTCTTTTTTTTTTTTTGTAGTACAAATTGTTATACTTCCACCATTCACAGTCCCGGGGACATCTAGAGCTGCAGAGGGGGAGATCTACCGACTTTTACCTACGTCATCCTTTAGCATAGTATTTACTAGGTTAACAGCTGAGATGTGGCGCTGCTTCTCCAAAAATACGATCGTACCTACTTCCAGGCATAGTTAAGTACCTACCTCCTATTATCGGCATATCTCCCATTGAACCCATTGAATCTCCAAGTTGCCCCAACTTTTCAAATTCTAATCAGATCAAATGATGGATAGAGTTCAAGGGTTAAGGTTGTAGCTATTAGCCGATTTAGTCCCGGATTTTGCTCCGCGGATTAATTTCTAAGCTGCAATAAGCCAAACTTGAAAGTTAAGGCATTACCAACTCCCCACGTTTACCACGTGTGCGTCCAAAGGTAAGGAGAGACTTGGTATCTTGGTATCTTGGCATCTACAAAATGCTTGTATTACATAGCACTACTATGTAACTCGAGACACCAACTTGACAAGCGAGGGGGTGGTTTGGTCTGGTAAACCCATCCCCAAACGTCGTAGCATGGGACTTGGAGCTTGAAAGAACCCCACAAAGACCAGCAGAACCAGAACTGCCGAATGGATCGAATGTATTCTACTACCAGAAATCAGAAATCAGAAATGCCAACATCCATGGATCCATGCGGGGCCGTTCAAGGTGGGCTCGACTACGCCGGTCACTCCCAACTTGTAAGACATTCCAAGCTACCCAGCCTTATTATTTGAGAATAGTACAAAGACCTAGATGAATCTAGTAGGGTCATTGATTCGCCGTGTTGCCCGCGGACGGACTCCTCCACCCACCTCCCCGTTTTTAGCCGTTTCATAAGACCTTTGTCGAATATTATATAATGCCTCCTGCCGTCACAGACTGTTGGCAGACTTGATCTTGATCCTTCTGTGTTTCACTTACCAACATCTCATCTTCATCGACGACTATATATAAAAGACTACGAAGGTTGTTCCAAGGCAACGCCTAATAATACACAACATGCCGTCTAACGAAGCCCCGAGGAAGATCCAGCTGGTGCGCATCTCCCACGTGTACTATAAATACACGGACTTTCCCAAAGCTTTAGAGTTTATACACGACTTTGGCTTCACCGAGGAGAAGAGGGTTTCGGACGAGAAGATTTATTTCCGCGGGTACGGAACCGAGCCGTGGGTGCTTTGTGCCATCAAGGCGGACAAGGCCGAGTTTGGAGGCGTTGGCTTTGTTGTCGAATCGGAAGAAGATCTGCAGATTGCGTCTGAGACACTGCCAAAGGCGACCAAGATATATGAGCTCACCGATGCTCCCGGTGGGGGCAAAGGTGTGACCTTCCACGATCCCGTTGATGGATATCCCATGCACCTCGTGTGGGGCCAAACCCCCTCGGCGATGTTGGAAATCCCACTGCCTCACGAGCCATTCAACTACGTAAGGATATCAAAATCCAGACCCCCATGGCTCTCGTGCTGATCAAAATTATAGCCTACCGAGAAGAACAGGCCTGCGGGCAAGTTCCAGCGATTCCAGAAGCGGCCCGCCCCGGTTCACAAGCTAGGACACTTCGGCGTACGGACGACGAACTTTGCCGCTGCCCACGAGTTTTACTGCAAGCACTTTAACTTTATAGCGAGTGACGTATGAACACTATTTTTGTCCCTTGTTTTCAGATAATTACTCACTCCACAACAGCTCATCCACGATAAAGAGAAGGTCGACCGAACGGTGTTCTACCGTCTCGACAGGGGGGATGAAGAGGTCGACCATCACGTGTTCTTCTTCGCCGAAGGCGGTACCTACCGGGTCCACCACTCGTCGTTCGAGACGCACGATTTCGATACCCAAGTCCTCGGCCACGATTGGCTCCGTGAGAAGGGGTACAAGAACTGCTGGGGCGTTGGAAGACACGTCCTCGGCAGCCAGATCTTTGACTACTGGTATGTTTCTCAGCCTTTTCCCCTTTTCCTTTCATTTGCCTGGCCTTAGACTAACCATCACGAAATAGGTACGACCCCCATGGCTTCATCATGGAGCACTACGTCGACGGCGACTTAGTCACTGCCGCCGAGCCCACACACCGCTCGATGGCCGGCCCTGGAAGCCTGCACGTCTGGGGTAAGCTTTTTCCTTCACGCCCATCGTAAACTTCTGCAAGTAAGTAAGCCAATGCTAACCTCGAAATAGGACCCGAGCTCCCCAGCGACTTCCTCACCCCGAGATAAGGCCCCATCCAACATCTGGTGGTTGAGTCCTTGGATTAAAACCCGGGAAGGGAGAGTCCGAAATTGTCTTTCCAGCCTATGTAGTAGCAAGTTCCCTGTTTTATCTGTGTTAGTTTTAGTCTCCGAAAATGCTTTCGCGTGTGCTTTGGACGTCTAATGATATGAAATGTATTTGTATATACCTACCTATGAATATTACGCGTTGAATGATTTAACGTTTCTTTGTGGCAATTTCTCTTGGTAGACTTGTCGTCGTGGTGAATTTTCACCCACGACAAGTGCTAGGTAGTAGATGCACCGTAGCAGGCGCCCCCCTATTCGCGAGAATCGTTCTAAACTTCATCCAATAAAGCCATACACCCCAATGGTTTCTCGCAATTTCTATCATTGGGATGCATGAATTCAACTCCTCACTGAACGTACCTAATTGCCCCTACATTAGTAGGTAATTCTTGGCTACCTACCTAGGTAGGTCGGTAGGCAGGTAGGTAGATAAACATAGTATCTATTCTTAGATCAATGGATCCATCCCGCCCAGCTTGTAATCATCTCCTTCGAGGAAAAGTCGTTCCTCGTCTATTAGCATTACCTACAAAGTCAGAATCATTCATTCTTCATCTGGGCAGCCAGGTAGGTATCTAAATTTCTCTCGTGTTGGTCTCCACCATAGCTAGGTACCTGGGTCCTGGGTATTTATGTATGTACCTCGGCAGGTCGAGAGCAGAGAGCTTGGCCTTGGAGATTTTGAAGGTTGCTAACCTGGGGTTGGTACTATTATTATTATTATTATGTTACTTCTGTATTGCAAGGTTTATAGTCCGAACAATCCGTCGCAGTTCGTGGTTTGAATTTTGACTAGGTATCTTATAAGTAGCTAGAACCTGCTAGGCGCATACCTGGAAGGGTATGAATCGTTTCTCGTAAGCAAAGCCACGACAGGCCAACGTCCAGGGTGCCCTAGGTAGGCACTTATCTACACTCGAAAGCACATCAACGTCACAGGGAGGCAGCGAAGAATGGAAATAAGCAGCCATATTCTTCGCCAAAAAGGCAACGAAAGCGATACACAATTTTTTTTGATTGCTACCTATGGACAGCGTGTTTCCAGATGGGGCTTTTTCACACATATCCACGTGATGTTCGGGCTTAATCCCCAACCAAGGAGGGGGAGAATATGTATGTATGTTCACCGTGATGCTGGTTGCCAGCCATCCATATTTTGACCAAGGAACTCCCTGTCGAACGAGCGTCTAACCTAGGAGACTACCCAGGTATCTCTACCTACCTAGTTCACGTGACTTAGCTGTGGTCAGTAGGTAGGCTACGATACCTGCTAAAAGACCGTATAATGCCTAGATAGGTAGAGAACCTATGTCGAAGTAGTTCCAGGCAACAATATCCCTCATTGGGAGGGCCACCCAAAAAGTTGTAACTGAAATCTTCAATCTGTATTAGCAATAGGCTGGTAATGTCGTGTTGGTTAACAAAAACTTACCATGGCCGTATCCTTGTTCAGAGCTTATCGGAGTTCTTAGAACACTAAGCTCGCAAGTGTTTTTCTTCGGTCGAGTCGAGGTCGGTCGAGTTTCCTAGCATTAGTGCTTTATAACTCATCTTTTTTTATAAATGTAGATTAAAAGTTATGCGGTGATCATATAAACCTGCCTCGCATGACTAGTCGGCGCCAGACAGCTTCTTCATCCTCATCCTGATCGGCCGAATTCGTCGGTGTGTGGTCAATGGGATCGGGAGGGTCGGGGTTTTCGCATAACTCGAGGAAATCGGCCGCCATTCCGTCACCGGGAACGAACCCGAGGTTCCGTAACGTGTTAAATTGCGTCGAGTCCAGCCTATAAGGTTGGTATGAACTATTTATTGTGGGTGAAAGGTAGTTTTGAATGCTTGTTTAACATACCATCGAGAAGTCTCCTCTAGATGACGTGGGTCTGCCCCAAGCACCAACGGGGGTGGACCATCTGGATCGTGGGGCGGTGGCTGTTGAGTAAAGTTCACCTCCACATCGACTTTCATTCGACTTACTGCCGGAGACTCATTCGTGAAGGGTGAAGGGTTTCCATAGCCACTGACAGATCCAGAAGGAGTAGAATTCTGACGAGCAGGCATAGCTGATGGTGTGCGGTCAAGGCCAAAATTCTGGGGACTGTTTGCAGAGTATCCTGCATTGTAGGTGGATATTTGGGTTTGGACAGGTTGAAGGGGCCGTCGTCGAATTTCGTCACTTTGAATGTATATATCGGCAGGATTCTCGGGGGCGCCATGAGGATTCGCTGGGCCGGTTTGCGACAAGGAAGCACATGACATTGATCGATTAGATCGCCCAGACATGCCCTTAGCCATGTTAGATTGGCGATGGGAATTCGAAGACTGAGTCATGCCCATACCGTTCTGTGCCAGAGGGATTGTCGAGGGAGCTTGCTGCTCGATTGGGGGCAGGAGCAAATCAGGGCTCTCTCCATTTTGTAGGAATCTGCCCAGCCGACTCTCCTTGAATCGGGTTACCAACTCTGATTGGTTATCACCGTTTCTAAAGTAATCTAAGTTGGATATTCCGGTATTGGCGTAGGTACCACTGCGTAGGATTTGCAAGACGATGTCCTCGAGTTCGGGTCTTGCTTGGAGGACAATGGCCCAAAGGCGCTCACCATTCTGTCCGGTGTAGCCACTTCGAGGCCCTCTCTTACGTACAGGCCTATTGTAAGTGCATTCGGCGCCGACACGCATGCAGACACTGCACTTGGGCACAGCATTATCGCATGGCTGATGCTGCAAATTACAGCGATCGCAGGCACGAGTTGCCTTGCGCTTCTTTCGCCGGCTCTCGTCGGTTTCAATCTCGACATCCACCTCGACTTCGCTCATATCCTCCGCCATACCACACCAAAGGAAAATCTGTTAGTTTCGTGCCAGTTCTAAAATCCAACTTTTCCGTCGTAAATGAGCGTATACTTGTCTCCCTCTCAGAGCGACAAGGAGTGAGAGGGAATCTGCACACCCTTTGTCTGGGTGAGTTTTTTCTTTTAAAAGAACAGCATGAGAATATTACTGGTTGGTGAGGAATGATTGATAATGCATAAAGTTGAAATATATAGGTAAGGAAACGTTGTTGCTGTGGTAGGAATAAGGAAGTTTATTTCCTGTGGTATTGGTTAATATCGAGTCGCCAATGTTACAATTCATATGTGCAGTTGTGAAGTGCCAGCAGCTCCTTGCCGGCGCGCGTAGGCGGGGCATAGCTTACCTAGCTTAGCTACAAGGTTGTAGTTATGTACTAGGTACCGAGTACCTAGTACCGAGTACCTTCCTAGTCCATGTACTAGGTTAGCCTACTACTAGGTAGTACCAGAATTCAAGGTTCTACGACTTAGTAATACAACGTTGAAAGGCTACCTAGTAAAAACCATGTAGCTCTGCACATGAATAACGGCATCCTGTACATAGGTAAAGGTACCTAGTACATGCATAGGTACTAGGTATCCTACTGCTAAAAAAGTGACAGGTGTACCCTAGCCAGCGGCATTCAAACATGGATTTGTGGCTGGTGAGCCAGGACTAACTTTTCTCTCCTTATTGCCGATCGCGTTGCCGTCCTTCCCTCCAGATCGTCTCCGGTCTCTCTCTTCTACACTATGCACCCACCTACTTGCCTACATAGTAGGTAACTTGAACTTATAAATCCATAATTGTATCAACTACCTAGGCATCTAGGGTATCCCATGGGTTCAACCCCATTTGCTTCTTATCTATATCAATAATGAAAGGACCCTCGTACAATGTACTCTATTACCTGAATGGACTTAACCTAGAGTCCTATTGGGCTTACAAATTATTTATTATTTCACTGCTGATTTTACCGGGCTGATACGCCGCGCTGGCCTCTATCAAACAAACCTTGTTGGAGCCTTTAAGATCTGTTTGCTACATTAAAACACTAGCCCACAGTCTTGGACGGCACTCGTCGTCACAACATCAAGCTTGATTGCCCAATAGGCTACGACCCTTGGGTAGTACGGCCTGATTGTCTATAATAGACCAATTAGAGTTGAATCGAAGTCAGCAACTAAGTCCCAGCTTCTACCATCAGTTCTAGGACCAACGTTGTTAAGATGGCGACGATAGGATCGGCAGTGATCCCCGAAGGGCCAATTATCCCCAGACCGATGAAGTCTAAACGTAGGATATTTCCTTCTGAATCCTCACTCATTCTCTTAGGATGTCGTGGTGCTGGGAAACGGACTTTGGGGTTCATCGCTGCTAGACATCTTGGCCGGCGGCTTGTCACAGAGGATCATGCTTTTGAACAAGCTACTGGATGTAGCAGAACTACATACTTGCAAAAATATGGACGAGAAGCTTTCAGTCAACAAATGGCGATTGTGGTTGCTGGGATGATAAAGGTGAACAGAGTCAACTGTGTTATAGAGTGTGGCACTGGCACCTTGTCCCCCGATATAGAGAAGGTACTCTTGACATATATTGATACAAATCCCATCATTTATATTCATCGCGACAGAGAAGATCTATACAAGCTGCTGGATCTACCATTAGCCGATGCGGAACGTCTTCTTGCCGCTGATCAAAGACATCGTGAGTTCTCCAACCTCGAGTACTTCAATCTTTTCGACCCTAGCAGCGAAGGCCAGCCTACAGATGATGGTGCACTCCGCTCCGCATCCACGAGCCCTGCTAGGTTCATAGGTGCGAAACAAGACTTGAAGAAATTTCTTGATCACATCCTCGGAAAATGCCTGACACGTTCGTGGGTATCAAATCCTTTCTCCATGGCAGCTGTACCGCCAGAATACCGAACTTACACATTTGTTTTCTGTCTACGGCTCTCGTCATTACTCAGCATGGATGTCGATCTAGCCACATTTGAAGCCCCGGGTGAAGCCGTGGAGCTCATAGTTGACACTTGGCCAAACAACGTGCTTGATATAATTGCGGCCCAGGTAGCTTTGATCCGTCGCAAATTGGATCTCCCAATCATTTACAGCGTGGAGGAGAACCCGCGAGAGGAACGGAAAAGAACTTTAGAAGAAAGAGACGCTATGGACCTTAAGTTGTTGCTACTGGGTATTCGGCTTGGGGCTGAATATCTAAGTCTTGATCTCGAAAGAAGCTCCGGTCTCGTTTCTCATGTGCTTGCTACCCGTGGTAGAACTAAGATAATCGGGAATTTTCTCGTAAAGGGGTTCGGCGCACCTCAATGGACCGACGAGTCATACTTCGAACGCTACCTACTTGCGCAACAACTCGGATGCAACATAGTTCGGATTGCTCGGTTCTGTGCCGTGGACAGAGCCGACTATGCTCGAAACATTCTTATGGAAAAGATCAATGCCTTGCCTGACCCAAAGCCCTGCATAATCGCGTACGATTACTCAGTTTTTGGTGTGGTGGACCCTTTTCAGGGTAACTGTATGAACCCCGTTGGGCACGATTTGCTTGAGAAATCGTCACGGGAGCAATTAGTCGGCGTTAGCACAACGCGAGGCACACTACGCAGTATTTTTCGAAAGGGATTGTTACAACCGCTCAACTTTTACACGTTAGGGTCCAATGTGTACTATTCGGCCTCCCCATCCATGCATCGAGCAGCATACGAGCATTACATGATGCCACACACCTTTGAAGCGAAACGTTGCACATCTCTGGAAGAAGTTGACAGAATTCGACGTGAGTCTGGCTTTGGTGGTGCTTCGTTAGCAGCGCCTTTCAAAGTTGCCATAATGTCGCGTATTGATCATCTCAGTTCCCACGCTATTGCAATCGGTGCAGTCAACACCCTTCTCCCATTACGTGGGGATACAGACTCAATCTTAGACCATGCCAATTCTCGAAATAGGTCTGGCCTTGCAAGTAGGTTTTATGGCGATAATACGGATTGGAGCGCCATCGTGACTTGCTTACGTCGAGCTATCAGCCCCAGAAACTCGGTACAGCCCTCTCGAACGACAGCCCTAGTGATTGGAGCGGGAGGTATGGCTCGAGCAGCCATCTATGCGTTGATACGACTGGGTTGTCGGATTATTTTCATTCACAATAGAACAACGAGCAAGGCAATGGAAGTTGCGGCGCATTTCAACCAATATGCTACGGAGCAGAAGCTCTTTAGCCGCCGAACCGAAGAACAGATTTGCCGTGTAATCGATTCACCCAGCGACCCATGGCCAGATGATTATCAACAGCCAACCATGATCGTGTCTTGTATTCCGGCATCCGGGACGGATGACAATCCGCCAGTAGACTTCAGAATGCCATCGCAGTGGTTGAAAAGTCCTACTGGCGGTGTAGTGATCGAGGTTCGTAGATTGCTAGTATTCTTCCTTGATTTTGATCATCAAGCTAATCTTTTTTGCAGTTAGCATATGAGCCTCTCATAACACCCTTGGTTATCCAGGTGCGCAAGATTCGCGAACTTGGCAACACCTCGTGGGTTATTATAGACGGCTTAGAAGTGGTAAGCGACATGGCCATGGAAGCTTTTGAGTTGATGACTGGTCGTCAAGCACCCAGGAGGCTTATGCGACGAATCTGCAATGAGACTTGGGAGAAAACGAGCGCACCGTTCCAGCCGCAGGGGAGATAACTACGGCGAGACATTTACTTCGATATTTTAATGCTTTACGCGGCCTTGAGGGGCTCACAGATGCTCTAGTTCTATCAAGCTAGACGAGTATCACGAAAATGATGGAAGAAAGAGAACCTATCTTGAAGTTCTGGGCCAAAGTCCAGACTTTGTTCGAAATTACAGTATGTTCCTAGATACCTAGGTACCTGACTAATAAGTCTCTTTAAGCAAGAGGACAGCTTATATCCTATTCATATGATATCATGCCCTGCGATTGCACATAGGACCTCTTGCAAATAGCCTATATTTGGATCTAATTGAGGTCAAGCCGAGAGCTGACCGAGGTATACCGACATACTCAACACCTAATAATGGCCCAAAACCGTGATTTGAGGAGTCTTATAAATATCCCAATCTCCCGAAACAGCCGGGTCTCCAAATGGTTTGAGTCCGGCGAAGCGCCATCTATGAATTGTCAATAAAATAATTCGCTGAACCCACGAAGGATATAAGGATGGGGTTACTTACGTGTAGTTACCATTCGCGATTTGGCTACCATTTCCTAGCTTCCCGAACCACCAATGAGTCCCACCTCCACGTAAATTGTCTGTTATGGGATAGGTGACAGTATCATTGGGATTGTCATATCGTTCATCGTAGGTTGACGAACCAACCCATTCCGCTACCGGTCCAATATAGCCATTCTCGCCTTCTGTTGGTGGGTAAGACCACAGACTCTCGTTCCAGTTGGCTTCGTAAACCTAAAACACAAAAAACAGATTATCAGAACTGCGAGGTTTGCACTGCGGATAGGGATGACGGCTTACATCCCAGCGGAACTGCTTGATACCCCAGATGGTTCGGGTATAAATCTTTGGGTAGTCTTGAGAGGCTCGGCTAATATTGAATGTATAGCTGTCACCAGTCAGCATCTGAAGAACGGTAGTAACCTTAGAAGAATGGAATCAAAAACATACTAGGACTTGACCGACAGGCTTGTTGAATAAGCCGTAGACGTGGAGAACGGAAACGTAGGGTAGTTGATGGAGCCGTTAAACTCTGCCTTCAAGTCGGTCGCGAGTCCTATGAGGGTTCGATCAGTGTCACCTCTTTAAATATCTCTGCGAGTGTTGCTCACCCAAGTAAGGAAACGAAAGCTGTTCCCCAGAGCTAGAGGAGAGAATGACTTTCCCGCTATATATAGGGAACCCGGACGAATTCCAGCCCAACCCTTGGGGATTAACAAAGTCGACCCTGAGTTACATATTCCATTAGCTGCTTACATTTCTTTTCTCAGTTCAGGGGTAGAAAGATAACTCACGAAACAGTCTTGCTCTCGCCAGCCTTCAGAGAGAAGTCTCCAGGCAGCTTAACATCGACAGCGAGCTCTATGGGCTCGATCTCATCGAACGACTTGACCCGTCTCGACCACCCAGACTCGACATTAAGCCAGCCGACGATCTCGAGGCCGCCGGCGCTCTCGGACGAGAAGCTGTAGCTGACGTCGCGGTCGGCGGTGTTCGTGATAGTCACGGGGTGCGACGGCTGGAAGTGCGCGGTGTCGTTGAGCACGAACTTGTCGTACTCGACCTCCGTGCTGTAGTTCACCACCTTGAACCCGTTGACCAGCCCGTTGCCCACCTGCGCCACGCTCGCCGTGAACGGAAACTCGGTGTCGGACCCGTCGGACCACGGCACGCTCGTCCCGCTCGATATGATCTTCTTGCGCAGCGCGTGCGCGAACCCCTTCCCGTGCACCTCGCGCCCGCCAAAGGCCCCGACGTACAGCGCCGCGATGCCCGCCACGTACGGCGCCGCCATCGACGTCCCGCTCATGATGGCGTAGTCGCCGTCGAGGTACGTGCTGAAGATGTTGCCGCCCGGCGCCGCGATGTCCGGCTTGATGTCCAGGTCGAAGGAGGGCCCCCACTGCGAGAAGATGTTGGGCTTGCTGGCGTCGCGGAACGCGTACGCGATCGGGTTCTCCGGGTTCAGCGAGAAGTCGGCCGTCACGGACCCGTTCGCCTGCACGAAGTCGATGATGGCCTGCCCGATCTCCGCGGTCACCAGCCCGATCAGCGTGCTCTCGTCCGAGGTCCCCGGCTGCGCGAGCGGGCTCTCGTTGTTGTAGAAGAGCATGTACTCGGCGCCCAGCGCGGCCAGGTGGCCCTGCTTCACCGAGAACGCGCAGGTGCCGCGGCGGACGAGCGGGATCTTGCCCGTCAGGTTCTGCGTGCCGGCGGGGTAGGGCTGGCATGCTTCGGCGGGGTCCGAGGTGTTGAAGGCGAGCGGCACGACGGGCCACCCGACGACCGAGGACGGGAAGTAGTAGGTCGAAGGGAGGTAGCCGAGCGTCGTGGTGTTGGTGGTTCCGCCCTGTGAGAAGTTGGCGCCGAAGGGGAACGAGGGGAACACCTCCCCCTGCACGGAGGCGACGCCAATCACATTGGTGCCAGATGACCCCGTGCTGCCGTAAAGTGGGCCCTTGTCCCCGTCGTTTCCGGCGGAGATGGTGACGAGGATGCCTTCGTCCACGAGACGGGAGGCGACTTCGGACCAGGCTTCGGAAGACCAGCCGCCGGGCTGGTTAATGCTGGCCGTTATGATATCAACCTAAAAAGGAGGCTTGTCAGTGGAAAGTCTAGAAAGGGTGTTTGGTGGGTAGTATACATACGCCATCGTCATAAGCTCGCAGGAATGCTTCAATCAGCGTTTCTGTGTCGGTATAATCCTACGATGCCTTGTTAGTTGCATGCATCCCTTATACAAGCCTTCAAATACTTACTTCACGAGCAAACACCTTGTATGAGTACAAAGTCGCCTCAGGGGCAACACCCGTCCATCTATGTAGAAGCGTTTTTTTAGTTAAGTTCTCTCAGTGACTAAAACCAAATATAATGACACAAAAAGAAAACAGTACTTACCCGTCGCCCTTGGCTGCAACGATCCCGGCAACATGGGTTCCGTGGCCCATAAGGTCCTTAGGGTCACTATCCGGTGACTTGTCGCCTATAGGCCAGCCTAAGAATAAACCGTAAGCATTTTACTTGGGGAGTTTTTGTTTGTTGGAAAGAGATGAAATGTCCTTACTCCCATCGCCAATGAAGTCGTATCCGCCTGCTACTTTAAAGCCAGGCCCAAACCCACCACCGAGCTAATTCGGTGATCATTAGCATTTTCAGGGGGATCTGAATTTGGAAGAAGACAAGAGCTTCAAGCTTACAGCTGTGTGGTTGTACCTTGAGGACGATAGTTAGCAATTAGATACTTAGGAAACGATTCGCAATACTCACCAAGTACCAGTATCAACAACCCCCACCTTGGCGCCTTTGCCAAAGATGCCCGCGTTATGCAGCTTGTCAACTCCCGTGGCGTTGTGGGAGGTGTAGTTCAGGCTCTGCGGGACGTCGGCGCCGACGATCTGCGGCGCGACGGGGCCCAGCGAGACCTTCTTGTTCGGCCAGACGTGCAGGACGTCCGGCATCGCCTGGAGACTTTCCACGCTGTAGGAATCGGTCTCGATGCTGGCGCCCGAGAAGATGGGGTTGCTGAAGGTCTTCACAATCTTGATGCCATCGGCGGCTCTGAGCCCATCTCGCCTATTTGCTTGGCCCTTTAGGTAGAGTTAGATCACAAATATCGATAGAGTCTCTAGAACTTGGAACTTGGGGAATTAATTCTTACAGGCGCATACTCCACGATGTAGCTCCTCGGAATGATGGTAGTAACCGTGCTGTTGTCGTCAGCCCGGCGGCTCAAGGCCGCGGCACCCCCGGCGAAGGGGAGCGCCAAAGCGAGGCTCAAGAAGCGCATCTTGATTTCCTCTCGACTACCTATGTAAGCAACCTACGACGCGGCGAGGCAAGCTTGGCTAAGAATCCCTCTCTCTCTCTCTCTCTCCTCGACCGCACAACGGCTATAGCATCATTTATATATATACCTACCTACCTTATGCGTATTCGTCTTCGAACAGCTAACACAGGGCCTAGCGCCATTTTGAAAACAAATACGAGATTTACCCCACAGCAACGACATTCTGCCAACGGGGAACTAGTTATACTACGTACCATATTACTAACCTTGGAGCCTTAACTTACCATGCAATGTTTTTTTCTTTCTTGCATCGGTGGTAGGTAGGTATCAAGGTGTAATCGGGGGGACACGATGTGACAGTGATCAGGGGGGAGGACACTGCCCACCTACCGCGTTGAGCCAAGTCGTCCGTATAGAGTCGACATGCGCGCCAAGCCCAAAGAAAACGACGTTGCGTTCACGCAGGGGTGAGATGTCGTTCGATCGATCGAGAACGAGAACTACCACAACAACAACACAAAAAACAAAAAAAAGCTCGTATAATATTCAGGTGCCGGTTCCGAGATAATGGCTTCGTGGGCGTGATAAGTTGTAGGCACCTATGTAAATAGGTTTAGCTGGAACGGCAAGAGCCTGAATTGTAGGTGAAAAGAGATTGGCTGGTATGCTCAGGCGACGGATTACCTACTACGGGATAGGTAGGTGGGTTTTTTTTCTCGATTGCGGTTAATATATAGGATGTGATATGGATGCTACCTACCTAACTATAAACGAACTCCAGAAGATGTTGGTATGGATGTCGCCTTGGTTATCGATGCTGTAGCCAAAGCCAAGACGCGTTCAAGATCTTGCTTAGGCACCTCGCTTTCGTATCACAGCATCAATAGGTATGCTATGATGGATACCGATGCCTGGAGTTGAAATTAGGTACGAATATATATGAGCTGTTTCGATTTGCCATGTCGCCGTTATGCTACAAGCGACAGGAATGTCCGCAACAAGCCGAACTAGCTTCTATATCCCCCCCCCTTTGTTCACTCTACATCATCTAGGTCTCTTAACCCCCCTATCCCCTTTCCTCTCAAAAAAATAAATGTCCCCTGTAAAGTCTACATATTCTACTTTAATCCTATCTTAGTGATACCAGGGGCTCAAATATCAGGTATACTACGACTCACCGGTCGTCCACCCCAGCTCTTGGTTCTCCGGGGCCCCAACACTTTCGAAAGCCAGTAGCTGTACCCCCTCTCTCTCCTTCTTCTTCTTCTTCTCCCCCCGGGGAGGCGAAGAACAGGGCACTGATTACACGATCGTCGCCAAGACGGCGGGGAGCTCGTGGCAATCGAGGCCGATGATGAAGGCCCAAATGTAGACGATGCAGAAGAGGAGGCACACCAGCGAGTACCTAGCAGTTGAGCACCCAGTTGTCGATGCCTTCGAGGTCGGCTTTAGCAGACACGACGGCTACGGCGAAAAAGACGGGGGGCTCTCGAAGCTTTCGGTTATGACGGCTTCAGCGGGTTCGACAGGGGCGTGTAGCGAGTCAGGTATCGGTAAGAGACGGTCAGTTCGGAGGTTCTTATCTCATCGTAGGGGTTGACGGAGGAAGAGTCTGGAAGGTATAGTATGGTATGGTCTGGTCCGGTCCGGTCCAGTCCGTAGAGGATAATACTCACCCTCGCGTCCTGTGAGGGACGGGGTTTGGAGATAAATCTTTGAGGGTTGTTGATGTCGTAGTACTGGGCTGCCGGGCTTAGAATTGTAATGTCTGTGGTATGTAAAAGCAAAGTCAACCATCATCTTTTAAAGCAAGTCTCTTTCTATCACCCTCTCTACATATATTGTTGCAGGTCCCTCAGGCACCATAGGCTCCACTAGGTCGAGCCATATGGCCCATATGGCCCTATGTTGGCACTCCGCCACTGTAGTTAGGAATCAAGCAAGCTTTCTTCCTTTCCTCTTCTTCTTGGTTGCAGCAGAACAATATATATACACAGATATATGTATACATGAGGGACTCCTACGTATGTATGTATGTCTCCGTGAGAAACACACCAGATCATCATGTAGTACCAAACCCCGAGAAAGGCCAGGGAGGGTGAGATAAACGAAGCACGTACCAAAGCGAAGGAAAACAATGAATGCAAATGCCAAGAAAATATACCTTCATGCATTAGCAGAGAAGTCTTGTCTTTTTCATGCGCATGAGAGAGAGAGCAACTTGCACAAAACCACGAGAGATTCGTCACCTGTAACGCATCTTGGACGAGGTATGCTATGCTTGACGGAAATGAACATTTATTTACCTGCACGGCATCTACATGATGGTTTATGAGGTGTTCTGATGTCAGGGCTCGCGAGATACTGAGTAGTGTCAGAGTATACCGCCACGCCAACCAAAAAGTGAAAAAGTGAAATGATCGATCTCTCATTAGATATCTCTAATTTATACCAGTGTATATCTGACACACCCCTTCAGGCTTCGAGGCATAGACAGCAGCGAAAACTGCTTGTTTTCATTCACTGGATGCTTTTGCCTAGATTCGAACCCAGAGTATTATGGGACTTTTTTTTTTACCTGTTTGTGGGCTTTGTTTGTATGTACGCCTAATGGGTAGCGGCATCTGTAGGTAGGCACTCAAACGGGATTAAGCAAATGAGACTCTTAATTATCAGAATATACCGCTACGCCAGAAGGTGGATGATTGATCTCTCATTATATGCCCGTAGTTTATATCAGTATATCTGATAAGTAGCTACCCAGGTAGGTTCGGAGGCACATGATACATACTTGGTAATAGTCTTTGAGTGGGCCATGTCTAGGTGCATAACATCGACAACCAAGATAGGCTCGTCAATCTACATATGTAGGTAAGTAAGTGTTTATGTACCTAGATATATAATTATACTCTACCGCTGGCCGCTGTAGTTCATCGTAAAAAAAGGAAGTGGAATTAAAACCTTGAAGCGGACATTGTGTATTGGTGAAATAGATGTCAATGTAGACTGCGGTATGATCACTATTGTTTGTGCCATCCAGTCAACTACTTCTTACTTGCCCGAGCCAGAATTGATTTCACAAACGTTTATTATATGTATCTCTGCCTCTGGGTTGATATGTATAACCACTGAGAAGGCATAAGTGCTGTCAACTACCACCTTATAACTACCAAGCCGTCCATATCGTATGGATGAGAATCCCAACTTTGGATGGAGCATAGACTTCTATAGAATCCGTATGTACTACCTGAACATCCTGAGATTTCAGGCGCATCGTCGAAGAGCTTGTCAAGGTGGAGGGTAAAGGTTCCCATAACAAAGAATAGTCTCTAAGACAGACGGGTAGGCACGTGAGCGAGACAAGAACATGGCACTATTGAAGCAGCCACCCTTCAGCCATAGAAGATTATTGATGCAGGGTAAGTTCAAACGAGTCAGACCAGAAAAAGGTCTACTTACCAAACTGACGATGATGTCTTCAAGTGGCAAATGCCTAATTATACAGACGAAACGAAAAGGGCTCTAGGTTAGATAGGTAGGTAGGCTTCTGATCCTTTATTGATCACAATCTACCTAACCTAGGTAAGTACCTAGAAAGTTGGGCTAGGTTGGTGATAGAAGTGATCCGAATGATGAGATCAACAACCTTCACAAGTTCACAACACCTTGCTCACGGGACAAGGCGGTTGTCTCCAAATTATGTCATCATCTTTCCGAATTTAACGAATCATCTAAGGTTACACAGCAATTAGCAATGTATTTATTTTTGAAAGGATTGGCTATTATTTACCTGCATTTCGAAAAAGGGAGAGATATTTATGTACATGGAAAGAAGATCGAGAGAGACAGGGAGAAGAGAGAGGGGCATATAACGGCTTATCGTTAAGCGCTATCAGCTAACTATGGGCAATAGAATACACTGCCCCACCCCCGCTGCTGCTTAAGCCTTCAGCAGTTCAGTAAGCCGACTCAGCCGAGCTTGCCTAGGTAGCACTAGGTTAGGTGACTTTTCCGGGGTTTCCTTGCCGTGCAAACCCGAACCATCTCCTATCTTAATATCTAATACTTCGTATACATGTAGAATCTAGATAGCAAGTGATCAGTTGACGGTAACAAATAATATTAATAAAACATCGGGGCTTTCAATGTAGATATACGCCACTTCACAATCAATCTTCAAAGCTGCGAGCTCGTCTGAAAACAGACATGCCGAGCTATGTAGGCTAGATAATGCGGCGACCAGCGCGGAGAAGCGCGATTCATACCATCAGCCTACATATGCACCTACATACCAGACAATTAATTATGTAACCTAGGTACATATTTATGACCATCTCTAAACTTCAATCTTCTTATCGCCCGCACACATGGGAACAGGCACATGGCCTTTCTGATTCGTCCGCGTCGTCCTATCGCACTTGCTATGCACGTTCGGGCGTGTGGAGGGACATGGATAGAGTGTGTACATACATATATACAGTAGTACCTACCTACATACTGTAGCGTGCCTCGATTTGCCGATATTCAAAGGCACGACAGATGAGACAACGGGCTGCCTTCTTTCATCAAGTGTACGATAAGCGTATCGCAGGTAGATATGTAGCTAACGAACCCCCTTTCATGGGTTAAGCTTGATGGCCAAGAAAGCGGGCGGGATTGGTTCAAGTACTGTAAGTTACTTAGAGTTAATGAAACGTGAAGAGTAAGATGAATTTCTTCTTAGCTGGGAAACGTGATATCTCTCAAGTTCAGCGACTGGAGGATTTCACTAGGTAGGTTAGGTTAGATCAAGGCCTCAAGTCGTGAGAACAGGGAAGAAAGAAAGAAAGGAAATAGGTACCTATGTACTAGGCAGGCAGACATGTGCTATTTGAAGCAAATGACATCGTCGAGTCGGTAGCACGAGCTGAAGGCAAAGGCAAGGCCGATCTTCTGAAGCATTCCTCCTACATACCTACACTAACCTACATACATAGAACCATTTACCTAGCCTAGAAATAGCCGCCTGATTTTCGTCATCCGGGGAGCCATGCGACGCAGCCAATTAACTAAGAGATTCATGCCACCCATCCATCCCATTCAACCAAGCCCCTGGTCCAGCTGCCTCTCTTCCATTCCCAGGCAAAGGAGGGAGGTCACCAGCTCCTGAGTCCTATTCCCAATAACTAGGTAATATCAACCACTTTGATCATTGATACGCAATCGGAGAAAAGTACATGTGTCTGTGTAAGTAAGGTACCTACCTGGGTACATAACATTGCCCAGTGATATATTGGATTGAAGGTGCCCAGGCCCCAGGCCTTAGCCACCACCCCCCCCATGCTCGTCATTGTCACACGCACATACATACATACACTACCTACACACAGCCGACCCCATGAAAAGGAGGCATTGAAGATACATAGCTAGCTAACCTAGGCATCTAGGCTATTCATTTAAGGACCTCGAGACCTTTATATTATTTGCCATTACTTCGTAAGGTAGCGTCCTAAAGCGCACATATGGTACGCACTGTACCTTCGTAATGCGCAAGTACTGTATTAGTTAGAAATTAGATAGGGAGTGTTGGCTTCAAATTAGTTCCAGTAGGTAACTAAAATTACACATGCCACACGCTGCCAGAATCTGGTCTTGTTCCAAGACGGTAACCTATGTATTAATTAATTTCATTCCCATGATATGAATGAATGATATGCACAATGTGGGTGATACACAGTTAAGGGGATTGATTGATTTAGTTACATACATAGAAGAACTTGAAAGTACAGCCTTTCTGTGATCCAACAGTACCTAGGTAGTACGTACCCTAGGTACTTAAAGTAATCAATTAACCTAACGAATTGATTGAGGTCAAATATCACATTCGTATTGTTCATGATCGAGTCTCTTGTTCTTGTCCTTGTTACATATTTCCTTGTATCTGAAATTAGCAATTGCATATGCATATAAATACCTAATATTTGTTTGCGAGGGCACATGCGTCATCGGCTCCATCAAAGGTGAAAGCGCAATCTGTAATCTGTTGGGGTGTTGTTATCGATAATTAACACCTTGGCCCTGGACCCATGCTCATTGCTCACACCTGTAACAGTAACCGCAACCGCAACCCGCCGTGCCTTCAAGGTTGGAACGCTTTTAGAACGGTTGGAACGGCGTAAGTTCACATCGCATCATTTCAATACTTCCAAGCCTAGCTGCTGACCTATTTAGCACATTGTAACTTGAACTACACATCGCACTTATCTTTGTTGTACTAGTTGTACCTACCTTAGTACCTACCTACCCGTTAAACCGTACCCCCCTTATCCAAGTCCCTTATCCAAGTCCTCTACAGTTCTATCAATCCATTATCCTACTCTCCTTATCCCCTTATCCCCATATCCCCATCTGAGTCACCCGGCCTTTGTCTTGCTCACACGCCTTTTCCGCCTCTGACACAACTCGGAATCCCGAAAACAAAGCCACGCTTTCCCATCACTTGACGGCGTCCCACCTGCTTATTCTTCTAAGTTCCCCTTTCTCCCCTTTAGTCTCTTCTATCATAATTTCGTCAAACAGTATACAAAGCAATTTCCCTACTCGTAAACCTCGCAAACAGCAAAACACACAAGACCTACCCTTATCTTACCTAATCGTCATCTCTCTCTAACCTGTGACTCGACCCTCGACCCTTTCCCCGATTGCTTGATTGCTTGGTTTCTAGAAAGCACCAAGCCCATTCAACCCATCCACGTCACACCCGTCTGGCTCCTTTTTCCATCCCTACGATTTAGTTACTTTTTCTTTACCCAGTCTCCACGGCTTGTCCAGTAGACCCTCCGCCTTGCATCATCGTTATCGCCTTATAACCAGCAATTCATCTTCGACTTTCATCCGCCTTTTAGTAGCAAGACCCAACCTTGAAACGACGTTCTGAACACCAGCCAAGACCTTCCTCAAGGATATATAAGTTGATCCAATACAGTATCTTAGAACCTATAAAACCCGGTATTATCCTGAACCATGGCTTTTGACCAGACTCGAGACTTCCGAAGCTCAGCCCAGGACTCGAAACGATTCAAGGAGCACACCGAGAAATGGTCGCGAGGGGTTCGGCCCCTGAATGGCCACGAACACAACTTCTGGGATGATATGCTGAACGAAGGCCAACGCGACAAAATTCGGCCCGGACGGCACTTCCAGTAAGTAGATCAATGATCCATCATGTATCGGCACAGTGCAAGAAGGAGTGCTAACAAATTAGCCACATTCGCTTAACGACCCAGAACATCGTTAAGCCTCGTGGAAGTGGCCAAGTGCGGCATGACATTCCATCGAGCCATTCGCGTGCCAAGATCGACGCGCGAGCGGAGTTGCAAGACATGTCCAATGTCTCGCGATCTCTTCACGAACTCCTTCCCTCACCTCAGGTCCGACGAAGTTTCAACATCTCGGATAATATCCTATACAGCTTCGATCGATCGGATAGCCCGGGGAGACCCCTAACGCTCGACGCCTTCGTAAAGACCAATCCAAAGGAGACGGAGAAGTTCGTCGAGAAGGAGTACGAGATCCTAGACAACAATGGTGATGCTCTCAAGGGCCGAAAGGCCCGGCAGAATCTCCGTCGCAAGAATAACGCGCTACCAGTAGGAGAACCTGACATCATCGAGGATGACGGCTTTGAGCTGGTATAACGAGTATCCCAACTTCGCTAGAGCTATCGCAACCGGTGCCATTACTTCTCGACTATATCTGTTCCTTTGCTAGGCTTGTTAGTTTGCTCATCGCGGTATTCTCAGTGTTTTCTTCTCTTCGCCGGAGTTGGGACGGCCGGGGCGACATGGCATATTGCCGCAAGGGAGAAACCATATTAATTCCTGAAACGACGAGATGATTGCCTTCTTTCCCTTGTATCGACACTAGACTTTTATTCTCACTTCGCCTCATTGTCTTCGCAGGCATACCTTTTCGTTTCTTTTCGACAGCGGCGCATTATTGTAACAAGCATATCCTACCTGGAACTCTGGTAGAGGGTGTTGAGCTTGACTCTATCGACGAAGACAGTACTAGGTAGTGTTGTTAGAGGAGGACAGCTCGGCGCATCGTTCTTGTCATTATAGATTGGGCAACCAATGAAGGGTAGTGTTTTCTTTTTCGGACGCGAGAACGTTCGGAGAGAGAGCAGTCTGCTTTTCTTTGTTGAGTGCATTTGGGTTTGTTTTTCCTCGTTACGCATAGTATAGTACGTTGCATGAGATAAATATCTGACATCAATACATGCCGATGCACTTTTCATACCCACAACACTTGTGAGATGTTGGAAATATTTTCTTGACTTGTGTCTTGAACAGAGGGGAAGAAAAATAAGCGGTGACAATAACAGAGAAACCCGGGTCATATTTGATACATTTTGACTCTTTGATTTGAATTCTGTGGTATGGTCCGTGCTCTATTATGTAAGACACCTACTAGTAGGTAGTACATAGCTAAACGGTTATCTCTTATCGGAGTAAATAATCTAATCGCGATACCTACAGCTCCAAGGTAGTAAGCTACAACTTATACACTACAACATTGAACAGAGTCGTCAAACGTCTTTGTAAAGCGCCTTTCTCATTTTCTGCACACATAGCCATAGTAATGCTCAAGCACCAATAACGCAGATGCTGATACCCTAACAAACCAATCCTTTCATCCTATCCTATCCCGACGAAACAAACAAGCAAACACACCCCCTATCCCATCCCTATACCCATCGCCACCATGGCGTCCGACAAATTCGACTACATCAAATCCCAATACCTCGTCGCGGACCCCAAGCCCTCCAAGAAGCGGAAGCGCAAGCAGAAAGACGACAGCAGCAGCAACCAGGCCGGCCTCATAATCGCCGACGACGACGAGACAGGGTGGATGCGGGCGAAGTCAAACCAGAACGACGACGACGACGACACCGCCATGGTAGCTGGGACGAGCGCCGAGTTCCGCAAGGCGAAGAAGTCTGCGTGGAAGGTGTTAGGAGGAGGAGGAGGGGGACTCACCACATCGGCATCTCTCGCCCAAGACCAGCAGCAACAGCAAAACAAAGACGACGAAGCCGCAGACGCAATAATAGCTTCGGCGGCGGCCGAAACCGCAGAAGCAGGCAACGACAACGACGCGCCCGCCATAATGATGTCCGACGGGACCTACGCCGGGCTCCAAACGGCCGCCACCGTGTCCGCGCAGCTCGAAGCGCGGCGGCGCGCCGAACGGGCCGAGTACGAGCGCGCCTCGGGCGGAAGAAACAAAAAGCACGCAGCAGAAGAGGAAGAGACGATCTACCGGGACGCGACGGGGCGGCGCGTGGACGTGAGCATGAAGCGGGCCGAGCTCCGGCGCGAGGCGCAGGAGGCCGCCGCGAAGGAAGCAGCCAAGGTCGAGGCGCTGCGCGGCGACGTGCAGGTCGAGGCCGCGCGGAGCCGCCGCGAGGCGCTCGAGGACGCGAAGGTCATGCCGGTTGCGAGGCACGCGGACGACGCGGAGCTGAATCGGGAGATGAGGGAGAAGGTTAGGTGGGGGGATACGATGGCGAGGTTTGTTGAGCCGCGTGTAGCAACAGAGGTGGTAGGGGCGAAGAAGAAGAAAGGAGGGATAAAGGGAAAACCGGTGTACAAGGGTGCGTGGACGCCGAACCGGTACGGGATCCGGCCGGGGTATAGGTGGGATGGCGTGGACAGGAGTAATGGGTTTGAGGGGGAGAGGTTCAAGGCGATCAACCGGCGCGAGAGGAATAAGGGGTTGGAGTATGCGTGGCAGATGGATGAGTAGGTAGGCAGCTACTACAAGGCTACGTACGATTACACTAGCCTAGATAGCTTCCTACATTAGATACCCTAGGCGTAGAGTATGAGAGGCACATGGGGGCCTTTTCAAGAATGTGAATTACTACCATATTTGACTGTTAACCGTCTCTTCTTTCGTCTCGGTGAAATTTTTTTTCTTAAAAAGAAGGAGAAGGAGAAGGAGAAGGAAAGGAAAGGAAAGACCGAGGGCCATCTTGTAGGTTCTACGTTTGTGACATATTATTATTAGGTAACTTACCCGTGGTCCTTTTCAACCCTTTTCTACTGTCTGCCAACATCACGGTGAATTCCTTTCGTCCAATATTTATGTACCTAAGCACCAACCCATTACGTACCCCGTTGATTATGTACCTGCTCGGGAGGCAGGTAGCTACATACCTAGGTATTGGGCCGGAAGCAAGACGGAACACAGACGCAAACTTCACAGAAACACTACTAGTGATAGGATAGGGGGTAATTTTTACAATCTTCTCAACTCACTTACTCATCCCGCCCCCCTCTTCCCAAAAGAGGCGCCTACTACTCACCGTAGAACAATCGAATCGAATCAAACCAAACCAATTGAGGACATCGTCCAATTCACTACGTCTTCTTCACAATCATCACACATCTTCCTCGCGAACGCCATAGGCCAGTTAGACAGACTAAGTGTATCATTTAGTTTCTCAACTCCCCATCCCTAAGCAGCATCTATAACTCGAGGAGACAGCCCTACTAATAAAAGCCCGAGAGTTTGTTAAAAGAAAAGCCAACCGACGTCCTATTTTTCTTTCGCCGAAAAGGAGAAAATTTGCGAAGAGCGTATGCCATATCAATAAACGGTAGCTTCGTATCATATTTGAGTACCTACCTACTCTTAGGAAGTAGGGTTTGGCATTCGACAAGCCGTGAAGCAACTTGGCCATTAAAGTACGCAAGTATCCGATGTTCACCGCCGCCTACGGCTCTAAACTTTGCGACGGAGTAACTTATCGGCGTTGTTGAAGATGGCATTCTCCTTCACCAGCTTCAGCCAATCCTTCCGTAGCATACCACCAGGTTTGTCGACTCGGTCTTGGAACTTCTTAAGGAAGTTACCAACACTGATGCCTTCTGGGGGAGGTGGCAGGGCACTGATAATCTCTTGGGCTGTGATAGGTCTGAGATTCTCCGAGCTCTGAGCTGGAGCGCCTGGGGAATTGGCGCGAGAAGCAGCCGCAGAGCCCTTATTGGTAGCACCTTGGGTCGGGACGGGGCTACCAGCCCGTGAACCTACAGGTGTACCTTTAGAGCTCTTTCCGCCTGCAGTCGACAGACCATATCGCATCTTCTTGCCTCCGGCACCGTCTGACATTTCACCGGCGGTGGCTTCGCCATCACTAGTTGAGCCAGCGCCGGCCTTCGTTCGCTGAGGTAAGGGCGTATTACCACGACTATGTGCAGTCTTCTTTTTCTTACGGGTAGATTCAGTGCCACTGGAGTCTGAAACCATGGGAGATCCGGGTCGCTTGAGAGACTTGCCCTTCTTTCCCGCCTCGGCAGTCTTCTTTTGTGGAGTGTTGGATCCCTTGGTGGAGTTACCTCCGTCCTTATCCTTCTCTGCCTTCTTTTCTGGATCTTCCTTGTCTTTGTCTTTATCTTTCTCGTTGTCAGAATCACTGTCGGACTCCTACAAGTATATTAGTTTGAATCAAGAAATAAACAAGCAAGTAGATATTACCTCAGAAGAAGCGAAAGGATTTCGCCCGTTAGAAGAATCGCTGTCGTACTGGAACTGCTTATCACGTCTTTTCAATGCCTTCTTGACACGTTCGCCGTGAAGTTTGCGACTCAATTCCTCTTTCAACTCATCTTCCTCATCCTTCTCAACTTTGACTTCATCAGCTTCGCCAAAGAGATTAGCATTAAGCTGATCTCGTCGAATTCGAGTGTTAGCTTGCTTGATCTCCTCATCTCTATCTGGTTCGTACCCAGCAGTCTCGTCGTCATCCTGAAATTCGTCTCCCGACATATCTATGTCATCATGATCCATTTTCTCCTGACGTGAAGCTTGCTTGAATGTGCCACTTTCTTGCTTGACTGGCACACGGCCATTGACTATAGCTCGAGACTCCGCCATTGCCCTCTCGGACTCTTGGCGCTGGGTGTCCCTTATCGCCCAACGACCAAGAGTGACCTTCTTGTTCATGGCTTTCTCTGCATCCTCAATTGACATGACCTGAAATGCACCACGTTTCGATTGGAATTTATACCATTTCTCTAGGGGAATTACGCGAAACCCGTTCTTGTGAATCTTCAACGCAATTTTGCAATCGGACAATGGAGCTTCATACTGGCCGACCCATACGTTCTTGCCATCAGCATCCTCCAGGTGCCACGGCAGGGCTTCTTCATATCGAATCTCGGCTTGTCTCTTCTGCTCCTCGGTACGTGCTCCATGATGAATTTGTAAGCTAGGCTTCTTCTGTTCCTTCTGTTGTTGTTTTCCCTTTGGATTCGCGTCTTTGACAACGGGCGCTTTTTGAGCATTATCAGCCGCGCGCTGAGCTTCTCTCTGCTCTTTTATCTGCGCAAGTCTTTCTGCCTCAGCTGTATCGACCGTTTCCTCCTCCTCGACAAGAGGCTCCTCTTTCACTTCACGACCAGGTGGCGGCTGTCTAGGATCGCGTCGCTGCAATGTAACGGGTCGAGTGAAGTCATCCTGGTTAGTAGGGTCGATACCTCTGTCAAGCTTGGTATTTCTGGACCCAGGTGGTGCAAAGCGCATGATGTGGAATCGTAAGCCCTCTTTAAGGGATTTCTTGGTGAGATACAAAGGATACTCCTCGAGATCTTCTGCGGGAGGCGCAGGAAAAGACCATCCTCCATTTTGACTGCGCAGCGCGTCGAAGTTCGGTGGGCCTGGTTTATTCTGTGTCGGGCGTGGTGGTGGTTTACTAACGGGCCGGGAACCAGTATTCGCGGATGTGGAAGGTTGTGGTCGACGCACGGGTTTTCTTGGGACGAGGGGATTCACAGCGGCGCGTGGTCTGCGCAACGGCGGCGCGCCTGCAGGAGGGGTTGGCCTTTGGCCGTTAGGGCCCGCAGGGGGTGTTGCGCTCATTGCGAGAAGGTGAAATGGGATGAGGTGGTCTAAGATTGGTGATCTGGTTGCTAGCGAACCTCAGAGAATGAGGTAATGACAGAAATTCAAGCCAACCAGTATACAGGTTCTATGTTTCGCGAGTGTTCATTGGTGCATGGGAGAAATCATATGTAGAAGTTAAAGAGGATCGAGTTCGGCTATGACGCGAAGGCAGCGTGGAGACAATTAATAAAATGGAATCAAAGGTAGCTTTGTCGCGTCCGGGCTGATCAGAGAATAAAGAGAATTTGGAAACAATGTTGCGTGTGGTGAGGTGAAGGCCGCTCCAGTCAGTACTACAGACTACAGGCTGCAGATGAACTGCAGACTGCAAACTGAAGCTGATATTGAAAATGAGATTTGTTGATGTGTAATGGAGAGAAAAAAGATACAGGTAAAATTAGTAAAGTGGAAAGGCGGCTGTGGTTGAATATTGATGATGAGAGAATGAATTAGTTGGAAATGATGGAAGTTGTAGGTGTGCAGTTCAAAGTTCTATCTAGGCGCCTTGCCTTGCTGTGGTGCCTTGCTATGGTGCCTTGCTGTGCTGGGTCCGATTTCTGTAAGGTTAGTCAACCTTGAAAGTGTGTCCGTGCAGTGCCTTATTTTAGGTACATGGGTACGTAGGTACCTAACTACTTCAATGTTGCTTCAAGTTCAGACTGTTCAGTTCCAAAATCTGGGCCTGTGATTCGAGCTGTCAGTGTTCAATGTTGGTGAATGACGGATCTTTCAATTGTACTGGGTACATTGGGTACATACTAACTACTAGGTAGTAGGTACTATGTAGTAGTATTGAAAGTACACAAAGAGCCGCCTGCCAAGCAAAGATGAAAAAGTGGATTATGTGGGGTGACTGAGCAGTACCTATAACGTCACTAAGCAACTTGCCATTATTATCGGATCAGGTACCGTAGGCGGGGGACAGTGCTAAAGAGCAGGAAGACGGCGCTGTAACAATAACCCCCAATTGTACAACGCATACCAATATTAGAACATTGAAGTATCCTATCTCAGATACAAGTTACATAATGTACCTACATTAAAGTACGGAATTTACTTAGCTCTCACCCCGATGTCTTTAGTTGAAAAAAAGAAAATGTATGTAACTATGTAGCTTATTGAACCTTGAACTCTCCATCTTGAAGATCTACATATATAGTAATGCTTGATTAAGTCTTCTTCCAAACACAGCCAATCATCTCATTCTCTTAATAGCTTTGGTATGAGCAGTCAACTCTTAGATATGTGAGGCTCTCACTTGGTACATTATCTACATACATTGTCTACATCGCCTTAATTATACATACATATGTACATATCATCCCCTCCCCTCTTTTGCCTCTCCCTCTCCTTCTTCCTCTCGCTCGTGGAACATCTGTTCCCCTTACACATTTATTTACCACTTTCTTATCGTCGTATTGTGGTGAAATTCACACTCCGACCTGGTATCGGCTCATAATACATACCTCAGGCACCCAGTACTAGGTAGTATTACACAATTAAGGATTGTTGATGCCCACCCACTTCATACCTACTGGGCACTGCAGAATTATTAGGTAGCACGCTATTCTGACGATTCTTATTGGACCACCATACATACACACTTGAACAGCCCTATGATATTGTCTCCAGCTACGGTCTAAATCCTCAAAGTGCAGCCAGGAACAATTCAATCTCGCTTCACTCTACTTCTTAAAAAAGAACTAGCGTGTCTCCTGGGAGATGGAAATTCTGTCGGTGGAATAGTATTCACAACAACTCATTAACTACCTACATATTATGGTTATTGGTTTTCAACTTTACCACCACAAACGCTGTCGGCGCACAAGTCACGTTCTGTAGAGTCTGCTTGGTATCGCCACAATTCTCATACTCATCTTACTACTATCGCAATATCACAACCCCTGATATTTTACCCAAAGTGGATATTGACTGTGCCCTTCACAACATTACACTATGTCGACCTCTACAGTCGGCGCTGGTGAGCTTGAAGACCACCTGCGCACGCTCATTCTCAACAATGCCGATCCAGTTCCAGGCACTTCTACACAAGTCAACAACCAACCTTTAGAAGACCAACCCATAGCTAGTGAAAAATGTCAGGAGGCCGGGCAACCTGCAACTCGACCTCAAGGCCCTGCAAAAGGTGGTAAGAAACGTCCGAATCAGGCCCAGCGTCGTCAAATGCAGGCCCAGTTGTCTATACCCGTCGATACAAGACCATCCCCGCCTCATGATGAAAGACATCACCCGAATACCCACCAGCACAGGAACCAGCATTCTACATGGCATAATGGCGAACAACATACATCTCGTCCTCATGCAAATACGTATCATTCCGGATTTCAGGATCGTGCTTCTACAACCAATAATCTTCCGTTCTCACATCAGCGACGTCAAGGCGGATCTAGTCAGTCCCAAATATCTACACCAAACCATCAGTCGCCCTGGAGACAACACCAACACCAACAACATCATAACAGTGATTCATTCTCAAAGGGTGTCAACCTTGTTTCCGCAGATTCTTTTCCAGCACGCTCTCGACGGCCTTCACAGCCTGCCCTCTACAACCCCGGTGGCCAACGCCAGCTTCTATTCAGTCCAGAGCAACTCATGAACCAATCTGATCTCTTGGATAGACTATGTCACTCCGTAGTTTCAGGCGCTGAAATTGCGCCGAATGAGATTGCTGAGAAGGAAAACTTTCGATTCCAAATTGAAGCAATCTGCCGCGAGGTTATCAGCCGACATGAGATCGAAATTATGGGATCACCGACTTTCCAGCCTTATACTGTCCAACTCAAGTGTTTTGGAAGCCTTTCGTCCGGGTTTGCGACCAAAGCGTCTGACATGGACCTTGGTCTCCTTTCTCCCATGTCGCATTTCTCCCCAGACTCTTCAAACTCGCCAATTCCACGTCTTGTTGAGAAGGCATTACTTGATCATGGGTTTGGCGCGCGTCTTCTTACACGTACGCGAGTGCCAATCATCAAGCTCTGCGAAAAACCTACCGAAAAACTTCACAGAGATCTTGTTGAAGCGCGGTCCAAGTGGGAGACGGGATTTGCAGATGATGGCCATGAAATAGTAGACGATGTTATAGAAGACCAAGACACTCCCGAGGTAACCGCTACCGCTATTGTTGCCGAAGTTGATCATTCGCTGCCGGGGATTCAACATGGAAATTCCCAGCCAATGGGTGGCCCTGTAGACAGATCATATGAGGCTCAGCTTGCTTCATTGAAACAATCAGAAACACAGTCCCTGATGGCTTATTATGGAAATGCCAAACGACTTTTACGTCGATTGAATAGCCGTGATGTTACGATTTCCAACGCGACAGATCTTAAGTCTGCAGACTACAAGGTTCTTGGTGATATCTCTGGCGCCTTTATTAACGGACTCTATGATGCAGACTTGAGAAGCCGATTATTGTCATATCCGTCCGTCCACTCTAGTGATATATCGGATCCACCTAATCTTCGGTCACTCTCAGGCGTCCTCATGATTGTGGAGGGTGAGAAGCTCGTGATGCTGTGGGAATCTCAAGTAAAAGGAGAAGGCAACCCCAAGCTAAGACATGGCTCCGAAAGCGTAATCCAAAGCTGGAAGAATTTCCAGAACCGGAGGCTATTTGGTAAAGATCCGCTTCTGTTCAACCGCGACGTTCACGTAGCTGTTGAACGACTTCGCCAAATCCCGCTGGTTCAACTTGTACAGCTTAAGCAAGATGCTTACGAGTCACCAACACAATACTACTTGAGGGTATCCAAGATCGCAACTGATCTCGGTAGTGCGAATTCATCCTCAAGCCCCGCCATTTCGGCACAGGCAATCCAATACTATATCTCGGGTATTCGCGACAAGGTGGTTCGAGAACAAATACAGGATTTTGCGACCTCATCCGGGGTGCAGAGTCTGAGGACCATTGCCAGAAAGCACAAAACGCTTCATCTTATTACAGACTACGAGAGGGCAATCGATAAAAATCTTTACTGTACAACTGATTTGCCAATCATCAAGGAATATATATCCATACTGAGAGACAATTTCGTGCAGCGAGGGCCAAGCACGGATGAACACATTGTGAACGTGTTTGATTTCACAGTCGCAGTCACTGAGAGCAATCTTGGGATTGTTGACAAAATAAAGCAACTCCCTGACCCATCCAAGCTTTCACCAAATCAACCAAGGGATCGTTATCATGACAATCTAGAGTTCCCCAAAAATGGGATTGGCGTTCAATGTGATATCAACTTCTCGGCACACCTAGCCCTCCAGAACACCGCACTCCTACGTTGTTACTCCTACACCGATCCTCGGGTTCGGCCAATGGTCCTCTTTGTGAAACATTGGGCCAAGGCACGAGCTATCAACACTCCTTACCGCGGAACCCTAAGCAGCTATGGTTATGTTCTTATGGTCTTACACTACCTAGTCAACATCGCGGAACCATTCGTATGTCCCAATCTCCAGCATCTTGCACCTCCCGACCCAAACCTACCAGCGGAGGCCTTGGAGGGTCTCACAACTTGCAAGGGACGCAACGTTCGATTTTGGAGAGACGAGCAAGAGATCCAGAGGCTGGCTGCTCAAGGCCAACTCAATCAGAACCAGGAGTCCCTTGGCTCACTTCTACGGGGCTTCTTCGAATATTATGCGCAAAATAATATGATGAGCACCACCCATAAGCGTGGTTTCGACTGGGGCCGAGACGTATTGAGTTTACAAACTCTCGGAGGACTACTTTCAAAGCAAGAGAAAGGCTGGATAGGAGCGAAGACGGTCATACAGCCCGAAACAGGTGGCTCCCTCAACCCAGTTGAGAGCGAGGCCAACAACAACATCACCGGACAACAAGCCACGACCAATAATACACAGCCTAAGCAACCCTCGTCACCCAACGAAGCCCCCATAACGCCGATAGGCCAGCAAGCAAAACCCAAGGAGTTCAAGGAGGTGCGCTACCGCTACCTCTTCGCCATCGAAGACCCCTTCGAGCTCGAGCACAACGTCGCGCGCACCGTGACCCACAACGGCATCGTCTCCATCCGCGACGAGTTCCGCCGCGCCTGGCGCATCATCAGACAAGCTGGCAAGACGGGCCAGGTCGCCGAGGACCTGCTCCAGGACGTCGAGGCTGAGCACGATAGGGTGGAGAAGCTAAGGTTTACGGAGCTGCTGGAGGAGATTCATGGGCCTCGTACCAATGTCAATGCCAATGTCTAGTCAATCAAAGTCTCATAGCTGGCCATATCTCTCCCTTTCTCCCGCCCCCCCCCCCCAACCAAATCTCTATCTCTCTTACATACACAAAGTCTGCGTACAAATTCAGCTGTAACTGATTCCTTTGGTGTCCTTTGGCATTCGTGTTCTGTATTCTGTATACTGTTCACTGGGAACATCATCGTGTTGGAGTACGTTAGGATAGGGTAGCATAGGATAGGTGGTCACATGCACGAAAAAAAAGAAAAGAAAAAGGAATTGGTTGATATTTGGATTGTTTTCGTGTGTTGTGTTGTGTATTGTGTTGTTATGTAGTAACAAATGAAGCGGAATTCGATAGGTATAGCAGATGTCGCTCACACCTAGTACTCTGTAATTAATTGGCCTTCACCCTCATTGCCATTGTCATTGCTGCCATCGTCATCACCGTCAGTGTTGATATCTGAGTCGACTAAACTGCCTACTAACCCTAAGCTAGATATCTGCCCTGCCCCTCTTGATATCTGCCTAAGCTACATAGGTGGGTTTTTCAGTTCCTTCCTTCCTTCCTGTCCTTAAGATTTCTGCTGCAGAAACAGGATGGAATGTGTATGTATCTGGAACGCAGGAAACTCTGTACACCCCTTAATACCTATGTATTGTACCTAGCCTGGATAGGAGAAGAACTACCGATGTATCTCAGTCACCTACCTAGGTACAGTAGGTGGGCACACATTAATGGACTCTGCCCAGCATTGACTACCTAATGCCTCACGCACGCGATTGATCACAAATCACACAAAAGACGTAGTTTGATTAATCAATTCACTGTGTATTTATTATTCACTAAACACTTGATTTATCATATGTACCTAGTAGGTAGTAACCGGGCGTCTGAACAAGTACAATACAATGCAATAAGAATATGGCACATGTGAAGCTACTGCTCCCGAGACACTTGTTTAAAAAAAAGTAGGTACCATAGCGTGAAAGTACGTGTGGAGTAAATAATTTACAACCTTAAATGATTTAAAAATAGGACATTATTTCAAAGGTTTGAAGTACCTTCCCACCTTATTTCTTAGGGTAGGTACAAGTGTCAATTGTTTGATCATTTCGATCAAACAAAAGATGGCAATCATTTGAATTTTGTAAATCAAACACCATAATTTAGGCTGAATAATAGCATTATATGCAATTATTTCATATTTTGCAATCATTTCTTATATAAATCCAGGAAGAACCCAATCCCGGTATCCACTTTTATATTTTCTTTAATATTTTTTGGCCAACACCACCTTTTCTTTTTTTTTTCAACACTACAACACACTCTTTTTCAAAAAAATTTTCTTCAACACCACAACACATCACCATCTTCAATAACCACCTTCAATAACCACCTTCAATCACCACCTTCAATCACCACCTTCATCAAAACACCACAACACATCACCAAAACACAACACCACCTTCAATAACCATCTTCAATCACCACCTTCAATAACCACCTTCAATCACCACCTTCAATAACCACCTTCAATAACCACCTTCAATCACCACCTTCAATCACCACCTTCATCAAAACACCACAACACATCACCAAAACACAACACCACCTTCAATAACCATCTTCAATCACCACCTTCAATAACCATCTTCAATCACCACCTTCAATAACCACCTTCAATAACCACCTTCAATAACCACCTTCAATAACCACCTTCATCAAAACACCACAACACATCACCAAAACACAACACCACCTTCAATAACCATCTTCAATCACCACCTTCAATAACCATCTTCAATCACCACCTTCAATAACCACCTTCAATAACCACCTTCAATAACCACCTTCAATAACCACCTTCAATAACCACCTTCAATAACCACCTTCAATAACCATCTTCACCACCACCTTCAATCACCACCTTCAATAACCATCTTCAATAACCACCTTCAACAAAACACCACAACACATCACCAGAACACAACACCACCACCACCTTCAATCACCACCTTCATCACCACCTTCATCACCACCACAACACATTACTTTTTTCAGGTACGTACATCCTTACCTTATAAGAAAAGAATCTCTACTAACTTTTACCATTTCAACAAATTTTCTTAGGTACCTACTTTTCACTAAAATCAATGGTTAGTTCAATCTTTCAATTCCTACATGTATGAATATAACAATCAAATAATACTAATAAAAAAACTTAGAAGATTTTTTACATCGATCAAAACGATACTTAGCGGATGGACCAGGTCCTATTGATCAATAGGTGGGTATCCTAATTGGATAGGTGAAGCTGTTGTTATTGTCTATATATATGTATGGTGTAAGGTATGTATAAGATGGAAAGTGGAAGTGGTGGATATGTACATATAATCCAATAATACTTGAATAAAGAAATAATGTCCCAATTAAAAATAATTTCCAAATTTGAATTGATTTCCAAATGTAAATAATGTCTCAACATAAATGATTTCCAATTGTAAATGATTGCCAATTGTAAATGATTGCCAATTGTAAATGAATGAAAATTAAGTCATGAACATGAGTTATTTCCAGCCATTTCCTGGGGGCCAATTATTTCCGCCACTCATACTTTCACGCTATGGTACCTTATAAGGTACTGTAAGAATTTTGAATTGTCCGTAGTTTTCTCTTGCCAAACACTCAGCGTCCAGATGGACCTGGTAATAAATACCCGAGTGGCTAGCCTTCTAGCAACGTATTGCCCCAAAAGGGACGGTTTGATCTGCCAACGTTCCGTTCAGAGGCTTGTCCTAGAGGGACCTTAAGCCCTGGCTATCTGAGGATAGCACCGCTGGGGGGGGTAGAGGGGAGGGGAAGGGGGGATATAAAAAGGGAGCAAATTCAGCCACACCATGAAAGCATACGACTCCATTGCAAAAAGACATACCCATCGTGCCAATCTTATAGTGGTATCTGATGTAATTCCGTAACACTGATCCTAATTCCGAAAAACCATGCAGCCTTATTCCGCCTCATCCCAGACGCCAGTACCGATATCCGCGGTCTCACCTGTCGGTTTTTCTCATAAAGTGTACATACTGCAAGTCATAGCAGAATTATTCATAATAATCGTAACATTCCTGGCTGTCTAATCCGCCATATGCTGAAACAAGGGCGATATCGATTCGCCATAGTGGTTTCTTCGAATGGCTTCGGACAATAAAAAGGAGAGGTCTAGGATGACCAACTTACTTGCGTTTTTGGCCCTGCGATCAGCTATTGGGAAGCTGTTGGTTACGATGATCTGATCGATACAATCGCAAGCCTGCAGCTGTTCGAGACAATCCGCCCCGAACACCCCATGGGTGGCCATACAATACACTTTCTTTGCTTTGCCTCGTTTGACTACCGTCTCGGCCGCGGCAATCCAGGAACCGGCCTTGTCAATCATATCGTCCACGATCAATACTGGGCGGTCCTTAACGTTGCCCACTAATGTGATCATGTGCTCGATTTTGGGATCTCGAAGTTTCTCTTCCTCCTCATCTGAGGATGCTTCAGCGTCACCCGAGCCGCCAAGGGCATGAGGTTCAGGTGCGAAGAAAGAAGACGCGTGAGACATAGCCATAGGATCGTCATCGCCGCCATGGTAAGACTGACCACCGTCCGCACTGGCATCTGATTGGGCTGGGGACTGGAAGTCGTCGGCCACCACATGACCTTGAACTAGTCTTCCGTGAGTTACTTCGGCCGCACGTGCATCGTTATACACATGCGGGTCGTCGGTATTCTCCTCCTCGTCTTTTAGCTCTTCGATGGGAGAGGTTTGAGAGGGTGTATAGGCATGTGTGTACGGCGAACGCGCGAGGCTGTTAGTCCGCAGCGGTGGGCCGTTAGCACGCCTAGGAGAACCTTGGGACTCGCTCATAATACGTGAAGACCTCGCCGAGCCATTGCCATCCGAGTCTCTATCTTCTGAGACATTTCTCGAATGATGATTCCCATTAAGACAGGCCGGAGGGTTTTCCCATCCATCAAGCTGGTTCATAATCAAGCTTGCTGACATGTTAGGTGCACGCTTGCGATCTGTAGTAACCAGCCCAAAGTTGAGCTTCAATGCGTCAGCCAACGAAGTCACCCTCTTGGTTCCACCGGCGTTTTTGGACACGCAAACGGCTTCCTTCCAATTAGGAACGTTCATTCGAATCCATCGCGCAATGAGAGGTTCGGCATGCAGGTTGTCGACAGGACACTTGAAGAAGCCTTGCATTTGAGAGGCATGGAGATCAACAGTAATGACGTGCTTAACTCCGGCCACATGGAGCAGGTTTGCTAGCATCCGAGCGGTGATAGCTCCCCGATGGGATTTCTTCTTGGACTGCCGACTGTATGGAAAGTAGGGCAGGACGGCTGACAGGGGAATGTGGCAATTAGCATGTAGATACTCCTTGACCAGGTCTGGCTATGGTCCAAGATCTTTTTCAGTGTAGCTCTGAAGAACTCACCAGTAATCTTGTTGGCAGAACCACCCTTGCAGGCCGAGATCATGATAAGTAGCTCCATGATGGTATCATTGATGGTAGGACTTCCGGATTGTACGATGAAGACATCTTTGTCTCGAACGCTGGTCAGGATTCGGACACTTGTTTCGCCCTATAGGTTGTGATTGAAGGTCAGTTTGTCAGTTCTGCCGTTACGACATGGGAGTATTTTTCTTCTTTTCTTCCCTCTACCGCCATTACATTGAGTAGCAAAGTCATAGGATAACTTACATTTGAAAATTGAGACAAGTCGGCCTCGGCCGGAGCCATGCCCAAGTTCCCACATATCTTACCTGTGAGAGCTGGGCACGACGTGCCCGAAAATACCAAGGTGCCTCTCATTTCTGTGAATGGTGAAAAAAAGGAAGAAAAGTTTTGGTGGAAGAGGAAAAGGTGATGATTTTATGTGGGTCACAGAGAAAACCAAGGGACTTGACTTGATAAGCAACAATTGATATGCAAGGTACGTAGGTACCTACATACCACACTGGCAGTTGGCAGTTGCCTTATACATGTGGGTCCTGACGACGGAACTTGCCCTGAGCGCATGACCTAATCGAGGTGGGAAGTCACAGCTCAATTGATCGTTTGATTTTGACAGTGGTTACCTATGTAGTATTTGTACAGGCGGGGATAGTTTCATGGTACCTAAGGTAAGTGCAACGTCGAAATCAATGTTCCTACTAATACTTCAAGGTTCTCTTCAATTAACTGGCATTCACTACCAACCTAGTACATATAGGCGGCTCATGCCCATTCTGCCGCCTGCAGTAATCATTCGTGTGGCGTTGACTACCTAGGTACCTAAACTCCCACCGTGGACGTACCGTACCTATTAAATCTTTCGTTACACCTGGCACTAGATTTTAGGGTTGGCTTATGTACTTCCAAGGTTGACTAAAATTGATTTATTTACTTATTTATTTTTTATTTACATCCAATAGTATTATGCGTCTCTCAATTCGACTGACCATAAACCACCTACAAAGTGGCCCTGGAGATACCTACTTTTAGGCAGGTATGCCACCTAGAAAGATATCATCTCGTGCCCATTCACTATGGGTATTCGAGGCCTTAATCAGGCGGTACAGCGTTATGGCGTCTTCTCGCCCCTGAGTGGTGATACCGTTGTTATTGATGGCCCTGCTCTTGTTCATCGCATCTCCGATACCTGTATAAAACAACGACCTCCTGGAAGTGGGTTCCTATGTCATCCTGGGTACTCTCTCCTTAGCCGCATGGTTATAAGTTGGCTTAATGAGTTGAAGAGCCATAACGTCAATGTGTAAGTCACAGTCTACATTTAATAGAATACTTCAACCAAGGGCTGATGGCTAATACGTAATATTCAATATGAAGGCGGAGGATATATTTTGATGGTTACTTGCCTCCAAGTAAATGGGATGTAAGACAGGAGCGGCTTCTCCAACTATCAGAGCATATGAAGACATTGAAATCTTCTCAACCTTCTGGGTCACCTAGGACGCCAGAAAGCGCGTTCAGCACCCTTGAGGATGGTCTGACCTTCACGAAACTGAATGGTCACTTCCACTCTAACATATTGCCGAAGCCCCCTTTCATCATTCCCGCCGTTCTTGAGGCCTTGAAGCACAATCAAGTCTGGGGCCCTCTAGTCTCGGTCGTGCCTGGGGAAGCTGATGTGTTCTGTGCACAAGACATCCGGGAAAATGGTGGTACTTTACTAACAAACGATTCCGACTTGCTCATACAGGATCTTGGAGCAACGGGGTGTGTATCATTCTTCTGGGATATTGTCCCGGTAAGCCCTTCCTCTAAGGGGCTCGGCATGACATCATGCAAATTGTCGCTTCGTGAGATCAATGATCGATTAGGCTTGACCAATATTGGGGGTCTCCGTCGCGTCGTCTTCGAGAAAGAGAAAGGCAGAATGAGGTTTAGTAAGGCCTTCCAATACGCTCGAGATAGCCATGAAGACACGCTGAATTCTTTGGAGTACCAGAGCTTCATAAAAGAGCTTGAGTTGAAGGTATATATACCAAACGAACATCCGGTACTTGGCGTTCTCTCTAGCCTCGACCCTAGGATATCAGAGGTTGTCGTTCAGGCTTTGCTTCTAGAAGACCCAGGAGTGGAGTCTTTAACGTCCGACACAAAAACATCACGAGGTCCAGAGACATTATCAATTTTTCTACCAATATTAATAGAGGATCGCGATAAGAAAAGCACGTGGACAGTAAGCACAAATGTTCGGCAAATCGCGTACAGCATGCTTCAAAAGTTTATGCGCTATAAAACGAGCAATATTATCGAGTACCGCACATTAGACCCATCAACAACGTTGGCTGGCCGGAAAATTGAGATTCCTGATCTAGAAGAGATGATCAACGGTTGTGCTCAGTTACTACTTACATTGGACAAGTTATCACGAGGTTTGCCGTCTCCAGACATGCAATGGTTTGCGTTTGCAGTGTATCAGGACTTTGAGTGGTCCACGTCAGAAGAGCGTTCGCCTCTAGCAGCCACGCTCATCGGTGAGATAACGAGGCAACCTGAAAATACAGAAGAGTACTCGTGGGCCTTAATACACTTTACCGCTCAAGTCCAAGCGTGCCTTTACTCACTTAGATTAGCGAAGCAAATCTTGGACGTTGTTCGATTTCTGGGTCAAGATCTTCCAAGACTAGTCCAAGAATTGCACAACCGTCTCGCATCACTTCCTCTCATTGATGCCTGGCCTGCCGTGGAACAGGTTTTTGATCAGCTATCCGAGTTTAGCAATGTGGGTGGATTCGAAACAATCACGAGTATCCTTGGAATCCCCAGCATCAAAACGACAGAACTTCTCTCACGACACACGTCAGGAAGGGAGAAAAGGAAGCAAGACAATGAAATGAGTTCCCGGAAAGCACGCCAGAAATATGTTAAGAGGTCACCTTCTATCAACCCCTTCGCTGTTCTCAGTGAAGCAAGTCAAGATTGATACCAGAGAAGGCTTCATAGGGCTTCGTGATGAACGACCGACCATGATTTCTTTGGTATATCAATGACACAGTTCAATACCTACCCAAGTGGAAAGTGCCTAGGTAGTCGCACAATTCTTGAGGGTTGCGTTCACTTATATGATAGAGCAATGGGTTATTATGTGGCTCCTGATGCCAACAACACATCTTACGCCAAGGTGATAAAAGTCATACCCAATATCTTGAGAATCGGGAACTTAGATACCTGCTCAAGTCGGTCAGGGTTCTTTCTATCTTGAGCTATTGCATCTACCATCATAGGCACATATGAAATATGATAGACTACGGCACAGCCCATGTCAGCTCGGACAACTAAGATGTCCGAGGTCTTTAGAGCTCATCTTATTAGTCACCTGAGCGCGCAACTAGGTCGTGAATGGTGGGGTTCGGACAAGGCACTACCCCGATTTCATAGGCATCTATGATTGGCTATAGTCATAGGAGTCTTTCGTATAGAAGAGACCTCCCATCTCACCAACACATCGCACTATTCCGAGTTCAGATAAGGTTCCCCCCCAGCGGATATGAGCTGGTAAAGAGACATTACTTCTGCAGCAACCGCTGAAGAGTCGCTAGTAGGTTGGTATGGCTGTAACTCTTTTGCGATAGCTTTACAAAATTCTAACCTGACCTGCCCAAAAAGGGTATACCCACAGCCGAGCTGCTAAATCTCCTCGTCTGAGGGACGTTTGGCTAGATAGGTGTCGACGTATGACCGTATTTCCTTGGATAGGCAATCGACTTGTTGGGCGAGGCCGTAAAAGCTTTGCAAAATCTACCTAGAGAGACTGCAAACAAAGGGGTAGGAGGACGTACGGCCCAAGAAGCCTTACGGGTAATAGTATGCCCCTAATACCCTCGTAGCACCACCCGTTATTTCCTCTTGACTAATCACTTCCCTAGGTTATAGCACTTATGGCATGTTCCTAAACTACGGTGTCCGTCTTCCTATCCTGGAGCTTTCATCATCATCATCATCATCCACTGCTGCAGCTGCACATCGGGATCCTGGCCGTCGCTGACTTCACGCACTGGGCCGCTCTCTTCTCAACTATTGCGGAGACCGAGCCCCCGCGGATGGGCCGCCGTGTTCGATACGAGTGGGTGGGATGCCCAAATATGGAATCTGGCGACGTATCCGGTGACGTCGCTGGCTGTCAAGTTTGCGACTTCGGCGGGAGTGTTTGGTGAGATTTAAGGGGCAAATGGTTGTTTTTGCGCGGCATCACTTTTCCTTCTGCCACCTGTGTGACCTAGGTTAGGTTAGGTATGTAGTTAGTAAGCTTGATGTAAACCGGTGGCGGCCGAGAGTTTATAGGTACTGAATGAAGATTGGTATCTGAAAGTCTTGGATGAAGGAGGTAATAAATTAAAAAGTTTCCAACGTCTATGTGTAAATATCGTACTATCATTCCCCAATATTAAACAAACAAACAAACGACCAGCCAGCCAATCATCTCCTAATAACCTGACCATCTACACCACACATGTCCCAGATTCCTCCCCCCTCCCCCCTTATCTCTTATTCGCCAACCTCCACTCTCGCACCCTCCCCCCCTTTTTTTTTCTTTAATTCTTCCCATCACCACCACCAGCGAGCGCAGTCATATTCGAGTTCCCCGGTTTAATCAGCGTCTTCTCCCTCGGCAAGGCATCCAGGACCTTGTCGGACAGATTCAGGGTGTCCTTGACGACCTGGCGCGGCGTGAGCGCGAGCCACTGGGCGGCGCTGACGTCGGCGAACCTGTCCGCGAGCAGCACCTCGAGGAAGACGACGTCCTCGTCGCCCGTGTTCTCGACGTAGTGGCCCGCGGCCCGCTGTATGTACCCGACGTCCCCCGCGGTGAAGTCGAAGGTCTGCGAGGCGGCGGGCGCGCCGTACACGGTGATGCGCGCCGCGCCCTGCAGGAAGTAGCTCCACTCGTCGCTGGCGGTGTGCCAGTGGACCTCGCGCATGGCGCCCGGCGAGAGCACGACGAGGGCGGCGGAGAAGTGCGAGGCGATGGGGAAGGTGGCGGGGTCGAGGATCTTGACGGTGCCGCCGGGGGTCGTGTGGGGGGCTTGCTGCGACCAGTGGTAGGTGTACCCCGTTGACCCCCACAGGGACCCGGCGGAGGGGGAGGTGATGTTTTGGAGGGTTATGTTGGAGGGGGCGGGGGTGCCGTTGAAGATCTTGGGGGGGTTGGGTTAGTTATGTTATGAGCTACCTATGGTGTACTTGATCTGCATTCCAAAGGCGTGCGAACGGAGAGAAAGGAGAAGAAAAAAAGGAAAAAAAAAAAAAAAAGGGGGGGGGGATAGACAACTCACGTATTTCTCATCCTGCGGAATATCATCAAGCTCGCTGACATCGGTCTCAAGGTCCTTGGCCCAGACGGACTTGGGCGTGCGCAGGAGCATCTCGGTGGCGAGGAAGGTGTTGGACTCGGAGAAGGTGCCGCTGTCGAACACGAGCAGGAACTCGCAGCCGTCGTGCAGCGCCTGCAGGCTGTGGGGCACCCCCTGCGGGAAGAACCACACGTCGCCCGCAGTCACGTCGTCGACGAAGGTCGCGCCGTTCTCGTCCATGGCTGCGACGCGGACTGAGCCCTTTAGGACTAGGGCCCTGGTGGGGTGTTTGTGGTTAGCGTAGGTGGTCTTTATTATATATCTACCAAGAGCAGGCACTCTCTCTCCAAAGGAAGGAAGTAACACTCACCATTCACCAGCCGTATGCCAATGCAGCTCCCGATACGCATTCGGCGCAAGCCGCATATCGACCCCCGCCATCGCCGACGCCACGGGGAGGTTATCCTGGTTCTGCTGCCTCGTCCACCCCGACTCCTTGCCCGTGCCGAACAGGTTCCGGCTCAGGCCCAGGGGCCACATGGACTGCGGCACCGTGCCCTGGTCCGTCTCGGGCGGCGCGTAGATGTCCGGGTTCAGCCTCTCGTACTCGTACGTCCGCGGGCCCGGGTCCGTGTTGCCCCGGTCGCCCCGGATCGGCTGCGGCCCGTTCGGGTACGTCGCGCTCTCGAAGTCGAGGTACAGCCCCAGCTTGCCGTCCGCTTCTTGGCCGTTCACTAGCTCCGGGTCTGCGACGGCGGCAGAGTCGCCCCCGGATACGGGTGGCCGCGACGCGATGCCGCCTTGCAGGTTGGTCGACCCCCGCAGGTCGCCTACGGGGGCGCCGGAGTAGGTGGGGATGGGCGGGTCGACGCCACCGACGCTGCCCGTGTTTTCCTCGTACGTCATCCTGCGGTGTGTATTAGCGTGATGTCAACTGGTGCTTCGGTAGGTAGTAAAATGCTCACTGGGGCGCTGGAAGGCCGAGGGCCAAGCGGACGAGTCCAGCACTCAGAAGACTGCTTGAGTATCTCATCTTGACAGACAATCGCTATTTCTATAATTGACTGATTAAATTCCAAGGTCCTTTGCTTTGATAAGTGCGATGAACTCAAAGATGTAGGCCTATCCAAGAAGAAGGAATCTCGAGTTTATTTGCTGTATCTGTCTGTAGTACAGTGACGAGATCCCCAAGACAAGAGAGTGAGTGAGTAGTTTGGGTGAGAGGAAGAAGGTTTCTTGATGCTGCTTTTATATCCTCAAGTCCCTGCTACCCCTGACGTACAACCATTTCAAACTTTCCCTCCAGGTAGGCTTGGACACATACATAATCGTACTCATCACCATCGTCATCATCAAGGGGAAAAAATGAAATAAGATACCTACTTCAATGAACACACACTCGTGCACACACACACACCTATCTAGCTCCTGCAAGTTCGACAGGGCTACCTACACCGAGAACTCGGGATTACGGCACCATCAGTAGGTCGGTAGGTCGCCTACCTACATGCAGTAAGTAAAGTAGGTGGTCAACTTGTTTCAGCAGCAAAATTCTAGAATCTGCAATTGTTTAAGCACACACACATTATAATGCAGGTAGCAAACCCGGAACAGGGCCGTTGCCTGCCTGCCTGCCTGCCTACCGCTTCAAGTTTTGTCACGAACTACTGTGTGTGGTCAGAAGAGCAGTCCCAGCTTCAGCTCCCCGGTTCCTCGTCCTGTCAGCGGCCAGAAACCGGAATATTGGGGGCGGACGGATCAACCGGCAAGGCTTTCGTAAGTGACTACCCCAATCGCAGTTTGTGATTGTGGATGTTGTTGTCGCTCTCTCAGCAACCAACAAATTTCCCGAGGGATACCGAGATTTCTTTTTTTGCAGATCGCTTGCGAGTTGGCGTTACGGGAATAACGCCCCGACGCGCGTGGGCGAGAAGGAGAGCGACCTCTAGTTAGTTAACTCTTTGATTTTATGTTTGGATTATGCAGCATAGGTATGTACGGTATGCCGCCTTTGGCTCGGGATCTCGGAATTTTCGTAATGGAAAAAGAGGAAAGGAAAAAGATGGATTAGGTATTAAACTTCAAGCCACATTGTCATAGGTAATGCGGGTTTGCTGTCATTCCCGTGTCGCTGCCGTAAGAATAATTCTTTTTCTTTTATGTAAAAAAAAACCTTCATGAATCATTTAAATCTCAATTTAATAACAACACGGAACGGGACGCCTTCGAGGCGTTCGTTCTTATACATCCTTACTGGGGATAATGAGAACCCTTGCAAGAGGACAGCAGGGAAAGAATACCATTCAACCTCAGAAGGGAGAGTAAGGAATTGATGATAGATAGCGCTAAGTCGATATAATATTTGAGATTCTCCTTTGGTTTGTTCTATCCAACATTCCATAGAGCCAAAGATGCAATCCAAAATACCAGAAAGATTCCGAAGATAAATGAAAAAGGGGCTGGCGATGGTTGGTTTAGTAGACTAAGTAGGATCACATGACCATCAAACAAAACGTCAAGATTGATATTGTTGAAGTGCAGTGCTTACGTAATTCTAAATTGCTCCATTCCATGATTGCATCTTCATTTGAAGGATTCTGTAAAAGCAGGACATCGAGTCTAAACCCTCCTAGCGAGAGGGGAGAGGAAAGCCAGGCTACCAGTAAGGCTTGTAGGAGGCAATGCCGTAAGTCTTGATCGCCTCTTAATTTCCCCATACATTCGTGAATGGCGTGGTTATACCGTCATCGTCGCGTACGGTGTTGGTTAGTATAGTCTATCGCCTTATGTAAGTACTTACCTACCACTATGTAGGCAAATAAGTACATAGCCTGGTATGTAGTTTAGATCTCACAACCGGACTTACCTACCAAGTTCTAACATTATTGAACATTCGCTGTTCTTCCAAAATATTTGATCGCTTCAATCGTTGTGATCCATCATAGAATGGTTAATGATGTTAGCGATGCGGGTGATAGCATAACTTCGCTTCATATCGGGCAGTCTGATGGGGAGGCAGACTGTGAAATTTCCGCAGATAAAGGTCCGGAAGGGCTACACTCAGCCAATGCTTCTGCTGTCCGCACAGGTGCCAATTTCATCTCCAGGTGGGCCAACCGCTTCTCTTCCACCGCAACCGAGACGATATGGCTTGATTCTACATTGGGGGAATGGCGTGGCAAGGAGAAGATACGTGTCGATGTATGGAGATCAGCGCAGAGCCCAGAGTCTCCCAGACTGGGAAAACGGCCTGCGATAATTAATTTTCATGGTGGTGGTTTTGTGTTTGGAGAAGGAACGGATGATGTCCGATGGGCCGATGCACTCGTAGCAGGCCTTGACGCCGTGGTGTTCTCCGTAAATTATCGTCTTGCCCCGACGTATCCGTTCCCAGCACCAGTCGAGGATTGCATTGATGCAATCTTACAAATATTTGCTCTCGGCGACAGGTACAACGTCGAAGCAAATCGCATCATTCTTACCGGGTTTTCGGTCGGCGCCACATTGGCCATGAGTAGCTGGATAGTACTACAAGAGCCGAAGAGATGGAGCTACCAGCTTCCGTCTCTCCTCCCACGTATCGCTGGCATCGTTTTGTATTGCCCCTTGTTGGACTGTACTATCGATCGCAGTACAAAACGCGAAGCCTGCCCACGACCTGACTTGACTCTCCCGAGTGGCCTGACAGACTTGTCCGATGCATCTTACCTACGTTCAGTGCTCTTGCAAGGCAAACGAGATGACCTGAGACTTTCCCCTGGCCTCATGCCTGCCGAGATGCTGGACCAGTTACCGCCTATCCACATGTGTATGTGTGAATATGATATGGCGCTTGCAGAAGGGCATGCATTTGAGAAAAGAATGATGACTGGAGGTAAACCTGTGAGTGTTCGAGTGGTGGACGGAGAAAGGGATGCATGGGACAAACCACCGCCTATCGAGCCGAAAAAAAGTGTTGCTTTGGAATATGGCAAAGCGATAGAGTTGATAAGCACATGGCTTGGAAACGAGTAGGTTCTCTAGCTAGGTAGTTAGATTGTGAATACTGTAATACGAATGGACATGTAAGAGGATTACAAAAAGATGAAAAGATGAAAGCGTAATAAAGGCAAACATGACAGTATCATATAACGGAACATACGCTAGCAGACTAAGGTTAGAAGGTAAAGTGTGGTGGAGCCTTCATGTTTTTGAGAATCTTTTTTTTTTCTTTTTTTTTTTTTGAGATGACAGAAAAAATGAAGAAAAGGTGCATTACGTAAGGCCGGAAGCTAGGAACATAGGTAGAAATTAACGACGAAAATTCAACAACGGCCGCGTAGTGTAGTGGTTAGCACGCAGGATTTTGAAGAAAAATTCCTGAGACCTGAGTTCAATCCTCGGCGGGGCCTTCCTCACTCAATGACTTTCTTTTTTGCATAATTCTTATCCATTCACTCCTCTACTTTAATCACTTTAATCACTCACTAGGTATGTGTAATGGATAATCATCTAACTATCAGCCATGCAGGACTCGACTGCTATCGAGGAGTTATTATATTTTCTCTCCTTCCAATTGAACTCTGTATATCAATATATCAATGCTATTTTCCTCTCCCCCAGACATACATATCATTAACGCTTTGAACTGAACTGAACCGAACTGCACTACTACGAAGTACTAGTAGTAAAATACTACAAAAACCGGGAGCTATCGGCGGGGCAGCTTTTTCTACCAACGGCGGGGTTGAGCACATCATCGCGGCGATTCGGCAACTCAGCGATGCTACAATATAAAATTTAATTTAAGACTCATACCTGCCTACATAGTCCCTATTACTACTATATATTCTCTCATAAGTACCCTAAAAGTAACCCTTCATAGAATATCCCCCCCTAAATTCCCACATGCCCATCCTGCGAACGGCCCTCTCAACGTTCCGGCACTTTGCACTACTCTCCCCAGGACCTATTAGATCTCCGTCGCAACCCATCATTGCGCGGCCACTCCAAGCCCACCTCAACACCAACACCAACACCAACCACATCCACATCCACAACCACATTTGGAAAAGAGCCATGTCTTCCGCCGTAGCCAAGCGCCTCTCCGGCAAAACCATCGTGATAACCGGCGCCTCGTCGGGCATAGGCCGCAGCACAGCCTTCGAGTTCGCGCGCACGGCGCCCCAGAACGAGCTGAAGCTGGTGCTGACGGCGCGGCGCATCGACGCCCTGCGGCAGATCGCGGACGACATCGCCGCCGAGACCAACGGCGGCGTGAAAGTCCTGCCCGTCAAGCTCGACGTCAGCAACCCCGACGAGGTTCGGGGTTTCCTCGCAAGCCTGCCCGAGGAGTTCCGCGAAATCGACGTGCTGGTGAACAATGCGTAAGCTTTCCCCCTCCCCTTCCCTCTTCCCAGATTGTCTTTGCGTCTGCGGAATTAACCCTAACTAACTAACTAACTAACCCACCCCAGCGGTCTCGTAAAGGGCGTAGCCCGCGCCCCCACCATCGCCGAGGCGGACCTGAACGTCATGTTCGCGACGAACGTGACGGGGCTGATCAACATGACGCAAGCCGTGCTGCCCACCTTCCTCGCGCGGCCCGAGGGCGGCCGCGGCGACATCATCAACATCGGCAGCATCGCCGGCCGCGAGCCTTACCCGGGCGGCGCCATCTACTGCGCCACCAAGGCCGCCGTCCGCAGCTTCACCGAGTCCCTGCGCAAGGAGCTCATCGCCTCGAGAGTCCGCGTGCTCGAGGTCGATCCGGGCCAGGTTGAGACTGTATGTTTTTTTTCTTTTACAATTTCTTCGTCTCTCGTCTTGTGGCTAAGGCAGAATGTTTCATATAGGAATTCTCGGTTGTACGGTTTTACGGCGACAAGGAGAAGGCAGATGCCGTTTATGCGTAAGTACCTTACTTTGCTGTTGGAAATGATAACTCTTGCAGCTACTAATGCTTTGTTTCATACAGTGGTTGTGAGCCATTAACTCCCGACGACATTGCTGAGGTAGTCGTATTCGTGGCGGGCAGGAGAGAAAACGTCGTGGTTGCAGATACTTTAATCTTCCCTAACCATCAAGCCAGTGCTACTTTCGTGCATAAGAAGTCTTGAAAGATATAATGTATCAAATGTATATATTTTTATTGAAAAGCCTCGGACCGAGACCGAGTCTACGTGAGCTGCCTAGTCTATGTGATAAGGGGCTACAAGCATACTTAACTTTGACTTACATGGAGCAATCGAGTCTGTATTGTAAAGATGCAATGAACAATCTATAGCGCTGGTCAGTAATGCTCAAACGCAAGATACAATAAGTTGGTAGACAGGTGAAAGTTCAGATAAACCAGTTTACTCATTCACGTGAGTCGGCCCTCTCACCCCAAACCTCAAGACGAGTTTCAAAGATCGAGGGCACAAAAGCCAGAATTACATGGTGGAAACTCCACAACCAATCATCACATACCCAAAAGGATAGCTACGGTGCGGGAGGGTGGCTCGACTCGCCGTGATATAGTTGAATGGATAAACAGTTTTCATCATGACAGATAAAGAGGTGGTGGAGGGGAAAGTGTGTAATAGGTAGAGTGTGACTTACACCTAACAAGTTTTAGACCATCGATGCTATCAAACGTCAATAACCTATAAAACTTTTATGTGTTAGCTTTGTCAACTAGTAACAGGGACAGATATAAAACATGGCACATAATTGTGTAATCAGAATATATGTTTATTTGGTAAACGGGTGTCTTCATGCGGTTCAGAAGCAGAACTGAATAAAGGTATTCATCATGGACAATAAAAAGGACAGAAAAGCCAGAAATGACTTACCAAGACTATATGCTCCTAAGCGCAGTCATTGTTAGATAGGGAAAATGGGGACATTGTGTTTCCTATAAGTACTGTTAGTCGAAGACCCTAAATAGCAAGGTCACAGGCAGTAGTGAGGTTGAAGCTTCAGATGGTAGTGCATGTTGTTCTGACGCTCAGGTGATCGCGGTGAACAGTGGTATTGTGATCATCAGTAGCAATGATTTGTACTGGGGAATTGTAGGTAAAGTGTCCAGGAGGAGCAAAGAGGGTGAGAGTATCTTACCAGACAGATGCTTCGTTTGGATCATAAGTTGGGTTGCTGAAGGGAATTTTCAGAGCGGCATCGACACTTGTGATGCGCTATACAGTATCCAGGCAACAGATTCGAAAGCTTTCATTAAATCCCAAAGACACTTTGCAATGCCCATAATTAGATAGTATGTTTGGTCATAATGCTGCAAATTCTGTGCATTTATGGGCGTTGAATGTGGAAGGTTTGGAATAAATGTTTGGATGTTCTGTGTTGAGATTGGGAGAGAAGAAAATTTGATTTCGAAGGTCAATGAAATAAAATCTTCGGAAGACGGGGCACTTGATACCGTCTTGGTCTGTGCTCAAGCTAAGGTGCGGGACTGCTACCGCAGTGTGTAGTTAAACCTTGAAGCGTACAGACTAGACAGTGGGACAATTTTCTGCTTGCGCTGGAAATTTCAATTTGAGGTTCAGACTTATGTACTAACAACATTAAAGCTTCTATAAGCTCTTACAGTTTCAATTCGTTCGCTTTGGATTGCTGAAACTAGACGACTATCATGGATCGAAGACGAATTAATGGTCCGGTAGGGAAGACAACTCCTCCCGTATATGATACGCCACTGGTAAAAAGAGCGATAGAACGCCCAAACGACGATGCCATTCGAAAGATCTGTAGGTTTTTGGATGCTGTTCGGGTGTGATTTGGTTGAGTTAACACGAATTGAATATAGTTTTGAAGACGGGAGTGACTCCTTCGGCTTCTGGTTCCGCGTATCTGGAAGTTGAAGACACCAATACCGATAGTCCTTCTGGCACAAGCCTGAAGCTTACGTGCACTGTCCACGGTCCTCGAGCCCTTCCGCGATCAGCACCTTTCTCCCCTCACATCATCCTCTCGACCCACGTTAAATTCGCACCTTTCGCAACAAGACAACGACGCGGCTATGTACGCGATTCGAGCGAGAGAGACCTGGGAGTCCATTTAGAGACGGCACTAAGAGGGGCGATCATCGCAGATCGTTGGCCTAAAAGTGGCGTTGATATCATCGTTACTATAATCGAAGGAGATCAAGATCGCGATTCCCCTGACTACGATAAGGATGAGGGTTGGGATATGATGAACGTTCTGAGCGGCTGTATTACTGTTGCTTCGGCTGCTATCGCCGATGCAGGCATCGACTGCGTAGACACCGTTTCCGGAGGCGTTGCGGCTCTAGTAGCCAAAGAGGCGCAGAGCCAGCCATCCATCGTACTTGACCCTGACGTCGCCTCATACCACAAGATACTTGCCGCATGCTGTGTCGCATACCTACCAACGAGAGACGAAGTGACCAATATTTGGTTCAAAGGCCAATTGCCTGAGGCGGATGCTCTGGCTTATGATGCCATGGTCGAGAGAAGTCTGGTGGCTTGCAAGAGTGCGAATCGTGTTCTCGTCAAAGCCCTACATGAGATGGTTCCTCAAGGGCAGACCCCTTCCTGAGCCTAACCAACGCTACCACAGAGCATTTGTTGCGTGTCAGGTGCGAAGCTGAAATCCTAATTGACTTGGGTGGATACCTACCTAAGAGGATACTCTCCTATATGCTGAAGCCTGCCTGGATAGGCGGTGATATAATCAAGCTAAGGCTGTGATTCCATAGGAGTAAGTGATTTTCAGATCATGATATTGGCTATATAAGATGACACTTTTCATACGATGAGAATGTGCCAAGCTTCATAGAAGTCCTCAACCTAACGATGCTAGTACCCTATCGAAGGGATATGCATTGACGACGGATAAGCCAAGTAACAGAGGTTGGCAGAGTCACTCGATTGGCAATAAACCTACGAGGTTAGTGGATTGTACGTCGGCCTGCATATGAACGCCGGTACGAGCAGCCGAGGCCTTAAATCTCACTAACACTCTTGGGTTGTGACTCTTGTGAGAGGTTATGTAGAGTGTAAGCCTAGCCTGAAAATAGCACACTGGCAAATTCAAGTTTCTAGTTAGATAGTCATGACAAAGCACAGACATATTCTAGAAGCTGTCAAAACTGAATTCAAATTTACCTATTCAAATGAAGATTAATACCTAGTTAAAGCTCATGACGCGCCACGAGGGATCTCTAAATATCATGTTAATCTGATTGAAGTGGATTATGCACATGTGCAGTGATAAGGTACATAAGCCTGTACAGACTCCAGAGTCTACAGTGTACTCAGTACTTAGTATTTCAGGGGTGCTTAGGTATTTGTGGGTACATGTAGTTATGTAGATCCCTACAATATGATGGAAACGCACCTACGCACCTACCCGTAACTTACGCGGAGTGCTTTATTAAAGTAGCATTCTATTAAAAGTACAGGCTTATGATGGCAGGCTCAAGGGATCTACGGATGCAATGGAGATGCAATGGTTGAACTTAATTAGATTGGATTAGTTATGTACTTGAGTTACATAATACATATGTACATACATATCCAGATTCGATCCATAAATAGCACTCACTTCATTCTTAAAACAAACATTTGAACTCTTCTATGGTTGGGGAGTTGGTAAGGCTCCATTATGAATATGTACAATCTACGTGTTTCAGACCTCTAATTGTCTGGCACATTGACCTCTGATTGGGAGTCCTTGCTGCAAATCACATCCCGGCCGGCTCGGAGTATCGGGCGCCCATTTGATACCACTTGATACTACCCGGACATTCGTTGAGATCTCCTAACATAAGTACGCCAAGTAAGCAGGCGAAGCAGGCGAAGCATTTCAAGGAATGGCATCGCCAGGTGCATCCGCCGCCCCAGCACCTACGGCTTTTGATAATTCGAGCGTCTGGCATAACATTACGGCCTGGACCGTCCAGCATTTTAGATATTCTGTCAACAACGTCACAAGATACGCCCCATCCCTCGAGGATCTAATTCTAGCCGGACCTAGGATGCTAACTAGACTCGGCATATCCATTCCCGATACCATCGACGGCTTTAAACAACGTGTCATAGCTGATCCAACTTCTCCAGAGTATCTCTTCAGTACCGCTACCTCCGAAATGCTTACAGAGGTCTCGGAGGCAGTCTCGGAGGCAATCTCTGATGCCGTAGATGCCGCGAACGTGTTGGAGAATGAGGACCAGGACCCCGCCGTCTTGGTTTCCAAATTCTCGTCTGATGGAGCCAAAGGTTTAGGAAGCGTCTTTAGTTACGCGACAAGTAAATGGGCGCTTTGCTGTGTTGCTATGGCATGTTATCTGCTCTTTGTTCTTTACCAATGTCGAGAGATTACTAATATCCACTTCTGGTCCAGGCTATCATCCTTAACCGCACACATATCTTTGCAGCCTCACGAAGGAGATTATATCTGACGTGGCCCGTTCGACTCTTCCTTCGATTCCTACCTATCCTTCTCTTCGCGTACCAAGCCCGCCAGCTCTTGCAATCCATACAATGCCAAACTTCTCCCGACTTCGCCGAGTTGCGCTGGGCCAATGCGAGCAAGACATCGGACCTTATGTTCGCCCAACCCTCGCGATATCTACATAGTCTGAGCACCGTCTTGCTACTCGGCGCTACCGACTATGACAGTTGCCGCGCTGTTAATATGATTCCTCCAAGTGCCCACGATTATTCGAACGAGCTGCAAGGTTCCCTATCATTGCTATGGCCTCTATTTGGGACACTATGTCTGAGCCATTTCTTGGAGACAATTTCATGCGCGGTTCAAGGGCGCCAAGTCGCCGTCGAAACGGGAATGACGCTTTTCGAACACTCGCTCGCGTTTGCCGAAGCCGATGCTGCCATTAGCAACCAGCTAGGCTGGGGCCTATTTTCTAGTAATACTGCTTCTAATGTGACCTATCAACAAGCATCCGGGCCCGGTATCGCCATCTCCAGATCTATGATTATGAAACGGGTCAATACCCCGCCCGAGGTTCTCCTTGTGGCTTTCCTTACAGCTATGAGCCATATCACTAGCCACGTGTTGGGAGTGTTTGGCTTGCAGAGTAAATATCGGTTGGTTAGTACAGGCTTCTGGGCCTTGTGTTTCATGGGAAGTATTGTGATAGAAGCTCTAGACTTCACCTTCGATAACCCCTCAAGTATGGGCCTCTTCCGATTTCCTACCGTCTGCATCATTGGATTTATCCCTCACGTCATGGTATTCACTGGTACATTGATCTGCTTCGGCATATACGCTGTTGCCTTGCTCTTGTCGGCTCTAGAGCCCCCCGATCGATGGAATGTTACAGGGCGACGACTGTCCTTCCGAGAGCGACTCTCACTGGCACACGAGAACATGCAAGCTAACATCTCGCTGTCTGACATTCGCATCTCTCGTGAGATGGACTTTTACACTGCATTACTGAGAACAGGCTTTGGAGTTATAACTATGGCTAGCGAGGCCGTCTATCTTAACGAAGACAGGGGCATCAACTTAAAAAGCCGTACTTGGCTCGAAGAAGACAGACTAAAAGAACTTGAATCTCTACACATGCAATGGGCCGGCTCAGGGCTAGGAGCTTCGCGCTATGACTCGGTAGGGACTATAGGGTTAATACCGATCAAGGAAGGGCAACTTGGGGCATCAAATGGCTACGCAAGAGAACGAGCAGCACAAAAAATTCCGAAGTCACGTATTGGGGAGAAGCGGGCTAAAGACGGAGTTGGTGCTACTGAGCGTAGCTCACGATGGCTCTTAGCGTTGGAGTTTATCATGAACATCAACAAGCTCCTTCTGCGATGGGCCGCGTTACTTATGCTCAAGGCACTCTCGCGTTTGGGAGTTAGGACCCAGCCTCGTTTCTTATTGTGGCTCTGTCGTCTCCCCAAGCAAAACAAGAAAGAGGAGAAGCAGCCCGCCAATCCGGGGCGCCCCGTACTGCTCAGTCGATACGGCAGGGGCAGCAGACTCTATAACGACGAGACAGCCGATGTAGAAGCTGAGATACGGCGGCGTCTAAGATCAGCGCCTGAAACGGCGAATCTCTCTGATGAGGAGATAGATGCGCGATTGTACTCTACCTGGAAATACGGTGATTTATGGGGTTCGGTGGATAGGAGTGGGGAGTGGCAACCAAACAAGAGTGACGATGAATGGGATACGACAAGCATGATCAATAGCGTAACGGGAGACGAAGATGACTATGATCAGTGGATTGATGAAGACGACATGGAGTATGAAGACGGTCAAAGAACACCTACACAGAACTCAAGGCAGATTTCAATATCACGTGAGGCAAGTCCTTTCGACCAGCCCCTGGCGATGGATGATCTTGCCAGACTGCTTCACCCCACAAGTCCCGAGGAACGTCGCGAAGCGCATGCGCTCGCTGCACATTTGTCCAGCGATCGCATAGTGACGCGTTCACAATACGCGCGTATGCAGCAAAACCAACGCGGGCGCCTCTTTTTCCCGAATCAGCTCAAAAGGGGCAAGCTTTCCGACGAGGACGAAGCCGAACTCCTCGAGGACCTGATCATCACGCGGCGGACGGAGACGGCGCGAGAAAGAGAGCTGCTCGATAAGGGTGACAACCAAGATGAAGACGATAGAGGCGGGCCCCAGTGTGTTGTGTGCCACTCGGCATCTCGCAAGATCATCGTTTGGCCTTGTCGGTGCCTCAGTTTATGTGATGAGTGCCGCGTCACCCTTGCTATGAACAACTTTGATAAATGCGTTTGTTGTCGTAGGGAGGTGGTTAGCTTTAGCCGTATTTACGTGCCTTGACGATGGTTTTTGTTTCTTTTTACTGTTGTCTAATGGCATTTATTCATTCCTTGTTTGATCAATCGATTAATTTTCAGCATTGCGTGCGAGACTTGGGTGCCAACCACCTTTACATACCTAGGTACACATTCACACATGTTACATGCCTTCATACCTACCTACCTACATACTTGCATACTTGCATCCGCACATACATATACACATACATACATACATCACCACGATATGATGAGTGCCTACCTAAGTAACTCAATCAGGACAGGCGTTTAGAGAGGGAGGGAGGGAAGCAAGGGTCGGGGGAGTGTGGAAAGAAAGGGGTTGCGTTGCGCCAGTGTTGCGCTCGCTGTATTCCGGGATTGGGAGAAGGAGAGAGGGTTTTAGGTTAGTTTGTAATTTGCATTTTTTTTTTGTTTTTTTGCAGTTCGTTGTAAATAAATTTTGAGGGTTTATTACCTACACTTTTTCTATTTTCATGGTGCCTTGCGTTTCCTTGAGTAGACCAGACCATAAGTGATGTTGTGTTTGGTTTTTTTCCTACACTACCTACTACCTAGGTGCCTATCCATTCATCCATCCATCTATCATGCATCAATTCAGATTCTAAGATGTCGGTATAAGGCCCCATACATGACGTGCGTAGGTAGTAGTATTCGAACGAGGATTTGTTGTTATAGGTATGCATTACTTGTATTACTACCTACCTTCGCTGGGCATGGTGCCATTACATTTATAATCTAATGTCCTTTTTTTTTTTTTTCCTCTCTCTACATAGCCGCCCATTCAATACAAAAGGCTCTGGCTCGCGGCGCATTAGGATTACCACTACCACTATCACTATCACCATCACCCTCTCCCTCACTCCCACCAGCAGCCGCCACAGCGCCGCCAATCAAGTAACCCTTCTTGACATTGGTGCCGAGGCGGCCGCCGGCGACGAGGTCGAGCATGGCGACGGGCTCGTCCCAGCCGTAGCTGGTGGCCTGGAAGTGGCTGTGGAAGCGCAGGGGGTCGCCGGGGTAGACGTTGTAGTCGCAGCCGAAGCGCAGGCCGGGCATCATGTAGTAGCCGCGGTCCTGCAGGTGGGCGTATAGGGGGTATGAGGGGGGCACGTCGATGGAGGAGGCTTGAGCACTGTTTTCGTCGCCATCGTTGTCTGGGGGTGATAGGGGAGGGGAAGGGAGATGAGGGAGGAGAAGGCTGCTGGTTGTGGGGGTTATCGCATACCCTGAAGGCTCTTCTGGCTTGGGAGGTTGTTGTTTGGGGGTTGTGGGGGAGGGTGGGCCGAACAAACTAGCATTGGCTTCGTTGTCGTCGCCGTCCCCTGCTTCGAGGCTGCTGTACTCGGCGGGAGCAACGGCTTCGCTTGATAATGATAATACTTCACCCTCTTCTTCTTCTGCTTCTACCTTTTTGGACTTTGCCTTTGTCTGCTGCTTCTTCTCCCCCTTCTTCGATGATACGCGCGGTTGGTAGTTCTGCTTACTCTCAACAGCCGCCTGCTGCGCCTTCCTGCCCTCGGCTTTCACCGTCTGCAAGTACCGCCGACGCGCGGGCTCGTCGAGGCCGGCTAGTCGCGCAGGGTGGAAGGCGGCGTCGTCTACGATGAGGCCTACGTTCTTGTCGACGAGCACCTGGGCCTCCTCGGGCATCAGCTCGATGGGGAGGCCCATGAAGATGTTCTGCTGCGGGTTCTGGGGGATGGTGCCGACGAAGACGGAGCAGATGTTGTGGCTCCGGCGCAGGTACATGACGTCGTCTATGTCAAAGAGCAGGTACCTGCCGCCGACCTTGGAGATCCGCACGGCGGGGCGTTTTATAGTAGCAGCCATCTTGTGGAATCTAAGTAGGGAGTGAGTCAGTCTCGATACATTGTCAAAGGTTTTTGTGAGACAACAAGGTATAATAAGATATAGGTTGGACGATCATAAATTTCCAGACACGGAAGGTTTTTATCAACATTGTTTTATTTCAGTGGATTGACAGATGAGTTGTGTAATCATTTCGAACAGTGTGTGTTTTGCAAAGGAAAATGGGGGAATATTTTGAACTTACCAGCTCTTGATGTTGAGTGTTGAAAAATATTGACTGTTAATGAAAAATCACGAACTTTTTTTTTCTGGTTCGAGCTTTAAAAAGAAATTGAGAAAGCTCATTAGTTAGATGATTAGCTTGCTTGTGCTTGTGTTGTGGGTCCAGACACCGTATTAAAGTCTGGCTATAAACTGCATTTCGCACCGTGTATAATCGTATATTCCCTCATCATAAAGCAACGACATTATCATAAAATGTTGCTTAGATGATTCGCATTCGCATTTGCATTTGAAACAGAAAAAAAGGATCAAAATTCCATGCTTCCCTTTTCAGATCCCTCCTTTTTGTTATCTTGCTCATCGTCACCTACGGGAGGTAAATAGAACGGCTTAATAACCAAGCCCTTGGACCGGCTCAAACTAAACGACAGATCTCCGTGGGCAGAATTACTTTCCGAGGAACCTCCGCCCTTCTCGTGGAATATCGGCAGACTGTGGACTTTTACGAGACCTTGCGTCTGCTCGTCCGACTTGGAGTCTGATTTGGAGGAGGAAGAAGGGGGCGCGACGTGTATTGCGCCAGACTGGAGCGGGATGAGTTCGATAACACCGTCGGATAGCAGCTCCATCCAACGGGTAAGTCCAGTACCACGAGGGTAGAGCGAGAGCGGCAGTGAGACTATCGCCGTAAGCTTGGTTGGGTACTGTCTCAGCAGCCCCCTGAGAGCATGTAAGAATTGCAACACCTCCTCAGGCCGAACAGAAGAGCTCGAGTAACTAGTTGGCGACAAGAGACCCGGGACTATTATCCGGTGGATCCAAGACGGTGGTGAATTTATTAGTTTCTGCGTGATATCCTTGATAAATTTCTTGAGGGGTGATAGCGCCTCTGGCGCTTGAGTGAGGCTCGGTATGCTCATCGAAGGATGGAACCCAATCTGTCCCTTGACGTCTGCGGGACCAAGCTTCTTTGCAAGGTCAAACGAATGGCAGAATATGGAAGTAGTAGATCCATTAGAGCTGCTACTTTGTCGTGTGATCGCATTTCTGTCCCTAGAAACACCTCCAGTAGCCAAACTCTCGTATCTCCAGGCAATCTTCATCTTCTCATCTGAGGCTATATCCGCCTTGCTGGACGATTTTTTATCTTCTGCAGCAATGCCTGGGAGTTCATGACGCCATCCCTCGTGCAAACCTAGAACGTGGATTTGGTGCCCCTGAACCATTCCCTCGGCCGCATAGTAGCGAAGCAGGACCCCGGCAAAGTCAGTGGTGCCGTGCTCTCCGACGAGAAGCGACGTTCCCAGGGGTAATCCAGCATGGCCAGCCAGGAGACTATCTAGTGAAGCCGTGCCCGTTGAAGTAGTTAGTCGGCCATCAAGAGGAGATGGCCGAACACCGGGCGTAGGCGCATTCTCGATCTTGGCCAGGGCCGCCTGGGCAGCTGCGTTTGGGCTGCTGATGACAGCGTTTCTCTTCCTAAATGACATGACCCTATCATAAAAATCAGGAGAGTAAGATGTTCGATATTTATATCCCTATGAAAAGATGAGCACATGAGCGTGTAACCCAAATCGATATTTTTCATATATATGCGTTAGTGCAAGATGCAAGGTTCCACATTACCTACGTACAAGACACAGAGCTGGGTAACATTCATTCAATAATAAAAGGTTTGCTAGAACATTTTGTTGAAGTTTAAACAAGAGCCGCAATGCCAAAGCCCCCCTGTAACCCCAAATTTACAGGTGATCTCACCGCTTTCGGCAGGTACGTTTCTAGGTACGTGCCCACCCCGCATTACCTTGGTAACCTTGAACCGATCCACTAGGCACTTAAACTCAACAGCAGAAATCCATCTAGTTAGGTTAGTTAGTTACCTAGCAAAAGCTTCCCAAATTCTATTCGCAAAAAGAAAAAAAATAGTTCAACGTCTCTAAATATACCACCCACATCCACCAACCTATTCAACGTCAACAAGACCACTTTCGCGCACATACATACACACACACACACACACACACACACACACACACACACACACATCAATTCAACAATCAATCAAGCCCAAAGCAAAAATGTCCAACCTAGCTGCGGGCGACGCCCAACTCTTCGAAGACACCTTCACGGTGACCTCGTACGACCAGAGCAAGTACGACCGCGTCGCACGTATCGGGGGCACCTCGACGGACAACCTGACGCAGCTATCTCTCGACATCAACACGGAGCTATTTCCTGTGCGGGTGGGACATAACCTCGAAGTCGTGTTGGCCACGAGCCTGTCTTTAGACGGCTCCAAGGACGACGACGATGACAAGGGTTGGCGCCACGTCCGCGGCGAGAGCTCGCTCGCTGACATGTATGACTACGTCTGCCACGGAAAGATCTATAAGTTTGAGGATGGTGCGGATGGCCAGACTATGTGAGTTTTCTTTCCTTTCTCTTTTCTTTTTTCTTCCTCTTTGATCCTCACCCCCACCTCACCCTTTCAAATAAGAAATATCAGTTAGAACCTTCACTAACCCGCACCGCCTCGTCCAGCCGAGCTTACATCTCCTTCGGCGGCCTACTGATGATGCTTGAGGGCCCATACAAGAAGCTGACACCGCTGCGTGTCGACAACACCTACCTGCTGGTCAAGAAATGATCGCGCAATACTTCTTAGTATATACCCACCCCTCCATCAACTAATTTAACGACGAATTACGAATCAGATAGGACCAGGAAGTCGGAAAGTGGAAGAAAAAAAAGGAAAAGAGAACAGGGACAAAGGCGCAATGAGCAGATAATAGTACTTCGATCGCTAAAGCACAACCACTAATCCTGGCGCGTCCCTTCTATGAGCAAGCTAGTTACATATGTTATAAACGTTTATAGACCCATAATGGCCTCCCCCATCTGGGTACTTTAGGCAACACTATTTTCAAGCAGAAGAGCAAAAAGAAGACGTGATGAAGGGTGGGGTTTCGAGAGAGAACGGGGGGCAGCTTAGCATTTCATCGGGAAGGGCAGCTTTCGGTGCATTCGGCATAGAATCTCACTGTAGTCGGGCTCGTTGTCTCGCGTAATGATTCCGTGGCGCATCAAGAAGTTTAAGAGGACCAGCGCACAGTTAGGCTTAAACAGGCCTTGCGCGAGCTTCTCCCTCACCTCGTCCACCGTCCATAGGTAGAACCTGGCCACTTCCCCGTCATAGGATTTAGGCTTGAAGTCTGCTGGTACTTCAACATCAAAGATCCACTGCATCTCAGGATATATCTGACCAACTTCGCCTCCAGACCGTTCGTCCGCGATGTGCATGTATGTAACGTTACCAGCAAATACGCCATGACAACGCATGAACCGTGGAGGGATGCCGGCCTCCTCGTGAGCCTCACGGATTATGCATTCAAACGGATTCTCGCCTGTCCTCAGGCCGCCAGCAACGCTGTTGTCCAGCATGTTGGGGTAGGTTTCCTTGGTAGGCGATCGCTGGGCCACGACGATCTTCATGCCGTAGGGTACTTGGCGGTCTCGGACGTAAGCCGTCAAGTGCACGCCATACCGCATAACCCCAAACAATCCTATGGCGCTGCGTTCGACGCTGAACAGGATATTGCCAGCATGGTCGTAGACAGGCCAATCTTCATCTCTCCAGCCCTTCAGAGTATCGAAAATTCCATGGTCCCGCCAGTACCGCGTTGTCATGGCAATGCGCGAGGTCCTCTTCCACTCGGGTTCCAAGTAGGTGAAGGCGCGTACAGTACGCGCATCGTCATCTACGATAACTGGGCCGCGAACGAACTGAGGCGTCGCTAGCAGCTGCTGGACGACGGGCTCCATCATGTAGCCTAACATTGTATGTCCCTCCTCCCAGATGAACTTGTACAAGCGGCTGGTGAGGGCCCGGAATGCCTGTAGCTCCGTTTCGACGTGAGGAAAGCTATACTCCCATCGGCATTTGTTTAGCTTTTCTTTTTTTGGTTTTCCCCATTCTTGGTTTCTCATCCATATGAGCGAAATTTCCACTCACGAATCTGCCTCCTTTATGATGTCGAGGTTGCTCATTAGACCTTCCATCTTATCCGATGTATCCTTCGCCTTTTTGAGTGTTTTTGGTGTAGTCGGCATAGCCGTGGATGAGCTATAAGGCCTGTGGGGGAGGTGAAGATGAAGGTTAGATGTAGACAAGAATGGCGAGGTATCAAACCTGGCAAAACGCCCAGAAATCATAAAGGAATTGCTATTTAAAAGGAGTGAAGAAGAATAAGAATAAGTAGCAGTGATAATAGTATTAAGAGTTTGGTTTCGTTTGGATACATGGCCAAAATATGCTCGTTTTCCACCGATCCATGGCTGCAAATGAATGCCAGCATTCTGTTTGTTGGGTGAGCAAAGAAGTCTAGTTCTTGACATACCTACCTATTGCTAAACAAAGTAAGCATGAGTCTTTATATCTTTGAGATATTGAACAATTACTTACAGCTTTAGAAGTTATTATAGCTACTTCCCGAGCCTGGTTCTTTATATGCTTACATGCTACTTCAATGTTGATGCATATAATATGCAGGTCGCACATAGTAGCAGTAGTAGTAAAAGTACATCTAACACATGTAGTCAAGGTTGAAGGTTACAGTAGTGTGCCTTGCAGGGTATAGTTAGGGGTCTTATCACCAGTGACAACAATTTAGTTTCTGCCCCTCCACACGAATGACGTCGAATCTGATAGGCTCCCATAGCTAGCTATCGAAGCTTCCATTGCATTGATCCTCATTTTTCTTCACTCCTACATACTTACTCGCCCCTAAATTCTCAGAAAAAAAAAAGAAAAAGAAACACTGAAAATACACACCAAAAATAACTAGGAAATAACTAGCAGCTGCAACATTGGGTATTGTACCTAAAAATAAAATAAAAAGGTAGCAAACCCCTTCCAGGGTAGCTTTAGCTTTCGCATTAGCTTATCCTAGTTTACCTGCCTGCCTGCCTGCTTATTATTGCCTTGCCCATCTCACCCTCCTTCCTCCCTTCCGTCTACACAGCGAACCACCTAACCTACCTTGCATAACGTTACCTTACCTACCTCCGAATGGAGCAACAACAACAACAACAACCACCACCACCACAACCCTCCCCCCAACCCCTCTTCGGCCTCGTCCCCGCCGGCCAACCCCTCATCACCTCACCCTCCTCCCAACCAACCCCCACCTCCTTCCTCTACGCCATCCCCCCCTCCAAGCCCTTCGCCCACCTGACCGTCTTCCTCCTCCCGGACGTCGCCCTGCCCCCGGGCGCCGCAGCCGCGATCTACCTCGCCCCGAACGCCGCGGCGGGGGCCGAGTTCCAGTTCCTCGGGGGCATCGGGCCGGGGAAGGAGAGCGCCGTGTTCAGGCTCTCGTCCGCCGGCGCCGAGGGCGGCGTCGTGATAGGCGTCAGCGTCGAGGACGGCGCGTCCGTCGCCGAGCGGATGATGCAGCACCAGCAGCAGCAACACCATCCGGACCCAGCTCCCACCACCAACAACAACACAAGCACGAGTCTCGTGCCGATGAACCAGACACAGACACAGACACAGGCGATGTCGACGCAGGTGCTGGCGCAGCGCATAATCCAGAACGCCTTCAACTTCCTCGCCGGCTTCAGCGGGAAGGTCGGCGCCGAGGGCGTCGAGGTCGTGCCCCTCAGGGCCTTCCAGGACTGGTGGCGCAAGTTCGAGAACAAGGTCCGGAACGATCCTACCTTTTTGGAGCGGGGCCAGGATTAAAATAATTATCTAAGGGGAGGAAAGGAGGGGTTAACGCGACATGATGAGGAAGGAGAGTAGGATATCTTTTTTTTGGGGGGGTTTTTTTTTTCGCCTTACATACCTACCCTGGAAAACTTGTAGGGGGTTGGCGGGCGATATGCTGATTGGGAGAAGGAATGGAGGAAATATTCTCTCGATGGGAATAGGAAAAAAAAGGGGGGGAAAGGGGAAAAAGGGGAAAAGGGGGAGTGATACGATGATCGGATGAGCAGATGATCAACAACCTCGATGAGACCCGCAGATGTGAAAAGGAAGGGGAATCAACACACGAACCGAAATCTGGCGTCTGCCCCCCCCCCATTCTCCCCCTTCCTCCCCTTGAAGAAAAAAAACCCCCAAAACAAAAACAAAACACTACTAGGCACGGTTGGGTGTATATGGAGGACGATTGAACATACATGGCATGATACTGTACATACCTATTAGCATCTGGGTAATACGCATTCTCATACAAACTTCCACAGCTCTAGACACCTACACACACACACACACACAGAACAGCCATGTGAATTATCATTTCAAACTTTTAATAAATATAATATTCATATATTTAGACCACGTATAGCTACATAAGCTAGCGTTCGAGTCGTAACATCCCTAATCTCGTAATCCACGGCAACATCAACTCAAAAAAATAATAATAAAAGAAGAAGAAAGAAGCGTTGTTGTGTTGCCAACGTCTTTTTGGGGAATCCAGAGTGCTTCTTCTTCTTCCTCCTCCTCTTCACCAACTCCTCAAAAAGTTTTGAAAAAAGTGTTCCCCTTTTTAGAAGAACACATTAATAACGAAGAATTCATCCCACACTCCTTTGCCATGTCCTTTGCTCAGTCATTGCCTGAAACTCCTTTCCCTATGAGCCTTAATGGGGTGTCCCTGGTAACTCCGAATTTATATCCATCCCTACCAAGGTGGGTAGGTAGGTAGATATGTAGAATGTGCCGCCCGAACAATGCAAGAATGATTGTGTCAGTTGGTATCAAGAATAGAATACATACAATCCGTGAAAAACTTTGTACTAATGCTCCGACATGGAACCTATCAATGGGCTCTTGAGTCTTGTGGGGCTACCCGCTCGACTTCTCCGGCCAGCAGTGAGCATCTGCGGGAAGAGTCTCTCGCGACTTTCCGTTCGGACGACCAGTCCGCTCCGGTCAAGGGCACTTCCCGGATGAGGGTTCTTCTTCAGGTCGTCAAAGTCTTCCACGTTTAGTTTTGGTGTAGCGAGACCTGACGATCGACCAGCTCTAGCTCGTCCGTTGCTGCTATCAGAAGTGTCCCCCTCGTCTGATGACGCTTCGCCCAATTCGAACTGGTCGGCATCACCCTCTTCTAGTACTCTTTCGTAGTTATAGAAGCCGCGACCGAATAGCTTATTTGTGATGACCGAAAGACCGAGACCCCCTTTTCGGGGACTGCCCGGCCGACGTCGGCGGCGTAATACCTTATTGACTTTGCCATAAAGTCGCATCCGTCGATCTCTTTTTCGAAGTAAAAAGGCAATGAATAGCAAGATTATCACAAAGAAAAAGAATCCTGAAGTAGACTTCGACTTTGCATGATCTATCAGATCTTCGGCGGTATCGCTCCAATCGTCGTCGTCGTCGATTGCCGAAGTTGTATTAAAGCTGGAACCAGCGTGCTGGAAATCCGGAGGGATACCTTTTACATTACTGCCGAACCCGACAGGAAGGAGATAATTATCCTTAGGGGGGATTTGGCCGGCAGCATAGAGCACCATCTTTCCAAGGGTCCAGCTGATTTCGATGTTGTCAATCTCATCAGCAGCTTGGAAGGGGTTCAAAAATCCCTTCTCCTTAGCAGCTTCCCCGACTTCCTTTGTCACGTTGATTCCTGGCGTCGGGGCATGATCTATGCCATATCTCGGTATGCCTATTCCTTCATGTAGCACGCTGATCAGCCAGCTTGCTTTGAAGCAGGCTTCCTGGGCTTCCTTCCCATGATCTTTCTTTCGCGACTGAACCTTTGAATCTATTTCTTCCCAGTGTTGACTGCAAAACTCCACAACCTTCTTCTGGTACGTGTTGAAATCATAGGCCGTGTCGTCTTCTTTATTCGCAAACACACCATGTGTGGTATGCCAATACTCCGAAACTCCAACAAAGTGATTTATGTCAAAATCGATAGGGGGGACGTGCTGGCCATTGAATAGACAGGGCTTGTCATCACACGGAATATCCTTCCCAAGCAACGGTTTCGTTCTTCGTAGGCATTCGTCGAACTCACCCGTGCCGACTAAGGACAACTCTTTTGAACTTCCCGAGACATAGTCACCCTTTTCGTTTGTCCGCAACCCCCTAGGTAGACATGGATCTGGCACCTCATGCTCTCCATCGATCAAGAACTCGTCCAATAACGTCTTAACATAGCGTTCGCGAGCTTGATTCACCCCAAATCCAAGCCATGTAGATGTGAAGACCTTGTACTCTTTGGGGGCGCCATTTAGACTTCGCAATCGAAGCAACTTGAGATCGTTTCCGTGCTCCTCGGCTACGGTAGCATTCGGCGCAAAGGCGATCTGTGCTGACGCGCCACCCATGTCAAGAAAGCCATAGGTATGGTGATTCTTACCATGGGCATGGCCTTCTGGATTATCAAAACCTCCAAGAAGATAGTTGGCCGCGATCCACCCATACAAACCTTCCGTCTCGCCCGGTATGACTTGAATATGCTTATCGCAATCGGGAAGAGAGAATCGGGTGTTTGCTCGGAAGTAGGAGCAGGTCTCCGTTACAACAGCTCGTTGCTGAGTGGGAGGTAGCAGTCGCATACCAGCAGTAGCCATCAGATATATCGGTGTGTCTGCATGCTTGTCTTCGGGAATGACATCAAGTGCTCGCTCAACTAGTTCTTGCAAATGATCAGGTCCGACGTCTTCCGGATGATCGCCAAAGGTAGAAATTCCAGGTCTAATCTTTTTGGTCCATTTGTCTTTGGTAACAATATTTGGCAGACTGTGTAATTCTTCATAGGATGCATCCTTGGCTGCTTTTGCGGGATCTAACCATCGGTAAATGTGTAGACGAGTGCCAGAAGAACCGGCATCTAGTATAACACCCCATCGCCCTATTTCAAAGTGAGTCAAATCGTCAGCAAGGGTCGCAAGGCAGCTGTTTTTGACGAGTTAGGTAATATGCTTACACTTCTTTCCCATAGCGACAGAGCTGAGGTAGCTTCGAATTTGCGTTACAGATAGGATGGGACGAAATGCGCAATTGGTGCGATGGTATGCAGTTTAGTACAGGCTGGAGGTTAATATCGCAGCATTTCTTCGATTGATATGGGTCAGCTCGCTGATGACGAAGGTTTGCAAAGGCTGTGAAGCTAATAATACGAGATGGTGTGGCGTGATGACGGTTTTGTGTTTCGATTACGCGTTTCTTGGGTTCTTAATAAAGAATTTCCAAGATGCAGATGTTATTATTAGGTTAAAGGGGGTAAAGGCACGGTGCGATACGGTACGGTGCAGTATTGTTAGATTTATAAATTGTAGCGACAGAAGAGAAGGAGAAAGTAAGAAACAATAATAACAGAAGCGGTTGAGTTTAGGAATAACGAATGAGTAGTGTAGGTAGGTAAAGTCTGGTAGTTGTGGTGTAAATGTAATGTCAAGATTAGGTGAGATTAACGGATAGGATTGTAGATACGATAGGGTAGGTGTTAAGGTAACTATTTGGGGTGTTCCAACATTGAAGGAGAGAGACTGGAACATTGAAGTCACTGCAATCAGTGCAATGTGACTGCATCCATCCAATGTACAAGACTACAAGTACCGTGTACAGTCGCACATGTACCTGGGCACTAACATTGACAGTTTTAAATAACAGATTGTGCAATTCAATGTCTCTGGGACAACCCTTGCACTTAGTACCATGCTTAATATTATGTACCCAGATACAATGCCAGTAGCCAAGGAAAAGGTGTTCTGGGGAGTCGGGAGTGGTCCAGGGCTGAAAATTGGGTTAGAACCGTTAACTAGATTAATGCTTCTTAGGTTATTTTGGCTTAAGAAAACGGGGATCACCTCAGACTCTCACAGAGTGCTCTAATAATCTTCTTTCTCTCTCCAGGGCGGTCTCTATCTTTTGCAGTTGTACAACATTAATTTTCCACTACAGCTGCTGAGCTGCAAACATATGCTATTGAAGCTCAATGAAAACGAAGAATCACCATTTATTCTCCATATTTAAATTATCACGGGATGTGTTCCCACAGCTTTAAAAATAGCACAGTCAGTGCAACAATTGTGGTGAAAAGAGTTTCGAATTCTTGCTTGTCCGAATATTTTGCCAGTTAACCTTGTACATAATACCTAGCAACTACTGCATAATATGTACATAATTCCCGTTTTAAAACATCATGGTTCGTATCGCATGCATGTAGAACTAAAGATGGTGGTAGATACTAGATACCCTAGGTAGTCGCCATGCTACATAGTACATGCTAATGCTTAACAAGGCATGTACCCGCCATCTGCAATCAAAAAAGGTATCTGTAACTAACTACTTGTACATGTACATTATCTAGTACCTTATGTATTCTAGCTTGTGAAAAAGGGGGGCTTTACGGCCCGCTCTACGTAATCCTGATACCCCCAACTTTGCATGTTGTTTCTAATCTTTTCCTGCCACAAAAAAAACCTCAGCCAATCCCCAGCCGTTCCTCTTCCACACTTTTCTTCCTCCATCTTTTTTTTTCTTTTCTCTCTCTCTCTCTCTCCACCAGTCGGGAAGAATGTCGAAAATGTTAAATGGTGCCCACCGCACCGCACCCCCCCTCCCCTTATCTGGTTTACTTGGGGAAACCAAACATGTAAATCTTAAAGCCAGTCATAGCCAGTCAAAGCCAGTCATCCCGAACAGTCCGAATTACATAACACTTGAATGCTGAAAAAGGGAACACTGACGTAGCCCATTCGTCACTCTCCTCGTCTGCTTCTGTCACATCCTTCGCGAAAACTGACCGAAGTACACGCACCGATCCTCTTTCTTCCCGACTCGGCTTCTTGTGCTCCTGCCAGTCACGGCAACGATTTTCTACCTCAGTTACTTACATAGGTAGGTTATGTAGGTTATATGCCTGATATGGATTTTGGCACATTGAAAAGTGATGCATGCATGCATGTGTTGTGGCTTTATCTTTAGTTACTACGACATCATCAAATCAACACAATCTCTTAATCTATTAGGAACGTAAAAGAAAAAAGAAAAAAAGGAACAAAAATTCGATCGGACACTACAACCATGGTGAAAGATTTCCCACCAAAGTCTAGCCACCTAATTCAATCAACCCATTTTAGGCGTCGGTTCCTACATAATCTACTGCCTACTACCACCTATGCACCGACATAGTACCTTCTGCAACGTCAAAGAAGCTTAGCCGTAGCTCCAATGCCACTCTCTTTTACCTGTGATACAACCTCCCGGAGATCTAGTCTTCTTCTCTAATTTTTTATCGTGAGCCTAATCAATTCAGCGGCGGTTCTAGGTCGTCCTAGTCCTAGCCAAATGCAGGCGCTTATTTAGCTGCCATTTATCAACCCAGTCTAGATTTACTACCTACCTACCTTAAGGCTTCAGCTGCTATCTACCTAGTCTAAATAGCGTAGTTCTTCTATCTACCAAATCAGGAATACTTCTTTTTTCTTTTTAGTATAGCCCGCATACGAAAGATTATGCAAAGGGCTTCGAAAAAATACTTCCATCAGTCATGTGGTTCTTTCAACACGAGCGCTGGATAAGAAGCAATACGGGCGGGCGTGGCGATTTGTTGTGATCGCTTAATAGCCCTGAGTATAGTACCTGCTCGGAATACCTTCCTAGTTAGGCACATACCTAGATTAAGTGCACGCATTGCCAAATGCTAGAAGTACCTAGAAGTGATTCCGGTATCATTCACTTCTAGGGGTAGGTATATGTGTATGAATTAAATAATCATCAACTCAACTGCTCTATATAAGCCGCCAAAGCTGAAAGACAAACTTGCTTGCTATTTACTGAGAATGGGAATGTCAATCAATCTTTCCTCGCAACATCTTCTACTATCCCCCTTAAAAAAAACTCTAGATATCTAGATAGGTGCATAAACGCTTAAAACTTCGGAATGCCATATTACCTTTTGGCCCGAACGGAACCGTGGTGCTTCTAACGACCGTAAGGAATTCCGTTCGTAAGGAACTGGAATTCATCGTAAACCATAGTGCTGTAACTGCCTGCACTCTTCTTGACTAGGTCCCTCACGAAATCAGCAGCTTCGCGCTCGTTCCGCTCCAACACAAACCGTTCCTTAAAAAAGCGAACACTCTCGGGCTTGAAGCAAGGCAGCCCGCTCTCCATCATGAGCAGGACGATTTGGCTCAGCTTCTCTGCGTGCGGTCGACACGCCAGGAATGCCTTGATACACAATTCCTCAAACCACTGGAAGGACTGGTGCTCGGTGCTGCCGCCCATCACTGCTAACATCTCGCCCGTGAGCTTGAAAGGTGCACGCTCGAACTTCATGCCACCAGGCGCAATGTCGAAGCAGAAACCGAAATCGATGTGCAGGATGTGGCCAGCATCATCGATCATGATATTGCCGTTGTGACGATCCTTGAACTGCAGCAGGAAGGAGATTATACTATAAGCAGCCATGCTCTTCACAAAGTTATTGCGCGCCTGTTGGAAGCGTAGCGAGTCCTCGTTGCCATACTTGCTAACAAAATAGTCGTACAGTCCGTTCACTGCCTCACGACCAAGCATATCTCGAGAGATGGAGTTAGGCAGTACGTCGATAACACCACAGCCGGGAGCAGTAGCCGTCACACGGTACGGAAACACGAAGACGTCAAGCCCAACGCTGTGGAAGATACCGCGGAATGCAGCAATCATCTGTAAAGCCAACACATCTTGCCGGCAGTCATCACCAACCTTGAAGATAGCGCTCTGCCAGACCTCGATCGTGGTTTCGGCCGGTGGTTGGCCCGTCTTAGTTACTTCTTGTGCTACGTCTTCGGTTTCCTCGATGCCGGCTTTCGATTTCTGAATTCGGAACGTAGCCATGTACGGTGCCTTGGCGTGAGATTGGAGTGGCTTGCCGGATTTGCGATCGATGCCAATAACGACGCCATCAGGATTACTGGGTAGATAGACACCCACATCAACTTTAATCTTTCGAAGCTCTTCCTCAATCTTTTGCTTCTTCTCTGGCTTGTCCTTCTTAATGAGCGGCTTGAGCTTGCCAGATATACTAGTAACTTCGTCAAAGAATGCAAACTCTCTTTCATAGAAGTTCTTGTCCTCGGGAGAGAAACTGTTGATCATCTTTTCCATCACCTTGTCAAGAGCAGGTTTAATGGCGTCAGGCTAATAAGTTGTTAATGCAAGGCCACCAAGTTTCAAAGGAGTAGAACTTACAATCGTGGCATCGTCATCCTTGTAGGCATTTGCTTTGATGTTCCAGATGATTTGGTGAGCAAATAGTTGAGAGAATTGCGCAGTTTCAATGATATAACGCTCCACGTATCCCAGAGCATCAAATCGAAGACCCTGCACGATCTGCGGAACGTAGAAGAAAGTCACGTCTACTGGGTGAAATTCCAAGGCTCGCATGGCATACTGAATCAGGAAAGGATGATTGCGATATGCGGGCAAGAAATATGTGACAGCAGTGATGGGATTCACGGGAGCCCAGAACAGTAGGTACTAGGATAATTAGCAGCCAGTCCGATAGATGAAGGGAAGAAAACGTTACCTTGAGCTGGAATCCAACGTCAGGCGGCAGTTCACCTCCCAATAAGATCGGGAGGGCTTCAGGGTCAGAGATAGCCTTATCTGGGAAATTCAGAAGGAGCCAGCGCACTTCGTTATGAACAGCCGGGATAGAGAATCTGCTAACAAGTTCAATTGCTAGAGATGGATCCTCCGTCCAGGCCACTCGAACGAGTGGTTTGAGAGTAGACTGTAAAATTAGTGTGTGATGCCTTGTTTACTCATGGGTTCAAACTCACCTCAAGCGTTGTTCTGCCATGATTCGTCAAGATATGGGGTCGGTGATAAAGACCTTCATTCAGGGGATGAACCCAGACGTTCAACCTAGCCTGTTCACTCTCAAGCAAAATTTGAAGCAACGACTCTTTCTGTGCCAAAACCTTGAAATTTCCAACAGCATTAGCGCCAACATTGGAGACTGCCTTCAAAGCGGTCATGACATCCGAGATCAGTCGAACTTCGGTCTTTAACTGGAGCTGGTTGCTGCCAAAAGACCATTTTGGTGTAAACTTGAACCAACTCAGCCCTGCGGACAGTATCTTGTCCTTGAGGCGCCATTGAGTCATTGTACGGACCGCGGTGCTCACCCTCAGTACTCTCAGGCTGAACAGAATGATCCTGAGGCGAAGTTCTCGAGCCATAGGATGAGAAATTGAGTTCTTCAGAGCATCGAGCGTCATATCAAGCATACGGAGGAAGATCCTGTGAGTATCTGGGCTCCCCAGTCGAGTTGCATTAAAGTGGCTGTTGAAAAAGCCTAACAAGCGAGTATGTGGTGCTAGCAGGTTGTGGACCTGCTGTCGACGTTTTATGAGACCCTCATTATCACTGGGGGCGAACTCCTCCTTGAGGAAGAAGGGATCAGGGTGCCTAGCAAATATTAGCACATGTGTATATCATCTTAGGTCTGTCTGTCTTACATCAAGGCAGGATTGAATAATCCAAGTTTTCTATGGATTATAACTTCCCATTGTTGGGCAATTTCGGCAAGTATTCGAGACTCCATCCTGGGATTCTCATTCATGACACCCAGCCAAAGAGACACACCAAAATTGATAGACTCCTTAGTGAACATCTTGAAGGGGATGCTGACGAGATAATGCGTGATGGCACTCTCGTCTCTTCCACTGCGACACAAGAGAGCGGCAGCCCGTCTAAGTATATCTCTCACATCGTTGAGAGGGGTGACCCTCCTGCTGCTAACGCGAGATTCCACATGAGCTAGAGCCGTGACAGCGTCGGCGCGGTCGGTGGGCGCGGATTTGATAAATGAGTCGCGTCGCATAATTGGCATTAAGTTGATTAGATCTTTGCCATGGGTAGGTAAGGCTTCACCGTACCTATACTCTTGACGTGTGGTGTATTGGGCAATGAAGTGGGATGCTGTATTGATGGCAGTTCCACCAAGAGTATCTAGAGAGGTTAATCTCTGGTCCGTGGCTGGTATTGACGACCCCATTTCTACGGCAAATGACCGACCGAGTGACATGTATCCATAGGCTCCTTCGTCGTCAAATTCAGACAAGTATGTCTGGAGCAACCCCTTAACATCCGAAGGTGCTAAATTGATTGCTAAGGAGACCCATGTCTTGGCCTTCGTATATAAGTTATTCAGCGTCGTCTTTCTGAAGGAGTAGTCATCTGAAAGCTGGACTGTGACCTGTCCCAATGTGGAGGTGAACTCGGATCGTGGATCATACATGTCCGTTTCAGCCTCGAAACAACTTGTCCACATAAGAGACAACAGCTCGAGGAGGGCAAACAAGGACGATTTCTGGCAAAGAGAAGACGGAATTTCCCGCACGAACTTGTCGGCGCAGAAAATTGCAGCCTGCTGAACACGTTGAATACGATGGCAACATCCGCAAAAGATTGCTGCAAGCTGTGAAGCCGCGTAGTGGGCAGAGAAAGTTGGCAACTTCGCTTCGAGAGTCTTGGATAAATACTTCTCCATTACAACCGCTGTTGTGCCCTCCATAACGCCTCGTACGTCCGCACTACGCATACTAGGCTCCAGGTAGTACGATAGAGTCTTGGTACAATCGCCAGAATCGGCTCGCAAACTTTCAACCAAGTAGGCGGCTTGCAAGAATATAACTTTTCTGTAGCTCAGTGCCCTGATTTCAGCTGCCTTTGAGGGAACGAGTTCCGTAAGCTGCCTCTTCTGCTTCGATTCCCGCTCTGACGTGTTAGCTCTGCGAAGAACCGTGTTAAGCTCAATATCACTCTCGATCTGTTCCCCTCGCTGTTCAGCTACAAGTGGCGGCGAATGTATAGCCATGATGCGCAGCTCATTGATGTACTTCTGACCCCTCTCAGTTAGGGGAGTAAATCCGTGTACGACAATATTGAACCAACCGTCTCGAATGAGAGAGTGCTTGTCGTCTTCTTGGCCTTGGCCGGGAATTTCGGCCGCAAATTCATGTGCCGACATCAGGATCGAAAGGGGTTGAAGCAGCTGGGCGATCTCGCGGGCTGCAAATTCAACATCGGACTCTTTCATGTGCTGAGACTGATGAACATCTCCCTTGGAAACCAGTTCTTCTAACATGTGCTCCCAGTATATATCAAACAGTGGAGAATCGCGATTCAAGTTTGCCGATATGTGATTTCGAGCCTTGCGAACCTATAATGGTTGTTAGATATGCTAATTCGTGATGATTTCAGGGGTAAGTCTTACGGCATCGAGAATCATGGTGTTGTCGTCGACAGACGCGTTATGACTGAGCCTCGAGTACAGTCTCAGAAGTGACCTAAATTCTAGCTGACCCCCATTCAGAGACAGTACGCTTGCCCCAGTAATGATATGGCAATCCACTGCCTGATTGACCTTGGTCAATTTTTGGAGCAGCATCGCCTGCGCAAGCGCCGTAATTTTATCGTCATTGCAAGTATCTGCAATACTACAAATTGCTTGGACTATATTCGCATACACTACCGTGGTGTCCTCTTCCCCTTGGATCTGTAGCGAAATATCACTGCCGTTAGATTGTCTTCCTTGATAAACATCAGACAGTCCACCACTCTCGGCTCCCAACTCGCTAGCGATCCCATTCGGGACATTCTGGTCAGCATCCGGACTGAGCACATTTCCCAACGTGTAAAGCGTAGTGATGACCGCATCCTGTGAAAGCATATGCAAAGCAAATGCTAAACATTTGGATGCAGTCGCAACGATACTGCTAGAGGGCGTGGTCTGCACGATAAATCGAGGCAACAGTCGAATCACAGTTGGAGCAAAGGATGGGGAGATCCTAGAAAGGATGGCCATTGATCGGAACACCGTTGACGCCAGTGTATCATCCGACATTTGTATTGGATTGTCCATACATTCCTGCAGCCAGCCCATGATAATTTCAGGGTCCGCCGCATCTTCATTAAGTACTGCACAGTTCAAAAAGCTGACGATAGCGCCAGCCTTCACAGCATAGGCCAGCCTCTGCTGAGAGGGCGATCCAAGCTCGATGAAATCAGCAGCGGCTTCAAGGCGATCCATTTCCTCCTGAGCAATTCCCGCATATAATTCAATCGATTGATAGTCGGCATCTGGACTATCAGGAGATTTGAGCTTAGCCAAGCCTTCCTTCGACATTAGCATATCGAGGATGTGAGTTGTCCTTAAAGTCTTCACGTCAGCAATCAGAAGGGATGTTGAAGAGGCCAAAAGCCACATAAAACTCCTTTGCAGCAACATATGTCCCAGAGGTCGTCCGTGATGAGAATAATGGCGAAGACATCTCTTCCAGTCCTTGGCGTTGCGATCTGACGTGTGGACGTTTCGGATAGTTGAAAAGGCGCCATCTATGGTGGTTAGGAAGGGCTCAGAGAGCAGGTTACGAATCCTCTGGATGAGAGCTAATCTTCCACCAGACCTCCAGAAGTTGGTTTGAGCCGAAGCAGCATTTAAGAAGCCTAGAAGAGAGATGGCTATGGTTGCAACACGGATAGCATCCTCCAAATTTGGTTGGGCAATCTCGTCCGACTGGGGAGGAATTATGCTTTCTATCTCGGTACGCATGGAAAGTAAGAGAGCCCATATGTTGTCAGAGACGGTCTCATGCAAGTCATCGTAGTTATTCCCTAGCGATAACAAGGCGGCCGTGACATTGGAGGTTAGTGCTTCGACAGGCGACGGCTCGATCTTATTGAAGGCGGGCGAGGGGAGAAAGGTCTGGGCATGAGCTTCGAGAATATAGGGTATCAACTGGTTAACAAGCTTCTGGGCGCTCTGTCCGCTTTGTACCAATGGCGCAGCCTTGCAGAGGGCAATGAGGACTTCATATTCGCGAATGGTCTTATAAATCCAATTAGCTACTTCGATGATACTATCTCTTACATGACTTTTTCAGTTGTGATTTACCATGGGAACACGAGCTAAGGAAGAAGTGAAGCCCCTAACGAAGCCATTAGCGGTTTCTTTCCCCCTACTTCGAACATTCGTAGCTCTACATAGTCGATCGAGATCAGACCGGTCAAAAGATGTCGTGGAACTGGTAGCTGAAAGAGCAGCGATCTTCTGAAGCGCCTGCTGGCGAACGTTGCGAGCCATTGTCAGGCCAAAGTCAAGTATTTTGACTTATGCCGTCGACAATTGAGAGAGAGAGAAGGTTGAAGGTTCCAAGTTTGAAGAGTAAAAGTAAATAATAAACCTTGGAAAGCATAAATTAAATTGGCGATGATGCAGCTAAGTGCTTCCCCCTAACTAGAAAGTTAAAGTGGGGTCTAATAAGCTGTACCACCAGTAAGAATAACAAATTAAAGGTCTTGGCAGATTAGTCATCTAGAGGAGCTACCCCTGTAAATACCGGTGGGTAGGTACTACATATGTAGGTAGTAGGTAGTAGGTACCTACTACGTACTGTAATTAACAAGGCTGCAAGCTCGACGCGCGTGAATGGAAACCACACAACTACTACTAGTAGTAGTTATCTCCATTAATCTCCATATCGTCAAAGCTTCCAACCTCAGCCTAACTAGCTGTCCTTCGTCACCTTAATTCATACCGTCTAATTATCTCGACCCGACTCGATCATCTCTGCGATAGATGCACATATAGAAAAAACACACCATCCGAATAACGAAACTACGATCAAGATGGCCATGTTCAGCCAAAACCCCGTCTTAAATGGGCCCAACTACTCATTTGCCGAAGTTCCCAAAAGTGCAATGGATGGTGTGCGGGAACACCGTTTCAACCCGTAAGCTATATCTCCATGACTAGCTCTCTTCCGATTTTTGAACTTGCCATCTAATGTTTTTGAATACAGATATACCGACAATGGTGGTTCCACCCTCGCTATCGCCGGTGCCGACTTCGCCATAATGGCCGGTGACACCCGTCTAACGTCCGGATACAGCATCAACTCCCGGCTCTCCCCCAAGGTCTTCAAGATTGGCGGCACCAACTCATCCCAGGACGATGCCCACATTTTACTATCTGTAGTCGGTTTCGCCGCCGACGGCGAGGCCCTCAAGGAGCGCCTTGACGCTGTCTGCAAGATGTACCACTACCGGCATGGAAAGCCCATGTCCGTCAACGCCTGCGCCAAGCGCCTATCCACCATCCTCTACCAGAAGCGCTTCTTCCCCTACTACGTGCACGCCATCCTCGGCGGCCTCGACGAAGACGGCACCGGCGCTGTTTACAGCTACGACCCCGTCGGCAGCTACGAGCGCGAGCAGTGCCGTGCCGGCGGTGCTGCAGGCAGTCTCATCATGCCCTTCCTTGACAACCAGGTCAACTTCAAGAACCAGTACATCCCCGGCAGCGGCGTCGGCCACGAGCTGCAGGAGCGGGAGCGCCTGCCCCTGCCGCGGAACGAGGTGGAGATTCTGGTCAAGGATGCCTTCGACTCGGCCGTCGAGCGACATATCGAGGTCGGTGATCACCTGCAGATGCTGATCATCACGAAGAACGGCATCGAGGAGAGGATTCTCCCGCTGAAGAAGGATTAAAAAAGGCGGTGGCTAGGACCTCCCGATTCCAAGGCGGATGGATGTGTGTACTATATCATAGGCAGTGGAGTTTTCCGGGTTTCCCGGGGTCTGAATACATCGTAATTGACCATGAACGATTTGACGAGCAAACGAGATTTGAGTGGGTGAAAGATGATGAAAAACTAGATCCTGGACCGGTAGAACAGCTGCCTCCAGGGCTCTCTCCTAGATGCAACCCAAGTATAAGCAACTGGGAGCAATTCGACATGCTGGAATTCACTGTTGTGCTGTTTACTTTGGGTCCGGGTCCATCATAATAGACACCAATGCCTCCTAGTCCCAGTATGATAGGTCCTATATTCACCCAGGTAGCCATGGTGCCTTGACTAATATCAGTCTCACGTCACAAATCTATATTGCCCATGATGAACAAAGTCCTCTTTTTTGTCATTTACCGTGCTCGACTTGATCCAGTGGTAAGCATCGGTTCTCTCAATGTACCTGGCATCTTCCATGCATGTGTAGATAGTGGAGGTTCACTGTAGATCCATACATCGCCGTCAGAATCTACTGTTGGTAGGACTCGGCGTATCTGATATTTGGGTTTACGGGGCAGACTCCCAACGTTCTCTTGCATTGTATTGTATGGCCGTATAGAATTGAGGTAGGTAATACCTATCATGAATACTCGGCATAACACCCCTTACAGGAGAGAAGCCAGCGGTACCTTGACATTGCAGTTCTCCAGGCCGTGAATTCATACATCGCTCATGTGCTGTCTAGGGACCTACATTTACCTTCATCCTCCCATCTCCTCAGTGGGTATGTGCCGTTTGCGTAACCTTCGCCATCTTCATCGCGAAGCGCCTACGCGGGTACATAGATGATTGTCCTAGCTCCGCCAAGACGACATCTACAAAGAGTCACAAGTCAACTCACACGCCCATCGATCCTCTACAGAATTATCGCTTCTTCTTCTCTTCACAATTCATTGCAGTGCCTGCCGATACACGGACCAAGATCGGACCCGGCCACATGAACAGACGGGCAAGCGAGCAGCACACGTGATAGTTGAGGGTGAGGTCTGGAACGGTCGGGCGCAGATCGGCTTGGATACATTTCACATACGTTTTATCCCGGGACTTTTACACACGATAAATAAAATTATTAGGTAGCCGGCGAATCCCGCAAAGAGAGGGGGGGCATGATTGGGGCGGGCCGCAGACCCGATTGCGGTCAGCTGACCTGGGTACCTCCGAGCCCCAACCCCCGGAAAGTCATGCCACTATTCCGTCTTTCGATGACCACGCACCGACAACGAACGACCTCCCGAATGGTGCGCGAAACCCGGGTCCCGAGACTCTCTCTTATCCGCAATCACGTTCCAATAGGTTTTTCTCATCAGTTGACCTGTAGACCTAATTTCGCCTACCTAAGCCCCCCTACCTACCCTGCCTACTACGTTCTGTGTTTCGCTTAGGCCCGCCCCGGTTCGGCACACCCCCAGACATTGGAATTTTGAAAAATACCGGTGGACCATGACACGCGAGAGAAGACAGCTACTAAACTAGCAAGCCTTAGGGGAGGAGAACAATGAACTCCCCAACCCGACAATGTGGTAGCAGCGGGTCAGGTGGCGAGAGCACTCGTATATTCGGGTTTCGTATGCTAGGTACCTACATAATATTTGCAGAATCTTCATGTCCTGGTGGACTATTAAGCTTCGTGCAGTTCGAGACTCGCCTCCTTCTTCGGCCCTACCCTTTTCAGATTGATTGAAGCGACATACAAGCAGTCTCACACATTAGCTTGCTACGGACCAACTGATGCCTAACCCGTTGATAAAGGTCAAGACGTAGCCGAAATGAAAATTTTGATGGGACAGTTCAAAGACTTTTCAACTATGTAGGTTAGAAATGTGTAAGCGGGTGGGACGTAAGGTGGGTATAAAAAAGATTTCGTCTCTTCGAATCCATTTGCTAGCCTTGATATAGTTATGCAGCGCATCAATGACAATATTAGTCCACGTATAGATATAATTCCGACACCCTAATTTAATAAGGATCATGTTTATTCGGAAAATGTTCAAGTCGCCACGACAGAGACAGCTTAATGCAGTCCTGCAAAAACGTAGCCCCGCCCTGCCGGAGGTGAGTTTAAGTGAGCGAGGCCTAACCTTGACGTAGCTTAGCCAGCAGAGCTTGGCTTTAAAACTCTTAAGACAAGTGGACTGATTAAAAGTGGCGGTTGGCGGAAACGGGACACTCTCGGCCGGACGGGAACGCCGCAGCCGTCTAACGAAACTTCATGAAATGTCAGATCCACGTCAGGAGTTTAAGTGCTGTGCTTAGCCCGCACCTTAGGGCAATTCGCTTACGCCTCCCCCACGATTTGCATGCCAATCATGGCTGGCCTCCACGTGAATGTTTGCTAGTCCCCGCGGTACGAACTAACCTTCAGAGCACCTACCTAGGCAATCAGAGTTGAGGCCGGCCCTAAGAAGAGTAGCTTCAGAGTTAAAGATTGGCAACGTTAAAGCAAGAGGGGAAGCTAAAGTTACTTGTATCCGCATATTCTTTTCCAAGTGAACGTGGAACATTGAAGCGAGAAGTCCTACTATGTAAAGGACCATAGTTCAACTCCCACTTTCAAGTTAGCTCCGGGAGATGCTAAGATGAGCCGCAACCATACTATGTAGAAAGCCCTTAGGTTAGCAGATTGCCAAATGAGAAGCCAGCTAATAGATGTACAAGGGCTCACATGGCTTCTTTTCATCCTAACCTTAGCTCTCAATGTCTACCAGTATACTACCTAGTAATCAATTCTATAAGCCCCGTTCTAAACTGTTGGCGCAGGTGATAGAAGGCTAAAAGACCGGAACGGTAGGTAGCACAGGAAATTTACTTGTCTGGGTATACTATAACTCGCCACAGCGGCACAGTAAACCACTAACACGCGTGTGATGCTGTATTCATCAGACCGGACTTACAAGTCCAATCGGTCTAGGTAGAAGGTTGGGACATCATTAGAGCCTTTCGAGGCAGTTGGATGAGTATCAAGGTGTGAAGCGGTCTTTTTCTACGACGATCACTGCCTAAAGTGGCAGGATTGAGCTCGTATTATGTGCGCATTATCGAAAGCATAGAGAAGTGTGAAGCGTGTAGAATAGACCGCATTGCTTAGTTATTGCTTAGGTGCCAGTGGCAAGAGGCGATCGTTTGAGAAAGATCCAGAGTTGTCTATGATTGACGAAGGAGGGCATGAAAAGGGTAGAGGGTGGAAGGATTAAAAGGGTTGAAAGGATTTAAGTGTGCGAATCAATTGATTTGTATAACTGAACGAAACAAAACTAGGAAAGTGAGGCTGAGTTGTGTAACACGAACACTTGAACACTTGGGGCAAGGGTCTTGTTCGGCAAATTGTTTTTGGAAATCGCTATCGCAGATCTCATGAGCTTGGCTTGCACAAAATGGATCACATGCAAGTTGCTCTAAACCTTGGGTATTACATAGTTTTATGTATGTCGACCTTGAATATTGAACATTCAATGTTCAATGTTCAATGTTCAATGTTACTACCTATCACATAGTAGTAACTTACATACTATGTATGTAGCCAGGTAACAATTTTCACCATTTACAACTTGTGTGCTACAGCTAGCGTCAAACATCTCGGGGAATATATGGATTATATCATGAACTCATCAGCCCATTTTTAATTCAAATCTCACTTTCTAGTGTTCTAGAACTAACTAGTACACAATATTCAAAATTACGGTATTCATTAAACGGAGCAAAAACTCCGTCAAGTGAGGCTGCATTTATGGTTTTGTGAGATGTAGGTAGGTAACATGCAAGATGTGTTATCTAAAGTTGCAGCCTACGGTATCGAGTATCAATGGCATGAATTCCCAGCTCTTCTCTCTTTAAGCTGGCTACATATGCACCTAGGTTAGATGGTTTTTAGTAAAGCGACTAATGGCATTGAATACTGGCTGAATGAATGGCTTAAGTCTACGGTGCATGTACAGCTGTGGCGCTGTTAGTGATATTCCAAAAACATCCATTGTTGAATTAGTATGAGACCCAAGCTTGAGGACATCAATACTTACATAGTACAAAGTCGGTCACATTATCCGAGTTACATACCAAGCTAGTACCTATGCAGTTACTCTACCCTAGGTAGATACTGACAGTTTCGCGCTTGACAACATTGAATTGAGTTATATTATGTCTACGTCATCACATAGAGTTATACAATTTCACGTAATAGCTATCAATGTTGGTGAGAATTTAGCATTATGGATACATGCTACATATTATGTATGTCACGTAGTTACATATTTACATGTAATGTAGCTATCCAGCCTATCCTACCAATCCTAGTATAACCTTGAACATGTTACACGAAAGCCACAGCTACGTATATATATGTACATAATTAAGGTAGACATGGTGATATATCGTCATCATATCACTAATAGACTGCCCTTTTTCTTTCTCTTTTTTTCCGGCAAGTTGATCATCATTCGGCTTTATGGCATGACACTTCTCCGCAATGCATCCAATGTAACTCTTGGCTATCATGACCATCAATTGCCCAGTCGACATACCGGTTATGCATTTTTTAATGTAGATGGGTCTGTACGTACATAAATTGTACATATGTACCTATTAGGTGTGCTGTGTAGGGCAAGAATTGACATTCAGGGAGGCAGAAGTGATAGGCACCTTACCCAGCAGGTGGCCATCCTTGTCGGTTTATACGTACCTCCTCGGAACTTTACTAGTACATACTAGGTATGTATGTAGGCTTTGCTGGGTCACAATACACCGACCATGCTGCCATGTCAGAAGATGGGCAATAAACATCGAACAGTGGATACCAATCGCAAGCTCTCCCTATAGAGGCCGCTGACCTCATTGTCAATCTTGTCTGTTATAATGCGACGCCAGTGTTGCAGAGTTCACCAAGGCCAAGCTAACAGGATTTCATCATCGACATCATTGCCCATCATGTTCAGGGATCGACCATCTCCACATGAACTAGGGGATGGGGGCAGATGGGGGGGGATGGGGGGTTGGACTTGGATGGCTGGATGGGAAAACACCAATTTCCCCGATCCGAATTGCGACAATCCGACAGAAAGTCGATTGCGGCTCAGTCCGAGGTCTGGGTTCCTATTTCATCATTCTAGCAACCAGGTTTGCCGATCAGATTCACAGATCTTCATCCTCCACCAATTGCCCGACGAAACCAATCAGAGGTACCTTGACAGCTTTACAGTAGCCTCTCTGTACCATACAGAATACCTACACACTACACACCAACAAAGACACGACAGCATAACAACCATTAATAAATGCACTGCAACTGCAAACAAATGCACTGCAACTGCATTTTAACTGCAACTAATTGCTGCAACTGACCCAATTATTAAGATTTCCTCCCGTGAAGAACCCACAGGATCAACATAAAAATTACAGGTGCCATAACATTTAAACTAGAAGCTATACTAACTATGTACTACTGGATACCTAGTAGTTAGGTACTACCTAGTACCTACTTAAGGTACAAATTCAATTTGATGTGGATGCCAAATCCGATGTATGACTATGTATATTGTGTACCTCGGTAGGTACGGTAGGTACGGTAGGTACATATGTACCAAGAGAAACTCTCATCTTTTTTTTTAACCTTTTTAGGGTTCGAGTTGTCATTACAAGCAATTGGCGATACATCCTAACATCCATACAACGAATTACCAGGTACTACCTAGTAAATGCTAGGAGATATGACAGAAGGTGTTCATTTCTAGCGTACAGAGGTAAAGTCACTAAGTTAGTCATCTCAAGTAGCGGCCGCGATTGTTCGGTGCCGTTCCGCTCCGCTTCTAACGGTGCTCAATCTCTTTGGTTCTTTCGTTCATTCGTTCATTCGTCCATTCGTTAGATTACCAAGGTCTGCTATACCAAGGTCTGGTCTAGTAGGTTGCCTACTTTGCTTTTGTGCAGGGAAGGAAATCTTCGGTACCAGACTGCTAGGTTAGAGACCTACATAACATTACATGATGACAACATTGAACTGCATCGGTTTCCCAAACAAACAGCCTTACCAAGCAAGTGTCAAGGAACAGGTCCAATGTTGCCAATGTTGGGGTCAAGGCCTAATCCTCAATTGTAACTGGTACCCAGACAATTCTCATTTCTCCAAGCGGGATCGACATCACGAATCTGACAATCCCATAACAGCCTCCCATTGACAAAAATAAAAATCTCCTTGTTAGGAGGCCTGGCCAGACCCTTTGTGGCTGAGTAACAAGCCGTGAAATGGAACATATCCTGTCAAAGGGTGTCTACCTAGTATTACATATTAGGTGGTTAACAACTGACCCAGAGAGTCTCGTGGGACCCCATGGACCCCCAAAAAAGCAGACCCAAGGGTCTGGTGGCGAAAAAAACGGCGCCAGCAAAATACCACCGGTCTACCAGTTTGCAGCCACTGGGCAGTCTACTGGCTGCTGGTACCTTATGTACTGTACCTTCAGGTAGGTACATCAATGATTGATCAATGATACCTATCGTATCTATGCCTACATACCTACATGCCTACATTACTATGTATTCCCAACTTTCGTTTCTTGTTAATGGTACTTTGTTATGTACCCCCTTTCCCTTCCCAATGCTTCGTTCGGCTTCCGCCCCGGGCCCTGAAGCCGGGATAGTCCTGCATTAACTACTGCTTCTAGTATCTGGTCTTCATCTGGTCCTCATCTGGTCGCTTCCCCCCAGCAAGACCTTACCCAGTTACTACTGTACTACCTTACTTAGACTTTGCGGTCATGTCTAGGCAAGCTTGACAACATTAGCTTACCCAACCTAGCTTTTAGCCACCCGCATTGCCGCGAGTCGTCAACTTCCTTGCAATGTTTCTCGAAGTTGTCTTATGATGTTTTCTCTCATACCATACTGCATACACGCCGAAAGGAAAAGGCAAAGATTGTCGTTACATAATGACCGCTTCTGCTTGATGCCCTAATGACCAGGATTGTCAGAAGTCACGTCGGGCCACATGGGCATTCTCTAATTAGCCACATCATCTAAATATTCTTGTCGAGATTCCCATCTACCTATCTATCTACTATGTAACCTTGACCTCCTCTAGCCAGGGCTGAGAGAATATATCTTATATTTACTTCTCGGAATTGGATTGTAACACGGGGGGCATTAGTTATTGTCTTGATACTATCATACCTTCGAAGTTGCCCTGGGTCCCTCGTTGTATGCATTTGACACGCACGGAAAACCGAATAAACCGTATTCGCTTTTATTAATAGTCGTTTTTTAAAAATCCCAGGAGCCCAATTCTCTCTACACACCCCCTCCAAATACCCCATAAGTTTTCTGGTTGGCAGCCTATGACTTCTGGTGCCCTCCCTGTGCGGGATCTGTTTTTATCATCGGGTTAGACACTAAGGCAGATCCAATCACCCCCATCGCTACATTACGGTACCACTAGAAAAGGTACGCCAGACATCTGTTCCTTACCGATCCGCTACAGTATCGAGGACGATCCGGATCTTGGTCAAGCCCTGGTCGACTACAGCTTAGCCCTCATTGATTTACGCCACACCTACGAAGACTACCTGTCGTTTCTTTCCCCTAGCCCCATCAGGATCCTTGGAACCGCAAAACAATTTAGGGTTTATCAGACACCTTGTAACACCTTCTCTGACAAGGAAGTATTAGAGGAATAAGCTTGATCAAGCAAGCTGTTCACAGATTCGAAGTAACGTTCGCGGAGACATACACATCCCAGCTCTCCCTCCTCCCTCTCCCCCCCCCCCGAAAACATAATTCGGCCCACTGGCGAGGCCTAATGGAAGATGTCCCACTGCCCTCCGCGGCAAACAATGAGTTTGCAGTCGGTGATGCTTCTGGCGGCAACTATCAAATGCACGCTATGAACGAAGGGCCCTCATCGTTACCACAAGGCCCAAATCCTACGAATAACAACGTCATGTATCAACCTCAGTATCAACAACTCTACGGCCCGTCTCCGAACACGTACCCTAGCCAGCTCGAGATGGCACACGCCCAAGGATCGAGCCGACAAGGACCTTACAGCATGTCAGCGATGGCCAACGCGCTGCCGCAACCTAGGTATCAGCCCAACTACAACTCAGGACAACAACCGCAGCGATTCAGTAACGCCCCATCATCCAACATGATGCCAACCATCGCGCAAATGGCGCAGTTTCAACTAGGTGCTCAACCTTACTACGTAGCCCAACATCCGCAGATTTCGCCGTACTACAATACCCATCTATCGCACACACAACAACAACAGCATCAGGCGCAGCAGCAGTCAAACATGTCCCCACGGCATAGCGTAAACTACTACTCGAGTCCGGTCATGATGAATCAGCCGGGTCTTACCGGTTATTATTATCCCCCGTCGAACCAGTATCAATCTCCGCACTCGACAATCCAAGGTCAGATGGCTCCGGGACAGTATTTGATGCCAGATGGCGCATCGAGTGACACGCGGGGTTCGTCGTCGTCTCTTGGGACTCATGATCATGGGGGTAGGGTTACAAATTCAAGTCAAAGTGATAGTAGGGCTATCTAATTACAGGAGGAAACTATTAGAAACAGAAAAAGTTGCTAATTATGTGTCTTCTTAGCTTCACCGGAATCGCGATCTAATGTCGTTCGAGGACCTCCACGGAAGCCTCGACAAAGCGGTGAGTTCTTAAGAGCACACCGTAGCTCCATATGATGAAAAGTTAACTTAAAGTGGTCAGGACATGCTATCTGGATTGGAAATCTGCCTCCACAAACCGATTTAATGAGCCTAGTCCATCATGTTTGCAAAGAAGCAGCCGGGCTGGAATCACTTTTCCTCATCTCGAAGAGTAACTGTGCATTTGCCAATTTTGCAGATGATCCGAGTTGCGTTGCTGCCCAACAAAAACTTCACGATTCGAAATTCCAGTCAGTCCGGCTAGTCAGTCGACTGCGTAAAAGCACAGTCGAAGGGGCTGGAGGACAGACAGCTCCTACCGGACCAGCTGCAACATCGCCTGGAGGACAGAGTACGTTGGCGGAAGTCACGAAAAGCCCTCCAAGTAAAACAACCGAGGTTGAAATTTCGCCCTCCGAGACACCGCCAGAGTCCCGAAGCGGACCAAACAATGATGGGAATCTTCAGAAAGACAAATTCTTCATACTCAAAAGTCTCACGGTGGAAGATTTGGAACTAAGTGTCCGCAACGGCGTGTGGGCAACTCAGTCTCATAATGAGGAAGTCTTGAATAATGCATTTACAGTAAGTGTAATTCCTTTTGAAAAACAAACATTACTTTTGTATCACGGTTCATTCTAATAGGTTTCACAAACAAAAAAGCTGGTGGATAATGTTTATTTGGTATTCTCTGCGAATAAGTCTGGGGAGTACTTTGGCTACGCAAGAATGACCTCACCTATAAATCACGACCCGGCAGCGGCCATTGAATTTGCCCCCAAGGTGCAAGCCACGAGCAGCCTAGACCTACCTAAAGCAATCCCAACCGAAGCCACGGACAGTTGTCCGCGAGGACGAATCATCGACGACTCGGCCCGAGGAACTATATTCTGGGAAGTGGAACGGGAGGACATGGACGCAGCTCTGGACGGGGATGAGTCGGGAGGAGAAGAGTCAGCGGTTAGTGTGAGGAGTGGGCACGAAGGTGAAGGGGGCCCTAATAAAGCATGGGGGAAGCCATTCCACCTCGAATGGCTCTCTACTACGAGACTACCGTTCTACAAGACACGCGGGCTTAGGAACCCCTGGAACTCTAACCGAGAGGTGAAGATCGCAAGAGACGGGACAGAGTTGGAACCGTCTGTGGGGAGAAGGTTAATTGGGCTGTTCAACCGAATCCAGAGCCCGGGCCCCATCCCGACGGGCGCAAGGGGGGTCATGTCGATGGTTGCAGGATATCCGCCGCCCCCTTTGCCTCACATACCGATGACGAATTGGTGAGCTGCGTTGCGTTTCTCGGTCAAAAGACACAAACAAGCGCGAGCCGCGGGGAAAAGCAAGAAAGAGGTGGGAATAGAGAGAGAGATGGAGCTTTAGGGCTCGGCTAGCCTATTGCTGAACACGGCAATATGGCATATAAAGCAAACAAACAAAAAAGGGTTGCCAAAGTTAATGTGCCTGCCTGCCTACCCAGGCTTGCTTTTACAACGCCTACAGCGCTACGGGGCTTGCTTCGTTGAGAGGGAAGATTGTATATACACACGTTGATATTACTATTTATTTATTTTTTCGCTGATAAAAAAGTGGTGCTCTTCGTGATATATTGATTGCTATACTACGACTATGGTATGTAGACAGACAGCAGCGTTGCCCCACAAGTAGCAACGTCTGGGGTAGCTCAACAAGCTTCCCCTGGTCCGTTGTAGATAGATGGGACGGGATGAGCTTTTTCTATAGTATGGAGAGGTCAGGTGGATATCACAAGAGATGAACATTTTCCCTTTCTTTGCATTAACTACCTATCGTCATTATCGAACCACGCCTACGTGATGAGGAGGATCGCCAAGGCCGTTCAGCATACATAGTAGGCAGGTTGTAGGGGAATATTGTAATATGTAATATGTATGCATATGTATGTATGTGTATGTGTGGACGGGTGGTATCCAAGCTAGACTTATCTTTCCCCAGATTATCACGGCTATCACTACTGCGATGGAACCGGTATAAACAAACCCCCCCTCTTCATGTGGTGGTAACAGCGGCAGCAGCAAGAAGCTCCACCCCCAAACCATCCCCCCCCCCCTGCGCCGGGCTTGTCGTTTCTTGCTCCCTTGTCCGGTTCCCGGATGACATATGTAACCTATGTATGTACGGCAGAGTAACAGCGTAACGGCGTATCAGGGTATCAGGGGGTGGGTAGTGGGGTGGTAAGGCGTAGGGGTTTAGACTACTAACCTAGTGTGGTTTGAAAAGAAAGGGTTCTCTACACTAAAGGGACGAAGATAGCCACAGGCGTCATCTCCGGCGATGGTGAATGGCTCAAAAGCCGACTGCAGAGTAACGTCATCGGGTAAAAATAGGTATGCCATGGATGGGATTTTCTTTTTTCAAGTCAAAAATGGTTATTAGCCCACAACCCCCATCCGCCATATTCACGTGCTCTGCTTAAGGTAGCATGGCTTGTAGTTACGCATTTTCTGTCATGCATACATACATACATACATACATATGGATGGAGATGGTTATGCGGGGCGAAACTAGATACATAAGGGATGATCTACGGTGACCTACGTAAGCCCTCTCTTTGCAGGTACATATGGATGTACTTGGGTGGTGGTAGTTATGTGTACTTGAGAATGTTGAAAAATGTGATGAGAAATCGGCGGTTTAGAGATGGTGGAATATGTAATATCTACAAGATACAAAATACGTAGATACATATGTACTGGTTAAGCTGGGAAGGTTACGTCAAATGTTAGGTACACAGGCACATGTACATCTAAATTAAGCAACCGGAACCCTATTTTCCAGTTCGTTGATTTTCTACACATTCGGGGGATGACGTCGTGATGCGCGCACGGGTGCCGGGAGGGCCAAGATTGGATCCCCTGCCAAGACTTTTAGCGGCCTTGATGATCTTTTTTGCACCGCCACTTGGCATCAGCCTGAACTTGAACTTGAAGAAACTTGGAATTGTCCGCACGCCGCACGCCGCACGCCCCACCAATGTCAATTTCAACTTGGAACTGGGAAGAGCTTGAGCCACAGGGTTGTTGCAAAGCCACTAGTCACACTAGACTTGTGGCGAATTGACTACCTAGTATGGATACCTAGTGCTACATAGGTACCTAGTAACATACTCCGTGGTACATAGGTACTTGTGGAATCTTCTAGCAGATTCTCGCAACTTCGTGAATCATCGTGAGATGCATTGTCGTTATTCCACATCACAACACGTGGATCTTGGCATACATGGAATCATCTGCATAGTTCTAGATAGTTTTGGATTGTTCGAAATGATTACCTAAGTGCGGTTTGCTTACCTGGACGTTTCCTGAATGTGGTAGAATGCGTACGATGTATTGTGTTATGAGTGCCTTATTATTATTTAAAGAATATGCGACATCGTGAGACTTGTTTCCCTTTTTTTCCCTCAGGTTACAACACAAGCTACAACAGAACAGCAACCTTTTAAGACGTGCACAATCAACAAAGAATTATTTCATCCCATCTTCTACTCATACCTACTTAACTCTTTCTTCCAAGAGCCAAGCCACACAAGCTTTACACTTCTACAAACCAACTACTAATACCTACCTTTGAATCCGATTACTCAATAATCTCCCACATCACACATCACAAACCACCAAAATGTCCATGTTCGGTCCCCGCTTCTACACCCCGGCTGAGCCCAACTACACGGGTCTCTTCCGCCTCATCGACGACTTTGACAAGTACTCCGGCCAGAACACCAGCAACTCGCCCACCCCCACCACCACCACCACCCATGGCAACGCTCACCCCAACCACGCCGCTGCCGCTCGCCACCCCAACAACAGCCGCGCCCGCCTCGTCCAAACCTTCGTCCCCAAATTCGACCTAAAAGAGACGGAGGCCGCCTACGAGCTGCACGGCGAGCTTCCGGGCGCCGAGAAGGAAAACGTGCACGTCGAGTTCAGCGACGCGCAGACCATTGTCATCCGTGGCCGCGTCGAGCGCTCCTACACCACCTCCTCCTCCCCTACCCCGGCAGCCCCGCTCGTAGCGCAGAAGACGGGCGAGAGCCAGAGGTCGCTGCAGCCGACCGTCGAGGACGACACCGAGGACGAGGAGGGCGCCACCATTGTCTCACACGCCGCCAAGGAGGACAGCGGCAAGGCGGTGGCGGAACAGCAGAAGGCGAAGCAGCAGCAGCAGCAGCAGCACAAGTACTGGATCACGGAGCGCAGCGTCGGCGAGTTCTCGCGCACGTTCCAGTTCCCCGGCCGCGTCGACCCGGACCACGTCCGCGCGGCGCTGGACAATGGCATCTTGACGGTGGTGGTGCCGAAGGCGAAGAGGCACGAGAGTCGGAGGATTGAGATCCAGTGATTGGATTGGTTTTGAGGGTGCGTGGCTTACCTGCCTAGGGTACTTAGGTACTGGGACTTCCGTCATCATCCCCCCTTTTCTTCTTCTTCTGCGACAGCATTTATGATAGTCTACGATGGACAGGCTTAAGGGTATATGCATGGACTCTACTAGCTTTGCTTGGTCTGGTGTCGTCTAGGTAACTACCGGCCAACATACAAATACATCATGAACGGAAAAGAGGAGGATTTCGAGTTGTGGAGTTGAGTTGAGTTGCTCAGTTAATCGCGCGGTTGCATTGCTAAGGAAAGGGGCTTGCTTTCATGCATTATAAGGGATAGCAGGAGTTATTTCGTTAATCAAAGAAGAACATGGTTTTAAAATAATAGCTTTGTGACTTTGGTGCAAGTGATCGTGATCGTAGTGAGACGTGGATTGCATCTCTACCTAGGTAGGTAGGTAACTGGCTGATTAGGTAACCTAACAGTCTATTTTCATAATGACTGATTGCCTACCTACCTACCTACCTACCCAGGTACTTAGACAATTTAGTAGATACCTTAATAATCATAAAGAAATCGCCATCATAACATATATCTCACTGGCAACTTTGACCTCTTAGTTTGAGACCTGGGGGGTCGAGGGGGTCTCTACGTAACGTGGAGAAGCAGAAGGTTAGTGGTTGGCTTGACTTACATAAACTCCTACCACTCTCATACCAAAAGCCTCTTCTATCTATATGCTATAAATTAGGTACTGATAATACGACACGAGGTATCAGAAATTATTTTAAAATGTAGTGTACTACATATAGGCACTCTTGCTTGAACTACTTTCTATCTTAGCACGCCGAGCCTATGAAACCCCATTTTCGGGATTAAATAAACATATGCCAGTGCAAAGATACCTACTTACTTATTTATGCAGTTACTATGTTCGTATCACAATGTGTACACATCTCTATTAAACCTATGACTCTTTCTAATAACCCCAAACTTGATTTTACCGACCCGGTCTTTATCTAAACGCATGCACCTAATGTATTAATCCAGGGGCTCCTTTTTATAAGCTCTTACCTATTTATTACGATTAAATGTTCGGAAGGAAGAAAGCAAAGTCCCAGCAGGTGATAATCATGATTATCCCTATTCGGTCAACTCCGAGTCATCGTCAACTAATGTAGAATCCTCGTCTCTCAGATTCGCTTGGAGTAGCCCTATTGTATATCAGTCAACACTCATGCACAGGGGGGGACTTGGGCGCCGACCTGGAGGCCGAAAGATATCATGTGCATACCTTGTGTGACAGAACCCTGCAGATTTGGATCTTTGCCATGTCTATCGATTCCGAAAAGCTCTGCCATCTCTTCGAGCGACCGGCCCTTGGTTTCCACTGCTGCTGATTAGAGACGATGATATACTTGACATACTCTCCGAGTTTTGACCACCTACCTAAGCAACACCGCACGAAGAAGAGTGCAACTACGCATATGACGGCAAACATCACGTACAGACCATAGCCTGTGGCGCTTTCAATCGGAGGCGACGCCTGGGCTACTACAAAATTCGATATCCACAGAGAAGCCGTACATAGAGCATTCCCCTTGGCCTGAGTATGTATGTTAGTTAGCGAACCCCTGACGGGGTACATAGTCACGTAGTCGGCGCAGGGTCACTCACACGTAAAGAAATGGGGAAAATCTCCGCCGCGTACGTCCAAGAGCCCGAGCTCCAGCTCATATTAAAAAACGTAAAAAACATGTACGGAAAGATGACAATGGCGTTGTTGCTGGGACTGTTCGGATAGTCTGCCGCGTGCTGCTGCAGGACACAGATCCCAATCAGCGCGGTGATCATGCCAATGAGACCAAGCTGAAGCCAGGTCTTGCGTCCAAAGCGGTCGAAGTAAAAGATGGGGATCCAAGAGCTGAGAAATAGAACCACTCCGATCCCGCCGGTTGCGAGGTTGGCCATGGTGGGGTCGACGATGCCCCCCTTTTTGAAGAGCGACGGCGCGTAGTAGAAAATCCCGTTCGTGCCTGTGATTTGCTGGAACATCTGTATGCCCATCCCCAACAGCGTGACTCTCAAGACCGGCCCCTTGAACATATCGGACCAGGACGCCTGCGTCGTGATCTCCTCCTCCGACACCGTCTTCCGAATCTCGCTGATCTCGAGCTCAGCCGCTTCCGAGCCATGGAGCCTCGAGAGGACCTCGAGCGCACACTCGTACCGTTCCTCCGCCACCAGCCACCGGGGGCTCGGCGGCACCCACGTCCAGCACCCGACGGCGAGGACGAGCGCGGGCACGACCTGGATGGCGAGCGGGATGCGCCACCAGTCGTCGGAGGCGAGGAAGTAGAAGGCGTACACGACCCAGAAGACGACCATCTCCCCGAAGCAGAGGATCATCAGCTCGATCCCGACGATCCTGCCGCGGAGCGAGGCGGGCGATATCTCGGAGATGTACAGCGGGACGCCGGCTGAGTATGCGCCGACGCCGAGGCCGAGGACGAAGCGTCCGGTGCTCTAGCGGGGTGGGGATGTATATATTAGCCTTCCAAGACAGACAGACAGACATTCATTAATCAACAGCCTCCTCCTCTGGCATCCAACAAACTCCAGGGGCCACCACCTCTAGGCACCTACAATTTGCGCGATCGTGTACGCCGCAGCCTGCAGCAACGCCCCGACCACAAACACCGAGCTGGCGAGCGAAAGCGTGCGCTCCCTCCCGCACGCGTCGGCGAAGAAGCCGGTGGTGATGGCGCCGACGACGCAGCCGATGTTGTAGACGCTGACGACGAAGCCGACGCTCCAGTCGCTCGCGGGCTGCATGAGCGCCAGCCACCGGGCGTCGGCGATGATCATGGCCATGACGCCCTGGTCCCAGCCGAAGAGGAAGGCGCCGAGCGAGACGAAGGCCGTGAGCGTGTAGACGTAGCGTAGGTTGGCCGGCCGCTTCCGATCCCCCGGGGCGGTGGTGGGGTGGGAGGGGGGCCGGATCGGCGTTGTTTGCTTGATGGAGCGGAGCATTGGGTTCGGTGCAGTGGTGGGGGTGCGGACTAGGTAGGTAGAAAGGCCGAATCTTACTCCGCTTTGTCGATGTGCATAGATAGTAGTGTTAGATAGCGGCAGAGAGTGGGATTCCTACACTAAAGAGAGTAGCTAAAAGAGAGTCTACATAATAACTTAATGGTTTGTACATAGGAGAAGGGAATCAGGGATGAGAAATGTGGAGATGGTGCCCCTGGAACAGGGGGTGGACGTTAGTTCCGCAGGCCAATATAGTCACATGAGCACCCTGTATCACTCAAAACTTGGTCACCTAGTCCCCTAAATAGTACCTACCTAACCTAGTAGCTTCAGTCTTTAGAACCTTATTAATGTATCGGTAAATTGCATATCTTTGTTTGATAAGATGTGTTACAACAATAGCAATCTACTACCTACTAGTAGTATTGCTAATCTTACCAACATACCTCACAGTTTGGTAGGTAACTTATAGCTACATGGAAGTTGTTCATAGCCTTACTCCTTTATGGCCCTATTATCATTCATTAAACTATTACAACTTTTATATAATCTAACCCGAGTTCTCCTTGTGATTGATTCGTCATATTCTAATTCCATCTCTCTTTACCAATACTTTCCCTCTTTATTCTAAAAAGTTTTGTACCTATTTACCATGCTCACATATGCTGTTTGAACGCCGCCCATATGCAAGATTCTTCTTCTTCTTCTTCTTCTTCCCCCTTCCCCTTCTATGCCTAGGCAGGTAGGCAGGTAGGCATTTTATGCTTAGCATGTGAGATCGAACTTGGGCGTGGCGCTGTCGAGCGGCGTGAGCGAGAACGAGAGCTCCGTCTGCGCCGTGTTGGCGTCCACGAGCGTGTACCAGAAGGTCGTGCGCTGGCCGAAGAGCGCGCACCCCACCTGCGAGTAGTAGCGCTGCGAATTCTCGACCGAGGCGATGGCGTCGCCGGACTGGGGGCCCACTGGAGTACGGATGATTAGCTCGATTGCATCTTCTTTTATTGGAGTAGTTTCTCGGAGTGCAGGCAGGTGAGAGGAATGGAGGGGAAGGGGGAGAGGGAAAATAGGGCCAACTCACTGCTAGGCCAACCGGTCTCAGTGATAAAGACTGGCTTGCCAGCCGCCACGCTCTCGGTCTGCTGCACGGCGGACCAGAAGTTGTCGGCGGCGAGGTCGATGGAGTTGGGCTTGGTGTTCTCGAAGTATGGGAACCCGTTGTGGCCCAGGAAGTCGACGGAGGCGGCAACGCCCGCGTTCTCCGGAAGGACCCAGGCGGTCCTATTTCGTATTAGCATCAGCGACGAAATTTTAATATGGAGGCGGGGCTTTTCGTCTTTTTTTCTTTTTTTTCTCTTGAAAAGCTTTTCCTGGGGTAGCACTCACCAAGTATCAACGTGGCCGATGGGCTTGCCCTCTAGCAGCGTTCCCCGGAACCAATCTCGCATCCATCCGATATACCCCTCGATCTCCGCGCCCGTCGCGCCAGGGCCTGCATTGTTCTGCTGGCCGGTCGGGCTGGCGCGGTAGAGGTCCTCAGAGCCGACACTAACACCAATGATGCGGTCGGTGAATGCGGTGCCGAGCTGCTTGGCGGCGCTGATGAGGGCGTTCAGCTCGTTCTCGTAGGCGGCGCGGCCGGCGCTGGCCCACAGGCCAACGAGGATCTGCGTGTCCGTGTCGATGGCGGCCTGGTACGCCGAGATCGGGTCCGCCGCCGTCCCGCACTGGATCGACGTGTACAGGCGCGCCGCCGTGAACTGCCCCTCCGTCCCCGCGAGCCCTTTCGCCCGCTCGAAGAACCCCCGGAAGTCATCGTACCCGCGGCACGACCCGTCGTTGTTCGTCGCGCCGTAGTTGAACCCCTGGTACGCCTGGGCGGCGGCCGTGGCCGCGAAGCCGAGGGAGGCGGCGAGCTGGTTTCGAAGCTGCATGTTTGTATTACTTCTTTTTCGGGGGGGGCTGGCTGGCTGGCTGACGTGCTTTGCTGTATGCAACCTATGTACTAATGCAAGGCAGAAAGAGGGCCTAAAGATCTGATTAAGGTACCTTAGTTGGGGAGGGGAATCATGAATCAGGCAAACAGAAAAGGTAGGATCATCTCTGATATTTATCTAAAAGGGCAAAGGTTGTATGTATAGATCGTCAACATTAAAAAAATATACCCAGACAGTACGCAAGTAAAAATAGACCCCCCAAGAAATCCGACCCCCCTTTTCTGTTTCTAGCCAGGCACAGTGATTCGCCCAGCCCAAAGGAGATGCTCCAATTTGAAGTTTTGGCGACCGGATGGGGGGGAATGACGACGAGGGCGGCTCGTATTTGTCAGGCCAAGAGTCGCCGAGGAGCTTGGATAGACCGGACAGGAACGATCAGGTACATCCGATTGGACAGGGGTCGAAAAGAGAGCCCGATCTGGCAACTGATCGGCTCTTGTTAGCTGGGAGACTTGCGTACTGCCACGAAGGTACCAAGGAAAAAGCTGTTGTCACCGCCCTCTCATCCACAAAGCGTCATGGAATAATAAGATGGCCCCTGCGGCGTTGCCTCCTAACTACTTCTGACGGAAGAACGGCATGGAATGAATGAGAAACGGACATGTCGATGTGGCTGTGCGAGATGTGTGCTTGACAGAACAATTCCCCCCTTTTGTGTGACTTGGCCATTCAGGGGTTCAGATGAAATATTCCGGACCCCGAGCATGAATCATGCATCTACCCGTCCCAACGCATGCTACCGAATGTTTGACAGCAGCTATCCACAAAATACTCTCCTAGTTTTAAAAATTTCCATATCTATTGAAAAATTACCATGATAATAGTATTTTACCTGGTAATACACAGTATCATATTTATGTCGCAAGAAACACCCCTTAAGTGAACCCTGTGCTCCCCCGACGGCTCTCAATCGGGCTGACCGTCGCCAAGCTATTCGCACTTCCATCCTCGCTAACACCTCGTCGCACTTCATCCGCGCTAATAGGAGATACCAAGTCATCGAGCTCTGGCTCGCCAGGTGCGCTGGGCACTGACACGTAGCTGAGCCTCTGCTCGACCCCCTCATCGCTTTCGATCGGTGACACTGGGTCTGGGTTGTTAGCGTTGAAACCATCCCGGCGCTTCCCACCGAATGCGACGGTTTCGATTGGTGACACGGGAATGTAGCTTAACCGTGGGCTCTGCAGCATTGCCGTCGCGCTCGTCGGTGTTGTGTTGGTGTTGCCTGAGGTGCGCGGGGACCTGGGTGTTACTGTCGCTGGTTTGGTGCCTGGTGGTGGCGGTAGAGGTCTTGTGAAAGGTACGTGTGGCGATGTCTTTTGTTGTTGAACTTGCCGTTTTTCTGTGCTGGGACTCAGACTTTGCGTGCTGGCGCTGAGTCGACTGTCACTTAAACGCTTCCGTAGATTCGCGTCGACGGGGTGAGCGCCGAGTGGATTGCTGTTGGATCCGAGTGGCCAGTTGGGTCCGAAGCTCTGACGTGCTGATGGCATTGTCGATTTGTGTTTGTCGCGCGTAGGCGATGAGGCAGCGGCAGCCGGATGTTCATGGACGACGGACAAGGGGCGTAGGACTTTCCTGGGTGTTGGCTTTTTGATCATCACCGTTGATGCTGCCACCCCCCGTGCGGGCTCTTTTTCTCTGGCCGGTGAGGCGTTAGACGAGGTTGTGGCCGTCTTTGGAGGAACTGGAGGTCCACTGGCGTCGCGGCGAGTCGTCCGACGGCGGTGACGGCGCAGCACAAGTACTGCAGCTGTGACCATAAGAATTAGAAATACAATACCCCCAACTACGGCACCTGCTATTGCCCCCGCGGAGGTTGAACCATGTGAGGATGAGTCGTCCTGAGGCTGCGTAGCGAGTGAGCTAGACGATGAATTCGTGCTGGTTGGCGACGTTTCCGATGATAGAGTCATTAGCTCTGGTGGGAAAGGAAACATCTCCCCGAATCCAGGGGAAGGGTCACATTCGACATGTCTAAATGTGATACTAGGGTCACTATCCGTTGTAAACGCATAAGTGAAGCAGTACGGGTTTGCCTCCGAGCTATATTGAAACGCAGGCTGTCAGTGTACGCCTCCATTTGGGCTACGATGAACTCAATTCATGCTGGGCTTGAACCAACCAACATAGCGTGTGCGATCCACATTCATCTAGGTTGCTGGGAGAGTCCGTATAATCGATACAGTCGGTATATATCGTGGAGACGCAGTCGTTCGCTCCAGGTGAGCAACAACCGCGATAATCTCCCACGTTAGTGCACTCGTATCCGAACTCACAGGTGACTTGATAACTGTCGTTAGCAATACTTTCATTCTTAAATTCGGATGTCTGTGATAGGGACTGCTCTATAGAGGGGATGCCTTACTTGTGCTAGATGTGGTGAATCCGCAGGTGTCGACCCCCAACACAAATCCAGTCGTGCCCGGAACACTTACCGTTGTGAGAGACGGCGGCTGCTCGCCAGGACGAACGACAAAAGTGTTGGCAGTCTCTGTTGGAATGCTGATAAGTGGCATGTCGAGTTGCCGGGGTTCGCGATGGTCATCCCTCAGCTCGGAATACATAATTACGAGCGAAAAATCGAGTGATCAGGAACTCGATATGGGCCAAAAAATCGTCCGAAATCATCCCAAGCTAGCAAAGTAGGACTCGAATCCGTTACTATGGAATGCCCCCCTTTACCAGCTCTCATTGTCCTCTGATGCGGCAAATCTCGTGGCGCAGAAGTCTTACAACTATGTCCTTAGCCCCCTACCCTTTGTGCTAAACTTAGCTCATCCCCTAACCACATCGCAAAGAACGATAGATGAGACAAAAGATATCGTGACATGAGGACAACGATCGGAGTGGGTTTCTATCACCCCGCCCGGTTCCGTCTTTGAACAATCGACAAAGGGGTTGGAGATGGGTAAATTTGCCTACCCTTTATCGCCAGATCCTTGAGATAAGACGGGCATCGTGTGTTGTCTATATTGCACTAAGTCCCAGCCAATATACGTAGATAGATATTAGACCAAAATTCTTTGCTTTGTTAATGAAACTGGAAGCCTGGGTATGTATCTAGGTAGATAGACCGACGCTTAGTATTAAGGATCGAGAACACTCACCAAGACTATTGTATTGAACTCGCATAACGAGCACCAGTATCAACTAGCTACCTAGACAGACATAATTCTGGTAGAAATGTCATTCCCCATCAGTCCGGCCGTTACCACAGCCTTTAAGAAAGTAAATTGCCCTCTTGCTGAGAACAGGCACGTATAGACAGGTCAACTACCTGCGGTCGAGTAGTGAACTGCCAATAGTATCATTTTTTTTTTGGGGGGGGGGGGGGGGGGTTCATGCGTGTGAAACTCGTCTTGAGGGTTGAAAGCCCGCTCCGAATTGCTATTCAGTCCTTTCGTCACATGCGCAGTCGCCTCTACATCGTCCAAGAGCCGGCGGGTTTTCTACTACACCGTAGGCGACTCCCATCATATCGCAGTCAGGCTCATCCAAGTATCCTATTCTTAGGACGAGCCCATGCTATGATTTCTGACTATGATTTCTGAGTGTCCCCATTCAAACTATTATCTGGGCGAACAATGATACGAGGTTGAAGGGATATGATGGGAGGTGGAGTGTTAGCATTTATGAATTGGCTCGATGCGCCCAACATGTAACTGTGCAGTTTCCGCACAACATTGAAGGCCATCGATATCCGCTTGCCGGCTAGATGGTATTACCTAATAGTCTAGGCCGGCCCATCTCGAGGAGCCTTTGCTAGTTGGTGTTGGCACCACTATTCGCCAGTATTTTACCCAAAGGTTGAGTGCTTCCGCCCGTGGTACTGTGCCTTATCTTGGCGTAGCCCTCAATGGCAGCTGACTACTGGGTAGTCGAGGCTCTCGTACTTGATCGCGGCTTGCATTATTGTAAGTGATGAAAGCCAGGAAGAAGCAGAACAGCACTTTCAAATTCAAACCAAGATGGCCTACGGCCCGCAATTGAGTGGCTCTTTTGTTTGCAGCCTCTGGGTATAAGTCCGAGGTGGAGTATGTATTGTTCTCGAAGCTCGCCAGAGAATGGGGTATAGCTATCCGCCGCAGATTGGTGGAATATCAGATGAATAACAACATCGCTATGCATGTACATAAAGGGGCTCGAAATGGTTGGTGGCATGGTTTATGTAGTTATTAGTCATGTCTAGGTACCTACCTAGTTAGGTATGTAGGTAAGTATGGATGAAATATGTGGCTCTTCACATCACAACTTCCACTGAATAACAATCTACATTTGGTTTCGAAGTGAGAATTAAGGCCCCGATCGGAATCCTTCTTAAACTGCCTCTTACTTAAATATCCCTACTATAAAGTGGGTTTTTGGTCATAAAAGTCATCAGCCACAACATAAAAACAACACCTTACTAAAAACAGCTAGGAAGCTATTTGCACAAATTCTGTAAGATCCCTGTAACGATTTTAAGAGCCTCTTGGCAGGTATCTTTTAAATTGGGTCAAAAACTAAACTACAACAGGTAAAGCGTCTCCATCTTTCTCAAAAATAAGGCCTTTTTTAAGAGGCGGTTGAAAGGTAGGGTCTTACGTTAAACTCGACCTTACAGAGTGGGTCAAATATGCATTTTCATTTTTAAAAATAAACACTTTTTTAAATAAATAAAATCCATTTAAATTGATAAAATTCTTAAAAAAAGAATCAATTATTATTTAATTTTATAGCGGTTTAATGAATATTCTTTTATTAAGGTGGCTATTAAATTGAATTTTATTTGAATTTATTTGGATTATTTGAATTTGAATATTGCGGTCGGTAACCTTAGAGGTTGAATTCTGGCTCCAAAGGTTCAATTCTGAAAGAGAATCGCAGGGGATGAAAAGATACATTCTGGACCCATATATTCTTTATGCATTTGAATGTACCTCTCCACTTTTTAAGAGGCAGTTTAAGAAAGATTCCGATCGGGGCCTAAGAATTGCAGAATAGAAAGATTATAAATGGAGGAGATTTGAGGAGATTTGAGGAGATTTGAGGAGATTGGGAGAGATGAGTTGGGTTCGACCTTATCTAATATGGGTAGGGCGGGTCTATCCGTCTATCGTCTACCGTTGTGGAGCTTTCTTGGGGGGATTATCGAGGTAGCTTAACCTTAAAAGTTATTCCATTACATCAGTCAGCTGATCACCTAGTGATTAGCGCTGGGTTCTTTTCGCGTATCGTCTATCGAGAATTTAGCGTTACCTAGATTCACTAACGATCTTCTTTTTCTTGCTTTCCTTTTTGTTTATCGTTGTTTATCATTGTTGATCCTAACCTTGAACCTTGAAGTTATTTATGAAATTTTCTAAGTAACCAGCCTACATGTTTTAGGTATGTTACCCTGCTGGGCAATAATTAATTGGCAATCGGAAACTAAGTTCCGCAAAACATAAGGAACTTTTTAGTGAGGATCGAATAGTTTATAACTGTGTTTCATAACTGTTCCACAAGGTGGTATCAAGTATCCTGGGCAGTGGTGAGCTAATAAACACACCAGTGTCGGGAATAGCCTCGAACGACTCGTACATGATGTGTGTACTCCGTACTATAACTAGTTAGTAGTATTAATACATAGTAAAACTTGTACATAACAAGCCCAACCCTGTCATTTACAAACAACGCTAAAAGTCGCTAAAGGCCGTTCAAGGTCGCAGCGATGAGGTTCCATGGTGGAAAGCAATTTACCATAGTAATAGAAAGCAGAGATCCGTGGGTGGGTGAAAAGAGTCCATTTACGAAACAAGACAAGAGGAATCCGCGATACTAGATCAAAATTGGCAGATTGTGTAGCGGTGGACGGATGAGCCGGGGAATATTAATGACACTAGGTAAGGTACTAGTTAGTGAATAGTACTAGTGATCACACCTCAATGTTGAATGCCCATATGTACCCTAGGTAACCTAGTAGATAATATTATTATTGATGAATTCGGCTCTGTTAAGTCCCAACATCGTCAACAGACGGTCAACTTAGCATTGACAAAGTTTTATGATAGGGCACATGCACTTTGCCAGGGTTAATTCTTCGTAGAGACTGCAGTATTATTACTTACCTCTACATATGTCGCAAGGAACTCAAAGGAAATTGTTCAACATCGAAGGTCAGTACTGAGTACATAGTAGTAGTAGTTACATACGATACAATTAACGGTACTCGAACCATAACGTTCCACAGAATAGCCAATGTCAAAAACAGATCCTGTCCAATGCCGTCTGCTTAAACCCCGCATGCCGTACCTCCAAGAATGCAGTGATACGAAGCTGCGGTGCTGCCGTGTACACTTACCAAATGAGGACGAAGCAGAGTATATCTAGTTACACAGGTATCTACCTTCCTCGTAATAAATCAATGATTGCACTGACTTAACTGCTTTATGTGTAATAAGATAAGACCCATCCACACCATCCAAGCTGATACGAGTTAATATTACCCAGTATCATCTCCAATTACTTGGTATTATAGTACATATATTAATGAGATGAATGAAATTTAGCGAAGGGACGGAGAGGGACGATAGAGGCACGTACGATAGATACTAGGTACTATGTACCTGCAGGCTATCGACCTAGGTTAGGTACCGATCATAGAGAGACTTGCCTAGATGCATTATTTTAGTGGGCTAGCCTAATAAGGAAATAGTAGGAGGCAACATGGCTTGTTGATTGGTGATCTTAACTTGAGCTTTCCCTGTCTGGGGTAAGCTGGGCCACAATACCTGGCCCTTGCTGTTTCCAAACTCCTTGGTACCTAGGTAAGTATTGAGCCTGGTGCTCCTAGTAACTACGTCCGTACGTGTGTACTAATGCATGGGGACCATGGGTAGATCGGCAAGCGGCAACTGCAGCAACGCAGGTCAAGTTCCAAAGGAGGCCCAGAATGGAAACCCATGTGGGTATTAGTGGCAATTGTGACGAATGATTGGATGATTCAGGATCCGTTATCGTGAGCTTCGTCGTCAAATGCCCTCTCTACTTGTCATTTTTATTTTCCCGCGCCTTCTTTTTTTTTCTTCCTCACCTACCCTCCTACCTAGCCAAAAAAAAAAAGGCAACGCATCAGACATTTATTTACTCAACCCCGGCCAAAGATACTCAGGTACAACCCACATAATAGTTGTGACTGTTTTATTACGTACCCCAGTCCACTTGAGCCCGAAGCCCTCAAATTCTTCTTTTCTCTTTCCCATCCGCTCATCCATTGATCTTGCTTCTTCAACGCTTTCGAAACTTTTCTACACTTCGCTTCCAACAAAAAAAAAAGAACATTTTAATAACTTATTCATCATCCATCCGCAACTTTTGGCTTGTCTCCTAGCCAACCCGGCGCTTATCAGTCCGTATACGCCGATCTCAACGCCCCTCTCAAAACTCGACCGATTCAATCGCAAACATGTTCACCAAACTTGTCGCCGCTGTCGCGTTCTCCACGCTCTCCTTCGTCTCTGCTCAATCAGACTCCAACTCAACATTTACGATCGACCCTTCCCTAGTTACTACACCTGACAAAGGTACGCTCTTCTAGCTCAGTGTCGGCGTTGGTGCTCTGCTAACAATAACAAGTTACTTGGTGCCAAGGACAGCAGGATAGCTGTGGTACCCTTTGCGGCTCGCCAACCGTCAACAATTGCGATACCGTAAGTCGACCGTTCTGATTCTCTCTAGAGTTAGCTGGATTAATATTCTAACGAGGATGCAGAACACATTGAACTTCCAATGTGTGTGCCAAGGCGGCAATGAACCTGATTTGAATGTCTACATGAACACAATGCCCTGGGTAAGTCAATCAATCTTTCATCTCGCCTATAACCTATTCCTATATATCAGCGATAAACTAATACCTTTAATAGTTCGTTTGCGAGAGACTCCAACAAAACTGCATCACAGCAACCGAGAACAATGCGGCCGGTCAGAAGAATTGTACATCGACGTTTGGTGACAAGTGTGGTACGGAAGTTGTGGCCGATCACGCAGGAGAGGGTGCCTCAAGCGGAACTAGCAGCTCCAGTGCAGCGCCTAGTGCTACTTCCGGTTCCAGCTCCGCTGCGACGAGTTCGACGTCCCAGGGAGCAGCTGTCCCAACGCATATCCAGCATCTCGGAAATGGCGCTGCAGCTGTGGCTCTCGGCTTATTCGCTTATATGCTCTAAGACTAAGATTCGACAAGAGTTAGATTGTTGTTGTCCCAGAAGATGAAACGACATAGTTTATAATTGGCATGAAAGAGAGTTGTTATGGCAGCGCCATTCCTGCCTTGTAATGTACACTTTTAACATCAGCACCAAATGCGCCTTATATCACCAGACGTTGGCGCCGTCGAGTTGTACGTGACAACCCTAATTCACGAGGAGATGATTCAAGTATTGATGATAAGGCACAAGTCGGGAGAAGTTAATGTTTAGGCAAGTCATTGAAGGAGCATGGTATTGAGATATTGATGGGGGGAGGGAGAGCAAAAATCGCGAGCTTAGCAATTAGTACCTCACAAAGCAGAGACAGAACAATAGATTTGATCAAGATAAAGGACAGGTTTTGTTCTATTTATCCTGTTTTGTATCATTCACCAAGTTTGAGGAACAATCGCTGATGTGTTACAAGGACATTGTTGCGATCTTTATATATTCATTATACGTCACTTGGTCACATTCCCGTAGTGGGTGGACGTCCTGAGAGCTTACACATTTTGCATCAACCAGGTTCAGACCACTGACTGATCTCCTACCTATTTGAACAAACTAAGTATGGCCAGTTCCAACGCGAACCAATTTACCGTACCGGTAGGTACTCGCCACTCAATCGGTATCAAAATCCAATGCCTAATGGCTTGGCTGTTGGATGGTATAGACGATCCAAACGAAGCCGATGCGCACAACCTACCACCCTTATTACAATTGCAATTTGGCCAAGACACAGCACAAGAAGTTATAGGTCATGCACGGAAGACGCTCAAGGACCATGGTGTCCCCATCGCCGAATCGTCTGATCCTCCGGACACCTTTGATAAGTGGCACGTCGACTTGATCCATAATGACACTGATCACCCTGTGCAAGAAGTCATCCACAATGACTATCAATGGCAGAGCCTCGAGATCCGCAGCCCGGCGATGTGGGCGGGGCAAGAAGCCTATGACGAAGTCAAGTACGTCGTCAACCTCCTGAAGTCGAAGCACCGCCTCCGAGTCAATCCGTCATGCGACTTCATAGTCTACATCGGGAATGGGAAGCGGCACTTCACGGCCGACACAATCAAGCGACTGAGCATCCTCCTCTGGACAGCCGACCCCATGCTCTCCCGCCTCCACGCCCCCTGGCGCAGTGTCAGCGACTGGTGTCCCACCATCCGCCACCACAGCGAGCTGGCCCAGAACTCCCCGCTGCCCGGCTTCCCGCCCCTCTCCGATCCCATCCCCGTCGTCCCCTTCTCCGACACGACCCGAGAGGAAAAAGAGCTTGCTGGAAAGTGGCACGAGCACGCGGAGTGGCGGCGCACTCAGGGTCCGTTCATGACGCTCGACAACGAGCGCGTCGACCCCTTACTGGGCTGGCCGCCACATGCGTCCGGCGCCGCCAAGAAACATGGTACAGCACCACCACCACCACCACCAGAAGGAGCACCAACAACCATCAGCCCCTTCATCCCGCCCGCCTGGCAATCCCTCCTCTCCGAGCAGCGGCGCCTGCGCCCGCACACCTTCAGCCACGTGCCGCCGCAGTACACTGAGCACGTGAACCTGTACGTCGACCTGCCCGAGCAGCAGTGGCGCCGCATCGGCTGGCTGCCCTCGTCCACCTACCCCGGCGCCCCGCCGTACCCCGAGCGCCCCGGCGACGAGCACGGCGAGCCCGCCGTCACCACCGTCGAGGGCATCGTCCGCCTCGCGGCCGCGCGCTCCGCGCTCGACGTCGGCATGGTGCTGGGCGGGAGGACGAATTATAGTTTTAGCCACTACGCGCACAAGGCGCTGAGTGCCGCTGGCTCCTCTAACTCTAACTCTAACTCTGGTGCTGCGACGGTCGAGTTCCGCGAGGCGGGCGCGTCGCTCGACGGCGAGTGGATCGAGATGTGGCTGCGCGTCGTCGTGGGCGTCGTGAGGTTCGCGCGCAGGGCGGGCTCCGCGGCGTTCATGGATGTGGTGCAGAAGCTGGTCGATCAGGAGGAGAGAGATGCGAAGAGGAGGGCGTGTGGGGGACGCCACGAGACGGTGGAGAAGGATGAGGAGAGGAGGTACTCGGTGTGTGATTGGCTGGAAGATATGGGGTTGTGGGCGGAGGCGGCGTGGGTTTTGGGGAGGGAGAATGCGGCGGGGGTGGAGTTGCCGCCGTAGGGGGTGTTTATGATGTTAAGGCGTTGAAGTCGGGATTGGGTTGGGTAGGTAGAAGTCTTTTGTGTGTTTTTATGTGTTTTGCGTGTGCCGGCCTAGTAGACCACTGATAATACCCCCCCCATCCCGTCGCTATTTCTTTGTCTACGGTGTTAGGTAGGTACCTGGTTATCGAAAGGAGGACAAGGAGTCTATATAGTATCATTTAGAAACTACCTACTTCAACTCGTATTCTGCATAAGTAGGTAGATAGGTATATACATAGCTATCACGTTTACTCTCAAGTTTCACATAGTTGCTTACCTATCCATTGCAACTTGGGGTTGTTCGTATTGGTGTAAGTGCTGCATAGGAAAATATTATAAAATATTATACTAACTACTAGTAGTATAAATACTAAAATTACTAAATAGTACATGGAGTATTACAAGTATATGCATACCAAGTACATTTGTAGTTTCATGTTCTACGACATGCATCCACGGATGTGCTAGTAATATATGTAATGCTATTCGATTCGTGCTACCCCTGAGTCGTCCAAATAAAGTTATGCGACGCTAATAGAACTTACCCGATGCGTCGAACTTCTTGATGATCAACCAATAGGAACTAACTAATCTCGGGTCCCCCCTTTTTTTCATTATCAAAGGCCATTGCTCTAAGATATCAAGCAAGAGAATTTCGAATTGAAAGATAATATCAACAATTGCTAGTGTAACTTGTGCGGACAATAGTACTCTGTCAGGCCGAGAAGTAGCGGTTGAATGTACGAGCTAGGTTGGTGTGTGGTGATTATGGCATGTCTCTTCACATAGTCGACTGCCTACTAGGCATATGGTGATGAAAATGGTCAAGTGAGTCACAGAAGTTTCTCGTGGTATTAGAAACATGCAAGTCATCGTTGTATCACACATAACTAGTTGCTGCTGGATGTTACAACTTCGAGCGTTTGATGCTCGGTAGAAATTCAGTAACAAATAACATGAAAAATAGGGGTACAGGCAGGAGTAAGTCGGTTCGAGCAAGGCTTATAGAGGAATCTAATGTATGGGCTGGATTTGATCTCAAGGATCAACACTTACTGTGGCAAGTAAGTGCAGTGAGTCCCTAGTGCTAAAGACGTCTCGGCCATACAAGGACAGTGTACAATGTACACAGTATCTACTGGTGTATGTGACTCTCATAGCAGTTGGCCAACCCAATTATCAGGGTGAAAACGAGGCATCTATTTTGCCCCGGGCCGACAAACAGCCGCCACCGCCTTCCCATTACCCTACCCTACCCTCTTCCAACCCGTGTATGCCTTATAATTATTAAAAACGGTAGAAAATTCCATCACCACGGGATGGCCAAGCGGTTGCAGAGCCTAGTCTGGAGTTTTCCGTTCAAAATAGGGGTCCCAGTAATTCTAGAAAGACCCTCGACGGTCCTCTGTTCGACTCCCCCCGAGGGAGATTCCCAGATCTGGCCGAGCTGGGAATTTTGAGCCAATGCCCCAGACACGGTCCCAACCCCTGCTATGATAGAGGAGCACCCCTATTCCTCGGAGCGAGGTGGATATCATGACCGCAAAGAAATACTCCTACGATCGAAAGTAATGGAGGGCGCAGTAGCCTCGCAGGTGACTCGAGAGGGCTGGGCCGGGACGACGGGTTCCTATATTTTTTTTTCTTTTTTCTTTCTTCATGAGTTTCTTTGTTTCCTTTTTTTTTTTTCGTTTACTCCTACTCCCACACCCATACTCACGATATTTTTTGCAGTCTTTTTTTTCAACCTGATTATTATGCCTTATTCCATCCATTCAAACCACAATTAGTTCATGACACTATTCACGAATTTACTGCCTTCTACACTACACCCAATTACTTTGGTGATGCCTTACCTTCGCACACCTACCCCATAATCCATAAACACCTTATTTACTACGTACTATCCATCGACCCGATCAACGATGTTTTTGTTTTATTTTATTTTTAAAAAACCTTCCCACTCCATTACAAGGCAGCAAAACGACCACAAACAATCCATCGATACCAGGCACCTACTAGCCTAAGCATTTGTTGACTAGATTCCTCATCGCATCAGTAGCAATCAATGCCTTCACCTTCGTTACTACCAAGACTACACCAGAACTTATATCACCAGATAACATTCCAACTTCGTCTAGCCTTACCTGAGAAGCGTCACAAACAAACCGAAAATCAGTTTGGTCCGAGCCATTCTTCAACCCGTATTCGACCAGTCACCAGTATCGCTTCTCTCTCTGCCACGAGGCGAAAACCTGGAAGATGCAGAACAACATCGTTTGTTGCGCGGGGATCTCTAACATCCCCCGGAGATTATGGAAGCTTATACACGCAGATTGTCTTTGTTCCACGTGAACCCCCCCCCCCCCATGTGGTCCCAGGTAGATAAACCCCTTGACACCATCCATTACCTTGCCCTACCCGACGACCATCTTCGCGCATACATATCTCAGACCTCCCACATCACCTTCTCTCCCCAGCCGCTCAGCTGTTACCTTCTTCGCACAAACCAACTAGCCGCTTCCACCCCCCCCTAACACCTCTTCGTTCGAAGATTTGAAGGCATTCGATCAGGAATATGTGTAAGCTGGCTATATTGTGCAACCTGGCGGGATCCTGCGGAGATCGAACATTCTCATTCTCATTCTCTCTCTCCACTCTAACCTACCTACCTACCTAGATATAACTACTTCCCAAGGAGCAAAGCAGCAAGCAACAACTAACTAGGTACCTAACCTAGACTAGCGTCGACGAAGCAAGTGACGGCCTACACTAGTTTGCGGCTTAGAACAGCCATAGATATATATATATATATATATATATATATATGTGTGCAGAGTTCTTTCTTCTGGCGTCAACAGCTACATAACAGGCCACATCCGCGATTTTCTTCGTCTGTGCCTATCCTCTCGTCTACAACAGGAGCGCCACCTCAAGTCTACACAAGTTTATAAATATTTCTCAAGGCACAGTACCTACAAGTGGCATTGCCCCTAGACAGCCGTCACCGTCGGCCGAGGACACCTACATGTGGAGTGTCTTCCTGTTTTTGGGGATAACTACCTAGCCCTAAATCTGCTTAATGATGGAGTTCATGGTTGAGATCTTTGGGAATAGGTATTGGACTTACGAGTTGATTAATCCGAACCACACCATTCATTCACAAACACAAGTAAAAAACAACGAGGTAACCGTACTAGAGGCATCGACGTTCATCTAGCATCTAAATCAATATACATACATGGTATCGCACAATGGAATCACCAGATTCCCTTTTTTTCCTATGTTGTAACCCAAATGTATGCCATGCAATCCTGTGCACCGAACACTATGACCGAACCTTGTAGAAATGAAGCCGCTCCATTTAATTTTGTATTTTTACTTAGGGAAGTAAGATCTCCTTAAATCACATTTCTCCACCAAGGGTACCCTGAAATCAGTTGGTTTGCTGCTGCATATGGGTAGGCAAGTTGTAGCTTGCGTAGTCGGCGTGAACGAACGCCCTGTCCACGATGGGGACCGACTCCAGTACGTAACCTAAGCTTTCGCTAAGATCGTGGGAATCGCGTAACGTAGTGGATGCGTCCAAGATAATATCCACCTCAACGTTGAGCTTATCGCCGGCGTGGTATGCCTGCAGGCCCTGAATCTGGTTTATCGTCTTGGCGAAGCGCATCGTAAGGTACAGCACTGTCTATGGTTAGAAATGTCTTGTTGGTGTTAGGGGGAGAAGGTTAAGATGAGAGACTTACAAATGTTTCGCTGATCAGCGGTGGCAGAAAATCCGGTAAGATGCTTAATATGTTCCAGCGAAGTCTGACTCCAGTTATAGATAACTACAACCGACAAGAGGAGACCACCCAGAGCATCCAACCACCAAATCTTAGCATAGAACCCTACTATGGGAAATAATATTGATCCTGTGTTGAAGATGACGTCTGTCATGGCATCCGAAGCCCTAAAAATCACATTAGATTCATATATCGGAACACAATGAACAGGGAGAACTTACAAGGCTTGTACGCTGGAATTCTTAAGCATTCGGCACCACAACCAGCAGAGCCCCTTGATCAATACTGTTCCCAGCATGATACTAAGCGCAGGTATTCCACTAAAGACAAGTTAGCGCTGTCTGATTACTTATTGCGGGTGAAATACTTACACTTCTACCAATTCATGTTCGGGCGCAGCTAATCGCTGTACCGACTCCAACGCAACCTGGGTAAATGATGTGATCATAATGACCGAGAAGACCAGGACACCAATAGGCTCCAACTTTCGTCGTCCAACAGGGTACTTGTACTGGTCTTGTCTCGAGATCAACCAAGTCGTCGTCCACACTATGACCGTCGACAGGAAATCCAAAACTGCATCGACAAGAGATGCCAAGACCGACATAGAAGATACCGAAAGGACGACGGCGATCTTACCAGCTAGCAGGATAAAGTTGGCCGCAAAATTGACGTAGATGGCCAACGTAACGATCCGGTCACCGCTGTCTAATTCGTCATCGTCTTCCAACCACGGAATCTCGGGTTTCGGGCCATCCCATTGCTCGTCATCTTCGTCGTTATTAAATAAGGGCGTGGTTTCGGTAGTCCGGTATATGTCCTTGGGAGTGCGCTTGACCTTCTTGACAGGACCGGCGTTGAGCAACCCTGGGTCCTTGTTGCCGTCGCTATCCTCGCCACCAAACTCAGCATTCTGAGGACTAGAGTAGCTAACCAGCGGGCTAACATGACCGTTCGAATCATTGGTGCCAATTGAATTTCCAGGAAAGCTCTTGGCGATGCTGATGGCGCTGGAATGCTCTTCCGAGATAGTGGCTGGGATATCGATATCCTTGAAATGGTGGGACAGATCGTTGTACTCGTTCAGCAGATCGTGAGGCAGACTGCTGTCGAGTAGGCGATCAATGTATAGATATTGTTGTACGAGGTAGTTTATGCGCTCATAGTACTCGCGTACAGGCTTCTTCATGTGGCGCATCTGATCCTCCGTCTTCCAGTAGCGCTCCCACTTGTATCTCGGGTTTGAGTTACCAATAAGACGCATGGAACGCATAGGCGAACTGTTGAGCAACTGATTTAATCGGCGCTCATCAACCTGGGAACGTCGGTGGTGCTCATCGTCAGGCTCGGACGAAGGATGTGGGAGCATTGGTGGTAACAATCCGGTTTCCTCGTCATCCGGAGCTGTGGGTATAGCGCCTCGCCAGGTACTACCGTAATTGTGTAATGAGGTATGAGAGCGGGTTCTGAGGAGTGAGGTGAGGGCACTGTGGCCACGCGGAGATAAAGGCTGGGTGTTATCATCTTGCAGACCTAGACAGGAACGCTTGGTAAAGTGAGGGTGTTTCGAGCGTGGTTCCGAGGTGGATAATAAGCGAGAGGAAGAGTTGTCATAAGACATGCTGGCGACCTTGTAGGATTGATCCTGGAGTAAAAGGGTAGGAGGGTTATAGGATGTAAAGAGTGTAAAAAGGTAAAAAGGTAAGAAGGTAGAAAGATAGGCTAGGTAAGTGGTGGATTGGAGGCGTGAATGAGGGTGAGTGAGCGTGAGTGAGCGTGATAATGGGATGTGGCGGATGTAGGACTTTGCAGGGTTTGAGCGGTTTCTATGGTGGCAGCTAACAAGCTGCAAATCAGATTGATAGATAACAACAACCTTTGTTTCAATTCAACGTCTTTCTTTCCAATCAGCTCTCTGCCCTCTATTTTTACTCTTCTTTAGCTTCTTGATAATAGCTTTAACTTTTTTTTAGCTTCTTAGCTCCAGGCTAACCAGGTAATACCAGCCAACCTGACTGACGTATGTAGATAGAGGTTAACGGTACGTATTGCAGCCGTATTGCAGCTGTATTGCAGCTAAGCAATTTAGGTTGGTACCTCGGTGGCTATGTCGAATAGAATGTGGAATTCCTCAAAGATGAAGAACAAGGTATGTAGTTAAAGAATAAAAAGAATAAAAAGGTAGGATTGGAAAAGGTAAATGTCAAGAAGGAGGAGGTAGGTAACAATTCAAGAAGGAAAAGTTTCAGACGAGAAGAAGAAAAAAAAAAAAAAAAAGAAGAGATCAACATATGTAATGTTATTAACTAAATAATATTCTACCTAGTATGTACATAGTTTTTTACAGTAATACGCAGACTCGCAGAGGCGTCTGCGTTTCCTAACGTTTCGTTCTGGGGTTTGTTTGAGAGATGCAGATGAGTAGGCAGAGTAGCATCTCAAGATCCCTGCTGGCGCATCCAGAGACCTCTTCTTGCGGCTATAGAATACATACTGTAACCAACACTGTGTTCCTTATCCCGCTTTTCAAGGGTCCTCGCGTAAATCTTACCCGATAATGGAATAGTCAGCCAAGACGCCGTGTCTGGCTATCTAACCTAGCACTACCTAGCACTACCTAGCACCACCTTGCACCTACCTAGCAGGTATGTAAGTGCTGCAGCACAGTCCCCTTAACCCTTTATCCTACAGCGTCTTTACTGGAGTGCAGCTACGCTGATCTCAACATCGCCTACAGATTTGCGATCGTTAAACCACACCTACCCTGAATTCTAATGGTTAATCTCTCAGCGTACCCACCACAACTATATGTAGGGTCCTTGGCCTTACCTCCTCGCAGCCTCGTTGCGTCGTTTTTTAAGAGGGTATTAAGAGGGTATTAAGAGGGTAGAGTGCATATACCTAGTATTAGGTACATATATGCAGATAAGTGTGCAGCGAGCGTCGTATCGACTCGGAAATACAGATTAAGGCCTGTCTGCCAAGCCTCGGACATACAGCGGAAACCTATTCCAATAAGTATAAGCACCCACATACGAGGTACATAATAGGGTAGGAGGCCTTCCTTGGCTGGTGCAGGTATGCACAGGTTCAGGTTCAGGTATGTACGCACATTGCAAACATTGCACATACCTACATATAATGTGAGACCCCTTTCCCGGAAGCATAACCAGATTCCCCCGTGCCGCCATCATTTTCCGTGAATTGGTTTCTCCGTCCCATTCCGATCTCGGATTTCATATGGATTATTTCAGTCAAGCTCTCCGGCCTCTGATGCCTTCCTTCGCTGTACCTACCTAGGTAGGTATTTAATCTTTCCCGTCAGAAGCGCTGTCGCCCCAACTTATCAGATCATGCTCGCACCCGTGGATCCTCCACTCTAAATCCTCCACACACACTCTCTCCTTCTTTCATCTTGATTTTCTAAACTAGAATAGGCTCGCCACGAATCAACTTTAGCAATGGCATGATTAAATCATAATTATAGTCGTGTTATCCTAGAGCTGGTCCGGCTTGGTAATCACGGTATGCTCATTCGATTCCTCCAGCACCATCATACTTGCCCAGGTGTAGAAAAAAAGTCATGGTTAGACGCAAGATAGGAGATAGGAGAAGTTCCATCTGAAGGAATCTTGAAATGCACCTGGCCTGGTGAAGCAGTGCATATTGGTGATCGGCACACCGGCGGTGCTGATCGGATGTAGGAAGTTCCTCGTTAGATTCGGTGGGGATGTCGGCCTTTCCACCCCGCGTCGTCGCTTAAGCACCTCGCCCAGGTCACTGTCACCTTGTCCTGCTTGTCAATACTACCTACCCTCTGCCATACGCTATTGCGGGCATTAAAAAACATGAATTAATGAGGGGTTCTACATGATGGACTCGCCCTCACTACCGAAACCTAACATTCGTACCTCAGCCATGCCGAGAATTGATGTCCTCCTCTCGATGAGCACGTGCCTGCTACTAAGAGGTTATACTGGTGCACAGTAAAGGAGGCCGAGTAGTACTGGAGAAACTTCCAAGACTCAATGACGACTCAGCGTAGGTATGTAGGTCAATCATGTGAAGCATGCATCGGGACAAAAGAATGAGAGAAAAAGATAGAGGATGGCACTGCATCGCGGGGTCAGTACTCGATATAGCGATTAATCACTCAATTGAATGTACCGTGCATGTCACTGCATATTCCGTACTGTACAGGGGACGCTACCAGAACATTCAAGGTTGACCGTTGAAGTCTTCAAGTTTTCCACATGTTACATAAGGCAAATTCAACTGACAGCTGTAGATCAGTTTGACAGCTGTCAGAATAGCTTGTCACCTGAAAAGGATTAGCGCATTATGTCAGCAGCTACATAACTACTGGTTGGTACGGATAGGAAATTTGGCATTTTAGCGCAGTCAGTGCTTCATCTTGGCAATCTTGGCACTGCTGTGCAGAATATTCGATTCAATTTTACCTGTGGAAACTTGAAAGGACTCAATGTTCTGCTACATAACTATGTTACGGCGTAGTATGTAGTGCCTATCTGTCATGTGACATTCTCTTGTGTAGCCACACTTTGGTCCATCCAGGAACTCCGGTATTGTGGCTAGGCACGTAATTAGTGTCTTGCTGTGCCACTTCAAATGACGTCAGGCCCCAAGGTTGCCTCGGTAGGTACGTACTCTTAGAGATCAATGATTATCACAACCTTCAGCGTTGACGTGCCTCCTTTTTTTTTAATGAGCAAATTCTAATGAAAATTTATTAATGAGATTTTTCCTTTGATGAAGTCTTCGAAACAATATATAATACGTGTATTACTGAAGTTACGAAAAGCAAAAGGGAGCTTTACTATGAATCGTTTTACTACCTACATAGCATCTAATAGCTAATAGCTCTGTGTTTATAAGAGCTATGATTTGTGTATCCTACGATAATGTAATCCAATCTTGCTATAAATAGTGACTAGCTCCTAAGCTGCCTATCCCAGTAGACTTAGAAAGCTAGCAGTTACAACATCCAAAGTAGTCATAACAACAAACGTAACAATAGTTACATCTCATTGGAGCTCGTTACGAGCGCTGGTAGTTGTTGAACAGTAATCACTACGATTAACAATTATCCCCAATGTTACACGAGCGGTGAAGGAATCGAATATAATAAGGAATTGCGGCGCATACAGCCCTAACCTAAGTTTATATACAGCAGCTATCCGCAAACAGGGCTGGATTAATATATGTCACTGTTCCCCATGGAGCAGGTACAACGTCTACACACAGCCCATATCGCCCAGAAGGCATCCAAGCATTAAATTGGGCACAACTGGCACGGCACAGATAGTTTAAACAGCGATGGCCATTTCCAAGTGATTGCAGATCGACAGCAGCTTGCAACACCAAGCATTCACATCCGCCTCAGCTGTCTCCGGCCCGCTAATATTATACTCCCGCGTCAGTTTTACGGACTCCGGACATACCAATTACTTATAAATCACTAGTGAAAAGATGGAGCATCGCGAGACTTACCCGTCTTGTCGGGAATGTGGATGGGATGTTGGGTTACGTGCTATTGTTATCTGTGCACGTTTAACAGATAGACCTATATCTAGAATCAAGATTAGAGACGAGAAGCAACCTCTCCATTTCCCGAAGTACCTATTAGGTTTGCGAGTTGTAATTATCTACCCATTGTGTTGACCGCCGGAGATAGACAGAAAATGTAAGAAAAGTGGCCGGTTAGGGGAACAATTAATTGTGTAAGCAGAAGGGGCAAAAGCTTTATAAATAGGAAAAGAAAAAAATAGAAAGGGCCTCAAGTACGAATAGCTTCACCTTGTAAACCTAGGTACTGTGCAGGTGTCTACTAAAAAGTTTTTTTTAAAAAAAAAAAATTTAAAAAAAAAAAGACAAAAGATTTGTGGTAGGATTGAACCCGCACCCTCAGAGCCTCCCAGTGGTTTTCGTTCTGAACCCGCACTTTAAGGGAGCCCTTGGTGGTTTTCGCGCCTTACCACTGAGCCAACATGGGTGAAAGCCCATGTTTCTGAGTTCTCACCCAGGAAGTGGTAGTTATTGTTTTCCGGGGCCTTATAAGTTTAACTTCGGAGGGGAGTTGGGTGGCTAACCTTAGGAGGAGGAAAAATAGTATCACCGGGGAGGCTTTGTTGCCTTAGGCATAAGGGGATGTTTTGGGCACAGTACGTAGCACAGCCCAAGGTAGAGGGGTATCTACCTACTAGGTAGGCCAAAAGAAATATCCAGATAGCATAGGCTTCACACAGACTTACCATGGTCCTGTGTATATACTCCAAGTGCTCATCCAGTTATCTACACAACCCCCCCAACCCTCCATAATTACTTACATATAGGCCTTAAAGTTGAACTATATCTAACAAGCAACAAACTCACCATATGTAGATACTATAACCAAACTCACATCTCCAGTTTATATATAACTAACTCCTCCGTCTATCTCACCCTTGATATCGGGATATTGATGCTACCTCAACCTAGGTCAATTTCCGACCCCAAAGCTGCCAGTCCCAACATCCATTATCATTACTTTCTCTCCAAAGCCCAGATGTTCCCGAATCGCTCATGCCTAAGTAGCAGAGAATCAGCGAATTATCCTCCTCCTCTTCAAGAAAGTAGGAATAATAAACCGAAAACAAAAAAGGGGCAGAGAAAATATGAGAGGCGAGAAAAAAGAAAAGGGGTAATGGGGTTAAGAGACTTACACGTAACGATAATCTGCAAAAAGTTTCCCGCACACTCCGTCTGGTCCAGCTTATACTCCTTCAACTTCCTGCAGCCCGCCTGGCTCTTCGACGGCGAGACCTCCACCCAGACCTTGCTGTCACCCCTGACTTCCCCCGTGCCGCTGCAGTACTCCTTGCTTGCCGGGTGCCACTGGTCGTAGACTCCCTTGGCCGAGCCGAGGCAGTAGGCTGGGAGGCGCGTGTTTGGGTCGTTGCTGAACCGGGACGTGTTAGTAATAGCTTCCAATTACCTAGTTTTCCAGCAGTGGAATGGGAACTTGATGCAGAAGAGGTAGGTAGGTAGGTAGGCAGGCACGCACTTCTTGGAATCAAACCAAAAATAATTCGACCCAGACCCCCTATCGCCCGGCCGCACCGACCAGCCATAGCCGCCGCCGCAGAACTGGCGCGCTGCTGCCATGTAGACCCCCGATGTGTAGTTTCTAGGTACGCCGCCTGAGCCTTCATCGTCTACCTTTTCCAAGTCGCACGTATAACCCTTTCGCTTTGGCCGTTCGGTTGGCTTCGCTTTGGCGGTGGTTTTGGATGTCTTGGAAGAAGATTTGGATGTTTTGGTCGTCGTTTTGGACGCGAATGTTGTGGGCGGTTTCGGCGTTGACGTTGTGAAGCTTCTATGGGTTGAGGCTTTGGAGCTTGTCTTGGAGGCCGTCTTGGAGGTATTTTTAGAAGTTGCTTTAGAGGTTGTTTTGGATGTGGCTTTGGAGGTAGTTTTGGAGGGTGCGGCGGTTTTGGTGGTTGAGGTTGTAGAAGCTTCGCCTGCTCCGGGGTAGAGACTCTGAAGTCTGTTTTTGACTACGACATTAAAAAGTTAGCATTTTCCAGTGGCTACTAATTTTATTTGGTATGGACAATGCTAGATAACCAGACACAGTGTAGGTGGTGTTGGGTTACTACTCACGCCACTGCTTCATTTTCTCGCTGACTTCAACTTGGCCTGTAGGCATCGCATCACCCATGGCGATCTGGCCCTTGTACGTAATGAAAACTGCTTTTGTGGGAGAGACAGTGGTTGTCGTAGTTTTAATCGTCCCTTCGCAGGTGTTGGTGGGGCCTCTGTATCGAACTTAGATGGAAAACTCGTCAAAAGGTGTACGGTAAACTCACGTTGGCTTTTGGGTTGTAGTAAAAGACTCCCAGACGCCATCCTTCCTTATGTTGTATGACATCTGGGCAGTAATAGTACAATGATCGCTTGACGATGAAGAGCTGGTTTTCGAGGAAGTGTGAGAAGAGGTGTGAGAAGTCCTCTGCGTCTGGCTCGTAGTTGGCTCAGTCTTGGTTGGCTTGGTCGTAGTTGTTTTGGACTGGGTTGGCTTGTCGTTATTTTCATTACTTCCGCCACCCTTGTCGTCGCCCGTTTTATCATTCTTATCATCTTCATTCTTGTTATCCTTATTATCGTCATTCTTATTATCCCCCTTATTGTCCCCCTTTTTATCGTCCTTATCGTTGTCATTATTGCTACCCCCCTTGGTATCGCCCTTGTTGTTGTCGTTATGTCCGTTGTCCTTCGGGGGTGGGTTAATCTTAGGTATCACCAATGGCGGCGGCGGAGCCAAGTCAGGAATCTTGGGGATTATGGCTGGGAGCGTTGGGGCCCCTATCTTTGGTATTACAACAGACCAAACCATCCCCAATGGAAATATCACAATGCCGTTAGACGTGGTTTTTGCTGTCACGGTCGTTTTGTCTGACAGTTGAACGGGCGTGTAAGTTACAACGGGTGGCGGGTTTCCTGATTATATTAGTTTAGGCGTTTAGCACTTTTGTAAGACACTTGCGGCTCTACATGAAATACTTACCTGTAGTGGCTGTCACCACCAGTATAGGAACTGGAGGCTCTGTAGTAGAAGGGTGTATCGAAGAGCCCGAAGTCATTTGAGCGGAAGTCTGCTTGGCAGTGTTCGGCAACGGGTGATTTGTTGAGGGACTATTTGTGGAAGATTTTGCAGAAGAGTGGTTTGAAGAAGTGGTGGATGATTTCATAGAGGTCTTTACCGAGGCTCCTGTTGAGGGGTGGTTCGAAGAAGTTGTAGAGGATTTTATTGAGCTCTTTGACGTGGCCAATGTTGAAGTATGGTTTGAAGAAGCTGTAGATGACTTCATTGAGGCTCTTGTTGATGAGTGACTTGTTGATGAGTGACTTGTTGATGAGCGTTTTGAAGAAGTTGTAGTTGACTTCACTGAGGCCTTTATCGAGGTTCTTGTTGAGGGGTTGCTTGTCGAAGGGTGGTTCGAAGAAACTGTGGAGGATTTTATTGAGGTCTTTGCTGACGCCCATGTTGAAGCGTGATTTGTTGAAGTGTGGTTTAATGGACTACTAGGGGATTTAATAGACGTTTTTGCCGAAATGTTTGTTGAAGACTGTTTCGAAGAGCTCCTCGTCAAGTTCATGGACGATATTCCCGAGGAGTTCGTGGAAGACTTCGACGTCATGAAAGACACCATAGGCTTCGAGTCTATTGCTGATGTTGTAGATCTCAGCACCTCTAGAGTTGAGGTTGCCGGACTCTGGAGGGTCGTCGTCTTGTCGGCCACCATACAGCTAGACAGGCCGAGTAAAAGAAGTGTTACCTTTAAAGCTGACATGATGAAACTTCAGATATTATAGCACATCTCTAAACTCCCTCTATTGTGTAGCTAGGACTGGGAACCCCGAACAGCGGAGTATCGTGGTGTGTGCCGATGAAACTAGCCTTCAAGAGCCCTAAGCTGGAAAAGAACAACTATTACTATGTTCACCATCCACGGCGGGTTTGGGCTAATCTTATCGGGCCCTATAAAACACATTTCTAGAATACCTAAAGTTTTATCCTCCATGATCTAAAATATATGTGCCTTCGAGCCGCATGTAAAAGACCGTTACTATTATTAGGTACCCAATTAACTGCTACCTTTTATAGACGGATGGGATGGGTACGGTTCCTAATTCATGGAGCTATGGATGCCCCCTTTTTCCTAAATAGGTCAGGAACAGGGATATCGAATGGATTTCAAGAGACCTACCTAGGCAGGTAAGAACCATATGGCACGGGGCTAGCTGACGGTTAGCGTAGGAACACTATGAGATAGATACCGTTGTTGAAGAGTTCCAAGTTGTGAATAACTACTGCATACATTCAATGCTATATCGCGCTGTTACGTAGATATATGCATCGATACTGTAATAGTACACATACCTACTGTACTTGATACTAGGTATGTACGTATGTCAGTCATCGTTCAGATAAGTTTAAGACTCCATGATATCAGGGGTAGCCCGTGGGTAATGTCGTCAAGCGGCACAGCAAGTTGTTCTTATATGGTCCCATCTCTATATCTGTAGTTAATTATAACTAAGATTTTCAGCTACAGATATAAGCATTCACCTTTCCTCTTTAATAATAGTAAATGGGCATCTAAATAGCAAGTGCCTAATACTTAAGAGAAACCAATGAACTTTGGAATTCTAGACGAGCAGATGCTTAAACACAAATACCGATATAGATCCACTAAAGTACCTAACTGCCTACCTGGGCTAGTTACCAGGATAGTTATATTTAGAGCACCCATCTCGGTAGCTATCAACCTTAACAGGAATTAGATGCTTTTTATTGCTCTACAGCCCCATCTTGTACTAGATATGTAGGCTTCTATTTCAACGCCGTAGGTACCAAGATGGGCAAATATCATGCACACCTACCCACCGAAGCATTTAGTCTTACTTAGAACCATTGCGGACTTCATAAATATGGCTGGCCGTTACATCCTTTTCCGGTTCCCTCATATGGCCCCTTTTCTCTTCACCGTTCACTATCCTTCTTTCCTGCCCTTCACCTCCTGCCTGTTATGCCACCCACGGTTCCTCAGATAGACTAATCCCTCTAACATGGCCCATGGACTGCTCTTCATATCTCTACTCCTATGCCTCATTCTCACCGTAGCCGTTGAAGCAGAAGTAGATGTATGGAAGTACTTCAACGCGCCCTTCCGGTCCTTCCCGGACACAGATGAGAGATGTGGCTGCAAGAGCCACAAGGCGGAAATAGAGTCGGCGTACAAAGAGGCAGCCAAGGTTAGTTGCCTACTTTTAAACCCATCCCCGACTATATGTATCATTAAACTAACTCTAAGGGAAAGATGATCGACGCAGCCGCCGAGGCATTCACGTGGATCAACGGACGCCCGTTCCCCGATGATAACTCGCTGGACTCGTTCAAGTGGATGAGGATCGTGGTGGCTATGACTAGTAAGTCGCGCTCGCTTCTCGATTACCTAGCCTAGGCACCCCTAATCCCCCAACGTCTGAAGCCATTCTGACTGCCGCCTGTGCAAAGGCATCCTCGGCATCGAGATCGACTCTGAGACCGGGTGGCGACTTGGTCCGAGAGATGACTACATCTTCAGCTGTGCGCGGAACGTAAGCACCCCCCCCCCCCCCCCCCCCCCCCCCCTACCCGGTAAATAGAGTTGCGTACCTATTAACACCTAGGTAGGTATTCGTCCGTCTGCAAAACGGCATGAAAAGGGACGGGAAGCACGTGAATAAATTCAACGGCCTGTACTGCGGCACGTCGGGCTTCCAGTGGTACAACTATACCAGCGACGACCCGACGAACGTCGGTCAGAAAGTCTCAGACGACAGGGACAGGTACGGGGATATGTACTGGCCGGATGGGTGAGTGTAATTTTGGAGTCGTGTCTGTTCCGTCACTGCTAGCCTAGTTGAGTGTTGATCCTGTACTAGTGTATAGAAGCATATTACCCTCCCTCTTTCTCTCTTCCCTACACCAAGACTCTTGGGCCCCCTATCCCCATGCCAACTTTGCCTAGGTAGGTAGCAAGCACCTACCACTCATTCACCAGGCAGCTATCTCCAGGTTCCAGAAACTGAATACTAACCCCCACACGCCCCCCCATCCAGCTTCTGGTACTTCAACTGGAACAAATTCATGCTCGAGGAGCACACTCCCACCGACAACCACCTCTGCCCCCCCGACATCGTGGCACGCGCCACGCATGAACTCAGCTTCATCCTCCTCTGCGACCTGGCGTTTGCGAGCCCGCCGACAGTGGTCAAGAGCAAGATTGAGAATGGGATGATGCTGGACGAGGATGAGCTGCATCATAACATTGCGCATGTCTTCGTGCATGAATTGTAAGTTGACTTTATTTGGGATAGTAGGGGGGGGGGGGGGGGGGGGGCTAGTCATTTCCGTTTCCTCCCCCCTTTTTTCTGAATGAGAAATATGATTGGCTGAACTCTTATAGGACCCATTACGACGGGAGTTTAGATAACGACATTCTAGACCGTAAGCACCTATCCTTGCAACTGGTCAGCATGATCACAAATCGATTCCTAACCTTGTATCATAGAACCAGCCCACGACGAGGATGGAAATATCCAATATCGCTCGGACGGGACCCCCTTCGGAACGTATCATTTAGCATCCGTCTACAACTTGGCCGCAGCTAAGCCAAAGCTTACTTGCAAATCAGCTCAAAGCTTGAGTCTCTTTGCCATGGCAATGTATGCATTCCATTAGTGTTTCTGTACCTCCCTAGGCTTGATAGCTTCAATTTACGGCATCAGTGCTAATAATGGTGTGACAGGTACCTCGAAGAGTGGACTTGGGATGTTGAGGGGGCAATGGATTATCCCACTTGGCTAGCCTGGCGATTAGATAGCTGATGACAGTGGTGATAATGACGATGGCGATGATTCTGACAACACGATAACTCCTAATATGCACCTTAACCCAGGGCATACATAATGATATGAAACAATATACCCTGTTGCCTAGATTTACTAAAATTGTTCTGTCGTGCTCGAGATTTAGGCATATTCTTGTTTCGCAATCTTGCGAAAGGTTTTATTTTATTTATTCTATTCACATAATAGATCAAGGCTTGTCATGGCACGATAGTGTCCTCTGCTGCCAGATATCGATCGAAGACAACCTCAAACTATGTGGGGGGGGGGGGGGGGGGGGGGGGGGGTATCCTTTGCAGTCCTCATCGGTTTTTATTCGGGGTTCTGCCCACGCTTTCTTTATCATCACTCTGCTCTGCTCCGAAACGAACGAACGCAACGATGTCGACAAAAGGCGCTTCGCTTAAGCATGCTTCTTCAACATAGAGACGAGCGCATTGGGGTTGGCGCCAACCAGCTTCTCAGCGGGTACGAGGTTTCCGTCCTTGAACACCATGAAGGTGGGCATGGCTGTGATACCAAGCTCTTGGCTTAGCTCTGGGAGGTCGTCGACATCAATCTTGGCGAAGAAGACATCCTTGAATTCTTCCTCGTTCGAGTGACTGGAGAGAGCAAGCAACATTCAGTTAATCCCCGTTTATCTAATTGTCAAGTAGAGAAGAGAGCTCACGGCTGGGCTAACACTTACTTTGCTAGGATGGGGGCAATAGCCTTGCAAGGTCCACACCAGGTCGCGAAGCAGTCAAGCAGAACGACCTTGTTCTGCTGAACAGCCTCCTTGAAGGCCTCGGCGCTGTAAGTAGAGGTAACGTTAGCACACACATGTTCATGCACTAAACACCCGCAAGGCTCGAGGGGCGTTAAAAGACGCGCGAGAGCGGGGTCGAGGCTGGGTCGCATAGTGAATAGGTAGGTAGTTTTGAGGTCTTACGTCTGAATGTTGTGGACAGTCATTTTGGGTGATGTGTTATGGAATTGTTGAAAAGATGCGATTGACGTCGGCCTGGATGCTGAATGTCTGAAGGTAGACTGTGCTGCGCGAAAGAGGTTTCTGGACATGGATAAGGAGGAAGGGGAAAGAAGGAAGAAAAAGAAAAAAAAAGAAAAAAGAGAGAGGGATATATATTATGTAGCGCGGGGTGTCGGTGAATTTTATGTTATCAGCCTTAGCTCTGATATACTACAGTACTATGTAACTATGTAAACTTTGTAAAGAGAATTATTACTAAGTACTTTAGGTACAGGGTATGCAGAACTTTCATGTGGTAGGTGAATCACTTTAGCTGAAAACATCAAGCTGTAGGCTGTAGGTAGAACTTACCGTAGAAGAGCGTCGGATCTGACTGATGATGTAAATTTTTGATTTGTCAGTGCAGCTGATGACGTGATTTGAGCCGTGTGCGGTACTCGGTATTCTGTACATACCTATTCCAATTTCCAAGCAGGTACAAGTGTGGCTTACTCGCCCTCGGCACGTGGCATTGCCGTACAAGCCGCGCGCCCTACGTATCTTATACATACATGTACTACTAGTAGGTAGTACTAAGTATATGACATTATATGTACATAATTCCCAATCAACTTCAAGCCCTCCTTTCAATGTTATCATACATCATGTCAACCTACACCTCAAGGCAGAATGTTTGTAATCTACACATTTGTATGTAGGCTTGCCCGTAAGCTAAAGCTACATAGGTACTCTTACAATTTTAAGGAAAATAAAAACAAGATCTTCTTTTCCTTTCGCTCGCCATCTTCTACAAACACTACATATGTATACACCATACATTTATATTGATACAACATGACCAACCTAGACTCCTTTGTAACACGCGAGGTAAGGGGGGTATAAGTCAACCTCGTACTTCCAAAGACCTCTAGCTTTATTTTTTAAAACCCTCCAAAAAAATTTCCCCATCCCCGAACACCTACGAACACCTAGTTCGCCTGCCCTAGCTTGCCTACCAAAAACTTGCATGAGCTCGCCCAGCCATGTCTACCTTGAATCCAAAAACTGCAAGACTCAATGTCAAGGTTAGATAAATGGATAATATATCGTGGGCTCACACGTGAAGGTGATTTTTTTTTAAATAAAAAAAGCCCATGTGTCCTCATTGGAAAAAGGTCTTCGGATCTACTCCAGGGCTGCTCTTAACTAGCATGGAAGTACCTCCACCCACAACTATCCTGCCCAAGTGTCGAAGAGACAATTCGCGCTATGAAAATCCAGGTCGGTCAGTGTAAAGAAGACATCTCATGCATCAATACAAACACCTCTCTGCAAGCCCATATGAACCTCTGTGTCGCACACAGTATGAGTGGTATCACAAGTAAGAAACCCCACGAAGAAAAACAAAAACAAAAACATAAAACCTGTGGTATCGCAATATATCGAATAGGAAAACACCGTATTTTATCCCTCTTCCACATATTCAGAAGATATGAAGCGAATAGTATTCTAGATGTAGATGATATCCTCACATGCTCGTGGAAGGATGCATGCGTGACATCTGAAAAGAAGTTGAGATTGGCCGGGTATGAATAGCGAGGCCAGGAGAGTATTGGGTGGTGATTTGATGACTTGGTTGATGAATGATGATGTATGGATTTTTGAAATGAGGCCAGGAGACATTTCGAATGGATTTTTTTCTTTTTACCGATTTTTTGTCTTGTTCTTTTGGGTGTGCTTTATGTGTTGATAAAATATGAAATGTTATAATGAATGAATAAGGTCGGTAAGAGTGAGAAAAGAAGGAAATATCAAAGGAAGGTATACCGTCAGGCCAGGATGACCTATTGGCGTGTTCAAATAATGAAGGAAAATAAAAGGAATGTGAGTTTATGTCTCCTGGTTCAAATCACATACCCATCCGGTGCGGAAAGCTTTCCGCACCAGGCATTATATAGACCAACAGGTCTCATTCGTCGCACATAATCATCATGTGCCGCGGTCCATCATACTCCTCCTATTCTCCCCAGATGCACGAGGCGAGATTTCAAGCAACTTAGCACTACCAGCACTGAAGTTTCGAACATGGCTCTTGTCGAGGCTGATACTAGTAGCCCTCTGCGGTTGGACCGGACTGTGGCCATCCTCTTCTTCGTCGTCGCTATATTTCTCGAAATATTTCTCGTCATCAAAAGACTGGAGGACGCCCTCTCGACTACGCATAGTGTCTCTGTGATGCATGACAGTAGGGGTATGGCCTACGTTGCCCCACTTAGCTTCATGTTCATCATCATGCTCCTCTTCTTCCTCGTCACTGCTCGGCCGGGCCTCACCGGTGGACTTCGGGTGTGAGTGAGTAGGAACGACGCTATTCATATATTCATCTTCGGCAATGTTGTCATTGTCAGAAGCATGGTCTTCGGACTCTCGAGGGAAGGCCGGTTGGGCGTATTGTTGAAGAGAATTTCGTATTGAAGCTCGCTTCCTACTTATGCGACCAGAGAGCCAAGATGCTTCCGAATCGATAGAGGCGAGGGACATGGACTGCGGCGCCGGCGAAGGCTGCACCTCGTCTCGGTGCCATGAAATAGGAGTAGCCCGCATCGCTTCATGCGAGCGGTGACCCGAAGTTGGGGTATCGTAACGCATCTGGACATCATCATCAGGAATAACCGGTAGAGGTTCCACGGGCAAGGAATCAGCTTCAGGGGATGCTACACGAGAATCGGGCGGGGAGAGCGGTAGTTCAGGGAGGTCTTCCCGGAAGCGAGACATAGTTCTTTTGGGCACGCCAGAGCTTATTTTTCGCGGGACGTAGTTCGCGTGGGCGGGCGGCGGACCAGCCAGCATCGAGTCTCGAGAAGTATTCGAGAAAGACGACGGGCCAGAACTACGTCTATTCTTACCCCATCTGAAGAAAGATCTCCAGGGCCTTGAGGATCCACTGTCTGACGTCCTGCCACCGGATTCTGCGTACTCTGGCTTAGTAAATGCCGGCGAAGGTGAATCAAGGTAAACTCTCGCATGACTGGGCTCCTTCGGTGACTTCGAGCGCGACTGCCCTGGACGCATGAAACTTAGAATCCTCGTGCTTGAGGAGCGCGATGGTGTCTTTTCTTGAGCCGGTTCCGCTACGTGTTCAGGGGCTTTAGCCGGCGTGGATGGCTCGAGTGGAATGCTGTCTGTACGATGAAATTCTTCCAGGGGTTTCGGAGAATCGTCGCGGTTTTCTAGTTCCGCTTGTGACCCTCTTTGTCTCCGAGCCGAGTCATTTGAACTCCTTCTCCTTGAAGAAGTAATAACCACTGAGGCTGGATCGTTCGCTTCGTTCACCATTTCACGACCTAAAACTCCCCTCTCTAGATTTTGAGGTGGCGGGGTACCACTTTTGATAGCCTCAGCTTCTTCTGCTCGTTGCTTCTCAGCTTGCCTGGTGAGGCGCCTCTCCACCTTCTCACGCTCTCTCTCTCTCTTTCTTTCCCGTCTCCGCTGATCTCTTTCCATCAATTCCCTTAAATCGGACGCACCTAAGTCGTCCGCTAACTCATCAATTCTCTTGTGAGCTCTCAGTGTAGCTTCGGGAATTGAGCCTCTGTCAGCTAGCTTTCGTTTAGTCGACTGGGATCTTGTTAAACCAGGGCTGACTCCCGGCCCATAAACAGGGCTCGTGGCAAATCGTAAGGTAGGCCGCGGAGCAAGTGCGTCTAGCGCAGAAACCTTCCAAGACAGTTGCTCTGAATCCGACGACATGCCTGAACGAATGGACCCGGGTAGGGGTAACGAAACGTCAGAAGAGGGTTCGTCCCAACTTCCAGCCAGACCCGTACGGATTCGCTTGCTGTCCTTCTTCATAGGACGGCCGGTTGTCCAGATATCGGTAGCAGGACGGACTGGCATGAACTGACTCATGGCCTTGATCTCGGCCTCCCGGTCATGATCCTCCTTTCGTCGTTTGCTGGATTTTTTTCGCGGTAGTGGTTGTCCTCTCCGCTTATTTCTAGAATTTTCGTGATGCAAGGTTGGTACCCTAGTCACGAAATTATCACTGGATCCTAACGGAACTCCCTGGTTTCTATAGGCCTCAACCGAACCAGGAGGCATTGAGGCAACTGGGCCCTTCTTGCCTTTGGCAACACGCAAGGAGTCCTGGCGTCCCGGCGAAAAGCTGTAAGTACGGGGACGCCGTTGCAATTTATTTGGGCCATCTCGTTTTTCCTTTAAGGGCCTAGGAATGGGTGTGGCAGCAGCAGGTTCGGTCTGGCTCCGGGAAGGAGGTTGGTATGAACGGCCTCGCCCCTGGGTGTCCGTACCAGAGTCATCGACGGCGGGAGTTCGAGATCGCCTGCGCGAACCCTTGCGGCGAAAAGGCCACAAGGCCATCGTTTCGGCTAATCAATGCCGGTTGGTGAGGCTATATCGCGGTGCGCAGATGCGGGTTTTTCTCGATGATGCTGGGTAGTGATGTCTGCGGGATGATTATCGCCATGGGCGCGGATTAAGTCGAATAATGCATATAATCAGTGCAAGTTGTGGGAGTGAAATGGTAAACAGTGGCCACGATTATTCGCAAGTTAATTCGTGTCTCGCTCGAATTGATAGGATCTTGATGATGTCGTCGTACCGCAGTAATCGGGGCGTTATGGGAGTTATGGCACGCAGACTAGATTGAAGTGTCTCTCTATTCCACAAGAAAGACCAATTAGAGATTACTCTCAGATGGCGAGGTTGTTGGTTCGACGCGAACTGCTTCGATACGTTTCCAGCGCAGGCATGAGGATAAGAATATGGATCGTGTTGGAATGCTGCGCGGAGGGTATAAAAGGGTTTACATTGGGTTCCAGAGGTGCCAGAATCTGTAAAATCTGGGCAAGTGATTCGAGGTGATTCAAGTGGTATGTAAAAAAGGGAGACGGGTGGACAGGTGGGTGGGTAGGCGGGCAGATGAGTAGATGGGGTACACTTTTCAGGTATTACCTACTAATAGTAGGAGGTTGCTAAGGAAAAAAGAGACAAAACGATAAAACTGTGGCGGTCGGCAGTGGGGAATATGAACGAGAACATATGAACTTAGCAGCTAAACTAACCTTAAAACACTGGCTGGGAGCGACAATCGACTGACTGGGAACTGACTTGACCTGATTGACTTTGACTCTTAAGGTTCACTAACGGGAAGGGTAAAAGAAAAGAAAAAATGGGGCGAAAGACAGACAGACATGGGAAGGAGGGCCTTCGTTGGGCAACTCATCCAGTCCCAGTCTGGTGCATCAAGAGGTGATGTGGGTATGTACGTACATATGTACCCATGTACAAACCTTGAAGCCTGTATCATGAAAAATGTACCTACGTACCTCATGTAGGTCCTATTTTCAGTCGGTGTGTGTGGCAGGGAAATGGCAATTTAAATGGATTTTTGCGAAATGAAGTCACACACAAGGTGATCCCTTGACCTAATCCAGGAAGTTAACAGGCTGACAGGTGCTGTAGACAATCATTTTTAATGGGTCCACTTACCAATGTACAATACTACGAGGGCTCAAAAAAGGTGGACTTGTAGATTTTTGAACCATACAGCGATGTATCCAGGTATCAGGTACCTCGTAAGATGAGAAAACTCCGCTTGATTGCCTTTCTTTTGATGTTCTCTACATTGCAATGCTACTAGTGCATGTACATGCCACTTTATATGTAGATATGTATTTCCGAACGGCGAAGCATTCAATGTTCAATGTTACATACATACTAGGTATGTACATATCATTCAATGTTGATAGTGGTACCTACATAGGGTACATACCAATATTGATGTACCTAGTAGTTATCTTCGTCCAAATCCCATCTCATTACATATGCACATATTTGCATAGTATGTAAGGTGTTGAATATCTATGTCCATACATGTATGTAAGTTGCCCTGGTCGAGAACATTCAACGAAGACACATACATACATACATAGTACGCATGTGGGTTGATGAAGGATGACACCTGATGGTAGGGATGGATGTGGGTACATATAAGAAAAACCTTGCTTTGCCATGCTAGAACTGTAGGTACATACACTACTAGGTAGGCACTTTATGCCGTATGTAGTTGGGGGCTTCAAGGGGCTTCGAGGTAGCCTGTAGGAATCGTGATCAATGAAACAACCTTAAGCATTTAGCCTTGGAAACAATTGACAGCTACGTAGGGATTGTCTATTACATGCCTTAGTATAGCACGGGGTCGACGACGTCAACAATAACTACGGCCATAGTCTTAACCACAGACATCTGGACTACTGGCATATATGTACTCGAATATAGTCTAAGCGTGAACCATACATAGCGTAGCGTCTGCGGCACTTGCGAAGAAAGCCGACCCATGTCCAGCCTAGCCTAGATATCTTCTAGGCACTTACATAGTAGTAGCCTAGCTTGAGACCCATCAGCCAGTGATGTCAGGTCAGGTACGAGAAGAAGAAGGGGAAAAGCACTTGAAAAGCACAAGGTACAACACATGACACATGATTTCTGCAAACCCTTGTCCGTGTATACCACACAATCAGGTCGTAAATATCACGAATTGAGTGACTTTAATAGTAAATATGGTGGGATCCTCTCTTTTCGCTTTTCGTGTGCCCTCTGATTGCTTTCTCGTTTAATGTTTTAAGTAATACCTGGTAATCTCCATTATATCTGGCGCCTATCGTGAACAGCCAGCACAGACCACAATAGCGTCAATTCCTCATGCTGTCCGAGCTTTCAACTGGGTACTACGGAAGCCCTAAGATGGCGGGCGCCAGATCGCCTAGCGGGATGGGTGCCGCTTGGGCAGTGGGCACGCCCAACCAAGTTCCAAGGTAGGTATGATTAACAATATTTGAACCCTGAATGGGGGGTAACGCTAGAAAGTTTGGTACGGTACCTTGAACAACAACGAGAGAATACTACTATGTAGTCTACTACATGTAGGTATTCGGTTGATGTACCGTGGCAGGTGGGTAAATGGAACGTCGAATTGCTGCTTCTACATGTATGTATGTTTTCCGTATCTGTATCTGAGCAGGTCGAAAATATCGGGTGCAAGGATTAGTCTTGATAATAATACACACTCGCTATACATCCACCTGTGAATGCTAGTTACATGTAGACGCCCATCGCATCACCCGATGCTGCTGCAAACAAAGCGTGTTACTCGGAATATGGCAGATGTTACCTGACCCGGGCATACGAAATTCCAACTTCCAAGAGGTTCGTATTAAACATCTTGAGTAAAAACTTCTCAAGACGAGTTGCGCAGTAGAAACCCTCATGACTGCCATGTTGTATCTAAAATCTCGATTTCAGTAGTATTTCAATGTTTCCAGGTCCCGCAAGCACGCATCCTGCCCTGTCGCAATCCGGTAGGCACCGTTAGACAGCTTGTGCATCACAGGCTGGGAGCAGCATAGCTTCGGGTAGACAAGCTCAAAAATGGAAATGATAGACACGCTGTGCTTTAAAGGGTCGGCCGTAGGGCCGTCTTGCCCTCTCCTTTGATTGTGAATAGGGAGGAGCGGTATAGGAGTTAAAAAGGAAAGAGAAGAAAGAAGAAAAAAAGCGCAACATGCAACTCGATATTGGCGATAGTCTGTTCGGCTCTCATTGGGAATCTGGATCTATGCTTCCTGCATGATGCGGGGATAAATGGTGGTAACTCAAGCATATTAGTAGTGATGCCTCTCAGGACTGACACGTAGAAGTTGACACACGTTCTCCCCTGCGCCCAAATGCAAGAGAACGGTTCCTGGGAAGCTTAATGGCCGATCGACCCCAAACGTGCATCCAGATAAGGCCCTATTTGGAAGTTGTTGGTGATATCGGTCTAACTAAGTAGGAGACAAAGTACCATCTATTGTGGCTTGGCTTGTCCCTCATGCTGCGAAGGGCTATTAAGATAATTGGACAAGGGGACTTTTTTCAATGCTACCGGCTGCTATAATGGCAGTGCTATTAGCTGTTGTTGACTGTTAGTTTCCTTTATTCACAACAGAACTAGTTAGCATAACCCAGCTTGCGTTGTAGTTAAGGATGTTTCAGATTGACCTTGTCCTGGTATTCTAGAGTATTGTAACGATATTCCAGGGAGTACGTATGTACATATAATTATAGGCAGTGTAGTTACTAGTTAATAGTTATTGTGCAACATTCAACTTCATATTACAAGTAGTTATATACAGCCTACCTAGTACCTAGGCGTTAGGCAGTTTTATTATTAGAAGAACAAAGATCGCTTAAGCTACCCTAGGTAACTTAGCCCATCAACATACGTAAGCCGGAAGGAGCTGTTGAGATTTCTGGTAGAAGATTCGGTGCCTGGGAGCCTGGGAGCCTAGAATAGATGATGAATTCGCCGTCGCCATCGCCACGCGGGATTTTCTCTCGGCCACGAGGTTTCATGTGTGGCTATTATTGGCAACAATGCATGGAGTAGGGATATGTACGTCTTCTACCCAACGTCTTCAACCTTGAACCCTTCAAATTTAATGTATTTTTTTTAGTTTCGGTTGATTTTTGAATTATGATTAATGCATACATGTAGGTACATCGACAAGTGCTACTATGTAGTTGTAATACATAGTACATAATCCGGTACCTAACATTCACTGTTGAAGTCCACATGCAGTACTTCAATGTTGTACATAGTCTACATACAAATACATATGTAGGGCCAATCATTGATTAGATTATGTGTGGCTGACCTAATCATCAAGGCCTGCAGCTAGTACATATGTACATAATTGTTAGTACATATATCCAGTTCAAAGTTGTTTACTCAGCCCCACCTAGCAACCATATCAAAACATCTAAACACATGTGCACTCCTCAATCTCAATTCAAGCCTTATCCATCTTAAAAATACAAAGTCGGAACGGATAACTGAAATACCATACTCCCATCTCGAATAAATATAACAACGCCAATACACAACATCGTGACCATGGCGTACAACCCGCGAATGTCGATAATACCGACATCGCAAACAACATCGCGCACGCGCAAAAAGGAGGAGGAAGCAGATGCCTTCATGCGACTACCAGACAAGGAGATAGTCGGTTGCATAACAGATATCGGCATACCCTTCAACGTCGCAGACCTGCAGAAGCCGAACCCTTTACAAGTGCAAATGATATTCGAATGGTTCGCCGAACTGCTACTAAATGCCACCCGCGAAACCGTCGAGCCTGCCATGCGCGCAGCCGCTGAGGAAGTCTGCGGCGAGTTCGCCGACGTCGTTCCCGCCGACACCCGCAACCTCCTGGGATTCTACGTGTCGCTGCGCAAGCTACTGCTCGAATGTGGTGTCACCGACTTCAACTTCAGTGATCTCTACAAGCCCACGCACCCGCGGCTTGTTAAAATATTTAGCTACCTGATCAACTTTGTCCGATTTCGCGAAAGCCAGACCAACGTCATCGATGAGCATTTTAACAAGGCCGAACAGACCAAAGCGCGGATCGAGACCCTCTACGGCGAGAACCAGGACATGGAGGCCAGGTTAGACGAGATGCGGCACAACCGCAAGGCTATGGAGGCCCAGGTACGCGAGAAGACAGAGCGGAATGAAGAACTGAAGAAGACGCTGCTAGAGCTACGACGTAACCAAGAGAAAGTCGCGATGCGATTAGAGGAAGCCAAAGCAAAGAAAGGGGAACTGGCGCAGAGACTCGAGCAAAAGACAACCGAGAAGATGATGCTCAGACAGGAAAGCGCCAAACTGCGCCCGTACACCCTACAAAGTCCACAAGCTTTACAAACGAGCTTGTCAGAGCTGAACAACACCCTGAACGCGGACAAGGCGCATATCGATTCCCTGGACAGACGAGCAAGAGCATTACAGACGTCAACAGATTCCTTCGGCGTCGTGTCCACGGACGTCGCGTCATGCATCAAGCTCCTCGACGAGATATCGACAGAACTAGCCAAAGAGGAGGAGGAAAACGCTCGAAACGCAAAGCAACGAGACGCTCTCTCAGAACGCGGTAACAACGTAAAAGAAGTGGAGAGAATGGAGGGCCTTTTGCAGAGGCAGCTGGGCAAATGGAACGAGCGCACGGAGAAGCTCCTCGAACACAGTCGAGAAAAGGACCGGGAGGCCAAGGAGAAGATGGAGGAGCTCCGGGCATTGCACAAGAAGCTTACCGAGGAGCGCGGTGCGAAGGGTACGGAGATAGAGAGAAGGCGAATTCGGATCGAGCAAACGGAGAAAAAGGTGCGTAACATTAATCACTCACTCAGACCGACCTACAATGAATGGACAGCTGCTAATAAAGATCACAGATGTTGGATCTTAAGGAGAACATTGAGAATGAGGTCCGCAACGCTTACGACGAGTACCTGAAGATGGAATCGCACATCAAACTGTACATTACAGAGATGGAGCAGGCTATCTAATTGTTACTCATCTCCTTTTCCTACCTATCTATTATCTGCGTAAGTGACGAGACCACGAAAGGATATGCTACGGCTGGCGTTAGGCGATCAGACATGGTCGACCAGGGGCTCTAAAAGACTGTACATAATGCGTTTTTACGACTATTAAGTATTTACGGTCAGTTGTTGTTTTTCGAGGATTTATAGAGATACCATGAGATAGCCCCATCAAGTTATAGTATTTTATTTCTATCATCATCATTACGAGGGACATCTTCCGCCTCATTTTGAGCAGCAAAACTCGCGTCCCACACCCCGTGCTGGAAGCGAAACCATCGCTTCATAACCCGCCCTACCTCCACCGTCCGGCCTATCCAGCCGCCCCCCTCGTCCCGAGAGTCGGGGCCGGGTCGACGGCCACCGCCGCTTAGAAACGGGACGGTCTCCTCCAGCAGGTCTTCGAATAGAGATAAAGAGTTTTTGCGCTTCCGGGGCTCGACAATGATCGCCTGCCAGGAGAGCCGGTGGCCGAGGTCTACGACGGCGGAGGCGGAGTTGCCGAGGCCCTGGGCGCTCCACTCGCTTGTGTCGCGGTGCAGCGATAAGAAGCCGTATAGGACTATGCGTGGCGTGTAAGTCGCACCACCACCAATAGCAGAGGAGTTGTGGTGGAGATCTGGTGGCGGAGCCGGTATATTAGTGTCGTCTGGCGAGAAGACGGAGAGGTAGGCGCGCAGATGGGTGACGGTGGGGACGTAGACGACGCGGATGTGCCGCGATGTGGCGACCTGGTATAGAGGGGAGGAAGCCAGAAAGCTGTGGTGTTTTTGCCTTTGCTTTACTCCTCCCAACTCTCGGTTGGTCTCTGGCGCAGCCGTAGATGGTGGAAGTTCCTCTATCCCATGTTGTTGCTGATCTGTAGAGGTTATGTCCGGACTGGGAGTGGGAGTTGTCTCATGGCATACGTCATCGATAAGCGATGCGAGAAACTCTTGACGGGAAGAGCATATGATCAGAGTAGTGGGATAGGCGTGGTGGTTTAATATGAAAGTCAGAAGCTCGGATGGTAATGCTGGGGAGAGAAATAGGAAGGGTGCTGAAGACATGCTATGGCTAAAGATGATAGATATAAACCTATACAAGCGTCAAGTATTAGGTAACTTCATAATACATAGCCATCCCCATATTGTCTGGGGATAGGAAGACTAGAAATTCAAGATATGAAGCATCCTATGATAATTATTCTCGTGACCTTGTCCCATGTGACTTGAAAGTTGAATGTGGATATGAGCTTCACGGGCTTTTTTATATCAGGGGAACCTTGAAGTTAACAGTACATACTACATAGTATAAAAAGGCACCCCACTAATTTTAAATAGCCCGACTTGTTATAGGCAGCGGACAAGCCCCGCTAGAAAGTCAAATATCCCCATCCCCCCAACCCTTGGAACTTTGAACCTTAAAAGGGCCTATGTATTAGATGGTGGCAGGTACGCCAGAGAGGAAAGTGCGAAGCACTGTGGTCATGTATTTAAGAACATTTCAGTAGCAAGGTCTGATCCTTAGATCTTATCCTTTTAATATACAGGTCCACCCACATTTATCTGGTGCCCCCACACCGGAAGAGCTGTGGTGATAGCCTCATTTTTGGTTTTTGGTTTTTTTTGATAATTGGGACCTTTATTGTTTTCAAAGTTGTTTTGATCCTTTTATTGATTGAAACGTTATTGTTGATTGAAAGCTCTGTTCTGAAAGTCAACGTTTATTCAAAAAGTCGTTTGTTCCAAAAGCCGTTTATTCAAAAGTCGTTTAATCAAAAAGTCCACAGTCAGTTTATTCAAATCAAAAAGTCTAAAAACCGTTTATTCAATTCAAAAAGCCCACAGTTTACTAGCCATTATGGCTCATTTTGTTACCTCCCATATGGGATGCACTACACCTTATTTATCCGATTAACCCCTTACTCTAAAAGACCACACTTCTGGCACCTTGTCGCTGTTCCAATACAGCGTCACCTATCTCTGATACTCATTGAATGGCTGTGTGGTTCGGGAACGTCTATATCAGAGCTTGTTGGCGCTGTTGAAACGAAGCCTGGAGGTGCCTGGGACAGGCACTATTGTCCCCCCCCAGTAGATGGTGGCAGGTACGCCAGAGAGGAAAGTGCGAAGCACTGTGGTCATGTATTTAAGAACATTTCAGTAGCAAGGTCTGATCCTTAGATCTTATCCTTTTAATATACAGGTCCACCCACATTTATCTGTATTGTACAATACTACTAGTAGTACTAGGAACATTAAATCCTTCTAATGTGTAATGCATACCGCCGACGTCACGCACCTCATATATTTTATACCTCTCATACCTACACCGAACAAACAACCACCGCAACAGCTCACAAGCTGTCTGCGCGTTTCTACCTACGATAATGGAGTCTATATCTCGAATATCCAATCTACTTGAGAGCGGTAAGTCAACATCATATCATAATCCATACTTACCTACGTATGATGCACGCATACTTCCTTGCGTAGGTATACTGTTCCAGTGTACTAACTGATTCCTATAGCTCGGGAGCTTACCCTCGATGCTGCCCAAGCCGCCCGTAGCTCTCGTAGCACTACACGATCCCTTCCTACGGCACAGTTAAAGAAGCTCTTAGACAGCCGAAATGACCGCGACGTGCTCGACGGGCTACGGCGTGTCATGTCTGTATGCATATCACGCTTTCCCTGATCGACTACTGGCTTGCGCCCGACTGATCGACCCTACTTGATCCAGATGATGTACCGACAGCAAAAGACTCTACCCTTCTTTTCCTCTATCGTCAAAAACGTCGCATCGCCAAATATCGAGATCAAGAAGCTTGTGTATATATACCTTATTCACCATGCCGAACAAGAGCCCGACATGGCCCTGTTATCCATTAATACGATCCAGAAATCCCTATCCGATTCAAACCCCCAGGTCCGAGCCCTTGCCCTGCGAACCATGTCCGGTATTCGAGTCCCAGTTATCAGCCAAATCGTCTCGTTAGCCATCAAGAAGGGAGCGGTCGACATGTCTCCCCACGTGCGCAAGGCCGCTGCTCTCGCCATACCAAAATGCTATCGCCTCGAACCAAGTACTCTCCCTCAGTTGTTAGAATACCTGGCGACGCTCCTAGGCGATAAGCAATACTTCGTCGCAGGCGCTGCCGTCAGCGCTTATATGGAAATATGTCCTAACAGAGTCGATATGATTCACAAGCATTACAGGGGTCTCATTAAAAAGATAGTGGACATGGACGAATGGAGCCAGCTTGCTATGCTAAGGATGATGTCTATTTATGCGCGGAAATGTTTCCCAAGGCGGACAAGGAACGCTAAGACGAAGGATAAGTCAGCCGACCTTCAAGACTTTTACAGCGAAGGCGCATCAGTTTCTGTGCCAGAAGGAGAACAGGTGGTCTTCCTCGATCCCGATCTGGTCCTGTTACTCGTTGGGATTCAACCACTGCTACAGAGCAGGAATTCTGGTGTTGTAGTGGCCGTGGCGCGCTGCTATGCGGATCTTGGCACGCCAGAATACACCAAGGCCGCCGTTGGACCACTGGTCGCTCTACTACGTGGAGCGCAGGACATCCAGCAGCTCGCGCTATACAATATAGTGTCTGTCTGTCTGGCACACCCAGAGTCATTCGTCCAATACGCCTCACACTTTCTTGTTCACGCTACTGATACAGCTCCAGTATGGGAGCTAAAGCTTGAAGTGCTTGCACTGATCTTCCCCCACAGCCCCGTACAGACCAAGAGTCTCATCCTCAATGAGCTTGAGCATTTCTCACGTGGAACAAACAAGGCTCTGGTTCGTGAAGCGGTACGGGCAATCGGCCGTTGTGCGCAGGCAGATCCGGCAACCGCGCCACGGTGTATGCGGCTACTCTTAAGTCAAATTACAAGTCTTGATGGTACGCTTGCGGCCGAGTCTTTGACTGTAATCCGACACCTCATCCAACAAGATCCTCGATCACATGTGAGTACTGTGGTACGTTTAGCGAAAAATCTCGATTCCGCAACAGACCCTCAAGCTCGCGCGACCATCATTTGGCTTGTTGGTGAATTCGCGGGCTTGAATGGCGAGGACAACATCGCGGCAGACGTGCTTCGCATACTTCTAAAGGAGTTTGCGGAGGAATCCGAGGTTGCCAAGCGACAGATCGTCCTCCTCGCCGCGAAAGTGTACCTACATCATATCAACAGCGTCGCCGAAGCACAGAAAACAAGAGACGTGGAGAACGAAGAACCCCTCCCGAATCCAGAAGACCACCCCATAGCCCGATTATGGAATTACGTCCTGCTGCTCGCCCGCTACGATACATCGTATGAGCTGCGGGACCGCACGCGCTTGTACAAGGCCCTCCTGAATGTGCCACAGCTGGCGACACTGATGCTGCTCGCGCCGAAGCCCGCGCCCCAGGCACCCAGCCCGTCTGAGACACGCAAGGGCCTCATGCTAGGTTCTTCCGCGCTGGTGCTTGCGGGTGGTGGCGGTGTGCACGGTCTCCGTGGGTACGACCCCCTACCCCCCTGGGTCGAGGAGGGCAAGGAGCCGGACCCGAAGCTTCGGCGCCAGGGTGGAGTAGGCGACGAGTACGGCGACGAGAAGAGGGCCGTTCCCGCATCGCAGATGCTAGGAGATCATGCGTCTAACCCACATGGCGGTACTAGAAGTAACGGGTTCGGGGCAGCAGCAGCAGGCGCTGCGGCGGGTACTGGGGCCAAGACTCTAGATGACTGGCTTGCGGAGGATGAGGAAGAAGAGGAGGATGACGACGACGATGATGATGAAGAGGAAGAACTTGAAGATGCTCGAGAGGAGATAGAAGAGAGCGAGGAAGAGGAGAGTGAGGAGGAGGAGGAAGAGGGAGAGAGCGAATACGAAACGGATGGGTCGAAAGCTGAGCTTGAGGGGTTCCTGAATGCCTAGGTCCTCTTTCATTGTTCGAACAACGACTTTACTTCGAATTCTTGGTTTGCATGGGTAGTAGGCGAGCGAGGATGAGGCAGGGTATGCAGAGATTAGAGAGTTTGAACTGCATTGGGACTGGCTGGCTGCATTGGGATGAGACGACTTCATATACATTACGGAGGTAGATGCCTACGATATAAAGGGGTTGTTAACGGTTAGAGTGCCAGCTGCTTACGGGGTTACTGACAGGTTGGTATTTGGCCGATGACAATGAGAAGCAATACAATTTCTCATAAATATCATACCTAGTAGATGCTTAGTATGTGCAAACTACATCTTAGCACTCAAATGATGTTAATGGCATTCGGTTACCGATGAAGTTACGTTAATTACAAGTTAAGTATGTCGAGATGAAACACCTACATCGACATGATATATATTTCTTGATAAGTAAATTATTTATTTTATATGTAGCTTCATGTGTATACGCTTCTAACAATAACGCTGACAATAGTGCCAATAAACAAATCTAAAAACCAGACCAAAACCATAGACGCAAGTCTTTACACGCTGGAGCCACCTCTCCCCTTCTCACCCTCGATCGTAGTTCTGGAGCTGCTGTTATTATGATTGCCGCCGTAGTTGCTATCACCGCCGTGGTTTTCGGTAGCGGTGAGACTCTTCTTCCCTCGGAACCTTTGCGCCTCGCGGGCTGCCATGGCGGGGAAGAGGAAGCCGGGCGGGAAGGCGGTTAGGAGGATGACGGGAATGACGATGCAGCTATGGTCAAAAGTTAGCTTTTGAAGGGTAAGACAGGGGGGGGGGGGAGGGGAGGAAGTGAAGGACAGGGAAAGGGGGGAAAGAAGGGAAGAAACTCACAAGCCCTCAAGCACAACGAACGACGGCTCGTCCTGCATGATCGGGTTCCCCCAGCCGCCCGCCATCTCCGCGATCCGGTATATACACCGTATCAGAATGCCCACGTACGCGCCCGCCACCGCGTAGCAGAACAAGCGGAACCGCGCATCCGTCCACACCGCCCTCGCCTCCTCCCCATCCCCGCCGGCACTTCCAATCCACGCCTTGACCCTGCGGAAATAATCGACCGCCATGGCGCCAAAAAGCGCCAGCACCACGCTCTGCAGCGCGATGCCCGCGATGATGACCCGGTCGCCGACTAGCAGCAGGTCCGGGTTGTCGTAGCCGGCGGACGCGGCGAGCCCGCCGCCGATGGCCTGGAGGACGAGGCAGGAGACGTCGGCGGGGACGAAGATGAGGGGGTAGAGGCGGGGGCGCAGGCGGGAGAGGGAGGGGTTGAGGGAGAGGGTGATGTGCTTCAGGGTCAGGTAGATGGCGATGCAGATGACGGTGGGGGCGAGGATGATGGCGCAGATCTGGGTCTGGAAGGCGGAGGCGTTCCAGGGGTTGCTGTGCAGGAGGACGCGGGCGATGTAGCCTGGAAAAAGGGGGGTGAGTTAGCACACACACACACACACACATATATATATATATAGTTGTGAATATCAAGGTGATTCCCTTTTTGAGAAAAGGAGAGCTGTTTCCGCTGGCCCTGTTCAAGATAGGAAGTAAATGATAGGGGAAAAGTGGAAAGATAGTAACACACCTGCAAACTCTAGAATACACCCCACAGTCAACATAGCCGAGTACCCCCAAGTCCGCTTCCAGATACCCGTCGTGACGAGGCCGATGATGCACAGGCCGAAGGCAGCGGCGAGGAACGCGTTTACGCCGAGGTTGGGGTAGTAGCCCAGCACGGTAGCCTCGACGGGGCAGAGGGGGCCGACTTCTGTGCAGGCTTTGAAGGAGACATGCTGTTGGCCTCCGGAGCCGGTGGTGTTCGACATCGTTGTCGAGGTGGTTCTGTGAACCCCCTTTCCTTTTTTACTTTTTTTTCCTTTTACTTTTCCTGTTTGTCCCTTTCGTCTATATATGATCTGTTTTTTTTTTCCTGTGACCTAGATTTCTCGTTGGAAGTGATAAAACGTAGTTATCGGTAGGTGTATCTCGCTGTATCGAAGAGCTTCGTAAAAATTCACTTTGAATCAGGAGTGTAAGCGCTTATATGCAGGATAGGCTATAATATGCGATGGGCTTGTACGACGCAACGGTCGAATAAAACGAGAACCGACTTGCTAGCAGATAAAATAAATATGAGAAGAAAAAAAAGAGTTATTACAACAATGGAATTATGTACCTAAATGAAGAGTTACACAAGACGAATAACGGGGAAGATCATCTAATATACCTACCTACCCAACCTAAGGAGCCTCACGCCTTTTTTTCGCCGCAAGATTCGAACTAGCATCTCGGGACCCGGCTGATCACAGCCACGAGTAGGTTACCAAAAGCGGTAATGACGAAGGCGAGGTACCTATCTACGAGACCTAGCTACCAGTACCTACTCGCCCGTCTCAAGCAGCAACCGAGCCGAACAAAGCAAACCCAGACCGGCTAACCGAACTGACAAGCGCCCTCTCTCCTACATAAATACAACCCCGCGCCCCCATGTATGTATGTGGGCTTGCTTCTAGAACGCCGGTTAGCTAGCCCCAGCTCGGTACGCGAACCGAGATAAAAAAGAAAAAGCATGATTCAGCTTTTTCTAAGCGAGCCAGCCCAAGTCAGCCAAGCCAAGGAATCGGGTGCCTTATCATCTAGGGAGATGTATATAGATTATCCCGTTGCTTGTTACATTACATTCGTTCGAATTCATGACTCCTACCCAATTAACTGGGAGAGGTAGATATATTTGCACTACCTACCTATTTAGGTATATACTATGCATACGTAGGTAGTTAAGCTGATTCGAGCAGCTCTGACTCGTCGATAATTGAAAAAAATACTAGGAAAACAAGCAAAAGTCCCAGTAGTTAGGTAAACTGGACCCCTATAATCCTAAAATGGGCGGAAGTGGCATCATCCGGGACGCTACGGTTCTAGCGCAGTTCTCCGGGCTCCCGCCATCCGGATCTTAGGGCCCGGAGCGAAGCACATGCCCTATATATGTATATGATGTATCTAGGTACCTGCATGCTTCACTGACTGGATCAGATAAGATCAGATTATACCGTTGACATTTACATAATATCATTCCTTACCGCCAAGAAATCTATAAATGACGGAAAAGTCTCGGCCTTTACAGGAATCTACTTGCTCTGCCTGCTCGTAAACCTCCCTCGCTCGATCTCCGAGTTCCAACTTCGCATCAGTTTCCTTTGCAGCTATGATGGCAAGTTTCAAGTCCTTTTTCATTAAGCTAATACCAAACCCGCCAGAATAGTCACGGCCAGCTGGTGCGGTCTCAACAACTCCTTTCACCGGGTTGTTGACTTCGCTAGGCCAGCATCTGCCCGTGCTGACGTTGATAATATTCGCCAATATCTTAGGATCAAGACCCCATCTGATGCCTAGGTTCATGGCTTCCGCAGTTGCGATGTTGTTAATGGCAAGCAAGTAGTTATTTGCCAACTTCGCGCTTAGTCCATTGCCTTGCGCACCGCAATGCAACACTCGCTTCCCCATGCGTAGCAGAATCGGCTCTAGCTTCGGTACCAGACTGTCAGGAGCACCCAACATGAAGGTCAACGAGCCTGCGGCAGCACCTACAACCCCGCCCGACATAGGAGCATCAACGAATTGGCCTTGATTTGCATCTGCAACCCACTTTGCAACCTCTCGGGACGACGATGGGTCGATCGTCGAGCAATCGATATACACCCTGTCTTTCTGGGGTAAATGTGGTGATAATATCTCTCCATATACGCTCTTGACGTGCGATGGCTCGGGTAAAACCGTAATTACTATATCCTAGAAAGGTTTGATCAGTGATCAAATTCCCAACTCGTTTGACTAACAGGATGGGAAAAGAATATAAACTCTTCAGAGGATTGGCTTTAAGTATAATAGTTAATCACGAGAAGACCGGCAAGCCGGTCCCAACTTAGATCATAGATAGAACAAAAATCATCATATGAGTAGGAATTGACATGTAGGAATAGTGAAGGACATACCGCTTGTTGCGTGGCATCATGTATGCCTCGTGCAATCTCAACAGCTGCACCGCCAGTTTGGGAAACCCGCATCTCCTCGGCTAAGCGTTTCGTCGCATCGTGATTGATGTCAAACAGCCTCAGAGTATCATTCGGCGGGAGCTTTGATTGTAGATTCTTGGCCATTTGGTACCCCTGAGTTCGCCTCAATTAGCTTGGTCGTCGTGATACACGTATGTTGTCCAAGACTTACCATCTGACCTAGGCCGATAAAGCCATAGCTCTCTGACCGCCTCGAAGTAGCTGAGAAAGCTCGTCTTGAACCTCTCAAGGAGCTCCGCGCAACTAAGGGTACCCTCATGATATAAAGCATGAAAGTTCCAACTGGTTGTGATCAAACAGTAACAAGAATGAGGAATGTTGCACGTTATACGTGTTGGAGAGTAGTTGAAAGTTAATTGGCGACTTTCTCCAAGCTCTCCAAAGCTCTACTCAAAAAGTCGCGGGGTACTGGCTTTATCCCGAGGACCACAAGAACCGGCCATTGCCGATGTTAAGCAGGAGCTCGAGCTCAATTCAACCCCAGTGAACCAGTGAACCAGTGGTCCAGTGACCTAAAGATCCAGCGATCTCAATAGATCCCTGGGGAATTAGGTAAGACAACACATTGCTGCGAGTTCAAGAAGGGAATGTAACCCTTCGTTGAGGTTTAAATTAAACCATGAGTAACTAGATGTTGTCTGAGCAATTCTCACACAGAGAATTTTTTGGGTTGTGTAGAGTAGGAAAAGTTTTGAAATTAGAAGAAGAGAAATGAAATGAGATAGTGAAAAGTTTTCGATCCACAAAGTGCAAAGCTTGGGCCACTATCCACATATGTACTAAACAGTACTCCGTATAGGTGCATAGCACCACTATTTGATCTTGAATCTAACCTACATCATTGCTGTGTAGAATGCATGTGTGCATATGTACTATATTGAACGTTGACGACAACTTCAATGTTATTACATATGTAGTAGTGATGCTCATAGACACAGATAAACATATATAGGTATCTCCCTAGGTTAGGTATTCATAGGTACACAGGTTATCTGAACAAAGACTTTCATTTCCTCTTTAAACCGAATCCTCCCCAGCAGAGCCTCACCAGGATCCTGGGATATAAATCACATTCTATCTACATGCATAGCAGGCCACATAATGTACTAACCTAGATAGCCTACTACATATGTAGGTGTCTAACACGACGACATATTAATACGCAAACGCCTCTTAATGGAACAAGGATTCTCTTAATTATTCCTAGTAATCAATCATGTTTCATGACAACAAGAGTGTAACCACATGACAGTGAGCGCATCGTTCGTCAGATATTCGAGTGGGTAGTAAAGTATTACGGGAATGCGGAAATGGGGTCAACGAGTGATTTCTCTTTTCATTACAAACCTTGGAACAACCAGGACAGTGTTGTCCTTCCTTCCCAGAGATTCGCCAACCGGAATGTATACATGAGCCGTTTCTTATAGCTTATAGCTTCGCGAAATCAGAATCAGAGCAGTTGTTTCTAATCAACTGCTGGGGGTATGTGCAAAAACGACAACAACAACAATAGAGCAACCGGGCTTTCAAAAGCCCGGTGAATACAAAACCCAACAGAACTACCCAAACTTCAATATGGTGCGAGTAGGGCGATGGGATGATGCTAGGTACTATGGTAAAAATTGGAAAGTCATAGAGAGAGGCGGATGGGCCATGCTAATCTAGAATACGCCCATAACGTACGGAATCAAAGCACTAATAAAAATAATGATTAGTTTGCGGAATCGTAAAAGTAGTACTAGCAGTGACTTACCCAACGGCGAGGGTGGCGCTAAGACCAACCAGTGCCCGATTTCTGACACGCTCTTTTCTCAACTGTACTTCTGTCTTGACTTTCTTGGATCTCGGCTCTTCCGGGCCTTCGGCTTCACTTCCTTCGTCTTCGTCTTCAGCGAGTTCGTCGGCCTTTCGCTTGCCCTTTGAACCAGAGCCAGATGATGCGGCAGTTTCGGCGGCGGCGATCCTTACCATCTCTTTCGCCTCTTCAACCATTCTGGCAGCCTCGTCTACACTGGGTTCTCCGCTTACCGGAAGTTCTACTTCTACCGCGGTCTGCGTTGTCTCGACGCCACCGTGGAACTCGACCTCCTGGCCGACCTTGATTTGCACTTTGGGTTCCTCCTCGGCGGGCGCGAATACGACTGCGGGCTCCTTCTCAATGGGTTTGATGGACACGTCTTCAGTAGCAGCAGTAGAAGCAGTCTCCTCGTCCGACTTGGTACCGTTTAAGGCAAGCTCAGCGCCCTTCGTGATAGGTTCGATCTCTTCTTGCACAGGCAGAATATCAGCAACGGTGGGTGGAGGCACTGAGAGTTTAGCAGACCGCTTCCGCGGAGACGCGATCGCTCGTTTCTTTGCAGGACTAGCTGAGCGGCGGCCTCGCGTACTACGAGGAAGTGAAGATGGAGTCGGTGGTGCAAGGACGGGCTGTGTTGGTAGACTGGCCTCAAATTTCGGCGGTGCCATGATCCTCTTGGGAGGGCTATCTGGTGGGTTCGTGATAGAGATGTCGGCTGGGTCCAAAAGGGCGCAGATCCAAGGAGTGATTTGGTATTCCTCTGCCAGGGCCAATGCTTGCTCAGGAGGGATCCAAACATTTCCAGCAGTCTCCTCGTGGCTCGTTGTAGGTAGCGACTTGATAAACTTGCGTTCTATTTCCTCTTCGGTTGCTTCAGCGTAAGGGAAAGTTGCCTTGAACATACCAGTCGCAGAGACGAATCCATCTTGGCTGCGACGCATGAGGAAATAAGAGTTGGGAGAAGACTTGAAGATGCCCGAATTAATCCCCTTCGGTAGAGGAGCTCGTAGGTGCGCATAATCGAAAACCCCCAGACTTGAAGGGTCGACATCGCCTGCAGTACCCGCCGCAACCATCTTCGCGGTCAATTGGGTCTGACCTAGACGTCGGCGCGAAACGAGCTCATGATCTGTAAAACAAGTAAGCGATGCAAGTCAAAAGTGACTGGATACAATTCATCAGTACATGGAGGAATATCATCAATCATCAGAGGATTGTGTTTGCTGGGAAGATGTCTTGCAAAAGCCATCTTGTGAGATTTCTTAGGCCAGTGACGCGACTGGATGAACGTTTGCGCTTAAGAGTGTTGGGTTGATTGACGAGGACAGACAATTAATATCGAGTAAGTGATGAGATTGAAAACGAGAATAAAATCGAGGCTAGTCGTTGGGTTAGCAGTTGTTTGCCATCGAGTCGCGCGAAGATAAAAATGCGTTGCGATACAATGTCGCGAGTCGTCATTAAAAGCGCGATCTTTGAAACACTCGTATGGGCGGGTCGCCAGAATGGATCTCACTCACGTTATGGGATTCGGCAGGAAGAGATTATTATTTGGTAGTAGGTACTAATGTATAAGAAAAGAGAGTCACACTGTGATGGGGAAACACCCAGGAGCTGATTGAAAAGAGAAAAAGAAAAAGAAAGCTTAGAAGCTTGGAATATTTTGTGTTGTTGGCGACTATGACCTAAAGGAATATGGTGGATGAAGTTGTAGCAACAAGACCCGGCGCAAAAATGTCGTCTCGAATCTGAGGCAGATTGACAGGAAAAAGGATTAAGAGGTTAGGATTAGAGAAGGAGGGTAGCGAAAAGAAGGGAGAAAAGCTGGGGAGGCCCGTTCGAGTTCGCGCTGCGACTCAAGAGTAGTCAGCACCTGGGAACATCCAGTGATTTTGTCTAGGACAGCAGTCGCGAAATAGGAATTAATGAATTACCACGTAAAGCTTAGCGGCTCCGCAAAGTTATAGGCATCGATCCAATAGGATACCCAGGTAGGTTAAAAGATGACAGGGAATATCATTGATTCAACGAAGTGCTCCAGGGCTCCTCCTTATGGTACTACCTTATTAATGTACATACATTTGTGCATACGAAGCTCGGACCAGGGTCCCAGGATCAATTTTCTCCAGTATCCGACAGTGCGATAGTGTACAGTCTATTTACTGGGTATGTACTGTAATTTAGTGTCAAGGCGGTCATAAATTCTCAGGAGTAAAAGTTGTGTACGAAGTACATACCTACAGTGCATACCTACATATGTACTCGGACTCCTAGACTCCTAGACTCCTAACCTACATAGTAAGCTCACTAGAATCTGCTATGAGTATGCAGGACATGTATCATTATGATTACAGCTCAAATTCAATTCCAATGTTTTGACTGTAATATAGTTATGTAGAGAGCAAACCTACCTATGTAGGTAACCTGGGCAATTTACAACTGATGTGTCTATGTAGTAGGTACTCAGACTCGTTAGATACATACATGTAGACATTCAAATACACATGGCATAGTACTACATATATATATGTACATATCATTGAACTGTGATAAATAATACATACATCTAGTTAGTAGTATCATGTCAGGCATGATAAAGCCTCTCCAGGTTGAAAGGTATCACTGCATGGTACATACGCACCGCATACATAAGTGTAGGGCAAGCGCGGCTTTGATAAGTACCACCCCAGAAAGGAAAGAAACGCTCGTTAGATCAAAAGATGGCCAACCAGATAGGTCGGAAGTTGGAACAAAACCAGTCTCGAGGAGACAAGACGAAACCCCTCAAAAGCGCAGGAACGCACATGTAGCTGTAGTAGTCCCTTAGCCCCACCTGCAACTGAAGTGCACTTGCATCTTTTGAGAGCCACAAAAACCAGCCAGAAGCCACTCCATCCCACCTTCTTTGTTGATTGTCAATGATCAGATCGACATACATTATGATACATAGCTAAGTACACATGTGCATAGGTACAGGTAGGTACCCTAATGTATGTACATTACCTAGTACCTAGTACTAGGTACTACATGTAGGTACCTCTGTACTGTGGATCGTTAGCTTATTTACACCTTGCCCAAGTACAAAACCATCACCGCCAGTCTACCCCTCCTACCGATATTTCAACCACTCGCCAGCTTCGTCCATTTATTTACATTCTTTCCAAACAATACTAACAATAGTAAAAATACAAATTTACCTGCATACATAATCTATACTCATTCATAGAGCTAGTTCTCTTAAAATCTTCTTAAAAACTCTTTTCCATCCTTCAAAATGGCCTCACAAGACGATAATGATCACTTGCCTGAGGAGACTCAGGGCTATAAGCTCTCCCAGCCCAAGCAGAGCTTGGCTGAATATCAGAATATGGGTGAGTAAAACACAGTAGTATTAGTATTTTTCTAGTTATATCACCTTTGTCTTCACATTACACAGCACAGCAATCTTCTACCTCATCTTCATTAGTTACATTGCATGTTTTACATACATGGCGAGTATGTGGGATCAGTCAGGTTGAGAACTGGCTGAAAAAAGGGGGGGTGGATACACAACACGAGTGTAGAGTTGGTCACCGTGGAGAAGTTTTGGACTCAGGTTGTCAACGCCAGCAATGTTAGGGATCTATTAGGCTCTGTCGCGCATTTCGATGGCCAGGTACAGAAAACACTACCCAGTGCCTAGTACCATCCTACGATGACAGACTTGGTGATTTTTCTCTCACCACCTTACCGTCTTAAACACCCTCTTTAGTGGGCAACAACAAAAATAACACGACAAAACACAACAACAATCGTTTCTTCGCTCTGCTGCAAATTCGACACATCAACATTACAAACTCAATTGAGAATTCCTTTCTCTACTCAGAACATGGTCTTACCGTCACTGATGCATCGACGCATCGTCTACCTTCATAATGGAAGCGCGGGATTTGCGTCTACGATCTGATGGCTATGGCATTCCCCGTCCCACCAGGTTATTACGACCTATGGTCTCAATGCCAGTTCTGGATCGGGTCTACATTAAGACATATCCACCAAGTTCACTCAACCCCCATAGGCATTCAGAGGAAGATGCCGATGCTCTTACTCTGATGCCTAGTCCGCTGGACACCCCATTTCCCACAGCCTGGAAGTACTGTCCCGTTCGCAACAAGCAATCCATCAAAGACCACCTCAAATTGCGCCTTCACAGTAGCACCTTCAAGTCAAGTGCTGGCGAAAGTGGTGAAATTAGCGAACAATTTCCTAAGCGGCCGAGTCTGGGCTCGAATTTCGTGAACTGGGTTAGGGAAAAAGCCAGGAACACTTCCTTGAAATATTCAAACCCTCTCCTCCCCTCTGCTGCTTCCTCTACAAGCGACCTCGATCCAGCAATGACATGCAGAGGACTACCGAGCACCATGATGAATGAAGGATTCACAGTCACAAACACCTTAACAAACCCCCTTCCTCTCGCCACTTCACTCCTCACTTCTATTCCACACAGTGAAGGAAACATATGGTATCCCAAAGTAAGAAGGGTTTCTAACAAACACGTTTCTGGTACAGATTCCAATGATGAATCCCTTCAACGATACAAGCAGTCCCTTGGCCTTGGTGGTGGAAAGGACCTTTCTGATCCAAACGACACCCGTGTCTGCATTATTCACTCCCTAACCATGGAATCGCCTGGACGTTCCGCGGTCACTATTGACTTGTCTGCTCCCGGTAGCGAGGTTACCCTCAAAGACCGCCCATTCAAGATTAAGGAGGGCTGCAAATTCACCATGGTAGCCACTTTCAAAGTCCAGCACGAAATTCTCAGTGGCCTGCAGTATGTCCAAGTTGTCAAGCGCAAGGGTATCAAGGTTAGCAAGGACTCCGAGATGTTGGTAAGTATCTTCCGAATCCCTGTATTCTTAGCATATCTTTTACTTACAAATCATAGGGAAGCTACGCCCCAAACACAGACAAGCAACCTCTGTACTCCAAGCGCTGTAAGTAATCATGGGGATTTCAACTTTTTAGATGCTGCGAAGCTAATCTTTGCATAGTCCAAGAGGAAGAGGCCCCAGCCGGCATGCTCGCTCGAGGTCACTACAACGCTACATCCAGCTTTGTTGATGACGATAAGAAGACTCACCTGCAGTTCGAATGGAGCTTCGACATTTCCAAAGATTGGTAGACGGTCCGGAGGATTTGTGATCACAGAGAAGACGTTGGTGTGGAGTTGAAGAAAAGACGGCGAGAGGGGAGTGACACGAATGTAAAAAAAGGAATCTGGTAGCAGCTTGCAAGCTGCGAACCCGCCCGAAGCTCAGCCTATTCCGATGGCGTATGAGTAGAATGTTGTGTTATTAAGAAGCCGGTGGTTAGAGGTGGAAGTGTTAATTGTTGTAGTAAGCAGTTTCTTCGTGGGGGATCGACAACTACATATACATACATCATCCCCCCTTATCAATTTCACTGCATTCATTTTGCAGTAACTACTGTTTGTTTGCAGCAGCAGCAATTCACGAAACCTTTTTTTCTCACCTGCACACATCTTTTAACGATGGTATACAATAAAAAAAACAACCCTTAGATAGTTACGCACACGGTTGGTTTTTCTTTTAATAATAAAAAAGGACCTGGGTATTTTCGATTCTTTTCTTTCATGCTAGATTGAGGTATCTCTCTCTCTTTCTCTCCTCCAAGAAAAAACAAACAAACATGCTTATATCTATGTTGTGCATGTTGCTGTATGCTGTGCCTGCCTGCCCTATTCTCAGCCGAGTTCGATCGGTGCCTCCCTACGTAGTTAGATAGGTAGGTACGTGTGTACGTAGGTATGTATGTATGTATGTATAGTAAAGTAAATATAGGGATGAGCAATCAATCCATATCGCTACAAGAAATAATCCGGCAGAGCGTTCCCATCGGCGGCTTTTTCGGTCCCCTGCTGGATCTCCTTATGTTGGTCATTCTCGGGCGCGGCTGCGAACACGTTGAAGAACCTTTCCCCAGCATCGCTGACTTCCAAAACACTGGCCATGTTGCCGCATCGGTAGCAGTAGTTAGGTGCGCTCCATACCGTGCTCAGCTGGTCGTCATAGAGGACCTGGAAGCCCTCCTGGCAGAGCTGGTGCGCACGCAGGATATGGTTCATTCCGTTGACGGCCAGGAACTTTTTTACTACTCGGGCGCCAAAAGTATACCCTGCACCTCGGGGTGAAAGGGAGAATTCGTCTCTTTCGGGGTCTGGATCGGACCATACGAGATCGGCCATGGGGCCTTCGTGTGGTATCTCTCTAAACCGGTCGATGATCTTGATCTGGTCGATAGAATGGATGGACGGTGATAGTCCGCCGTGTACGCAGAATATCTGGTCGTTAATGACGACGGATAGAGTAAGGAAGTCGAACATGTCAGTAAAGTAGTGCCAGACGTTTGCGTTGCCGTATTTGCGCGAGCACTCGGTATAGAAGCCGTAAGACTGCGTCACGCCGCGCGACTCGTGGTTGCCTCGGATAAGGTGTACTCGGTTCGGATATCGTAGTTTAAGGCAGACAAGTAGTGATATCGTCTCTACGCTGAACATGCCGCGATCCACATAGTCGCCTATAATCATTCAAGGTTAGGGAAGGGTAGCTCATTACAGGATCATTTTTGCGCATGCGCTTACCGAGGAATAAGTAGTTCGTATCCGGACACCAACCACCAATCTTGAATATCTCGATCAGATCGTAGAACTGGCCGTGGATATCACCGACGACGGTGACGGGAGCCCGCACGTGGACCACGTTGCTCTCTCGCATGAGTAACTCTTTCGTCTTGGCGCATATTGCCTCGATCACGGATTCGGCCAAAAGTTCCTTCTTATACAAACGGGAGATGCATTCATCCAGATCAACTGAAGCTAGTCAAGGAATGAGTCAGTCTCAGTCGTTAACTATGCTGCTTTGTTTTGCTGGGGCGAGGCATAAACCAACCTGGGAGCCCAGGCATGTTGGGCCAGCTGCAAAAGTGTCGCGGGAAAATAAAACTTGTTGAGCGAGTTTACCCAAGCCCAAGGCAGGTTCAAGAAGCTTTCTGGGGTCGGCGGTGCGGTGTGGGCTTCCTTCTGCTCCGTGGGAATACAAAGTCGTATGGGGAGCGAGAAGAAACCGCAAACATGTTCGACGGAGGAAGATAATTCGTCGCCTCACATGGGGAGAAGGGTCGGATCGAAGTCGATAAATGCGGCGGGGTAGAAAATGCGACAGCGATGCGGGCCTTGGAGGCAAATGCGGGCTCAAAGCGCAAAAAGAAAGTAGAACATCAGGTGTATCCTTTGAGAAGAATATATTGGTCTCGTTCAATCATTTATCAATGTGTGGAATCGCCTTGGTGGAGGAGAAATGGAGGAAATGGTGGAAATTAGAGGGATGTTGAATTTGTTCAACTACCTGGGGTAACTTGGAATTGGTAAGCTACCGTTTTCCTTATCGTTATCTCAGTGTGCTCATTTCTGCACAGACGCCACTGCCACTGTGCACACATGCAACTTGGAACTTTGATATATGCATGTAACTATACCTTATGTAAGCCCCGATAACGGACTCCAACCTACTTCACCTAAAATTCATCGGACCACGTTTTCTGCCGACTTCAACATCTCTTTTTCAACTTCATCCCGTCAAGTGGTGCCCCAAGCTCGAACCTCGTTGCAGGATGAGTCGGGCTGTATTGGCCCCATTTCTCGTGGCATATACTCCAAAATTTGATCTCGGGCAGTTCATAGTAGAATGCCTGCTTTCTATTCCCTTTTCTACTTCGTAAACCTGAATTCAAGAACTTCTTACCTTTTAACACTCGAGCATTCTAGCCTTGGAGGTTCCTATCTCTCCCACCAGTTTTCGAATACTACTTAGTATGTATTCGACCTTTTCATCTCTGTCTACGTCTATATCAGAAGGTTTGATGATTATGGGTAGTTTACCTTTGCAGTTGGTTAGATGGACGAGACAGGGTGGAAGATAACCACCGTCGTGCTTTGGTTTTTGCCATTTTTGATTTATCTATATCATTTCTATATTCTGCGGCATTGGCCCTCATACATATCCATACCAATAGTATGCTCTATATTCGGGTTTTCTCACTCAAGGTTGATATATATCAAGCAAAGCCTCGGCAAGGTCATACGTACATAGTATACTGTTGGCCAGTCAGCTTTTTGATGTCATCATACAATATAAAGCAATCTTCTTGCCCGTGTTCATGGACCGTCGCTTCTATTATAGTGATTATATTATTTTTTATAATTATTTTCCAAATTTATTCTATATGATGTACCTATCCATATTTTGTATGTACATATTGTAAACCTATTTTATTCTTAATTTTCTTATTTCATTTTATTTTCTTTCGTCCGGTCTTCATTAAAGGCCATCCATAGGCAAAAACTCTGTTAATCGCGGACCGAAGTTTAACCGCAGCCGCCTTCAATGGCCGTACATATGCTAAGGTATCGGTCTTCAGTCTAAATGCGACATTGTACCATCCATTTGTACATTTGAATCTCACCCGTGAAACCTTCAATTTCAGCCCGTTTCTTTTCTTTAACGATTTTTATGTTAAGAACAATTAGCATCAATCGTTCCAGCATCAACATCATCACGCCCTGCCTGCACTCCAATCGCACTACCGGTACATCCTTGATGAATTCACAGCAATTGGTTTCGCGACATCGGAGCGGAGGGATTCGTGTTGGTGGCAGTCCGCGTTCTGTCGCGGTGAAGAGTTGATGTCGCTGCCCGCCAAACTACTACATATATAGGTTAGGTAAATAGGTAGGTACTTACCTACTTCAATGTTAGTACTCTTACGCCGAACGAATACATCCTCATCTCTACCTAGGTAGCTCCTCACCACGCTATCTCCCTATACATGTTTACCTTCCTTTCATTTATGTTCCCAATTGAATAGGTCTCTGAGCTTTCGGATAGAATTGACGGTAGCCAGCTTGTCTAACCCCGCGCATAGTTGGGTCGTGCAAAGACTTCGACGCACCTTCGCGCCTTGATTATTGAGAAATTGTCTACCACAACACAAGATTATATCGCAGAGCCTATACTATACCTTTTATACCTTGAATACATTACCTCACACGAGCACATACTTAAATGACTGTGCTACGAAGCATATGATTTTGCGCTACAAACCGTTGCGCTCAGGTGCTCGGTAATTCATCGATTTCGTCGCCGTTAGTTCCCTGCTTTCTGACAACTTCGAGGTGTTCTGAGGTATAGTTCTTCAAGCTTCTAGCTTGCTATTAATAGCAAGCGAGATGGCCCAAGCTGCCCCGGGCCTCGCGCCGGAGCGCAATGAGCCTCCCTGCTACAACTGTGGCATACGGGGCCATATGTTCACGGCATGTCCTGAAGAGCCTAGAAAGGTACCAGCGTAAGTATGGTTGACTTGTCTTGGTCGCAGACCCTTCGTCCCCCCCCCCTTTCATACCCTTGACCTACGATCGTGTTTGGCTAAGAATATAATAGCGGGTTAGAGGCATCTTGGGCGCGACAGCAGCCAAGCAATAGTCCTCATAATGATCATGTCACTAGTAAGCGAGGCAAAGGACCGGTAATTACGCGTTACCCTCCTCCTCCTCCGCTTCCTCCACCCCCCGCACCGTCTCATCATCCACCTCCGATGTCTCGTTTTGAGAATTCGCCGCCGCAATCCTATCACCCGGGCCCGGTGCCGGGATATCCACCGCAATCATTATACGGTCCGGGACATGGAGGCCACCCTCCTCCGCCAAACACATCTTATGATCGATTCGGACCTCCACCGCCTGGTCTTCCTCAGTCGTTGAACGCACCGCCATATCATAATGCGTATGGTGCCACATATGGTCCCCAAGGACCTGTTCACGGGCCTTACGACCACCAAGCCCCCCCTCCTGGACGCCCTGGCCAGTATTTTCCTAATGATTACCCTCCCGGTCCTCCTAATCGCCCTACTCAGTATCCACCAAATCAATATCCTCCAGGCCCTCCATATGGAGCACCGCCGCAATATCCCCCTGGCCCTCCACAGTATCCACCGCCACCCAATTTTGTACCTCCACCCGCACCATACGGATATCATGGCCCACCTCCCGGATATCCTCAAGGCGGATATAGCCCACCTCAGCAAGGTCCTCCTCCCCCAGTTTATCCCCCATATCCACCACCACCAGTGGATCCTTCCCATGGGCAGCCGTACGGTGATGACAGACATCGCCATCAACGAGGTCGAGACCAACATCGCTATGGTGATAGACGTTCAAATGACGCTTGGCACTCACAGGATGGATGGCACAATGTGCAGTTGCCAGATGACCAACCTAGGGATTATTATCAGCGCGACTGGCACGATAAGCCCTCGTATCACGAAGAAAGAGGTTCCCGAAGATGGGGTCACGGTAGGCCCTCAGATGAGCGCCGTCGAGAACGGCATGATCGATTTCATCCGTACAAAAATTCGGACAGATCGGATAGACAGAGTAGATGGAGACAGCAACCGGCGGTAACATCGGGTCGAACAACCCCTCATAGGCGAAACTCCTTAGACCGTGAGACGCCAATAACTATCAAGACCGACCAAGATCGCGAGCCTGGCGAGATAGTATCGGAACCAACTTCGGCATCAGTTCATGGCGACGCAGATACCGCGGCCGATACAATTATAAATCAAGGCGATGAGGAGTTTGACTGGGATGAGCGCACCATTTTTCTAGAACCTCCATCATCAGGCAAAGTAGACCCGATTGCAGCACCTCTTCCAGCTCTGTATTCCGAGGATGTGATGATACCTCCGGCATTCGATGCTAAGGCTTTGAAGTCGCGATATATCACTCCACGCAATGTCGATGACTTCGCACAAAGCGTCCGAGAGACTAGAGACTGGCATTTCGTACAGTATCACCCCGCGTTCTTAGATATTACAGAAATCCACCCCGGAAAGTTAGATGATTACGAAAAAGCGTCCCGAGACGCATCTATGAGGAACAACCGCCGAGACCGATCCAACAACTCGCATGATGTTAGCAAGCATCGCTATGGCAACTCTAAAGGATTGGGACGACATTATGGAAAGAATCAGGAGCACCGCTACAAGCCTGACCAAAAGAAAAGACGATGGGACGAGTTTCATAGTAATGGCAATAATTCCGGAGTGGATAATCGGTCGCGTAGCTTTCCGTATCATGATTCACACAACAAAAGGATCAAAACCACGTCTCCCGAGCCTGGCGAAGTTATCGAGAGTGGCCAAGAAACCCCCTATGAGCCTTCAAACCCGCCCGCAATTTCAATAGATGACCAGAAGCCAGCGGCGAAACCAGACGATATACATAATAGCAAGCCATCGTCTCCAAGCGCCCATTATGGGAGCGACGGTCTAAATCAGGGAACGAGAAGCCAACGACCCAACTCCCTGTCTGTCGATGATCAGAATCGGCTCAACGCTCAGTCGCCAGTACCACATGAAGAACCTGCCAGATCGCCTCGGTCATACAGTCGGCCCCCAAGCAGACAAAACAATGGTAGTATTCATAAAGGTCGCTCAAGCAGCCGGCGCTCTTCATTCGGGTCTAAGGTGTCCGAACCTCCGGGGTCTCCACTCGATTCTATCGAGCGCGAACTTCTCGGATTAGAACGGCCACCAAGCAGTGGTAGTAATGCCGAAGAAGATTCACCGAAACGGCGTTTCAAGGACGCGACTCCCAAATTCAAACGCCGACAGCCCATGCTTGATGCGTATTCGTAAGTAGCCTACCATCTTAATTTCAATCCCTCGGCTATTAACTAAACATCTAGGCGTCGCTGGTGAAATAATCTGGCCTCGGCGATTTGATCTCGGGTGGAGACGGCCTACTCTCTGCCTACGATATGCCTACGATACTATATCGTTTCGGTGGTTGAGAACGTCTAGTGCTTGATGAGGCGTGAGAGATCTTAGCTGATTTCCGCTCAGTTGTGCCTCTTACAGAGGCCTACTGTGGGATATCAAAGCAAGCTAGGTATAATAAACGATCTTTACATAGGGGCTTACTACCTATCAAATCATGAGATTTGATATAGGTGTGCTTGTCATATAATATAACTCGGAACTGATTCACGAAGCATGAAGTCAATTTCGCGTTCAAGGGAGGGAGGGTGGGCACATAATGATAGCAAAGGAGTATTCAGGCGTTATTCATGAGTTGCATTGGGCAAAGCAGGAAATATATCTGCGAGACGCCGGAGGCGTACCGGGGGCATTGAAAAATCGGCCATGCTGTATCAATATTGTATACACACAAAGTCAGTCAGTCGTCTGGCCTGGTGTATACTAGGTACCTGGGATATGCTGTCAGGGGGGTCTGCGTTTTAGGGATCCGCATCCCAAACAAAGAAGGCCTGGCCTTAGTATAATGAATTGATGGCTGAATAATAAGGATTACATACCTAAGTACCTACCTAGGTACCTATATGAGGAGATAACAATCTACTTGTGACGATGAAAAACTTGATACATATAATGGGTATATCTAACTGACCGCCTTTGCTGGTAGTTGTCTTATAAGTCTAAAGCAAATGACTTGTCCTCTTTGTCTCCAGCCTCACCGACAATCATCACGTCTTTTGCAAGAAATAAACCACGTCTCCTTTCATGGTAGGTACAGTAGGTAACGTATTAGGTATTAGAAGAACGGCATGACTCTTCGCCCCCTTTCTAGCAGCTATCTAGGTAAGGTATCCAAGCTACAATATGGGCGCTTAATTGTTTTACGCTTCTTTCTTTCTTTGCTCTTCATCCACGTTTCGTTCCGTTTCGTTTCTTGTCTTGGAACAATGTGCTTTATACACGGACACCAAGAGAATGAGAAAATCCCATGCTGAACAATATTAAAAGAACCCCATTGTTCGTCTTGATGCTAATTGAGAGGTTAATATTCAAATACCTTCAAGATAACCTCTGCTCGGGCCCGTGTGTTTGATTTTGGAAGAGAAGAAGAGGAGAAGAGAACACTGGGTAGTACTACTAGTGTTTTCTCGGTATACGATTTTGAAGTCGGAACTAAACGTTTGATATTATTGAACTTGGAAAGAATAGGGCTTCAAACTCGAACTCCTGATACAGATTTCTTCAGACTCGGCTCCCACATCCTCCACCAGCCAACGTACGATTACACGGAGAATCTTACTCCCTCCATACCACTCTCTCCCTTTCTCGCTCCCCAGTTCCTCCGGTTCTTGATCATAGAGAAATTGCCCAGGAGAGAAAAGTTATAGAAAAAGGCCGAGATGTGCACAGGAACAGGCTGGGTATTCCGGTGCCGGCGGTGCAACAATGTGCTGCTCAAGGACCTGTCCGTGTCGGGGCACACGTGCAAAGTGGCGAGGCGGATCGGCAGGCGCGGGTGCTGCCGCACGGGCGTCGAGTTTCGCTACTACGACAAGGACGCCAACGAGCTGTGCATCATGTGCGAGGTCGAGGAGGTCATCGCGGAGCTGAACGCCGAGACGTGCGACGAGGCGTACAGCGAGACGCGCGTTGGGTATAACAGGGATGGCGACGGGGACGACAGCGACGATGAGGAGGAAGGAGGGGTCTTGTTGAGGGGTGAGGGTGCTGAGGAAAGAGACGGGGGAAAGGGTGGTGCTGGTTCGAAGGTGAGTCTATGAAGCTATGTCCTGTTATCTCTGTCTCGTTGTCTCTGGCTGCTAAAGAGAGGCTTTTCGCTCTCTGTTGAAAGGGTCGAAGTATTGGGTTTGCTCATCCATGAGCAGGAGGTTGGTTTTGGTTCGGTTTAAGTTTTTTTTTCGTGTGTTTTTTTCGTGTGTTTTTTTTGTGTTTTATAGTGCTAAGGAAAGGTATGATGTAGACGACGCAAACAGAATCCAGGGGTCCAAGGAAGACAACAACGTGGGAGCCGCAGCTTTGGAAAGGGAACGGCAGGCAGGCAGGCAGGTAGGTAACGTATCTATCTAGGTGATGTAAAGAGATATGACCGGTACGTCCCGCACGCAATAACCAGATAGATAGAACTTAAGAGGCTCGGACTCTTCTGCTCCAACGAACAGTATTAATCTCCGTATTTGAGTATCTTCGTGCACTGCGTGTGAGCAGCCTATTGTGAACGTGCCCATAATTTGTTTCCTAGGCTATTAAAGTCTAGGCCCCCGATCTTCTAGAGCATCTTGGATCTCATGCGTAGGCTCATCGTCAGACTCCCAAGGCCTGCTAGATCTCTTACGCGGCAATGGGGCGGGCTCGAACAGCGGGCTCGGTGCTAGCGGGACTTGAGCCTCAGAGTTTTCCGCGGTCCTCTGCGCGGGCCTATCTTCTTGTTGTTGGCCTGCCGGTGGCCCAGACTGTGCTGTTGTAATGCAAGACTGCAGAGCCTGTGTCAATGGTATGCACGTCTGTACGGATGGGCGGTGTTCCGGCTGCTCTGCCTCAGACCTGTACGGCGCCGCATGCTCTACAGAAACCCCGATAATGTTTGAGCTTGGGTACATATTCAAGCCTCTAGAATCATCGACAATGTTTGAGCCTGAGTAGCTCATGCCACCACCGTCAAATCTAGGAAACGTTGTGCGGGGACCCATGAACGGGGCTTGAGGCAGGATACTACGGTGTACCTCTCCATATAAAGCCAGGTTTCTAAGAACATTGTACCATCGCTCCCTTAAAAATACCGCGTTAGTGGTGGACACTTAATATTTCTTAACTTGCTTTGTGAAAGGCACCCATGGATTGCAAATTCGACTTACCTGGCGGACTCTGGGGTGCCATACACGCCTAGGCTTTCCATGCTGGCAGAGATGGATGGCCAATTAGCATCGTGAATATTGTGAAGACTGATCCCTTGGTTGGAGAATATGATAGCCACCAAGAGAGCTCGGTCGGCCTCTGCGCTCCAGTGTGCCGGCATGCCACTCATGATTGCGGTTTGGATATTTGACTGCTAAAGAATGTATGTGTCAGGTATAAGGACATCAACTAAAGACAATTCACGAGAGATCAATCATTCACCCTTTGGCGTAGTGGTAAAATCTGATAGTATGCGGTGATGTTCTTGGGCCTTTCCAATAACGATATAACTTGGCTGATGGATAGGTATGAATGAATATAAACAAAGAGAGATGAATATGGGCCACCCTAGGTGCTTAAATAATCCCAAGGTCTGTTAGGTTTGATGGTAGAGAGTAGGAACGATCGAAAAGCTCGGATAGTGACTGTCCTATGTTGGGATTCATGCCTTTAAAGTCTCATAGCTACTTCAAAGTTCACACTATTAGTGTAAGCATACACCTTAGAGTCCTTGCTACACATCTTAGAAGATAAATCACTGTGTCTGTGGGCGAGGACGTGGGGGGACTGAAGAGAAAGGGGCGACTTCCTAACATACTCTAATGAAGGAAGTTCCAACACACATGTTATGTGAAGCTGATTTGATGCGGATATAGCTCCAGCACAGTCAAGAAGGATAACAGAATATAGTTTATGGCGCTTGTGAACCATTTTAAACAACAGCTAAAGAGCAGCAGCAAGTCTATCAATCAATACTTGTCAAGATCTCAGGTAATCAGTGCTGAGAAGGCGAGCTGCGCTTAGGGTTGCGGCGCGAGATATATCTTCTTGGGAAATGCAACTTTAAGACGGTTAGTCGGATAATAAATCATATGAATAGCTTATGAGTGTCTTGTTGACTGTCTATTTGCCTTTGCGACGGCGCCATGCCTCAGTTTCACATTGAGAAAACTGTCAGGAATCTACATAGTCTCTGATGACATGTTAGAGATCCTGGCGCAACAGCGATGTTGTTCTATGTCTTCTAGGTTTCGCCTCCTGGCAAAAGCAATTAGTACTAAGCCAAGCCATCACCTATGTTAACTTTAGTGAAGTTCAAACTATAAAAGAACAGCTGGAAGCTTAATGAAGGGAGATACCAATAACTCCTATTTGATTCTAGGATAAGCACTTCACTCATCATGAAGAATGATAGGCAGGACGGATAAATAGGTACACTATCTAGGCATTTCAAGCATCGCAGCTTAGCAATCTAGAGAGAGTCCTTTAGATTTCTCATAGGTACATGCAAAGAACATGTAGTTTCTATGAACATTGAAGTTATGACAATTGGTAACTGACTTATTAAAGTCCAAGGATACATATTGATGAGATATTATGCACCTAGTACATAACCTCTGGAAAAGGGGGGGAAGTAGTTGGGAAAAGAGGAAAAGGGGGAAAAGAACATCCATCCATGGATGTTACATATGTAGGTACCCACATAATACATAATTGGTGAATACATAACTAACTACATAGTTAGTAGTAGTTATGTAAGTTGCCGCGACGAGCTCCGATAAGATAAAGCTACCCCGCCTACCTCCGCCACTCCCCCCCCCCAATTTATTACCTGTAGGTTACCTACATACATGTACCTACATAGCAGATGTTTTGTATCTTGTAGGGCTGAAGGCAACAAAGAGATGACATAAAGTAAAGCATAAATGGAGTACATAGTAACCTAGAACACGGCAAACAGGATTCCAGTGTATCTCAACATCTCCACCTACTTAATCCATCCTATCACCTGGGCACTTTAATGCTCAAGAGCATCAACAACCTGAAGTGTATATCAAAAACATCAACATTTATCATCATTAACTACGAGTTAAGAAGCCATCGTCGTCACTATGTCGACTAACCCCCTGAGCTCGTCGGCCATCCTTCAACAGATGGCTGACGCCTTGCCCACTCATCCCCAAGGCGATACTACATCTGACTTGAGCAGCTCCCATGAAGCCATAGCCCTGTTTACCCACGCTTGCATGGCCTCGCTCGGCTTCCGAGTTATTGGCTTTGACGAGGATAAACTTGAAGGTTAGTTGGTGCCTTATTAAATAGAGGCGATGCTTCTAAAAATATGCTAATATTTCCTTGATAGAGGCGAAATGCCATGAGCTAGCCCCGCGACTCCCGGCAAATTGGAATGCATCATTCAACACATATGCATTTGTCTATGCGCATCAGCAATCAGCTCTTCGCTATGTCATCAGAACGGATCGCTTGGGAGGCAAAGCAGAGATTCGTGGACTTGGAATCCATGACGAACGTATCACACGAGTGGAGGTCACTATCAAAGATTTTGTCTCTAACGCAGCTCTTCCCGTTAGAATAACTGTTAACGACGATGGAGAGGACCGCTCTAGCCTACCGCAAAAACTGCAAAATGTCTTCATCTCGCAAAGCCGCATCGAGGATTTAGCAAACCTTATCAAGATCAACATAATTCAAAAACTTTTGCCGTCCCTACAGAAGGAAGGCTATGAAGAATCACCCGATGATAGAGCTGCGCGCGAAGATGCCGACGAGGCGGGTCGGAGACCTCCGAGACAGCCCGTTATGCCGGACCCACTGCCCCAGCCAGCTCAGCCATATCCACTACATGATCCACTTAGCCCGCCTCCCCGTAACCCCTTGCCGGTTGGCGATTTCCCACCCCCGGGATTCGAAGACCCTTATGACCTCAATCGCCCGGTACGCGGGCCATTGAATCCCGGTTTCAGTCCTTTTGGCAATGTCGGGGCTGATGATTTACACCCACCCGGATTGGGTCCACATGATCCGCTACGTCCGGGGCTGGGTATAGGTGGAGGACTGCCGCGTCTCGGTGGGGGTCAGGGCATGCACCCTACTTTTGATGATCCTCTTTTCAGAGGTCCAGGTGGTGGCAGTGAGGAATTCGATCCTCGGGTACCACCAGGAGCTCGCTACGATCCTTTGGGCCCGGGAGGACTTCCAAGATTAGGAGGTCGTAGGCCAGGCGGCGGTGGAAACGGACCTTTTGGAGGCGGATTTGGTGGTTATGGTGGCTATGGTGGAGGAGACATCATCTAATACATAGTACGATACGGTGCGTATGTACCTGGGTAGTTCCTGAAGGTACTTTTTGGGGTGCGATTGGATGAGGGTTATAACAATCCTCGGAAGGAGACTGTAATACTTGATTGTATGATTACGATCCCTCACTATCACTACTAGTATCTTCCAATAAAAGAGGGCTTTAATGAAAACACTACTATCCAGGGGGTTCGACTTTTGCATGCATCATATCATTAGTATAAATTCTTCATGATTTACTCGAAGTAATAGATGCAGGCTGTTCTTTAGCTTTGCCCTCTTCAACCCAGCATTCGAAGAACAGAGGCCCTGCTGCTACAGCGCGTAAAGGGGTGGTTTTGGCACCACCAATATCCTGACCAGGCGTCGGGTTGTCCTTGGACTTCGTCTGTAGATTTAACTGCGATGGAATCCAAGGTTGCGGGTGCTAAGATACGTTTAGTATTACGATTCAACCTGATCTATCTACTATCATGGTAGAATCACTTACCCCTATCGGCGCCTCACCCTCATCCCGTAATTCTACCGCAATGGTGAAGGTGCAGCCTTCTGGAAGCGGTCCCATTTTCTCACCAGCGTAGGCCAGCTTTCTCATGGTAGCGCGGAGCTCCTCATCCACATTCGACCAGTTTACTTTCCCCTCTGTGGGATTGTCGACGAAGTTCTCGGCTCCTCCTCCTCCTTCGGCACCATCATCATCTTCGTCTGTTCTGAGACCACTGGCTCCCTTGAAACCCTTCCAGGCAGGAAAGCGAGCGACGTCGAACATCCAGCGTTCCATCACCCTTGCCTGCCCGTCGTAGATGACAACAGCGATACGCTCCACGACACCCAACACCAGCTGTGCTTTTACGGCGTCGACAGCATCGCGGATCCAGGAGCAGACTTTTGGGTGCCGAGACTGATGCACCGGGAGGTTGTATGCTCGGCTGGTGAGGAAAGTCTGGGACGGGTATATGGAACGGTAGAATAGGATGTTGTGGATGCAGACGGTAAGAAACTGCGTGAATGAAACTAAGAGGTGAGATGCTTGGTTGAATGGTACGGGCTGTTGATCTTGGCTGAATTGTTCATGGGACGTCATTTTTGTGAATTAATACCTAAATTCAACATTGAAGTTATTGCTTGTATGAAGTTATTAACGACACTAGACGCCTGTACTAGGCACTGTAGGCAGGTGATAGGTGATAGAAAGCTGTAGCTCTTCAAAGCCCCTCCTACTTATGTAATTACATGCCTAACCTACAGTCTACTAACCTAGATAGGTAGGTAGATTAGTGTGTACAGGGGACTTGGGAACGCGTTGAGGGGTACATATGTTCGCGTTAAGTGATAAGCATTTAACTACATGCACGACTACAGTAACTGTGCACAACATGTAGAATGGAATTATGTACATAGTATCATATGTGATTATTGATATGCAATTATTCAAGTGAACATTGACATTGAAAAAATAACAATAAAGGTGGAGAACTTCAACGCCTACGTACTACGTAGTGTAGTAAGGTCTTAAGGTTCTAAATATTATTTGATAAGGCAATAGTTGCACAAGTAGGCCTTGTTGCTTCTAGGATCTACGCTGTCTGTAACCAAAACGCGGTGCGCTAGTGATGCGTTCCTGTCGTGCTACTGTGCAAGCCCGTACCTGTCGCCTATCGCCTATGGTGATTATGCATGAATAGAGTTAACTAATTGGAGCAAGAGAAACATTTCCCTCCCACACAGCACATCGACCCCCCCACCCTTACTATTTGAACATTTTGACCGCTTTCAGATTTCAACACAAAACATTTCTGTCAAGGTTACCGAAGCCAAGCCAACCCGATTAACCTTAGACTCACTTCCATTCCCAACCGTAAACAGTCAAAATCAATTTCGTCACTCATTTGACGCGACTGGATTGCGAGACAATTCCAAGGACCCGAACAAAATGGAGGACCAACTCGTCCAGGTCCTGGCTAGCACCCAGCTCACTGCCGAGGGTCCAAGAAAGCAAGCTGAGATTGAGTTGAAGCAAGCGAGCCGAAATCCTGCATACCCGCTCTCCCTCACCAACATCGCACGACACACTTCTATTTCAGTAGAAGTTCGACAATCTGCCTTGTCAGCTTTGCGCCTGTTCATCGAACGAAACTGGGGCGGCGACAGCGAGGATGGCCCCGCAATCCCCATCGCCGATTCCATTAAAGATCAGATCAGGCCCATGATTCTTGACCTTGCTCTGAATTCAGAGGACGGTAACAAGATTAAGACAGGTGCAAGGTATGAGGCTATGCAACTAATATAACAACCTCTCCTCTCTCTCTTCTTCCCCTTTCCTAGGCCTCTGAGCATAACTATTAGTATTTGTTTACTAACCAATTTGTAGTTTTGTCGTCGGCAAGATTGCCAATGTTGATTTCCCTGAACAATGGCCTTCGCTCCTACCTACTCTCCTCGAAATAATCCCGAATGGCAACGAAGGACAACTTCATGGAGCCCTGATTGTCCTCCGCGACCTAGTCGAGGAGAGCTTGAGTGACAATCAATTCTTCTCCATGGCTCGCGACATTGTCAAGGTTGTATACGATGCTGCAATCAATGAGAATCGAAAACCGACTCTACGCGCTCTTGCCGTTTCTGTCTTCCGAGGCTGCTTCGATCTCATGGATACTGTTAAGGAGGAACATCCGAAAGAAGTCCAGCAATTTGCGGAGGAGGCAATGAAGGGTTGGTTTCCCTTCTTTCAGCAAGTTATGAAGCTGCGGTTGCCCGAGCCCGATGCTCCCTTGACGTCGCAGCAGCCAGCAAGTTGGAACGGCATAATAGCCCTGAAATTACAGTCTGTGAAGTGCCTCATGAAGTTGAAGCTTGTCTTCCCGCAACTCTTATTGCCCGAGACGCCCCATTTCTTCCAGGCGATTTGGGAAGAACTGTCGCTCCTAGAAAAATCGCACGAGACGATGTATATTGAGAATGATGCGCAAGGTAGACTTGAAGACTCCGACAGCCTTCCATATACTCTAGACTTCCTTGTCTTGGAAGAGTTGGACTTCCTGAACGGCTGTATGCGTGCACCACCAGTCCGAAAAGAACTCGAAGCACAACTCGCCGCCCATTCTTCTGCGCACGAAACTCCTTGGGTTCTGGATTTGATGAAGCTCGCATCATCGTATGCTCGCATCACTCTAGAAGAGGAGGACCTGTGGGATATAGACGTCTCGTTATATCTAGCTGAGGAGCAGTCATTGAGCGCTAACTACACTCCCCGAACTGCATGTGGAGATCTTCTTATCAAGCTTGGCGAATGGTTGAACCAGAAGGCATTGGAAGGTCTCTTCGCTCATACGAAGAGCCTCTTTGTCGAAGAAGCACCTTGGAGAAAGCAGGAAGCGGCTCTGTTCTTACTCAACATGCTCGTGAGCGATTTCCTCGAGTGTAACAAGACCATACCACCAGAGATCGGCCAAGCAAATCTCGAGTTAATCAATTTTGCCATTAACCGCACCACACAACCCCTACTCCGAGCCCGTGGTTATCTGGTTGCCGGCATACTATCGCAGTTTGATGGAGCAACAGCCCCGCTTGCAAATCTCATGAGCCAAACAATTAACGCCATCACGGCAGAAGAGTCCGAGCTTGTGCAGGTTGCGTGCATTAAGGCGGTAGAGGGATTCCTCCAGAGCGGAAGCGCTGTTGGTAATATTCAGATCCAAGCGCAAGTGGTAAACGCAATCTCACAGTGGATGTCAATAAAAGACATGACCGATCTTGAGGACGCAGATGATTTGCTAGTTACTCTCACGGAAACGCTCCGAGCTGCTATCAATATTGACAAACGAGTTGCTGTATCTAACGATATACCAGCCCTAGACTTACTCTTCCTCATTGCCAAGCATGGCTCGACTAACTGGCAGGTAACCATGCTCATTTGCGAAGAGTTCGAAGATATTGTCAGATCAATGCCGGATCCTGCTTCCTACCATCTGCTTTGCCAGAAGGTACTCCCTTCGTTAACGGGCGCATTCAACGTTGCTGATGTCACTTCGGACAACCCTCTAATTACAGTATGTTAAGCTGATCTCTTGTTGATCACCGAAGCTAATATGTCTCCTAGTTTGCAACAGAATTAATGGCGTCCCTCACCCAATACGCCTCGGAGCCCCTTCCTCCCGGGTTTGTTGCGGCCACTCTACCCAAGCTTAGTCGCTTGCTCATGGAGAGCAATGAGGGAGACATTCTTCGGCCTGGTGCAGAATCAGTCAAGTATCTCTTGGCGCATGATTATCAACAAGTGTTGAATTACCAGGATGAGAACAACAGATCTGGACTCGAGGTTTGCCTTCATATCATTGACCGTTTACTTGGACCTTCTATCGAGGATAACGCGGCCTCCGAAGTGGGTGGCCTTGCAGCTGAGCTGGTTGAAAAGGCAGGCCATGAACGACTCGGACCATTCCTTCCACAGCTTCTACAGGCTGTAGCTAATCGACTAGCCACTGCTGAGGCCGCTCCATTCATACAATCTCTGATTCTGGTTTTCGCTAGACTCTCCCTGGTGGGCGCTCATGACGTTGTCGAATTTCTCAGCACTATCCAGATCAATGGTCAGCCTGGCCTGCACATCGTCGTAAGCAAATGGCTTGAAAACTCTGTCAACTTTGCCGGTTACGATGAGATTAGACAGAAGTAAGCATGAAGACATCTGCCAGCAAGCTGAGTTTGACTAATTCATATTGTTTTAGTGTCATCGCCCTCTCCAAGTTATTCAGCTTGAACGACCCCCGCGTTGCCCAGATTATGGTGAGAGGTGATATGATCATGCCCACTAGCGATAGAATCCTAACGCGATCTCGTGCACGTCAAAGTAAGTCTTCACATCGCGTCGATCCTGTGTTATTGCTAAACTGATATTTAGCACCAGACCAATATACCATTGTGCCGGCCCCGCTTAAGATCCTGAAGGTTCTAATTGAGGAACTTCTTTCGGCTTCAGGTTCTAACAGTGCGGCAGCTGCTGCAGCAGCTGTTGCGGCTGAGTTTGGAGACGACAACGATGATGATGGCTGGGAAGATGACCCCGATACCATTGACCTTAACCTTGGCAGTGTTAAGAATGATCTCATGGGCTTTTTGGAAGCCAGCAACATGCGTCACCGAGATGACGAAACCCAAGCTTTCCTGACGGAATTCTTCCTATCAGCCGCGCGTGACAATGTCGCCGGTTTTGGAGAGTGGTACAACCAGTTGACAGAGGAGGAGAAAGCCAAACTGAACGAGCTCTCTCCAGCACAATGATGTTGATGCTCAGCAGTCGAATAGTCGCATGGCTAATCCTTAGATTACATGCGTCGCATGAGTACCTTCGGAGTGATTTGGACTTAGGCTTGGGTAGTAAGTGACCTTTCGGTGACTTCGAGTTGTTGGGTGCCGGGCGGAGACTCGTCAGAGTTATATGCAATGAATTACACACAAGGAGTTTAATACCCTAGCATGATGGGCAACGATGACATGAGGATTAGGGAGATCATTGCCTATGGCATGGTAAAGTCCCCAAGTAGTAAATAATGTTTTACTGCCTAGGTAGTGATCTAATCCTACGGGCCTGCGCTTATAGGTATTGGTGTATTTATCAAATGCTGTCGGCTTTGGTAAATATATAAGAGCAAGATGCAGTCACCTGGTAGTTAGTTAGCTAGATCTCTAGGCGACGTGCTACTAAATCAAACGGTATAAATGATGAACAAATCACTTCTGGTAATACTTATCTACCTGTCTTGTCAACCTTTGTCAAATTATATCTAGGCATGTCTCGAGTCACAATTGAGAAGACGTATTTAGGGGGGAGAGTATTTTCATTGTAGTAAAACTTAGATACCTATCATATAATGACAAGGCCAAGTGTAATCTTCCACCAATACATGTGGAAATGTTCTCTTCCTGAGTTCATAAGTTGCAATCTCGTCGAAATCAATATAAGAAGGAGGTGGTGGTGGTGGCCCATGGAGAGGAGAAAAGCATCGTTGAGTTCGTTGATGATAATCTCTTGTGGTTGTTGTCAGGGCCACCACCACACATCACACGTCTTGGTATACCGATGAATCGACGAAAAGAAAAAAACAAAGGAAAAACAAAGGAAATAAAGGAAAGAAATCAAGCGTAAAAATCAATCAGACCAGTTCGAATGCTTCATGCATATCGGGTGTCTTTTTTTTTTTTTTTTTTTTTTTTTTTATCAAACGAACTCCGTAAAACTCTCGTAGTATCCCCCTCTCCCCCCCATATCATATCATAACCGTATCCATGGCCATGAGTTTTTCCATGCCACAAACGCCCAGGTTCATCAATGCGTTTCTCATGAGTATCCCGAAGGAAGGCGGCAGAACCAAGGATAGCAGATTAAAAATAAAAAAAAACGGGCGAGGCACTTTATCCATCGAGCCAGGGCGCCGCCATCTCCGCATCCCCCTGCACATCTCGGATGCGCATGCTGTCATCCACCTGGAGCCTCTGGGCAAAGACGCGGTACGTGCGGCCGATGTCGCCGGCGCCGATGACCATGGTGCGGTAGCTGACCCACAGCAGGCCCTCGCGCGTCGGGTCGTGCTCCCCCGCGCCCGCACCCACGCCCCAGCGGTACGTGAAGTTGCAGCGCTCGACCGCCTCCGCCATCGTCATCGTCGTGCCGTCCTGCTCGAGCAGGTCGTTGCCGAAGATGTCGTCGAGCATGCCTCCACCAATACCACCAATACCACTAATACCACCGAGACCACCAAGACCACCAAGGCCATCGTCGTCATCGTCCATAAAAGCAGCGCCAGCCCCAAACGCGGCCCCGCCGGCGGCGAACGCGGCGGCGGCGCGGGCGTTGAGGAACTCGGTGACGACGCGGTTGTTGGCGGCGTGGATGCTGCTGTAGGCCGCGAGGGAGTCGAGGGGGCGGCCGGCGGCGGGGTCGGGCCCGCCGAAGACGCTGTAGACGTAGGTGCGGCCGGGGCGCGTGGTCGCGCAGAGGCGCGCGTACTCGGCCGCGTTGGCCTGCGTGATGGTGAACGCCATCGGCGCCGGGATCTCGGCGTGCTGGATGGGCCGGTGGTCCATGGCCGAGGACAGCGCGATGGTCGCCATCTGGTGCAGGACGCGCTCGGGTCTGCGTGAGATGGCGTGGGGGGTGAAGAGGGACGAGGGGAGTTGGCGCATGGTGATGGTTGCCTTGGCGGGTTAGCTGGGTTGGCTCGCTTGTCGAGGAGGTGTTTCTTGGTGCTTGGAGGGGGGGGGCAATGGGTAGGGAAAGGGAGAGGGAGTAAGGGAAAGGGGAAGTGGGAATGGGAAGTAGGGTGTAAGATATTATGATATTATGACTAGTAGAATTAATAAAGCATACCTCTCGTCGGTCCTCGTGGGAAACAATTCTGATGTTCCAATGATCTTGAGCTGAGGAGGCTTCAAAGTGACGGCCGGCTTCTGCCGCGCCTTGAGCGTTGTCATTGCTTTGCTCCGAGGAGCCCATTCCTGCCTGGTTCTGAGAAGAAGACTCCATAGTGGACGATGAAATATTTCTTTTTTACTCAGATTGATCTAATCCTTGTTAGTGATGAGTGATGAGTGATGAGGTATGGATACCTGAGTATAAGTATGGAAGTGTTAGGCTGTGAAGGTACTTACATTCTTGCTATGAGTGATCGATATGAAAGCTTTCTTGCTTCGCGTTGGCTCAAGTAGAGCGAGATGATTTAAGATCAAAGTAAAGTAACCTCGAAAATATAAAGTGAATAGCTGTAACTATTACCATATAGGCAAAAGCTAGGTCACTTTATATGTCAGGTAGGTAGAACGAGCGAAGGAGGAAGGGTGAGTGGCGAGAAAATGAGAGGATGGGTTTGCAGAAAAAAAAAAGAGAAGAGAAGAAGAAGAAGGCCTGGAATATGAGCTGCTTTATATAGTAAAATATTTTGCTGCAGCTTAGTCGTTAAGCGGGTCTGAATCGCTGCCTGAGAACCTCACTGGGAAGTCACCAAGCTCCCTGGCAAGGCAGGAACCCAAGTTTGGCCTCAGTCTGCCATCTGTAGGCAGTCGATATAATGCGGATCCGGCCCAAGAAGGCTAGAGAGATGAGTCTTGACAAGCTATTGGCACTGGGCTAAGCATGCTACCCTCGGGGGTTGAGCAAGTTTGTAGTTGTCAAGTACTCTATCGACTCTACGCGGGAAGGTCCTCTTTGTAATAGAGGTTTGTTATAGGGGGTATAAGGTGAAGCTATCGTGAACCTGTTGTGAACTACTAGAGAGTACCTTCCCAAAAGGATTCACGGGGCATGTGTGTTTTCCTTTGAATACTGTGGAAGGCACCCTATTATACGGGGCTGACCATAACCTGATCCTCGCCACCTCGAGGGTCAGCAAACACTTTGGCACTGTGACTTCCCTTCCGGAATCATCTAAAGCGGATCACTTGCAAAGGGCATGAACATTTCGTTGAGTGTTAAGGGTCACAGGCTGTCCAATGATGCCTGAGGGAGGCAGGTTGGCAAGATCAACTGGTTGTATATAAGACGCAGGACTACATATATATACACTGATAGTTGCGTAAGTTAGACTTGTTAAGCACAAATAAATTACTACCTAGTATAATATAAAATCATACCCTGGTGGCCCAGAATATGAGAAAGGAAAGTGCTTAGGTATATGAATTGTTATGCAACTCCACGGTCTAGCCCACAGAAATCGAGATGGGCAAACAGGAACAATAATTATTCCATTTCCCATTGCCTGGGGGAGTAAAATCACACTTGTAGTATCTCGTGTCTCCAGAAGAGGACTGCAAGGTAGAATAAACACAGAATGAAGAGATATATCACTGAAGTCACGTGGAGAAGAAAGAGTTGGGCATGAGGTATGAGAAATATAAGCTGTTTTAGTTAGGTATAAAGGAGCCATACTACCTAGGCACCTAGTAGGTAATTATTGTATTGACAACTAGAAGTCTAGCCCACCAAGTGGCCCCTTGTAGTCAGAAGAGAAGATAAAATACGTTGTAACTTAGGTTCTTCAAAATCATACATAATTCCTTCCAATCGACGACGATACTATAGGTATGATCAATATTATCTATCTTGATTCAGGGTATATCATCTCTATCTATATCTCCATATCTATATCTAAACATATTTCTAAATTTATTTCTATTTCCATTCCCTCCACCCTCCCCCCTCTCTCTTCATTATCGTCATCATCTTCCCTTCATCACATTACAATCAAGCCCAAACAACAGCCATAGGCCCCAACTCCGTCGTCTCGTCGAACTCCCCCAGCGTGTAATTCCCCACCACCCCCTCCACCAGCCCCGTCTTCGGATTCCGCGCCAGCACCGTCACATCGTTAGAAACCTGGTTCCCCACCGCCACGAACCGGTTCTCCGCGTCGGGCGACAGCGAGAAGTGCCGCGGGATCTTGCCGTGGGTTGGGTTTAGCGCCAAGAACTCGAGATGTTGCTGCCCACTGCCGGTGGTAGTATTGGTGGAGGAGGAGGAGGCGGAGGCGGAGGCGGAGGGGTGCACAGCGTACACAGCCAAAGTATCGCTGTCATACGACTTCGTGTTGCGGTTCGACACGTACAGGAACCTCCCGTCGTTCGTGACGGCGACCTCGGACGCGAGGTCCTCGTTGACGAACGCCGTGCGGTTAGCCCCCGGGCCGAGCGTCGACGCCGTCTGGATGTGGGTTATCCTCAACTCGCCATTCTCCCCCGACTTGCACGCGCTGTTGTCGACGCCATCGAGCGCGAACACAGTCACCGTGTTGTCGATCTCGCCGACGAGGTACATGAAGGTCCTGCTGATGCTGACCTTGCTGAAGGTTACGTGGCGGGGCCCAGTCCCGGCCGCGACGGTGATGTTGTGGATGTGCTTGACGCTCTCCGGGCCGTCGACTTGGTAGACGTAGACCATGTCCGCGCCTCTGTCGGGCACGAATAGGAACTTGCCCGACGGGTCGAAGGAGGCGGCGTGCGGGTAGGCTTGAGTCTGCGACTCGTCCTTGCCCGGGCCGGGCTTCTCGATGGTGTACTTGAAGACGAAGGTTGGATCTCCGATTACGCCTGATTTTAAGGGGTAGATTGAGACAGTTGAGCCATCGCTAATCTTCCGTTAGCAGGAGGCCATAGTAAGGGTTTCGGGGAGAAAGGGGAAAGGGGAAAGGGGGGCACTAACATGTTGGCAGCAGCCAAGGTTCTACCATCTTTACTGATATCGCAATAAACACCTCCAAGACCATTTGAGCTCGTGCTGCTCATGAGATTCAGCGGGCTCTGAACTTGACTCAATGCGGTCTCGCCCCAAGCGAAAACACCGCCGGATTTAGAAGAGTTGTCGGGAAAGTTTGTCCGTGAAACTGAGTACAGCATGTCCCCTCGCGGGTGGATCCATCCGGGCTTGCGGCCGGCATTGGTCGTGCTTAGGAGCTGTAGGCTCTTGGATGCATCCTGGCTTGGGTCAAAAGCGAAAGTTAGGATGCCTCGAGCCTGGTGAGCGACTCGTAGTGTTATCGAAGTTGAGGCAGGGGCAGGGGCCGCTGCTACGGAATATGCAAGGAGGAAAACAAAAAATGCGATCATGATGTATGTTATCATAATTAGCTATTCCTAAACAAAAGGGAAAAGGAATATAGGAAACTATATTGATGAAGCACCGAAAGGATGGCACTTCGGATAGAGCTGATGATAGATACATATTCTGAGCGGGTTCTCTGTCTCTTTTTATAATTGCTTGTATACTAGATTCTGCTGTCGTCCTTCGGATCCATCGCCAACCACGTATACGTATAGCCCTGTCATGGTTGAACCACATGCATGTTGGTTTGCTCTGGTAATAGATTGCGTTTCGATCCGTGCTAGGGCTGTTGGTAACGACCTCGTCGTATATCTCTGATTCCACTTGACAACCATTCTATTTTAATCTCCCAATAAGCTTATTTCTTCATTTTATTTTACTTCAAGGCTATTGCTGCGGCGCAAAAAATAATAGAAAGGAGCAATACCTAGTACAATACCTAGTATAGAGCGATGTTCGCTTGTCGGCCGAGTCTGGTCCTTGATTCAGCCTCAACCAACACTTTAAATGCTTGCTTCGCTAATCTAAGCCACTGCTGTTGTTTTAACACGCTTGTGTCGCAGCCTCGGAGAGATGACGTATTTCTGTATGTAGGTTAGGTAGTGTTGGTAACAAGCGATGTAGCGTTGCTATCATCCCGGATTCCCGGACCACCAGTGCCGCAACCGGCACGGCCAGCGAAACTCGCAACGTCTAGTCTAGTGTACTTTGTGATCTGGGATTGGAAATGCCATCAACTTAAGTCTGTGTTGCGGTCCATGTTTACGACTAGCTCGTCCAGTCATGGTCATACTCTTTCTCCATTCATCAGTGTAAGCTCACCGCCTACCCACAACACCGCTTTTGCCGTGACTACTAGGTATCTTTATGGGGGGCTGTGTACGAATATGGTCAGCCATTAGTCAATATTGATTGTGAAATGGGGACTGAGTTACTAGATAGTTAGGTAACTACTAGCTACCTACGGCAACCTACCCAGCATTGAAGTACCTACCTACTCGGCCGGTGTAGTCAAAATAGGGATTACCTCAAAGCTGCAGAAGTCGGAGAAATGATCCACAAGGTAAAAAAGTGGGAGAACCTTAAGACAAACGATCGACTCCTTTAATCGAGCATCATTTCCTCTTCTTGATTTATGACATTGCGCCTCTTTTGATCACAAAACCTCAAAGACTGGGGAGAGAAGCTTATTTCTATCATAAGCCACTATCATCGATCATCTTTTTACGACGGTGAAAATATTACTGACATACCTATATAAATACCTAGGTAGGTAACTAGGTAGTTAGAGGGCAAAGAGAAGGGTAATAATCCAGGCAATAATCGCACTTTGTATATAGTCATAGTCTTTCTTCCATTGAATGATTCGTCATCTCCATGCAGTCAAACCCAAGTCTAAAGTCGTAAGAAGCCAGAAACCCGTACCGGACCCTTACAAAAATACATCCGGTCCATGCAAGCCCTCATGCCCAGAAGCTCATTTCATTATACAACAGCAACAACGCCCGCCTCACTATGCTCGTGGATCTCGTCATGACCTTCCAAATCAGCCAGAACACCGGTCGTCCCAATAATCTCATCACATAAATGACCTCCTTCTAGGCGTCACTGGAATTCCCCTTCAGCAGGGCTCGTAAACTAGCCATCTCCCTGCGGAGACGCGCATTCTCCCTCTTCGTTCGTGCCGTTTCTTCACTGCACTCCTTCATGCGGCTCATGAGCTCCTCCTTGTCGTCGCGCCCCTTGCCCTTGAGCGCCTTCACAATCTTCCCCAGTTCACTATTAAATTTCTCGTACAGGAGCTCGTTCTCTGCCGTAGCCTCCTTGAATAATTGATCAACCGCCTTGACCTTGGCTTCCGTAGCTCTGAGGGTGCCTTCCATGTCTCGTTGGAGTTGTTCTTGCCTATCCGACAGTTGAGAGATGAGCGCGGGCACACGCTCCTCCAGTGATTTCACGCTCGACGACAACTTTCGAATATCAGCCGTCGCGCTGCGTGGAAACGACGAGTTGACTTTGGCCATGTCCGCCGCAATCTTCGAGAGCTCGACCTGTAAGTTGGCATCAACCTCCTCAACCGCTTTCCTCTCCGTTTGCAGACGCTCGCGAAGCTTCTGTGCCGATTGTAATCGAAGCTTCCCTGGTGACTTGGAAGGACTGCTGGCCGCTTTAGAGGTTGACTCGGCTCCTCTTGCTGCACCGAAATCGTGTGGCCTTAAGGTGGGAATATTGGAGGTAGAAAGCATCTTGGCATGCCCCTTCTTTGGCGATTCACCCGATGAGCTCTCGCCCCGGAATTGATCCTCATCATTCTCCTTCTGTCGAGAAGATCGAAGGCTCAAGTTATTCGAGAGATATAGTGAGTTGGGGCTGGTTGGGATTTTCGACGGTGCATGGATACGTGGACCAGAATTGAACTTCTCGGAAGTTTGCTTCGTGTTAGAAAGAGGTTGTAGCGGTTCAGGTGGCGACACAGGCTCGGGCAGTTGGCCATCCTCGAGGCTTGCTGCTGCCATAAGGGTCTTGAGGTCTGATAATGAACTTCGACGTTTTCTTCTCGGGGCCTTGGCTACAGCTTCCTCAATCTCAGGCTCTCCAATCGTTTCAAGTTTTTGTGAGCTGCTCGGCCGTGACGAGGAATCTTCAAATGCACCGGCTACGGGAGGCCTGTCGCGCGACCCGGGTCGTCTTAATCTGTTCGGGTTTGAGGGATTCCCGACATCGACGGACCTTGTCCTTACTACGTGTCCTTTCACAAAATTAGAAGTCTCGCCAGTAGCCGGGTGTCTGTTGTGCTTGCTTAAGCTACGCCACACCGAAGGACGAGTTTCTACGTCACTCTTGCTACTATTTTGTCTTGTCAAAAAGTTGTCAAACCCAAATTTCCTTCTTATAGAGGACGTGTTCGATGTCAATGACCCGTTATGCGATTTCCCACTACGGATAGTCGAGTTCATTGATTCGAAAGCGGGCATTAGAAGAGCCATGCTTGCGCTGAGACCGCTCGAAGCGTCATCGAAAATGCGGTCACAGTCCTCCACGAGCCTATCAAGGAGGTTGATATAGTTGTGTGCAGTCCCATCGTCAACCAGAAGTTCGGAGAAGGCTAGAGTAAGAGCTCCCCTGTCGCTGTCGTTCCCACAACCGTCCAGGAGATCAGCTAAAAGCTTAATAAGAGCGGTGAAGGCTCTTCGATTCTGTGGCGCCATATCTGCGAATAGAAAACGGACAAAGTCCGCAAAGTCTCCTGGTAGCTTTTTAGACGCTCTTTCCTGCAGGGCGAGCAGTGCTTTTGGCGTCATGATGGGCCCCATCTGTTCCCTCCATGCGATACGCACAAACTTTTCGAAGGCGACAAAGACGACGTCAGGGGTAAGATCAGATGATGCATCAATGTCAAACGGACTTTCGATGAGCTTGTTGTAGAGATCATTGACGGAAAGTTCATCGACGCCGGATCTGTTGAGTAGCGTTCGACCAATGAAGCTTCCTTTTCGTGCTTGGAGACTAGCCATGTAGCCGGTAAAGGTTTCTTCGAGTCGGACTAGAGGGTTTTCTGGTCGATCATCATCAAAGCCGCCGATACGAATACCTTCCCTACTCTTGGCCGAACCATATAATGAATTCGCATCCCTGGAGCTATTGGACCGGCTGAGTTGGTTTTGGAGAATAGCTGATGATTCTCCTGCTAAAGTGCGTTGTTGATTTTGATGTTTGGGGCTGTTGGCAGCAAGATCCGGAGTGCTGCCTCCACTTAAGAAGTTTGAGAGATACTTGACAGGTGATGTAGCTAAGAATGATCTGGTTTTCTCCGCCTTGTTCGTGACACTTAAACCCCGAAGTATTTTTGTATGAAATGATACCATCGCAGGGGTGAGCCCAGGGTTTTCGACATTGAATTGAGTGCTAAGAAGCTGGATAACTACAGCTAAGTTAGTAACAATATCATCACTTTGCTAAGAAAGGGATCTTACTTCTCCTAGCAAGCGTCGGAAGAAAGTCTTCCAGCGCGACCTCGTCAGTCGCCTTCTTCCCATGAAGTCCTGTCGTATTCACAACCACCTTCCCCATATTCCCCGTTGTTATGCCTGAGCAGATTTCTACACCATAGTGACCTATGGGCGCACCTTTGGTGCCTTTTTCATGGTCTACAACAATACGAATGGGAGCTGGCTCTTTTCGACCCTCAATAAGTTGGTCGAGACCTTCTTGAAAGACAGCTGCAAAGAATCCCAAACCAGTATCAGGCATTCTCACAGACCGTAGCATCCAGCAAGGATCCTCACGTTCCTTCTCGGCAAATCTGCCCTCTACCCTAGCCTTGACGACGTCCTCGCCCCATTTTGCGGCTCTGCCCTCATATGACTCACGTAGCATAAAATACCGGGATGTGATTGCTGTGTTGGTTACATACTCGCTCGCATGTCCACCTTGCATTTCATTCAATGAAGTCATCCAGACCATACGCCCATCCGAGGACTCCGTGAAACGGACGTCTGCTAAGGCGTGCCAACCGGCAAATGCCAACTCATAAGAGCCTGGGCCACCAGCTGCGTTCGTCATGGAAGCTAATAGGCCCGCTGGCGATGGCTTATCAATCTCTCGCAATAAATCGCGGGACGTTATGTTCGAGCCATAGACCTTCCTCACAATGACAACACAGTCCGAGAAAAGTAAGAAGATGCCTGCTTGGTCGTTTGAGACAGGATCCGCACCAACGCCAATTTGGTATGGGGCCGGTACCTCGAAGAAATCGGCAGCAACAATTAACCGACCAAAGGGCTCGAGATCGGAAGGCCAGCTCTCAACCATGTGTCGTAGGCGCGTGTTGACATGAGGCTTGTCCGTGAGTGGTTCGTCCATGGAGCAAATGTTGGCAATTATATCACGAGCTTTTAGCATAGGCTGCAGCGCAGGATGCGTGATGGGTAGACAGCTAACAATCTGGTCTATGACTAGGCTGTATCGTGGTAGTCGTTGAACAGGTTCGATGACGGTGGAGCGAAGATGTTGCTCTCCACCAAGCGCCAACCTATTTGAAAAGCTAGATTGTTGGCTGATGAAGGAAGTGATCAGTTGAGGGAAATTCTGGCTTGCTCGAATATAGTCCTGGTAGCATTCGGTGAATTTTGGGAACCATTCTAGCATGACTTTAGCCATTGCTAAAGCTCCGCTTGCGTCTTTCGTCCTCGTCATCACACTTCCCGATATGCCCACTCTTGAGGATGCGGATCCTGATTCCATGTCTTTTGAAGCATCGCCTTCGGTATCATCCATGACCTGTCGTATTGCTTGCATGAAACCTGAATTGATTTGTAAAATCTCATCAGCTGATCTAGGGAAGAGCTTCTCAACATCTTCTTCTGAAGGGCTAAAGCTACCCGGCTGCCGATCCTTTGCCCTCTGCCTATATTCTGGTCCAAGATGATTCACTAATTCGTCCATCTTGACTACATAGCGCTCTTCGGTATCAACCAACTCGGTCATTTTTCGGCGTAGCTCCGCCTTCTGGTCCTTGGAGAAAGATTTTGTTCTGTTTAGCGCGCTCGGTTTTGAAGGGGCTCGTCGCAATCTCGAAGTAGGTAGGAACACGGGCTCTCCAAAGAGCTTGACCAGAGGAGTGTACATTCCATATTGTCGTAAACTTGGATCCAAGATATCATCCTCGTCTTCGGGCACATCCTCGAGATCAGCAGGCTGTAATGGGATTATGGATCCCGGAGGTAAGACAAGATCGATGTCGACATTGCTTATATGCTGGGTTTGAAGGGCAATTTGAAGCTTTTGAATGACCTCTGGCGTGTTGTCGGCTCTGACCATTGACTTGGCTATGTCGGCAGCATGTTGCTCGCCGAAGAGTGTTGGCAATGAACCCGGCCTTCGGCCTTTCATGGTGGGGTATTGACTCTTGACATGAGCTTTGACATGTTCCGGAAGCTCGTGGAAATACTTGAATAGGCCGAAAGCCAAGGCTCGATATACCTCATCTCCCTGAAACTCTCGAGGTAGGTGGTTGACGACATTATAGAAGGGCGAATTCGGGGAAATGGTAAGTCGAGGAAAAGACCGGAAGCCGGCCGGGGTATATACATGAACCTGGACTCTGGAGCTGTTGAAGGTATAATTGGCGGTGGTAGAGGGCCCATGAAGTATTAACAAGGGGAGGTGGCCGAGCAAAGGGTCGGTAGCTTGATAGAGAGTGAGATGGTCTGGCGACAAAGCCAGTTCCTCGGTGACGCGGACCATGGTCGCCTTAATGGGCCTTTCGCATCGTGCTCCGTATGGGTAGGGAAACGAGCGTGAGGAGATCGATGGAAAGACCCAGTGGCAAGTTCAGCTATGTAGAGGTCTCGGGAGAGTGGTGACTCGTCAATCTGGGTAAACAAGTATGCTGTGCTTCCTTTCGGGTGCGCGTCGGGACCTGCAGCTATTTGTTTACTTTTGACCGAAAAGCAAACTGTACCTCGCCGGATCGGTAACACACAAGGCTGTGGCTGGGGAAAGGACCAATGCGATCAGGACGAAGGGAAGAAAACATGAAAAAGAAAAAAAATGTGGAAAAGGGAGAGAAATCCTTAGACAATTAATATCTACCTAGTACGCAAAAAAAGATCGAGAAATTAATCTCGAGAATTGCAAACGCAAGAACAATCATAAAGTCCTATGGCGAAGAATGAGTGTGAATGTTGAATACTATTAATATGTATTATCATTTGCGGTCAACAACGAAACGGCGGCGGACTAGGATTAAAGCCGGGTTGGGTAGTAAGGTGGTATGGTACTAAGGTAGGGTAAGGTTATTGTTTTTTTTTTTTTTTTTTTTTTTTTAGTAACTAGTCCACCTGACACCGAGTTACGGTCCGGTTCTTGATTCGGGGAGTTTTTTCTTTTTCTTTTTCTTTTTCTTTTTTCTTCTTCTTTTTCAATTTTTCAAAAACCTTTTTTTTTAGTGTCTTGCCAGTTTGTCCTGCCAACCAGACACCTGGACGCGACCTTGCAATCGCGTTTCTTTTGAGAATACCTTGATGTATACATGTACCGAGGCAACATTGAATTGAACCCCACCAGAAATACTCGGGCCTACGGTAGCACTGGGTAGCACATACATCCTGTTGTACTACTCTGTCCTACGTAAATCTCAGTATAGTATGTACGTACATGTCCATGATGGATTGTTGAATAATACCTACATACCTTAGTAACATTGAAATATCGTTTCTTCATCAAAAGTACCTACCTTACTCATCCTCACCAGGAAATTGAAGTTAATGAACAGCTGTGCTAGTACCAGTAATCATGTCTAGCCAACCAGATGCGGGGGTTCCTCTTAGCCATGCGCCAGACGGCAACGGATATAAGTTATTAGAGCTACCGCCTGATTTGCTCGCTCTTCTAGAATCAGAAAATCCCCCGGTGTCAGTGGACCAAGCGTCTCATATGTACTCATTAACGACCTCGAACATCGTGCACTAACTTATTGTTTATTTTTTGCATTGCAGTCTAACTTTAGAATCCTCGCCGAATTCCGCCATCTTAAAAAACGGTGCTCAGTCATGGGGTCTCCGTCAGAAGAACACATCAAATGCTTTGATCTTGCTTAAGTCTACGGAGAGTACAACCTTGTCTTCGTCTCAAATGCCGACAGCTAGCTTGAAAGCCATCGCGACGATCCACGATACGGTTGAACTGGTTTCGGAACCTTCCGAAAAGGCGGCTCCTGTTGCGAGAGGGAAATGGCATGAGAAATTTGCCCGTGGAAGGTAAAAGGATATCAAAATGGAAAAAGGGGCTTTTTATTCCTGCAATGCAAACTTCATTCATTACAGTGTTTACTAGATAGAAATCAACACTGACAATATACACCACATCTAAGCTCCTACATCGCCTCAATACTTCGTACCTGGTATATAACCCCACCTCGAAACCCCAAGAATGATAGTCAGAGCATCTCGATTCGTATCTCGGTGCACGTTTCCGAAGACATGAATACCTAGGTACAAGCTCGAATCAGGAGCTAAATAATTTACGTAATCCAAAGCCCGGGCCATTATCAGTGGATCCGGGTCCGTCATAAGTTCATAACCAACCTACAGTAGTACTACTAGTAACTAGTTATTAGTACCTAAGCTTACCGTACAGGGCCCCGTGGAAAAGCTTCTATTTCCCCAGCTCCCAATTCCGCAAACAAAAAGAAAATGAACAACTTCGGGGTAATCGAGCTCGCGAGCACAAAGACAACCAACGCCCCCGGCTGGGCCTACGTCCCGGACAACACGGCGCCGCACCTCGCGTCCGCGGCGTCGTCATTGCAGCCCGGCCACCGCAACAAGCGGGCGGCGCGCAACCAAGCCGCGAGCAGCACCAGCGCCTTGTACGCCGACGCCGACGCGCGGCAGGAGGCGAAGCTGCGGCGGGAGATCGAGGCCCTCGACCGCGACAACTACCACCGCGACATCGGCAGCATCCCCGTCGTCGCCGGGAAGGGCGGCAGTGGTAAAGCGGCGGGGAAGAAGCACACGGCCAACGTGCGCAAGATCCTGCAGTCGCAGAAGACGTTCGCGAACCACCTCGCCGACTTCGAGGCCCTGCTCTCCCAGGAGAAAACAACGAGTACCGGCCTTTCTGCCACTGCCGCCGCAGCCGCAGCATCATCATCATCATCAGCGGCGGCTTTAGAAAAACAACAACAGCAGCAGCAGAAAAAACACAGCAAAAAGAAATCACAAACCCGGCCATCGTCCCGCTCGGCATCGATATCGAAAGCAACGCCCGCCGTGAAGCAAGAAGAAGACGACGTCGAGATGCTCGACGCCGACGCCGACGCCACCTCCACCTCCACTCCCCATCCCCACGATCCCCACACGATCCTAACGCCCTCCGCGCGACCCTCCCCCCCCTCCTCCTCGCACCCCCTCGACGCCTCTCCTCTCCTCATCTCCCGCGTGCCCCCGCTCCCCACAGACGCGGAGCTGAGAGCGTTGCTGTCGGCGCCGCCGCTAAGCTACACGGAGGCGCGGGCGCGGTGGACGGCGGACGACAAGCGGTACCCCGCGCGTTCGTTCTGCGAGGTGTGCGGGTACTGGGGGCGGGTGCGGTGCATGAAGTGCGGGGTGCGCGTGTGCGCGCTCGACTGCCTCGAGACGCACCGCGAGGAGTGCGTTACGCGGTATGGGCTGTGAATCGGTGGATGGCCGTTCAGGTAGGTAATATCTGAGATGGGACTATTTGTTATTAGGTACTCGAGATCGCATATCTAGATGAGGGCAGCAAGGGGGGTGCGATATCAGAATATGTACTTCCTTACACGGCGTTTTTCCCCCGGTAGGAAAAGGATGGAGATTGAAAAATACGAAGTAAAGGGGGAGGAAGGCGTATTGGCAGCACAAAAGTCACTTATCATCAATTAATTCAAGCAGCAAAGATACCCCAGTCACACTCGCACAACGAATACAGAAGACAGAAGACAGAAGCAAAATATTGTTCGCGCAATGGTTTTTTATTGGAAGAGATATATATACATATACAGTTCTGATTTCGGAGAAAGGGCGCAAAGTGGCCTTTCTATCTATCTGTGAACGACGGCAGGTAGCGGCAAGTATAAATAAAACAAGCCAGCTCCCGCTTCAAGCAAGCAAACGCTATAACTACCTACATATTTCGAAGTCCCGAAATAATTGGGAGTGCTCCGAAGCCCGTACGCCTACGTCGGAGTACCCGTCGTGGCTCTGGCTTTGGCTGGGATGATTTTCATATCACCATGGATTTAATGGCTGGCCGGCTGGCTCATGACGGTGAATCGAGAGTGAAGTCCACGTTACCCAACGTCGCTCCACCGGTACACGTGCCGCTCATGCTACCAGTTGGGCAGATAGCTCTGGCAGCGCGTACGCAGCCCTCCCAACGGCCTTTGGAGATGTTGATGGTAGCGTCCGTGGCAGTGGCGCGTAGGGTGAACTCAGCAGTGCCGGAGCGGCCGACGGTGCTCTGGGGCGAGCCGCCGCATTTCGTGATGGTGCCTGCGATGCCGTCGCAGATGTTGAGCTCGGCTACGTTCTGGTCGTGGAAGACGATGTTTCTGTATGGGTTTATAGGTTTAATTACGGACCTGGCAGAGAGAATGTTATATCAGATACTCGTCACACTAGACTTACACGTTCGGGTCTATACACCTCACTTCGGAAACCGCTGAAGGGTCTACATCTGCCGACGCTCGCATGGACAGGACTTCTAGGTGCTCGTTTGCTACTGAGTAGCGAGGCAAGATGGGGAGAGGCTGTTGTATCGGGCTAGCGAGAGAGATGCTTGCTGCGGCAACGAGGAGCAGGGAGTTGAGGAGAGTAGTAGAAATCATTTCGGTGTTACTCGGAGACTTGTGGCTAATAAAGCTGCTGTTTTGTTGAGGAAGAGACTGTGTAGGGGATGGGCAAGAGTCTTCTGTGAAGGTTGAAAAGATGAAATAAAATAAGACGTCAAGTCGAGATACTGTGAAGATAAATAGTGCCCGGCACTTCTGGTTGAAGAGAATAAAAAGAAGAAGTTACCTGTGGGTAGAAATTGGCAGTAGGTGAGCAGAAACGAAGTGGTACAGAGGTGTATATACGAACTTGAGACGACGAGCTTTTAAAGGGATGAAATGATAGGCGACCAGGTGTCGCGCCGGGAGACTCGCACGACATGAATTGCATTATCCACCCAGGTAGCCGTGAGTTACACGGGGATTGTGCTTGTCCCCCCGGAAGCTAGGGTTGCGTAAAATGCGCATTATAAAGTAAAGTGCGCGTTTAATTCATAACCCCTGTAAAATGCGTTTAATTCAGTATTATACTCAAGGTGGGGCACGTGACCACCCTAACCTAATACACTTAGTATATAGCACTCTTCCAAACTCACTCGCAAACACTGTTCTATGGATATACACAATTCAGCTAGATCTCTCAAAAGGCATATCGTCAATCTCTTAAGGCCCAATGCCAAAGCCATTTTAATAAGTGGTCTTCCATTTAATTCTTACGGATTTACCGCTTTTATTAAAGCGGTTTAACTACTCAATCCATTATATACGCCATTAAAGAAAAACGTTATTCGCAACCGTTAAGGAATGACGAGATACCTGTAAAATTATGTAATCTCACCAAATTTTGGTGCATATTTTTTTCTACTTAAGTATATCCCCACTTTTCAATTTCGGACCCACCGCATTTTACTTTAAAGTGCGGAATAAAACTTGAATTATACCCGTATAATTCAAGTTGAATTAAACTCTGCGCAACCCTACCGGAAGCAAAGTCCCAATCGGGGGTTCGTCGATCAAATCTGTGACGAAGCTTTCCAGTGGTGCGTGCAAATGTTGCAACACGATACATTATAGAAGCTTGGCAGTTCTCAAAATAGAAAAAAACTCCACGATGTGACTGGTGGAACTACTGTACCCAGGGTAGGTAAGTAGTACTTTCTCTACCTAACTACCTAGGTGGGTAGTAGAATGAAGCAAGCTGAGGAAATTGTCAATTGTGAGAAACTCCATCAGAAGGAGTACGACAAGGGATGGTGATAATTGGATGAGACCGTATTTTCATCTTCTTCATCTTCCATGTACCTCGATTCGATAGGAAAGCTGGTAGATCATTATACCAGCAGCCTTATGCCTGTAGACCTAGGTATGTAGTAGGCAAGATGCTGGTGATCATCTGGAAATCATCGGGTGATCGTATAAAAGCTTCCCTGTGCCCTTCCCTGTGTCGCTCTTGGTGACATGAGAAGAGGCAGTTGTAGACGGGTAACAAGGTGTGGGGGGGGTGCTCTAGGGGGGGGCGCTCTAGGGGCTCTTGGACATGAAACAAGCATGTCGCTAGCTCATACAGGGGTTCGTGCTACACTAAGAGGCCTCACTCAATCGGAAGATACAAATTGGACCATAACTAGTGTATGTAGGTACCTAGGTCCTAGGTAAGTTATCCGCAGTTTATTTTCGATGATTCTGAAACTCGTGGTCCCAGTGTGTACTACCCTACTATGTATCGTTCTAGAATTCATCGCCGTCATTCTAAAGCTAACCTAGGCTTACTATACTAGCAACTTTACATTAGGTATGTTACCGTATGTAAAATTCACAGGTTAGCATTGACGTGATGCTAACGCATGTTGATGCAGCTAGCATAGCTACCCTAGATGCCTAACCTAGGTATTTTATATATGCCATTATATGGATATGGATATGTCCTTTGGTAGCATCATGTATTAGAAGCAGGTTCAGACGATGGGTCTAACCTCGTCTAATTCTCAAATAACCGAACGAATCAAGTTACCAGAACAAATATGTCCATATTGTCCACATTGAAAGCTACACTATAGTACATAGCTAGCTAACTACCTGTTACACGCCTTTTCGTTGTCCACAAACTCCACATCCTCCCGAATCTCCCGCGTTCAGATACAAACTCTCTCGGCAAGATGAGCTCTTGCATTTCCAAGAGCCTGGCACCTTTCTTGGATCTAAAACATGAGAACAAACATCGCATATGGTAGCTTTTGGTCCGCTAGCGAAAGAGCACATAACACAGACACCTGGTTTCGAATCGGGAGCCTCGCCGTCATCATCGATCAAGATGGGCTCCATGTTTGCTTCCTGTGATGGAGATCTCTTGGTGCCGCTTTTCTCGTCTCTCTCGTCACGCTGATCAAGTGACCCCAATTCTTGAGCTTTGGCCCCTATTGACGAAGAAGATGAAGATGTACGCTTCTCGGGTTTCTCGGGCTTCCACTTAATCGTAGACTGGAAGAGCTCTTTCATCTCATTCTGCACATCCTCGTCTTTGACGTTCTCATCCTCGCACACCTTGACAAAGTTATGCCCCTTCTTATCCACAAGGCGTTTGCCGTTGATGTCCACGGCAGCCTCACCCTCATTATCACTAGCAGTTTCGGATTCGGTGCCACTTTGTGTCTCGTCGTCATCTTCGCCTTTAATTTTCTTGTCTTCGTCTCCCGATTTCTTCTGCTGATCAAATCGGGCCAACGCCGCAGCTGCTCTCAGCTCTCGCCCTCGTTTGCTCGCTGCTACTCGAGGTTTGCCTTGGACTTTCTTCCCCTTTTCCAGCTCGGTCTTGATGATCTCGTCTTCTCCAAGAGCAACCCCATTGGCGCCGAACTTGTTCAAAATGCGCCGTTCTTTTTTCTCCTGGTAGGACAGTTGTTTCTTTTGTTTGCGCTTTCTTCCTCGGGAGCGGTAGGTTCCTCCGCATAGGTGTTCGGGCAGGTCTTTGTCCAGCTGCACCGTATCCCTGAACTCTCCAGTGTCCAGCACGGCGCCTTTCCCCCACAAGCCCTCGCCAGTGTAACCACGAGACCACAGGGTCCTCATTTGGTCTGCATACTGGTTTCTGACGGCCCAGAAAGCTTTGGAATGGTTCATCTGCTTGCAGTGTGCCAGCCTTTCGAAACTTCATGTTAGTAATGGGGAACAGACGTAGGTGCTTAGGTATGTTAGTATACGTAAGGACATACTCGTGCATCATGACCATTTGGACATAGTTAAAAGGTAGCCATTGCCCAGTAGATGGTGACTTTAGAACCAGCTGTATGACTTCCCCTGCATTGAAGTTGCGGCCAACAAACTCCCGGTTAGGCTCGTATTCCTCCAGTGACACCACCGATAAATATTGTTCTTTCATGATGGGTACTTTGAGTAAAGGTCAATAAACGTTCATGGATACCACTATACAAGGTATATAATTGTCGAATCAAATCTAATGTGATGTCGAATATCATTTGGGGTGTTGCTTACAACACTGTGCAGCGATGCGCTCCAAGAACTTCTGGGCGCTCGCCTTATCGGGGCCCTCAAGGGGCTTGATGAAGACGATCCGGTCATTTGGCTGCGACTTCTTCGTGTTGATCCGCTCCCATCCGAGAGGCATTGTGATCGAATCACGTAATTACCTATGATATCAGATGTGAGATTGGCCCGAAAACGTGTTCGTGTCTTAAGCATAAGTGGTAGCTGTTTGACGCGTCGCGAAGGTGAGACAAGCTGGTGAGTGAGGCTCGTTATTTGCCACTACTATGTAGCCCAGAAACAATGTCTGGTTCTATGTAAGTAGTAGGCCAATACCAGGTAAAAAGCGCATACACATATACGCTTCACCTAACACCTTGGCGCAGTGACTGAGAATTGAAGGAAGAGAGGATTGCTTGATAAATATCTAGGTTAGAGAGTTTATATCTGACCTTAGGTTAGATGATTCAAAGTTATGCTCATTCATGGCACCGGGATGTGTAGGTACTAGGCGGTACATATAAGCCTGGAGCCGGGCCGGGTTTTAGAGCTCCCCGCGCTGTAGTTACCGACTGTTTAGGGGATTTACACACTGTTAGGTACTACTAGTTACAAGGTAGTAGTACAATACATAGCAACACCACCCCCTTACTACCTAGTACTAGGTATAGCTGCAATACTTCTCTACTAACATGCATTCATAAGGTGTTGTATATTCCGACATACAAAATGATTTGTCGTTTCATATAGTCATATATGCATTGATGATTCGGTTCATATGCAGTAGGCACCTAAGCATATATAACCCATCATCTCCTCCGCCCAGGACCGCCAACCCCCGACTCGCCTTTGTCAGCCAGAGATACAACTTCACCAATACCAGCAGCCTCCTGCTCATCTTCCAATGCAGTGATCTCCTCTCGGCAGTCCCACCACTTCTCCTCGCTCAGCTCAAATGCTTTCGATTTGATCTCCTTGACCGTCAAGCTCTCCGGTTGGATGCCCTTCCACCTCAAGCTTGTCATGAGAATTTCCTGCCATTCGTTGGAGGTCCGCACGAAGAAGTCTCGGCGGGACTCGAAAGGCTAGCAGAGGTTAGCGTTTATGTTACGGGATACGGGGGGCCTTATGGGGGGACATACCCGAGGGTGTGGTAATCCGTCGTCAACAGTAGTTGCTACCGTGTCGGCTTCTGACTCTTCGTCTCCTATGGAGGAGTCTACAGTAGACGCCGTGTCGGGTATTGACACCTCATCCACCTGCTTCTTCTTTCGCTTGCTTTGAGAAACAAGCACTTCACTCTCATCGGGTATTTCAATATCACCCTCATCATCTTCCTCGTCATCCTCGTCATCCTCATCTTCGTCGTCTTCGTCGTCTTCTTCATCGTCGGAGCCCTGTAGCATATGTTAGGGCTACGCTTGTAAAAGATTTCCCCCAACATGGTAAACCAAAAAGAAAGGAGGGGGGGTCTTACCACCCATGTGTCATCCTCTCTCTTGAAAATCTGCTTGCAGCCATCCATCTTGCCAAGGTCAATAGCATATAGATCGTCAAACGTATATTCTCTGTCTTTCGCCTCGTAAGTACCGCCGTATATGTACAGAACATCATCCTGTACAGCTAACTGAGCATTAAATCGTGGGTGTGGGAGTTCCATAGTCACAGGCATCTCCCGTGCCGGCTTTTCTGGTTCTTCTGTCTCCTTCTCGGCTTTGATCTCGATGTCCATGGCATCTGCATCTTCCAAAGATGACCCTGCCTGTAGGGCTGCAAGCTGCTTCAACAGCTCTTCTTCATTCGCCTGAGCTCTACCGCGTCGACCAACTCTCTGCTCAGATACGGGAACCTTCTTTTGCACTCTGGGCTTACGAAGTGTCAATGGAAAAAACCTATTCCTCTCTATGTTCCATGCGTAAAGCTGATTGAAGAACTCGCTGTCTATTCCCTCCTCGCTGTGCTCTACGTCATGAACTCCACCGAAGAAAATGCCACGTCCTTTGTGATAAGTCATGGTTACCCCAACACGGGGAGGGCTGGGAGAGTTCGCCGGCTTCTTCCGTCTCTCCCATCTTACATTCGGAGGCGTATTCGGCGCAGAATCTGTAGGAGGCTGGGTAATTCTCAGGTAAAAACAGTCTTCATGTACCATGGGTTTGAGAATATTCCTTTGACCCTGAGATGCGCCTTTAGCTGACTTGTTCGCTGATATAGTTGCCTTCACTCTAGAATAGCCACCAAATAGTATAGCACCTTGTTCGTGTGGGAGGAAGGTAAAAGATGACCTGGCATCCGGCTTTAGTTGCGCAGGTGGAAGTGTGGGGGTGTGCCAGAAGAAGTTCTACCACGTACAGCATGCAATTAATATAGGACTCGTCAGGTAGTACGTACGCACGTACGTATCTACTTATGGTTGCATGGATGCTCTATTAGAAGGGACATGCTTACCTGAGTATCGTAAAGCCAAAGATCGTTCATATACTTGGTTTGATTTGATGTATCTTGGAAACCTTTCATCTAATTAGCACTCACGTATATACATACAGCCTAGAATATTGGAAGATTGAAGGCGTACCACCAAAGAGAATGATATAGTTCTTATAATAAGTCATACGATGACCACTTCTTGCTGGAGGACTCTTTCCCTTGGTGTCTATGCGTGTCCATTCGCGGGTACTAGGCTCAAGTCTCCAAAAGTCATTATAATGATAGAATGTGCCTTGCTTGGGACTGAGTGATGGGCCGTCAGTATAGGCCTTGAATATGTACTAGGTAGGTAGTTTCGATGTCTTAAGCACGGCAATATCATAAAACAAACCTGCTAAATTCGCCGCCAAATAAGAAAATGGAGTCTTTCTGGTTCCCTCCTCTACACCAAGCATGACCAGACCGTGGAAGGGGCGCATTTGGAGAGGTCACGCAATGCCATTCATCCCTATCTGTGTAGTAGATATTCAGATCGTTGAAGAAATTAGCCAAAGCGCCATTCCAAGTCTCTCCACCAAATAACAATAGTTGGTTGCTATTTGAAGGTGAAGCTATAAAGGTTGAAGAAGCACGAGGTTTAGGAGGAACCTCAGAGACCACTTCGGTGACTTTGACGAATTCTTCTTGGGCCTTTCTGTATTCAGCCAGAACAGCATCTAGATCCACGTCTTCAGCATCACTTCCTTCGACTTTTGAGGCTTTGGCCTTTTCTTTCTTTTGGGCTTTCTTCTCCTGTTTCTGCTTCTTTTCGGCAAGTTTTGCTTTCTTGGAATCTCCTTTGGATTTCTTGTCCTTTGCCATGTTGTATATGATATGGCCAATTCACAGGGAAAGTGTAGGTACTTTGGAGACTTTAGAAACTTGAAGCTTCAACATCGAAGCTTGCGAAGTTGACAACCCCTCCCCCGCACTAAAAAAAACCCAATGCCATAACTAATTACCTAACTAACCTTGTTAACTAACCTTGGAACTAGTGGGTCTTCCGCAATTTTCGGATCGACGGGTTGGCTAGTAGGCTACCTGCATGCTCTTTAGAGTTTTGCTTGTGTAACAACTGCGAGGTGCCCAAGTGATCTCGGGATTATTACCATTTTAGGGGAGCTCCAACTGGACCAGTTCAAGGTTGACGGTTGCCCAGTGACATGCCATGGATGTACTAGGTATTGTACCTATGTACTCTGGTATAGGCGAACATCAGTTGAAAGTCTTTTCGCATCACGAAAACTTCCATCCTACATTCCTTGCACATACCGTACATACCTGTATATACGTACAATATTAGATATCTCACACGAGGACTTCTCGGAACCTCCACACTATCGTACATAATAGCTTCCAATTAGGCAGTTACCCTTTCTCTTTTCGATTTTCAATTTCATCCACTAGTTCAACACGGAGAGGTTCCGACATGTATAATATGGCCTTTGCACCCACTTAGAAGCGACTCTGGAACAGTAACCTGCCGTCGGCGTCTTGTAAAAAATTTCCTACTACCAACACTACTTCCAACACCAATTAAGATCCACTTCATCGCAACACCCACCCGTCTTGTGACATCCAAATTCATTATCGAAATGTTCTAGCCATTGCTGAGCCTGGGTTTCGTCGCTCCTGTCTACTATACATTCTGACCCTGGTAGTACGTACATGATTGCCAAATCTCTCCAGTGCTTCTACATACATACCTAGTACATACCTAGGTAACTAGTAGTGCTCATCTTCTATACTCGACAGCTTGAAGTTGATGAGCGATTTGGGTAGGTCTATCAACGATCGCGATCGCATACCTACCTGGGTACCTTATCCTCCTCTTAAACCTTTGCGCTTGAAATATGGCAACTGCCCAACTCCAAGTAGACACCATGGCGACGAAACCCTCGCAAACTCTTCATAACAAACACGCAAAATCTGCTGCAATGGAGGCTATAGAGGATATTGTTTACGGCTCTGTAGGTGAACTTCAAACGATTGGCCTCATCTATATCCTACTAATACTTGAGTAGTTTGCTGGCATCGTGGGTAAATACATAGAGTATCCTTTCGACACTGTCAAGGTTAGGTTGCAGTCCCAACCTGACCACCTTCCTCTCCGCTATACCGGTCCGCTCGATTGTTTTCGGCAATCCATCAGAGCCGGTGGATTCCTGGGGTTATATCGTGGAATAAGTGCACCGCTCTTCGGAGCAGCGGCCGAGACCAGCTGCCTCTTTTTCTTCGAACGAATTGGTCGCGAAATCGTTCACTCTTCCGGATACTGTTCGCGGGATCGAGTGCTTCCGCTTTCGGCCTTGTTTTTCACTGGCGCCTTTGCAGGGGCCTTCACCTCCTTCGTCCTCACCCCAATCGAGCTCGTAAAATGCAAGATTCAAGTGCCTACGTACACCAAGGCTGATGGGGCCACGCCTAAGCCTCCTACTATTCCTTCTGTTATCCGTAGTGTATACAAACATGAGGGCTTGAAAGGCTTTTGGCATGGGCAGATGGGTACGTTCCTTCGGGAATCCGGCGGCAGCGCAGCTTGGTTTGGCTCCAAGGAGACTGTGACGAAGATGTTCTACCTCTGGAATGAACGATCTACTACATCGCAACTGGAAAAGGATGCCCTTGCTACAGAAGCATTACCATTGTGGCAACAAGCCGTAGCCGGTGCATCCGCTGGCGTGTCCTACAATTTCTTGTTTTTCCCAGCTGACACGGTCAAATCTCGCATGCAAACCGCGCCTGTAGGTGGTTCGGGCCAGAACAAAACTTTTTGGCAGGAAGGCAAGGCTCTATGGAATCAGCACGGTTTACGAGGGCTCTATCGCGGATGCGGGATTACTGTGTTGCGGTCGGCACCCAGTTCGGCCTTCATCTTCATCGTTTTTGACGGCTTGAAGCAGTATCTGCCCCTGTGAATTGGTGTTGAACATTTAGCCGAATCTTTTTTTTCTTGGGGGAGAGGGTCGTATGCGATGGACGCTGATAAGATAGATGGGTATAGACGGCTTAAATATGAAGAGGAACGGCGTTTGGGCTGATCAGTTATAGAAGATGAATGTAACCTAGGGTATTGAGTACGGCATGAAATGTCTCATGCGCAGCAATATTCTTTCTGAAAGATTATGTGAAATAGGTCTGGTTTTATGATGAATTTCCTACAAGCGGAATCGATGAAGTCTTTCACGATACCGAAACTTAGTGTTACACGGATATAGTCCGAAGCGAACTTGGCGTGTGTCCCTACAGATCCGTGACTTATAGCCTCTTCTCTAACGAAGATTCCGAAATATCCCAGTTGTTCAAGTATCCCACGCCAGCTGTCAGATACGTTGCAAACCCTAGCCAGACCATATAGGGCACCTGACACCATCCCGATATACTGTCAACGGAGAAGTACAGATACGTCAGGTAGCCATTGAGACTGATCAGTGACACGATGTCGGCCAATGCGAGAACCGGTTTCCGCAGCCCGAAGAACAGAGGCATCCATAGGATGTTTAAGCCAAGCTGCACAGAATAAAGCGTCCTCATCTTGTCAGTGGACGCTAGGAGAGGGGGGCTCCTGGTGATGGCCCGGTGAGCTGCGTAGCCCATCAGCCCGTAGAGGAGCGTCCAGACGGGGCCGAAAACTTGTGGCGGAGGACGCAGAGGCGGCTGCTTCATCGCTAGATATGTTCTTTGCGTAGATTTTGCTATTGTCCTGTTAATGACCTAGGTACATATATGAATAACTGAGGAGAACGTGGGGATATCTTACGTCGAGAACTGAACCCTACTGTAGTTCCTAAGGCAATGGGCAGTAGGACCGACGCTGCCGGGTTGGCGAAGACATCGTAGGGTATGGAACTGAGACGAGGGATGTAGGCTGTCATGTTAAGTGAAGGATATAAGTGAAGGATATTAATCACTTAGATTTTGGATGAAGGTATCTTGAGATAGAGAAAGACTGAATCATGTATGTAAATACACGATAGTTTTAGTAAATTATTGTGTGGTGGTGATATCTCAGCTTCAGCTTCGTATTCCATGTTTCTCTTATATCAGTACCTTAATGTCATGACGTATTACAGTCAACGCTTCAATTGAGTACTAGCGTACGGATATCTTGTAGCGACTACTATGTACACAACTAGTTATGTGTCTATTACATATATGCATGTGTGCTACACATGTTAAATGTGTGTAGGTGCCTTAAGTACGTGATGCTGATGGGAATTTGCGTAAGTTATGTAGGTGATTCCTTTTTTTCATCTTCTTTGACATCTAACCATCTCCAGGGCTGTCATCTATTATTTCGACGTCAAAGACCATGAATACAATTCATTCATCATATTCGACCTACCTACTTCGTACCTAAATCCAGAATACGAAGTACATAATCCTTACATGGTAGCTTTATGCAGCTAAAAGGATTACGGATGTTATTGGCCAGTCAAGTGATTCAATGACATTGAAGCACTACTAGCATCATACAAGGGTAGGTACGAACGAACGCACTGACGCGCTGGCATTGGCAGCTAACTGGCTATAACTGGCTGACTAAAAGTGACACGGGGTTTAACATTCCGGAAGGAACAAAGCGGTGGCTGATAGTGCTGTGCAGCCCAGTAAGTTTTGTTCTGGGCGTGAAATAACTTTCCTTTCACCTTTCTCACTTCTTCGCAAACACCAGCAGATTCTATCAGTTTGGGGACATTGCACCCTCACTATCGTCATTCTTACAGTTCGTCTATCCTTTTTTTCTGAACCACTTCTACTTCTTGTCGATGGTCTTTCCTGGTAGCCTGGCACACCTTGTTATCCCCCTTTTTTTCCCCCTTCGCGAATACTTCTCATCTCGATCCTCCATCCTCAAATGATCTCTCCCTCTCCCTCTCACTCACTCTCTCTCTTTCTCCCTCATCTCCCCATACCAACACATCAATTTCGCCTTTTCCATATCAATTATCACCAATCCGTGACAACAAACTTTTTATAAAAAATCTTCCCTTCCTTGCTGCTACTATATTCGGTTTGCTTGTTGCAGAGCTCACGCTTCCGCCCATGCTTAGCTTCTCAATTTGGCTTGCCGACAGCATTATTTCTCATCCCTCATCTTGCTCTAGACCCCTTTACCTTTTAATCTTCTTGTTGCTCTCCCCAAACATTTTTATCAAGATGGTTTCTCTAACGGCAATCGCCTCGTCAAACATAGGCAACAGATATTCTCCCAAGCAATCGCCATTACGTGCTTTCGTCCCAGCCTCGTATCAGATCATTTATTTACCACCTTAAACCCTCCTTATACGTCTCCGCCCTTCCATATTCCAACACACCGACGAGGAAATCATCAGAACAGAAAGGAGATAGACCGAGAATACATCAGCCACACTGACTGCCAAGATCAATGCGCGTTCTTGACCTAATCCCAACATAGGATGGACTCTTACTCATACCGCGATGCTTCCGGGCGTTCTCCCACCGAACGCGGTTGGGGCGGCCGCGAAGACCGCGTCAAAGATGAGTCGCGAGACAACTTTTATCGTGGTCGCTCTCCCGGTGCGTTTTTACTTGATTCTTTCAATTGTACCCAATTCATTTCCTAAACTACGTACCTGATGGATTTTAATATGCTTGCATCTCTTCCCACACTTTCTACTGAAAAATGAATGTCTTCCTACCAGGCTTATCATGCTTACCTCAAGAGTTTGGACTGACTAAAATAGGCCACGACCGTAGTCGCCGCAACCGATCCCGGTCACCTCCGCCCGTCGATCGGTACGAGCCTAGAGGACGGGGTAGGGATGATTACGCTGGCACTCGTGACCGAGAGGATCGACGACGCATTACTTCACCTCCTGCGAATATTGATCGTTATGTTCCGGGCCAAGGGGGTAACCAGCCACCTCAGCCTACTGTGAATCCATTGACGGATCCTGTCAAACTGCCGTTCCAGGTTGGATTTTCCTATTTTGGTGAGTGGTGGCGAGCCAATGAGAAGATCAAGGAGGAGAAGGATCGTACGCGTCCGGGCCGGAGGCGCGAACCTGACCGTCCCCGTGGCCGCGATACCCAAGAAGATCGTGACAAGGAGAAGGCAAGGATTCAAGCCGCTTATGATTCGTACAAAGAAGAGCTTCAGGCAAAAATGGCCAGAACTTTTGTCGCTGAGCACAAGAAGGAGCAGTGGTTCCGTGAGCGATACGTCCCCGATGTTCGAGATCCCTTGCGTAAGCAGATCAATGAATTTCGTCGTGGAGCGTACAGCCAGTGGGAGCAAGATTTGGAATCCGGCACCTTCGACGACTTTTCTCTAGAGGGAATTCCGAAGAGTGAAAGCAACGGTGCTGGTGGCATTGTTGAGAAGGAAGAAGGTGAAGCAACGGCTGCAAATGAAGTTCTCGGTGTTGGCGATTTAGTTCCTGCGAATGGTAGTGACCTCCGTGATGAGAATTTGTATCAGCCCACTCTTCTGATTAAGACCATTGCCCCTCACGTCAGTCGCCAAAATCTAGAGTCTTTCTGCAAGGAGCATTTAGGCGAAGAGGAAGGCGGTTTCAAGTGGCTATCCCTCAGCGATCCGAACCCTAGCAAGAGATATCATCGTATGGGATGGGTCATGTTACACCCGTCGTCTGAGACAGCAGTGCCTGTCGAACGTACAGACCCGAAAGACGAGGAAGGGGACGTAAAGGTTGATCCGCTCGAGCCTGTCTCTACGGCTGACAAGGCTCTCGAGGCCGTCAACGGTAAGACGGTCAAGGATGAAGTTCGAGGTGACTTTGTATGCCATGTTGGTGTCCACAACCCTCCCAGCAACCCTCGCAAGAAAGCCTTGTGGGACCTCTTCTCTGCCCCTGAGAGAATTGACAAAGACCTGAGCCTAGCCCAGCGTCTCGTCAACAAGTTCGAAGAGGACTTCGGCTCAGATTTCAATGCCACCCTAAAAATCGAAGAAAGGGTAGACTCTCTCCGCAGTACGGGAACTCTCCAACCAGCCATTCCCGCGCCAACAACCAAGAAAACTAAGAAGGAGCGCAATCTCGATTTTGACGATGCTATGGATGAAGGCGAGGAAGGCGAGATGGGCGAGTCCGACGAAGAGGGCGCAGTTGATGATGAAGTTGACGACGAGGACCTTCTCGTGAAGAAGAAACAGCTCGATCTCATGATTGAGTATCTTCGTCGGGTCTTCAACTTCTGCTTCTTCTGCGTCTTCGAAAGCGACTCCATTCACGAGTTGACCAGAAAATGTCCTGGCGGCCATCTTCGTCGGCCTCGAAGCACGCTCTCCTCAGCTGCCAAGAATGTCGCCCGCGCCAGCGCCAGCGGCGATCCATTCCCTTCGAAGAAGCCTAAGGATACAAAGGATGAAGAAGAAGGAGAAGCGAGTGAGCAGGATCGTAAATTCCGCAGTGCCTCTTCTAGATCCGAGCAGCAATTAGAGCGAGCCTACAAGTGGGTGAAAACGTTTGAGGATAAGATTATGCAGATTCTCGAACCGGAAACCGTAGACATACGAAAACTTGGTGGCAAACCAACCGAAGATGCTCTCAATGATGAGCTTTCCAAGTTTGTTAAGCAGGAGGACGAGCACAAGTGGAGGTGTAAGGTTCCGGACTGTGCCAAGCTTTTCAAGGAGGACCACTTCTGGAAGAAGCACGTCGAGAAACGACATACTGACTGGTTAGACGGGATGAAGCAAGAGGTAATTGTTCTTTGTCCTTGAAGGAGAGAGAGTAACTAACAGAGAGCCTAGTTCGATCTTATCAACGCGTATGTATTAGATCCGGCACATATCGCACCGTCCAGGACCGATGCCAACAGCAATGGCCATTTCCCGCCCGCCAATGGTCAAACCCAGCAAGGGACTCCACGTGGATTCAACCTACAGAACTTCGCCATGAATAATGTGGTACCCCCCTTTCCCAGCTTTCCTGGCCTCCCAAGTGTGCCCCCACTATTTGCGGGCAACCACGGCGGTGTGCAGGCCGCCGGATGGAATGCTGGAGGTGAAGAGCGCGGCAGTGGACCTATTCGTCGTGGTGGTGCCAATTCTGGTAGATACCAAAATCGCTCCGGACCCTACGATCGACGCCAACAACAGGGACGTTGGGGTCAGGATGGTCAGGGCGCAGGCCGTGGCGGCAGAGGTGGTGCTGGCCGCTGGGGCGACGGTGCTGCAGGTGGAGCGGCGGTCGGCCCTAGAGAAGCTGTTCAAGGTCGTAGTCTTAAAAGCTACGAAGATTTGGACCACGTCGCTAGTGGTGGTGGTTCCGAGCTTAACTACTAACCCAGCACGTCTATGAATATTGAAAGAATCGACCAATACACGAAGATTTCAAGTACATATCATACGCAAGTCGTTTGCTCGTTATTTCAATTTTCCGTTGACGAATATCGAGGCGAAATACAATGGGAAAAGGCGGCCGCTACGATGAATTCGACTCCTAGTCAAGGCGGTTTTATTATCTCGTGTTATGGTGTTTCTACTGGAGAAGGGGCGTTGTAATGTTTGACCTTTGTTCCCAGAGATCAATTACCATCTAACCGCTAGAGCATGAAGAACCTTGAAACCGGTCTTTGAAATCACTCAGCCCATTTGATGGCTAAGGGTGTAACACTTTATCGTTCTGCTATTGCCAAAACTGGTCCGGAAAAGGAAAAAAAAAATTTTGTTACTTGAATGGTGGTCTGATCAGATCCTTGCCAACTACGGATGAACAATCCAATTTGTACATTAATGGGATTATTCAGACTGGGATGCTTAATGGAATCGTTTTTATTTGAAGCTTCAATGTTAATATCTCCGTGACATGGAGACTCTACGTATAAGTGCATGTATGCCTACCGACCTAACCTACCTCCTTTAATAATTTCCAGTGTAAACGACAACATCTATATCAGTCCCCACCAGATAGTTAGATAGTTATGCGCTTTCTTAGACTGGACGGGATCACTACAATTGTACCTAGGAAGGTACTTGCACATAGATAGGTACATAGTTGTGCATGTTGGGGTCTACTAGACTCTACCTAACGGTCCCAACCTATGTGTTTAACTTTTACCCGTATCTCGTGGATACTTTGTCAACGAGTAGGTGACAGTGACACTAGGTGTAGGTAGTAAGCAAGCCAGTTAGCCATAACTACTGTTTGCTTGCTTGCTTGTTTGTTTGTTTGTTTCCTCCATGTTTGTTATGCCTGGTAATGTCATATCTCCCCCCCCCCCCTCCCCTCTCTCTCTCTCTTTTTTTTACCTTATTGTCGGGTTTTGGCACGCCGAGTTGTAGAGGGGGGGAAAGGGGGGCAAGGAAAGAGAGAGAGGTATAGAGGATAAAGGGGAAGGGGGTGGGGGGGGGGGGGGGGGGGTATGGATAAGGGAAAGGGAAAGGGGAAGGGGAAGGGAGATGCCTGAGGAGGATACCTAGGTAAATGAGGTGGGAGTTGTGAAGTTTACGAATATTTTTTGTGTGTATATATATCTACACGTGTAAGTAGGTATGTGTATATCTAGGTATGGTAGGGTACGAATAGGGCAGGATGTATCCATCCATCCATCCATATATGATGTAACATGGGGGCGTGCTATATGCAGGACTCCGGCGATAGTAATTGTATACCCAGATAATATATATCCGGCGATTGTCTCACTTTACTTTGTTTTAACGTCGGCGAGTATCATGAGAGAGGGAATGGGGACAAACGGAAGTGTGTAGGCAGTAGGGCAGGTCTGTAGGTATGCAGGAACTTACATATGTAGGTAAGAATATCACGGATATCGATATTTCCAAGTACCCAGGTAGGGTATGTTGGCATATATATACCTATATAGGTACCTACATACATGTAAGTATGCACTTTATATATATTGAAACCCGCAAGTTGTCAGAAAGCCCGATAGCGTCACGTCACGTCATCTGCGAGTTTGGATGTCGTGTAACGCTGTGCCGGCATTTCATTGCTTCACGGGGTGGCTAGGTTCATTCAATATATGTAAGAAATCATTGCATGACTTTAGGTAGGTATCTTGGTGTTAGCCTTGTATGTGTGTGTGGGTGCCATCGCGGGCTTCTAGAATATAAAAGGGGGTAGGTGGGTGGAGAGATGGGGATGGGTTGGGTATGTAGGTATCAGATAGCCTATAGGTGGCCGAGATGGAGGGAGAGAGGGAGACAAATAGAGGAATAAAAAGAGAAGGAGAACAATTCCTTTCCCCCGCTCCCCATCCGTGCGTGATACTACCTAACAAACTCCCCTTCATTGGTGGCGATGCCGGAACACCGACGTTGCACGGCGAGACATAAAGAGGAGTAGACCGCCCTTCCAGAATAGCGGGAGGGACATATAAATATAATGCTTCGGTCGGCGACCCCGAATCTCGACTTTCCCGGCCTACTCGTTGCCCGACTGCATTGTTTTCCATACAGACATATTTGGCGAACTTGCATCGGATCCTCTCGGCCCAACCTCCGCAGTCTATCTAATAGATTCTAAATAGTCGTCTGTGCTAGAGTGGAGTCTCTTTGTTCATTTTCCCAAAAAGGATAGCAATGAACCCTTAGTTATAGTCATCTTCTACCCCTTCTTCGCCCATTCGAAATAAAGGAGGATTCGGGCCTTCGCACTTTTATTTACATTTATTATTTCGGTATTCGGCGTAATATGTGGGGCGATGGATTAATAGATTGATGTATAGGTACCGAAAGGAAACGAACGACGATTCCTGTCACACAGGACCGAGGTCTTCTAGTCGTTGTACTCTTTCCGTGCTTAGAATAGGGCGATTTTGTTCAGTGACCGACTACTTTACCCAATCACCGCAGTCACACCAGCGCCTCCAGCAAACATAGAGGCAACGGTGATCAAGCTTGAGATAGAGAGAAGGGATATCCCGCTTATGCCATGGCCGGATGTGCAACCGCCTGCCATCCTGGATCCAATTGCAATAAGTATCCCACCGAGGAGAGATCTCGTGGGCTTGATAACAACTTCGGGTGCTACTGGCGCAGAAGGAAAAGCCAGGAATATCACAAGCGCCCCGAATATCATGCCTGCCGTAAAGACGATAGTGCTGTACGACTTCGGCCTCACCCCTTGTCCTATGGCCCACCAGACATAGTCACCGACCTCCTCAAAGGAGCTTGAGGTGCCGAGAAGGGATTTCCGAATCAGAATAGAGGTCAGCTGAGCACCAGCAATCATAAGCCCCCCTACCACCGGGCCTACTAAACCATTGGACTTCGGAGAAGTGAAATAAACTGTGGCTGCAATAACACTCGCGAACGTGCTTTCAAGGACAATGAGAACACGTTGTTTGCTGATCCCTGTCCACCTATCCAGAGTAAGGCGATCGTCTCTGGTGTCCATTGGCTTGCCAGTTGCTTGGCTACGAAGAGTCGGCCGGAGAAGCCCTGACCACAAAACGCCCCCAAGAATCCCTCCAATCATGGAATAAAGTCCAGATCGCATGCCAGCCCCAACTTGGGCGAAAAGAGTCCCCGGACATGAGTCAGATATGGTCATGCCGGCACCTAGGAGGCATCCCCCTATTATATTCCCGTCGAAAGGTCCAAATATGCCAATGGTCGAGAAGGCCCGCGGATTTAGGTGGATATATCCCAGCCGTTGGAATATGTTGACGAGTATACTAGGCACTCTAGGAGTTAGCTACTTCTTTAAGCATACCTAGGTACCTAGCAGGTATATATGGCTTCTAGTAGAGGGAAAGAACACTGCTCTTGAGTACAACAAGGGGTGCTCTTACGTGCTTGCTCCTGCAGCAGTCAAGAACGTAGTTATCATGTGCCAGTTCTGGAAGCTCATTTGTTCGACGATTACGGTTGGTTGATGAATACCTGCTGCTGCTAGAGCCGCACCGAAGGCGACGCCTGGAATGATGGGTTTCAGCATAATCGTGAGTGCCGGTGTAGTGTTGCGTGCTGCGTCTGATATGAAACAGAAATACAGTAGATAGTCGGGAAGAGCCAGTGAAGAAGTGACAACAGGACGGAGAATCTCAATCCTCGAAACATAGCAGTGAAATATGATACCTTATTCAATGTATTATATCTTCCTTACTTACCTAGGTATTCGAGTCGCCGACGTGAACCCACACACATCTCCATTTTTATTAGAGACCGTCCTTAGGCTCGGGACTAGTGAAGCTAGGAATGGATCCCTAAAAGGTCAACGGGGTACCGTATACCTGGGAGTTCGGGAATTTAACATCTTCTAAGCCGCACACGTCCTAAGGTGATCCTAACGGTCGGCGACTGTAGTGTGGCAGTATTCCTTCCCATATCATGATACGTGATCTTGATCTCCTAGCAGACCGCTCAGTTGGTATTAGATTGGAAAGTATAACGGTACCTCCGTTTGGCCATTGATATGTCATGCTATGCTGTCCCAAAGGGGCAACGGAAGGTTGCAGGCGGGGCACTTCTACGCAACTTCGAAATCCTCCGCGTGGACTAGGCATGTGTGCCTTAACACTCGAAGATCTTCACCTTGGGATCATGCTCATGTTTCGAGAAGGTTGTTGTGAAACGCGAAATATTTTTGACACTGGACCAGTTGACTGGAGTAGACGGCGAACAGGAAAGGCCATAAGGAAGTTCGCATCGGGGATCTTGCATGGACCCCATCCATGCGGTTCGCCGATGTGCGTGCGTATCGCGTAGGTGCTAGGCTAGGTAGCTAGGTAGCTAGGTAGGTATATAAGTTGGTTATATTGCATTTATGGGTCTTCGGATCTGATCATGGACTGGAAATGAATATCCCTCACGTCAGATTTGAACCATCTTAGGATGAACTGTCAATATTGCGCAATTACTGGTTCATTGCTACCGTATACACGTGCTAAGCTCACCTAGCAGCCTACCTAGGCGTGTAGGTATGTAGGTATGTTATCGATCAACAATCAACGATCACCACGGTGGCTGAAATCGGTAGATTTGACAAGAGGCACAAGGGGATTTCTAATGCAGCCACCCGGGAAAGGCGTTTCATTGTGAAATTGACCGGGTTTCTAGCCTTTAATCCGACATCACCTCTCTTCAGCTCTTTATCAAAATTTGAAGTTGGTGTTATTCGTATTGTACATAAACTAAGGTTAGGTAAGTACAATACAAAAAAAGAATAAAAATAAAAAACCTCCAAGATTCAACAAAAGATTCAGGTGATCTCGGTTAGGTAACCCTTCAAGACCCTTAAGGTAAACTTAAACCCTCTCCTTCTTTCCTTATGTATGTAGGTATTTCAACCTCAAATATACATGGCAAGTGCTCTGTCAATCGATGTGGATCTTACATACATGTAGGTATACTTCCGTACTAGGTACATATCGAGGTGTTACTAACTACTATGTATGTACATACACATGCATATCAAGCCTCCTTTGTATGAACTACATAATAAATATGTAGTTGCCTAACTTAGTATAATGCGGGGGGTAAATTATAAATTACCCCAGGATCAAGGCTGACAAATTGGCAACGCCATGAAGAAGGGGTGACCCTTTCCACCTACCCGAACTGAACACAATATTGAACGTGACTTTGATTTTTTAAAAGAAAAGAAGAAAAAAAGAAGAAAAAAAAGAAAAAACAAGATAACTGTAATAAGGTGCCTAGGAAACAATCTAGCTAGCTCAACATGCCTCAGGCTCTATTCGTCAAGAAAGTAGACGGCAAGCCCGGCGAGGTCTACTATCCGCAAGTCTCAACCCCCCCTTTCCCCCTTTTTATTCACGAGCTTCAATCCCTACCTACCTACCTACCTACCTAACTAACCAACCACACAGTCTCCAACTCAACTCAGTCCCCAAACCCAAGCCCGGCCCCGATGAGCTGCTCATCCAGCTACACGCCGCGGCCCTGAACCACCGGGACTTCTTCATCCGGCAGCACCTGTACCCCGGGATATCCTTCACGCACCCTCTCCTCGCCGACGGCAGCGGCACCGTCGTCGAGATCGGCAATCCCACCACTAACTCCCCATCATCATCATCATCATCATCCTACCTCGGCAAGCGCGTGATCCTCTACCCCGCTTCCGGCTGGTCTTCCTCCCCCTCCGCGCCCGAGGACCCCTCCAAATTCACCACCCTCGGCGCCGCCGCGCTCTCCCCCATCGGCACCGCACAAGACTACGTCGCCGTCCCCGCCTCCCAGATCGAGCTCGCGCCCCCTCACCTCTCCCCCGCCGAGGCCGCCGCCCTCCCTCTAGTCGGACTAACAGCGTGGCGCGCGCTCGTGACGAAAGCGCTGGACGGCGACGTCTCGCGCGCCGTGGCGGGCCGCAACATCCTCGTCACCGGGATCGGCGGCGGCGTCGCCTTGTGCGCGCTGCAGTTCGGCGTCGCGCTGGGGTGCAACGTGTTCGTGACGTCCAGCTCCGCTTCCAAGCTCTCGCGCGCCGTGACCTCGCTGGGCGCCAAGGGCGGCGTCTCGTACCGTGACAGCGACTGGGACAAGCAGTTGGCGGCGCAGCTGCCGCGAGACCGGCCGTACCTGGACGCCGTGATCGACGGGGCCGGGGGCGACATCATCGCGAAGACGGTGCGGCTGGTGCGGCACGGGGGCGTCGTGGTTGTGTACGGGATGACGGTGTCGCCGCGGATGGACTGGCTGATGTCGGCCGTGATGCGCAACATCGAGCTGCGCGGCACGACCATGGGGTCGCGCGACGAGTTCCGGGACATGGTTGCGTTCGTGCGCGAGCACCGCATCCGCCCCGTCGTGAGCCGTGTCGTGAAAGGGCTGGACAACATTGAGGGCATTGATGGGTTGTTTGAGGATATGCGGGATGGGAAGCAGTTCGGGAAGCTGGTGATAGAGATCTCGTCGCCGCCGGATGAGGAGGGAGGTGCTAAACTATGAGATAGATAGATACCTAGGTACCTACCTCCCAACCAAAGCTTCATCTTAATACACAGATACTTGGGTAGATAGATACCTACATAAGATAAGTAAGTAGGTAGCTAGTAATATCTGCCTACCTACGTAATACCCTACTTTAGATAGGTAGTATTTGAATAAATCTAATAAATACGAATCGTTCAAAAATCGGTATTATGAATCTGGTGTGAATTATGCCACCCCCTTTTCAGTCTTGGCCTGGATTGATTTGATATCACTAAAAAACATGGGGCTATCTTTTCGTTAGGGCGGCTCATAATAGTAATACATTGGTTGGCATTGCCTCACATCACATTTGATGATCCTCCTAACACAGACACACACCTTTCAAACAAAGGTCGCAATGTAATGCACACCCTCTGCAATAATCAACCTCGCGAAGCATTATCGATCTCAGCACTGGAGTAAAACCCCCGGCTGTAAAATGCCCTCTCCTTAGTCCTATTGTAGATAAGTCCTTCGCCTCATTTGCTTCCCCTAGTATCTGTGGTCAGACAAGAGTCGAAAAGTTTCCCTCGCCAAACGCCGGCCTCTTTTCCTATCATCATTGATGTACCGAAACCAAATCATGTGAGCGCGTAACTAGGGTACCGAGAAGGGAATTAGTGAGTTGCAATCTTTTTTTCATGCCTCATCATGTGGTCGGCTATGGCTCTGTCCATTTCCAGCTTTCAAGTTAGAAGAGAGGCTGATAGCAATCTTTCTAGGTCCAGCTGCACCATCTCGAGAGCTAGAAACAGACTTCTTTCGGAGGACTCCAGAAACGGCTGAAGTGTTAGCACTAGCTGACGTACTGTTTCGCCGCTTGTGCTGAACCATTTTGCTGAGGTCATCCTCTTCATCCTCCTCACGTCGTCGTTTCTCAGACAAACGTTCTGGTGGCGCTGCGGGGCTTGAATCCGCTCTTCTAGGACCATTATCTTGTGCATCTTCGTCGGCCGAGAGCGCTCCAGCTTCCAAATTCTCATCCCCCTCTTCATCAGAAGCATAATCAACCAGTGCCTTGGGATTTGGGGACTCTCCGTTCGCGGACGAGGGTCGATGGCCAGGTTTTGCTTGCAGGTCTTCTTCATCGTCAGATGTATTCCAGTATTCTTCTTCGGCCTGGTCCATGGCCAGATGTTCCATCAATCCTCCTGTCTTTGGGTTGATAATGTTTGGCCGCTTTCTCGGCTCTTCTTCCACCTCGACAAAATAATCCATATTGGCGCTGAACCCTCCAGTCTGGTCATATCTAATAATCAGAGTTCTGAAGAGATCCAAGTAGGCCAGCGTCTGAATCTTCTCTCGATAATTATCGACGATGTGTTTCACCAGGTCTTTGATGTTTTCCTTTCGAATGAATTCAAAAAATTCCAAGCACGCAGAACTGAGCAGGTTGTCTCTCGGCATTGTTTCAATAAGAACATCAAGAACCGGTCCGATGACCCTCTTTTCGGACACATGCTTGACGTAAAACTCGTCTTGTAGACCGATTAGATGGCGAAGGAATCGAATGGCAACTTAAGGACAATTAGCATTTGCGATTCGGTCAATTTTGGAAGAAACCTACCAAGTTTCAAAAACTTCTCCTTACAATTCAGGAGTTGGCTGATGCGCAAGACAATATCATTATTGAGAACAAAGAACTTGCTACGATGTTGATGCTGTCGAATGAAGAAGCAGAGAATCTCGATCAGGTACGTGAACATAGAAGCTTGCTGAACCGAGAAGTCCATATTGGTGCGACCCTCCAAGTTGATCAGAGGTTGAAATAACTTGGTAGCGGAGTTCTCGTAGAAGCCATTGAGGAAACTGTCCTGTTGCGGGTCTGGCATTCTTGGAGCAGCTCTAACTGCATATTCACCATTCGCTTTCGCAAATGCCTCCTGCTGCTGTTGCTGCTGCTGTTGCTGCTGTGGCGATGGACCTTGGTCAAGCAATACCTTCAAAGCATCGGATATTTGCGATTTGACGCCCAGATCGACCTCAATCAGCAGCAGATCGATTAGTGAATCCGTCAAGGGTGGCTGCTTTTCGTGAAGTTGTCGGTATATCATCGAGCGGATCATCTGCGGATCATGATCAATCATAGAAACCAATATGTCAGTAGCTCCTACTCGCACCGCCGTGTCGCTATGTCGTAGGCCAAAGTTAATGACCTGAAGAAGGCCATGGGCAAGGAAATTATTGTATAGCGTCTGCCGAGCCGGTGGTTGGAGATTTTTGGCGATTGCGCAACACTGTTGTATGAATAGTACCGCTTCCTTCTTACGCCTTGGTTCGATTTGGGGTATTTTGAATATGTTGAACAGCTCGGCCAAGAAAGCGGCATTTGCTTGTAGATGTTGTACAATATCCACCTGGTTGAAGAAGATGAGTGAGTTAAGGACCGAAAACGTATTGTCGTCCAAGATGCGTGCTAGTACGACATCTTTGAGATATTGGAGTCGATAAGTTTGGTGAATCTTCTTTAGTATATGCGGATCTTCTATGCGCACAACTTCTTTATAACGGCCTTCGCCTTCTAACCACTGACGATGATTGGCCTTGTGGCTCGGGAAATCCGGATCGTACTCCAACGCACCGACAACCCCAATCACACATTCGTCGGACACAGCATGTTCTATGATGCTAGTATCGTTGAGAAGGATGATAATCTTCATAATATTGCATAATCGGTGTAGGTCGTTCAGACTTTCGAGATCCTCAGCATCGGAAACAAGAGGGATAAGCTTGCCGATGTAGTCCTCAGCGAGGACATATTTTGTTAGAGCATCGCGAGCTCCAGCTGTTCCACTAAGGCCGCGCATCTGCGATTCGATTTCGGCAAGATTTGCCATGGAGGCTATGGGGAGCGAGATAGGGTTCGACATATCCATAGCAAGATCATCAGATAGGCTGTCGTCTACTCAAAAACAGGATCAGTACTACGCTACACAATCGGGGCCAATAATATTATACCTGGCGCATTGACAGAGTGATACTGTTGCTGTACGCTGTTGATGAACTTCCTACGTTATATTTAGTCGATATTGCCTTGAGAGATACTTCGGGAGGTGGGAAAGCCGCGGTAAGACTTACCATATCATGGCGCAACCTTCTGCTTCCTGAAAACTAAGAGCCATGTCTACTCCATTTCCTGGCTCCGTCCATACAATCAAGGTTTCTAGAGGTGTGATTGTTAACGGTCATAGCTCTTAGCAAAGTTTTGTTGGGGTTCCAATGTACCTTGCTGCTTATGAAAGCCATCTTCCTTACAGATTCTTGTCTCCAGCAATATACGATCCGGCTGGTCTTCAGATTCGACGAATACGCGCGGGTCTCGTTGGTGGCCATCTTCAGACTACAAGATATAATTACGTTAGTATGTGTAAGGGAGGTACCTAAGTAGGTAGAACAGAAGATGGAAAAAAAAAACAAAGGAGGCGCGTCGCGGAATAGCGCTTACAATATTGAAGGCAGCAGTACAGAATCCGGTGCCTCGATCAAACCAATCATTATTTCGCAGTTCGTACACCTTGACCCGTTTCTTATCCGTCGACGGATGAGGCACAGGCTGTGCCGCCATCGTCAACGGCTCGTCAGGTTCGACCTCGGTAGTCAGTCGATTATATTGCAGGAGATCGGGCGCAAGAGCTAAATGCTGTTGAAGGGACAATTCGGTGTCGCTCTGGCTAAGAAGGGTGAGCGCAGCCACTTTCTCTTGATATTGGCGCGCTAATTGATGGGCGCGCACGCGACAGAGTGTATGTGCGGGAGAGGGGGGGATGAGAAACGGTGGTCGGTAGTGAGAGTATCAGATTAATAAGGATTAAAAAAAAAAAGCTCGAGCGAGCAGAAAGATATGATAAGGTTGTAAGCGTGTGGTTGATTGCGGACAAGCAAAGATGGGGCTCTGTGGCTCGTGGTGGGTTAGATGGGATGCAGTGATGAGTTTAAGACAGCAAAGTATGGGGATGGGGGATGGGGGATGTAATGGGGGATGAATGACTTGAGGCGCGGCCTTTGCGAGATTGATTAAGAGATGTGATGTGAATGTCAAGTGGAAGTCGGGCTACTAACCTTGTCTACCTTGCCTTAAGATAGACTTGGACAAGGCAGGGCAGGGAAGGATTTTGTTAGAGCCCAGAGTAGGTACTGTACTAGAGGTCAACTGGTCCCATAACGTAAGTACCTATGTACTTTTGATACTATCCTCTACTAGGTAATTATCCTAGTAGGTACTACCCTAACCTTAGGACCTACAATGGTCCTACATAGGTAACTACCTACTAGGTAGTACATAGGTAGGTAGAAAGGTCCTCCCGTTGCGACAGGGTCTGTTCTTGAACGGTCCCGTTTTTTTTCACTTGGGGGGCATGCCCAGATCGGGACTTGTGACGTATTTTGGTGAGGCACCAGACGCGACTCAGTACCTATTGTATGGTATTACAACTAAAATAAGAAAAAACCTGAAAATAATTTTATCTAAAGCTATATACGTGTAGGTATTATTATGTACATTTTTAAGTGCAGTCTCAAAGTTACTAACTACCTAAAATATACGTTGACTTAAGTATTGATATTAAATTATTATTAATGAGCTTCACTTTCAACGTTCTTGCCGGGTCTTTTTTTTAGGCGCACCTCAGATTGCACCTAAATTAGCAAGAGCCGACAAAGAAGAAAAGAATGGATACCAAGGTAAATAAGTGGGTTCCGTACTACATACATACCTTCTGCACATGCATACTACTTATGTACCTACCTACCTATACTATAGAGACCCTGTATTTAATATTACATACTACTAACCTAGTAGTAATACTGTAACTAGTATACACATTGCTATCAACTACATGTCTGTATTGACATTAGACACTCACCTAACCTACATACTAACCTAGGTTACATATAATCTTGGAAGTCTTTCATACTCTCAAGAACACAAGAGCATTGTTGAAGCCCTTAGATACCTACAGTCACTATATATAGCATACATATATGTAAGCACCGACTTCAGAGCACCTATTTGATAATACCAATATATAGTACCTCCAGCTATATCAACAATATCTCTCATAGGACTTATTCATATCAAGGACGAGGACAACAAGTACATGCTATCATTCGATTTACTGTACTGCTATAGTAGCGAAGTACATGTGAAGTGTTAGCCGTAAGTAGGTCCTTATATGTAGTTACATAGTTAAGTATATACTTCTATTTCTCACAGCATGTAATGTGTAACTCAAACGAGCATGTTCATCTTCTGAGTAAAACTCGACTTCTATATTCGGTCTTCAAGTCCTATATATTCCTCTCTAACTCCATCAAATGATATTTTGTGGCCAATAAGGCAGTTCCGTAAACGGAGGTCGTTCAAACCGTTGAGCGGGCCAGTAGTGGATTGAGTTGGTGAAATTGCGATTGAGACCCCGAGTTTGATTCAATGCCGACGTGCGGACTGCCGTCGTTATTTTTCGAGCGCCCGCGATGAAGTTATCGAAACAGACTCGCTGGAAATAACCATCTCTTACTGTCTCTGTCACGAGAGCTCGCAGCGCAGGGAGGAATTTGTTGTGATATGCCCGATCTATACAATTCAGCGTGTTTCGTATTGACCGATGATAGGCATCTGCTGCGCGTGTTCCTGCATCACCACGGAGGAAATTTCTCATTGACTGTCGAAGAACGGTTTCACGCCAATTGACCAGCCGGTTGATATAGTCGATGGCCCATTTGAACATGTTTCGTTGAGATGTGGACAGACTCGGCAACTCGGAGACTAACACTATCCGCGTATATTAGGTCCCAACCATGGTGTTGAAATTCAGATCAAGTTTACTTACATAGACGTCTTCCCTCCTCAGCAGTAAGACCGTAAACGTCTCTGTAGGCGGCCCTATGTTGGTCCGTAAAGTATAAAGTCTCGGCCAGTTCACAGTCTATCTCAACTGCGCTAGTATGGACTATCATATTGGCAAGATCACCAGCAGTTTTGCTGAACCCGCTGGAATATGTTTGCCAGTGTGTCGGGTCATCCCGCAAATAGTGACTGAGAAACCGATAGCGTACTTGGGCCCATTTGTCGCCCCAGTCCAGAGCTCGAGTCAAAGTCTTTCGTTTCGTCTTATCGTCTTCCAATAGTATAGGTCGGTATCGTCCCAGAAACAAGTCGTGTATCCAGTCTTGGACCTCAGGTGGGGTGTATACTGTTTTGGCTAGTCGAATAAGTGCATCCATTTCGTGTATAAGACTCCGGGCGTGATCATTTCCCTTCAGAACAACTCCTTTTATGCCATTTTCGGATTGTTGGTAATCAATTCCAATCTTATGTATCTTCTCCAAGGCTTTTACAAATCGTGCGGTAACATCGCTATTCTTGTTTAGATTCCTGAGGTATACAAGTAAATTATACCGGCTTGTAGGTTTTGTTCTACCTTCTGATGGAATGATCTGACCATGGTGCTTCCAACGAGAATCAGGTTTCGAAAGAGTCTCCTGGAAGGTAGGAACAGAATCCATGGTGACGATGGTTTGTAACCCGTAGTACGAGCTGTGATCCCCAAGATTAGTGCAAGGTTTTGTTGTGTCTTTTGTTTGTATAATATCTCAGTGGTTCGTAAATAACTAACACATTGTTTTCAACTTGGATGAATATCACAGCACATTATAGATGCATTAGGAGGCAGACCTCTGGAACACTATTAACAGCTTTACAAACAAAGGAACCATCAATACTTAGCAAAGACGGCACATGACTGCATCCGGCAATTTCATCTAAAGCTACTAATACTCATAAAGGAGACCTAGGTTTTGAATGTCGTGTAATGCTTTCTATTTCGATAACTATACTAAATTGTGATTAAGATGAACTCCTAACAGTGGAAATGGTATATTGTTAGATATGGATGTAGGTGAGTAGTTATCACCCATCATTGGAGAAGAATAGGACAAATAGGAGCAACAGGAGTAAATATGATATATTATATCTAATAAACATAGACGATATATAGTGAGAGCGTCAATGTCACGTATAGCTGAAATGTTTGCCCAGGTAGTTATATTTATGATAAATGACGAAGACTTCATGATCACAGATGGTATTCCCAAATGCGTGGCTTGAATATATACAGGCTGGTACTCTCTGTTGATATATCATGTCAATGATAGGAGGGAGCACTAATGTAGTAGGCAATAGGGGTATTCGGCCGGGGGTATTAGGTACCGACATGGAGGTACTAATCTGTGCCTCAAATGCCACATAACTACCTAACCTACATATGTAGTACATGTATCAACTTTAAAGTTGAAGACATCAGTGGATACATTATGTACCTACATGTATATGCACCCTACAAGTGTCAAGTACATCAATGATGTAGGTAGCATTGAATAGGTACAGACGGATCCGGATATAGACCAGACCCTTCTACATGTAGTTGTGACCTGCAATTGTGGGGTTCTTTCGGGTTTGTCTCCGTTCAACATTGAATTTCAATTCTACGACTTATCCACCACTTAACCATCAATTGATCGCTTTGCTCTCTGGCTGTGTGCCATAAGATATATGTAGGAAATCCGACAGAGAATAATGGTATCAATACACGATGACCTCATGGTAAGGAAGACAGCAGTCCTAGGCAGGGATATGTTCACCATCTAAAAGGGGCACCTACATATTATTTACCTACATATGTAGATGTAGGTAGGTAACTTATGTATTACATACATGCGATCCCGCAAGTCAGCAAACGACGTTGCTTCTGTTCGGACCAACCGGTACCTACCCAATGCACATGGAACCTTGCGATTCTCGGGAACCTAGGTATTAGGCACATATACGAATCCCATAAGACACCCCTCCCATCACTCCTTACCTATGGCTAGGTAGATACACAGAGCTGTGCTTTCGATGCGACCTTACAAGATAAGCAAACATACAGACAGGCCTTGTTCAGTTGGGGTAGGCGTTGGCTCGCGCATGGATGGCATGGATGGCATGACATGGGCATAATCATGGGCATGTCCTTACAGAGGGAAAGAGGGAAAAAAAAAAGAGGCGTTCCCCTTCCTCGGGACAGCAGCGAAACTATTTACTCACCATAAAGTTCCAGCCCCAATCAAGCACCTCGGCAAGCGCCACCAAAACTCATCCCAATGTGTACCTACCTATCTACCCTAGGTACCTACCTACTTACCTACTTACCTTCAAGTTTATATACTTAATATTTACCTGCTAGATTATAAGAAAACAAAAAGGTCGCTTGCCTTGTCGACCAGCGGCGTACACTAAATGTTTTTACTGCTTATGCTCTTCTCCATTTTCTTGCTCTCATTACAATAAGGGCCAAGTAGATTTTTCCTGACCCTACTCCGTAAACAAATCCTTCCATAGCCTGATTTCTTCATTATTGGACCTTTAGCTCCATCTCTCGTCGACCTTTAGTTATTCAACTGCCTTAGACCCCGACTGCTATCTCATCCACTGCCACCCAGAGTCTTGAGAGCGAAGTAAATGATTGATGCTTCTGGTGTTCGCTTAGGCTGACCTCGTTCTGAGCTCGACCTGGACGCTCGAGTTCATATGGGCCCTGTTGCGCCTAAATGATATAGATTCATCATGCCGGTACTTTCAATAATAAAACGAGGTCGGAAACAAGCTAAAGAGCAAAATGCTAAGAAGGTCGAGCAAGAAAAGGAGACCGCGGTCAAGATACCGTATAAGCATGTAGTTACACATGCCGCTGCCGATGCTCTATCTGGTGCTCCTTCGAGCTGGCGACAAGCCGACAGAGCCAGAATCATGGAACAAAACAGACGAAGAACTGCCATGATGGCCGCTGAGGGCTACCCAACCGGTTTACCACGAGTCAGTAGCTCGTCGTCCTATATATCCTATGCGTCCGTCTACGCAACTCCCATCGTACCCCTTCCTAAAAATTATACCCCTTACAGCCCACCTGCATCACGGCGGGACCAGCCGTCTACTTCTCCAGACAACACCCGCTATCTTAGCCCACCAGTAAACACGGGAAGGTCCAAAGGAAAGGAGCGAGAATATAGTCAACCGTCAACATCTGCAGCCCCAGTTTCAAGACCATCCTCTGGTCTGACAAGCGTTGTATCAAGCAAAGGTAGGTTGCCTAGCAATCCTTCATTCAAAATTGCTAGATGCTATTCTCTCTAACTAGTATATAGAGCTGCCTGTCAATGGAAGCTCAGGGATTCCAGTTGGCTCTGGCGAGGGACCAGAGATTAAGCAAACGGTCATAAACCACCATTCTCATAACCTTGACAGTCGTTCGAGCACTCCCCAGCAAAGCAGCTCGTCTAGTGAGAAGTCTTATCGTACACCTTTGAGCAGTTCACGTACGACTATTGAAGGCCCTACCAAGCCTGATCGATACTATCCACCCCAGGCTCAAAGCACTTATTTCTCAGCGCCGCGTCCCCTCAACCGCCGCATAACTAGCGCGGGCACGCCTACACCCGCTTTTTCTCTTCCTATAGAGCGAAGCGGCTCGGCGGTTCCTTCATCATCCACTCCTTGGAACTACTCCGCTGCCTCCTCTCTCGCATCTATCGGCATAGCTATTGCGCCCCCTTTAGAGCCCTATTTCGTTGCTCCCTCGACCCCTATAGTCCCCGTGGAGGATGGTGCTGTGTCGGATCCGGAACCAAACACGACAAGAACTACTAGCGCCCCCCCTGTGTCAATATCAAATGAAATACCAGCGCAGTTACGCAGGGTCTCTATAGACACTGTCACGCCGAAGTCAAGAGGGAAAGTGGCATCGGCATCACCAGTATCACCAGTATCACCAGCTCCATATTCACCAAGAAGGAGACGCAGGTTGTCTAAATCTAGACCAGCAAGCATCGACGGAAGCGGTGTCAAAACGTCAATCGAGACTGTACGTCCACAGAGGCCGAGCACAGCTACCGCAGTCACCGTACCTACTACTCGAGACCCCAGGCCCCCAACTGGTGATACGACCCAAAATAACGACACCGAGGCGATCGTGGTGCCGCCACCATCCAACGAATCCATGCCCAGGACCCGGAGAAAACTGAACAAGAACCCGGATTCCAGACGCCCGGTTGCCACACAACAACCTGTGCCCACGCCCATGAAACCCAAGTCCAATCATAAAGGGCGATGGATCCTTCGACTGGCTAGCAAAATTCCCCGTCTCGCTACTGATTAAGGTTTATATAATAAAATGGGAAAGAAAGCGGGCGAATGTATCATGAGGGGGTTTTTTTTAAAAAAAAAAAATAGAATACTTAGCATCAGCGTATTTGATATTTCCTGTATAGCATCGTCAATGCGAGTTTTTCATTAATGGTAGCGGCATAATGCGGTTTAGGGTTATTTTGAGTATAGGTAGAAAATATACATCTCGTGCGTGTCGGCGTCCAGATGGTCGATCATACTGCTCACGAGTCTTTGCTTTCTCTTCCGATTACCTTCCTCTTGAATGTTTCGTCTCATACCTAGGTAGATTCCTACGTGAACCTCCAGATAAACGCATATGTTAGGTATGTAGTCAATTCTTCGTCCTAGCGCGACCAGGGAGGTCGGGACGTCCCGAGTCGATCGGCGTGCTTAGGAAGTGAGGGTATATCCATATCCAAGGGTGTCTCGGAAAGGTACTTGACTACAAAGTACCTAACCTACATGTAGCTACATCAAGTATGCATAATGCCACATCGTTGATGGATGTGGTGCATGTATCATGTACATATCTACACACATAAGGGGTGGGTGGAAATTGAATTAGTTACCGCCGTTATGTATGTATGTATTACAGTTACATAGGTCAGAACCTCTTTTGCGCTAAGAGAGAAAGGAGGGTGGTATTTAACGGTGGTTAGTTAGGTACGGGATCTAGAATCTTACGTCGGTTCTATTCTTAGTTTAGGCTGATCTCTTTCTTTCCTTTCTTTCAGGTTTCGCATAATTTCACCATCAAGTCTTGTGATAGATAAGTTAATGTCTACTCGACAAGGACTGTTTGCTCCTGAGTTTTGTTGCTTTATTGTTTGGTATCGTATGTAAGTAAATTGGTTCCGAAATGCACATGAGGTATTTATGAGAGAGCGCCTGCATCTAGGTATCCCATGTGTATATCTTCCTGTCAAGTAAGATGATGATCATAAAATTTGTGCTCGGGAAGATGTCTGAGCCGGCTGTATGTACATAACATATCATGGATGTGAGGTATCATACGGACGACGGAGTACCTAGGTGTTTATGTATGTGAGAAAAGGGGGATCTTAAATTTATCGGTACAATCTTTGACGCCCACTAATACTGCACATGTCGAATACGATTATGTGAGTGAGCAGTGAGCACCTAGCATAACGCCAAGTTGTGGGGGGGTTTCTGAGATAAATTGGGATGTAGTCGACTAAGCTAGACCTAAGACTTAGTGAGCTGCAAGTCAGCCGCATATTCCACCTAGTTACCTACCTAATCTGTCATTACTGCTACGACCTACATACATACCTAGGTAGCTAAGCTTGAGGATCTGATATGTGATATCACCGTGTTGTAGGCTGGGGGTGTAGGTAGGCCGTGGTATATCATTTGGCGCAAGATGCCCAACCAGAAACGCCTTCGGAATTCTTCACCCGCCCATGGAGTCGGCTTCTAGGATGATAAGCATGCCATGCGGGTTTGACGTACATTGATAAAGGAAACGTCAGGCTATCAAGGGAATGTATGGCTGAGAGCTGAGATAGTAATGTGGCTTATATTGCATGTCGGCGTCAAGCAACCGGGAGTCGGCATACATGATATTAATATATGTAGTCATCTGAATATCTCTTTATCTCTCGGGATTCCTGAACTGGCTGGGGAGGGTTGACATTTGGTGTGGCGTTTGATATCCAAGTGGGAAGTAGCATAGTACAGCATGCTGTGCTACTGAAATACACCCTATCGAGACCGATGGATTTGCGACTTGTTTATATAAACGTATACCTGACAATGTGCCTGACAATGTGGTTATCCTGACAATATGGTTATACTGACGAATGACTAAACAAAGTTCAATGTTTTCTTCCAATGTTTTATAGAAGGAACGTTGAATTTTATGGTTGCATGGAGGTTAGGTAGGTAGGTATGCTAGCTAAGGGAGGAACCTGGGAGCTATGACACTATGTAATATTGCGGGGCATATGCCGTAGATCATTAGGGGTCCCCAATCCCTGAACCTTGAACCTTGAGCTTTGAAATGGAATCGTTCAAGGTTTGAGTACCTACCTAGGGGGTACCTACCTACCTACCTAAGGTAGTTAAAGCTCCAGGATATCCTAATTGGCTAGCCCTAGAGACGTGGCTTCTTCAAGTCGCAACGCGTCCGACGACTTTAATTGCGTACTAACTACTACGTAACTACTAGGTACTGTACCTGCCATGTGCGTACCACCAGCGTACGTAGGCACTGAAACTATTTTTTGTAACGCCTATAAGGCCAACTTCGACAAATGAAATACAACGACGACCAAGATTGACTTAACCATTTTTTTTCTTTTTACTCGTTTTTTGTCGGTGGAGGAATGGAAACATCACTCGGATTTCACAATTGCGCATTCACGCCGCAAACTTGAGAAAGTCAAGTCTTCCGATGTGAAGCTTTCTAACCTAGCAGCTCATTCTTTCTCTTCTCGTCGCATCCTGCGATATTCATCATGGACCCAACCGCAGAGCTGATCATCTCCAGCCTGACGGAGAACCCCCCTCACATATTATTAGCAGCGTTTGTCACACTAGTAGTTTTCGCCTTTTACAGTGTATGAATTATATTTCTAATTTCTATCCAATCTCTTTCCACCCTCTCTCAAACCAAGGCCATTTTACCTTCAGCTAAGCTAAGCTAAACTAATCTCATCGCAGCTCTACGCCCTACTTCATCTCATTGCTCCCAAACCCCGCCAAGTTTTCCCAGCCGAAAAGACATACATCACAACTACCCCATCCGGCGACACCGTAACGCGACAACTACCATGCTGGCATGACCGATGGCTAGCAGACCGCCACGCCAGCGAGACTCGCAGCAAGAACGACGATCCTACCCAGACTGACATCGCCGACACCAGTTCCATCGATCCCGCCGAGTTGCGCATGAGTGTGGTGTTTCCCGCGTACAATGAGGAAGACCGTATCCTGCCCACTCTAAAGGAAGCAGTCGAGTACCTCGATGCCACGTTCGGCCGCGACCCACGCCCAAACTCGAATTCGCCGCACAAGCGACTATCCCCTGCAACCTCGCGCAGACATGCTCAGAATGCCCCACGCGACGATCTGGGCGGGTACGAGATCATCGTCGTCAACGACGGCAGCAAGGACCGAACTGTCGACGTGGCACTAGAATTCTCACGCGAGCACGGCCTACATGATATCCTGCGAATCGTAACGCTCGAGGAGAACCGCGGCAAGGGCGGCGGTGTCACCCATGGTTTGCGCCACGTGCGTGGGGAATACGCTCTCTTCGCCGACGCCGACGGCGCTTCCAGGTTTAGCGACCTGGGAAAACTGATCGAGGGCTGCGAGGAAGTCGTCGACGGAAGCCACCGGGGCGTCGCCATCGGCAGCCGGGGCCACCTGGTCGGCAGCGACGCCGTGGTTAAGCGCTCGGCGCTGCGCAACTTCCTCATGCGCTCCTTCCACCTCGTCCTCATGATCCTGACGCCCCCCGCCACCTCGCGCATCCGCGACACCCAGTGCGGCTTCAAGCTGTTCTCGCGCGCCGCCCTGCCCCACATCGTCCCCTACATGCACGCCGAGGGCTGGATCTTCGACATCGAGATGCTGATGCTGGCCGAGTCGGCCCCCGCCGTCCCAGTCCTCGGCCACGACGGCTCTGTTATTGGCAGCAGCCCCGGCATCAAGGTCGCCGAGGTCCCCATCGACTGGCACGAGGTCGGCGGCAGCAAGCTCAACGTCATTCAGGACAGCGTCAAGATGGCCATCGGCCTCGCTGTCCTCCGCGCTAGCTGGATGATGGGCGTGTATAGGAGACGCGGGACGTGATGGACATGTGTATGTGATATGACGAGGACGAGGAAGTGCTTGGGGGGTAGAAAAGAGAAGAAAATAAGAAACAAGAAAAAGATGAGGAACAACTTCATGAAATGGAAATGGAAATGGAGAAATAAACATTGCGTTTGTGTTACCTGCTGCTGTGCATAGAATTAACTAACTGCCTACGGTTGGTTGTACATTACCTACCTAGCATAGCGAATAATAATGAGTAAATCCGCTCGTAGTTGTTTATTTATTTATACAGCGCGGCGTAGATTTCCATCTCTCTTCTCTTCTCGTGTGGTTTATATTATGACTTAACCTAACCTATTGGCTTTGGAGATAGATGAGTGAGTAACGACGATGATGATGATGATGATGATCACATTTGCTGTTCTACATACATAACTACTGCCTACCCTAAGTTAGTTAGGTACCTACCTATGTAACCATGCTCACACACTCTCGGCGTGACAAGCAAGGTATTGCGGAACCTGATACCACTCGACTACAGTATGTTATGTATGTGTAGATAGCTAGGTACCTACCTATCCATCACCAACACCAGCTTCTTCTTACCTGCCAGGTATGTACCTATGTAGGCAGCCACTCTGGAGAAGCATTTCCTACCTACCTCACCCCCCACCCCCCTATATCAAGTCTACAGCTTACAAGTTCCACCAAAGCAGAGGTAGGTATGTATCTACCCCAGCAATTAAGCAACAGCTGGTCATTATTGCACTTTATATATATCTATATATCTATGAATCTTACGACCAAAAAGGGCAAGCAAATCAGAGTAGGTAAATAGGTAAGGTGGTACTCTTGAATCATTAGAATTAAGTAAGTATTTGGGTGTGTGTTATATATACGTCAAGAGAACACCACTGGCAAACTCCGGGGTTCTCCTTTCTCTTTAATAATCTTCCCGTTCCATGCCGCCGTCGTCATCGTTACCGCCACTGGGGAGCAAGCCAAAAAAGTGCCTAGCTAAAAATAGACACCTGGGTAGCAGACTGACTAACCGAGTAGGTTAGAGAGAACTGTCTTGTGGCGTAAAAACCTTATCTCAATCATATCATGTCGAAAAGGTGCTTCTTTCTTCTCACTACTCCTCAAAGGGAGAGTAGGTATGTATCAAACCCTTGGATACAGTGCCACATCACCGTAAGGTAGAAGAGAAGCACCCAGCCGCTCCCATGCATATCCCATATCCCCTATCCTCATTGGCATAAAAACCAAGAAAACCCCTTTCACCTATCCCGGGCCATGTATCCAAAGTGTATGTCAGATGATAGAGCAATAACTTCATCTAGACGAGCAGCTCCCGGTACAGCACTGGTAAAAATACCGTACTCGCTGTCCACAGGATCATAAACGCGTTCCAGATTAGTACTGGTATCTTCCAGAGGCCAGTCTGTCTCCAATCGAGCCAGATAGCGAGGAAGGCGACGGAGAAGAAGTGGTACCACAGGACTAAGGGGTCGGGGATCAAGCCACCCAACAGACCCATGGGTCCATTTACGTAGCCGCGCTGGAAGTAGGCGAAGCAGCCTCGTTGCAGCTTAGCGAGTTGGGCGTTCTGCGCCGCGAATAGACTATATAGCGCGATGGCTAGGACGTTGATGATGGCAGTGAGCTTCTTGCGCTGCCAGTAGAAGTTGCCCATAGCGCGGCGTACGGCGGCCGTGTTGGAGAGGTCCGGGATTTTCTCGGGTGAGAGCAGGTCTCGGAGCAGCACAACATCGTTGAGGGCGACGGACATGCCACCGCCAGTCAGCGGGTGCCGCATGTTGAATGCATCACCGAGGATGACGAGGCCGGGGGTGGATTGCTTCGATGGCGGGAGCCAACTATTGGGCATGCTCTGCGGGATCTTGGAGTCTTTGTCGAGAGCCGCTTGAAAGGAGGGCTGCACGGAAGCTGGTAGGGCGGGAAGTACGACCTTGGCCATGTATCCCCTGACACCGCCGTTTGCGGGGGATGCAGCAGGCAGCTTTTCGGGAACGTCCACGAGGACACGGGTCTCGTGGGTGCCGATCTGGTAGAGGAGGACGGGGCTCGAGGCACCAATGATGACGTGACCAAACCCTGGGCTTGGTAGCTTACAGTCGTAGAGCTCGAGAGCGTAAAACTTAGAGCGGACGACCGGGGTCTCGGAGAGAAATTGTTTGCGGAAGCGAGAGGCATAACCGTCAGCGATGATGGTCAGCTGGCCGAAGAAGCAGTCGGGATCCTTCTCGCCGGTAGTGGCATTGACGGTACGGGTCTCCACACCGAGGATCTCGGCATTGTGATCTCCCTTAATCGTATTGATAGCCTCGGTTTCAAACACGCTGATATTGGGGTGTTCGAGGCAGGCCCGGCGCAGCTGCATGATGAAGCGGCCATGGTGAAAACTCTTTCCCTGGGGCCTTGTGCCCTCTGTCTTTTCTTTCTTATTAGATCCTTTCTCTTTGCCATCGGATAGACCGAGCCACTCCATTTCAGGGTAGGGCATGCGGACATCTTGGCCGTGGAAGAAGACGTTGAATCCATTGCATGGTATAGAATCGATATCTTCGATGCAGTGTCCCAAGCCTAGCTTCCTTAACGAGTTGACGCCACCGGGTTGCATCAGCTCGCCAACGATGCGGTTAGGCTCCTTCATCCATCGCTCTAAGAGTATGACGCTTCTGCCCTGGTCGGCTAGAGCATAGGCGACCGCGCAGCCAAAAACGCCTGCTCCGACTACAACGACATCAGCCTCATGGTGTTGAGATCGCCGCTCACCGAGCTCGTTTACGACAACTGTAGTTTCGCTCATGGGAAATGATGACACGGGGTCGAGTGTAAGATTCGTGAGGTGAGAAATAGGTTAATTTGGTGAGGATAAGTAGTCAATCGGTAGGTATTGATTGTAACGGTTGGTGTATAATTAATATTGTATGAATTAAGTGTTTCGAGGGTATCACGAATGTAGATAAATAAGGTAAGTACCTATGTAGTAGATGGTAGGTTCTATGGTAGGTTCGATATTTATTTATTTTAGTAGCTCTGCGTATTTAATAAGCAACCGATGGACGTGTACTAAAAAGTAATAAAAAGTAATAAATGGGAACTTGGACCCTTGGAATCAGGAATCTACTATGTACGTCGTAAGGGGAACGGCGGTCTAAGACGTATGAGGTGTGCAATGGTTCCAAGGCGGTTGGAAAGCTAATAATATTAAAAAACCTAAAAAAGATTTTCTTTTAAAAAACTGTGTCTCTCAGGTCATGATGGTTCGACGGATCGTTCCATGTGCAATGACTTTCATTATCTTGCCCCTTATTCAGCCTGGTCAAGGGTTTAAACATATGTATGACAACCACATGCTTGCCAAGCCCCATACCAAATTACTGGACTTATTAGTGGCACTTTACCTAGAATCGATAAACCTTCTTTTCATCCCATCCCCCCACATTCGATTGACCAACCAAAACGTGCCATTATCAGCCCTCCTGTAATTGGTCGACAATTATTGAATGTCAACATACAACACTACTATGTAGCCACCTTTTCTAGATGCCTATGATACCTAGGTAGGTAGGGACTTTGGTAGTCTTCTAGAAAAATAGGGCATTCGTGTTTCTATTGTATACACTTCATCAGGTTGTATGTGCCCTAAGGATGTTAGGTTAGTACTATATACATGTAGGTAGGTATGCACTAGGTATGTAGGTAATATAGGGACGGAGGCATATATGTATATATATATATATATATATACAAAAGAGTTGTTGTCTTTACACCTAGTCTGCCGTGAACCCTGGGTATTCATCTTTATCCAGCCAATCCTCCTCAAAATCCCAATCCTCGTTCTCATCTTCCTCGTCTTTAGGCGTAGGTGGCTTATCCTGCGACGTTGCTGGTGCCGTCCCTTTGCCCTGCATGTCGGTAACTGCGGCTTGCATGATTCGGAGAGTCTCCGTGGTGATCATCTTTCCTTCCTTTCGTGCCTTCTGCCGCCGCGCCACGACCTCCCAGATGGCCAACCCTAATGTTTCTAATATAGCGGCGACCTCGGCACATGGTTTGAAATTCGAAACAATTCGCTTCATCGACCTTAAATACCATAACACTGACTTATCTTCGGTGTAATTGCTCTTGTTAAAGAGATCATCCAACAGTTGCTTTATCCCTTCCACGTCGAGCAGATGGGCATAGGCCATCAATAATGCCCTAATACTTAATCTCGAATAACACATATGCGTAGAGCCATTCCTGTCCATGGCAAGCTTACACAGTAAAATTGCTCTCTCGTGCTGGTTCAGCTTGGTGCAGATCATCGCCATGCGGGTCATCACTGATCCATCGACAATAATTTTTAAAGCTTCAAATTGATGGACCAGATTTCGCATGTGGATCAGAATTTCATCCGCTTTGGCCCGGACCTGGTCGAGTTGGAACATAATGAACTTCGATGCTGCCGATCCCACGTCGTCACCCTTTAGGTGGGCCTTGTGAATGAGCGCCATGGCCGAAGCGGCCCCGTTGTTGGGGTTCATCAAGGCGGCCGTTACAGCTAGCCGGAGGCAATGCTGGCAGGACGACATTCCGAATTTGAGAGCTCGCTTGTAGATGAAGATTGCTGTTGCTGGCTTGCCCATGTTTATCTCCTGGTTCATCGCTTCGTATACATCTCGCCTGCTTGTTGTCCTTCCTAGATACGCCAACTTATTTACTTCAACGACTCGCGAACCTATCGCTCGGTGGTACTTTGAATCCCTGTAGGCTGGGCCTGAAGCTAACGCTGCTTGGCTCATGATCCTTCGCGTAACGTCATCAATGAGGTTGGGGTCAAGCTGTCCTATTTTGTTATAAAATACTTGTAGTTCGGGGTAGGAAAGCCGCCATTGAGTCCAGCAGTTGTAAAGGACTGAATTGAGGAGACCCGGCTCTAAGGCGAACCCGCTTTTGTCGCAATGAGCTAACCAAGACATAAAACCTGGCATGTCATGGCAATCACCGTACTTATTTGCCAGAATTGAGATCATGTAACGATGCATACGCACCCCTAGATCACTCATATACTTCGACACGAAGTCTCGGACCTCGGAAACCGGATGACCGTCTGCAAACACTTTAAGGACCATGACAAAGGCACCTTCGTACTCCCATCCCTCATAATTCCTGAAGGTTTGCATTATAGCGAAGACATCAAACACGCCACCCCAATCTCCAGCCTTAGCTAACGATAAGGCGAGAAATCCGTGTATGCCAGTGTCTGTCTTCATGTTCGGAAATGCCTTGATTGTGGCCTCATAGTATGATTTGGTCATGTCGTCCTCTCCAGCCCTGACGGAAATTTCAACCATGGTGCGAAACACACCTTGGGGATGTGCAACTTTGGAAATCAGTCCCAAGTCGAAGACTTTGTCAAACAGCGCTTTCACCTTTGAAAAGTCCTCGGTACTATTCCAATAGGCGCGCAAAAGCCGCATGATCCACTGAGACCGCAAGTATTTTGGGTCTTGGTCGTAGAAAGTGAGGAGTATAAGATCAGCTTTCATACCTTCCATACCTTCTACCGCGTCGACAACATACCCGACCGTCCTTTTGAAACATTTATTTTTGACCTTCGCTTTTGAGAAGTTGAGCAAATAATATTTGATGACATTCTTGTAGTCACCAGCCTGATAAAGGTCCTCTATAATCCATCCCGTAACCATGGCCGGCTTCTGTGTGACGCCAAACACCCTCCAGTATACGTGATGGGCTTGGGGAAATAGAATGGCATCGATACTTCGACTAATTAGCTGTTTTCCAAGGAGCTCAAACCCAGCGGGGCAGACCGTGGGCTTCTCTTTCAACCTTGGCAGAAATAATTGCGTCGCAATCGCAATAGCTTCTGGACCACGAACTTGTAACCTTATAGAGTGTATGATGTTTTCTATAATCACTAGGGGCTCGTGTGCGAAATATAGAGATTCATGCATCGGACCAGCTTTGATGGTTGTGGTAAGGACCTTTACAGCATCTTCCCACCTGTTCCGAGCCACACATTCCCTCGACAGTCGAGCTGAAAGCGAAACCCATCCATCATCGAATTTTTTAAAGTCGTACGACGTACGGCATACTTCAAAGAATCTATTCAGAGCTTTGTCTAACCGTTCTTCATCCTTGCTGGTTAAGATGGAAATGACCTTTTTAGTCGCTTCACTGAGTACTACGGGAGGGACCTTGGAGGCTGCAGAGGCCGCAGTGCTGGCTCGTTGATAACGATGAGCAGTATGGATTTGTGGATGCTGGGCTATCGCTTGTTGGAAATGTGCCGGTGGCCGGAGCTTTTCTAATAAATTTGTATCATGGTGGGTCGGAGGAGGCGATGCGACTTGGGGTTGAGCAGCGGTTGTAGGTCTTGTACTAGAGGAGGTGCTCTTAACATTTTCACGATGCGGTGGTGCCTCATCCATAGCCTTGTCCGCGTATGGTTTGGTTGCCTTGTCCGTCTGCAACCACTGCCATTCACCTGCGCCTAGCAAGAGAGCATCGTCGGATGGTACAACAGCGGAATCAGTCGTGGCATGATATCGTCGCTTGCATGCCTTGAGCTTTTCTTTATTTGTAATCGCGGTTCTCAGGGTGCTAATTCGTCTTCTCCGGTCTTCAAGAATGACGCCGATGGCACAAGTAGTACCGAAAGCGATTCCTCGGAGAGCATGAACCAAAGCCTTCGACGGAACGGGTAATGGTGGTGACATGTTCGTGAGTTAAACGATGCCATATCGAAATGCTGCATAGGGTCTTATTCCATGGTTCGTTTATTTTGTTTGATTTCTACAGCAAATGCCCTGCAGAAGACAGCTCGAATGCGGCTGGTAGACGTCGTCGATTATGCGCGGTAGGTACCTTATGTAGGTATAGGTATGAATCAAAATCGTATCGGAGTGTTGCATATTAGTTAAATCGTACCATCGATGATTGAAGTGGGTTGGGTTCATGAATCGAGTATTGCCACTAAAAGAATGCATAGGCACCTAATGTATGCAATTAAGGAAAATAGCCCCACTCCTTTTCGCAAATTCTATTATTATAATACTTGCATATGCACTAACCTAGCATATCCATATCCATATCCTGGACATAATCACATCCATCATCATGATTATCATGAATTCGTTGTTATTGGTCTTACTATATACGTCATTTGAGATTTCTATCTATGTATCATGTATCTATCTATCCTTCCCTCTTTTTTCCATGCTTCCTTGAACTCCGTGCGAATATTTTCTGTTGATGATACAATGCATGGCAATCCTGTGTAGCCTTAAAAGGGGGTCTTAAGACTCGGGAGTCTAAGATATATCAGATCTTTCTACTGGAAACCATACCTCTAGTTGCCGCAGTATTGTCTGATACAAGAACAACATGCAGCCGCTTTGTACACTAGTCCAGACATAACGTGGCCCAACTCCCCTAAACCAGCCACCAATCCCCTCTGTCTTATAAATGAGTCTTAGACCCTTGAGTATAGAATCTTCGTCTAATGGGATAGCCCCTGGGCGTGGTGTATGTGTTGAAGGTGATGATGTTGATATAGGACGTTTTTGCCGCACGGGGGGAGGTTGCCCTGGTTTGCGTGGTGTATCTTTGATACTTTGTGTAGCCGAGCGGTCTTTTGGCTTGCCCATGATCGGAATGGGGTCAATCTGAGTTTGTAGCCTAGTTTTGACTACATCGAGAGGACAGGTCAGAACGCCAGCCAGCCCCCCACCTGCAGCTCCGGTCAGGAGTTCTAATCGAGTCCCGATATCTCGGCTGTTCTTATATTCGCGGGCCCAGCTTTGGAATTGCTCATAGAACATGAACTGAAGAGCGGAAAAGGGGAGATCTCGATACAATGTTGCCTTAAATCCAGAGAATAGTTCGGCGAACCCCTCCGTTCTGACAATGGTTCTTACAGCGTCAAATGTGCCACGATAGTTATATCCAGATTTGAAATGGGGATTGTTGTACCGCCCTTGGAGCTGAAGACGAGTTTTTAGCACTTCCGAAGGTACGTAGACGATGGATGCGGCAAAGTCGCCCAGAAAACCTAGAAACATGATTTAGCATAGGCCCTGACAAAGCAGCAACAGTAAAGTCTTGGTATATACCGGCTAGTAAATAGGAGACATGGGATTGAATGCCATAATCTAGCATGTGTCGCTTGCTCCATTCATAAGTTCCGAAGAAGAGGACCGTGCCGGGGAAAGATCCCATCATCGCCGGAAGCCAGCCGCCATATAACCCACGCCGAATGCCTTCCTGTCGTAATATTGTATAATAGGATGATCCCAATGATGTGTACTTGGGTGGTATATGGGGATCGCCTTGTTGTCGAGTTTTAACGGTATCGAGCGAATGCATTAACATATCACCAGTCGTCCCACCAAACCCTCCAGCGATCATGGACTGAGGTTGCGAATATTAGCCCATCCAGTCTTATTATATATTCGCAGGATTAGAACACCTACGTGGATATAGGGTGGGCGCCCCTCCAACTCCCCATTGTCGTGAGTCATGCTGTGACCATGCGATTGCGCCTAGAAGTGATAATTGATGCTGAAGGGGTTGTGCTCCGATGGTCCATTGTTATTGCCGATAAGTGAGGAAGGAAACGGTCTATTCGGCCAACCCCAGTAAAGGGTGGTGATACTCTCTTCGCTTGTTAGAAAAAACCCACCCAAGCAGCCAATTTCACTTTTTAGAAAAAAAAAAGAAAAAGAAAACTAAAGGCAAAACAGAAAATTAGCGATCGCGCTCAAGAGCGATCACCAAACGAAGATGTCGTTTTTCTATTAAGTAAATCCGAAATTTTTTGATTTCGGGTTATATGCACTAACTAGTCGTATCGGCCATATCTAATACCTGGTACCTGATGACTATCAGTTTAAGCGCAATTTCATACACTAGGCTTGCGCCGTCTCGGAGCCTCAGGGCTACGTGCCTTATCTTATCTCTAACTTGGAGATAGGTTTGTAGCGAGATATTAGGTACACTGTACACATAACTACCTAGTAATACATAACTACCTAGTACCTAGTAGTTACCTACCTAGTAGTCCTACGGTCTACCTAGTAGTACTAGTACTGTACTTACTACTAACTACCTACTAGGCAGCATCAATGAATTTGAATATGCATGCAAGCACTTCAGCACTGCTTCTGTACTGAGTATATACATATAATACTTGGTCTGCTATCATTGATGAGGTTGAGTTGAAAAAGGTAGAATAATGATTTTGATGCTTAGTTAATTCTTTTGGTTTCCTGCAAAGTCCCACCAGCGCACTCTGCCAAATCTATGTAGTGGCCATAATACATGAGTGACCTTGCCAATGATGAGATTAGTCGAGATCGGTCCATAGTCGTTGCTGTCCCTACTCAAGCGTTCACCTCCATCGCCTTCAACCCAGACATGTCCTACCGGTACCCGTACAGTAGGGGAGGGATACGGATTTCTCGTCTTAATAATATCACCTTCTAGTCCAACAATTCTCTTGACAGTCACGATCTCCGGATCATAAGGATTCCTATAAATGTTCAAACCCCTAAAGTTAGCACGCAACCGGGATTCTTATTCTTACGAGTAAAATCTCTTCAACCATCTTTTTCTGATACATACCAGAATGTTACAATCATTCCCCGCTTTAGCCCGTATTGTGCATTGAACTTGTAGTTGACCACTATGTCCTGCCGTGTCGTCTGGTCCTTTTCCGCATTTAGGAATGGATACATCGATGGGCCATTAATCCAAGACAGCTCGCCAACATAGTGATTGAACATGGACACCACGGGGATCCATGTTGCGATTGCGAAAAGCTGGAAGCCGAATCTACCAAAGCGTCGCCTTCCTTGTTTCAATTGTGACCATATCGGCCTAAATGCCATGGAGTTATAAGTCAACGGCAAGCCTGAGATGTCGATATTTTATTGTGCTGAACGAAATAGGTTAAAGATTCGTGAGTTCAAGATCAAGGTTGATATCGACATACATAGAGGATGATACTACTGCTTATAGGCACTGTCTAGTATGTAGGTAGGTAGACACATGCATGAGACGAGGTACCTAGGGCATGTTCTGTAATGGATAGATGGATAAATTCATATTGCCCAGATAAGTTATGTAAGCAAAGTCGCGCGAAGCACTGAGGCTTCAGCGTCAACGATTTATTGATCTCAAAATGGAGCTCTATTCGCATGCTAGGTACTTTTATTGTCCCCGAATATCAAGACCCCTTAGTACCTTTTGCCGAGCCTCATACCCTCTCATTTTTCTCATGACCAAACTGACCGAACCGAAGTCTGAGCTGAGTGACATCTTAAACAGTCTCAGGAATGTTATCATCACTCTCACTAACACTCTCGTCGCCACTAACCTCCGCATTCTCTCGTTCTCGCTTCTCCATCAGTGCTTGAAGCTCGGCATCGTCTGAGTCTGTCACAGCCTTGGGCTCCATCTTCACGATAAGCTGACCACCCGTGCTTGTGATGCTGTTGCGAATATCGACAATAGCCTCCTCTAGTCTCTGGATACCGACGTTCTTGTCCAGGCATGTGCTGGTTAAGACGTAGAGCGGTGGGGAGACCAGTCTCACTTTGACTTGGTTCTCGGAAGTGTTTCGAGCCTCGGCCGTTCTTAAGGCTGCCTTTACTGCATCGATTCCGTCGTACTCAAAGCAGGTGACCTCAATATCAGCACGAACCTTTGTAGGTTGAGGCGTCAAACGCTTGCCGATGTACGACTTCAGTTCCTCCGCTACCGGATCACTGGGGAAGGTGATATCGCTCCATACATCAGGGTTTCTAAAAATAGATGAACAATGAATGGATTGTGGCATGGTATAATCAAGACTCACGTTATGGAGAGTTTGAATGCATCAATAGAGTGTCCAAACTTCTTGTTCAGGGGCCAGGCTATGGTTTCGTAGAGGGTCTCAATCGGAGTCTGGGTCTTCTCGGCCACATGGCGCATAATGGAATGCACCATCTTGCTTTTGTTATATCGCTCTTCGCACTTAACAATGTCTTCTGGAGACACTCGACGCTTCGAAAGATCGATATATCCTAATATCCGTCAGCGGGCATGCCTATGCGCCAAATTGATTTTGCATCCCAACACGTACCCTTCTCCTTGTCAACTCGGAGCACCACGACTACCTCGTTGCGACCGACTCGAATAAGCTTCTGAATACTTCGAATTCGACGTCTTGAGAGCTCAGATAGGAGAATCATGCCATCGATGTTGTCGTATTCAAGGAGCTTGACATAAGCACCCATATCGGCGATCTAAACGACATTAGAGAAGTCAAACAAAATGATGCGACAAGAGCTAAACGTACCTGCTTCACATTGACCATGACGAAGCTATCGATCTCAGGATACTTCTCCTCGTAAAAGCGACAGTTTGTTAACGACATCTTGGGCCAAGGTATTCGTTGAAACTGTTATATCAATTGGGGAATGGATTGGGATATGAAGCGGCTTGCTGGCCCAGGATCGCGCGCTTCGGCGGATTTATAATCTTCTACTGAGAGATACCCAGTAATTTTTCTATTAAATTGAAATAATCTGGAAGCCTAATGATTCTCGAAGTGATGTCAATATTTCGCGCGCGATATTTTTCGTGGCGAACTATGCTCGTCGATTATTATGTTCTAGTTGTGCTGTGCTGGGTGCAAGTTAAAAAAGAGTCACAAATTTGTTCAATGATGGAAATCTTTAATGACCTGAGCGTGGGGTGTGGCACCCAAATATTTTTGGCGGGGTTATCTACATACATCCAAGTACCTACTCAGGTGGTCCTGATGCTTTGAACTGTGACGGCAGGTGCTAGGGGATGAATAAGATTTTAGGAAAAGTTAACCCACTCCTTTTAAGGTTTGCTTACAGCTGAGGCTCTGGTGTCCGCATCAAATTCTTCATATAATTATTTTAAACATTTATTAGCTCTGTTTGTTGATTTTACTGGACTTCTCTAATATAACTTTACTTATGAACGATATACATACGATGGAATTTTAAAAAATTTAACCTACATACTCAATAGGAACTCAGATAATATCAACGTAATTAGTTTGAAAAGTAAGCACGTGACGGCATGTGATCGCTCTAGTTACTGTAGTTACTAAGTATTGTGGCTATTCTCGGAGCATGGAAGAATTTCAATGCCGTGGGTATTGGCGGTCTAGTGTAACCAGGCTTTTTGAAATTCGACAAAAGAAAAGTCCCACCCAATTGCACATGTCTCGGAGCTTTGTCTCCTACATGAATTTTTACAATGTTTCTATTCCTTAACACAACTTCAAATGTCTCTGGCTCGACGAATTCACTGGAATCACTTTTCCAGGTTCAGCCAGTTGGTAGAAAAGTCAGAGTCTGGCTTTTCCACCGTGAAGGAAGATGAACATAATATCAATCATGACAGCTGCTGAAAGAACTTAATAATAGTTTTGCTTTGCTTTGTTTTGGAAAAAAAAAAACCATGGGGTCGTCTAGCCCGATCAGCGCCGAGACGGCTCTCGCTCAAGCCATATCGACCATCGCGAATACCTCAACGGCCACTGTTGCTTCAGCTGTAACACGCGCAGGCGATGTCGCACATAGTCAAGGCTCTTCGTCATGGCTTGGACTCATCGCCAGATTCGTTCTTTTCATACTTCACGTACTATCGACAATACTATACTGGAGTCTCAAGCTCACAACGATATCTGTGCCCACCCTTCTCTTCACGCTGTTCTCTACAAGCCTGACAGTAACAATGAACGCCACTACCCTGTAAGGATGCCCCTATACCCTCGTAAGTATCCAACAAACTGACATTGAAAGTAGAGCATTAATCGTACTCCTCATGTTCTCTGCAGTCACCTGGGTGGTAAGATATCGGTATTTGAACATGTACTCTCGCCTCCCCCCGGAGCCACAACGCAAAGAGCCCGAACTAGATCTTTTCCCGGAAACCCACGAGGAAGGCGCCAAACCTGGTCTCACCAATTATCTGGACGAGTTCCTCAGTGCCATAAAAATATTCGGCTATCTCGAGCGCCCCGTTTTCCATGAGTTGACTAGGAGCATGCAGACTAGAAAGTTAATCGCTGGTGAGACGCTAAACCTGGAGGATGAGAAGGGATTTTGTCTGGTTGTGGATGGGCTTGTCGAGATCTTTGTCAAGTCCTCTAATCCGAACCAAACATCTCAGCCTGCACCATACGAACACTCCATACCATCCTCCTTCTCTGACGATGATGAGCAATCTCTTCCGGGTCAACAACGATATCAGTTGTTGACCGAGGTTCGCAATGGCAATCCCATGTCGTCTCTTTTCTCCATCATGTCCTTGTTTACAGAAGACGTGAAGCTCAAGTTACCTTCTGAAGATCTTGCAGAATCTGGTGGTGCCAGTGAACACTCTAGTCATCAACACATGTCTACCACTAGCTTCATGAGCCAAGATGATGGTTCAACTTTCACAAATGAGGTTTCACCAACCATGGCCGATGGCTCTGGAATGCCAACTCCAGCATTTCCTAGTCAGACCACATTGCCCAAGATTCCTCCCATTTCTCTGGATGAGCCTGCTGTACCCCAAAGCGCCCGTCGCCCTGCCCCGAAGAGAACGGCCACATCTGTCCATCCTGATATCATTGCAAGAGCAACGGTTGATACAACCATTGCAATCATACCTGCTAGTGCATTCCGCCGACTGATCCGAGTTTATCCCAAGGCGACTGCTCATATCGTCCATGTCATATTGTCTAGATTTCAACGCGTTACCCTTGCCACAGCGTACAATTATCTTGGGTTGACCAATGAGGTTCTACACACGGAAAAGAACATGATCCATTACACCACTTGCCAACTACCGAACATCCTCCGAGGCGATGCCTTAGAACGTCTCAAGGAGAAGTTCAAGCAGGAGAGGGAGAGGGCTGGTGAGGAGGAAAGTGGCAAGGGAATTGCTCTGCACAACCCATTAACGTCAGGTCGTCGCCGCCGTCGGTCTTCCACGAGCCTGCGTAAGGAAGCAGCTCTACAAGCCATGAGTCGTGCTCGACCTCAATCTGTAGTAGCATCTACCATTGTGCCCCCGCAAGAGCGCCTTTCGATCCATACTCCTAGTCCTGGAGATCTATTGGCCAATGTCCAAATAACACATGGCGGAGGAGCAGGATCACCTGGTACACTTGAGATCCCCATAACGCAACACTTCCATTCCTCCGATATGTTTCGAGCTACCAGTCCGTTAGCTCAGCGTAACATGGATCCATTTTCAAGACAGAAACGAGCTCGATTATCAATTGATCCTCGCGAAGCCGTGGACGAGGACAACTTATTCAGAGTTTCTGTGTTTGAATGCGTTTTCAAGGCCTTGGGCATGAGCAGCAGTGGATCATCATCCAGAGGGCCGGGTTCGACAGAAGGATCTCCAAGGCTAGTTTCTTATGATCAAAGAAGACACAAGGCCGTATTTAGTAACAACGCTTTTGGATTCATGGATCCATTCGATGGGGCAACTGATTGGGATGCCGAATCCATGACCTCTGGTGGCATTTCGATGACTGGTACACCCAATGTACAGTATCTGGCCTCGGAGATGAAACATGAAGTGGAAATTGTTTTCTTCCGCCAAGGATCCGTCTTAGTTGAACAAGGAGAGCGAAGCCCTGGACTGTACTATGTCATCGATGGGTTCCTCGATATCTGCGTCCCTTCAGATGGCTCTGGAAGCAACATCCTCAGCTCGTCAAGCAGAACGTCCGTGACTGCAATGCACAGAGCGGAAACGCAAGAAGCCACCCGGCGCCCGTCATCTTTTGCCCCATCCAAGAATACCGAAGCCAATAAAAGCGTCAAGACAGAGCGTCGTCGCGTAGGACTAGTCAAACCAGGCGGCCTTGCAGGCTATATCGGTACAGTCTCATCATACAGGTCCTTTATCGACGTAGTTGCAAAGACGGATGCATATGTTGGTTTCATCCCGCGAGCGACTGTCGAGAAGATTGTAGAGAGATATCCAATCGTCCTTCTAACCATGGCAAAGAGATTGACCCATTTGCTTCCGAGGCTCATACTTCACATCGACTTTGCTCTCGAATGGGTCCAAGTTAATGCAGGACAGGTTCTTTATAACAAAGATGAAGAGAGCGAGGCTATTTATGTTGTGCTGAATGGCAGGTTGCGACTTGTAGAAGATCGTAAAGATGGTGGGATGAATGTTCGCGCCGAGTTCGGCCAGGGTGATAGTGTTGGCGAGCTAGAGGTTATGACCGAGTCTGCTCGTTCTGGAACGCTACATGCTATTCGTGTCACGGAACTTGTCAAGTTTCCTCGCACCCTGTTCAACAGCCTCGCTCAGGAGCACCCTAATATCACCATTAAGATCTCAAAGATCATCGCTTCTCGTATGCGACTCTTGGTGGACGATCCGTCTAACCCCACCGGTAAAGATGCTACAGCAGGTACATCTATTAACAAGATCTCGTCGACACTCAACATCAGAACAGTTGCTATCCTTCCAGTTCGATCTGGCATTCCGGTTGTTGAGTTTGGTAATCGTTTGATGAATGCTCTAGCACAAGTTGGCACGCCAAACGGAGCCACGTCACTGAACCAAGCCGCCATTCTCAGTCATCTCGGTAGGCATGCATTCAATAAAATGGGGACACTGAAGTTGTCTCATTATCTTGCCGACCTAGAGGAGAAGTATGGACTGGTTATTTACGTCGCTGGTAAGTAAATTCCTTTTTTGGTGCTGTTCCCTCTCATTGCTATGATGAACAAACTAAATCCAGAGCGCCGTCTATGAAGGCATTTAAACTCTAATTTTTTCCTGATGCAATGCACATTCTATTCTATTATTACGAAAGATTCGATTTTAACACATTGCTAACGCTATGTATTGTTAGATACGAGTGTGACTTCACCCTGGACCCAAACTTGCATCACACAAGCAGACTGTATTCTCCTCGTAGGACTTGCCGAAGGGTCTCCTGAGATTGGTGAATACGAACGATTCATGCTTGGTATGAAGTCGACAGCCCGCAAGACACTGGTTCTCCTCCATACAGATCGATATTCTCCTCCTGGCCTAACAAGGGCCTGGCTAAGAAATCGCGTTTGGATCAATGGCGGCCATCATCATCTTCAGATGGTATTTGAAGCGAACGACGTAACTGCGCATCCGCCGCCGAGGAAAGCTGGGCCTACTTTGAAGGAGCGTGTGCAGATCCTACAAGCTGAGATACAAAGGTATACTGTTCAGAAGATCCGCCAGAGGCCTTATTATTCACCTGAGGCGCCCTACAAGGGTGATTTTCAAAGACTAGCGAGAAGACTATGCGGCAAATCGATTGGTCTTGTGCTTGGTGGGGGCGGCGCCCGAGGAATCGCACAAGTTGGCATCATCAAGGCCATGGAAGAAGCAGGTATTCCCATTGATATAGTTGGCGGCACATCGATCGGCTCTTTTATAGGAGCACTGTATGCACGCCATGCTGATGTAGTTCCTATGTTCGGTCTGGCTAAGAAGTTTGCCGGAAGAATGGCCAGCATGTGGCGCTTTGCACTAGATTTGACATATCCGTCTGCGTCGTACACGACCGGGCACGAGTTCAACCGTGGCATTTTCAAAACATTTGGCAAGCACCAGATTGAAGACTTTTGGTTGGAATACTACTGCAACACTACAAACATTAGTAAGAGCAGGCCCGAAATCCACACGAGTGGATATGCATGGCGGTACGTGCGAGCGTCGATGTCCTTGGCAGGTCTGCTTCCGCCGTTGTGCGACGAGGGTAGCATGTTGTTGGATGGTGGATACGTCGATAACCTTACTGTGTCGCATATGAAATCCCTTGGAGCCTCGGTCATTTTTGCGATTGACGTGGGAGCGCTGGATGATGATACACCGCAAAGCTACGGAGATTCGCTCTCGGGCTTTTGGGCCTTTTTCAACCGGTGGAATCCCTTTTCAAATATTCCAAATCCTCCAACATTGGCGGAGATTCAAGCTCGGTTGGCATACGTATCTAGCGTGGACGCTCTAGAACGAGCAAAGGCGATACCAGGATGTATTTATATGCGTCCACCCATCGATGATTATGGAACTCTAGATTTTGGCAAGTTCGATGAAATCTACGCATTGGGATTCAAATATGGAAAGGAATTTCTCAATCGTCTAAAGGAAGAAGGTGTGGTCCCGTTAGTGGAAGAAACGGAGGCAAAGAAGGCATTACGGAGGACGATGGCGCCCAGACGCGCCAGTATATAATAACTATACCTTATAATAAAGAGCTCATAATAAATTATTCATAATATGGAGATATCAATACCCAATATACCAGCCTCCTAGGATGCTAACCTAGATCCATTTCTCAACACCACCAACGCTGCCAACGCTGCCGACGCTGCCAACGCTATCTGATGTAGGTTAGACTAGGCCGCAATGAGGCTTAACAATGTTAACATATCCCTCATATCCCTACTACGCACGGCTGGCACGTAATATCAATGCGCTACAAAGTAAGAACGGTGAGGCACAGCCGCACTTTTTTGTGTGGACCCGATAGCGTATAAGATGGATACAGTAACTACAAGAAAGCAGGGGAGAGTGAGTAGTAGAAAGACATCTTTATAAACCACCAAGAATGCTCGGGAAAAATACTAGTTATATGAACAAAACTCGGTTGCTACAATAAAATGTCCCGATTACCGTCGGCTCTTTCAGGCTATATATATATATATATCAACGTCACCGAAGCACTACAATCCCTGGAAAGCTTTCATGTAAATAGAAAGGTACCCCGCACAAGTGCCCAAAGGGGTTCAAGATGGGAGGTTATCATTACCAAATTTAAATACTCGGAAGCCCCGTAGAGCCTCTATGCGGTGACGGAAGATCGCCAGACCCAGTGGGAAAGGATGACCAGCCACCACCACAACCATGTTGACGTAGTTAGTTGCAAGGAAGATCATAAAATGTATGTATGTTCCTAGGTTAGAGGCCTATTACAAAGGTCCTGTAATACACGATGTAGCCAGAATTTCTGTATCTTTTTTCTTTTTCCATGCTCCTCATATCTCCAGTGTTCCGGTATTTCCCTTCTTCGCGAAACGAGAGATACAGTTGTCGGACGTCGTGTGAACATGAAGGCCAACGGATTCCTAGCATCCGCTTGCCTTTTCAGCATGGCATTTGCGCAGTCCAAGTTAAGAATTAGTTAGTGAGGTTCCAGTTTACCATTCCAGCATTTTTCTATAATGCCTATAATCTTTTTAGTGGGACACCGTTCCTAACATGTGTGTGTCCAAAGTGCCGCTGGGAGATAGTGTCACGGAGATCACCTGCTGGCGATCGAAGCTGTGGGAACTGCTGAAGGCCAATGATCTGACGGACCGGATCGAGTTCGTCGGGTCGGAGAGGAGCTCGCAGCAGTGCGACGGGGAGGACAAGGATTTCCGCCGGCACCAGCGCCACGAGGGCCACGCGGGCTACCTCGCCGTCGACATCGCCAACGACCACATCGACAGGTGGATCAGCGCGGCGAGCCCCGACGTCGTCATGTTCATGCTCGGCACCAATGACATCGCGCAGGACAAGCGCGTGGATGCTATCGTCGAGGCGTATACGAGCATGGTGGAGACGATGCGGTACTACAACGAGAACACGACCATCATCGTAAGAATCTCTCTCGCAAAGCTGAGCTAAACACTCAGATATATATATTCTCGCGCGCACAATGGCTAAGACAATATCTTCCTAGGTTGACACCGTAGTCCCACTGCCGACCAACCCGGACCCGGTGAACGAGCTGAACGGGCTGATCCCGGGCTGGGCCGCGGAGCAGAACAAGACCGAGTCCCGCATTTACGTCAACGACATCTACCCCTTCTCGACCGCGTACCTCAAGGACGGCATACATCCCAACGACGAGGGCGACGAGCGCATTGCCAATACGCTGGCAACGCTCTTGACGTGGATTATCAACTCGAGCACGAACTCATCTGCACTTAACTAGGTACCTAGGTTAGCTACCTAGGTAGTTAAGGCAGATAGGTTGGATAGGTAGGTAGGTAGATAGATAGACAAGGTATCTTAACGCAGGGAATGCATACGATGAGAATTACGCACGTTTATACGAATGTAATCTAGGACATTTGATGGATATGGATGGATAGATGTATATAATGAAACGAAAAGAGGGGGGATGGAAGGAAAGGGCGAAGAAATCATAAGGGAGGGCTTTTTCTCTACTACTTCGATAGACTGGGGACAGGATTACGACTGATGGACTGGACTGGGATACGAAGACGCTTGACAATGATCCCAACGATTTTTGCCCTCCCGGGTTATAGATAGTTATGATGTTATGGTATAGGTAGTACATAGGAGGGCTATAATAGCTGTTGATAGACAACGAACTACGTTCCCTAATAACCCTGCTGTCCGCTGTATACTATATTGCGTTGATGAAGGGAGATGTCTGGTTTTGAATAAGAACAGATGCCTTTGTTCACCTGCGTTGCTACTGTTCTCCTTGCACCGCTTGCTATATTAAAAACGTGAGACAGACACAAAGACGTGATGGAAGAAAAAAAAAAAGCCCCCTTTTCCAGAAGGAGAAAAACTTAACTTTACGCTTAAAACCCCCATTCTAAAAGGCACCATCCGTACTAACAAACTCGTTCGGTAACAACAAAAACGTTGATCATATGCCGAAAGGAATATATAAAAAAGAATTATTGTCGTACTCGAGAGGATAATCAGCAACAGCCAGCCACACAGATGTGCAAGAAATCGTACGACATCTTCTGGTGCTCCATCGGCGGGCACCAGATCGGCGACAAGGTCCCGGCTCGGCGGTACGTCTGCTCGGCAGCGGACTCCATCGGCTTCGGGGGCTGCGGCAACGTGACCGAGGGCTGGCCCTCCACTTTCTTTCTCAGGTGCCGTGAGTGCCTCAGGGGGGGGAAGAAGGGGAAGGAGGAGGTGAAGTGGCAGGAAGAGGAGCAGGAACAGGAACAAGGACAACAACAAGAAGGACTACAAGAAGAAGAAAATCAAGATCAAGAAGACCAGGACGAGCAAGAAGACCAAGACCAAGACCAAGACCAATGTGAACGTCAACGCCAACGCCAGGATCAAGATCAAGATCAAGATCAGGAAGAGACCTACTAGATTGATTTTCGTAACTACCTTTATACCTTGATATGCCAGGTATTTAGGTAAGTCTGTCTGTGTGTATGGATTTATACGCTTGAGTCGAAGCCATTTCGTTTGTTCCGTGGTTTTAGGCCGGTAAGAATACTAGGTAGTTAAAAAGGGGAAATTGATTTCAGAAAATGGTAGTTAATCACAAAGAGAACGAAAAAAAAAAGAAAAAAAAGAAACCCGTTAGTTTTATCCTTAATTATCCTGTAAAAAGATCACTGCTTTACTATGACTTGTTAATGAAGTGTTGAACAAAGCCCCTTGTTAACCAACAATAAGCCTACCTATGTATGTATGTATGTATGTATGTAGTGTAATCGAGGCCCGGAAAATAACTAGTTGAGTCTGGATAAACGCTAAGAAAAGCTGAACCTATTAGAGAATAAAACTCCTTCCTGATAGGTCATTTCCAAGCGCTCATTCATTCGCATTCCTCAATGCTGCACATTAGGTACCCAGGCTTCCCAGGGCACCCTACCTACCGCGAGTAGGTAGGTATATAAAGCACAATTGTCTGTCAATCTTTTACATACGACCATAGGATTCGGAAAACTCGGGATCCCGTCCGCTCTCCCATAGATAAGCCGAATACCGCCAGATCAGTAGTTGGGTCGGTGACGACCAGCGAATCCCTGGTGTTGTATGTTTTTTTGGTCTTTTTGCGATTTTTTTTAGTGTTTCTTTGAGCTTAGTGGTTTTTCATCGTGCTACGGGTAGGTACATAGTAGGTATGTATCTATTAATATTTGACTCTCATTTGTTCCAGCCCCCAATCAGTTAAATTATAGGAGGAGCCACAAACGGCGTAGAAAAAGCGGGATAGGTGGCAGATCTGTAGATAGGTAGTCGACAAGATTTTGGCACGGGTTTTGATAGGGGTGTATTAACTATATGGAAAAACATTATGCGAGCCACCTCCGTATTTACATAAGTGTGGATTATGGCGCAGTCGCAGTCCGCAGGTTTCGAATATGTGTTAGAACGTAAACCCCTTCTCTATGTGTTTTGCTGGCAAGGGCCTCAGAACTTCATCGCCTACCTACAGAGGTGGAAATAGAGCTAGCTACTAAGCTTATTAGCAAGAAGCTGTCTGACAGTGGTTCTGTACATACCTAGTATACATCCAACCATGGACTGACGATGACTTCGTGCATGGATAAGTCTTACACAGTACCTGGTTCCGAGCAACCCCCCTGAAAATCATAGGGCTGATGGCACTTAGGCAGCGAACAATCTACATTGAGTACCCAGATATACGATTGCGAACCCCCAGAAGCTGAACTACTCACGCTAGTGCTATGTGCCTAGTAGTGCAGGAGTCTAAGCAGCCTCCAATTACGATATGAGCATGAGGTTACCCAGCGATTGTTTTGCTTGGCATACCGTACTATGAAGTCGACTTCTATCAGGCAGCACTGAATGAACCATCTAGTGATCATCCGTGTGTTATTGCGACATCTTACTTTAACATCCACAATGCCTCGATTCCTATTTTGTTCCGTCTGCTTTAACTATCCAGTTTGTATGTTGCCATTATTGGAATGCATCGTGTTTGTCGGCTACGGAGGTTAGGAATCTGAGAGTGACCTTCAAAGCTGGCTACAGTAACTGTGCTATACTTCGTATAGGCGGTATCTAACATCACGTCAATATTCAATATGATGGCTCACGACGAATCATCGCGGAGCAGATATGGATCGAATGTTACCCAGTATACCTCCATATCGGAAGTTACCTCTTACGAAGGGATAAACTTGAGCCAGTATCCGTTCGATCCCAAACATAACGTCGAGTCTACCGAGCAACAATTATCGCCAGAAGTAGTCGCTGACGCCCGGCGGCACCATGTTTTTCGATTCTGGCCTTGGGAAATCGGGTCCATCTTCGTGGCCACCGGGCTGATCGTGGCTACTTATTCGATATTATCTCACTTTAATGGTCAGAAAGTGCCCGAATGGGCCTTCAGTATCAACCTCAATACGCTCATCGCCTTGATTTCGACCATCATGCGGGCAGCTATGCTCGTAGGTGTTGCAGAGATTATAAGCCAAACGAAATGGACATGGTTCTCCCGGCCGCGGCCCCTTAGTCACCTAGAGTATTTCGATGCTGCAAGTCGATCCGTCTCAGGTTCACTGAGCTTGCTCTTCGTCGCACCCGGTAGCATTTTCGGTGTGTTGGGCGCTCTCATCACCATCTTATCGCTCGGAATAGGCCCCTTCACGCAGCAGGCTATCAAGACAGTTGGATGCCTTCAGATACACGACGATATGAATGCATCGATACCCCTGGCTCATTTTATCCCTGGGAACAACACATACTATCGAATCGGTGCCGGCTCCTTCGAATTGCAGGTCGATATGAAAGGTACGATGGTGAACGGGATTGTGAATCCAACCGGCAACGATACGGCTATTTCCCCGGTCTGCGCGACGGGGAATTGCACGTTTCCTAGTTATCAGGGTATCACACATTCCTCTATAGGAATGTGCAGTGCCTGCATCGACACGACTTCATTCATATCAGGGCCAGATGAAAAGCACAACTACACCTTGCCAAATGGAATGTGGGTGAGCCCAGCTCCGGATCTCGTGTATCTAAACGTGGGCGCCGACAACATATCGTGGGCCGAAACCTCTTTCAGTTCCGAGTTAAAGTCAGTCTCCAACTGGGCTTTAGCTAACATAACCGTCTTGTCTATAACAAGCGCGACGTGCCCGGATGGCGATTGTCTAACTTCGGACGGCGCCTATGGGTCCGCAGGCCTCCTTGCAACCTCGTGTTCACTCTACGCCTGTGTGAAGAATTACAACGCTGAAATGAAGAAAGGTGTGCTGTCGGAGAATTTGATATCGACGCGGCCAGCGACACCCAACTGGGTAGAGGCCAACGCACCTCCCAGCTCTTTCATATCGGCTACCAACTACACAGCACTCCAAACCCCGTGCCTGGTTGGAAATGAATGGTACGATCTATCCAACATCTCGAATTTTCCTCGGGACCCAGAGCGACAATTCGCGGGCATCAACGTCGACGGAACAAACTACACGGCACCGAACGAGTGTCTATACAAAGTCATGTTTCCGTATGTGGAGGCTTTGGCGACATTTATGAGCACAAGCCTGCTTTCCGGTACGTGCACATACAACGCAAGACAAGGTGAGGCGTTGTTCTGTCGCGAGAAGTGGTGGTTATCTAGCTTGTACAATAACAAGCAGGCGAGCTTCGACTCGGTGAGCACGGCGTTCGACCAATTCTCCACGGCAGTGACCAACAAGCTCCGCACGACAGGTACGAGCAACTATAGCCCTTCAATCAAGGAGGCGGCCCATGGTATCGTCAATGAGATGACGGTGTGCACCGTATTCCAGTGGCAGTGGCTCCTGATGCCAACACTCCTAGTGGCCGCTACGGCGGCGGTGATCATTGCCATCATAATACAGAACCTTGGCGACCATAGGCAGCCGGTCTGGAAGTCCTCTTTGCTGCCACTGTTATACTATGGATTTGGAGACAGACACTCGCATCATAAAGATCCGAATAGGCCTGTCATGGATCTAACGGAGCTGAACCAGGCAGCGTCCGACATGAGGGCCTGCTTTCGTAACAGCACCGGAGGAGCTGGTTTTGAGAATATCACGCCAAGTGTTGATCATATACTAAGGAAGAGGGGGAAGGATGTTGATGTCGACTCGCTTATTGAGGGTATATGAGAGTGAAAGGAAATGTATATGTGATATTACTATGCATAGGTAGACATAAGAACTAAAAAGAATTAAGAATCAAGAAATAAGAATCAAGAAATAAGAATCAAGAATCAAGAATTAATTGAATTACTTCAAGTTGTACTTGAATACGGTCCCTATATTGGTTACATGCATGCATGCATATAATACATATTAGCTCAGGCCGCTAAGATTAACGTGACGGAAGGGACGCTTATCAATCGAGGGGCAATAAACTTTTTCTTTTCTTTTTCTTCTGTAAGAACTAAAACCCCCACCATCAAATCATTAACCATAAACCATATACCATCAATCCATCACACCTATTTATTACAACTCGCCCTATTCATTTACCAAACATTGGATTCAACAATATTTATTGTGTCTTCGCAGCTCATATACTCACACATCTACTGAATAGACAGACACATCGTCAAATATCATCCGATATGTCGATGGATATAGATGATGCGCCTATATCCATAGCGCCATCGCAAACGGATTTCGGTGCTGCGCCAACTATTTTCTGTTGCGACTGCGGTGCTCCCATTGACGGCACAACTGCTATCGACGCAAAGTGCTATGACTGCTTCAAGCTTACCAAAGATATCTCCCAAGGCATTCAACGCGAAGCCGTTCTCCATTTTTGCCGAGATTGTGATAGATGGCTTCAACCACCCTCTAGTTGGGTAATAGCCCAGCCAGAGTCTCGCGAGCTTTTGGCTCTATGTCTGAAGAAGTTAAGTCTCAACCGGACGAGGATTATCGACGCCAGTTTCATATGGACAGAACCTCATTCGAGGCGAATACGAGTGAAGCTAGTGGTCCAGGCCGCTGTCGCAGACGACCGAGTGATGCAGCAAGCCTTGGAGGTGGTATACGTTGTTGCTTATCAGCAATGCTCCGAGTGTGCCAAATCCTACACGGCAAACGTGTGGAGAGCCAGCGTGCAAGTCCGACAAAAGGTGCTACACAAGAGAACATTCTTATATCTCGAGCAGCTCATCCTAAAACACGGCGCCCATCGCGACACCATCAACATCAAGGAAGTCAAAGATGGTATAGATTTCTTCTTTTCCGCGAGGAATCAAGCCGAGAAATTTGTCGACTTCTTGAACTCGTGCGTGCCTATACGACTAAAGAAGGCCCAGGAGCTCATTTCGCAAGACAACCATACTGCCAAAAAGTCATACAAATTCACATTCTCGGTCGAGTTAATACCCATCTGCAAAGATGACCTGGTCGCCCTCCCTATCCCACTAGCCAAGCAAGTCGGAAACATTTTCCCATTGGGTATATGCTACCGAGTTGGCACAACCATCAACATCTTAGATCCGAACACACTCCAGACAGCAGAAATCAGCGGACCCGTGTACTGGAGATCGCCTTTCAACGCACTGGGAGATACTCAAGATTTAGTTGAATTCATTGTCATGGACTGTGAGCCCATAGGCCCCATGAAGGGAAAATGGCTCCTAGGCGAAGTGCAACTAGCGCGAGCCTCGGATCTAGGATCCAACGACAAGACGTACTTTGCGCGAACGCACCTGGGCGGTTTATTACATGCAGGCGACTCTGTTATGGGATATATGCTCACAGGTACCAACTACAACAACCCCGAGCTAGAAGCGTTAGAAAATTCGAACACGTATATGTCACGTATCCCCGACGTTGTGGTCGTGAAGAAACACTACCCGAACAGGCGCCGCAACCGTAAGCGCCAATGGAAGGTCAAGCGCATGGCCAAGGACGAGGGCGAGATGCTACCTAAGAAGACAGATCAAGAGCGCATGGACCGCGAGTTCGAGCAGTTCCTTCGTGACATCGAAGAAGACGACGAGTTCCGCCAGGGTGTCCAGCTATACAAGCAGCCGCCCCGGGCCAAGATGCCCGATGAGATGTCCGTGGCTACGACGGAGGACGGGGACGGCGAGGGTGATGATGTGCCGAATGTTGATTTGCAGGAGCTGCTGGATGACTTTGACGACCTTGCATTGGAGGAGCAGTAGTGGCTGAGGGTTCTCTCAGGTCGGTCGTAGCATTATCAAAAGAATGAACAAAATTATAGATGAGATGAATAAGGGCGCTTGCCATGCTTCCCATCATCACTTTTATATATACGGTGATGCATGTGAGAATGTGGTGGTTCATGATGTGCTAATTTTTTAGTACATATCTACCTACCTCGGTGCTTAACGCCATTACATATTAGTAGTTTTCACGTCGCGCACAACTGTAATTATACCAGGTATTAATATTCTACAAGAGGCGACACTTAATTTGACCTCCGGTTTATCTGTGTTGTTGTTCATAGACATCTAAACTGAAATCTCCATCCTATCTCCTCCTCTCCCCCTTAACATTAGAGTATGGATATATTTTACCCCTTTCCACTCCCACCCCCCGGGTTAGCTACACAGGTAGTTCTTCCATCATCCGATTCTTTCTAGCCACAAAAAAAAAAAAAAAAAAAAAAAAACACTGGTTCCCACTGGCGCCTGGGACGCCTAAAATGCCTGTTATGTTAGCTACCGCCACTGCTATGCTATGCTATGCTATGCTATGCTATGCTATGCTATGCTATTACTGTAGCCATATTCCTCCGGAGAAGTTGTGGCAGTACACAGCAGCATAAGCGCCGGTGGCGGGGTTAGTAGCAGTGTTGGTAGTGTTGGAAAATAAAGGAGGACCAAAGGGGTTTGCGAATGGGTTTGCTACTGCGCCGGTGGTGGCGGTGATAGAAATGGCGTTGGATGGGGGAGGGGGGCCAAAGGGGTTTGCAGGTGAACTTGTGGCTCCGTTGCCAAAGACTCGGGAGCTCCTGCTGGGGCCGGGGTGAGAAGGGCGCTGCTGCGGGGCGCGGGAGGCTGAGGTGGAGTTAGAGCTTCTGCGGGGAGGGGCGGGGAGGTGGCTGTTGGGAAAGGTAGGACGAGGAGGAGTAGCGTTGTTGTGGTTGTTATTGTTTCTGTTGGTGTTATTATTGTACTGGATTCGGTTCGGGGGGGATTCTACCACTGGCTCAGGAACCTCGTACTCGGTTCTGACGTAGTGACGCAGGCGGATACCACACATGTGGGCCGTCGCGAGGCGGATGATGGCGTAGACGTAGAGCGTGGTGGGCAGCTCGCCGCGGCAGTACTCGTCGTCCCTCAGGAACCTGCACGCGTCGATCACTTTGCCGGCCAGCAGGAGGTGGTTGGCCCAGACGCTTGGGGTCCAGCTGTCGTGGTTTCTTGGCTCCTGGTAGTTGCCGTTGTCATACTTGGCAAGGGCGTTTGTAAGGGCACGGAAGTCATCGCGGCTCCAATCCTCTGCGCGGAGCAGGTAGATTGCCATGTCTAGGTCCATGCCGAGAAAGAGGCTTTCCGCATCTTCGGCTGTCTCGTAGTATGAATCAGGCACGACATTATTCTGCTGATACGCGTAACTCATGGCGAGGAACTTGGCTGCTATAATTCAGGAGACCTCTTGTGATAAAGTTATAGGTTGCTTTTGTTTATACTAAAGGTAGGTAGGTAGGTAGGATGGATTAGATTCTTGAATTGTAGGGGCATTCGACGGTTTTAGATAGTGAGTTATGTACCCCTAAAGAGTCGGCAATGTGAGATGTAAACGGACTCTTATAATAATATTAAACGATGACGGATTCGAGAACGTTGTAACTCATTGTATCACTGCAGACACGAAGATATATGTATAAGGCATGGGTATCATTGTCGACAGTATTAAAATAGTTTGCTCAGGACTCGTTTAGCTTCCTCGGGAGCCTTTTCTACCACCTTCTTCCCCACCGTAGCTTGCTTGAACTTGCGCATGCCCCTAGAATCATCTCGACTTTTCACTGTAACAGGAGTAGTGCTGCTAACCGTCGCTTCGTCCCTGCTTCTCTTTGTTGCTGCTTTAGTTTGCATTCCCTCGAGCATCTTAGCTCTTTCGACGTTCCTGACAAACTCCTTATTCTCCTTGGTGGACTTGCTAATCTCTGCTCTCATTCTGCTGGTCCTCTCTGCCATTTCCGAGTTGATCTGTTCGGTGAGGTTGTGCCACTTGAAGCCATTGAGATAGAGAAGATTCCAAATGTCGTCGCGATAGTATGAATTTTTCTTTCCTCCAATAGTGTGAGCATTCAGTAAGTCTACAGCCTTCTTAGCGTCACTCTTGTTGACGAACTCGACCCATCCGTCGGTGTACATGTGCTTCTTATTGCCTCCGTGCCGGACTCTTCGAGAACGCTCCTGGGGGTCTTCGGGGGTGAGGAATATCCTGTTGATCTTGCCGTAGGGTTCGAGTAGTGACCGGAGCTTAGCTGGCTTCATGAAGGGCGGTATGCGTGACAGATAGACCAAGCCTGACTTTTTGACTTGCGCATCGGTGGCAACCAGATTCTTCTTTGTCAATGGACGCGAAACATCTGGTAATTCTGGTAGTAGGTCCTTCCTGGACTTTGGCTTTCTCCCGTCCACATTTTCGTCGTCCTGGTCGTCACCTTCCTCCACTTTTTCTTCTTCTTGTATGTTCTCTTTTTCTATAATATTATCACCACCGACCTCGTCATCGGCGCTTTGCTCGTCGTCTTCGTCGCTGAGTTTGCGACGCTTTGCGATTCGGCCACCTTTCTGCAGTTGCTCGTCCTCGGAGTTGTAGCCTTGACTACCGTCGTCTTCACTCTCATCTACTTCGAGGAAATTGTTTTTAATTTCGGGAGCCATCTTGTTCTGACTAGCAGGTCGATTGCTATGCGATAGAGTTCCTGTGAATTCTTATGGTATTGATTGCGATTGCTTTGAAAGAATTAAGCAGGTTAGCTTATTGATTTATTTATTTCAATGGCAAAAGAAAATAAAAATGGAGACACCTCCAAGAGTTAGTGATAAGATAAGCATTTCCGATAAGATATATGCAATAAGGCAAGAATATCATATTATCGGAGTGTATTGAGGGGTTGTCGATCCCCCACTGTCATGCAACTCATCTTTGATCAGTGACGTCTTTTGATAAGTTTGACCGATATCGTTTGACCCTAGTTAGGTACATACTACTAGTAGTAAGAGCCTTGAACGGAACGTTAAATTTTTAGATAAGCCAAAGAAGTATTATCATACCTACCTAGGTACCTACTTAACCTGGGTATTCTTCTTCTAAGTTGAACAAGTCGAACGAGTCCAAGGCTAAGAGTCAATTTTTAAAGCATCTAAACACATCTAAACGCATCTGAATACATTCATTTCATCTTCAAGATATGTCTGTTGAAACCCTAACCACTATCTCCCCTACTACAAATGAGCCGATATTAACGCGCAATGGCGTTACGGCCTCCGAGTTGGAAGAGATCCCTACCATTGCTGCTGAAAAATTCAAGAGTTGGAGACAGACTTCCTTGGTTGACCGGCAAATCATAGTCAAGAAAGCACTCAAGCTACTAGAGAAGAAGAAGGATGAACTTGCCGAAGAGCTTACCGTTCAGATGGGACGGCCCATTGCTTATACCGGCGTTGAAAGTAAAGCTCATACATAACTTTACCCCTATATCTATGTGCCTAAGAGACACTTAATAACTTTTTCATTAGTCACTACTGCCATTAAACGTGGTGACTATTTAGTCAAAATCAGCGAAGAGGCGTTGAAGGACACAGATGGCGAGCCGGAGAAAGGTTTCAAGCGATTCATCCGAAAAGTCCCTGTTGGCCCCGTCCTCGTCATCTTCGCGTGGAACGTGAGATAACCCCATATCCTTATTTTCGCTTCAAACTTCAGACTTCGGGGGCTAAATGAGACTGATTCCCTCCAGTACCCTTATCTGATCTTAGTGAACTCGCTCATCCCAGCTTTGCTTGCGGGTAACACCGTCATCCTCAAGCCTTCACCTCAGACCCCTACAATTGTGGAGCAGGTTGCCAAAGTTTTTGCGGAGGCCGGTCTGCCTGCCGGGGTCTTGCAATACTTTCATTGTGGCTCGCCAACAACGTTGGAGTCTGTCGTGCGGAACCCCAAGATAGCACATATCTGCTTCACTGGCTCTGTTGCTGGTGGCCTATCAGTCCAAAGAGCTGCCTCGGATCGAATTGTCAACGTTGGCCTGGAACTTGGTGGTAAGGATCCCGCATACGTTAGGGGAGACGTAGACCTCGACTGGGCGGCCGCCGAAATTGTCGATGGGTCAATTTTCAATTCAGGTCAGAGCTGCTGTGCTATCGAGCGTGTTTATGTCGATGAGAAGATCTACGATTCATTTGTCGAGGCCGCCCAGAAGGTGCTGAAAGACTACAAAGTCGGTGATCCTCTCGAAAAGGAGACACAGATCGGACCTGTCATCTCAAAGCGATCTAAGGAGACCATCGAGTCCCATATTCAAGATGCTCTAAACAAAGGCGCAAAGGACTCGACTCCAGAAAACGCAACCTTTTCAAGTCTCCCACTGAAAGGTAACTTTGTCAAACCCACTCTCCTCACGGATGTCAACCACAGCATGACGGTCATGACGGAAGAGACATTTGGACCGGTCATTGCGGTCATGAAAGTCAAGTCTGACGAGGAAGCCGTGACCCTTATGAACGATAGCGAATTTGGCCTTACCGCTAGCGTATGGACCAAGGACGTCGACAAGGGCTACGAATTGGCAGAGCAAGTCGAGGCGGGGACGGTCTTTGTCAACCGAGCCGATTACCCCAGCCCGGTGAGTTTTCTTTGTGTTTTCGGATCTGGCACCAGGTGACCAAGCATTGCTAACATATGCGTTTGTAGGATCTCGCCTGGACAGGCTGGAAGAATTCGGGCAAGGGCGTCACTCTAAGTAAATTTGGCTTTGATCAGTTTGTGAAGCTAAAGAACTACCATTTGAAAGACTACCCGAAATAGTATCTACCTACATAGGTAGGTATATATATAAATACATATAAATGGGAAATGTGAACCAATAAAGAAGGATTCAGGGGAGGATGTTCTGGAATGAATAAGTGGTTTATTTCAACGGTATCCCATTGGACGCCCTGAAAGCTTAGTCGATGAACTGGGTGGAAACCTTCCCTTTTGGGCAACAATGTTCCTGGTTTCACCTGGATCCAAATGTACTCATGATAGGTGGTTCGTGATAGGTACTCGGGACGGCGACCTGGTTATGCAAAGCTGACGAGTTGTTGTCTCAAAAGCCGGTGTTTCGAAACACACTGGGGCCAATTCCATTCAACTAATAATATCATGTTATTTCTTGAACCCCTATACTACAGCCCCCTGTCGCTATAGACAATTGCCACATTCCGGAGCTGCCAACATTGAATTGAAATTTGAGTGACGATGTTCTATTATGCTCATAATCCAAGAAATGTTTGGCTGCCTAACATAAAGCCATTATTTAGGTAAATACAAGGTAAGTAGTTTGACATACGTGTATTTCGCATCCGATATCGTTCTTTTCCCATTTCTTTAAACCCCTAGTCCTTTTGCGACACGCAACACACACATATACATTCGTTCCTTTGTGCTTCGTGATACCATTTCATTTTTGATTTTACACTATCCCAGTTAGACTTGAATTTGTCGCTCTTTTTTTATGACATCAAAAAAATCTCCGTTCATGTTCAACTCAGTAGCTGGACTTCTTGAATTTCAGTATAACCACCATAACTACACTCCCTCCTTTACACAACTTCTCTTGTAATCCTCGTACCCGTTCAGCAAGAGCGGCTGTGTTCAGCTCACTGCCTATTCCCCGCTCTGGACCCTCTGTCAGGCTTGAACCGACCAACCGACAGTTTCTTTAGATTCAGCTTCGGAGATCTAAAGGAAGGGAACCCTCCCCCCCAAAACACTTGTGTTCAAGTTGTGTTCAAGATTATCTACCTCGGTGAATTAGAAGCCATATTCATCATCGTCATCCTCGGCCATCCCTACCTATCCATCTCATAGCCTCCTAAGCAAGCCACTTGCCACGCTTTTTATCTTGACGATCATTTGAGGAATTAATTCTCTTTTCTCGCTTGGTCCGCACGATTGTTGATCGTTGATTAGTCGGCAATTGCCTGTCTTACATAACTTGGCGATTTGCACTTACCTTTTATACCTCCAGCTACTGCGTACCTGGTAGTGGTACGACCTAGTGAAAGTTAAAGTGCCGCCGTGTGCCTGCAGGAACATTGGACGATACATACTAGGCTTAAATCAAGTCGCAACCTTGAAGTTCCATCTCAACCAACTTTCGACACCCTCGTACCTTGAAACTTTCACTTGACATTTAGGGCCAAACGTTCCTGTTGCCAGGCGATTGTTGCCAGGCAATTGTTACTGGGCAATTATCTCACTCAGATCTATTTTGAGTTTTGTTGCACAGGTATTTACCTGTAAAACCAGCTCGCCGCTGCAACTCGATCAAATCAATCATCCAAATTCATCGATAATTTTCAGCATTGATTTTCAGCTCCGCCTAACCTCATTGCTGACTCTTATCTTCTTACCTTACCCCGAAAATCTCGGAAATCTTAAGAGAGAAAAAACGAAGAAGAAGAAGAAGAAGAAGAAGAAAAAAAAAAGAATTCTAAAGTTAAGGGACTTAGAAACTTGGAATTTCTTTGTGGCAGCGGCGACCTTGCAATCCTTCTAGGTTCCCTTCCGAATCTTTTTTTCGGGGCCGGTGCCATCAACGCATCTTCAATTCTTTTTTCTTTATTACTTTTTACTTCTCTCCCGCCCACCTACAGATACGCAAGTAGGTACGGCACGGCACATACCTCATTCGAGCAGGTTGTCACAATTATTTTTTAGCTTTTAATAAAGTTAGAGAATCATCTCATCCTTCTCTCCTCCGATCGCGCCTCTCCCTCCCTCTTCCCCTCCCTTCTACCTACCTTTTACTTATTAGGTACATTACCTAAACATCTCAACCATCAAAGCAAAAATGCTAGGCTGCATTGGTGGTTTCCGTGCCCTTGCGGCCAAAGTACAGAGACTCTTTGGCCGTACGCCAAAGACTTCTTCCTCTGAGAAGCAACCCCTTCAGATTGTAAGTTTTACTTTTATTTTTATTTTTATTTTCACTATCACTATGTACCTCCAGGGCCTGATATCACCATGCACGCATCGCTAAATTCTTCAATGTTACCGCAACATACTTACTACGATTCTATAATTCAAACTTCAAACTTCAATCTTCAACCTCAATGGCCACCCTACTTCTCTTCCACTATCGCTAGCAAATACAATACTAACCACTATCTTAGTCTGCACCCTTCGATTTCAAGCACGAGACAGTGTCCTTGCCGGGAGTTTCGGAAGATGAGTAAGCCTTTACCCTTTCTTATGCTTGTTGCGCTTGTCTGTTTGTCTGCTTGTCTGTTTCGCATTACGCCCAATAAGAGACGATAAAGGATGAAAAGGAAAGGTCTTGCGCCACAAAATCCTGACGAGTGACCAATCCCACCACCACTACTACTGCCTAAGACGTTTGTCTAACTGTACTTTGTCAGGATCGCCATTTTGAAGGAGCAAGCGGCGGCGGCCCGCATCGGCTACGCCGATCCTTCGTCCATCGGCACCCCGCGCAAAGCTCCCGCCCCGCCATCTTTGCGACCCGTCACCCCTATCCTGAAGGTAAGTACTAAGTACAATCAGGATGAGAACTGCGAATTCCCGCGAATTGAACATCCAGCTAATACTCAGCAGGTGACACCAAGCACCCCCATCTCTCCCGCCGAGAACCGCATCTAGGGTTTTCATTTTCAAGTCCCTCCATCGGCTAATGACGAAAGTCGTCATGAGAGTAGTTATGGCTCAATACCTGACATACTCTCAAATGAAAGCGATGGCCTTACCTCGCCGTCGCCTCTTTAATGCTGCTAAGAAAATGGCAGCCTGCTTTGGTCTTACCTGGCTTCCACAATTCGCTTCTTAGTTCGATAAGAAGTGCTTAATTAGGTGTATGTGGTCAGCTATATAGTAGCTATCTGGCTACTTGTGTGGGTGTTTGAACTCTACTGGCCTCTTTTTTCATACTACGATGCGACGAGAAAAAAGAAAAGCAAAATAACGTTATCAGTTTGAGTCGAGGCTTATAAATTAGATGGACGGGACTTACAACACCCCTTAATGAAAAAAACTGGATTTTGGCCCCAACAACCGACACTATCGGGACACGCAAGGCCAAGTTAAGGCGTATAAAATACGTGTAGGATATTGGCGTGGCAATGCTAACTTTCCCATTTCCTCCCCCGTTTAAGCATATTTCTCCTTTATTTCCCAACTTTATCCCTTTCTTCTAGCAAGTACGAGGCGTTTTGGTCAAATCATGTCGGTGTTTAATGGTCGAGTAACACGGATGGTAGAATGCATAGGCGGTATGGCTCGGTTCGGCTCGGTTCGGTTGCAAATGGGGTTATCTCCCATATCTGTATCCATGTGTCCCTGCACGGCGTTATATAATCTGGGCTGCTCATTTTCATGGGAGGTTTATGTGGAGAGGGTGGTATCGATCTAGGTAGCTAGCAAGCCGTATCACGAATATATACCCTTCCGCAGGCCGGTATAATATGCTTTTCTTAATTAGGGGTTGTTCTTAAAGGGTGCTACGTTTTTTCATGTGCTTTTGCTATTATTATATGCACTGAAAAGAAAGCGTTGGCTTCGAGGCGAGTAGGATACGTAGTTGCCCATGGCGATAGTGTTGTTCTGGAATACACACCTCCTAGGCCCGTGAAAAAGAGGAAGGGGGGGGTACGTATGAGTTTGCTAATTCGTAGGTGCGGATTCATAGCTATCATCACAGTATATCTAGGCTGGCATTCCTAAGAATAGGATATTTACTACTTGTCAAAGACACGATGCCCCCCCTTATACAAAAACGTCCTGTACCTACAGTATCTGTTCTCTATACCATTATTCTTTCTCTTTCCCTTTTCTATTTTTTTATTTTTATTTTTCCCTTCTTAGGTACCTACAACCCATCTGATCTCTAGCCAAGCCACCCCTCATACTGGGCCGGGCCCTCCCTCCTGACGCCCTGCATCTCGCCCTTGACGCCGAGCAGCTTGACCTTGGCGCCCTTCTCCTCGCTCCACTTCCGCAGAAACTCCCTGATGCTGTTTTCGGTCTTCTCGTCGTCGCGGGTTAGGAGGACAAGGGCGTCAAAGCCGCCGGCGCCAGGGACGACGCCCTCGAGGACGCCGTCGACGCCGTCGCGGAGGGCGTCCAGGAGCTGCGTTTGGCTGTCGGGCTCGATGGGGACGCCGCTGCGGCGGCCCATCTCGCGGACGAGGTGGCGGATCTGGGCGACTGCGTCACGGATGCCGTCGTTGCTGCTGCTGTTCTGGTCCGTGGTGGTGGTGGTGGTGGTGGCCTGGAGCAGGGCCTGGCCAAGGGCCTCGTTGCGCGCTTGGAGGTCGTCCCAGAGCTGCTTGGCGCCGGCGGGGTCCGTCTCGTCGCGCCACTTGAGGACCTGCTTGACCATGCCGACGGTCTGGCTGCCGCAGTCGACGTCGCACATGCGGAGCACCAGGCCCGGCGGCACCCGCACGCCCTCCTTGGCCACCTGGGTGTCCCACCTGTCGGCCGACTCCACACACGCGGCGAGCGCGGGCGCGAAGCCCGGGGTCCCGACCTCCGGGAGGTCGCGCAGGACGGAGGGGGAGAACCGGCGGTACACGCAGGAGCCGTAGACGGCGGCCGCGACGTCGAAGCCCGAGCCCACTTTGCCCTGGGCCGCGCAGTGGGCTGCCTGGGCGAGGTTGTGGAGGATCTGGCGGCCCTTCTCGGACTCGAGGTCGAAGACGGAGGGCGGCAAGTAGTGAGTTAGCAGCGCGGCGGTAAGAGCCGTTACGAGGGCCGCCGACGACCCCAGCCCCGTCTTGTGGGCGTCCTTGAGCTTCGTCGGGAACTTGGCGAAGCGGGATGGGGCGGCGCCGGAACATGAGGCTGATGAGGTGGTGGGGGAGGTGTGCGGCTGTGAGTAGTAGTCGTTGTCGGCGAGGATAGTCAGGTGCACGGGGTCAAAGGCGTTGGACGGCTTGAAATGGCCCACCGTGGTGATGTAGGTGAGAGCGTAGGCAAGAGTTACCTCAACAAAGGGATTTGGGCTTATTTTTGAGCCGCTATTTATGAGACTGTGAGCATGCTATGTGGCAATATATATGCATATAAACTGTGTAGTTGGGAATTGTGATAAATGAGAATAATTGGCAAATGCAATCTAATTCAAAGTGACGGCAATACAGTTGATAGCCACCGCCACCAAATGGGGTCGACAGGGGAAACATCCGATCATACTAGTAATGATCGGATAAAGACCTCACATATGAGTATGAAGTGAGGGAGACCAAACGTACACTTGAAGCTGAGTCAGCTTAATGCCCCCATCTTCGGGAGCAAGATGGTATCCATAGCGCCATTGAGCTTCAAGAAACTGAGGGCTATCGACGACGATTTCGCTCAGCTGGACGCCCTCGCTAGTCTTGATCTCCCGAGCGATGACATTGATGCGAGCGCTCAAGCCGAAGACAAGGCCGGTATATTGGCGGTCGAGGACTAGGTAGCCTCCGGCTAGGAGCACCTTGCCCGGAGCGGAGACAACCGTCGGGGCGTTCGGCATCTGGAATATTTGCCCCACGTTCTGTCTTTTAATGGTTCTTTTGTTTCCGTTTAGGTGACCTTCATGGAAGTATATAAAAGGGAAAGGGACAAGTCAACTGGAGACGAATAATGATCGACAGGGGAGGAGTTTGTTTGTTTGTTTGTTTGAATAAAACCCCTCTTTTATAAACAGGACCGAAACTCCTATCCGGCTTGCTCCCTAAATAACGAATCCGAGGCCGATCGAACTCCGGAAGTACTAAAGGATTCAAGTGCCGTTGTGCAGGAAAAGGAACGGCTGTAAGATATATTTTAGAGTGGATGTCCCTTTTCTTGCGGGGAATTTGATCCCTTTTTTCTTAACCTAGCCTCAGTCAGGTTACGTAGGTAGCTGTGGAGAAAGATATTAATGTTCCTCCTACATGTGTAATAACTGTGATAAGCAACACTATATGTAAAGGAAGAAATACAACAAATTGGAAATCCCATCGTCTTTTCATACTTTTCCATATTCGTCCAATGCCCTTTTAAGCTTAACTTAGCGCAATGTGTTAGGGCAGGTACCTGCTTAGCAAGTTAGAATAGGCCAATCATATGGGTGGTGGCCTGATGGCTATGGCTATGGTTGGAGAATATGCACTAAAGTGATTGCTGGGAATTGCTGTTTCAAGTAACCCCGAGCTACATAGTATTGGCTCTATATTGTATTATGTATCTGTATAGTGTTTAGGTAAGTGAACTACCAGAACTTCTTGGGTATTTGCAAAAATGTAGATATCTATAACTATAGCTAGTTGATCTAGATCCCAGAGGAAGGCTTCAGAATTATATTGTCGATCAGACGAACGGCTGGCCCATCGTTACTCCCCAAGTCTTCACCGGGTTGTGCTGATTCGACTGGTAGCATCTTGATAGCACCACTCAGCACGCCTCCCTGCTTTGGGTCTACTACGCTCATTTCCTCCATTGATAGCGGATCTGCAAGAGAAATGTAGTCCACCTCGTATCTAACCCTCTCTTCAGGGGCAAGACTCAATTGCTGATTTAAAACATCAGTGGTTACCGTTTTAGCAGCTTTGAGGATGGATTCTCGATCCAAAGCGCCCTTTAGGTATTGAGATTCTGCAGCTTTGAGGGCATGATATAGGGTGGTGGCAACTTTACGTCGCCTCTCGCCTAGGTAGACGTTTCTAGAGCTTAAAGCGAGACCATCAGAGTCTCGGACAGTAGAACCTATGACAACATCGATAGGTAGCGTAAAATCTCTGACGAGCTTCCGGATTATCACGGATTGCTGGACATCCTTCTGGCCAAAGTATACCTTTTCAGGTTGTACAATGTTGAACAGCTTCAAGCAAACGGTGGCAACACCCCGGAAGAAGGTTGGTCGTGTGCCACCTTCGAGCAACTCGCTGATTGGTGTCATGACCACAAAACTCCCTTTAGAATCGACCTCCTGGCCAGGAAATCCTGAAGGATACATCTCCGAAGTCGTTGGCGCAAAAACAGCGCTGATGCGACCGAGGTTCCCGCCGTCGTCTGCCAGTTCACGGTCCAAGTTGGCCAACACTTTACAGTCCTCGTCCCAGGTTACGGGATAAGAAGCCAAGTCTTCCTTGATTCCAAACTGGGCCGGGTTCACGTATATGCTGACGACGACGTGGTGAGTTTCGCGAGCTGCGGCGCGGATCAAGGAAAGATGACCTTCGTGTAGAGCTCCCATGGTAGGTACTAGTCCTACAATCCTGTGATCGAGGTACTGGGGCTTTCTCCATCTCCTCACAGCCTCGACAGTACGCATTACACGGATTGGAGAAGATGGAATGGTTTCGTAGGCTGAGCGTCGAGCTGAAGCCATCGTTCGGATGAATGTTCGATTGAAAGTGGGCGATATGGCATAGCCACGCAGATTGAGAGCGAACATCGAGGGCTACTTATTCGGTAATTTATAATTCTAGACATGCAGTGTTTTTAAATAGTTAAGGAGGGTGCAATGAGGTAATTATTGATACATCATGAGCCATTGCGGTGACTCTGCGGGAAATTGAGATGAAATGAGAAAAAAATCGTGATGGTTTCTACTACGAATATTTGGGGACGATTTGAAGTAATACACGATAAGCTAAAGCTGCCCCTCCAAAGTACAGGGTAGGTAGGTACGAAGGTTGTGGCCAAAAGTTTAGACCAAGATATACCTCAGCCCCACAGTTCCTCCACTTTTCTACCACTGTAAGAAATATTATCGCCAACATACTTACCTACTTATAAAGCCTTATAAATTTATTTAATACATATTAAATATGCTATTACGTTATTTAATTAGTATATTTAATAATAGAAATTTCTATAATTTCTTTTCTTTATTAAATTAATGTAAATACTTGTATAATAATCTAAGGTTGTTTAGGACTGAAGGCTTTAAGTTTATAGCACATTATAGCGCTTAAGTGTGCTATAAGGTGCTATACTTTTAAGGGTTGTAAGGGATTTAACGTTAAATGTATACCTATTATTGGTAGAGGCCCAAAAAAGAGTAACGCACTGTGGGGCAGAGGTATATCTTGGTCTAAACTTTTGGCCACAACCTTCGTAGTAGGTAGACCGTAGCCCCTTGACCCCTACCATGTATCAAGTTAGCGGGGTTGACGTAGCTAAAACTTAATTCAGCATGACATAACCCTGTTAATTACAATTACGGCGTCTCATAGTCTCCGATGTAATAGGAACTTCAATTAACTACCTAACCTAGGTATATAGTATTTAGGATTTATTTATCATTGTTACAATCATTTACTATTATCGTCAACTTTGGATCTTAACACACAACTTGAAGAAACATATTTCAATAATCCCCCTCCCCATGACTAATTTCTAACATCAACAGAGCTATAGCCGCTCACGTTGCCTCAATGTCAGGCTTGCTTAATACAAGCTTGCTATTGGCGAGCTTGTGCTTTACTACTCTTGTGCTGGGATCGGGAAATCGACCATACGGCCAAGAACAGATTCCTTTAAATGACTTCGACTACCAAGAAGCCTGTCCAGATTATACCCAGTACTCGACATATCCGCATCGTCCCCTGAGCGACGGCCCTCATGCTCTACCTTTTCAGAGACCTGATCCGCGATGTCGTACCTTTCACTCGGATGCTATAGAGCAAGTCATCAAAGATGTGACGTCTCGGATGAAAGATCCTGATCTGGCCCGTCTCTTTGAAAATGCATTTCCTGTCAGTCTGACTTATAAATCCATATTCAACATGTTTCTTTGTACAATCTGCCCGTGTTCAGGCGACTAACGGAGTCAATGATTTACAGTCTACTACGGACACCACCGTCAAGTTTCATACTACCGGATCCACGAATAAAAAGAAGCCGAGAAGAACCCTATACGACGAGGGACAGTGGGAGGGACTGCATTCATTCATCATCACGGGAGACATCATTGCCGAATGGCTTAGAGATTCTACTAACCAACTCTCACCCTACCAGCCTTTAGCGAAGAAGGACCCTGCCATACACGACTTGATTCTAGGCGCCATCAATACTCAATCCGAATATGTTATTGAATCCCCGTATTGCAACGCCTTCCAACCGCCTCCTATTAGTGGACTACCCATATCTCAAAATGGTCAGGACGACGTCGTTCATCCCGTCTACGAGCCGTCATTTGTTTTCGAGTGCAAATACGAATTAGATTCCCTCGCGCACTTCCTCGCCTTAGCGAATGACTTCAACGACCACACAGGATCCACAGAATTTGTGACGCCTCGTTGGTACTTGGCACTGGAAACACTATTGAATGTGCTGGAGCAGCAGTCCATGTCGACTTTCGATCCAGAAACAGGACGTTATCGCCGAAATGAATACACCTTCAATCGCAACACAAATACGGGCACAGAGACGCTCAGTCTAAAAGGGGTAGGGAATCCTCTAAACAACGGTACTGGTCTTGTGCGCTCCGCCTTTAGACCGAGTGATGATGCTACTATCCTAGGATTCTTCATTCCGGCTAATGCAATGATAGCCGTGGAATTGAAGAGAACTGCTGCAATCCTGCAATCCGTTGGCAAGAGCGTATTAGCTCAGACTGTTGAGGGCTGGAGCCAAACCATTACCGACGGTGTTTGGGAACACGGAGTGGTGCGCCATCGAGTCTTCGGTGACGTTTTTGCATACGAAGTGGACGGATATGGATCATCTATTCTAATGGATGACGCCAATTATCCCTCTCTTCTAGCCTTACCACTCATGGGCTTCCTAAAGTCAGACGACAAGACATACCAGAACACGCGACGTATGCTACTGGCGAAATCATCAAATCCATACTACCTCGTAGGGAGAGAGTTCCAAGGCATCGGAGGTTAGTCTTGTCTTGGGTCCTTTCTAATCAAAATCTGTATTAATTAGCCATTAAAGGTCCTCATGTGGGACTCTCAAATGCCTGGCCCATGAGTCTCCTCGTCCAGGCCCAGACATCGGACGACGACGAGGAGATAATGGAATGCCTCAAACTGGTGCTCAAGTCAAGTTCACTTGGCTTGGTTCACGAAAGCGTCGATGTCAACCTGATTCATTCCTATACAAGTGAGTCTCCCCTTACCCCACCCAGGGTTATTATTGGATTAATAACTAACTGCGAATTTCTAGGAAGCTGGTTTGCCTGTAAGTTTCGAAACTTGAAGCCCCAAAGCCCTAGTGACTAGATGTATGGTACTAACTGCGTTATAGGGGCGAACGGTGTTTTCGCGGAAACGATTCTCGATATAGCCAAGAGAAAACCGCACTTGATTTTTAAGGAGCCCGCAACGCCTTACGAAATATAATTTGCTAGCCCGGTACGGGATAAAAAAACGCTGTGGTGGCAATATAGCACTTGCGATGACGAAGATGACGACGATAATGATGATAGAAGATTACACCGACTCTGTTTATAATGGTGTCTCTTTTTTATGCATATCTAACATTGAAATGCAGCATATATGTACCTAGTAGTATAGCCCATCCGCGTATATACCATATAAAGAAGTGTGTTTCATTCACTCGACGCTCAAGTATATTATCGGTAAACAAGAGGGAGCAATACCCCCAAGTACTACAATGATCACGAAATGTATATCGCACGGGAGAGTCAAGAGAGAGCAACTTGGCTTTGAAACATGGGTATCTTAGTTGTAAACATCATTGCGATTTCCGCCTTTCTTCGCTTCCCATCCTATCCTGCCCTATCCCAGCCTAGTCCATGCTTTGTTCATGCGCCGTGACAATATTCCCATATGAAGATGATTTATTCTATTTTTATTCTTCGCTTGAACGTCATAATTAGGTTACGTAGGTAGACAAGCTTACTAGTAAAAAACAACCGCTACCTACATAGGTGCGCGCCTACCACCCCCAGGTCCTGGACGAGGCCGTGAAGACGGGGGGCTTCCACTGGATGCGCTCGGGGGCGATGTAGCGCTTCTTCTTCTGGCGGGCCTTGTCGCGGAGCTTGATGAGGGACTCGGGGACGACGAGCTTGTGCTCGCCCTTGTGGTAGACCTGCATCTTGAGGGCCTGGAGGGTGTGCTCGACGTCCTGGGTGGTCATGGCGAGGGCGGTGGAGATCTGCTCGATGCTGGACTTCTCGTCGCGGTCGTTGCAGTCGAGCAGGAGCTCGAGGATGTTCTCGGACCAGTATTGGCGGTAGCTGAGCAATCCCAAGTCGGAGAGGGGCTTCTCGGGCGAGCCGAGCTTGCCCTCGATCTTGGAGAGCTCGTAGGAGAATTGGATGAGCAGGCGGCCGAAGCCTTTTCGTTGGTATTGGGGGAGCGTGAGAATGCAGGCGACGTTGTAGCCGTCGGCGCTCTCTTTCTCCTTGGAGAAGTACCCCACGAGATGGTGGCCTTTCTCGCTCTTCTGCGTCATGACGTAGAATAAGAAGGGGTCGACGTCGTAGTAGAGCGTCTTGTGGTCGAGGAACATCTTGGACAGCAAGCACAGATTCCGACACCAGGTGCGCTGGCGACGGCCGTCGATCTCGAAGAAGGAGACGTAGTCGTCGCGGTATATCTCGTTGCCGGGCGGGTGTTGGAGCGTACACTTTTGGCGGTGTCGGTAGAATGACTTTCTGTCGCCGTAGTAGCTCAGGCAGAATTCGCATATGGATATGACGTCTTCTTGGGTAAATGACTCTGGGTACGGTGAGAAATACCAGGGAAACAAGTCCCATTGTCCAAACTGTACTCTGGATATATTTCGTATTCGCGCCAGTTCCGTCGGGTTCTGGGTCATGGATCCACCGGTACGCAGCTTCTCTATTTCTGCTTCCCTGCTGAATCCATCCTCTTTCTTAACCTCGGGTGCCTGGTCTTCGTCGTCTATATCCATTTCATCGCCGTTTGCCGCTGGCGTTTCTCCAGCCTTGGATTCGAAGTCTTGTGGTGTGGACGGCGCTTTCGATTGGGACTGACTGTCGGCGAAATCGACCCACGGACGAGGGGTTACGGCTTCAGACATGACTGACTGCTCCCTCTTCCCCGGTCTCTTTTGCGCCTTGTTGCCTACCAGTTTCCTCTTGGGCGCGGTGGAATTCTTGCCCTTACCATCCTTCGGCTTGTCTTTGTCGGGGTTCGGCCATTCCACGTCCTGTTCGAAGTCTATTCGTTTGACGGGCACCCACTCATCGAGTCGCTTGTTGAAGTTGTCGAAGTTGCAGTAGAATTGGCGGCCGCTTTTGGTATCTCGTATGCTGAGGATCTCGGCGCGTCGCGCTTGGCCGTCTTTCTCGACTAGGGCGATGCAGCCCACACGTATCGTATCGACGTTGGCCCTGCTCTTCTGTCGAGGTCCCTCAGGGCCTACGGCGGCCTCGCCGTTCACCGCACTAGGACTCATGGTGAGAAATCGATAGCGCCAGGTTAGTAAGTTGATGGCTTGATGAAGTGGAAGTGTATATTGATGAGAGAAAGTAAAATAAAACAAAGAATTTAGAGGGGCAAATCAGTTCAAAGCTTAAAGTTGGAGCATCTTATGTAAGAAATGGATGTATGTAACTTATGTATTTAAAAGTAAAAAGTAATAAGCGCTAGCAGTAGACCGGCATTTTAGTTTCACAGTGAGATGTCTCGGTCCTTCAGGGCCACCTACTGTACCTATGTAGCTCTCTATGTAGGTACCTAACATATAGCAATCAGCACCCCTATTCCCATGAGGCCAATGACAATTCACCCCTTCACAACCTTGGATGAGCTGACAATGTTTATTTTTCTTGAGGCTTCACTGAAGGATATGAGTGTATCTAAATATTGGCAAGTTAGTCGTCTTCTAGCTTCCTACATCTAACGTATCAATTGAGAACTGTATCTTACCTGCTCTGCAAAAGATATCCATTCCTCCATGCCCCTTAAGTACGGATCTTCACTAGAATCCGGTAGAGACTCGTGGCCCCAGATCATAACTTCTTCGAACGTTGCTTGTCCTTGCATCGCTCCTATTTCTGGTTGATCATCCGGCTCATCTACTATCTCCAAATCTTCAATCATCTCCTCTCTTGGTTTCTCGGCTTTCTTTGGCGTTGATTTCTCAACCACGGAGCCATAGTATCCTTCTGGCAACTTCACAGCTTTACCGTGAAGTTTCCTTCCTCTGAGATATGCCACTTTTGTGTCACCTATTTCACCAATGTTGTAAGATTAACTATTATACATGAGTTTTTTGTTGTCAACATACCTTGACCCTCATTGGGACTCCAATATGCGTCGGTTGGATCGACGTTGCCATCGTGATGTATGCGACATGGTAATAGGTGAACTTGGGCTTTGTTCTTAATGGATTCTTGAGAGTCAACAGTGAAAACGGGATGAGACATTTTTTTCTGGTTGAAAACGGAGTACTTCAAAGTAACGATGGTCTTATATATAAATGAACAATATTGAACTTGAAGTCAATACTATGTACTATTTCACCAAGTAGTATTGAAATACATGTAAGTATCAAAAGAGACGCGTATAACAGAATTTCATTAACGCGTCTGAATCAAACCCGCTAAATACAGAATTAATGGATTAATACATATGCATGAAAGCATTTAACTGTGTGAATCCCTATTAGATAATCAGGATGCATTATGTAATCAAGGCCACGGCTATTTTATTTGTTTAGCTCCTGGAGCCTTCAATGTGTAACTACCAGTTCGCATCTTTTCACTTAGGCCCCGATCGGAATCTTTCTTAAACTGCCTCTTAGAAAGTGGAGAGGTACATTCAAATGCATAAAGAATATATGGGTCCAGAATGTATCTTTTCATCCCCTGCGATTCTCTTTCAGAATTGAACCTTTGGAGTCAAAATTCAACCTCTAAGGTTACCGACCGTAATATTCAAACTCAAATAATCCAAATAAATTCAAATAAAATTCAATTTAATAGCCACCTTCAAAGGCAAATATTCATTAAAACGCTATAAAATTTAATAATAATTGATCTTTTTTTCAATAATTTTATCTATTTAAATGGATTTTATTTATTTAAAAAAGTGTTTATTCTTAAAAATGAAATGCATATTTGACCCACTTTGTAAGGTCGAGTTTAACGTAAGACCCTACCTTTCAACCGCCTCTTAAAAAAGGCCTTATTTTTGAGAAAAATGGAGACGCTTTACTTGTTGTAGTTTAGTTTTTGACCCAATTTAAAAGATACCTGCCAAGAGGCTCTTAAAATCGTTACAGGGATCTTACAGAATTTGTGCAAATAGCTTCCTAGCTGTTTTAAGTAAGGTGTTGTTTTTATGTTGTGGCTGATGACTTTTATGACCAAAAACCCACTTTATAGTAGGGATATTTAAGTAAGAGGCAGTTTAAGAAGGATTCCGATCGGGGCCTTAATTTCATTATCGGGGTAACTACCAGTCACTAACGACTTACCAAGAAGGCCATGATCTTCGCGCTGCATGAGGGCATTTACTAATAGTATCTGTGCCTCTTTCCAACTGCAACAAAAACCCCATCCCCTGTTCATCTGCCTTATGGCCATTGATCAATTTACTCTATCTTAGGAACATAGTAGTGCTGATGTCATTGATAATCATACCACGCCGTTATAAGGCTAGATATACACTTCAATCTTGACACTACTCCGGCATCTACGGTATCCGGCATCCGATGACGGGAAGACAACTTTTTGAGTTCGATCACAGCAGGATAGTCATGACCATGACTTTCTCTAGAGATCTAGGATGTACACTAGGGTGGCATTCGACTGACACTAGGCTAGCACGCAAAGCTCAGGGGGTAGTTAGAATACTCCGTGGTTGGTTACCATGTTAACCCCCAGCTCCCATGCTGATTCTGTCAACTACGTAGTATTTACCTGTATCTACATGTATGTAGTGCCTAGGGTACACAGCACGATATGCAACGTTCGGCCTAACTAGGTATACCTGTGTAGGTTAGATAACAGGTCCTACATATGTAGTACATATGAACCTCAATCGTCAAAACCCCTACCCTTCTTCTTATATCTCCAGGAAGTAAGAAAATCCTTCATCAAAAACATGAAAATGAGTCTCAATTTTTAAAAGAAGCTAGTTAAGATTCGATCTTAACTACCCATCTACATTATCCAGATCGAGGATGGTTGAGGCTGAAAGTGCCATGCGATGGCATGGATGCCCAGGTGTATTAGATGGGGTTCCTTTGCCGCCGTCGTTATTAACAGACCCCACCCCCAAGATCCTACTACCCTAAGGTTAGGTATGTTATGAACTTATATCGATGTTGAGAAGCACTAAGAACTTGACAGTCTTTTTAGTCTTTTTAGTCTTGACTCTTTGTACATACCTATGTATGTTTGAAGTGTATACTCCGCCGCCCTGCATAGTCTCGATTCCTGCACGGCGAGGTTTCTTGTTAGAGACAATGGCTTTACCAATCCCGAAACGAAATTGGGGGCCGGGTCCCTCCTTGACCCGTCTCGAGCATCCCTGTTGAAGCTCAAAGCAACAAATCGTCATTGTCACAGACATCTAGCGTTCCCTTCTCCTTTCGATTTCGGCAATAGAATACCATAAAATTGCAAATAATCCATGGACGGATGAACTAGTGTGTAAAGATGATTCAAGTCCAGGTACCTAGAGAGGAAATCCGTCCGGTACACAACACATGGCGGTGACAAGTATGAAACTTGCTTTTGTGGCCATGTTGGTTCGGTAGCACAACATCCACCTTACCATGATTATCACCTACATATGTAGTTCTACATATGTAGTTCTCCTAGTAATTTACTATTTCTAAGCAGCTCCTTCTGTTTATGTAGATACGGTATTTTTGTGAAGCTAATCGCTCATCCTTGTTTACTGAAGGACCCCCTTGTCTACCCCCTAGGTAGGTATACTCGGCAACATTGTAACAGTCCGGTGTCGTATTATCGTGTCTAATGGTCATAAACTTAGCCATTAACCTTTTCTCAAACCCTCATTACTTTTTTTCTACATAAATCTCGCATCAACAATCACTTCGAAACAATGGCTCCGTCAATACCGTCAGTTATCGCCCGGCCGTTTACTCGCGGAGTCGATATTGTTCGCGGAACTCTAGGAAGCTTGACATGGGGTCCGGTTTTAGCAGTGGCTAAACCGGCCATACTGTCAGTATTCTCTAACATCGAGGTTGGCACCCTGTTGCTGGTCGATGAGCCTGCTGGAACCAGGCTGGTTTACGGTCAAAGAATTACCTCGAAAACTTATGACGCTACCAATGGGGACTACCCAGTCAGGAGAGCTGGTACCATCCCGCGAGTTGAAGTCAGGGTAACGGACGAAGCTTTTTGGGTGCGATTGCTGCTTTTCGCAGACATGGGCTTTGCGGAATCATACATGCTAGGCGAATTCGAGTGTGCTGATTTAACCGCATTTTTTCAGGTGAGGAGGTTGTCTCCCTTTTCTTGGGATAATATGGCTGATATAATGGGATATTTCTAGCTCTTCATCGTAAATCGTGATCGGATGAGCAATGGAATAACCCTATTCTCTTCATTGTCTGGTGCCATTTCCAGCATTGCGCGGAATACGAACACACTATCAAACTCACTGTTGAACATCTCTGCTCACTATGACATCAGTAATGACATGTTTGCGGCATTCCTATCAAAAGATATGACTTATTCCTGTCCAATTTGGAAACCTCGGGCGTCTCCTAGTGAGCCCGAAGAGAGCCTCGAAGAAGCACAAATCACCAAACTCAACAGATACATCGACGGGGCGAAAATAAAGCCCACAGACCATGTCTTAGAGATCGGAACCGGATGGGGATCGTTTGCTATCGAAGCTGTTAGAAAAACGGGATGCCGGGTGACGAGTCTAACGCTATCTAAGGAGCAAAAAGTGTTGGCAGAGCAAAGAATTCACGAAGCAGGCTTTTCGAGTCGCATTAACGTACGACTACTAGATTATCGCAAGTTGCCCGATACGGTCAAATATGACAAGATCGTGTCTATAGAGATGCTGGAGGCGGTTGGCCAGGAATACTTGGGCACATATTTTGCATACATTGATCGGTTGCTGAAGAAGGACGGCATCGCCATGTTTCAGTGCATCACGATGCCGGAGGGGAGACATGAGGCTTACTCCAAATCCGAAGAGTAAGATTCCCCCTTTTCTTCCTTCGCTCTATTTCAATACGACAACCAATTTTGATAAAATCAAGGAGCTTCGCGCTAATAAGTTACACACGCGTAACAGCTTCATAAATAAGCACATATTCCCCGGCGGCTATCTCCCCTCGATTACACAGCTCCTAAACCACATTTCCAAGGAGTCCAACGGCACGCTGATTGTGGAGCGTGTCGAGAACATTGGAGGCCACTATGCCAAGACGCTGCGGCTGTGGCGCGACCGGTTCCTGACGAACTTCGAGTCCAGGATTCGCCCGGCGCTCAAGGCGGAGCACCCGTCCATGACGCAGCAGGAGATTGATGTGTTTAGGCGGAAATGGGAGGTACGATGAACTAACCCGTCCTATTTTCTCTCCTTTTCCTCCCCTCCCTTCTTTTGTCATTTTTCTGTGTATAAAGTCTATATGTGAAAAAAGAAAAAGAAAATATGTGTCCAATGCTAACTTGGCCGTTACCGGAATGTAGTACTACTTTACCTACTGCGAGGCTGGGTTCGTGACGAAGACGCTGGGGGATGTGATTATCACGGTGGGCAGGGAGGGCGCTATGGAGTTGATGGAAGATATCCCGGTATAGCGAGGTAGCGCGGCGTTTAGATAGGGGTACGGAGTTCAGCACTGCTGATGTCTTCCACTTCTCCCTTTTCTTGCTGGGTGGCTTCACGAAATTACACGATTATGTATGCGGGGATTCACTTATTCGCTATTGCATGGTAAGGTGTGATGTGTGTGTAGACCTTGGTAGGAAGAGTTGTGCGAGATGAGGTATCTGACCTAAAGTAGTATATAATTAAAATATATCGCGATGTTCATTTCCCCTGTGAATGTGCATGGTAGATCCAACTGACGAAGAGATGGAATCTATCCGTAGGAATTTTTCTCTCGTGATCGAACATGTACCTAATTTGTTCCGAGTCTACAGAAACAAGGGGTATTACAATGTATTCCCTCATGCAAGGTTCTCGAGACAAACACCATATAGGGGTGTCCAAGAATGACGAGTTTGGGGACCGGGCAACATGAGCTTACAGCACAAAACATCAAGAATATCACAATATACAACCAAGGATAATTATCGTTCATTCATTGTTATCTCTATCAATTCTTCCTCTTCTTCTTCTTTTTCTTCCCCGACCCCTTCTTCGGCGGTCCCACATCCTCCGTAACCCGATTCCTACCATTACCATTACCACCACCACCACCACCACCACCACCTCCTCCTCCCACCGTCTCGCTCGCCGTCGTCTTCTCAGACGGCAAATTATACCACCCCGCATGCTGGACATCGAAGTCCGACTTCCGGTGCCGGAACAGCCGCATCGCGACCCTCGCGTCCTCGATGCTCGAGTGGTGGCCCGTCTGGATCTCGACGCCGAGCACCTCGCGCGCGAGCACCTTCAGCGCCGGCTTGGGCCCGTGCCCGTACTGCCGGTACCCGGCGAACCGCGCCGTGTCGCGCACCAGTGCCTTCGGGTGCGTCAGCTGCAGCGCCGCCAGGTCGTGCCGGATGTCGTGGCCGACGAGGATGCGGTCGCGCAGGAGCAGTGCGACGGCCGCTTGCACTTCGGCGAAGTCGCGCGCGCCGGGCCCGAGGAGGAGGCGTGGGGTTAGCCCCGTGATGGAGGTTCGCCAGTTTGTGACCTTTTGGAGCGGCCGCACGAAGGAGTCGTACACCTGCCGCCCGTGGAAGTCGACGGCGCTCACGCGCGCGAGCGCGGAGTCGTGGCCGTCGGGGCCGATCCCGACCATCTCGCAGTCGAGCGCGATGTACTTGCCCACTTCGATCCCGGGCGCCAAACCTTCATTTATGCGCGGCTGCTCATTGCTAGCTGCTGCTGCTGCTGCGGAAGTGAGAGAAGAAGAGGACTTGTTGTTGTTGTTGTTGTTCTTGTGCTTTGCGCCGAGGTTGTAAGCCTCGGCTAGGTCCTCCGGCGAGACGTCGTTGTCTTCGGCCCATAGGGCGAGAGACGGGGTTATGGTTGTGGGTGTACCTTTGGCTATGGCGGAGGACTGTGTCACACCCATTGGTGGTGGTTGGGATGCTGCTGGCCGTTTGGATGTGAGATTGCTGTTGTGAGGTGAGGGTTTCTTGTGAAGGGGATGGCTTGATGATGGCTTCCTCTCTTGCTGCTGCTGCTTGAAGGGTTTTTGCAGTTTTTGCAGTTTTTGCCGTTTTGAACTAGAATGAGATGGCTTATCGTCGGCTTTCCTCTTGCCTGCTGGCTTTCTTGTTAAGGATGAGGATGAGGATGAGGATGAAGGCGTAGGTGAATATGAAGAAACTGTGTTGGTGGTGGATTCGGCCTGAATCTGTGCTTGCAGCTTCTTCCAGTTGGATGATAAGTTTTGAGCCATTTCTCCTGTTAACTAATAACTGAAGAATGATATTGGCTTAAATATGAGCCTGGGAATAAGTTATAAGGGTATCATATCCATTTTGGCTTTAATGGTGATGAAGATGATGAAGTTGACAAAGATGAGATCGAATACCGTATAACTTGAAGATTCAATTTTCCGAATATTTTCTCTTCACTTAATCCATATATTCAACGTTATCGCATTTAAGGCTTCTTTGGGTACTAGGTACCTACTACCTTAGCTTAGCGCCTTGGCATATGCAAGCACTTTGAGATATGATATATGATTGGTCACTTACTTATGGCCTTGCACACTAAAAGTTCGCGTTCCTGTTCAGATGGAAAACGCGACGCGACTGGACGAAGTTGCTAACTGCCCCTCCACTCACAACTCCTTTAACTCCTTAAACTCGTTAATTTTTTAATTCTTCCATCCGAAGTCTGAACATTTTCCAAAGTTGCGACTGAAAGAAAACGTCATACCAATTCCCACCACAACAGTCTTTACGCCTTTTTCAGTTCAGCAATCATGGCCACTCCAAGTGATTCTGGCATGATCATGTCGGATGCCCCAGTTCGGGCTGCTGCCTCTACTCCTAAGCAGAGAAACATCAGAGGTTCTTCAGCCCGACCGCGAGGGCCTCCTTCAGAGAGTCTGGCAGCTCCTAGCGACGACGAGGCCGATGGTTTCGCAGATGATCAGATCCCTAGTCGTACGAGACGGAGAGATCCGGCTAGCATTCCTCGGGTTGAAGATAGGATTGGTATCACCGTCCAGGAACATTTTGAGAACTTTATCGAGGAGTACGTCTTGTCCTTCCTCCTAGTAATACCTCTTGAGGATTAATTCAAAGTATACCATACAAATAACTAACCAATGCACGCATTATAGCTTTGTTGAGGACCCCGTATCTTCAGGCGCGCCCACATCGAGTGCTGTGACAACAGACAAATTTTATGTCGCCCAGATTCATGGCATGCGTATATACCAATTATCAACATTCTACGTCAATTATAACCACATATCAAGTTACCAAAATGGCGGTCTAGCCAACGCCATAAATACCCAATACTACCGATTTCTCCCCTTCCTCACAAATGCCCTACATAATATGATCGCCAAGTACGAACCCCAATACTTCCGCGAACATCGACAAGCGACCACATCTAGCGGTCAAACAACTTCGGGAGCAAGCAATGTTGGCTCGGGAAGCCAGTCAGAACTCCAGGGCAGCAAGACAGCGAATCAACAGACAGACAAGCTGTTCTCCATCGCCTTTTATAATCTCCCCCTCGTCTCCCGAGTTCGTAGCTTACGGGCTAAGAACATTGGACAACTTCTCTCCATATCTGGAACTGTCACACGTACATCTGAAGTGCGGCCAGAACTCTCATTAGCGACATTCCTCTGTGAGAATTGTCGCTCAGTTATCCCCAACGTCGAACAGACATTCCGATATACCGAGCCTACACAATGTCCTAACGCAGAGTGCGGAAACCGTCTAGCATGGCAGCTTGACATACGGCAAAGTACGTTTGTTGATTGGCAAAAGGTCCGCATTCAGGAGAACAGTTCGGAAATCCCTACAGGTAGCATGCCACGAACGATGGATGTCATCCTCCGAGGTGAGATGGTCGACCGTGCCAAGGCTGGAGAGAAGTGTATCTTCACGGGTGCGTTAATCGTGGTGCCTGATGTAAGTCAGTTGGGTCTTCCCGGAGTCAGGCCTACTGCGGTCAGAGATGACAGAAATGCGCCGCGTAGCAACGACGTTGGTGGGAGTGGTGTCTCGGGTCTCAAATCTCTAGGTGTTCGAGATCTGACTTACCGACTGGCCTTCCTTGCTAATATGGTCACTCCTGATACTTCCACACCTGGCCAATCTGCTTCTCGCCAGGTTCATGATATCATCAACTCGCTGACTCAAACGGCTACTAATGATACCGCCGAGTCTTCAGAGGAGGCCCAGACGGGCGTGTTGAACTCTATGACACCAAGTGAAATCGATGAGCTCCGTGAGATGGTCCATAGCGATCACATATACTACCGCCTCGTCCAGTCGCTTGCGCCTACAGTGTATGGCCATGATATTGTCAAGAAAGGTATTCTCTTACAAATGATGTCTGGTGTCCACAAGACTACAGCTGAAGGCATGGCCCTGCGTGGTGACATCAATATCTGCATTGTCGGCGACCCGTCTACCTCAAAATCCCAATTCCTTAAATATGTCTGTTCTTTTGCGCCTCGTGCGGTCTACACTTCCGGAAAGGCATCCTCCGCCGCTGGTCTCACAGCTGCGGTTGTAAAAGACGAGGAGACGGGCGATTTCACTATCGAAGCTGGTGCTCTCATGTTGGCTGATAATGGTGTTTGCTGCATTGACGAGTTCGACAAGATGGATATCGGCGATCAAGTCGCCATCCACGAAGCGATGGAACAGCAAACAATATCGATCGCCAAAGCTGGTATCCAGGCCACTCTCAATGCCCGAACCTCCATTCTTGCCGCGGCCAATCCAGTGGGTGGAAGGTATAATCGAAAGACATCGTTACGGCTCAACATCAACATGTCGGCGCCTATCATGTCCCGTTTCGATCTCTTCTTTGTCATCCTTGACGAGTGTAACGAGACTGTAGACCGTCATCTAGCGGAGCATATCGTCGGTCTCCACGCCCTCCGCGATAGCGCCATCGAGCCTGAATTCAGCACCGAATGCTTACAGAGATATATCCGATTCGCGCGCACCTTCCGTCCGGAGTTTACCCCTGAAGCCAAGGAACATCTAGTCGAGAAGTACAAGGAGCTACGCGCGGATGATGCCCAGGGTGGTATCGGCAAAAACAGTTACCGAATCACGGTCCGACAGCTGGAGAGTTTGATCCGCTTATCGGAGGCTATCGCGAAAGCGAATTGTGTCGAGGAGATCACGACCGAGTTCGTGGACGAGGCGTTCAATCTTCTACGACAAAGTATCATCTCGGTCGAGCACGACGATGTTGAGATGGACGAGTATGACGATAATGATAGCCCCGAGGACTCAGCGGCGCTCATTGCCGCCGCTGACCAAGCTTCAGGGGCTGCCCAGCAAGACCAGGACGAGGAGGGTGACTCGCCGATGGACGAAGCCGATAACGCCGGCGAGGGTGCAGCGGACAGACAGTCTAACAGCAGAGAGCCGAGCTCGGCCCCGGCGAAGAAGAAGACGGCTATCACGTATGACAAGTACATTGGTATCGTGAACATGGTCGTGGGTCGTGTCAGCGAAGACGAGGCGGCGGGCGCGGGCGAGGGTGTGGATGGCGAGGAGTTAGTCCAGTGGTACCTGGAACAGAAAGAGGACGAGCTTGAGGGCGAGGAGGACTACAATAAGGAGATGGCCATTGCGAAGATGGTGCTCAAGAAGATGGTCAAGGTATGTCTTTTTTTCGCCCTTTTCATTCCTCATCCTTAACCCTCCATCGCATGGTCTGATTAAGAATATTTTACTAACCAACCTCTCTAATACAGGACAACATACTCATGGCGGTCCGAGGCGAAGGGCTAGCCGAACAGGTCGAGGGCGAAGGCGGGTCTTCTGCGCAGCCGCAGAAGGTGGTTTATGTCTTGCATCCCAACTGTGCTGTCGAGGAGTACTAGGGACGAATGTGATGAAATTAATGAACGAATGGATGGATGAGATGAATAAATTCCTTGATCTGCGTAATGCTAAGGGGCGAGGGTTGCTCGTTTACGTATCTATCTTGGTGCCTACATACTTGGGTACTTGGGTAGGTATGTATATACACCATGCGTAGGCTTTAAATGCCTATCGATGATATACGAGAAGGAGATGGACGGAGAGAAGGGGAGGAGCGTCACGAAGCAAGTAATGATGAATGCCGACTCGTCATACATAAGGCTCTTTTCCTTTTGCCCCCTATCCCTTTCCTTTATGAAGAAGGGGGGGGCATATCATCAGATGATATGTATGTCTGCTTGCCTGTTAGGTCTGCAAGCAGAAATTGGAGGAGATGGATAGGAGTAGATAAATACCTATCTATCTTGAGAAACCTTGCGAACGAGCGAGATATGGTATGGTATGGTAGTGCTGTATAGGTACCGACTTAATGAATACTATACTACCTACCTACCCAGTCTAGTAGTTTGGTATAGAATGACCGAATCTTGTGCTGTCGGAGGCGATTTCTGCCAGGATTACACTATAGGTACATCATATCGGTCTTCTCTCATCGCGATTCCATCTCGTCAAATCGTCCGTCTGTCAATTTCACCTACCGACCTCCAGCTACCTAGTCTGCATACATACCTAGAAACCCCTGAAAATGCTCAGATATCCACATGTGTCAAACTATTCACACTCTCCAAGCACCTGCTACCTACCTAGCAACCATTTTCCAATACTAAAAATCAAAGGAAGACTCTACCTAGGTAACTATAAACTTGTTCAGGTACCTTATATGAATAAAATTCGTCTAGCTCAATACGCCCCTTTTCACCAGAGCTATCTGCAAGCCGTCTTCTTACGTGGGTGTGGGCATTATCTGATCTAGATCTAGGGTTCCACGAAGTAAACAACGCCGTAGCAGTACTAGAGGAGCGCCGCTTGCTTCCGGCAAGATCGATCTTCGACGTTGAGTGTGAAGAAGAAGAATAAGAAGAATAAGACATAAGTGGCCGTGTGGCGCTCACTTTCAGCTCGCTTTTTTCGTTCACTGGAGCTAGAGCTAGCTCTCCTGCGTTGCCGGTGTTGGGGCGATCTTAGCGTTACCATCATCATCATCATTATCATCATCATCCTAATGGTCTTGTAAAAGAATGAGTTCGGCCTGCTTGTGACCACTATCCAATCCGCCTCTACCAGTAATGCTACCAGCAGACCCGACAACCCTCGCAGCCCGCACAACAACAACCCTCCGATACGCCTCCAAGCACTCGATCCCCGCCGCCACAGGGCGCGAATTATACGCTAGCACGACGAGCTCCGTCACCGTGCCCCACGCCACCGACGACCGCCGCGCGCGCAGCACATAGACAATATGCGCCTGCGCCAGCGCCTGCGCCAGCACAGCGTGCACCAGCAGCACCGCGATGGAGAGGTAGTCCGTCGCGAGCCGCGCCTGGTAAGAGAGCCCCTGGATCGTGATCGCGGCGGTGAAAGTCGTGGAGTCAAAGCCGGAAGGCGGGTTCAGTGTATTAGCGCCGCGTAGGATCCGGGCGTGGAAGTCCGGGCGCTTGGTGTAGCATAGCAAGGACCACTCGGAGGGCGGGCCGGTCGTGCTGAGGGCGCGGTCACTGCCGTGTTTGGATAGCCCGTAACGCTGACTAGGACGGCGGTCAGCCATTCGAGGAAGAGCGTGCGGTTTGGGGCGCCGGGGACGATTGAGTCCCAGAGGGCGGCTGGGTCGGTGGCGGTGGTTAGGCAGGCTGGGGTGTCGATTAGGGCGGAGCTGTGGAGGATTGTTTCGAAGGTTGTCATGCTAGACAAATTAGAAGCTAAAGGGGTTGAAGGCTCGTTCAACGGTGGCGACAGGGCCGCGAGCCAAGAGTCGTCTAGGTTAGTGTTATTCGGGTCCAAGAGCCATCCTTGGGGGGGGGGGAGTAGTTTGATATTCCGAAATTTGACAAACCCCACGGCTTCGACTTGCTAGCTTGGTGGTTTGGAGTGACGGTAGGGACGTGCCCTGCTTGGCCACCAATATTTCCGTCCGCCCAGCAGGAGTATTCTGGGAGTATAGGAAGGTTTACCGCGGTCTCGCCGCTGGAGACATTCTGTGCCTGGGAGCAGGCGGTGCGCACGACGGGGATCTTTGCCCTTATCGACACGGACTGTCCGGATTTGTACTTGTATTCCGCCACATTGACGTATTTGAGGGTCCAATCAAGAGAATCGATAGTCTGCAGCCGGTCGCCGTAGATGGGGTTCTGGTACATCGTGATGGGGATCCACGGGGCCAGAACCGAGGTCTGGCACGCGAGGCCACGGACATTGCCAGAGACCTGTGACGGCGGAATTTGCATCGTCATGCTATCAATGGCGACGTTTAGGTTGCCGAACTGTCCAGTGACAGAACAGTCCGGGGTGGCGAAGGCTATCTCCGTTTTTGATAGTCTGCTGGTTGATGGCATACGCCGTCAAAGACGAAAACCCGCTGCTTGGACAAGTTGATAGATTGATCGCGCTCGTGTTCAAGCATAGTGCATTCATCGTAGACTCGGATCCGACAACTCGGCTTGGGTGGAGATCGTCGGCCAGGCCCCTTACGTAGAAAGAAGTCGTGCCGGCAACCCAATCTTGCATTCGGGGGCTCGTGAGAATAGCAGAGGCGGGCACGGCAGCCACCGCAACCAGCCCAGCTGTAGAAAGCAGGAGTGCAAAGGGAATCAGCGTGCGACGGGGTATAGGAGCCTTCATGGAGCCCCAATACTCCTCGGACCAGAAATAAGTGATCTGCGGGAAGTTGAAACCCGAGCACAGCAACCCCAGCGGCACACCGGTGCCGTATAAAAGCTGCACGCGAATAACACTAAAGATGATAGTGCTGAGGCTGGAAACAATGAGAAGCTCGTGTATCTTCGCCAACACCCGGAACATCGCCATGGAAATGTCATTGTTGAGTATAGCACCCGGGACCGTAGGTATATAGCACGAGCAAAAAAGGGTTCTAATAAGAATAATCTTCAATAGACTCGTTTCCCCGCTATGGTTTTGCAGCATTCCTTGCCGTTAATTTCGGCCGACGAAGTGCACGTTGGTGCATGATACCCTCAGATTTAAGCCAGTTGGTTATAGTGCGACTACACACCAAACCACCTATCCCCGCGGCGAGTTCGGTGCATGTAATGAAAGGGTCGGCCTGTATAAGTCTCATTATGTGTCTTTTATCGCGTTCCTGAAGCTTGAAGAGCGCTCCCCGACCAGGGCGTGACTCCCCTGATTTTTGGATCTTATAGCGGGCATTGATCGCGTAAACGCTACGGACTGGGACACACTCTAACGATGCGATTGCTTTAGCAGTAACGCCAGCTGAATATAGAGATGAGATCCTCGTCCTTTTATGAGGAGAATAGTGCTTTTTGACCCTTCTAGGGCTTGGTGGTGGTGTAGGAGCCATTGTTGAAAAGAAGGTGTATGGTTTATGGTGGTAGTCGCGTTTTTTCGCGTTTAAAAATAAAAATTAGTTACCTGTTTTCAATTTCGCCCCACTGTAGGTAGGTATCGACCACGAGTCTCGTCAAACAAGCAACTCAAGTAGCTTGTGTAGTAAATAAGTAGCTATTCATTTGTTATATTGAAGCATTTGGTTCTTTCTTCCCCAGGTACTAACTTACGTAGTAGTTGCTCTCTTTGACTACGTTGTTTACTACCCCTATCTTTCTCACCATACATATCTAGGCACGTCATCACATTCATTTGTCACATTGCAAAGCCTACGAAAACACCGTAGTTGATGAGAAACATTCTTCTCCATTAGGGTACTTTCTGGTTCAGAAATACTAAAACTGTCGATTCATTTGCAAAGTTGTAGCAAGTGAGCGGCGTAGTACGAGACATGCAGTATTCATCAGCCCATCTTCTCTTCCTTTCCCCGTATCTGTTGCTCGAGGAGTATTCGACTGATTTTTGACCGTTTCCAGTATTTCATACCTCTTACTAACACCACCCTCAAAAGGCTAGGAGGAGAAAAGGGGACACGCAGTACTAATAATCCCGGATTATTATTTCGTGCCACTACTCAAGTGACTTATGAGCCCATCCTTTTCTTGTTCCCTTGTCCATCCTGCTTGGAAAGACTATTAGCCCATTGCCCCATCCATTCCGACAACGCCGTAAAGATCCATGTCAAGTTCCGACTACGATGCCGTGTATACTAATCACCACCAACCACCAAGAATCAGTCTAAGGAGAAGTTGAACAAGTGTTTCCACCAATGGATCGAAACATTCGTTGACTGACGATGGACCTTAGTGTCGAACAATATACCATTACTCCTTCGCAAGTTTAGTCTGAGTTCGGCGTCCTAGTCCCACAGTAGCAAAGGCTAAACGTCGTTGCCATGTGAGAATTGCCGAAGAGTAGATGCTGTCAACTTTGTTGTACAGGCTGCCACTCTTGGATATGCTTGTTATCCACAAGACAGCAAAAACAGTGAAATCTGTGACGTAATATCACAGTAAAAAGGTATACAGTTGCGAGTTGAGTACTTTTGTTTCTGGGAGGAGCTGTCGTCGGGAATATGTAGTCGTACTTAACCGTCCAATCTCAAATGGAGGCCAACTCAGGACTGCGCAGTCGAGGCAGTCGATTGCCTGCCCCAGTTTTCAGTCCTAGGCCGATAGCCACCACGACTACTGCGGGTAGACGGGGGTCGGCTAGAGGAATGCGGCGAGGTGTGGTCACCAGCATGGCTAGAATGCTGGTCTCTTCCTCCACGCTGCCCGCCGCGACCCGGTGCTCGTCGAGGGCTTCCACGAGGGCCCGGTCGGCGTGGGGTATTGGAGTTGCTCAGAGAAGGAGCAGGAACAGTCTTGGGTTCCGACATAAAAGGAACCGAAACTCGGATCACGCTTTTGCCGTTGGATGTTTCGGGAGGGAATCGTAACGTCTCAGCACCTGTCGCATCAACACGTAGCTTCGGAGGAGCGGGATCAAAGTTTGGTTCTACTGCTTGCCATAAAGCATCAGGTGCTTCGCTAGGAAGTCGGACGGCGGGGAGCGAACCCATCTCCTGCTCTCCGAAGCACTCTTCGGCCATTTCCTTGCTAGTAAAATGACCGTGATTAGGAATTGCAGGACTGAACGAGAATGAAGGTCCTGGTAACGCAACCGTCGCTGGATCGTACTGTTGTACATGCTCTAGAGCAATTCTGCTCGACGAGTCTACTGCCATAGATTTGGTAGCAGCCAAAGTAACCTTTTTACCCATAAGGTTGTTAATCTTATCTTGCCAGTTTGCCTGTGACGCTATCTCATGTGGTTTCTGTGGAATGCTTCCGTAGCCTGCATTTCGGCTTCCAGAACGGGACCCTGCTTGAATTGGGGCTGCAGCGGCAGCGGCGAACGAGACTGGAGCAGGTCTACCAGTTTGCATCAAGGGACTAGTAGTTGTAGAGCTGGTTGAAGGCGGTAATTTGACTACTGGTCGGGTTGGCGGCAAAGACACATGTGGACGATTGACATCTCCATCGAACACCGGATGGCCATCAGCAGTGGGAGGGGGTGGAGTCGGAGACTTCGTTCGCGCATCCTCTTGGGAAGAATGATGATTGGACTGTGATGCATCCCGAAATTGAGGAAAGAATCGGGAGCCGCTTCTGGACTGAGTTGCAGGGCCGGGCGCAGTGGCTATTCCATTGACCCCTCTTGTGGTCGAAGTTCTAGAGGTGCTCTTATACTTTGCAACGTCTAGACCATTTGGACCTTCCGTCTGCGCTATAACCTGATGCTTTGACATATTTTCGGCGGTCGGCTCGTCCATCTTAGTCTCTGTTCCAAGATGTGTGACGAGAGTCGCCTTTGCGCCGGAATCGGGGCGCCAAAAGTCGCTCACAGGCTGCGTAGATAGTTTCGCGGCAGCGTTGATCTTCTTTTGCATTTCCATCGCTCGTCTAGCATCATCCTCCTCAACATTTGAGGCGAAGGACGCCCACGGGTTCGCAGACTTTCCGGATGCTTGTGCCATATTGGAATTGCGCTCACGAGGTGGGCCAATAGGGACTAGGCGACCACTGGATAGAGTCTCAGGACGTGTGGACCGCTGAGATGCAGATCGGGGGGGTCCAATTGGGGCAGGGCGGTGGGATCGCTCGTTGAGAGGGGCTGGATGGGAATCAGGTAGTATTCCTAGATCTGGGTTGAAAGTACCATTTCCGAGAGAACGATCATTACCAGGTGCGCCCCACACGTTTCGAGATGAATTTTGAGAGGCGCCACTCCACGAAGGGAACCGTTCCGGGTGCTGTGGGGCTTCAGGCCATGATGCCTTAGGTTGAGTATTGGGGACTTCAGCAGTTACCTTCTCACCTTGGCTAAAAACTCGCTTATCGTCTCCGTTGATTCGTTGGCTAGTATTCGGTTTTGTACTGCCAGTTGACGGAATAGTGTTTGGTTTTGAATGACCGGCTTCGGACGAGGCCTCCTGAGAAGCCGAAGCCTTCATCTGCAATGCGGGAGGAATGCTAGTTCGTCCGGTGGGTAGAGACTGCATAGAGACCTCACCCTTCACGTCCTTCTTGGCGCTCTTCCGTTCAGGAGCTGGGCCCATTGCCTTTAGCTTCTCAGCAATTCGTGCTTTGCGTGCCTCCTCTTCAATAGCCTCCTCCTCTAATCGACGCTTGATTGCTTCCTCACGTTTCTCACGCATAATCTTCTTCTGGGATTCAAAATCATCATCCACATTAGACTTCGATGGGTCGTAACTAGTAGCATGCATTTGGCCGGGAGAGGCTCGCGGTTGATACGGCTGACTCGAATGGAGCAATGGCGTTTGCTGATTGTTGGGAGGGGAAAATGTTCGCGCAGATATTGGACTTTCAGCACCTGTACCAACAACAGAACCAGAGCGCGATTGAAGCAGGTCAGACGGTGGCAATGGCATATCATGCGGCTTGCCGAGTTTGTAGGCCAAAGTGCCACTAGTGCCGCTTACATTGGAAGAACCACGTCGACGACCGTACGGTGCTTCATGTCCGCCGCTTCTGCTCGTCTGGAAAGCGGCGGAGGGCTCCGCGGGACCTTGTTGATCGTGGTGGTGGGGTCGCTGAAGAACAGCAGGCTGACGGCCATGGATATCATTTCTAGATCCTCTACGGTCCGTTACCGGTTCATATCGTCCCGAGTGTGAGTTGAACAATTGGCTATGGTTGTTGGCATGTCCTTCTCTGTATCCTGATCGGCTGAAGTCATCGGCCGCGATCTCTTTAGTTAGTTGCGGGTTTGCACTGTTGGCCAAAGTAAAATCCCTTGCTGGAACTCGCGAAATCCCCGCTGCCGAACTAGATGCATCTACCTGTCCAGGGGGGACTTTCTCAATGGGCGGCAGGCGTGCCCAGGGAGACTTGGCAGGCGTGGGTGGCGCGGGTGGTTTTGCCACTAAAGTAGGTTTCTCAGGGGCGCCCTTAAGGATGAGGCCTTTTCCTGAAGCTAGAACGCCTGGCTTCACTGAGGGAGATCCGATTGTACTCGTGACTGGTACCGGAGACTTCGATTTGGGTGGTGAAGCAATGGGCTCCTTTTCCAGGGTGGCAGGGGCTATGCTGGGACTTGGGACACTCTCTTCGGCTTGTGGTAATGTAATCTTAGTTCCATCGGTCCACGTTATCGTCTCAGGAGCCCACTCCTCATCGTCGTCAATATCGGCCCAGTTTGATTGACCCTTGGTGTCCTCCGGCCCTAGACGGCCCGCCATATGGATACCGTACTGATTCATCAGTTCTTCATCGGAAAGCTTCTTTTGTTCAGGTTGGGATATAGCTGCCATGAAGATTAGCAAATGGTGATAATGAAGGCTGGCTTAATGTTTCGTTGGGGGATTTGGTGTAGCTTACGCTTATTGCGATTCCATACAGTGTTGGGATCGGGGGCAGTCGCGGGTTTTCCATTACTACTAAGTGTCTTAGTAGAACCGCCCAAGCTGCTGCCGGATTTGGCAACTAGCTTTAGACGCGAAGCAGATATTGTAGGGGTGGGTTGCGGCGTAGTAGATGCTGAACCGGTTGAGTCGGGACGTGATGAAGAGTTCGAAGCCGCCTTGGAGGCGAGAAACGTGCGATTCACAGAAACAGACTTGAAGCTCTGGGGCTTCTTAACCGTGGATGAAGATCGCGCATGATTTTTGTCTCCGAAACGCTTCAGAGGATCTGCCTTAGATGCCTCGGTATCGGAACCGCCACTTACACTTACTTCAGCCGAATGTACAATCTCGTCAACGAGTTCTGCGACTTGTTTATGCTCGATGTCGAAGGGGGTGCCATTTAGTTTGGCATTGGGATAGTTATCATCGTGAGCGTCGGTATTACTGAAATCTGGCTGTGTCTAGATGAAGTTAATAGAAGTTAGTATATAGTTTGCGACGATAGCGCAATGGGATAATTAGGCGTAGGAGAATGATAGGAGGCGAAGAAGAATGGCGAGAAGAAGGCAGAGAAGGAGAGGAATGTTCAGGGCAGAAAGACGTGAATCAGATAGATCAGATTATCCAAAAGATAATAGAAGGCGACAAGCTGTACTTACGAGAGCAAGTTCAGTGTGAGATGCTTCCGGCCTATCGAGGGAAGGCTCGGTAGCCATCATCCAGCTTGAAGAGGGCGTGTAAGAATTAATATTTAGTTTAGGTTACGATCGAAGAATGCGAATGTTTCCGACTCTCGAGTGGGGAGAATTGCTGTTATTGTCGTTAACGTAACAAGTAACTAAAGGGCTGACAATGTTGAAGGTTAGTCAAAGGTGGTCAAGGTGGTCAAGGTGGTCAGTTCCAGGTTAAGCACTTGGCGTCACCGGTTGATAAATTCGAATGCGGTTACTGACCTGAATGCAATTATCGGGACAAATTATTAAGGAAACAACGAAGAAAAAAAAGGGCGAAGAAATTAAACCGCGTTCGCAAAGAAGACGCGACTTAATGCAAAGACCTCGACTCTTCGTATTGGTGAGGGGATAGAGGGGGGGGGGGAGGAAAAGGAAGAAGAGTGTATTGAATTGCAATACCTCAAATGTACAAAGTTTGGTTGTTGCGGGATTGAGAGAAGGCTAAGTCCTAATTTGATTCTCAGCGTCGTGTTCAAAGTTCAAAAGTTTACAACATCCAAAATTCGTTTGGGGCTTGCGCGGGAAAAAGGAAATGTGGAGAACGGAACGATTAGGCTTGGAAGACCGTTGTATAAGAAACGGCTCAGGGCGTAACTATGTATGTTACAGCACATGTATGTAGAAAAACCTGAATGCAGCATTGACTGACTGCACAGTGAGTATCTACATCAATGATACATGTATGTACATGCCAGGTGCGGTTATGGTGGGGAAATTGAGTTGTGGCTAGGTGGGGGGATACTAGGTACATACATATGTATGTATGTAAGTACCATGTAGAAGGGGAATGGGAATTGCTATCAATAACATCCAACGCCTCAAGTGCTAATAACAAGAAGCTGAGTTGACCATAGACTGACAGCCGCGAATTGGCAATGTCGAGACACGGGCAAGACGCGATCAACGTTTGAAGATGGCAAACACCAGGTAGAAATGAAAAATAAAACATACCACTTTGTGTGTGAATCTGGTTGAAAAGCTATTCACAATTTCCTTCAGCTTGATATCTTGTTTCAAGTCAAGAAATTAATTCTGGACAGTTGAAGACAGACGATTGCGGTGTGATTTGTTGAGCACTGAAGAACAATGATCAACGTAAATGAATCGACGTTGTTTATGCAGAGTGCGTGGATTGGAAATAAAGAAAGACGTCAAAGGGATTGATTTATTAAAACTTCCCGCGTACTTATTATATGTATCCAAGGCTGCCTAAGGTACGCAGGCAGATAGGTACTTTTCCAGAAGCACGAGACTCAGTAAATTATGTAGGTACCTCAGGCCCCGCAAGATATCATCATTACGATGAACAGTATTCGATCAGATTATTCTCAGCACACTGCTGAGAATCTGTACGATCAACCAGTACGATTATACACCATGGCCGTTGAATGCCTCTTGTCTTACTTTGAGTAATATAAGCAGGCACTGAACAGAAATGTGTGTGTGTAGGTATATAAGACAATGATACAATGAAGTACCCCTCAAAATAGCACCACGCATTTTACATAGAAGAAAGAAGACATCAGTAAGCACATACAATGATAGTATGGTGGTTTGATCAGACTAGGCTTTGTTCTTGCGTTCTAAAACACCACGGCTATCATATTTGAAGCCTTCTATCTTATGTACACGTTATAGGTTGCTCGAGTTTGTTCCTACTCCACCATCCTTATGTCTCCATAGCGAACTTGGCTTAATGAGCGTTGTTCTTGTGGTGGCCTGTATTATATTAGCATCGATGCTTTCCGCCTCTTTACTATATCCAAGGCAAAAAGAAAACTTACGCAGGTGGAAGTAGTAAGTCATGGGGTATCCAATGACGAGCAGGAGGCCGATTGCGTGGATGATAGCTATAAAACCCCCCCATTAGCATACACATACTTATAATACCAACGTCTTCCAACATCGCGAGACATACGCTTAGCTGTAGCATTATCTCCAAAGTGCTTGGCCTGGTATCTACCGAGGAGACCGGTGGCCTGGATTTTGGGGGCAGGTCCCCGGGGAAGTTTCTCGTAGAAGTTGACAACGCGCTTCATGCGGACGGCATCAGGGGCAGCACCGATGGCCTAATAGACGTCTGTCAGCAACCTTTGGTCCATTGTATATTGCGATAATCCTTCTTCGCATTGCGCCAACCAATTCCCGATGACGAAATAAAACCCATTCCATGGTCCGTGTTCTCTTCCTCAATTGCATCGGTTTAGAGGTCCATGTCGTGATAGGGCCGAGGATTCAGACAGCGCAATATATGGTGAGGTAATACGTACATTCGGCGAAGCAACCTATGGCATAGTTAGCGAGTGATCTAGTGGGTATGTATGTGGAGGAGCCACGGACCTTGGGAGGGATGAGGGTCGAGAGGGCCCTACGAGTGACGAAACTCATGATGGGGAGAGTGTGCGCGAAGAGGGAGCGACGGAAGGAGGTAGTCGAGGAATGAAAAAAGACCACAAAGATATGTCAATTGAGCCGGCGATTGACACAATTGATACGTGGTATTTGCGATATGATGCTTGCTCGAGGGGTTCGACAATGAAAATGAGCTTAAAAGGTGTGAAGTTACTTTTAATTGACGAAAGCACGAAAAGACCTCGTCGATAATAGACTGGTCCGTGCATGGCCCGCTTTAGTGGCAGTGATTGCCGATACAGCCAATCAGATCTTGGTAGATAAATCACCTCAGTAAATACATAATACAACTTGAATAATTGAAGAATCCATGAATCCAATGAATATAGTTATCTAGTACATAAAAATCCAAGGTTATCATATCAACTTTTAGCCTACAACCTACAACCACCACCAGACTGGGAGGGCCCGTATCTATATACCACCACTCCCAAAATGTCATCTTTCAGATCCCCGGCTGTCGCAGCCTCTCTGCTGCGCAGCGCGCGGTTGATCCCTAGCAGACAGGCTTTAGCCATGACGCAAAGACGATTCAAATCCGACGACCCGACAACCTCCCTTACCGAGACGATTGCGCCAGCCCTTCCTGAAGAGAAGTCTCCCAATGCTCCCGACTACGGCGCTCATATCGACAAGGCGACTTCGTATGTTACCCAGTCATGAGAAATTTTATACTTGTGGCGATGAGCGGGCCAGTGGAAAGGGATTGCCGACGCTGACAAGTTATCTGATAGCACATTTACCCCCGTGCCCAAGCGATTAATGGACGGTAGCGAACCCCACGATGCCCTTCCCGCAGCTGTGCTTTCCGGTGCTCCGATTGAACTACAAGCGAGAACCGTTCGGTAAGGGATCAATCCAGCCATTGGGTAATATTTAGGCATACCTGGAACAAATTTGACTGATGAGGCAAATGCAGTATCTACCAACCTTCAAAACCCGCCACACAATCTGGAAATTGGGGTAGTCACCATTGGAGAATGGATTGGGATGTCCTGGCCAAGGGACATAGATGGGAGAACCCTTTAATGGGCTGGCAATCCTCTGGCGATATCATGCAGGGCACCAGGCTTGAGTTCAAGTCCAAGGAAGACGCCATTGCTTTCGCGGAGAAGCAGGGTTATGAGTACTTCGTACAAGAACCGAAAGTACGATCCTTTACGCCAAAAGCCTATGCCAACAACTTTTTATACACACCCAAGAAACTGAAGCTCATCAGGGCTAAGTAGATTACGATTCTAGGAGCTACGGAGCTGGGAGATTAAATCATGCCTTGGTACAAATTTTACAATAGCTAGACAATGGTATCTCAATCATGACCCTGCTGTAATGTGCCTTGTGAAAGGCTTGAAGTCCCGTAGGACATCATCTTCTGATCCCCGAGTCCTAGTATAAAACCTACATGCCGTGAGTGATCATAGCGTCTTATATGCATGTAAGCATAGACGCCCCTAAACGAGTATTCCCACCCTCGACCCTGAAACGCCCAGCTGTGTTCATTCGTGAACTTACGAGCTCCTAACCTTTAACACCTCCTGAAGCATAACGCCTGTCCAATCCTAGAACGCCCATTACGATAGTCTTGCCCTTTCTCCGGCATAGTCGACGATGATTAGCGATTTAGATTATCATCCCGACGAATCATCGAAGCAAGTTGTCCTCGTCCTACGCACTATCCTATGTAGTGACCATCGGCTCGTGGCCATTCTCCGATTCATTTTTGTCAGAGTCATCGCCGTCTAAGCCCAAGTCAAGTCTCGGGGGCAAATCCTTTTTGGTCTCTTTCCGTACAGTGTTCTCGCTCCAAGCCCTCATCTGCACTAAATGGCGGATAGCAGCATCTCTACGTTGTTGTTGACGATCTAGTATTGCCTGATTTACCTTGGTTGCAACATCTCTTCGAAGGCTTGGCTCGAGAAGTGCAGATAAGGAGGGATCTAGTTTATCATGATCAAATACCAAAAGAGACATGGTCTTCTCCAGGTCTTCCAGAAATTGTGGTGTACGTGGAGCTTTGGGACCAAGCTGTGTTTGCGCAAATTCTAGTGCGGGTCCAATGTCGTCTCCTGGCCGTGACTTGCGAATGAGCTCTACCAGTTGAAGGCGCAGAAGTGCAAAGTGGAGCGGCTCATCTTCGTCCAATATCTACTCCATCGGTTAGCTAATGCTGGTGCAAAGACGAGGCATATGGTATTATGGGGGAAATTTTAAAGGTGCTCATATAAAAAGTGGTTGTGTCTCATCAACGGCCCGAAGGCCATATGAGTGGTGCATGTAAACTCGTGTTTTAATCATAGCGAGTCAAAAGTCAAGGATGGATAGTAAAGGGGGCTTACCGAAGGATCGAGTTCGTTTAGGGCATGGGTAGCGTTCTCAATTTCTCCTTTATGTATAAACGTCTGAATTTGCTGTCTGGCCTGGATGGCGGAAGTAGGCTGCTGAGGTGATAAATTTGCCTCGGTTGAGAACTTAGCAGCGGCGTTTGGATATCCAGCGACGGTCAAGTAGTCGAGTATTAAGGCATTGATGTCACTGGAGGTTGCGTCAGTTAAGGCGCTTCTTTCCCAGTAACAAAATTAAAGAGAAATTTGCATTCGAAGCTGCGATATTCAGAAAAAAAGAAGATAAAACGATCTCCGCATGTAATTTTGCTCAGAGAGATTCCCATTGTTTATTTGTTACATCATTATGTTCGCTGCGAAGCGGTGAGGATAGAGGGAGGAAGTACAAAAGACGTACCTCTTCGGAGTTTTTACCTCCTGGACCTGCCTTGTGAAGACATGCGTCATTGATTTTGTGGTCGACGCTGACGAAGTCTGTTCAAAGAATCATTAATACCTTGACCTGGCGAGCGCAAGTCTGAGCCGCAGCTCGGCGTACCATTTTGCGATCTTCAAATCCCGAAGTGCAGCGTGGGTATTGAGGAGAGAACATGCCCCTCTTCCTCTCTGCAATTGAGAGCAGGTCAGAGCCTCGTATTGAGGAGGTCAGATTTAATTAGTGTACAATGATATAATAGTTAAGCGACAAGAAGCAGATGCCGTGAGGCAAGTTTGTATATTTCCGCCAGGAGGCTGGACTTCTTGTGGTTGGTATTGTACATGAATTGGGGTGAAGAAAGTATGAGGAGATGAAGAAAAATGAAGTTGGTAGGTTGGTGTTCCAAGAAAGAAAGCTTGGAAATGTAAAGAGACATTGGAAGAGGGAAAAAAAAAAAAAAAAAAAAAGGAAAAGAGGAAACTTGTGGCTGCGCGGCTCCGCTCCGCGGCTCCATTAGTTAACTTTCAGGCAGCTAAGGCTGTGGCTTGTGTTACCTTGGTGACTTTCAGTACACTCAGTGGGAGTCAGTGCTGTACACAATACAAGGTTACCTAGTGCATGCTAGTCTGATGTATGCATCCAGGAGAGCCACGATTGTGGGTGGATAAATACACACCCCAAGCTCCAAGCCGTACAAATAGTAGGTACGGTACCCTAGGTAGGTATGGCTATACATACGATAGGCTAGTTTAGCTACCTAACTACATATGTAGTAGGGTACAATACAGTACATAATGTGCCTAGAATACCTAGTACCTTTGATTCAACTTGACCTGAAATAGACCTGCTTAATTGGTATCGTAAATCCACAATCCACACGGTTTCTTCTTACTTGTGGTTGGTTTTTTGGGGATCCTCCCTTTTTCGATTCTTTAAAATGGTCTTACTCTAAATATATTTCCTAAGAAACATTTATCATTTCGTTCCGTTTAAGTCTTGGATTTATTGATGTTTTTTTGCATTAATTTCTGATCGAGAAGTTGGGCCAACTTTCATATCCCGCCACCACGGACCTACATAGGACCTACATACATACATACATACATACATACATACACACATCATACATATCATAGCAGTAAGCACATGATACTATCACATTGAACCACACGTGCACTTTATGCTGAAGCTTAACCTTGGAACACCTACCTAATACTTACATAGTATCCTACATAACCCAAAACGCCACACCTTACTTTACACACGTTCCTTTATATATGAGCCACATCGTGGGCATATAGCCATGAACACCGGCATTGGATCCCCTGCCATTGTCGCCGATAATCATGCAGACACCATCGCAAAAAGGGCACATTACAGCCCTCCGTGGGCTGACTTGAGTATCATTGGTATTGCAGGGAGTTCTGGCTCCGGGAAGTCGACCCTGTCTCATGCCATCGTCAGCAAGTTGAACTTGCCATGGGTCGTTATCTTATCAATGGTAAGTCCAATGAGAGATGGAAGGGAGACGGGAAGGGGTTGTGGATTCTTACCTTACTATTCACAGGACTCTTACTATAAGCCACTGGATCCTGAGGCTTCCAGGAGAGCTTTTCTCAACGAGTATGACTTCGATTCACCAGACGTAAGATTCCTTGTCCAGATATTCCATCGTTCTTCTGTTAATGTTCAATCTATAGGCAATAGATTTCGATGCCTTAGTGCAAACCCTACGGGACCTAAAAGCCGGGTAAGGAGTATCCGACAGTGGCATATTTTAGCAAATAATCTTGGCTAGGCTTACTGATTTTTCTTTATTTACTAGAAAACGTGCCGAGGTGCCAGTATACTCCTTTGAGAAGCATCAACGTCTTGAAGAGACGACAGCTATATATTCTCCCCACGTCCTCGTTCTAGAAGGAATCTTCGCCCTGTACGATCAAAGGGTTATGGACTTAATGGACATGCGGGTATGCTAAATGTACTGGACTATTTAATCGTGACACTGCTGATAATCTTGCAGATTTATTGTGAAGCGGATGCGGACACATGCCTCTCCAGAAGAAGTAAACACTACTCCACACTGAAGAAGATTTGAAATTAACTCAGCCATTCTAGTCCTACGAGATGTGAGAGACCGAGGACGTACAGTAGAAGGCTGTATCAAGCAATGGTTTGGCTTCGTAAAGCCCAATTACGAGAAGGTAAGGTGCTAGAAAATCTTGGTGGAAAAGGAGCCCAGACTGACATTGCTATTAGTATGTCCTACCACAAAGGAATCATGCTGGTAAGGGGTCATGCTTTAGTCCATCTCTCTCGTTTTTGGGGGTGTCATATCCACAACACCGAGACTAAATATTGCATTTTAGACATCATCGTGCCCCGAGGTATAGAAAATAGGGTTGCCATGGGTAAGTTGTGATGCCTAGAGCAACGCGTATACTATCTATACTTATCATCACAGCTATGGTCACCCAGTACATCGAAAAGAAGTTGGTAGAGAAATCAACACGGCACCGAGCAGCTCTTCGAAGTCTTGAGGCCGGATCTGACACAGAGCCCCTTTCAGATCGGGTTATCATTCTTAAACAGACTCCCCAACTCAAAGCTATGAGTACCATAATCCAAGACATTGATACTTCAAGCGAGGACTTCATATTCTATTTCGATAGGGCCTCATGTCTACTAATCGAAGAGTACGTGGAATACGATATCGGCCACATTCTTGCCATCACTTGCTAATTTTTCTAGGGCGTTGAACAATGCTCATTTCAAGGAGTTAACAATCGAAACCCCCGCTGGAAATCGATATAATGGGCTTGCCCCCAGGGGCGAGGTCAGTGCAGTCCTCATCCTTCGTGGAGGTGCCGCATTCGAAGCTGGACTGAGGAGAGTGATACCCGATGGCCGAACCGGACGCCTTCTTATCCAGTCCAACGTTCGAACTGGAGAACCTGAACTTCACTACTTAAAACTTCCTAAGGATATCAACAAGCATGACAGCGTCTTGCTCTTGGACGCCCAGATGTCTAGTGGAGGCTCCGCATTGATGGCTGTTCAAGTCCTCGTAGATCACGGAGTCCCGCAGGATCGCATCGTATTTGCAACATACTCGGCCGGCTACGTAGGCGTTTACCGTCTGACGAAGGTATTCCCGGAGATCACTGTTGTTATTGGCAACATGGTTCCCGACTTCGAAGACAGGTGGGTTGAGAGGAGATATTTCCGATGCTAAGATATACGGTAGGCATAATCTCGAGTACATACCTAGGTTTTCTTCGTGGCAGCTTGACGTCGGGTCTGCGGTCACAGAATCGTAAGATAACGTACCTTTACTGGAATTTGCATATAGAAGAGGGTTCCAGAAGATATATAAACATTTTTCAAGTATTAGGTATCTATATGGTTGTTAGATGTACCTACGTGCTAGTATGTAAATTTGCTAGGTCTCTAATGATGGCTCATATAATACCCCTGAACATTTCGAATAGGTCACATACTACGAACCTCACTGCTAACTGCAGAGACCAAGCAAACATCATTATGCTACTCGTGATGATGGTAGTAGGAAAGATGAAGAATAACTTCCATGAACGTCATCTTTAAACCGAGCCTCTATGCCTACCGAGTCTACGCCATCCCCATAGAATATGATATTTCCTTGTTGTGTGACTGGGTATCGTGGAATCCCCTGGGCTTGGTGGAGATGTCGGAATGGTCTAATGGGGGACCTCCGCCATACGTGTGACCAACTTACTTGGCCTCGAACAACTGGACTAGCTCATGGGAAAGTCAGGGCAGCAACTTTAGAATATCCCACAGGAAATAAAAGGCTAGGTCGTTCGCATACTGCACGGTCAATGTGGATGCCTGTGCAAGTACCTTGCGTCTCTTTACCTATTTCCAAGTTCAAAATGTTCCTCTTCCGTCACTGTCGAAGCGCCTCGTTTAGCAGAGGCCGTGCATTCGCATCACTGGCCCCTCACCGTGCCCGTCTCCAAAGCACGCCAACTATCATCAAGCCCTCCAATCTAGAAACCCAGAAGGGGTTCCTCGAGCCACGGAACCTGGAAAAGGCCGTCGGTGCTCTCCACAGAGACGGCCTTGTCGTGGTCGAGGAAGCGATCCCCCACGACGCACTGGACAGGCTGAACACGAAGATGGTGCAGGACGCACGAGTGCTGCAGAGCCGAGGCGAAGACGGGCCCTTGAACTACAACACGGGCAATCTGCAGCAGGACGCCCCGCCCGTGGCGGAGCACTTCAGCCCGGCGATCTTCACTAGTACGTGGCCCTGGATGATGTCAACTCCCCCTTCCCCCAAATAAACACGCTTGCTCAACGTTGTGCTGTGGACTCTGTAGACCCCATCGCCACGCAAATAACCACCAGTGTACTTGGCCCTATTCCCAAATGGACCTTCTGCTCCGCGAACTCAGCCATGCCACCACCCCCCGGGGGATCCCCCTCCCGCCAGCCCGTGCACTCCGACGCCGACTTCCAGCACCCGGACCACCCGTTCGCGCTCGTCGTCAACGTCCCGCTCGTCACCATGACCCCCGCGAACGGGTCGACCGAGATCTGGCTCGGCACGCACCGCCGCGACGCATCCAGCCAGGAGGGCGCGCACGGCGAGCGCGCCAGCGGCCGCATCCGCGAGGACTTGCTCGCGGCGCGCCGGGAGGTGCGTCCGCCGTGCCAGCCGGCGGTCAAGAAGGGCAGTATCGTCGTCCGCGACCTGCGGCTCTGGCACGCGGGGATGCCTAATCTGGGGAGCGAGGTCCGCGTCATGCTGGCCATGATCCATTTCGCGCCGTGGTATAGGAATCGCATGCGGCTTCAGTTCGCCGAGGACATCAGGCCGGTTTTGGAGGGGCTGGAGAGGGAGGGGAGGTTGGGGTTGGAAGTCCCTGTGGACTGGGTTGGTAGGGGGGAGGCGCTGCAGGGGTATTTGAATAGGGGGTTTGGGAATAGTTATGACTTTGGTCAAGCGCCTTAGATTTTGGGGAGTGGATGGGTGAGGAACTGGGAGGGTTTGATGAGTTAGAGTCTGCTATAATCTAACAAAGAAAAAAATTAACACCGTGATCAATCTATTAGTAGTCATTCAGAAAGTTCCCGAATGATTTATCGATCAATAAGAAGTAGGTACCTATAAGAAGCCATACGACGTTCAGCGAGAGTGCTTATTCTAGGTACGGAGGTATTTGATAAGTAGGTGAATCATGCGCGATTTTCCTGCCTAGAGTGCTGTTAGATATATCGGTATATACTACCTAGATATACTAGAAAGAAGTACAATGAAATATCAGTCATTCACCGTTTGGCATAGCAGTATAATCTGACAAGTGACTCATATGGAGTCTCGGTCTTTGGATAGGTAAGCAACTTGATCATCGCCTATAATGTACTGTGTCTGTACCGCGTCTGAATATAATTGTGCTTTTTCTAACTTGTCAGCCGCTCGAGCCAAGGGTGTAGAGGGCAAATAAGAGCACTAAATATTTGTCCCGCGAGCAGGGGAGTGCGAGGGCCGGGCCATGCGGGTTGCTAGGCTGCAACGGGTCATCTCGATCGTCTTCTCTAGCGGCGTGCTGACGGCACAGGAAATGAAGGTTCTATTTAAGATTTCCTGACTTGACGCTTTATAGAGCTGAAGAGCTGACCATGATTCAGCGAGCAAACGGTTGATTGCACAAGGTCTTCTACATTTCACGAGCAAGTCAATTTAATAGGTAGGTACTCAGGGGTTGTAGCTCTTCCCGCTTGGCAAAGCCGATAATGATATCTACCCGCAACATCTGCACGGGCATCATCGCCGTAGCGGTACAAGCCGCTGGTGTTCTAGCTGCCGCTGTCTCGTCACCGCCTACGGTTGACCTTGGGTACGCCACCTACCAAGGCTATTATAACGATACGTTCGACCTCAATATTTGGAAAAGGCAAGCCATTTATCTTTGATAGTGAGATTAACCAAAGTACATACGTTAACGTTCTACTGACTAGCGTTCGTTACGCGGCACCGCCCGTTGGAAAGCTGCGATGGCAAGCTCCCCAACCTCCTCTCAAGGGCAACAGGGAAATTGTTCCCGCTATCGACCAGCCACCATTATGTCCCCAATCGGGGGCTTTCGGTGTTCCTGATACCTATGGGTTTAACTCCGCGCTTGGCAACGAAGATTGTCTCTATCTCAATGTATACGCCGCTCCCAACGCCTCTAACTTGCCTGTCTTGCTGTGGATACGTATGTAACCCTTTCCCCCAGTTGGCCCCATCAGGCCAGCCTCATGAATTCGCTTCATTCTGACCTATGAGATGTAGACGGAGGTGGCCACTCGGTATTCGGAGCCACGTACGACCCAAGTGCTTGGATGAATGTCAACGAGAACGGGTTCATCACTGTTGAGATTCAATACCGACTAGGGGCATTTGGATTCTTGGCCTCGGCCGACATCAAGAACAACGGTCAACTCAACGCAGGTCTTTTGGATCAGCGGTTTGCTCTCGAATGGGTCCAGAGACACATATCGAAGTTTGGCGGTGACGCAACCCGCGTCACGATCGGAGGCGAGTCATCAGGTGCAGGGTGCGTCCTTCATCATGTGATGGGCTATGGTGGCGAGGAGACGGATATCTTCAGCAATGTGGGTAGGCCCCTGGATGCTGAGGAGGAGGACCTCTTGGATATGCTAACTTACAGCTTTCGCATTTAGGCCATTGCTGCTAGCCCATACCTCCCGGCAATACATTGGTACAATGATACCGTCCCTACGAAGCGGTACAATCGCTTCGCTGAACTAGCTGGGTGTAGTAAAGAGTCACTGAAGTCAAGCAACCATTCAAGCATCTTTGACTGTTTGGTGGCCACCGATAGCGTTGTACTGCAGAGAGCTAGTGGCACTGTCTCGACGACTCAGGGCACCTTCGGTACCTTTGGTTTCTCGCCTGTTGTCGACGGCGATTATATACAAGAACGACCAGCTGTGCAGCTGTCACGCGCAAAAGTGATTGGAAAGAGACTTCTCGTTGGTGTGCGTACTCTCCTTGCATTAAGACTCGATATGATACTGATCAGGCACAGAATAACGCCAATGAAGGTGTACCCCTGACTAACCCGCAAGTCAACACAACATCAGCGTATGACGACTTCATCGCCACAACTTTTCCGTCGTTGTCGCCGAGTGACACTACCTTGCTTCGCAAAGTATATCAGATCGACGATTTACCATGTGATGATGACTTGCTGTATGACACAACAGGTAGCAGAGGGCCAACAGCGCTATGCAAGTCTGGGATGGCCATAGGGATACAGCAGGCGGTGTTCAACATAGCCGGCGAAAACGAATTCGATTGTCCTGCCCAGTGGCTCGCCGAGGCGTTCAGCTCCGGCTCACGAAAAAGCTGGAAGTATCAATACTCTCTCATGCCAAACTACCACGGCGCTGATCTAACCTCCTACTTTTCTGTGGGGGCAGAGCTGCCGAACGCGGATTTTATGCGGACGATGCAGAAGATATGGGGCAGCTTCATCATTCACGATACCCCCGTTATCTCGGCTTTGGATGCGACTGCGAAGCGAGACAACGCGACGGTCCCGGCCAACGCAGATGGTAGCATCAAATGGCCAGAGTTCACTCTAGAGTACCCAATTCAGATGAATCTGAACACCACCGGGGGAGACGTATCCAGAATCACTGTGCCTCCTTACTTGAAGTACAATGTGCGTGGCGGACCGGGCATCGTAAACACCTTTAGCCTCACCGATGCCTTCGCATGGGAAGGTGGTCGTGGTAAACGTTGCGACTTCTGGCGTTCTGTTTCGGAAAGAGTCCCTCAGTAAAAGGGGTGGACAGATAAAGCTGCAGCTCTTGGGTAGGTACCTACCTACCTACTAACCTAACCTTAGGTAAGTTCCATGATAGACATTCAGATATATTTTAATCAATAAATATTCCGTGTCATCTCATGTTTGAGCACGTGTAATTCCGTATGTGTGATTCATTGACATATGCCATTTGAGATGTGATGTGTCGAGAGCAAGAGGGGAAGTAAGTTGTGTTAGTGAGAATACACAACTAAGGAAAATTGGTAAATGATTCAGACCGTCAACTTACACAAGCTAATAATAGAATCAGTAATATATGAGTATGTAGCAATAACTAAATAATCAATTTTGAATAATGACTCGTCATTAGGTCTCTAACCGCCTGATGTATTAGTGGCTGGCTATTTCTTGTGATCAATTACCAACATCAGGAGCCCTCTTTGTCTTGCGCACGCATAAATAGGGGGGAAGGTAAGCAAACATTTATCAAAAAATCACATATAAACCTCCGTAGTTGAACTCAAAAAGATCAATGAACGACATTTACATATTCGCCCTTCATCTCACCTGCCTATCTCGTTCTTAAGCAATACCAGCTGAACACCACGTACAACTTAAGTACACAGCCTCGCGACCATGTCATTCAGCCTTGACCCACAGGAAACTTGGTGGCAGCAACATCGCATACAGGTTTGGGAGTACCCGAAACTGCCGACCAAGAAAGAACTCATATACCGCCTCTTCAGAGCCGCGTATCCTGACGGCGCAGTAAGTCTTGTTCCAACCCTGGCTCCCTCCGTGTGTCACTCTGCTTTGCCTCAGCCTCACCCCCTTGGCATTTTGCCTTTGTACGCGTATGCAAGGGGTGGTGTCTATCAACTGTTGCATTTCTTTTTTTAGCATGCGTTCTCCCTCCCTTCATCCCTATTTTTCCCTCTTTATAAATAGTATATGTCATTCATACAGGTACATTGCAGTAACTAAAATAATTACCTCATAGTTCGTGAACGACGACCTCAAACTAGCGGAATTAAGAAGCAAGGAGGTCATCTGGAACCGGATATTGGTCGAGATCTCCCAAGCCTATAACAGCATCCCAATCTTCCTCGAGCGACTCGAATACCAAGAACCCCGCTTGCAGCGAGACGTGCGGAAGCAGGAGCTGGTCCACAGGTACTACCGCGCGCTGGTGGAGGAAGCGAGAGACGCCATATTCGTCTCGCAGAACGGGCGGTACTTTGAGTTCCGATGCATGGAAGAGCTGCTGGTCCGGCACAGACAGTTCGATCCGCGGGGTTGGAGGGGGGAGGTGAAGGGGTTCGTGATCCCCCATATTGATGGTTTCTCCTTCGTCAATGAGGAGATGAAGTCGAAGTCTGGGAGCCAGACTGCGACTATAGTAGCACAGATTCGGGAAATAGAAATGCACACCGATAGGTATGGCTGATGGCGAAGTCTTATGTATTTATATACGAGGAGTACTACGGAATATGATATATGGAAGCGGAGAAGGCAGACGGACACAGAATTAATTCGCTGAGGGATAATTCTGTAATAGGGGTAGGGGGTATTGGGAATAGCGCTAGACTGAACAAATGATGAGTTTTCTTCTTTTGCAACCCGTCTAGCGAATTGTGCAGTATATGCACATTACGATCTCAGCCCACCATAATCGAATCAGCAACAACTAACCCCACAACATGTGTCCTATTTCAAAGTCTCCAGTAACTAGAGGGGGCGTAATTTGTCCTGGAATTGAGATCATAGCCTATCGCGATCAATATAAGAAGAATGGCCGTCAGAACCAGCTCTTCTATCTGTCACCGGGTTGATAACTCTCTAGCCACCATCCTCACCTCCCATCCCCTACTCAAGCGTCTCAAGCCAACCCCGAATAGCCTCATTCACCTCCTCCGGCCCCTCAATCATAGCCCAATGCGCCGTATCAACATCCACTCTCGTCAACCTCTCAAAATGCCTCTCCATCCCCACCGCCAGCTCCGGAACCAGTATATCATCCCTCAGCGCCTGCACAAACAGCGCCGGCATCGTGAACCTATGCCCCCCACCCTCCTCCTCCTCCGCAATCGGCAGCTCATCCTCGTAGTTGATCCTCGCCGTGCGGTACCAGTTCAGCGGGCCCCGGAACCCGTGGCGCGTATACTCCGCCACGTGGCGGTCTAGCTCCACGCCATCTAAGAGGGGGGACGGCCGCAAGCGCGGGAGCAGCGCGAAGTCCATCCCGCTGCACGGAGAGAACGCGCGCTCGCCCTCGGGCGTCGCGCCGCCGTACGCGCCGACCAGGAACCGCCGGATCTGCCGCGCGCTCTGGATCTTGCGGTCGGTCGACGGGTCCCGCATCTGCAGCTGGTACCCGAACATGCGCAACTCTCCCGCCGCGATCCGGTCGGCGAGATCGGTGTAGTTGAGGCTGGGCGGGATGTACGGGAAGGTGATGGAGAAGATGGCTTTGAAGAGGCGGGGGTGGTAGATGGCGAAGCGCCAGACGAGGTCGCCGCCCCAGTCGTGGCCGCCGAGGATTACTTGCTCGGAGGGGACGAGCTGGTCGAGCAGGGAGGCGAGGTCGTCGGATTGCCGCTTGAATGAGAACTCGGCTACTTCGCTTGGTGAGGAGGTGTAGCCGTACCCGAGCATGTAGGGGGCGATGACTTGGTACCCAAGTGAGGTGAAGAGCGACACTTGGTAGCGCCAATCGTAGGGAAGAGACGGGAATCCGTGGAGGAGAAGGACGGTGCCTTTGGGCTTAGAAGAGGGCCTGGCGCGTAGATAGCTCCATGTGTTGGATCCGATAAGGGATGTGTGGCGGGAGTGGAAGGGTGCGGGGACGGGTAGTCCCTGAGAAGCCATGATTGTAGATATGACAAAGATTGGGATGAGAAATCGCAATGAAACCATCATGCGTGCTTTCAGGAGTCATAGAGTACTGAATTCTAGGGAGAGCCAACGCAGAATTTATACTCCCACGTTCGATATTATCTTGGTAAAATAACACCGTGTTGACAAATGCGTGCATTACAAATCTAACTTCGCTCCGGCGGGAAGACACTCCGTGTTCCTGGGACGGAGCTGCAGAAAACTCTGGGCAGCTTATTTCCTGCATAAGGATATCGTGTTGATCATCACTTATGTGCATCGTTCTCCGCTGGGCCGTTTGATGAGGTCAAACCCAAAAGGGGGTGGAACCACCTTCATCATTGCAAAGGGCATCATGAAGTTATCGACAAGGGGCTGCTACCATAAACAGGAAACGTCCCCTATCTATCAATAAAGTGAATCATTACCTAGGACAGACTTTGGATGCAGTTATTATACACATTGCTCTTGAGATGGAACCAGGTGAAGCCAGAGTAATAGATATGGATGGGAGTAATTCTGACCCCTATCCTCTCAGGTGACAATGTTGATATCTCGCATATGGATGGCTAACATGATAGTATCTAGCAGTGCAGTTACTAGACTCGTATCGTGTTTCTACTCGCATTTTGGATTGGATATGCGAAAAGACTGTGCCGCATTAGTGTCTCTGTTTCCTCCCCTTTCTAGAAAGGGGAGTATGCATAATCCAACTACGACCCAACTAGTACAGCCTGATTCAAGATCTTAAATGTAATTTTAAAGGCTTGAATAACTTTTAGTTTTAAACTCCTAATTGTCTATTGCATCAGTTCGACTGCTGTTGACTTTTTCGATAGTTTTGTCGAGTAGATGGAGGCGACAACTCATTTCAGGGGTAAACATTCAGGGGTAAGCGACGCGACGGATGACTCACACAAAGCCACAACCAATTCAACAGAAAATGCGGGCAGTTCGAGATGAGGGGTAAATATTTCATTAGAGAATACCTAGATAACTATCCTGACGGGAATAAAAAATTGCTGTACAAAGTTCTTGGCGAGCTCTCTCTCGACCCCTATTTTCGGGATTGTGGGTCCCTGGAAGGTTTCCAACTACGATCGACTCTAGCAAATTCGAATCAAAAAGGGAATATTTTTGATGCATTATTCAAATATGATTGTTGACCGCCGTCAGATCATCAACCTGACTTCCAGGAGTCAAGATCAATTTGTTGGCCGCGGACATACACCACTGTGTTGATAGATCGACCCGCCGGCCGCCTAGCACAGGCCCGGCAGCGACGATGGGCTCTCGACCTCCAAGTTCTTTTGCCTGCGTCCTCTGGGGGACTTTTCAACGTCCCCACTCGGTCGAAGACGGAAGGTGTCGTAGCTGATGCTGGGATCGTTGTAATTGGCGTGGCTAGCTTCGATGACTAAGAACACGTCCTATGCCAACGGCTTTTCCCTATAATAGCGAGAAATACAGGTCTGCGGAAATGATACCATTTACCCCTTGATGTCATTAGCAGCCTTTACGAATAAACCCATCATGAACGTGATGATATCAATACCTCATGGATAGGCGAAGCTGACTCTGGTCTGCGTATGCCGTGCAGTCTTACTAATTTAATGTAAGGGACTTTCTCACCAAGTTGGGTATTGGGCGAATTTGGAGGTCGGCGATTTTCCAAGCCGACTCAGCTTCGCTCCGGAATAACCATGAGACTCGAGACCTTTGGAGCATGAACCGAAGATAGGCACGGAGGTAAAACTTCCTCGCATTTCCCCATTACTATAAAAATAAAACTTTTCTAGCCCGCTTGCTTGCTATCTATCTCCTCTCCTGTCGTGTAATCCCAGGACTAACAGATATAAATGAACTTCATTGTTCGACTCCCACTCCGAACACCGGCTGATATCGACGTCTCTTGCTTGCTGTAGGTATGTGTAAACTCTTCGAAATTCTAAGAATGTAACTAACACGAGGTCCTGTAGATTACCCCCATTTTCTTTCTAGTGTCTCTAGAAGCTCATCAGATCTGTCGACATGTTAGCAAGAGTACCTAGTATTTAGCGCGAGGGTTAGAAAACATGCCTCGCCCAAAAAGACCCCTCTTCGCCCAATCCATGGCCATCAAGACTCTTGTCCGGACGCCCACGCTTTGCGCGAAGTATACACTCCTCCACGCATAGACAGCCCACAGACCACCGGTAACGCCCCATCCGCCTCCGAGGTCGAAGACAGCGGAGTTGCCGACGTAGGCCAGACTGCCTAGATGGTGGTACTCGAACGCCTTATAGCATGCCTCATCTAGGTCGCCGTCGCGGATATCGTTTGCCCGTAATCCAGCAGCGGCGTGTGCCAGCTTGTTGAACTTGTTGGCAAGATAAAGACCCTGTTGGTTGGCTCGCTGGGCGGTAGCGGGCAAGGAGGTCAGCTTGCTGTCGATCTGCTTCAGTAACTCTCTAAGCTCGCCGAAGTCTAGCGTGCCGGACTGGTCCTTGTCAAATTGCATGAATAACTTGTCAAGGCGCTTCAAATGTGCTGCTGCTTGTGGGAAACGTCGCTTGACGTCCAGAGCTACGGCGCGCCAGTCACGGAAGTGAAGTTCAACGGTTTCCGGGTCCTTTCCTAGTCTGAAGGCGTGCCCGCGCAAGAAAGAGACAACGTTGTCTGCGACGTTATTTTGAACAGTAGAGCAGTCACCAATCGCGTAGACATCACCAAGAGGTGTGCCGTTAAGTCGTAGATGAGTATCAGTTTCTAGTGCATGACGATTGTTCTGTGCTGGACCTAGTTTCGCTGCAATTCGTTGGCAGAGCTCGGACTGAGAAACGCCCGTGGACCAGAGGCAGAAACCCATAGGGAGTTCTTTGGTAACAACGCTGCCGTCTTCAGCCCTTTGTGTGAATATGATTTTGTCCTCCTGCACCTCCTTTACTCTCGAGTTGACGAGAACCTCGACTTGGTCGCGAGCAAACCGGTCCTCGGCGTATTTAGAAAGCGCCTCATCGTACGTATTTAAAATGTGTCCACGGCTTTGTATTAAATGTACCGAGATCTCGTTTCGTAAGAGTCGAGGGAATCTCCTAGTCAAATCCTCATTCAACAAATCAAAGAGCTCCGCAGCGAATTCCACACCTGTGGGGCCTCCACCGCTTACTACAAATGACAGTAGTCTCTTACGTTCGTCATCGGCCGTTGTTGGCAAGCAAGCGAGTTCTAAGTTCTTCATGACTTGGTTTCGGATCATGCGAGCGTCGTTAATGTCCTTGAGGAAGAAACAGTTCTCAAGACCAGTAACTCCGTGGGGGTTGGTGACCGATCCGACTGCAACAACCAGTTTATCGTATGGCACGTAGAACCTAGTTTCTTTACCCCTGGAATCTGTTTGTGAAACCTCGACTAACTTGTGGGAGAATTCAACGTCTTCTGCTGATGCTCGAAGATAATGCCCGCCAATGGGTGAAAGTATCCTGCGGATGGGCTCGACGAGGCTTCGCAACTCCAGAGTCCCGACAGTCGCGGAGGGCAGCATAGGAGTAAATAAGAAATAATTTTTCGGGCTGATAACCGTAACATGGTAGTCTTCGGGGTTCAGTTGCTTAATCAGCGCAACGCTCCCCCATCCACTCCCCAAGATCACAAGTCGTGGCTTGGTCTTCCTCTTTTTCGCTTCTTCGTTATCGTCATCGTCGAGGAGAGCTTCTATGATAGGTAGGTTTTTAGGGCCTCCTCTACGAGGATTCAGAGCAGCTTCGGAGACTTGGCAATCTCCAAACGTAAGGGCCGATTCTTTATATGTGGTGGAGTCGTATATGAAGAAAGCTGCGAGTAACACTCCTATGAACCCAATCCCAGTACCAAGTAAAGCAGCTGAACGGTATGCGAAGTTAAGAACGACGGATCGTCTCTGTGGGAGGGGTTTCCCAGATAGTGTGCGAGCAATGGTATTCGAGGGACCTAGCCATTGTGTAGCTTTCGCGAAAGTATTATTGCGTTTCGAGGGGTTGGGTCGAGATAGGATACCGAATTGAGAGGCATGAACGCGTTTAGTTAGTTTTATTTGTTTTAATAGAGCAGAAGATGTAAAGACATAATTAGGAGAGCTTTGTCGGCTGGCACGAAGAGCAAAAGCCTTGGCAGCTCCTAACTGTGACGGCATCGTGACTATTTCTAGTTTAGGGTATCTCAAAAGGTATTATTAGGAATTACACAAAGGAGCGACGATAAGAAAGACCATGCATATCGACAAGGTATGAATATGGGGAATTCAACGACTTTACTCTTTTAAAAAGGGGAGAAGGGAAAGAAAACACAAGTATTGGACTAATAGAAAAGAAGAAATATTGTGAAGTTGTTTAAAAATAAAAATAATAATAAGCTTCAGGGTCGTGTAGGAAAATGATTGCATGGAGATCTCGTCTCTTCGGCGCTTCCTTGGCCAAACTTGTGTTACTTGTGTCACGTAGTTTTCACTTTCATAGAGTGCGTCATAATTGGTAGGGTGGGACTCCGATTGCTGTGCCGCCTTGCTGGGTAATAAATACCTGTGGGCCCCTTACCTTATCCGTGACCCACTTTACATCCGCTAAACCACCGAAACTTTTCAATCAATTAGAAACCTGATGTGGTATTGAGTTTATTAAACAGAGTCCAGACACGTGCTAATTATTATCGCGTCCCGTAGTTCAGGAACCGGGACCGCCGGATTGACTATTATTTACTATGCACTCTGACATCTCCGACAATGCCGATGTAGCACCAGAAACATCACACTTCATAGACATGCACGTAAGTACCTGCTAGAAATTGATGGCCTCATGCATTTTTAATTCAAGTACGTAAGTACCTAGATTTCTGATAGGCAACTTTAGATGCTGAAGTCCTTGTAAGTCCACTTCTCAGTGAGCTTGGTCCGGGCTTGCTTCTTGAATGGTATATGTCTTCGGGCCTCCACTCTTCCTCTAATTAGCAAGCTCCGATAACGCTCCTTCATCAAGTTGCCCTCCGGTTTTAGAAGTCGTAAGGAGTCCTGCAATTCGTCGGGAAGAACTAACTCTAGGTCCTTCTCTGGTACTTGAAGTTTTCCTAGTTGACGTCGTCGAAGCTCCTCATCGTTATCATCCGCGCTATTTCCACTTTCTTCAATTTGCGCGAGTGTTAAAGCTTGCTCAAGGTCACGCTCTGCTGCCTCCCTTGCAATCCGTTTGATTTCTTCCAGTTGAGCTTTTCGAACCTTTGTTTTAGCTTCGTGTCTTAGTCGTCGCTCCTCCTCCTTCCGTCTCTGAATTCTGTTTCGCTGCGCCTTGGTTTTGCGTTCTGGCCGCTTTGCGCTAACTTTCAACTCCTCGCCCCCACTCTGGACGCCCTCCCATTCGGAATCTTCATCCCACTCCGACAGTTCTGCGCGGGCTTCTGCAGCCTCTGCCTCCGCGGCTGATCTAGCAGCGGCTTCCTTCTTCAATCGTTCAGCTTCTTTTTCTTGCAGACGCTTCTTTTCGGCCTCAACAGCTTTATTAGCTTCCTCTGTATAACGAGCCTCGTAGTCGTCAAAGGCTGGGTTGTAACTGTATCCACCCGTAGGCTTAGGTACGGCCTTAGCCATTTTCCCACTTGCTAATAGAGATATCGGCTTTCGTGAGATGGACTTGGGGGCCTTTTTCTTATCGTCTCTATCATCTGTGATTGGAGCCTCGACTTTCGGTACCATCTCCCAAGGGTCGTACGAGGCATCCACCATCTCTACTGTTGTCTCATGCTCGCCATCCGCTACTTTGCGCAGTTGAGCTAGCTCCTTTTGCGTTACATATTCCCTTCTGGGTCGCTTAGCCGGAATGATTCCATCAGTCGTCTTGTCCCCTGGGCGCTTGCGCGAATCTACTGCAGGTATGACCGAGCGCGCAGCAATGATTTCGTCCGCTTTCAAGGATTTCGAGGTATGCTTTGGGAACTTCTTGGTTAGTGAAGCGTCTCCGACTGTATCGATGACGAAGAGTTCCTCGGAAGGCTTTTCGGCTATGACACCACTATGTATCTTGTCAGGACGATGTAATTGAGTGTATGGTGATTAAGTACTAACCCTTTGAGGATTTCTTCATTCAATTCTTCGAGACCCTTCTGCACTTCGGTAACATCGACATTCTTTCTCCATGCCTTCTTGCCTTTTCTCGATGGTTGACTGTAAGTTGCGGGTGCCGTGGTGGGCCCCTTTTGAGGTCTAATAACTGGCATCTTTTGACAATTAAACTTGGACGTGCGATTCGATTGTTTTGGCTATCGAGTATGTATTATTTGAGTGTTTGAATGTCAGATCGATACTTTAGTAGAAATCTTACATGTATGTAGTGGGGCGATCTCAGCCAGAATTTTTTTTTGTAAATCCAAGGGTCAAATGGTTATTGATAAGATAAGAAATAATCAACGCCAGAGCTAGCCTCGAAGCTTGTCGATTTGCATATGGATTACATAACGAAGAACCTAAATCATCTAAATCCCCACCAATGGAGTCACTGGAGTTTTGTTTTGGCCAATGCTTTCATGATAGACGGTACCCCACCAACTTCGGCCCCAATTCTAATCGCCAATCTGTCAAGGCTAGCAGCCTAAGTGCATTTTTTGAGTTGTCGGAAAAGGAACCGCCTCCTTTTGTAGGTGAGGCAGGAAAGAACAACGCTCCGTTACCTGAATATCATACTTTCCAAGGTTTCTATTGAATTACCAACCCTCCCTGGGCCTCCCTTATAAAAAACCTACAAATAAACAATAATAAATTAATATTGTGTTTTATTCCCTCGTCTTAGCCAAAAGCATTTCTTTTGATATCCCAGTAGTCTGATTCACAACTTCTGACTTTTGATTTCATTGTTTGTACGGTTGTACCCATCACCCAACCCCATAAGCCATCTCTTGTCTTAGAGCTTTGACTCTTTAGATTCGGCGGAGCAGCTTCTTCATATAATCAACCCTCGACCGCCACTAACATATCACGACCAGTAAAGCAAAGTCTCAACGTCAAAATGGCACAAGCTGGAGGAGCAGGCGGTTATAACAACCCACTGAAGAAGTTCAAGTAGCACTACCTATTTACTGTTTCTACTATTTATTCTTGGAAATTCTATTGCTAACTTTTACTGCCAGGTTGGTTTTTCTCGGCGAACAAAGCGGTGTGTAGTCTTCCTTCTCGGGCAACGTATACGACCTACAACTCGAACGATGGCCCTTCAGAAACCGAATTACTTTGGATCTATAGCTAACTGTATGACTTCGGGTTAGTCGGCAAAACATCTCTCATAACGCGCTTCATGTACGACTCCTTCGACAACATGTACCAAGCTACGATTGGTATCGATTTCCTCTCCAAGGCAAGTCATGACAGCCACGGTGGTCAGTGAAGAAAGAAATCGCGTTAGCTAATTAGCAATGCCTAGACAATGTACCTCGAGGACCGAACGGTGCGGCTACAGTTGTGGGATACGGCAGGTCAGGAACGATTCAGGAGTTTGATTCCTTCCTATATCAGGGATTCGAGCGTTGCGGTTGTTGTTTACGATATCTCAAGTACGAACTGGCCTTACTCTTACTCGATGACGCGTTACACAAAAAAGCTAACAAAGGGCGGCTTAGATGCGAAATCCTTCCAAAACACCAAGAAATGGATTGACGATGTGCGCGCGGAACGAGGCAACGACGTAATCATTGTGCTAGTAGGCAACAAGACGGATCTTAACGACAAAAGAGAAGTTACTACGGCACAAGGCGAGGAGGAGGCCAAGCGAAACAATCTGATGTTCGTCGAAACAAGCGCGAAGCTAGGCCACAACGTCAAGAACCTCTTCAGGAGGATAGCGCAGGCACTTCCTGGTATGGAGGGGACAGATGCCGCTGCACAGGCTTCGTCACAGAGTGGGTCACCCCCAGTATGGGGAACGTGGAATGAAACGGTTGGGCTAACTGTCTGCAGTGATCGATGTGAAGACCAACACTCAATCATCCCAACAAGAGGGATGTGCATGCTAGTAAAGTAAAGCGATGATCCATGATGGAGGATGAAGCGTTGGCAATGGGAGACGAGTGAGACGATGATGAAGCAGGATATTTCCGTGCATAGCGAATGAACAAGCCAAAAGATGTTGTATAATACGAATCAATTCTACGAAGCAAACTAACGAGGAGAAGACTGTTATAATCGTTACGGTTATCAACATATAGTATATGTAATGACTTTTTTTTCTCTTTCCATCAGATTTCAAATCAAGTGCTCCCTAAAATGAGTTGTGTGATGAGCGTCATATATTGTCGTGTCTAGGTACCTATATCTTATACGAACAGTCGTAGAACAATATGGCCTCGTCGTCTAATTTTTTATTCCTCTAGATGTATTAATAGGTAGAGTATCACCGACCAACCTCTTCGATATTCAACCCAATGTCTCTACCTGCCCATCGGATCTCCCAAAATACGCCTTCACAGGCTTCACCCCTTCCACATCCGTGTCCAGCTGCGCGACTTGGGGCCCGTTCAGACCCGAGAATATGCCGACCTCGAGAACGCCAAAGATGCTCTTGATCCGCTTGAGCAGCGCATCCGGCGTCCAGACGCCGTTGGCCGGGTCGAGCTTGTCGGCCTCGCTGTTCAGCAGCAGCGTCGGGAACGGCGCGTCGATGATGTGGTTGTGGTTGTCCGTGATGGCGTTGGTAAAAGTAGGACCGGACTGCCGGATCTTGGGGTTCGTGCTGCCGAGCCGCAGCAGCTCGCGCCGCACGTACTCGGCGCCCATCGGCGACACCTCGACGGGCACGTACGCCCAGTTCGTCAGCAGCCGCCCCGCCTTCTTGCGGCTGTCGGCCACGCAGATGAACTGCTTCGACAGGCGAGACACGAGCTTCTCCTGGAAGTGGCACGCGCCCCCGCCCTTGATGCAGTTCAGCTCCGCGTCCACCTCGTCCGCCCCGTCGAAGTAGATGTCGATCGGCTGGTGGTCCGGCGACTTCGGGTCAAACCCCACCTCGAGGAGCAGGTCGGGTACCTGCAGCACGCTGAGGCCCGCGTTGCGGATTAGAGAGGTGGAGCCCGAGCCTGTGGGAACGAACTTCATCTTCGAGGTCACGGGGGCCCCGAGCTCGGCGATTGCTTCGACGACGTAGGCGACGGTGCTGCCGCTGCCGATCCCGACGTAGGCGAATGATGGGTTGAAGTGGTCCGCTACGGCTTGCCGGCAGGCGGCGCGCTTGGCGGACTCGATGAGGTCGGTGGCAGAGGTTGGGGGTGGTGGTGCTGAGGCCATGGCTGCTGTTGTCTTTTCTTTGTTCCGCTGGGTGGAGGTTGAGAATGTAGCAACTCGACTACTGAGGGATAATTGGATACCTTGCTGGCGGTGCTGCTGGTATTTGCTGAAGCTACGATTATGAGAATGAGGAGCTTGTATGTGCTGAACGGCGAATGAAAAACAACTTCTGATAAATAGCGCACGTGGGCTGGTGAATTGTCGAGTTGATGTTGATGTATTTGCGACAGCCCGCTGTAGCGATAGATTCATGAAACCTGGGCTGAGACGAAAGGGGACAGGACAATGAGTCAGGCTCTTTCTTTTCTTTGTTTTGAAAGGCCGGAATAAATTCAACTTTGGAGTCAAGTAATTAGAATGGACTTTAATACAATTATCTTTTGTCAATTCCTGAATTGGTAAGGACCTTGTACGTGTTTGCTTTCACTGGGTACCTAGTCATAGGTGATGAGTGAAAATATCTGACATTGAAGCTTTGGAGCCCCACGTTCCTCACGATGCCTTCCGCCGTGGTGGTGCCACCCCAAGTGATAGCTGCTTCCGCCCAATGACGTGGGTGCGGGACAAGGGTCCAATTGATCTTGCCCGATCTCCGGATCTAGTTAACGGTTGCTTACTCAGCGCTCTATCTCGAGAAAGAGGCTCAGTATCGGAAACTTTTGTGGCGTCCTTTTGAATCCTGCAGTGCGTTGCATGTGGGTGCTCAAGTTTTACTATCCATGGATAACCTTGAAACTACCTGATTCTAGGACGGCGCTATCCATTCCTAAAATGATGGCCAACATGAGGTCTAACGATCCTTGTTCTACACATACCTATACATTTGGAAATTGTGTTCGGTTTTTAACTCCAGATGTCTGACATAAAGGTGACTGATTACGTTTTGCTACAACAGGACCCCTCGATGGATCATATCTTTATGGGACTTCAATATCTTCCAGTCATCTTGATAACATGACCTAATGGAATAATAGCAGAACGCCGACTATAGCCCTTTGATCTTATAGTTCTATAGTCCTTTTTGGAGATATTTCGGAGTCTGCTGTCAATCATAGCCGGCTGACAAGACCAAATGAGCGATATCGTGAGTAATGAGAACTGATATTCCACTCATACTAACCCTCAAAGCCAAGCAACAATAGACATGGTATGTCGTTTGTCACTCCGAAATCATACCACGAGAGCATGTTAGAAATATCATGTCTATAACTGGTATGTTGAGTTTCATGGTTGTAGGTAAGCAAGCGGCTATCGGTTGTTGAAATACGTATTACTCCATCCGTACTACGACGGCAACTGACAAGTTTATAGTCACAGCTGGGATTTCGACATCACATTTTGCCGCATATGATATAGCTGTTGACAACCAAAAGCTAAAGTATAACATCAGATGGGAATGGCACCCGGCATCTTATCATACAGGATATTCTTAGGCTTGTTGAGCTTGTTGATCCCTCGGCGGCTCTCGGTGCCTTAACATAGACGGTTAAAGATGTTACTTTATAGTATCGTGATTGGACAATGGAATATGGGGTTTGGCCGATTACCGGTTCGAGATGATGCAAGGTAAAGTTAGAACTCTGGTTGGCCAAAGATGGCGTATTCTGACAAAATGTTAATGGCTATTGGTAGAAAAGATCAAAATTGTTAGAACTAAGACGATGGCGTGATTACAGTGTATAACGGACTAATTCCATTTGCGGAGCCATAAAAAGTTCCACCCTCGGGGTCTGATCAGACTGATCTATCTTAGTCTAATTGTCGCCATCGCCTAGAGTTCTAGAATTCCCACTTCGCCTTTCTTTTCTATGCCGGGGAAAGAAAATATTTTTGGTTATTTTCCTAGGTTCCCTGTGTAAACTAATTTATATGTAGAAGGGGGGTTCATCATGTCGTTCCTCTTTGGAAAAGCAGACTCTTCTGCTGTGTCCAAATCAGAGTCCAAAATGGCGACACCAAAGATAGAAATCCGCACCCCTGAAGAGGCAGGTAAGTTTATGATGCTCTAATCTTCTAATCTTTTTACAATAGCCATGCGCTTTAGCTGTATCCAATCCACTACAATCAACTACAGCCACTACAACTCTTTCACTGTTCATTGTTCACAACGTTACTACCCCGCCATATCCAATCCAATCCAATCCAATCCCTTCACTGACATCACTTACATCCATCCCTCACATAATATCACATCACTCACATCTCATTCACGATGTATATTTTTATCCACCACTGCCATCACTTACCAAAAAATATAATCAACGTATAATACATATACATTATAAAATAGAAATATCCAAGAACTAATATTTACCTCTTCACCTAGTGGCACGTATCGCATACCTTGCTAGCGACGTTATTGTCTCTGTCCAGCCCTCTTTAGGCCAGGACTCGGCATACTCTTCCCACCTTAAGAGATATGCCGGAAGAAAAGATGTAGGCCTGGTCGCCAAGACCGAGGATTCAGTCCCAGAGATCGTATCCGTGCGACACAACAACGACCCTCTTCTCTCTGTCTTTGCCCCGATTCGCTCAGGCCGCCTTACCTCCGTTACAACCACCTCGACCATTCTTCTCCCATCTATTGCTCATTTGTACAAATTAGCAAACTACCCGGTGGTCCTCCATGTTTCCTTATCTCCAGCCGATTTCCCTGACTACTCTGTCATTACCGCCATCAGAAACTCAGGATGGACGTTCTTACAATCCGAATCCCTTCAGGAGGCACAGGATATGGCCATAACAGCCCATGCTCTGGCCTTACGGTCTGGCAAGGGCGTTATCCACTTCTTTTCCCCGAGTTCCTGTCTACATGACAAGCCAATCGCTGTGGAGGACGTAGATTCATTCCGCGAACTGCTAAATTTGGATGACGCTCGCCGATACCAGGCTGGCTCAGCTTCAGAGACAAACATCTATGCTGACGATGGAAGGGTTGTCGTTGCCTCGCACCAACCAGAAGGCCGCCCTAGTGCTGCAGTCAATGCTCTGGCAGACTCGACAATACTTAGCGCAACCTCAAAGGCGGCTTCTTCCGTAGGTTCGGAAAAATCTGATCAGCAAAGTAACTACAGTGCTCCCCCGAGTGTATCATCGGCTACTACGATCGAAGCTGCTCCGCCTCTAGTCACATCTGAGGATATCTACAACTACGTCACCGCGATTTGGGTTCAGCTCAAGGCTGCGACTGGTCGTAGCTATAACCCCTTCGAATGGTCTGGTCCAGCAACCGCGGATAAGGCTATCTTTGTTTTTGGTTCCGACGCAGGCCTATTTGCTGAGGCACTCGACGAGGCTAAGCCCGATGATATTTACGCCAAGGCTGGTTTGATTACGGCTAGACTATACCGACCATGGTTGGGCGCTCACCTCATCGACGCTATCCCAAGATCCGTGAAGCGTATCGCTGTCCTAGAACAAATTGCTCGCAAGACGACGAAATGGGGGCCTCTATTGATCGACGTGTTAACATCAGTAAGAAGCGGTCCCGGAGGTGTCGAGGCTATTGTTGGCCACCAGCTAGGGTACATTTCGCCCGATACTATTCACCAAGCCCTACGAGGTATCTTCCAGAACCTAGCATCCGAAAAGCCCCTACAGAACCTAGAAGTAGGCAAAACAAGCGGACCACAGGGTGTTCAAAGCCACAACCTAGAGCAGCCCAAATTGGAGACAGCCTACACTAAGATCCTCGACCAGCTCTTCGGCAACAGAGTCTATACAGCAAACGCTCTTAAATCGAACCACGCTGGTGTCTCATCCACAGTGGCAGCTAGTCCGGAATTCGGGTTTGGATCCCTTCTTGCCCGAAAGGAACATCGCCAGAGATTTGTAAAGCAGGTAAAGCAAGCTGCCAGCACTGGATCCTTTGTCACCGAGTCGCCAGTCAATTGGCTAGCGAAGTGGGCAGCAAATGCCGAAGACGCCAAATCGGCTGGAGAGCTCGCCGATGATGTAATTGCACGACTTGAGACCGATGGATCCTCCATTGCGCGGGAGCTCCTATCAAGCAAAGGTCTATTCCGAAAGGAGTCGCTATGGCTTGTTGGGTCCGATGCTTGGGCATATGACCTTGGTAATTCCGGTGTCCATCACGTATTAGCCTCCGGCGAGAATGTGAACATGCTTATCATCGACTCGACCCCCTATTCCGAGCGAACTGCAGCAGATGCTGAGAGACGTAAGAAAGACATCGGACTTTACGCTATGAATTTCGGTAACGCCTATGTCGCATCTACCGCAGTGTACAGTTCATACACTCAGGTTCTCCAGGCTATGCTTGAAGCCGACCAATTCAACGGCCCGTCAATCGTGCTTGCATATTTGCCGTACTTCGGAGAGCACGACTCGCCGCTCACTGTATTGCAAGAGACGAAGAAAGCCGTGGACCTTGGCTACTGGCCATTATACAGGTGGAACCCGACAAATGAGAATAAGGGCGACCCTAACTTCTCCTTGGACTCGGAGCGCATAAAGAATGAGCTCAAGGAGTTCTTAGACAGGGATAACAAGCTAACCCAGTTAATGCGACGTGAGCCTGTGTTTGCTGCAAACTTGTCTCAAGATTTCGGCACTGAAGTTCGGGCGCAGCAGAAGCGACAGGCCCGGGATGCTTACAACCAATTACTAGAGGGTCTCTTTGGCGCGCCGTTAACGATTTTGTTTGCCTCTGATAACGGAAATGCGCAGAACCTGGCGAAACGACTAGGAACACGAGGCCGTGCTAGAGGTCTCAAGACACTGGTTATGGCGATGGAAGATTATCCTGTTGAGGACTTGCCTCAGGAGGAGAACATTGTGCTCATCACTTCGACAGCAGGCCAGGGAGAATTCCCTCAGAACGGCAAGCCATTCTGGGACGCAGTTAAAGACAGTACTGATCTTGACCTCGCCTCCGTCAACTACTCGATTTTCGGACTTGGAGACAAGCACTACTGGCCACGAAAGGAGGATAAAATCTATTACAATAAGCCCGCCAAGGACCTCGACCGATTGTTTGCAAACTTTGGCGGAAAGAGACTAGCTGAAGTCGGGTTAGGTGATGACCAGGATCCCGATGGATACCAGACAGGATACTCACTCTGGGAGCCTCAAATCTGGCAGTCTCTTGGCGTCGCGAACGTTGAGGGATTACCAGATGAACCAGCACCGATCACCAATGAAGACATGAAGCTGGCTTCCAATTACTTACGAGGTACTATCGTAGAGGGTCTCAACGACCTAAGCACGGGCGCGATCTCTGCTTCTGATCAGCAGCTCACAAAGTTCCATGGAACGTACATGCAAGACGACCGTGATATCCGTGATGAGCGCAAAGCCCAGGGTTTGGAGCCTGCTTATTCATTCATGATACGTTGCAGACTGCCTGGTGGCGTTTCCACGCCGAAGCAATGGGTGCAAATGGACGACATCAGCAACAGCCTTGGTAACGAGACCATGAAGCTCACCACCAGACAGACCTTCCAATTTCACGGTGTGGTAAAAGGAAAGCTCAAGCCAGCGATGCAAGCTATCAACAGGGCTTTAATGACCACGATTGCAGCATGTGGTGATGTGAACCGAAACGTCATGTGCAGTTCTCTTCCCACCCAGTCAAAGTACCACAAGCAAGTATGGGCTTCTTCTCAAAAGATCAGCGACCACCTCCTACCGTCCACAACCGCGTACCACGAGATTTGGCTCACCGACGATAATAACGAGAAGACTCAGGTTGCTGGCAATGCTGTGCAAGATTTTGAGCCTCTTTACGGACCTACATACCTCCCCCGAAAGTTCAAGATCACTATCGCCATCCCACCCCACAACGATACGGACGTTTATGCTCACGATGTCGGTCTTATCGCTATCAAGGGTGATGACGACCAATTGGTGGGCTTCAACCTTTTGGCTGGAGGAGGTATGGGCGCGACCCACAACAACAAGAAGACGTATCCACAGACTGGTCGGATGATGGGCTTCGTTACTGTTGATCAAGTTCATATCGCTTGTGAGAAGATCATGTTAGTGCAGCGAGATCACGGTGATCGTAAGAACCGAAAGCACGCCCGACTAAAGTACACCATTGATGACATGGGCCTTGACGTCTTCCGTTCCAAGGTAGAGGCTCTGTGGGGTAAGTCGTTTGAGCCTGAGCGCCCATTCTTTTTCAAGAGCAATATCGATACGTTCGGCTGGCAAAAGGATGAGACTGGCCTGAACCACTTCACATTCTTCATCGAGAACGGCCGCATCGAGAACACAGCCGAATTCCAAATGAAGACGGGTCTGCGTGAGATTGCCAAGGTTCACAAGGGCGAGTTCCGATTAACGGGCAACCAGCACTTGATCTTAAGCAATGTCGCGGACGAGGATGTCCCGCAATTGAAGGAGCTCATGAAGAAGTATAAGCTTGACAATGTCCAATTCTCTGGTCTGCGTCTCAGCTCTTCAGCCTGCGTGGCCTTCCCTACTTGCGGTTTAGCTATGGCCGAGAGTGAGCGCTACCTGCCCCAACTCATCTCTAAACTTGAGGGCTGCCTCGAAGAGAATGGATTAGGCAAGGAGTCGATTGTCATGAGAATGACGGGGTGTCCCAACGGTTGCGCCCGACCTTGGTTAGCCGAGGTCGCCTTCGTTGGTAAGGCTTACGGTGCCTACAACATGTATCTGGGCGGTGGATACCACGGACACCGTTTGAACAAGCTGTACAGGTCTAGCATCAAGGAAGATGAGATCTTGGCCATCATGAAGCCGCTACTCAAGCGATATGCCTTAGAGCGCGAGGAGGATGAGCACTTTGGCGACTTCTGTATCCGAGCAGGCATTATTGTCGCCACTAAGGGAGGACAAGATTTCCACGACAACGTAAGTTGAACCCCACCTATTCTATTCAACCACAGCCTTCCTCAAATATAATCTAACTAACAACTACTAGGTCGCCGAGGAAGATGAAGATGACGAATGATCTATTCAGCTTACCCAAGTTAGAGACTCATAGAACATGAACCACTTAAGCATTGCATAAAGGACGGGCGTTTTTTTTTTTCTTTGTTTGTTTTGGGGGTGGTATCTGGGAATATTCTATTGTACGATTACTTTCACTCATTTTTTCAATGTTATCTACCTACCTATGTAGGTGGGTTGGTAGTAGACTCTCCGCCCTGGTTTATGACTTGGATGGATAGGTATCAATCAGTCTAGCAGAGCTTATGAGAGTTATAAAAATTTGCATGAAGATGAGTATATATTGCTTTGTAGCATTGATGTTACTGAAATGGTGTGCGGTGTGCTTCAGGGGAGGGATGGGGTCGCTTCTTCTTTAGGGGGGATTGAGCCTTTCTAAAGCGTCCTAACCTAGAGTTGTGCTTCGTGGAGAGTGTTTCCCAAGACAACTGCCAACACCTACCCATCTATATTACTAATATGCCCATTGTTCCTACTATCTTCAGCAACCTCATTCAAGGCCACGATAGCTAAGCGCACGAAAATCGAGATAGTTTGGGGTTCTAACCTAGCAATTAAAACACCAGTAGTTGCAGCTATCTCAAACTTACTCAGTACAGGATCATTTCAAGTTACAGTGAGGCTGGTATTGTGAGGGGGGGTCAAACGTAGCCATAGGATTAATATCTTGCCGTATCTTCTTAGATTTTATTTGAAATTGATATCAACAAGATAATGAAGCGGAAACCGATGTTATATTTGAATTCAAGTTCTTCAAGTAGTTATAGGTACCTAGTGGGACTGCCGCTCTCCACGGAAGGGAAAGGACACTCTCCGCCGAGCACAGCTCCTAACCTACACCCTTATCCATGCCTATGAAATACAATCTGATCGGATGTTGCGAATATGAATCTGAAGTGGGAGTTGTGGTGTGTATGTCATGTCCCATGGCTATCTCTCCCTGGAAGATCTAACATGGTACGAAGTAAGGTCACGTGGCTACCTGCCATCCCACAACGCCCGAACTCAGTGTGTGATATGGTCGGGTGATCCTTGGGATTGGACCGCATCTGCTATTCATAAGTATAAAAGCTTAAATTTTCGAAAAGAACTGTTGGGTGTGTGAATAGAGCGTATATGGCGGCAGGTACGCCAAAGGTGGAATGTGCGACACACTATGGTCTTGTATTGAAGAACATTTCTGGCCAAGGTCTGATCTTCTGATACTTCCTTTTCATCAACTGCTCTTAGGCCACTCATCTAGCGTGTAGCAGTAGGATTTAAGCAGTGACGTGTGGAGTTTAAGTTTATACATACTATGTACCTAGGTAGGTATACATGGTACGAAGCACATGCCTCCATAGGTACTGTAATCCACTACGCGACATGAATGTTTTTTTTTTCAATCACGCCTGATCCAAGATCTTAGCGTCACCCATCTATTTAGGTCAGTAGGCACGTACCTTGAAGGCATCACGGTGTATAGTGTATATAGCAAATAGCAAACAGAAGGACAGTCAAAGTTGGTGAAACATAGGTTAGGGGGGTTAATAGTGGGTCAAGCACGAGCCAATCATATTTGTCGACTTGTCCCAAGAGGGAAGGTTTGTATTACCTAATCCACCCCCCTTTTTTGAGATGGCCAGGCTAACGAATTGTCTATCATCCGCCGCCTGGAAAACCTTATAATGTCTGAGAGGCTGTTTGGTAGGGGGAATCAATGCGGTGGATTGTGTGAGTTGGGTGAGTCCCATTGAAGCTTTGTCATGGCGTAGGTTAGTTAGTAAAAGACAAGCAGTGGGCAGATTGGAGTATATAAATGTCCTATGAGATCTAGCTAGGGAATTTCGAACTTTCTTGGATAGCTTTCTTTCCTGAAGTCAATATAGTGGAAACTTTTGCCCGTATGGGAATATAATTTATGCTTAATTTTGATATGAGGCACCTAAACCCTATACTTTTCTTTCTTTGTCTTTTTTTGGTATTTCTCCATTTTTGTGTTATTGTAGAAAAAGGATTTAGCCCGTCACTGCTGGTCGCCCACGAAGGTACCAACCAAATTTAGAATTTCAATTTTTGGCATGAGCCAGATGTGACACGCGCCCCTACAGAAGGTACGGTTAGTCTCGTAGCGATAAATTTCAATACTAAACCTCATAGTGTAACTTAAGTGACTATCGCTTCCACACTTGTTCTCCACGTCAATCTCTGCGACGACACCACTGTAGTCTTGTTTGCCCATAGACAGAGTTACACATCTGATCTAGAGAGGGGAAGTTTACAGTGTATATGGCGGCAGTATTCCACTCTAAGGCTTCTAGGCTTCTGCAGTCTTAAACCAATTTCAATGGCCATAGTGCGAATATGGTGTTTGGGTAGGTAGTCCTGATTATGACCCCACGCGATCCACAGAGTATGCTGAATAACCTAGGACACGTTAAAGTTGCGCCGGTACTTCACTTATGCACTGGCCTTTCAAAGCTTTTTACTATAGTAATTGCCCATTGTCACTACTGTGAAGGTCACATTGGTCACTGTTAGCTTCTTTAGTCCTTGAGACAAACAAAGCTATTGTATAGAGATGAAACTCCTATTGTTCTTTCGTTCTAGCACGTTGGAAACAGTGCCACCATTCTCCACCAGCGCTGCCGTAGACTCGGCTCCTACACATATATAAACTGGTAACTTCTTCTCGCAACTTACTTTCATTTCTTTCCCTCAAACCACTCAATATCTACTCGAGAACCCTATCATTGCTAGATATCAACTCCAAACACATCTTAAACTACGCTTTTACCTTCAACAATTTTACCACTATCAATATTCCAGCTCCTACAACCTCCACACCTTGAGGCCTTTAAGTATCTTCGATACATTTTTCTTTACAAACAGACTACCGATTAAAGGTAAACGATCCACATTGCATTCATTTATATTGTTGTTATCTAACATCTCTTCAGTACAATATAGATCCCACAATCGAAATGTCTTCTGCCATCGTCAAGGTCGGAAAGGAGGCTGCCAGTGCTCCCAAGCCAAAACTGCTCGAAATTCCTTGTGAAGTGCGATGTATCATCTGGCAGTACTACCTCGACGGCCATGGCGACTTCGACCTGGACCAGAGGGGCGTTATCAAACCAGAGCCCGGCTGGACAGAACCCCTCCAACTCCTCTACGTCTGCAAGCAAGCTTATGAGGAGGTCAGATGGCTCTACTACCAGCGCATGACCATCTTCGGGCCTGACGGCTGGTCGGACGTCTTGTGGCGGATGGGATCCCACAACATCCAAAATGTCACACAACTAAAAATATTTTATAGTTGCCGTGGGATTGGCCGGTGCACCAAAAGGGACCTACAAATCGAGCCATACGACATTTGGAACGAAGTGTTTGAACACTTCCGCTATGTCCAGCCAAATGCCACCCTAAGGAAGATCAGAGTCGTCGTAAACCCTTGCCATGGCTTTGTGAAAGGGGAAATGGATGAAATAGACTGGGCCGAGCTCGAAGCCCAAGTCTTGGCCGATGAGCTCAACCAACAGTTTCCCCAAGAGGAAGCCCCCCAACAGGTAGCCGAAGCCGAAAACCAAGAGCAAGAGGAAGATGACACGGATGAAGAGGAGCAGGATCCCGCTCTGGCATGGCGCCAGTGCCGATGCCTGAAGGACACCCGTTTTCTCCGCCACCTGCTGGCCTTCAGAAATGTCGCGGAGATATCCTTCGAGGGCCGCTTCCCTCCACTCTGGGGCATGGTTATCCGGAGCCAGCTCGGATTCGTCGAGAAACGACGAATCAACTATGGCACTGTTCACCTTTATAATCCGCGCTACGACTCCTACCCGCCCGACCTGAGGTGGTGTACACCCTCGGAGACGGACGTGGGGCTTTACGAGTCCCACGAGGAGTACGTTTCTCCTAACTTGGATTGGTAGGGCTGAGGACCAACAGTGTTGTGGGAAGGCTTCGGGGGCTCGGGGATTGGTACATGGTCATTGGTCAGGTAAAATAGGCGTTAAACTGGTAGACATAGACAAAATGCATTACATACAACACATTAGGGAAATCTGAATATTTCGGCTGGTCTAGTATCTTAATCACGTGGTGCATAAGTGACAACATAAGGTAACATGGATTCTCCTGATTTTGACGAAGTTAATAGTTAGTGAATTCTCACTTAGTTACCACCTGTAAACCTAATCATTGGTAGCCTTGTGTAGGTGTTTGCTAACATGTATGAAAGCTTTGACTCGAAGCCTTTTAGATTGCGTAGGTGTTGAAGAAGAGTTTCATCAAAGCCAATGTTTAGAATATACGTGCGATGATTTGTGTAGGGTTATGGTAGTGATCTCTGTGTGGAACAGTGAGTTAATGCTACCTTAGAAAGTAGACTTACTAACTCACAGAGAGCGTGAACAGGTACCTATACGTGATACAGCTACCATTGTCTAGGAACCGAGAGCTCTGCATAGCTGGCTCGACAGGGAAGGGTCCGGTTTCTTGTCACAAAGGTCATACGAGGTTACAAAGCAGAGCGATTGACTTGACTAACTAAAGGTAGGTACCATCTAAGCAACGCCAAGGCGCGAGATATGTGTAATTACAGCCCGAGCTCTACGAAAGCTCAATGTTGACACCCGTGCTGCTGCTACACATATACATAGGCGGGTCCCTACCTAGTACTCTTCATGTCCGAGGCAGGGGCCATTGTTACGGTCCTCGACAGCTCTCTCAAATGCATCCGCGCGCACCCTGACATCCTGCGCCAGATCCAGCATCTCCTGGGTCGTGGGCATCTCGAACGGCGCATACCAGTCGATCTTGTCGCGCGACCAGAACACATATCCCCAACGCGCCATGCACCAGTAGCAGTCGAAGTGGATGTCTTCGTCGGGGTGAAAGGCGCGGTGGTCCATGTACGGCTTGAGCTCCAGGTAGAGCCAGGTGTCCTGGGGGCCGGTCTCGGCCTCGCCAAACTTCTCAAGGGTCTCGCTGAGGTCGAGGCTCACGTAGAATCCGCTGGGGGATCGCTCGAACCACGGGTCTTCGGGCCCGCAGTACCATGCGCGGCGGCCGAGCTGGAAGTCCCCGAGGAACCCGCGGAAGACCCGGTGCATCATCGGCAGATCGCCGGCTATCTCGTTGCGATGGAGGTTCTCGAGGCCCGGGTAGATGGCGAAGTTCGATTCTACGGGCGACTTCACGACTAAGGCGGTGTTAGCGCAACGTAGTACCTAAGTGATTATTTTCAGTGCTGTTGCCACTCACCATAGCTCAGATGTCTTAGCAGTATGGTCTGCACGCAACGGACTTGCTGCTGCTCCCAGGGCGCGAAGTGGCCCCAGAACTCCTGATTAGCAACGTACATGTTAGGGTCCTCATCGTGCATGTACTCTTTCTTGAATAGGTTTCCGACAAGCTCGAAAATGTACAGGGCCTTAACAAAGCGGCGAAACTCGGTGGGAGAGACGCAGTTGATGGGGTGTGGGAGATGAGCGTGCCACTCTGTAAGAGGGCCAGGTGCGTCGTACAAGGCAATGCTGGACAGGACATCAGCGTAATACAGGATGACCGAATGGAACGACTGTAGTTTCGCGACGTCGCCAAGGCTCATGCTGAAGGTATTGGCGCGGGAGGGACTGGTGCGAGAGAGGTAGCAGTCCATGACTCGGGTGACACATTTACTGTCCTCCTCGTCGGATCGTGGGCTGTGGATGCGGTTCCAGCCGGACGTCTCTTGTCGGGCCGCGGCCAGTCGCAAAACATCTTCGCCGATTTGAGAAGCGAGGATTCCCTTGATGATGGGTCGCTCTTGTCGCTTGATGTGGTCGTAGAAGACGATGCCGGACAAGGCTAGGTTCATGACGGACTTGGCGTCGCAGAAGCCGGCGATTATGTTCTTCAGCTCCGGTCCGAGGTTCTCCAGTTTGCTGTCGCGCAAACCTGTCATTCTGCATGGTTATATAGATTAGCATTGACCTCGAAGGGGAGGGTGAGCAGTTGTAGTATGGTGTTGGTGTGGGTACATACCTGCCTCGAGCGGCTTTGGCAGCCTCGGCTGCAGTCATAAGGGACGACATAGCTACCTGGTAGGCAATTAGTGAGATTAAAAGCCAGGTATGCTCCAACCTAGTGATGTATGCAGCAAAGCTAAGATTATTGAGTGTTGAGTGTTGATGGTGAGATCAATGCTGAGTTTGCAAAGCGGCTGTCTTGACAAGGACTTTGCAATGCTGAGGTCTGGGGAAAGAAAGAAAACAAAAAGGAAAGGAAGGACAGCTTCCTTATATATTAGTCTGGAGAGGCTATTCCTGTGAACTCACTCACACAGTTACTTAAATGCGGGTCATGATATTGACCTTTTCAGACTCGTACCCCAGGCAACGATAGGGGCAAAATACAAAACTCCCTGGGCAGAGTCGATTTAGTGCTTCGAGTAACCATGCTACTCATAAACTGCTCGCATGTATCTATGCTATACGATGCTCCTAGGCCAAAATTTGCGGACCCTTATTGCTCTAATGGCATTGTCCTTGAACTGTGCCAGACAAAAGCACAGTAGCAGTTCTCCTTGTATCATAGACACCAAGTCAAAAAGTCACAATCTATTCCCATTGTCTCCTTGAAACAACTCGATATAGAGCACATAGCAACCAATGTAATGCTTTATTGCACACAGTCATCCATTAACGAAGAGTTATTTGCAATATCAGGTAACGTGACCATGAAAGAGAAAGCAACAAGAGGTTAACTTGCTCACGTGATACCCTTTAGCCCCACAATCTCTCGAACTCGCTCGAGTGCAATTCACGTGCTCCGCAATTATTAAATTCATTTAAACGGGATATTCTGCTTTTCTAAGTGCAACAATATGTGACTATCCAGTGTTACCTCATTTTTGATTTATTTACTCCACATTCTGGCAATTCCTTATGAATGGTCACGTGGATACCCTAACCTCATACATTTACCTACCAGCATATTTATCTACAAAGGTTTCTGGATTAAGGGCACATTTCATTCCTCCCTAATTACCGCTTCGATTGGAGTAATATATCCTATAGTCTTATTTTAAGGGCAATCCCCTACAGTTCGTGGAGTTACGTAGTGATTCGGGTGTAGGTAACAATGAACTATCTATAGCGATTGTCTTATTTGACTACCTACTCCATAGTGATCACACGAAAGAATACTCATCGGAAGCTACATAAGTTTAGAGCATTAGGCATTGGTTTCAAGTTAATCACATAGAAAACCAATAATTTGGGGGGAGGACAGTTATTGTATTAGAAACCGTCTAGTCGAGACTACTATGTGAGCAGTTTTGGTATTTTAGCTACAAGGTTATAGCTTTACCGGCGATAACAATCGCCCGTGGACAAAAATTCCGGGATCCAATGTCTCAACCAGTTGTCCAACAAACTCGAATCCCCATAACCGATCCGCCAGTACGATCCAGCCGACCTAGATCTAAGATCTGTCCCAAGGTCGGTCGCAGTCGCATCCGCCACTTTGTCTACCCACACTGGCTCGTCGCATGTCCTCATCGTCGAACAAGACACCAGTCGCCATGACTTTCATTGCCTCGCCCGTTGGCAAGGACCAGTTGGTCTGGTAGTCCAGCTTGGCTCGGTCCCAGAAGACAAATCCCCACTTTGTCAAGCACATATCGCACTTTCTGTAGATACCCTCGCTTCTGCGGAGAATAGGGTTCTCTACGATGCCCTCGATGAGGGTTCGGAACCACGCATCGAAAGGGCCAGAGTCATTCTCCAAGTAGCGTTGAGTGAGATGTTGGGTGAGAAGCGAGTAGTTGTTTGTTGCGCCATCTCGAATGAGCCATCCTTTGTCGTGAATGGGAAGACAAACTTCTGTTCGGTAGCGTGGTAGGGCTGGACGCCGGGTCGCCACGAAGGTGAGGTATTGAGGCAACGCGCCCGCCATCTCTTCCCGATAGATAGTTTCAAGATCGGAGCTGACCACGAACTTGGCTAGGTGGCCTTTGACTGGCGACGTGAAGGGCCGTACACCGTGGTCTTCCGACGCGACGTCATTTGCATGTTCGACCACTAGAATATGATTAGTCAGACTCGTTGTAGGGTATGAGGTAACAATTGACTTACCATTGTAGAGATGGTTCTCGAACATTGTCTCGATGCATCGCACCTGTTGATTTACCCAGGGCGCGAATACCTGGAAGAATCGCAGCATCACAGGACGCAGCGGGCGAGACAGAGCGAGGTCATCAGGGAACAATGCGCATGCCATCTGAAAGATGTACATTGCCCTCTTGAACCGCATGGCTTCGCCAGCCGATATGGTGGCGGCGTATGATGGGGTGGCAGGTAGTGTTTCTAGCCACGTTCCATTTGGCCCAAGTCGAATTTCTCGAGGGCTAGATTTCAAAGCCTTTTGGGCCAGAGTGCGCGCATAGTAGATGGCAGCCTCATGAAAGTCTAGAAGCTGGACCGCCTGGCTGAAGTTGATTTTGACCGAGCCGGGACTTCGGTAGTTGAATCCAAAGTGAAGATAGTGATCGATGAAGTTCTCGATTTCACGAACCACCGACTGAGGTCGCTCATTGTAGCTATTGAAGCGCCAACCAGTGCTCTCCGCCTTGAGCCGTGCGACCGCAAGAGGCAACAATTCAGGACCGATCGTCTTCATGAGAATCCCAGTGTTGTACCGGAATTCATGTGGTTTGATGAAGGTGTAAAGTCGCGGACCTGTCAAGGCAAGGTTCTTCAACGAATTCGGATCACTGAACTTCATTATCAAGAACTTCAGCTCGGCGGGCAGAGTCTCAAGATAAGAAGCTTGGCTCTCATCGTATCTACAATGACAGATATATTAGTCTGATTCTGAAGAAATGGCTTTGGTTGATGAAGAGGGTGAAAGTCTAAAACTTACCGGTCGATTGAGGCTTGAACAGCCATAGTGGCGGCACTCTGAAAGGCCATTGTATTGTATTGATCGATAGGTTTGTTTGGTTTGTTTGGTGATCAATGAATACTATGGACGGTAAGAGATGGAGCAGATCAGAAGCTGGTAAGGGTAAGATAAGTACCTGTAGTTTGTCTAAAGACAAGAATGGACTAGATGTTTCTGCACGTAGCAGAACTGTTGACTTGAGGGTATGGAAAGATACCCGAAAGTAGCAGTAGACAGAGTTATCTAGTGCGTGAATGATCTGTGGAGATAAGGGATTAAGGCCAACTAGTATGTTGTGTTTTTTCTTTTTCTTTCTTTTCTTTTCTTGGGAATAGAAAATTAGGATGGAGGAGAGAGGGAATGGAGGGAAAGTTGGCAGAAGTGTCCGTTTTATATAGTAGTTTTGGGAGAAAGAGTGATTGTGCGTTGGATCAGATCGAGATTTACTATTGTTGAGAATATGAATGGTAAATCGTTTGATTGGCCGATTATTTGAATGGTATAATGGTAAAATTCATTATTGAGTAGATTAAGTGAATGGTAACTAAGCAGATGTGAATGGTAAATGGTATAAATGGGATAGTGCGTGAGGCTTTTTGCGTAGTATAATCGAGAAATAATGGGTGAGTGATCCTAGGATGGCCTATGCACAATCAGAATGAGCAAGTTCAGAAAATCTTTAACGGCAGGATCACACAGTTTAGAGTATCCCGAGCAACAGTGCCAGGGTTCGGACCAACCCAACCCAACTACATCTCCGACCCCCTCTGGTGTATTACACTTACCAAAATTGCTGGTGTACACCAAAAGTGGGTCTCGCAAGCCTCGTCGGCGCCCTTACCCATACTATAGGTTGATGCTACTCCCAACCTCGCCGTCGCTCCCGTCATTGCCCTCGTCCATGCCATCGTGTAGCCACTGCCTAGACCATGCCGGTGGTACAGTAAGCATAGACCCTGTTAGTAACACCACCAAAATTACTAGTAAACACTATCAGTGGCTGTGTACTATGGCTAGTATGGCTGGTACCTACTATAAATACACGTTATTACACCCAATCTAATTATACGGGACATAAAAGTGTAATTGGGTAGATTTAAAAAGTAGGTCTGGTGTAGTTAGATTGGGTTGGATGTAATACACTTGGTGTACACCGGTGCAATAGCGTGTAGTTGGTCCGAACCCTGAACGACGAACTATAGTCACTATTTTGATAAGAGCTGCGTAGCGACTCATAAGAGACCAATTCATCATACAAAATGTTTAATTCATAGTCACTAGGTATAAGATCACAATCATAGCACAAGCATGAGTATAATATATGGGGGTGGGAAGCGTTGTATTAGTTCTGCTAGGTGTGTGTGCTACCTGAGTGGTTTATATATCTCGTTCATCCAATTTTGTAGGTGTCAGTTTATGACAAGAATACGTCAATTTATGACAATTTGCCAATTTATGGCAAGAAGGTGTCAATTTATGACATCAAACCATCCAATCTCCCCGAGATCACTCAGCAGTAGTAGCCAGAACTCCTCTCGAATCGCTCCGACCATGGGCGCTCGCAGTCGCAAAGGCCCCGCCCTCGTCCCCAAGTGTTTCGACGCAAGTCGATGTTGTCCACCGAAACTCCCGTCGCCAAGATTGCCATCTGCTCGTACGACACCAATCTGTTGTCTGAGTGCCAGTCCAGCTTCTGGCAGTCCCAGAATACGAAACCCCACTTTGTGAGGCAGGTTTCGCAGGCGACTATCGACTCGCTCCCATTGAGCACCACGTCGTCGATGTTTCGGTCGAGCAGCGTTCGGTACCACGCCGCCATGGGACCCTCATCGCTTTCCCTGTATTTGTTGGCGATGTGGTCAACCTCCAGAGACCAGTTGTTGGTGTGAGGGTTGCGAAGAAGCCACGCCTCGTCTTGGATTGGTAGCCAAGATTCTTCTCGGTACCGCTGGAGAATACCCCGTTGGGCTTCCACGACCTGTAGGTGCTCCAGAAGGTTGGCGCCCACGTCAAGTCTGTAGATGGTCGCCAAGTCTTGACGAATGACGAACCGCGACAGCATGCTTCGGCCCGGGCCCCAGGTGGGTTGGCCACGGAGCTTTACCGCCATGCTGTTGTCGACGGAGACCACTAGAAGATACGTTAGTTAGACATTCCAGGCTGGTTATTAAGTGCGGAGAGGAATAGTTAACTCACTGAAGTACAGGTGGTTCTCCAGCATTGACTGGATGCACCGGACTTGCTGGTTGACCCAAGGCGCGAACGACCTGAAGAATCGAACCATGACCGAGCGCATGGGTAGACTGGCACTCAATTCGTCGGGAAACAAGGCGCAAGCGGTTTCAAAAATGTACATCGCTTCCTTGAATCTCTTGTCTTCGGTAGGTGATATGTTCAGAACGTAGTCTGGCACCTCCATTCGCCGACTGCCTTGAAGTGCCGAGTACCGACCAGAATCCTTTCGGATTGCCCTTGGTCCACACTTGACCGCCTTCTCGGCCAGGGTACGCGCGTAGTATACAGCGGCGTTGTGGAATTCCAAGATGTCTTGTGCCGCAGTGAAGTTGAAGTTGTATGTGATGGCGCTGCGAGGCACTAGACCGGGTCGTAGGTACTCGTCGATGAATCGATTAATGTCACGATCCATCTTGTCCGGCCCTTGATTGTAGCCGCTAATTCGCCAGCCGGTACGCTGAGCACGGTGGCGCGCCACTGCCAGTGGTAGCAGGTCTATGCCAATTGTGTTTATCACGTGCTTGGTCGACATTTCTGTCTCGCGTGGCTTTATGACGGTGTACATGACCGGGCCGGTCAGAGAAAGATTTTTGACGTCGTTGGGGCCGCAGAAATCGGCAATGACGTATTTTATCTCATTGGCGAGTTTCTCCAAACGACTCATCTTGTCTTCGCGTACCCTACAGTCCCAGGCATGTTAGCCAAGCTTTGATGAAAGAAGGTTAGTGTTGGGCTCTGTGACGTACCGGCCAATGGCGGCTTCAATAGCCTGAACAGCTACGCTGCGAGAAGACATCGTGTAGTCTTTGTGTGATGACAACGATGGCTTTCTTATGTTGGTAGACGAGTAGTCAAGTAGGTTCTTGCTGTTGTGCTTGTGCTACTTAGCGTCTGGCAGAGAAGTAGAGGTTGACTGAGATGATTGATTGTGCGTGAGGAAGGGCAGTTACAGAACAATTATTATTGTTCAGAGATCTCTAGTTCTGTGCGAAAGTTATGGAAGAGAGAGGGAAAGGAGGGAAAGTTGGCAGAAGCGCCCGCTTTATATAGTAGTCCTGGGAGAGGGAGTGATTGTGCGCTGGATCAGATGGAGAGTTACCATTGTCGACAATATGAATGGTAAATCGCCTGATTGGCCGATTATTGAATGGTACAATGGTAATATTTATTATTGAGCAGAATAAGTGAATGGTAACCTGGCAGGTGTGAATGGTAAATGGTATAAATGGGACAGTTAGACAATGGGTGAGTGATCCTAAGGATGGCTCATGCACAATCAGAATGAGCAAGTTCGGAATATCTTCAATGGCAGGATCACACAGTTTAGAGAGTATCCCGAGCAACAGTGCTATATCTTACTCACCGGCACGGTCTAGATCCTAAGACCTGACGCTAATCAACCCATTCTCCCAGATCACCAGTTCCGAGATCCATGGCTCTTCGATCACTGGTTACAACAGGAAACATAAAAGGCAAGGTGTCGTTTCCCCGATCGTTGCCGAGGTTACGAAGTCTAAGTGGCGAAAAAAGGACAGATATAATCGTCTTAAAAGGTGATAATACCCTCCAGCGCTCCTACAGATAAGCGTCAGAAACCTGGAAAGTGTACATGAAAATGGAATCGATTAATTGGATGACGGTGTCTATATGAAGGAGAATGTGCCCTAATGCGTCTATATAACCAATATAGATTCTACCATGATAGCCCAATTATTTTAGAAATATGAGAGCCTGATGGTGTAGTTTTTGTAGTCTTTTACATTTCCTGTGTTGGCATCGAATGGCATGGCGTTGGACTTTGTGGGTTATGGGCTATAGGAAATCGGCCATCTTCGCTGCAAGGTTATAATTAACAGAAGGAAAAGTCTTGTATTTGATTGAAACAGAAAGATGAAAGTGACAAAGATCTAGTGTTAAGGATATGAGGTTTAGTTCATGAGGCTACAGTACGATTAATGAAAGCATTATTATAATTCTCTCCAGTCAATTATACTTAGGTTATATTTGGATAAGACGCTTGTATTCGTGAGGCTACCGTGAAATCGCTCATCTCTGTTAGCTAGGTAGGTGGCTATGATATGTCAACTGATGCTTCTTGTCGGCTAGGCTAGGCGTGTAGGAAGACCAATAACTGCGTGATAACTAATCGTACTCGTCATCAAATAGGCAGATACCGTCCTCTCTACAAGATATCGCGTCCTTGTAGTCGCGGTAGTCGACCTGTAACCCTTCTGAACCATCGACCATCTCCTCCAAAGTTGGCATATACCAATGTGAGTGCCAGAGTAGCTTATCTCGATCCCAGAACACGAACCCCCAGTGCGTCATACATCTCTCGCAGCAAAACATGCAGCAGAGCCTGAGTTCTTCGTCTTCCTCGTCGTCAGGCCCGTCTTCTTCGTTAAGCCCGAATAAGCCGTCCAACAAAGTATGAAGCCACGCTTCTTGGGGGCCCGTGTCAGTATCTTCGTACCTCGACAGAATTTGGTGGATTGTGAGACGGATGGTTCCCTGCTCCCTGATTTGGAGCAGCCAGTCCTTGTCACGGCACCGGAAGGGCACTTGACTTCTGTAGTGCTCGAAGTCTCTGTTCTGGCTCTCCATTCCCATTATGTAGTTCTTTATAGAGCCGTTAATTTCGTGTCTCATCATAACCCTTAGGTTTTGAGAGACCACGAACTTTGGCAAGAAGTCAAGGTTGGGTAACCATTGTTCCGTGCCGTTTTCCATCTCATTTGCGACAAATTCTGGAGAACAATTAGCCAGGCGTAAATTGAGTGAGGAACAGTTTAACTTACGACGCTTAAAGTGATCTCGCAACATAAAATGAATACACCTGATTTGCTGATTCTCCCACGGAGAGAATTTCATTTGGAGCCGTTTCATGACTTGTTTAAGTCCACCATCATTACTAGTCTGGACTGGAAAGATGCCACAGTAAATCTGGTGGATGTAGAGAGCTCGACAAAACCGGGCAAACTCTCCCTCTGTCACTGTCATAATGGCTCTGGGGAAGGTGGCATCAGGCGCGAAGCGTCGTGGCCCGCGAGTCACCGCACGCTGCGACAGAACATGGGCGTAATTTAGAACAGCCTCATGGAATGAGCAAAGATTGTAAGCCCATCCAAGCGTACGGTTCTCAAAGTCATTATCAGCTCCGATCAGGAATCGGTCAATGAATTCATTGACCTGGCGGCTGGTCTGGTCCGGTGTATCCTTGTAACCATGAGCTCTCCAGCCAGCCGCCTCTGCGCATCGTCGCGCGATTGCAAGTTGCATCAGCTCCTTGTTGATTGTTCTTCCCACAACCCTTGCAGAGAGTCTAGCCTCTTGCGACTTGATAAAGTTGTACAAGATTGGGCCCGTAAGAGCCAGGCTGATCATGGCTTCGGGATCACAAAAGTCAAGGATTATATCCATCAACTCGTTTGGTAAGAACTCAAGGCAGCTGGAGTTGCTTTGAGGCACGCTGAAAGGCCACGAATTAGTTAGACTGCTGTGGTATGGAATTAAGGGCTAAGAATGGCAGTGGTGAATCATAAACATACCCAGCCTTAGCGGCCTGAAAGGCGTCAGACGCGATCTGTGAGGGAGACATTGTTGTATGGGGTTGGTTGTGGATAGTAGGTGTCTGAAGGAAATATGAAAGTAGAGTGTAAAGATATAGAGGACTGAGAAAGTAAAGATAGTAAGTAGCAAGGTTGTTCTTTTGCTTAAGGGTTAAGTCAATATGGGTATGTGAGTTGGGGTTATTTTCGTATGTGGAAAAAATGTATTGTGTAGGGAAAAGTAGGAAAGAAAAAGAAAGAGGAGGAGGGAGGCTTGTTTATATATGTAGCTCGGGTGGGTCTGATCTTGAGCGATTTGGAAAGGGGCGAGTTGGTTGACAAGCAACCTGCTCGCGACTTCCTTAAAATATGAGCAGTATCTGCACAGTATTCGCGTAGTCTTAATTTTTGATTGGCTGGAATTGTTCATACTATGAAAGAAACTGATTTTCGCACTGGTTTGCTAGGCTGATTCCATAGGCAGTAAGTATATTTAGGAAGGAACATTGAATGCCTTGAGGTTAGTTTTTCTACCATTAGCTCTATGGCTGATGTATAATTGGTCCGTTCATAGGTAGTCAAGCTTTGTGCACTGAGAGCTTAAATTTGTGAATCACAGCGATTAAAGAAACTGTATACTGCCTACTAGGTAATCAACCATCCGTGTTCATAGGGGTTCATCATAACTCGAAGTATGACCCTAAACATTACAAGACATGAGGTTATAGTATAGCAAGAATCATACTCTCCAAGATAGGTATTCATGCCAAACTCAGATAGGTGCCGACATTAATGATTAAATAGTCGACGATTTCACATATTTGATAGTGACAAGCAAGCTGATGGCTGTCCTAAATGTTTTCAAGTTCTTCTATTTCTAAGCCAACTAGTGTTTAACGACTAGGTATCTACAAGTATCGGGGGCCAGAAAACAATCCAGTTGTTGACATGCCCATTACATATGCCTGCCTAGGTAGATACCCACACAAGTAGAATTCGGTTTGGCAAGTAATTGTTAGTGTGGTAAATAAAGGAGCAGGCAAATGGAAAGGGGATACAATCATGGATTTGTAGCTCCAATGGCCTCAAATCGGTTTCATATTCGTATCCAGCTAGGTCAGATACATCAAACAAACGTGCCACAAATAAATCTCATGAAATCTCCCCAACCCAACTGTATAGATGCTTTAACCTAATCGTGAGTGGTAAAAGATATATAAGTCCAAATACTTGATAAGCTCTCGAAATGGCCTTAGAAATGCGAAGCTTAGGTTATTTCAATCTTTCAAAAAGGCATCCCATCCCCTGTTTCCTCAATGCTTCTCATTGCGGAAATACTACTCTTCGTCATCCGAGCCCAGCGCTTCAAATAGTTCCAACCAATTTTCCAATCTCGTTTCGACGAAAGTATCTAGGTCCCACGGCTTGTCTGTTACAGCGCTCGGAGCACCAGCCCATATATACATGTCGGCTTCGACCGTGTCCTCAGTAAGCCTCCCTTGGTCGTCAACAAGGGACACGGTTACAGTGGTTGATTTGTAGGACATGCCTTCGAATTCATCCAGTTTTTGGCGCTCGGCATCCGCCCCAATCTTTAGTAGGTATCCATCTACTGTTGATTCTGGGTAGTGTTTCACCACTCCTGGGTAGTCACGATTTTTAAGTGAAAATCGAGCGTAGCCGTGTATTCTCGCGGGTCGTATAAGTTTAGACACGACTTCAGTGTTTGTAGATTTTCCTGTCAGTACCCATGAGAGAACGGGCATGGAGCGTAGAGTGCCATAGATGAACACTGGTCTTAGTCTTGGTGCATATGATCTTCTTGGCATGATTGGCGCTAACTCGTGGGGATTTTGAAGTGGATGGCTTGACATTTGCGAAGTATGTAAAGTGTGTGTGGTGTGTAGATGAAATCCAGGGGGAAACAGAGATGTTGGCTGGAGTAACAAATAGTAAACATACGTAGGTAGGTAGATATTTATATTGTAGTTACCGAGTCTTACTTATAGCAGAGTTCAACTTAACATTTACTGTGTGGCAAACTTTGCGGCTAGCCAAATACATTATTATCACTTAAAAGCTGTAAATAATAGAAAACACAATTAATATAACCAATAGGATTGCTCCTTTGGAGCATGTATATAAGTATTTAGTTACATAACTAAAGAAATAATGTCACGGGGCGAAACGTACCTAGAAAACGCAGAACAACATCATTGTCGCACGGCAACCCTCCGGAGACTACGGAAGCTACATGCACCTAGGGCCGTCCTTGTTCTACCTAATGCTCTGTATAGCCTTCTATAATTTCACTAGCCCTAGTATATTCCTTCAATCAGTTTAAGTAAAGTCGTAGCAATAAATGTATTTCGACTCATTTGAGCCGTCTTTGCTTGAATAGGGGTAAACTTAGTAGGCCTCACACAAGTTGCCCACTTTCAGATTGCAACAACATCTGTGTACAGACATTCAAACTTCATCTCATACCTCCCCTTACCATAGTTTTAGTTTAACCATCTGTGTTTGAGCTTCAGTCAAGGCAAAATCTACCCTCGGGACCATGAACCAATAGTTGATATAAGGAAGACACGTTACCAGAAGCTCATTACGTGAGTCGTCAGTCACGTGATAGTACCTTCAGAATCCGTTTGTCAGCAATAGAGATATTTATAAGCTTGAAGATATGTGGCCTTTCCTCTAGAAAATCACGTTATTCATGGAGAGATTAAGGGTGCTATGTACTTACTATGTAAAGAGCGGCACACATTATCGTGGTCGCCCCCCCATGCCCAATTCTCCCCTGTCCTACCATGTCCTATCCACCTTAGCCCCCTGATTGCTTACATAGAAGTTCGCTGTCTGATGTCACGTGGCGGGATCTAGCGGTAAGGCGTAGCACAACACTGCTGTTGCGCGGGGATCTTGAACATCTTCCCAGAGACTCTAGGGGCTACATCCATAGGTATACATGCAGTCTTTGTTCTGGATAGCCTCCCAGGTAGATCCGTGACACCTAATTCATCTAGCCCCCGAGGTCTCGTTCGTACACGTCTACCCAGGTTTCGTAAAGACGGGTCTTTCGCGCGAGCTTACTGGCATCGGCCCCGCTATCGCGAAGGTCGTTTTCGCGCCTGTCATGGCGCTTCTGCATATACCTATCGATGAGACGGGCGAGCGCCAGATCTACTTTGCGACTAGCGCACGCTTCCCGCCGCGCAGTGGCGGTGCTGAAGGCATTGCTCTAGTCGAAGGGGTCGGGAGCGCAATCGGTGCAGACGGAAAGCCTGGCGGTGGGGATTACTTGATAGACTATGAAGCCGAAGGAACGATCGAGAGGGTTCAAGCCCTTATTAAGAACCTAGTCGAGGATGGAACAGCCGAAAAGATATGGACGCACACCGAGGAAGAGTTTGTGCGAATTACAGGTAGCACGGCAGTGTGAAGCACGACGACCGGGTTGTATTATAATTGAGATACGATCAAGATCTAGTTCATGCTAGCTAAGACTTAATGAGAATCAAGCAATTTGATTTGGTCTGATGTCGGTACATCCACGGCATGCTGTCGCCACCTGCCACCGACTGTCACTATTGAACAGTCGACATGTAAAGACCGACTTCAAGTATCATTCGCTGACTAAACGCCAATTACTCCCCAAAGATTTAGCAAATAATCCATGATGCTTGCGCATTTTCCATCGTACAATCTTTTACCCAACCAACCATGATGCTTCTTCTTTCCACCTCACACGCTGATGCTTCTGGGTATACGTAAACAAAAGGAAACCAGCCCACCACCACAACAATCACATCTTATAACCCATCAAAACAAAGACTGTATCGCTTTTGTAACTCGGCCCCCGATTGTGGAGCCCGACCGCCCGGTATTGCCACTCCGCTCGGACTCTTCCGAGCGCCGCTGTTGCTGGATCTCGGTAACGAACTTGGGCCATGTGTTTGTCAGGACAAGATACTTGATGTGCGCCTGCGCGCGGTCGAACACGGAGACATCGAACGCGCTTGATATCTCTCCCGCATACTGTATCCTTCCCGCCATCTCGCCAAGCTCAATCCAGCTGTCGTCCGAGGAGGTACCATCACTATCCACACCACCATTGCGGGGTTGCTTGTCGACCGCAAATGGCGTGGCAGAATCTACACGCGCCTCGCCGCATACTATTCGTGCCGGTCGTTCGAAAATATCCTCCAGGTACTTGAGGTCTTTCGATGCCACGTTAATGGGGAACTCGGCATCGCGAGGACTGATGAAGTCGGTGTAGATCACCAACGCCCGCGTGAAGGCGTCGCGGATCTGGTCCTCCGTAGCACCTAGCGGCCACGCCGACTTCCAGGCAGTGACATTCGTGAGGAAGGCAATGTTCTCGCCCGAGAAATCTCTCAAGGCGGAGAAGTCCTGGAGCGGTCTTGGGTTCTCGTTCAAGACGTGGTCGAGCGCACTCATAGTGAAAAGGCGATCGCCGAGTTCCTTGTGCAGGACATCAATCGTCAGCCCCTTTTCGACTGCGGAGGCAGATTTCCATTCCAAAGAGCCCGAAGCTCTCAGCGTTGACTGTGAGGCAGACTCCCATTTAGCGTTGGAATCGGCCGCTCGTTTACGCATGATGTGATGTCTCACGACCAGCCAGCAAGGGACAAACACTGTGAAGACTTCGAACATCATAACGGAGAGGTGGATCCTAGTGTATTTACTATGTTAGCAAACACTTCGTCCCACGGGAAAAATGATCAGGTAAGTACGAGATGACTAACCATTCACTTGGTGAGAAGTATACATTGACCGGCGTAAATGCCGGCACGTACATGGAAATCAACCACATTGGTGTCGCATGAAGACTGAAAGGGGTAATTAGCAACGGAAACACCAATTCGGTGAAATAGGGGCTACTCACTTCGATAGACAACACCCAATTGTTTGAACACGCCATCCAAGCGTGTCACGAATACCCCATGCTTTATAGATCATGATGGGCGCTATCTATAGCATTCAGCGTTAGGTGCTTACTTCTCAGAGGCATATTCTTTTGACTTACTATCCAAGTCCATATCACCTGCCACAGCGCCGAGGGCCACCATTCCCATCCGCGACTCAGCTCTATCATTTGCTCGGCAATCGTGCTCGAAGTGAGCCCTGTGCCTGGAAGACCAAACGAGGGGTGGTACTTGCTACAAGCAAGCCACATGCCGACAGTCAGAAGAACCTAACCCGCCTGTGTTAGATTGAAGCTATTCTGTATTCAAACTTCACAGGCCAGACCTTACCTGAAGAATTATGCCCAGTCCTATATAAACCAAGATTCTCTTCGTGTAATCCATATTCCTCAGCCTGCATAGCCAAGAGCTATCAGCTCCATTGCACCCCGACTTCTTCTTCCGAAGGCCATTGGATTTGGTATACTGCTTCTGCATTTTGGCGACGTATAGGAAGCGCGTGTTCGAGGCGTGGAACACGGCGACGCCCAGCGGGAACCAGATGCCCATGAAGAAGTACTGGACATCGTATGCGGCGAGGACTGGGAGGGTCAGTCCGATGGGATAGGTGATCTGGGCGAGGATCCAGTACGCGTGGAGGAAGAGGATGGCAGTGAGCGACAAGCCTATTCCGCGGATTTTGAGAATGGGGTTCCTGCGGTTGATCACCAGGAACACCATCCCAGAGAGCAGGAGAAACGTCCATGTTGCGCAGAAGGCAATATAGAAAGTACCCACCTTGTCGAAGTTAGGCGGGCTCTGCGGGAGCGAATACAGGGCAGGTAGAGTTGGTTCTGCCATGATACTGAAACCTGTAAGAGCGTGAGGTGACTCTCACTTTGACCAACTTCAAATGAAAATCCCGGGAACCCCAGGAATCAAAACTCGTTTGACAACCCATGGCTCTCGAAGGTATTTGATTGAGGGCCCAGTAGGCCTGCGAAACGATACATTGAGGCATGAAGAATGCCAAGGGCACAAGAGCCGACCTTCATTTAACCCGCTAAATGCGCATCAGTGTCCAATTGTGCCTATGTTGGTGTAAGTTCTCGTCGATCACTGGACTATCGATGGTGTCCATATTCTTTTGATATCACAAAAAGAAAAGAAAAGAAAAAAAGACCGAGACAATGTATTGACTGGTCCCTGCGCAGAATACAGGTACCAGTGTCTTATCCCGCCTCCGCTCTAGCTCCTGATCAGGGTATCCGGGGGGCAAAAGGAGGCGTCTAGCTTCACCATCTGACTGGGACCCTGAGTCCCTTACTACGTAAACTCAGATACGCGGTCCAGGCCGCAGACCCTCGAATCGGCAGTTACATTTCCGCTCAAAATTTGGAACCCAATAGTTTCTTCGTAGACTACACTATAGAGCACCGATATAATATCGGTCGAGGGAAGAGTTGAAGAATGTGCTGATAATACTTAGAGGTATGTCACGGTGTTACTCTCTTCTTATTAATACCTACCTAGGTGTCGACAGGAAGGTATCGAAAAAATCAATAACTCATTAAACAACCGGCGAGAATTTGAATAGAGCCAGCCACGATAATCAACGTCCCCAAACCCATTGACTATCTGCTGCTGTCAGAACTTTAAATGAAGAGACATGGGGTAGACGCCACTTGCTGTACACACTCTCTGCGTAATCGATCACAGCTCGACGCCACCGACTCTCGAGTCACAGGCCAAGAAAGAAGCAAGACACTTTGAAATGGCTAGGTACCTACTTGGGTACTAAAGAGGCGAGTGAGGGAACATTGAGACCGGATGAGGACGACCCCTTCCTATCTAAGACATTTCGACTACTTAATACGTAACAGCAATAGCGAACAGAAAACCATTTTAGGAATGACTCACTTATTAACCCGTAGGAACGTGTAAAAGGTGAAAAGATGAAGAAAAAGAAAAACGTCCAAGAAAAAAAAGGAAGAATGCTTATTTGTAATAGGAGTTTTCTGATAACGATAACTTGATGTCACTGGGACCAAAAGCACCCCCTCCTTTCTTAGTGGCAAAATAAATGGCAGCGTTTCGTCCGCCGCGTCCTACTTTAACGTTACACGTTCCCAGATTTCAGTATGATATCATATCCGGAGGTTGGTGTAAACAGCTCTTCAATTCCCCAGCGTATAATGCCAGGTTAACTTATCACTCAGTTTATGTGTACCTAGTAGCACCGTCCTCCTTGAGCAAACCTAACTCCATTCACTCTTCCTATTCCATATACTTCTTAACCAGCTTCTGTGACAAGTCCCACAGCATTTCCGCCTCAACAGGACTCGTTGCCCATGCTCTCAGGTCATCCCTTGAGGGTTCAGCGAGGCGGCATTGCAGGAAGTAACCACCGTTATAGCCTACGCGTTGTGAATGCTAATTAGTCATACGAATGCCCAGTTTTGTATAAAGGGGTAAATAAAGCGGGATAAACACTAATTAGTGTCAAACAAAACACATACTCGATAAGTTTGGATCAAAGGCGACATAAACATAAGTCGCCGCGCCTTCGTCAGGGATCTGAAAGTCGAAGTCACTTTTCCAGCCTTGGCCATGGCCTAGCATACGATATGTCCTCGCTACTCTGCGTATTAGCCTCTGCTTCCTAGGACCGAGCTTGCAGTAGCGATGGGTATCTAGGAGAGAGACTCACTCATCTCAGTATAGAGTAGAGACAGATCGAGGTGCGAGGCGAGATTAGTCGTAACGGCGCCTGGATGTACGCTAAAAGCGCGGAGGTTATGCTGATCGCCATACTTGCTAGCGAGCGAGATGGCCATCAGCATATTCGCCGTCTTGGACTGTCCGTATGCTATCCACGTGTTATACACGTCTTCGTCCTAGATCCACAGTATCTACGCATCAGCCAGGTTTTTTAATAGAAACACCTTTTTTTTTTTTTTTTTTTTTGAGGGCGTTAGGGACCTCCTACGCGAAAATTAGGGTCATCAAACCGAATCGGGCTAAGAATATGCCCGTCGCTGCCCGCATTGACAACCCGCGGAGCATCCGAAGCCAAGATCTTCGGCATGAGCAGATTCGTCAGCAAGAACGGGCCTAGATAATTCGAGGCAAACAGGTTCTCGAACCCTTCGTCGGTGATCGCCCGGGGGCCCCCGCAAGTCCCGGCATTGTTGACCAGCACGTCGATGCGCGGGACATCTGACCACGCCAAGATAGCATCCGCGGCGGCGCGCACGGAGGCCAAGCACCCGAGGTCTACGACGCGCGTGCGTATGTGGGTGTGTGGCGATAGCTCCTGGATAGCGCGCGCCGTCTGCTCTGTTCTTTCGGCGTTGCGGCCAAGGAGGATGAACATGGAGGGCTGCATGGGCGCGAGGGCTAAGACGAAGGCGGCGCCGATTCCGCCGGGGGAGACGCCGGTGACGAGGATGGTTTTCCCCTTGATGGCTGAGGAGTACTCTCTAGCGAGGCCGCTGGCTGTCTTCTTGGCAACATCTTTTTCTGGCATGGTGAATATCTCGAACTGAGACAATGCTAGGTAGCGTAGCTGCTTGATACCTAATGAAACATACAAATTGAAGAGAATGAGAAGTCAAGGGATATATACAGAGCTTACCTAGAACTTACCTAGTACTTAGATTGTTTATCACATCTCTTGTCATCAATGAAAAGACGGACTTAAGTTACCTACTTGCCGACTAACTCCTCCCTTGCCTTCCGTAACTAGTCCAGTATCTCGGCATCTATCATGCTCTCACATGTGTATATACCCAGGAGTAGACAGCCATGGACTACCTACAGGGCACCGAATCAAAGAAATCAAGCCAAAGAAAATTAAGAGGTATCATTTCGCATTATTCTAACCGTTTCTACATTGCTCAATCGAAGAATCAGAGCTCTAACTAGGTATTAGGTGCTGTAGGTAGGTAAGGCAAGGTTAGTGGGTTATCCAACATCAACCTGCCCCCCCTCTCTCCCTCCCTCCCTTGACAAAACCCCCGAACAAACAAACAAGCATAGCTTTTTCTTTTAATTAAAAAGAAGAAGAAGAAAAAGCAAGCAATGAGCTTTCTATTTAGAGTACATGGATATATGTTCATTCATACCACCCGGCCAGGCCCAGCAGGCCAGACCAGTATCCACCATCAATCATCACCAAAAAGCGAAAAACCCCTAACTCCACACGAGACAGACAGAGACGTACGCGTCGTTAGGTAATTAACAACCCTCGCCCCAACCCCTTCCAAAATCCCATTTCATCCATCCATCCCACATCACCCGACCGGCCTCCGCCCCCACTCCGATATCCCTCCCCCCTTTTCTCCATTTCGCCGTCCATATCGGACTATATTGCCCTCCCGGCTCTCATTATATAAGAGGGTATCTCTGAACCATCATCACAAAAACCCGAATCATAGTCGCCTCGCGTCGCCCTCCTCCCCCCTTTTTTTTTCTTTCATCTTCTCTCTTACATACCCCAGACACCCATACTTAAGGGGCTTACATAGGCATTCCACAAACCACCCTCACGACCTACTAACACTACTCCCGATACTACTCATCGTATCGGAGAACTTCTCGCTAATCTTGCTGCCCCAACCCCCCATCCACTCCGGAATCTTCAGGCTGATCCTCACGCGGCCCTCGACGACCATGTTGATCGCATTCAGCACCGCGAACGTCGTGCTGCCCAGCGCCCTGAACAGCGCCAGCGCCGCGACCGACCACAATATGAAGGTGAGGTAGAAGTTGCTCCCCACGTCCTTGTACCCGTACGCCTCGCTGACCGCCATGGCGAGGATGGCGTTGGCGACCATCCAGATGACGACCATGTAGGTGCGCACGCTCTTGTAGTAGTCCTCCTGCATCTGGGCCTCGGAGGGGGAGGGGACGGGGACCTCGACGCGGTCGCGCAGGTTGCGGAGGGCCTCGTCGTAGCCGGAGTCGATGTCGAGCTGCTCGCTGGGCATCTCCAGCTCGACGAAGGAGCCCTTGCCCACGGCGCCGCCGAGGTCCGTCCGCATCACGTTGTCGCCCTTGGTGCCCCACGTCACGTCGTGCGTGTTGCAGAAGGCGTACACCTGCAGCGTGCAGATGTAGGATGGCAGGAGCAGAAAGTACTGCGCGGCGCTCGTGAACATGTGCCAGGGGTCGAGATACAGGAAGCTCATGAGGAAGTAGAGGCCGACGGTCGACGCGGTCGACACGATGAGGTTGGTGAAGACGTTGTTGCCCATCTCGATCTCGGAGGCCTTGACGGTGTGCACAACGATAAAAACGGTCGCGAAGGTCGTGTACACCATGATGATGCCGTAGACGATCATGCTGAACATGTAGAGCTTCTTGGCGCCCTGGGGGCGGTTGCCGAGCGAGATGATGAACTGCATGCTGATGAGCAGCACGCACGTGTACCGCAGCACCGTGAAGATGTACAGCGCGATGTTGTGCCCGAACGGGTCGACGGCGGGGTCCGTAAGCCCGCCGCCGATGAAGTAGAAGGCGAGGTAGAAGTTCGCGAGGGAGAAGTACGTGAATAGGAGCTGGAGGAACTGGTAGACGAATTCGATGTGCAGCAGGACTTTGCGGGCAAACGTGTGGTCCGTCGTCCAGACTTGTTTGAAGTGCACGAGCGAGTACACGGCTGCGAAGAACGCGCCGTTGAGCCACCGACGTCGTTGTGATATAAATTCTGGGACGGAGTCTAGTGGTGTTCTGGTTAGCTTCTTTCTTCTTGAATAAATTTCCGATTTTATATGCATGCCAACTTACCAGGCACGTCCGTCTCTCCTGTGCATCCTTTGACATATTTCAACACCCACCGCTCGTTTCTCTTGGCGATTAGTTCCCAACACAAGATACGGTCTTCGGCGAGGTACATGTTCGCCGTAAACACATCAGCATGCTGGCCATGCAACGTCTCTCCCTTGAAATACTGGCTTAGAGGTCCGTGGCCTGTCTCATCGTTCTGCAAGGCGTGATACCGATAGGCGCTTAGAGCACCAGGCAAAACGGTAATGTACCCAAATACCGATTCAAGGGGCTTGTCCATGATATTCGACATCTTGTACTCGAAATTTTGCGATGCGACGAGCGGGTTCAGGAGGTTGCTTCCGAATTTCCCCTTCATGGCCTTGATCTCGCCACAGGCGCCGGCGACGTTGGAATCCGTGTCGAAGGCTTTCCAGAGATGGTACAGCGAGTTGGTACCGGGTCTCGTGCCCACATCCAGCAGGATACAGACATTGGGGTTAAGAGCCTTCCCAAAGGCGTTGAAGAACCAACGATGCGAGTTGAGCTTGCGCTGATTCCTTTCCTTGAGACAGAAGATCATCTGGCAAGGCACGATGCCCTTCTCGGCGCCTTTGAACTTGAGGTCTGAGTCTAGGGAGACCTGGGTGGTGTATTCGTACACGTGAGCCTGCACGGCCTTTTGGTTGACGAAGTTCTTGGCGATGCCGTGCTGGTAGACGCCCATGGCGGCCAGCGCATCGAGCGTCCTCGGGTGCACTTTTTCTCGGCCGTCGGAGACAATGCAGACCACGATCTTCTCCCAGCCGCTCTCGCCCCACGTTCGCGATTTATTGCGACCGCAAAAGTGGCTCACGTTCTTCATGATGGCGTGCATCGTGCGGGTAAAGTCGATCTCGTCCTCGTTGTACATGGTGACACAAATAAACAGCTCCGTCTCCCGTGCTGTCCGGCCGATGTTCTGTCGCAACTTATACCCCTTATCCACAAAATCGTCCGGGTCACAGGTGACGGCCGTGTACCGCATGTGCGTGAACTCGATCGCGCTACGACGCGGCAGGAAGCTGTACAGTATCGTAGGGATCTTGCACTCGAGGATCAGCTCACCGTTGATCAGCTGCACCTCCTTCTTCGAGGTGACGGGAGCGCGCACGCCGCGGCGCTCTTGCTTGCCCTCTGGTGCGGCACCGTAGTGCTCCACTTTCTCGTCGTAGGGCACCTGCGAATCCTCCTCGCTAAGGGTTACTTGCGATTGCCCTGCGTACGAGTCCCGGTAGACGCCTGAGCCGCTAATATCAGACTCCGGTCCGAAGACATCGTCCTGGCCATCCAAGGGAATGCTAACTGTCGCGTCGTCGGCTGTATATGTAGAATCTCGCGTCCGCGTGGTATACAGAGGTGCACGAGGCAATGGTCTGCGTGGGCTGCCGCCGTATCTAGAGGATGGAGTGCCTGGTCGGGGGCTACCGTTGAGATCTGCTGGTTCGTACTGTAGATTGGAGGGTGGCGGTCGCGTATAGTCTGATATTCCAGACATCCTCGAGGATGCAGTCCAAGGCCGTGGGGAATCATTGTCCCGTGATTGGTATGGATCGTATGCCGACTCTGTCGGCGCGAGATGTGGTGGGTCAAGAATCGAGGAGCCTCGCGAATTAGTCGATCTTATCGACGGTTGGTATACGCGGCGGGGTGTCGGACGTATGCTATTAGGTTTCTGTGGTGAGCTCTTGTCATCTGAGGTGGATGTTTTGGTAAGGGATTCATTTTTGCTGCGTTTGCTTGCTCGTTTACAGAGAAGAGAACTTCTTCTCGGTGACGGTCCTTCGGGTATTGTAGGCAGACTCTCCTTCAACTCCTCTGGAGTCACAATAAAAGGCTTCTTCTTTTTCTGTAGCTTTACAGTATTCGCGCGCCTTGCGCAAGGCTTGGGCTTGGACGGAGCGTTATCCGCTGGTGTAGATGACTAGTCTTCACCAGGCGACTTTGTCGTCTTATGCGCTTCCTCTTGCTGCTTAAGCGAATTCAGATGCTCTGGGGTCGATACTATTCTGACTTTCTTATTTTCTTCTCGTCCCTCTCTCTTGATATCCAGTGGGGAGGGCATGAGACTGGCAGATAATAAAGCTCGTTCTGGCATTGTTGGGAGTACATACGGTCCAGTGTCTGGAAGTGCTTCTTCCATGGATGTCAGCAACCTCACTGCTGCTGGGTTTACTCCTGAGCTTGGTGACAAATGGTCATGATCGTCATCGTAGTTGGGTAGGGCGTAGCCAGGCGGGCGAGGGGGAGTGTTATCCATCGCGAATTATTGTCGGCCAAAATGCCGAAGAACTCGTTTCAAGACACTGCACTGGAGGATACAATTATTAATTTTGGAATACTTCGTATGTATCAAGAAAAATTCGGTGTGTTCGATTATCGGCGCTGGTTCAGTTAGAAATTGGATGTGAATGGCGAATGGATTCAAGATGTATAGTGAATTGGTAAGTAGATACAATTGATACAATTGATACAATTGTTCCCAGATATTGAAGAATACGGAATACGGATTGGCGAAAGTGAAAGTTGGGAGGGTCAACGGTCGCGAATTGAAGTTCAATGGTATCACACGGTGTAAGGAACCTAAGGGAAGCACAGTTGATCCTCAGTGGGTACCTTGACCAATGCCTCCAAGCCTTCCAAGGTAGCTGGGAGACGCTAACAAGAGCTTTGTTGTATGTGCAGATGCTAGATGGCGTGGCCTTATGGCGTTGCCCAGCAACCACAGTTTGAGCCCCGAGATCCCCCACATCCAGCGGCAACGCGTCTTGGCAACACTTATTTAGTAGCCTGTCCCGACGATCCCTCTTCTCCATTGCTATGTAGTAGCCTACGCATTATTTTCCTATTTTTGTATAATTTCCTCTACAACCGGATTTCGGCCATTTTATTGCTCATGAAGGCTAGCCATTTCGTACATATCTCAATAATGCAAGAAATCCGAGGTACATGTAAGGGTACATGTAAGTGATGGGTCGCTGTTTATGTTCAATGTTGTGTGAACTCCCCTTATGCCAATGAAAATGCAGCACTAAGTCGATAGGTTAGGGCACTGTGACCCGAACCCGAATTCTTCAAAACATGGAACTGTATGTAGATCAAAGATCGTTTACATGCCCCATATCTGTCTCCAGCTCTTTTCGTCGCGTCCAAGAGGGGCCTTGGATACGCCAAATCTTGCGGGCTCTCCTGAGTTAGCTTCAGGCAAACATATCCATTCCCTAATGCAATCGGGTATTTCCTCTCGGATATGGCTAATGCATACAAGAGCTTGGTGGTCGCTCAATCCTCCGACCTTAATAGTGCCCGCCTTGGATGCTTTGCTATCGACGATCATCTCAGAGCCATCTTCGTGTTTTGCATAAGTCTTTCCCTCCCCATTTTCGAGGAAGAGCAAGCAGCGGTTTCGAACACCGTCGTCCATTCCGCTACAAGCTTCGTCCAAGACAACGATGTCCGGTTGCTTAATGATGGCCCGCAGAAAAAGCGCGACCCGCTGGGCAGAGAAGGGCAGTTCTCCGAACATGTAGTGATCCGCCCACTTCGAATCGGCGCTTAGATCTTCAGACGATACTGGCTGCGATGGCCTGACGTAAGACGGATTCAACTCCGCCTCGAACCACCGCAGACAAGCCTCAACTTTCTCTTTCGATGGATCGTCGAGCTTGGCTTTTGACCGGAATGTGTCGGCCCATGCATTCTCAATCACTTGTCTGACGGTAAGGCTTCGGGGCATGTGTTGATGAATCTCAGGACTAGAATGGCCAATTCGCGATTGAATGTCCCAGAAAGTCAGTGGCAGCTCACCGGACCCTGGTTCTGGTAATCTACTTCTGCCAAAGAGTCTTATAGGGAGTGAATAGGTTTGAGGATGGTCCGAACAGATAAGAGACACGATCGTGGTCTTGCCTGAACCGTTGGGCCCAAAGACACCCCATCGCTCTCCCCGACGGACCGTCCATACAAGACCATCCTGTTTGTTCCCATTGGCATCCTGGCTCCAGTTTCCTAGAGCGATCTTCCCGCCGTACTGCACCTTGCATCCCTTCATCTCTACAACAGGTTCTCCAATATTTCTCAGTGCACCTGCGTTTTGAACAGGCGAAGCGTCGTCTGATCGTGAGGCTTCTTGGCCCATTAGAGGTTCTCCGTGTATTCCCTTGATAGTCAATGTCCTACCCATCTGAACTAGATTATGCACTGGTAATGTTTCATCCTCCTTCGACGTCCCGTTCCATACGCGTTGGACATATTGTCTCAATTCGTCCAACACCGCTTGTTTCTCCCCCATGACTGCTATCTGGGAGTTACCCCTTAAGTAAACCAGATGCGTGATCCAGTCCGGAATAGGGTCCTGAGGTCTTGCACTCAATACCAATCTAGGGTTAGCTTTGCTTGCGAGGCCGTGCAAGAGCGGGCTCAACCCAGCCACTGTAGGCGGGTCGAGGCCCATGAATGGTTCATCCAGTAATAGTACCTCTGGTGCAGTCAGAAGAGCTCTGGCAATCCTAGCTCGTCGTCCCTGTCCATTACTTAAGAAGGCAACAGGGAGGTCGAGCAATTGGGATAGCCTCAAGTCTCTTACTACCCGATCCAATAGACTTGGATCCAGTTCCTCTTCAGGTGAGGGCTTTAGGGCGTTGAGTTCAGTGTTACCCAACAGGAAGTCCCTCAGTGAGAAGTCGGTTTTCTCACGCTTAGACTCATACCTAGCAGAGAGATATGCCGAAGTAGTGACACCGGAAGAGAAGCCATCATTATTGAATCCCACATACTGAATGGCTTTTTGCGGTGACCTCAACCTATGAGGCACTGCATCTGTAGACAGATATGGATAGCTCCTGGCATTTGGAGGGATGCAAAGGTGACTACCTCCAAGAAGCTGCAGAAACGTCGTCTTCCCGCTCAGAGAAGGGCCGACTACATACCAATGTGTTGGTGGTTCAGTAGTAGAGGGTACTGTAAAGTTCAAATTCGTAAAGAGAGCCGGATTGGGGAGTATGGAATTTGCATTGGGGTGGTGACGGTAGAAAGTTCCATTGGCAATATTTATGACGGGAGGACGAGCCGATAAGAAGCGCATGGCGTTAATAACTAATTCCTAACAGAACCTCTTAATACCTGGGTATCTAAGAAGGGTAATGCATTCAAAGCTCTATAAACCACATTTTGTGGTGAGTCAACTTCAATAACATATTCATATATTCAATCCGGATGTAATTCTCTATAACGAGGTACTAGTACCTAGTACTTTGGTATATCGGCGTTAACGGGGTTCCACCGTTCCAAGTAACTCCAATGTATAAAACGCATGGACCACCTAAAGCGGTGCACTTCAACGTCTTGGCAAGGCTCCAAACACGAAAGCTCCTGGCAGCCTACTAAATATGGGTGTACATACTACTACATAGGTAACTAACTCTTAAGCTTTGTTCCAAGCTTCAACATCTACAACCACCTGCCAACCCATCATTCAACTACCACCACCTCGCCCAAAAAAACTTTTTACGATCTCGGCCTGTGGAAGAAAAGAAAAATATCGTCAAGTATCCGAAAACAAAAAAACACAGCCAAAGCTTTAATCAATCCCTCTAAGCAACCGCCAAGATGGTACGTCCCAACTTCCATTACCAGCTTCCAGCTATCGTCTCCTCCGTCACATCCTTCTGACTCTACCCCTCTACCGCTCCCATTCAACACACACACACTAACCTTCTCACTCCCTACCCATCCCATCCCATCCCATTCCAATAATGGCCCAGTCCAGTAACTAACCACCTCCCCAGTCAATGCGCATCGTCCCCCCCGCCGACTACAGCAGCACCTACAAAGCCGTCAACACCTCTGCGCCCTCCGCCCCGGGCATCCACGACACTTTACGCCACGGCGTCGGGCCCTCCTCCCTCCCCGCCGACCTCTCCACCTCATCCTCCTCATCCACCCCCCCGGTATCCCGCCACCCCCTCGAGTCCCGCCTCAAGGCCTGGGAGTCGACGCAAGAAGCCCTGCGCATGGAGGTGCTGCGGCGCACGTACGGGATCGCGGAGCCCATCCGGCGGGGCATGGAGCTGCGGATCGCGCGGGACGGCGAGTGGCGGCCCATGGCGCTGGGCGGCGGCCCGGGGATCCCGAGCGTGCATGAGGATGTGCTCCGCGGGCGCGAGGCGACGCTTACGTGGGAGGATGTTTTCACGGGCGAGGAGCAGCGGGGTGGGGTTTCGGTGCATGATGAGATGGAGAGGAAGCTGAAGATCTGATGACTGGTCGCTTATCCGCCACTTGCCTATCATTTGAGCTGTCTCCGGGGAAGAGCATAGGGAAATGGTGGGTGGGTGGATAACATGGCATGGCATGGCATAGAAAACTGGCCGTGTCTGCTAGTTCACAACCGATCATGATTAGGAGGTTGAGGTCTACTGAGCCCGGCACACGTACACTGAGGGTATTCAATACTACTTCTTCTTTCTTTTACGATACAGTCATGAATACATCAAGGATTAGACAGCCCAGAAGAACAAGCAATCATCTCATCCCACTTTGCCAATCATCATAAGCCAACTTTTTTACAGTACCACAAAGTGATAAAACTGATGTTTGAAATGCTCACAATATATATATACCTAACCTAGGTATATATCCATGATATTCCATAACATGTACAGAAAACACCAGTCCCGGAGTGACCAAACTATCATCTCGTATGGTCATCACGACCAGTGATAGATAAGAGTGCAGCAGGTACTATAAACATAATAAGATGACAAGTGCGCCGGATATTTCGGCCTGATTCTCCTCTCCCAAGTGCTATACGAACGGAAAAGGATACCTAAATAAGCACCAACAATGGAAACCAACCCGTCGAGGCATCTCTCACCCCAACCCCTCTCCCCTTTCCCACCAAGAGCCCGCCTTTATGTATTCCAGGGCACAGAGACAGAGACAGAGAAAAAAAAGAAAAGGCTCTCCGTTTAGACTTTGCCACAACGCAATAATGTGAACGATACGCTTTCTCCTAATAGCTCTCTCGCTTCAATCTCAGCTGGCTTTAAATCAAACCCCGTTCGCGCCGCCCGATGCCCAAAACTAGATTTGCACAATCAATTCCAACAATAGATGCCCCCCCCCCCCTCCCCATTGCCCGTCTTTCCCGTACTTGTATCCGGCCTTTTAGGAGAGCATATCTAGTGAAATAGGGTATGAATGATACCGCCGCTCCGAAAGTACCTTTTCGTTAACTCAGATTAGATGAAGGATTTATATGGGATTTCCCCCCAATTATACGTCGGAAAAAAGGAGATCGCGTCAGATCATAAGATGACACAGCATCCACTACGACCACGACTACTCCCTGAGTCCTTGACTTTCTTAGCTGCTTCCTCGTCATCTATCCATTCTTGGGGCTTGACAGTCATGTGAACAACCTTTCTGGATAGGGTGAAGTTATAGTCTACGAAGAGTCAGTGTCAAGCCGCTATGGTCGCATTATAGTTTGAGCATTAAGAGGAAAGGGTAACGTACGGTTGAGTTGGTTCCGATCCTCTAATTCCTTGCCAAAATGGATAAGCCTTATAGCGCTGGGTTCTCTGGGGGGTTGATCCCATTCCTTTCTCCAGTCTCTCAGTATCAACTCCTTAAGTGTGTACACCGTGATGCTAAACGGGTCCATTTTCCCATCCTCGGTTTTGCCTGTAACAGTCACGTTCCGTTTTGCTAAGTATTTTTCATCGATCCGAAAGGGGTGACGTCCACCAGATGTCAAAAGAAGTTCGATATCCACCGCAAGTTCGTTATTCGTAGATGCATCAGTCTCGGTCGCAGGTACGATGGGGTCTACTGTCAAGTCTTGTACATCATCGGTGGCCGGAGCCTTGCCGCGAACTTTTGCTGAAACAGATTCATCGACTGGAGGGTCCTTGTCGGGTACAGGTATCGGGGTTGGTGAAGACTCGGTATCGTGACTTTGGGATACTGTGGTTTCCGGATTCGTATCTGGATTGGCAGATTTAGGTTCGACTTGTGACAGGTCTTCCATCTCGACGTCGCCAACGGGCTGATTTATTGACACTTTTTCTTCCTTGGCGCCTTGATCTCCACCTGTAGAGAGAGGCGTTGCATCCGCCATAATTTAATTGCAACCAAGCCTAAACCCCCGTATAAAAGGATGTCAATCGCGATATGGCGTTTTGTCTTGTCAAGTTAACGTAAATAACTAGCCAGCTGCGCGCAATTATGGGTGGGAGCGGTAAAAGTAAGCAGGAAACGAGTGGATGTCAGCGGCGTGGCGGGCGAACGTTTCGTAAAAGATTGCCGAATTATTGGACGCAGGCGTGCGATTGGGATGATGGAATGTTATTTGTCGCCTTCGCCTATTACAGTCATGGAAGATGGGAGAGCATGCAATGCAAGCCTGTTACTGTGCTGTGGAATACGGACAGATCGCATGAAATGAATGCAACAAACTAAGTACCCTATCTAGGTAGGGAAGTTATGTCAAAGAAAGAGATGGATTGATAAGAAATTAGTTCCGGACGAACGAAAACGAAGAAGAAGAAAAAAAAGAGAAACGACGACAGTGTGACTCCAGATTGACACAGATTCAAGCAGATTGGTACAAAACAATGTGGGAATTGCAGCGTGTTGCTGCTAGTGATACCGTAATGATGGTGATGATGTTATGGGTTCGGGTCTAGCGGATGAGATTGGCGGGTTTCGTAGATTGAGCCTGCAGGTGAGAAGGGGAAGGGAACGTAATTTCAGGGGGGGGACAATTGGATTTTCAAGGACAAAACAAAAAAAAATCCATACTATAGTTAACAATGTTAAAAAAACATTAAACAAATGAAGATTTGTTCTCGAGTTTCAAATTTCGAAGTTTCGAGTACTCCGAGTACAAGTGACAGGCGGGACGACACGATATTAGCACCTGAGAATTATGTATTTTGCCTTTCAACGAGAATAAGCCATCGAATCATAATCGATGGATCTACTTACCAGTCTGCAGTAGCAGAACACTCTATTATTATTTTTATTTTACATACGAAGTACCTAGTTAGTACTACTAAGTACAATGTAGGTAGTCTGCATATATGTAGGTACACCTACAATACATTCATGGCGCTTGAGTAGCCAGGGGTTTCAAATGTAACATTATCAATTAATGTTCCTTTCAATGTTTAGCGATTCCCGCCAGACTCAGTGCTGTTTTAGAGGTTCAACGTTAGGTATGCATGTACCTACCTAAAGGTACATTAATAGTCCATTAATGATTAATAGTCTTGTCGATGCCCTTTATTTCGGTTGGTTATTGCCTACCTAGGTACCTACCCAATACGATACTACAGTGAGTATGTGCGGTGACACATATGGACCTAGTACTGTATTGTACAGGTGCATACCATGCGGGGACAAGCCCCTACACTATCCTCTGACACGGGGAAGAAGCAAGGCAGATGCACCTTTAAATTTGCGTGGAACTTCAGAGTTTAGGTAGTGTATGGAACCTCCCAACTTAAAATGGCATTAATCCAACTTGAGTACAATTTATTAGGTACCTAACCTAGACACTTCAATGTTGTCTATCACATGTACCGTTGACGCTTACTACATAACTACACTTACAAGAACATACAGCATAAACTTCTCTTCAGTGATTTCTTCGCCTTTGTTCCATTAGGCACCTACAAGAAGCAACAAAGACAGCATTTCGATATCGGATTAATAACAGTACCCCAGATTAGCGATATTTACTAGTAATAATAATGGGTGGCAATAATATGGGGATACCGAAGCTCGGATCTCATTACCTTACAAGGAAAGAGAGAAAATGAACATTGAAGGTATGTACATGCCTACCAAATGTTATCGTCACCCATGTACGCCTCGGAAACCATCTTGGTTTAAAAGTTGGGTTGTATCCGTTTAGGTAAATCAACCAAAAAGCACCAATACTGAATTGAGACATGCGCATTCCGTCTTGCTACTTGCACACCTAGGTATTATCTGTGTGGTAAATTCGAATATCAGTCAGGTCAGAAAGGTCAGAAGACGTCCTCCTCGTGACCATTCATACTTATCATCAACAACTTCGAAGTTACATCGAGTATTTGAGTTTCTACATGAACCATCGTAATCTAGAGACCTCTTCTCCTGGCACGGCATACTCCCCCGCCTTGGCAACAACCAATTGTTCTTCTTTTCTTCCCCACACTCCACGCTCTGGGCTGAAGTCGAGCACGAAAGAAAGTGACCAAGCCTTGGTAGAATACTTCGATTCCAAAGTATGGTCTTCTTTGTATGACGATATCCTTTTCGAACATGCATGTTGTAGTTTTGACGAAGTTCTTTAAAAATAAAGCATAAGACGCACAGAATTTTGAATCCTCCACTAGTGCATCCATGTATGTATGAAATTTAGACTCTTAACGCTGTCAACGTCACCTAAACTCAATATATACCCTGTCACACCAAGCAACTCTTAACCGTTTAACTATTTAACTTGAATGCTAATCCCAAAATACAGAAGTCATCCGTCACTACCCTAGGGTAGACACCTGGTCACTCGGAAGCCTAGCCACTCCTAGCATATACACCGCTGCTTAGTCATTATTGGCAAGCCCGGTATATACTAGTAGTTATATCGGCATCAGTATCTTTCCCATATTCTGATGTGCACATGTGGATAGACGGTTTTGCAAAGTCCTCGTCTACAGGGCTGCGCAGTGCGGGAAAAGCTGCGCTTTCCTTTGTCTCCCTTTGGGCTATCTCATATTATCACATGCCTTGCTATGTGATTCGTCCAAATCCATATCATCGATAGGCAGGGGCTAACTCAAATGCCACTTTGCCTTGCACGGTGCATCATACTAAATAATCAGGCCACTCATTGTATTCAGCCCTTGGAGCAGCGATGCCAGCACCCCCGCTAGCAATCGGCCGGGTTTACCGAAGCCAAGGCCGAGGCCGACACTACATCACTGCCGCCCGTTTAGCCGAAAGTCTCCGTAGCTGGCTCCGAAATGAGTAGACATTGTTCAGCGACATGCTTTCAATCTTGTATGCCCAGAAGATAGTTAGAATATTATCATATGAAGACTTCGTTCTATACTAGGGATAGAAGTGATTCGTTACTCATTATAGATCAAGCATATCACGGACGAGCCCATGTCTTGCCTCACCATTAGGTAGTTAGGGTGTAAGCACACATTATATCAAAAATGAGAGCGATAATTTGAAGGAACCCCCTATTAGCCTATTAACACCAAAATATTAACATATAACTAGCCCCTATATTGTAAGTTGAAGTCCTCACAGGATAACTACATGTTTTGCCAGAAGACAATTTTTACGTATGATTTCTACCCTACAGTGTAAGTTAATTGATGTCGATTATACTTGAACACAAGTTAAACATTAAATCATGAGCGAAGTGAAAATGTATGTGGCAAAGGAGCCTTAGAAATATATTGGATGTAACTACTAATCTCATAAAAAGGTTGTTATTTCGTGTGGTGTTATTATCTAATATCAAAGGCCGTAATAGGTAACATATTCATATTGGTAGTAGTCTCGTCTGTTTGTTTGGTAAATTGTAGACTTGTGCGAGACCATTTGTATGTAATCTGGTAACCTCTTTTATGTCTTCAAGGTTCTTATATGTCTATGTCTATCTACATTGTATCTACTCTTACTACATAATATGATTTGCAAGCTCGGCTCAACATTAAATATTTTCGGATAACAAAACGATACAGGTTCATGTTATACGTAGCTGGTAGGTTCCTTGAGTAGATACTTTGGAAGTTGCGATAGAATAATACTAGACGGCGGCCGCCGCTGTGCATAGTGATTCACTGGGTGACTTGAAATAGGTGAGTACCTAACTAGGGTACATAAGAGGTACCGAACGTGGCACCCTTAGGGGAACACATCGTGACTTCCTTCTATTACGCCTTGCCCAGCAGCCTTTCCAGTCATCTTAGGTATGATAGCCCCTTCCTGGTCCTTCGCAAGGCAAGCACGACGCAACAATTGTCTCGACACGTATCCAGAACCTGGCACGAGACCACTTTCCTTTCATCCCATTACCTTCTGTTTCTTTCCTGCTCCTCTTTTCCTGTCGTTTAATCTCATAATCACCCTTTCTCCTTCGTCCACATCTATTCACTTCTACACACTGGCGATTCTCCCAAGAACGCCGCCATATTCAATCTCTATTCATTACCACCCAACCACTATCACGCCAAATCTATTAACAATGGCTGTCCTGACAAAAGTCTTCGTTTCCGTTCTGCTAGCCATGAGCCAGGGAACTGCGATGGCCGCAGCAATCCAAGCTCCCGAGATTCAAGCAGTTCCCGAGAAGTCATCCATTCAGGTACCTACTTCGGTTCATCATGTCCATTCGGTTACTTACAGCGTCGTCGATATCTCTGGCCCTGCGAGCTCTGGCGCCTCCTTGTCCACTGTGCACTTGGGTTCATCTGACCAAATTCAGGTTGCTCAGGGAGTTACTCTTACCACCACTGCTTCGTCTGAATCACATTCTCGTCCCCTGATTTATGCCCGAGACGACAAGAATCAATCATCCCAATCATCCCAGGTCACACCACATGGCTATGGCCCTATCCAGACTGCCACTCCTGTGGACATTTCCAGTTTCGTAAAACTAGGACGCTCAGGTGTAGACCAGGACAGTGATGATATCAAGGTATTCCGACGAGACGACTATGATGGCTACGGATATGGCTCTGGTCCCGGCTCAACTCCCACAATAGACGGTGGATATGGTAGCCCAAGTGAGCCGACTGCTCTGCCTCCTGGCGGATACGGCGACCCAGCTCCCCCGGCAGTCGAGAAGCCAACCATTGTCACGGTGCCTGACCCAGTTACTGTGATTGTCACTCTGAGCATCCCTACAACTTCATCCACCTTCGAAATCACCTCCACGGTCATTCCATCAGTTGTAACTGTTACTGTCACAAGCACACCAGTTCCACAGGCGGTTGTGCACAATGCGACACAAACTGTCATGGTTTCCAAGTCAACAACGCTCCATCCTTCCATCGTCACAGTTTACACCACGTCGACCAATGCCCAGCAGTCAGTCACGCCCACCGAGAAATCAGTTACTACCCCTAGCACTGAAGGATATGTCTATACAACAGTTACCAGTGGGTCCTCTGTATCACATACAAGCTCCAACACCGTTGTGATAATGCAGACACCGACTGGACATGCTCCACCAAAGCCAATTACGGACACAAATGATGGTGATTCTAACCTTAAGATGAACCTACATCTCTTGGTCATGGCTGCTATATTTGCGACGATGGGGCCCTCGATGTCTCATCTGGTCTCCGGAACCGCGTTGCTCATGCATTCGAACTATCTTGAAGATCTCCGAAATGCTAAAGCAGCTAAGGAGGCCGAGAACTCTACTGGAAGTAGCAGTGATGGCAAGGAGAAGAAGCCAGAGGTAGATGAGTCGCCCAATGGACATGAAGGCCCAGAGTCCGCTATACATGAATGTTGTTGCCACCAAGCTCCTAAGAACGTCACGCCAATCGAATCGAAAGCGACAGACAAGAAAGAGAAACCGTTCTCCCTAATCTCTAGTCTTATATACAGTCAAAAGCTACCGACGAGCCAATGGAAGCTTGGTTGGTCAGAGAACCGCCATGTTGTCAAGGTAAACCAGAAGTTGGACCAGTTCCCCTTGGGGCTGCGATTCAAACAAGCCCCCCAGGCACAGATTTCACCTCAGGGCATTTCCCATGATGGAAAATACTGATAATATCATCGGTATACAATTTCGGAAGGAAAATACGTGATACTAGGAGGAAAAGGCTATAATGAGTCGAGATTTCTTGGGAGCTGAACCAGATTGCTTGGCAGCATTGCCTGCTGCATATTAGGGTTGTTTGCCACTGTTACTTGTTGAGATGAATGCCTTTACTTGCTAACTTAGTTTATGCAAGATCCTTAAGATCTCCATGTGTATGCACTGCACTAATGAATCCATACATTGATTTGATAATCTGAAAAAGTCTCATGCCTCTAGACTTGAGTGAAAAGACCCAGGCGGGGACTATACATGGAATTGCACATAGGTAGGTACTGATTCGCTTTTAAGGGGCATTCCGGGTTAATGTGATCAGATACCCATTAGTAGTAGGAGCCAGAATCCCACTGCCATTCATGGTCTGCTCATATTGGCTCTTTCTAGTCTATCTTGTCCTATGAATTGGTATTTAGGCAGGCAGGCAGGCAGGCAGTAGGTATGCATGTAGCCGGCGTACACTGCACAACTTATACAGAGGTACTTTCTAGCCGTATCGTTTATCACCTGCATGTGTCTCTCTCCCTATATATGTACTACATAGGTAGGTAGGTAGAATACCATGTACATGTAGTACCACCACCTTTTATACCTAGTATTGTTTAGGTAGGTATACACCACGTTGTATGTTAGCCTCTTGGCCTCCTCCCCTTTATGTGTATGGCGTTCTCTCTAAGCTCTAAGTAGTATCATATCATATCATGTACAGCGAGTAGTAGATACATGCATTAAGGCAATGTAGACAGACAGGTAGGTAGGTAGGCATTCATTCATGGATTCATTGTGTAGTGTAGGTACCTAGGTGAGGGTATTAAAATAGGTATATAGGTACATATGGGTACGTACTAAGGTATGTACCCCTTTTCATCTCCTTCTTGCTTGCCTGCCTGATCTCTGTTTGCTTGTTTGCTTCGTCCATATATAGGTTCAATGCTCATTTTGAACACTTAGGTAGGTAGAGATCAACAATGAGTCTTGCCATCACTTCGCCTCGCCTTGCTCAGTCTCACGTGGGTAACATTATCTTTCATATTAACATAGGTAGGTAAGGGAGTTGATCTCTACAAGAGCAACAAATCTCCATTACTGCCGACTCCCTGTGCAGGCTGGAATACCTGCTGCGGCGCATACTGGTTGACGACGTACGAGGCCTCGTTGCCGCCACCACCGAACGATGCTTCGCCCGCGTCGTGGATACCCATGGCCGCCATCTGCTGGCTACCTATGCCTGCGAAGTACGCGTCGGCGTCGTTGAAAGCGTTGGACATGTCAGGGTTGGCATTGCCCTGCGCCTGAGCCTGCGCTTCGTTGGGATTTAGGATGGTGGGTTGACCACCCATGCCGAGCATACTAAGGCTCTTCTGGGCTTCAAATGCTGGTAGGTTGGCGGAGGTAGGGAGCAGGTGTTTTTGTAGAGCCGGGGAATCGGGCAGGCGCCGGGGACGCGCGCTGCGGAACACGGTCTGCACAGGCTTGAGATAAATCGTAGCGAGGGTGCCGACGTTCAGACACATTTCCTCGAGAGTAATGGGATCGAGTTTCTCGGACTCGGCTGTGATGGGGGGTTTCTCCCCCATGACCATCTGCTTGGCAACATTCATGTCTGTACTAAGGAGCCGCCAGTACATATAGGCGCGGTCTCGGAGGTCCGGGTTATCGGTCTCTTCCGTTGCCCACTTTAGCACTTTTGGCACCAGATCCTGTCCCTTGGTAGGGCGTTGAATGAAGAGCTTCACCGTTGCGGTCAGTAGTGCTAGTTGAACTTCTACCGGTTCTTCTGCGAAAGAGTATAGAAAGTCTTCCAGCAAGACATCGCTGTTCTCTATACGTGATGCATATTGCCCAATAACCCACACCATTGCGGCTTTCGCCTCCGGCTCATCGAGCGAGTCAAGATGTTCACATAGCGTGCCAATAATAGATTCGTACTGGTTGGGGTATTTTCTGAATATATTGCGGATAACCACAGTGGCTTCCTGAACGATGTATGGAACCTTTGTTGCAACTAGTTCTAGGAGCAGGTTAATGCACCGTCTTGCCGCCGGCTCAATCTTAATGGCCAGCTTGCCGATGGCGCGCACTGCTTTGCGAACGAAGTGTACGTCGACTTCTGTTGCGTATTCTCTTAGCTCAGTTAATACCTCGTCAATGTTCTTTTCATTAGCGAGCATGAATATCAACTCGAGCTTCGTTACTTTGACATATATGGGGTCGTTGTATTTGCAGAAGAAGACGCGAATATCGTTTCGCAGAACATCCGGCCTTCTCTGCAGTATGAGCAGCGCATTTCGCAGAGCGAGATACTGAACCTCTGGCCCTTTTGCCAACAACGTTACGAGTGGTGGAGATAACTTCCGACATAACGCTGAAATTTGCTTCTCGTCTGCGATGTAGTTCATCAGATACAGGATCACTCGGATACATGTTAGGACGACTGAAGAATTCGAGTGTGATAGTCGTGGTGATATACGCTCAGCAAGCAGTGTGGCTTCACTTGTCTCTTGGGGAACATAGGACATTAGGGCTTCGAGGATATAGGTTTGACCCCATCTACTGCAAGTTAGTCACGGATAATGGTTGAAGAGATTTCGCCAACGAAACGGGTGGCTACGAACTCAGAGCAGTCAGGCAATATGGCTACCATCTTGGAGGCATTGCTATAGTCGATAGTGAGTTTAATAGAATCACTGCGCTCCCAAATGTCCATCAGTCCCGCCAACGCGCTTGCCACGACCGTGGGGTTGTCGTCTCTCAGAAGTTGATTCAGTCTATCTATCAAGTCGGACTGCTCTACCATGTATTTGTCATGGTCGTACAACTTCGCGACGCAGAAAGCGGCCGTCTTTCGCACATAGGGGTCGGAGTCTCGAAGTAAACGTTTAACAAGGGGAACGGTAGCCTCGACAAATTCTTTGACATGAACGTACGACATCGTTCGAAGAGCAAGAGCTCTGACTAGGGGATTCGAATCTTCCATGTCCTGCGCAAAAGTTAACAAACAAGCAATACGATAGAATAGGCCCCAACTGTCGCAATACTTACATGCTGCAAAAAAGGTATCGCTTTTACGGCGATTTCGGGGCGCATTCTCGAATAGTTCACTAGGAACAAGAAACACCTAAACCATGCTTATTAGCATTGTCTTCCCAAAGATTGATTCCTAAGTTGTCTTGGGCGTACATCTTCTTGATCTCCAGACTTTGGATATGCATGCAACCAATTATGTCGGGAAAAAGGGAAACCATCTCGTTGTTGCTCATCGTCATATTGGCCACAATCTTCTTAAGGGCGATTTTCTTCTGGGTGAAGTTCTTATCCTTCTTGCCACCACTGTTCAACTCGAGTCGCAGCTCGGCGACCTTGCCCTGCATAGTCAATGGGCGTAAGCGATAATCCGGAGGTATATATGCGAGGAACATGGCTATTGAACGTGATAGAGAGGGTGTATAGGATCATAATGGGTTATGGCAACCCTGAGGGAGACGTTGGGCTAGAGAGAGCGTCTAAGATAATCGTAATCGTCAAGACAGTAAGGGAGATAATGTTTGCGGTGCTGTTTTGAATAGATAGATGCCTTAACCTGAAATACTAGGCACTGAAATGGAGACAGGGGTTGGACTGGCAGGGGGGGAAGAAAAGTAGCAAATTTGAACGGGCTTGGGGTAGAGAGAGAGATATGGGAAAAGACGGATATGATATATGAAGCGAGTGTAGTGTGTAGTAGGTAGACAACCAGATCAATGTCTTAGAAGGAAATGATGATGCGCTTACTCGAGCGAACAGCTTAGAGTCCCCTCCGCCCTGGGAGCTCGACATGTTGGTGGTTTGACGTTGACTTCTGCTCCTTCGTGTGCCGGAATTGCCTCTTTGGTGTCTCTCGACGTTTGTGCTGGTTGGCTAGCTAAGGAGAGGGATTCTTTAGTCGGATAGAATGCTCAGCCAAAGCATGCAAGTTCGGAATCCGAACAATCTACCCCTCACGCTGGGCTAGGAATGAGATTGATTGACTAAAGAGCACCAAGAGCACCTGAATCTTTCAAGACACCTATAGATGCAACCATCAATCATCCAATCGCAGGGGTCGACGACGGCGGAAGGACTATAGTTCGGTATTGGACGATGCGGTAGGCGGAAGCGGTCGAGTAGGAGATGATATGCGCCGAGTCTTGGCTCTTGATAGTTAATGGGAGCAACGCGTGAGCAATAACTAAATCGAATACACTATCTTTCTATGCTACCTAGGTGAGTAGAAGGAATAAATTGGTGCGAGTTGAGGTGACAACGGTATCCGTGTTTTTAAGACAGTAGGACGATGGATTAGGTAGTAGAGTTCCCTGTAGGAATTAATCAAGATACAACAATTGATGGAACATTAAGAAATACGGCGCAGTTAACGAAATAACTTAATAATAAGGTACATAACTACTATCCATGCATACATACAGTGTCATACACAGGTAATGCAGTGAGAAGCCCCTGAAGCAAGTAGCTAAAAGCAAGATACCAGATACGGATAAGCTTCTTAAGCTAGATTATGTAGCGCCACGATTAGGATGACGGAGAACTGCATAGTTCCATGTTATGTGTCCATGTTATGTGGGTCTTCTGTAGTACCTAGTAGTACATGTTCTGCTGGTACTACCGTCTGTACAACCTAGATAGTAAGCTTCAAACTTCAACCTTCAACTTTCAATTGCAAACCGCAAACCACAAAACACAAATCACAAACCTCAACAAGTACATAGGATTATAGAACAAATCTGAATATCCAACGAACGAAAATGTCCCTAAATAACTCTTCCGTCCCTAAATGGGTTCTTGATTTACAATCTCCCCCGGCGTCCAAATCGAAATCCGGCAGCATCCCCGATCCACCCGGTTACCCATCGCAATCCAGCGCATTATCAAAGGTACAGTTGCTCTATAACGGTCAAGTCGTATATAAAATCCTAACAAAATAACTAGAAACAAGCTTCCAAAGAAGCCAAGGTTCAACCCCGAAAGCAGCCGACACCCGAAGAAATGGACACGTTGAAGTTGAAGAAGGCCTGGGAGGTAGCCCTCGCACCTGTCAAGAACTTGCCTATGACTGCCATCATGATGTATATGTCAGGCAACTCGCTACAAATATTCAGCATTATGATGGTCTTCATGGCTTTCAAGAATCCTATAATGGGCATTATCGCGACAAATCAAGCGTTCGAGAGGTTCGAGAGTGAGACCAACAAAGGGAAGATAATACAGGCAAAGTTGGCCTATGTGGCCATGCAGATCGTAGCATTGGGGGTTGGATTATGGAAAATAAATGCTATGGGCCTATTACCGTCAGTCTCAATTCATCTCAACTCATCTACCCTAGGTGCTCGTAAGAATATGCTAACAGGTATATATAGAACCACAAGATCGGACTGGCTTGCTTGGGAAGCCCAGCGAGAGCCATTGGAACTTGCAGTCACTGCTTTATAAAATATGAAATTAGTAGTATTACATTAATCAGACAAACTGTCTCCTATCCTCAACATTTGTTGTACAGTCAAGCTTGAAATTCCCAACACTCCTAATCCTCAAAGATGCGGTCTACCTCGAACCGGATGTCGCGGCTGCTTCACTTATTGTTGTTTCATCTTTTGGTGAATTATTACTGGATGGCCTAACTTGTTCACCTCGAGCCTTGCATATGATAGATCTCACATTTTGGTACGGGTCGTCTATCATCGGCTGAGCAACCCAGCGTGCTAATGGGTCACTGCTGCCGGTTTGCGCTCCCCCCCAGCATCTCTTCTGCGTCTTGTCGTCCAGAGTATGTTGTTGATTCGCCCATGGACGATGCAGCGCTAGCATGCTCACATCCTCTCGAGCAGGCAGCCTTATCGCAGGAGAGCTATCTGGCTGTGAGTTCCCTTTGCTGTTATATCGACCTTCGGGGGGTTGTGTTCCCGCTTGCTACTCAAGTCATAAGCCATTGATCCCTAGAGCATAAGTGTCGGCGTTAATTAGGTACCTTTTGCTCCATGACGTGGTAAAGGATGGTCTCTGAATAGCATCAATGTCGCTTTACGTCTTGCACGGTATGTCTCGCTAGATCCGGAAATCTGCTGATATCGATCGCACTTGATCTACAAGAGTTGTCCACGATGGAACGGACATATTGTGCTGGTTATATAGGTGTGTACCCATGCCTCTCATCTAGGCCGTGCTATTCAATTTCGACTATGACGCTCCAAAGGCAACTGCCTCGAGAGGCACATAACCGCATCATCTATCATCATGTCCGGCCTGGTTTACCTTGTCGCTTATCCCAAGCCAACGCAAACTACGTTTTCCCAGAGCGCAATTGGCCCCCCCCCCACGCGATGCTTGTCTTGGGCGCTCTAGAATTTCACCGCTGCACAGAGCCAGGCGGGCTAGTATTCTGCAACATATGGATGGTTGCATATGCCATGTTACGGAGCAGACCGACTCGGCAGGAAATTAAGTGAACACCTGCCTGTGGAGTCCGACCTATTAGCGACTACGTACCGCGCCGTCGGTATAGACTCGTAACTATCAGTTGGCAACTTTTGCGTGGAATATCACTTGGGATCGATTGTTTACATAGTAGTAGTAGTGCTACATGGCCTGCATGGGGAGCGGTCTACCCACTGACGAATTACATGAGATACTCCCCTTTCTACACCATCTCGATACCGTCGAGGCTATGTACCTACCTAAGGTTTGCTACTTCGAAGCTGTCTTTGCGACCCAAACCCCCCCTTTCACAGCCGCACACCCCGAAGTTGCCGGGATTTGGGAGGTCCCTCTACGCATCTTCTTTTTACAGAAGCCACCTGCTTTTGGGGTGTTATCCATTAACCTAACCTAGTTATGTACGAAAGCCTCTTATGCGGTGGCACTTGAGACCGCGAACAGCCGTTGGCTAAATGCATACATCCATACATACATATCTAGCGTCTGTTTACCATTGAAGCTCTTAGCACCACACCACCCACCGATATCAGTTTCAGATCGCATGGGGTTGCCTTTTTTCCCCGTTATCGTTTTAACATACCTAAGTGCATTGATCATATGTAACCCCGAGAAAGATGCTTCCCTCCCTCCCATCGCCAACGACACGGGAGCTCCGTACTATATTGATACTACGCTCACCGCTTCTACCCACATTACCCAGGTACCTAGTAGGTATCGTCTGTAGCTGCTTTTCAGCCATGACGTGCTCGGCGCCATCTATACAATGCGCCACCCTCGTAGTACAGGGACATTACTATCTCCACGTCATGTGTTTTCCCGTGCCATTGTGCGGCTCTTTGCTTCGGGGTAGTAGGGCTGGGAACATGGTCCCCCTTCTGCGCTTGATTATACGCGTGGGTCCAATACTTACCAAAGGGACATCTTCCGTCCCCTGATCGAGCAGCCTGGATTATTGAAACTCGATCTATTAAGTGCATGACGGGAACGGGATAGTTGCTGCCTGCATGTTCGGCATGGAAACCCCAGTCCCCAGTCCCCAGTCCCCAATCACCCCCACACTTCTCAACTCGACCGCTTTTGTTTTATATACCTAACCTGTTACCTACTTCAATGTTGGTGATCCAGAGCTACCTTTCAGCTTCCCGAATTTGGTGACCGGTTGCATGATGAGTATAGAACGAAATATTGAATTTGATGGTGATTGGCTCTTACGGTCGTCTGCGATGGGTTTAGCTTGGCGTTATATTGAACAAGAACGAACAAACACCTTACCGGTCGGGATGCCCACATTAGGTACTAGGTTAGGTATGTATATTTATATGATATGTACTAAGGTACTATGTACTTAGGTATACTTACCATGTGGAGGTTCAATGTTTGTGCTAGCAACTGCCTTTGTTATCCCACGTTTATATCTGAGATTCTGGAGACAAGATGACGTAATCTTAGAACTAACTAATGTACAGGCCTAAGCTTTGAGGTTAGTGAAGTGCCAAGAAGCCTCTACCGTTATCGATGTGTGCCACATGCCAAATGAGCAGCTGAATCCGTCACCTAACCTGGTAATGAATAGCTACCCTAGGTAGACAACGTGGGGCATTAACTTTAGGTACAAAAACATTAGAATTTCCAAGTTTAAAAGTCTCGACTCTCCAGTAACTACATTTACCTCTCAGAGCTAGAAAAGTTAATTCTGTAATTCTGGAATTTAAACAAAGCAAATACGTCGGTGGCGATCTTGCGTCTGGGATATTACAGGTTTCTTTCTCTATTAATGTCTCTCACCGTTTCAGACATCTTCTGGAGATAGATTATTATTTCCGTACTTCGTACTTATACATACCTTAGAGAAGGGTATGCTCTAATACCGGGTACATCCATTTGCTTCTAATGGCCGATGTGACTGAACAACCCGTTGCCAAGGCCAGCATCAGCCAGCCTTCTCAACCCTCATCCCAGCCTCCTCACGATGCTATTTATGAGATAATTGAAAATGAGGACCAGGAGGCACAGGCAAAGGCAAAGGCAAAGTTAAAAGAGCCTACCTTCCCTCTGCTGCAGAACAATGCTAGTAGCGAAACTCTGCTTCAGACTGTCCAGACTCAGAAACGGACGGTAGAGGACGACAACGAAGAGGAACCAGCTGTAGCGCGGCCTTTCGTCCGGACAAGCAGTCCTGATCTACCATCCAGAGTGGCGACCCCGCCCGAGGAAGAAGAGGAGCGGGCACCTATTCGATCAGCTTACAAGATGCACAAGTTTACCTTGTACGAGACCGCAAGCCGGTATTATATCGTGGGAGGAGATGTGACCGAGAAGCGTTACCGGATTCTGAAGATCGACCGTAATACTCACGACTCAGATCTGAATATAACTGATGATGGAATCATATATAACCAGAAGGAAATGAATTCGCTACTGAACACCATCGACGACGGAAACAAGGGTACCGGCGGCATCAAGCAGAGATGCACGACATGGGGAATTCTAGGCTTTATCAAGTTCACTGGGCCGTACTATATGCTTCTGATCACCAAGAAGGGCACCGTTGCCATGATCGGGGGCCACTATGTGTATCAGATTGATGGAACTGAACTGATTCCTCTGACCCCAGCAAAGTACAAGACCGACGCTCGGCACGTGGAAGAGCAGCGCTTTTTGAACATTCTCAAGAACCTGGACTTGACGACCTCGTTTTATTACAGCTATTCCTATGACATTACTAGAACATTGCAGCATAATATCACCAGAGAGAGAATTGCCCTTCTGAATGGAATGCCCGGTACAACGTACGACGACTATAACTCTATGTTTATCTGGAACAGCCATCTTTTGCGACCAGCCGAGGACGCAATCACTGACCCTTTCGATTGGTGTCGCCCCATCATACATGGGTATATCGATCAAGCTGCCATAGCTATATATGGTAGAACGGCACATATCACCATTATCGCCCGTCGTTCCCGCTATTTCGCTGGTGCTCGTTTCTTAAAGCGCGGCGCGAATGATCTAGGCTACGTAGCCAACGATGTCGAAACAGAACAGATCGTCTCTGAAGCCTTGACGACTTCATTCCACTCTCCAGGCCCTAAACTTTTTGCTAACCCCCAGTTTACCTCCTACGTTCAACATCGAGGAAGCATTCCTCTTCATTGGACACAAGACAATATGGGGGTTACTCCGAAGCCGCCAATTGAGTTGAATCTCATCGATCCATTCTACACAGCAGCAGCCTTGCATTTCGATAATCTGTTTGAGCGATATGGATCTCCGGTGTACGCTCTAAACCTCATCAAGGCTCGGGAAAGAACTCCGCGTGAATCTAAATTGTTGGACGAGTACACAAACGCCATTAACTACCTGAATCAATTTCTCCCCGAAGGTCATAAGATCATCCACAAGGCCTGGGATATGAGTAGGGCTGCAAAGAGTAAGGATCAGGATGTAATTGGCACGCTCGAAAACATTGCCGAGACGGTTGTGACAACAACCGGGATTTTCCACAATGGTGATGGCGAGATCACGCAAACAAGTATTCAGAATGGCGTTGCCAGAACAAACTGCATAGACTGTTTAGATCGTACCAACGCAGCTCAGTTTGTCATTGGAAAGCGAGCACTGGGACACCAGCTTCATGCCCTGGGTATGTTGGAAGACACCACCATCGACTACGATACAGACGCCGTCAACCTTTTCACTCATATGTACCACGACCATGGCGACACCATTGCGGTCCAGTATGGTGGGTCGCAGCTGGTGAATACAATGGAAACATATCGCAAGATAAACCAATGGACAAGCCACTCCCGCGATATGATAGAAAGCTTCAAGCGATATTACAACAACTCCTTTCTCGATAGTCAAAGACAGGAGGCTTATAATCTCTTCCTTGGAAATTATATCTTCGCCCAGGGGCAACCCATGCTATGGGACCTCTCCACAGACTACTACCTCCATCACGCTGATCCTCGCACGTGGCTGCAAAAGCGAAAGCATAACTACATTCACTGGTACACGCCAGAGTATCTGGAAAAGCGCACCATTCCCAATTTCGTGCTACCAAAAGGGGAGATGGCCAAAAAGTCTGTTTCCTTCTTTGATGACTACTGGCTGGAATACTATCGACCGTCAACACTCTCCTCTTTCCCGAAAATGTTCCCATACAAGATGAACTCGACCATCAAGTACATACCATTTAAATCAACGCAGGAAGGCAAATACGATCTCAGCCCCTTCCGTGTCCGCACCGAGGGTGACTCAGAGGTACAGGAGAAAAAGAAATCCACGGCAAAGAAGGAGGTCACCATCGTTGATCCTCAAGAATCACTGAAAGCGGCGCCTGACGACGACTCCGAATCTGCGATAACAGAAAAGGCTAGTGCCCGAGGCATCTCCATTCAGCGCTGGCTGCAACCGATGCAGCCAGACAGGGGCCCGACGATACCGCATAGTATCATGAAGGACTCGGCGGAAAGTCGCGACTATTATAAGCCCAAGCAAACCCCCCAGGAGAAAACCAAAGCCGCGCAGTGGACTTTTGCGAATATCGTTCAAGAGTCGCTTAACCCGTCCGTGAGCGCACAAGAAACGGAAGACTACGCGCGATACATTAGTCATCCGCAGAGTCTCCCACTCGTTATTTCCAATGAGGCACCGCCGGATGTTGATTCCTCGGAATACCAAGAGTACCTCAATGGCAGCTGGCACATAGATGGGCTAGCTCCGAATAGCTCGGACGATGACATCGACGCGTACACCGACCTGCTTCGGATCGGCGACAACCCACTGACGGTTACGGATGAAGATTTGCCGAAGAAGCGGTACAAGGCCTATAGGAAATGGCTCCGGGGAAAGTCCCTCTTCAAGCAGCAGCCGGTCGATTAGGACTCTTCCGCGCACACGCCGACGAGTGACACCTTTGACGACTTGGGGTCCCCTTGATGATGGTAGAGTGATGCTTCTTCTGTATGATGTGTCGATGAATTTAACAATGCTCAAATCATATCATTTGGAATTTACGGGTAGTTTTTATTTCTGTTAAAAAGGTTGTCTAGTTGTGGTTCCTTCTCAATAAGAGGCATCACGCGTTCGCTTAAATCAACATGGGCTGCTTTCATCACGGCGGATAGCATATCGGCGGTCTCGGCTAACTTTGCTTTCAAGGCGTTGGCGTTATCATCATCGGGTTGGAAGGACTCTTCATCTGCAATGTTGAGCCAGCTGAGCATGAGCATTTTGACGATTTCATTGCAATAGCGCGGTATGCGAGGCCAGCATGCACGCAGGATCGCTTGCAGGAGGAGTATGGCGGAGGATAGGGTGGGGGGATGCTTTGTGCCGAAGGGGTCAGTCAGTATTTCCGAGACCATGGGGATGAGTTCCTGTTGTTTGTTAGTTATTTTTACTGAGGTTCAAAAAGCGGGTTTCTTTTTAAACATGGAATGGAACGGGGTTGAGCTTTGATTTGAGTTGAGTTGCATGCAGCGGGGATAGGTAGAGAAAGGAGGGAAAGGAAGTTTACCTTGAGGTGTTTTACGGCGAGTATACCCATCCCGTTTACAATACAAGTCAGCGTTTCGCAGAACAACCCGACGAGTCGGACGTGCTCTTTCGCGTGGTGATACCCCATCAGGAGACCCTCTCGGACGATCTTGTCCAGTAGCTTCCGCTCGCGTTCCGTGATCTGTCGAGATTTGGCTTCTTTCTCCTCCCCTTTCTCCTCCTTGCTCTTGTCTCCCTTTACGGGTAGACCCGCTCCCCCCGTAGTTGCATCGTCTCCCCCAGAAGCCGCTGTAGCCATGTACTCCAGCCCAGCCATCTCAATCAACACCGGATACGCCTCCCGCAGCAACTCCAACGACTCGCCTTCCGGCGTAAGCGTCGGCAGGTACGAGAGCGCGGGAAAGACGGCTGCTTCGAAGACGTCGGCGAGACCCGTCTCTTGCATTAGACCCGCGGGACACCGCGCCCAGAAGGAGCGTAGGAGGACTAGCCCTCGTGTGCGGGTGCGCAGGTCAGGATCGTCGAGGAGGGTTAGGAGGGCGGGGGTGTAGAGGGGCCAGTGGGTTTGTAGGAGGAGGGGCTATGGGGGGGGGTGGTGGGGTGGTTAGTGCATTATCCATAAGTTAGGACGAACTTGGATGTGAGGAAAAGCGACAAGTAGGCTTGGTAGATGTGAAACAAAAGATAAGATAAGAAAAGAACAAAACAAGAGAGAAAGGAGCAAACTCACATCCGCCTGCCTCACAGCCCACGCGAACACCGTGATCGCGTACCGGTGCGCGTACTTCCACGGCTTCGCCTCCGGCGTCTCGCGGTCTGCGGCGGGGTCGCGCCGCCCCGGCTCCGCGAACTCGGCCTTCCGCCCGGACGCCGTCACGGCCGAGGGTCGGGACTTGGAGAATAAGGGGCGCAGGAACTTCGTCAGGATCTCGTCTACGATGAGCTGTGTTCGTTGCGGTTGGGGTTGGGTCTCGAGGAAGTGGGAGAGGAGGCGGGGGGAGAGGGTGCATGAGGCGGCTGTGGTCCAGGGGTCTGCGGGGGAGGTGAATGCAGTTATGCGGAGGAGGGTGGAGGAAGGGAGGGAGAGGGGGAGGGGGGAGGGGAAGATCTGGGCGAGCTGGTCCAGGGCGCGGAGACCGAGCTCGCCGAGGCGGCTGAGGGTTGCGTAGTCCGTTGAGTCTGTGTAAAATGAGTCTTAGCCCCATAGGTATAAAATGATAAAGGTGGGATGGGGCCGTACCGTGGTCTAGAGAGGCGCCGGCGCACACTGGGACGATGATCTTGGTGATGCGGTCGGCGATCTCGGTGAGAGTTTCTGCGTCGTTTTTTTCGTTCGATTGCCCGTCTGTAACGGCCTGCGCGATTGTGGAGAGGGCGGCATACGCGGCCCGGATCACGACGATGCGGCTCTGTGGATGGGTGTGAGTGGTCAGGACATGGGTAGCTGAGGGTTTCTCTTAACAGAAATATATATATATATTTCACAAGACAGGCAATGTGGAAAGTGCGTACTTCAGTACTGTCATCAGTTGACAGCATCCCCCTCACATCTTGCGCGGTTATTCCAGCAGGCACCACTGTTGCAACGGTTAGCTAATTTGGTTTTATGAGATGAGATGAGATGAGATGAGATGTGAAGAAGACCCACGTTGCAGGATATCCTCCGGTATTTCTGATGTTTTTGGCTGTGCTTTTTCGAGTTCGCTGCACGCTATAAGGAGGTTGGTAAACATTTTTTGTTTTTTTTTACCAAATACTTGGATCTTCCTTTTTAGAAATAGAAAAAAAAACAAGAGAAGTCGTGGGGTTGAGAGTTTCTTGAATCTCATTCGCGTATGAGTTTGAAGTTTAAACGCTGCTGAGTTTGGAATTTTAGAGCGGATTAGGCCGGGCCGGGCCGGGCCGCTGCCAGTTGGTTCTTGAAACTCTGCGGATGGATGGTGGGGCTGATGACTCAGCAGCTGAACTTCACCCCGTGACGCTCCACTAAATACCTAGGTACCTAGGTTAGTACCAGTGTGTTTACGGAGTACCTAGTACTATGTACACCTTTAAACATTTATAACCTACCACATTCTCCGTTTGTCTAGAACATTTCTTCTCTCAATCAACTCAACTTTTGTCTCAACTATTGGAGATTCTTATATATATTTCTTGCACCGGGTCTACAACATAACTTGGTAGAAGTTTGGGAAATGATAACTGCATTAACCTCTACCACATAGCCATTTCAAGCCAAACACCACGGGGCTGCACGCCTCCTTATATACCCATATATGCATCGTATACCTCGCCGCCCGACAACTAAGCATATGCTAATGTCAGCTCTTCCTATGGCTCCTGACAAGATGTTAGACTCCCGAGTAATAACGACATTTTCTAGCGGTCCGCCTGGTGACATACATTATTGGTGTCCTTGCTTAGACAATCATGGACTTCTTTCATTCTCCACATGCTCAAGAGGAACATCTCCAGCCTCGCATAGCTCCTCGTCAGTAGGGCCTTAATAGCATTCGTAAGTGCCCGTTCATCATTCAGTCCACAGTACTATAGGGCTCTGGGATATTCACTTGAAGCACGGCGTAAAGCCTGGCGATGGTAGAACTCTCAGGCACTCATTGCAACGGTGCAAGAAGTCAGCAAGACGCCGACAATGGAAATCGCAGCCTCGATGGAGATTGGCATGTTTCGATATGTGATAGGGGCTTTTCGTCTTCGTGGTCGGGTTCTTGATGATTGCAGATGTTCTTAGAGAAGGGATTTATTTATACGTGTGAGTTCCTAGGTATGTACGGGGCGCTGGGTATCTATGTAGGGCAATAGAGTCCTCGAGGATGAACTCCAAGCTTTATATACTATCTAATCATTCAAGTTTTGGGTGAAGCAGTCCTATTTGACTACCTTTATTTACAATGTGCTTTTGGACCGCTGATGAATCATTAGTGGCACATTGTATCGCATCGTAGCGGGAGAAGCTCAAGTGGTTGTGGGAGAAAAGACTGACAGTAGAGTAACAAGGCCAATCAACTCGCCTGTACGAAATTAGAGACACCGATTTTTGGAACGTACATAACCTAGGTACGTACTAAGTCGAAAAACGAAAAACTCATTCTCAATTTTCAACTTGCTGCCTTTCACTTTTCAACCTACCCCTTTTCGACATTGAACTTTTCAACTTAACCAACATACCTTTTTACAGACAGTCACTTTTTACAGTTTTCCCCAACATCGTTCTGTTTTTAGCCCTAATAGCGGATTCGTCTAAGGTCAGTTTCTTTCATCGAGTTCACTTCCTCTTGGCAACGATTAAGACCAATGGATGTGATCTAGGAGCTCTTAATGCAGCATATCCTTTTGGTTCGATTGATTCCAAATGTTTTCTTTTCGGTCAATGCATCAGTATAAGTTCTGGGGGACGAGTCAAGAATTACACGTCCAAAGAATTATCAAAATCAAGCACACTACAGGTTTGCCTACTAATCATTGGCAAAGAAGAACAAAGCTGAGATTGATAAATGACCGGTCGAGCACATAACTTGTCGTATGATAGGCGAAATAGGAGCAGGTGTGGTGGTAAGCCTGCTCCACAGTGTCACAACACCTGCGCTGCAACGTCTTGAACAAACACCTGAGTCCAGTGCATACGTATGGCAGCTAGACAGTCTTGGTGCCTAACAAACCTTTCTACTATCACGATGTATAGATGTATAAAGCGAGGGGGTTTCCCTCAAGCTCGTCTCAACCTACCTACTATCCGTACATCCTGATAGTCCCTGAACTACAAGCTCATCATGACTACAGTAACTCTGACAAACGCGATTGTGTGTGCTAATTGGACCCAAGACAACCAGAGATGTAAGAAAATCGGACAGTTCGCGTGCAAAGGCTGCCTTCTGGTCCTTGTAAGTCATAACAATCTTCAGTTTTTCACACTTTCTGGGATATAATTTTCTAACTACCCAACTTACTCATGCAGTACTGTGGCGGGGATTGTCAGCAGAGTCATTGGGCGAAACATAAACGGGATTGTCGGGATAATCCCTTGCTGAAACCAAACTGGAAGCCCGAATGGGAGCGTCAATGTCGAAGTCCCTATTTCCTCGATTTCGTTGGAGAGCGATACCCCGAACCTTTCAACTACCAAAAGAAGTACCTATGGGGAAACGTACCTGCGTTCGACTTGTTGAAACTACCATCGAACGAGGGAATCAACTATAGCAAAGATTTGAACCTTCTCTTCGCAGGTGAGTGAGCCTTACACCTTTCTCGACGACGGCTCGAGTCAAAGCTTGGGCTACAAGCTTATCATAACACCTTCAAAGCATCTGGAGACTTTCGGAATGTTGTCAAGACTATCGCTTCTATCCCCGATGAATATAAAAATGCTGTCAACGTCTATATGAATGACAGAGATGGAGATGTCGTCTCTCGAAACGCCATCATGCTTCTCCTGGCCCTGACAGAGGAAGATCCTCTTGTCGCGGCCGAAAACATCATCCATCTTTGGTACTCAGCCTTCATTACCCAGTCACTCCAAAATATTTTAAAGGGAAAGATCCGGGAACTAGTGCAGGATGTTTGTACCAAGATAGAAGGCAAACCGTCTTGCGCTGTGCTAGGCAAAACATGGACGTTTGGCCGAAGCTCCCTCCGGCTCGTCTTGGCCAAGAAGCAATGGCTGGACCTCCTCGCCTGCTTAGAGCCTCCTCCCGGCCTCACCATCGAGAAAGCACTACTGATTCGCCGGGATGTGACTCTAGCTCCTCAGAGAGTCGACTACAGAGAGCGTATATATCTCACCAAGCCCCCGGGTGACCGTGCCAGCCATCAGAAGTATCGGGAAGAAGGGGTGCTCGTTCCCTTTGGTGCACCTCGAGCTTTATTCATAGTACCAAATCCGTGGGTATCCCATTTTACTTTTGCCCGCTCCGCTGCCGGTACCTAGCTAGCTAGCTAACTCAATAGCGACACACAGGACTCTCTTCCGAGATACAAACAGATGGCCATTGACAGACGATTCGGATCCTACAAGTGGTTGGCATAAGCATGCCATTCTGGAAGTTTGGTCCGGTGCAGCAAAGAACGACATCTATGCCAAACTTAGCTTTCTCCTGAGAGACCTTCTGGTTCGCTTTCACCAGCGCTTGAGAAACTCGGCCATTTCATTTCAGTTGCTGCACTTTGATGCCGAGGACATCTACAAGCACGTGAAGGATACGTTATTTGATCGCATTGAGGTAGGTACCCATCCACATGTCAACCTCCTTTTGCCCAAACCCCAAAACTTGAATATTGACGCGTTCTAACCTCCCTAGGTGTCCAATATCAGTGACGCGGGATACCTTGGCATGGGATTGACGCTTGTGAGCATCGGATTACTCCTAAAGCCCCTCAGCCAGAATCCCCATGCCACTGTAGTTGCCCTGTTCATCAACGCGGTCCAAGAGATGATCGACGCGACTGAACAGGAGAAGATCTTAGGATCCGAAATCGATCAAGTCAAACAATATATCGAACCAAAGATGCCGAAAGGTCGATACGACGCCATGGCGATAATCACCCTTTTAGCGGCCGAGCATGTTCGCGACGTGGACAAGTACTTTGATAGGTTCGTCTGCAACTGTCTACCTACCTACCTACATACCTAATCTATTCATAACACGTTCTAACAACCAATGCTTATCTCCCTATCTTAGGTACATGAAGAGACTCCGTTTCGCAGACCTCGCACATGAGACCGGCATGGAGCCCAAGAAGCGGCATACAATTATTGACCCGTGGCCGACGAGGGTGCAGAAGAAGGCCCATCAAAAAGGGGGTAGGGAGGAGTTCGCCACGTTACTGTCGTCTGCGCATTCGGGGTGCGAACGGTACATGGAGTGGCAGTGGTCGAGGAGTTAATTGGCCGATTACTTAGCTACCTAGGTATAACGGTATTACGCGGTAGTTCAGATGGACATGGGAGTATGAGATAAGGACGACAGTTAAGATAGTAGTCAGCAGACACAGGATACCTAGGGTTGGGCTGGGTTATGCCTCCGGCGTGAGGGTGCCCCTGAATCACGAATCGATGAAGCAATTGGCCGGCATCCCGTTTCACAGGTTCCTCCTACATCTACATGCATACCTACCTAGGTTGGTGGAGATGCACAGCGATACCCATTTTCCCTATCTTGGAGTTTGATATCTTAAATGCGCATAGGCCACGCTAGAAATGGCATCCTTTCATCCAAAAGCAGTTCAGATTCATGACGATAACATTCCACCCATTCTCATCACACACGTGCGATCCTTGTCGTTACCTGTTGACATCTCCAACAACCTAACACTAGTTAACAACAGGATCAACTTAAGGAAATTACATAGGCTAGGTGGCGTAACAGTAGTACTTACCTAGCAGATACGTCCTCCAACGCGCGAAGCTCCACACCTGACAGAGTGTCTAGTAAACAGGTGCCTATATCGTGTTCCGTTACTATTATCCATAAGCGAACATGTTAGGTGGTATTGAGCCAACTAGTTTAGACAGTCACTTCATTTCTTCTCAGCCTTGGAACTTGTGACTCGTCTCTTTCTCTTGAATGTGGTCCAACATCATATACCTAGGTAGTATATATTTATCATTTTGGACTTGATGTACAGTGATATCCGATGCATATATCATATCCATCCGACATACCCCTGAACACCCCCAGTCCTATACCATAAAGAACCCCAGGTAGGCACCCAAGATACCTACCTACCTACCTACCTACCAAACCACCAACAAACCCAGCCAATCGCTCCCCCAGAAGAGCGCGCCTACCAACCTACCTACCTACCTATCCATAGGTACCTAAACCGCGCTCGACTTCGTAACCCTAACCCACATATTCTCCTCCACAAACTGGCTATAACTTTCCGAATCCCACGGCATCATCGGGTTGACGAGCTGGAAGTCGAACTCGCGCATCAACTGCAGAAGGTTAGCCCCATGTACCCTACCCCCCCCATAACTCCCACCGAGTCACCCTTCCAACTAATCACGTAGCGTAGCGTAACGTAAAGTAACGTAACATACCTCAAAGAAGCTCTTATTCATCTCCATAAACGCAACCGGCTTCCCCGCACACATCCAGCGGCCGTAGCCAAAGACGAGCTCGGTGTTCCTCTCCATCTCGGCGCGCGTGCCCTCGTCGGCCTCCATGAAGCGCTCGGGGCGGAAGAGGTCGGCGTCGGCGCCGAAGAGGTCCGTGGACCGCATGACGGCGGCGGTGTTCATGCCGATGGCGGTGCCGCCGGGGATGAAGTGCCCGTGGATGATGTCGCCCTCGGGGGGCACGCACTTGGGGTACAGGCCCGGCGCCGGGGGCCGCATGCGGATGCCTTCGTATATGACGGCCTGTGCGAGAACGGTGTTTGGTTAGTACCTATAACGAAAGATCTTTTTTAAAAAAAAAGTACGTTTCCGGTTTATTGACGGGTTCATTCATGCCTGTAAGTAAGGAATCCTCTTCGCCTCTTCGTGCGTAATGGGGCTCGACACCCGGCCCTCGCGGACAGCCTCCGCAATCACCTCCTTGAACTTGCGATACACCCGGGGATTCGTCATCAGGTACAGGAAAGCCGTGCGGATGACCGAGGCGGTGTTTTCAAAGCCGGCGATGATCATGAACAGGGCTTCTGTTTCGCATTCTTGCTGGTCTAGTCCGTGGTTGATGAATGATCCCTATTCAGACGGTGAGATGAGTCAGCATTCTTCATCATGTCCCTGTAGGTGCTAGGCATTTTTTTGGAGTCCGGGAGAACGCACGAGCATGTCCTTTTCTTTCTCTTTTATGTCGGGGCCGAATCGCTGCGACACGACCTCCTTCGCTATTCTGCTCCCTCGTTAGCATTTATCTCCGAAACAACGGCAAGCAAAGTATCCAGATTAGTTCATGTGGCCTTACCCCATGAGCTTCCCCATTCCCGTCGGATCAGTCGGCTTCGGGCCGAAGAGTCTAAGCCACAGCGGAGAAAACAGTATGTTTCGAACATAGGGGACGTCAAGCGGCACGGCCAAGTCGGCCCAGCTGTGCGTGACCGAGCCCAGAAACCCGTGCACGTCCGTGTCCGTCTTGAGGCACCCAAACTCCTTCCCGAAAGCCGACCGCGTGATCACGTCCACGGTGTAGAAAGATATCAGCTCCGCAAAGTCTACGGGGAGATACTCCCCAGAGCTCTCGTCGGAGGCGTATTTGCGGCGCAGTAGATCCAGAAGCGCTTCGATCTGATCATTGATCCCTGGCTCGAGGGCCGGTGTCTCGCGGCCACCGTACGCGCCAGCAATCTTTGCCTTGAACCTGTCATGAGGCCCTGCCTCGAGAAGCGTGAAGACATTGTCGTGGTACGGATCAAACCGCGCGGCCACATACCACTTTTGGACTGTTAGTCATCATTCCCAAGCTCGCACATCAACCGCCCTATCCAGGATCACGGTGCAAAACATGAACCCCAGTACACTTATGCAGGAGTATACTCACTGGGTCTCTTCCGTAAGAACTCCTAGCCCCGTTCATCTTCCTGATAACCTCCGGGTCGTACGTGGAGAGCTCGTTTGGACCGACTCTAACCAGGGGGCCGTATTTCTTATACATGTCTCGATATATCCAGAACTGCCTTCCGCTCTTCGCAACGCGCGCCAGCCATAGGTACGAAAAGGAGGCAAGGAAGGGGCCCGGGATATGTCGGAGGCGATACCAAGTGGTGAAGGCGGACGCGATGTAAGTGACGATCGCCAGGCCGACTGCCACGAGCAGCAGCGCGCCCGGCGACGGGTCCCAGCCGAAAAGGGGCATCATGAAATTAGTATGTGATAGGATCGTGACATGAATCTGGAGGATGTATTCAAACGCCTGGCTATATGGAGTATAAAATGAAGCTACTTATTAGACACCTATGTAGGGAACTAATAGGTTAGGTGCCTGGTAGTCAGCTAGAAGCTCAAGGTCCAAGATGCAAAGACTGAGTCAGTCACCCCCCCTAGCACCAAATCCTAAGCTTCCTGGCTGCCCTATATGTATCACCACTGGAATTTGATCGTCGTCACGTCCCCTGTCCCAGCCGTGACCGTTTCCGTGGGCCGAGACAGGTAACAATTGATAGCTGTACATGATGATGACAGCATACCAGGTACTACCTATGCATGTGTCGTTCCACAGAACCACCTTTGCCCCAATCCTCCAATTAGCGGCGACGAAATGCCAAATCGCGCTACGGGCCGTTGGTAGTGGCCGTACTGGACGACAACATGCTAGCAGGTGCTTGAAGGTCAAATGTCGGCCGGGGTAGAGTAGTATTCTTCAGCAGGATGTGCATATAACATATAACAAAATGAGAACGTGTCACGCCTAGAACGCTGTTCTTGTTGGGTAGAAATTTCTAAAACAGGAAGAAACCCCCCCCCCCCCCCCCCCCTCTTCCCTGCTAAACCACCCGCGAACCCGGAAATCTCTTTGGATTCGAGAACGTGACAGCTTTCGATCCCCCCGCCTGCTGCGGAGCCGCCCACGTTTGTTCGATGGAACTCAAGATGATTAGGTGCCTAATACCGAAACAGGTAAAGTTGATCCTAACTAATATCGACTAATATCCCATCGTTGCCGCTGTGAAGTGGGGTATGGGCCATTCGCAATTGGGTATATCACGGGCGCTGTCTCCAGTGTGCCATCTATAAGAGGCTTGCAGGAACTCTCTGCCTACCTAGGCAATGATGCCATTATGATTTTCTCAGGCCCACACGATGTGCGTGCCCAAATCGTAACATTCTTTATCGGAATTGAAAACGATGCCTGTAATTCTAGGCCCAATTATCATAAGGCGTTCCTTTGGCATGGGTAGATTACTCCTATTGAAATCGATCTCGGTCGGTAGGCATCGAGGTATCTGGCTGTCTTGTATGGACTCAACACTTCAGTAGATCTTAGAGGCGAAGATCTTCACCGCTCCTAACTGACAATTCGAACGATGTTGATAAGCCCATGTCTGGTCGGCTAGACTAAGTCTATTGATGTATGGGCGTAGCCTCTCATATTCAACAAATGCACTGGTGTTTTCCCAGTATAACTAGTTGCATTACCCGACCGGTCTAGTCATATGCCTCATTGCATTAGAACCTAAAGGCACATGCCGCTTGAGACATTCCCTGCCTAGATAGGTAAAGTACCTTGGCCTCGGTAACCCCATCTACTGTGTAATTCACCTAATCAGGGTCTATTGATATCTAAATGTCCATGATACGTGAAGAGACACGTAGACGAAGTTATCGATGACTAACAGCAACCACTATCATGGCATTTTTGAACCCAAATGATTGAGAGGTGAGAGCCATACTCTACCATGTAGCGGGAAGGGCCCCATGGATGCAAGAGGATACAAGCAAGGACCTATCGTAATGTTCTGTGAGAAGGAACATCTAGTCAGAAAATGCGTGTGACCATGGGACTTCGCACCGGAAAATTGACGATGCTTAGGTAGGCGCACAATACTTAACCTTAGTACCTCGGTAGGCAGCCAGGCAGCTAAGAAGAATTTAGGGGGTAGGACTAGGAGTTCTTACCCATTCATCTGTTTTCATCAAGCTACATAAGCAAGATTTCGGCATCACCGAACTCCATTCGTTCATCAATTTCCCGGTATTCCCAGTTCGACTCTTCGAATTTTGACCTCATCGATGGCGCCCGCGGGGTCTGTCGCCTCTGGGTGACGGAGCTGCCACGCAATGCAAACATCTAGCGCCGGGGCCATCCATTTCCCAGGCTTAGTGCCCAGGGCCTTTGAGAGTTGGGTCCCGTCAATCAATGGTTTTAGTGTTGGAGCCTCCATAACGTCTAGATCTTGCAGATGATCCAGAAATTGTTGCCATTTTTTCAGGAATTCATCGTTGCTAGCTTTTTTTTTATCTGTTAGCGTGCATATAGAACAAGGTTATTGCTGCGTGTCTTACTTGGGGTTGTTGATGCGGCAGCTAGAACAACCATAGCCTCCACTAGGAGGGCATACAGGACTTGCAGTCTCCAATGGCCATTTTTGGATTCCCAATGCCGGATAGCCATTCCAAGTTTATCCCTTTCCATGGCGGATGGTTGTTTATTGAGTACTGCTGTCACGAAGGACATGATTTCTGCTCGGTTGTTGTTTGCCGCGGTGACGAGGTCACGTAGTTTGCCAGGCGATTTGATACCTTCTTGTGCAGCTAGAGTTCCAAAAGGGGGAGGGGCTTTTCCCTTTTTAGTATGTGGTGGGGCTTTGACGTTATCCCAAGGCACGACAGCTGCTAGAATCCAAGCATAGTATGCAGCTTCATCAGATCGCACAAGAACGTCGTATATAGAGCCAGGGGTCTTGCTACGTCGAAGCGAGTCGAGACATTCATAAGCTAATTTCCAATTAGATATATCAGGCACTGGAATGTCTGGTTTGGACGGATCAGTGAAAATGGTGTGATAAAGTCCAAGGTTGTCAATGTACTCTAGAGACTTGCGAGGGTGGTTGCCTAGAATGCATTGTTATCAGCTCAATCTCGCAGATTTTCATAAAATATACTCACCTTTGAGCATCTTTTCTACCTCAACGCCAACTCTCTCGCGACTGATTTTTAAACGAAGAGCGTCCAAAACACGGCGATCACTCATGACCTCCTCAACAGCGGAATCAATGGTAAACTCTAGGCGACTAGCGAACCTGACCAATCTTAGGACGCGAAGCGGGTCGTCCATGAAGGTTTGAAATGGCTCCAAGGGTGTCCTAATCAGCCGCGACTTCATATCTACTAGTCCGGTAGTAAAGTCCTCAACTTCACCGGTATTGAGGTTATAGAACAGGGCGTTGACAGTAGCATCTCTTCGCAGAGCATCCTCTTCAGCAGTGCCAAATTCCATTTGAGGATTACGGCTGTCTTCCGAGTACGTCTCCTTGCGGAGGTTGACGAAATCAACATCATAGCCAAACAGCTTGATTGTAGTAGTCTCAAGATGCTTGGACTTTTCCGGATTTCGCGCAATCTTATGAATATTGCCGACGTCCGACTTGGCCATGCCATACTTGTCAACAGTATCGGCCTGTTCGCATAACTCACACAGTTTCAATGCGAAAGCCTCGCCAGTCATGACATTGATAGCAGTGTCAATGTCATGAGACTCGACTCCTAAGAGTTTGTCCCGAACCCAACCACCTGCCCATCTTAATACGACTGGTTCTTGGAAACTGCCTGATTCATTTATGAATTTGGTAGCATCTAGGAGCAGGTTCTTAAGTTGGGATTCCTTGGGAGATAGCTCAATCGTGGTGGTTGCAGGCTGTGTTGCCATTTTTCTAAGCTGTGAAGGTTTTTTGGACTGAGAGGGTAGCTGGATATCGGAACTGTCACCTACCGCCTCTAATTTCCTTTTCACCATCAGGGAACGTGAGAAAGAGTAAGGGACTATCCTAGGCGATACGGGGAAAGTCAAGACAGGATGTAGTGTTAGGCGAAGGAAAAGGCGCATTGACTCCAAGATGAGTGGATGAGTTGATGAGTCGATGAGTCAAAGTAGGATTGTACTATGTAGCACGTTGGGTAAGAACGGCTGTTGATAAATAATAAATAATAAATGATTTTGGCTTGTTGTTTGCAGGTTGTCGCTGCCCTCTCAATCTTCAGTGCCAAGAGCTGAAATTGTCATTGAAGCCTCAGATTTGATTGGTTACTAGTAGTACTCAGCCTGTGTGCACTGGCCACGTTCAATTGCTTAGCTAAGTCAATCGCTTAGCTAAATAACTTTAACTCTTCATGAGCTTAGCTGGCTTAAGTAACCTTGGACATGATGAAACTCTCCTTAACCTCTACATCTAGGATTTACATTGACAAGTATTATCGTCATCTCTAAGGGCCTCTTGAGTCGAAATACACTAGGTAGTCACCTACTACTATGAACAGTTTTGGTGAGATGGATACTGAGTATATGACATCGGAGTTTTCAAAACGACGCCTCCTCACAAGCAACTCAACTGAAGTTATCACGAGTTACCTAATTGTAAAACAGACACTTACATACATATATGAAAAACATCATTCATTGAGCCATGTACTACACCTAGATAGGTAATTGTAACGAATCCCACCCTACCCTTCCACAGGAAACGTTGTTTAGCGGTTTGACCGGGGCATGAAACGATCTCCCCCTTTTGCGGCACTAACCGCAATGATAAGCCTCGAACCCTCAATCTTTTGAAGGGCCTGCTCAGATCCTCAGATTCTGAGATCCTGAGATCCTGAATTGCGATTGGCTCTTCACATAAGTGTCAAATACGCCGCCGGTAGTGATGTTTCCCGCGACCGCTAAAGATTCACAGCCACACAGAAACTTCGCAAGTAAACCTGGAATCGTGCAAAATACTCCCTCCCAACGCACCTGTGATGAGTCTCAGGTGGGAGTCTTGAGCTTCATTATGGCCTTATTCGGAATGGTCGAGATTGTGTTTCCCCTGCTTGCTGCTGAGAAATGGAAACAGAAGGGCCCCTGAGATGTGATGGTAGGTAAGATGGGTACATGTTTGGTTTGAACATGTACGGAGCTTTGGGGCGGAGGAAAAGATACGGACAGAGACAAGAATACTCATGAATCTTCGTTGTTCGAGACGTGTATAAGAAGGAAGGTCGTGACCAAAGATTAATTGCTTTTGATTCCTTTTTTCATCATCATCATCAGCAGCAGCAGCAGCAGCAGCAGCAACACACCAGCTTTACTTCGTCGTCTTCAGCTTCTGTACATTCTTGTTCAATATCCCTTCTCCTGCTGGCCAGGTCTTAATTCAATATTATAACCATAGACCTCCAACTCACGCATATCACAATGCCTTCTTTCAAGACTATCATAACATTCACCCTCATCGCTACTGCCCAGCTAGCAGCTAGCCACGGCGTTATCACGGAAGCCACAGGTGATGCTGGCGGATCCGGTAGTAAGTAGCCCCGTCCTCTTCCTGGCTTTATGCTATGCCGAAGCACCAGTCTAAACAACTCACCAGTGGCCCTTGGCGTCGACACTTCAACGCCGCGGGATGGGACCCGGCGACGGCCCTTCCAGCAAGACAGCACGCGGTTCCGGGGTGACCAAGCAGACACCTTCGGAGAGACCATCGGAGCAGGCGACAACGACCTGGAGAAAGGGACGCAAGCGATCCTGGCGGAGACCGGCGACCAGCTGCCGCAGATCACGGCGGGCGGCGAGCTCACGATGACGCCGCACCAGGTCAACGCGGACGGCGCTGGGCCTTACACGTGCATGATCAACGACGATGGCACGGGTGCCAACTGGGACGACATCGAGGTGACGCAGTCGCCGCCCGGCGACGACTCGCGCGACCGCGATGGCAACGAGACGGATTTCCCCCTCGTCGCGGCCATCCCGGCCAATCAGGAGTGCACCGGCACCGTGGCGGGCCAGGACAACGCGTGCTTAGTTCGGTGCCAGAACGGTGCTCGGGCCGGGCCTTTCGGTGGGGTCGTTCCGGTGCAGAGTGAGTCCCCCCTCCCCTTCCCTGCCCCCTAGCCTCATTGATTATTTTTCATTGGAGTATTGGAGTATGTAGTAGCAACAGAATGGTCTAGCTCACATGATATACAAATAGTATCTACTAGTAACACCACGTCTGCTGGCGCTGGAACTGCGCGCCGAAACCTTGCTCGGGCCATGAAGAGGAGAGCCCCTCGTACTACCAAGGTAGTATAAACAAGCGTTACTGAGAGATCGTCCAAGGGCATGTGTATATTAGGAAAGACCACGCAGTAGGGGTCTAGTTCCGCGTCCGCTTGTTTACCGGTACTTGGTCGGCAATTCAGGGGGTGGGTGGATTGCATGTTGCATGGAGGGGACATGGTGGCCGGTAAGTTATGCATGTATACAATGCTCGGGACAGTGAGGCTAGAGGGGTTGAGGGCCTCCCAAGCCGTGATTGGATGGGATTCCCTGCCAGTGTTCCGATATGGGATGTCACAAGGACCACGATATTGGATGACGTGCAGTTGAAGGCATCAAGTAGAATGCCTATGTATAATGTTGAGTTGTCTGTAACCACCTTACCGATGGGTTAATTTATCTTTGACCGTTACATCCATGGAAAATTCGACGCACTGTCCCGAAAGTTAATACTATGCTATGTAGGCTATGCTACTGAGAAAAAATCCCACCATCTACCATGGCTACCTGCCTTATATGCTTCGATGATTTTCATGTAGGCAGGTAAGCAAAATGTGAGATTTCCCACTGCCGTCTTCCGTAAACTCTTCGTTCATCAATTTGATTCAAGTAGTTATTAATGTATTGACAAACTTGCATCGCGAAGTGCAAATTGCAAAACTGCATGTGATCATGCTTCTCGGACCTCCTCTGCACACACACACAGCCTCCACCAGGAAAACAAAGGTGAGATAATTAGTCTAGGCCCGACGGGACGCAAAATCAAAGGGGCATTTGAGGTTGTCGATCAGCTTGTGGCAGGTAAACGAGGGAACATATCCACGGATACATAATACCAAGGTATAGGATACAGCCCCGGTGACTATTGCTATTATCGACTAACTACCTTTTAGAGTACTAACTTACCAGCCTACTTATTTTATCTAGATCGCGATTAACTGCCACTAACTGAGTCAATGCATTGCATAATTGCTAACGATATAGTTGTTGGAAAATACCAAGAATTAACGGTAGTGGTTATTGGTTTGGATACGGAGGGCTCCAATGGATAGCTCCAACATTTAATACATAGGGGGGAGGGGGGGGGAACTTGGGGAGCACTTGGGGAGCACTTAGGGGGGATTAGATAGGGTAACTTAGTAATCTCCAGCTCTGAATTGAACAATTCTGATTGGTGCCCACAATCTGGTTGCCAAAATGGTCCGGGGAGGAGTTTAGTTATTAGCCTACTAAGTACTAGCATGGTTCGGTTGGGTGCTCTGCGCTGACGTCATGTGGTGGTCTAGAGGCATCGATGCTAGGTCCTGGGTAGGTACTAAGCAACTACTTTCTATGTAGCTGGAGCACTGAGGTACTAGGTACTAGGTATGCAGTTAACAGTCAACGGTCCCTAATCTTTCCTTCTCTTCTCCAACACACACAGACAGAGAGACACAGACACGCACACACATAACTAGTTACCACACAACACAAAAAAGATGCAGCTAGATATTGCGGATAAAGAGAAAAATCATCCATCTATCCCCACCAACTCCCAGCCCCTCAGCTACCTAGCTATCCGACGTGCAGAAGATGCGTGTGAGCTTACACAGCCACCGTTATAGCTTGGTGACAATCATTTAGCTCTGCTTCCTTTGTAATCGGCTGCTGTGCTGCTGATCTACCCGTCTCTTGCATCATGACGGGGAGTTTTAGCTCTTACTTGATAGACCCTGAGCGAATTTCCATTGCCCTTAGCAAACACAGCCCACACCCCTCAACGCTGAAGGTATTACGATCGTACGATGGGGGGAAAATTAGGGGTCCTATGATACCTTTACGTATCAGCAAAGACGATATTGTTGAAAACAGAAAAAAAGGATTGGCCTATCGAGTTGAACACAATACCTAACCATGGTTTTATGACGACGATGACAATATAAAGTTCTCAATTAGGCGATATGCCTCAAAGAGACACTAAATCGGTAGACCATGATGACTCGACTCGCAAGAGCGAAGGCGGCCGGGGAAGCTAAGTTCAAAACGACGTGAGTCTGAACGGCCGCGAGAGCTTATTGGACGAAGCTTAGCAACCGTCTGCACGAGGCAAACTGGCTAGCGACGAGGATCGACATCCTTACTTCCCTTGGGTCGGCTTGGCTTGGAGCTTGATTGCTCTTATCTTACCTACGGCTACTACCTACCTAGGTAAACTACCCAGTCACTGAGTCGTGATCTTTTTGGAAACAAAAGAGAAAAAACCGTTTGGAGTGTGACAACGATGTAACCAATAAAATCGCAGAGTTTCACTGAATATCAAGGAAGGAAGCTATTGGAGGAGGCAAACGCATTACCACTTCCGGTCAGCACGGCAGTATCCTTTGTTACCTACTTTCGTACTTTCGTTAGCATGTCCCACCAGCAGGTAAAGGGGCATTTGCATGTACGGGAAGAGGGATACTATGTATGATGTTACGCGACATATCTGGCATGGTCGTTTCACAAGATTCAGGGAAAGATCAGACGGGACTACGTATATGAAGCCAAGGCAGGCCAAACTCAACATGGTTCGATAATATCAGGGTCAAAGTTTCTAGTTGTGTATAAGAGCTCTGTTGGACCCTTATATTCTTGATTCATTTTGATATACCTTGGGTATTCTATCTCGATCTCTCTCCATCACTTCATCTTTTATACACAAAGGACCCCCTATCTGATATCTGTGACCTAAGCTACCGCGATCCATTGTTCATAGTATAACATATCACACCCAAACTTCATATTCCTTCTCAGTCTACCGCACAATACTCTTCTTTATACATACGTACCTACACCATCAATATATACATACACACTCGGCATCAAGACAATAGACGAAATGGCCGCAGCATACCAAACAGACGCCCCTCATTTTACGAACACCTTTACTACCAACGAGCAACCGCTTGAAAGGCAAAGAACGGGCTCAAGAGACTACTCCAACACAGCCGAATGGGGTGAGTCTCCTCTTCCACCAATCTACCCTGCCACTACACAATAACTACCTTTCCTAAACCTTCCCACATCATATACTTCCTACCTACCCATCCAGGTATTCAGATAACTAACCAACCTCCCACAGACGCCTCCAAAACGCCCCCCTCCCGCTTCCAAAAGCGCAAGGGCAGCATCTACGCCACGCCGCCATCTCGCGACGGCCACGTCGAGCGCAACCGCGACGCCGTCGAGGAGTTCCACCGCGCCCACTCTAAGCGCTGGTCCCTCAGCTCTTCTGGGTCTAGCCGTCGCGGCAGCGTCGGTGTCACTGCCCCTTCCACCAGCAACAGTAAAGCAGATGAGCAGCAGAAGCGCAAAGCGAGCCAATAGGTTAGGACGTGGGAGCCGGTCGTGCTGTAGGGTGTTGGCCGGGGGAGGGGGAGCGGTGGTGCTGTCAAGGAAGGGGAGGCGCAGCTAGCCTTGTCGTCATCCTCCCGCGAACATGGGAATCGTGATGACGATGTGGATATGGAGGAAACCCAGTCTCCGAATCCAAGGTTCTGGATGTTCGTGGGGGGGCTGGTGGATTCGTTCGCCTGCATGACGCACCTGGGGTGGTTTTGAAGATGACGACGAAGAAGACTTTATGATTAACTGTATATCTATTATCTCGTCTACCTACCCTAGGTACCTTTCCCTCCCAATTTCTACAAAATCATTGTTATGTTACTTCCTTCTTACCTTGTTTTATTATTTGCTGCTTTTTCTTCGACGGCTCGGGCATAACTTTGGATTCCTTAAGAGACTATGGAGGAGGCGTAGCAGGAATGACAAAAACACTATTATACTTTTACCACCTCACTTCTTTTGTTGTGAGGTTTCGCGATGGAAAGGATATACGCTGTGCTACCGTCTATTAAGCCGTTGAATGGTTTTTTGCATGAGTCGATAACACATTCGGTTTTCTTCGCCTGAACTAAATAGAAATGATATCTGCTACAGTTAGGTTCGATTACCTACGTAAATATCTAACCAATCTAGATGCAGCACTCCTCTATCCCCATTCGCACCTACAGCACCAGCCCTCCCTCAAGCAATAAACCATCTATCAAAACAAAAAGAAGTTACCAGGTAACTCCCTACCCAGCAGTTGCATATATCAAAAACCGCCACCTAGGTATGTACTCCATCCGCACAAAACATCGACCGATGACGATACAAAGCCCAACGTCATACATACATACATACATACATACATACAATACAGCACGAAGCATATCACAAACAAACTTACACGGCAACTTACAGTACAACACGCTGCCGTTGAACCCGTAGGTAATAGAGCAACAAGCACAAATACCCACCTACTGTACTTAAGGCATACAGATTTTGTAAACACATGCCACAGCGTAAACTTACATAGACACTCCCCTAGATTAAGTACCTAGGTTAGGTAGCTACTAAGTTAGTAAGTCTACAAGCTAGTCGTGCGCACATACTTTAGGTCGGCAGCGCTGGTAACAAGGTAGGCAACCAGGTAACGAGGTGAATACCTAGGCATGTAGGTAGCTAACCTAGGCATGTAGCTACATAGTTTGCACAGCCTTGCCTCGCTCGCTACTTACCATGTCCTTAGACTACCTACCTACCTACCTACCTAGGTCTGCACTTACATACATACATACTTACACCCACATGAAAAACACGCAGCACGATACCTTACGACACCATACCATACCATACCATACCATATACCTATATATCCACCCATCATCAGACCATCCCAAGTCAAGTTAGGGAAATCTCGGCATACATACCCTGCCTACCGATATATAAAAAAAAATAAAAAATCCATGGACATGCACATTTCAACGTTGCGAGATCCGTAGCGTTGCATGGGCAGAGAAAGACATGTATGTATGTATGTATGTATGTATGTATGTATGTATGTGCATACAGGCAGGCAGGCACGCACGCGAAGCAACAACAACACAGTGGTACATACCACGAACGAGGCATGTATATACCTAGGCAAGTAAGCAAGCAAGCAAGCAAGTATCAACCCACCCGCCTACTTATGTAGCTACCTAATCTACGTGCATACACTTCCACTTCCACTTCCCCCTCTCCTCTCCATCAATGCAACGCAACGCAACGCAACGCAACCATGGTCCCCTCTTTCGCCCACCAGACATGCAATGAAAAAGGGGGTAGTAGTAAGTAGTAAGTAGTAGTAGTCAAAACGAAACGTGGAACTAAGACAGCAAGGAACCGTCAACGAACGAAAAGAACACAAGCAATGGTTAGGTGGGTAGACAGGCAGGCAGGTAGGTAGACGGGCAAGCAAGCACGCAAGCGCATTGTTCGACATACATGTACATATGGGAGAGAATACATGTACTTAGGTAGCTAGCTACCTACCTAGGCAAGGTACTATGTAACGCGTTGCTATGAAAAGCCAGCCAGCCAGTCCAACCTCAGCCGTCCCATTCCCTTTCCTGACAAGAAAATTATGTAGGTAAACTGGCTTCCCCTCTTCACTATGCCAAGTGCCGAGTTGCCAAACATTTTTTTTGGTCAAGAATGTGAAGTTATGTATGTAGGTGTATCAATTCATTCAGTCGTCATCCATGCCATCAATATCGATGGCGTCCGGGTTCGCAACGGCGGTAGGGGGTTGCTTGGCTATTGTGCCCGCGATTCCCGTGCTGGCTGCCACGAACCCTGCTGGAGCACGTGCTTGCCGCTCCAACTGCTCCATCGCATCTGCCACCTCGGAGTCCCCATTGGGCTGTTCCGAACCTGCTCGTGTCTGATTTGCGCGTGCAATCGCTTGAGAGGCGATAAAGTTGACATCTGTGTTGTACTGCGCCTGCACACTTCGCTTGATCCGGAGCATTTCCTTGTACGTATCTTCGTTGCCATGCTGCACCTCGAACTGCTCCCACTTGGTCCAGAATGCGGGGTTCGTGCGCGGATCACAGAACTGCGATGCGTGGCCGTAAATGGCGCGGGCACGGTCGATTTCTCCCAGGCGCTTCTCCATGTCGGCAAACTTGAGACACATATCTCGCGCCTCTTCATCAGGGAGGGCAGCAATGGCCCTTTCGTAAATTGGTCTCGTAGAAGGTAAACCGAAGTTAGATGCTGACTTCGTGATGTAGAAGTTGAACATGTCGGCTCGGTCTTCGTCTGAAACTGCACGAGTAGCTCTCTCATAGATGCGCATGGCGTGCCGCGCTAAGCCTCGTTCTTCCTCTAGATTGCCGTACATTAAGTACAATACCTTGGCAAATTTAGGTGGGCAGTCTTCCACTGCCTGTTCAAAGAGGTCTCGGAGCCGTTCGATACCGATCTTCCTATCGACGGCCTTAGTTAAATAGAGGTTCCATAGCTCGAAAGCCACTGGATAACTGAAAAGGTCCAGTCCTCTTTCGTAAATCTTAAACGACTCCTCGTAGTACTTGTTGTCTTCCATGAGGTTGGCATAGTTGACTACAGTTTGCGGAGTGGCAATTCGAAGCTCGAATATGCGCTCATAGACCTTCTTGGTCTCATCCAGAGAGCTGACGCTCTCAACAAGGTCGACATAGAAACTCCACAACTTCCAACTCTTGTGAACCCTTTGCTGCGGCGAAAGAGTCTCGTCGAAATAGTCAACCGTCGACCTCTTTGGAGCTTGCACAGCCTTGGCCATAATCTTCACAGCTTCATCAAAGTTTTCATTGCGGAGCTCCATTTCTGCCCACTCGATCCACATGTCAGCCAATTCGGCAACTGACTTGAATGGGACTTTGACGGCCTTCTCCATGATGACTCTTGCATTCTTGATGTCACCTCCCTTTTCGTAGAACTTGGCGTAGTTTGCCCATAGCTGGTGGAAGGGCCCAACTGCTTTCTTTGGGTTGATAGCCGCGATCGCATCGGTGTATGTTTGAACAACCTCGACCTTGTTATCTCCCCAGAGCGCCACACGTTTCTCCCATTCTGAGACACTGTTGGGGTTCTGCCGTAGTAGTACATCGTTGAGAAGGAAGGGTCGTCGGTCCATGAGCTGCTCGAACCGCATCATGCGGATGTCTAAGTCAAAGTCGGCATCTTCGTCGACTTTATCTTCTTCCGTGCGTTGGGACGCTAACTCCATCAACGCGCCAATAATCGATTCCTCAAATTCGGCGTAGGTATCGAAGATGAGCGTAAAGTCTCGAACGGTCATGACAGTCGTAATCCCTTCTTCAAAGATATCCCTAGCGCGCTCAAAGCTGCCTCTTCTAACCCAGTAGGTAGCCAAGCCGCACCAGAGCTTTCCTCTTTGGTCTGCAAACCTGTCGATTCCACTTCGAATAATCTTGTCAACATCGATGCCAGTCTCATGTCCAGTCTCGATTTCGTTGGCATGTTCAACAAGTAGGTCGACCATCTCGCTCCAGAGTTCATAATGTCCTTTACTATGTTTACTGTTAAAGCGCGGGTTGTTGAGGATATCGATGTACTTCTTTACAGCTTCGGTGTATAGGCCAACATGCGTCAGAAGCTCGATAAACTCTTCGGCATCTTCGGGATGGACCTGCATGTATCGTCGCCAAATCTTCACAGCCGTCTCGCCCGAAGCGGAGTTGGCGAATGGTCTGTACAACGCCCATATCCTGTTGTGTTGCGTGATAGGTAGCGCTCGAAGGGCTCGATCGAAGGTGCGCCGGGTGAGAGTGACGAGAGGCTGCTGCAGTAAGAACTTCAAATACATCTCCCATATCCTCGGCATTTTGTTGAGAAGGACAAGTGCTCGTTCGAATAAGGCATTAACTTTCTTATACTCGGAGGCAAAGACGGCAGTATTGAGTTTGGAGACATGTTTTGTTCGGAATTGCAGGTACTATCTCAGGTTAGAATGGAAAAGTATTGCGAACTAACATTTGGTGTTATTGAGACGTACCATCTTCCAGAGCTTGTACGACCTCGGAAGCTGCTTGCATGCCCTCTCCAGAACAAAAGCTTGTTCGTGAACGTTCCCGTGCTGAAATTTGAACTGGATGTATGCCAGCCACGGCTTAGTACTTCCTAGGTCTCTCAGAATGTCTTGCTCGTAAACGGCGTCCTCGTCGGTCTTTGTAAAAGCATTGTTAGTAAAAAAAGGAAAGAAAGTGACATAATCACAGGTGGATATGTTGGTAGAGAATACTTACGACAAGGTGAAGGTCTGGCTGTCGGCCATTTCGGACACCGTTCTTTAGGCTACTCGGCGACATTTTGGACTGAGATTCTCGTTGAGTGACGTTGGATCGCGATCGCTCGCAGAGAAGTTCTGCTGGTCGACGGGGCAATCGAGAGAGTCAGGGCATCGTCATTGCAGGATACATGGGGTATGGGTTTTTAGGGGAATAGAGAATGGTGAGTGGTGAATCGAGAATCGAGAATCGAGAACCGAGAATGAAGGCGGAAGAATGAGGACGTAGCTTATATTTCTTCAACCATAAAAGGCGTCCGAAAAATACAAATTAAAAAAAAAAAGGAAAGATAAAGGAAGGAAGCGACTGTAATTTGATCTTTTCGAGCCCGACAACGTTAGGTTAGATCTTTTGAATGAACCGTGACCGACCGCGACGACTTCTACATGTAGGTTAGATTTCTTAGGTATCTAGGTAGAATTGGATGATTGGTTAGGAATTTTTAAAAAAGTCCAAGAAACATGCATGTCGAATCGAATGTTACTAATCAATCAATAACTAACTAACTAACCTAGTTATTTAACAATGAGTTTCAGTAGTACAGCGAGTTTATTCACTTAAACGTAAATAACTAGGAAGCTCCGTCATGTTTAATAAAGTGGGACTTCAACTCTAATCATCACGAGTCCTTAATCAACAACCTTCAACCTTCAACCTTTTAACTGTCTAACCGTCTTTACGATTAATACTCCCTGTATCCTCCCTGTCTTACACCTCTTACTCGAATTGCACCTGTACTGGTACTGTGTGTAGAACTCAACGTCCCGGGAAAAAGGATTTGGTCTTACAATTAAGAAAGAAGACTAGAAACTAAGGATACAATATGTCTGGAGCTGGAGTACGTTCACGACCAAATCCTCATGCTTTGCGTCCAGTCATTAACATAGCTCTCAGGACCGAGAAGCTGTCTTTCCGACCCGGCAGTCGCTAGGTCTCATGAAAGCTAAGCTAAAGGGAGCTGAAACGGGCCACAGTTTGCTAAAGCGCAAGAGTGAAGCTCTCACCAAGTACGTCTATTATTCTACTATCGCATGTGCCTTGCTTTGCTGATAAGTGTTACCTAGGCGTTTCCGAGGTATGTCCATCCAATGAATTTCCAATCGATATCTACATTCTCCTTTCTCCCCAATGGGTTCCATTAGATCGTTAACCCCCATCACAGAAATCACACGACGCATCGACGAGGCCAAGCGTAAGATGGGACGAGTAATGCAAATCGCTGCCTTTTCGCTAGCTGAGGTCACATACGCGGTCGGCGGCGATATCGGATACCAAGTACAAGAATCAGCCAGACAAGCACGCTTCCGAATTCGCACCAAGCAAGAGAACGTCTCCGGTGTCCTCCTACCCACGTTCGAGAGCTACCTGACCGAGGGCAACAATGACTTTGGTCTGACGGGTCTAGGAAAGGGCGGACAGCAGGTGCAGAGGTGCCGAGAGACGTATGCTCGCGCTGTAGAAACTCTAGTAGAGCTTGCTAGTCTGCAGACCGCCTTCGTAATTTTGGACGAGGTCATCAAGGTTGTGAACCGAAGAGGTAAGTCCCTGATACCCCCCCCTACATAAATTAGGACTATATGAATAAGGCTGACCGTACATAACCAGTAAACGCAATGTACGCATACTTCCCTTCCTATATATATCTTACGTACCAGATCAACAGGTGGTCTCCGAGGACTGAGCTAACACAGCAACAGAGAGCATGTCATTATCCCGCGAACAGAAAACACGATCAAATGTAAGCTCTCCTTACATGTACCATACTATTATCTTGAGTAGCAGCTAATGTCCACGTAAGACATCAACTCAGAGCTCGACGAGCTGGACAGAGAAGAGTTCTACCGGTTGAAGAAGGTCGCCGGCAAGAAGCAACGAGACACCGCCGCGGCAGATGCCGAGATGAAGGCGAAGAAAGAGGCAAAGGCACTGGCCGACCAGGAGAACCCCCAGCCGGATGATTCCGCGCCGACGGATATTCTGGCGACTGGCGAAGACGAGGACGTTATCTTTTAAGAGTAGACTAAAGGGTAATGAGGAAAGACATGGGTGGTGGTTCGTTCGGGTTGAGCTGATTGGAGGTCGTCATACCTAGGCAAATTCGATATTCTTTCGACTGTTGGAACCGACTGGGTGGTCCTCGTCATTGTGTATTTGTATTCCCTTATATGATACCAATAAGTTAAATGACACTGGATCTAATATCACCTTCGTAATGCAAGCAATACCATTCCTACGTACCTAGAATGCCTGATGCAATCACAACCATAGCAAGGCAAGGGGGGGAATATTGTGTATGGATTTCTATGTATCAAAATCTCTCGCATTTGTCTCGATTCTCCCATGGCCTGTGAGTTATCTACGTCAAGTACCTACTGAGGAAGCATGAAAATAGATGCTACCCTAGGGAGGTAAGTGCCTAGTAGTACGTAGGTATCATGCACACAACACCAGCGTAGCCACGGCCAAGACTTATCATTACTACCACCACCGCCACCATCCTCATCATCCTCACCACACTCACTGTCTCTGGTACGTAACCTTAATAAACTTATCGCCCAGCGCCATACCCGCCGTGTTCTCCTTGGCCGTGATAGCGCCCGCCTCGGCCTCGTATTCGATAAACGCGATGCCCTTTCGGCCCGGCACCAGCCGGACCTCGCGGAACCCTTCGAAGCGGCCGAAGACGCCCGTGAGCGCCTCGATGTCGTGGTAGTCGTCCGGCAGGCCCTGCACGAACAGGATCTTGTTCGGCGGCAGGTACTCGTCAGGCACGACGGCGTTGGGGCCGCCGGCGCCGGCTGCGGGCGCAGTGGGCTTGAGGCCGCGCGCTGTCTTTGCGGGGCGGTCGCCGGCGGGGAGGGCGCCGGGGCGCTTGAGACGTTTTTGCTCTTCGGCTGCTTCGGCGGCTTTCTTCTTGTCTGGGGGTTGGATGCGTGTTAGCTGCTGTACTTACTCTCTTGCTATGTTTCCTATTTTATTCCCGTATCGAGATCGAAGACAAAGGAGAAGCAAGGTGATGGGTAGAGAGATACGAACCTTTCTCAGCCAATCTCCTCCGCTGGTGTAGCTCAAACTCATCCTTATTCCCCGTCTTTAGAACCGTAGCGTCGCTCCTCGTCCTCGCAAGCGCGAGCTGCATCGGCTTGTCAAAGATCTCGAAGCCCTGGATCTCCTCGACGGCCTGGATGGCGGACTCGGGGCGGTCGAACACGACGAACGCCTGTCCCTTCGCCTTGAGGTTGCGCTTGGCCACGATGTCGATGACCGTTCCGTAGTCGGAAAACACGGCATGCAGGACCTCTTTGAGAGCCTCGGGCTTGACGCGCTCCTCGAGGTTCCGCACGTAGACGCTGTGAGAGTTGTAAAAGTTTTTGGTTAGTTCTTACATTTGCCCGCGAATGAAATGAATGAGATGATTACGGCTACGAAATCCGGGGGTTGTATGTGTCGGAGTGCAATGACACATACGTGGAGATGGGTGGGCTTGAAGCCATTTTTTTTTTTTGTATCTTTCTCTGTGATGATGATAGTTCACTGTGGTGGGTGATCTAGCTAGTAATCGTAAAAGAATGGAAATGATGGAAGGTTTGGATGCTCACGTTACAAAGTAGATTTATTTGTTGTACCGCGATTATTAGCGCCAAGTCAACTATTTGGCTCTTTATCGATAGAAGATTAACTAAACTGCTACCTACTAACCTAGCGTAGTACAGTTGCATAGCCCCTGCATTTAAACAAGTCTGCATAACCCCTGGTATACGGACTTGGTAGTTACATAAGACTGAATTATACAATCCATCGCGTTCTCACCACGTCCTTACATCCTTACTACACTTGCTGCACCAATAATTACACAGTACGTACACCGAAACCCCTTCTATAACTGTCATCATAATAACACCCGTGTCCCTACATGCTATTTTATTTATTATTGCGTACCCACCTACTACTCAAGCCGCGGCAACTTCTTCTTCGCCTCTATTACTAGGTCTATCTTCAGTTTGCTCCGAGGCTGGCGGCTCTTCTTGTGGTGGCTTCTGCTCTTTCGGGGGTGCTTCCTCTTGTTCAGGTTCTTCTAGCGCCAGTTCACCACGCAAATCTGGTAAGAAACGATCTATCCGCTTCCACGTTTCCACCCAGAGCTTTTCCTGTTGGGGGTCCTTAGTTGGCGGAACGAGATATCCGCTACTCGCCATGAATAGGAGTACATTTTTGAGATTTTCTGGCACAGCCTCCTCCTACATATCGTATTAGTATTAAAGCATGCATTTGTGATGATCAATAAAAAGGGACTGGCTTACCAAGCTATCGCCTTGACCACTATTCATAAGTCGGTCCATGATATCGATGATTTGCAACCAGAGATCCAGCATACCATCCCACTTTGAGAGTAGGACAAGATACTGTAAGAATGTTTTGCAAAGAAGTGATGCCGCCTGCACTCTAGTTTCGCTCATCCCGTCTCGGTCCGATGAATAAACCTCTGGCTTCAACAGCCGTAGAATCAAAGGGAACAAAACCTCACCAAATATAGCCGTCCATTCCTTGTGGTCGCTACAGGTCAATTCTGGAGACAGCAGAGATCGTTGTAGAGATGAGAAAGCCAGTGATCGCACTTCGCGACAGGGGTTGGTGCATTGTGTCGTCAGAGCTTGGAAAATGGGTAGCCAGTACGCTGACCAAGCTATATCATCATTAGTCAAGTGCCGCGTACATGGTATAGAAATATGACCCACCTTCATTATTTTCTAGATGTGACTGTTTCATGAGATGAGGAATGCGAGCTGTCATGCTAGAAATAAGATTGACCGCTTTTACGCCGCGCAAGACTACGGCATTTTCACTAACAGTGGTTTAGCAGGCTGGTATGAGTTGTAGCTTCTCGGCAACGTACCTTGGGGCCTCCTTCTTAGGTGGTCGGACATTTCTCTGCCTCCTCTCACCCTTCTGCTCAACCAGTGCACCGACCTTAGCGGCTGTGGCATATTCGTTGAGCAGGGCAATAGCAGCTTCGTAGTTATCCGCGATGATTGCCGACGGAAAGCCGGACACTCCACCCTCAAGAATCTCGAAGACAGTTGGGGAGGCATTCGAATTGCCGGCAAGGGTACGGAGAATAACCCAAAAATCGGGTGAAGTCATGATCTCGCTTCGTAGCGGTCCCGGCTGATCGATACAAAGCTTCAACCCTTGCAACACAAACTGCGACGTCTTGGCAAGGACATCTTTCGGGAAACTCGATATGGCGTGCAAAAGCACTGGCGGTCGTACAAAATCGTGATCCTGAATTATTAGAACGGACAAGTCTGTGGACTGCTTCATGACTTGACTTACATAGCTCTCTTTCAATACACTGAATTGATAGTATGCCGCTCGAGAAACAAGGATAGGATGGTGCTGGGCAGAATCACGCAGAATCATTTGAAGAGCTTCCGCAACTGATTTCCCAAGCAACTCAACCGTCTTCTCGTCCCTTAGAGCAAGAACAGTGCAAAATTCCAAAATGTACACCACCGCAGGATCGTAAGTATGTTTTCGAGACGGTGGCTTAGACCCGCTGGAAGGTGATGAAGGCAAGCTTTCCGGCTTCACCGTTATGACGGGCACAGCTGAGCTTTCATCGTCGGGCAATTCATTGAGTAGTGCTTCAATGAGCGTCGACAGGGACTCAGCTGGAAGGATTCTAAATCATGTTTGGTGAGTTCTTGGTTGGCTAAATATTATCAGTTCTTAGATGACTTACGATATGTTTGTGAAGACATTTTCCAAGTCACAAGCTTTAATGCAATCTGCCGTGCTGAGCGAACTCTCAACTTCCTCGGCCGAAGGCTCTGGCGGATCGTCCGCTGCATAGCTAGATATATATGAAGACAGTGCTGAGAATAACCCAGATTCGGCGGTTTTTGCTGCTCGGTCAATGACCTGTGACGGTGTATGGAGTGGAATTTTAGGGAGCTTAAGTTTCTCAGGGTCATTGTTAAACGAAGGAATAAGGGAGTTGACGAAGAGTTTCAACCAGATTCGGATAATCTAGATCCATTAGCTTACTGCGGATAAATGGGCGTTGAGTACGCTTACCTGTTGCCAACCATGTCGGATGATGTGTTCGCTTCCTTTTACAACACGGAATAGTACGAGAGTTGCGAGTTGCGCCTTGAAGTCTCTTCCGAGCTTAACGGAAAGTTCACTGACCATCACGCTATCGCTGTCATCTGCTACCTTTACTTCTGTGTTTAGGGCGGTGTTTGACAAATCATCAGAATCTAATGTTGTCATATAACTGAGGTTCTGGATAATACGATCCAGTGCTTCCTTAATGCCATATCTCGAGGCAATCTGAGCACATTGGTCGAAACCAGTGACAACCCGGGAAAATACTGCGTCGTCGGTTGCTGACATGAACACATATGATAAGGTTGAGACGATTGGTTTCCACGTGGTTGCGAACATGTCAGCATCGTAGATGTTAGTATCGCAAATCACCAACGGTCCCGCAGCTTCAGTTTTTAGGAGTAGCTCTCGCCATGCATAATCGAATGCCTGTTGGTTGTCATGTTCGTCAGGAAGGATGATCTCGTTTGACTTGATTGCCTCAAAGGTCATTTCGAGGAATTCAGGAGGGAAATCCTTGGTGCCATTGACACCACGCAAGTTTCGCGCAAAGTCTACTAATTCCATACGCTTCTTTCCCTTAAGCTTGGGACTGTGTTGGTCGACATTAAGCATGATGATAGCATACGTAAGGATGAACACAGCATCCTCACTCTCAATAACGTCTGAGCCTGAGGTTGCGAAATACTTCTTGGCGAAGGCAGTCACTATTCGCTCGATAAGCGCGGACTCGCCAGGAAGCCGGAAGCTCTCGAGAAGAAGCCGAACTGCTTCATCGACCCGCTTGCCCGCGAAGTCGAACAAGTCTAGAAAAGCCTCGAGATATTCATCGTTCCCCTTTTTAGATAAGAAGTCGCCAAGGACTGCCTTAGAAATACGAGATGCAGTTCTAAGGAACTTGGCGGCTGATACGGGATCATTGCTGATAACTCCTTGCTCTTTAAGGTATCCTAGGCCATCTTTTGGTTTCTCGTTGAATTTTGTTGCGCCCTTAACAATCATTTTCTTCCTTCGCCTCTCTTCTCGGAGAGCTAGTTGATCTGGTAATCCATCTACGACCGGCTCATCATCGAGGCGATCTGCTATGGACTGGACGAAACCGAGTAATGCATCCAAGCATAGAGGAGGCACGCTTGTTGTGCTCCAGGTAGCTGAATCTGGAAGAGCGCTCCTCGAAAGTAGACCAAGCATGTCTTCGCACAGATTGCCACGATTCGCATCGGAGTCATAATTCACAAACAGCTCAACCAAGAAAGTGGGGATTCGAGTCAAAGCACCGACACTCTCCACCATGGCCTGGCGAGCGTCCGGCTTACGTGCACCTCCTTCCATACCTAGTTTTTGTCGGTCCTTTACGGGGACCGGGGTAGATCTACCACTACCAGGTTGCGACGGTGGAGGCTTCACACCACTTGGCCGTTGTGGAATACCATCATAAAGTGAAGGATCTATGTTAGGCTCGCGCGGTATTTCGACCGGTGGGTGCAAGCATACGATGAGATAAGACAGGAAGAGTTCCTGCTGCAATTTTAATACTCCTCGGCAGGTCTCCAGTAATGTTCCGGCAACAATAAGCGATTCTTGGAGAATAGCCATATTGTCAGATCGGACAAGTTGGAACAGATGTCGACATAGCCGATCCTCGGCGACTACAGCTAACGCCGGATGTCTTGCAATGGATGGCCCAGCAACTTCTAAAGCGACGTGAATAATACGTAATGCCATGACCCGCATCGTATCACCTTGTTGCCTATCGTGTGGATCTAGGAGGTCTACAAGAACTCTGAAAAGTTCTTTCATGGAGGGCAACGAATACGGTCTGATATCCACGGACTCGTCTGACTCCAACGATTCTCTTGCAGACTTCTCGTTCTCTTCAACGTCGCGGATAACATTCTCGGATCCAGACGAATCTCGAGGTTCATCAGCGATAGGAGCATCGGAAGACGCAATAACGTCATTGCCATTGGTCGATGGAACCATTTTTACCCCTTCCATATCTCCGCTTGCCTGGTTATCTAAGGCCTCTAAATCGTCGCCGGCTTCAACCTCTAGATGCTTAAGATGCTCGAAGATGATCTGACACATACGGACCATCGCCGCTTCGGCCGTTCTCCGGAGAAGCTCGGATAATCGCGACTGGCAGCACATTGTCAAGCCGGTTTCCATCATTTCGCAGACGCTTTCGTCGCTTAACAGCGCACCTCCTGGGCCGGAAAGCATATCCTCCATGAGATGTAAAATCATGAGCAGAACAACTTCATCCTGGGCAGAATCACTGGCCTCGAAGCGGCAGTGTGTTATCGCTGTCGATAGAGATTGCATAGCGAGCGGAAATCGTGGTGAATCGGGGCTGATGAATCCATAAGATAAGAACTTCCGAATCGCCTTCAAAGCGAGAATAGTTATAGGTGCGGAGGTAGACGAAGCCTGGATCACTTGGAGAAACGGGTTGAGGAGGGCCGGGGCATCAAAATCGTGGATATCTGTAACTCTAGTTAGCGCACCATCCATCACTTGTTTATGGGTTTTCCATGCCACCTCACTTTTGCAACTCGATAGTTCGTGGCGAAGACGGCCAAACCCAGCCATCAGGGGATTATCCTGCATGCTCTTGCCCTTCTTCCCTCGCAGACCCCATCGGTTTGCGACTCCGATATCTTGCCCTCCATCCAACCCCAAGCTAGCTGTAGATCCTTTGCTTCCTGGCCGCATGAGGGGACTAGGAGGGCCAAGTTGAATGGGATTTGGGTTGCCGCCAAGTATAGAAGACACCGAAGAGCCCGCCCACCGGGCATGCTTTCGCATAGCAGAGGTGACGGTTATGCATTCTGATATGACCAAAGACACCGGGTCGACAGCTACTGCTACTGGCCGGCTTCGGTATTGCGTGTTAGCCGTCTGGGTATCGGAGTTCATGGCCGCATTCTCTGTTGCGCTCTGGCGAAGCGGTTGACCCAAACTATTTGATTCGGGCGCAAATGCTGACTCCATTGTGATATTGCTCTGATCATCTCGGCTCATTATCGCCTGCACGGGGCGATACGTGGTTCGAGGGCGATAAGTTGGGTTTCTCGTCGTCGTTGTTGTCGTAGTCGTTGTCGCAGAAGCTGAGATTCGATAATAGCGAAGCTCGTCTATAATTTAGCACCTAGACAATTTAGCTACCTAGCTAGTAGGCACCTAGATAACGGATGGGAATTCTAATAGAAGTGTCTAGACGTCACTGAGCTCAGAGAAATCCAAGACTCATCTCATTGTCCAATTATGTTTTTATCGAGTCAGTGTGGACAAAGTGTTGTTGTTAAAAAGTATTGTAGGTACAGGGTACAGTATTTAATATGTAGAGTCGTAGCTCTGCAACTGTAGTTATGTAGTTAATTCTAATCGCATATTGCACCTGCGGATTTGGAGAGTAGGGACCTCTTAAGAAATCTCGCACGTGCCAGGAAGCTGTTACCAGCTGTTCATTATGCAATCGGCGACTGTTAATCCGATTCTGCCAGCGTGGCGGCAATCAAAATCTCCAAAATCTCCAAAAGAAATACTTTAATAGTAACTACTAGGTACCTAATAATACTACCTACTCTAGGTTACTGAATTTATTCGGTAATTGGAGGAATGAGTATTCATAGATATTCCATAGAAATCATGAGAATGAAATTCACTGAATATCCACATCCACATCCACATCCACATCCATATTCATATCTCGATTCGAAAAAAAAAAAAAAAAACTACTTCTCCACATAACTACCTACATTACTAGGTACGATCATTACCTACTAGATAGGTAGTACTATGTAGTTACTTAGTAGGTAACAATAGATATAAGTGATATAAGTGATATAATATAGCCTTACAAGGCCGGTCTATACAATAAACACCGCAGCTCCTTTTACTGCGTTCAACAATACATGTATCCCATGCTTCATAAACATGCATCGAACCGACACTACCAAAACGCCAGTGCCATGATCCTGGCCATGGTCCTCTTTTATCGTACAAGTGACCAATATCGACCATACGCACCCATCCACACCTGACCCCAATCATTATTTTTGCAGTCCATCCTCATGCTGTCTCATTAATGGTGTAGATTATGAATAGGCCCAGAAGCGAGGCAGTGAACAGTCAAGTCCCGATAGAAGAGTACTCGTCATTATATCTTATATCTTTCTCCTTAGGCCGCTACCCTAAACTGGTTGTTCTTGGGCTTGTCCTCGACCTTGTTGGCGTCTGCTTTGGAGTCTGGATTCGACTCTTCCTTCTTCTTGGAGTCTGGAATCTGTTCTTTCTGTTCTTTCTCATCTTTCTGCTGCTTCTGCTCCTTCTGTTCCTTATGCTCCTTCAGCTCTTTTTGCTCTTTTTGCTCCTTCTGTTCCTTCTGGGCCTCTTTTGCGAGATTCTGTACTTGGGACTTATCTTGCTCCCATTGACTGTTGGTATCGCCGAACTGCTCCTTGATCTTTTTCTCCCGATCTTGTTTGTTCTGTTCCTCGGCCTCTTTGGCTCGACGCTCTGCTTCCATTTCCTAGTTTTGATTGATTTAGTGAATTTCCTTAGGGATAATCAGGGATTACGTCTTCCTAGCTTACCTCCATGTGTCTAATATCATCGATGCTAGGCTCGTACAAGTGCCAAATCGTATAATGAGGAAGTCCAACCACAGAGAATTGCATTCGTTTAGCCATCTATGCCTGGTGTTAGCGTTGGTTTTACGGAACAGTATAACCAATATTACCTTGCCAAAGCCTTCAGTTTCAGCGTGCTTCTCGAAACTAAATGCCGGGAAATGAACACCCGACCTAAACACTCTTGCCTTAGCAAGAATGCTCACTCCCCCGACACCGTCGATTTCCATTTCCATATCAGGGTCACCGTAAGGGTCGCGAAGATAAGCCAAGTGAGGGCGCCAGGTAGCGTACTCAGCGTAACCTTCTACGATGACAGCATCTTCATCAAGGGTGTCGGCAAGAGCCAAGGCTGTTTCCGATTCCTGCCATGAGTTTAAATCGTACGGCTGTTCGCCTCCCAGCCAATCCGGAAGTGGTCGCCAAACATCTGTATCATTGTTAGTAATAGGAGAGGTAACGCAAGCGATGCCATGAATGCTTACTTGGTACAATGACATCCTTATTGTGGCGCATCAAATCCTCAAGAATGGTGAATGGCGCAGTCTCCACATCAACATCTCTCCAATAAACCCACGAATGGTACGGTCGTAAAGTTGCGCTGAGTAGCCAGTTGCGAGCCTGGGCCATCAGCTTTCGGCGACTTGCTTGTGCTGCAAATCCATGACGACTCTCGACATCTTGGTTGACCTTCTGGCCAAAATCCTTCTCGATAATAGAAATTTCTCCATAGGGTTGTTTGGGATCTTCGCTAGCCTGCAAGTCCTCAAGCTTTTCTACAAGCAATTCCAAGGTTCTATCTTTCGAATCGGAAACCAAAAAAGCGAGGTCGATAAGATGGTGGGGGTAAGTAAAGTTGCGAAGATGCGAGAACATCATATTAAGATGGGATTCAGCATCTCGTAATGGCACGCACATTAGGATACGCTCTTCCCGTTCCCAGCCGCGAGCGGTCCCTTGTACGTTGGAAAGATCGTAGTATCGCACCGTATCCATCAAGACATCACCACTTGCGCTCATGAGACCTAATGAGAATATGGAGGGGAGGGATACACTTCCTGGCCAGACAAATAGCCAAATCAGTATGATCACAATAGCTAGTATACCCAATCGCGTCAATAGGCTTTTCCGTCGGCGTGCGGCTGGTGTCGAGGCGCGCGGCTGAAATCTGCCCCAAAATATAAGTTAGATCATGGCTATCAAAGAAAACTTCCCAGACGTTCTCGAGACCTCCACAACGCGCTTATGGCTTAAAAGGGGCTCGATTTCGTTTCACGAACCTGTGGGGAGAAATGTCGAAGGTGTTGCTACTGCGTGGATAGCCATTGGAATATCCAGAGGAATGGTGCCTTTGGGACATCATCTTGGGACTGGTCGACGACGCATATGAAGGAAGCATTCGTGATACTTAAGCGCTTTATTGATGAACACGCGCGTAGGGGGTTTTCGAGTATGGGACGAGCCAACGACCCTTCGTTTTTAGGGGAGGGCGCCTTTTGGGCTAGAGTCTAGGGGGGGACGCGCGAGGTAGCTCTAGAGATTCATGAGCAATAATAAATCGAGGAAACCGGTAGACTGAAAGTTATAGGATCGAATTGACAGGATCGAAGTTGGTTACTAGCATCAATTCACGTCGCCGCCAAATAAGTCCATGGATGACAGGCAATGACAGGCAAGATGAGGCACAAGGGACAGAGACGGAATAATTAAAAAGGTGTCGAGTTTAGAAAACCTACCAATCCGAAATCGCGCTAACGGCTATCACCTAAGTACATGCAATAAATTAGATTGCAGATAAGCATGTAACGAGGAATGGTGGAACTTGGAAACTTCCGCCAAGCCCAAACTAACAGCTGGAGAAGCCGTTTCAAAAAAGATCCGCCAAGCCTTAAGGTCAATCTTTCTACCACAGATCTAATAATCTAATAAGGCACAGACCACCGTTAAAGCTCACCTTTAAATTATGGGTTTGATAATGCACCTTATGCAATTTATACGGATGCATCACAAAATGCATAAGATGTTAATGCCAATAAAATAACTTGAAATATGCTTATCGTTGCATGTAGACACATAAGAAGCGGGCCTTTTAAAGTAACTAGTTAGTTATCTCCCCATTCCGCCATGTGATCATGGACAACCTCTTTACAAAAAATCACTTAAGGAGAAAAGAAACGCCCCTCAACGCTATAACACATTAAACCTTCATACATAAAACAATTTTGAGTCTCATAGAAGGGGAAAGTCTCGTTATTCAATTGTGTGTTCCTTGACAAATTACACAATTTCTTCCAGAATCACCCCACCGACCATGGTGTAACTAAGGTGAGATTCTAATCAGCATCATCAGTAGAAGTCAGAGCGTGAGAAGATTGATGAGCTTTCATCTCCATCGCTTCTTTCAGCTGTTGCTCCCTGCGCTGAACTACATTCAGTCGATGTCGACTAAATGTGCCGAAAGTCGAGAAGACTCCAAAAGCTGCGATGATTGCGCATACTCGCATGTCCCTATTGAACGCATCTGAATATACTGTCTCGAGTTGTCCGAACTGCGTTGGAGGCGTATTGTTGGTTTTTGGTGAAGGTTGTGGGCCTTGTTCCAGAGCTTTAGTGTTCTCTTGAAGCAGAACATTCGCAATGGCGGAACTGGCCGCAATCCCTATGCTACCTCCTAGCACACGAACCTGTGCTATTATGCCTTGGGCTGGAGCTATCATATAATCAGAAACAATACTCATAATATGAAGGTACAGAGAACTTACCATGATCAAAGGCAGAGGGTTGGAAGGCCGCTACCATCGTCGCTGTCGATACCGACATCCCAAATCCAAGGCCAACGAAAACCAAAAATCCCAGAGCCTTTGGTTCCAGGTCGTGCGAATCTGCCAGCGTTGACAAAAGCCCGCAGCCGAGAAGCACCAAGCATGCACCCGCCAGTAACATCTCAAACACCTTGCATGTCTTCCTACTGATCGCTCCTGAGATGAATGAGCCCACAGCGGTGGCTCCCAGCATTGGAAGCAGCATAAGGCCAGCCGTGAAAGCATCTTTACCATTTACTATCTGCAATCGGAGGGGAAAGGTATATATGACGACTAGGTATGGAAATCCGACGATTAAGGTATTCAGAACGGTCGAGGCGTAAATACGATCGCGTAGAAGACGCATAGGGATTGCAGCACTTATCGCATCTTTCCAGCGCCATTCGATGAAGATAGACCAGAGGATCAAGGCTATCCAGGATAAAACCCCAAGAAGAAGTGGGACGATGAAAACCGGCTTTGACCACTGGTTTGCGAAGTCTCCGACATTCTGGAAGGGGAAAACAACCAACACCGAAGCGGCTATCAGCAGTACTGACCCGACATAGTCGAGTTCCCCCCAGGTCCTTTGGTCAACAATTGGTAAGTACTGAGGTTTCGGCCACGTAAAGTAGAAGAGGGCCACCGATGCCGCTCCAATGGGACCGCTACATAGTTCATTAGCATGTCTCGGTTATTTCTAGTGAGTCGTGAGCACATACTTCATCCAGAAGACCCAACGCCACGTCGAGTAATGGGTCAATGCGCCACCTATAAGCGGTCCTAATACGCTTGATACTGTGAGCACGATTCCGATTAACCCGCCGATAAACTGCCTTAGCTTTGACGGAGCGACTTCTGGGAGGATTATCATTGATATGGAATATAACCCTATCAACTGATCAGTCATCGTATACCAAGTCGTTAAATTTTACTAACCCGAACCCCCAAGTCCTTGTAAGGCTCGACATGCTATCAGCTGATCTATGCTCTGAGCGAAGCCACATGCGATCGAGAATGCGATGAATATGATGTAAGACGCGATGAAGGCATTGCGACGACCGACGATGTCAGTCACTCGAGCCAACAAGACGGCACACCCAAGATATGAAAGGGTATAGGCCAATGCGACCCAGTTCACAGTGTCTAATGTACCGAAATCATGTCCTATCTCAAAAAGACAGGTGGCGACGATGGAGGTATCGAGAAAGGCCAGCATTAGACCCAGAAGAATTCTAGTATCAACGTCAGAAATAGAGGAACTCGATGCTAATCAGCTATTAAACCTACCCAAGACACAAGAGCCAGAAACGCCATGGTGGCAACTCTGGGCGCACAGGCTCATCCAGGTGCAAGCTTGAGGCTCCAGAGTCGAGAACGAAAGACTCGGTGTCTACACTCCTCTGGCCGGTACGTGGACGGTGATCCATGACTATCTGCCGAGATAGTTAGTGTGTTGCAGTTTCTTCCACGCAATTGGAAAGGACTTTACCTTTATGTAGAACTTGAGCCGAGAATGACTCTACTCGGCGGAGATGGTCCCACGATCCCTATGGATTTTCGGTACACTTGTAGCACCCTTGTATATCGTCGACAAGTACGAGCACAGCGCTAGAGACCGTGTATCGCCTATTATAAGTGAAGGAAGACCAAATATCCAATCAGGCAACTGGAGAATTACAACAAATTGCCAACGGTGTCTCCCTACCACAGCCCTAGCCAATCTTGTCGAAGTTGCTTTGCACGTCTTCAGAGAGAGACTGTGTTCAGTTGAGATCTCACAAACGTCATTCCCATTTGCTTGTTGCTTGTTGTTGTGTGCGACTTCAACCCCACCCTGTTTCCTTTTAGGTATTTATTTCTAGGAAGGTCTGTTCCAAACGGCTGGTAACATATGTGCCCCTAGGGAAATATCTCACGGCCGTATCAATAGCAATTTCCAGCTCTTCGAGGGCTGCCTGGGTAACTTGCTCGGACCCACTGCTCCGGGGAGATAGTTGCGGGTGTTCATAAACGCCTCGAACGCCGTCAACTTTCTAAATATCGTTAAATTGCTCTTGTTGCTAGGTAGGTCATCTGTCGATGTTTGATGAGCAGGTGTCTACTAGGTAGAATGAGTTTCCAAGATTGTTTTTGTTTTGGGGAACCTCGAAGGGTTTTAGGGGATATCGAAAGATGTAGGGGTGTTGTTGGTTACACCGCAACGCGAAGTAAAATCGAAGTTTACCTAAAAAAAGAAACTCTTAGGCTTTGAAAACGCGTACTAGGTATATAGAGAGATCAAGGGCAAGAGAAAAGAAAAAGAAAGAAATTAAAAAATAAAAACAAGCCATAAAGCTCCAATGCAGTTGCTATTTCATCCCCCGTTATATTTAAACGAGACTAGATCCACAAGACCGCAGTTGTCATTCTGCGACACTTTTCCTGTCCTTGACTTAGGCCCATATGACACAACATTGTGGACATACATATGTAGTAGCAGTTACTCAGGCACCGGTGATGGGTACAACCACCTCGAGTGTTTGCCGTATATATGCGGTGCGGTCTTTGAGTTCGATTTAACGAGTGATTCCCTCCTTCCCGGTCCCGGAACTCAAGCCATACGGAGTATATCGAGTACCTATTCACATCTTAATATATGCACTGTGGATACATAAGGGCTCAACCTAGCCTAGGTACTACGGTACTCAGTATGTATAGCACTTGAGGCAATATCAGACCAACCTTAAACGTCTCTTGGATCCCGCCCTGGAGGAAGTGCTGTCACCGAGCACCTTCTGCTGGCGTTTCAAATACGTGGTCTTTGTTCCAATGGAGTCTGGTTGTTACACAAGCATATGTTTGTATCCTTCATAGCACTGCTATGTTAGCATGATCGCCCTAGAGGCATGTCTCATGAATAACTTCTTACACTTGAAGCATAATCTGATATGCTTCCAGGTTAATACGTTGGATCATTTGTCCCTGATGTTGTGTTTACCAGGTATGATAGTAACTTGGTTTGGGTAAAGCTATTCTTTATACTAACAAGATCAGACGATGTTCAACTACTTTGTGTTCTAATATCTGCGAACTTTCCAAAAGATTCATCCATGGATCTTACAAAGTATCACAAAACTTAGGCCCAGTATTATTTATTCTCCATCCTAGGTACTTACCTGCCTAGCTAGATGCCGAAAAAGTATGTGTCAATTAATCTTGTTAATAATCTCGATCAGTCTTTGTCGACCAAGATCTTGGTAGTCACCTGGAAACCCAGGACACGGATATGCTGACTGTAGAGGTTTGAGCCACCCTCTCGTGAGTAGTTACCTACTTAAATTGTGACAGGGACAACGGTCCTTACCAATCGCGGCTGCAGTCACAACCACCACGAAGTGAGCACCTAGGTAGGCAACTAATACCTGATGCTAGTGGCACGAAAATGTTTAAGGACTTACACGATTCGGTGCCAAGTTATCAACATTGCATCCGATTTGTGACTGTCTCAGATCCAGTGTGTCTACTGGTACTGCTACCTTGGGACTCACTGCCACGATATCCCTTGTCTTATCCCCAGATTACGGGTGGGACCTGATACATCACAAAGACTAAAGCTTCATACTCCTACATGTTTCTGTCCTTAGGTGTGTAGGTGCATATGTGTTCACTGCTCAGCCCACTAACTAGTGGCACTGGTACTAAGGTAAGCCTTAAGGTAAGGAATAACATTGAGTGTTCGTTGCTTGTTCTGTGCCTATTTATTAGGTATGTGGATATAAGAAGTTGTAATGGGGGCTGAGTACCTAGTATTACCTAACTACAAGCAGTCTAAGTACCTAGGTAAATAGTCAAAATAAGTAGGTAGTAATAACTTTGAACTTAGAAGTCTAACCTTAAGTCTTTTGGCAGCTGCATTGGGTCTGGAAGGCGTTCGCTCCTCCCCTGAATCAAATCCATTGACAGAGGTAGTTATGTAGGTTCCTACATATGCATGCTTTTTCTGATTGGCCCATCTACTTAGAATTGGGAGCACCTGCCTGATCTGATTAGGTAACATTCCTGCGGCTGAGCTCCACTAGCCACGCGCATCTCACTGGGCACTGCACCTTCAGGTGGCAAGTGCATTGAGTTTAGCGTCAGTTACTAAGGCCGCCTAGTGACCTCTCTCCCTAACTACACCCATCAATGTACCTAATCCATCACTACGGTCAAATACTAATCTCATCAAACGGTTCACTGGACGGAGAACATTGCAATCACAGTGCTCACATTTTTGAGTGTGTTTATAATTGAAATCATTACCTTGATAAACGGCCGATTAGATATCAAGTGCATCATAATCTAAATCAGAAGCATTTTAGTCGGGTGGTTCTCACATCAACGATTCCGTCCGGATATCGGCAAAGATGACGGAGATTGTAACAAGCCAAACGCCCCCTATTCTTCAAGGGCCAACAGAAAAGGAAAAAAAGTATGATCGACAGCTACGACTTTGGGCAGCTAGTGGCCAAGCAGCCCTTGAATCAGCCAATATTCTTCTCGTGAACTCAGGTGCTGGCACTGTTGGCGTCGAAGCGTTGAAGAACCTTGTGTTGCCCGGTATTAGCCCCTGTCCTTACTTATTGTTGCTGAATATAGACTTATAAATCTGAACAGGAATAGGAAAGTTCACCATTGCAGATGATACGATAGTGAACGAGACCGACCTTGGTGTGAATTTCTTCCTTGATGAGAGCTGTATAGGGAAACTCCGATCAGAATGCTGCACCAAACTTCTCCAAGAACTGAATCCAGAAGTTGAGGGAGACTGGTACCCTAAGAGACAGGTTTGTGATGCTGAATGTGGCAAAAAAGAATGAATCGCTAATATAATATCCCAGAGTGACTTGGACCTACGCGGCCTTCTGGGTGCTTCGCCTACCTTCACCTTGATTATGTATACCTACCCCATCAAAAAGGAGGTTCTCTCGGTTATTGAATCCTATGCTAGCAAGTACAAGACTCCACTTGTGGCGATTCACTCTGCCGGGTTTTATTCGTATTTTCGTATCACTCTACCTGGAACATTTCCCATCGTCGACACTCACCCTGAGATTGAGAAGACCACCGATCTTCGGCTCCTCAACCCCTGGCCTGAACTTGTCGAGTTTGCTCGTGATATGACGAGGAATATCGATGGTCTAGATGATCATGAACATGGACATCTACCCTACGTTGTCATTCTACTCCACTACCTGGACGAATGGAGAAATTCACACAATGGCCAGAACCCTATTAGTTACGCGGACAAAACCGAGTTTACTAAGTTTGTTCGTAGCAAAGCGAGGACCAACAGCCCGGAAGGCGGGGAGGAGAATTTTCAGGAAGCTGCGGTAGCTATAAACAAGAATATTAAAGCTCCCGAATTAGAACCTGGAGTGCAGGAGTTGTTTAATCACGAGGTGTCAGACCAGGTATGGGCTTGTGGCAAGAATATGCGTGGACGAACATTCCAGACTAATGTCAATAGATTGAGCTCCAGTCGACGTTCTGGGTCATTGCGAAGGCTATCCAGGCATTCTACCTCAAGCATGGTTGCCTCCCTCTACCAGGGGCACTACCCGATATGAAGGCCCAGTCAAGCGTTTACGTCAAATTGCAGACTATATACAAGGAAAAGGCCCGCAAAGATGCACAGGAAGTGATGGAGACCGCTAGGGCGTTTACGGGTGGCAAGGACGTTGATCCTGCCGAGGTAGACCTGTTCTGCAAGAATGCTCGTTTTGTCAAACTCATCAATGCAACACTGACGAAGGCAAATCTCGATGAAATTCTGGGTTAGTCAATATTCATTATAGGGGTAATTACAGATATACTAACCTTTTCTCAATAGCATCTGAGAGAACCAATGACGAAGCAGCTGAGGCTATGAAGGTCGAGACCGACGGTGCATTTACTCTGCCCATGTCTAATCTCTTCATCTATCTTGCCCTTGTTGCAACTAGCCACAATCCTACGGCCACTGCTGGTGATATCATGGAATCTATCACTGCTATGGTGCCAGAGGCGTCGGGAATTGAAAGAACGTGGCAAGCCGCCCAAGAGGTAGCCCGAGCTGGCGGCGGCGAACTTCACAACATATCCGCGCTCACCGGTGGAATGGTCGCGCAGGAAATTATAAAAATTGTCACAAAGCAGTACATACCGATTGAGAATACCTGCATATTCGACGGCATTAGCAGCCGGTGCCAGGTACTTCGGCTATAGTATGTATACCCCAGAAAGGTGACAGTCAGCCAGCAGAGGATATTCTCAAAGGCATATCATCCGCAGATCCGGGTTATTCATGGAGAAGTTGGAGAAGTTGTGGGGAATCTTTTATGAGCCTGGAAGCTTGGCAAACCTGACGATGCTACATGTTCACACCATCCCTCCTCTACGGCTGGGGAGGACGGGGACATGTGTCGGTCCGCAGACCCTCTGCAGTAACCTCAAATCGTGGCCCGCGACGGCTGTGACCAGTGTCTTCCAAGGCATACACTGAGATATCTATAGCTTTGCTGACTATTACCTGACCAGCGTTACGTAGCCGGGTGAAATCAGACAAGAGTTACGTATGATGAATCTGGAGTGCATATTCATGCGTGATCACTACCATTCACCCACAGCTAGCTGAAATTGCCAGGTGTCTGCCACATGCTTGATATTGAGCATGGAACTCGAGACGCGTGAGTCCACTTCCCGATGTTACTATCCAGCTAGAGCATTTCCTGGGTGAGATCCAAGTGGATGTTATTTTCAGGCACGAAAAAACTGCGATACGCCTATCTCCCTTCTACCGGAATCCCGTCCATAATATTCCTATTATCCTTTCTTTGACTACGACTCTGCATTTCTTTCTAGTAGATAATCGTCGTCAGGGCTTTGTAGCCTATACCATGTGTGCTTCCTGAGGGATATCGAGTTCTTTACGAGACGGGCAAGTGATTTCCTAGGTTAACCGATAGACCCAATTCAGTATCACGCATCGAGCAGGTTTGACCTAGGGAAGTTGAGTTGAGGCATTGGCGATCCCATGGCTACCAACTACTTTAGGTAGATTAAACCAGAAAACGTGGAGGGGGGAAGTGTTCCCAAATTTCTACATCGCCCTTTGACGATTGGTTCTCTGGTTAAGACAATTTCTGATAGGCCAATTAGAGACCGTTTTTTCTTATTGGATATGGCCGTTTTTGGCCGAACAGTCGACCGGGCTTCAGAGAACTACTGACACGCAACATATTAAAAGACCCCAGGTCAGGTGGTGATCCCCCCTCCCTCCCCCCTTTATACTAATGTATACGAGTCCCAAAGTTTCATGATTCTTTTTTTGCACAATCAAGGGTTGCCCAGTACCTAGGTAGCGATGAGAAAAGTCGAGAAGCTTCGGAAAACCATAACTTCGAGACCCTTTGGTACCCGTTCGTAACACGAAAGAGGAGGGACTTGATGGGCAGATCCAGGAAGTGAGGTGTTCAAAGGTGCCAGCCACTCTACAACTCTAGATGGACGGCGAAATTTTTAATTTCCAGACCCAACGAGGCCGAAGGGGGGTTTTTCCTATCGTGATTGGTTCTCTGGGCTGGCTGGGAAACGCTCGGTTACCTACGAAGGTAACTATCTGACCGAGGAAGTCGGCTGCGCCAATATAATGAGTGAACCTATCACCCATCGTCTCTCGCGCATACGCGCCATACCAGGTAGGAAGTGAGAAACTCGATTAGGATACATAGGCACGTGGATACGCCCGAATGCTGTCCTCTTCACTTTAATATCTGCAGACGTTGGTCATGTCCTGCGATAGAAGCAGAAGGAGGTAGCTCGGGACCATTCACAGAGCTTCGTTCTCAACTCCAACGGTAAAGGTCTATCATAGGTAATGGAATATCGCGGAGGAGTTCACACCAAGGTCTAGAGCACTTTGATAGATAGATAGATCCCTAGGATATCCCATCATAATGCCGTTTGTAGCCATCGCCATCCTAGGTATCGACAGGCCCGTGACCTTTTCACGTCAGCTTGCTCATTATACCTACTACCTACACGTATATATACCTCACTATGTCATATAAACTGCGTGTCGCCCCCGTATGCCAAGGATGCTTTTCGCTTATATGATACATACATATGCGCCTAATAATAATGCCAGCAACATATTGTCCGAACCAGACCGTAGGTAGGTAGGTAGGTAATGACGAACAACGCCTACCTGCCCTCGACCAGAAGCTAGCATAGTCCGGCTTAGGCGAGCCACAAGAGCATCGTCAAGGTTATTAATGAGGAAGCATAACCAGAAGAAGAAGAAATCCAAATACGGACATGGTGCAGACAGGAATAGACAAGCTTTAATATACCACAGCCTCTAGAAAGGGCAGGACGAGGTGGGTGACACGCTGCGCCAAGAGCCGCCAGCGTTCGCCAGCGAGCATACTGGCCTTTTTTTTTTTTTTTTTTTTTTTCCCTTTTCGCTTTCACTCGGGATTGTACAGTCGCCTGCCTCGCTACCTACTCCATGCTTGCGCTTTCTGTCCTACTGTATGTACCTGGTAGGTATGTAAGAGCAGGTAGGTAGGTAGGTAGGTATCGCAGCAGGTCGTCTAGGCGCTTAAGCGAGTGGCGTTTCAATATAAACCGTCAATGTCAGCTGGCTCTTCAACTGCACTCCACACAATGCTTGCTTGCTTGCTTGCTGCGGACGCTGTACGACGACGAAGGAGGTGCAGGAGAGCCAACCGCGAAGAGTGTGGGGTAAAAGAAATCGACGAGGGGGGCTTGGCGCAGAAAACGCCCATGCCGCACGCACGCAGGAACTGAATGAATTAAATTCTGAAATGGGATAGAGAGACAAAAAGAGAAAGAAGAGAAACAGTGTGTGTGTGTGTGTGTGTGTGCTAGTTAGTAAGGGGGGGAGAGAGGCCTGGAGGGGCACATTGGTCCTGGACGATCCGGAGAGAAATGCGCAGGATGCCGGGACTTGGGTTTAGCTTGCACACACCTACACACTCACACTTACTTCTAGGTCCTGCTAGGTACTGGTTCACTGGCGGGTCCCTGAAAGGAACAGTTCGAGGACAGATAGATGGTCCAGTCATCATGGAAAAAAACTATCGCGTCGCACCGCACCGCACCGCACCTCATTACCATATCTGAGACTTCGACCCAGGGCCGGATTTGGAGTAAAGATCTCGATAGAGACGGGTGGTTGGTTTTTTTTTTTTTTTTTCTTTTCCTGGCTCTGTTATGCAAAGCTAGGTAGGGGATTGTGAGCAACGAACTAAAACCTCATGATATGATGGGGGGGATTTTTTTTCTTTTTCTCTAAGAAGCGAGGAATGGGTTATGTAGGTAGGTACATGGACTTCCATGATGGTCCCCGCCAAGACTTGAAGAACTCACACACCCGTACCGCTCTCCCGAGACTAACTGCTTGTACGCAGGCCGCTACCTACCTTGTAGGTAGTAGTTTCTGTGGTACTAGAGAATTAGTAAGACGTCCGCCCCGGGATAGCGGAACGCTTTTCTCAACCGGCTTTCCGCTCCTGACCAATCCTCGCGTTGGGGAGTGGGATAGTCAGGTAGCTAACTTGGGGTCCGTCTCTTTAGCACATCTGGGCTACGAAATCTTGAATTGTTTCAATGCTTGATGATTTCATTGATGTTTACTGCTCCTTGATGTATGGTAACTCACTGGCTTTTACAGTTTTTAGGTATTGTAGGTAGGTACCTAGACTTGGTACTATGTAGTACAGTACCTAGTAAATATCATGTAAATCATTCGATGTTGTACGTGCGGTTTGTACGCGGTATTCTCAATTCTGGTACTAAATATGGAGATTTTATGAGCTGCACCAGCATACAAAGCTTTGCCTAGGTACAATACACAGGCACCTAGCAGGTATTTAATGTTGAGACACTAAAGTCGGCGCTTGCTACGTTCTGTATATTAAGTCGAGGTTATGAGTGGCCAGCAGCGGATTCTTGCCTTGGTACTATGTATAGTCCCGGGCCGTGTATGTAGGCTCTAAGATTCACACCCATCGTCTCAACTTCAATGTTGTAGGCATTTACATATAGGTATACATGTGTATATTATACAGTACCTACATATACCCCTGCCGTTTGTACGGGTCGGTTGCCGGTGAAGCCTTTTCTTCTTCTTTCTTTGCTTCTGAGAATTTTGAAGCTAAAAAAACGCCGACATTGAATCCCTGCCCCCCCTGAAAGCCGGATGGGCGCGAAAGTACGAAGTATGTACAGATGTGTTGTATCGTAGGTATGTAACTACATGTATGTAGGTATGTAGATGGTTATGTATCGATGACTGGCCAAGTGCTAGCAGATCTGGCATACTGGCGCACAATCTTTCGTTGCAACCCTATTGTAACCCCATCACGGGTACTTGCGAATTCTCGCCGTTCATCCAGTTCGGAATCTTGACAGAATGGTGGTGATCGCGGGGTCGCCCCTTGATGTCTACTAGGTACCTACATGTATAATACACAACTTATATACATGCATATAAGTTATGTATGCCATGTATGTATTCTGTGCTATGTAGTTAAGGCTTGTGGCTTTTTATACAGGGGATTAACTATGAGTTCAGGGGTGGTTCGTGAGAATTCCTAACCCCCAGCCAGTGCCCAGCCAGTGAAGATACAAGCTGGCCTTCCCCAAACCTATCCCAGTCCCCGTGAAAGGTATCAAGCTCGGAGATTTCACGCGCCCAGGAACTCCACGCAAATGAAGCGAGACGCCAGAATAATATGTATGCCAAAACACCAAAACCCGCCTAAAAAGCTTACATGAGTATTTTAGAAGCTTCCCGTCGCGCATGAAACCATTAGGTTAGCCCAGTACTACTTTGAATTGGGAGATTGTGACATACACAAACTTCGTACATATCTTAGAAACCTTCAGCTCACCTGCGTTCGGATTCTATATCTGAACTTCAATCTTGCCGAAAAGGTATTGCCTAGTCTACATAGGTAGTAGCTGTTCTGGCCCTAACTGACTAGCATGGGCAACTAATTTTCTAAGGCCTGAAACATCACCTAGTAGCATTGCCATCAGGCCCATCACGAGATGCTGTCGCTAACAATGACCAAGTAGCCAGCCCAAGATGCTCTTTTTTTATGACCGTTACATGCTCTTCACTTTAGCTCGCTCTAGTAAATCATGCTATATACTATACTTGACATGTCAAGAAAATCATACGTCTACCCCTTGCTCGTCCTAGATCTTGTACAGACACACCAAAGTATATGCCAATCAGCTGTCGAGTATGGTTTCTTTTTCATTTTTTCTCTTTTTTTTCTCGTGGCAAACATGACAATCATCCCTCAATAAGACGTTACTGATCTCCAGATGCGCGTCTTCACACCCGTCCATAACTCGTCATTTTCTGGTACGAAGGGAAGCCCCTTGTCTACCTTAACCACAGTACTCGAGTCTGGCCTGTCCAACCCATCACACCCTATAGGGCGTCGTGAGGTGTGGAGATATACCCGATACGCTATAGCCTCTCGGTTCCTGACCAGACTAACAACCTACAACCTTCAACAGGCTTCAACAGGGTTACTTTACTCCACACAATCTATTTACCTACCCTTCATCTCCAGGTTCTCCACGTCCCCGCCATGATGGATGGCGAGCTAATATCCTATATAAATTCTCATCGTCTCCCGTGTTGTCGGTCCTGGCTGGGCCCAGACGGCATCTCCACTTCCCCCGGATTGCTTATATCCAATCTAACACTTGGTGCATATCACTTCCACTCAAGTTTATTTCCATTTCACCTTGAACCTTATCCGTCCTTGCTTGCACCAACTTGAACAAACCACTTGGGAGGACTTGAGAGCCAAGATGGCGCCGAGTATACCCATTTCCACACAAGGTGGCATGTTTCATACCTGTAAGTTTGTTCTCATCCGCGTTCTTGTCTTCGTGTGATTTGAGAGAATGTCTCTCTAACTTGGTTACCAGTCCAAGGAGTTACTCCTCGGAAACAATCCACAGATTCTACAGAGAGTACCAAGTCGAATGGCAGCGGAACCGCTAAGCGAATTACCACACCTCATGCATGCGCAGAATGCAAGCGCAGGAAAATGTAGGACTTGTGCAACATCCCCTAAATAATAGTACTAGAGTTAGGAGTTGCTATGCTAACAGTAATTCAGTCGATGTGACGGCCAACAGCCATGCGGCCAATGCCTCTCTAGCCGAGCACCCAAGCGGTGTTTTTATGACAAGCACCGCCAAAGGGTAATTCCATCGAGGAAGACGCTCGAGGCGCTATCACAGTCCCTAGAGGAATGTCGGTCCATTCTAAAGCGCCTATTCCCAAACCATGAAGTTCAGTCCCTCCTACCACTACCCCGTCAAGAGCTTCTCGGTCTTCTCGACCAGTCATCAATAGACGTCACCAATGCGCTTCCGTCACCACCATTACATACATCTCCCATGCCTGGCGACATTGGCTCACCTACTATGTCCGGGTCTGAGCACAGCCTCTCTAGCTTAGAACAAGTACCGTCTCGAGACTTGGAATGGGACGAGGAACGCCGAGGACGAGATCCTATTCCAGCGGAGGCTGACGATGTCAATGCCCTCTCCCTCTCAGTAGACCGCCACGCTTCCTATCTTGGCGCCTCCTCCATCAAGGCCGCACTAATGGTGATGATAAAAGTGCAACCTGGTCTCCGAAACTCTCTCACGCCACCTCTCAACAGCGTAGAAATGGCCCACAATCTCCCCACCATGCGACAAAAAGTTACTAACCCCAAAGAACCTCAACGGGTGCCCTGGTCCTGGAAAGGCCAAACACTGATTGACGCTTATTTCAAGCGGATCCATGTATTTGTGCCTATGCTGGACGAAGCCTCCTTCCGCGCCGACTACCTCGAGGGCCAACGATTCGACGCCCCGTGGCTCGCGCTCCTCAACATGGTTTTCGCCATGGGTTGCATCGCGGCGCTGAAATCGGACGACTACAACCACCTAAACTACTACAGCCGGGCGATGGAATTCCTGCCCATGGACTCGTTCGGCAGCAGCCACATCGAGACCGTCCAGGCTCTCGGCTTAATAGGCGGATACTACCTGCATTACATAAACCGGCCGAACATGGCCACCGCCGTCGTGGGCGCCGCGATCAGGATGGCCAGCGCCCTCGGCCTGCACCGCGAAAGCCTCGCCCACGGCCCCGCCGGCACGACCAAAGAAATCGCCGCCGCCGAGACGCGGCGACGCACCTGGTGGAGCCTGTTCTGCCTCGACACCTGGGCGACGACGACGATGGGGCGGCCCTCCTTCGGCCGCTGGGGCCCCGCCATCAACATCCGCCCGCCCGAGACCGGCGTCACCAGCACGCGGGACTCGGCGCAGCACGCGGGCATCCTGCCGCTGGTCGAGAACATCAAGTTCTGCAAGATCGCGACGGCGATCCAGGACATGCTCGCCATCTCGCCGCTGCTCCGCGCCGACGACCGGTGCAGCCTGGACGGCCAGCTCGTCAGCTGGTTCAGCAGCCTGCCGTGGCTCCTGCGCACGAGCGACCCCTGCGCGGAGCCGCTGTACATCGCGCGCTGCATCATGAAGTGGCGGTACCAGAACCTGCGCATGCTCCTGCACCGCCCCGTGCTGCTGAACCTGGCCAGCAGCGGCGCCTCGCACGCGGCCGAGCACGACATCGCGGCCATCGAGGCCTGCCGCGACCTGGCGAAGCAGACGATCGAGGACATCGCGCGCGAGTGGTCGCGCAACCAGATGTCCGGCTGGAACGCCGTCTGGTTCCTCTACCAGGCCGCCATGATCCCCCTCGTCTCCATCTTCTGGCAGTGGGACAGCCCCCGCGTCCCCGACTGGCAGAAGCAGATCGAGACCATACTCGACCTGCTCGAGGCCATGGAGGACTGGTCGCTCGCGGCGAGGCGCTCGCGGGAGGTCGTGTGGCGCATGTATGAGGCGTCGAGGCAGCTGGAGCCGGCGCTGCTGAGGCAGCAGCAGCAGCAGCAGCAGAGCCCGATGCAGAGGCTCCAGGTTGTCACGGACCCCGCGGGCGCGGCGGGGGTGCTGGGGCCCCTGGGCGATGGCTCGGAGCTACATATGTCGCCGATTGGCCTTGAGCCGGAGGGCTTTGGAGGCATCATGGGCATGCTGGACCAGCATGGCCTGTGGGATCTCGACGGCATGCTCTGGGGCGCGTCCGACGACATGGACTGGGCGCAGGGGCACTTTGGTGTTGGCAGTGGTGCTGGCGCCGCCGGCAGCAACATGCACGATGGCTCGCCGGCCGGCGGGTGCGGCGCCCTGATGGGTCAGCTTGGCGCGTACGGCATTGATAATTCGGCGTTCTCGTTCGTGCACTGAGGGGGTGGTGCGAGCGAGCTATGACGCTACGACTGCTACACTGCACTGGGTGTCTACATACGTTGTTCCTCTATTTCTTTTTATTTAGGTGATTGGTCAATCGTGTCGTAGGGGGGTGTATGTACGAGAGAAATACCTACAGAAACACATGGCTACGCGGCTACTACAACACTGTTATTACTACAGATATCCGCCATGATTGGCTAGTTAAATCTTTTTTGCGCTTTCATGGGTAAGGGGGGAGGGGGGTGTGGAAAGGGGGAAAGCAACACCAAAATTCCATTCAATCCTGTGGTTTCATTGTCTTTTTCACTGCTTTTTTCTTTTTCACCTTTCAGGGGTCCATGATCGTCATTTTCCCTCCATGCATGTATGTTTCAGCGATGATACCTCTTGACGTTGGATGCGTCTCTGTGGTTGGGGTTACAACAACAAACATACCTATCTCATTCAAAAGGGTAAAAGGGTGTGGATGGGAAATATCTCCGGGCCGGTGGACAACGTCGTTTTTTGTGTTTTCTTTTCCTCATTTTGACGAAAAAAAAAATGCCCCTTTCTTGCTTTAGGTGCCTGTTTACCAACCCATTCGGATGGTTTGCTGGAGTCTGGGGTTCACTACTACTACCTACCTGTCTGCCTGCCGGGTACGTGATGGGAGGCAGGGGGAGATTTCATGGTAGCAAAGAAAAGTTTTTTCTTCTATTTTCTGAATGAACGATGATGATGTGTCATGATTGGGACGATGGGGACGAAAATTGTTGTATGAGAGCATGCAAGACGTTACTACATACATACCTATAGGCACCTAAGGGGCACATACATATCTTACTATATCTTATACCATCAGGTACCTATGTACCGACACATATAATACTAGGTACTATTATTAGGAAAGACCGCAATCTCTTGCACATGAATTACCTACCCAGGTGTTTACCTAGGTAGTCTTGCGTTGTGACATATTTAGAAGCAAATGTCCCAATTCGATGTCTCCTGTGGCCCAATACGGCGTCGACAAGGTTACTGACGTGACGCATATACGTACGTAGGTAGATAGGTAGCAGTGCAACTTGGCATGCCAAGCCAGGGATATTTTGAAGGAATTAAGACCCGAAAGGCTGCAGTCAGGAAAAAAAAAAGGTCGGCAGACAAAGTAGAAATCTGGGGTAAATTCTCCATACGTCTAGTTGGCTGGCTGGTGGATGCGTAGGTAGCGAATGCCTGTGTCATCGTACTTACATAGACCTGACTGACCTACATATGCACAGTGGAGATGGAGGGACACGCAGATCAGAATAGTGACGAGAAGTGGCCGCTCCAATGAAATCATATGGGTAGTTCTTGAATCTTCCCGTTGGGTGTGTGTGTATGTGTGCGCATGTGTGTAAGGGGCTGTTTTTGTTTGGATGTGCGATGTGCAACGCACTGGATAGCATCAAGTTCCTAACCTAAGCTCATACCTTAGGTACTAGGTACCTACCTACCTAGTCTCAGCCCCTAAGTGTTCTCTAGAGATGGCCATATGGATACTTTCCTGCTGTCTTCTTACTAAGGCACCGAGTCATGAGACCCTCAGGAAAATGAGCTGGCCGGCCTCACCTGACCATTGGTGATAAGGCACATACATCATCCACTGCACATTCCTGGATACCTCTCATACAGAACCCATAAGATGAAGGCAGGAAAGGCGAAATTAGCATAGTAATAGGATTCGCCATGCTGGCATTAAGGGTCAACTACACCAGGTTTCATCCTAGGTTGGTATGTATACTTACATGTCTTCAGCCTGCACCAGGTGGGCCATGTAACCTACGACAGCATCTTTGCATGTTGATTCCTATATGTAGGAATTTCTTTTTATACCTTTAGTCCTGTCCCTTTTCCCTCGATGTCTACCTAGCACACATCACGCACGTCACTTGCTACAATATGTACCGCGTGGCACAGCAGTCAACTACTAGGTACCCTGGGAGATTTCTTGCATGTATGGACCAAGGTAGGTATGATGTAGGTACAAGGGAAATTCTTTCTGTACGATGGTTACCTAATAAGCAAGCGACTAACTTAGTGCAGTTTTTCTTGGTCGGCTTGTCGACCGTTGAACATGGAGAGACTGGGGAAGGATATGCCATCGCCATTGGCCGAGCTGCTGGGCAAGGGTTGTCGACCCCCGGTTACAATATGGACTTTCGGGCCGTGGCGGTTGGGGGTTGGATATGGTCCGCCGCAACCCTACATAGGTACATATCACATACATGTATGTACACTACGAGAGGCCTCTCTCAATGGGCCCGGTCATGCTTCCCGAAAGCTGCTTGTGCCACGATGTCACTCAGGTACCGCTACACCTGCCGGCACCCCTGCCTCTATCCCCAACCATTCTCCCTCTGGGGTGCGTGAGCAACGGATTTTCCCGTGCGGGGAAAAGAGAAGAGGAGGAAGAACATTGAAGAAGTATTGGCTGATATGGAAATGTTATCGAAGACGTCGGTGATTACAGGTATGTGATTAGATAGGTGAGAACAAATATATCACCGAGGAAGCGAAAACCATGCCGTCATCTCATCTCGCTAGATGTGTTTGCTCCGCTTGTGCTGGTCAGAAGACTGCTCGTTTATTTTCGCGAATACAAAAGAGAATAATAATGCCGATGGGGATTTGATTAGGTATCTGGTAGCTGGAGGTCTATCCTGAGAACCTCTCCAAAGACACACACCCCCGTTGCGTTGGAGAATATTCACAATGGTTTGTTGGGATGGAAGATCAACATAAGATGGAGAGATGCGGGGTAAAGAAGGGCTTGATACAACTTGTAGATCTTCCATGTGAGGGTAGGAGTAGGTATTTGATCACCCATTCTATAACTTTTTAACCCTATCGATCTCCTTCGCTTCTATCATTCTCTCTCCATCGCCCCCTCTCTTCCATCAATCTACTCTTTACGCCGGAGGGAGTAAGTATCGTGTCTCTGGCAGTTGGTCTCTTACTCGAATCCTGCTCTCTCCTAGCTAGCAGATGTTTATGTTGTATTACTGTTATCATGGAGTATCTACCGACTGTCGTGTTGCGCGAGATTGCAGCGGCAGTCAAAGTCGATGCCACGTTTCGAGGCTCACAGAGGTTTGAGGGGTCACAGGTGCCCGTACATTGAGGGATCTGAAGGGCATAGTCTTAAGTGCTCCTCTACATGTTGGTGAGTTATGTACTACAGCCAAGCACTTACACCAGGACCTAATGTAACTACTCACATGTAAATATCCGCATCGGGTTTGTGAGACGGTCTCCTTGTCAGCACTTTAGTCCTGATATGATACGTGATCTTGCCGTGAGCGATCAGTTTGCCGCCGCCACAGTTTTAATTACATATGTCTCGGTAGCTACCCGCAACTTGTCTTGATTCTTACCGTGCCTCCTCTTGTCTCTAGGCACCCGACTGTATCGGGAGATAGAGACGTTAATATGTAGTATGGTTTACGTTGGTATGACGGTGGTACCTACATAGGAGTAACATGACTATCGCAGCTTTGCACAAATCACCCCATTATTCACAAGGATACTCTGTATACCTACATAGACCCTAACTATGAAGAGGCTATACCTAAGTATCATCCACAGTGGCTTCAGATACGAGCCGTGTCCAACAGGACGCCAAGACCGACCGGTGGCTGTAACGACAGCTAGAAACAGATGTGTTAGTTAAGATAGCGACGAGGTCTCTTGTGCATACATACGCACATACGGAGTCATGATTCCCTCATGCCTTATAGTTATTCTCCAGACATGGACATTGACATCTGTAAATTGGGATAGCATCGTAAGAGCCACACAGACATCTCACCTTGCAGTTACTCCAAACTGCTTCCACCCTGACTCGTACGGTACCTTTTCGGAACCGTGGAGTCTGGAATGGGAAAGGTGACATCGTGGATGCAGAAGCTTAGTTCAATGTTTGGCTAAGCTTTGAATACCCTAGGTAGGTACCGTAGTATAAATACCACATACCTACCTACATGTACATACTCATGTGTGTACCCCCCGGTAGCCTGCATGACTTCTACTGTGCCTCTTTGTGTGGTTACACAGGTATTGTACAATACCTATCCATAATAGTCCGTGCCTCGCTTGAGGTCGCTTCTGCACCCCAGTCTGTAGCTCACACAATGTGTTTAGTGATCCTGCGAGACAGCAGTAGTGGGCATGCACATTAGATGTAGGTATCATGATCTTAATTACTAGGTTCAGGTTCAAAGTGCTTCCTAAAAAGAAAGTCGTGCCACTTCTTCACTGGTGCTGATGGCTCGAGGAGTCGGTCAAAGAGTCCGGGGGGTTGTACAAACGGCTATCGGAGATTTCACGATGAGGCGCCAAGAGGCTGGCCCATGGTGGAGAGCAACTCGAGCCGTGTTTTGTTGCGACGTTGATGTCGTAGTCCGGAGATCTCGAGTCAGAACCATGTTCTCATCACCAACCTTGACAGGCTTGACTAACTTAGCATCCACAAATTTCCGTCCCGTCAAAGGGGTCCAAAAGTTCTGTGGTTCTGGTTCTGCGCCACGATGATGCGACAGCAACAATTTTTTTTTTGAATCTTCTCGATTTTTGCATTCTCTGGTTTACGTATTCTGCCCTTGCCGTCGTAGTATTTCAAGCCGGCTCTACATCATCATCGTGGGTTTTCATGTTGGAGTTCTCCTTTTGCCGCTGCACAACCTATGCGGTGGAATTGGAGCTTAAAAGAACCTTGGAAGACTTTCAACACCAACCAAAGCAGGCAAGGATCCACCACGATCTAGGCGTGGCGTAGCAATAACTAACCTCGTGGAGTTTAATAGGATACGAGTGTTCTAAGGGGTCAGAGACGTTCAGGCTATGAACTCTAGGGAACATCGTGGATAATCATCATCAAGGATGTTCACCAAGAGTGCAACGCAGATATAAGGGTCTCTTCACCGGCCTTGAACGTTTCACGTGTAGCACGAGGCGATGCCAACGGCAGCGGCAACGGCAGTCGATCAGGATCTTAGTTAATGAGGAGATCACCAGTTATTTCGGCTCCGGCGAAGTATAGTGGCACCAAGTCAAGCGTATGAGATTACACGCCCGTCTCAGTGCCTAATCTAAGGAATATTCTTTCCTCTTCTCTGCGAAGAGCCTCGAGTCCCCGCCTAAACTTGTAAAGGTCTAGATAGTTGCCTGAACCGCTTTTTCTTTCCCCATCACTATAACTAACCCCTGCAGTCACGATATCGGTAGGGCTTGATCGTCTGTCGATCCAATTCCCTAAGATTCGAGCAAGGTTCATTCTAGCTAGCCTAAGTATCTCCATACATGAAGCCACACTGAATACTACATGTCTAGTTCCATAGTTGGGTTAATGTTAAAAAAGGTCTTTATATTTATGGCGATGAAGGTGTCGCTGCGGCACGGCTGGCGATGTATACCTAGCTAAAGGGGGCCGTTGGAGTTGTTCGCGATGGCCACCTGGTCAAATTAGCTGACTTTTATCCCCTCTTCTTATTAGTGCATTGCCCGAAATCGAGTATAGCAAGTCTAACGAACTCATGCGAGGGGGATCTAGGTCATATTAACGTAATTATAGGTAGGTTACTTAAGATAAGCGTCTACGTAGAAAATGCGAAAAGGGGGTGGCGTGTATAAAGTTCACAAGACAGAGATAAGAATACGTCGAGATAGTTACATGTAAAAAGGTCCCAGCCCACATCCCTTGCTACCATATAGCTGTCAAAGAGAGTGGATCACGCCTGGTACTACGTAGACATACCGTCGTACATACAAGTCCCCGGTTTCATCGGCATTTGTACCATCATTGCCGTCGGCAGGTACGTTGAGAATACATACACACACACAGTCCAAATCCTCTCAACAGCCTCCTACTCCCAAGGCCAGGCCGCCGTACCTGCGTTGCCGATCCCGGAATGTCTCCAACTTTAACAGAACGACCTTGTCTATAGAGGGCCTAAAGACGCAAAGTCATTTTCCTTCACACCTAACGTGCATGAGGCTCCTTATAATAGGACAGAAGATGCTGCCTTTTTTTTTTAGTTAGTGTGATTGTTTTCTTTTTTAGCCGCGTCTCCAAGGACGGTCGGTGGCACTGCCCGCTTTGGGAAGCCAGCGCCGGGCTGGCAGCAGTTTCGGGATCACGACGTTTCTCTTCCGGCTCAAACCCCGCTAATGGCTGGTCCGCCGGCGAGCTCGCTTCACGCTCCCGCCGGCTTTTTTAAATTAAAACGTGTGGATACTCCCGGGGGCGAGCGAGGCCCGACGGCCTGGGTCTAGCCTATATACAGTTCGGAGGGGAGAGGGGGCGTTGCGCTTTGATGCGTTGCCCCTGTATATCTTCCAGCTTGGTTTTTGGAACCTGTATGCATAGGGAGGTACCTATGTTAATATTTGGGTCTATATGGCAAGCACATGGTCGGCATTACCACTACCATACACGCAAGTTGAGAATAATGTAGCGATTAGTATGCTGAGAACTTTGTAACCTCAGATCGCAATGACTTGTCTTGAGACTTTTTGCTCAGGCTCCGTCTGTAAACTAGGTAATGCATGGTTGTGTGATTAAAGTCTGAGTGTTATGTACTAGGTACTTAAAGCTATCGTGAGAAGATGCTTGAGAAAGGCCAGTGGTGTCACAGCATAGACCAAGCCAGGCCAGCCAAAAAAGGGGGCACTCAATGAACATGACCAAAAGATACAGGAACGTTAGGCACCTGAGAGAACAAAGGCCAGTCGAACTGTCACTTCCAAGTAATTGTCAAGTACCTATATTATTCGTAGCTAAAGTTGAATCGTTATGATGATGCATTTAAAAGTACCACCGTTTCACAGGCTCGGCCCCCTTTCGATGGCCTCATAGTGCCCCTATTTTCTAACTATTGTACGAACACTTTGGAAGAATAAGCTTACACGCCGTTAGAAATGTTAGGTTAGGATATTATCACGATTTCCTATATTCTATAGAATGTCACTTTGAGTAGATGCCGAAGCGAGAACCCCTATTCGTGAGAATCATTCTAAACTTCATCCAATGAATCTAGGTATCCCAATGATAGAAATTGGGAGAATTCTTCCAACTTGAGGAATTACTCTTGATCTTGTAATGATGTCTCTCAATGAACGTAATTATTTCTAACTACCTAGGTAGTCTAATAAAAACCAGTGACTAACGTAATTATTCGGTAGCAGCAGGGCTTCTTTGTCACATAAGAAATATATTTCAATAATTCATTAGGTCTGTATTGAACAATCTATGGATATCATGAATCTTGGTGAGTTAGTAAGTTCTCGGGTTTGGTCTACTAAAAGACATGGTATGGTTATAGCTTGATATGCGTCACGAACATTGATCTCATAAAGTTCCAAGGTTGTGACTCGCGTCTCACCCAGAAGCATATAGACTGGAAGCCTTGAACCTCTAATATTTGTGCAATTGTAAGCATTTAAACCTGGAAGGTAGGTATAGAATCAATAGCTCTGATACCTACATCGACTACTCTTACAATCTTACTACATCGATATCTATCACATTCTTCACGTAACCAAGAATACCAAATCCTGTTATCATGGGCTCTTCACACTCTAAGCCATCGAAGCCTTCAACTTCGCGCAAGCCTCTTGGCCAGCTAAGATACTCCTGCACTCACACTGCCAAGCACACCAAGACCCCATCGCGCAACTTCGTATGGGAAGTCAAGCGAATCGAGGCGATCGCCGAATCTCGCCCCGGCCAGGGGTATCTGGCACGAGTCAAGTACGTCGAAGACAAAGACGACCACACGCCTTGCCTCCTCCTCATCTTCCAGGACGAGTCGTCTATTCCCTCGGACGATGATTTGGTCTATCTCAGGCGCAAAATAGAGAAGGATCCTCTTCGGCTGGACCGGTTCCGTGTCGATTTCACGTTGGAGGGTCGCGAGGATGAGAGGGTGCACCTCGTGGAACGGGCGGCTCAGCATCGAATGCATCATCAGAAACGTGCAGATGAGAATGGGAAGTTTCTCTAGAGATGGAAATACCTAGGGGTGGGCTGATCAAGAAACTCGGAGGAACTACGTAATGCCTAGAGGATGCGATTAAGGGGATCTGGCAGAGGTGGGCTTGGCCTAATAGTCTCTCAGCATCCTCCCAATCATATAATCGGGATGAGACACTACCAACAGTATATTATTCGTAGGATACGAAAGGGGTGTTTTACCACCCCCTTACCTTAGAAAATAAACAGCCCCCGTTTAACCCAAAAAAGACTTATGCCTCCATGCCTCCATGCCTCCATGCTGACACTCGCTCTCACTGCCTACGGCTGTGCCTCAATGGTCTCAATAACCCTATGATCAACCCACGCCGCAACCGTGCGCTCCGTGAACGCATCAACCCGCTCTTTCGTCTGCAGCACGTACCCACAGACCGGCCAAATGAGGTTCGTCATGTAGCACCTCCTATACTCCACCATCAGCTCCTCATCGGCACGATCCAGCTTTGGTCCTCCGAGCCTGTGCAAAGTCTCCAGATAGTGGTCGAGCACCTCCATCTCGTGCGCGCGCCGGTCCGCAACGCTCAGGATCGACGACACGAAGTAGACGAGGTCGTGGAAGCACGAGGCGAAGTGGAACGCCGACCAGTCCAGGAACCGCGTCCGCCCCGAGGCCGTGAAGTACACGTTGCCGAGGTGCGTGTCGCCGTGCACGAGCGTCCGGAACCGCGGGTTGCGCGTCGCGTAGAACTTCGCCTGCGCGCGCTTCACGCGCGCGCCGTCCATGAGGTACGGAGGCAGCGCGGGGCGCCCGGGCTCGCGCACGACGCTGTCCCACGGCTCGACGATTTGCTTCATCGCGATGTCGTATTTGTTCTCTATCCCTATTTTAGGTAGGTCACTTTGTCAGTTTCTGTCATATAGGTAGACATATTCTTTTTACCCCGACCGACTGTCCTTCAGCTGTACTGCTCAGGAGGACCCAAAAACTGACAAGGGAATTCCTGCTCCGCGCTTTGCCCCCAGAACTGCGCGTGCAGCCCGGCGATCTGCGCGGCGCCGTCGAGCGCCTTCTCTAAGGGGTAGGAAGCCGCTTCGCCTGGAAAGGTGCACCCTTCGTGGGTGAGATCCGACATAATCGCGATGCCCTGCGTGTCGCTTGTCCCGCCCCACCAGCCTCTCGGGTAGCCCATGTGTTTTATGATCGGTGCCATCTTCGCGAAGAACCTGGCCTCGTGTTTCGCCAGGAGCAGGGTCCAGGGGTGAGCCGCGAGCATCGCGGGCTCAAATACTCCCTTCACGCAGATGTGTATCGGCCGCGCGCTTGGGTCGGCTATGTCATCCGCATACTCGATGGTGAAGAATAGCTTGCTACCTGTTCCCAGTATTGTGTCGGTTAATGTGATCGATTTGATCTTGTGGCCGAGGACAGAGCCTAGCCATCCCGCTGTTACGTCGGCAGGGACCGCTGGCAGCTTCTCTGTGTGCACCTCAATAACAGACGACATTAGGTAGTTATGGCCTTTAGAGATCAAAGAATCTGGAGCGGAAAATTTTCATGGGGGGGTCGTCATGTTGCTTTATAGATCGCGACGACTACTGGTGAGGAGGTGGGTAATTAAGCGTCTTACTGCAGCTTCTTGGAGAAGTGAGAAATGGTAAGCTGACGACGATTGCGCCTTAGGTGACACTTAGGCACCAAACAATCGAAAATGATATATCAGGTTACCTAGGTAGAAGGCACCTAACCATAGGTAGCATCGTATCGTATGATGTATCAAGTTCAGTAGCAAGAACATAATCTAGAAGACTATTGCATACCTAGGTACAGATAGGAAACCGTCTATAGGATACTAGCAAAGTACCTGGATGATTGCCTAATATTGAATTCTCGACATCTCTGGCATAGCAGCTGTAGAAATTAGTAGGTATTAAAGAGTGTATATACTAGGTAGCTACTTATCAAGCTCATTGCACAGTCACATAAGTATGATCTAAGTCAGATAAGAATAACGAGCCAACGCAGTGGCTAAATATATGAAAACTTTTTGTTGAGAAAATCTAAGATGAAGGTGTTTTACAAGCGACAAAATGGAGTATAACAAAAAAGGACAAAAAAAAAAAAAAGCCACCTTGGAAATCATACCGGCTCCTCACAATATCCAAGAAACCTATCCAACACCCCTTTAATTCCCACCCCTTCTTCCCTCCCCCAAGTCTCTGCATTGAGATGATATGCAAGTCGTTCCGATGCTTTGACAAAAAAACTAGGATATAAAACTAATTGTGAAAAAGGCATCTCTCTCTCTCTATATTAACTTGTACTGGCTGAGCAACGGGATCGCGTATAGAGAGGGGAGCCATAAAAGAGTGTAGTAGTGGAAGCTGAAGCGATCCGACTTAGGTGTTCTGAACAGCAGAACGTGTGCGGACACTGCTCCACCTATCAGGAGGGGCAGGACGTGGCCCGCGGTGATTTCCATCTCCCAGTAGGTCGGGCAGGCAATCGACCAGAAGGTGATGAAGAAGGCGGTTATCCAGCGCGTGGTTACGTCTCCGATGGCGATGGGCATCGTACGTCGACCCCGAATGCTGTCGCCCTCCTGGTCTCTCAGATCCTGGATCTGGATCGTCGTGAACGTTTGGAGGCCAAGCAGCGCACACCACTCGTAGCCGGCTCGGGACATCGAGTTCGAGGTCAGCGACTCGGCAGCGACTCGGGTGGCGCCGATCTGCGCGGTCAGGTAGAACAGGATGTTGATGGCGTTCTTGGACCACCACGAGATATTGCCGCTGGCGTAGTCATGGACGTAGATTTCCACCAAGAATATAACCGCCTCAGGGAACCCGCCCAGCCACAAGCCGCTGGATAGTAACAGCAGGATGATCGAGGCGATGTAGAACTTCTCCGCGCCCTCGATGGTCAGTCTGCCGGAGGGGATGGCCCGCCATGGTTTGTTTAGCCGGTCCTCTTCTACGGAGGAAGGGTCCTTTTGGTTGCTGCAGTCGGCGTAGAAGACGAAAAGCCAGACGTAGAGGGTGGCGCGCGGAGCGATGGTGATGAGGTCTGCCCAGGTGGGATTGGGGTTCGTGGTGACGCGGCCGGAGGCGACACTCAGGATGGCGAAGAGCGCCACGGGCTGGACGTATGACTTGATGTTGCTTTCGGTGATGAGGTGAGCAATAGAGATGGCTTCCCAGGCTTTGGACAGCGCCGACTTGAGCTGTGGCCGAGTCAGCATCGTGATATGTTTGGCTTGGTTCAAATGGCCATAGCTGCTGTTGCTTACGGATAGCGGGCTTGACTTGGTCGAGTCATGGTAAGCCTTCTCGACCAGGGTCTCGTAGGCAAAGCTAGAAGAGGACAGACTAGGCTCCATATTGTATAGTATAATAATGAGCAGGAAACGGGTCAAGGCCTGGTGGTTTGAGAGCAAGAAGTAGAGACGGCTTCTATGTTAAACGAAGATGCCCGCTTTAAATATACACATCTCTCTCCGGGGAGCGGAGTTCTTTTTCATCAGACATGCATATAGAACACCGTTGGTAGTTACCTAGCAGATACTCGCCCTTACCTGCGACTAACTACCCAACAGAGTTAGGATTATACGTATTGCCTATAACTCGGAGTTCTATTATGCGTGCCTGTAATATGTATAGTCAATTTGTGGGACATTTCGTAATGTTTGCTACCGATAGACCAAATTCAACTTCGTCACTTCTGGAGTTCTAGGAATAATTTCTCTTTTTATGTCCTTCATATACCTCACATGGAATAGCCCTAGCTGTCGGGTTGGCAGTACCACGTTTAACCCATGGGATGTACGTGAGACTAGCTCCAAAGACATGTTTGGGTTTTCTGGGTATTCTATTAGGAAGCGCCAAATTTACGTACAGGTTTTTAAATACTCAATCTCGGTAGTTCCCGAAACCTGAGGCAGATCACGAAATTAACTTGTTTCCGAGTAACCCGGATTTCGGGATTGAAGGTGATTTCAGGATTCACCAACCTACAATTTACTGGATTTGGACTTGAAAGAGACAAAGAGGGACGAAGAAGTTTCCTCATAGGCATAAAGGTAAGGTCCTCTCTTTCTCAACTACATTCAACTACATTCAACTACATACTATACGTCGTACACCAGTGATATAACAGGTCATACATAAGTTCATACTAGGTATGTAGGTAAATCATACCACCTCGCCGGAGCATACTGCATAGTATGCAAAAACTCATGCAAAAGGTGTGAATCTCCAAACACCCACCGACTTTTAGTTATTAAACCCTGACCCAGTATACCCCTGCCGACCCGTAAGAGCCGCCCTCGTTAGGCTACTTCTTGTGGACCAAGCTGAGATCCCAAGGCCATTATTGGATGAAGTGACCTAGGTAGGACCATGTGACATACTCTTGGAATATACCTAGCAGCCTAGTTACCTTAGGTACCTAGCCAAGCGATAGACTAAAGACCACCGCCAGGATGGTAAAGTTTAGTGTACCAGTTAACCAGACAGACTGGAAAGACGTTATAACTTATTAGTACCATGAATCCATGATAACTAGGTACCATCACGCACAAGCCACTTGACTTGCCCGTTCCATGTGAATATAGAATTTGTACTTTTTCCTCAAGGGACTGCCTAAAAGCTACAAGAGCGTGATGTAAGAAATAGTTACTAAGAATTGTGTCTAGGTAGCTTTCCACAGTCTATAGAAATCCGGTACACTATTTAGGTCCTCTTAGTATAGTTACCTGGTGGAGGTATATGTATGTAGGGCTGTTTCGTGTTTGGGTTAGATCAAGAATCAATCCTTGGATGGCACCATTTACGAAGTAAGCGATAAGACTGATTAGTTACTACCAAGGTTAGATCCAATTCGGTAATTCATGCCTGTTCCCTTCCAGCACTTCAAACCTTGATTTCTCGGACTCGTAAGGCTTTATTACTGATATGCATTAATGATTAATGGACTTCTTACACTTAAGACTCCTTTAAATGGCAGTGATTGATTGGAGTGGAGATGTGTATGTAGGTAGGTTGGTAACTGGTAAGAACCAAAACGTAATTCTAACACGGTAGAACACAAAAGAATAAATATAAATATGGGAACAAGTTCCAAATATAGTCATTGATGCTTTACGTCATGCATACCCGCGTGGAACCTGTGGAAAGTTACATTGCCGTGCCTCTTCTAGACTCTAGAGAGTATTGTTACCTACTACCTATCTAATCTATCTAGATTCTAGATTCTAGATACTAGATACTATCTAACTGAGCCGCAAAGCATAATCGTATTACCTGCCATGGTTAGGTGCTATATCTAGATGCTATATCTAAGTAGATAACATGACATCAAAAGAGGTCAGTATAGAACGAAGTCATGTGATTTTATATTCTGATGTGTATGTACATAAGTGTAAGTTAACTCATGGTCCTTTTACTATGTACATACAGTAAGTGCCACATACAGTGCTGTATTATTGTGTATAGGAAATTATACACTGTACGTTATATGTAAGTACCTAGGTTCCTAGGTAGGCATTTCCATAATAGTCTTCAAACCCGTTACACCTCAGCTTAAATGTCTAACATATGGAACAATATGGATCCATAGATGCATTTGATGGGCTTGGAAGTGTGTATGGATTTGGGGGTGACACGTGGTTCCCTAAGCCATCACACATACATGTTCATACATATTATGTAGGTACTGATATAGGTTCCTATGTACTATGTTACCTAACTAAGAAAATATCAAAGGAGATTGTTCTCGACCGATAGGTCGATCATCCCTTACCTACATTGAAGAAATTGTCGGGTCCCGCAGCGGTAAGGCAACGACCAACATCCCGCGTTGGAACTTCATGCCCTAAGGTGATCCCGATCTGATAATACGATAATTTGAAGTATGCGCTGGTAAAGATTTTTCAAAAGCAAAAAAAAAAAATGGAAAGAAAAAAGAAAAACACGCGGAATATGATATGCAAAGTGCGGAATTACATAAGCCTACCTTGGTTCAGCAGACTTTGGTTAAGATGGCCACAAAATAAGCTAACTAGAAGATAACTACAATACGAGGAGATTTCGCTGTCTCCGGGTTTACCAGAGTTTTGCCTCTCCTTCGTCCTCTTCTGTCTACCCCGAACCGTAATCCCATGCATGTGTTTACATCCATGGCTAAACGGCACAAGCTTTTCACCTGCCTCTTAATATGGCGATTAAGCCAAGACACCAAATCACTTTCCGATGATTACATTCCTACCTCATAGTATCATATAGAATGCTAAGACAGAGGGCTTGGTGTGCCGAAGACACGTAGCGGCATGTGTAAGTTGTCTAACCTAGGCACGTAACCCAAGACAGTGGTAGAGGTCAATTCTCCAGCTGTACAATCTAGTAGGGATGCACGCCGGCCCACCAAGAGCGGAATGGAAATGGATACCAGGCACTAGTTAAGCTACTAGATATGGTATTGCCGATCTATTTTCTTGTGCTCGCGTCACATCACATTTTTCACGCAATCGTGATGCGCTTTGATTTTCGAAGAAAGAAGGAAAGCTTAGGGCACGGGAGAAGAAAGCGCACAGATGGGGAGGCTAAGACAGAAAGCCCTAGCGCCCAATCGCAACCCCTTGCCACATAACTAGTTAGAGCAACCCACGGGGATTCGATCCTAGGCAGTGCCCATGGGAAGATAGGGAAACAAAAAAATGACAAGGGATGCTATAGTGTACGTACTTCCTCGTTCGACGCAAGGGTAGGTATGTATGAACACCACCAGCTCACAAACAAATAATCCCATAACTCCACCACGAAGAGGAACGATTCCCACTATCCGCAAGGTCCTTTACACCGCGCAGGCGGCAACGATGGGCTCGGCAAATGTCGGTAATACCAGAAACATACATCGCTGCCCCCGATTGCAGATATGCAAACTGCGGTGATCATCGTGAACCAACGATGATGCCTGAGGATTATCACCAGAAACAGTTCCAGTCCCGTTCCCAGCTATGCGGAGACGAGCATGTGCCTCGTAGATTAGCGATAATCCATTCCATCTAAGCTATCACAACCAGCATTGCACGTTTACTGGAGATGATGGGCGGTGAAGGGAAAAAAAAAAGGCTTGCGTACTACCTATGTATCATGGGAGGTGGGAGTGGGAGTGGAAGTAGGAGTGAGTACACTGAGTAGGTAATGGGATTCCAGGAATCTGAACTTCCTAGCGCCAAAGGATGAAAAGAAACATACAGGGCCATATTGAAGTTTGGTAACGAGGGCAATCAAAGTGGGGTGTGTGTTGGTAAAAGTGTGCGATGTAAGGTCAATATCAGATATTCTGCTGAAGATAGCAGTTCCAGCTGTTTCTACTATTAACTACTAGGTAACCAATGAGATAAATCAAGTGAAGATTTCTATTTTTTCAAGACCATGATAGGCTCGTATCAACCTCGGTATTGTACAATATCTTATTCAGATATGAAAAGTGAAGTACGCTAAGATGGCGAGCAGGGCAGGGCAGGGAATGTTGTGTGCCTACATAGTATGTGGTAATGAATACATACCTGTGAAATGTCTGTGGGTACTTGGTTATATGTAGGTATGCATGCATATATGTATGTACAGTAGCTATGCAGATTGCTGGGACGGTTGTATCAGTCCCAGTGTGTTGGTGCAAGGCAAATAACTACCTGTACGTCGAGTCAAGTAACCTTGAAAGCAAGGGAATGAATGCAATGTGGTTGGATTAGTTCGCCAACCAGTGCAAGCAGAAGTCACAACAGCGGGCCGCACCCGGGCCCGGGTTATGACGGCCGTTGGATCGGACCAAGGCAAGATAGGAAAAGAAGCAACAAGATCCAGCAGTTAACCCTTGGTGCTATGATATCCTAGTATATAAATCCCTAGTGTAGGTAGGTAGGTATGTAACTACTATGTATGAATATCATACGACAACATTGTGACAGGTCGACTCTCCACCAATATACTATCATGTGTGCAGTAGGTATCCATATGGAAACATACAGTATGTACAAATTTGATGCAGTTGGGTTAGGTAGGCATATTTAGAGCTCCATATTTAAGCCCCTGCTGGGTTCCATTTCATTATGTATTCTTTACCTACCTCACATGTAAATACCTGGTCTAGCTCTTCAAGATATTGAAGCTACACAACAACGGTAACAACGGTATCGTCATGACGCTGTGTAACCCTATAAGTGATCCTCTATCAGCTTGATATCACAGCTTGATATAACAAGGATGACTACCTAGCAACTATACCTAGTACCCAATAACGGCATGCAAGGTTTCCTGCCTACATAGTATGTTCGTCTGATATTATACCCTATCCCCCTTATGGCATTGATATACCCCTCCAACCCTAAGAATCATCGATCTCCAGGGCTGGCTCCGGGCCGACAAGGAATGATTCCGGGAGGAACTTTGTTAGGTCTTGGCTGTCTACTACCTTACATGTAGTTACCTACACTACCTACGCTACTCAGGGATTAAGATATAATACTTGGTGGAGACGTCTTTACCCCAGCCATACCCCATATTGTATTGGGTTGCTACTCGTTTCCTTGCAGGTCAGTTTAACTAACTAAACTACTGTGGCATCAGAAATAAGGGACTTTTTTTCTTCGTCGGTACCGTTTCGCAAGGTGACTGGATTTGATTCGACGCACAGACGATCGCATCCGAAGAACGGAGCCGAAGTTTTCGAAATAGGTAGCCGGCCCGTTTCCTCGGGTTGGGATGCTTTTTTTTCTTTTTCTTTTTCTGATACTGCACACTGGCATCATTGGTCGCTTTGTACGATCCCGATTTTTCTAACAGCCAAAGTCAGAACATGGAAATGATAATCGCCATATGGATTCGCCATCTCCGCCTAGATAACACCTTTTTCGGTATCAGGAGGGTTCAATTCAGGATGCGAAAGGCGAATGAAACCCACCAATGAATGGGCCGTGCTCCCCCTACCTAGTAGGAAAAGTGCTATGCATTAGACTATCGCCAACCTTACTGCCGCCTCCTCAACCTCCTTCCACAAGCTGCTGCCGCCCCACATTGGGCAGTCCCTGACAGTCCCTGTGTTAGTCGTTACTGCCTAAGGGCTCGTTTTCGGGATGGAACTCATAGTACTAATAACCTCCTTATCTTTCCGATGCTCCTTTTCATGACGTGCACTTACGGCGCTAGTTTTCGTAACTGCATTCCAAAGTTGCCACTAACGTATATGCCCTTGTTCTGGATTGTGCTATATCGGAAACTTACTGCAGTCGACATTAGCGTCGATAATAACGGCGGTGTTAGTCAGGTCTACCGTTGTTTGGGATTCGGGCTAGAAAAGGTCGAATAGGGGATTTTGCTGTCCTAGGTGTTCCGGTGGATGATAGCGCCTGGATTTGACAAATGGCGGCAATTCCGCATCTAATTTGCTAACTAATCAGTCTCTTATATCTCATTTTAACATCTTCAAAACAAACGTCATTCTAGTATTCCTTGCTAGTAAGAATACGCGTACCAATGGTCATCCATCCAAGGAACGAATGTTACAATAACCTCATATAACGACAACAGCTAACCAAAACGCTCCCAAAAATGTAAACTACCGGCTCCAAGCATAGCCCAGTCCTGTTTTATATCTCGTTTGATATCTCGTTTGATATCTCATCAATCTCGCCCTGATAAACCTTATTCTTCTATTAAACTAATACGAAGTTACGAACTCATCGTCCGCTTTTTTCTAAAAAAAGAAATTTGGTAAAGATTAGCTCAACTAGTAATCTCGGCTCTAATACAACTAACTATTTACTTAATCTAACAATAAAGAAAGGGGAGTTGCTTTAAGCTCAGACCAACCTCAGGCCTAAATCTTTTCATCATGTAAAGCCCCTATTCACTTGAAGAAATAAAGACTCGGCATCTACTAATACAAGATGGAATAAGATTTCTGGTAATTTGGTAAGGAATTGCTGCCAGATGTTCCAAAAGTAATCTACATCTAACATCAATCCAAGACAACAAGAAGAATCTGCTCTCAGTCTGTTCAACATTTGTACTGTAGGTTAGAATGAAGTTGAAAGCAACGTGACGAGAATTTAAACATCCAGATCCCCCTAATGTAGCTCGTCTTAAGCTTAGAGGAAAAGCTTCAAGAAGGATACTAGGTTAGGTCTGTAGTAAAAACTGCCGACAATATGAAACGGTTGAATTTATCGTATACACTCTCAAGCTGGTTTTACGGTGAGATATCTTAGTTTGGAAATTTATGATATTGCAAAGTCCTGATGTATAATTTCCAATAATATTGACAACTGGCATTCATGCACCAAGTGGGAGAGTTCCATTTAGTCTCTGCTGGTGTGGTGGCGGACGTGTCCTATGTGAGAATCTTTCATTAATATTCTAAGATGCCACGCGCTCCATCTACGACAATGAAGTATCTTGCACTAACTGGCTTCTTGTGATTCACTGGGTTTAAATAATGAGTTTTATCATCGTAAATTGAGCAAACTTGATACGCAAAGTGTATGATTCGATAAGTTTCTAGGTAGACAGCTCAGCTTCATTCTGGTCGTGTGACTTAGAGGCATTAATCGACCCTGAAGGAACCTCAATAAATATTTATTTAAAGCAACCACAGCCCACTGGAAATTCCATACCCAATGTGCATATACCTAGCCTTTTGACCACCCTGCTTGTTTAGCTAACAAGATATCCCGTCAAACAGATCGTAACCGTTTCCTCAACCCAGTTCCTATCCCAGCATGACAGGTAAGAAGGAACATCCGAAGCAACCCCCTTCAAAGGAGACCCAACAGCGGTCCCGTAATGGAGGATATCGCTCCAGCCACCCACCAGTACCGACCACGCCGGTAGCAATACACACGAACCACGTGGCTGACCCCGACTACCCTCCTGGCGGATATGAAGCCTATCGAGCTCAATGGGAGTCCTTTCGCAATGCCCAAGAAGCCCAAAGACACCGAGGTTCCGGTGTAATGGACCCTAATACACAACGCGACAAAATACAGCGTATAGAAAAATGGATCATGGAGATAGAGTGAGTCGGACTCTACCCCAGACTGCTAGTTATTAGAGACTGACGAAGCGTAGGACCCCCGACGAAGAATATTCACCGGCGAAAACCATCGACGACTCCACGGAGCGCGGCGCTGATGCTGACAGTGAAACTATTGCTGACTTTACCACCCTCACCGGGTACACCACCATCACTAGCCAAACAGCCAGTGCCGGTGTCTCAAACGTCATGTATCCGCCCCAACTCCCCTATCCAAATCTAGGTACGTGTACTCCTCCCAAGTCGGGCTCGCAAAGGTACATGGACTGGGATGATTATTACTACGACAAGGAACCGAGCACGTTCAACGGAAGATACTTCGCACAGTTTGTCGATAACAACAACGGCGGCCTAGCCATGCACCCATATGAAAATACTCCTCTACCCCCGTCTACCCACGACCAACCCCCCCACCTCACCTACCACCAGCTGCTCCACGGCTGTACCTACGCGGGCCCGGGCAAGTGTTGTCCTTTCACCAACAACCCCAACCCTCTCACACAAAACCCCCCTAACGATGAAGTAGCAGTACACGCACACGCACACGCACACGCCCCCATAAACCCGAACCTGCTAGGTGCGGCCCCGAGCCCTCCGTATAGTATCAGCGCTCCTGTACATACGGATAGCAAGCCAGACACGCCTTCGACCTACAAGGGCCCCTCTGATATCGATGCCCACACGCTGCCGCCGGAGAGAGCGGCGAAGAGGGATGGGGCGGATTGGGTTGTTGTTAAGCATGATAAGAGGAAGGGGGGGAAGAAGGGGTAAGGAGAGGGGTGTGGAGATAATTGGTGATGAGGTAGGTAGTGGAGTCGTTAATGAACAACGAGAGTGTGAGTGAGCACGAATGCTCGGCAGAAATAGCCTTGGAGCTCTTATTGTTTACTTAGGAGGGCTCTCGCCGGTGAGTAGAGGTGGGTGTGGTAAGTGCGGGGAGCATGTCGGATGCCCCTGAATACTACCTAGATAGCCTACGTAGGTAGGTGGTTGACTGTACTGCCTTCCGTCAAGTGGCTTAACTTCCATACCTAACTCATCAAGAAATTGACAACATCTAATTTATAACACGACAGTGAGGCAATGCTTCTTTGGCAGTCATGGGTAAATTCAAGCGTGTCTTGTCTCGTGTATAAGCGTACTAGTTAGTAGCTTGTCACTATCATCAACCTTGGAAACCAGCAGCAACAATAACGCTGACATGGAAACATTCTCTATGAAATGTATTTCAAGTAGACTATCAGTACATTTGATTCTATAATTAGGGCACATCCATTTGACTGTACTAGGTATGTCTATCTTCAACGCCAAACCATTTCTCGGCAGAAAAACTGCAAACGAAATATGCTCCTGCGCGACAACGATGTTGAACACCTCCTGTTACTGAATGAAACCCAAACATCGGAAGTGTCTACACAGTATATCACCTTCTGATCGGGCATATCGTATCCAAGTCGACCTGAATTGTGGCGATCAAGCCAGTTCAGAATGCAGGCATCAAGTATAAGAATCTTGGAAAGTAAAAAAAACAAAGGGTCTCCAAGATTTGAGGGATGCAAATAGGTGAGCGCAACTAGAGGTACTATGACTGGCTAGGTACCTAGCTGTTGCTCATGAAACCCCAGTTCGCGGGAGTGTGGGCTGTGCAAGAGATCGGGACCCAGGCACCGGCAACATCATCCTGGGGACACGCAGATATCGGGGAGCGTACATTGTATATCTCCTTCGTAAGTGGCTCATGGACTACGACCATCTCTGTAGTAAACTTAGAACCCGTATATTGAACATCAACTGTCAAAGGGTCTACCCAGGGACTGGGCAGAATAAAAGGGGCTACGTGTATATTTAGCCCCTGCCATTTTTCGGAAGATGTTAGAAGCCCCTATATGACAACAATACTGTTCTGCATTTTCTGTTCCGTCTCGTGATAGCAAACCCCCTCTCCAGCGACTCATCGGCATAGACGAGAACGGCCTATCATGAGACTTAGCCCAGCTTCTTTTTACGACCTCAGCCCTGATTATATCAGCGGCCGTGCAGCATAGCTACCTAGTACCTACCAACAAGAGCCTCACTTCCAGACAGGGGGAGCCGAAGGATCAAGCATCTGTCAACGGGAGACATGGAGGTCAGACAAATCTAGAACTCTATCTTGGGTGCCGGAGTGGAGGATCCGTTAAGGATCCATCCTGCCAGACCCCTATCAACCCTCATCGGGCTCTGGGTGCGTGAGTGTCTCAGCTAGGTATCGCTGTGGGGCTTCCCATTCTCAAGTTTCACGGCTTGAAGTGTAGACAGCGTTGAAGGATGCTCTCAGCGTTGGGTGGAAAGGGAGGCTCACTGAAATTGGGGACACGAAGATCTAGCGACGACAGTCAAATGGCTCTATTGAGAAGAGCCTGCGAAGAGGTCGCTTTTATGTTGGCGGCTTGTCCCTGAATGGTAGTGAAAGAGCCATCTTAGCGTTCAAGTACCTGAACATTAAGTAACGGGTGCATGCCGACTGCTGGATGGGAGGGGAAAAGGTACGTCCACATTGGAGACTGTTTATCTTTTAGTTATAGGTTACCAATGAGACGGATGTATACCAAGGGGAATAGAAAGATATGCGTATGCATCTTTGATATAACTACCTACCTGAGTAGGTAGGTAGGTACATATCCATATGAAACATCGGAATTATCCCATGAAGTCGTAAGCAAACAGTTTATCAACCACGTCGCCTGACTCAAACGGCTCGATTGAATTTCCCTCGGGCGATTCCCAGACTTTCATGATTACCTAAGCTATGCTGTCTAATCTTCTGCGCATTGTCTTGGAAGCAAATCTGAATCGCTGCCACGAGAATGAATATTGGGGTTTCTAATAAGTCCTAGTAGATTATGACGACGAAACCACCAGAGAATGGAGAGTGGTGTATCCATGCTAAACGTCGGCCTTTTGTTTGAAAGAGTGCAAAGGAGAGGAAAAGGAAAAAGGAGAAGAAGATTAGCAAATAATAAAGCCAAGAAAAAAATATTCAGATTTCATAATTGAATATGTCAACGGGTAGCACGCGGTAGCACGGTGTCCCGTTAAGCGAAGCCGTTCATGTCTCACGAAGAATTATCTGTGCCCATTTTCCATATACACGAGTGGCTGTGTATTAAGAAGGTACCCAATTGCCAAATCAGCATCATCAAGAACTGAGATCTGAGAACTGAGTGCTATAAGAGGTCAGCACTAGTATATAATAAGTACCTATCATTGATGTATGGCATTGTACCTAGTATGCACAGAACATTGAAGATACATACCTAGTAGCCTAAGAATCTAGAGATCTTGCCTTATCGGCAACCCTCTCTGGTGCCTACCTAGGTACCTTAAAAGTAGCCCTGGAGGTACCTACGCTACTAGGTACTAGGTAGGTAGTAGGTTAGGCATGTTCTTTGGCAGGTGGAACTGGGGTTCCGGATCACGCTACATAAGATCCATCTGCGCATTACCCCATCACCCCTGAATTATTTTCGTTTTTAGCCTTTCGTTCCTGCATCACTCTAGATCTAAAGATAAACGTTCTATGGATCTCCTTCTTTTCTTGTTCTTTTTTACTGATGGGTGTTTTCTCTACCATAACTGAGGCACAGGCGTTTCACTGTAGCCTGAGATACGCTGATCAATATGAAGAGCATTGAATTTGGGAGCAACCATACACTACATACATGTATGTATTATTAGGCAGAAGGATCCAAAATGAGATTGTTTAGGTATATCAATTGATAACCTCATCCTTACCCCACCTTGGCGGCAGGGATCAATTGTAAATGACGATGGGGTTCAAGGTGTCGTACATGCCCTAGGCGGTTAAGTACCTACCATGGCTACAACGTTGTATTAAACATTCTTACCGAAAGCCAACCCTCTAAAAGTCAGATCGCCAAAAGCTTGAATATGTTGCTAAGTGTTTAGGTTAGATGGTCAGTTTAACGGCAACAGTATTAACGGTTTGCCAAGCTTGGTTCAACTTGACTATATCAAACTAAGAGTTGTCGAAAGTAAACATACATATAAGTGGGCATGTATGTTGCAGATTTCTACGAGCATCTAGTCATAAAACCTCTCGTATTATAGTGCTCACTCATGTCGTACTTAGTGCCCTCTCAGGTTTGTTCAAGTTGTGAGGCTGTGCCCCCATGTCGTACATAGTACTGAGTACCTTCACCTGCACTGCCCTATGTAGCTACAGTATCTACATCGAAAAACGCAGCAACCTATTACAAAGGAGACAAAAACCGAATGGGGCGTGACATATGCGGCACAGATGGGATTCAATAACCAATAACTAGGTATGTAGCTACAATCCACGGTCAAGTGTCAGATCACCCGTTGCTACGATACTTGGATACAAGTGCAGTACATGTACTTGAATGTTCAATGTCGTACAAATTCAATGTTGTAGACGGGTACTTTGGTATGTATGTATTGTACATATGTGGGTGGTTATTACCCCAGGAACGTCGGAGTACTATTATTACTACACAGATGCAGCCAACTGTACCTGCTGTAGGTAGTACAATCGTTCTCATTCCCTTCATTTTTGTTCTGATTTTACTTCTTTCTTCTTTTCACATTTTACCTTTCCTTTCCCCAACGCCCACCCACTCCTGTCGCCTTTGAAACCCGGGTGGTGCATTTCGCTCGTTTTACCACCTATTATCGACGACAACACACACACACACAAGACATATACACACAATCATTCGAGGCGCCTTTAAAGATTTTCCTCGGGTCCTGCTATATGCACAACTAATCAGAGATCGACTTCGTTCGTTCGCGCTTTGAGGTGGGAAAAAAGCCGAGGGGCACTTCAGAAAACGCCACTGTTTATTTCAGTATTTACATGGCGATATTGGTGGCTTTCGTTGATCGCAAAGTCTGACTACGCTAACAAAGGAGGGGGAAATAACAAAAGAAGAAACACAAATCATCACGATTTTTTACCGGGTAATTGATAATTAGGTATCTACCTAGGTAGCTAGGAAGTCGAAAGAGATGTTGTTCCCAACGGCAACGTCGCTGTTGGCGGCAATGTCCTTCGCGACACTCGTCCTTCCTGCAGCAGCCGAAGAAAAGATACTCCAGTCTACCTCTCTGAACATCTGCCAGGAGAATTCGGGATTCTCAGCCAGCTTATTTGATGTTGTCTATACCCCCAGTCTTGGCACCGCATATTGCAATATCTCGGCCATTTCTACCATTGAAGCTCGTGTTGTCTTCGACATCGAGATTAGCGCTTACGGCTACTCGATTATCCATACTACTATCAACCCATGCGATGTCAATTTACCTGGGTTTTGCCCTATGACCTCTGGAAAGATTGGAGACCCTTTTGTCATTCCCGTCAGCCCCGAGGCCACACGGAATATTCCCTCTATCGCCTACAACTTTCCCGACCTGGATGCGAAGGTTAAAATCTTCATCAATGCTACTAATGGACCCCAAGCTGGACAGAGTGTCGCCTGTGTGGAGGCATTGGTTTCGAACGGACAGACGGTTGATTTGGTTGGAGTTAAATGGGCCTCAGCCATCGTTGCCGGTCTAGCTCTTGCGTCGTCAGCATTTCTATCCGGTCTAGGCCACACGAATGCTGCCTCACATGTTGCCGCAAATGCCTTATCCTTGATGAACTACTTCCAGGCTCAAGCTATGATTGGACTCGTTGGAATTCCTCTACCTCCGGTTGTACAATCGTGGACACAGGATTTTCAATGGAGCATGGGTATTATAAATGTTCGATGGAGTATGTCAATCCTTGGTTATTCCTGGCTTCTTTGTTCTCGATAGGACATGATGCTGTTCAAATATTCCCAAAGTTATTTACTGACTATTGTTTTAGTGCAGGATATCTTCACTTGGTATCAGCGTTCTACCGGTGGCAAGGCGTCTACACTGATTACGCAGGTCGATACAATTGGCTCGGTTTCTGTTGAAGTACAAAAGCGAGCCGTAAATCTCTTTGAACGCGGTGTAGCACTACTCCCTCGTGCTGTGGTAGAACATGGCTCGAGCCTGATGAAACGAGCGAACATTCAAACCGAGTATGGCAGTTACGTTGTATACGGCATCCAGCGTGTCGCTTTTCGAGCAGGCATTGAAAGTTCAAACCTCTTCCTAACTGGGATTGTTTTCTTTTACATCGTCATGGTGCTGACTACGCTTTGCATTTGCGCATTTAAGGGATTCTGTGAACTTGCCGCAAAGCAGCGCTGGATCAAGAAAGATACCTTTCTCGAATTCCGTAACGGTTGGCGTAAGTAGCCTTGATCTCTTGTCTTGCTGCGCTTTCTACTTGACCGTTTGGCCAACTAATACTAAATTCGTGGATATAGTAACTGTGCTCAAAGGCGTCCTTTTCCGAATGGCTCTTGTAGGACACCCTGCTGTCACAATTCTTTCCTTCTGGGAGTTCACACAGAATGATTCCCCTGCATTGATGGTCTTGGCCGTATTCTTTCTGCTTGCTATCAATGCCCTTCTGGGATGGGCAGCTTACAAGGTCATTCGCATCGCCCATCGCTCAGTTGCCATGCATAGAAATCCTGCATATATTCTGTTCTCTGATCCTCAGACTCTGAACAAATGGGGTAAGTAAATATTGGACTAGGTGGACTTTTGCAATATCGAAGACTTGCTTTATGACGAGATGCGTGTACAATTGCTAACTTCCCCCTTTACAGGATTCCTCTATATTCAATTCCGTGCTTCGGCTTATTACTTCATTGTTCCTGTCCTTGGGTATACTGTTGTAAAATCCTTATTCATCGCTTTCGCCCAAAACTCGGGTATAGTTCAAGCTATTGCATTCATTCTCATCGAGGCTGCAGCTTTAGTAGCCGCTGCCGTGCTGCGACCCTGGATGGACAAGAAGACGAATTCTTTCAACATCGCCATATGCGCCGCCAACCTAATCAACGCCATCTTCCTCCTTATATTTACCAAGGTTTTTGACCAGCCGCCTCTCGTTACCGGTGTGGTGGGCGTCGTGCTATGGATTATGAATGCGGTTTGTACATTGGTGCTATTATTAATGCTGATCGTCACGACTGGAATTGTCATCTTCCACGGAAATCCAGATGGACGGTACAAGTTCATGGCCGATGATCGCACCTCCTTTATGAAGTCTCAGAGCCAGCTTGCGACGACTACGGAGCTGGACGCGTTGGCGATAACCGCTCGTGGTGAGAAGCCTGGTTATTCATCCGGTGTCGACTTGGACGATGACGATGAATTCAATCCGAACCACCCATATAGTAAGGGAATGAACTCGGGTGCCAACTCGACTAGCAACAGCACGCGTCACGCGCCCTCTCACTTCGCACCTCCTCGATCTCCCGTTGATCCCATAAATAGAACCGTTAGTCCCTATAACGGTTCTATGTCTTCATTTGCTCGTTCGCAGAATAACTCTAGCCCATCTGGTGTTAAAGCGCCCCCCAGCCCAAAGTAAGAATCCAACCTACCTCCCTACCATACTACATTGTAATTGTTGATAATCGTCTGCTGACACTATGCGTACAGTCCTTGGCAGCGCGGGGCTGGTTACGACCACTGATGATACTCAAACTGAAGTCTTTGCGAGTAGAAGGAAGGATATAACTTAGGAGGCCAACTAAGCCTTTACTCATATAGGCGCACGTAAAACCCCAGGAGTTGTAAATTGGTTTCCGGTATCATTGGCGTTCTAATGAGGGTATGATCTTTGTTCAGGTTCGGTTAGCATCGGGTTGACCTATCGCATGGCGAACTTGGATCTGCAATGTGTATTCAGTGCGTATGCGCGCATTGTCCTGTTCACATCTTCTGTGTATAAAGTAATTTCCACCTGACATACATAAACGGAATACGTCACTATTTGATCGTGCTGTATTGTAACGGTTCGACTGGTGTTTATGATTGAGTACAAGAAGGGTATGTTCCTTATACCATTGACCTTGTGTAGATATTCACTACCATGTTGGCAGTGTTCCAAGTAGTTATTGATGAAACCTTCTGTATCCTGATCAATGCCATTTACTTTAATATGGCGGCAGAAAACTAAACCTCGATACCTTCCGTATGCCCTACGATCGATCAATTACAGAAACATGTGAGTTTCGCATACACCTCTGACTAAGCACCACAGAGACTACCAAACAAGATGAAGTATATGTATCGCATGTAACTAACTACACCTGAGCATATGTAGGTACAAGTACATACAATGAACGCTGCCCAGGTGTTTTGCGGTGGGGGGGTTGTGGGTTGAGACGAAGGAAGCTGGGTATGTACTGTATGTACGCGGCGCTGTGGTGTTGAGCGGCTCAGAGGTGGTTAACTATGTATGTAAATATGTGGAAACAAGGGGGGATTGGGTTGGATTGGATTAGATTCCTTACGTACTTCCAGTTAACTAACTAACTACCTCCAACTACCTACCTACCTACCTACCGGGGTTACGTAACTAGGTACCTAAGGTTAGGTAGGTGAATCCAGTGCATCTCACTTCGATCTTCAGTTTTTGTGGTGTTTGGTGGTTTACGAACGGTTCTGCATCGTAGCAGCCAACCCTGGAGGGTAACTATTTGGTTGCTGGCATGTTTGGAACTGGAGACGTCTGCGATAATCGCCTAACCTAACCTAACCTAACCTAACCCATAACTATTAATTCCCTAATACTATGTTACAGAGGTGGGTAAACTTAGGTGCTTGTATGTATGTAGCTTGGCCAATTCTCAGTACCTGGGCAGTAGCATTGTGAACCTAGTTACCAGGTTAGAAATTGGAAATAGAACATTTTACTGGATTCCATAAGCGCCAGCCAGTCAGTCAGTCAGTCAGTCAGTCAGTCAGCAGCGGATCCTTTTCTTTGGGGCTAGTTAGTTAGTTAGCAGATCATGATCAGCGTTGCCGTCTTGGCGGGTCGTTCCCTGGTGTAGTGTAGCGCAGCAGCGCCCTCACAGTTGCCAAGTGCCCAGGTGGTTATGTATGTACGTCGTAGTAACGAGCTGAGGAAAGTTACCGTGCGGCGGATGGATCGGCATGTTAGGCTAGGTATGGCGTATGTATTGTACATACGTTGGCTTGGTAGTGTAGTTATCTGGGTAGTTAATCACACCGGCTGACATCCATCGTCCTTCTTTAACTGACTTGCGGTGTTCTTACGGTTTTAGGCATCTAGTTAATAGGTAGTTATGTTCTTATGTGCTTATGTGCTCGAGTTCGTCGCTGATCATAGAATCAATCTACACTAATCCACTCGATCAATCGTTCTGTGGACCGCGTGTTCTTGCTCTTCGGGTTCGTGATGACGAGTCTGGCAATCATGCACGCGCCATGAGTTTATGGAAATACTTTTGTATGTAGTGGATGTAGTTAGTTAATCATCAAATCGCCCTGTACGCCCATATTAAGATACTTTTTTTGAAAAGGGGGTTACGCATCTATGTAAGTAGGCTCTTTTTCTCTTTGTTTCTTTTTGAGTTCAATTATTGATTATTTGATGTATACACAGTTAGGTATATACTATGTATCTTCAGTAGTAGGTAGGTATCTATCAGAAAGAGTTGAAAGTCTGAGATAACCGTCTCTTAACTCCGAAAGTCTTTAACACTGGAGAATTTCGTGGATTTCGTATAAAAGGGGGCCCTGCCCCCCCTGCAAAATAAAACGCCTTTCTTTCCTTTTATCCTCGCCCATCATCTACTTTTGTCGAACCATCCAGAATATCCAGCCGCCGATGCCGAAGATGCAGGTGAATGCTATGTAGGTGAAGAGAAAAAAGGAGTCAGCGCAAGATTCGGGCAGGTAGGTAGGTAAGCAGGTATTACTAACCCACTAAGAATGTCTCTACCGCTTTGTGATCGACTTCCCGTTTTGCTATGACGCTCATGTGGCTCATGCCGCGCGCGACGAGCAGCGGGAATTCGCGGGCGATTAGTTGGGTATCTATGGCAGGCATGACTTTTGAGGTTGGTGGTGGTGATGGCAGACCGGCTGGATATTAGGTAGGTAGGTTATTGTTGTAGTTGAGGTACTGTGAATGTACAAGTACTGCGCTATAAGGACGTAGCTTAATTGCAAGGTATGAAAATGCGAATAGAATTGAAAGTGAAGCTCAGCTTGATAGTATTAATTAGTTACTACGAAATGCCAAGCTCGTCGCGACCTGGCGGGCGGCTCATATATGTATTAAAATAAAAAGAAGAGGAAGAAAAAATGAGCTAGGCAAAAAAGTACCGAGGTGGTATTGGCAAAGTACCGTCTCCCTTGGCTCTCTAACTTGAAGTTGTCGTCGCTCGGCTCATCATCAGTCGATTGTTGAAGCTTTGTTGCCCATTCTCAGGGGCCGCGATTGGGGGTGGGCTCGAAACAAATGGAACGGGTACCCAAGCGATCCAATGTGCCCCTGAGTATTCAGTATTCAGTATCTTGGCTTGGCATCTTTGGCAATAACTAATAAATCTAGGTACCTAATTTACTTACATATTAGTTAAGGATTGACCGCTGGGTGCAAGATTAGATTAGATCTTGAGAATTCGCAATTATTCTGTCATTAGATTAATCGGCGCAAGTCTTGCATGTTAAACAGCTGCATATGTTTAAAGAGACCTTCACTTACAAGGTAACTACCTAGTATCTACAACAAGGTACCTAGTATTGTACCCAGCATATGTACCTAGATACCTATGTAGGCCTTAGCGAGTGGATCCCAACTTGAAAGATCCCAGGGCTCATCATAGCATGGTGCCATTCAATGGTCTTGAAACAGATCTGAGGCATGGGCTACGTGTGTAGGTAGTTAGTTACTGGCTGTACTTTCCCAACTGCGAGAGTTGAAAAGATAAACTTTTAAGCCTCAATGATTCCTTGAACGCACATGACCACCATTATGCATACTCTTAACCTGCATACCTAGTAGTACTACTAGTAGTACCTGGATCAACACTTGGAAAGTGTCCAGGCACCTCAACAAGTCTTCTATCGAGAAAATAAGAGGCCAAGTGGTTTTGACCATAACTCAAGATTCAACACCAAGAAGTAGTTATTGGATCATCAGTAAATCAACGTGATGATCTAGTGTGACGTTTGCTGGGTTATACCAATCGCTAGGTTCAATGATGCGAGATTACTTATATCTAGAATCGATACTCGTATCCTCTCTCCTGATTGCACTCATGGGAAAGTCAATTCAGGTAGGAGTGGGTTAATTTCCTATTTCCTTTTAACTACCCCTATTCTCAGGGGTAGTCATATACCCCGCTGCTGTATCTGAGGGTATCACACAAAAAAACAAAAAAAAACACTATATCTAGGTACACTGGCATGCATGCACCTGGCTACTTTCCCAGGCAACATGCTATACTCCAACCTATAGACCCCTGATAACACCTGCTAAAAACATCCCAAACACAAAAAAAAAAAAGATACCTAGTTATCTTCCTCCCGGTAGTACCTAACGAGCGAAGCTAACAGGCTGTACGTTGCTCATTACCCAACCCGCTGGAAAGAACGACGATCTGATCAACAGAGCGAGTGCAGTTATCCAACGCCATTTGCACCACAGAGCCTAGGTACCCTCCATAGCCCCCCGTCTACACATTCCCCGAAATCCTCCAGTCCTTCATCGAGTACGCCTCGGCCCCATTAACCCCGTGGTGCTTCGGCACCAGCCGGTCCTGCGTCTGCGAGGTCGACTGCGAGTGCATGGACGTGCTCTTCCGCTTCGCGTAGTCCACGTTGACGATCTGGTCGACGTGGATGGCCTGCTCGTCGCTGTTGCTCGAGTAGTGCGACCGCGAGCGCTTGGTCCGCAGGGACCCCCACGTGCTGTCGATTACCGACTTCAGCGACATGTCGATGAGGAGATAGCGGAGCGTGGGCAGGGAGGCGGCGAGGACGCCGATGCCGCATTCGATGGCGCCCCAGTAGAGATACTCGGTGATGACCACTGGGGGGATAGGGTTAGCGAGGGAGTATGAGCAGCGAGGTCGCTATGGCATGACCTAGGGGCAAGACTTACGAATTGCGTCTTCGTAGGGGTTGAAGACGACGGCTGCGTGCACGTCTTTGGTTATCACGATGAGCCGTGTTAAAGATGCTGCGATTGTCCTAGTTTTATGTTAGTGGCGTGCCTATCACGGTGTTCGGAATGTTAACTTACACTGCTCCTAGGAGAAACACGGCACTGGCCACGACCTTCTTGCTGGTTGAAAAGTTCAAGCGCCAAATCTAGCCACTATATTAGAACACTCGCGGACAACTCCCCAGAGACATTAAGAAACTTACAAGTGGCACCGGGATAGAGATGATGATAACATCCGTAATAAAATCTGTGATCCCGATGGACAGCGCCAGCGGCATCGTCGGGATGCAGTGCGTCGTCAGATTCTTGGCCGACGCCGAATCGGTGCTCCAGACCACCCAGAAGTTGGTGCCGCACTCGAACACGACGGTGAAGAAGAAGCCCAGCGTCCACAGGACGACGAGGACGATCATGCCGATGAGGAAGATGTCGGTCTTTTTGTTGACGGAGAAGATGCGCCGGTAGAAGAAGAGAAAGCTGGCTTTGATGCAGCCGAGTGCGAGCGGCAGCATCGAGATGACCGAGAACTCGATCTGATGCAGTATAACACGTTAGTAAAGGAGCAATAACTAGAATTTATGAGATGCAATGTTGGTGGTGTAGGTACGGTAGGCGAGTAAGAAGGCATGATGCGTACTTTGAAGGCTATCGAAAGTTGTACTGAAGTAATATTTAGAGAATTCTCTATATCCTCTGGGGCGATCTTGAAGGGAAACCCGAGGGCTTCTTGCGAGACGCCATAGACCAGACATATGCCGATACCAATTGTGATGAGCTTTTCGGGTTGTTGTGTTAGCATGTGTCTAATAGACTGTCCATAGCGTATGAGAAAGATGCATACCGTAGCTGGTATCAGAAGCCAGTCATCGGCCTTTAGAGATTGATGCTGCTTCCGGCGAGTCCAGAACCGCAGCGCAACAGATATGATATCAATAACGGACAGGACGACTCCGGCAGCAATGACATGCCCCGGGCGTTGGTAATACTTTAATGCGGTCGACGACATAGCTAAGGTGGTTTAGCTAGAGGTCTGGTACTGTGAACCGACGATGTTGGGAAACGAGTTAATCTATAATCCCAGTCCTGGTTCCAACGTTGACGACACTATGGTAATAGGGCTACACTGATGGGCCTGTAATATGATGTGATAAGTGGGCACCCTGTGAGGAGGAGTTAGTCAGACAGAAAGTCCCAGCACTAAGGGATTCATGTTTCAGACGGGCCTACATGTGTCAATATAATGGAAAGGCAAAGACCATTTATCATATACTCTCAGATTGACTAATTGTAATGTGGCACAAGTCCGTTGTATAGAGGGGAGTGAGTAGGAGTATGGGGGACAGGTGAGGTGGGACCATGCATGGAAGAGTATACAGAAGAGTCTGTGCGATTATAATATAGAGAGACTGCATACCTAACCTAGGTGCATATCTATCTATAAAGTGCTATGTAATACTACCTAACCATGTGAATCTCTGTAGCCTCGGGGCGCAAAGGGCGGCCATGATGAGGTGAGATCGACGCTGATCAGTCGAAGAGCCCAAGAGACTAGGACAAATCCATCCCGAATTGCTGACGGAGAAGTGTGAAAATGCATTTTTAGTTACCTTCCTTCTTACGCGCCACTTCTTATCTTGCATGGCAGAATACTACTCAACGGCATGGAGGGCTCGGGGGCTGGAGTTTCTGAGACCCGATTGCGAAGCCCGTCTAGGTACGGTATACCACATGGGGCCCCGTAGGCTTGCTTATCTTAAGACAAGTTCTTCTTAGTTAGATGTTGATCTGATTATTATTAGATCCTGCGCAACATAGAGCTGAATCCATCACTGATACGTGATATGGGTAGACCCCAGGTAGCAGATAGAAGGGCAGCGCTGCGTGTGGGGTAATATACTCTTTACAGTATATTCCTATATATATATATATATGCCTATACATGTGTAGTATTTGGTGGTATTTGTCCTATAATACTCCTTCCTATAGCTCGCTCCTATTGCCTGTTTGGTGTAAGGCCCCCTGATAGAGCCCTCGTTTGGGAAGACGAGGACATGTCACGTCATTCAATTAATTCTCCCCTCATGTATGTGATGTGCCGTCTGTCGTGCGCTCTATCCTCATGCTCAGTAACTCAATCTTGATACCTAATTGTCTGACAAACATAGCTGTTACAATGAAACATGGCACTGTACATGCATGCTGGCTACATACTTAGGGCTATTATAAGCGCTTGTCCTGCGGTGCTGATGAAATGCCCAGGTGTTGCTGACGGAGAAGACCGCGGGCTAGACAGATCCACATATGATATGCATACTAGGTAACTACCCCTGTGTACGCCACCACCCCTCACCCATGGCAAAAGGACGAGGGGGGTGTCATCGTTCTTCTGGCGTTCAAACACACCAAAATGATTAACCCACGTTTTGAGATAATGAAGCTGTGATACTTGGCACGTCACTAATTAGAAAGAAGAAGGTAATACTCGACGGCCCCTTCTCAGGTACGACGACAACTCCCGAAACTCGGAAATCAGCCCGTGATAGTCCCAAGTATATGGACAACGGCTGCGAGAAAACACCTCGCACAGCAGCGATAATGGAGATATTCGCTGCTGTACCTGATATTTACAACTATCCATCGTGATGCCGAGCCATCAACTGCCTATCGTGGCTAAGATTTGCGACCGCTCCGAGATTTAATATGCCAAGGAGGTATGCCGGCGACCACGGCCTTCACATGCAAAATATCCCAGATGAACCGCCCACCAGCAAACCTCGCGATACTGCCATAACCTCACCTCGCCACATTGGCCTTCTCTTCCGGGATCTTAAACCCGCCCGGCATACGCTTGCGGAGGACATCACCGGGGCCATACCTATCCTTCACCCTGCGCAAGAACGCCATATTCTCCTCGCCGTAAGTCGCAATCGGGTCCTGCGTCTTATCCGCGTAATTCGCGTACTCGAACGGGACGTAAGCCCCCATCTTAACGGCTTCTTGCTTCACAGCTGCGTGGTACGCGGTTAGTCGCCGGCGCGCCTCGAATTCCAGCTCGGCGCCGCTGAATGCCATGAAGATCTGCACCAGGATGCAATTCCCCTTCTGGTGGTCCATGCCGAGGATGTTGCCGCTCCTTTCCGCCCCGCGCTCGAAGATCACCCGGGGGGAAGGGTGGAAGATGGCGTTGAGGCTGAAGGTTGTATCGCCCGTAGCTTGGCGCCACGATGAGTTGAATAAGTTGTGCTGGTCGGTGATGTAGTGCATGATCGCGGGGTTGTTGTGGACTGTGATGGTGAACCAGATGTTGCTGATCGGTAGACGTGTTAGCTAAGAACTCTCCGACAACCATCATAACATACTATCCCTCAACCTAGGTAGGAATGTCTAACTAATACCTGCCTAGTAGGTAGGTACGTGAAAAGGGGCTACATACTGATAACCTTTAGGCGACTCGAGCTCCTGGTTCGTGGCCAAGCCCAGAACATGATGGCCGAGCCGCCGAAATATCGAAGCGGGTGACTACGCCGAAGTTAGAAGTTGTGGCCGCCGCCCAGTAAGAATCCACCGACTCCAACACTTGCGGCGCGAGCGCCGGCAACAACAACTCCGTATGGCTCAAGTGCCGAGTATACATCTCTCCATAGCGCGCCACCTTGTACTCGAACAATTCTTTTGTTTTGATTGTAGTTATTCAATCCTCTTCATGATACATGATGACTAAGCATCAGCCCCTATTCCAGTGTTACCTAGAGTAGGCAAACCTACCTAGGTCAGGTCAATTGTGACGCCATCTTGGACTGAGAAGTACCTATCAGTCTACTGTAAGTCTCGGATATTAACAGAAAGAATGGTCTCACTGTCACTAGCCGGCCCCCATATGAGATTCCCGCCTCCGCGGACGGCCCAGTTGGAGGTGGTGTGGTTAAGTAGCGTTTTGATGAGTCGAGACACTTCGGTGGTCGTCGTAGGTTGAACGATACACAAAGGTCCCATGCAGGCTGATAGCGAATAAAAATCGGCTTCTCGTTCCTCCTATTTGGCAGATCTGGGTTTGTGCACAGTGAAACCGGCACTCTCGAGTATGTCGCACTACATAGTACCCCGCAAAGCTCAAGTCAGCAAATCAGGGGTTGTTGCTGGAAAATGTAGGTACTATTTGGGTGTTTGTAAATAAAGCTTACCGTCGTATTAGTATTTGGAGTTTGGATGGAAGAATGGATCGCCATGTTGAACGAATATGAAATTGAGATAGTCGAAAGTGGGTAACGTCGGAGTTGAAGCCAGAGTGGAGGACTACGTAGGTAGGTAGATAGATCATTTACAAGCAGCAACAGACCAAAAATAACATAATATAGCTCATTCCGGTTACTAATGTGTGTAACCTATATAATATCTTCTGGGAATAGAGCGAGCTTTGAAGCTCTTGTGCGGCACTGCCCCTGAGGAGGTTCGTACTAGTAGATCTAGTCCTGCCGCTAGTCGTGGCACAATAGATCGATCACTACCAAACGAGGGTTCTTGTACTTATGAGCGAAGGTAGTGCAATTACTACGTGATAGGTTCAAAAAGCTATGGTAAGTGTATATCTATTTACCACTCTCTCAACTCATTTCCTGGGCCGAGGAATGTGGGACTGACCCACGCTTTCGAACCTTCCGATAGAGAACGAACTGCCTCTTCGTTAATTGTAATCCCCAGCCCAGGGTCGTTTGGCAAGTTAATATAGCCATCCTTGACGTTAAGAATTTCTTGGCTACTTAGATAAGTTTTGAGGTCTCCGTCAACATTGTAGTGGATGCCGAGAGACATCTCCTGAATGACGAAATTCGAACTGACAGCATCGACCTGGATACAAGCGGCTAGTGCGATTGGGCCCAAAGGACAGTGTGGCGCTAAAGCAACATCGTAGGTTTCACACGCTGAAGCGATACGGCGCATCTCTGAGATACCACCCACGTGGCAAACATCTGGCTGTAGAATGTCCACACACCCGGATTCCAAGAAAGGTCGCACGTCCCATCTACTGTGGAGGCGTTCGCCAAGGGCGATGGGACAATGTGTACGGGCTGCAATGTCCTTGATGCCGCCAATGTTCTCGCTTAATAATGGTTCCTCGATAAATAGAGGGTCCTGAGGCTCTAATTTGGCGATTAGCTGCTTCGCCATCGGTCTGTGGACTCTTCCGTGAAAGTCGACACCAACGTCAAGACCTAGAGCCTTCACAGCTTTTACCCTTTCAACACATTCTTCAAGCTTCTGAGGAGAATCGAGCCAGCCTAGATCCTCGGTAGCGTTCATTTTAACCGCATCGAACCCCTGGCTCTTTCGTCCATTCCTATTTCACGTTCCACATCAGTATATTAAATTCCTCTTGACGCAAAGAATCCTTACGCTTGCACCTCAACGTCACTTGGACGATCACCACCTATCCAGGCGTAGACTCGAATCTTATCTCTAACTTTTCCACCGAGAAGTTCGTAGATCGGGACTTTTAACTTTTTGGCTAGATTATGTTCAAAATTGATGTCGTTATCAATGGGTCTCGGGGTTTCAAAGATAGGTAGTACCTTTCAAATCCCATAACGCAATGTCTATTCCACTTAGAGCACTCATGAGCACGGGTCCTCCTCGGTAAAAGCCGCCTCGGTAGGATAGTTGCCATATCCTCTCAATATCACTTTATTCTGGGATTAGTGAGGGTCTAGCTTCATCTACCGACGGGGGATTGAAAGGGGGGTTTAAAAGGGGGATTAAAGTTATCGACTTACTCAGCTTCCATTCCAACATATCGTTCCGCCCATGCATCCAGACAGCCTTCTACAGCTTGTGAATGGCCTTCCAGACTTGCTTCTCCCCAGCCTGATACACCATTCTCGTCAGTTATCTTGACGAAAAGCCAACGTGGTGGTACACGCCAGTACTCAATTTTCGAGATCTTGGCCATGATTTGGTGTCAGAGTTGAGTTGTACTTGTTTGGTTTATACATATTCGTACAACGTGCTAACCTTAGGTAGTTTACTTGTCTGAGTGCATACATGGTAACCCTACTATTATTACCTGCTATTTATTTAATATCTACCTAGGTACCCAGCACCTACCTGGCTGGCAGTAATTGCGGGGTTGCGGGGTTGAGACGATGCGGAGAACTTTCGGCTGTGAATGTGGAGTTTCAATGTTTCAATCGAATTCAATTGAAATTTGATCACATAGTGAACGAATAAGATAAGATAAGATCTAGGTACTCGATCTATCATCTATGTAAGCTCGAGAAATTGCACTAAAACTGCACTAAGACTGCACTAAATAACGGGTAACTAGTTAGTGCCGTTTGCATTTTCATGCATTTAGATTTGAGCTTGTCGTTTGTCCGCAATTTATTTTCAACTTCAAAAACAACTTCTTCATAGTAGTAGGTTAGTAATATCTCACACCAATCCAAAAACATTATTAAACAGGTTTCCCCACTAACAATATGCAGTCGTCTAATGCAACATAGCTCCATTGAGTGAGTGGTTTGTTCATTTCCATTAACCTAAGAAGAGGGCATGCATAATGGTATTGGCAACATCACCATTAAACATGTGAAGTACCCAAGTCAAAAAATTGCTAGAGCATTTGGTGGAGACCCAATGAGCCCAGGTATATGCAAGGGAGCCGATGTCAACAGGAAGCTATATCTTCCAGACTTCTTACAATGCTCTGACAACGCCTTCAGGTCCCAGAGCTCGCCAATTGACATGCCGAACATTGAGAGCAGCCAAGGGTGTAGATCTGTATGTTGAGTCAGCGGACAAGGCCAATTGGAATCCCAACTAGTTATTTCTTTTGACAAGCACAGTCCTGTTAACTACCTAAGGGTCAAGACTTACATATATCATCGGCGGTCCCTTGAGTCCCGTCCTCTTTCAGGGGCATCATCGCCTCGAACGCCATGGCATCGCCAGCCACAGCAGCGAAGTGCTTATTCCACAGCCACTTGACGGACTCGAGCACGCCGTGCATTCCCGCCATTTTCCTATTCTGCAGTTTCGCAAAGTCTTCAGGGCTCGGTGCTTCGAGGACCTCTGTCAGCCCCGTGCGGATGATGAGGACATCGCCGTGGTGAAACTCGACGCCTTGGTCTTTGGCGACGTCCTCGATCTCCTCCACTGTGATACGATGGCCATCAAGGGGATGAAAATGTGCGGCGTCGCCCGTCTTCCCTTCGGCTTTGGCTCGCTTTTCTGTCCATTCCTTGAAGTCAATGAGGATACCTCTCGCGACCAAACCCCCCTTGGCGTGCCAGTGGTCCAAGGTCGGCATGTTGTTGGCAGCTGTGCTGGGTGCAGCTAGAGATTCTTTAGTGACGGCGATGCCATTGTAAGCGAGCCCGGATGGCTGATGGTGCCAATGGACTAGACTGTCCCATTGACTGCTCGTTTGTGTGTTGAAGTGAATTTCATCATCCCAACCCGTTCCTTGACATAGGCCCGCTTCGCGCAAATCCACCTGTTTATGTGTAGGTGCTATTCGTCCCGGCGGCGGAAACTTCGTGGCATTGAGCGGCCAGCTACGCGTTCAGGGTTATTTAGCGACGCTGTGTACAAGCAGTACTAGATGGGATATACAATACCGCCTCAACTTACTTTAAGGAAATAGAAATCCCATCGCGTGCCTCGCTAAAAGCATTCTTCACGACCGACGGAGTTAAGAGGTTCAAAGTGCCTATGAGATCTTTCTTGCCATCCTTGTCGAATAGGCCCCAAGCACATCCTTGAGGCATGTCCGGGACCTTCGGCAAATCATCAAAATCCGGTATATTCGCGGCGTCCATTTTCGTTTCTTTCTAATAATTGTCAAGTTGGTTACTAGTAAGTAAATCACTGCGTGGTTCTAATGTTAAGACTCGGTCGAGTGGAGGTTATGGCCATACCTACATATTTCCAATGCTACCTTCCGGACTTATATAGATATCTACCAGGTAGTTATGGATCAATGCTACATATAGGTAGACGAACTAACCTAGGTAAGTGCCTACCTAACCCCAAAGACGTACGATCGATTTAGCGGCGCCTCACACTAAGCACATAAAGTATCGTACATCTATCTATCCAAGGGTAACTTTTATAGTTGCAAAGATAGGTAGTATAAAACTACTATCAATAAAGCTGCACGGGTCCTTAATTGCTATTTACGTAAGTCCATTTAACTAACGATGCCTCGCTTAGAAAGTATTGGGTCTCGCGAGGGTCTTTTTCTGTCAACGAAGCTATGGTAAAGAACATTGAATATCATCACATGTCTTAAACAATATTGAACTCCCCCCTTGTCGTGTTGGCTGCACTTACTGGAACCAACCATGGAGCCTACCTATTTTTGGGGGAAACAGTTCACCAACCCATGATAGACCCGAAGTCGACGTGACGTCGGTATGCAAATACGGATCTCGACAATTCCGGATGCTCCATCCAACCTTGCTTTCTCGCATAGTTCCTAAAATTATGCATATCACCCATCGGTATGATGGTACGGGTTCTCGCGATGACCTAGGTGTGACCTGCATCTTGCGGATGAGAGGAGGGTAAAACGGGAAGTATACACTATTGGATAGGTGAATATCCGCGAGTACTACCTGGGTAGATACCTATCTACCTGCACGTCGCCTCTAACATATTAGTTAGGTACCACTACGCTTGGAACACGTATATATACCGAGATGTCTCATCATTAAGTTACATTTATAGGCACATCTTCTTCACTCCATCATTCACCTTACCTCTAGCCTCCGTTTACTTAAACTCTCTTGTCTATCCATTTAAGAAAGATGGCCGTCGTCTTCAACAGAGCCATAGAGTCCATCTCTTCAACTTCACAGCTCTTCTTAAAACCACTTAAGCCACTCATCCAGCATGCTCGAAGTAGACGGGCCACGCCCCCCCAAACCAAAAAAGAGGACTTCGCCAGTGTTCAAGAGAAATACACTGCAGAAGCACAGAAGCGTCTACGCCCCGAAGGCCCCGACCAATATGACACGCTATACGAAAGCGAGTCTGATCGTTTGCGCCACTTGGTCGATGACATCTGGGCAGACCATGCCGCTCTAGACGCTCGACCTCGGCCCCTGTCATCTGGCGACTCACCTAAGTTCCTGATTGTGGGTGCGGGGGTTGGTGGTGTACTGGCTGCCGTCCGGCTCGTCCAGCAGGGTATCTCCGTCGATCAGATCCGAATCGTTGAGACGGCTGGCGGGGTGGGGGGTAACTGGTACTGGAACCGGTATCCAGGAATCCACTGTGACATCGAGTCGTACATCTATCTACCTCTAGTGGAGGAGATGGGGTATATCCCCTCGCACAAGTATTCCTCTGGCGTGGAGATACGAGGCTACCTCGCCAGAATCATGAAGCGGTATAATCTAGAGGATAAAATCTTATTCAGAGCCCAGGTTAAGAAGTTGGAATGGGATGATAGCGCTCACACGTGGAAGGTGAATATTACCGAGGGAAGAGGACCGAGGGGCGCGCAGAAGTCGACTCTCTCGATCACGGCGGAATTCGTGTGGCTGACGGCCGGGATACTGACTTCACCACACGTGCCCAAACTGGCAGGAGTGGGAATCCAAGGCTTTCAGGGCGACCTCTTCCACACATCACTATGGAACTACGAAATTACCGGTGGCTCGTCGCAAGAACCCTTCCCGGCCATGTCTAAGCTGAAGGACAAGAGGGTTGGCTTCCTTGGCACTGGCGCGACAGCAATCCAAGCGGTGCCGCTCCTCGCCGAAGCCGCCAAAGAGCTGTACGTGTTCCAGCGCACGCCAAGCGCGGTCTACACCCGCGGCCAAAAGCCCACCGATCTCCACGAGTGGAAGACCAAGATCGCCGCCCATCCCGGCTGGCAAAAGGACCGCCGAAAGAACCTCGCAATGCATTCTTCCAACACCGTGCCGCCCGGAGTTCCAAATCTGGTAGACGACGAGTGGTCTCGACTAAGCAACTACACGACTTTGGTCGGGGGCACAAAGCACGAGATAGTCCCCCCGGAAAAAGTCCAGGGGTTCATCGACCAGCTGTTGGCCGAAGACGCGGAAGGCACCGCGCGTCTGCGCGCACGCATCGCGGCGATCGTCAAGGATAAAGAGACCGCTCGAAAGCTCACGCCGTGGTATCCGTCCTGGTGCAAGCGGCCGACCTTCAGCGACACCTACCTGCAGGCGTTCAACCGGCCCAATGTACACTTGATCGACACCGACGGGAAGGGCATCGAGAGCGTGACGCCGCGAGGCCTCGTGGCGAACGGCAAGGAGATCCCGCTCGATGTTCTTATTCTTGGCACGGGGTACCGGACCCCAGCCGCTGATCGCGCGGATCCGGCGAGGAGGTCGGGTGTAGAAATTATAGGTCGGGAGGGAAAGACGATAGAGGAGAGATGGGCGGAGAAGGGCCAAGCTACGTTGCACGGCTTCGCGACGAATGGCTTTCCGAATCGTATGTATACCCCTTTAGTCATCTTCTGTTCTTACCCCTTCCTTTTCTTACCTAGGGGTTGCTTTACCCTACCTTACCTACCTATCTATCTACCCCCCATTTTCTAGATATCTAAAAAATCTCCCCCCCTATCCATCCATCCACCCATCCACTTATTCATCGCTAACCCCACTCTCCCTGCACAGTATTCTGGACAACCGTCCACCAATCCGCCGTAACCTCGAACCACACGTACACGCTCAGCACACAAGCCCAACACATCGCGTACATAATATCCACAGCGCACAAACAGGCCGTGGCCAACTCCCACCACTCCCAAGCCATCGTCGAAGTCCAAGTCCCCGCGCAAGAAGCGTGGGCGACGCGGATCGCCGAGGGGGCCGGCCACTTCGCGGCCGGCAGCGTGTGCACGCCGAGCTACCTGAACAACGAGGGGCGCAAAGCAGATGCTGATGCTAGTCCGGCGGAGGTGGTTAAGGGGATGAGGATGGCGCCGTATAGTGGGGGGATATTGAAGTATGAGAGGTTGCTGGAGGAGTGGCGGGAGGAGGGGGGGTTGGAGGGGTTGGAGGTTACTTTTGTGTAGGGGGGTGTTTATATAGGGACTTACGTGTATATATTCTGAAATACCGCATGATCAATGTTTAGTTTCATATCTCAAATCTCAGCCTATCTAGGCTATCCGGTATCTATCTACCTATCTACCAAAGCAACGACTGGCTGGCTGGGTTCCTCCATGCTGGGGTCTTAAAATCGTGACATCGTTGCATAATCATCTCTTGCTTCTGGCAAACATGATCAAGCAGATACTCTCATCCTAGTAGAGCTGATTAGTCGTCGTAGTACGCTTCCTCAAACTCCTCCTCGTACTCCTCACGGGCTTCCTCGAGGGCTTCTTCTTCACTGCTGCTGGCGTCAGAGTCCTGTGCCGCGGCGAGTGCCTCTTCGTAATCTTCGCGTGCAGAGCGGACTGACTCTCGATCACTAGCATCGACGTAGTCGCCGTCTGCATCGTACGTCGGCTCATAGCTCGGCTCCGCGGAGATGGGGACCGGGGGCGGGGCTTGTTCGTATATGACCGTGGTAGGCGCAGGGGGAGCGTGATGTTCATCGTCCGAGCTGTCATCTGGCGGGAATGTTAATATGATATTAAGGGGAAAGTGGCATGACTCGAGTAAGAGAGTAACTTACCAAGGGCATCGGCTATTAGTGCGCCGCCGATAGCGCCTACAGCAAGACCACCGGCCACACCTAACATGACATTGCCATGGCCTCCTTTTTTATCTTTTTTATCTTTCTTGTCTTTCTTGTCTTTCTTATCCTTATCCTTCTTATCCTTCTTGTCATGATCGTCATAACCCCCTGAATGATCGTATCCTCCAGAGCCAGAGTGATCGAAGCCATAGCTCGGTGCACCCTGCGCAGGGGGGTAGCTGGAGTCGCCGTGCGAACCTGATCCTCGATCTTCTCCCGTAGATGCCACAGGTGGTGCTGGGTTTGCATTATAGCCAGGTGCTTCCCACTGAGAGCGGCCGGTGGCCTGCTCGTAATAGTACCATCGTTGATACTGCTGGTCGAACTGGGGTATCCATCCTGAAGGTATCGCGGGTTTATCTGATGGTGGTGAATAAACTGGGGCGGCACCCGAGGGCGGGGGAGGGCTTCCGTAACCTTGATATTGGCCTTGGGGGGAAGGGCTGCCGTAGCCTTGAGGTTGACCGGGGTAGCCGGGTCCGGGAGCGGGACTGCCGCCGTATTGAGGCGGGTACGTTGGTGGTCCTTGGGAGCTACCGTATTGTTGAGAAGGCGGAGGATAATCGCGATTTCCTAAATAAATAACACTTAACAATGCTCATATTATAATGCAAAGCTCCAAAAGAGGTTATGTATGGGTAGTAGGGACTAACTTGGCTTATCCTCCTTTTTTGGCTTGTTATCTAAGCCGAGGTTCAAATCATCAAGCTTGCTTGCGAGTTTGTTCAGAAACGACATGTTGAAAAGCAAAAGAAAAAGAAAGGTTTCTCTTTCCTAAGACCTTGTCTTACTTTAGTTGAAGGATGGAGCGACAAAAAGATGAGAAGAATAGTTTCTCCGGCACAATGTAGTCTTATTTTGGTCAGTAAGCTCCAGTGGGAATATGAATGAGTGTTGGCTAGGCACTACCTAGTCAGTCCATAGTCACAAAGCTGAGCGGCACGGTAGGTACTTAGTAGGTAATAGTTGCAGTGAGAAGATGTGAATCGAACCAGTATCCTTGCACAGCTGAGTCCTGCATCGATCTACTGCATGTGTAGGTAGTGTAACATATGAAGAGGATGTTGAATTAAATAAATACCTAGGTTACTAGGTTAGGCACTATGTAGTATATGAGATGGCGGGCAGAACAGCCCGTTGAGTTGAATGCATACATAGATGTGTAAGGTTAGAAGGTTCAAACCCCCACTACATAAACAAAGGTACGGTTGGTCCCGGGTCACTTTCCAGGTGATCATCCCCGCCTGACCGTACTACGCGCCTGCCCAGTGGACAACTTTGACCTGACCGGCTAAGAGATGCCGTCTTAGCACTAAAAATAAGCTCTGACTGACGCAGCCAAGATCTCTAAACGTTCATCACTAGTGACCAGGTATGGACTTTCCTTTAATCAGCCCTAAATTCTTAAACCTCTCAAGTTCAAGATACTAGGTTACAAGATTGTACTACAGTTGAACTTGGTTAAATCAATTAACTATCAGCCAAATCAATTAAATCATTCGCGGCAACTATTTCTTCCGGTTTGCTGGATACTCCGAATTGGAACTGGAAGCCTCTCAGCCTCAAACCACCTGGACATACATACCTACCTCATAACATTACGTCTACCATTCACATCACCACCTTCCTCACTACCACTCGAATTGATCCATCTATCTCCAGGTACTACATACATAGTAGGTAAGTTAATCCATCTAACCTATCCCACTCACCTATAACCTTCACCTTACACCTTCACACACCTTCACACACCTTTAACACGCCTCAAAACTCACGAGACTATCTCATCTCCTTACTAAGAGCGACAAAGATCTCATCTCCAATAATTCTTATCTCTATTATTGTAAATCAACTTCAATTGATTCGCAATAATGTCGGGTTGGGGTCAAAACCAGGGTTACGGATACGGCGGACATCAACCTCCTCCCCAGGGATATCCTCCTCCTCAAGGATATAATCAATATGGCCCTCCTGGCGGCGGTCCTCCTCAGGGATATAATCAATATGGTCCTCCAGGCGGTCCTCCTGGTGGTCCTCCCCAACATCATGGCTATAATCAGTATCCTCCACCTCAACAGCAAGGATATAATCAGTATCCTTCCCAAGGCGGCCCTCCTCAGTCACATCACCAGCCGCCCAATCAATACCCCCCGCCTAATTACCCCCCACCATCTGGATTAGATCCCTATGGATACCGCCAGGGCCCTCCCGTCCAGGGATATGGTGGCCAACATCGAGCTGGACCACCTCCCCCAACAGCCCCCCAGCAATTCGGGCATGGTGCCCCGGAGGGCTACACCTTCCAAGTACGTATAGAATATCCTCATTCCAAGGCCACAGACCTTTCTTCAATGCTGCCTTGATTGCTTTACATCCTACGGAATTGGGATTTTGGACTGGAACCTAACATAGATGTAGTATTCCAACTGTTCGGGAAAGCGAAAGGCCCTATTAATTGGCATCAACTATATGGGTCAACAGGGCGAATTGCGTGGCTGCATCAATGATACGAAGAATGTTTCTCAATTCCTAATCGAGCGATATGGATATAAGAGAGAAGACATGATCGTGTTAACTGACGACCAACAAAATCCTATCATGATCCCAACCAAGGCTAACATCATCCGAGCCTGTGAGTGGCTTGTCTCCGGTGCTCGGCCCAATGACGCTTTATTTTTGCACTATTCTGGCCATGGGGGTCAAACTGAAGATAAAGACGGGGATGAGGAAGATGGCTCTGATGAGGTCATTTATCCCGTCGATTATAAACAGGCCGGTCACATTGTGGACGATGATCTCCACCGCATTGTTGTGAAGCCCCTCCAGGCCGGTGTAAGGCTGACGGCAATATTTGATTCGTGCCATTCTGGCTCCGTCCTGGACTTGCCATACATCTACTCCACAAAGGGTGCCCTCAAAGAGCCTAATCTGGCAGCCGAAGCTGGGCAAGGTTTATTAAAGGCCATCTCCTCATACGCTTCGGGTGACATAGCAGGGGTTGGCAACGCTCTTTTCAGCTTTGCTAAGACTGCGTATCGAGGTGATGATGGATACAAAAAGACGATTGAGACAAAGGTAAACAGCCTTTTGCATTTTTCACTATTTTTTGAATTATGCACGCTTTAAATGCTAACCTCAACTACTTCAGACCTCGCCGGCAGATGTCATCATGTGGTCCGGCAGCAAGGACGATCAGACTTCGTAAGTGGCGACGACGAATGAATCTTAACGAAGATGCAGATTACTGATAGTATTGTAGTGCGGATGCTACAATTGCATCTCAAGCAACCGGCGCCATGTCTTGGGCATTCATCACGGCCCTGAAACAAGACCCGAAGCAAAGTTACGTGGAGCTTCTCAATAGTATCCGCGACGTATTGCAAACCAAGTACACGCAGAAACCGCAGTTGTCGTGCAGTCATCCTCTTGGTGAGTTGTGCGAGTATCCTGAATTTTGAAAGCGGAACTAATATTTACAGATACGAATCTTCTCTTCGTGATGTGAGCCAGTTTGTTTCGAGGAGCTTCATGGAAGAGGACTCTGTACTTAATAGCAGACTCATATTTGTGGTGAATGAGACAAGTCAGTCAGAGTAGCCTCATCAATTCATCGCAATCTGATTTTGTGCAATAGTCCTCTAATTACGCCATATAGAGTGGTTCCCTCGTGATTTGCAAATACAAATTAAGTTATGAGCTAGCCCCGAGGGTATCACGATTCATTGAAGCACCTTGCTGAGCATCTTGCTAATCGTGAAGTTGAAATCCATACCCGGGCGCTTATTTAGGTATCTATTAGGTATGCCTTACCCGGCGATCCAATGAGTATTTTAGACAGGAATACCAAACAAGAGTCATTGGTGGGATCAGTTTGTGGCTATGCTCCCTGATACAGGGGGTGGTTCCTAAGCACAGCAATTTCGTCGACTATTCCTTTCTTTACATACTGACCTCAGCGGCACATGTCTAGGTAGGTCCCTAGTAGATGTATACTCTGAAATATTTTTCGACAGCTTAAAGCACTTGGATCTTTCATATGCCATCATTGGTGGGAGCGGATGTTTAGCAGATATAACACATTTTATGGTAAGAATTTCAATGGCGCCGTTTTCTTACACACCTTTTTCGACCGAACGTGAGATTCGCCTGCTCGACATTATACCAGGGCGAGGGCAGATAAAATGCAACCTCCGCAAAGTCTTATTATCGTCAGAGAATGAATATGAAGCGCTATCCTATTGTTGGGGGGCGCCTACCAAAAAGACCAAGATTCTAGTTGACAACGCGGATTTTGAAGTGACGCGAAATCTTCATGCGGCATTGCGGCGTCTACGAGATGAGAAGATCACCAGGACGTTATGGGTGGATGCAATATGTATCGACCAAAACAATATCCAGGAGAAGAATGTACAAGTGCCGCTAATGCATATTATATACGGTACATGCCGGCGCGTTGTCATATGGCTCGGCGAAGAGGACTTCTACACCAAAACAGCCTTTGCGGGATTCGAGTATATGGCATTCAGGTTTGACGCGAGAGAAGAACTGATTGACCCCAAAGAATGGAAGAGAGTAAAACGTGGCGATACGTGGGGATATTCGTGGTTCACGCCTAGGCAGGTCATCGAGAGGGACGTAGGTTTGCGAGCCTTTCCGTCGATATTCGAGCGTCCCTGGTTTAAAAGGGTGTGGGTGATCCAGGAACTGGCCCTCGGCCCCGACCCTCTGGTTGTATGCGGCAGTCACCAGATATCGTGGGAAAAGCTCGAGAAGGCAAACAATGCTTGCCGGATCCCTATCGATGTTGATGGGCAATTTGGGAACCTGTGCGCATATCGAAAGAACTGGCGCGACCCCAGTTTGAATGTGTTCAGCCATGCGCTATGGGGCTGGCAGAAGCAAGTGACGGACCCGAGAGATAAGTTGTACGGGTTCCTGGGCTTAGCGACCGAGCAAAGCAACCGGATACCGATCAAGGTCGATTATGCATCAGATCCTGAACAGATATTCACCGAAGTCACGACACAGCACCTATTGACATTCTCCGGTCTCATGTTTCTCGGCTGTTGCAGAGGCGTGAGGCCTTCCGGCCCTTCCTGGATTCTCAACTTCGAGTACGACGAGACCGTCGATCCTGCCCCTGCAGGTACTCTCGGCTGGTCTGAATCATACAAAGCTGGTGGCGATGAGCCACGCATACCGACTTTCTCTGCCGACGGCAAGATACTTATTGTTCAGGGTTATGTGCTGGATGAAATTGTGGATATCAGCCCTCAACCAGCCCCCCTCCCACGCAAGGAGGGGATAGCCTCCATCATGATGCGGATCAACTTAGAGTGGGCTCTGATCGCAAATTTCTTTCGCCTGTACCTCTGCGCGAGGAAGCTCTGCAAGATCGACGACCTGGGGATCTACAAGCCCACTAGCCAGCCAATCCGCGAAGCCTTGGGCCAGACTATCACTTCCAGTTGGAAGGAAAAGCAAGACGATTTGTTAGCGGTGGATATTGAAGACTTACTGAACACCTTCGACGATCACGTAGCGAAAGCCGCTGATTCGTTTAATATCGTGCCCGGAAACCTGGGGATATTGTTGATCTATGCCAAAACGTTCTACGCCATGCCTATGAATGCCGACGGGGTGTCGCCATTCAGCCAGTTCTATGCGAAGACAGACGCGACTTGGCAGAGGAGGTTCGTCACGATGGCGAATGGGCATATAGGGCTAGCGCCGGCGAGGTCAGAGGTGGGAGACAAGGTGGTCCTCTTGCAGGGCTACAGAGCACCGGTTGCTGCCCGCCGGGCTGGTAATAGGTGGAAGCTGGTGGGCGATTGCTACGTTCATGGCATTATGGGCGGAGAGGTATTTGATGGTGGGAGGTGTGAAGCGATGGAAATTGAATAAATACCAAGGTACCTACCTATCTTCTTGCATGTCGGTGCTGTGCCAAGGTTAATAATAAGTCTAAACCGCGACGTCTAGAGTTCATAAAACTCTCGTATAGAGGAACTGGGTAAGATAGCTCGGATGAGTTCCAAGGCTGTCTTGGAACATTGAAGCTCTTTGTCATCACTGCTTTTAGTTCATACAAGTTCATAGACACATGACCCAAGGGCCTTAGGTCATGTGTAAGGCAAGCTAATTGTTCTAATTATAGATGGCTTTTTCAACAATACCAGGTATCTCCGCATGAGGATACAAACTTCTTACTCACTTCAAGTTCCAAGTCAAGTCATTCTTTACATGCCTGAGATTGTCATTGTCTCAATACGAATGATTTGTGTCACCAAGGCATTGATACCTCCCAAGCACTGGAGTGATACGACAAGAGTTTCGGCTTCAGGTTCAGGTACGAATACAAGTTCGTTCGTTATTGTGCGCGATTCGGGTATCGAAGGTGGGATAGGGGACATCTGCACATCTAGCTTAATCTCATCCATCTCATCCATCTGATCTACTAGTATTGATGTAGGTACGTGTAAGTACCTACCTTAGGTACTACTAGTGGTACCTACATATGTCACGCTGGTATGCCCCGCGAATGAGGGCTGGGTAATAGTGGAGACTTGGGTATCTTTTGGGCGCCAATGACCCCCGACCTAGTGGCGGTAATCCACTAGCAATGTAGCTCGTCTAGCACGAGCCAGCGCAGTGGTGACATTCATTGACTTGACAGATCCGTGTACTACCCTAGGTAGTAGGTACCTAAACCCTAGGTTAGGATCGTTAGGTACCTAGTATGTACTTACATATCGTGGATTAGAAAGGGATCAGGAAGGCGTTACCCCTCCCCCTCCATTCATCTTGATTCGTGTAATGGGAAGGCGAAATGCCCGTCATCTCCCGCTAGGTTTCATGAACTTTGTGAGTCTTTTTACCTTTTCCATTCTTTCCCTTTTTCCTTACTTCTTTTCATACATACCCTAGGTACATACGTAGGGTAGGTATGTACTGGCATTTTTAACCATTCCTATTGCATCCTTAGTAAGACATATATGCTTGAACTTCTTCCTGAACACCTCACTTACTTTCTTCTTCTATTCCTAGCAAGGACAACACATAACAACACATTACATCCATTACATTACATTATCCATCCGTGATCAATCTTACCTGCCTACTTTATAACCCAAATCTCAAAAGCTACATACCTCAATACCTCATTGCCACTTACCTTAGGTACCTAACTTAGGGATCTACGTAGTAGCGAATCTATTTGATTTGTCCCCCCTATCATTGCCTTTCCCTTTGATAATCCCTCATTGTCAAATCTCCCCCAGCCCCCGCTGTTCCGTTCGTTTGATCTCTTCTTCAGGGGGTCTAACGTATTAGTGTCATTGATATTGACCGCTTGCCCTCCGCTCATTGACCTCGAGTCCAAAGCTCATCACCTCAGGAAACAAAAAGGACATACATCCTTTCCGTTATTTGACTTTGTTCCCTTGAACTATCCCATTCAAGGCGAGGGCATTGTCATAGAGTCCATTCAAGTACTTAGCATAGTCAATATAAGACAAAATTCTTATAACTATTATTCTACCATCAGCTTTTCCTATCTCTCCCCCTCCTGTACTCTAACTACAATACCCATTTCCGAACAAACACAGCGTTTCTTCGTTCAACTTGGCGATAAATTCTCGCAAATTACCACGAAGCTATCATCCAGACGAAAATCATCTCAACTTACGCGGGATTCTTATAAGTCGCGGTGATTACTCTTGATTCCCAAGTCTTCAAATCTATCTGACAACGTCCTCTTTTAGACCATGTCTTACTATCAGCCCGATATACAGAACAGCGAGGAACTCGCTGCTATGTTTTCTCGCAACCTAACATTACAACCACAGCCAGTTCAGCCAGTTCAACCGCCCCAAGAGGCGCCAAGAACGCAGGAGCCTGAACCGCAAATATCATACTCGATTTCTCAACACTACCACCATTCTGCTCATGTTGCTCATCAGGATGAGCCACCAGTTGAGGTTCAGCGGCCGTCGTCGGAACCGCCACAGACTCAGCAAGCATATGTCGAGGCTATCTTAAGATCCCATGGCATTGACCACACGGCACTTTCCGCGGCGCAAATGGAGCTCTTTAAGACTGCCGAGGACGCTCAGAAGTTGCGTCTCATCGAACTGTGGAAGATTTGCCCTCCCACAAACAACGAAAATAGTTCCGCCCTTGCTTGGACTAATACGACTGTGGAACGAGAAGAGATCCTCGCCCAGCTTCGCTACGAGCAAAGACAAGCAGAAGAGGAGCAGAGAAACTCGATGATGTCATTGGATGGCACGCCTCTGACGCCAGTTCAGACTGGAGACGGCCGGTGGGTAGCTATATCGGATGTGGAGCCCTACATGATGTCCGGGTACGAGGCTTTGGCTCGACGAGAGTATGAGCAGTCCGCCAGGCAGGAGTACGAAGATTCCATGGCGAGACCTAAGGATGTCTATAGCCATTTCGGCACGGCAGTTGGCGGTCCCACATATCGTCCGGCGACGGATCCGGTGTACAACAATAGCAATTGGGTCACTCAGCAACAAGCCATGGAGAACCAATACGGTGCTTTCCAGCAAATGGATAACATGGAGCTATAACTCTATCTGTACATAAGTTTCGTTTAAACTAGCATAGCACAGCACAGCATAGTTGGCTTCGACTAGTAGATAGACAGACCTTACACAGGGGGAAATTGTCGACGAGTATGAACGAGGTACGAGGGATCCGACGGAATGAATCATGATGGGTGTATTCCAGGGGTTCTTCTGGCCGAGAAAGTATCATGGGCTTGCGAGAGATTAGAGTGGTCTGCACATACACAACAATTCATGTCATCATCGCAGGACGGAGTTAGGGCTAATATCTCCTTTCATACCTTTTACTTGGGCTCATACTTTCCCTTTCCCGATCCCACCAAATACCCTCAAAATCATCACTCCGTGTATGGCTAACTAACCCTTTCTGACGTCTAGAGAGATATTGAGCTTCGTTAAGTATGCTAGGTATGTCTCACCGTCCCATCCCAACATCGTAGTATTCTCGAAGTTGGTTTATCTCGACCTCGGATGTTCACACTCCCTTGTACTCTTCAAAGGCCTCCTTTCCCCTATCTTTTCTACCTAGGTAGGCATGGTTTGGAAATAAAGAACGCATAGATAGTGTAGTCGATTAAGTGAATATAATTCTAATTCAATATCTATTCTAATATCTATCACGACGTACGTACTGGTGATTTGAATCGCACGTACGTACTTGCGTGGCTGCGACTGACTAAGCCCCTATATGACTAACTTAGGTATGTGACATCCATATGTATATGTTCGCGAAGAACTGCAAAGTAAATTCATAACATGCTATATAGATTGATTACTTATATAATGAGGACATCTTCACGCACAAAATCAATCACAGAAGTTTTCACTTTTTTTTTTTTTTTTAAGAACGGCATATCGTTAGATGTAGGTAATGTGGTACTCTCATTTATAGAATCTCGGAGGGTGTGATACCTACCATCTATGTAGGCACCTAACCTAGGTACCTACAGTAGGTAGGTTCAAGTTTTGGCACGGGCTATATGTACTTGTTACTTGTTACTTGTTACTTGCTGTCTGGTAATGGGTAGGTTAGGTAGGTAGGCTAGGTAGATGACAAGCATACGTGCACTTAGAAGTTAGAAGAGATCTATGAATTGCCAAAGCCAGTCGAGGCAAAACTGCTCTACATACCTATCCTAGGCCACCTAGGTAAGGTAGGGTACCTAGGCAACCTACCTACTCATTCATCAGCAGGCACCAGCATCCAAGACTCTCCCACTGCATGTTGTTCCTTATTCGCCGCTTTTCCTTCTGCATTCGTATCCGCATTCGCATTCGCATTGCCCTCGTCTACTTCCTCTTTCTCTTCTTCTTCTTCTTCTACTTCTCGTTTCTCTTCCCGTCGCCAAAAAAAGACCCGCCCCTAGCGTTTCTTATTCCGCTTCTTCGCCTTGCTGGCGCTAGCCTGTCTGCCCGACGCCTTGGGCTTCGCAGCCGTAGTGGGGAGCTCGTCGACGCTCTTCTCCAGCAGCTCGAAGTCCTCGGCCGAGTCTGTGGAGGGGGTGCGCTGCGGGGGGTCCGAGGAGGACGAGTCGTCGGTGTCGTCTGCGGCCGGCTCGTCGTCCTCGGATTGGTCGTCGGAGTGGCGGTGGTGGCTGTCGGTAGCTTTTGATCCGCCGAGGACACGCCCGACAGTAGCGGAGTATGCCCAGAGGGGAAGCTTGACGAGCGCGGTGTCCTTGATGGTGGGCTTGGGGAATTCGTTGGCCTATAGGGGGTTAGCTATTACGACCTATAGATATATCGCGGGTCAGACCCGAGTTCGGCGAGGGAGAACTTACGTCAAGAAGGAACTCTTCCACTTTGCCATCAGCATCCTCCTGCTCTAGGTATACATCGCCAAGGGAGTCCACGACCAAGACTTTGCCGTTCTCAGCCACGACACGCTTCTTGGGGCCGCTGGGTCCGGGTCCGCTGCCCTGGGTTTGCGGCACCGGGGTCGCGCTCCCGCTGGCCTGCTGGCTGGCACGGACTCTGCTACGGGGCTGGCGCTTTCCTTCTTTGGCCGCATCCTTGCGTGTCTCTCGCTCTTGCATGCGTCGCTGTTTGCGATTCATCGGCATCGGGAGCTCGTCGTCGCCTCCTGCTGGAGGTTGGGGCGGTGGGGCAGGTGCGCCGCCGGCGTCAAGACCCGGGATAGCGAGATTATCGCCCCAGGCGGCCTGGCGCGCGAACTTTATGTACCGGTCGACGAACTCGCGCTGTCGCTTCCAGCTCATGTACAGCGCGAGGTAGTGGAAGCCGCCGCCACCCACGAGCATACATCCGAACAAGACGGTTCCTAGACCCGGCCGGTATCGGCTGTAGTAGTACTCAGTGCCCTTCCAGACGGGGAAGCCATGGGCCATGAAGTGGTCGTAGCGGGCACGGCCAGAGCCGCGGAGAATGTTGGCGATGATGGAGAGGCGGGCCTGGCGATCCCCGGCGGCCTTGACAGCGGACTTGATCTCGGACTGCGAGGGGGCTTTGGTGACGGTGGTCTTCTTCTTGCCCTTGGCCTGCTCTTTCGCCTGCTTTGTGCGCTCGGCGGTGAGCTGCTGCTTCACCTTATCAGGGTGCAGGGCACGCGACTTCTTGCGGTAGGCTTTGTTGATCTCGTCTTGCGTGGCACGCGAGGTGACGCCGAGGAAGTCGTAGAAGGTAACATCAGGACCCTCGTGTTGTGATAGCTCGTCACGGAGGCGGAAGATCTCGCGGTCTGTGGGGTGCAGGAGGTACAGTTAGTATATACAACATGTAGGTAGGCATTTAGTCTATTACGTAGATGTAGAAAGTAGATAGCTAAGCCAAGAAGAAACGAAGGAGGAGTGAATTAGATAGACGCAAAGTTAACATACCCTCCTTTGTCCATGCAGACGTCAGGGGTGTGAGGATGGCCAAAAGGCCAAAGGAGAGGGTCGAAAACCTCATCGTCGCATACTAATATGTTCAGGTCTAGTGTGGGTGTACTACTTAGCTGTACTGTATGAACTGAAAGCGACTTTGGGTATTCGAAAAGGAAGATGATAAGATGCCGAAAAGGCACAACTAGCCGTTAATTAGGCCCCTCGTCTCATCAATTATGTATGTTGCTTTGTAGTATGCAAATAGAATTATTCCTGATTCCTAATTCCTAATTTTGATTAAGAAGAAATGGAAATATTTTTTTTATTTTTTATTTTTTATTTTTTATTTTTTTGACGTCTTGATTTCAATTGCCAGGTGTCGACATTAAAGTGGATCTTGCTAGCTTTATTGCATATTGGTCAGCGCGTATAGGTACCTACGTTAGCACGCTAAAGTTAGAATTGCCAAGGCTAACAAGACTCAACCGTATCCCTATTAGGTAGTACCTACTTATAGTCAACCGTATTAACCTAACTGGTTAGTTAGTTTAGTTGTTTTTGTATGGAAGATTCAATGTTTAGTTATATGGTTACAGCCTATTAGATACACAAATAACACAAGTAACCCAAGTAAAGGGGTGAGTGAGAAACTCAATGGAAGACTCAATGATCACGACTATGAATCACCAGCATAATACCTAGTACTATTCAACTTATATAGCGGTGAACAAGTCAAACTAGTGTTTGGCTGCAAAAAGACACATGGGTGTGTGAAATATATATAGTTACTTAGTATCCTGACATTGCAAACGGAACGTAGGTGGGTTTCCGGGACATAACTACTGAAAAGAGCCTAGACCTTTAGAAGATATAGGCAAAATCCAGCCGCACCATAGTTCAACTTGTAATCAACTTGTAAGTGAATGACAGATGAGTCTCGGTTACATTAATAGAAACGAACATCTTAAGATAGTCTTGAAAGCTGATCGCGTACCTAACTTACCTAAGGTTAGTAGCTTGCAAAAGTGATGAAGAAGACAAATGCTTGGCAGGATCCAAGAACACGGGTAGCCCCTTTTCCTTCATAGCTGGAGACCTGGAGAAGACCGCTTGTGTAACATGAAAGCTCCTATAGGTCACCACATCCACATCCACAAAAGGTCTTCACCATATGACCCCCAGAAGTTCAGCTCTCCATTAGTACCATTCGGTCGGGAATACAAAAATCAAATCGGTGAGTACAAGACCTGCTGACCCTCTTTCTCAGGTCGAAATAATAACTAAAGGAGATTCTGGATCGTGGGAAAGCAAGTACCGAAATGCGGGGAGAGCTTAGCTCGGGAGCATCTTTCGTCAATAACAAGGAAAAAAGAATGGCAAAAGGATCGTGGTCGTGTTTCCACTTCGATAGTCTTGCAACCCCAGACCGGGGTGCGTTGCAAAAAGTTGGGGTAAAGCTCTCTCTTCGGGCTTTTAAATGTGTATCTAGTGTGCATCGACTGGGCATTTGCCTGGGTGGGTTGCTGGTATAAATAAACGGGCGCGTGGTATTCTCAGCTCTCTCTTGCCTGTCTGTCTGTGCTTCGTGATACCCCAATATCCTCTTGTTTACCTAGTACACTCTGTCCTACGCCGGTTACCTAGGTAGAGATATCACAGGAAGCCATGGCGTTCCTCGCGAAGATCCCCGAAACCTCCCTCTGGGCTAATCGGAAATGTCTGCTCATATGTGCCATTGTTGCCATAGCCAATATGCAGTACGGGCTAGACTCAGCAGCAATCGGCTCTCTACAAGCGATGCCAGGCTTCCTCATGGTGTTCGGCTACAAGGACCCTAGCCAAGCAGGAGGGTATGCCATTGAAGTAATTTACTCTGCCTTGAAATCCACGTCCAACGTAATTAACCAAGAATCCATATATAGGGTACATTCCAAAGACTAATCGGCTCCCTCCTTACGCTGGGCGCCTTCATATCGTCACTCGTCGCTGGCGCCTTTGCCCACTTCTTCGGGCGAAAGGTTGCTCTGTGGCTGGCTTGCGTCTTGAACGCCATCGCCTGCATCATCCAGATCGCCACCACCGATAAGATTGCGCTTTATATGGGACGACTGATCCTTGGTTTGGCCAATGGCTTCTTGGTTACTTTCTCTAACATTTATGGTACGTACAGCGCCTCTCCTCGTGTTACACGAAGAACATATCTACCTAGTATATCTCCTTGATGTTGTAATAGCAGCTAACGTATTGGCAGTATGTACCTAATGATGTGTGGCCAGCGCCATACTACCTACATAAACCTTGGACACTTTACTCCTCTCTTTCCCGGTGATATCGATGTAACTAACAACGACCCCAGACCGCCGAAGCCGCCCCCGCCCACCTCCGCGCCGTCATGGTGGCGCTCTTCTCCGAATGGGTCAACATCGGGAGCATCGTCGGGTCCGCCGTCACCAACGTGACCAAGGACCGGCTCGACAAGGCCTCCTACCAGATCCCCCTCGGCACCTTGTTCATCGTGCCCACGTTCTTGGCCGTCGGCCTGCTCTTCGTGCCCGAGTCCCCCCGGTACCTGCTGTACAAGGGGAAGACCGAGCCGGCGAGGAAGGCGCTGCAGCAGCTGAGGGGAGACTCGCTGTCCGCGGAGGAATTCGAGCTCGAGTGGGTCGAGATGGTCAAGGGCATCGAGGAGGAGAAGCAGACGACGAAGACGATTGGGCCGCTGGATATGTTTAGAGGTTTGCCCCCCTCCCCCCCCCCCCCCCACCCCCCTTCCCTCCCCGACCGTGGCGGGTGTAGCTAACCAGTGATCCCACAGGCACCGAGCTGCGCCGAACCCTCCTCTGCTACGGGGTGATCGCCACGCAAACCGGCGCGGGCTCCTGGTTCATCATCAGCTACTCGACCTACTTCATGATCGTCGCCGGCCTCTCCGTCGACGACGCCTTCAAGTTCTCCGTCATGAACACCTGCCTCGGCTTCGTCGGCGTCAACGTCGGCATGTACCTGATGCGGCACGTCATGGGCCGGCGCACCGTGCTCATGACCGGCGCCGTCGCCCAGGGCCTGTGCATGCTCGGGATGGCGGTGTCCGCGACCGTCGCGTCGGGCACGGTCTCCGCCCGGAACTGCCTCATCGCGTTCACGGCGCTGTACCAGTTCGCGTACAACGCGTTTGTCGGCGACGCGACGTACCCGACCGCGACGGAGATGGTGAGCACGAGGCTGAGGTCCTGGTCCGTGGGGTCGGCGATCAGTCTGGGGTATTTCCTCGCCTGGCTCGTGGGATTCTGCTCGCCGTATTTCATTAACCCCGGGGATCTGAACTGGGTAAGTCTTTCCATGGTCCTAAGATTCTCACTTTTTATACCCAGTCCGTGATAGCCAGCTAACGTCTTTATTTAAACAGGGAGCAAAATACGCCTACATCTGGGCCGCCTCCAACTTGTGCTGCCTGGTATTCTTCTTCTTCTGCGTGCCGGAGACCAAGGGGCGGACCCTGGAAGAGATCGACGAACTATTTGCCAACCGCGTGTCGGTGCGCAAATTCAAGAGCTACCAAACGACCATTGCTGTAGAGGCTATGAAGGATATTGAGGGTCGTGGGGCGGGAGGACTGGAGAGGAAGCCAACTCATACCGAGCATGTGGAAGAAGCTTGAAGAGTGCCTAGGTTAGGTAGTTTCTTGCAGTAGGTATTCCTCGTTTATATACCGAGCGCGTATGTCTTAAAGAAGCTCTTGGAAAGTTCGTGGGTGGGTAGGTTGTCATGCATTCATGCCCGTTCTAGGGTCAATAGTCCTGTTATATTTACCTAAGTACATATACGCACCTTAGGAATTATTCGAAGATTGATATCTGAAATATTGATGTTGCGTCGTATTGCTGCCTTCTAAGGGTTGTATCTTAGTCAGCATGAGAAAAGGGGGGAGGTGCTACACAAAGTACTGATCCAACTTGATTGTCCACTGATCGAGAGGTGCCTATTATATTTAAAACAAGAGTATATTATGCTGTTTTATCAACTGGTCCATGCCTAGGTGTATTGAAGAAAAATCCAAGCTTTTGGAGCTTGATTCCTGCTGTTGTCCTTCAGTCAGAGCCTCGATAAGCCCACGAAGTTGTTTTCGGTTTATGAGTGATACAAGAAAGCTTGGGATTTATATAGAAAGACCCAGCACGATATGAGAGTATACTTACGTGGCACATGTTAACTTCCCAGGGGGGATATCCTGGTGGGTTAAAAAACATCATGAATCCAGGCCCGCTTGCTCGCCGAGTAGAACGTCTTGCTCTTGCTTTTCTAACATAGGACGATCAGAAAACACATGTCGAGTTCCTATGTGCGACTCACATGTCACACAGAATCGCCATGGGATGGCCTCATAGGTTATTGCATAATGCAAGCAGGTCAAGTCAGTGAAGGAATTGAAGGAGGGAGTGTAGTGTGAGTAAGTGAATATGGTAATGGGCTAGTATGCATGATACTCATTACGTAGCACAGAGGCATATAGTACCTACCGGAGCGCTTACATACCTAGGCATAGGCAACTACAGGCTGTAAGGTGAGAGTGCATTTCCCAGTAGCTCGATGATTGCATTATGAAAATGTAACGCCTGCTAACTTTTACGCTGAAGATGATCTAACCCTGCTTATGCGTCGTGAAGTCCAACTGCCTGCTGTGAGAATGCTTTGATATAGGCTAAGAGCGCAAGCTTGGGTATCTGTCCCCGTTTTCTTGGTGTGTAGGCAGTAGTAGGTAATACTCCCATCACCGCAACCATCGCTCAATTACTAGGCCAGGCCAGTATGAAAGTAAACACGCCACCCTCTCCTGAAAGTTCTCCGACCCCAAGCCAGAAAAGCAGACCATAACTCCAATGCCCATCCGTGGCCTCTCTCCATGGTATATCGAAATAATAAGAAAAGGGGGTATCAAAGGACCCAATTGCAAAAAATGAGCACCGTTCTAATCGCCCTTTCACCTTCCTTCCACCAATTCCTCTCACTTCCAACCATCCCCCTTTTTCGAATGGCAGACTCAAAAGACGATTCCCACCATGCCAGTTTTACTCAATGGGTTGTCTCTTCTTTCCCTTTCTTCTTCTTCCCCCCAAGGTCAACTAAACCTTCTTGAACAACTCCTTGGCCTTGGCAGCCAGCCCATTGTGTTTGGCGGCGGCGTGGCTCTTGGCTTCGTGGTCTTCAGCCGCCGCGCCGTCGAGGTTCGTCTTCGGGATCTCCGAGTCCGGGCTGTCTACCCTGACGATGTTGGCGGCGCCCCCGCGGCCGACGTGCGTGACGGTCTGACTATTGCTTCGCTCAATACTATGCAAGGTGGTCGTGTTAGTTGAGGCACTTATGCCAATGCGCGCACCAAGTTTGAATTTGGCTGCACATTTTGTGAGGAATACAAGAACTTACGGCCCAACGTCTTGCCGTGCGCGTGTCTCGGCTGGATCTTTGTTCGGTGCCATGTTGCCTGAACCACCGCGGCCTGTAGTAACGACAGACGTCTTTAAAGTTGGGGTTTGGAGGTCGGCAGGCTGGATCTGGGGGGATTTAGAGGCATCGGCGATGTTGCCGGCGCCGCCACGGCCTGTTGAAATGTTCCCGGTCATTTTGCGAGAAGTCGTTTCTTGTTTAAACGGTATTTGTGTAAGTGAAATTGAATATAGTCTGTAGGTATTTAGTTGTAACTAAACATCTAGCGAGGAAGTTTGAATGTTTTGAGAATTGTGTATAAATACTACAGAAACATGTAAGGTAGTGAAAGACAAAGACATCCGGATTTGATATTTGATATTTGATATTTGATACATGGAGGGCCAAGTGCCACTAAATGACGAAATGACGAAATGAAGAAATGACGTTATTTTCCTGCTGTGCTGAACCAATCAGCTCTGGCTGGCAGCTGCCACCATTTTTGCTAGCTGGGAACATTTAAACTTTGACTGCGTCAGGTACAAAGTACCTACGTACATCATCATCCTGCAAACATTGAAGCTCCCAACTTCAGCTGCCATTTTATTTATTCCATGTACATACCTACCTAGTACATCTAGGTACTGCATCACAAGGCTTCAATTGATGTTAGAAGTATGGTAGTGCACACGCTCTAATACCTCAATATCCTTCCTTCGCCATGGCATCTTCCGATTCTCGATTTACGGCTCAAAATAAGACGACACAGCAGCGCATATCCACCAATACCGTTGGTCTGGTAGCTCTGTCTGATTTTCGCAAGCGACGCGCCGAGGTCCTCGAGCAGCAGGATCGCGAAGCCCGTGAGGCCCTTATTACCGGCACACCCCAAGACACCCCCGAACAGTCGCGCTCCGGTACCCCTAACAACGACGATAGCGAAGTTTCCGTGCCCCCCAAGAAAAAGAAGAAGGAGAAAAAGGCAGCCAAAGTTGGGGGGGCCAAGCTATCATTTGGAGTCGACGAGGAGGATGGCACCGAAAATAGCGACGAAGGATCTAGTACTAGCAAGAAGCAAGACAAGGGTGAGAAGAAGCTCAAGTTCAAGGCCAATTCTTCCGTTTCGGTGGTGCCGCGCGCTGTAACAAAGTCTGCTCTCCGTCGTGAGGCGGCCGAGAGGGAAACCCTACGACGGAAATTTCTGGCGCGCCAGGAGGCGGTGAAGGCGACCGAGATTGCGATACCCTTTGTGTTCTACGATGGAACGGACATTCCGGGCGGCGTCGTCCGCGTCAAGAAGGGAGACTTCATATGGGTCTTCCTCGATAAAAGCAGGAAGGTCGGTGCTGATCTCGGTGTGGGTGAGAAGACGAATTCGAGAAGGGAATGGGCACGAGTTGGTGTCGATGATTTAATGATGGTTCGAGGAAACATTATCATCCCTCACGTATGTTCTTTTCTTTTCTTTTCTTTTTCCCCTATTTAACTATTTGACGACCTTAATATTACAGATCAAATATCAGGAAGAATGGACCGCTAACTAGGCCTATAGCACTACGAGTTTTTGTTCTTCATCATGAACAAAACTGTCGGCCCTACCGGCAAGCTCCTGTTTGACTATCTTGCCGACGTCCTGAATCCAGACGGCTCGAGTCGTTCCGAGGACGACCAGGCCAAGACAGCTAGTCAGGTTATCATTAAACCTGACATAGGGGATTTGGAAGGTGCTTCAGATGACCCGGCTTTTACCAAAGTTGTTGACCGGAGATGGTATGAGCGGAATAAACACATCTATCCCGCTAGCGTTTGGCAAGCCTTCGATCCGGAGAAGGACTACCAAAGCGAGATAAGACGTGACCTCGGCGGGAATACCTTCTTTTATTCCTGAAAGCCTTGTTGCTTAATTCGGATTTGTTTACCCCAATATCGACGCCATAATCGATTTATATTTGTTATTGCTTGTCTGGTACTCATTGATTAGATGCGGCTCGTATTTGGTACCAAAGGCCACTTACAGAGATCAATAAGTTATGTCAGCCAATATACCATTGCACTCCCCATACAATCAGACCGAGCACCCACCAGCCCGGCCAAAATATTACCAGACACAGGGAATTACCACCCGACCCAAGCATCAATGTGATGAACTCGAAAGCAATTTTCTTCCTCAGACGCCGAACAGCACGGGCCTCCCATATCACTCTTTGAATAAGCCTTAAGTGTTGCCAGACAAAACGGGACGACACGTAGGCTTGGCTGGCGACGATCTGACTTGTGCAGAGCATATGAAGGGCTAGCCAACGACCTCGGATACAGAGGAACAGGGCCGCTGCGCCCACGAGGCGTTGACATTCAAGGGCAGCTACAATTACGGGGTTCAGAATTGTAGCCACCACGTTGGAACCTTGTTGGATCGTCGCTCGTGGATCCTTGGTCGGGGCGGCGATAAAGTCCATCCTGGAGAGATCCATGGCTCCTGGCATTCCACGCTCTACCAGTGACTTGATTTGCTTGTCGGCGTCGGTAATAAACTAATAAACTAACTAGGTAGGTAATTTAATAGTTCAGGTCCAGGAGTGGAATGAGACTTGGTTGGAGGGGTTGCTCCTCGTTCCAAATAGTAGTATAACCCTTTTCGAGGAATGCGTGTCTTAAATGTAGTTGGTAGATGGGAACAGGGGAGATGCAGTGCGACTAAACTAACAACTTGGAAATATATGCGAATTCCACGACCCCCAACATTTAAAGGTTCCGGTTTCGATGGGCTTGCTAGTTGCCTAGCAATTATGTAGCTATGGAAACTCAACTTTAAACGACATCCCCCCGCCCTAGATAACCTCCAGCCTACCTAGGTAGGTAAGATAGCTTAAGCGCCTGGGTAAGTAGGCATGTATAAGGTTGACATCAGATAGATGTTTACTAGGTAGCTACAGTAACGGGCTAGTGCTGATATTCAAATCACATACACACATATATGTATGTATCCCACGTGCTTTTTCTCATTGGCCGTGATTGATAAGAGAGTTGATTAGGTACCTATATGATACACAACTCACACCTATACACATCCCGAAGACATACCTGCCCAGACATATACCCTACCTACCTACCTACCTACCTACCTACCAATCTACCAAGGAATGATGTGCGGGTAACTAGGGATTCTTTAGATCCGCAGATCACGGCAGCAGCGGAGAGAGAAGCGTATGATGCCTATTCGTGGGGTTGATCAGGTGTGATGCCCGTTTTTTAGTTTACACGCCGCCTGCAGAGGTCCAATCGCATATTACGTACCTATGTATGTACCTACTGTACCTATGTGCCAATTACCTGAAACGTGTTGACGGGCGGCCGTTGATTGGTCCGAGGGTTTTTTTTTTTCTATCTAGCCCGGCACCGGCCCGCGTCTCGGATAGGAGGACGGCTAGGTTGATAGGAAGGTAGGTAGGTAGGTAGGTAGGGATCCCGGGTAGAGTCGGGGATACATACGTACTATGTAGGTAGGTAGGTAGGTAGGTAGGTACTTAGGAGGCGTATCTCTTCAAGGTTGATATCTCTCTGGTAAATAGGAATGGTCACTTAGAGACGGACAATACTTAGTGTGGCATTGAAGTTACGTATTGCTAGGGCCGAGATTAAACCCTCTAGTTAGGAGGTTTGCGATATCAACAACGCTGGTGCCGTCAGTGCCACTATGGAGTAGCGTTCCTCAACATCGTACCGCCTCCGACTTACGCATAATACTACGTCTCTCTGAATGTATTCGCGTTAGGGAAACATAGTGGTGGTAAGCCTTCTGGCAGTACAGCATTATTGATGCCGCGGGTATCGCGAGAGGTAACTAGTTGGGATGGATATCCGGTTCATCCCGGTTCCAAGTATAGTCATCCTTCTGGTATGGCGACTAAGGAAGCCCGCCCGAATAAAAGTACATATCCATGGTATGAAGCCCGGAGGATGTTAACCGGGGCTACCAGTTCCTACGGCCGCCACGACCGCGACCAAACCCACCACCTCCTCCTCCACCTCGGCCCATGCCTTGCTCATATCCAAAGTTCTGTCCTTGCGCACCGCCGAATCCTTGGCCAGATCCCCCAAAGCCTTGGTTTTGGCCAACTTGTCCTCCGGTTGCATTGGCCCCGGCATTCTGCATGCCTGCAAACATGGCCGACATGGTAGAGGGATCCATCTGGCTCGGGTCCATTCCCGAGGCCATCATCTGCTGCATCATGGCTTGCATCTCGGGCGACATGCCATCCATTCCAGGCATATTTGGCATGGCACCTGTTGCGCCCCCACCGCTCATACCGGGCATTCCACTCATCATCATCATCTGCATATCCTCCATCATCTTCTTGTTGTTCTGGGCGATGGCGTCCGAGCTGTACTCGTTACGCACATTCTCTTGCTTGGCAGCATACAGAGCCCAGGTAAACTCGTCGAAGCCGTAGTTGAAATAGTCACTCAAGTCAGTACCGGGTTTCCTCCAAGGCTTTTCATTGTCGGGTAAGTCTAGAATTGCTATTGTATCAGTACTGGAAAGCAAACAAAGGCGGGGGGTGTGGGGGGGGATGCGCACCCTCATCGATATTGATTTGTGTAATAGGCTTTCCGACTGGCTGGTAGACAGGTAAAGCGTTTACGTCTACCTTGGACGTGGAGACGGGGGGTAGGTTAGCCGGTATAGCTTGCGACGGTACTTCTTCCTTCTTAACAGCGGGAGCGGGCTTAGTCGTGGCATCATTTGATGCAGATCTTTGAGGTATGTTTCGAATATCGCTATATCTGGATTGACTATGGAATTGGTGAGTAAAGGGTAGGACAGACGAGGTATCTGGAAAGGTAGGAACAGGAGAAGCTCACGTTGGCGGGGGAGCGTTGGTGCCATCTTTACGTTCCGTGATGATGTCTATGTCCTGTATATTCGGTATTAGGTCTCCATTGTCTAGTACTTGGAATGATAAAGACGTACGGAGTCATCCTCATCCATATCAGCGCCTTCATCTTCTTCCTCGCCTTCTTCTAAATCTTCTCCATCTTGTGATTGCTGCTGTTGCTGGGGTTGTTGTTGGGCTTGCGGTTGTTGTTGTACGGGGACAGTGGAAGCAGTAGTATCATCTTGGGTCGTAGGCTCGTCAGGAGCGTAGAAATCGTCATCATCGTCAATATCCATTATGCAGTTTATTTCTGTGTGTCTTGGTTTTGTTTAATGTTGTCTGGGTGTTGGGTGTTGTGCGTTGTGTGTGATGTAGGTGCGATGAAAGAATGCGAAGAAGCATCAATTGAATCTATGGATGCTTTGAACCTAAAGTTTAGGTACATGTACTAGGGTATTTTACAGGGGTATGCAACGGTACCTAGTAGCTGTGATGGAGCTATGGCCAGTTGCATCAAGTGCGCCAAGTTCCCTGTACATTAGGTACCTCCATACATGATACATCCATGCATGGGTCATAAATCTAAACGCGATCAAATCGATCAAAAAAGTTCCAGACAAATTTAACAACTCCAGAATCCAAATCAATCATCCAGCAATTCCAACAATTCCAACAATTGTTTCATTCCCAACCCTCAATACACATATACAAACCAACACATGTGGATGTAAAGCTGAATACACCACTTGTACTCACCCTAATACATTCCTGGCATTCCATCCACTGTTGGTTTTTTAAGTTATGGCTCTTTCAAGATCGGCAAGTGGTCCAGGCGGCCTATCCATTAATACATCTTCAGCTAATTTATTGTAAGTCTCTTTATTCTTTTTTTTTCTTTTTGCCATTGTCGTCTTCCCTTTCCTTTTCTTCTTCCATAATCTCCCATAACTATCCCATATACATATACATACCCATTCTCATTGCACATTCCCATATTTTTATGCAAGCACCCGACGCCATGTTTTCCCAAAGTCTAACTTCCAATGCCCAACAAAGTGGATCAAGCAGTAGCCAGCCTCCAGCACAAGGAGGCTTGTTTGGTTCGACCTTAACATCACAACCTGCTGCTGCCTCGAGTCTATTCGGAAATGCTTCCACACCTAAACCTGCCGCGAGTGGTAGTCTATTTGGAAACGCCGCACCTTCCTCCACTCCCGCCGCCGCTTCTCAACCACAACAATCTACCTCTCTATTCGGATCATCCTCTACCGCAACATCTCAGCCTCAACAAACGGGCACCAGCTTATTCGGAGGAGGAACAAATACTGCCACTACCAATCAACCTCAACAGTCAGGCGGGCTCTTCGGTAGCTCACAGCCTGCCCAACCGCAAACGCAAAACCAAACCCAAGGCACCAGTAGCCTATTCGGCGGCAGCATCGGCGGTCAATCGACATCTACTGGAGGGGGCTTGTTTGGTGCCTCGACGAAGCCACCCGCAACAAACACCGGCGCTGCTGGAACTAGCATGTTCGGCCAGGCTCCTCAACAACAGAAGTCCAGCCTTTTGTAAGTAACTCTTTTTCCTCTCCCCTCCTCGCCTTCTCTCGACCTATCTTCTAACTTAACTTACAGTGGTAGTAGCTTCGGTCAACCGGCGCAACCCCAATCGAACCCTCTCGCACAATCCCAGCCGCAACCTTTCTTGGGCTTAGGTGGATCACTCGGCATAGGCCTCACTATGGGCCAATCAGCCCAACCGACTGTTCCTGGCGTACGTATAGATGTTAGCAACCTCAAGGGCACTACGCGCTTCAACGATCTTCAGGAGGATTTGCAAAAGCAGGTGGAACTCGTCGATATGTTCATTCAACAGCAAATGCGGAACAAGGACGAAGTCGACTCCTTCATGCCCGGCCACAAAGAGATGCTGGAGAGTCTCCCTGCCGATGTCAGTTACGTTGCGAAGAAATATGAGAGTGCCCATAGTGCCCTAGCATCAGCTGCCCAGGCAATTGAGGCAGCTCGTGTCTTGGTCGCCCAGGATATAGACCATGCGCGACTTAGCCTTCGTGCCATCGATAATCTGAAGCTCCCTGAGCAATATCACACCTCGGGTATATGGTCACCCAGGCAGCAAACGGCTGGTAACGCGAATACGGAAGCGGACGGACAGGATCTTATCAGCTTTTTCTCGGCGGCAGCTGACGATATGGAGGAGCAAGTACGACGATACGACAAGAATATGGGCGAGATTGAGATGCATATGCATGGTGTCAACGACAGTCTCGCAGAGCAGCTACAGAAGACGATGGCGAACCAGAACGGCGCCTCATCCGGCCCTAACGAGAAAGCCCAGGAGCTTAGCGCAGTGCTGAGGGAGTTGCAGCAAGGAATATTGAAGGTGGCTAGCGATGTTGCTAGTACGAGAGAGGGTGTGACTCAGCTGCAATGGGGCAACTTCATCAACAGCAATGACGATCGCAACGGTGTGTTTTGATAAAGAAATTGAGTACTCCACGAGGTTTGGTGTTGGACAGTGGACTAGATACCCAAATGAGGAAATGAGTTAGTAGCTTGATGTCTAATCACGAGAACCACCTGACGAGCCTCATTTTCCCGTGCGGAGGATCGCTCGGAGAATTAGGACTAAAGGCACGGGCACGGAGTTGGGCGACGCAAGAGTAAGGTATTATCGATCATAAACTTGAGTGATGGCCCCCTTACGAGGTCTCGATTCAGTGTTGAAAATGTACATATACCTAAAGATATGCGTAAAGAAAGCCATAGAGCTATCAAACATACATGAGCCCGTCAAGTTAGGGGGGGATTAATAACAGGACGCCTAAACGAATACATGACAAGGAAAATTCTTCATCTTCCTTCCACTCTCAGTTCCCAAAACTAAGTAACTACCTACTGACCCACGCTACCACAACAACACCCGCCACCGCCACCCCTTCAAGACCTTCATATCCTCCTCGCCGATCCCGGGGTCCCCCCGCTCAATCCGCGCCGTCAGCCGCTTCAGCCGCTTCGACACCGTGCGCGCCACGCGGATCGAGACCTCGCTCTCGAACACGTACAATATCGAGAGGACGAAAAAGGCCACGGAGGCGAATTTGCTTCTTTTGCCGTGGTGGTTGTGGACGGAGTCGAGGATGCGCGCGATGAGGGACTTGCTCCGCCGGAAGGCGTGCTCGGTGTCGTTGGATGAGTGGGAGGAGGAGGAGGAGGAGGAGGAGGAGGAGGAGGGGCGCCGGAAGATGCGCCGGATGGTGGGGATGAAGGATGCGCTGGAGGGGGGGTTAGTTAGAGGGGAGTTGGACTTGTGGGTATGGGTATGGGTATGGGTATGGGTATGGGTATAGGGTTAGGGGGGTGGGTGGGAATCACCAATGCTATGCATTGTATATATATATATCTATCTGAGACGCGAAAAGGGGAGAAGGCATAAGGGGGAAGGCCTGAGGAGAACGGAAAAGGAAGAACTCACACAAGCCCACCCAACAACCACTTCCGCCACCGGTGCGCCTCGGCCCTCCTCACGATCTCCGACACCTCGCTCCGCAGCGCGCGCAGGTCGCTGACCACGATCCCCTGCTGCGCGCGCAGCCGGTGCTCGCCCGAAGGATCTCCGCCCCCGTTGCCATTGCCGTTGCTGTACCCGCCGTTGTGGTACCGCCGCCGCTGCTGCGCCAGGTACTCGCTCAGCGAGAACTCGCACGCCGTCTTGATGGAGCGGATGTCGGTGCCCGCGAAGGTGGAGGCCGGGGGGCGGTCGAGCTTGTTGTTGGAGATGGTGGGCTCGGATTGCGTGCGAATGGTGGTGGTGGTGGTGGAGGTTGGGGGCGCGGCGGATGTTGATGCTGATGCTGATGCTGGGCCCGTGTAGGACGGCGTGGGTGCGGATTGGTAGTCCATTCGCGCTTAATTGTGTGGTGGTAGGGAGGTGGGTGTAGGTGTGGATGGGTGGGTGAGCGGGAGGTGGAAGCCGAATGGTGCGGGTAGATACTAGGTAGGTATGTATAAATAACTACTATACTAGGTACCTAAAATAGCTACGGACTAGGTAGATAGGTACTTACATGATATATATAGTATATATTGTACAATATCTACTAGGTAAGGTGAGACAGACAGACAGATAAATAGATGATCTCAGTGAAAAAGGATCTGGATGGTGGTTGTCTGAGACGGCGGGGTAAGGGAGTAAAGGAGCAAGTCAGGAGGGTTAAGTTATTTATTTTACCTACCTAGGTATTTATTCTATTCAATTCCAATCGACGAATAATTATCTACAATTGTAGACTTGCATGATAACACACCTGCAACTTGCAGCTTGCAGACCTCGGCAAAGTTGCCAGGATCGGGAAACTAGACGGGGGCGGTGGTGGTGGTTGGAGGTCGCATTCCTTCCTTTCAGCTGATGGATGGGCTTGCTTTTGCTTTTCTGCAACTTTACTTACTTACCTAATTAATTAACCACTGAGGGCTAACTACCTATGCAATGTAGAGAACTTGGCACAGCTCAAATTGATGTTGTACATATACCTAGCTAACTTCTATACACTGGGTACTGACTAGATCTGAAGAGATCTAATGTCAATGTATAATGCCGATTTTGGGATAGCGAGGATGTATGTAAGGCAAGTTGCGACCAATAATGGACCGTTACTCAACACATGTTTGGGAACTTTCGAATAGAGACTAGGTAGGAGGATTCAATAACAAGCAAAAATGCGAACTTCGGAACTACTGCTACCATATATGAATGAGATGGGGGGTATATGGGCCAGAGAAAAAGGGGTTATTAATGGTAATAGACAAACTACCCAAGCTGTTAATAGTTTCATAGCTTGAGCTCTTAAGGCCCGGGACGTTTCAGAGGGCAACGGCGCAATGTCATATGTTCTTACTCCGTAGAACCTATATACATACTCATGACAGTTTTGAGACATATTCGTAAAATACCTAGCAAGCAGCTTGGCTTGGAATTGCCTGGTATTGGTTGATATAGACTCCATCTGCTTGGCCTAGCTTTCCTCCGGGTAATTGAGTTGAACCCAAATAAGAAAGGGGATCGTGAGAGACGGATTAATTCGCGGTAGAAACCAAACTACTTGCGCGTGCTTCACGATGACGACTTAGGTTTCTCATTTCGATGCGAGCTTAGGTCTTGAGTAGTGCCATTGTCTAAGTTCCCATGCCTACTAGCCAGTTGTCATTATAATGGGCGATATGCTGCTGGTAGGTATTGCACCAAAGGGGTTCAAGGCTCTACGTAGATCACCGTTTCTCTAGTAGACAGTAGTTCGCCAGACGCATTCCTATCATGTCATATGCCCAAGTTTAAAGATAGAACCACGAAACATAGAAGATACCGTTGCTAGATAGGCGGGCATACCTACGAGTACTTATATAACGAGATGGGGGACAAGGTGGGCCAATATAGCCCATTACCAGGCCCTCGTCAACGGTTCGCTTGATTCGTTAATGCAAATGAGACCTATGAAAGGCAAGAAAAGATCATTACCAAGCTTGGTTGTTTGAACCCTAGGGTTCCTGCCCGTTAGTTTCCTCCAACTAGCAAAGCATATTCTGCCCGACTTACAAAGCGTGGACTTCGTCGAGAGGTTGTGACCACCTTAACTAAGTGCGTTGCTGCTTGAGCTGGGGTAATGGCAACAGTAGAGATTGTATGGCGGGGGCTACGGGATGGAGCACTCAACGATAAGGGCGCCGTAGGTTCCATGATTAAGAACGCCGGGAAATATCACCGGCCGGTCCTGATGGCGGACAATAAAAAAAGAAAGGAAGAAATAAGAAAGGGAGCCTCAACGAGGCTTAAATGCCTACCTAGTACGTCAGTATAGTTATTATGCTCAAAGTTGCACTTTCTCTCAAGTTAACGAATAACCAGGACTGGCGCATGGGAACGGCTAGCGTAGACACTGTCTCGGACGAAGCTGTATTTAGAGACCGAGGCATAATTACCTCTAGGTAAATGTAGATAGGCACTCACAGTCGCCGTGCTGTGCTTACCCACCACGTAGCACAACATATCGGCCGTATTCGGGGGGTACACGAAGAAACCTATGGCTTGCCCGGAAGAGACGGAGGCGTTCGACAACAGAGAGATCGCATTTCTTCTCTCCCATAGCGTTTGCTCGTCTAGTTCGGTGGTAATCTCGGTGTGTCGGCTTTATAGGTACCTGTCTACCTATGTAGGCGTTTGATCCTCATGCTGTAGAGACGGCCGATTGTTGGTAGGTATTCTTGTGCCCGGGAAGTAAAGCAGGCCGGTGAGCTGTCGGTAAGCATGAGGGATCTCACGTGACCATCATAAGATAGGGGAGGGGGGGATACACGTATGTAGGGATCGGGGTCAGCTGCGTCTTCCGCGCCCAGCCCCACGCCGTTTTGGAAGGATCTCCACATTATCTTAGGCGGGATCCATCGTGGGCGGCGTAGATATAACTATGTATGTTTGCCAATATGTATACATCTGTTTAATATAGATTAGATTCGCCTTATAATAAGTAACGCGTACGGCGGTGTTGGGATGCCAAGTCCAAGGTGCCGTTGTCGACTAATCGGTGACATGTCCGATACATAGTTTCCATCTACATATCACTGGTCAGGAGGCATTACATATGTACTAGCTAGGTAGGTAGTTACATGTACATCATTGAACTTACATAGGGTGTGTAGGTATGTACCAGTACCTACCTAGTAGTCCTACTATGGTACTAGGGAGTAGGTAGAGCGTAATAGGTACAGGACGCTAGATAGAAAGTACCCAGTAGCCTCCGGCCCGCGGCAATTCTGAGCGGAGGCGGGTGGAGTGACATGAATTTCAGGATAATCAATCCGGGCCGCCCCCTTGAAAATCCATTGTCGCCCGAGACATGTACATAAAGGTACCTTACAACATGGTGTGAGGGTTGTACAATTTCTTTCGGGTACTCCGGCGGGTGAGCAATCCGATAAAGCCACCCAATCTGGTACTGGCGTGGCATTATGGGTATTACTGTGCATATGCCCATCATACTGTGTAGATGCTCATGGCTTATTTACCACACGTAGTATTTGTACATACCTAGGTATGTCTCGGTATGTACTTGGTTATACTTTTGTCGCATGTAAGCCACGGAGTTCGCCATCTCACGTCTCACATTCTGTCAGCGCTTCCCTATAATCTATAATTAGTCGCCGTAGGCGCCCACTATACCGAGTTTATCAAGCCCATACCCAAATACGGTACACACATAGAATCCGGAGTGGAAAGGGAGGCCCGCATCATGGTGATTTGGGTAGCGAATTACCGGAGGGCTTACCATCTCTTCGGGACCCTTGGGTACGCACGTGGTGATCTCTGACTTTTGTGAAATCCCGTGGGTCTTCCACGATTGAGCTGTTCTGTAGGAGATATTGATCTAACAGTTGTAATTAGGTATTTGCCGATGATCCATGACGAAGCTCCGTTCCTCGGCTTTCTTTTTCTTTTCATTAACGAAAAAAGAATGAAAAAATAAAATAGGATAGGTAGGTAGGTAGGCAAGGCAGGCCGGTAGCCATGTTGGCCAATTAATAGTACCCTAGCTGATTACGACTTGTCCGCCCAACCCGGGCTCGGCGGTAACGAACCCACTGGAAGAGCACCGAGTTACGAAATTGTAGGATGTCATCGTTCTAATACACTTGACTTGGCACTTACGATTGATAGGACGAATATACTTACATAGATACCTACTATGTATGTATAACTTCTTAATATTCTCATCGAGAAGAATATTGAATCGTTTGATAGTTTGTCTTTGCGCGAAGTACATCTTAGTAAGGTTGGGCGGAGGATTGTACTAAATGAGTCCGGTGCCGATATTCAAAGGAGTAAGAAACGAAAGAAATGGATGACGATTGCGCACATGGTCCTGCAGCAGCAGCCCAGCAGTGCTCAATTACTGATCTCCGCTACGGACTATCAACCGTCCGGATGTACTGAATATTATCATTACACGCATCATGGTTGAATAAGAAGCGTTCGATTTGACTGTCCCTATTGTTGGTGAACTCTTGTTGGTAGCTGGTTCCAGTAGCATGTAATAACCATGTAATGCAGACTGGAGCGCGCGCTTCTCTCTCCATTTCAGACATGGTTCGATGACAATATCTTGGCTGGGTGCACATTGACCTACGACGTATGTACTTGTAGTGTATGATTGAAAATGCCCTTTTGTTTCGGCGACGGCGAAGCGGACCCATTTCGGTCAACCTGAGTGTGACCAGTGGGAGCCTTTCCGTCCCGTGGCTTCTATTGAGTGGTGTGTAATACGCCAGCACTATGGGGGCTGCGCAATGGATTTAACGGCCGGCGGAGTTTTGAGCAACCAACGTGGCGGGCTGGGTTGCCTGGTTGAGGTTGCATTGAGTCAGCCCCGGCTAACCGATTCATGGGCTTCGTCATCCGACACCAGCCCCGAAGGTTTAGTTACCTACATATTATGTATTGATGCTACATACCTAATAGGTATGTATGTAGGTACGGACCGTACGGTACAGATCTCCTCAAGACATGTTTGTAAGACGAGAACGACCTGGACGAGGGGTGGGGGGGTAGGGTAAGGGGGTAGGGGGTCATCTCGGAGACCGCGGTACTTGGTTAAAGATGCGATAGCCTGCGCCTCATCTCATCCCTCATCAACATTGAACGACTGATACCTATCTGCGCACCCGAACTTTGGAAATCTCGGAACGAGTAGATAATTTCCGAAAAAGACGAGAATTTGTTAGTATGCGCTCGAATGAACTCTAGCAACACAGATATCAATCATTACCGGGAAATCACATATTAGTATTACCTAGTACTAGGTAATAAAATAGGGACCGACACTCCGAAAAGGCACAAGCCTTGTCCGCCGCTCTAGAACCCCGTGTCCGCATTTGCAGTGTTGAAAGGAGGGAGGCTGGAAGCTAAGGGATGGGGATGGAGGAGAGAAGGAGGAGGGAATGAATGTATGGATACATAGTTACCTACTAGGTACTACATACCTAGTATATGTACCTACCTCCCCCATCCAAAAATTGATTTCAAGTTACGTAGATGCCCGTGCTTTAATTTTCTCATTCTCCATTCCCCATACATTACATACCCTATCGTACCTACTGTGTCGTAGACTCGTAGGTAGGACCTACCTAACCGTAGTTATGAGATACGCACCACGCACCTACCCAAGTTGCCCAGGTGCTAAGGAGCTAGTGTAGCTAGGTGACTAGCCTAAAGCATACATTAGTAGGCCCATTGGCCATGGGTATTAAACTTTTTCTTTTTCCCCTTTTTAATTTTATACCTCTACTTTGAACTATCTTCTCCTCAAATCTTTCCTGTCCCGTCCAGCTCCGACCGGTGCACTAGTTACCTACGTATTTTGGAACTCGGTCAGGTGGCCGGATACGGTTGTATCTGGGTATTTCTTTCCGGTTCTTCGAGTGGAGTGATAGTTGGAGCAAACAAAATAAAGGAAAATGCCTCCATCGTACCGGATGATTTTCCTACATACTTGACCTAAGTGCCTACCTGCTTAGGTATGTATCTACCTATGTAGTAGTAACTAGTACCTAGGTAATGACCTATTGTTGAAATGTTGAAGGTTCGAATGTGCAACCGTATGAGCGGTAGGTCCTGAAATATCTAGTCTCCGTACATGTAGTGGGCATTATGCAGTCAGTAGGCTGGTGGTAATGGGCATGTGAATTCCAAAGCGGCAAACATCTGAAGGTAAGCCACCCGAGTCAAAAATTCAAAATAGTTCAAGTACGGGGAACGGGCGGGTTTTGAAGTACTTGTACGTGCCTCCTTTCCCGTGTCACAGTACGTACAGACAGTACGGGATGGCCCCGTCTCATTGCCTAGCCAAATTCGTAAATTCCCACGCGAGAAAGACGACCAGCGCCGGGAGCCGTGGAGCCGAGACCCCTTTGAAGAAAGAGGTCAGGTTTAGGAATCTCATCAATTCACCTCCGAACAAAACTTCGTTTTTATTGTCGAAGCTCTGCTTCTATTCTCCTATTCCCGTGCGTTGAATAATTTACACATACCGCTGCATTGTATTTTACTTCATTTCAACGTATGGTTTTATTCGATACATACCTGGTTGACAATTAATTATTTGCGTCTGATTAGTATCCGTAAAACGGATGAAGCCCCGGTCATAGCCCCCACAAGGAAATAAATGAAATAAGTATCGTTCATAAAAAAAAAGAGGGAGCCTCGAGGGCAGAAAAAAGGAAAGAAAGAAGGAAAGTGTTTTACTGGCGAACCTTGAAGTACATAGGCAGGTACCTAAGCCTAGTAGGGTACTTCTGTACAAAACACAGGAAGAAAGAGCCGGGCTACGCCGCCAGGTTACCCTCCTCCCGAATTGACCGCCTTGTCGCATTGCCCTTTCCTCGGGAATCATCAGTGCTCAGGGCTGGGTTTTGGCTCAGGTGCGCGTGCTGATTTTAGCGCAAACGCCCGAGTCTGGTCCGTCGTAATTTCTGTTCTCCCTTCCCGTCCTGCCCGTCTGCAACATCCCTCTCAAGCGGCATCGCGCCAGAGCGCCATCCTCTACACTATCTAGGTTTCGCTCTTCACCAGATTTCTCTTTCTCTTCTTTCCTTTTTTTTTTTTTTTTCCTTTCCTGCCATCTCTGCAATTTTTTTTTGCTTTTCCCCTTCCTAATTTCTCATACCCCATTTTATTTTCCCCCTAGACCCTCCACTCCGCCCGAAACTCATACAATCAAAAAAATAATTCCCATCTACCGCACCGAACATCCACCGCCTCCCCGTCTTTCTCCGTTCATCCATCTTTCTTCCAACAACACCACCCTCATCTTCTACCGGACCTGACTTCGGAGCATTACACTTCTATTCGGAACGGTATTGTTGCATCCTTCACATTTACAAATCACTGTTCATTCAATTTTTATTATCATCGTCGTCATGACGTCTGTCGTTCGCGGCACGTCGCTCAGAGCCGGCGGTGCTTGTGTTCGCTGTCGCAAAGGCAAGACCAAATGCGTTTACGAGAATGGTCGCGCGCCTTGCAGGAACTGTGCAAAGGGAATGCATGAATGCTATTTACCTTCAGAAAGCATGGCTCATCACCATGGCCAGTCTCCTGCTAGACCTCCTCGTCCAAGAGAGAGTCTCCCTGGCGAGCGAAGCGTGTCCGCGACTAGCGACCGCCAGCCTGTAGCGTCCACCACCGTACTGCCGCGTAATTTGCAGGCCACCAGTGAGAAGTAAGTCGTTCTTTTTCTTTGCCGTTTCCCCTTACCACACCCCCTAGTCATCCTTTTATTATTATTTTCCACTGCATCAATTTCATTATACCACCATCATCTTGTTCAAAAGCCTTCACTCCCTTCCACTATGTCTACCTAAGGGTTATTGCGTGGGTATTGAGCTGTTTCCGCTTTGCACTAAGATGACGGCTATTACAATACGCTACGCGCCCCGAACAGGTCTTGGTATTAGGTGATCCGTGCTTCCTGGTCTCGGTCAGGCCAGAGTGTAGCAAGCCAAACGCCCCAATACCTAGATCTGGATTTTGGGTGGCTGTAAAATGGGGATAGATGCCGGTTGCCTCGTCTTGCCTCGGGACCTCCAACGTCTTTTCCAAGGTTCCCATCCTACTATTCTCCTCCGTTTGACCCTGCACCCCCCCCCCCCCCCCCCCCCTCCCAACACGCGCTTCCAGTTTCAATCAACACCCTTGTACTCCCCCAAACCTCGTTCGCGTTGATCGGCTCCACTAACACGTATTTTCGTTCGTCCCCACAGACTTAATCCGGAACTGGTGACGGAATGTGAAAGGGTAATCAGCAAGACTCTTCCGTCTTGTGTCGCCTTCCACAAGCCTTCCTTCTTACAGAAGCTTAAGAATGGAACTCTTGAGGCCAGTATTGTTAACGGCCTTCTGACGTGTGCTGCAAGGTAAGCAAACAATATTTTTTTGACTCTGTATTCTATTGCATTCATCCAAAACCTACGAATTTTCGGAACCCGCTTTACCCACTGAAGGGATTCCGGGCGAATGGTTCATTCATCTCCGGAGGTGCATTTGGGCGTCTCGCCTAATGCACCAATAACTTCTCGCCCGCGAATCGTTCCCCGCCGTCTTCCATCCCGGTCGCGCCATAAGAAAATACACGCTTGTATATATGTTAATTTGAACCGGACTTGATTCTAACTGTTTGTCTTTCTCGCGTATAGAAGCTCACCTGCTTTGATTCGTCGTTATGGGGGACAGGGAGGCGCTTCGGCTGCCTCCGAGCATTTTGCCGTCAAAGCTATCAATATAATCATGCAGAACCTCGACAACCCGAGCTTGGCTGATATTCAGGCTCTTTGTCTCCTGATCATCCACGAATGGGGCAACCGCAATGCGGTCCGAGCCTATATTTATTTGGGTCAAGCATCCCGCATGGCCCAGATGTATCGGATAATTGCCGTTCATCAGACCCGAAACGACCCAGATCAGTTCATCAAAGATGAATCGTTCCGCCGTGCCCTGTGGCTCATCTATGTACTTGACTGCTTCCTCACCAGCAGCCCGGGTCGACAGCCGGCCGTCTCCCACCATGATATTAAGGATGTACCACTCCCATGCCTCGACATGAGCTACAATTTCGGCACGCCTGTATTTGTTCGCACCCTTGCAGGTGGACCACCACCTTTACTTCCAGACTCGTCTACTTCCACGACAGAGGTCGGCGAGTTTGGCCATATAGTTATGGCAACTCAGGCATGGCGCAACGTGATCGAAATGCTCACGACCGTTACAAGCGCTACCTTCTCTGAAGAAGAGTGTGCTTCTCTCGAAGCAGGTATTGATGCAGTCCGCAACGCTTTGCCGCTGCATTTCATGGACAAGCCGGGGCAAATCAACCTTCATATAACTATGGGCAGTGGATACACATATGCCATGTTGCACTGCCTCCTTCATTGTGCTACTATTATGGTCAACCGCCGTAGGCTTCTACACCTTGTTACTACTGACGGTTTTAACCATGAGACATGGCGTATAGTCCCCCATGTTCACCTACAAACTGTCGATCGGGTTTTTGCCGCGGCGCATAGCGTGGTCTCGCTTCTCCTAGCCCTAGAGGCCAATGCCGATAAGGATGGAGCGCTTAATTTTCCTCTTGTCATGTTGTTCTCCTGTTTCACAGCCTGCTCCACTGTGGCTTGGTTCAGTCTAAAAGGGCTAACACCCGGTGACGTGAACGAAACAGCTGAATCGATTGTCCGTGACGGCATGCGATTCCTCCAGGACGGTGCTAATATATGGATTTTGGCCGTCCCCTGGTTTCGCCACCTCTCGGTTATGAACAAGGTATTGCGTAATGGAGACCGGGTGCCCCAGAGATTACAGGCCGACGCTGTTGTGCCTGTCGTACCGTCAATGAAGGAGGAAACGGCAAGCCAAACCGACAATACCGATACCATGGACTATGAGCGGCCACAATCGGCAAACACTCAAGAGCAACTCGATAGCCGAGGCAGCGAACCACCACGAAAGTCTGGGTTCACCACCATCAATGGAGGATCGGCTGGCGCTTCGACACCCGCAACTACCAGCCCGCCCCCTGGACCGACCAAAGCAGACTCCCCAGCCCCATCCTCGAATGGACAGGCAGCTGAATCTGTGCCTGCGTCGGGTAGCGATATGACGGCAGCTGAACTTTGCATTGCTTTCGAGCGTCAGCTGCTGGAACTTGATGACCTTGCCGCATTCATGGGTGGCGGGGTATGAGATATGGAGCGGTGTAGCTTCATTTTGTCTATCATGTACTACTTGCCCTGTACTTCTCGTCCTGGTGCCGGCCATGAACGTTGATCTTTTCACTGAGTTGTATGTTAATAGGAGAACCATGAATAGGCGTTAGCAGGAGTTTTTCGGGTTGCTCTCGGCAGAGCCAAGCTCGTTTCGAGGCTTTGGTGGAGTTTTCATCTTTCTCGCTACCGCTCTCGGTTCAACAACTACAAATAGAATGTTGCATGTTGAAGCCTACAAAAGTCGGATAGGTTTTCGATAAATCAAAACCGCCTGTCTTATGGTGGGATCGAAGGGACAGCTTGGAGGAGTGATATGACCCATCGGTGATTTATGGCTCGTTTCTGTTTCATTTTTGTCTTTGGGATTAGGGCATTCTCTTAAGAGGAATGGCCCCATCATTGTTATATGGAGAGCTCATAGGACAGTGCTTGGGGAGTGAAAAAAAGGAGGTATTGATGCCTGAATTTTCCATAGGAACTTTCGAAAGTACAGCTGTAGGCAATAATGTCTGGCTGTTATAGTTGAAAACTAGGAGGAATAGGAGTTGTAACTTTGAAGCAACTTTGTAGCACTACTATATTACGTACTATACTTTTCCCTGACTTCCCAAGACGCTTGTGCCCGGTAGATTGGAAGTTGCATTGCTCAGCTATTAGTTTCGGTCTTGCAGAATGTAAATCGAGGCACGTATAAATGGACTCTCAAAGCTTGCATCTATACATGTGTCTATACATGTGCGTACTTCGTAGTTTCTATGTAACTTTGATTCGTGGAAAGATCACGTGTTTATAGACCCAACCTCAATTTTATTTACCAAACTTACAAATCTTTGTACAAAGTTTCAACAACAACAACAACACAGGGCTTTTGCGGAAGTTAACACTGCCTAGACATTATCATCAGCATGCATTGCCAATGCTTAGCCGGGATAGAAATAAATGGAGATGGATGTGTCGGCGCGCAATGATGCTGATCCCCAGCGTGGCGGCGTCAAACGCAAGCACGCCGGAGATGATGACGATGAGGAGCGTGAAATGAGACGTCCTACCAAGTGTATCGTTACTAGCGCAACCTCTACTCATGTTCCAGACGCAAGATCGTCGCGGGAGCTGTCGGCTGTAGAAAATGATGGCACCAACGACAATGACGACAAGGAAGAGTACTACCGGACCCTCTACACCTCAGAGCCCGACTTCCGCCTCCTAGCGCAGCGCGACCCCGACTTCCAAGCCGTCTTGGAGCCGCCCGGTTCAAGCGCCATCGACTTCGCGAACCCGGCGTCCGTCATGCAGCTGACCAAGAGCCTGCTCAAGCAGGACTTCGGGCTCAGCGTCGACCTGCCGCCGGACCGGCTCTGCCCGCCCGTGCCGATCCGCCACTGCTACATCCTCTGGCTAAAAGACCTCTTGGATTCGACGGCGCCAGGGGACGACCCGCGCAGTGAGAATGTCACGGGACTGGATATCGGCACGGGCGCGAGCCTTATCTACCCGCTCCTCGGGTGCGCGCAGCGCGCGTCGTGGAAGTTCGTTGCTACGGACATCGATGCTAAGTCACTTTCGTACGCGCGCGATAATACTGCGCGCAATTGGAGTCGGGTGGGTGGTAGATCGCGGATCCGCGTCCTAGCGCGCACGCCTGATGACCCTCTGATCCCCTTGCTTGACGACGACGACAATGGCCTCGGGATTAAAACCCTCGACTTCACAATGGTCAACCCCCCCTTCTACTCCTCCGCCACCGAACTCTCCGACCTAGCCCGCCTCAAATCCCGGCCCCCCAACTCCGCCTGCACCGGTGCCCCCAACGAGATGGTGTGCGAAGGCGGCGAAGTCGGCTTCGTCCGCCGCCTCGTCGACGAGTCGCGCGTGCTGAGGGGGCGCGTGCGCTGGTACACGGCGATGCTGGGGAAGCAGTCGAGCCTCGAGGCCCTCGTGCCCCTTTTGAAGCGTGACCTTGGCGTTACGAACTACGCTATCACGGCGTTCGCGCCGGGCCGCCAGACCCGGCGGTGGGGGGTCGCGTGGAGCTTTGGGGATAGGCGGCCTAGTTTGTCTGCGTGCAGAGGCGCCGGCTGTGTTGGCGTCGCGAAGAGGCTGCTTCCTCCGCCCACTGAGATGGTCGTGGCTGTGGTGCCTACGATGGTGGCGGATCTCGAGCGGGCCGTACGCGACGCAATGGACGCCCTAGACTTGGTCTCGTGGACCTGGGACGCGCAACTGGCTACGGGTGTCGGGTTCGTGTGTGGCAATGTGTGGAGTCGGGCGTATCGGAGGAGGAGGAAACACACTCCTAAGGATAATTGCTCCCGTGAAAAGGCGCCAACATCAATAACGACAACGACAACGACCAGAGAACAACCACAGAGTGTTGAGCCAGATGTATTCAGATTCTCTATAACTATAACTACCCAGAAGAGCCCGGGACCCGGAGAGGGTGAGATTGGTGGTGGTGGTGGAGGAGGTAACGTTACTGTCACGGCTCGCTGGTTACAGGGGAGCGATTATACGCTGTTTGAAAGTTTCACAGGGTTTCTTCAGACATGCATCCGCATGCCTGCTTAGATCTAGGGAATAGCATGTGATATAATAGCTGTCTGTCTGTCTGTCAATACAATTTTATTCATTATGAACATGAGATGACTTGGCTATATCAAATATCTCATCCTAAGGTTAACCGCTTCCCCAGGCGCCAACCGGCCATGAAAATGTACGACTAAAAACCAGATACCTAGGTTCTCACTCACTCACTCACTCATATCTTCCCCTCAGTCCTCAATACGAACAAAAAAGTTCTTCTCGCCCTCCTTGGGCACCACCGCAGCGCGTCTGACGAGGTCATCGCCAACAGCCAAACGAAGCTTTTCCGGTGTTCCCGGCGCATTGAGTACCAGTGGCTCTGCCACGCCATTCATTTTCCTCGCCGCCCTGACGGCCTCCCTGAGCGCAAAGAATACCGTGCAGCCTAGGAACAGCGGCGGCTCGCCGGTGCCCTTGCTGCTCTGGATAGAGCGTAGATGCTTCCAGCTTATGGCGTTGCCCCCTGAGTCGTGCCGCAACATGGACACGTTGAAGATCTGGGGGATGTCCGAGAATCCTTTTTTTTTTGTTGTTAGTGTATACAGTATATATTTTAGTCAGCGTTGTGGTGTTTATCGGTATTTACCTGGTATCTTGTAAGTTCCGGGCCCCTTCGTGACAAGCTCACCTCCCCGGGTCCACAGTGACTCCTCCATCGTAAAGAGTCCTTGTCCCTGGACAAAGGCCCCCTCGATTTGTCCATAATCGATAGATGGGTTAATGGAGCGGCCGATATCCTATTTCATTAGTGGGCGATCATTATTGTCTAGAACCGAGCCGACACTTACCATCATTATGTCAGTCCTGAGAACCGTGTGATCCCCCGTAAGAACATCTAATTCGACCTCGGTGATGGCGACACCTTGGGTGAAGTAATAATACATCGGGAGGGGATCCTTGTAGTTACCCCATTTGTATCCTGTCAAGTATTTAGTCTCCCTGTGCGTTTTGACTCAATATTAAATTAAAATGGTTTACCTATACGAGGCATCTTCCAGAAGCCATTGGCTGCCAAGTTGACTCGGTCCCGGTATGCAGCATGGGCAATCACCGACATTGGAGCGTCATACCCGAATTGCTTCCGATAGGGTTCTAGACGTTCGTTGAGTTGATCGCAGGCGTTCTTTACAGCCATGCCGTTTAAATCACTGCCAGACGATGCAGCTGTAGGGGATGGGTTGGCGACTTGATCGGTTTGCGAGTCTTTGTTGAAGATCTGGTCAACGGTTACGCGAAGTTCCTCGGCTGCAACTTGGCACATCTTGGTGTAAAGACCCTGCCCCATTTCCGTGCCTCCGTGATGAAGTAGTATGCTTCCATCTGCAAGTTATTAGGCCAAAGTACTAGGTATATAGACGAAAGGTGAATATTACGTACCTTCGTAGATCCTCACATAGGCACCAGCTTGGTTTAGGTGGAGGGCTGTTGCGAAGCTATTCGAGGTCAACTTTCCAAACGTCATTTACGAAAAATTGGCTTACCTGATGCCAAACTTCGTCGGAATCTTACAGATTCCCCTTTTCCTATAGCGGTTCTTTGAATTGAAGACCTCGATCTCCTTTTTCCTGTTCTCATAGTTCGCATTCTCGCCCAACTGCTCTAGCATAGTCGGGATATGGAAGTCAGCGTCGATCGTCTGTAAAAAGGGTGTCAACTCTCCCTGCTTATACAGATTTCTCAACCGCAACTCATCAATGTCGATATTGAGACGCTCAGCGATCACACTCATATAAGACTCGGCAAAGTACATGGCCTGTGGTCCTCCAAACCCGCGGAACGCTGTATTTGATACCGTATTAGTTTTGCAAACCCAGCCACGAATCCAGGCATGCGGTATATGGTAGCAGTTGTCGAGATGAGTGCACGCTCGATCCATCACGGCCCCTGACATGTCTAGAGAATGTCCCGCGTTGTTGTATACGTCTGCATCGAGACACTGGATAATCCCGTTTGCGTCTGTACCGATTTTCCACCTACATTGCATTGGATGCCTCTGCCCGCTATTTGCGATGTCTTCGTCGCGGTTCAACATCAGTCTCATTGCACGGCGTTCCTTCTTGGCAGCTATGGCCACATAACATGCTATCGATGTACTCCTCGACTCCTTTCCGCCGTAAGCGCCACCAAGGCGTCGAACTCTCATGTTCACATGACTCATGGGCACCCCAAGCACCTGAGCGACGAAAATTTGATTCTCTGCTAGGTTTTGCGAGGAGGCATAGACTTCCATGGACCCATCTTCTACGTGTGGGATAGCTAGCGCAGCATTCGTTTCCAAATAGAAATGCTCTTGACCACCCATTTTCGCGATGCCTTCAAAGACGTGCTCGCACTTGGAAAATATACTATCGAGGGGCCCATCTATGGCAGCTCCTTTCTTCAGTTGCTTTCCATGCTCGAAAAAACTCTGGGCTTTGATGGCTTCGTCGATGGTGAGTATGGCAGGTAGAGTTTGGTATGTTACCTTGACTTTGGCAGCTGCAGCTTGGGCTTGCAAGGCTGTCTCGGCGTAGACAACACCAATGGTTTGGCCATGCGAATTCACTTCATCTACCGCAAACAGAGGTTCATCCACCCGTATAGGACCCCAGAGATTGCTCCCACGAGGTACGCTGTCCTTATCAAGATAGCCAACCACTCCTGGTACCTCAAGCGCGGCGCTCCAGTCGACATCGAGTATCTTTGCGTGTGCTTTCGTTGACTGGACGAGAACACAATGTAGCTCGCTTTTCTGTTGTGGCATATCATCAATATATTCCGCTTCACCCGTACAGTGTTTTAAGGCTGCAAGGTGTGGAATCTGTTTGCCAACAACCTTTGTGTCTGAAGTGGCATGATGATCTCGCGTCCCGGTAGAGAATCCCCGATGTATTTCAGGGACATCGTCATATTTGGTCTCATGGAGACCTAATTCTTTGATGCTCTCATGCCAGAACCGGAAAAACAGAGATAATGTCAAGGCTATTGGACTGGTTAGCAGTTAATATGTTCAAGCACGAGGCTAAGACGTACTTTTCCTATACTGAGCCATGCCTCCTGGCACGCCAAATGGCAAGTCAAAATCTTTTAAAAGAGCGTTTACTGCCTCTTCACGTGTACCACTATCCGTCCATTTCTTTCCTATTACACCCTCCTGGGCCGTCGTTGCAACTACGGTGGTAGGTGCCATACCGCCAAACACGAATGTTGCTTGCTGAACGAAGCCTCCTTGATCAAGGCGTACTCGAAAGCCTGCGGTTACGATTGCTATGTCGTCGTCTTTCCTTTTGGCTTGTTTATATGCTTTAGTTATTTCGGTCACCCCTGGCGGTGGTAGGGGTATCTTGATATGCGTAATCACACCGTTGGCAGGCAATTGGGTGGTTCGGTATCTAACAAAGAAGGTAGATAGAGGTATATTATATGAGCCCTCTCCCTTCGTTCTTATGGTGAGTTGAGATCCTGCTGCCAGGAGTGCTGGGGCAGAGTCCGATATGGGGCTAGCAGTTGCTAGATTTCCGGCCAAACTGGCAACATTCCGAATCTGACGCCCTGCAAAGTACCTCAGTTGCTTCCGAAGTGCCTCAAAAGCACTTGCTCTTGTGCCAAGTTTTGCGAACAACGTGGTGCACAATTCTTCGACCTTCGTCAGTGGCATGTTGCCTGGGATGCATACCTCAGAAAGGGTGCTGGGGTCGAAATCGCTCTCGACGTCCTCGAAAGCATTAAGTTCCTCGATATCTGAGACATATACACACACTCGAAACTCGGACTTCTTAAAGCGAACCTCAATCTGCTCTTATGTGAGCAACGTTCGTAATAATGTGACGTTGGCGTATATGAACGCACCTGTGTTTCACTGGCGCCCCCTATAATTTTCGCGGAAGGCCAAGCGTCTTTCAGCTCTATGAGCTGTTCAAGGGTTGTAGGTTTGAACCAAATTTTCGTTGCATCGCCATAGCAGATAGGTTGTGGCTTATATTTCCAAAGAGCTGGAGGAAATATTAACTCTACAGTGGGATCGTACGGCACGAAAGATTCGGGCAATGAAGCCTTTTGATACGAATCCACCGAGGTTGCTCTAGTAGTAGTAGAGTCTTTAGAAGAATCTCTACCAACACTCTCAGAGGAAGAAGATGGCGAATCGCGACAGCACCCCCCTGGACGCCCACACGAACCAGTTGATAGTTTACCACATCCATTCTCATCCACTGGAGTCTGGAGAACACTGTCTGACAAATTATCAGTATCCGATGCAGACGAGGAAGACTCATCAACTAAATCGCCTTTTAAGTCTTCTACAATAAACGTCTTGGCGGCCTCGAGAATTGGCTTATAACCAGTCTAGAGAAATTCAGCGTTCATGGTCTTCAGAAGGATAGTTGAAGAAAGAGATACATACGCATCTACAAAGATTTCCGTCTAGATGCCCTTGCAATTCCACATCTGTGGTTGAAAGATGGAATTTTCCATCCCGATACGAATTTCTGATCAGCGCATACAAGCTCATGACTATGCCTGGAGTACAAAATCCACATTGTGATCCACTAGATACCAGATTAGATATTAGAACAGTAAAGACGAGCTAAAGCAATGAGATGAAGTTGTCACTTACTGCATTTTTGCTATTCTTTCTTGTAGCGGGTGTGGGTGATCAACAGTGCCTAGGCCCTCGATAGTAATTAAGCTCTTTCCGTCGACTCCGAGCAGAGGATAGAGGCAAGCGTTTACGGCCATGTGCTTTAGTCGTCTCCCCTTTTCAACAGTCTGAAGAACGACGGTGCAAGCACCGCATCCTCCTTCGCCACATCCTAGCTTAGTCCCTTTCAGACTATCTTGAGCCCGAATCCAGTCCAGTAGAACCCATTCAGGATTGGGATTCTGGATGGAGACCCGGCGACCGTTTACGAAGAAACGTAGCTCGGAAGTCTTATAAGTCGATTGGATTAAAGGGGTGAGAGCCTCGGCAGCAGACGGAGCAGCTGGAGCGGACTCAGTCTCAAACACAGGCCCGGCGACGGGCGGCGTCGGAAGCACATCAGCTGCTGCCATTATTTCGTCTCAGTTGAACGGCACGGTTGATTGTCTTAGCTTAGCCACATGTCTCACTCAAAGTTTACCATGTCGCCAATATGCATGTGAATAGAAATTGCAATCAGCCCCCGGCTGTTGTGAGATCCAAAAGTTTGTAAATATCTCTGTATTTTGGTATATATGTGTAATAAAACAGATTAGATACTAGGTACCTACCTGACTGTAGAAATCCAAGGTAAATGGTAGGTAGATGAGGAGGCTTACAGCTGCATACCTCATCCCCCACCTTGACCAGGTATCGAGATCTTTCTTACATACCTACATAATACATACCTAGTAGTACCTAGTAGGAGTTATCGCTCTGCATGGTAATCCGAGTGACAGCGAATTAGTACATCTATTATCCCAGTACAGGACCTGGTATCTTGGTGGCGAGTGTAGCCCCTCAAACTCAAAAGGGGCTCGATGCCTAGGGTAGCTGTTGTTAGTATTATTGAATATGTAGTGATAACAAATACTTGAAGCTAATAGGTACCTTAGCTACCCTGGTAGGTGCTAGTTGAGGTAAACCTTATTCGATGCATCCTACTAATGTACCTATGTATTGTATGAAGTCCTTCCTTTCCCTCCTTGACAGTTGACTGCATGAACTTGTACCCCACCCCCACTATTGCCTCTACATGTATGTAGTATGTATTGTACATGTTTACATTCTGCAGCCTGCAGGTAATAAATTGAAACATCGAAACTATCCCACTTACGGCCCAGAATCATCTCAAGTGATTCAAAGCTGCCGTCCTGGATACCCGACGCACCCAAGCATTACTATGTAGTACCTGACCTAATAGTAGTCAGTTTGCGGTGCCTCAACAGGACCGAGAACGGGCATCATGTGGATCCCCACGCGATGGACGCATGTCTATAATTTTCCAGATTTCTTTTTGCGACTCTGTTAGGACATCTTCAAAGAGCACTAATTCCCTTGAGCAGAGTTGCATAAGAGATCCGGAACTTAAAAAAAAAAAGGAGCAGCATAAAGAACTGTCCATCGTTAATCATGACCACCTTTGCGCCCCTCAAAGAAACCAAGTTGTTCTATCCCATCAAGCTGGGCAAGTATGAGCTCCAGCACCGCATTGTCCAAGCACCATGCACGCGCATGCGCGGTGTGAAAGAAGGCGACGGCATCAACGTGCCCGGCGACCTGATGGTGGAATACTACAGCCAACGCGCGTCCAAGGGCGGTTTACAGATCACCGAGGCAACAGACATATCTCTCTATGCCTCGGGATACCCTGGCATCCCCGGCATCTTCTCGGACTCCCAGATCGCTGGCTGGAAGCGGGTCACTGATGCCGTCCACGCCAAAGGAGGCTACATCTTCTTGCAGATCTGGCACACCGGCCGGGCATCGCCCCCGTCATTCCGGGGCGGAAAGACGCCGCTGAGCTCTAGCAACCACCCCATGGACGGTGCTTGGTTAGACGGGGTCAACTGCGACGCCGTCCCTCCGAAGCCCATGACTGTGGAAGAGATCCAGGCTACCGTGCAAGAATTTGCGCAAGCCGCGAAAAACGCGGTTCAAGCCGGCTTTGACGGCGTGGAAATCCATTGTACGTGAAATAACACACACCCCCTCGACGATTGCTGGTGTAGTAGTACCCTTTTTGACCAAAAACTCATGTGATTGCCACAGCTGCCAATGGGTACCTCCTGGAACAATTTCTGCACGACAACGTCAATGACCGGACGGATGAGTACGGAGGATCCATCGAGAACAGAGCCAAGTTCCCGCTTCACGTGTTAAAGGCTGTCTGTGATGCAATCGGCTCTGACAAGGTCGGCATTCGGCTGAGCCCCTGGAACTACTTCCAGTCGACGCGGGACAGCAACAGGCTGAAGAACTGGACTTACATATCCGAGCAGCTGGCCGCCTTGCCGGCTGCCCATAAACCAGCCTATGTCCACATGTATGCAAGACAAGCACTCACAATATGATTTTAACGCAGCTGCTGACATCTAGAATAGGGTTGAGCCCCGCTTCGACGAAGTCCTAGACGAGCAGGCGAAAATCGATTCGCTCGCCAACAAGGACAAGCAGACCAGCATCTCACTGGCACCGTTCCGAGAAATTCTCCAGAAAGGCGACATCCTGTTCCTAAGCGCCGGGTGCTTCAACGGGGAGAACGCGGCGCCCAAGCTAGAGTCCGGCGGCGCAGATCTGGTCGGCTTTGGCCGGTGGTTCATCTCGAACCCCGACTTGCCGAAGCGGCTGGCGGATGGGATCCCCCTGGCCCAATACGATCGCTCTACTTTCTACTTCACGGTCCCGCCGGAGAAGGGGTACACGGACTACCCTGCTCATGCGGCGTAAGCGGCTTGAAATTTTTTTCTTGGGATTCATCTGTCTGGAGGATGTTGTTACCTTAAGTAGTTAGCAACAACAATGTGGTCGCTTAGCATTTTAGCCTACTTATCTAGACATAGATCATGATGAAATGAAAAAAAAGATTTCATGGCATTATTAACTTCTTGTTGACGTAAAAGACGAATAGATTTAATTGTCGTGAGAGTTTTAAGGTATTTTGTCTTAAATTACATGTTATGGGTGATTTATAGTCTGGAGTTTTAGGTAGATACTTAGGAGGGACAGCCTCAGAGAGAAATCTCAAAATTAGAATGTTAGGAACTTTAGGTTCATTGGGGTATTGAGATATAGCTAGGTTAAATTAGTAGGCAGGCAGGTTACGCAGACATCGCCGCTCTATAGAAGTGGGCGTGCCTTAGCGACGTCCTGGATTTGCTCCCACTTTTGTTCTACATCCATCTCAACATCATATGTCAGTAACCAGCCCCCAACGCCATGATACCTCCACGGCAACGGATCATCGCCCGAGTCCTGTCGTGGCTGAATAAGTGCTTTTGGTGTTTTGAATAATTGCTCATCAATGTCCCCAAACATCTTGAGTTTCTTGTCTCTTTCTTTTTGCTCTTCTCCATCGTGGATATGGTACAGATGTTGCTGGATATTACCCCTTTCCACTACCTTCTCGGTTCTCTCCTTTCGGCATTCTTCGTATACTCGAAGTGCACGTCGTTTCTGCTCTTGTGATTTATTTGTCAGCTTTGCTAGACAAAGGCCTATCGCTGCTGCGTCTTCCAAAGCCATGCCACAACCGCCTGTGATAGATCGTTAGTCGTCTTTTTAAGCATATATAGGTGCTTGCATATTTAATTTGTTGGCGACTTACTGGCAAGATATGGGAGAGTCGCATGAACAGCATCGCCTAACAATGTAAAAGTGCCTGATTCGTGAGTCCATCGTTCAAGAGTGGGCCGAATACAGAGTTTCCACTTTTGAACCGAGTCGCAGAGCCTCAAAATCTTGCCTATTCTCGGATCCCATCCTTGGTATAAGGCTTGCATCTCTTCTACGTTTCCATCCACGGTCATGGCTGCTTCGGGCATGTCATCAGGGACCAATAAGACCATATTAAATAACTCCCCACCCCTGAGAACATAGTTAACAGCATGGGCATCGGGTCCTATCCAGTAGTTCACCTGAGGATCTTCAATGAAATGCCGTAACTCAGGATCAGCCAACATCTCTTTGGCGTTAATGAGTAGTCTGTATGCTAGATCTCCTGTGGGCAGAGGAGGGTCCGGCTTTCCGAGGTGAAGCTCACGTAATCGTGATGAGATGCCATCTGCACCAACTATCAAATCCGCAGACATAGCCTTACCATCACTTAACACAGCGGTTGCTGTTAACCCGTCTTGAGCATATTCGATGGCTGTGACTCTCGACTTGACAATAACTTTGGCTCCTAGCTCGACAGCCCGGTCTAGGAGGCAGCGATGTAGGTTTGCTCTATGGAAGTCCCAGAAAGGGGTTCCCAGGGCATCGGCATAGGCATGGAGGTCCATTCTTGATAGGTGATTTCCCTTCCAGCCGATCATGTTGGCGTATCGGGGCATTGTGACATGGCTGGCAACTTTATCCTCGAGCCCCCAGGAGATTAGAATCCTCGAAGAATTGGGTAATACCTGAATGCCGGCCCCTATTTCGCCAATCTCAGACGCGCTCTCGAGCACTGTCACATCGTGACCTGCTAGGAGTATGGAAATAGCTGCACCTAGACCACCCAGTCCGGCGCCAACAATAATAACCTGCAATATTGATCAACACTTTAGGCTTGTTTTACACCACCGATTCTTTTCTCTCTTACGTTGAGTTTACTTGAAGGGTCCCTTTCGATCTTGCGCCATACCCTAGGAGGAGAACCAGGAGACATTTGAGAGAAGAATAATATTGATAGGACAACGAGGTTTGATCAACTTCACATAACTAGAGCAGGAAAGCAACAGGGTGATATTGGTAGATGTCATGCAATTTATGGGTTTATCCTAGATTAAAGATTAAAGACGATGAAATCGTGAAGCTTCAGGGGATCGTATATGGTATGGACTCTAGCGAGGTTATTCTAGGTACTTATGGATTGAATATTTCTCCGGTAGCTCGGCTTGTAATACACTCAAATGATCGATTGGTCTCGTTTGAAATCTTGCCCGCTATCGCAGTACGTACCTCCGCATGTTCTTGCCTTAAACATGCATTTGTGAATGTAGGTAGGCAGGCGTGATACAGGTAGTATCTGAGGAACATGACCGTGAATTGCCAACATGAGTTAACTAAAGTTAAGTTGAATCTTGCACCCGCTCGTTTCAAAATATTACGTATCAGCATCTGTACGTATCATATCGTACCTACCTTACTTACCTCCTAGGGTATGCGGGCACTAGCGATATGCCTGCCTAGCATGTATTTACATCCCGGCTTATCTCCCACTAGACGGCAAGCATGGCCAGGCAGGGTTAATCGTCACCCCACTTTTGGTACATAACTTCCATCTTGCCATTTCAACCTTCCTCACATGTAACCTTTCTGTGCAAGAGATAGCAAGAGTGGGGATAAAAAGGAACATTGAAGTCAATTCTTGGAAAGTACAATGTAGGTATTGTATGCTTAGGTATTCACCTGACTTGAATTTTTAAACTTACATCTTCAAGTGTCTGAAGTCTGTTTGAGTTAGACAGTCAAGTACCAAGTACTAATAAATGACCCGAGTTCAGGTTCTTGGCTACAATAGTTGCAGTTGCAATAGTTACAAATTACAATAGGCAGGCACAGCAATACCAGCCAATCTTAGCAAGTGGCTGTTTTCTAAAAAAACGGCCAACGACGATTCAACATCCTAACCCTGTTGACAATACGTATCTCCTCTTTTCTTCTCCATCCTCCCTCTTTTGTATTACATTCCCTCCCTCCTCTTCCCTTCCCGCGCCTAGTTTGGGAGAATGGGGGTTGCGAATCTTCCAACTAACTCCACATGAGCTTTCTTGAAAGTGGTGAACGAGCTTGATCTGTTTAACTACGCGGTTGTGTCTCGGGTAAAATGCAGCGTCCTAAGCGTAAAGTCCGGGATGGTGACACCATCCGGCGATTGTTCACTTGCACCTATGACGGATGTGGGAAATCTTTCTCGCGGTCTGAGCATCTCCATCGTCATCAGAAGAATCACACCGACGGAGATGCAACGTGCTCGCGATGCCGCGCTCACTTCAAGCGCCAGGACCTTCTCGGTGAGAGTTCCTCGGCCTCGTAGTTGCCGTCCCTGCCTCCGACTCGTAAGACTGACATGTGGATCGACGTAGAGAGACATATGAACCGGCATAAACAGAAGGATGAAGAGGCCGGCGGTGACGGCACCGGTACATTGAACACGCGCAAACGCATGTGGAAGGACCACGAAGGGCGAATTGTCCAGAAGAAACCCATAGAGCACTCGTCCCTTGATGATGGCAGCCCGGAGGCTTCGTTCGTATCCCGAGTAGATGGACCTATATCGCCTCCCATCTCGTCTAATAACTCAGACTTGCCAAGCGACAGCGACCCAAACCAGACATCTTTCTCCAACGACCACAGCATCCTGCCGGATTATCCATTACCAACGGGCCAGTTTGGCTCTCAAGGTTCTGTCGGATATTGGATCACCACCGAGTCTCAGCCTCAGGGCCTTGTGTCTCCTTACCTTGAAATAAATTACGATGAAGTCTTTCAGCCAGACACCGCAAGTTCATTCAACATGCCCTACACAACACAAGTAAACTACGATTGGCTATTTAATTTAGACCCTAATTTTCCGAGCACTGAAAATATCGCCCAACCCCCATATGTTCCCTCCACGTCTTTGGCACCGTACTCCTGCGAACCCCAGCAACCCCAAATGCCTATGAATTTAAGCCGAGCCAATTCCTCGGCCGAGGTTGGCCAATATGATGTTAGCACGACGGAGAGCCCCTTGACATCCATGGCTTCATTCTATGCGCGCTCAAGAGGAAGTACACAAAATACGACGAGCCCGAGCGTCTCAGCAGGCCTTGCCCCGAGTCTTCCGTCCCCTGTGAAGCAAGATTTCGTGGATGGATTCGGTGGCTCTAGTGAAGTAGAATTTGAACGTCCTTTGGCCATGCTTCAGTCATCAACTCGCCTACCGTCTATAGATGAATACACATACACCCGGATCCTGGATACCATAAAAATCGCAAGGCCGTCAGCCCCCGACAGCTCCCCTCTAGAAGTAAACAGCCCACTGCTGTCACGTTCATCGTTACAGACATATTGTGATTTGTACTTTATAAGATTCAATACTGCATATCCGTTGATTCATCAAGCTACTTTCGAGCCGAGTCAGAAGGAATCTTTACTACTTTTATCTATAATTCTCCTTGGAGCGACATGTGAGTGACTTTCAGGATGATATCTCTTTTGTAATTCGCCACTCATGAAGCTATACTCTCTCTGGTTCGTCAATGTAGAGGTAACTACTAACCCTTGAGCCTATAGACCACGATAAGGATGTACACCAATTGGCCGTCTGTATACACGACGTTATCCGCCCAGCAAGTGAGTCTCCGTCTTTTGTCCTCCACGCGTAGGAAATACGCTTTCATTACTTCTAGCATGTTGTATACTAATTAAAATTCTATTTTTTAGTTTTCTCTCATGCAAACTTCAATCCCAAGCCAGAGCTTTGGATGCTTCAAACGATCTTGTTAGTTGAATGCTTCGGCAAGAGCCGGGCGGGACAGAGACAACATGACATGAGCCACTTGTTTCACGGAATGTTGATCAATCTAATTAGGCGATCTGACTGTCAGTCAGTTCGCCCATGCCGACCTACCGAAAATAGCAAGGTTCGGTTAATGGATGATCATAGCTGGAGGCTGTGGATAGAAGCCGAAGAGAAGAAAAGGTTGGTGTTCCATCCTCTCATGTTAGACTAACACGGTGAACTAATATTGTTTTACAGGCTGGCACTTCTATGCTTTATGTGGGATACTCAGCATGCAGTCCTATTTTGTCAATCTCTGTGTATGTCGGCCTTCGAGCTTAGACTGACGCTTCCCTGCACACAAGCCTTATGGGAAGCCCCTACAGCTGCGGAATGGGGGCACCTCTCCTTGTCAACCCCTCCTGAGCCCATGTATCTACTTGCACTGAAATCCTACATCACACATGACACACACCCGACTCTGCACCTTAATGGTCTCTCTAGGATCATTGTCTTCCACGGTTTGATGTCCATATTTTGGGATATGCGACGACGAGATCAGACTAGTCTTGGTGTCATATCCTCTCAGGGTGGGCGCTGGCAATACCGTCTGGGAGCCTCCTACGAGGCATGGAAGGCAGATTTTGATAATTTTTGCTGTCACCAGTTTGATCTCACCATGACTCAAATCAACAAAGGCGTTATCCCCGAGAGCGCGAAACTTGAATTGGATGTTTGGCGTACCGCCTACGTGGCTGTTTATCACGCTGCCCACGTGCTTCTGCATTCCGAGTTCCTCGACATTCAAATATTTGCGGGCGCGCGACATATCCTAGGTCGTTCGGTTCAACGCACCGATTTCATGCGCTCCGAGAAGGTCGTCAAGCGTTGGGCCACAAACTATATTGGCCAGCGCTCTAATCATAGCGAAGAAGCTTCAGGGGCACCCTTGGCAGCTTGGCATGCAGCTATGCTACTTCAGATCGCATCACAGACGCTCGTAGATTTCGATGCTATGGACTTGTTTCACGTGCCGTGGTGCCTATATTTGGCGACGCTGACCATATGGACTTTTCACCATGCCGGTGCCAAGGGGCTCGGCCCCGTCTCCGGAGATGTCAGCGAGCTAGTATGGGACGCCCGGGCGGAGATGCAGGTGGTGGTGGACTCGATGGCGGAAGCGGGAGCCGAGGGCTTATCCGTCATGCAGGGATTGAAGCGGACCGGGGGGTTGGTGTGGGTTATGGCAGAGGCGTTGAGTAAAGTCCGTTGGGGGATCGTCCACGCCGGTGTCATCGTGCTCAAAGGCTTGGTTCCGGGGAGGCTGATAGGTCAGTTTGATGAGGTTTCTATTTGAAGACATTTCTCATAGCCATGGTCTCCATGCAAGCAGTTTACATGTATATATACCCCCGGTATTTTGGTATTAAATGTCCGTTGGGGGCTTATACGACGATATGATTATAGGTAGGAATTGCCAGGTATCTAGGCCGGTTGCGAAGGATAGGTAGGATACTTGGGATATTATAGGTAGATAGGTCACACATGGTACGCTACCTACCTAAGGTACGCTTGCCATCGAATGAGGAACGAAGAGACGTTAAGACTATACAGCCTAGGTACATAGGACTAAGATGTGTTTCCTTGTTTCCTTCTTGTGAGCTACATACCTAGGTAGGCAGGCAGAGAAGTTGAAAATAGTAGATGAATTGATTGATAGATGAGTACCTAAACGCATTGGTGTATCCCCTAAATGAGCCCGAGCAAACATTTGAAACGTACAATACACTGCACAACTTGCCGAATTAATGGTTCAAAAAAGATGATGATAAAAGACCCAAACGTTCTCCAAACCATGCAAGTAGGTATGCCGCAATTTCCATCCTTCATTCATCCTCGCTACTAGAGCCCATTACTATCCTTTCTATTTCTCGGGAACCTGGAGGAACCCATCGTAATACGAATTTAACCAGTCGGCAGCAGTTGTGCCGGCGTTTATATCGAGTGAGTCCCATCTGTTAATAGACCCAACGTAGCCGTCAGGCCGTATGATGACGATAGACACCTCGTCCTTCTGTAGAGTTCCCACCCATTTGCTCGTGCATGTCTGTCTACGCGTGTCTAGATATGGTACATTATCTAGGTAGAATGTCCATGCGCTTCGCGCGAAGAGCGGGGGAAGGTCTTGGACCTCTACTCTAGCTTTGTCCATGGTTGCTGTATGGGAGTTAGCTATGCATTCAACTTCTCGATGAATATACGTGCAGATAAAAGGGGGGTACACTTACTGATGAGAGCAAACGTCGTGATTTCGCTGACGCTTATGTATCTCTCTGCTCGCACGAAGACATCTTCAGAGGTAGGAGTGCGCGGCTTCTCCACATAGCTTGCCGCCGCTGCTTGACTCAGTTTCCTAAACAATGAGTCTTGCCGCGTTAATCCGTTACAGAAAGTCTGTAGGAATGGCATGCTATTATGGATATCCGGCACGAAAAAGTATACCCTGAACTGTCCGAGCATAGGAATATCAAGTTGGACGTCAATGGGATTCGCGTCAATATATCGGGTCACTTTTGCGGGAGGCACAAGACATCCTGGCCTTAGCTCTCCTCCGCTGCGCTTGGTTGGGCGGTTAAGTATATTCTCATCGTACTCAACACCTACACCAGAGATAAATCGCACATTGGTGCGGAAGTTCTCGGCGAGTGATTTGGCGTCACCCCCGGCCATTTTATTGGCGTGTTCATAGTCAAAGTTAATAAGGTCGTGGGCAATCTTCCTACGTTCCATCTCGTAAGACTCCAGGAGAACTGGCTTTGCTAAACCTCGGGTTGCGAGGTTCAGTTTCCACGCGAGGTTCCAACTATCGTGCATGCTAGTGTTCATGCCCTGGGCAGCCTTGGGCGAATGAGTATGGCTTGCGTCTCCGGCGATGAATGCTTGCATATGCGGATCGGCGAATTTATTCGCTATCCGCTGCCCAATCTGATAATTACCGAACCACTCTACGGTACGCCATTCGACAGAGTACGGCGCTAATATTTGCTTGGCACGCTGCATGACGAATTCTTGTCCGAGTTCTCGCAAGTTGCCGGTTTCAGTATCCGGCTTGATCTCGACGTAGAATCGAGTAGTGCCCCGTTCCCGCGGGACAATTAATATAGAACCATGCATTTCGCTGTAGACGACTGTCTTGGACCAGAGGTCCGGGAAATCTGAGATGAGTTCTCCATCAAGCACGGCCCATACGGATTCATGGGATGTGCCCACAGAATACGTATCTGGTATGCAGTGTCGTACTTTGGAACGAGCACCATCGCCTTTCAGAGCCAGTTAGCCATGGTTCAAAGGTGTACAATAGTTCGTGACTTACATCCTACTATGTATTTGGATAACGTCGTCTCCTTTTCTCCGGTAGCCGTAGTTTTACACTCGATTTCTAATAAACCTGAATCGTCGTCATGTCGTTTGAATGATTGAAACTGGTGACTTCGCCTTACTTCCACACCACGCTTTCGGAGGTCCTCTATAAATACTCCTTCTACAACTCCCTGATGAACAAGGAGGATGTAGTCGTCGAGTAAATCAACGACTAGTGCCGGATAATGAATTTCACGGCCTAAACGCCTTAAGCGGCGGTTCGCGGTGGCTTCCCAAAAGCAGATGTCAAACACCTTAGCGCCTTTCTGTAAAAGGCCATCTGCGAGTTTGAGCTGACGCAGAGTCTCTATTGTTTTGGGCTGTAACCCATCAGCACGACCAGCTTGTGTCTGGTCGGCTCTTTCATCTATGACCTCGACATTGATGCCGAATCTAGCCAATAGAACGCTGTATGCATGATTTGAATGTGAGCAAGGGGTTCCAAGATTGATGGATGTGAGTGTACAGTAAAGTATAAAAATGAGGTCAAGAGGAGCTCGGAACTATAATTTAGATGGTGGCGTTCCTTGTGTTTTAATCATACGAGGGTATAGATTTATACATAAAAAATAATTTCAAAAGAAGAAAAAAAGAAGGGGGGAACGAAGAAGCTAGAAAATAATAGGGAAAAAGAGGGAAAAGAAACTTACGCCAACATCAAGCCAGCCGGACCGGCTCCCACGACGCAGACTTCGGAACTGTGTCGTGATCCATTGGTTTCACGACGCTTGGCTGGACCATGACCGTTGAGGTCGCCACTGGTGTCGCCGTTGGTGCTGGTGTTGCCGTTTTGTCGCACACCGTTAATCTCATCTACGAGCATGGCGCCGATTACTGATTATTTCATGTAGAGAAGTTAAGTTATCCTTGGAATGACTTTGCCTTTACTATCAATGCCTTCGTCTTTTTACCAGAGTACAAGTTGAATACAATTAAGTAGCTCAAAATCAAATCAAAAAATAATAAAAATAAAAGTGGCTTGGTTTCAGATAGCAAGAGGTAACAAGACAAGACAAGACAAGATAAAAAAGCTAAGGAGGTTTGATAGATAGATATGTGTGATGATGTGTGATGTGTGATGTATTGATAGGTATGTATGATGGGTATGATGTGTATGATGTGTATGATGTGTATGATGTGTGTGTGTATGTGTATATGTGTGATGGGTAAATAAAAAAAAAGGGTGATTGATGATAAGGGTGAATGGATTATCTGTTATGTGGTTCGTTGACGGCTGGCGCGATCATGAATGGGATTGATTTTTATCGGTTGACTTCAAGTTGATTGATTGATTGATTGACTGATTTGGGTCTTGGATTTTGATGGGATGGAGGATTAATGGTCCCCTTGGGTCGATGGTCAGTCAAGCCTTCCCAGTCAACTGTCAAACACTGTACACTGTACGAGGTATTACCGGCGAACAGCGTTCCGACCATGACTGGTTTAACTTGTTGCTTGAGGGAAAATACTATGGAGGCAGCTGTAATGTAGCTGGAAATGTACCTAAGCAGGCTGTTAGTACCTGTCAGTATCTGACAAATGTCGCACTGTGCTCAGACCATTGTCAGGTGGTTTGGTGCCATTCTCGAACCACTCCGATCCCTCCCCCGAGGCTTGAGAGCGTGTAACTGGGTTAAGGGGGTTAAGGTGTGGGCTGAAAGTGTGGGTTGTTTCGATTTTGGCCTGTCTGGTGCTTTTTTTCTCTTTTGCTTTTTGCCTTTTTTAGGGGAAGAGGGGCAGCTTCAAGTCTTAGACCCTTGGACCCCTGAAGTTTGAGACTCTAGGGGCTCTTTCTTTCATTCTTTTTTTCAAGGTTGTCTTCTCAAAATGCACTTGCCCCTCCCCCTCTTTCCGCCCCTCCCCCATTCTTCGCCCTACGGCGTACAAGTATAATACCTAGGGTACAGTACAGTCAGACAAACGCTCCCACTTTTGCATCTCCTTACCAGCTACCCTTGTCAGAAATCATACCACTTTATTAAATCCATCGCACATTTTGTGTGGATGTCTCCGACAATACCGCTTACCTGAATACCTGAAGGTTAATTAGTACCCTACCTACCTAAGGTACCTTACCGAACAAGAACCAACATGAAGTCCGTTGACTCCGTTCGGTATTTCGGTATCAAATATCAACATCAATCATACCTTAGTCTTTAAACATCCATCTATCTCAAAGCGATCCATGGATAACCATATGGCATCCCACTATGCAACTATCATGAATTTAGGCAGCTTGTCGCTACCTTCCTATCTAACTTAGGCAGCAGGTATGTATCATAGCACAATCGGAGAAATGAAAGTTGTCAGCCCATCTCTTCTCCCACCTACCGTGTAATCAATCGATCCTTGCGAAACGAGGTATTATTTGACTTCATCATGATGCAAACTCAAGGTGCATGGGAAGAGAAGATCCGCCTGAAGCGTGAAGCCCGGGTCCAAGCATTGACATCTGTCGTAAATGAGAGTGTATGTGAAATGATACTGAATTGGTGAAGAGCTGCTGAATATTGTTGAAATGTCAGCTCCAAAATCTCGACCTATCTACGACAGCTATTGACGATATATCGACTTTAGTCGGTCGCATTGCTTCGGGCAAGCTGAGCTCCGAGGCCGTCACAAGAGCATTTATACACAAGTTCAGTAGATATGTTTCTATAGAAATCTCATTGAAGCTGCTTACTTGCCTTAAGCTTATTCGCAAAATTACCCCCTACTAATCCCTAGCGCAGGGCCATCTCAGCGCAAGTTCAGGTAAATTGGCATTCCAATCTATGGAATTCTGTGAGAGGACCTCGGCACTGACTTATTCGCACATGGGTTAGACGAATTGGCAAGCAACCTATTCTACCTAGATACATAAATTCGTTTTTTGCTAATACTGACAATAGTCTCACTGAAATCTTCTTTTCAGAGGCTTTGGCACAAGCCCGCGAGCTTGATCGCTATCAAGCTGAGCATGGAAAGGTGATCGGGCCACTCCACGGTGTCCCCGTCACTTTGAAAGATCAGTTCGATGTTAAGGGGTATGACACCACCCTTGGATATGTTGGCCGCACATTCAACCCCGCGGCTGAAGATGCTGTTCTGGTCGGCATGCTCAAGAAGCTCGGCGCTGTCGTGCTGGCCAAGACGAATCTTCCACAGAGCATCATGGTAAAAATCAATTTCCTCTCGCATCACGAAGGGAGACATACCTGACTGTGTGTATGAAGTGGTGCGAGACAGAAAATCCTCTTTGGGGGCTCACCACAAATCCCCTAGATAAGGATTACACCCCAGGAGGCTCCACAGGCGGCGAATCAGCCCTCCTAAATCTCCGTGGCAGCCTTCTCGGCTGGGGAACCGATATTGGCGGCAGTATTCGGATACCTTCGCACATGATGGGTCTGTATGGACTAAAACCGAGTGTGAGGAATTCCTCCTTATATCTCGCCAGAATTGTGCTAAGCCTGATTAACTGGCCGTAGAGTTCGCGTCTTCCATATTATGGAGTTCCGGTATCAACCGAAGGACAAGAGCACGTACCTTCGTCAGTGGGGCCGTTGTCGCGAAATTTACCCTCCTTAACCCTCGTGATGAAAGAGCTAATACAGATGAAGCCGTGGGAGCACGATGCGCGTTGTGTGCCTGTGCCCTGGAGGAGCGAGATCTTTGAGGACTCTAAATCCCGCCCGCTGACTATCGGTGTGCTTTCCGATGACGGAGTAGTTCGGCCACACCCCCCTATTACGAGAGTACTGCTCGCAGTAGTGGAGAAGCTTAGGCTAGCTGGCCACGACATCGTGGAGTGGAATGCAGAGCTCCATCCTGAATGCATCCAGGTAATGGTGAGAGAGTGCCACTATTCCAGCCGTTCCCCGTTTCATGCCTGACAAGTATTATTATTCAGGATGAATACTACACAGCCGATGGCGGCGAAGACATCCGTCGTGATATGGCAGCTGGTGGAGAGCCATATATCCCCCACGTGGAGGGACTTGTAAACCGAGGCCAGCCCATTTCCGTGTACGACTACTGGCAGCTGAACAGGCGTAAAATAGCGCTCCAGCAAGCCTATCTCAAGAAATGGGATGCCATCAAGTCTCCCACGACTGGCAGGCCCGTGGATGTGGTGTTGATGCCGCCCATGCCACATACTTCCGTCCCCCACCGTTCTTGCCGCTGGGTAGGGTACACTAAGGTATGGAATGTGTTAGACTACCCAGCTCTCGTAGTCCCGGCAGGCAAAGTCTCCTCTGCAGACAGCGATGTGCCGTGGGACCATGCGCCGAGGAACGCGCTCGACGAGTGGAATGCTAGGGTGTGGACGCAGAATAAGGAGAAGATGATTGAGCTGGGCTTGCCGGTCGGGGTTCAGATAATCGCGAGGAAGCTCGAGGAGGAGAAGGTTCTAGGGGTCGGGGCGGTCATCGATGAGTTGCTTCGATATAAGTAGGTATCTTGGAGATCTCGTACAACGTATAGCCCCTATTATAATTGTTATTGCATCTTAAAAAACACTATGCCTGTCGCCTTACTCTCGAAGAATACGGTGATTAATGCAATACTCGATTGCTTTGTGCCGTAGCAGGAAGGAACCCCCTATTCGCGAGAATCATTACAAACTTCATTCAATGATTACATGCATAAGATCGATAGAAATTGAGAGGAATTGTTGCAAGATTAAGAGTAATTGCATACAGTGAGGAATGGATCCACGCATACCAGATGTACATTAACACAATTTTCACCATGATAGAAGAGCGGCTAGGGGGGTTTACGACGTTCCAAAGCACAAAGCCTGATGACAGAAATTTCTCAATTATACACGACTCGATAACCGATGGATGATACCAAACCCCCTATCTAGTCCATTAGCTGGCCACTCACCTAACCTACTCCTTCGACTTCTTGAGGATTTCCCCCGGAGGAGCAGGCATCATGGCACCCTCTGGGGGCTTATTCTTGCTCTTGAAGTGGTCGCACATCTGTAGGTAGGAATGTTAGCAAAGCTCTGGATGAATACTGCCTGCTAGGTACTAAGGTAGGTAAAGAAGGCAGTTAGTTATACGGAAACTTACCTCTGCAAACGTCACCCATTCCACTCCTTCGTGCTTGTTGATGTGTTCGATCAATCTATAAAATTTTGGGGGTTAATATTTTGATTTCATCGGCAGGATAAAAAAAGGGGGTGGGGTGGGGGGGGGAGTTCCTTTCACCTCTCGTGCATGAGCAAAACGTGCGGTCTTCCCGACACGTCGGGGTGGATCGTCATCGGGAAGATGAACTCGTCGTACTCGCGGTAGAAGTAGTCGAAGTGATCACGCCAGATATCCTCCACATCCCTAAGCAAATACATTCCCATTGATTAGCTGTCTTTCTTCTTTTTTTTATGACCCACCTACCGCAGGTAGGCAGGCAGGCTTGGCTATCGGCCTTCGGGATTAGGGTCGCGCAACGAACTAACCTCGGGTTCACCCAGCCGTGCGAGTTGGCCGAGTTCTTCATGAACATCATGGGCGGCAGGTCGTCGATGTACCAGGACCCCGGGATCTCTACCATCCCCGTCGGCTGCCCCTTGACGAGTGGCTTCATCCACTCTTCGGCCTTTTTGGAATAGTCGATTCTTGGGAGAGGGATTGATAAGTTAGCAGTGGGTAGGTAGGCACACTTACGCAGGAAATCCTGCGCGTTTGTTCTATATCTTATTCTAAATGACCTCATCTATGAAGATCATGAAAAGGATTGTCATCAAGGACGGGGTGGGCATATATGACATACTGCGAACAAGTTAGCTATAAGAATCGAAGAGCCAAGCCGTTCGACCTCACACGGACTACTATTTGCACAGAATAAACGAACGACTTACCTTAGTCCACGTATCCCCCGTGCGCAGCCAATACATCTGGCAGTCCTCATGGGACATCGAGTGGTCGTACTCAATGCCGTACGAGAGCAGCAGCTCCGTGCCCTCCTTGCTCGTCTCCCACCAGGGGACGACGTTTCCCCTCGGCGGCTTTCCGCAGAAGTCCGTGAGCAGGCGGTACGTCTTGTCGAGGACGTCGCGCTGCTGCTCGATGGTCATGTCGACGGGGTTCTCGTGCGAGTACCCGTGCAGGCCGATCTCGTGGCCGGCATCCCGCACCATCGCGCACTCCTCCGGGAAGGTCTCGAGAGAGTGGCCCGGGATGAACCACGAGGCTTTGATGTTGTGCTGCTCGAAGAGCTTGAGCAGGCGGCGCGTGCCGATGGTGCCGGCGAACATGCCTGATAGGAGTTGCTGGTTAGCTACTTACATAGCTAAGGTACTAGGTACCCTTTTGCTTTGCTTTGCTGGCAAGATAGGGGGGATTCCTTACCTCGGCTGATGTCGCTGGTGCTGTCTTCGCCCCCGTACGAGCCGAGCCAACCCGCGACAGCGTCGATGTCTACGCCATAGCTAGCAATCGTGTTTAAGTCAGATATTGCCATCCATGGATGAATGAATACCTAAGTGCATAAGGATCTCGGACTTACCCGACGAGGACCTTCTTCTTTCCCATAATGCAATAATAGAAACGATAGATTTGGTGTGCTAGACAGGTAAGAATTTCCTCTGAAGACCTATCCAAAAGCTACGAATACCTAGAGGGATGGACGAGTGAGTTGATGTTGATAGGATAGCTTCTTCAGCTTTACCTACCGGTAGGTACCGAGCACTAGGGACTGGCGATAGTTCGATCAATACCCCGCTAAAGGCTATCTCTACCTAGGTAGGTAAGTAGGTATTTAGTGCCTACCTAAATCTATATAGTAGTACTAGTTATAATGATTATCATGGAGGTTACCTAGTTCCCGGGAGAAACAAGGCAGGATGGTGATTTTTATTTGTCACACGGTTTGGCAGGCCGTGATAAGGAATATACATAGGTTCGTATACTATTCCGAGATACACGAACGAACCCCCATTCTTGACTTGGCTTGACTTGACTGTCCCTGAAATCGATGTACCCCGCAAGTCCGAGTACTCGACGCCTTTGACTACCGGGTTTACTACCCGCATTAGATCTACTACATAGGTACTTAGCATGTAAGTAGTAAGTCCGTTGATAGATAACCTACCTAGGTCAGGTAGCTACCTATTATGTTGGAAGGCATTCGAGTTTAATTTTATTCTCTAAATTGTAACAATCGTTTTTATCATCACGACTTTGCTATCTGCTCCAACCACCATACGTGTATTCGTATATCGCCTGTCAGTTCTGGATGGAAGCTCGTCCCGAACACGTTCCCTTGTCTTAGGGCTACGATGTCTCCTTCTCCTTTCGGAGCTACAGCCTGAGCATCTAAACCTGCAGCCACAGCCGCGGTCGCTTTTTTATTTGAAGCATGACGTCCTGGGAGAACCGCTAAAATCTCAACCTTCGGGTTTGCGCGCCGTAACGGATCTTCAGAAGCCTCTGTCGCATTATTTAGCGTTATGCTTTCCATGCTGTCTTCAATCGACTCATTGACATCATCAGATAAGATCTGATCCACGACGGGAGCTCGAATGAAGACGGCCGGAAAGGGGGCGGCTGTTGCCCCATTGGTGTTTTCAGATAGGAAGGGCAATTCCAGATCTGTCACGAAGCTTTCTCTCTGGCGACCGAAATGGTTGCGGTGGACCTTGACATCAAGTCCACCGACCAGCTCTTGGCCACCTCGCTTCGCGGCGCTCGCTTGTTCTGATAGAAATATGAGACCAGCACATGTGCCCCAGGTTGGCTTCTTGCTAACTCTTATAACGGCGATGAAAAAGGTGTTAACAGGCATCAACTCAAAAGAAATTCCTTGTATGACTTGGTGTATAGTGCATACTCACTTGACGAACTTTCGTAAAGGTTCCAACAAGCCGGACTGGGCGGCTACGAGTGAAAGGGTGGTGCTCTCTCCGCCAGGTATGACAAGCGCGTCGCATGCGGATAACTGATTCGAGTTGCGAACCTCGACAAATTGGAAACTTGGTCTTGGTGGCGACAGAGTCGATAAGTATCCAGCTGCTTTACGCAGAGACACAAGATGTTCTGAGAAACCCCCCTGAAGCGCAAGGACGCCAACGGTTATCATTTTTGTTTCTCCTCGGATCGTGTTCGTGGCTGGTCTAATAATTTATAATATTTTTTTGATGTTAAAGGCAGCCAAGATATGCGAGTCCCCTTTTTATCTGATGCTAGGGTCCTAACCTAGGGAACTTAATATACTGATGATTGCCGGGATAGGACCAGTTCACACTTTGAGATGTTTGTACCTAGTACATATCAATACGAGGCATTTAGAGTTTATACTATTCTACTACATATGGATACATCCATGGATCCCTTTATTCTTACCTAAGCCTCCCTTACCGAGCTCAGGATCATATGCGTCATTCCGGCCGAATACGGGGACAAGTCTTCAAGTCCTAGACAGGTACCGGCATGTACCGGTATGTACCATGCAAAAGGGTACGGAATCTCTCCTTTTCTTATACACGGAACTTGGAACTTTTCCGCTAACCACCTCGGCGGATGCCAACGCTTTACCATAGTCACGCTAGTAACTAACAAATTAACAATAGTGACTCCTAGGGTTTCTTCTGATTGGCAACCCAAGAATTAACCTTTTGAACTCTCTGGTCCCTTTGTTTGTTACTTACACCATTGAGCCGTTGAACCTCAATGTACATGTTACTTTATACACTGGGCAGTGACTAAATTACAGTTCGAGCCTGCATGGACCCTGAATTTTCATCATGTACATCACTAAACACGGCTATGAACGGCTCCGGTATTACTCACCCAAGTCGAATCGAGTCGAGCAAACACCGAAGGATCTTTGATGGTATTTGAACATTTTCGAATTATAGGTACTTATCAAACACCGATCCATTGCTCCTCTTCTTTCTCTCCTACAGCTACACAAATTCTCCTCCATCTTCTACTCTAGTACTCCCTCTCGTAGAGCAAAATCACCCAGTACCTACCTACCAACCAACCTAGCCATGACGAACGACATGAACGCCACCGCTTCGGCGCCTACCAATGGCACCTCCCTATCCTCCTCCTCCAACAATGACTTCATCATCAAAGCCGGCCTAGCCCAGATGCTCAAGGGCGGCGTAATCATGGACGTGACGGACGCCGCGCAAGCGCGCATCGCCGAAGAAGCCGGCGCCTGCGCCGTCATGGCCCTCGAGCGCGTGCCGGCCGACATCCGGGCCGAGGGCGGCGTCGCGCGCATGTCGGACCCGGCCAAGATCAAGGAGATCCAGGACGCCGTGACGATCCCCGTCATGGCCAAGGCCCGCATCGGCCACTTCGTCGAGTGCCAGATCCTCGCCGCCCTCGGCGTCGACTACATCGACGAGAGCGAGGTCCTCACCCCCGCCGACGACACCTACCACGTCGAGAAGACCCCCTTCAAGATCCCCTTCGTCTGCGGCTGCCGCAACCTCCCCGAGGCCCTGCGCCGCATCGCCGAGGGCGCCGCCATGATCCGCACGAAAGGCGAGGCCGGCACCGGCGATGTCGTCGAGGCTGTCAAGCACATGCGCACCGTCAACCGCGACATCGCGCGCGCGAAGTCCGCTCTCCAAGAAGGTGGCGACCTCGCCATCCGCGCGCTGGCCAGAGAGTTCGAGTGCGACGCCGCGCTACTGAAGCAGACGGCGGAGCTGGGCCGCCTGCCGGTCGTCAACTTTGCCGCGGGCGGGGTGGCGACGCCGGCGGATGCTGCGCTGATGATGCAGTTGGGCTGCGACGGCGTGTTTGTCGGCAGTGGTATATTCAAGTCAGGCGACGCGGCGAAGCGGGCGAAGGCTATTGTTAGGGCCACGACGCATTTCCAGGACCCGGCGGTGTTGGCGGAGTGCAGCGAGGGTCTTGGTGAGGCGATGGTGGGTATTAGTGTTAGCAGTATGAGGGCGGATCAGAAGATGGCTGGAAGGGGATGGTAGTTTTGGGCGGCGGGATATGTGATATCGATATGGGGCATGAAAGCACCCTGGGAAGTTCAACAGAACACACATATACCTTAAGTATATACCTGCCTACCTACTTGTCTAGGCTACCTATATACATACTTGCTTGATGTCATGCACGTGGCTAAAACAGGAGCATGGAGGCATAAAAAGCGAATAGCAGACCGACATTGATGGGCTTTAAAAGGTGCTTTAGCAAAACAACGAAATTACTTACTGCTTCTCCTGTATTCTGTAACAACGTGTTTGTTATACGTGCTTTATTCAATGGGAACATCATCAGCTACTTACTTAACGCACCTTACTTACCAACCATACCTAAGCCACATAACAGCCTCCCTCAAGCCGGCACCCCGCTCCAAATCGCCTCACTCAGCGTCTCATTCTTCCGCACCCACCCCTCCATCTCCGGCCTCGCCCGCACCACCAGATCCGCCACCATCCTCCCAAACACCACCTCGCCCCACGGGTTCAGGTGCGTCGTGTCTGCTGCCGAGCCCGTCCCCGCGTAGTTGTACGCCCACGCGGCGTCCTTGCCGATCGCGTTCACGTACGCGAGGCTCGCGGCGTTCAGGTCGACGACGGTGGAGTTTGTGGAGGCGGCCGCCGCGATGGTCGCGAGGCGCTGGTCGTGCAGGGAGTCCGTGGCGTTGTGCGGCGAGTTGGAGGGGAAGGCGCGCCGGGTGAGGGACGTGGTGAGGAGCTGTGGTTTTTTTAAAAACAAAAACGGTTTTAGTATTAGTAGGTAGGTAGGCTTGTTGGATAAAGGGGAGAAAGAACCCCCCCCTTTTAGATAGCTATGTTACCTACTGCCCCCTCTTCTTTGCTTTTTACCGTACCCCTATGGGGAATAAAGAATTAAGGGGGTAGGTATGTAGGTAGGTATAGAGTAAGAGATAAGAGAGAGGGGGAAGCTTACCGGCGTGCCGCCCAGCGACTTGACCTCGTTGGCGAAGCGGACCAGGTTCGCCTGGTACTGCTCCAGCGTGATGCCGCTGGCTTCTTTCTGGTCGTTGTGCCCGAACTACGCACGTAAGAAAAAAGAAAGAAAAAATGCCACCCCTTAAAGCTTAGGTAGGGGGGGGGGCATCCTTACACTGATGGTAACATAGCACTCGAACTCCTCCGCGTTCTCCTTCAAATGCGTCGTCACGTTCTCCCAGTATCCCCCCGCGACGAACGACACCGTCGTGGCCCCGCTCTTCCCGACGTTGACGCCCCAGGCCGGGCTGATGAGCGGCGCCAGGAACCCGTTGCCCCACCCGCCGTCGACGGCCGTCGTTGAGTCGCCCGCGAGGAAGAAGGCGGGGGGTTTGGCGGCGGCGGTGGAGCTTGATGCTGCGGCTGGTGGGCGGGCTGTCGCCATGGAGGCGGCGGAGAGGAGGGCGATCCAGGGGAGGGAGGGGAGGTGCATGGTGGTGGTGGTGGTGGTGGTGGAGGAGTAGGGGCGTAGAGAGAGAGATAGGTAGGTAGGATACGGGAATGGGGTCTTCTTCACGCGGTGGTTCCTTTCTTCTAGCTGGTCGTAGACGAAGTTTTGGTAACGGACCAGGTTTCTTATACCTAACTAAAATTCTAGATGCCTAGACAGGATCTATATATATATATATATATATAGATATATATGTAGTCATATGGTAGACCCGCTACCTGCAGAGCAGAGCTTAAGCGAGCAAGCTGAATCGGTATGTACCTAACCCCTGACCATCCAGTCGCATTACATCCAGCACGCTCTCTCTTCTCCCCTCATGACAAGTTCACACCCCAAATACACCTGCAGTTGTACCAGGGGGATGGGGATATACCAACTCCTAAGCAATAACTCCTCACCTCCTCGCATGTTTATACGCCGAGGGCAAGGGTAGCAAAGAGAGCGTATATGATGCCATGATTGAGGTCCCCTTTCCCCCACATTTGGCCAAGCCTTTTTTCTCTTCTTTTTGGGGTGGTGCCCAGGTCGTAAGCGAGCGAACTCCAAAAAATGCTCACTCAATTCACCCGGCGGCTACTAAAAAAGCAAATCCTGCCCAATCGCGGCGACGCAATTCGACGGGGTAGGGGTAGATGGTATGCTTTGGGAAAGAAGGGGCGAGGGACACGGCGCAGCGGTTCCCGTATTATGTCAGGTGTTTATAGACGGGGGTGCTAGGTAGGTAGGTAAGTGAGGCAGGTGAAAGGTGTCTAGGTAGGTGCCTAGGTTAGTAGGTAGCAAATAAATGGTGAACGTGTTTCGTATGCGCGCGAGTCACCGTCATTGTCGGTGCCCTCGCCGCGGCCCTTGTTCTTCACCAGAGCTCTTTAGGCTTTCGTCCATCTTTTGACCAACTTTTTCCACCCTTTTTACCCCAGACTCGGGGCATCACATCACATCGTCTCCAAGCTATGCGGACCCTGATGCGTTACATCGGCCTATGATAGCTCTACCCCAACTCGCCAACTTTTCTTTTCCTTTTGCCCTCGCCTTTACATACCATTTCTCGTATCCCGTATTAGGTAGGTGTTGTAACTCCATCTCCATTCATCCATCTCACGCCCATTTCACCCCTCCCGCCGACCCCAATACCGCCAATGCGCCGGCGCCGGCTCAGCAGGAACCTGCTCCATCCCCTGCGCTGCCTCCGCATCACCACCTCCTCCTCCTCCTATTCCCTCTCCTCTATAAGTATACCCCGGATACTCGAACCCGGGATACTGTGCCGGCGGCAGACCGATGTAGTGGTTATTTTTCCTGGACCGTTTCCTCTCCGCCCTGCGCCGCAGTCTGGGGACGAGGATGAAGACGGTTGCGGCGACGAGGATGAGGACGGCGGCGGCGCTGGCGGTGGCGATGCCGGCTAGGAGGCCGGTGGGGTGGCTCATTGGGAGAGTAGGTAGGTATTTTAGAAGGGAGAAAAAGGGCGAAAAAAAGAAGAAAGCGTGTCGGCAATCTAGAGTTGCTGGAGCTCTCGTTGCTTGATGCACTTGTAGAGATAGGAGGGCGGGCTGGTTTGGTTTGGTGTTCAACACCTAGGTATTTTATTATGGAGGGTAAGTGAGTAAAGGAGGATGTTATACAGGTAGGTAAGGTAATGATGTGATCGTACTCAAGACTACCATCGATAAACCTCCTGGGTGAATTCTACGATGGCGCCTACAGAGGTATATATCAAAGAAATCCGGTAAGTAGGAGACTTAGTAACCAGGCATAGTCCGAAGCAGCCCACCGGTATTATATAAGTCAACTATACCGCAGGACTTTCGAACTTGATAACACCCAACCTGGAACCTATAGTGTAAACCTTGAAACTCTTTGTCAGTTGCTTTAAATTAAGGCAGCCCAGGGCTGCTTGGCAGTTTATCAACAAATTAGGTAACATAGGTAGATAGGTTAGGTATAAAGATGTCTCTCTCGATCGACATCGCCATGGTATCATGGCTCCAGCCCTACCACGCAACTAAGCTAAATCGAGCTCAGCTGTGCTACTAAGCAGGGTACGATCCGTGAGATTCCCATTCCCAACACGGAAGGAATCCAATCAGATATGGTGTGTTGACGTACGTGAGATGCACTCCGGCCGTTGAAGATCTTGAGTCAGCAAGAATCCCGATTCCGATTTGCTGTGAGCTTTATTTAGATCTTTCGACGTCTCCCTCATCCACTTTTACAGGGGTACTTTGTCTATAAGTCTGGGGGTGACAGCCAACCATGTGCAGTTCCATGCTCAGCTATAAGTATGAGTAGTATTTATAAGTGACCTTGTCCATCATGGATGTTAAATATAGGAAATATTACTTGGCCAACATTCTGTTTTCACATGAGTACCTAGATTAGAGAGTTCACGTAGTAATTATCTACCTACCTAGGATATATTAGGTACCTGTGTTAATCATTTGATGATTGCATTAAGCTGTGTCGTCGGTGTCTTATCGCAAAACATGGGAGATGAGGAAGTACCTATGGCTGTTTGGGAATTATCTAATAGAGAGCCCGGTTTCCTTGCCGAGAAAGCGCCCCCAACGCCGGGTACCTAGTATTTATATCGCCCCCAGTGGATTACCAGCCGGTGGTTAGTAATAGTCTCGTGTCCTAAGTGTACACGCTCTCTGTCCACGAATTCACTTGTAAGCCCGTTTCAGCCATGTTGGCATCCATCAAATAGTCCAGCGGCATCCATACAAGATGTCCTTTGACCTGGTCTAATTTCGCACGAATGTCCTCTGGAGGCAAAAACCGATCGAATATATGGCCGGCCTTGACCCCCTTTGGCGGCAGAAAGGTGTTGTAATCATCAAACGTTTTCACTTTGTGCCAGTTAGTTCTAATAATATTATAATATTAAGCGGAGTCTGTCAGTCTGAAAACTTACCGTGATCGTCAGGGTCAGCATGGAATAAGTGCCTAAAGATTTCTGTGTTCTTTGTCGCGTTGGTAGTCCACATATCCCATAGCTCGTCGCTCATAGGGTCTTCGACAAACTTGTAACTTTCATCCCCATCCCAGATGTCGTTCGGTGACCTCTCTCCTGGTGGATGCGCGTTCTGGTCATTACTAGCATCGTGAGGTTGTGGCGGTAGCAGACCTAGATGTTCTCGCCACAGGTAACGCCTCAAGGTGGCAGCGTGCTTCCCTGCCTCGAACGACTGCCCATCCATGGTACTCTGGATTCTATCGGTATCTTCCATCACGATGGACAACTCGCTGTCGTGATTGCCTAATTGACTTCGGTCATTTAAGTTGCTGGAGCCGCAAACCACAATGCGATCGTCCACAATTAAGAGCTTGGCATGGATATACAGCTCCTCTTGGATCCAATTATCGACTTCTTCCTGAGGTTCGCCCTCCCAGATTTCTTCCGATACTTTTCCAGTATTTGCCATGGCGTGATGAGCTACGCTGTAAACCGACTTCGTCTCGTGACTTTCTTCTTTAGCTGCCTCAAAACGGCGTTTCGCTTCGATGCTGGTTGACAACTCCCCGCCCTCTCTCTGTTCTTCTCGCTTACCCATATGCTGGTCCCGTTCACCCTCGACATCTTCGCTGCCGTGGATGCCTTCACTCATAATCTCCTCTGCTTCGGCACGTTGGACTTCGTGATACTTGACACCAGACGCTTCCTCTTGTTTCTTGACCGAGGGTGTCTTATTCAACCGGTCGTATGATCGCAGATTGAAGACAAATATATGATCCGTTGGATCAACACCCTGTGCGCGGATCTGCTCAAATATTGAATGTTCCCCGCGGCATATTGATTTGTACTGATAATCCATGATAGCACGTGTTCCAGTAGCTGCATCGTCACGTAGGTCACCGGCAAACCCAGGTATACCAGGAATGAGGATGATAACCCGGAACTTTCTCTTTTCCTTGCCAGCTCTGACGCAGGCATCTACAATTGCTCTTCCTATCGTGTTGTGTATAGGTGATTGCTGATCGCCCGTAGCAGTAATAAAGAACTGATTCTCGATGTATACATAGTGCTCGGCGTTACGAATGATCTCCGAGTACGCATTCTGAATACTATGATCAGTTAGAATGCCGCTAGACCAGTCGGCGCTGCTTCGGACAATCTGGGCGTGCATCGTCCCTCGATTGTCCAGGTTTTTGCTTTCGACGGGTGTAAGGGGATGAAGAATGTATTCCCCAACAGGGTGTTTCGGCCGTTGAACACCTACGAGGGCCTCATCTTCCTCGCCTTCACGGCCCCGCAGCATGAGCCAATCGAACCTGTCGTCGCGCTTGTACTTGTCTCGCTTTACGAAATTCCAACGCAAGACGAAATGCTCTGCGATGTCATAAACGCAAGGACCAATCAATCCCATTGCTACATCATGCCAAGGCATGCGTCCGTAATCAGCTTTGCTCAGCTCGTTCTGCTTCCAATCTTGAACGTTCTGAAAATCCATTATGCGGTTGTTATTGAAGTCTTGGCCAGGCCAAATTTCGTTGCTGACCCCTTCCGGGTGGACATCCGAGAGAATATGTTGGTGATTGTCCCAACGACCGAAGCAAAGATCTAGGCCTCCAATAAACGCCATCGCATAGTCTATGACAATGAGTTTCTCGTGATGGGCCCAATAGAAAGTCATATCTGCTGCATTTTCTAGGACATTGTGATCAGGGTGCCGCATAACCTTGATGTTACCGTACCCAGGAGTTCCCTCAGGACATAGACTTTGTAGTGCATGCTTCGTATGCTCAGAATTGCAGGTTATCGCAGCTTCTACCTCGCGGTACACGATAACGAATATTTTTACTCCAGCCTCAGCCCGACGTTTCAATATCTTGTCCAGGCGCCATTCCTGGTTGAAGTAAGGTGGCCTACGCAAGAAGAGCTCAGGAGAAAGCCACCAGTCTGCGATGTAGATGGTTTCCTTTGCCTGCTCCAAAGCTTCTGACACAGCCTACTAAGGGATTAGACTACGATGCAATGAAGCAGAAGCAAAAGGACTAGGAAGAACACTTACCCAGAAGTAATTTCTACCATCCACATACCATTTGATGAGATTTCCATCCCGTTCTGGAAAATACGATTTAAAACGATGCTGATCGCCAATTTTACTGCGTTTCTCGTCACATGCCTTCTCATGATCTTCATCATGGCGGTGCTCTGGGTTAAACTACACAGGGGTTGCTTTTGTGAGTGACTATGTTTAGGGAGAACAATTAATATGAAAAAAGGGGGGGAACCTACGAGATTTGCGAATTTGCCGATTTTATGTCTAGCGCAAAGTCAACATGTTGAGTCGGAAAATCTTCATTCCTGAGTATATGAACATACTTTGTATGAATAAGACTGATTTTTGCATCATGTAGATGCGAGTCCTTCAGCTTCTCCTTTAGTTCCTGAAACGGATGCTTCCATTTATCCGCAGAGTCGCCATTCTGTTCCTGAGAGCCAGCCATTGTAACTCTCTAGACGGTATAGCATTAAGTGACCAATGGGTCAAGATGACGCAGAGGTGCAATCAGAGACAAATGTGGGCGGAAGTTGACGTTTACTCGTGCTGTCTACCTTAGATACCTTGATAGGTAGTATAACCTGCTAGTGGTATACGGCGTCTCGTGTAGCAATTGAGAGATGTAAGAAGAGACGACGAGATCACTTTTGGCAAAAATATCATCTAGGGGGGAGTGTATGAGAGAGATATGTGTAGATAACCAAATGCAATAGGTAGGTGGCGGGTAGATAGGTAGGTTAGATGAGTTGAGAAACATTAAGTAAAATATACGTGGACTCGGTTAGTATATAAAAAGAAAAGAGAAAAGAGAAGAGAGAAAAGACAAAAGACAAAAACGACAAACGACATCGTCATAGGTGGCTGATAACTTCCAAGGTTGTCTTACCTAGAAATTTACCAGGTACTAGGCCATACCAGTTGATACTAGGTCAGGTATGTAGCTTTTTCTTTAATCCGTATTACCTATTTTGAAGATTCGAGGTCATCACGGTAATGCGGCACACTCTTGGCAGTCATTCTCTACATGCTATGTATAGCATACCGTGATAATGTGTACTGCGTACGTACGTCTTTCCTGGCAGCTAAGATGTTTAACCAAGATCTGCTAGCTTTTAGTCTCCTTTGGCCTGCTAGGGATTTGAAATTCGAACACCTGCTATACGAGTACATTACATACCTCGTACGAGAATCACTTACACAAGTGCATGTGTGTGCAGATACATTGTAGGTTGGTAACTCGAGGTAAGTAAAAGGAGCCCTAGTATGATGTAGGGAAAGGAAGGGATGAATTATGAATATTTGAAAGTGACGTCATGTAGTTATTTATTCTCAAGTGAATTGAAGGAACTAGCCGAACAAACAAGCCACATCTCTTCGAGTACACAGTACATAGTACATAGTACCTATTACACAACCTTGAAGCGAGCCGGAATTTCAATGTTCATTGAAACCTGGAATGTTTCAAGCTTTCAAGTCACAGAACAAACCTGTGGCTAGTGCAAGAAAGAAGAGACGCCGGAGTACGATAATGCCTGACCCCGCCCACCATCCCCTTGTCACTTAGCACTAAATACTTGCCCCTTGACCCTTACCCCTCCCCCTCATCAACCTAAATGTTCTTATTGGTAACAATTTGAACTCTGATATACTAGTACAGGATACAGCTGGACATACATATTACTGAAGCTATTTTGCATCACTTTTCCTTACAACCCACTTTTAAACTCGTCTAACAATTCCTCGTCCTAATATCTACCTACCTACCTACCTACCTAGGGTACCTTACCTAGTTGACCGCTCTTCTATTGATCTCTACCTATTCTACACCATATTTCTCTCTTCTACTATTTGTCTTTCACTCCTCTCTCCAGTTTGTCCCATCTTGCTCGAGCTTTAACCAAACAACGATAATCATGTCTACACCCGCTTTCCCCGCCGGAGGTACTCTTCTCCAGACCTTCAAGAAGTCATTCGTGGATGTGCCCATCGACAACAACAATGACAATGCTATTTCTACTACCGAGTTCCTCGAGGCCGCCGAGTCTCTAACTACCATGTTCGGTGAGTTCACGTAGCATTGGTAACTCTGCAATCTGTGGTACACAATTGCTAACCAGTAGCCACAAATAGATATTCTTGGCTCCGTTGCCTTCTCTCCCGTGAAGTCTGATATGTTGGGCAACGTCAAGGTATGCTCACCAACGACACTGCCTCACAAAATTGCCTGGTGCTAATAGCCACAAGAAAATTCGCGAACGCCAGCTCGCTGCCCCCGCCGACTCTGAGACCCTACAAGCTCTTGTCATCAACGAGCTAAAGACAAAGAAGCACGTCGCCACCGAAGGACTTCTATGGCTAACTCGGTATGATTTCACTTTTTCAATGGATGTTTATTAAACGGCTATTCGACTAACTACTTTTACTCTTAGAGGTTTGGAATTCACCTGCATTGCACTAAGCCAAAACTTGGCTCAGGAATCCGAAGAACTCTCTGCCTCTTTCCGTAACGCATACGGTTCGACCCTCAAGCCACACCACGGCATGCTTATCAAGCCTGTCTTCTCCGCTGCCATGGGCGCTTGCCCCTATCGCAAAGACTTCTACCCCAAGTTGGGAGATGATCAGGCCAATGTTGCGGTTGAGCTGAGAGCTTACCTAACCGCCCTCGAGAAAATCGTTGGGATATTGAAGGGATTCCAGGAGCGAAAGGAGTCCAAGTGGTAATCTACAAATGAAGTATTTTGCATTCGCTTGGGGCCTCCATGAGTACGTATTATGTTGATAACTCGAAGCTACTCTGTATAGCTTAGCTTGGGATTACACATGTTCTCCGCCGATTTAAAAAGGAGGATCTTGATGTAGAGAATAGCTGGGCGGGTCATAAACCACTAGGTAGGTATCTACTTAACCTACCAAGCAGATGGGCACCAGATCGGCCACCACGATGGTCGCAATCAATTATCTTGTCGCTATATATATACGTAATTCAAGAGCACACGGCGTATGCCAATATCAAACAAAAATTTCCTGTGCGTACCTCGACAGGTATCTACATGTTCACTGGCTCGGCTATCAGGTGAATGGAATACTGCCAGGTACATCGAATCCACATGTTGGCGACAAATAAGAACATCTCGCTTATGAAAACAACCTGATATGTCCAACATTCAAATCCATTCCGTATCCCGTTCCAATTCAAATGCCTAGTATCAAGCACAAGAACTAATCGGGCGACTTAGCTACACCGTGGCCCTAATCTAGTTAGTTTCATGCCGGATTACTCCTATAATTACCCCCTATATCTCGTTCACGGGGATGCAATCCACCCCCCTTTTAATAATTTCGAAGACTACATTTCGAACTTCATTTCATATTACTAGGTATATTACTAGGTAAGCATCTACCAAGATAGGTTCTCAAGCCGCGCGCAACACAGCCCAGTCAACCGGCACCCCACCACACGCGAACGACCCCGTCGCGCCAACGCGGCCGCCGCGATCAAACCGCAGCACCGAAACGTCAATGTTGTCCACCACGTCCTTGCTCCCGACATCGACCTCCCCGGCGCCCCGACTGCGCACGCCGAACGCGCACGTCCCGCATACGGCCAGGTAGTTGTAGTCCTGGCCTGCGGCGTAGTCCCCCGTCGCGAAGAACCCCGGATCGGCTCGCAGCCCCGCGGCGATCGCGGAGCAGTCGCTGCTCAGCGCCGAGTCGGCGGTCGAGGTCGCGACGAAGGTGGTTTCCGCGCAGATCTCGGTGTGCGTGGCGTTGTGGTTGTAGGTCTTGTGGAAGCGGCGGCGGGGGCGGCGGGGGGCGGCGCTGTGGTTGGTGGTGGCTTTGCCGTCGTCGCCGTCGCCTGGGTGGTGCTGGTACGAGCTGGAGAGGTGTAGGCTGACGGTGCTGCCGTTGGGGTGCTGGATTTGGTGTGTGGTGAAGGGCCCGGCGATGGCGGGGAGGGGCGGAGGGGCGGAGGGGCTGCCGAGACAGAGGGAGGGGAGGCTGAGGATGAGGTAGGTGGTGAAGGGGGAGAGATGCATCGTTACGGTGGTTTCTTTCGCAAGTGTGTGTTGTGATGGGTCTAGGTGGTTTGATTAATATGGCGCACTGCACTTAAGTCTTGAGATAGGAGGTTTTTGATATAGGTATTGGTAGATGCTTAGCTTAGCTTTCTTCACAGAGAAAGGTCGAATCTCCCCCAAGCAAAATCATTTATATTGGCAGACCATACAACCCTCACATGAGTTGGGTAGGTGATGCTGTGTATCTCATATGCATCGGTAACTGGCAGAAAGGCCTTGTTCATCTGAATTACCTTCCAGAATAAGGACGCATCAGGGCAATCTTCATAGGTAGACATGCGTAGATAGACTGGTATAGTCAGTCACATGGAGCAAATCTCCAACAGGCCCCATTGCCAATACAGGTCACACCTGTCTCACGTATTCATTCAGTTGAATCGTTCTTCTGACATGTATTTGCCTGTTTTCTTGAGGGGAAAACTAAGTATTTCACGTTTTGAGCATACTCATCGTAGTCGGATATTCGCATTGTACCACACAATCAACCATCTTGAAAGGGGGCCATACGCGTGTAAATATCATGGAAGCGCGATGTTAGAAATAACGCGAAGTTGTGGGTGTTGCTATACGATGCATCTGCCCGAGTCATTCAGGGGCTTGTGCGACTATAAGAAAGTGGGAAAATTTAACTTAATTGGAATTATATTAATCACAACAGAGCTCTTTACAGTGTCTTTGGTGTCTTTGAAGGCAACAGAGTATGTGAATGCTGGCCTCATATTCACTGAAAATGGCATTTCACAGGTACTGTTATAATGCGCGCTGGTTTTCATACCATTATACCATTAACCCCACACAAGTAGTAAACTTTACCACATGGCAGTGAATAGTATAGCCTTATGATGTGCGTAAAAGATACCCTTCTTATAGATCCTCCGGCCAATCTACTTCTGTTAGCACGTTCAAGGAGTATGTCTCATTTGGGTAGGACTGTACCTTCTTCCGTCGACAACAGCTGACAATGTGATGTCGCAATATACACGCCAAGACTCGAGCAGCTCTTCGTGGCTATTTGAATAGCGCGATAGGGGTCTCTTTACCCGTGGATGGCCAGGGCTGTCTATCTAGGTAGGCTGTATCGTGAGAGCGAAGCCTAGGCAAGTACATGCATACATTCCTTTTAAGGAAGGACAGTACGAATAGGTACCCAGCAGGCAATTATCTGGTGATTCTGGTCGCCCGATGCGGGCATAAAAACGGGGTACAAAAATGTCTTAGTTGAATAGAGCTTCAGCGATTGCTTTTCCTTCCCGCGACCATACCGCGTCGCGCTGAGCTACTGCATGCTCTCATTGGATGCTCCCCGACAAAGCTCATCTCCTGTCAAACTACCCAAGTAGATGCCCAGTAATTAGTGTAAGACAAAGCGGGAAATCTAGATAAGGTTGCTGCAGCCTCCTTTATATTTATTGATATCGTGCTTTTAGGTACCTACAATAGGTAGGTGTATCTTTACTACTACCTAGGCATGCTGCCTCCCGCGGCCTTGCAGTAATTATCTAATTCTAGGTACGGTTTATTATTTGCCTGCAGTATGTAGCAATCTCCACATCCAATGTGCAAGTACGATAGCTACCTTACCTACCTACCAGGCCCCTCCTCAGGTAGATATGTCATTCCGAGCCTAGGCTTTCATCATATACGGCACTCAGGGACTTGGTATGGTAACCCAAGGTTTCATTTCTCTAATTCGGATCTCTGCCTTTAGCCATGATATCGGTAGCATCATGTCATTGGCCGCGCAGGTCTCTATATGCTACGTCGAATGTGAGATTCCGATGGGGTGGGCGCGTTACCTGGATGCTCTCAATTTCAAGGGTTGCTTTTTGGGGATCTGTATCTACCTACCCGCCAAGAGTAACTATCTATATATTCACATGGTTTCCCGGGAACGTTGATGTCGGCTACCATTAGGTCCTCAGCTATATGTCTTCCAGTTCTTAAGATACTCTTCGGTTATGTAACTTTTAGGTTACCGTTTCCCTAGTTCAATTTCTATATCTCCAAGATGCTCGTCGGTAGGATTAGCGTCGTGCTGGGCTGTATCGTCTCGCTCGTAGGCGCGTCGCCAACATGCCCCCTCGACGGACCTGTTTTCCCCAAGCCTCGCCTGCTTTCCCAGAGCGACGCTATTAAGGCCGCAGTGGCGAACCTGACCAGCACATTCGCCAATATCACAGCGGGAGCCCAGAACTACTCCTTATCTGTGCAGGTCTTCTCGGCGGACGAGGAAGAGCCCCTATTCTCCGTGTCGCACACGGCACCTAACCTCCCGCCGAACACCACCGGAGTGAGGAGGGTCGACGAGAACACGGTTTTCCGGCTCGGGAGCTTGACGAAGATATTCACGATATACGCCTTTCTGATCAATGCTGGCGAGAAGTACTGGCACGAGCCTGTCACGAATTACATACCGGAACTTCAAGCAGTCGCCAATCAGTCGGACCCGGTGAGTGACATAGATTGGAATGATATCACCCTCGGAGGTCTGGCTACGCAGATGACAGGCATCCCGCGTGAATGTTCGTATCATGCTCGACCTTGGACCCCCGTTATCAAGCTGATGGGTGGTAGATGCGCTATTGGGAGAACTGACCCAGTCGAGCGAGACGAGGGACAATGTGGTGCAGTACGGGTTTCCGCCTCTGGCCCAGGATCAAAAACCTCCGGTGAGTAAATACTTCGATAATTACCCATACAGGCCTTCCCGATTGCTAACCTTGGATATTATAGTGCGGAGCATACCCAACCTGTGATCGAGCGCGTAGGTTCAAAAATGTTCTACTTAGCTGTACCCCTGATACTAACACAACCCCCTTATCCAGAATTCTTCGCCGGAATCATTTCATTCTACCCCTCCCTAGCCCCCTACGAGACGCCGGCATATTCCAACGTAGCGTTCCAACTCCTGTGAGTGTTTTAGCATCGTTTACCTACCACGCGTGGTCACAATAGTACTTTACTAAAGTTTACTTTCTACTTCAGCGGCTATGCCCTCGAAACCATCACCGGCAAGTCTTTCACATCCTTGGTGCAAGACTCGATCATCAATCCCCTGGGGTTAAACAACACGTCTCTCCGGGCCCCGCGGGCCTCACGTGGCATCATTCCCGGGAACCAGACGGCGACGGGGTGGTCTTTTGACATTGGAGAGTCTGTGGCGTAAGTTTCACCAGCTCACTAACACCTACTGCCCCTGAAAATGTACATACCTAGGTAGTGAGTAGCTAACAGCACCGAAAAGCGCCGGCAACATGTACTCCTCAGCATCCGACATATCGAACCTCGGCCGCGCCATCCTCAGCAACAAGCTGCTCTCCCCCGTCGTCACTCGGCGGTGGCTGAAGCCCTTCGCCTTCTCCTCGGACCCGCTCGCCATGGTCGGCATGCCCTGGGGCGCGCGGCGGATAAAGCTCGAAGACACGTATCGATACACGACTGCCTACAACAAGGCCGGGAACATCGGCGACTACAGCTCGCTCTTGGCAATCATGCCCGACTTCAACGTTGGGATCTCGATCCTGGTCGCGGGGGAACTGCCGCCGAATGTGGGCTTTGGTCTCGCTGGTATGTATTCTCTTGCTATCATCACTGCATCGTTGGGATGGGACACTTTTTAAGGATGCAAGAAGAACGAAAAAAAAAACCAGAAACTGACGCAGGAGCAGACATCATCGGCGAGCCCCTCCTCCCCGCCCTCGAAGCCGCCGCCCGCGCAGAGGCCGGGTCCCTGTACAGCGGGCACTACTCCTTCCACGACTCCTCCATAAACTCCTCCATGACGATCACCACTGACGACCTGCCGGGGATGAGCATATCGCAGTGGTTCAGCAACGGCACCGACTTCCGGTGGATATCGACGGTGCTGCAGAACCAGTACACGCCCGTGACCCCGCGCATCCGGCTGTACCCCACCGGGCTCGAGGGCCCGGGCACCGACGGCGTGGGAAAGCGGGTCGCGTTCAAGGCGATGTTCGAGGACGCGGACAGCCCGAGGCGCGACGGCAGGATGTTCTCGACCGAGTGTGGCTCGTGGGTCTCGATCGAGTCGGTCATATATGGGTCTGCGGCCATGGACGAGCTGATCTTCAACCTGGATGCGGAGGGGAAGGTGCTTAGTGTCACGTCGCCGTCGCTGAGGATTACGTTGGATAAGGAATAAGACCGTTTTTTTTGGTCTGGTTTATACGTGTATTAATTACTATTACAGACTTATATCTACTTAGCTTCTATATATATATATATATTCGTTAATCATTTTCACCCTTCAAAGTCTATCTAACAATCTTGAGAACATGCTGACAACTTTCATGGAAACCTTGGAAGTCAGAACATTCTTTACTACCTATAAAACTCATCAGGTAGAAAAAGGGGGGTTAGGGGTGGGCGACTCCTCTGAAGTCTTTATTCTAGGAAGCACTAGAGTCTTCATTGCCGTGCTAACTCCCAATACTTCCATGCTACTAATATCTCTCAATAGCTAATCATTCCTAAATTTAGTTCCATTAAGACATCTTAGGTCGTTTAACTAGATGCAACCATTCGAGAAGAATGGAATGTTGTTTTTGTGATCTATGTGTCGGACATGGACATGGACATTTCAGCTTCTCCAAGATCCACAAGTGCCACGCGCAAGGGCTTGAGTGGAGAGGGTTTGCGGCGCGCGCGCTGGCGAACCTTGTGCTCGCCCCTTTCACGCTGATCTTCATGATGGGCGTGAATAGGAGGATGGAAGAGGCGATGGAGGGGGCGGGGAAGATGCTGAGTCTGGAGGAGGTTAGGGAGTTGATGGGGAGGTGGGCGAGGTTGAATGTTGTTAGGGTATTCATGCCGCTGGCGGGAGCGGTGTTAGGGTTGTGGAATTTGCTGCAGTGAATGGGTACTAGGTAAGATCAATTTCTTATGTGTATGAATACTTAGTAGCTACCAAGTACCTTGTAGGGGTCAGAGTATTGCAACGCTACTTGATATTCGCTATATGGTCATGTAGATACCTAGAAATCTAAGTACAGAGTCTTGATAGTAACATGGAATGAAGGTACTTTATACACTTGGGTTACCAACCTTTTCAGCTGGGTGACAATTGCTTGCTGTGTCGAGGTGATTGCCTCAAGACCCCTAAGCATTACCGACTCAATACCTGCCTCAGATACCTGGATACATACACCGAAACATCGAGTCTCAAAGACCTAGGCACGGCATCAACCGAGACAGCACTAGCCGCCACGACCTCCGTCGACGCCTCGCTAAGCTCCAACTCGACCTCCTCTCCCGCCACCGCCAGCTCATGAGGGTGCGGGACCCCTCTTCTCCCCCCGCGACCCCTTCGCCCCAGTAGATGCCCCAGGCCACTCAGCAGCATCGGCCTATGGAACGCCTCCTGGATATTCTCCAGCGACCGTCCCCTCGTCTCGGGCATATACGCCGCGAGTACCCCCACCGTGCCCAGCGCCAGCGCGCCAAACAGAAAATAGATACCAAACGCGGATGCCTGCAGGAGCACGGGCGTGAGCAGCGCGACGAGGAAGTTCGTGGCGAAGCACAGGCCCATCGCGACGCAGTTCGCCGCGGCGCGCGTGTGCCCCGGCTGGATCTCGCTGGCGTAGATCTTGCCGACGATGCCCCAGGTCGCGCAGTACGTGAGCCCGAAGACGAACACGGCGACGATGACCAGCCAGCGCGCGACCCCGTACGGGTGCACGACGCCCGCCGCGTACAGGCCGCCCATGAGGAACATGCAGCTGGAGAGCGTGAGGCCGCCGCTGATGGCGGAGGTGCGGCGGCCCCATTTGTCGGCGAGCAGGAAGGCGGGGATGGAGATGGCGAGCATGAGGATGGAGGAGAGGCCGGAGGCGAGGAAGGAGGCGTTGTCGGTTGATAGGCCGGCTTGTTCGAAGAGGACGGGGGCATACTAGTTAGGTTGGGGAGCGTGAGTATTATGAGCATAAAGGAGTGAAAAGGGGTGTCTGATAGCTAAAGAAAAGAAAAAAGCAGACTTACGTAAACCACGGCATCAATACCAGACAGCTGGGCCATGCCCAGGATAAATAAAGCCAATATAGTGCGCGCGCGATATCCTCGTCGGAACAACAGCGAGAAGCTCTGCCACAGCGACAGGCTCAGCGTCTGCTCAGTGCTCATGAGGAAGTCCCGCTCAGCCTCCACCATATTGCAGTCGAGCCGCTCCAGCGCCGCGCGGGCGTCAGCCTGCCTCCCCTGCAGCATGAGCCACCTGGGAGAATCCGGGAGCAGCAGGCAGCCCCACGCGAGGACGGAGGAGAAGACGCACTGCAGGATATACGGCACGCGCCACGCCATGTCCGACTGGATGTTGACGGTGCCGTAGCAGGTGAAGTAGCCGAAGCAGACGCCGGCCGTGGCCATGAACTGGGGCAGCCCCGTCAGCGTGCCGCGGTACCTGAGCGGCGCGATCTCGCAGATGTAGACGGAGATGTTGCTGAGGAAGATGCCCTGGCCGAACCCCGCGATCGCTCGGCCGGCGATGAACTGGCCCAGGCTGTGGGAGAGCCCCTGCACGAGTGCGCCCGTGCCGAAGAAAAGCGCGCCGGGAATAATGGCGGAAATTCGGCCGTACTTGTCTGCAAAGTGACCGGCGAACATGGATGGCAGCGTGCCTGTCAACATGATCATCGACACGGTTATACCTAGCATCGTTGGCGATAGCTGTCCCAGGGACTCGGTGAACTGAGGCATGTGGGTTATGGCGCCGATAGACCCGGTGTCGTAGCCATTGAGCAGACCGCCTAGCGAGACTGCAACGGATGCTATCACGTATCGCGGTGCGAAGTAAGGGGTAGTAGCGGATGACGACGACATGGTCTTGATCGAAACTTGTATCACTTCCAAGGTTATGTTATATGAACCTTGGTAGGTATATAGGTGTCTACCTGATAACCCTTCAGGGTAGGGAGACCAGGGGGGTAGGGGATGAATACGAGGAATATGTAAGAATAAAGTAACCGTTTTAACACTATACAGCTCTTAAATACCTTTCAAGTAGTATGTATGGAAGGCAGAATAATGTGCCGACTTAGGTATTCAGGGGTATGTCCCGATTTCTAATCATAATGAATAAGGCGTAAACTATTCCGGTTCGGGGTACTTACTATGTGAGTTATCACCGCCGACCCCACGCATCTCATCACACGCCCTTACATCCTTATTCCCCATCAAGATCATCGCCGGTCCCGCAGTCCATATAGACATATTGTATCCACTCTCCGGGGGCCTTCCGTAAGATGCTAGGTATATCTTTTTGCCACACCGAGAATGCATTAAATTGGTATTGGCATTATGTTTCTCTGCATGCTACTTCAATATTATGTGTACGACTCATTAGTCATCCCAGAATAAACCGAGTAGTTGGTACACGCCTACAAGGCAGTAGGTAGGCAGTTAGGTTAGGCAGGTATCCATCCCATATGCATGCAATTCATAATTCACTTCGCAACGTGCCCTTACAAATGTGCTCTGCCCTCTAGCCTCCGCCTCTTCCTTTCGGCTTTGACAGCACTCTTGAGTTTCGCTGCTTCCTCGTCGCTAAGCGCTGCATCAGTCTTGCTCTCCAATCTAGTGGCCTCTTCGAATAACTTGGCCCCTATCATATCAGTGAGATGCAACACCCGCGTGCTAACCGTGGCGCCATCTCTCCTATTCTTTCCTTCGCGTCTGCTTGACGCAATGCGTTCAATGAAGTTCCATAATCTCCCTGACGGCTGGAGGGCTCCGGATATTGGGTCGCGGGAAGGCATCCACTCGGATGCGAGTCTTAATCGAGGGGGCCCGCCCGAGTCCTTTGGTTTCAACACATAGACAATACCTTCCTCTTCGAAGCGCTGATACGAATTCTTCAGGGTCTCCTTGTTTACCGCCTCAAAATAACTCAAGTCACCTTGGTGGTAGAGAGTTTTGCCAACCTATCGTGTGTTAACTTGGGATTTCTAGGTATCTCAAAATACTGGCTTGGACGTCTACTTACTAGTTGTGTTGTGTTTTGCGCCTTTGCCATTTCAATCCAGATTACGTCTTTCTGCTCGAGTGGAGGCGTGAGGCCCATTAAAGAAACAGCCGCAAGCCAGCTAGACTCGATAAAGGGCCAGATTAAGAAGCAGTAGAAGTCGTAGTTTTCTCTACCAGCTGTCCGTTCTTCCTCCGAAAGCCCGATGCTCAATATGCTCCCCTTTTCATCTCTTTTAACTTCAAGAACGCGATCGTTCTCTAATCCTGCCAACGTTTTCTCTAAGTTGACGGCTAACCCTTCACCAGGGAATATAAACTCCCCACGGAATAACGACGAAAGGAACAATACTTGATCTCGCAAGGCGTCGTAGGATATCTCCTGATGAGCAGGGCCACCACCAAGCTTTACACGGGTATACAAGCTAGCACTAACAAGAGCCTCTGATATGAATAAATGGATCGTCATATTACGGTCTGTAACTGATTAGTATCTCCCTTCTAGATGAAGTACATGGATGCGATCCATCTCTTCAAGAAATGCAGGATCCAAAATGAAATGAAGCCGAGGGCGAAACGTTACTCACAAAAAGAAAGCTGGAACCGATCTACGGCATAGTAGGTCGGCTCTGCTAGGCCTTGCACCACGCCAACAAGGTCCTTTCCGAGCACATCTAAGCCTCGTTCTACAACGTCGGATAGGGGGGCATTTCCAAAATGTGCCACACGACCGCCCTTGGCTCCCACCCGGGCAGTAAGCCATTCAATTCGCCGCAAGAGTTCTGATTTACCAACTCCGCGACCCCTAAGTGTAAGTAATACGGTGCCAATCAATGCGGTAGGCATGACTACGGACACGTCGTTGATGTCTGATAGTACCTTGTATCCCATGGTTCGTAATAGCTTCTGTTTAATCGCAACATTTTCTGGGGTCTTTACATCGAATCTTAACGTCTCGGGTGATGGAGTAAGCCTCGTCAGCTGCTCATCGATGTATTTGCGTAAGCTCCAAGGCTCATGAAATCGGACGTCAACTCTTCCCAACCGGAGTGACAAGACAGAGGAGCCGTCAGTTAAGAAATCGGCCAGGTTCTCTTTCTTCTTTGGGTAACCCAAGAGTTCTGTAACGTAACCCTCCGTCTCGATAACCTTGTCATATTGTGTGCTCACTGGACATATGATGGCATCTTCGACCCGACCCGATAATAAGCTATCCAGTACGAAGCTCAAGATGCCAAATTTTGGAGAGAGCAGTTTTCCCGTCCTGGATCGGCCGCCTTCGATGAAACATTCAAAATTATACCCTCCCTGGAGTAGGGTGTCTATGTAAGCTTGTACAAGAGTCGTATATAAGGTGTCATTTCCGAACGACCGTCTAATCCACATTGCGCCTTGTATCATGAGTTGTTAGTTTAAAATAGTACTAGGTATGAAGGCATGTAGTGCATATACAACTCACCTGCGTGCTGCAAAAAGCTCCCAACAACCGGAAAATTTAGATTATCACCGGCAACAACAACAGGCAATGCCAGCCCTAGGCGATAGCAAATCAGTTGCATAGAGACGTAGTCAACGTGAGATCGGTGGGATGGTAGAAAGATGATGCTCTGTTTCTTCTTTTGGGCTATTTCAGCGACTTTTCGCAGCCTCAAGACTTCTTCGCTCGACACGTGTATTCCTAGATATTTCTCATCAGCTCACACGCCAGACTCCTCTCCCATGACGACGTACCTTGGTGGTAGGCTCTTGTAAGTAGTTGTGTAACTAAGTAGTATGCCCCTCTAATGAAAGTCTTGCTCTCAAACTTGCATATCATATCATTGGTCATCTTCTCCGCCACTTGTTGAATACTCGTCTCTATAACGGCTCGTCTTTGGGCCTTTTTAGTGACGAAATCCTTGTCGTCCTTGTTAAGCCACCCTTCCTCCTCTTCGACTTCCAATCGCTTATTAGCCAGCTGGGATATTCGGGACTGTAAAAGGGGCGCGGATACGACGGCGTTTCTCATATGTTCCGAGAACCCAGAGTAGAACAAAGGCTGACCAATGACTTTGTCGTAGGCTCGCCACCCCGTTCCGGATACGTATAGGGAAACTTCACGGAGGAATCTAGGCGGATGTCATGTTAGTTGCTAATATTCGAGTGTATATTGCAAGATCGAAGGGCATACTGAAGAGGTTCGGAGCGGAAACGGGCCATATTATGCATTAGGGGTTCTTGATCATCGTGGCGACGAGTTTCGACATAACTCCTGGGTTGGAGGGTGATTTGGTCTCCCAGGATTTGTAAATCGGGCGCTGAGTCGCGCGTAGGATCTTCATCTTGAGCCATGATGATATTATTACGGAAGAGGATCTACGGAATAAAGATCAAGATCAAGATCAAGAGAGATCTGTCTGTTTATTGATCGCATTCGCTATGGCGGAGGGTATCTCAGCAATGTCGGAGAATTACATGCTTCTAGCATCCTACCTAGTAGGTAATCAGTGGATAATGAATCTCTACAAGCAGAAAACAGTGGTGGTGTACTGGATGGGTAAGAGATAGTAGAAGCTTAGGTTAGAAGGTTGTAGGTTGCCAAGTTCCAATTCGGAATTAAAGCTGAGTTTACAACGCTTTAGGGCTGTTTCAATGCCGAGGTTTTAAAGCATGTGAGCCTTGGAACCGGGAGCCAGCTATTGGAACCAACTGTTTAGGCACTGAAAGTTACCGCTAAGTTCACCCCAGGTTCCACTAATTCCATCGGTTTGCAACCTTGCACCAACCTCCAGCGTTGGAACCTAAAAGCTGTCTTAGCCACATGTTACTAGTTACTAACTAGTAGTAGCGTGGAAGCAGCAAAGGCAATAGCTTTATCGATAGCAGTAGTTAGTTAAATCCTTGCTCAAAAAGTTGTTTTCTTCATCACTAAAAATATTACGGCGTAAAGACCATCACAACCTGATTGGTAATTCTTTCTTTTTCGGCCCCGAATCCTACATAATCAAACCCAGACAGCATGGCGACAAATAATACCAATACCAATAATAAGCAAAACCTAACCCGCCAACTTCTCTCGCGAGCCCACAGCCCCGACAGCACCGACCGAATCTTCTCCGAGAAGATCCAACACCGACCACTCTTCCTCAAGCCCACCTCGCCCCCCCCCTTCAACGCCCGCGATGCCCGCCGCAAAGCCCGCGCCTCGCAGCAGCAGCGCGCAAAGGCCCTGAAGCCCAAGCCCCTCTCCGCGCGGGAGCGGCGCAAGCTGGGGCTCTACGACCTCCCGAAGGCGGGGCAGAAGTACGCCGTCTACGAGCCGCTGAACCGGCTGTGGCTGGGCTACATCCGGGAGGTGCTCGGCCAGGAGCTGTACACGGGGGGCCAGGGTGCCGCGGCGAAGCTCAGCGCCGCCGACTTCCACGGCGCCGAGATGGAGGTCTCGCGCAGCGGCTGCCCGAGCCGCGTCGGGATCCGGGGGATTGTCGTCAAGGACACCCGGTTCGTCTTCGAGATCGTCACGAAGAGGAACCAGGTCAAGACCGTGCCGAAGGAGGGTACCATGTTCCGGATTATTGTGCCGCCTGTACGGGAGGAGAAGGCAGAAAAGGTTGGGAAAGATACGGCTGCTCCCGAAGACGACAAAAAACCCTTTATTTTTGAAATTCACGGCGACCAGTTCCAGCATCGGTCCGCTGATCGCGCGACGAGGAAGTTCAAGCTGCATTACCTGAAGAACCTTTGAAAATCTAGCGATTATTGCCGAATTTTAAAGCCACCAATCCATACAGAGCATGTCTGCAAGATAAGCAGCCCACCCTAGAGGTATCCAAATGTCGCCATTTAAGCCTGAAGGTACTGCGCGTTTTATAACGGTTCGGATATTGCTAGCAACTAACTTCACTAGAGTCCCAATAACCTATATAGGACGTTTGTGAAATGGCTAGACGGAGCGGAAATGTCTATTCGACGCAACCGTCACCAGTCAGGTCGCCTTCTCCCGCTACATATCCTATGAGTGTAGCAAGGGATAAAATCCCTTCTGGGTGATCGGCCATCAGCGGCGTGGCATATTAGCGAGCTCGATATTGTAGCAGTCAAGTAAGGGGGGTAGCGATGAATAGGGGCACATTTCGAGCTCATCGCAATATTGTCAAAACATGCTCGCATCAAAGTCATTAGGCCACAATACCGTAGTATGGGTCCGTCCATCTCCGTGGGGTGAGGAGATAGAGGACAGTGCCGCTCGCATCAGGAACGACCGAAATAACTTGTTCCTGGAGTGCTTAAATCTAGTTGCTCATGCGACAGTTTCAACCGCACAAGCAGCGCGAAGGGTTTGAGGACACTCGATAATAAATATATAACTTATCACTTATACATCTGAAATACAGTCCGCCATTTCAAGGCCAGGTCGAATCGGTAAAAATTGAGAGCACCGTAGGCTATTAATTGGATATCCATACGCATCCACCTCTCGCCCATCTCCGTAACCTCCGAACAACTGACATATCATCCGAACCCCGAAAAAGGCCACCATTTAAGCCGGAACAGTAACCGGCAAGCCAGCCTCCTCGAGTAGGATTTGCACCGCTCTGAGCAGTTTCTCGTCGTCGAATCTAGAGTGGAGTTTTTCAGCATCAGCGTTGTTACATGACACAAACCATGCCCTTTCCCTCGAAAAGGGGGACGAGAAAATAAATCTTACCTCCTAGCCACAGCCTGCAGCGAAATCGGCGCGTCCTTGTACCCCTTGGCCCCATGCTCCTTCCACTGTTCATACACGAGCTTATCACTCTCGCTCACTGGCTGGTAGCCTTCGGGATACTCGAACGGCGCCTCCCTCTCGCCCGCGCCCACCGCGTCCGCCACTGGGAAGACGACGCCCGGGTAGTCCAGCAGATTCCAGTGCGAGGTGTAGCCCCAGTACTTGCTCTGGTCGATCTTGGGCGCAACGCCCGGGCCGGCGGGGCACAGGATGATGTCGAGAGGCGCGTTATTTCCGTCGGCCGTCTCGTTCCAGAGCTGTGCGTATTTATCGCGGTAGGCGTCACGCGCGTCCATCGCGTCCCAGAGAGTCGAGATCGAGTGTTCTTTGACGTGCGGGTTGTCATTCAGAATGAAGTTCGTCAGTGGACGCCACGGCTCTCCCGATGCCTCGATCGTAGCTTTCACGTCGGCGCCACCGTCGCAGAAGTATATGTTTGCCTGCACTCTTGTTAGCGATGTGCATAAGCAACCAAAAGGAGGAGGTAAAGGGGGAACTTGATCGTACTATGATAGACCACGACAAATCGTGTTTCCAGGGCTTCCACTCCACCACATCTATATTGGGGCTTCCCTTCAGCTTTTCGGCTAGCTCCGTAATCGCTCTTAGAATAGGGGGGTGAGGTCTGACCACACCATCGTTGTACAAGACACCAACCCTCAGTTTCCTATTTGGGAAGAACTGCGCCGGATCTCGCCAGTCCATGGAGACGAGGCTCGGCTGTCTCAGCCAGGGCTTCTGGTCCAAGACCGCCTTGGTGAAGAGATTCAAGCCCTCGAGACTAGTTGACAAAGGTCCCACAGCTCCGGAGACGGTCTCTCCGCTAGTCCTCGCAACACCCCATCCGGCGTATGGAATACGCTGGGTCGTTGGCTTGAAGCCGAAGAGGCCGTTCAGCGCGGCCGGGTTTCGGATTGATCCGCCGATGTCAGTGCCAATCCCAAGAACGGAGCCGCGAAGTCCGATGAGTGCGCCCTCTCCGCCCGATGAACCCCCGGGGGTCAGCGTCGTGTTGCGAGGATTTACGGTGACACTAGGAGATCATCAGTAAGTCAATGGCCAATTCTTTCGTAAGTTTGTCTATCTTTCAGTTTCGAAGTTGTTGTAACTTACCCATACAGATTAGTGTTCGTCTCGATCTGCATCAAACTCTGCGGCTGCGTTGTCCTCGCGTAGATCACCGCGCCCGCCTCGCACAAGTACTGCACGACCAAGGCATCGTCCTCAGCCACCCGGCCAACCCACGCCACATAGCCCGCATTGAGATCTTCGCCCTTTATGCCGATGTGCTCCTTTACGCTGATGGGGACGCCGTGTAACGGACCCATCGGCTTGCCGTGCGTAGCCAGGTACTTGTCGAGTTCCGCTGCTCTTTCTAGCGCTCGCTTGGGCAGCAGCTCTGTGATGCAATTCGTAAGCTTCTGGGCCAGCGCTGCGCGGCGCAAGAAGGCATTGGCGACGGCCGTCGCGCTCCATTCGCCCGTGGCTAGCTTCTTGACCAGGTCCTCGGCATTTGTGTTGGTGATCGCAATCTCGGCCTCAGTTAACACTTTCGCGGGGATATCGGTAACGTTGGCGGGGATGTCTTGTGGTTGGAAGTCAGGCACGGGTGGTGAGACCTCCGCAATGGTGGCGTCCCGGTGTCGTTGCCGATCTGCGGCTACTTCCTGCCAGCTTGCTCCGTTCGCGATGGTTACGGTGGCTGGAGCCATTATTGGTTATTAAGTACCTACCTAGTGTGGGAATGCAAGAGGAAGCTTTCTGGGTTGGAATTTCAAGTAAAACAGGGTTGGTTGTAGGTAGTTGCAGATAAGGATTCTTTAGATAGATAGCAGTAACATAACCTAGCTCTTTCCGTACATTATATTAGAAAGAGCGAGCTCATAGCTACTTAAATAAATACCACCACCACCTTGCACCTTCCGATAACGACGCGCTGGTGGTGGTACTGGTGGGGGGGGATAGGCAGGATAATCGATCCCCTCTACTTTATCAAGATCAGCGTGGGTTGGCTCCACGATACACCTAACCTACACAGTACTATGTAGGTATGTACAATACGATTGCAACCACTCCGCAAAAGAATCCAGTACCACGACACCGACATAGCATAGCATTGCAGAACATTTGTGTATGTATGATTACGATACCTAGGTAGGTAGGGAGGGTAGGATAAAGGCCGATGCAGGAGGCCAAGGCCGGGTCTTTGGACGGGGTAGGGTGGAGCATATCTACAACACCGGGCCTGGGCATGATAATCAGCCGTTGGTTGCTAGTTATCTGCCATGTAGGTAATGAATGTAAACATCCCACTTCTATTTGACCAAGCTATAGCGAGCGAGACTTTCTAATAACGGGACCAGGAGGAAATATATCACGGCCTAACGCTCATGAGTTGTAATCATATTCAACTTTAGGTGCGCAGGTGGGTTTGTCAATAAAATAGGTCCCTGGCCAGATATGCTTGGTTAGATGCATTTGTCATTACCCCTGGTTCACACCCAAGTCACCACGAACCAACATGTTACAATGTAGGTAGGTAAGCATTACACGCTTGCTATACACGTGTAGAGCAATATGGAGGCTTTTTGTGGAATTGCCCATTACCTAGCTTCAGAGCTACGGGGGAAATATTGTTAGAGCATACAGGGGAGAGGATGACCAAGCATCCATAAATTTATAAGTCGTAAGTAGCCTCTCGATAGTTATATGATTGATAAACTTGGGTATATGGACAAAAATCAAAGCTATCTAGGTAAGCATACTACTATTCGAAGGTGGGCGCCCAAGACTTGCTACTACGTACTATAGGTAATCATACTCAACGTTCGTTCAGTTTATTGCGGTGGGCCGTTCTGCGAGAAGTTCATGCTGTAGCCGCCAGTCTTTTCGTCTTTGACCATCTGGAAATTGTCGGTGTTGAGGCCAAATGGCTTCAGTATCCCGTTCCCAAGCTATATGCCCACATTGAATTAGTGATTAACATTGATCGTACCAAAGACAACCCCTTCCAACAACAGCTACTCACATTCTTCAGTTTCCCCCACATCTCCGACATCTCCTCTTCCTGGGCTGCCTTGGTTCGAGGAGGTAAGGTCCTTAGCTGCGCTAGGACAATCTTTCTATCGGCCGGACCAAGATTTGTCATCTTCGACAGAGTCTTATAGTCCTCTTCGGCGCTGCTCAAATTCGACCATCCTCCCAGTTCACTTCTTGCCCTCGCTCGCCGCATCAAAGCCTTCGCTCGGATTCTGAGGATATCTTCCTGTCGTTTGCGTCTCGCTGTTTCGGCAGCAGTTTCGTCTTTCGCGGCGGGAGCACTCTTCTGCGCCCCGGAACTGATGATCTCTTCCTCCACTTCATCATCGTCTTCTTCCGCAGTCTTCTTCTTATCTTGCTCCTTCCCTTCTTTTTCTTTTTGCGCCTGGCTGGCCTCGGCTTTCTCTAGACGGTCCAGGCCCTCGATGGAGTCGGTAGCTGTCTTGATGGCGTCCTTCCATTGCTCGAGCTTCAGATGGCAGGCCGCGATGTTGGATTTCAGGACCGCGATCTCGTAGTCGAGGTAGTGCGGGCAGACGGAAGTAGCTTCTTCGTATTTCGTGATGGCGTTCTCGTACTTGGCCGAGGAGAATAGCGCGTTCGCTTCCGACTTCTTCTCGTTGGACTCTCCTAGTAAACTCTATAAAGTCAAAGAAAATTATTAGAATATGAGTGATTTATGAATGCCTTATGCATTCGTGACTTTCAAACTGTGGCGCATACCGCTTCTTCTTCAGGGGGGAACTTTTCGGGAGCTATGAACTCTTCGGCATCTTCGTAATTCTCGGCCTCTATTTTCGTCTCACTGGACTTGGCCTCTCCTGGTTCTGACGACTTGCTGGCCATATTTTGTTTTAAAGTTGAGCAGTTTCCGATCAACTAAGGACAAGGAACTCCAAGCACCAAGAATTAACGAATGTGAAATCTAAGAGTTTAAGATGATCCGTCATCATAATTTACAAACCTAGTTTACAAACCAAGGCGCCTTAGTTAGGTACCAGTTTGTTATGCATTTAGGCGATCGCCATAAGCTAAACTCAAGCTAATGTGGAGCTCACTCCTGCAGAATGTCCCGCCATATATTCATGTAACAGGGTATCCCGTTTGCCAACCCCGCCTCTATACAGAGTCCTCCACCGGAACCTACTTTATACCTACTTTATACCTACTTTATGTAGTATCAGGAGGTTATTGTGATTACTTTGTAAATCAGAAGCTGGAGAGATCCATCTATTTCTCTCATATAAAGCAAAGTAGTTAGGCAAATTTGTTATCATAAAAACAGCATACAATGGCGCCTCGCACAGAGCAAGTCTTCTCTACTCAGAAACATGATCACAGGCACAAAAGCTAACACACACCTCCCTACTACAGCTTCCCGCCTGTAAGAGCATGTCTTTTCGACATGGACGGGTTACTTCTTGACACAGAGGATCTCTACACACTCTGCATAAACCTGGTGCTCGAGAAGTACGGCCGTGCCTCGCTTCCCTGGTCTATCAAGGCTAAGCTGCAAGGTCGGCCTGCGCCGGAAGCGAATGCTCTGTTCCATGACTGGGCTAAGCTTCCCATATCTGAGGCTCAGTACCTTACCGAGTTCTCCGCCTTACAGCAGCAGCACTTCCCAACCGCGAAGCCATTGCCCGGCGTGGAGAAGCTGCTGGGTGACTTGGGAAGAACGCGGTGGTGGGACCTGAAGGACGAGGCCGGCGCAAAGAACGCGGAGAAGGGAGGGAGTCACGGCAATAAGCCACAGAGAGTCCACATTGCGTTGGCGACAAGCAGCACGCGCACCAATTTCACTGTCAAGACCTCAAGATGGATCGAACTGTTCTCCGTATTTGAATCGCATCGAAGGGTCTTAGGTGACGACAGCCGCATCCAACCTGGCCGTGGCAAGCCCCTCCCGGATATATACTTACTTGCATTAAAAACTATCAACGATAGTCTCGAGGAGGGTGAGAAGCCAATTACACCCGAAGAGTGTTTGGTCTTCGAAGACAGCGTCCCTGGGGTTGAGGCTGGACGACGTGCAGGCATGAGGGTAATTTGGTGTCCTCACCCGATGCTGAAGAAAGAGTACGAGGGCAAAGAACCAGAGATCCTTGCTGGACGTATGGGCGAGGCTGGTGAAATCGATGAGCACCAACTAGGAGAGCTCCACGATGGATGGGCCGATTATTTACTCAGTTTGACAGATTTCCCATACGAGAAATATGGAATAATAGTTCCGCCTGCCGAGGCAGAATTAGACATCGCCATGAAGGAGAATACTGGCGAACTTGTTACTCAGGATGTCAAAAGCTCGGCTTAATAGACGTTGAAAGATTCCATGAGAGAGTATTGTTATGAGTGTATAGTCTCATCAGTCATAACTCTTACATCTTCCCTGGTCATCGGTTACCGGCTACACAAGGGATAAACTACCTAGATACTCTAGACCTAGATTAGATTATTTCGTAGATTCTGTATTGAAAGCTTTGAGAATATATAACTCACCTCATTGGTAATTACCTAGGTACCTACTTGGTAGGTAGGTACTGGGCAGGTTCATTGCTGGTATCAATGGATGCGTACCTGGCCTAGGTAGATTAGGTATAGGGTTATGGCTTTCTCGAAGAAATTAGCACTTAATAAATATCCCATAAACTAATCTTCCCGTCTTTGCTACCCGCAGCTAACCAGTGAGCTTCCCTCGCCATGTTAATCCGACGATCTTTTACGCTGAGCTGCCCCGGCTTAGGCAACGCTGTTAGAGTAGTACCTTCATTATCTATGTTGCCTGTAGTAGCCGCTCCATCTTTGGATTTGTTGCGGTGTGTATTCGGTGTCACAAGATTCGACGACTGTTTATCAGCCAATGTAGCAAAGGCAGTCGCGTAACAGCCAACTTCGTGCCACTTTAACACTGCCAACTCTGTCATGGTCTTGATGGAGTAGACCCGCACTTTTGAATCCCACCCTGCTGTTGCGAAGATCTTACCATCGGATCTGATGCGCAACCCTTGCTGCCCCGAATGTTTGGTATTGATGGTCTTCAGGGGTTGCGTTTCGATAATCAGGTTCGACTGCCGTGGGGGTATGGGTATGGGTATGGCAGGGCTTGACTCTGGAGAAATAGCAGCGGAGGACAACGATGAATTAGCGGCTTCCGTATTTTTCCTGTTGGCTTGTCTTGACTGCTGTGATTCCCGAGCGAGGGGGCATGGGGGAGGAATTGGATGCTTTGCAATGATAGCATCAGCACCAGAGGTCAAGAAAAAGTCTTTTTGCGGTGCCACATCGAGTGAGAGCACCGGTTGGCTGTGCACTTGTGCTCTATATAATATGTCCCACGTTTCATTTTCTCCGAGTCGTGCCACTATTGCAAGACCGGATTCGTAGGCGGCCGCCAGAGTCAAATGCTCACCGCACAAAAATAAGCTCAACGACATGACCATACCCTTCTGCTCTGTTTTACTTCCGAGATGAATTGTGTACCGGCGGTCTTGACTTGGAAGGTGGAAAATATCAATCTGTGCAGCGCGTAAGCAGAGATTCACCGCACATTCATGGTCATATTCATGTTTATATGTGATATAAACTTACAGCTTCGGTTTCAAGTGTATTGGGAACTGCGATGAGGAGCTCGTCAAGAGAATTATCGGATCTGATGGCGCAAGACGCAAAAGAGCAGAAGTTCATAGTATTCACTTCCAGTATATGCAAAATCCAGGGCCGAGTTCGCTCAGGCGCGGATTCATCGAGAGGAAGAGCAGTGCTCATCGCACTCTCATCCTCAAGGGCCAGCTTCCATACAACTAGACGGTTGTCTCTACCATGTCTGAGATATGACTCTCAGCCGTCTGACAGCCAATTACGAAAAGAGGACACGGGAAAGATGTTGTGAGATGAGACTAAACCTACGTGATAATTCGATTGTCCCCCCAGTCAGCAACGGTGAGGATAGCATTGGTGTGGGCGCGCCAAACGGCTCGCGGACGCATGATAGTCAGATCCCATATCACCACGAAGCCATCCGCATCACCGGTTGCTAGTCTGTGGTTGCTCCTGATAAATGCAGTAGCATGTACTTGTGTGCGATGACCTCGAAGAACCGACTTGGGCTTTGCAGGCTCTGCAGACTGATGCTGAGACATGGCCCCTAAAACCAGAGATGGAGTTCTATGCCTGTTCTAAGATGAGAGTTTCTATTTGCCTTGGATAAGTGATATTATATAATTGGTATGTGTCGGATTGCCTTTGGCTTTGGGATTCTTTTGAGGAAGATGCATTTGAAGAAATGATTTATGTTCTTCTTGATGTATCAGTATTATGGATATACATCCATAAAGTAGCTTGTACTCATTTAATGATCCGATGTCAAGTGTTTATTCGTTAAAAGTTGCCATGTAAAGATTTAGAGTTTGGTGTTGCAGCTCATATGGTGAGAAGAAGTCGGATAATTTAATAACCAAATGGGTCCTGTTCTGCCTTACGGTAATCTATCCCCGGTTAACTGCATCCACTGTATATCCCATTATCCATCATGCGATATTAGTTTGTTCAACATTTATTATTTCTAAACTCTACCATTAGCTACCTTAACTTAGCATTTACTACTGCTACTGATGTAAACACATGTATGCAGGTAGTTAGTACATTCTGAATAGCTTCAATTTTCATGAACTTCCAAGTTACTCCTATTGAGCCTCATTACCGAATACTCCCCCGAGGCATTGCTCGGATCGCCAACCCCACAACATACCATCCATGATGTGCTTGGACTAAAAGTCAGGGGTCTCGCCTCGCCGCCGAGACCCGCGCGAGTTGACAGTTGAAACGAACAACCCTCCCCAATCAAACACCCAGTCAACGAGTTACCACAAGCTGGACGAGATCATCGAGATGGGTGGCCCTTGACGCCACTTAATTTTAGAATATCCATTGTCCCGACTCTCAAGTTTGTTTCCTCTAAATTCTAGAATTGGTTTCGGAGCATATTCTTTGCTTGAATTAGTAGGGCTTAGAAGTTTGGATGGATGGCAGCATCAAGACGATGAAACAGTATCAAAGCTTCACAGCCACGCGGAAGTGGAATGGGATGTCAACATTTTGTAGGAAGTTAGATTTTTAAGGGAACCTTGGTAATCAGTACTGAGGTTCATCAATCTGTGCTTCAAGTGAGGCATCTGGTAATTCTTCAAAATTTCCATACCTACCTAGGTTAGATACCTACCTACCTACCTCTAATTTTAGAATCTTGCGTGTTTGTTGCATCACTTCGACATTTAACCAACTCCCTCACTCAACTCATAGAAGCCATTCTGAACATTTACAACTGCATAGGGGTTTGATTGATGCAGCTTATCATTTCGTGTTTCTCGTTTGGATTGATTTGGGTTGGATTGGATTACGCTCGGAGCCCCTTGTTCTTCTCGGCACCTCCTAACAACGTGCAGTCTCCTGGAAGCAACTTAAGCCGAAGCAGTTCTCTAACAAGAGATACTCGTCACGGAGAGCGGGATGTTACCATGATGCTGGGGCGGTGGAGACCTGCTTGACATTCAAAAAAGTACAAATCGTGGGTAACAATTCATATCGGCTGACGTGGTTGGTTCCCTTACTGATTACCCCTGCTCCTCTCCGAGGCTCTCCCCCAGTCGGATCTGCATCTAGGTAGCTACTCTAGTACTTTGTACCTTAATATGGCCTTATTAATATGGTCTGTCACTTTTAACAAGGTTCAAGGAAAGTTCAAGGAAAGTTCAAAGAAAGGGAAACATGACAAGGGGTTATGTTTTAAATGTTTTAAGTATTGAAGAGAATCTGACACTAAGAAGCTACCCCTGTAAATAATCTATTCTAAATTGATCGCTGATCAGCAACAAAACGAAGCCTTTAATGTTTTCTCTACCACATACGAAGTAGTACTGACAATTGTTCTCGAAAAATGAACGAGTCGTCCATGTACCATACCCAGGCAGTAAAGACCAAATTGGAATAATATCTCCGAAGGAAACGTGAGCCACTGCCGTCATCTAGTCGAATAGCTGGGTACTTGACCGTACTATCCCAGGTATGTATGTTTCTTGTCCTTTTCCTTTTCTGTCGCACACGCTAAGAAAGAAGAAGAAGAAGAAGGAGAAGAAGTCCCATGAGAACCCGGAGCTGAGCAACTTTCGCTGGTATCTTAGATATCTTGCCCTATCCACGGTCATTGTCATCATCTCACCTACAACCTCGTATCTATATTATAACTATACTTGTTTGAAGTGGACGTTGCTTTTTATCATTAAGCCACCTCTTGTTAAACTTCCATGGTTATAATACCTGGGAAGTCCGTATATAATTCTCGACCAAGCTCTCTCGACTTCATACAACGTTAAAACTAATAATTCCCGTTTGAACTTTACTCATCTTGCCTCCTTACCTTACAAACTTGGGGAGATATCAATCTAATCTTAATTTCAACGATTCGGCAAGACAGACCAGACCGTCTGTAAGAAAAGAGGAAGAGAAACGAGAAACGAGAAACGAAAAACGAAAAACAGGAAAAGGAAAAGGGTTTAACTTGACATTCTGTTTCTCTGTTTCCAAATCTTAATTCCAACACCACGCGCAACGTACAACGTATAACGCACAACGCATAACGCACGCCACAGCCTCGCTTAATCGAAAGCTTCCAATCAGTTGGTTTCGTCTGAATCAGAGCCCGAGACATTTGGTGCATCTCTCGAGATCCTGTACCTGAGCCTAATTCCGTGGAGTAAGCGGCCGCCCGCATACAGCAGGTTCGTCCGGGGATACTCGAGTCGTTCAAAGGCTAAAGGCTTCTTCCCGTCTATCTTCCATTATAGTATCCTATCATCGACAATACTTGCCTAATAGATTTATGGCTAGCCGTTATTGAATCTTGAATCTCAAACGAAAATTAACGGAAATACCGACAGGATTGGACAGAATAGGGATCTGTTTCCCCAGGTTTGTTAGTTTGCAAAGATATTTTCCGACCATTTCCTCCGTCTCGGGTGTCCACACCCAAACCGAAGCTTCCAAAGGGAATCCTGCTTTAATTATTAACCAATTTTTCGCTCAAATCGCCTCGTATAGACGGAGGCTTATCCATCGTAGTCCTGGCGGCATCGTACGCCGCCCCGTCGAACGTCTTCGTAGCGGGTCACCCACTCGGCGCGCGTGCGCCATTGACGCACCACTATGCCGAACAGTCTTCATCGCCGTACACCGTCAACAACGGCTTCTCGAACGATCAATATTTCTCGTCCTCCAAGCGTAGGGGGCTACCCGATTCTATTTCTCCTATCACTAAGAAGCAAGCTCCTGCCACTTCCAGGACAGCGGTCGATATGACTTCTTCGGACATAGTACCCACCAAGAGTAGGAGAGTAAGGACAGGTTGTTTGACCTGTAGAGAAAGGCATCTCAAATGCGATGAAGGGACCCCTGATTGCTCAAATTGCCGTAAGAGCAATAGGGAGTGTAAACGAGGTGTGCGACTTAATTTTATCGACATGACTTGCAAGGAACCTCCCTATATACCACCAACCGATGAGTGGGCTGGTATGTGAACCAACCCCTTCGTGAGGGATTAGTACAATAAACCGCAAGCTGACACCAACTATAGTACATTTTCGAGATGAGTCGCGTTTGATAGCCTCAGAATATCAGGGAGGGTTGGGAAGATACGCCAATTGCAGGAGTCAAGCTGCTAGTGTGGCACAAGAATCCCATCTTGTTGCTATTTCTCGACCAGAATCGCGAACGATTGAAAATATCGACACAGCCCCTAGAACTGATAACAGATCTGCGTCGATGATGCCAACACCGCAATCGATTTACTATAGCGACCGAGAACAGACACGCCATGATCTTATGGTTGGTGCACATTTGCATTCGCGTAGAAGCAGCGATGCTTCTTTCCTAGCGCCTCTGGGCTCTGGACAGTCAGCTGGATATAATAGTATGGTGTCAGATGCATTCAATTCCATGAAGGACAATGGTAGTCGTGCCCCATCTCATAATGGCTACAGAAGCAGTGATGTATCGGCGGCAAACTCTGTGGCGGGCTTCACTGGTGTTGGTCCACCGTCAACTTTCCGGGGTGGCTCAGGAGATAGCAGTGCAGAACCAGATATGGAAACAGGCGTGATGACCCCCTCAAGCGAGAAATCGGGAGAACGAGAGTACCTCAACTCACCCGAGGAACTCCGATTTATGCAGGTTTATGTTTCGGAGGTAGGCGTGTGGATGGACAGTCTGGACAAGGACAAGCACTTTTCACGGATGATCCCCTATCATGCGCTCAAGTGTCCCATGCTTCTAAATGCGCTTCTTGCGTGTGGAGTGAAACATCTCACTCTTACACAGCAATACAGCGATGATAAGGCACTCTTTTACTACGACACAGCAACAACGCAGCTTCTGCGCAGCCTGCAGAATCCAGAGCGCAATACAGCCGAATGTGCAACTACTGCCGTGGTGCTCAATGTATATGAGATTATGAGCGAGAAACCGACGCAGCGCATGAGCCACATCGCGGGGGCGCGAGCTCTCATTCGGGAATGTGGATGGAACGCCAAAAGTAAAGGACTAGGCGCGGCCTGTTTTTGGCTCAATGTAGGCATGGAGCTTCTCTCATGTCTGGCTTTCAACTGGCAAACGGCATGGGAACCAGATCAATGGGGCCTTAATATGGACTTCAGCACGGAAAACGACACGGGTAACGAGGAAATTTGGGTCCACCGCATCTTTTACATCGTGGCCAAGATCGCCAATTTCCGCGCCAGCATCCCCAAGTTTCAGGAGCCTAGCCCCCACGACGAACAGGTACGATTACAAGCTAGATATGCCGAGTGGCATCGCCTGAAGAACATGTGTGATAGCTGGAATAACTCGTGTCCTCGTCCTATGCACCCCTTTGGTTACTTGTATCCTTCGCAGCAGACCGGTGCTGATAAGTCGTTGTTCCCTAATGTTTGGTACGTGATTAAAACCCCAGCTGCGTCTTTCTCATCAGACTAACAAATTCCCAGGCTCATCAAACGTGCTGCCATTGTTGGCCGACTCTACTACCACACGGCTGAATGCCTACTTGCACAGATCAACCCAATCCTTCCGAAAGATTCTGAGGAGGCTCGCGGAGTCCAACAACACCATGCTCATCAAGTCTGCGGTATTGTAGCGCACACCGAGGACCGTGGCGTCGCCAGTGTCTCGATTCGCTCACTAGCTATTGTAGCCGAAATCCTAACCGATCTTGCTGAACAGCAGGAGGTGGTTGCAACGCTTGAAAAAATAGACCGAGAGACAGGCTGGAAACTGGCAGGTGTAATACAGAACCTCAAGAAAGTCTGGGGGTGGGAACAGATGGGACAAAAAGGGCTTGGAGTACAGTTCTTCCCTCGTTCTGGTAACGGTAACAAGATGATGATGGGACTACCAAAGCAACAACAGCATCAAATGGAGTCTATACAGACTAGGCAAATGACTACACCCCCGCAACAACAGATGATGCCCATCGTCACGCAATCAGCACCACCACAGCAATTAGCAGCACCTCGGCCAATACACGTCAACCCACTGAGTTTTGCTGATTTTAGTCTTCCAAACCATCCATACCAAAATTGGTATGAACCGCCTAGTCGGTCAAATGCCTATAATTCCCCCAACCTGCTTTGAGAATGCCTTCTGAGAGATGAGAACATGACAGAGCTTCGGGGTTGTACATACATGTTTGGGGGTCGGAAAGGTTTTTTTTTTTGAAATGATACCATGTTTACAGGTTGGGTTGTTTATTGATACCTCCAGAGGCGGCATATTTGGCGTTTGGTTTTATGTTTTATTTTTCGGTTTCATTCTGCTCGGACATATATACATCTACTCGCCTTGTCGAGTACGAATTTCTGTGTGTTTGCGTATAGAACGGATCATGTCGGGGTCTGGAAGCTTGGCATCGGCGATGCTTGCTTCGTGAGGGACTGGCTGTGTTAGTCAGGATGAACGGGGTTCAGCCGATAGGGAAATGTTTGGGCGATACCGTTCTACAGTGCGTTAGTCATGGGCAGTGGCTGTAAAAATAATCCGGAACAAAAATTCCATTTATATAGGTTACGGGGTTTGCTCGTTTTAAGCAAGGAAACAAGGAACTAAGTGTCATATGTGTCTCCTTGTTGCATGACCAATACTACTTTATACCTCCCAATGTTTGATATAAAATGCCCATGATTGTGAGATAACACATAAGAGTACCACGCCATCGTCGTCCGCTACCGGTACGTGTTGTAGAACGGTCTAAGGCCAAGACCCCTAGAAACGCTCCTAGGAAATCCAGATACGTAGCAATGGAAAGGTGATATTGACGCTCTTGGCACCAGTCCATTGCTCTTCTCTGCCGCCGGCAACCCTCCCATATGTTCTAGCTCACTCTGTGCTTTCATGCATACCTACCTAGGTACGAATGGAGACTAAGATAGATCATAGATGTATGTCGAGGGCTGTTCTATTGCCTGCTACATGCCTAAATATTTGTCTGTGCGGGTTCGAAAGGGATTGGCGGCGACTCCCGGGTTATTACCCCCTTTTTTTTTTTTCTTCGAGAAGTGGTCTGTTAAAATTTAGAAGATGCCATCATGTATGAAGAGTGCTACGAATCCGTGGTTTTTAATTCATAGGGCTCGTGAACTAATACTAATACACAAAGAATGCACACCCGAACCAAGACCAATGATTACATTCATGAGATAGACACTGCGGGTATCTACTTACATAAGCCCCGAATGGTTTGTTGTGAGTGACATGAGATATATATCTACTAGGCTGGGCACCTTTAAAATGCTTTAGCATTCGTATCACCTGTCAATGCCGACACTATTCGTAACATCCTTGAACTCGCCCAAAGCATGCCCAAGGTACTCCTGTGCCCCTTTTACCCGAGCCGTCATGTCGGATCCCAGGGGAAGTAAGCGCTCGGCCTCCCGTCCAGCTCCAATCCCCTCTCCCAGCACCATCTCATAAACAACCTTCATGGCCTTGTCCTTGTCACTCATTACGAACGCCGGGCCGGGCATGCTACCGCCAGTCAGAAACTGGATCATCTTATCCGAAGCCGAGCCCCGGTAGTCGTCTGGAAGGGGCACTTTTCCCACGGCCGTAGCGCTGGGCATGTTGGTGTTGAACGCGCCCAGGACGACGGTCAGGACGCGGATGTTGAACGGCGCCACCTCCTTCGCTAGCACGCGGGTAATACCTGGGCATGTGTCAGATTAAATCAAATCAAATCAAATCAACGTCAAAAACCAAAAATAGAAAAGAAGTTGGCAGATCACAAAAGGACAGACAAACAAACTGGAACCTCCTTACCGTCTAATCCAGCCTTAGCCCCTGCATAAGCGCCCATCGCATCCCTCCCGTCGAGCGCCGCGCCGCTGCTGAAGTTGACAACGACCCCGTACCGGCGGCGGCGCATGTGCGGCAGCACCGCGCGCACCAGCCGCAGCGGCCCAAAGTACATCGACTCCATGTGCGCGCGCACCTCGTCCTCGGACGCCGTCTCGACGGGCGCCAGCACGGAGAAACCCGCGTTGTTGACGAGCACGTCGATCTCGATGCCGTCTTCTTTCTCGAGCCTCTCGACAATATCCGAGCTGGCCCTGTCGTCGACGTCGAGCTGGATCCACCTGCTCTTGTTTTGGTGATGGTGGGGGTAGTTCTCGACTTCGGAGACGAGGAGGGGGGTTGAGGAAGGGTTCCGGGAGGTGGCGATCACGGTGTGCCCCTGGGATAGGGCGAGGCGGGCGAGGGAGAGCCCGAGGCCGGAGGAGCAGCCGGTTATTAGCCAGGTTAGCTGGGTTTTGGGTTTTGTGAAGGGTGGGGTGGACATTGTAAGGGTAGTTGATGGTTATGTATAACTGGAAGGCTTTCTTCTACTGTGTGGGAATGGCCTGTTGGGAAATAGGGGGGAAAGGGGGGCTTTTATATATGCTGGTAGATGACATGATAGCGGTGTTAATGAAGTATAACACCGCGAAGCTATAGCTTGAATAAGGGAATATTTATCTCGTGAAGATGGGGATAATCACTCTAATGCTGAATATGGTGTTATTCAAGCTTGAATACCTAGTACTATAGGGTATAGTCTCCGGGTTAAGAAAGTCCCAAACCAACTCCAATGGGTACCTACCTAATCCTCAGCCCTGAAGATAGAAAAGAAACAGAAAACTAGTATAAGCTGACACCAGCTTAGACAAAGTGATGCCACTCAAGCACCAAGTTAGATACAAGTTAGATGTAATCAAGTTTATATCAACGGGCCTAGGACTTTATTTCCGTCTAACTCCTTGATTCATGTAAAACTACCTGGTCCTGGTGTACTCCGGTATTCAATGATGAATGATGTTGTTTCTTTGGTACAAAGGTCTTTATTGGCCTTGAACAATGCTACCAGGGGTTGGAATTGACCATTAAGTGAAGAATGTTTGGTATTTAAGCATCGAATCAGCATCGAATGATCAGTAGTGCGAAAGTTGAGATCAGTGAATAAATACTAACCTAGGTAACTACTGGGTAATTAGCACTCAAAGGTACAAATATCCATAAGGCTTATCAGGATTGGATAGTGACGTCGCGCTGATAAGCTTTGACCCTGAATAACTACTACTAGTAGTAACACGCCTTATTGAACGCTTTTAAGGTTCAGAACCGCTTTCATTGAAAGGTTAATTGTTGCCTGCGGTTTGCAACTCCACTGGCAGCCTGCACATGCATTCCTGAGTCTGCATTTGTATGGTCAACCTACTGTACCACCTAGGTATCTAATCTAACCTGCCCAATACTATGTAGATACTCCCCGTCCACCGACAATCAACCCCGATATCGACAGCATTCTTGGATAATTTCACCTATAATATCACCTTCAAATAGATACTGGTGATCTATCTCTAATTATACCATATCATCATGAGCGAACTTCTTAATTACCTGGTGGACAATGACGAGAACTTTAGAAGGTACATATATAGATATAGAAGTGTATATCAATTCCCCTCCAGACTGACCATCCGCTAACCTAGATGATTCCAATAGAGCTCGTCTTCCAGCCCTGTACTCCGACTTCCGTTCCCAACGAACCTTGAACCCCGATGGCTTCGCTGCTAATGTCGCCGCATGGAAGCGGGCACTAGCCTCGGCCGCCCTAGCCGGCTACGTACCCTCCAAATCACCCACACGAAGCCATCTGACTCTCGACCTCGACGGCGATGCCTTCCTACGTTCACTCGAGACCAAACAGTTCGGACGCCCGCTAGCGCTGGGTACGGTGCTTCAGGAGGCCCTCGCAAATGGGGAGTTGATGCCATTGCAGCAGTTCCTGAAGTCTAAGGAGAGCATATACTATCACTCATGGGGCAGTATCCCGTGGGCTGTGATGTCGTGGGGGCTGAAGCAAGTGGGAATAGGTGGTCCTAGTGATAATCTACCTAAGGGCCAGTTCGTGGTGTTGCAAAATCTAGAACACGCCGCCAAGTCATTCAGCGAGGCCACCGCAGACCGTACGTCGCCCTTCGAGCGGACCTTTTCGAATACCCATTTCCAGCGAACCTTCGCCGAGGGCATACTCGACAAGAACGGGCGCCTCTCCGAGACGGATCTCAATGTATTAGTGACGTTCTTGTCGCGGGACAAGCAAGTGCTGGCCACGGATGGGAACACTATCAAGATCCGAACTTCCCAAGGCGAAGACGGAGTTATTACGGAGGAAGACTCGGCGATTGCCTCTCTGAAGGAACTTATGGAAGACCTGACACACCAAACCGAAGTTTTGAGCCGGCGTGTGGACGAACTGAACCTCGCTGCGCAAGATGCCGTGCGTCGCAAGAACCGCGTCGCCGCGCTGGCAGCCCTCAAATCCAAGAAGCTGGCCGAGACCAACCTATCCCGACGCCACGCCACCCTCAATCAACTCGAAGATGTAGCGGCTAAGATCGAGCAGGCCGCCGATAATGTGCAGCTAGTGAAGGTGATGCAGTCCAGCACGACCGCGCTCCGCAACCTGAACGCCCAGGTCGGCGGCGCCGACAAAGTCGACGAGGTGCTGGAGAACCTGCGCGAGCAGATGGGCGAGGTGGACGAGGTCGGCAACATCATCGCCGAGGCCGGGCCGGGCGCCACGATCGACGAGGACGAGGTCGACGAGGAGCTCGAGGCCATGCTGGCGGATGAGCGGAAGAAGGAGGACGAGGCACAGCAGGAGAAGGATGCGGAGGAGACGAGACGCAAGCTGGCGGAGCTGGAGAAGTTGGGCGCTTTGCCGGTGCCGGGAGACGAGGGGAAGCAGAAGGATACGAGACCACTTACGCCGGTCACGGCTACGGCTAATGAGCTGGGGGGGATGAACATAGGCGCGTAGGGACATAGGGTAAATACCAAAATCACATAACTTGACAGAAACAGGCACAAACACAGACACAGACACAGAGTAAGAGAGACAGAGAATGAGGTCAGAGCAAATAGCTGAGTAAATATATATTGGCGGCAATATAATAGATCGTTCTTATTTTTCCTTTTTTCCTTTTTCCTTTTTCCTTTTTCCTTTTTTCCTTTTTTTTTCTTGTTCTTGTTCTTGGTTCTTGGATCTTGGATCATGGAGCAACTACATACATACATACATTAGGTAGGTATGTAAGCCGCAAGCAACCTTACGTCGTAGAGCAAAGCCAGCCCATCCACCCACCCTTTTTTCTCTTCATCTTGCTATAACATCACCGCTTTCCCTGGTGATGGTACCTCTATATTATTATGTTCTTTCCTTCTTTCGTCCTCGGCATCATCCGTCAGATCCACCACCTCAGTGGTAGCCTGCATTACTGGGGTGTTGTTTATTATTGTTGACTCCTGCGGCTCCGGCTCCGGCTCCGGCTCCAACTCCTCCTCTGGGGCTTCTAGCGAAGCTAGCATTTGGGTATCTGCTTGGGGGACGGGGTCGGCGTCTCGAAGCTGTTGTTGTTGTTGTTGTGGTTGGCCCGTGTTTTCGTTTCTGCTGTCGCTATCGCTGTTACTGGTGTTGGTGCTGGTGCTCCGCTGCGCCAGGGCCCTGCCTTGCTGCGCGCTGTTTATGAGGTCCTTGAACGAGAGGGTGTGCTTGGCGGCCCACGCCTTGCCGTCGAAGTCTTTGTCCTTGATCAGCGCGCCGGCGCTGAGGGCCCTCGAGGATGTTGGCGCGCGAGTCCCCACCGTGCGTTCCCATATGTCTAGGTCTTGGAGGAGCTCGGCTTTACGCCGCGGTTGGAGCGAGTCGCAGTTCGCGTTCCAGATCGTGGTCCATTCCTTGTGTCGCTTCTCGAGCATTTGCCGGCTACCTCCTGTCGGGATGCCTAGCTCCACCAGTTTCTTTCGCAGCAGCTGCTCCCTGAGCATCGAGTAGTTTATGGCTGGTAGGCGCTCGAGGGTCTTGGTGGACGCTTTGGTAGGTGAGGATATTAGAATGGTGTTTGTAGACCCCGAGTCTCGTTTGGGTGATTGTGGCGGGAGACCGTCTAAGCACGATGAGTCGATGTGCTTGTTGATTTGTAGTGGTGGTATGCGCTTCCAACAAATAGGGCACTCAACAAGTCCATCGTCAAACTCGCAATCTGCTTGGCCTTGGTAGGGTATGTCGGCTTCCAGCCTTGCCATTTCGGTGGTCATCTCCATGCCTCTCGACTTACTTATCCTAGTAGAAGACCGCAATCGCTTACCTAGCGATTGGCTTGCTGGCTCCTCATCTTCTGTCTCTACCAGTTTCCTTTTTGTAGTGTCGGGTGCTGTGTCTTGTGATCTCTTGGCGACAAGCAGGATGTCTGGACGGGACCTTGTAAATGTGGTAACAACCTCCTCCATGGACCAATTACTACGCAGCTTCATTTCTTGCTCGGGTGTTCGACATAATGGGCATTTCCCGTCATTCGACAGAGCGCGTCGAATACAAAGTGAGCAGAATGTGTGGCTACAGGAGGTTAACATAGGCGTCTTGTAGAAGTCTTTGCAGACCTGACACCGAAGTGCAGCCTCTACATTGGCGAGACTGGGTATTGATGTAGGTAGCCAATCTGTCGAGTCGGCGACATCCTCAAAAGGTTCAAGGGTAGGTGTTTGGTCCATTGGGGCAGGAAAGCAATTCGAAAAAGTCGGGTAGTTTAAAGATGCCGCTGGTTATTAGGTATTAAATCTCTGAAGCATTGGGTAGTCGGTTGAGTACGATTCTTAAACACTGTCGACTACAAACAAATAAAGAACAAGTTGAAGTTCTGGTATGTATCAAGTACGCTAGCAATTACTAGGTAGGTACTGTCTGCCCAGTGTTGTATGTGTTACTCAGTGCTGTATGTCACTGGTGTTCAATGTTGTAGAAAATGGAATTGAAACACAAAAGTCCCGAGTTGAAAGAAATTAGGTAGAGATGAGATCATGTTCCCTTATTAGGACCCTTGGATGGAACGACGCGCTTGGTACCTATCTTAAAAAAAAAAAAAGACGAACCCCTGTAACTAGCCGCACCCAACTACTAAAATAAAGTTATTAGCCCCACCACTTAACGCGTCGTTCTTTCTGAGACGCGACCACGAAATACCTACTTTAACAGGGGGCCTTTTTTTTTTAATTCATTTCTCCCCATCTTCACATTTTATAGCTTTCTTCATATCCTCGCTGTCGCAAACGAACGATTTCATGTCCTTACAAATACGTAATAATTTGCGTGCGTGCCTGTGAAATAATAGGGGGCAAGGGGCATCTTCTATCATCCATCCGTTCATCTGAGTAACCACCCCTCCGTTTCTCTGGGCAACATACGCGAAACCTATCAAAATGGAGGATTATAAGCAATATCTAGCCCAGAAGATTCTCACTGAAGATCAACTTGTGACTTATCGCCTTCTGAGCCGAGCCTTAAAGATCCATGTCAATACTGCCAAGGAGTACGACTCACCACCCAACGACATTGAACAGAGCTGACCGTTTCCTAGGATGCTATATGAATTCCATACATGGCAGAATGATAAACGGCCGGGGTCACTGCATGCTACTTACCTAGTATACGGTACTAAGAAAGCCGTAGAAAAGTCCAATGGGCAAGATGGTGACGTTGAAATGACCGATTCTCAACATTCAGAAGATATTCAGGTCCCCTTTTCGGATGAAGTCCCTACTTTCACACTCTCTTTGGTCAGAGAAGAGCAGCTACAAGGTTAGTAAGAAGTTCATGATGTGCACAAATCGACTATACTAATTGATAGTAGACACATTAGCAGAATATGACGAAGTCACATCAATACACGTCTATAGTTTGGCCCCGCATCCGCTTAAAGACCTCCAGCTCTTAGCCGACACAGCTCGACAGGTTCTGGAACTATCATCAACGAGCAATGCGCCCGCCTCGGGCAAAGAATTCGGATCAATAGTCAATCCCAATGTCCGCAGAAGAGAGCGCCGTGGACCAGCTCCGAATGTGGCCGCTAGTGCACCTGTCCCTCAAGTCGCATCGAAATCCGCGACCAGCCAGGAGACAAAACCAGCTCCTATAAAGGAAGAGTCGAAAGCAGTCCCACAGGCTAGCTCGAAGAGTTCAACGTCAGCGGCAGCTAAAAAATCAGCGCCGACCACCTCATTGAAGCGGCAGAGTTCTTCGGGCATTGGTCAGATGTTTGCCAAGGCTGCGGCCAATCCCAAGAAACCTGCTGCCAAACCCATAGTGTCGAAAGCATCTTCTGCTGTAACTACCCCCGCCGAGGAAGTCCAGGAAATGGTCTTGTCAGATGACGGAGAAGACGACACAGATCCGATACCAGAACCCAAAAATGAAGAAAGCGGCAGCACCAGGCAGTCGAGAAAGGATCGGCAAGCCGAACTCCGCCGCATGATGGAAGAGAGCGACGAAGAAGAGCCTGGCAAGCCTGATAGCCCAGTTGAAGAACCCATAGAAGAGGAGGAGTCTCAGCCTGAACCGGAATCGAAGGCAGAAGAGCCTGCAGAGATAGTATCTAGCGCCGCCAACGGTAGACGAAGAGGAAGACGACGGGTCACTCGCAAGAAGCAGGTCATGGATGATAAAGGTTATCTAGTGACGATCCAAGAACAAGCCTGGGAGTCGTTTTCAGAAGAGGAAGCACCTCCTCCCTCTAAACCGAAGCCCGTGATGGCCAAGGTGGAACCTGCTACGAAACCGAAAAAGGGGGCAGCAAAGGGCCAGGGGAATATCATGTCTTTCTTCGGGAAGAAGTGAAGACACTACTTACTGTATGCTTTGAAATGACTATGTAAGTGGGTTAGGCACATGATCGTCATGATATATTCACGTCATGGGTAATTTTTTACATAAATATGTATGCCTACCACCAACGAGGAGTATTGGGAACAGATAGTAAGTGGCCGTGCACATGGAAAATCTAAAAGGCTCACTTGCTTAAATGCTGTAATGCATCATGTTGGCTGCATTCGTTTCACATCTATGTGGATGCCTACTAAGGTCCACGTGGAATTATTGCCAAATTACGTGTTGAACTTGAACCAGCATCCTTATGAGTTACAGTAGGTATCTTACATCAGATCCCAGATAAATTAATGTCCACTTTTCGTAAGAGTTTTTGGGGGTAGAGAGCCATGTGCATACTAGGTTAGGTATGTAGGTTAGGTGTGTACGAAGGATAATACTCTTCAAAGAATAGATAGGTGTGAGACGACGGACTTCTCTGATCTGATAAGCCCCTGAAACACCAATCGGCTGGATCCTTACACGAGATTGATGATTTGGAATCCATAGACACTGGATATTAGAGCGACGGGATTATTGCCGAGATCTTACTGTAGCCCCGTCACGTCCTCGTTGCAGGCAGTGCAGCTGCCGCGTTCCGCGCACCATGTGAGAGTCACAGGTACATACATACCTCCTAATTTGCTTACAGCTTGCGCAAATGACGTTGATTGATCGAACAAGAAAAAGCTGCGTACCTGTCTACGTAGGTACGTATGTAGGTAGTAGCTCTTCGTACAGGGCTAATTCTAGGTCATGTAGCTACTATTTAGTGTTTACACTCCGGCTACCTACTACTACAATGTATAGCGAGGCCTTAGCTGGGCTTAGTATAACAGCCAGCCGGTTGTTATCTCCGTATCTCCGAGAGTACCTAGGTATGCAATACCTACACATAATCGCCGTACAGATCGGTTACCCGATTTCACCTCCGAAGGAATTGAGCGTCTGATATTATATAATAGGTAAAATGGCGCAACAGTTCGGCATTTCCATGGAACCGCGGAGGAGCGGAGGAATAGGCAAGCCGTCGGTTGGGGTTGATGGCAAGACCGGGGATTCGGACTCGGGCTCGGGACTGGGTGCCTAGGGTAACAGCCGCGGGACGAAAGGCAAAGAGGCACACATGTGCAGGGTTACGGTGAAGGAAGCTCGCGGGTCATTTTCGTCGCAGGAAGCGGCCCTGGAGGTGGGAGGGGAGGTTGGACCTCGTGAACGGTTTATGTTATCTAGGTATGTAGGTATGTATGTATTGTACACTACAGGCATCCGTCTAATCCAATGCAAAGCTGCAAACTGGAGCGGATACCTAGTATCGCTTATATTAGTTGCATTTTAAATGGCGACTTTTCGAACCTGCATAATTCGAAGAGAAATTGATGAAGCATCAAATTGTATCAGGACGATTGGTGCTCGATATACATAGTTACCAAGAGCCTAGGCAGGTAGGCAAATTGCGAAAGCCACTCTTCTTGTTCAATTGCCTCCGGATTATGCATTTCATTGTTGACTCATAGATGGCGACATTTGTCTCTGTTTATTCAGTGGGTTTTGGTCGCGGTTGATTCCAATTCCATGTGCCTACCTAACCTAGTATAGATTTCGGCATCTTCCATCTACTATGTATGCATGTGTGTAGTTGGGGGTCTATGGAAGGGAGAACCCTTTGGTCGCCACCGCTAAATTCTATATGCCGTCTCCCTTGGTCCCTGGAATAGGGAATCCGGGGAAATAAGCTCAAATAATCATGAGATTTCCCCTCCATGATAGCTTCAGTCCCAGCGATACATGTACGGGCATAACAATCGAAGCTGAGAGGCTAAGGTAAGCAGAGGGAGAGGAGCTGTAAGGTAAGATGATGTGCCCTGGAAGTTGTGCGGGCATGGGCATGCGTCCTTACGTGCGCTAAGGTACGAATCAAGCACCGACAGACTGGGATCGAAGATTCCGTATTCACCCACTAGCCAGGGCGATAGCGTTTTCTTGTTGGGGATCTTCGGCCAGGGCCAGGCGAATCAGAGCCCACCTCCACAGACCTAGGGCTTCTACGCGCATCCTAATCCTCCCGATCTCTTCTCTTGGCTAAGCCAAAAAAAAATCTCATCCGAAGGTGCCGCGTGACCACACCATCATTTTTTTTTATCCCGTTCGCCGTCCTGACCTATTCTCAGCTTGGTTACTGGTAGGTAGCCTGCAAGGACTTAGATAGGTGTAAGTAGTGTAATTATCAGCCTTCCAGGTCCTTTCCAGGCAATGACATGGCTTCGTCATGGAAGGTCCTGGAGGAGTAGTTGTGTAGTTGACTTTACTGTGTATACCTGGCCTTTTCTGAAGTGGGTGAATACGGGTTACGAGATAATTACATACTGCAATATGCCATCGTTGCCATGTATGACACAGTATGTACCTACCCAGGTATAGATGTAATTTTGTTACTTCATGTAGGCGTTTCCTATTCTCCTCTTTGCGATTGGGGGCGTTGTGCTTTGGGGTTACTTCGTGCGTGACCTGCCTATTTTTTTTTTGTTTCTTTTACTTTTTCGATTTGCAAACAAAAGTCAATATCAAATGTGTGCTTGCTGGCGGGGTTTGCATCTACATACTACATATGTACATTGGGAACACTGGACCTTTTAATCCGTGGGTAACATACGGCATAGTAAAACTCAATGTCACTCACAGTGCTGCTGTATGTACCAGGTAAAATAGAGGGCCTACCAAATAAAAAGAACACTAATTGACTTCCCGGATCCTTTCACTTAGGCCCGAGGGCTCCACTGACTTGATTGGAAATCCATTGAAATGTAACACAAAAATCCAAACTTGAACTACTCTGATTGTCAGCAGCAGGCAAGAGCCGACGACGGCGCGACGCAGCTACTTTGTGTACCTATGCAGCAACACTGCGACGTCAACCTGGAAGCAACTTGCGCTAGTAGTATAGGGCTAATGCACGTACTTAGTAGCACGCTGTGGGTCTTCCCTCTTTCTAGCTTCAGGGCTCTTTTTAGCATCCAATGCCATCCATAGAGGGTACATGTAGGTATGGATACTAGGTAGTTAGTATGTAGTTAGTAGTACTGTGGTAAAGAAGAGTCAACGACGTACTGCACATGGGGGGGTCCACTATCGTTGAAGCTTGAGCAATGACGATCCATCTAATTTTTTTTCTCTTAATTTTTATTCTATCCAATTCCCTGAAATCCAATATCACCCACCAAATCCCATCCACCCGCCATCCTAATCCTTTTGGCGATATTATTTTATTCTCTTCCAGATTTTATTTTTTTTCCTTTTCAACTTCTTCACCTTCACTCAATCATTTCAATCGCGCGTTTGTTTGACGGCTATAGCGCTGTCAAATGAACCTGCAACGTCCAATAATACCTTTTCTCCATGTAAGTCGCCGTCATTACTAGTCTATCTGCTATCTGGTCTTTCGCGTTTCCATGTCGACTCCAGATTTCCCCTCCCCTCTCTTTTTCTGTGTCCTCCAATCTGCGCTCGAGATGACATTTTGCCAAAACTGAATGAATCGCACGCGCATACTCTATATACTGAAATATATGATTTGGGGGGTTTTTTTTGAACTGAGCTTGGAGACTCTCTTCGAATTGGTACTGATTATATAATTTATTCTTTAGTCACCCTCCCCTCCTGGCGTCATCTAAATGCCCACCATCTACTCATCCTTGTACCAGAACTTCATCCGCCAAGGATTCACAAAATCTTTCACCCACGGCTACGCGCAATCTGTCGTAGCCGCCACCCATCCCCATGTTCTAAATTCGCAAAATCGCCCGTCGTTCGCGCGGCGTAACAGTCAGCGCGTTGGACGCCTTTCTAGTCTCCAGCTTCAGAATGCTTTCCATAACTCGGCGAATGCTCAACATGAGCTTCGCCATGACAAGAATACGAGCAATGGTAACTTGGATGCCTACTTCGAGGCATTGAAGAAGCAGCAGGACACTGGTGATGAAGTTGAACCGGAATGGACCCAATTCCAGTTCCCCAAGCCTATAGAATGGAGACCGAACGCGTCTTCTATTCTGGAAGGCCCCGAGTCCCAGGTCCAAGATGCCGAAGCCGCTGGCGCTGCCGAGTCGGCTGAAGCTAACCAAAATGGGGCAGATGAATTGCCAGTCCCCGTTGATGATGTGACAGCATTGGCGCATATCGATGCTGCCATTGAGAAGGAGATTGAAGTACGTGGTTTGCGGCAGGCTTTGGAGGAGAACACCGGACTCCTACTCAATGAGTTAACTCCATCCATTGTCAGCGGTATCCAGTCACGAGCTCGAACTCCTGTCTCTGAGAGGCCGGCGACGCCTGCGAGCATCAACCGTACCGTAACTCCGCCGGTTGATTCTCAATCCCAAAGTTATGCCGACCATCTTAGCAAGCTTTCTGAAGATGGTCGTTACGCTGAAATCCCTGCCGTTTTTGAGGCCATGCTGGTTGCTGACATCAAGCCCATCGCTGCAGCCTACAATGCTTTGCTGGTCGCTGCTATTCACGTCCCGATTGAGAAGATTGAGGTTGTGTCTAAGGCCTTGGATGTCTACGCCGACATGATGCGACGAAATATCCTGCCAGATAGCGATACATACAATATTCTTGTTGGTTTGTTGTCTGCTAGGTGCCTCGAAGTGTCTACTCTGAAGAAGAGTTTGGAGGATAAACGCCTTCGCTTCGGCGGGATGGATGAGCCTGGAAAGTTTATGTTCGCATCGAATGAGCTGGAACACGCCATTCTTTCTGAGGATGACAGGCTTGATCTTGCCATCAAGTTGTTCGAGACGTCTGTCTTGACGCGCAAGGCCAACTACTCCTCTGAAACCTACCACCAGCTTATTTCAGCTTGTGCTCAAGCCGGACGTGTCTCTGACATGCTTCACATGTTTGAGCACATGGAATTAAGTGGTGCCGTCCCCTTTGCCGCTACTTTCCCCTCCATGATCACTGCATTTGCCAATACAGGTGACCTGGCTAGCGCCATCGAATGCTATAACGAGTATAAGGACCTTGCAGTCGCTCACGACAACGGAAAATATACTTTGAATGATCGATTAGACTCCCGAGTTTACGCTGCAGTCATCAATGCATACATCATCAATGACAAGTTGAAGGGCGCTGAGAGGTTTTACGAAAAAATTGTCGATGCAAAAGGCGCCCATGTCTCTGAGATTCGGGATGCCATTGTTAGCAGTGGATTTGTTAAAGCTTTTACAGCGAGGGGCATATATCACGAAGCGCTGCGGTGGGCTCAGAACATTGAGAACAACTCGCGCTTAAGCGCTTTTGCTGGAATTGCTACTGCTGCTGCCGATTCTGGAGATAGAAATACTGCCATTGACGCTTTCGCTAACATCCCTTCGGCATTTCAAGGTATTGCAACTCCAGCGATGGCTTTACTGGCTCTCAGTGTACGACAAGGCGATGTTCTAGCTGCTTCACAATACTGGAATGTGCTGAGCAACCCCGAAATAAATGTTGACTCGTCCTTCATCGAGCCAGCGGCCATGTACGCTGTTGCAATGATTGGATCGGGACAAGTTGCTGAAGGGTTAACCGAATCTGAATTGATGTTCCAGCGGATTAGAGCCGCCGAGAGCGAGGCTAGACCCCATGTATCGGATGAAATAGAAGAGGGTATGGAGTTCATATCGCGATTTATGGCTGTCCGTGCCATCACAGATCCTCGAGAGGTCGCTTCCCAATCCAGCTTTGCTGCTCAGACTTTCTCCGCTTCGCCTTACCCATCGACTCCTACCGTCTCGAGCTTCGAGGACAATTTCGATCCGTATGCTCACAACACCGACTTCAAAGGCTCTTCAATTATTTCGGATGAGTTGGAAGGCGCCCACGGACGCAAAGGACCTAGACTCAATGAGGCGCTCTCCCGCTTCCGCAACATGCGACGTGTAGGACGCCATCCTCGATATATCACCTACGCCAAGATGATTTCCGCTGCGGCCCGTGAGAGCAAGATGGACCTCTGCCACGATATTCTCGCCATGGCACGAACTGATGTGCCGTTCCTCCCGCAATATTCCGTTGTTCGTTATGGCTGGTCATCTATTCTTGATGCTATGGTTGGCGCCTGCTTAACGCTCAATGATCGTGTTCTGGCAGAGCAGTATCATCTCGAGCTTCTAGAAATGGGCGCTGCTCCATCAGCAAACACCTTCGGTCTCTATATCACTACCCTCAAGGAATCTACCAAGACTTTTGACGAAGCTTCGGAAGCTGTCAAGATCTTCCACCGTGCTAAGAATGAGGGTGTTGAGCCTTCGTCGTTTTTGTACAATGCCCTAATTGGCAAGCTCGGCAAGGCTCGACGTATTGATGACTGTCTTTTCTATTTTGCCGAGATGCGTGCTCTGGGTATCAAACCGACTAGCGTAACCTACGGAACGATCGTCAACGCGCTGTGCCGAGTTAGCGATGAGAAATTCGCTGAGGAGCTCTTCGACGAGATGGAGTCCATGCCTAATTACAAAGCTCGTCCAGCACCATACAACAGCATGATGCAATTCTTCCTTACTACTAAGCGTGACAAATCAAAGGTTCTGGCCTACTACGACCGCATGAACGCCAAGGGAATTGCCCCAACAGCTCACACTTACAAGCTTCTCGTCGACACCCATGCCACCCTTGAACCGGTGAACATGACTGCCGCCGAAGCTGTGTTGGACATGATTCGTGCTTCTGGCCAACGTCCTGAACCAGTACATTACGCTTCATTGATCCATGCTCGTGGTTGCGTTCTTCACGACATGCAAGGCGCACGAAAAGTATTCGAATCAGTCATGGGCGACCCGACCATCCCCCCCAATGCTTGCCTCTTCCAGGCATTGTTCGAAGCCATGGTTGCCAATCATCGTGTCGCCGATACTGAGGCTGTCCTGTCTCTCATGCGACAAAAACGCATTGAGCTTACACCTTACATCGCCAACACCTTGATACATGGCTGGGCTAGCGAGAAGAACATCAACAAAGCTAGCGCCGTTTACAACAGCGTTGGTCGTGGGAAGCGCGAGCCTAGCACGTACGAGGCAATGACTCGTGCCTTCCTTGCTGTAGAGGATCGCGAGCGCGCCAAGTCAGTTGTCGGCGAGATGCTCTCGAGAGGTTATCCTAGTGCTGTTGTCAACAAGGTCCTAGAACTTCTCGGTGGTGGCAGCAACGAAGAGGCAGTATCTGCTTCGGCGCTATGAGCGTCGCCTTATTTCTTTATCTCATTTCCTTTTGCTTCAATACGATACCCCGTGTTATGTTACAGGAGGTTGAAACGATTCTCTTTACGGGGTTGTCGGTTGCGGTGAAGGGATAGCATTGCTTGTATCAAGCTAGGCGTTATACGGAGTGTTTTTAAAATCGGGGTTATGGACCAGGCATTTACGAATGGGGCATCGACTGGCATGTCGGTAATAGACAACTCTCAACTTTACATATACTGATAAAGAACTTCCTTTTTTATGTCATCTACAAGGCAAAAACACTAGGTCAAAGGGGCTCCCAGGGCGTCGGGCAACGGTTTTGTCCGCGACATTTGAAAAAAGGGAGCGGCGTTTGGAAGGGCTAATTAGTTGGTAGACGGAACCATACTCAGTGGGCATTTATGATGATGTGACGCTGGTATGGTTGGTAGTTCTGTCTTGTATGATAGATGCAAATATCATGGAAGTTTGTTCGAACGATTCTGTTCCGTATCATCATGTGTGAAATGATGTGCTTGACTTCAAATGTTGTGTTGCAAATGCCTTTCTCATAAATTCCGAATGCATAACATGTTGCTGGCCGAGTCGAGTAGAGTGTTCGTCCCCTATAGGGAGTGCTAATCTAGGTACATGACTACAACTTCATACATCCATTAATTAGAAACATCAGCAAAGTCCCCGTAGGCTCATTTTTACGTGCCCAGTCTACCTACTTACTGTACCTCATGGTATATGGAATCATTGGGTATCAATCTTTCAAGAAAATTTTGGTTTAGAGTATTAGGTAGTTAGACGGTTATTCCCATGTCTTCTTCATAGGCATATAAAGGCAGTATAGGTATAGGTATAGGTGTAGGTGTATACTTGAAGCAATACACATACATACATACATACATACGTACTACACGCCATGATGCTATTTTTTTTAAACGCCCAACGAAGCCAAGCCAAGCCAAACCTGCCAACATTCGCCTGTGTACTGTACTAGGATAGACCTCAGCCAATATTAAACTCCCCAGCCGCGCTCATGACCTCCTTCATCTTCATCCTCATCCTACGCGCCGCGCCATCATCCACAGTGCCCGCATCACCATCACCTCCTCCTCCTCCTCCTCTAGCATTACCATTCCCGTCGTCTCCGTCGCCGCTCTTCCTCTTCTGTCCCTTGCCGTGATTCTGGCCTGGCTTGAACGTCCTCCTCGAGGGCCCGCCACCAATACCACCGGGGGCCTCACGGAGAGCGAAGCTCTTGGCGGTGTGCCCGAGGTGCAGCTGGGTGATGTCGAAGTAGACGCGCTCGTCGCGGACGTGGGTGGCGTAGGCGCGGATGTGGGAGCGGAAGGCCTGGCGGGCTGCGTCGAGGAGCTTGGAGCTGGGGTGGGAGTTTTCCTTCTCTTTCTCGGACGCGAGGAGGCGCTGCTCGAGGTGTATTTGAAGGGCCTCGGCGCGGGAGTTGGGCGTCTGTCGTTCGGATAGGAGCATTGCCTGCTCGGCAGTCTTGCTGGGTTTAGGCAGCGCGATAGGCGTCAGAAATCCCTTCTGTAGGGTAGACTCGTAGGATTGAGATGCGACGGGCGTGGTGGATTTTAGGAGGTCGATGTATCCTTCCTCGCACCCTGGCTGGAGGAAGAGTGCCGCCTTGCCAGCTCGGCCTGCTCGTGCGGTTCGTCCAATGCGATGAACGTGGTCGTCGACACTGAAGGCGGGGTCGTACTCGATTACAAGATCGACCGCGGGGACATCGAGACCACGGGACGCAATGTCGGTAGTGATGAGCACGGAGGGGGTTGTGGAAGCGTGGAAAGCGGCGAGGGTAGCTGTACGGACTGATTGCTGGAGAGATCCGTGAAGCTTCAGAAGAGTGATGTCCGGATTTGCTGGTGATGTAATGTAAGCAGCATCGGCAACTGTATCTTTCGTGTCGTCGGACGTAGAGGGTTGGGAGGTGGAAGAGCGGAGTAAGTCGAAGTGAAAGTTGACAGAATCGGCGCAAGAGATGAAAACAATGGCTTTCATGACCGAGCCCTTGCGGGAAAAGGCTGATTTGAGAAGTGCTATCAACGTCACCAGTCTTAGTTTAGCTGGGATGACGAGGTAAGTCTGCTTGAGTTGGGACGGGGCAGTAAAAACGGCATCGTTCAACTCAACTGCCGCGTCATCCTCTTTTTCTAATTGAGAAGCCGTAACATGGATGGCATCTTCCAAGCTGATCTCTCCCAGCTTTTGTACGTTCATTTTCATCGTCGCTGAACAGAGAACAGTGACGCGCCGTTGTGGTAAAGTGCTTAAATCGACGCCCTCCTTATTCCTCTCTTTCAGCTTCTCTGAGCGAATCTTGCCAACAATGCTCTTTAATTCATCTTCGAATCCCATTTCCATTAGTCTATCGCCTTCATCAAGGATTAACCATCTCGCGGTGCCAATATCAAGGATTTTAGTGTTGTCGAGGTGATCAGCAAGCCGGCCAGGGGTAGCAATCAATATGTTGACGCCCTTCCTCAAACGTGCCTTTTCAGATTTCTTACTCTCTCCTCCCATCACTGTAGTACTGACAATCCAAGGTGCACAACGCAAGAGTTTCTCCAGCACGGTAGCGATTTGCTTGCATAATTCTCTCGTCGGGGCTAATATGACAGCAAATAGACCAGAATCACGATGTATCCGTATTCCCGTGTTTGCGCCGGCCTCATCTTGACTCAAGGAAACGATGCGTTGCACGATAGGCAAGAGATAGGCCAAGGTTTTTCCTGATCCCGTTTGAGCTTGTAAGAAGGCATCGCTATCGGTTTTCACCAACTGGGGAATAGTGTTCTTTTGTATAGACGTGGGGGCCTTTAATTCAAGCTTGGATGATAGATGCTGAGCAATGCGCCGGGATAGTCCGAGGGCAAGGAAGTTCTCAGCTTCTTCAGACAAGGGGGCATTGGATGGCTTTGTAGGCTCAGACTCTTCTACAGGATCCTCGAAAACAGTTCGCGGGGTCGGGTTGGACGTAAAGAGTCTCGAGGTAATGCCACCAGGTTTGTTGCTATTACCAGATGTTTCCTGTCTTCTAGAATAGTCCGATTGACCATTGGTGTCACCAAATGTCTTTAGTCTTTTCGTCGGTCTCTCATCATCAAAGTCATGACTTTGATCGTTTGATGGTGGGGTGGCATTGGTTGCGCTCGCAGATTCATCTCGATTCCTCCTGGCGCTTCGTTGTGCATGAACACGATCTCTCCAACGACCACCGGTGAACTTAACCTGCTTTTTCAAGGGTGCAGCTTCACCGATATCAAAGTTCATAAGCATGCCGCTATCTGCCATGGTGGCTGAATGTGAAAGAGGGTTGTCGATGGCGTATATTAAAAGTTGCGAGGATTGCGAAAAGAAAATCGGGAAAGAATATGGAGAAAGAGCGGCAGAATTTCCTAAACTTTTTGGCGGTCAGTTGTATGGCCTTGGCTCATATACTTTTAGCTGCATGTCAAGCCGAAGTATACCATATAGTTAGTACGATATACATATCTAGTAGGTAAGTTCGTTCACGGTTTCGCACTCATCTAATTAGATTCAACTTTCTTCATTTCAACAACTTTCTTCAATTCCATCATTGATATTGATTTTCTTCAATAAACTTCACTCTATTATATACCTCTAGTACCAACGGTAATTAGAATCGGCATTGAAAGGATGAATGTTAGATAATGCATATATATCATCCTATCAGCCTGGATGTGGATACTGAGTGCCAGATATGTACCTCCTTATAGGCTCATCAGGAAGAACCATTGCAGTCAGCCAGCTGGTGCTTCTCTTCAATGTTTCTAGGTTACTTACTTTTTGTTTTTCCATCTCTTCATCGTCGGTGTTGATCTAGACTCATATATACATAACCAAGCTGGCCTAGTACTATGTACATAGGTAGGTAAGGATGCGACTTTTAAATACTTCCTCCTTACTTCTTCACACCTTTACCAGTGCTGAGAAACCCAAGTATGCTATCCTTTCTCATACTTGGGACGAAGACGAATTCTTGTTCGAAGACATACATAATTACCAGGTATTAGACAAAGCACTCCCGCTTCATTCTTCTAAGTATATGCCATATGCTCCGCTCCGCTCACTTCTTCTGGGTCCTAGAAATCTAAGGAGTTGCGCAAGAAAGGACTTGAGAAGGTTAAGCGTAGCTGTCACCAGGCCGCTATAGATGGATATGAGTACATTTGGATCGATACCTGTTGTATAGACAAGAGCAGCAGCGCAGAGCTTTCTGAATCTATCAACTCCATGTTCAAGTGGTATGAACTTGCTGGCGTCTGCTACGCATTCCTACAAGATGTTCAAGAACTGTCCGACCTACGTTCAAGTAAATGGTTTACCAGAGGTTGGACGTTACAAGAACTCATTGCTCCAGATGACGTCCGCTTCTACAACAAAAATTGGGAATTTCTTGGTGATCGCTTTGGACTTGCTGCTGAAATTTCGAGTCAGACTGGGATCGATTTAGATGTCCTCACACGCGGCCACCTTCTCAACGGAGGGCCCTGGGAAACGCACATGCTCAAGAAGAACGAATTCTGCACGACGTGTGGTTGCCAAGTTGAATCTCTCCATACCATACTTCGACGCTTTTGCGTCGCTCAAAAGATGGTCTGGGCTTCCGAAAGGGTTACTACCCGAGAAGAAGACGTGGCGTACTGTCTCCTAGGACTATTTGGAATTAACATGACATTGATATACGGGGAAGGCTTGGAGGCCTTTCGTCGACTTCAAGAGGAAATTATAAAGCGCTCATATGACCAATCCATTCTAGCATGGTGTGATCACATCAGCCTCCGTAACGAGCATAGTACATTCCTAGCTCATCACCCCCAAGATTTTCAGCTGGTTTATGCGCAGTTCAAACCACCGTTATACAATATACAACGAACTCGCACATCTGTACTGAAAGCAGTCAATTCAGAAGCAGAAAGGATCGAAATAACAGCGAGCAGATTGGCCTTGACAATAGTCCTCTGTCCTCTTCCTTCCCATACCGATGCCAACAGACTTTGGGCGGCAGCAAACTTGCATGCTGCAATTCTAGACTGCGTCGTTGGTACCGACCTAAAGTCTAGACCTGCGATAATATTGGAAAAATTATCTTACAACGGAACATTGTTTCGTCGACGCGGAGTAGGACTTGTCTACAAGATTGAACCTCCCGGTCGCTTGATTTGCATCGCTAATGGAGGGTTTGGGAGTGTTCCACTTGATGGAGGTAAGAAGAGCTATTAATCTCACATGATTCCTCTCAGCTCACTTCTCCCAGTTTCCATAGACTTAAAACAAGCCCAGAAGATGAATATAAACATTGTGGAAGATCTACTCGACCCGGGCCCCCTTGACATAAATATGTTCTTACATGCACGCTCACGAATTATACAATTCTGTCAGCCCGAGACCGAAAGCTCACAATACAGCATTGTGGACTCGATTCCGCAATGGATTGACCGCGAGGCGTATACGCTACCGCCGGCTTCGAGATATATCGTTGCTTTTGAAAGCGAATCCTCGGCCTTCTTCGCAATCTGGGGCCAGAAGTCTGACCAAATTGGCGTACACCACGCGTTGGTATCTCTATCAGAAGTGGTTTCCCTGCTCCAGGGACCTTCTTACTACCATGATATTCACAATTGCACAGCCGTGGATGTGATGAACTATCTCAGAAGCATGGATCCCCAGCTACGAGCCGAATATATCTACAAGTTCATGAGTACACGTCCTACGGCAATCATTCGACTAAGCTCGGGCCGACCTATACTTGATGCAACTTTCCAGGCCAGATGCGTGACTTTCCTGGACTCGACAGTTATTGAGATCGAAGTAAAAATTACCTAAGTCGAAAGCTCAAGGGGGCGAGTATAGCTAGTACAGTGCATAACTTGTCTATTTAAATACTAGAATCAAGTGTCAGGAAACAATTTTGTCGTTGTGCGGAGAACTGCAAACGTGCGTGCGAGATGACCCCCTTTTTGGGGTGAGTGAAATTTCTATTGATAGGTACCTCCTACCTACCTAGGTAGGTACATAATACACCTCCACATTCACTCATCCCTACCTTTCATCATCACCATCACCATCTTCTTCTTCTTCTTCTTCTTCTTCTTCTTCGGCAACATCAAGATCCTCCCAAATACTCTCCATCGCCCTCCTCACCGCCGCCACCCCCTTTGCCACCCGCGCCCGGAACTCCGGGTCGCTCTCGCTCTCCAACGCCACGTTCTCGTTCCGCACCAAGTCCAGCGTCGCCCGGATGTGCTGCAGGTGCGCTTGCACGACCCTCTGGATGTTTCGTTGTAGTTTTGTCGCGAGGGTGTTGAAATCTTTGCGGAATTCTTTGAGGAGGTCCGGGAAGAGGGTTTCCCGACGCACGGCGCGCCCGATGTGCGCTTTGCGCCGGGCGTCGCTGCCGGTGCCTATGGGGAGGGGGTTGGTATGGGGCTTTTCTTTTCTATATAAAAAGAGAAAAAAACTTACCAGATTCGTAGATACTGGCTCGGTACGCGTCCTCCATCGCCTTCCCGATGAAAGAGGTACGTATGTTGGAGAGAGCGTCTGTTCCGAGCGTGCTATGGAAGTTGTTAGCTCAAACAGAATACTCAGTGTTCCCTGTGTACCTAGGTATGCTCACTCGAGGTCTTTCTTAAATGCTTCGTAGAGCGCCTCGATATCCACGACTAGGAGGCGCTTGCGAGACGACAGGGTTTCGTTGAGCGTCGTGGCCCAGTCGGAGGAGGAGTCTGGTAGTTCTGGTAACTCTTCGTCTGCGATGCTGTTAGTCGACGAGCTCTTTGACATATTCCCCCCCCCCCCTTTTTTTTTTCTTGCGCCCTATACGCATACCTAAAAACTCCAAGCAATCATTCATCACGTCGGTGATGTGATCCGTCAACTTCTCATTCTCGCGTTTAAGATACACTCGGAAGATTCGCCACGGAACGCGCAGGTCTGCGCTCATGGTTTGCACTATCTCTTCGTTCCAGTTGTGGTACCCGGCTGCTTTCGTGCAATATGTGCCGTACTTGCGGCAAAACGCGGAGTATGTCTCTTTAGGTATTCGTCAGTATGATTTGTTTTTTTTTTTTTTTTTTACGAAGATAACATTGAATCTCCTTGCCTAGGATGACTTACGGTGAGCCCACTAAGTAGGTAGAGAAGGAATAAGTTGTTAGCATAAGATGACCTTTGAGTAGATACCTGCCTAATAGGTATTATAGGGGTAAGAGGGGGTGCTTACACCATGCCACTCATGACAAGCATCTGCAGCAGCTGTGCTCCAGGCCACGATGCGATGCTCTATATATTGATAAGGGCTTTTAGTATACCTACACTAGCATGCATCCTAGGTATTTCATCTGACAATATACATACGATGCCTCTGATATATCCTATCGCGGAACTCCCGCTTGAACAAAGCTTCGACCTCGTTGACCTCGGCAGCGTTTCCGGTTAGTTCCTAGCATACCACGATTAGCGATACTGGGAAGACGCGGCCTGGAAGTTCTCATACACGCCTCAGCCTCCTCTCCAGCGCGTCGACCGCCTCCCGCATCGCCCGCTTCCGCTCCGCGCTCGTCGACCCGGACCCCGACTGCACCCAGAGCGCGACCTCGCCGAGCAGCGCGGGGATGTCGCCGCGCATGTAGTCCGTCGCCGCGCGGTACTGGCTCTCCGACACGATGCCCATGCAGTGCGCGCGCACCTGCGCGATCCCGCTCAGCTGGATGCGGGGCAGCGCTTTGGATAGGGCGGTGTGGCGGTACGCCCAGTATAGCGGGTTGCTGACGCAGAAGACGCTGAGGTTCCCGTGGGGAGGGGGGAGCTTGTCGTGGTATTGGGAGTGGAGGCGCCGCGAGACGTCGTCGTTGCGGAGGTTCATTATGTAGCGTTTTAGCCTGGGGAGGGGAGGGGTGGGTAAGTGTTAGAGGGCCAACGGGATGAGGAGGAGGAGGTGGAGAGAAAAGGGACGGCGTGGAGAGGTGCTGGGTAGGTCAGTACTTACTGGAACGACCAGTCATCCAAGCAGTCCCTGTGAGCAACTGTGATTAGCATAGCTTCTCATGGGGATAATGCAAAATGCCAACTTGAAGTCAAACGTACTCAGCCTTCCTCAGCCTACGGTTCAGTCGCACTTGTTCATCCTTTTCCTCCTCGGTCAATTCAATCTCGCCGTCCTCCTCAATCTCATCCAACTCGCATAACTCCTGCCTGATGTTGTCAACTTCTCGCGCGGCTGTGGCGACAGCGTCCATCATCTTTTGGATCGTGACTGCCTTTTGGCCTTTCCAGTCTTTCTTGGCTTCGTCGGGTTTTACGTCCTTGAAACTTGGGGTTAGCACGTTTATTGTCGAAGAGTTAGGTAGGTAGGTTAGCTTGGCTTACATCTGACTTGGTACAGATGATACCGACGTTGGTTAGCCTTGCGTTCATGGCTAATTCGAATATTTTCTTCACGCCCTCGCTGTAAATATTGTCAGCACCAGTACTACATCTTTACTATTTATACGCCCATGTTAGGTGGTCTCCAGACTAGGGTTCGAGAGACTTTCATCTTGGAATATGTAGGCACGTTTATGTGTCATTTGGAAGATAGGTAAGCAAGCCCCTGAAAGACGGAAATATGGGTACGCACTCAGTAGTTGCTCGTCCTTCGTTACAGACGGCGAATATCTCATCACATCTAAGGAGGTATCGTTCAGTTATATGGCGCCGAGCAGAGTTCAAATCCCGAAGACCTTTCATTGACAGCGTTAGTTTGTTCACCGGGTTCTAGTCCTAAATGAATGAACGCGTAACGACTTACCGGGAAGATCGACTAAGATGAGGCCCTTGCTGAGGATGTGGGCGTTTAGATGTACCCTGATAAGGTCAGCATTCATATCTCGGTCGCAAGAAACCGATATATCATTTATATAGAAAAGACTTCGTACTTGATCTTCTTAATATAAGGCCAGATGGGTGCCTGATCAGCCGAAGTGCCCTCAGAATCATCGTCGGAAGTGAGCCGCGTCAACGCAGCAGAGCATTCCGCAGGGGTAGACCAAACCTCGCGCCGGTTCATACTCAACGGCGCAGCTTCTCTCGCCCAAGCTTTCAACGTGCTCAGGACTCTGGGCTCCGGCGGAGTAAGAAGAACACTGGCATCCACTCGGTGCCGGCGAAACATGGCGCGAAACGAGTCTCGGGCGAGGTTGGCCTTCTCTTCGAAATCCTCCGTTTCCTGGCGGTCGCTGGGGTCTTGGTGCAGGTGGAAGTGGCGGTATGAGCGTACGTGCTCGGTTATCTGGTCGAAGAGCTCGTCCATGGTGAAGAGCTCGACTTCGGTGACGTAGTTGGGGCTGTCGTGGTAGTGGTACTCGGTCGCAACGCATGTGCACGCTGCCCCCTTGTTACTCTGTACAGCCAACGGGTCAGTTCATCTTGCACTTGCTTACAACTTTAATGGCCTTTTTTTTTTGTCTTTCTTACAGCCCGAGCTAGATCGCGACGATCTAATAGTGAGTTGAGGAGACTACTTTTGCCTGATTAAGAAGGACATCAGCATATATTCGACAGGCACCCCTTATCGCCATGTTGGGTACTTAGTAGCCACCCAGGTAGATACTACATAGGTATATATAAACCTACCGACACCCGAATCTCCCACAAACCCCACAGTACGGCTTGAGGGGCACTGGAACTGAGACAACCGCTCTGCCTGCTCAAAGAGCTGTCGCATGGTCGAGTCTACGCCATGATGTAAGCTGCTGCTGCCAAGCGTCTTGGCTAACAAGGACATATACGCCCTTGTTGTAGATAATGCGTTCTGGAAGGCCGACTCGTAGAACCTATCGTTTGGAGGCTCCTCGCTCTCAACCGTGTAAGTCTCTATGTTACTGCGGGAACTGCGCCGTCTCCGCCCCAGCGCCGTAGACTCTGACGTCCGTGGGGGGGTTAGTTCTACGGCTGGAGTTGAACGACTGCTCACGCCGCCGTTGTCTATCGAAATGTCCCGTATAGCATGGCGCAGCGAGGTTAAGTTCAGGCTTGGCTCTGGAGTGAATAGCTGTAGTTCCTGCATACGGTCGCCTAAGGTACTCATGTTATCATCACTACTAGGACTTGCCGGACCGGTACTCTTGGCTCTCTCCTGGCTTTTAGTGGGGTTATCGTTGGGAGGAGGCGTGAAGGAGAGTGAAGGCGGGACGGTGCGTGAAGTGAGATTCCTCACAGCCTCCGAGAATATACTTTCGGAGCGACGCTCAATTGAGGGTCGGATGTCTTCAGCGTTGGATGGGCCAGCAGCTGTCATGGTGAATGGCTCGTGCTGCTGGCCACCCGACTGACTCTCAGATGGTGAGGATACGTTGGACAAGCGTGCACCCCCGGATGGGGTGGCAGTAGTCGAGTTGAAAAAAGAGCTTATGGCATTGGCTGATATTGCACGTCGCTCGCTTGTTGCCTGGGGTGTGGCTGGCACGGAAAAGGAAAGACTACTACACGATGGAGTTCGTATACCACCAGATAAGGTAGATGAAGTCGACCAACTGCTGTCGGAGTCAGGCTCAGCCGACGTTGCTGCATCACCCGCCATTGTTAAGTAGGTTGATGCACCCGAATATAAATCAGTGTAATTATTTTGATAGATTATAATCTTTCTGACGGAGATAGTTCCACGGAATGAGTCGGTAAGGTTTATAGCTTATAGAGAATGCCTCGTAGGCAATAATATTAATGCGAACCGCTGCGGTCAACTGAGCATTCACAGCCTCATCGATCACCGTGAAACACAGGGGTTATTCAGAAAGGATGAGCGGCACTCTTTGCAGATGCTGTATACTCCAATCACATATACTAATACCCCTGTCTTGGGTAGGAGTATTCTCAAGGCCGCATAAACCGTGTACCAACAGTCCTCGTCTTCTCTTGGCTAAGCCGTATAGGGAATGCGAATGCCACCATATTGGAGCCACGCAAACCCCAAATCAGAAGTAATGTGCCATAATTAAGACAATTATACGATATATCACCTCCTCCTACTCTATTTTCCAGAAAGATTCCTTGGGTAGGTATTAATGAATTCATAAAGACGACTTCTCACACTGCTGGCTAACAGGATACGGAGATTATTTAGGTACTAAGACACATCTATTAGTCTTGAATCCAGAGCAACTGAGTACATACCTACCTACCTAGTAGTGGTCCTAGTAGTGGTAAAGATTGTTCAAGTCGACCTATTTAACAAACTTCAGTAAGCCAAATAATATACCTGCCGAACGCTACGACTCCTATCCTCGCTACCCCGATGTCCCTCCAACAGATGGGCATCTAGTATTACCGAGAGCCCACTACACAGAGCAGCGCCAACTTATTCATGGCTTGCAAATCAACTCCGAAAAGCAAGAAAATTCGGTGTTGCATTACATGAGATAGTTAATCATTCCCCATACCTAGTAGTTTACCGCTCTGCCTACCTAAACTAAGCCCCCAGTACTTGTTGACCCTCATACACGATGGACATAGGCGATGCCCGAAACAGACAAACAACGTCTCTGACATATACCATGTCATGCCGTACCGTGCCGTGCTATGTTGTTACATCTAACCAAAATCATCCTTGGCCTCACCTGTATCCTGTTTTTCCTTTCCCTCTTCCGAAGCGTCCAGTTGCGCTTTCAGCGGTGCCGTCTCTAAGCTTGCGCCTGCAGTACCCCCCGGTAACCCCATTGTGCTGATACGTCGCCCCCTGACATCAAGAGCCTCACTCTCCTCGTCGATAGCTTCGTCTTGATCATCTGAGGCCATGTCATCCTCGTCCTCGCCTGCTTCGAGGTTGTGGTTAAGCTTATTACCAATACTAAGCATCAATATACTAGCATAGCTGAATTTATCAATGCCGTAGCCGCTCGGGAGTTCTGAGTACATTTTGCGAGCTTCGTTGAGGCAGCGCTGCGCTTGAATGTATTTGGCTTGTTCTAGCCATGCTTCGGCGCCAAGTACACTCCATAGCGCCGACTTTCGACGTCTAGCACCCCAAAGAAGCGTTCCTAGGCCTTGCTTGGATGCATAGCAAACTGCGAGTCGCTCTTTAATCAAAGCATCTCCTACGGGGCCTAAAATCTTGCTTTCCAATAATCGTGTTCCCCACTTTGCCGCGTCGTCGATACTTGAACCACCGCGCAGGCGCAAGAGCTCCAAGCCGAGAGTAAGACACCGCATTGCGCCGTATGGCTCACTGCAGCGTGTAATGTACGAGTAGAATGCCGAGTCAAACGCAGTATCTACCATTTCTACCCTGGATTTGGCTGACAGATTTTGAGGCATGAGAAGGAGACTAATGGCGGCCATCTCGTTCGCCCCAGCATGATATCTCCAAGCCTTGTCATTATTGAAATCGCCCCGGAGGATCTCATATGTTGAATGAGCCAGTTTCCAATCTCGCAACATAAAAGCATAGTCCGCTAGTTTCCTCATGATAGCCTCGGGAGTGTCCTGGCGATAGAATCCAAGAGAATCATAGTTACTCCCAGAGCTCTGTCCCGACAACGACGGTCTGGAACTGCTGCCAAAGCCCCAGCGTTTAAATTGACCAACGAAGCGGCCAGCTAATCCTCTTCTTCGAGAGGCTACCTGGTCGTTCCACAGCGATACGTGCCGCTCCATTGTCGGTATTATTGACTGTGTCACCATCTCGCGGATGAAGGTACGTATAGCAGTCGCATCTGATTCGAATATGTATCTAGTGGGATCCTCGAAGTCTTCTTGGTCCTCGCTTCTTTGAATATCAACCAGCTCTTCCGAAGCCGACATCCAGTCGCTCCGTGGAAGGGGGATGCTGTCGTCGTCGGTAGCGACACTTTGTGTTCCCCTGATACGGAGTAAGTGGCAGTGGAGACCGAAATTTCGCTTCATCTGGTCAAAGAGCGACATGGACCTTGTGATATCGTCTCTCTCTTCCTCGTGTACCAAGACGTAGTATCTTAGAAACTCGCCATTAACCCAGTTGGGTAGTCGTTTGTCACCAGTGCTAGACTCGTTATATAGTTGCCGAAGGGTGTCGATTGGAGTCTGGTTCCGGGAACTGATAGCGACAACGCAGGCAGCTGGATGGGCGAATGTCTCGTGCGGTGTCAATGGTAAGCCCGAGAGTAGTCTACGTAAATACAAGGCATAATACGGTGATGGGGCATCGAGGTCGAGACCATGATTAGTAGGACTCTGCGGCAAAGTAAAGAAAGACTGTTCGGCGTAGCTTAGATGACGGTCCACAACGGCCTCAACGTCCGACAGGGCAATTCCTCGTCCTGACTGGGCACTCCCTAATCCAGATTCGGTGGGGGTTTCCAAGACACCATGTGTTCCTGGGAACTGAGGGGCCTTCAAGGCAGCTGTTAATGGTTCTGGATGTACAATTCCCGCCCCCAGCCGTGTAAAATGTATCGAGTAATCCTCATACGTTCGACTAGAACCGTTGCTATCTCGTATTATGACTTTGCCTTGGACCCGCTCCCCGAAAGGCCGAAGCAGCTCCCACAAACCGCGTTCAAAGCCCTTCTCCTTCAGTAAGATGTCGGTGTCTTGGGATGTGTAGACGGCAACATGTGGTACAAAAGCGCCGAGGATGAGGCGAAGGGGATCGCCGGGGTTTTCGGCAGCGGGGGAGACGAGAGACAGAGCATTATTGGTACGGGTGCCAAAGACGGAAGCGGTTGCTACTCGCGAGGCTGGGCGGCCGATGGGCGACTGGGAGCGAGAGCCAGGAGGGGACAAGGTAGAAGCGTAGAGGGAGGCAGCGGAGGGGTGAGAACGGCGGTAGGGAAGGGCGGCGTCGGGTTGGAAGAGTGGTAAAGTTGAAACATGGTTAAGAGTGTGGCGGGACTTCTGAATCTTCAAGCTCGAAGCGGCGGCTATGGGGGATGCAGGGAGCGATCCACCCCCAAACGGTGAATCATGGTCGGAAGGTTGCATCAAGTTGGACCTCGTGCGTGTTGAAGGGTTGTTTTGTCCCTTGGGGCGACTTGACTGTGAAGTGTCGCATCTGTATGTAGAGGAATGTGTTGTAATAGTAGATAGCAGAGAAATGTAGAGGGACTAGAAGTTTGTATGCATGTAGTAGTACATAGTATAGGTAGGTAGGTAGGTATGGTGTGTACCTAGGTTAGGTAGGTTAGGTACATGTAGGTTAGGGTAGTGTAGTTATGTAACCTAAGTTATTAGTATGAACCTTGAACGCGACTACTAGGTAACTAACTACTAGGTACTAGTTAATATGTACTATAATTACATACATGTGGATCGGCTTGCAGGAGTTCCGCTCTTATCATTGGTTATGCTACATACAATACACTGCATTGTTACATATGTAGGTTAGACACATATGCCCTCAAGCTCCATCATAAGGCACACCTGAATATGGTATCCCAACTCCTGTCGCCCAGTTATATTTGTCATACCACCTAGAACAACCTCTGTTAATAATTATCCTTTCCATACCGAATACTTCAAGACCATAAATTAAGTACTTACGCTGCCGCAACCAAAAGTTGGTAGTTCATAATGTTCACCACAGCTTTCCGAGGTCTATACTTAGCCAGTGCTAAAGCGTTGGTGGGTAAGCTTCGCCATCTGGTTGGATTTATCAAGCCTTCTATAATAATATTAAACACATGCTGTAGTTAGCAAGTATAACAGGACATAGTATGTAGAAAGATCAGCGGGAACTTACCCATCTTGATGGCATCCCCCCCATCACGCCAGGTGTAATACCTAGTTCTAGAGTGGTATGTCGTAAGTATATATCCTGCATAGTAGTAATAATCAACGTTGAACATTTGGGGCCTTTGGACTTACAAAGTTCCTATGAGCTGGATGGCCATATTGGTTTCTACCGACACCGCGCCTGGGACCTCGCTTCCGCTTGCCGGGAACACGTCACCGGGCCCAGCTGACAATTTGAATATAGGGGGACATAATACTATTACATTCACCTCACTGATTACTAGTCCTTCATGGGCCGGATTTGAACACATAATCAGCCTTTTCTCCGTAGCAAGCATTCTGTTCCAGTTAAAAAACATCATGCTATAAGAAGTAAATAGTTAGCGCTTTCCTAGGTACATTGGCAATATCTTGATGCCGACCGAAGGACTGAAGGTCTACTTACCCCCATTGAGGACCAGGTGGCAAGTTTCTCTCCGCAAGTTGACTGTTGATCCATTCACTGGCAGGCTTATGAGGTTCTGTCGGGTCTGGGTCGGTCGGCTTTACCCAACCCCATGAATCATCTGCTCCCTCCTTTTCACAATATAGGGCATTCCACCTGCCATCGCGAGTCTTATTGTTCTCAAACCCATACTGTATGTCACTCATGACCTATAAAGAGACAGTAAGCAATGATCTTAATCTCGAGGCCAGAAGACCTCGAGAATGGTCAGCCTTAGCGGAAGCGCTCACCTTGTATACACGATTAAATATCTTTTCTGAGACTTGATATGGTCCTCCCGTAGTTTTTATCTCAATTCCCATTAATCCTTTCATAAGATGTTAGCTCCGGTAGGTGTCATGTGGGTAATAATCTACCTAGATAGGTATATATTCAACGAAAGCTTACCCAGCATCGTTTCTTGTCTAGTTTGCCATTGCCACGACTTCCATTGACCCCTTGCAGTACTGGACCTTCCTGGCTTGGTCTCCCGGGTAGCATCCAGAAATTTCATAGTCTTGTCGACTATCTTTAGAATAGTCAGTTGAAGCCTTGCAATTCAACGCATATGAGGAGCATGTATACCAATTTGGCAGCTTCCCAACTTTCCTCAATCTTCTCGACATGTCCTAAGCAGCCAGCCTTCTCTGCTGTTTCCGGGAAGTACCGGAAGCCCCTAAAGAAGAACTTGTCGACACGGCTCTCTGCTTCAACGATCGCAGTGATAGCGAACAAAGCGGCTATGGTCATAAAAATCCGGAAGCAAATCATTTTCGAGATATTCACCAGGTACTCGAGTACCTAGGATAGGTTGGTAAGTAGGTAGGTAGGTAGGTAGGGGAATCGCTGTAGGTAAGGCGGTGTTAACAAGGACAGCGCAAAGCAAAGGGAAGACTTTAGATTATATTAGATTATAAAACAGCTCATGACTCGTACAAAAAGGGAGAGTATAGATATAAGTCAATGTCTTGACCCTTTTTTCCTTTTCTCTTTCTAAAAAAAAAAAGGAAAGTGCCTAGATTAGGGGTTGTGGTTATTAATAGTCGTGAAAAGCTACGTAGGTAGGGACTTTTTTTCACCATCTTCTATGTTACCAGGTAGGTAGATATTAATATATTGTTACCCACCTAGTTCTTAAGAAAAGGTTCACAGAAGGAAAATGAAGGATCCTCTAATGTGCACTTAAAAAGAATGTTCAGTTCCTTCAGTACCTAGGTAGGTAAGCTTAACTACTAAGTGAGGCGTAGCAATATGTTAATCAACCTATGCCCATGCCATTATCCCAGCTGTATCTCACTTTACCTGCTTCTCTATGTGTTTCTAGTATCAGTCTTAACTGTCTATTCTAAGAATATATCAGCTATCGTAAAATAGAATTGTACGTACTAAATAGATACCTGGGTAACATGTATATCAACCAGTTCTTAAGACTGACCCTTTTGCCTACCCTTCACAAGCAACCTTTGCCTATCTACCTATGTGCCTACATAGTATTTACGAATTCAATCTAAGATAACACGGATTGCACGCTATGATGGCAATCCTGTGGATTTTCCTGCTCTTGCTTAGTCTCACTAATGGTCAATTAGTAGACGATGAAGAAGATTGCGTTTGCCCATGTCTATGCGAGCCAGAGGCAGCTTCGACATTTCCTCCAGAGATGACGTCGGCAGTTCCTACATTAATAACCCCAAGTCCGGGTGTCTTAGTTCCTGTATTAGTGTTAACTGCTACAGAAGGCAAGCATGCCATACACCTATATGTGACTGGGAAAGGATCTAACCACCGCAATTAGGAACACCACCACCACTCATGACTTTAACTCCAGAACAAGATACAAAGAAGAAGGACATTAAAACTCCTACCAAGATTGATGGTACTCTCTTTTTCCCCTCTGGGTTTTTCTGGGTTCCTATGATAAAACCCCAGTTTCCTAATATTTTTCCTCCTATCCCTTTGGATGCTACTCCACCAAATATAATACCAAATATTCCAAAGGTGACAGATCCAAAGGAGACAAAGCCAAAGGAGACAGGCCCAAGGGAGACAGGCCCAAAGGAGACGAATCCTAAGGAGACTAATCCGAAGGAGACCAAACCTCCAGAGACGAAAAAGCCCTCAGATGTCGCGGACAACACTAAGGGGCCACCTCTGACAAAAACACCAACGCAAATCACATCAACGCCGACAAAGAATGATTGTACCGAGTTAGAAACTCCCACAGCTACTGTCTTTAAATCGTGGAGCCCAATAAGAACCGGCGGCTGGAAGACCTTTTCTGAGACCCGACAGCAAAAGTAAGTCCGTTTTGATCATCGTGAATGCCGTTATATACTTGACAAGCCTCCAGCTAATTCAAAGTCAGAGTTGCAGCCGATTCGTGTACAGCGAAAGCCGTTACTGTATCAACTACTGTCCCTCCACCGAGTGTTACTCATTTTGACCTCCTATCGGGGTCTATTGAAACGATAACACTCCAAACTGACCTTTTTGGGGGGGTCGATGCGGCTTTCGCGATGTCGCGTAAGTACCTTAGCCAATCCCTACCCCTTTTAGTAAAAACTAGAAAGCCAAACACGCTTCACGCTTCATACTTCACCTCGTCACTGTTCGTTCCGGTAAACCGCTGACCGTTCATAACATAGTTGGAAGCATGTTTGCTACCATGACTGATGACACTAATGAAACGGCGAATGCGACGAAGACGACACCATCATCATCACATAGCACAAGCACAAGACGCTGGACCACCTCCACGGAGGAGAGGAAAAGCCAATCAACAACTAAGTCAACTAAGACCGAATCCAAGGCGACCAAAACTTCCACTTCCAGCACTAAAAAGCCTGAGCCTACTCACCCGGCAGGGATTACTTGCGACTTGAAGAAAGTGGGCGACGAGTCGTCGGAGTTTAAGCCAAGGGACTATGTGAAAGCTGCTTTCGAGGCCGGCGTGTACCAATATTGCCGCGGCGACTACGGGTGGCTGGTGAGGCCTGATGATAGGGGATCTGGAAGTAATTACTTCTGGTTCGATACCAAACAGTACGTACTACAACCCCACCCCCCTCTTTCATGCTCTCTTCTTCCTTTTCTCTCTATCGAAAGCCAGCGTTCTGAATATTCATTGACCAAATACTGCTTATAGTACCGACAAAGAAACTGGCAATCTTCCAGCATACTGCCTAGGATCAGCCAAGGGCGTGCTGGCCCAATGGTCCCCCAAAAGCCAGTCTCTGTGCTCGGGCGGGAGCGGCGTCTTCGGTTCAAACAGCAAGATCTGGCTGGAAGTTGTGCCATCAGATAATCAGAAGGGCTGTAAAGATCTGAAGGAATATAAGTTGCCGGCTGGCGATGACTGTGTGAAGAATTGGAATAGGATCTTAAACGAATGTGAGTTCTTCAAAATTCCGCCCCACAACAAACACGGTACGGTAGTAGTAGGTAACTAACAAGTTTCTGAACGAACAGGCATGAAATCGGGCGATCCTCCGCACGGAAACTCTGGATCGTGGAGAGAGAGTACCGACTCAGGCTGCTTTGATTGGAATATTTGGGGTCGTAAACTGACATAACCTAGGAAGCGGATGGATACGAAATCACTTACATAGTACCTGTTAACCGAGTTACCTAACTTACCTGGCATATTAAGTACGCAGTATGAATAAAAATATGATAGATATCTAACCTAGTAGATTACGGTGGCCCAATAAGACAGCTGTGCCAAAATGAAAATAATGATTGAGCTATTCCGAATTTAGTAGGCAGTCCCACCTTTTAAGAAAGAAAGGCATGTATATCGGTACTTTAGCTAGTTATACTGGATAATTGAATAGTATTTTCTTAAAAATGTCATATTTTTTACCCGTATGGTCATGTGACATGGCTATATAAGATTATGTAATAACTATTCCCACATGGATAGTTTTCTGAAACATATAGCTACATATATGCAACCGGTATCAATCAAAAGCTCATTTAATTACGGATTGAATGATGTAGGTTGCATACTGGTGCGATATCTGGTTGAAAGGTTATTCAGGTAGATATATCGTGTGTCATCACGTGATACCCCTTAGCGTGACCTCCAGGCGGCTCCAAGGGCTCCTAGCGTGGCTACAAGGGCTCTTACTATGGCTCTAGGGGTGATCACGTGCCGTCCGGCCTGCCACCTATTTAGTTGATTAACTTTGCAACCACGTATCGCCTCAATTCGAGACCTATATCAATCAATTCTTAATTGAATGCACTTTCAATTGGATTTGGTTGCATATATGTAGCTATATGTATCAGAAAATTATTCAACATAAGAGGCTAGACCTTTGATTAATACGAAATGTGGTAGGTATAGGTAAGGGATATGTGGCTAGGGTATATGTGGCTAGGGTATATGTGGCTAGGGTATATGTGGCTATGGTATATGTGGCTAGGGTATATGTGGCTAGGGTATATGTGGCTAAGAAGTGTGTGTAACAAGTAGGTAACTAGCTTAGTGCCTTTTACGCTTATTAATAAAAGTCACGTTTAAATCATAAATGCATCGTACATGCAAGTTATTAGGTATGTAGGAAAAAGGGATATAACCAGTACTTAGCTTACTATATAAAGTAGTATGGTAGCTTAAGTACTTTTTATGCAAGCTGTACACGTATATAACAGTATTTACTTATCCATAAGCCTCTCTAAGTACAATCCACTCTTTTCACGTACTCGTAGCACTGTTCTTAATTTCTAAATTCGGAATAGTCAATCTTAATTTTTGATTTTGGCACAGATGTCTTATTGGGCTACCATAAGATTTCAGTCTTTCATCTCAAATCTCAAGAATTTGAACTCAATAAGTTGATTGTGAATAATACAAGCAAACGCAAGATTGCATACATAGGGACCTGTAAGTGCTGATAGTAGCATGCTTTTATGCATAAATAGCTTTACATGCTGTTAAGCATAAATCACTTTACATACTTTTAAGCATAACTTGCTTCATATGCTTTTAAGCATATATAACCTTCCCTGTGAATAGCTTCAGTTTATAAGTAGGTTGGACCTTCAGCCCGCATGGACTATGTAAGAACCTTGAAAAGCATCGGTGACTAGGTATTGCATAACAAGGCAGATCTAGTAAATCACTCACCGAACACTCTGTACTACCAAATAGGTAAGGCCTCTTACATCTTTCATCAGGTGAAGACAGTAGAAAAATGAGACGTTACATGTACCACGATGAAGGCAAAAGCGACTTTTATTTATAGTCGGTTTTGCCTTATTATTATTCAACCGGACCTTTGCTAGGGTTGAGTGGGATTCGGCAGTTGAGGAATCAATCTTAACATTTGGTTAAGATCATCGATCTCGTGGGATCCTGAAGAATGATGAATCTAGGTAATAACCTTGAACGAATCCTTCCAACCTACATACACAGCAAGTACATATGTACTAAGATGGGTTAGTGAGACTGGGACTGCATTTATACCTACCGCACAACGTTGTGTGATATCTTGTTGTTGGTAGTATGCTACCATCCGCCCTGGTGGTGGCACGACAAAGTTGCAGATGGTCGGACTGAATGGAATCTCAAAGTGTAAAATCAATATAGCCATACATACCTGGGGTACCTTACCTAGGGTAATTACTGTACGTAAAATTGCGTGTGGCACATGTATTTTGCCAAGGCGGCTGAACAATGCAGGAGGATAAATTGACAATACTCCTGCGGCTGGACTCGTGTTTACATCTGCAGTGCTACCACGCTTGAATCTTGGTTTGTTCTTACGCGAAGGAATAAACGAGACCAATGCCTCTAGGTATGTAATGAAAAAGGAAAAGAACAGAAAAAGAAAGTGATGAAAAAGAAGCAATGACATGTCTTGGCGGTATCGGCAGCACGCAGGCCCCTATTTAGATACCGATTATCTCCTTAGCTTAGGATTATGTGTGCAGGATCGGGAATGAATGAATCAAGTTGCGAATGCCAAATATAAAGGTTGCCTACATGTAAGCAGGTGGCAACTGGCAAGGAGAAATAGTCGTAGGGATCTAAAAGGAGAAGAAAACACACTTGAAAATGCCGGACCCGCTGTCGTAAGCTGCATTCTCTTAATCAATTTATTCGTTCTCCTGGCCACTTGATGCAGCAACGCCAATATGTGGAGAACCTTGTAAGGAACATGCAGCTCAGCTTCAGCCAATATGATTAAGAGAATAGAAAATTTAGCCATACCAATAGATCTCAAATCTATTCTAATCCAACCTTGGATCTTACGTACCCCCTGTGGAAATGGAAAAAATCTCCTCATAGGGGAGAGGAGGATCCTACAACTTTCTGTTGTTATAAATATGGGTCATACTACGGAGGCAACCCGAGTCTAAGACGATGATCGTGTAAGCCTTCGCTATCAAGGGATCGACAATGAGGTTGAATAGGGTACTAGGCGGCATCGCCGCCAGTTTACTAGTGAGTGGAGTACCGGCAGCCAAAATACCGAGTCGACAGGATAGTCCTTCTTCGGTGACCGCCATTCCTACAGAGATACCCGCTCCCGCTCCTACAGACTCGCCTACACTAGCTCCCTCGGTTCCCCCTGTATCCTCAGAGATGCCAATCTCTCCTGTGCCTACCGAAGACCCTCAGCCCCCCGAGCCCACCAAAGAGCCAGAGCCACCGCAGACTACGGAAACACCAGCGCCGCCAGAGCCTAGCAAGACACCTCAACCACCAGAAACCAGCGAAGACCCTGAGCCCCCGGCCTCTTCAACTACGCCAACACCTCCGGCTCCGGTTGAAACATGTAGCAGCCACCTACTTGTCGATGACTTCTCTAAGTGGGATGAGGGGATTAACTCCCTAGAGGGGGCCACGAGCGGTAAGGATTCATCTAATCCTTCACATATTCCCTTGAATAATATGAATGCTGAACCAGGAAACAGATGATCAGACTATGACAGCTCTCACTACCGAAGGCGGTCTACTTACGTTTACACCGGGGGCTATAGAGACAAGCTATATATACGAACAGTTTAATTGCTTGGACTCGGTCTCGCTTGGATACGATTCCTTGTCGTTCAACATCAAGGGGCCCGAGGCCGCCTCTGTCTCTATCGAATTGCAAACTGCAAGCGACTGCTCTGCTACGGAGTACCAAAGCTACTACTATACAGTTGATGGACTTAGTGGATCTCTACAGACCATTAACATCCCACTTAATAGCTGGCCTGACGCTAACCCGAAGGCCATTGTGGGCATCCTATGGTACGGGTTCTCGGCCGGTTTGACGGGCTCTGACACCGAGTGGAAATTGGACAATGTGCAATTCCTTTGCGCGGATGTCGCTCCCCCGGAAGATCCACCTACCCCCGAACCTACCGCGGAGCCTACTACTACGGAGCCTACTCCGGAACCCACGCCAGAGCCTACCGACCCTGCCGAACCTACTACCGAGCCTACCGGCCCGATTACTGTCACTACCACGGTCTATGTAACACCAACCACAACAACCACAGGACACTGGGGTCCCCCAACTACTACCACGAAAAGTCCGACTCCCACGGAGGATCCACCCTGGTGGGATGACCCCTGGGGCGACGACCCTTGGGATAGATGGCCAGTTAATAGTGGTAATGCTAGATCGATTCAAGTCACTGCCACTACCATCACCAACACGCCGGCGACGAAAATTCCCGTAGCAGACCGTCGAATCCAGGCTCGACAAGATGGATCAGACTGCAGCCCCCTACTCATTGACGACTTCATCTCTCAGTCCCGCTTAACATTTCTGTATTACAACGCCTTGCTCAAGTCGTCCAGCGACGATGGTACCATGAAGTCTATCGTAGTCAAGAACAACAGGGCAACATTGACTCCTACAAACACAGACTCGTACTTCTACTCCCAATTAGGCTGCATCGACGCCAAAGCATACGGAGGCATTTCTCTCCGCATCTCCGCACCAGCTGACTCAACATTCGACATCCAGCTGTCATCGACTAAGGGGCAGTGCGGCACCGAGCAGACGACAGATGTCCTTCTAACAACAAAACAACTTGGCTGGACATTCAACGGAAAGGAACAGCTCTATTCCATCCCGTTCAAGAAGTTCGAAGGTGTAGATTGGTCCAAGTTCGAGACGGTATACATCGCCAACCTGAAGAAACCTATCACGCTCGGGCCGATGGGCATGTACTGTGGGGAGACTGTTGTCGAGTACACTCCGCCCGCGGTGGTCGAGCCATCTGGTCCGACTGAAACTGTGGCGGCGCCACCGAGCGAGGCTACCAACCTAGTAATCGACCAATTCGCCAACAGCGAGACAAATGCCCTGAAGCAATGGCACGGAGCTGACGAGGGCATGACGGTGACGTTCAAGAAGAACAAGATGACGATCCAGACCAACGATTCCGACCTGATGTGGGTTACGCAGGTCGCGGAGACCTGCAAGGACCTGTCCGAGTTTGACGGGTCGTACCTCCACGTCGCCTACACGGGCAGCAACCTGTTCACCATCTCCATGCAGCAGCACAACGCCGAGTGCAATAACGACATATACCCGTACCCGGAGACCTGGGACTCGCTCGAGGCCTCTCGATACGCCACCGAGTCCGACATCTACATCCCGCTGGGCCACTTCAACGTGAACCGGTCGCGGACGATCGGGTTCGCGTTCAAGGGCTTCTACACGACCGAGGCGACGGTGTTCTCCAAGATCGAGATCGTCAGCAAGATCCCCAACGACGTCGAGATCCCCGAGAAGCTGCCCTCGGGCACCTTTGTCTTCTCGTGCAAGCGGCCCAACTCCTTCGCCTTCGCCATCGACGACGGCGACCCCGTCTTCGCCGAGCAGGTGATGAAGACGATCGACGACGCGGGCATCACGGTGACTTTCTTCACCGTCGGCGCGCCGCTGCGCGACCCCACCACCAACCTCAGCGCCATCTACAACGCCATGGCCGCCAAGGGCCACCAGATCGCGCTGCACAGTTACACGCACCCGCCGCTCGAGGGGCTCCCCGACGAGGCGTCGATCGACTGGGAGTACAGCAACGACCTCGCCGCCGTAGCGGAGACGTTCAACGGTCTGCAGCCAAAGTACTTCCGCCCGCCGTTCGGGACCGAGGGGGCGCGGATGCGGCAGCGGCTGGCGGCGCTGGTCGAGGAGCCGTACATCGTGCAGTGGAGCGTGGACGTGGAGGACTGGCTGTGGGCGGAGTCGGAGACGCCGGAGAAGCAGCTGGAGGCGTTCAAGCGCGACGTCGCGGCCGGCGGCGACATCGTCGTCATGCACTACCTCTACAACAGCACCGTCAGCTACCTCGAGGAGTTCATCCAGATCGCCAAGGACACGGGCAAGCAGTTGATGAGGGTGGACCAGTGCATGATGGATCCGAATGCGCCGCCGTTGCCGGGCGAGGAAGCGTGAGAACGGGGGTGTGGAGGAATGCATAGGTAGGTACAAGCAACAAGCATTGGGTAGCCTGCCTACCTAGGTACCTACCTAAGGTACATAGGTGATTAGTATTACTGTTCTCTAGTAAAAAGTGTCCATATTTTATGTAAATGCGTTTATGTTATGTATATCCAATGGCTTTGCTACCATTGGAGGGTCTGCATATACTGATTTTACGAGCCCCTGATTCGTCTCTTGGCATGTCGTGAGTGAGTAATCGCCCTGGTAGATCTAGGCCTCGCAAAGGAGGTCGTCACGATGGAATCCACTCTTGGCGCCACGATGATCGAGGGGAGAGGTAACGGAATGATCAGAAATGCAATAGCATTGGTTGGATCGTGAAGCCATGGGAAATACGACGCTTTAGGTACCTAGGTAGAGTACCGTTAGGGATTTTTGGTATGTAAGAACGCGGATAGGAGAGGTTCAGCCCCTATCGATATTATGTAGTCAGATCAGACATCCTTCAAAGAGATGGCGCCATCCATAGGAGATATAAGAATTGGAGAATCTGTTAGTGTAGCCGCGTCTTTTCCAGCGCAGCAATTTCCTTCTATGATGATCTAAAAATCTTAGAGGCTGAGAATAATATTCAAAGAGACTTTGACAACGGACTCTCGAAGCTATGCCTCTCCCTTCCGATGCAAAGGTCGTCGAGACCAGCAGTGCCATCGTCAGCACATTGCACGATATTTTCGGACCACATCCCGGATTTCGACCTGGTACCACTTACTCCCTCCCCCTACCTACCTGCCTACCTACCTACCTACCTACCTACCTAATCAACCCCCCGCCCCCCCAAAGACTCCGTGGCACGCTAACTCAACCTTCACAGCCCACGCAAAAGGCATCCTCCTCAACGGCACCTTCACCCCCACCGCCGCCGCCGCCGCCCTCTCCAAAGCCCCCCACTTCAACCTTCCCTCCACCCCCATCCTCGCGCGCTTCTCCAGCTCCACCGGGATCCCCGAGCTCCCCGACACCGACCCGAACGGCAACCCGCGGGGCTTCGCCATCCGCTTCCTTCTCGCCTCAACGCCCCGCCGCGTGCACACGGACATAATCACGCACTCCGTCGACGGGTTCCCCGGCTCCACGGGCCAGGACGCGCTGGAGTTCTTCGCCGCGCTGCGCGACGGCTTGGTCGGCGCGTACCTGGGCACGCACCCCAAGGCGCTGGCGTTCGTGCGGGCGCCGAAGCCGACGCCGGTGAGTTTCGGGCGGGAGCGGTACTTCGGCGTCAACGCGTTCAGGTTCGTCGCGGCGGACGGGGGCGAGACGTATGTGCGGTACCGGGTTGTTCCCGAGGCCGGGGAGGAGTATCTCGACGAGGCGGCGCTGAGGGGGAAGAGCGCGGGGTTCCTGTACGAGGGGGTGCCGGCGCTGCTGAGAGAGGGGCCGATTGTGTTTAAGCTGACGGCGCAGGTGGCGGAGGAGGGGGACGTGACGGGGGATAATACGGTGAAGTGGCCGGAGGAACGCCGGGTCGTGGAGCTTGGTGCGATTAAGTTGGAGTCTGTTGGTGAGGACCAGGCTACGCAGCAGAAGAGGGTGATTTTCGATCCGATCCCTAGGGTGGAAGGGGTGGAGCCGTCGGATGACCCGCTGCTGGAGGTGCGAGCGGGTATCTACCTCCTGAGCGGGCGGGAGAGACGCGCTGCGTAAATAGGGGGGGGGACTTGGGTACCTAGGCAGGTATCTACCTATGAATGAGCTTAGTATATAGAAACAGAGTTATTTTCCAAGACTCCCAAGCACGCAGATATACTCCTGGTTTTTCTATTTCATTTTGAGAATCACCAAACGTCAAAGGAACCGACAGTTGATAATCGCCCCTATTTTATTTTATTTCTTTTATCAAACGATATTTTTCACCCCCACTACATCACATTTCGATGAAAGGAAAAGCCAAAGGGAAATAAAATAGTAAATAAATTATAGGAGAAACTACTCGACTCAGCCCACAAAAGCTTTCCTCTTATTTGCGTTTACAATCTCATCGCATTTTCAATCTTCATCTTTCGCATAATTTCCCCCCAATACTCTTATCCCATAGAAAGACAACCCGCCTAGCAATCTAGCCCTGACCCATCTTGATTATACCAATCTCTCCTAGATAGGTTGGTACCTAGTAGTACATGCTTTCTCGTCTAGTACGAGTAAATCCCATCGTCCCCACCATCCAACTTCCCCTCCTCCTCGAGCTTCCTCAACACTTTAACAGCTCTCTCAGCCACCACCTTCGCCTTCTCGGCACTCGGCGCCGCCGCCCCGCCAGCCGAGACGTCAGGCTTCAGGATCGGGATGTGCTTGCCGGCGGCGGCGATCTCCTTGTGCGCGGCGGTGATCCAGGCGTTGTCGTAGGTGATGCCGACGACGATGGCCTTGGGCGCGCCGATCGACAGGTTGCCCGTGCCGACGTTGGTGCCGCCCGGGGCCGAGGCGGAGGTCGGGACCTCGCCCTTGAGGAGCAGGGGGATCTCGATGAGGCCGGTTTGCGGGGAGGTCACGAAGTAGACGACTAAATGGGAAGAAAAGGGTTGGGAGTTAGTCATTGGGGATGCAGACGGTGTTTAAGGGGAGGCAGACAGGTAGGTAGGTAAGTAGAGAAAATGGGGGGTGGGGGGGTAGGGGGAAAGGGGTGTTTACCTTCAAAGTCAGGCTGCACCGCCTCCGTGAAGGCCTTACCGGCCTCCTCAGACTGGCCGCAGAGAATCAGTGGAATAGCCGACATGTTTTCTGCGTTTGGTGATAGTGTGATTGTTAAGCGAACTTTTATATTGAAGTGAGGGCTGTAAGTTGATTTTGATTTGGATGTTTTCGTTTGGATGAAAGAAGACAGGCTCTAAAATCGGAGATCTACATCTCTTTATGTATTCCTCGGCGAGCTGCGAAGCACTGACACTACCGCAGTCATTCGGGGTTGAGAACCTGATTCATCGTGACATCCTGAGTGCCTAGGGTATCACGTACATGAAACCATACGCGACGTGTTCAGGTCTCTCCACCCAACACTACACTCGATATTCGCGTGTTCACAAGCTGACCGCCAGTCAACCTCCTTCACGGCGTACTCTCCCAAGTCCTCACATACCTGTAAGGCAACCAGTCAGCCTCCCCTGAGATTAGGCGAACAGCTAGGCAACAGCCTTTGACTCGGATGACGTCCACAGCCTAGCTGTCCTCGTCCACAGTGCCACGGTAACGGTTTCTCGTGTGTGGTCCAGCTTGTCATGCGCCAACAGCGTCGGGTGGTTCGGTGCGACGGTTGCTCGGGCGTCGCATGGGGTAAACTAGAAGAAGAAAAAGGAAAGAAAGAAAGAAACCAGAACAAAATCATGAATCAACCGACGTGTTGCCATCGATATCCCATCCCAATCACGATCGAGCGTCTAGCCGCTATTCCGGGCCGTGCCACGCGAGGAAAGGCAGCGCACGAGAGGGGGGGCTCTCCGTCGTTCCGACGTGGTGAAATAGATCGAGGGCCGACTTACGCGTCCTGCAGCCTCTTCCGTGCGTCCGTCCAGTCCACATGTGGAACGTCCGTGTTTAAAAAGAAGCACAGAAGAAAAAGGAATGTTCGGGGGGCGGTAGGACGATGACGGAGTTAGACCTATCGCACTGTTTCCCTTCTGCGTCGTTACACCGACCGAATGCTTCATCTGGGGTTCGCGTGCTGCTACGAAGAAGGTTCGCAGCAATGCAATGTGGTGTAGCCTTCCAGCAGTTTCGTAAGGCTGCGAGTCATACTGGAGCTAGGTACCGTTACGCAAGACGTCTTCGAGACCCCTTTATATACCGTTTATGTAGTCGTCCAACCCGGATGCCTAGGTGGGTGTCTAGGTGAGCATGGTAACGGAAGGATTCCGTGTTTTGTGAACTGCCACGCAACTCATCATCTGATACCCACAGGATGCTACACCTACATACCTACCTAGTAAGATAAAGTCTATGGTATCGAAGGTAGTATCAAACGTGTCCTTGCAGACGTTAGACTCTTCGGGACCATGTTCCTTATCTAAATGTTTGCCGTTCCTGCTCAAAGTTGACTTTGACAGGTATTCTGTTGTCCCCGTTATTTTTAAATAACCGTTTTATAATTTTTGCCGTTAACATATCATGAACTGATGAACCTTTAGGCGTTTGGTATCTGTTCAGTAGGTCATAGGTGGATTTATATATTCGTCTTATTTACAATCAAATCTTTCAGCGAGCTCCTTCTCTACCCCAAACATCCTTTCCACAGCTTCATCGATCAACCCTCGGGTAGATTCGCTGTAACTCTTGTCTTCGCGCAACTCGATAAATCGACGCACCCAGAAGCCCCACCGCTCGAGACTGAACCCTCTCGACCCAGTGAATAATACTCATGTAGAGTAAGGGTTAATATGCCTAGCCTCTGGCTTTTCTAAATAGTCCACGAACTTATTAATTAATGACTCCCGCGTCAATTGCCGCCCACTTTGTATAGCCCACTCACATGCAGCGCGAAGGCGGGTTTCTTCATCAGGTTAATCCTCCTCGTTGGGATCCCCTTCTATGTCTTCCCGCATTTGGCAGACAGCGAACATAGCGAGAAATTTAATGTCAAGATCGCTATACAGCTTAGCCAGGTACGAATTGAAATTTAGCCACTCTTCGTTCGTAAACTCGGAGTCACCTGCATAAGGACAGCCGGGAACAGTTTCTATAAGAACATTCTGCCCATAATGTCTGTATGGTATACAGCCAGAGATACGATTGAACACATACCAGGTGCTGCTATGGAAAGCCTCATATGGACCCTCTTTCCCAGGAGCGAGCTTGATTAAGCCGTCCACAAGTAGTTGTGTCTTTTGTTCAACGTTGGGTTCCGGTGAGGAATTAATGACCGACTCAAACAATTCGAGAATATCCCAATGATTTTCACTGAGTAAATAAGGTTCTTCTTCGTCCTTGAAACTTGACCTGCTACATGATCTGCCATGGTCAATGACTTGAATATTCAAGGTAGTTAGGAGGTAGGCAGGTAAATTAGATAGTAAGGGGATATAAAAAAAAGAATAAGGTGAAAAAGGAGAAGGAGGAGAACCTTTATGACTTGATATAGCAATCAAATTATTACCTACCTAGGTAGGTATACTACTACCAGACATACCTAGTTATGTAGTATCGATATTGAATTAACCGCCGATGCTCGCGCTTAGAGACATCCCTCACTTCACTTCGCACGCGACGACCATGAATAGCATACTTTTAGGCCTGACTCAGAAGCGGTTCTTCGTGCTAATAGCGCGGCGTTTACTCTACCAAGCACGATGACTATCTTACCTACTGGGTATATTGGCTATCAGCATGAAATATCACAAGAATCAAGCGACCATGCCTTGCTACACGGCGTTCTTGCTTTTCACTGTTTCGTTTTTTTTTTGTTCTTAATCACGTGCCTGCGTAGAGGACCATCCTCATGCATGCTGGCCATGCTCGCGCTCGCTCATAATCAAGTTTTGCCATCATTATTGCGTCGAAAATTCGTTGCCCTTGAGTACCTAGTGATATCGGGTAGACACCATATATGAGAGGATAGGAGGCTAGAAGTAGAAAAACTAAGCACTCAGATGCGAAATTCTTGCCAACGCCAAAAATTGTGTGTCGCTATATAGGGGAGTTTCAGTAATAGGGGGTTGATGTAACCGTGCGAAGACGTACAGTGTGTTCTGTAATTCTTACCGTATGTGCTTATGAAGTATTATCCATTCTAATTATTCATTCTAATTACCGTAGCTACATGATTCTCACTATAAGCCAGTTTCCAGCTATTAAACTATTGCGGTGGCTGGTATATTGCACCTTCTATTTTAACCCAGTTGTAGGTGCAGAACTTGGTGATAGTTGCATTCGACTGGCCGTTTGTCCTATATTAGGCTAGGTATCTAGTTACCTAGTAACTTAAATACTTGCGGCGAGTTTTACATGGCACTAGCGCTGCATAGGAGTAATTCAAACGAAGCCGTGAATATATATAACGTTCAATCATTTGCCCAGGTTGATTTTTTTAAAATTCTATTTAACCACAGGAAATAGAGTGGTAAAAGTCAACGAATTTAACGAGGAGAGATTAACTATACTCTTATGCCCACTTTTGTCTTCCTAAACCGAAGCTTATAGAATTCGTGATTCGCACAAAATGTGCATTGACCCCTGATTTACCCCATTTACTGAACCTCTCTGACGATCTTATCAATCGCCTTGGCCACGTATTCGACATTCCTTGTGTTCAAGCCCGCCATACTTATGCGCCCATTCTTCGTCATGTAGATATGGAAATCTGACCGGATCTTCAACACCTGTGGTTCTGTCAGGCCGGTAAAGCTAAACATTCCTATTTGATCCGTGATGTGGTTCCAGGTACCTGGGGTACCAAGCTCTTCCAGTTTCGCGCGTAGTGCCTTGCGCATGGAGATGATACGACCAGACATGGTGCGTAAATTTTCCTCCCATTCAGCAAACAACTTCGGGTCGTTCAGAACGGTACTAGCGATGCGGGCACCATATAGAGGAGGGTTGGAGATTTCAGATCTTTGTAGAATAGCAAGCTGAGAGGCAATTCTCTTGATGGTGGACTCTGCATCGGGTGCAGGCGCAGTCACGACGTGGAAGCAACCTGCTCGCTCACCATATAGACCAAAGTTCTTGGCAAAACTCTGGGCAACGACGAGCTCAAATCCCTGCTCGACGAAATATCTGACCGCTGCGTTATCTTGCATCAGGTTACCGGAAGCAAACCCCTGGTATGCGCAGTCGAAGAAGGGGAAATGGTTCTTCGAGCGGACGATTTCGGCAATTTCCTTCCATTGCTCCGTGGTAGGATCTACACCTGTGGGGTTGTGTGCACAGGCATGCAGCAGGACAATCGATCGGTCGGGAGCACCTAATAAAGCGGACTTCATGCCCTCGAAGTCCAATCCTTTTGTGTCCTTGGAGAAGTAGGGATACTTGGCTACAGGAATGGAGACATTGTTGAAGATTTGGTTATGGTTTGCCCATGTAGGATCGGAGAGGTAAACCTTCTTGTTCCCCGTGTAGAACTTGGCGAGGAAAAGAGCTCCCAAGTGCACAGCACCAGTGCCCGAGATAGTCTGCACAGATGTGACACGCTTCTCTTTGATAGCAGGAGAGTCGGCACCACCAAGGATTAGCTCGGCGGCTTTACCGGTGAATGAGGGAATGCCAGCAATAGGAGCATATTCGTGGTTCAGCTCTGGGTCGTTTCGAAGAACCTCGTCTGCCTATAATAGAGTAGAAGTGATGAGCATACACGTTACATAAGCCGGCAAGCTAATAAGAGCTATATACATAGGTGGGTAGGTATGTAGCTGATATAAGAGCTTGTCTTAACTATAGACTAAGAGTATAAAAGAGTAAATACCTTCTTCACCACGGGCAATACCCAAGGCTTAGCATTATCATCACGATAAGCACCGATACCCTATGGAAAATTGCAGTCAGTTAATGCCTCTCTACATCCACCATGGATGGTACAGTTGCGGTAACGATGATACATACGAGATCTACTTTCTTTGGGTCCTGATCAGCTCTGTAAGCTGCCATGAGCCCAAATAGAGGGTCCTCAGGTGCCTGAGGGACAACCTCGGCGGTGAAGTTGGTTGCTGATGGAGGCGCCATTTGTCTAACTAGGCTTTTGACTCGTGATACTGATTGACCGTGGTAGGATGGGTCAAAGGGCATGATGTGAGAAAGGGTGAAGAGGTAAGGTGGGATTAATAAATGATACTGATTAATGATAAATGATAGCTGAGTTAATTGGGGGATCCAGTCTGGGGCACTTCTAGCTCCTGCTGCTGTAGGTCTGATACTACTATACGTAGGTAGTAACTATGTAGGCATGTACTATGTCGTATAATTGTACCTAATAGTGCTGTTCGCTGTTCGCTGTTGGCGAAGTTGCCAAGTGTGGGCCGATGGATATCAAACACGGTGAATGTTATAGGTCCGTTGCAGTGCTGCTTCCACCTTTGCTCTTTGAGTGGATGAATGGAGATGGAGTGGGTTATGAGCTTAATCCGGTGGTGGGGTGATTGTTTTAAAGATGGACTGATACTTTGTCAGGGAGAATAATTATAGAAAGAACGATAGGTTCCAAACGGTCGAGGGGAACCGGGGGCGGGGTCAACAGTCAGCTAACCTAGGGCGTTTGTAACTATGTGCGTTTGTAAACTTTGCATGTACTTGTACATAAAATACCAGTGGTGACTGGTCCAGTGCTTAGTAGATAGTACTTCGATGTTGTATAATGCCAATAGTATATTTGATCATTCACACATCAATATCACCGAAGTTGTCTTTTATTACAAAAGTTTGTACGTTAGCGGGTGGTAATGAATGATAATAGATACCACATTAGACCCAAATAACTACCTACTGCATACCTATATGTATCTAGAATTCGGTTAACAAGGTGAAATGTAATCGTTGATCTACTTGCCCAGACCGAGGTTCTAGTTCGCAACTAGCGGATGGGAGTTTAACACGGGTCGGCATTGACATCCCGAGTTGTATATATGTGTACCTAGCTAGTACCTAAGCGGGTTCGGTTTAGGTTAACTCAAGTTCTTTAAACAATTTCATCACTCCGCATCGTCTCTACTACTCTATTAGTCAAACTGGTGATGAGAACTTCAATTTACCTAAGAATCTGCTTAGATATATCAAGCAACTATCCTATACGTAACCTTCTGTAAGAGTCTTGGGAGACACTCAGCACCTAGTACCTAGGTATAGGTACATTCTAACCAACAATGAAATTTACATATATGTACACTACGAATTACGTATGTATATAGTATCAATGTGCATAAACCAGAAGTGGCTTGACATGTGACGGGTACTGTCGGTTACTATACACGACCTCAATGTCTTCACATGCAAAATTGCATGCCTGATACACTTTTCTACACATCACCATACCGTGATACCCTCTAACTACCTGGAGAAATAATACATCGCCCTATCATATAACCAAATCCCATACGATTAAAAAGGCGCATAATCCGCACGTTGCAAAGAAGGTGTACTTGGCTGGGCTCGCCTTCCGCGTCGCTTGCTTAAGCTGTCTGTTGCCTCCGCCAATATTCTCCGTCGTTTTCTCTGAATCAGCCACAAGTTGCTCGATGCCGGCAGATTGTGTCGTCAGTGTATCTATGAGTTGTGTTTGCAATTCCGATATTTCAAGTAGTGACTTCTCCGCGGTTCTATATGCACATGTGAGCAAGGTAAAGGTAAGAAGCACTTCGTCTCTACTCAAATTAAACTTACCTGACTTGGTCTAATGTGCTCTCGTAATGTTTGAGCATATCTTGATTATCCCTCTCGAACATTTGTATTTGTTCCTCGGTCAGTTCCGCTGCCAGATTAGGGGAGGGTGTCTCGTCAGGGGGTAGGGCCTGAGTTGCCTGGGTCGCTTTCCTTTTTGGGTCCGTAGAGACTCCCCCCTCGTGTATATCTTCCAACGTGCCCAAATTAGGATACTGCCTTCGCGATTTAGCCAACACGCTTCTATTCTTCTCTATTTCTCTCATAAGCCGTATCTCCATCATGTCTTGCTGCGTTTTGACACATTCTTGAAGCCGATGCCGTAGAAGCCATAAGACACTATCCCGGTGCGCGCTAATCGAGTTGGCGCGTTCTTCTGCCGCAGTATGCTCAGGCGATTTGCTTATTGCCATACCACCAGCCGCCCATGCGCCTAATGCGCCTAAGCCTCGGGAGAATTTCTTTTGTATTACTTTGGACTCGATTTCGGATCGTGCTTGCTCAACATCGGCGAGACGGCGTATGCTCGCGTTGAGCTCTCTCAGCATTTTCTTCGCATTAGCATCGATCTCTTCGCGCTCGCGCTCTGAGAGCGGCCGCGACTGCTTGTCTTTCTGTGCCGACCTGATCAGTGTTTTTCGCGGTTGCGCGGTAGAAAGATAGGATTGTCGGATATTCCTAAGATCGGCATGAAGCGAGGTGATGTGGGAATTCTAAAAGAATATTGGGTTAGGATTTGTATTATAGTATTTAAGAGTTCGATTGCGACTTGCTATTCTATATGCCTCCTTCAGAAAATCATCCAGGGTATCTAAGCTAAAACTTCGCCTCGTGATCGAAACTTCATGTTGCTTGAGGAAGCCATTGAAGACGGGAGTAAGATCAGTCATGGTGGAGTGCAACGCAAAGTTCGTTGTCATGCTATGACATATTTATCGTCTGAGTGTTGAGATTTCTATATTCTCAACGTAGCGACTGCGCGCTGTAAGGGGTATTATCGTTGGCGTATAGTGTTGTAGCTAAAAGCTGGAATTGGAACTGGAGCTGGCAAGCTGTTCAATTCAATATTCATGGACCCACTTTACACCTGGCTAGATCAATGATGCTTTGCTGCATGCCATCCATGTGTGGCCATCCATGTGTGGCCATCCATGTGTGGCGTAGCATTGTGGCAAAGCATCATGTTGACTCAAGACTGAGAGTGGTATTGAGCTCGGCATTGACCTGCAGATACTAAAATCCCCGTGACCCACAACTAGTACATAGTACCTAGTAGCAGATCATCCCGTGCATCTGTGCGCTAGCGTTAGTATCACCTAACTCATCGAGCCTCAACATTCAACACACCATGATTTCAATTCTATTCAACGTTACTATTTCGGTCACCATATTTGGAAAAAAACGTTTTAATAAATTAATTCTCGTTCCTCAACTATCCGATCAATTTGATTATTATTTTTACTCATCTTTTCCCCATTGGTTCGGTGTTACTGTCGCCGTCGTGGCGGCCGAAGAAACTATCCTATTTCGTGCCAGATACAGTACGCTGTCTTGGTTGAGGCTTCAATGCTAACCTTGATGATCAGCATCAGACCAGGAACAGAAATATCATTGGTAGATCTATCGTTACGCGAGATGTTCAGTGGATTGATCTGATTTTCTTAATCCAATCACGAAAGCTGGGCACTTAGTTGTCAGTCGAGGCGATAAGCGTCGATGCAACCGCCGAGACACCGGGAGCGAACTCGGGGATCGCCCGTCTATTTTTTATTACTGTTGAGCCATGTGTTATCAGTAATCCGACGATCTTTGCGTCGACCCGGACTCATACAACTTATCCAAATTGAAGTACGCGTATTTCGACATGTAGATGCTGCCACAAGTGGTCAACGTAGTTTCATCTAAGTGGTATTAACTTATTGTCTTGCAGAATTCCGTCTTTATTGATTCCGACTACGCCTTCATCTGCTTATTTTAAATCCCGCAACGCGTAGTAAATCATCAGAATTCCATTTACGATGCCCTTGGCACAAGATTGGCAACATGTTGGAATTCACTCGCAAAATGATCGTAGTCTGTCGAAAACTGTATTTAAGAAGGGGATGTTGACGAGATAGAGTTGGTAAGTTCCATCTCTCGACATCCCCTTCTACCCCTATGATCTTTCATGAACGAAAATTGTTTTTCTCTTTTATAGCTACTCAGTCGATGAATTCTCATCATGGGTATCAGCCAGAAGCCACTAACAACGCCAAAAGGTGAAAACCATGGCAAGGACTCATTCAAGGAGAAGGACTCGTCGTCTCAAAGCCTAGATCAAGTCGGGTACCGCACCCAGTCAGACGATACAGACAATGACAGCAAACGTCCTTCTCGAGATGTTGTAGTCAGCGTCGACGAGGCAGGTGATCTCGAAACAGTCACCCGAGTTTCTAGTGGGCCCGCCTATACCGTATTCTCACGTCCTGTTGTACGATGGATCATCGCCATGAATTGTGTATCTGGGTTTATCTCTCCCGTCACGGCCAACATCTACTTTCCGTCGATCCCATCATTGTCCGAAGACCTAGGTGTGACTATTGGGCAGATCAATTTGACGATTACCACCTTCATGATCCTCCAGGCCCTGGCCCCAACCTTTTTTGGTGATTTTGCCGACGCAGCTGGAAGGCGGCCTGCCTTCATTCTTGCCTTCCTCATCTATCTAGGTGCCAATATCGGTCTAGCTCTTCAAAGGGACTACGTTGCGCTGCTTATTCTACGAATGGTACAGAGCGCTGGGTGTAGTGGAACTCTTGCGCTTGCGTATGCTACAGTAGCTGACGTTGCCCCAAGCTCTGAGCGCGGAAAGTACATGGGAATTGTCGGAGGCGGTCTCACAGTCGGTCCGGCATTTGGGCCGGTCATCGGCGGTGTGCTCTCGCAATATCTAGGATGGCCTTCTATATTCTGGTTCTTGTGCATTCTCACCGTTGTTTGGCTAGTCCCATACGTGTTGACGGTTCCTGAGACAGGGAGGAAGGTGGTAGGGAATGGGTCCATCCCTCCTCATGGTTGGAACATGACCCTTCTTGACTATATCCGATTCAAACGCCAGGGCAGAGTTGAAGCACCATCAACTCACATACGACAGAAGGTCCGGTTTCCTAATCCGCTCAACACCCTCGCCGTTCTGCGCAACAAGGACATGGCCGTCGTTTTGCTCTACAATGCTGCTATCTTCATCGGTTTCATAACCTTTACGGCCACCCTCTCCTCTCAGTTCTCCAAAATCTACCATTTCAACGACATTCAGCTTGGCCTATGTTATCTACCGATCGGAGGAGGAACTGCCGTCGCCTCGATCGGCAATGGATACATAGCAGACTGGAACTATCGGCGCATAGCTAAGAAAATGGGATTTAGCATTGACCGGAAGCGTGGAGACAGTCTAAGGGGATTCCCGATCGAAAAAGTCCGCCTTCAGCTGATTTACCCCCTTGTCGGTGTCGGGACTGCTGTATACATTGCATACGGCTGGGCCATACACTATGAGGTTCACATAGCTATACCTCTAGTGTTGTCATTCTTCGTTGGTGTATGCGTCACTGGGCCCTTCCAGGTCATGAACATGTTGATCGTCGATCTATACCCAGAGGCCCCAGCTACGGCAACAGCCGCGAACAACTTTTGTCGCTGCATACTAGCCTCTATTTCAACAGCTGTCATAGAGAATATCATCGACGCTATAGGGCGGGGCTGGGCTTTCACGTTGATTGCCCTTCTCTTCAGTGCCTCCTCTCCTGCTCTTTGGGTCATTCACAAGTATGGGCCTACGTGGAGAGAGGAGCGCGCAGAGCGAACAATTAGAGCCGCGGAGAAGAAGGCGGAAGAAGCGAGAGCCAAGGAAGTCGCTCAAGTGCAGAAGTAAATCAGTGAGTTTCCCCGACGGCAATGCCTGAACCGACTATCTCTGGGTTCAATTTTGCTAACATTTTCTTTTATAGATTCATGATCTATCCGTTTCACTTCTATCGGATATAGACAACGCAATGAAGGGGTACTTGAAGCATGTCATGGAAGTGTTATGAATGAGCTATCTGAGACCATTAGATAAACTACTTACAAATAGGAAGAAGTAGGTATATACTATTGAAGGGCTAACTTGCATGAGAGTTAAGGGGTATATAATCATTGCAAATTGTATATAGAATTATGTTTTAGGGAATATTCTGGCTTTTTGCATAATCCTGTTTGATGAATCTTCAATAGCGTTAAGGATATCATTGAGCTGTGCGTCTTTCTCAAACTTCAACCTTGCAAGTTATTTATTTACTTGTAATTTTATCAATTTTTCATCAAACCATCTGTCATATCAGATATGGCGCGTAAACTGCCATGGAAGAGAGCTGGATTAGGCTCGATTAGCACGCCGGAGCCAGCCCAGTTGACTCCTGATGAAAAGAAAATAAAGCGAGATGTAGACGATGTAGACGACGGGGATGAATCCACTTCTAGTTCTAGTTCTACTAACAATAAGAATAAGCGGACCAAAATATCTACTAAGCCAAAGTCCAAGTCCAAGTCTACAACTCCTACCCGGATAGCTCGACCTAGGTCAACGTCACCTCCCCCAGAACCATTGCCAGAAAGGTGTGTATTCCATCGCCAGGGCTTATGATCCCATCTAACTTAAGTACTAGCTATATGATTGAGGGGCTTGAACACGATGACCTTTATCGCATGGTCGAGGACGAGTTCCTATCCACAGCGCAGCAATTCACTGCTCATCTTCACGCGGTTGAATATCATCGGCTTAAAGCCGCTATCAAAACACAGAATGCCGACACGATCAGAAATATTTCCAGACCGGTGGTTGGGCGCATGACTGACTTGGTAGAAAAAAAACAGGGACGCAAAGCTCGTCTTGCGAAGCAGGAAGCAGCGACTAGAAGGGCATTGGCGAATAATGGTCAAAATGCTGATAATGAAGAGGGCTCGTGCCATAGTTCGTCACTATACGGACTGATGGAGAGCCCAAGAAAACAAGCTACCCGTTTGGATAATCTCACCAAAATAGCCACTACAACCCGCGCCGCTGCTGGCTTTAGCGGAGCCAAACCTCGATTACTGTTTCCCACGCCCCGGCCAACCTTTACCAGTATTCCTGGTATCAAGCCCATGGCTAAGGCACCCGCAAATGAAGTAGATGATGATGAGACCGAGGGAGATGACGATGACGACCTTGAGGGTCCTTCTCTTACGATGCCTGTGCAAAGAGGTCAACGAGAAATATCGTCCCGGCCCATAAAGCAAGAAGGGAATCAAGCAGTACGCCGCCCTGTGACAATGACGCATCCTAACAAGAATAGCACAAAGCCCAAGGCTCCCGAAGAGGCCGGTTCATCAGATGACTCTGGTGGAGGGCTTCTTGGTAGTCTCAAGCGCCGACAGGAAGACCGTAAGCGCACTCGGGAACAGCGTAAATCAGCAACTAGCAAAACTCAAGCGACAAAAGATATAATTCCAGGATTCCTATGATACATTACGAGGAGAACGGCGTCTGGTATGGTCGTTCAGCCTGTGGAGTGATTCTAGCTAGATGTCTACGCTGCCCGGTCTTCCAATCCAACAGTGCTGAGTGTTGGGTGACTCGGTTATCCCATACCACCACAGTCCCCTCCTCCCACTTGACACGAGCCTGGAAGTCGGCACCATACGCCAGGTGATCGTAGAGGAACTTAAGGATGGCATCAGATTCCTCCTTCTTGAGGCCGACGATATCACGGGTGACTGTATCTCGCATTTAGTAGGGTGTTCACGAGATGTGGAAGATGTACGATATGCTTACATTGAGGGTTCACGTATAGTGACTTTTCTCCGGTCGCAGGGTGCGTACGCACAATAGGGTGGGCATGCACAACGGGCTCTCGCCTTCTAATGCCACCTCTTGCGTCCGATGCATTAGCCTGCTCAATTCCGGAATGAGTAGCCTCCAAACCGTGTAAGCGCTCTTGGAACAGTGGGCTCAGGCGGTTGTATGCTTCGACGGCGTTCACAAACAATGTATCGCCACCAGTTTCAGGTTTGTCGAGGATATAGAGGAATGTGGTTCCTGGGGGCTGCTGCTCGTACGAAACGTCCGAGTGCCACGCAACGGAGCTGGTTCTGGTCTGGAAGAAGTCCTCAGCACCTTTGTCTCCCTCTCCACGGTGGACAAGGTGGATCTCTGGATAGCCTTCTGGAGAGCCAGAAGTGGGATGGATGTGGTGACGACCGAAATAACCGCCAAATTCAAGAGCTTCGGCGATAGACAGATCGGCGAAGTCTTGGCCCCGGAATGCGACAACCTTTCTTTCTGCTACGTAGCGAGCAAGCTGATCTTTGCCGGCATCGCTAAGGGTGCTCAGCTGCACACCTCGAACCTCTGACCCGATGGTCGGGGTGAGATCGGTGGCTTCAGAGCCTTCCGGAAGAAGTTCAGGAAACGAAGTATCGGCATCTTTACCGTGCTCGTAGTGCTCAAAGGGCTTCAGGGGCGCGTACTTCTGATCCGGGTTCCATGTTGGCAAGTAGTTCTCATACTGCACATAACTTGGGTTAGTATTTTACTCGATACTAGGGCTGTCTAAGACACTCATCTCACCTTGGCCGCCTTGAGTCCCGTCTTGCCTTGTTCGGCTTCCTTATCGTAATTGGCTGTAGCCAATTCCTTGTATGCGCCGAACAGCCGAGGGATTTGAAGAACCTTCGGCGGAGCGGCAGTCTCAGTCTCAGTAATAGTAGCAGAGGGGGCCATGATTACGAATAAGGTGCCTGAATTTGGAGGTCACAGTTGGAAAGGAGAAAACACAATATGAAGCGGATACCTCGGATTATTATATACGTACAAACGTAGCTGGGCACTTTGAGGGCAGCAGTTCAGCCAGTACGCTGATGTGCGAGCAAGGTCATTATCACGCAAGCACATACCCTTCCAATAGGAAGTTACAGATACACATCTGCTCTCATCGATATCAAATTTACGATTGCTCATCCCCTCCATCAAAGCAAGCTTATCAGATCCGATCGGAGCTTTGGACGCCTTTGTCTGGCTGATGTTCGACCCCGCGCTGAGGCTTAGGCGTTGAGGGAGAGGATGTTGCTATCGCGGAGTTCGATCACGTCATTCAGCCGGCTGTTGTAATTGCAACCTACCTCGCCTCGATTCGATCCCGTGGTAACGTTTTTATTAACACGCATTTCCGATTTGTTGTGCTATACCAATCATACTGGCCGGCGCGTATTGATAGTCTCCAATGTATGACAAGATTTGAGTTTAGGTGCATGGCTTGGTGGGAATGTCTTACGGTTTCATGGATCCGACGTCCCTATTCCATGTCTAGGCCTCTGGGGTAGATAGACCTCCAGTCCGACTAGCAAGATGATTGAGCAAGAATGCCCAGGTGCCCTAGGAATGTATATGGAACACAGGGTGTATATGTACTCCATCATGCCATATACCTGAGTGGTGCTATCAGGCGAAGTGCGACAGAAGATCAACTGGTAGATTCGACAAACTTGTGGCTGCGACACCCGGCAGACTACTGAGAGTACTACATACGGGCTAACACATAACTACTCTCAGATTGAGCGGTCAAGTCGTTTTCGAGTGTTACTGCATTGACTACATTTGACGACCGGGGGGGCTGAAGCTATTCTTCACTTAGTCAATGAATGATGCACCATCGTCATAGGTTTTCCTCATTTTGGGGGGTGGAAGGGAAGGTCTAGGTGCAGCGATGTCTAACTCGCTCGATTATATCGGATGATAAGCTAAAAAAAGGATTAAAAGGAAAGAAGAAGAAGCAAAAGAGAGAGAAAAGGACGAGGCACCAGGCCTGAAGAGGAATGGTTTGGGTGACACGGCAGAAAAGAAACGCAACAGCATTTAAAAGCTCCGGAAATTCATGACATCATAGCCTTACCATCCAGATCCAGAAGAGATCTATTGCACCCTATTGCATTTTATTGCACGCATAATCCCTGATCCTTACTTCCGACGGACCCCTTGTATTTTTCGAATAAGCGGCGCATTTCTTCCCATGCAAAGTTCAGTTTTCGATGATGGCATTCCGCGTACCAAGTGCCACAGACCGTTGGACTTGTCACTTGTTACATAGCTTGTGTATCACGATCCCCAGTTTTGTATATAGGGAACCATGCACCCTACTCTGCGGAAACCTTCCTCCCTCCCTATCTACCTACATAGTGGTAATAACATGCTTCATACATGAATATCATCTAAAGACCAAAATTCTCAATATCACATACATACACCATTAACCCCTATCTACAAGCCAAACCTTCCCCTATTTGACCCCCAAAAAGAACCAAGTAAAAGAAAAAAAAAAGGAAATGGGCAAGAAATTCTCCCCCGTCAACCCGCGGGGCTACCTCCCCTCGCACGCGCACCCGGAGCACCGCTCCCACCGCAAGGAGATCGAGAAGGAGCACCCCTTCGGCTGGACTGAGCCCCTCGTCCTCGGCATGCTGGGCATCGGGCTCGCGTGGAACATCGAGAACCAGGTCAAGAAGCACGAGGAGCGCAAGGACCGCGAGGAGGCGGAGAGGAGGAGGGGCGGGAGGAGGAGTAAGAGTCAGGGTGGGGTTGGGGGTGGAAGGGGGAGGGGAAGGAGTGAGAGTCGTGTTGGTGGTGGTGAGGTAGACAGGGAGAGGGAGAGAGACAGTGATAGGTGGAGCAGCACCCGCGCCGGCCACGGCGGCAATGGTGGCGGTAGTGACCACAGCACAGCAAAAGACACGGTCGAGCTTGAGAGAAGTCGACGCAGCAACTACAACAACAACAACAGTAACAACGACAATACCCGGCGCGACCGCGACCGCATCCGCTCCGCAGACCTAGGCCACCACCAAGACCTCCTCCGTAACCTAGAAGACGGCCGGCTCTACGAGCAGCAACAACAGCCGCGATACGAGAGACGGGTCGAGGAGGATGACAGATACTACCACAATGATCCCCGTCACGACGCTGCTGCCAACTACGACGGCAGGAGAGAACGAGATGGGGATCGGGCTCGGGACGCGAGTTCGCGGCGCCATGGGAGGAGAAGTCGGCGGGATTCGTTTTAGGCGGTTGTCCTGATTTGATGTCCTCTCCCCTTTTTTTTTCACTCTTTTATGGGCTGGGAAAGGAAGAATAAAAGGGGACATGAACAAACAAAACAAGCAGACGAATAAAGCACACTCGCTCACTAGAGGCATTTTTGTTTTGGGGGGGGTGGTTTCACTTATAAGCAAGCAAGCAACTGATATTTCTCGACTATTCAAATATGATAACGACGACCATGGTAACGACAAAAATAGCAAAATCTTTTTTAGGATGATGTACAGGGAATAAATGAGAGAGAGAGAGAGAAACATGAGGAATACACGGGAATCAAGGCAGAATATGATACGACAGCATGATCATCATCATTACCTATCAACATTCATCAAGGTTCCTCGGAAAGCAAAGCTTGCATTGAAAATTGGAAAACGGAGTCGTGCATGTGTGGATTTATATATTTCATGACATCATCATCATCATCAAAAGACGGGTGGGCATTGGTCATAAGGGGTTTTGATACATGCCTACCTAAGTAGTCATGTCTGTTCTAGTTACTATGTAGGTACGCACAAGCTACCACACGATCTTATGAATATTTAGAATGCATATCATACCAAACTATACCATAACAAAGTACAGATCTAAGGTCTCTATTTCGTGCAACATCTACAGGCTTGGTGTCTAAATCTCTATATACGACACGTGCATCCCCACTCCCCTTTCCCCCTTTTTAAGCAGCGAGTATCTTCTCGGCAGCCCCAACCAAAATCTCAAAATGCTTCCTAACGTGATGTTCCTCGACCATCGGGGTGGCGGGATTATGTCGGATAGCGAAGACGCCGCCGACGACCGTACTCGAGAGGAAGATCTTCCCCTCCTCGACCACGGCATCGTACATCTTTTTCGTGGTAGCGTTCTGCTCTTCGAGCGTCTTGCCCTCCTTCGCTGCTAGCTTGAATACTGTCAGGGCGAACCGCGGACCCGTTATGATCTCGAAGAGGTCCGGTCGTCCCTTCATCAAAGTGCCGAACGTCTCCGCTAGTCCGATGTGCTTCCGGATGTGCGCGCGGAGACCCTCGATGCCGTAGGTGCGCAGCACGAACCAGACCTTGAGGGAGCGGAACCGCCGGCCGAAGGGGATCTGCCAGTCGCGGTAGTCGGTGACTAGGCCGGACTCAGTGTGCTGATTTTGTAGGATGGCCAGCGACACGCTCAGTGCTTCGGTCAGGTGCTGCCGGTCCCGCACCCATACGGCGCTGCAGTCGAAGTTTACCAGAAGCCATTTGTGCAGGTTCGTGTTATAGCTGTGGAAGCGGTCGAATGCCTTGGTGAGATGCTGGTATTCTGGGCAGATGAGAGAGGCTCCCGCATATGCGGCGTCCACGTGCACCCATATTTCCCCGGGGCCAGGCGGCGCCAGCTCCTCTAATACGGATGCGATACCCTCCATGTCATCGATGCCACACGTGTCTGTCGTGCCGAGCGTGGCCGTTAGGTAGAAAGGTTCTAACCCTTTGGCACGTAATTCCAGGACCATCCTCCGTAGCTCAGCACCGGTCATGCGGTATCCGTCGGCGGCATGTACGGGGACGGCACGGAAGCGGACGCCGGCGATCTGGGCGCCCTTCTTGGTTGCACTATGGGTGGCCGCGCTTCCGAGGGCAACCAGCTTGCTACGGCGAATGGCGATTGCATCCTCACGCTCTTCTTCGTCGGTGATGTGCGAGGTGGCCTCGCGCAAGTACTTGTCACGAGCAGCCACCAGCATAGTGGCGATAGCCTCAGAAGCAGTGCCGTGGATGACGCCGCCGCCATTGGTGGGGCCAGTCGAGAGATAGCAGTCGGGTAGGGCGAAAGCCTTGGCCAGCCAGTCCATTACGATGGTCTCCAGCTCTGTGACGGCAGGAGAGCATATCCAGTTGAAAGCGGCGCCGGTGAAGGCAGCCGAGTACATCTCACCGAGCATAGCGGGGAAGCTGCTTGAGGAGGGGAACCAAGCTAGGAAATTGGGTGATTGCCTAAGTACGTAAGCTTTAGCCAGATGGTTAGGTATCCAGAAGGGGGCAGGTTGTGAATGGGAATAGGAAGTAGGAAGTAGGAAGTAGAAGTATAATTAGCACCAACCAATGTGTCAGACCAGGCACGATCTTGGCCTCGAGATCTTTCTGAATATCAGCCCAAGCCTCCCCATTCTGAGGAGCTTCCTCGGGGAGTATTTTTCTAAGGTAGCCCGGCTCAACATTTGATACTACACGGCGTTCTTCGATAGTATCGTAGTATCTGACGACTATGACAAGTCAATTGTTGGCGTTTGACGTTGTATAAAGTGAGAGGGGACTCACTATCGTCAATGGACGATATGGCCGCTTCTCGGAACTGCTTCGAGTCCATGATGTTTTACGAGTCCTCGAAGACGAGAAGGTGGAACTAGGTATAAAATATTTGAGAGCACTTGGTATAGTATAGTGAGGGTTTATGTAGGTATATATACATATATATATATATGATTTTAGGATAATTTGTGTTTATGTATAGTAGTATGTATACTAGGTAAAGTATACCAGGTAAGGTTGGTAAAGAGTACAGTCTCCGTACCGGGCACGTACAATTACTACGTCGATTAGAAAACCCGTTGGGAAACTTCAAATCTTTAACGTTCAAGTCTTTAATTGATCGTCCAACAATTCTGGTGCATTGATAGTACCAACATTACATTTGAAACCGTCTAAACTAAATATGTACATAATCAAAAAGGTAATTCTTCCATACAGTCTCGCGGTTTCCCATACATAGTGTCATAGTACCTAGTATACAAACTATGTAAGATGTATCTTTGGGCCGGGAAGCACCGTAGCATTGTAAGAAAATATCAATGTCTTGGCAACTGCACACGGATGTAATAGGCTTAAGTTGAAAAACATTTGGGCGCTAGTTAACCCTATGTAAGCTCGCCCACAGTCCTAGGGTAGGTATGTATATATACACAAACAAACCACCAACTTTCAACCAAGCACATGGTTTCGTGGTGTAGTTGGTTATCACGTCAGTCTAACACACTGAAGGTCTCCAGTTCGAGCCTGGACGAAATCATCTTTTTATCTTTTTTGCTTTTGAATTTTCTGTTCCTTTTTATCTATGCGTAGGTATCTTATTCTTTTGTTGCTTTTAGATTTTATACTACGATTTATTTGTAATTGAGATATCTACTATGAACATGTCTATAGGTAGGTAGGTTAGGTACTTAGGTCCATCGTCCCCCTCACGACTGAAACTTCTCCTGCCACTCCTTATAATGATCCAGCATATCCTGCGTGACCAACATCGGCGTCTTCCCTATCGCCGCCAGCAAAACCTGCATCGCCTGCACACTCCCCTCCTCATCCTCATCCGCATCCCAAAACGCCTTGTCGCAGATCCGCGCCACCTCGGCGCCCGAGAACCCTTCCGTCTGCGCCGCCAGCTCCGGGATATCGATTTCGCCCTCCGGAAACCCCAGTTCTTTAGCCTTGGCCGCGAAGATGGCCTCGCGCGCCTTGGCGTCCGGCAGCGGCACGTAGATGAGCTCGTCGAAGCGCCCCGGTCGGCGTAGCGCCGAGTCCAGCAGCTCCGGCTTGTTGGTGGCGGCGAGCACGAAGACCTCGCCGATGCGCTCGAAGCCGTCCATCTCCGTGAGTAAGGTTGTCAAGGCTTGCACGCTAGAGCCACCGGAGGAACCGGGCCCCTGGCGCGATCCGGCTATAGAATCAAACTCGTCGAAGAAGATGATGCTGGGGCTGGCCTCGCGCGCGCGCTTGAACAGGTTGCGGATCGAGCGCTCCGTCTCTCCGACGTACATGTTCAGCAGCTCGCCACCCTTGACGGCGAAGAAGTTGAAGTCGGACTCTGTTGCCATCGCCTGCGCGGTCATGGTCTTGGAGCACCCCGGCGGTCCGTAGAGTAGTACGCCCTTGGGTGGTTTGGACATTTTGGCGCGGGGTCCCTTTGAGTTTGGAATATCGTTAGTATATTAGGTAAAAACAGACATATATACAGGCACATCTAGGGATAAGGGGCTAGGACATACCGTAGGCCGTCGTAGTACTCTCTGCAGCGCAACCTTAACTTCCTCATACCCTCCAATATCGCTCCAGCGCACCGTAGGCGGCTTGAGGTTGATGTCGTGCATAGCCGTAGGCCGCACTTCGTGGAGCCCCTTCGTCACATCCTCCCAAGTCAGGGGGTGCGCCTTAGAAGGCTTGCCTACCCGTTTCCTCCACGCCTTCGTAGCGCGGTAGAGGACCTTGCGCAGGTCCGCGCCGGTGTACGCGTGGGTGCGGTCGCCCAGATCCGAAACATGCTGGTCAAAGACGTCCTCGGCAAAAGTCGGCTGGTGGAAACGGATGATTTCCTTGCGGCCTTGTGCGTCCGGGATGGGGAGAGCGATGTGTTCTTCGAATCGGCCGGGCCGCTGAAGCGCGTGGGGGATATCGGTTAGAAAGTCGAGGCAGGTAGCTACCACGAGGACTTGTGGTCTTATGTTTTGCTGGCGTGCCTTGTTGGCCAGGGCATCGAGCCCTTCGCCGATAGTCTCGATCATGACCTGACGATTCGACTGGTCTTTTCCTATCAGTTTCGTGATGTCGTCGATAAAAATAATAGTCGGGCTCCGCTGCTCCATGGCGGTTTTGAAATGTTGCTGGATTGTTGTCGTCTTTTCATGGTAACTCAACCGAACAACCCTTCCCCAGTTGGTAGCAGCGATGTGGTCTAGTAGCATCGATTTCCCTGTCCCATGGCTGCCGTGGATGACGATTCCACACGAGTAAGTTGGTGTGGTATATCCGTCAAACTCGACATTATAATCATTAAAGAATTCGTTAAGCTCGTCTGTTGGGCGCTTCATGCCTGGCAGCAAGCTTACTTCAAGCTTACCCCGAGGGTTGCTTGCTTCGTTGTTGGATAACTCAACTACGGTAGTATTTGGTGTGTATTTGGCTACACCATCAACTCTACCATTTACAGACGTGACACGAAATGAACGCCTTGATCCGTTTAAGACGATATCATCGAATGATATGCCCGACATTATGTATTCAGCTACCTCTGTGGATATAGTCAGACTATTGTTACATGAATGGGGTTCAAGGAACATTCTAGGAGAAGAGAACGTGACGATGAGATAGAAAGTCCATGGCAAGTAAATCCAAATGATCTTCGGTAATGCTCGTTAAGGGGCAATGAGCCCTGAACAACACGACAACGTGTTTGCAATCAAGACTTATAAGGGGCAAGAAGATAGAGACTTACCTAGTCGGCTCTCCAGATGATACTGCCACCTCGTCTGTTCCGATGGAGGTAAGGGAGTAGCGTCAGGGGTAATCTCTCTCATAACGACAACTCCAGCATCGGGTACGGGACCATTGCCAGGGGTCACCTTAGCCATCTGACCGAGTTCTAGGCCAGCTTTCTTTTGAAAGACTCGACTGATAGACACAATATTGTTGGCAACATTCTTGTCTGGGGCGGGCCAGGCAACCAACTCCCATCGACCTAGCTCCTCTACCTCAATGTTGCACAGGTGTGCTGTGTTGAAACCCCCCTGAGCAAAGGTGGTCGGATGAATGAAGATTTTGGCGGAGTTTCTAAAATTTGGGCTCTTTTGACTGGCCACGTCCTGCGGCTGGAGCCGTATTTTGAAGTCATCTCTGCCCATTGTTTCTGGTATTGGTGCCCCAGGAGAAAGAATCTTCTTAGTGTGTTGAAAAATGTATATCAAGTTTTATAGCTTCTTATCAATAACCAGGCAGGTCATAACTTTGGATCATCATTGGTTGTAACAAATATAACAAATATTATATTCTTAAATCTTTCAATATTCAAGAACATTATATTAAAACCAAGTAAAGAGGTGAAAGGTGAAGAGTGAAGAGTGAAGAGTGAGATGTTCAGTTCAGATATTCTTGTAACATGAACATTGTATCGCAAAGTGAATGTTACACACTGGTACAATACAGATGCCCAATCAAAACCAAGTAAACCACCCTAAAGAGCCTAAGGAAACTTTGATGGTTAGCGCATTCTAGGTACCTACCTAGCTTTTGATTTTTGACTTTTCCTATCACATCCATAGTTACCTCTTCCTAAATTTGACATCATCATCATCTTCTTCTTCCAACTTCAAGTGCCTTGTATTATATAAAAATTGCAATGCGCTTGGCATTACCCTTTGCCGCCTCATGCTCCTACGACAGCTCCAGCGGCAACCTTTACGATCGGTAGTCGCAACAGTAGCAGCATCAGCATCAGCAGCATGGCGGTCCACATCTACGAGGCAGTTGCACGATAGCAGCAAGCCACCACCATCACCATTGTCACCACCAACACCACCACAACCGTCGACCCAGCCAGAAGACCACAATGCCACCACTACTGCCACTAACCAAATACCACAACCACAACCACAACCACAACCCCCAAACAAAACCCCCTCCCTCTTCGAGAAGCTCTTCCCGGACGAAACCAACCATTTCGGCGACGACCCGATCCCCATCGAAACCCTCGCCTCCCAGCTCCTCGACGACTTCGCCTTTTCCCCCCTCGGCGATGACCTACCCCCCACCTCTCCTTTCTCGGACCAAATCATCCCGCTGCGCGCGCAGTCCATGCTGATCCTCTCGTCGGCCTCCAAGCACCTGACCGAGAGCGACTTCCTGCGTCTCGGCGCGCGGGGCGCGCACGTCGAGGGCTGGGTCGGCGGCATCCTGCGCGTCGTGCAGGCGCGGGACCCCGACACCCTGGCCCCGCTAGGCCACTACTTCGTGCTGTTTGACAGCGCCGCCGCCGCCACCTCGTACCGGGACGCCGTGCAGCGGCTCTGGGAGCTGGGAAAAACCTACATCCCGGGGGCGCACCACGGCAAAACAGCCTCGCGACGCGTGGCCCCTTTACCCGACGGCCTGCGCACGGCGCCCGATGGCACGGACGTGGCGGCCGCCCTGCGCGGGTTCACGCTCGTCCCCCCCTCGCAGCGCCTGAACCTCGAGATCTCGCACGCCCTGAGCCCCGAGCGCCTGCAGGCCCTGGACGTCGGCGGCAACGCCGCCTTCGTTGACCGCCTCGCCGCCCGCGCCGGCTCCTCCCACCTCGTCCTCGTCTCCTTCAGCGGGGGCCGCGTCTCCGTCGAGACCCTGCAGCAGGCCATCCGCGAGGACGGGCTGGAACGCGGCCTGCCCTGGCGGGTCACCGATCTCGAGAACGGGATCCTGCCGTTTGGGAAGAGCATCCTCAAGAGCCATGATCGGGACACGGGCAACGTCGAGCTGAGCAGTCTGCAGAATGAGGGCGGACGGGCTTTGGGGTGGAAGGATAGGGAGGATACGCCTGCAAGGGCGGGAGAAGGAAAGCCAGCAGGACAAGAGGTAGAAGGCCAAGGAGAAGAAGAAAAGGCAAAAGCAAGCGAAGGAGAGCCAGATCCTACCACCACTACCACCACCCCCGCAGACGACAAAAGATACAGACAGTACCCGCGGTTCATCATCCCCTTCACCGACGACGCCGAGGCGCACCGCTTCGTCCGGTACTGGCACCGCCGCGAGCTGCGGCTGCAGATGAGCCTCGAGGGGGAAAAGGGGGAGGTGTCGTGGGACGAGACGAGGATATTCAATACCGAGGTGCTGTGGTGAAAGGAAGTTGAAAATTCAAAATGCAATTGTAAAAGGCAAGGTTATAAAGTCAAATTTTAAAATCAATGTAAATCACCTTGGGCAGTGTGAAGAAAATACCCAAGGTGCCATATACTCTCTTCATTACCTAACCTAGGGTGCAAGGGATTGTGAAAAGATTCTGGTTCAAATGTCACATCACATCACATCACATATATATTCAGGAAAAGTCAAAAGCACAAAAGAGAACAGATACGATGACTGGAAAAGTATATTAAGCCCCATATCAACCAAACTCCTCCAAATATAGTCGCCCTCACTATGCCCTTCCCCAGGCCTCATTCTTCATGTATCTGTGGTACGTTGCGTGTTGTGTGGTTTCTGTGTGATCAGTGTCTATCGTGAAGCAAGCTTGGCTTTCTTCTGGCCTGCTCTGCCCCCACCCTCCCCCTTCCCCCTCCTCATTCACTTAAACCCCCCCCTTTCCCAGGCAGTACACCACCTCCTTATTCTTCGTTCCCTTGGGGATTCTTTGGGTTCCATAAATCATATCCTCGGTCTACGGTAGTTAACTCGCTTGATAACATGAAATCTGCCAGCCTCGTGGCTTAGCTCAACATTGCGCCTCGCCCGCAACTCTTTCTGAGCTGCCCTCTCCCTACTCCTCCATTACTTCTCGCTCGTTCTTTAGCAGCATTTTCCTAGCCCGCCATTACCATCTCCCTGCGCGACGTTGACGCCGGTTGATTGTGTAGGCTCGGCCTTGGAAGTGTCGATGATGCGCTTCTTGATGTCGGCGGCTAAGCTGTAGAATGCCTTGTCGATGTTTATGTTGCTCTTGGCGGAAACCTCGAGGAAAGGAATACCCAGCTCCTTAGCCAATGCCTCGCCCTGTTCCGTCGATACAACTCGCTTCTCTTCCCAGTCACATTTGTTGCCAACGAGGATCTTGTTGACGCCCTCAGTGGCATGTTGCTCGACGTTAGCAAACCAGGTTCGAATATCTAAAGAAGTAGGAGTTAGCGTCGAGAATCAAGAATTTTATCAAACGTTGCTGGAAATATATAGCGGTCCCTTTGCCATGTTGATAGATTACTCATGTCGAGTCCAACTTTTTTTTTTATAACCTTGGCCTTGTACGTATGATTTTCATGTCCAGCAAGATCTGATAAAAAGGGAATAGGAGTCAAGGTTATCCTTACTCTCGAAGGATCTTTGATCCGTAACATCATAAACCAAGAGGATGCCCATCGCGCCGCGATAATAAGCCGTCGTGATGGTCCGGAATCGCTCTTGACCAGCCGTATCCCAGATCTGTAGCTTTACTCGCTTGCCATCTAGTTCGATCGTACGAATCTTGAAGTCAATCCCGATGGTCGTGATGAAGGACGGCGTGAAAGAGTCTTCGCTAAATCGCAGCAGGCAGCATGATTTACCGACACCGGAATCGCCGATTAGAAGGAGTTTGATCTAAAAAAGTTGGAAGCGTTCGTTAGTATAAGTCAAGCAATGTAATGGCCATTGGCCGAGATATGAAATAGAAAGAATAAATAGAAAGAAGCGGTATCGAGTGATCTTGATATCTATCAATCGGATCGAAGAGAGGGATGATGGGGACATACTAAGAAATCGTAGTTTCTGTTGCCCGACATTTTGGCAAAGTCGCTCGTCGTAGACGGCAGAGAATATCAAGGTAAATTCGCCCGTTCTATCTTCGTCTAGGGATTGGTTGTATTAAAACGCGGTCTTGAATGTCGAGATAATGGTTCACAAGCACGGGACAGCAAACAAAACGTGTTGTCAGATGTGGCAGTGAATAGTTGGGTAATGGGTAATAGCGTTAGTGGTAAAGCAGTGGCAAGTAAGTGGTAAAGTAATAGTGGTTTAGTGATAATAGTAGTTGGTAGTAGTTGGTAGTAGTGGTGGTAATGGTGGTAATGGTGGTGGTGGTATGTAGTAAGTAGGTAGGTAGTGGTAGGTAGCGGTAGTGATAGTGGTAATCAATGGTGAATAAAGGTGGTTCAACCGTTCAAGTGCATAGGTAGTAGGTACTAGGTATCCTTGGCAAAATTATTAGACTTATCTAACTTGCTTTGTACTAGTGCCTTACGTTGCTATTGTAGAAGTTCAGTTAGTTAATAGTTACGACCTTAGGTACGACCTTAGGTATGACCTAGTAACTAATGTTAGACTCAGGAGTGAAAGAGCGGAAGTGGAAGTGAAAGTGGACAAGTAAGAGTATCATGTATTATTAAGCTATCATAGCACGGAACGTTATGCAACTATTAAAAAAAAAACATTGAAAGAATTCAAGAAAATTAAGAGGAGCACTGAGAAGAGTGAGACTACGATAACTCAAATAACGGTGTGCAACTTTCACAATGGAAAGTCCCAAAGGAATGATTGACCCAAACGAGGCAGCCTCAAACCTAAGGCAGGTACTGAGTTACATGTGTTCAATGCATTATTCTTCAAATGTTTTAGCATTACTTTATTATTTTAGTAAGGCAGTAGTCGCAGGGCAGTCACCGCCGAGTTTGCTTTTAGACTTGGAGACTTGGTACATGGTTGCCCAGATTAACCCAGATCAATCATAGTCAATCATAGTATCCAACTAATGGACGTGTTAGCGCTCATGTGCCCATAGGATAGGATAAGATAGGCCTCGATAGTAACTGCCTGTCCGGTTTATGGTTCCTTGATGACCTCAGTCAGGCACATCCAATATCCGGATATATCCGTACCTACATGTTAAGTCGTGGTTGTCCCTAGCTTACGTAAGACGGGTGGACAAGAACTTGAACTTTGATGTATTTTAGTTTAATGTTTGAATCTTGCTAGTAACTATTACCTAGTACTATGTACCTAGTAGTAATTTACTACCGCAGGTACAGGGTACAGGACTACAACAGGTACACACACATGGCAATCAATTCATGCCTTCGGTGTTTGGAGCTGCCTCATCGAGAGACAATAACAGAAAAGGGGTTCATCGGAACAATGAGACAGGCGTTTCAAGAATCGCACTTCTTTTTCCACCATATCCCATTTGCTATTTATTTTCATGCAACCCCAGGTTATTACATACTATGGATGTATATGTAGTTATATGTACTAGGTAGTTATTGTGTATGCAAGTACATCTGTCATCTGTCATCTGTCATCTGTCATCTGTACTCCAGATGTCCCTTTACAGTCGCAACGAGATCCACGCAAAGTACAACTTGCATGTATCATCCACTCAATTACGCGAATAAAGATTGGGATGGTAACATATCGATTTACCGCTTGTTCGCTGTATTATACTAATACTAGCCAGGCATGCTTTGCTAAGGTAGTGAGGTGGTAGCAACATAGTACACCGGTATGATTTATCTCAACCACTTGGAATATGCCCAACGTATCCTGTCCAGGGCACGCAATTGGGACTGGATACCTTTGAGGTTAGCAAGATCATCCAAGTCTTCCAAGAAATCCTTCTCGATGTCCGCTGGCAGTATACTATGTGCCAGTCGACGCAGAACGTGCACCTCGCAAATAAGGAGACCGTGGTCTTTGTAGGATAAAAGGTTGTTTGGCGAAGGTGTCGCTTCGGACAAGATGCGGTCGATATTGCGGAGAACCCGTACGCATTTACCAGCCCTTCGGTTCTCACGAAAGCCTTTTCTCCCTCCGAGCACACCCCGAAGGTACTGCACAACTCCAAACGACACCAGGATGCCAGGTGTCAGTCCGACGAGGCCAAAGACAAGCTCTTGGCTTTTCAGAAGGGTATCGATACCGGTCATGGCAACCTCTATATCGACCTTGGTCTTCTGAACCTGGATAAGCAACGTTCGGACTAGGTCACCTCGAACGGTACCCTTTAGAGGGCTACGCAGGTCTTTCTCGTACGCCCGCAGAATAGGCGTTACATCTCCCTCCCGGACCTTGGCTCTGATGTCGGCTACCTGCGACTCTGAAATCGAGGAAGCACCAGTGGCAGAACTAGGGTTATCGAGAGCAAAGTCGACGACCATACGTTCCAAGCTGTCTCTGTCCGCCTGAAGACTGTCTCGACTCATGATGGCAATTTCGCTATTGGCGTCATGGCGGATAGTGCTGACAACTTTTCGAACAGGGTCAATAACCCAATTGAACCAGAAGTCGCGCACGGTTACTCCAAGATCTCTAATCCAGTGTAGGATCTCTTGCTTCTTGTTGACCAATATCCGGAGAATCGTCGTCGAGGAAAAGACAAGGATAGTAGCAGGCAGCCAATATCTCACAAGTCTTGACGGTCGCCCATTTTCTGCTACCATCTTTTCCGCCGCTTCAACATGTCCCGGTAGATGCATTTCCAGCAGGTCCAAAAGTCTCCTAGCCACCACTGCTGGACGGGGTATCTCATCCTCCTCAGCCTGGATCGATAATTCAGGATCCTCCTCAACGCCAGCGAATACCCTATCTTCGAAGTCGGCAACCCCGACATTCAACGTTAAAACATCTTTGAGCACCATGTCCATCAGGGCAACGCTGCGCTCCACGACACCTTTCCACTCCTGATTGTTCGAAAGAATCAGATCACTTTTACCATCATCACTGCCGTTGCCGCCGAAGGCGAGTCCCTCATCAATCAAGACACCGAGGCCGCTCGAAGTCATTTCCCTCAGCTTTTTCAGCTTAGATTGCTTTCTACGAGCCTCGGCCCGACAGAGGGCCACTGGGGACAGAATTTTCTTCTGCACATTAGCAAGAGACTTTTCGTGTATGCTTTCTCTCACGATATGATAAAATTGACTCCATCGCTGAGAAATACCGGCCTGGATGGATGTCGTATTGGCTCCGACTTCAGAGTCAGTAGCTGAAGCACCACTGGTGTATTGTTGAAGCTTAGCCTTGCTGTCTGTGTAAATTTCCCTAGACCGAGCCCAGAGCCGAACGGGAGATGTCTGCACCATATAAATGCTGCTATACGTCGGTGAAGACAGGACATCATCCCAATACCAGATATGGTCGCTTAAGGGGATGATCTGATCCAGCAATGTGTCCAGAATTATTCCATAGGTTTGGACAGTTGCTTTGCTAACCAATAGCCACTCCAGTTCTGTTTCGTACTGTGTAGCTGATATTTCGCCGCCAGGCTCTGGAAATAAACTCGACTGAGTCAAGAGAGAGTGCAGCTGCCATGCTGTAAGAGCTTTTTGTGATCCTGTTGTAGACAAAGATTTGATCACTTTTGATAAGTCCTTGACGCGAGGACTATCCAAGTCTATGGGTGACTGGGTGGCATCATAGCTTGTTAAGTGACCAAAAGGGATACGGTCCAACTGTGCGTCCAAGCGCCGTACTTGACTAACAAAATCATAAGTGACTTTGTTCTTGTGGGTATAAGATATAACTATGTTCATAAAAAAAGAACTTACTCAGCGACTAAAGACATGTCTGTTAACAAAGTAAATTTATATGGGTCGAGATTCAGAGGCTCTGCTGGACATAGCTGATGATTGGCAATTGAAGATCTACTAGACAGTAAATCATGTCACGATGGGTAGCCAGCCAATCCCTGTAGATGCCTAACAAGGTATTCGAGTTGGAAGTCTTCCGTGATGAGGCCCGGGACATCCAGAACATCCAGAACGTGGAATAGAAGTGAGTGTGATCAACCAATAGGAAGCCAGATACAGATCTGCTTGGCCTTTGATCGATGGTTCCCTGTCTACCAACTGGTTCAGCTACTGTAAGGCTTACAGAAAGCTTTGATGAAACGATGCAGTATTGCGGTGTGCCGGCCGGATGTTGTATGATAAATCCACCAAGTTTGCAGGGTTAAATGTCGAATGTTCGTCAGTCGATTATGTACTCTTGGGATGTTGTAATATTGAATGAGGTCATAAAGAAATAACCATGTGTAGAAAATATTAATTCATGATTCTCAAGTTGTGCATGTGGTTCTCTAGACTGAACAGGGTAAGGTACAGTATGTACATGATAGGTGTGAGCCTGTGAGGCCCCATTTTCCATTTTGGCAGGCTGTGCCAAGTGGATTCAAATGTTATGTAGTTATGTACTACTATGCCGTACTAGTAGTACATGTAACTACATAATAGTTAGTACATATGTAGTAAGAAAAGAATGCAAAGTGAACTGATCTGAACTGATCGGGTAGGGACGTTGCCGGTCAGGTGACATTGCCACGTAGCTAATCCTTGTCCATGTTGATAAACATTTAAAGTGGATTCGGCTGTTGGTTGGTTGAATTGGATATCGATAAGCTTAATTATCAGATCAAAATGTTTCTTTGGGGAAATTGTATTCTAAATCCGAATACGAAAGCTACCTAGGTACATAGTTTAGATACATAGTTAAGTACAAGGTATAGAGAACGGGAAGAGTAAGTTCCAGGTGGAATCATTGTGGCAGCATAAGTGATTGGGTCGTACGTCCAGGAACTGGGACTTAGCAAGGGCCCCTAAAACGCTAAAATATTTCTAATTTATCCCTATCGCCTTTTGGAGTAATTCTCTATTTTATTAACTTACAACAAATACTCGTTGTCTTCTCAACCTTTTTTTTTTATTATCTCCTTCCTTCCTCTTCCTTCCCTATCACCATTCCCAGCTGGGTACATTCTTTTATCCTCTAGGAAAGGGATCATTAGACGACCACCATCGCATTGTTACTCCACCATGGCTACAATGTATGTGCTTGCCCCCCCTTTTTTTCTTGTCCAAAGAAAAAACTCGCAAAAGACCATCACGACGCGTCGCTATTGAGCACCAACTAATACCTTACTATAGGAATACTACCCTTGTGGGTGCTTTTAGCCATCCCGATACTTATCTTAGCGTCTTCGAGGAGGTTTCCAAGTACAATGTTCAGCTCAATGTTGTTGAGCGCTTATGGGCTGTTAGTTTTCCCTCTAATCAATAAATACCCCAGGCACGATCTGGAAACTGACTCGGTGCTTTGTTAGGCTTGGTACCTGTGGATGCAAAATGACGTGTTGGCGACAGGTATCATGAGTTTCATGATGCACGAAATCATCTACTTCGGCCGGTGTATCCCTTATATGGTCCTCGACCGCATTCCCTACTTCAACAAGTACAAGATTCAGAACCAGAAGATCCCGACGTGGAAGGAGCAGTGGGAATGTGCTGCTTTGGTGCTTCTGAGCCATGTTACAGTCGAATTGCCTCAGATCTGGCTCTTCCACCCAATCGCCACCTATTTCGGCATGGATTACGGTGTCCCCTTCCCCAAGATCCAGACTATGGCCCTACAAATCTCAGTCTTCTTTGTCATTGAAGATGCATGGCACTATTGGTTCCACCGAGCTCTGCACTATGGTCCTCTATACAAGATGATTCACAAGCTACACCACACTTACTCGGCGCCTTTCGGTCTAGCCGCTGAGTACGCTTCGCCGATCGAGACTATGCTCCTCGCGCTTGGAACAGTCGGAAGTCCCATTGTTTGGGCCTCTGTAACTGGCGAGCTCCACCTCTTCACTATGTACATGTGGATTGTCGGTCGTCTCTTCCAGGCTATCGATTCCCACAGCGGATACGACTTCCCCTGGAGCTTGAGGCATTTCCTGCCCTTCTGGGCTGGTGCTTACCACCACGATGTTCACCACGAGAAGTTCATTGGCAACTACTCCTCCAGCTTCACATGGTGGGACTGGATGCTAGACACCGAATCCGGCCCCGAGGCCGCCAAGCGCCGCAGGGAGAGGAAGGTCCAGGCCATGAAGGCCAAGAAGGCCGAGTAAAGAGCCAAATCCTCGGTTTGGCAATAGGATAACATTTGGGGGCGTTTATGGCGGTTCAATCAGCAATCTATTAGTATTGCCGCCGGTTTCCCCGAGGTTTACTTGCTCCTGGTTATCAGAAATGCTGGTCACTGAGGAAGGAGGAAGTTTTGAGCCCTCCCTAATTGCAACAACAGACGCAGTACATAGAACGAAAGCACCCAGCGATTTTTTGCGTCGATCGTTAATTCTATAGATATTTGGGTGGTTTAACCGCGGTGGCTTGGGAACCGCACACACCACCAAACTTAATACTACCTTTGTAATTGTTACGAAGAGAAGAGAAAACTGCCCATAGATTAATAACGAGCTCGGTGTGTCCCTACGATGGAGCCCGAAGCAGACTACCTACATAAAACATGAATCCTGCTACCTAGTGTCTTAATCGCGTGAATAGGTATGTGATCTTGTATGATGATTTCCTTGCCCTCGTAAGGTATCCCTTTCGAGTTCTATCGCAAAGAGACTCTAGTTCTTGCTGCTGCACACAAGGTTTATGCTTCACCCCTACCCCTTTTGAGGTTTTGCTTCTGTCAGTGTTGTTTTGTTCCAATAGGTATGTAGGTAGACGAGCTTAGGTTAGAACTACAGAAATGGAGCATAGAGTTCAGTGAGATGTCGAGGTTTTGCGATATATCGCCATTTGCCTGCCAGGTAGGTGGTCTTTGTTGGAAATATATATTTTTTCAAGTGCTTGGATCGCATGCGGTAATTGGGCGAGAGGTGGTAGTGGTGGTGGTTAATATGAAGATGCTTGCTTCCAAAGAATCTTACATTCCTACGCTCCTAGGGCTCGAGTGATTGTGTTTTTACTTTTCTAATTTTGGGGGGGTGATGTCTCATAGTCTGCGGTGGATTTATTGTAGTCAGTCTAGCAAGACATCTTAGGTTAAGGGGTGGTTGTCTAGATTAACCACACACACAATAGCCCGTGCACCTCAGCAGCTTAGGTACTGTAGGTGTTGGATAATGCTTCGCCACATAGCTAGCTTCCTCGATCCTTATGTTCAGCCTCTCCTAACCATCCAAGCTGCCTACAGCCCGGCAACGCAGTTCAAGATTACCCACATACCTAGGTGCCTATGTAGGTCCATAGGTAATATAGTACGGATCGATGATTCCGATACCGTCAAGCCGGGTGGCAAAAAAACCAGGATCAAGCCTTTTCGCAAGATCTTCAGTGGCCAAAACCACACAGCGTTGATCCGTAGTTGATTTTGGGTACCTACCTAGTATTCTTAATCAACTAGCTAACCTAGGGCAACCAACTAACCTAGAGCCACTTCCAGAACCATGTCTACGAGCTACATAGTAGAGCTATGGACGGATCAATATTAGCCCTCCCCCTTAGCCCCTTGACCCCCTTACTTAGGCTTAGGGGTACAGCAGTCGCCAGCGCTGGCGACTGCACGGTCCGTCACCTGTCTCAGTGAGCAGGTGTCATTACCACTGGGTTCCTCGACAACCTCGCCGAAATCCCGAGCAAGGCCGTCGCTGATGGCAGCCAGCTCGATATCCTTGGTAGAGAGGCCCTTGGGGTTATGCGTTGTCCATCGGATGTGAGTGGTGTTGTAGACCTGCACGTTGGCGACACGACGGGAGATGAGTCAGCAAATGTTGTACATAGGTAGGTAATAATGATATTAGCAGTCAGTCAGCAGGTATGTGTAGTGTATTAGGTAGGTTCAATGGAGGAGCATGTGGTCGGGTTGGTCGAGTAAGGGGCGGCTATTGGTGTATGTGTAAGAAAAACAATGGAAAGAGTTTCGTGAAAGGTGTAACGAGGTATCAACTTTTCATAGATACCAGCGGCTCTTGGACTAGAGACGTTGCTATGGTAAGTTCAGAAACTTCGTGTTGAAGGTAGATATCATCAAGTGGGTAGGTAGGTTATGCTTTCGTGTAGGCTGATGTGTTGTTGGTGTAGGTTGGTGTAGGCTGGTGATGCGGTTATAGAGAGTGTAACGAAGTGCGCCTTACGTTGGACCATTCTGGATGGTGATTCTTTAGTTTACATTGCAGTGACACTGCAGTCATGAAGTCCTGCGTAGAGACCCAACAGTGGTTAGTCAAAACTCTCTACTCTTCTCGCTTTGCTTTCACATTCTTTGGGGGTGATAGAACCATAGAACTGCTCCATGGTGCGGTTGTAGTGGTGAGAGTATAGGTCATCCATATATCGTCTGTTCGACTTCCCTGGAGTAGGTAGGTCATCATCCCATAAAACATTGAACGACAGACACCATTTACCCTTTTGACGGCGATATTGAAACCCGTGAGAGGGCCGCAGCCGGCAAGTGGAGACTTTCGTGGGCGTCAGCAGGATAGGATGACTGTTTCTCGTGCCCAACCTAACAACATTGACGCCGTGTAGTGGGTCACGGCGATTAGAATCTGACGATGTGCTAAACGCCGGCGTCCCGTCCGTCGTCAGACGTCAAAGCTAATATGTCGACTTGACGGTAGGTAGGTAGTATTGTGAGTACCTCGAGGTAACAGAACCCGGTAACGACTTAAAACGAATTACTTGAACCCACTTGATCTGCCCGGCTTGCCCTGTCGGTAGTTCCAAGCAGCATGCTTCCATTTCCCGACCCGGTGCCCATGGAATTACTGGATCTGGGGGCATGCTGCGAGGGAGGCTCCAATGAGAGGAGGTTCCGGGAATGATTGCGGCCACGTAGAGGGAGGAAAAAAAAGCGAGAAAAAAAAAGAAGAAAAAAAGAAGGAAGACAAGGACGGCGTGCTATAATGGCTAACTCACCCAAGTCTTCGCAAACGTCTTAAAGCTGAAAGTCCTTTCGAGGCCCTCGCCGCCGGGTATCAATGCCCAGCGGCCCCCAAGACCTGCTGACGCCAGCAGGGGTTCTAATTCCCGGGCCAGAGCCGGCTCGTCAACGCCAGCGGAGAACCGGGGCGTGTGGGTCGTCATGGCTGGCGAGGCCGCGAAGAACCGGCGGCTCTGGGACAATAGTGCCGGGAGCTGATGAGGGCTTCTTCTAATGGTTTTACTTTTCGTCGTCGCTGGTGCTCTGGCTACGAGGACAGCACAGCGGAACACGTGATGTGCGTAGGAGGTGTGCATTAGATTACGGTACAAGTTGACGATAGTGTGTGCTGAAGGATTTCAAGTATCAAAGCGGAAACAAGTTGCGAGCTATATCGGGTTGGCTGATTTGTAAGTTTGATGATGGGATTCAATGATATCAATGATATAATTTCAATGTTTCTGTGCTTGTACCTTTAATGCTGTGTTACTAAGTACCTACTTAGCTTATCTTTATTAGTTATCCCTATTATCCCTATCATCCCTATAATTGAATAACCTGTTTCCATGCATTTACCTTGGAACATTCAACAACATTGAATATCAGAACTTCAATGTTGGAATCAATGTTAGCGGTCATGTATTGTACCGAGGTACCCATAAGCTATTGCGCCTTGCGAACCGGGACACACTCGTCCAATGTTTTTGACATTTTCCATTTTCCACGTGGGCGTCTTATCCCCGGTGATAAGGGGTGTTCAGGGGTTCTCGAGCGCGAGCGCGATCGTAACGATCGTAACCACTAACGCTACAATCCAATCGACTGAGCCTTCGAATGGATGCTCCTTACCCAGCACGGCAATATCTCCTTCCACTCTTGTTGACATGTCGGCGATGTCCACCCAGACTCTGATCGCAGCACAAAATAAGATTACTCAACTCGACATGATGAGGATTGCTTAGCTCTCATATTTCCCTTTCTTAGTTGAAATAAGTACCTAGGTATGGAATACTTATCCCCTACCTATTCCAAGTTTCCGAATAACGAGACCTGAGCACCTTCTGAAGTCTAGGCATCTTCCCCGGGCTTTCAAGCGTTCAAGTATATCTCCGGCTTCTTGCTCCGGCTTCTTTAGGGAAATCGTATCTTGGCATCGGAGCTACCATGGTCCTGGTCGGCAGCCATTTTGTACTTCCTGGTCCTGAGCACCGTCGGCGGGCGGCACAGTCATTCTCATCCATGGCGGATGGGAAACCAGCCCCAATTACAGAGTTCTCATATTACCAAAACTCTCTGTTGATTACATAGTTATCTTGTCGAATGACCAAAGTGGCGATTTCATTCGTACTAATGGGTCTTCCGAATCCCTGGCGAGAGCGCCCATAGTGGTTCGAGGATCTCATTGACATCGCCGACGTGTTCAGCCTCGCATTTGTTGGTTTCCACGATCGCTCCCGGAGCACTAAATCCACTTTAAGATGTCATTTGTAGAAGAGTGCCAAGCATTCCATGTGAAATGCTATTTCCTATCTCGCCCAAGGCCTGGGATGGTCTTGAGCAATGATACTCCTATTGCCGGATTGTTGAGAGCAGCTCACAAAGAGTCGCTATGGGCAGCGAAGTTGGCATCGTCCGTCTCCACCTGAAACGGGCAATGTCGAGGATGGAGTGAGTTTATGATAAAGAAGAGCTGTCAAAGTGATGAAGGAAGGAAAGGGCCGTTTCCAATGTAACCTATAGCATCTAAGTAGACTTCCAAACTAATATCCTTCAAGAGTCTCTCCCATGGAAACCTGAGCAATAACCCCCCTCCCTTCAGCTAAGCAGAATCACGGCTTGATGTCTCAAAGCGGCCGTTCGGCTATCTTAGCGAGCTACCGTTCTAAGCAAAAAAAAAAAAAAAGTGTGATATACTCTTTGATACGATGAATACCAAAACATTTATCCTTACGAAAATTGCGCTTGATACATCTCCTCGGACCTGCCATGCAAACCTTGAATACATACGTACACACGCACTTCCTGGCATCTTGGCAAGCCAGCTTTTGCTGTGTCGTTGCCTCGATCCTATGGGGTTCTAGGGGGTGATGCCGTAACATGTTACCCAATAAGCAATTCAGCCATTGTCTTTGTCATTGATTGCCCCTTATAGTAACATGGATATAGAAAGCGTACCCCCGTATGGGGCGTATTGGCCGTACTGTATGTTAGATCACACACATACCGCATGCATTGTCAGCACCAACTTGTGCGTAAATACTACTCTGAGACACCGTTCCGCTCCGTATTCCTGATTGGTCCCTCTCGTCAAGCTGACGAATCACCACTGCCTTCATAGCTGCTTAGCCATGGGCACGACTTGTTCGGAGTCTATTAGTCGTTTGGTTGTCATATGACTTAATAAGTAGGCCTTGATAGCTTAGTAAGTCCGAAGGGGTAGGTAGGTACATGTAGGCACCTATGTAGGTAGGCATGTGCTAACTATGTCCTAACGCCGCAGAACAGGTTGAACCTGGGAGAACTATGTAGCTGGCCCGACTGGAGGTCCTTGATAATACATAACTAGATCTTCACTTGAAAGTGCTCATACATACATAGCTACAGTGTTGCCATTGCTACTAAGTATAGATTCAAGCCCAAGATTTGATAGTGGTGTGTTAATTGATACCTGTAGTACCAGGTGGCACAGCATTCGCGGGCCGAGTGCACACACTTTGGCAATTGAGAATGTAACATCATGGTTACCACTGTGAAACATAAGATATTACTCATCCTATGCTTCTTATGCTTCTTATGCCTCTTATGCTGGGTCGGATGTACAGTTTCCAGGGTACTTTCTCGTCCAATATGTCTCTGATGATAACATGACGTGAGTCCCGAGTGTACTGTAAAACTGGATTCCGTCCCCCGATCTGATATCGCAACATTCCATAGGCACTAACCTACATGTGTAGGTATGTATGTATGTATGTATGTATGTATGTATGTATGTATGTATGTATGTAGGTTAGGTAGTTGGCACAACGCATTCATTAAGATTAGAATAACTACTGCTACTAGTTACATAATTTGTGAAAGAGTTGTGAAATGGTATGATAGCATTAAGTAACTTCCCTCATTAGGATATCGTTGTGGTTTTTGGAGAACCACAGAGCTCGTTGTGGCGGCGCTGAGCATCAGATCTCTGGGTTGTTTTGTTCCACTCCGATTTTAGGCATCGATATTGGTCAACTGCCTGACTAAAAACCTGCAAGTGAGTTAAAACATGGCGTATTCTAGGTATGTTTTTAGTAGGATTATACGAAAAGCTGTAGGACAACTGCTTTACCTACCTACCTACCATTCATTCACTCATAATGGAAGATTTGGATTTCTGAATTAAGGGCTTATCTCGGATTTCTTTCGCTCTTGTATACTAGGTACATACCTACGTATGTATAACACATTGTATGTAACCATCAAAGACCAAACCAGACCAGTGGGTTTGTTAAGATGTGTTGTTGCATTTCTACCTAGGCAGGTTGCCTAACAACGTTAGGACTTGGATTCTGAGATGCGGTAGGTGCGGATAGAAATGTACACCTGGGCAGTATGTACCTAATTAGATCTAGGTGAGTAGTAGAAGATAGCTACATTGTCCGCAAGATCGACAGCATGTATTACTAAAGAAGCAACCTTGAGTACAACATTGAACAACGATGGACCAGCTTCCGTCTCCAGATTGTCAACGCTGTCTTGACTCTTGAACTCTTTCTTTGTTGGGTTGGCAGCAAACAGAGTAAGCCGCAGACGACGCGCAATTTAAAAAAAATCAAATGCGACGAGCAAATGAACAGACCAACAGCGCCAAGGGCGAGACAAAGGACCATTGCCGACTACTATCGCGGAGTTGCCAAGACTCGCTAAAGAGGTGAGGAATATATTAGGCTGCGCATCAATCTCGATTTCCGTTGAAATGGTTGGCTTAGATGGTGCCTTGCTGGAGATCCCAAACATTGAAGCTGTATACAAGTTGTATACACACATACATAGTAACATGTATGTATATATCATCTAGATGGGAATATACCTACACACATAGTTACTTACAGTAGGATTTCTTTTTCTTTTTCTTTTTCTTTTTTCTCCTGTCTTCCCCCCTTCTTTCGCTATGACTAGGCATGAGGCTCTTAACTCTTACATATGTAGTGTAGGCCTATTACATAGCATGTCGGCAGATACATAAGTACAAAATATCGAATTACCTAAGGCGTATGTAAGGTAGCATTTGCCAGGACCTGCCTACCTGGTACTTAGTTAAATAGCTAAAATTTATGCTTACTTGGGTAATAATTATTTAATAAACTTCAAGGTTGCCTAGCCAGCTTAATGGCCCCACTTAGTCGGCAACTTATGTACTTCCTAGGTGGTTAACCGTTAATACACATTTGATGTACTGTCGGACGTGATGCACGTGATTCAATGCCCTGATTACTGATACGGGACCGGAGTACTTACGGGTAACTGTAAATCTTGAATGATAATAGGTTCCTTCGGTCCTGCTTCATAACCACTGGATGCATGATACCGTTTTCTTACGGTGCCTATGCGTGCACTAAGTACTATATGTACTAGTCCAGCTCAAGTCCCGTCGTTTCATCAACCAATCAGCTAGGTGTCGCATCAAAATCCTTGTAATTTGTACATATGAAGATCGTGCATCTCAAGTTGATGTTCATTACTAATGAGCCTCGGACTTGATGAGTTTGATGCTTTTAGCCTGTATAATTACGTAAGTCATCTACTTGCAACTTTCGTACATAGATAGTTAGCTACCTAGGTACTTACATACATAGTAGGTAGGTCAGAGTTTATGCATATTTGAGTGTACGAAATATGCCTGCATCTTACCATATCTAACTTTGTTTGCGATATCTATTAGAATGTGTGTGATAATATGAACATAGAATACTCAGTTATTAAATATTTGTATAAGAAACTACTACTATGTATGTATGTACATAAGGTTTCCAAAACATTCATCGGACTAAGCATCTGCCTAAGCAAGAAACCAAGAAACCAAGATCAATGATGTTACCTTAAAAACTACTATGGACGTTAAGGAAACCCCGAGGGTGCGCATAGACTCGGCGAACCATGCGCCTAGTAACCTTGCAACCTTGGACCTTGGAATTCTTCTTTTTTAAAACCCCGATATGTTAAATTAATGAAAGTCCAACGGTGTAGGCGACGAATTGGCAAACCTTTTTCCTGTATTATAGACTTGTTTACCTAATACAACTGGGTCTTCGCCGATTAACCCGGCTGCCTAGCGATATGATTACCTAAGGCATTACATAGTGTCCCATGTCCTCTCTGGTAGTTCAGTGGAAGTACCCACATGACACCTGCTTACTCTTACACTCTTACACTCTTACATGGTTATGTACTTAATGAATTGATGCTCATCAATGCTGTCAATTCAATGTTCTTATGTTGATGCGGTACGCAACAATTACTCTTTCAGATGTTGGAACTTATGTATGTCCATAGACACCTAGATATAGTACATTCAATGTTCACAGGAAGCGCCTCGGCCGATAGCCCGGATCCCGAAATTTCGGGAAAGGCATCAATCAGTCATCTATTGGCACCTTTTTTGCTACTTCAACTTGCCAGGTGTACATGCCTTTGACCTGCTGCTAGGCCTTTGTCGCGGGTAATAACACTTTGAAGGTGCTATCGTATGTATCGAGAGCTACATGCTAAATGTGCCTACATGATATAAGTTGCGTGCCTTTGTTATGTATACAAAATGTCTCACTCATGGATGATAGCCTCTGAACATGTAAGCCCCCTTTAGAAAGCGAAACTCTGATAATGGGATGACTATTTAATTTCTGCTCAAAGATTATATCCTCTGTTCAGATAACTAAGTATTGTGCTTACCTAGTAGGGATACTGATCAAACTTAGCTGGATAAACGTATGCTTGCGTGGATTGGAAGAGAACGGCATGCTTCATGACTTCCAAGGCAAATGAGGAACAACGCAAATCCTTATTACATAGTAAAGTAGATGTGGTACCATGTTACGATTGAAGAAGAACTTTGAAGAAGAAAACGTACTGTATGAGGTTGCTAAAAGCCACACGCCATTCACAGGTGTCTTTCGTAAAAAGAACTTTGAAATGTGAGCATCAAGGGCTGAAAAGGGGCCTGAAGGGATGCCATAGTAAGGGTTCTTGCGGTAAATGGATGCCTAGAGGGTAAATGATAATAGCCCTGGAGGTATACACAAGGTTGGGATTCAGCAGACTTTCAGAATACATCCATCTTCAGATGACACCATATATGATACATGTATGTACATACATACATAGTAATATCACCTTCAAAATTTCATTAATACCCGTGATACCACTGAAGATACACATCACGAGCATGTAGTTAGTTGGATAGTTATCTGCTAGCAACAAAATTATGCAAGCCAGCCCTGGAGGCAACAACATTGAGCATTCAAGTTGAAGTTTAACTAACTACATAAATACATCAGCTTAGGTACCTAGATATGCACATGACTAATCCCTACCTGGTACTGTGCATTCATACGGTTAGACCTGTTACACAATGACAAACCAACATCATTAATGATTGATTTTAATTACGAAAAAGAGGGCACCTTCCGGTCACGTATTATCATTGATGTACATATGTAGCAGTGGCCTGGAGGTACATGCTACATACTGCATAGTAGTACATATTCATAATACACACCAGATGCCAATGCCATGTGCCTTTTAGTACTCAAGCTAACTTGAACTATGTAGAATTCAATGTTCCTCCCACCCGGCAACTTCATCATCGCGCTGATACGCAAACACTGAATATCTCATCCATACTAGACTCCAAGAATTGGGACCTTTTACGACATACCCAGTTACTGCCTATTGGGCTACCATTCGGTCAGCTATCGAGTCCACATCTCCACATTTCGCATAGTACTTCCAATCTCCATTTGTCCTCTGATTGCTTATGTATTGTACTTAATAGCCAGCCATCATTGATAGTACCTACTGTGTACGTACTATGTACGATTTGTACCAGGTAACTAACTACATGTAGGTAACATTATTCGGGCAAGTGCAGCTGCACATGTGCATGTGCTGACAAACCAACTTTTTTTTTTTTTTGACCCTCGTCCTTTTCCTTTTCCTTTTCCCTCCGGACATTTCGGTAGGTAACATGGTACCACACATTAAATGATCTACCACTTATGCACATACCTAAGCACCTAGCTAAGGTAAGCAAATTCTACTAAAACCAACAACCGCCTAAAAGCGTCCGTATGTATCCTAGCTTCTTTGTTGGCGGCAGTTCGGCCTTTATTCTTAACCTCAGACACTGTGTGGCTCTTTTTCTCAGCAAGTTCCTTCAGGCTGTCTGAATGATTCTTCTTTGCGCCTGCGCCAGCACCCGCACCTGCACCAGCCACGGGACCGAGCGCTGCTATTCAACTTTGTTTGTTCCTCTCCCGAATTTTCTTTTGATACAACAAAATTTGTTTCTGCGTACAAACCACACACAAATTTGAATTCTCTGTTCTAACTAAACTCAACCTTCACACTACATACGACCTGCTGAATAATTTCTTACGATAGAGCCATCACGTGGAGTTACGGGTATTATTGGGTCTCAGCATTGTGAGGTCATCTTAAATTTTGCCGACCTCAGATAGGACAGGCTATACGACTAGGAAATCCGGGGCGCTTTCGCGTTTGTAGTCATCTTGTTACCCTCGAATTTCGTCTGAGGACGTCTGATGACTATTTAACCTTACTACTACTCATTCATTATCAATTACTACCTTAAGCTTGAGTCATCAATCAACTTCGGTAGCCACTCCGCCCGGCGCATCTACTTTCTTTCAAGATCTACAGTACGAGAGTACCTAATCACCTTTTTTTCAAAACTACGAGTATCAATGATATATGTCTACTGACACACAAATGCACAGCACAATACAACAAACCTTGCGACCCTTAAGCGACCATTACAAAATCAACAACACTACTGCGTAAGACCATATCCTATCCATCATCGAGAACAAATGGAATACGCGACGGCAGCCGCTAGAGTTGTTTATCAGGTCAGCAATTAGGATACATTCCGTGACTCCCTTCAAGTTCAATCTAGCCACAAGGATTCTTGTAATCGAGCTTGGTGTGTGCAATACTGTGGTAAATATCGCCACGGCTCGCATTGCAGCTGTTCAAAATCTTTCATCTTTCAAATTGAACTTTCCACTCCCCTGCCGCGCCAGAAAAAAACGCCGGTTCGTACTCCGAGCGGAGCGGTTGCGCGCCCACTTCCTAATAGTGCGTTTTATACGGAACCAGTTCCGTCAAACCCGCTCTAGTACATACTTCTTGTTCCCGAAACGGGCTTATAACCCGCGCCATTACAAGAGAAAAGAAAGAAAAAAGAAATTACGGTTGTATATCTTGATGCTGACTCAGATACCCAAAATGCAGAACCATCACGGTCTAAGTGGTAAGTCCGCTCTTTTTTAGTTCCCTCTCCCCCCCCTGGCAGTACGCTAGGAAAGGCATCATCGAACAATAACCACAAAACCACAAAACCACAAAACCACAATAACCACAATAACCCCCACCCTTTCTTTACACACGCTCCTTCGCTAGCTACGTAAGTACTTTGGTAGCTCCCTTCAATGTTCTCAAGCTATACATTACTACGGCCACCCCCTATAGTGACGCCGCATTATTGTACATAGCGTACCCCCCCTTCAACGAGAAACCCCGGCTATATCTTGACCGTCTAGTCGACTTTTTGCTGTGAAGATTGATGTACTATGTAATCAACCATACCATATGCTGGCGCCAGGAGCTTTATTTGCTACTAACTGTTAATATTATATTACATATTTCTCTGGACGGCTTCGGGATCTCATTGCAAGGTCAATCTAGGATCCATCCATCTGCTTTTCCGGTCCCCATATTCCCCCATTACGAAATACCCGCCTACATCCTTGATACATCCATACAAACTTTTCTACCTTTCCTCTAGGTCTCTAGGTACATATTCACTCTATAGTCCGCCTCATTTACTTGGTGGCTTAAATCTTGATGACCTTTTTATGTTTCTCTTTTTTTTTTAATCTTTCTTTTTATATTTTCAAATATTCTCCAGACCAGACCAGACCCAGACCCAGACCTTTATCAAATTTTATAAATTATACCAGTGACACTGACACGATAGCCGCATCTTAGAAGACCCCGAATTGCGCGCAAAGCTTGAACAAGGTGCACATTATCTGACTCATCAAGCCACTACGTCGGCGCTATCTTCAGTAGGTGCTGTTGCCGCGAACACCGCAAGCACCCATCCTGGTCTGAAACCTATACAACCTTCACCCCAATCGCATGGATACGACGATTCTTCTGGTTTAGAGACGCAATCGCATATCCATCCTCAGCTCAGAACGACTTCTAATATCGTGCCTGCATCGGATATGATGCAAAGGGGTGTCTCACCACCGTCCGACGAAGGCGGCCCCGTTTCTACATCTCCCGTCGGCGGCATGGGTGCTCAAGGTCTTTTAGGGCATGATACTGACGACTCGGTGGCGGACGGAAGAAAGGCTAAGCGCGAATTATCTCAGTCAAAACGAGCCGCCCAAAATAGAGCTGCTCAGGTTAGTGGATACCTTGTACCTTTTTTGATTCAGTATTTCTATGATTTGATCGTCCCAAGTTGGAGCGGCCGCATTCACTGCATTCTATGCAGACATGCATGTCTTCAGTGTGGGCGGCTTACAAATGCTAGCCTCACTTGAAATCAACTCCACCTATCCGAGGTTGATTCGTATTTGTTCAATTACGTAACTAACACTTTCCTGTTAGCGCGCTTTTCGGCAAAGAAAGGAGCATTACATCAAGAAGCTTGAACAGCAAGTGCGCGATTTTGTCGAGATGGAGCATAATTTCAAGGCAGTTCAGAACGATAACTACGCCCTTCGCGAGTACGTTATACAATTACAGTCTCGCCTATTAGATTTGCAGGTCGAATTACCTCAGCCGCCCCCAAATGTGAATATCTCGCCTCCCGCGGCCTCTACCAACGCTCGTGCTGCGCATACAAGCGTAGCCCCTGAACCTACTCCAAACCCCAGCACCAACAATAATGCTGGTACTCTAGCAGATGTTGCGGCAGCAGTCGCCGGCCTCAGCAGCGCACGGGGGGGATCGGCAGAAAGTATGTATCCTAAGCCAGGCTATAAGACAGAGCCAAACGAGGACTCGCAAACAGCCGAGGAGATTCGCAGACAACTCCAACAGGATGGGTTACCAGCTCCTTCATCGCTGAGAGCTTAGGAGCGTCAAGAGAGGAAATGGAGCGTTGATGGTTCCCCAGAAAGATCGTTGGAACACCAATCACATCAGCAACGGCCTCCTTCCCCCACTTCAAGTGAATCCTGGACAGGCAGTTCCGCGTTGTCAGACTAATGGCCCTAGATGCCATTTCGTCTATGTTTGGCGGGGGGGGGGGGGGGCTTGTGCGACACATGACGTGGAAAGGAGGCGGAAAGAGAAAGCTTGGCCGTGTGAGCCTCATTTTATATTGTCATGTCACGGCGTTATGGACTCGCATAGTTTTCGTCCCTAAGATTTGGGGACTCTGGCGTTGGAAGTGCATCATACCTGGGATTGTGATAGCCGCGGTGTGACGGTTATGCACAAGAAAGGATTTGCGATGACTATAGATGTTTACTATCGTGTTCCTGACACGACTGGTTGAGGGTTCTATGGGCAGGGCGGAGGAAAGGGATATCCAATTTTGATGGAAGGGAAATGGCTAGAGTTCAGCACCGGCTGTACATCGCAGCAGGCAGGAGCTCGTCTTGTCTACGTCGTTGTGGTGTGGTACGAGCTCAAGAGATGAGATACAAACGCGCATTAGTTTCAACTGCTTTCGCAAGGCGAAGGTATTTCAATGCCACGACGAAAAACTGCGTATTCCGTCATCTATAAGGTATTAGAAGAACTAACTGGCGACGAGAGAAAGAAATATTAATACCCACTAGTTTACCCATCATTTCCAATTGCATTGCATTACAAGATTGTGCCTACTATAATAATTCATGACATGTTCATCTTTCTCTTTTTTCTTACATGCGCATAGCACCTAATAGCTGCCTAGGTTATCTTCCCCCGGAATCCCCCCCTCACCCCCCTTGCTGCCCTCTCTCACTTACTAAAACCCCGTTCCTTTCTAAAAGGAGTAACAGGAGCAAAGCTCCAAGCTCCAAGCTTTCTTTCCCACCCCTCCATTGAAGTTACATACATAGTTACATACTGGCGCCGGACTTTAAATCTTTCGGGCCTCGCTTATTTATTCTTTTTTTTTTTTTTTTTCACATTTGGTTAGATACATACCTAGGTTAGGTTACTTAACTAACTTATGTACGTCGAATAACTTCCAGAAACCTAGTACCTACATAGTACTGATCCTAGGAACTATGTAGGTAAGGTAGGTAAGGTAGGTAGGTAGGTTTGGACCTTCAATGCTACATACTTATGTATGTATGTATGTATGTATGTATGTAATTACTAACCTAACTTACCTTGGATGCTCAATATTATGTACGTACTTAAAGTAGATATAGATAACCTAGGTTAGGTAGGTAGGTAGGTAGGTAGGTTTAGGTATTCGACACATGCATGTGGTTAAAGGAGATACATTAACACTACCTATGTAGGTAAGGTAAGGTAAGGTAATGTACCTACCTACCTACTAAGGTATAACTAAACAAAGTCGAATGAAAAATGTTCGATCGTACTTACATACCTACATACGTAGGAGCTGTTCCCCGGTTCGGGAACCCTGGGCTCCAGTTCCATGCGGCTGTAAAAGTACAATACAAGTGGGAATCATGTTACAGCTACAGCAGGTGTTTACATACATACACAGGAGGCATTTGCGTAGGCAATGTTATTAAGTATTGTTGTAGACTTCGTTATTATTATTACACCTATGGTGCTACTTTCCTCACTACACCGCTGCATTCTCATAGATTTTCCCTCTGAGATGCACGGCGCAAACGCCAAGAGGGTACACATTGTTGATCGTAGCGGTTGATTAGCGTCAAGTACATATAGTATCAAGTAATTTAGGTAATTTAGGTAACCAAGAAGCCCAGTAGAGGAGAAGCCCGGCGGTACTGTGCTGTACGTAATCACCTCCAATGTAGGCAGGTAGCCTATGTCTAGTACTGAGGTAGGCAGTGGTACCCATTTCCGCCGATGCTTGACTTGAGGTACGATGCCGCGAGCTCCGAGCGGGAATCGCTCGTCGTACCCGAGCAAGAGACAGGAAGAGGCACGACAGACTGGAGCTTAGTAAAACCCTTCAATGGCATCGTTAGAGTCGGCCACTATTACTTGCTGTGCCGCTATCGCGTTGTTGCTCTAACATAAAATAATGGGTTTCACTTGGATTTATTTCAAGGATATGAATTCCCCATGTCATGTTCCTGTAACGTTCATTATTGGTCAGCATACGCAAGGAGTGCGGTAATCTGGGTTGGGTAATAAGAATATATCCCCACGCTCATGGGGTATAGGGGTTCATCAATCGTTGGAAGGAATCACTAGTAAGTAACGATAGGGACAGACATAGCAGAGCGCAAGGTATGTAGATGGATGATTAGTGAACATACCTTCAAATAATCATGGCCCTTCTCCTGGTATTCTGCTTTCGTTATTGTCGCCGTTTTCCAGCTGTCGGTCCCTACCCATTCTGCAGCACCCTTCCATGCATCCAGTATAGAGTCGTTGGCTCGGCGTAGCTTAAGTGGCGCATCTATGTGGAGTAGCGGTGTCAGACCCTGGCGAAGGCGATCGTCAAAGCCATCGAAGAGCGTGTTACCGCCGGTCAAGAATATATCCTTGAGAAAGTCGTCGCGGTTGAGTCCGTTAATACCAACAAGTCGTTGGGTTAATATGTCGCCCGCAATTTCGACGAGTCCTGCTTGATCAACCCCTGCAATCGAGGGTTGAAAAACAACCTCTGGTACTCGTATACGCTCGACATTCAGATGGATTTGGTGAATTTCAGCTTGAGAGGAGGGATCGAACGGTCGTGGGCCGCGCAAGAATGCATGTAAAAGACTCTTATTCCAACCGTTTTGTGCCTCCCACGTATGCTCATGAGTGAATCCCTCATCGTATCGAAGCAGATCCTCCTCCAGTGTTTTCAGTGTTCCCTCCAAGTCTTCCTCGCCCTCCTCATCGTCGCTACCACCATCGCCGACTTGAATTTGTCGGTAAACACCCCAGTCATCATCGTTAGCACCAAAATTATCGTCATCTCCGCCACGGCGGCGCTTTCCTCTCGGATTATCTGAGGCGAGGTTCGCGATCGATTTCATACGAATCTGAGAAGCAAGCGATTTGCGGTTTCCTAGATCGGCCTTGAGGCGGTCTCGTTCTTTCATCTTCTGTAGTGTAAGGGTGCGAGCTACCCGCTTCTCTTCAAGCCAACCCTCTAGATCATTTTCGCGTCGTTCTCTATCTAGTCGTTCATCTTCGGCAACACGTGCCTTCTCAGCTTCTTTCTCGGCCTTGGCTCGAGCTCGAGCTTCATGGTTAGACTTTAGAAGTCGCTGGTGTCGCTTCGCCTTCAACCCAGCTTCGTCGAGTTGATCGTCAGCTATTTCAAGGAGGCTGAAGTCGGGCGCTTCTTGCTCTTCCTCTGGGTCGCCCCCCACATCCTTTGTGCGGGCACGTTTGATCGACTTATCTAACTCTTTAATCGTGCGCTCAAGGTGCGCTTCGTCCTTCATCTCTTCGGCATCGAGAAGGCGTCTCGTGTCTTTCTTATTTGCATCGCCAATCTTCTCAAGTAGCTTCTTGTAGTACTCCAATTCCTGTTCTTTGCGTATCAGTTTATCCAGACGCATTTTGGCTGCTTGCTCCTGTAGTCGTCGCCCGCTCTCCTTCTTTCGCTCTACTATCCGAGCCAGCTCTTCCTCGCTCTTTTGGATCACTATATCCTCAGTGAACGGGTACTGAATGATAACATCTCGCTCTTCTAATCCAGTCCAGTCCAAGTACGATCGTAACTCTTCATCATAAGACTTAGAGATATAGCAATGCTCTCTAATCATGTGCTCTGCCTGTGATGCGTTCAGTTTTCCCGGAAATGATGGATATTTGAGGCGGATAAGCTTGAGAAGGTACTCTGCGGCATGAGATCCTCCCCAGTTTAATCGAATGGCTTGGGCTAGCATAGCCTTGGAGTTGAAGACAGGTATAACATGGGTTGAGCTGTAAGAGGAAGACACGACGAGTCCAGTCTGTCCCTTGTTGTGACGGTACGAGAAGAGGGAGTCGATGCCCAGTGCAAGAGATGGTGCCTGGTAGCACTCGAATATGATTTCGTTCATGGCTATATGACGTGTTAGTTAGTATTAGGCAAATCTGGGTACACTTGTCCTGGACTTAGTTTAGGGCTGCGTACATTTTCGTGAATAGGGTAGGTTTGCGACAGCCTCCGTCATAACAATCGGTAGGTCGATAGATCCATCGGCATTGTCCATGCCTAGCTTGAGGAAGGTCCAGTCTAATATATGCTCTTCTACATCCCAATTGCTGACGATGCCTGTGCCAGCTTCGAATGCATTTCGAATATGTCCTCGGGCTGTGGTGTCGGCATAGCAGTCGAAACCTGCGAAGGAGTATGTCTTGCCCAACTTTCTATCCCTGTATTTGGCCATGATGGGAGGAATGCTGAATCGGGGCTTCGACTCGAATGACCATCCGGCCCTGACAGCGGATGAACCTAGTAGAACAGTAATGAGTTAGCAGCTGGACATCCACACAGGGTGTATAGGTATGTGCGAGACGATAAAACCGCACCATTGTCAATGACGATAGCAACGCTGCCAGCAGGTCGTTCTAGAGCTTCTTCGCGACCATCGGGCTGTGCAGGAATAGGCTTGTCAAACTTGGTTTCCTTCACATTATAGATTCGCGCGGGAGGGTACGTCTTTTCCTGGCGTATAGGAAGCGCGGGGATATCCATCGCTGAAGGCGCCATGTTGAAGGGATTTGTGATCTGTGATCTGTGACCGTGATTTGTGACCGCGATGATTTGCTTACATATGTCGAAGGTGTCGCATGGCTGAATTGTTGTAACCTATGTAGTGAGGTGAGCTCAGCCTTTTGAGTTGGTCGATAAAAAGATAAGGTACGTAAATGAACCAAAAGTGAAAAATGACTTGGAAGAGTGTTGGGGACCTTGGGGTAAATTGATCCAAGCTTTTGTTTTGGTTTTTCTCAGTCAATTGGTACGATTTAAGTTGGGGTTACTGCACCCGACGTGATTTTATGTTATCTGTTCCGCCACGTGAAAACAATATGTATCTGAGGTTCCTTCCATCCATCACTGGGGAAGATGCAAGGCTGACAATGATACATGGTAGATCTACATAATTAGCGTAGAATGGGTAATAGAACCCCTGCTTCAAGCCTCCAACCAATACATCTTATTGGCTACAGCTGCTAGAGGTACCCAGCCAGAATAGCGTCACATTAGAATTTATTAGACTGTGCTGCTACATTGAGATACTTCCAATATTTAGACAAATCACATCTATTAGATAGGTACTTACTCAAGTGAATCTCATTATTATCATAAGGCTACCTAGTAGATAGCATATAACCAGCCGCAATGTTGAGTTTCTCCTCTCCATATAACTAAATGAGCGCCTCTTAGTATAGCATATGCTACAAACGGTCTCAATCCAGATATACTCCTATCACTCTTCCATTGCTAAGTGCCCTAGGTACAGTAGCAACCTAGGTAGGTAGGTAGTTCACGAGGGGTCCTTTAGGTTGTCCGTAGCTGTATAGAGGATTCGAGATTAGCACAAGCGTCATCTCACAGAAGGGCTGGCTAGTTGAGGAAGAGTGACCACCTACCTTCTAGATGGAACAGCACATTGGACTGATAGTTCTTGAACATCTGGGCTACGAGCTCGATATTCATATTCTGAATATTGATCTCTTGAAGGCTCTTGTTCATGACCACAATGGCCTCGTTGAGTTTCTCCTGTGTGTGTTGATATCAGTCACCTAACTTCTTTCTAGATGGCGGGGCTTAAGAGCTACGCCACTTACAACGTTGGTAATGATACGTGACAGGAGGAGATTCTGTTGGTGTTCATGAGGGCTCTCCTAGAAACATGGTTAGCCCATAACCATGTATTTATATATATAGTCATAGGGATATATTAAATACCATATTGCCAAAGTTGTGAGTATGCTTCTTGAGACGATGGTGCGGAAAAGGGGTTAAAAAAGGTATAAGTGAGGAATGAGTGGTACGTAGATTGTAGATTGTACCTAAGCAGCACTGTAGTTGGAGCCGTAAGTCGCGTCATGCAGGGACTACCTTAGTACATGTTAAATGTACCCAGCTTCAAATTTATGTATGTAGTGCATTTACGACATCGAACATTCAACGTTCGTAATTATTTATTGCGTATTACAAACAACTTACTTAGAAGCCTACCGACTTTTAATTTCCTCACAAGACATACTCATCAATCCCCCCCCCATTAAACACCCACCCCCAATCAGCACAAAATCAATAAATTCAGAAATGTCAGCTCCAACAGAAGCCCAGATCGCTCATCAAGAGCTGATCGACAAGCTCGACATTCACTCCATTCACAAGACCTTCCGCAACCCTCACTGGCGCCCGAACCAGCGCCGCAACAAGAACATCAAGACCATCCTCGGCGACGCCTCTCGCAAAGAGGCATCCATCGTCGCAACCCCCCAAGACAACAGCGGCACCGCCACCCCAGCCCAAGGAGGCGACGACGGTCTTTCCACCAGCGGCTCCTCCACGCCCCTTCAAAAGGATGCCGCCGGCAACAACAACTCGAACAGCCTACAGCCGAATCTCGCGCAAGCGTCCCGCAGCCTTTCGAAACTTGTCCTCGAGAAGACGCTACGATCCGGCGGTACCAGCGGTGGTGCGGGTGCGCCCGTCTCAGCGCCGAGCGCGACCTACACGAACATCGAGTCGGCCCCATCCCTAGCACACACGAGGAGATACTGCGACATCACTGGTCTCCCAGCCCCCTACTTGGACCCGAAGAGCCGGCTGCGATATCACAACATGGAGGTGTTTGGCTTTATCCGCACCTTACCGCAAGGCGCGGCTGAGCAGTATTTGGAGGCAAGAGGCGCCCATACGATATTGAAGTGAAAGAATCACATGTAGTCATTGGGATTTTTTACGTGTTACACACACATACACACATTTCACCATAATACGAAGCTACGCTAAACGATTGTGCTATAACTACTCTATCGGGAATATTGAACGTATGGGACTTGGTTGCTGCTTTGCGTAAGGAATACAATGCAGTCTCTTAGGAAAAGAGATCTTGAACTGTTGCTTCCTGAAGCAAGAGAAATCCGACAAAATGGAGAATGTTTGACCACGAAGTCAAGCCTATCCTATGCATCAGTCGCCTCTCAGCAACCGATGGCAGGTTACGCTCCGGCTTAATCGCGATCAAGAAAAAATAATAATTGGATTTTTTTACTCTCCGCCTGTGACTTGACGGGTACCGAGAAAGAATGGGGGTGAAATCAATCTCAGTGACCATAGCATGAAAGCTAAGGACGCCGCGGCAGGGTAAATGTAATATCAAGGATGGACGATAGTAATTCGGTTTTGATAGCTTCTTGCTTTTGCTTGCTCTATAGCCAGGGAGCAGTAGCTCGTTCCACTTACTATCTAATTGACAATGACAGTATATTCATGCTTCTCTTCGCTATTTCGTCGACTTGATCTTCCTTACCGTGCATGTCATGAGATGAATGAAAGACTTCGTAGAGTCGAGTGTTTTTTGTTCTTGTGTCAAATGACCAGAAGCCCGTATGCGGGAGCAAAGACACTGAATAAGAAACTAATTCGCAAGTCAAATCTTTGAAAATGCTCGCACCAAAACTGAGGGAAAAAAGGACTGTAAAAAGTAAAGATAGATGAATGCGCTATGAAATGATATGAAATTAAGGATAGAAATTCTCTTATCAATGCTACTAAATATAAAACAGGGGGTCAAGATTACCTAACTAACAGTTGCCAACCAGCTGTCATCATCTATCAATCTGGTGGGATCCAACTTTCATTCCGCGATTCGTGTTTTATGGTAGTTACAGTGTACACTTTTATCTCTCCCCCGATACACACATACATACATACACACGCACACACGCACACACGCAAGTTTAACACCTAACTACATGTATTTCATGTATGTATACTAAAGTACGAAGTTGTATTGTGAAGCCTTTGTAGATTAGTAAAGAGAGAGAGAGAGCCTTGCTTCTCGTTTCCCTTTCCTTTCCTTTCCTCTCTTCTCTTTCCTTCCTCCTCCCGAATTCGATCAAGATGCCTACCATGTGGTTATCAGACACCCAAAGTGAGCGCTCCTACGACTGGCACAGCTAAATTGCTGTCGTTTCCCCCCAAAAGAAAATTAAAAAAATATATATATAGAAAAAAGAATCATTGAGCGCATACTGACAGAGAGAAAATCGCAATAGAAATCGGGGTGGCCTTCTGCTCTGGAGGTACGTATGTAGATGTCTGGGTGTCTATTCAGAAAGCTGCGCTCGCATGCCTAGCTACCTAGCTACCTACCTATCCAGGTAGCTTGCTTGCTTGCGCGCGCATACACAACAAAGCTCTCCGACGACAGGCGCTAACGGGATTCCCAATGTTCGTTTCTCTCTAGGAGGCTTCTTCCTGATCGGAGGCGTCATGCTGTTCTTCGACCGAGCCATGTAAGTTGTCCACGTGCCCCCCCTCCCCCCTCTTACCCTATTCCAATTTTCTCTAATCATCTCCGCGCATACTACAGGCTAGCAATGGGAAACGTACGCCGCCAAACCCCCCTTTCTCTCCCAATCCCTCCCCTTCCTAACCAACCAAAACAAAACTCTCCAGATCCTCTTCCTAATCGGCCTAACAATAATCATCGGCCCGCAAAAGACGCTCCTCTTCTTCGCGCGCAAGCAGAAGGCCAAGGGCACCGCCGCCTTCTTCTTAGGGCTGCTGCTGATCCTCATCCGCTGGCCGCTGATCGGCTTCTGCGTCGAGCTCTACGGCATCATGGTCCTGTTCGGCGACTTCCTCGGCACCATACTGGGCTTCGCCCGCAACGTCCCCGTCGTCGGCCCTTACATCGGCCTCGCCATCGACCGCATCCCCTTCCTGGGTAGACGGCAGAACGCCGAGTTGCCTGTTTAAAATCAAAGATCAAAATCGAAAGCGATCGATCGATCGAGCTCACGAGCAAAACTAATATATGGGTTCATATATATTTATATGGCCATGTCACCAGCTTCGCTTCTATACGCCACCCCGTGATCAGTGTTGTTAATGATGATGTAATAATTTACGAAGCCGGGCTACGATGGCTTGAATTTGGAGAGGAGAGGCGTTCCGAGAGCAAGAAATGAAATGGGTCTGTACGGACATTGTATATGATGAAGACATAGACGATCAACAAGGGGGTTCAATAGGGGGTGGCGCCAAAAGCTAGGTTTGGGGAATATACCCAAAAGCAAACTAGAATTCATATAAGCCCGCAAGGCTGTAATAAAAACGAGATAATTCGCCAAGCGAAAACAAATGGCGTCGTGTAACTGTGTACATGCGGGAAGAAAAAAGAAGAAAAGGCGGGTTTTTCTCATTTTGCCTATGCAGAATCTAGGTGAATGGGCGTATCGGGGTCTCGAGGCAAACGAAACAATTTATGCCGCCGTCTTGGATGCCATCAACATCACTTGCTAAACCTTCTCATGTCGCAGTTCCGTATCAGCGCGGCATGCTTCATCCATCATATGCACTCTTGCCAGTCTAGTGCATCTGCATCCCACACGCGCGCCTCCTCTACAACCCCCCAACGCGGCATATAGTGTCCTCGATAAATCGATACTCCTCTAGTATCCAGCCTTGATAAGGTAGTCCGCCAGCGTCTCGACAGTCTGGGTAGCATTTCCGGCTACCTGTGCCTCGCCGTGGTGGGCCACTATAACTGCTTGCTTCGTCTTGGCGATGCAGATACCTGTCCGGCCCTACAGGGTTACATAGATCGAGTCAGCTTCTTTTTCTTTTTCTTTCTCTTTCCAACACGGCCCCCCAATAATATGAACGTAAATAGGGGGGAGTCTATAAAAACCAACGCACCTTGCGGCCATAAAGACTTCGGCCGTCAATTCGGGCGAGGACATATCGCTCGCCGTCGATGTGGATACCATCTGCTTGGGCCTTGCTAACAACGTCTGCTTGTGCGTTGAGGATATCGACGATGTTCTTCATCTCGGCCGGTTGAACCTAGTTAGGTTAAGAAGCAAACGTATCAGTCTTGATGCCCTAATATATGTATACTAACAGCATGGAAAGTGATGAAAGGGGGGTTAAGTAAGTATAGTAAGTAGTATCGAGATAATATACCGTAAAGCCGCTGGAAGTAGCCCAGACACTGTCACCAGCGACGCTAATGATAGCACCCTTATCGACATGGCCGCTGCCGACCAGGCTATCGTTCGGTAAAGAATCAGTATATGCTAAGTATACGCTATACTGGCAATGCGATCATGCCGTCGTAAGATGATTATTTACCTGGTGTCAACATAGGCTATGACGAAGGAAGTCAGCCCTGTCCCTGACAGAGGTGGGGTACATATATTTTCAGAGGGGAGAGAGGGGGGGATGTTCTTATTTACCTTGCCACGACATGATTGCTTGATTTGCTTGTTTTGTGTTGTTTTATGTGTTGTATAGTTGCTTTCGAAAGCGTAAGGCGTAAGGAGTAAGGGAGGTGAAAAATAGAAGTATCGGTTAATGGACGAAGGTGGAAGTTGGCGTTGTTAGGGGAAGTAGTTTTCGGCCGAGCTTCATATGTCAAAGGGGAAAAGAAAAAAAAAGACAGAATAGGTTACTCCCAGTATTGAACGGATGCGCGGTCAAATGCAAATGAAGGAGGGGCTGTTTTTCGGGTTCGATTTTATTTTGCTGGTTGCTGCCCACTTACAAACCCACTTGAGGCGGTGCGTTGAGTGGCTTCCATGTGCCAAACCTTCTTTAATCCAATCATTGTCCGATGTTTATTAGGGACATTCAGGACATTCAGACTCAAAGCCCCACTCATTTAGTCCTAACATTGAACTTCAGCACTGAGACTCTCTTGTCAAGCCACAAAACAACTCAGCTCATCACCCCGCCATAATACGTCAGTCTCAGTATTGAAGACAGCATTGAACATTGAAGCTGCACATCTGAGCTTAACTATTACCCAAACTTTACATGCCTGCCTAGATGTCTGCCTGGATGCCTGCCTGGATAGGTATAATTATGACTTTCTTTTTGCATGCACATGATATGCAAGTCTCACTATTTATTCTACATACTACAGAGTACAATTCCATGCTTTTACAACTTCAAATGTACATACTCGAAACAAACAATATTATTGATACAGAATAATAATGACGCATCACCTTATGTAGTGATTCTGCTTCTCTTTCCACGAATCATCAATGTTATCTTAATTTATTTGCATACTTAATATTAATACACCGACTTGTTCATATCCATATGGATGACAGTTTTGCTGCCCCCTTAACTTCACCGACTATTGCGAATTATAAATTGAAAACTGACAAAAGGAGAAACTTATTTACGCCATTCTCTTTTGGAATGCCTCACCATAACTTCAAGCCCAGCGGTAACCTATCTTACAAAGGACCTACCTTGTGTCACTCAGGTTGGCGACCCCACGTCTAACTTAGCACTTTGCATAAAGAGGATCCGACGTCCTCTGTTAGATCGCCAGCCTCCCAGCCTCCAGCCTCCTGTTCCAGTATCCCACTGTCATCGCTATTCATCTAATTGCATGCTATTCTCTTTTTCTTTTTCTTTTTCTTTTTTCTTTTATTGCATCCCTCGAGGACACGTATCCTATCCTATCCTATCCTTTAAGGCAAACAAGTCTGTAGGTAATGTCATTGTCATATTAACAACTAGTTAGACGTTTTTATAGAAGTAGGTTTATGGAAGCGGTACGGAGTATAATTTAAACCATAATAAATCAGATCTCTTCGGCGCAAAAGCACATGCACTACACGTGAGTTGAGATCAGCAACCTTGGCCGATAAAGATGGGCACGACACCAACGTAGCTGTGCCATGTGATGCTTTCGGTCTACTATGCCGTACTTGCCTGTCAAGAATGCACCTATCCATGTGCGCGCCCCCTTGCCAAAGTTCTCGAATTCCGAGGGAACCCTTTGTAGACTTCAGTGCTCACCTAGTGCCTACCTCTTACTCCTGGCGACTGGGATTATATCAATACGAGCACTGAACCCGCCCATAATTACTATGTATCAAACACGAGGGGAAAAGGAGGGGTGGCGCCTTATAGTTGTGTAAGTTGTGTCAAAAGAGATATTACAACAATGCTTTTGCCAAACGCCATTTAATATCAACATTATTCTTATTATAGTGTCATTCTAACTTCATATAATTGTACATGTCGAGTTGGCTGGATGATGAAGGATGTGGATAGCACAAAGTGATATGTCAGTAAGATATCGCCCGTTTCTCTACATATTTCTAGGTTACATACATAACTACACATAGTTACCTCCAGGGCTACTTTGTATTTACCAAGCCTACTATAATGTAGGTACCTAACCTAGGTAGGTAGGTATCTGGTGCAACGGGTTTGACAGTATGTTTGTGGATATACGAAGTACGGTACGATATGTATACCATTAACCCCATCAAAGCGAGATAATGTAACGGTTCATCGTGTTCTCGATAAACGTAATCCGAAGCTGTAATGTTGAGGCTTTCTAGTTACCGTACCTAGTGGTATTATGTACATACTTAGAGCCACTTGCGGCCAAACCGAAGAGTGGGATTTGGTGTAGATGCAATAATAGTAGATATCTCGAAGAATGACGTCGAGCTCAACCTTGATCAGCAGCCACAATCATGACCTTTCTAACGGGTACCTAGTGACGCGAGCTGGATCGTCTTAGACGATCGTTTTTGTCGATCATTAGTGATGTGAGTTGGATGATCCTGGAACTACACTATTATGTAGGTACATACATATCTTAAGCCGCACTAACGGGACGGATGACAAAGATATTCAATGTTGCCGGTGAACTGAAGAGGGCGGGCGTGGTATGTACGAACTAGTGTACGTATTCGTACTTCCCTACACAGGTAGGTAGTTAGGTTGATTCAAGCTCGAATCCCATCGATCTGCCCAGATCATAGATGGTCTTGGGATGAAAATACATATTCAAGTAACTAGAACTGCCGCGCGTCGAACTTGGTTGCTGTATAAAACCACCGACGAAGTTGCCGGTGGTGCCAGACTGCCAGTGATTCCAGTGGTGCCAACGGGGAAAAGTAATACTTGGGGACAATATGGCCGGGTCCGCTGTTTCCCTAGCAAAGGCTAGGTAACTTATTACATAGTTACTACTAGTAGTAGATGTGGCCAAGATAGCCAAGATGTCCTCGATCGGGGATCCAGACTTTTTTACATAAAGGCAAGGGTTAACCCTTTTAACCCTTCCCTGCCAGGGCCTGCCTATGTGTTTCAAAGACAAACCTTTACCTTTTTAGGCATGACGAAACCTGCAAGCTTCCATGGCGCTTTTTTCTACAGCTTTTACTCTAACGTGATCAAGTTAGTCATGATATAACCCGCAAATTACCCGAACGGAAACCAACAAAGCCTAACCCGTGGATGTGGACTCTCTCTCTGCCTGATAACTACATAGGACATACATGCATACACTTACATATTTCCCCTGTGCTTGTTCAGCCAACATTTGCATTCAATGAAGCATTCCATGGATGAAAGGAGCCTCCTCTCATTTCCCAGCCTTGTTTGTCATCCTGTCCTTCCAACTGTATGTACTACACATACACTATGTAGGCATTAGGAATTTAGGAGGCATCAGGTATGTAGCCCCCAAGCTCTTAGCCTCTTACACCCCCTACACAACCTACATAGTATCTACATGCATTCACTTGTTGTCCTTGAGTGTACATACTATGATACTCAACATCCAAGAATGACAACGCATCCTTTCCCCATTGATGAGCGACCACAGAACTTCCAACTCGTCCGAGACTCTGGCGATTGCCCCTGTCCATCGGGCCACTAGGAAACAGGGGCTGAATGCCAAGGGTCTCTTGCTTCAGAGCACCCATTAATGTCCCTTACTACAGTACATAGTATAGTAGTACATTCGTATAAGAGTCTTGTTAGGAGACCATGTGATACGTACCAGTTACCTAGGTAGGCATGTATCAAAAGGCTTCTCGAACCATTCTGGTATCTTCATAATACCTAGGCATGTGCATATATGTAGGAGCACATGCGGGCAGTCTTGCGAGTCGCAAAAGTGAATTGTGCCAGTTTTCCGAGCCAAGAAGCCCAGCTTTGTGCGGGATATTAGGCTAGAAGGGTTACATATGTATTAATGCTCCTTTTTAAGGCTTGATACACCACACCTGGCACACCAACCATCACTAATTCCGCGATTTTCCCCTGGGTCCCTACTTACTACAAAGGTACCTAGGTAGGATCATTTCACATCATTCCCAAAATATCCTGGCCAAGTAGTTTTGTACATACGAAGAAGCTGGAATGACAAGGATAACCCATGCTGACTTCTATCATGCATTTGGAGTGAGATCCTGGTTGTTGATCTCCCTTTCCAAAATAACAATTACTACCTAGTAGTACAGTAAACCTTGGCCATAACGATATGGAAAAAACACCACTCTTAATTCGTTATAGAAAGGTATCGTTATGTAGAGATGGACCCACTGTCATAGTCCGTATACTTCCGTTGTACCTTTACTGCCATTTTATTAGAAAAGGTACTTACCTAATATTGTTCTCTTAGATTCCTTTCATATTTGAGATATTATGCAGTAAGCCAATTTTTCGGCGATTAGATATCGTGGCGGTGATTAGATTTACCTGAAAAAAGGACAGTCCAATTGGCTACCAAACGCAAAATTCCACTTATTCCACCAAAAATTTATCAAAATAAACGGTTTTTTACACATGGTCCATAACGATCTTGGTGGTGGCGGTCAAAAAATTAACGATATATCGCTAAGGTTAAAATATCGTTATTTCCCATACAAAATTGCAATGTTCCTAAAATTATATCGTTATACAAAAATATCGTTGTCTACCGAATCGTTATGGCCAAGGTTTACTGTACCTACTAGTACCTAGCGTATGTAGTATCATGCTCCATCAACCTCAAACAACATTTGAACTCGCTAACGATATCGATACTACAACCTACCAGTTACATACTTTTAGTCACATACTCTTAGTTACATACCTCCTCATATATGGACATGGTAGTAACCTTAGTACATACCTAGCATCAGGTACATACGACATAGTGTAGTATCATTGATGTATTGATGTTCCTACACTAGGAAAGCAAGGAAAGCTACAGTAGGAAAGGTGATATTCTTACATCTTGAACCACCACAGCCAATAGGTATGTATGTAATATGTAAGTATTACTTTACAATATTACCCCTAAAAGAGTCAATGACTTGCTACTATGTACAATACATGGCATGGGCCGTGAATCAGCTGTCTTCTGGTGTAGCACAATAAACTTCAACCCTGTTCTTCCTCACCGTCCAGCTTAGACGGCCCAACGGTAAACGGCGAACGGTAAACGAGCAAATAACGCACATCCATCTGCTTGATTCAGTTATCAACTTTGTTGGGTCTCTGTTCGTAAGGACTTTGGCTACCAGGAGTGAATCACTTCACCTTTTAACCTCTGAGCACACACATCTCAAGAAGTCTATCTCCTAGAGCCCCAACGACTCTTATGTCGTGCTTAAATCTACATATGTACCGGGAATTACCAATCTGCGCTTATGTACCTGGTCACATACCTGGTAAATACTAGATAGTATGCTGGGCCACCGATGAAGGAGGGTCATGCAGGTCCGGTTGCGTTCGTGACGCACGTCCCCGTCTACCCCGTCCTAAGAGAACCAGGCCGTGTATCAGATCCCGCCCTACCACACAGCACATTGATAATGCTGCTACTTCCCAAACGCTTTTTGCAAGTGTGAAAGTGTAACTGTTATTATCCTCTACCCACAACCGTCACCAGAAGTTAATATGCCAGCAAGACCGAGCTCATCCAAGGGCTCAAGCTCTAAGAGTTTGACTGGCAGTAGCTTTCAATATGATAAAAGAATGTCCAGGGACGACTCTTACGTCAACTTGAGAGGAAATGGAACCGGATTTAAGGCATATGGCATGGCACGAGGACAGCTACCTACGCCAGAAACAAGTCCACGATCATTACATCTTCCACGAAAAGCATCCGCTCCAACTGTGAGGATGCCTACTCCTGAATCTCTCAACGAGGGCCATCCTCTGGAAATCGGTATGGCCCTGGGGAGTCCATCGAGAACGCCAATGAATGGGAGCTTGCGAGCACCACCGTCCTCTCATCAAACTCGGCAGATTTCAACTTCAGCTGGGATTTCACCCGCATCTGGAATTAGTACCACTGATCCCGTCGAAAAGTCTCTCAAGAGAAAGCCATCGGCAAAGTGGAACATATTTAGTAGATTTGGAAGAAAATCTTCCGGCCATTCGAATTCGGAGACGAGCGAGCAGAAAGATATTCCTAGGTCTGAGCCACCTCGAGATGCAACAATTCAATCCCAGTACGAGACCAAGGTAGAGAGGAGTAACACGGTTATTACACGTGGGGCGCCGAAGCATAAGCCAACGGTATCCCGATCTCAAACAATGCCTTATAATACAGACAGCTCACCACAAGCACAAAAGTCGATGCTGAGCGTAAAGGGATCAAAGGAAACGTTTGGGAGCATACCGATCGCATTAGATACCAACCCATGTTCTTCTGGGCCTTTGTTAAACGTGGAGATTCCATCGATTAGGATGGAAAGGTATAGTGTGATGTTTGGGAGTGTTTTACAACCCCAGCACCCGCAGCCTCAGTCGCAGCCTCAGTCGCAACCTCAGTCGCAACCATCCCTATTAGCCAGAAGGCAGGCTACTCTTCAAAAACTGAAGAGCATAGATGACGCTATAGAGAACGAAGGGGTAAGGAGTCTCCATGTTTTCTATCGTCATTAGCCGCTAATACATTGGATAGGGGAAACAAAGTGATATACCCAGGAGACAATCATCTCCTCACCCTACGTCACGATCACCGGGTTTTGCCTTATTCCCTCCAACTCCTCTGAACAAGCCGGATTTTGCTACATCTCACCCATCTCCAAGGCTTAGATCTAATACGGCCCCCGGACCTCTCCCATCTCCTTCACAAACGACTTTCAATCGACACTCACAAAATCTCAAGCTGCCGTCCAATGATGGACCGGGAATCCGCCACAAGGAATCCGTTGTGCATCCTCAACAAAGGGGCAAGCTTACCATTGCCACTTTAGCTAAGGCAAGAGAACAGCAAGCTGCCACCAGGGACGCCCAGTTCAGTCCTGATCAGTCGCATCTCATTCTGGAATCGCCTTCAGATATATCATCTCCTGAATTAGAAATAGTCAGGACGCAATCTGTACGCCCGCGAGCTTCGTTCATGCAGGAGCCTAAGTGGCAGATGGTGACGCCACCAACACATACACCATCTACTACAGCATCTTCCTTGACAAGCGATAGGAAACTCTCACCGTCCTCGCCAACATCCTCTACTCATTCCAACCTTTCTCAGGCATCTCAAGACGACGACCCCTTAGAAAATAGCGCGAACATGAACCCCGTTGAGCTATCGATTGCGCGACAGATCTCCGTCTCTAGACAGCAACGGAAGATGCTGAAACCGCTGCAAACAGCGTTTTCCACGTCACCAAGACCGCGGGCGAGTCCCTTGAAGTCTAACCCCGTACCTAAGATAGCGATGGGCAAGAACGAGAGGCTGGCAGAGACAAAGGCTGCCACTCCAACCCTTGTCGTGCCCGGGGAGACCAACGAGTCCATGGCGCAGCATCGGAAGAGCGAGCGCATCGTTTTGGAAGGAGCTTGAAGCCACAAACCACACCCCTAGACTATCAGCACATCGCTTTTTCTTCCCCCTTTTTTCAACATAATAATTTTTTTCGCTTCATCCGGATTTGAGATTCGCGTTCACTTCTTCTACCCTGGGTACCATACCGGATAGGCGTTTATTCGGTACCTCCCCTTTTTGTTTCTTTTGTATTATCATCATTATCATTCTCGGAGCATTCATAGACCGGTTTGGGGAGAAAGGAAAGGAAAGGGAGCGAGATGGGTGGGCTGGTGGGAGAGGTTTTTTACTTGAAGGAACCTACACTCATCCATAGGTTCCTTTTTTTTGTTTTTGCTTATTTTATATCGCATTGGTATGTTATTTATTTATTTATTTTTTTTGGTTCTAGTTTAAGTCGCGAATATACCCCCGGAAGGATAATCTATTGGAGGGAGACAGACCGAGAAATCAGAGTCTGAGACTCGAAGTGTCATACACGCAACCACACGACCACCACCACACACACATACACCTACCTAGTACCGTTTTAGGACTACTATTACTACTACTTTATTTTGTCGCCGTCTTCGATGGAAAGAGCCTAGGAGAGAGAAAGAGGCATTATGTGCTGGAACCTTGATGGTACCCCATACATGGATTTGATTGATATTGGCCAGTGCCTTTTGTTGTTGGGAATACCCTGGGCAGGTATAGATGGACGAGGCAACTTCTGGAAAGAAAAAAAAGAAATGAAAATGAACGGAGTAGAAAGGCAGAGAGAGGCAGTGTGGTACACACCTACCTACCTACCTACCCTACATATGTAGTAGAGAACGGATTAGATCCAGTGAGATGAGAGAGCCAGGTATCTAGGTATATGATTAACATCTAGTCCTTGTTTGGGTACCTATCTATGAGAATATTCTGCTTCCCAACTACACATGACCGTCCGTCGTTACTTGATATGCGTGAATAATAACTTTTATCATGTTAACCAAGAAAGGAAGAAGAAAAGCTGCTTCAACTGTGGTTTTTTTTCTTCTTATTATCATGCCTGTGCCCATTCTGATCGGGGATAGTTCTCTCGTGTCTATGTATGTACCTACCTACCAAGTAGGTAACTACTCAAACTACCTAACCTACCCAGGCAGGCAGGTAGGTAGGTACCTGTACCTAGGTAGGCAAGTAGTAGTCATCTGTCTGCGTCAACCTCCAAACTGTCACGTTCTACCTCATCATCAAGTTTCAAGTCAACGCCCCCTTGCCTTTCCATAATCAATCATTTGCCCAACGAGTGATGGTGTGTGTGTGTGTGTCCGCTCTTACGAAGCGGCCGAGCGAGTTTATAACGCCCTCCCCCCTTCCGCTGGATATAGATAGATGAAAAACAAAATGGCCATTCAACATCGTAGCCTCCAAAAGATCGCTGCTGAACTGAAAGTCTCACTCTCGCTATGCTGAAACGGAGACAATTCGTGTAATCAATATAGACCAACCCAATTTATTAGGTGAGGTGCCTGATTAGCAGTAACAGTAGGAATCTACATGAGAATGCAGCACGAGTTCTGCTTCTTTGCTTGTTCTGCACAGCAAGTCAGTTATCCCATCCTCATGACTCCTAGGCCTAAGGGGGGGCAAGCTGGAGGGATGGGGATGGAGTGAGGCCGGGGTATAAAAGGAATGGGTAGAGTGACGTACGGTAAAACATCTTGCTTTGGTTGCTGAGACCGTCGCTCTTGGCTACGAGGTCGTCGATCTTCTCGCCACGCTGGAGGACGCTCTCGATGGTCTTGTGAAGGGTGATCTTGGTCTCGTCAAGCTCGCGCTGAATCTTCATGATGCTGTCGGCCTGGTGGGGATCCTGGTACTTGGCGAGATAGTCCTTGAGCTCGGGCATGGAAATCTTCTGACCCGAGGCCCACGCGGAACGCGGGTGCGCCGCCAGGAACTCGTCCACGACTTTCGACAACAGCTGGTGGGCCACTAATGCCGGGTACTCCTGGTCTGAGATGATGATGCCGCATACGCCTTCCGTGCGTCCGTAGGCGTGGAATGTGTAGTCTGCAATAAGGACAAAGGCCCAAGATCAGCATTCCCATTGAGTGGTGCATGATATAACGGCCCGAAAAGGAAATTGGATGTAATTGATCGCACCTTGTTGTTCAACATCTTGTCTCTGGCCTGGCCTGGTCCGCTCTGCTACAGTTTTCGCGAATACACTCATGAACTCGGCCCAGCTACACCGCCCATGTTAGTCTGTCTTCTTTCCCGGCGGGGTGGACGGCTTCGTACTTGTCACGGGTGAAGCGCGAGTAGGTACTCAGCTCCTTTTCAGCGCATATCTCGACGCCGGGCTTGGTCTCGTTTTGAATTATCTGTGGACAGATGTGTATCGTCAGTATGGTGGATATTCATGCAACGTGCTATCCGGTATGGCCGTATTTGAAAGTCGGGATAGCGACCGGGCTAATCGATATACGTACACCAACGTAAAACAGCCTCATGGTGATGATGGGTTTCTATGAATTGTAAGAAATTGATTTGGGTTGTATGTTGTTGTTTTCCTCGATATGAACGAAGTGTTGATGGCTCTTAATATGTTGAAAGGAGCATAAAATGTAGGGATTCGAGGATAAGAAGCAAGAACGTTTCAAGGCTAGAATTATTATCTGGGATTAAGATTTGGATTTGGATTTGGGAAGTGAGGTCAGTGTCCCCAACCTTTGTCACATGTACTATAAACTTAACCAACCATACCGCTTGCTTTCCCGCTCTGCCGCTGTAGCTTCTAACCTTAGCAGCCTAGGCCCTACATACCTACATACCTATAGGTAGTACTGCTTACAGGGTACTAGGTATTGTACTTGTACAATTCTAGGTACCTAGTTAGTTAGTAGCCAATTGAATTATGAGTGCCTACATAGTAGTGGGGCCTTGCGGCGCACTATCATTCAAGTTCTGGGGAACATTTGAATCAGCCATCCATCGGTTATTAATGGTCGTCACTGCATTTTATCATATCACCAATTTATGAAATTTGGAGAAATAAATAAGCTGAAGATTTGCTCTGAAGCCTTGACTCTTACTTCACATATAAGCTTATTACACCAAAAAAGGAACAGAAAAAAAAAGAAGGAAAAAGGATAAAACAATGTCATCTTCTATGAGCGAGGCGGAAGCTAAATGGCGCGAGCAATTTGCTGCCATGAAAACTGCATTAGCAGAGTTGAAATTACCTGACAAGCATCTCCCAGTGGATGCGAATTTAGATCTTGACTTCGACTTGGACGACGATGACTTCACTTCTGGCAATAGTGGTGACGATGTGTGGGATTTCATAGAAGACAACGAAGAAGATCTTTACAGCAGCGATTTTGTCGAGGATGACAGCACACAGCTTGATGGAGCAAGCTATGGTCCAACTTGGTTCACAAAATATTGCTCTGATATTTCTAGCAAGAAGAACGGCTTGTCGTCGGATGCCTTCCAGGCCCAGATTTTAGATATACTGGGCTCCCAACGGTCCGAAGACGAACTGCAATCTTCCCTTACCGATCTTGTTGGGTTTGATGACCTCGATTTCGTCATTGAAGTCTTGTCTCACCGGCAACAACTGCTTTCCAGTTTTGCTAGTTTTGCTGCTCAACAAACACATGAGCCCGCCGGCCGACTTTTGACAAAAGCCGAAAGAGACGAGGTGCTTCGCCAGAGGGATCTAGAGCATAAGAATGCTGCTCTTGCCCCTAGCATGCATAAGGAGATTCAATATCCACACGTATATAAGACCCATAGTGCTGGAAATACCCTAAACTATGCCGGAAAGAAGTACGGGTTGCCCGTTGGAAGCGAGAGGACACAGCATGAAAAGTACGAAGAGTTCTACATTCCTGCTGGGAAAGTCGGTACGCTCCTCCCTGGCCGGAAACTCGTGAATATTGCCGATATGGATGGACTGTGCCGAAGAACATTCAAAGGCTACAAGGCCTTAAATAGGATGCAAAGTCTAGTATATCCTGTCGCTTACAAAACTAGCGAGAACATGTTGATTTGCGCCCCTACCGGTGCTGGTAAAACGGACGCAGCTATGTTGACGATTTTGCAAACGATCAGTCAGTATGTGACACCGAATCCTATTGAGAATACGGAGGCAACAGACTTTGCTGTTGATACCCAGGATTTCAAAATCGTCTACGTTGCTCCTATGAAAGCCCTGGCTGCGGAAATCACCGACAAGTTAGGCAAGCGTCTCGCCTGGCTCGGTATTCGCTGCCGCGAATATACAGGAGATATGCATCTTACTAAGTCAGAAATCGTGCAAACGCAAATCATCGTGACCACTCCTGAAAAGTGGGATGTTGTCACAAGAAAGGGCACTGGTGATACTGAGCTCGTACAAAAGGTCAGGCTTCTTATTATTGACGAGGTTCACATGCTTCACGACGAGCGAGGTGCAGTCTTGGAATCTTTAGTGGCAAGGACGGAACGACAAGTCGAAAGTACGCAGTCCTTAATTCGCATCGTCGGGCTCAGTGCTACACTTCCAAACTATGTCGACGTTGCCGACTTTCTCAAGGTCAATAGATATGCTGGCCTCTTCTATTTCGATAGTTCTTTTCGTCCAGTTCCCCTTGAGCAGCACTTCATCGGTATAAGGACACAGAAAGGCAAGGATCGCATGAAGAAGTATAAAGAAGATCTCGATATGGTAGCCTTTGAGAAGGTTAGGGACATGCTAGAGCAAGATCACCAAGTTATGGTCTTTGTTCATTCGAGAAGAGATACTCTTCTCACTGCCAAATCACTATATCAGATAGCTACCGAGAATGGTGATGCAGATCTTTTTGACCCGCAGGGACATCCGTACTATGATCAAGCCATTAGAGACATGAAGTCTTCCAGGGCGCGGGAACTGAGAGACCTCTTACCCAAAGGCTTAGGCATACATCATGCCGGGCTAACTCGATCAGACCGGAACCTCATGGAAAAACTGTTTGGCGAAGGCGTCATCAAAGTGCTCTGCTGTACAGCAACTCTTGCATGGGGTGTCAATTTGCCGGCCGCGGCAGTTGTTATAAAGGGGACCCAAGTTTACAGTGCTCAAGACGGCAAGTTTGTAGACCTGGGTATACTAGACGTGCTTCAAATATTCGGTCGTGCTGGACGTCCGCAATTCGAAGACGTCGGCATCGGTATGATTTGCACGCCCATAGACAAGCTGCAGCATTACTTGACAGCAGTCACCGAGCAACAGCCTATCGAATCTAGATTTTCTTCGAAACTAGTCGACAACCTGAATGCCGAAGTTGCATTAGGTACGGTGACTTCTATTCCGGAAGCAGTACAATGGATTGGCTACTCTTATCTGTTTGTCCGTATGCAAAGGAGCCCTATGGCTTACGGCATCGAATGGGCTGAGATTAGAGACGATCCGACACTCGTCCAGAGGCGACGGCAACTTGCGATTCAAGCAGCTAGGACATTGCAACAAAGCCAGATGGTAATATTCAACGAGACCACCGAGGAGCTCAAAAGCAAAGATATTGGCCGCATCGCCAGTCAGTACTATATTCTCCACACGAGTATACAAGTCTTCAACAAAATGATGAAACCCCTAGCAACGGAAGCAGACATCTTGAAGATGATAAGCGAGTGCGGAGAATTCAACAATATTCAGTCGAGGGATAGCGAAGCCAATGAACTGACTGATTTGAGGAATACAGCCAGTTATTGTGACGTTGGCGCCGGCATTGACACGCCCCAGGCAAAAACCAACATTCTTTTGCAGTCATACATCTCCAGGGCGCAACCAGAAGACTTTGCATTAGCCAACGATCTCAACTATGTGGCCCAACAGGCTGGTCGAATTTGTCGTTCTTTATTCATGATCGCGCTCAATCGACGATGGGGCCATCAATGTTTAGTCTTGTTGACTCTTGCCAAGTCTATCGAGAGGCGTATTTGGCCCTTTCAGCACCCATTACATCAATTCGATCTACCAAAATCGGTGCTTAATCAAATTGATACGAAAGAGACTTTGACCATTGAGACTCTCCGGGAAATGGACATGGCTGAGATTGGTAATCTAGTACATAATCAGAATGCTGGCAAGAAGATTTCCAGGATACTCGACAATTTTCCAACGGTTTCTGTCGATGCTGAGATTGCCCCCCTGAACCGGGATGTGTTGCGGATCAAGCTCTACATCACGCCAGAATTCAAATGGAATGAGCATGTACATGGAACTTCAGAATCTTTCTATATCTGGGTTGAAAATTCCGAGACATCTGAAATATATCACCACGAGTTCTTCATACTTAACAGAAGGAAGCTATATGACGACCATGAACTCAACTTCACCATCCCTCTGTCAGATCCCCTACCTAACCAGATTTATGTCCGGGCCGTGTCCGATAAGTGGCTTGGAGCAGAGACTGTCAATCCTGTCTCTTTCCAACACCTCATCCGTCCGGACACGGAGAGCGTCTATACGGATCTGCTCAACTTGCAACCTTTGCCTATTAGTGCTCTCAAGAATCCAGGATTGGAAGAGATATATGCCAAGAGATTTCAATTCTTTAACCCTTTGCAAACCCAAATATTTCACACACTCTATCATACGCCAGCCAATGTGTTGTTGGGGTCCCCAACGGGTAGTGGCAAAACTGTTGCTGCGGAGTTGGCTATGTGGTGGGCATTCCGAGAACGCCCCGGCTCTAAAGTGGTCTACATCGCCCCGATGAAGGCCTTGGTTCGCGAGCGAGTAAAGGACTGGGGCGCTCGGCTTGCTGGACCTTTGGGTCTGAAGCTGGTTGAGTTGACTGGTGATAACACACCAGATACGAGGACGATCAAGGATGCTGATATCATTGTCACTACACCGGAAAAATGGGACGGTATCTCTCGTAGTTGGCAAACCAGAGGATACGTTCGTCAAGTTGCGCTTGTGATTATCGATGAAATCCACCTTCTTGCCGGAGATCGGGGTCCGATTCTCGAAATCATCGTGTCTCGTATGAACTACATCGCTCAATCCACCAAAAACGCCGTCAGACTTCTCGGAATGTCCACTGCTTGCGCGAACGCAACAGACTTGGCTAACTGGCTTGGAGTCAAGGAAGGGCTGTTCAACTTTCGACACTCTGTACGGCCGGTACCCTTGGAGCTCTATATCGACGGGTTCCCCGAAGTGAGAGGATTCTGCCCCTTGATGCAGTCAATGAATCGGCCAACGTTCCTCGCAATCAAGACCCATAGTCCTGACAAGCCCGTGATCGTCTTTGTGCCGTCTCGACGGCAGACTAGGCTGACAGCGAAGGATCTCATCAATTTGTGTGGCATGGAAGATAATCCTAGGCGGTTTGTCAATATGTCAGAGGATGATCTTCAACTACATCTCACTAGAGTCAAAGATGACGCGTTAAAGGAAGCGATAAATTTCGGTATTGGCCTTCATCACGCAGGGCTCGTCGAGTCAGATCGTCAACTGGCCGAGGAGCTTTTCCTAAATAACAAGATCCAGATCTTGGTGGCAACTAGCACATTGGCTTGGGGTGTCAACCTTCCCGCCCATCTAGTTGTAGTCAAGGGCACTCAGTTCTATGACGCGAAGATCGAGGGATATAAAGACATGGATCTGACAGATGTCTTGCAAATGCTGGGCCGAGCTGGTCGCCCACAATTCGATAACTCGGGCGTCGCCCGTATTTTTACCCAGGACTCCAAGAAGGATTTCTACAAACACTTCTTGCATACAGGCTTTCCAGTCGAGTCATCGCTGCATACAGTCTTGGATAACCATTTGTGTGCAGAAGTATCGGCTGAGACGATTACAACCAAGCAAGATGCTCTAGACTACTTGACCTGGACTTTCTTTTTCCGCCGTCTACATAAGAACCCCTCTTACTATGGACTTGAGATCTCTGCCGAGGAGCATAACACTATCGCCGCTCAACAGATTGCGAATGATTTCATGATCGATATGGTGAATAAGTCCCTGGACGAGTTGGCTACCTCGAAGTGTGTCGAAGTTTATCCCAACGGTGATGTAGATTCGACAGCCTTGGGCAAGGTCATGAGTTACTACTACCTATCGCACAAGACGATTCGTCATCTTGTCAAGTACGCAAAGCCTAGAGCCAGTTTCTTGGATGTACTGTCCTGGATGGCTCGGGCGACGGAGTACGATGAGCTGCCCGTCCGTCACAACGAAGACTTGATCAATGCCGAGCTGTCTAAAAACCTTCCATTCGAAGGTAACACATTCGACCTGCCAATGTGGGATCCTCATGTCAAAGCTTTTCTCCTTCTCCAGGCGCATATGGCCCGCATCGACCTTCCCATTACGGATTACGTCGGCGACCAAACCAGCGTTCTAGATCAGGCTATCCGTATCATCCAGGCCTCTATCGATGTTTTGACGGAATTAGGCTATCTCTCCAGTTGCCTCGAGATGATCACGCTCCTTCAATGCGTCAAGTCGGCCCGTTGGCCCCAAGACTCACCCCTATCAATTTTCCCCGGAACAAACCCCGATACCCTAAAAGACAACGAAACTGCCCTACAAAAATTGAGCACCTTCCGTCGGCCCCAAGTCGAAGAACTCGCCCGAAAGCTACATATACCGAACTCGCAACAAACCCGCTTTACCCGTGCCGTTTCTGTCATGCCCAACGTCAGCGTCCGAGTCGACCACGTGACCGCGGAGTCCCTGACTGTGTCCCTCAAGCGACTTAACCCTATCGTCGAGCGCGAGGCCCGCATCTATGCCCCGAGGTACCCGAAGCCACAAACGGAGGGCTGGTTCGTCATCGTCTGTGACATGGCCAAGGACGAGGTCATTGGCGTCAAACGCACTGGCTGGAGCCAGGGAGGACCACCGAACAAGGCCGGGTCGAACGCGGTCCAAGTCGGCGCTAAACCCACGGCTAAGACGATTTTAAGGCTGCCGGACCCGAGCCGGCGCGGTGGAGCGTCGAGGAAAGTGGATGTCTTGGTCTTGAGCGATGCGTACATTGGGTTGGAGTACAGGATTACCGGCGTCGAGGTCCCGGCGCTGCCTACAATCGATGATGATGTGGATAAGTCGAAAAAGGGGGGTCCAGGTCAGGGTCAGGGTCAGGGACAAGGAAGCTCGGCGTGATGATGAGAAGGTGATTTGAGGCTGCCTAATCTGATCTAAGGGTTTATAAGCACTAAGACAGATAAGTACCTAGAGTAGATGGTGCAAGGATAGAAGTACTCGATGAATGAATTGACGAATGTTTGCAGTGCCCGGGGTTGGCATATTCTTCTTCTTCCGGGTACCGCTCATACTCTTCACTATTCTCATATTGGGCCTGCTACCACAAGGCAAGATATCGCTTCGCTGGTTAGGTAGGTATCTAACTTATGTACCTACCTACATATCACCTAGTTTAACCCCATGGCATGCTATTAAGATATCTAGTACGCAGGTATATAGGTATATTATCTACCTCCCAGGAATACAAAGTCAGCCATGTTCGCTGTCAGCTATACCTAGATAAAAAGACACACTTGGAAATTCATCACCAATACAGGCAAAAAAAGAAATAGGCAATAGACAGTAGAAGACCTCATGAGGAAAAAAAAAGCAAGGTACATAAATCCGTAATGCATTCGTATCTCGTGAGAGAACCCAGGAGTATACTTCGTTATAGCCGTGGCAAGAGTCATGAAGCCTAACCTAACCTAACCCCAACCCCAACCCCAACCCTTATGCTGATCCGAAATATGCATGTCCAAACGCCGCGGTAAACTGATTCGACCAAGGGATACCAAGCTTTCCCCCCTGCATAGTTATCTCAAACCCAAGACCAAGACCCATGAACTCGTAGAAAACGTCTCGTGCGACTTCATAGTCTGCCCATGCCTCGCCTCTCGTGTATAAAAAGATAATGCCACATCTCGTCATGCTATCATTGTTTCAGGGTATCGATCATGAATTAGCAACACTTCCTACCCCTTCCTTCTTGCCCGTTATTTGGTCGCGGCTCCTCTGTACCTCCGTTGGCCGGATTCTCCACGGTGACCGCCGGTGAGAAACCGGGAGAAAACAACCAGCTCCGGCGATCTCTTCCGCGATCTCTAATACGAAAACTACCCCGAGGATTCACGCCGTCAAAATAGCCGCCATCCATTCCACTCTCGTAACCTGGCGTGCCTGGTGTAGCAGTGGCTGCTAGAATGGCTTGCTGCATTTTGCGGTTCTGCTCGACCAATTTGCGGGTGACAACCCTGAAGACTTCTTCCACACCCTCGCCGCTTTCGGCGCTAATCTCGTGGCACGCATCCCAGCCCACCTCCTGACCCCAGAACCCGCTACTACGTTTGCTACTCGGGCTGCGTGGTTCCTGTGCGCTAGAAGCGGCGGGAGTTACTGCCACACTAGACTGGCTTACACCAGGTCCTGGTGGTAGACCTGTCAGGCCGGTCGGGGTAGCGGTGGGCGGGGGCGTTGACCCTAAGCCCGGGGCGAGATTCTCGGCGACATATGCTATGCAGCGTTCGAAGGGTACTTCGCGGCGTGTGGGGTCGCGGGCTACAATGTCGGCCTTGGTTCCTACAACATGCAAAACGATATCGGGTGGGAGGTTACGACGCAGCTCTGTGAGCCACACACCCATTTCGGCGAAGGATTGTGCATCGGTTATGCTATAGCAGAGGATACAGGCGTTGGCTCCGCGGTAGTAAAGTCGGGATATCGAACGAAATCGTTCCTGTCCGGCTTCGAGGCCACAAAAGAGTTCCATGTTAGAGTCATATCAAAAAGTGAGAGGGGAGAGAGGGAGGGATAGGGAGAGGGTTGCTATGGTGAGTAAGGAATATTTACCTGTATCCCATATCTGTAAGCGGACAACTGTGTCTGTGTCACCGTCGATAACCCTCTTGGTCATGAAGCTGGCGCCTACGGTGGATGTATTTTGAGCAGGATTAAAAGCACCCTTGCAATACCGTGTGACTAAAGATGTCTTACCAACGCCTTGAGAGCCGAGGACGACAATCTTAGCCTCAAGAGAGGACATGGCGGGGGAAATAGAGGGTTGAAAGTGGAGTACTATTAAGAGCAAGCGTTGGAAAGCGTGAGGAGGAGGAGGTTTCAATAGAAGCTTGGAAACTTCAAAAATGGGAGTTGAAGTTGGGTATGAGGTAATGGTAATTAGGAGATGAAGGGAATAGGAAGTAGAGAGATAGAGGAATAAGTTCCGGGGAGTTGCTAAAACGAGTGGCTTCGCCGCCGCTCGAGGTTGAGATTGCGGGTCTGGATCGTCATCTCCTTCTGGTAAGTGGTTGCGAAGGGTTATAAAGTGGTGAATGCGTGTATGTAGATATTCTCAGCTAAAACAAGCTTGTGGAATAAACTAGCAAAGAATTGGATTATATAGAAAGGGATTCTTGGATTTTGTTTTTTTGTTTTGTTTTTGTTTTGTTTTGTTTTGTTTTTGTTCTTGTTCTTACTTACTTTTTTTGAGAATAAAAAAGAAGAAGCCGAAGAGAAGCTTGGAGGAGAGGTAAGTGGTATGTAGGAAAGTATGTACATAGGAAGGTATGTAGGTAGGTACCTAGTAGGTGCTGTAGGAAGGGCCTAGGCATACATTTGGTAGCAGTACATGCATCATATGCAACAAGGGTCCTTTATTTACCTTTTTCCACAACTCAGTTACTTCCAATGTTCCAGGCTGTCAGAGAGTGCAACGCTGACTCGTTCCCCATTCGAGGAGGGGTCACCTTGTTTCCCCAGCTGTTACTGAATGATGTCAACAACAAATCATGTTGAATGAACACCAGAGGGGTTGGGGATTGGGCAAAGCAAAATAAATTATTTTCAGTTTTGTAATGAAGGTGTACATATGTATGTGTATGGAATATAAATACAATAAATACGGAGGGAGAATGTAAACTTTGTAAAGCAACGGGCAAGTCAATTTGCTCCCTCTCACTCCTATCAGTTAGCTAACTAGTAACTTAATTGATAAGATAAGAGACTGATTCAAGGGTTAGTTATCCCTACGATCTTCTAGCGTGCAGTCAGCCCAGTCAACCATCCCTTTGCCTGCTGGGCCAGCACACGTGGGTCCAACTTCACGTGATGCCCCCAGTTTAATCCCTGGATACATTAAGGCACATACCCATATATTCCACTTGCCGTCTATTCTTCCAAACATAGAGCCTCTAGAAGAGTATATCAATTAATAAAATATATCAAATAATCGCAAAGTTTTCAATGACTATATTAATATTTTTTTTCATACAAATAGATGGCGTTGAAGGCTGATTAGGTGTTGAGAACCTAGAAATTGAAGTTGAAAGCAGGCTAGCCTTTAAAGGCTAGCGCTTGAAGGCTCACGTGATATCCCTCAGCATCGCCATGTTATACTCAACTTTGGATATAATAATCAAATGAAGCCTTAATACCATGCACCTAGTATCAGTAAATTGCCGTATTTGATATTTATATAAATATCAAAAGCATATCTTTACAGACATGATATTGAAAAAGTTATTTGAATTGAAAAGTAATTATTTATCAATAAGCTGGGCATTGGTTCGTGTGGCGGATCTGATACGCTAGCCATAATAGGCTAAAGTGGCAAAACTGACGATGTATTGCTAATGTAGCTTGAAAGATAACATATACATTTAAGGCACTGGAAATTTGGTGGAAGAGTAGGTACTCTTCAACAGATTTACTTGATTGGATGCATACGCTTTTTTTGACCCAGTTTAGACCCACGTGTGCTGGCCCAGCAGGCAAAGGGATGTGACATTGAAGGTTACGTAACGTAATATCATACAACGCCGACGCTGACCACCTTCTTCAAGATGCCTTCCTCAATATACCTTCTTCAATATGCCTTCTTCTTGAAAAGGGTCACACTAGTTATGTTTCTACTCATTTTCTAGCATCCCTTAAGAAGGCTTGTCAACCCACCACTTCTTACCTACTCCCCCACATGTCCCCCATCTGGCTGCGCTGTGTGATGGCAAGCCACAAGCCAATGATCAATACAGTAAAAGGGACAGTAAAGGCCCAATATATCCAAAACCTCTCTCCTACCACTTCTTCTTTGTCCCAGTTCAAAGATGGCACTGCGAATAGCGTCGCAAAAAATGTTCCAGGCAAGAATATCATCGTCATCACCGCAATCACCTTCATCGATGAGCTATCCATCCTAGCCGCCCTGGTGAGCTCGATGCTAGCTCGTGTGTCCTGACGCATCAATTTGCGCGAAATCTAACACAAACTTCCAAGTTAGATCCATTTTCCAAGATGAAAAAAAAAGTAGGTGTGAGCCTCACCCTCGCCATATAATCACTATTTGATTGCAAACGCCATTCGATGTGAAATGTAACCTGGGCGATTCTTGGTTCCAGTATATCGAAAGCTTCCCTTATACTCGCACGTTCCACCACGATATCCATGGGCAATGTCTTGGTGAGCTCTTGGTTCGCCATTATATCCAGCTGCTTCTGCAAGTAATTGGTAATCTTGCGGGCCAAATTTAAAGATAGCTGTGACCAACGAAGTCCTTCACGATAATTCTCCCATTCTTCGCGATTGCCTTCGTGAATCAGTTCGTAATTGACACGATTGACACGTCTGTTGGATGCGACTTCTATAACGTTATGCATCTCCGAATATAGGAGAGCCATTGGTAACAAGCAATGATTTTGGAAGAGAGCTTTGCTTTGCTTCAAAAAGTCCTCTATGTGCTGGTAGATACTGTCCGCTGTATCATTGCCCACCATCGTAAATAAGATACCCGTCGTGGTTCTAGTAGTTGAATTATAACAAGCTGTTCACGCTTTAGCTCGTGCTAGACTGCGAAGCCTTCGAGGAATACGGCGACAACTGCCTAGGTTAGGTAAGTAGGGCGTGCTCACCTATGAATCGAATTGAATAGTTGCTAAAACACATAGTGAGGGTTCGTCCTTTTCCAGGAATATTCCGCTCTAGCACGCTGAACTCATATACTAAGCCAGTAATCATCCCCAGAGAGTAAGCATCTATGCTCAGCTCGTCTACTATTTCGAGGATCCAGGCCGGCGGTAGCTGTGACTGTGGCTTCGTAGGCAAAAACTCGAAGGGCAATTTGATAAGTTTGAATGTTGGGTGCTCTAACTTATCTATAAGATAGCCTCTCACTTTATTTGTAGGCATGGCCGTTTTCGAATAGATGATGTCGCTATCTGAACTGTGAATCTCGAGCGCTTCATAATCGGGCACAACGTATAGTGGTGATCTTTTGAATTTATTACGACCATACTGCTGAAGGCTCTCCATATCACCTTTGGTAGACGGAAGTACTGTGATCTATACGAAGTTGGTCCAAATAATGCGCGAACGGGATAAAGAGGGAATATATATGGAGACCAGTAGACAACATCCTGAAACATGATTTTCAGCTATATATAGGTGCAAATTTGTGTACGGCAGGATTATGTTGAGTTCTGCTGGAAGAAGAAAATAGAACAGGTTCGTGGCTGCGCACTTTACATTACAGTCTCGTCCCACATACGGAATCTGCCTACCTGCTTGCCTGCCTGTGGGATGTCGTACATTGAAGGTTACCTACCTAGGTTAGGTATGTTACATGTGGTGGCTGTCCAAACCATGTAGGTTGCCATGTGTGATGTCCAATAATCAAGAAATTATATATACGATCCAATAAAAGCTAAATATATGTAACCCAGGCTGATAGGTATATATCCTTACAACTTCGAAGACTTGGGGGGCTTAAACGCCGGTGTAACGAGGGGATCGTAAATCTTATGGCCGAGGTGATCGCGCGGGACGCCGGTCACATGACTTCCTAGGTTTCGAACGTCGAGGAGCGAGGGGTTAAGCTCGTCGATGCTGGTGCAGCCAATAAGGCGCATGTTCATCTCCATCTCGTCTTTGAGGAGCTGCATTGCACGGTCGACACCATCCAAGCCATAGGCAGACATGGCATACAGGAACGGGCGGCCGATGCCGACACCCTTGGCGCCTAGACACAACGCCTTGATGATGTCGGTGGCGCGCCGCACGCCACCATCTACGAATATTTCGATCCGGTCCTGCAGTCCCAGCTCTCGGAGCACTGGCATCGTCTCAGCCAACACCTCAACAGCAGACCGTGCAAAGTCGAGCTGCCGCCCGCCGTGGTTCGACAACACGACGCCCTGAACCCCATGCTCGATAGCCTTGATAACATCCTCGACCCGCTGTACGCCCTTGAGGATAATAGGCATCTTGGTGATAGATTGGAACCACGGGATGTCCTTCCAAGATAGTGCCGGGTCGATGAAGGACGAAATGGCACGAGCTGCGCCCTGCGAATTATCTGTCTGTTGACCTGACTGCACATTGGAGCCGCTATCCGTGAACTTGGATCGCATATCCTTCTCTCTCCGACCTAGCTGAGGCGCGTCGACCGTGATGAAGAGACCCTTGCACCCTCGCTTCTCGGCATGCTTCACGATGCGTTCGGTGATGGCTCGGTCCGAGTTGACGTAGAGTTGCAACCATTGCACTTGGTCACCTTCGGCAGCGTCCATAATTTCATCAAACGAGCACGACGCTAGCGTAGGAATCATTTGCACGACGTTATGTTTCTTGGCAGCCTTGGTTAATAACACCTCGCCCTCGGGGTGTCCCAGCTTCCCCAACGCCGTTGCGGTAACGTAGAAAGGTATGTCCACCTTGGTACCAAGCATAGTTGTCGTGAAATCCACTTTCTTAACGTCAACCAAGATCTTAGGCCTAAACCATATCCTATGGAAAGCCTCGTGGTTTTCCCGGAGTGTCTTATCAATCTAGTCAGCAAACGGCAGAGCAAGTCAAGGTTCAACAAGAAAATAGAGAATACGAATAAGAATATGAATAAGAAGAGCTTACTATCTCATCGTCGGCGGCACTAGAGTAGTATCCCCAAGCGCCTCTCTTCATGACATTCTTGGCAACGGATTCGAAATCCATCAGATTATAGCATTGTGATAATAGCGGCTTATCTGCAATGCGCTGCTGTCGCCCTGCCTCTTCGGGGTCCTCAACCTCCTTGATTTTAGCAACGGTGCTCATATCAACGGGCCCCAGATGCTTCGATTTTTCCAGATACTTGTCCAAGGTATCTGGAGGGTGTATGGGTTCGAACTCCTCAGTCGCGTCTTTACCGGCATACTTCAGAATAATCTTCATTCCACCAGGATGCTCTAGATTTCAATCATCAGCCTTGGAAGGGTTCATGCGTGGGAAAGTTGAAGGTACTGACCAGGTAAGAATTCGGTGACATCATAGGCTTTTCCCTTGGAGACGAGGTTTAGCAAGGACTTACAGATAGGTGACTTATAGGTAGGTAAGTAGAGCAACTCACATGAATTACTACCCAGCAGGACTCCTTGCTATTGTGTTTGGATATTTCAACTCCTGAGAGCGCCATCGCGAATACTTCTCGGACCAAAGGACGCTCAAGCAACGACTTGAAACTACAATTACAATGGGGAGACAAGGGATATAATGGATATAATGGATATATAAAGAGGATCTATAGCAGTGGCAAAGCAACAGCGATGATTACAAGTAGAACAGAACACGACGACTGTTTATGTATGTATACAAGAAAATATAGAATGATAAAATGAGTATGTAGTAGATACAAAGTTGAGAATTGGCCACTAAGTCTATGTATCTCTCTCTTTCCTGTTCTCCTAATTAAATAAATACTGCCGACATTCGGGATTGCCTGGTTGGACAACCCGGCTTAAGTTTAGCGTTGCACGAAGAAGGACCAAGCAAAGGAACCAACTACGATAAGTTGGAGAAGGTAAACCTGGAGATGGTGGAGTATTTCGGGCATCGGGAGAAAATATGGCGGGGAGACTAGTAGGGTACCTAAAAAAAAAAGGTGGCTCTTCTTGGAAATATCTTGACCGTCATTCGTGAGCCAAGACTCTTTTACTACTTGTAGTAGTTACTAGGTAACTACCTTCTTTACCGCTTATACAATATACGTACTGGATACTTTCATAAAAAGACACTCAATTGATGCATAAGCTACTACTTGCAATACATAACTATTCAATACGTACATAACTATCGTTAGCGACCCCGCAATATCTTATTCGGAGAGCTTGATGGCATTAACAACGTCATCCATCTACTCAGATTCTACTGGCTCAAATATGTTGCCTTGTAACGTTCAAAGGGATACATACCCAGGGTCGTACTAAGTACATATGCTACTCTTACTCTTACTCTTAGCTATCCAGTAGCTAAAACATAAACAAAACAAACAAATAAAAATATATACAAAGTAAAGACAGAAATGCCATCAGGACACGTCGAAGCCAAAGTCGATGGGATCATCATTGCCTCATCCGACACCTACGAGCTTGTCGAGGGCAACGTGTACTTCCCGCCGTCGTCCGTCAAGTCTGAGTACCTAACCAAGACGGATCTACACACCCACTGCCCATGGAAGGGCGACGCCAGCTACTACAGCCTCAAAGTTGGAGGTGCGTTTCTCACCCCTGGCCTACCTATTTTCCCTAGTCTCTATCTACCTAGTAGTTTCTTAGTCCCTATCTACCTAGCAGTTCCTTTAGACATGTATGGACACAGTTTGCATATGAACATTACCATAGTATATGTCGGGCTTATTTTCACTTGAGCAAAGTGTGCAATGAAAGGTCCACATACATGCTAACAAGAAACCTGGTCGGATTTCATATAAAGACAAGGAACTAGCCAACGCTGCCTGGTATTACCCCGAGCCCTTCGAGAAGGCTGCGCATATCAAGCACCACGTTGCTTTCTGTAAGTCGACTCCCCTGAAATCCATTCCGCTTGCATATTTTGATTTATTTGGCTACCAACCTACCTATATACATATCTTCTTCACCTATATATTCTCTCGGCGTGAGGTTAACTTCCGTATGATATATAGATAAAACGAAGGTAGATGTTTCTTCAGGGTAGAGTCAGCTGCCGTTCGCCTAGAAAAGGTGGGAGAATGAGCAAGCAAGCCTACCTACATATCCCGTAAGGTGAACCAGAAAAACAGTCCCAATTTACTATATTTCGTTACCTCGGTCAGTCATTTCTACGCGTGCAGAGAATTGCAAGATGAGGACTCCTTCTACAAGGAAGAAAGATGAAAAGATGAAAGCTACTGGAAAGGGTATATTCGCCTAGCTACCTACTCTATATAACCATACAACCCAAGAACCAACGTCTTAATATTAGTAACACATCACATACCAACCGAGTAAGTACCGGCAATAGCAATCTCGTTATACATCAACCTTCGTACAATCCTTCGTACACAATCCCTTTTCCTCCTTTTTCCTTCGTTTTTTCCTTCAAAAGGTCAGATCACGCACGCGTCATATCACAGCGACCCAGCTGCCTTCTTGTGGCTGCTACCGCTACTGCTCTCAGCCGTGACTCTCGTCGGCGCGGGCTGATCCTCGCCGGAGAGCTCTTCGAGCGTCTTGCGCTTGGTCTCGGGGATGAAGCAGGTGGTGAAGCAGCCGAGCAGCATAAACAGGGCATAGATCTCGAGCACGTGGTCCATCCAGGGGCTGGGGTTGTCGTGGGTGGCGCCGCGGGTGCGCAGCGTGGAGATGGCGCCCTGGCCGATGATGGAGCCGATCTTGCCCGAGGCCGCCGAGATTCCCGCACACGTCGAGCGGTACCGCGTCGGATACAGCTCGCCGGGCACGACGAAGGTGGTCGTGTTGGGGCCGAAGTTGAAGAAGAATTGGGCGAGCACGTAGATGGCCAGCAGCCCGTTGCCCGATATGTGGTTGTACGCGAAGCCCATGACGATGAACAGGATGCTCAGAATGATAAACCCGCCCATCTGGATCGTCTTGCGGCCGAGGGTGTCGAGCGTCGCGACGGACACCCAGTACCCCGGCACGGCACCGGCCAAAACGATGATGAGGTTGCCAATGGCGGTGTTGTACAAGACCCGATAGGTCGAGTCGGCATTTTGAGTCGCGTATCCAATCACCTTCAGGATGGTGGCATTGTTCAGGGACAAGCCATAGACTAGGTTCCTTATGAGAATCTGAGACACTTGAAGGGTTTAGGGGTACAACTTACAAGCTACGTCGAGACAGAACCACGATCCGGCGGTGCCAAACAAGAGAAGGCCGTTCTTGGGAATAGAGTAGTGACGGATGAAGTCACTCCAGCTAGCTTTAGGAATGGTCATCTGAGCCTGGGCTGCTTCGCGGGCTTGTATTCGAGTGATATCATCAGGCTGCCCCTCGTTCTTGCCAGACATATAGGCCTTGACGTCGTCGGCGGCTTTCTCGACGTCGCGGCCGATATCGAACGTATACCGCTAAAAGCCAAAGTTAGCTAGCTTCATTCCCCATGCTGGGAATATAGGTAACACAACATACAGGAGTCTCGGGGATTGTTAATCGGTAGTAGAGAGCAATGCAGGCTGGTACCGCACCGAACCCGATCAAGGTCCTCCACATCTTGTCGACGGCAATGGCGCAATAGCCGTCGCAGTTTGCCGGCTCCGTGGAAGCCTCTAGCTGCTCCCTAAAGCCCAGGGTGACAAACAGCATGACAAACGCGCAGACTAACTGGCCAATGCCCTGCATAGCAAACACGGCACCCATCATAGCTCCTCTCCACTTGGTAGTAGCAAATTCGGAGGTGATGATACTCGATAACGGGTAGTCTCCACCGATGCCGACTCCGACTAACACACGCCAGAATATGATGAGACCGATGATGTTGACCGAGGGAGAACCGGAGCTGAGGGCCTGGCCGAGAGTAGCAAAGATGATGATGATTAGTTCAATGCCGTACATGCGCTTCCGTCCGACGTGGTCAGCCAGGTAGCCGAATACCAGCTGTCCAATGACGGTACCGGCGGAGGTTGAAAGCTTGATGGCGTTGTCGGAAGAGTTGGGCAAGGAACCAACGCCGGGGTAGTAGACGATTCCCAACATGGTGTTCAGCAGACTGACGGCGAAGATGTCATACGAGTCCGTGAAGAACCCAATTCCAGAGACGATACATGCCCTACGGCACCGAGTTAGCCATCTTCTCACAGTAACCCTCGCAATAAATCCTTACCTCACATGGTACCATCCGAAAGGTGCCTTATCGATCTCGGCGAGCGCGAGGCGGCGGCGCTCATTGGGATCTTGAATGTGAAGAAAGTCATTATGGTAGTTATGGTAAGCGTTATTCCCGCCCGAAGTCTTTTGAACGCGAGGTATTGGTATTGTAGTGTCTGCCATAACTTTTGAGTTAGGTATGGCCCGTATCCTTAGGTGATCGTACTTGACTCCAATGTTGTTTTGCAACAAGCGATCTTTGGGGAGTGGAGACGCTGCTGGTCTGCTCCCTATGTAGGTATGTATGAAGAAAGCAGGTAAGCAATATATATTTAAGCAAGGGAGGCAGGCTGTCAACCCTGGCAGGCTTTATTGGTGACAACAAACATCAAAGGGGGGAAACATGCGGGAAACAGATGGGCCCTGCAGTGCTTTTTGTATCTACCTATATTCCACTCCCATGTACTCCAACCGGGCCGAGCGGGCTATGTGCGTAACGTGCCTACCTACTGAAGACCGTAGGTATATATTATATGCTACAAGGGGGCATCCGAGAACCAACATGCGAGGGCGTTATGGATGGACCGTGACGAGATCAGGTATTACAATCCCACCACCAATGGGGCGGGACCGCCGGGCTGAGCATGCTCATTGGCAGTTTGTTTTACCTGAGATCAACGCACGCCGTACATGGTTTAATATCTTAACAGAACGAGCTACCATAATTGTAAAACTAGGTAGGTAGGCACGTCGGTGTTCCCAAGTACCTAGGTAGTAAGTAGTTTCAGTTCGTCACATATCATATTACGTATAGTCAGGTAGGTGGTTTAGCAGCCTGCCTACCAACCTATCCACGCCGCTGGACCACTCACTGCTCCTTCATCATTCCAATATAATCCATACTACATGAATTACGCCGGTATTTGATGTGGGGGGTTTCTTCATCGTGATTTGCACACACATATAATACCTAGTCTCTCTGCGGCTGTAAAATGCAATGGGACATCGCAGATCCCAAACTACCTAACCTAGGCGGAAGAGCCCTACCTGCCTGCCTGCCTTGCAGTAACGTGCCTACCTAGTGAGGCGGGCCGGATGCCATACCTACCAGTCTCGAGATGTTAGGACGAGACTGGCACGATACACCCATGTCTATTGGCCGTTTTTTTTTTTTTTTTTTTTTGAAGTGTCTACCTACTAGGTTAGGTAGGTGCGTAGCCCTAACTAACCTAGTTACTTGGAAGTTCAAGATCGATATACCTAATACCAAATAAGTGCCCTAAGGTTACGTAGGCAAGGGCCCTAATGGTTTGGAAACTAAATGGAAAAAGGGAACAGAAAGCCGATGTTTTCTCATCAGTTTTGCCTTCGTAATGGATATTACAGAAAGAGTTTGGTTGGAAAACCTTTTACATAACATAGTAGTTAGTTGGAGGTTAGGCGATCCATAAAGATGGAAATACTCGGCGAAATGTTGGAATAGAAAGAAATTTTGAATATTTTTGTTTTGTCACTTTAAGATTTGGAAGATTTTGATAAGTTATTCTGAAGACGAATTAGAGTTGTCGTTTGGAGCACATGTTGCGGCTCCATGCATATCATTCGTCAGTGGCCAATGCAAGTGGGGATGCGGTAGCAAAGTAAGGTGTGGGTTGTAAGACGGTAGACCTCTCCAGCAGAAGTAATATGTAGGCTAAGATATTGTACATGTACTACGGCACCAACCTACATGACACATGCGGGTAGCATCACCATTTTACCTTTTATAGAACGAGGCGAATCTAGAAAGCATCGCCAAGATCTCCAACAGTCGAAACAAGACTTCACCAAGAGTCCAAGGCTCGATGACAGGACGGGAAGAAATGCTTGTTTACTTGCTTGTCGTCATCCACCTCATCTCATACTGAGTTAAAGTCAAGATAAGAAGTTTTGCCAGCTTAAGAAAACGAGCCCCTTATATTTTTTCAATTACCTTCATTATCCCTTGAATTCAAATCAGGCTATAAAGTCTGCAGAGTCATAGAAATCCAGTCTGACCGAGCCTGGCCCGATTCGGAGATGGGGCTGAGATGGGTCGTATCGGTAGGTATAAATGAAAATGGTATCGTTCCCTAGCAGAACAGAGGAGGTTCTGTAAGTCTAGTGACCACTTACGGCTGGGCCAATCGGACAAAAGAACCTGACCACGCTCTTGAACATAGCTTTCAGCTATGCGCATATAGAGAACGGAGACTCGCTGCGATCGTCTCCTTCTTGGGTGTGTCAATACTGAGCTATAAGAATCATAACGATGTTTGCTGCTAGCTAGGCCTGGTTGTTTTAGCCGACAGTGAGCAGGTAGGTATTCATCTATTGACCACAGGTCTCGGTTCTAGTCGGTATGTCGTTGTTAAATCGACTATCAAGTCCACCATCACAATGCATGAACTTGGAAACAATGAGACATCTAACGTTAAAACGTGCCACTTTCAGTCCTTAGTGTTGGCTCTGAGGCCACAGCTTTGTTTCTATGTAGGTAGGTATGCGCCCCTTTCGAACGTTCTCGGTCTCGATCTCGGTATTCTATTCATAGCCATGCTTTGATGCTAGTTATTGCACCTGGTCGTATTGTCAAGTCACCTCAAGGCTAACGACCGTTCGGAAACCGGAGATGATAATGTAAATCGCGTGACCTGCCTTGGCTGACGAAAAGGGGGCTCCTACGTAGGTAGTAGTGTAGGTTAATGCGCCCTCCTGACGATTTACCGCTATTGTCACCCCCAGCACTGTCATATCAGTAATACTATGATGGCTCTCGGGTTCCAATTAGTCAACCTTGACGTGGCGTGGTTTCTGTGAAAACCGAAACGGGAGTAGCCAGACAGGTTCCAGGAGCTTAGCTGGGTTCCTTTTCACATCTATCGTTGAGCAAGTCAAAGCAACTAAGTACCCAGGCTCCCTCGAGCTTTGGTAAGTGGAAATGCCACCAAGTGCCCAGCCATCGTGGGAGTACACTCACATTATGCGATCTATACCTCGACGATTTCGTCGTCATCATCCTCGTCGTTGCCATTCTGGCCCTCGTCATGGCTGGACTTTTCGACGCTGTCGACCTTGTCTGCATCTTCCTCGTCCCGCATCAAGACCTGTACTAGCCGTTCGCAGGCATCTCTAACACCTTCACTGACAACCCGCAAATGGGTTTCTCTGATGATAGGATACACCTTTACTTCCCGCATCTTATCTCTACCCTCCCTAGTGCTTGATAAAAGCAACAAGGTCTCGACGTGTGTTTGTATGATGTTCGGGTCAGCATCGCGTTGCTTGTCGGGAGGGAGAAGCTGGAGATCTGGGAGCATGGACATCATCTCATCCTCATCGTACTCCTCATCCCCCATTATTGGTAATAAGATGTATGGCAGGATGTTGATATCGTCCTCTGATAAAAATAACGGGTGTGAAGAGATATCGAAAGCAACATTTTTGATGGTGGAGGCGACCCCTTTTCGCCTGACATCCGACTTGTACTCGGTGAAGACCTTGAGTTTGGTAAGGGGTATTACGCCATCATATTCCTGCTTTCGAGTGAAGTAATGCCGGACCTCTGAATGCTTTGTTAGATCGGCGAAAAGATAAGCTAAATGATCAAAGTCGGCATTCTTATTATATGTCCCGTCTGCACCTTTGACGAATAGATCAACTAGCTGGTTCATGACCATATCATCCGATGCAAGCTCGCATGGTGCGGGCTGTTTCTTGTCCAGAATCTTCTTCAACGCATCCCACTTGGCCACATTTGCTAATAGCATAGATAGGAGGTTGGCATTCACCTCCGTTGGGATCTAGCATATGGATTAGCTCGATGCCAGCTAGCAAATGGAATTTAAGTAGTATGCTGACAATTATTTGCCTGAAGACTTCATCCAAAAACTTTTGATCCGTGGCTAAGCTTTCCAAAATCTCGCGATCAGCTGCAAGGTTGATTAAGATAGTTATAACATGCTCGGCGATATGCTAGATACGCTGATATTAGTCGTGGTTTTAGGTATGTGGATGAAAACACTGAGAAAATATGTATATACTGGGTTGTCCTTCACTAATATCTTCAAGTTTTTAACGGGCTTCAAATTATCTACTTTGAAGATGCTGGGTTGAGATGTCGAATAGGGGACTAGATGCTCTGTCGCAAGAGCTCGGATCTCTGGTTTAGGGTTGGCGATGAAGCCAACCAACTAAATGGGAATTAATATGAAAACATGATATAGGAGTTTGATTATTGGGTTTAGTGATCATACTTCTTCCAATTCTGTGGGCATCTTGTCGTTAAGACATTAACTGTGGATTATGAGTTGTGAATTGTGAATTCCAAGGTTATGAATTATGAACTGAGGACTGAGAACTGAGAACTAATGACTGTGAATTGTGAATGGCTGTTAGACGACGATAAAATTTGGAGGGGTTGTAAAGTTTATGGAGGGGTATGAAAGTGAAAATGACGTCCCCAAGTTAAGTAAAAGACCCTTTTATTATTCTACTATCCATAGTATGTACATAAGTATAGATTTATTATGTAACTAATGGCAGTTTACTTTCCTTTAAACGAAAAACACATGCCTGCTAAATGAACTATACGGAACTTATTCCGCCCCACCCCTCAAAAATTTCAATTTTTAAGAATTACATTCAAACTCGTGCGCTCCACGTCTACGGTCTTGACATCTAACATTCGGTCTTACTACACATTCCCCAAGTCGGCAGTTATTACAACAATTCCGTATATACAAAGACACTATGCCAAAGAGTACAACACCAACTTCCATTCGCCATGGAAGGCGACATAACCCACTAGAGGATGACCTCTTAGCCACTGGGCCCCTCCGCGCAAAAGCTCCCAAACGAAAATCAAAATCCGGCGAGGACGAACCAGAAAACTACATAGATTCTAAGTCATCCAAGAAAATTCTTAAGATCGGCCGAGAATTAGCTGAAGAGATTGATGTTGCGCCACCACGACCTCCCATAGAGTCAAATGCATTTGGGTTTGACTCACGGTTTAACGACGAAGACCAAGATAATGACCTGTACGAAGATCAGGAAGTCTGGGGCGACGATGAGGATGAGATTGTAGAGGAAATCGAGATTGAGCCCGAGGATCTAGACACATTCAACCGATTCTTACCCACAGACGATGATCCATTATTAACGGAGGGCTGGCCAGGGCAAGCAGCTCCGGAGGAGAAAGGCGCAGGCACCAACCTTGCTGACTTGATTCTTGCAAGAATCGCACAACATGAGGCTGGACAGGACCGGGGACAGGAACCAGGTCCGGTGGATGACGACTACGAATTATCACCCAAAATCGTAGAGGTGTATTCTAAGTAAGTCCCTACCCACTTTCTACCATACCAGAGGCTACATGGATGATACTAACAATCGATAGGATCGGCTTGATTCTGTCGAGATATAAGTCTGGCAAGTTGCCAAAACCATTCAAGATCTTACCCACAGTGCCACACTGGGAAGAGATTATCGAGCTTACCAACCCGGATCAATGGACCCCGAACGCATGCTACGAGGCTACAAGAATCTTCGTGTCTAGCAAGCCCATCGTCGTCCGAAGGTTCATCGAGATGATACTGCTTGAGCACGTGCGCGAGGACATTCATGAGACGAAGAAGTTGAATGTTCATTTATTCAACGCGCTTAAGAAAGCCCTGTATAAGCCAGCAGCATGGTTCAAGGGCTTCCTTTTTCCTCTCGTGGAGAGTGGTACTTGCACACTTAGAGAAGCTACAATCATATCTGCTGTCCTGGCTAGAGTCTCCGTACCTGTTTTGCACTCCGGCGCAGCTATCAAAGGACTCTGCGAAATCGCTGCCCGAGAGGCCTCTGCCGGAACCGAGGGCGGAGGCGCTACCAATGTGTTCATCAAAACGCTACTTGAAAAGAAATATGCGCTCCCTTACCAAGTCATCGATTCCCTCGTATTCCATTTCCTCCGCTTCCGAAGCGTGGATCCCGCATCCATCAAAGAAGGCGACGTTATGAGCATAGGCGACGAGCGAGCAGCTACGAGGGCCAAGCTGCCGGTAATATGGCATCAGTGCCTACTGGCCTTTGCGCAGAGATATCGAAATGAGATCACCGAAGACCAGAGAGAGGCCCTCCTAGACCTTCTACTCACGCACGGGCACCACAAGATCGGCCCTGAAATCCGAAGAGAACTATTAGCCGGACGTGGCCGTGGTGTCCCGGCCGAACAAGCTGATCTAGGCTTTGATGGGGATGACACCATGCAAATAGACTGATTAAGGATTAAGGGGAGAATGGGCGGCTTGGAAATATTTAGATCCTGACAGGAGACAAAAAAGATACCAACGAAGAGATGAATAGGCATCTTGGTGTTCTAGGCGTTCTAGACTGGCATGGCTGGCTGGCCCTTTTCATGATGAATAGGAGGCATATATCAATGAATTGATTCCCACGAAATATCAAATACTCTTGCATTCCTAGTTCATGTTTAAACTGTACAGTGATTTATTTGCATGCGACTTTCCAGGTTACTACATTAAACCTGAATACAGCTCAAGGTCATGTACCTATATGTTGTGTTACACCACCATACAACAATTTCTCATCTGGATAGGCAAGTCTTTATTTAAAACCATGGGTATCGTGAAAACCTAAGTAAGGAGAGGGGCCAAGAAAAACCCAGTCTGCAAAAGATAAAAGTTGCTTGGTCTATGACAAATATCATGATTACTCCTCGTCCCTGGTCTTCCGCTTCTTCTTTTTCCTCTCGGCGCCATTCTCTTCGGGCGCGATGAAATCCTGCTCCCGCTGCCGCTTCTTCTCTTCCTGCTTGTTCTTCTGCTTCTCTATTCTCTCTTCCTGCGCAATGCGCTTCTTGGCTTCCTTGCCAATGTGGTACTCGCCTGCCTCGATCTGGAGGTCCACCTTGCTCTTCTCCTGTGCCGGCGGGAAGGGTGTGTACACCTTCTTGGTCTTGTCTGTAACCTTGTACGGCACCATTCTCTTGCTGAGACTCCTCTTCTTGTAATTCGGTAAGAAGCGCTCCCAGTTCTCTTGGGCTAGTTCGGGATCCTTTGCCAGCTCGCGCTTGATCATAAGTTCCTTGATCTGGTAAATAGGATGTACGTTCGCCATGCAGTCTTCCACTACTCGGCGCACTTCCTTCAAGCCCCTGTACGGGCCGAGAACACTGACTGTGTTTCCTTGGACGAGAATATAAGTCTGTGTGAGGAGCTCCAAGGCTTTTAGGGTCTGGCCCCCCGGACCAAGGATTCTCTGTCGTCGCTTTACGAACTTTTCTTTGTTGCGCACCAGACTCCTTATTTTGATGATATCGCAAGCTACGTCGTCCTGGAGTATCTTCAATGCTTGCGGCGCAGGGACACTACGCGCCAGTAGCTTGATTAGGTCGCGGGCTTTGAGGATGGCGGCAGGATCGAATGTTTTTCTCGTAGTCTTGACGGTCATGCAACCTATTTTCGAGAACGATTAGCATTTGCTACAAGGAATTTGGAGAGAAAGAGTGGCTATGCTTTACCTTCAACTAGATCGAGAGTGCATGCGATGCCATTTTGTTGGAGGGCCTTTGTGACACCAGGCCAAGCTTCCTTTAGATAAACTTCTCGGTATTTGGGAAATAGACTAGATAGTTATCCATGAGTGTTTTGTGCCTATAACCAAATATAGAGTATTGGATAACTTACACAGCAAATGACGATTCTTCTGCGAAAGTCCCGCCAGCGTTATCTGAAGGCTTAAAGGGCTCGACCTTCCACTTGTCTAATATGCAACAGATTGGGTTAGAGGGGTTTGAAAAGGAAGGGTATTTGATGGGTTGAGCTCTCACCTATATCATCGGTATCCCACGGCTTATCTTTCTTATATGTGGACGGCATCTTGATGGTGGTGAATGAAAGTATTAATGTTTGGCGTGGGTGAATTATTATTGATTTGCATGTTAAGAACTTAATTGAATGTTTGGAACTTTTTTTTTTCTTGAGAGTCGGCAGTCGGGATTTCGCATTTTACTGTGGAGCCACTTGGCACTAGACCCCTCCAGCTAAATGCATATGTACTTCGTACCTATGTACTATTTACATACCTCATATGCAGATTAGTACACACCTGGGCATGCATAATCTCAGTGCGGCTGAAGACAAGAATCATTAATCCTCTTTTTGGTGAACCAATGAAATGGTATCGCCAACGACACAGTTAATACATATGTACGTAGTAATGTTCAAATCCAACTTGATCTATGAGAGCTTTCATGAATGTCAACGAAACTACTATCGGTTATTTGTTCGGTTTGATATAATTTCACAGGATAATACTCAATGTTAGAGGTTAGATCTACATAGGGAGCTATGTTTTGATTTTCTTTGCATAGTACTTCAGATGTCAGACCCCGTTAGAGAGAATGGTGAGGGAAGAAAAAGAAGAAAGGGGGTCAGATTGAGAAAGCTGGAAGTCTACATGGAAATGATCCTAACCCAATTAATGTCATAGCCTTCAAGGTCCATGGGGATGTGTTTCGTCTCAAACAATCTCATTATATTTCCCGAGTTTTATAAGTCATCTGCCGCTTCATGATTGAACAATTACTTACCTACCTAGGTATACTTAAGGCTAACCTGATAAGCGTTGAGCTAAATAAATCAATGCAATTAATTGGCAGCATATGGTGCGGTACGTAGTAGCCTTCTGTTCAACATTTGAACATTTAAATCATCGTACTACTAGTTAGTTATTAGTAGTACATCAATTGATGATATCTAGGTATGCATGTACTAGGTATTACTTACATATACACGTTATTACATACCTAGTAGTATACATACATATGTATAAGAGCACTACGTATGTAGTTACTGGGCACCTAGGACATCTCCAGCTTAGGGGTTATCAGCCAATTACAATTCGGGAGATCTTAAAAATCTTACCACGTACCGGAGCCAAGCAAATAGGATCGAATATATGTTTATAAACGAGATTTAGGGATACATACTCCTTTCTTTCAACGATATTAAAATAACAAATATTTTTTTTTTCCATTTGAAATTTCTACAGAACATTGAATATATACCGAGTAGTACGTGTCTGATGATTTTCGGCGCGTGCCATCTAAATACCCTTTCTTACCGAGTACCTACTTCCTTTCTACTAGGTTGCAGGAGCCAAATCACAAATTATTAAACGTCTATAAGGTTTATGAAATTCTTTCTGTTGATCCACTAGCCAGTTACCAATCGGCTTGGTTTGATTTACGATTGATGATCCTGCAGTGGATTGTTTAAAAAAAAAACCGCGAATCTGACACCAATTCCCATTGCCCATATCGACAAAGCATATCCATCTTTTCCATCCCGACATAAGAATCCCTTTTCACAATCGCCGACATAACTATTTCATATAAATCTTCATACAGCTAGTTATTCGCACACACCGCTAGATCATTGCCGATCTATGTGCGATTTCGTTACTCGCACCGATTAGCGCACGCGCTCGATACCTCTCCACCATAATTCTTTAGTCCCGAGTTTTCTCGGGACCTCAGCATTCACCCAACACGGCTTCCTCCACACTGGCGTTATTACAGGCAGATAGTAATCTGCCACCAATCACCTCACCGACCCCGACACGCACGGCATCGCCAGCACTACCGCCCATTCGATCAGTCATGGAGGAAGGAACGGCAGCGCCGTTACCGGCCACTGTTGAACCAATATCTCGTCCGAGTTCGACTTCTTCCACCACGGCAGCGGCGTCGGCATCGGCAGCGGCGGTAGCAGCAGCAGCAGCAGCAGCACAGCTCCCAGGCGTTTCGGCGCTGGCGGCTGGAGAATCAGCGAGTAGTTCACCACAACTAAGGTGAGTTCGCCCCTGAGAAAGCATAGACGATTCCATAAACAACTCCAATATATCAAGACCCTTATCGAGGAATAAAATGTCTCTTGATCTGGGTTGGCATTCCGGCTCTTGGATAAACTGGCACTCTTTGTGTAGGGATCTTACCAAGGAGACGATGAATTCAAGGTCCTATATAAGCATCCGATCGAGTGCTTAGGAACGCGCGCTATCAACTTGTCACCTACCCAAGAATTAGGATATGTCGGATAGGTGTGCGAAACTTGAGTACAAGTTGCTTTTATTTTATATCTGCTCTTGCCTGAAGTAATCCTATCAATGCCTACCTGGTATCTAGGATCTATTGCACGCGATATTACACGCGATCTTGTTTTCAACCTCGACCTGCAGATCTTTATTGGAATTCGTTTGTTTGAGAACAACAGTTGACTAACTCATGGGCATCATGTTTAGAGCTACGAATATACCAGCACCCCCTATGAATGCTATGAGTGCTATGAATATGGGTGGTTCCCCTGCAGCACATGCACCGATGCCATCGGGCAACCTGGTAAGTCTTTACACATTTACTTATTTATTTGTTTATTTTTCATCTTATCTCATATTCACTTCGCATCGTTTCTATTCTATCCCTTCCTTTCACAATGGCAAGTGCATTGGTTCTGGGACCATCCGGAAGTTGCCTACTTGAGTACTTTTATTCCATTAGGGAATTGCCAGCTGGTCACAAGACAGATAAACACACATGGCATGCATTCCTTATTGTAAACTCTAATAGGTGCGCAATACTCTATCATAGAGTTAAATGTGGAACCTGCTAGTTACTATCAACGGTGTCAACAGCTCGCCAGCCGGTCAGTTCACAAGGAAATTTTCTCCCCGTTCTAATTTGTGCACGGATGTTGGGAAATCGCTTGGTTACTTGGGTTCCCTGGTACCCTGGCATGGACAAGGTCTGTGCTATGGCTTGATTGGTTAGAGCCTTATCAGCATCCACTTTCTGGAAATTCTTCAATCTTTCCCGTTTATCAATTCTATCTCCAGCTATCAATCAACTTGTGTCTATCAGTCAATCAATCAATCTATCTATCTATCCTTCCCTATCGATACTATCTCTCTCTCCCAATACTAGGTATTAAGACTCCCATCGCGATACCAATCGACTTAGAGTCTCGATAGCTTGATTTTGGAATTCTTTTTCTACTTTGAGAGATTTTCTCTTTTACCTCGTTTTTTCAAGATGATGGCCTCACACCCCACGGCATCGGCCGCAGCAGCTAACAATGAGATGCCATCTACACAGCCAACCTGCCAGAACTGCGGCACTTCGACCACTCCCTTATGGCGTCGCGACGAGACCGGTTCGGTTTTATGCAATGCCTGTGGTTTGTTCTTGAAGCTACATGGCCGACCACGCCCGATTTCTTTGAAGACCGATGTTATCAAGAGCCGAAATCGCGTCAAGACAATGCGACCAGATATGCAGATGAAGAAGAAGGTAATCCAATATCCTCCTTTCAGTCCGAACCAGCCCAACCCTTTCTATCCAATCCCGCCTACTTATCATGATGCTCACAATTTTCTACAGCAAAGTCTTCCTGCAGCCGCGAGCACCAATGGAAATAACTTCCAAAATCATGATAATGCAACTGCCGCTGCACTTGCTGTCGTTCGCGCAACGCAACAGAAGGCAACCAACGGACACGGTCACGGTACAGATTCGCCCGTGTCGCGCACTGCGACCCCGTCTCTCTATGATCCACATCTGACTGCGTTCCAAGCTATGGATCATTTCCACTCGGACGGACTGAATCAATACCCGCTTTCTGGTGGTTCGCCCAACCACCCCCAATCCCCTATGAATGGCGACCAACAAGCCTTAGAAGTCCCGCAAACCCATGAGCAGCTAATTGCCGCCAATTCGAGCCTGAAGACACGCGTTAATGAGTTGGAGCTCGTCATCGAGTTATACAGGGGCCGTCTACAGCAACTCGAGCAGGACATGCAAACCGCCGATAACTTCCGTCATAGTGCTGAGAACTCCGCCAAAGAGGCTGCCACAGAGCGCATGCAACGCGACGAGATCCAGAGACAACTTGAGGATAGCCACCGACGCGAGAATATCCTCAAGAGACGACTCGATGAGATGGAGCAGGAAAATCAAGAATTGAAGACCAAGATAGAAGATACCGAGAACGAGAGCGAGCACATAGGAAAGAAGCCAAAGCTGGACGAGACGGCAAAGCCTGAGGAAACGGCAGAGGTGCCAACACCACAGTCGGCCTCTTGAAAAAAGATTTGGTAGCATGGCCCATTCCCCTTCTACATTTCATGATACCTGCTTATAACCCAATCAATCCTGTGCACTGTGTAACAATAATTGGCCACGACTTTCTTTGCGTCTGCTTTATTTTCTTTGTTCTGGAGGCCGAACGATATGGAGGGCACCGAGGGGATTCGGTTTTCAGACTCGGAGACGTCTACGGCTTCTCTAATTCTTAGTTGACATACGTGGGAAACGATAAAATACTTGCGGTGGCCCGTCGGGTTGGCATGGTCAAAATACTGAGTGAGTGGTATTAAGCGGTGGAAAACCTTCGTCACGATATGGAACGAGTGGGTTGATTGACTTTTAATGGCTGGTTGCAACTCCACGACAGACCTATTAGGAGGATAAGGGAACATGAAAGGAGTTTAAAGGAGTCACCAAACCAGTCGAATATCAATTCGCCGGCTAATGGCCAATAAAAGTTGATTTGCTTCTTTAATAATGATACCAAACTTGGATCAGTCTATACTGCATGTGGCTACCTTTTCATATTTGAAAGGTTTGCTGAAGTGATTGATTGGCCATGAGGCTCTGCATAGCAATAGGCAACCTAGGTATACTATAGATATATACCGATATTTCGGTTCCTGTGCCAATATAAAGTGATGAGACTATTCTTTTTTTTTCCTTGTGAATAGAGTACATGTTTTACGCTCCACCTCGGGGTGGGTTGATTTAGGCATCGATTTCCAATGTCCATAGAGACCACCTCAATCTAATGCGCCGTCAATGATGTTGGCTTATGTCTTGTCTCTCGGCTCGCTGTTCACGCCATCCGTCGTCTCCGACTTCTTGAAGCCCATCAGCTCGCCAATCACACCACCCGGCTTAGGTACAGGACACTCTCTCTCCTTCCTCGCTCTGGTAGCGGCAGCGGCGGCATCGGCGGGGCTGGTTCTCCCGGTCTGGGCAGCGACCCTGTCAAAGTCCTCGGTGGTGCTCTCGAACTGGACGATGCCGTCGTGGACGACGGCGGCTTGTTCTTCGGGCTTCCGCCGCCTCCGCCGCCGCGTGCCGTCGGGGCCGGTCGCTGAGTCGGCGTAGGTGACGCGGGGCGCGGGACACGGCAGGATGTGCGGGAGGGCGACGACGAAGAAGCTGGCGGCGACGGTGGTGGCGAAGAGGGAGGATGTCATGCGCGACCTGGGGTGCAGGTGCGGCGGCATGGTGTGTGTTGTTGGTGTTGATGGTTAATTCCCAGGTGGGTTTGGGAATGGCTGTGTTGGAGGAGGTGTTAATTCGGCATTGGAATGGCAGTCGTGTCTAAGCGATGGGCCCCGTCCTAGTGAAGAGGAGGAGGAGGAGAAAAAGTAGTAACCTACAGTGGTTAGGTAGGTATGTAGGTAGGTGTGTTATGGTGTATTACTTCTGCGTCCTGGTGGCATGGCGTTAAGAGGTCGACAAGATGCAAGTATGTATGTATGTATAAGGTATAAGTAGATAGATATGGACATTCAACGTATGATTTATTATCTTTTAAGTGTTAATGTTAACTTGACTACTACCCTGTAGTTAGTTTCTTCTGTTCATCTTTTTTCTTTTCTTCTCCATGAAACCCCAAATCCAATTGACATGATTTGCTGATTTTGCGGCGAACATTGAAAGTTATCGGCCGAGGATTTGCCAGGTGAAAGGATCCAAGATCAGATTAAACATTTGACCTCATAACCAAACCAACCAACCAACCAACCAACCAACCAACCAAACTAACTAAACGCTTGGACCAAGTTCTTTAGTCGCCATACCCGGGGGTTAAGGGAGAAGCTGCATGGTGCAGTCAACAGTGCAGACCACTAACAGGGGTTCCACTTAAAATGACTTCAGAATTTTTAGTGTTATTAATAAGTTATTGTGGTACTAGTTACTAGTAGACCCGTTCAATGTCGCGCTCAGTTAACTGCCTGTGCCTACTTTACACCACTACAGCACATTATAGTTAGTTACTCCCCGGTCCATCTAATTTTGGGAGGCCAATAATCTCGACATATCGCACGCGACGAACCTTTTACATTGACTCTCTTTACATTTACCAACAAACCACCATAAGTCAACATTATTATATTCACTTAGGGGCTCTCAATCCCAAAGGAAGATATGTTATGAAAGTGACGATTCGGGACCCAAAATCAATCCCAGGCTTGGTCCTTGGTTTGCCTCGACGACAAGTCTCAAATCTCCAGATCCTAGCCTAGGATCACCAACCACTTTTGAACACACATAGGTAGCATACGTAGCTCCAGCAACCACAGATATGAGCGACCTTGATAAGTATGTGTTCCGTGCATTTAGAATGCCGCGTGACGTCTTTGTTAACTTGCTATTCACAGGGCAATCGCTCAGCTTCGAGCATGTCGTCCGATACCCGAGCCGCAGGTGAGGGAGCTCTGCCACAAAGCTAGAGAGCTCTTGATAGAAGAAGGCAATGTCGTCACAGTCACAGCTCCAGTAACGGTATGTCCCCGATCCTGTTCCCGATTCCGAAATGGATATAGAGAGCTTCCTCCCTGACAGATGCGCAGATATGTGGTGACATTCACGGACAATTTCATGATCTGATGGAATTGTTTCGCGTTGGAGGCGATCCGCCGGATACCAACTATCTCTTCATGGGTAATATATATTCCAAGTACATATCTATTTTACAAGTAGAGCTCCTAGCCCACTAACTTTTATCTATGTAGGCGACTTCGTCGATCGCGGTTTTTACTCGCTAGAATCCTTTCTCCTCCTACTCTGCCTCAAAGTTCGTTATCCCGACCGCATGACCCTTATTCGGGGAAATCACGAGTCCCGCCAGATCACAACGGTCTACGGCTTCTACGACGAGTGTTTGCGAAAATATGGCAGCGCCAACGTTTGGCGATACTGTTGCGATGTTTTTGACTACCTCGCCCTTGGAGCCATAGTCCTCAATGCATCCAATACCCTCTCACCACCGAATGATATGACCCCGAGTGAGGAATACACCGAGCAAGACATTGAGATAGAAGTTTGCAATGCGGATGGAGATATAATGTCGCGTTTCATGAGACGTAACAGCGCCGACCGCGAACGAAGAAGTCCCAATGGGATCCAACCTAGAACTGGTCCTCCCGGCAGTGGCGCATCAGGTTCCAGTGGAGGAACTATTGGCAATCCGACAGGCGCTGTGCTATGTGTGCACGGCGGTTTGTCTCCACTCATCGACACGGTGGATAAGATACGCCTATTAGATCGTAAGCAGGAGGTTCCTCATGAGGGCGCCATGTGCGATCTTCTTTGGTCCGATCCAGACGAGATTGATGGGTGGGGTCTATCGCCTCGTGGTGCAGGATTCCTTTTCGGCGCGGATATTGTCAAGGTTTTTAACCACAAAAACGACCTTTCGCTTATTGCGCGCGCCCACCAACTTGTCATGGAAGGTTTTAAGGAAATGTTCGATGCGAGTATCGTCACTGTCTGGTCGGCACCCAATTACTGTTATCGATGCGGCAACGTGGCAGCCGTGTTAGAACTATCCGAGGATCCGACGGGAGAGAGTTTCTTTGCACGCAGCAACGGCGATGTAGGCCGAAGTGATGGCGGTGTTGAAGGGGTTATGATGGAGAGTGAGAAGAGGCTCAAGAGTGGCCCAGCCAGAAGATATCGCGTATTCCAGGCCGCCCCGCAAGATTCTCGTGGTATGCCCGCGAAGAAACCGGTGGCGGACTATTTCCTATGATGGGAGAGGCAAATCGGCTAGGTTAGCATGGAGTGTGACATTGTATAATATGAGTTCGATCTTTTAGAACTCTCAAGGCTCAAGGTTGACCCTTATCATTATGATACCAGTTGGAGTTCCGGAAGTAAAGGAAAGAAAGAAAGACAGAACGAAAGAGTTAATGGATCATGTTTTCGAATTCCTCATTGCCCATGCATGATTAGGTACGTCTTCCCTTTTACGGCTACGATTCACACAGATAGGTCCAAAGACATAGTCAAATACAGATGTCTTCCAGATGAGTATAGTGAAACGAAAGTGTCAATTAAAAAAAAGAAAATCTAAGGATAAGGTAGGTTTGTGTCTAAATTTACGATGCTGGATGAGAATGAAGAGTGATAATTGTCACAAGGGAATATGGAGCGAAGCTTTAAAACGCAAGAAGCTGTATTGATCTAACACTAACAAAAGAAAGAAACACACCCCAAGGAAAAGGGGTAAGGGGAAAAAAGCAAAAAAAAAAAAAGCAAAAAAAAAAAAAAAAAAAGGAAAGGGAAGAGGAAATACTGCGCGAGCGACAATCTCTCCTAAACCCCCCCCCTTTCTGCTGTCTCCCCCTCCCCCCAAAAAAACATGAAACAAAAATACATGCTGAAAATCCCAAGTTCTCCCTTCTCTCAACTATCATCGCAATCCCCCCCCTTTTCTTTTTTTTTTTACTCTTTTTCTTTTTCGTTCTGTTAAAATCCCCCAGCGACGATCCACCTTAACTCATCCAAGGTCATATAGAATCCTCCCAATCTGTAGAATACATCCAACTTCTCATTCATTGTTCTGAGGTCCCTGACCTGTGTTGTAAGGAGAGAAAAGAGTTAGCTGCTGAGTCCCTTCCCCTCCCCCCTTTTCTTCTTCTCTATGTACGCGTGCGTATGTGTGTGTGATAAGAGGAAAAGGTTAAAAAAAAAAAAAAAAGTATTTCAAACCCAATTCTCTTATATATATATATATATAGGTTTTACCTCCGCCATCCTATCCTATCTCATCGCTGGGCCGAGAGCTCCTTGCGCCTCCGCTCCTCGTTCTTGACTGTCTCCTTCGCGATGCTGTCGTCGACGACCCAGGCCAGGTACGCCTCGTGGCTGCGGTGGATCAGCTGCTTCATGTCGGGCCACCCGTCGAAGCCTTCGATGGGCCGCTTCTCCTCCCGCACGGCGCTCCAGTCGAAGCGGCCGTCGTCGTCCTGCGAGAGGAAGCCCTCGTCCTCCGACGATGACGACGACGAGGCGGCGGAGGGCACCTGGTTCTGCTGCAGCGGCGAGGGGACCGTGGGCTGGTGCCCCGGGGCGGGGACGAGGTCGAGCCGCGGTTGGTTCTGCCTGGTGCTGGTGGGGGTGGTGGTGTCGGGGATGGGGAGCACGGGCGCGGGCGTGGGCGTGGGCTGGGGTGCTGGGGACGAAGTGGGTCCGGGCACAGGGGGGTTGGAGCCTGGGGTTGATAGAAATTTAATCAAGGGTGCTGGAGTAGGGGCTGGTGGTGGTGGAGTATGAGCCCGGGGGTAGGGGGTTGGGGGTCGGGGCAGGCAGGCTCGGTTCGGGAAGGGGGGGGTTTACTTACTTGTTTTTTGAGTCGTGGGGACTCCGGGCGGGTTACCGGTTGACTTGGAGCCCTTACTTCCGTCTGTTCTGATCTGGGTGGGAGTTGTTGCGGCCCCTCTGGAATGGGTTGATGGGGTGGGGGTATTGGTGTTTAGTTTGGGGTCAGAAGACAGACGTGATGAAGGCCGAGTTGAACGCGAAGGTGGAGGTATAGTTAGACGCCGAGTCGAAGGCGAAGGTCGAGGCCGAACTGAAGGCGGAGCTGGAGGCCGAGTTGAAGGCGAAGGTTGAGGTATAGTTCGACGCCGAGTCGAAGGCCGAGGTGGAGGCAGAGTTGAAGGCCGAGGTGGAGGCCGAACTGAAGGCCGAGGTGGAGACACAGTTGAAGGCCGAGTCGAAGGCCGAGGTGCCCCTCCTACGACATCTTGCGCGTTTCTTCTGACACGCTTCCAATCCCTACGGGAGCGTTCTACGGACCGCTTAGCCCTGGCCGGTAACTCGTTGTAGTAGTCATCAAACGACCTTTTTAAGACATCACGAACACTCCATCCGCGAGGTAAGTTTGCTCCTGTTTTGCTGTTGCCTGCTGTAGGCGTTGTTGGAGGTTGAGGTCGAGGCTGAATTTGAGGTCGAGGCTGAGATTGAGCTCCAGGTTGAGGTTGAGCTCCAGGTTGAAACCAAATTGTGTTGCCGCGGACCCTTTTTGCAGCTTCAATGAGTCGGCTGTAACTCTCTATTGACCCAGCTAAGTCCCCTTTCTCATCATCGGGTAGGTTGTCATAGAATTCTTTCCAAGTCATCGCATATAGTATATCCGCCCAGGCCCAACTCTGAACCCCTGCCCCAAAATCGCCTTCAAATACACGTTCTTTTCGTCTTGGCACATAATTCTCCGGTATGATAAGGTCTAGTGCAGAAGGCAGTGGGTTTGGTATAGGAGGCAGTGTTGGCCCGGAGCTCTTGCCAGTCATTTGGGCAACTCTCCTATCTATTATTTGATTCCACCTTTCCTCGAGGTCTTCGTAACCGAGCCGTTGGGTAGGTGAAGGTTGAGAGTCATACCACCTCTGAAAACCGTCTCGATCAATGAGCTCATTCAAGTTGAGGTCTCCCCCTGGATCATCGCCTGTGTTGTCATCGCCTGTATTACCATCATCTGTATTGCCCTTACCTGTTCTATTGTCGCTGTTACCATCACCCACGGGGGGTTCAGGGGGGTCCGAATCAGTGTGGTCGCCGGGCACAGGACTAGGATGCTCGATAACGTCATTCTGCGGCGGCGCTGGTGGGAACATTAGATTCTCGTAACCCGGAGGCAAGAGGCCATCCAAGGAGGGGATATTGTTTATGATGTTCGACATCCAGCCCCCGACCTTGCCTTGATTAGCATTGAGGTTCTCGATAATATTCTCCAGCTGGAAGATGACATGGTTCCTCGCCGCGATGTTGATGGTGTGGCGTATGGCGGCCGTGGTTCTTGGCACTAGACTCGCGGTCTCGGCGATGAGTGGGCCGAGCGAGTCCCGGTACGCATTGACCAGATTCTGGAGGGTCTCGATGGAAACCATCACAGCATCCACAGGCTTATACTCATTCTTTGAACGTTCGCGTTTAAGAACCGGGTTTGGAGGATCCGGGAGCTCAGCTTCTGTTGGTTCGGGAGTCTTTTGGGTCGTCGGTGGTGCCTTGGGGACCTTCCCCTGTGGCCTATTTGCTTCTCGTATTCCTGAAATCTCTTCTTTCCAATACCTATCCAGCTCTCTTCGGAGACCGACTCGAGCCTGTACAACTGCTCCAGCTTCTCTACTGTTGATCCAGTGGTAGAATCTGAATAGGTCGTACTCGCTCCACGCTTTCTCATGAGCTCTCAGCATAAACCGATAGCTGATTTCTGCTTGCAACAGGTTGGTGATGTTGTACTCTGGCTCGTTTGTCCTCCGAAGCAACCTGTTGAGGACCCAGAGTCGAAGGATATATAGCGCCCGCCACTCAAAGACTGTTTCTAGCGCGCCTCGGAATTCCTCGTTCCCGTTCTGTCTGGTTCCAATATTAAACCGGGCTTTGGCATATATTTCCTTTCTTATGAAGCTCGTTATAAACAATTGCGAGTCGATTCTAGCGGTGTCGATTCGTGACGAGACATCTTTCAAAATTTCTACAAGTCTCACACGAGTAGTCCTTGCTCCCTTAATTTCTTCCACAATCGGCTGGAGTTCATTTAGAACTTGTCGGAAGTCGTGAACGTGTTTGGAACGTAGGTCTTCGCCCATATCGTTTGAAGGATACATTAGAGGTTGTTTCGGTTCAAGATCGTCTATATTGTCTGGTAGATCATGGATTCGCAGTTGCGCGTCCTCTATAAGCCGTGCCCATTCATCTGCCGGGGTTGTCCAATGGATGTTATAACCATCCTTCAGGGCCTCGAGCGAGGCGCGTTTTGGCGCTGGGTCAGCACCACCTCGCATGCCACCGTACGGCTTCTGTCCGCCTTTTGGCGTCATGGTATTTGGCACGGAAGCACCTACCTTAGGTTCTCTGTTATCGAAACGGAAATGTCCCCCCAAGGCCACTCCGAAATGGTTACTTCCCTGGGTTATGACCTCACCTTGGAATATAAAGCCTTCGGCCGATATACCAGTCGTTTCAGCCGCGCTGTGGCCTTGCCAAAGGAACGCGGGTGCCATGTACCTTTGCGTTTTATGTACAAAGTCACCTTTGGGTGCGACTGAATCGAATTTATCCCCTAAGTCGATTGCTCTCAAAGCTTTCCTCAGAAACTTATTGGCTTTATCAACCTGTCCCCGCGACCCGTCGATTTCTGACAAAGTTGCATAGTATTTGTTGGCCTGCTCGATGACCTTCAGGAATCTTAAATTGACTCGAAGATGAGTTCTATAGGGTTCGGTAGAACCTGGTGGCTGTATGAAGATCCCTACTCTAGGTCGACGACCGTCTTTATGTGTCCTCCCAGTTGCGGCAATAGGATATTCCGATCTGGATCTGCCGTGTGTTCTGCTGCTGGTTGTAGATCGGGCTTTACCACGGACACCAGCCTTCATCAGTTAGCTTAAAAGTGCTTAGGTAGGTAGGTAGTAGGTAGTATGTAGGCTAGGCTACGAGCCTTGGCCGGGAACGCTCACCTTAGATTTGGGAATGGGGTATTCCTGTTCTATCTTGTGATTAGACTTCAAGTTTCCAAGATTCCCCTGGAGTAGCTCGTATCCTATCATCTTGTACGATGCTATGGGAAGGTAGGCCCCTAAGTTGCCCCCCCCCTTTTAAGATAGCTATGCTGAGATACTGAAAAGGGCCGTAGCCAAGCCCAAGCAATAACAACGACAAGAGCTGCTATGGTTAGTCCGCAAGTTATTATCCCGGAGCTGTTTCAGTCTTCAACTGGCTCAAATATATTGATTCTCTTCCTGCTTATATGTGTGATCGTGATGCTATGCAATTTATAAAGTCGTCAACGTCTAGGTAACAGAACGAAACAACGATTGGTTGAGGAGCAATGTACCGAAAGGTAATACGCTTTTACGACTAAACAATAGATAATTGAGGTCTCATTTTTTCTCCTTTTCTTTTGAAAAAAATTTCCAGAAGCAACCAAGTCAATTGACGGTGCCAATTATTCATCGTGTAAATACCAAGAACTTGGACAAAGACTTTCTACGTGGCTTTGAATAACTAAGACTATGTTCGTCTTATACCGAAAGCAGCGACTGAAGCTAACAACGATATTTGCGTTCGCATTATTGTCGGTTGCAGCAAAATGGCCTAGTAAACAACAAGACAAAGGGCCATAGGTAAGGTACCTAGGTGGACTTTCTAATGGGTGGTCTGCCAAATGCGGTTGGTGGTGGTAGGACCAAGCTTGGAATGCACTGTATCAATTTGAGGAATAGGCTACAACGAGAGTGTACAAGCACTTGTACTGGAATCTAGTACATCGTCTTTGAAGTTTTATAAGAGCCAGTTGTGTCACTTTATACTTCCCAACTTCTCACAGCAGACCAGTCAGGAAAGAATCCCGCAGCTTTGGTCACAGCCTTTGTTTGAAGGGAATCCCATGATACTGGGTTTGCCGTACATCTTGATGCCGTTGCTATAGGGCTCTATATAAGCGTGCCCAGCCTGTTCAGGCCCTTGATAGAGCAGCGGCAAGGTCATGTTCTCTATTAGGATAGAGTAGCCAATTCGTTTTGGAGTGTATGCCAAACTCGAATATAAATTTGCCAATGAATCCTCCGCACGTCGTTGCGGCAGGTTTGGGATTTCTTGTGTATTCAAGTCTGTGTTGTATGGGACGGCTTGAATACCTGAGTCCGGGCATGTTAGAGATATGCCAACTAAGGTCCGGTGTACGATGTTGGGGTTTACCTGGATTAAGCAATGAGCAATGAACATAATCTTGAGTGACGGGCTGTTGGGCACTCGGTCCCGTCAATGATATGTCATGTAGGAGTCCCGTGCTGTAAATTTTGTTGATAGTTATATCTTCTTTCACTTGATTGTCTGCTAAGGGAGGGGAGTAGATGCAGCTATGGATGGCGTTGCATAGTATAGGGGCCGAGCTTACGCCAGTCCCAAACGCCGGGGACAATGGCCTTTGAGGTGCCAGAAGGAGCTCCAGAGTTTGACCCATATCCTCACCTCCTTCCAACAGATCTGGGTTCACACCCCCGGCAGGAATTAGGCCAACGTTCCGAAGGATATATGTAATTGTTTCGTTGTTCAGTCCTATACCAGTCAGAAGTGCCTTCAGGTTCTTGTTCTCCTCTGCAACCTTTTGAGCGATATTCTGGATCTCTTACGTGCTTTCAATGCTCTGGCGGTGGCAATGTGCTAGTTGCTTCTCAAGCTCCTCTACATATTCTTTGCGCCGGGCACGAGACCTCCTTTGGTTATCTCGGATTCTAGTAAGATGCGCGTTTCCTCGTGATATCATGTTAGTCATGTACCCAAGAATGTATGTAGTGATGTATGTTCTCCCTTTAATAATATATATTTTTTTTAAAAAAAACATATAATTAGAAGCAGTTGCGGAAGGTGCCTGCGATTCCGACACCCGCAAACTAATATGAGAGGTTGGATAAGAAAAGGTGGAGGGCTGTTAAAAATATATAGGATTATGTCTTTGAATGAAGCCCCTTGAGGCCCGCAATATCATTAGAGAAGATTTTGGTTGGGCTATTTGACCACCTTGCCACTGAACCAATGGTTTGAAAAAGTGAGTCCGAATATGTGCTTGCTACTGACGATTGTAAGTAAAGTCAGTGGCGGTCAACAAGCCCAGAAACTGCTCGATATGGATTCGGGCTATTCCTATATTCTAGGATGACCTCAAGGATCGAAGAACTTTAACGGGTCGGCAAACTTGTTGTGAGATGCCTTCTGGTTGGATATAAATGCAAACTGAAGTAATTCGCCAATTTTCAAGGTTAGGTAGTAACAACTCCCTCAAAACCTTTCAAGCCGACTCAACTTCTGCAACCGCCACTGGGTCCCCTTCGTTTCCACTACATATGAGTTCCCAAAAGAAACTATTACGGGGGTAAAATGACACTGGGTGTCCGAGAATTTAGTGCCCGTCCCTAATACCACACAAGGACGGCTCACTCGGTGTGCTTGCAAGCCCACGGATGCAGCCGAAGGCATGATTTGGACTAGATGCATCAACGATCTGCAGTAGGCCTACGAACAGAGGATGGCCTTGAGATCAAGTCCTGGAACAAGTTGAAGCCAAGATGATGGTGGCGGCAAGAATTTAGTTAGAAAACGAAACCAACTCCCATCTACATTGTAAAATGTGAAGAGGGGAACCCCTCGTCTACAAGCGCAGGCTGGGTAAGGAGACATTTTCCGTCTTATTTTAGTTCTGGCTTGTAATCTCGTGGCTGCAGGTACAATATCATTGTGGTTTGACGCACCCACGCTAGGTGCAGGGCTACCTGGGTCGATATATACCCTAGGTAGGTAACACTCGTTATAAATCTTCACTGGAAGGAACACGGTATCTCTGGAAACCCCTTGTATATGCAGCGGCATATGGAGAGGAGGTGAGCAGGTACAAAGTTATTCCGCGGTATATCTGAGATATAGCTACTTACTGAGCTGATATGTATTATGATGCGGACAGTGAACTTAGGTAGATAAGTCCCCGGCCCTTGAAAGTGGCCCTTAAGAGGTAAGTCTATTAGCTGCTTCCGTGAACTGTCTCAGAAATGGCATAATGTGTCTCAATAGGCTGGAATGCATTTCTGTAATTAACCTCCTATTATCATCAACGGTCGACTTCGAGGCATCGTAGATATCTAACCTAGATAGGTGGTGCATGTGGTTACGAGAGAGACAATGACACTATGGCGTAGTAATGCTAATAATGAAAGGGCAGGGCGAGGGTCCCAGGGTTGGGATTGGTTACGTAGGTAGTATTCTATCCCGTCTGCGACTTGCGCCTCAAGGAGGGGCTTGGAAACTTTAGTATTCCAGGGCTTCAGTATAAAGAGGCCTAGGATACGATGGATTTAGTCATTAGTCTGACTCACTTATGGATCAGGGAAGATATCAAAGAAGTTTTAGGTACGTACGTCGTTGGCTTAATCATGAGGTATGAATTTGTCTACCTAGGTAGGTAGGTATTATGATGAGTAATAATCAAATTTGATTATTAGCGATATAGTTGTATAGTTGATGAATCTCAGCAAGGATTAAATGATCTTGAAGATTATGTACACTAGTGACCTACGTTGAGCCCTGATGGCAAGCTGTGTGTGTATGTGGGTGCGTATGTGGGTGCGGGAAACCAGAGCCTATGGGCTAAGCCTCTCGAGAGACCATTCTTGTACATTTTCCGTGGTATTTTTCTTCTCGTATACAAAGCGATCGTGTAGTCGATTTTGCCGACCTTGCCAGAATTCGACGGATTCGGGTACTATTCTTAAGCCGCCCCAGAAGTCTGGAACTGGAATATTTTCTACCCCGTCGAAACGTTTCTCAGTCTCCTCTACCCACTTATCGAGCTGCTTTCGCCCATCGTCATCTCCGTCCCTATCAGCGTCCCCTTTTGTCGGGGACAGGACCTGACTCTGGCGACTTGACCAAGCACCGATCCGGCTACCACGGACTCTCGTATCAAAGTACTTCTGACTCTCTTCACGGGTCAGCCTAGTTGCTTGGCCTTCAACCCTCACTTGTCGTTCGAGATTTTCCCACCAGAAGGTCAGACTAGCCCATGAGTTAGTGGCAAGGTCCATGGCCTTCTTGCTCGTTCCAAAATTGCTGTATATGACAAAACCTTCAGCATCTAACTCCTTCAGGTAGACTATACGGGAGGATACACGGCCTGAGGGGAGCGATGCAGTGGAAAGGCAGCATGTCTCTGGATGCGGTATGAGGCTTGACTGTTGAGCTGTAGCGAACCAATTATGGAATTGGCGTATAGGTGAAGTCTGGTCAAGATCTGATCGAGTCAATACACCCTTGGTAAACTGGCCCGCCTGTCCATGGGCCTCCTGGCCGGCCGGTGCAACTGAGTAAACAGTGAGTATTTAGGTTTACAACATTTCGATTTGGTTGGGTATTGTGAATATACACACAGATAAGTTTACTGGCCATACTTGCAGAATGTAAAGCCATGCTGCATGTTTTTGAGGAGAATTAAGTGAAACCTGCAATGCTTTGAATGTGATACTTGGTAAGATACTTTATAAGTGAGAGAAAAGACAGTAGATGATAGTAGTTGTAGTATGTTGAGTCAGATACATATGAAACATGAGATAATAAATAATAAATCACGTTGCTCACGACCTCGGAAAGAGCAAGTCACGCTGTTTACATACGACGACTTTGTGGGGATTAAGGTTGGCACTGAAATGGAATGTACTGTACCTACTACCTACCCTACATAAGGTAGGGACCATAGGGTATCATAGTATTACATAATCAGCGTACTTAAAGGCAAAGCAATCGTGATAGGATAGGACGAAGAAGGAAAAAGAAAAAAAAAAGAAAAGAAGAAAGCCAAAAAAACTGTCATTCTTTAGGTCTCCCTGGGAATCGAACCCAGATTGGCGGAAATTAATTTGAAATTCTGATTTGAGTTGTCAGAATCCGCAGTGCTAGCCATTACACCAGGAAACCATTACCTAGAATGGCCTATGCCTGTTAGACAATTGGACAAATGACTGACCGGTAAAAAATTATTATAGTATATATTACTACCTACATAACACACGAATAGTATCCAGCCTATGTACGGTAGACTATGTCGGTAGTAATACTGTAGGTTAGGTTACAATGTACATGAAGCTACATAGTGGGGCTGCATCTTGGGAGAATTTTCGCAAGGATTTCCATGTAGAACTGGATGGAGGGGTGCTTGATGCCGCGCTACTCGATAACCTAAACTTAGAATAATTAAATACCCAAAATTTTGCTACCATGATCGGTCTTTTTTCATATTCTACGATACGGAAATCTAAATTGTGCCGATTTTGAAGCCAATAAAGATCTTGACATTCTACATCTTTACTTACCCGTCTTTTATCATGGCGTCCAATACAGACACTTCAGCGACGATTGCAAGTCTTCGCGATTGTCTCTACTCCGAAGCTACCCCACTACCCATCAGATTCCGTGCCCTCTTTTCCCTCAAGCATCTAGCACGGCACGAAACAGGTGATCAAGCCCTTGCAGCTATTGACGCTATTGCTGCCGCCTTCAAGTCTCCATCTGCTTTACTCAAGCATGAGTTGGCTTACTGCCTTGGCCAATCAGCAAACTTGGCAGCCGTTCCTTACCTTGAGAAAGTCCTAGCAGATTTACATGAAGATTCTATGTGTCGACATGAAGCAGCCGAGGCCCTAGGAGCTTTAGGCCATGTTGGAAACTTGGAAATTTTGCGAAAGTTTCGTGATCGCGAGGGAGAAGAGTCTGTCATAACAGAGACCTGTGAAATCGCCATAGACAGAATCAAGTGGGAGAACTCAGAACAGCGAAAGGCAGAGAAACTACGTCAAAGGTAAGCATATTTATTTATCGCTTGATCAAGTATTCACGTCAGATTTTGTACGTCCTAACTACGAGAAAATAGTGATTTCGCATCCGTCGACCCGGCTCCTCCAATGTCTGATGCTCAGCAAACGGTTGAGGACTTGGAAAAGGCCCTCATGAACACGAAGGAGCCCTTATTCCTTAGATACCGTGCTATGTTTGCACTCCGTGATCTTGCATCGCCCCCAGACCTTCCCACAGCAGTTCCGGCCGTTCATGCCCTGGCCAAGGGGTTCGCAGATCCATCAGCACTTTTCCGTCACGAAATTGCCTTTGTATTTGGCCAACTTTCCCATCCGGCCTCGATCCCAGCCCTTACCTCCGCATTAAGTGACCTCGAAGAGGCCAGTATGGTTCGACATGAAGCAGCAGAAGCACTCGGTAGTCTCGGCGACGAGGAAGGTGTCGAGGAGATATTGAAGAAGTTCCTCCACGACAAGGAGAAGGTGGTGCGCGAGAGTGTTATCGTTGCACTAGACATGGCTGACTACGAGCAATCGAGCCAAGCCGAATACGCGCTCATCCCGGAAGCACCAAAAGTAGTAGTATAGATAGTAAGTGATACATGGGGTCGGCGTTATGTCTGGGTCGGCTGTGAGGATACCAAAAAATAAAGATCGCGCATGTTACGGTTCACATGATTTGCTTTTGGGTTCATGGCCAGTATTAAGAGGATTACAAGACAAGGTCTATTTGAAAGATTTCAATTGTTGGTGTTCCATCTATTCAGAGATTTCTGGGTTAGTCGCGTCCATATATTTAAGACGGGGAGAAGAACATACTTGTGACCACAATCGCAAGTGTAGAAGATAGTACTGCCTTCATCGGCGCCACGCAACTGCACTGCCGAGTATCTGACCTCGGTGCGTCCACACTTCTCGCATGTTTCATTTGTAAGAGCCTCTGTCTGCATTTGGTGTCGCTCAACCGATTGTACAATAGAAAGTTTTTGTCGGAGAAGTGAGGGGAAATCGGAAGGTTTGCTGTGGGTGACGGTCATTTTCGATGCTGTGTCTGCCAGAAATCACTGTTAATCAACAATTGTTCGCCGATGTTGAAAACATCAAGAGAAAAATCACCACGAACCTTTATTCTCAGCGCCGCAACACTCGCAGTGCAGGATGTTTTTGACATTGCCCTTCGATACTGGGAGAAGGTTTCCGCAGTCGGTACAAAAGACTAACGAGCCAATGGCTGCCATTTGAGCTCTTGTGGGTAAATTACGAGGTCATTCAAAGTTATGTCTTCTGTCTTCTGTCTTCTGGCTTCTGGCTTTTGTCCTTTTTCTTTCTTTTTTTTTTTTTTCTGTTCAGTAACCTCGAAGAATAAAAAGGTTGAAAAGTGGCTTCAATGCCAAGACTACTATTTTAAGGTTGAAAGTGCATTACCATACAATCGATAAAGATTTGCATGCGCTATCCTAGGTAACTAAGTTAAACTAACTAACCTAGTTATGTTACTTAATGTAAATGTTGTGGATCGATTTTTGGAATGCAGGGGTGTGGAAACATCAATATGTACATAAAGTGCATAATGCATGTAGGTAAAACTTGAACATTTGAAGGCGAGGCGGGTCTCCGGTTTTGGGTAAGTTCGAAATAATGTCTAGGTACCTACCTAGTACTAAGGTATTACTGCCAGTCCACATGCAGTTGAACCGTGGACCTCTTCTATGTAATCTACATATGTAATCTACCTAGGTATGTAATGGTCAATCACATTACCTAAAGCTTCCGAGTCGCGCAAGGCTAGCTGTCAGGCTGTTCTCAACTTCTCATCCAATACCTAACCAAAGCTCGAGTTCTCACAGTTTCTCACAACTCTTCACGACCTCTTCACGATCCTTTCACGTCACGACATCCCTTCACAAAAACCTTTCCGACCTACCCATCGAGATCGCAACCAAGATCCGCTGCCCACTTCATAATTCATAACATCAAGTACGCATGGCACGATTCGCGCTCGCGCCTCGTTCTTTCCGGGAAAGGTGAATGCGATGAGGTGGCATAGTAAAAGTTGAATTCATCTTCAACGCTTTTGATACTGCGGGACCCCAAGGTCACGTAATCACGGCGAATACCAGGCTATTTCAGTAAGAGTAGGAGTAGGAGTAGGAGTAGGATATCTACAACAGTATCTGGAATTACGACATCAGTTCGCGGTATCTTAATCACCGACACCATGGCAAACCCATCGTCTAGCAACCAGAATGGTGTCGCGCCGCACTTCGAGCAGCAAGCCTACCTTCGACCTGATCCTGGCATGCATCAACAGCAACAGAACAATTCAAAGCCCTTCACTTTGAACGAGGCATTGCCGTATACTCCATTCACATCGGTCTTTCCTTTTGAACCAGGTAAGTTGAACATCTTGTTCGCTCTTTCCTCTTTCCTCTGTATTGTTATTATCTACTAGGTACATACTGTCGCACTATTAGTAGTAGGCACCTACCTAGTAGCAGTAGCAGTTACCATGCTCTCTCCTTCCGACAAACAGTCATTTAGAGTCATGTCTCCATTTTCTCCATTTTCTTCCCGTGGCTTTTTGACTTGAACCTAACCGGAACCTTTAAAACTCAAAAAGATATCATCAGCAATCCTACCATCGGCTCGGGACCTCTTGCGCCTTCGCTCGCTAGTCTTGTCTCTCGAGAAGACTTCGATGCCCTGAATAAGGAGGCAGATAACCCAAATCACTCTAGACGTGTTGAGGGTAGTCTTGAGTTTGTTCAGCATCTTCTCAGAGCTGATAAAACACCCTTGTGAGTACCTCACCTCACCTCATTTCATCTTCACCTTCACCTTGACCACCACCACTATCACCATGACCTACCACTCTCTACTGTGAGGAGATAGCAATGAGACTTTCTCGGCTACGTGCAGCTTCCACTGACAAAATTCATGATAGTGAATTTAAGACAGCCCCGAGAAATAGCCCCCCACTCAATAAGCCGTTCAAGAATCTTGCAGATGGCATATCACCGTTTGCGCGGATGGTCTATGACAATACGGCCATATTTTTCAAGTCTTCTCCCGAAGCTTTAAACGGTCATAATATGTCACCAGGTGGTGCTAAGAAGTTATCGCCTAAGGCGCGCAGACAGGAGCTATCTAAAGTTGTTAAGCACAATCCTGCCACAACAAATGTACAGGCCGTCATGCAGAACAAATCTCGGATTGAGGTACACTTGCCAACACGCAAAGAACTGGATGCAGCACCACCTATGAATGCACCTATAAATACGCCTATAAATACGCCTATGAATGCACCTATGAATGCACCTATGAATGCACTTATGAATACACCTGCTATACTACCATCCCCAGCAGCACAAGTTCAATCTCAGACTGTTTCGCTTGCAGACCTAATGGTAACACCAAAGCCACCACCTGTCTCGGCATCACAAGTCCCGCAACGGTCTCCTTCATTGGCAACTAGTGTGCCACCCGAAACACCACTGCCAATGCATACAGAGAAGGTACCTCAAGCTTCCAGGCCACCATCCCATCCAGCACAGCAGAACCAACCTACCACCTCATCAGCCACTCCTAAACAGGCCATTATTAGGGTTGAGCTGCCTGCAGTGAGCTTCAATAGAGATGAGTTTGCTGTAGTGCCCGACTCACCCGATACTCCAACACATTTATCTGCCAAGAGGAAACAGGCTATATATGATGAGTTTGACGAGCCCCTTGGTGGGGTGCTCAACCAGCGCGAGCTCTCCGATGTGGCTTTTGCGGACCTACGCAGATGTTTTCAAGAGATATTCCTTGCCGAGGACCAAGTGTCAAATGAGCGTGGTAGTGGTTCCCATTTAGTTACATTAACGAATGAACAGGGAGCGACTTTGACAATAGCCGCACATGACAAAGCGCAAAGGCAAATCAATAGAGCTATCAGTCTTGGATGTTTCCGCCAAGCGCCTTTAGACGATCTTCTTCGAATTCAAACACTCAGCGAGGGCTCTTTAAGACAGGCAGATGCGCTTGACTTCAAGTTAGATGAGTCGTGGGGTGAAACCGAGGTCGGCTTTTGGCTTCAGCAGCTTCCTGATATTGAGGTGGGCCTTAAAGCTACCCGCACATCACTTCGCATCATGTGTGGAGGCCGAGAGGAAAGGCAACTATATTCTGAAGACTTGATCCAGCTAGGTTTGACTCTCTTCCGAAATGTCATAGAGGACATTATTATCCCAACTGCCGAGTTGCGAAGTACCGGACCTACAGGCAACTTATTTCGCCTACTTACGATGCACAAGAAGGCCCTCAGTACTCTATTCACCACCTGCCAGAAAGTATTTACTCTGATGTCGGATTTGATAGTCAGTATTGACCTTTCCGAGACCGTCGTGCATACATTAGAGTTTGTGGCATCACGTCTCATCTTTGTCGAGAATGCGCACACCGAGAAAGACTCGGTGGTCGGTGTCCAAAAGTTCGATGCTCTTCGTCTTGTCGCCATGAATGTTCTGTCACAAATTTTCTTGATGAATCCTCCCCAGCGAGAAGGCATCTTCAATGAAATCCTAACCTCACTCGAAAAATTGCCAATTGGTAAGCAAAGTGCCAGGCAGTTCAAGCTATCGGAAGGGAAAAGTATTCAACCGGTTTCCGCATTGATTATGCGGCTGATCCAGTCAAGTGCTGGAAAGGCAGATGATCGAAAGGAGAAACTTCGAGGTCGGATGATACGGAACTTGGAAGAGGATGATGAAAGTGGCACTAAGGATATCGTCACTTCTGCTGAAGCTATGAATGGGAAGGCAGAAAATCCTTATACTATCCGAACCGAAGAACACGCCGCAGTTCACCACTCAACGGCCATCCAGGAGCTCCAGACTCTTGCCAAAATGCTTGCCGGCGATGCTTACCGCAACGCTAATTATGTTATCAACTTCATAGTTAAGCGGGCATTAAGATCTACAAAGACTGGGGATACGCCGTATCGAAACCTACTTGATTTGTTCATTGAGGATTTTACCACGTGCTTAGACTCCCCAGATTGGCCTGCAGCGGAGCTGCTACTTCAACTTACAATGCTCATTATGGTCCAACAGGCTAGTGGCGACAAAAATGCAGCGCCGGCCAGGAACATGGCATTGGAACTCCTCGGTGTTATGGCCGCGGCTATATCGAAGCTGCGCTCACACGTTCGGAAAACAGCTACCAATTTTGAGGGAAGTGACGCGGATGAACTCGGTCGATGGCTAGCTGATATCACTCTCAATGTTCTCGAGGGCAATATGTCAACAGAGAAGACAGTCAGTTGGCTAGGGCCGTATCGCGTTGTACTAGAATATCTCCAGGATCGCTTGGGTGACGACCCTTACCTGAAAGGTGCTATATCCTATCTAATTACAGATTGGGGCTCCCAGGTTGGCCTTGGGTACGAGTCTGATGCCTGTGAAGATCTAGAAGATCGTTTTTCTGAATTTGGGAGGGTCGCTTTCCGTCTCCGTAATATGATTGAGGATCCGAAGTGGCTCTCCCGAGAGTATAGCTTCAAGTCAGTGGTTCCCAACCACGCAAAGCTCTCCTACTCCATCATATTACTCCGATCAAATTTCTGCGCGTCATTTAAGAAAATCTTAAACATACTCATGGGATCTATGACGACAGACCAAGCAACTGTGCGAAGCCGTAGTCTCAAGAGTATTAATCTCGTGCTTGACACAGATCCAGCCATTCTCGATGGCGACAGTGCATTCATCCAGCTTATTCTCCGATGTTCTAATGACTCCTCGCCACAAGTGCGTGATTCGGCCTTGGGCCTCATCGGAAAATGCATGAGCATGCGCCCTAAACTAGAGGAGACAATGACCCCAACAGTCATCCAGAGATTCATCGATACCGGCGTAGGTGTACGAAAGAGAGCGATGAAACTGGCTAAAGATATCTACTTAGGCAATGACAGCAAACTGATTCGCAGCACGATCGCACATGGTTTACTGCACCGCACTCAGGATCCGGATGAAGGTGTACGAGAACTTGCGAGGCAGATGATAGAAGAAGTCTGGATCTCTCCTTTCTATAAAGAGGATGATTCGGTCGCCTTCAAACAATCCATCACAGACCACGTCACCCTTATGGTCCAAACTGTTAAGCAGGGTAATACGGCCCTCGTGCTTGACAAGGTCTTCCAGACGATACTTTCGCCAGATTCAAAACTCGCCGAGGCTAATGCGCGAGTCTGCACAAGGCTTGTTGCAAACTTGGTCGACCTCATCGATAGTCCTGAGTCTGATGACCCGTCTGTACCCTCTAGCCGAGATGCATTCCAAGTTCTCATGATATTGGCAAAGGCTGACCCTAAATTATTCACCTTCGAACAAATTCGACAACTTGAGCCTCACATTGCCAGTGTCAGCACGAGTGAGGATCTGGCGGTTTCAAGGGCTGTAGTTGTCATCTATCGTCGAGTGCTGCCACGAGTGTCTAGCGTACATTCGAAATTTCTTTCTGATATTCGCAAGGCACTCATGCCTGCAACTTCGAAAGTTACGAGAGCGCTTCTCGACGATGTGGTGGCCTGCGTCTGGATCATCAGCGAACTCCTTCAGACATCTGAGCCTCTCGCACGTCTCGTTTTATCATGCCTCAAGGGGATCCAATCGATGAGCGGCAAGGGTTTACTGGACCGAACGAAGGTTAGGCAATTTGACAGATATTCACTCATCGTTGGAATGATTGGCAAGCATTGCAAACTAGACAGCCATGAAGATCGCTTCAAATCCGAACCATACTTGCCAAAGTGGAAGGGCTCTATATCGAAACTCATCATTGACGTTCTCGCTCCCTTTGCAAGCCCATCCCATCCTGTAGATGTGAGACGACCGGCTTTGGACGCCATTGGGCTTATTTGCCAATCGAACCCGAGAAATTACGTGTCTGCTAATGTGTACACGACATTCCAACAAGCCTTTGATGAACGCGTTCCGGTTTTAGAGTCGATGATCCTTCGATCGTTCAGAGAATTCCTTTTGGCAGAGGAAAAGCGATCCGAACAAGCAGCCTCGTCAGCAATTACCAACAAGGATTCCGTTAAGAAGGACCTTAAGGTTATGGGCAGCACTAGTTTTGACGACGTAGCCAGCGCCACTACTCAGCGGTTCCTCAAAGACATCACTCGCATTGCTCTCACAACCTATGATGACTACGCGTTTCTGGCCATGGAGGTGTTGGCGAGTATCAACCGACAAGGACTAGTACATCCGAAGGAGACTGGGGTAACCCTCATCACGCTTGAGACTTGCCCGGTCCCCAAAATTTCAGAGCTCGCATATCACGAACACAGGGCGCTCCATGAGAAATATGAGAGTGTGCTCGAAAGAGAATATGCAAAGGCCATACAGTCAGCTTTTCAGTATCAACGAGATGTCATCAAAGACCCACGAGGCGCAACGGAGAATCCATTAACATCAAAGCTCTATCTTCTGACCGAAGTGCTGAAGATTAGCAAATCTAAGAACCGCGTTAGATTCCTCGAGAAACTTGTCGGACAAATTGACTTTGATCCTGCCAAGCTCGACGTAGATGATGGATCATCTTCCCATATCGAGTTTGCTCGCTTTATAATCGAAAATGTTGCATTCTTTGAGTATGTAACTACTGGTGAGCTACAGGCTACGATTATTGCCATGGAGAAACTTGTGACCGCAACAGGATCCAGCGTCGCCCAAAGTATCGAGTTTGAAATTTTCCAAGTACGCATGGATCAGATTCTCAACCCCCAACAACCCATGGGTGAAGAACAACCTGTAGCCCCGACGCAACCTACTGTGGACCCTCAGCGGCTTCGTCAACTAGCAGCCGGCTCAAACATTCTTCTTGCTCTATGGGAAGTGCGCACGTACCTACGGCGATTGTATGGGCTCAGCAGCCGGCGTGAAAGCAACAAAGGCAAGGGTGCTTCAAAAGATCTTGCCAAGCCCCCAGTCAAGGGTCCAGGGATTAGCGGGGATAAACTCTGGGATGACATTTCGCGAATCATGTCTACGATGGACACCTCAGAGCATATGATCCAGCAGTGCCGATCTTTTGTAGAACTTTTGAATGTTGATAGTGAAGTCAAGGTGCCGGATGAGGATGAAGAGCTTGATTTTGAAGGAGATCCAACCAGTCCAGATGCCGAGGAAGAGGAAACGGCGGAGACTGATTCCCGCGGTCGCAAGAGAAAAGCAGGAGGTGGCCCGGGTGGTCGAAAGAAACGAGCGCGGTCCAATTCAAAGCCAAGACCTCGAGGCCGGCCGAAGAAACAAAGTATCGAGACGGTGGAGGTAGACATGGATGTCGATATGGGGTGGTCCTAAAATTTGAGGTTCCTCCCTACAGCCTGGGCTTTTTCCCGTGGTACATACCTATATTTTCATTTCTGCGCTGATACCCCCGGTCGTGATATACGCCAGTCTTAGGCAAGTATTACAGAGAAATCAAGGTATAAGAAAGAGAGGACTGCATTTACTGCATGGCAAAGCAGACACGATATAAAAGTGCATGGTAATCGGCGTTTTGATGATAAGGGAAAAGGACAAGGAGTCGACGATGCATCTGAGATTTACGGAGATTTCCGGGCATGAGCTGCAGATAATGTAGCGGAGAGGCAGGGAGAGGGCGGCTGATATTTGTGTCGGATGGCCGTACAAATTCGCTTTTTTTTTTCTATGTGATGATACCTCGATGTTGCTCTATGTGGCGACCTATGTACTATTAGGATTCATTTGTTGCTGCTACTCTGTGTTGCTTTTCGCAGCCTGTCTAGGTACAATACCTACCTAGCCTAGGTACCCACCACCTACCCGAAAGAAAGTAATAGGGAATGATGATGTGAATTCCTTGGTGATATTCATGTGAGACAGAAACCGTCTAGACTTTGGCGTGAGGTGATACAGTGTACGAGATTCGACAATTATCCAGTTATTCGTGTTTATTTCTATCTTCTCGATATCCATATTACCTACCTACTCCTTGGCCTACATGTGTGTAGGGACTTCTGGTTCCCAATCATACTATCCCCCCAACCCCCTTTAAGGGGGACTACTTGTTCAGGTAGGTAGGTACCTAGACACTCAAATAATTACCCTTCTCCCTCCCTCCCTATCCCATCCCATTCCTTCCATCCATCCATCCAAGAGAAAAAGAAAAAAAAAACCCTCCCCCCTTCCCCAGCTTACTTCCCCAACTTATTAAGACAAATAGATCTTCTAGTGTTGTAGCGCGCGCGTTTGACCTGGTAGGTAGTCGATGATAGGTGACTCATCCAACGAAATGAGATAGTTGATGATAATAATAAAGGGACAGATTAGGTAGTTAATCGATGGTCTACCCCCCGCCTCCCAAAATGACGGGTTTTAATCTAAAGGGCGGCGCTAAGGGTTTCCGACGTCAGACCAGGTTTCCTCGTCGTCCAGGACATCGCTGTAGGTTCCCGCGTGCACGTGCTCGAATAGTTCCTCGTCCTCGGAGTCGAGGGTGGTGACCGATGCCGCTGAGACGCTGGAGTCTATGGGCACTACGTCGGCGATGGTGGTGGTCCTCGTGGGAGCAGGCGGGTGATGGCGATGGCGGCCGTGGTCTTGGTCGTCATTCTGATGTCTGGTGCTCAGTGTGCAAGTCGTGCCTACCGCTTTTAGGGACCGGCCAGCGGTGAAGGTGGTGTCGGTGCCGCGGCTGGGCGTTGCTGGTGTTGCGTTGGAAGGGCTGATGCTAGGGGTGGTGTCGGTGTAGGGCTCTACTACGGTGGTGCCGGTGCGGTACGCGGGTCCGGGGCCGACGGGGCCCATCTCCGCGTCGGGGACGGCCGACTCGAAGACCCCGCCAGTCCCGTCCTCGAGGCCGCCGGCCCAGAGAGGGAGGTACTTGAACTCCTCGTCGCATAGGGTCAGCACGATGTGGCTCGTCCGGGTGAGCGGGACCTCTGGCTCGGTGTGAATCCAACGCAGGCTGAGCAAGCTGAGGGCCGTATTGAGGTCGTCACGGAACTGGAAAAAGTCGAAGTGGTGGGTTGCGAGCTCGAGGGGTCCTTGGCTGTGAGAGATGTAACCCATGGCGTCGTCAATATTCCGGTTGAATTCTTCGATGGCGCGGATTAACGCAGCCGGCGCGTCGGGCAACCCTGATTCCGTGATGTTAGAACGGTCACTTAGGTGCTCCCAGAAGCCGGGGGTCAGCAGACGCTGCGTATCGGAGAGCTTGCTGTAGACGTAGGTCGCCGGGAGCCAATTCTTGCGCGAGATGTAGCATCGGCGGTTACGGTCAAAGCATTCTCGCTGTAGGTCCCTGAATCCGGAATCCAGGGCCTTACGCAAGATCCAGTCCTTGTATTCCATCAGCTTGTCGGAGAGGGTGACGAGCTGATTCGCTACTCGACTCAGCCAAGCAGGTTCACCAGCAGAGGTTTCGCGTCGGATAAGGTCGCCGAGGGCTTTTAGCTTTTGGTACTCTGGTATATCGAATAGTTCATAGAATTGGTCGGATATAAACTTCGCATACGTTTGTTGGACCCGGTCGGCAAGTTTATGCGCTGCGCTGTGATGAGGAAATGTTGGTTAGTAAAAGTATATACTAACACTCGAGACAGGATACTTCGTATATGGAGATATAAGATGAGGAAAAGAAAGATGTGATGTCTGCCTAGGTACATACTGTTGAATGACTGTCTGTAAATCGTCGGGTAAATCTGCGCGAGGGCGACCAAAGATGGTGTGTCGTGTTGCTCGCCTCCGAGGTTGAGCAGCGAGGACATCAAGAGCTCCTTCAACTACAAGGATTCTAAAAGCTGCACGAGCGACATTTTCAAGCTTCAATGTCCAGGCAATCTTCAGAGCAGGCTCAGTATTGATATCAATAAACGCCGTGTTAGGCTCTGCCATCAGCCAGGTACACACCGAGTCTCGCTATAGTTTGGTGAATAAAGGAGTCAGTGAACATATCAAACAAAATTTCTTGGAGAAGAGGCTTCATTTACAATAACGTTTGTGCAGTCTAGTATGTTGGCAATTCCCGTGAGCGTGTAGACTCGCGGGGCCGAGTTGAGGACCAAGTCACGGCCTTCGATTGCCAGGATGAGACGAATTATATTAGCTCGATGACGGATGGGACAATAGTCGTCGATAGCCCTAGACTTTGATATCACCATATCAGCTAGGTCAACCTTAGGAGAAGAGGTCTGGGATTCTGGCACATATTCGTTGGTCTTCTTGCAGTTAACGGGTACGTTAGGATGGTTAGGGCAATGGTCGTCGTGTCCAGAAACGAGGTACGAAGCCACATCAAGTCTCTCCTTAGAGGTCCACCAATCCCTAGTACCGGGGGATAGGGAAAGGTCTATGAGCTGAGCAGCCAACTCATCTCCCTCGACCGAAGGCGTGAGGTCAAGTATAAACTGCTGTTGGATCGATTCACCGGCATGCTCGAATCTCCTCCGTATTCGAGCTTGCTTTGCGGGCGATAATAGAGCTGCGAAGACTTTGGAGCCAGTGGCTAGGAGTTTCTCCGAATGGACGCAAAAGCGTTTTGAGGACCACTGCGCAGCACAGTTTAGTCACAGTCATACAAAGCAGCATCTTATCTACTACACTGGCCCTATTTCAAATACCCTAGTTGGGTTACATTAATATAGCAATACAGAAATAAAGATTTATAGGAACACAGAAAGAAATATGAAGATATGAAATATATAGTAACAAGGCTCACAAAATATCACCTACCTCATCTCGCTTGCAATTTACATAGCCGCTGGGGAAATCCACGATGACAAGTGTGTCTCCGGTATTGCACTCGAACTGGACACGCCAAAGACTGTTAAAATCTGATTGTTCTCGCTGTTGGGAGACATAGTCGACGTCGTCTTGGTTGGGCTGGTCTTTTAACAGCTGGCTGATGGCAAGATCAAGTGGTGATGTCTGGGTAGGTGGTGTTGTCGCAGAGCGCCGCCGAGAACTTGAAAGGCTTTGGGCTAGAAGTGAGGCATCCATGACGACTCGGTGCCTTGATTATGTATCCTTTCAGGATGGGACGAGGTGTGAAGTACAGACTCTAATAATCTGAAGATGGGATGGGTACCTAAATAGGTAGTCGTCAAGGTAGTCGTCGAAAAGAAACAAGGCTAAGAATACATTACCCCATTCATTACCTTAGATATCTGCTTATTATAATTATTGTTATCTGGGTGTGTAGTGTAATGACGGCAAGGCTGTCTGGCTCCGACTCTGACTCTACATATTTGTAGCATGTCTTGTATGCCTAGTATGTATGTAGCTACTAGTATGCCATATACATGTATGCCTTATATGCAGGTTTCAATGCTACCCTACATGTGGCAAATGGCAAATGGCAAATGGCAAATGGCAAATGGCAAACCGTATGTAGGCAGTCATCACTACAATGATTGGACATGTTGAGTAGTAAGTACCCGACATTGCACATACAGCCTATGGGGTGCTATGTGGAATAGTAGTAAGTTGAAGATCTTCCAAGGTCGAATTGAACATTGAATTATTATCTATCTACCCTAGTTCTACCCTAACAAGGGTGCCTAGGGTAGGTAAGTAGGTTTATAACGTCTTACACGATTATAAACTTTACCAGCAACCTGGAACTTGAAGCCTAAACTTAAAGTATAAGACTAAAGATCCATCGGTGTGGGTTAACGTGCCTACCTGCCAACTTCAACAGTAAAGATAATGTAGGTAGGCATGCGGGGAAACTTTGACCAGGTTGGCTCCAGATGTCGGTAATGGCATTGATACTATGTACCTATGTACTACTTACATAAGCCAATGTTACCAAATGTTGAATGTTTTTTTCTTCATAAGTAGCTACTAGGTAACTACTCATCTATATATACTATCTACACATAACTAAACAAACAGAATAGAAAGAACCTTTATAAAGACTATTCCGGTAACTACCTAGGTACCTATATAATACTATAACATTACCATTCCAACGCTTTGGTTACATTGATAATACAACCTTGGAACTTTAAAAGCTTCATTGTACTTAGTTGCAAGGACATCAGCTTATCAGGTTCCCGGGATTGCCCCTCTTCCCATTCCTCTCCAATTGGATAACTGCCTTTTTTAAGTTCAATCCCAAACATTGAAGGTGGCATTCGCTCGCGTGCCCCTTGTCTCGATCCGGGTTGTATCCAGTAGATAAGGAGCTTATGTAGCACCCTGTACGGTCCCTGGTAGGTACTAGGTAGTTATTGTGCAGCGTGTGTAAAAGTTTAGTTCCCTTAAAGTTTTCGTGTGGCATCAATGATTCCGATCGCACGATTGCCCTCATCAGTTAGTTACAACATGTTATCTGCCCAGCACCTAGCCACTTTGCCGTAAATCTGGGGAATCTAGACCCCGGACCCCCTTTAGTATGACATAAAAATGGAGACCCGTACATGTATCCCACCATTGGATTCCTTCGGCTGACGGCAGGGAACTATCTATTAACACTACATACTATGTTTGTACCTACCTACCTTGTAGCGGTCAGTCAAAGCCGGACATCTGGAAGTTATGTGTAATGACTTAACTTAGTGACATATATGTACATATATGTTATGTACATATAAGTCTTGACGCCCCCGGACACTTCCACTCACAAAGGTCTTCCAAGTCTCTTGTCCTTTTTTTGTCTAATGGTTTCGTCAAGATCTGCTATCTTGTGCCGCATGCTTTCCAACTTACCACCAATAGCATAGCACTTAACACATAACACATACATAGGTAGACTACAAAGAAGAAAGTGCTCTACTTCAAATCCATACCTACCTACCTGTCCACGAAACATCCAGCACCGGTCTGCAGTGACAAGAGTAACACTGCTTCCACCAAATCATAACATCCAACTCCAACAAGCAGCATAATCACAAAACACAACATGGATCAAGCTCGAGCTTCCAGAATGATCCACAGCAGTCGTCCCGGCCTGTGAGTTTCTACCTCCCTACCTCCCTACCTGCCATAGAACCACCAACCAGCTAACCTCCCACCTTACTCACAGCACCCGCCGACCTGCCGTTGCTCTCGCCGCCCTCGCCGCCACCGGCATCGCAGTCGCCGTCCAGTACCAGCGGACCGCCCTGACCCGCAACGAGCAGGCCCAGAAGAACTCCCCCGATCACCCCAACTTCTACGTGAGCGTCGACCGCAGCGGCGGTGGTATCTAAACAAGCAATCATTGCAGTCATCACAATTGACTGAATTGCCCCCCTTCCCATCACACACACGAAATTGCGTTTGAAAAAAAAAAAGCAAACAAAGAAGCAAATCTGGAACAAAGCACGATGGAGGGGAACCGTGTTCGGAAGTTTGTTGGGGGAGTTTCGCGATCAATTGGGAGAACCATAGGTTGACAAATCTACCTACCTACCTACCTACCTACTTGAGTATATCAAAAGGGGATTTATGGATGTGGAGTAGATCTTTTGGGGGTGCAAAAGTTATATTAAAAAAGGCTTTGAAGAAGAAGTAAGAGCTGAGGACTTAAGATTACCTAAGGTAACTTATCTCAAGCGTGTACGTGATTCGACGTATATGTGTACGATCGAATACAAGAGAAGGTATCTACAATATAGGTATACAGGCCGGCGTACTTATAGAGTGCAATGTCAGGAAAATCAAACGTTAAGAATTAACACACAAACACACAGAGACAAAATGATGGCAAAGTGATTTCCTCATTAGAAACGTAGTTCAGCTCTCGTAAGCCGTCCGTTTTATAAACAGTTCAGTTCAATCCATCCATCAATCTTCCATGTAGTAGTATAAAAGTGCAGAGCTGCCATATAGGCGCACATTCGTATGCCAGATCACCCCTTCCCCTATGATACAATGCAGTATAGTACCGTACCGTACCGTATGAAAACTTCGAGCCAGTTCAACCTTATCCCCCCCACCCCAACCTTTTGAACCAGGCCAAAAAAACGCCAAAATGCATGCATGGAATTCTCGCCGAGCATGTCTCCTCTTCCCATGGAGCGCATGAGGCTTAAAAGAAATGATGAAAAGGAAACATCACACTTAGAGCGAACCCCCTCTTCCCCCTTCTTCAACTTCAAAGTGAACCAGACCCTTCACTTTCACTTTGCGACCTCGACCATGATTTCGCCATCTCCTTCCCCTTACCCTTGCCCTTATTCTTCCCCTTAGCCTTCTGACTCTGCGGTGTGACCGTACCAAGACCGGCCTTCTGATCCCTGGCACTCCCGGGCCGGCTTCTCTCGCTCGCCACCTTGCTCAGTCTACCTTTACTACTACTCGGTATCTCGCTGCTGGTACCAGTTTTGAAGCTGAGATCGTCGCCCGAGTTCTGGGCCGTCGGAGCTGCGCTCCTCATGACCCGCATTTCCTTGACGACGTCTGCGAAGCCCTCCTCCAGAGTCTTCATCCTGGCCAGAACCAATCGACTCATCCTATCAGCATCATCACGGTCTCGGCCAGCTTGATTCCACGCTTTGAGCTGGCCGGTGGCCATGGCCATTTGTGTTGCGAAGGAGGACGGCACAGCACCAAAGTTATGGACATCAAGACCCATGTCAGAACTGATGTCTGCGTCGATAGACGAGAGCTTTCGGATTCTAGGATCGGCAGCAGTCAGAGAGGAGCGATTCGGTACCGACCTCGCGGGTATTGGCCTTGGCCGGACTGGAACATTGGACCCATTTTGTATCTTTCGCGGTGATTTTGTGCCGCTTTTCTCCGAAGTTTCCACCGGTATAGTCAATCGACCAGGTCGGGGCCGGGAAGGGACCCCCGATGGTTCCTCGGAGATCGAGGACGGGCTTAGTGCGTAGCGACCAGATCCCTGTGGAGCGTAGAGAATCGTGTTCGTAGACATCGTACGGCTATGCAAACCTTGGCGACGGGATGGATTACCGGCTCGGGGTGATGCCATGGATGAGTGCTGGTGACGCGGAGAGGAGCCAAGAGAAGAGGGATTTACCGTTCCACGTCGTAATGTTGAAGTTGTGAAGTAGTCTTCCTGCTCTTGTTCAGCAGCTTTGCTTCCACGGCGACTTGCGACCCCTGCATCGTCTTCCTCTTCGTCATTCGTTACGAATTCATCGTCACCATCGGCTTCAGTTTGATCCTGATACTGGGCTTGTTGTTTATCAATCTGTCCATTGAGTTCCCTAGTATTGAAGAGGGGGAATGCGCTATTTGATGCAAGGTCTGCAGGGTCACTTGCAGCCGATCGAATGTCAGAGACATGCCTGAACCTCTTGGGATAATCACGGCTCATGCTCATTCGTCGTTGCGACGGACTAGGACGGCTGTCAATTGTTGGCCAATGCGATAGACGTTCGCCGATCTCATCGTTCTGGTCCATCCAGTTTCGAATTGCTGTCTGCGTCTTCCTCCTCTCTTGTCGCCTCTGGTTTCGTATTGTGCTAACATCAGGTGGTCGACGGAAGACTTCGTCCAGAGCACGGTCTTTCTGGATCCCAGCAACTGACTCTTCGTGTGTGCGCATATTCGGACTGAAGAGGGCTGCTCCCCTACTAGCAGGATCAGTGAATGAAATTCCTCTGTTTCTTTGTCGTCCCTGATTCTCAACCAGATCTGTCGGCTCGTATATTGACGAGGCTAAGAAGTATTTCTCGTAGAGAAATATGCAGAATAGAAGAGGAAAGTGAGTAAATTTGATGACAGTACGGTTCAAAACCACGAATTGTCTTATGGGCAAGACATATCGCAATGGCGTGAGCATCCAGGCAATTATATTCCCTGGAGCGACGTATGAGAATAGCGCGTCGTTCTTCACCATAGATATAGTGTTGATTGCAAACAAGAATCTAGGAGGTTGTAAGTAATTAATAATGGTCAGTTAAGGATTGATACCTACTGATGCTCCTCATTCGCATTCGATGCGATTGCCATGAAGGAATTTGTCAGGACGGTAATCAAGATCGTTCTAATGTTTGTTAGGATAGCACTCATCCCGCGTGGAGGGCTAGACTTACACGACAAGGAAATGACACATGATCAAGAAGAAAACCAGAATCGTCCTACCTAGGTAAGTATACTCTGGCCATCTGCGGATCTTGGTTAGTTGATTTTATCAAGGCACATGGGGGTATGTTCAACGTACACGTCCCATGCCGCAGGAGTGAAACCCATCAAAATCTGGAAGATTTTATAGGCCACATCGGGAGCATCATTTGAAGTCCGTGAGAGTGTGAAGAAGACAAAAAATCCGGAACAGCTAATCAATACGAGGATGAACACAGCAGCCAGATCCACCGCCATGAGCCGGAAGGCAATCAGGAGCTGGGAAAAATATCGATAGTGATCTAGAACACTGAAAATACGCGGCAGCAGGAGAATTGCGTTGGCTGCCAAAACATCATAGGCCAGCTCATTCCAATGGTGGGGATCAACCAGGAAGACACCATAAGCTCTCATGCAATAGTAGATGATAAGGAGAAGCAATATCCCGAGATCAAATATGTTCCAGAAGCTCATGATGTACAACGAGAAACCCTGCTCATTAAAGCCGACGACTTCGTCGAGCATGAAACCTGCACTCCAGAACCAAAATATTAGTTCTAGCTCGGTGATACGACTAGAACGTTCTATCAGGACGGCGAGAAACAGGCATATTAATATAAATAAAGAGCAGGTCGATAAGAATTGTCTATACCGTGGAACACGAAGGCGGGACAGTTTTAAAGGGGAAGCTTGACGTGGGTCATACAGATTAACAGTTCGTCGAATAGGTATGGCATGGAGTGGCAGTTGAGATTGCTGTTCTTTAGCAGGGTGACCAAGGAGGGGTGTCCGGGAGTCGGCAGGATTACTTGGAGCATTCCTGTCCGACTTTATTGAGGTTGATGGCATCCGATGAATATTATCTTGAGATGAGTAGAAGCTGATTGCACCATTCCAGATAGCCTCGAGTTGCTGTACCACGAGCGGATGGGCAAGGAAGTGTTTGGCCGAGGCACGGATAGCTACCTCGAGGGTTGAAGACCGAGCTGCAGCTGGGCGGCCTTTACTGTCAGAAGTCCTCGCATTGGGGGATGTGGGTGTTTCGGGGGCCCCTTGAAGTGGGTAAAAGTCGTAGGACAATGCGTCGATGAGTTCCCTCGTGGTATATTCCTTCAGTAACTTCAACGCCAGCAGCTCGCAAACCCTTGCCCTTGTGAAACTTGTACCCGCGTTACCTGGGTACAGCTGTCCTTCCTTTCCAAACTGTAGAGAATTTGCCATAAGCGCATAGAGAGTTACACGACTAAAGTGCTGCGTCCGAATCTGCTGCTGCATGGGCTTTACAAGAAATTGGGAAACTTGAGGAGATCGAATTTGATCCCAGGTTAGCATGGTCTCGGTTCGTGTCTGGACGAGAATTCGGATGGCGTGAACGACGTTGTAGACAGGTAAGGCATCTAGTATAAATTATGAGCTCAAGTTATAGATGGTGTGTATTTGCCATAAAAGGGTTGGGAGCTTACCCAGGTAATGAGTAGAGAATAGAGGGATAAGTGAAGCCGAGTTTCTGCGCGCATTCGTTTCTTGGAAGGGTCGATTTATCCGAGGCCCGGAAGGCCCTTCATCGACATCAAAATCATCGTCCTCTTCCTCTTCCTCATCGTCGTCCCCTTCGGTAAAATCCGCAATAGCATGTCGCTGTTCACCATAATCATGGCCCGCTGGACCAGGCGAGGGCGTATTGGTATTTGAATTAGATAGACGCGCCGAGTCGACGCGTCTAGCAGCTTGCCTTGGTCGCAACAGCAGGGAAAGCATCTCCTTCGCAGGAGGAACCATGATGATAATCCTGCACCCCTTCCTCCGCACCAGCGGCTAAGAAAGATATAAAGGCATTGGGAGAAGAAGGGAGGGAGAAGGGAATTAGGCCGAGCACATTAGATTCGTCTGACCTTACAAACCAAACTTGTTCTCATGTGTGTGCGCAGAACGCAGCACAAGGTGAGATGACCGCGACGTGCGGAAACACAAGGTAAAGAGGTATAGAAAGAACTATAAGAGGAGGAGGCGAAAGGAGAAGAGTTACGATAGAAGACGTTGCAAAGATTTCAACTGGCTCTGGCCACTTTTGCAAGCATCAATGATTAGCATTAACATGGGAATGGTAGGAAATCGAGTTGGAAATCGAATAGGAAATCGACTATCCACATCTAAATCATCTGTGCTAACCTAGGATTTTGAGACTAAGAAACAGGGATGTAAGATGTAAAATAAAGTGTCTACTACAGTACTACTACAGTACCTAGGTAGTAGTACTAGCCTACTACTAGGTAAGTTAGGTGGAACCGTGCGCACTTGTATATGCTATTGGTTACCTCCAGGGCTACTACGCCCAGTACCTTACTACCTAGTACCTACCTAGTAGTATGTATGTGCTTATGTAGGTAGGGTCAAAGCCTCAGTGCTGGGTAGGGCCCATAGGGGACCTACCAGGCTACCACCTCTTGGTAAGTACTACCTAGTACTTAGTTATGTACTGACTAAATTACTGACTAAATCATTGATAGCAAGCCCCAGGCTTGGAGGAGATGAAAAATGGCGCGATATCTCCCTAGTACGTACATGTAGTAGGATATGTAGACTGGAGATAGATACATATGTAAGAAATAGGGAAAATCCTCAAGGTTGGTTGGTGCACACCATCATGATCACCATCTGGGGCAGTTGACGAATGACACCCACTTCAGCATGATTAGAGCCCTAGAGGTAGCATTGTTACCCTACTAGCGGCATGGACTCCGTAGTGTACTAACTACATACTATGTAGTAGGAAATACCTAGTAATGCATCTAGGTAGGTAATGCAGGGAATACGATTTCGGTTTTTCTTATCATATTTGGGGGGTCCCTTTTTCTTTTTCCTCTCCTTTTTGTAACTATTGTGAGAAAAGATCTTCAACTGTGCTAAGCTGGAGCATTGAAGGACTACATGTGAGTAATATATGTAGCTGCGGGTAATGCGGTGCCACAGTCCAACTTGATCGATTTAACTACCTACTAGCTACTAGGTGCATATCTCACCACCACCAATTAGAAGTTAGGATCATTATAAGTACCTAGAGGCTATCTAATAGTAGGTAGTGACTGGTAGTCATTTATTTTAATGTTGCAGGTATCATATGTACATAGACATGTGTGTAGGTAGTCACAGTATGCAAGTTCAATAGAGGTTGCATCATGGGATGATGTAACTAACCACCCTTGAACCTTACCAAGAGAAATTACCTCTTTCAGCATCCTACGCCACCAAAATCGCTGATAATTGGTCGCTAATTGCACTAACAGCACACTTTCTCCTTCACACCGCTCACCTCTAGCCTCCTTGATCTGAATCCCACATGCAGTCAAACGTTGATATAAGCTCACCACCTTCGGTTATGCCCACGCTCTCACAATTAAGTTCCACATAGGTAGTATTTTATTCGGGGCTGTCTTCCCTCGCTCTTACACATCTTGCACGCATGATCCATCTTCTGGCTTGATCTACAATACTGAATGGGATGCATCCATGTGCACATGTGTGTAGGGACTATGTACCTAGGTAGGTAGGTAGTTAGATAAGTGAGTAGGCAATTAAAGTACGCTAGTATGTAGGAAATAGGAAGTAGGAAGGTATGCAATGCAATGTACGTAAAGCCGATGAGGCATCCCGCACGCAAGCCCGTCTAGAAATGGCAAGGTCTGCTGATTGGTTTTAATGCCGCCCGAAAAACCCTCGCCTCTGCTACCTACACTATGTAAGTGAGGAGTTTCACCACCTTGATCCCCACCATCATAATAATGTTTGATTTATCACCTGAGCAGCATCCCAAAATTCAAATGTTCTTTGGGTCTCGACTCATAAAAGCACAATGATGTCTGAAATGCATATCTTGCAATGAGATGGCTGTCCACCCAGGCTACCTATGTAGGTACGTTACAATTTCAAGAGCTGTTAAAGGCTTAAAGCTCAGAGAAAGTCACTAAGGTTACGTCAATTGAACAGTCTCGTTGGCCTGAAGAAGCGAAGTATTCTACTACCTAGAAGCTAGATAGGTATATAGATATTAAAAGGCAAGTGTTCTGTGTATCGTATCACCAAATCTCGCCAAGCACAATATCAAAAGGAGCAACCTCTTACGCTCTCATTCCTTTGATGGACGACATACACCGCTCCTTCGAAAGCTTGATAGCATGATAGCTTCCGCTTTGGCATCTCCGATTGGATCGAATCTAAAGGTTGCGCACATTCAGTCTAAAATAGCCGATAGTGGCACATGACGAACATGTTTCCTTGCCTCGGGGTCTTGGATGCAGACTTTTACCCCACGTTTTAAAAATGGTGTAACTAAGGAAGTGCGTATGCACAAGAGAAACAATTGCTTGGTAGATGAGTCTCAAGATTAGAAAAAAGGTTACTCCTTTGACTAGGTTAGGTAGGTACTCTTCCACTTATTAGGCTTGTTGATTGCCGACTTTATACTACCTAATACTTGACGATATTCCAGCGCATCAAACATCAGCAGCAATCAAGCAAACAGTTTCTAGCTAGAAATACCTAATGCCAGCCTGTGCAGGTAGGTATTGTTAGATTATTTCGTCACTTGTAATTTCTCTAACTCGTTTGTGATGCATCTATATAGTATCTAACCTGGGCATGTAAGCATTTATCAATTTTTATGTTACAGATTTAGCCGGCCGTACAGTATTGATCGTAAAGATTATGAGAGAGTCTACCAGGTTTGTGAGAATAGAGCAGTTCAAAGACCTCCGTATTCAATCAACTGTGAACTTTGTCCAGGAGGAACAGTGAAGTGTGCTAACCTACTACTGTTACATAATACATAGTGTAGATTATCGAAGAGCAACTGCACGGACCAGCTACATAGTATATGTAAAGCCAAGATTCTCTATAGATCCATGGATGTACGCCGTATGTAGAGCAGATCCTGGTCCACCTATCATAGATGATAGGCTCGATCTGCAGTGCTTGCTGCTGATTGGACCCCGCGAAGACATCGAGGGGCAGGAGGGGTTCTCTCTTACGTAGCACTGCATTGAATTTTAGTAGCCACTCAGAGAGGGGAGCTATGAACTCAATGAGAAAAAAAAATTAGACGGCATTAATTTTTTTTTTCATTCACACGGAGCTATTTATTTTTCTTCACTTATTTCTAAATTCACACATTCAAATGTTTATGAAGCAATTCTTGTCAACTATCAATTGCGTTCATTAGCGACATGATATTCTGATTCAAATCACTGCTCCTGAGGCCTGAGAAAGCTCTACTCCTGAGCTTCCTACTGCTGCTTTCATTGAACCCCTCCCCCTCCCACTTCCCCTTCCCCTTTCTCGTTATTCACCCTTCTGCTTAGTATTCCCACTACACCCAAGCTTCGTTAACCACCGCAAGCTTGCCACTCGCTTCAGTCAACATGGCAGATCCCATTCATTACCAGCCCGCCTCTGCGCGGATAGTTAACTCCGAAGATGAGGGCCTTATGTGTCTTGACCTTCAGGACCAGTCTTCCTACCAGGGCTATAGCTTTGGCGCGAAGAAGAGCATTGCTGGTGAATTGGTCTTTCAGACTGGCATGGTTGGATACCCAGAGTCGGTAACAGACCCTTCGTATCGCGGCCAAATCCTCGTAATCACATTTCCACTCGTGGGAAACTACGGCGTACCATCTAGAGAGACAATAGATGCGCTGCTTCACGACCGTCCTGCCCATTTCGAATCGTCACAAATCCACATCGCCGGTCTTGTGGTATCGTCATATGCTGGTGAAGAATTCTCTCACTATCTCGCAACGTCCTCGCTCGGAACATGGTTGAAGGAACAAGGAGTGCCTGCCATGTATGGCGTCGACACAAGAGCTTTGACGGAACGAATTCGACAAGAAGGCAGTATGCTCGGACGTATGCTATTACAAAAGCCCAGCCTAACGAATGGAACCACGAACGGAACCACGAATGGCACCGGTGCTGCTGCCAACTATCATACCAAGGACTTGAAGCCAGAGTTTGAATTCATTGACTGGGTTAACCCTAACACAAAGAACCTCGTTGCTGAAGGTGAGCATCTATGAAAACTCCCCCCCAAAGTCTGTTCAGAAGCTCATTGGGTTTTAGTCTCCATTCAACGGCCCCAACTTTATAAGCCACCCCCATCTTTGGCATTAAAACACCCTTTGGGGCGTCCCATTCGAGTACTCTGTCTCGACGTTGGCATGAAGAACAATCAATTAAGATGCTTTTTAAATAGGGGAGTTGAAGTTCTCGTATGCCCATGGAACTACGACTTCGCTTCTGGTGCGGGAGGTGAATACGATGGCCTATTTATATCGAATGGGCCCGGCGATCCAGCTGTCATGCATGAACCCGTGGAGCAAATTGCCAAGGCAATGGAAGCCAATCGAACGCCAGTCTTTGGTATCTGTCTTGGACACCAGTTGCTGTCTCAAGCAGCCGGCGCCAAAACGATCAAAATGAAGTTCGGAAATCGAGGTCACAACATACCTTGCACCAGCATGATAACTGGTAAATGTCATATCACTTCACAGAACCATGGTTTTGCAGTTGACGCCCAGACACTGCCCAACGAATGGAAAGAGTTGTTTGTGAACGCCAATGACGGTAGCAACGAGGGTATCATGCATGCTAGCAAGCCATATTTCAGCGTGCAGTTCCACCCTGAAAGCACACCAGGTCCTCGTGATACCGAGTTCCTCTTCGACGTCTTCATTGACACTATTGTCAACTGCTCCAAAAACCCGAGTCTTCTTGATTCGCCCGTTAAGTTCCCCGGCGGGACCGCCGCTGAAAACGAGCAACTGCATCCGCGTGTCAATGTCAAGAAAATCCTCATTCTTGGAAGCGGTGGTCTAAGTATTGGACAGGCTGGTGAATTCGACTATTCAGGAAGTCAGGCTATCAAGGCCTTGAAGGAAGAAGGCATTTACACCGTCCTGATCAATCCCAATATTGCGACAATACAAACGTCAAAGGGCCTTGCTGACAAGGTTTATTTTCTCCCGGTGACTGCTGAGTTTGTCCGCAAAGTCATTGTGCACGAACGGCCGGACGCCATCTATGTTACATTTGGTGGCCAGACAGCGTTGCAGGTCGGCATTCAACTCAAAGATGAGTTTGAGGAGTTAGGAGTTAAGGTGCTTGGAACACCAATCGACACCATTATCACGACCGAAGACCGGGAACTCTTTGCCCGCAGTATGGATTCCATCGGCGAGAAATGCGCCAAATCTGCCTCCGCTAGCAGTGTCGAGGAAGCGATGCGTGTGGTAAAGGACATTGGTTTCCCAGTTATTGTGAGAGCTGCCTATGCCCTAGGTGGACTTGGAAGTGGCTTTGCCAACAACGAACCCGAACTTTTGGATCTTTGCAACAAGGCTTTAGCAGCAAGTCCACAGGTCCTGATCGAGAGAAGTATGAAAGGCTGGAAGGAGATTGAATATGAAGTTGTACGGGATGCGCAAGACAACTGCATCACCGTCTGTAATATGGAAAATTTCGATCCTCTTGGTATCCACACAGGAGACTCCATCGTTGTGGCGCCGTCACAAACTCTGTCAGATGAGGATTATAACATGCTACGAACCACAGCAGTCAACGTAATCCGCCACTTGGGTGTTGTGGGAGAGTGCAATATCCAATATGCTTTGAATCCTTTTTCCAAGGAATACTGCATCATTGAGGTCAACGCAAGACTGTCGAGATCATCTGCCTTAGCGTCTAAAGCAACCGGATACCCTCTTGCTTTTATTGCTGCCAAGCTGGGCCTTGGTATTCCGTTGAAGGAGATCAAGAACACAGTCACAAAGGTCACATGCGCATGCTTTGAGCCATCACTGGATTATGTTGTTGTCAAGATGCCCCGATGGGACCTGAAAAAGTTCACCAGAGTCTCGACACAGCTTGGCTCGTCTATGAAGAGCGTTGGCGAAGTTATGAGCATTGGACGAACCTTTGAGGAAGCCATCCAGAAGGCAATTCGAGCCATTGACTTCCACAACCTTGGATTTGGCGAAACCAAAGCGCTCATGTCGATTGATGACGAGCTACAAACCCCGTCAGATCAACGTCTATTTGCTATTGCTAACGCTATGCATGCCGGGTACTCAGTAGACAGGATCTGGGAGCTCACGAAGATTGATAAATGGTTCTTGCACAGACTTATGGGCCTGAGCCAATTTAGCAAAGAGATGGCAAAGTACAACACCGGTCAAATCTCTGAGCGTCCCGAACTCCTACTACAAGGCAAGCAACTAGGCTTCTGCGATCGCCAGCTAGCAAAGTTCTGGGACTCCAACGAATTGGCAGTGAGACGCATGAGGCTAGAATTTGGAATCACTCCCTTTGTCAAGCAAATTGATACTGTCGCTGCTGAATTCCCTGCCTACACAAACTACCTCTACCTTACCTACAATGCATCGACGCATGACATTTCTTTCAACGATCATGGCGTGATGGTACTCGGATCTGGCGTTTATCGTATCGGTTCCTCCGTGGAGTTTGACTGGTGTTCCGTCAGAGCTATTCGTACCCTCCGGGAGTCTGGATTCAAAACAATCATGGTAAATTACAACCCGGAGACCGTGAGTACCGATTATGATGAGGCGGATCGTCTTTACTTTGAGAATATCAACTTGGAGACGGTCCTCGATATTTATCACATGGAATCGTCGAGTGGTGTTCTTGGTGCTATGGGTGGCCAAACTCCCAACAACATCGCTTTACCCCTTCTGCGTGCGGGTATCAAGGTCCTCGGAACGTCGCCAGAAATGATTGATCGAGCTGAAAATCGTTATAAATTCTCGCGCATGCTTGATGAAATCTTGGTCGATCAACCAACCTGGAAAGAACTCACGAGCTTTGAAGACGCGAGAAGTTTCTGTCAAAATGTGTCATATCCTGTCCTAGTCCGACCTTCTTACGTTCTATCAGGTGCTGCTATGAACACCGTCTATTCAGAGGCAGATCTTGCATTGTATTTGCAACAGGCTGCTGAGGTTTCACGAGATCATCCCGTGGTAATTACGAAGTACATTGAAAATGCCAAGGAGATTGAGATGGATGCCGTTGCGAAGGACGGGGTCGTGATCGGTCACTTCATTTCTGAGCACGTTGAGAATGCTGGTGTCCATTCTGGAGATGCTACCCTGATTCTGCCTCCCCAGGATCTCGAACCTACCACAATCCAACGCATCGAAGAAGCTACCCGAAAAATTGGTGCCAAGCTAAACGTGACTGGGCCGTTTAACATTCAATTCATCGCGAAGGACAATGACATTAAGGTTATCGAATGCAACGTTCGTGCTTCACGTTCATTCCCCTTCGTGTCGAAGGTCATGGGGGTTGACTTGATCGAAATAGCGACTAAAGCAATTATGGGAGTGCCATTCACCGAATATCCGCCAACGACCTTACAGCCAGATTGTGTCGGAGTCAAGGTTCCACAATTCAGCTTCTCTAGATTGTCTGGCGCTGACCCTGTCTTGGGCGTGGAAATGGCATCTACAGGAGAAGTTGCTTGCTTTGGCAGGGATAAATATGAGGCATATCTCAAGGCGTTGATCTCGACGGGTTTCAAAATCCCGAAGAGCAATATTCTCTTGTCAATTGGCTCTTACAAGGACAAGAAGGAGATGCTTCCATCGGTCGAGAAATTGCAGAAGATGGGATACAAGCTATTTGCTACCGCCGGCACTACGGACTTCCTCCAAGAACATGGCATTCCTGTGCAGTTTCTAGAAGTTTTGAGCAACGAGGAGGATGACCAAAGATCTGAATTCTCGCTGACGCAGCATCTGGCAAAGAACATGATCAACCTCTATATCAATCTTCCGTCTAATAACAAATATCGCCGACCTGCCAACTACATGAGCAAAGGCTACCAGACTCGACGAATGGCTGTCGACTACCAAATCCCTCTGGTCACCAATGTCAAGAACGCCAAGATCCTAATCGAGGCCATCGCAAGACATTTTGAATTAGAGATTGGTAACCGGGACTATCAGACAAGCCATCGCACGATTACGCTGCCGGGGTTGATCAACATCGCTGCCTTTGTGCCCGGAATCGGTGCTCAAGGTAGTCATGATCTCCAAGCAGTCACAAAAGCTTCGATAGCCTCCGGCTTCAGTATGATACGTGTCATGCCTATGGGCGTTGATGGCTCTATCACGGATGCAAGAACACTGAAGATTGCTCAGCAGAGTAGCAAGCAAGGGGGTTATTGCGACTACAACTTTTCCGTATCGGCAACGTCTAGTAACGCAGATCAGATCAGCCAAGTGACCAGCGAGGTTGGGTCGCTTTTTATTCCGTTCAACCATTTATCGGACAATATTAGTAAGGTTGCGGCGGTTACTGCGCATTTCGATTCATGGCCGAACCACAAACCCATCCTCACGGATGCAAAGACAACGGACCTTGCCTCCCTTCTGTTGCTCGCAAGCCTCCACAATAGGCGTATTCACGTCACCAGCGTCACCACTAAGGAAGATATCCGGCTGATTGCGCTCAGCAAGGAGAAAGGCCTCAATGTCACTTGCGACGTGTCAATCTACTCATTGTACTTGTCACAGGCAGATTTCCCTGGCTGCCAAGGTCTCCCCGAGCTAGATGACCAAAAAGCGCTCTGGGATCACCTTGGTACAATTGATGTCTTCTCCATTGGCAGCCTTCCATACCATCTTGCACACGCCATCCAATCTGAAGCAGATTCACCAATTCAGGTTGACCCTACCGTTGGTATTGCAGACGCCTTGCCTCTCTTGTTGACTTCTGTCACGGAAGGTAGGCTCACCATTGATGACATCAAGACACGCCTCTACGACAATCCCAAGCAAATCTTCGAGCTTCATGAGCAGATAGGGACATCTGTCGAGGTTGAGATTGATCGCCCGCATACGGTAACTGAAACATCCGCGTGGTCGCCATTTGCTGGCAAGGTTATGCGTGGAGCGGTACAACGAGTAACCTTCAACGCCAAGACAGTCTGTCTCGATGGAGAACTCCTTCCACTTGCCCCCTTAGGAAAAGATATGTCCACTCATGGCAGTATGCCTGCACCTATGTCGCCACTTATGAAGTCAATGGTCCAACCATTGTATCCTCTCGATGCTCTACGTGCTCGACGGCCGTCGAACCTGGTGAAGCCTATGGGGTTGTTGAGGAGCTTGGACGGCGAGGCGGATACTCTGAGGCCTGTGTCAAGAAGTGCACCACCTGCTGAGGATTTTAGTCTTCCAGGACCCACACGTGCGCCATTTGTTGATTCCTTGCACGATCTGCTCATGCAACCTTCTGCGTTCAAGAATGCGCACGTCCTCTCTGTGAAGAAGTACACGCGATCCGATCTTCATTTGCTGTTTACTGTAGCTCAGGAGATGCGCCTCGGTGTGGATCGAGAGGGCGTTCTCAATATTCTGCGTGGCCGAGTTCTGTGTACCATGTTCTATGAACCGTCGACCCGGACTTCTGCGTCTTTCGATACCGCAATGCAGCGCTTGGGTGGTAGGACAATTCCCATCACAACTACGCATTCGTCTGTCCAGAAAGGAGAAACACTTCAAGACACACTTAGGACACTCGAATGTTACGGTGATGCCATCGTACTGCGCCACCCTGATGAAAAGTCGGTGGACGTTGCGAGAAGATACAGTAAGGTTCCTATCATAAATGGTGGTAATGGAAGTAAGGAGCATCCTACGCAGGCTTTCCTCGACCTTTTCACGATTCGTGAAGAGCTTGGTACCGTGCAGGGTCTGACTATCACTTTCATTGGTGATCTTCTTTACGGGCGACCAGTACACTCATTAGTGTACTTATTGCGACACTACCAGGTTCACGTTCAGTTGGTCGCGCCGAAGTCTCTAGCCCTCCCGGCGGATGTGCGCAGCTTACTTAAGGAGTCAGGACAGCTACTCTGCGAATCTGAGGAGCTCACTCCGGAGATTCTGGCTCGGAGTGATGTGTTGTACTGCACGAGAGTACAGAAGGAACGGTTCCCGAGCGTGGAAGAGTATGAAAAGGTAAAGAATTCGTACCGCATCGACAATGCTACCCTTAAACACGCAAAGCAGACGACACGTGTACTACATCCTTTGCCCAGGAATGAGGAGGTTGCGGAGGAAGTCGATTACGACCACCGGGCGGCCTATTTCAGACAGGTAAGTGCTTGGACGTGATGTGAATACCAAGAAATATTTTGCTAACAGATTGTAGATGAGATACGGCCTATACTGCCGAATGGCCTTACTAGCTTTGGTCATGTCGGGTTGAGGCTGATATGTTTCCGGCATCTGCCCGATCGTTATAATTCGTAGACAATCTTCAGATAGATTGAGTATGTTTTGGTTTACGTTTAGGAGCTTAAAAGTTACATAGTCACTTCGTCTCCTTTTTACGTACGGATTTAAAGTACACGACATATAGATAGGAAAACTGCATTAGACATGAGTAAGGCTCAGGCCGTTTATGAGTGAATTTACGTATTATGTATAGTAGGTATATATGGCCATGTATATTAGGTACGGGTGTGGCGTATGTGTGTAAATACGTTTGTATTTTGGGTGTATATATGTGTATATATGTGTATATATTGAGGCTGTATACGAAGTATACGTACATACGTTTTGTATATAGAGAACAATACATAGTATATAGTATGTAATATGAGATTCAGTGTTAATACATGTAGGTATTGAATGCAGTGTCTTCTTTATGTGCAACTTATGTACAAGGTACTTAGGCCAATAATGACGTCATTTTTCGATGCTTACATCTGTTTAATAGAATAAATCGGAATGAGGAATGCGGAATGAGCCGATACAAACACTTCTAATTCGTCGTTTACATATAACTATGTACATTGTATTGATAAATTGTAAATTGTATTTGTACATCGCGGGGTTCATTTGTTGCTTGCGACAGACCTCAATAATAAAGAGCCCAGGTACCTAAAGTTAGGTAGATAATACACGACTGGATATTTTCATGCGTTACTTCACTCGGCGGCCAATCATCGTCTCATCGCGGATCACACCACTCACCATAATTCACTTTACTCGCGGCGCCATGACAGCAGCAGCAGCAGCAGCAGCAGCAGCAGCAGCAGCAACAGCAACAAAAGCAACGACGGGGCCGGCGCCATGGCGGAAACTCTTCCTGGAGCACGTGCAGGCCATGCCGTCACCAGAGCTCAGCCTGAGCACCGTCCGCAAAACGACGTCCCCATCGACGGGGACGGTGCGCTACTCCCCGCGGGTTCGCACGTGCATTTTTCGCGGCTTGTTCGCGGAGTTGCCCGCGAACCCGAAGAATGACGCGGAGCTCAACCCGGATGGTGTCTACGAGAGCGACTACCTGACGCTGACGACGGATCGTCGGATGGATAAGGTGGCGGAGTTCTTTGGCGTGGAGGCGGGTAGTGGGAAGGAGGAGGAGGAGAAGATGCTGCGGGGTTCGGGTGGTGGTGGGCCGGTCGAGGCGGTGTTCTGGGTTAAGGAGACGGGCACGCAGTGGCGGGTCCGAGGTAGCGCGTACGTGCTCGCTCCCGACATCGAGGATGATTCATCGTCGGGGGGGAAAGAGACGATTGCTACGTTGCTGTCACGGATGCGGAGGAAGGGTCGGGATGAAGACGACAAGAAGAAGGAGAAGGAGAAGGAGAAGGGGTGGAGCTTTAGTCGCGAGATCACGGCACACTTTGGGAACCTAAGCCCCCTGATGCGAGGGTCCTTCCGGAACCCCCCGCCGGGCAGGCCGATCGCGGCACCGCTGCCAGGCGACGACGACGACGACGACGACGGAGACGACCAGAAGCTGCTGGGGCAGAAGGTACCGGGGCTAGACGACGAGGTGGCGCGCGCGAACTTCCGCGTCGTAGTCGTGGTGCCCGAGGAGGTCGACCGCACGGATCTGAGCGACCCGACGCGGGGGCGGAGATGGCGGTATACATATGTTGGCGATGGGACGGAACCAGAGGCGCCTGGCGGGGTGGTGGAGGATGGGTGGGAGGTGGTCGAGGTCTGGCCATGAGTGGATGACAATTAATAACAAAGGTTCCAATTTACCCACGTGGGTACTACGTAAGGTAGTGTATGTAGGCAATTACACTATGTATTTGGGGGGGGAAAGAAAAGGGGGGAGAGGGCTATGACTTCACGTGTTGGTAAGCCCTATCTTTGTTCACGAACATTGAACACACATACATACTGTATGTAGGAACGGAAGTCTTGGCAGAGCAGGGTAAACTTGATATTTGAGGCTCAGCTATCTAATTTCCAACCCGCCCCCCCCCCTTCTCCCCCCACATGCGCGCGCGTGTGTGATCTGATCTACTTTTAAGGTGTGATGTGATCAAAAAAAAAACGAAATGCCCCCTTCCCTTGTCAAGTCGGCCACATGGCAAATCCTATCTTACTGCCGAGAGTTCATTTACACTACTAGGTATGAGACAACCCTCGCACGGCGTACGTCGTAGCTAGTTATTTACTGCTCCTTCACCTTGCATTAATCCCCCTCTTTTCCTCTCTTACTCTCTCTCGCTCTCTTTCTCTATCGAGATGATCATGGGTAACTATATGCAAGTAAGTAAGCAGTAGTTGGATAATACTTATTAATAGGGACTAGTTAGGTGAATCGGCAGTAAGCGTCTTACACACGTTTTGTGTATAGTATTAGCCTCGGTATTTTGAAGAATGTGTATCCGTCCCTAACCTAGTCTTGCGCCGTTACATTGTATGATATGTATCAAAGAGCAGATCGACTCCGTCCGTCCTCGTTGTTAATTTGGCCAAGGTGACATGGAGCCTTGGAAAGATCTGATATTATTTAGCTGATGTCACTTTGAATAACCTAGGTTAGGTAACTAGTTAGATAGGTACTACAAGTAAGTGTGTATATACCTCGTGTGCAAATAGTTAACTACCTGGATCTAAAGAGCCTTAGTTATTAGTGTAGCTAGATTTCAATTTCTTTTGATTCCGACCTATGGTGAGATGAGAAAGAGAGAGTCGGACCCTTACATGATCGAATTTGGATCTGATCCAAGCTACAAGAGGGTTTAGCGCGGTTGCGAAAGTGGGGTCTGGCAAGGTTCTAATGGGGGGGGGGGGAAGGGGGCCTTTATTGGGGGTTCTTTAATGGGGTGGGGGGGGAGGCGCCGCTGTCACTTTTTTTGGTCGTTTGACAGTTGAGAATGTGTACCGGACTTAGTGCCGTCTATTCATCACGACTTTTCCACGTGTTCGCGGCCAGGGGGGGATGGGGTGGGGTCCCACTCCAAATTGGGGAGGTGGAGAGGAGAAAGAAGAGGGGGCGTTGCATAGTCTCGTACTAGTATGTATTTTATGTATTAGTAAAGACTCCTTTTTCCCCCGACCGCTCAAGCACATATGTAGTTATAGTATGATATTATCAATATCTACAGTATGTATGATGATGTTGATAATGATTGAAGCTGTAACAGTTCGACAGGAATTTGGTTCCGCCATTGAAAGGAGTGGGAATCATGATAGCGGGTTCGACTGCTGCAGAAAGCAGAAAGCCTCAAGTCATATGGCCATTGTTGCCAGGTACATACATACATACATATACATAATCCATCTCAGGTGATGTCAGCAGGCAGAAGTTCAATGATCATGTATCATGTTTTGATATTAGGTATGTATCCTTGTAGTTGTTGTGGTGGAACATGTTCAATACAAACCTACATATCCTATTACTACTATTACTACTACTACTACTACATAACTGTTGTAGTTAGACTAACATTCAAAGTTAGTACAGCATTGAATACAGCATTGAATATAGTAGGTAGTGTTAGCTATACATATATGTAGCTTGAAGCTGCAGTATTCTCGGATGGTCCCTTGCACCTGTTCGGGATCGTATATCTCAGATGTAGGTACATGTATAGCAAGTACATATGTACCTCAATTTACATCATTGTATCGGAGTCTTTTATATTTCTCACATCTTTTCGTCTCAATATTCTTTAGTCCCATCTCATTGATCTTAATAACCTTGGAATTGAAATGAACAACTTTAAAGTCGAACTACATTAAATACACTAACTACACTAAACGTGATAATCTACTAACGGCTATACCGTACTCGATATTAAATAAGCCAACTCAAGCCAATCCACTTAACCCACTTAACCCTCGTAATGAAAGATCTGGATTGTCGGATGGTCAGGGCGGGGTTTTGCTGATGACTGGGGGGCTTATGTTTCAAGAATACACCAATCCTATTGGAATACCGTATGGAAGCATATAGAACAAATGGATACCACGGCTTATGTAGGTATGCATTACGCACTACCTACTATGCAGTAGTAGACTAGTAGTAAGTTCGAAGGGGATAATATGGGCCGTCCCTGAATATGGGCCGTGGGGCTGGCCCTTACTGCTTTAGGTAAGGCTTTTACTACTTTAAGTAAGAAACGGTACATTCTGGGAAGCGAAACGAGCTTTTTTGATTGATATGATTGGTTGAAATGCTTTATACTATTTTAAACAGAGCTTCGCAATCAACCAATGAAATCAAAGAGCTAGCATAACTTAGGTTTAGCTCAGTTCTAATTCTCAATTTGGATCAAAACGTCCCTAAGGTCCGAGCTTTGGCAGACTCTTTAAAGGGCCATGTGTAAAACAGTAATATTGATACTGTGCCAAACCGTATAAATCAGCCAATGAAATAAGCTTAAAATTACAATAATTACTATGTAATAAAATGCTCATATCACGTGACACTCAATATTTATACAGATTTCATAATATTGCATAATTGCGTACCTAATCTTGGTGCGCTAAGCGCCGCTAGTTCGGAGCCTTTAGTACACACTAATCTTCAACCTAATGCGATTAATTCAATTCAAAGTCAAATCTCTATTTAAATATATAGATCAATAGCCCTTGATTAGAGCTTTTGAATTTGCCAGGTTGCACGACTCTAAAATTATTATTGCAGAAGTTATTTGATATTTGAACTGGTAGCGGTACCGCGTACGGGCCCATAGATCTATTCTTAAAGTAATCATCCAAATAAAATTATCCGATAAGAATCATCTTAATAAGCCGATAAGAATAAGGCCTTTCATTGGCTAAAAGATAAAATGAAAAATATCAAAAAATACATAGAATTTATGTGGCCTCCTTAAATTTTATTGGCCGACTTAGCCCCACGGCCCATATTCAGGGACGGCCCATATTATCCCCTTTGAACTTACATAGTAGCCGAGGTAGGGAACTAGGCATAGCATGGCATATGCACTACATAATATGTATTGTAGTTACTATGTATGGCATTATATGCACTTTCACCGCTCGATTCATGTGAATTGCATGAGTCAAGCCCTAAAGTCGTTGTGATGAAGTTGGTTCATACATAACGCCCAATTAGGCACTGCATCTCCGGTCACCCTCCATCTATATGCATACATAAGTATCCATACTACTACATACTATTATATTAACTAGCAACTACAAAGTTAGATAGGTATTACTAATAGTACGTAAGGCTACTAGACCCAGACCAAATGCATACATACTATGATAACTATGTTTGTGAATTGTATGTAATCCCGCTTCTCCCGCCTCCCCAGCCACTCCCGCAATAGGCTCCAACCGCGAGAAGCAGTCCCGCGCGCATGACATGCATGTACTACAATGAACGATAAAAGCCAAGTATATAAAAGGTATTGGATATGTAGTTTAACTGGCTAATCCAAGCATTGAAGGCAGAACTAGCGCATGGCCCGGTGGGTTCCGAGTTATAGTTCCGAATTATAGTGGTTGTAGGATTTTCAAAGAGGTATAACTTACATAGTATGTCTCCACCATCGACTCATGATGCCTCCAGCTCTTCTTATGAACACCTGTGAAAGAGAGATAAAAGCACGCATACGTGTACAAATTCATAAATATCCAAGTATATACTTAGTATCGGTTACTAATATGTCTTTACACCTACTAGTAGTATTATCGATTACATTAAGACATAGTTATATAAAAATATTATCAAATATTTCACTTCTTAAGCCGAGAACTGAAAGGGCTACGAAAGGACATCGCATCTTGGTTCTTTAACATAAGACAAAGACATCTGGACGTACTGTACCCTTGGAAGGCTTGGATAGTGTAAGAAGCCGTGTAACCCGAGCCGCGTTGGTTTCTACTATGTACAAACTAGTACGTAGTATAGAATTTATCAGCCTGAAACCAAGATCTTTAAGATACATCGAACTTCCCTTTTTGAGCGAGATCAAGGATGCTGTTTAATAAGTTAGGACGGGGTGCTCCTTAATTGGTCGCCGATCAAGCCTTAAAAAAAAAAGGAAGACTAATGTTGCTTGCAGGTTCGCACGCGGCGTCGTCCAGTAGACAGGGGTCCCTTACCGCTTGTACGTGGTAGGTACCTAGGTATTATGTATTGTATTGTATTGTAGTTATTGTATTGTACCTTTGGTCCTTTGTAGGATAGGATCAGCAGCACTGAGAGTTACAGTATGTATCGTCAACATGCATTGGATTAGTATTGTATTAACATGTAACTATACCTGCATAACATATGTAACAGAGGTACATGATGGATGTATGGACTCTATGGAGTTACTAGGTAACTACATGGATGTTGCGATACGATGGACCGCTTTTGCCTGCCGCGAGCGAGCTAAACTAAAAGTACCTTAGTACCAAACCCCACAGGACCAGTTTTTTTTTTTTAATAATTCTCCCAATCTGTTCATCTGTTCCTCCGCTCATATGTTCCTCAATTCCTCAAATTCCTCAATATCAAACATTGTTTCCACTTGCACACTTGCTCCGATTCCTTCCCGTCTCACACCCTACTACCTAGTACATCTCCAGTCATCCTTCCACCACCTATCTCTTCCCCTCCATATCCGCCTGAATCGCCATTACTATTCTCCCTCTCCATTCCAAAAGTCAATTGACCGTGCTTTGCTGAGGTTTTTGTATTATACCGAGCAGCCGAGATCTTGATTGGCCAGTGTTTCGGACCTTCGCTACGAATGAGAATAAGCCTACGACGATCCAGATTATATCGCAACATTGCGTCCGTTTAGCTATCTGAGAGCTGCCGGTGTTGCATGCTTAGCTTGGCCAGATGTCATATATTCATTGACTAGCTCATTGTTATCATCATCAATATATCTAACTTGATAGTCACCCGGTTTTATACCTACCTGTCTAGGCCTTATCCACTCACCTAACCACATAATATTCTCGCCGAGTTTTTCCAATTTCAGTCGCTATCAGATGTTGTGATACCGCTCAACCCCTTCTTCTTTAAACTCACACTTCGATTTCGACAAACCTGCAAACTGATTTCTTTATTTACAATTGAATCGAAAATGTCTATGGACTGTTTGGAGGCCTTGTGTACCAATATCCCCGACTGGCTCAAACGTCTTGAGGAGCTTAATGGGCAGATCGAGCAGCGCCAGCGGGATCTGGCCTCCTTGCCCGAAAACCAACGTCAGTCTTCTGCACGCTCAATCAGAAACCGCGGTTCGACCGAATCCCTTAAGCCACAAGATGAGGCCGTGGCGATAAATCCACCAGACCGAACACGTGTCGCGACGCCGCCTCCGGCTACTCAAAACAATGTCCAGCAGCAACGCGGCAATGATGTGCCTACGAGCCCCGTTAGCGAATTCAACTCCAAAGCCTCACTCCAGCGTCAGACCAACGAAGTCATGGCAACCGCACAGCGACGAGCCCGCGCAACGCTCCGAAAGAAACAGAAGACAGAGTCGATGATCAGCCAAGAGAACACAATCCAGAAATATCGATCACGGAATATGATCATTGTCTACTATGATAGCTACGTGCAGTCATTTTTTGAAGAGCTGGTTAAGTTTGTATCACTGCAACGGAACTCAATGCGGAAAGCCAAAATGGCCGCCAAGGTAGCTCAGATCAAGCGAATGGCCGAACTTGAAATGCCTGACGAAGAAGACGACGAGGACGATGATAACGGCGGAGGCAATGGCGAGCTAAAACCTAGAGATAATTTCATTGTGCCTGATACTTCGGCGGCACCCTCAGATTCCAAATTCGACGGCTCAGAACTGAGAGCGCGAATGATGAATGCTCGGCAGTTGGGCGTACGCGGCTCGGCATATGGCAGAATGAATATGCGCGGAACTAGGTCTAGCTTGAACGGCGGACTAGGATCGTTTCAGGACCGGGGTGATATCTGGGAAGTCCTCGACAAGGGGCTCGAGTTTGTCCAGGGCATGTGTGAACATGGAGCACATCAATTCCTTCGAGATGCAGATTGCAGTGTGGAAGTCGAAAAGATCAAGGCGCGTCTAGCACAGACGAAAGAGGCTGCGGATCAGGAACTGGTACGTGTTCGCGCCGAGAAGGTGAACAGTCCCTCACCTGAGCAGACCAAATCACGAAGCTATCGCCCGGTAACGATGCGAAAGGATAGTTATTCGCCAAGTTCCAAGAATACTCCTAAACCGGTAAATATAGAAGTTGAAGATGAAGGAATTCAGGATATGGACGGCTTCCAAGCCGAGATCAAGCCAGCAAGGTGAGCAAAGGGTCTTGCGTCATAACATGATCTGGCTTCTCTCTAGGCATCTCTCCCGAGCTGGACCGAGTCATCTGCCGACTATTGTATACCAACGATATATATATTTATATATACTTTACATACTATTTACTACCTAAGTTGGATTTCTCATATACACCAGCCCACCAGCTTCGAGGATGGCATACAAAAACATCATACTCCAAGGAAAACGCGTCAATTTCTTCCTTTTTGTTTTGGAGTCTGGGCAGATGAAAAGCACGCATCAGCACATTTGGATATTATTTTCAACGTGCTTGGAGTTGGGAATCAGGGACATCCTGGTAATGATATTACCAGCCGAAAATGGAATTGGATATCAGTATAAGAGTTTACACCAAACCTGTCATGACTTTATGGGATTAACGGCCGAGAAAGCACAATACGTGTATATACATTGTCACATATAGGAGCTATGTACATTTGCTGAGCTACATAGGGTAACCATTTGAGAGAAGTGGTGAATTGCTAGTTTATTGGCCAACTCTATCAGAGGGTTCTTCACTACAGCTGCGAATAATAGCCATAATAATATATCTATCTACATTGACAAAGCATCAATTTGGTGACCGCATTGATTTACTTGATGATCTCTCACGACTTGCTGCTAGGGTTCAGGTTGATCTCGATGTTTGTTCATGCAACTTGAAACTCCCAATAAAAACTATCAAGAAAACGAAGTCATGATCACGATCAGTGAGTGAGTTGGTAGTAGAAAGTAGAAAAGACGTTAGTCACAAACTACAGCGTGTGGCACACTGCAGACAGGCTAAGCATGCATAACATAGGTAAATGTGCATAAATAACAATGAGAGGAGATGGAGGGAAAAGCAAACCAACAATTTGATAACAACAAAAAAAAAAAAAAAGAAGAAGAAGAGAAGCTTGTTAAATTTGAAAGTGTTGTAAATTATTTCGGATTATGTACCTATGGGCCTTTCGGGAAAAATCCCTTGATTCGGGCCGTTTGAAAGGTATCCGAGATTCGGCTACGGGAAGGGAAATATAACGGTGTAGGTTCGGATAACTAGGTAGGTGGTTCGGATAGGTGGTTAGGTAGGTATGTTAGATGCTAGGGTAGGTAGGTAGGTAAGCATTGGGACTGGGTACAATGGATTAGGAACTTTGGAAGCGTTCAGGGGGGCAGGGGGGGGGTTGAGAGGCAAAAACGTAACAGTAGGTACCCAGTAGAATGTGTTTTTTTTTTTTTTAAAAAAAACCGAACGAAACGAACGAGCGAACCCACGTACGTAGATGCATATAACAGCCATCACGCGCTTAAGAGTGGGACGAAAGTTTGACGGCGGGAAGATGCCGAAGTGGTTGTTCTAGGTAGGTACCCTAGGTACCTAGTGTACTAGGTTAGATGGATTGATGTTAACAACTACCTAACTACCATGTGCCTATGCACAATAATAGGTACACATGCAAGCGAGGCAGGTAGGTCGTTGTTTGCTATGTATGTATTGCACCTAGCTACCTACCTACCTATGGTGTTGTTGGTTTAAGGTTACATTTCGCCATGTATCCATCCCATCCCATCCCATCCCTTCTCTCACCTTCTCTCATTCTCACCCCCTCCCCCCCTTTTTTTTTGTGTATTTTCATGCATCTCTTTAATGCACCCTTTTTGGGGATCACGTAATCCGGGGAAATAAACCCTTTTTGGGTTGATATGCTGTTGATTCATTGGCTGGAAAAGAGTTTCTTGTAGGTAGGTAACCTAGGTAGGTGTACCTTGACCTACTTTTCAGGTATGTATGTAACTACTAGTCAAGGAAGTTAGTCGGTCATCGTGGGAAATGAGAAAGGGGGTGGTGGTTGAAGAGACATCATACCGGAGCTGCTGCTGAGAAGCATACACATATCCCTTGATATTGGTGATGTGTTTCTTGTTTCATTTCCATCAGAGCGGCGTTCTTCCTGACTGGCTACCCCTTCGGACGAGAAAAGGAGCATGTATGTATGTATGCATTAAGAGCAATTATATGCCTAGGTTATCTGGCCTACGTAACCAACATTATCATCCCTAAGGTTCTGATGAACGTCCTTTTGTGTAGCAGCAGCAGCAGCAGCAGGAAGGGAAACTCTCTCAACAAGCCGAAACCCCATTATCGGGCACCCGTCTCTTCTTCCGCCGATTTGCTAGTTGGGTGGTTACTTATATTAATATCGGCTTCGGCTGGGCTCGGGTCCTCGGGAGCTAATGTACTATGTAGGTAGGGATGAAGATGGAGTAATGTTTAACTCCTGACGAGTTCTATATAGGTAGATAAGAACCTGGTTAAGGTACCTATAGTGTTAGTTGGTGGCAATGGTAGGATTCCCAGGTGTTGACTCGCTGTAATCTGGCCAGCGGATGGTCCGAAAGCTGCGTCGTTGGGTTCATTCCTGGGAGTTAGTTGTACACATTGTCGATGTACAGGTGCTGTACATGTAGCGATTCTTCTACTTGACCAAGGATGAAGTTCCTTTTCTGCACATTTCGGAATCTGGCGTCCATCTTCTGTCACCGGACATGTAGTACATGCATACCTACATGTACTACCTAACCTCAGGTATATACGTACTATGTCAAGACACATGGAGATGAGAGAGATGAGAGAGAATGGGAATCTTACTGTTACCTTTAATTATTTGCGTCTATACGTGGTATGTAGACAATGATGATATACACTTCCATCTAACTACCCCTTTCCTTGGATCTGCTTACCCTGTGTACAACCCCCTATGAGTTTATCGTACATAGGTAACCTAGTCATGTATACCTACCTGCCTGTGTACCCGAGCCAGCATAATACCTCGACATCTAGGCAGGTATTCACGGAATAAGAGTCCCATCTCATAAATCCGTGAACCAAGTAGGATACTACCACCACTCAAAAAACAAACATGTAGTCAGTTCTTGCCGAGGCTGAAGCGAAGCAGGCACCTTGGCTACAAGGACCGGGGTCTCGCGGCTTTAGTAGCCCGCATTCCGTGCCCCACTGCGGCCCGCCGGTAAGCTTCAAGGTTGTTCGGATAGCAAACTTTTAAGTTTAAGGCAGCGCTAGGCGCCGTATAAGTAGGACCAGGTAGGTACATACCTAAGTCACATATGCAGCGCATGCCTCAATAAGCACAATCCGCCTACGGCTAAACAAGTCTGCCCTATAGCGAGCTGAATAAGTCGATTCGTTGTGAATTACATGCTTAGCGCTCAACGAAGTACACCTACTTACCATCGTGAACTCTCAAACTGCTCTTATTGCAGACCTACCAGACACGTCCTGCAGCAGGGAGGAAGCCATTCATTCACTCATTCATTGATATTCCACGAAAGCCTTCATGCATATATAGCTTAGCAAACTCCATTGTGAGCTCATTACGGTGGTCAGAATTACTAGATAGATAAGCAACAATATACACGTACATCTATATACAAGCTCAGCATATAACGTTAGCTGTATCACAACATGCAGGTAGGTAGGTAGGTACCATGGTCTACAAAAACTCGCTTAGGACAGCTACCCTCGTCCTCGCATCATTGGTGCCGTATTCGCCATCAGCCATTATCTTCATTATCTGAACCATGCGAGCTAGATCATATATTAGCATCCGAGGTCCATATATACGAAAGGACACAAGCCAAGGGTAACACATACTTATATCCGCCTTCGCCCGGGCAAACAGCGGATCTCTCAAAAATTGGTCTGCGGTAGCGGGGTCTCTTCCTGCCTCACGTAAAACGCTTCCTATACAAAGTGCTTCTAAGAATGCCCTATGATGGAACACCCACCATACTCGTGCTTCGGCATCGAAAAGTGTGAACAGGACGAAGAAGGACGTGATCGCTTCGTGTGCGGCCTCTAAGGTGGCCCGTACGTTGACAGGCACGTCGGGACTTTCGGAGGCGTGCACCAGCATGAGGTTATGGTAGTAGTTGCTGCTCAGGAACAGCGTTTGCCTCACGATGCGCTTATTGCTACACGCAAGTTGCGCGATGCTCTCTTGGTCCCAAGATCGGAATATGTCGGGAAAAGAGCGATACACTGCGCGGAAATCTGCGACGAGTTTTGACTTCTGCCGTTGGGTACAGCATATGGGCACATCGAGTGACCGAGGACTGGAGATGGTTTCCTGCACCAAGTTGGCCAGCATCCACGAGCCTCGAATATATGCCATGTCTGTAGGACTCGAGTCACCGAAGCTAGCTGGATCATCAATAAAATCATCTACCTTGACGTCTGTATGTGTCGCATTAGGAGGCAGCGAGAGTAGCACTGTGAGAAACGTGTCCTGAACAAGAACGGCTTGCCAGAGCTTGCGTCGCTGCTGCTTCTCGAATTCGCTTGCATCTGGGGTCACTATATGACGGATCATATTAGCTTCCCCAACTAGCTGTCAGTGCGAAGTTATATTGGCCTACCTATGTTTGGGTCTCTATGGAGGCCCATGGCATAAGCTTGTCTCACTACAACATCGCAATCAGTTAGCTTTTCTCTCTCGCAATGCCCCCACACGAGTTTCAGCAGTATAGATACCGCTTAAACAGGCCTTGAAGGTTGCTAGTTTCCTTATTTCAAGAGAGAGGCAGTATGCCACTAAACCAGAGTGTAAATAACGAATGGGCAATCCAAAATATACGTACATAATAAGCCCGAAAAGGCCCAGCCATCCGAAGCATGACTATCGTTTATCAGAAAATAACCAACCAAAACCATAGCTTGCACAGAGCGTAACGAGGCAGTGTTTAGATACGAGAACATTCGCAATGCTTGGTTGCCCGCCGAGGCATAGAATTCCGAGGTTTGTTTACGATCTTTGGGGTTTGTTGTTGATACGAACTGAGTCCCTAGAGCCATCATGGTGAAAAGCAAACCTACGAAGGCCGCATCGCTCCTCTCAGACTCCCGAAGTGACCAAAAGTGTTCATACTCGAGATAAAAGGTTGAGCGGTCGATCATCGGATAGACTGGGTCCACGCACTCAAAGTATTGGCTTAATAAGATGTCGGCTTGTAGCTTCTCAGGTAAAACTCCGAGAACTTCCGGAAGCCCGCCTTCGCATGTCCAGTAATTGGCAAAAGGGTGTTCGGCACCTACCCCAAACACATTGGATGCTGTTGAGCGGGATAAAGAAACGTTAGAGAGGAGCCCTGTTGATAATGCGACGGACCCACGAGACACAATTCGGCTGTTGAGAATACCTCTATCTGCTATGTTGGAAATCGTTGGCTTCATTCCATTCATGGTCACCTTCTTCCTCGGCGGCTTCGTCATCCTACGGCCATTGGTAGCCGACCGTGACGTCTCCCTAAAAGGGGTTAGTCGCGTTGAAGTATTTCAATGGAGGCGTTCAAAACCGCAGCCACTTACTCAAGGAGGTTCGCGACATGTGCATACTTGCATTCCGTTTGTCGTTTGATACCTGAGTGAAATGTAAGCATCTAATCAAGGAGGAGGTTAAGAGGATAAAAGACTTACATGCTAAGCAATGAGGCCTGCCCCTATCACACTAAACCCAAGGTTGAATACGTTAGTAGCTGTTATTAACACTAGTAATTATATGTAAGTAATTATCTGGAGGATATTATAAACGGCGCCTGCTGGGTCTCATTTTTAAGTGCACATCAGTAAGAAGTGCCTTCATGATGACCTAGGTTGGGGAGTGGTTGGACATTGTCGCATTATCGCGTTCCTTACAATGATGCATGTCAACTCCTCAAACCCTTGATTAGCATCATTCTAGCGCCTCTTCCCCTTTTCTTATTTCCGTTTCAAGATAACCAAAATGGACAATCCAGAAGGGTTTCAAATAGCTTAGTGTGTGCACAACTTCTGCAGTGCTACGTGATACTGACGCAGCTGATAATAAGATAGTCTAACGCTGTCTAGACTAGACGTAGGACAGGATGATGCTAAACTGGCATTTCGTGGAGGTAATAAATAGGAATATGAAAAAAGGAGAGAAGAGAAAAGAAAAGAAAGATTGCCAAGGTCACATGGAACTTGCCTTCGTCTTTCTTTCTACACATTCATAGCACGACAATGTCGGCTTGTTGCGTTTCTGCTTTTTCTTGGCAGGTTCGGCAAACGAAGGAGCGGCTGTTACGCTACCTCCGCTACTCAAGCCGTCGCCGTCATCGGGCTCCGACTTGGCACTTCCAAAGTAAGGATGGGTTCCGGAATCAGGCGAGGCATAGAGGGTGCTCGCCGAAGTCGGGGTCAGGATGGTGATTGGGGATAGGGCGGAAGCTGTAGAAGCAGTGTTTGAATGAGCATAATGCCCAGATCGTCCTCCGTTGCCGTACGACAAATCCGTTGTGATCTGGGATGACGACATGCGCGTTACCCGTTACCCGTGTCTCTCCACGGCGTGTAAAACTAACCGGAAGGATTCAATTGAGGCTGAACACAAGAAAATGCAGGTTGGCGCATTCGGGAATAAGGGCCGATCGTTCTAGATGGGCTTGTTCAATTAGAAGTCAGGGTTAAGCGGCGTAAAATGGAAATGTATGGATATAAACATTAGATGACTGATTGAAGGGGAGAAGCCAAGACTTTTTCCTTTTGTTTTCGTGAAGAAAAAAATTGGGGAATGGAGAGAAATGAATAATAGGATTGACTAGGGGGGGTGGGAAGAGAGGTACTATGTAAAAAAGGAAGAGAATCTGTTGGTTAAGTGAGATGTATGTATGTATGTATGTATGTATGTATGTATGTTGTATGTAAGGAAATAAGGAAATAAAAAAATAAAAGAATAAGGAATAACTAGGTAATGATAATAATTATCATTTGACCCCAGTAAATCAAAATCTCGCTCGTCCCTCGTCTCTCCTTCCTCCTCTTCCCCTTCCCCCTTCCTCCTTCCTCTCCTCCATATGTAATCCCTAACCAGCATTATTATAAATACAGTATCACGTATCCATGGACTGGATACATGTACATAATAGATACATATGTACACTACTATGTATGTACGCACAATCCCCAAACAGAAAGCTTTAAACTTCCCATCCAATTGATATAAACTGACTCATCCACTTGTGGACTTTCAACATCACGTCATGGCCGGTGTGTACATGACATCCATTGGTATAACTTGGCACTTGGCTCTTCTTCACACCAACATTGAAGGTACGGAGGTATGTATGCATTCACCCTCTACACTAGTAGCAAGGTAAAATCAACTAAGGGAAAAGTACGGCGTAGTAGCTGATGGAGATAATGAAAGTAGCTCAAACGTACTGTACAGTCCCCAGTTATTGATATGGGGGTCTCCCCGCAGGCCGTCCAGCTAAGCCTTTAAGTGCCGTAGCGTAGACAGGGGGTGTGGCCGCGGAGTAGGGAAGCAAAGCTTGTCCAGGATGTATGACAGGGTATAGTACAGGGGAGTATGGCCTTTGTCGAGTAGGCACCGATTAACACCGTTTACTGTAATAGGTAACAGACAGGTAGGTGCCAGGTAGGTTACTGTGTAAGTGCTGGTAGACACTGATAGACACTGATAGACACTGGCAGCCCTGGAGACACTAAGGTATGATTCGGAATGCCGAAGACGCGCGTTGAGGAATCAACTATCCAGTACTGACACTCAACTCAGTCCGACCATCCGAGTTCTCCCCAAAATTCGTTTGTATATAAAGTAGGTATGTAGGTATGTAGGTATGAAGGCAAAGAAAGCAACACGGTTTAATAATGACCTATCAGATTGTAGTTGGGGGGGTTACTTTGGAGTTCTCGGTTCAAGTCGGGTGATTTAGGCTTGCTTTTCCTTGATAATGGACAATTGTTGGTCGTGGAATTGATCGATCTTAAGAACCGTTCGTCGTTTAATCTTGTCCAAGATCGAAGTCTTCGAACAACTCCATTATCATCGACATGGATAAAAGGGGGGGGGTTCGCTCCCCTTTTCTACTTAGGTAACTCTACGCGGCTTCTCTCCGGCTTTCATCCATCCCTCCCAAGAGGTCCCAAGATCCCAAATACCCAACCCTGGGGTTCGACCAATAAACTTATCCATGCTCGTCTGTTCTAGAACGCATATTACGTCAATATTCTTTGAAAGTCGTCGGGATGTGAAGAGCTCATGCATTGGTCATACATGCTTATGACTTGAGTTCTGACCTCCCTCCTATTCAAGAAAAGCTTTAAGATGATTAGTAAACACCGAAAGGAGAGATACCCCACGAGTCTTACTCATATTATGGTTCACTTTGACCGTAAAAACTTCGCATCTTGGTCCTGTTCTGTTGCAGCGGAGTCGTCGTTGCGATATGTGCATGCATGCATGTCATATACACAAACATCTAGAAGCCCAGACGGGTATGTATGCGAGGCCGTTGAATCTGACAGGCACAACTTCGCTTGAATGTCTTCTCGCGCCAGCTTTCAACGGGCTTTGCTGTCAGCTAATAGCTACCTACCTACCTAAAATCCAAATCCCGTCACATTACCTGACTATGGGGTCGTGCTAAGACCCAGGAACGGTTAACCTTGAGTCCCGAGGATCTGGTAGGTGACAGTGAGACGGGCTCACGGAATTGCATATATGTGGCAAGCTCGCATCCTCGACAAGACTAGTCTAGCTAATGCATTGTCCTGGTTGACTAAACACCGTAGCAATGACGAATGAAGATGAGCCCTCTCCTTACTCAGCGTTTCTAAAAACAAAACACCAATATTCTTTGCTGAATAACAATATTTGTTTTTTTCTAGAACCAAGAATTTTCATCCATTGAATTTTGAGCAGCGTCAAGGACTTTTCATTGATCGCATTCTGTTACCTTCGGCGATACCTTGGGTATTCTTGTTAATTTGGAGCCGTGTTTGCGAGACTGGGACGGGGACTGGGTCTCAATATTTGCCTACGGGAGATGAAAAGCTTGCTTGACCTGTCTGCATCCTAGCAGGCACACTTCATTTGCCGAGCCCAGTTGTCTAAATCGTACCCGGAAGTCAGAAGAGGGACCAGAATACGTGGGTTAGATTGAACAAGTCCTTAAAGCGATCTAAACTATGTAAAAAGGAGAATATGACTTAGGTATCATCGGCATCTTTACAACATGCACCAACTACGGGAATGAAGCACTTTGGCTTCACGAGAATACGAGCCAACACCATCAGACCCCTGAACCTACCAGCCTACGTTTAGAGCTAAGGTACCTAGGATGGATACCATATTGTTCAACTGCACGTCTTCTTCATCTTATCATATAGCGCAGATCTAGGTCAAGGCCTCTGATATGCAGCTCTCAGGCTATCTAAATCGCTCATAAGTCTGTATAGTACGAGCAAGATCACCTTGAGACCCTCAAGTCGCTCTTTGATATACTTAACACAATGTCTGCAGTTTCAGCTACGTTTCTTGATATACTTCCTAGACACAAAACCATAATTTGGAACGCTTACGAGAGGCTAGTGTCTGCGAATGAAACAATATGCTGTGATCAAGTATTCATTATCAAGGACATTGAAAGAGGATGAGTTAACAAAAGCGAGCGATGCTTTTTGCATTTGACCCCCACTACCTTTCGCCGCAGAATAGGGGGGACCCAGTATCTACTACATGTAGATATTCAAGAACAAGTGCTGCATTTGCCTTACGTACCTAGTAAGCATGATTATAAGCCGGGGAGTAGGGATGTTTAGGAATGTGAGGGATCCTATTAGTAGCTTATGCGCGACTCATGATCGGCTACCTATGTACGCATTATCAGATCTCAACGACGAACAGAATTAAATAAACATAGGTCGGCAGAGTTTTTAGTGCGAATAGCAGAGACCATTTCGAACGTTGGTGTCTGTCAAATGCCTCGTCAGGCGGCAATCGTCGTTTCACCCGTCCGAAGCGATCGCCCAAGTTCACCGTCGCCGAAATCCGGAGGGATATTGGTTAGTCTCTTACACGATCGATTGGCCCCAGTGAATAGAGTTGTTAAGCATGCATAGAATCGCTTATGCGTCCCCATGCTGACAGCCAGTTCCGTTACATTTCATTTCCCTGGGGGGCGGTTCTGGAGACTATCTAGACTTCCTCTCCCTCTCTCTCGCCCCGGACCGTAGGATTACGCAAGCGACATCGAGATTTGCGTTGATAACCGCCATCATTAATAGCAAGGTAGTCATAAGCCTGCATGCCTTTGCTGCGTCCGCATGGCCGCTCACATTTGACCCAAAAATAATAATATGCATATTAGTCACAGGTAGGTAGACCATCTGCATATGAGGATGTGGATGTGGATGTGGAGGAATCATGTACCCGGAACACCAAAAAGATTTCGACTTACCGTAAGTTCAAGACCGTTGAAGCGTGGCGTATGCTCGAATGCCCATGGCCACTTTTAAATTAAGAAGAAATGGTAGGGTGTGGTAGTTTCGTCCTATGAGAGTCAACACCAACATCTTACAGCGTCAAGTTTCGGCGCCATCGCCATGCGAGTGCTGCACATGCTATAGTTTTGCCGGTTTACCGACGAAACGCCTTGTGCTTACGTACCTGGGCACATATGGAATCACTCTCGCGGTTTGGCATCCACATGAAACGAATCGGTTTATTTAATATTATCATGATATAGTCGGTCATTTTGTTATTTGGAACCTGACATCCGGTGAGAGTTTGACGGAGGATAAACAAGCACTGTCAGATATGAGGTGTTCAATTAGATTAATGTAAATTTGCCCACATATATCTATAGAAGTCTGAAAATATGAGGTTGAATAGGGGTAATGGGCGCTGTCAACCCTTTCCTCACATCGCCATAATGTGACCTCCTAAGCATCAGGTTCATATCCCTTTCCGCTTCGCCATGTTGGATCCGGTAAACATGGCCCACCCCCCTCCCTTGTATTGTGCGATCTCGATTCTGTTTTAGAAGTCTAAAGAAGCATCCGCAACCTCTTCCTTGATCAGACTCCGTGATCCATTCACCGGAGTCTTCCCGAAGCTTAGGCTGACTACCTACCTGCCTATGCACTTTGTCACCTTTGTAATCTGGCTAGAAGCTGTTCACGTAAAATTGTAGTCAGTCCTATTCTTAGACTATGCGTCGTATACCAGGTTGTAAGTCAATAATTCACTGCCAATCATCGCAGTACACTGCTTCGTTATCATGATCGATGCCCACGTCAGTGATCAGGCTTGGTCATGGTCAAAGCACTAGGCCCATCGGTCTTTGTATGTGGCCTAATCAGGGGGCCACGGCTTCTGCGAGGAAACTATTGACTCAGATTCATTTTTGGCTGGCGCTGTCATGAAAATCGCTCGAGCCTTCTTTAGTAGTCTTCCATTGTCCTGTCTCTAGGTACCTGGCACATGCCAATATCATCTATGACAGATGAAGTCTTATGAGGATACAGCTCAATGTGAACTAGGTATCAACCAGGGGTAAACTATTACCTCTTTGACAATTTATGATAGCTCTAGAATAATCATGCCTCGATCACGAGATGATCTCTACTTAGATAGATGAGAAGACATATTAGTAAACATCCCAATTACATCTGGAGCTCCTTCAGGTTCACTGCGGTCCACATGAAACACTTTGCAAACCGCAATACATACGGTATATAAACTGCTACCATCTCTCAACGCTCGTCTCCCAACAGTCAAGAGTACTGAGGCCAGTAATCGTCCCAAAGATAGCCGCTGGAGTACGAAGGGCTGCGCTGGACCATGAAACCGTTGGAGCCAACACCCATACCCCTAGCCAACCAGAAACCCAAGGGATGGGTAGTATGCTAAACACACAGTTATCCCAAACTATCATCATCCATGTATGTAGAAAGGAGCAAGGGATGAAGTACCTCTACGAATCTAGCAGATGTGGTGGGACTTATACATTTATTACTTACCTAGATCGCATCGGCCTGTCCGTCACGGCCATAGAGAACTAACTTGTAATTGCATCTCGCTTCTAAGCTTTCCTTGTTATTATTGTAGTAGCGCTGAGATTACGATGTAATCTGCTTGTCCACAAAAGGAAAGGGTGGATGAGCCACCTAATGATCTCGCTATGAGGCTTTCAGCTATTCATAGGAGTATTCAATATTATATCTACCTCCTTCAAGACACAATCTATAAAAGAAATATCATGGCCTCAATCTTGGAATACTAGAGCCGATAAGAAGGCGTGAATACTTATATGAAAAGCTAAGACAGCAACAGCAACAGCAACATCCTTATCAGCTGGACTTTCAAGTGGTTCATCGATCGAGGATCACTACTCGTTGCCCTTTTTATATCTCGTATTTTGTGCTTACCTTTTTGCGTATCTTCATTCAGTTTGAGCCCATTTTCTAATGTGTCTTTAATCTTAGGTAGATCTTAGTTCATGGCAGTCAAGTTTTGTAGTGCAGCCTTAAGGGGGATTTCCAACTCAAAGCTTGGAATAACCATGTCAGAGGCACAGGACCAGTTGCTCTATTTTACCTAATAACCACTTCGTCGATAGCCCTATGCTGACTTGGATTGCGTAGAGTTCCATGTGTCATACACTACTAACTCTACGTCCCTGAGCCGTCAACCATCAAGTAAGGTCTTCCTCCTCGGCCAGCCTTTTCGACAAAAATGCATCTTGATCATTCTACACATCAAGTACTAACTGTGTTGAAGTTGTAACAACTAGAAAACTAGTAATTTGTTAGTGCAGACGGCCTTGATGGCATGCAAGTACGTTGGATGAATACCCCGTCAGTGTGACTAACCGCTTGACTTTTCAATCAACATGCCGCGTCTCGACACTTGTGGCGATTCGATTCATAGGAGATTTTCCATCGATGTCCTGATTTACATATGAGCAAGGTACATTTAAGAACAGCACAGGAACATGGTCTTTTGAGGCACGCGGTTACGGCACAAGTGCCTATATAAAGCTGCCCGAGCCTCCCTTCAACAGCCTCCACCCTACCGGGGCTTTTTCACAAGAACCACGAACAAGCGACTGCGAGAGCTACGATAGCAATCGGTAACATTCATTAGGCCAACTCTTGAATAACTCAAACCGTGCCTCTTACACGGAAACGGCATGACATACATCAGCGAAAAAGACGCCTTCAAGGCGGATTACCCTAGCCTTTCACGTGAGGCGGATATCCCAGTGGACAACACTGAAGAAAAGACGACAGATCCTAGCCCCCCAGAGCCCGAAGGCCCAAAGCCTTTAGAAGGGGGAGGCTATGGCGGCAGCAATGATGTCGAGCGAAGCGCCCCTATTGATATCCCGAAGAAGGAGGAGGTTAAAATAACAGTCAACGAAGATACCTATCATTGGGAATAAATAAGCCTTGCCCTCGGCTACCTATATAGGGCAGAAAAAAGTACTGTATAATTATAGAATGGAGACCTCGGGGTAAAATTATGGGCTTTGGGAACTTTAGAAGGTATTGATGTACGATGTGGAATAGACTGCGAACCCCTAGACACCACGAGACAGCCGCCAAGTAGATAGGCAGGTATGATGGGACAATGGATTAAGAAATTATATATTAAATACAAATAGACTTCTGAGCTCCCGATGTGAAATATCTAAGCGGAAAATTAGATCCTTGATAGAAGGTTCGCGTCTGAGTTCACGAGGTTGAGGCTCGATTCATCAGACCCTTACCCCTATATCTACGACTCGAGTAATGTAAGCAAGTTTTATAATCATCCACTCAGAATATATAGGACCTCCCATCGATATATACCGGCAATATATAGCCCATCGCTGAACTAATACTTAAGTTCTCTTCAGGGGCTAGGTTAGTTACTTAGGTGTCGTCAAAACAGCCCTCTTGTTCACCAACACCACCACAGTTCGAGAAGCCCCCCCCTATGTTCGAGAACACCCCACCTGTCCCACCACAAGTACCTAAGAATGCTAACAACATCTTCGTATCGTGTACTCACCATGATACAAATAGAAGTGAAAGGGACCTCCCCAATAGAATCCCTTTCTTTCACCCAGACGATACAATCCATCCTATCAACCAACCAACCAATCACAAAATAGGAGACTGACTCACTGTCTAACCGTCAATAAACCAAACCCTTTCCCCATACCTACCAAAAAAAAGCAAACCAACCATGGGCCGACAACACCGCGGCAACCTCGCCTCCCGCCTCCTCTCCTGCGTCACAGACGCCCTCCGCCCCCAGCGCGCGCAGCGCCGTCCCCGGCGCTCCTCTCGCCGGCACCACCACCACGGGCGCTCGTCCCCGCACACCTACCACCGGACGTCGTCCTCCGGCTCCTCCTCAACAGAGTACTCGCACTCGGAGCGGCGGCGGCGGCGGGCGATCCGGCAGAGCCGGTTCGCGGGCCCCGACGCGATGCAGCTGCGGCGGCTGGCCTCCAGCCTGTGGGCGCGGGGCGCGCGCCTGTCGGACGCCGACCTCTTCCAGCTCGCCGTGCTCGAGCGCGTGTACTTCGACCGGCCCGAGCGGCGCGGCGGCCCCCGGCAGCGGCTGCGCGGGGGCTTGGCCGCGCGCCTGGCCAGGATGCACGACGTCTGGTGGTTTCTGGGCACCGATGGGCTCTTTTGGAAGTCCGCCGACCGGTGGGGGCAGGGGCGCGACCTGGTGCACGTGGTAGATGTGCTCGTGCCTATCGGTATACGCATAAAAGCGCAGCCGTATCGGCAGTTGAACCTGAGGTAGATAGAAAGAAGACTGAGGAGGTGAGCGAGTGCCGTAACCTACCTCGCTATGTAGTATCTAGGTAGGCGAGGTAGGTACCTAGGCGAGGCCTAGATCTTTCGAGCCGAGGAGTTGCGTGTTTGTTTTTGGCTATGACTGGCATCTTCCCAATAGTTATCGGCCTGTTTGTCTGTTTGTTTACCTCGACTTGTTTACATAAGTTATAAAATTTCCCTCATCGAACACTCTTTCATGGAACGTAAGATTAGGTACCTAAGAACTTAGGTAAGTACCTAGAATCTACCTAAAAAGGTAGGATTGTGTCGTAGTTTGTTGATGTTTAAGATAGTTGACAGTGAAAATAAGATCGATATCAAGATTCATAGTTGCTGGTATCATCGTGCTTAATCCTAATTGCCCACCCACCCACCATGATTTCATAGAGTATAGCTGGGGAGAATCCAATCGGGCGTGTGATTCCGCAGATCGTAGAGCCTACTTATATCCATTCTATTCTATAACAATTCTATTAACGGCAGCAGGTCAACAAAGAAATTGACTTCGAACGTGATCTTGTATAAGCACAGTTTTCTTTTATATTCATTAGAATTGTCAATTTGTTCTCCAAAGGCTACACAACCATTATGGGGCACGAATAATCTATAGTAGTAGACAGCATTGCCGCAACTGAAAGGAGATATCTACACAGTACATTAGACTGATTAGGTAGTGGTAAACTCATCGTTCAATGTTCAACTAAAACTCTTTTGAGGAATAGAAATCTATCCGTCCAATGCGCGAGGTTTGATGCATTCACAATCCTTTCCCTAAAGACAGCTCACCCCTTTGTCGTTTTCTGCTTCATTGCCGTTTCTCTTTCTGCTGCTTAGTCCCTGAACATAGCCCAGGGACAGGAAAAGCCTCGACAAATATATCCCCTGTTGCATTTCAGGGAGCTCGAATACCGTACCGGGTTTATCGGGAAACGAAACGAAAAACAATTAGTATGGATGAAGCGTAACCCCGGATCGAACCGATGACTATCCCCCCCTTTCAAGAGTAAAGAGCGTGATCACGTGATTCATGCCTTCGTACCGTATTTGGCCTCTATGGAATTCAGAGAGCCTCACTGAAAGACCCCTCCATTTATCAAAACAGTGCCAACGCAATTAACTCCAGTCCAGAACACCCAGGGATGATGAATTGCGAATAGGGAGGCGAATACAAGCTCATGGGCGCCTGTCTGCTCCTCCGAACCGGTCTCTAATCCAGTTAAATGGTCCACTAGCTGAGCCCCTTCCATCGCGGTTCCTATCACTCTGTGCTGAACGACGACTTGAAGGGGATGGGCTTCGGACTCGAGATGGCTGTGCCGAACCGGAATGTGTCGGGGGGGAGTAATGTCGCTCAAAGGGGTTGCTTGGTACGGATCTCATACGACTAGGGGCACCAGGTCTTCTATAATGAGACGAATCTCGAGACGGACCAGGTTGTGAGTTTGGCATGCTATCAGAACGATCGGCAGCCTCGCCATCAATGGCTGCGCGACATATGGGGCAGGTATTATGTTGCTTTAGCCACAGGACGACACACTGTTCATGAAACCAGTGCTTACACGGCAGCACAACGGCCTCGTCGCCCACTTTTACCTCGTCAATGCAGATGGTGCACTCACCCTTTAGCTCCGGTCCCAAAAGCTCCTCATCTAAAATTCTCTTTGGTAGTTTAGCGATGGCTTCTTCTGTAGCCGGTGCAGGCGCGTTTGACTGTGGGTTCGCTTCCATGAGATTCGTGATAATGCTGTCTAGCGCCTCTTGAGTGTAAACGGCATCACCATGGACCATATGAGGATTAATAAGGCTACCAATGAGCTGACTTAATGCCCTAGTAAAGTCAGCAGGTTGGCGGGCATTACCATCACCCCCAATCTGGTTCGGTGAATGAGGATCGTCTAGGCCTGGAGGGCCTAAGTTTCCCATAATATTTCCAAAAACCCTGCACTATGAGTTAGTGATGGGCGAGTCACTGAGGGGACCTAGAAGTAAGCATTACATACCTTTGAAACGGGTCGTCAAGGCCCATTCCAGCTCCAGGCTCTGGTCTAGCACCAATGCCAGAGCCGGAGCCGGAGCCGGAGCCAGAGCCAGAGCCAGAGCCAGAGCTAAGACCGGGACCAGAGTCCGAACCAAGACCGGATCGAGTTCTCCCACCGGTGGTGAAAGTGAAGGTATTGACACCGCCAGTGAAGTTGGGGCCAGAGAATCGCTGTACCGTAACTCGTTGAGCTGGGCTAGCAAACAGTGTGTCGTGGCCGGATCGACCGACCATACCAGGGCCACCAATATTCCCTAATAATTCCGTGAATCTACGTATTATCTGGTCCGTATTATCAGGGGACACTCGCGATCCGCTTCTAGGATCTTGGCGGTCGGGAGATCGATAGATTGCTCTTTGACCCAACAAGCCTCCTGGGCCATGGAATAGGTTTTCCTCAAAATCATCATCTTCGAGATCTTCATCGGAATCGAAGCGATGCTGATGGCGGCGGCGGAGGTGCTCTATGTCGGGAAACGAGTGGTCGGCATTCATCTCTCGGGGATCATTGCTGGGGTCAACCTGATAGTTGTTAGTTAATGAATAATGAAATGGCAATAAGCTTCAGCAGCCTTACAATCTCTGTACACTGGTTCATGCACCTAGGGCAATCTAGGGTGTCTGGTCGATCATCATGGAACCATTCATGTTGGCATTGATGGCAATAAACAACTTCGCGACCGACGGTCGCATCGAGGCGATAATTTCTGGACGCCATCTGGCCTTGCCTGGACTGATAGTAGGCGGCAAGGGCAGTAACTCCCAGGCCAACAGCAAGGCCCGCAGCTCTAAGCGCTCGAAACGCCAGACTGAATCGATCAATAAGTGAGATCACAGGATGATCGCCTGGTTATTTGGAGTTGTGTGAGGGCGTCGGTGATAAAAACCCGGTCTCGAGGTAGGTTGGGCGAGATGATGAGGGGCTTGAGTAATAAAACGATGAAAGAACTGGTTGAACAAGGTTGGCGTTGATCAGTTTAGAGTGTATGTAACCGTCGCGTTGGGCTACTCAAATATCCCGGCAAGGCAGATCTTGGACCTGTAAGGTTGAGCTAAAACCACAACGGCGGGAAATCCGCTAGAGGTGGTAGAGTTCAACGCCAGCTATATGTATTATATCATTTAGCGCCTGAGGTACCTAGTAGGTGTGTACTTAGGTCAGGTAGGTACTACACATGTAGTAACCTTGGAAGTGTGTAGATGAGTAGGTAGGTATGTAGGGAAGAGACGTACGTACGATATTAACGCGGCTTGCCTTGCGATCTATCTACTTAGCTAGTAGGGATCTTGACAGGCCTAATGACAAAGCGACAACACAAGTAATATTCGATTAGTATCGGAAGAGTCGTAGGGAAGCTCGGCGAATGACAGCTCGAATCGATATCCAGTAAGAGAGCGGCATGTGAGATTCGGAGTCTAGCCGCACTTGTATTGTACCAAGGTCTATCTTACCAAGCTTTATAATGTCTTGGAGGATGATGATGATCCGGCACCTGGTAGTCGATTTGAATCAATAGTACGTGTATCGATATTAATGTAGGTAAATTTAGGAGTAGGAGTAGGTAGTTATGAATTGAGTTGCATGTGGATGGTGCGCATCGACAAGCTTCCACGTTGGAAAGTCAAGGTCATCGGTCGGTTGTTTGCCAGTTGCTCCGGTGTGCTTTCGTCATTTATTGCTACATTAGGTGGGAAATGCTTAAGAGCTGCGGGGCAATTATTACACACATGGCACCTACCTAGTCCATAGTAGTACTAGTCAATAGTAAGGTCAGTAAGGTCAGTACATCCATGGTACACGTCTCAAGCTAGGCTACATACAGACTCGCAGCATAGCCACAAATCCACATGCAGCTGTCAACATCATTGATTGAATTGCACGATTCACTGTGCAAGTTCAATGTTAGTGGTGTGGCGTATCATCTGACTCAGCAAAGGGCTTCCAAGGTTCAATGTTCTACATAGCAATGTCCTTTTCTTATTTCTACCAGCTTCCGTAACTTGCTGGATCTTTTGGCCAAGAGCTGTTCACTGTCATGATAGGTGTACGAGGTTGCATGGATATTTCCTGGAAAAGCCCCTTTTCTTAGCCTCAGGCAATATTATTGTAGAATAACAATAGGATGATAATAGACTCCGACTGTACACAAAAGAATAACCCTCGATGGATATAGGAAAGAGGTCGTAGGCTCGGATGCTCTTAGCGTTTGGAGTACAAGAACTAGCAGCTTCAGGTAACTCACTGAGTCACATGTGGCCGGGTTGACTAGGTAAGAACTTGCCTACCTAGGTAGTAGGGACTATTAAGTGCTCAAGGATAGAATATAGAACAGAGTGGTGTTGTGACAATAAAACCCCGGAATATCACGGTTGTCATGCCGAGATGTGATGCTGCCATACAAGATTCCCAACCCCAGCGACCTTGTTAATCCCTTCGCTCATGTTTACCATCCGGACATGTCTTCGCCTCCTAGACAAACAGCAACGTCATACATATGTGATAATAGGGATATGCTCCCCCTGACTCCAAGCCGGCGCAACGCTATCATATTTTCAACAGCGCCATATTAGCGACTTCTTATAACGCATTGCCCAGCACAGAGACTTCCTCTAATAAGGCTTACGACTGACTTCTATCGCTTCTTGCCCCGGAAGAGAATTCCGCCAACTACACCGGCCGCGATGGCAACCCCGCTTATGATCGCAACGCCCATCAGACCCTCTTTGGTTACTTTGTCGTCGATCAGTCGGCGTAGGTCTGCGGCTTGATGATTTGCCGGCTCCTTATCCAACAATAAATCATTGTAGCGCCTCGCCTCCCCATAGTTTCCGAGCTTGTAGTTAGCCAAGGCCAAGTAGTAAAGACATTCGCGACGTCGGTCGGGTGACACTCGAAATATTTCCGAAAGTAGGCGCACACCTAGCTGTTGGTCGCTTCGGGCGTTGGATTTAATGAGGCCCTGTATTAAAAAGATGGTAAGTAAGTGGGCCATGGAGGAGCCATAAGCTCTTACGAAGTTGGTGTTTTAGGTAGACGCACCCATGCGTAGTTAAATTTTGTTTGGATGCCGGCCATCTCGCCCTCTTTTTCATATTGTGTTCGTAACGTCTCGAGTTCTGGTCCCCTTAGCGGGCTATTCAAGTGAATGTTAGTTTTTCAACTGCAAGAAATCTTGTCATAGGATGATTCCATACGTTTCCGCGTCAGCGGCATCTAAAGGCAAGAGAAGGGTTGTTAGTACATGATCTCGACCACCTGGGATGTGCATACTTACAAGGTAGCGCCGTCATCTTTGTTAGAATATTCTTCGATTATATTACTACCCACTGGTGCGCAATATTTTCTTGGGTATGTAGACAAAATTCGGTGGGGGTTTGAAACCTGATATGTATTAGGAATACGGGTTTCTAGAATCGTCGTTCTGCAAGGCAAAGATGAGATAAACCGAGGGGAACTGGAGCTAATGACGATAGAGTTCAAGTTGGTACGATCATGGATGTCTAACTGTGGCGGGAGCTCTCAAATCACCCGTTAGTCAGTGGCAGTGTGGCGCCAATGACGCAGAATTATTACTAGCCTAATTACTAGTTACTAGGTACTAGGTAGCGTGGCCTGTGAGTACTTTGTATGTACCTAGGTACTCTTATCCGCTTCAGTCATGTACCTAGTACATTGATAGGTAACTAAGTATTTTAATCCTTATCAGTCGTCCTGGTGATATCGTGGTTTGTTTTGTCTACGCCGTACTAGTTACCACTTTCGGCCCGCCATTCGATCGACATTGAATTTGAAAACCACAACGTGCATTGAAAACGACAGAGACATTCATGATTCAGATAAGCAAACTTATACTTATACAAATCGTCAACATTATATATACAACCACCAGAAACAACCCTTCTCATTAGACACATATATCATCCAATCCCAACCATCACAATGCTTCTCGACGAAGATCCTGCCACTGTACGACACATTCATTTATTTACGATGCTTGCCTTAAAATTTCCATAATTCGGCAGTCACTGACATACATCACGCAGCTCATCCACCACACAATCCACAACTTTAACATTGCGCCCGACAAAACCGCCTGCTCCCGCATCACCGACTCCCTCTCCACATTAAGCCAGGCGCGCGAGCTTAGAATCAGAGATGCCGAATCATCGCTAAAGAGTAACGAAACCCTTTTCCCCTCGTGGAGGGCGAAGCCTACCCACTCCGTCTGCATGCATACTAACGCAACCTACCCAAAATGAATAGAACTCGCCCGCTCCCTCCATACTCTCCAATCACAGCATGAGGAGCTAACCTCGACACACTCCTCTTCCGCCCACGCATCCGAGATCTCGCGCCTCGACACGCAAAAGTTCCGCATCGCGAAGGCAGTGTCCGACCTGGAGATGGAAGCAGAGCGATTGTCGTCACAGCAGGCCGACCTAGCGGCGCGCCTCCAAGAGCTTGAGCTACAAGGCCTGGAAGGATCGCCGGACGACAAGCGGAGGGACCCCGTGGACGACGAGGTCCTGCTGCGCCTCAAGGTGTACCGAAGCCTAGGGATTGATCTGGAGCGCGACGAGAAGGATGGCGAGTTCTCGAGGGCCATTGTGCGGAATGATCGCAAAGGCGATGTCCACGTCATAAACATGGATAAGAAGTTTTCCCGCTTCTTCTACGCCAACTACTTCTGGCAGACGCTCTGAATTCGGGGCATTGTTGGGCTGCTTGTTTGAACATGGACGGGACTTCAAAAGTCACTGCAAGGCGTTGGGAGTTACTCAATTATGGAATATCCATGATTTCATTTTTTTTAGAAGACTTCTAAGTCCTTCATCGACGGTCATAATACGTCAAGCTGTAATACATGGCAATAATGATCCCTCAAAATTAAACAGATAAACAAGTTTGGTCCCGTTGTCCGTTAGATTTTGAAACTTTTGCCAATCCAGACCGAAATATCCTTCCATACCTAATGCCCACCAACATATATATCCGAATAAAAGTGCCTAGATAGTATTTACATCCGCCACGTCTCTTTCATATCCGATAATTCACTATAATGCTTTGTCGGTCAATATCCTAGTGTCGACTCTTCTTGATATGCCTACCATCCAATAAAGGAAAATGGTCGTCACCGTCGACCTTAAGAAAGCTCTGTGGCCGGCTATTTGTTGGTGTTCTCGATCTCGAACTGTTAGGGGATGGATGTAGTTTTATTCCCTCGGGGCTGCGGGTGGTTGGTGCATTTGCCCCTTTCGCGTAAATGCCCAGCCCACTGCTTGTCGATGGTACGGCGCCTCCACTTTGTGATCGGACGTGATGCCGACGGTCGAGGATCTCAAGTCGCGAATTGAGGTTGTACCACTGGTCATTCTCCGGGGAATCCGCATCAGCGCCTATTCTGTCGAGCCTCCACCCACCAACCCCTTCAAAATCCCTCTCGAGCCCGATGCTAGACGTTAGAGCAAGTCCGTCAAGGCCATTGGCTGGTGTCACAGTGCCACTGCTGATGCTACCTGGTCTCATACGCCGGCGATGATTTCGGGCCTCGGGAGACGATGGCGGCGAGGGTTCCTGGGAAGCCGATTGGGAGTCCGACGGAGTCTGGCGTGATGCCATGTACCGGGCCTGCGTGGCATGGCCAAGTAGCACATAGCGCAACGTTTCGAGTCCGACGTCGAAATAAACGAGGAACAAGCGCAGAAACAAGACCATGAAGGCCATAATAGTCGTAAGTCCGGCACATAGGGCAAGTGGGAGGGCAACGCAAAAGAGGAATGGGAAGATAAATAACTGAAGAGGGTTTAAAGACGCCATCGAATCCCCCCTTGAACTGGTATTGCGGCTACAGGTTGTCTTAAAAGAGGGTTATTGGAACCGCTTGAAAAAGGATAATTGAAAAACACGGAAATTTTATATCGGATCACATTCTCGTCGAGGTTTGGGGGTCTAAATTCGATGGCTTTGGCCACAGTCTCCTTTGGAAAGCTTTGGGGGCGGTAATGGGAAAGTTGACGGAGAAAAGGAGATACAGGAGGAGCAATGTATACGACGTATGCGATGTATGTCGAGGCAAATGAAAGAAGCTCGAAGCTAAGACACTCTATTCGTAGTCTTAGTATGTGATAGGAAGTGGTGTAGCAAACTTTCAACGGGCCATTGTAAAGTTACGAAAGCATTGATCACATGGCAACTCTTCACATGCCGAATTCGCAATAACTATGTACTGCCTACATAGTACCTAGTAGTATACCGGCATACATGCATGTACTTTCATTGTTCATAAGCACAACTTGTACATCAACATGTATGTTACATATGTACGTACTCCTCCTACTACTAAGTACTATATGTATGTGAAAGTGTCAAGTGTATATGCAATTCCTAAAAATACCCTAAATACCTACATAACTGGATACCTCCATTGTACCAAAATATCCAGTCTAAGAGCTAGGGGAACTATATTGCGAACGTTTGTAACATCACGATGGACGATAATCGTGCTATAGATAAAGTGGCTCTGGCCCGTTCTGATCTACATACCCTCCCGTTAGAGTCCGCCTTGCCCCGGATTCACGGAGCTGTGGAGGTGCTGGGTGGGTACCCATACATACGTACATGATCAGTACTAGGTATGCATTTACTATCACTGTCTATCAGCACTGGCCCGCTCTATCTAACAAATAAGCACTCGTTCTACCAAGTTATCTGCCTAGAACGTCTCCAAAAAATAAAAATAAAAGGTAACGTCGAGCTAAGCCTTTTCATGCTTCTGCCTCATTCTATTAGTCTCTCATATGTACGTGAGTCATAACCACTGTATAGAAATTACTGGCCCGAATTCAGAGTTAAACCCAATGGTTTTGTTGAAGTCGAACTCTAATAATAAGTTGCAGTGCTTCGGATCTCTGCTGGATTGAAAGACTTTGTTTTAAAGACACTCACACAATGTGCCAGCAACACTTAGGGGAAGTTGAACCAACCTCCATACTTGGAGTGCCAGCAGCGCAGAATCAAAATGAATCGGATTCTGCTTTGGAGCCCTTCCCTTGGGATGCTGGGGTATTCGACGCCCACTGCCACCCAACTGACACAATGGCATCAATAGCAAGTATTCCGAGCATGAAGGCACGTGCTCTCACCGTCATGTCCACACGGGCTCAGGATCAAGATCTCGTGTCAGACGTAGCCCAACAGCAAGGCTTAAGTAATCGGGATATTGATATCTCATCAAGTTCATCTACCAATGGCCGAGTAATTCCCTGTTTTGGTTGGCATCCATGGTTTTCCTACCAAATCTACGACGATCAAAGCCCGACACTTTCTGGAACGGCACCTGACAAAATATCACATTATGATGCCGTACTCACCCCGTCACCTTCGTCAAAAGATAAATCATTCAGCGAGGGCCTACCAGATCCGCGACCCCTTTCCGAATTTCTTAGTGAAACTAGGTCTCGGCTGGAAAAGCACCCCTTATCTCTTATCGGTGAGGTTGGCTTAGACAAAGCATTTCGGCTTCCTCAAAGCTGGACCTCGGGTTATGAAGCTCAACGCGATAATGAGCTTACCCCCGGTGGTCGGGAGGGGAGACTATTAAGCCCCCATCGAGTACAAGTAGGCCACCAGGCTGCAATCCTCGAGGCTCAGCTGCGTCTCGCGGGCGAAATGGGTCGTGCTGTCAGTGTCCATGGGGTACAAGCCCATGGTGTTTTATTTGACACAATAGCCAAGTTATGGAAAGGTCACGAGAAAGCAGTTCAGTCGAGAAGACAACAGAAACGAGTTGCAGAAGGGGCAGAGGATTTCTCAAGTTCTTCCGAGGACGAAGAACCTAGCACTGGAAGGAAAGCAAAGAAGACCGGCGCAAAGCCGGAGCCGAAGCCATACCCACCACGGATCTGCTTACACTCTTTCAGTGGTCCTGCTGAGGTTATCAAACAGTATATTCACCCTTCGGTACCAGCCAAGGTATATTTTTCCTTCTCAACCGTAATAAATTGGAGCACAGGAGGTGGAGACAAGGCCGAGGAGGCAATCCGTGCTTTACCAGTTGATCGAATACTAGTTGAGAGCGACCTGCACACGGCCGGGGAGCAGATGGACCAGTACCTAGAGGAAGTATGTAGAAGAATATGTGCGATCAAGGGATGGGGCTTGCGGGAAGGGGTCGAACAGCTTGGTAGGAATTGGCAGGAATTTATATTCGGATAAGCTCTAGATACTTAGGTACCTGCTTATTGAATTTTCAAGTGCTAGATCTTGACTCAAAGGTCAAGCCCAATGGGATATAGTTATCGCAGTCACTCGAATAAGGGTCGGTAAATATTTTGGGTAATAGTGTGCGAGTTGGTGAAGGTGTGGATGGATGGATGGATGGTAGGATGGGCTTGAATGGTTGGTGGTTTAAAAGATTAAAATTGGGAAAAACAAGGATAAAAGTGGAACATAACCACATGTACCTCTGTATCAACATTGAAGGTTGACTTCGAACAGGGGTTCAACGTTTTTAGAGTATTGCACATGTAGGTATGCAAGATTCATGAAGTCGAACGGAAATTGCTTTTGACGTTATACGCATATCTTTACATGTACTACTAGTAGTAGAATATTTAATGGTATGTAACTATTCAAAGTTGGAAGTAACTATGCTGTGGTACAAAGTTGCTGCATGTGTTATTGTAGTTGGAAGTCAAGGATATGATGTACTACTAGTACTTCACGTTGAATAACTAGTAACGAACTTGAACTTACTTAAGATAAGCACAGGCTTGGAATCCACTTTCATGTGCCTGCACTAAATTTGCCGCACGAAGGCACGCCACCTACACACTTTCTAGAAGCCCAGCCGTTTTCCCATTTGCCCATTTGTCCATTTTGCTCTCCTCGTCTTCCCTGATCCTCTTGCACCCACCGCACCCGGTCTTACTTACTAGTACGTGCCCGAAAGTATGTATTGATTGCTACCGACTGAATACCTACACACACTCCGATTGAACCCTCGTGCTTTAACGGCTAACGGGAACACAAGCATCCATCATCTTGATGCATTGAACACATCCTACAGCCCATAGTGCCGTTAACGTCCCACAGACCACAGGAAAATCCTTGCTACTACTGCATAGGGCCGTCCTGTCACAGCCAGCCCCTTCACCCCCTTACTGACCCTGATTAGTATACATAGGTAGTTTCTCTATCTACCTATTATCTGCCTACCTAACCTAGTCACAACTGACTGACGACTGGGCGCTTGATACGTCAGTGTACCTTGTATACATCCTGATCATCCTTCTGAGTCCCGACACTGCTGGCTTTAAGGTCTCAACAGTGCTCGTCTACGGTCTAGCAACTCTCTATTGTATGCAAGCGCCTGACCCACGCGGGGACTGACGAGATTCGCGATCCCGTGAATTCATCTTATAGTACCGCTCCTTTCTAGTACGGTACCTACTTTACTATTTGACTCATCTTCATCACGACGGACCCCTGGCTTTGCTTTAAAGGAATACCACCTAGATATCCTACATACGAGCTTTAACGCCCTTACAAGAAGGGCAAAAGAGAACCCTGAGACTGCCTGCCATTAGCATTGCGCATAAGTACCTACTCAATTGTTACGGGCTCTTTTGGTACAACCCAAGTACCTCCTTACCATTGCTTCTTTGGGTCTACATACATACCTATACCATTCTATAGGCATTTACATACACACCCCATAGGCTATATTGGCCGATCCCTCGATCAAGGTACAATACACACGCAGTCAAGATCGTGTTTACAACCTCCTTGGCAGAGTTTATCTTGGGTGGTATAGTACTCAGCCAAACTAGATTCGCGAATACCAAGCGACTGGGAGAGAAAAAGAGAAGGGAAAATCGGTCATTCATTTTCGAGGCTGTTCGGAATTTGATCCAAGGTTTTAACGTTTAATAAGGTGACACCTCGAACTGGTTGTTTGGCTCGGGAGAGGTCCTCGGGGCGCATAGTTGGCATTTGATCGTCATACCCCTTACCATTTCGGGACCCGCACCCCACACAAACGCGCGACACACCACATTCGCTTGTGGTGAGCAAATCTGAGCCCCAACGAGTCCCGTCCCAGATCTGCCCTCGCCCACGTCACGCCCACGCCCTCGCCCGCCCAGCCCTGCCAGCTGTGCTAACGCGGTGCCAGCCTATCGTGAGCCATGTACGCAGGCAACTATGGCTTTCCCAATGGTGTTCCCCCCGTTGGATCGCAATACAATGGCGGCGCCCCACACTCAGCTGCTCAGAACCCTCATTTGCAGCCCGGTCAACCGTCTCATAACCAGACATCAATGTACCATCATCAGCAATTCCCCGTCGGCGCGCAACCCGGAGTCGCTTTCCCTGGTGCTCCTAACATGATGCCGGGCCCTGGCCCTGCAGGAATGATGCAGAATACCGGTATGCCGCACATGGCTGCCGCCAATAGTTCGAGTAAGCACCTTTCCTTCCATGCTTTAAAGTTCTTTATCCCTTAGCCGCGGCCTGTGTTGCCCTACTCCTCACATGCAAAGCAACCCTAAGCATATTCACAAGAAACACCAATACTCGCGTGGTCTCCCGCTTTCGCAAGGGTTTCCCGGCTGATAAAGACGTGAACTTAAGCGATGCTACATATTCCTTCCACCAAAGACTATCTTATCTTCCTACTAATTGATTGATGTTCCATTGTAGTGCCCAACTACCCGCCTCCCTATACCAACTCGCCATATGGCGCTGGTATTCCCAGCTCTGTCGCGCCGCAAATGAATATCCCCCAAAACTATGCGATGGGGGGCGGCATGCCTATGTCTAGCTATCCAATGCATGCTGGGATGAATCCGCAACAGCAACAGATGATTCAACGCATGCAACCGCCTCAGCCAAACACACAGGGCATGTCGACTCCTACTCCCCAACGATCCTTTCAAGGTCAACCTCCCCAGAATGGACCGGCTCCGAATAGCACGCCAACACCACAGCCACATCCGTTATCCACGCCGCAAAATACGCATGCTACACCCCGTGGCCAGACACCAAACAGTGCTCAACCTCAGCCGCAACAGCAACAGCCTCAACATCAGCCGCCGACCAATAACATACAGACACCACAAACCCCAACATTTCCAACGTCGGTTCAGAGTAACGGCCCCAACATCTCCTCCAGCTCTACGCCTTTAAGTCCTAGCGTGGACTCAAGAGACAAAGAAAGGGTTGGCGTGATCCTAGAAATAAATAATGAGCTGTTACTAGAAGCCATGCAAATCCAACATACGCAGCAAGTTCTAAAAAAGGAACGCGCGTCTTCCAATGGCACTGAGGGTGCTGCGAACGAACCTGACAAGAAATCTACAGAAGAAGAAGATATATTAGCACAGGACTATTTACAGTGAGTACTATCTTGCAACTGCTTGAAACTGGGCGCTGATTTACTGGTATTAGTTGTATGCGCAGACTCCAAACCAACTTGACATATCTGGCGGCACTAGCCGACAAGAAAGGCAATGTTCCGGTCCCGCCGTCTCCTACTTATATGAAGGCACCGCCATTGAATTATAACATCAAACTTAGGATGGTAGTAAGCCCAGATGGATCAGAAAGCCAGGAGGCCCCAGATCGGGGCGAGACGGTCAAATATATCCTAGATTTATACAAGAAGCTCCATGCTCTTTATCCAGGCATTGATCCGAACAAGGAACCACTGATTCCAGCTACTCATGCGCGACAAGGCGGGCAACCGATGAACGCAGCAAAACCTGGAGCTCAAGCACTTGGTTACCTTAGCCCTGTTCCTGGGAAACAGAAGACACCAAAGATGTTGACTGCAGCGCCACCATCTTCGGCAACGAACATCACGACAGGACCATGAGAGAACATAGCGGTATGAGAAAGAAAGGAACCTGCGGAATTTATGATCAAATGTTGAGTATAGGGTTGGCACCGGTGAGCATTTGATATATACACGTTCAGCATTTTTAGTTTGGGATGGATTGGCTACCTTATGGTTGTTTATGATGTTACCTTGTACTTTGTATAGAGAATACCCCGCTAAGGTTGATCGTGTGTGGTGACAAAATTGTGTAATTTGTATATTATCAATGGCTACGGGTAAGTAAAGTTGAAATCTTTCTCTCTCTCTCTCTCTCTCTATATATATATATACATATACATATAATGAGGTGTGTGTTATGATGTTGTGTTAACTTTTATGTTTATTACATTTAATTGTGTTGTTACATTGCGTTTGGTGGATTTTATTATTGGTATTTACATGTAGGATCGGTCTTCGCCGTTCAATATGGACTAGTGTGTAGTATGCGTGAAGTTTTGGAGACAGCATCAAGTATAGACTAGGGATGATGTTATAGCAACGGGTAGACTACTATTACGAATAGACGGTGAGCGAGAGTCGTCTGATATTCGTTATAATACATCGGGGGAAACGTAACCGGACTCGAAAATCGCTTCGCCAAGGACAACGTCCCATCTTGACCTGGTTAGTTCCGTCGACACGATGCTTGTTATTGCCTTTTAAGAGGTTATATGTTTCTTGATAATTGTTGATTGTTGATAACGAATGGGTTTCTTGGTCCAAGAGCATGGGACTTGGGGAGTTCTTGTCCATGAATGGGCTTGGGGTTATGCGCTAATGTCGCGGGACTTATGCGCCTTCAATGCAAGAAAGCGGCTCTGTCGCAATGAACCAATCATGCGCTGCGGCGAGTCGCTTTGGGTTCTGCACATGGAAAGGGGGGCCACTTTACATGTAGGTACCCAGGTAGTACATACATTACATAAGTACCATGTATTTACCGTATTTACCTATTTACCTCAAGTTCGAAGTTGCAGGTTAGATTAGTGCATAGCCCTGTAGACCTTTAAAATGCCAACTCCGTTTAAATGATAGGAATGAACATTGAATGAACATATGACGGTGATGACGTTGACACGTATAACGTCACAGAGATAATACATCATACATAGCTAATAGTAGATACTGATATCCAGAAATCCATAGTAAGAATATATCGATTTACGTGGTATATTGGAATTATTGACCAGTGCTTAAGCTTGATTCAGGATCAAAAGGGGAATCAACGTCAAATGGCTACTAATGCCCCGCTAATGCAGGGACAGGGTGTTAGTGGCCCTGGATTGTCTCCAATTGGAGAAGTTGCGTTCGATTGTAACATTGTTAGGGTCAGTCGACTTCGATACTAACTAGAAGTGTAGTACATAGTACATACCTAGGTTAGGGTACTAGGCACTACATATCCTAGTTACCTAAACCTAGTACATACCTACTAACCTACACTAGGTACCTACCTTAGCTTCACCTCTCTCTTCATGTTCCTTGTCTTCTGAATGCCCTCCTTGAGTCCTTCTCCTCTCTCAATGCACCGCTCTTTGACTGACTGGTGCGCGTTACCGCACTTGTGTTTCGACTTTGTCTATTTCCTTCGTCCCTCATTCGTCATTCATTCGCTATGTCTAATTTAAACATCTCTTAAACATTAAACAACTAAGCAATCGTTCATAACTCATTCTTTAACGAAACATAGGTTGTCGTTAATAGTATTATACATACATATAAACGTCGTCCATTCCTTTACAGTATACTGTCACACTAGTCGTTTTAGTCGCTTTAGTCGTTTCTTTCATGGACCACCAATCCAATTGTCATTGCATAATCTTGAAATCTCGCCTCTTAGGACTAACCGATTCTCAAGCATCGATCTTAACCCCTCGACGAAACCAAAAAGGAAATACACCAGCAGATTGTCTCCTCAATCCCTGACCCGAGTCCACTCTGCCTAACTCCCCTGTTCTCTTGGCAGGCAGTATCCAAGGCTAAGGGTAGACAGGCTGGGTAGCTGGTTCTTAGAACCAAAGCATCTTGGGTCCTGTGTACACGTTTTTAGTGTATAGTTACTCTCTAACATTACCATAGACACCATAGACACCGTTCACTGCTGCGCGGTAGCACTTGTCTAGTCTAGCATACTTCACCGCTGTTGGTACACTATTATACAAGTCCCGAAACCAATTGAGGCTAAGCAGGCAAGCCTACAAGCCTACAAGGGAGTAATAAGAAAGACATTTGTGGTGGGCTGTAGATCGACCATTCCAGTCTTGGTCTCAACCGACCACCGCCGTTTCAATTTCGAAGGTGTGCGCCGCATGATGGAGCGGGACGCCGAAAACCAGCAGAAAAATGAACCTTCTCCGGCCAACACGGTGCCCTCTTGCGCCGAACCAAGCCCAAACATAGAAAAATCACCACCAGTTGAAAACGCCGAACGCAGAATGCCAGAACACGATTCCATGGTAACAGTTCGACTGTCCGAACCGCCTTCCCTGTCGGTGAATACGGACCTTCCGCCGAACACTCTGCCTTTTCGAAGGAGCATTTGGGGACACGAATGTACACCTACCAGCGCAACGGCCCCAGTCGCGGAAACTATAATGGAAGAGGAAACTATGAGTGAGGTGGAAATTGAAATCAAGACGCCGGCCGACCCTCCTAAGAATATGTTGCAAGAGAGCAATGGTATAACCACCGTTGACGAAGAGGAAAAGGAAAAGGAAAAAGAGCAAACAGATGACGACGATCCAATGGACGAATCCGACACGGAAGAGGTCAATTGGGACCAATTACAGAAGACAGAAGACGAGCAAGTCAAAGATCAAGACGATAACGTATGCACACTGCCCGTTCCATCTATTTTTATCGTCTAATTATATTATTTTTTTTTGAGACTGGCTCAAGTGAGATCAGATCCACATTGGAAATAGTAACAATGCTGACACGATTTTTTTTTCTGTTACTTTTAGACCACAGCTATGCTACTAGCAAGACTCGAACAAGAGAACAACAAACTTGCCACGAATCCGAAGACTATCAAAGTCAAGGTTGTAGAACAACCTCCCATCCGCCGACCCAGACCACCCTCGATGGCTCAGATGCGGCACATGGTGAATGGCCCAACGCCAATGGCCCTACGATACTCTGCCCTCCCTCCTCCGCCGATGACCGACCTCGAATTTTACATGGCGCTCGCTAAAGACTATCAGCAGACGGCTGCCCGTCTTCCGACCCTGCTATCGAAAAAGATTCGAAAGGGAGTGCCACCACCATTGCGAGGCGTTGTTTGGCAAAGTATGGCCAGTGCCCGAGACAGTACACTGTTGGAACAATTTGATAAACTTTGCAACGAGTCGAGTCCTTATGAAGGGCTCATCGGCAAGGACCTTGGCAGAAGCTTTCCTGGCGTGGATATGTTCCGAGACCCAGATGGCGACGGGCAGCGAATGCTCGGGAGAGTATTGAAATGCTTCAGTCTATACGATCAAAAGATTGGATATTGCCAGGGACTCGCATTTCTGGTTGGGCCTCTATTGATGCATATGCCAGACAGCCAAGCTTTCTGCGTTTTAGTCCGGTAAGTGATACTCTTTTTTCTCTTCTTCTCACTTCTCCCTTCTTCTTTTTTTTTAAAAAAAAAGAAACAAAGAAACAAAAATGGCGGCCAAGCTGACTAGAATAACTGTTACAATAGGTTAATGGAATACTACGATTTGCGATCATGCTTTTTGCCGGACCTATCAGGGTTGCATGTTCGTATCTACCAATTTCGTGAACTACTTCGACAGAACCTACCCACCCTGTCGGCTCATTTGGAAGATCTTCAGGTCGATCCAGCTTATGTTTCGCAATGGTTCCTCTCATTTTTCGCCGTAACGTGTCCCTTGCCCATGCTGTTTCGGATCTACGATGTCATATTTGCCGAAGGTGCTTCGGAGACAATTATGCGGGTAGCCCTGTCATTGATGCGCAAGAATGAGAGCCGGATCTTGGCTTGCACTGAACTTGAAGATGTCATGCAACTCCTTTTATCCCGTGGTTTGTGGGATTGTTATCATTACAACGCTGATGAATTTGTCGATGATTTCGTTAGTTTATCTTACGTCGTATCGAGAGAGAAATTAGCCCAACTTGAACAGGGGTATCGCGAGGAAAAGATCGCCAGTGCCAATGCCGCCCGAACGGCCGATGTTACCACAGCAGCCTCCCGTTTTTTGGGCCGCCTATGGACTACGAGCACCTCCTCCCCGAGATCTGGAACTCTTTCCCCTGGTCTTACCGCACCGTTGAGACCATTAAGCATGTTGCGCCGAAGTGCATCAAAGCAAAGCATTGCGTCGACATTAAATTCTATGGAAGCCAGTTCCGCTAGCGTTCTCAGCTCTGCATCTACCGACGCGACCACGGTTTCACGCGATTCCTCATCTAATGCCGACGACTCGTCCGTTCGCGAATCGACGCCAATTGTCTCCTCCCGACAACATTCTGGTCACAATGCAGCCGACAAGGGCCTTCATACACAAATTGAGGATCTACTCACCGCCTTGAGCGAATTGCAACGAAATCACTCGTTACTCGCTACGCAGCTTCAACAAGAAAGAGAAGAACGCGACGAGGATAGGAAGGCCGTCAAAGATTTGTTAGATGGGCTGAAGAAGCAGAAGAAGCAAGGCGAAACTGCGCCCGCAGAGTCGACAGCAGAGACGACAGAGACCACAGAGACAACAGAGACAACAGAAGATGATGGCAAGAGTTCCGATAATAAAACGCCAGATGAACAAGACGATGGAGAGAAGTGCACTGATGAAGACCGATTCTCTCAATTGCTACAAGTGGTCGAATGCCGTTTCTGGCCTGCCGCAGAGCACAAACGGAGATCATCATCACTGCTAACCAAGGCTCAACTTCGTGATGAATTGGCCAGGACGAAGGATAATCTTCGAATTGAGGCGTCCAAGTCTCTTGGCTATGATCGTCGTATCGAGGAACTCGGACAAGAAGCTAGCACGCTACGGGAACAACTCCGAGAGAGTCACGTTCACGTCCGAAACCTTCATCAAGACAAGCAACGTCTCGAAAGGCAGGTCCACACTATGCGCGTGCGAGCTTCCGCTGAGACCCCCGGGTTGTCGCCGGAGTCTGGTGGTTGGTTCTCGTCCGGAGGCAATCTGAGTGCCGGAGGCGGTGGCGCTGGCGGTAGTGGCCTTCGAGAATTGAAGCTTGGACGTAGCAAGTCGACGCCCAACACACAATCGCCCTTCGCTCATCGGGCCACGCCATTGGCACGGACGGCGACAGACCCAGTCACGACAAGTGAACACGACGCGCTCGTCCTTGATTTGGTGCAAGCTAAAACTGCCGAAGCTATTGCTCGTCAAGAAGCAGACGAATACAAGCAGAAGCTCGAGAACCTCCGTAAAACTTACGGAATCGCCTCAACGGATAACTCTTCTGGCGTGACGTCAACTGCTATGGGCATGATTGGAAGATTGACGTCAACCGTGACGGAAACAGGAAGTGGTGCTAAGATCGCGGCTCCCCTCCCGTCCCCTTCTCCTTCCACTACAACTAATGGCGGTGGTGGCTTCTGGGGATGGCGAAGATAGGTACTCATGTGTGGATGTTTACTGAGGGCGACATACAAGCGGAGCGACGCTCATGTATGTGCTGGGGGAGGCTATTCATTGTGGGAGCAAACACTCCTGCCTTGGAATGTGGTTGTGGTGTTGTTGTGGTAGCGGAGAAGATAGAAGAAGGCGCATATCTTACGACGGGCGGCCTGGTCACAGCAGTATATCTCTATTTCGGCGACGCATAAGCTTCACTTCACTTTTCACTTACCATAGGTACATAATCGCTTATCATGTCCCTGCATGTGTTTAGACTTGGGGGGTTATGGACGGAGGTTATATCATTTACTTCGCATTCGATATTCATATTTGCCATGAGAGGCATAAGATGACCGTCGCATAGTTAGGTGCCTAGGTACCTACCTAGCTGTCTGCCTACTGCTATGTAGGTAGGTATCTAAGTGGGTATATCTGACTGATGCTCGGGATGGGGGAACTTGCAGATAAATAAGCAACATCAACAGCTTTGGAAAGGGGTGGGCGGATTACTTTTGCTTTGAGCTCGTAGCAAGAATTAGGCTTATGATATCCCAATACAATACAGCTTTGCTTAAACTAGAGCTACGATGGATGCATTCAAATGTGTGCATTTACTGCATTTACCGCTTTGAATAAGTTTGGTGTGTTATTGCTATCTACTAGGTACCGAGGTAACCTGAATACTTAGTCAGACTCTTGCTAGACAAGCTGCCTACCTCTAGTAGTACCTAACTTGAGTGATGACGAAGTCAAGGGGTGAAGATGATCATGATGAGCAACAAGGGATGATGACAGAAGAGGATGGCGGTATGCGTCATTTGGACCCTTAGAATGCCCGAAGCAGATTTGTCTCCGATGAACTGGATCGTACTGGATCGTAAGGGTCATGTACATGATTTAGAGCCAACTTTCTTTCTTTTTTTTTTTTCTTTCTTTTTTTGCTCTTCTCTCTCTCTCTCTCTCTCGCTACTATACGTTTTTGGGGCAAAATTGGAATAATAGAATCAAAAATAAAAATCCATCTACTGTTCATTTCTCGTGGAATTCCTTAGGGCAGCACCTAAGCTTGAAGCATGCAAGTGTCGTGTGCCTCAGTGGGTTAATCACATGCAATCTGTCCCCAAGTGACGACATGGGGTAAATTAGATAGATAGTAGATATTAAGATAGATAGTACTACTAGATAGTATGTACAACTTACCACTAATAGTAATACCTATTACCTACAACTAAAAGGTTAGGGCAGTTGGAACACATTGTGCATATGATTATTAGTGGACAGGAGGTATGCATGTGTGATAGTACGCATATGACGATTTTAGTTGCTCTATCTCCTAAATTACATATATAGTATGTACGTAGTGCCACTGTTCTGTTACTACTTGACTTACTTGGAGAGAGTCGTGACTACAATGCTGGTGTTGATGACTACATGTGACGTTTGCTATGTACAGGTACCTGCCTAATGTTAGGTTCTTAGAACTTCAATGTTCTTACATACGAAGTACTAGTTACAGGTACATAATGTATTAATAGTACACACATTATTTGAAACTACATGTAGGCTAACCTACATCTGGTAGGTTAGGGGGCATAAGGGCTCGCTTTGGAAACGTTTCGAAGCACCTGTCAATATATTACATATGTACCTACAATATGTATGGTACCTAGTGGTATCCACATAACTAGAGTTGCCCTAGCACATATAGTGGATGCCTTCTGCTTCAGAGTTGTGATAGGGGAATTGCACACTGAAAGATGCTGTTGTCACTGGTCGTTACTGCAGTCCCTGGCAGATTCCCACCTGTTACTGTAGCAGCAGATGAGAAGGCAGGTATGGGAATAATGGGACAAGTCTGGAACTGCCAGTCAGGCAGATGCATCATGTTGGCCCTGGCGTGGCGTCATAACACCAAAAAAAGGCCACTAGCCACAATTGACCAGTAAGAATAGGTACAATACATAACTATGTATGCATACATACTACATAGTAGTTAGTAGTACTATTATCGTATGCATATGTATGTAGGTATGTACGAAGTATGGATGTAAGTACATACATACCCACACAGCTTTGCCCTCCAGGGTTACCTGCTAACTTAGTATTTACCTACCTGCCTACGGCCCTACACCTACCTACACCTACCCATATGTATCTCCCTGGGACCTAATCTTTTGATGAAATCACTCCTTTTTTATTTTTTTTTAATTGCCAGGCTTTTCTTGCTTCAATCCAGATCGATCCATCCCACTACCCAATAAACCTGAAATTCTTGCCGCACCCGCACGGACAAGCAAGCAGAAAACTTCCCGTTGCTTTGACTTGACTTGGACCTTTTTGACCTCCACTTCATTCCTCATTTTCCTCACTTGCTCACTTATTGTTCCTTTAAAGAAGAAATCCCCAAAGAACCAGTTGACCTTAGAAACATATTTTATCTATCGACCGAGTAAGTTCAAGTCATGATTTGTTTATAACTGACTCTATTGCAAATCTGTATCTGTCACCGCGAGAAATCGGTAGAGAGAAAAAACAAGAAGATAGGCTCACCCACAATTCTTGTAGAAAGGCTAAGCACCCGACACTCCGAATAGAATATCACTTTCTTTCCTTCTTCTCTATCTATCTCTCTATCTGCATACACCATTCGTAACACTTGCAACAACAACCACAACAACCAAACCAACCAACCATTCGCCATGGCCGATTCAGCAACTGATCATCCTGTCAATGGACACTCCGTTGACACTCTCAAAGGCAGTACGGTAAGTTCCCAATCTATCCGACCTTATCTGATCCCGCCCCGCGCTATCTCTAGTAACAAACGTCAAGCTAACACACCGTTGAATAGTTTGTCTCATAGTTTGCTATTAAAGCTATACTCTCCCGTTAACCTGTCAACAAACACTATGATAAACATAATATCTGACAAGCTTCATCACAGATGCCAAGGCGGCTTACAACCAGATCGCATCAGGTATATAATTTGTAACTTTTTAATACTAAAATGACACCATCGTTGCTAATCTCGGTGCTATCGCAGGCCCCGTTGCTCAGAACGTGAAGGATCAGAGTGCGAAGACAACTGCCGAATTCTCCAACCTGGCCAACGCCCGCCAGACACCCTCAAACCCTGCTGCTACTGGTCAGGACTTAACCACTTATCATTCGTTCTTCTCTGAGCTGTTGTCATGGAACAACCCCCGTAAGTCTAGGCGGAGCTCTTCAAATATGCCTATGTATATATGCATATTCACATGCTAGCAAATACTAATACGCTTTTACAGGAGCTTCCGCCATCGCCTATGCTTCCGTTGTCTCGTTGATCTTCGTGGCTAGATACCTCGATGTCGTTCGATATACCTTTAAGCTCACGTGGATGGCCCTGGGCGTTACCGTCCTTGCCGAAGCCGTTGGCAAGGCCCTCATTGGTAATGGTCTAGCCACCCAGCTCCGACCGCGCAAATACTACACGGTCCCTCGCGAGACACTCGAGGCTCTGATTGGTGATGTCCACGCCCTCATCAACTTCTTCGTAATTGAATCCCAGCGAATCTTTTTTGCCGAGAACGTCGCCACATCAGCTGTCGTAAGTATCCCTGTCAACATGGCATACACCGCACCCGTGGCAAGTTTTGGCTAATCTTACCTTGTGTTAGGTTGCCTTCGGAGCATTCCTGTCGTATTACCTCGTCAAGATCGTTCCCTACTGGGGCCTTGCGTTGGTAGCCACCACCTTGACGTTCTTCGTACCCTTGATCTACAGCACCAACCAGGAACTTATCGACCACTACCTTAAGCAAGTCTCGGATGTGATCAACAGCCAGACTGAGCAGTTGCGCCAAGTCGCTACCAAGCACACTTCGCAAGCAACGGAAATTACGAAGCAGTACATGGGTGACTACACCGCTAAGGCTCAGCAAATGCTTCGCGGCCGTTCAACTTCCCCCGCGACAGCACCGAAGACGGCTCAGTCTAATCTTAGGGAGTCTGACTTCCCCAAAGCTCCCAAGGAAGACATCAAACACGAGGAGGAGTCTTCCGAGTCCGAGAGTGAGGACGAGCCCTTGGTCCATGCTTAAATCAATATCACGGAACGCAGCGGACAAGAATCTCGTCCCCGAGACACAGGACGGTATATCTAGATCCCTTCTCTGGGGATCCAACGGTACGACCTGACATTCTGATACGACTCATGGCATAGAAGGATACGAGAGATTTGCGAGATTCAATGCTCCCTTAGCGGGGATCACATGGTTTTTCGTGTATGACTTTCATTAATACTGGTAATGGGCCGTCAGGCGGATTGGCTCAGGCATGATACTCGACACTTCACTTCCTAAAGGAAACATTTTCCCGACTTTTGGCAGCCTACTTGATGGACGATAGTGGACTTGTTATGCACCTTATAAACTGTCTACGTGGCATTTCCACATTATTCAAAAGGAAGAGGATTGTTCTTGATGGTTTGGTAATGAAGAATGATGGTTTAAGAACGTACGATGGCCATTTGAGGCCCAGAATCATGAAATGAGGAGAGGGTGTTTATTAGCTAAATGAGAATGGGCCTTGGCAATAGTTGTAGTAACGAACTTGATAAAGTTGACGGTGTTGATAGGAGAAAGGAAGGAAGAGAACGTAAAGGGGTGGCTGGGGGTTTGCTTTTAGTACGATAGTAATTTCGACTGGTTTCTTCTCTTCTTTTGGTTTTACTTATGCGTATTCACAGTTATTGTTAGCCTTTGATTTACATATACTTTGTTTCATCACGAAATAACTGATACTGATACTCTTTGGTATAAGATACCATGATGGAATGACATTCATGTATTGGATAAGTATTAGATGTGACACAGCATCAGCGTGTATATTGATCACTATCTCTCATCGGTCTGTCTAGGAAGTAGCTCCATTTCGTACGAGCACGATATTTACAGAGTTCCATGATCTACAATGATGGGATATATATATACGCGCGTGCTGTCTGTCGTCGTTTGGCATACGAGATACGATGGTATATATGCATGTATAAATATGTGTGTACGTGTTCTCCCATCTATCCTTAGGACGGACGGTGTTGATTTGAAGTCGGGGATACACTGGATTTATTTTGGGAGGGGCATCAAGTTCCAAGGTTGGGATATTAGGTGTTTTCCCAGGTAGGTAGATACCTATCTATGTATCTACATTCGTAGGTTCAGTTTGCCTTGGGTGTTGTAAGCTGGGGACTATTTGGATTTCAATGTTCGAAAGGGGGCAGGACAGAGGAGAACGGGGTACGATGATATATATAGTTGATGGAGGAGGATGCGGACACATAGGTATCTACCTACCTACCTACCTCCGAGGCAGATAGATGCATACTGGGTTTTCGACGAACGGATGGATATATACCTAGCTTCATTTTTTGAGGTGAATCCATGGTAGGAGTTTAGGTGCCTGCCTACCTGGTACCTACCTACCTACCTACCTACCTACCCAGTTATCGCGGACACTCTGTCCGTGAGAGGTCATTTCTACCTACTCACGCGTCTACCTCCTATTAACCGGTAAGTACCTGGGCTAGATAGGTACCTAGGTATTTTCATATTATCCTTTGTTGAAAAGGGGGGGGGGGTCCATAGGTACCTAGGTAGGGAGGTGAGTGGTGATGCTTTGGGTGGGTAATGTGACATGTCGTCTTGATAATGATTTGTAGTACCTAACAATCTAGCGATGAGGACCCTCGCTCCCTATAGTTATGCAGATGGCTCTGGCATATTGTTCACTTGAGAGTTCATAATCTATTATTTATTACATTGTCAAGCCTCTTTCCATCCCTCTTGGGCCGTGAAAGCTAATGTATACCCAGATGTTGATATACACCTACCTAGGTTAGGTAGGTAGTTGCTTTGGGATACTATCCACATGTTACTTCAACTTTATAAACGCCGTCTCCTGCTTCATTACATATCAATAGAGCTAGGTCGGGGTTTGCGGGAAACAAAGACTACTCATTCCCAGGCCACACAAACATTTCACTCTGCGAACTTGATAGACTCAACTTGCTTGGTATATATCCTAGGCACACATGAACAATACTAGGAGAGGCGAAGCCTAAAAGTACAAAATCACCACCATCACCACCATCAACGCCCCGTGGTTACTCATGAGCTCCCACCACCTCACAGCCTCACCCCATTGACAACCCCTTTTCGTCTGATTGCACTCATCAAGATATCTAGGCATAGAATACCATCAGCTGCCCTGATTCCGAATTGGGAATGAGGCCCAAATAACCATTTCGTTACTCGTTAAAAGAAGACGTAAGCACCCAGCATCATGTTTCCTGATGCAAGTAGCAGTTGCGTAGTAATTTTCTCGACATTGATCGAGGTCCATGACTATGGCTACTCGCTATCATCCATAGCAAAGTCATCGCTCTCATCATCATCATCATTGGGCAATTGCACACTGTCTTCTTCCTCCTCCTCATCGTCATCATCCTCAATGGTGTAGACTGGCTTCGACTTCATGGCAGCGGCACGACCTGGTCTGCCGCGAGCAGCAGGTCGCGGGGGAGGAGAATCAGGCTCGGCTAACTCGAGGTCGTCATCTTCATCATCATCCATGTCAAAGACGTCCTTCTTGGACTTCGCCTTCTCCTTCTTTGCAGCGTAGGCTTTGGCTGCTGGCGACAGATGCACGGCCTTGGATGCCCCCGCCTTCTTTGCAGGTGCACTACTCTTGGTTGCAGCTGCAGCAGGCCGGCCGCGAGCTTTCTTGACTGCTGCCCCACCAGAAGCAGCAGACTTCGATTTGGATTCTTCAGTTGAAGCGGAAGGCTTCGCCCTGCTCGTCATTTTTGTGACTGGAGGTAGATCATCGTCTGATAGGAAACTATCCAGTTCATCTCTACGAGCGGTCTTGTGGGGCGAAGGCTTAGCCAACATCTCGTAATTGGTATCATCATGATCGTCCGAGTCCAATATTCTTGAAGCCTTGCTCTTGACCTTTAGACTGGTGCTATTGCCGCTGCTGCTCTCTGGTCGTGACATGGAAAACAAACTAAGCCGACCAGTCTTATTCTCCGAGGTACTGCTGTTACTGTTTTTCGCAATACCCTTGACTAAGTCGCCAACATCACCAAGCATTTTGTCGTCATCACTTTCTGATTCGTCGTCGTCGATCACCAGCCTCTTGGCCTTAGTAGCCGCGGCGCGTTTAGCGCGAGGGTTTGGTAGAATTTCTACATCCGAATCGTCGTCAACGGGCTTCTCTACTGCCTCCTTCTTAACGGGATTCTTCAACTTAGCGAAGTCGCCGTCAGAGAATGGATCCGAGTCTGAGTCTGCTGCTCCATCCGCACTCGTAGTTTCCTTCTTAGTTCCTGCGTTGAACATGGCAGCAAAACGTTGGACAGACTTTTCCTTGGGCGGCTCCTTAGGTTTAGCCGCTGCTTTGGGGGCCGCTCTTGACTTGGGGGGTGGAGCCCAGTCATCGTCACCCTTCGCTTTGCGGCCACGCCCAGCACCGATCTTCTTTGACGTACGGCGACCCATCCGACGGATGCCTGTTGTGATCTCGGCATCAAGGCGTAGCTGGTTCTCCCACTCAGCTTCGAAGTCGTCAAGGTCCTTGCACCAAAGATCCTTCTCGCTGAGTATATCGAGGGCATCCCGTTCGGCCTTCTTCTTGAGAATCTGATCCTTCAGACGGTCTAGGCGCTCTTGAGTAAGCGACCAGATGGGCATCTATTGATAATTAGCGACTTTGATTCTTGGCCAATATTGCAGCAGAAACTTACAGAAAGGAGATAGTCGTAGTCATTTGCGGCGGTATCTGTCTCTAAATCTTCGTTACCTTCCTCCGCATTGCCCTCTTCGTCGTCCTCTGACTTAGTTTTCTTGGCATCTTGGCCCTTCGGGAAAGCCTCATACTTTTTGTCGCGAAGTTCCGCAACGATGATTTGCTTCTTCTTGCGAGATACCACGAGCTTGCCATCCATGATCTCCCGTATGAATCGAGCTTGGTTCTGCAGCTTCCTGTAGTCTGCATCATACACTCCAAGCCAGTGGCTCTGTAAGGAAGAGAAAGAAACGTTAGTATAGTTCACATACACTTGGAGCAGAGCTAACATACCTTGCGTTCGGCGTACATATGCAATCGGTAGTTGTAGAATTCCTCTAGAATATCTTCAACCTTTTCATACTTGCGGATCATTCCTCGCGTGTCAAATGCAACTAGATTAGAAGTAGCGACTTGCTTGACCAACTTGAATTTCTCAAGGAGACCTTCTCGTAAAGCTTGATCCATGTGTTTTTCATCCATCTGAATCTCGAAGTGGACATTCTTGTGGTCGTTGAATTCCTTGTAGTCCTTGATGAAGGATGGTGTTTTCTCGCCCTTGATAATTTCTTCGAGTTTCGCTTTGAAGTCATCGGTCCACATACGGATAGGCAACTCCGTGATAACCACTTCATTCGGCCTCTTCTCGTCCTGGTGAACAATACCATTAAATTGGTAACGGTTGTTATCGGCAACTTCAGCAGTACCCTTCCAGCCTCTGAACCAAGGGGTCATCGTTTCAAAAGGTTTCTCGTCATCGCCATCTATACGTCCCATGCGCCGCCTCAAGTTTCTGATAATGTCCATTGGATGGTAATTCGGAATCGATGTGCTCCAGCCTGTGCCGATACCATCCGCACCATTCACAAGAATCATGGGGATGACAGGAGCATAAACTTTTGGCTCAATCCTTTTCCCATCGTCCATCTGGTATTCTAGGTTGGGCTCGTCTAGAGGGGAGAAGACACGTCGAGCAAATGGAGACAGGCGCGTATGAATATAACGAGCACTGGCAGAATCTGAACCTCCTGCAAGTCGAGAACCGAAATTTCCGCTAGGCTCGAGACAGTTGACATTGTTGGAACCGACAAAGTTCTGTGCCAAGCCGATGATAGTCTGTTGCAGAGATACTTCGCCGTGATGGTAGGCTGTTTGTTCAGACACATAACCAGCCAATTCAATGACCTTTTTATCCTTGGTCAAGTTTCGCTTGAGACAAGCATAAATGACTTTCCGTTGACCAGGTTTCAGGCCATCAACAACAGAGGGAATGGATCGCATGTTGTCGGCCATACTGAATAGAATCAACTCCTTGTTGACGAAATCGTCGTACGTGACCAGTTTCGTGGAATGGTCAAGATAAGTTCCCGGAACGAAACTACCGAGCCATTCTTTACGGGCATCTGCCTTTTTCTTGGAGAAAGCGAGCTCAAACAGATCAGCTTCCTCAGGCCGCATGGTACTGAACTGTTTCAAGTGGTTGTCAAGATCATTGAAGTATACTTGGGCGTCCTCATTGGAGCTGGTACCCAGACCCTTGTAGTACTTTGACTCCCACCGTCTCAATTCAGCCTTATGCGATTCTTTCCATTCCTCATACTGGGGCTGGGTGAAGAATGACTTCAGCTTCAAAGGCTTTTTAGGATTTGGTCCTTGCCAAACCTTGACAATAGGCGTGATAAATTCTTGAAAGAAGTCTGGAATCTTCAAGAGTGAAGGGTACTGGACTTGAAGGAAGTTGATTAGAAGACCCTTGATATGACTACCATCGTGATCTTGATCGGCCATGATCATTAAATGCCCGTAACGAAGAGCTTTCGCATCGGTATAGACTTGCTTGTGCTTTAAGCCGAGGAATTGCTTGATATTCTGGATTTCTGAATTCTTCGTGATTTGATCAATTGAAGCGTCACGGACGTTAAGCATCTTTCCTCGAAGAGGGAAGACACCAATACGATCAGGATCTAGGATAGCACGACCAGCAACAGCCAAACTCTTGGCAGAATCACCTTCGGTCAAGATGAGAGTACATTCATGGCCATGCTTGGTACCTGCCAAATTGGCATCGACGAGTTTGGCGTTGCTGATTCGCGATCGCTTATTACCATCACTCTTTGCAAGCATCTTGTCCGCCTTCGCCTCCGCAAATTGGATGATGTTATTGATCGCATCCGTTTGGCCAATCTTTTTGAGGAAGAGCTCACTCAGCGCACATTTGCTCCCAAACTGGCTAACTTTGGTCGTCATCTGCTCCTTGGTTTGGGAAGTGAATGCTGGGTTGGTGATCAAGCAATTGATGAAGATGAAGATGTGGTTACGGATGTGGTTGGCCTTGAGCGAATGCCCCTTCTTCTTTTTATTCAATGTCTTCAAAAGAGAGTCGCAGATTTGGTCGGAAATGTAGTTGACGTGAGTGCCGCCTGTCGTAGTAGCAATAGAATTCACGAATGAAACTTGCTGAAAGGAGCCATCCGAGACAGCGAATGCAACCTCCCACATAGGATGACCTTTACTGTCCTCAAGAATAACAGTAGCTGAAGGTTCAGAGCCCTCCTCGGCCCCTCGTTCACTAGCGATGGCTTTGGCATACATCTCGCAATACTTCTTGAAGTCTAGCTTGATGAGGTTGTCGTTGAGATAGACCTTGACGCCACGAACCGTACCGGCCATATCGTAAACTCGGCGGTAGAGCAATGACTCGAGGTCATCATCAATGCCGTCCGGCATACCGAACCTATCCCAGTCTGGTTTGAAGCTGACACGAACAAAATCACTGGTTTTGCTGCTGGTGATCTTGGCCTTTTCCATCTTTCCCATGTTGTCTCTCCACGTCTGCTTGTATCTCTTCCCGTTCTTCGAGTCCTGACACTCTAGGGTGAACTCAGTACTGAAAACGTTGCAAAGCTTAGCACCATAACCGTTACGACCACCGACAGTTTTCTTCTCCTCATCGTCGAAGTTGGAACCAGCAAGGAGATGACCGAAAACCATTTCCGGAATGTATACCTTCTCCTTATCGTGCATCTCCACTGGAATACCTTTGCCGTTGTTCTCGACTGTGATGCGGCCTTCTGCACGGTCTATGTTCACCTTCATGGTCGTCATCGTCTTGTCTCGCTGTTTGTTGTCTGCAGCGTTGACAAGAATTTCATCGAAGATTTTGTAGAGACCAGGCACAAACCCGACCTTTGGTCGAAGTTCCATTTGAGTAGTTTCCTTGTTGAAGACCCACATCTGCTGCTCAGTGCGCTCGACGGAACCAATGTATGTATCAGGTCGCTTGATGATATGTTCCAGCTGTGTCAACTTCTGGTACATCTCCGTGGCCGTCTTCTTCTTGGTGGGCTTCACGTCTTCTTCTTCATCATCGATCATCATACTATCATTCTCGATCTCGCCCAAAGGTGGGCCACTGGACTTTTTAGCCGCGGGGGCCTTCTTCTGTTTCTTAGCATTGGGAGGCGTGTTGGAAAAGCCCGAAACATCGTCATCATCATTGTCGCTATCAGGCTTAGAGCGCTTCTTAGGGGCAGCCTTGCTACCCTTAAGTGTTGTCTGAACCGTCTTCTTGGATGCAGCTTTAGGCTTCGCAGCTGGTTTCGCGGCGGCAGCCTTCTTGGTGGGAGCTTTAGCCTTAGACTTCTGTGGGATGGCGATATTAGCACTGTAGATCCGTGGAGGACATACGTGAGTAAGTGTGACTTGAGTAAAGAATAGTAAAAAACAAAAACTGCATGTCTTACCACCTCGGGGACGAAGCCATCATCTGACTCGTTTTCGAAGTCATCAAAGACCGACTCTGCCATATCGGAATCCATGATGGATGTTTAGTGGCACACGGCGCGTTCACACGCGGCGCGGCAGTATATAAGTTGATTGCTAGACGCGAATGACACTTGGTGAGTGTTTTGGAGGAGGGAAAGGAGCGCCGTAATTGACAAGAATTGCGAAAAGGGTTCATGAAAAGGAGAGATGTCAAGTGGGTTATGGTTGTGAATGCAAGGGTAGGAAGTAGAATTTAGAATGTTGGGGGTGTGTATGTGAGTATAAGGCGATCGCGCTGATATGCACTGTTTCTCTTTCCGTATCGAGTGAGGACACTGGGGGCACTGGGGACACTGGGGGGGGCGTTGAGGAAATTGCGGTGCTATTGGATGCACTGTAGTGTGTCACAGAAGGTAGCAAGGTTTGGTAAGGGTAGGCTTGTTGTTATTGTTTTATTGTTATATTATCAAGTGGATGTAAACAATTTCCATGTAAACTAGATTTTTCTGCTTCTCTTAACAGTAATCGCGTTCTGCAGCTACTTCTACGGAGAAGAGTGGGGCCAATCAAGCGAGCACCCCAGTGACTAGTACAAATACAGTTGGGCGCGTTTCCGGGTAATCATCGGCTGGTACACGTGTTGGGGTTTCGGTAAAAGTTACATCAATGATGTAACTAGTTAGTACCGTACTAGGTACTAGTACGTCAATGCAGCACTGGGCAGTCACTTTAACGAAGTATGCAACTAATAAGACTATTCATATTCTGGGTGAAGCATTCATTCATTCTACTACTAGTAGTACTCTCCTCCTTCAACAGCTCTTCAAGACATCATTCAATAGATATCACCACAATTTCATCACAATAAACCCATTATGTCACAACCAATATATACTAAGTATTCACACCAGCGTATTACCTAAAACCTACGTCTCCTAACACATATCGTGTAGGTAGGTAGGTAAGTAAGTATGGGCCTTGGAGTCATGGACTCGACTTACACCTGGGTAATGTAGGTACTGTAGCAGCATCCAGTATCGTTCGTATTCATCCCGCAGTCGTTCAGCCTAGGTTGACCTACATATACATGTCATGTACATACATGTTCAACGATTTAGTATAGGTACATGCGTAGATACCTAACCTAACCTACCTACATATGTAGTAGGTAGACATCTACACAACTATATGTACTCGTCCTACCACTACACACGGCCTTGCTAGGACACAGTCATTCTAGAATATTGAAGCAATTGGTGCGTAATTCTCCGCCCCGCATGTGCTGTGTGACATTCTCTAGTCGTGTTTCTCAAGAGAAATGCAGAAAGGCATAAAATTTCCCGAAGTCGACTGTACGTCCCCGTGGCTTTTGTTGCAAAGTCGCACTACGCATGGTGATCACTATGACCGTTTCCTGTCATCCTACGCTGTATCACAGCAGACAGCATGGCAATCAGCATCTGAAACTTTCCATCTTGCCGGAAGGAGCCTGGATGAGCCTCAGTCTTGTCCCCTTTGGGAAATAGAAGAGGCGAGAAACCCGACGAGGCCGGATCGTTAGTAGGTACATGCCATCTGCCTTGCTTGCCGCCGGTTCTATCTCCCGCGTCTATTCCAGAGCATCCAATGATGACTAGGATACCCTTTCCACCTTCCCGTCTACCGGAACCAGTGGGGCATATCAGCTCTGACATGACTTCCGATGACATTGAGAACTTCAATATTGATGAATAATTCCCATACACATATTCATGCAATCTTTCCTATGGGTATTTGACGAGCGGCTACAAAAGAAATTCACTTTCTCCGTTATAAATTGACTCACTATTAGCTAGATTTGATATCCCACGCTATCCGTTTACCGTGCCTGTTTGTTAGGTACTCCTTTGCGACAGAGCAATCTGCTTGGTGCTGTGAGTCTGGTAGCATAACGGAAAGCCGCAGGCTTTAATGTAGCTAGAACCACCACCTAGTGAGAGACATACCCAGGGCGCCGATGACTCGAGGCTTAGGCGTTCCACGAGGGTAGCTTACCTGCCGACCGCTCAGCTTCCAGCATTCTTCTACAATTCCCGGGGATTTATGAGGTGGATGAACATTAAGCGGCCTGGATGTCTCTACTACCTACCTAGTTACCTACCTAGTTACCTACCTAGGTGCCTATATCTAGGTACATGGGCAGTTGGGCAGACGAAAAGAGACATGTAAGAACTACTATGTATCCCGGTACACTGTAGCTGTTCCACTGGCGCCTCCCAAACAGCGCCATCTTTCTAGACAGACCGTACGTAGGTATGTATGTATATGTACTTTCTCGCCTGTAGCTCTACATGTGCCATGTGGTGTTTAGGTATCCACCTAGGTACTTTACCTCCCTAGGTAGTTATGTAAGATCCCCTTCTGCTCGACGGCACTTTACTACACTATCGACCTATGTGTAAATGACCATAATTTCACAGTTAGATGTGGCTGGCTCCGCTTCTGTGTCCCCGTCGGATGTATTGATCCCTCGTACGTAGCGCAACCCTTAGACCAAACGTGGGCTGGATGTGGTGACAGCTGCGACCTCCGCACTTATGACACTCACTGCCGACGGGAGGCCCCCCCCCTAAGGTACGTCTAGTGCTTCTCGAAATACTCACAGCGGTCTTTCAGTTGAGAGAAAGAGACCATACGTGGTCTCCGGATAGGCGCAGAGCTCTCCACCAGGTGAGTTGCCTTTGCGGCGGTCAAGCCCAAGACCTCTTTCTCGCTTCTTGTCTTGAATGAAAGAAAAGCGAAGGATTTCGCAGGTGAGGTGGTTTCGGAGTGCCCTCCTGGGCCTACTTCTCTACACTATGAGAGACAGCTGGGTACACGTGTGTCGAGTCTAGTAATGGTTGTCTAGGATTCAATATGCTTATCATAGACCTTTCTTTGTTCTACGCTCTTGGGAAACCCACCTAGCCTAGCAACTTTGGCGGCACTATATGCAGCTTCCCGTGAGGTTGCTTTCTGTCAAAACTCCTCTGTCCATTCCAAACAATCCTGGTCCCTGTTTGGGCTCTCTGTGAAAAGTATTTGCTGTGTCAAACTCATTTGTTGTCTCTAGGGACAGCTCTCTGCGTCATGCGGCCGCCTATGGTCGCCTGTGGTCGCCCCTTTCGGGCCAGCCATCTATACTGGTGAGATGTAATGAAACCGACCTTACCTCGATGCTGTCCTAGAATCCACGGATCGATGTGATACATCCAGTAATGCTTGGGACTATCTCGTCGGCAAGGCTCCGGAATCGAACGTATCGTTTGGCGATCTTGGGGTTTCTAGCTTCCGGAACGCTCCGTCAAGACGTCCCTCTGCCGGCCAGCGGACCTCCTTTTTCGCCTCCATTTTAACTCTCCCGGATCCGCCGTCTCTGAGATTGGATATACGCTTAGGAACGCTTCGGCCATTTCGCTGTCTCCCTTAACATTCACCCTGTCACATATCACTTCAGTAACTGAACTCGATCCTCTCCAAAAAGCGGTGGGTTTACACAAACGAGCTCCTCTACTCTCACAGGTCGATTCCAAGACATCTTCAACAAAGAAAATTGCACCGAATACCACGATTAACAAGGCAGCACTGGACACCGCTCAGGTGCTGTGCAGATGAGCTGCATGACTGGGTACAGTCAAGAAAGGAAGCAATCTCGGTCCCCTTGTACCAGCATGGGCTCGCCGTCTCGCGAGGGCGTGCTTCAGTAGTTCGTCTGTTTGCCAAATTCAAAAGGACTTGGTTTTCCTCTATCTTCTCCCTCTAACCTACTGATGCAAGCACTGCCTGTCTTGAGACTCCTTATCCAACCCTCCTCTGGACTATTCGTAGACAGCCACCCACACAACTTTTGCTTGCATCAGTACTCCATCCATATTCGAGACATCTTGTCCCCACTACCACTCACCGCCATGCTGTCACTGGCGTCTCTTCTTAATCCTGCCCCTCCAGGGCTGCCAATCACTCGGTTCCCTCCAAGCCCAGCCTCGTCGTCGTCTCCAACGACTTCTTTACGAGACGAGTCGGGTATCCTAGATGAGCCCACGATGGCGAAGCATAACATACCGAAAAGCCAGGCTCTCCTTCCCACAAGTAGGCCCAAGGGGATGATAAACTTCCGCCCCTTTGAGAGGCTAGACGAAAGCTCGCTCCACCAAGTTCGGATGTTCCGCGTCCATCCTTTCGGGAACATACAGGACCATTCCCGGCACATTCCATACAACAGCGGGAAGAAGGATTTCTTCGAGAAAACTGGCAGAGAAAGCTTTGAAGGTAAAGAGAAAAGAAGAAGAAGAAGAAAGAAACACAAAAGAATAAATTCTAGCCCCCCTTGTTGAGATTTGATAGTTGATTTTGTTGACCGGAACGTAGTATTCCAGTATGATTTCAAAGTGCCCGGGGACGAGCTCGATTATACCGTCATGTGGGACTATAACGTCGGCCTCGTCCGCATGACCCCTTTCTTCAAATGCTGCAAGTACCCAAAGGTAAGCCGATCGCTATAGGAGAGTGAAAAAAAAGGATATCTTATCTAGTTTGGTAGCTGACCCGAGCACTGTAGACGACACCAGCCAAGATGCTAAACCTGAATCCGGGGCTTAAAGAGATAACGCATAGCATTACAGGAGGCTCTATTATGGCTCAAGGTACGTGACCTACACGGGAAAGTTTCTATTTATACTAGCCATCAGGGGCTAGGGGCTAACAGATTTCTTCGAAAAGGCTACTGGATGCCATATCACTGTGCCAAAGCCGTGTGCGCAACATTCTGCCATAACATATCAGGTGCTCTGATACCAATTTTCGGCCCTGACTTTCCATCTCTTTGCACCCCTTCAGAAGCGCCAGAGTACAGCCGCATGATCATCGATCCGGCGATCGTGGCCCAGTCTACCAGGGACGCAGAACACTACCGTAGGTTATACAGTAACTCGATCACCTCTTCAGCCAACAACGGCAGGGCCAGCCCGCCAAGAGATAGGCGACCCGTATTCCGAACTCCCTACGACGACCCTCGACAAAACCACCACCATAATCACCATCAGCACCACCAACATCACCAGCATCACATCCCCCGCCGACACCAAGGACTAAAACCCTTCGTAGCGCCTCCTGGCTGCGACAGCCCCTACATCACAGACACAGACAGCAGCATACCCCCAGCCGCCGTCCCAGACCGCAGCAGCATGAGCCATCATCGCGAGCGATTATTCCCATACTCACCCGTCATCCCACCGCCACCCATAGTACCTTCTTCGTCTTCTACTACTTCTCTCCGACCCACCAGCAGCGGATGGACGCCCGCGAACGTGGTGCTCCCACACCACCACCACCACTACAACGCGCTGGGCCCCAGCCCCTGGCTAAGCGCCGTCCCGCGCTTCACCACCCCCGACCACCTGCCCCCTTACCCGCCCTCCTCGCACCCAATCCAACAGCAGACGCGGCAACCGCAACCGCAGGTATGGCGGGGAGCTAGCAAGCGGTCGGCTGAGCACGTGGAGGCGGATTACTACGATAATGCGCGAGGAAATAGGAATGCCGCTCCCACCGCCGTTACCACGGGCAGCAATGGCAGCGGCAGCAGCAGCAACGGTAGCACCACCAGAACACCCACGCTGATAACGGGCCCAAACCCCAACACCAGCCACCACCCCTCCATCCTCCCTCCACCCCAGGACATCATCCCCAACGGCAACGGCGACGGCGAGCACACAGCACACAAACCCACCATCCTCGGCGCAGACAAAAACGCAGCGCTCCTCCTAATGAACCTCAGCGTCCGAGACTCACGGTGCAACAACAACAACAACAACCACAGATGCGGTGGTCTCGTCACATCCGAGACGAACTCGCCCCGCGACGGCGCGTTTCCGCGGATCAAGAGGGTTAGGGCCAATTCCATGTAGCGAAGCAGGTAGAACTGGGGAGACGAATGGTAAAAAAAAAAAACCCCCAAATTTACTTTCCTACCTCGCCACCTTCATATAGGGGGGGAGGGGTTAATGGTGAATGAAGCCTGGGTAGGTATGCTGGACAGGTAGCTTAGGGAGGTAAGTACTACCCTGCTAGATCCAGGCAGACAAAGACGTTTTCGATATGGGAATAGATGGAACTTCAGGTGCCTAGACTGACTAGATGTAGAAAGGGTGACCCGGTCGGTCGCAGGCAGGCAAGTGTAAGCGAACAAAATAGGGGAATCAATACGTTTACGTTGGGGAAAGGGGGGGAGGGTGGGTTGAGTGTTTTGGCATCGGGATCGGATCGGATTGGAGCGAGGGCGCTCTGCGACGGCATCGGCTAGGTATTTAGGTGCCTATTCTAGGCCGTCAATGTAGGTAAATGGGCAAAATCACTATTGAGTTCTTGTACACTTCCTGAAGCGGACCCGTTACTCGTGCGCACTGGAAGTAGTTATTTTGGCACGTAGATACGTAGTAGTAGGAAAGGAGGTACATAGACGCCTGCTAGCGACTTATGCCTGCCTACCTGCCTATATCTCCCCTCCTTTTCCCCTTTTCCCCTTTTATTTTTTGTTTTCTTCTTTTCCTTTCCTTTTAACTCCGTTTATTCTCCGCCGCCTTCTTCATCTTGAACTCCGCCGCCCAGTCCGCCGCCTTCGGCTGGGGCAGCACAAAAACCCTCACAAGCTCATCCACGACCTCGACCTTGGGCGAGCACAGCGCCTTCAGCAGCCTTGCCTTCTTGCCCACTTTGATGAGCCCCCCCTCCACCGTCTCCATGTAGCACTCGACGCCTGACAGCGTGTACTCCGCCGCGCCGTCCCACGGCAGCGGGAAGACGTAGCTGAGGTGGTCGGCCAGCGTCTCGGTCGTGCGGAACTGCTTGATGAAGTCGGACTTGAGGTGGGCCGGGTAGAGCAGGACGACGGGGAGGCTGAGGTCGCTGGCGGGGTCGTCGGGGTTGGGCACGAGCTGGATCCCGGCGTCCTCCATCTCGGGGGGCTGCGCGGTGGTGCGCGTCCGGATGCCGCGCGCCTTGAGCGCCACGCGGACCAGCTGCGCCCGCATCTTCTCGCGCCCCACCCGCTCGTCTTCCTTCCGCTGCTTCTCCCGCGCCACCTCGCTTTTTTGTATGATCTGCTGCGCGAGCGCCTGCAGCGGCGCGTTCTTGCCCGAGGCGATGGCGAGACCCCGCGCGCACGTGTCGTCGGCCTCGGCGATGCGGCCTACGGCTAGGAACGCCTTCGCCGATCGGTAGTACGCCTTGATGTTCTGGTCATTGAGCCGCAGCGCCGCCGCGCCGTCGAGCCAGCAGCTGCGGTAGTTCTGTAGTTCTAGGTGGCACGCCGCGCGGTTCACGTACAGGGACTCAAGCATGGCTCTTTGGCTCTTGATCACGTCCTCCTCTGTCTCCTTTTCTTTCTCCCTTTCTCCTTCTTCTTTTACTTCTTCTTTAACGTCTTTTTCTTTCTCTGGCACGGTCTGCTGCTCACCTCGCGCGCGCTTCCGCTCCTCGGCGGCGAGGACTAAGACGCCCTTGGTGTAGAACTCCTTGGCATCGGCCCAACGCTTGATGCGGAAGCACTCGTTCCCGTGGTCTTTGAAGTCGGAGGCGACCTCGAGCGGTGTTCCCTCATACGCAAGAGCTTTGAGGGCCTCGGTGTCGTCGTTCTCCTCTAGCTCCGTCATGAAGAATGGGGTTCTCTTCAATTCTGCGACTACCTCATCCACCGTCTTCCGCTCGGTCATGGCCCGGCCCGGAGATAGCTCCGGAAATATAGCTGCCGGCGAAACTAACGCCGGCGCATTCTGCGATGTTGATTCTGTGGACTTTCCCTCGTCATGTTGTGCCTGGGGAGATTTGTTGCCCTCGGTTTCTTCAGAGAGCTTGAGGCGCTGTGCGACCTCGTCTGTTATTTCTTCAACATGCATATTGAGTTGTAGCCTCTTAGGCCCCTGATCTCTTTTCTTTTTTCTTTTTTCTTTCACAAATGCCCTTTATATCTAACTCTTGAAAACTGATATACCTCTCTTCGTAAGAAAGACGATAATAATGCGCTGTTTGTCAGGGGTTGTTATATTGACGTCGTTATACCTTTTTATGAAATTTCCAAGCTTTATATGTGATAATTTGTGGTTCGAGATGTCAATCAAGATTGTGTAAAGGTCAAGATGCCTCCGATCGAGACCTAAAGCATGTAAGGTTAAGGCATACTAAGCTATCTGGATAAGTACATAATCTAGATATTTATATTGAAATAACTACGGCTTAGCCTTATGGATCCATACTTAACACATGATATGCAAGTAAAACATTATTATGAGAGCCCCTGTAGATACCTATATAATCTTCATGTAAAGATATCACGATTCGCTTTGGGTAGGTGATAGTAAGTAATATACCTATATGCCGGTCCTTTACAAAATTACACCTCTTTTAACTATGGTCTATTTAGAATTCTATTTTTTCTATCAACCACTCCACCTTTTAACTACCCTAAGGTACCTATGCGACAACATCATTCGCTGCAGTCTCCCTCTTCGCCTCATCACCCGCCGCCTCCGTCTTGGACCCGTTGACCTCCCGTAGCGCCTGCTCTATCGCTGCCAAAAACCTTGTAACCTCCTCTTCCGTGCCCACCGTGATCCGCAGACATCCAAAGCACCCGTGCTCCTTGCCCCTGAACCTCACCACCACGCTCTTGTCCTCCGCCAGCGTCTCGTAGACCGCCAGCGCCGTCACGTTGTCCGGCTTGCCCTCTGCGTTCAGCATCTCGTACAGCAAGAAGTTGCTGTCCGTGCCGCCGCGGAGCCGGCCCACGCCCTGGATCTTGGGCAGCTCCGCGAGCAGTCTGGCGCGCTGCGCCACGAGCTTGGCCTTGTTGGCTTCCACCGTCGCGAGGCCTTGCTCGGAGACGACGTAGGATGCGAGCGCGCTGGTCGGGCTGGAGATGTTGTACGGCGCCTTGAGGCTGTTGAGCAGGCGCGCGACGGGCGGTGCCGCGAAGGCTGCGCCGAGTCGGATGCCCGCCATGCCGAACCCCTTGGATAGCGTCTGCATGACGACCAAGTTAGGCCACTCGGCCACCCATTCCGCCAACGATGTTCCGTCTGGCGCAAAGTCGACGTAGGCCTCGTCGAGAACCAAAATACCGTTCCAGGTTGGGTGCTCTAAGATCGGCTTGACATCTTCCTTGGCCAGTACCGTGCCTGTGGGGTTTCCCGGGGTGCATAGGTATACCATCTTGATATTGTTCTCGGTTGACAGTGCCTCCAAAACATTGGCTACGTCTAGTGCGAACGTTGGGGCTGGTAATAGGGGCACCTTAACTAACCCCACGTCGTTCACCTGCGCCGAAACGGAATACATGCCGTACGTCGGAGGGCAAACTAAGATACGGTCCTTCCCGGGCACACAGAAGCATCGTAGCAGCGCATCGATGGCCTCGTCACTGCCAACACCGACGAATAGGTTATCCGGCGTGATGGACTTGCTCGTGTGGCTGTGCTTGTTGCGCAAGTTGCAAAGCAGCTGCTTTAGATCCCGTTGGTGGGGGTCTGGGTATCTGTGCAAGCCTAGGAAATCTATCTCGGCCCCGACGCCATTGGAAGCAGCCGACACGGTACCCGGTGTTAAGGGTGGGCCATAGGCATTCTCGTTGGCGTCAAGAAGAATGTTTGTTCCATCATCCTTATAATCGCTATGATAATGTTAGTATGTGAAGCAAGTAAATGTATATCCTGAGATATAGGGGGGCGACTCTTACTCCCGCGCACAGCGATACGGTTCTAGAGCCAAGATGTTGGCTCTTGCACATGTCTCAAGATTGAAGGGCGACATGATTTTTTCCAAGTCTACCTAGATTCCTAGGTGCCTGATTATCCTCCTAAATTTGGGTTCCTTATAAATTTTCACGAATATAACTTATAACTGAAGCTTGGTTTAAATTTTGAATTTAATGAATTGGAGATTAAATATTGCCCACCAAAGTAATGGATAGTGAATAATACTAGGTTACATATATAATAATACTACAATATTAACTAATAATAATATCTATTAACCGTTCTCACCGCCTTTTACAACACCCCCCCATTTATAACACCAAACCACAACTTACCCTTCTTTTATTTTTTTTCATATTACCATAACCACATATCTTAAAATTAAAAAAAATGCTAAATCATAAAAAACATAAACAACGTATATTTTAGGTTATATAAAATATATAAAATGGCATGTTTATTAAAAAAACAATTATAAAATATAACGTTATACCTTTTATTATATCGTAACGACTTAAAAAAATAAAAAATCACCATTTAACGATTAAGTATTTTTAAAAATTAAATATAAGGTAAAAATAAATAATTATTTTTTAAATATTACATAAAAAAATATGTTAAAAGAACCCTTATAAAACGTTATATAACCGGTTTTATAAAAAAAATATTAAAAAGCTAAAATAATAATAAAGTTATTAAATTAAATTAAGTTAACTAATTTATATAACGCTATCTTAATATTAAAATTAAAATAAAAAAACCTATAAATACCTTATATATAAAATTAAATAATTTTAATAAGGTTCGTAAATTTTATACTTATTTAAAACAAATTTAAAAATATTATAATATTACCTTTTAACATAAATATAATATAAATAAAATTAAAATATAAAAAAATAAAAACGATAAAAATACGATAATTAAAAACTTTTAATTTACTCGTACACATATTTTTAAATTAAATATATTATTATAAGTTATATTTTTTAAATATATAAAATTAAAAAAATCTTATAACACTTTAGTTTATATTTATAATAATTATAAACCTTAAACGCAATATTATAACAAAAAAATACTTAAATAAAAATTTATAACAATTAAAAAAAATAAAATAAATAAAATTATAACTAATAAATAATTAAAAAAGATATTTCTTATTAAGATAAAGCTTAAAACCCCTACGTAAAAACTCTTTATATTAAATAATTATATAATATATATACACCTTAAATTTATATAAAAAACATAGTAAAATAATTTAACATTAATTTATTTACCCTTATATATTAACAACGATATATAACCACTTAATATAAATATATTTTCATTTTTAAAGTAACATTATTAACATAAAAATAAAAAATATAATTTATTTAAAATAATAACATTAATATATAAGCAACGTATAATTAATATATATTAAAAGGTTAATAAAAAAACGTTTACGTTACATAATATACGTTTAAGTTAAAAAAAAGCTAATTTATAACCATTAAATCCGGATATAATAATTTAAAATTAACTTTATATATTTAACTTTATATACTTAAACGTACCGTTAAATACACCGCTTTATAAATTACTTAAAACATATCATAAAACTTTTAAAAACTTAAATAACCTTATAAAACAATTACGTAATATTAAAAAATAATTAGGGGGGGTAAATTATAACATATGAAATATAATTATTAAAATTAATAAAGTTATTTTTAATATAAACGTTAAATATAATAAATTTAAAATAAAAAATAAATAAATACGTTTAACTTTTAAAGAATTTACTTTTAACATACATTAGCTAGTTAAGCTTAATCTAAATAAAATCTTTTTTAACTTTTTAAAAATTAAAATAACTTAAAAAAAAAAAAACAAAAAATTACCAGTTTTTTAAATATAAAAACAATTAAATATTAACTCTTTTATTAAACATAATAATAATATTAATCGGAAACATATAAAAAACAGATAAATAATTTTTATTATTTAATTAAATATGATTTACTATCGCAATTACATAATATATTTAAATAATGCTATTTAAGTTAATGTTGCAAATGGGGGTGTGTTGCAAAAGGCGGTGAGAACGGTTAATTGGCTCCGATCGGAGGGAAAACTTCAATTGACTCATTAACTTGCGGGCATTAATACTGTTTATAAGCATAAATATGATAACCTAACCTATAGACGGGGACTTGACACAATCGATGACTCCCAAAACTCGATAAAGAATTGTTTACTTCGAAGTTGTAACTACATGATGACTTTAACTAATAAATAATGGTCATCTTAACAAAAAACAGTATTTACATGGCAATAAACAAAAAAAAAAAACAAGAATCTCTCAGACGCAATCCAAGTTTCTAATAATAGGTACACAATATCTACCCTGTGAAGTTCGGGGTTGCCCCCCCCCTTAACCTCTCTAAAAATAGGGGGGGGCTTTCAAGAACTCCATCTTCCGAATTTATCCATAGCAAAAATATAAACGCCACCTCCAATCTCTATACTAATTTGTTATATCTCAAATATTATGTTTCATCTCATAAGAAGTTAAGAATCAGGACTGAGCCTGATAAAACCAGCATAACCCATCGCGAGCCAGCCGGTGCAATACCGTCAGGCGAATCGGACCGCTTCGCTGGTGATGTGGCCGCCGCCGGGTTCGTTGTCGCTACGGGCGGAGGAATGCCCAAGCCCTTCACATGTTTGATCTCGCCCGCTTTATACGGGGGTGAAGCCTCCTGCGCGAGAAGACCCTGGACGGTCTCCAGCGCCGTCATCTGCTGGCCCAGCCCATCCACGCCATCGAAGCCCCCGACATACCATTTCTGCCCACACACTGTGCCATTGTTCCCGCCAGAACACGCCTTGGCGGCCGCAACGGCGGAGGTGTTGAGGAGTGTCTGGACGCGGGGCAGGGTCGAGGGCATCATGCGCGTCGTCGCCCACATGAAGCGCGACAGGTAGCCCTTGAACGACTTCATGTCGACCGAGCAGGATCCGAAAGGCTCGCAAGCATGCTCGTACATGATGTTGGTTGCGTTCTCGTAGGGGCTGAAGTACGAGTCCGCCGCCTTGAGGAGACCAGCCGTGCGATCCCCCCACGTCTTGTCGCCGTTGGTGTAGTTGTAGAGCACCGCAGCGCCGTACAGGTAGATCCCCTGCGAGTACGAGAACGACTCGTTGTTCCGCGCGGTGCAGTTGTCCTTAATATCGGCGCCGTCGTATACGTTGAAGCCCGAGTCCACGAACCCGACTTGCTCCGACCAGCCCCACACCTTCTGCGCCCACTGGTGATATGTGTCGTTGCCGGTTGCCCGCGCAAGCCGTGCGGAGAGCTGGAAGAAGCCACCGTTGGATACGCTGTTCTTGTACGTCAGGCCGTTGGGGTTCGACTCGAAGATCTGCCAGAGGAGCCCGCCTCCGCAGTGCGCCGTGTTCCACCGGGCCACCATGGTGCTCCAGATATTGACCGCCATTTCCAGCCAAGAAGGGACACAGTCGTTGGGCTGAGGGAAGTTCCGCTCGGCGGCGTTGAGGACAGCGAAGGACCAAAAGGCCTGGTCATCGTTGCCCTCGGAGCCGTAGTGTTGCGGCACCATGAAATCAAACTTGGGACCGACTTGGGAGAGTAACGCCTGCGTGATGACTTCGTCGTAGCTGGAATCTCCCGTGTAATGCGAGTAATCCAGCATCGCCCCCCAGGCGGCACCTGCTTGCCACCAGTCTACAGATTCGAGTTAGTCAATGCCTGAGGTACTAGGGTACTTACCGAGGTACTCATGTATGAAGAAAGGGGACAAAGGGCTACGCAGGTCTTACAATGTGGTGGAGGGAAAACAGCAATAGTCTAATTTACGGCATGTTAGTTCTGGCCCAGGCAACGCCAAATTTGGGGAACATGGTATTTGCTTACCTCTGGAGTGTTTGTCACGTTCCCGGTGTAATTTGCCATAGTTCCATAAGCCAGCGTACTAGCTACACTGCGTATGGAAGCTGTGCATGTTAGTGTACGTTGTCTAGGTAGTGTCGCGCCGGAAGGGCTGGCGAGGAGGGGAAAAGAAAAGGGGGGTGGGGGGCTTACTTTGATTGTTAATATCAATATCCTTAGGTGGTATAAATGCTGCTGCCAACGCAGCAGCGCGGATAGATTTCATGAACATGTTTGCTTTTCTTGCCGAAAACGAGTGTAGGTATCGGCCAGTGATCTTAAAGTTGTATTCCTATACTGTAGATTCGGAAATTGCGAGGTTTATTCAGTACCCTGAACAGTTGCTTGCAGTTTCACTTTTCGAGAGCCAAGAGGAATTATGAATTAGGTGTAAAGTAGGTAGTGAAGGATCCTATGTGAGGAGAGGATGCCAAAAATGAACGAGGTGTACAAGTAGTACTAGGTACGGAACAATGATGGAAAATAATGTTGTCTTTTAGGTACGATGCAGGTGGCGGATGAGTGAACATCCACAGGATGTACAAGAAGTCCTGTCGCCATTGTTCAACTCACAACAAGCTACGAAAAGAGTGAGTAGAAAGGAAACGGAAAGAACAATCACTCCTAGTCGAACAAGAAAAAAAAGACATCAAAGAAAAAGAGACTTCATGTTGTGACTGTCTGATTCGATGTGACGTGTGAGCGGGAAACAACAAGTTTTCATTCATATTTCGAAGTAGTCATGGGCAAAGTAAGTAATATTGAGCATAGCAAGCTTGTAAGTCAAGCTCTTTCAACATCGATCGTCATCTGAATTACATGTAGCTATTGATAGATGTATAAGCACTTAATAAATCAACTAGGTACATCAATACTAAAAGATATGAAATAACTGTTTGGGGAGCAGGCGTCGTCAAGGAGTCAAGGAAGTGCAACTGGTTCTTGATAGAACTTGCAACTTCTTTTGGACGCCCTATCTAGCTTTAGTAGTGCAGCATTGGAAAGTGTCTTCTTTAGAGTCCTATATGTACTTTCCATTCCCAACCAGGAACTACATTATCGAATATCTTCCAAGGCAATAGCAGGTAACCTCGGTAGGTAGGGTAGACTGGTGTCGATGCTTGCACATGCACACCCAGTCGCTATCACAAAATTGTAACAAGAACAGCAAGAACATACCGTCCACACATTGCATTCAATGCGTGAACCGTTTTGACGCCGAATATACCTACTTAGTGCTGTAACATCGAGGTCCTAGGCCAGTCTGCCGTGCTACTATGATAAACTGGTGGCTTTACTCATCTCCCCTGCGATGATGCGGAAGATGGCATGTATCGATCATGTACTAGGAAATAGGACTGCCGAGTCCAGCATACAACACAAAGTGATACATGCGCCTGTTAGCAATGCGAATGAGGGTACACTCGAACACAGCGGTACGTGGGTCGTACAGATCACATTAGCAATATCAACATCCCTTGACAAACTTACACAACTAAGGCAACATTGTTCTACAAATTTGATAATTGTCACAGGTCTATCTAGAGCAGTGGCAGAGAAGAGATACAGGTAACAGCTAAGAGGCAGTGCTATGTAGGTAAGCGGAGGTGATGGCGAGGGGGGCGTGTATGGTTTGGCGTTATTGAGATCCATGATAGGTACCTACTCTCGACGGGTGCCAATATAGGAGATAGACAACATGGAGTTGTCTGTTTAACATCTTTAAGATATAGAGAATTTCGGTATTTGGGACGAGGAATCATCGCGGTTTCTGGTTAGCTACACGTACCTAGCTACCTCCCTAGTACGTAGAAGTGATAGGGGTAAAGGTCAATGGTCTAGTAGAAGGTAACGTATCGAAATTCCAGCCAAAGCTAGCATGAATGTGCCGATTGACGGCTTGTAAAGTTGACTGTATGATATAATTCAACGTTGACACTATAAATCCAAGACTGTGGATCTACCTACCTACCTGAGTAGGCCAGCTGTTGACAATCGTCATCGACCAACCCTATGGATATCTACTCGACTCTAACACCCGGTGTTTCAACCCTCATTTTCAAGGTGCTAGCTAAAAGAAGTATATATACCAGACTTTGAGCTATTTTAAACGGGAGGCTCGAGCTATACTAGCCACAACGGATATTTCACGCTGAGTATAAGTTAACATTCTATTGCACTGGTTAGGCAGCAACCTAATCTGTGACGTCTCGTTTGATGGCCCATTGACTAGACGCTACCGCATAAAAGCAGCAAGCGTAAACTTTGCGGGATCTGATAGAAGGCTATGACCTCTTGTGGGCATGCTTACGACGTAAACGGCCCGTGTCCACATGGCGGGAATCTAACGGCGTTTCCAACACCGGGTCTGAACACCAGAGCCGCAGCGCATAAGTGTCCTGGGCGTTGAAAGCTTGACAACGTAACGCTGCCACCGACACCGACGTCGTCATAGAACGTTCCGTTTTGTCTAAATTCGGGCTGATCGTAGACCTCAAGGTTCCTGCTCACTATGGGATAGGGGCTTCTGGCTACGCCTAGTCCTGATCCGAACCTGGAGTGCCGCAGAAACGGCCAAGGGAAACTCGCAGTTTGGACGATGCCCATTGAGAGAGTTATTAAGTTGATCGTCATGAAGAGGTCTCATTCATTCCATCACGCCCTGGCTCTGGATTACGACGTTCTCCACAACACCGAACCCTAAACATGACAATTTCCGAATAGTCTTTGGCAGATGTTTTACGACGCATTGTGCAGAGAGTCTGTTCCCACGGCGTCGACGATGTATAAGAGAGGAACATAGTATGCCCCATCTCCTCTCTTTCCAAATTCACATCCAGTCCAACATCCACCTTCCCAGTACATTCACTATTTACCTTTCCAACGCCAAAATGAAGTTCATCACGCTCTTAGGTCTTGCCGCGACAGCCCTGGCCATGCCATACGGCGAGCTTCCCTGGGATGACCTGATCTGCACGCCCCCGGAGTACATCTGCAAGCCCGACTTCACTGGCTGGCTCGTCTGCAACGTGGACGGCCACTACCTTGTAAGCCCAACTTCGTGTGTGTTATACAATTCTCGTGAATCCCCCTCTGACGACTACTTACTTACAGGATGGTGGAAACTGCGATGGGGACACGTGGTGCGAGTACATCAACGACCTGCCGTACTGCGTTTAAGCATTGATGATGCAGTTCGGGATGATAGAGAGGGGGGAATAGGGGGGAAAAGTTTGTCCTACTACTATGTTGATTAACCGGGACCTGTTCACTGTTCCTAGGGGTTGGATAGAGAGATTTTGGCTAGGAATATTTAATAGGGGCTGTTTTATGACTTGTATACCTACGAAGGATACCTCTTCATCATCAAAATAAGTTCGGTTTATGCCACGCGCAGAGTGTCGATATGAAAGCCTACTAGCTTTAATCAGTCTTGTTAGAATCTAGGCATATATTGAAGAACAAGATGTTGTCATTACCGAGATGAGGAACATAGTTCTACTCTTTGATGTAGACTGTGTATCTTGGAGATGCAAGGCTACCTAGTAGGTAGTACCTACCTTGCCTGATAGGTATCTAAATTCAATCGTCCAGATTATCATTATATTCCTTCAAGCCTGGCGCTCCTGGCTTGGCTTCTTCTCTTTATCATCTGGTTTGTCTTTCTTATGCCACCTCTGTAGGACGATGGCGAGGTTCTTGCTCCCAACGACAACACACCATTCACCACCGGCGCTCCAAGCAACTTGGCGTCCAACAAAGTCCTTGACAGTGATGTTGCTCTGTGCGTGCGCTCTGATCGGCTCCTCTACACGAGTCATATCATATTTCAGTTCCCACGATTCTAATGTTTCCTGTGAGTAGTTTGTGTTTAGATCTATGTGCGTTTCGATGTCAACGCTACCAGTTCGACCTGATGCAACCGACTCCCTATCGCTAGCGGCATCCTTGAGTTTGCTGACAGCATCGCCCTTGTGCCTATGCTGAATCGGTGCCAGCCATCCCGGTCGATGGATGGGTTGAGATTTATCACGATCTGGATCATTGACCTCGCTGATGAAGTCATGGTAACTCCCTAGGCGCGCAAGATCCCAGAAAAATATCATAGCCTTCGCATTTCCAAAAGCTAGGACTGGATGCTTATCTTTATCATGGAAGAGCTTAAAGCGGAGGTAGAATTGATGGCCACAATGCGGCGTCCAAAATTCTAGTAGACGGGTGTATTGAGGCGGACATGCTGATGCTGTCGCGGGAGCAAATGCGGAACGTGTTAGACGTTCCGTATCACTTGTGGTGGGTGCCTGAGATATGTCAGGAGGGGGATCACGAGATGAGAATCCTTCAATCTTCCATAGAACTATGATGTCTTCGTGGCAAGCTCGCGATAAAACGAGATCGCCAAAGAAAGCTACGCTATAATGCTGTTAAAATCATTGGACATCATCATAAGCGACGGGATGACAACTCACCAGTCCACTATACCGCTATGCACTTCGGAGGTGAAGAAGTGAGGATAATGAATCAGAATAGGCTTTTGGGGGTTCTCGCCGTTAGGTTCGGGCGGCAAGTCAGGTAGTGTCCACTGATAAGAGTTAATAGGGGTAAGTAGTGTGATGTATATTGCCAGTTGAACCTCGCGGTCATGTACATACCAAACAGATAACATTATCGTGGCCAGCAGAAAGGACATATCGGCCACTGTTATGGAATGCCTTGTGAATATAGTTAGTTCCGAAAAACCATGACAGTGGGCCGAGAGACGTACAACAGTCAATAGTCCAGAGGAGTGGCCTTCGCCAGCAAGAAGGCAAACACATGGCTGCTTGGAGTGTGCAGGATCGAGACTCCATATTCGAACAGTTGTATCTTCTGATGCAGACGCGACAAGTAAGAAATTAGTTGGGCATGTAGCAAGGTCGTTGATTTCCTTCCAGGTATGTTAGCTAGAGGTGGACTTTCCAATAATTCATGCTTCTTAACTCACTCCTCCGTGGCCTACAAGAACCTACACAACGTGTTAGTCAATGCTACTGTAGTAGATTATGTGACATTTCTCTGACCTTAACTAGTGTCCCATGAATAACATCGTACACCTTAATTTTAGCATCTCTGCCGGCTACGCATAGATAGGGAACTTCTGTCTCAGGATCTTTGGTCCAGGTACAGCTACAGTTTAAGGCTTCTTTCTACATAGCTGTCAGTTGTGCTGTAGGTTTGATTATTGGAGACAACCCACGTCATCGTCTCTAAAGAGCTGAACTAGCTCATAAGGAGGATTGGCTTTGCTGGAAAGCCGATAAATGACAACATGCTTCTTGCTGACAGCTGCAAAGACTGGGTCATGTGTGGCGTCTCCGTAGGGGTAGAATTTTACATCAAAGAACTCTGTTGATATAAGTTAGAGAGGCTCTCTTGCATTACCTAAGATAGTTTGGATGTATTGGTTACCTGTATCTTGATCATCTGAGGCTAAGTACTGGAAGTCATCCTGTATAGTGGTGGCTGATGAGTAACTAGGTAGCTTGGATCATTCAAAGATAGTTGGGTTTAAGGGCCTCACCTCGAAGCCGATGGAGGCTTTTAGACGGGGGAGGTCCCACTCATCACTGCTGACCGCTGATGGCATCCCGAAAGTACGGTACGTGTTGCATAGTTCGGCAGCACCTATCTAACCATTCAGGGGGGCGTTACTTGGTCTGGCACTATGTCAGTGTGGTAAGTGTAAGGACGTGAAGTTTAACTGCTTACTCGGAGATGTGATTTGCGCTAGGAGATCATGCGCAATGCAAAACATCGGTTGACGGATGGTTCATTCGGAATTCTAGGATGTAAACTGAATAGTGTTACAAGCTTGATAGATGATATTCGGAGATGGTGGCCGACAATGTTCTACTATACGTTGTATGTTCAGTAATCAATTATTTTAGGTTAGGGGGGCTTGCAGCTTTCAAGGTCTTTCTTTGGGTTCTTTGGGTTCTGGGGGCCCGGGATTTGGGGACTTGGTAATTAACTTGGTAACTACCTAGGTACACTACACTAAGGTTAGCTTAGTCGGGACTAACTACTAGTCTACTACACTAGGCTTGTGGACAATGGACATCAGCTTTAGAACTTTGGGGTCTGTGTTACATTACAATGGAGCCACAATAGGTAGCCAGTACTAGCCACGACTGTGTAGCTTCTTCGAGGTTAGTAAGATACTACATAAGATACCGGTACTACCTACATTTGAACCCAGCTTGGTACCCAAATAACTGCATTTTAAAATGCACATACACATGCATTTGGCTCGACAAACAGCACGTATAATGTTTTCATTATTTCCAAACTGCATATCAATGTGTGTCTTGAGATAACTGCTCACATTAAGGTCCACACACAAAATTGAAGTTGTTAACGAATGTCTCATATATTCCTCAAGATATACATGTATACATGCACACAATGTTAAAGTATCACAGTAGGCAATAGGTATACATTCACACACATCGATACATTATGTACCATAGCATTATCTCCAACCTCGAATTTACCAAGGTTAAGAGCTCTTCAGCCGCTAGCTTACCCTGAAATCTTACACCGATCCCGAGCATCCCAGAATCAGCCCAACTTATTTGCCTGCGGTATTAGATGAAGACCCTAGCCTAACGAATAGATTCACTGACACACCTACATATGTATGAATAAGAATGAAAGATATCATAAAGTCTAGTTTCTCACCCATATAACATTGTTACACTGCATGTATACACGTATAATTCACGTATAACAGGCTTGAGATGAGATGTTCACATGCGATTGCTTGTAAGCAGCGGTTCCGTGGTATGGGGTGCATTGTGGTGGTAAAGGATAATGACGACAATATACCTACCAGATGTGTGATATGCTAGGACACAGTCGCGATTGGATACCACAGACGTTAACATGCGGCACAGCAGTGTTGAGGTTGCGTTCCATCTCGGACTTGTGCCTTCGCCACGATTTATAGTCTTGGTCCTGGGATAGGGCATCGTCATGCCTGGTATCTTGTTAGGATCTTTCCATGTTAGCTATTATCTACCCAAGTACGTCTATATAGCGACTATTCCGTTTTTGTATAGCTACCAGACATTAGTACATAATAGTAGGTAGTTTAATGTTACTACATATCAACATGCGTACATATGTAGTTAATACTACGCCGTAACTATCATCTGGCATTTAGATAATAGCATGCCTACCTATGTAGGTACATATCATTTCTTATTTCTTGGCGTCTTCGGAAGCTAGGATGCCGAACTGCTTTATAACACTAAATGCGGGCTTGATATTTTTAAACCTCCATATATAATTACATATGTTGGCGATTCGTGTCAAGGAACATTCCGTGATGCAGGTCGCTCACCTACTTATTCTGCGCCAATCAGAGCTCTCCGATGGGCACAGCGGTCTAGGGAAGTTCAACATCGAAGTCCAAGCTTTGACATTTACGGACCAAACTTCTCCAATCGTGCCAGGGCATACCTAGGCAGCTAGGTGTACGTTGTAAATTAATCTCGAACGAAACCTCTAGCCACGTGGGAAATGGATTTGACTAATGGGTTAAATCCTTTCGATTTAGAGTAACCTGGGGACATATAGGTATCGGTTTATTTCTTCAATACAAATCGAGCCAGGATATCACCATTTGACGACTGATCCATGGGAATTTCTTCGACAGTGTAACCTCAAATAGGAGTGCTGATTATTAATGGGATACCTGTATTCTTGTTATTAGGTACCTACTATGTATAATGCCATGTAAGTGAGATTCAGCAATAACTACATGTAGGCACTATTTGAAGGTCTAGTAGTTATAGTTACATTTACATCAACATTAAATCATTCCTACTGTTACTCGTGACTCTAGAAGACGCTTGTGAAATAGGGTATCAAAGTCTGTATACGACCTGACATGGAGTTTTAAACTCGACTTGAGAAACCTCCTATCATCAAAGCATACTTGCATCAATGATAGTACCGTTGGCCCAGGATAGGTAACTACGTAGGGCCGTTGTAGGCACTACCTAAGATGATATGTATCTAGCTACGGGTACCTAAGGTAGGGAGGAGCGAAACGTGCGACTTGTTTAGGACCAGGTCATAATGAATCCTAGCAGCAGATCCCCAAGAACCCAGCCTACTACGAATACAAGTCGCTTAAGCTTTCCCAGGTTAATTCTACAGCTCGAAGATCCCTGTTCTTTCAGATTTCCATGTTGAATGTTAGGTTTGCGCGGAATTGAACCTCGATTCATTCACGCCGCATCCATACCTAACATATGCATCTACTTATACCTACCTACCTATTCAAGTATCTATATACACTTCTAATATGAGCTGACTATACTGCGTATTTAGATGTCTTGCATATCTCCTCACTATAAATATACAATTTTGAAAATTTTACAACTTATACGAACCATTTAATCATGGTAACGTGTAAATTAAGTCGGTATTTACTCCTACCAGACTTCCTTCAAGTATTTAATATCCTAACCTAGGTACATATACAGACGTATATAGGTATATATGCGTGTGTATTACGATTATAATGGCCGGCCCACTACTGCATACTAGCGTAGGCACCTATGTACATGATGTAGGTACAAAGTTTACTATAAACTGAGTATGCGGTCTGTACCTATGTAGGAAGTTCTACCAGGAACTGGAGTTACTGGACCCTGTGTTTAGTCTGTATCTGTTTGGAAGTGGATAGCAAAGCTCGTACTTACACAGTAACTAGAACCAGGCCTTATGTTGTCTTGGTAGTAAAATCATATATAAACTATCTCTATCAAGTGCCTATGTAGATATATTCAATGTTATACTATTTTTACATGTAGGTATGTAAGTACATGCAGTTCTTCTCGTGGTAAACTGAAGTAATACATACATATATATATGTATGTACTAAGGTGCCGAGAGAATAGGGCGGAATGAACGCGGCACGCTAGTCAAGCGAACAACGGGTTAAGAAAAAAAAGTCCCTGGGCCCTGGGGAGTTGCCATAATGTCTACATACATGTTAATAGCAAATAGCAGATAACATGGGTCATTCAAAGGTGGAAATGACGAGACGTCGCGCTACCTGCATTACCGAGCGCTTAATGTATTAGTATACACTATATACACTAGTGGGAGTGGGGGAGAGTATGTACTTTCCAAGGTTTGTATACAATGTATCTAGGGTACCTAGTTGTACTCCAGCTGTAATAAGGAAGCAACGAGCTACTCTGCCGGTGGCATTGGCAAATGGGAGTGCGTTCTGCTTACATATATGGTAGGTACTATGTATGTATTAGGCGTAAAGAGTGTAAAGAATGTAAAGAGCGTTAAAGACATTTAGACAACACAGCAGCCTCCCAAATTGAGTCCCAAATTCTGTGACTAACTTAAAACTTTCAAACCCTTCACCAGCTTTTTTTCTGGTCCAACCCTACAACCTCCTCTACCTAGGACCTACCTACATGTAAGTACATACATAGCTGCACCACCCGCTCACTTTTTCTTCATTCTTTTTTTTTTCTAACTTTGCTCTTTATAAGTTACCCTCACTCGACTCAACTCCCTTCGTCATTCGTTTTTTCACAAAGTAAAGCAAGGGGGAATAATAATAATTAAAAAGGGGATCCGACTATTAGGCCTCAATAACTGTTATCCCCGCTATCCGCTTGCCCAAACTCCGCCGGACACGGAAATTTGTTCATGTTCGAATGATCCGGGCTCCCACTTAAGCCCAGCCCTACAAGTCAGGTATTGGACAAACCGCTGGCCCTGGATGTCCTATCTGATCGCCCCATTCCATATAACCGGTATACCTACTCAGTGGCTACCAGTGCCCTCTTGCATTGCGTATGCCGGTCCCTGCTCATCGCTGCACCGAGCCGAATAGCTAGAAGCCGTTGTGACACCTCAAGCGACGACCCTTTTGGCTTCCTATTACGACTTGTGTAGGGGTAGAGGAAACCTGGCAAAACCTCACCACCGTCTTCCGTACCGAGGCGACCAATCTCAATCTCGCCATCTTGTCCTGGACATTACACCAAGTCTGTTCTGGGGCCTGCTTGTATGACTTGCCCACCTATCCGACGGTGACGGCGGGATCTGTGTCATACAATACTCGGTTATCCAGAGACATCTTGTTGGCTCATCCGCTTGAGCCTTTCCATAATTGTCCTGAACAACCGACTCCCAATTCAAGCTTGCGAAACACGAGTTTCGGAACTTACCACTTCATCAGATTTGCTTCTGGGACCACCTTGGAACACGACACACCCTGTTTATCCTCGGGTTTTTGTTGGCGCCGTCCGAAACAAGCATTTAGCTGGTGCTGGTGCTGGTTGACTCTTTAAAAAAAAAGTCTTGGCTAATGGTTCGGAGACCCCAAATCAGTTCTTCTTCGTTGAACAACAGTAGCATCTTCCGGGAGATTGGACATCGAACCAAATGGAGCAGACTTTCATGACCATCCACAGTTAGTACCTTCGATGCTTGAACATTATAGAGGCGGCATACTTTGAGGGCCACCTTTTATCGACAATGCTCGACTGGTTGGGCAACGGCTAATAGTTCTTAACCTACAGACCTGTCGCCCGACGCCAACATTCTCTTTGTGTCCGATTCCGTGGCTGATATCTTGGGATACCAACCCCAAGATGTGCAGGGGAAATCATGCTTCGATTACTTCCACCCCGACGAAGTGCCATTTGCGCGCTCTATCCACAGCAGGGGTGTCCTACTCGACAAAGCCGCTGTTCTCCACTACGCCCGGGTCATGTCGAGCGATGGGCAGTGGATTAGCTGCGAATGTTGCTTCACGATAGTCCATGATGTTTTGGTAGCTTCTACGAGTGTTTATCGGCGTGGAGAAAGGAGTAAAAGTGTGTTCTGGGTGCCTTATCATAACATAACCGAGGTTGTCCTAAGTTGCTAACGGTTTGGCAGGACGGGCGATAGAAGCACCCCAAATTCGGCGGATCTTCTCGTCTTCGCCAAGAGACCCTCGCTACCACATGCTCGAGCACCTATCGCCCAAGTTCAAGATGCAACCAATGGAGAGGGAACCTCGTGCTGCTCTTATCCTCAACAGGTTCACCAGAACACTGACAGTAATGTTTGCGACCAATGCTGTATCCTCCATTCTTGGTGTCCGACCAGATCAGATTCAGGACAAGAGCTTCTACGAGTGCATAGCAGAGAATTGTCTAGCAGATGCTATAAAATGCCTGGAGAGCGCTAAGGCGAACGACTCTATCGCCTATCTTCGTTTCTGGTACCGTGACCCTCGAAGGGATGAGGATTTCGAAGAGGATAACGAATACGATGACGAGGAAGACGACGAGGACGAGGACGAAGAGGACGAGCAAGAACATGACGAATATATGACTAATGGCGACGCAGCTAATATGGATAGCCATCCTCACACTAGGAATTCTATGGATGTAGATGTCCATGAGGCCTCTGATCTTAAGATAAAAGCCGAGGCTGGTATCAGCCCGGGCCTCTCGAAAGGTACGCTTGGTGGAAATCCTCAGATGGCGTTTTTTCAGCCATCACAGCCAACCGATTTCCCACCATTGTCCGGAACTCGGGCTTATCAACAACCAGGAGAAACCTGTGATCGGACCAGGAATTCGGGAAGACGAACTAATGGACATCAGAGCCATCGTCGAAATCCGATACCTACATTTGAACTCGAAGCTGTAGTATCGTGCACGTCAGATGGGCTGGTCGTGGTGTTGAGACGAGCTAGGCCACCTATTCCCTCTCTCCATCCACCTCTACTTCCTGTTGATTTTGAAAATGGGCTCTTTGCGGCGCCTTGGAGCGAACAGCCCATACGACCTTACTATCCTCCGGAGCATTTTTATACATTTCGACCGCCATTGTTACCACAGTACATGCCTTTGCGAGAACATGTCAAGACGGCAGGAGGCCCGCCAATTGACCAGCTTATGAAGTCGATTCGGGATGTGGCTGTGTTTGCGTGGGCGTTAGTAGGCATTAATGGCAATCTCGCTGCGTATGGCCGCGGGGTTCCAAGGGAGAGCTCGCAGCCCCATGACACACCAACAGCATGGGACCCAAACGCGCCTCAGCCGTCATCGCACCCACAACAATGGGGAGGACTTTCGTCGCAAGAAGGTCACCAACCAGGTCACCAACCTCGCACAACCAGCGCGACTAAAGCCTCAGATCTACAGTACATGCCCGCCTTCAGTACTGAGGCGCCACAGGGGGCTTATAATCCTGCCTCTGTCGAGTTCAACAGCAACAGGGGCGCTAACTTACCCGCGTGGCCGCACTCGGGGCCATATACTCATGGATTTGAATCGTGGCGTTCTAATCCCCCAATGCAACAACCGCCCCAACCGCCCCAACCGCCATCGTCTGGATTTCATCCACACTTGGCAGAACCATGGGCAGAAGGATCGGTATCATACACGCAGCGCAATGTGAACAATTACGCTATCCCCACCACACAAGCACACACATCAACAGAAAACGTACGAAGTTATAGAGACATGTGGAACTAGGGCTGATAACCCAGAGTATAGGGATCTATAAGATTTCTATAGGATTGCATACATTGCAATTTCATCTATTAATGATGTCGTTCTTGATTCGCGGGAGCCGAATATTCTGGCTTGGGCGTTCTTGAGGGGATTCGTCATGGGAGAAGCATTAATACCGGGGCGCATTCTTAGTGTGGGGAGTCTTTTATGGCGCGACGATAGGGATAGCTACTGACTGACGTACCTACTACCTACATAGTATGTAAAAGACGATGTATGCATGCATTTACGGCAATGTCAATGGAAAGGTATTGTAGGAAGCGTTTAGGACTTGTTAGGATTTGTTAGGATTTTGGTTCTTAAAGGAAAGATGGGACATGGATGAGAAGCATGGAGATGCAATAAGAGAAAAAGGTACAACTTGGGCGCTGAAGCAAGTAACATATACAAGATACCCGGAACTTGAATCCTGTAAGTCTGGTGGTGGAAGATTTACAACTTGAGGTACCTAACCTAGGTAGTTAGGAAGGTACGAAATAGTTAATAGCAAAAGTCTTAATACTACCAGTGGTATGCAGATTCTTTTGGTGGGATTGAGATCGGCAGAACGGCTTGAGTGATGTACTGTTCCACATTTAACTAGGAGGGTAGTTAAAAAGCTTGGACCACATAACTTAGTTATGTAGCTAAAGCTTACGACAATGAATTTTAGTGCAGTACCGTACCCATGTAGATTAGGTACTACCTAGTAGTTAGGTATAACAGGGTAGATTGATATGCAGGTAATAGAATTGACCACGGTGGTACCTGAGAATTGATCTTCAGAACTTCAACGTTTTACCGTTTTACAACAGGAACAATTAATGTTATGATTCTTTATTTCCTCATAGGCAGCCACCACTACTTTATACCATCACGTATTAATAAAAGGGAATATTAGATATATCTGCACCCCTGGTCCTAGAAAGGAGTAGCTATCAAAAGTGACGGAAATGGCGTCCTCTAGTCATCACTATAGTAGTCCTCAGATAGAAGAGGACGACTTGATCGACCCTGACGATGGTGAGTTGAGTTACCATATTATCTATGAGTCGTTTATGTATGGCCCACTAATGATTATAATCATCATCGCAACAGCCGACCTCAACGACTTCGACGATCCTCTCTCCAACGCCCAGTCCCAGCGAGAACCTCTAACAGGCAACATCGGATCGGGATCCTCGTCCCAGCGGCCTCTCAACGAGAATTATCTGACGTCACGCATCCCCGGAGAGGACCGCCGCGCCCCGCAGAACACGATCGACGAGTCCGTGTGGGACACGCTACGGCGCGACCTGCTTGCCGTGTGGTCCAAGATGCGCGAGGTGCTATACCCGCGGTACCTGTTCGGCGGGACCATGTTCGAAAGCGCCGAGGGCTTCCGGGGCGCGTACGCCAACCTGCGCGGCGCTGGCCTCTCGGGTGCCCGCGAGGAGCTCACGAGCCTCGCTGGCCGCGTCATGGACCCCGAGAGCCTCCTCAACCAGAACAACATGAGCCCCGGCCTCCGCGACTGGGACATGTGGGGGCCCCTCATCTTCTGCCTGCTGCTGTCGCTGCTGCTGAGCTTCCGGGCCAAGGAGGACCAGAAGGATATCGTCTTCAGCGGCGTCTTTGCGATCATCTGGATCGGGGAGGCTGTCGTCACACTACAGATCAAGCTGCTCGGTGGAAATATGTGAGTTTTGCCCCGCTCGCTATACTATCACCTTACATGATTGTAAGGGGTGTTAGCTATTGGTAGATCTAAATATATTGCTGGGCTGGATATTAACTATATATGACAGCTCGTTTGCGCAAAGTGTGTGTATCATCGGCTACACACTATTCCCGCTCGTCATCGCTTCCTTAATGTCAGCTCTCGGCCTCCCCACCATCCCTCGGGTTCCCGTCTACCTCGTATTAGTCGGTTGGTCGCTCGCGGCGGGCGTTAGCATATTGGGCGGTAGCGGCGTCGTCAAAAATCGCGTCGGTATTGCCGTCTACCCCTTGTTTGTATTCTACCTCGGGTTGGGATGTCTTTGTTTTATCAGCTAGGTTTACGACGAAACCTATTTAAAAAAGAACTTCTAGTTTCCACCACCATCACCACTACTACTACTTACTACGAACCACGGATGGTCAAAAAACGGGCAGCGTAGCCAGATGGAGAGTCAGCTTTGGCTTGAGATGGATGTGAGACATGCATGTATTGGCGCGCACGTGGGAGGGGCCTGGGCAGGGCAGTAACCATGGGAAATGGATATGGTTTTATTTCGATTCCGATTATGCGCCTGCTTGTATTTTTAAAAAGTGCCTACTTTTGCCGACTTGTTCACACCCATGTATCCTCACTGTATGATCAATGTGAAGCGTCGCTTTTCTTGCTTTTTGCTGTTCTTACGTATGAGCATTTAGCAATATGGTGATTTCATCGTTGTTGTAGGCTTTGTCTCTACTCTCAGGCATCTTTGCGATAATCGAGAGGTCGTAATGGAGATTAATGGGAAGGCTGGAGTTGATCTTGTTAAGTGTGGTGGTAGAATAGCTGTGCATATTTGCCTATTAGGTGTACCTATTAGACTTCGTTCGAACTGTTGATGTTTATAGATTCCGCGCGAGAGCTCGGGGGCATTGTACAAGAAAGCTGATGGTTTCCCCCCGTCCTGTTATAGATACCTACACTCACCTATGTAGGTATATAGGGGCATTAAGGAGAGTATGTAATCCAGATACTTGAAGACCGATTACTAGAATGATTCGCTCAAACGAATCCAAATATCGACTTTGAATGGGGGTATCAAGATAAATCTACGAAACCACAAAGGAAAAGAAAAGGACAAGTGCCTATACATGCAACTACCAGGTATCGAAACCAGCCTCCCCCTCCCCCTCCCCCTCCTCCTCCTCCTCTTCTTCTTCTTCCTCTTCACCCATACGCATGAACTTCCTCACCCAACCATCCACCTCCCCACCCCCATCCACTATCTTCTGAAATAACTCCCGCGCCCGCCTCTGCTCCTCCTTCCTCCTCGCAAGCGCCTGCCGCTCCTCCGACGTCTCGGCACGAGCACGTAGTCCGTCCTCTCCCTCTCCCTCCCCCTCCCCTTTACGCAACGACAGCCCCTCCATACGTTCCTCGATCGGCCCTCCCCCACCTTCATCATCGTCAAGGAGCAATCGCGAAGGCAGGTGCAGGTCCCCCACGAACAGGGCCAGGTTGGCGCGGAGCCGCAGCAGCTCGCGGTGGGCGGCGAAGGGGGCGGCGGTGTCCATGAGCAGGTCGATGCGGGCGGCGACGCGCTCGGCGACGGCGCGGGTCTCGCGGCGCAGCTCGTCGTGCTTGGCCGCGCGGCGGGACGCCTCTTCGCGCCGCGCGCGCTGCTGGGGTTCGTCTGCCGAGAAGTCGTCGAGCCCGCTTTCCCCCATCCCCATCCCGGAAGACGAGAAAGAGAGTTCCTGTTGTTGTTGTTGTTCTTCTTCTTCTTCGTCCTCCTGCTGGGAAGCGCGGAGCTGGGCGACGGCGTGCCGGAACTCGGCGTCGAGGTTGTAGAGCTCGATGGCGAAGAGGGCGGGCCAGAAGTCGAGGGCGCTGGTGAGGTGGGGGCGGTGCGGGTCGTGCGGGTGCTGGTGGATCAGGCTCTCGAGGTAGAGGCGGACTTTGTCGATGTTGGCGGGGGAGCCCCAGCGGCGGGGGCGTGGAGGGACTTCTTCCCTTCCCTCTGCTTGTTCTTCTTCTTCTTCTTCTTCTTCTGGTTGTTGTTGTTGTTGTTGTTGTTGTTCTTCACCATCATTATTACCAACAACAGTCGCCTGGCTTTGCTGGCGGCGGCAGCGGTTCGTTTCGCCGTCCCGCATCAAGATCTCGGACCCGACGGCCCAGAGCCCGCCCTGCCGCACATCGACGTCTCGCGTCCGCACGAGGAGGCCGAAGGCGCGCTTGGCGCGCGCGATGTCGCCCTCGCCGAGGCAGCGGTGCATGATGGCCGTCAGCGTGCTCAGGTGTCGCATGCGGTCCGCGAACCGCATCGATGTCGGGTCCTTGTGCTGGCGCGCCGCCACAGGTCCTCCTAAACCATCATCGTCATAACCCTTACCTTCACCTTCGCTCTTCCCACCATTACCATTACCATTACCATCTCCATCATCATCATCATCATCATCATCAACAGTTTCCCCACGAAGCCGCGGCCGTCGTCTGAGCCCCAACGGCAACCGCTTATGCGGAAACAGAGGAAACGCCTTCGACGGCAGCTCGTCCTCCGGCGCGAGCCCCGCGACGGCGAGCTGGCGCAGGGTGTCCGGGGAGTGGCTGAGCGGGTTGATGGAGCCAGGTGGTTGCGACGACGATGCTAACGAGCGGGTATCCCACTCCGGCTCGGGGGAATCCAGCTCGTCGATGGTTTTTTGCCGTTTGGTGCGGGCGCCGCTGCCGCCGATGATGTGTTGGGGGATGCCGAGGCGGTAGGCGGGGACGGGGACCGCGAAGGGTGCCATGGTTTAAGATGGATGCTGTTGCCTTTTTTTTTTCTTTTCCCTCTTTAGCCTACTACGTGTTTACCTAGGTGTATACCTAGACAAGTTTTGTAGATAAAAGAAGAGAAAGAAAGATGGAAAAGATTTGGTCCTTTGGTAAATCACAAAGTCACACTTTACGGGCCGTGCCGCACTTTGCATTAGCGTCTCGCCCTTTTCTTCACCAGTTGCTTTAGGTATGTGGTATCTGTCTTCGTCATCGACGCCTCAATGTTTTAAATTTAGGGGTAGTTTGTCGAGTCTAGTATCTAGTATTAGGTAAACTTCAAGGTTGCTTGCTATGCGTTATTCAAATAAGGCTAGGTATCGCTGTAACCTGGGTAACATCTAGCTGCATATGCAGACATGTACCTCGGCCATACCGAACCGATTGAATAATACACTTAAGAGAATGTGTTCCCAAGAGACTCCAGGTATCAAACGATATCGGTATGACTCTACTCATTAGTATGTATATAAGTCGCAATAGAAGCGTCCGTGTAGCAAATAACGGCAGCCCTTCTATTAAAATATTGAGTTTAAGTAGAAATCGAAAACACATATTAACGTAATTCTGCGTTAGACTATCAATGATTATTTATCGCCTACGGTATTGAAGTATTCCCTTAGAAATCTCAGTAATAAGCACGATAAGCAAACACTATCCCATAATGCACATAGTGACAATAGGAACATCTCATAATGTAAGCCGCCGTCCGTATGCACAATGCCTTTTCGTCTACTGTACATATGCTTTCGTACCACATAAGAGGGAATTCAGGGAATTCAGGGCGGGGCTTTTATTATATATTTCTTTTTCGTTCTTCAAGCCCCTTGGGGAAACCAGGGGCGTGAGCGTGTCAACTACTGACCACGCTCGAAGTACTTCCATTGGCCCTCGGCGGGCTTTTCTTCTAGCTCCTCCCATCTGTTACTACGGTCAGTCACGCACTCTAAACGGGTTGGTAGTAGAAAAGAGGCACTTACACTCTGCCCTCGGACATGGCGTCTACGAGCTTCAGCTCGTTCTCGGCCGTTTGGACCACCTCCTCGAGCAGGCCGCCTCCGATCTTGGACTCGATCTCTTCGATTCTATCATCGTTTTCTCGAGTCAGCAAACACAACCACCCAAGAGTTCCTCTTTCAGTTGCGAGAAGCAGACCAACAAGAAAGTGCAAGAAAGCAAGAAAGAAAAAAAAGGCCAAAAAAAAAAAAAAAACTCACTGATCAACCGTCAACGGCGGCTCATTCTCCCACACCACCTGGCCCCCCGGCCCATCCAACGGCTCCCTCCCAAACAGCGCCGCACGATCCCAATGCTCCTCCTCCCCCCTCAGCCCCTCCCTCCCAGGGCCCTCGTCCCTCTCCCCATCCCACTCCTGCAGCCTCTCGTCCACCGCCGTGGGGCCCTCCCGGTACACGAACGTCCTCCCACCACTGCGCACCGTGACGGCCTCGCCCTTCTCCACGCTCTCCCCCGCGGCGCCCGCCTGCGCCGTGACGCGGAAGAACATCGGGTTCTTCTGCGCGACCTCTCTCGCGCGCGCCGCCCACGCCGCGTAGCCCGGCGGCTCGCAGGCCTCGACGATGGCGAGGCGGTGGCGCGTCGTGGCCTCGGCGGACTGGCGGTACAGCGAGGTCTCCGGGACCTGGTCCGCGAGCTTCTCGAGCGTCCGCGTGTACAGGTACAGGAGCGTCGAGCGCGGCGAGCTGTGCGTGTGCAGGCCTGTCAGACCCGTCGGCGCCCCGGGCTCGAGGTACCGCGCCGCGGAGGGCTTGACGGCCGCGAGGAGGCGGAGGGTGCTGCGCATTGTGCTGTGTGTGTGTGTGTGTGCGGGATTATGTAGGTAGGTAGGTAGGTAGGTAGGTGTGTTGGGGGATAAATCGATCGATCGATCGGGCTTCGGGTCCCTCTAAAGGGAGTGGTGGTGTTGACGTTTGTGGTTGGAAATTGGGAAGCCAATCCAATTTACCTCGGATCGAATTTCTTCTCAGTCGGTAGCTTTGGTGAACGAAGTGAGTGCTTCAATTAAAAAACGTCACAAGCTTCATTGGATTGGATTCGACCCACGTGATCTGATTACGTACAACCAACCAACCAACCAACCAACCAACCAACCAACCAACCGTTGCAGATTACCTAACCTAAGGCACCTATTAATATGTATTAAACGGGGAAACCACGAATGCCCCGCCAACCCCCACCCCAACGCTCAAGTATAAATACCTCCTCTCCCGCCCAAACTTTTCCCACTCTTCTTTTTTCTTCTTTTCTTCTTCATACTTACCTTGTTCGAAGGACCCTCGCTCAAGCATGAGGGTCCTTAAGTAGGAAGACCTGCATTGCACATCGCGGAGTCGGCCTTCTTCTATTATCCCTCGTGGATCGTAGCGGGCGTAATTTTTGCTCTCCTTCCCAAACTTCATTCCTTCGTTTTCGTTATGAGTCCGGTGCCTTGATTGCATCGCCATGAAGAAGATGAGTTGCCATTCAAAGAGTTGTTTGGATACTGCCTTAGCGGGCATGTTATAATAATCTCTGTTTGCGCTGTTTCTACCTTTAGCTGTGTCCATTTACTTAGTATTAATTGTAGGTATCCAAGTAGGAGTAGGCTTTGAATTTTCCCGTACTGATGATACTACCATTCCAACTTTTGCATGAAACATTTGGCAGTAATATCATGTAGTTAGTAGTCGTCTGTAGCAAACCCAACGCTTTCTCACTTCAAAGAACTTTACGCCGATTACTAAATCTATCATTTACTGTGTCTAATATGCAAAATGGTAATGTAAAATCTGCACAGAATTGGGAAATCTCATAGAGATCAGAGAATTATGCTCGTAAGATACTGTCAATTCATCCATCTCCCAGTCAGAAGTGAGAATCGAAAAACTAAGCAGCAATGTCTCATGGGAAAGCCCTTCGAGGATCTCACTCCCGTCTATATCGCACTCGTTCGAGCACGCAACGTGTCAAATCAAGCAGTAAAAAAAGGAAAAAGGAAATAGAATCCTGACAGATCCGGTATCATCCTCGCAGGTCCTCAAGATAGACATTCATCCCACCCACTTGTATATCCCGCGACGGGGCTCCTACTCATTGCTTTTGCATGTTTAATCCTTTACGAAGCACTCTCGCGGCTCTTGCGGTAGTTCGCCTATAGCCCGTTAGTCTTTGTTTTCACGGGGGAAAAAAATACTGTGATTATGGTTTCAGCTGACCTCTTGTTCGACCTGGAGAGCTTCAATGACGGGGGCAAGCTCGCTCAGGATCTCGGCAGACTTCTTGTGGTACTCAAGCTGAGCAGCAACGAGCTCTGCAAGGTTACGAAGAGGCTCAGGAGTGTCCAGGACCTATGATTGGATAATTAGCCGAACAGATTCTCGGGTACCTGGTACAACTTAGGTATGACCTACATTCTTCATGACGCCTACGGCCTCTTCAGTCTGGGTGACGAATTCATCTTCGGCCTTTTCGATTTCCTCCTGAGCTTCGGGGGTCAAGTCGTCGGCAGTGGGGTGATCATCACGCGGAGACGTGGGACCGATCTTCCAGGTCGTTCCCTTGGCACGAGACTTGACCGAATCTAGGGTCAGGCGGGCTTTCTCGACATTTTTGCGTGCACGCGTTGCGAACATAAGGTTGGTGTTCAGGGTGGTGTTCCACCCAGCCAAGTAGCGGCTCTGGATCTGGGCATCCTGCGCAAGACGGGCCTCGCCAAGTCGCTCACTGACCAGCGCATACTTCTCGAGCGCGGTCGCAAGAGGATCCTCGCCGGCACCAGTGTGTTGCTGGTGCATAAGCTGGGAGCTTGCTAAACTGGCACGTGCGATAGCGTGGGAGAAAGTCTTAGGCTGGGGCTTCGCGGTGGGGGGCGCGGTCAGGGCATTTTGGGCTTCGGCGGGGGTGGTGGCACTAGAAAGAAGATGAACTTTCTCGCTAACGGTGCGTCCGAGGTCCGAGAAGCTCTCCTTGATGTTGGCGGGATAATCGTAGGCTTCGTTCGAGTATTGCGAGCTATAGGGGATTAATGTTAGATTAGCGAAAAACAATTTGCGCATCGTCAGAGATGCACCCACGTCACTGCAAGCATCTTTTGATGAACCTGTTTCAAGGCATCAACTCGCTTCTCGAGATCAATATAGTCAGGCGGAAGCTGAGTCTGTAGCGGTCACAAATCATCAGCCAGAGTTTCACAAATTGTATATCTATGGATTATGGATCTCTACCTTATCCTCAGCTTGGCCCAGTTGCTCCTTCGTGTACTGAAAAGTACGGGTAGCAAAGGGAGTAATTTGCGAGCCAATAGAGCTATTACAATATCAGCATCCAGCATCCAGCATCACCGCTATAGAGACTTCCACGACGGGGGTTGTAGGTTATGAATGTACCTCAAGCTATTTCCAAAAGCCTTGAAATCCATAGTTGCGGTTAAAATGGGGGGTTGAACAAGAACAAGAGGAGTAGTGGGAGACTTTGGGGGGGGGTTCAGTTCGATATTGTCTTCTAAGTTGTACTTGAGAATGAATGTCCGAGGATGATTTTAGAGGGTGAAGGAGATAAGAAGATGAACTAAACAAATTGGACACAACTGGACAAATAACCTGGGGAAGTTTCAAGTTGTTGCAGGTTCAACTCGTAAAAGAACAATTGATCCATGGACGCACTAAGTCGGCGCTGGCAGCCACTAACTACCTACCTAGCAGTACCTAGTACTAGGATGGTATTGTACCTAAATCAGCCCTGCAGCTGCCCTATTGCTTGTGGCATGCGTACCTACATTGCAGTACAATACATTGTACCTAGCATTGTATTGTACTACTAGTAGTGCCTAGCCCTGAGCTTTGCTAAGGGGGGGCAGTTTATGCTGCCAGCACCAATCATAAACCTTCTTCATAATGATTTTAGTGGTTCCGCACCCGTTTAAATTAGGAACCAGCTGCACAACAGCTGTGGCACATTTAGATTTATGATCGCCAGTACGAAGCACATCATAATGCATATCGTACCTGCTTCTGAATATCTCTAACTAAGCTAATATTAATCTTCATTAAGCACTACATAAACTACATACATGTAGTACAGTCTCCCATGTACATATGCAGTACATACATCCCTACTCCCCAGACACTCCAGAGTGGCAGAGTCATATCTTAAACCTACATATGTACATACTACTATTAGTAGTGATACATTTACATTTACATGCCTAGGAGTCTAGGACACTCTAGGACTCGGAGTCTAGGTAAGACATACATCAATGTGTGTACATCAACGATGTGTGTAGGTAAGCCAACTTATACTAAGTACTACCTCCACCCATTCTTCAACGACCTCGCAAGCGACACCGCCTGCGTCTTCCAAATACTCCTCCCCCAATCCTCCAGCAACGGCCCCATCTCCTCCAGCATCTCCTGCACCCTCATCTTGTCCTCCGCCACAAACCGCCAAAACTCATCATCATAACCATCCCTCTCCCCCTGCCCCTGCCCCTCCCCCTCCCCCCCCCTCCTCCTCGCCCTTCCCAAACGTCGCCAACTCCCACATCCTCTTCCAGTGCTCGATCGCCTCCAGCGCCTCGGGGTCGCGGCTCCGGACATTGGTGGCGACCATGTAGAACGACGACCTCTTGGTGTGCGCGGCCGTCGGCTTGTGCGCCGCCACGGCCGCGAACCGGCGGAACCGCCACAGCACGCTCGCCGCGTCCCAGCTCTCGAGCTTGTGCAGCAGCACCACCGCCGTGCCCCCCGGCCGGAGGTGCGCGAGCCCCAGCGCCAGCTGCGCCGCCGCCAGCCTCTTGGCCTCGCGCTCCCCCCGCCGCAGCCCCCTGTGCCGCCTGCGCACCTGCCCGTCGCACAGCGCCAGGTCGAAGAGCTCGTCCGGCTGGAAGTGCCGCCCGAGGAAGCGGTGGGGGTCGGGGTGCGGGTGCGGGTGCTGGTGGACGTCGAAGCCCATGTCGGCGGCCAGCAGGGTGATGTCGAGAAATTTCGCGTCGACGGCCGCGCCCGGCGGGAGCAGGACCTCGTGGCCGCCGTCGCAGATGGGCAGGGAGAAGGCCTTGGCCGTCGCGCCGCGGTTCCGCATCAGCGCCGTCGCGAGGAAGCCGCCCGGCGCCATGCACATGTCTAGGATCCGCGGCTGCTGCCCCGGACAAGGCGGGATCGCAAACGCGTTGGTGGCTTTATGCAGATCTCGCCCGACGTCCTTCATGATCTTGTAGAAGAACTTGGACGTCTGGAGCGAGGGCTCGTCGGCTATTTGGCGTGTGTTCTGGAAGTGGATGTCGCCCTCGGGCCTTTCCCATCCCTATATATTGCGAAATGTGTTAACCTAGTACATTAGGTGGGTATGCTGTTCGCTCAGGTAGGTAGGTAAGGCACAAGCTCGATATGACTTGCCTTCTTTCGAAGTATGTGCAGTTCTTGGAACTCTGCACATCCTTTCAGCCGGTCAATGATGGCCTGGTTCGCATACCAGCGGTCATGGAGGGGGTCCTCGTTGTCCTTGGGCGTGCTGCCTTCTGGATCACGAGGCTCCGGCGGAGTTCCCACTTCAGGCAATGTGGACGCTTTGGTCTCTGTCGTTTGAGCAGACATGGTGATAGAGAATTCGGTGCTTAGATCCGTAAGCGTGCGGACCCAAGACAGCGTAGAAGAAAGAGAGAAAAGGGGCTACATATATTCGAGATCTTGGCAAGCCTTGATGAGATGCAGCCAGATCTTTTTGCTTCTCCTCATATACATACATCCCGATACATGTGCCTGCCCGGGCAGTCACGGCGCATTTCTTCTACATAGTCTGACATATCATATCTTCACATATGACCGGTGTCAAAACCTCAACGTATCGAGGCCGGCCGTCGAAATTGCATCGCTGTTTGCTTTCCAACATGCCGTATGCGTAGGTAGGCTAAGGTAGGTATCCTGACAATGCAATGACGTGACGACTGATCTGTGTGGCCGCTTCATATCAGCGTTTGGGCATCAACGTCCCACGTAGGTAGGTAGGTAGGTAGGTAGCATGGAGCGCGTTTGGCAGGACAGGACAGGACAGGACAGGACCTCGGTTGGTTGCAGTATGCTCAACCTCTTGGCGCGGCTTTACGACGACGCGCCATAGGGCGCATGCATCAATGTTAGTTGTATGTAGGTACCTATGTATGGCATCACCGACACATCATGTAGACATCTTTACGGTGTATATTCTATGCTGATTTGATGCCATCAACAACCAAACTTTGTATATGGCTTCGAATTCGTCTATTTCTGCATCTGCCATATTCACTCGCCAACCTTTGCCTTCCATATGCAAAAAAAACCTCCTAGCCTGACCACGCCACGCCACACCACCCAATTAATCCATAATGACATCCGTTTCCTAATACATAAAAGCCTGCGTGCGAGAAGTATGTAGATATGCAAGCTGCCAAACACCTAGGCTAGGATAGTATGTGAATTGAATGAAACTCATGTCATTATCGCCAGCGTCCTAAATACTTTTGCTTCTGTAGGTAGTTTCAGCCTCTCCCCTTTTCTTTCTTCCCGCAACCCCTTTTCACGCGCGCGCTTATGTGTGTAATATACTGCTTATGTCTCGCTCCCAAAAAAAAACCACCCTCCAAACCACCTCCAGAAAACGCCCATTCTATAATGCAAATTTCCGTGCCGCCTATTATGCATGGAACCCGTCCGTCTAACTCTCTGAGGCCCCTTTCCCCAACCCCCCTTTTTCTTTTTCTTTTTTCTTTTTTCTTGTATGCTTCCAGTGTGATTTAACTTCGTACATAAAAATAGGGAGTGGGTATATATACTTCTTGATTACTAAGGAGTGTGCGGTCTAGACGCCTTCGTGTGTCCGTCTAATTCCGTTTCGCTGGTGTCGGGCGCAGAAGTGCTGTTTAGTACGAGAGGGCTGCTACTCGTCCTATTGCGTTGATGCTGATAATAAGTATAAGGTGGCTGGTGCTGGTGCTGATGCTGACTGTCTGATGCTTCCGAGGTCGGTCTCGGACCATGGGATGATTCGGTATTGGATTGTCGAGAAGATCTAGGCCGGGGCGAAGGTGCACGAGAGGATAACGACTCTGGGGTACTATCGTCGTTGGCATCGTCTCTATAGCGTCGTTCCGGCCTTCTGATCTCCGTGACTCTGGTGTCACTTGCTTCCCAGCCACCCTTGGCCAGCTCCGTGTCGGAGAATTCGTACACCTGGCCTCGTGGCGGGATGGCATACTTCTTTGACTTCTCTACGAACTGGTTGTACTGACTAGCCTGCGCCATCTCGTACTTCTTGCGGTCTTCGTCTCCCATGATACTCTCTACTCGTCGGGGGATATATACCGAGTTGTTTCCAGTGGTTAGGAAACTATCTACCGATTCTCGGCTGTGGGCGTAGTTCAAAGGTGTAGTACCATATGGTGAAGCCCCAGCTCCTTGTGTATTGAAGAAGCTGTATGTCGACTCCTCTGGATACGCATAAAACCCGTTGGCCTTTTTCTCGGGGGCGGCGAATTTGCCCTCGATCTTTTCCGGGGGTAAGACCTTGCTCTTCGATCGTTGGATCCCATTCCCCTTGAGAGACTCTTTACCTCGGCTCATCTGTCGTTGAACCTCAGTTGCTGGGATGAAGGTCTCTGGAACAACGTTGAGATCATCTCCTGCTTTCGCAGCTTGCTCGGCGGCTTGCTGTGGTGTCGTGTTCGCGTCGGCAGTAGCGGCGTCGGCACGAGGGCCACCCCAGGTGCGTTGGCCTGCCGTAAAGATGCCGTAAATCATGTAGTACCAGTTAAAGAAAGGGTTCAGGATGAACATCACCGGGTAGAGCCAGATCTTGTAGCGTTTTAGTTTAAACCCAAAGTATATCATCATCAGCCAATTCAAACCGAGCGAAATCGCAATGAAACCGACGGGGAGCTGGTCAACTCTCATGGTTGTTGTCATGAGTGAGAGCATCATGATGAAAAATAGTAAAGCCGTCGTCCGTATTGTGTTCTGCATAAATCGGACCACGAGCAAGATAGGATATCGTTTCCAAAGGCGCCAGTCAGTTAGCATGCAAACTTCGTTCGTGATGAAACCAAGAAACCATCTTCGCCGTTGCTTAATCAGCGACTGAACAGTTTGCACCGCCTCTGTCTTGCAAAATGCTGAGGTGCACATTTGGATCTGATACCGCTTCTTCGCTCCAATCATAAAAAGATGGGTGAGCCATCGATCCTCTCCCAAATGACTCTTCGCAAAGTCAAACAGATCCTCACATTGCTCAGCTTTGTCAGCAAAGTAGTATTTAGCCATTCTTCGGAATGCAGAGAATCGGAGCATGGTGAGAGCACCTGGCAAGCAAGTTACGGCACCGCATCCAGACTCGACGGTCCGCTCGAATAGCTGACCATGAATATACTCCATGTCTTGAAGTAGCGTAATGATACTGTGCTTCCTGGTTGTTGAGGTAATGACACCAGTCATAGCTAACATGTCTCTACTATTTCCAGGGCTAAGTTCCATGTCGTAGACGAAGTTTTGCAGACAGACTCTATCTAGGATGCAATCCGAATCGATGAAGAGGATAAAGAGGTTGTCGTTGCGCTTTAGGTATTCCTTATAAACCTTGTCGATGAGTTTGAAGGTTGCCTTTTGACAATGACGCTTTCCACCGTGAGGAAATCGAGACACTGTAATTCGGGCTGCTCGATAGCTGACGTCGATACTCTTAGGGTACGACTCCAGCGTCAGAGGCACACCAAGCTTTTCGATCGTGTTGAGATACAATTCGTCCTCTTGATCTCCGTCGAATGAAAGGAAGACATGGATGCATGAAGGAGGATAGTCACAGTCCACGACGGAGTTGATAGCGGTGACGAGGACCTCGGGATCCTCCTTATAACAGGGCATAACGATGACAACCTTTGGCGCGGAAACCTCATCCAATACTTCTTTGACCCGCTTCGTTCTCCCGAGCTGGTGTGTGACGAGTTGGTATACACAGAAAAGCCATGGTACGGTCAAGAGACCAGCAAAGCTCCAGAACGCAAACCATTGAAGGATGTCGACCATGTTAGGGGGCCAGTATTGTGTGATTTGACTCGGGAGCGGTAAAGTAACGACCATGATGGGCAAAAATATAAACCTGTTTATCAGTTAGTAATAAGCGAGGCGATGGAATATTTGGCCAGGCTTACCGAAAACCAGTGAAGAGAACAGCGACAATAACTGCAAGCACTCGTATCGTCCAGTGCTCTGCCTTCCTGAAAACCTTGACCAAACAGTACAGGAACGCGGCTAGCCATAGGAACCATTCAAGAAGAGCTGCTAACATAACAACGCCCACAATTGCCGTATATATGATCTGAAAACCATGTCAGTGAGGATAGTCCTACCTACTATGAAGCTAGCAGTTAGTCGGAAATTCAAGTCACTTACCTCGTGGACCGGCCACGTTTGCGCGATATTTTGGGCCATCTTTGACGAGTCGAGCGAATCGCTAAAAGGCTTTAGCAGGGGGAAGAGAAGGGTTTGACGTATTTTGCGAGGTATCCCGGTAGGCTGGGCTCGAGATCAAGATTAGGAATTGGGGTGACCTGCTTCTTATGCGAGCATCGTCTTGGGTTCTGAAAGAGTTGACAGCCGATTGGTGTTACACAAAGATGTGTATTTACGGCTACCTGCAGAACGCAAGGGGGGGTTGCCCTTGTTTCGAGCCTTGCGGATTCACGGGATGAAAAGATGCCGTCCTTCCAACACAAGTAAGTCGTGAGGACTGGGTCGTGGAAGTTTCTATACATATATGTTTCCAAGACCCAGGAGCGAGGTATCACCACTATATCGTGTGGGCCGAGGAGCCAACTGACTGGATGCTGGTCCCGAAGGGCAGGGTGAACTGCCACGATGATCCGTATACGACAAAAATAAACACCGAACTGCGTCTAATGACTAACGAGATCGACGTTCCGTCTACTCGCTATTTTGGGGCGAGCTTTCTTGAGTCTTCGACTTCGTTATTCCTATCCAAAAAAGGTCTTCGCAAGCTAGACGAACTAAACGACTATAGTTCCAATATAGCTGTAGTTAAGTTATATATAGGTTTATAGTATTATTATAAGCGACAGCCAAAGTGTAGAGCAAGCCAGCACCTGTATAAGTAGGCGAAATAAGAACTGAGGGTAGCCAAGGTAGCTGACGAGGTGAATGAGTTCACTATCCTCGGCGACGACGACAAGTAAGATGACTAGCTGCGTATAAGCGTCTATAGATATATGCGAGGACGGCAAGCTTTGGAGCTGAACGAACGGGGGCAAAAGGATAGGCTGAGAAGTCGGCAGGCTCCTTGTATATCAATCGGGCGATGCTCGAGAATCTGAACTTGTTGCTTGGCGAACGGTAACAATGGCCGTTGGTCGGCTGGACTTGCAGGCTATCTGCACCTGGGGGGTAATCCTTGTTGTTTGGCGTTTTTGTTCCGATATTCTTGGACTCAGATGTTTATACGACGGAAGATGAGACCAGATTGGATTTCGTAGACTGTAACTGGTTAGAGGGCTCCTACGTGTATTGCGTACGACAACCCAAACGCTTAGACGCGGTCAGTGGGCAGAATGTGCGGTGACAGTCTTGACGTCTAGGGCCTCTAAAGTTAGTTGGCCTCTATCTTAAGTCCCGTCGAATAGAGACAGGGCGGGAGGAAGAAGATGAGGACGGCGGCACGCGCCTAGAAAGTCGAATCAAGTGCAGGGATGATATAATGAGGGCTTGTCGTTCTCTCCCATATACGGCAGATGGATCGACTCTAGGCCATATATGTTTCGATGGTAATAAATATTTACATAACCCAGACATATAAATAAGAAAAGCAAACTAAATATATACTTTAGTCTCCTTTCGGAGATACCTACCTTGATCAGGTACCCTCATCTTCTGACAGGTGAGTGCCGTTTAAGATTCTGAGGTAAAAGGGGTAAAGCAAGACCTGGTGGAGTTAACATTTGAACTTGTGAAATGCATACTTACCTACTATCTTACCTATTATGTAGCCCATGTACACCTACTTACCTACATGGAGGGATTTATTTAGAAGTTGCATGTGGTTTAGTCAGAGATACGACTATACATCTATCCATGAATTCCTAAGGTTTAGTAAGTACTGTAAGTGATGCCGCCACGAGCTTCATCTCGGTTGGGGCGAGAAATATACGCTGGAAAGAGAGAGAATGGCACAGCTCATATGCAAAAGAGTCATCGCCCAGTATACCGCACCCAATCAGTCGTAGTGACTTGACTGGGTGGCCTGTCTGGCAGTGTCTGCACACAAGTGGGTTGAAGAGGTATGTATGTACTGCTCACTTTAGCCAGTTCTCGTGGTGACCGGGCCTGGCCAGGTACCGGGCCGTTTGGGAGCATTTAATAAATCCAAGCTAAAGCGTTCTTGCGGCGAGGTTTATAATTGCCTTTTAGGATCGTGCCACTCAGATTGATACGTGTAAGTTGGGAGTTGGTGAGATGATGGCATGCATAGCAATTGAGTTCGAAGGGCTAGACGGTCGAACACGAGCGTAGCACCAACATGGAGGTACGAGATACGGATCGAACCGCCCGAAGCAACAATGAATTCAAGCCACAGAATAGAGTTGGTATTCATGTAATAGTCTCTCTTTGGACATTAATACTTGAAATATCTGGAACCTGGCTCAACTTATTGGATGAAAAGGATTTGGGTTTTTTGGTGGGTTTATGTTTTAGGAATACTACTAGTACGAAGTAGTAGAAGCGTTGATCTAGGCGCTAATGGAAGATATCACAAGCGGCCAGGCGGCTCAAAATCCTAGGATAGAGAGAACGACTGGCGATATTTGACTTCATTAGCTTAAACCAAGCTTTAAAGGGTATGAGGGATTCAAGGAAGGGATTCAAGGAAGGCGCGCTAAGAAAAAGATCAATTGATAATTTGAGATATATTTGAGATATATTTGTACATACTAAACAAAAAGGGAAGAAATACATACGACATAGTAGCATTATTCCTCTTGGATCAGCCAATCAACCAGCCAACCCTACCAATCAATTCATTATTAATCAATCAATCAATCAATCAATCAATCAATTCTGTCTTGCTGCAAGGGTATCTTGGCTTACTTTGGCTTGCACTTAAGCTCAACCAACTGGCACGTTAACTGTGCCAACACCCCGCAAGGTACGAGACATCTACATACATAGTACGGAGTACTACTACGAAAATAGTTGGCCACTATTCAATGTTGGTGGCCATTGACTTCCAGATGGTCCCCCATATGTATCATTATGTAGGGCTCACCTGCAGTCTACATGCTACCTATTATGAACTATTTAAATGCCTGCATTCGGACTTGTGGACTTGTGGGGTCGCCTGATCTTGCCTGATCTGTTACTTATCTATGTAGTTACTTGATCCCTTCAAAAGGGCCTAATTAACCCGCCTACCTATGCAGGTTAGGTAATACCTAACCTCATACCTAACCTCATACCTAACCTAGTAACTTACAATAAGCAAACATCGAACCTATAACACTAATAACACTTCCATGATGACAAACATCTGCATACATCATGTTAAGACTTCAAACTTCAAACTTCAAACTTCAATCTACAGCTGTCAAGACAGTCAAGTTGTTGAAACACCTAGGCTGTATAACTTAACCTTTACAAACTTTTACATTGTCCTTCGCAATCCGTTGCCTAACATAACTATTAATCTGTTTCTCTTTCAGCGTTCCATCAATACCCATGCGCACATACGCACACACGCACATACATACCTGGGCACACACACACACACGTAAGCTGCAATATAGTATGCATCTCTGATCCACGAGCGAATAGCAACTTAATATGCAGCGATGGTAGCAACCGCTCAGGCGAAATCTCACACAATATAGAATTCTCCGGGGAATGTACCATGTAAATCTCCATTAATTAATTGCCTTTTTATCGCTGTGAGATCCCAGCAGGAAGCTCCTCGACCAACCGATATCAACCGGTTTACCCGGCCGTGCCCTGGGACGGATCTCGCTCTGTGTACGGAGTTTGGATCTTGTAAACCCATTCCCAATAAAGTGACAAAACGAGAACTAAAAAAAAAACAAAAAAAACTTACTCACTTTACACAAGCGAGAACGATAATACCATACATACCTATTAGTAGGTACTAAGGTATATATCACATCTGACCTACCCGTTTTCGATCTCATGTGCCCAAGTTCGCGATCGTCGCTTTGTCCCGAGTGTGGGCCCCCCTTCCGACCGAACATGCTCAGGCATCTCAAATCTTGGTCCGGCTTTAGTTACATATAGTGCTAGCTGACGAGGCAGTCTGTTAGCTTCGTTTGATCATATATGTATGTCTGAATAAGGACTGAGGCTAATACCTACTACATTCCTCCTGAATCCTAACCCACCTCCTAAGTAATGTACCTGGGCAGGTATGTAGTTGAGATGTTGACTTTGGCGCCTTCAACGTTGAGATCTGAACAAATCCAATTTCAACCGTCTCAATAGTACCCGACCCAAGGTAGGCATTAGACCGAAAAGAAAGAAAACCCAACCCATCCACAGGAATTACCGCAACGCCACAACAACTCTATCTAAAGTCCCCCGGATAAAAGCAATAAATAGAAACAAATACCAAAAATGGAAGAAGCCAAACGAAAAAGAAAAAAAGGGGGAAGAAAACAGATTTCAAGTCATGAGATGAAGTATTCCTGTAATGACGTGCTTATGGCGTATGTCGGATATTCGATGGCTTCAATGTTTTTTTTTTCAGCTTCAGCGTCAATTGAGTGGTGGTTACTCCCTCCCCCCCCCCCTTTTTTTTTTTTTATTCATTTGGGTATTCCCTTCGCTTCCTTCTAGCCCTTCCCTTCGCCTTTTTCTAATGCAGGAGACGCATCGCCAAGCCTTGAATACGAGCCACGACGATGACCAGTCGGAGATGGCTTTTCTTTTCATGCTGTACCACACCTACCAGTAAGTAGTACACACACACAACCGCATCCATACATACTTCCATACGTATGTATGTACAATACCTACATACGACTTGGAAGCAAGGGAGAAAACGGTAAAGTGTCTTACCCGTGTTTACCTCATAGGTAGTAGAAAAAAAAATATTCTTAGACCGCCAAAATTAAGAGCGGCTCTACTACACTCGATAACCTACAATTACACCCTCCCTTTTCTTTCTTTTTATTACATACCTTCTTCTTCTTCTTAAAATTGATTTTCATTACTAGTAGGCTTAGAGGACTTCATAAGAGCAGATGAGAGTCAAGATATTATGAAAGTGGCACAACGGACTTAAAAGACTTCAATGGTATTCATAAACTGCACCTAGAAGGCATCAACTAAAGAAGAGACTTAAAATGCGGCCATTATTACCTGCAATGACTACAACTTCAAGACATCTACCCTAAGCTGTATGTGCTACGTACGAACGATAATCACAATCAAGGTATAAAGAGTGACTTTAGCTATGAGCTAGCTATAAGCTATGTACGAAGAATTAAAAGCACCTTGACACTAAGTGCCATTGATGAAAGCAATCTGCAGCGACGGCTCTTCGGCCAGTCCGTATCCGTAATTTGTAGACCGTCGCAGGATAAATATTTCTGCAGCGAGATTAGGTAGCAGAACCTCATCGCTTCTGTACCAAAAATTGTTACACCCGAAGGTGACCAGCAAAGCAACTACCGTTTCTCAGGCCGTGCCCTGACCCAGGCCCTCAAGTCCCTAGTCCTTGAGTCATCTTCCCTTCTTCGGCCTTCCACAGCCGGCAACTCGGTGTTGACTTCACCAACATCGACTGCTTTCTCATGGCAGGAGTTGAGTGAGTGGCGTTGATATGGCGTGAGATTATGGGACTTCCGCCTCGAGATTCCTTCCGTAAAGGAATGCTTTCGCCGAAGATTATAGCTTCCACATGAGAGACGCGCATAACCTGGAGATGTCAAAATTCCCCGTTGCAATGCTCAAATGAGTAGTGTAAAGTTGGGTTTCGATCGACTGCGAGTGTACGTCATGTCCTAATTTCAGGGAAAATGGTTGTTCTTGTCAGCATTCATTCTGAAGTATCTTGAAGGCCTCTAGAATTTTGTATAACCTCGCCCAAATTCTCAGCCAAAACGGGGCTTCGAGGAGGATGCATGACACTTGTTCATTGTATTCTCTTCCACTTGGCCTGAAGCAGAATCGTATCCAGCGCGTGTATCACTGGCAGATAGGCCCGTGATGTCTGGGGCATTCCGTTAATCTTTCTTTTGGTCTTGATGGGATTTATCATACCAATCAACATCGCTCAGTTGCAACCTACGGACCCGTTGTCCGCCACGCTCTTTGCTAGATTTTTCGGGGCGATTGGGGTAATACGAAGATGGCTTTTCGTGACCTGAACAAGTAGACTTGTGAATATTTGCGTTCGGTTTGAGTGGGGTCATTATAATATCACCATCTGGGTCTTCATTTTCGCGAAGATCATAGTTGAGCACCAAGTTCTTGATACGCTGCTGCTCTTCTCGTTCTGCCTGTTGCTGAGTCTTCATGGCAACCGCAAAAGTGGAGTCCGAAGGAAGCGCAACAGTTCGTGTCTATAAATATTAGTGACAAACTTGAGGATGAGTAGGATGTAGCCACGACTACAAGACTTACCTGCTGGCGATTGCCTTTCTTAGTCAAAAGCGAGAATGCCATAGTGCTAGGCGTGCTCGCTCCGTTCGTAGTATCGGCGGCTTCGGTCGTCGTTGAAGGGATATCGCGAGTCTTGGGTCGAACAGGCAGCGGGACGTCGAATAGTGGTTTGCGGTCGAATTTTCGGGACTCTAGACTTTCAGCCATCATCTTTGCATACTCACGCTCAAAATCTGCCTCATCAGCAGGATCGATCTCCTCGGCTTTCCTAGTAACCACGATCGCTTCCTCTTCTGACTCAAAATCTTGAGGAGATTGTGGCTGGTTCTCGACATCCTGCTCAGCACACAGACTGTTAGTTAATGGCCGCCGATCGAAATAAATGATGTAGGTAGGAAAGCATGCCTCAGTATCGTCTTCATCTCCAAGCTCTGAATCATCCCCATCAGCTTCAGGGAGCACAATATCGCCATCACCCTCAGCACCTTCGTCATCAGAAGAAGCGCCACTAGAAGCTTCATCTTGATCGGCACCTTTGTCTAGGCCCGCATTCTTCTGATCCTGCGCTACTGCAAGTTGGAATGCTTTTGTAGCCTCTTCCAAGGTTGTGGCTAACTTCCACTGTGGCCTAGTTAAAGAGAATGTATCTTGGACGATAAACTCTATATCCATGGGGAGAGGATGCTTCGTGCATATGTAGTACTATGAACATGTCAGCACGGTTCTATGCTAACTACATAGTATTATGAATTCAACAAACCTGGAGGAATGAGAGGAAATAGTCGAGTTTCTTTCCCGCTGCACCTCGGTTAAAGAACATGCCACATGTCTCAAGCATTGTAGCTACAAGGCGAATACGAAAGTAGTCATCAGGCAAATCCAGGGGGTTGAGCCGACCAGGAACAGGTGGGCCGCCTAAACAGAATTAGTTCACACCAGGATGATATATATACGAGTCCAACTCACCATAGCCGAAGGTCATGATCTTGTACATAGTGTCAAAGATAACGGGGTGCTCTAGCATCCGGTAGTTATAGAGCTCGCCCAGATATTTGACTTCGGCAATGCGCCTTTGGTTGAATTTGAAATCATTTTGCTCCAGTCCAAATATGACGGATTCAACAACGTTATCAATAACCGTGACTGTGAAATCGGGGTGGTAGCGGTAGATAGCACTGAGTAGTATAGCGAGGATGTGGATGCTACCGTACTTAACCTTAGCAGGCCTTGAAAACACCTTCGTTAGAATGGCTACTACCTGTCGTACTTGTTAGTTCATATCCCTTCTAGGAGGTCAAATATTGGTGTAATACCTCAAATTCCTCCCAATGTAGTCGACGAATCTGCTTGAGAACCTTCGTGTAATTACGCTTTGTCAGGTCAACATAGATAAGCTTTCGAATGAATAGTTCGATAGGAGTCCGTTCCTTTTGCTGGATCGATGCCCTTTCCGGCGGATCCACGTAGTAAACCGCGTTTTCGATGAGCATACGTTCATGCTGACCAATATGCTGCACGGACTTCTTGCGTTGCAGAGTGTCTAGGAAAGTTGCCATCCGGGGCGAGGTATCGGCGTTACGGAGCAGATATCTGCCACAATTCTCCAGTAGATTGCAGATAATGTCGATATTCATCTTAGAGAAGTCATCCATGCTAACTTTCAAGCAATGGAAAACCACATGCTCTGGAACGATGCCAAACTTGGTGAGCTCAGCAAGATAGCGAATATTGCTTTGTCGTACCTGTCCTAGAAAGTCCTTCTCCTTACGACGCTGAAGACTGCGAAACTCCGCATCAAGGTAATCCACTACCCCTCTGGGTATGTCAGGCATATACCGGCCAAGTGTAGCTACAAGACGAGACCAAAATGGTAAGAGATCTTGGCGAGCCTTTGGCACTTCGGTAAGCGCCTTGATAAGCCTGTTTCGAGATGCCTTGGAATTCAGAAAGCAAAAGTCGATAGCTGCTTGATCGACCGCATCTTTGTGTGTAAGCTCAGGTAGTCGTGTTAACAATACGTCAACCTGGGCGCCAATGGTCTTGTTTGCGATAGCAGTAGATTGGTCGTCATTTGCTTCCAGAGACTTAGATGTTTCGGAAGAGTCGGCAGGATCTGTTCTCTTGCCGACCTGGTCGTCCGTCTCGGCCTTTTTCTTCTTTCCATCCTCAAGCAATATTCCAGGAACTTTGCCCTTTAGATCTACTAGGTTTTCGTAGAAGCGGCGTTCGTCTTCATCTTCCCATATGCCTGCTCCCTCGCTCTGCCCACGAAGATATTCCCCAGTCTTGACGAGTCCGATTGCGCCATTGGTGGTTGAAAATCCATCCGATGTTTCCTTCAGATCAGGCATCTCAGCACCAATTGCGTCGGCTATAACCTGAGCATTGCTAACCAGGCGTTCTTGAGCCTTTAGCTGTCGCTCAAAATTTGCCTGCCTGTCTTCGAATACCTCTCCAGATTTGACGTAGGCCTCCGAATTCCTGCCTCGTTGGGTGATAATGTTCTTCTGGTCGCGCACAAGATGGGCTTTAACATCCTCGAAATACCTTTTGAGAATATTTCTAAAACGCTCTCGCAGCTCAGTGCTAGCGAATGGAGCGTCATCATCTGCATCAGGAATGCCACCATCTTCCGACCCATCGTTCTGTTCGGAGTTCTCATCAGTAGATTTCGTAGCACCGTCTTCCTCAACAGTCTTGCGCCCTTCTGAACCGGCAGACCTGACCCCCAGAATATCCCAGGCGAAGGATTTCACGAAGATGACCAAAAGTGGTAAGTTAACATGCTCACGATCGTGGCCCAGGAGGTCCTTGAGTACTTCAAGAGGGAATGGTTCGGCCCCACCACCCTTCGTAGAATTAGCTGATTTAATTTTTAATTCGGCATTCTTGCCATTGGCCCCGCGTGTCGCGTCGTCCGGCTTGACATCGTCAAGAGTTCGTAGGACCCCCACAAGCCATAGTTCGGTAATTACCCTTAGAAGGGCTCGTTGTCGCACAAGACGTTCCTTCTCTTCTCTTTCGCGAACCTCTGCAGTTAAGGACTTCAGTAAGCTTTTATCAGGTGTGGCCATTCCCTTGCCAAGCAGCCATCCCAAATACTCGGTAAACTCGGCGGGCCCAAATCGTTGATGTAGTGCGCTAACGATCTCGATGGCGGCATCGATTTCCCCGGGGGTCTTGAGCTTGCTAAGTCCCTCATAGCAGGCCGAAATAATCTCGGAGAGATACTTGAGAAGGCTTAGGGTTCGTATTTCCTGTAAGAATGTGTTCAGGGTCGCGGCCGTAATCGCGGTGCGCAATCGCTTAATGAATGCGGTGTTTTTCTTCAATGAAGAGTCGAGAGATGCGCTGACGGGGAAGATATCTATCTAATTGTTAATCACCTCGGCGTTAGGGCAGGATAAGAGGCAAGGTATACCAGCTTCGCCATCCCATGCGCGTTGGTTAAGCGATAATAGATCGCCTATAAGTCAAGCATTAGCAGAGTTGATAGGGTTGGCGCAAAGAATGGGAGCTGTACTGACGTTTCCGAGAGCGGTCCATGCTGGATAGCTCCTTATGATATGGAGTTTGCTTGCCAACTGAATTGCTACATTCGCCACGGTAGTTAACCCTGCTAAGGGATGATTCGCCCCAGAAAGCGGAAGCGACACGGAGTATTAAGCTCGGTGTGCATCGGTGGACAAGGCGGCAGATATGCCCTGCGTTAAAAGCAGCAGGGCAATAATGGGCGGAGGGGAATTCGGAGTTGGGGGGTGTTGATTAATTGATTGGTTGTGGTGGAAAAAAGATTGCAAGGTAAAAAAGGCAATGCCCAGATACCTAGGTAATGAGGGACATGAGTAAAGTAAAATAATTAAGTAGGTAGGAAGGTTGAGTATTGAGTAGAGTGAGATGATATGGAATCAAATTGGTTTACAAAGTTGGTGATGTTGGAAAAAGTTGAAAGACCAAGGACACTGTCATCAGGGTTGCATGTGTGAATGATGTCGTTCGGAACGTCACCCAATTGAAAGAAAGGAAAGAAACGCAAGCCTCAACTTTGTTTAAGACTCCGCCAAAATCTCGGGAAAATTGATCACAAACCTTTTTGTCGTTCTAGGTTAGTCGGGAACTTTGAACCATTTGAATTTGGACGGGGCGACCGTGCTGAATAGCAGTGATTCGATGTTTGCAGTGGGGTCGTTCCAGGTACCAACCTTAGGTACGCTAGTAGGTTTATTATGTCACTGGTAGAAAGGTACGGTTAGAAGAAACCTTGAGGTACTGTAGTAAGGTAAGAACATTGAACTTCAAAGGCTACCTAGTACATTACATGTATGTAATGATTGACTAGATCTTCTCAGCCTCGCAGACATGGAAGTTACACCTTCGAGTACGGTACCTACATAGTACCTACCAATAGCCAATACCGGGACTGGAAAGTGAGACAGGGCCTGAAGTGACGCATACATATAGTTAGTACCAGGCTAGGTATATCTTTTAAACAGAGGTGTTAATTCGCAACTACAACCTTTACATGTAATCATTGATGTTTGGAAGACTACTTACAACAATGTCGAATTATATTGTACGCCCCTCATTCACGCCTCATCCCACGTCCGAGTCTAGACTACTACCTCAATTCAATATAGTTTGTAATGGATGCAAACATAATGCAGCTTCCATGTTCCACCTGATACATACCTAGGCAGGAATATGTACAACTAACTAACTGTGGCATCATGACTAAACTCATTTATTGAACATATTTCCCTCAGTTTCTCAACAGACATCCTAAGAACATAGGAGGATAGCTAAGGATAGCAAGTAGGTATGTACCTATGCAGACACCCACATCACCAAAAGCTACCGTCATGGAGATATAGGTAATACACACACTGGATACATACTAGGTACCCCGCAACATCTTAATCACATACATACCTTAGTCAGTTGGCTGTATCCCGTCGGAGAGGCCAACCGACGATGGAGTCACACATTTATACCTACCTACCTACCTACTTACCTATCTATTAACTTAGGAGGTAGATATCCGACATGAATCCGATGCCCCTCCTAGCTGTTCGACAAAAGACTACTTACGATTGGTTCTTCTAATACAGTAACACAAGACTTCATCTGTTCTCCTGTTCTCCTTGCTACGTTGTACGTTCAAGTAGCACTTGATAGGTCTCGAATCAGTTCCATTCACCCTTCTCCGCGGTCTTCGGGTTTATATCCTACTAGGTACCTATTACCTGCTAGGCTTTGTCGATTATTGGTTACGGATTACGAATTATCATTGTGACCCATCAATGTCACAGAATCAATTCACCGGTGCTATATCCTGCTTCGTGTGACTAGACGATTGAACCTATCTAGGCACTCTTCACATAGGTCTACGCCGATTCCCTTTCATATGGCCCTTTTGATGATAGAAATGGGGCTTCAGGGATACACTTCGTTCAAGTCTAGGCGATTTCGACATCTCCGCTTACCTACCCTCAAAGGTTGGCATCCACATCCCTTATCAACCAACCGCCATGATTCGCTGTGATCGTCAATCTTGTCAAAGATGTCAATTAGGAACTTTCGATAAAGCTCAGGCCTGCTACACGCCTTGGCTGATAGCATCCGCGGAATTCCTTCAATTGATTGTTATATCTCCTCGCGTTAGTCAATGCTAGGGCGGACCGGTAAGTGCCTAAGTAACGATTAAATTTAGCTCCTCAAGATTTGTTACCTAAAAACTGCGGCGCGGTGTGGCCCAGTGTAGCTGTTCCAGGATTGTAAGCATATATCATTACTATACCTATATTGTCATAACTCGATGGCAAGTATCTTTGGAGCGGTTGTCTGCATATCAATGCGTTGCTATAGGCTGGAAGTTTCTTAGAAGTTGGAGACTGCAATACACAGACAGATTAGTTGTGTTGGCAACCTACGCTTAAGTATTTGCTTACATATGATAATAGGAGTATCGTGCCCCGAATACCCTCGAGTACCTAAGTACTTAGTAAGTGGTATTACTTGGATATATCATAATATTTCATCTTGTACAATTACTTATATCGCGCCTTGTTACCCTCCATGGCTTTATCTTGAGTTATGTCGGGTCTTTATTACCCCTTTCTCAATCTATATGATGCCCATGGCGGGAATATTGTCTTATGCTGATTCTTGGTATGCATGATTACGTCTTTCAAACTAAAGCCCTACCCTCCATATTCATTGCCACTTCCACTTTGCATTATCATCTATACGATGGAGGGCCTAGACTCCGTTCTCGGGTTCCAAAAACTTTCCACCGCATATCTAGTTCGGTATCCTCCCAGTCCTCCCACGACAGAGATTAGTTCGAGGAGACAATCAGATACAGCCTGTGATTTTGAACTTTCGACGTCATCATCTGAAGGCGAGCTGGGACGTGAGGTTTCACGAATTTACCCTCTTCCACCGAAAAGTCGTTCTGGTAATCAAGTTCTTACAGAGGATCTGAATACACCGGACAATCATGTTATTAGGGATCCTCGGTTGATTCGCCTTACGGGCGTCCACCCTTTCAATGTCGAGGCGCCTTTAACCGAGCTTTTCAACGAAGGATTTTTGACATCGAAGGATCTCCATTATGTCCGCAATCATGGAGCCGTGCCTCGAGTTGAGGACTCGACGGTCATGGATTGGGAGTTAACTGTTGAAGGCATGGTGGATAATCCTATCAAAATCAACCTGGCGCAACTGATACATGATTACGAGCAAGTAACATATCCCGTCACACTAGTTTGCGCGGGCAATCGGAGGAAAGAACAGAATATAGCAAGGAAAACAAAAGGGTTCTCTTGGGGGGCGGCGGGCTTATCAACCGCACTCTGGACCGGTGTTGTTATTGGCGATCTATTGAAGAAAGCTAGGCCGAAGCGAGGGACGAAGTACGTGTGCTTTGAAGGTGCTGATAGATTACCGAACGGCTATTACGGAACGTCTGTCAAGTTGAACTGGGCCATGGACCCTAATCGGGGTATCTTGGTTGCTCACAAGATGAACGGCGAGGCCCTTACTGCCGACCATGGAAAACCTCTTCGAATTATTGTACCAGGGCAGATCGGCGGCCGGAGTGTCAAATGGTTGAAGAGAATAATTGTTACGACAGCTCCCAGTGATAATTGGTATCACGTCTATGATAATAGAGTATTGCCAACTATGATCACACCCGAGATGAGTGCCGATATGCCCGATACCTGGAGGGATGAACGATATGCTATCTATGATCTAAACACGAACAGTGCCACATGTTTTCCAGCACATGACGAGATTCTACCCTTAACCCAAGGCGTCGAGAACTACGGGGTTCGCGGTTATGCTTATGCTGGCGGGGGCAAGAGAGTAACAAGGGTTGAGATAAGTCTCGACAAAGGAAAATCATGGATACTCGCCAACATATCATACCCGGAAGACGAATATCGACTCGCTCCGGAAGAAGAAGAACTATATGGCGGTCGTCTAGATATGTCCTGGAGGGAGAGTTGTTTCTGCTGGTGCTTCTGGGACTTGGATCTTCCAGTAACCCAATTGCAAAATGCACAAGATATCCTGGTACGAGCCATGGATGAATCTATGATGGTTCAGGCGCGAGATATGTACTGGAATGTACTCGGAATGATGAATAACCCGTGGTTTCGGGTTGTCATTCACAAGGAACCCCATGCCCTACGATTCGAGCATCCAACTCAGCCGGCACTAATACCTGGTGGCTGGATGGAGCGTGTAAAAAAAGCAGGAGGAAATATTTCTAATGGATATTGGGGGGAGAAGTTAGCGGGCGAAGAAGAGACGATCAAAGAGGAAACAGCAAAAGAGATCTGTATGATCAACCAAGGGGTCAATCGCAAAATTACAGCGGATGAATTGAAGCAGCACGATAGTAAACTTGAACCATGGTTTGTTGTTAATGGCCAAGTATACGATGGAACCGGCTTTTTGGAAGGGCATCCTGGTGGCGCTGCCTCCATCTTTGGTGCTGCGGGACAGGATGTCAGTGAAGAATTTCTTGCTATCCGTAAGTCTAAGTGCTCCCATTGTGACCGAGAAAGCGGAACTGATCCAAAACAAAAAATCAAAGATAGCGAGAATGCCAAGGCAATGCTAGTGGACTACCACATAGGAGAGGCCAACGAAACATCACTGGCGATTCTAGCCGGCGAAGAAAACGATGCCAGTGATAGCTCAATACCACGACCGACCTTTTTACAGCCCAAAGTGTGGACAAAGGCCATCTTATCAGCCAAAGAAAAGGTTTCACACGATACCAAGATCTTTACCTTTGATCTTGAGCACGCGGAACAAACCTCCGGGCTCCCCACCGGTCAACATCTGATGATGCGGTTGCGCGATCCTGTCACACGCGAAGCCATCATACGGTCGTATACACCTATCTCAGAAACCTCACGGAAAGGGAAAATAGATGTACTTATCAAGATTTATTATGATACACCTGGGAAAAGAGGCGGCAAGATGACACAGGCGCTTGACTCAATCCCCATTGGCCATTTCGTAGATATCAAAGGGCCAGTGGGTAAGTTTGAGTACCTGGGCCGAGGTCGATGTACAGTCTCCGGCCGAATGCGCAATATTAAGCGGTTTGTTATGATCTGCGGCGGTTCCGGAATCACGCCAATATTCCAGGTTCTTCGAGCGATACTGACCGACCCCGAGGATAGTACTTCGTGTCTTGTTATTGATGGTAACCGCTCCGAAGAAGACATACTCTGCAAAGACGATCTCGATAAGATGGCTATCCAAAACTCCGATCGATGTCGTTTATTATATGTGCTGAGTCAACCTAGGCCATCATGGAGTGGCCTACGGGGTTGGACGGATCGAGAGCTCCTTGAAAGGGAGATCGGCTCCTATGATAGGAATATCAATCAAGAGGACTTGGTGCTCATATGCGGACCTAAGCCGCTTGAGAAGAGCGTTCATGTTATGTTAAACGCCTTGGGATGGAATGATGAAGATCTGCTGTTCTTCTAAACCCAAGCACCGACTTGATATCCATGGGCATCGTCTCTGTGCTAGCACCAGTGCACCACTCAGTGAGACAGGGAACATTTGAAGATCTAGATGATCACCCTAGTGGATAGTCAATAAAACTTGAGCTGTAATTAGATCGACTTCGGGATGTGGTTCGTGTCATTCCAATTGCATATGTACAGATTCGAGTATGAGTATGTACGGTAGGTACATAGATCGTAAACAAAGAAATCCCGACTGTCAGGAAGCCAATGAAATTCATCCAGATGTTCGATGTTGCTAGATGTACTGTATGTACTTATGTACATGTACCAAGATGCAAATGTGAGCCAAGTATTCGTACCCAAGTACCTCCTGTACCTCACTGTGCATTTAACCCAAAGATTATCCGGACCCATAGATTAAGGTTCAAGTCCCTGCTATCTGCACAGTACTTCGGTACTTATACTTAGTACTATGTACCATTCAATGTTGAATGGTCCATAAGGCTCATTCAAGCTAGTACAATCGGAAGGCCCAAATTACCATTCATGTACCACTGTGCAGTCTGTACCGTACATAGTACATACATCTCGTCACCTTCGCGCAGCCGCCTCAGCTTTCTTCAACCCAACCCAACATTGAACTGCTACAATACACTTCGCCGACCTTCCAACCTCTGTGTTCATTCTAAACCTGCTCTACCAAAACCTAGTCACGCAATTTTCTATTTTCTATTTTCCAAACCCTAACAGAAGTAACCTTGTTGTGACAATTTTTTTCTAAAAAAAGAGCCAACAGTGCATCCTACGCACACAATCAGAAAGCCCCTCTGCTGAACTCTTTTTAACCCACCTGCTTTGTCTTTTCTTTCATCTAATGGCGACCAACTATCGCAGTCCAACACCAGAGCAATCTACTTTGGAAGATCCTGCCACCGCCGCCGCACGAAAAGAATTGAGACACACAGTCATTTCCGAAAAACCCAACTTATCTGCAATGTCTACAACAAACGCAGACCTCGCGCCCCAGGCTATCACCACCGACGATAAGGCGTCAGTCAAGAGTGACATGTCCGACCGCCAATCGCTTGATCCTCCCAAGGATTCTCTAAGAGACAAGGTGGCATCCCCCAAGAAAAAACGAGTCTACGATGAAGTCGACGAGCCTCATGACGCTTCTTCAGACTCCAACGGCGACATTTCTCCCATTGGCACCGACGCCGCTCCATCTCTTAGTCGCACCGACCGATCAGAACCTGAGAAGAAGCGCCCAAGAGATGTTTCGAGCGAATCCAAAGTGAACGCAAATGCGCCTATGGTAAGAATTTTCACCTTGCTGCAATGTTTCTGTTAATCACTAATAATCTCTAGACTTCTAAATCTACCGAAGCGTCCGAGATAAGCGGCGAGAGCGACAAGTCGAGTGCTCAGAAGCAAGTGGAGGCAGGAGAAAATGCCAGCACTGAGAAGGCAAAGCAAGCTACATCGTCCTCAGCCTTCAGCAGCTCCGGCATAGCAGGATTTGCCTCACAAGCTTCGCCCTTTCTACAAGCCAGCTCAAAGCCATTGTCCTCCTTTGCTAGTCCATCCGGCTCGCCGTCTCCCTTCGCTGCTACTACCAAAACATCTACAACTTCTATATTCGGAAGCACCAGCTTATCTAACGGCACCTCACCATTTGGTCAAGTAGGCGGGGCACCAAAGCCTTTCGGATCTAGTGCCTTCGGTGGCGGCTCATTCGGCAACACCAAATTTGGGGGTCCCACACTTACCAGCTTCGGTAAACCTGGTGAAATGTTCAAGAGCGACAAACCAGTTAAGCCCTTTGGAGCGCCTGTCAGCGACGAAGAAGATGACGAAGAAGATGAGGCTGGAGCTGAAGACAAAGAAGACGAAGAGGAAACCCCAGAAGAGAAAAGCGAAAAGGCTGAGAAGGGGGAGAAGTTTGTGCCAACAACAGACGACAAGAAGAAGCCAAAGCTTCAGCGTGGTAAGTTTCTGAATGTAGTAAATTGATTCTGAGCACAAACTAACCAAAACTTGCAGTGGCCGTAAATGATGGCGAAGCTGGCGAAACCACGATTCTGCAAGTTCGTGCCAAGATCTATCATCTAGACAAGGCGAGCAGCTCTTGGAAAGAACGTGGTGCAGGCAACCTTAAGATCAACGTACCTGTGGCTTGCGTCGACTTGGATGAGGAGTCAGGTGTACCTATCCCTGGCACATTTGATGCATCAGCTCTTGAGGATGCCGAGTCCAAGATCGTTCGCTTGGTTATGCGACAAGACTCGACCCATCGCGTCATTCTCAATACCGCTATCATTCCTGCCATGCAGTTCCAGGAGAAGTCCACCGTCAAGGCAGCCTTTGTGCTCTTCACTGCTATAGAAGATGAAGGCGCTGTCAGTATCCAGCTAAAGGTACGTGTCTTATTTTCTCATATTTAAGAAAAATTGTAATACTAATTATGGTACAGATGAATGCCGCCAATGCCAAGAGCTTGTTGAACGAGGTCGGAAAAATCCAGCGCGAGCTTCAGTCGGTCTAGAACGCCGTCGGAACTGGCGCTGTTCCAAACACACCCTCTCTTAACACTACACCCGAGATCAAGGACGACAAGCTTGCGACCAATGTAGCCAATGAAGAAGCTGCAACCAACGGAGAAGCCGCAGACTCTAATGGTGCGAAAGAATCTGAAGAGAATTTGGACGATCTCCCAGACTACGAATCTGATAACGAAAATGTCGAGGTGCAAACCGAAGAGAACTTGGATGACCTCCCAGACTATGAATCCAATGATGAGAATGTCGAGGCAGAGCCCTCTTTGAAGTCTAAAGAGAACTTGGACGACCTCCCAGACTACGAATCCGATAACGAAAATGTCGAGGTGGAAACCGAAGAGATCTTGGATGACCTCCCAGACTATGAATCCGACGATGAGAATGTCGAAGTTGCAAACACTATGCTCGGCCATGTGGATAACGAAATGGCTACCAATGCAGCTGGCAAACCAAACTCTTCCCAATTCAAGACGATCAATGATAACTTATTCTATGGCCCTGACATGGAGGAGGCCAGCGCCACCGAGGTTATCGATTTTGCCACCCGCTCAACGCAAGATATCTCGGCGATCGATGATGATTCATATGACCTCCCCGACTATGAATCAGATACTCCGGATGCCAGGGTCTCGGGATATGTCTGAGCAAGAATCACCGAAAGTCATCGAACGTTGACACCAGTCATTTTACCTGGGACAAAAATTAAGGGCGAAAAGTAATATGATGGGCTTTGGGCCCAGAATTTGAATGCTAGTATGGTTCTCGGCCCAAGAGCCGGTGTAGGGGGACGGTATCGTCTAAGCACAATGCTCTTGGAAGGTCGCATGAGGTGAGCTGGAAAGAAACGGCTGTACTTGGCTCCGTCTTCGGCTCACTCTCAGAAGAGAATGTGGATAATTTCAAGTTTGTGGTCTCAATGTCTTTATTTGAAGCAGATCGATAAGGAGTTAAGAGTTTCCAGCATTTTCAGGAGGGCATAGGCTTTCGTAGCATTATGGAGGAAAATGCTCATATTCGGGGTGGTAATGAATGGAATTCACATGGATTGTCGATAATGAAACGCTTAATTATGGAAAAGAATATTCCTACAAACTCAGCCATAGAAGGCATCGTTATGATACATATGTGATAAATGGCAGTTTAATGAGTGGATCGGATCGGATCGCATACTATGTACTGTAACTATGCGTTTGGAGACGGACCAACAGGTAACTGTAGTAACCCGTAACTAAAGATCACGTGCCTTCGCCTTTGTTTCGCGCCACAGAAGAAATGAAGCGGCAACCGCGTGGCTTGGTGTCACTTACTGTGTAGCTACCTAACCTAGGGTACTAAGTAATTAGTCTAGACTGTCTAGGTACATAACATGTACTGTACGACGTCAACCCCAAATTAGAATCACCAGTGACGTACCCAAGTAAATATACCTAACCTAGTACCTATCTACTCTACCTCCTACATACTTCCCTACTCGATAACGTACTATATGTATATATCATCTCAAGAATAAGAATGCAGTCCAACCGTAGGTAAATGAGATGTCCACTCTCAAGGCTGCCACAGTTTCAAACAGAGTCATTAAGCGGAAAAGAAAGAGGCAAACAACCGAAGAAGACACACAAAGCATAGAAGACACAGGAGCAGAACCGTTAGGAGATTCCACCGGTTCAGGCAAGGAGCCAAGTTCTGTCTCAATAGAGCTTGAAGATACTCTCGAGAAATCAAACGATGGCAAACCAATTAAGCGTCCTGGCGATACCACGCGACGCCGAAAGAAGGTAGATGCGGAAGTCAAGTGCCAAATTGAATGGCCGCAACTATTCAAAGACTTGGATAAAACACACCGCGCTTTAAATTTAGTCTTTACCTTCTGTTCCACCCGCAAACACCTTGCTACCACTTTCGACACGATTCGGACTGCAGTTGAGTCAAATACGAAGCGTGTGTTGACTGTTGAAGATGTGGCTGCCATTGTGGCGCTGCGGCCCGAGGGCATCAATTTCACCTATGTCGATGAAGTAATGCTACAGACCGATATCAAAGGGGCGGAACGAGATACGACTTTTAAATCTGGTAGATCAAGGAACATCATGGTCCAAGGCCCCGCACCGGACGCCTCTGTTGGCGGGTTTACTGGCTTAGATGGGATAGGTAATCGGCATCCGGATGATCTACCAGTCAGTGGTAGCGAAGTCTTATTCTTTGAATTCGTTGACGAAGACCTCAAGAGACAAGTCCAGCACAAGAAAACAGGAGAGCCTACCAATCCCAACAGGAGACTTCGGGATGAGGATTTGAAAATGCCGGTTTACAGTCAAAAGCAACTGACTACGCTAATCGAGAAGCGTAACCAAAAATTCACAAACGCAGCGAGCTCCTTCATAAATCGTTGCGTAGAGCAAAACCTTGACCCCGAGGTCATGCTTCGTCAAGAAGCCGAGGCATACATCCCAGTTCAGAAAGAATTAGAAATAGCAACACCAAACCCAGAATCTAGCACTATACCGGAGTCAATACCTGCCGAGAGGAAGAGTATCCCCGAAATTATTCAGGAACTCAAAGATAGTCCTTGGTATACTAATCAGATTGTGCCAGATGGGCATCGTGTGTTTGAAGCACAAGAGCCTGTATTTGGCGATCTTGATTTTCTACTGAGTCAGGATATGGTGAACGCGCTGTATAATGCAAAGGGAATTACTCAATTCTATGCTCACCAGGCTGAAGCCATCAATAGTCTCCATGCTGGTCATCACGTTGTAGTGTCAACCTCCACAAGCTCGGGGAAATCCCTCATTTACCAACTACCTGTGTTGCATGCATTGGAACAAGACCGTAATACTCGAGCTATATACATATTCCCGACCAAAGCCTTGGCACAAGATCAAAAGAAGAGTTTAAAGGATATGCTATCATACTTTACAGAGCTGCAGGATGTTCTTGCCGAGACTTTCGATGGAGATACCCCGATGCATGATAGGAATCAGATCCGCGATGAAGCCCGGATCATCTTTACGAATCCTGACATGCTTCATCTTACGATTCTCCCCCAAGAGGATAGATGGCGGACCTTTCTCGCGAACCTACGTTACGTTGTCGGTATGCTGACATATTCTCATACACGCGCTGCTGTAATGGCTAATTTTCTCATTAGTTGACGAGCTGCATTATTATAATGGACTAATGGGATCCCACGTTGCATTTATCATGCGGCGACTTCGACGCGTATGTGCTGCCGTTGGCAACCGACGGGTCAAGTTCATATCGTGCTCTGCAACCGTCGCAAACCCGCAAGAGCATTTTAAGACAATCTTCGGGATCGACGATGTACATCTAGTTGATTTTGATGGTTCACCATCGGGACGAAAGGAGTTCTTATGCTGGAATACCCCCTACAAAGACCCCGGAGACCCTACAAGTGGCCGCGGGAATGCCATAGCAGAATGCGCTCGTTTATTCTGTCAGCTCATCCTACGTGGCGCTCGCGTGATTGCATTCTGCCGCGTGAGAAAACAGTGCGAAGAGCTCGTGACGGCTGCTAAGCACGAATTAGAAACCTTGGGTCGTCCGGAATGCATGGCTCGTGTTATGGGCTACCGAGGTGGGTATACGGCACAAGATCGTCGGCAGATTGAGAGCGAAATGTTCGAGGGAAAGCTTATGGGCATCATCGCAACTACTGCTCTTGAATTAGGTGTTGATATTGGCACGCTAGATTGTGTCATTACACTTGGATTTCCTTATACTATCGCGAACCTGCGCCAGCAAAGTGGTAGAGCCGGCAGGAGAAACAAGGATTCACTGTCTGTGCTGGTCGGAGACTGCTTCCCAACCGACCAGCACTACATGCAAAACCCAAACGAGATCTTTACCAAGCCTAATTGCGAGCTCCAGGTTGATCTAAACAATATACTTGTCTTAGAGGGGCATATACAATGTGCGGCATATGAAATGCCCATCAAGCCTGTGGAGGATGCTATCTACTTTTCAAAAGACTTGGCAAAAATCGCAGAAGAACGCCTCATTAAAGACGAGCTTGGGTACTATCACTGTCACGACAGGTTCAGGCCCGTTCCCTCCAGGTTCGTGGCAATTCGAGATACAGAGGACGAGCATTTTGCTATCGTGGATACCTCCCAGGGAAGGAATGTCGTCCTCGAGGAACTCGAAGCATCAAGAGCCTTTTTTACTATTTACGATGGTGCTATTTTCTTGCACCAGGGAACTTCGTATTTAGTACGTGACTTTCAGCCCGACAGAAAGATCGCGAAGGTGGAGAAGGTAAAGGTGGAGTGGACAACACAACAACGGGACTTCACCGACGTCGATCCTATAGAGACAGAAGCCATACGGAGAATTCCTGGCTCCCTGTCGCGTGCCTTTCATGGCACGATACGTATCACCCAGAACGTATTCGGCTATTTCAAAGTCGATAGAAAACGTCGGATTCTTGATGCCGTTCATGTCGACAACCCCCCAATTATCCGGCATAGCAAAGGCATGTGGCTCGACGTTCCTAAGCTAGCGCTCGAGATCCTCGTCGAATGCCGCCTCCACGTAGCCGGTGCGATACACGCTGCCGAGCACGCTATCATGAGCCTAATGCCCAACTTCGTAATCAGCATGCCTGGCGACGTCAGGACGGAGTGCAAGTCCGGCCTGAAGGAGTTTGCGCAGAAGGAGACTTCGCGAAAGCGGCCCGCGCGCCTGACCTTCTACGACGCGAAGGGTGGCGCGAACGGCTCCGGCATCAGCACGAAGGCGTTCGAATTCATCGACGTGCTGCTCGTCCAGGCGCTAGAGCGGGTCCAGCACTGCCACTGCGAAACGGGTTGTCCGGAGTGTGTCTGCTCCGAGTTCTGCAAGGAGGCGAACGAGGTCATGAGTAAAGCTGGAAGCACGGTCATCATCAAGGCGCTGCTGAATATGCATATCGATGTCGAGGCTCTCCCGATGGGCCCGGAAGAGATAAGCCCCCTGGGTATCGAGACGGTGGTTGTGGCGAGACCGGTGCCGCTTCGGGGGAGGAGGAGGGGGGTTGAGGATGTTGAAGTTAAGGTGGAGGAGGAGGATGATGGGAGGGATGTTGGTGTGGTAGAGTAGGTTGAGGGGGGTGACCAAGGACATGGGGATAGAGAGCTAGATGTGGTGGAATCAAGAGCTGGTTTGTAGTAGTATGAATATAGGGGCAACACGGTGCATCACAAGATACCTATCTTGCTTCCTTGCTCATTCAACTTGACATCCATTGTCTCTATAATGGTCCAGTAGGGGCTTTAGGTTCCCTAGTTAGCCAGCCCCTATTTTAACACGCTAGGTATGGGGATAATTCCTAAAGTCATCACAGAGTGGGTCGTCTTGATCTTTATATAGATAGCTTCTCCATTTACTTATACCTAAATAGTCATGCCTATCATAAATCTTCTCCTATATCCTTGAAAAGCTACCTGCTCAAAGACGCCAGTAAATGCTATGCTATGCCAGGTATGACTCCGATTCTAGAACCTCTATCCCCTCTCCCCCTTTTTACAAAAAAAAAAAAAAGAAAACCCAAGAAAAGAAAAGTAAGACGTAGACAGAAATAATCCCATGACCCCCCTATCTACCATCCATCCCTATCCTATGATCGCGAATAACTACCACTGCTGCGTCGTCCACACCATCTCCGGCCCCGCCACAGCCGCCCCCTCAATCTCCCGCGCCTTGAGATCCTTCGCCGTCGTCAGCACCATCCACGCGTGTCCCGACAGCCCAGCCGGCACCGCCGCCGTCCCATCGTCCGCAGACACAGGCGTGTACGCGATGCTGCCCCAGGGCCCTATCCACGCGACCCAGTGGTCTCCGGTGCTCGCGGACGGGACCTCGACTTGCACGCTGACGAGCCGTCCCGCCTCGGCTCGCTTGCCCTTGAGCACCAGCGCGGGCAGTGCCGTGCTGGTGCTGGTGCTGGTGCTGGTGCTGCCGCAGCTCCCCGGGACAACGTACTTGCTCGCGATGTACGACTGCGCCAGCTGGTAGGGCACCATGGCGTCGCGCGCGGCGGCGGCGGCGAAGTGGCTCTGCATCATGTTGATGACGGCGGCCATGCGCGCCTCGGCGCCGAGCTCGGAGGCCAGCGCGGGGATCATCCAGGTGTCCGGAGAAGAAGCGGCGGACGCGTTCCCGGCCGCGAGCGCGACGGCGTCGATCTTGGCGCCCATCGAGAGCGTGAGGATGGTCAGGACGTCCTGGAGCCAGCCGTCGACGCTCGAAGTAGTCGCGGCGGTGTCGTTGCCGTTGCCATTGAAATTGTACGCGCAGGCGGCGACGGTCGCCTTCCCGTAGTGCGCCAGCGCGTCCGAGTACGTCTTCCGGTGTATCAGCGCCTGCGCGGCGAGCGAGCCGAGGGAGCGCGTCACGGTCTGCGGGTACGCGCCCTTCCAGTCGCCGTCGCTCAGCCGGACGTACCCCTCGAGCAGGACCGCGACGAGCGCGTTGCTGATGTACTGCAGCGCCTGCAGGATCGCGACGCCCTCGTCCGTGATCGTGGCCGCCCACCCGTAGTCGCCGGGCTGGTCGCCGCCCGCCATGCCGCCGATGTTGGGCGGGTAGCTGGCTCCGGGGGGCGGGATGCTGCCGAGCAGCGCGGGGTCGAGGGCGGTGGTGTTGAGGACGGTGCCGACGGCCTGGGTGATGATGGTGCCGTTGACCTTGAGGGTGCCGAAGAGCGGGGTGGTGGGGGGGATGGTGCTGGGCGGGGCGGTGGCGGCGAGGGCGGCGAAGGCGGCGAAGGTCTTGTTGCCGTCGGCGGGCGCGTTGATGGAGCCGACCATGCCGGCTTGGCAGTGCGTCTTTGCCGTCTGCGCGCAGTAGAACCAGATCGGCTTGTCGTCGGCGACGGCGACTTCGAAGGTCACGCCGGAGGGGGTCTGCTGCGTGGGTGCGAAGGGGGCGGCGAAGCCGGAGGCGAGGGGTTGGCAGGGTTGGTCGAAGGAGGATTGGACGATGGAGTGGTTCTGTGGATGATTGGTTAGGCGGTGGAAATCGAACAGGTGGATACGGAAGTTTGGGCTGATACTTACGGCTGGGTTATAGCTAAACTCGAGGATAGTTCCCACGAGCTCAGTCACATTGTTAGGGTTGAACATGAGCTTCCCGTCGAAGCCGACATCGATATGGAGTTTTCGTAGACCCCCTGCGGGTAGAGTTCCTACTGGCGGCGTGCTGGGCGTGGCAGCTGTTTGGGCCTTGGCCTTATATGCGTCGAATGTGTTACCGGAGCTGGGACTGTTCTAACATCAGCATGGTGTCGGTACAATCGCTCGCCTGGAGATGTTTTACTTACGCGTTGACAGAGAGCACCATGCCGTTTTGGCAATGGTTGCCGTTGGATTGGGGGCTAGAATCTGTATAAGTGCTTGCTCTTTGCATGTTGATAAATAGGCAGCTAGCTCAAGGACTTACCAGTAGAACCACAAGGGCTTCGTATCGTTAACTGTAATGGTGAACGTTGTCGGAGCTGCTACGTCCGGGGAATCGTTCGGTGTGAACCCGGAGAAGATGCCATTATCTTTTAGTTGGCAAGGGGTATCAAAAGTAGATTGCGCAACGGCGTGGTTCTATACGAATTTAATATGTGTAAGTAAGTGGTATCCTACCAGGGCTTCATCGAAAAGGGGGTATGATGAAAGTACATACCTTTGAGAAAAATGTAAAAAGGAGTTCATCACCAGGGTTCACCCCGTCAAGCGTCTCAGGGTCGAACTTCAGTTGACTCCCTTTACCGACTGTGACATTGTACTGAGCAGCATTGGCGAGAAGTGCAGAAGCCGTTAGGGCAGCTGCGATATTAGAAGGTTTCAACCAGAACATCTTGCTTTAGGTAAAAGAAATCAGAAACCAGAGTATAATAAACCTGATATGATGAAAACACTGTGTGTGAGTGATACAGGAGAAATCTTCAGAGGAAAGCAAGACGCCTTATTTATTTACTTCCTTACAAGAAGGCCTCCGCATCTTTGATCACTTTACATACCTACATGGTTGGTGTATTGCATATGGATTACCATGATAATATTCGACATGCTGAGAATAGGTACCATAGGTGTGTTAACGGTGTAAATTGATTGGCCGGTTGCAGTGAATATTCTATTCTTAGCCCAACTGCAGCATGTACCGACCAACAGGGGATTCCAGAGACGGCCTATGGTTGGGCGCCAGCACCTTAGGAGCGTAGTTGTAGGAGATCGGATAAGAGGATACCGGTGAACTGCCACCCGGTGTGTGGCCGGCCCTCATGTAAGGGACCCAAAATACCTATGTCGTCCTCTGTCGTCCTATGTTGTCCTATGTTGTATCCCCGCCCTCAACTTCCCCAGGGCTGCGTGCCCGGATTTGTTGTTTCCCGGCCCATGCATGCTTCGTTTGCTTCGCCACACTGTCCCGTCTCCCCCAAACAATCAATTTAAGAACGGAATAAAACATTTCCATCGTGGCGTCAGCAAATCAAATCATTATCGCTAATTATACTAATCTCTAATGGCATGGAGTTGACATGTAAAATCCCATTCCCAGATTTGGTTTTAATAAAATGTCTATGTTTAGATTTCTTTCAACGTTGGGCCAAAATATTCCGGAAAGGTCACCAACGATGCAGCCCATGCAGCACATACTCCCACACACTCCCACATACTCCCTGTCTAGGGGCTATTCCACCTCTAACCGTCCAGTGAACAGCCGCCTGGATAGAATTGTATCCGTTTGAAGATAATGGGAAACTTGGACACCCGCATTCTTGATGAAACGATGCCGCCAACAAATAAAGCGAATCCCACACCCGCAGCAGCCCCCTGTCGCATTCTATAGAAGTCGATGGCATTGAATGCTTAGTTAGGGTATTTTTATATAAATCCCTAGATCAAGAATTTCGTGATGATATATACATATGATATGCATACCCCGTACCACCTAACCTTTAGGTATCTTCCTACTTCCTCGTAGTCTTAAAGCGACTCATCCCTTGCTCGCTGTCATTTCAACCCGACAACACTTTGATCGTTCTAACCACTCTACCAAGATGGCTACACGCAAGGCACCGTCAGTTTACTGGGCGATCACGCTTCTATTCTTATCCCTCTCGCTTCTCTGCAGTCTCCTGATACTCCTTTCTGGGATCGGCGGGCATGTCGTCGCAGACTATCTAACGGTAAGGGAATGAATATCTATCTATCGCTCAGTGATTGGGAATACTCACCAACTTGTTCGTTCTAGATCGATACGACAGCACTCGATGTTCCAGCAAAGCTCAGTGGCTCGCAGATCCTGAATGACTTGTCCACACTCACTGGCCAAGACTGGGTTGGCTCCGCTGCGACTGCCGAGTCCCTGGGCCTCTCGCAAACCTACAGCCTCAATCTCCTGACGGCTTGTTCCGAAAGCGACGGCTCGACTACTTGCGGCAAGCCTCAGATCGGATTCACATTCGACCCCAGTTCCGATCTTGATCTTCGCAGCACCTCGATCCAAGGATTCTCCTCGGCCTACTCCGACCAGATTCGGGCTTACGGTAAAGTCTCTACGTTCCTCGGAGCTGGGTACATTCTCGGGGTTATCTTCATAGCGTTGTCGTTCATCCTCGTTGCCGCATCTCGATGCTTCCCCAGCGTGACCGTCTTCAGCCAGCTCACTTCAGGGCTGGCCTTCGTCTTCCTCCTCGCGTCTGCTATCGCTTCCATCGTCAAGTTTCACCAATTGAAAGACGCATTCAACAATGCTCTTGGCGGCTCCGGAATCCAGACTCAGACGACCTCCAAGATGTTTGGTCTTGCATTCACTGCTGCGATCTTAGTCTTTCTGGCATTTATTCTCACCTTACTTCTTCCGAGGGACAGACGCAACGAGCGAAGCCGAGGAGGCATCTTCGCCAGCGGCCCGGATGGCAAGTCCGGCTCAAACCTCCTCACCCGGATCGCCACGTTCAGGCAACGTAAGTACGTCGCCGTCGAAAAGCAGGGCCCAATTGCGCCGGGCCGCAGCGTTTCCCCTGGAAGCGATAGAGCACGCCTCAGGGCAGAAGACGACTTCTCTCACGAGTACCCCAATGATTTCGCCATGGGGCCGATCAAGAAGCACGGCGGTCAGAACGCGAATGCGAGGGCTACGTATGATCCTCCGGCAAGAACCACAAACGCACCGCAAATATCCACGGCTTATGATCCGTACTTGTAATGGTACCTAGTCAACTGGTTGATTATAATGCTACTTAGTGTTCAGGGAGAAGTTTTGATCGGTATTGGACACAAATTCGGCCAGTTACAGCTGAGGTAAAGGACCTGGGTCTCTGAACCTCCTTGTACAACTAATCGTTTTGGGACGGTGTTTAACAAGGAAATTATGGTTACTTATCAAGAAGCAGGAGTCGCATTTGACATAGGCGCCTAGGTAAAGCACATGGAGTTATTGTATTGTTCTGGTTCTTCACATCTAGACAGCATTCAATTGTTTTTTTTACCAACTTCAAAGTTATCGTATCAGTGTTTCCTTTTCCAGTAACCATCTTGTTCAATCTCTCCTATTCTCTTTTTCCCTTTCTCTGCATCTTCAAGCCCTAAACTTTCCTGCAAGCAACTCTTCCCACCCAAACCTAGTACAAGCCGCAAAAAAGAGACAAAGAGCATCAAAAAGCAATAGCATCCCGTCTACTCTCGCCCTCGAAGCACGGCCCACATCATGGCGCAGACAAGGACAAGCGCGACGATGGCGAGAAGGCAGCAGATGACGACCATCTGGGCCTCGGTGAACTGGTCCCAGCAGGCGAATCCCTAGGTCGCAGCTGCAGGGCCGTCGGCAGTCTCGGAAGCAACGGCAACGCCGCCACCGACAGAGTCAGCGGGGGTGTCGTCGTCGTCGTAGGCGTAGAAGTAGCCGCCGCGGGGCATGGTTCCGTAGTGTCGCTGCTCCTGTTTTTTTTTTTTTTTACGTTAGCTCGTGTACTTACTTATTTATACAAAGAAGCAGGTAGGTCAAAAGCAAGTAAGCAGGGCAGGTAAGCTTACGAAATCTCGGAAATCTCCCGCGATGTATCGGCCGATGTGGCCAGCGCCGCCAAACACGTGCTCGTCGCTCTCGTTGTCGAGCATGACGCTTCGGCCACTCCCAGCGGTGGCGACGGTGCTGGCGACCGATCCAGCAGCCGAGGCGGCGGCGACACTACCGACAGGGCTGTTCTGGGTCGGGGCCTCGGGCTGGGCATGCTCGTGGTGGTGGTGGCGCCAGTGAGCCGCGACGCGCGGGCGCGATCGGCGGCGGCGCGCAAGGACGAAGACGCGCTCGCGCTGGCGCTCGATCATCAGCTCGTCGAGCCAGCCGTGGCTGAAGACGCCGGCGGCCTGCTCCTCGGTGTGGAAGGGACGCGAGGCGGAGCGGTTCGACTCGCCGATGGACATGCCGCGGGGGGTGACGCTGAAGGTGAGGTCTTCGCGGCGAGGGGTTTCGGGCGGGGCGATCGGCGAAGAGGCGACGTCTACGGCGGTAACAGACGCTTGATCGTCTGGGCCGGGCGAGGCGGGACGGGCGCCGGCGTCGGCGCTGGAGGCGTGAGAACGGATGGAGTCCATTGTCACGGGCACGAAAGCTGGTTGACTGATTGCTGGAGTAAAGAGTTAGGTTCAGCTTCTTAATTGATTTTTTGAAAAGAAATAATTGAAGCGAAGAGAAGAGAAGGGGAGGGGAATTGACTGACCTAAAGCAATGAATTTGTATTGAGAGTATTTGGCGGAAACACCCCAGTGAGGATTCTGGAGGAACGTTGGGTAGCGGGAGAACGAGAAGATTAATAAATTGAGATAGATGTGAGAGGTTTAATTGAAAAAAGAAGTGATTAAATTGATCCGTAATTCAAGTGTTCATCGAATAACGACCTAGAATTGTTGAAGATACCCTCTGGAGAGCGAGGGTAAGCGTACAAAGATTCTTCTGCGATGAACAAGTATGTGTTGTGCGGATCAAGTGAGCACTTCGATGTAATGATCAAAGTAAGAAAAAAAGACGTTATTCTATGAACGCAATCACTTGTTGATAAATAGACCGCATTGCTCGGGTGCCTAAGGCAGCCAGCTTGAGGTAGCGAGCCTGAGGAAGCAAGTTTCGACGTCGGGTACAAGGTACCTATTTCGCCGTGGCCATGTCTCTATAAGACTGGGTGGTTTTTGAGATGGATCAGGTCCCGAAGAAATAAGCTCAACGGCGGTAATTTTCTATATTTATTGTCATTTTCTGTTGGATGCCTCAGGTTAGTGGTGTAGTTACGTGCCTTGTACCGCTCGTCTACAGCACCCACTCCACAGTGAATTCCTATATACGCTCAAGTTGGCCTTGAGATCTATATATATCTCTTTTCAACATCACTTACCATCTGTTGAAATCGACAAACATGCGCATTACTTCACTACTTCACATTGGCATACAAAGACTCGACAACAGACAGTTTCCCGATTCGGCTATTCTCACGGCACCGGATCGGCCCCGCTTTCTATGATATTGAAGATCAAATGGGGCCGGTTGCCCGGCTCCGAGTCCCACAAAGTACGGTACATATACCTAAGTACTTTGATGCTCAATGTTAGATACATCCATGGATAGTATTTATATCTAGGAGATAGGTATGTTTTCGTTACAATGGATAACAAATCATACGTAGAAGGGTGATTTTCAAGTGAATTATCAACTGCCTATGAACTCCTTGAAACGGTATCCATCCACCTCATACTAGCATTGCTTTACGCTCAAAATGTCTCGATACCCACTTATATACCTACTGATATTTATACATTGGGGTATCCTCTTAATAACGAAGGGTTTAGATATTTTACTACTACGCCTAGCCATGTGTGTATCGTTACATACCACCCGATTTTGTCCTCCAATCCCCCATTCATTAAGGGAATATGTCGCATTACTTCAAAGAAGGAGAGTATCCAAACCTATAACGATTGACCAACCCATAGCCATATCTTTAGAACCAATCAATACCCACAGATCTTGCCTACCCGAGCTTTAAACGTACCCTACGCCCCATCAAAACCCCAGAGCTAGGTCAACCTTGCCACGAATCTGATCTATATCAATGGTTAGCTATTAGTCCAATATACATTCGGAAACAGGAAATTCAAAGTTACCTCTCATTCCCCCTAAAGCTTCGAAAGATGTGGCGTAGTTTTCAAGGGTCACTAGTATGGAAACTAGTCCTTGTTGAAGACGATCACGAAGGTTGTCGACAAGAGGACTTGCTTCGCCAACCACGGTCGGATACCTCGACTCTGTTCTATCCTTGACCATGAGCAAGGCATAGCTACATTGCATTGCACAACAGGCAAACGAGGGCATTGTTCTCGGTGTGATCAGAGAGGAATTCGGCCCTATGTAGCAGGGCGTATCGCAAAGCAACCCACTGGGGTTCGGGTAAGGCAGTGAATCAAACGCCTGGGCGATATTCAAGGCAGATTTCAGGCAAATCTTGGATGATTGGTGTGTGGTGAATGGGAACTGAAGGGACACTGGCGCAGGCTGATAGGTAAAAGTGCAACAGTCTGCGTTAGGTGTGGATCGACTGGAGAGAGTGGGCGACACTGATCCCACAGATTGGCTAGAGTGGGCGGACGGAGTCCCGCTCATCGTCGTAGTGCAACATGATTGAAGTTGCACCACGTCGGGACTTTCGGCGACTTCTTTTTCGTTTGTGCTCTTTAGATCGCAGTGTTTTACAGAAAACACGGCGAGGTCAAAGAAAGCGCAGTAGCGATGCACTTTGATTCGAGCACTAGAACATATGTCAGCATAAATGTAGGACAAGCAGAGTGCCGGGAGTCGACTTTACCTGTTTAGCTTGATGCGCGAGATACACCGCAGCGACTGCGATAAAACAGACTCCCTCTTGTCAACTGGCTGCGTCAACGAAGAGTTCAGTACCCATGTCTCGGATTTGGTGATCAGAGGCTCCAAAAGGCGTTCAAGCTCTCTCATTCGGTTGAAAATACGCGTCATGTCTGCTTGATCTTTTCTAGCCTTATTGAATTCAATAACGAACTGGGTAGCTGCTAGAATAGCTTGTTGGGCCTGTACAAACAAGGGCCAGGCCTATTGATGATTAGAAACGAGGCATAAAATATGCGCAAAGTAGAATATCATACCTCTGTGTCCGCTTTGATAGTGGGATACTTGGCGGTAAAACTAGATGCAAACACCTCAAAAGTCGGTGGCTAATGAACATTAGCGAGCGCGCCCCATGCAATTGAAAGGTGAACTGAAGACCTACGATGTTGCTGACAATGGATCCCTGACAAACACAAATGTAAGTCATCCACCAGGCGCGACGTCGCGCCTCAGAATATTCATCTTCTACGTCGTTGCGCGTATGGAGCGATAGAGACATTGCAGCCACCAAAGCTGCGCCAGTCCTCGCTCTCATCTTCTTCAAGTTCCCACGCTGCGCATATTCATAGACGCTAAGAAGATTGAGGGCGATGATACTTTCTAATTCAAGAGGAACCTGTGAGTGAAACTTTTCTCGGAAAATCTCCTCATCGGAATCATCCAGGGCCTTTGGCGGCTCAACAGAGGATTCAGGCCTCTCGGACTCGATCTCGATACTTTCCAACGCTGCCTTTGCGAGAAATTGCGAGTATGTGCGCCTCCAACGGACTGATTCTGCATCAAGTGGATTGGTGTCCTGAGGGCATGGTATAAGAGCCAGGATTGAGGAGACGGCCAGACTGATGGCCGAAGATGGCTCCTCAAACTTGTCTCTCTGAGTTTCGAGAAGAGGCATAACTTGATCAACTACTGGTGTCGTTTCTGGTGGTGGCAGGATAGGGAAATAAGGATGAATCCAGATATAATACGCGTTCAATCTAAGGTTGGGTTAGTCGAGCAGGTTCAGGATTTACAAGACGAGACAACTCACATAGCCCGGTCGTTGCCGCCATAAGTCCTAACCATCGGGATTTTGATATCACGAGCAGTATTCATCATTGCATCTTGAAATAGATTGTCATATATAGCATCACTGTCCCTCCATATATCAGCTAGAGGCTTGAGGCCAGCCCCAGGGTCGATATAATTCTCGAGTAGAAGCGCTAACCCTGAGTCAGCAATGATACATCCGGGAATCGGCCGGTCAGCTTTACTCACAGTCCTGTGGGAGTTCCTCTTGCTGAAAAGGTAGCGAGAGGGCGACATCTTGATAGTCCGAAAGCGGTCGAGACTTCTTGCGGATACGAGGTCCCCCTCGCCTACTAGGTTTATAAACGCACTCGCGATCTTTGGTTACGCACTGAAGAAAGGTTAGAATAGTTAGAAAGCGACTCGGGGTTGTTTATTAGATGCGAGGGATGAAATAAACGTCTGGTAGAGCGTACACTTGCGCACGGATGCTCACCGTTGCATCTCGTCCTTGAGGCACGACTTTGGCATCTCGTTAGCATGAACAGTCATCAATCATGTTCGCTAGCTGCCTAGGTAGGTATTGGCGCGATGGCACAATCCCGATCTTTGCGACTTGCGACATGCGGCTTGCGGCTTGCGACGTACCATGATAGACAGGCATTCTTAACAGGAGGGACCGCAAACTTCTTCCGAGGCGCCGAAGGTTGAACGGATAATCTCTGCGCCCCATTTTGACCGTCTCCCTCTGACATCGTCATGGTGTTTGGTGTTTGGTGATTGAATCAACATATAATTATCTAGGGTACCTAACGGTGAGGTGCTATTGTAAGGTAGGTAGATCTGTAATTAGGCCTATCTGTAATAAGATAGGCCGTTCCACGAGTCGTTAGGTAATTAGATTTAAGAGACTAGGTGGAAAAACAAGGCATAGCGGCTCGCGGGGGAGGGTCCCTTAATTTCTTTTTCTTTTTTTTCTTCTGTTACTTTCTTTTTCTTCTTTCTTTTCCCTTTTTTGCCCTTCTTCCCCTTTTTCGATCTCTGAAGATTGTAGGCGGTGGAGATCAGAAAAATGATCAAGCAATAGAAAGACTCCCGATTGACCGGATCATACGGATTCGTGACTCTGGGGGGCTTTTAATTCAGCTGAGAGCGGGGTAAAAAGACACTGTAGGTATTATAGCTAGCTCTCTATTTGAGAGCCGGCATATATGTGTATGTGTGGTAGATATGTAGTAGTAGATAGATATCTAGATCAATAAAAACTAGGCTTGGGGAAAGAAAAAAGGAAAATCTTCTATGTTAGGTATGATGCGGTTCGAATGGGGGGTTTAAGAATGAAGGCGTCGAATTGGGTGGTAGGTGACTAGACACGTTGAACGAGTCAGCTTCCTTGACATATTATTGGACATTTAAAGATGAAGGGGGTGGGAAGCATGTGGGAAATAGTAGTGGGAAAGCGTGGAAAGCGTGGAAAGCATCATGAGACATTTGCATTGAACTTTCCCCGATAAGATCTTTCGTCTTTCGAGACTTTCTAAGATAAGAAGGGGGTTAATTAACCAGGGGGATCACTAAGCAAGGGGGGTCCTGATTGCCTTGTAGTACTACCTACAGTAACCTGCAGTAACCTACATACATAGTACCTACTATGTAGGTTAGGGTACTACCTATAACATTTAACGTTCAATGTTGTGCAGCTGATTGATCATTGATACAATTTGATAGGGCCTAAATCCATGTACCTAGCTACATATGTAGTACTTACCTGCAGGTGGCAGTGTTTTAGGTATTGTATTGTACCTAGTTACTAAGTATAGGTATACCTGGGTAGGTACAGTTAAGTAGCGTAGTAGCATCCAGCCCCGCGGATACGCTAAACAACAGTTCACTTAAAGAACCTACTGGATATACATACTACTAACCTTGAATGTATGACATTGTATGTAGGCCGATAGGGTACTTACATACCTGATCCCGGCCCGCTCCGCTTAAAGGCCTCAAATCCACTCTTTGTATCTCAATGCTAGGTTTATGTGGTTTATGTGGTTTATGTATGTGCCTAGGCACTCTCTCCTCACTCTCTCCTTTAAATACTACTCCAACATTGAATACACTACCTACCTAGGTATAGCCACGCAATCACTTTCTTCAGCTTTGATCGCCATCTATGTGTCTACTTACATCTACTGCCAAGTGTACTTACTATACGTATACAATTAACATGTAGGTCAAGCACCCAGTAGACATGCCTCCACCATTCGCCGAATCCCTTTCCCGATGCTTTACCTCTTCTAGCACATCATATCCGGCCCTCTTCCGCATTCGAGATCCGTTACACGTTTCTGTAAGCCGGCCTTTTTTCAACGATACTATATGTAATCAGCGCCGCTTCTGCACTCCCTTATCATCGAATGCCTCTCATTGGGTAATCTACCATCACGTCATGTATGTCCGTTCTCGTACGTTCCGCGGATATAAAAGATCCTATGTCGGCGGCGAGTTAGAAGACAAACTTCCGCTGAGGGTGCACAATTCACTCGCTCACTCACCACCATTTACCCTCCCCCCCGGCGATGCTCGATGCTTAGGAGCTGGCCGCGCAAGGGAAAGACCCAGGACGGTGAGAAAAGCCAATCATGACGGCCGATAAAGGTAGGCCCTTTTTGACCAACGAAAAGCCTCTAAATAACGCCATAGTCCGAGCCCATCAAACTACTACTACATACCTACATAAGGTACCTAGTACTAGGTCATCATTAAGTCGCGGTGTCCCCCTATCTTGTACCCAGTATTTGACCCTCCTACATACATAGCACCTACAGCATCAAAGCGCTGGACAACGTAGCACCAGGTCCTACATACATCTATTGTCAGCACTACTACTTACAAGGTAGGTAGGTAAGGAGGGAGGTCAAATTTTTCTCTTATCACGTCGCTCTGCAAATGCACATCACTACAATTGTATAGAATATCGTACGATGGGTGAATGCAGTAAATTATCAAAATAATTCGGCACAAAAAGAATCCCTGGATCGTGCTATAAATGTCCTCCCCTTGCCTGACGAAATCGGATATGGTCGACAGCAACACCCCTGATGATATATGAGCCGCGTGTTGGTGTCCCATTAGTTGCCAATATATCGATCTATCGGCACCAGGCTAGGTAGGTATGTAGGTATATAGGTATATATCTCTATGGTTCTGTGGCTCACCAGTCCCTCTATTGATTTAATACGGACGTCGCTTGCCACCACTATCCCATCGGTGGATTTCACGATCGATCTCATGACTGAGCTCTGCCAACGGGCGGCCAAGGCTTGGTGTTTCGGACAACCCGGACTGCCCAGACAGCCGGCTAACCGAGGATGGCAACCGACCGCCAACGGCAACCCTCCTCGCATCTTCCCACGAAGTGTCTACAGCCAGGGACTTGTCAGATCTCGTTCGTTGTGATCTAGACATATTGTTAGCTGTGTGCTCTTCTCGAAGTCCACCTACATGCTCGACCGATTCGGCACTATGATGTGACGTACATGGTGATGGTTGCTGGTGCTGGGACGTAGGCGCGGCAGGAAGATGATCAGGGTTCTCGAAGGGCGCACGCGGTGCCTCCCGGCCCCGTTCAAAGGTCGTTACGTGGCGCTGCGGTATGGGCCCCGGGCCCGCGTTTTCGAATTGGGGTTGCTTGAATTTCTTTTGGTCAGCATCTCTCAAGACGTCGCTGGTCCAAAGAAGAGGGCCATCATCATCTCACCATCTCCAAATCGCTTGTCGCCTTCTTCTTCTTGATCTTCATCTTTCCCAGGAACACCGAAGGCAGAATCTTGTGAAAGAAGGGCGTCACTGCCAACAGGCAAGTCTGGATCCAGAGAACCATAGAAGCCTCCATGGCGAGCAATCCCAGATGGAACGTCACGGCCTTGGCGTCCTCGGGTGTGGCGGCCGAGCTGGTGGCGAAGAGAACGATCCAGCCGATGGCGAGCACGATCTCGGCGATGACGAGCCATATCGCGTACTGGTGGCGGAGGTAGAGGGCGAGGATGCTCCAGCCGCCGGAGAGAACGCCCATGGCGACCGCGAAGAAGAGGAGCCAGGGGGCGGGCGCGGACATGGTGAAGACATAGAATATCAGTGTCGCGGCAGCGCAGACGCACTGCGAGGAGCGGAGGATCGTGATGAGCGAGTTGCTGTCGTACCCGGATGGCTTGTCTCGGCCGTCTAGTTTGGAGTCTATGGTCCAAGTTATGTCCCGGGGGCTCTTGAACCAGGTGCTGGAAGAAAAACGCCCCCTACCCTTCTTCGGCCTGGTCGCCTCTGGAAACACTGCGGGCGATTCCATGAAGTACGAAGTACCGGGCTGGCCCGCTTGCATTCGCGGATCGGCCATGTTAGATGCTTTAGAGGAATCTTGTGGTGAGTATCGGGAGAGTACTGTGTAATGTCAAGGTGCCGAGGAAATGTAGAAGGTACGGGGGTGTTGGGAGATGTTTTATAAAGCGCGTATGTTCTTTAGCCTTCATATCATCGAATATGAATATCTAGCCTACAAACTTGCAGAAGGCACATCATAAAGAGTGATACACCTATTTAACCCTCTCGCCATGAGAGAGGTACTACCACTGTTATGAAGGGTCTCTCACGAAGTAATTCATGGTGTGCTGTAGTTGATGATACAGTCACGGATGCTTTGAACTTTCTGTTGTCACTAGGCTAAGTCCTGGACAGTTTTTGCAAATCAAAACCCAAGTTACCATAGTCAGCACCACATTGTCATTATATCATTGAAGTTGGTGTGAAATGTCCAACAAACGGATTTGAGGTTAGCATCACAGTCAAGTTTGCCCCTATTATGGTGAAGGTAGGTACCTAGGTGCCCAACTATTTTTAACGATCCTGTTACAGTCATTATCCCAGTGCCCCTATTAGGATCAGAATCTAAATGCACAAAGTCAAGAATTATGAAGACAGCTAACAAATGTAGGTACTGATCAAGCAAGCAAGCAACCTAACCTACCTAGGTAATAGCGATTCACGCACCATGTCGAAGACCGCTCAGCGCCACATGGGACTAACCTAACTAGGTGATTTCTATCGCTAGTGACTTAAAAAACACCATCCATTATATGTGTAGTATCTACTGAAGGAGTGATAACAAAGCCTTACGGTTGTCAATGATTTCTACTGGTAGTCACGTACCGAGTAGTTGAGTGTGCTCGGGATACCTAGTATCTACTTACTCAGTACTAGGTAGGGGCAGTAAATATATGTAGGCATGAAATAGGCTAAGTAAAGGGGGCGCGATGACCATTCACGTGCGCCTCTGTCCGTTACACTACTTCTAATATTATGGTAGTTAGTATGGCAAGATCTTCTATCCTACCGATTATGCCTCGCTGCAACCCTTTCCCTCCCAACTCTACCAAATAGTCAACGTCGTCGCATCAATGCTGCAGTCAACCATCAGGTGGTCGAAATCCCAAAAGGGAAAGGGAGGGATAGGAAGGATCACCGAACGGGCTATGGGTTGTTGCGCTGATGTGTAGAATATGCATGCAACCTTCTTGATCGGCTGGGAAGATGGGTTGCACAGAGTCTGGCAGTTCTGATGAGATGACCCTGACAGACATGGCTGGAATCGTTGAAATGATAATACGTTGCCTGGTCTTATACATACCTGGCTATAGTACCAATATCTGATGGCCCTGATTCGGGTAGATTAGATAACATATCTTACATACATCGTTGCCATAGGTGTGTAAGTCCCGGTTTCTTGGATGTTGCAATCAGAAAGAAAAGATTGAAAACATTAATTAAGAATTAATTATTAAGAATTAAATATTGAGTTAGAAATATGCAAAAATTGAAGCTGGATTATGATGTAATAGGACCTGACTTGGGAGTTTAAAAATACCCGCATCTGACTTTTCTAACTTTTTAACCCACTTTCCCCACAGAATCGACCTCGGTCGAAAATAGTATGATTCGGGTTAATTGCACGCAGGGCGGGATATAGGAATAAAATGCCTTCAGATGGGGTTTTTTCCGGTAATTGTCGGCTATTTAAATGAATAATACCCTGACGCCATCAGCACACATGTGCCAAAACCGCTGTAGAGTATCGTTAGCTTAACGTTTTAAGTGAATATCTAGGGTATTTTCCTCATTGTCGCCTTTTGGTTGTGATTCTAGTACCTACATACAACTTGCATCCATACCTAGAAAAACATTTCCTTTTTGCGCCTTCGCAAGTCATCTTCTCTTGGATATTCTGTACATACAATTCCCTACCTAACTACCCCCGTTTTCTTCTCATTTTTTTTTTAAATACCTAGATATCGATACCTTATGATGCAGTTCCCCCTTTTGGTTTGCTGTCGTTTATGAAATAAGGAACCTATCTGATCTGATACACACACAATAATGCGACCCTACTCTTCTTGTACCCCTCCCGTGCGACTTCTGTCTACCCGGACCATCGTAAGACTCGAGACACGGCGTCGCATATGCACCCGATGCTTTAATAGAACAAGGGCTTTCGAAAGACAACGAATACTATCCCGATCGTCCCAGTCAGCAGTGGGTCGCTGGTCCTCGCCTGCTGTCTCGCCACGACCCGCTTTCCCCCCCAGTGGATTCAGACAACTTGCGACGGTTGTGACAACCACTGCAGACGAGGGTAAGCGAACCAACATCATACATGTATGCAGGCTTCCGTTTCTAAACCTCTAGCACAGTCCAAGTACCCGACAACCATGGCCCGATCCAAGAATACGATCGCCGAGTGAAAGCCGGGCGCCTCCGAGAGGACCAGCACCAACGAGGGATTATCCAAAACCTGCAAAGTCTGCACGACGATTTGGTCAAGTACCAAGCACCTCCCGTAGTGCATCCGAACCTCGACTCCCTAAAACCTGCCAAATCGTTATTTTCCTGGTTCGGCCCCAAGTTAGGGAACTCGGCTGTGAAGGGCATTCCGGATACCCTACCACGTGGGCTCTATCTCTACGGCGATGTCGGCAGTGGGAAGACGATGCTAATGGATCTCCTGTATGATACGCTGCCCAGTTCCGTTCAGTCCAAGACGAGAATCCATTTCCATAATTTTATGCAGGATGTGCACAAGAGACTGCATCAAATGAAGATGGCCCATGGGAACGATGTAGATGCGATCCCGTTCGTAGCCGCAGATATTGCGGAGCAGGCCAATGTACTATGTTTCGACGAGTTCCAGTGTACCGATGTGGCAGATGCGATGATCTTGCGGAGACTCTTGGAGTCTCTCATGTCCCACGGTGTCGTGCTCGTCACAACCTCGAACAGACATCCAGACGAGCTCTACAAAAACGGGATACAGCGCGAGTCTTTTATACCGGCGATCCATCTTCTCAAGTCGCGGCTCCATGTTATCAACCTCAACTCGCCCACAGATTACCGAAAGATCCCCAGACCACCATCTGGGGTATACCACACACCGCTGGATAGCCACGCGGCATCGCACATCCAAAAGTGGCTCCGTTTTCTCGGAGATCCAGACGTTACAGAGCCTCACTCAGAAACCCAGAAGGTGTGGGGCCGCGAAATCCACGTTCCAAGGGTCAGTGGTCGCTGTGCATGGTTCACGTTCCAGGAACTGATCGGCCGTGCTACGGGTGCTGCCGACTACATCGAGCTAATGCGCTGTTATGATGCCTTTATAATCTCCGATATCCCAGGAATGACTTTTCGTGAGCGAGATCTGGCGAGACGATTCATCACATTTATTGATGCTGTTTATGAATCCCGGGCCAAGCTCGTCCTAACCACGGCCGTTCCACTAACGCAACTGTTCATTTCGCCCCAAGAACTCCGGGAGCCCCTGAAAAAGGATGGGAAAGCTGTAGACAAGGAGATGGACGAGTCCTTCAGTCATAATATGCAGCATATGCTGGAGGACATTGGCAGTAATACTGACCAGTTGAAGAACTCGAGTCTCTTCTCCGGTGAAGAGGAACGGTTCGCTTTCGCCCGAGCACTATCACGACTGAGTGAGATGTCTAGTAAAGAATGGGTCGAGCGTGGTATGGGCTTGGAAGAACAAGGAGGAAAGAACGAAAGAGATGGTTGGGTGAAAGCCAGAAGTCGACAGATGGAGGACAGTATGTGACACAACACGAGACATGATGATTCCCTAATTCCTTTAATTTTTTCAAAAGAAGAATTTCTCTTTTTAATAATTATAGGCTAGCATGGTTGGCGTTTCTCCCTGGCTTTCGTCGATTAATAAGAACAGGATACATTGAGCGGTGCGAGGTTACAGCGTCGTTGATAGACAACATTTTGTTGTACGTTGGGTATAGATCCATCCCTGGATGTTTACCGTATATAAATTAGATTACGACAGACATCATACATGCGAGTAGTAGTTTGAACAGCGCTACTTGCTATTGATATGTTATTCGGACTTGGTCGAAGTTCTGGCGTGTGATTCACGTGTGTCATGATTCATAATGATGGCTTTCTTTCCCTGTCCCTTGACGCGTACAGTGGCACAATATGTCACGATGTTAAACACAAACTACATACGAGGTTAGTTCATCAAATGGACGATGGCCTTATGGTCGAAAGAGGCTCGCGTAATGTAATTCGCCGTTCTAGAGAAACTCCGAGCATATTACATACATATCACACACATGGCTCATGCATGTTTGATCTGTTACACTGCATTTACCACCTGTTGATTGCGCCGTACATGTAACCACATAAACATTGCACTACACTTATGTATGATCGCCTACAAGCGACAGATCATCGGTATGCCAATGGTCTGCACATGTGTGGCTGGTGCTTTTCTTTTTCTTTACCACGATGTAATTACAATACGTACCTTAGTAGGCAGGCACGTGGGAGCCTGAGTTACATAACCATCATCAAACTAATAGTCAACTGCTGCGAACTAGAGACTTGATACTATTAAAGGGTCCGTCTCCCTTTTCGTAGCGGTAGTTGGCCAGCCCAGACCCCTCCAGACCCTTCATTTGAAAATTTCCGACGCCCTACGAGATGTTGTTGTGGATTTTTCAGAAGTCTATTTTAAAACGCGGTAACCTAGGTATGTACCTCATATGTACATGAGATGAGGTTGAGATCGGATATGTACTATGTAATAGGGGTTCTGGGAATTCTGCCGTAATTGGATTTGAAAGCTTTAAATGTTACCCAATACTATCCTGGTTCGACTTAATATAGTCAGTCATGTGACCTTTGACATTATGAATAGGTCTGCTTGCACATTTTTGTTCGCGCAGTCCCATTTGGAACTTCAAAGTTTCTTCTTTTGTTATGATCATAATATTCGCAATAGTTAGTTTCATAAGCTCCATCATTCACAAATTCCTACAATACTACCTTAGGTACCTAACATCATTCCTGTGCCAAAAGGTTGGCGGAGAATTTCCTTGATAGTGTAGCAAACCCTTGAAGCGGCAATTTCTGACGTAGGATCTTGGCCCGATGGCAAATTTCGACCGCCGTAGGATGAGTAGTACAACACTTGTACAATGTGCATGCTGCATGGGGTACATGATTTGCACATGTTATATGTATTATGTCGTGCCCCTTGTTCAACATTCAACGGTTTATGCTTCTTACATTAGATATAGACTATGTACATAATAATAGTTACATATCTTACGAAAGGTTAGTTATGTATGTAGACAAAAGGCTTCAAGTTTCCTAGCAGTAATGATTTGCATATACACTACGCACTTGTCATCATTTACACTACAAATATTGATTTTGAGGTACCAGATGATAACATTGAAGGTTTTCGACACCGTTAAGAGTAAAGCGTCAAATGTCTATAATCTTACCTGCGTAACGACAGTTAATAAGTACATGCATATAACAATATGCACAACACAATCTGACCATTTTCAATCCTCATCAACGGCATCTGTCTCGGCCACGTGTGGGGGTGGCTTTTTTATCTTTAACGATGATGGCGTGGAGCACAGAGCCTCAACCCATTGTACATATCAGTATCACATGAGCAAGTATAAAAAGGAGACATACACTAATACTGAAGACTTTCATGTCTATTGAACATTAAACGCACCTTACTATTTGGGTATGATAGATTTGATGTGTAGTTCACGGATTGCGTAGGTAGCATTCAATCTTGTTAATCTTGTTCGTAGGTTGAAATTATGCATATAATGTAATGTATAGAGGTGCACACATGCAGGTGCATACTACATAGTTAATCCTAGGTAGTACATACATAACCTACTAGGGCCCCAGGGTATGTAGGAACAATGTTGGAACTCGTGCCTACCTAACTAGATAGTTATAGAGGCACATATAATATGCACTTATTATTCTAGTAACTACATGAACGTCATCATAATCAAAGATTAATCGCAATAATAGATGTGCATTGAGGAAGACTTATTGGATCCAGCAGAATTTGTCATGTTTCTAAATATATTGTAGAAGATTGGGTACTATGTCCTTACTAAAGCTCAAATATTAACTAAGTACACATGGCAGACTGTCAACCTTTAGCGAACATTGAAGGTAATGACATTGAAGCAATAGGGAGGTACGGTACTCTATCAGTGCAGCCATGCAACTCCTTTAGCATACCGCTACCCCTTGCTTGCCAATGCACCCTAAGATCTTTAAATTTTAGTGCCTCACGAACGATTGGTTCGTAACCAATCACGGGGAACCATCTGGGCTAGGTATGTGCAAGTCCTAGCAAGTACTATGTAGTACAGTTGCTCACTGCTTGTTGCAGTTATTGCAGCAACCGGGCCTACCTTCCCATGTCGGTATAGGTGGGGTGCAATCATTTGCGAGACCGTCGTTGCTTCCCTGGAAGTTTAGTTTAGCCCACCGAAACGAGATTCCGTCTTTTCTTTTCAGTGGAGTTCAACCCAGCTTCCTAACTCCTGCCAAATCTCCTCCACTCCTTCAAGTCTTGGGCCCTCGGGGCTAACACTCGCTAACACTCTTTTATTTCTCGTAGCCTACCTCTCTTTACTACCTCTTATCTCCACCTCCCCCTTCCTTCGTTTTTTACTGTCTCTGGGAAGAAAGAAAGATCACTGTACTTACCATAAGATCCATCGTAATGCTGAACGAAGGACGACACTCACAACACCCTACACTTCTTCAAGACCAATCCTTCGATAGCTACCAAGCCCATCACATGCGCCTCGGTCGTTTTTGTCATATTACCTACATTTAGGATGGGTACTCTTAGGAAAGCTCTCTCGTTGCTTCCTTTCATAAAACCTTCGAAATCCAAGTTCATCTACGATGAGTTACCTTCCCATGACTTAAGCCATACAAGTTCGCCCCTAGACGAGTCGCCGCCCATCATGTCGGAGGTCTGGCGCAAAGGTAAATCGACACCTCGTCGACGACTAGGATGCTTATTTCGGACCTCCCCTCGAAGACTGTTCATTATCACACTCACTGTATTCTTTACTCTTGTTCTTTTCATTGGTGGAAGTTTTCGCGCACGACGTTATTATGTTGAGAAGGCCGAGGAGACGGAGCGAATCCCGTATCATTGGGAGTTGTATCCCAGGTAAGACAGCATCACATCTTTGACACATGTCTTGGAAATGACATAAAAATAGATGGGGAATTCTAACATGTGCACCACAGACTGAATGGGTTCTACAATGGCATTCGCTCGCTTATTGATTACTCAGACTGGATCCCTGAGCAGCAAGCAACTACCAAGACAAGGCCGCAAATTCACAAGACTCCCACTTTCGACCCAATCACAGTTAATCCCTTCCCTGATTTCAACTCTGAAAAGTATCTCAAGGATCACCAACCTGTGCTGGAATGTTATGTGGATGAAAGTGAGAAACACCCCGCACCGGATATCTACGCCTACCCCGGTATACCAGATGGCATGACAGCTCCTTATTGGGGTTCGTACGAGAACCTTGGACTTGCAGCGGATAGATGTTGGGAACGTTTTGGGCGCTTTGGACCATACGGCTACAGCTACAGCCCCGCCGAAGGAGGACTTGGACTTTCCAACAATTCGGAACACACTGGAGCCGAGAAGATTCAAGAGAAGCTCACCAAGATCGACTATCGCAATGTGAACTGGGGCAAAGCGCAGAAGAAGTGTTTCGAGAAGAACTGGCAGCGATTCAAGTCCAACGCAACACAAGCTGATGAAAATTATGGCCTGAAGAAGGCAGTGAAGCGATCAGCTTATGTTTTGCGAACATGGACTGGTTACCAGTACACTGACATCCAGCTCTTATCCCTACGCGCCATGATCAACGAGCTCTCATTGAAATCTGGTGGAGAATACGATGTGCACCTTCTAGTCCATGTTAAGGATGATACTATACCAATCTTCGAGTCAGAGGAGATCTACAACCAAACCTTGAGGGAGAATGTTCCAGAGGAATTTTGGGGTATAACAACATTGTGGTCGGTTCCGCAAATGCGGGCGTTTTATCCTGGACCATTCCGCGACGAGGATAATGTTGAGAACCACTCGAAATCCGATATCTATGGCGTCTATCGAAGTGCTCATTTCGCTTTGCAATGGTTTTCGCAGCAACACCAGGAATACGACTTCGTTTGGAACTGGGAGATGGATATAAGATATACCGGTCACTACTATGAGTTTCATAATGGCGTTGCTACTTGGGCAGCTGAACAACCTCGGAAACTGTTATGGGAGCGAAGTTCCCGATTCTGGATTCCCGGCGTTCACGGTTCCTGGCCCAAATTCTCCCAACTTGTGGAACGTGAGACGAAAGAAAGGAACGAGCAGCCAGTTTGGGGACCTGTGGACTTCCCGACTGCCGGCGCTGGTAGGCCCTCGTCTCTTGAAAAGAACATACCCCCGACAAAGATTGAGGATGATGATTACCAATGGGGAGTGGGCGAAGATGCTGATCTAATCGTATTCAATCCGCTATTTGATCCGACGAAGACAAATTGGGTCTTCCGCAACGATGTCTCGGGATACAATACGTCGATTGAAACACCACCTCGCCGTGTAGCAATCATCACCGTGGCACGACTTTCCAGGGAGCTGCTGAACACCATGCACAATGAGACCTTCCAATTCCATCGCACTATGTTCCCGGAAATGTGGCCCCCAACTGTTGCTCTGCACCATGGATTTAAAGCTGTCTATGCACCTCATCCGGTTTATTTTGACCGAAAATGGCCGCTGAATATCATGGACAACACTTTCAACTATCCAACTGCGCCGCACGATAGTCCTTTTGGCTGGGGTGAACATAATATGCAGGGTGGCACCTTTTACTATAATGCGGGTTTCAGCGGTGCTGTCTGGCGGCGATGGTTTGGGGCAAAGGAGAATGGTGAAGGTGGAAAGAAGTTCGAGGAGAAGAACTCAGGTCGCATGTGCTTAAGAGCAATGCTTCACCATCCTATAAAATCCGAAGCCATCGAATAGGTGTTGTTGAGGGTTATGTGCATCTGATTTTGGCGTATGTGGCGTTGAAGGGGATGCCAAAGAATGGGTTCTAGGCTTTAGGTTTGACTTCAGAGAGAGAGAGAGAGGGTGTGTATGGGAGAGCATTTAGGTGTTTGCAGATTCGGCGTTTTTCCGTGTCAGATCCATGGCATCATAGCATTCGAGACTCGGATCCTCCGCATATGGCATCATGGGGGTTGATACCCGTTGATTTATGGCAATGAGGCATTTTCATCTTTATTACCCCTTTTCCCTCCCGCTAATAGGAAGACACACACATACATACTTACACATAGGCACCGAAGACCGACGCGGTTGACAGGCCTAGTGGATGACTGAGAAATGAGGGTTACATGGAATGATCAGGCCGGCGAGCCAAGAAGGTCCTGCTTGCACTGATCTATTGTGTATAAAGTAATATCTACGAAGAAGAAGTCAAAACGAATGTTAATACCCCAGATAGAACTCAAATGATGCTTTGTCGTTAATTTTCGACGACTTGCTTTGCCCGGTGAATGGACCCCTATTCGTGATTGGGCGCTTATGTGAAAGGAAAGTTGTACGTAATAATGTATTGGCGCTTATTGGCTTATCGAGGTAGGTTCCTGCGCTACGTAGATACATACATATGCCGATGTACTGGCATGTACTATGTAGCTACTGGCATGTAGTAAACGCGAGTCAGCTGCCGAGTTACGTCATTTCCACTACCCGATAAGGAAGATAGGCCGTGCTCCAGACATCCAGGGGTCCAGATTGGTCATCACCTGGACAATCAGGTGCTCCTGTTCCTGTCACTGTCCCTATTAGCTCCCGAGGTTCCTTCTACTTGTAGCACAACAAGCTATCATCATCAGCGTTCATCTCATCTTGCAACTCTTTCGCGAAATAGTCATCGATTCATCACTCTACTTGTCCTATTCCGGTTATTTTACGCCAACATAGGTTTGCAATCATGAAGGCCTCTCTTCTCGCACTCGTTCTGCCTGCGGCAGTGAGTGCTCGTTTCATCGAAGCAAATGAGGCCAATCGTGTCCTCCCCTATATGGACGCGCTCCTGGACGAGGCCAACACTCCCGAACAATATCTCATCGAGTTGTCTCCTGGCGAGACGACATGGGTGACTGAAGAGGAGAAGTGGGAGCTTCGCCGCGTAAGCTTATTCCCCCTATTTAGTAACGATGCAAGCCATGAATCATAGCCACTAATAGTATTACCGCACACAGAACGGAAGACAGTTCATGGACATCACTGAACATCGCGAGCTTGGCGCATTGCGGATCACCTCCAAGTCCACCCCCATCTTTCCCGAAAAGGTGCAACTTCAATCGGAGATTCACCCGATGCTTAAGAACCTCTCCAAGGACTTAATGAAAGAGCACCTCGAGAAGTTCACGAGCTTCCACACGCGTTACTACAAGTCGGACTACGGTCGCCAGTCTTCCGAGTGGCTCCTGAAGACGGTCCAAGATACTATTAAGGAGGCCGGCGCTGACAAGCATGGAGTCAAGGCCGAGCACTTCAAGCATTCGTGGGGCCAGAACTCTGTTATCGCCACGATCCCCGGGCAGTCGAAGTCGACCGTTGTTATCGGCGCCCACCAAGACTCGATCAACCTATGGTTGCCCTCTGTCCTACCTGCCCCTGGTGCTGATGACGATGGAAGTGGCACCGTCACCATCCTCGAGGCTTTCCGCATCCTCCTTTCTTCGGAACAAGTCGTCCAGGGCAACGCCTCGAACACAATCGAGTTCCACTGGTACAGCGCTGAGGAGGGTGGTCTTCTCGGAAGTCAGGCCATCTTCTCTGAGTACGAAAAGCAAGGCCGCGATGTTAAGGCTATGCTGCAACAGGACATGACGGGTTATGTCCAAGGAACCCTCGATGCCGGAAAGCCCGAGAGTGTCGGTGTGATCACGGACTTTGTCGACCCCAGCTTGACTTCTTTCATCAAGAAGGTCATCGAGGAGTACTGCGAGATCCCCTGGGTCGAGACCAAGTGTGGCTACGCCTGCTCCGACCACGCTTCTGCCTCTAAGGCTGGCTATCCCTCGGCCTTTGTGATCGAGTCGACCTTCGGCGACTCAGACCAGCACATCCACAACACTGATGACTTGATCAAGTACCTCTCCTTTGACCATATGCTTCAGCATGCGCGCATGACTCTGGCTCTCGTGTACGAGTTGGGATTTACCGAGTTTGAGAAGCTGAAGAACGCGTATAGAGAGGAAGAGCTATAGATGAGCCATGTTTCTCCGTCTATTGTATTCCCCCACATAACATGGAGTATATCGTTGTTACCTATGTAGGTATACAGCGTTTTGTTTTTTTTTTTTTTTTTTGGAGTTTTGAAGCATATATGTATAGTTGGACATTCTTGGGATGATACTAGATTGACTTGCTGAGTTTGGATAACGAATTCTTAACTTGCCTATATAGGTGCTAGAATAGAGATTAATTCCATATTTAGTTTCTGTTTACATTGATGTACTTGCTGCTGTTCTTGATGTACTAGTAGTACCATAGATATTGTAAGTACATGCATGTGTATGTCACTGGTACTTGGGAAATAGTACTTACCTACATCCTGGTAACCTACCTAGGTTAGGTAGACATCTAGAATCAATATCCGGATAAGGCGGCTCCAGGTGTTGCGTCATGGTGCCCGTACAATTACCCCAGTCTCTTTTTATCATTCAAAGTTAACTGCATTCGTCCTAGCCACTGCTGCCAGTTCCTCTCTGTCCCCCCTTATCCCTGCTCTCTCTATCCTCCAGAGGCTGACTTATTCGCAAGTCTTGGCATCATAGGCTGGCCGCTGTCTGCACGACTTGTTTCAAACCTTGAATTCTCAAGGAACAAGTCTAATATTGAAATACTAATTATAATAACAATAATAATTAATAATATGCAAAATCCCTCAAATATCTTGAGCTTAAACTTGTCATGGCTCATGACTTGGATGCTAGCTTGTTCGAAACCCGGATGATTTCTCTCCTCTTCTGCTAGTCCTGCGTATTATTGTCTTATTTTGAGGACATGAGCAGCAGTGTATACTACATACCATTTATCTACCATTACCTACCATAACCAGTTATGCCTGTGACTCAAGAATCCGATCTGCCATACGATTCGCCTTATAGAATTAGTAAACGCTTACGCGCTCTTTGCCAGCCATCCAAGACCGTCTCATCCGCTCTAGCTGAAGATCCCTCCTTGGCTCCTAGTGAAGCATGGAGGAAGCTCTTCGCTCACCATGAGTGTGAACGCCATTCCAAAGGGGAATTCCGCGAAATCGGGAAGGATTCTCTCCATCCTAATGATCTCGAGAGGGCCAAAGACTGCGGGAGATGGGGTCCGCAAGAACCCAGTGATTTATTCCTCCGAGTTAGTGTTGGAACGTTCCGTGTATTCTTTTAACACATACTAACTGTGCAAGATTTATCATGATGCGCTGTGTACATTGGAAGATGACCTCGCTTGCGGCATGGTGAGCCCTTCGCTGATGGGTACTAGCGGAACCATGCCCCTAACCATCATGTCCGTGTAAGTACGCATGCAACCACATTTTGGTAGCCAAGTCCTAACTCTCCATGGAGCATCCCTGACATCGTGAGACACATGTCCAACCTCATCGTTCGGGCCGAAAAGGAGGTGTTTCTTGCAACCAACTTCTGGCAGAACGGGGTCGCCTCTAAATACATCACAAATGCGATAAGAGAACTGTCACGCCGCGCTGGTGAACGAGGGGTCAAGATCGTGATAAAGATCATATATGATCGAGGAAGTCCGAAGCAGTTGTTCGAGCCTCACTGCCAGGTCCCCGAGACCGAGTATACAGGCGCGGCGGTCGGTCTGCCGTCTTCGCACGACATTCCAAATGTGGATCTGCAAGTCATAAACTACCATCGCGCGCTGCTAGGAACGTTCCATGCCAAATACATGATCGTGGACCGCAGTATAGCCGTCTTGCAAAGCAATAACATCCAGGACAATGACAACCTCGAGATGATGGTGCAACTGGAGGGCCCGGTCGTGGATTCCATGTATGACATGGCGCTCCTGAGCTGGCACAAACAATTTGAGCCACCACTGCCAAAACTTGATTCACCTGCGGCTGGGAATGTGAGCGGAAGCGTAAGTTTCGATGAGAGCCATGCTAGCATATTTAGTCCAGAAGGAGCCATCAATGGTTACACTGCGATAGTCGACGGCAATAAGATACCGAAAGGAAGGGCCTACGGTCTGGAAGCCCTTTGGGGGGGTCAACTAAAAAGGTGGTCAAGTCAAGATAGCAAATCAAATGCGTCAGACATTGGAAGTTCTGGTAATTCAAAGCCCCCGGTTAGCAATGATATAGTTACCAATGGAAATGGAAATGGAAACGGAAATGAGGATGATCATTCAGAACGCGATCTCGAAACCATGACACACACTCTTCCGGAACATACTACAGAGGACCCTCACTACGATGACACGCTTGCAGGAGAAGTTCAACGCGTCCAAGCATCTCTCATCCCCAAACCAGGCGAAACCAGTGTGCAAGCCGTGTCACGGCACCTCAACCACACCGTCAACAAAGGCTTCGAGGGTAACGCACCCCCATGTGATCCACGAGACGAGATGACACCGTACGTTCCGCACCCAGCACACGAACCCTTCCCCATGGCGCTTGTCTGCCGAGCACCATACGGCACCCCTAATCACGCTTCCGTGGCGAACCCACAGAATGCCGCTTGGCTGTCAGCGATGCGAAATGCGCGCGAGAGTGTCTTCATACAAACCCCGACTCTCAACGCAGAGCCTCTGATCCCAGCTATACTCGAGGCATGCGAACGAGGCGTTGACGTGTATTGTTATGTGTGTCTTGGGTATAACGACTCGGTAAGTTGTGTCTATTTACTTTTGCCAAGTATTGTCCATACCTGGGTACTATCACGCAGTCTCTTCATCATACATATGCCACATACCTGCCTACTTACCCGGTACCTATTTATACAGCCACAATACCCAACTAAACTAACATACTCACCACCCCCAACAGGGCGAAATGCTTCCCTTCCAAGGCGGCCACAACGAAGCCATCGCATCGCACCTCCACGCCTCCTTAACCAAGCCCGCGCGCCCTCACCTGCACTGGCACTGGTACACCTCCAAGGACCAGTCCGAGCCGCTCCCGGCCATCAAGAAGCTCCGCAGCTGTCACATCAAGCTTCTAGTCGCCGATGCCCGCGTCGCCGTCGTCGGCAACGGGAACCAGGACACCCAGAGTTGGTTCCACAGCCAAGAGGCCAACGTCCTCCTTGACCTGCCCCCCGCCGTCTGCCGCGCCTGGGTCGACGCCCTCCTCCGCCGCAACCAGAACACCCAATCCTACGGTGCCGTCGGCCCCGACGACGGTGTATGGAGGGACGCCCTGGGCGAGGAGGTACAGGGCGCCACTGGTGTTGACCCCGGTCACTTCGGTTGGGCGAAGGGCTTTCTGGGCGCTGTGAAGAGGGTTCAGGGTACTGGGGGGTTCTGAGGTCGTGTGGCGTATTGTGTTATTGGGGAGAAGAGGGAGAGAGAGAGGGAGGGAAGGAAAGGAGAGAGGGAGAGGATGGGCTATTATATACAGATGCGGTTGTGGATGGATGGATGGATTTGTTGTGGCTTATGTATCCTCATCTATCTACCTTACCTACCTGCCTACCTGAGTACCTGAGTACCTGAGTACCTAATTTGCCATTCTCCATCCACCACCTATTTAACCTAGGAGATGGTAGGCCACATAGGTACATACATAATATATCGTGTAACTCACATGCTTACATACCTAGGTTAGGTTAGGTTAATTGGTTGTTTGACTCATTCACCCATAACTATACCTATTGATCAGATTACGGCAGCGAAGGACCCCAGTTCGTAGAATATCTACTAATGGATGCACTAAGCTAGCTGAGATATAGTGACAAGCTCCCTGAGCCTTAGTAGACAGAGCACTATAAAGTTACTATCATAATTCATGGCTAATGGGCACTATAGGTACTCTAGGGCTATATTCCAGGAGGCTTGGCCAGTAAAGTATACCTAGTGCTTTAAAACCCCCCCAACAAAACCTTGAATTGAGGCCACGTCTTCGAATTTGCAGGACACATGTCCATAACTTAGTAACTGTTACATGCTGTGAGTACATAACTAGGTGCCTATAGGCGTTACTGTAGGAATCCACGTTGATACATGCATGATGGAGACATTGTTAGTACGAAGTACGCATATTGATGAACATTGATTGTATTGATAGCATGAATAGTAAGTCTACCTAGGTAAATACCCAGACTCCAGCACCCTCAAATCCTCAAACTCCCATCCATTTCCATCCTTCCACCTAGACCTGCCATATATGCCAAGTCCATCAGGTACCTACCCAAGGCTGTCATACTAGGTACTAGGTAACTACTATGTTGTGAAATATCAAGTATATAGCAGTCTCACTCGAGACAACGTCTCTGCATTAGCCGCATTGCGCGCCCAGACGACACCACGTGGAGGTTGCAGAGTCCGATTTCGTCATCCGTAGATGGCCAATCATATATCAAATAAATAGTAGAGGGGGGAGCGAGGGACATACCGCTATGGCAAGAAGCCGGACCAAAGGAATGTGATGGAAAAACAACGCTGGACCGACCAGGAAAAGCCAGAAGGTCGAGGGAAAAACAACACGCTACGGAAGTCGCTGTGGCCAGTAACCAAAAGGCAAAGAACGAGCAGTCGAAAACAAGTCGCTGGGGTCTGGAAAGTACAACGCTGAAAAGTGACAACGCTGAAAATGACATCGCTGAAAAGTGACAACGCTGGAAAGGACATCGCTGAAAAGTGACAACGCTGGAAAGGGACAACGCTGAAAAGTGACAACGCTGAAAACTTCCGTGGACGCTGGGGCAGGGGAAGACTAGAAAGCAAAACCAAATGAGAAGTAGAGAGCGAGTGACCTACATTCAAAGAAAAAGAAGGCAAGACAAACGAGGGACCTGGGTGAGTATAGACAAACGAAGGACTTGGGTTAGTGTAGGTAAACGAGGGACTTAGGTTAGTGTAGCGAGCGAGGAAAGCCAAACTGGCAACGACTGAACGGCAACCGAAGTAGGCCAGTGAAAACCAGAGAGGAACCTAAGCCGAACCAGAAGGGGCAACAGACTAGAAAGAGTTGTACCGAGAGCTGAAAACCAGAAGAGGCAAGACTGAAGAAGAAGAGGTAGGACCGAACTTGAGGATTCCTTAGAATCTCTCAGCCTTGCCAAAGCAGAAGGCATTACTTCGAACTAGCTACTTACCTTGACGCGTCGTTCGAGTATCGCACTATTCCTCAAAGATGGGGGGCATGGGGTAGAAGTCGTCATAACTGAATGAGCAGAACATTTTGCGTGGAGGCGAAAGTTGCTTAACGGTCTCGCCGGCAAAACAAGAGGGGGGGTCTACTTTCTCCTTGACAGAATACGAAGACGGCTTTACATTCTCTTTGGTACAATACGACCCGTATACAGCCAGTGGAGGCGGTTGTTGAGTGATACCACCAGACATCGATGTAGCGGGCAGATCCAAGTCTGACACCGAGGCTGGTTCGATCGTAATGCAAAAGAGAGGAGCTGGTTCGAAGGCTACAGCAGAATGGTTGGGTCTCACTTGAGCAGAGGTTTGCAGATCATTGTTAAACTTACGTTCGTTAACACCCAGGATCCAGCGTGCGAATGTCTTGACTCGTCCCATGATTCCTCCCAACGAGCATGCCGATGGGTACACGTTCTAGGGAACGCCACCGGCAGAACCGATGCCCGAAGGGCGTGACGCGTTGAAGCGTGGGAGTCGACCAAACATCTTGATAGTGGTTGGTAAGAAACAGAAATACAAGTTGTATCGTGTCGTTGATGTTGTTTTGAGTTGAAATAATGGGTGTTGTCTTGATTTTTCAGCTGAATTATCAATTGCGTATGCTCAAATGTGTCTCAAATGTGAGGAATAAAATAGAAGAAATGGAAGGAAATCTGGGGGGAGGCGGCCTTTATATACTATTCTATGGACCCACTTTTATTTAGCGTGGTCAGTCATTTTCAGAGATCTGTCCTCAAAATAAATCTGTTTCTGGCATAGCGGTATTTTCCTCTGATTTGAAAGTGAGTTGGAGTTAGAGTTTGTTCTATTGAAGTATGCTGGAAAGTATGCTGGAAAGTATGCTGGAATACTAGGTATGCTTTGGGAGAAGAGATCTGACTTCAAAAGAGCCTTAGTTCCAGCCAAAAGGTTAAATACATGCAGGTGCTTTAGCACACCGAAATTTCATCCATGCATATTTAGCGTACCTTCCACAAGAACTGGTATATCTGTAAAAAGCTTATTTTTCTCATCTCACCAGGGAAGGACCTGTGTGATATATACGTACAGATAGTGGCAGGTACGCCAGAGAGGAAAGTGCGACGTGCTGTAGCCATGTATTTAAGAACATTTCTGGTTGAGGTCTGATCCTTAGACCTTCCTCTTTGAAATTTAGGTCTTTTGGACTCTTTCCACTATTATCTTGCTTATACTTAGGTTAGATGTAGGTTAGGTGTAGGCTCGTGTGTAGGTGTGTAGTTTATTTGAAGTGGGGTACGGAATCTCCCCGCGTTACTAGTCTTGAGATCTACGGGAGATCTACAGGGGTATATTATGGGGATATCCAGTGCTCTGGAACGCTAACTAATGGATCCACAAGGATGAATTCATCTCTATTAGGTTACATAGGTACCTATAATAGGAACAATATGGCAATGTGTCAAAGTCAGCATTAACTTTATTAAATCTTCCTTTCTTCTCTCTCCACACTTCTTCTTCTCTGTATCATCATCATTTCTCCAATCATCTCCCCCATGATTCTCAAACCCCTGATGCTAAGTGCCTTATGATACGAATCACTCAGTCAGCATGGCTTGTCCTTTCACAATGCAACGAGTTTCGAAGGCTCGTCCAGGCTCTAGGAGACACGGAAGACGGCAAGTGGTTCAGTGATGAGTATTTTATTCGTTTTGGCCGCGAGTGGGAGGCATGTGGTGTTTCCTGTTAGTGAAGGGTTTCTGGCGCGTCAGGTTACAGCCTAGCATTCAAGACCTTTCTCGTTCATCCATGTCAAAGGTACATAGGTCGCCCAATACTATAATAGGTCTCGTAAGGGAATGCTCCTGAACCCGTTCCATTACATATCTACCATAACTACTGTACTGCCAGTAATAATCACATGTGCAATGATCAACGGTGCCTAGTGCTCCATTTATTCTATTAAACATAAAATTCGGAGATATATCAAGCTTCATATCTTGCATATCCCCGATCTCGGGGCGAAGCGAAGATCACTGAGCATGCTACCCATGTAGAATGATGTAAGTGGATGGATCCATCACTAACAATCTAAGCTACTTCGATGCGTTCATCACCGGTATCTTCATATCTTTTATGACATAGGTACTAATAGCTGCATTGTACTACCCACTTAGCCACTTAGATAGTATTTTATAAACATAATCAAATCTTCAAATCCCTCATACTGCATCCCTTTCCAATGTATCCACCACGTTTCCGTTTGTTTGCTGCTGTGACCCCTAGTTTGGGGATCATTAGAAAGACAAAGGAAACAGAATAAAAATAAGATAAGACATCGGGAAACAAAGCTAAACAGACAACCTAAAGTCGTAGAAGAGAAGGGAAAGAGAGATACACATTTCGACACACTAGACCCGACTCGAGCTTCCAATAAAAAAAAAGCAAGATAAAGCCAAAGCCCCAAAGCCGCGATGAAAGACTACAGCTTCTTCTAAGAAGTAGCTGGGTCTTTTCCAGCCTCATCCAACTTTGCTCAGCCATCATACATATCACCCCCTATCGACTCGGCATCTAGGTAGGTAAAATACTACCTTAATACCAAAAACACCCGGCGGAAACTGCCATGTCGTCGTCAACCGAGCTCCACCGCGAATGGAACACCAAGAACCTTGGCCTCCGGCTGGGTGCCGACTTTACCAGCGCCGCGTCCGCCGCGTCCATTATCGCGCCCTTCATATCCTTCGTTGACAGGTAGGTACTCTACCCTACCTTATCCACCGTAACCTACCTACCTACCCATGCCCACCCTCTTCTTAATCCTCGCGCAAAACTAACCACATCCCCACCCCATCTCACCCCATTCAACAGAGCGATAATGGAGAACGCCTCAGGCCGGAACACCCTCTCCGCGAGCCTCAAAACCTCTCTCCGCACGCTCCTCCTGCACCCACCCCGCACCCTCTTCTCCAAGCCCGTCGCGCTCATCTTCATGCTGTACGGGGGCACCTACCTAACCGCCAACACCCTCGACACCCTGACCTCTACCTTGCGCAACCAGCCCGCCTCCCACATCACCACCGGGACCGCCAAGTTCGCCGCCTCGAGCACCGCCAACGTCGGTCTGTGCGTCTACAAAGACCAGTTCTACGTGCGCGCCTACGGGCCCCTCACCACCACCACCGTCCGCCCCGTCGCCCTGCCCAGCTACCTCCTCTTCACCCTCCGCGACTGCCTGACCATCTTCGCCTCCTTCAACGTGCCCCCGCTCCTCGGGCCCCTGCTGTCCGAGCGCATGTCCTCGTCGCTGCAGCACCACCTGAGCGGCACCACCGTCGCGCAGTTCGCCGCGCCCGCAGCCGTCCAGCTGTTCTCCACGCCCATCCACCTGCTCGGCCTCGACCTGTATAACCGCCCCACCACCACCACCACCACGGGTAGCGGTTTGGCGCGGGACCCGAGCTGGCGCTCGAGGTGGGCGCAGATCCGGAAGAACTGGGCCTCGAGCACCCTGGCGAGAATATGTCGGATCATCCCGGCGTTTGGGGTAGGCGGCACCGTGAATACAAAGGTACGGAGGAATCTTATGGAGAGGCTCGCTTGATTGCTGAGCTGCGGGCTACGATAAAAATGGGTGTGCACTGAGTGAAGAACGGTATTATAGCGTGGCGTTGCAAGGATGGCTAGGTAGGAACAGAATATGGGGCGGGTTTCCAAAGGTAACATTAATTAGGTAGTTATAGAAAATGGCCAGGTTCAACAAGGGGCCAACGAAGAGGATAGGTTAGAGCTGGGATCGGTAAAATTCACGAAGGCGGGCGACTTTGTACCTAATGGGCATGGTATATTCAAAGAAAGGCACCTATAGATGCTCTATGAGACACCAAACAGTGCCTCGATCCCTTACTACAGGAACCCAGCCCCTTTTAGAGCCTCTACTATTCTATCTGCCTCGGTAGCCTGTCGCGGTTTGTTACGATATTCTCCTGTGTCAAGAAAGTTCTCCCAAAATTTAAGCCCCTCTATACCTTCCTCGCGACAGAGAACACCCCTCTCTTCAGCCATCTCAAGCTCCTCTTCAGCAACGCCAATACTCCATCCAAACCGTTCGGCAGCGTCCTGCGCGGTAACACCGCGACCGAACACTTGCCAGTCCCAAGTAACGTCTTTCTCTGGTGGAATATCATGCAAGTCTCGAAGCCAAGCCAGTAATGCTTTAATTGTAGTCTCATCGGTTTGGTCACGACTTTGGACAACCATGACGCCGCTCTTGAACGTGCGTAGCCGAACTGGGAGTTTCAACTTACCCCATAGACGCGCAGCCTTTTCAAAGTCATTAGGACTCACTAGCTCAACACCTCCGCGAGCGCGATTGAACATCGCCCATAGGTCTACCAGACTGATGATTCCGCCGGCCTTTCTGAGCACCCCCCTGGCGTCATCTGTTAGGAACTCTGCAAGGTTTCTGGATAGTTCGGATAAATAAAGCGACTCCGATCCGGTCCCACCTCCACCGCCGACAATATCTTTGGTAGTCACGAGACCCAACTGACTGGCAGACTCGGCGAGCAGGGCATTCGCTTCAGAAGTCGCTTGTTCGGTACCACCGTTGACTTGTCGGGCGAAGGATTCTGCAAGCGCTACAATTTGTTTGGCAGATGCCATCAAGGCCTCCAGATCCTCAAAAGCACTCCCAATGACCAACTCATTATTCCTACGTCGATCTAGGCCCATCTTCTCGAGTCCAGCAATACCAGCAGTCTTGTTCCGAGTAGTACCTGTCCCTGCCCTTGATGACGGGTCTGTAGACGTGTTGCCATTTCCTCCGTTAGGAACAGGGGGTGCTTCTCGTAGGAGCCATTTACGTTGGGTCATGGAGCTCTTGAGCCGCTCATAAAATATCTTTTCCCCTCCACCCCGAAAAGACAATTTGACACTTTCGGGATTTTCTAGGCCTGTGACACTGGCTGGGTTGAGTGTTGGCCCCGGCGAGTCTGTTCTCTGTTGGTTATATGCTACCGGCATAGGGACATCGTGAGATATTAATGGCGCTCCGCATATCTCGCAAGAGAGAAGAGAGGGGTGGTTCAAGAAAGTGCAACGGGGGCATTGGAATCCATCCGATTTTGCTATTTCCGTCCTCGCTCCTTGTAATGTAGAATTTGATTCCAAGCCACCTAGGTCATCAGATGGTTGCGGAAACGGCGACTGGAGCGTCGAGTTGGAGGCCACCTGTCTACTAGTCACACTTGAAATGGAAGCTTTGAGCATATGTGTTAAGGCTGGCTTGATACCGCACGCTAGGCATGGTGGCAAAGGCGTATGCGCATTCGCGGTCGTTGGGTCGAAATTGGATGGAAGAGGATTTGGAAAGCTACATATGGTACAGATCCATGTAGCGGAGCTAGGCTGCGGCGTGCCTGTGGAGGGCGATCGAAATTGGGAATCGGATGTTGGCAAAGGTGATCCAGTACTATCACGAGAACCGGACGAGGTTGCTGCTGCTGCTCTGGATTGGAGAGATCCCTTCTTGGCTGGCTTAGGAATAAGTGTCACCTTCGCCGAGGATTTAAGGAATCCTGCCTATGGAAGGTCTTAGTAGATTAAATCAGCTTTGGTGGGAATGTACATATCATCATACGTAGAAATCATATCTCTCCAAATCTTTTAGGTCGAGAGCGACGGAATGTTTTCTAGGCTCCTGTTTGTCGACATAACATATTCGATGTGATGTTAAATAGACTTGTCCATTTTGCTGATTCGGAAGTTTGTATTTGCTTTAATTGTGAATATAGCGATTAGGATTAGTAACTCAAAAGGCAAGACAACATCTCAGGAAAAACGACGACACAAGACACAATCAATTATATTAGGAGACTCACCCCTCATAGAGCCCCACGTTGTCCTGGACAAAGAGGAGTACTTCGTCTGGGAGATAGGACGGCCTGAGGGCAGTGGTGAGGTCTATTTGTTTTAAAAACATCCGTCATGTCGTTCAATTTAAAAGTAGACGGTCGAGATATTGGAGTAATTACCAAACCAATATCGTGAACGTGAATTTGAATAAGACAAGTTTTTAGTTTTGGATAATATTTTTGAAAGTTCCGAGAGAAGTTCAACTTGAACTCAAGGTGCACTTGCCTTGGGTACCTTAGTAAATAATACGTAATACAACATAACTATGTACAATACACATAGGAAGGCATGTGGGTTCCAGGGTTCCTTCCCCAGCTGGACAGCAGGCAAGTGCACATGTGCTTGGAATGTGCACAAAAAGCACCCTAACCTAGATATGTAACCTAAGGTTAGGTTAGTTACCTTGCCTTTTTTGCTTTTCCATTTTCTTACAACAATAATTCGGTTTATTGCAACATCACTTCGACAAGATTTCGGATTATTATTCCAGCAGCATTTTAGTTCATCAAAGAAATCGTTTTATCCCGCATTGATTGCAAACGAAATCTCGGGATATTAGATTCAGATAATTCACGAAACCACATCAAGGCTAATTAGGTTCAGTCTAACGCAATTAGGTAAATTCAAATATTAATCTTGGAACTATTGGTTGCTTCTAATCAGCCAGTTGGCACGCATTTGACCGCCCTGCCGCCTGAAATATCCCCTACCCTCACTAATTCTTCCTTTCTTCCCAATTCACACATTCTAAACCTCCACACTTCACAAATTCTTCCTTTTTCCCCCTAACTCTTAATCATCGCTTTGGTCAATCGCCTTGCTTAACCACCATCTCCCATCATTTCGACTGTGAATCTATTTGTTGATCCAGTCGTATTGATAACTTTGGATGTCATTTTTCGATATTTCTCTTCTTGAAGTATCCTAATTCTCGCTCGTACGTCTACTAACCTTAATACTACTACTAAGCCGACCCTTCCTACGCTACCACCGAAATTCATCATCACCGCAACGACGATGTCTTGGGCAGCACCCCCGCCATCAAATGGCGCCCAGGCGAAGCCTTATCCTTATCAAACAGCCATGAGTAAGTCACTTATATTCATTTATTACTTGAACTTTGATGCTAACTTTCATGTCCTCTACAGACACCGCCTATACCGCAGTCCCGGTTCGTCAGGGCTTTGGTCAAGCATACCAAACTCAACCACAATATAGCTACTCTTCCCCTGCTAATACTCAACCTCCCGCAACCTCCATGACTTCTTCTGCGGATCAGCAATCTCAGCAACAAAAGTTTGATTGGCCAGATTCAGTTCGCAGCTATGTCCAACGATCTTTCCAGTCTTCCAACCTAGATCCAAGCGTATCCCGCACCGAAATGGAAGCCAAACTAAAACATATTATCCAATACACCCAGGAATGTCGAACCATGTACACCACGGACTGGAACAGCATGCCGCTCCCGCAGGTCATGATCAAGAACGAGCGACAACAGGCCTTAATGCAATCCATGACGCCTTCAACTGTATCTGAGCCAGCTACTCCTTCTTCTACCGTTGCATCGACCAACTCTAAGAAGAGAAAGTCTTCAGATCTCAGCGGATCCGATTCAAGCAGTGGCATCACAGTACCTTGGCGTAGTGCTAAAGCACTCTCATTAGGAGATCGAATCACCAAACCCTCCATGGATAGCCCTTCCTCGGCCAAAAGTAAGTTCCAGAAGAATGTTGAGAAGCGACAACGCCGCGGTGATGGTGGGTATCAGTCTACCTACCGATCTCCTAGCCCTCCGCCCTCAAATGGCCCCATTGTTGGACTGAACCAAAATTTGGAGAAACGATACCTACGCTTGACTGCCGCCCCAAAGCCGGCCGATGTCCGACCTGAGCGTATCTTATGGCAGACTCTAGATCTTCTGAAAAAGAAGTGGCGTAAGGACGGCAACTATAACTATATTTGTGACCAATTTAAGTCGCTGCGCCAGGATCTGACAGTGCAGCGTATCAAGAATAACCTAACCGTTTCCGCTTATGAAATCCATGCCCGAATTGCGTTGGAGAGGGGGGATCTTGGTGAGTATAATCAGTGTCAGACCCAGCTACGTGCCCTTTACAATTCCGGTCTGAAGGGCAGCTCTATCGAGTTCAAGGCGTATCGTATTTTGTATTTCATTCACACCGCAAATCGGACGGCGTTGAACGACGCCATCGCAGATCTAACCACAGCAGAGAAAGAAGAGCGGCCCATAAAGCATGCCTTGAGTGTGCGTTCAGCTCTGGCTCTAGGCAACTACCACAAGTTCTTCCAACTGTACCTCGACGTTCCCAATATGGGAGCATATCTTATGGATATGTTTGTCAAGCGTGAACGAGTGGCTGCATTGGCGAACATGTGTAAGGCGTAAGTTACCCACTTCACTGATTGTCGGGAAATTAGTTGCTAATACGATGAACAGGTTTAAGCCGGAGTTGAGACTCCGCTACATTACTGAAGAACTGGCTTTTGAGTCTGATGTTGAAGCCGTGCAGTTCATCATCGATCACGATGGTCAAGATCTACTCCAGGAACGACAAGATTGCATTGTCTTCCTGAGCGGCAAGGCCGGGACGCTATTCGAGACAGCTAGAGCTGAAGCGTTCCGTAGAGTCGATCTGAAAGGTCAGATCTGATTCATCGTACAGACCTCAGAAGCCTTCATCTCGTCCGTTAGGCGCATGGGACGTTTTATTACTAGTATCAGTGATTACAACAAGTCACCACGCATCTTATTCGTTGTAAACACCCTCACATCTCGACACATGCCGATTATTGATCTTGACGAGATATGTCGTATAAGATGGACGACTCTAGACACCAAAACTTGGCTCAACTTCCAAGTATATATCTCGTGATGCAAATATGCATATCTTTTTCTTTCAGTCGATTTAGTTGCCCACCGCGCACTTCTCACGGAATACCCATGCATTGACTTTTCCTTTACAGCAGGCGATCGGGTCCGGTTTTGCTTTCCTGGCTGGTAGGATCATTGATGAGGGGGGCCACTCCGGTTTCGATGGTGGCGTTAGGCGTGAGAGGTCTGGTTTGGGGTTATGGAGTTTGCCTGGATAGCAGGCGCGGTTTGCTATCAGAAAACGCTATGGATTTAGCAACTCTAGACCAAGTGGCCTAGTCAGTACTTAACCAGTATCGTGGCATTAAGGGGGTTGACATGCTTGGAGCCTACCTCGGCTATCGTAACTTCGTAAGAAGACAGCCGCAGGTAGTTGGAGAGCTAGTCACTGAATAGGTAGAGCCTTGCCAAAGGGTCAGTTTGCGAAAAGCCTGCCCTTGGTGCTGACTATCATACATTCGAGTCTTAGCATATTAATATACCTACTGCCGCCGCTTTAATGGTTCCTTTATCTTCATTCGTGGGTTGTTGTGGCAGCAGGATTGTATGTTGCCGAAACTCCTGAACCATGGCCTTTTAAACGAAGTTCTTATTAACCTATATGTGTGTATCCAGCATCAGAATCATCAGACAGCCTTCATGTCTAGTATGAGCATAAGTCACGCAGCAAGGCATCGGAATCTAGCATCTACTCGGTATTCAGCCCGCACGGGGAGAGCGGGTGCCTTGACCTCAATGTATGAGGTGAATGGTTAGCATCTATGAAAGCAGCACGACTCCTTTATTTTACCCTTCTTCTTTTTCTCGCGTAACCTCTGCAGCAGCCGCCTTCCTTTTTGTGAATAGGGGAGAGTTACCTAGGCAGATCACTCACTCACTCACTCACTCGGTCACTTACTTGGGCTTGGGCTCGAGCTCCCATTGTCGCAGCAAGATTTAGGTAGGTAGGTAGGTAGGTAGGTATCACATCTCTTTCCCTGCCGAGAAGCTGACGGAGAGTTTACCAACCTAAGACATGCAGATGCTGTGCTATCTATCCCTCTTTCCCTTGTCGCGTTCCCCGCTAGGTTAGGTAGGTAGGTAAGTAGTTTTAATCAGCTTTTACGATGTGTACGACTTTTCTAGGTAGGTAGGTAGGCAGGTTAGCTGTTTAACATCGCACACACATACATACTGTATATACGAGCGCGCGCGCAAGTTGGGCGGGTGATGGGGATGGGGGGTTAGGGGTTACCGTCGCACGGCTTGAGGCAAAGAAAGGAATTGATGCTCTCGGGGGGGGGGGACTTTTTACTTTTTTTTTTTTTTTTTTGCGCCTGGCGAATGGGCCGATTTCGTCGTGTTGGGTTGGTCGTCCGCGTCTTTCTTTTCTCTCTACGGTAACCAGTTTAGAGAAGGTCACGCAAGGGCAAGATATCTGATCTGATTGTGGAGCTTTCACATCACTTCATGTCCCCCTTTTTATTTTTTTTATTTTTCTTTTCTAGACAATCTTTTTTTTTTTTTTTTTTTTTCAATTAGGGGCGGGAATGGAAAAGGGTTCGGCTCGACTTACCTCGAGTATGTACAATCCACCTACCCCCATTTTCTGCAACATGGTTGGATCAAATACGAATCTTCGTGTTTCTCGATCGGGTTTGTGTTTTTTTCTTTTCTTTTCGGTGCTCTTGTCTGCCTATCCTATCTGGGGAGGCTACTTCAGGTGAGGCCCGGATTTGTGTTTCTGGTAGTAGTAGAAGGGAGGACTGCTGCTGCAAGGTTGAACCGTTCGGGTGGGTTAGGCGTTCATGTCGGTTACTATTTGGGAGTTGCATCTAGGTAAGGCAGAAAAAGAAAGCAAGGTGAAGGCAAGGTGAAGGCAAGGTGAGAGAGATGAGGTGAGGTGAGAAATGATCAAAAGTTTCCCCCCTCCTTCCCCTTATTGGACAATAGTCATAGTCAATATTGGGGAAAATATTGATGTGTAATATCGTGTCGCCTGATCTGATGAGCTACTGTATATCACATGCAAGGCGCGGGAAGTCCCCAGGTTAGGTAGATGATAGTATGTAAAAAAACGTAGGTCAGACAAAAAAGTATGATGCATTTTTACGAAATGCTAATGAAGACGGGCCGTCTTTTTTAGACGTCGTCATTATGTTTCAGTCCTTTCGCCCAGTTTCATGGTTAACACTTCGCTTCGGAAAGGGATGATCCGGACTTTTCACGCATGAAATATCAAGCATGAAGGATAGATATAGGTGTGCACACTAGATAAAATGAAATGGAATATAGGGGTTCGTGGCCTTTCATCTGTTGCGTTGTAGCTATCTGAACTGTTCTATCCCAAGCGCGAGTCGGTATATACACCTCGAGGGAAAATTACGTACCTAGTATATACGCAGACAATATCTATGTAAGATTCTTGGTCACGGGAAGGGAAATTTGATAAAGGTCCAAGGTCATAACATATTTATTGTCAGTTGACAAATACCCCTGAGTTCCCAGTACCTAATGAGTATTTATTAGCTTGGTATCCGGGGATATAAACCGACTTGACCCGGATCAGGTCCGGACAAGGGATGTCTTATTGCAATTATGCGTTAGTAGAACAGTCATGCAGGTTGGCCAAGTACGTCATTTGACAAGCAGATTTTTATCTCTCTCTCTTTCTTTTTTATGACCAGTATCTTCCAGGTTGGGTGGTGTGTGATAGGTATCTCGATATCAACCTTCTGACAGCATCCCCGGAAACTACGGGATTTACGCGAACGCACGACAATTTCTCCAAGAGGCGCATGTGTACCAATCTAGGTGAAACGGTATAGGAGGAAAGACGATATTTATATCACGTCCAACACAATGTCCTGCCGTCTTTTCATGTACTACTACTATGTAAGCAGGTAGGTAGCCTTGGTAAGAGTGGCTTCGAGTTGTACTGTACCTACTCTACTACCTGCATAGTTAGCAAGTATTGTATTGTATTGTATTGTATTGTACATACTATGTAAGCACTTACATGTATGCACAGACTTAATAGGTAACATGAACATGTGTAGGTTAGAAGCCTATTAAGCGCGGATAATGCTAGAACCGCGCGTAAAGGACCCGAGTCAGCTAATAGACTCCAATGTGGATGTTTCAGGGTCTCCCTGCATACTCTGCAGGTGCATATGCTTTAGTAGCGCGGCCATCCACGCAGGAGGATAGAGGATATATTGGCAAGACTGACGATAGACAATTCTTTGCTCCTTTCCTGATTTTTGGTTTCTGGCTTTATTTTTCCCTCTGTCTTCTCCTACGAAGTAAAGCCCCTGGGCATGTAGGTATCGTGTGACTTAGCTGCCACGTAATCCCGAGATCTACATAATCTGTGTATGCAGATTGATATGTATTGTAACTCGTTACTCGTTATTAGTAGAAACGGCACCGGTAACGAATTCCTGACATAGAGGTACCCACTACCTACTACGCAGTAGGACCCGAGTAGGACCAGTAGGTAGGCACAAATGTATTATCTGATGACGCATATGTAAGTCGCCATGCAAGCTGCAAGGTACGAGGTCAAAGAGATGCATATGATTTGAAAGATCTTTCCGGGCCTTGGAATATGCACAAGGAGAGACCCCCCTGACAGGATATTGACACTAACAGAAAGTTGTGGGATTCCATTTGTTTGACGTGGGAGGTTTTGATGGTTGCTTGAATCTGGTAAGCCTGAGGAAGGGCACTGTATCCATTGAGGTTAGTTGTTTGCCTCTACTATGTAACAATCATTGATGATAGTGCTACTACATTACCTAGTAGTATGTAGGTAACTAGAGTCTAGCAGCCTGTAGGTCATAGTAGGGTCGTAGGTAAGGGCCCTTGAGGATCTTGGCTTCCTGGTTATCCAAGGTCTAACCATGTATACCCAACCTGTTCGAAGTTTCATAAAGTCGATTGCTACATGTAACCGATTGTAATGTAGTACTACTACTAGTAGTAAGTAGGTAGAGTCTGGTAGAGTCTAGAAGCCCAAAGTGACTTGGTCTTGGGACCTGGTAAATCATTGATGCATGTGTACCGTACCAGATGTAGGGCAGATAATCATCATCCATGGATGCTAATTACATACTATCAATGATGTATGTAGTAGACTGTAGGTAGGGTATTTTAATGATATACCTAATGTATGTGGATCATTCGGCACCATTCAATGCGATCCCATGTGCTCGTCGGTCGATCAAGCAGATTGATTGTCAAATTGTTTGGAGCCGTGCTTTTTTGTTTTATTCTCCTAAGTACCACAAGTACCCCAAGTACCCTACCTTAGGTACATGTAGGTATGAAGTAACTACCTACTGTACCTGCAATAAATACTGTCAGCATGAACTGAAGAGAAGCGGAATGTGACGGTAGTGGGGTGAGGGGTATGCAACCTTGAAGTCTACCTAAGTTTTAGGTAGGTACAATACTAGGTACAGCATTATACCTACCTAGTAGACTGTAGTACCTAGCAGCAGGTCCTAGCTGGCACTGACGTTGAACTTTAGAGGGGCTAACTACATACATAGGTTAGCCAGTACTTTAATCTTCAAGGTGATATTCTAAAATTCAATGTTCTAAAATATTTAAGTAACTGACTACTCAATTAGTGCATACCAACATGTCTGAGCGGTTGCAAGGAGCGCTAATAATTGCCTCTATGTTCAACTGCATTTGAATAACAGGCGGGCTGCTGAACTTAGATCACAGTACACATTAATGATGTGTCTTATATTGGCATCCATGTCATGCCATGATCACTTTTGCTTAGTTATAGTGACCTTTATTTGCATACTTTACATACCCTAGGTATCATTAATTGATTGAAGATTCAATGTTTTCCATTGGTCTGGCCTTATTGATTCCTTCTTTCCTCCCTACGGTTAGTACCTAACCAGCTAGGTTACCATACTAGACAATGCTGCTGCTTTACTATGTCAGTACGTCTAAAAACACTACAACTATTTTCTAAAAACACTACACTTTCCTATTTGAGTCTAGTAATTACATGCGACACTCCACCACCTAATTTCATAACGTTTTTATCCAACTACATAATTTAAGAGTTTTGCTATGTGCACTACCATTAAGTATTGTACATCCCATAAGTCCACTAAACCTTAAAAGCCAGGGCCCGTCCAACCCATCCATCCCATCCATCCAAATAACTCTTCAGCCATATGTCGCATCACGATGCAACCAGATTCAATTGAAAGAGAATCCGGTTGCCAATTGATTGATATAGGTCTCAGATTGAAGCGATGCGTGGTCGCAAAGTTATTCAAGTAAATAGGTGGCGGAACGGGAGGCACGTGATCACCCTTAGAGCCACACTATGGGCCCTTAGCGCCCTTGGAGCCCTTAGACCCAAACCTTATTGAATAGTTTCAACCCTGAATAACTTTCCAACCACATGTCGCACCAGGATGCACCCGGGTTCAATTGAATGGTAATTCAATTGCCAATTGATTGGTACAGGTCTCGAACTGAGGCAATATGTGGTTGAAAAGTTATTGTGGTAAATGTATCGTGTAAATGTATCGTGGGAGGTCACGTGATACTACTTAGCGTAACCCCAGGGGCTTTAGGCGGCTCTAAGGGCCTTAGCGTGGCTCTAACAGCTCTTAGTGTGGCTCTAAAGGTAGTCACGTGACGCCCGGACTGCCACCTTTTTGCTTGAATAGCTCAGCGACCACCCATCGCCTCAATTTGAGACCTACATCAATCAATCGGTAATTAAATGCGCTTTCAATTGATTCCGGTTGCATCGTGCTGCGATATATGGTTGAAAGGTTATATGGATTGAATTGATGTGGGTAGCTGGGGCCGTTAGAGGCGCTAGATTAGGCCCGGATTTGAAGATTTAGGGCATGTACCGTACCTGATGGTAGTGCATATAGCAAAACTCTTAAATTATATAGTTGGATAAAAACGTTATGAAATTAGGTGGTGGAGTGTCGCATGTAATTACTAGACTCAAATAGGAAAGTGTAGTGTTTTTAGAAAATAGTTGTAGTGTTTTTAGACGTACTGTTACTATGTATATCCATAAGCGTTTCCCACTTTTGTCCACGTTTTTTTTTTCAAGTTATGGATCGCTTTAATGGCCAATGCTGTCGTCAAGCAATCATCCCCCTGTCAATCGGATCTTTTTTTCTCTTCATGTTCTTCAATTGATGTTCAATGTCCTTGAAAACACCCCGCCCTATGTACAATTGATGTACATGTACGTATTAACAGTATCGGATTATGTATGTACTTTATGTACGTACCTACATGGATATGTACTGATAACATTGGAGTACCTATCCAGGTCTGGTAGTCCCATCCCCAAAAAAGCAGAGCACATCAATAATTGTATGTACCTGCCTACATAGTGTACATACATAGTAGCATTCCTGCCAGCATTTTGGTTCAGTTTGGCTCGGTTTGGCTCAGTTTGGTTCAGTTTGGTTCAGGTGTTGTGAGCAATGCAAAGCAGGGGCGTCTCCATCGAGGGAAAGGACCACTCGTAACCCCAGGACGCACATACCCATGGAGTAAAGTAGGTACTCTGCCAATCCACTAACACCCAACTCAATTTATCCCACTTTTTCTGGACAGTTTCCACCCTCTTCTCTAAGCCAGTCATCCATGTCCCCCCCCCAATCCTGGTAAAGCGCAATCAGTCGCTGCAAAAAAGTCAACCAGTCTAGTCCCTCTGGTCCCTCTGGTCCCTCTAGTCCCTTTCCCACCACTCCATCCTTTGTTCCTTCTGACCTCCCCCAATCTCTTAAGACCCCGTCGAAAAACTACACAGTACTCCTACCATCGACACCTAGGACGATAAGGCGACCATTACATTGGCGACTAGAACACCATACCATTACCACTTGTTAATCTGGAAGCGGACAAGTCTGTGTCTTCGTTACTATATCTACGTATCCGCTCCGCTAAGACAATTGATACCCGACATAATCGTGGCTGCGTTAGGAGTGAATAAAGGAAAGGAACGAGTGCTAGAAGAACATTGAAAGGAAACACTGAGTATTCAAGAAGGGACGCTTATAAGGTCGATAGTACTGTTGGCTACCATTTTCGGTCTAGAAAAAGGAGACAATCGCCATTACTTTTTTTTTTCCTTCTATCGACTTGTTATTTGGTTGACAAGGGCTGTTTGAGAAAAGAAAGAGAGTGAGAGTGAGAGAGAGAAAGGGCCAAAGCTTGGAAATTACGATTATTATTTTTATCCTCATTTGCTTCCTCCCCCGAAAAGTCTCACCTTGACACACCTCCATTCGACTTCGAACGTTTTATCTTGTCGCCTAAACTCCAACGACGACCTCAACTTTTTCTTCTTCTTCGCTTCGCGCCCATCGCACACGTTGTCGCACTGATCCAGACCTGCCGTTGAACAGGACCGCCAAGTACCGCTGCCTTGGTGTAGCCGTGCCTGAGCCTCGGGGATAGTCAGTCTGCCGTTTCTGGCCCTGCGCCCGCTCCTCTTTGGAATCCTCTTTCGCGCCTCCGCTTCCTTCTCACCTGATATCATTTAACCCACAAACTTCCGAATCTGTACAACAATGAAGGTGCGCCATTAAACCTAGGAGCCCCCTCTTCCATTTGTCTTGAATCGCTCCACTGTTACTCTTTGCTTTTTTCAAGAAACATGTCTATACACACCAGTCGCAACAATGTCGCGAACCCATTTCAATCGCGACCAGGTCACAGCCGGTGATACTCTTGCTAATATTATGCGCACTATACAGGCCCTCAGAAGATCTATTAAAGGCGACAAGGATAAACCTCAGGTGTCTATCGCACCTAAATCCGCCGTCGCTATCGTTCCCCCGAAAAAGGTCAGTGTTCTGTGTCTTTCGGTGTTGTATTTCTGGTTCTCGGTCAACTTGACCCGCTTTTCATCACATATGGTGCGATGCTAATGCCCGAGACATTCGCAGGTTATTCGAGCTCTCTACGATTATGAAGCGACATCCGATCAGGAATTAAGTTTCTCTCGCGGCGATTTTTTCCATGTTATTGGCCGCGAAGATGATTCCGACTGGTACGAAGCCTGCAATCCAGCTCTTCCTGATGCTCGCGGTCTTGTTCCGGTAGCATTCTTCCAAGCTCTTGGACGTACCGAAAGGGACAGTGGCCAATCTGACCCCGGCCATCCATTAGCACCCAAGAAGGATGATCACGATTCCGGCTTCTCCGAGACTAACACATCAACTGTCCCCGCAACTCCAGCACTTAGTCACCGTAGCTCTAAGTCGGTTAGCAAGAATGGCGCCATGGTGTATGGGATAGTCATGTACGACTTCGAGGCAGAGAGGGCCGACGAGCTGGAAGCGAAAGCCGGTGAGGCGATCATTGTGATCGCGCAATCTAACCCAGAATGGTTTGTTGCGAAGCCAATTGGTCGCCTTGGTGGTCCCGGTCTTATTCCTGTCTCGTTTGTGGAAATTCGAGATATGTCAACCAATACAGCCGTACCGAATCCCCAGGATGCTGTGAGACGAGCTGGAATACCAAAGGTGGAAGAATGGAAGAAAATGGCGGCCGATTACAAGAATAGTAGCATCACGTTAGGCAAATTCGAGGGAGGTCAGCACCCAGGTTTGGAACAAGGCATGGAGCGCATGAGCATTCAACAAGGTGGAATGCGCCAGAGCCAGCAGCAGAGCACTTCGCCGGTAAGCCAACGTTAATCACTGACCCTGCTTGCAAATTGGCATAGGCTAACCTGAAATTTCTAGCAACAGCAATTCAGCGGATACCAACAACAGACCCAGCAACAGCAGCAGCAGCAGCGAAATACGATGCAACAGAACCAATATGCCTCCAAATCTACCTCACAGTTATATGCCCCTATTTCGGCTCGTATACCACGATACTGCTTTGCCGAAGAGAAATATTGGTTCGTAATCGAGGCAACTCTGGAAGATGGCCGACACTGGGAGCTTTCGCGCTATTACGAAGATTTTTATGACTTTCAAATTGCCCTTCTCACGGAATTCCCGGCCGAGGCTGGTAATACGGGAACTCAGAAGCGGACGCTACCGTATATGCCCGGCCCCGTTAATTACGTGACCGATGCGATCACGGAGGCGCGATTGCATAATCTAGATGCATATGTGAAGAATTTATTAGGACAGCCGCCATATATCTCCAAATGTAATCTGGTAAAGCAATTTTTTGCGCCACGGGAAGGCGACTACGAGATTGACCCTCCTTCTAATGGAGACGAATATAGACTATCTGGCGGGTCACGTTCTTCTGTCGATTCGCCTAGGGATGGCAATTCTCGACAGTCCTCTAGGAACAATCTTAACGGAAACGGATATTCAGGATTATCAGCGGCCCCTAGACAGATGCAGAACGGGCAATCGCAGATGACCCGGCAAGCGTCGTCGCTTTCCCAGCCGTCACAGACATCATTATCGCCAGGGATGACCCAAGGACAGCAGTCTTTCAAGGTCAAACTACACTTCAACGACGATACGTTCCTAATCCGCGTGCCCTCCGATATTAACTTCCAGCAACTATTCGAAAGAATTAAGGAACGGACCAAAGTGTCCGGCGCAGACCAAATTCAACTTTCCTACCGAGACGAGCAGAGTGGCGATAAGCTCAGCCTACTGAGCAACAACGACCTTAATTATGCCCTGGAGCACAATGAGAAGCTTGTCGTTTTCGTTGATCAAGTATAGAGCACCAAGGAACACGATACCCCTAATTTCCGTATGCAATATACCCTTTATACCTTTCGTTCTTTAGCATTTGCATCGCCGAAGCCATAGCTACTTCCGAAATGTCTGCCCTGGCCCATACCTTTTGGCAAATACAGTTCTTTTCGCCTGAGCCGTCACTATGCTGCCTCATCTAGTACATAGTGGCAGCTGGTGCAGCGTTGTCCATCGGCACGCGCGCTCATTAAGGTAGTGTTTTGATATAGTAGATATCGATGGCTTAAAAGCTACTAGAGCCGCCAGGATGGGTTACTCTTGTGCGATTATCCCATGTCGTTTCTTCTCCGCCATGCTCTAGATCCTTTGTCTGCACTGGCATTTCTTCTCTTCTTCTGAGGTCTTCGAAATCTTTCTAACACTAGGCCGGGTCGAAAATGGCATTCATGGACATCCTAGCAAATTCTTATACGGTATACCTTACGGTCTGGCGCGAATACGGGGTTTGATTTCTTTAAATGGGCCGATTTTTTTGTCCTGGCTTTTTTTTTTCTTCTTTTCTTCTACATTCAAGCTTGCTAGCTTTTTTGTCACATTCTTCTAAAGTTATCTATTTACTGGGTGATGAGTGCGTGGACGAATGATGAGTTGGGATGATGGAACATAACATACGATTCAACTTTTGGGCGGCTCAGTGGCGTCCAGTGGGGATCAAACGACAACCCCGAGCACTTGAGGATGTTTGCTTTCAAGGCTTCGACCCTTGAGGCGAGTAGATGGGGCTTGGGGTAGATGCCCGTAACCATGTTAGATGGAAAGACTGGAATAAATCCAGCGGAGTAGGGTTTGGGGACCAGCAAAACAACGTAACACACCTTGGTACGGTTTCTGGTAGCTCATGATATCTCAGCTATATCGTTGTCAAGGGGAATGAAATGGAATGTTGACTGAAGCTTATTTTTGCTGTCTTTTTGTATTGATGTGACATGACATGAAATCAAGTAGTAGGTAGGTGCCTCATGTTCGAGTCTCTTGCTGATGAACCCGAGTACTGCTACTGTTATCTAATGCGACGGCTCGTAAGTAAGATCCGTCTCCTTTTCTTGACGAGTCTGGACTTTCGATACATGAACGACTCGGTACATACCTACCTCCTCGCTCATGTAGGTATGTAGGTAGGCATTATTGCTTAAAGACTATAAGTTACTAACGAGCTGTTCATGGATGTGCAATATTAAACCTTGAAGCGAATACCTAGGTAGGCGGTATATTTAGAATGGACGTGTATGAGAAATTCCCCTGCTCCTTGCTTAATTGTATATCTAGGTAGGTAGGTAGCTATGCCTAGCTATTTATGTACATATATTGATTTCCTTGAAGCTGGTCAGTCGATATGGTGTGTAGCTACCTAGTAGGTATATGCAGTGCGACGCGATAAATGCACATGTGCCTAATGATAGTTAGATAGAATGGATATGCAGTCTGTCTCGTCCGGCTTGCGTAATGAATATCTATATTAGATACTTGGATACGTAGCTACCTAGGCGACTATCTTGGATAGATGTTAATTATTTGATATAGATATTCAATACTTTTTTTGAAATTGAAAAGGCCAAACAATGAAAACAAAAACAATAACTATTGATGATGTGTCCCTTGTATGACAATATTTTTATGCTAGGTAGTAAGAAAGCGGTGTAAAGAGGGTATGTGGAACTTTTAACGCATAAAAGTCGTTCAATGCAATCAAGGACACAGACCACACAGGCGACAACAAGTTATCCCCTTCCAGTTTTTTAGGCTCCACTTATTGATTGGCCTGAGGTGCAAGATGGCCCCTGCCTCTTGCTTATTTTTACAAAACGTACCTCAGTACTTGCACACTTCGCACACAAAAAAACCCTCCCGAGCCACAAAACCCGCTGAAACCAATTTCTCCCCTCTTTCACTAAGCACATCCCTCGCCCCCTTTAACAACCAAAACCCGGGTCGAGTTCGTTTACAGGATTAGACCGTTGAATTTCATTGAATCAATTGAGAAAATTCAATTCATCACATCATCATCGTCATTCTACCTAGTACCTAGTAACTAGGTAAAAAATAAAATAAAAAAATAAGAACTTACAAAGATAGATAAAATAAAAGTTCCCTATCGAAGCTATTCATCATGTCGGACGTTCCCGCCGTCCCCGACACGCCTACCAGCGCTACATCTCCCAGAGAACGACATTCACTTACTCTTGATCAACGACGCGCCCTTCGTCGATGGGCACATTCACAATCTACTCGGCCTTCCCACAAAGCATGCATCGAATGGTTTTACAGTCAATACGGCCAGAATATCAGTCAATCCACTATTAGTCATTCACTGTCGCCCAAGTATGCGCGTCTTGATAACGACAACCAATTCAGTGGCTCGCGTCTTCGATTTGGTAATTGGCCTGATGTGGAAAAGTTAGTTCTACTTTGGCACGGTCAAGTTGTCGCCTCTGGCCGTAATCCTTCCAATGAAGAATTGGCCGAAAAGGCCAAATCCATCTTCCAACAGCTGCCCCGATACAAGGATGAGACGCCTCCCGAGTTCTCCCCCGGTTGGATTCATCGATTTAAAAAGCGTTATGGCCTGCTCATTCGTCGCCAACGCCGACATGGCAATGCACAGAATCCTGCCGATGACCTCCCCTACCTTGTCGACGCCGTACCTCGATTTATGACTGTTAGCGCCGAAACCAGTCCCGCTGCCATTCGCGACGCGGTTCTACGCGTTGTTGGCGTCGAAGCTAGCCTCTCCACCTGTGCTCGCGTTCGCGATGAAGTAGTCCGCCGACTGGAGAATCCTAGCCCAGCCCCCCTTCCCACCCTTGCCGGCGCGCCACTTAACCCTACCGAACCCAACCCATATGTAGGCAATGAGGACCCCGAGGTCGTTCTTCAGAATGCCCTACGCGCCATGCAGCAGGAAGAGGAAGATGCTGAAGCCGAAGCAGCTGCTGTCCGTGAGCAGCGTGAGCGACAAGACCAAGGCCTCCCTCCCATTGCCCCCAGCCTCCAGACACCTGTGGCTCAACAAGGTCCGAGAGCGAGTGCGCGCTTCACCCCTCAAGGGCCTGAGGATCCCAACCTCACCTTGACCCCCATCTCTAGTGGCGCTACCATGTCCAATGCAGACCGATCTATCAGATGTCCCTTCTGCGTCAACCAGCGCATGCTCCGAAGCATTAAGGAAGCTGTGGAGCATATGAGCACCCACGTTGTCGTCTGAATCTGGGATGATAGCATGCAAGCATCAAACACACCTATGACCATACAACAAGATACGGTCTTTGGTGTTTATACGAAAACGATCGAGGTTATGGAATGGAATGGATAGGGGCGTTTGGTAAAACCCTCCTTTTACTCATGGTAGCCTGGGGGGGGGAGGGAGGGCATCCTTAATGCTTTCATGATTTTTTTTTTTCATCCATCGCAAAAAAAAAGGTTGAGCAGACTCAAGGTCACACAGTGATGGCACTATGGCGTTCGGGGTCTTCTTTTTTTTTTTTCTTCGTTTTCCATTTAAGTATCTTTTCTTTCACCGGTTTCGATAGGAAGGAACATTGAAGCTTTTCTGCCCTTATGCAATAGTCCGAAATACATGCCTACTTATGTACTTCCCATTAAGGGTGCGTAAGTAGGTACCTAGGTAGTGATGCAAGATGCCGATGGGAGGGTGGGGGGGGGAGGGAAGAGAGAAAGGAAAGATCATTAGGAAGGAAGAGAAGAAAGAGAGAGAAAGATATATGGATGCTGCTGGGTGAAGTTAATGCGATGAGGAGGGGGGGGGGAATTGTCGCCTATAGGCAATTACCTAACTACCTACCTAGATACCTAGCCAGCCTACTTGGCTAGGAGATTAAGAGATAGGACAGAGAGAGAGAGAGAGAGAGAGAGATGGATGCATGCATCGGCTTCTTAATAATATCACACGCGCTGCTGCACAGGCAACTCAATACGTCTTTCTTCCTTTTGGTGATTAGTTTTTTGTGAAGCTATCATCCCATCTTCGTAATGCATGTGCATTTGGGAGGTTTCTGTGACTGTGGTTGAATAACATCGATGCCTCCCTAGAATGTTTGCTTCTGAATAGGAGCCATCGTGTAGTTGGTATGGCAGAAACTGTTTAGCCACCCCCCCTTCCTTACCATGATGAGGGCTACGATAATGAATATGATACCGAGAATGATACTGATGATAATTGTCCCTGTCTACCTAACTTACATATACCTAGATCCGTAGGTAGGTAGGTATAATTGATGGAGATCCCACGCCTTCGAACCTCAAGCACACTCCTCCCCTCCTTCTCCCCCTGCATCTTAAAAAAAAAAAAAAAAAAAAACTGGTGGGTTCGCTTTCTAGCCCCTAATCTCACGATGCACTACCTACAACTCAATCAAGCCATGAACACTGCTGAATAGCTAGTTTGATAGGTGATAGGTAGTCTGATAGGTAAGTATATTTTTTTGAAGTAGCCAAGTCTGTAACTTGAAGGAGCCATGGCGGTATGTATGTATGTATATACAGCATCTAGTACCGATGTGCCCCTTTACCTAACTACCTAGGTACCTAACCTAGGCACCTTACCATCCTCTAATCCCGTCCCTCAACACACCAACACACATGAAATCAAACCCCCCAAACGCCTACCCTTCTCAATCACCAAAACACCTGAAAGAAAAAAAAACGCCCCATCAGCCAGCCCACCGACCGTGAAACCGCCTCTCCATCTCATCTATCAACCCAAGTAGGTAGGTAGGTTGTGTAATGCAGCCATACGTAAATCATTCATGCTTCAAAAAAAACGCCTGGGCTACTTATAAATGAACCCGTTTCACCACAGATACCTCCCACCCACCACACCATACTTTTATATGTATATGGAAATGAAAAGAAATCGTCCCCACAGCCTCGATTAGATGAGAATAGTCGAATAAGTAAACAAAGAAAAATGAACTGAAGAAGAGACATTATGTATACTGTTATTAAGTTAAGTAGGTATGTTTGAAGGTAGATATGAAGGTAGGCCGATGTATAGATAAGTAGGCAGTTTGGCACTTAGGTAGGTGCGTAAACGACACCCTGCCCAATCATCGTCATCGTCATTGTCATAATCACACCCACATCAGATTCCGCCCCTGCTGCCGATTCTGCTGCCACAGCGGGCGGTTGCCAGGCCCCGTCGACGGGCTGCGACTCGGGCTTTCCCCGGGCGAGGTGGACCCCGATGATCCCGGCTGGCTGTCGTCGGAAAGGTGGTTGTGGTGATGATGGTGTGCGGTCAAGGGTTGCATGTCATCGTCGATATCCCGCGTGCCGATCCCGGCGTTCGCGTACGCGCGGGAGAAGTCGTCGATTTCGGATGCGCTGGGTTCCGGCGTGGGTTGCATATGCTGCTCAGAGCGTTGTTCGTGCTCGTCGTTTTCATGTTCGTGCTGCTCTTCGGCCACGGGCTCTAAGCCGGTGCCTATCCCTAAAGGCACGGAGAGCCCCGGCCCGGGGTGATATCGTAGCGGTTGGGAGAGCCCGCGGACCGCCGCTGGTGCCCTTACTGGTGCCATTCCCGGCGCTGATTGCCAACGATCTTGGGGCGGGAAATAGGGTTGTTGATTATTGCCGCTGCTGCTGTTGTATTGATTTAGCGGCCGCCTGTCGTCGTCGTCATCTTGCCAAGAGGGGAGAGGTGCGAATGCTGCGCCATGTGATCGCATTGGGCTGTTTGGTGTGTTAGTTATTAGAGTCCTTGGTAATAGAAACTTGCGTTCACTGCTCACCTGATATATTCCGTTCTAGGGGGTGCGGTGGTTGGTAAGGGCCCTGGACCGTGGCGATCATTACCTCGCCGCCTGCGAATGCACCAAAACGCCACGGCAACTAGTACTGCCACGAGGACCGCTGCTCCGCTAATAGACCCGCCGATAATGGCGGCCTTGTTGGTGCTGGTACCTGTCGTTGCTGTAGGTGTGGCGGAACTGGTGACTGTTTCCACTGGTGGGTCATCTAGAGATCCGGTCGTGGGGTCTGGTATGTTAGACGTTATGGAAGTTGATCGTGTAGATGTAGAAGATGAAGATGAGGATGAGGATGAAGACGAAGATGACGACGAAGGTAAAGGCGACGTGAGCGATGTAGGCGATGAGAAGGAAGTTGGTGAAGGGTCTGGGTCCGAGTTCGAGGGTGAGTTCACGGAGGTGGGTGATGAAGGTGTGTCAACAGATGATGCCGATGTGGGAGTAGTATCAGGTACACTAGAAGAGGTTCCATCAGGATCACTTGTCGTCGTAGTCTGAGGCTGGGACCCAATTGAGGTGGGCTCAGTTAGGGGGGCCGGCAACGCCGTCAAGGACACCGATGTCTCTTCAAACACCAAGCTGGTCATGCCATCGACAGATGTTTCGACAGTAGTACCTAGAGATGATGCGGTTCCACAGCCAAATTGGTAGTATCCGCCAGCAAACTCATTCCGATAGCATACGTTTGACCCTTGACAGGTAAAGACATAAGGGTTAATTTCAGTCTGTGGTTCACTGGCCCAGTCGACACAACCGGTAAATATACCTGTCGAACAAGCCCCGCCATCGGGACAGCAACCCACTACTCCGTGGTCCTGTTCTAATACACAATGGGACCCTGTCGAGCATGTCGCAGGAAGGTTTGGATCTCCCCCGATAAAGCCGCATACCGTATTTTGTCCCTGCCTTGGAAATAACCCAGAAAGTAAGACTGGCGCTTCTGTCGGCCGAGGAAAAGGCACAACGTTCAACTCATGTAAATCCAAGGTCTTTGTCTCCCTCGGCAACACATGACCATTGGTTAACCCAAGCACGACACTGAGGACCAGAACGGCCGTGGCTGGTGGAAGACATAGGAAGCTGGCTTTGGATACTGAACGAGCCATGGCTCATTACATAGCTGACAGTGTACCTAGGTAGCTAAATTGAAAGAAGTAAAAGGAAAAGGGAAAGTAATAAACTTCAACTCAAACTGGCATCAAGATCGAGAAAGGAGAAGAAGGATGAATCATAGATGAGACGGAGGTCTCTTAAGAGAAATAAAAAATAGAGATGCGAAGACAAGGTATAGGTAGTATAGGTAGTATAGGTAAGGTAGGTACATGTAGGGAGGTAGGGAGGTATGCAGCCTTCAAAGGGCACCACACAATGGCACACATACACAAATAGGGTGTTACACAACAAGGCTGAGACTTGCTCAAGTGCTTCTGCTTGTATGCACGATCTAGAAATAGGTACCAAATGCAGGTGTGTCTTACCTACAGTACCGTAGCTGGTCGCTATCCATAGTACACCATATAAGCTTAGAAATGCCACGAGGAAGGGAACATTTGAAGCAGGAAAGGGTTTTCGTCTTGGTTACCTCGCATCCCAAGAGGAATAAAGTAACTCGATTAAGCCTACCAAGGCAAAATCGATCATACCTAGGGTACTATAGGTGAATAGAGACCTAGTACTCACCTCCTTACCTAGTACATAGCAGCAATTATGGCATTGCCACCGGGATAAACAGGTTCTTCTTTCTGCCAACACAAAACTTCTATGATCGACGCAACGGAGCGCAAAGACAGTCGGTCTTGTTAAAAGCCGCTAAGCTTCCCTGAATGGCGATTGTGTATCCAAGGGAAAAAGCCATGACGAATCAAAAAGTGTATATTCGTTGGGGATTTCTTTTTATAGACGTTTCTGACCAATTAAGGTAGATTCGGTAAAGTGATGCACAGCCACGGGGTTGGTAGGCAATGAAGCGATGAAAGACCCTGGGGATGGGGATGGGGATGGGGACACAGGGATAAAACTAAAATATTCCCTGTACATGTGCATCTTGGCCACATCCGATATGTCATTGCCCTAATAAGTGTTGGTAATATACTAGAATACCGGTGGAATGGTACGAGATTTATTTTTGGCTGTTAAGTTATCGGGTCTTCGCTCTGTCGTGGTCTCGTGTTCAATGTTGGCATTAACTCGGATCTGGGAAGTGTAATATATCAGGGTTCCCGACTTGGCCAACCCAGACAGGTCCCGAAGACCGTAGAAGACCGTAGCCAGTTGTTCGGGCGTAACAACTGGAATGTGTTTAGTGAGATGCTTTTTGTGCTGTACCTGCATGAGCGTACTCAGTGCTGTAGACTGTAGTAGCACTTGCAAAAGCTAATGCAGCTAGAAAATTGCTATTACGGGCATCGTGTTCCTGACGACAAGAAGCAGATAACATTTCGAGTCTATCGGGATCTCAGATAATGATCGGTATTATGTTTGTCTGTGTCTGGGAGCATTGAGGTTGCCTCGGTGCCTTGATTGTTAACAGAGCTTAATAGTTTTCCTGTGAAGTTTGAGCATAGTGCAGTGCCGTGTAGTGCCGTGCAGCATGCATCGCGACACTGAAAAGGTTTATTAGTTCCAGACTTCCCGGATGTCCACTGGAGAATTACCCAACCTAGGTTAATCCGTTTCCCACCGTGCTCGTAATTATTAAGGCGCTGATGTATTGATCGACAAGTGATTGATGGATGGATCTATTACGAGATTTTTCGAATTCAGGGTCCTCTGATTGTACGGTTTGGATCCATGGTAACTAATAGTATGAACTTCAATGATATAACCACAGGCCACCGGGCAGTCAATTCAAGTTGTTTAGTGGCGACATGAAAATTCCAAAGTTGTTAAAGCGAAAATTGCAGTGCACTTCTGAGGATCGGGAGATTTCATAGGGCGAAATATAGTGCACTGCCACAAAAAGATCTGAGATTACTGCAGTCTGAAGTCACTGCCATGTGCACCAGCGACAGTGGACAGCTGCATGCCCAGTGCATGGGTCTCACCTTGTAGACTCGTTGTGGCGTTGATATTTGTGGCAACTTGCAAGCGCCAGGTGCACCTTGAACTTGAAGGCTTCAAGTTAGGACTGGAGCAGTGGAGCTAAGATCTTAAATCAGCAGATCTCTACCCCGGTAGGCATGGAGCTTGAAAGCGTTAACGCTGTTTTAAGCGCCAAGCTCCCTGGATACTTACCTAAGGGACCTAACTATCTAGGGATCAACAATTTTAGAGGGCTTTCACTTCGTAGCGATACGATGATAAACAACTTCGAGGCACGTTTTTTTTGTTTTTTTTTGTTTTGCGGGGTGAATGAGTGAAGCCAAGTGATACAATTATTAGTGACGAAGTACTAACTATGTAATACACTAATTGGTAGCTAGTCCACGATGACCTCCGCATTTTACGGACCGACCACCTAACAATCCTTTCAAAGAAACACTCTACCACAATGCTTCCTTCTCAACATTGACCTTTTTTACACTTTCACAAAACATAATACTAGGCCTAGGTATCATAGCACCAACATGAACTCTTATGCTATTTAAAGTACATACCTAACATCAACCTCCCTTAAGATGCCGATCCGTGTCAAGTCGCGTCACTTGCCTACGCCGGATCGAGCTTTATCACCCGTTTCTTACCGGGTTGATACCGATCTCCCTGACATCGCCCATGATGATGCTTTCCGCGACGTTGTCAAGAAGCTATCTTCGTCCGTTTATGTTCCTTGCATGATTTTATATTTTTAGTACCAGCTCTAACCGATTTTGTAGGTATATTGCTGAAGTTGTCTATAGGCCAAGCACCTTTGAGCAACTCAGGACTACATCTGCGGGAGACGATCTTCGGTCTCTAGTTGAACATCTCACTATCCGCGTCACCAATCCCGCAATTGTGAATGCTTTACTGTATGACTTTTCTTTTGTGAAAAAAAAAAGAAAGAAGAATTCCGAATCAACAATAGCCCATATCTGAAGAAGAAAACAGATCGAATCTATAAGATATTTACCCTATCGAAATTTCACTAACTGTCGTCATAGGGCATTGAGGTGGCATTACGGTGCGATCAATGATAGTCGAGGGGTGAGTGAGGCCCGGGCGAATGCCTGCGAAATCGTTGCTTGGCGATTCTTGACTCGTCTGTCAGAGCGTGAAGTTGTAGAGTTTTGTCTATATGAGATTCCCGATGAGTGTGAAAGAGTTAGCACCCCTACCGACGATAGTGGGGAAAATAACGAAGTAACTGCTTTGCTAGGAAATGCATCTGGACGCTCCTCCTCGCCAGATCGTTTCTCAGATTACAATCGCTCTGGTTCTTCCAGGAGAAACAAGCTGTTTCAATCGATATCCAGACTGACCATGAGTCGACAAGCGACCGAGGTTGAGGAGACAGAAGGCCCAGAAGATGATCCTACCGCATCTTTCACACAACTCAATGCCCTGGAGATTGCTGCTATTGCCGATGCCAAGAGGTTTCTGAGCCAGCATGTAGTGCAGAAGATTATCACCGGCATCTGGAACGGCGATATCATCTTTTGGGACAGTCTCTCAGTTAACTCAGAGAAGAAGCCTAGGTTCTACAACCCGATCACGGCGGATCCTTACTCCCGCCTTCGAGTACCAAAATACCTTAAAGTCTATGAGGTTGTATTTTTCATTGGCTTCTTGGGGCTATACTACAGTGTCTTGATTGAACAGAATCGTTATGCCATCACTCCTCTAGAGATAATGCTTTACATCTGGTTTGCAGCTTTCTTCTATGACGAGGTCAGCGAGTATTTAGATGCCGGTTCGGTCTTTTATGCTGCTGACATTTGGAACCTTTTTGATATGATCATGATCGCCATTGGAATTATCTTTGCAGTCTTAAGTAAGTGGGCATTGGAGTAGCGAGGCTCGATATATGGAGGCGTATACTAACACCTGATGACAGGATTCGTTGGCTTATACAAGGAGGATTATACTCTTGTGGATATAGGATTTGACGTCTTGTCCCTCGAGGCACTCTTCATGGTTCCCCGCGTTTGCTCAGTGCTTAGTTTATCACCGTACTGGGGCACACTAATCCCGTGTCTCAAAGAGATGGGGAAGGACTTCCTTAAGTTTATGGTACTGGTCATCATTGTATATGTTGGATTTTTGACCACGTTCTCTCTCGTCGGGCGAGAAGTCTTCTCTTTCCCACATATGGCTATGATTGTTACCAAGATCTTTTTTGGATCTAGTTATGTTGGATTTGAGGTCATGAGAGAGATTGACCCAGTCTTTGGTACTACCCCTTTTCTGTCCCTTTATATATATCTACCCATGGTCTAATGTTCTAACACTCTCTTAGGACCTCCCCTTATGATCATATTCGTCACGTTAAGCTCGATATTGCTCATGGGTTCCTTAACTGGTATGCTGAGTAATAGTTTCTCACGTGTAATCACACATGCTCGCGAAGAATATCTTTACGTCTATAGCGTATATGTGCTTGAAGCATCGACCAGCAATCGGCTCACACACTTCTATCGTAAGTATCAGATCTTCCTAAGGTGAATGAGTATGTGAGACTAACCCGAATCGCAAAGCACCGTTCAATCTTATCGCATTTGCCATCTTCAGGCCACTGCGACTATTCTTACCTTCTGACGACACAACAATCCGACAGGGGCGCATCGTACTTCTGAGGGCAACCCATGCTCCAATTGTTGGCATCATTCAGGCCTACGAATGGCTCACCAACAAGGTCAACCCGGATGGTTTCGACAGTTTCCGGGGCCCACGTAGTAATTCTTTCAAGCGCCAGCCAGCGCCACCCCCTGACAGCAGGCCACGGTCGGGTCATCGGCCACGCATGCCGTCACGGCTTGCAAGCGCTGAACTTGTGGGAAAACTGAAATCTCGGCAACAGGCCCCCGAGGACTATGCTGGAGATGAGCCTACTGATGTTCAAGTACAGATCTCGGAGTTGACGGCCAAGATCGATCGGCTTACTAACTTAGTGGTGGCCTTGCAGTCTGGTGCTGGCATTGATACTATCCGTACATGATGTAACGCGAGTGCATTTGGCTGTGAAAGAATAGGGTGATTGCCCATAATACTGTAATGGAGTAGATAATTTGGCCGTCAAATGTTGAGACAAAATTAGTAACCCCTTAACGCTACCTACTAGGTGCAGTACAGTGTCAGTACTAGGACCATACCTAGGATGTAGTAGAATAAGGAGATGCTGAATAATCGTATAGGGCTTCTTGTTGCCCTATCTAATGCATCTAATGCTCCAATTAGTGGGGCCTTACGCCCTTGAGCTTGAGTCATCGGTGATAGTTGTCCTATAAAAGACGTGATTATATCACTGCCAAACGTACTTAGGCCAGTAACTAAAATACTGTTTTTACCACCACCTTTCTTGTCACATAGGTACTGCTCATAAACAATGGAGCTCCAATACACAACCCTCGACGTCTTCACATCCCACCGCCTGCAAGGCAACCCCCTAGCCGTCGTCACCGTGCCCGCCGCGCTCCGCTCCAAGCTGCCGCAGGCGACGAAGCAGAAGATCGCGCGGGAGTTCAACCTCTCCGAGACGGTGTTCTTGCACGAGCCGGACAAACAAGGGGGAAGCCGCGACATCGATATCTTCACCGTTGACCGCGAGATCCCCTTCGCCGGCCACCCTACCATCGGCACGGCGGTGCTGCTCAAGTACTATAGCTCCCAGACGCAGCAGCATGTGGATCTTGATACCCTCATCACCAAAGCCGGCCCCATCCCCGTTTTCTCCGCAGACGGAAACCGCATACGCGCCAAGATCCCGCACAACGTGCACCTGCACGCGCGCACCCTCGGCGACCTCATCACCTCCGTCTCCGTCTCCGTCTCCGGCTTCGCATCGGCATCGTCACTCCCGGGCCTCACCCCCGCCCCCCAGATCCGCGCGGCGGAGCTAGCGGCGCCGGTTCTCAGCATCGTCAACGGGATGACGTTCATCCTCGTGCGGCTGGCCTCGCTGGCGCTGCTGGCGCAGGTCAGCACGGCGCACCGACTTGATCTCGAGGGGCTGCCGGCGCCGCTGCTGGATGAGGGGTGGCGGGGGGGATTGGTGAGTCGGTATTATTATGTGGATGTAGGTGATGATGAGGGCAAGGGAGAGGGAGAGGGGGGTGAGGAGAGGAGCGTGCGCACGCGCTTGGTGGACGCGGGGTGCGAGGACCCGGCGACGGGGAGCGCGGCGTCGGCGCTGGCGGCGTATTTGTCGCTGTATGAGGAGAGGAAGGGGACGAGGTTGAGAGTTACGCAGGGGGTGGAGATGGGGAGGGAGAGCCATATCGATGTTGAGACTACGGTGCGGGAGACGTCTGATGGTGGTAGAGAGGTGGTGGATCTTTGGCTTGAGGGGACGGCGGTGGTGGTTATGAGGGGGAGCTTGGCGGTTGATGTTTGATTACTTACCTTGTCCGATAGATGGGGAAGTAGGATAGGAGTTAGATCTACGCGTTATTGGGGGCTCACTGCGACGATACCAATCACACATCATACGTATTGACTCGTGTTACGTAGGTAGGTAGTAAACAAATAAACATTGCCTATAGTACACGCTAAACAATTATCTAGGCAAGTAGAAACAGAAACTTGACTTTGACTATCCATTGGGTATATCATTTCAGGACTTAGGGCTTACATAAAGCTCCCGTTGCCTTTTAAACATGACTGGGAAATAGACAGTAACCCCCCTCACCTAATATTGAAGCTCTCCCCATACTTACTTACTTGGCTTGCCTTCTGGTAACGCGCATGTTTAATTCCGACATCAGGAAGAAGCCCGAGTTCACGATATCTACCGGGCTCTGCGGTGTTACGACTGAGAAGTCGAATCGTCGCAACAACTAGTGGACGGCATTAGCCATATGAAAAGTATAAGAAGGGAATAGGGGGCGGGAAGGGGGAAAGGGGGCAGAAATAGACAAGGAGAGACTCGAACTCCTCGCGCCCCTACTTATTAAGATTACTGCAAGCTTACCTCGACAAACACCTTATTAAACTCCATCTGCGCAATCGTCCGGCCGAGACACTTGTAGCGCCCGGCCCCCCACAGCGTCTCCAACGCCGCCGTCATGACCTCCAGCCTCTCCTCGCCAGCCTCCAGCCACCGCTCGGGGCGGAACGCGTCCGCGTCCTCGCCCCAGTACCTCTTCGCGCGCATGATGCCCAGCACGTTGTGCCCGATCTCCGTGCCCCCGGGGACGAAGTGCCCGCAGACGACGTCGCCGCCCTCCGGGACCCGCTTGTAGAAGGTCGCGGTCACGACCGGGAACGCGCGCACGCCTTCCTTGATCACGGCTTGCAGGTACGGCAGCTGCCGCGCTTCAGAGTCTTTGATGGGAGAGCTGACGGTGCCGTTGGCGATCGCGGCGTCGATCTCGGACACGAGCTTGGTGTAGGCGGTCGGGTTGGAGGCGAGGAAGAGGAGGGTCATGCGCACGCCTGTGGCGGTTGAGTCTGTGCCGGCGACACTGGTGGGATCCATTAGTGTTAGGTTGAGTGGGTGGGTAGGCTTTGGAAGTGGAAGATGGGGAAAGAAAGGGGGGTAAAATGCTTACACCTGCAGCAGTAGCTCGTTGTACGCCTCTTCCTTGGTGACTCCCTGCTCGATGAACGCCGCAAGCGCATCTTTTCGGCGGTGATTCTCCGTATCTCCAAAGCTCCTCTCCACAGCCGCCTGCGCAAGCCTGTTCTCAAACAAAAAGGAATCTAGGTAAGTCAGCCGTTTTTAACCTCATAGGTAGGGGTTGATACATACGCCATATACTTGCCGAAGCCCTCGCGGTCACGCGCCGTGGGGTAGACCTTGTTAAAGGGGGGCTTGAAGAAGATTCTGGTCAGCAGGTTGAAGTTCGCGGCGACGATGGCGATGTTGAAGAAGTCCTCGTTCCACTTGGCAAACTTGTGCACGTCTACGCCCTCGTCGAGACACCCGAATGGGCCGCCGTAGGAGATGTCGCCCACGCAGTCCATGGCGAACAATAGGGAGATCGCGGTGAGGTCGAGAGGTCGGTACTGTTGCGGCGTGGAGATGTGCTTGCGCTCGATCAGGTCTACGAGTCGCGCACATTGTCGATCGACGCAGGCTTCTACGTGTGCGTTGCCTGTATATCCAGGACCAAAGTTGGTTCGCCGCCGTACGTGCTCCTGCTCGTCAAGGAGGGAGAACGTGTTGTCCTGGGTAGGGCTGAATCTAAAGGTCTGATAGAACGATGACCTGTAGTAGTCTGACTTGGGGTGCGCCATCCGTCGGATGACCTCAATATCGGTCGTTATGAGTTGGTTGGGACCAACACGAAAGAGGTCCCCTAACATCGTTGTCAGCGAGGATCGAAATATAGGGGGGGTTTCTTATCACGAGTGCCAACATACCATAACGATCCCCAAGCTCTCTTACTTTGAGATCCCACCTACCCCTTATTTGCGTCACCACCTGCCAGAGCTTGGAACAGGATATCCAGACCGAGCCGGGGATATGACGGAGTTGGTACCAACTCCAAGCTGTGCTAGCAAGCCAGCCTCCAAGGAGGCTTGTCGTCACCAGAGAGATAGTTAGGAACATAATTCAAACTTGATATTATATGACTTTCCTCGCCGGCCTGGGTTAGACATGCAGTTACACCGGAAAGGGGTCTCATGAAGCTAAACATGTCTCGAAGATGCCTAGGTAGGCATAGAGGATATATAAATAATATGGTCCGTAGCGCTTCTTAAATAGAAGTCCTACCTGGATCGGGCTAACAAAAGAAGCCAGGGAGACCCTCGTCTGGTGGTGTAGGACTAGGGTTCGTAGACTAACTTGGTGGTTACTCGGAATTCTTTGAACTACCTGCCAAACCCCATTACAGTTGGGCATTAGTGGCCATTTCGAGAAAGAAATGGTTCTGGCAACAGCCGAGACAAAGAATATTGAGAGAGGCTCGGGTAAGCATAGAGAGAGTGAACTGCTGACCCCCCAAAAAACTCCTTGCTGGCGACTAAACCTTACCTTCTTCCTGCGCCATGAAACTTGCCCGTTCTCGTTCATCTACTACTACTCCGTCCATGTCACTGGGATCGAAAGTCGAAATAATCCTGGCGAATGAGCATGGTTTACATCTGTAGCACGAAATAGTCCATGGAGTTGCCTTCGTAGGGGGTGGCAGGGAACGGTTTCGACGTGTACGACGGGATGGTCTAACTACTAAGGAGATTCATATATCAATTGCTTTATGGCAAAGTGTATATCTTTATTTAGGGATCATGTGTGGGTGCCTAAATACATATTGCCAGTGGTTCATATTTTCGTCCCATCTGTAGGAGTTCGATGGCTGGTCACGAGGATGACTACCAAAGCAGGAATCCTACTGTCATAAACTGCCCGAATTGGGACCACGACGTGGCATGGAATCTTGAAGTTACTATTGGTCCCTTGCTGTGTGATAATAGCCTCATCAAGAGATAGCCGATCGGTCCGTCGATCTTGCCCCTGTTCAACTCCGGCAAGGGATATCGACTGCATTTACCGAAATTCTGCATCGAGCGACCCCAGCGACCCCAGCGACCCCAGAGAAAAGTAGGTGTAGAAAAGACATGCAGGGTGCAGTGCGCGGTGTGCAGCATGCAGCGTGAACTGTTATGGATGGGTTAGAAACAGAAAATTATACAAGCCCAGTAGGGTTCAAGGATATATGAAGAGACATAGGAATCTACAATCTGCGGGTGTATTTCGTTACACCACATGAAACCCGTTCACAATGACTTACCACGCAGAAGCCTCGTGGTTCGGTTTCACCAAGTAGGATCGTCTAAGTTGGGCTATTCAGAGAAGAGAAGAGCTCAACACGAACTCATGGCGTTCCGATACCACACTTTTCAAGATGGTAAGTGATATATTGAAGCACCCTCGAGGCATATTCTCTCACCATCTCACCTTTATCAGCCTATAGGACTAGTGAGATTATGTCCGGGGCATAGTCCGATGATGTCTCTCAACGGTCATGTGAGGCGGATATAATATTGTGTGTACGCCACAAAGGTGATGGAATGAAGTTAGCGTAGCGTGATAATCTCACTACCGAGCTCGTCTATCTCCGGATTGCATTTAACTATTCGGAGAGTAAAAGAGAGTTGCGTCACTGTTGTAATGAGACTGGCGAGCCCACTGAGGCTAAGATTGGCTTTCGTGTAGATGCGGGTATCCGACCTCCCCTGCCACATTGCCAATTCCGAGGCTCAATAGAGCTCTGGAGATTAATTTGTATGGAATTTAGACTGGATGGCATGGGAGCTGTGCCCCATACACGGCTAGATCCAATCTTGACCATATGCAATTGCGGCCGACTACATCGGGTCATCCTTATCAGCGCCTTTCAAAGGAATATTGTTATGGGGAAAATAAGGATGACGGAAAATGTCAGTGATCGCCGGGTAGCCCTACGGTAGATATATTACTATTGCCGGTACCCCCGGACATTAGTACATAAAAAGGGTTTTGGGGGCTTGCGTAGGTACCTAGGTAGGTACTTTCATGATCAAACTAAGGATCTCTCGAAAAGAAGTAGAAATCACTCGTTTGATTTCTCATGCGCCGAACGCGTTTGATCTTGCCAAGGGAACGATCAGGTATCATTCGATGCTAGATTAGCTTGGGCCGTGATACACTCCCGTACGACGAACGCCGAGACTCGGGGAATACCTTCATAACCCTCTCTCTCCCCTCCATTCCCTTCACCTCACCTCACCTACCACTTCCCCCCCTCCTCCGCGCGCGCCCCCGAGATCTAGATAGCATCAAAATCCGGGTACGTCAGCCCGTTTGCCTCGAGATCCTGCAACTCCCGCCCAGACGGCTTCTCATAGGGCGAAGTCACGATCCGAGCTGCAGCCACCCGATACTTATACCGATTCTCCCCGCCGCCGATGAGCTAAAACTCGCGCCGAAGTCGGGGTGCGTCGTACCAATGACGAGATACTACAGTCGTACCGATGACCTCTTGGCCAGAGGAGACTCCCGAGAAGACCGACTGGAGGAGGTCTACCCTAGGTACCATACATGTATACACATGAGGTAGGTAGATACGTAGTACAAGTGCTTCGTACTAAAACCCTAATGTTCGTAGAATACTATGTAACTTAGACATATTCAATGTTGCTATCTGTACATATATAGATGACGTAAAAAGTACCACCAGCTTTGCCAGGTAGGTAAGCAAGCAAGTATGTATGTATGCCCAGCGACTCCGATATTTAAATTGCAAGCTTGTTGCCACTGAACAAGACCATTAATGGAGGTGTCAGTCAGTACCTAGGGAGCTAGCCTTACGTTGCCGTTTAATCTACTCTCATAATGCGGGATATTAAGGTTGAATGGATTGACACTGTCTTGGATCTGAGTGTTAAGGAAGGTGGTCGTGTTTCCCTGGAGGAGGAAGGGAAGACTACCTAGTATTGACGAGGGTTGGAGAAATTGCGCAAACAGGATATATCTTGCCTCCTTTAATGCGGTACTAGGTATGCATTTCTATTTGAATATATGGGCTCGCGTGTGTTAATCAGACATATAGCTGAAAAAGAAGAAAGAAGCGACATGAAGATATAGAGATGTACATGACGTTTCTATAAAATATGACAACTTTTATTCTGCTTCTTGCGGACATTTGCCCCTTAATGGACCAAGGCAACGAATGTCTAAGCCAAAAGGGGCAACGCACACGAATGTGATTGGCCAATGATCCTAGGGCCACGCGAGATTGTAGTGTCCGAGCGAGTAGTATACCTACAGTACTGTAGGCCTGGTCACTCAATTTCTGAACAATGACGGCGTATCTCTGGGTGAGTGGTATCCGGCGATAACTAAGCCACCTCTTACAACTAGTTGCTAGGTTCATATCGCGAAGACGAATAGATTTGAAGAGCCATCTAATAGTGGGAGACTAATACCGAGAGCGTAAAACGTCATGTTGATCCTCGGTAGATCGCTCTGGACATTGTATGAGTATTGATAGAGCGATATCTGAATACCTGTAAGAAATGACATTGCTTATAGAATGAGTAAAGCTACATACCTAGGTAAACATTTAAACATTGAAATTGGTTAAATATGAAGTAGGTCCCTATCTACTAGGTAAAATGTTTGAATAAACAAACCACTTTACAAAGGCTCATATCGTGGTGAAAAATTGTAGCCGTCACTAAGAATGCGTGGATTGCTAGTCACCTGCATGAATGCAACCAAATTAGTGGGAGAACCCCGCTATGGTGTTAGCTAAAGGAGTATGTTCAAGTAGGACAGTTGGATACCTACTCTCCTGCTGAAGCAAACTCTTAATTTAACTCTCTTTATCATGTTGGAAGTCATTGTTAGTAGGTCGAGTATAAACAGTATTGATTGGCCGACTATAATCGACATTCTTTTCCTCCTTGAGACTCTGAAAAAGAAGAATCTGTGTCCATTATCTCTGCAATGACTACTCAAACCCCACCGACTGAGCCCTTCATTGACATTCCGGGAGTGCTGAACTTCCGAGATATTGGAGGTTATCTGATATCTCACTCACCTGGCAAAAAAGTGCGGCTCGGAATGGTGTTTCGGTCCGGCGAGCTAACCAAGATTACCGATGACGGCACATCGAGCTTTCGAAAGCTTGATATCAAGACCATCTACGACCTTCGTTCGTTACGCGACCGTAATGCTCGAGGACCTGACCCTCCGCTTGGGGATATGAAGGTCATTGAAAAGATATCCGCGCCGGTGTTCCTCGAGGAAGACTTCTCACCCGAAGCTATAGCCATACGAAACCAGAACTATGGTAACGGCCCAGAGGTAATCCGATCACTTCCACAATCCTGCCCGCTGCTTGGCTACCTAGGCGCTAACTTGAAAATATTTAGGGATTCATCCAAGCTTACTTGAGTATCTTAGCTTCTGGGTCATCTCCGTCTAATGAGGCTAGGCCATTCGCTAGGATTCTTTCGCATCTTGCTTCGGACAGCCCTCCTACACCTCTATTGATCCATTGCTCGGCTGGCAAAGATAGGACAGGCGTTATTTGTGCGCTGATACTCTCTTTGTGCGGCGTGTCTGACGAGGATGTAGCGCGGGAGTATAACCTCACGAATATAGGACTCAAGCCTCTTCACGAGACTATTATTACCAGTCTTATGAATAACGAAGAATTTCGGATGGATGCCGAAGCTGCGCAAAATATGGTCTTGGCCGAGTAAGTACCTACCTCCCTACCTATCTACCTAGTACTTAGGTGTGCATGTTGAACATGACGAGGGGATTTCAGGAGCTGATCTAATAAATCTAGGAAGGAGACTATGCTAGGTACTTTAGGGGCGATTCGGGATTTCTATGGATCAGTGGAAAGCTGCGTCACAGGCCTGGGGCTCCTTTCAGACGATGAGATAGAGAAACTAAGGCAGAATTTGATTGTGGATGTTTGAAATCTATCGAGTACTTCGTAGTTATGGGTAGAGAGACATATAATCTAATCTTTAGAATATAGTTATTACGATGACCCAGTCCTTGGTTGCATTTTCGGTGTGATGAGTAAAAGGCACATAAGGTAAGTGATGAATGATTACTTATGGGTGGTGAATGGTGAGCCGTCTGTGGTGATAAGAAAGATGAACTAAATAAAATATGCGAACTGCGATGGTGGGGCAATAAGGTCATGCATGCAGGTACTAATACGCTAACGTGACCGCCTACTACTATAGGAAAGGTCTAAGTGGTGAAGGGCAGCAGAATATTATCGTCGCAAAAAAAAGTAGAAAAAGTAAAAAAGAAAAAGTCGAGATTTTAGTCGGCAGTTTGCGACTAGTTACTACAAGTACATACCTAAGGTACCTACCTACCAACACCACCATCAACACTATAGCGCTGAGCCGTGAATACCGCAAAACGACCTCGAACATAGAAAATCTTATATATTGCATTGCCGTCCAAATCTACAAATCTCACCTAACAATTCTTTCTCAATGGCTAAACGGAAGCGTGGTACCAATACCACCAACAAGTCCGGACCAAACGGTGCTCAGCCGACACAGAAGCGCGCGAAAACAGATAATTCCTCTTCAAATAATGCCGAAGCGACACATCTTGACCTTGAAAAAGATCCATTTACCGAGACTCTAACCCCCGAAACTCGACGACGAGAAGCGAAAGTATACGAATTACTCGGAAGTGCAGATAGTGACGAGCGAATTGCTGCCGCCGATGCTCTAGTGACTGGGCTCCTGGAATCCTCTGAAGTCGCCCTTGAAAGACATCTTGAGCACCGTCTGTTCCGTGGTCTTGCAAGCTCACGGAATGCGTCACGAGTGGGCTTCAGTCTTGTGCTAGCTGAGATACTGAACCAGCTATTCGGGTCCAAGAATCTCGCTGAGTCGAAGTACCAGGGCTTAACCTTTGACAAAGTTCTAGATATCCTGGTAGAAAAAACAACATCTGGTGGTCACCTTCCTGGACAGGAAGAGCGAGATTGTTATTTTGGTAGACTATTTGGCTTACAGTGCTTTGTCGCGTCCAAGACTCTCTTCGATGACAACACACGATGGCTAAAAATATTGGATTTGCTGCTAGAAATGGCTGATAAGAAAGTATGGATGCGCTCGCACTGTGGATGGGTAATCGTGGAATCATTGCCCCAAATGGGACAGAACGGAGCAGAGGAAACTCTGCAAAAGTTGTCTGATATCGGATTGGGTAAAACTACGGAGGGAATCGGAATCTGGATGAAGGCGCGAAGTTGCTATCCCAAAATGAAAACGCCCACCAAGCCATGGCATGATCCCATGAGTCCCGGCGCTCTATCCGAGGTCGCCAGAATCTTGAAAGATAATGTGGGACAAGATAACGAAGATGTGACAGCCACAAAATCTAAACAGGGAGGTTGGAGTGCCCAGCTGCATTTCGTTTGGGACCTCATTCTCGGTACTTTCATTGGACAGGAAGGAGGCGCAAAGCAAAGCAAAGATCAACTGAAGCTTTTCTGGACTACTGTTGTTGATGGTGAGTACTCGTTTTTTATACATGAATTTGCCTATTCTAATCTGCTCTTTAGATTGCCTCTTCTCCAAGACTGCCTCAGACGCACAAAAGTTTCGAGGCTTTGTGATATTCCAGAAATTCCTCCAAGGATTCGCGGGCGTAAATAATACGCTGGTAAAGGAGCTTTTCACTCGAAATCTCATGAAGTGTTTGATGAACCAGGCTGCCAAAGAGGATCGGTATCTCCATCGTGCTGCGTTGAAGAGTATTCAGTCGATCGAAAAGGCTGTACAAGCCTCTCCAGAGCTCCTATTACCGGCCTTGAAAGAACTACTTGGAAAGCATGGAGTGTATGACTTTGACCAGCGAACGAATACCAAGACAATTGAAAACCTGCTTCAATGGGCTTCGCCCAGTAATGCCAAAGCTATTCTCAAATTTCTTCAAGATCCTATTGTTATCGTCAAAGAGTAAGCCGACCCTATTTTCTCCACATTAGCCTGATTTATTAACCCATTGGTAGTGGTGTGGCTGGTGAAGTTGAAAAATTTAGACAAGTCTACGCCGGTTACGTTTCCAAGTTGGCTATACAGGCAAAACCAGCACCTGAAGCCTCCGATGATGCCGATAAGACTGTAAATATCGCAGAACTTGGCGTTAAGGAGCTAGCAGCATGCGCATACTCTGTTCAGCCTCAGTATAACCCAGACCTTTCAGAGAAGTCAAGGGAGACCTTCCGGAGACTGCTTTCATCTACGATTGGAAAAGTCATGAGGCGGCGAGACGACGCTGAATATTTATGCAATGCGGTCATCGCAGTTGAGGCCACAGCAGTGAGTATGAGCGAGGAAATCAAAGCAGAGCAAAAAGGAGCACTGAAGACTATGCAAAAGCTGCTTAAGGCAGGCAAAAAGTCCGATAGTAAAGATGCTGGAGCACTAATTGGCTTAGCTCTACTATATGCCATTACCATACTACAATTATACGACGGGGCACCGGACGCTATTGATATCCTTCAAGACTTGAACCGGTGTTCGGAAAAGATGAAGAGTAAAGAAGGCGGAAGCTCTGAACTTTTGGTGGAGATCTTGTTGGCTTTGGTCTCTCGACAATCACCTATGATGCGGCAGATCAGCGAGCAAGTCTTCGAAGCGTTTAGTTCACAAGTATCCTCTGAGGCTCTTGAGCTTCTCACGGAGCCACTTTTCGCAGAGGAGAGCGAAAAGGGATACCAGGCACTGTTTGAGAACCTCGAAGAAGATGCAGAGATGGTGGATGCTGAAGACTCGGGCTCCGAAAACGATGCTGAGGATATGGACGAAGATGAAATTTCCGAAATCGGCTCGGATGTTGAATTCCTTACTTTGAATGGGGCAGATACCACCGCCGATGGTGAAGATGAAGATGGGGATGAAGAGGAAGACGAAGAGGAGGATGAGGACCAAGAGCAAGCAGACGCAGATGCACAAGAGCTTGCGAACTTCGACGAAGCCCTCGCCAAGGTCTTGAAAAGCCATCGACTGGACAAAGACAAAGACGCCGAATCATCAGACAATGATTCAGATATGACAGACTCGGAGATGATGGCAATAGATGAGAAGCTAGGCGAGGTGTTCAAGCAGATGGCAAAGAAGGCCGGCAGCAAGAAGAAGGAAAAGAAGGATGCCAAGGAATCAGTCATCATGTTCAAGCACCGCATCATCGACCTCCTCGCCCTCTACGTCAAGCACGAGGCTGCGAACCCCCTCGCCTTCACCCTCCTCCTCCCCCTCCTCGAAACCGTGCGCACCACCACCGCCAAGCCCCTCGCCAACAAGGCCGCCATGGCCATCGAGAACTTCTCCAAAGCCTCCAAGAAGGCCCGCGTCGCGAGCGACAACGACGTGAAGGTGGACACCAAGGCTCAATTCGCCCTCCTAAAGGAGATCCATCAGCAGGCCGCCAAGGACCAGTCGCACGCGTACAGCAGGGCGGCGTCGGCGGCCAGTCTGCTCGTGGCGTCGAGTCTATTTACCGACAAGGAGAATATAGACGGCATCAATGCCCTCTACGCACAGACGTTCGCTGACTGCCAGAAGGGCATTATTAAGATGCAGGGGTTCTTCTTCTCGGATTGGGTTAATTGGGGTATGGGTCATGCTGCTAATGTGCAGCAGCAGCAGCAGCAGCAGCAGTAGTAGTAGTAGTGTATATATTACCCCTTGATATAATGCAAATACCGAGATATCTAGGTAGCCTCCTTATCTTTCCCTCACCCTCAAACGTTCTGTCGCTGGCAGGTATGTATGTATGTATGTATGGATGCAATGTAGAAAAAACCTAGGTACAGAACAGTGAGTGACCCCCCCCCCTGGAAGCATCTAACCGCCTCGAAAACACCCCCCCCCTCACCCTTCACCCTTTTTTCTTTGGTCAGGTACTTATTCTTCCTCTTCTCCTAAATTAAACACTATAAGTCTGACGGGTTGACACATAAGCAGGGACCTAAGAATGAATGCAGGTAGGCTGCCGTCGCCTCAAACATTGTCTCACTCAACTCCAGGGCTATCTATCTCTAGGGTCTACGTATGTATGTATGTATGTATGTATGTATGTATGTATGTATGTATGTATGTATGTATGTATGTATGTATGTATGTAGGGACCTAGGGTGGGTACCTACCTACGTAGGGTAGGTAAGGCAGATAGATAGATAGATAGATGGGCAGGCAAGTAGGCAGGCAGGTAGGTAGGTAGGTCCCTAGGTAAGCAGGTAGCCGGAAACTGGAAACCGTCGATCTTCGGGATTTTACAGTATGTTGCACACACGTACTTCGTATGTACATGTCTATACCAGTACTAATATTCATTTGTTTTGAGTGATACATAGAGTAGGTATACAGCTTATATTGTATTGGGAGCACCTAGTCTACCTAGGTATGTATGTATGTATGTACCTATGTAGGAAGGTATATGTCTTCGGTAGATCTTTATATTTGAACGATTTTCGCCATCATTCAGTTAGGCATTTATGCATCCGTGATTTTTATTAATTACCAACCCATTCCATTCCATATCCTTCTTATCCTCCTCATCTAGACACCCTGGATAGGTACCTACCTACCATACCAAGTTCCCCTTACTTCCCCGTATCCTGTGGCCACTCATCCAACACGACCTCCTCGCCCTCGAGCGAGAAGTCCCACGTCGTCTGCGTGGGTACATCGATGAGCAGGCTGTAGTTACCCGGGTACAGCACGAGGTTGCCCTTCTCGTCGCGGCGTCCGAGGCTGCCCAGCGTCAGAGTCAGGTTCGCCGTCTGCTGCTCGCCGGCCGGGATGTCGTGTAAGCGCTGGTACGCGACGAGGCGCTTGATGGGGTGGGGCGCGGGGCCGTGGTCACCGGCGATGAAGCCGAGGGTGACGAAGTCGGAGGTCGTGGAGCCGGTGTTGGATACGGCCACGGGCACGGTTTGGAAGGGGCATTGGTCGATGTGGTCGGTGGTGCAGTCGCTCGTTAGGTCGGAGATTTTCCAACACGCGCAATCGTCTTCGCTCTCTGGCTCCGCGATGGTGGTAGTAAAGTTGGTGTAGTGCAGACCGAAGCCGAACGGAACCGTTGCCTCATCATACCACATATACGTGCGACCTGGGTTGCCGGTGCTCGTGTTTGGCCGTAGGCCCATGTCGGTCATGGGCACGTCGACGTAGCTCGCTGGATACTGCGTAACGGGAAGACGCCCAGCTGGCGCAACCTTACCGGTTAGAATGTTCATAATAGCATCACCACCTGCTTGTCCCGGATAGCCTCCCCATATGATGGCCGAGACGTTGTCATTGTTGATAAAGGGTGCATCATCGCGCTGGCCACCCATCTGTACCAGGATGAACGGCTTCCCGAGACCGGCTAGCTGTGTCATAATGTCGATCCTCTCACCGGACCAACGAATCTGCGTGCGGTCCCTCTCTTCGGACTCGGTTGCCACCGTGGGGCCATCGGCATAAACAATTACGTCCGCTGCGGCGGCGGCTTCAAGGGCTCGTGGGTACCCGTCAGTGATCGGATCTCCCGGTACACCGGCATAGACGGCATTGATGTTGGGCGTCTGGCTGGCTGCGTAGTAAGGCGAATGTAGGTACTTGGCAACACCCTGGTAGTTACCCTGCATGTCAGTCGTCGCATTGGCCCAAGTTCCGATGAAGGCAACGGTAAGGTTACTCTCTGTAGAGACCTGAAGAGGAAGGGCGCCATCATTCTTTATCAGTACGATACCTGATTCTGCAGCTTTCCGGGCGAGATCTTCAGCGTGAGGTGTGAATACGTCTGAAAAGTCCAAAGAACGATACGGATTAGAGCCTGCCGAATCAAAGTAACCCAACTTGATAAGTGCTGAGTAGATCCTTGTGACTGCTTTATCGAGAGCTTCTTCATCGATAAGGCCTTGCTCGTAAGCCCTAGGCAAGTGGAGATTATAGTAAGTACCACAGTTAAGATCAGTGCCGGCAAGGAGGGAACTCGCAGCAGATGCTTCACGAGTATCGCGATATCCGTGAGGCAAGTAAACGTTTTGAAGGGCGTCACAATCCGAAACGACGTATTGGTATTCGCGTGTCCAGTTCCAGTGGTCTCGAAGTAAATCCTGAAGAAGATACGAGCTAGAACAAGTTGGAACGCCATTCAGTGCATTATACGAACACATGAAGGAGCCGGCATTTGCCCGTACGCATGCCTCGAATGGGGGCATATAATATTCGGCCAAGTCTTGGGGGTTTACTTGGGCATCAAATTCATATCTTTCATTGCCCATCCAATCCTCAATGTCATATGCGGCATAGTGCTATTACAATATTTAGTATCTTCCCACCGCTTCTAAAAGGGGTTTCGGGATGGGTATCCTACCTTGCAAGTAGCGACCACTTTCAGTACATCCGGGTCCTCGCCACCCTGAAGGCCTTTGATAAGAGCTGTCACGTAGGAACTCAGGTGAAAGGGGTCCTCGCCAGGCGTTTCCTGGCCTCGGCCCCATCGAGGATCACGATAAGGGTTGATGTTTGGAGTCTATAGTATGGTCAGTCTGGGACTGGGACACCTTCATAGAGGGGAGAGCATCATGAGCCCATTTTCTTATTTTACATACCCAATAGTCTAGCCCAGATCTGTTGAAATTATTGAAAGCACGTGCCTCAGTACTAACAACCGTTGCAACAGCCTCAATGAGATCATCATCGAACGCAGCTCCCATGAGGATTGGCTGCGGGAAGGACGTTGCATAAGAAAAGTTGCCAGAGTCAGCAAATTGGACTCCTGGGGAGGACGCAACGCCATGAAGTGCTTCCTCTATAGATGATATCAGCACCTAATCCCCGCCATGTGTGAGAATTAGAATTGAGAAAGAAAATAGATGCATACGCCACCATTCATAATTAGGTAGTCCTAGCCTTTCAACGCCGGGAGAGGTGTTGATCAACAGAGAATACTTCTCATCAGTTTCAAGGGCTGAAACCAGACCTCTTGCTCGATCCCCTATAGAAAGAGCATTGTTACAGACAGCATTGCTAGCCAATGGGCCGTTGATACAGTCTGGAAAGAGGTGACCGGCTGACCCCAAAGCCAACGCCATGTCGATCGTAATACTGGATACCCTAGGTAGGTAGGTAGGTACTATCGAGAATGTCGAGTAGCTAGTATCTCGCAGCTGGCCAAGTTGAGGCTACCAAAGCGAAGCCGCTGTCACTTTTATAGGTATCCATGGATACCGTGGATACCATGGACAGCTTGGATAGCTCCATAGCTTTCAAGCTTCCCCGAACTGTGGAGTAGCGTAACAGTTCATCTCCTCACACTTCCCCGCATTCATGATGCATCCGTGATGCACCCATGCGACTATAGAACAGACCGAATGGTGTACCTGGTAACACAAAATGTGCCCCCGCAAGGATCCATCTGCTGGAATGTCCGTCGTGGAGGCGAATCGGATCGGCGGTAGTCGCATATGTAGGCAGGTTAGGTCGGCCAAAAAAGTACCGGGTTGGATACCAAGATTCAAGAATTGGGCCGATTACAAAAGTCTTCACGATCGTAGCGTTTGTCAGTCGGTAATAGGTAAGTCAAACATACCGAGGATCACTTATTATTCCGGACGCTCTCTTTGAGTGAGGTTTGTCACTATATCGATTCGATGATGATTGGAGAAGTAGACCAAAGAGAAGAGGGAGACGGAAAAGGAAAGACGAATTGGTATGTTATACCTACCTGTATAGCGTAATTCATCAAGACGATGTGAGACCTATTCGTATAGAAGAGATCAATGACAACTCAAGTTGCAATTACATAACAACCGACTTTGTGGTTAGATCCCGAGTTACCGAGGTAGAGCATAGTTCCAATTTTGAATATATCCGGCCAACCCCCGGTCGAGGACAGCAGTCACACCTCTAGTATGTATATGTCGTCGTCACTATTTGTTTACTTGGTAGGAACCTACCTATAACAGTTTCTTAACATCATCCCGGTGACCGTAAAGCTTATCCAGTCCACACGTACAAGTTAGGCTGCAATCACCGATATGCTTTCGTACGTTTTCCCTGATCTTTTTAGGGACGCCGACAAATGGCCTCGAGGTAGGAAATGCCCATATAGATGGCCAGGGCAAAGCCCCTAATGTCGGAAGGTGTTCAAGGTCCTTCTCAAGCTGTTTGACTACAACTGAGTTGCAAGTCATTGTGGTGGTTCCACTTGCCCAGCCGTAAGAAAAAACAGACCTCCCAGGATTCAACACGGTAGTCAACATCTTCTTTATTGGCTCTGAAAATCGATCTTGGCAGCTACCCTCATTCATATCCACGATCCGGATCGGTAGTTGTAAATAAGGTGGCACTTTATGAATTGAGAGTAGCTGCAATCCTTCAACTCGCTGCTGCTGGCTTTCTCCATTTTCAGAGCGGAGTATCAGTTGAGCCCGAGCCTTTTCCGACACTGTTCCCAACGTGTCGGCGATGTGAAGGAAAGTATCGGCTGCTTCCTGAGTGCAGACGAGCTCGTGATCACTTAACACGGGATATGCTAAAGAAAGCATTGACTGCTTACTTTCTAGATCAGTATGGTCATTATGTGAATGACTGAACCATGGCTGCTTAGTGACCGTGGTATGGGAAAAGTCAGACGCAAGGGCAACTAGGAGGGAGGTGTCAATGTTCAAGACTTTCGAGAAGCTTGCCTTTGGACTTGGGGCCATTGTGTGGAGAAGGTTATCCGAGAAGGGCGGAGGAGGCGAAAGAGCATCGCTACAAAGTAGGGTGACACCGAGTTGACAACAGGCCTCGAGGACTCTATCGATCTCTGGATGTTCACCCTTTTCAATGCGAGGTAATACAAGAAAGGCGCGTGGATTTTGAGACTGAATCCGATGTCCCTTGGCTGTATTAGCCAGATTTCTGGCTAGCTTCAGAAGAGGGATATCAGCGTAGGCCTCCATAGCGGATTCAGCTTCGTCTTCCTCATCTTCCTCATCGCTGTCCCCGCAATACAGTGCTTCCTTGGCCATATCAAATAGTAACCTTTTGTTGGTCATCGATGAAACCTTGTACCACGAATGACCACCATCTGCAATCACATCTATGATGAAACTTCCCGACCGGAAAGGCAATGATTCACCCTGGGTGCGAACGATGCGTGTTCCCGGTGCTAGAATCTGCTTCTTGAACGGCCCGACGGATACGGCACATCTTAATCTCACGATGTCCCGCGACCTCTTTGCCATATCCCATACAGGTTCAAGAAACGGCAGATTGGTCGACTGGGCGCGATGCAATGAAAGAGGGTCGGTTGACTGAAGATCTCGGACAACTCTTTCCAAGCTCTCTAGTTCGGCCCGGAGCTCACTCAAAAAAGATGTATAGATGTACGTCGGCATGTGTTGGAAGTAGTCACTGTATACATCTGTGAGATGGTCGGCAAACTGTACGAGTTCTGATTGCAGTGACTCGGCACGCTTCAGTAAATCCTTACTTGCAGCTAGCCTGGCTGCATCCTCCTGTGAGATGTCATCTGTAGTTTGCATGTCTGTTGAGGGGGCCATGATATAGCAATTGTCGTAGGTCACACCTAAAATGGTATATGTAGGACGACAGGTTTCGAAACAATTAAAATTGGAAATGAAAATTAATTCCTACATATGTACGAATTTATTCCTACGCATTTAGCCCGCTGGAGGTATCGATTCATTACATTCTTGGAAGACTTGATGCAAATAAACGTAGAATATGATCTTACACAGACTTACTAAGCTATATAGATACATACGCTACCTATTTACGGTTAGTTATATGACTAATATCCTCTCTTAAATGTATATTTGTCTATAATCACTAGAATGTTGATTGCTTTAACCTTAGTTATTTACATCGTCAGGCAAACACTCTGCTATATAGATAATTGATCGTATTACTGCTAACGATATGTAGCTCATGATCTTCATTGGATGTTAAATCCTGAAGTCTTGGCTTAGGGGTATCTACCTGGGTAGCTACCTACCTAACCAACCCATACTTCTTAAACATACAACTCAAAACCTACCCTACCCACATAAGCATCACACATAAGGAGAGAGACTGACAACTCAGCTAAATACTACCTACATAACCCATCGTAAAACATAATGGGCTTGAATATCATCATCTGCGGGGGTGGTATCGGTGGTTTGTCGGCAGCAGGATACCTTCGAGCCAAGCACAATGTCACCATCCTCGAGCGTGGCACCCTCGATTTTACAGAAAACGACTATGGGCTCTCGGTGGTTTCCAATTCTTTCAATCTTCTACAGAAAGCCGGCATCAAGTCGGAAAACCTAGACATGGTGGTCTTGACCCATATCTGGGTGAGAGGTCCGAACAATGAGGAGTTGAACACGGCTCACTTCGACACGACGGCGAGATTTAATACATCGCCTTCTGTCTTACTCAAGCGTGCTAAGCTCCAGAAAGAGCTGATGCGGTTTGCTACCAGTTCCGAGTTCTCCGGAAGCCCGGCGGAGGTGTTCCAAAATACCAAAGTCACCAGAGTGGATACCGCGGCTGGTAAGGTGTGGGCGGAGGGCGACCAAGGCGAACGAGTATTCGAAGGCGACCTGATTATCGGAGCCGACGGCATCAACTCCATAGTTCGTAGCGCCATCCTCGGACAGGATATCAAGTCATCTATAAGGAACTACGACACTCTAATCTTTATGACACAACTCTCCATTGAGGATCTCAAGTCAGACCCCAGCTTTGCCTACCTTTCCAACCCCTTAGTTCAAGCTGGGCTATGCAGCGTGCACGCTACTTCGGAAGCCCACATGCACAAAAACATCCTCACTTACCACACATCGCCTCACAGCCTGCAAGTCGTCGGCTACACCTCCGAGAAAGAGTTCGCCGAGAAATTTGACTCCGCCAAGACCGCCATCATCCGAGATGTCCCCGCAGCCCGGGTTGCCGAGGACTTCTCCCCGGCATTCTCCAACCCCTTCGTCAACCTGTTCCGACACAACCAAGTCGACGCGTGGAGGATCCGCGACGTGGCGCCCTTGGAGGCCTGGTTCTCGGGCAAGGCGCTGATCATCGGAGATGCCGCCCACGCCGTAAGTCCCCATACTGGCCAGGGGTGCAACATCACGATCGAAGACGCCGAGGCGTTGGGGTATATCCTCCGAGACATCGAGTCCCCCGAGGCGATACCCGCTGCTTTTGAAAAGTTCGTGTCGCTGCGGAAGGACCGCGTGGACTTTGTCGCTCGCCGCTCACGCGAGGTGAGCCATTTGCAAACGGACGAAGACAAGACCAAAACTCCTATCCAAGCTGATGAGTTTGCTAAGGAGATATATACGTACCAGGGCGCCGAGAAGGCGCTGAAGGCATAAGCTTAACCTTCAGAGACAAATGAAGACCTACTTACATAGACTCCACTCAGACCTTTAGACCTTTATATGATTCTAGATATTCAAGTAATTACTCCATATTTGGCCCAGTCTGTCTTCGCGACATGCGCTGTTTCAAATTGAAGATCTTGCATCGGATGACTTATGATATGTCCTTTACGTACCTAAATTTCGCAATGTTATCAACCTTGGCAGCAAGGACCACTGCTTTTTAAATGTGTCCCTTTGGTAAATGTGAAATGTGATGATTATGTATTGGAACTTCCTGGGTTAATGATATTTTGCATCGTACTTACATGACGCGGTTTGGCGGGCCCGGAAGCTCTGCGAACCACGCCGACAACTCTGGGGATGCCGAGCCGTTTCAAAAGTGACACTCCCACCTGGTTCTGTCCACCTCATATTAGTCAAAAGCCATACGCTTGGTCCTGGCTTGGTACCCAATTGATTACCATAGTACTTCGTGATGATCTCTTTGAAACACCATGCATCAATGCCCTGATGAGTTCAGTGGCAGTAGGTAAAAGGCCTAAGTCCACCTTCCTAGATAATAAAATCACTACGAAGGCCTTTTGTCCATTTCCTCACACTCCAAAAACCACAACAATCATCTCCATTCCACCGACAATAATGAAGTATATCAGGATAATATCAGGCGTGGTAGTAGCTCTGGCAGGCCAAGCTCACTCCCAACAGCAGCAGAACTGCCCGAGCATCCGTATCTTCGGCGCCCGCGAGACCACCGCCCCACCGGGCCTCGGGTCGGCCTCAACAGTCGTAAACCTGATCCAGCAAGCGAACAACGGCTCCACTTCCGAGTCCATAGTGTACCCCGCCGCCGGGGGCAACGCGTACGGCGCCAGCGTGACCGCGGGCGTGGCGGCGGTGGCGAACCAGACGAGCGTATTCAACTTAGCGTGTCCGGACACGAGGATTGTGGTGGTTGGGTACTCGCAGGTGAGTTGGGCGCATTATCCCACAAATCTGTTCGGTTGGGTACCTAGGTATGTATGATGGAATGAAACGAAACGCTTACACGGCTTGAAACAACAAAAAACAGGGCGCGCAAATCGTCGACGACGCCTTCTGCGGTGGACCCGATGGGCTCAGCGTGAACACGACGAGCGCCAGCGTCTCCGCGGGCGTCAGCAAGATGGTCGCGGCGATCATCCTGATGGGGAACCCGCGCCACGTGGACGGGCTGCCGTTCAACGTCGGGAATGCCACCGCAGGCGGAGTAAGTTTCCCCGTGCCTAGATACCTACCTAAATCTAGTAGTACCTAGTTATCTACATTTTTTTTTTACTCGTACTAACCGTGTGCACGTAGTTTGCGGCCCGCCCCGCCGGGTTCCGGTGCGCGGCCTTCGAAAACATCATCCAGGCCTACTGCGACGCGGAGGATCCGTTCTGCGCGAAGGGGAACAGTACGGCGACGCATCAGGGGTACGGGCGGGAGTATGGACAGGCGGCGCTGAGGTTCGTGCAGAGTAAGCTGGAGGGGTCGGCGTCGGGTACCGTGGCTTCGAACCGGACTAGTTCTCCCACAGGTGCACTTCCTACCAGTGCTCCTACCTTTGTTCCGGTAAGCGGGGTGTCGGATAGGCAGGCGAAGAGCAGTTATTTCTCGATTTTGGTAACGGTTGGTGTTGTGTTTTTTATTTAAATAATAGGTACCTAGTAAGACGACTAGCCTCTATGACCGAAAAGGGGGTCAGGGGTTATACATGAAGAACGAAAGAATGTCTGAATACGAATACGTCTAGTCCAAATGATCCTGATGCTGAGGCGAAGCTACCATTCATGGATGAAAGCTCTTCAGATTGTTGTGGCTATCTATCTGAAAAGGCAAGACAATAATATCCCCGTCGAACCCCTATATTGAACCTGGCCCTAAACTGGCTAGGTATCCTACGCACTCCCTGAAGGCGCCGGGCAAAGGTTGTTCTCCGTAATGAGCCTCTCCAGCCCTGGCTCGCAGCCGTAGCATTGACACATCTTCCTGGCATTAGCTCAATTTTATTCTCATTTTGCCGTCACTACTAGGTAGGTACCTATTCAAATAGGTACGCCTACATATGTAGGTAGGTAGGTAGACAAGGTAGAGACTTACAACTTCTGGACTCGAAGCACACGCAAGAACGTCTTTAGGATCCGCGCTTGCGTTTTCCCATCCAAGAACGATGGGCATCCAGCACTGTGATACAATACGTTAATAACGATTATAGTCTAGTTTTGTGGTTTTTATGTCTGTCTTTGGCGAGGGATGGAATGGGTATTCTGGGGACCGAGGCGAAGGTAACTCACAAATACGCCGTCGCTACTCGTCACCTCCTCGCAAACGGTAGGATCGCATGGTCCGTCTGCGAAGGCCAAAGGGGCCAGGATGGCTAGGAGGCTGATTGACGTACGCATTCTGGAAAGATGTGCAATGCTGTGGTTCGGGGCCATCAATAGGTAGTAGTGGGAGAAACTCTATGCTTCCAAAGAAACTTCAGGTAATGCTTGGTTTGCTGAGAAAGCAAAAGAAGCGGGATCTACGAAGGCAGTATATACCTATTCAATGGGAGGATCTAGACGGCTATAATATCTCCAAGATCGTATGGGGGTCCTAATATAGACGCATGGAGTCTTGGGAATAGTGGCCATAGCGAATGACTTTAGGCTAAGATACAGATTTGGGAACATACCATCACCGGTAATTGCGTGAACGTGGCAATTTTCGGCCCTTCTGACATGATCATGGGGTTAACCGGGTAGGTATATATATATTAATAGCAGTACAAGGAGGTAGTGATATCTGTGCTCCTCCCCTATTACTACCCTTCTCCCACGTTTTATCAGTAGAGCCCCAAGACTTGGCAATTTACGATTTAGTGCTATTTTGGTCTAGAATATGCAAGTCTCATTAATATAGAAGCATGGAATTTGGCGAGGATCAGTTGTTATTATGAGTGATCTGTCTTCATACCCGAGGCACTTAAGAATGCCATAGGTATCGAACAGCCTCTAATGCCAAGTGATAAGGGGTAAGCCACAAATCCCCAAAAAAATACCAAATGCTCTCAACGCTGATTTATTCATCAGCGATTCCAGTCTATCTGATCATCTAGATACCTAATTGGTGTTGTCTAATTATCTCGATCTGCAAATGCTGAGCTAAGCTCCTCCATAAGTATGGCCAAACTGGACCCCCTAAACCACCACCTCAATTACCATAGAGTGAATATTTCAGTCACTTACGTCCCAGGTACATATTTCTCCCTGGACATAATACCGAGGGCCCGAGTGCGGTTATTCACAAGCATGTCCAGACGGTCCAAAGGCGACACCCCCGTGCCTTTATCTCCGAGAAGAAGCATCCGGGCACTTTTGATCAGATTCTTTATCTCGCGGCCGTTGAGATTGATCTGCGCCAGACGATCCAGGTCCTCGTCCGTGAGGTTGAACTTGACCTCGCCAGTCCGCTCGAGGAAGTTCTCCCAGATCTTGCGGCGAGCCTCGGCGTGAAGCCCACTGTACGGTAGGAAGAGGTCGACGCGCGATCGGAATGCGTGGTCGATGCTCGTCTCACGATTGGTCGTCAGGAACAAGATGCCCGTGTAGTACTCCAGCATGCGCAGGAAGATCGATACGAGCTCGTTCCGGGCAATCGACTCGCTGTCACGGGAAGTGAGGAAGACATCTGCCTCGTCAAGGAGAAGCATCGCGTCCCACATTCGGCAAAGCTCTAATGCGCGCTGGAGGGCCTTCTCCACATCAGCGGGCTTGGTCCCAAGGTCGCCTGCACTCATGGAGTACAGGGGCACTCTGGACTTCTCTGCGACAGCCTCGGCTGTGAATGTCTTGCCCACTCCAGGAGGGCCAAACATCAGGATGATGAGACCGCGACCCTTGTCCTGGATGAAATCGTCAAATTCGGAACCGTTCGAGCGACGCTTGCCGTTGATGAATGACCAGGCCATCTCCTTCTCATCTTGAGGCAGAACAAGCTTATCGAAAGCTTCATCGTTCCAAATCACTTCCTCCAAGCTGTCCACGCAAACCTCGGACCAGTCCTTCGACTTGAGATCGAAACCTTTGACCCATGGAGTTGTGGTTAAAAGCTGCTCCTCGGTAAGGGGGGCCAGGTCTTCGTTTCTCTGAACTGGATGCTTATCGACAGACTTGACTCCCTGGGGAATTGTGGCAGTCGGAACATGTTTCGTATCGTAGTCAGCGAAGCAGCTCGAAGCACTCGTATTGTTACTTGGGAGGCCCATGAGCTTGAATTTGGAATCTATAGGTTCGTGGGCCCTGTCTTCGCGGACCCTGTCTTCGTCATGAAGCGATCGTAAGTTTGGCTTGACAAGATTGCAGCTGCGGTAATATCCAAAGGCGTCTATGTAAACCCTTCCGTGCACCTAAATGAAGCACCTAGCTTAACACTTTGGTTGATTAGACATGGGATTGGAGGTAGTACTTACTTGTCGCATCTCTTTACTTGAGGTCTCCAGAGTTACCTTTTCACCAGTACATGTCATAAGCCGGTGACCGCGCAGATGCTCGCACTTGCGTCCTCTCTCGATAAAGGCTGCTTTCGCCTTGGCCTCGTCGTCTAGATACGACATCGGGAACACGGGTAGTTGTGTGACTCGACGGAAGCCTCCAAACTCATCGATTTTCACTGTGGTCGTCGCATAGCCGCTCTTTTCACCATCCCAATCCACATACTCCAAGGTTATGATCCACCAACTGTCAGCTTCCATGGGACCTGTTTTGCCGTCGAATTTCTTGAACTTGGAAACCCGGCAGACGACGTCGACGCCGTAGAACTTGGTTATGGCAAAGGAGCCTGGAACAAATAAGTGCCATATGTTCGGGAAGTCTATCTTGCCAGCCTTCTGAAGCTTGACGCGCGACTTTAGGGAGGGGCTGATGATCGGGGTCAAGAAGGCGAGCAAATTTGACAAGGCGCTCTTCTTGTCAGCGGGGATACCCTTGGCGTCGGGGTCATAATTCTTGAGCTGTTCCCAGCGGTGTATCAGCGGCTCAAAGGGAGGCTTGAAGGTCCAGTTCTCAACCACCACGTCAAGATCTTGGTAGTTATCGAGCACATCGGCAAGGACTGTCATGAAAGATATTAGCCTCTCCCCCCTTTCACAAGGGGCTCGTAGAAGACTTCAGGAAAACAGGGATTATGATTAAGAAATCTCACTTTTTCTCATCCACGGGTCCTGAATCTTGATGGATCTGGTTAGCCAGTTACCGCTGGCATTGAAAAGGGCATGTATGATAGGACTACTCGAGGTGCGAGCCTCTAGGTCTCCCTTTTCAGCATCTGTAACGGCGAATGCTGACCATCTCACAGGACAGCACTTGGCTGGACAACGATGTTCGTACCACTTAGCAACCAGGTTTGGTGAATGGCTGCTGTCGTCGAAAACCCCGTTGTGGAAACCCCCCTCGTTGAGCAATGTGGATTGGTCCATGATCTTTTGTAGAAAGGGCACGTGGCCAGCGTTAAAACGATCCATGATAAGTACCTAGGCAATATCAATCTTGATTTCTGATAAGATAGGTACTATGAATATCTGTCGGACAGGCTGGGTATCTAGCTAGGTAGGTGAGTAGAGGAGATATTGGATTATATACCCAGTATCTAACTCAGTAGATACCTTGATGCGGACTAAAGAAGCATTCATGATGCCTTCTGCAAGAATTGTACAAGGCAAGATGTGAATGTCTAAAACTACGACCTTGAGAGCCACAACCACCAAAGAGTTGCCTTCAGACAGGTATGCCTAATGTAATAAAAGAAGCATGAATTATGTAGGTTCTTAGTTAAGGATCAAAAGGCAAACGCAACCTGAGATTTGAAAAGCTGAGTTGTTTCTAAAAGAAATGCCCACTGGATCAATCATATCTGCACAATGAGCCCCCAAAGTCATATGGGTACCGGGTAGGTGCCTGGGTAGGCGATAGCTACGCACCTTCGGAGACATCGTAGGCAATGGATCTTTCAAAATTACCTACTAGGTACATACCTACCTACTAATGTGCAGTAAATTCCTCCTTTCATGCCAGATTTCTGAAGAGGCGTATGACGAATATGCATCGCAGATACTTGTATTTGCTTATACGGCCATTATGGGTGTGGCTCCCATCAGCCTTATTGTAAATGAACTCGAATACACGAAAGCAGAGAGCAAGCCCCATGTGTTCGAACCAGTTATGAGTCTGCCAAGGTACTACAGCACGATGTGCTTGGTTAATATGGGGATTCTCGCCTTAGAAGGAGGTGGTGCGCAGCCCAAAGGCCTGCGGTAGGCATCTCATTTCATGCCTACTCACTGCGGAATTTCACGAACAACAAATTACTGATCGCCATTTTAAGTCAAACATTTGCCGTGCTCACGTTCGAATCGAAGGCATCAATGCTGAACGCCACGTATAATATCTGACAGAACAGTCTATCGGAAATCAAGAGCGTTTCCGGCATTACGTGGAGTATTGCCTTGGAACCTCTCCCTCCGGCCATCTACGCGAAAGGTGCAAGTGCCAACTCCCTCGAACTTGGCGATTAAAGAAGCCCCTAGTAGTCATGCTGGTGACAGCAAGATTTAAATACACCAGAGACAAACCGAAGGTAGAAGATGCATCTTGAAGGCTCATCTCGGCTGTGGAGGGGAAAGCGCAGAGGTAAAAAGTAGCGAAAGTGTGCTTAGATTATGTATATGAAGTGATAAGAAGAAAAGTGATGGTTTATATAACACATACATGTGTGTACTTCATAGTAGGTACAATGGTAGCTGTGCAGATCACCGCTATGGAAAATGCTATATCAGGATTTCTTTGATATATCCAGTTGGGTAGTACAAAATAGTACACTGAAGAAAGATATTTTCACACAACGACAGTAGTTGAATACAGGAACGTCCAGAGTGAGAAGATGAAGTCCTCTTACAACTTGCCCGTCACGTCCAATTAGAAAGCGCCGTTTCTCCAGACTTCAGCTGCGTGTACTTTAAAGTATCCGTCCATAGCATTCTTTGCTTGACAGGATCTCTAGCTTCTGGACTCATCTCTGCCCTTGCTGATCCATCGAAATAGAGCCCCTTGTTCGTGTTTGGATCGAAGCTCGCTGCGAGAATGTCTCCAGCTGACTTTCGAGTCGTACGGAGAGGTCCATTTGGCATCAGCCACACTACTAAGCTCGCACACAGATGCATAATACTGAAAAGGACCGTTCGTATAGCCCAGGGAGCCCGTCGGACTATATTAGTAGGCATCGAGCCCGGATCAACGCCAAGAACAGATATTTTATTCAGGCTGGGATCCATATCAACTCGCCGTTGTAGTTCTCCGCTGTCAAGTAAGATGTCAATAAGCCAGACTGGATGGAGCATGCGGAAGTGTGGCAATCACATACATCATCAGTAACTCGCACATCTTCGAAGCTGCATACCGTCGGTATCCAGAACACCACGACGGATCGTCCTTGTTAGTACTCCAAGTACCCTTCGCCACGGGCTCGGTGCTGTCATGAAATATGACCTTCCATTTTGGGTCCACAAACTGGCCTCCTGAGTTGTTCTGTCCGGCTTGAGTACTACACATTACGCGTTCCACGTGCTTAGTTGATGAGATCAAGGTAATCAAGGTAAATGATGATTGAACTTGGCTTACTCATGGGACAAACTCCCAACTACAACAATCTTACCCGACTCGCGGTCCATGCTCTGCAACAGCAGCATGGTTAGGAGCCAATGACCCAAGTAATTAGACACGAATGACATATCGAAGCCATCCTTGGTCCAGGTCTGTGTAGTGTACTCTTGCCACCCCGCGTTGAGTATGAGTACTCGAATAGGGGGGATGTCTGCTGCCACAACGCGGGCATTGACAGAGGCGGCAATCTCTCGTATTTTTGTCAAATCGGTTAGATCGAGCGACAGAAGGTCATGGTTGTGCGGACGAGTCGTCTGTGTTGTTTGTAGAGCGTGGTTTAAGGCTGGAGCAGAAGCAGTGTCCCTTACGGTATAGATACCATGATATGCTGCGAACTCTGGCGTGGACACTATTTTAGCAACGATAGCGCTACCAAGACTGCCATTAGCGCCCGTAACGATAATGGTGCCTTTTGAAGCAGCCATGTGCAGTGATTTTCGTCAAAAGCAATTGAGCTCGTCGGTGTAAGCTGTTGGCAGGAAGTGACATTGAACTCTAGGGTTTAATGTTGACAAAGATTTATTTTAAATTTGAAGGTTGAAGGCTTATATATTATATATTATTATTATGGCTTATACTATTGCTTATATACTATGTCATAACTACCTCTGCTTACAAATTACAATATAACTATCGCACTTTCCTTCTGATGTACGATTCGTATGGGATTGATTACATCCATGGGTCATCCCGACCGGGGACGGGGCAATATAGCACACCTGGCACTGTGGGGTCCTAAGCACTGTAAAACACGTACCGTAGGTACCAGATGTACCTGGATGCGCAAACCGTCGGTATCTTCGTCCTTCGACACCCAAGACTCTATCTTCTTGCTATCCCACTTGATCTGCGACTCTCGTATAAATAGCTAGGCTACAAACATATATTTAAGCCTCTTCTCTGTTCTCTCTGCCGGGCCCGTATTGGATGTCCCTCCCTCACGCAAGACCGAATCCTAGGAACATCAGATGGTGACACAGGCGGCATACCTCTCTTAACTCGGTAAGATGGTACAAGTTATTTTTAAACAGTATTCGTGCCTAATCCGATGTCTTTAGTAGCTTCTAATGCTGCATATGTCAGCCTTTCGTTTAAAGCGATCCATTCCTTATCACGTTGGCTGAGCTTCTGCTCTAGTTCTGGGTCAACGTTTTGCGATCCTAATTTTTGCAGCCACACGGCACGCCGATTTGAGGGAGAAATAATTCCATCCATCCAGGAAGTCGCTTGCTTGTTACTCAAAGCATGGACCAAGCCCATTATTGGCGTCCGGCCTCCGAATTTAAGACTCTGCGCTTTCACAGCAATGCCCTCGCGTTGAAGCCATAGTCCTGCTATTCGTTGGTCGTTGTTGAGTAACCAGTCGAAAATCCAAGCAGCGAGAATGAGGCATAACAAAGCAATGCCATCCCAGCCCTTTTGGGCGGCAGCATAGCTCATTATAATAAGCTGTAGAATTTCAAGAGCGCGTAGACCATGCGCTAGCCAACCGTTCAAGGGCGACCCGATACTTTGGATCATGCTCTTATTCAGCACTGCGTCGATAGTGCCACGAGAGCCAACGTAAAGATACCACGTCGAAGCGTTTTCATGAAGAGCCATGAGCATGCATCCAGGAAGATCCCCTTCATTGTTGTGGAGATATCCAACAGGCCGCTCAACTTTTATCAGCTGCCTGGAAATTCTGAACAGAATAGTGAGAACAACGGCAGCAGCAGTTCCATACAAGCCATAGAGGATACAGATGATGCTAATACCAAGTAATAGCATCAACCCTAGCGCTTCAAAAAAGATCGCCCAAGAATGAGAAGAGGCAATTTTCTGCTTTAAAAGGCTTGGATTAGACGTCATCGAGTCGGAAAAATGAAGAATGTGTAGCGTTTGGTAGCGACGGAAACCTTGGACTGGCTTTTCGTTTATAGGGGTCGTACTACCGCTCGAATGAGAAACATGACAACTGGTGATGCTGGAAGGTTTAGATGGCGCCTTAGGTAAAGGAGGTTTCGGTAATTGTTCCGGCGCAAGCTGTGTTTTGACATTTCGAAGCACATGAGCATCCAGCATCGCTGCCGCCGCGCCGTTGGCGCAGGGAAAGATACTACCCCAATTCACATCCCAAACCGTGCGGCGCATCTGACTAACTGACGAGGCACGATCAAGGAACTCCTGGTCTTGCTGAAGAAAATCGGCAATGGTTCCTAAGACGCCTAAGCGAGGAAACAGGCCGACGCCAATGATACCAGTCAAAGCAGCCTGTCCTACTAACTGGTGCGGTAGCCGACTACGAGCAAGATATATAGCCAGTGGTAGCAGAGACGCCCATTCAAAAATGATAGAAATATTGAATGATGCCACTGGAAGTACAGGTGGTGTGGCACCATTCGTTCCATAACTGGCAGGGGGGTCTTGCAGTGTCATTGGAATAAATTAGGTAGATAGAAGCTTCGAATCAAACTGTAATGCTATGAGTCTTTTCAATTGTAATAATTTGATATCATAGATAACTTGAATATGTAAATATATACAAGAGAAGGACAGAAAGTGTCCTTGGAAGAAATAGAGGGGGCGGCAGAGGGAGGGGCAGAGGGAGGGAGAGGTGGAGGCAGTGCAAATGCTGCCTGGCTATCTATATAATCACGATGTAACTTCATGGCTATTATGCATGTTGGTACAATGTAGCATTTTGCAAGTTTTATGTCCTACATGTAGATCAGAGCATATGCTAACTTCTCGCTCTACTAGCATGACGACCTACCTAGTTTATAAATGCCCTAACCTTAGCTAGTATGGATGTTGAGCATATGGACCCGCGATTGGCAGCTAGAGTATTGGAGGCGTTGGAAGAGTGTCCCTCCAGAACGCCTCGTGGCTCTCACCTCATCAGTGAATTTAGGCCACGAGATATCTCAACGATCAATATAAATGGACTTCTGGCAAAAGAAAGGTCCAACCAGCATACCACATCAGCAAGTCCTACTAAACGTGTTTCATTTCCCGGTGTTCATCTATCACCAGACTCTCATAAACGATCACGGTGGATGATGCTTCGAGGCCTCTACAGATGTACTCACACCAAATTCTCATGGGAGCATTTAGACCGGACCTTTACGGAGCATGCCATAATAGCTAGATTCGTGGTCCCAGAATCTCAATCGATGAGAAATGACATTATTCATTCCACGACATCCTTGCTGAAACGTTTGCCACCCATTCCACTTTCACTGCCTCGTGATATAACGGAGAATCTGAAAGGAGAATGTTGGCTGAATGGTGACGCAAATGAATATTCATGGGATCAACTCTCTACGGTTTCTAGGCTATCAGGCAGTGTGATTCGCATGGGGATTGCCATAGCTTTGACATATGAGAGAAAGGCCAACCTCGACGGGAGCAGTCTTGAATCTCACCACTTCAGGCAATTTCTGGATTTCGTCTCCGACCTTATCGATGGCGTCTTCTTCGAGCTTAGTAAGGGGCCAGTGGAAAAGGATGGCGTATTAGTTAATAACACATGGCGCTGGTTTGCACTACTTACTTATATGTGGAGTACCTGGCAACGCTGTCTGGCTTTACACTACTGGTAAGCAATGTCATTGAACTCCCTAATATACCTACCTAGTAGTTGTCTTTTTGACATGCTTGAAGGCGAGTTCTGCAAGATAGCTTGCAAACAGGATTCGACTACACTGGCTTTGGAGAACTTGGGCTTCGCCCGAATAAAGGCTCCTTTCTTGCCTTGGAGTCGCAGCAAGCGAACACGTCGCAAGATAAGTTACAATACATGTGTACCTTGGCATACCAGATCTTACAGCGAAGTAGATCGACTTCCCTACTCGATCTACGGTACTTTCGCCAAAGCTTTGCTAACGTGTTTGGTGAAAAGCCAGGAAGGTGTATTGGCGATCAGGCATGTTCCGGACTAGGACCTGATGATTGTAAGAGAATCAGGAGAGGAGGCAAAGTCAAGGACCAAAGCCAGCATGACCTTTCTTGCGAGGGTGAAAAGACATGCAACCGTATGGTGTGGGACAAAACTTCGTATCTGAAAGTGTCTGGGCCACGTGCTGTCTCTATTTCCTCTTCCTCTTCCAATAAACTATGCTATGAAGTTGCCGATACTAAAACCGTAGCAATCTCACACGTATGGCTTCATGGCCAAGGCGGCCGACCAGAAGAAGGGATGAATGAATGTCTTCATCGTCGGTATTGCAGGATTGCAAGGGAATTGGGCTGTTCGAGCTATTGGATAGATGCTGCTTGTTAGTATCAACTTTGAACGTCTCTCCTTTTAGTTCCCATGCTACCTAGGTACATAATGGCATTCTAAGCTAATATCTACCTCCTCTTCAAGGCATTCCTGATGAGCACACCCTGCGTAAAGAAGCTATTTTAACGATAAACCATGTCTTCTCAACTAGTCACGCTACTGTATTGTGCGATAGAGATATAATGGACATCGACATCTCAATTTTACAAGACGCAGAGAACACACCCGCTAGTGTAGCCCTACAGGAATCTATCCTTGCCATAGTCCTTGTTTGCGACTGGAACGTGAGAGCCTGGACATTGCTAGAGGCCTTACGTGGCAGAAAGAATATACAGCTCCTTTGTAGGTCGGGTAGCGAAAACAAACTGATTTCATTAATGGGAATACTTCGTACTACGGCATTTCATGGGGCTATAACCATGTCGATACTCCTCTTGACGAACCACCACCTGTTTCCACCCCCAAGCGCAACTCATTGGATTGAACACAAAACGAGTAGCCAAGAGCTATCGAAGTTTCAGCATATCATCTTCGATGGTAGTTTTGATGCCAGTCTTATTTCCACTCGAATAGGCCGTGGCTTCGTTGCGGTATCAGAGGCTGCATCGCTCCTCGGTCAGAGATTCGCTTCTCGTCCCGGAGATGATGTTATTATCTGGAGTCTCCTCGTTGATGACCCAGTAATGAAGGATGCTCAGGATTTATGGGCTAGAGGGAAGCATGGAGGAGCACGCCTCGACAAGGTTGTTCACACCGGCCACTTACTCTCAAGTGTACAGAGGCTCACTCCACCCCAAGGTCCCTCGTGGGCGCCTAGGCAACCTGGCGCTTACCTCGCAGCCAATGAAAAGCCCCCGACATCCAAGTTGTATCCTCCATATGATGGCATTCAGTCTCAGATTGGTCTGATTGAAATGGGCAAGAACGGGGACACATGCCTACGAGCAAATTGGGGAGTTGCAGAGATTCACTTTAAGGACGGCTTCGCCTCGCATTTCCGTAGTTTCCGTAGTTTTCAATACCCAGAGAACTACTTAGTCGACAAGCCAGTGCCGGATGAGTTAAAGGAGTGTCTTAAGGGCTACAAGGAGGGCAGGCTACTTCAGCCTTTACAGCGAGAGGCTGTTCAAGGAGAAGATACAGACAGCGACAACGAGCCTTGCGCAAGTATTTATGGAGGGTATGGTGGCGTTTCTGAAGGGCTTGTGTTTGCTGTGTGTGGTAGGAAGTATGAGAAGCCTAGTGATGGAACATGGACGTGGCTCGGGATAATTGATTGGAGGACAGGTTACAGTTTGCCGTATTTTGAGGAGCGAGAGATTGTTCTAGGTTAATGTAACAAGTATCGATTCAAGAGCTAATATTTCATATCCACGCCGAGTATGATGGCCTTGAAGGGGAAGCTCGAGTAGGTAACTACTTAATGAAGCCAAGTTGCGAATAAGGGGTAAACTGCCTAGTACCTAGGGTGTTTTCTAAGTGATACGTACTAGGTACCTGTGAAAGAAGAGAGTTACGTAGGTATCCAATATATACGAACCTATCTAGGTACCTAGGTATTCTGTTACTACAACTTGTAACTACCTAGGTACCATAGCGTGAAAGTACGTGTGGAGTAAATAATTTACAACCTTAAATGATTTAAAAATAGGACATTATTTCAAAGGTTTGAAGTACCTTCCCACCTTATTTCTTAGGGTAGCTACAAGTGTCAATTGTTTGATCATTTCGATCAAACAAAAGATGGCAATCATTTGAATTTTGTAAATCAAACACCATAATTTAGGCTGAATAATAGCATTATATGCAATTATTTCATATTTTGCAATCATTTCTTATATAAATCCAGGAAGAACCCAATCCCGGTATCCACTTTTATATTTTCTTTAATATTTTTTGGCCAACACCACCTTTTCTTTTTTTTTTTCAACACTACAACACACTCTTTTTCAAAAAAAAATTCTTCAACACCACAACACATCACCATCTTCAATAACCATCTTCAATCACCACCTTCAATAACCACCTTCAATCACCACCTTCATCAAAACACCACAACACATCACCAAAACACAACACCACCTTCAATAACCATCTTCAATCACCACCTTCAATAACCACCTTCAATAACCATCTTCAATAACCATCTTCACCACCACCTTCAATCACCACCTTCAATAACCATCTTCAATAACCATCTTCAATAACCATCTTCACCACCACCTTCAATCACCACCTTCATCAAAACACCACAACACATCACCAAAACACAACACCACCTTCAATCACCACCTTCAATAACCATCTTCAATAACCATCTTCACCACCACCTTCAATCACCACCTTCAATCACCACCTTCATCAAAACACCACAACACATCACCAAAACACAACACCACCTTCAATAACCATCTTCAATCACCACCTTCAATCACCACCTTCAATCACCACCTTCATCACCACCTTCATCACCACCTTCATCACCACCACAACACATTACTTTTTTCAGGTACGTACATCCTTACCTTATAAGAAAAGAATCTCTACTAACTTTTACCATTTCAACAAATTTTCTTAGGTACCTACTTTTCACTAAAATCAATGGTTAGTTCAATCTTTCAATTCCTACATGTATAAATATAACAATCAAATAATACTAATAAAAAAACTTAGAAGATTTTTTACATCGATCAAAACGATACTTAGCGGATGGACCAGGTCCTATTGATCAATAGGTGGGTATCCTAATTGGATAGGTGAAGCTGTTGTTATTGTCTATATATATATATGGTGTAAGGTATGTATAAGATGGAAAGTGGAAGTGGTGGATATGTACATATAATCCAATAATACTTGAATAAAGAAATAATGTCCCAATTAAAAATAATTTCCAAATTTGAATTGATTTCCAAATGTAAATAATGTCTCAGCATAAATGATTTCCAATTGTAAATGATTGCCAATTGTAAATGATTGCCAATTGTAAATGAATGAAAATTAAGTCATGAACATGAGTTATTTCCAGCCATTTCCTAGGGGCCAATTATTTCCGCCACTCATACTTTCACGCTATGGTAGTTATAGGAAGAAAACCCGGCTCTTATAACAGCTGCACAGTGCCGATTAAGCCCCTGTAATCAATAACACGGTGCCATGTGTTTGCGACAGCTAGCCACGTGGCTTTCCTCAGGCTGTCAGATGCCTAACGAGAACATCGGAGCCTTACGAAAAGGTTTCCGAGACTTTCAGCTGGTAGATATCCCTTATTAGGCTTACGACCTATCTGAGTGCCTACCCAGGTGGCTAGTACATATTGAAATACACTCCTACCTATACTAGCTAGGCTATAGCCATGTCCCAACAGCTAGAGCCAGGTGAAACGACCTATACTGTAAATCGAATAAAAGAGATCCTCAACAAAGAGCTGTATAATGCATATGATGATGATCAAGCTGAAAATGGCATACCCGTCGAGTTCTATGTTGAGCGATCTGAGATAAATACGCACTATGCAATACACGACATCAAAGCAGCTCAACTTAAAGCAGCAACGAAAAGGTGCCGAGAATACTGCGATGTCATATCCAGCGTCCCTCCAGCTGAACAACTTGCGAGTCTCGATCATGCCTACAGCAAACTTATCGAGTGCAATTTTCAGCCCCGTGGTCTTGATACTGTTATCGACAGGACTTGCCGTAGACTAACGAGGCTCCCGGTAATCCCTCCTGCGTTCGGGAACCGCTGTACAGATGAGAATATTTCTAAACTGGATGAGAACTATTTCATACATGGTTCACAGAGAAAGTGGGATAACCTCGAAGTTGTTCGCTATGTAGACACAAACGTGATAAGGCTCGCGCTTCAAATTGAACTGGCTGACGGCTGGTGGGTTGGTATTTTCCGTCTCTTCGTCAACACCATATCATCTCTTCTCACCGCGGCGCTTGAGCTACAATCCTCGGTTGATCCAGCTCACGCGTTTATTCTGCAAGCTTTCCTATGGACCTCTTGGCAGAGGGCAGTAATTCTATTGTTCTCCGTCACTCTCGAAGCTCAGATAAGGATAGGGTATGACTCCGAGCGAAACCGACACCTTTCCGTGGACATAGTTCCCTCTATTCTGAAAGAACTGCGCACTGGGCCGGACAGGCCAGAGATACCTGGATACATGTGCAAATGGGCGTTCGAGTTCCTCCGCTCCGACCGCGCAGCCGTAGCACTCGATTTTCGAGCATTTCTTGAACGTTACCGCGATGTTTTCGGACACTTGCCTCCCCGGTGCGTCATGTCTGCGGGTGGTCGCACACTGCAATGTGAAGGGAGCTCCCCGCACACCTGTATGAGATTCAAGGGCATGAAAATCGAAGACCAGTCGGCCCACACAAGTTCGTGCAGCGGAGCCGGGCAATGCAGAAAGCTCTTCTGGAATGAGCAGTCATACCGGGGACAAAGCGGCGCCCGGGCGGTCAACATCAACGATTGTGATCATGATCAACTTAACTACTGCATAGCTTCGGGGTCGACAATGACGATCAGCCATGTATGGAGCCACGGACAAGGCGGCCGACCTGAAATCCCCGAACAGCACGGCACCGGGCTCAACAGTTGCCTGCACGAACGCTATGCTAAGATTGCGCGGCATTTTGGATGCGATTCCTACTGGATGGACACGCCGTGCATACCACAAGACCACCAGCTAAGACGAGAAGCTATTGAGAACATAAACAGCGTCTTTGCTACCAGCAAACTGACTCTTGTTTGCGATAAAGATCTCATGCAGATTGACGTGAGCAACCGGACGACTAAGCTATCCGAATCTCTGCTTTCCGTCCTGTTAGTCTGCGATTGGAACATGCGCGCCTGGACGTTTTTAGAAGCGAATCGCGGCCGCAATGGCATTCACCTTTTGTGCAAGGACGATCAAGTCGTGCCGCTAAAGGAGGTGCTCGACGATGTTAGTCGGAATGGGAATCTGACTGTTGCAACCCTCCTGCTCACAGCGCAGCATCTGATGCCCGCCCAGGGCATTCCTAAGGGTGGCACGCCAAGCGAGGCGCTGAACGACCGCGCACGCGGCTTCGTGTCCATCCATGAAGCGTCCTGTCTTCTGAGCCATCGCCATGCCTCGCGTGAGAACGACGAAGTCATTATCTGGAGTTTACTCTGCAGGGAGGATGTCAAAGAGACTGCTGCCGACCTTTGGAGAAGCATGATCGGTCGTGTGATCCCTACCGGGTACCTGATGTCCAACCATCCCCGGATCGGCTATGAAGTCGGAGGCCATAAGGGGCTCGGCTGGGCACCTCGGCGGCCGGACATGCCCGACGACAGCAATAGTAGCGGTAAAAGGGGCAAAGTCTTCTTTGCCGATGACGGCTCCAACAGTGCCTTTGGTCGCGTCATGTCGGGGGGGTTTCGTGCAAAGTGGCTCGTCTATGAGTTTGGCACGGATCTACGACTATGCTCAATACTACTAAAGGCATTATGGGCATTGTCATGGGCACAGTTTCGTACTAACTATGAACTTAGACGCATTGCGACCAAGTTCCTGGCAAACTACCGCTGGGGCGCCCTACTTCAGGCGGGGAAAGATCCTTCGGTAGATGTGCCTGTGCAATATCGCGGCGACTCGGACGGCACTTTGGTCGCGGTAATTGGGTCGAATGATAAGGAAGAATGGCACTGGTTGCACGTATACGAATGGAAAGTATCTATATCGCTTCCAGCTTTCCGCCGGAAGGAAATTTTACTGATATGATAACACGGTAATGAGGAAATAGTTGGCTAGAAGAGTTATGTAGTAGATTCAGTCAATAGTTGATGCCATGAATTTGTTCTGCCTCCCAGTAAATGGAAATGATTAGGTACCTACCTACCTACATACATATGTAGGTAGGCATCAGTTAAAATGGAGGGCCGCCCCCTTTCTTTATACAAGAATAATCTCCTTGGCGTAAAATCGAGGGCGCTTTTCATTCGATGGCCATTCCATTATAGCAAGCCATGTCCAACGTCCCTCGAGCTCTTCGTTCGTCCCGCAGACTGCAAATAGAGGTCCTTTGGCAGGCCCTTTATACAGGCTAGCAATTGCAATAGCTTTTTGTTTGTGGAAATCTCTCTGTTCACCTACTGCCGATTCCCGGTCATGATCCAGCTCTACCTCTTGCAGAGCCTGTAATAGTATTCCCTTACGATACCCCTTTAGATAGGAATCAACGGCACCGAAATGCGATGAACTAGTGTCATAATGTAGGCTCGCGTAGTCATCGCATTCCGTTGTTCCAGGTGCACTATGACAGTCTTTTATTACGGATACGCCCCATTCTGCGCGAAACATTGGTCCCGTAAATTGGCCACCCCATTCAACAGACCCAATGCGCGAGAGTGTGCTTTCGTAAGCAGGGAATCCATGGAATCCAGTGCTTTCTTTTAACTGCAGCATAGGCTGTGATGGCGCCCAGCTCAGGCCAGGTACAGTGAGTCTGGGCAAACTAGAAATAAGAAAGCCGGTATAAACGGGTTCTGATTCCCAAAGATCTGGAACGTCACGGAGAGAGCTTACATCCCCAACGAGCAGGCTCCAAATTATGAGTTCATCGCCGGTCCGTGAGGCAAATCGATGACCAAGCATCAGTGCTGCCTCCGTGGTGGTGACGAATCCTTCCTCTACCATTTCACTCAAGGTTCTAGCGCCATGACGAGACAAGAATTGGCTTCTATGAATCCGCAACTTCATCTCTGCTTCGGGCAGGGGCCTGTGGAAATCGGTGTTTCGAACAAGCCAAGTCTCCGCGTCTGGACAAGGAAGGAGATGGTACTGGGTGAGGAGAAGAACGGCGAGATTAATACTTCCGTGGAAACTGACTATCTCTAAAGTTTCTTTCAGAGATATGAGTGCGTTTGATTTACCAGATTTGCAGAGGAGATATATCTGTCTTCTGCCTCGGTGGGCCTCGAGAAGAGTCCAGGCCCTCACATTCCAATCGCAGACCAGAAGCGTTGCTAGAATCGACTCTCTCAACCGAATAGATTGGCGAGATAGGCTTTCGGCTTCGTTAACAATGCATGAGACATCGATATTCATGATGTCGCGGTCAGACACAACTACGATATTGCTATTTCTGAACACACTGTTGATGGTCATGATAGCCTCCCGTCGAAGCTTGTGCTCAGCAGGAATACCTATAACGATATCGACAACAGTGAGCCATAATCCAAAAAAAAAAAAAAAAAAAAAAAAAAAAAAAAAAAAAAAAAAAAAAAAGCTGAGGTAACTTACAGGCTGTATCGATCCAGTATGAGTCGCAGCCATGCCACTTTGCAATCTCGCAATATCTAAGATGCAAGCATGGGTTCATGCCCGTCTCGGGTCTCCCCCCTTGCCCATGACTCCAGACATGTGATATGGCAGCAGTTTTTTCGGAAGCCTGACAATATTCCAAACGAGGGGGGAGAGAAGAGCCGCTTGAAGTAGCAATATTAACTGCACGTGCCCCAGATATGCTCCTGTAAGAGCCCTCGTCCCATACTATTCGGTTTCGGTTGCAGTATTCGGGGTTGTGGCAATCCACGTCGTGCTGGCTTTGATTGATGATTTCTGCGCCTTTTATTCGCAAACAGTCTAGAAAGTTGGGATTGCATGGCTTGCTATTCCTGCACCTCGCCTCTTGATTGCCGAAAAGGTCATAGAACCGGGCGTGAAAATCACGTAAGTCCATCAAGTTAGTACAGCGGCCCCTACGGAGGATATCGTATGCCAGAGGGCACATATAGTCCGGCTTCAACTGATCCTGCCGCTCCGCAACTGTATTGGATATGGAGATTGGACGTAAGCTGAGTTCCATCATATCATGGAAGTCGAACCCGAGCACAAGGTGGGTTTGCAGTATTCGCCTAGCAAACGTCTATTAGCATACCTAGTATGGAGGGCATTTGGGCAATGAAATGCTACCAATAATGAAGAGCTGTGCATCGCTGCCAAGTGCTCCATAAGTACGATTTGAGCACAAAAAGCCTCCATATATCCGACTCATTATTGGCTTGAGCTGCAGCTTTGCCCTCAAGGATGACCGAATCCAACAGCTCCGCAGTGCTATCCAGGAACTTCCTAAATTCGTGTAGTTCTTCGGTTTCGCTATCGAGATCCACGTTACGATCCCATGCGATCGCAATTGCTAGCGCCATGCATATGACTTGTGTCGAATGAGTTGATACGACCTTGAGATCCCCCCATCGGCGCATATTGGCGTTTGGCTTTGGCGCTCTTGGGGGATCTGGCAACTCCGAGGGGATGGTGGGCAGCCGTGAAATAAGGCCCAAGACATGGTCCAAGACAATCTCCTCTTCCTTTGCCGAGGCGGGACTGGAAAACTGAATTGTGGTTAGTCGGGAAAACGCGATATCCAGTTGTTCGAAGCCGTAATCATCGCCATGATTAGAACTGCGATCGGTGCATTGAAATAGATATGTTCGAAAGCGGTCTAAAGGTGTGTCATGGCTTTGGTCGTCCGATGTCTGGTGGCTATCTTCATCGGGAAATATAACTTCAATCTCTTCATCCTCAATTCTTTGTGGGCCGAAGTAGCTTGAAATGCGCCCGTGAGTTTTCCATTCGCGCTGCTGGGGTGGAAGCTCTTCGGAACCATCCACTTGATCAAAATATTTGCATTTGAAGACGCTTATAATGTGATCTTGAGCCGGCACCCGGTTTTTGATCCACACTTGCCTAATATGTTCACGAAAGGGTCCTTGGTCAGTGGTTGATCCCATCTCGTACCATACGTCTGGAAACCCTCCACCAAGTATTGATACCCGAGTTTTATAACCCCGAACGCTGGAGATAAATAATTGAGAACTGACGGAATGCGGCCATAAGCAAATCGGATTTATACCCCACCCTCGGATTTTATTCGACCAATATTAAATTGAAAATGCCTAAGCCTCATCGTATCTCCTTCAGTTGTCATGAGTGAATGAGCCTCCCCTAGGAAACGCTCAATTGGGCTTGAGTAAAGCGGTAAAACTTAATGCCTAACGACAATGGAAGATAAGGGGGTAAACAACGATAAGTGAAATGTCCATATCCCATAATATGCTTCCCGTAAAACACATTCGACAGCATTCAAGTAAGTAGGTGCAAGATAGTTGATCGCTTCTATGCTCTAATGATACATGTAGGTGTCATAGTTATAGAATGACAAGTAGTATGTCGTATGTCGAAATGAAATCCCCAAATCCCTCTATCCGTGTCGTTGGTATGGAAGGACAACAGCTTTTAAGCCATAATATCCCCTCAACCATCATAGGCCGTTCCCGTATTCCTGACCAATTCGTTATGAATTCAGCCCACCCTTAGAAACCCAGTAATCCCAGTAGTCCTAACAGCACCTAGGCAGGTGCCCAGGGAAGCACAATATACATGATAAAACTTCCATCGCCCTCAGATACATCTCTCAGTGAACATAAGTCTAATCTAATAGACCCTCTTAGCCCGACTGCCTTTCCCATCCGTCCCGCGCATCTTCCTAGTCCCCGCGGCCTTCTTCCCGGGCCTGCGCGTTATCGTTCCCACCAGCTTCTCCGCCGCGCCCGCGATTTTGTCGCTTAGGTGTGGCTTCCGCTTGTGGTGAGTAGCCGGCTGCTTGGTAACTCCGGCACCAGTGCGGGTCTTGTGCGTAGTAGTAGTGGTGGTCGTGGTGGTAGTGCCACCGGAGCGCTTCGTGTTGCTGGTGCTGGTCCTGTGCTTGCGTTCTGGTTCGGTAGACACGGTCAGATGGACGCGCGGCTTGGAATGTCCGGTTGAGGAGCGTGTGGAAGGCATGTTTAGTGCAAGTTGCTAGTTTGGTAAACTTAGGTGTATGTTATGGAAACAAGATTTAAGATCGTAAATAATATAGTATCTACTTATTAAAGAGTAAAGAGAATCAAGTATGTTATATTAGAAGATATTGGTATTGAGCATCGCATCAGAGGCGTCTTTTAGTGTGTAAGTCAGGGGGTTGACGTCATGCTAGTTGTCAATCAGGTTTGTCCCCTTTTCAGGCCACTGACAGGTCGAGTATCGCGATCGACGTGGCAAAATATTTGTATACCCATACATATCTCCATACGTATCTTACCAGCTGTTTATCTTTTCCTCTTTCTTTGCATTTTCTCACATATTATAGTAGGTAAGTTCATAGGCATTGATGTATGTTGTTAAAATGCATACTTTAGGTACCGAAGGTAGGTAGCTAGGACGTCATCCAGAATGGCAAGTAATAGTAGAGAACAAAAGGAATAATAACACCTGATGTGAATTCAAGTTATTCTCTTCATCCCTTACTTGATTTTTTTTCATTTTCCCTTTTCGACCATGGGGAGATCGAGATGGTTATTCTTATCTATGATAACCACGTGTTTGTACAACTTTGATATCAATAAAAAGAAGTAAACAATAGCCATGAGGTAATCAGTGATTTGTTAGTCTGTGAGTCGTTTCAACATTCAATGTTCTAACCTGTTCAAGTATAAAAGTAACCGTTTAAGGTAACACTAGGTTAGGCGAGTATATTTATAATTAGTTCTTCTAGGCTTGGAAATCACGACTGAAGTCATTCAAGTCATACTGGAAGTGACAACTGCCAAACTATCTAATGCCCTGAACACTAAATCATCATGTCTACTAGGTACCTACTCAGGTGCCTAGGGCACTCATCATTCCCACTATTCTCGCCAGTTTCACCATTCTCATTATACCATTCATCCATCGCCTCAAGAAAATGCCTTGATCTATAATAGTGCGAGGCTTTCTACGAGCAATTGGTATTTAGCTTATAGTACTACAACTACAACTACAACTACATATGTAAAAGGGAATTTATCCTAGCACAACCTCTGATGCCATTGGCTGCCTACCTGTTACATACTGCGCCCCAGACCAGTCCGTCAGTCAGTCCAAGTCATCAGATGTCGGGTTCTTCCCTACTACCTACCTAGTACCAATCAGGTACTAGCTGTAACACACGTAGGCGACCTAAGTTTAGCTCAGCTAGCGACTAAGCTACGGCTAATTCCTAGTCGCATATCACGCTGTTCGTTATACCATGGTCCATGGTCCATAGTAAGTGTCCTCGACAAGCTAGATAGTTATTGTGACATGGTGCTAAAATGCTTAGCCGACATATCCAGTACCTCCCCGAGGCCCACGCCTCGGTGATAGGGGCTGAACGACTAGATACTAAATATCCAGGCAACTAGTTAACCTACCGCAGTGTGTGGTTCAAAGAGTCTACTTTCAGCCTTACTCGGGTATAGCACCTAAGTCGATACTGTGTGTACCAGGTACCTTGTATGTAGGTACACCTCGGCATCCAGCAGATATCGTGCATGTAGCTGTGGAGGTACATACAATAACGACCTCCCCTGAGGTAGGTAAGTACTTGCCTATACCGAAGCCTCAGGTCAGCTGGCAAGCTAGATGAGGCATACCTTTTCGTAGAGTTCCTAAAATGCGTCTGTTTCGACTTGTTCCCATCCTTCCTCACCCTTTATCTGCCTGCCTACTATTTGTCTATTTCTCATCTCTCAATTCCAGGCACAAAGTCATGCTACCTCGTATCACACAAAAGCTACCAATCAATCCTGAGATCCTTCCAAAACGTGGGGAAGAATTGCGGCTGAAGCACCCACTGCCTTATCGTTTATGATAACTTGACCACCTACCTATTGTTATTCCTCTCTGCTGATTCCTAATTGAATGCCTTCCAGTATGGATAGGAGTTCTGGTATGCCCGATATCATTGTCTCGACGTCTGATGAAATGGATCACGAATCTCCAGATCAAAAGGGCAAAGGCAAAGCTGTCTTGTCAAGCCAGGACCCCGGATTCGTATCGCCTGAGTTGTTGAATAAAGAGCACACTGTCGACTGGACTCAATATGCCCCTCCAGCAGGGCTCAAGGACATGGCTGGTTCTGATTCGGAACTGATTGCGCAAGTCTTACAAGAATCCATCGACAGAGTTCAAGCTCGAATCGCCGAAGAAGAAGAAAGACGCGTAGCAGAGCGAGAAGCAGAGAAATCGAGGCAAGAAGAGAAACTTCATCAAGAACAAGAACAAGAAGATGATATGGCTACATATGTGCCATCATTGGAGGAGAAGCCAAGTGAACGAGGCCCCATCGCGGCCTTGACAGGGCTGAGTGAGAATTCGAGCAAGGCCCTCGCACCGCAGCGGCCCGTCAAATCGAAAAAGAATTCGTTGATGAATATCCTACGGCGATGGAACAATATTGTTGAGTGGGGCGAGTCAAGCGCAACTGGAGCAGCCCGTCATAAGCCTGGTGATTCTCAGAGTAGCTTCGAATGGACTACACAAACCACGAAGAAACGATTCGTCCCTGGAATTTTGAAGAAGACATCGACAGAGAGTAGTAGTAGTAGTCCCCATTCCTCGATAAATGAGGCTCAAGTGTAAGTATCTTCGCCACGAACCATATGCTTGGGATGAATTGTGCTGATATATTTATAGTGAATGTGTCTCATGTCTTGATGACTTTAACCCCAATGACATGATCAAAGGTCCTTGTCACAGTTACTGCAAGCCTTGTTTCATACGCCTCATAAATGTCAACTGTGAAAATGAGCAACAATGGCCACCGAAGTGCTGTTTGAACCTGATCCCTGCGAGCACTATAATCTCAAATGTCGACAATGAACTGAGGCAGATATACCGTGACAGAGCTGCTGAGTGGGACCTACCGATTAGCGACCGCGTGTACTGCAGTACATCAAACTGTAGCATCTGGATTCGACCAAACGAGATCAACCATGCTGACAATCTCGCAAGGTGCGCAGCAGGCCATCGGACTTGCACAATCTGCCGCGGTGCTCCCCACGAAGGGACGGAAAACTGCCCACAGGACAGAGATATGATGAGGACGGATGAGCTCGCGGAAGAGGAAGGATGGAAGCGTTGCTATGGATGCCGTGCATATGTAGAGCATAGAGAGGCATGCCAGCACATGACATGTCGATGTGGCGCCGAGTTCTGCTATGTATGCGGATTGCCCTGGCGAACCTGTGGTTGTTCCATGGAACAACTAGTCGCCGTCAAAAGGGACGCAGCTACACGACGCCAAGAGAGGGAAGAGAGAGAAGCCCGGGAAGAAGCCGAAGCCCAGGAAGCTATACGATTGGTGGAGGAATTCGAACGGGAAGAGGCGCGCAAGGCCGAGCTATTACGAGTAGAACAGGAACGATTGGCTGAAGAGCGCCGACAAAGGGAACTCGAAGAAAGGATTCGGCGCGAGGAGGAGAGAAGATGGGCAGTTGCAAGCAAATTTCGAGGCATCCGGGAAATACTCGCGAATATACACGAACTACAACGAGCCATCATACAACGTGACCACATTTCGGAACAAATAAGGCTTGGAGAAGAGGGCACCGCATCGCTCGAGAAGCTCCGGGCAGATCAGAGAGCAGATCGCGAGGAGCTCGATGCCTCCACCAAGACTGAAATTAGCATACGAGAAATGAACCTTCGAAATGAGTACGCGCGTCGCGTAATGGCGGAGCGCAGGATCGAGAATGAGTACCATGCTAGATTGAAGACCTACTGGGCCAGCAGAAAGGATGGAGACGCTAAAATTGAGGATGCGATGAAGAAGTTGAAACTCAAGATGGACGCTAGGTTCAGCAAGTGGGAGAAATGGAGGAATACTGACCTAGACAACTATCGCTGGAGCGTCACGGAACAACAGGAGATCCAGGAGGAGCTCATGGAGGAGAGAGAGCGTAGGTTGGTGGTAAGCACACGGGAAGAGCTCGTGATGTTTTCATTACGCAAGGTTGCAGAGCTTCGGTGGGTGGACGTTGTGATGGAAGAACGCGAAAAGATGCTCGCTGATATGGAGGAGGATGAAGTTGAGAATGGGGAGGATATCGATGCTTGGTTTGCCGATGATGGACTTGAGAGTAGTTCGTCAGAGGAGCCTCCGGAATCCGCTGAAGATTCTGCGCCCGATGAATCTGATGAAGAGGCTGAAGCTGAGCTACTGCAGGAGTTCAAGGTCCCCGGGGCATTTGACTATCCGCTTATGAAGGCGCTCTATTTGTCTGAAAAGAGAACTGCATAAGTCAGGCCCTTCCACATGAAAATTTATAGTGCCACAAGAGCTAATAAATTCGCGATGCATTGACTGGTTGAGTTACCTACCATTCGTGAGAGTGAAGTATTTGGAATAGGGGTAAGAGCGACGAAAACGCCTCGTAAGGAAACAACCACCAAGTAAACCGACATAATAGGTGTTTCTATCCCAAGCCTCTATCGTAGTCGAAACTTCCAGTTCTTGAAGCTTTGCATTAACATTGCGAAAGTCTTTTCTTTTTCTTTCCTTTCCCTTTCAACTTTACACCACCATCTCTTTAGATTCACACGGTACCCATCCTCATCCCCATCCATACCAATCCACTCTTTACTCCCGAACAAACCACCAAGCATACATATACCACATACATACATACATACGTTACCTGCCTACCGAATATATATCATTTCACAATACATACCAGGCATGGACTTCACGCACCTCTACGGCGACTCGTACCACCAGGTCTTCCCCACCAGCACATCCCACCTGCGGCCCACGATGCCGTCCCGCCAGCCCTCTCTCGCGCACGGCACCGCATCGGGCCACTCGTCGTTTGGAGGCGGCGGCAACGGGACCAGCAGTCATCACCAGGAGAACCGCCCCCAGAAGCCTGAGCAGCCACTTCCAATGTCGCCGTCACCACCGCCGCCGCCACCGCCGCCGACGCAGCAGCAGAAGATGGCGGCAGATCAGGCGTATAGAGCTACTTTGTGGGTTTTCTTTCCTTTGCCTTTTTGTTGTTGTGGGGGGGGGGGGGGGGGGGGTATCAACCCACCCATCGATATGCCTCTCTACCCACCTACCTACCTCCTTGTTTGCTTACTCGCTCAACACTGTGTATATGAACAGCGCATCCCACGAACGAGCCGTGTTCCAAGAAGAAGCGCTGGCGCGGGCCCGGCGCCGCGACGCCGCGCGCAACCGCGCGCTCTTCCGCGGCCGCCTGTACAAGCGCCCCGAGTTCTACGCCATCACGATCGGCGTGCTGGGCTTGCTGTACCCGGTCTTGAACCAGTACGTTGTGCAGCCTTGGCTGGAGAGGAGGAGGCATCATCGGCATGGGGTTTAAGTTGGGGGGGATAGGAGGGGATGGGAGAGGAGAAAGGGGACGAGAGGGGGGGATGGGGATGGTGGATTATCTGTGAGGCATGTTGTCCTTGTGGGTAGAGGTGTGGAGGGAAGAGTGTATAGTTAGGCAGACAGGCGTGCTACGTTGTTTTCAAATTCGTATCTCTGTTACGGGGTCGTTGGATCCCTTCCTACCTACCTACCTACCTACCTACCCAAGCTGAGAATAAAGTGAAGCAGATAGCCGGAGGTACTCATATGTAGGCAGGCTGATACCCTTTTCGCCACTCAGTAAAGTCATACAGGTACACCCACCTATGACGCTCGCCTCAGCACGCCGGGATGATGATTTAATAGGTAATATACGTACCTAGCTATTAAAGTGGTGATTAATTGGAAACGGTATTGTCTCAGTTGTGATAAATCATTTCTTGATTTTAATATGTACATGTTTCAATTACATTTTTGCGTCGCGCAACGCAGCCGCGAGGGAGGGATTAGCAGAGTAAGACATGCGAGGATTGCATGTTGGTTTAATGGCTTCTTAATGTGATAATCACAGCACATATTAGGCATACCTATTGAAGAGCTTACTGGGTTTACTGTGGTTGATGTCTACATATGTGAGTAGTACATATCTCATGTGAAAATATTGATTTATTCGCTGGAGACAGCCTTGCCTCTATATGCAATTCAGCTATATGCCTACAGCAGAGCACCACTCACCTCGGTATAGCCGAGTCCCAATCAGAGCGTCACAGCACAGATGTCCATAATAGCTGTTCACAGGCGGGTAGGTGTTGTCTCATCCACTAGGATCGCTCCCGACATCTAAATACCGCGGCCAGCTCATTCATTCAGCAGCCCGCCTCGTTGTGCATATACAACAAAACTGCATTTCCGGATATGTATGCTGGCAGAGGGAGGATTGTATGTATGTGTATGTTTATGGGTGTGTAGAGAGAGAGATAGAACACGATGATAATGCTCGCAATATCGAATACGGCATAGCTCGGTAGTTATGTCCGTTCCTTCTACATACTTAGGTAAACGGCCCCTCTTCGCTCTGGGCCATAAGGATCGTGAGTTGTTTGGCAGAGCGAGACGGCACGCGTCCACGTTTACCTACCTGCCTGCCTACCTACATCCTACATACACTTTTAACAACTCACAAATGACGAACACAAACGGTCCTCGGCGGAGGACGAGATATGATTCCGCAGCGTGTGGTCCTCGAGGTCCACGGATGCGCGTTTACGAACTCACGATACCCACCTCCCCGCCATTGACAAGACAAGGCAGGGCAGGGCGAGGGCAAAGCCGTGGGCGACATGTCTTTGGGGCCGATGTACGTGACATGCATGGAATGGATGTTATGCGCGGAATCACGTGTCCCGGCATTGAGCCCTTCCCATTCTACATACCTACCTAATACTAGTACTACTTACACTGGGTAGTATGTTAGGTATGGATCGGCCGGTTCGGGACTATATTGGGATCACACAACCTAGCAGCCCTAGGTTTGCTGCATGTCCGCCCGAAAAGGTGCGGTCAAGGGTGGCAAAAACGGGTGACTCTATAGATAAAGTGAGCTAACCTAGGTAAGTACGAATACCTAGATCAAGAATGTATGTATAGTCTCGTGGTGGAAGCATACCTAATACTGTACAATACATACATACCTACACTTCCAGGTACATATCAAATGAAGACACGCAAACGCGATTGAGGGACGTAGGATGCCTTTATGTGGATTTGACGATGCTGTTCAAATCACATCCGATCTGATGGGAGAAACACATCATTTTGTATGGGGGGTTAACGGAGACCCGTTGTCCCCAAACAACTACGAGATTTGGTAAGACGTGTGCATCTCGTGTCATGGGACCTGTCAGCGTGTCAATGAGATCAATCTCTTTAGCTTCCCTCTATCTTTCTTTCTTACCCACCCACAGCCCAATTGTCGCCGACGGAATGGCTTCGAAGAAGTGGTGCATGCTATATGGGTGACATTGGGTGTGTTTAGGTAGTTATGTATTATACTGTATTACTATTAAAGGAAGCCTCGGGAAGCCAAGGAATTCATGCGCCAACCCGTTGGTCAATTGAAACGAAAATTTTACCGTCCAAGGGGGACCAGTCAAGTGACAGTCCCATTGTTCTGTGCAAATCGCTTCCCACTTTTTAAGTGCCCGCAATGCTCCGTTTGGCTTGAGCAGAATCGTCGTGAGGTTGTAGCGGTGAAGAGAGGCGGTGATGCCGCTCTCGGTGGATTCCAAGTTTTTGTGTAGGTAGGTAGGCATGTAGGAATTCCAGTGGGATCTGTTGTGGGATGATGCATATGAGAAAAATCCGCCGCAAAGGACATAGGACAATGAACAACCACTACCCATCTGCTCATTCAGATGTAAAGGGGGGGAGAGGAGGGGGAAGGGCTTGGGATGGGGGGTAAACAGCTCAGAAACGGGAGACTTGGGAGTGTCGATAGAAGCACATTAGCTGCCGAACGCGACTGGGCAATGCGCGGGTGTTGCGGGAAGCAGGGGGGGTTGGCGGCAGGATACAGTGGGTAGGCGTAGGTAGGCGTAGGTAGGCATTTCGGTTCGGAATTTTATAGCGACGAGTCAAGGACATGGAGAACATGGTTGCGAAATGTGCAGCAGATGCAGCCGATGCATCTGGCATGCCTTAGCCTTAGTAGCGACCACTTTCAGATGGGTCCGACGACGTGGAAGAATGGCGTCGTGCTGCTGTACAAGGGAGCTAATCGGCGCATAGCTGCCCATCCGTCATGTACTAGGTATCAATAACTACCTAGATTTTCCTATTGCAGCCGAAAAGGGCCAAACCCGGAGTCCCCAGACAGAAAGGGGGGGGGGGAGAAGGGGGGAGATCATCGTGGCATTGATTGATAAAAAGCCACCCCCTTCTACGCGTGATCGAAAGGGATTTTTCTTTTCATAACAAAACAAAATAACTGAATATCAAGCACACCTACATACCAACTAGATGTAGTACAGTTGTAACCTCGATAATAGTAGTAATCTCCGTATCGCGTTTGAATAGGTACCTACCCATTCATCTTCAGGTACGCGGTAGCAATAATACTTTTGGTGTAGCTGTTACGCAACATCTAAAATGCAGTAAGATGGTCATTATGCAGGGAGGCTGTGATTTTTGTTCCCTCTCATTTCTTCTCTTTCCTCCTCTCCAACAAAACATTTTCATTTGCCTATTCGTAGATGGTTAGCCATGTCGTACGCGTCCTCGTCACCCTCAGCTCTTCTGGGCAACCAATTCGGAGGCGATAAGAATATCATGAGCTGCAGGGGCCGGATACACAAGATATCAACGATCAATGAGTTTCTTAGGCTGAACAAACAAAACTGGACTGTTCAGATAAAAGAATCGATGAATCGATGAATCGAACTGATCAAATCGACTGGCCCCGTTTGGACCCTGCGTCGGTACCAAGGCTCGACATGCGCAACCGAGCGATTTGCATACAACAATACTATCCCACCTGTCATACTATTCACACCTCTCTATGCAACCTCACTGCATGATTTTACTTGCCTGCGTATTTATTTCTCTCGCTCCTGGTACTGCTCATATCCAGATCCCTCAAGAATTAGTATCTTTAAGTACATGTAGTTCTCAGCCTCCCGCTTCTTTTCCTCGGCTTCTCAACTCGATCCTTCGATCCTGTTTGCTACCAAGACTGTGGGTGGGATACAGGCTACAAGCCTTAGTACAAGGTAGGTAGATGTATGTAGAGCTCCGCCCGAGCCAGTCCATGATAATCAGAATTGGAGTAGCAATGTAGCATACATGTAAATGAAATACATGTATTGAATGTCTTCAACATGTAATTAGGTATTATGTAGTTACTGGTATGTAGTTTAAGAGATTATCTGGGACTATCGCGGTATGAAGGCCTGAAGTGGATAAGAAGAAGAAAAAAAAGAAAAGAGAAAAAAGAAAAAGGAAAAAGAAATATAGCTGCTAACTAACTATCATGGTGTTGTACTTACATATCTAGGTTAAGGTAGGGTAGTACCATTATCAGGTCTGGTGACACACCATTATGATATGTATGTATTGTACCTACGGTAGGGTATGTACTATGTAGTTCAATGTTATCAAGTCGAGGCTGCAGGGGTGTTGCAGTAAAACAATGTGGATACGTCACATCAGTAGTTGGCCCAATGATGTTAATACCCAGCCATCCTACAAACACTGATTCCTCCCCTCTATTTGCTCTCTAATACCTGGGTCCTGGACAAGTAGCCTAGCAAGTGGTCTTCCTATCCACACCTTTCACCCTCCCAGAGCTGATTCAACCACTCAGATTCATGAGAACGGTTTACTACTGCAAAGTAATTCATTGTTAGGTCGCATCCAATACTAGATATGTAGTACATACTTACATAATAGGGCCAGTAAAGTAAGTCCCCTCCCGTTTGTTCATTTGCGACTTTGTGTACTTTTCGTACTTTTCGTACTTTTTGCTACCAATTCACTGCCAGAAGTGACTTCGAGTGTTTGTGTTCATCGCGTTACTTTCAATGTTCCCAGCATTGAAGCAAGCAAGTTGCGTAACAAAAAACGGATAACTCGTCTATCAGAGAGACGAAAGACAGACACACTCAGAGACAGACAGAGAGAGGGACCAGAGGGTGTGTGTGTGTCTCCATCTGTTTGGATGTATAGAGACAGTCTGTCTGGTCATAGATTCACCGCGGTATAGACCAATCAATTAACGGCACCTTTTTCTTCTTATTTTCTTACACACCTTGGACATTTTGTAGCGCCATATCACAACATCATTGGTGCTTATACCTTCTTGGTATTGTACCACGTTATTGTATTGTTCAATACAATACAATACAATACCTCCACCACCTACATGCTACCTACCTACTACCTACCTACCACCTACATCTACTACTACATACTTACTTACCCCCTTGCTTATCATACCTATTTCCTTTTTTGCTGACAACAATCCTTAGCTTCCTTCTCCGGGACAAAACAAGGCTGAACCGGGTAGCAGACGAGCGTAATTAGGACTACAACAGTACCTATCTAGCCACCAAGTAGGAAACTCGGAACTTCAACACTTAGTACCGCGTTGCCATCCATCATTGCGCCGTGTAAGTTGATGGTCACTTTAGAGGGTGCATCGTCTTCGAAGTCTCCCTCCTCCTTCTCCCTAAACTCGACTCAACTCACCAAAATCTCTCCACTAGATAGGTACCTATATTTATAGACATTTCACCCTCAAGGCTATAGGAATATACACGTCGAAAACTTGGCCCCCCCTTCCTCAAAAACATTATCAATTGCTGAACTAATAGCCTAGCGCTCGAACTATTCTTACCTGTTGATCGGTTTGTCGAGGACGACAACTTAGCGTCCATGGTTTTCTCATTTGATTGCGACCAGTCGAGCCTCTAATCTCAATATGGCTGCGGCTACAGATAAGGGATCGTGCGCAAGCGCGACGAGGTCCGATTTTGGCTGGCCAGAGACTCGGCCTTCTCTCGCAACGACATCTCCTCAATGGGATGAATTAGACTTACAAATTCAGTTAGGACTCATTGCAAGACTATGGATCTTGACAGCACCAACGCTGTTAACGGTATGTGCTCTAGATCCTTCTTGCATATTTGTTTTCTCCCCTTCTCGTAACTATGGCGTCGCCGATGCCATGAACTAGCTCGGCTTATTGTATTACGGTGTATTGTTGGCTCATTCCGACGATAATGGCTTAGGTCCATTTATTCCGCTGTGGAAATTGTCGAAACTTCAAACTGATCACTGACGTAAATTAGGAGAAGCCTAGTTGTTCTGGCCGTAGGTTCCGCCGACACGTCACATTCAATCCGCTAGTCCTCCCCGATCCTACCCCGAAACGATCACGAAAACTGTTGAAGCCATGCGATGACATACCTCCCCCCCTCGAAGTCCTAGCCGATCCCAGTCGAGCCGACGAGACTGCTCGCCAAAGGGACTGTTTAGACGCAGTAAATGGTTGTCTACCTCCACTACCAAATGATTCCCAGCGATGTCGAAAACGACAAAAAGATTCATTGCTTGATGACTCGACAACGCAGTCCTATTTGGACCTGTGGTCCGAAGAAGGTTTCGTGCAGCATGCTAAGAAAAAGAAGTCGAAACAACAACCTCTAAGTCTTCGGGAACTACAATCAAATAGTGGTAACACACAAGGGGGTGGAGGTGACGATCGTGACGGCGACCAAAACGGCAATGACGGGAAAACGGGTGGGGATGCCGGTGGGGATGGCAATAACAATGGTGATGATAAGGATAAGGACAAAAAGAAGGCAAACGAAGAGAAAGAGAAGCAGAGGGCCGAGGAGAAGGAGAGGGAGGAAAAGGAGAGAGAGGCAAAGGAGAGAGAGGCAAAGGAGAGAGAGGAAAAAGAAAAGGAGGAAAAGGAAAGGGAGAGAGAGGAGAAGGAGAGAGAGGAAAAGGAAAAAGAGGAAAAGGAAAAGGAGGAGAGGGAAAGGGAGAGGGAGAGGGAGAAGCAGAGAAAAAAGGAAAGCATAGGCGGCAGCAGAGTTGAGGACCTAAGGGCGGCATTTGAAACTGGGGGCAAAAAAAAGAAGAAGACCAAAGCCCAGGTCGATGAAAAAATAGAGGAGGAGAAGATTGAACCATCGAAAGTGGAGAACGCGAAAAAGTTCGACACATTCGATGACATTCAGGTCAATGACAACGCACCGTCAATCAGTGTCAATGCCGGCGGCAGTTCACCAGAAAGCAAACCCAACCTTTTTGGCATCTTCACGAGCTGGATGGGAGGAAGGGAAGGTAACCGATCCAAAGACAATATGCCAAAAGAAAAAGAACAGAAGAAGGATTTGCTCGAAGTCAACCCCTGGGAAAGTGATCAATCCAAGTCTAGGAAAAACGATCAAGGCTCGCATATCAGTGCCCTAGACATTGACGATGCCAAGCGTGAGGAATCGGCTGTCCGCCCCGAAAAGGAGGAGGATAACCTCGGCCTGGGCTTTACTGCGACTAGTAAGGACAAAAAGAAGAAGAAGAAGAAGGATGAACTCTTACCCGTAAGCCAAAATCTTACTTCGCATTCGACGGATACTTGGGAGCCCTGGGGATTAAGTAAGACTAATGGCAAAAAGGTTACTACGTCCGAAACCCACACCCCTGAGGCAGTAAATGAACCTGTGGCAACGAAGGACAATGTGTGGGCCGATTCCTTGACCTCGGGCTCCAAGAAGAGCAAGAAGGGCGTTCTAGAAGCCAAAGAATCTCTAGACAACAACAAAGTAGAAAAGCAATCTCGTCTGTCACCTGAGCCCGAAAAAACAGAGAATATTGTAGGCTCCACCACCACTTCGAAAAAGGATAAGGAGAAGAAAGGGAAAGTGTCGGTGACGGAGGCAGAAGCAAATGAAAGACAAGCCGTCGCAAAGGCACCAGAGGTCGAAACTGACACTATCGATGATCTTGGTAAAAAGAAAAAGAAAAAGAAAAGCAAGAACGCCGAACATGAACTCGAAACAGAGCCGGATTTCGAGGCGGATACGGCCATTCCTGCCGAGATAGACAACGCAGATGAAGGCTGGTCAAGCAGTTGGAACACGACTACAGTCAAGAAGAAGGGCAAGAAGAGTAAGGGTACCGAGGAAATGAACCCTGAGGCTGAGGCCGATGTTCCAATGGAGCCTGAGAAGAAAGGCGAGGTCGCTAGCATCTGGGGCATCGCGAAGAAGGACAAGAAAAAGAAGGGTGTCGTCGAGGAAACGAAACTTCCTGCTCCTCCGGCACCCGATCCCGACCCTCCTGTTCTGTCCGAGTCTGCGGAAGCAGAAGTGGATGACTTATTTATTAGCACATCTACGAAAAAAAAGAAGAATAAGAAGGACGCCATCGCCAAGGAGTCCGAACACGAGGGGCCTGACCCGGGACATAAAACAGAGCCTGTGCAAGAGCCCGATCCGGAAAGCAAAACCACCGATGGAAAGAAGGACAGGAAGAAGAAAAAGAAAGGAATTGTCGAAGGTCCTCCCAAAGTGCTCAACCCCTTATCAGACCCAGATCTAGAAAGGGAAGAATCTTTGGAAGGCGGTCGGGCGAATGCCAGTGCTTCTTCCAAGGAGAAGAAGAGAAAGAAGAATAGCATTTTGGAGCAGGTTGCTTTGAAGGAATCCCAAGCTGGATCAGTGTCGGAGACGTCTGCTCACAATGATGATGATTATTTGAGTATCGGTAGCAAGGACGACAAGAAACATAATAGCCCGGACGCCACTGAGGGGTTTTTAGAGAGAAAGCAACTTGGCCTGTCGCCACCCAAGTTGAGTTCACAAGAGTCGACTAGTGCTGCCTGGGGCTTCTGGGGAGCCACCAAAAACATCACTAAAAAATTCAAAGAAGAGCCTCAGCCAGCTGAAGTCGAGGAGGGTTGGCTACCTTGGCAGAAGAGAAAGACCAGAACCTCAACTGAACTCAAGGATTCGGACAAGCAAGAGTTTTCCCCAGCCGGTTCCAAAGCCCCCGGCGCCGGAGAAGACGACTTCTGGGGGAATCTGAGTTCTGGAAGTGCAAACCAGACCGAAGGTAATCTGATGCCAGATTCAATCGAGGAGCCCAAAAATGACGATCGTCGGGGTCTTAGTTGCAATTCTAAGAAGGATAAGAAAAAAGGAAACAAGAACTTCTTAGTGGAGGTCGAAAATGGCTCTTATGTTAATGGAACGAAACCCGACTCGGTTGAAGAGAGCAGAGATCACAAGGACGACGAGCTCGACTGGAACTGGGCAGATATAGAAAAAGCTAAGAAGTCATCTCTACCATCAGCACCTATGCCACCTTCGATCAATTTGAGCTTGGATGGTCAAGAACCCGAAGAAGATATATGGGGCAACACGAAGGAAGAAGAAGACGATAAAGCCGCCGCCGACGCGCTTGCTGCCGAAATTGCTCAGGAGGAGGAGGAGAGAGCCGTGCTTCTGAAGAAGAACAAACTTAAAAGGTCAGAAAAGGTCAGATTAGCAGAGCTGAACGACAAGTATGAGCGTCGCCTGGAAGAGAATGCAGCCAAGGAAGCGGCAGAAGCGGCTCAACGTGAAGCTGAGAGGGCGGAGGCGGAGGCTTTAGAAGCTCAAGAAAAGGCCGCAGCTGAAGCGCAGGAGGCTGAGGCTCGGGAGGCTGAACAGAAAGCCGCCGCCGAAGAACTTGCCAGAGAAATCGCCGGCGAGGAGAAAGAGTTGCACGCGCTGGCGAGGAAAGTAAAGAAGAAGAAGCTATCTAAGTCAGACCAGAAGCGGTTCAATGAGCTCACCAACAAGGCTCAAGCTCGCGCCGACGAGCAAGCGGCAAAGGAAATTGAGGAACAGGATGCCGCCGCCGAAGACCAGGCTGCACAAGAAGCTGAGGAACAGGTAGACATGGAGGTTGATGACCAAGCAGCTGATGAAGCCGAAGAGGCGCCACAAGAAGCCACCGCAGAGGAAGAAGCTGCCTCGGACGTTGATGAACAAGCTGTTCGTGATGAGGAAGAAGCAAAGCGCGAACGAGAAGAGGCCGAGGCAGCAGCAGCTAAGAAGTCGAAGAAGAGCTTGAAATCGGAAGAAAAGAAGTCAAAGAAGGAGCGGAAGGAGGAGGAGAAAAAGGAGAAGAGGGAGAGGGAGAGGGAGAGAGAGAGGGAGAAGGAGAGAGAGAAGGAAAAAGAAAAGGAAAAGAAGAAGAAAAAGGGTAAGGAAAAGGAAAGGGGAAAGGAGAAAGAAAAGCAGGCAGAGGAGAGAAAGGAGGAGGAAGGGGAAGAGGAAGAGGAGGGAGAGGATGAAAACCAAGAGGAGCTGAAGGAAAAGAAGGAAACTCACGATGACGACGAACTAGACCTCGACAATATGGATCTAGCCCCTGAATTGGTTGATGAGATCTTGTCAGGCTATTCGCCTCCTGAGCCTCAGCGCAAAAAGGCCCAGGGCTTTTCATTCTGGAACACCAGGGCCAAGAGCCCGGTTCCTGAACCGGTAAGTGAACAACGAATATCTGGGGTGATCAAATTTAAGCATGCTAAATCATTGAAGGTTGTCGAAGAGCCCGTTGTCGAAGAGCCCGTTGTCGAAGAGCCCGTTGTCGAAGATCCCGTTGTCGAAGACGCGCCGTCATCCTCCAAGGCTATTACAGACGATGATCGGATGAAGCCGAAGAAAACGAAAACCAAGGTCAAGAGCAGTAAGCTTGCTGAAAGGCTCAAGAAATTTGAGCCGGCGCACGAGGAAGATGACGATATTAACTTGATGAACGCGCTCGCGCCGCCGCCGCCACCGCCTCCCGCACCCATTGAAGATGACGACGACAAGTACGAGTCCTCCAAAGAGATGCTTCCCGGGGCCTTCCCCGATGATAACCAGGATGAGATAATTGGCATTGTTGATATAGCGCCTGTAGAAAAGAAGAAGAAGAAGAGCAGCAAAAGGAATAAAGGCAAGGCTGCAGAGGTACCTCCTCCTCCACCCGAAGTCCCCATGCCGCCTCCGCCGCCTCCAGAAGCCCCTGTTCCTCCTGCGGCTGTATTGGAGGAACCCATAACGCCACCGCCCGAAACCAAGTCCTCCAGAAAAGATCGACCAAGGATCAACCGTGATGGAAGTGGATCGTGGGGAGTGTGGTCGGCGACGCCTCATAGGGAGGAGAAGAGGCCTAAACTAAGGTCTGAGGAGAAGAGTCACAGGAGAGAAAGAGAGGGAAAGTCATCATCTTCTAAAGGTTCCTCATCCGACAGGGATAGGATAGATGAGCGCCGAGAGAGGAAATCAGCGCTGGCCCCTAAACCGCGAAAGGAGAGCGTATTCCAAAGCACTCCTCCTATTTCACGTTCTATGTCAACTCGTGAGAAGCGACACAGTACGAACAGAACCAGTTCTCGCCGATATTCGGTCGATATGGAAAATGGTCTGGCGTCTCCACCGCCAGAAGAAGCGCCTACAATGTCCTCTAAAGCTGCAAAGGTTCTCGGTGTTGACAAGAGTCGGAGTCGTAAGAGTTCTGCACGCCCTTCAAACGACGAGGACTTCATGATGCACACAGCGGTCGACAGTCCTCCGAGTCCGGAGAAATCCTCTCGCAAGCGTTCAAAAGTAGATACACGCCTCCACGTGCAATTTGTACTCGCTAACACCGAACAGGCCAAGATAGAGCATGATGATATGGACATGATGGATGGAGAATACCCCCCCAGTTTGACGCCCCTTAAACGATCAAACTCAGGTGCGAAAAAGGGGCTGGCGGGTCTCTTTGGGGGCCTTAAGTCTGCTCCACGACCGGAAGTGCGTCCAGAAGTGCGTCCAGAACCCCGTCGTCGCAACACATATTACACTACAGATGATGAGTTCAAGCCTGATAAAAGGGCCAAACGAGCTTCCCGAGACTATCATGGCATGGATACCGAGATTGTGGATGAAGATAGAGAAGCCCGCCGTGCTGCTCGCCGTGCGAGAAGGGCTGAGGAAAAGGCTGCCGAGGAGGCCCACTTCGCGAGAGAGGAAGCAAGACGCGAACGTCACAGAAGACGGGAGGAGGAGGAAGCTGAAGCTCGCAGGCAAGCTGAACGCGAGACTCGGCGGGCGGAACGCCGCGCTGCCAAAGAACGCGAGGCAGAGCAGCGTGCGATTGAAGCCAAGGAAGCTGAAAGAGCTGAGCGACGTCGACTTCGCAAACTGGAAAAGGAAGCCGAAGAGGCTGAAGCCGAGGCTCGACGCGCTGCTCGAGGCGATCGACGACGTTCACGGTATATTGACCCTCCTGAAGATGAGGAGGAGCGTAGACGGAGAAGGCATGAAGCTAGACGCGCCGAAGAACGGCCTGAAAGGCCTGACCGGAGACGGTCGATGCCAGCTGATAATTATGTCTACCCTCCAGAGAGAAGCTCACGATATGCTGTAGATGAGCAAAGGGTAGATGGACACAGACGAACCAAGACCACTGCCTGGCCCCATTCGGGGACAGATTCATGGGTGAAGGAGCATTCAGATGCCGGCCCGCCCCCACATGACGGTCGCATTCATGAGGCTCCTCCTCCGCCAGAAGATGACGAGGAGGCTCGCCGTGCCGCGCGCCGTGCCCGCCGTCGTGCGAAGTATGGCGATGTTGATGCGGACATGGAAGAGGATCGAAGACGCCGTCACGCACGTCGCGAAGAGCGGGACCGTAGAGAACGTCGTGAGGAGAAAGACCGAAAAGACCGTGGAGATCGCCGTGTAGGCGGTTCCGATGGCAGCGGTGGTGGGCCGCGCGAGTCCTTCTTCACGGATACCACACCTCGGAGCAGCTGGTGGAGAAAGCTCACTGGCGGGGCCTAATCAATCGGCTTTCTTTGATTGAGAAATTCCTGGGTTATGTTCAGTAAGCGGCTTGCTTCGTCGCGAATCCAATCTTCGCTTTTGTACAATGCTATTTTTGGGGAGCTCGGTTTTTGTGGTATCATTCAACTCGTACCCCTGAGAGAAAAAAAAAAGGAACCAAAACGAAAACATTGAAAAAAAAAAAAAAGGAAAGGGGAGAGAAAGCTACCAAGATAGTTTGGCATCAATGAAGGTGAGGTATTATCGTCGATACCTTACCCCTCTTGTTGTGTTTGTATATGTCTTGGGGGGTCGCGAACTTGAACTTCTCTCGTTACATCAAACGGCATTGTATAAGTGGTTGGGTTATCTCTCTTTTGGTGTGTGTGTGTATGTGTGTGTGCACGAGTGACGTGGCAAGGCTGAGCGGGATGGAAAGCAAAGCAAGCAAATCAAATTGGGAATTAGGACGAGTTGGTATGCAATGTAGACGACGCCGACGTTACCCGATTGGATGACTTTTATATGATATACATATCGATCATGTTTTAGGGGGGGTTACAGCAGCTTGGACAAGTAATTGTACGAAGGAGTTTTCTTTTTTTTTTTTTTTTGGCCTTGATATTATTTTGCTATTGCTTTTATTTTCTCTTATTCATCACTTCCTTTTTTCTTCTTTTTGTTGGATCGAAGCGATGCACAGTTATTGATATCAGAGTATACCCCCCATCACCCCTTTTTCTCCTTTCACACACATACCTCTAATAACCCAGGTACCTACTATTCTACAAACAAGATGATCACTTTACGACTCAAGATTGACCGGCACGGGTCTAGGCATCTATCTATACAGGTAGAGGCCTAGCTTGGGAAGGTAGTCTCGGTCTGCATGGTATTATTTATTCATTCAGTATTAGTATTAGGATTAGTATTAGTATTTAGCATAGCACGGCATAGCATAGCGTCATTCGTTCACATCAATGAAGAGAGAAACTGAATTGCAATGGAATCATCGAAAAGCTCCACTTGACTTAAATTGTGTGTGTATGTGTGTTATTTTCTTTGCGTGAATGGTGAGTTAAAGATAAATGAGAGAGAGGAGCACGTAGTTTATGGTGTGGTCAGGCATCTGTAACCTGGGTAGGTAGGTATATAAGATTGCCCCTTAAGCAGGTAGCCGCGCTCAAACTACCCAAGTAGGTATCCCGTTTGTGCGGGGATGTTAGATATGTATGAGCTACCTATGCTAGGTACATATATGTAGGCTGTGAGGATGCCTACATGTAAGTGCTTACATGATAGTAGGTAGGTTATCTATCTAACCTAGTTGAATAGTTATCATGTATCAAGAACAGATTGGCATAGGTAATGTAGGTGTACGAAGGAAGGTAATAGCTATGTGCATATTTTAAGCCTCAAAATTGACATGTAGGTAGGTATTTTCTTTTTTGGCTGACAGGCAGTTTTCTGTATCTGTGTCACGGTTTCAACTCTCCAATCTAGGTAGGTACGTAGGTGTAGAGCTCGTGGGATAGGGATATTTCATAACTATCTGCGCGCGCGAAAGTACCTAGGTAGGTAGGTAGGTAGGTAGATATGTAGCAGTAGACAATCATCTCGGTCTCCAAACGGAGACTTGCTAATCCCCCGGCATCATCTCTCCGTTCTCTCTCTCATTCTCTAGCATCACCCATCTTAATAATAGTCATCCATCCATCCATCCATCCATCCACATCCAACGATGACTTCTACGTCTGAATACCTACCTACCTACCTAGGTACCCAGAAAGAAACCAAGACAAAATATAACCTTGCAACCAAACCCCTATTAGGTATGTGCCTACCCATCCCCTTTCCTCACATAACAGAAAAATCCCATCAAGTTGCAATCAAGTCTAACAAACAACATTGAACATAGCAAACACACATGATGATCAGTAAGTCATTCCACCCTCTTTTCTCCTTTCTCTTCTCTCTCTTTTTTTTTTTCTTTTGGCTTTTTGACCCTTTTACCCCTTTACATATGTGCCTCTATCTATCACCCCTGGGTCAGCGTTCAAAATTGTACAATACTACTAGATAGGTACCTAAACCTAGTCAACCAGCCGGCCTTATCTATATATGTATCATGGATGGTAGATAGCCATCCTCTACGATCACGGCACTTACCCCTATCATTCACTACTAAAACACAATATAGGCCATTACCTTAGGTTAGGTAGGTAGGTAGGTAAGTATTATATGTAACGTAGGCACATAAACACACTCATCCAACTATGTACCAAAGACTGCTTCACCTATTGATGTCACCTACGTGCCCGCTACAGGTCATCAAAGAACTTTTCTCTTAAGCACACAGGTAGGCACCTGACCTAGAAAGATATCAAGTCTGGCTATGCGCAACGGTTCAGTTTTGTTACAGTTTTTTCTTTTCTGCTCTACTACCTTCTACCTTACTACCTACTACTTTACTTAATAAGTTTCCTCTTCCTCATCCTTCCCCCCTTCCCCCCCCCTTTCTCCCTCCCTTCCTCTCTTATCACCCCCTACTCCTAAACCCAAACCCTAAACCCTGAATCCCCTATCCCTTATTCCCATTAACCATCTCCACAACCTTTAGCCTTCTTCGTTTTCGCATACATAACTATGTATGTATGCGTGCTTGCATTTGCATCTGAATATGCAGATGCGATTGCCTATCATACAGAGCTGGATGACTCCTCCCTTCCTACCTACCTACCTACACTTGATTAAGCAGACAAAGCCCCCCCCCCCCCCCCTCCCCAGTTTGCGCCCCAAACAGCTTTTGCATATACGCGTTATGCGATGCGTGTGCCCGTATCGGTTTTCTTTTGATGAAAGCCGTAATAGTTTGTCTTGTTGTGTGTTTGGGTGCTTTGGCCTGGCCAGGCTGGCACGCGCGACAGCCAGGAACGTACATGTAACCTAAACCTATCCTATCCAGTATCATAAAGGACAAAGGGGCCAATAAAAAAACAAATACAAATACAAAGCAAATACATAACAAGTAGCAGGATAAGATACAGAGGGAATCTTGGAAACTCTCCTCAAGCAAAGAGCCTATCCATCCCAACTATCCTCACGATATTGGCCTCCCTGTTTCCCCCAGTACCCACCACTGAAGTGGAAAAGAAAGGAAGGAAAGGAAAAAACGCCGCCTTGAGTAGCGTGATTATGACGATAGATAATACGCATAGAGTCCCAATTATGCCCTTGTCCGTGTCCGTGACTGTAGAGAATCGCCTCTCGAATGCCGTGTCTTGAGATGTAACAGTGATTTCGAAGAACTTATATCTGAACCCACCTTGTGATTTGTTTGGTTTCCAGAGGGAAGCTTCCAAAAGGTACACGCTAGAGCTATTGGCGAGCGGCCATTGTAGCGATTAGGGTGTTATCTCCCACGTGTGGCTCTGCTCGGCTGCTCGCAGGACGTCCGTATCCACTGCGAATTCATTCAACCAACCTTCCATCCATGACTGTTTAAAGAAACAACCTTGCCAGACCGGAACTAAGTCATGATGATTATCCTCTTCGTAGCGCATTGCAGGAGGGGCAGATTTATATAGGAAGATGACTTTTGGCCCCATTCAAGCCTGTGACGTGGGAGCCTATGCCTGGTTGGTTGGGATGGGTAGAGACGCGGATTCGAGGATAGTTTTAGGTTGAAATATAATCTAGGTAGAGTGTGGTGTGAGGTGATCGAGCTGCGACTGATATACCTTACTCTTGATCGGTGCTAGCCACTCCATCGTCACTATCGGTGAGATCACCGAACTTGGCCTTGTAGCGCTCGAGCTCAGCCAGCTGGATAGCAAGATTATCAAGAACAACAGCCATTGGTGTTCGAAGATCATCTAATGAGGTGATCTGGCCACCTCCCATAGCGATATGTCGCATCGAGAGTGTAGATATGCAAGTCTACGAAGAGTTAGTGGATATAATGAACAATTAGCAATTTGTCATGTCGAAGGAAACATACCTCTATGCGGCTGACTTGGTGCTCCATGAAGTTGAACAGGAATCGTTCTGTGACTTCCCCGCCACGTTGCCTCATGCGCTCCAACAACTCGGTCTCTGGAGGTTGCAGGCCTCTACCAGACATCTCTTCCAGAGAACTGCACAGCATCTCCAAGCGTAAACTAACGTTCCATAGAGACCAAATGATCTCTGGATCCATGCCAAGATCATTTCCGCCTTGTACTGTCGCGGGCTTCTCGGCAAGCTCAGCCGCTACACCACTGTTATGATGTTCGATACGGCCGGCAAGGACGTGGGGGTACAGTGAATAGATATACTCTGGATTTTCAAGGCCTTTGAGCTTTCTCTCGCCCATCTCCTTAACCTCAAATCCTTGAGAGCTAAGTGATTTCAATTCCCTTCTAATGGACGACGACGTGACATCATCGTCAAATGTATCATCGGAACCCCTAGATCCGGCTCGATCATTTTCTTGATATGTCTCGAGGCAACGTTGAATCTCCGAGATGAAGTCTGCAGAGACAGTGATTTGACCTCCGTCAGCGACCGAAGAGATACGAGACGCCTTGTTCACCATTGGACCAAAGTAATCCATACGACGTGTAACGGGGTCGATCTCGGCCACCGGTTCACCGTAGTGAATACCCATTCGGACAGATAAACCTCGGAAGATAAGATTATTTTCCTTGTCGTATACTTCCTGGCAGGAAACCGAATTGAGAATTTCCGAAGGCCAATTCACGTCGAGTAGATGGGTCTGAACGGCGAAGCACCACAATAGAGCGGAGGTGGCTGTAGGAAAAGATACCATGAAAGCATCACCTTCAGTCTTGACTTCGTATCCACCAATTCTCCGAAGCTGCCGTCGCATAACCTCATTGTGAAGTTTTATCGCGGATCTCATGGCCGAGGGATACGTCTCCCACAGATTGGTTGAATTTTTGATATCAGTGAAAACAATAGAAGGCTTCTCTGTAGGAGCAGGGACCTCGGGATCAAGCCTGTGTAGGGTGGAGTCTTGGACCTCGCCCTTGGGTTTTCTTCCTCGCTTGGCCGGGTATTGGAAGTCGTCTGGGACGCCCGACGGATAGAGCGACATGCTTTGCCCTCTATGCAAGCGTGCTGATCGTTCCTGGCGTCGCTTTAGGTCAGCGACGCTGATCATCATGATCATGATTTTCCCGGTTGCCCCATATGCGATGGCAAGATCTCGTAGCTTGTGCGCGGCGCGCATAAGATCTCCTCGTTCCGATCGAGTTACGTCGACCACTAGACCAGGTGTCAAATATTGCCACAATTCTTTCGTGGCAATTAAAATCGTTTCATCCTGCGGCGTTATGGATATTTGTGTGATATGCGGAGCTGCTTGTACGGCTGGCATCAAGTCAACGTAGCCGAAAGCGCGAGACACTCCAAGCAAATCATTCAGTTTTCCTTGGCGTGACACCCAACCTCCGGCATCCCGAATTCGTTGACGCTCGCTTGGCTCTGCTGGATCGTGTTTCCATGTGAGAATCTTATGTGAGCCATCGGACTGGATAAGCATCGCTTGTGCGTCGCCGACATTGGCTACATATAACTCTTGAGATTGAAGGTACGCGACCGTGGCAACTCCTCCAGAGTTTAGATCCTCCTTACTGAGGACTACCGGTGTTGAGGAGCCACGATGAGATGACAATGACCTCTTCTCCGAGTGCTCAATGGCTACGGTAACAAGGTCCTTGTTAAGAGCTAAGAATGCACGCCGCAATGCGTCAACGGGACTTTCGTTTTGGCGAGTCTTTAAAGCCTTCAGTTCCATCGTAAAAATGTGCCCAAAGTTCTCATGGAGATATTTGGCAACCTTAGAGCCACCACTCGAGAGATCCTGGCCGTCAAACAAGCCCAACAGTGTCTCCGAATCAGACGAGTTGAACCTTGGGACGACTAGGTCAATGGTTGAAAGGTGTTCGTTCCTACCTAGCGTATCGGCCATACCGTATGGTAAATGACCTGCTAGCGAGCCAGAAGTTCTAACACGGCGGTCCTCGCTTTGATCAGGAATGCTTGGTTGAGTGAGGGTGACGTCCATCAAACCAAGCACGCGGAGATTAAGCAATCGACTGAAATCAGTGTACTGCTCACGACTCTGGGACCCTATGCCAAGATTTGTCTGTTTGATCTCCAATCGTTTGTTTCCTGACAAATTGAGGAAACGCAAATTAGGATTCAGATTCCAATTCCAATCGTATGGCACGTTTGAGATGTTATATTTGAGAGAATTGTTTCCGCAATCCAAGACTGCTAGCTTCTTCGCCCGAGAGATATCGGCCGGGAGATTCGTGAATTTGTTGTTGTTGATGTGAAGTACCTGAAGCAAGCTATACTCCTCCAGGTCATCCACCGGCAAGCTGGTGAGGTCATTGCCTGACAGATAAAGCTCAACCAGCTGAGCCCAGCCCTTAATGCAGCGCTGTGGCATGTCACTGAGGTCGTTGTACGACAAATTGAGAATGCGCAACTCGGTAAGGAGCGTAATTTGATCGAACACGTCATCGTCGAGCTGGTTATCAGCAAGATAGAGGTTTCTTAGCGAGCTAACAAACGTGTTAGTCAGTCGATTGGAAAGCCCAGAGTCTTTCCTAGACGCCGCGGAAGGGGTTACGGTTCCAGTTCCGATTCCAGATCCAGTACCATTAACGCTACTGGCTGTTGTGGTTCGTGAAACGACCGAAGTTTTTCGTCCTCCTTTTCCGTAGACTGAAACAACAGAGCTTTTCCGGTCTGGCCCGGAAGGAACAGGAGAAGGACCGACGCTGAGCAATGTGCTTGAAGCCTGGCTAGGCCGACGCGATCCATCTGGCATCAATTCCTCAGCGCTGGATGCTTGAGATAAAGGCCCAGTTGGCGTTTTGTTGTTGTTATTATTGCTATTGTTGTTGGTGTTGGGGAGTGACGGGGTTGGAGAATCCCCTGGCATTTGAGGTGCACGAGAGGCGGGTTTAGGAAAGAACTCAAGGACATTCGAGGAGGCGTTGAGCGTCTCTAGTTTGTGTGCCCACCATATTTCCATTGGCAATTTCCTAATATTGTTCCCTCTGATGTCTAGCACTCTCAACTCGCTCAAGCATCCAATTTCTGGTGGTAGCTCACCCACTGAGTTGTGAGCTATGCTGAAGTGCTCCAACCTCCGTAAGTTACCAATCGTATTAGGCAGGGACACAAAATAGTTGCGATCAAGCTCGAGCCTCTCTAAATTGAACATGTTATTGAACGAGCCATCGATGCTGGCAAGCTGAGCGCTCGACAGATTCAACATCTTGAGAGTCGGCACGGGGCTAGTTATTTCAAACTTCGTGATCGGGTTAGAATTCAACTTCAGACTGCGTACTCGACAGAAGCCTCCGACGAATTGCGGGATCATGTTGTGGTCCGCGGACAGAATTTCTAACTTGGGAAGCTCAGATACGATATCGATCGCAGTAAGTGTGTTGTACTTGATGTCCAACTCGCGGAGGCTCGAGAGTTGAGGAAGAGTCGACGGTAACGATCCTGAAAGTCGGTTGTTCGTCATGACGAACTTTTCTAGGTTTCGTAGCTTTCCAATTTCATCGGGGAGACATGAGATCGAGTTGAAACTGACGTCGATATCCACCAGACTTTCCAGCTCACACAAGAAAATCGGGAACTTGTCTAAGAAATTCGAAGAGAGGTTTAGAGAACGAAGTGACCTAAAAGCGCTGAACTCTTGTGGTAGGCGGCTCAATCGATTATTTGCCAAGCTCAGCTTCAACAGACCTGACAGACGGCCAAGCTCTGCATGTTCTAGATCTTCTAAACGGTTATTCGACACGTCAAGATATGTGAGTTTCCCTGCTCTCCCGACGCTGATAGGAAGTTTTCGGGCCTCATTATTAGCGTACTTGATGTCCCGCAGCTGGCTGCATGCTTGGACGAAATCTCGCGGAAGATCGAGCGAAAGGTTCCTAGATAGGTTTAAAGAGATAATATCGGTAGCCTTGGAGTAGAGAGAGATGGGTATCGTAATCAAATTCCGGCCGGAAAGGTCCACATGATTGAACTTGGTGGCCCTACCGAGTCCAAGATCTTGAGGACTTACTGTGAAATGATTGTCCCTTGCCGACAAGAACAAAAACCGACATAGGTATCCGTTGTCCTCACGGCCGATGTCCTCAAGGCGATCTTTCTCTTCGTATCCGACCTGTTGTAGTAATCTCTTTTGGATCAGCAGTGGCTTCTCTACGGGGGTTAGAACCCGCGATAGGTCATGCTTCCTCAAAACGATATGGTAGTTTTCGAGGCCGTCGGAGACGAAAGTCTTCTTAACAACCTGCGCCATGACGTCGGACACTGTCGAGGTCAATGGCATCTGCACGGTGGCAAATGTACCGTCGGCGCGAAATACTCGTATACAGTGAGGACTCATCTTCTCTTCAGGTCGAGGCGGCGTGCCAACATCGTCAACTTCAGGCACGTGTGCCTCTCTTTCTTCTGCGGTGCGGCGAACAGCCCAGCTGTCCGGCGCATTCCACGCCCCGTTTCCTTGAGCCGAGACAGGCTCAAGTTCAACGTCTGCCAGTTGAAACATCGTCGGTTCCATAGGTGTCAACGGTGGAGGTTGTGCTAAGATACCCTCCATATCGCTAAGATTAGTGTCGAGGTGAAAAACCATGCCCTTGTCGTTCCTATCCGTTGGGCCAATATTATCATCGGGGTCTTCGTAATATTTCTGTGGGCGACCTTTCTTGGAGAAGGGGAACTTGTTATTGAAGGTTGCTTGACGGGCAGTGCTTGGACGAGGGGTTTCCAGGCTGGGTAGGGGCTTATCGTAAGACGACGGGGAGCCCCTCAAGTCCTGTCGAGAGGTAGAGCGAACGAGAGAGCGTGTAGAGCCAGGCAACCCTTTTAAACGAGAATCATCCTTGGTCTTGTGTCGTCGCAAACGGTCGAACAACCCCCGTTTACCAGGAGCGCCCGGCGAAGTTTGGCCATCGATGGATGGAAGTCTGCTGCTATTGCTGGCACTACTTGGGGTTGGACTTTGGGCTCGTGACCGAGACGCAGCTGCAGATGCTCCCCTTTCCTTCATAGTCTGAATACTCTGAAGACTCATACTCAGTATTGAGTCCTCGCGGCTCACTACCGGTCTAAGCGTGTTTGGATCATCGATACTTCTGTGGTGGCGGTGGTGGCCAGTTAGATGGGCGATAGAATGCCCCGAACGGTTGGAAGACGAGGTTTTCGGCGGTATTTGCGCATAATTATCCTGTGCAAAGCGCTCTTTGTCTGGACCAGCTAGCATGTCACGTACGGGGGCTTCACCATATTTCGCGATATCGTTAGCCTCCTGATATAAAAATGGTACAACATCACTTGACGGAACTGGGGTTCGTGGCCTGGAAGACGACGGCGAGGGTTCTCGCGTATGGTCCGTGGCATTGGAATCATTCCTTGCTCTGCGGGAAGACCGAGTAAAGGAGTAGGACCGTTGCTCTTTTGGTTGGCTCTGAGATGACGGCTGGGGAAGGCTCGTTTCGGATGAATCGCGGCCAGGGTAATCCTCACCAAAGAAGCCTTGTAATTTCCTAATGCCACCTCTGCTGCCACTATTTTTGGAGCCTTGACTGCTTGCTGTCGCTACGCTCGCTGCGGACGGTCGCCTATCCTCGGGGAAGTAGCCTACGTCGGGGGATTCGGTGCTCGAAGCCTGGGTTGGCCGCGCGGTACCTGAACGAAATGCGGGCGAAAGTTGGGAGGCGGTGGATACGTTGTCACTTGAATCGTTAAAGAAACTGGTGGCAATTGGAGAAGCGGTTACACCGCCGTTGACAAGCCAGGGAGGTATGTTATGCTGAGAGTTCGGGCTCGCGGTCGGAGGATCTCGCTGGATTTGGGGAACGCGACCACCAGATGGGTCGAGAACGGCGAGGTCGCGACGGTAGTTGGTAAGGTCACTCATTCGGCGGCTATCGAGTAGGGAGGCACTAGATGAAGTTGAAGTGGGAGATAAAGCGAGACGATGGTTAGATGCGGTTGGCGAGACTTGAGAGTCGTCTTTAAATGGCCTAGTATGGCGCGAAGCATTTAACAGTTAGCGTGGAGGAGCTTTGGTTCAAGATATCAATTACAGGCAACAAAGGATTGTTGTCGAGGGGTAGAAGGCTTCCTAGATGATATCCCCCATGATCCTATCTAACTCTTTTCTTCCCTTTTTCCTCTTCCTTAGAAGATATTGAAAATATCGAATACATCGAGACTTTTTTTTCCTTTTTTCCCTTTTTTTTTTCTTTTTTTTTTTTTTTACGAGAACTCAATAGGGCGACAGCTCGGACCGTCTAGTAATTTACAATGTAACTGAGCTATAAAAGGAGGAAAGGTGGAGAATATAGGTAAGTAGATAAATGCACAACGACGCACCTATATTTGTTATGCTCGGTCTTAATAGGTTTCGGCGTGGCTTTATTCGATGTTGAGGACGCCGAGGCTGAACGAGTAGGGACTGGTGGCATCACGGTGATATTGGAGTGTCCACTGCTGGAACTCGCAAAGGAGGTGATGCGGCCGTCATCCCTCGTCATTGTCACTGAGACTCACGCCGGTCCACGCAGCTTAGAATCAATAGGGAAGCGCCATGCATGGAAGAAAGACCCAAGTCATTCCCTTTCAGCGAGGTATAGATATGGTAGGCATGTATCGCAAGCCAGATAATTACGATATATGGAGGTAGGTATGTGTATAGGTAGGTAGTAGGTTCAATGTTGGTAGGTAGGTATAAACGTAAGATACCTAGGTATGTATGTATTGTATATCTATGCGGCGGGTGATCTAAACGCGCGAGGAGAGCGGACTGCGATCTTTATGCGTAGGGTACCGGGGGGGAAAGGTAGGTATCGGCTATACAGATCGGGGGTATAGGGAGGTTATAGGTTCGCTAAGAGACGATGAAAAATAGTGGATTTAATATCACGATACTAGAACTGATAATAGAACTGAAAGCTTGAATGATATTTTGGACTTTTGGACTTTTGGATTTAATTTGGCCACAATGGATGCGGCGAAATGGGTAAAAGCAAAAAAAAAAACGAAGTAAGAAGGCAAGGGGAAGTAACCTTGAAATGTTCAATGTTCCTACACTATTGCTTGTAGTGTGTCACCACTGTGTGTGTCTCTTGCCTATTACTACTCCAGGGCTCCAGGGCTACTGTTACTGCTAACTGCTATTGCTGTTACCTGCTAATTTACTACCTAGGGTAGTTAGGTTATTAGTTGCTGGTGCGGTCGTGTCAGACTACATGAAAATTTGGGGTGATTCTAAGTGGTACGTGCACCGACGGCACCAACCTTAGTATGATTGTATGTATCTAGTACTACTAACGTTAACTAGTAGTATTAACAGTGGAACCAAATCTTTTTTTGGCCATGCCGCCATGCCGCCATGCATCCCCCCCCAACCTATCGTGGTACTTATCGCACACATTTAAATATTGATGGTCAGATTCGTTTCAACAGCACTCATAGGTTTTATTAAGCCAGACATCTAATACGAATTAGCATACATAATATTAAGGTATGCTGCCACTTCGTCACTCTTTGTCTTATGAAACTTAGACTGTAAATCTTCAAGCTCGTATATATGACCAGTCTACTACTAGTAGTATCTCAAGTACTATTGTAGATATGATGCAACTGAATGACGGTGACGGGTACAAAAGTCTTTATTAGAGTTTCGAGTCTTCATACCAGCATCTGTACAGACTGTACCAACATACACGTAACTACTAATATATACACGCATGAATCTGCCTACACACTTTTTATTTTCCACATTCCCCCCCCCCCTTTTGTGAAGAAAGAGATAATCTGCCCTCTCTGCGTGAGATTCAAAGCTGCAAAGCTGCAAAGCTGAACCTGATATGCGTCTGAAAACTACAAATGGCGGTACGTCCGACATCTTATTTTAGCAGCGGATCGTTGATGTTCTACCGCATGGCTGATACATGCCTACATACTGTAGACAGTCTGTAGTAAGACTCAATTGCGCCCAAAAGCCCTATACACTATTCCCCTTAGGTATACCGAGCTTCACAGAACGTGTGTGACGTAAGATGTTCAAATCGTACAATGGTTGCGCCAATGTCCGTAAGATCGCGGGCATGCGGTATACTATTTTGTACCAGTGGATGGATGGTAGCATGTAATGTACTATTATCTATCTGTTGTTCATTTTCTGTCTAGCAAGGGTATATTGGCCCTGTGTGTGGCAAGAGTCATAACTCATAACTGACCGCTTATCCAAGGATTACCTACTTATAAGTTTGCTTTGACTATTTCGCTTTTTACTATTAACAAAATGACTCGAACATATATAAGCCCGTGACTCGATACATGGAAAAAAAAAAGAGCCGCATTTGCTCAGTGCAATAGGTTGCTCATTTGCTTTAAAACAGTTATTTGATGTTTGTAGGTATGAAAGTGGCACTCTATCCCTTTGAACGTTACAAGGCAACATAGGCAACAAAGTTACTAAAAATAAACAAGGATACAACCAAGCCAAATTACCCACCGTCCCATAAATCTAATATCCAATAAAATCTAATTATTCTGTAGGTACATAATTTACCACTTAATTTTGCGTATGCCACTTGTACCAACAGTACTTAGAATTACATACAGCTACATTACAAGTGCCATATCGAGATCGTGTCTTTTTTACCTCCATATTTAATAAACTTCCCGATAATGTTTTTAATCCTCGACGAGAACGTCCCCAAATATTATTCCCCTGACGAGCTTGACAGGAAGATGGATTCTTATTTGAAGATCGTACGTGATCAGTAAGCTTGCTATGCAAAAAGGATAGGAGATCGCGTGCCTTGGGGTCTCGCGATGGGATTTCCATTGGAGCAAAACGCGTTCCAACTTCAAGATTAGGAGGAGCTTTCAAACGACGCGTAGCTGGATCAATATCGTCAACTTAGATGGCAGCTGGGCACAGCTGCGCCGGCGTATTGGGTGCTTCTAAAATCGAGATTAATTGCATTAGATAAGTTACCGGATTAATATATTTACCGGCCAACTTTGTATCGCGTTGTATTTGAAGTAAAATTGGATCAATATATGGGGTTGTGGGTAAATGTGGATATAGTGGATTAAAAGAGATGTATTAGGGTTTATTTTTAGTAGTTTTGTTGCCTATGTTGCCTTGTAACGTTCAAAGGGATACTTTATTTGCTCCGCCGCATTAGATGGTTGGATGTCAGATAGGCCCGGGTACGGTACGGGGGTGGAAGAGAACGGGCACGACGGCTAAAATTACAGTGCACGGTTGAACTTGTTGAACTTGAAGGAACATTTGATGCACTCCATTTGACGGCATAATAACTTTTAATAATAACTTTTAATAATAAGAGCTGGAAAGGTTAGAACTGTTTTTACTGCCGCGTGCCAGGGCGTCGGTGAAAGTCAAAATTGCGGGTTTTAAAAACTGCTATGGTCATCTCACGGCCTTTGCATGAGGTCAGGTACTGAGGTATTCACCAACCCCAAAAGCTTACATACCTAAGGTTAGTAGGTTCCAGCTAAGCCCCACAAACGACGAAGTTATAGCGTCCAACTATTAACCGAAATCCTTGTCGCAACCGCGAAACAGTTCCGTAACGTACTGCACATAGCTATTAGCTATTAGCTACTAGCTAGCAGCTAAATAGGTACATATCATAGTACTATCATCTCTTCGTCTTCCATAACATTGAAGTTCCCAACATTGAAATCTAGAGCCTTGCGCACAATGCGCGCATGCTTGCACATACCGACCCTTGCCCAGCTGGTTTTTTCTATGGTTCCGGCCATGTAAGATTTGATCAGTTGCAGAAACGATATGAGATGAAAACGATGGCCTGCATAAATATCGTCCATGAATACCTACCTACCTCTTACCTACTTAACCTAGTTACATATGTACGGTAAAAAATAAAAAAAATAAAAAAAATATTTACTTCGCGCTTAGCCCGCCTTTTAATAGATCTTGTATCAGGCGACTGGCGACTGGCGATGTCCTTCGTCAGAGTACACACGAGGTACATGCATGTATAGGTAGGTATCTCCAGATGCCGCGGGTGTGACGGTACGCAAGCAGCGACAACCCGCAAGACCAAAGAGATCCTGCAACTCGGCGCGCGGGCAGGCATGTCATCACACTACTAGGTACGATCCATGGCCAGGGAAATTCCCGAGTGCATCGGATATACTATGAATAGGGCGTTTGCCGGCCACGCACATTAGAACCACAATATTCTGACAAATACTCTATCATGATACGCAATACATACTACCTACTACCTAGTAGGTGCTGAGTAGGTATGCACGCTTTGCACACATACAAGCAACTTCAAATTCTGCACATGTGCCTTGCCATGCTAATCCGGGTACCTGGGTCTTCTATTCATGCATACCTGTGTACATACATAGGTATGGTGCCTAGAAAAACTGCTGTAGGTGAGTAGGTACCTAGATATCTAGGGCACCTAAGCAGTTGTTAAAATATTAACATGAATGCCTAGTACATAGTGCTCCATGTTGATCCGAGTTCATAATATTAAATACAGCGGAAGATTAGGCCGCATCGTGACGGCCCCCCGCGTGCGCCTCTTCGGGTGGATGCATGCGTTGGTTTGTCGCCCAGGCATTTCCTCGCCGTTCGATTCACTATATGTCCTCTTCGTCACTCACACCTGCAATGATATCCCCAACATCTTCGTGCAGGAGCTCTCCGACTTCAATGCTGTCCTGCATGATTTCCCGCGCGTCGTCCTTGTCAACGTCCATGTCTTCCATGATCAAACGCACTGTCAGCTCAGGTACCAAAACGGCCTGCACATATCCGGTATAACCTCTAGCAGAAACAAGTCTGTCTTCAATAGCGCGCTTTCGGATGACGGGAGATAATGTCCGAAGGATATACTCCGTCATGGCACGGAGACCCCGGGGTCCGTAATAGCCTGGCGTGAGGCTATCGTCGGTCTTTAACACCGTTCGATTCTTTCCAGATTCGATATTCTCCTTCAAGGAATTGGTATAATGCGACTGTCGAGTACCTTCCAGAATTTCTCGGAGGAAATTCTGATGCTTGTCAAATCGTCTGCCGATAGTTCCCCAGTCAATCTTAGGGTATCCATTCTGGCTCCTAGAACTCAACGCCGTCTGCCGCTTGTGCAACCTACAGAAAGCCGCTTGCTTTTTGATGTTCATCCTGCCATGATCGGAATGCTTGGCTAAAAGCTGGGCGTCGACAACTTCGTGGCACATGGGACATTTTGCCGTAACAGCTGAACTTTCCAGGCTTATATCACTAGCTTCGTCATCCGAGATTACGGATTCGAAGGAGGCAGCAAAGTCGTTGTTGCCTCCATCTGAGAAATCTAGGTCATCTAAAGTAGCTAACTTGAAAGCTGGCTTCTGAGAGGCCTCCTCTGATACGGGCTCCGGCGACTCCTTTTGCTTTTTGGCCCTGGACTTGCCGAATCTTTTGGACTTCTTTAATTGCTGACTGTCCTTTACCGGCTTCTTCGCAACAGCATCTGAGTCATCGTCTAGTTCGAGCAGTCTAAATTTTCCCTTTTTCGGGGATTCATCTACCAGCAAATTCTTCGATCGAAATGAACCCCTGACACTTTGAGGACTTGAGCTTAGCAAAGTAGCCTTATTGATGAAGGTCTTTGAGGGTTTGGTCTCTTCTGGGCTACTGATTTCCCCCTTAATAAAGGGCTTTGACAGGGGTGTGAGAGCCCTTCCAGAGTTCAGGCTAGCTGTTGAGCCTTGCAATTTCTTTATTGATGTAGATGCAGCTAGTAAGTGAAGACGGTGTTAGCATTGGCAGCGATAGCCAAGATGTGCAGCTAGGGTACTTACCGGACCGTGGAGCGGATGACTTTGATGGTTTATGTTGTGAGACTCTTGATTGAGATGGCTTACCACCGTACGTTGCTTGTCTAGCGTTGGATATCTTACTCTTCTTCGTGAAACCGTGCGCAGTTTTCAGGTGGCCACCCATCTCCGGGAAAGGATCCTCAGCAGACCTCTTCGAACCAGCCGAGCTAGAAGGCCCACCCCCTCGACGAGTCTCTCTTGTGCTCATTTCTTGAGATGACGACTTGGAATCATCTTTCACACTTCTCTGAGAGTTGTTAAGTGGCGAGGCAGATGATTCAGCCTTGGTGAAGATAGTTGGCTTTATATCTTCATATCGCTTCTTATCATATTCCTCCTCATCACTACTCTCAGGTGGTGCAGTGATAGGTCTAGCTTCCTTCATTTTGGTAGGAGCTGGGGATCTATCATCCCCAGATCCAGCTTTGGGTTGATGTGTGCTTCGATTTTGGACCATGGATAAAAGAGGCCTTGGTTGTTGTTTGTTGCTTAGTCCTACATGCCTTCGTGCTGGTGGGTTGGTTCGACCCATTCCCATGATGGTCATCTCAGTGCATCAATACTAGGTATATGAAGTTTCCATCAATAGATTTGATGTCCAGATTGAATAGCAACAAAGCCCTGTAGAATTGTAATTAGAAAGTGTGGGCGTAACTGAGCATTACCTGTCAGCCCTGTGTAGAACGTCTCATGAATGAACTGCATGTAGTGAGTGGAAAGAATTGGGCTTAGCAGAGAGACGAGACTTGGTGAATGATGGTATGAAGGTGAATTTAGGTAAAAGAGTGAAAGAGTGAAATGGCATATAGGGACTCTTGGGGTAGTGGGGGGGGAGATTAATGAGAGTATTTTAAAGTAGGATGGTAGAGAACCAAAACGCAGTGATCAATTGATTGAATTGAATGATCATAAGTAGTGTATGTGAATGTGTGAGAAAAAACATTAAAAGCCATTCATGAAGGGAAACTCCAGTCAAACGTTCAATACATGTAATGCCGCTGGCACATGTACATGTAGTGAATCCTTATGTAGGTAATACATATTACCTATGTAGGTATGACCTGGTATGTACCAGCTCAACTTTGAGTACATAACTATTAACTGCATGATGCCTGTGTGTAGATGTACTGTGCCTACAAGATATTACGTACCGGTACCTCCAAAATAAAGGGTAAGCACGCTGCACGACGCGTTTATTTAATGTTGTATTGTACGAAGTACATAGCCACGATTAGTGACATGAACCAACATTGAAACAGACGCGTCAAGCAAGCTGAGATCAATTTGCAGTGATACACATGCACCTAACCTTAGTAGTTACTAGGTACCTAGTAGTACATACTACATATGTATGTTCTATGTACTCCGATGTACTATCCAATCAACTGTAGCCACAAGTTCAGCCACATCTGGCTTTCAAGGTTTCAAGCTCAGTGTAACTTCAATGTGCTGCTGGCAAATGGAATTGACTCTAGAATTCCTACATTCAATCATTTCAATGTTGATGCTATGTACACAAACGCTACCAGGTGTACCCAATAGTAACAACTCCAGGTTTTGAACAGGAAAGGAAGCAATCACAGCTTCCTACATGCCAAACCACAACCTTCAAATATGGCTTTAAATCGAAAGTATGCTGCATTGCCAGATCTTGTATGTTGAAGTTCCACTCTCAAGCTCCGTTTACCGTGCTAATTCAAATCAAGGACTCTGCACCCGACATCTACGAGACTCCCGAACTAACAGACGATAACTCTACCATTCCGGTAAATATATATCCGGTGCGCTGCCGTTATATGTGCCTTGTACTGATTGACCTCAGACTACGGCAGGACGAACACAATCAGAGAACGAATTCGATGACGATGATGACGATGACGCGCCAGGTATCTCTCATTCGCGACTCCGCATAGATTCAGCTCGGTCTCGATTCTCACCCGCCCAAGTCGATGCTCGAGATGTGGATTTCTCCGATAGATTGAATGGGAAACGAAAATCATACAAAACCTCAAGTCGAAGACAGCGAATTCTAGAGGACGGCACCGAACAAATTGGTGATTTTAGCGACGATGAAGGAGGCGAAGATCTTGAGAGGAAGATTGCGCGCCTGAAACGTGAGATTGAAGAAGCCAAGGAAGAATATGGCAAACGGAAGGCAGACACCACAGAGGCTGTAGGAGATCAGAATCTGGACCTTGGATCGCTAAGCCAGGCATTAGAGGAGATATCCACTTTGCCCGAGAGAGGAATCACAACCCGACCCGGTCAAGCGACAGCCGCAAGCAAGCAAACGAAGGAAGAAGACCAGGAATTAAAGCAGTCAGCGGCGAATGGGGCGACGTATACTATCACATATGCGCCGAGTTACGAACAAAGTCATGCCCTTGCCAAAGCTGCCGATTTCGATCGACGATTACTCCTTCTAGAAAAGGCTATTGGAATTACCTCGTCAGCCATGCCTGAATTGGAAGGCAGTGGACTACCCCGAGCTATTATGCCTACATTAGAGGCACTCCAGAGCCAGATCCTGACGTTGTCGGAGGCGTCCACTTCATCTCTCGACAGCATTAGCCGTCGAGTACGAACACTCACCCAAGAAGCCGAGCAATTGGAGAAGTCAAGGAAGGCTGCCAAGGTGGCTCAAGAATCACTAGCCTCTTCGGGTGGCTCTCCAGTCGAAGCAGACGATTCGGAGCAGACAGCCAAAATCAATGCACTCTATGGAACTCTTCCGACCATTGAAAGCCTAGCACCCCTTCTGCCCCCCCTGCTCGACCGACTCCGGTCGTTGAGAGCCATTCATGCCGACGCAGCAACTGCTCATGAAACGCTAGAACGTATTGAGAAGTCACAGAGTGAGATGATTGCTGATATCAAGCAATGGAAAGAAGGTCTGGAGAAGGTGGAAACAACCATAAGCGAAGGGGGGGCGGCTATGACGGCCAACATGAAGGTAGTAGATGAATGGGTGAAAGAGCTTGAGGCCAAAGTGGCTCAACTATCGTGATGGTGGGAATAATAGTGTACTGCAGCCTGTGTTAGCCTTGATACCCTACCGCATAGGAAAATGATGAGTACGTTGGAAGGATGAATGAAAAGAAAGTAAATGTTACAAATATTCTAGGATTATTTGAGTGCTTATTAGATAACCTAGGTAGATAGATTCGTATGATACTATTTTATCTTGATCACCATTTGGAGCAAATACACAATACTTGCCCCTATTTGATCATGCAACTAAACCATAAGCATAGTATGAAGCATAATATGTGTTATATGTGTTAAATACATAAGCCAGTGTCAGCGATTGTCAAGTACCTAGGTAGTTATCCACAAACAAAATTCTTATCGATAATGCAATAGTTAGTTAGTTCGAAAAAAAAGCCCTACCCACAACTACCACAGCTTTAGCGAGATCCAGAACTTCTCTGACATTATCAAAAATTCCATCGACTTTCGAACAAACCTCCTCCATATCCACGACCCAGCAGCATAACCCTTGCAAAACCTCATCACCAAGTACGGTCAACACTCCTCCGCCTATACGCGATATTCAAATCTAATCAAATCCTAGGATCATCTATTCAGATCAGAACAATGGAGGCATCAAAGCAACCCGTCAAGCTTGTCAAGGTCACCCGCGTCTTGGGCCGAACTGGTATTATCCCCTCAGTGCATATTGCATCCTCACGATTCAGGAAACGCGACACGACATTTCAAGGAATCGAAAACTAATAGCTACAGGTTCTCGCGGTGGTGTTACCCAAGTCCGTGTTGAATTCATGGACGACCAGACCCGAAGCATTATCCGAAACGTCAAGGGACCAGGTGCGCGAACCTTGAAATCTCTGCTCTTTTTACAGCTTGGGATACAGGAAAAACTGACTTGAAACTCGCAGTTCGTGAGGACGATATTCTCTGCCTACTCGAGTCCGAGCGCGAGGCCCGACGATTACGATAGAGGGGAGGTTCTTTAGGAGGCTATAAAATTATGCGGAGTCGGATATTCACTGCTATCTTGCGACCACGGTCGAGCAGTAATGGATCATACAGCATCCGCGATCAAGATTCCTTTTGTTACGGGAGTCTATGGACTATGATGGGCATTCTGCATTGCGAATAAAGAACAATTCACACCCGGACCGTTACTTTTCGCGTGATACGATTTACCTCTGTATATTCCAAATATCTGATTCCTCAAGTGTACAACTTCTTTCTCAACTTCTTTCTAGAAGGACAAGGAATCGCGAAACAGCATTCATTTTTCATAGTGAAATGATTGGATGGGTCTACCTAGTACTGATACTATCACAGATTCATACTGCCATAGCATGTGGCTTAGTAATCTTTTCTTTTCATTACTAGCGCCTTTCTCTTTTAAAATTTTCCTACAAAAAAAAAGTTTCCCTTCTTCTTTTCCATCTTCCTTCAACCTTCAACATACCGAAAATATTTGGTTCAATGGTGATCACCGACAACTTGAGAAGACAATACTAAGTACTCTCATATTACAGTTGGTAAGTTAATTTCTTATTATTTGCCTTTGGCTCCCACACGTTGAAATGATGTACAAAAACAGCATGTATTATCTGACCATCAATGATGTTTCATTATCACCAAGATCTCTGACTCAACATCCATTCATACTCTCTTGTTGCAATATAAATGGAAGCGCAGTAGCTAACAAGCCACTACCAGATTTGAATTTCCCATCTGGTTCTACCTAGGTAGTCTTCGGTTCATGTGACAATGGGGGCAATCCCTAAACCACCAAAAGGCCATTTCAACATTCTATACTTCGCAAGTGCAAGCTCGTTTACCTCGAAAGAATTTGAGACACTTCCTGCGCCGCTTCCCCTTTGGAAGTTGTTCGACATATTAGATGAGAGGCACAGTGGTTTCAAAGACAAAATTCTTAGTTCCTGTCTCGTGACAGTCAACCTCGATTATGTCGATATTCCTGATGCCAACAACGAGTCTTCTACAGCCATGATTGAGGATGGTGACGAGGTCGCCATCATTCCTCCGGTCAGCTCTGGTTGAAAATTTTGCACGAATTAGATGATATATATGAGTTAATTGACAACTACATTTTTGCTATGACTGAATTGCCGGCTTCTGTAGTACCCTAAGATGGTAGTAAAGGCTCGCGCTCGCTGTTTCGTTCTTGAGCACTATCATTATTCTCTTCTCTCATCCTCGTGTGATCCCTTTGTCGCTGCCGCCCGTCATACCTCCATATCCTCCACCATCCAGCATTGTTCTTGTCCCTGCTATACATACCTCTTTAGCTTGTTGATTCCAAACACCACAATCGTAACAAGCAACACGAGGACAAGTGTAGACAATATCGATACGAGCGATGTCAGCGTCGTAATCGTCGATACCTGACACCCAAGCGGCCGCGTGCGCATCTCCCAGCGCTCCGCCCAGTGCGGACACGCATTGTCGTCCCATGCTGGCGCGAGGAAGGGCACTTTGTGGCGGTTGGGGACGCAGGTCCATGACTATGTGTGTGCGATATTTGATTTTTTTTGTCAGATTGCAATACCTAGAGCATAGCGGTAATCAATACATAATACATAATAACATACAAATGGACACCAACTGCAATCAGACTGCTGCCCGAGACAGCCCTTGCAGTGCTGGATCCTCCAGCACCGCTTCAGGTGGTCGTCGTCGTTGGCGGCGGCGGCGGTGAAATTCATTACCTATGTCACACTGTTGAAAATAGATTTAGGTATGTGGAAGTACATTTGGAATATACAGTAGATGTAAGAAATCTCTTACGACAAAAAATATTCTTGTTTCTGTTTCTGCTTCAACGTTAGTCAAGAGGGTAGGTAGGTACCTAGGTAGGCACCTTTCAATGTTCGGTTAGTTGGTCGATGCGGGGCATTCCAGAGCTGTGAACTCTGATGATCTCAGCTCATACATAGGTACGTATCCGGGGATGGCTGCTTTAGTGTATAGGTACATAGGTAGGTATGTATGTATGCATGTACTGTACTTTGTATTATCCTCGCAAAGTCACTCTCTCATTCAAAGACCACCGTTACGTTAATATAGACCTACCGGTGTATCACCAACTCGCTTGAAGAGGGTTTCTAAATATATAGATATAGATAGCAAGATCATTGGAAACGTTCATAGCTCGACTGATGATTTCGTCTTATTCTCCAGTGGTACACCATGGGATAGATCTACAGAATACGAAACTTGCGAGTTCAGTTTGACTTTGAATATCATAGGAAACCCCCGGCACGTCGTTTCATACGAACGCAGCCGATGAACTCATGCACACTTTGCCTCCCCTATGCATCATGACGGTTTTCCAAATATGATGAACGCCTTTCTTCGCCAGCTTCCGCCCCCGCCCCTGACTATGCTTTTTTCCATGATGCAAGTAACCGTATAAGATCCCGGGTTCTTCTTTCTCTTCATTGAAAAACTTGGTATCATGCTGGTTGGATATAATGATCTATATTCGAACTTGGACGTATACTTGGCCATATTCACTACGTGACCTTGATGAAAATTTTGATTTTTTTTTCATCGTCGTGATGTAGAGTGGCCAGGCGCTCTCTAAGCGACGTTCGCAAGTTGCAATAATCGATCACCAGCCTTGTGGTTCGCATATTCGTACGCTTTCGAGCCGGGCGGGAAGGTACCATTGCTCGCCCAAAGGTCAATCAGTGGCTGCATTGGTTCAAGCTCCTGCGGTCCGAGCATGTCCAGCGCACAGGCCGTCAACACAAAGTGGCTGAAGCAACTGTTCAGTTGCTTCTCGAGGTTTAGGTGGTAGAACGGATCGATAAAATGCGCCCAATACAGGTGAGCGTATACACGGAACATTTGTCGGAAGATCATCTGGCAAACTTCTACAAAGCTTTCTTGGAAACCGCTTCGACTACCAACCCATTCCTTCTCTCCAGGATTCGATAATTGCGAAAGTGGTGTGGTGGTAATAGCCGGGTTATGCGCAAACGAGACACCATTTGTGTCAGTGGGGAAGATTTCTGTGTCATCGATCTTTCCGGAAATCCAACGCTGCATCAATGTGATATACTCGTAAGCTGGCACCTCGACTGGCTCGCGCTTGTTGTTAAGCCACGTAAATGAGTGGTTCCTAGTTCGGGTTAGTGACACCAGTTCCCCGCCCGCCGTTGATTAGATGCACTTACGCCCCAGCCGACATTCGAGGACAAGTTTGAGGATTACAGATCGTGGTTCCGTCTTCTTCCTTCTCGTGGATTACTCGTACGAAATTCCACAGGTTGCGGTAATGTTCGACAACTAGAGTAGGTTAGATGGCTAGTGTCTAAGTAAGTATATGTGATCAGTCGCCATCAAACTCACCTTGGTGCGCAATCCATTCTCCTTGCTCGACGGTCTTAGGCCGCGCGCTCAAGGTCATGAAATTTCCCTTCACAATATGTTTCCCGTATTGCGCATTGAGCCATAGTGGTAGAGGCCGAGGCAAGTGGTAGGCATTGATGATGTCGTCACCACTAGCATTAGAGTCATCCATGCCTATATTATGAGCTAAAGATGGTGAGCTTGGAAGAGGAGGTATCTTTGGTGCAGAGTTTGAGGATTGCTGGTGGTGGCCTTGGGGAAAGTCGATGGGAGAGTGAGGATGGCTGCTGCTGGTTGAAACGGGGCTCTTATTCTGGCCTGGGACCTTGTTCGAAGTCCCTCTCAATCGAGCGTTTCTAGAGATAGGCGGTCAGCATTTATGTCTTTGTTGTGGGCTCCCCATGGAGTTGGTGAAAGTAGTGGAGAAGAACCAATCGAATCTTGTTGAGGCACTGGTCTATATAATTCGCTGGGGAAAGAAGCTGCTGTGACTACTGCTTTGTGTTCTCAGCCACCTATTATAAATGGGAAATCCAAACTGGTGATAGCGGCATCCATATAAGAGCACTTGCATATATTGAGCACTTGAGCACTTGAGCACTTGAGCACTTGAGCACTTGGAAACAATCCAACTCAGAATGCTAGGTAGGAGGTAGGTAGCTAAGGTGCCCAGGTGTTTGTTTCCGCCAAGAGACAATGCCTTGCCTTTTTGAGGCAGTAAGTAGTGACAACTCCAAGAAGCTTTGCCTTTCAGTGAGGTCAAGAAACGGAAGCGAAGAGAGCGAGCTTGTCGAGACTATGCGATGCTGCTGCCAAAAAAACAAGACAAAACAAAAACAGAAACAAAAATACAAATACTGACTTTACACAGGCCTTGTACTAGCCTCAAGTCTGTCTTGAAAAGACTTTATGGGTATGTAGGTCGGCAGGCAGGCAGTTACCCTTCTTGCTATTTTTATCTTTTGCCTCGGTTTCTTGCTACATATAGATGCTTTCCAGGACAATTGACTTCACTTGAAAGTCACGTCGTTGATTGTATCAGCCCCTATATGCTTATTTGTCTTGCCAGGTTCTTACGGCGAGGACAATGTAAGTCCACTTGTTCTCAGACATTCATGGATGCAGAGCATTGACCTGCAAGCTGAAGATCCAGAGCCACCCAAACAACCGTCCTTAACGGTAGTAAAGGTTAGGTATCATGAGGCTGATTTTGGCTGGGCTGAACATGTGCATGCTGCTGAGTAGCTAGCTAGGTAGGGTGTCTTTTCAAACAATATTCAAACAATATTCAAACAATATATGGAAATATATTACCCTGGCAAGCAGCTCAAGGCTGTAAGCCGTGTATTGTTGTGCAATCGTCATCCCTTAAACTTCAAGGTTGATTGCATCAATGATGCTTAATAGCCCATGCGAATCCATGCGAGTCAAATCATGGACAAGGGAATGGGGACATGCAAATTGGATGTGAACATATCCAGATGAAGAATGATTTAGGGAAAGGGGGCACTGGACTGGCTGGGCTGGCTGGGCCCATAGAAAGAAAGGAAGGCCAAAGATGGAAGTCAAGAAAAGGAAAGCAATCCACCTACATCCCAGAAAATAGGTTAGACATGATGGCTCTTAACAGGACCACTACGTTCGTTCGCTGGTTGGGTAGCGGTAGGACGGAAATATGACAGGGAAATATAAATCCAGGTCTTGCTTGTTATTTATTTCAAGTCAAGGTTATAAGGAATAGCAAAGCAATACTTTAACTCGTGCCTGCAAGAATGATGTCGCCAGTCGAGGTTAAGATGGAAGAAGAGTCGTCAAGACTTAATAGAGGAAAAGGGGGCAAAAGGGATGGGATGATATGATATGGATATGTGTGAGTTGTGAATTTATGAGTAAGTGAATTGGCTTTACGATGTGTGGAAGTTTCCCGCATTGACATTTTTTAATAAACTTCCAATTATTTTAACTGCCCAGGTCTTGTTTCAGGAGACGCTTAGTTTTAGACGCTTAACGCTAATCCCTTTTTAGTGCTGTTATCGCTATCTATTGGTAGCACTATTCTTATCGATAGGTCAAATACATAATAGCGTCGAAGCTAGCAAGCATTAGTTATGTAACTACTCGTCTACTACATACCTAGGTTAGGTAGGTAGTTAGTATTGTCTGCCAAGCCTCAGCCCTTATTCTCCTTCCCTTGTTCCCTTTCAAGCTTTCAACTTCGCGACTTTTTTTTTTTCAATTTCCAATCGCATCTTGTAAACGCGACTCTTCCTACCACACACACCTCCCAACCCCACTACAACCTTATTACTTGAGACTCGCTCAATTAATCAATTACACCAATTTCCAACTACTCACATCATCCGAACACATCAATTCCATCTCTTAACACAATGTCCGACTCCGAGAGTGGCGGTGATGATCTCTTTGGCGACGAGGCTGACCAGGTCCAATCTTCGGAACGAGCCCTTAGTGATCGCGATCTTGAATCGGACCAAGATGGTGGAGAGCAAGAACGTCATCGCAGTCGTGACGATGGTCGTGATGATAACAACGATGATGCCGACGATCAAGAGGTCAAAGTGAAGCGCATTATGGATGTTACAGTTCACCGACACAGGGTCCCAAGAACCTCTAAGGACGGTAATGGATTTGTATGTTTTCATCCTTTTCTAATCGTCTCCAGACGCGACTTAGAAGCTAACCAACTCTAGCTGCAATCGATGAAAGTGCCATCTTTCTTAAAATTCCAGGCTGAAGAATACAAGCCCGACACGTTTGAACCGACCGAATGGGATATTCAAAACGCACGCTCCCAAGCTCGCAAGAACGTAATTCGATTCCAACGAGATGCGGACACTGGCGAGCTTAAAAGCAACGCTGTGGTCTACAAATGGAGCGATGGATCCATGACGGTATCAGTCGGAAGTGAACACTACGAGATACAAAAGAAGAGCATGGCCCCAGCAGCCGATAAGCCACACTACGATGAAAGAAGCGATGCTCATTATTACGTTGCAGCACCCCACTTTGCCAACGAGTTATTTTTGACCGTAGGCCATATCTCTGAGCAATACTCGGTCAAGCTGCCTTCGAACCTAAAGGACGAGGCTATCATCAAATTCAACCGTGCCATGGAGGAGGCCGCACGCGCTAGAAGACAAGGAGCAGACAACATTATAACCACTACCAAGGACCCAGAGCTTCAAAAGAGAGAAGCCGAAGCGGCCGAGAAGGAACGCATGAAAGCCCAACGAAAACGAGATAATGCGGCTGCTCGTGTTGATGGGCGTGTCGGGGGTAGTAACTACAGGAGTGGCGGACTATCGATTGGGGATTTGGAGGGTGGACGAAGGGCTGGCGGTTCTCGTAAGAGAGGTGCGCCGGGTTCGTCCAAGGGCAAGCGACGTAAGCCCGAGTACGATTCGGATGATGATTTTGCATCAGGTGGCAACCGTCAAAACGAGTACGACCGCGAAGACGACTTCATTGCTCCTAGTGATGACGAGGATGGAGCAAGCGGAGGTGACGATGACGATGATGAAGATCTCTTGGATGACGAAGAGGAGCCAGCTCCTCGCAGGAAGCGACAGAAGACAGCTGACGCAGAGGACGCCGACGCAGACGCCGATGCAGATCTGGATGATGTGGATATGCCAGCCCCAGCTGCGGAGTCTTCTCACAGACGAAGACGCCACATTATCGACGAGGACGAAGATGACGAATAAAGGAAGCTTCTAAGGCTAGAAGCACAGATAATGGATATTCCACTGCTGGAACGGGCATCGAGAGTTTCTCGATCTGCTTACGCTATATTATTACTTAGGTACCCGACGCTAGTAGATACATAGGGATCCTAGGCTACCTAGGTCCTAGGTAGTATTCTAGCCTATTTCTAGGTATTATTGCAACCACAGCTACATACCAACACGGCGCGGGGCACTACTGTTACCTACTGCATATACTAATGTATGCAGTATGTAGGTACATGCACAGTAGTACATACCTATTAGTAGTATACCTACTACCTAGTACCTAGTAGTTACGGGTACTTGAGTTTGCATATATGGATGTAACATTAATGCACACATTGGATGTGCACTTATAAACTTAGGAACACCATCAAACGATAGCTCCTATAGCTAGCTGTTTCTTATTCAATCTCCAAGTGAAATTATAAACATTGAACTGAACAATTCAATCTCAAGTTACCTTGTGGTCTTGGATTACTATTGGTCATGGGATGGATACTATTTTCTATGGCTTCATTGTTGTATGTACGGTAATGTATCCGAATGCTTTAACTTGGAGAATCCCTGTAGGATCATACTAGGATGAAAGTTGTTAGTGGATAGGGTACCTACATAACTAATACTAACCTAGGTTAAGTTCAGTTCTCTTTCACATGCATCCATGGATAACTAGTAGCTCCGTTCTCCGATTCTAGACCCCTACCCCAAAGAATAATCCCCTAAAAGCATTCCAAGCTCGGCTGTAAGAATCCAAAAACTGGCGCGCTGATCACCCTCGCCCTCACTAATCTCAGACCTTAAGACGTTGTGTTCGTGGCGTCGCCCTGACACGACATGTCATGGCACGCCTTTTTCTTTTCTAGTTCTTACCTCTCTTGCCTTGATTTATATCTCCTATGCTGATGATCATATTATATCCCTCCTTCTATACTCTCCCCTCCAACGGTTTCAGCCGAGGTGCTCTAAGTTGAGAGAGAGAATGCAGGCGATTTTGAGAGTACCCGTCGCTGTGTTTTCCCTGCTGCTGGAAGTGTGTTTGTTCTGGTATAGAGTAAGTAAGCATATACAGAAATTGAATCTACGAAGGCATACGCACCCTAGGTATATCGGTATTCAGTATCTTACACCATCTCGTGCCATAGAAACTCTGGGGAAGATGGACGTCGAAAACTCCAATCGACGAATGGCTCAACGTGCTGCGCCATGCCGAGGTGTACGAAGACTGGGACCATGCGGCATTGCAGTTAGATAACCTCAAGGAGCTCAATCTCTGGTATGCCATTAGAGTACCCATCAAACAACTCGAAATGTAGACACATTGTAGCTGACAGGGACCGTATGCCCCCACTGTAGGCGCAACAATCCTGCCTCTCATTACTACGACTGGATGCTCATCAGCGACCGTCTCGACTCCATCGTAGAGGCTCGCGATAACAATGACCCGCAGTCTTTACTCGATCTCCTTCGCTCCGGCTTAGTGCGCAACCTCGGCAACATCACTTCTCCAAGGTTGTATAACCGCGCTTTCGCTGGAACCAAATATCTGATCGAAGAGTACATTGCGCAAGTGGCCGGGGCCATCGAGGACATCAACCACCGGGTTGCTACGCCGCTACATGACATGTACACTCACTCGTATACCCTCTCGACACAGCGGAAGCTTGACTTTCTACATGACTCGAGACAGGCATTCGGGCGAAGTACTCTTATACTGCAGGGCGGCGCTATGTTTGGGCTGTGCCATCTAGGGGTAGTGAAGGCGCTATTCTTGCGAGGTCTACTACCACGAATTATCACAGGAACGGCAACTGGAGCGCTCATCGCGAGTATAGTAGCTATCCATACAGAAGATGAGCTGCCGGGCGTGTTGAGAGGTGATGGAATCAATTTATCCGCCTTTAAGATTCACGGACAACAAGTGCATGATGAGCATAGTTGGGCACTCTTCGCTGGAACTAACTGGGCCACGTTGCTACGCAGAATCGTGAGGTTTTGGCGTGAAGGCTACTTTCTCGACGTGAAGGTTCTAGAAGAGTGTGTGAAGGCCAACGTGGGCAACCTAACGTTCGAGGAGGCATACAACAGGAGCAAGCGTGTCTTGAATATCACAGTGGCTTCGAAGGGGAACCCTGCATTGCTGAATTACATCACCGCCCCTAATGTGGTATGTCTGTATAACACAATTCCCCATCCAATGCTTATGCGTTTGAGCGCAGGCTCAATATGTAGAGTAGGCGTGCTAACTATATGTGCAAGCTAATCTGGACTGCGGCCCTAGCCTCCAACGCCTCCAGTCCCTCGTTCTATGGAACGACACAGACAACTATACTCTGCAAAGATGTAACGGGCCAGATCGTGCCTTGGACATCCGCCGATTCTTTCGATGTGCATACACACGCGTCAGATCAAAATCACAAGTCACCCTTATCACGCATTGCGCAGCTCTTCAACGTGAACCACTTCATCGTAAGCCAAGCCCGTCCCTATCTAATCCCATTCCTGGAATCCGATATGCACGGGCCCTCCCTCTTTACGGCCCGCTATAAGAGGGCTCAAATGACGGGTCACCTATTCCGCGTCGTCGGGCTAGAACTGCGACACCGCCTACGCCAACTTGACACCTTGGGCCTCTTACCCGTCACCGTTCGCCGATTCCTAGTAGATGAAGAGGTTCCGACTGGCGTTGGTGCTAGCGTAACACTCGTCCCCGAGGTCACGGCGCGCGACTTCGCGAGGCTTCTCGAAACTCCTACGAAAGAGACGCTCGACTACTGGATTCTACGTGGTGAGCGCAGTGTCTGGCCTGCCGTGGGAGCCCTTACGGTGCGTTGCGCCGTGGAGTACGAGATTGAGCGCGCGTATCAACACGCCCGCAGTCTCAAAGCCGGGGGGTTACGGCGGAAGTCTAGCGCTGATGGAGGAGCGGCGGTATTTCATCCGGGCCAAGCCGCAACAGGGCCATCACAGAATAGCAGGCCTTCCGCACAGAGCACCATCACAAATTAGAGATTTCATACCTTGCCCGCAACTACGGCGGAAGTGGATGAAGATGGAGATGGTCTGGAATGGGACAGGCCTGCGGATGGTGAAACCTATCCGAGTTGTCCCCCGAGCGACTGCGACTGGGCGGCCAGCATGGATACGAGGGCCAGAGTGAGAAGGAGAACCCGAAGAGCTCAGTCTGCTTGGGAACAGGGGTCGATAGCAGCTGCGCCAATTTCACATGCGCGACAGCGGCACAGGATGTCTATCCCACAAGGAAAGATGGCGGAGTATGGTGGTTAGCGCTTAGTTGCAGTACCTACCTACCTATCTACCTACCCTAGGTACCTACCTAACCTAAGGCTGGCAAAAGCTCGAAGGGGAAAGTACAATACGGTGTCAATGAGATAACTTACCATGCCTACCATACATGCCATACCTACATGTGTCAGGTACATATGAGCGGAGGGCGGGCGGAACTTTTTCTGTTAGCTGCCGGAGAAAGCCCTGTGCCAAGATAGCTCGAGCGCCGGTGTCTTGGATGGGCTTGGTTTGCGTTGCGTTGCGTCGCGGTGCGTTGAGATGATGCAGTGTGTGATTTTTTTCTATTTTATTTTTAATTATAGGTATGCTTATTACCTGCCTAGGTATCAAGCTTTGCAAGGGGACCGTTCGAACACCCCTAATAAGAACCTTAGCCAGCCAGCCAGCCAGCCAGTAATATAAAAGACGTGTGGTGGTGGTGGTGTTATTCTAATTATATACATACATGTACCTACTGTACCTATCTTATTGCCTGCCTACCTCCCTACTTACTTGCCTACTAGGTACCCACGTACATATGTACCTACTTAAGCTTATGACAAAGCAGTGGTGGTGGTATTCGTAGGACGCCCAAAAAAAAAAAGCAGCATTTTCCGAGACTAGGGGGGTTTGCGCTCGTTGGATGCTACGCTGTGATGTGATGCATAGAAAGAAAGAAAGAAAGAAAGGAACAAGGGCGGGTCAGGCTTGACCGGCCTTCGCGAAGCTTGCCGCTTTCTGTCTGTCTGTCTGTCTAGGTAGGGGGGAGGGTGGGAGCAGGCCGGCGCCGGCCATGATGGGGGGTGGTTTATTTGAACACATACATAGGTAACTACCTACATGTGTCATGTCTTCTTGGTAGTTAACTATTAGGTAGGTAGGCATCTATTCATGTGCGTGTGTAGTCGGTTTGCTTTCGTTGCTACCTAACCATGTAGTGTAGTAGTGTGGCTAGGGGGTACATCTGGAGGTGCGTAGTGTATGTTTATTCTTAATGTCCGAAATGAATATCTGCAGTAGGTAGGTAGGTTTGAGGCTTGACCGTGTTAAGCTGCATCTTGGCTACCATTGTACTGTGTTTTTTCTATCCGTGTATGCATGTATGTATATGATAATAAGTAGGTTATATATGTAGGTATCTACTACATCCCTAGTATCGATGCATACTTACATAGGTACCTATGTAGTAGGTCTATATGGTAGTACAAACCTGCCTCGGTGCGAGGTACGTGCAATGCAATAGGAAGATGCTATGTTATATTAATAGGGTAAGATAAGGTTGGCAGATATATCTGTAGGGCCAGATATGTACTAGGTATCTTAGTTGCCTAAGCATGCGAAATGGTCAGACAATGTGTGACGGACGATGTGTGGGTGGGCTGTAGAAGGAGGATCAGAGAATGGGGGAAGGGGGATTAGGGAAGAAGAGAGAGGCCCTGATGTGAGAGCACTGAGCAGAGCCTCATGCTTCACCTAGGTACCTAACCTACATATGTAGCTATAAAGCGGTGTGGGCGAGGGTTGTGAACTTCTTTAGGGTGACTTGGTACTAGGTAGTTAAGGGCTCTGACTGGTAGTTACACTAAAGGTAGGTTTGGTTTGTGTCTTCATCCGCCATTGGTTGACTACTATGTATGTAAATGCATGTCTAAGTTACCTACATGTATTTCGTGCAATTGGACTGGGGTGCGTGGAAGGATGGGTGGTGCCGGATGCAAAGGGATTGGCAGTAGATGAATAGGGTAATAGGTAGTTAAAAAGACGACTGGCCCGGACTGGGTACTGAAGATGTCGAATGTCTGCAGCGAACTCTACAGCGAACAAGTAACTAATTACTACTTAGTAGTATGGTAAGGGTACCTCTGTTCTTACCCCTGGTCCCCTGTCATGCAAGCTGTTTATGTAGGTGCTAGGTTAGCTATGTACGTCGTAGGTCGTGAGGAAGTTGATGATCCCTAGGTCATGGGCCATGACAGGGTGATTGGTGATTGCTAGGTATCCTTGCACGAAATAGCTTCCCAGAAGCGTTCCACAGAGCTTCTAGAAATTATTGGCGAGATACTAAGTTCCTTAGCGGGTGGATGTACTTGTACATGTCCTACATAAGGCTGGCGGTTCAGAAGCACGTTTCGCCACTGAGTATTTCGACAGGTCTTTACAATAAATTAAGGTAACTTGCATGCATACCTTAATTATTGTACATACTACATACCTACCTACATCTAAAGAAGGTCCTACGCTAAGACACGATAGGACGATAGCCCTACATAGTACATACTACTACTAGTAGTATGTTGCTACCTAGCAGAAGACTTCTTTCAGCAAAACGAACTAGCACGGGAGTGAGCGACCAAGTCGGCCAGTATCGTATCTCCAATGGAACGCTACTTTATCACCGATGCTTTCTACCTATCTGTCCTATCAGATTCAAAACATGGGAACCTTGAAGATTTGTGTATGATGCTAAGGACTTGGCTTCACCGTTTCTTCCTTTGAACAGCAACTGGCTTTCTTCATAGTCGTCAAGTTTTGACGTTTCAAGTATATGTAGCCATGACCTAAATAGGCCACGCAGGACTACGCGGGGCTCGACTTTTGCCTCTTCTCTTTTCTCTTTTTCCCTTTGGAGGGGTTTTCTTCTTTTTCTTTTTTTTCTTAGAGTTGTCAATTGTTAGGTACAAGGTATGTATTCCGTAGCCTGTTACAGCGTAGATCAAAGCACGACGATTGAGCGGTTGAATTACGCCACAATGGATACAGCGCGCTTAAAGTGCACAGGCTTTACGCGTACATAGTACGACCTGAAGCAAGTCCCCGTCGGGTCGCGGAAGTTTCAATGACAAAAGTGGAATGTCCAGGTCGGGGGCCAGGCCGAATGAGCAATATCGGGGGAACGTGGAGATGTACATACCGCCGGGTTACAAATTAGCAACTTAGCACACTTGCCTCGTAACTTGCCTCGTAGCGCGTAGTCGGCTAGTTAGATGTATCATAGACACGTAAGTGGCATATATTCAACCAGGAATTACATGTAATTAGAAGCGGTGTGGATATGGAGGTGAAGAGACGGTGCAACTATCATCTGGGAGCTCGGTTGGTGATTCTCCAATACAATAGACCGTCCTGGCGCGCTGTGCTTGTGACCTCGGTATCTCAAGTAGCTTAGATAGGTACCTTAGTAGGGTTGATCCAGGCCAGCCACGAATAGCCACCGAGCAAAGACTGACAAGATTGTTACGGAATCTTGTCTTAGGAGACTTCGTTTTGCGTCGTACTGTCAATCCTGTCGTCGACTCGTCGCTAATATTAGCTCTGGTTATATCACGATTCACGAGTCTCAGCTTTCAAGTTTCGCGGAGATCCTGACACCCTAACAGACTTGGACTGTGGCTTGGAGCTAGCGATGGGGAGATACGTGTTCAGTGGTTGTACGCGCCTACATTGCCCTACATTGCCCTAGGTTACATAGTTATGTAGTCCCTAGGTTAGATTAGTAGACAGTACAAGTACCACATCGGGCTTTTCATCCTCTTAGCTCCTTCGCGATACATACATTGTAGGTCCTAGAGATCTCCGATTGACCAGGTTTCTTACACAACTCTTAACAAAGTCACCTAACCTACATTAGATATATGCCGTATCTTATTCCCATCTTGACTTCGAATCTACACTACATACCTCCTTCGTATAACAGTATAATGCCTAGTAACTAGATTCTATATACATACCTACTCTACTAACCTAGACAGACAGCGATCATAACACCGTGCTGCAGCAGATACATGAGGGAAAAGGAAAGCAGCTGATTTAATCGTAGGGGTTTTTGATGCATATGTTAGACACTATTCGTAACCTAGGACCGAATGTCGAGTCTGGAAATGGCTGATTACCTACCCTAAGTAGTACATATGCCAGGTTAGATGGCATGCATATGGATGTATTGTACAATACTACAATAGTATGACTAGGTAGTAGGCAGTACTAATATAACTACCTACATGTACGCAGTAGTTACTAGGTACAATACAATACATACATCTAGTTATACATGGATCAACTACGATCGTCGGATACCCTGCCTGTCCATGGGCCATCAAAACCGTTGTGGACTAGGAACACCCTGGTATGAGGTTGTAATCCGTACATGTAGCGTCGGTAACTCCATCCATACCTAAGTACTAAGTAGAGATACTATGCCGTACGACATGCCATAGCTTCAATGACGGGGATGAAAAAAAGGTTTCTCATCTGATCGTTGGTGCAGGAAGCCAAATGGGAGCACATGGGTACTTACATACAGGATACTGCATTGCATAATTTGCATTGCATTGTATTGTATTGTATTGTATTGTATTGTATTGTACAGCTCAAGAAAAGTGAGGCAGTCCATGCCGCTAGTGTAGAGGTTCAGCGCAACTGGCTTCTTGCTCTTATTTTAATACATCTTCGGATTACATGGTTGGATTACACCTCCGGATTACATGGTCGGATTACACCTCCGGATTACATATATACAATATATATAGCTATGTAACATTGAATACAATGATATTATATACATACATACATGCAGCAAAAACAGGTACGACATGTCCCCAAACCATCCATGATAACTACATATCCATATGTATTTAGACCCATATCCAAAGTTTCCAAACAGTACCTAATGAATTATGATGCACCATCTATGATCTACTTTGCAATTGGGCTCAAAAAACTTTGCAACTGCAGACGAACGAGAACAGCATATAACCTAGCAGCATATAACCTAGCAGCATATAACCTAGCAGCATATAACCTAGCAGGATCGCTGCTACAGAATAACTTCTTTCGTCACTGCTTTCTCTTTTTCTTCCCCCTCTTCCCAATGCTATAGCACATATATATTATGTGACTTCCAACCCCATAAAGAAGCTCCGAAGCAAAGCTGAATATTCTGAATATTCACATTCACATTCACATTCATCTACTGTTCTTCAGTTGACCAGCTTCTACCGACTTTATACTTGCAAATGAAAATAAAATAAAACAAACAAACAAAAACATAACCAGCTACCTTATTATTTTTATCTCTATCTCTATCTCTATCCCCATCTCTATCCCCATCTCTATCCCCATCTCTATCCCCATCTCTATCCCCATCTCTATCCCCATCGGCAGTGTACAAGAGTGGCGTCTTGTTGGCGTGCCTTCTCCATTGCTTTCCCCTAAGCCATACAAGAGCCTGCCGTCAACCGGAACAGTTCGTGACACCACGTACATTTGTTCTGGATAGTGAGGCGCTCTCGCAGCACTACTACGCCGAGCCCTGAAGCATTTATTCGACTTTGCCTGATCTTTTATTCGTCATATCTTTCTTCTCTTTCATCTCATTTAATCATCAATTTTTATCACATATCGCTTTTCACACAATATGCCTCCTCAAGACCCAGCGCCCCCATACACCGTCTCCGTCGAAGGAAACTCCGAGTCTAGCCGAGAGAATGCTGAAGTAAGTGATTCCGGCTTTTACACCGATAATTTCACCCACGATCGCCCACCGTATCTAAACCACGACAACATCTCCTCTTTGCAACCTTACGGCTCTCTCACTCAGTATATGGAGCGGCCCCGCAGCGTCGAATACCCCGACCCTTTTGAGCTCGATGCCTACCTCAACGCCAGGCACGTGACTACCACCGGTGCGCACTACGCTCACCGGCGCTACACGCCCTCGTCCACGACCAACAGCACGGTCAGGGGACGGGACCCTTACACCCAACGACCTGAACTCTCATACGTACTAAGTTATGACAACTACTACAATAACGCCACGGCCGCGGAGCAACACATGCCGCAGCTGACGGAGCAGAACATCGCGCACGTCAACTCGACAGCGCCCTACGACGGCAACATCCACAACTGGCTGCCTGGGGCGGGGGGTCGGACTTACCAGAACCAGTACCAGCCCTACAACCCCTACCACTCCGGCGAGAACAGCCACCACTACTACCACGACGACAATTGGAGCACACGGAACCAAGTGCTAGCAGCAGCGGCGGCAACGGGTAGCAGCCGCGCCGCGCTCTCGACTAGCCTGTCGTCGTCGTCGTCATGGTCCATGGTTCCCCCATCCCAGGACGAGCAGCGTACCGCGGAGCTCCTCCGCGATGTGGGCCACTGGTCCGACATCCCCGCTGATCCTAATACCACGCTGGCGAGCCTGCGGGATGAGGATATGTGGGGCACTGGGGCCTTTGATCCGGGACAATGATGAGGACGTGCGTGATACTTTGATGTATGATGCGAGACAAGGATGAGATGAGGGTGATGGATGATGTAGCCCGGTAAACCGGCAGGAACTGCCGAGTAGGAATAAAGGGGGAGGGGGGGTGTAAACAAGACTTATACCGGCGCGGTGGCGTTCTTTGGGTAGACACATACCTAGGTACCTAGGTAACTCGACACGAAAAAAATGGGGCTGTCATTGGCCTATAGGCGGGCGTATGGGAAAACATAAGGGAGGCTACGTTGCGACGATATTATTATTGGCCATTTTTCTCCTTTTTGGCTCGGGTCTGGGCCTCGTTTGGGTTGGGGTTGGTTAGCCTTGCTTGCTTTGCGTCCGCGTTGGAATCATCTTATCCAATAAGCGAGAGATCTGTTCAGCGGCATATATGGGTAGGGCGATCTGATTTTTTGGAAAGTTTATTTGTGTACATAGTTATATTTTTCATAGCTTTTCATAATGTTTGTAGACATGATGGGGTGTATGGATATCGGTTAATGTTGCAGGTGTCTGAGGCACCATAGGCTTCACTGGAGCTATAGGTATGGCCCATATGGCCATATATGGGCACTCCGCCATAATAGTTAGGAATAAACTAAGCTTTCTTCCTTCCATCTTCCTTCATCTTAGTTGCAGTTGTGCTGCAACAGTTAATAATTAGGGGGTGGTGTTGGAGGTGCGGCAGCTATTCTTTTGGAGGCGTTAATATAAAATGTATATTTGCATCGTTTTGATTAGTGAGGCATGATGATCGATGGAAGTGCATTTTCTTTCCCCTGCTTGTTCCCAAGTGAGAGAGAAAGCTCGATCCCTCGCGATGCTGTTGCCTGCTCATGGCTTGGCTTATTGATTTAGAACCCAAGGCGAATGATAATCTTCCTGCCCAACGATCGAGGAATGCCTACCTATGTAAGCATACCTAGAAAAGGGATGGGTGGAGAGAAAAGGTACCTCGAAGGAGGTTGCGATCAAGTCCTGCCAAACGCTTTTGGCCCGTTCTGGGCCCAAGCCCCCTAGGTTAGGTATGTAGATGCAAGCTTCACCCATCCCATCATCGCGCTTTATACACTCGGGAACCACTGTCGCGGTTCGCCGAGCCATTTCATCACACCGCGCCACATGATAAACGCCCCCTTTTACCTTCTTCTTCTTCTTCTTCTTCGTGACCTTGGCCCTATCTTGGTAATCGTGCCCAACCTAGGTATGATTATCTGTTTCTTCACTGTGCCGTTGCATCCTCACCTTACAAACACACAAACAAACAAGGTACCCCATATCGCAGCCCAATTACGGGCCATGCAGGTAGGTAGGGTGACAGATGTCTTCAATGTGTTCTCTCTCCCCTTTTTTCTATCCAGGTATCCAACAATTTTGCTGGCCTGCCTAGGTATTGTACAATACATACCTGGTTGTGCCTGTGTATGTACGGCAGTGACACATCATCCCCGGGGGCTACATGCATCATGTAGTACCTACTGCACGTGATTTTGGGTCCGCCTGCATATCGTTAACACCCAGGTTGTCGGGTCCGTTCGTTTTGTTTTTCTTTGCTCGTCGCATGGCAGCCAGTACTTTCACCGAGAAAGTAAGACTTTTTTTTTTTTTTTTTTTTCCTTCTCTCTTCACTCCTCTCAATGGCCATCAAGATGAAAGGTAAACGAGCGATACACGCACACGCACCCGAGTTCCACTTGCAAAAAAGGGGGGAGGGGGGGTGGAAATAGAAAAACGGGAAAAGGAAAACGAGGGGCAAAAGGGGACCAAAAAAACATCACGTAGTCCAGCCTGGCAGCAATGGGAATAAGCAATTGAAGAATATACTAGGGTTCTGGTAGGTAGGTGGTGTAGGCAGCGTCTGAATCCTTCCACTCTCCAAATGCAAATCGTGAATCCTACGACAGACAAGCCCGTAGGTATGTACCGAGTCTTGGTCAGCCAAGTGATGCTGAGCATACATACCTATGCGTCTGTCTACATAGGTACCTTACCTACCTACCTTATACGGGAAATACATTGGTATAGCTCGCTCGGTCCGAGGTACCGTAGGATGCAAAAAGATTTCCGGTCTAATCGAAGACTGAGAATGACTTAATCGTGCCCAAAAAGAAAGAAAGCCTGGCCCCCCAGATGCCGCAGTTCCGTTCCAGAAAAATGGCATGCCCGGTTCCGATGCCCCATCTGCTCCGGCCGTGTGATAGCTCGTATTTTTGCGGTCCATTATGTATCTTCGATTTGTCGATTGGGTAGATATTCTGGGCTTAGGTATCCGTAGGTAGGTGCAGTTTTCTCATTATCCGACCCCACCCCCTTTTTTCTTCGTCTATGGTTAATTTCTCTCTCCTTTTCCAAAATAAATGTTGTAGATGATGCTGCTAGCCCCATTGGGCTAACCTAGCTTTGTATGGGCTGCCTTGTGCTGGCACTGCGCCGACATAGCTAACCTAGGAGTAAAGCAAGCTTTCTTCTTTCTATTTTACCGCTTCTTGGTTGGTGCTTGATAGCAACAATAAATCTTTTGCGGCATGAGGCATTGGAGGGGGGCTGAGAATCTGAAGCTCGACGATTCTGGACCTATCGTTTTCAATCGCCTAAGGTGTACATCCCTAATTGAGGTAGGTTTTAGGGGTAGGTGCCTAGGCAGTTAGAGGTGGGTATTGATTACTGTATAGCTCGGGCTATAGAGAAGTCCAATGAAGCTGATCAGCCTCACATCTTGTAGGTAGATAGGTAGTTACGCCCCTGTTCGTCTCTCCTGCTGCCGTTCCCGTCAGCCCTGTTGCTGGGGTTGGAGGATCGCCAACCGTTTGAACGTACCTGATACATAACATACCTGGGTACCTAGGTATGTACCTACTTAGGAAATAAATAGCCCAGTAATTAAGTAAAATATAGCATGTATGCAATGCATGCATGACATATGTCAGTAGGCGCTGATCATGCATGTATGTAGGTATGGGTAGGTACACTAAATGTGTAAATAGGTACCTAGGTAGGTAGGCATGCATGTCAAGCGAACGCTCTGCCTCTGGAGGACGAACGATATCGCGCTGTCGATCCGTGCCTTGACCACACCCACACCCACAGCCCACCATCACCCCCACTTCTTCATCTCGCCCTTTGAACTTTGATCGTGGGGTAGGTAGTTACGTGTTGTCAGTTTTCCCCGATGTGCTAAGGCCAATGTCGATCGTTCTGTTTTGCAAGCATTGCTGGAAGAGTGGGAGACAAGTGGTGGTGGGTGGGCTGGTTTTCGCGGGGCAATGTGTGTATGCGTTTCCCTTCGTCCCGACATATGCATCTTCACCGACGCCTGGAAACAAGGCATCTCGAAGCCGGACACACCTCCCCCCTTTTGGGTTCACCCCCCTTTTTTTTTCTTTTGCCTATAGAACACCTAGCGCACAGCCGCCTGACTTTGCATATTCATTGGGTATAAATGAACGAGGACGCAAGGCCCTTTTGTTCCTTGTTGAATAAGTAGTTACGCGAATGAACGTGTGAACTTGATTGCTTGCTCTCGCTGCGTTATCATAGTCGTTGGATAGGTACATACTACTACCTCCGTACACAGATCGGCAGGCGGGCTGATAATTAGAGACGTGTTCGTCGTTTTCTGGCCGGAGTACCGGCTTGGTTGTCGATGACGAGGGCGGATGTATCGTAGGAAATTACACTTTGGCAACCGAGAAACCGCGTCTACCTGGATCTGCCTTTTCCTTTCCTCACCTCGCGTGTGGGAGAAGAGGCTATCCGATCGTCTTGTGTATCTTGAGTAGGTACCCAAGCTAGGACTTTGGGTAGCCAGCCGTATCGTACCTGAGGCCCAAGCTTCTCTATTGCTTCGATTCCAACAGGACGGAAGGTTCCTTGTCGTACAAGATGCACGCATCGCATGTTGATCGAGCGAGTACTCTCATCATCGCTTGTCCCTCTCTCTTTCTCCCCTCTCGCCCGCTCTATCTGCTGCCTGGACGCACGTCTGCTCATCACCGTAACCCTCGGATCACCCGTATCGATCGGCGACGTCAAGGATAACCCCGGAAACAATTCCACCCATTGACCAAGCGGAACCACGGGGAAGCTCGGGCGTAGGTGGTATTGAAGCCTCGCAAGGCTTTGCAGGATCAAGCTTATAGCATTATTTATCGTCGTTTACTCCTTTCTTCTTTCCCCTAATTGGTTCCTCGTCGGACGACATTCGAATCCCCATATCCACCCGAGAGATTACGGTGCTGTATTTCGTAATGGAAATGATGTGGAAGGATGACGATAATGCAAGATCTGAGTTATGTTGGTAGGCTACGAGGTGTAGGAATGTTTGCTCGAGTCCGTACCCCTCCTACTAGCCGAGCAGCCCGTGCTTAGGATTAAGGGGGTGATGATTGTGCGGATGCAGTTACTGGGCAAGCGAGAAAAAGTAAATTGGTAGATTTGGACACGATGACGGCTACACGAGGGTAGGTGGGAATGGTAATAGTATCTTGGGCAGAGATGCTTTGGGCAGTAATGAGGGATCGCTGAGTGATGCCCCAACAAGTCTGTACACATTATGGGCCGCCTAGTACGATTGACATTAGCCATTCAGGACGCTGAAAGAGGCCTGCAGAAGGCCTCAGCGAATGACCGGCCGAGGGATTACAGGAAGAGAACAAAGATTGATATTGATTGGATGCTCGCGGTGAAGCATGAATTTGGCTTCGGACAACGGGTCTGGTGGAGTCAGGGGCTGAACCTCGATTGGATGAACGGAATGTGATCATATAACTAATATAACCAACCACCAGGGGAAACAAGGAAGAAGGAAAGCGGCCAGCGGGGAGAGACAAGAACACAGAAAGATGTGAACTATTATGTACCGACTTGAAGTAGGTAAATCTCCCTTTGACGCCATCGCTATATGAATTTTTACAAAGTAAGTATCGTGAACCCTATTCGGAGGACACTGAGCATCCTAAACTATTATTTTTTCATTAACCCGACCTGATCATGTCCATAATCTACAAGTCCCATCTGCTCCGGCACTAACACACCAAGGATGATGGGGATGCCAGTCGATGTCCGTCACACCAAGCCTATTAACTACCTTATGACCCTTGAGCATTTTTACAGGAACAATAGTTGGTCCTTCCATTAGGTCGCTCACAACCTTGCTGTGGAAGATTTGCAGAGTCCCGTCGTCGCTACAATCAGCGAACAATGGGAAGCTACGGTGAAACTTCACAGCTCTGATAGCTTGAGGGTGGAACCGCATCGTCTTGTACGGCCGGTTTGACATCTCAAGATCGTGCCAGAGCAAACGGCGATCATATGATCCAACAACCAAATTGTCACCAGCAGGATGTATGTCAAATGAGGAGATCCAACGCGCCCCGGGTTGGATGTTTTTGACCAGCTCTTGCTTTTGAAGATCGTAACAGCGAATAGATCGTTGGGTAGCCACAAAGAAAAGTGGTCGCGATGGGTGAAATGCTGCCGTCTGTGCCAATCCAGCTAGCTTTCGGAATGGAATCTGGGTGAGATGCTTGGATAGAGTGTGAATGGCGACCGAGCTTCGTTGTCCACTGGGGGATACAGTGCAGAAAAAGTCCCCTCGTCGGTGCCAGCTGATGGTTTTCACCGGTGAACGAACTGTGATCTTTAGCAAGACCCCCTCGTCTTCGAGGCGCGCTCCTGGTCGTGACCATTTTGCAGGCGGGTCTTTTCTTGCACCATTGGCTGTCATGAGTTGCTTGGCGTTGGCGGCATAACCAAACCCTGCGTCTAGTATATCTCGGCTAGCCTGTTCCAGTGCTGGGTTCCAGTACGATGGGACCATAAGGAAAATATCCTCGCTCACAGCCGCTGAGAGGATATGCGCTTCCGGGCCGGGTCGCCATCTTACCATATCGACTGGATCCTCATTGCTAAGCTTGACTTTCCATCGTTCTTTACCGTCAGTCAGGCTCCACACTCTTACTGTGCCATCATCACCACCACTTGCTAACCATTCACCCGTCGGATCAACCGAAACTGATCGCACTCTACCCTCATGGCCGGCGAATTCTATCGATGCGATAGTTGGGAAAGGCCGTAATTCCTCGGGGCGGGGAAGTTTCGGGAGCAATGAATTCGGATCGATGTTGAGCCTATTCTTCCGTATTCGTGGCGCAAGATAAAGATCAAGGCATCGCTCAAAACGCTCATTGATAAAGCGTTCATACGCAGGGGCTCTTCGCAGCGAACCGTATCTTTGGGGCAAGTATTCCTTTTCTCGCTCTTCAGGATCCATCTCTTCCCAGGCCTTCCTTTCCTCCTCTGTAGGGAGATACTCTGGAGGTGGGTTGTAGCTTAGATCATAACCAGGAGGAGCAAGTTTAGGCGCTGGGATGTGCATTACGTTTGGCGGTCGAGGTACCTCGTCAGCCCATAAGTCATAATGCACTTCCTCCTCCTCTTCTAGTTCCCTCTCCCTCTCCTCTGGAGGCTTGTAAGGTAATATTCGGCCTTCCTGAATGGCCTTGACTAGTTTCATTATTCGCTTAGCTTCGTGCTTCGAAGGTAAGAAACGTCGCTTCGGCTCTGGCGCAGAGCTCAATGGCATTATCTCCTCGAAACTAGTGAACCACTCGACAGTATCCTGTGTAGAAATTGAGTTAGAAAAAAATCGCATCATATGTGAGCTATGGCTGGCACTCACCGGATATGGATCATATCCTTCCTCAGGGACCTCATTCATCTGGACTCGTCGTAGCAACTCCAACTCGTCCTGACTCAGCTTCAATGGCTTGCCAGTCGCAGGGTCAGTAAGACCAGTCCATCCCTTTGGCACTTCGATACTATCCAATAGCGCATCTAGCGCCTCGCCTGTGGCAGGGCGCATGATCTTCTTTCCGTTGATGTCATATCCTATGTGAGGGTATGAATCGTAGAAAGAGAGAGGTATGTCACCAATGGTGTTGACAGGTCCTTGGGCGTCTGAGTCGTCCGAGTCGTATACGGGGTCAATGTCATCGTATACATATCTCGTTCCTCCATTGGCATCGGTCTCGATCTTGTAATGGGGACCAGTGTCTTCTTGGTTGGGTTCAACTCCATTTTTTAACGTTGACTGGTTCTTTTCTATGCTCTCGTCATCAGTTGGTATGTCGTCGCTGTTTATTTCGTCTTCGTCCCCTGAACCTAGTGAAGTTCCTTCTACATCATCGTCACCATCAGTTTCCTCATCTACTTCGGAGTCTTCTTCCTCTTCATCGGATTCGCCGTCTAGCACCCCCTCCAGAAGACCGTTTCCGAACTCATCATCGGATTGAGGTTCTTGTATATTATTGACCTCAACCAAGGAAGCTTTGCGCTTCAGGCTGGATCTGGTGGAAACCATTTGCACGAATTGTGAAATTCTGCGCTGCAAGATCTTGAAAGGGTTGAAGATGTTTTCTCTTAGAAAAAAAGAAAAAAAGAAAAAAAAAGCCAATCGACGGTTAGAAAAAGTTGGACCCAAACTTTTTTTTTGAACGGTGGGGCTTTCTGCCACGACTAAAATAGCTTACCGCCTTCCAAATTGGTATTTTAGAGTTTAGTTTAATTTCGGTGCTAGGTACGAATACATGTACTTCGTACCTTAGATATTTCACCTGGCAATGTTCAATGCTCACTTCATTCCGACTAACCTACCTACCTACATATCTAGTAGTAGTGACACTTCAAATTCAAGATTCTTCAACTTTCAACAATGTTCAACACCTCAAGTGTTTTCTTATAAAATTTAAAATAAATCATCAACATAACTATCAATTAAATTCTCATAACACATACATACACAATGCTAATCTCCTACCAGCAAGTCAAAACTTATACAACAGCTGTAGGCAAAGCGAGGACATTCCTCCGTTTTCCAGTCTGACAATTGCCATCCACATCCGAGAACGTGTATTGTGTACATTCGAAGACAGGTAGTACGAGACCACATTCATACGTCGAAGTGCTCGTCTCGTCAAGTATGTAGTTGTATGTGGCATTATACTTCTCGCTGTAATACCAGAGCTCGTTTGACGTGAACCTCCACTTGTTTCCACCATCGCAGTCCGTCCAGTCGTCTAGGCCCTGACAATAGTCACAAGCGAACGACGTATCGCACACTTTCGTGCCATCCTCGATCACGTGCGCCTCCCAAATGACGTCAAAGAAATCACCGGTACCAATGATGGACATGTCAAGACATGGGAATCTTATTGGTGTCGCACACAGCTTACACGCGACGAAGCAATCGCAGCCGTCGGGGCAGCCATCTTCTTGTCGCGGGCTGACTTGCAGTTCGTAACTGCGTTTTGTGATGCCTACTGGCTCTGGCAGCTCCGGCCCCACTGTCACCATACTCAAGTCTGGGCTCGTCGGTGTGTGCACAGACCCGAGGAGCTGAGGAGCAGGGGTCTGCACAGCAGGTATGTTATCCACTTGTCGCGGTGGGAGTAAGTCGAGTTGGCACGCGGCGTAGGTAGTGGTTCCTAAACAGACTTGTCCGGGTGAGGGGCAGATTGGAGTGCCAGTAGCCGTGGGGATGTTGCTGGGAGGAGGGCACACGGTCGTCTCTTCGCATGCGGAATGCCCCCCAGACCCATTGCAGAGGGTGGTGGTGGACCAGGGCCGCGGACACGAGGTCGGGGGGATAGGGGGCAGGCTGGGTCCAGTGGTGGTGCTGGTGCTGCTACCTCCACCACCTCCACCCGGAGGAAAGCCTGACGTGATTGTTGTGCGCGATGGTGTCGCGCCGGAAGAACTTGGATCTTTGGGGTCTTGGTACCCCGGCGGGTAACCGGTGGGTGTAGGATTACACCAGTAACCGGAGCACACGATGCCGCCGCACGCAGTCGGGTTCACACATGTTGGACCGACTGACGAGCCCGTGGTAAAGCTGATGATAGTGCCGCCACCGTCAATTGGGGGTATGGTACAGGAGTCGCCTAACTGACGCTCAAAGAGAAGAGTGTCGTTGCTTCGTATCATAACGGCCGGGTCTGCAGCTACCTCAACGCTAGCGCAGGAGGGGGGTGGAACATAGTCGGTGATATCGGCCGGCAGGTCCGGGCACACGTTGTTCGGATCACCGCCATTAGGGAAATCTAAAAGGCAGTTTACACCCTGGTCCATACCATTCCACACAAGGGGGACCGTTTCACCAGAAATTGGGAAGCGCGAATTCGGGATAATCTCGCGTTGCAATGCAACAATCATGGCTTTTACTGCCTTGGGGCCGTTTGTGTTTGGTTGGTTGACTAAAAGAAGAATCACATTAGCAGCTGTTTAGGGGAAAGTGGGGAGAGCTGAGAGCAGAAGATGGAAGGGAGACGGATGTCTTTACTCACGCTGATCATGCCATTGTGACTGGAGTTGCTTGAAGTATGCAGCGAGCCCTGCTACCTCGGGTGACGCAAAGGAGGTACCCGAGACGACCTCGTAGCTCGACTGCGAAGTCCCCCACAGAGACTTGCCCGCTGCGTACGTGGTAAGAAACGAGGCTGTCTGCGAAAAGCCAGCGCGCTTGCCGAACTGATCGCTGGCGCCCACGATAATCAAGTTCGGGAGGTAGCCGAGGTCGTTCGGGTCCGACGAATCCCGCCAAAGGTTCTTTCTTGAATTATCCGGGTCTGCGAACAACTGTGGGTACGTGTCGACAGCCTCTCGTTTTGAAGCTGGGTTCGAAGGATCCGGAGTCAAGCCCCAGTTCCCTGCTGATATTACAATTGTAACACCCGCCCTGTCCATTCTCTTAAGAAGGTCGTATAAGGTGCGAATAAATACTGGGGTCCAATAAGTGTACTTTGAGCCCCAGGAGAGGTTTAAAACGGAGCTTGCGGGTGTCCTCGGCGCCGTGTTCATATCTTCCCATGCGCTCAGGAGATCTTCCAAGTACCAATCCCGGACGTTGTAGGTATCATCTGATGGCAGATCATGGCCGGAAAACACGACGCTGCACCCCTGGCAGACCCCCAACATGGCGCCGCTGATTGTTGCTGCTACGGTGGTGCCGTGATGCGAGGCAATGTCGTTGGGGACACCGAGGGTACCGTAACGGCTTTGCGGTGGCATTGCACGCGGCGCTGTCCGCCCAGCGAACTCGGGGTGGCTGGTCCATAGTCCTACCTCTCCTATGGCATAGACAGTGATGCCCGACCCAGCGGAGTCGTCGTAATAGTATACATAATTTCGGTCGGTATTAATACCTCCTCTTAGCCCCGACTTCCATCTTTGACCACGGGGCACTGAAATCAACGCGTCGTTCCAATATGCGCCGACAACAGCGGAAGTAGCTTCCCTTTTCGAAGGCTGGGTTTTGTCAGCCTCGGGGGTATCTACGCGGGATACGTTGTAGGACAGATCGTGGAACAGAGATTGGTACTCGTCTTGCGTGTCTGCGCCGCTAAGAAGCGTAGCTGGCGATATGAATTCTCCTGAGTCCACGCCGAAAATGGGGGTGCCGACCGCCGGGCTATTAACGTTCCACTCATGATAATCATATATATACAAAACAGCGGGGTTCTGCGAAAGTGCCTCTCTTGTGCTGCCAGGAAGGCTCTGGACCCAAAAGTATGCTGTATAGCCCAGCTTAGGGGACCAGATCTGGTCAGAGAAGTCATTCTGAAGATTTAATACGATACTTCCCACGTTCATGGGGTCCCTGGGGTAAACCACGACACCGACATCGACACAATCAGCACGATGCCTTACTGTTGGGAAATCATAGGCTATTACATCAGCTGATCTAGGGCCAGCCGAGCGAGCCCTCGCCGCAGCCGTCGGGGGCACGGTGCAAGTTTCAACCGTAGTGGTGCGCGTTGCTGTATTTGAATAGCTCGCGTCGCAACCGACGACGGGCTCGCAGTCAGTGACTGTAGCTGTAGCCGTCGTTGACGTGAAGGTATCGGTCGACGTGACTTCAAAAGTAGTCGTCGCAGAACATATGGACGCCGTTTTGGTTGTGCAGCCCGAAGTCGGTTCCGACGAGTACGTGAGCAAATTGTCCGTGCCGATGGTAATCTCGGGCCACGGCGGTAACGAGCCTGAGAGCGTGAATCCCGGGGGCCATTCAATTCCCGGCGGCGGTCCAGGAGGGTATATACCGGGGGGAAAAGACCAGAACCAACCACCTATATGAAGGTCGTTATGCGAAATACATATAAAAAAGAACCAGAGCGTACAAGGCTGCTTCGAGCCATCGATGGTAGGTTCTGGCTTTGTGACATCAGTGGTGACGGGGGAAATGACACCTGGTGGCCAGGTCGTCCAGAGTGGCAGCGGGGTGGTCGTTGTCGGTGATGTTGGCAGTGTTGTGGGAGAGGGCCCTGCCCACACCGTGACAAGACTACAATCGACCGACACGACAGCGGCTGTCGATGCCAAAAAGGTTACTACCTTGGCAGTCGGGCAATCAAAGCCTATAGCCCACGTTGTGGGAGTCGAGCAGTCGGTCACGACCGTGACAGCGGGCGTGGCAAAGACAATCGAGCTGTCAGGCGGGCACGTAACCGTTGTAGGTGGTACCACGGCCGGGAAGCTGATGGTTGTGACCGTTGGACCGGTTACAGTCACGGTGGACGTGATACCTGTGTAGTAGGTGCTGGTGGCGCCAGGGCCGGGCTGGGGGCTAGTAACACTCCCAGCAGGCCCTCCGTCGATTTGCGGCCATGGCGGGAGAGGAATCACACGCGATGTGGTACCACCACTGCCGTCCGGTAGCCCGATCGTGATGGGTGGAACATCAACACTGGGCGAAACGGCAATGGTGGATTGCCCTGTTGTGATATTATAATTCGAGTACGGCAATCCTCCAATGGTTATAGGGGGTATCGTGAGCACGGTGGTGGTTGTAGTCGTAATAAATGTTACGGTGACGACACCACCAGTTGTCACGGTGCTGATATCACCATACTCAAATGAGGTGGTATAGGGGCTGGGGGATATGACAGACGAGGTCGGCAAGGAACTTGTTGGGAATACAAGAAGACAGGAGGATTCAGAGCAGGTTACAGTTGTTGAAGTCCAAATTGGCGTGCCAACGAAAATAGTATCGATGTTATCGGCGCCATCGAGCGGGAGCCAGATGCTGTCCTCGGTTGTAAAGCCTTGTTGGTTAGAGTCATTCTGGAACACCACAGTGCTATCAATTCCCATGGCTATCTTGGACGTCGCCACCGTGAAAAGGTTGAAAACTACAACGCCGGTCGACCCAGTGACCTCGAGAATGCGCTGCTGGCAATCGTGCGTATCGATGCAGTCCTGGTAGTAGTCCTGGAAAAAGCTGTATAGCCCGGCGCCGTGGATGGTGACAGAGCTTGAGTCCACGACACGCAAGCCCCACGAGGCAGCACAGGACTCATCGCCATTACAGCTGCTAAAGTCGGGGTCATTGACAAAACTTGCAGCTAGGTCGAACGGATAAGGGGCAATGGGATTTGGCTGAAAGTATGGTGTCTCGGTCTGGATATGCCCCATGTAGATGTCCTTGGCGCCGCTTAACTGATAATTATACAGAACCGAATGTTCGGAGCCAGAACCGTAAAACCATGATGGGCCTTGCGACTCTATCAACATGCCACGGGCACCGTAGATGCTGATTTGATTAGCCATAGTATCCGGACTATTATACAGACTCTTATCGTTGTCGTGGTCAGCCACCCAGGCCCAGACATTTTCGAAATAACCGTCAGCCTCCTTGGTGACATGGAACATCAGCGAGGCGGCGATGCATTGTTCGTTGAAGCCACGCTTAGGGCAGGTTGCAAAATCGAGATCAGTGCCAGTGCCTCCACCCACACGGAAGTGTGAGTCCCACATGGCAGCGGCTCCTTGGGACGAAGCGGCCACGTTCCACTCCATGAGAATGGCCCCAGCAGTGTTGCCACGGACAGTGAATAGCATCTCGATAATTTCCATGGTGCCAATCTCACCCCGGTTGCCAACTTGCACCATGACCTTGGGGTTGGCCATATCAGAGAAATAAAAGCCAGTGCCCTGAATCTGAGACCAACTGGACCCCTGAACTCGCGACCCAGTTGGGATCAAGACAGTACCACCAACTTGGTAGATACCAGCTGGAAAATAGGCAATCAACGTGGACGAGACTGCCTTTTGGAGAAAGGCATTAATGCAGTCTGTCTGGTCGCCCGTACCATCGTTGCTACAGCCTCCATCTCGGGTAGCTACCAGAAACTGGGAAGCGCCATAGTCCTCAAATTGAGGGCGAGATTGGACATAAAGATTACCATTTGACAACAGGCTTGCACCTTTGGCCGGTGCCGTCGCCGCGCCGGTCATTTCCGAGGGCGTGGAACCGTTGTATACCCTTCCTGTGGCCCACAGGTCAATAGTGCCAGAAGAGGTCAGCAAGGTGTCACCACCTTCGACCTGAACGACCCGGTCTACACCGTCCACGACAACGTTGTCGAGAACAATATCAGGGGCTAGAGTTCCAATATTGGTTAGGATGCCTACAGGCACATTAGAGATGGTGCTGTCGATGATGGAAATGGACCCAATGCCCTGACCGCCATCACCACCCACACCACTTATGTTGAAGGCGATAGCACCACCGGCGATCTCGATGCCTTGCCAGACCCAGCCCCAGTCCCAGATCATCTGCACGGCAGTCAGACAGCCATTGAACTTGAGGTTGCGTGCCGTGTATTGCTGGGACCCCGCACGCCAGCCGATGCTGCCACCATTAAAGGTCAGGTCCGAGACAAAACCACCGCTGCCGTTCTCAGTGAAGATGCCAACAGCGGTGACATCGTCGTCTGAACTAGCCTCAGGCATGTTGAACACGAGATTTTGCAAGGTTGTCGCCTGCGCTACCTGCCAGTGGATGCCAGTCGGCACCAAAGGCTGATCATCGTCATCGGTAGCTACGGGCATCTTCGTCAAGTCAAAGATGAAGTTGCGGATTTGCCGGAAGAATTGGTTTTGGTTGACGTACCACTCAGCGCCAGAGCCGCCGGGGATGTACGGATCTGTGTCGATGAGCCCGATACCCTTGAAGGTATCGCAGCCTTGGATGGTCGGCGGGTCCAGGGGGTCCCCGATAAACTGCGTATAATACAGCTGGATGATGGGCGTGCAGACCTTGTACGTCCCAGGCGGGAAGTAGATGATGGCGCCTTGCGTGAAGGTGTTGCCACACTCTAAGCCGCAGCGGTTACCATCTGCGACGGCAGCATTGATGGCTTCTGTTGCATCACTACCCCCGGTTGAGTCGGCCCCGTAATCATCTACAACATTTCGAAAGAATTTATAGTCGGACCCAGCCCAAGGTTGCTATAACATACCCAGTTAGCCTACTGACATTGTCGAGGTGCTATTAGGAGGTTCCTGTACTTACGCTGCCCAATGGTCCAAGGGTTGTTAGCCAATACGAACTGGCTTGACGCTTTTTGTTTTGACCGGCAGTGAAGTCGTAAAGGACAGGAGATGTTTGGTTCTTGCTTTGACCACCGCGCATGACCTTGCCAGAGCGCAGGTTGGACATGTAGTTGTCGAAGCTACCGGAATAGGCCCAGGTAGGGCCATGCTGGGTTCCTGGGAACGAGGGTAAGTAAGGGGAAGAGTGTCAAGAGTGTATGGGGCGAGGGAAGACTATTCAAGTGATAGGTCTCAATGAGATTGAGTGAAAAGGATGATGGCGAACCTTTGTCAGGGGCTACATTATAGTAGTTGTGGCTGTTGTCAACCATGTAAGATGGGTTAGGCTGTCGAAGTCAGTTAGCATTAAGCTGTCTCTTGACCCTCTTTTGGTGTGGCTATCCTTCCTTACCTTTGGCCCATTGTCTGGGACTTCAGGATATTCTGCTACATTGGAGTACTTCCACCCTACAGAGACGCCAAGGCATTGGAGTAGTAGCACCGCGAGGATGCGGACGCCACGCCCAACAGACATTCCAAGAATCGATAAGATGCCCCGTAGGTCGTCTTCTCAAGGTGAACGCTTGAAAATTGGTAACTGATGATGGCAGAACCGGCAAGAGCGGCGCGCAACTATCACATTTTTATAGTAGGTATATATACCGAGCCTCATTTGGCAACGGAACTGGGTTGTTTGTTGGTTGCATACCATCAGTCGACGCTTACCACCTCGGCTTACCCCTGGTCTATGCTGCCTGAAAACATACCTTGCCAGACCACCCGATACCACCCATTGATATAGAAGAAAAGATTCAGAGAGTGATATTTGGTCACGAACTACAACCCGTGACGGTAAGCTTCGGCCGAACTGCTTATGATGGCATGTTTCTGCCCATGCCCCTGCCTCGACCGGCCCAGAGTCATGTAGGTAGCCTCGTCGTATATGCGAGGGAAACAAAAGACCCGTCGGCGGCCTTCTTAACAAATATAAAAGGTATCTTATTTTATTCAACTCGAGAGCATACCTAGGCAAGAGGATTGTCTATCTACATTCATCTCTGTAGTATCAACACTTACGGCTCACGCCACTATCTTGTACCCAGTCTCTCACCTTTCCCACACTCTATCATTTCTCGTGTCTTATTTACTTTATATCAAACGAGTCGCTACATCCTATCAGCATGCTCTACTCTCGCCTAATCAAGTTGGCTGCTGCCACCACCTTCCTCGCTGGCGGTGTTGCCGCGCAGTGCAACGACAGCGAAGGCCCCGATCTACTCTGCTACAACGAGTCCTCCGGCGGCGTGTCCCAGGACGTGACCGAGGCAGACATCAAATACGTCGCGAGCTACCTGCGCTCGTACGGCGCGCAGACAAAGGCAGGGCGGCAGTTCACGATGACGGCCGCAGACGCCCCCGACTGCGCGGAGTGGACGCTCTACGCGCACGGCACCGTTCTGGCGCTGGGGAAGCACCTCGATAGCTCGCTCAACTCTAGCGTGCTATTCTCCGACATCGCCGACACCATCGACGGCGGCGCCAGCGCCACGCCCGAGCAGCAGGCCGCGGCTATCTACGGCTGCTCGACCGACGGCGGCTCGCGCGCCGTCGGCTACGATCCCGCGAACCCGCAGTACAACACCGCGGCGTACCTCGCCAACGGCTACACACCTAAGGGCATCCTCGTCAAGATCGTGTCTTCGAACGCCCAGCTGGCGGCTGCGGTGCTGTAGGGAGGGGCTGGGTTAGGGGATGGTGATGTTGAAGATAAGAATATTGAAGGATGATATAGGTACTTATGAAAGTAGAAATAAAGCGATGTGATTGGGTAATATTTCCGATGAAGAATTATTCTGTGCTAGTAGATGGATGTCACCTGAGCGTCACGCCGACACAGGGGTAAACAGTATGTACCTGGGTAGGTAAGCAGTAGGTTAATAGTATTGCATGCATATAACTAATACATACATAGCTTATCGATGATCCATCTCATACATAAATGTAGGTATGTAGGTATTTAAGCTTACCTACATCGCCCAGGTACCTAGATACATGATCAATGTTATAGGGCTAAGTCGTTTTAAGCTTTGGCTAGAACGTCTTTTCGGTGGAGCGTGCACGGACGACAAGGGCCGGCCCTTCGGATCTAGCCGCTTTAGGTAGCTGGGTAAGGCGTACGCGGCAGCTTATTGGTTACCGGGATCTAACGTGCCTTAGCTTAGATAGGTACTTGTACTTTTATGTATTGCGGCTAGTACATACTTGATGGATTGGATGGCGGTTTACGGCAGGCCGCCAGCCGCGTAACATTATCAGATCTGGTAGCCGATAACTAATTTTCATTAGTTGCTGTGTATCTGCTTGAGTTTACCTAATAGGCCGGCATTTTATTTAGATGGATCTAAGTATCTAGCCTAGGTAATAGTTTGCGTGACATTTAAGGCGTTTTCCCGCATCACCTGTAAAGCTTATGCACCTACCCACCTACGTAGTAGTTCAAACGAAAAGCAAAGTATTACAACAACGACAACAACAACAACAACAACAACAACAACAACAACGGCCAATTCCTCATCTGATCTCTATCCCGGAATCTTCCATCTCGAAAAACTGAAGAAGGCTCAGCTTACATTGTATGCAATGCTACCTGCCCATGTGCCTGCCCACCTGCAACATGTTTCCAGGTACCTAGTTTTGCTGCCTGTTTGATGCTGGTAAGACGCTGGAAAGATTTTGAGCCCTTTTAGGAAGGGTAATCCTCCATTACCTGACCGAATAAGGAAGGTCAGCAAGTCTGTGTCTTCTACATTGCGCCGACAGTGGCCAGTAAAGACCGCTCTAGATTCTCATCTGGGCATTGTCTACTGGGCTAACTAACTGTATCTTAAGTTTGCATTTATCGTAGGATTTATCTGCGGTAATGGGGCACGGTAACTTTTGCCCTAGCGCCAACAAATGTGAATCCCACGTGCGGGCTGAAGCTTGGGTTATACCTGGTAGCTAGGTCATGAGATATGGACATGATAGCTCTAAAGTATTACCATATCATTATATCAGCTTGTGGCTATCGGCTCTAATACCGGGCAGACCAGGAGGCCGTGAGCTCCTTATGCGACGACATCGTCTACTCCTCCGCTCTCTCTTAACACCCTCGTGATGGTTTTACTTTTTTTATTCATACTAGGAATGCATGACCAAGAGCTAATGTAAGCCTTCTAGGCAGAATCTTTACAATCTGCAGCTTTGCGTCGGGCAAAAGCAGACCGAGCTGGTAGTACGAGAACGGTACCGTACGAGGATGACTGCGTCAGGAAGATGCTACTCATAAAATCGTCGGCAGATGGGGTGAGTAGATGGTGAAGAGTAGTGAGTTTGACGACGATAAATACCAGACGTTGGCCTCGTCCGAGAGAAGAAGACAGCAGAAGCTCAGCATCGGGCTACCGGTCATCACTCCAGCTCCCAAAGCAATAACTTTTGATATACCCCGAGATAACCTCTCATCATTTTGCAAGATGAAGGCCATCAACACCTTCCTCTCCGTCTTCAGCATGGCTACCATCGGAGTCGCTGTGCCACTGGATGCTGCTGAAAATGGCCTCGAAGAACGCCAGGCCAGCGGGTGCTACCCCTTCCAGGACCCGGGCTGCTGCATTAACTACGCCGTTTGCCAATGTGCCAACGGTAAGCGCCTTTCATGCTGCTTCCGCCAATGGGAAGGGGCATAGAAGAAGAGAAAAAAAAAAGCTGACTCAAGCCAATAGGTTGGTTCTACCAGTATAACTCGGACCAGAACGGCTGCGACCCGCCGGTATGCTTGAACCCCTGTTTTTTTTTTTTTTTTTAAAAATCTCCGTTACCTATGGAGGATTTGTTCTCGTCACTTGTATTAATGCTAATTACTTTTGCATCAGTGGGGCTTTCTCACCAGCCGTGGTGTCGGTGATCTCCCGGGCAATTGCTGCTAGGTAGGGAGTGGTATGGTACCTAGTATGATGTGGTATGGTTTTCAATGGACGAGGATAAGGATGGGATGAGACCGGACGCGGGAGGGGCTGGGGCTGAGGGCTCTTGGAAGGCTGTAGTTGCAAAAGTTCTAGTTAATGGAAAATATGTCGAGTCTATTGCATGCATGTAATGAATGATACATCTGTACATGGTTAGGTGCGGAAGAAAGAAAAAGGGGGTTCATCTGAAGGATCAGCCCTAAAAGATCTAGAACCCTTGGCATTTGTTGTTTTGGGTAACTTGGATGTTTCGGTCTCTCGTCAGACCTACATATGTACATATGTACAATAACTACTAATAAATGTAACTTCAAGTAATTCGATGTTACTCAAATATACATGTACGTACATAGTTAGATACACGTAGATAGGTACCTATACCTGATACCCTTGGAAGGCTGATGTTACACCTACATCATGGATGCATGTAACTAGGTACTAGGTCTGTGCCTGCTTGCGGCGGGGTGATCACTTGATGGAATAAACCAGGCTCACCATTAAAGTTACCTAGGCTAGGTACCCTCGGTAGGTTACCTAGGTTAGGTATACAACACTCCTTACAACATCATACCTAGTACACACCATTTCCCCAGATCTCATTATTACCTACCATTATCCCTTACCAGAGACGATAATCTATGCTCATCACCCAAAACACTGCGCCATGACGGCGACCCCATTCACGCCTTACTGGCGACCTGTTTCAGCACCAGCCGGCCCGAACTCATGGGTCTTCTTCGTCGTATCCCGGATCGCCGGCCGCCGCCGCCCCGTCGCCGTAGTTTCGAGCGTCGGCGACATCGAGCCCGAACAGTCGCTACAAGGATATCCCCTTACCGCCTGCTGCCGGCGCGTCGTTACCATCTTCTCGGACCCTGCTAACCACACAGCCATTCGCGCCGAGCTAAATCTCGCCGCTCGTCATTATGTGACAGACGGCGGCCGCGAACACTCCCTGGAACCGGTAGAGCTGCCGGAGTTCAGTCGTACCCAATCAAATACCAAGGACCGCACTCGGCCGTGGGATCACACTAGCGTGCCCGAGTTCCCTTTCATTGCCGCCTGCCTCCTCCAGGGCGTGGCCTTTGATCCGCAGCTGGGCCTCACCCAGCCTGCACGTCCGGAACCACTGGGCACGGTGTATCGCGACACCAGCATCGAGTGGGGAATGGTCGTTGTGGACATCACCGATCTGCATGCCGTATCCTACGGCATAGTCGGCTTTACCGTGTGCCAAGCAAAGTTTGTTCCGACTCTGGAAGCCCAAAGAAATCCGGTCTCCATGGGGGCCATGGGCCCAGGCGTCTTCGAGCGGGGCGAGCTCAGAGTCATGGATGAGGTGCGGCCCCGGAGAGCTACGTCGGTAGCTGAGTATATGGCCAAGTTTGATTATGAGGCTTGGCCAAGTGGCGATGCCGTTGAGCATTTAGCTCGGACGCCTCTGGTTGACGCGGCGGCAATGAGCCTGGTGTGGCCGCCAAGGCCAGGGGAGGATATAGATCCGTTACCAGTCGACCTGTCTGCAAATACCGAGAAAGATTCGCAGGGAAATCAGGCTGTCATGAAGCTCATCCGAGAGAGTTCCAATGTGGATTTCGACATGTCTATCTTCGAGGAGGCCTGCGCCGTCCCTAACTTCAAGGGCCTTCTCCGACACAACCTGATGGAAAACCCACATTGGCTAAAGGCCACATGCTTAGTTGGCCCACTCATCCGATTAGCCTTTACGAACCATGAACAGCATCTTGGCCTGGAGCAGGTGGGAAACATTACTGTCAAGTCCATTGCAGCGGCCTTGGAAGAGCCGGAGACTACTGGGATCACGTCCCTTAGCCTCTGCATCGACGACGTTTGGATCGGCACACCAGCCCAGATCATTGACGTGCTATCGCGCGTCGATTCGCTGCGCGAGATCTACTTCCTCCAGCACCCCGCGCAGGACAGCGACGCATTGAGCGTTGAGCTTTTCGCCGAGCTAGCAGCTCGGCCGGAGATGCTATCGCGCGTCCACGTCATGTTCGCGGGCGCGTACTCAGCGGCCCTGCGCAAGCGCTTCTGGCTGCCGACCACCACCAACAACAACGCGGTGCAGCTAGCGCCGCTCTCAGTGTTCCCCGTGCAGCAGATCTTTACGCGCCACCAGCTGCATGCAAGCGGCAAAGGAACAGCGGCCTTCGAGCGCTCCTACGTGTACCTCGGCGACGGCCTCCTGCGGCCCAAACGCTTCGCCGCCGGCTTCCTGCTCTACCTATCCACGCTCCCGCCGTCCGTGCACGACGACGCCTTCAACACCACAGCGCAGCTCTTCGCCTTCTCCAGCGGCCCCGCCTCCCTCTCCCAAGCCGATGGTCCGCTATCCACCACTGCGGCCATCAGCCCCATCCTCGCCGAGTCCTTCGCCCTCCCCGTCTGGCTGCCCCACCGGAGCTCCAACCACTGGCCGCGCGCGCGGGACCTCGACCCAGCCGGCTGGACCGTGCTTGTCTCGCAGGAGATGCCCCGCGGCTCCGCCACGGCGCGCTACATCCGCTACGCCTTCGTGCGGCCGCGCCACCGACGGATCCTCGTCGATCATCCGCCGTACACGCCCCCCGGGCCCGAAGACCTCGAGGTCGTAGGATTGAAAGAGTTCCTGCGGCTCACGGCGCCGGAGATCGACTCGGCGCTCGTCGACCGCCGGCTATCGGAACTAGCGGGGCAGATAGCGGCTGGGGGGCCGTACTGGAAGCCGTTGCCGCCCGGTGGAGGCGTGGAGGCGCTGGCGGTGCTGGGGCAGGCGGAGGCGGCGCAGATGCTGCTGGAGTTTTTGGGGGATGCGAGGGAGGGGAAGACGAGGCTGAGGGAGGCCATGGCGGAGTGTCCGGGTGGTGAGTTTGAGTTTGTCCCTTTCCCCTTTTTCCCCGTCGATAAACTAAATCCTGGCTGTTTGTCTTACTGACGGTTCTAGAACGAGATTGGTACCCGGAGCTTCTTGAGGGGGGGGATCAGGGTTCGGTGTAGGTAGGTAGGGCGTCAGTAGTGCTACGGAAAGGGGGGTTTTGCTCCTGATACAGATATGATTGTTTTTGATTACATGCCTAGTACCTACCTATCTGGGTATATACATTGTCAGGTTTATTCATACACATGTAAGTTTGGGTAATCTACCTATGTCCTGGGCGGCAAGAGGTGTCTATGAAAAGTGTGCCTATTCTCATTCGGTCGTCACAAACCCGGGGCCCTAGAAATCTACATAAGGTACTATTCAGATTTCATCTTTTCAAACCCGCCCGAGCGAGCGTGGGAAATACCTCTTGCGCTGCTATTTGAGTCTCCTGTGTTTTTTGAATTTTTCTTTCTAGGCACAAACACTGGATTTCTCTTGAGCAAAGTACGAAGATAGTTATGGCATGAAGAAGTAGGGTTCAAAAAGTGCAATTTTCAGACGATATGTGAACTTGTAGGAATTGTATTTATTTTTATTTTTTATTTTTATTTTTATTTCTATTTTTATGTTTTGTTTTCTATGTTGTTCTGTTTATATGATATACTGAAATTTATATTAAAACATGAGTTTTTTGTGCGGTATGGCACATGATTCTCGTGAATAGGTATGTATCATATGGACGTAGGTAGGTAAGAAAATATGTAGCTCTTGTGACTCTTGTGATGAAAATGCCGGTGTGAAACCATGTTGATAGGCTTATGTAGCCTCCCCCCGTCCCCTTCCCCCCCCTTGAAATCGTATCTGATAATTCAAGATCGATTCGTGTAAAAATACTGACCTATCTGAAAACGGAACACAACCCGCTGGAACCACCACACAATACAGTATAACATATCATGATAAGCGCCGTCACAACGGATTTGCCGTCTTTTGTGATCGATCCGTGTAGTAGTAGTGATACGGTACGCCTCGAATGCCTAAAGGGAGTTTGATATCCATTTAACTCATCCAAATATGGCCTTCATTAGTGTAAACAAGGATGCGGCGAAGAAGCAATCATGAATATGGCTTCAAGCGTAATTATTGCACCCCTCGTTTCAAGTTTGTGTGCGAAATCCATGCCGTATCTGAGCCTTGCGGCCCAATTCCTTTCTTTTTCTTTTTCTGTTTCTTCCCTCCTTTACCACCAAGACCCTCTTTCCCATAAGACTCCAAACAAAAAAAAAAGAAAATGCATATATAGGGTATATAAAAGAGAGATAAAGGAAATTGGGTTTTCCAAATAGCACAAATCAAAGATTTCCTTGGTCTCTACTAACGATCGTCTCGCTCACCACCACTATCCGATGTATAGAGCTATCGTCCTCGTCATCGGTTGAAGGTGGTCGTCTACCGGCTGTGACGATTGTGTTTCGTTTATTTCGATGCGCGCCAATGTTTCCCAGCTCGAGGTTATCTTGTGATTCATTCATCTGCGTAAACCCGCTCGATCTCGCCGTTTTTCGGTTCCGGGATGATATCGAAGCCTCGGTGCCCCCCTTATCCCATATCGAGTTCCCAGACGTACTTGTTGAGAAAACCTTGTCGAAAAGAGGGCGAAGTAGCGGACAGCTAGATATAATTATGGCAATGCCAACCTCGCCTGCTCCGTATATCGTTGTTTGCACCGCCGTGTACGACAAATCGTTGAATTCGATTTGTAAAGCTGTGTAAAGCCGAATAGCACCAAATATCAGAGTACTACATGAGAAGTGAATAAGTCAGCCTGTATCGCCCAAGATTTAGATCTTTGTCAAGGAATTTTCTTACAGGAAGCTAACGGCGAAAATGCAGACGATAAGGACTCGGTAACGCATTTGCATCTCCAATCTCAAAATCATTGGCACCGGAAGCATCAAGATCGCGAGCTGATTAACAACATCGACGATACCGACTGCCGCAAAGGAGGCTTTGTGGTCCCCGCATGTACCATCGGGGGGTTGAAGGTTCCAATTCATCCTGACCGGGTGGCAGAGCAGCAGTTCGACAAGTATAGCCAAAAACATCCAGGCGATAGTCAAGGCCATAATGGCTATAGCAGCGAATTGGCACCGACCGGCAAAGAAGATGCGCATAAACATAAGAATAACGCTTATCTTGACGAGGCCCAACGAAGCGACATATAAGAATTGATGAGCATAGACGGCCTGCAGTTTCTTTTAGTTAGTATTGCGTTCCTAGTTAATAATCCGGAAGTCGGATCGTTGATGATTTCTCGAGGGTTGATTAACCTTTAAAAGTCGGACCAAATGCCATTCCTGTAGCTCGTTGACGTGATACCCCAAACCACCTGAAAATACCATGACGAAGTCGGTTGCTATAAGGCCGTAAAATAATATTACGGCAGCAATACTTAGACCATCCTCTATCACGAATCCCCGGCCGCTCTGCTTAACACACCAGATCCGCATACAAGTCCATAGTGCTGTCAGGACAATTAGTATCACACTCGATATAATAATATGTGATCCCTCCACTGAGAGCGGTACTGTGTCTGTCTCGATCCGAGTAGACGCTGAGGCTGCATAACCATGGCCGCTGGGTGAGATGGAGAGACGGGCATGGACGATAGACATGTCGTGTCTAGTATCAAAGTCTTCATCACCGACGAGGGAAGCCGGGCGTGGTGGTTGAACCCGTCGACTTTTATTTGATTATTCTTATTATTCTTATCTCGGGAAAGGAAGTGGTGATGGCGGCCGAAATTTGACATGTACGACAACCAACCACTAACCACTGACCAACGAGCAAACGAGCGAACGGGGTGAGAAGGTTGAAAGACGGGAACGGAACAAAAAGAATTCTTCTGGAAGACTCGCGCCCCAGCTAACAGAGACCCAAAATGATCAAGGGTAAACCCAGCATTCAGGGTCCAGGCAAGTAGTGTTTAGACTCTAGCAAGGCAGCTGTCAAGGATCAGAGGATTATTTCCTCTTCTACGGCACAGGGGTCGCGGGTCTAACACGCCTAAACACGACACATCTCGACCACTTACATATTACATAGTACATATGTAGTTACATACCCCAAGTACCTAGCATACATATGTAGTACTACATATGTATGCATGTAGGCATTTGCGCCCCTTGACATCCTAATCAATTTTAACCCTGCGACACCCGGACAATTTGATACGTCAGATAACTAACTACCTAGAGGCTAGTATGTACTACCTACCTAGGTACCTAATGAAAGTCAAAGTGGCAGAGACTCGGAGTGACAGAAGTCTGCTGGTTATTCCCAACCAACATGGGCCTTCGAAACGAGACCCACACGTGCACAGGTATCTTTCCCAAAAAAGAGAGTAGTCCAAGCTTAAAGGAGCCTAAAAGTGGCACTTCGCTACCTATTTTGGGCAGAATAGATCCGCTACCTGGTACGCTACCTGTACCCCATAAACAGGGGAGAGAGAGATACTCCTTTCTGGGGTTCAATGTTTGTTTGTACTGGTATGTAGTTACTTAGGTACGCCGTAGTATGTTAGAGACGTTTCCAAACAAGTTGAAGAGCCCAACTTCCAAGAGATGTTGTAACTTGTAAGAGGCCAAAGTGATATGACAATCTAAACAGTCCCCCCACGCGCCTGAGCCAACTTTTATTCTGTTCGTTCGTCTGATTCCAAACGCAGTCGCCAAGATCGACAATACAAATTTCAGCGCTGTTTACCGAATGAAGTCGAGATCGAATAATTAGTGGCGAATTTTATGAACCTAGCTAGTTATGCAGGGCGTAAAGCTGCACAAATCACAAGTCATCATTCTTTCCAGTTCCCCAAATTGCCCGCGTACACTAATGACTTTCCTTCTTGATCTTCTCCTTGCATCCTGAATTGTTGTCACGAACTATTTTTACTTAAGAGAATGTTTCTTTTCTTTTTTTTATCAATGAATATGCGAACTAGGAGATAAAAAGGTCACAAGAAACCTACCGCCCCGTAATTTCAGCATTGGCAACACCGAGAACGCCGAGTTATCGTCGGCCGGATTTATTTGACCGAAACCGGCCTCATGGTTGAAGTTCTACACAGTACTAACTATGTACTAAAGTATACTGATGCCAGAAATCAATCTTACACACGTCATCGGTGGCTTAGGAGGGGTTAGGCTAACACCGAACATAACGAAATTCCAACAACCAGGTTAGGTTAGTTCGCTTAGCTGCCCTGGTCGTCATTTTAGGGCGGTTAGACGATGATGATAGGCTGATAAGATACAGGAGGCATTAGGTTACGTAAGCTGTTCTTCCACTTTTGTGCAACCGTAACCGTCATACATTAGGTATGGTAAATGAGTAAATCGAGTGCCCGCTATTTTTATCTTCCATCCATCGTCGGGATCGTCTCATCCTCTCATCATCTCATCGCCTGAAAGCTGAAAGGCGTGATATTCACCCCCAAGTTTCAAATACAGACTTCAATATTTCCATACGAGCCTAAGCAGCAACTAACTAAATGACATTGATCTATACTACTAGTATTGAGCGCTGCATGAGCCGCACGAGCCGCACGAGCCGCACGAGCCACATGAGTCCTATAGGGGCGACAATGCCGTGTCACACATTATGCATGTAACTGATGCCGATGCGGCCTCTCCCGTCAAAGTTTAAGCAGACAAGCCTGAGGTAGTCTGGATGAACAAGTGTTTCTCATTGAGTCGACATATCGGTCACCGCCAGGAACACCACCGTTTCAAGAGTAACGCGGGATGGGGACTGTCATCCTTCAACCGTCTGAGACACCATGTGGTCGACCTTTTAACAGCCTCGTTTGACAGATGCTAGATTTCGGCCTTATTTTTAGTATGCTTTTCTCTGCTTGCCTTACGTACCTAGATGTCTAGGTAGGTTGGTATCACCGTCTTTGGTCGACATATAAGCCTTGTCCGACTTTTTCGATTCTATATTATCCGTCCCTGGGCGTAACTGCGGCATACAATTTAACGTAGGTATGTATTCGTGATACCACTGAGTTGAGCCTTGCTGGCGAAGCCGTCTCAGGCATCGTTCTATCTATACCAATACCACTTGAACCCCAAGTCTTGGAGTCGTGTCAAATTTATAACATGAAGAATTTATACTATCGATACTCCTGGGGCCCCTCACAATCAATGCAGTGGTTTCTAGCTATATCTAGGTACTTATGTTATAAACCCCACTGGGCGCCTTCGTGAAGTGGACGACAAGCTCTCCAGTCGCCTAAAAATCAGGTATCTACAACTTCACGCCTCGGTTTAGCAATGCCCATAATGCCTGTTCAGCCTATCCCCGAACATGAAGGGGAGTCACTGCAGGGCGCTCCTCAATCGCCGCTATCATCCCATCATAGCGTCGGCGATACCATTTCAATGACTAGCAGCCTGGATCAGAACACTACAGCAACGAATACTGTCTACATGGTGCCTGAAGACATTCCTCATAACTCATGGCTATCTCTACAGAGTGACTCAACGGAAATCCCCCCTGATTCAATTCAGGATCGTAACAGATTTGAAAGGTTCGGAGCCAATTCTCAACCAAAGAGCGCGACTCAAGTAAAGGAGCCCCTTTCATGGTGGTGGTGGTGGGAAATTCTCGCCATTGCTACCAGCATTGCTAGCTTGTGTATCCTGATCTATTTTTTGATGAGGATGAACAATCTACCATTGGAGAAGTGGTGGCTCCCAATACAGCCAAACTCCCTCGTTGCCGCATTGGCAACAATAGCGAAAGCAGCAATGATGGTGCCAGTCACATCCTGTATCGGACAGCTTAAATGGCGTCATTTTACAGTTCGCCCGCGAAGACTCGTCGACTTACAGATATTCGATGATGCTAGCCGAGGGCCCTGGGGTTCGGCTGTGCTGTTATGGAGTTTGTGCTTCCGTGTGCGAGTATTGGTCACATTTGGTTTCGCGTTTATCACAATTGTTGCGCTTGGCATCGATACGACGGCACAACAAGTTCTGAAGTTTCCCCTGCAAGAGTCACCTTTGACTAATGTGTCAGTGGAGTTGGGCATGACCAAATTATACAACTCCAAAGGCTTCTTCGAGAATCCACACTACTCGAGTATGCCACGACTACCTATACTTAATCCCATAGTCTTGGGTGTATGTATATTACTAACGCAAGCTTAGGTTTCATATGGTCCCCGAACTCTGACCTTCTCGCTGTTCAGGCATCTATCATCAATGGGGTAACAGGATCGGTCTTTAAACCATACTTTAAGTGCCCTGAACCTGCTAGTCGATGTCATTGGGGCAACTTCACGACGCTGGGAGTTTGCAGCAACTTCACAGACGTGACGAATGTTGCCGTACCTAAGTGCAATCATACAGGGCTGGGCCTCAATTGCACCTATAGCTTCCCCGGAATGCCCTATATAGACGACACGGAAGCAATGGTTATGGCTTGGAATACGGAAAGTGACGGTGGATTTGATCCAAGTATGCTTTTTCAATCTCGAGTTATATCACACGGTACGGGGGCTAATGGCGGCCCTTTTGCTTCTTTCATGGCGGTAAAGGTGACAGATAGTAGCAGCCCCTATCCTAAACCTGAATCAATTTATGGTGGGGAGTTGCATCCACCTGCTACTAACGTGTACTCAAGCACGTTTTCTTGGTGTGCTAAAACCTTTTACAACACTACAGGCTCTCAAGCTGATATTCACGTCGACTCTATGTCCTTTGAGCCATTGAACTTGACTGATGAGCTGTTTTTCGATAATGGGACGCGGACTACTTGTTACACTTACGTATCCGAACTTACAGGACTTAATTTCTATATTTCTAAGATGGCTGCGACCAGTCTGCCTGGTTACATGTACACTATATTGAGTGCTACAGTATACCATGAAATCTTTCGACCAGACTCAAGTCTAGAACACCAACAACTTCAGATAGGGTCTGCCTTACAAAATTCGAATCTCGAGATGGTCATTACGAATATCGCGGAAACATTGACGAACCAGATACGAAGTCAGAACCCGGGAGACAACTTCAACGCTTCCGTTGCCATGGGGGAGGCTTTCTTTGAAGAAACATACATTTGCGTACGCTGGGGGTGGATGTCACTTCCTATCGCGGAAGTGCTGTTGACCACCACACTCTTTGTGGTGACGATCATCATCACACGCAAGCAACCCCTTCTCAAGCAATCACTCATCGCTCTGTTGATGAACAGGCTTGAGGGTTGGCCAGATGACGAGCTGGACGTGCCTGAACCTCAGACCCAGGAAAAGCTGGATGTCCTAGCTAAGAAGATGCTGGCTCAGCTTAAAGCTAACGATCAGGACCATTTGAGATTCTTCAAATCATGATTCGGTCACCAATTGCATGGAGGGTAAGTCCCCATGTATAGTACATATATATAAGAGCTGGGAATCTTGGAAATCTGAGGTCATAAAAGGTCATGTCGCCATATGGTGACCAGAACTATGGCGATCAAGTCAGTTTAGAAGGTGATGCGCGAGTACTATATAAGTCCATCCCAGGACCAAGCCTTTCTTTTTTGCAGTACATCTCGATGCGGCAAGCAATGCTTTCTTCTTGTTCCTCCCTGTTTGGGGCGGTTTTCTTTTCGAGGCACCTATGTAGTTATAGCGATTTGGATTATTACCTTTTCTTGAAGTCCGATGTCAAACTTGTCTGGTCAAGATAATTCATTCATAAGTTCCACCAATTAAAAGCGCCGAACAAACAGTCTTCCAAGTTGCCGGGTTTCGAGTTCAGCAAGCAAGCAAGCAAGCAAGCCCTGCACGTCATCTGCTATGCGTATGAGGGTATCAGGTAGAGTGGGTGATTTTATAGGATTTGCATACCGATTAACTAATGGTTGGTTATTAATGATTAATCATTTAGTTAACTACTACCTAGTGTACCTAGTGTACCTAGAACTTGCCGGTACAACTGAATCTCGCCGCGGAGGAACGGTGTGGGGAGGGGGGAAATTATGCAGCAATAAGAAAAAGAGGACAAAAAAGGGGGGGTGGACGAACTGCCGCTTAGTGGGGAATCCGACAACTCCGGCGTCGGGGTTGTGCCAAAGCGACGAACGATAGGCTAAACGTCGTGCCGCCCGAGGTTACCCGAACCCCCGACCCAAGCGATTTTCCTTTGTTATCATGCTTTTTTTGGTGGCTGTTCCATCTACTCCACCAGCTGGAGCTCTTATAAATACATACACTAGGTCGTATATATAATACCTAAGTACCAGGGGTAGGTATAGGCAAGTATAGGTATAGGTATATATATATATATATAATAGAGACGTACTGACTTAACTGACGGACTGACTGAAACATACATACCTACTCGGATCTATCTTGCACTTGTCAGCTTTGATTCCTTATATTTGAATAGCCCTTCTTGTTCCTTTCCTGCTTTATACCCATCCATAGGAATCCAATTCCATAAATCACCATGCCGGCCTTTTCTGTAAGTCAAACACGACCCCTCAATAGTAGTCTCATCAGCCAACTTCAACCTATCCAGCCCACTTGGGAGTTGAAATACCAGCACACCATACCATACCTATACATAACCTCAGAGAGAAAAACTAACCCCCATCATCAATCTTCGTAGCGACTTGTGCGATTCCTCGCCAAAAACGGCAAGACCTACTACGGCGACGCCATCCTGCCTGAGGGCATAACAGACCTGGCCAAGACGAAGCAAGCCCGCGTCATCAAGGGGGACATCTATGGCAAACACGAGGTGACCGACCAGGTGGCGGACGTCCGGCTCCTCTTGGCGCCCCTTGCGTTGGAGGATGTCAGGAATGTCCGGTGCTTGGGCCTCAACTACGCACTGCACGCAAAAGAGGTCCGCCCTCCCTTCTTTCCTCCGCCCCTCTCTCCGCCCTCATCGCTTAGAATGCTAGGAATGCTGACTTGGCAAACTAGGCTAACTTGCCATTGCCGAAATACCCCGTTTTGTTCGTAAGTGATTGCTTTCCCCCCCCTCCCCGCCCCGCCCATGATTCTGTTCAGATGATACGAGAGAGAGAGAGAGAGAGAGCGCGCAAGGGAAGCTAACCCATCCAAACAAACAAACAGTTCAAGCCAGTAACCGCTCTATCGGGCCCAACGGACCCCATCCCCGTGCACCCGATAGCGCAGGAGGCGGAGGGGCTCGACTACGAGTGCGAGCTCATCGTCGTGATCGGGAAGGAGGCGCGGGACGTGCCGGAGTCCGCCGCGCTCGACTACGTGCTGGGCTACGCCATCGGCAATGACGTCTCGCACCGCGACTGGCAGGTAGCCCGCGGTGGCGGCCAGTGGTCGCTGGGCAAGGGTTTTGACGGCTGGGCTCCGTTCGGACCGGGAATTGTGACGGGCAATGTGATTAAGGACCCCCAGGGACTTAAGATTAGCACGAGGTTGAACGGAAAGACTGTACAGGTAAGCATCGATCTATTTCAAAAACAAAACAAAAAAAAAAAAAAAAAAAAAAAAAGGGAAAAAGATAAATGCTGGTATGTGATAGTGCGGCTAACAGAAAGAAAAATAGGAGAGCAACACGGCGGACCAAATCTTCAACGTGAAGCAAACGATCGCCTTCCTAAGCAGGGGCCACACGCTGCTACCCGGAGACCTGATCTGGACGGGAACCCCGTCGGGCGTGGGCATGGGACGCAAGCCGCAGCTCTGGATGAAGGACGGCGATGTGGTGGAGGTGGAGTTGGAGAATGTGGGGATCTGCACGAATAAGGTCGAGTTCGCCAAGGATGATACTGCTAGGTTGTAAATGGGGAATATCATTCTCTTTTGAAATTTGATATCAAGCAATGAACGCTACAAAGCAGAAAAAGAAAAATGCAAAATATAAATGATACATATATATCCAGAGGGCTTGGTAGGAATAACTACTTAAAGCTGATCTATAAGTTGCCTTGTTGACAACATGATCTACTATGCTGGGATACACATGCTTGGACTGATCTCGTTTGAAAACAAAGAATACATCGCAATTCCTAACTGTATGATGTTAGTAATTGAGAGTGATAAAGACTTTCAAGGTTGAGTTGTAAGTAAGTTTCCCTACTTAGCCTACCTAGAAACTATATTCGACGATGATTCCTATGGTAAAGACTGTTCAGTTAATTACTTGTGAAGGAATAAAATTGTAGGGAATTGGCATGTTATAGCTTTGCAGCTTTAACTAAAGTCTAAAAACCCTTTCCTGAACTTTGATCTAAGTCTATATGTCTTCTAAGAAATGTCACATGTTAAAAAAAGGAGAAAGTCAATTGCACACCTCGATTTGCTAGGTGGACTCCAGGTTAAGGGGTTGAGCATCTGGCGTCATAGGGTGCTATTAATTAACTTTCAAGGTAGCTCCAGGCCCCACTAACGCAATCTGCCATAGTTCCTCCCCCAGTCCCGGCAATCACTCCCTATAACAGGTACCCAGCTTTTCTTTTGAGCCGAGACATGTGCAAAACTGCCGAGGCCGAACAAGACAAGAAACGTCCAAAGAAAACAACGGTCCGTCATTCATAACTCATCCCGATCTATATTACTAAGGCTTTTCAGTTACAACATTACAACCATCAATCAATGCCCCCGTGACGAGACAAGCCAGATTTCCCTTTTCCTTTCGTCTACGCCGTTAGCTAGCTAGCTCCTTTGCCTCACACGGCGACTGCAAACCGATCAACGAAGCCAACCAGCCAGCCAACCAGTCAACCTCATCTCTCCTTCCATACTCGAGCTTCGCAGCCCCCCAAATACCAACAACCACCACAACTCCAGCAATACCCCCAACAAAAAAACCGCCCACCATGTCATCCTCCTCGCCAGTCCCCATCCCCCCCTCGACCCTCGCAACCCTCCAAGCCTTCGCCGAGCGCATCATCCTGGACCCGCAATACCACGACCTCCTCTCCATCGTAAAAGGATGCCGCAACGGCGCCGTCTACGGCGCCAAGGTGCGGTTCCCGCACGCCCTCGTCATGGTCCTCCTCTTCCGCTCGGGCACCCTGCGCGAGAAAGCCGGGCTCGTCTTCCGCGCGACGCGCACGCACGCGCACAACCTCGCGCGCTTCGCCTTCATCTACAAGCTCACGTGCTACCTGCTGAAGCACTTCAGCGGGCGCGCGGGCGGCGGCAAAGGCGGGGCGGAAGGGCCGTACGACAGCTTCGTGGCGGGCCTGCTGGGCGGCTACGTCGTCTTCGGGCAGCGGTCGGCGCGCAGCGGCAAGGTCTCGAGCGTGAGCCAGCAGATCGTGATATACGTGTTCGCACGGGTCGTCCTGGCCCTCGCGCGCCTCGCCGTGAAGACCGACGGCGGCGGCCTGCCCTTCCTGTCGCGCGAGCCCGTCTCCGCGACCGTCTCGCACTACGCGTGGCCCGTCTTCGCGGCCACCTCCTGGGCTGCCGTCATGCACCTCTTCCGCCACCACCCCGACGACCTGCAGCCGTCGCTCAGGAACAGCATGTCGTATATCTACCAGCAGTCCGACCACTGGGATAGCTTGCGCAACTTCATCTGGCATAATAAATAAATAAATAAATAAATTGGGGGGCCGACACGATGTGTATAGAGAGAGCCGAGGATACCCCATCTATCTATCTATCTATCTATCTATCTATACCGCGGCGGAGGAGTTTTGCGTTTGTTTATTTGCTTGTTGGTTGGCTGTGACTGGTTCGTTGATAAATCACACGACATACATTACTAGAAAAAACCGGCGTTCATTGACGTGGAATAGGCTTTTTTATTTTTTGGGAATTTCTTATTAAACTCTTTTCTAGGTGTATACATATTTTAGCATGGATGATAGGGTGGTTTACGGATGGAAGGTCGCATTTATAAAGTATCGTGGTGGGAAAGTACCTACCCAGGTTGGGTATCTGAACCTAGAGAGCATGATGTCGTCTATAGGTAGACGGTACGGTTGACTGAATGCAACGATTTAATACGTTATATGGACAGGTACCTTCATATAGTGACTGTATCTATATTGTGGTGTTCAAGAGGTATTATCTCTCAGATCCCATTGACTTTTTTGTTTTATTTATCCTCACCTTTCTAACCAACCCCCTTTTTTATCTATCGCCTTAACCTAGGTACTTTGGGTATATTATTATAAGTGTTTCCATCCATTGGACCACATGATCTGCATCTCATTGATGAGACAGGCCTCTCCGGGCTCGTACCGCCGCACATCTCCACCGGGGTCCTCGAGCTTCCACTGCTCTACCCTATTACGAACCACCCGGGCTTCCAGCGAACTCTGCACCACGATGTGCCAGCCCTTAAACCGGTTAACCCACGCGCCGACCACGGTCCAGAAATGGTTGGGGAAGCGGTCCGTCTTGACCTGGTAATATGTCTTTACGCCGTACGCAACCCGGACGTTGGGATTCAGCCATACGCCCTTCTCGCTTGTGAGGTAGTTGTCGGCATGTATGAGACAGCATTCTGAGCCTTCGAGGTGGAAATCGGCAAGACTATCGTCGATGCCGCGGAATTGTAAAGGGGGGTTGGCATAGAAGGGCGCCGCGTCGAAAGCTACGATCCCGTTCCAGCACGAAGTGACACGGATGGGCTGGTTAAGCTCGGCTGATGCCCTCGCGAGAGGAGACTGGAACCACGGCCAGTAAAGGGATATCGTCTTCAAACCCAAGTCATCTCGGAGCGCAAACGTGTCGTAGTATTGAGGCGACGACTTATAATCCATGGAGCAAGCGGCTGCATATTCATTATCACGAGTATTTAAGAGCGTGACGATATCCTCGGTCTAGGGTCATGGAATAAATGTCAGTCACTTTGCATCGTAGAATTTGGTATATTCGGGGCAGGGATAAGCAACCATACATCGAACACCACATCGTTCACCCAGAGCACCTTATCAAACCGTTTCCCTTCACTCTCCAGCTGTTTAAGCGGTTCCATAGCCTGGTTGCGCACCCTGGAAAGGTAGGGTATCCGGCGCAGCTCGAATTGATCTTCGGCAGCGTTCCAAATCCATCCAGGCTCTCTTCTGGCGTCCGGCGACGGCCGCGCGTCGATTTCGTCCAATTGCTCCCACACCGTCAACCCCAAGCTGACCGTATTCGAGGCCCCTCTCTGGTCGAGGGCGTCCTTGAGTTCCATCAATGCCTGCTTCGTCTCATCCTGCGAACCCGACTCGACGGCGGACACGTGGACGTTCTCGGGGCCTAGGTAGTCGACCAGATTCAAGATGGCCTCGTTCCATGCCGACTTTTGTATCAGTTCCGTATTACGATGTACCGACGCGATGAAGACCGAGACGTTGCCGGCCGGGGAGGTGAAAGCGAAGGATCGTCGGTCGTCGTCTAGGTTTGCGCGGTGGGTATGGGGGCGTCGGCGCACGAGGAAGCAGGCATCGATGAGGAAGATGAAGAACAGGGTTAGGAGGACGGGGCGCACGTAGTTACGCCTGAAGCGGCGGTACTTGAGGAGCATCTAGATTATTAATACCCAACACTGAACACTGCTGTTCCAATTCAATATTTGGACATGTATAAGTAGAAAAAAGAGTAGACGGTCGTGGGTCTGGCAAAAAAAGCTATGGCATTACGAAAGCTCTCCCCTTCCAACCCCGTTCCGGATGAAGCGGGCGAGACAGAAGGTTCATTAGGTATTTGACAGATGGACCATGAGGTAATTGGGTTATAATTGGTATATTAAACAAGGGGTATATTGATGTTGAAGAGGTTAGGTAGTGTTTTATAGGAATAGGATAAGTGTGCGGCACGGAAGTGTAGAAAGGAGTTGGTTGTTGTATACATATACGAATACATATACGAATACATAGTATGTAATATGTAAATATCCATAGTTAGTTACTATGTAGTAAGAAGAATGTTGACATGGATGGATCCATTGTGTAACCTAAAGTTAAGAGGTTCAAGTTTTGATGATGCGGCTTGGCCTGTCCAGGCAAAGCTTGGCCCCTAAGCCTTTAAGAACACCTGGAACATCCCTTATTAAAGCGGCCCGGGGGCTTTCCATTTGTGGGGTTTTGGCTTCTAAATTGGGTCTGACGTTGGAAGCCGTTGGAATAGAAAGTGCGACACACTGTAATTAAGCATGTACCTATTTTAAGACTTCAACTTTTTGGTACTGGGCTCTTCTCTTCATACATTTGAATCTTAATGCACATGCAAATCTACCCAGTTATCTACACTATGTATAGATGTAGATCATGTTGCATTATCGACCCAGCTGGTTGGGTAGGTGCTTACGACCAATGCATTTTAGGCCCTGATCGGAATCCTTCTTAATAGATCGATCGTATTAATACCCGGGTATGGAAAGAGATGGGCAGATTTGATATGTACTGCTAGTACCATATGAAGCTACACTACATGAAGCTACATAAAGCTACTCCATTACATATCCACCTTCTGTGACATGCCGGTTTAGGAGCACACCACCAATTGAGGGGGTTCAACGCCCCTTCAAGATCTACATATATGTAACTCCTCATTACTAATCTAGATTATAGGCATCTACAACCGTACCTACCCTTAGCAGCTCAGGTACAGCAAATCCATTTCTCAGATTGAACATACCCGGGAGCCTCCAGAATGGCGTCACAAAATACCAGCAATCTTCCAACCGCCGCCGAGGCAGGTTTCGAGGATGCCGCCTCGTACGATGCATATCGCCCTTCGTATCTGCCAGACGCAGTCGAGACCTTTCTCTCAAACTTGAAGGTCGCTGATCTGCACGGCGCCAACATTGTCGAGGTTGCCTCGGGGACGGGCAAGTTTACCGAGATCCTCGCCAGACGGCCCGAGAACTTTGTCGTCAAGGCCGTAGAGCCGCACCATAGCATGAGGGAGAAGCTTGCGCAAAAAGATCTGCCGGGCGTCGAAGTCATCGACGGAAAGGCTGACAAGATGCCGCTCGATGAAGAATGGGGCGATGCGTGTATTGCTGCGCAGGTAAGTTGGTGGGTGATAGGAGTGTAGGATAACTACCTATATATTAACCATACTATACTGCCAGGCTTTTCACTGGTAAGTTCTTATATAAAGTTACAATTTCTATAATCAATTTGCTCATGTACGCATCTGCATAGGTTCGCTACTCTTGAGTCTTTGGAAGAGATACAACGTGTCTTGAAACCGGGTGCTGGGTTTGGTGCCATATGGAATATAGAAGATTGTAAGCCCCCTTCCAAGCACCTCAACGAATAATTAGTGGTATAAGGCTTACGAAACGTGCGATCATCTAGATAATAAACCTCAAAATTGGGAGGCGACTACTAAATGGGAGCAGAAAATGAACGACTTTATCTGGTCACTCGACGACGGTCTACCTCGGTTCAGGCATCAGGTTGGTCTCTCTCACACAGTCAGGAGCAGTGAACTTTGAACTTAGCTAATCATATTCGACTCAAGAAATGGAAAGATGTCTTCGACGCGCAGCTTTCTGTAAACCCTATTCAAGTCATCAAAGACACCATCACTGGCCATGCGCCTCAATTCAGTCTCCCCATCGGGGAGGATACCACGAAATGGACTGAGTGGCTAAGTGAGGAAGCACTTCTCTCACGGCTCACCACTTTGAGTCAGATCGCAATACTTAAGGGGGAGGAACGCGAAGCTTGGCTAAAACTTTTTAAGGAGATCATCCAAGGCGAGGATGTAGAAAGGAACGGAAAAGGAGAGATTGCAGTTCATGGCACTACTTTCTTCTTCTGGACGGATAGGCTATAGAAAAGGTCTTTAGGATTTGTGGCTATCAAAACAGCTTTATTGTACTCTTGTTAATGTGACCAGCTTGATGTATCACTATATCATAAGCTTCATCGTCTTAAAGATAAGGGTGATACCTAGAGTGCTCTATATGAATGTAATGAGTAAAACGCCCATGAATACCACTAGGGATGCCCGATTGCCGGAAAGGCTCCCAAAGGCATGTCCTTCATCAGCCAAGGGTAAAGCTCATTGCTATATCAGTCGGCTGATATGTACATGACTGGAGTAATGAATCAGCACCACACATATGAAAGGAGTCAAAAGAAAGCCCCAATATGCAAGCGGCTCACTTACCATTGTTTCCTCTCACAAAAGCATCTCCATACGTCCTCCTCTTGGCGCCATTGACGTACTCTTCAGTCTTTTCTAGAGCAATGTTCATGTAGCCGTCCACGGACTGTAACTCGCCTATGCTAATATTTTAGTCTCTATATAAGAGCTAGCAGGTAAAATGACATAGTGACTGACCTTTGTACACAACACCGGAATTCAGCTTGACGGTGACAGGATTGCCGATGATATCAGAGAGGAAACCAGAGGGGTCTTTGCCCTCACCTTGGCTTGTCGTGCCGTTTTCCATGATGATTTTGATGTTTGGAGTGAGTAAGTTTGTGGAAATGGTGACAAAGTTGGCGATTATATCAGAAATTAGTTGTTTGCGGCTTGGGATTCAATTCTGAGTTCAACAAATGTTGTTGTAAGCAGCTAAAGTGTTAAGGTGGATTTCTATGCGATTAAAGGAGTGATTGGACACCACATAATATTCTGCTTATTAGTACATAAATATACCTACCTAGTATGCATCTGGCTAGTCCCACCTTTAGTTACGAAAATATCCTTCAACTTTCCAGCAATTAACTATTAACTAACATTTGAACCTTCAAGGTTCAAAGTAGGACATTGTGGGGTAACTAGGTATTTATGTGCTTGATCTAGCCGATGTGGGGCTCGTGTACTACGCGTGAAGAAGAAGTTTGAAAAGTGTATTTCGCGCTGCACATTCAAAAACGGAACTTTATTCCCCCATGATACCTATCTAGTAAACTGTAGTATACCTAAAATTATACCTATGGTAGCTAGGTCTTAGGTAACATTGAACTAGTTAATTGGTAGTGTTAGCATTCCCAAGGTTGAATTCTCACCTTTATCCTTATTCTTACCCTCGTCCCCGTCCTCGTCCTTGTCCTTGTCCTTGTCCTTGGCCTTGACAAGTTATTCATATCAAACCTTTCTTTCCACTTACATACCCTTCTTACTTTACATCCTTGAGTTCTACTCATTGCATGCCCGTTTTTCATATCCCAGTTGATCTACCAATTGTCAACTGCCAACTGTCACATTCTATCCACGCCATTTGACTACCATTGAGTAATATGGCAGATTCACTCCCCCCTCCCCCAGCTAAGCGAAAGCTTCCCTTTAAACGCACTGTCAGACGCAAATCCACCGAGATCGAGAAACCCGACGACGATGGCTTGTCTTTATTTAGTCGCTCCGGCGAATTTTTCGCGGAACAGCAAAGGTTAGCCCAAGAGAAGGCCGACAGAGAAAAGGCTGAAAAGGCCGAAAAGATTGCAAAAGCTGCGAAGGAGGCTGAAGAGGAGCAACAACGCAAGAAGATTCGGCAGCTGAAACGTAAGGTCGAAACAGCAATACTAGAGCAACGTGATAAGGGGGTTGCCAAAAAGCAGCGTCGTATCTCTTTTTCTGATGACGAGAAAGCAGTTCACGACAAAAGCGAAGACGACGCCATCAACATTACCCCCCCTAAGAAGAAGCGGAACACACCTTCGACTCCCCGAACACCTCGTTACAAGCGCGAGAGCTCATCTGCGATTACCCCCACAGCCACCCCAAAAGAGACAAATGGACGTGTTCAACTCAAGCAAACACGACGGCGTAGTACCCGAATACTATGCTTGGTCGACAACGATCGCAATGGCAGCAATAACTATAGCGACGAAGACGACGACGATCCTTCTGAACTATACTCCCCATCAAAGCGTTCTCCGACAAAATTGTCGCGCAAACATAAGCAAAAGACTCCCACGATGGAATCAAGTCGAAAAATACCACAAGATGTGATCACCCTGGATGATGATAGCGACTCCCAAGTTGACGCAGGTGATGAAAAGAAAGATGATGAGGAAGAAGACCCCTCCGAATACTACGTTAGACTCGCAATGGAGAAAGCGAGAAAAGCCAAAGAGGAAAAAGAAGCTAGAGAAAAGGGAGGCAGCAGTACCCCCGCGAGTCAAGAAGATCCCATTGTGCAAATTCTTATCCATTCGCGATTGGACGGCGCCCACCCCCTGATATTTCGACGCAAAGTATCCCAAAAATTGGAAGTTGTGTTCCAAACCTGGATCGAGCAACAGGTAACTAAGCAAAGCAAGATCCCACGTTCAACTCTGGAGACCATGTTCTTTACGTGGAAGGGAAACAAGGTCTATTCACACACAACCCTACATACGCTTGGCATCAAGCCTGCCGTGGATGGAAAGCTGTATCCAAACTGGGAAAAGGACCAGGATGGCTACGATGGACGAGACAAAGTAGTCTTCGAAGCATGGACATCAGAATTATACGACGAATACCAGCAAGAAAAAGAGAAGCAGCGTCTGCGGGATCTCGGCGAGCTCGACGATGAAGAACCGGAGGACACACCGGAAGCGAACCAGTCAAAGCCCTCCCAGGCAAAAACCAAAATCCGCGTGCAGTTCAAGGCCAAGAGCCTGCCCCAACAAAAGGCAACGGTGTACGCTGACACTACGGTCGCCCAGCTCATGGAGGCATATCGAAAGCTTGCGGGCATAGCAGGGGATAAGTCGATCGTGCTTCGTTGGGACGGCGAGGCCTTAGAGCCGGATACTACGGTGGAAGAGGCGGAGATTGAGGATATGGACTCGCTTGAAGTCTATATCAAGTAAGACGATATAACACCCCACCCCCTCCCTCCCTCCCTCCTTCTCCCTCCCCCCCTGGCTCTCCCCGAAAAAGAGAAAAAAAGAAAGAAAAGTTCAAGGATATAAATATGATCGGAAAAGGGGGCACTCGACACAGAAAGATGAGACTCGGTATTTTACCTCATTTTTGCTCCTGGTGGAAGCTTGAGAGGCATGACCGCAGCGATGAAGAAATAGACAGGGTTCTATAAGCACTTTATTCTATCGCAGAAGACAATATGATGTATAATGAAGCTCATGATACCCAACGGTTTTGCTTCATGAATGGCTTCATAAAAAATGATTAATCAATCAAGCAACCTTTTTTTTCAATTCATGTCTGATGATTGATTGACTGGAAGTAAAAAATCGTGCAGGTTGTCCCTCCCCCTTTTAACTCCCGAAACTCCGCCCTCTGAGATGGAAAAAAAATGTAAATAAATGCATGACCTGATATTCTCAGAACCTCTCCTTCATTCGTGAAGACACCGTGCGCAGGTTGTTGTATACTTTTCCGGGGGGCTTGCCCAATATTAGGCTCACGATGGATTCGCGGGCGATATGGATATTCTTGAAACCTGCAAGGCGGAGTCATATTACATTAGCACAGAACCAACCAACTCACGACAAAAAAGATCCACACCACAACGCAAACGCAATAATGATATGCATCTGATCTGATCTGGGGGGCTCCATTGAAAAAAAAAAAAACCTCACCTCCGAGGATATGGATCTTGGAATCGGCGAGCACGACCCTGGTACGGGAGGCATTCTCGATGGCGAACTTAGTCTTGCCGTCCTTGCCGGCGATGCGGCCGATGGCGCGGGCGAGGTGGTCGCCGGTGAGGGTCTTGACGTCCTTGACCTCGAAGGTCTCGATGTAGAGGTCGTCGAGGCGGAGGAGGGCGATGGCGTCGTCGACGTCGAAGCCGAGGGCGAAGGCGCGCACGAAGTCCTCGCCCTTCTGCAGGGCGCCGGCGTCGGTGGTGTGCTTGGAGGTGCGCAGCTCGACGCGCCGGTGCTTCACGTTCATGCGCACCTGCAGCTTCAGGTGCTCGACGAGGGGCGGGTAGATCTTGGGCCACGCGCTCTTGAGCGGCGTGAAGCGGTTCGGGGGGATCGTCACTTTGCGCGACTGGATGTGGGTTGCTGGGTCCTGTGAGGGGTGGAGGTTGGCATTGAATACACACACATACGCATTTTGAGAGTATGAGGAGGAAGGGAGTGGGGGGGGGAGGCATTACATACGGTGTTTTGTACTGGGGCAAAGTGCGGCTTGTCTTCTTCGTCTATCTCCATCTCATGATCTCCCGTCGCCATCCTTTCTGGTTGGAGAACTGCGTTGGCATCTTCGGGCAGATCGTTCATGCCTTCTAACGCAAAGTCTTCATCTTGATCTACCTCGGGAAGTGGGGTGTTGGACGAAGGGGTGTTGTCAACCTGCTTGAGCAGGGCTGTGGGGGCGGGCATATTGGTGGTAGTTGAATATTGTATCCTGGTAGATTCCTGATATCGGATAATTGCTCGAAGTGTAGATAGTCGGAGGAGTGCAGTTACGAAAGTTTTCGAAATTGAAAGACTTTCTTTTTTTTTAATTCGTTGAATTTGGTGATGGTTAGGTAACTTTCTTAGCCGTAAAACTAAGAAAAGGAAAAAAAAAAAAAAAAAAAAGGTCTGTCAAACGGTACAAGTGTTTGGTGGGTTGAAATTGGTTATCGATTAGATTTGATCAGGGCGATGCCTGATTATGCTGATATGGAGCGGCGATAGCGGGTGTTAGCATGAAAGTTCAAAGAACTAAACCATGGATGGACTAGCGTAGCACTTTACAAGATCCTGATGTTAGCTGATGTGCCAATGACGACTAGGTACCTACCCTAGGTAGTAGGCTTTTCTTCCCGAGAAGCTTGACGCCAAGCAAAATTCTTAGGTCTCTTAGGTCTGGAATTTCATGCTCCTCCTCTTTGCATCTTACCTGGAATTTCTTCTTTTTCCTCCATACATTGTGCGCCCAAGCTTGTGAATTCTGATTAATTCTGATTTTTGAAAATCCCTTTTTAGAAAATCATGAGATCGGTCTAATTCATGTGTTCCATGATATCCGTTCGCTAAACTTATAGATTTCGATCCGATCCTGCGTTTGCAAGCGCCATCGTTATCATCACGGATCATAACCTAGCAAACTAAATTTCCGCGGGGTCTAAGCTCAAAAGTACCATGCCACCATCATGTGCTTAAGCATACAATGTCTTCGACAGCTAGGTCTACAATCTTAGGCCAGGCACATCAGGCCCGGCGATCGCTCTATGCCCTCGCCGATGCTTTCACCTCGAGAGCGTCCTCGAGAAGGAACCCGATCAATCATGTTGGGCCACATCAGACGGCTCCCTGCTCTTCTATAGGAGGAGCATCGAGATCGCCCAAGTCTCCATGGCCTTTCTTTCGATCACCCAAGGTTTCCTGCCATCAGGTTCGCAGTCACTTTACCTCCAGTGGCCTGCTTCTTATTGGTTTCGCTTCTCCCACGTCAACCACTTCTGCCGTCACCGCGACGTGTTCGGCAGCGGCTGACTCTGCAATCCTCGGGACCGTGGCTCAGACGGCTAATATTAGCAAGTTGTCCAGGCAAGCATGGAAAAGAGATGCTCATTTTCGCAGTCGGGGCAAGACCATAAGAGTCCATCGAAGGACGAAGACATCCAAGTCAAACGTCGATAATGGGAACCCAGCTATGAGTCAGCAGAAAAATAGTACGCCACAGCCCAATATGAAGCCCGACACCAATCCAGCGGAGGCAGACGGAACGCACGCTTCCATGTCTAAATACTTCCACTTACCTGCCATGCCACACTTGCCGCATCGTCCGACAAAAGAGGAGTTCCTGGCTGCTGCAAACGGCTTTTGGCAGCGTATGAAGGTTCGATTTAAGTGGTTTTCTATCAGAAGCATGAGACCGTGGAATATAGATGAATGGGGAGCCTTTGTTTCCTGGTTCCTCTTCGGTCATCTTGTCTGGATTCTTGTCGGCACAACAACCTTCTTCTCACTCGGCATACTATTCATCAATACTGTCCTTGCGCAGGGTACGTACTAACTATAACTTTCGTCCCCATACAATATGGCCACTAATGTTCTATAGAAACTCTCGCGAAATGGGTAGGCGACTACTTGACCGAATCCGCCGGATTGAGCGTTGTTTTTGAGTCAGCCATTGTCCCGAGGTGGAAAGACGGTGTCATCTCTTTCAGGAACGTATTCGTATCTCGAAGGCCAGGCCAGGTCAAGTCTTCCGTCAGCAAGGGGTCTTCCTCCAGTGCCGCCGCTGTTGCTGCCGCCGAAAGAGGGACTGATAAGGAACCCCAAGCCATCGAAGTAGACGATGGTAATTATACCCAGTTTGATGTCACACTGGATACCGTCAACGTCACATTATCGTTTGTAAAATGGTGGACTGGAAAGGGCCTCCTGAAAGATGTTGAAATTAAAGGAGTTCGAGGAGTTATGGATAGGACATCAGTAAAATGGCCCACCGAGCGTGTCGATCCCTTGTCCTACCGACACGAGCACAGCCCCGGCGACTTTGAAATCGACTCTTTCAAATTGGAAGACCTGCTCCTTACTGTTCACCAGCCAGGAGGATTCCGACCTTTCTCCGTGAGCATATACTCATGTGAGCTTCCCCAACTGAGGAAACAATTCATGTTTTACGACTTCTTATCTGCCAGCCATATGTCCGGATCATACGATGGATCACTTTTTACGATACATCCACGCCAGATTCACGGAGTCCATGGAAATCATGGGGTCCCAGCCGGTCGCGAGGAGTCTGCTTCTGACCCATTGAGAGACCCAGATTTGTGGAAGAAATTTAGTCGCATCCGGATCGATGGTCTCAAGATAGACCATCTCAACCGCGGAGTCGAAGGCCCCTTTGGTTGGATTTATGAAGGCAATGTCGATCTCGTGGCGGATATTAGGTTCCCAGCCGATGATGACGATAGTATTACTAAAGTCATGTCCGAATTTTACGACCGACTCGAAGAGAAAGTTACATCAAATCGATATATTTCCATCCTTGATCGGGGCTATCGAACCGAAGAAGTCATAATCAACGATACGGATGAAATACAATCTGGCGAGACAGTGGAGGAGGCTGAACCCACTATCTCTCAAGAGGAACCTCAAGCAAATGCCAGCACGCCAACGATCCCCTCGACCCACGTGGACGAAGAGCCGCCACGTTATCTAGTCATGGATTTACGCATACACCTGAACGATGTCAAGGCTTCAGTACCTGTCTTCACATCTAACCTCTCTTACGTGAACCAAGCTCTTGTACGCCCCATCGTAGCCTACATCAACGCGAAGCGCACGTACATTCCTATCAGCTGCCGCATTGTCAAGCGAGCTTCCGATTTCGACGGGTCTTGGACCATCTATGACTGCGGGCTTATGGACGACACTTCGGCCGAGGTCTACGACGCATTTGCGCGTGACGTGGAAGACCAGCAGAGCCGTGTCCGTCGTCTCAAGAAGGTTGGTTTCTGGACCTTGAGTCTTGCTGTGCACGCTCTATTTATGGGCATGGCCGGAGCCGTCATCTAACACAACACCCTACTACTACATACATACATACACATTACCTCAATATCTACGCAGATATTCCTCCCCCCCTATTGTATATAGCACCCATTTCCCACCCACACAAACATTATCACAGGAGGGAGAGCGTTGGGCGTTCATGTGTATAGGGGGAAACAGCTCTTCTTGCTCCCCCCTGCCCCCCTTTTTTGCTCAGCCTCGCGAACATAAACAGCTGAGAACGAGCTAACTAGCAAACGAACCTTTTGGTTGGTTGGTTAGTTGGGAGCTGGTTCAAATGGGTATTTACGTGGTTACGAAAACGGCGTTCTTTCGTGATCCATGGCTAACTAGGTGATGGGTTGGTTGGTTCAACCGGTTGGCTGGTGGGTGAGGTGTTTGGGGCGTTTCACTTTTACCAAAAACAAAACAGGACAGAACGAGAAGAGGAATAAAGCAAAAAAAATGAAAATCATCATGTCGTCGTGGGGGACTACTCGATAACCGAGTATAGTCCCCCCACGCCCCCTGCCTGGCTACTTTTGTTTTGCTATTTTATGGGAGTTGTCGAGTTTTTAACGCTGGAAATACCCCCCTTTAAGTCAATATAGACATGCATACAAACATGCATACATACCTAGGTACATACATATATAAAAGATTATAAACAGATCAGAGAAAATTTACCAAACATTTGAATCCTCTCTTGAGATTTTACTTTGGGTTGGTGTGGGCGGTGATGGTAAGATTTCAAGAATAGGGAAAAGAAAGGTATGATATGATATGATATGCATAGCAAGCATATTTTGGATTCTCTCTGCGATCTGATCTGTCTGTAGCTACCTAGCCTAGGGTAAAATCAAGCCTCTTTCTCATTCGTCACCAAGCCACCTAGTCGATTGCCAACTATTTCCCGGAAGCCCTCCCTTCAGCGCGGCTCGGCTTTGTTCGATGCGCAATGGAGAATGCAAAACAGAGTTCTTCAATTCTCGTTTTCCCTGAACTTCTGATTCCAATCTTTGATTGACTGGCCTATCTTATAGCTATCCCTAGCTAATCACATTCGTAGTTGGCCACCTATTCCTACCGGCAGGGAACGATCCTCTCCAGCTCTAGCGCCCGAGAAATCATGGGATAAAGTCAGGGGTATGGGGTATGGGGTATAGGGTATAGGGTATAAAAGGGGGAAGTAAATTGGAGTTTAGAGGAGCAAGAGTAAATTGCAGTACTACAGATTGCTATCCGTTGCAGGCTAGGGTATAACTCCAAGCAATCCACCGTGGCATTAACCCTTTGGAGCAGGGACGGCCGTCGGGATAGCTTTGGAGACGGCGTTTTAACGTAGGCTGTGAAGAAAGATCTGATACCTATGTACCCTGTTCACATAAAGTCGTCGCTGAATAGAATATTAGCTTTCAAAGATCAAAGTAAAGGTATCTAACACAGCCACTCACTCTCCAAAGTCCTCCTCGTAAGCACCAGTATCAGTCGTGTTGGCTCGGGTAGTAACGACACTGGCCTTGGTCTTTTGTGCCTTGGTTTTCTTGCCACCCTTTTCGGCAGCCTTTTCCTCCTTCATCTTCTCATTGCCTAGAGCAGTAAGAGTGCTGGCAACCTTCTTGATCTGATCACTGGGGAGTTCCTTAGCAAGCTGCTTAGTGAACTCCTGTAGGAACAAGGCATAATGCGCCTTCTTGTGATTGCCACCAATGATCGGAACTATAGTGTTGCGTAAATTCTCGAACTGGGTCTTGGTCTGTGGGTTGAAAAGGGGTAAAGAGGCAAGATCGACAGTCTTGGTTGGGTCGGTAGGGTCGACAGAAACAGCGGAACCAACAGTAGTGGCCTTGCGTCCATTGCTCAGGCTGATGCCGGCATCACCGAAAAGGTCCTCAGCATGCTTCAAGTCAGACTCTTTCTCGGTTTGTCGAATTCGCTCGCGACGCTCTGCCTCTGTTTCTTCTTCGCCCGAGTCATCCTCGCCTGCAGCTAAGCGACGCGCTCGCTCCTCCTGGCGTTCCTTAATGCGCTGAGCCTTAGACTTTTTGTTCGCGGCAGCTTCAGCGTCAGCCTTAGCCTTTAACTCGGCAGCCTTCTTAGCCTTCTCTCGCTCCACTTCCGAGTCTTCAGCAGCGTCCCAGGATTCGAGGACCTAGACATGGCCAGTAGTAAGTACAATGGGCGAAGTAAAAGAACATAGATCGGCTAGGAGTAAACATACATCACTATCGTCGCCCTCTTCATCATCGAATTTGCGACGGAGAACACCAGGAGGTGGGGAAGACGGAGGGGTGCTTCCATCTTCCTCTTCCTCGTCTAGATAAGAAGGAAAGTTAGCCAAGGGTCGCTTGCGGCGATGGGGGTGGTGATAGCGAAAGCGAAAGCGATCAAGACCGCTACATAGGAATGCTATGTGTAGAGTAGCAATAATCCAATATAAACCCAACGGCTCATAGACGAGGTGCATAAAACAAAAAAGGCCCTGGCAAGATCCACTGCACACTGTAAGAGACCACTTCCTTGTGATATCCAAGGCATGCTAATGCGCTCCCTTCGCGAGTCCCGTGCGGTATTATAAATTGACGTTGACGATATGTCAATGCTGGGGAGATTGGGCCTCTTCACAAAGAATGGTCAAGCATGGAAATAAGAAATGAAGAGTAACTTACCCCATTGTTTCTTAGGAGGCATGATGAATCGATCGACGGGAGGGTTTATTGCAAAGTTGCAAAAGCAAGGTCAGCGAAGGTGTTATTGTTGATGTTGAAAGGAGAAAAAAAAGAGGGCTGATGGGGATTGGGCATTAAGAAAAAAAAAACCAAAAACGGGTGGAGTGTGATTTTTGTGTGCCTATTGCATTAAATGTGTGCTGAGACACCTGAGAATAATTCAATCACAGTGAGCATTTATGCCTATAAGTCCATAATATTCGTACCTGCCTTCAGGGCTGCTACCAAACAATGTGTTCTAAAGGTTATGGCGGCTACCAGGTGGGGTGGTCATGCGGGGCATTTTCTTTCAACTTTGAAGTTCTAAAAACTAGTCCACCTAGTTAGTAGCATAACCTTTATTTATGGCTATAGTTATACAGTTAACACTAATATCAAATAAATAGGTATTCACACTACGGCCTCAAGTTTTCAACATTTCCGAGGAAGCACTGTTGATCACGGCATACCTTTTGAGGTTAGTTGGGAGCTGTCAAATTCATCCTATCTTTAGACTTTTTCATATACATAACATCACTTTCATGATGGATCAAGAGTTCCTCGGAAATGTCGAAAAAAGCGGTTGTACATAGTAGTAGTGCATTGAAGATGGGATTTCTTATGTAATGAGACCTACCTGGGTACATATGTACTTACATAGATACATCATCGAATCCCAAAATAGAACATTGAACATTGACGCACATGCAGGTGCCAGGTAGTTACCTACATGTAGCATCTTTTCCGGCGTCACTCTTCACATACAACGAAATATGTACATTTGTTAGTACATCTATACAGAACATCCATACAGATATTACAGAATATTTCTATATATCATATGTACTTCTTTCTATTTTGAGCTCGTTTCCCAACATTGAATGCATCCCAAGTTTACTATCTCGTAGGATTCGGATCGCTATATGCAAGGCCTGAGGCTCAACTTCAATGTTCGGGTTGACGGCTATCAATGGACTTTATAGCTCACGTCTTACCTTTCTTGAACCCGTGTGCTGCTCAATTAGTTTCGTGTATCTAATGAGTCATCTAGATTAGAAGAGCCCACGCGCTTGGCTTTACCATGTACATATGTACAGGCTTGTCAAACGCGTTGATCACTTGCAAGATTTCGCCGAGTTGACGGCTCCTTTTTTCTCTCTTCCCTTTCGTCCTCGAGTCACTAACAAGGAGAATATCTTCCACGGATTTTATCACACACAATTCGCCATAGAAAAATATAATAACAGTTCCAGTGTCTAGGAGTGGAATTATGAAGTCCGGCGACTACAATTTATACCATCTTAGCTGGTTGTTTGCTTTCTCTAGCAGACATTGAAGTGTTCTCCAATCATAAGGGCTAAGGTACAAAGTCCTTGCACCTCGCCGACAGCCGCTGGGCTGACGCCGTTTGCTCTCCGAAAACGACCCGGAAGGCCCCATTTCTCAAGTGCTCTAAACCCCTACTTTTCCCGACTTTTCAGTCCAGCTGACAGGCTAACAAAGACTACTCTCCTAACATACCTGGTACAGCGGTACTACGTCCGCTGTTTTTGCCAAGCCTTGAGGCTGTATGGATCTGAGTAAGAATTGCTACCATAATCTAATATCCACTAGGTTAAGGGGAAACGATGAAAGAAAAAAGAGGAAGCGAAAAAAAAAAGCTGTCCGCTTCCTTTCGTTGTCTCTGAGTTTGCCATGCTGTACATGGGCACTAATGGGTCAGTCCCCCCTGGGGCTAGTTGTCTCGGGGAAATCACAGATCGATTAATGTATCCATGAAGGGAATCCCGTAAGCAAGTATCTAAGTAAAGGAAGGTATAAGTATTTGTGATTCTGAGGTGATAACTAATTACTTTTCTATTTGCCCTTCCCAAGCTACATCGAATACATAGTCACCTAGTTCTTCTTTACTCAAACAGACCTTCCTAGTTGTACTACCTTGAACCAATACCCTTCCTTCTATTGGTCACAGTGTTTGATTCCGTCTGCCACCAATGTCGATGTTATCAACAAAGGTTCAAACCAAGCTCTGTGCGCAGAAACAGCTTGCCCAGCTATCCAGAGCTGCGGCGACCTCGACCCTAGCAGTATATTCAACAGGTATCCGCGTTGGCATCGTAGCCTCCCAACACGTTGGAGGCTCTCGAGCCTTTTCCACAAACCCAGTAACACAGTTCCGAGAATTTTTTCCAGTCAAGGAGACGGAGAACATCCGTAAGACACCAGCAGCATGGCCCCATCACGGATTTTCTGAAGCGGTAAGTTATAAGAAATATTTGATCGCTGTTCTAGATCTACAATCACTGTGGCTTCCTAAGTCAACGCTTGACAGTTTTTCGAAGATCTGGATATGAAGATGTAGTCACTAACTAGTCTACTCGAAATCAAGGAGATGCATGCCGTTGTTCCAGCACACCGCAAGCCGAAGACCTGGGGTGACTGGATTGCCTGGAAAGCCGTTCGCTCTTGCCGATGGGGCATGGACTTCTTCACTGGGATGGGAAAGGAGCAAAAGGTCGACAAGACCAACCCAACAACAGCCGTAGAGACGATCAAGCCGTTGAGCGAGGCCCAATGGCTGCTGCGATTCCTATTCCTGGAGTCCATCGCTGGAGTTCCAGGCATGGTTGCTGGCATGTTAAGGCATCTTCACAGCATCAGACGCCTCAAACGCGATAACGGTTGGATTGAGACGCTTCTAGAGGAGAGTTACAACGAGCGAAGTCAGTTACATCCCCCTATGGCTTGTAAAGAGGTGATACTTACCTACCCTTCTTGTTACAGTGCACCTTTTGACGTTTATGAAGATGTGTGAGCCAGGTAAGCAATGTATTGGCAATGCTTCTTCCGTTCTTGTCCACTAATACCTCTTTCAGGATGGATCATGAAGCTCATGCTCATTGGCGCTCAGGGGGTTTACTTTAACGGGCTCTTCCTAAGCTACTTGATATCGCCCAAGATCACACACCGATTCGGTAAGCAATATCCCCTTTCCTCCCATCTTATCCCATTCTACCCCCATCTGGACAATAAGTCACTAACCTTTTCCCCTTTGACAGTCGGTTATCTCGAAGAGGAAGCCGTCCACACCTACACACTAGCCATCAAGCAGATCGAAGAGGGACACTTACCGAAGTGGGCCGACCCAGAGTTCAAGGTCCCTGACATCGCGGTTCAATACTGGCACATGCCGGAGGGGAAGCGGACGATGAAGGACCTGATCCTCTACATCCGGGCCGACGGTGAGTCTATACTATACCCATGCCAACACGAAAGAAGATAGGGGCAAAGCTAATGTATCGATAAACAGAGGCTTGCCATAGAGGCGTGAACCACACTCTCAGCAACTTAAAACAAAACGAAGACCCCAACCCCTTCGTCAGCGTGTATAAAGACGGCCAAAGCCCCCCGAGACCTGCCTTGAAGGCAGAGGGCTACGAGCGCGAAGATGTTATTTAAACCCCACCCACTAGAACGGAATCCTCGCGGATTCTATCGAAGTCTCACCGAGCATAGATGGATAGACGGCGATGGTTTATTTATTGTAAGAAGGCGGAAAGCATGCATGGAGCATAGAAAGGCGTTAGGGGTTTAAAAAGGGGGTTCATGAAAGAAAGCATATGGGCGCTACACTAAAAGTTCCCTCTGGATGGGGGTGTGATTTCAGGGGGGTTTAGAGGGAAGAAGAACGATGGAAAGAAGGAAAAAAAACAAATACCCCCTTAGGATTTAGAATGGCACGGGAGGAAAATTGAAAAAGACGCATGAATGACGCGCTCCTCCCGGTATAGACTCTCAGCTCTTACTTTACTTTAATAAGATCTCTACTTTTCTCTTCTCTACCAGGTTCATAAGATGCTATACTGTGATAGTGAAGACCCTATGGTTGGTCATTTGTGTCAATATTGGTTGTGTGCTGTCTGTTTCTCGTGAATAGGGAGGTAGACCGTCAGTGTGGTCAATCTGTGACGAATGGAAGCACAAGCTCGGGTCTTACTGGGGCAGACACATCTTTCAATGACATTCATGGCTATTGATATACGCACATGACACTATGTCTTCGGCTTCGATATCATGCATGCCGATGAGATAAGCACCGTGCTGATAATATTGAGCTTGGATTGCTAATTAATTGGAATGGAACACCGAGGAAGGTACTTATTTAATTGATATGTCACATGTAGGAGAGCATTCACATACATGTATATCGGTCGCCTGGTTTGGTAGGTTTATATCAGTTGTGAATTTATCAAAATCCAAAATCAAAGATTGTGTGTGTGCTAGGTGCTACTCATGAATATTAACACGCCGTACTCACATTTTTGTAGTATTGCTTATTTAGGTGCGTAGTCTAGGCCCTCATGCACGTAGTATGTAAGTGGCGTTCTTTCGATGTCTAAGAAAACGACGCTATTTGTATCCCCATATAGAAAGAGACGCTATGCAGGTAGACATGCTGACGGGAGCACCTTCTTTCGTATGTACGTGTGTACGTGCGGGAGTCTCTTCGTGTGATATGTCGTAAAATCCTGCCGATCTGGGGGACAGACATGTGAATTGGAATACTGACTGGCACAGCCCAGGTGTTTACGCACGGTTTTCGGCCAATCGGCTCGCTGTTATTTTAAGAATATTTTGGAAAGACATTCAAGCCATCCATGATCTTCTTTGCTTCAGTGTCGATCCTCCACACTGTTTCTCTGCCGACAAAGGTAACTCGTGTCTTAAGAATTGATACGGGAAGGGCGTGTCAAGTTGTCTGAGTGCTGAAGCATTGTTCCGTTGTCTCAATATGATGAATTCTATACGTATTGTTAGCCAATGAGATTGGTTGACCATCTCTTCGTATGTAGTAAGCAGTTGGAGCGTTTCGTACGGTGTCGAATGGATTAGACGTAGTTATTCCAGAAATGTTCCGGAACAAGGGGGATTCCAGGAACAGAGCAACTTCAAATGATACATACAGTAACTATGTATCGTACCTACATACACATACATATCTGGCAATCTGCACCTAGATATGCACCTAGGTATGTTTCATAGTGCCACAGCCACAAACTAAGTCATATGTGACGACGACCTTGGAATGTGTGATAGGGCTGACCAGTTAAGTACTGTATGAATGCATATCCTCCAGTCCTAGCTTAACTCGGGGATAGGGCATTTTCACCTCAAAAGGTTGAAAAAGGTAAGGTCGAATCAAAGTAGCTTAGGGCTGAAATTGCACTTCAATGATACCCAACGTCTTACTCCGTCGTTCGACATACAGGTGACGCCCGTGGTTCACCGCCTCGTGAATAGGGAAGGTCTCTACATACTATGTGGTATGTAGGAGAACATGGCTGCCCATGATTGCCCATGGTTGCCCATGATTGCCCATGTCTGCCTGGTATGTATGAGAATAGTCAAGATTGCGTTATAATTGGTGGAGATAATATACCTACGGTAGGTATATTAGGGTATGTTTCGTCTTGTCCTGACTCCTGCGTGCCGAAATTCGCCAAATTCGCATCATACTCGTTCTTTTCGCATGTGCCCGAGTGGAAGATTCCGATGGATTTACCTATGGTATCAACGAAGATGGGTCATACAGTTACGTACTACATGGATATGTAGGTCCCTACTGTAGGTCCCTGTTGTAGGTCCCTACATGATATGCCTACACCTAGCCCTACGACGCCTCATTAAGGTTAGAGTACACCTGCCTATCTAAGGCTAGTAGATACACATCCATGTATGCATTATGGAATGTCAATGAAGTTTGAATGCGAATCTCTAAGTCGGGGGTGGCTGACGGGTTGACTTTGACTAGTGTATCTATCGTGATGCCGCCGTTGAACTGGCTATGTCAAGCCCCAGGGTCAGGATCAGGATCAGTACAGAGCAGACATGAACATTACATACAGCATAACTAATAATTATCTTTCCCCCTTTACTAATATTTTATGCTTTATGCTAGAACATCCACAATTTTTACTTGATAATAGTTACATAGTATAACATACGTCGTAGTATTTAACCTAGGTAAGTATTTAACGTTTTAAGAATAGATGCTACATAGATATTTACCTAACCTAGAGCATAACAGTTACTTCCAAGGTTCCTTTTAAATACATACATATGTACATACCATCCAGTAGCGTCATGCTATTGTTAGAATAGTCCGGAAGAACTTCAATGTTGCCAACTAGGTTAGGTACCTAGTACCTACTATTGGTGATTAGCACTACAAACTTGTATGGTAGGTGGGGTAATATGGGCGGGGTGATAGGCGTTTAGGACAGAACGTTGAACCTGTTCTGGACTTTCGTACCTGGAACGCAGAAACCTGGAAAGTAGACCCGCGCTTCGCAAACCCTTCCCAAGCCAATTCTTTGCGACTAACTAAAGTTTAGGTAGCATCATACCTACAAGGTAGCATACCTAGCACACCTAGCACACCTAACATCTTAGCGACTTTAAACTTTAGCGACATATGATATTCTTCCCCCCCTTCTTCTTTCTTCTTCCTTTTTAGCCTCTCCGAAACTTTGACCTTTTTCACAACCAGCCCTACTCCAAGGTTCAACCGTTCGCTTCAACGTTCTATCCAACGTTCGCTCCTTTCTAACGGACCAATTGACCACCTGTGCCAACCATCATCATTGCGCTCTACACACATTGACACTTACAGTAATCAACTGTGGTTCGATACCGAGGATCCTATTCGACCTATCCAAGTCGAAACAACTCCTCCGTATAACTATCGCGGTTATCTGGTCAAAGGATTGGCAGCGCCCAAAAAAAGAAAAGCGATTTCTTATACGTCGAGACAATTGTATAATTGTCGCAGTCTTCCAACGACACATAATTCCCATCGAAACGTTTGAGATTCTGCTTGCAGTTGGTTCGGGCTGAACGTATTCCAGAGGATTACTCGGTATTTCAAGACACGAAACAAGGGCGACAGCTACAGACAAGCGAAAAAAAAGAACATTGTGCCTTCTGTAGGGGTGGACGGCTAGAAAATACCAGCTTGAGTATACATACCAACTAAACTTCTAGCTATTAATTGCTGCCCGTCCCAAGACAACGGTTTTGACATCTTTACCCGCCGTTTTTAACACTGCCTCGCGAGCCGTAACAACGAACCAACATTGGTGTCTGCGCGACACGTCACGAATTTAGGACTTCCAACCCTTATGTGCCCTGACTTGCCTGCTAGGTACATGTTGATTCGGAAAGAAAGTACCAAGAATACCAAGAAAGCAAGGGTCTGCTACTGTCGCAGATCCCACGCCGAAACGTAGCCATATATACAGTCAACCAACCAGATTCTATTTCAGAAGCATTTACCTGCCCAAAGTACGGACAACCCCGGCCTTTCTCTCTCTCCTCATCTGCATCCTCCAAGGCTATTCTTTTTTCCAGTCCACGCCAATAGAGAGCCAACACTGAAAATACTGTACTGTACTATACTGTTTTGCATCAAATTGTACGGCAGCGAAGTTGAACAACTAGAAAGCCAACAAGTGTAAGACTTTTATTCTCAGACTGATTTATATCGCTCTCAATTTCTCCCCTTTCCCTTTTCCCGCTATAATAATTACTACTACGATTATCATCATACGGCACATCTTATTTTACAGCCCGTCAAATCCTACAGATGTATCTCGGGGAGCTAAACTAAGAAAAGTAACCGCACATTTCTTCACATCTCGGATTTGGTCCACACACAAAACGGTATAAGACAGGATCCAAATATAACGGCAGAAACGGAAACTAAGTCGCCTAAGCTACCAGGTCTATAACTACCTAGGTAGGTATTATCAGTAACACATTCAAGCAAGCACAGCCCCCCTCCCAAACGTATCCGAGCTGCGCCACGCTATCAGGCAGACTTTCTTGGGTACAGCTGCAATCAACCTCGTTCGACTTGGGATTTCTAAAGACAGAAACAAATTACGCGCCATGGATCAACAAGCAATCCATCCCGTAGGGTCGGCTCGTGGACGCTCACCGTCTGCGGGAAACCCACAGCCTCATATAAGAAATAGTCATTCTCCTTCGCCTCATCCATATCAGTCCCCGGAACCATCTATCGGCCTCGGCATTGCTTTAGACTCCTCGTCAGCAGTTAATCCTCAGTTCACCACCTCTGATTATAACCCCTACGATAACAACAACGCTAATAATCGATTCCTGAATACCTCTCAGCCACAGCCCTACGACCAACAAGGTATTGTCGACCCATCATCCTTCGACCTTGACCAGGACTTCTCTCAATCGCTCACATCGCAATCTCAAGCCGCATTCGCGCAGAATCTTTTGAGCCCCGACTTCAGCGGTAGCGGCGACTTCTCGCTTTTTCCATCTAGCACCCAAGCCGATCAATTCAACACGCCTTTGTTTGGTGATCTAACTCAAGCTAATGTGCAATCTCTCGACCCGAGTGATCTCACCAACATGACGTCCCCGCAAACCCACCACTCGCCTACTCCACCCCATCTTCTGAAGCCAGAACCCGGCTCGGCGCATCACTCGCCATCTTTCAATCAACATCAGTTTACCTCGCCCGGCCATTCAAGACATGCGTCGCTAGGGCCGGAGGCTGCCTTCATACCAGGACAATTAGATTGGAGCCAGCCGCAGTTCCAGAGGCATCGCAGGACACCGTCGGAATACTCTGATGTATCTTCCAATGCGGCATCCCCACATCTCACGGGCCACGATGGCTTTGAGCACGTGCATGGCCACTCGCCTATGCAACGACCTCAAGATTTCTATGACGGGGTGGTTGGGTTGGGTAACTTTAGCATAACAGACCCTAACCAGCCCAGTCGCAGCCCATCGCATAGTCCAGCTATTTCCCCTCGGATACATCCTCAGCAGATGCCTGAGCAAAATTCAGGCATGATGCTAAATACTGGGTACCCTAACCCTCAAATGGGCTATTCGGAAGAATTCCCGTCTCTACCTCAAGAAGGGGTAATAGACCCTCAAATAACTCAACCTATGGCGCCACCATCCATCAACATCGATTTTGCGCCAACCAATTCGAGGCAGAACAGCTTCGAACCCCCCAAACCGCCCATGGACGCGCAGTCTTTGACGCCTCCCGACAGGGGTAAGTGGTGCTTCTGTTGGGTGAGATGGATGATACTAACCAATATGTAGGCCGCCCGAGATCCCGTCCACGAGCAGTTACGGACCCATATAACAGCGGAGGGGGTGCTCTCTCCCGTTCCAACACCCCTGGAAGTCTGTCGCCACATCTCGGCGCGGACTTAGCTAACCGTAGTCGCTCCGGCTCCGAGTCATCTTCGCGTTCGTTATCGCCTGGTGATAGGTCCGGCAGTGCTAATGCTGTCTCGAGGAGACGTCAATCTATGTCTGCAGTCCCCAATAATGTTATTGCGCTCCGTCTAGCAGACCCCGATTATCAAGCTGCTCAAGACAACGGAAATAGTAAGAGGGTTCAAAAGCATCCCGCGACATTCCAATGCACGCTCTGCCCTAAACGATTTACTCGAGCGTACAACCTACGTTCTCATCTACGTACGCACACCGATGAGAGACCTTTTGTATGCACAGTTTGCGGAAAGGCATTTGCCAGGCAACACGATCGAAAACGACACGAAGGCCTCCACTCGGGTGAAAAGAAATTTGTTTGCAAGGGAGAACTCAAAGCTGGTGGCCAGTGGGGCTGTGGGAGACGCTTTGCCCGAGCAGATGCGCTGGGACGCCATTTCCGATCAGAAGCCGGAAGAATATGTATAAAGCCTTTGCTAGACGAGGAGATGATTGAGAGGCAACGAATCTGGCAAGAACAGCGTATGCAAAGTATGGCGCAAAGTATGGGCCCACCACCAACGGTTATGGACCCCAACATGTATCCAGGAATGGATGCGGGTGGTTACGCGTTGCCTGCAGCTCTGTTAGCCCAATACCCGGCATTGGCGCAGATGAATTGGTCTCCGAACGACATGAACAATGTGGAAGACGAGCTCAGTGGTCGCTCCAGCTTCGATGCTTCGGACTACGACGATGGCGACGATACAGGCTACGTCAGCGGGCCTGGATCCGGATTTGGCGAAGGCGGCATGCAGCAAAATTTTGGCGAGTCAATAGGATACGCTAGCGACTACGGCGGCGGCAATTAGAGGTTGTCCCCTCCCCTCCCACGAGCATTGCTCTACGTTTTTTGGAAAGTGATGGAATTAATATTCATTTGAACGGACACTTGCACGACCAGAAGTTCGAATACGCGAACTTTGGTACTTAGCGGAATGATTTTATGACAAATTTAACTTTATATATCGAGGATACTACCCCTTCTTAGATGGCATGATAGATACCAACATTGGCGTTTTAGTTCCTTTGTTTTCAAAATTTACAGACATTTATCTTATAACAATGCCCAGCAATTCATAAGTTGAGACTTGAGGATATCTATAGATACCTGACCTTAGGTTACATGAATACCGACCAGCTGCTACCTGTAATGTTATAAGCTAAGAACGGCTATCCACATATTTTATACTTAGGAGCTATACAGGAAACATTTCAGTCGATGATGGGATATGTTGTTGCATATCTAGGTAGTATATGACGCAAAGGATTCCGAAATTGTTGAGTATTGAGTAGATAGATAGTATATACATGTACCTACCCACCTAACCTAGGTAGGTACATACCTATAGTCTTAGATTTGTAATACGATAATTAAATGTAACCGCTTAAGATCGATGTACACTTGAGTGTAACGATAGACGATGTAATTAGTAATCGGACTTCTTTCTAATGCAAGCCCCTGCGGTTGAAAAAAAGCAAATCCAGAGACGTCACCGTTTTATGCGTGAACTTCTCAAAGCAAACAGGCTTGTATCACATTCCAATCCTCGGGACTTAAAGTTGGGTTTACCTGTCCTCCCTTATTAGATCTCACTCTTTTTGAAAGGAGAAAAGAAGTAAAGAGGGAAAGAAAAAGTCACGATGAAAGCTCTTGTAACAGTGGCAAAAGGCAAGGTTGAGGTCCAGGAGGTCTCAAAACCTAAACTTCGGGATGGCCATGTTCTCGTCAAGGTGAAGGCTGTTGGCCTCAACCCTGCGGACTGGAAGAATATCGATAACCAGACAACCCCCGGTATGAGGGTTGGGCTAGATTACAGCGGGGTTGTAGAGGAGCTGGGTAACGGGGTGACGCAGTTTAAGCCGGGTGACCGCATAGCGGGATGGGTTTGTGGCGGGTGAGTGCCTGAGATATTTACAGACCTAATTTGATCAATCCCGTTAGTTGAAGTGAAATGGCTGACCTCATGCTAGAAACCGATTGCAACCCGAGAGTGGTGCGTTCGGGGAGTACACCATCGCCAAGGCGGCCCTCCAGATCAAGGTCCCCGATAACATCACCGACGAGCAGGCCGCCACCTTTGGGGTTTCGCTGTCGACAGTGGTATGGCACTTCCTCAGCCCGGCTTGTTGATGGCTTACAGTCAACTCCCACCTCACACACGCTCGATGAACGCTAACATGTAGCAAACAACCAACAGGCACAAGGTCTCTACAAAGTCCTCTCCCTCCCCTGGCCCAACTCGCCCGCCCCTGCCCCCGGCCCCCCGATCCTCATCTACGGCGGCAGCACCGCGACCGGGATCTACGGGATCCAGTTCGCCAAGGCATCGGGACTGACGGTGCTTGCGACCGCGTCGCCGCACAACTTCGCGTACCTCCGCGACCTCGGCGCCGACGCCGTCTTCGACTACCACTCCCCCACCTGCGCCGCCGACATCAAAGCCCACACGGCGAATAAGCTAAGGTTCGCGTGGGACTGCTCGGGCCACGGCGCCGCGGTGTGCGCGGGCGCGCTGAGCGATGATGAGGAAGGGGCTAGGCCTAGGTACGCTACCATCATACCGATCGACCGCGCGCAGGTCGAAAGCGTCAACCCGAGGGTGGATGGCCCGCACTTCCACCTCGCGTACTGCGTGTTAGGTGAGCAGTTCGAGATGGCGGGGAAGAAGTGGGATGTCGATCCCAAGGAGATGGAACACGCGGAGAAGGTGTTACGGCTGGTGCCGGGGTTGTTGGAGAGGGGGGTGGTGAGGCCGGTGAGGACGATTGGGGGGGAGGGGAAAAGGGGTTTGGAGGGGGTGGTGGAGGGGTTGGATGAGTTGAGGGGGGGGAGGGTTAGTGCGGGGAAGTTGGTTTATACGTTGTAGGAAGCTGTGGGAGTGAGAGCGTGCTTGTATTTGAGGGAGAGGGAGAAGAGTGAAGTGAGTCTGATAGCTTATATGTAGTTGTTGTCTACATACCTACTTACCTATATAGTGACTAAGTCACAATATATTACGCTAAGTAGTTTAACTGGGCTGCCAGCCTTCTGGAAATGAGCACATATGAATCCCGTGATTGGGTCGTAGTTCTTCTGACCCCTTCCCACGTGGTGATCGAGTGGTTGATTATTGGACTCGACTCGAGATTGGGTAATTGTGAGTTCTGAGTGTTACTAGAATCTTGATGCAAGAGAACTGGTTATGAGTAAGCCTGGCATATTAGTTGAGCAGATACCACGCACACCGCGGAAGGTATAATACGTAAGGCTTTAAGGGTATGTAACTCTAACAGTCATGCAGCTGATCGTAGTTTTAACCGTTTTAGGGGGGTTAAGGACGTTTTAACTAAAACAGTGGTTTTATCATTTATCATTTTCATAAAAAAAGAAAAGAATAAGTAGTACTTGTTATGAAAATTTGAAAAATGTTATAACTGTGCTTTTTATAAGTTGTTGCTTGTTATTCTTTTCGTTCGTTCGGTTAGCAATTATGACTTTTATAACATGAACGTTAGGCGTTAGTTAGTTATATCAACATTACGAAATCCCTTATGCCTCCTCCCTTAAAACCAGGAAAACGCTGTGGGCCGTGTCGTCGTCAGAAGAAGATAGTATGTCTCGCCATATTACTTCTTTAGCATTCCTCGAGTTTCCTCTTTACTAAGATGCTCATTCCTATAACAGTGCTCATTCACAACCGGTCAAGATATCTGTGACCTGTGTTTGGAAAGAGGGAGCACCTGCCGCCCACCCCCCAGAAGTGTTCCGAGAACGCGAAATATCTTCAAATGTGATTACTGCCGTACCGCTCACGAGACCGTCAGTTCCCCTTTTCATCTGATCTGACTTTCTGCTACATTGCCGTTAAAGTATATATTTCAGTGTTATCCTATAGGCCGGACTTGGCCAGACAAATGCGAATATTGCACCGCGAGAGACCTACCATGCTCCAAGCCTTCTACTAAGAAGGACTTCGATGGCTCCCGTTCGTTGAGAGGGCCTACTGCTACCGTTTTCGCGGAGAGAAATAGGAGGTCAAACCGGAAACCTCATGACACCTCTGGATCGGGTCCTTCGACTTCCGTCCTGATGCCAGTGCTGTCAAAGTCAGAGATTTCTGGTTCAGAAGAGTCTGAATCCGAGGCTTTGACGTCTGCTACGGTCCCCATATACGACAAGCCCAAAGTCAGCGAGGGAGTCGGGTATAGTGCGGCCGAGGAAGTCAAGAAGCTGAAGACCACGCTACAGACGATGGAGGAAGAATTCAGAGACATTCTTAAATCGGCAGAGGAGAGACACAAAGCAGAGATCAAAGCATTGAAGGATAAGTACCAGAAGGAGCTTATGCAGCAGCGGGACAAGTATGAGTCAAGGATCGACGATCTTATTAAAATCATGAAGAACATGGGATAGGTCATATATGGGGGGAGCAGGGCATTTGCGATGATTTTCTTTTTTCAACCACTGTTATTGACGAGTCTATAGAGTAAAGGAGTACCTGACACACTCATTCCAACATCCCGAGATATCGTGGCATCCCCCCGTACAGAAATATTTGTGTTTAACAACTACCCGAGCGAACTCCGAGGAGCACCGAACATGAACGCTGAGGTTCAGCAACAATTGACGGAGATGCAGCTTTCGGCACACAGCAATAATGGTGACTGAAATTGACCGAGGACTTCAACTACTAGGTATTTTATTGCAATTGTCAGTCATAACTACCTACCTATGCAATGTGTTGACCTCGAATGAAAATCGCATCTCCGAGATTGATGTATAGGACATGGGTAGCGTGTTTATGACGCCCCTTTTCCAATAGGGGTTGGTAAGCACACCCGACCACTTAGAGCCTACAGCAAGTATGCTCCTGACATACCTATTCGTAGGATATACGTCGGAGTTGGTGGTCGCTGATTCAGCGCAGAGGCTCTAAGTGTATTCATAATGATATTTAAATAGACACAACAGACCTGAAATCCCCTCGTAAGTCCTCGTAAGTCTGCATTGCCACTACAGTGTCTCCCTATAGTACCCAAGAATCTAAAGCCATTTTCACCATGTCACAGGAAACCACTTCAGACGTGCCATACTACACCCTGGCGGAGGGCCAGCCTCTCCCAAGAAACGACACGTCGACCCAGATACGCACGGGCAGCAGCGGGGGCGGATATGTCCTACTCTCTTCAACCCAGCTGATCGAGAACCTGGCGCATTTTTCCCGCGAGAGGATCCCCGAGCGAAGCGTCCATGCCAAAGCCGCCGGTGCTCGAGGATACTTCGAGGTCACGGACGACATATCCGACCTCACCAATGCCGATTTCTTGACTGGCGTTGGCAAGAAGACGGAGGTGCTGGCGCGGATATCTACGGTTGGGCCGGAGACAGGATCCGCGGATACGGTGAGGGACTTCCGCGGATTCGCTGTGAAGTTTAAGACGAGGCAGGGGAATCATGACTTTGTTTTCAACAATCAGGTATAGTTCTTTCTACACATGCTGTGAGGTTTGATTAAGGGGTTACCTAGCTGAGATGACTATAGCCAGTCTTTTTCGTCCGTGATCCAGTCAAGTTTCCGTCGCTGAACCGCAGCCATAAACGAGACCCAAGGACCAACAGTAAGCTATTCGGTGTACATAGCTCTCTGCTTCTTGTGACGTATGATAACTGATCTGAAAACCCCACAGTCGCTAGCTCAGACATGTTCTGGGACTTCCACGTCCACAACCAGGAGAGCATTCACGCCCTGATGTTCGTGTTCGGTGACCGCGGCCTTCCATCATCCCTCCGTCACGTGAACGCCTACAGCGGCAACACTTACACATTCACCAAATCCGACGGCTCCTACTGCTATGTGCGCATCCACTTCCTAACGAACCAAGGGATCCACAACCTCACCAATGCAGAGGGTGCCGCTATCGCCGGCACAGACCCCGACCACCATCTCGCCGACCTGCAGGAAGCGATCCGCGTGGGAAACTTCCCCTCGTGGGACATGTACATCCAGACCATCGCCCCCCCCGCCGTCGCCGCCGCGCCAATCGACATCTTCGACATGACCAAGACGTGGCCCCTGAGCATATACCCCCGGCGCCGCGTCGGACGCCTGGTTCTCGACAGAAACCCGGAAAACTGGTTCGCGGAGATCGAGCAGGCCGCCTTCAGCCCCAGCAACATGGTGCCCGGCGTCGCGGCGAGCCCCGACCCGATGCTGCACGCGCGCATGTTCGCGTACCCCGACGCCGCGCGCTACCGGCTCGGCGTCAACTACACGCTCTTGCCGACGAATGCGAGTGTGAGCGGCGCGTACTGCCCGACGGAGCGGGATGGCGCGATGAACTTTACGGGGAACTATGGTGGGGATCCGGGCTATGCCGGGAGTGGGATAAAGCCGGCGCGGTTCCTCGGCGGCTATGAGGGGCAGGAGGGGAGGGCGGTGTCGGGGGTGGTAGTGGAGTTCGCGTCGGAGGTGACGGGCCGGGACTTTGAGCAGCCGAGGGCGCTGTGGGAGGTCATGGGCAGGCAGGAGGGCGCACAGGAAAGGTTCGTAGGGAATGTGGCGGCGCATGTTGCGGCGGCGAGGTCGAAGGGGATTAGGGACGAGGTTTATGGTATGTGAGATTCTTGATATGACTTCGCCTCTTCCCCCTTTTTCTAGTTTGACTGTTTACGTAATCACCTACGATAATTGAGGAGCAAATAGCTAACATATCACTGTGCAGCGATGTTTCGACGTGTCGATGAGAAGTTGGGACGTATGCTGGAGAGCGCCACGGAGGCGGTTGTTAAGGAGAAGTAGTTTTCATGTTCTTCAATAGGGGTCTCCGGAGGACTCGGAGGTACATACCCGTAGGTACTCAAGTACTATATGTGGCCTGTATAAAGGAAGTGGCTACGGTACATGTGCTCTTTCCTTTCTAGCCAATATCTCAATACATACTTAGTAGTGAGGCAAGTGCTATGTATAATGCTGCCTTGGGTACCTAATGCACCTAACCTAGGCAAATTTTTAATTTGTTCAAGGTTTCAGAGTTATTTCATTCGTCATTTCATTAATCATCAACTATGCGACAACTAAACACATCGTTACTCGAATAGTTGATATGAGCATCTATATCTAACATGGATGACGATCAAGCATCGATAGAGGATATTGAGTTGCCACCTGACGAATATGCGCGAGCGAACGGATTGTCGCTCGACTCACAAGTCGACCTTTCTCTCCTATTCGCTTACTTCCAAAAGCAAACCTCTCAGTATTTCCCTATCCTTGAGTTAGACGAGTCCACCGACGACACATCTCTTCCTCAGCTACACATTCCCCGCCTCATACCCCCCAATGAGCAGCTTAACATATCCAAGGAATCTCTTGAGATACTGAGAAAGGTCGCTTTGTTAGGACGGGAGGATGATCAAGCACCCAGACTCTGTAACCCTGTAGACCTTTCAAGACTGAAATTAGAGCCACCTTTGCTTCGAAGCGACCCCGACTACGATTGCCGAGAATTGGCTCGATCTATTCAAGAATCTAGACGAGCCGATATCGAGCCGAGAAGTATTCCGTCAGAACCTCTCAACAATTCATGTGGTGAAGGCCTGGACTTCCCGGAAGCCGCATACAAATATCACCAAAGGCTAGCCAAGGAAATACAAGATGACAAGATAAATATCTCGAAAGACGTACTCTATTACTTATCCCATGCACTGAGAGATGACTGGACACAGAATGAGTTCCCAGACGGATTGTCGTATCGGAGGGTAGATCTCTAGACCATACCCACAACTCTTTATGCTCTCATACTAACCCATGAGTAGACTCTTCCAGACCTTGCTATCACGCCTCCTTTGAGCCCTCTTCCGCAGGACTCGGAGTACTTTATTCCTGACGAGCAAGTGTTGGAAATACCCGTATTATCAGACCCCAGTACATTACTTGAGACCGATTTACACAAGGCCGAAGTTGAGCTGCTAAGAGATGACAACTCGCCATCTCTACTATGCGAGCCCCCAATTTTATCCCCTTTAGGAGAAACACCAACGCTCGTGCAACAAGAGCCTAATATCAGCTCCTTGAAAATAGAAGGTCCTCTGACACCATTGGATTGCTTATCTTCACCCCCCAAGCCAGCGGTTGACATGTCAGACCTCGCAAAGACCGTTGATATCGATCAAGTACTCGACACACAACTGCTAGCTTCACTTGACGGCAAACAAAGGAGTATTGAAGATATTGCCTTTAGTGATGATGCTCTAGCTGCGTTAGAGGAAAAGGCGAAATCCGTGAAGAGAAGCATTGAGCAAGAGCAGCTGCAGACTACGGATGCGATTGCCCGTGTAGAAATACCTGAAATGGACTTCTCTATACCAGGCCCGGACTGGCAACAGATACCTCTGGATGCTATGTCACAGTTGTTATGGATAAAGAAGACACACAAGGGATTCGACGTTTCACCCTGGCCGAAGAATTCCAAAGCAGAGAAGGAACTTCGCTGGTCTCCGTTTCAATCTAGAATGGGTCGTATATCTATGAACGAGTCGATTGATGAAGATGATAGCGTGAAGGCGCTATTAGACTCCCTGAACCGTCTCCAGGTATCGACAAGCGTGGACCACGTCTGGAAGCAGCCGGGCTTCGCGATCCTTCGGGAAATAGAAGAGGATGACGAAGAGCTAGAACTATCTCCGGTTCACAACGAGAATGAAGGCGTAAAAGCCATCGCGAGGAAGAGAAAGCTTGCACCTAGTAACACGGACACGAGCCCCTATAATCTTTCAGATTCGGTGTCGCCAATAGACTTAATCAAGATCTCTAAGGCAACATCGTCTATTTTACACCATTACCCATACGATAAACAAGATCGGCTCCCGAATCTCCTTCTCGGATGTGATGATACTTCCGCTACGTCCACTTTGCTTTCTAATTATGTTGACTTCCACACTTCGAAGCGGCAAAAGAAAAGTAAAAGCTCTTTCTTCCCGACTTCTGCTAGATCAGTTGTCGACGAGGCTGAACCAAAAGCTCCTTCGGAGGCGGTAGTCACTAGCAAACTGGAGGAGTTGGCCGCACCAGCGTGCACCTTGGAACAGCAAGTAGCTGTTGCGGCCCCTTGCCCAACGCTGGAATCGGCACTTACGCAGTCAAAAATAATTAAAGCGCTGACACTACAACGTGGGATATTTTCACGGATCGAGAAGCTCTACACAAACGCCGAGATCATAGAACGGGATTTCGACCGATGGAATACCTTGGCATGGGACCGTAACTCTATATCACGATCGCCAGTCGTTTCACCGCTTGCCGCCGAGGCCGACTTGATAGTTTCTCCGGTTACTGGGATCGTAATAACCACACTTCTCAAAGCCATGCAGAAGCCACTCCCGGGCCACAAAGGCTTGTCGGCGGTGCGCGAACGAATTCGCAACGTCGCGCTTCGTTACGAACATTTGATCGTCCTCGTGTCTGAAGGAAACCGAGTTGATGAGACGGCGCGTGATCTCACGCCTTCTGAGTGTACCGGCTATGCTGATTTCGTTGGTTTTGTAACTGGATTGGACGCAGACACCCAGACATGCTATGTTGGTGGCGGTGACGATACACTTGCAAAATGGCTAATCTCATTGGCCATGCGCCATGCACCCGAGGCAGCTAACGTGCAAGATATTATAATACAGGACGAGACGCTGTGGGAGTTGTTCTTGCGGCGCGCCGGCATGAATGCGTATGCTGCACAGGCCATACTCGGGCAATTGAAATGTCCGGATGACGTGCCCGAAAGTGAAGCTGGACAGTATGGCTTGCCGGCATTTGTTAGGATGATGCCGGCGGAGCGGGTGCAACTATTCCGAGGACTGATGGGAGGGGAAAGGGTGCTAAGTCGAGTCAATGATGTCTTGGAGGCACGATGGAGTTGATTTGACTTGAGATGTGTCATATTTAAGCTAGCCACGTCTTTTCTTTGTGGTTATGGTTGCTGATAATCTGGCTGATGAATTATAAAACATCTTGTTGGCTACACCTACTGCTTAGCTTTGGCGCATCTCCTCCTCTAGGTAGTATACACCTAGTAGCTTTCATCAATTCAAACACCGAGACTTGAGAAATAGTAAATATATAGCAGTCCAAAACCAAGAATTGCTAGATTATCTCACCTAATAAGTCATTGGGCCTGAGTGCACTGCTTGGTACGGCTGACTAGATCCAGCCTGGGTATCATGGATGGGGGTTACATATCTACTAGGTACGTAGGTACGCAGTGATTATTCGAGCTTTTAAGCAAATCCCTTCGTCTCAGGGCTCTGCTGCTTCGTCGGTACCATTCGATACACTCCATACCTGTAAGCTACTTTCTTTATTCCGCCTACGCATCCAGGATATCTCGGACGCGGAGTCGTCGCTACCGGTATCGCTGCTACTACCGCCGCTGCTGCTATTGCTGCCGCTACTTTGCGACTGGGAGTCGTCTGTAACAATTTCATCCTCATCATCGTCCTTGTCCCCGTCCTCGTCCGGAAACTCCCAGGACCCAGAACAAGTCGCCACGACGGAGCCGCTCTGGTGGACACACGTGCTCCCCACCGTGGACCCTCCCCGGGTGGCAGCAGTCGCCCATTTCCACGCCGGCGCATGCGCCCCCTCGACCGTGCCAACGCCCTCCCAGACTTTGACGGTCCCGTCCGTCGTCCCCGACCACACCTCGAACCCGCCTGCCTCTTCCTGCCCGGGAAACACGTCGCAGCTGATACGCTGATTGCCGAGCGCCTCGCGGCCGGAGAGCCAGCCGAGCAGCTTGCCGGCCACGCGCACGTCGTACACGAGGATCCCGGTTGACTTGCGCTCGCCGACGAGGAGGTACCGGCCGCAGGGGCTCCAGAGCGTTTGCGTGATGCCGTCGCCGCCGATCTTGGCATCTCCCTCATCGGCTCCGCTAACCCCCCTCGAGGAGGAAGACGAGGTGGTGGTGGCGGTGGCGGTGGCGGCACGAGTGATACTCCACGTGGCGACGCAGGCGCGGGCGCCAGGGCTGGCAAAGTCGTACAGCCCGACCCAGCGGGTCCAGGTCCCCGCGGCGACGAGGCTGCCGTGGTCGGCGTCGCTGGTGGGCTGGGCGCTGAGGCAGGAGACGGCGCCGCGCATGCCGACGCCGCCGCCCTTGGAGAGGTGGCGGTCTGATGGGATGGTCTTGATGCGCGTCAGCGGCTCGCTGTTGGTGCGCGTCACGTCGAAGAGGGCCAGCATGTTCCGCGTGCCCGCGATGAAGTGGGTTCCGGGGGACGGCCAGATGAGGGAGGTGGCGGTGAGGAAGGTTTCGGAGTGGGCTTTCATGAGGGGGTAGCAGGATGCGGGGGATGGGGATGGGGAGGCTGGGGAGAGGTAGAAGAGGTGGATGGGGTGGTCGCGGCTCGAGACGAGCAGTTGCTGGGTCCACGGCTCCGCGAGCCGGAAGTAAGGGGCGCCCGCGAGCACGTTGCTGGGCTCCGGGAGCTGGATGGTGGCTTGCGGGGTCAGGGTTAGGGGCCGGGTTGCGGTGGGCGAGAGCAGGTCCTCGGGCAGCATGTAGCCGGATATCAGGTGCGAGGATGAGGTCGTGAGGATGGTGGTCCCGTCGGCCGTCCACTGGGCCGTCTCGAAATAGCCCCGGAGACCGTCATTTTTTTCATCGTTGGGAGGCGTTTCGTTTTGCAGCGTTATGTCTCCGGTTGAAGCTACAAGATCTACCCTGGTGTTATTTTGGGTAGGGGGCTTAGGGTTGTCCATTCCATAGGTAGTAAGTACTAGGGTGGTAGATAATGGGAGTTTTCTTGAACTTGAAGGGTTCGATTTTGATTATTCCAGGCCTTGCATGATGCATCTAATGCGTCTACGGTTAATGTATTTAATAGGTTAAGCTGTTAGTTATCCCATATATGATCGCATAGCACTAATCTTGCCTGCCGGAACATTAGGTGGGTCTTATCATAAGTACCTAACTGTTAGTGATGTTGCTCAAAGCACGGTATCTGAGTGGTGTATGAGATGTGAAAAGTCTACTTGTGAATGGTCCGATACACTAGCTGACTTTTCCGAATAACTACTGAGCACTGGAATACAAGGATCCATGGATGAATGAGTTGAGGTTTGGTATGCAGCTGCCGTCGCGGTGCCGCGTGCAGGCACTGGGCTTGCATTTGTCCCCATCATATGCCCCCCGGTGATGGACCCCTGAAGCTTTAGATGTACCAGACGCTAAGGAGTTTAGCGTGGACAGCCCGCCTATCAGAGCTTGTCCCTGAGCTGTTCAAGGTTCAATATTTGGGGTACTGGGTACCAAGTACCAGTACACTAACCTACTATTAGGTAGTAACTACATTTTATTAGTTATTGAAAGCAACCTCCCAATGCCCATCTCCTCAAGTCGTCAGCTCGTCCGGCCTCACTTTTTAGCTAGGTACCTAACCTTCCAAGGTTATCAGCCAACGCATCGAACCCAATCTTCAATTTTTGTAGAAAGGGGTTCTTCATCTCATCAATAAAGCCATGATTCGGTAACAATCATATAATCTATTTGTAGCGTTACGCACGCTACGTTATCTAGATATCTACCTGCCTAACCTATAGGTAGATACATAATTAGTGCTTCACTTGCATTTCTATTCCGATCGACCTTCACGATCGGCCCTCTGCCTGCAGGTCGTCAACCCCGAGTGGCCAAAGTCCCAACAATCCTGCATTGGTGTTTGTTATCCATCCTCGTACAATACAATATTTCAGGAGAAGAGCGCTACCTCCTCTCTTTATCTATCTACATTTACCGTCTTCGGGCTTTGATAACCACCACCTTCAACGCCGGACAGTAGCGAGATATCATCATGGATAGTGTCTTCGTGGCTAATCGGTGTGACTCGCTCCGCGAGGGCGGGTTCACCAACTTCTTCGTTTCCATGTTAGTGAATCAGCATCTGCCATCCTTATCTCTATTGCCGCTGTTAAGCCCCGAGGAAGACATATTGACCGAATATCTGTATCTAGACTTATCGTTCTCGGTATCATGCTATCCTACGTCACACAACACTACCGGATCATTTCTCGTGGCTCTTCCGAAGGCATCTCACCCTACTTCGTCCTACTTGGTGTCACATCAGCAAATGCCCAGTTCGGGAACATTCTTACATTGCCCCAATCACGAGCCGATGTCGCTTGCTGTAAAGAAGTCAGCCCTTTCGAATGCACGGCCGGACTGTTGGGTATTGCCCAAATCGGAACACAATGGATTTGCTTCGCCGTCATGTTCGTTGCTCTCTCGTGAAATATCCTGGTAGTAAACATCCTGGCTGACCTGTTGTAGTCTTGTCCTATTCCTGGTCTTCTTCCGTAGAGACGATGCCGACCTCTCGGACGACGAGTGCGAGCGTGATCCCGACCAACCTACCTGGAAGACTGCTATTACAGTTGCTGCACTGTGCTTGATTCATGGCCTATTCGTCGTCATTATCTCGGCTGCATTTGCGTTCGGTGCCCCTTCATACCTAGGTGCTTGGGCAAACTTCCTGGGCATCATGGCTGCTGTGTTGGCAGCTATCCAATATATTCCTCAGATCTACACTACGTACAGAATAAAGCATGCAGGCAGTCTCAGCATCTTGATGATGTGCATACAAACCCCCGGCGGCTTTCTCTTTGCTGGCAGTTTGGCAGCTCGCCTTGGCTGGGCAGGCTGGAGTTCTTGGGGTGTATATGTGATGACAGCTATAATGCAAGGCATATTGTTGGTCATGGCTATCTCTTTTGAGTGGCCCTCACAGGAGGAACGAGACCAGTCTACCCCGCAACCACAACGACCACCATATAACCGACGCACTACGCCTAGAGTCTTGCCGTCGCCCGGTCCGTACTCGGCTCACTTACAGGCGTATGGAGAAACGCAAGAAGAAATCGAGCGCGCCTTGGACCGTGAGAGTGTTCAAGGAGTCGGAGAAAACCAACCACTTCTAGCACCAGGAGGACTGGGCAGTTCAGGTGTGCGCTAGAGAGCTAGCTGTTTTGTGGCCAAAGTGTTTATTCCAGTGCTTTTCTATTCAGATTTAGGTCTGACAACACGAGAACGAACAACCCCATGTACTTTGCATCGCTAAAACGTAAAAGTAGAGGCGATGCAAAAACGTATGTGTGGTTATTACTACCTACATAGTACACATGTATATGTGAAGTTCTTAGCCAGCGCAAATGAAGTGAGCTACCAAGGTATTATGCAGGACTTAGGTATATAGTATGAAATTAGGTACATATTAAATTGATAAGAGATGAACTGACAGAACTGTACACCATGCTATCATTGCTATGTACCTACCTTACAGCATCAATTTGAATGATTGAAGCTGTACAGTAGCTGCACATAGCTACCCCTGATCCTTGAATAAGTCAGCATGCAATCCTACCAAACCAGGTGCTTTTCAAGGTTACCCTAGTGTGGTTTATAGTACGTCGTAGACTCGTAGGTGCAACGGAAGGCCCACCAGCAATGCCCGTGCTTGCGCTTCAAACCTGATTGGTCAGAAGCCTCCTATCTATCGGGGCATTGAGTCAAATGGTGGATGTGTCATGAATCGCTTCTTCCTCCTTGAACTTCACTTTCCAACCTTTTGATCGTCAACCATTGCCAAATATCTCACGATTATCGAATTCCGGCTCGGTATTTGTCTTGATTCAGTCACTAAGAAGTTATTGAATTGACCGTTCGTCTTGTTTCAAACATTTCTACCATTCTCTACCTCGTTATCTCGTGATAACTTCCGCTTTGAGTCCCTTATCGCAGCGATGGCAATCTACAGCGCAGTTCCGCCCCCTCCCGAAGTATCCGCCACTACGGCGAACTCGAATCAGGAGCAACAGTATCACCAACAGCAGCAGCAGCAGCAGCAGCAGGGACCACAAGATTTGCCCGGTGCAACAGCAAATCCCTCTTCTAGCGGAGTTGATGTCGAAGCATGGACAATTTCTGCACTCGAATCTCTGAACGTGGCTTCCGTCGCTCGTGGTACTGGTATCCCCTTATCCTTTCCCGTGGAGGACTCCTTGAATAAGGTGTTTGTAACCATCCAAGATTCTCGTACCAAGTCTACCGCGATTACCCCACCGCAACATCCACTAGCCCATCGAGACAGTCAACGCAGACGAGAGGCATTGTTGAAGGGGAAGGAGGGCAGCCGACAGCGACGACGATGGGAAAATGGTACTTATATCCCATCAGTGGCTCCAACTTTACCTGCTTTTTGCGTTGGCGATTAATAGTGGTCTGACTAACATGGCAACCCTTTTTTCAGACCATTTCTTACATGTGCCCAACGCACAACCTCCCGAGCCCTTCGACTGGGAGCCACGCCCGCTGCATCCTGTGAATCATGTGCCTTACCATATTGCGGCTTATTGGGACATGCGAGTTTGCGCACAAGTTGAGACTAAGCGAGCCACCGCAGTCCGTCGCAAGCAAATGCAGACGCGAACGCTAGGAGACGAGCATGTAGCCGGGAGAGTGCCCCGCGAGCTATTTCAGCGTGCCAAGAAAACCCCCGCGGTCAAAACATGGGTCCGCTCGCTTGAGGAACCCGTACGCCGATATCTCGTCGAGCAGGAATTAGCCAAAGAGCCTGAGAGCTCTGAAGATGACCCGGACACCGAGGACGAAGAAATAGTATTCGTCGGTCGCGATGGCAATATGCGAGATGGCTGGAAGAAGGCTAAGCGAGAAACGAAAAGTGGAGCTGAAGACGAGGGCATGATTTTCGATGCCTTGAGCGATGACGCTGACAGTGCATTCAGGTATGACCTACCAAGTAATGAATATTCTGATTTGGATAAAGTGGTGAAACTAACAACCAGTTCCAGGCGATGGATTACGCATTCTATTTCTGATTACTATGGCCTGAACTCTCGTTCGGTCCTCGTAGGTAACCCGCAGCGCAAAGTAGTATATGTTCAGATGAAGACTGGGCATGCGCCACCTGTGAAAACTGACCTTCCAAGACCTCTTTGGGAGCTTTGCTGATAGGTTTAGTTGACTCGGCTTATATACTTTCTTTCGCCGTCTTTGCATCCAGGCTGGACCATAGAACAGCTGATTTATATGCGTATACATTAGAGGATGTTCAGTAAACCACAGCGAGACAAGTAGCTACTTCAATGTTACTAGTTTACCTAGGTATTAAACTCCTATTCTCCGCTAGTACGGGCTCTCATGCAACATTATGTGGTGTCTATGTACCCCAGTTCCCTTCTCCAATCATATTATTGCAAATGTTGGTTAGGTACAAGGGATTATTCGCATAAAGTCTTACAACGTCAATTACTCACAGCAACTTTTACCAGCTTATATTACTACGTAGTACTACCTAGTAGGTAGGTGCCTAGGTAGTATGTCAACTTGTACCGCATCGCCTCAAAACGACATCAATAAAAGTATGGATAGCAAATAATCACTTCATATATTAGTAAGCAGCCCCTGAAATCTATGGCATCTCCGATTTGAGTCATGGACTAATAGAAGTCCATGCTACCAGTCGTACATACATGACAGACCTAGTACAAAACCAATACAAAGCTATCGTCATCGGAAATGCCTAGGCCCCTCTAGGTTAGTGGGTTGGTTGATCTAACACGACGACGATTGCCATCTCGATCCTAAACTCGAAAGAAATGTAAAGGGGGCTATTTATTCCTTTGGTTCCGGTTGCGATTCTGGGTTTCTCGACTGGTCGTCTCGGCTTCCCATCCGCTGCATCATGGCGCGGGTTGTTCGATAAGTCGGCCATCGCCGGAGATGCGCCGCTCGTTTCGAAACACGGGATTGGTGAAGAGCTGGGGTAGAGGCTCTCTTCTTCTGGTGAGGAGAGGGCGTGCTGTCTTGTTTGGACGTGGACGTGGACGTGGAGGGGCTGGGCAGGTTGTGCTCATCAGACGGAGGACCGTGTTTGGTGCTGTGTTGGAAGAGTTGTGGCAACAGCGCCGCGTCTTCGTCGGCATCGTTACCATGATCATGCTCTCGGTCGGTTCGTGGCGCCTTTTGTGTGGATGATGGGACTTGATCTAAGGTATTCCGAGATGCCCATTGTAAGAACGACGCATCGTCATCAGGTACCTTTTGTGTGAGCAAGGTTGCATATCCATCGAGGTCGCTAGCGTCATAATCTCGTGGTGACTTCTGTGTGGGCAACATCCTCCTGTCTTCACTAGGTTCCCTTGGTGCATAACAATCGAGAATTTCATATTTATCCAAAGATCCTACGTGCTCCATCGTCGATCTATACCTAGGCTGTTGAATTCGTGGACTTATGTTTGGGGACATATGAATAGATGCTTTGTTTATGGATAGGTACGTTTCAATGATGGTTTGATCAGATGGAATTAGGTTAATGGAAGGAGAAGTATTATCAGGGGTTGTTCATTACATGAGGGTGCAAACGCCCTCCTCAACAATGGTATCACAGCTGGGTAGCACGTGATCAGTTTATAAATCACATAATTTTGCTCTGGTCATATGCTGCATGCCGTTGGAGCTGTACGTAAGTATTCACAACTACAAGATAATGTGACGGGTGTCTGCTGAATAAGACTGCCTGATACCTAGGTATGTACCTCTATATTAGTCATCGTTCTACATGTATTTCTCCTTACTCATAAAACCCCGCCGCCTCTTCACACCCATTGTCTTTCCCCTGTTCTTCCCTCTTCTCCGACTCACGAACAACTCACCTCATCTCGGCGTTCCATTTCCCAACTATCCAGATCATCAGGCCGCGCTGAAATAAAAAATGACAGTTCCCGACTTACCCACCGAGACACTGACCCTAGTCCTAGAATTTCTTGGGAGATAGACTTGGCCACCTTGATCAGCGAGTATCCAAGCGCTTCGAAGCCATCATCCAACCCATGTTGTTCCATTTCCCCTCATCGTCTCCCGCCCGCACTGTCCCCACCACATCCTTCTCTCCCTCTCCTTCCAAAGGCATCTGCACCATCAATCCATTCCTCAAAAAAAGGGTTCACAGACTTCTCAACGCAGCCTTGGGCCTCACGAAGCGGGGACCAGGGACAACCTTGTTCAGCTCGATTTTCTCGCTCATCCGCCTTCTGCGGACAGCAAAGAACATCCGCAAGGGTGATACGTATGTGGTTTGGGAGGCGGTACAGAGGTCGCCTTATCCATGGCCAAAAGCTAGCTGGGGCCGGCCCAGCCTCACGGTGGGATCGGGGTCCGGGTCGGGGCTTAATGGGCTTTGTATAAAGAGGCTCGATGTCATTAAAGTATATACCGAGGTCGACGCCACGACCTTAAGGCTCGAGACTGTTGATATGACGGTGTCGGGTCATGGCGATGGTGTGCGTGTGGGTACTAACGGGGTCTTGACGATGGGTTTTCTGTACAACTTGCTCGAGTCCGGACGTATAGACTTCGGGTGGTCGACGACGGAGCGGTTGGTTGTGGCATAGGGATTGTACAAAGCCTATGGACTTGGGAGGGCCTGATGAGGTTCTTGATGAGGTTAATAATGTGATTGGGTTGAAGGTGGATGTGCTGGTAGGTAGGCATTGAATACCTAGGTTTGCATCATAGACCTACCTAAGGTTAAGGACTGTTTGCAGAACTTACCAATATATGATTACGAGATAAAGGTACCTCGCTGAGCTGCACTGATCGTTGCCAACAGATCATTTGCCCCCTTCCCCCACTTCTAGGCTCAACAAGTGATATCGTTGTATCGGCTGTCTTTCGGCTACTTCGGCTGGCTTCCACTAGATCTGACCGGTGCGTAGGCTCGGAGGCACTCCCCGAAAGTATGTCACCAAAGGTACCTACCTAGATGATCCTCACCTGATCATGGATCATTATTTCGAGGGCGAGAAACATAAACCCCTTTCCAGATGGAAAGTCCCCCCCCTTCACCATAAAAACCTCACTGGTGTGACTCCAGCGTGATCCTTCTCGTCTTACAGATATGGAGCGAAAGAATCTGTAATGAATACCAACTTGACTCTTATAGATATATGTTGGCTGCTTTCGTACTACCTAGGTAGGTGCCTGCCTACTTAACTGAGTTGGATATCTTCACACACGTAGGACATCCTTTTCCAACCACATGAATTGTTTGCAATAAGGGGGGAAAGACTTGGCACTTACATGCTTCGTAGCTGGCAGGTAGTACGAAAGCAGCCACCACAATTGTAAAAGGGGAGCGATTATGCATATTTCACATGAAAGATGCTATCAAACAGACGTAACGGGGCGGGATCTCCCTTCCTTTGCGAATCGTAATACAAGATCAGATCCAGCATCAGCAGCTAGGTAGAGCAAAGATATCTTGTCCAAGATCCTAGTTTAACACGCATCGTATTCGATGCTGTACGACACGTGAGAAGATCTTGGCATTCCGGACATGCCTAACTCATAGTGTAGGCACATAGGTAGTAGTGTAGGTGCCTAAGATGTCCAGATCCCACTTTTAAAATGAGTATCTCGCGCCGTAGAGCATCTCTAGGTGCAGCGTTCTTCAGCTTTTCGAATTTCCAGTCCACTGTCACACCAATAAGCTTACCTGTCTCATGCTAGACATTGGTATAGGATTCGGAACTCCATGCTGTGGCGGAAATGGACGAGATAATGGAGGCTCTCTAGCTAGTCCGGTCCATAAACTCAGGTGTTGTGAAATGAACTTAGAGTTTGTCTTCAACATATGCCCCTTTTTGGACCGTACAATGTCCGCTGCTGTTCGGTATCTCTCCAACAGGGTCCGTAACCTGGCTGGCTCTTTAAGCGGTAATGTGCGATGGGAATTCCATTATATACCAGACATGTGCTCCTAGGATATGTTCTGGGTTTCCTCATACTCTCTTCAAAACCACAGCTAGAATATCCATCGAATCGCAGGCTATCTACCGACCACCTCCCAAACTATCACTTACCGACGAGCTATCTGACAATCTCCTGCTTTACATAATATTTAATAACTTTTTCTCGTCCTCAAAATGCCTGGTGTTACCACCCAAGGTAGCAGCAAGTATGATGCTATCCCAGGTCCTCTGGGTTTGGCTTCTGCTTCGCTCGAGGGCAAGGTAGCTCTTGTCACGGGTGCCGGTATGTAATTAATAATCTTCACTAAACGTCATATGTTTTTCTTTTTTTTTTCTGCCTCATCCATTATCTTCATCATTCGTGGCTTCAAATTCAACCTATAAGGAGACTAGAAGCGGCTAGTTGCATTTTGATACTATGAACCCGACACACGGGACACAGCATACGGGCAACCCCCAGCTGAAGTCCGAAGAGTTGATTAATTCGCCACCAGCCAATCAAGCCCCGTGATTTATAAAACACATGCCTAAAATAGTAATCACACGGCTCAAAGTCGCTAACACTTACACATGCAGGCCGCGGTATCGGTCGGGAGATGGCACTCGAGCTTGGACGCCGCGGGGCCAAGGTCATCGTCAACTACGCCAACAGTTCCGACTCGGCCAATGAGGTGGTGCAGCAGATCAAGAAGAGCGGCTCGGACGCGGCATCGGTCAAGGCCAACGTGTCGGACGTGAACCAGATTGTCCAGCTGTTCGAGCAGGCGGTCAAGATCTTCGGCAAGATCAACATCGTGTGCTCCAACAGCGGCGTGGTGTCCTTCGGACACGTCAAGGACGTCACGCCGGAGGAGTTCGATCGCGTCTTCAACATCAACACGCGCGGCCAGTTCTTCGTCGCCCGCGAGGCCTACAAGCACCTCGAGGTCGGCGGCCGCCTCATCCTCATGGGCAGCATCACCGGCCAGGCCAAGGGCGTGCCCAAGCACGCCGTCTACTCTGGCAGCAAGGGAGCCATCGAGACCTTCGTCCGCTGCATGGCTGTTGACTTTGGCGACAAGAAGATCACTGTCAACGCTGTCGCGCCCGGTGGCATCAAGACCGATATGTACCACGCCGTCTGCCGAGAGTACATCCCTGGCGGCGACACGCTGGACAACGAAGGAGTTGACAACGTATGTTTTATTCTCCCTCCTTTTTCTTTTTTTATCTTGTCTTCTATAATAGTACATTGGCTAATCGAAAACAGTTCGCTGCCACGTGGTCTCCTCTCCACCGCGTTGGGCTTCCCATCGATATCGCTCGTGTGGTCTGTTTCCTGGCGTCCCAGGACGGCGAATGGGTCAACGGCAAGGTCATTGGCATTGATGGCCATGCCATGATGTAGATGGAGTGACATGGATACCTACTGCATACATCCCATACTTATTCATGTACTCCAACAACTAGAGAATCGTCTTTGTTATTTGAACTACTACTTGTAGCTAGAAAAAGCACAATCATATGTCTGTACCTATGCTGTACAACCCCATAAGCTGCTCTACAATTGTGAAGGCCCTATTGTACGCTCTGATCTGTAGATGAGTTAGGTCCTACCTGAAAGCATAAGCGCACACCGCTCCATGATATTAACGCAGCTATTACACTGGCCTATCATGTATACTATTTCTGATTAGCTACAACATTTGGGGCGAATTGCAATGCTGGCATGACTGCAAGCTATATGACCAACAGCTGTAAGTCTCAGATCTCCAAGGCCGATATGTCACACCAACCACCTAGTAGCATCAAGACTTTGCTGCCGTAAGGCGTTCGTGTTAGCTGCCTACTGCATAGACCCAGCTTCTCGGGTTGGCTGCCTACCTAGTAGATAATAACAGTAATATAGAAGAAGAGTTATAGTAGACTACTGCAAAGCAGTAAGGCAGGATAACGATTGGCAGGCAACCCCTGCAATGGATTTTCGACATCATAGGACTTTCCCCAGGCGTATCTGCTAGATACAATCATAAGGGGCACACATTCTCGAGTAGGTAGATACTTATTACGCAGTAATACGCACGACTGTGCCGATCTATAGAGATATCCTGGACTCTCAATAAAACGTTCCATCTGCTACGTGTATATTGAACTGACATAGAAGCAAGCCGGCCATGAGAAGTTGGAAGACTTGTGGGAGGGAATCAGTAGTGAAGCTGTAATCCGCAGCATGCCATCATGAACCCCGTGAATTAATTTGTCTATAACACCTCATGTACTGGCTTAGTTGGGATGTCAGCATTAGCAGGGGGGGTATGAGCCTCACGCACATCCATCCACTTGGACTAGTTCACCCAGACTATATCAGTCGGGATGAACTAGCCAATCAGACATTTATAATACTTATAATACTTAACTACACTTGGCAGTAGACAGTCAGATCCCAGCCATTTTATGCAGGATCTAATGCAAGTAACAGGATGGACGTATGACAACAGAGTAGTAAGGAATGCTGCAGCAGTAATACATACTAGGTTAGGTATCTATCTAGTAACTACTAGGTAGGCTGTCCACCTAGGTAACTGAGGCGGACGGCCGGTCACAGACATGACTGCCTATGATACATACCTAGATGATTTAGTCATATCTCTCACAGCCTGCATATTTGTTAGGTGTGAAAGTTGCCGTTTGGATCCTTGGATGAACAGTGTACCTAGTATGTATAACCCGACTTGCGTGTCCATCTCACAAAACTAGTTCGAGAAGCACATATAAATACCGCCAGTTCCGAGAGCCTCGAGGATGAATTTGAGATTTCCATCTTTATCTTTGCCTACTTCTCTACTTAGGCACCTAGATATTGAAGTACCTTACTTTAAATACATCTCCTTTCTAGTTTGTTTTTCATCATTTGCTCCTAATGACTAATCAACTAAAGATGCACACAGCTGAAGCCAGCTCAGAGGGGCCTCAGACCAATGAAGTCCAATCCAATCTACCTATTGGCGAGAAGTGTGAGATCAAATCTTACCATGTGACCATTAAGCACGGTCAAACCTCCAAGGTGCCTACATCAGACCCCTTTGGCAAAGGTAACTCCCATGGCCAAGATGATCCCTACGCTTTAGTCATCCGTAAGGAGTTCCAGGAACACAAGCCTGTGCAGACCTCTCTCCAAGTTAACTCTCCCTACATCCAGAGGGCCTTCCGCGACGTCGTCAAATCCTACGTCATGGTACCGTCGGACTTTACCTCCTCCTTGGTACTACAGGCACCATTCGAGATGCTAGCCCACTACTGGGACGAGCTCGACGAATACCGACAGTCCGCCGACGAAACGACCAAGGAGCATCTCGACCTGCTCTTCGAGTTCATGGAGCACGAGGTCAGGCCGGGACGCGAGCTGGCCCTCAAGATGATCCAGAAGCAGCAGATCGCGTACGACAACGCGTGGTTCATATACCGGCCCGGCGACATCCTGTACACCGAGATCAGCGGCCACCCGTGGCTTCTGGTGTGCGAAAAGACCGCCTACGAGGATGACCCTAACATCGGCCCTTACTTCGAGGTCCACTGCAGTTACGCGGACGACAACGGCGTGGTTGTCGGCGAGGCGCCGCATGTCGTGGTCATGAACAAGAGGGGTGTGTTCCCCGCGGGCAATGCGGTGGCTATCACGGGCTTGGAAATCTACCCGCGTGCGCTGGTGAAGGAGGGCGAGAGCCTTGAGCGTCGTCTTGAAGCGCGCGGGAAGAAGTTTTTGGCTATGAAGGACTTATCAACCGTGGCATATGGTACGTGTTTAACTCCCTCTTGCTAACGAATCTGTAAATAGAAAACTAACCAAGACACAGACGGTTCTGCCGAATGGCTGAAAGAACCACCCTTCGATTACTATGACCCGTCGAGGTGCAAGTTTAGGGGGGTGTGGCTGCCGTACACCGAAAAGGGGAGAGTAGTCCTGGATCGGAAGACGTTTGGTGAGGAGCAGCCCCTGGGCAAGGCTCGGGTCAAGATTATGAGTCCTAACCCAGTACACTGTCCGCCGTATACTCTTGGTTATTCGCTTAGCCGTAAGCAGTGGTGTAGATTCTTCGTTGATTATGTCCGAGACGTTGAGTATGTGAAGTTTACTATGTTCCCCCTTTACCCCTTTCCTACCAGCAGGTCTTGATAGTTGGTTCTACCTAATTTATGGAACTAACTATCTCGAGACTTATAATAAGTTCCTAATTCAAGACATTATATTCAGTAAAAGAAGTTACTAATCTCATTCATTTCAGATGGAACCCGAACGCATGGGACTCATTGGTACTCCCAGATAAGGAGAAGCATCTCCTCCGAGCGCTCATCTCGTCCCACGCGTTTTCCAAAAACCCTCGTGATACCATGCAGCAAAAGGGCAAAGGCCTCATCATCCTACTCCACGGTACTCCCGGGTCAGGGAAGACCCTCACAGCCGAGACAGCCGCCGAGGGAGCCAGGAAAGCGCTTGTTTCGACTTCTGTGGGGGAGCTGAATAAGAATGCTAGGTAGGTTTTTTTTCCCTCGCTTACACCACATAAGCCGTATAGATTAGACTCCTTCATTAACATACATACTACTATTAGCGTGTTTACCAGCTCGGCAGCGTTCGAGAGAGAACTCAAGAAAGTGCTACAGTACGCGACGATCTGGCAGGCTGTCGTCCTCCTCGACGAGGCGGACGTGTTCCTCCAAGCCCGGACAGATGTCGGGAGCTCGGAACGTAACGCGTTAGTTGCTGGTAAGCTTTTGTTCTACTGTCACCATCAATAAGGTTCTCACCATACTAATTTAAACCCAGTCTTTCTACGAGAACTCGAATATTTCAGCGGCATCGTCTTCCTGACCACCAACCGCGTCAACTCGTTCGACGTCGCCATGAAATCGCGAATCCACCTCTCCCTCAGCTACACCCCGCCGGAGATAGATGTGCGGCGACGGATCTGGCTGCACTGTCTCAAGATGATCCCGGCGGATGTGAAGGACATCGATGTGGACAGCGCCATCGGGTTCCTGGTGACTGCCCACTTAAACGGAAGAGAGATTTCCAACGCGGTAAACACTGCGAGGACGTTGGCGAGGTTCGACGATGTGCCGCTCAGGCTAAATCACATTCAAACTGTGTTGGAAGTGCGCCAGGCGTTTGATGAGAGTTTTCAGAATGGTGGATTGTCTTGAGGTTTAATTAGCTACTAGTTAGGTTAGGTGGCTCGATTAATATGCTAACGTCTCCTAATATCTGACATGTCGGTATTTACTATTTAGAATACTTAATATAAAACTTTCCTTCGACTCCTTAACTCTTGTATCATTTCACATTCCCACATGAGTCTTAATGAAACAAATACTTAGTTTTGAGCGATCTTGGTGACCTAGTATGTAGACCCACTTAATCTGCCAAGAGGGAAAAGGGGTAACGATAACAGAGTAAGGAATGTTCACGATGCCTTCAATTTAGGTTAAGAAGGCCACAGTTTAAGAAATTATGGTTCCATGCTATATTAAAAGGTACCTACGTAGGTATGTACTTATCAACTTATTTTAGTTTTCTTGTGAAAACAACAATTTGAACATGCTTTATCGGTACCCTACCTAGGATAAGTACTAACTATCATCATCAAAAATGGTTGTTACAAATTAGTGCTGGGTAAACTACTAAGTAGCCTTCGTGAATGGTTTAAAGGAGAGAGTTAACTATTTACGCCACGGGAGGTCAAGTGCTTACCTATCTACACTGGCGCACATTGCGGAAATAGCTATTACGAATAGTATATGAAAATGGACTCCATCATCTACCACCACAGAACTACAACATCAGTCAAACAGAAACAACCAACACACTAACACTCAAGAGATCCGGTCTTCCCAGCAGGAAGGCCAAGGAAAGTGAAGATGCGCTCTTCCAAGGGATCGAACCTCTGGCAAAATAAGATTTCACACCTTGATGCGTTGAAAGAAAGGTCTCATTATACTTTCGTGGCTATTGACATTGCGAGACGGGTCACCAAGTTTGAGCCTCTCTGGATTACTGAGATTGGAGTTGCAGTCCTCTCCCCCCCTTTTGTTACCAAGAGCATAAGTCCAGATGCTCTTCAGTATCAAACGCCCCAAACCTTCTTCGAGCAAAACACCGTCGACAGCTACTGGCTACCAATCAAGGGAACGGAGCAAAGTGACAAGTGCCGAGACCAATACTATCTTGTCGATGGTCAAGAAGTTGAATTTGAGCAAGCTAAGGATACACTAGTCAGCATGCTGCAAAAGATTCGGTACCGGTCCAAGAAGCCCTTGGTTCTAGTTGGGTACAATTTCACCTTCGAACTTTTAACGATTGACTGGCATTTCTCCCAGATCGCCCAGTATTTCTCTCACTGGGTTGACTTGCGGGACATCGTGGGACAGATCTCTGATATACAACGACCCACCATGAAAGATACGCTTCTTACTTTTGGCTTCTTTTCGAAAGAGTTGGCTTTTCGAGGCAAAAAGGGCGATCATAATGCTGGAAACGATGCGGTTCACAAGCTGGTTGTCCTCGTTAATTTGCTGCGTTTGAGCATGGAAGACACTCTTCATATCCAGACCGAACCAAAAGACACAACTGCGTTACGAAGATTTTGGACGAAGACTAGTGAGAGCCCAAAAGTAGATTACCCCTACAAGGCCACGATTCGCATTGAGGGAAGAGGTTTGAGGTCTCTGTTTCCAAACTGCATGCAGTTATTCGAACTTTTTGCCAGCTATCAGCCGTCAGCAGTAGGGATGACTCGGACTGGCAGTCATGGCTGGGTATGCCTGTCAACAGAATGGGGACTACGTCAGTTTATTCGCGACGTTCATGGCCAGAAAATTCGAGGAGAGACTTGGATCGCTGTCACAGACTCCACACCCCAGATACCACATCTGATACCATAACAGCTTCGCGCAGCTAGATGAGCAGACCAGGAAGCTCGACGAGAGCACAAGTAACCGGAATGAGGCGATGAAAGGAACTGGGAAATGTATGAGATGGTGTGACATGGATGTATAGATAGGCAGGGATAGATTTGGTTTCGTTGGCGTTGAGTGAGTAACTTGTTCCTCTGTCGAGCACATCTACTAGGTGTCTAGTTTGGGACAAGTACTCAGGTGATATATCCCATCATTTACAGCTTTGAATGAGACCAGTGCAGGTAATACATACTTTAGGTACCTACCTAGAAGCCAAGGCAGGATAGTCTCCAGATTCGGGCTCTGGTGGGTGACGTGTGATACTGTATTATATCATTGACTACCCAAGCACGGAAAATCACGAAAGGTGATTATTTCCATTTGCGGCACCTTACCCAGCAGACTTATTGTGTCTTTGTTTTCCTCCTTGTATATCGAACAGTCCTTATGGCATGACTTACCCTTTTAGCCAAGTTACAGCCGTGAACTTGACATGCCCACCACTCCCTTCTCTTCTAGCGCTATTCAACCCCTTACAAAATGGCGGTATCAGGTCTTCTCGATCGTGGCGTTCCTCCATTCCCTAGATATCTCCTATACATTAAAGGGGGTATTCTGTTCCTCTCTGTCATCGTTTTAATATTAGCTGCGTACTCAACGTCTGTTCAAGGAGACGTCCCTGCAGAGTACTCATCTGGAGTCCCTGGTTATCTGATCTTTCTAGTAAGAAGCCTAAATGGTCTGTGATATGTGACCTCTGGTTTGATTCTAACTACTATTAGACCTTATTCACGTGGATCACATACGGAACTTCTACAGCGATTGAGACAATAGCACCGCACCTCTATTACCGCGTCGTCGTACTAGTGGTGTATGCCCTTAGTGTGATACTATGGTTAACGGGTTGGGCGTGGAGTGCATCATGGGCATCCTACACCCTCTCGTTCAACGAAAATTACAGGGTCGATAATAAGGGGGGTTCATGGAGTACGTTTGGATCTGTAATGGGAGCATGTGCAGGTCTCGGGGCTCTTACTTGGGCCTTTACGCTTTTTGTATTCGGGTTATTTTGTCAAACGTGCTTGAAAAGCCCTGGCGTATCTAGTGTTGGCAACATTGAACTGGGAGGAATGCAGAAACATCATCAGCATCATCAGCATCATCAGCATCATCAGCATCAACAGCAGACCGTCTACCCTGCCCAGCAGAGTTATACTACTCAATCGGTCTATGGGATACATCCTCAACGTGCTTAGAGCTAGTTTCCAAATGGACATTGGATTTTGTTCTTTGTTCCTTTTCAATGTTTTTCATTGATTTTGTAATCAATATAAAATTGAATACTCACGTACTGTCTGACAACTCAATGCTATGATATTCGATATATGAATCTGCCGCCAGCATTGCATTTATGATACGAGTTTAAGCACTTAATAAGCACTTAATAAGAAGTTTATGAAGAAAGAGCATTGAAGTTTACAACTACAATGTATTTGTACCTATGTAGCTTACCTAGTACCTAGTAGTACGTACCTACTAACTAGGTACCTACAAAGTAAGTGCAATACACCCTGGAGTCTGAATGCAGCGGCACACATGCATCAACGATAAAGAAGAAGTGGGGAAGACGCAGCGGGATGCCCCATGTGCATTGTGCAGTTCTTCATTCCCCTCATAGTTATTGCACGTAGCGTACATACCTAAGGCAGGCACTGCCAGGCAGGTACTACTTACCAGGTACTATGTAGGTTGCACATGGTACGTCTCCAGCCACCTTCCAACTGGATCTTCCCACCGTCATTTCCGTCTCCAGCCAATACATTTAATCCCTACCTAAACTGCCCATACCATCGGCTGCCGGCTTTTATGTTGACCGTTACAACCGCAAAATCGGTCATCTTCCACCGCGACATTGTACGTGTAAGGTCTAAGTCCAGGAGAGGTAAGCGGCTATTTCGATCATTTTTTTTTAGAGGAAAAGGCGGAAATAAAATAATTAAAAAAAGATTGGAGAATGGATCCCGCTTCGCTTGATCCTCGACTTCGCGACATTGGCGAAGATTCAATCATCGTCAACGATCCGACAAATCCGCAACCATCACAAATCACCATTCCAGGTATCCCCGCTTCAACATCGACATCGACATCGACATCAGCACCAGTACCAGTTGTAGCAACAGCAACAGCAACAGCAACAGCGACACATATACCAAACACGGCAATACCAATACCAATCCTTGCACCGGTATCAACAGAATTCCCCGATTCCCCGCTTCAGCAGCAACTCCAAGCTCAAGCATCAGTCTCATCACCAGGTCCATCCGCAACCGTTTTCACCCCTCAAACACCCAATGGCCACCCTTACGCTGCTACTGGCGACACTCCCAATGCGCCGGGTACAACACCACACGACCCAAATGATCCCAAGCGACCCCGCGCTTGTGAGGCATGTCGCGGATTAAAGGTGAAATGCGAGCCAGATCTAGGAAACCTTGAGGGGCCGTGTAAAAGATGTGCCAAAGCGGGACGAAACTGCGTTGTGACGCAACCAACACGGAAGAGACAGAAGAAAACAGATAGTCGTGTCGCTGAGCTGGAGAAGAAGATAGATGCTTTGACTGCGACCTTGCAAGCAAGCAGAGGAACTCCCAATGCTGTTCAATCACCCCCATCGGACGACCAGGGATATGGCTTCGTTCATGGTCGCGACTCGACCGCAAAAGATTGGGGTCCTCCGCCGCTCCGGGATCATCAACCGCAACCTCTTTCTCAACCTCAATCTCAGTCCCATTTCCCGCCACAGTCTCAACCCCCATCCATGCCTGAGCCAGAGCGCTCATTTGTATCGCCTGCCACAATGGCCGGACAGAAGCGGAAGTACACCGAATCTACCCACTCTCCCGATGTGGCTGGCGCTCCACCAGCACCGCCGAAACCAGGTCCCGGTGCTGAGCAGCCGGATGTTGTTGATCGCGGATTGATAACCATGAGCGACGCTACAGCCCTTTTCGTACGGTATATGGAGGATATGTCACCCCATCTACCAGCTGTTGTCTTCCCCGAAGGCACTATAGCTTCCGAAATTCGAAAGACGAAGCCGACCGTATTCCTCGCCATCCTAGCAGCTGCCTCGTTCGAGACGCCTAAACTTCAACGCCAACTTGTGAAAGAAATTACGCAGATATTCGCTGATCATATCATCATGTCGGGGAGAAAGTCGTTAGAATTGGTACAGGCCCTTCTGATCAGTGTTATTTGGTATTATCCTCCGGAACATTTCGAAGAACTCAAGTTTTACCAGTTTGTGCATTTGCCGGCTGTCATGGCCATTGATATTGGCTTAGGACGGAGGAAGTACAACCCAAAGTCTCGCCTTGTACCGTATACTTGGCGCGACCATCCTTTTAGGCAAAAACCTCTTCCCGATCCTACATCGATTGAATCACGACGGACGTGGCTTGCTGTGTATTTTCTCGCGTCAAACGTAGCCATGGCCTTGCATCGCCCCAACTTGATCAGATGGCAGGCTTTCATGACCGAATGCATGGATATTCTTGAGTCTTCTCCTCAAGCTGCACCTACCGATCGGTACCTCTGTCATCTTGTTTGGACGCATCGGCTTGCTGAGGAGGTCGGTATTCAGTTCTCTATGGATGACCCCGGAGTTTACATCAATGTATCAGAGCAGAAAGTCCAGTATGCTCTCCGAGGATTTGAACATGACCTTGCCAAATATAGCGAATCTATTCCGAAAGCAGAGAGGAAACGTAGGTTTTTCTTTCGCTTATATTGTTGCGATGACTAACATTTAACAGCCTCGCTCCTCCTTAGCTTTCACGTGCTGAATCTGTATATGCACGAGATTGCCTTGCATGTCGATAAGAGTCCAGACGAGTATCGACCCCCTTGTAGTGCAGATTCTCTCCGAGAACCGATTCCTGGACTGGACGACTCTCTCACACCCTCGCATATTAGTGCCTTATCATCTTGTCTTACTGCTATTGATGGCATATTCGAGACATTCTTATCCATGGACATCCTCAGTATCCGCTGCATTCCAATCTTTAGCTTCGTTCGGGTTGCCTATGCTGTTGTTGTCCTGATCAAGATTTACTTCAGCGCCAGCAACTCAAACTCCGGACTAGGTAAGGTCATTAATAAGGATAATATGAAAGTCGTGGAGTATCTCGAAAAGCTTCTCAGTAAATTTCACGAGGTGGCCGCGTCAGATAAGTCACGCCCAGCCAGCAAATTCCTTCTCGTCTTAGCGATGATTCGGTCTTGGTTCCACAAACAGGGCCAAGCCCAGAGTCAGGCAGAAGGTAAGGGTCAGAACGATGGTCCGGCAATACCTCAGCAGGCATCATCTAAGGAACATACCACCAATACAGGCCCGTTGCAGCCCCAATCTCAGCAACAGCATCCGCCCCAGCTAAATCCTGGACCGGCTAATACGCCACTTCAGCTACTTTCCGAGATAGCAACCGGAAATGGCCCAAATCAAGCCCCGCCAGGCTCAGACGCGAGCAATTCCCAATCCTACCAAGCATGGCTCCGTTCTGTGCCGCAACCGTCACAGCCATTCTTGTATAACCAACCACCCCCGAGAGGTATCCTTGGTATGAATATCGACCCCGAAAATGCACTGCCGCCGTGGATGGGTCCATTTGGGACAGGCGACTTTGACTATACGAGTCTCGGAGACGGCTTCGAGCAGGCAATGGGGCTTACCATGACGGGATTTGGCGTCGGCAGCCCCGGCGATAGCTACGAGGACACCATGCGCTATATGATGCAGAATGACATGCTTGGTCCCATAGCCCCCGAGACCTTTGGCGCCCCGCCCCCGCCGCCACAGGGAGGTTCCAATGGGTCTTTCTACTCGTTTTAGTTGACGGATCATCTATATATCAGCAAAATAGTCCTGAAGGGGACATCTACGAACATAGCTATGGCTTATGTAATGGCGCGATACTTATCTCGTTGTAGGCACGGAGCTGGTAGCCTTACGAATTTGTTGCGATATGTATTATACTCGGGCCATGAAGATCGAAACTTATCGAGGCAACCAGTCACGGGATATGACTTAGGTACGACCATAGCGAATATCCAAGTCAAGCTATCGATTACTGGAAACTATACAAAAGAGGACAAATCATCAAATCGCATTGTTTTCGTCAATGTTTCTATTTTACGTCTTCCCGATTGCCGGCTTATCGACTTATCATCCATCGCTACTCGCTCATCACAATCTTCAATATCGATCTTGCCCTGGGTCTGCATGGCTAGGCCCTACGTTTGATTTTGGAACCGAAAAGGACGAAGATGAAGAAAAGGGGAAGGGGGAGAAGAGGGGGAGGGGGGGGGGGGGGGGGGGGGGTGGTGTATAGAATTGGAGTCTCGCCTCCTTCGGATTCAAGATCTCAAAAGCTGAAGATTCGCCGCCAATGTCCAATAGATGGTTTGACCATCGACTTATGTAATACTCAACTGTCGCTTTTGTTTTTACGCCGCCGCACTTGATGGGGCGGGTTGGAATGTATAGGGGTTTTTAATGGGTTCATGGCGAAACGGCATGGCACGGTATATCAGTTCATTTTTACCTACCTACGTAGGTTAGGTAGATAGGTAGGGTAGGGAAGGGGAAATGTGTAATATGGGACGGGTGTTTCGGCGTCCCGAATGTCGTGTACGCTTAATGTGATATGGGATACCTACCAGTAAGCACCCATCGAGGTATTATGCAATTTTTATACAAACATTCCGCTGCTTTTGCCATCAAAAGGCGATGATGTGACTACATTACATTTTACTGAAGGAAAGTGAATAAAATTTGATCAGTTGGCCAGGTCTCTATTGGGAGCTTGACGATTCTTATATAGTAACAATGGGTAAGTAGTTCAGCCAGATCATAAGTCTCTCACTCTACCAACCATCAAGGATATCAAATGATCCCATTCCTGAATCTTTTATCTCTTGGCTACCTATGTGTTATTAACACATTGCTTGCTAGCCCTGGAGCTTTGCTTGATACATGACAAGCTTGGAGGTCGCCAAAATCCTAGCCTATCTTACAGAAGCAACCTAGCCATAGCATTGCGATTGGAAGTAGCACCCAAACTCTGTTGGGTGCTCTTGAAGTGCAATTCTTGATCCCTTCGTTCGAGACTAATAATCAAATCAATCCATCTAACGAGGTCTGTCCCGCCCTAATTAGAGCTCCTGTTACCAAAATCTCCGAACCTTTGATCATCCCCACACGTGATGTTCGTTTTGTCCTGTTTAGAACTAGGCATAATGTCGGAAACCAGTGTACCCATTGGTTTTCCACACCTTCCCGCCTCAGCTTCATGGAAATAAGTCGTCGAAGCGAGTGACGTCAGGTAAGAAGGGACGCAGTGCAAAGGAAATAGCAGATGAGAGAGCAGAACGGTCCTTGACCTGACGGGTAGGTTAAATATGAGTTTGTACAAAGTTTCTTTGAAATGGCCAGCAAGATCTCGGGCCATTCCAGGAGATCAGCGTTTGTATTTTTTATTTTTTATTTTTTACCTACGCCGGGCACGATCAATCCATATAGAAGTCGCCTTTCAGAATGCGTTCTTGCATAGCATCTGGCTTGGGCCTTTCTGGTTGCTTAGGCTTCACGGCAGCAGCCTGTTGAGGCGGGGCCGGCATGTCGGAAACGGACTTGGCACGATCATGGCCGGTGCCATGTGGGGGTGAGCCATATCTAGGGACTCCAAAACTCGGTCGATGACCTTGAACACTACTTTCGGCGCGGGATCTAAGCTGCTCGGACCAATTGTAGCCGTTGTCTGCCCGAGCAGAAAACAAGTCAGAAGGGGTTCTGTAGGGTAAAATGTAGCTTGCCTGAGAGGTGCTAGCCCGTCTCGAAGCGGTTGGGGCGGGTGTAGCACCAGTAAGTGAAGCACGCGTATTTCCATTGGAGATACGTCGTGACTTCTGGGGAGGCCTACCAGTTGATCCAGGGCTAGTGGGCCCTGTGCGTAGGTTGCGCATGGCCTGGGCACCAAAGCTTATACGACGAGCGAAAGGAGAAGTAGCTCCTGCCTTAACAGTTTCATCGTCTTCAACAGCATTCTCATCGATAGAATCCGAGTTGTTTGTAGAGATGCTGCCTCTCCGCAACCCAAATGGAGTGCTTGCAGAATTGGGAGATGTGCCAGACAATCCAAGTGTAGTGACGGAGAGTCGTCGATGTTGGTCTCTGGCCGCAACCGAAGAGACTGATTCGCGATGGTTACCAGATCCGGTTGAAGTCGAGTTACTTCGCTGAAAGAGATTAGAGAAGGCAGCTGAAGTAACAGAACCACGGCGCTCGGTAGATGGCCCACCGTTGCCGTTGGTATTGGTATTGGTGCTGTTGTTGTCGTTCGACATTTTGATAGATTTCAAAGTTCTTTACGGCTTGATAAAGTAAAAAAGAAGGAGGGATAGAAAAAAGGCGGGATGAGTTAGAACGGTATATGTAGTAGGGTAGCTAACTCAATCGCACGATACAGATTCGGCAAGTGTGTTTCAACCGGAGCAGTGGTATGATGTGGCGCTATGATGGTAGCAAAGATGAAACTATGATGCCAGCAGCATAGGATGGTTGATTTGATCTTTGGTCTTGTCCTCAGGTTCGAGGCGTAGAAGAGACAGAAGACGATCACAGACAAAGAGATGACACGGAACGATGTAGTTCTTTGTAGGGGTATTATCCGGATGGTAAGTAGAGAGAGGGTAGAAAGTGACCAGGTGTGACTCGGTCAAGGTAAGCACGTAGGTACCTAGGTAGCAGGTATGTGTGACAATGACAATGCGATCAACCGATTTCCTTCAAACGCGATGAGAGACCAGCCAACGATATCAAAGAGAGCTTGACCGGGACCAACTACTATGTACGGGTGTGTTATAGCGTAGTTCTTATTGATTGAGGTGACGATGCTAGCCCATGTAGTATGATATAAACTAGTTGACTCAGTCACTCTGGGGAAAGGTAAGGGTTCAAGCGGGGTAATTTGAAGCTTCTGGTTGGCATCAATCTCGATTGGTTAGACTAGAAGAAAATAGAGTAGAATGACAAGAATGAAGAGTTCAAAAGTTGAATAGTTGGGGAGAAGAAGGCGACTTTTGAATTGTGCTTAGATATCTACCTAGTATGGACTGACAGGTTTGATAAGCAAATATGTGTACATATCATGTATGAAGAGAAGCTAGGTACTGTAACTGTAGGTATGGGGTGGAATATGAGCATTGAAGAAGGCGAGTTGGTGGAACGGATGGAATGATTGAATGAGGGTTGCAGTTTTGTGGAGAATCTCAGATATGATCAGATACATTAGGATTCATTGGGTTAATAGATTGGGTTAATATGGAACTCCATCTGGGACTATGACAACTTGAAGACATGGGATCCATGGATTGCTCAAGTTCTTTGAAACTGCTGCTAAAAGACCTGATGATCAATGCCGCTAGTCTACTTAGTACCTAGTTGGTACCCAGGGTACTAGGCTACTAGCGCGCTCTAGCCTGTAGCTACTGGGTAGTAACTATGTCGATACACCAAAATGGACCGCACTTTGCTAAGGCAGCAGGTAGCTTCCGAACTACCACAAAAAGAACAAACTAGGAACTGTCCAGCTCAAGAAGCGATAAGAGCTCCGCGGCAGCACGGAATGGCTTAGCATTGAATCGTCGATAATACCCAACATTGAACTAGAAGCTCCAAAGATGGTACAAGGCTCCAGGGCTGTCCCACACACAACTCGGTTTTGCTCACCTACGTCACCTACAGTCCAGACCTTAGGAAAATTGCGGGGTAAAAAGGGACATCCCTACCGGCTCTTCAGCCTTTAGCGACCGTAAGCTCTTCCCTAATATACCTAGTACACTAGCGTTCTATTTGATTCTCGACTTTGATGTAATCGCATTACACGAACCTTCCGGATTACATCACATGGTTCCTGAATGTAGCTTGCTTTAAACTTTCAGGGTGAACTTTGCATACCCATCCATACGATTCTTGAGTTTAAATGTCAGCAGTTTTGATATATCATTCGGACTTTTTTTTCCAACTCTAGGTATTAATGCTATCGGGGAGTACTGCAAGTACACCCTGTTGTTTCGACTTCTGCTTCTGCGTCTCATTGCAGTTATGATATCGTCTACCAATCGTATGTGCAGCTGTCTTTCCACTTGCATCCATCCATCGTCCGATCTGCAAACATTCGATCTGCGAATGGCCCTTCGCTTCGTCACCCTCCTATTCCAACCCCAGCGACCCTGGACTCCTGGAGGCCCCGGTCCATGTTAGTCGAAGATGGACAGGAGATAGGCATCGTAACGTGTCGCACTTGTTTCGTTTGATAGGTGAACTACCTACTGCCATAAGTGCATAGTATGTAATACTCAGGTACTACTACTATGTATTCATGTTAGTATCAACGACATCTGGAGAGCTCCACATGATCCTTGTGCTCTTGAGAAGCACATATCCATCTGTAGATGCCAATCTAGCATTGTCTATATCAAATTCTCTTATGATACACTAGTCCCTCTTTGCGCCAAGGCTGCATCCCTTTGGGGCCTTTGGGGTAAATGCATGTGGGTAGCAAGCATCAGTAAGCAATCCCCAGATTTTGTTTTGAGCAGTACGGGCAGCGTAGTACTGTAAATCCACACCACCCACTATCTGGAACGCAGTACGATTGGTGATGGGTGGGTACTAGGTAAGTTGAAAGCCGATGCCACCGGGCCTTGGCAAGCTGCCGAGCAAACAACTAGCAAATCCGCTTCTCGATGAACAAATCATCCATGGATGTAAGATAAATTGCCACGAGTTTGTATATTCCCCTGTTAACATGGTGCAATAGATCAAAGCTGAACTTGCCCGTTGTTTTACATAGTGAAGTGTGTTGGCCGAGCACCTCTACAGAGGAGGGGGTCGACTCAACTAGGCGCAGAACTCATCGAGAGCATAACGTTCCTCGCTTTGGGAGCCAACATGAATGAGTATAGCCCATAGGCTGGAGGGATAGCCTTTTATTATGTGGTTTGAAAGTAGGTGTCAAGTCAAATATGCTTGCTAAGCGGGCCCCGTCAAACATGGAGAGATTCAGTAAGGTTGTGTAATAATCAATGTGGAACAGGCACGATAGGTTTATTGCTTCCTTTTTCAACTTGAGAAGCACACGAAGCCATAGCCAATTTCAGGATCTCGCTCACCGTGATACGGCAGGCGAGTGCTGAGATGATCATTGGATATATGTAAGCAGCTGGAGGAAGCATGACTCGCAATTTTACCCCTCATGGAGATATCATTCACTATGCATGTGCAATCACACTCTCACTCTGTGTAGTACAGGGCCCTAATATTATACGTGTTCATATCGAATATTCGCAGGCCAGAAAAGTCTCCAATTGTGGTCAGCAAGGTGTTTTGCTAAGCTCCAAGGCTCCTACTAAAGTACTAAGGTAAGTAAGTGTACAACAGCATAGTCGGAACTTTTTTGGGAAATGCCAACATTTATCGAGATTAATACTGACCGAGACTTCATAGACACCTTCATAGTTCGCATGCAGTTATCTACATACATGCTGCATACTGGGAACGCATGTACTACACATGTAGGTATGTTACCTAATGCTACCTAGGGTATGTAGCAAGTAATTCAATATATCCATTTATACGTACGTAGTCAGGAATATACCATTGACGAGCTGGCGATACTCCGCTTGTCTACCAACTAACATATCATTATCGAAAGTTTCCCTGGGTGGCTATATGCAAAGTCTATCGAGTAATGGAATACCCAAATCTAATATTGACTCCAGAATTGAACCATTGCAGTTGCAACGCCAGAACCTGTCGTGAAGGGCATTTCGTGTCCCCCAGGAAAAACGGTAAATTCGGTCCCATGAAGTCCTAACGCCTGTACAGCATCTTCCATCGTCTCATCTTTGACAATAACAGGGTCGTCTTCTCCCAGTACTATATGGATCTTTCCAGATCCAAGCCCAGCTTCTTTATTCAGGGCATCCCGTCTCCTAGTATCCAGGATCGCAGCCAATGCTTTCCAGTCTTCTTGAGGAGCGTAGATAGGAGAGTGGCGCATTGTGCTAATAAATGCCGTGACAAAGCCCTCGTGGTGGTCAACCTGCCATTGGACAACGGAGGACACAGTTACCCCAGGGCGGAATTTGGAAATATGTGCGCTGTCGAACCCATCGCCGCCATTAGCATCACTATTTCCATGCGGCAGACACCTCTTAGTCTCAACAGACTCAATATCGGCGGCGCCCACGCTACGCGGTGGCTTTTTCTCTTTGTTGTCCTTCGGTCGGATCCTCCTACGCACCAGCCTTTGCACCAAGAGATCGGGTAAAAGTCCTGATCTATACAGCAGCCAGCTTGTCCAACCGACATGATGCCGTCGGATCAGGCCACAGCCACCTATCAGGGTGAGCGAATCAATTAAATGTGGGAAATATCGTGTGAATGCAACGCAGAGGCCACCACCGAGGGAGTATCCCACAAGATGGAATGTTTTCCACGACACCTTTGACGAAGCGAGAACTAGTAGTATTTGCGTCACGTAAAGCCTTGAGTCGTAGGCAAGGTCTTTAGGTCCATCGGAGTACCCACGCCCAAAGAGATCTACGAGTTCAGATGGTTAGTTACCGATAACACACCTATTCGACTGAAAATGGGGTTCCGTACCAAAAAGCATAACTCGGTATCCCTTGGTGGCTAATTCCCGACCTAGATCCCCAAGAGCCACAATTGGTGTGCTAATCCCGTGGACGAACAGGACCCTTTCCCCGTCTTCGGGTCCCCACTCGTAAACACGTATAGATCCATACGGCGTTGCCACGTCCCTTTCCCCAGGCAACGCATTCGGCGGGTATGGCAGGTGTGTCGTCTGTTCCTGCGAAAGGTTCGGGAGAACTGTCGTACGTGGCGATGGAATGAATATTTCTTTCTCTCTCCTGTTGGGCGAAATGATAAGACGAACAGACAGCAACGCTACAGCAGCTGCAGTAACGGTAAGTAGAGCAGCTTGGAAAATTCCAAGTCGTACTCCAAATATGTCTGGCCAAGTATATGCGAAATTCATGTTATGCTCACAGTTCGAAGGTCCGAATTGGCAATGAATGAAGATTACACCTCCCTCTCCTTCTAGGTAGGTAGACAAAGATAAATGAACAAGTCAAAACTTGCTACGCACATCAAGTCTGTCGGTTAAATCATGCAATTCCCTCCTCAAAATTTATATCCCTCAATGCCATGCATCACTTACCTCAAATCTGTATGTGCCTAGGTACCTACCTACAATCCAATGTTTGATCCTCCGGGTTCATGCAGTTGGTCACCGAAGTAAGCAAGCCTTGGAACTATGTGTGCAGAAATATTAGTGGTCTGCAATAAGACGGCCGATATACGGTCGTTCAGAAGCGAGGTGCTCCACTCCCACTAAGTCAGCACTAAATGAGCCCCGATATAACCGAAGACGGCCGGTGAAGTCCGGTCTTCTTCCGGGTATTGTAGCGTCCGGAACCCTACATGTGTGCGGTTTTAGAGTATACACAGATGAAAGACGAGTTCGTCGCCCGAAACATTCGAGTTCAAGACTATAATTCCGCGGTGACTCAATGTCGTAATTATCATTATGCGGTCCGATTACTAGAAAGCATTTGATTAACAGTTACCTCCGTGGATAGCTGGTAAGTATTTGCACTTATTATCAACCTCGGAGGTCACCACAGTTGTCTCAAATAGGCACAGTAAGCAGCTCTGGCGACGGATTCTACTTGTACAACCGGCTTTCCGTTTCCTTGACTTGCACTAAGTCAAGAGTTGCGAAAATCGATCACACTACATACCTAGGTAGTTGTTGAAATGAAGAGGGGGGTTAGGGGAGGTTGAGATCTTATGATGTTATGTCTTGAAATACAAGTATGTCGTTAGAATAATTCTCAATAATAAGCAAAATTGAAAGACTATACAGTTTAACGCCTGGACTTGAGCCTCACCTAAACCCAACTCGTCACCAATGAAAATCAGGGGAACTAGTATCTAGGTACCACAGCTTCAATATTTTCCGACTTTTACGCCATCTCCTCACAGACACCTAGGTTACTATATTATCAAAATTCTCGGCATGTAACCCAAACCTTTGAAAAATATTTTCGGCGGTATTACTTCAACTTCAGTTGAGGTAATACAGACAACCGGTGAATCTAGGATATTAGCCTCATTCGTATCATCTATGGTATTCATACACCCCCCTTTTTTTTCTCAGGGGTCGCGTTGGTATTGGCTGATGAGCGTAGTAGCCAATGTGGTGGAACCTAGTACGGCATGCTCAGCCGCCTTGGACTTCACTTCTTGGCTCACAGTTGTTAAGGATTGTCGGCGAAATCTTTATAATATGTTTATGATGCTTACGCAATTTTTTTTTACTAATTTCAATGTTTGCTATAAGATCGATCATAGCTTCTATGCACAAGAGTCTGCGAGGGGGCGTTTGCGTATTTACCTATATAATGTTTCCAGGGATGAAAAGTTTACGTGGGTTGGCAACCAGCCCCTTTTCTTCAAGTACCGCGTATAAGACGTTTTGATTTCTCTTAAAAAAAATCCCCCAATACCTACATCATGATAGTACTGACCTTTAGATATTTACTTACTAGGTACCTAGGTAGGTATTTATCACACACTGAGCTCCATTTCGGATATTGTGGTTCACTAATAAGCAGAAGCAGCACTCCTCCTTAGATCTAACCCTGCCTTACCCCGGTTCGATGAACTTATCAGATCGTTTAACCAATTGTGATTGGCTGATAAGATTTTAAACTTTAGTACCGACATTGCTTGTTTTGTGCCAAGAAAAAGAAATACATATTAGTATCCGTATCCACTTTTTCTCTCAACAAGCTGCGACGCGATCGGAACTTTAATTCATTTTACCCCAGGCCATTATTCTGCTACTTATTCTGCTACTTATTCTGCTACTTAACCGTTTCTGGTCTGAAGGAGCCTTATAATGCTACCTTGAAGTGGCCACTTTAGCACAGGTCTGCATATTACTTTCACCTGATCGCAACCAGATGCCAGCGTGGCCCGGTTGCGGAAACAACATACAGTTGCAAATGTTTGGATTGGGTAGGTATATGAGAGACAGCTTATTGGTTAGTAGCTTACCGGATGACTCGGAGATTCGTTTGATCTAGGACGTATGAAGCAATCGTATCATTTGCTCCGTGCATACCTAGGCACCTACCAATGAGATGACCCTCCTCGCCGGGTGCCTGCCTAGTAGGTGGGCATATAAGGGGACGGTATGGTTTGATTATGTGGATGAATGATTAGCCGGTGAGTAAACTCACCGGTCGACCAAACAACATACTTGGGCCATACTTCACATCGCCTGCTTGTAATCAACGAAATGTCTCTCGACACCAAAAACGAGGATGGGGTAATAACGGGACCAACTATAGTGTTAGATTCACTAACACTGGACGAAAAGCCTAAGGAGCTGGAGGGATATCGTGCACCGCAGGATACCGAGGACGAGAAGCAACTCGCACGACTCAAAGAGCTATATGGCGCAACCTGGAATGGGCCTGACGACCCAAGTAACCCATACAACTGGCCCGCATCGCGGAAGGTATTGATCGGCCTCGTCTTTTCCTTTAGCCAGCTCGTAACTTTGATGTCCGCGAGTATTATGGCTGCGGCCCTCGGCAACATATCCCACGACTTGAATATCGATTCGTCGACCGCCCAGATCACGCTCTCCATATACTTCCTTGGTCTGGGGATTGGCCCATTCTTCATTGCCGCTCTCTGCGAAATGAACGGCCGTAAGAGCATTTGGGTCATAAGTAACCTCTGGTATGTCCTGTGGAACGCGGTATGCCCGGTGGGAAAGTCTAAGGTTGTGATGATCATCGGCAGATTCCTTGCTGCTACAGGAGCAGGCGCCGGTACCATAGTATGTACTGCTTTACGGTTTCTCCCTAGTACGGGACTCTAAATTTGCCATATCAGCTCACAGGCCCTGTCATGGCAGACATGTACCACGCCGAAGACCGAGGAAAATCCCTCGCTATTGCGTCTTTCCTCCCGTATTTGGGCCCGGCGCTTGGCCCCATTGTCGGCGGTGTTGTCGTACAGCTTGTTCAATGGCCTTGGCTGTTTTGGGCTGTGAGCATCTTTGATGCCTTCATTACTCTAATGGGGGTATTCATCATAAGAGAATCATATACACCGGTTCTCTTACGTCGCAAAGCAGCCATGCAAGGCGAGCAACGCACCAGCCCAACTCCCATGACAAGAGTCTATTGGCAAGATTTCTTTTCTCGGCTGGCGACGTATCTTCGGCGGCCCATTAGTCTCCTGATTCGGCGACCGGTTGTTCAGGTTATCTCTCTCACCCTTGGCTTGAACTTCGGAATCTACACCTTCATGCTTTCGACCTATGCAACGCTTTGGATCGACCAGTATGGACAATCGGCTCTGTTGAGTAGTCTACACTACATATCGTTTACGATCGGCATGGGTATAGCTGCTCAAGTAGGAGGTCATCTTAGTACGTATTTCGAGTCCCAAGTGCATTGCCCCTTTCTTGCGGTTGCTCGTTTCAGGCGGTGAACGCTGCTGCGTCTGTAGCAGATGAGCCAGGCCTTGGGACAAGTGTTGGGGCAAGTGCTGCTTTCAGGAATTGCCAACGACTTACATGTATTAACTCTGGAATGCTTCAGTGGATATTATCTACAGACGCTTAAGAGATCGACCGAAGAATAAAGGCGAGAGTAAGCCCGAATTCCGTGCCCCGGTAAGTAGTACACCGAACGTTTCCAGGAACTTCCCCTTTCATGTAAAACGCCGATTAGTTATCAAGTAAGTACCTAGTTATGTAAGTTTAGGATCTGCTAACCCCGGTTATGGCAGTACATGATACCGGGTGTGCTCATGGTTCCCGCAGGACTCTTCTGGTACGGTTGGTCTACCGAATATCGAATCACCTGGGTTATGGTCGACCTTGGCGCCATCATATTCACTTGTGGAAGTGCTGTGTTGGCACAAGCTTTACAGGCGTACACCCTTGACATATTCGGTGAGCTCGGTGCGTCGGCGAATGCAGCCACACGTCTTCTTTCGAATGTGCTAGGATTTGTTTTCCCGATCTTCGCCCCTCAGCTATACAGCAGCCTGGGATATGGCTGGGGGAACAGCTTGCTAGCATTCATCTTTGTAATCCTGGGTGTCCCCGTACCGCTGTGTCTGTGGAAATGGGGTGAGAAGTTGAGGCCACTGGGCAAAAGGTCAAACGAGGATGACTGAACGACCGGAGTCTAGGACTGGTGCATTGTTCACTCTGCCAAACGTGGGTATATACGATGCTCTGACGTTGCACCTATGCGATCCGTTGCAATTCACACGTATTATCATGCAGCAACATACGGGCTGCACACAAACCTATCACAAATCATTATTTTCTCACGTCGCAATGTTAAAATGGTCCTTTGGCTGATACGTCCAGACCTTGGGAGCGGAGTTGCTTTCTATCAGGAAATCCGATGTGATAAATATTCAGGATATACCTAGTATCCATCCGGTATCAGAAAGTGGATATAGAGGTCTGCTTCATCTGTCGAATTATTGGGAATAGACGTGTATCGGATCTCATCCTCTCGTATTTCGAGATTCGATTACGTATACTGTGATCGAAACCGCCATGAGGATGTGGTCAAGAAAATAGGGACCGAAAGACGCGCTATTGACTCGCGACCCCGAAAATTTCCTAGTTGTGACAAAATCGCAGCCTGCCGCAGGAGGAGTATGTGATATGTCCCAAAGGAGACCGGAAACATTCTCAAGTCGATATATTTAATTACGGCTTATCTGTTCTCGCGAGTTCTGTCGTCGGTTTTCCGTCATCACAAAGGAGAAATCTGATATAACAGGGGTAGTTTGGGGGTAAGAAGGGGGGCGAACGCATCGCAGATTTCTGGTTGACGGAATGAAACGTCGAGGCGTTGCTTAGTATGTATGCAAGCCCCCCCTGGCTGGTGTATTAGTCGTGATTTCCATGGAACGCGGATCTTTGGGAAGGGGAAGGGGGTTACTTTTGGCGAGACACATCCAAAAGATCTGGTGCATACAACCGCGGGGGGGCAGGAAAGAGGGCCGGGTGGATTCGATTTCCAAACTTGGCCATGGGTTGACAGGCGTTTTGCGTGGGAGCATTATACGTCGCGATTCTGTCATGCATGGCCTCGCGTAGGTACCATCTCACCCTTCTCATCGGGGACCATCGTGACGCCCCTGAATGTTGGTATATATTCTTTCCTTTTCCCACCTGGATACTTCTAACCCGTCCTCGTACCCTTCCAACATCGATATCGTACGATAAGCTATCTCTATGTCATCTTACCTAATTGCGAGATCACTGCTAGCGAGGAGAAATCCCGACTTTTAAGCTCACCTGTCGTCGTGCAAACATTCATGTCAATCCTTCTCGACTACCTAAGGATGGTCTACCACAATCGTTTCAAGGCAATGGAGTCAGACGGAATAAGAGCAATCCTTACGGTCATGCTCGCTGCTACTCGAGGGTTTAATTTCACGATCTCGCCATCTAATTCGAAGGTTTCGGAATGGTCGAGAGGTTCGAATGAGGATCACAAATATTCGAAGCTGCTCAATAACTTGGAAAAAAAACGATGGTTCTTTGTCAAGAGAAAAAAAGAGGGCCTTACAAGCATGGGTGGCTCAAGAACGGCCCGCCGCGCCAAAGTATTAGGATATCTCATAATGGGTTTCCGACCAAATAACCTGACCAGACCTTCCCGACCCGTTCGCCGCCAATACATAAATCCATAAATCATATCATGAAGACTCTCTACCAAGGAGGTGGTAGGGAAACCAAGGTAGGCAGGGCAAGCCTAATGGTCTTGTACACTACTTCCACGTTTCAATCCCCCTTCCCACCCCTTTTCCCTACCCATCCGTTCGCCCGTTCGCCCGTTCGTTCGTTAGTCGAATGAATGCCGTCTTTTCATGTTGTTGTTGCCTCCACTCCAACCAAGTTTGGTATTACAATATATAAAACTTAGTGCACGTCGCGCGCGGCCCGCGCGATGTAATTCTGGATGATATCGCTGTCGCAACCGCTATGCCGCAGGATCTCGTTCTTGAGATCGAGAATCTCGTCCCGCAGACACCCAGCATGGTCCTGCAGCATGCGGTTGTGCTTGCTCAATTCGCGCTCCTGGATCTGCAGATCGCTCATGCTCTGCTTCGCCTTCTGTCGACACTTGTGCGCTGCCACCCGGTTCCGCTCCCGGTTGCGCCGGCTCTTGGTAATAGAGGGCGGGGAGTTGCACAGTGACGAGGCTTTGCCGCCGGAGCTGCAGACTGGTGAGGGGGGAGACATTTGATCTCCCGTACCGGTACTGTCTGCCATCCAATTTACGGATGATTCAGAACCGGGCGAAATTACTGTGGGGGTCGCTACGGAACTCTGCGAGAGTCGTTGGTGGTGGTGGTAATTGGATATCGTCTCGGCGAGTGGAGACACGACGTTTTCGTCGTACAGCGCCTCTCCGACACCACAATTCGTGACTTCACTTTCCTCATCTTCGGATCCCCTTTTGCGCGTCATGAGGACATGATGGTGATTCGACTGCGGCGGGTCGAACTGTCCCGTCGTCTGTGCAGGGGTGTCGAATCTAAACGAGTTGAGTTCTGAGGCTTGTCCCGGGCTGGGGCCGGTATTGTCGGAAGTGGTGAAACCAGCTTGAGTATACTGCAATCTACGTCAGATTCCCGAAGGAGTTTTCTTTTTTTTTATGAATGGGACTCATGACAAAAAGAATGGTTAAAAGAAGGCTGTTCACATTATCACTAGCTTCTAGGCCATGTCCCAACTCCTCCAGACTGACGTGCGGGCTTGCTCTACAGAATTCGTCTGAATTGTTACCAGGATTGGCCCATTGGAAATCAGATATAAGGTTGCCCTCACCGAAGGGTGATGTGAACATGGGTGATGCCCAAGCGGTGGGCACGTCCTCTGACCATTGTTCATACTTTCTTGGAAGACTGGTGGACACGTCGATGCCTGCCATGTTAGGGGAGAGGGAAGCAAGTTTCTTTTTCTTGTAGTAGGTTTTAATTGGTTGTATTCTTCTTCTTTTCTCCCCTTCTTCTCCTTCTGCTTCTGTCGATATGAATGGCTTATGTGAGAGAATAAGGTTATATGGCTAACCCCAACAGCTGTAGTGATATACAAGGTAGGTTAGGTGAGTCTCGAGGGTGAATACCCCTTTCGTACATTCGAATTTGGTCCAGTCTCTCCCTTCTGAGATACTGATACTTGAAGAAGATGAGTTGGTGTCTAAGTTATAAAAAAGATTGACGAAACTGGACCTTTCGCACGTATTGGTTTATGTAGGTAAGTTTGATGAAAATACTTCAAGTATGGATTTTTAAACTTTGGATTGGTATGAAGTTCATAAAAAAATGATTTACACTAGAGTTAGGAAGAAGGGGAGGGGTGTATAATTCTTCTACCCTATGAATCAGAATACGTTATATAAATGTAACATTGATGGTATTGTTCATGAGAAAAGATGGATTGGGTTATGGGATGATGGTTGCAAGTTTTACTAAGGTAGGTATGGGAAGTTTGATCCATGGAGAGTTGCCGGGCAGTGGACAGTGGGCAGTGGGCAGTAAGGATTTAAAATGTTTGCATCAATTGGTATACGATAAGGTTTTTTTGGTTTCTTTTTTGAATTATTGGATTATTGGATTATTGGATCATTTGGAGACCCTTTGCCTCATCTATCACGATAGACCAGGGGACACACAGACAAGTTGAGACCGGCATTATAGTAGTTGCAAAGGTTGAAAAGCCGCCTTGTATGTACTGTGTGTACTACATAAGGGATCATTCATGGATGTAGGTACATACATGAGTGCCAAACGTCTAAGGGTACTAAGGGTACTAGGTAAGGTATGTATGTCACGAACGCCCCTTACGAAGACTTCGGGATGGGCTCCGGGCCCTGTGTATGGCTGGAAACCCTGAAGCTAATATGTAAAAAAAGCACCCCTTGGGAAGCCCTAGGCCGTTATCAGACAATACCCTACTAGGTACATGAACATCCACAATCATCCATACCTACATTTTTCAAAAGTTCGGGCGCGCGCGGTGGCTTGTTACCAAACAGACGAGACGAAACCAAGCTATTAAACTTGCGTGGGCTTTTTCTTAGAAAAAAAAAAAGCCCCCTCCTAGCCAGCCCAGGCGGCTAACCCTTGTGTGTGTGTATTACTACCTTGCCTTGCTTGCTTGCTATGGATGTTAAAGAAGCACGATGCATTGTGGCGAATAACCTGGGCTGGGCATGAAGGATGCGGGGGGCGGGGCAAAAAGAAGACGAAGAAGACGAAGTAGAAACGAAACGAAGGAAACGAAACCGGAAAAGAGTAAACGAAGATTGAGGGTAGAGAGAAGTAGATTTGGAAAGGAAAAAAAATCGAAAACTTTGAAAGGGCATAGGAAGCTCTCGAGTTTATTGATCAACTCCTTGCCTTAGGTACTGAGTATATATTTCCCTGGGACTATGTCATATCTGCGTGTAGCCCCCCATTATATCATCTAATATCTCGATGTGTTGTTGTTGGTAGCTATTAAGGCATTGTATTGTACCACCTAGTATACTACCAGTGTAGTTAGACGGATGGGAATCCGAGTCAAGCAACGGCTTGATATTAATATTATTGCTCTATGAAGTTAATCGCCCCACGTTCATGATTCTTCTCTCTCTCTCTCTCTCTCTCTCTCTCTGCCTCACTTTTATTCAAATGTCAACAATAACGTTAGAACAAACATGTTAAACTCTCTTAATTTAGTTTCTGGGTTTTGACAGCTCGGTAGTATTCTCTCTAGCGATGCCAGCTAAGCTGCAAAAGTCCCTATCCCACTTGGACTATAAGTTTAAAATAGGTACCTAAGCTTAGGTATATCAATGATAAATAAAGATCCATGGATCTCAATATTAACACCAAGATAGCTTAGCCCCCCCAATGATTGATAGACTATCCATACCTATAGGTGTATATTAATACATCTTTATACATCTTTAATATTATCACTAACCTATTAAGAAACAACGTTTCAACGATTCGCCTTAGATTTACATGGATATATCTCATTCTTTCTCTCACCTCCCCACCCTCTTCATAGATCCCCCCTGGGACTTTTACCTATCAACTTCCTTCCTATGAATTTCCTATGTGTCCAGGCGACTTTGATCATTTCAACCATCTTAGAGTCACCCACGACTTTTTTTCATTCTTTCTTCTCAAATAACGGACTTTCCACAGGGAGAGCTAGTCGGTACGAGTTCCGACACTTCTAATTGGCCCGGACCGGAGCCCGAATGAATATTACATATCACATGTGCGGTGCTTGCAGAATGAGAGAATACCTAGGTACTATCTACCTACCTCCTACCCAAGTAATGTAGGCACGTAGGGCATGTATATAGGTATGCATGTATGTATGTATATTCCAAAACGGTAAAACAAAAAAAAGATACATAAAATAACTCTTAATCCCTTAAACGAGAAATGAGACCTATCTGTTTAACGGAAAAGCTCCGGTTCAAGTAATAGGCTGAAGAATACACAGCAAATCGTCGCCCCCGAGACAGCAGACTACCTACATACCTACATAAATGCATGTTCTTTCTTTCTTTCCTTTACATATCTAACCTAGGTAGTTTTACCTGACTTTTCGATGGCAACATTGATTCTCTCGCGTTAAACAAAAGTACCTAACCTAGTTATTTACCTGGCCACTGTACCTACCTAGTTTAGGTGCCTACTAGATAGGTAGATTAGGTTGAGTACATGACAGCGCCGAAAAAGAACGATAGTTCCACAGTTGAAGTCTTCCCCCCCCCTACCGTACGACAAGTCTCAGTCGAAAAAGAATAAGCCTGCCTGCTAATCTAAGAGGCCTCCCTAGAGCTAGAGAGAGATATTAGATGAAATTGAGCCCAGTGAGTGAGTGAGGGAAAAGGCATTGGCTCTTTTTTCATTTCTCACTCACTGCCAACCTTGAAATAGCTAGCCATCTGACTCGATTCATCAAACTCTCTCTCTACTTCTACTTCCTCTCAACCCCTCCAATCCCCTTCCCCTCTATTCTTTCACTCTCTCGGTCTCTCTCTCACACACATACACATACTACATGCTTCAACCATACCGGAGGAGGCGAAAAAGACCAACAAACAATCCAACCTACCGGAGAGGAAAGAGGGGACCCCGGGACCCCTGGGGCCCCCTTTTAAGCGAGGTATATGTATGTATGTATGTATGTATGTGTGTATGTACTATAGTTAGTATTTTATGTACCTACGATGTGGCATTATTGTTGGCCCGCCCAAAAAAACAATCCCAAGCCCACAAATAAGATGGAGCCAAGATCGTGAGTTGGGCGGCGCGCGTGGTAAGGCAAGGTATGGATATGTTTAGATAGGCTAAGGTACCTTAGGTAGTTAGTTTAAATCTCTCTCTCTCTCTTTCTCTCTATCCCGTTGAAACCCCATTCTAGGCGATCGATCTATCTCTCTCCATCGTATGACGACTCGATAAGAATATTACATGCCCCCTTCATATGTCTACCTAGGCGTATTATATCTTACCTGCCTACATGCTCGTTTCTTGCTTCTTTATATTGTATTACCTACCCCCATCCATCCAGCCTAGCCCAGCCTAGCCCTCCTCTCTCTCCCCCCCACACACACCCCCTAACCTCGGGAACGGAGAAATTTCAAGTTGAACAGGTACCTAAGAGCTAGCCAGCCAGTCAGCCAGGGGCGGGATCGAATCGAAAGAAAGAAAGACCCTGTGAAATATAACCGGGGAAAGGAACCTTGAAAGTTCCAAGAGGGCAGATCAACTCGGTAAAGGTAGGGCAATCTACCTACCTACCTACCTACCTAAGGTATGTTCAACATGATATATTGTGTGGTCCCCTAATCCAATCATGCCTACCTTGGAACCCCCCCTGCCCTTTTTTCTTTCTTTATTTGGTTTCCGGTAGCCGGCGGTAGGTAGGTAGGTAGGTAGGTAGGTACCTAGGCAGGCAAAAGAGCTAACGCAGGCATGGGGCGGGAAGGAAAAGAAGATCTTCTCAACGGCGTGGGAGGAAGCGTGATACACCTACATATATACCTACCTACATACACGCATACAAGTATACTTACATACCTATATACTTGTCTATAGATAGTACTTACTTACATACACAAGGTACCTACCTGTCTACTGACCACTAACCAAGACAAAGTGGCTCACTGCCTCAACTTCTGTCTCTTGCATCTTCCTTCGTCTTTCCTTTACGAGCGCCACGCCAGCCCCTTTTTTTTAACTTACTTTTCCTTGGAAAGGCGGAAGGCGGAAGGCGGAAGGTCGAAGGGGCGAAGGGAAACATGCCTACCTACATCTGGCCTACCTAGGTTGGAACGTTTTATGATTTCCCTTCTCACTCTCTTACTTTCAGTCCCCCTTTTTCGTATTTCTTCATACATGCCCCCCCATGTCTTCCATGCCTCCGTTTCCTCTCTCTCTCTCTCCTTCCACCCCACCCCCCCTTGCAATGCAACTTACAAGACCAACGGTGTAACATGACAGTCATGTAGGCGTATAGACATCATATAAATGAATGAACTGAGCATGAAAGCGCATCGATGACGATGCAGCTGATGTGTCCTGGGCCAGGTATGTATATATGTACGTGGGTAAGTAGGCAGGCAGGTATACCTAAGTAGGTATGTATATATATGTAAGTTCGAATCATACCGCCATTCAACTGACAAGCTGAATATGCGGAACTAACTGCGTCTTCCTCGACAAGGCAGCCACCTAGAATCAAGCATGCTCAGGCATATACATAGGTACATACATATGTACCTAGGTTAGGTTGGTAGGTATGTGTGTGTGTGTGTGTGTGTATGTATGATATGTACAAATAGACCCTGGATGATCGACGTGGCCCACTAGGGTAGGACATGAGACGAAAGATACAAAAAGATTAACAAAAAAAAAAAAAAAAAAGGGCTTGTCGCCGCTCGGGGACGTGCCTTACCGGCCCGAAACTTGTATCCGAACGTGGTAGGAACGAGCATGTGTGGGACACACGTACCTAATGCAGTGATTTCTTGGGACCGCCTAGGCTGGATAGACTAGGGATCGAAGATGGAGAGAGTGTGAGAGATTGTGGGGGTGCTTTGCTCAAAAGGTTAAAGGCCTAGAACTTATCCCATTAGCATTTTGCTGATCTACCAGCTCCTTTCTCAAGCGAGGAGCCGGACAATGCAACCGGTGTCGATACAGTGGAGAGCTATGAGTGCTACGCGTCACATGCAGCCCCGAGAGCAACGACATGGTTGCTGACCGGTGACATTGGGCTGCTTAGCCATAAGCATGTAGGTATATATATACTTACCTACCTAGGTATGTAAAAGGATTGAAATATGCTTGGGTCTCCGCTATTCGGTGCTTTGGTGGTAGCTGGAGGTATGTTTGCTTGCATAGGCTGGTAACTACCACCGACCGTATGAATCACGATGTATTCCGGGAAGTGCCAGGAGGGTGTGCGCTAGGACCCATGCTTCTCCATGCATACACCTTGCTATGAATTTAATAAAAGCTGAGGGACACTTACACGAACTTTTACCTTTTGTTCTCTCTGGCCTACTCGGATCTCAAGCCGTTGTCAGGGGTATGTGGCATTGGTCTGTAATATTTGGGCCTGGACACGGTAGAATGTCGACGATATCCTGATTCACGCACCCAAATAAGCTCGCGATAGCATCAAACCGTCGATTGGTGGAAGGCCATAACCGTCAAATATGATAGAAATCCGGAATGGACGGGTATGCCGCTTACTTTCCGAATTCTGTCGCCTGGATGTTAGAAAAAAGTCCACATTGAAGTGTCTCACCACTATAACTTTTGGATCTAGATGGTGAGGCTCTAGGAAAACCAATGATCGCGACCTTCGATATTACTGTACGACAACGTTCCAAAGAAAGAAGGACAAAAAGAGAAAGAAAATAAAAACCCTCGGATATTCCCCGAACCAATGACACGATGCTGTACGTGTGTTGCACCAACAATTACTCGGTACCTAGTATATAGTTTGCCTAAACATTCCAAGAGGCTGGAAGCGAATCAGGAGGCATTCTCTTGGTAACAATGTACGCTATATCCGAGTAGGTAAGTAACAAGTATTGACAAAGGATATCAAAAGAAGGCTTCAAGAAAGTATCGAAATTTTCATCTTTTTGCTAGTTGTCTTCCATCATGCTGGGTCGGGAGGTCATTCTCTCGACCAGCCACCCACACCGTGAGATTACCTCCACCATCGTCTCATTCAAATAAATCCACATCGTAAATACATTTCGACAGATTGCCCGCCGCCTGTAGCCATAGCTACAGTGTCTCCTAATCTCAAGACGGTAGTCTATGGTCTAATCTGGGGTAATTGACCGAAAACTTCCACCAAATCCAATATATGTAGCCATAGGCTTACATGCCAACATCTTGCCCAACAAAGACTACCATTAGGCTATTATGCGACGCTAGAAATCCAGTCCGTAGCGACTGTACTGAGAGAAGCCTAGTGGGAAGCCAATGGAGAGCGGCAGGATATAGAGCAACTGAAAACCTACCCACCCAAAACCGTACGCCAAACATCGCAAAGAAAGAAGAATTCAAAGTCAAGCAATATATGGAAATAGCGAGCCGCGAAACAACGCTATATCGTAATTTTTATATACGGTGAGATGATTATCGTATGGGACTGACCACATGATTAACTTATGTGTGATATAGTAGAGAAATGCCATCACATTTTGGTCTCATCCCTTAAGCGGCTTTTAGAGCCCTGCTGATTGAGCATCACGTTGCCCATAAACATAGCACTTTCTCTTCTCTTGCCTCTGTTATATGATTGGTCATACGTTGAGGAATTGTCGCCGTAATCTTGTTCATACGAGGGTCCGTAATGTGGGCGATCATATCCTGGCTGCCTTGCGTTGGACTCGTAACCTTGAGGGATGGGGAATGCATTTTCATAAGCAGGACGGAGAGAAGCCTGTGAACTCGATTGGGCCATATACTGCGGCTCGTAACTCTGGCGAGGTGGGGGCGTTGCCGTTGGGCGAAGACCGCTTGAAACAAGTGGTGGGGTAGGAGACGACCGCTGCTGCCCCTGTTCCATGAGCCGTTGCCTATGGGGCGAGTCCGTAGTAGTAGATGGCCGACGCGGTTGGGCTTCCGGTGGTCCATGCGAATCCGTGTCGGACACTGGAGACGGAAGCTCGTAATCTTCCGGATCGATTCCAAAGATACCCTCATAGTTCTGCAATAACACAGCGAACACCGGAGCCGGGATATTCAGCGTCGGGGAGAAAACGATTCCGACGTTACGCACCGTCATCTTGTTCGAATCTGCGTGCTTGATTATCTTGATTAAGAAGGCAACAAGATACTTCAATAACGTCTCATTAGCCAGTGGTAGCTGTTGCACCAGTTGTGCCAAAGCGGCGATTTTCTCCTCCGGATCTAATCCCGCTGTCACGGCGACAAACCTGTTGTGTAAGGGTCCAGTAAGTATAGTCGATGGAAGCTCGCGAAGGTAAAGTTTTAATAGAGAAGCAACAACATGGATATCGTAATAGGTGCTGTCTGTCAGGATATTGACGTCGCCTTCGGTATTGAAACGCTCTCGTAGCTGCTTGATCACCACACTAGAACCACTAAGTCGGAATATTCCCTCTTCCATGATTGCATTCTTTGCATCAAGATATTGGATACATCGGTATACGACCGCTGGAAGAGGCACATTGATATCAACGGGCCCATTGAATCTTACAGCGTCGGCGAGTGGAGCTCCAAATACTTGTCGAACCGGACCCCGGAATTCAGATTGAGTCGGGGGAACGCTGCCATTATTAGAACCGTACACGGGGTCTTGGTCATCAGTCGAAGATCTAGTTCTCGGACCGAAGCCAAAGAAACTGCGCTTTCTTTGCTTCTTTTCTTCGATGGAAGGACCAGGCGGAGCCAGACTAGATTTGGCGCCCCATGATGCTGAATCGGGGATCAACTGCGGGTCTTTTGGAGCAGAGATAGTATAAGTCGGGCCGTTCATTCTCTCGGAGGGTTCTGGGGTTCCCGTTTTGTAATGTTGAGGAGCACCTTCTGGAATGCTACCTGGCTTGGCTGAGCCGTAGCTCATTCCGATAAGCCCCTCCTGACTATTGTTGCGCTGTCCTTGAACCCTCCCACTTCCACTTCCACTTCCACTACCACTACCACCACTCCCCTTTTTCCTCCCGTTTACATTGCTGGGATTGGTGCTGCTTCCAGACTGTATTCTGTCATTACCCGCTGCTTCCTCCTCGTTGGGATCCTTATAATCGATCCAGCGAAGAAGAGCATCAACCCACTGGTCACGCTCCAAATCACTCTCGGCGCACAGAACATGTTTCACAAGGCTACTGGTATCCTTCTTCTTCGGTTCCAAAACCAAGAATGCATGGCGGTATTGGTTATCTGACTCCTCGCCATTCGCACTACCTCCAGGGGACCCATCGTTAGTTTGTTGTGATTGTTTCCCGATTTGCGCATTTTGAAGCTTGATAGTCCCCATATGAGCTCCACCAGGTGCCTCATAGTATTTCAAATGAGGGCCATCAAGAACGAAGAATCGAGCTTTCCATCCACCAAAGTTTTTGCCCCTTTTGGTCAAATATCCATTTTTGAAAGGCCTACCTCCAGGGCCTTTCTTCTGCGTTATCCCTTCGTTGCTTGATTCGTTGGGAGCTGAAGAATCGTCAACATTAGGTCGCAGCGTGTTGGTTGATAGATATTTGCAAAGTTCCAAAGCAATTGGGGTATCGAGGGGCGTATTTAGTAATTCGTCGAGATACTGGTCCAATATAGTACGACGGGCATCTAATTTAGCGGGCGAGTGGCCGCTGAAGAGCGACCTGTCTGGTGTTTTAGCAGTAAAACTTGCGCATTGTTTCATCCTTTGGTCAAGTTTGGCGAGAGAAGTGGTATCCTTCTCTACTCGCCATAGCTCAACTCCCTCGGCCCGCGAAATGATAGCCAATGTAAAAACAGGATCCTCCTCCAACTGTGTCAACGATATAAGGCTCGCTCTCGAAGGCTTCATGCGAGACGACGCAACCTTAACCTCGACGGACGGAATAGCATTTGGCGGTAATAAAAGATCTGGATACTCCTCAGTAACGAATCCTTTATAAATCCTGGATTTTTCGGTGGGACTATCACGAGTAGCTGATTGGTTAGGTGGCGTTGAGTCCAATGTCTGTTTACGTTCCGAGCCCGGAGGACTAGATATCATATTAGGTGGCATCGGGATAGGTTGCCGAGGAGCTCGTGGAGAAAGAGGTGCGGCCATTCCTATACTTCGCGGAGACATCGGAGGCGAGTTCATGGGAGACTTCATTGGCATTGGTCTCGGACTCGCAGGTAGGCCAGGACTCAACATTGGCGGAGCCAAAATATAACGGCCATCGTTGCTACCATTCAACACACCAGCCAGTGATGCAGGAATATTGTCTGGTGCTAACATGTGTTGAACGGGGTTCATCTGGGGACTGACTCGTGATTCAATTTGAGGGCTCATTTCCTGAGTAACCGGCGTTCCTTTTTGACTACCCTTCTTGCTCTTCTTGGATAGGCTGCGGGCTTCCGCCTCCTTCTGCGCAAGGATCTCTCTTTCTCGGTCATCTTCCTCTCTGGTTTTTCTCCGACCGCGTTTCTCGATGACAGGCAGCTCGTCAACTTCTAGCAAGGAATCATAATCTGAGTCGGAATCATTATCATCTTCTGGGGATATCGAAGCAAGAACATTCGAGTCCTTTTTCAACTGTAAGGGAGCAGGTGGAGGTTTTCGTGGCGGTGGGGCAGACGGTGGCGGAAATTGGGAAATACCTTGGTCGACAAGTGGCGTGGCTTCAATAACTGACACGGCCGGTGTGTTGGTTGTCGGCGGTTTAGGTGGTGGCATCCTAGGGGGGTCACTCGGTAGACTTCGAGATGGGGGAAGATTGAGATTAATGGGCAACTCTTTCGATGTGTCGGACGTTTTCTTGGCCTCGTCTTCTGCGCGGTCCTCTTCTTCGCGGTCAAAGTTGTCTAGCGCGTGTTCGGATGGCTTTGGCATCGCATGTGCCGGGTCCAAGAGTTCACCAACTGCTGACGGTAAAACATTGGTGAGTTGGTCGGCCGGGGGGGTAATCGGATAGGGCGCTAGAGACACGTCTATAGGAGAGTGTTTGACGCTATCCGAATCTAGATTTGATGGCGATGCTGGATCATCGACATGTTGTTCTCTGGGCACATTTACGTCAACTCTGGGAACAGTTGGTACACTCGACCGTACGATGTCAAGTTTTAATTGCTCGTCATGCGCGGCCATTACATCCTTCAATTTCTTTCTGTACTTCTCCTTATCCTTCAGAGCGCGCTCGAGATCTTTGTTCAGACCCAGAATCATCGCCCTTTGTTTATCGACGAGTCGCCATAATTGAGCATTCTGCTGAGACTGGGACTGCTTCTCCTTTAATAGATAATGTATGACGGCTTCAGGACTGCCAGCTGCCCTAACCAAGTTAGCGATATCCGCGGCTCCAGTCTGTATATCCTGTAAGCCTTGGTGCGAATGAGTCCTTGTAGAGATAGCGGATATGGCAGAGTCAATCGATGACGTTCGGGCAGTGCCAGAAGGGACGTCGGGCTTAGATATTGAGTTGCTCGCCATGTTGGACAGGCTCGCAACTGTTGAGCCTACAGGAGGCTTTAAAGTTCCGGCTGGATCGGAGACGCTCCGAATGTCATTCGAAGAATGGGATTCGAGCCGTGTCCTGAAATGCGCAAATATTGTTAGATTGGGGGACTTCTCTAGGAGAATAGATATTAAATGCAAATTGTATGAAGCCGATGAGTAGATTTTGGTAAATTGCACGAACCTAGTAGTGGCAAACGTAGGTGAAATTGGAGAAAGATCGCCCTTGCGAGTAGCAGATTCGGGAGCACGAAAGTCCGTCGTTTGACCGTTTACAGGCGAAAGATGTGGCGATAGTCCTCGCGATACCACTGAGGCAGTTGATAATGACTCGTGGATGGGCCTGGGGAAAGTTGACCGAGATGGGCTTGCGCTGGAAGGCGGAGACACGACTGTAGTCGTTTGTAGAGGGCTGGGAGCTGGTGGTTTACGCTGTCTAGTGACAAGTGGAGATTCTAAGTCAGCGCAAGTGTTAAGACGTGCAGGACGGGTCACAGGGCATTTTTAGACGTGCGGTCTAGAATATGTCTCGCAATAAGGGATCCAGCAAGGGGGGGTGTACATTAAAGGAAAAGGGAAGGGGGAAAAGAGTCAGCTCCACCTAACATTCCATAATATTTTACAATAATGATAGACAAAGAGGTCCAAATAGGCAGATATGTGGGCAAGTAATGAGTAGTGAACTACACAGGACTGACTAAAGAAAAAGGTATTGGTGGGTGTGTCACTCACTTTGTCCCAGTATTTGTTATGGATAATGACGGCGGGGGGCTCGGGCTCGTGTCAGCAGTAGGGTAGTTGATGGCGGCCCTACCAATTGTTGGACTATCCTCAAGAAAGTGAGAATCAGGTGGGTTTTCGCTACACTGAAGCGATAGATGCGACATGGTCCACAATGCGGAGGTGTTGACCGTAATAGTGTATGTATGTATGTATGTCGTTGCTCCCAAGGAAGGCCCTAAAGCCAATCAGTGTCACGAGCTCTGGTCTAGGTCAGAGCTTCTCATTCGAGACGCCTGGATGTCCCTGATTGACGCCGCATAGAATTTGACAGGGTTTGAGAGCGAGACGATTGAGACAACTTGCTTAAGCGCGTTCCGATACGTCTCCAAGCTTGTGTAGTATTGTACATGCGATAAAATCCTGGTTCAATGTTTGTATCACAATCCGAATTGGAACAACGTTGAATATGTACGTGTATGTACGATTACCAAGTATGAAAGAAGTCAATGCCAAAGTAAACCCTAGAAATTAAAGCAAGTATGTAAATAAAAGGGGAAAACAAAACTTGAAAACAATTCAGGATGAACCATTCAAGGGTCAATAGGGGTTAGAGTCTCAATATCCAAATTTTCAACTAAAAATTCGTAAAAAGCCCGCCGAGATGAGACGGTTGCATTTTCCAGAAGAGCCTTGCCCGTTGTAACTGGCAAGATTTCCAGATACGCCCCCACAAACCCAAAACCCCAAAACTTAAGAATACATCCATGGGTGCACTAGAAGGAGCCCGTAGCGCTTAAACTTGGCCCAAGTGCCTCTTAACTACATATATATGTACTTGAAATTTGAATTTCTTCAATGATGAAGCTGGTGCAGGTACTTTGCTAATTAGAGTTCAACGTCGCTATGAAAGCCTAGTACCTAGTGTGTAACAAACAGGCATACACCCAAGTAATTGATTTGAAGATGCATGTGTATGTACACATTGAATACAATCAATACAGAGTACTACTAAGGTAGTACCTACCTCATATATGTAGGTACCTATAAAAAGGCACCCACGTGGATAACCTCAAATTACTTATTTGATACATATCGTCGTATGTACCTACATGCCATTAATCTTACCGCCTCATAGGCTACTGTGTAATATCATTGATGTATGTGATCTAATAGGTACATGATCTATTAGGTACATAAGTACTAGCATAGTAGGTAGGTATGAATACCTATAAAAAAGCTGATCTCCTATTTATGTAGTTATTTACTACTAGTACACATCTATAAATTAAGCAATTGTACCTGCATCCAAAACACTTGACCAAGCATGACTTACATGTACGTAGTAGTTGTATGCATCGTGGATGTGTGTCTGTCTGTACAGTTCCGTGATAGGTACATATGTAGGTAGGCGAATTCTTTATGAACCTTCTCGCCTTATTTAACTTAAGGATCCACGGCTGCATGTCTCTGCTCGGGTGAAGATCCTTCTGGACCCTGGACACTAGAACCTTCATTAAAGTGTTGCGCTGTGATCCCTGCTTGAACCCTGAGATTTCTTTTTAGGGCATTCCAATTACTACTATGTATGTAGCTAATGTATTGTACTGCCGCACTACACATAGTTACATGTACATACATATTCAAAACTCTCAGGACCGTTCGTCTCACAAACTCCCAGAGCGTACAAAAACCAAAGCTTCCTTGCCTTGGTTGCGCCTTAGCTACCCCAGGTTTCGAGGGTAAGTGCAGATTCACCAAATCGGGATGTGACATTTCAACAGATTCCTGGATTCCAAACACAGAATGGCCAACACAGTTAACGCGGTTAGAGCTCAGGCACTTTGATGATCTTGACTTTGCTTTTTCTTTCCTAACAACGTACATGCTAATTACATGCTAGATACAATGTAGGTAAGCGTCGGCAGTAAGTGAATATCCTAGGCGTAATTGATGCTTGATCAAGTGGGCATTCCAAGTATGTACATGTCCATAGATGGAATATGTATGTATTAGGTATAACTCTACACCGTAACACCCGCAGTGGATATTGATAATGTATCATGCAGGAGGTTGAGAAAAAAAGGCGGGGAGGTTTCTGCAGGAACATATGTAATATCCAGTCGCCAATAAATTATAAGTCACCTTCTCTAGTTGAGATTGGACTAGCCGCGCTTAGGTACTAATATCATCGACGTGCATCGGGTACCTGCCTATGTATACTACATGAGTATACTATTTAGAAAGAGTATTGCAGGTTCAAGTTCTTTTTTTATCATATTGATATATTCTACAAATCTGAAAGATATAACATTGAGTTCGGTGCTATCAGTATCCTGAGTAGCTTAGGATGACTTATTAGGTATGTTACAATGGAACGAGTTCTATAAGACATCAAAAGAATGATATTATTACAGGTATCCTACTAGTTAGGTGATCTTCGAAAGTTTCTGCCATACTATGTATTTTTGCCTCAACACCGTACCATCTCTCATCTTGGCCAAACTATTTAAACCAATCATATCAAAGAATCGCTATATGACATCTTCGAAGGTGAGTTGGCGGTGTGATGAGAAAAGCACCGAAGCAACCCATACATAATAGATTAGAATAGGTAATATAGCGTGATGTGGCGTTCTAGAATTGGATCATGGTCGATTGGAACCCAACGTATTAGATGATGTTCAACGCCAGTCCCATTCACAGGATCGCGAATCTCGATTAGGCATACTATACGTGCCGTACGTAATGTACGTGTTCCTTAGGTGCCGTTGTGGGAAGAAGCCAAGTTTCGGTAGCCTATCAGCCTAGTGTGAGAAGAGCCACATTTCCTCTTCTCGGCTCTTGCAGTGATTCCCCTTACTTAAATTCCGGCACGCGTGGCTGCTTTGACATTCTTGCCCCGACTCCAAGCCTCTCCCGGCGCCACGGCGTGGAAGGCGGGAAATGCGGTGCCGTCAGCCCTTCATTGGGCACACGAACATCTGCTCTGCCTCTCTGTACCACAATAAGACGTTTGATGTGCAACACATCTGTCGCCTTCAGCGGCGCAACGAAGGGAAATTGGCAGGTGGCGTCGGAATACACATCTCAAAATCATATGACTTTGAAAAGCCATAGCAGTACCTAGATATGTAATACGCCGAAGTTCGTCAGCTCGGAAGATTTGCTTCCTCTCGCAAGCTGTTATGGTGAAGCAGATCCGGACAACTGGGAACAACCGTGCGCACCCAAGATACAACCTTGGAAACATGTTGGATCTCTTGATTCTCTTCTAGCAGCTTCAATACCTATTCATGGAATACTCCTAATGCATATTCAGCAGGTGCCAAGTGTTGGAGGCAGATCCCCCGCCTCGCTGGCTATCCTGCATACATACCTGCCTGTTGTGAATCACAAGTGTATTGATCTAAGGCTAGGGTAGGTAGATACCGAGGTATGCAACTATATGCATCAAGGAAAGGAGCGGATACTTCAAGTTTGAACCTCGATATTCTTAGATCTCAAAACATCTTCATGATACACAACAGTACCAAGTACAGTGGGAACCAAATGGTTCGATTATGACGCTACATATTAATAGTAATAGGCGCCTCACGGAGGTTATCTCCTCGCAATGACGATTCTGGGTGGTCCGTATCTCGTGATTGCATTACACAGTACATATAGATAGGTAGGTGCATTGCATAGTACATATGTAGTACGGTGTACCAGTATTACGCTGCATAGTAGAGGTCAAGCACGGGAACCTTGGAAGGTTGGAACATTTGAAGTGTGCATTAAGGATACAGCGGTCCTTTTTAGGAGAATTCCCGTAGTTTCGCATCAGTTTCACTCGAAAACCAATGTAGAAAACCGGCACGTTGGTCCGTGCTGCACATGGGGTATCCTAGTCTAGACAATACAAGGGTCAGGGGCTTTAAGCACCTAACTAACCTAGTACCCTATTAACTAACCTTCCAGCTTTAGTTTTCACGCACTCCCAATTAGTGTAGATTTTCTTCATTGCACATGTGCCTCTTTATTAACCAACCGTGTTACATTAGCACGATCCTTTCAATGACACGAAAAAGTAATAATGCTAAACACCGATAGCAATCGCCAGTCGTTATGCCAAAGACCAACATTTACAAGGAGCCTTTCTTAATTACACGACGAGAAGACCAAGACAGTAATGTTGAGATTTGTATCTGACTTGCAGGTTGGTAAGGCCAAAAGCCTCAGTTGTATATACTACCTAGTATCTAACCTCAGCTCTTCGACCTCGAATACCAAATGCCGAGTGTCAAGTGTTCTAATGAAAGAAGAAGAGATCGACTCCACAAATGAGACCTCGTATCCCAGTTGGGATACCAATTTCCTGCCTAGCTAATAAGAAATATCTATAGATCCAAAAAAAAATGACGGATTTGCTTTTTTTCTAGGAATGTAAAAGATACGCTACCATGGCAGCGTGGTTATGTATTCCGCATAACTGACAAGATACCTGAAAATAAAGGAAGATGTGTAGACGTTTAGTACACCCAAAGAACCAAGATAATCACACTCCATTTTTGCTTTTAAAAAGGGGGGGTTGGTTGGAGGCCATCGTGTGCGACATTTCTGCCGCGTTCGAATAACTAGTTGTTTGCCTTAATCTTGCATCAGATCTTCCCGTTGACTCCGTTCCCGTTTGTGTATCCATTTCCGTTTGTATGGCCATTCGTGTGGCCGTTCGTCTTGGTCTCGCTCACCAACCCTTCCGCAGCCAGGGCGATGAGTGGCCCGTACAAAGAGCCTTCCTTGATCGCGTCGTGGATGATGGATATCCAGCTACCAACAGTCTTCTTGTCCCGACCATTCAGCTTGTCAGCCTTGATGGTGGGGTGCTCGACGTAGCCCTGGTGGAACGGCACGCCAAGTTCATGACGAACGTATTCATACAAAACTTTCGCACCCTTGCCTAGAACCTTAGGGGTATGCGGCTCGGCACGGAAGGCGTCAAACGTCTTGTTCCACACGGCATACAATTCCTTGGAAGTCTCCTCTTTCCACTGAATCACATCCGCGATCTTGCCCTTGCTATAGTTGATGACGATAGGTATAGCCGAGCTCGCGAGAGACTCGCAACGCTCTGGGAGATCCTTCTTGTTTGATGATGACCATGAGGGGAATACGTGAGATGCTAGAGCCTTCTGGAGACCTTCCAACTCATCGGATGCCAGGCTGTCAGCAAACGATTTGGCAGTGATAGACGCAATCGTCTCCTTGGCCTTCTGTACAAAGGTCATGTGAAGTGCTCGAAGATCCACGGCCTGGCACCCGGCGTACATGTGAGCTGCGGCCATCAAGGTTAGAATATCGGTTGCGTGCTGACTCATACGCGCCGACGCCAACGCCATCGAGTTGACAGACTGGTTGTGCATCTCGGCAGCCTGGACGAATGGGCTCATGGGGCTGGCATAGTAAGCTAATTCGGCCATATAAGAAGCCATGTTGATCTCGACTCCCTTCATGGTAAAGGACAAGCTGGGGTTGTCCGCGGCGAGGTTGGCTGGCAATCCTCCACTGAGGGTCGGGTCGACCATCTCGGTCAACTGCGAGAAGAGCATCCTTCCGAACATCTGCAGCGACAGCCGCACTTTCTCCATGGCCGAGGTGACGCACGCCGCCTGGAAGTTCGCGCCATAGTGGATGTCAGTCGTTTCCACTTCGACGAGGGGGTTATCACAGGTAGAGTTGAGTTCTATGCTAATCTGCTGGTCCGCAAGTAGTAGATCCTCCAACTGGGGACCGATCCATTGCGGGGCGCTTCGAACCGAGTAACGATCCTGGACGAGATCCTCGGAGTTACGGTTCTTTGCCTCTTTCACATCACGCGCAAGGCCAGAATCGCTCATGAAGTAGTAGATGTTGCGGGCAACCTCAAGCTGGCCTGGGTGAGGCCGAATCTTAGCGATGAATGGGTTGAAGCTCTCTCTGCTCCCGTTTAGTCCCTAGATACGGAAGCCGTTAGCTATTAGAACCTTCGAGTCGAAATATGAAATATGTCCGCTATCTTACCTCTACAGCCAACCCGGTGAGAGCTTGGGTGAGTAATGCGAGTCGGTGGGCGCTAGTCATGACGATTGCACCGAGTGCTGCCGACGAAGATGTTCCATTAACCAAACCTAGACCTTCCTTCGGACCGAGCTTGATAGGCTTCAGGCCAGCTTCAGCTAGTGCCTGGGGTGCTGGAAGGACTTTCCCATCTCGTTCAATGAGAATGTCGGGGTTTCCTTCGATGCTGCCAGCGATGTAGGAAAGCGGCATGAGATCGCCAGAGCTAGAGACGGAGCCGCGTAGGGGTACCACGGGGTGCAAGTTATGCTTAAGCAAGTCTGTTATGGCCTTGAGAACAGGTAGCGAAACTGCGGAATGCCCTCGTAGGTTGCTGTTGCACCTAACTACGATAGCTCCCCTAACCCATGACGAGGGCATGGAGTTTTCGGGCTTGGAATCATCCTTAGAGCGTGAGAGGATACCGGATTGGGTCAGTTGCATCAAAGACGATTGCAAAGGCACGACTTGGTCGGTGCGCGTGTCTGCACTTCCCCCGAATCCTGTGTTGACACCTACTCTCCAGTCAGAATTCTGTTGTCGATTAACATCCTCGGGTTAGCTTACCATAGACATACCACCCCATCGTAAGGTAGTGTTGTAAGACATCTACGCTGTCTTCGATGGCTTTGATAACCTTCTGATCACTAGTGATCTTGGGTATGGATCCATGGCTAATGTCTTGTTAGTAACAAGGACAGACTTAAGATCTCCTTGAAACATACAGAGCGGTGGCTACTACATCTGAGATGTGTAGGTCCTGTCCGTTTATCTCATAAGTGCCGGCCTTGATGCGTTTCTGCAAGAGGTCCCACGACTCGCAGACCTTTGCGACGTGACAGCGTTCGACGGCCATTGTTGATAGGATATGAGGCTCAAGTGATGGAGTAGATAAATGCAGATAGTGCAGATTGTCGATGCTCTGAAGAGTTAGACACGCTGTATAGTGTGGCTATGCTGAGCTTTAAATATATGTTGACCGACAAAAAAAAGGGGATTCCGACAAAAAGAGTGCAAAGAAGCTGCATGTGACAAAGAACCAACTACACCAAACCAAGCTCGATTAATACTAGAAATCAGCTATTGCTTTTAGGAAAATTTCCTACCTACTAGCGTATCTACCTATCTAACTACTAGGTATTGACCTACAGGTTACCTTGAACCTGTCGCTGACCTTGCGGGTCGGATACACGCAGCAGGAGTTCACCTCATTCTCCTGCCGGTATACGGAGGGTACGGGACAAGGCAAACTCATGTACGCTTCCCATGATGAGAGTCTGGAACCTAACTTTCATTCACCGTGATGCATATTACCTCCCTACCTTGGTAGATAAGCTTCTCTCCCTTGCCAAGTCATCACTATCAGACATATCGGGTTGACCTACAAGGTTACATATGGAAGGGAGGAAGTATGTATAATCAATGTGATACATGGGTAATTATCCGGCAAAGAATCTAGGACTGTGTCACTGCAGAGGGATTCTGTGTGTGACTACGACCATATCGAGGAGTAGGCAGCTTAGATCTGAGAAACACCGTGCCATGCAGATTCAAAAAAGCTTATGAGCAATATGGATGGGGTGTGCAATCTATGACCCCGACGGTCCGTTAGTGAGAGCTCACAGCATATCAACTTTCACGGGATTCCCGTATTGCCCTATCCGATGGGTTTGGTTCATGATCTCCGTGTTACATTGCATCACTCGCGCATATAATCCTTACAGCTGTGACTCCTATAGAGTGTATTACGGGCTTTCCTACGACTGGTTCATTTTTCGAGGAAGGTGGTAAGATGTAAATTGCGTCGTAATCGGTAAAAAAAGGCCATCCCATCTACAACAAGCGGTATAGCTAGCAATTTTTGAGCCTCAGATGAACGAACCCCGGACACGATCGACTACCGGGATTGCTTACTGACATACCGGAGACGCACCGATACCGCCGGAGTCCTAGCTTCGTACCTACAGTGTGATATGTCGGTACCGTACCTACTTAGGGTACATTAACCCCTCATGATCTTCCTGGTAGATCACAGCGTTGATGTGAAGTTCAAGCTCAAGGCATTTCCTACTAGCAGTACCTCTACTCACAAAGATAACATGTAGTCACGTCATCAAAGAATGTTCCATGTGCGCTAAAGCCATGAGGCTTTGAGAGCCGCGTGGTGAATGTACCGTGTACGACCAAAGCAAATTCTTAGCTGAACAAGGAACCAGCTACAGTGCTTAATAGTTCTTCGCGTGTGGCTTTGTAGTCGGGAATCCCGATAATTAGGATAGCCCGAGCTTTTGGTCCTGGACCTTTGTTCTGGGCGATCGTCTCGAGTTACCTGAAAGACTCATTCTCATTGCATTCTTCGCCAGGGGTCCACCAGGAAGCTTTTACAAAAGGGGATGTAGGGCTACGCATGTGAAAGAACAAAGGCGAGATGGTATCCAATCGCAGCCCCCCTTAGAGAGCTGACTTGAAAGATGCGTTGCAACTCAAGGTTTGAGATGACAATGCGCCATCTCATTCAGGGGTTGATAAGGGTGGAATACACCATTTACCTTTTCCATCACCTCCTTAAAGACCGGGGTCCACTCTCATCACTCGGAAGTTACCGAACCCGGGGACCCCAAAGACTTATACACTTTGATGGGTGGCGGTATTATATCGAAAACTTCAGCAACCTTTAGATAGCATACATCATACATAGGTGCCTACAATGCCGACTGAAAAAGAGGACCCATTCTCTTAATCCCTCAAGTTGACCTCCCTCAAAGGTTCTCTAGTGTCTCTTAGTGTTCATTCCAAAGTCAATCGCCGACTTCTTATCTTCATCTACGGGACCGATTTCCACTATGTGGTCTTTCATGGTGGTCAGATTAGGTACCTAGTAGGTATCTTGGTATATACCCCGATACCCAATCATACTCACAGATAAGTGCCGACGCATAGAAGGAATCAGTGCAACGACATCTACATAAAGATATTATGGTCCCCAGCGGTGACTCCACCATCGTTGGATTATCAAGCTTCTTATTCTGCGTCAGCGACTACCTAATGGGTAGGCGACCTAGTAAGCATGCAAGGCACGTACATGTAGGAGGAATATGGTTCATGGAGACCTGTAAGTAGTTGTAGTTCAACATCATATAACAAGGTGTAAGCGGGATGACTTATCCACCGCAGTGCTAATTGGTCACGAGAGGTTACATTTTCGAGTATGGAAGCTTACCTAGGGAACTGGATATGTGCTCCCTTTTATGCAGGTAACATCGCGTATGCATGCCGGGGCGGGGCGGAACAGGACGACGGGTAGTCTCTAGGTTAGGTATGCATGTGAAATGCGGGAGGCAGCACACACGCAAATGTAACCTATCTAGGCAAACGATGTAGGTTAGGAGAATCTCGCATGACTAATCTTACTATACTTCGGAAGAGAGCTTTGGTGGGTAATAGTCCTATATTAGGGGGACGTCGCACACTTGACAATCGTATAAGACTCTGTTACGACTTGAGCGTTGACTTCAGGCTTTATCAATAGACGCATCATAACCAGTATGCTTGTAACATATATTGACCGAACACAATGTATCGGTCCCATTCCTCATAGATAATTCTTGGCTTTTTTATATCCTTTTTACCATTATTGGCTCTAGTTGCCATTGTAATCATTGTGTTACATCGTCACTTGATTTTCAACTACCCGGTTACATGGGACTGTATGCTATCAAACACAATAAGCTACTATATCGTATTTTTAAACAATAGTTCCTTTAATCTGCCAGGTATAAGTATTAGTGTTGCAGGATAACTGCAACCAAGTAGAGGAAGATGAAAGGAAGAAAGCCTGCTTTGTTCCGGACTACACTGGCGGAGTGCCAATATATGGCCAAGTGGAGCCTATTGTGTCTCAGGCACCTGCAACAATTAGACATATTATGAGATAGTACTATGTATGAGCAAACAACGAATACGATTATAAGTACCCGAAAGAGTATCACGTGAGCACAAGCCCACGTGACCGTCTTGTAAATCACCTGATTTTGCTCTAATACATTAGACTTACAGTGTGGCAGCCATGCTAACCACTGACTAGTGCGTGTATGGATATAACTAGGTTAAGGATACTTCGGTTAAGGTAGGTATGTATATTCCCTTATATTCCCTGGAGTTCCCGGTTGTCGACTCTCTGATTAGTAAGACACCGAACCCCCTAAAATCGATTGCTTACTAATAACCCCTATTTCTTCTGACTCTTTATTAGACCGGGACTTTGCTGAATCTATTCGGGCTGACAATATAGTCGGTAGAGTTTAAAGGCTATTTTACTCAGTCTATTTCAGGAAAACCTTTTGCGTTGATTGACTTTGGCGTGATGAAGAAACTAAAATGCCTCCTAAGAGCCTGAAGTGTCAATGAGTCATGTCACAAGGGGGAACCTAGCATCTCCCCAAAGACTGTGGAAGCTACATATACATGCAAGATGTCTTTCTTTGTTTTATCTAGCCCTCTATGCAGTCCCCAGGTAACCCCTTGATGGGTTGAAATAACAATATCGCGGTGATAACTATGCGGCGAAAGGAAAACAACGATGTTGTTAAGGAGGAAAGGGTCTTCGTGTAAATGAGTTCACGACAAATACCATCAACAATCTGTTCCAGGATCAAGGTCCTTTCGTGGTGAAGTGACTCCACCATTGACTAGATCTCGACCCTAATCTAATGAAATCCTGCCGTTTGACTCACCTACCTCGAGGAACATGATGGGACCAATGCTTGATGTACACATTGAATTGCACAGAGACATTCTTTAAGAGGGTTCATAAGTTAGTCTCACTGGTACCTAGTCCTTTAACCGTGAGGAAACTCTCGGATATTCCAATGCTATTCTTATATTTCCAGAGGTAAAGCTACACATCCCAGAATCTAGTTGAGGCCTAGATATATCTAATGCCTTATAGATAAACTTCCAAGGTCTACCCCACACATCCTGTCGTGTGACATCGCAGGGAGGCATACATGATATCTCGGGACGGCAATCTCTAAAGCAATGCTCAAATATATGCGTAAGAGTGGCATAGATAGCTTAAAGCTGACGCACATCTATTTAGTCAATATGTGTATCCGACATATGAAATAGAAGGAAGAAAATAACGAAGCAAGTTGATCCCAGAGGTTCTTACACCTAACATTTTACGCATGTAGTGGCTATGCCTTCACATAAACTAGGCAGCTAAATAACCAAACTTGAAGATCGCTTCATATGGCTGTACTAACACGCTACAGAGCCAAGGCTAGCATTAGAAGAACAGCGGACCTAGGCCAATAGGCAGCTTTGAAAAACGATCCAACCTATCATATATGATCCCCCAGACAAGCTTTTGGTGCCTATAGCTGAGCCAGTTTTCGGTTGGGAGCTAAAGTGCCATGGCAATCTGGTCTCCAGCAACCCGGCCTTATTCGGACTTAAGGTGTAGCATGACGATCATCCGCATTTCAGGGGTAGTTTAGCTGAACCTACTTGAGCTGTTCAATTCTGAGGTGTTGTTTCTACGAGCTTTTGCCTGCTTATGTTATGTGTAGTAGTTTATTGAAGCTTTAAAAGCAATTGACCTGATTGGTTCTTACAAAGTACATATTATGTAGTAACAAAGCATCCATGTATTGTATACGTCGTGCAGCACTTATGTATCAACAGACATGGGTGTCGGCAGTTTTAATTGGCATCATGTATACTAGGTATGGGGTTAATACTTTTCCCAACTTCTTAATGAGCTCTTCTTGATACCTAGACAACACTAACTGTAACGGTTATAGCTACATACTAAACTGCTGAACAATTTATAGAATATCGACATATGGAGGATTGTAAAAGATATGCCGTACGACGTAGTAGGTCGATAATGGGGAGACCCACAGCGCTATCGCTTTCGTTGAAGAAACTTCCTGAGTCGGGATCGCACAGACTTCAACAGCAGTTCAGAAAAGCATCTCGGGTCCGTTTATGCACAATGAATACCCACGTTAAAGTAGTACGCAAGTGAACATCTGGAGCAACTACCTAGTCGCTACCCAAGGGAGTTCTACAAAAATAACTGGAACAGCTGGTCAACGACTAATCATTGTATCACGATGCTAGAAATAGTGCCTACGCAACTTTACCTACGTAAACATAAGCCGTACGTCATATCATACCTACCTGTATGCACCTACCGGTTACCTGCCAGTTACCTATCTAGGTAGGTAGGTACCTATGCTCAATTATGCCCGGGACCTGAGCTCTCCGAATTGCAATTGTGTTAAAATCTTGCACGGGGGGTGGCACCTACGTAGCTTATATATAGCCGGTGAGTTAATGAGGTCGTATCGAGATCGGACGGTCGGAGATAGTCACAGCCCCTACTCAGGTATGACTTCACGCCCACAGAATCCGCGCCGCACGAAAACGCGATGCGGGCCATCCGATCATCCGACTGGTTACGGCCAAAACTACGCCGCTACAGCGAAGGCGCGAGTATAGTCCGAGGGAATTGAACGTTGTTAATTAGTTGGAATATAAGTTAATATATATATCCATACCTCTGAAGTAAAGAATGCATCCCGCGTCCATCAACCATTTATCTACCTAGGTACCTAGTAGATTCAAATCTTGTGATACATCGCATTCGACATGGCACCTCTCCTGGCGACCGGTCCGCTCAACTTGGCCCTCGTAGGCTGTACTCTTGTAAGTCTAAAGAGGAATCACTCAATACCGCCATTCAACTAACAAGACAATATCTTCAAGGCGATCGTATACTTTGTAGCCCTTTCCATTTACAATGTATTTTTACACCCTCTTCGATCGTTCCCAGGGCCATTCCTATGGAGAATGTCGCATATACCCAGGTCTCTCACATTAGTCAGGGGGAAACTGCCAATACACATGAAAAACCTGCATGCAAAATACGGCCCCGTAGTACGCATTTCCCCAAACGAGTTGGCCTTCAGCGACCCGCAAGCATGGAAGGACATCTACGGCCATCGCAGCAATGGCGAGCCCGAATTGGCCAAATACGAACTATTCTACCGGGTTGTCGACCACATACCGAGAAGTATCATCAATGCCTACCGCGACGAGCACGCCTTCCTGCGTCGCCAGATGGCCCACGGCTTCTCCGAGAGAGCTATGCAAGCCCAGGAGCCCATCATTGGGTCCTACGTTGATTTACTGATCTATCGGCTGCAAGAACGATGTGCCGACGGCGTGACAGCTCTGAACATGCGCGAGTGGCTGAATTACACGACCTTTGACGTTATCGGCGATCTGGGCTTCGGCTCTTCATTCAAGTGCCTGGAGGACTCCGACTACCATCCGTGGGTGAAGCTGGTGACTACTGCCAGCAGACAGAATGCCCTCCTAACCGCTCTAAGCAACGTGGGGCTTAAACTAGTTAAACGTGCCATTCTACGCCTGGGGAACCTCGCCGTGAAAGATAACTTGGCATTAGTGCGGGAGACACTGCTGAAGAGGATCGAGAACGGCATCGAGAGACCGGACTTCGTCGACGGCCTGATCAGGAAGAAGAAGGAAGGCGTGCTGGACCTCGGGCAATTGGTTTCCACCTCCAGCACTCTCATCATTGCCGGGAGCGAAACCACCGCGACCCTTCTCACTGGCGTCGTCTACTTGCTTACCACCAACCCCGACAAACTAAACCTCCTCACCAAGGAAGTCCGCTCTGCATTCACGAACGACGAAGAGATCACCCTAACGTCGGTCGGCAAACTGACATACATGCTGGCCTGTCTCAACGAGGCTCTTCGCCGCTACCCTCCGGTTCCCGCCGGGCTGCCGCGGCAGGCACCCAAGGGCGGCTGCTATATCATGGGGCAATATATACCCGAGGGCGTGAGTTTTTCCCCCATCCCTTGCTATGACGTGTGCGATGACTAAAGAAAGACCCCCCCCTTAGACCGTCGTCGCAGTCTGGCAACACGCCATCAACCACGACGAGAGATTCTGGACGAAGCCGTATACCTACGCGCCCGAGCGCTTCATGGGCGGTGCGGAATTCAAGAACGACCAGACCGACGCGATGCAGCCGTTCAGCGTCGGGCCGCGGAATTGCATTGGGCGCAAGTAAGTTCAAGCTCCTTTTCCCCCCCCTCTCCAATCGCTAGTATACCTAGGCATGCCGGATTCTAACGACAACTGTCTAGCCTGGCCTACGCGGAGATGCGCCTCATCCTGGCGAAGATAATCTACAACTTCGACATGACCATCGACGACGACAGCCGCGACTGGCTGCGCAACCAGCCGGCGTACAACTTATGGGACAAGCCGGCCCTGAACATCCACATGAAGCCTGTTCCGGCAGGAAAGCAAAGGTGAAGGAAGGAGGGCCTCGCTATCGGGAATTTCGAAAGCCCGCTTACCTACTAGGTAGGTTATGTATGTATGAGTGAGGCGGTGAGAAGCTAAAGTGACTAGTTTCTTTTTTCTCATGATGATCACGATGCTCTTTACCCTGTCGTGCGGGGAGGGGTCTGGGCTGGGTGCGGCGCAGCTGGATAAGGGGGATAGGTACTTTATTATGTGCTTTACATCTTAGGTCGGTAGGTATATAGGTATCCATAAGTACGTGGTTTTATTTATATACATGTATATGGCATTATTACTTTACTATTCATCGTACAGTTTCTATTCTACATTTCCTTTCTCTGTCCCCGGTACATGGTAGTAATTACGTAGTATTGATTGGCGGTTTGGATCCATTCAAGCAGCCAATATCCATGGATATTTTAGGTGCTTACCTACTGCATGTGCTAGGCACGGAGATAGTGTAGGTACTTAGCAGGCACAGCAGACGATCCCCATGCGATGGCGCTAATATTGTGAAGTATTTAGAGTGGGCCATTAAGGAGTACGATGATGGTGCCGCCCCCTTTTCCCCTAATAATTCAATAAACCTTTCCTAGCGTCCTCCCCATACCTAGCGACGCTGTTCTCAACCAAAATTCCCTACCTCCATCGTGCTTAAGAATTAAGAAGATGATACCTAGTATACAGATAGATAGAGATCTAAACTGGAGTTAGCTTAGTTGTTAAGCAACTCATATATTTCGGCAGTTACCACGGCACCTACCTGGCCCAAGATGTACCTAGCACCCATAGATCCACGTAAAATATATGATGAACTTCTCAGATCGCATATCGATATTCAGGGTGAGACTCCCTACCCGGCGCGCACGGGAGTTCGCCCGAATCGAGTTTCTTATTCAGCCCGACATAATACTGGCGCATCAGCAAACCGGCGACAACGAAAGTAGCCTGCGTGCACCCAACCGTGATCAACGCCGGGCGATAGACGGGCGCATCTTCGGCCCTGTACACCAGCGATGAAATGATGCCTGCTAAATTCATACCCATGTAGTTCAGGCCAAGCGAAACAGCGCGGCCCGTCGTGCTGGGCGTATTAGACGACAGCCACGTAGGCACCAGGTTGCTCGGGATGAAGGTGGCGCAGACGATGAGATAGGTCAGGAAGTAGCCGACTTGAGGCAGGCTTACTAGGTCTAGAGTACCTAGGAGGATCCAGGCAACTAGGGACATGACTATCGTACCACAGGCAAATGCCGCCCGCTGCTGATATCGATCGGAGAGCCAGCATATGGTGACCTGGAACACCGATGCCGCAAGATTGGGTCCCACGGTGTAGAGGTTGGCGGTTGTGGCATCCTTCGTGAGTCTTTTGATCATAACCTGTTCAGAATAAACGTATTAGTATCAAACCATTTCGAATCAGGGAAGCAAGGTCGGGACCATTGCTTGCTTGCAACCTACCGGGAGGAAGTTCGAGCTGCTAGCCACACCCACGCCGTACATGAGAGCCATGAAAGCGAAGGCCCAGGTTTGCCACTGCTTCAGCTGTTTGCGCGCCTCGTCCCAGCGGAACACCTTGTCCTGGTCCTGGGAATCCAGCTCGAGCCGATGCTGGGCGAGCCTGACGTCCTCTTCCGAATACCATCGCGACTCCGCAGGGCTGCGCGGGGCGAATATCCAGAGATATATGGCGACGAAAATCGTGATCGAGCCTTCGATCAGAAATAGGTATTGCCATCCCTGTGAATTTCATAGCTGTTAAAAGTCGTTCCGATAACTAAGTATCACCTGGTAGATGATTGTGAGATGCTTACGTGTAGCTTCCCCTGCCATTGGAAAACACTCCATGATATTAGGCCGGAGACGGCGCCCTGGTGGTTGCATCGTTAACTCAATATAATTCGTTAATACTTGCTGCGGGATCTTCCCACTTACGGCGATGAAGCCCATTTGGCCGATCCAGGACACCCGAAAGGCCATCTCCTTTCGGGTGTAGAATAAGGACAAGTAATAAACCTCGCAGGGTTTATCTAGTCTTGTTAGCATTCCATCAGTTGAGTCTTTGTATTTCTCCCCCCCCCCCCCCCCTTTTTTTTTTTTTAACTAGGTACTCATTCAACTTAAGAACCACCAATTTGAATTATCCATGAATATGAATCCTGTGAAATAGACAATAAAAATCCATGAGAGGAACAAATGTGAAGTTATAACGTACTAAGCTATTCGTTAGCTTTCAAGTTTCAAGAGATCGAGTTCACATCATAATACGTACCAGGCTGCCTCAATAGCACCCATGAATATCCTCGACGTCATGATGCCTCCAAAGTTCGTAGCGGCCGCGGCACCCATAGTGCAAGCGCCCCAGGCCAAGATGGTGAAAGGGATCACGTTGGCCGAGTTGTACTTCTTCGCCAGTATGGACCAGGGGATGTTGAAGAGCGCATAGGGGACGTAGAACAACACGAGCAAAAGCGAGTATTGGTTGCCCACGAGGCCCAGGTCATCCTCGAGCCCATCGGTTTTCGCGTTTCCCAGATTAGCGCGGTCGAGAGTGTGGGTGAAGTATGCAAGAGCTTTTTTTTTTTAAGGCATTCAAGTTAGAATTTCGGAGTTTTGAGAAAAAGGAAAGAAAGATAAGAATTAGAAAGCAACAAAAGAAAAAGAAAAAGAAAAAAAAAAGGCCGCGTCACGAGCGCGTCTCACCTAAGCCCGGCATCATGAGCAGATCCGTCTTCCTCACAAGTCGCTTCTCAGTTGCTGTGTCATTCTCAAGCGATGTCGCATCGTTTAGAGATACAGCCTGAGGCTGCTTCTCATCACGATCATCAATCGCCATGCTGTATAAATCGCAATGCGATGCGATGCGATTGATTGATTGATTTATGCTAGATTAACCTGAAATAAAAGAACAAGATGGAGGCTGAAGACCCTGGAGGTACCTCGGTATGTGATAGATAATAAGATAATATGGAAGGCTGTCTAATTAGTGACTTATTTTGTCTCCGGTATTGTTCACCTTAACTGAACTAAAAGAGTTCGGGACTCATTTTCGCAAGTGGTTCATGGCCTCGTGCGTGATTTTGGCCTATATGAATGAGTATTTGCGTGATCCTCAAGTTTCCTCTCCATGGATCTACGGTACGCGTATGGCCTTGATAAGTGATAGAAGAGATTAGAAAGATAGTGTAGGTAGGGTAGGATTGAGTTAGAATGAGGTTGAGGTTGGCTGCAGTGTGGTTCAAGTTAATACTATGTACTGAAGATTCCACTGCAGAAGCAGATAACAGTACGGCACAGTAACATGCATGGCGGTATTAGGCCCCGTTTGTTATTTGCCCTTTGCCTCTTTCTTGCTCTTGTCTACACTAGGTAGGATACTAGAGACACATGCTAGACTGTTAGTAGTAATCGGGCCTATCTGCTAACCCAGTTGGTAGATTTATGCGAGGATCCTGAACGTTGGAGCATAAAACCCGTTCCTCTTCCGTCGTCAGACATGGGGCCTCTGTAGCGCTAGAAACGCTTTAGAAGGAAGCAGTTCTTCGTTTTGATGGAGTCTTCGCTTATTCCCGTAAGCAGTTCCCGTAAGTGTAAGTGCTCTATGATCTATCCATCGGACTCCATCCACCATACTATGCGCCGTACATGCTAAGATTAGGTGCTAGATTAGTTAGCTAGTAGGGAGGCAGGCAAGTGTAGCCTCACCTTCTTCCAACTAATCCAAAGCCAAGACCATACTCCAACTATTAGTTATACTCCACAAGACTGAGCTGAGCTGTGACTCGCGAGTTGTTGTGATGCGATGCAGGGGTTACATTACGGTATGTATCCAAGTAACTATAACTTGTGTGTAATAGTTACATACAAGCCCAGATAAGACGATGTTATGCTGGTAGCGAGCAGTTGAAAGCACGACAAATCTATTCGCACGCCATAGGCCAGTTGCTACCAGGGACTACTGCAGGTTGGGATGGTGGCGATCCTTGAAGATATGCCTACTACTACTGCCTAGGTAAGTAGGTACACAGTAGGTCGGTCTTAGCTGGCACGCAAGACGCAAGTTCGGAGTCACAGTTCCTTGCGCTCGAGGATTGAAACCGGATACGATTCCCCATACTGAATTCCCCTCCACCACCCCCTCCCGCGACATCGCAAAGGGCAACGCAGAATCTTTGAAGCTACCCTGGGAAATATGGACGTCATTTATCCTTATCCTTATGACGTTTCAATCTCTATCATGCTTCCAGGAATCTCTGCCAGCTGGTTACGCGCAAAAGTTCCCTAGGCATCGGGGAAAGCGACGGATATGGCATCGAGTGCGCAAGGTGGCTTAAGCCCAGACACGCCTCCCAGAACAGCAGCAGCAGCAGCAGCAGCAACAACAGATAGTAGGCTAGATGATGTAGTAGAATCGGAGAGGAACTCCCTCATCATACATCCCCAAGCTTCGCGGCATAACTGGCTGAGGCGTTGGCGAAATACCCTCATCGCCGCCAGCTTCGCGATTCTAATTACCCCGTTTACCTCTGTAGGAACTTGGCTCTCGCCCGCAGAAACACCAATTGACCCAACAGACTATGCCGTGCGCACAAAATCCATACTGCAAACGACGCCCCTCATCGACGGCCACAATGATTTCCCGTGGCTGCTCCGTGTGGAACTGCATAATCGCATTTACGACGGCAAGTTTGACCCGAAGCAGCGTTTGCTGGGGCACACGGATATCGGGCGGATGAGAAAAGGGATGATGGGGGGGCAATTCTGGAGTGTGCACGTCAAATGCGACCCGGCGCAGAAGCACTTCGAAGACCCATCCGTGAGCGCCTTCTAACCCGCGTCGTCGTTCAAGTCCGGCCTCTTTCGGAGTTTGTAGGGCTGACAAACCTGGCAACGCTTACTAGTGGATCGTGCGCGACACGCTTGAGCAGATAGACATAGCCAAGCGATTCATCGCCGAGTCGCCCGAGGTCTTTGCCTACTGCGAGACACCCGCGTGTGCTCGCGCCGCCTTCGAGGATGGCCGAATCGCAAGCATGCTGGGCATAGAAGGGGGCCACCAGCTGGGCGGATCCATCGCCGCAGTCCGGCAGGCGTACGACCTGGGGGTTCGCTACATCACGACGACGCACAACTGCGATAACGCGTGGGCGACGTCTGCATCCACCGTGTCGCGCGGGAACCCGGATAAGGGTCTGACCACGCTTGGCGCTGCTTACGTCCGCGAGATGAATCGGCTGGGCATGATGATCGACCTCTCGCACGTGTCCCACCAGACGATGCGAGACGTCCTCTCTATCACGCGCACGCCTGTAATATTCTCTCACTCCGGGGCGTACTCCGTGACGCCCCATCTGCGCAACGTGCCGGATGATGTGCTGCGCAGCATTCGTCGTAATGGGGGGATCGTGATGGCCGTGTTCGTGAACCGCTTCTTGAACATGCAGGACCCGAGCGCGGTCACGATCCATGATGTCGTAGACCACATTTGGCACCTGGCTGACGTGATGGGGTGGGAGCATGTTGGGATTGGCTCTGATTTTAGCGGAACCCCTTTTACTCCCAGTGGTCTCGAGGTATGTACGCTTATCTTAGCCTCTATTCATACGACCTACCTAGGCAACCCTTAATAAGCCCCTAATAAGCCACTTATTACAACGTCTTGCTAAGCACATACGCACTACAGGACGTCTCAAAGTATCCAGACTTGATCGAGCTGTTGATGGCTCGCGGGGCCACGGATGAACAAGTAAGGCTCTTGGTAGGAGATAACATACTACGAGTTTGGAAATCGATTGAGCAAAGGGGCGAGGAGATACGGGCTTCGGGAGAAAAGCCCGTGGAGGAAGAGTGGGAGGGGCGACAATGGCATAAAGGCTACAAGAGCTCACCGTACATGTATAGAGAAACGCGGGAGAGGGCGGCGAGGGAAAATTGGGGTCAGCCTGATCAATTCAATGTCGACAAGGCCGAGAGCCGCGGCGGTACAAGAAAAGCCGAGAAAGAAGACCCCTAGATAGGTAGTCTCGATCGTATATATTCGCAACCGTCAGTTGTGCGAGCGATAGCAATAGCAATAGCCTACCTGCCTACATACTCCTATAGGTGGCCTATACTAGGCACGCTTGCACGACTCCGCGGACTCCAAAGTTTCAACGCCACAACTATCTATCACGAACTTTTGATATCTACTCCATAGTAGCAAACAAAAATACGCATAGCGCGCCTGTTCAATGATTACCTAGATTATCCATCGCATCATGCAAATCCCGGAATTCAACCTATCGAACAGTGATTCTTCCAGTTAACTGTCGCTCATGTCCGTTTCGGTGTCTCAAAGATAGTAAGTCTTTCGGATGCTACATCCCGAAAAAGGGCTAGACAGGGGTATTACCCGATACCAACCGTTCGGTTTTCCTTAGTATCGTATCTATAGGCAAGTAATTGTTGTTAATTTGTAAGTAAGTACGGGACCTAGGTGGGTAGATAGGTTAGGTAGGCATGTATGTATGCCATGCAGTCGGTCCGCCTCCGAAACAGCCACGGCTCGTGAGAGGTCGCTTAGAACTTAGAACTGTTTTTTTTTTTTTTTTTTTTTTTTTTTTTTTACACCCCTACATACGTAGGCGTGCTGCTTCGTGCAACGCTAACCTGCTAACGTAGGTACTGCCTATCCCATCTTGCCAAGTACAATCCCGTGAAACGTCTAGTAAGTTATTGGCTAATTCAACATCACATCTTTAACCCAAGAGGGGTATCAGATGAACTAGACCTAGCCCGCAATGGAAATATATAACATGATATTTCGAATGTGTTTTTGGGTCAACGTTGCCGTCTGTCCTTTTTCATGGCAGATTTGTTTGGGAAAGCACGCAACGCAGCATGGGATCTTTGCCCAGACGTCCAAGTCAAAGTCAAGATACCTACTGCGTATCCGCTTGATCACTAAACACAACCTTGCCTACCTACTTAGGGATCCTCTTACTACCTAAAAACTCAAGCCAAGATGGGTGTCTTGCCCAGGCTGCTGAATGACCTCCCAGCATTCGACTCGTCTTTTCTCAGCTGCCTCGCGAAGATACTATTCTTCACTCCCGTCATATTAGTCGTCCTCTACATCCCGCTCAACGAGATAGCACGGTTCAGAGCGCGAATACCGGGTTTACCCGGGCCAAGGGGGTATCCTCTACTAGGGAGCCTGCCGTCGTTACGTGGCACAGCAACCTCAGATGAATACAGGATAGTACGTGTCCTCCGGAAAAGCTATCCCCGCGCTTTCCCCGCTTCGCTCTATGGTCGGCATTGACTGACTGACAACACCTTCTGATCGCAGTGGGCTCAGCGATATGGCGATGTGTTCCAAGTACAGCTGGGCAACGTAACGGCCGTGGTGGTGAACAGCACGGCCGCAGCCCGCGCGCTCTTCCTCGGGCAGCGCGAGGCGACGAACTCGCGGCCCGTCTTCTACGTCCTGCACAAGAAGGTGCAGCAGGGGAAGCCCGTGATGAGCATCGGGACCAGCCCCTGGGATGAAGGGTGTAAGCGTCGACGCAAGGTCGCGGCTACGGCCTTGAATAAGACGAGCACTGAGAGTTATTTCCCGGTATGTGTTATTCCCTCCGTTCACCCGACCAAGCTCTGTGCATGATGGTATGTAGGTATATCGATCTGACTTATTACATTGGCTGTCTTAGATCCTGGACCTCGAGTCGAGGGCTTTCATCCAGGACGTCTTATCTAACTGCAACGGCGGCAATGGGACCGTCGACATCTTAGACCTAGCGCGCAAATTTGCTTTGAATCTCAGCTTGACGCTGGCTTACGGCACCCGGTAGGTTTCTAGCACCTACCTACCTACCTACCTACCCACCTACCTCATTCCCTCCCATGCAAAGAAAGAGAAAAGGGGGAAGATAACTGATCGACAGCCACGCGCGTCCGCAGCATCGAGGACGTCAAGGATCTCCACCGCGACCTCGTGATCTCCGAGATCCTCTACATCGAGGAGCAGATCTCCAAGTTCCGGAACCCCACGAGCAACTTCGCCAACTACATCCCGCTCCTCCGACCCCTCTCCACCATCGCAGGATGGCTGGGGCCGCGGGGGGACGCGCACATGGCCGATATTGGAAAACGCCGATACGCGTACCACCGCGCGCTGCTTGAGAAGGTACGGAGAGACATCGCCGATGGCGTGGACCGCCCCTGCATCCAGGGGAACGTCCTCAAAGACCCGGAGGCCAAGGGGCTTAGCGAAGGGGAGCTTTTGAGCGTCGGGCTCAGCATGCTGGCGGGTGCCGACACCACGAAACGCTCGATGATGTGGGCTATCCTGCTGCTGGCCCACCGCCCGGATATCCAGGAGAAGGCCTACCAGGCCATCCGAGATGCGAACCCTAAGTTACTCGAGTCGCCACACGTTGCGCAGTCGAGGGTCGAGTATATGGAGGCCTTCACGAAAGAGGTCGGCAGGTACTTCGTCGTGCAGCGCCTTGCGCTACCGAAAGCCACGTACTCCGAAGTGCATTGGAACGGCGCGACGATACCGCCCAACACGCTGCTTTTCCTCAACGCGTGGGCATGCACAAGAGGTAAGAATATCCACCCATGTATCCCCTTCATTTCGCAACCCTGAACACCCGACCTCAAAGCTAACACCTCGTACTCCCCACCTATCCAGACGCAGCCGTCTTCTCCGACTGCAGCACCTTCGCCCCCGAACGCTGGCTCGACGGCGACCAAACCGCCAACCGCCACCAGTACGCCTTCGGCATCGGCGGGCGCATGTGCGTGGCGAGCCACGTCGCGACGAAGGCGCTGTACGCCGTGTTCTTCCACCTCATCGCGCACTTCCGCATCCTGCCAGCGGACGACACGATGGACCCCGTTGTCGCGGACCCCATCGAGGGCTTGCTGATGCGGGAGAACCCGATTGCGGGCCCGAAGGCGAGGACGGTGCGGTTTGTGCCGCGCGATGGGGATGTCACGAGGAGGATGTTGGCGTTGGGGGCGTGTGGGGGTTTTACATGAGGTCTACGGAGGTAGGTGGCAATGGCTTGCATGGGTATCTTGATAGATAGGCAAATGGAGGAAATGGTAATGGTATAGCCTCCTACTAACTTTAGAAGGATGACGGGATAGAGGCAGTGATAAACTCACCCAGCCTCAGACGATTATGATTTATTTCTTGAAGGCCAAATGGCGATGGAAAGCATATAGGAAACGCTTCACGTGCTAGGAAGAAAGTACATACAAAGATAGATTAGAGGATTTATGGAAGTGAGTTATACCAATGGGATGCTTCAAGGTTGGCTTAGTAACAGGATGGAATTTATACCTAGCAGTTAGTTAGATACCATATTCGATAGCAATACAGATCGAATCAAAGACAGAATATACCTCATGCATGCTCCTATAGTGCATGGCTTCGGATCACGGGACATATTTCCCCCTGGCACGACCGAACGTTGAATAATATTTACCTACTCACACTCACCATGCCGCCGCCGCCGCCACTTTCTCGGAAACAACTCCTCTAAACCGCAATGTTCTTCCTCGACGACATATAGGAGGTCATATCCGAATCAGTCGTGCGGCACTGCACCCCCCTCCTGCACCTTCCACCGGGCCTCCACCTCTCTGGGCTTCTCAGCCGAAGACAACGCCAAGTTCGGAATTCGTGGCGTTAGTAGGCCTCCTTCTGCCGGGGCTCCGGCTCCAGCACGCGGAAGGGGGAGGGGCCGATTTTGGACCAAGACACGCGGAACGGTGTTGATGCACCTGCACCTGCACCTGCGGTTGCGCAGGCGGAGGTGTGCGAGGGCGTCTGAATCCTGACGATGAGCCCGGATGGTGGTGCGGCGGTAGATTGCATGGCGGCTGCCGAAGGTGATCCAGGGACGGGCGTTCGCGGGTTGAGAGATAGGCGAGGCCTTTTTTCCGTCTTGGAGTTCCCGGTGTAGCATTGATTGGCTGTTTAGATAGGCCGGTGAATGGTCCTACTTACACCTACGTAGGTCGATAGTGATAGTTGTCGGAGATTGGAAAACTGCTAACGACCTTCTAAAGCGACAGGGTTAGCTTGAAATTATCCCTTGCTTCGAACTAACCAAGTTGACCTATTGTTCGTGGTAGGAGACCGGGGTAGGTGTCAGTCTAGCTGTTGCCAAGTTCTTAAGAAAAGCCCTCCTATTTTTGTCTGTTTCCTAGCACGGTGACATACTCTGGTAAATTTATATTTGTTGTTGAAAGCTCAGCTAGGAAGCACTTCGTATGACCCCGTTGCATTGCCTTCCGACTAGGTTAGGTTAGGTAGGTTACGTACCTAACCTAGTCGACTTGGCGTATAATTGACCCCTGGTGGGCTTTCCGAAGGTGAGGATCTCCTTTGACATGGTGCCTCCTATTCGACATCTGCAGTATTGTACACCTATAACAAACAGGCCTGATAAAGGTGGCTAATCTAGAGATAAGCTATTATGCACACATTCCATAGAACGAGCCCAACCATCACCCGTGATAAAAGTAGCGCCGAATAGCAAACCTTACCGAGATATTTCGGGCCGGTATGACGCGGGGGCAGTGGCCTTGGAGTCGCGATAGTGACGGCGTACATCCGCCCCAATACTCGTGTATAAGACGTCATTTGTTGAGATAAGGCTCATATTCAACTTTCGTTTGCTTTTGCTACGGCAGAGGTTGGGGTTGGTAAATCGTGAGACATTCGCGACGCCACGGTTGTCTCGTCAAGGATTGATCGTGACTCTGGTACAGTTTCGAAACATACATCTGCACGCATCTCTACCCACACACACCGCCAAGTCCAGAGAGCAGATTCGCTAAAATATAAAAGGTCAATACGTCACTCTCTATGATCATTGTGCGCAACGATGGGGAAAACCCCCCTCCCGCCAAAATTCTCGATTATATTTACTGCGGATAGAGTCGGTGAAAATTCCTTTGAAACAACCCCCTTGGTCAAAACTTGAGTTTCGGAATCGGAGACCCCGTCGCAATGAGTCTTGGTGACTTAATCCCCCAGCTAGCGGGTCTCACATCGAACCCGCCCGGTCAGCTACCCGTGGAACTCGGCGGGCAAAACTTCACTCATTGCTGTCTCCTCGCCCTCAACGACTCGCTAACCATCCGCTCCGACGGGAATTTATCCTATGCGCCAACCTCCTTCATAGCTTCGGGGGTCCCTATCGCAGACTTCGAAGGCGCAATAGAGGCCGGCCAGTTCCCGTGCGGCGCGACCTTCGATGGGGATCTAGGCGGAGCGCCTGTGGTGAGCGTGCCATACGGATGGTGCTCGGCGCAGTGTCCCGGGTGGGAGGTCTCGCGGCGGGATGCAATGCAGCAGTGGATCGGGCCCTTGGTGCAGTTCATCGTGCCGAGCCTCGCCTTCTGCAGCAACGTGCCCCGCACGCGGAAGCTGCGCATCCCCGATATCGTTTTTAAGGCGCACCCGCGCACGGTCGTCGGCCTGCTCACGTACTGGATCAGGCTGCTCGGCGCTCTCGTGCTCATGACCATCGATACCGTGGTCTGGCTCGCCATCTGCTTCGCATTCGCGGGCCCTATGCTGTTGAGCGCGGTCTACGAATATGCACTTGACAGAAAAGTTCTCGAGTTCTTGGCTCCGCCGAATCAAAAGCCACTTGATATACCGGTACGACTGAGAGCACAGTTGTTGCTGGCTGTCGTCATTGGAAACCTCCGCATGGCTACTCTCGAGATGGAAGATGCAGAGAGTGTTGAAACTGAGAGTAGCATGAGCTCTAGCAACCTGAAGGAGAACAAAACTGGCAAGGGTCGTGCTAGATGTAGGATGGTGCATAACAGCATTTGGAAGAGAGTCATGACAATGGTGGATGAGCACGAGGGGGATATAGAAGTTGGGAACCAACGTGATGGTGTTGTATCGTTGTCGACCAAGCTGAAAGCATTGCTCAACTCACAAACTAGGTATTGAAATACAGGTTGGACTTCTGACACGAGAACTGACTGTAGTTCTAGTTTTGGTTCGACAATAGGGGCTCCAATCCTGTTCTTCGTCGGCAGCTTCATTTATACCGTATTGGACGCCGATAGCAACCTAGGCGATAATGACACTGCCCATGCTCTTGCCTTTGGCCTATGTACGTATTCAAACAATAAATACCCTATCGTCCTGACCTAAGGTTGTGCGATATTGACAGGTCCTTATAGGGTGGATGGTGATCCCCTATCTAGCTATGATAGTAAGTCTGAATCCAAATCTGCACCACACGTTTAAGCTGGCGTAGAAACAACATATTCGCCATTTAAACGGGCTTTATGGGGACGGAACAAGATCTAACTTCTTTGCTCCAGTCTTGTGCGATGCTAGCACCCAACAGTCCCAGTACACTACACGGCATCGTGTGTGATGGCGGTAACTCTGTCCGAATGGACAAATACGAATTGAGCTTCTGGAAGCAACATTGGATGAAAATCAAAGGCTACAAGGGCCTCAGATTCATCGTTACACAACTTGAAGGTTATAGCCCAATGGAAACTCCCTTTGAAGGGCGATTTCGTACCGTTAAGCTGTGGAAGCGTGGCCTCAATAAGCGTCAATGGGTCCAGGAGGCGATTAACGATTATCTCGTCCCAAATAACTGCCGAGAGGGAGAGGGATCGGACCGGATACCGGAAGCCGAGCTGCGCAGACACCTTACGCTGAACTGCCTAGATTGCTCCTATGTCCTAATTGTGTCTTTATTTGCAGTGCTGACACCCAGCGCACTCGCATTTCTCACTTCTTATACCACGCCCCAGGCTGGGCTTTCATGCCGTAGTTTGACATATTTGATCTACGCCATTAGCCAGGCATGCGAGATGGCCCTATGGACATTCGCCGCTAGGCTTAGGATCCGGTATGGCACGCTCTGGTCGGAGGTGAACCCCATCGTGAAAAGGATCTGCTGGTGGGGTCAGGTATTCGTAGGGTTTTTCGCCATATTTGCCGCTGTGGGTGGCACTCTTATGCAACTCGTGGGGGTGTACCGTAGTTGCGCTTGCCAGGTGAATTTATCAAAGACATGAACACTCCAGAATTCAGGACCTCGATGAGCTAACACTATTTAAAGGTACCAGCCGCGCATTGGCCACGACTAAGCGATTCGGTATATGTAGTGCTGAGCGATAATACTGCCGCGGATATAGACGCTGCGAAGCGCTGGTGGAAAATTACTGGTAGTACGGGTGTAGGCATCGCTGCACTGGTGTGTGCGTTGGCGTGGTGGCATCAACGGCGACTGCGGAGGGTATTTCGCGACGAAGCTGACAAATTGGCTAATGAGAATATGGTAGGTAATTTAGCAATACAAAGTCCTAGGTGGTAACGGTTCAATTGAGGACAATTAGTTATTTTCCATAGCAGTGCCATGCTGCGGAAGTCCATCGCAGTCTCTGTTCAAACCTGGCCACCCCTTTTCGCGACATTGAGACCATATGAACATGTAAATTGCAGCCAAAAGTGCCGGTGTTGGAACTACTGGATATTTGATAGATAGGTAGGTAGGTATGATAGTAAAATGCATGGCAATGCAGCGTGGCCATTTTGTGGTAAACGATATTAGATGATGGGCCGTGAATCTCCAGTTTAACGAGATAATTTGAACAAGCCTAAATATGTACATGTCGATTTTTTTCGTAGCGCTCCTCGGAGCCTTTGTAGAAGGACGATGCTGAGATCCCATCCCCGAGACCAAAATAGTAACCTGAACCGCAGGTATCAAACTTTTATAAGCCGTGAACGCCAATCTTTAAAAATGCTCTCGATTCTATGCAATGGTAAAATCCCAAGGTTTGAAGGCACTTTTAAACTTCTCGACATCTTCAGTCTCCTCCGCGATAGGTTGGACAACGTCTTGCCAATACAATCGCTCTTCTATTCCGAGTAGTTTGGCTAGAACTCGGCGGCCAAACTGAAGATCGAAGCGAATGCTACTATCAAAGCGCATCACTAATTCCTTGCTTACGATCCCGGCGTCACTATCATCGGACCATATCCAGAGCCGAAAGAAATCAGAAGTCTCATCCAGACCAGATTCTAAAGCCGACTCTTCGAAAGGGGGGTATTGATGATTCTCTGCCTCCACCTTAAAACCAGCCTCCACTAGACCTTTTCGAATTATATCCGACGGGACCGGGATGAATTGCCAATGGACATGAATACCAGACTGCCGACTAATCTCAAACGTGACTGCGCCCAACTGAAAATTTGATTGGGTTGCAACCATACTTTGGAGAGACTCTTTAAAACGTGCCATCTCTTGATACGTCTTGTTCGCATCTTCGCCCATGGAGCGAATAGTCGGTTCATGAGGAAGAGGTATAATGAGTTGATGACATGGGAAAGACATGTTCGACGAGGCAAAAGTGTCGGCGCTGGGCAGGGGACCTTTAGCTGTAGTGATGTAAGATTCATCACCTATACAGCAAATCATATGCATGTCTATGTTTGCATTACTAAGACAGAAGAAACACCGATCTGGTCCTGGAGGAGGTGAGCGATCTCTCTTGTGGCGAACGCGACGACCACCATTTTGGTGACCGTGACGGTTGGCACGTTCGTCTGTAGGAGGGGGCCGTTTCCTTTGATTGGCCTTTGAGATGAATGGAGAAACGGTACTGCCAGGAGGTATGGATGACGGTGTCTCTCCGGGGACGAGATTGAACGCGTACATGGCTTTCGCCTTACTAACATTGCCAAAAGCAGCGAGAGAGATGAATCGCGTCACGTGTTTTTGGTCCGAGTCGGGGGGACTTGGTGGGTAAAAGAAGGGCTCACGTTCATAGAAAAAGTCGGTAGGTGATGTCGACAGGTGATAGCGTGGTTTAAGCGTAGCACATAAATCGGCAATCTCATCAGTGCTTACGATTGCGCCCTGCTGTGCAGATGTAAGAGCCTTGCTAGAATTTGCCCATACACCAGAGGGCCAGCATGTGGTAAGTAAGATATCGGCATTATTTGCGCCGCGTAAGGCCTTTGCATCATCTGCAGTATGTAAAGGAAGATGTTGCTCTTTCGATTGACCGCCGAGGATAGTTTTATCAAGGGCACCGCCTAATGCCACAATTCGGATGCCATCTGATGTTTTAGTGATGCTACGCTTACCAAGGAAATGTAAATTCTCGCAAATCTAGACGCAATATTAGTACTCGAGAGAGAACTCTGTGTGTAGGAAGGGGAAAGGAAAGGGGAAAGAGAGAATGACTGGGAAACATACGTCTTCATCCTTCTCGACACGCTCGACGACGCGCTTAGGCAATGGGATAGTGCCTATGGTAAAATAGGTGGAGAGCGGTACTTGAATATTGCCATTAAGCAGTCGCGTAATGACATCGTCATCTTGATCGGCGCTAAAAATATCGCCAGTGACAATAGCGAAGGAGAAGTTCTGCTTCTGGTGAAGAGTGGCAAGCTTCTGAAAGGCGACCTCTAACTTGCCAATGATACTCCCGAGTACGATGCTGTATTTATGTTTTAGTAAAAATGAAAGCTCGTTTCAACAAACCGTGAGAATCTACTTACATTTTGGCTGCCATTACGGCATATAATGTAGAATGAACTTAAGATAGTTGAGGTTGTCTAGGTAAATATCAAGCTTCTATCTAATTGGTCTGTAATTGAAGATGAAAAAGGAGTCAACTTGGGAAGTTGAACGTTGAACTTTGAAGTTTGTATGGGAGGCGTCAAGGATTACAAGGGACCAAGGGTAGGTACATAGGTACAATACAGTACCTAGAAGTACTAGGTACAATACCTAGTACTAGGTTAACCGTTAGCCTGGTTAGGTACTAGGTACCTAGTATGTACCTACATCATAGCACTTGCTTGAGCTTCAACATTGAAGTTCAAACGGGCTGGATACGATAAGCCGATAAGGATTGCCGGGGTGCTTATCGGTCGTTATCGTACAGTTACGGGGGAAAAAAACTGGAAGGAAAAAAAAAGTTGAACTTCTTTTCCGCGATGCGAAATTTAGTGGGGCTACGAATGTAAAGGTCAAATTCCAAATGCGAAAGCGCAAAACTCAACAAACAACGCTTTCCCTCCTCTCTTACGATAGAGGATAAAGCAATCACGATGCGGTCAACACAGTCGGGACGAATAGTGAAGTCCCAAAAGGGAAAGGGAGGAACTCCTCATCAGAAAAATCATAGATGGGAATCTTTCACTACCAAGATTTCCAAGCTTCATTCCCTCGACCCTCTCCGAAGAGTACGTCGACATGATCTCGATACCGAGAATCTCGAAACCACGACCTCCTACTTTCGAAATTCCATAGAAAAATGGGCAGATATCAATATATCCAAATCATTCACATCATTCCGTCGCGATGTACGGCCCTTTTGCGACAGTCTGCCTCAAATCCTCCATTTCGAAGACAAGATTGTCGAATTATTAGCCAAATACATTTCGACACACGATAAAGAGTCACTTGAACCTCTCCTAGAGCTCGTAACTGCCTTAGCACATGATTTGGGTACACGATTTGAGAAACATTACAGGACTACGTTGGCGTTAATCACTGGAATCGCGAGCCGGCCTCAAGATGCTGCGGTCATTGAATGGACCTTCGGCTGCTTGGCTTTCCTCTTCAAGTATCTGTCAAAGCTTCTGGTTCCAGACATTCGGCCGACTTTTGATGCCTTAGCACCGTTACTGGGTAAAGCTCGGAATCCTCCCCATATCGCTCGCTTTGCGGCCGAGGCGTTAAGCTTCCTTGTCAAAAAGGCCGCGGCACCTGCCAACCGCGAGAAGTCTCTGTCTCTGTTCATTGAGCATGTCAGATTAGACCTTGAAGCTAGTAGGGATAGTAAACAGTTTGGTCTATATCACCATGGGTTGATGACTATGTTTGCGGAGGCTGTCAAAGGCCAGGGACACGGCATACATACGACTGGTCCTGAAATCATCAAAGCATTAATCGTTTCTGTCCCAAACGACGAGTGTATCTCGTCAGATCCTGTAACGTGGGCAGACCTCGTTTGTGGCGTGCTGGTGAGCACCGTCCACCACACAACTCCGGAAACATTCGAGTCTATCCCCAAAACTATAGTCGAAATAGCTACCGAAGACCAAGCGTCTGCCAAGCATCCTTTGCGTAACTGCCTCTATGTTAGAATTCTGGGAACAATATCTGGAGTCCGAATGGGTAGCCGGATAGTAGACTGGCCATCTATTCTTAATTGCTTACTGCAATCTCTCAAAGCTCTGTCCCAAACTCCGAACGAGCTTGAGAAAGTTAATTCGTCAGCTATCTGGCAACAACTTATGGTCAACATAGCTATTGTATGGCAGCAGCCCTCGACGGATCATATCATTCCCTATATCAACGAATTCACGAATATCATGACGAGAGAGCCCCTGATGAGATGGTTCATACCATTTTGCTCATACTTCTCCAGTCTAAATCCAAACAGATTCCGCAGTCTTCTGCTGAAACAATTTCAAAAGTATGGTATCCCTTAGTCAGTATTAGATGTGGTTATTAATATCAAGTGTAGATTTGTTGTAACTCATTGGTCCGAGGGACCGAACGAGGACATGCTTTGTGTCTTCCTGCCTCGATTGGTCGGAAATCGATCGCTTCCATCAGTCACTGAGCCTGATAGCTTCTTATTGCCACAATCCTGGCAAGATCAAATTGTCACCAAATTTGAGCGATTAGAAATTTCCCCCTTTCCCGAGCAAGGAAATTCCACTGGATATGATAAAGACCCCAAAACATGGCATGATAGATGTTTGCCTAAATACTCTGCCCTTCTCCGTGTTTTAGAAGCTACAACGGTTCGGCCTTCAACCAACGGTCCTATTGCGCAAATACTCCTAAGGAAGCTCAAGCTTGCACTGAAGCCTTCCTTGTCATTAGCAGGCGAGGAAGCAAACTTCATTGTCAGTCAAGGATTTTCTGCATATCTGCGAATGAGTAAGGCTGCTGGACAGATTGACCCTTCCCTTGCGCCTTTACTTAAGGCAGCTACTCCTCGATATCGCCAACTCACTGGATTTTTGGAAGCCCTGATAACCTACGAAGATCAGCTCAACCAAGAGAAGAGCCCCCAGTCCCAGAGTGGAAGGAGTCCTAGCAGCGAAGGAGAGGAAGATCCCTTCCTTAAGAGCCTCGTTGATAATCTCTCTAGCCCTTTACGCCAGCATCGATTGGCATCTTTGCAGTTGTTAAGCCGACTTGATACGGCCCCAGACGAACTAGATTCTTTAGCAACCATGATTCAGACGGAAGAAACCCCATTAGAATTTCAGAACGTTCGACATCTCTCTGTACATATTCGGAAGTTGGCGGCGAACTATCCACAACTTAGCAAGGAGTCGTGGCTTCGACAGGCGATTCCTACGTTTCTATTTGGGCAAATGACGGTACGCTTGGCCCCTGTATGCGAATCAGCGGTCGAAGCATTGCAGCAAATCAGTGAGGTGAAATCTGGCGAGGAAATAATTTCTGAGATTTCGTTGAATTGGATTAATATACCATCCAAGAGATGGGAGGGCCCCCAGAAGGAGACGATATCATCGAATACTGGTGCCACGGATTTTGAATGTGGATACCTGTCAAGTCTTTATAGAAATGCAGAAGAAGCAGAGCATGTGCTTAGTTGCTCCTCGGAGATTATGCTAGAGAGCTTTGGATGGAGCCAGAGTCTGGTGCCCACGACACCTCCCAACGCACGATCCCAGGCACTCAAAATACTCTCAGCGGCCCCTGCTATAGCAGAGAGAAGATCGCGCAAGCTAGTGCCATACTTGCTGTCGTGGACTAAGGACGCAGGCGACCAGGAAGATCAGGACAACAATGAAATAGAACCTTCCGAACAGATCGCTATTGGATCATGGTCTCTCTTCGACAAAAAAGCTCTCCTTGGTGTATTTGCGCAATTTACCAACCCTAAGGTATTGTACCAGAGTCAACAAGTGTATGATACTCTTCTTGGATTACTTGCCAATGGCGATATAGAGATACAGAAATCTGCTCTAAAGGCCATCCTGGCGTGGAAACAAGAGGGTGTTAAACCCTACCAAGAAAACTTGGAGTTTCTTCTGGATGAGGCAAGGTTCAAAAATGAGCTTACTGTACTATTTCAAGGCGACCAGCAAATTCAGCCGGAACATCGTTCTGAAATGATGCCTGTACTCCTAAGGTTACTCTATGGCAGGACGATTTCTAAAAAAGGCGCGGCAAGTGGGCGCCATGGTCTTCATGCTACTAGGCTTGCTGTGCTAAGACAGCTTACTGTTGAAGACATGGGAGAATTCCTTGATGTTGCTCTTGGTGAACTCCGTGGCATCAAACCCGTTCAGGATGCGCAGCTGTGCGAGAATATCTTCGATCAAGAATTACTAACACCACGAAAACAAGTCGGATTCCTCAACATGATGGAATCAATGATCAATGAACTTGGTACTGGTGTCATTGCCCACACAGATAAAATCCTCAATGCGATACTTTACTGTCTTGTCCTTTCGTGTCGAGGACTCAGTCAACATGATGGAGACACAGATGAAGATTTGCCCACGCACAGCTCCTTGCTTCGTGTCATAAGAAGCACATCACTGAAATGCCTGATATTGCTCCTTCAGAATGCACCGGGCTTCGATTGGAACCCTTACAAGGATGTGTTTATCAAAGAGGTTGTGAGCCCACGTCTGGAAAAGCTCCCAACCGAAACCACCCAAGGTATATCTGGCACCTTTCAATTCCTATCAACATTATCACAGCTTCCAAAGACTGCTTTGTTCCTCTCTGTCGATGAACGAATCATTGGCAAGCTCATGGGATGCTTAAAACTCGAGAAGACCAAAGACGAAGTCAAAATCTTTGCGTTGGGTATCGTACGCAGTTTGGTAGAGCTTTCCCAGCAGCCGGCTGCACAGTCCGAGTTCAATGAACTGATACAAGAAGAGATACTTGACCGCAACGTCAACGCAATTTTAGAGAGCATCGGCGTCGTCCTTAAGCTTCAGGGGGAGGTTGGGAGGGATCTACTCTTGGCATGTGTTGAGACTGTGGTGGAATTATCTCCCATCATTCAAAAGTCGACTCATGTTACCGACCTCGTTGACATTTCGGTATCACTTCTCAACCAGCCATCAAGACGTGTGAATCCTAGAGCTAAGGGACTTGTGCTTTCTATGCTTCAAAGATTCATCAAGCTTGCAGGAGCTGATCTTGACGCTGGATTAAGAAACCGTATCTACTCAACGATTTCATCTCTCTTTGGCTTCTTCAGGGACCGAACGAATCGACAAATGCTATCGAATATTCTAGCAGTATTATACGAAGACGACAAGCTGTGTTGCGAGTTATCTAGTCTCTGCGCAGATCTGAATTCTTTCAACGAGAGACGTGTCGACGAGCCAGATTATGAGAAGCGGCTAGCGGCCTTCAACGCCATCTTGCAGCCAAGAAGCATACCGTTTACATCACGCGATTGGGAGCCGCTGGTATACAACATGATCTTTTACATTAAACATGACGAGGAATATGGGATTCTGTCTGCAAACTCAGCTGATTGCCTATGCAAATTTGTTGAAAGTGCCTCATGCTCAACGGACGAGGAACAGACCAAATTTCAAGATATGATCTCAAATATCTTGATACCGTCTTTTCACTCCAATGCACGGGAAATATCGGAGACAGTAAGAAGAGAGACAGTGAGAGTTTTCGGATGCTTAATATCAAAGATGCCATCATGGCCTCCTATTGCTGATCTTGTGGCAATTAACCTTCCGCCCGATGAAAATGATCCGGATCCAAGTTTCTTCAACAATATTCTCAGTCCTGCAACCGCGAGACAGATGCGAGCCCTCCAACTCCTATCTAAAGTCAATCACCACACACCTTTGAACAGCAAGAACTTGACTCACTTCTTCGTGCCCCTCCTTGAACACTTTATCTTTAGTCGAGAAGAGGGAAGTGATGATCATGGAGTGGGCGCTCAAGCAGCGACAACAATCGCTGATATAGCCTCATCGCTCGAGTGGCCGCAGTACCGCGCTATACTGCGTAGATATATTACCTACATCGAGTCTAAGCCCGAACTTCAAAAACAGTTGATTAGATTACTGGGAAAATTTGTGGATGCACTCGCAACAGCGACTTCCGAGAAGAACCAGGATGCAATGGAAATCGACTCAAACTCCGTGGAACCATCGAAAAAGTGCAAGCTAGCCACTACAATGCCAAGTCATGAGAAGTTAAACGAGGATGTCACTACTAACATCTTACCGCCTCTTTTACAATATATCCACGAGAAAGATGAAACCACAGTCAGCTCACGTGTTCCGGTTGGAATTATTATAGTGAAGATTCTGAAACTCCTCCCGAACGATACACTGAACCAGAAACTACCTGGTGTTCTTACAGATATTTGTCATATTCTACGAAGTAAAGCTTGGGACTCGAGAGAGATGGCGAGGAGCACCCTTGCGACGATGACCTCGCTTCTAGGATCATCATACTTTGGCTTTGTTCTTAACGAGCTGAGAGGCGCGCTCACAAAAGGATACCAACTTCACGTGTTATCCTACACAATGCATACCATATTGGTTCACGTCATCCCTCAGTTTCAGCCCGGGGATCTTGACTATTGTCTGGACATGATAGTCAACGTTATTATGGATGACATATTCGGTGTTGTAGGGTTGGAAAAAGAAGCAGATGAGTATACAAGCTCAACGAAGGAGGTCAAGAGTAGCAAAAGTCAGGATTCAATGGAGCTTATCGCACGAACTGCTTCTATCAGCCATCTAGTTGATCTTGTTCGCCCCCTTCAAGCACTCCTACTTGAGAAACTGGATCTGCACATGGTTCGAAAGATCGACGATCTTTTGTCAAGGATTGCTTCTGGATTACTTGGCAACGCCGCTGCCGCTAGCCGTGACACTTTGGTATTCTGTTATGAAGTTATCCAAGAAGTGTATGAAAGTGCGAAGCCTCGAGTAGAGCAAAGGCTAGACCCCAAGCTCAGACGTTATCTTATCCAGAAAGGCGCCAACAAAAGCGGCGGTCGCAGTAGCACCAGCAAATACACGTTCAAGTTGGTACGATTTGCCATTGAGATATTGCGGTCCGTGCTGAAGAAGTACGACAACATTCGCAATGCGGCTAATATCATTGGGTTCATCCCGATCCTTGGCGATGCGCTTGTTGGGGGGGAGGAAGAAGTGAAAATAGCGACATTCAAACTTCTGACCGTGCTCGTCAAGGTTCCATTTACTACTGATGACGCTACCAAGCTTTACAAGGTAGCATCGAAGGAAGCGTCGAAATGCATCTCAGCGTCTACGTCGACCACAACAGATCTAGCACAAAATGCCCTCAAACTCATGTCTGTAATCATACGGGACCGCCGTGACGTAGCGGTTAAGGACGCGGCTGTCGATATGCTCCTCGCCAAGGTCAAGGACGACCTCACAGAACCTCTTTATCGTCATGTTACATTCAGCTTCCTTCGGTGCGTTCTTGATCGAAAGGTTGAAACAGCTACAGTCTATGATATCCTCGACTATGTTGGAACTATTATGATCACCAATGACGACAAAAATACGCGGGACCTTGCTCGGGGTGCTTTCTTTCAGTTCCTCCGTGATTATCCCCAAAAGAAGAATAGATGGGTCAAACAGCTCAGCTTCATCGTGGCCAACTTGAAGTATGAGAGAGAAGGAGGTCGCCTTTCAATCATGGAGATAGTCCATCTCCTATTAATGAAGTCTGCCGACGATTTTGTTCAGGAAATAGCCACAACATGCTTCATCCCTCTAGTATTCGTCCTGGTCAACGATGATAGCGAAAAGTGCCGCTTGGCTGCTGGTGAATTAATGAAGGAGCTCTTCAAGAAGGCAGATAAGGAACGAACCTCGAAATTCCTATCACTGATGCGGTCTTGGATGGAGCAGGACGATAACCCGTCTGTTTTACAATTGGCGATCCAGTCATTCGCGCTATATTTCGAAGCTAGGGAGCCCACACCGAAGGATCATAAAGATACAGACCTCTGGCTTGAGACTGCAGCTAATATACTAACTAATTATTCGACCTACTCGACGGACTCAGACTTAATCAACACGGTTTTGAAATCGGTACCGACCTTGATAGAAAAGCACCCAGCTACAACATTGTCGCATGAAAGGTTATGGGAATCTCTCCCGACCCCTCTTTCACACCCAGACACGACCGTCAAACTCTCGAGTGTGCGTCTACTAGGAATCTACCTAGCCGATTTCTACGAGAATAAGAAGAGCACCGAAAAAGCCCAGGCCAACATTGGATCCCACGGCCTCGAACTATCTCCACAGATGATCGGGCAAATGACGCTCTATGCTGTAGGCGTCCTGAGTTCCGTGACCGTGCAAAGATGGAAGAAGAGGATGCTGAAGAAAGGTATTGCGTTGCCATTTGATATGAACGATGATGGGCTATTATCTGCCGAGGATACAACAGAGTTGGATGAAACCCTAGCTGCAGAAGTTGGCCGTGCTATTTTGATGTTGAGCAAATTCATGGGAGTTGGCTCGTCAGACTCCGAATCTGCCGCCGACAGCGACGCAGCCAATCAAGATGATGAGTGGGGCGGCATTGACGATGATGAAGCGGCCCATTCGATCACTCTACATACGCTATTCGTCTGGCTTTCGGACGTGCTCGTTCAAGAGACGCGCCCCAATGCCCGGGCTATTGTTCCTAAAGTCGCAGCTTTGGACATCTTATACATACTCGCCTCAACCTTGCCCATCGAATCTCTTCAGCCTTCCCTGAATATCCTCCTCACGCCGCTATACCACCTCACAGACCCCTCCATCCCAACACCGTTCTCACTCGACGAGACTTTTAAGACGCGGTACGAGGGAATTCAAAATAAAGCAGGCGAGGCCATGGATGTTTTACAGAAGAAATTCGGCACTCCAGCATACATGAAGGAGATGCTGGCCGTGCGCGAGCGTGCCAAAAATCGCCGTGAGAGTAGGTCCAAGAAGAGGAAGATTGAAGCGGTTACCCAGCCTGAGAGGTTCGGCAAATGGAAGCAGGGACGATCGGAGAAGAAGGTCAAACGGAGGAAGGAGAAGGGGCTGGAAAATAGGAATAGGAGAAGGGAGTACTAGGGGAGATGATTGGGGGCTATGTACCTATATATCTGCCTGATGTATTGAGGTAGACGGTTCTGAGCTATAAAAGCTTGGAAGATCACAAAAGAATACTCTAGTAAATAGTAGTTTCACATATATATCTGTTTAAGCGAGTATAGTGCTTTCACTGGTCCAATTCAAAGCACTATAGATACAAAACACAATGAGCATCATCAACTTCTATGTGCTAGTCTTCTATTTGATAATGACAGTACTATGTACAAAGCGCACAACACGGCTAGGTGGATCTCACACCCCGCATACGAAGATGCCCATCTTTCATATCCTATCTGTTTTTAGCTGGAGGGAGAGTGCCACGAAGCGAGACTATCTTGCCATAAGACAAGATACATATTTACACAACCAAGAACTTAGATACTAGAGACAGTGCTAGTTCTAAGCATTTTGCGGTTAAGTACTCGGCTCTAATGTGTGCTTGTTTAAAGTCTGGGAGGGGAGTTGCTTCGCTACAGTGTGTGGTCTGTCACAATAGTGTGATTCAATACCAATTCACCATAGGTACCTGGTTGTTAGGTGCATCGCGATCGGCTCTGGCGTTCGTTCAAACCCATGTGGCGGCCTTTGTTCTTTCTTTTGGCTTGACCCGGGTCCTTGTGGACCCACACGGATGGTAACCGGGGCAGACTCTGCTTCCGTATTACCTCGTCGCTTCATGCTCTTGTGGTTTTGGTTTTGTTGCAATGGGCTACGCTGTCTAGTTTATTTCGAACTTTCCTTCGCCTCCGGATTTGTAGGAGTAGTAGTCGTACTGCTAGCTGCGTCGGCTCTGCGCTTGGTCACAGTCCCGTCTTCCCAGAACTCCACGTCGCCATCCTCGCCGAGGGTTCCGCGCTTCACCAGCTGTCCCTTGTCCCGCATGAGGTCCTCGACGGTGATGTGCTGGTTCCCGAAGATGCCCAGGTGGTCGCTGATGATGTGGCGGTTGCGGCACGACGGGCAGGTGATGAGCACGGAGCCCTTGTGGTAGCCCTGCTTGGACACGACGTGCGTCGAGCGGTCGCCGCACGGCACGCAGGTGAAGGTTAATTCATAGTGTGGCTCGAGGAACTTCTTGGGCTTCTCGGATGGTGTTGAAGAGGTAGAGGAGGAGGAGGAGGAGGATGTTGTCGGAGACGGTTTGGGTATGGCATGAGCGAATCGACGAGCCAATGGTTGTGAGATTTGCGCGATGCGGGGGGAGGGGCGCAGTAGAGATGGGAGAAGAGTGGTGGAGGGGCGGCTTATGGGATGGTACTGGAGGAATCTAGCAATTGATCTGGTTGCCATATTCTTCCAGCTTGCGATGGGAGGGTGATTGAATAACGAGATTCTCAAAAATTGAAGACAAAAATGACTAAGGTTAGGTAAATATAAATCTTTAATGTTTTTTAGCAGCTTAGCAGCTTCGCAGCTTAGGTAGCATTGGTACTAGTCTGGATAATCCCGGGCCGATGGAGGGGCAATACCTATCCCGACCCGTCAAGTCAGGTCTTCCACTTTTCCTAATTAACTAACCTAACCTAGTTAGTTAAGTGCCACTCTTACTAAAGCATTGACGCCGGCACGGAGAGGTAATGTTCGTTCTTGGTGAGGCCGCATACCGTAGTAGCAAATACAACCTTGCCTACCTTGCCTACCTGGTGACTGCTTCGTGTTGAGTAACCACACTTGTTTTGTTGTTTTTTTATACCATTCAGAAATTCTTACCATAGGTACCTGATTGTCGCCTTGCACGTTAAATATTGCTTTGTTTTAACTCTTTGCCTATCCGTCTGCACATGGTATTCTATAATAACTTCGATGCCTACAATTCATCTTGCATTTCACCTCACGATGTACGCCATCGTTATTACATGTAACCCCACCACTCTATAGAATTCACATTCCCCCAAATATAACAACCTAGGTACCTAGGTGGACCGTTTTTCTATTCACAACTGCATCTAACTATTGGCACCGTTCCTCCCAACCCAACCCTACACTCAACCTTTACCAATCTCAACAACTTGCTCGGCCGCTTCAGGATTATGAATCATGATTAGTGGTCGCGGAGGCTCCATGAGAGGTAACCGCATTCGGCCTCCACGAAGGGTAAGTCGCATTTACATTCCAACCCCATTTGTGGCCCAGCCCACCTTTTCAACCCGATGCAGCTACAAGATCGATACCCGAGTCCTTGATCGTTGGGATGAGAACGAGTGCCCTTGCGCAGCCTAGAACCTACATGTTTCCACCAGCCTGTGCGGTGCCATCGCTCGAGTTTCCCCAGATCATGTCTCTCACACGGCACGCGTTGTATCCGCTCGTCTTTAACTTTGTCTTTGATTTTCATGCATTTTTAATCACCGCTCGCTGACACTTATGCGATAGCCCACGGTTCAAGCAGGTCCCGTTGACGAGTTTGAACAGTGCTGGGACAAGCTTCGTGAAGCCCTTCGCGATATTCATACCCGAAATGCCGGAAACCTCTCGTTCGAACAGCTTTACCGATACTCGTATAAAATCGTCCTTAAGAAGGCCGGTCAGAAGCTTTACGATCGAGTCAAGGAGTTTGAGGAGAAATGGTTTGCCGACCAGGTGATTCCCCCAATATGGGCACTCATCACTACCAACCTTGTCAGCGTCACCTTGGAGGAAGTTCCTGGCACCAGCGTAGCAGAGCGGCGTTCCATGGGCGAGAAGTTTCTGAGGGGAGTTCGCAGTTCGTGGGAGAGTCACAATATGTCTATGAACATGATTGCCGACATTCTCATGTATCTTGAGCGGGGCAGCACCCAAGACCCAACTCGGCCGTCAATATACGCCGCTACTATTGGCCTGTTCCGCGATCATATCCTGAGATCGACTCTCAAAGGGAATGGATCCGATTGCCTCGTGTTCGACATTATCAATGCGACTATAATCGATCAAATTAATATGGAGCGGGAAGGGGATGTCATCGATAAGGCGTTGCTACGAAGTTGCGTCTCTATGTTGGAAGATTTATTCGAGACAGACGAAGAAAATGACCAAGAGCAGCTCTATCTGACCACATTTGAGCCTGCTTATCTCCATACCAGTCGCGTATTCTATAAGGCCGAGTGTGAAAAGCTACTTCGCGAAGCCGACGCGAGCGCGTGGCTTCGGTACACGCAAAGACGACTTGCTGAAGAAGCCGGACGGTGTCAAACCACTGTCTCTCCGATGTCCCTACAAAGAATCACGGAAGTGCTGCAACAAGAATTGATCAGTAATCACCTGGAAGACTTCTTCAATCTCGAAGGCAGTGGTATTCATGCCATGATTGATAACGATAGAATTGAAGATCTCAGCATCCTCTATCAACTCGTTTCCCTCGTTAATCCCAAGAAGACCCCCCTCCGCAATGCCCTAGCCACTCGTGTCATTAAACTCGGAGAGGAAATAGAGCAGGCACTAAAAAATACTGATTTCAGCATTGCGCAGCAAGCTGATGCGGACGAGGCTGGTGATGGGGCAGATAAGTCGAAGGCAAAGTCGTTGAGTGCCGCAGCGCAACAGACAGCAGCTGCAATTAAATGGGTTGACGACGTGCTGGCACTCAAGGATAAGTTTGACAGGCTTTGGACGACATGTTTCGGAGAGGATCTTTTGCTTCAGACAACACTCGCAAAGAGTTTTTCCGAGTTCATTAATTCATTCGACCGAAGCTCTGAGTATCTGTCACTCTTCATTGACGACAATCTCAAACGTGGTATCAAGGGCAAAACGGAGGCCGAAGTGGACATGGTGCTTGATAAAGCGATAACTCTCCTCCGGTACCTGGGCGACAAAGACAAGTTCGAGTCATACTATCAAAAGCATCTCGGCCGTCGTTTACTATTGGGTAAATCTGAAAGCCAAGAGGCCGAGCAGGAAATGATCTCACGTATGAAACGGGAGCTAGGAAACACCTTCACACAAAAGTTTGAAGGAATGTTTAGAGACATAAGTACCTCTAAGGAGACTACCGACCAGTACCGCGATCACATCCGTGGTCTGGGTGAGATGGATGAGAAGCGGATCGATCTCACCATCAACATTCTTGCTGGCAACAATTGGCCTAGCGCAATAATGGGCAGAGAAGCAGTGAGCCAAGATGGCGTTAAGGGCGTCATCACTGCGCCCAGCGTCATATATCCACGTGAAATCAATGCACTGCAAGACAGCTTTTTCAAGTTCTACACAATCAACCGTAATGGTCGCGTACTTAGTTGGATTGGTAGCACGGGAACTGCTGATATCAAATGCACGTTTCCGAAGATTCCCGGCAAGACTTCAGGGCCACTCAGCAAGGAACGTCGCTACGAGGTCAATGTGTCGACTTATGGCATGATTGTCCTCTTGCTATTCAATGACACTGCCGAAAACGAGTGGCTGTCTTTTAAGGATATCCAGGAAAGGACGAAAATTCCGGAAGTAGACTTGATTAATGTGTTAACATCCCTCTCTATCATAAAGCCCTTCCGCATGCTTCTTAGAGAATCTGCAGAACATTCAGCTGCCAAGCGCGTGTCTCCTGGTGACCGATTTGCCTTCAATCGCGAATTTGTCAGCAAGACCATCAAGATCAGGGTTCGGGCAATCAATGCCATTAACAAAGTTGAGAATGACGAAGAGCGCAAAGAATCGGATGATAAAAATGATATGGCTAGGTCACAAGTGGTTTCTGCGACCATGGTCCGTATCATGAAGTAAGTGCCAAACGCAAGAAGTGATATAGGGAATGCAGCTAACATAGTATGGCAGGCAACGCATGGAACTTAGCCACTCTCAACTCTTCACGGAAGTCATACAGCAACTATCAGCACGGTTCAAGCCGTCAATACCGCTTATCAAACGCCAAATAGAAGTTTTGATAACCACCGATTATATGGAACGAGCAGAACTGGCAGATGGCTCAGCAGGATACAAATACGTGGCCTAAATCTACCATCTGGGCTGCCGTTTGCATAGGTGGAATCGCATGCCTACCTACTAGGTATACATGGGTCAAATGCTCTCACCACGTGGAGGGCACGAATGGCTACTAGTCATAACAAGCCTTCCCAGAAATCCGATAAACGGTCTTCATTTGGAGCCTCCTATCATTCCTAATCGGGACTGGCCACAGTTTTTACCTGGCAGATATCGAAGGCCTAAGAACTTGACACCATGAGTCTGATGCGATTGATCGCATGAGATTATAATCAAACCAATGCGGGAGCCTCCCCCTCTTCCCCACAGGGGCTACATGTAGCAGTCTGAGAGACGCATATCTACCTAGGTATGTATCTTGATTGCATAGAGATAGCAAAAAAGCGAATAAAGATAATTGATCACTGGTATCGGCCAGTGTGTCGTCATTAAATTAACCTCTGTAGCACTTAGCTTTTAACTACCTACGTAGGTAGAGAAGTAATTAGTATTCTCACAGGTGCCATGACATAAGAAGTTAAGAAAACTCTAGGTTAGTGGGATCTGATAATGCCTACCTTTGTCTCATGAAAATCTGCATCCCCTTGTCTCGACTTGGGCAGATATAACAAGAACCCTTGTCGATAAATAATGGACCAAGAACAACAAAGAAGCTCTCTACAAAGGCCCCGACAACAATGATCATTGTCACAATGTTTGTTTATTATCGCGTCTCGCCAACATGCCTGTAACGATACAGAACAGCATCTCTCACACTCATTACGGTTAGCGAACAACTCCCTTTCCCAAGACTATAACAGGGACCCAGCATTTGGCCCATATCCCATATATACGCCATCACTGCACTGCTAACCCTGTGTCGACTCGAGAGAGACGTTCACAACTTCCTTGTTGCCCACTCATTTGTAACAAGGTAAGTCACCTAACCTTACATATCCTTCAATATGAACAGCGATGAGAGTTACCGCAGCGAAGTGAAGCCTTCGGCGAGTCCCCGGCATCACTACGGCGACGTTGCGAACATCATCGAGTCCTTCTTTGACGAGAGCAGCAGCTCGGACACTGCTGGAAGCTCTGGGAGCGAACAGCCGACTGCGGACGGGAAGCGTCCGAGACGCGACTTCTACCGATCTCTCGCGTACGAAGCCCTGACTGGTGCGGGAACTTCGAAAGAGGAGACAGCTGGAGAAAGCGAAGAAAATGCTGCTGGACAAGTAAGTCGACACCCGAGCATTCTCCGTCCCGGCTCCGCGCAAGTCGCGAGAGCCACGGTGATAGGGGTAAGGGAGCAACGTAGTTCCGAGGCTTTGGGGGCACGCTTCACATCGAGTGGTGAATGGAGACCCCAGAAGCCTGCTTATCTGCGGATTTCAGAGATAGGGAGTGATGGTGGTAAATCATCGGTAAGGCCCCGTTCGAGTAACGATATTCGTCAGCAACCACAACCACAGTCACAACCACGGCAGCAGCAGCAACAGAGGTCTGGAAACGGCGATCATCAAGAAAAGCCCAGACCCCCACCGCTAGACCTCCTGGCAACGCCACGCAACGAACACAAACGCGCAACTTACTCATTCGAGGGGAAAACCCCCGTTCCGTCACAGAGCGGTGTCCCCGCCTCTCGAATGAGCGAGCTGCCGCGGCCGGCCCACAACCACAACCACAACAACCGCCATACCTCGAACACTTCTTATTTTCCCTCTCCTTCCAGGTCCCCCTCCTTCTCCTCCCACAAGAGCGGCCGCCGCATGCTAACCCCGCCCCTCTCAGCCCCTGCATCCCCCACCTACTCCACGACCTCCATCCCCCCGCCCCTGCACATCTCCATCCCCACACGCACATCCACCGCATCCTCCGCCGCCTCCACCGCCAGCAGCGTCAGCATCCGCAGCCGCAGCTCGAGCCCGGGGCGCGGAAGCCTCATCCTAGAGGAGCGGCCGCGCGCCCGACGGGCCTCGCGCTCGTTCACGGACCGCGCGAGGGAGCACCTGCAGAGCAGCTTGAGGATGGTCGGCGTGCGCGCGCCCTCGACGTTCGCGGTGCACGCCGTGCGCAAGATCCACACGGTCAACGTCGCGGCGGACGGGCAGGGCCAGTCCGCGGGCGCGAGCAGGGGGGGGAGGGGGCGCGCGAGGAGGAGGAGGAATGGGGTTACGGAACGGGATGCGGCTGCGCAGTTTCTGGAGAGGACGGGTAGTGGTAGTGGTAGTGGGCGGCCAGGCAGCAGCAGCAGCAGCAGTAGCAGGACGCTCGAGGAGCGCATGCAGCGGTACCACCAGCGGCAGCGGATGCAGCAGGAGCAGCAGCTCAGGACCCAATCGCTGCTCCCCGCGGCGAACCAGCCACAGCCACGACCACAACCACAACCGCAACGCCCGTTTCCGGTAGCCAAGCCCCCGATGACGGCGGACCGGCAACGCGCGCGCTCGGATGATGTCACCACGGCAGCCGCGACCCGACGCCAGCGAGTGCCGGGCAGAGGGCGCGACGAGCTGTTCCTCTGGGACGACGACCGCAGGGACGTCGGCGGCCGCGCGTCGGAAACGTTCTTCGCGTCGCGGTGGTCGCGGGGCGAGGTCGCGCGACTCTCGCGGGAGGTCGACGTTCCCTCTGCTTCGGGTCTATTTCCACCCCCGCCGCAGTCGCTGCGCAGCATTGCCGCCTCCGCCGCCTCCTACTCCTCCTACTCCTCGCGCCGCAGCTCGTGGGAGGCGGGCGATGATCGCGCGGAGCTGCCGAGTCAGGGCGGGGATGGGGGGAGCGTGGCGAGTCGGGGCAGTGATGCTGATGGTGGTAGTGTTGTCAGTACGGGTGGCGCGGGAACGGGGGCGGTTAGGGCGAGTGGTAGTCGCCCGGACACGCCGTCGATGGCGACGTTTGCGGATATCATGGCGGCGTCGCCGGATCTGCTGGAGGCGCAGCTGGCGTTTGAGCGGAAGAGGAAGTTTTTGAGTCATGTTTTTTAAAAACGGTGGGCGTGGGTGATGATAATGAGTTTGTAACGAATTTCTTTGGTTGTAAGCATAATAGCTGTGTGTATGATTAGAGAGAGGGAGGGAGGGAGTGGTATATTGCCAGGGAAATGGGTATAGTACATTAGGATCAGCAGTGGATAGAGCGTTATGGGCGTGTAGGTATAGTTATGTATCATCATCTTAGAAATTGGTAGTAAATAATGGTATATATTTCAGGCTAGTTATCATGCTTCTTGCTCTCATTTCATTCTCATGCATTGTATCTAAACTGGTGATATGATTTACACCTAGGCAGATATCATGTAACTAGCGCCGCACTCATAAACTCAGGAGTTGATTGATAGCTTGGCAGCTTTGCAAGTCGCTTAAAATGGGATAAATTCCTAGGATCAACTTCGCATCGCGCCGAGCCCAGCTCATAGCGATATGCACCCGCCAGCACCATCCTCGATAAAGATGCCTCCGTAGATTTGCCCCTCGTCGATGCCCGTTTCCTGGAAGCCCGAGTTCACGACATCCGAAGTGCCAGTGGGCTTCTTGAGGATGCCAATCTGATACTGGCCGCCACCGCTGTTGTCATTGCTCACCGCCTCGGTGACAGCCTTCAGCGGTTCGTCGTCCTTGGAGTAGTATACTTGGAGGGTGCTGCACAGGTGTTAGTGTTTAGTCTGATGTGCTCTTCTTTTCACCTGAGACCTCATTGCTATGATACAGGCGAAGGGTAAACTCACTTCTTTACAAAGTCTAGCGTGATGGCAAAGTTCTGCCAGGCAGTGGCATCGATAGGCGTCGACCAGATTTGGTTGTTCTGGCGGTCCAGGACCTTGAACGAGCTCTTGTCGGCGCCAGACTTGCCGATGATGGTGCCGCTCTGGAAGTTGAACTGGTTGGAGCTGTAGTCGGCTGCCTCGTGCCAGACGTTCTGTTTCCTGGTCAGCCCATTCCTTACACAGTTGCTTCATGTTTAGGCATGTGTCTTTAGCGGCTTCCATACCAGATATTCATGTGTGAGGTTTAGAGTCCGCTCAGCGTCCTGCTTCACACTGAAGTGGATGGTCCTGACGCCCGTACTACCGGGGCCTCCCTCGTTCTCGTCGCCCTGGATCTGCAGGCCCGCGCGGCGGAACCCATTCTGCGTCTGGAAGATGGACTTGTCGTTGATGGTGACCTCCACGGCCTTGGTGCTCGCGTTATCAAAACGCGAAGCCTCGACCTCGGGGAAATGCAGAATCGTCGAGAATTTTTCGTCGCCGCGGATGTAGTCAGGGTTAAAGGGGCTCGTGGCGTACGAGTCGAAATCCGTCGGCGTCTTGTCGACCGGCACGAACCCGCTCAGAACTACGGGGCATTTTACTTCTCCTGTTCCCCGCTTCGTGGGGCGAGCGGACGCCGTCGAGGCGATGAGGAGGCTCGTCAAGAGCGCTGAGGAGACCATCTTTCTTGAATTTTCGACTACCGGTACCTACACGAGATTTGTTTACGTACAATTGAATCTGCCCATTTTTCTAATTGCGTGTTGAGCAGGTGGGCAGATGGGCTTTATGTACGTCCAAGCTGCTACCCACCTATCTAGTATCTACTTGCTAGGTAGGTAGGTAGATTGTACTATGTAAATAGCTACATAGTAATATTATAATATACATGATCTCGTATTAGGTATATTAGGTAGTCATCCAGCATTAGTTATCCCTGTTAATATAAAGAAACGAACGACCCGGCTTTCCGGGAAATTGTAAGGACTAGTACATAGTACGCAAGCGCGGAAAACAAACCGCGGTGGGTTGTGGGAAAATCTACCCCAGAATGGAGATCCACGTTCCGAGCAATGTATGTTTAAACAGCCGGGGAACTTTCAGGGGAAATTGTGGGGGCTCCATTTTGACGCCATTCGGAACTACTTGTGGATCGTACCGAAGGGAAATAATAACCGCCCTCAATATCTTCAACATTGAACACGTTCCTGGATAAAAACGGCGGCATGCTATTGGTACGGAGTATTGACTGTGCTAATCACGCCAGCTTTGATGTCCTGAGCGAAATAAATCGCGTGCGCATGTCGCTCTTCATAGGTACCTACTCATATACGCGAAGCGGCATTCTGCCACATGTTCCGCGTATAGGTAGCGCTGCCAAGCGTTTCGGGGGAAAGCCTGACTATTACGATTGAAATTTTAGGGCCTAATTTGACTTAAGAAATATGTTTGACGATAAATATTGATTCGTTTGTACTAAAAGCGTAGCAGATATTGCCTTGAACCCTACATACCTCCCCTGAAACCTCCTAAGTGTACAGAAGCTGCAGTCCTCCCAGTCGTTTAGTTCGAGTCCTCTGCCTCTTTCCACCCTAAGCATGCCAGCAAACCAGCCCAGCAATCACGTGCCTGGCTCCTGGATGTCTTTTGTCGCCCAAGTGATGATGGCTGTACCGCTTCGTCTAGAGAACCGTAATAAGTTTCCGAAAGGCTCACGCGACTACTCAGCAGTGGCTCCACGCTCGAGCGTCGTAATGAGGAGGCCATCCCTTCATTATTGACGAGTGCCTTCCATGGGAGCGGGTCATACGCGCTGGAAGCAGTGCTGCTCGCCTCGTCGGCGTCGGCGTCATATAGCTGGTCGAGCTGCTCGTATCGCCATAGTGATGGAAGGTGCTCCGGGATTTTAGAAACTGGCTGTTTGTGCTTGCTCTTTTGTGTCGTTTTGCTGGATGTCTGAAGCGTGTGGTTTTGCTCCGAGCTAGATAAGCTGGGGGAGCTGGAGCTGGATGAGCGAGATGACCTAGAGCTAGGCATTTTCTTCTTAATGTAGGGCCTGAAGGTTGGTCCCTTGAAGCAAACTTCACCGGGGGGTCTTCAAAGGCGATGATCAAAGATAGAGACGCTATTGTGATGAATGCTGATGTATTTCTTTATAAGTAGTCTCCTCAAACACTCAAGTGATGATGTCCGTTTGGACGTCGAGTGTTGCATTTCGTATCAAGTATCGCATGATGAGGTAAGAATGGATTGTCTGTGTTATGTCCTTATTCACATAAAATCAGTATGGGATGTCAGATTGGTTAGGTAGTGACTGAAGAATAAATGACAAATTCACGAGACTGTGAGACTGATAGCATTTTCTTTACAAAAGAGTACCTACCCAGTCTGCATCGACACTGCACAATGCGTATGACATGAGTCACAGCTATTCACTGTGACGTTTATTAGCATATATACATGAGTGAATCTAACTTTCTCGAGTCTCGTATGGGATGTGTACAGTAATCACTACTAACTCCAGTCCCTATCGAGATGCCAACCCTTAGGTTGGAAATACGTGCACTCTCATAGCGTAGCCAATGTGGTGGTAACTCTCCACGTGGAACTGAATGAAAGAGTGAGTGACCGCAACTCGATAACTAGGCACCTAAGTGCTGGGCTACATCTTCTTCTATTGTTGTTCTACCCGGACTTACTTCCCATCGACTTTGTATTTCGGCCCATATCGGCCCCACAAATACTCCGAAAGCTTCCGTAGCTCCGGGGGTTTGGGTCGCAGAGGTTGCTATAACACTATTATCACTTGAAAAGAGGTCATTGCAGTAGGAAAGAGGATTGAAATGCTCATATGGACATGATCTTTAATTCACTAAACTACAATGAGTCCCAAAATAAAAGGTTAAGGGCTAATGAACTAACCCTACAATCCATCCCATGACCCTTTGAGCCAATTCTAAGCCAAATCTACCTACTTAGCAATCATGTCTAATATCCACTAGCCATCCGACGTGCGAGCGCGGGATGTCCAGGTCGGGGGCCGTGTAACTGATATCCACCAGTCCTTGAGATATTATGGGCCAATTGTCCAGCAAGTTTTCAAGATTGAACTCGCTGCTGGTATTGCGACAAATGACCGACCAACCTGGACGCCCCACGTTCCTTATGTATTCCACGGACACGGTGTTTATCTCATTTCCAACTTGCACCGCTCTAAGATTGATTCGGTATTCGTTAGAAATCAGATTCATGACCTGATTGTGTATGTATACGTTCGTTCTGTTATGGCCCAATGAGAAAACCTCAAAGTCAACTATTTCTAACGAATGCGGAAGCTGTTGATCAATATTGAGAGAGTACCTTTGGTGCTCTCCTTCTACGCTGTCATCATAGGCACACGCCCTCAAACCGGCAAGAATATCTAGCGGGAGGTGCAGTTTCGTAAGCTTCTGGAGTGGGCGTAGAGAGCCGAGTATATGTTTGGTATCAATTTCTCGGCCCGCACTCATCTTAGAGGTTTCTAGAATCAAGGTTTCGAGATTAAAGGGACCGTTTCTCAACATATCCCCTATTGCTGGTAGATATGGTCGGTCTATATACCGCTCACAATAGCCGAATGTTATTTTGAGACCACGAAGATTGGGGCACTTAGAGAGAAGATATAGTAAGTCCTCTCCAGTCATCCTTGGGTTACCAAGAATCAAGTTGTGAATACCAATGGTTCCAGGAGCTCTTCTCAGCGCTTCTTCGCTCCAGGTGTTCTGATAACTGGCGAAAGACCTCAGATTAGGCAGTTTAACAAGCTGCGCGGTGAACTCATTGTATTTAGCCAACAGTCCCACCATTGTGCATCCCACTCGTATCTTTCGGAGTTTAGAGAAGTGGCTAGCAGATATAAGTTGAGCCGGCGGTATTCCCTCAGAGGAGCGAGCTTCGTCCCGACTGGATGCGATTTCCCTGGTGATGATGCTGAAAATATTTATCGCATTAAAATAGTCTCCCGGCAAATAGAGAAACATTTGATCGAGGTTTGGTAGGAACGCGAGAGGGAATGTGCTCTCAGCTGAATCAACCGTTCCTTTTTCAATACAACAAAGGAATTTCGACATCAAGCGGGACGGGTATCCAGGTCGCCCTTGTGCTTTCATTACCGCATGACGCAACATATCCGGATGAATTTTGGCATGGGGCCTAAGCATCATTTCAGGCTCATGGGATATAACTATGGTACGGGTATGTTGACCGAGGGCTGGGTTTTCGATCAAAGTCCGAATAAGTAGCCAACGCGTAGTGTTATAAAACGCATAAATCGTATGATATAAGAGTGGCCGGGCGATGCTACAGAATTTTCTTGAGCAACGGGAAAGGGCCGACAAGGAGAGATGCCCGTCTATATACCATGGTCCATGTCGGATTAAGCAAACATCGACATCCGGTAGGAAAGTCGAGAATATAATCTGCAGGACCTCTTCTGGCAATCGATCCATGGTAGCGAATAGTTTTCCTATTCCTGGGTGGATAATATGGCAGGTTGAGGAAATGATGATGTTGATGCCCTATTGATCTGGAAATATCTGGATATTTCTGTAGGTAGGCAGGCCAAGGCATCAAGCACTACTATGTATATAAGTAGGTTAGTAGGTACCTCGTATCCCTGTTAGTATTGGTATTGTTGTGTTGGTGTTGGTGTTGCTGTTTAATGGTGTTCTTTGTTGGTGGGGGAACATTTTTATAAATAAAAAAATAAAAAAAATAAAAAAAGGACGAGGACGTTGTAGTTGCGGAAGTAATGATGCTGGTGTGATGGTAGGAAGGAAGTTCTTTCATTTATGATTTTAATGTTACCTAGTAATGTTTGAAAGCAAGACCAGACCATGGTGACTGCTATTTTCACAGTAGGTACCTCCCAATAAACACAACTACGACCTGTAGTAGTTCGGGCTATAAGTTTCGATCGGCCTCACACAAATATTTACTTTGTCTAAGGTGTATGTCCCTTTTTTTCCTTTTCAACATTAAGGTTCATGTTGAAATGCCCCTTTGGACGCCGCTTGCTTCGCAACCCCTATTCAGACAGTAGAGCTTCCCTTAGAGGTTATCCGAATAAGACTACGACACAACTATTGCTCAATTCAGAAGCTACACATATGAAAAACTTAATAGCTCATTTCAAGGCAGTTCTTGCATTGGAATAGAAAGGAAAGAATGCGCGAAGCCGCCCATGTCCGCCGATTCGAAGCGGAGACAGACAATCGCGTTTCTACAATGCCACCACCTCATTCGTCGTCGTATTTGTCGTCTTAAGGTATTATGTAAGGGTTTGGGCTCGGCGATCCAATAGAAGCCTTATGCGCTACTACGATAAGATCTGATCTGGTATCTGCCCAGCTGAACTACTTAGACTACCGAAATAGGAATTAGCCCTGGTGATCAATCGATCGTCATGTAACACAGATCGATCTACGAAGACCAATCAGATCCAAGTCACGTGGTGCCCTGCCAGAACACCTACTTGACACCGACCAAATAGGCAATAAGCAGAGACATAGCGTAGGTAGCATCATGCCAATACTACATAGGTATCCACTAGAACGAGCTGTTGAGACCGTTATAGTTAAGTACCAAGATTCGAGCAATCTCATTAAAATCCTACGTACATATATGTAAGAAAAATATCACAAAACACCGCGACGCTATGCTCCTATCACAAACTCAAACCCGACAACTTCGACAACGGAAGCCTCTGCCCACCACTGGCCGCCACTCCCGACTTTCTCACCATCTCGATATCTCTCTTTGCCTTACTCGGCGTGGGCTTCGCGCCCGTCACTTTCTTCCACTCGCCGTTGAAAGCGTTGACAAGCCAATTATTCAGTTCTACCATCATGTGTTAGCAAGTCTATATCATCGAGAGAAATGGCCGTCCTGAGAAACTGAGGAGGGAGGGGAACGGGATAAGGAGACTTACTATCGTAAACAATACGATTCGCATTATGGAAGTAGATTCCATGGTTGCTGTCGGGGAACATGTGTAGATCATAGTTCTCCACGCCAGCTAGATCCAGCTTATCCAACAGCGACAGCGTATTCTGCATGTGAACATTATCGTCAGCAACACCATGCATGACCAAGAATCGCACGTTTTGTCCCAGCGCCGTAACGTTGTTGACCGAAGAGGTCGCGTATCCATCGCTATTTTTCTGCGGCGTGAGCATGTACCGCTCCGTGTAAATGCTATCGTAAAATCTCCAGTCCGTCACGGGAGCCACCGCCATACCGTATCGGAACGTAGCACCCGCGTCCTGCTCTAAAGTCTTGAGTGTTTGGAACCCTCCATACGACCATCCCCAAATAGCAATGCGCGACTCATCAGTGTATGGCTTTGCGGCCCATATCTTGGCCGCCGCGATCTGATCATGTGCTTCTGTTACACCGAGATTCTTACGCACAATCACACGAGCCTTACGTCCAATGAATCCAGTCCCACGCCCGTCGACAGTGACAACGATATACCCCAAGGTAGAGGCGATATATGACTGGAAATCAACACTGAAGCGCTTATCCACTGATTGCGAGCCTGGGCCCGAATACTGCTGGAAGAGCACGGGATACCGTTTCTTCGGATCAAAGTGTACCGGACGACGTTCAAGGTAGTTGAGGTCGACGCCATCCACGTTGATGGTGCCGTATTCTAAAAGAGGAAGCTCATGCTTCTTGGCCTTTTCTACAAGATCTGTGTTCTCCTCGATAACGTGATCATATGTTATTGGGTTACTCGGCGTGCTAATAACCTTTTGCGTAGGCACACCGGGCCCCTTGTACGTGATGAGAGCAAATCCAGCTTTACTAGAAAAAGACACGTCATAGTACCCCTCTTTTTGAGTGTCTGTTAAAGGTATGAGGTCCGTCCCATCGAACTTGACGCTATAGACGTGTCGCTGTGTCGAGCCTTCCTTCGTAGCAACAAAATAGGCGCGATTATCTTTCAGGTCTACCGCCGAGGGAGCCGCAACAACCTCCCAGTCTCCCGAAGTCAGCATAATAGGCTGGTCAGTATCTAGAGGACTGAAGTACGCCATATGATCTCTATCGTCGTAAATGATGGTATCAATATAGCCATCTTCTTGTCTACCATTGGCAGGATCGGCTGGGATATAGGTGGTATCGTGAGATATTTCAAACCAGCCACCATCAATCTCGCCCACATCGACCGTTCTAACTGTCTTGCCCGTCCGGGCAGTGACGTCAATGAGAATAACACGCATGATGTCGCTAACGCGATTCGTCTCTTTGACAAGAACCTTGTTACCAGCCCACGTAATATCCGTTATTAGAAGGTCTTCAGGTGCGAACCCTCCATCAATCTCAACAGAGAAGTAGTCACCCCGAGCCATATCGTAGAACAGAAGATCTACGAATGGATTAGGCGAACCAGCCTTGGGATATTTGAGTTGCTGAACTTCAGGATAAGTGTCCTGTCCAGTGGGAGGCTGTTCACCGCTTGGCCTTTCAATGAAGAACTGAATTGGGTATTCGGGCACTAGAGTCTCGTTCGTCCTTAAGAAAGCCACGAACTCCCCATTTTCGGAGCACCACGTCGCGCTATTGTCACCAAAAACTTCTTCCTCGTACACCCAATCCGGGATACCGTAGAAGTACTCGGGGCCACCATCTTTCGTCACTTGTACAACACTCTTAGCTTCAAGTCGTCGTACATACAGGTTATTAGCACTAGTGTAGACGACGGCATCGCTCTGGGGACTCCACTGAGCAAGCTGCACACGGAGCGAGGAGTCATGAGGGTCTAGGGGCTCGGCGGTTTGGGTGTCGACGTCAAATATCCAGTAGACTCCCGTGAAGGAGTGTCTCCAGACTTGCTTGATTTCGGTAACGAGGAGAACTTTCTTCAGATCGGGGCTAGGCCAAGCTTTCTCTGGCTTCAACTGACGGTTGCCAGCTTTAACCCATGCATTCTTGATGAGGGTTTGCGCAGATGTGACCTTCCCACCAGCAGCGGCATGTTCAGCATCTCTACTCCGAACATCTTCAACAATCAGGTAGTCCTTCCCAGCCGCACCTCTTTCTAGAAGTAATCCATCTTCTCCATTAGCACCTTCAATCCAGCTTATTTCGTGACTTCGGGGATGCCAGAACCCTTGCATCACCTGGTTTAGAGTAACCTTCTTGCCGGATCCGCGATCTGCTGTGGCAGTTGGATCGTGTTCCTTGTGGGAGGAATGTTGGTATGATTTCGTCGATAGGAAAGTAAATAGGCCGATGACCCAAGCGGCAACAAAAAGACCTGAGAGGAGAAAAACGACCCGTTTCAATGACTTATCCACCCCAACGACCTTTCTACCCATGGCTGAACCTAGAAAAGCACCGCGTTCGTCGTCGTCGCCATGGTGGAGAGGGTCTTCATCGTCCAAGTCGTGAAATCGGTCATTGAGTTTCTCCCGTTCGTCGAGGCGGTCGAATACTAGGCTAGTGGTAGAGACGGAAGAAAGAGAGTCGTACGATTCCCTCGGGGACGCTGCAATTGAGTTAGCTATGCATGCACTCCTCGGCTTTTGTTTTCTCGTTGTAATGGTCTAGATACCCATTGTCGCGCGTGTCTCCTTATATGGAGACAGAAGCCATTCGAAGGCGATTTAAATATAGCTAGTCCAATCAATTGCACGGTATAATAATGTCAAAGAGAAAAGAGAGATGAATTGAGTAATTTTACCCTTTCCCTCTATGAGGATTTGTTGACTGAAGGTATTCAAGATTGTTGTTTGATAAGTTGTTGCTATCTGGACTATTCAATGTTGTATTTGTATTCTGTACAATTGACTGTATTGCTTCCGGTACATACTACTAACCTAGGTACTGCGTAGTTATGCGACATTCGGCGTTACATGAACATACAGGGGAGGTGGTTACGTCAATTAACTAGTTACCTTCGTACGGCTTGACTTGTAAATAAATAACCAGCCACACTTCACAGCCTCACCAAAGAAAAAGGAATTGCTTACTAATTTTACCCCTTTATTCAACTACAACGACAACTACAAAAGTATTATGAGAAACATTGAACTCGATGAAACAGTTTTATTAAAATTGAAATGATTCTTACTCTATTTTACTCTTACAAATTGATGATAGGAACTGATGATAGAATAAAACCCATACATCTGATCTACCATTCCATGAACATCATAAGCTATCACTGCTTTACAAACCCCTGGGTAATGGTAAGGTGCGCGTCTGTGATCTGGCGGACCAGATCTTCGTCTCCCATATCACTGGCCAACGCAACCCACTCATCCCTATATTGTAGTGTATGGATGAGCACTCCACGCGCGAGGATCATGTTGATGCAGTCCCTGTCCTTCGCCATCATGGGATATTTCAACACCTCCGCCAGTATGTGTATAGGTATGCCCATAGTGAGATATATTCCCAGGACTTCCTGACGCAGTTGATCGTCGAGGTACCAGCCTTCCGGCGAGAAAATGTGTTGGGCCACCGCTCGTGCCACGTCGAAATCTATCAGACGCGCACCGCGCTCGATGAGCATCTTGCACTCATTTAAGAAGGCTAAGCCGGTGTCCCTCCACACCATCTCGTACAACAACTTACCCAAAGCCTCATTGAGATATCCTTCTGTTATGTTTGCCGGCGTAAGCTCATTCAAGATATCCAAAAGTAGCCTATTTCTATCATTAGGTTTATTCATCCTACTTACCGGGCCATAGTGAGCTGCCCACAACAGCAGTGTTTCATTTTGGGCTATTTTGGTATCGACCCGAAAACCACCACGAACGAGGATCACAATCTTCTGATGCGTTATTTCCTCTATTCTTATGGTATAATTTGTGAGATAGCTCATCACATTGCGACCGTGAGCATCACGTGCGTTGATGGAAGCACCCAAACCTATTAGATAAGATACAGTATATGGCATCCCGACCCGGCAGGCTTCCAAGAGGGGTGTACCACCGTTTGGGTAAGTTTCTTCGATGTCCGCACCACCTTCCAGGAGCCTGTGGAGAAGGGAGAAATAATGCGGGTGTATCTCTACCTGAGCAGACCATGCCCAAGCATGGATTGGGTGACATATGTCCCTTACAGATTCGGCCGGTACGGCATCTGCACCATGATCAAGCAAAAGCATTGCATGGTCGTAATAGCGTCCCCTCAATGCACATGTCAATAGCGTCTCCCCATAGACGTCAGCGCGGTTGATATCGACTCCATGCTGGATTAATAGTTGGAGCATCCTGGTATCGTTAGGATCTTGGACTGACATCGCAAGGTCTGCTGTATTATGTCCTGAGGAGGTCCACATGTTGACACTAACTAGGTTCCTAGTTAATATAAACTCTACCACTCGATGCTGCCTATTCAATAACCCTTGCTGCAGTGCTGTCACCAACGGCACCTCGGATTCGTACGGTCTTATATCATCATACTGAGAGAAAAAGGGGGTCGCGCCACGACTGAGAAGCATGATGGCGAGGTCTTCATTTTTTGAGTTCATTGCAGCTTTCAGGGGCGAAGCCCAGGCTGGAGCAACAACAATGCCGAGAGGTTCATATTCAATTACTCGCGGGTTTACATCCGCGCCGTGGTCAAGGAGCCATTGCACGGCATCGGCACTTCCATGGTGACAAGCTATTCGAAGTGGACTTTCGCTATCGTAATGAAGGTCCAAGCCGAAGGCGTTGGCTAGCTCTAATGTGGCGATGTTATTATTAGTGGCTGCCATAGCAATGGCCCACATGGAAGTCGCGTAGTCCCTGTAAAGCACCTCATTGCCGACATTGCGAAGGCGGCGATTAACTCTAGCAAACCTCAGGAGGTTTGATACCCCCAATGACGTACCATACGAATCGAAGGATCTCCCAATGTGAATCAGCAACTCATCCGGCAAGTCAAGTAGGCCCGGCATTGTGATAATTCAGAGAACTTAGTCTTAATAGTAATTAAAAGTGTAATGTCGAGCAGATTAGTGTGAGCACTTGAACGAGGTTTTCGGTAATATTGTGGCAGCGCAATATAGAGACGCTAAGTCATTGCGTACGTACTAATATATGTGCGGTGGAGATATAGGTACTGTTTCTAACAACCGTACTGTTTAAATAAAGGGTTTTGTTTTTAAGTACACAGATATTGTTAGATAAGTCCACGGGTACCTACCTAGGCAGATGGATGCTAAAGAGTGATTCCCAAAGTCTTAAGGAGGATAGGCTCATTTCCATGTTCATACCTTGGTAGCTATAATTGTGCGCTTTCAAACCGCTGTTGATGGAAATAATTAAGTTATGCACAGGTGAAAGCTCCGTGTCTTTTGAGAACCTTGGGAATCCCAGGCGCCGGAGTCAACTCTTGACTGCCGGTATTCAGTGGCCCTCCCTGGTAAGTCTGGCAAGGCTTCCGCCGACCATGGCCTTAATAGTCCCTTCCAAGAATCTATTTGCGCCGTTCTCTACTGACATCACCACTCCTACCTGGTTGCCAGCTCGCATGGCACGTCTGAGTGGCACTGGTCTTCTAAGCCGAAGCGTTGATATGCGGCGAATCTCAAGCAATGAACGTATAACGTTTATGTTGCCCCTGGTATCGGCTTCCTGAGGCATTGTGTTAAAATCATAGGAGCAATTCAGTTTATTGATTTGAATTACCTCTTTAGCTTACAGGGACACGCCAGCCAAGCCGTTGCAAAACGTTGCTAAATAATGCAAAAAGAGGTTAAAATCGATATATCAGCGCTTAGCAGAAAATTCCAGTAGGTGATCGATGTGTTGAAAAGTCCTGCCAAGGGGTGGCCACATGGACCCCCGGCGCTCTTCACATGGAATCAAAATGTCAATACTCCTTAGTGTAGGTATAAGGTATATAGACATATCCTACAGCTGAGAGGAACTATGAAGTTTTAGGGCGTCCTGCTAGCACAAAGCCGACTTGATGATCACCAAGCAATAACACTGTTTCGTAGAAAGCTTTTATTTATCAGACTAAAGCCATGTCACTTCTTATGTTCGCATTCTCATCCTTTTAACTGAATTCGTTATTTGCTTGGAAATTTTCTCTTTCTACTCTGATACAATCATAGTATCTTTTCCCAGCTTTAAATCTGAGTATTTTGTGCGCAGAAGGTTATCTAGTAACCTATAGTGGTTGGACATTGCGTACCATCAACGCACGTAATGTTATCTGTGTGTGATTTGAGCCATACTAATCTTAGGATATTAGTCCTTTGAAGTCTCTAAGGTTATACCTTGAACTGCACGTAGCTGAAAATTTTCCTTTGTTATGAGTAGGATTTAGGCACTTTTTAATGATTTGGGCAAGTTGTCACTGAGATTCTAAGTTTTCTTTATTTATCTTCATTACGATTAATTGTTGATAGCCTCTATTGCTTTTTGTTTGTTCACCCATAGAACAGTAACCCACAGCAGCAAGCATCTCTTCAACCGTTAAACCGAAAGGATTTGTCTATGCTGGTCATACATGAGTCCAAGTTGAAGATGCTTTATCATTCCCTCCGTACCTAGGCACATACTTGGTTAGCTCCTTCATCCTGCCAGGAGTTCTACTTGAATATCATCTAGTATTTCCTACGTAGTTTGCCACATATGTATAGAAGGGGAGAGGGCCACACGAAGTTGATGATAATGTCATTATATACGCATCAGTAGCGCTACTACTATGACGTTTTTATCACTTCTTATAAGGCGTCTAATCATGCCCTTAAAAACTGTTACATCCATCTTGAAAGTGAACAGCAGAATGCGCTGCAGTTACTTGCAATTAGACAATCTGCTTACCTTGGTTTATCAAAAACACTTCCAAAATCTCCATCAAGATCGATAAATAAGACTAAATTTCATATTTTTAGGTGCGAGCATAAAAATAGCAACCCAGTGCGGTACGTCTATATGATATCTAGATGAAGACATAGTGTCCTGTGTGCGGCAGTATATTGTATATGAATACCTGAGGTACGTAAGGAACAACATGCGCAGACTGTCTTTCGCCCCTAAGGCATCAATAGTAGTCCACAACATTCACTTGCCATGAGGCTAATAGGTATCATTTGGTGAAGTATTACCTAGTAGGCCATATGTATAGCCCTCAAGCTACGTACCAGAGTACATCGGTACAAAGGCGAGCAAATTTGAAGGTATTTCTTGTCCTTCGCGTAAGGGCTCAATTATTGATACCGTACACTTCACTGCCGCAGCGGCCTGTCACCCTTAGGCACATATCAATAACGCGAACCGCACTGTTTTCCATTACCATTCTCCCACTTATTTATATTTATTCTCAAACGACTCGCATAAATAATTTATAAATTTCCTCCTCCGTCATCAATCACTTCGCTTGAACCATCTTCTCCTCCATCCAACGTCACATTCACAATCCACTCACATCTCACTTCATACTCAATCATTTCTCAAGTGCATTTTCATCACTCTTTCCTTGAGATATTATAAATAACTCTACTTATCATCTATCTCTACATTCCTCAATTCCCTGATACCTACACGGTATTCACTTGCTCTGGTACACTCCATAGGGAGTCTGGGTTCTCTGAAGACCTTCTCTATCGCAGTGCTCCGGAGACCGAGAACACGTCTACTCCTACTTCTCGTCCATTGAAAGCAAGCGAAAAGAATAGACGAGAATCGGACTCACTGAAGGAGTTTTCGACCTCATTTGAAAACACAAAGTAAGTTACAAGGTAGCGAAAGCAATAAGCAGCCAGCACCTGCTTGATGATGGACTAACACCAAGATAGCCTTTCAAAAAGGAAATTTCTACATCGACCCGACGATCTTCAACGTCTTGTGTCTCGAGGTAAGTACATTTCGCAAGTATTCAATTGCCACCGATGACCGTTAATCTAATGTTTTGCGTGTACAGATGTCTTCCAACACCTTTTTTACGCCCTCGGGCCAGCTCGTCGAAGAGGTAATTGAGCAAGGAATGCCCAACATTGCGCAGCTATCTCTACAGCAAGGCGCCGGGTACAAGGGCCATAACCCCACCCAGGGAAAAAGGAGCGACCAGATTCCAGACAACAAAAACACTAACATCTGGTTAACACATCTCCCTCCGACAACAACTCCACACGACATCCTTCAAAACATCCGGGGTGTCGGTAGAGTCCAGGCCCTGTGCATTAACCCACCACGAGCAGACAATAGTGGCGTGGGCCGGAGATTTGCTGCTGCCTCCATCTGCTTCTTCCTGCGGTCGGAAGCAGAACACTTCCTGCGCCTTTGCATTAGCAGGCAGTTCCAAGTTGGGGGTCTCACCCCCCGGGCCTCGTGGAACCGGAACAAAAGAGCGGAAATCCACAACGCGCACGCGAGCCGCGTGCTCATGATTGTGGGGGCGCAGGAGTTCGTGCGCCGCGAGTTTCTCGACGAGTACTTCGCGATCAAGTTCGTGTACCAGATCGACGAGGTCATCGACCACGGGACTATTCAAGCCAATAATGGCGGGTTGCTTGGACAGCTGGAATACCGATTCAGCTCGTATCGGTGCCAGTCGCAGTTTGCCTCGATGGCTCTGCGAACCGAGTTCGTGCCACTTCGGGTTCTCGTGGCAGACTATGGCTTTGATCCGTGTGCCTAAGAAGGTCGCCGCCAATCTGCCACATTGGCTTTCTACACGGGTACTTGATACCATGGTACCTCTTCCTTCTATTGCTCCGGCTAAAGACATCTACTCCTGACTTTCCACCCAACATCTCCCACCCCCGAGGTTCTTCACGAGGTGGGCCGGTGTCGTTGTCGCTCGAACAAATACAGGAATCGCAAGACACATTCCCTGAAGCTCACACGAGAGGGAAAGAAGAATACGACAATATGGCGGCTGAGATACGGCTGTAAACTGTACACACTGTCGGAAGTTGGGCATGTACAAGCATCGCACTCTATTGCAAATAGCCAACACTATATGCTCGCTGTCGGGCTTGCGACGACGGCAGCGACAGACCAATTCTTCAAGGCGACGCTATCTTAGCACGACTCGTTCCACCTAAGCCAGGATGGCCTATGGCCTGCGGCGGATGCATATTATCCCACACCATCTGGGGGGGTGTCTCCCTAACCTAAGTACATACTGTTTGGCTTCGCTCTATATACCATACCCATTGAGTGATTGTCGAACAACTGACAACGCAGCTCTAAAACTTCCTAAGCAAAGAGCAAGGGCGACGGAAACAAAACAAACTGGCCGCCCTGGGCTGGGCATCGCAAGTGGATAAGATCAGTCAAGTCATCCCTTGCGGACGGTGCTCCGCCATCACACGGCAGATCACCAACGGCTTTTGGGGGAGTTGATACTCAGGAATGGGGTCCGCTTGTTCCTTGGTGAACATAACGTCCTTCATCAATTGTCTTTAAGCTTAGGCCGGAGAACCTCGCGGTGGGATGGTCGATGAAGAAGTAGGCTGGTGTTGTCTCTCCGTCCTTGCTTTCCTTGTAGGCCGTGATTGTCCCCAATCGGCTTTTGCGCGCCGTGGAAAATGTCAGGCATCAATCCCATGATTACAGACATTGCACAGAGCTATAGAACGTTCACACGAGGCGCAAAGAGGTATATGTCGAACCCCCCCGGAGCTTTGTCGAGTGAAGGCCTCCGCCACGTCAGTACGATGTCATGATTCGAATCTTGCCAGCTATGTTGGAGATCAAGCCTTCGCGGACGGAGTACTTTCCATCAAACGATGCATCTCCATCACACTTGAGGGGGATCCAGGGGAGGTTTTGGCCTGATCCATGTATCAATAACATACGGCTTGAAGGTCTATAGTGTGCCCAGGCACAGAAACGACGTACACAGCATACAACACACACGTGTATAGAGGCATCAATCAAATGCTCGAAATACCTTTGTGTAAATGTGGTCTGATGTTGAAGTGAGGCGGCGTGATTTGACCTACTGTACCTAGTTCTCACATGTATTACTTTCCCCTTTGTACCGCGCGCGTAATGTAAATTATCTGCTTGGAGAAATATGCTGTCGGCATTAAAACCACTAAATCCTTCAATGCATTCAACAATTATAGGACTTCTGTGAACGATTCGTTCTCCCGTATCTGAAACAAGTCCTAGCCTAGGACTTTCATGCTGACCGACCGCCATCAATAGCGTCACATTCGTGGTCGAATTTTTCTTTTACACCAGTTTCATTCTAATAAGACCCTGGATCGTGAAGATGGAAAGGGGGGGTGTGGAAAAGAACTCCGGCCGGGAGCTGTACTTTAGCTATCCGCAATCTAACCTAGCAAATACCCCATGAAGAAAGGAGCCGAAATCGTGCCTACATGGAAGTGTTACTAGGTAGGACTTGCCCATACCAGGCCAGGGGCAACTAGAAGGAATCTTACATGCGGCTAAGCCACCCCCCTTTCTTACACCTAGTGTGATGCCTAGCAGCACTACCTAGGCCCTTTTAGGGGGCCATCACTTCAAAGCTGCCAATTGAATCACGGACATTGAACAACAAAAACAATAGCATCATAGTGAATAGTGAAAAGTTTTTTTTTTTTTTCAATTGGGTATCATGCTATAAGGAACAAAGCTTAGGTGGCACAAAGCCGACGCCCATTCGATGCAATCTGACTATCTAGATCTATATACCACGTAGTGTAGGTTAAGTACTAGGTGGTGTGACATATACAAACAAAGAATCCTCCTTTTTAGCGTTTTACCTAGGTAGGACACCTTATCCAATGTACTTCGGTAGATACCTAGGTAGACATGCTATCCAACCTATAGCGCAGCAGCAACGCCCAAGAAACCAGCAGCGGCCATCGCGCCCGCGACAAAGCCCGTAGGGCGAGCAGCAGCGCCCGTCTGGGTCGACGAAGCGCCGGCGGCAGTACCAGTAGCGGTACCGGTAGATAGAGTGCCGGTGCAGTTGCTGCCGACGTAAGCGCTGAGTGCATATACGATCTGGGAGACGGAGGCGGCGTCCTCGGTGTCGCCACACTGAGAAGCGAGAGCAGCAACATCGCTGCTGTGCTTCGCGAACCAGCTGCTGGCCTGCTGGTCGTACGCGCTGTAGTCGGACGACAGGGACTGCGGGACGTCGGCGGTGACGGCGCACAGGGCCGCCGGGTCCGTGAGGTCTGCCGTCTGCGCCCACGACGAGAAGTACGACAGCAGGTTGTCCGGAGGCTCGGGCGCGTCCGTGATGATGGCGAGGGCGGAGGAGGCGCACGCGAGGTTCGAGGCCCCGGATTCGGTGACGGTGGCGGATTCGGTGGTCTCGGCTTGGCGTACCTCGACCACGACGTGCTCCTCGCGCAGGCTGTTCAGGCTCCGGAGGGCATTCGGGTGGTTCAGGGCCATGGCGGTGGAGGCGAGTCCAAGGACGGCAAGGGTGGTGGTCTTGGAAAGCATCTTGATGGTTGTTGGGCTATTATAAGTTGAAGGATATTTCGTAGTCGAATTTGTTGAATATTTGAACTTTGTTAAACCGTTTTTGCCTTTTTGAGCTGAAAGTTTGGAATATACTGTAGAAGATGTGTACTACTAGTAGTAGGGCGACAGCTGACAGTTGGGAGCTGAGAAGAGAGTTTTAAGACAGCTTGATCCTATATATTATATATAGCCCCTTCCAGGTACGTAAGTACTTGTTGTAGTATGATCAATGATATGTACATATGATAGTAGTTTCAACTGTGCCATTGCGGCGTTGACTATGTACATGCTAAGCAGGCAACCTACTAGTAAACCATGGCGTTGATTCTATGATGGGTATCCTAGCAGGCAGTCCTTGGCGATGAGACGGCATCGCATGTTTTGGGCTTAGTACGGGGTATCTAATAATCTTAAATTGCGGGCAGATGTGAATATTCTATTTATTCCGTCGTTTGGGAGCCAATTAGAATGAACTCGCTAAGTAGCTGAATATTTAGTTGCGATGCTAAGGTCAAACAATTTCAACGACTCAACTGTAGTTACCGTACAGCACGGTCAGCACCGCTGCACCAGCAGGTCCAGCACTACTACTAGGTATACTATGTCGTACACTAACAGTGATAGCGTCAATAGTTACCGGTACCTGAATAACTTATTAACTTGAATTACCCAAGTACCTATATAATTATATATAGTATATGGTACTAGGTATCTAGCATCAAACTTCAAAATAAAGAGGATCAGAGCCGGGGTACCTCTGGTAGGCAAGAATTACCATTATTGCATCCATATCTACTTGTATCCGTCTCGGCCGTTATACTAAATAGGTAAGCTGGCCACTGCTGGCAGGCCGGAAGGATTCTATCCAGCCTCTTAATACTTGAGGTACTTACCTAGGATAGGTACTGTAACTAGGTATTTAATAGTGTAGCTGCCTAAACTACCTACCGGGTCTACCCCTACTGTGGTGCATGTAAGCACAACCGAAAGGCGGCTGTGTTGGTCACCAGTCCTTCATTTGACGTCACATTAGTTATATAATAAGATGTTTGTAACTTGGTATAGGCCAAGAATTGATATTGTACACTCAGGTATCACGAATTCCTCCGCCAACTCCACACAACTTCAATTCTCCCATACAACTTTTACTCTGAATGGATCAATGCCATTGTTCAAGTGGCAATGGCCACAAGAAGAAAGAAAACTAAATAATGGATGATTCTAGGTAGGTATCCACTTTCTATTAATACATGTATGCCGAGGTGCCCAGAAACAACGCTGTATGTATTTGGGTAACGGCCTATTACATGAAAGTCATGAATGGAGTCTCCATCAATTTTTAACTTGGCATCATGGAATATTGCGAGTCGGCACATACCTACCGCCCTATGAAGCTTGGCTGACGAAACCTATCAGCCCTACACCACTTGAGAATACTACCTTTACAGCTTGGCGCCTTCTCAGATGCTCCTCCCGTCTCATTCAGCCTACAGACATTGTGAATGCCTTGTTCATGAATCGGTGGCATTTTCGACACCGAAAATGTGCGTTGGCTGTGTCTTTTCATGGCTTTTTGGAAATTAGGATTGCAGATCTATGCTCATCTCACATCGTGAGATTCGGATTACATCTCAGCACTTACATAGGATGTGTCAACATCAAGAAGTTACACTTAGTCACGTGAAGAAGGGGAAACTTGCACAGACCAAGGAATAGGGGCATTGAATATATTTCAAACCTATCCGGAAACATTTATAGAAAATAACTATCCATAACCGGCACCCATCGACGTTCGCGGCTACTAGATTCCTTCGTAACTTACTACCTAAACGAGTACCCAGCTCGAAAACAGAGAAAAAAGCGCATATTACCGAGCTTAGTTACTCAATGCGGAGCCTCTCCCCCATCCACATACTCCAAACCCCAGGCCGTTAAATTATCCTTGATCTTCTGCTCGGCCTGCACTGCCTCCGCAAAAAGCCCCATATCCTCCAGCAAATCCACGACATCATACCTGCCGTCCTCGCGCTCCGCGACATCGCACATCTCGATGACCTGCAGGAACCTATCCACGGGGGCGTGTATCGCAAACCTCACCAGGCCAACGACGATCTTCGCCCACGTCTCAACCCAGGGGGTCAACGTACCTTCTGCGCCGCGGAACTCGATCGTGCGCCTCGCCATGGGGGCTCCGAAGCCGTCGCAGCGGTATCCGTCGAAGTTGACGAACCCCCGAGCTGACGTCTCCAGCCGCCACTGGATCTCGCAGCTCGACTTCGCTTCGTAGATCCTCGCCACACCCGGCCACACGCCCAACTTCGGCTGATCTACGAACGTGTTTAATGGCAGTGTGCTCTTTGCGTAGCGCTTATCGTCAGGGCCGAGCGCGTGCAGCATGTCGGCCGTGTAGTGCGGGCTCTTGATGCGCGGCGTCCGCCGCGTGCGCTCCGGTGCAGGAGCCGGTGCTGTCCCCGCTTCTCGGGCTTGCGTTACTTTCTCGGTGGCCTTGGCGACTCTCGCCGCGACGAAACCCGCGAGGCTCATCCCGTCGTACGGCGGAGGCGCGGGGTCAACCGGCAGAGCCGGATCGTCGAACGGCTCATAGTGGCCTTCTTCACGGGTGTGTATAAAACGATCCACCATGGCCTGTGTGTTGACCTCGGAATTACGCTCTCGCCAGGATATCGGCCTCTCGCCGTGGCGCACTTCGGTCGCGAGGTACTGCGCGCAGATCTCTGTTTCGTCCGAGACGATGAGGCCATCCCGTTGTGTCTCCGAGTGATCTTTCTCCTCATCGAGATTGTTTGACGCTATACGGCTATTTCCACGCCTGAGAGGGAAGTTAGTCAACTGGCTGCATACCTTGGTATGTAGGTAAATAAAAGGGGTAGACTTGAGGTATAATATCTCGAGACCGTCACAGGCAGGCAGTGCTAGTCTTCGAAATTAGGTGCAAGGAGAAGGGCTATTAGGAAGGCAGGGAGGTAGGTAGGTACTTACAATGTTTCCGTGTAAATGTTTGCTCGCCGCCACGGGTGGCAGAGCGTCAGCAATAAGTGTTCGGTTGCCCAACTCAGGGCAGCAATACGCCGTACAGCGCCGTGAGGAAAGAACTCGGCGCAGGACCCGACGTGGACGTGGAGTCCGCAGGTCAGGTTCACGCGCGTTCTATACGTGCTGATTATAAGATTTCTGGCATACTCGAGGGCGTCAAAGGCCACGGAAATGTTACGCTCCGCCGGGGACCGGACCTCGACGCTCATCCACTTATATTCGTTCATCTCAAACTCCTGGAGAGTTATGTCGTGTGTAATGTCCCACGATCCCAAGTGTTGGATCATGTTGTTGACGTAAAAGTTGGTATGCTTGTGCATCCGGGGGGTGATCCTGGTGGGGAGGCCATGCTTGTCAAACAACTTCTCAAGGATTTCGGTAACTATGATCTTCGGCGACTCGCCAGGATCTACTCTGATGACCGGAGGTAAGCCCGCAACGTCACCATGAGGATCGGCATCGCCTGAGCCAAGGTAGGGAACTAGAAACTCTAGCTCTACGCCGAAAGTCAGGTCGCTCGGCCGCGGGTTTACTGGAATTGGGTTGCTTGATGCCATAATAGGTAGGTATCTAACGTAGCGTCTTATTTTCTTTGACAAGCAGACAAAGAACAATCGAGAGCCCTCAGGAAGAGAAGTCTTTGTTATTTCTCTATTTCCATTATGCTGCTTTCCTTCTGCCTAGTTATTCTCTATATACGGTGCTGAACAATCGATTGTTGGCGATCATGTGGAAACATTTCCTGTTATACTAGTACAATTTCTATATTTTATGTGATCGATTTAATTTACGGACAACCTCAAGGTCGTTCGAACGGTGATGATTGTACTAAGAATGGACCTGTACCTAGGTAGGTATATGCCACGCCTTTAATGCAGATTAGGGGGGGTTGAATTCCAAGAATATAAAGTTACCCATACCTCATACCACGACCAACAGTCGTGATGTCTCTTTCAAGGTAAGCAATCCTAGGTACCTAAGTAGGTAGATAGGTACCTAGATATATAAGGCCATGCCAGACAAGTAGGTGCCTATATACAACATTAAGCAATACCAGACGCACGTATCGTGCTCCCGCCATTCTGGAGCCCCTTACCTACCCAAAGTCTCCGCCGTACTCCGCGAGCCTCCTTTATCAGACCCCCGGTTCGCAGCATTCCACTCCAAAACCTGCTGACAGATCCCCTCCAACGAGTTGTACACCGGCTTATACCCAATCCCCCCGTCCTCCACGCTCCGCCGCGCCGCCTCATCCGAGGCTATCAAGTGCGTGGCCGCGGTAAAGATCGGCGGCTGCAGTCTCGCCAACTCGCCCCTCGGCCTCGGCACGATCCACCCGAGCACCGGCATCCGGCTCGCCCAGTCGAAGAACTCGACTACGTAGGCAATAACAAGCATCAGCGCCGGCTGCAGGTACACGAAGCGCGTCCCGGCGGTGCACGTCAGCAGGCGGTAAAGATCGCAGAACATAAGCGGCGGCCCATCGTCGGTCACCACGAACGGGCGCCCGGCGCATTTCGGCATCTCCCCCCCCTCCCCCTCCCCCTCCCCCTTCAGCAGCGCGGCCTCGAAGTCCAGATGCGCCAGCGACACGTGGCCCGTGTGCACGAAGTTCTCGACGACATTCGGGATCCACGTCGGGCACGTGCCGGCGCAGAGCAGCGGGCCCACCAGGACATCGTTGTGGCTGCATCCGTAGACGCCGTTGGCCGGCCGCACGATCCCCGTGCGGAGGCCCGGAGCGTTAGCCTCGGACACCAGGCGCTCGCCGACGGCCTTGGCGTGCGCGTAGTTCCCGAAGAACCGGCCGTGCGCGCGCACGGGGCGCTCGAAGTCGGCCTCGTCGACGGCCTGCCAGAAGTGGCGCGGCCACCACCGCCGGGAGAAGGGGCTGCTGCCCCAGTAGTCGACCGGGACGGCGGCGATGGAGCCGGAGGACGTGGCGACGAGGACGGAGGCGCGGGCGCGCTGGGAGGCGGCGAGGACGTGCTGCACGCCGTCGATGTTGACGCGTTTCACGGGCGCGTAGGTCGCGAGGAGGCGTTCTGAGGGCCTGATGATCGCGGCGGTGTGGAAGACGGTCAAGGGGAGGGTGCTGACGCTCGCGGGCCATGGTTTGGTGAAGGCTGCGGAGGTTGCTGGCGCGGAGGTGATGTCGGCTTGTGCGAAGTCAACCCTGGCCGCGAGCCCGGTCGTCATGTCAGGCCTTTCTGGCTTCCGGAAATCAACGATCCGTATGCTCTCCGGTGACTGTCCTCGTTCCAGTAGATGCAACACTATCTGGCCCCCCACACCACCGCTGCCACCCGTGACGATGTACCGGCGCTCCAGTTTTGGCGGTAGGTGCTTCTTCCAGGTCAGCGGGTTAGTTTTTAGTCTTTCGTAGGTTTCCATGATCTCCTGGTCTGTCCAGCGGCGCGGTGAGGCTGCCAACACTTCTGGCGGCGTCTCCTTTAGTGCGCTGTTGAGCTTCCAGACCCAGGCGACGGCTATGATGATAAGTGCCGCAATGGCGGTAAACGCGACTTGGTTAATTGAAACATCCATCTTTCCGTTGCTCCCCTCGTCCTCTTAATGATGACTCTTCTCCATCCGAGTTAAGCTTTCTGTCTGTCCTATTGAAAAGAAAAAGTTGCAAAATGTGCTTTTATTTACCTACGATGGCCCCTATTAAATAGGTACCTAGGTACCTGTGTGGTTTATCCTCAAATACGAATACGAAGCATTTCCAACTAGGGCAGTCTCCAGCAACCGAAATTGCGGACTGTGGGATAGCCAACGTGAGGCGGTCTGTTTCCGATCCCAACCATCTCGAAAGACTCATTCGTGAGTTATATCCGTAATTGGAAACAAGAACATTGAATGTGTTGGGTCAGCTTTTGCCCTTTTGAAGGATTCCTGATGAGAGTGGCTTTCCGTAGAGCCAATGGGGCCGACGCGGCGAGCCGCATGCCGTAATATCCACTTATACAGTAACCCCCCATCAGGATCTTGGCCAAGCGGGGGCTCCGAACCGGCTCCTTACCTACCCTAAGTACATACCTACTAGACCTAGGTAAGTAATCCTTTTTTACTACATACCTAGGCATGTAACTAATAGGGCGCCAGAATAAAAACTTAGGTTATAAAGGGGTAAGGGGTTCAGGCGCTGCACACCGGACCGGATCACTAGGTATCTACCTTTCAATCTCACGCCAAACACCCAACAAACACCACAAAACAATGGCACAAAAACCACCAATCACCATCCTCCCCCCTTCGGGCGGGCCCCCACTAGCCATCGTCCTCTCCGAAGCCACAACCCCGGAATCCCGCTCCCGCTGCTTCAAGCTCGCCTCCACCGCCTTCGGCAAATCGCTAACGCCAGACCAGTACGTGGAGCGGGAAGCGCAGCTAGACCAGCACCCCTTGACGCGGGACGGCGGGTGGCGCTTCTGGTACCTCGCGGCGGCCGACGAGCCCGAGCACGTGCTGGCCATGTGCAAGACGATGCACCGGGACCTGCTGGTGCGGGACGCGCGCGGCGGGGGGGCGGCGCGGCGGGAGCAGGGGTACTGCATCGCGAGCGTGGTGACGGACGCGGCGTACCGCGGGCTCGGGCTCGCTCCGGTGTTGTTGAAGAACGTGGCGGAGTGGATGGATGGGCCGGGGGGTGCGACGGCGAGTATACTGTACTCTGACATTGGAGAGGTATTTAACACCCACCTATCCTATCCTAACCTAACCTTCCTAATTAGCTCCTTAACAAAATCACCTATTTGGACGAAAAAAAAAACCCCCAAATTTAGTGCAACGGTAGTTATCAACCAGCGTTATATTACCCCTACTTACCTACCTACCTACCCATCTAGTTCTACGTCTCCAAAGGCTGGGACCTCCTCCCCGCCCTACAATCCACCCTCTCCGTCCCCTCCACTCTGCCCCAACCACCACCCCCCCTCCCCCAAACCCGCCCCCTAACCGACGCCGACCTCCCCGCCCTCTGCGCGCGGGACATCGACAACCTAACGCAGCAGTTTTCACAACAACAACAACAACAACAACCCAGCTCAGACGACGACGACCACCACCACCACCACCACACTCTCGCAACGGTCCTGCCCACCGCCGACATCATCAGCTGGCAGCAGCAGCGCGCGGACTACATGAGCGCCGCCGCGCTGGGAGACGGTCAAAAAGAAGCGCCGCTGCCGGAGGTCAAGGGCAGCGTCTGCGAGAGCGCGGGCGCGTGGGTGTACTGGTACCACGACGTGGCGGCGCGGCGGCTGATGATCCAGCGCGTCGTCCAGCTGCGGGACGACCAAAACGAGGCGCTGGCGCGGTTATTTCTCGACGCGCTGGAGGAGGCCGCGCGCTGGGGGTTGGCGGGGGTGGTGGCGTGGAACCCGAGTGCGGAAGTGCGGGGGGCGATGGAGTGGGTTGCTGGGGAGTGTGGGATAGAGGTCTTGCATGAGAAGCGGGAGGTCACCGAGGTGCCTTGCATACGGTGGCGGAACGGCGAGAAGAGGCAGGCTACGGTGACTTCGGTTGAGTTCTATGGATGGAGCTAAACATCTTCTAGGTGCCTATGCTTGCGCGGTAAAGATGCTTAGGAGGGAGGGGAGGGGGATTCACAATTTACTAGGTCACAAAGATCGACATGGCACGAAATATGATTAGAATTTATACATTAGGTTGGTATTTATTTACAAAGCGGCTACGAGTCAACGAGCGTGCTGTCCACCAGTCTCTTACACTTGGCCAGAGTGCAGAGACAGGCTTTCAGTATTTCTTGCAAGATATCGAAGCTTGGGTCCAGCGCCTAGATCCAATCCTACTTGCACGGTTAGCGTGCTTAACTAAAAGGCTACTCTTTCCCTCTCTCTTAGTGTTGAACGAGAGCGAGTGAAGGGGGCAGCGTGAGAAGCTTGGAAGATATTTCACTTCCTGCTCGGGGAAGCACTGCAACCACAAATTCCTAAGTGGATGGCAGCGCAATTCGAAGGGACTCTGGGGTTAGTCCTTCTACTTCTAAGCGTGTTGTCAGCAGGCATCACGCCCTTTGTCAATATGTTTAGGTTAGGGTGTTAAGGGTTGGGGCTGCACCCTATCTGATAGGTATGCAGCAGCACCTTATACTTGTAGTCTCGGCTGGCACAGCGGTAAGCAAAGACATAAAGTATCGTCTGACTTACAGGTCTTAAAACAACCATTTGGCTTGTGTCTTAAGTTTGAAGGGATGAGTGGATGGGTAGGTACCCGAATTGCCACCTCTATATACCGCGACTAGTCCTTGCTTACTACCTACCTGCCGGAGTCAGGCAGCAGGCATTCTCGGGGTCGGAGCGTATTAAAACTTCATTGCAATCGGTGTAAAGTCATCACAACCACATATACTCCTCCTCGTCTTGACTATCAACGTCACTCCCCTTCTCTTTCTTCATCTCCAACTCTGCGACCCTTACCTCGAGCCTCTGTCTCATCGTCCTATGGTAATGAGCCACTCGTTTAGCGTTGTCACGATCTGCTAAGACGTTCCTGAGGGCTTGGGGAAGGGCCTTGAAGTCGTTCTCGTCCAGCTTCTGGTCCTTGGCCAAGGCTTGCGCCAGGGGGTAAAGATCAAACAGCCTGTCACGGTCCTGAATAATTGTCTTCAGCGCCGTTTCTAACGCCGTGATATCGTTCAGATCGATCTCTTCTGCTTCCGCGACTAGAGTCGCCAAGGGCAATAAGAATTGTAGGCTACATTTCAAATCGCGTATTTCCCTCCTCTGCTTGTTCCAAAGGTGCTTATAACAATCATCCACAACAAGGAGGTCTTCGGAAGCGTCGTTATTCTGCAGCGCGGGCTCATCATCTGGCGCCGTGACGATTATATCTGGGATATCGCTGGCAGGAATCTCATTACCAGGAATCTCGTAACCAGGGATCTCGTCATCAGGGATCTCGTATTCCTCGACATCGTCAAAGCCTGCATCTTCCCACATTCGGTCCCTGTCATCGGTGTCGACATGCCAGGCCTCAGGGTCAGGAAACTCGGAAAAGTTCGTGGGAATCTCTCTAGGTAAGAAAAGTCGCCCCTTTCGCCGTTCAGCTTTGATTGCTTTCAACTGTATGACCTCGGGGTTTATTTCCATTCCAGGATCTAAGACAACTCGACGGGATCGACCAGCTTTAGAGGGGGCATCGACTGTACGACCATGGCCCTCATCCCCAGGTCTCAGCAAGATCTTTTGAGCAGGAAATCTACCTTCCATATTGTCAAGCCATCGGACAGGGTGCGAGCCAAGGGCATCATTCTTACTCGCCAGGCTTCTCCTCCGAGTGCTCGTAAGTCTTGGCAAGCTTGACACAGACATGGGGATCTCCAACTCAGGCAATATTCGAGACCCTGGCATTAATGAAGGCGTAGGTTCGAGAGATACTCGGTTAGAGCGTAGGGGAGCCTGGGGTGCTCCTATTCTCTGGGGCTTGCTGATACTGGGTCGCTCCGGGCTGGGCGACTTACCCCTATATTTTCCTAACCAGCGACTCAATGCCCCTCCTATCCCCGTACCATTATTCTCAGGCTGGGGGTCATATGTCGCGCTGCGGCCCATGTTGGCGCCTAAGTGCTCTTGGAGTGAGTCATACGCCCGCGTAGACTCGCTCTGAGAGGTTCGATGTTGGTGGCCCTTCATAATACTTGAACCGTCTTGGTTGCGTGATTGAAATTGTGTAGAAGACATGGTCAATTTAATTTGGAAAATTGAGAATTTCAAAAGTTTGATTCGATGAAGTTGAATGAAGTTGATATTGGACAATGAAGAAGAACAGATATATAAATAATGGTGTTGTAAGTTTGAACTGAACAGATTGATGGATGCTGCATCCAAGAGAGGGTAGGTGGGGTTTGTGTATATATAATACCATAAACGTTGCCTTTCTTCAAGATCAAAGGGGTTGTTCGGCCACGGATATGTGCAGTTGTCTTTGTTTAGGTATACCTAGTGAGCAACAAAGACCGTGTTTTGACAGCTGGTCTCACAACAATGCATTGTTCAGTTCTCTTGGCATAATCCTCTGTCAAGCAACTCTGTCTACCCACCTAGGTAACTCAGGTAGGTACCAAAGAATTGAGATCTACCCCTTACAAAGACATTCATAGACTTTTGTAGGCTTACTGCTCAATGAACTCAAAGATTCGTAAACCCACTTCGAATCCCGCCAAGAATTGTTTCTGGTTGTCCCCCAGTTGGTCGCCGGTTAAAATTCGCAGACATCGGCGCTGGTCGATGAGCCGCTACACACACATTAGTTATAAAGTAATTTCTTAGTTACATAGGGGGCTAACCCCGTGGTCTTGTCGTCGAGGTGGCAAACCCGTCGGGATTCCCTCCGCCTTGACTAATCTTGAGCCCGGAACTTAACCCAACAGGAGGAAACCTCGTGGAGCTTTGATAGCCATTGGGGGGTGTAGAACCTAGGGGCGGACGTGTGTTGATACGGCCTGACTGCGTTTGGGGGGTTCCTATTACGAGGCCAGGAATGGAAGACAGGCCAATGCCTGCTGATTCGCCAACGCGTTGACGATGCGTTGACGGAGTAATGGGGATATTTGCTGTTATGTAGTTATTAGCCAGCCATACTTGACTTTGCGTATTATATGGAGATTGGGATGATTTACATTGAGCTCCCATCTTGGGCCAGCTGCTTCCATAGCCTTGAATCCCAGGCTGGTGTTGGTATCCGGCTGGTACCCTCTGTTGATCGTGGACTATTGGATTATGATGTCCATACGGTGATCCATGCCCTCCATAATTCGTAGGGTTTTCGCTTGTGCCTTCGAACTGAGGGACTCCTACTGATGGGCCATGGAGGGTTGAATCCACTGCATCCTCGGCGGCATCTTGCATTTGCCCAAGCATTGCTTTTCGCTTAAGCTTGTCGTACAACTCCTGAACCTGAAGAAACTTTCGGTTTTTCTCCTTGTATGCCTGCGTCAACTCTTCATTTTTTCTACGAAGACTTTCTTGATCCATCTTCATATCTAAGTACAGCTCATCAATAACGATAAAAACACTAGGTACCTAAGTTAGGAAAGGAGATACTAACTAGTAAGCTTGCCTTGTAAGCTAGTGATCTCTAAATTTGCTTCATTTATGACCTTGTCTAGGTGAACGCTTAGGTTCGAGTATTTCTCGGTGAGAGTCTTGCCGAGGTATTCTTGATAGACTCTGGAGATCTAATGTCAACTATCGTAGACCCCAACCCCGACAGGTATTATTGAGCACATCCGAAATGGGTAACTCACACTTCTTGGGTGGCTTGATAGGCCCAAAAGCTGAGAGCCCGGCTTGTACACTCGATGATAATATTAGGACTCAAGCCACTGAGAACGCTAGTCTTATAGTCTTCGCTGGGATTGAGGTTCGAAATGACAGCGTCGTCGGGGTTCGTTAACTGACAGCCGCAAGCCGGACACGAGTTGCGATGCTCGTGTCGCTGTGCGGTTAAGCCTAGACGGGCAGCGCAGTCGGTACAGAAGATATGACTGCAGGTGGTCACCAATGCTCGGTCTCTAAGCTCTTTTCGGCACTTTAGGGCATTGCAGCGCAGCATTTGATCCATAATGAAGGGGTTGCTGTAGTCTTGGTGACTGAAAATCATTCCTCGTCTTGACCATACATGAATATAATGTTGAAGAATATAATGTTGAAGAAAACATGTGCAGTGAAACTTTGTTTCTCGCCTTTACTACCTAGGTACCTAAGGTAATGCATCAATGAAACCGGATGTACTATGTAGTACCCTAGGTAGCTTAGTAATGTTGAGTTGAGTGCAGAGAAACATTGAAACTAGGGTACCTAGAAAAACGTCAGGGGTTAACTTATTCGTACTTTCCAAGGTTCCATCTCGGTTATCTGGGTTATTTCTAGTAATTTATTTCTAGTAATTTATCTGTCTATTCGACTCTGTTGTGTACCCAGATGGAAGAAACCCAAGAGCAAATTTCACAAAATCATCAAGCAATTCAAGAAAGATTCCAAGCAAATCGCATCAACTCGGCTATCCCGCCAATTCTCATCTCTTAAGTATACTGGTTGTGGAAATGTCTGATCCTTGGTCAGGGGTTAGGTGTGTTAGCTCAGGGGACTCACGTGACCCCCCTAACCAACGTGGCCATTGGAATGCCGTGAGAAAGAAACATACCTACGAATATATATAAATTACTAGAAATAAATTGATGAGATTCAAGTGATGTAATGCTAATGGTAGAATGGACTGTACATGTTTACACTGTGACTTGGCGACCTGGCATGCTATGTCCTTACTCGAGCGAAGTGATTGGGTCCGATTACACAATGCTGATTGTTAGTATAACGTTATCATTGCAAGGTTTCAAGAGCTGAGTAGGTGCCCAGGTACTCACCCAACTTCACAGCAACGATGTTTTTCAGAGAGAGGGAGTAGGTGAGTGTGCTAATCTTAAGCGGTCAAACATGAGCAATGGCTGTATTGTTTATAAAGGTAGCACCTCTCTGAGAATACTTGTACCTCCCACTGGGCTGGGCTGCGTATAGGTACATAGCATTGAGGGAAGTGGTAGCCTTATTCCTAAGGTTGTGTATACGGCTCTACAGATATCCCAAGCCTCGCTAGCCACATTAGTCCCTTACCCACCACACCCACTCCCGAAGTTAAACTTATAAGGTCCCGGAGAACAACATCTACCACTTCCTGGGTGAGAACTCAGAATGTGGGATTTCACCCATGTTGGCTCAGTGGTAAGGTGCGAACACCACCATGCGGCTCCCTTAAAGTGCGGGTTCAGAACGAACACCACTGCGGGACGCCCAAAGGTGCGGGTTCAATCCCACCACAAACCCTTTCCTTTTTTTCTTTTTTTCTTTTTTTCAATTTTCTTTCCTTTTTGCCCTCTTTTTGCCCTCTTTTTGCCCTTACCTACCAAAGTACCTACATGCTAGGTACCTATCTTCTTATTTTATTTTTACCTGCGTTTTCTTAATTTTTCCAGTTGATGCCTACCCAGGTTAGGTATTCTTAAAAAATGAAGCCATTCATACTTGACTTTTCCTATTTCTTTAATTCTACAACTCAAGGCTTGGAAGCGTGTGCTCTAAAGCTAATACATAACATCGATTGACTGAATCAGGACAACGTCTAATAGCACTTAATGTAGGCATGCGATACCCAGCATTCGATCGGATCTACCCATAAGTTCAACTGGTATATATAAGATGGAGATTTCCATCTGTTATGGCTACCTTGTACGTTCAATATATACTCGCATAAAGTAGTACGGGTTTCTTCGTCACCTCTAGAAGAAACCTTGCCACATTACTCACTACATAATACCTAGTGTCGTCAACATGCTACACTGATATCATTGCTTTCTGCCCAGTGAGTTGGTGTAATCGTCGTTGGAAATAGGTGCATATAAGAATCCCTTCCCTACCAGTCTCCAGGAATCTCAAACCCGATCACCACAACATAAAACAACAGATATCGATTAGAAATAGTTAGTAATCTCGCGCTACCTCGACTATTTTCCACGACAGCGAGTAAAGTTATATTCAGCCCAGAATATCAGCAATTATTTATGGGCGACCAAGCCATCGATATTGGCGGAGACCACGTTTCAGTGACAGATATTATCAGCGTATTAGATCTTCCACTGAACGAAATCAAAACCATGAATCGTTCGATGCAAGGGCGAACTTGCGATGGGATCAACGAGCTTGGGTGGCATCATGGCAATCCCGTCGCTACCGTCAGTTACAGTGCTCGCGGGGAGACTATGCAGGCTAAGCTATGTATAAGTTGCACCAAGTTCTGCAGAGGAATCACATCTGAGTAGGAGTCCCTACGGCATATAGAAGAGGTTTTTGGAGTTAGTCATAAAAGATGAATGTGTCGTCAAAAGCGGTGGATGTTGAGACACGGATCAGCGAACACAGCCAAGAAGTTTTGGTTCTTTTCAAGGTGAATGAGGGACAACATATACTTGTAGCGTCTTTAAAATACAATTTTCTTTGGATTATCAAGGGTCTATCTGTGAGCACATATGGGCTCACATTAATGAGAGATTAATTATTTTCCTTTTCGGTATACCGGTATTTTCTGACAACTCTCGCTCCTCCACTACTAGGTAGTCTTTTGGCACATCCGAGCCATATCTATAGTTATAACAAAGGCAACGAACTGTCTGGGCTCTACTGAGCTTGTCCCCTGAATATCGACGACTCCTATAAATGCAAATTCGAATTTTCCAGCACCTAACCTAAGCTAACATGGCCTATCGGTAGGCAAGACAGGCGCCACACAAGAACCGGGAAGCTGGGGAAATTGTTTATCAGTTAGTCGACGATCAGCAGGTGTCCAAAATTCATAGTCCCAAGAACCATCATTATCGTAAAAGAGCTTCCGAATGCTTCCCGGCGTATGCGGGGAATGCTCGCCTTCTACGTAATGAAATCCTGTGGCTGAGAATGTTCCTACGACATCATAAAGATGTGACCTCCACGCCATATCCATCGGGGACGTCTCAGTGCCGAATTCCTGCCAGGCCCATATCCTAGTGTGCTTCTGGGATGCCTTGATGCTTACATCGGTGTTGCAGAGACGGCAGGAGTAGAATATCTCTGCGAATTCGGCATCGTTGAGCAGTTGGTTTATGATTGAGCCGAGGTGCTGCAATGGATGGTCAAAGTTATGAAATTTACTCATCATCGAAAGGCGAAGGTGTGGGCAGACGGTTAGGTTTCCCATTTGGTCAGTAGTTATCGGCCTATTATTCGCCCAGTAGTGCCAGGCGGAAACCATCAGGTACCTCAGCTTCCCGCTCTTGTCCATGACAGCCCTAGGTACAGCCACGTACCGGGTAGAGAGATCATTCTTTGCTGTTATCGGCCACACGTAGGTGTCAAAGTTTTCGCGACAGAACGGTTGTAGTAGTTTTTGCAGATAACCCCCTTCCTCGAAAATGCCCAAGCGAATGTGTTTCAGGGTGAGCAGGATGTGCCGATGGGCGAGATAATCAAAACGGCGATCCAGTCGATGATATCTGCCGTATAATGGCAAGTTCCTGGTATTAAACGACTTCCCCGGACAGCAAAGCACCTTAGGGTCCTGTAGTTCGCCACATTTGCGGATGGAATGGAGCTTGACGCATGCCTCACAAGCCCAGGTCTCCGGATTGTTGCGGCTGATGGTGGTAAGATACTCTACAGCATCCCGGTCCCTAAGTCTAGCGGTTGGTGAGACCCTGCTACCAACTAGGACACGCAGCGGGGAGCAAGTCTGGGAAAGGACGGCCCGGTCGGCTGGCGAAAGTTGATCTGATATTTGCAGGACCACTTCGATGGGGCACTGGAGAAGAGCACAGTTCTCATTTGGATTCGGCTTTTGTCCCTGTTCCTCCACATTCTGCTGTTCTTCCATCTTCTGTTGCTCCTCCATCTTCTGAAGCATCCTCTGATGTGTCGTATTATTTATATGTAAGTGTGAAATGGTTGAAAGGGATGAAAGAGAGGTGAGCGCCTCATATATACCTCCTTGGGGGGATGGATAATACATGCTATTAACCTAGTTCATATGTCCAAACTGCCAGAGCTTTTGCCTAGGTCAATGAGCATAAGAACTCTAACCTACTACCTAGGTTAGATAGTAGGTATTAGGTTACTAAGAGTAATAACGAAAGTGTCGTGGGCACTATAGTTACTCTCGGTTACGCTTGATGCCAACTCGTAAGCCCTAATAGATCTCACGTACCTAGTTGCTTGAAAAGCTTCATGCTTTCTTATTATCCTAGGGTACAACTTATTTAATACCAAATCAGAGTGTTTCCAAGCCAAGTAACAGAATAGCCTTTTCGTTCTGCTTAACTGACTTCAATTTACAAGACTACTAAGGTATAATCTAGTTGCTTTTCGTAACTCAATATAGTTCCTAATCCAAATACTGTTGTTTAGCCTAACCAGTCCAGAGTCAATGGGCTTCCTTTGCCCATATAACCAGCGTGTTCAGGCATGAAGCAAAGGATATAAACACTAGGCTAGAACATAGGTGGAGTTATCGTCAAGTGTATTCCGTTCTAACCTAAACGAAAGCATGTTATGGGGTCAAGGGCATGATAACGGAATAAGTGAGACATTATACTCACTTCCCTTTCCTCGCTTGACTACATAGCCTATGTGTAGGAGACCTCTACCAGTTGGTAGGCATACAGCTATCTTTAGTCAGGCAGGACAGTATGACATCATTGGCTGCAGTGACAAGTCTACAGTGCCAAGGTTCCAGAGCTGGCAGATGCGCCGATTAGAGTGGAATCGGGGTTGATTATTACATCCCAAACTATAGGGCAATGAATGGTCTTGAATCTTGATGTTGTAGAAATGACTAACCTAGGCGATGGTAAGATACAGTATTATCTTTACCCTTGAAGGAGTGACGAGAATAAGCCTTGAAGGCGAGTAACAGGAAATGCCTAACTTACTATATTATGCATTATATCTCGCTGTTAGAAAAAAACATAAATAGTAGAATATCTACTCCTTAATAGTGAAAACGCGTGGCGGGCTAGATTGATATTGGTGGATTAGAAATATAAAAAAAAGATCATGTAGACTGTAAATAGTTGTTGTCGGAAATGAAATCAAACATGGTTCGGCTCGGTTCAGTGCTGCTAGCTGCTTAGGACCTAGGTGGCTACTAATTTGACGCGATATAACATGTATTAATAAGTACCATTACCAACTATGTATGTAACTCAAATGTATACATACATGTAGTTAATACCAAGAATATCAAAAGTGTTAGGTAATCTACATGTAGCAACGGGAGTTACGGGACATGTAGTGGATTTTAACTTAGGCTCATAGGGCCAACCAGTCAAGATGACAGATGACAGATGACAGATGACAGATGACACTGTTGATAAACTCGCAGAGTGTCCTTTTTAAACGAAACTCGGTTGTTGAATGCGATGGATGCGATGGATGCGATGTTATGCGATAGGGCGACAGTGTCGTGTTGGGGATGCTGTGTACGACATGGAAAGTAAAGTACACATGTTCCACTCGCATGCGTTCCACGTGTGAAACTTGGCTGCTAAAGCGTACATACATAGCGCCTGCCCTGACGAACAATGAGCTAACCTACTGTATTGTACATCCAGCAGCAGGGTGCAGGGGTTACCTACATATTGATCAATCATCAATGATACTACTAGTACTACTACTATGTAGTTACCTGGGTAGGTACATACAACTTTGATTGAACTTGCAGAGAACTTGGCACCAAATACTACATACAGTATGTTTGTACTAGACACCTAACATCATTGACAATGCCGTTCCAAGGCCAGCTACATGCACACACATATTCCATACTAGGTATGTAATAGGTGTATGTAAGCTGACGAGGGCAATTAAATACACACATGACCCAATTCTCCTGCGTATCTAGTTTTGATTCTCGTTTTCGGTTTCTTCTATTATTATTACTTATTAAAATGAATAGTTTAAAAGTGTAAGCAACGGTATTCGGCACTGAAAATGACGACGGAGATCGCCCCGCAATTTGAGCCAGACAAACCATCGCGCCGGATTTTTCATAGTCCTGAGCGGAATTGCGACACTTTTCACGTGTTGCCGTAGTCCCGGCCTGATGGTCGCACCAGGATACTCACGGGAAAACGTTAGGTTATTCTATTATCGTTCTTATATGTAGTACATGTAGGCACCTATGCAGAGATTATTTAAATCGGAAACGGATCAGCTTAAAAGGAGTGGCTGGGAAGCTCTTTGATCTTGGGTCCCCCTGTGATTGATCGTTGCAGCGATCACCCGACTGCGAGCAATAAGAAAGTAGAAATAGCGCTTGTGGCTAGCCATTGTGCAGCTGAGGCTATGTTTTTTTCTTGATTACATGTACATTATCTCGTATGACCATCATCATTTATACATACATGTGTACATATTTACATGTAGCCTGATGTAGGTCCATGCTACAGAGTGGTAGTGGAGCAATAGATGTATGTAAAATGATGCCAATCTGCAGATGTTGAAATAAATAGAACTCTTGATTTGCTCAAAATCAAGGTTTATGTTGTCCATCAATCCAACCTAAAAATGGTATCAAAGGTACATGCATCGACTAAATATGTATGTACCTAGTAGTATCAATGTATAACTTCACGACGTATTGATAATGTACCATCTAGTTCAACTTTCCTAATATCTAAAGTTGCTTAAAGTCAAACTACCTTGCTTAGGTATCTACGGAACATCTAGATTTGTGCGTGCTTTCATGAAAGGAGGTACCTCATTGGTCGGGGTGAGCGAGCTAGCGGCTGCTTAGTGATATAATCCCTGGGGATATTTAGAAAGATTTCTAGGGATTCCTAGTAAGGATTACGTCGTTTGGAGCCAAGGTTGCTAGCTACTAGGTATGTAGTTACTAGGTAGCTACCTAGGATAGGTACTAGGTACTATTGTAGCTGGGAGGTAGCTGAGATAGGTACCACTTAAACTTCCAGAAACCAAGTGTCTTCCTTACATGTAATCCTTAAGCTTAGTTATTCGTAAAAAAAAGAAAGACAAGAAATTCATCGCCAGCTTCAACCATCTAGACCTACACACATCCATTGCCTTTCCTTTTCGTTCTCGTTTCGTTCTCTCTTCCCTTATACCTCTCACTTGTATTTATTAACATCGAAGTAACACGCCGCTTTTAAATTGGAAGTAACTTCTAAAGTTTATAGTTTGCTATTTACTGTTCTTGTTCACTGGCCTATCTGTTCGCCTTACCCTTATTTCCTTAGCTTTTCTTAGCTACATATACTTGGTACCTACTACCTACATACCTACCTACCTAGGTTACATACCAAATACCTGTTGTCGCTACGCACCAGTGCTATCTAAATCCTCAGGTTTTCGGTATTCTTACGTGCATGCGTAGGTACTTATTGTGCTACCAGTCGACCTTAGTAGATACCTACATAGTACTTAGAGCGACGTCTCCAGAGTCCCAGTGCTGACCTGACCTACCCGACCGACCCCTCTGTGTTACCCACCTTGTCACGTACGGAGAAGCTTCACACTCGTTAATACAACTCGATTTCCTTTCTAAACTTTATCATCACCCGGGCACCCTCAATGACTACACACCATTTACCCACCACTCAATACAACCATTGATATATCCTGTCCCTACGATTGAGCTAGCTGCTTAAGCAGCAATAGCGTCATTCAATTTAGTCGCCATGGCTACGGAGCGAGATGTCAGTGAACTGAAACAACAAGGGGCTATCGAGGCTGCTCGCGACCCGGAGTCTTCTGTCACTGCCGACGACGCCCAAAGGAAACTTGTGGATGAGAGTAAAAATGCAGGCGTGGCTGCTTTCACATTCGACCCAGATGCCAGCCCAGAGGAGAAGAAGGCTCAGGCCAAAGCTGTAGGTTACCAACGGCTTTCCAACGTTAACTTGTTAGTATATAGCATCTACTAATTGCATCATTCCTCTAGGCTAGCCCAAACGATCCCCGCCCTCACTCACGTAGACCGAAAGGTGTTGCCATCGCTACCGATGTTGACGATGGCACCAAAGCCAATTACGACCTACCCACCCCTTCAAAAGCTGGCGCTATTGAAATCCCCAAAGACAAGGATGGAAATCCAATCATGGACGGCAATACCATTGAGGAGGAAGAAGACCTGGCTGCTAAGGTTGGGTGGACTCAACGGTTCGGCTGGCCGGAAGACAGTGTGATGGAGGGCGAGAGTCTCCTGGACCATTCTACCTGGCTAGACGACAAAGTTCCAGACGAGTACTTTGGAGGTTGGTATACCTCATCTCAACCCTTTTCTTCTCCGAGAGGTGTTTGCTAATTTCTGCCGTTGTAGAATGGTATCACAATGCCGCCGTGATCGTCTTTGCTTGTCTTTCCTCGTGGCTTGTTGCGGTGCTCGGTGGTGGCTTAGGCTGGGTCATCATTATTATGACTGTGTGCTCTACCTACTACCGAACATCGATTCGACGAGTCCGCCGAAACTTCCGTGATGACCTTACCCGCGAGATGGCCCTGAAAAGGCTGGATACCGACCACGAATCTGTTGAATGGATCAACTCATTTCTGGTGAAATTCTGGCCCATCTATCAGCCAGTTCTTGCCCAGACCGTCATAAATTCTGTTGACCAAGTTTTGAGTACCGCAACCCCTTCATTTCTTGATAGTCTGCGGCTGAAGACCTTTACTCTCGGATCCAAACCCCCAAGGATGGACCATGTCAAGACTTACCCCAAAGCAGAGGATGACACGGTCATAATGGATTGGAAGTTTAGCTTCACTCCAAATGACATAGAAGACATGACAGTCCGCCAGAAAAGAAACAGGATCAACCCGAAGGTTGTACTTGAAATCCGTATCGGCAAGGCCATGATTAGCAAGGGACTCGACGTCATCGTAGAAGATATGTCCTTCTCCGGCATCATGCGCCTCAAGATGAAGCTGCAGTTTCCCTTTCCCCATATTGAGAAGATCGAGATGTGCTTCCTCGAACGTCCTGTGATTGATTATGCTTGTAAGCCCCTGGGTGGCGAGACTTTTGGTTTTGATATCAACTTCATTCCTGGTTTGGAAAGCTTCATTCAAGAGCAGATTCATGGTAACCTAGCCCCAATGATGTATGCTCCAAATGTCTTCCCCATTGAGGTAGCCAAGATGCTCGCTGGTTCTCCTGTCGACCAGGCTATTGGTGTGGTTGCGATCACGCTTCACGGAGCTCAGGGTCTCAAAAACCCTGACAATTTCGCTGGCAATCCAGATCCTTACACGGTTGTAACCTTGAATAAGCGAGCGCCTCTTGCTCAAACCAAGGTCATCAAGGACACTCCGAACCCTAGATGGAATGAAACCCACTATGTCATTATCACCTCGTTCACCGATTCGCTCGACCTCATGGTGTACGACTACAATGATTTCCGAAAGGACAAAGAGCTCGGCATTGCGTCGTTCCCGCTCGAGAGGGTCGAAGAGATTGGTGTGTACGAGAATGAGCGCATGGAGGTCATTGCGAATGGTAAAGCCCGAGGTGTGCTTAACGCTGATATTCGATTTTTCCCTGTCTTGGAACCCGTCGAACATGAGGGCAAAGAAGAACCACCACCAGAATCCAACACAGGAATTCTACGGTATACCATTGAACAAGCAAAGGATCTTGATGGCACTAAGAGCTTGGTTGGATTGCTCAACCCATATGCTGCTCTGCTTCTCAACGGCAAAGAGATTCACCAGACGAAGAAGCTCAAGCGTACCAACAATCCGATCTGGGACAATGGATCCAAAGAGATTCTTATCACAGACCGAAAGAACGCTAAACTGGGGCTTGCAATCAAAGACGATCGTGATATTGCCGGCGACCAGCTTATTGGTACATACCAGATCAAGCTCGACGACATGCTCGAAATGATGGAGAAGGGCCACGATTGGTACAACTTGGCAGGGGTCAAGACTGGACGGGCAAAACTAACCGCGCAATGGAAACCCGTTGCCCTCTCTGGTGTACTAGCAGGCACCGGAGGTTATCAAACTCCTATTGGCGTCATGCGTCTCCATTTCAAGGGCGCTCGTGACCTTCGGAATTTCGAGACTATGGGTAAATCGGATCCGTACGTTCGCGTGCTACTCTCTGGTATCGAGAAAGGTCGAACAGTAACACATCGCAACACGCTTAGCCCCGAGTGGGACGAAGTTCTTTACGTGCCAATGCACTCGGGTAGGGATCGTCTAGCTCTCGAAGTCATGGACGCAGAAAAGATGGGCAAGGATCGTAGCCTGGGTTTGGTTGAGATTTTCGCTGGCGACTACATTTCTCAAGACGAGACCAACGAATACCTCGTCCACGATACGAAGAAGGTGCACGAAGATGGTCTCCGATTACATGGAAAGGGCATCGCAAAAGGCACCCTTATCTATACTGTCTCGTTTTACCCATGCCTAAACGTCGCAGATCCCGAAGAGGAAGAAGAAGAGGAAGAGAAGGACAAAGACGCAAGCCCGGAAGCACCCAAGCAATCGCTTGATGTCCCTCGTTCATTAGATGCCGGGAAGATCTCTTCACTTGAGAGGAAGGAGAACGGTAAGGAACCAATAACGCCAACTTCGCCAGCTATGCCCAAATCACCAGCCTCTGTCAATTCGACTACTTCAGAGCGTAAATCTCGCGAAACGCCAAGGTTCCCTCCCAAGGTTCATCTTAGCCCACAGGAGTTGCTCAAACATGAGTCCGGATTTCTCATCTTCAAGCTACTCGATGCAGAAATGCCGAAAAGTGGAACGCATCTCGAAATCTATACCGACGATATGCTATACCCCTCTTACATCTCAGGTACAGCCAAACATAAGAACTTTAAGTTTGATGAGATTGGTGATTGCTTCATTCGCGAACTAGAGTTTTCACGTCTCAGTCTCAAAGTAAGAGAGAAACGCGAAAAGCCAGGTGAAGAGCGTGACGAAGATCATACCGTTGCCCGCTTAACAGGAAACACTCTAGAGACTCTCAAACAATGCCTTGTAAGTTGTCATGTAGAGCAAATCCAAAAACTAGCGAGGTCCTTTACTAACCATCCTAGAACAACCCAACCTTCTTGAAGCTCAAAGACGAAGAGAACAGAACTGCGATGGTTAAGGTCAGCTTGAAATATATCCCTGTCAAGATGCAGCTAGATCCCAGTGAGAGCATCAATAACATGGGTAACCTACGCGTCGATATCCTAGATGCGGCAGATTTACCCCCGGCCGACTCAAACGGAAAAAGTGACCCCTATTGCAAGTTTGAACTTAACGGACAGGATGTATTCAAAACCAAGACGCAGAAAAAGACGCTCAACCCCGTATGGAACGAGTTCTTCGAGGTTGCCATACCATCACGAACCGCCGCTAAATTTACCTGCAAAGTATACGACTACGACTTCGCAGACAAGCCCGATTTCTTGGGCGGAACCGATATCAATCTTGAGCAGCTTGATCCGTTTAGGGCCCAGGAACTTAAATTGCTTCTAGATGGAAAATCTGGCGTCATCAGATTGCGACTTCTCTTCAAGCCTGACTACGTCACACGCTCCCGGCTGGGTACTGGTACGTTTGCGGGCACATTCGGTGGCCCTGGCAGAATCGTGACTGGCGTTGTCGGTGCCCCCGTCAAAGGAGGCGTCGCAGTAGCCGGTGCTGTCGGTCACGGAGTTGGCAAAGGCGCCAGTTTCATCAAGCGTGGATTCCGAGGCAAGAAGGATGATGATGGTAACGGCCTTACCTTGACATCCAGCAATGAGATTCCTACAATCGTTACAAATGGTCCCGAGGCTTCCGCGGCTATTCCAGGTGTTAGACGCGCCACGGGCTTGGGTGTGGACGGTGAGTCCGCTCGACCTATTACCCCTAATGGCCAAAAGGCCCATGCACGAAATCCTAGCATGGGTGGAGTCTCCATCCATAGCTTGGCCCCTGGGACGGCTGGTTCTGGAACCGCTACTTTCACTATAGTGTCTGCATCAGGATACCCTTCATCGTCAGATATATACGTCCTAATCAAGCAGCTAACTCCTAAGGAGAGGACGATTGCCAAGACCAAGCATCATGAGTCCCCTGAGGTTATCCGGTTCGACGAAACGTTCAAGCACGTTTGCTCTCCCGATACTCAGTTCCGCATCGAAGTCAAAAACCATCATACATTTGGTAGCGACGACGATCTAGGCGAGGCCCTATACTTTGTAGATGAGGGTGGTAGTGGTGAGAAGGAGATCAGAGTTGGTACTGGAATCGTGGTTATCAAGAGCACATTTGTGGATAGTAACACAGAGAGCCCGAGGGGTGGTGGCATCCGAAGAAGTTTCCTAAGTAAGAAAGAAACCAGGTCAAGCCGAGAAGAGACGCCGACCTAATAACAAGACGTTAGGGCCTACTGCCGTGGTGTTCGGGAGGTTAAAATCATTACAGTAACGGGTTACGCGTCTGTTCCATCTGCGGAGTTTTTTCCTAATCAAAAGTAGATTTCTAATCATGATGAGGTTTTAACCTATCCACATAGTAATGATAAACTTGTTAAACACATGTTGAAGGTGTGATGATAGGGGGTCTGCAGTCAGCCTATCGAATCAACGACAATATTCTTGTGTTGTCATGGAGATAAGAGTTGTCTCACGTGGGGTTTTATATCCTGTGCTGAAGAACATGAGAGAAGCACAACTAAGGTGCCTGCAAGACATGTATATCTTCCTTCCCGAAGTACAGCTTGTGCCCCTTGTCTCGCTCATTCATAGCCGTCTAGGTTAGTAGGTAGATACCTATGTTTATCTTCTCGAAAGTCTTGGAAAGCTCGATCTGATTACTATGTAAATACTCTGGATCCAGCCATGTGGAAGGTCTCGAACATGCTCTCTCGGCACTCATCCATGAATTTAAATATTAGGCTGAGGAATTCAAAAGCTGATTGCAACTAGATATTAGCCATAACAAATATTCAGACATACCAGCAACCTTATCAACCTAACGTACACCCACGTCTAGAAAAATGAGTAACAAGGGAACGAAAAGTCCTAGGCACGCATCTTTGAAGAGATACGCCCCCTTCGAACCTTACCAGAATGTTAGCCTAGTAAAGAATGGGCACATCGCCCGACAACTACTAAACCATACTGTCGTGGCCTTCCACAACAGACGAGATAATGATCTAACCAAGGGGCAGATCGCGGCACGGGATGGCTTTGTTCAGAGGTTCAAGAGGCAGAGACGAGAGTATGGGAAGCAAATCAAGCCGGGCTCCTTGGCAAGCTTCGAGAACGACGTGAAGTATCTAGCAGCCAGGCTCGACCAATTCTTTTTCTTTAATGAGCTAGGGCCAAACATCAAAATTAAAGGCGGCTTGGATGTTGTCGGGGTAGACCACGCAGGGATCGAAAGCAAGATCGATGGGGAGACCTTCTCGTGCATGGTCCGCGGCCGCGAGCACACGCAGATCAACATTAACATTGGCTCAAACCACACACTATACAAACTCGACGCCATTGTTGGCCAGCTGATGCACGAGATGGTCCATGCGTACCTTCAGGTCTTTGCTTGCAACTGCTTCTGGTGTAGCAGGGATGCTCTCAACACAGTGGGCATCGAGCACGATGGTCACGGGTCCGTCTTTCTAATGCTCCACCGCCTCATCCTGACAGAGATGAGAAGGTGGGGGGACGATGGCTTGAAGACCCTGCTCTCGGAGGACTGCCCAGGGCAACTTATCAGCAAGAGTGCTAGAGGGCGGGCTCATGCTGTCTTCGCTCAGATGAGCAGCGAAGAGAAGGAAAAGTTCAACGGACTGCGCGCCAATGTTAGGAAAAACATCCTGATACGGTTTAACGATAAAGGGGACAGAGTCATAGTTGCGCCATCCCTGAAAATGAATCAGATACGCTGGGAAGATTCAAAGCGAACTGAGATAATGCGGCGTGAAGAGATGCGAAAAGAGATGATAAATGAGATAGCAGAGGAATCGTCTATTGATTCTGAGCGACAGGAGTATGGTGGCGAGGAGCATGGGGACGGGGATGCAGACTATGAGGAAGGAGAAGAGTATGATGAGGACTACACAGGCCAAACAGACTAATTTGCGTTGAATTCTCCGTCGTAGGTTGAATATTGATCTTTCCTGTGGCTTTTGCGCGACAACTGAGGCCATGCAATATCTTAGACGGGGGACAATGCAAGTGTCAAGGCACATCAAAGAAAAGGAAAGGGGGAATATCAGGATTAATACCAAATACTCTATTCAACAGCCGACTAGGTAGGTAGTAACTTAATTCAATGCTACGGAAAATAAAAGCAACGTGTGCTCCAAGGTTCGCTTCATACACGTGCTGTAGTGCATTGCTGCCATCTGATAGCATCAACTTACCTGAATTAGCCTACTAACTTGTTGAATTCCAACGACCTAAGCACAAGATGATCAGAGCCTCAACTCTAAAGCCCAGAATGAAACTTCGCTGGAGATCAGAGCATATCCCAGGCGAGAAGTATCCCAAAAGGATATGGGCCCAATCTTGTCCATAAATACCCCCAAAGGACTCTCTTTCTTCTTGCTCTGGATTTTCTTCAGACTCAACTCAGATTTCTTCATCGTAGCCTTCACAAACCAAGACTCCACAAGAATCACCAAGAACTACTGTTCTCTTTCTTTTTAAACTACATACTCACAATGAAGTTCTCTCAAGCCATCGTCAGCCTCGCTGGCATTGCCGGCGCTGCCAGCGCCGCTAAGTCCTACGCCGACCTCGGCAATGGCGGTAAGTGAAAAGCATACTACCCAACTCCCCTCCCCTCCCCTCCCCATTCTTCTTCAAGGATGAGGCGCACCAAGCTAACTCGACTGTTTTTCTTCTCAACCCCCAGCTTTCACCATCCCCATCGTCAACGGCACCCTCGACTTCGACGCCGCCGTCCGCCACGACTTGGAGATGAGCCTGCCCGCGGCCTCCGAGGAGGGCGTCGCCGCGGACCTCGCCAGCCGCGGGCAGCCCGGCACCTGCGACCCGCAGTTCCCCACGCGCAAGACCATCTGCCGCGTGCGCACCGTCTCGCGGAACGACTACCTGCGCGCCTACGCCAAGTTCATCGACTGGATCAACACGGGGCCGGACGCGGGCTGGATCCCCAAGCACAGCTGCAAGGCGATCGTGTTCGGGGAGGCGGCGGTGACGGCGTGCTCGCAGGGCGGCAAGAACCCCACGTGCCAGGCCGAGCTCGTCGAGGCCATGCGCGAGCTCGACTCCTACTGCTCGCCCACCGCCGGCGGCGACATCAAGATCCGCAAGTGGCTCAAGCGCTACTCCCGCCACAGCGTCCGCGACGCCGAGATCGACCACCCCGCCCTCTACGCCGTCGACGACGAGGAGCAGGAGGAGCAGGAGCAGCACCCCCACGACAACTAGAGAAGATAAGAAAGAGAGCCGCTTCGCTTTCTTTGAGCGCTGGAAAGCCAAGGCGGACTTTTTCTTAGGGGTGCTGGTCATCTGCTGGTATGTGGTTGGTTGGCTTTGAGGAAAGGAAGGGGTAAAGGGGAAGGGGGAGGGCAGGATTGGCGGCAGCGTAGATTGAGTAGGTAATTTGGATTTTGTTTTGTTTTTTTGTTGTTGGGGGGAGAGAGGAAAGGTAATGGGAAAAGAGGTGGAATTTTGTTGTAACCTATCCATTCGGATCTTAGTATTTCCTATGTAATAATCACAGCTGCCCTCCCCAAAAGCTTTAAATTTCCCAAGTGCCTGAGTGAAAAATGTTTTGAGTGTGAGGATGAAGTGATGTAGGTTAGGTATTTATAGTTGATTAAATGCCAAGACTTTACCCCTATTCGTGCTAAAAGATGACACGGCTGCGAAACGGCAACTTACCTAGGCCTTATTGCTTCTTGTTAGTATGTATCTTTTATAATAAACTCCTAGTCCATTAATTAGAATGGAATTGTACATAATATCATGCTATCCAGAAAGCAGCTATCAATCGCATCGCACATGTTCCACTTTCGACGTAGTCAACATAATTCATATCAGACGTATGTACCTAAAGTAATACCTACACAGTTAAGGGGGCCATCAATACCACAAACCTATGTCTCAACTAACCCATGCTCTCTTTCTTTCTCTTTCTATCCTCTTCGAGAATGATCATTCCCATATTCTAAAATTCTTATGTTCTCATTGTCATCTATAACAATATTCCTTCTAGGCATGTACCTACCAGGCACTTAACCTCTATCAACTCGACAAATCCATCTTAGCCAAGTTAACGACAGGAAAATGCGCCATGTGTATCTTGGCACTCCCGAACGGCACCAGTCGGGCGACAAAAGGCTTTCCGACAACCTTTGTCTCGAGCGGTGGATCAGCCGCAGTGTCGAACTCGAGCGGCCAGTCAATCTCGACGGCAGCGATGCGAAGCTCTACGGGTGGGGCACCAAGGTCCCAGATAGGGTTTGACAGGGTCGACACATCTGCAACCACGGCCTTGACCTGCGACGGGTCGATGGCGATGTTCCATTTGCTCTGGGGCTCGATGATGTGGTCGTGCGTGTGAGGCGAGGTGCTGTTACTATACAGCGCCTCGCCCGTGTACGATACGGGGGTTATCTCCGTCACCTTGGCGTCGATGTACAGACTATAGAGCAGCGGTCCATAGTATATGGCAGCGGTGTTGTTGGCCCTCGTGACCACCCGAGGCTCCGTCTCGAGGTTGATGTTAAAGTTGCTAAGGCCTCTGCTGACCTGGATCTTCTGCAGCCCCTGGTCCGACGGAGAAATCGGGTTGCTGGAGGTACTTCCGGGTCCGGTGATGGTGCTGGACTTGTCTGCCCAGCCTGGAATGCGGACGTAGAACGTAAAGTCAGACGCAGAAGTGATCGAGTATTTCAGGTTCATTCCGAACGGGTAGTTGGTATCAGCCTGGATAGATACTAGGTTCCTGCCCCCCAATGAAGTAGTGACGCTTCCAGGGATCAGTAGGACATGAGCAATTCCTCCATCTTCCGTGAGGGTGAACGAGTTGGCGAGGAACTTTGGATATGCCTGAGGATGATTAACCGTACAGCATGGCTATGAAGAAAATTTAGCATTGACTCTTCAATAATTATTCAAGAGTAGTTCAACTCACGTAGTTAGGTTCCAGACCAAACACGTTGCCATGTGTTCCCACGTTTGCCCACATGTCGGGATACACTGATAAGTTACGTGACCAAGGCTATTAGACAAAAATAGATCAGCTTAAATTCTCTAGAGCTTCGAGACCTTCTTGGCTTACCTGGTTTTCCTGCTGCACATATTGGTGCGACCACCAATCCGGGAAGATCGATCCAGGCAGAGCGTTGAATGCGACTTCTTCGGTCCAGTCCGCCAAGTCGTTGTCGCCAAGGTATTGGTAAATATAGGCCATAGAAAATGCCAACTCTGCAGCGGTGCACAGTTCTGCCCCTCTGATTGGGTTGAGGTCAGTGACAAATTCGTCCGCAATGATGGTTCCGGCTAAAGACTTGTGGTATTGCGATAACAAATCAACCGCCGTTCTTGTCTGTGTCTTTAAGGCCTCGTCGTGGGTCATCCGATATATCGCAAGGGGATATCGTAAGCCTAGTCGTGTCAGTCGGTCTTCTAACCTTGGTGAGTGCCGCGATTTGTTCTAGATCTCCATACCTTCTGCCATGTTCACACCATGATTGAACAAGCCTTTGTAGGGCTCGTTTCGTGGAGTGTATGTGACTTCTGGGTATACCCCTTTTACCCAGAAAGTTCTCCAGTCGCTGCTAGCTTTAACGCTTCCCTCAATCATGAGTTCCATGGTCTCCCAAATCAGTTGCGAGTTGTTTCGAGGGTGATTTTCATAAAGCCACTGAAGTGGAATATGCATCTCGTGAGCTCGCATAGGGCCGAACCCATCATTGTCAATATCTTGGCCCTCCTGCTGAATGAGGCCGGTGAAATTATTTTTTAGCATGCTATTGGCGATATGTATATATCGATGCATAGAATCCACAATCCTGTCCGTTTGCGAAGGGTCCGCTTGGGCATATTGCTGTAATAGTTAGTCCAAGCCGCACTTGACAATTCCTAGCCCAGTGGAAAGTCAATAGAAAGATAATATCTACCATTAACCCCAGCAAGAAGTAGCATCGACCCCATAAGCCTCGACTCTCAACAGTTATCTCAGGTCCAAGCCAGCCATCAGCCTGTTGGTGATCTAGGACGTAGTCCATAAAGGAGTAAACTTGCCCCTTGAGCCTAGGGTCGTCTAATCCAAAAGCGAGGGGCACAAGGCCATTGAACCAGTACGGGGCCGATTCACGCAGTGCCGAGTACTCGGATGAGCCGCCTATCCACGAGGAGTCATGGACAAATCGGTAGAAGTCAAACATGTTCCCCGCAAGCCCGTAAGATTCTAATTGAAGTTGGTCTTTGAACCATCCTCGTGGCTTGATGGTACCAAGGGGGAAAGACTGGTGTATCGGTTGTACAACTATGTAAGTGTGAGTGTAAACCTTACGTTGAGTATACCGCCAAACTTACGGCTAGAGGTATCCCTTTTCAAGCCCGAACTACCTTTAAGGTCCTGCGGCAAGGCAAATCCAGATACGATGAGAAGGGAGGCAGTGAATGCCTTCCCTATGATTGAGGCAGCCATCCGTGTAAGAGTACTAGGTAGGCTAGTAGCTAAGACAACATGGACAAATTAGGAAAATTAGGTATTACAATGTGGTGGTAATGCCGGTAAGCATATGTTTTCCAAAAGACAAAGAAACTTCTATGATGAGGCGGTCTGCCTTTAAATGCGGTATATTGAACGAGAATGCAAAGCGGCTAACTCTTAAAAAGCAGAGGAATGCTGCGTGAGTAGATCCACAACAAAGGCAAGGGATACTACTTAGGGTAGGTACTTAACTTCATCTCTCTGGATAGAAGGAGTGACTATATACGATAACATTAAACATTTGACATGTTCAGTCAAGGGGAGCCCACGAGTTTATCTACTTAGTGCCGATATGCGTAACATCTCATCGCTCTTCCCCTCGAGTTCGGCACGTACAGGGAAGTCGGCGGTAGGGCTATGTAGCTCTATGTATCTGCGTACGCAGGATATGTAGCATCGTAGAGTCGTATAAATAATTACATACGGCATACATACTACCTAGGTGGGTGGGTGTGCCTGCTAACTGTGCCCTTTCTCCAAGAGAGCAATTGTAGGTTGCCCCCCTTTAGCGGCCGGTTGGGCCCTTGGCGCGTACAACGCATGACAGAGTCACGCAGCAGGGAATAACCCTTTGAAGAGGTCAAGTCTATTCCCAGCTCGTGATTGGATCCAAGTGTGCGTCTTGCCTAGGCCGTCTTGTCAAGTCATTTTATTTCCCCTGTAGATCTTTTGGAGAAAAGCAAGTGTCGAAGTCGTACAACTTGCGCCTCGTAAACCTGTACCTGCCAAGGTATATACAAACGGAATTCGGTGTCGCATGAGTATAAGTAGGAATATTCAAGTTAGGTATGTATGTGCGATCGACAATATCCAAATTAAAAAATAAAAAAAAGAATTGAAAAAGTTTCGTTTTATTGCTCCAGATAGCAACAAAGATGGACTCGGGTACCTATAATACGACATCCCAGGCTTACCCTTACTTACTTCAGACAGGCCAACAAGGATACCCCTTACGTCCATTCTTCCCCCACACGACTCCAATTCCAACAGCGGTCAAGGCGGGTCTGGGGTATCGGGGGGGTTATGTCATGAATTCCAAGGTTACCCCAGTTATCACATGGACAACGATATTAACTTTGGTCCGGGTATCAGATACGATATGTTAATTTCCTTTCAGATAATCCGACTTTCCATGGCACTACTAGTTATATCGTATTACCTAATTACCTCCCGCCAACCTAGGTAAGTACTAAGGTATTTAGTAGGCGGACGTCCGATTAGCGTGATGCGGCATAGATCGGTTCATCAATCCCATGTTCCTACTAGCCGCCGTAATGCATTGCCGGCTTGATATCTCCTACTATGTACTATATGCCGACCCCAAGACCGCTTAGAAATCCCGAAAGTAGGTGAGCCTCACATGGCCCCATCTACAACACCAGCCAACCTTTCCTAGGGAATCGACGACTTGATCTAGAAGCTTGCTTTTAAGACATCCCAAGTCTAGACCGTGCTATACAGGTACTGACTTTGGCAACCTTGTCAGAGTCCTGGATTTACACGTGCCTACAACATGTTATCCCATGTCAACTTGACTTTTCTCTGTCAGATCGAATATGCATATCAGATGTATATTTTTCGGTTACGCAAACCATGTCACCGGTGCAACCGGCAAGGTATGTAAGTTGATAATCACACATCGAAGCCAAAACAGACTTGTGGGCTTCAAAGGCACCTTCAACACGGAACAATATTCCTACGCCAATATATGATTTTGGGACTCGTTCCATACCTACCTTAACATTCGCTATGTATGAATTTCACATACTTACATAACTCTTAATAGCTCTTAGCCGAATTCGAGGACGAGATGTAGGTGATATGATTAGCTGGGTCTCGGCTCGGTGATGCATAGGCAGGCGCTAAGGAGTGCCGTAGGATTGATCTGCTGGCGCTGCTGCAAGGCTTACAGTAGGATGCCTTCAAGATGCATTGCAGTGTGCATATCCATGCATATTGAATAGTAGCGCGCTACTATAATTCGTCTCGGGCCCGCCTCCTACTTGAGCAAAGTGGATTGAAGACGAAAAACCCCATTGAAGACGCCTCTACAGGATATGTGGCTTGCCTGATGCGTTAGCCAATGAGGTTCGCCCCCCTTAACGTCGCGTCGGTTCTGATGATTTCTGCAGGTTTTTTGGTGCGACATCATTCAATATATAGGCGTAAGCGAGTTTTACTGCCCTGTCAAGTCAGAACGTATTACCTATTACCGATTACTCGATCGGCCAGTCAAAATAAAGGGGGCCACGTTCGGATAAGAGGGATGCTTCTTTAAGTGAGAAGCGGTTAAAAAAGAGTTCAGGCCCAACCCAAAAGGTTTACCACCTCATCATCTAGCAAACATAAAAGGAGAGAAGGCTGAGTAACAAAAAAGCAGACGTGCTCATTAGGACAGCCCAAGACACAAAGCCACCAATTTCAACCCGGACACGTTTACCACGCGAAGACGAACGGGTTCCTTTCCGATCCATAATTTGTTTCACGGCCGATATTACCACACTTTTTTAGGTAACGGAAAGACCCGAGATTTGAGTGCCTCTCAGAGCCGCAAGTCTTAGTTATGCCCATGGGTGTTTAAGATATATTACTCGAAGACGGGAAAGTACCGAATCTCAGGTTCTAATCCTTCACTTTCGTTGCCCATACAACGTACACAGAAATTTACAGCCATGCGATTCTAGGGTAGTGTTTCTTGTCGAAACGTTAAAACGCAATATAGGTATGTAATCAATCGATGATACGATGTCTCGGTACGTGCTATTTAACCATAGGTAGTACTACGTGAGACGAGGGTCAGTTCCTCTGTTCAATATATCTAACACATATATGCATGCCGGTTCGAAGATAGAAAATGGAGAAACTTGCCGTAAGCTAATACGTTTGAATAGGTTCTACTAAAACGGAGTGTAAGGCTGGATGGTGTGAGAGCCTCACCAGGAAGTTGTCTATCAGCTCGATTACAAGATCTTTACAACTTAACATAACCAGTCTCTAAACCGGGAACAGAGGCACTATTTATCTTGGCACTCATTGACGATTCCTACGGGGGTCAAGCAATGAGCCAGTCACAACTCACCATCTTATCGGTGGATGAGAAGCTAGAATTACGTCAGGCCACTGATAAGTACTAAGTAGGAATTCTACACCATAGCTTTCATGTAAGTAGAAAGCATCAGGTACGGCTGAATTGCTCAGGCACGGGGGATATGGGAGCAATTGGTTAGAATATAATACTAATCAACCTTGGCAATGGCATTCTAGAATGCCGTATGAAGTTTTTGACGAGATATCATTGGCCACCTGAAAGGCATTGCGATTCCGATGCGGTGGTGGCTGAATTTCGATGCGCCGATACGATAGTATCTAGTATCACTTTGTATCAATGGATGTATTTGGTACTAGAACGCTTGAACAGGGATATACCAGACATCGGACAGGTACAGGTACAGTCAGGTTATCTATGTAATTTCTAACATGTTTTAAAAGTACCGAGGAAGCTACCATTGAAGGTGAAGATTGCAGCTGCCCTCAATGCTCATTCAATGTTCATCGCAAATACAAATTTTGGAACATTGACCAATAAGCAAACCTCAACGTCCTTCCTAATTCTTATTTCCCCCAACTTCCACTTTCACTTACAAACATAAACATCACATAATACAGGTATGTAATACTCAACATTTACCAATCCTACCTACCTATTCATAGCCATATATGCCTCATTCGCCTACTTAAGGTAGTTATGAATGACTCGCATTGCCTGCCTAGACAAGGTGGTCTTTCCATCGGGTCTCTTCCGATCATCACAACCAAACCATTCTCCCCATCCACTTCAATTTCTACGCCTGATATCATTAGTTGCATACACGTAGCTTAAACCTTCAGCAGAATATCTATTATAAATCATTCACAATGACTACCCCCGAAGTGTCTCACGGCCGTGGTGGCGCGGGCAACATTAACCCCGATGACACCAAATATGTCGATGGTGAGATCGTACGACAGGGTCCCGAAGGCAGTCACGGCGATGGTGCCTTCAGCACCGGACGAGGAGGTATGTAATTCCTTATTTAGCATTCTTCGCATGTGCCTTTCCCCCTTTTCTTATCATTGCTCTTCCTCACCCGCCTGCCTAAATACTTCTTCGCTAACATACTACACTCCCGCACAACAGGAGCAGCTAACATTGCCGACGCCGACAAGCCTCCCGCGGCAATACGCGCTGACCAGGAAGTGGTCCCCGAAGAAGCCACACGGCCATCAATTGACCGCGAGAGCTTCCACGTTGGCCGTGGCGGCGCCGCCAACGTTCACCTGTCGGCTGAGGACGAGCAGCGCAAACAGCAGCAGCACGCAGCCAGTAAGGTCGTCGACAGCCCTGTCACTCCCGGCACTACCCCCAGCCACCAGGGCCTCGCGGACAAGCTCAAGCACAAGATTTTCGGCATCTTCAAGAAATAGATTTATTCCCACGTATGCATCTATTAGCCTATACTTCCTTCAATTACCTAGGCGGGTGTGCTCATATTGCACGAATGATATTTGATGTGCCTAAATCGCCCGTAGAGGCTCGCGTTTACATGGAATCGTGGAGGGAAGAGTCTGCTGAATGGGAACGTTGATATGAGAGCATGCATCACGAAGGAAGGGAAGAGGGGGGGAATAACATGTCTTTTTTCGTTCTTCTTTTCTTAGTTTAATATCCCCGGCTGGCATCTTTGATGCAGCTGGTCTCGACTCTGATTTGCAATTCTATGATATCCCCTAATCCCTAATTCCCCTCATTTGCCTATTTGAACATTCGATACTGTCCAAAGGATTACGATGCTAACGAATAACCCTAGCCATAAGATCACATGCTTGGATGAATCTACTAATTTTCAGGGCACTTTTATCAATATGATGATACCTTGGACGTTAGTGAATATATGTACCACACGGCCTTCGCCACGTGGTGGGTAATATGATTATATATATAGCCTTTGCAATCCATATTGATATATACAGTTAGATCACGGCTTAATCTTGACAGGCCCCGAAGTTTCTTCGCCCGGTTTCCTTAGTCTTTCCGGGAATGTCCTTGAAGATATCACTTATTTCAGCGCATTGACGACAGCGGTGTAGGCAGGTTTGGGGTTAAAGCTGCTGTCGAATAGCAGGGGGCTGCTGCTAGCTCTCCAGGAGTCCTATAACGAGCAAATAATCAATAACTACCTAGGTAGGTGCACATAACTTGCCGAGTTATCCCTTCATCTTTATGGGGCCTGGTGGGAGAAAGGGGGCAAACGGAAAAAATGGACTTACGGGATCCCGAACACCCCAGACAGTGATACCGACGCACTTGGGCTCGTCGAGACAGGCCTTGGTGACGGCGGCGTAGTCGTTGGCGGGCGCGGTTTGGATGTCGACTTCGGTAAAGGCAACCTCGCTGACGCCGGCAGCGGCTAGCGCCTTAATGGTTGCGCCGGCCTGGTTGGCGAGACCGGGAGTTAAGTGGGCTTGCGATCCGATGCCGTCGATGGGTACGCCGGCTGCGATCCACTTCTTGACGTGGTTGATCATTCCCGTGGTAACCTTCGCGCTGTGCGATTGAAGGTTAGTAATCATTTTTTCTATGCGACAGAGATTCTTAAACACGGCAAATTGATATATTGGGGCATTGGTCTTGGTGCCCTAAGACAACTTGAAATATGGTGGTGGGTGCCACTTACGCGGTCGGCTGGTCGAGGTTGTAATCGTTGATGTACAGCTTGGCATCAGGGTCGGCCTTTCGCGCGGCCTCGAAAGCAATGCGGACGAAGTCCTCGCCAAGAACACTGGAGAAGACAGAATTGCGAAGGGAGCCATCCTCGTTGAAGATTTCGTTCACGACGTCCTACTCGGGAGTTAGCCTTTGGACCCTAGTAGGGAACGTTGCGCAAAACTACGAACCCAGGCGTAGATCTTGCCCTTGTATCGCGTCACTAGGGTGGTAACGTGGTTCTCGAGGACCTGGGTCAACTTTGTCTTGTCTCTAATGTTCGATACCCACCCCGGTAACTGCGAATGCCAGCATAGAGTGTGGCTGTTCTACATGTTAGCTTGTCGTTCCTAGGCAGAGGAGAGATATCAAGAAAGATAGCTCCCCAGGAACCTAAAAAGGTATATGTATTTATACGTACCCACGGATGGTCTTGTTGTTCGTGGTGGCCCAATCTACGAGGTAATCCGCCGTCCCAAAGTTGAAATTCCCCTCGGACGACTCGGTGGCATCCCACTTCATGCTATTCTCGGGGGTAACCTGGCCGAAATTTCCCTTGATGACATCGGCAGATTTGCCTGTCGACAAACGGTTTTGGTCTGTGCAAGTTCCATAGTATCGCTTTCCCTTGGCCTTGATCAGCTGGTCGATGCTATCTGCGGCCTGTCGCTCGGTGAGCTCGGTGGGGGCAGCCCAGGCGACCAGAGGCGCCAGTAGGAAGAGAAGAGCAGACTTCATGATTTCCGGTGTCGTTGGATACGAATTAGACTATTCGGTGAGGAAGGAGAGTGAGCGACTGAGAATACTGTGGAAGAGCTGCATCTCTTGGGTTTTATACGTGGTTGATCAAAACAACACGGAAGATGGTGCCCGTGGTAAGCATGGCCAGACCTTGGGACCATGGTAACATCTGGGCAAACTAGCCCTGGAGAAGTGGCAGCGGCAAAATAACTTGGACCTGGTGATTAATTCCTAAAACGGATATATCGCCTCCCCTCGATCTCCTCTATCCCCTTCTTCCCTACGTGACAATACAATAATAAGATTGAGGGGCCAGTCGGTGACAACGGCCCGCCAATATTAATAACGAATATAAGAAGGACCCCGAGTTTGAATAGAGTGCTGAGGCGTATATACACTTGACCCGAGGGAACAGGCCAGACGGCTCCGCGAAAGAAGACTATCGTGGGGTGCATTTACACCAGAATAGCCTAAAACCAAAATGCTGGTAGCGAGGTATATATGTGCTCGCTATATTGCACTGGAGCCGAATGGCATATTTATAGAAGATGGTCTCGGTGCCAAAACTCCGCGGCAAGGCTTTAGATATATCCTGAACTAGGTCATGAGCTTATTATACACGCAACTTCTTACGCCTCACTCGCTGTTTAGGTAACTAATATAGGAGAGGGAAACATTTGACAGGTCAAGGACGGCTAGACTCAGGAAGGGATACTTCTATTCTACCCAGCACGTGGGATAGATAGGTACCCAGATAGGGTTGCATTTTAAGGAAATGATGAAAAGACTTAATCCTCGATACAGGCTAATCTAGGGCATCGTTGCTTGGTATAAAGGTAGAAATCAGTCGAAGCTGATTTTTTTTTTATCTACTTATTTGAAAGGCACCTACGTCCTCCTGAGGTTAGGACTATGTAGTAGGCATTTCCCAACTGGACTTGGGGAAGTGGGATGGATCTACCGGTGCCTACATATGTACCTAACCTTAGGTATGTACGTAGTAGTAGCCTTAGCTTTGTCTTCGCGTGCTCGAGTTATGTACGACATAACTATGTACTGTATGTAGGTAGGTCGATGTGTATATCGAATGAGTACGATCTTGGTTAGTACCTACCTAGTAGGTAGCTTATTGCTGCCCAATGGGAAGATACTGTATGAAAAAGGCCGGCCTTGCTTGAACCCTTTCCCAGGCTAGCATTGCCTAGGTACCGGGTAAGGCTTCCCTTGTTGAGAACCCACTTGATCAACAACTTATGTTAACCATGGGTATGTAGGTATAGAAATGCCATGCTTCTTGGACCAAACAGACCATCGTCATCCGATCCGATGTATAGCCCTACGCTGACCAATGAAAGCAGGATCGCAACGGGACCCGTATCGCCAAGGCGTTGCTCTTTGAAAGCAGTTAAAGCTTCGGGATCAAATCATCGAAACTTCAACTGCACGTTATTATGTATGTCCTTGTATTGTACATACATATCAGGTATGTATATGTGACTGGCTTATAGGATACTAGCTTATACCTAGTGTAGTTAGGAAATGTGGACTTTGGTCAACCTCGGGGCATTTTTATCTTCAGACTGACTCCATGATGGCCCACGGGGTTTACAACTTAGCGACGATCAGTTACTTACCTAGTAGCATCAGCCTTGCTTTCTCCATTCCCCGCAACGTCATGGGATATTCCCTCGAGCTCGTGAATCCATCAGGCCATGAGCGAGGGGAGGGGTATGTAATGTAGCGTATGTACATACCTACGTAGTAGGTTAGCATGGCCCTAGGGAGGTAGGGTAGGTAATTCCTTGGTTTCCGTACTATACCTACTAGGTAATAATAATGCCTGTTGGGTTTATTAGAAGTTTCATTTGCTCCTTTGTGTGAGATAGTTGGTCACATGTAATCATTTCTTCTTTCCTCCTTCTTTCATCAATTCATGCATTCCTTTATTCATTCAGTCGGATTCGATATCAACTATCCTACCTATCTTGTCTTGCGGTGTGCCGTCGCGGGCGGTTGGTATACGACGTCCTGATCAGACCAAAGTCAGCACTACGAAGTACATGCCTAAATAACACGTTATAATTTACCACGTCTTGGGAGAAGAGTTCCTGCATGAAAAAGCATGACAGAGTGATTCTGTGCGCGCATTCGATAGGCCAAACTCAGGATATGGAATAGTACCTACCTGTAGGTAGTTAATGAAGTCCTGGAATCCTAATCCTCATCGTAAGGCCGACCAATGTTGAATTAGATGAGAGGTACTGGTAGCTATTACTAGTAGGTATGTAAAAGAGAGAAAATCCACCCCAAAAATATCAAAAATATTATTATTATGAGTCTCATTATTATTATCCAACAAATCTATTACTTCTATCTCCAAAATTGGACGTCTTTACGAAGTAATACCTATCATCTATGGTAGGATTCCCGCTAATAGGAAAGTTAGGGAGTTTTTGGGTTCAGTCGGCGGGCCGTGCCTCATGGTTTTCATATTTCATCCTGGCCCTAAACTGGTAACTACCTAGGTAACTACCTAGGTTACTGGTAATTACCTAAGGTTAGGTACCTAATTTAAGGCTTAAGGCTTAAGCTTTCAAGTTCCGGGTCTTTGTAAAGTTGGGGTGACACAGCGCTATTTCGTCAGGCACCCACTCCCTGTCCACGTGCAGTTGCAACAGTTGGAAGGGAATCTTATTATTACTTTTTACCGCCCTGTTCCCTTCCCCATCCAATAATGGTCCCTCGGAATGATGACCAGCTACGGCGCCCTGCTCCAACCTCACGCTTACTCTCTGTCCAGTCCATCGTATCTAAATATTCTCTTCGTTCACACTCTTCTTCTTTCGAAGCTGACGATGAACGCTCAACCTCTACTGAGTCTGGCAGAATGACTCCCACACCCAGCATCGAAAATGGCCTGCATGCCGGTCGCTATCCTGGCGAGGACACCCGGCCGACCAGCTCCAAGGAGCTTGCTGGTTGGTACATGTATGCTTTTGCTGCTGAGACTTACATGATATGCGGTAAGTGGTTTTGTCTGTTTACTTGTAATCCAACAACTTACCTCTCTCTACCCATTCATCCATTCATCTATTAAAGTCTGAAGTGCCAAGCTAATTCTAACAATTTCTAGGTATTTGTGAGTAGTTGCTCTTATTTCCACATCCCCAAGGAAAAATACAGACTCCAACGTAGCTGTCATCATGATTATGTAACCCACTTTAACCCGAGCTTACCGAGTGCGAATAGCTTCCTTCATTCCCATATTATTAGAAAGTTTAGCGAGGGAAAATGGCGTCCTGCTGTCTGACCGACAAACACCTTGCGGCGACTACTCGGACGGACAATGCATAGTAACCATTCTCGGCATCGATGTTAACACGGCTAGTTTCGCCATGTATACCTTTAGTATAAGCGTCCTGCTTCAAGCTCTATTGGTGGTTAGCATCAGTTGCGCCGCCGACCACGGCAACTATCGAAAGCGGTTACTGTTGACATTTGCGTGGGCGGGTAGTATATCCGTTATGTTTTATATCTTCGTCTTTAGAGAGATTTACTTATTCGGCGCACTACTCGCCATCATCTCTAACACTTCGTTCGGAGCGTCTTTCGTGCTCCTGAACTCCTTCCTGCCCCTCCTCGTCAGTCATCACCCAAAAGTACTGGAATCAATGGCCGGCATTCCCGAGCATCCCGAGCATCCCGAGCACCCCGAGCACCCCGATTTTGAAGAGAACCAATCCCTCTCGGCTTCACAAACAATAGCTGATCACGACTCGGCGACTGGCTTATTGATGCGAGACGATGCTGCCTCGGACATTCACGAATTACGCCAGGTACCAACTCACGAAGAGCTCACATCCATCGAACTCCAATTATCCACTCAGATTTCCGCAAAAGGAGTTGGGATCGGATATGGTGCTGGGCTATTTGTTCAATGTGCCTCCATCATGATGTTGGTGGCAATGGGTAGCTCCACCTGGTCCCAAAGAGTCGTCCTTTTCTCTATCGGGGCTTGGTGGGCCATTTTCACGATACCGGCAGCTATGTGGCTTAGATCTAGGCCAGGGCCTCCCCTCCCGGAAAGCCAAAGCAAAGGCATTCGCGCCTGGCTGTATTACACGGTCTACTCCTGGAAAAACTTATTTCGGACTATCAAGCTGGCACGCCGACTGATCGACATAGTATTATTTCTAGCTAGTTGGTTTCTTATCTCCGACGCCATCGCGACGACATCGTCCACCGCAATTTTGTTCGCCAAGACCCAATTGGGGATGAAGCCTTGGGCAGTGGGGATGATTAGTGTGATATCTACGACCACGGGTGTGTTGGGCGCATTCAGCTGGTCGTTCTTATCGAGATATTTCAAGTTGAAGCCGCACCAAACCATCCTGAGCTGCATCGCGTTGTTCGAGCTCATACCCCTCTATGGGCTTTTAGGTTACTTGCCTTTTATTCGGAATTGGGGTGTTGGCGGGCTCCAGCGACCGTGGGAGATGTACCCGCTAGCCGCTGTTTATGGTTTCGTTCTCGGCGGCCTTGGCTCGTACTGCCGATCCCTGTTTGGCGAGCTTATCCCCCCCGGGTCCGAAGCTGCGTTCTACGCTCTGTACGCTATTACCGACAAAGGGTCCAGCATATTCGGGCCCGTTATCGTGGGGACTATCATAGACGTGACTGGCGAGATTCGACCCTCCTTCTGGTTTTTGGCAGTGCTGGTTGGTCTGCCCGCACCGATTATCTATTTCGTGAACGTGGAACGTGGAAAGCGGGACGGCGAGAGGCTGGCTGAGGTGATCGAGGGGTTCAAGAGTAGGGAGGATAGCCGCTTGAGCTCATCCCACGATGGCGAGGAAAATCAAGGAATGCTTGCTGGTGGCGATGAGAACGGCGACGGGTATACGAGAATACCATGATAAAACAGGTTCATTCTAGCGGTTCTGTCAAAATAGTCTGTCTCAGTTTTGCATAGCGACGGTGTTGACTATTTGCTATTTGTCATACCTATTACCTACAACTTGTACAGCGGATCTTGGGCATGCAAGCTTTGGCTCTATATTTATTTACTACTAACTAGTAGTCTAATAGAAAAGCTATGTATTATGTCTAGCCACAAATTGTCCGGCGTGAGTTTGTTCATGATGTGATGTTCAACCAAACTACATACTTAGGTAATATTCCTCAATGTGTCTAGTATTACGAACAAAATAGCATTGACAGAGGAACGTACTGTAGGATCTAGTGAAGAAATCCCGTTTGGATGATCGACGCCTGGATACGGGTAAGCAAATAGTGTTGGCTGCGATGTAATACATACTAGGTACCTAGGGTACCTATGGTCCTATGTACATGTATGCAGCATTGCAGCTTACCTAGTAGGATGTAGCTTAGGATCATTGATGTAGATGCTAGCCTACATGACAGGCATCCTGGACTTCACATAGGTACACAGGCATCTAAAGTAGGATTAGTGCCTGTGTACTAACGGGGAAGACCGTACTAGGTAATCCCTGAAGCTTAAGCTTCGATCTCCGTAGCTTCAGCAGCTAGCTTCTCTGCTTCCGTTGCTGGGTACTACTGCGCATAGTACATAGGTATTATTTCTCCAACAAATACTACCTACATGTAGTACCATGAAGGTACATACATGAAGAAACTTGGAGTTCAATGGTCAATGTTGGTTTATCATACATGAAGGTTACCAGGATGCAATACATTCTGTACAGTTACTACAGTATGTAGGTGCAGTGGCTAAATCGGAACGAATTGGAACGTGCGACCGCAATAATTCATCACCGACAACTTTGAACTTTACCTTCGTATTGGAACGTTGAACCTCACTCTTACATATGTATTTTTCTCCTCCTTTCTTCGTGCAGGTTACAATCAGGAACTACACAAGTACATACATGCCTAGGCTAGGTACCTACCACCAATATTAGCTTTTGCACACAGTTGGATCTGCAACGCCCTCGAACCGTCGACATCGCGTCCTGTTTTTTCTTCCCTTTCCTTTCTTTTTTTTTTTTTCTTGGTTCTTTTTGGGGGCGCAAACTCGTGTACCTGAAAACTTCCTTGGTGACGGTTGAAATTGGTTTATAGCACCAATAATTGTAAGCTCATCAGGATATATCCATACATACCTTTAGGTAGTTGACTCTTTTATAACAGACGCGCCAAGCAACCAAATAATCCCCCCCTTCCCCGCCACATCCGTTTCCGGCTTACAATTTTCTCAATCGCAACGCCAACACCAACGCTAATAGGATCTCGTGAGGATTACCTGGGCCAACGGTGTTATTGTCACTGAAATCTCACCGGCGTTCGGACGCGACAGTTAGTAATCGGCTTCGGTGTTGTGCCTACAGCTTGCCAACCACCTTGCTTGACGGCTATTCGCTTGTCTTGCATAATTAGGTCCTGATTGCGCAACAACCCAAACACCTCTTTGCGTCCAGCGCAAGCAGCCTCCGCACAAGACTTCATCTCTTCATAGAGTAGTATTCGTTCACGTCAACCACCCAATTCGTTCCAACGACAATAAAATATCAACCATGGCGACCTCTCGTAAGCGTCCGCGTCCCGAGGCCACAGAAGAAAGTCAGGCCGAATGCCCCTTCACCGTTATCCACCCCGATCCGAATGAGAAAGAAAAGAAGGCCAAGCGTCGACGGCAGGAATCTGAGGACCGTCCGCTACCAAAGGTTCTGCTTCAAACGTCCCCCTTCTCGCCTATGGGCAAGTTCAAGGATCCCGATAATACGATGGACCGTCACTATCTAGTCCAACCAACCCAGAGGTGGATGGATATGACGCGATACAATAGCTTTGTTCGTAGGTGGTCTTTTTCCCATTGTATTCACGCTGTGCGCTAAAAAGACGACGATAGTCAACGGTGTGAAGTATTGGAGTGAAGGCTTCATATTTGTTGCCAACAGCTCGACCATTGAACGACAGAAGAACCCAGGCGAACCCGTACAACCTAAGAAGAAGTCGGACGACGACTGGGTTGCGAGAATTCTAGAGATTCGTGCGAGTGACGAACACCACGTTTACGCACGTGTCTATTGGATGTATTGGCCGGATGAGTTACCACAAGGCACACAGGATGGAAGAAAACACATCCAAGGAAGACAATGGTATCACGGCGCAAACGAGTTGATTGCGTCTAATCATAGTAGGCCTCAACATCTTTGATATATGCATATATTCTCTAACCAAGCCATAGTGGACGTGATCAATGTTGTCAGCGTCACTGCCGCTGCCGCTGTCAACCAATGGGACGAAACAAATGAGGACGAAGTGCAACCTGCTCTCTACTGGCGCCAAGCTTTCGATGTGCGAAGCATGGAACTTTCTGTACGTTTATAGCCCCTACCCTACGTGATGGATCGTCTAACGAGATCTAGTCTGCTGAACTACGCTGCAAATGCAATCGCCCTGAGAATCCAGACAAGCCGTTATTTGGCTGCTCAAACGATGATTGTAAGAAGTGGCTTCATGACGAGTGCCTAATCCACGATGCGCTCGTGAAGACCTACAAGCGTCTAGGATCTGACAAACCCCACAAGCCCGCGCCAGTAAAAGAAGAAGAAGGCAGTGAGGGTGCCAAGCGGCCGCTTAGTCCCAGTGAGACAGGTGCAGCGCAAACGGCTGAGCAGTCAATTGATGTCAAACCGGAAGAGCAGCAAGAGACCATCAAGCTTAATGACGTCGAGAAAGCTCTACCAGCTACCAAGGCCGAGAACACGGCTGTCGCCGTCACTCATTCCGAGCCAAAGCGAAGAGGACGGCCACGGAAATCGGAGCTCAACGACCAGACGACGGCCAAGCTTTACGCGGGGCTGTTCAAAGCCGTCATTCTAAGTGACACGAGTCCTCCGGTCCTAGAGGTGACAGATCTCCGAAAGAATGTGACAGGCGGAGATAAGTCATGGACGGAACCCCTCCACTGCCTAATTTGTGATGACGAGCTTCAGTAATTATGCTACACGGACAAAGCTATAGCCAGGTATCTAGTGGACAACGCAGACGAACTTGTGTTTTGCAAGTATATACCTATTGACGCCGCTTATGCCTTCCCACTACACCTTAATGCTTTTCCGCCTGGCGTTCAAGGGGACAATGATGATACCCTGCATACTTTTTTTGCGGGGCAACTGCTTTTTTATATCCTTTCATCTTCTCAGTTTAGTCAATGATTGGAGGTTGAAGTAAAACTGAGGCCTGGGAGTGAAAAAAGGGTTAGAGGAAAGAGAAAAGGCGAGAGAGGTGGAAGTTAAGAGTGACATGAGATCAGAAAGTCTAGGGGATGGGGGGGGGGGGGGGGGGGATGACAACCAGAGGAATCATTCTGGACTCTTCAGAATGGTTCTACTTGATGATTTTGCTTGATGATGGGTGTATTCATGAAGTCCATTATGTATGTACCCAGACACACTATGTTGACAGTCAGTTGACAATGTGTGTTTTCCAGAATTGTATGTATGTAGTATGTACATACGTACCTCGGCATACATCATAGCTGACTAATTTGGCGGTGAGACGCGAACATCAATAAAACAAGAGTCACGAACGGCAGACGGTTAAAGTTGCATGGATTGATTACGTAAGTTGGTCTAGCGGCATTAGTGGAGTTTACTTCTTGAAGCTTCAAAGTGCCCCACATTGCACATCCATGTTCAGCCTTTCAACTTTCTTTTTTTTTTTTTCCCAAACATTCAAACCGCGAAGCTCATCATTCAATCATTCAATCAATCATTCAATCATTCTCGTAACCTTCTCAACTCCATAATTTCTCAACCTCCGTCTTTCCAACCTTCACTCTCTCACTCCATATACCCTTTAAGTACAATATTTTGTACTTATCATTACCCAAATTGACACCAGTCTATTCTATAATCACAAGCAAGATTGTGGCAATCGATTGTTTATTGGCGAACAATTCATTAACCATATCAATCGTCGCGGCAGTACAGTAAGTCGCCCGAAAGCGTTCAAAAGCAATTGAAGTACCTATTCTTCAATTGAGATTCTAATTGTCAAAACCAGAACACCTCAATCGTGCATCAAATTTACCTGCCCACCTGCCCACCTACCCATTACCTTCTTTTTTTCCCACATACCGACCTACCACCGAATCAACCAACCTACGCAAATATGGCGAACTTTCTCGCTTCCATCTTCGGTACAGAGCAGGACAAAGTCAATTGCTCATTCTACTACAAGATCGGCGCTTGCCGACACGGCGACCGATGCAGTCGAAAGCATGTGAAGCCATCCTATTCGCAAACCATCCTCCTGCCGTCCATGTACCAGAACCCGACGCACGACGCGCGCGCACGACTCACCCCCGAGCAGTGCGCTAACCATTTCGACGCCTTCTACGAAGACTTATGGTGCGAGCTATGCAAGTACGGCGAGTTGGAGGAACTGGTTGTGTGCGACAACACAAATGATCACTTAGTGGGCAATGTGTACGCCCGCTTCAAATACGAAGATGCAGCACAGGCAGCATGTGATGCACTCAATTCGCGATGGTATGCTGGCCGGCCAGTCTACTGCGAGCTAAGCCCCGTCACCGACTTCCGCGAGGCCTGTTGCCGCCTCAATTCAGGCGAGGGCTGCGTCCGTGGTGGCTTCTGCAATTTCATCCACCGCAAGAACCCATCCCCCGAGCTCGAACGAGAACTCACACTCAGCACTAAGAAGTGGCTCAAGATGCGTGGCCGCGACGACAAGAGCGTGAGTCGCAGCCCAAGTCCCGAGCCCACGCGCAAGCGTTACTAGAACCGACGTCTTGTTGAGTGTTGTTCTCGTTGCAGTCGTTGCCATCATCATTGCTGCCATCATCGTCAGCATCGTATCTCTCGTCACGGCCACTCTCACGACCAACAATATCGTCGAGTTGATCGCAAGTACGGAGCCTCATGGTCAACTCCTTATGATTCTGGACGCCTGGCCAGTCGGCGTTCTCATTCTACAACACCTTGGCCTTCACCATCACCAACACCAATACCGTCCCCATCTTCCCAACGCCCGGAAGAATGTGTGTGGTCGTACAGGGATATCCAGGCCGATGCTTGGCGATTTTACGGAATCAAACTAGCCCATAACGATGAGCTATGATAGGATGAACAAAAGGGAGCATATGATGCTCTCTATACTTTTTGAGAGATGGCCAAGAAACATAAAACGAAATGGAACAGGGCAGAGATACATCGACGATACGAACCGGCAGGCAACGAAGGAAACTACAAAAGAAAAAACAGGAATACTCTCAGGATGTGCGTCAGTAACGCAACTACATAAAAAGGATACCCATACCTCGATCGAATGAAGATACTTTTTTTTCCACTTTTCGGGCTTCGTTTTGCCCTCAGTGATGCCTTGATTGACATGTCATGTTATGCCGTGCATTACTATCGAAGACCTCGCAAACAAAAGTGACCTATTTGGCCTGAGTGATATGATATACGATAACATACGACTTTTCCAAGATCGAACTTCTTTTTTCGACTGAGTATGCATGAACGAACCTGGCCTGCCTGCCTTGATTTGCAGGAGAGAAAGAGACCTCGGGATATTTCCTTTTTTTTTTTTCATTGTCGCCCCTCGACTTCTACCTGTCCGACTGTCTGCCTAGGCACCTGCTAGGCAGAAGGAGAATAAACACACAGTGTAGTTAAGAGAGGGCTTGTTACCAAAAAGAAAAAAATCAAAAAAAAAAGTTGAAAAGATAAAACGGCAAAAAAAAAAGAACCACCCAACCCCGGAAGAAAGAACAGAAGAAAAGAAAAGAAAAGAAAACGAATAGAATAGCCAGTTAGTCGGCTCGGCTAGTGTTCCTATCCTACTCGGCCGTGTACCGAATCGTATCTCCCTGGGACAAGATACCAAGATACTACGAGGCTAGGCTGTGTGTGTGATATGGACGGACGATAAGACGAAGAACAGAAGAGTAGGAGAATGAGACGTACGTGCTCATGGATGGATGGATAGATAGATGGACGGACGGCAAGGCAGGAGCAAAAACCCGCTTGTGCGCACACCTCACATGCGTGTAGGTACAGTACACCCACTGTATGTATGTATGTATGTGAGGTTGCTTGCAAGCAGGCAGGCAGGCACGGCTAGCCATTTTTTTGCGCCAACGGCCTTGCCTCACATACATACATACCTCTTGGGGTATACTACGGATACGGAAACGGATATACATTGCCATCAGTATGGGTGGAGGGAAAAAAAAAATGAAAAAAAAGGGGGGGTACAGTGTCTTACTGCCTACCTGCTTTGCCTGCTGGCACATAGTCCTGTCAGAAGTTCATGACCTTTCTGGAGGTAAAACTTCTTGATGATGGATAGGGTAGGTAGATACCTAGGTAGGCATCAGTTTTAATGCACACCACGTTGTACCAATACCGTACCACGCCGTAAATCATATTACATAAGTGTAGTAGTACTTCAACGTTGCACATGTGTGTTTTGGTTAAACCGATAGGTATTGTATTTCCCCCAACATCACCACGTATGTCAACTACCTGGGCACCTATCTAACCTAGGTAGGTATGCATTCGGGCTGTTTACTGGGCATTAAGAACCGCCTAGGTTAGACAGCAAGGTAGGGCGTCTGTCCCCCAGAGGCAGGACCTTGACGAACAATTATCTAGCCCAATTCCAAAGTCAACTGCCTCTTATTCTTATTCTTATCCCCATTCTTGCTCTTACTTTTACTCTTATTCTTAATCTCACACATACGCCCCCTCTCCCCCTTCTCTATCTTTCTCTCTCTCATTAGGTAGGTAGGTATTGAATGAAGTCTTCATACTCGGGATATTAAGGTCCCGTTATTAATCAAAGAAAGGAAGCAGGATCAGAGGCCCTATAGGCTCTCTGAATTTGCTCTACCTAAGCCTCAACGGAAGTAGGTAACTAAGGTAGGTAGTCAGGTATGCAGCTGTAGTGGTAGCCAAAATTCGCAGAGCAGCTCGACATTCAAATCAAGATCCCCTGCCTTATTCCTAATCCCCCTCCAAGAAACAAAATTTTGGCTCCAAAGGAAGGGGATCGCTCCCTCTCACATCTTCTCCCGGGTGGCGCCAGCTAGGCAAATAAGGATTTGCATCCACTTCGCACTTCCACAATCATCCTTTTCAAAATCTCATCGTTATCCCCAGGTGTCGAAGAAGCGAATGCTAGTCCATGTCCTTTTCGGCCTCGTTGTCTATGGGCTCTGTCCCTTCGAATTCGGCGAATTATTCTTAACGTCGCCTGCAAAGTCGATCAATGGACCATCTGGTTGGCGGCCTGTGGCTTGTAGCATGCTTGGGATATCCTTACTGTTCCTATTGGATTGTGGTGGCGTGACCGTTGCCGTTGGGCTCTCGTTTTGGCCAAAGTCGATCAAATCCGTCGTCGTTTCCCCTGGAGAAGGTGTTTCAGCATTGTGCGGGTGTCCAGATGGTGGTATCATATTCCAATCACTATACTTTTGTCCTGGTATTATCGGGTATATGGCCATTATCTGCTCGGCTTGTTTCTCTGGCGTCGGGGCATCGCTAGATCCCAGTGTTAGCACGCACGCGCATGGATATGTTAATATCCCTACAGGGTTACTCACATGTGAGCATTAATAATCCATTCCAAGTGTTCTATGTCTTCTGTAGTAGCGCCGTAGTCTTTATCGATTCTCTTAAACAATCGTGGGTGCCAATCGACGCCGGCTGCCGCTCTACTTGCCGCTTCATCTCGTTGCCTGTCCTCAACCTTGGTTTTCTCAGTAGTTGCGAGCTCATGATTTCTGTCTTTTACCGCTTGTGCTGTCTTTTGCCATAGCTTCTGTGATTCTCGCTCGTTCTGTTCCTCTAGTGGTCGGACGCGTGGTTTGGAGGCCTTGGCCTTTCGAGCGTCAAAAAACATTTCTTTATGTCCGTTCTAGTCCATTCGTTAGCTTGCAGTACTTGCGAGGCAGTCATGATAATCGACTGGGTATCTAGGTACTTGCCCTAAGGTCTTTGATGAACATTTCGTCACTCCACAAGCCTGAAAGTTCGAAAAGGGCCTGTCCAGTGCGTTCGTCCCTTATCGTACCTCCAATGGCGTTGTACGTTCCGCTGACCCATCCCTTGGTCTTGAAGTCGACGTCAGCAGTAAGGCCTAGTTCGGGACAGCGCACAACACTGCGGTCGCCTAGCTCGTACTTCATGTTGCCAAACAAGATTCCCCTCGCATACATGTTTGGTTGCGTTAACCAGCTGAGAGTATTACCAGTCAGTTCTTATCCGTGTAACGGGTGTGCGATTTTTCAGCATACTATCTTTCTCCATGCTTCCGATTCTTCCCCCTATTTGTCAAGGTGAGCACAGCAATTCCTTCCATGAGACTCGCAGCGGAGTTGCCCAAGAATCTGCTCCTAGGCTTCAGGGTACCGTCTATGCGAATATGATGATCGGGGGCCGCATAGAAGTAGCTCGACTTTGGGGGGTGGTGCGATGTCTGTTCGGATATGTAATAGGCGCGCGTGTTGTTGGGTAGGTCCCAGTAGCAGGAGAATACCTCGCCGAGAATCGGGTTCAGAGGCTTCTTGACACCCCTATGATGCTATGTTAGTTGCCACTGCGCAAGCAATGTAGAGAGAGGGAGCTATACGGTGGTCTAATATGCCAACCGCTCAGGTAGAACTTGACAACGGAGACGAAGCGCTCGACCGGATCATCGATTTGAGGAATAGGGAGAAGCATCTCAGGATGGCACATGAAACTATTTAAATGAACTTGAATCAGCCCTTATTATCACGAATCAAGGGCTAATCGACGGGGGCAACAACGGCGACAGCGGCGACAATGGTTCTTTAGTAATACGCACTTGGTGATTCGCTCTAGCATGCTTCGCGGCTCGAGAATGAAGGTGGGCAAGACAACGCGGCTGAGGTCGGCACCAGGTCGTAGTTGTGAGATAATGTGGGTTAAGACTATCCAAACGTCGTTAATCTAGATATTTCTACATATCTAAAATTACGTATTTGCTTAAAGTAGACTGACCGTTGCCCTGTTCGGGCTCGATAATGCTTGTGTCATCGTCTTCGGCGCCTTCCCCAGACGATCTGCTGCCTGAATAGGAGAGCATAGGAGTTAGCTGAAAGAATTCAACAGCCTCACGGAGAACTCTGGGCTGTGTAGTAAATTCTTCTTAAACGCGGGAAATAGGTGAAATAGGTTACGGTAGATTTTGTTTTTTTTTTGTATTTTTTTTACTCTTAGTAAAGAGTAAATAAAAATAATAAAACAAAACAGTATAGAAAGAATGAATATAACAATAATTTAACGCCGCAAAGCAAGCAAATAAATCAAAATTTCTTTTATGACGTTGGTTACGTACTAGCATTCGATTGTGTTCGGCGGCGACGGGCTAGGCCCGACGTGAGCTTGCCTCCATGCATTTTTGGTATCATATAGCCGGATCGAATTATTACTCTTAACGGAAGTTTGGAATAGAGAACAATGAGGGTTTTGTTGCAAGTACTAAGTAAGTATTATTGACGAAGGACCGGCAGAGGAGCAGCAGAGAGAGTTGGAGGGTCGCAACTGAAGGATCAGGTAGGTTAGGTAGGTAGCAAAAGCAGGGTTGGTAGTATAGATGGACGTAGATATGCTGCTGGTACTATGATGGTCCTATGTAGGTAGTATGTAGGGTAGGTAGGGTAGGTAGGGTAGGTGTGTGAGAGGTAGGCAGGTAATGGAGGTAGCTCAGATAAATGAATGTAAAGTCCGGGAGCGTCAAAGTCAGTCACAAGTCACAGTACGGTAAGAAATGCATTAATCTCAGTGCTTTTACATTAGGTATGTAACTACATATGTATGTGGTCTGGTAAGAACTATTGACTAGTAACTTAATGACTACTTTACCTATGTAGGTCCATGTACTTGTAGTACCTACATAGTACACCAATGTACAATACCCCTCCCCACGCCCACGCGGACTCTCGGGCTGTTATCGATTAAGAAATCTCACCTACCTACCCCTACCTAAGGTAGCGACAGGGTATATAATTGGATTGTTGAAGAACAGGGGGAATTTATTATTAGAGGGGGCTGACCGATGACCTCACTACCTGGCATTATTCTATGTACATATTTACAAGGTTAATATGTAGATGTTGAATTTGAATTTCTAAAGTAAAGAACAAAGGAAGTTGGAATTTCTAAAGTAAAGAATAAAGAACAAAAGGAACCAGATACATCCATGCCATGTATGTTCTATGCAGTAGCCTTTTTGGACTCTACAACTATTACATCTTAGCCTATGTAAGCTTAGAACATTCTTTCTACTGGCGACTACTACTACTACTAGTAGTATGTATGTATGTATGTATGTACCAAGTAAGCTATCTAAACTCATTAGGTACATATAGTAAGTAGTCCTAGGTAGGCACCCAACGGCGGGACATAACCCTTGAAAACCCGGGTGACCATCAAATATTGGGGATTGGGGCGTGTAGCGCATACATGTAGTGTAGCCTCGGTCGTTGCCTATGTAGCAGTAGTTAGTAGTCTTAGGTACCTAGTATGGAAACACTAAAGTCGTAATTTGGGTAACGTATTAGACCTAGAACTGGACCAGACTCAGATCCGGACCACCTCAAAACAACAGCAATATCAATTACTTCAAATAATTATTACGCCACCAAACATTTACTAAATTTGATATAATTTAATAATATGATATATTATCTCAGTTTAAATGTAAATATCATATTAAGAATTAGGTGCATCGGTTGCGCGGTTCGGAATTTGATAATATGTATGTATACATAGTAGGTTTTATGCAACTAAGCAGTATAAAAGTCGTATCTCGATGAATCGGCATCGGATCTTTTTTTAAATTTTTATATTCGTATATTTCGATATGATAAACACGTTCGTAAAGTTTCGTTTAGTTTAAGGCAGGATTCGTGGCGTTATAAATTCTTTTAGGTGATTTGGTATTGTTGTTGTTTAGTGTTGTTTTGGGGAGGTTTTCGGAGGTTTTAGGTATCCTAGGTAACTAAAAAATTAAGGTGGTCCACATCTGAGTCTGGTCCAGTTCCGGGTCTAATACGTTACGTATTTTATCTTTATTTTATCTTTCAAGCCGAACCACAAAACCTGGGCCTTGGCCTTTAAAGGGGTCGGAATGACGTACGTCAAATATGATGCCTACCTATGTGTAACTAAATATACAACCCTTCACTAATAGCACTGATAGAATCACTACAGCGTACAGTATTATGTACTCGGTATCTGATTTATGATTTCTGATTACATATTGGTTGACTTTATAGTTAATTGTAAATGCGTTTCCTATGTGAAGTTCGAATCAAGCCTCCCTCCTACTATCTACCTAACGTAGTAGGTTGGCCACCCTAGGCAAGCTTGAAATAATTACCCTCAAACCAAACAATATCTAGATATATAATCCGTTTGTCGGTGAGCTGACTATTTCTTTTCCTTGCTTCCTGAGAAGCAGCTAGCCCCTCCTTTCCTCCTATGCGTTCCAGTCACGCCTGTCTCTAACTCTCTCTCTCTCTCTCTAACTCTTTCTCTCTCTTTCTCTTACTCAAATAAAACCGCAAGGGGTATCTTGACATAGCATTGCCGTACAACGCAATACCATTATCAGGCGTAAAAGTTAAGTTATGCAGTTCATCTGCATGAGTCGTCTCTTCATTATTCATCTGAACCCCTTTCTATTTCCCTCTACTTAGTCGCGACCCCTTGACCGGGGCGGGTAGAACCGAACAAAGTCTATCTCTCTCTATTGGCCAGTTAGCTTCTCTCTCTCTCTCTCTCTTTTTTTCAAGTTGAGTTCGACGGGGCTTACCAAAAGTATCTTCGAATAATATCGTTATGTCATCATGCTCACCAGCAAAATCCGGCATATCTAGAGATAGGAACGCCATGTCATCAGACTTGGCACCACCTTCGTGCGGAACTCGCGGAAGCGGGAACTTGGCGTCAGCTAGTTTCAAGCCCGACTTCCCATTCCGGTTTATGGACTCAAATACGTCTGTACCCTTGAGCACAAAACCCATGCATTGCCCATGATGCCAGTCCTCGAAAAATGCTAGCAGCTGCACCGTTTTGTCCTGCTGCACTACTTGTACTCGTGTGGTCCCGGCTTCCCACTTCTTGTACACAGGGACCACCATCCTCCGTCGCGAGATGTTGAGGCTGGCGGCTACCCCATCGAAGAGTACTGAATAGCCTGTCAACCCTGCTTGGAATGCGTGCAGATCCTTGAAACTAGGGAACCTATAAGTTCTGATGGTTTGGGAGCGATGAACGCTATTCTCCAAAGCCGCGAACTCGCGGAACGATTCTGGCGGTACGTGTGTTTCTAGTATCGATACCGTCAAGTCGAGCTGCGGCTGTCGCATAACTTGCAACGTCAAAATGTCTTTCGTCCCCAGCCTAAGTTTCAACTCCCCGGGCGCAACATTGACTCGATCTGTGATGGTGCTAACCACGCCAACTCCACCCTTGTCCAACGACTCAACTTCAACTCTGAGTTTCTCTGCTAATACTGTCGGCACCGCATCTCCTCCATATTTTTCATTGATGATGCGCGCGCGCTGCCATGGTAGCCGCTGGACAGCTGGGAAACCTCCCTTGGTATTGTCGAGTCCATCTGACATGTTCATGCCTTCCAATGGGACTTCGGCCATGATGGTCTCGTCGTCGTTGATATAGGTTCCAGTAATCAACTTCATCACCGTCTCGCGTTCCTCGTCATCCTCAAATGTCAGAATCATTCGTCCCCTGTCCTTCCCATCGTTGAAATCCAATTGAAGAGCAGGCGCGCGTTGGTCACCCCTGAGGAAGGTGAATTGGATGGGAAGTTGTAGTGGGAAGTAGTGGGATACTCCGCTGAGTGTCCTTATTCTTGGCCCGGTGACAATAGCAAGTCGAAGACCTCGATGGAATGTCCTGGGTCCTGTCGGGCTACTTTCCTTTAAGAGCTTTTCGAACAATCCAAGTTCGCATTGCCCTACTGGTTCCTTGGGGAATGTCCTCCCTTGGGGGTTGGAATCCATGTAGTGGAAAGCAGCGAGGGTAGTAGTGTGCTTCACGGCCTCATCTTTTCGTGGGTATAGATAGGCTTGAACTTTCGAACTGAACTCGTACATACTCCATAATAATTTAAAATCTTGCTGGGAGCACTGGACTTCCAGCATAAACCCTCGAGGTAGTTTGATATCTAGTGCAGAAGATTCTGGTCTCCATCTAACATCTTTCCATGTTGGACCCGCATTCTTATCTGACTGTATTCGCAACGAGACGGAACTATTCTGGCTGGCAATGATGAAGTTCAAGTTTGACTCAGTCTGTGACCGAACAACTGTCAACATGCAAGGAAAGCGAGCTTGGTTCGAGTCCATACCCTGCTCCATGAGGTATACTTCTGCCATTACCCGGCCAAAATTAAAGTATTTGGTCGTATCACCGAGAGGAAAGGCGTCGAGGGCATCCATAGAACGAGTTGATTTGTTCATAGTAGCGAGCGCTGAGCCCCATACTCCGTTAAGAAGTGCGATGATATCTTGGCTTACCGAGGGGTATTCTACCCAGATAGATTTATCCATAGTCTGGGGTAAAAAGGGTTCCTCAGGCGGCAGATAGCCGTTACGCTTCATGGAACCCGACAGTTTCCTCAAGTTAGATACCAGGGTTTGTCTTACATCACCTAGTTCCCCATCGACAGGGCTGTATTTGCCTTCGGCAATCTCAGGAAGTGCATGCTCTAGCAGCCAATAACCTTTTGCCAGGTCGGTGTAAGCTTGATACCTCGCTATCAGAAGTCGAGTTTCGTCCGGGTTAGCTGGACGACTCCTAATGATTGTCTCTAGCGAAGTTCTTCCTTTCAAGAACCACCACAGCGCAGCCCGGCACATATCTTCAGGCCTAGAAGTTCCCAGTGGCCTGAATTGTTCCGCGTGGAGTCGAAATAGCTCGTACAAGTGCTTCGTACGGGCAACGAAAAGCTCTAGAGCATCATCAGGCGCTGCTGGAGCTACCGGGTCCCGGCGGACGCTTCGATGAGTTCGCACTGGTGATGATGGGGAAAATTCACGTGAAGTAGGATTCTGCGTAGTCGGCGTAGCTTTATGAGTGTAGTCCGCTAAATGAGCCGGGTTCGAATACAACGAGGAGGGGCTGTCGCCAGTGTGGCGTTTCATGACCCGCGTCTCGTCTGGTGAAATTGCTCGCTGTGAGTGAATTGATGCCAGATCGAAATCTGGCAATGGGTCATGCGTAGGTAATGAAGGTAAAGTATTAATCTGGGGCGGGTCTTCACTGTAAGGGGGTGGTTGAGGTGACCTAGTGGATTGATTTGGTGGTATCGGCGATGGCTTTAATGGAGTTCTGGTAGACTGAGTTCGTAACACATTGGAGACCGATTCCTGTAGTGAAGGCGCATCCCGGGCAGACTTAGTTCTTTCAGGGAAGGACTTCGGTTCCTGCGCTGTTGGCAACGGCCCTTGCTTCTGGCGAATGGACAATTCCCGCACGGGTTCAGGAGATGAGTTAGGGTCATCCCACTCATGGTGCGAATTAGCGCTGGCAGTCCTCATTGCTTCTGCAAATGCCATTCCCTCAGCCTGCCGCTGCTCATGTTGACGAATTTCCACAAACGATCGACGATTCTCGTCTTTTCGAGAATCGGTATCCAAGAAGCGGGATCGGGCTGGTTCGCCCGCAGGGATAGCACGCGGCTTGGGCGGCTCAGGAGAAGAGACGGGAGCCTGATCTGCCTCGTCTGAACTAGATTCGAACATTGAAAACCCGGTCTGTGTTCTGCGTAACGGGCCGGGTATAAACTCGTCGTTTTTTTGTGAAACTTCCTGAAAAGCCCCAACTTGTCTCGCATACTGATGGCCCTCCTTTGTAGGTGGGATAGGTGCTGAGATTGGTGCTGACTTAGACCTCTTCTTTTTGCCAATCTCCATCACCGCCGTGGGGCATTCGTCACCACCTTCACCAATGATCTCGGGATACGTATCGGCGAATCGAACAGAGCGGTTCTTCTTCTTTTTTGGCCGCGGTGGACTATGTGACCGTGCTCGTTGGGATGCAGCTTGTTGGGATCTATTTTCTACCTCCAGAGCCCCCGGGAATCGGCTGGCCTTGGTAGTATCGAGAGCAAGAGATGGTGGGCCTCTTGGAACTGTGGCCGGTGGCGGGGGGACAGGATGGGAGACCATCAAGCGGTCCGAAGTGCCTAGAAAGTCGGAAATCTCGTTTGCACTCTCTTCGTTGGTCATTTTTCTCTCCCTAGAAGTGCTACCGCCACCACCGCCAAACAGCTTTCCCATAATACGATCTCGCCGGCGGGAGCCTTCATTGTGTGCATCATGCTCCATCGTCATCGGTGACTTGGTGGGGTACAACATATGTCTTACGAAACCATCAATAGGATGTGCTTGTCAGCGTCTAGATACCAGCTAGATTATCTAATCGTCGATGATCTCGAGATCTGTGTAAGGGTAAAAGGGTTCGAGGGATGGTCGAAAGGGAATAATTTGCAGGATCAATGCCTTGTTAGTGGCCCGTAGTCGTCGAAGGTAGTACGAGTTGGTTTAAAAAGATCGTCGAGAGTTGCTGTGGAATCGTCGAGAGTTGCTGTGGAAGTGTGGGTTGTTTACTTGTGCGTCCGTTCGTTCTGTGTGTCCTGTGTGTGTGCCCACCAGACCTGTTCGAAATAGCGAAATTGTTTAATGTTATTTAGTTTGGCTATGATCGTCGTCCACCAAGGGGCGAGGATAATGACACAGAGCAACACAGCCAAACAGAATACCCACTTCCACCATAAAATTGAAAAAAGATAAAATACCCGAAGAAAAGGTTACGATGGAATAGTTAGTGTACAGGCAATGAAACCCACGTAGATAGACAGGTTGTCAATGCCTATTCCAAGCTTGTATGTCGAGTTGTGTATAGGAGGTACCTAAGTAGTCAGGTAGTAGGTATAAGCGCACACATGTGGTATGAGTGTCCTAAAAGTATGTTGTATGTCGTATGCCAGTGCCAATGAAAGAATGAAAGAATGAAAGTATTGGTGTATGTATGCAAGATGGCCTTATCCTTTGACGAAGTGTGGGAAATGGTGGAAGGATGAGAAGTAGAATGTAAAAAAAAGAAGAAAAAAGATGGATATCAATCAATAATATGCTTTGTTAGATGGAATTGGGACAAAGTGGTAAAGTGGTAAAGTGGTGTATGTTGTATGTAGTGTGTATGTCGTGTGCCTCTGTGCCTCTCTCAGTGCTTCTTTAAGTGGCAGTGTGGGTATGTACCTACATACAATTACATGTATGGATGTATGTAGTGTCTGAGTCTCCAGGCTGGTAGTGTAAGGTAGTGTCTTCTTGTCTCGTCTTGTCTTGTCTTATCATTGAGTGTTTGGTGTTACATACCACTATGGATGTACATATAGTACCTTCAAGTATTATGTTAGATAGCCTGGAAGTAATAGTGGAAGTATGTATGTAACACCTAGTACTACCCCGGGTGGGTTCGAAAGAGCTCAGGTGTGTAGTACCTTCTTTTCCAGATTTCAAATGTTCAAATGTTAATTCAAGAAAAGAAAATTGGAGTTGGAGGTGACCCCCTTCTCCCCCAAGTCCAAATCCAACCAGCAGCAAATGATGAATTGGTCGTGCAGATCGACCAGGTCAGTTTCAGGTACACGTACTGGAACCAGGCGGAACCCGGCTTCGCAGTTTTTTTTTTTTTTTCAATGAGCTCGATGGATATATCTGATCAGTCCTCGACACTTGGAATTTAATATTGTACCTACCTAAAGTAATTCAATGTTATACATAATAGTATAGGTATAACATAAGGCAAGTTTAATACTTTGTCACGAACCTCAATTCTTTTTTTATCTTTTTTTTCTTCCTTTAATCATGGATATTCATATCAATATTGATATACGTAAGCACAGGCCAGCACTAACCATGTAACCTTAGTACATTGATAGTTTTTTTTTTTTTTTTTTTTTAAAAATGTATTGTACAGACAGTATTATGGATGACATTGATCAATCATTGGATGCATGTATGTACATAGTTAACCTGAATGTATGAATTACATGTAACTACATGTACCTTCCCAACCCCACCTCACGTACTTCACTTTACATGCTTGGCCAAGCTCTAACTGATTTAGGGTGGATGCACCTAACAAAGTGCCCTGATTAGGACGGGTAGGGACGAATTGAATTAGGCCCTAACTTCTGTCTAGGGTGGTGCCCACCTATCGACATCCAGGGACCACCCAGTCCGAGTGGACCATGGCATCCACATGAACCCTTCCGCGCCGTTTACGAAATCCCAAGCAGCTGTTACATTCAATGTTGTACCTAACTACAATGCTACATAATACATACATTATGGTTTGCACTGTAAATACTACATATGATACATATGTAGCGTTTGTAGTAACTTTGTACAACCAACTTGAACATTATTTGAATCAATCGATGTCGAGGGATAAGGCTTAGTTAAACATTTGAAGCTTTTAAGGCTTAAGGCTTATCAACAGCTGATGTAGCCACCCTTTAAGCGACTCTCGCTCTTCTAAAAATGGGACTTTGATATCCCAAATTACGTCCCAACTTCCCCAACCGACAACCCCCCCCTGGACAGATAGACAGAGACAGAGATAGACAAACATCTAACCGATCTTCTAGAACACATTCGACAAAGATAGACATTCGGCCCTGAAGTCTACCGGCAGTCACATTACCAGTTAGAGCAGCAAGGGCGGTTAGTAGATTAACAAAAAAAAGAGACAGCCTCTTTTTTCTTTTCTTTTTTTTTATAAACAAGCACATAACCGCCAGTCTGGAATGACCATTCTCGTCTCGGCTCCTACTGACGCTTATTATACTAACTAGTTAGTTATGTAGGATGCCGCTATAACGGGACATTGTAGGTCCTACGCCGCGCTTGCAGACTTATCAAGGGGTACATATTGGTGTAATAGCCTATCATCTTACTCACTCCCACTTATGAAGTACAAGGTAGTTATTCTATATGTTCAATATTATCAGCTATACTTCTCTCATCTAACCTAACTATGTACATACCTACCTAGGTAGTCAAGTACTACGTTGTAGGTAATAGTTTATACCTGCTTTCGTGCTGACCGGTCCTGCTCCCGTCTCGTATTTTGTTAATAGTGTTTATCATCTATATCCACTGCTTGAGCTTAGAAGTGGGCGCAATGAGAAGCGTTTCGTGCGTCCGCTTCGTAACGATTTACATAGTACTAAAATTACAAGCGTGCTGTGTAACATACTTGTGTAGTTTTTGGCCATAACTATGAAGTGCTTGGTTGTAGGTACAACATAATAGGTGACAGGTGGTAGATAGTAGGTACTTACTCAGTACCCTGCTTATGTCTACGGTATATGCGCCATGCTAGCCGAACAATTATAGCGGCGATGGTCCAATGTCAACTCCATGTCGGCACATGGTGAGGCTGGCCACCCGCTTCGAGTTGCACATGCAGCAAGGCCACCTTGGGGTAGTATCACTTTAGATTGGTGGCTGTGAGATCTCATACGGTTGGGCTGAGTAGCTAGCTTGGATCGGAGGCGTGGGTAGTTCGGGTCTTGTAGTAAATGCCACAACCAATCTAGCTGGGCTCTCTCCTGATGACCTACATATTACCGTGCGTCCCGTCAGCCCCGTGAATTATCACACCAGCGGGGCGGCGTTCGGTGCCATCGGTACTTTCTTGTATTCGGCTTGGTCTGCGGGCCGTGAAGCCATATCGGAAAATAGAATAACTCGGTCGGTTATCGACGTCTTTCAGCCTATCTAGAAAACGGAAGCATTATTCTGTCACAGCTCGTCTAGCCTCGCCCTCTCGCATTTTTCTCAGGATATGTATCTTCGGCTCCATCTTAGGGCCAACCCACCATCCACCAATCAACGCCCTAGTAGAATCTTTTACTCTTCTTACCAGTGCGCCTCTTCCGAATATCCTGTCTTGGCCACTTTCAATATCATATTTTAAGGATGTACTCGGTCTGACTATTTCAATTCCGGCAAAGCCTTCCACCACTCCGACTGTTTCCCACGGGCCTAGAACTTTGCTTGGATCTTCGGCGAGCACATAATCGAATTTCTCCCAAAATGCTGGACTCCTTAATATACTCTCATCTTCCGTTTTGTCATAATTGAAGGTTATTTCGCTGGCAGATCGCGAGTCGTTCGGAAGGGAAGGGTGTTGTCCAAAGAGTGTCACGCCCGTCATACACGACAATACATCCGTATGAATCGTGACAGTCTGAAGGTCAAGTGAGGAAGGGGAGCTAACAAGGTTGCGGAGCTCCAAAAGAGCCTCGCCACCTGGGTAATTGAGTGAGGATATGACGAGCATAGCAGTACTAATGGCGAACGACACAAGTACCGAGCCAAGAATCACGACCGAAGCACTTAAGAAAAGCACGGATTTAGTACGACGTGTAAAGATGTAGTTTGCCCCCAAAGCTGCTGCTGCTGTCAACGGTGGCGCAATATAGAAGATGAAACGCGCCTCCTTGTGTGGCTGTAAAGAGTATATGGCTACAAAAAGCAGGGAGGGTACTACCAGCTGTTGAGCTTGGCTCTTTGTTCCAGTGTTCCATAGTGCGTAGGGGATGAGAACGCTTGTGCTCAGCGGATTCGTAAGGATCTTGGGTATGGCAGATGTGAAATAGTAATGCCAAGGGGAAACTCCCCAGTCGGAAGAGGAGCCAAGGATAGCATTATAGTAGAAGCCCCATAGTTCGGGCCACAGAGGCTTCTGCCAGAAATAGGAATCGATCGGTATAGTCAGCAGTAGGGAGGTTATGAAGAAGACGATGAAAGTAGGGATGATTCGGCCTAGGGAGATATGGGAACGAGCTAGGCCATACAGGGTAACAGTCACAAGAAGAATGGCCAGCTCTGATCTGAATATAGCGGTAGCCATTGTTAAATATGCAATGGCCAACTTGTAGCGATATACTGGCGGTTTTTCATCGGGATTCGTCATTAGTTGTGAGAATGCCAACGTTGCTACCAATTGTCAGTTCAAGGTCCTCATGAAAAGGGGCATTGTGGACTTACTAAACCCGAAAGCAAACATATTGGGCAATGTTCTAGAAGCATAGAAGAGCACATGGAATTGGCAGAGTTGCAACAAGGCATACCACCTCGCTGTCGACCTTCCAAAGGCTCTTCCCACATTCTTCTTAAAGACCAAAAGAGCGGCAGCATTAAATAGCCCAAGAATGCCTCTCACAACAAGTTGTGCGTGCTGGAAGCCCACAAGGGTAATAATAGGCTGGCCAATGCCGGCTAGCAGCACCGAGCCAACGAAGGTCCTAGGAACCGCTCCAGGAAAGTCGAAGTGATCATACTGTGTCGAAAGTTTGCGATAGATATCACTGGTGGGCGTTCCATATACCAGGATATCGTGGGTCGCTTGAATGTTGAAGGACTCCTCAACCTTTGTGTAAGGCGCCACTAAGAGGTGCACTATAATTAACGCTGGGATTGCCAACGATAAGAGTAGGTCTTAGATTTATATTTATTAGTGTTTTGTTAGATATTGATTGGGGAGTAGTGAGTATAGTGACATACCAAGAGCCGCCATTTTTTATTTGATTTTTTGGAATCGGTATATACCATATACCACCTAGGTATACATAGGTTGATGTGAGTGAGTTGAGGCTTGTGATGTGTTGTGTCCAGATACTGTAGGTGTTCAAAAACACACTGGATATAGCTTTCAACATAAAATTGGATACCAATGATTTAAAGAGCGACTTAGATGCAAATTTTCTCTTAAAAGGACATCATTGATAGACCTGCTACTATACAAGAGAGTGCCTAGTAAGATGACCTTTGAGTGAGAGTTTGAGGTTTGAGGTTCATGGCAGCATCAAAGATTGAAGCTGCCGTGTTTGCATGTCTACTACATATATGTAACTATTAACTACCTAGGTACCTAGTACTGTTAGGTTAGGTAAGTAGTAGGTACCTAGGTACGCTGTGTATTGTACTATTAACTCCAGATGTCAATCCAAGTTAAACTTGGAACATGGCTAATGCGTGTCCTGCACCGCCACACTTTTCACATGTACCTATCATGCTACATTACAATTACTACAGTACATCTGCATAACACTCAACTACCTATCCTATCCTCAACTTCCTCAAACCACTTCCTCCCTTTCCCATGCTGTTTAACCCCAGCTTGCCAAAATGCTACTCCTCGGAAACCTTCTCTACGGTAATTACTCGCCCAGCTCCATCCACCTCCCAATTTACGATACTTACAACTAACGCGATCAAATTAATTACCAGTCTCAATCCTCCTCGTGAACGCCATCGCAATCCTCTCCGAAGACCGTTTCCTCGCACGCAGTATGCGCCAACCCTCACATCCCGCCTCATACGCACACTAACCTGTTCATTTCCCCTTTCACTAGTAAACCTATCCGCCTCGTACGATCCCGCCTTCGGCGCCGGCCCCGATTCTCAAAGTGTCAAGGCCAAGGTGATCAACCTAATCGCTAGCGTGCGAACGCTGATGAGGAGTGCGTGTTCAAACCCTCCCCCCACTCACCCCCTTTTTTTTTTTGCGCGCAAGGAGCTTGAGCGTATGAGATTTAATATCGGCCAACTAACGAGAAACCAACAGTTCCGTTGATCGCGATTAATACTTTAATAATAATCTACGAGCTGGTCTTGGGGTAAAAATGGGAAGTCATGGCCAGGGAGGAAAGAGAAGAAGCACGATGACGATTTAAGAAATTTGCATTCAGTTAAACCGGGCGTTTAGGTGTACACATATTACATACATATGCACTCTAGTTTCGATCTTGGGGGGGCATGGTCAAAATGGAGATAGGCAGACTACTAGGTAGCGATACAGTTATTTGCAAGAACTGAATAATGCCACTATACTACTAGTAGTACATCAACCATTATATTAATATCACTAAAACGCAATGCTGGCACATTTGCATTCACCTCGTAGGTGGTAATTAAAAGCAGTTACATAAGCTTCTCGTCTGCTTTCCCATCTATATGGAGAAGACGCGACATGCTACAGCTACTTGCCTACTAGGCAGGTAAGTAGGTAGGCTGGGAGGTAGGCACCTAACTATGTAGGTAGCTAAGCCATACACACAGTCTCCTGACGATATGTGGCAAAATCTGATTCTCGTGATGCTACACGGAATCAGAGATAGTTACTGCAAAGCGATCGCCCCTCTACAGAGTATCCAAATCCGAATATCAGCTTTGACCCTTGTCCTCCAGAAATGCTCAAAATCCGGCATGTTTCTTTTGGTTGCTCCTAGAACTCCATATAATGCCAGACCCGTCACACTTTCCTAGTGTTATATAGGGGTCAATCATCACCATACAAAGAACTCCTAACTCCGCCTGATGAGTAACACTTCCTCATTGGAGGGCGGCCTGACTCTTCTTTCGCCCAAGACTGAAGCTAAAGCTCTTCTTGAGCCTGATGTGTGGCTCTGGCCTGACCTGGCTATGTGTCGCACTCTCGCCGTTCTGCCCATTATGTCCATTATGCCCACCATGTCCAGCACCATGCCCATTCTCCGATACCTCGGAGCTATCCCGCTTCGCCTTTTCCTTATTCAAGAACCCAAAGCTCTTCCTGGACATGGTCTTACTGCCTCTGATTGGCCTCTGAAGAGAAGGTACACTATCATCCTCTTCCTGTCGTTGGGCATCTTCTTCTTCTGCCATCTTTTTACTCGCCTCGAGGGCCTTTCTTAATTCGTCTTGTTCAACCCTGCGAGCTTCTCGCAGCCGCGCATCGGCCTCCTTGCGCTGCTTTTCTTTTGCCTTAAGCTCTTCCTTCTCTGCCAACTTGCGAGCCTTTTCCTGGGCCTTGGCTTCTTTCTTCCCTCGGCTCCTTTCCTCTTTTGATTTTGATTCCTCCCTAACCGTATTTGTTCTTGGTGGCAATGGGGGGACCGGTGGTATTGTTCCGTCAAGTTGAGGTAGCAATACTGGTGAGTGGATCGCTGGGCTGATAGTTATATCGGGCGCCGTGATAGCATGATTCAGCTTTAATCCCTCGGGCTCCTCTGCTGGTCGGGTAGGTTGAGTTAATTGTCTTGATAGCCCAGGAACATGGCCATTTGGTTGCCCATCTTCTTGGGCAACGCCGGCCTTTTCACTAGCTATCCTAACTTCTTCAAGGCCCTCCGCTTCCTGTTCCGCTCGCACTTTCTCGATGGTCGTCTCTTGGTAGAATAACACATAGGCGCAAGCCATGCCCGGTTTATCCCCAAAGAAATTCCGAACATAATGCTTATCCACCGGTTCGACCATCTCATCGTCGAACAAGAGCCAGCCTCTGTCCTCTGTCTTGATGACTGAAACATAATGGCCATGGTACGCGTTGCCCCCAATGTGGACGACGACAGCATAGAGTTCGTATAATCGATCCGGGTCTTGGGCATCCTCTGTCGTATTGAACATCCTTAACTGATACGGGTACACCACACGATGAAATAGTTTCTGTAGGCGACTGTAGTCTTCAGTATACTTGAACCTTTTCAAATGTAACGCCAAGACCTTGGGTAGTCGTTTGATCTTCATGCGCTTCTCAGCTTCTTGTAGTCCTCCGCAATGATCGCAATGAAATTTGTTTCTCTCACAAAGCATCTCTTCGGCTGAAAACTTTTGTAAACAGGCTGTGACTGAAGTATGCTCTTCCAAGTCGATCGATAAATCTAAGAATGTCTCGTCGCGCTGGGATGCCGTCTCGCATGTGAGGCACTTCGTTTCTGATGTTAACACGCCTTCAAAAATATTATGAACCCAGCCTGTTCCAGGAGAATTTGTGCCGTTCGCTCTTGTCCTGGCAACTGCTCCTAGGGCAGCTATGAGTGATTCTTCAACCCCATCTTCATTGCGAGCTACTTCTTGGTCCAACAACCGTTTCGCAGTACTCTCGACATTTGAAATAATATCGTTCAAGACAAGCCCATAGAACTCATGAGCATCCTGGTGCATAGAATTTCGGAACATCTCGTTGTCGCGCTTGAATATCTCCAGGAAACGCTGTGGACTGAGAACTCCTGTACGAACGGTACTGTCGACCAGGGCCATAAATATATCTCTTAGGCCTGTAAACGTACACTCGTCCATTCCGTAGGTCTCGTTGCTCTCCTGAGCCAACTCCAATATGGGGCCTTTTAGCATTGCTTGCTTTTTCTTGTATTCAGGCGTGTCAGGTTTGTCCTCTGGCCGAACCTGCGGAGGCTGTCCCGAGTTGATCTGCTTTCTTCTCTCCATCGCCTCCGCCGTGGTGATTCCCTTTTTATTCCCATTTGCGCCTCCGTGTGCAGAGCCATTCACAGCAGCAGCAGCTCTGATTTGGACGTTAACCCTCGGCCGACTACCGTTAGGTGTGTCTGATGGTGATAATGGTGGAAATTTGAGTACCTGTTCTCGGAACGGAACGGTATAGTATAGGGCCTGGACGATCGAATTGCAGTAACTATATGGCTGTTAGGATAATATAGTACAGATTGGGTGAGAAGGAAGTCAGTCTTTACCATGTATTACCAAACTACGCCATTGAAGTTAGCACTTTTTCTTATAGTCAAAGTGAAGGCATTCGCGAATAATACTTACATTCTCCATGCCGAAAAACTTATCGCTTCCATCGGGCCGCAATGTACCAGCAGTCTGAAGCATTCTTTCTAACGGGGTAACCTCCGGCGCAGCCTCCTCTTTCTTCTTTTGCACGTCTTTGCCCACCGAACCCGAAGCCGCCTACTGCTGTGTCAGCAAGCTCGAGTAATTTCTATGCTTGTAGCTTTTTGTAGCTTTGAGAACCTCGGATACAATCTACGCTATACGTGTATCTACCGTGGTCTTGGGCTAGGATCCAACAACTTACAGCACCGCCCGTCTTCCACTTGGTAAGAAAACTCGCCATTGTGAAGTAGGCAATCGAATATTAAAGATTACGGGAGTTCGGACGAGGCAAGCCAGCGTCGAGGCGCGGCGCAAGGTTAGGAAGAAAGGGCCGGATCGATGGCGACAGTCATTCGAGAATATATTATTCGGTATAAGAGTTCGGTATAATATGCCGAAGTGGGCGTAGGTATTAGATATATGTGATATATGATGTATGATGTACGGTTTACGTCTTATAGACTTTTGATATTTCTAGGGTTCAATTAAATCAAAAGTATCTTAGTATCTGGTCCTCTCGAGTTCTAAATCTGTCGTGCTTGTCAATTAATTGGACTTTCTTTGGTGAAGACGGGCGGATCGGAAGTTGGCGCAAAGTGGGAAGGCAGTTGATGAGATAGGAAATGAAATGGATTGGTTGAGGAGGGTTAAGAGACCTCGGAGAGTTAAGAGAGTTAGAAATAAGAGAGCGCTGGAGTAAGCGCAAATAGGTGGTAGTTAGTAAAATCGTGTATCGCTAAGAAAAAAGGGAAACAGGGAAAAAGGGAAAATGATCCGAAAAGAAGAATAGAAAGAAGAAGCGAGTCTTGTTCTTGTTCAAATTCAAGTTCAAGGGAAGGATTCAATCGGTCGGGGGAGACGCATTAGAAGGAGCCGGAAGTATGACCGGGTGCACATGTGGTTCAATGTTGAATGTTCAAAAAGATGTAGATTTCTAGATTCTTACTGTAGCAGTCCAGTCTGCAGTGCTGAACAATTAATGTTGCAGAATGCACACTGCACACTGCACACTGCACAGCGCCTCGATTTAGAGTCCTGAGAACCCTGGAGATTCTAAAAGATGGGGTAAATCGTCCGCTAACACTAACTAGTTACTAGCCTGTTAGCCTTTCTGCCTCTCGGACCAACACCCAGCTTTCAGTTCACATAAGTGCAAGGTTTGTATGTATGTATTGTATTGTACCCTTCGTACTGCATGTACCTACCTAGTACCTATTACATTACCTACAGCACTTCTCCGCATGCCGAGGAAACATTCAATGTTGTAAAACAAACTCAAGTCAGGATCGACTTGTAATTACTAATTAATATTCTTTCAAGCTTTATTAAGCGCGCTGTGTAACTGGTTGTAACTGATTTTGACTTTACATGTACATAACTATATGTAACACTCAATCATGCAATCTTCAATCTTCAATCTTTATTAATCTTCATCTGTCCAAACTTGAACTTTCAATATTCGTCTAATCTCTAGATTCATCTAAAGTTGCAGCCCTGAACTTGCTTTCTGCATATACATCAAATCTACATGTATGTAGGGTGCATGGTCCCAACCCAAGCCTTCAAGCCTCATTTTTACTCCCAAATCTTACCTTGCACGTTTCTTACCTCCACTAATGACATACCTTAATCCTAATGTAGGTATTGTACCTAGCAGGTATGTAGGTCCCAGGCTGCTAAGGGCTACAGGCTACAGCAGGTTAAGCCAGTCATCTTCTCGGTCCCAGTCCATAAACGGCAATTTATCCATCCATCATGGAGAATCATGGAGATTTGTTAACCATCGGTGATTTACACTGATTTACATACAACTTACAACGTTATAAATGCAAGCAGATCATCTGCAACTATTTCTAGAGATCATTTATGGGACAATCGGAACTTCCCACTCTCCCCACCATGACCTCAAAGGTTGATATCTCCAGGGCTACATACTTCGTACAATACATTGTATGTATGTAGTATCAAGTTGATCAACACAGCAGCACTCCAACAAGACTCCCTGTCACCTTCTGCTCCTTACATACGTTGCAGTTAATAGCAAGCAGTTGAGATCGTTGGGAGTGGGGGCACTGGGGATCACACTAACCTACATACATACCTACCACTAATACACTACACTATGGAATCAGGGACAGTATTATATTATACATGTATAGTATTTCACTCGGTGTCTCACTAGCTCCACTTCCCACGCTCCCAAGCAAGCCAAGCGCAAATTGTCGTTTGTGGTTCGACCATTCGAGAGCTTCCAGGCTTGAAGAGGCAGGTGATTAACCACGACACTACAGGGACAGCTGGTCCCAATGCTACGGATACCATAGTCTTATTGTTCATACATACTTACATAGCACAGTACCCAATACCGCCATCCCCCCGTCTTTTAAAGGATTCCCGACGACGACCTCAAAATTGTGAGACAAAACACTACTCTGACCATTGGCGCCTTGGTATCACTCACTAGGTACCTAGGTACTTTTGCTCGTGGTCGATAGGATTGATGGCGAAGTGCTGCAGACGGGAACACGCGTCCCGTATTAACCGCAATCATATCTCGCTCCTCTCCGCAAGACATCAATTCCTTGTTCACTTGAGAATAAGACAGACTAGGACCCTTTTAGTTATGGAGTTTTGTGGGGTTGCTAGTAGCCAACGACGGTGGTGAATAGAGCGTAGTCTATCTACAAGAATGGGATAGTTGATATTTGCCAGGGCTAATACCAAGGACTATCACTTTCGCTATGTACTATCCTGGCTAATGCTTCTGCAGGCGGACTCGAACAAGCAGCCAGCCCCCGAAGTGACTGCTGTGCTCGGCCGAAATCCCTTCTCAATCGCGAACAAAGAAACCCGCAAATCAGGGAGGCCCTCGGTAAAACCCCCCTTCATACCGAAATGACGATTAAACGTACAATACCTAGAACCTACATATGTAACCTAGGTATGTCCTGGCGCGGCGATGCTCGCCAGCTGCCGTGCTCGTTCCGCAATACATATATAATATATGTATTAGGTATTACCGCAATATGTCTAGGTGCCTACATATGTAGGTAGGTACCGGAAATCGGAATAGGCATCGGGATTGAGCCTACCTACATATACCAGTGTAGCAGGTGAACGTGAAAAAGCCACATCTTGATTAAGCCACCTATGAAAGTCCCGCCTCCACTGCACATGGCTTTTTATCTTTTGTCCTGTGTGCTACACACCCTTGGCTGAATGCTCACTCAGGCGATCTACAACGCAGACAAGAACCGAGAAAGCGCCGCCATGCATTCGAACACAGCCAACGAGCAAACTTGTCACGAAAGACGTGCAGCAACTAAGGGTGTGCAGCTTTGTGGAAAACGCGCGATGACGGAATGCAGAGTTGTGGCGTAACCCCCTCGTGGGAGCCCGCCTTACCGCCATCAACCTTGGCCCATGTGGCAGGCCTGCCAAGGGACGGGCTGTAGGTTGAAAAGCACTGTAAAAAGGCGTTTTCTAGAAGGTTGGTGATACGACGTCGCAGACTACGACGAACCCATGGTGCGTGCTACCTAAAAAGGGCTGAAAGCAACCCTGAAATCGGAGTGCTTTTTAGGGGACCGCCAGGCCGAATCGACCCGAACGAAGCTGAATACTTATGTGGTATTGTACATATACGCCGTACCTACCCCGCAAACCGATGGTTATTCACTACAAGTTGCATACCAATAGTTACTTAAATAGGTACGTATGTATGATTTAACAGTACTACAGTAGGTACCCCTATTTTGGCATGAGATTTCGCTGGTAGTTAATACCAACTGGGTAAATATCATATGATTCTTACTTGGCCTTTTCCTCCTTATTCTAAATCCAACTTAATTAGCCAAGCTCACCTACATATTATTATTGCCTTACATACGAATTTTTTTCAATCCCTCGAAACGTAGGTAGGGTTCTAATGCGGAGATACCCAAGCCTTATCTCCATATTTCTTCACGTAGGGGATGAGGGGGAAAATATCTCATACAGACATATGGCTGTTAATACCTGCCCAGATACGTATAGGTAGATACGTACGCACATAATAGTAGTTACATAGGTACATACATAGACGTCTACCTGGGTCCTAGATACCCCGGCAGGGATATGGGATATAGTGTAGTCGTACGTATGTATAAAATGGACGATCGCTCATCGGCCGTATTCGTAAACAGAGAAATGCGTATGAAGCTAGAATGTTAACATTCATGATCTTCTTACATATATCCACTCTGAAGTGGACTTGATCCTCGTCTTTATTTAGACGCCTACATACCTCTCCGCTCAACTACATACCTACTCTTACTCCCAGGCTATTGGGGTCCTGGAAGACGTAATCTAGTGTATAGAGAGAGACCTTGGGTACCTACCGATCAATCTCCAGATTCTCCACTGCCACTATATACGATGACAAGGTTTATATAATATACGCATTTGACTCACAGAGTAGTAGCACTACCTACTATCTACTATGCAACTCTTGAACTGCAGCGGGCATCACATCTTCGTTGGAGAACCCCCAAAAATAAGAAACGGCTTGTGTTAACGAAAAGTTACCAGAGAAGAAAGCTGCCTAACCCGGAACCGTATAGGTAAGCAGATGGCTTTACATCACGACGGCATCATGGTGACAGACATTACAGCATTAGAATCGCAATGTGGCAGTGGGGAGAGTTGCTTCAGATATCACAGTTGAATATATACGTTGGGCAGCCGTCACGAAACGTCCGCAACCCGAACTCGACCTTAGTCTGCCAAACCACCTACCTAGGCATGTTACCTATTCCGACTAACACCAATCAAAAATCTGCCAGAACTCACAGTAAAGGGGGCCAAGCATCTTTGTTCGTCAGTAAATATTACAGGCACATGTTTGTTACCGAATACTCATTGCCCCTCCTTCAGAGCCTTATTTCTTCTCAGGGGGTGCGGCTCCTCCTGTCGTAGGGAAGCCCATGAACATCTTGAAGTAGTCCTAGGATATTGTTAACATCTTCATGTCAGCATAATCAAATAAGGGATACTCACATAAATCATCCACTGGAGACCGGTGAGAGTGCCAATCATGACGATACGGACAGGTAGACCGTTCCACAGACCCATGAAGCCTATATCCTTGTAATTCCGGGCGACGGCGGCACCGAAGCCTTCGCCGGCTTTGCGGTTGGCATTGAGCTTGCTGACGAGCACATCAGCCGGATGAGAGACGATGGCGCAAAGGATACCGGCCAAGTATCCACCGGAAAAGGAGACAGCGGTCTGTGCGCCCTTGCCGTAGTCGCTCTTCTGACCGGGTAGGCTTTCGTAGATTTTCTCCACAATGGTTTCAAAGGAGGCAAATTTCATCATTGTGTACGGGATCTGACGACCCCATAGGGGATACAGACCCTTGTATAAGCCGCCGGCGCCCTCAGCCGCCATGATCTTGCTGATGCCATCGAAAGTGCCCTTGTAGGGTGAGGGAATAGTGGTTTGCATGCGGACTTTGACGGCCTCGAAGGGGCAAAGCGCAAGATCGGCGAGGAACTCGGCGGAGGCAGAGGCTCCAAGGTAAAGGAACGTCTTGTACTTGTACGAATTCTCGGGTCCCGCGAGATCCGAGTATTGCTTCTTGAAATATTCGTACCAACCGTATTTAAAGGCGCCCTGCGCCGAGTACCCAAAGAGGGTGGGGCTCCAACCCGTGAAGATACCCCGGACACCCTCTGATCGAAAAATCAAGCCCCAGGCCTGGAAGTTTCCCTTGTACAGCTTCGAGTCCACTTGTCGACGACACTTGACAAGATCCAGGGGAGTCACAGCAGTGTGCGTCAAGCCCTATATCGTTGGTGTCAAAAAGAACAGTTTCTGACGTCAGCGACACCAATGCGATTCACTTACACACGCGAGAAGACCACCAAAAGTGGCAGCAGCGTAGAACGTAGGGGTATAAAGCTCCATCTGAGGCTTAGCTGATTGGCTGGCTTTGTTAAACTCCTGCTGGGCCTCAGAGCTCAGCTTCTGAGCTTTATTCTTTGCATCGTCAACCACTGAGTAGGCGACAAAGAGTTCCGGGCGGGCTTGAAGCGGGGTGGCCTTGGTCGCGACTGGACTGGTTCGAGCCCGTGGACTTATCGACGATGAGCCGAAGGACTGATGGAGGACATGTTGGTTAGGGAATAGTCCGAGGTAGGACATCTTGGCTGTCTAGTCCTGTGAGTGAACGTAGAGTTCATTGGTTAGTATACTTCTGCTATCATCAATAATAAATAAAGCCTGTCATGAAGTCCAACTCTTCACAATTGATATTCTCAAGTGTCGTTCACAAGGTTATTGAATAGAACACGATGAATTGTGCTATCGGTGACATAAACGGAGACGTACTGTTTCGTCTACTATACAGTACAGTATAATATAGACCCAAGGTCAAGGTCTTGAGATCGGTCGCAATTATTATATTATACTATCGTAGTGATCGCAACACTGCAATGGACAAGCTCAGTGTGCCAATGCGAATAAACAAGGTGGTCACTAATCTACGTAGGGTAGGAAGAGGTTCTGAAGTTTCTTGGAGGCTCAAAGGAAAGGAACATTTGGAATTCCAAGGCAGCAGGATTCAGATAGGAAAGCAGGAGCCCTGGAAGAGTGGAAGAGTGGAAGAGTGGAAGGTGGGCTTAAGGAAGCTCCGGAGATAAACACCCCCCCACGCCTTTTCCCCGTCCAATCCAAGCTCATCCTTCTTTTCTAAAGTCATAAACCCAACCAAATTGAACCAATAAGTGGGCCAGTAATGGGAATGAGATAACCAAGATCTACTGTATGTACCTACTGCATGCAAAGTATATGTAAGAGTCACCTCACATGAGCAAGAAAAAAACTCTATATGCCGATGGAAACAGTTGATGGTACTACATGTAGGTACTAGTTACATGGTACCTATGTATTATCACCCATGATAAGTTACATAGTGTATATGTAGTATGTGAATTGAAGGAAATAGCTACCGAGAATACAACATTGAAATGAACGCTTCGTTTTCTATAACACAGTAACAGTTAGTACCTACCTCTAGCATTGGAGTCACAATGGAGTGAGCTCACTTAGAAGGTTAGAGTACTATGTAGCACCTAGTAAGTAATGCCCCACCCTAAACCCAGATTGTCGTCATCCAAGGCTCCACCACCGAGATCTAAGCTTTTGCAAATTCCAAACTCGACAACAATCAGCCAAAGCTAACACAGCCAATAACTCACCAGGTTCAATAATCGCGAAAAGCTGCCATGGCTTCAACGGTCAAGACTTCTGCACATGTAGGGCCCTCTACTTTAGGAGGCCAGCCTTTCGTTTCCAAGTGGTCTTCACGATATCGAGGAGTAAGAGCAGAACCCACCCCACCGCCGCCACTACTATAATCACTATAGTCACCATATAGCATAGCATATCTTTATATATAGGTACCTACACATCAACACCTCTCGCAGCTTAACTAACCCATCGACCCCTCTCAACAGGCAACAGTCCAAGACCTCGAGCCCCCCTCAGCCCTCTCCCTCAACCCAACAGACCCCATCTCACTCGCCCTCATCTCCGCCTTCGAGCGCGACTACACGCACCTAACGGTCGTAGACTCGACGACCCGCGCGCTGCTGGGCTACATCGCGATCCCCGTGCTGCAGGCGCAGCTCGACGCCGGCAAAGTGAAACCCGAGGAGCCCATCTCCAAGGCCATGGCCCGCTTCGAGCGGAAAGGCCGCACCTACAAGGTCATCAGCATGGCCACGCCGCTCGAGGAGCTCGAGGAGTTCTTCGAGGGCGGCGGCGTCGGCCAGAAGCAGGAGTTCGCTGTTGTGACTGATGAGGATCGGAGGTTTGTCCTCGGTGTTGCCACGCGGAATGATCTCGAGGAGTTTGTTAAGAGGCGGCCGGCATGATATGATCTATGTGCTTGAGATCCGAGACGATAAATAACGTGCACGGGTCGGCATGATACTGAGCGGGTTGCTATTTATACAGTATACGGGCATCTAATGGAGAACGGCGCTATAGAAGGACTTTGATATTGATGTCACGGGTGTTTTTTACAAGTTCGGGGGTTTCAACACCTTACCTACTACATACTTACTTACATAGGAGCCTTGTTCAACAGAAAGTGAGGACATGGACCTTAAATCGCGAGATGTGTTTATTATACCTAATATCCCTGAGACCCGAGCCGATTGACGTTGATGTGTATATATATTTATAGATATCAGCTTCCCCTTCTATTCAGGCTACTGACCCCTTAACTGAATAATAAAACCGAAAGATTAGTCCCGGAGCATACCACGCCTACCTAGCTACCCCCACTAAGCATCGTCGCCGATATAATCATACACCATCTTGAAATTCACAAACTGCTCCCCCTTCGCGACCACAATATTCCTCGTATACCTCCTCTCGCCCCCCACGCTCTGGAACCCCCAGACCTGGACCGCCGTCCACCCCCCAGCAGCATCCAGGTTAACCACATGGTTCACGATCAGCGTCTCGCCCGCCGGGCCCTTCTGCTCACCGTCACCCTCGAGCCAATCCAGCGCCGCGAACTCGTCCTCGACCCAGCCCTCCGTCTTGGCCTCCCCGGCCACCCACGCCTTCAGCTCGGCGACGCCGAGGAACCGGCTGCGCCCCTTGACGTGCCCGAACAGCCAGTCGCTGTGCTCGCGGAACTCGTAGTCCAGACACCGGTTCTCCGTCGTGCCCTTGACGCCGGCCGTCGCGACTTGCTCGATGTCGATGCGGGGGACGGGGTCGGCGCTGGTGCTGGGGGGCGCGGGGGGCCCGAGGTACTGCTTCACGTGCAGGGTGACGGTGGCGGCGCCGATGGCCTTGCGCACGAACCAGCTGACGCCTTGGAGGGTGAGCGCGGGGTCGAGGCTGTCGGAGAGGGCTTTGTTCTGTTGTGGCGGGGTGTTTAGCTGCCTGGTGTAACTCGGAGATGAAGCCGAAGAGAGGAGGAGTGGTGTGTGATGAAGATTAACGCTGGTGATAGATAGTGTTGGTGGCTTGGCTTACTAGAACCCACTTCCCGTTCAGATCCCCAACTGTCTTGGATGCCGGGGCCGCCATGACGCTTGTTGTCTCGCCCGTGTATGATAAGCTTGGTAGCTAGCAGGTGTATAGTAAGTGCAGTACTATGTATGTAGGTTGGTTGGTTAGGAATATATATGTAGCTATAAATACATATAGCTATGCAGTCAGCCGTATGTAGGGAGGGAGAGCTTTCACAGAAACAGCGGTGGAATCAAAAGAAGGAGGGGTGGGTAGTGAAGACCAACAGCCAGAAAGCAAGGGACTTCGTAGTATTATCTATAGTGCATGTGTATCATCAGCACATGCGCAATTAATCAGACCAGACACCTCAACAATAGTAGGTAAGTAGGTACACATATTACCTACATAGCAAACCCCCCTTCTCAGCCTCCTGTGACGAAGCTAGCTAGCGAATCAAGCCTCGGGGGCTTATGGTATCGTCGATCAAATCATATGCTTTTACTTACATACATTCATACAATAATCAACAGTACAATACATCCCCGACCCGAGGTATGACGCAGCCAAGGTAGCAATCTGGCGATGAAAAAGGGAAGAATTAAACAACTTTTAGCATATGTAGATACATCAATAGTGCTGTACTTCGTAGTACCTCACTATTAAACGTAACGTCAAATAGGCGGGATAGCTGCCCAGTGGCCTACAGTGCAATACCTTAATATTGCGGGGTTATGTTACAGACAAGGTGATAAAAGGTGAAGAAGTCAACTGGACCGAACTGGTAGGCCCCTTGTCCGTTGTTACCAACTCGTGACCTAAATAAAATACATAACTCCTCGTTATGTACATATAACTACCACACAGTTTACCAATAACTTCAATTAATGTTACCATTTAGTAGAATGTAGCTTCATGCGTGACATACATACTAGCATTCATCACATCTCACTTTCTTCTATAACACAACACCCATGTATTTATTTGCTACCTAGTTACCCAGTGTTTAAACGTTTAAACGACATCTAGAACCAACAACCTACCTATGTAGGTATGCACAAATGGATCCTGATAAAATCATCCGCCTCCAATCTATGTATAGATTTGAACTCCAGTGCTCTTCCTACATAGTTATGTACCTAGTAGTTCTTGAGTCCAGGTACAGTATCTACCTATCTACATAGTAGTACTGGGTATGGCATCAATGATAAAATTTACAGAGATCATCGTAGCCAAGAAGGATCAACTCGGAGTTTAATTTTACTAGGAAAGTCTAGGATATCACCACAACGCCGTTTACCATCTTACTTCCCCGGAGGCCCGTTCACATTCCCGTTTCTTAGCCTTCATGTGATGTAACAGGGGATCTTGCAGTGGTAACAAGCAACTCGAAGCGTAATGAATAGTACGCGTAACTACCTGCACGTTGGAACGTTGCAACTTATGTATATCGCCTCCAGAGTCTAGTATTTTTAAAAAAACAGAAAAAATTGATAGCACTAATGATATTAGGAATTGTCTTTCTATCGTGTTCTTATTAAAATGATTAGGTCCCAGGCACCGAACAAAGGCTTCCTAGACACCCGCAATTTTGTACATGAGTGCGTCTGGACGAAAGGGTAAAAAAAAAGGGGGATATCCTACTCATACAATGTCACCGCCTACTGCTGATACTCCGGAATTTTTCTAAAGACGATAGCCCACCATCGCCTGCGGTCCAAATCCATCATCGACCCGTTATCATGGAGTCATCGCTGGCAACCAGTACTTCCCTCCTAGGCTTGGAATCATGCGAAGTTGCCGTCACCCTTGGGTTGCTTTATACATACTAAGTACTCGCCCCTGACACTCAACGCCTTGGGGCATATTGTTTTTTTTTTTCGCGACGCGAACAACCGCCACGTCCAGATCAAGGCCACCACTTCATCTTTTTGTAGCTCTCAATCACCTCCTCGACTAGCTCCTTGGTGATAACTGGCTTTTGGTATTGAAACCCAAGTACCGTCTCAAGTCGCCCGCCATCCATGCTGAGGTCCGTATCCTTCAACAACTCCTTTTCCATAAACGGAGTTAACGGGCCCGGTCTCGTTATTCCAGCGTCGGCGAGGAGGTCTGCCCAAGGCCCAAGAACATCATCATTCACATCGTCCACAACGGTGTCCATGTTGAGCCGAGCGAGGTTACTCAGTAATTGGCCTTGAAATCCCGTTTCGATCCCAAACACCTCCCCGATGATGTCAGCAACTATGCCTTGAGTAGTCGCACCCTTATCCACGATATTAAATATCGGCGTCTTGCCCATTTCCTTCTCATCCCATTTGGCCTTGCCCGCGTCATACCAAACGGCAACATCCCACAGAGCCCGTGTAACATCATCAATGTGGGCTGTGTTTGTGCGTAAGTCTTTGGTCCATAAGAACTTCAGCTCTTCACCGAGCGCTTGATAGACACGCGCCATGCATAATGCCGTTGCCACCCACTGAGACGCATACGGACCATACACATGGGGTAGGCGCACGATAACGAGATTCAAACTGTATAAAGAGACGTGTGTCGTTAGAAATCATTAGTCACTCAAGACGAAATTGACAGTCATAACTTACCCTTCAATCTTGGCTAGCTCCTCTTCTGCCTGGAGCTTGAAGACGGCTATCTTGCTCCAAGGCTTGAGTTTATCGCTTTCTTTGCTCGGCGACGAGGTTGGCTTATATACCATGCCTGTGCTCAACTCCACGAAGCACTTCACTTTCCGTTTCGCTGCTTCGTTGCCAACTGCTAATGACAGGCCGAGAGATCGCACTTTATATACTTCATCCTCCTGAGAATATCTCGTCTCGCCGCCACAGTTGAAAACATAATCCCATTCTTTTCCGTCAGTTCGGTCGAATATTCGCGCTAGCGCTTCTACAACAAGAGACTACAGTTAGCAACACTCACAACTCAAGAGGGTTAAATAAAGATGAAGTCGAAAAAGAAAGTCGTACGCTCTTTACTCGCATCCGCCTGCATAAATCTATCCGCAGAGCATGCTGTTTCGAACTCTGGCGGTAGCCAGGCCAATTGCGGTAATACTTTGTCTACAAGGCGAATCTCAGATGCGAGGTCGCTCTCGTGTATGTATCGGGCTAGGAAACGACCGATATAGCCCAGCCCACCGATGATGAGTACCGACGGCTTTTCTGTAGCCATCGTGTGTGTAGCTGTAACCCGATAAGTTACGAAGAATTAGGGAACTATGGTAGAAGACGACAATAAAGGACTCGAGGCGCAAGCACAGGCGCGGGGCACGACGTCCGAGGGGTCGGGGTAGCGATCGCGAGAAGATATGGCGATAGACAAGGCTATTGTTGGTTATATTCCCGTCTGGGAGACTTGGACTCAAGAGCTGAGCTGGAACAAGCTACAGAGCACCGACGCGAAGGTTATGTACTAAAGACCCAAGGGAATGCCTGTATTGTCTATGGTGGAGCAAGGGGGGGGCATCCGTCCGGCCCCGTAGAAGATTGTGTCAGCTGCCCGAAGCTAGTAATATTGGTTCATTTCGTTGTCTAGGGGGGGAGGGCGGATCCAGTCCAAGCGAGGAGGCCCAGCCCTATATAGACGGGACAAGAGCTAATACGTTGTTACGTTAGGGCTCGAAAATAAATCAGATATTATGTACCAAGACTCTTCCAATACTTTAATGTCTAGTGCAACCCCAGGTGAGAAGGGGGGGGGATGAGAGATAATAGAGAGTGTGCGTGAAAGAGAGAGAATAATAACCCAATGTGCCGTGTGTGTATGTGCAATGTGACGCAGGGGAGGCTTGGGTTTATTACATATGTACCGTATGTACGGATGGGACGTCTGGAACGTATGGAACGTATGGGGTGTTATGGATGTATGGATGCGTGGATGCTTGGGCGTACGTGGAAGCGTGGAAGCGTAGAAGTGTAGAAGTATGGAAGTAGACGGGCATGAATTATCTGCAAAGAACATTGAGTGAAGGAGTTCTATGTAGGTGCTAGTGGGGAAAAGCAAGAGAATATGTAACCTGCTGTAGATCAGTACGTATGGAGAGGCCGCCACCGCTGGTAGTCCAGAAGGAGTCCCAGCAAGAGGAGCCCAGGAGGAGCCCAGCAAGAAAAGCCAGCAGGCTTCTCAGGCTTTTCTGGCTTTCCTGGCTTTTCTGGCTTTCTGGTGGGCAAGATAGACAAGAACGGGTATGGTCGATGGAGCGTCAGGAGAAGATGTGGAGACCCAGCGGCTTGCTCCTTGTGGTTCATTCATGCAGCCAGTGATTGCGGTAACCGCTAAAAGAGCACTTGGCTGCCAACCCCTGTCTACGCCAGATGGATCGCCGGGGGCCCGGGCTTGGGTTAGGAGTACCAGTTGGACTATCCGACTATGATGAGATAGGTAGCCCTGAAGGACTTTTTACATAGTACTGCTGGTCATAGACTCATAGACCATAGGTCCATAGTACTATGTAAAGTCACTTTTGTTATTATTAACATACTGACATATAGGTGTAGAATGTAGGGGGCAAGGAGGTAAGCACTGAGCAACTTTGTAACTAAGCGGCAGTGCACAGGACAGTACAGTCGGGACAACCTTCCCTTCTTTACCTCCTTACCTCCTTACTGACGACGACGATGATGATAAAGGCAACGTGAAGCACTCTAAATCGAAATACAATACGCACATACCTATGCACATTGCAGTGATTGCACATACCTACCTAACTATACAGCCACTGCCTCGTAACGTACGTACTAGGTAGTAGCGTACATTTATAGTAACAATGCGATGTAACTTGAAGGGTGTCAAAATGACAATGTTGATATTTCAATGTTATTAATCGATGAGACGGGACGGTACTACCTTAGTAGGTACTACTAGTAGTAGGTGTAAGGCAGTCAGTCTGGTCTCAGACTATTGTGAATTTGTGATAACATTGATCGAACATTTTGATTTGATTGATTGTGGTATGCGGGATGTGTGCGAGATGCGAAGAAAAGGAAAGAAGAAGAAGATTGAAGGGAAAAGACCACATTGACCCAGTTGCCCAGTTGCCAGTTGCCAGTGGCCAGTTCCTTAGTACAAAGTACCTACCCACATGCATTCAAGAACTTGAAGCACTTGCAACTTGAACCAAGAGAGTCAAGACTTCCCAGAATAAAGATACATTCAATCATCAATGATTACTAGGTATTGAATGATAATTATCTTACTAACCTATGTACATACTTAATAGTATGTACCTACCATCCGGGAAGGAAACATGCAGTATTATGAAGAAACAATTTGAAGTTGCAATTTCATTCAGAACCCTGTTATGGTTTAGATCCTTGTCAGATTTTCCAAACTGCTTTTAAACTTCCACTTTTCATTTTTCGAAGAAGGAATCAAAGGAAGCGAAAAAAAAAAAGATAAACCCTTCTTCTCTTCTTCTTCCCCCAAAATAAAATCAAAGACTACGACGTAAAACACTCTATTTACTTGAAACACATAAATACTCACTTCTACATTAAAGATGCATCCGGTAATCATACGTACATACATCACACATAATACCTACATACTACCTACATACTACCTACATACTACCTACATGAGGACCAAGGTATGTAGATAAGATGTTGTATTGTACAATACACCGTTGACCTGTGTCAAATTGGCAATCCTCACTTCCACACGCCGTACGTACTACTAGCAGTACCTACATACATATATGGATTCTCGATGCTAAACGTTTTCGGTGGCGACACGGCTGTTGATTGGGTTCCATTTCTATGGACGATATCCCGATAGGCAGGTACGCTATGCATCAACGTTGCGGATAGCTTCGTCAGTATTATGATGAGCATGGTCGGTACCTGTGTAGGTATATTCAACTCCGAGGTAGGTAATATCTCACTCGAGTCACTCCGTCTTGCCCGTCAGCCTGGTACTATGTATGTACTGTATGCATTGTACACTTCCAGTCCTCATATTCCGAACAACACCTAGATGTGGATGTCCAGATTCTCTAATTTAACGGTTGGGATTTATAGCGCCTCCCTCCAGCTGGCTCTTTTTTTCTTTTTTTTTTTCTGTCCACTCCTACAGTTACCATGTTTTCATGAGGGAAGTTCCCGAATCCTCGGATGTTCTTCGTATGCTCGTTATTTATTTATTGGTCATACATAGTTAGTAGTATCATCTCAAACGTCCCCAGACCGTCGTGATCGTCTGTATCAGATATCCGCTCCAAGACCCTGCTCGTCAAACCCACCGCATTTTAGATAAAGTACCATCGAGACCCACGCAACCCACGCAACCCACGATGCCCTTCCTAGGCACACAGTAGTATCGCCTTTATCCCACCCTCTTACATATGTAGCGGCATAGTACTATGTAGTAGCAAAGCAGTCCCTTTTGTTTATTCGTTCATTCGTTCGCTCACTAAAATAATAATACGTCTCGTTTGGTCCATGTATTACTGACCCATGGCACAGAGGGCACATGATGACACCACTTTCTCAGGGCTCATAAGCACTACAGGCTAGTCTGAACATTCCATATTCGTTCTAGCAGACTGGCAGAGTACCGAAACCGTTCTGTCGTGTAAGGTAGGTAGTTAGGGCTCATCTTAATGTCCCAAACGTCGTCCATATTTGTTGTGCTGATTTAGTGTAGGTAGGTAGTTACTATGTAGGTATGGATTATGTATCCATTGCCACCCAAGAAATTCTCCTGACTACTACATACCTACACATTGACTGCTACATATAACTATAACTATTATATGTATGTATTGTACAATACAATACACAGTAGGCAGCTAGGTAGGTATGGAACTAGTCTCCAAACTCATATTCAGAGTACAGGGATATATACTATATCAACGCCGTTGGTACCAAGTTCGATCTCGCCCGTGCTTTGTTATGTACATGCTTCATATATCATGGAGGTAACAATTTCTAAGGATGATATTACTGGTCCGGACTCAGATACACATTGTGCGCCCTTTGGACAAGGGAAAACCCCCTATTGCTAAGCCGTCCCAGGATCCTCAACTCCAGCATCCTGGGTACAAGGATGGGCGGGGGACATCTTCTAGAAATATTCCATGCAGCGCACATCATTTTCGGTGTCGTCAACCACCAACCTTGTTTGCTTCTCGTTTCATCGAGGCAGGCTGTATCTCAGACCACCACAGTGATGACCATTGACCACAGTGACGGACCACACAGGCTATTTCAGACCTACATATCCTATACCTAACTTACCTAGTTGTCAAGTAGTATCGGTAGCACCGGTATGCAAGGTGAAGCAGGCAAGACGGGTACCTACAATTTCCGACACGCAAGGCAGAAGTCAATCTGTCCTTCCACTTCCACCGGCTACAGTCCCCGGCTATGTAGACAGACAAAAAAAGAAAAAAGGCAGATAAAGTGATCTCGCTTTGAGTTTCTTTACATACATACTACTGTATTACTACATAGTAGGTAGGTATCTTCCAACAGCCGTTCCATCACAGCACGACGCTTCGACACGTAGGTACATAACTAAAGGAGGATCGAAGAAAACCCACGGCGGAGTATGTTGGCTTGGACCCGAATTGGATACCTGCGCGATCTTATGTGACGGCTCGTCCGTATCGTGAAATTACCCATCCTACGGGACGGAACGAGATCTTTTTAACTAGCTCTCATGATGGTACCTACATACATACAAAGCACTGCTGCACTAGATATCATCGATGATGGCCTCCGGGTGCATTTTTCGGTTACCGCTAACTAGTGGCTCTATCACAATGCGGGTTTTTTTTTATTTGGGGTTCTTTTCTCTTTCTCTTTTTTTTTCAATTCTGCAACAACCCGAAAGTCTAGATCTAAAGCTATAGTCCTTGTTTCTTATTACGTTACTTGCTCACTACCTACATACTAGGTAAGGTAAGGTAGGTACCTAACCTAATTACCAAGCCATTACCAGGTATAACCAGGTATAACCAGGTAAACAAACCCCCCCCCCCCTTCCCCTTCTTTTTTGCAAAAAAAAAAAAAAAAAAAAAAAAAAAAAAAAAAACATTGGCTTATTCCTTGGAAAGGATTTCCTCCATTAATGCTCCGCTTGGGTTTTCTTGTTTGGGAATTAAAAACGACGGTAGCACTTTTAGTTATAGTTATAGTTATATAGAAAGAGGGAGATTTCCAGCGATCTAACTTTACCTAGATACATGGTGTAGTGTAGATGATGTCCTTCTAGAAATAGAGGATCATCGATCAAAAAGTAGGGGTGTAGGGATGTGTGGAGATCATCTCCAGCCGTATTCTGGATGTTTCCTACAGTTACAGTATACAGTACCTCTTGAGGAGGGGAGGGGAGAGAGGGGTGGTAGGTAAGGGGGGAGGGAGGGCAATTCGCACGAAATTTGTACACACATGCATTTTTTTCGATGCAAGAAACGTGGTAATGTTCCATTGCATCCTGTCGACCTCCTAAGTAGGAAGAGAAAAATATATGAAAAAGTACATCAAACTCAAACGCCCCTATTGCGCCTCTCCTCCTCCTCTTCTTCTTCCCCTCCCCCCTTTTTTTTTCTCGTTCCTTGTAGGGCCTCGAAAATCTATAATACGTGACAATCGACTGATAGGTTAGCCAGGTTGAGTATATCCAGGCCATTCAGTGGTTCCATATCGTTGTATATCCCACCCTATCTAGTAAAACTATTATCCTATCATCAATACCAATATCCCACAAACTCGTGGACACGACAGTCGGCCTTGAAACAAGCAGGTAAACAAGAACCGGGAAAAGGCAGAAAGAGAAAAGAGAACAGAAGCAAAAAAAAAAAAAAAAATTCAGAGGTGATCGGCCATGCTTCCCCCCTTTAATCCCTACTAAGGTTGTGTATATTCCACACCACATCTACACGTATACATACTCCTACACACATGGCACGCACTATCCAAATAGCGCACACCGAATCTTTTTTTTTTTTTCTACATTTCCTCCTTTTTTTTTTGTTTTGTTTGTCCAATGCTACCTATCTACCCACCCACTTGTGTGTGCTCTTGCAGTCGGAACCAGCATCCGGTTGTAAAAAGGGGAAAGGAGGAAAAAAAAGTAGTTGATTGAGCCTCGAATTTTCGGCTTCATATCTTATAAGATTAAATACCTAAATAGACATAGATAAAAGATATTTAAAAGTAAAAAATAAAAACCCCCCCCTCCCCAAGACAGAGTCCCTCGCGACTTAACCCCATAGCTACAGATTCCGGCACGTCACCTCATGTTTACTATTAGTGCCAGCAGGTGTTCTTTATTAGGCTATGCCCCCCCCCCCCCCCCCCCCCCCCCCCCCCTCCCCTCCCCATATAGCGGCCCCCATCATCGCCAAAAGGACCCGTTCGCTGTTATAGCCAAGTCATTGGAGCTGCTGTCTCGTATCGCCTCCAAATGCTTGGAAAGGTTCTCAATATATAGGGTATATTTATGTATATATATATTAGATACGCTGATTCTCATGTGCTACTGCGATGAGGTTTTCAAAGGCTTGCTTTCTTTCCCCCTTCCCAAATACCTACCTATTCAGGAGTAGATGCACATCATCCACCGTTCCCATCTCTCTCTCTCTCTCTCCATACTCATCGTAGCTAGGTATACGGCCGGTAAAAGCATTAGATTTAAAGTCCCGTGATATAAGGTCTTCCATTGCCCCATCACCTCAGCTCAAGGGGGCATATTAGGGGTTTGGGGTTTAAAGGAATAGGAAGGGGGTGAGGCATATTACATAGGTCTATGTAGGTAACTATTCTGGTATTATCATATTGAACACCTACCTTAGAGACTAGACAAATAAGCAGGTCGACAATTATATCACGCCCTCCCGTTCCCAAAGTTCAAAGTCTCACACGAAAATGTCTTAATGAACTTCTCAAGTCCCAACTTCCAAAGTATAGAGAACAAAAGCCCACATGGCCTCCCGTCTACCTAAGTCTAAGATACTGTATGTCACCTAGTATATGTAAAACTCCATCACACGCGTAGGTAATATTCTCATCTCCCTTGTTTTCCCATACACCCACCAACCATACCAAGCTAATACCTAATTACTAGGTAAGTACTAGGTAGGTCTGTAGTCGCTACCAAAGGTCTTAGACATAATTCCCGAGACCCTTTTTCTGAGACTTGTCATCATTTCCGATCTGTTGCTGCTGTGCGACTTTTCCCTCATCGCTATCATACTCATTCTCATTTTCATATGTTCTCATCAGCATCTTGCACTTCTCGTCATGGTTACGGCCAGACCAAAACATATCTAGCTTTATTTCCTATTCGTCACATCCCCCAGCGCCGTGCGTACGGTGGTATTTTAGAATAACTATCACCGTAGCATACTTCCAATAATTTCCTTTTGTGTCTCCTTGTCTCTTGCGCCCTCGCTCAAGCTTCCCACGCTCCTCATGTCGCCAACTACGTCCTTGGCTTTGCCAAAGTAAACCTCCTGGAGTAGATTCCGCATCTTGAGTTCCATGTCCTCAACAAGTCTACCGATGTTTGCAATTTGCTGCTCGTCACTCTCAGCGGGTAGCTCAATTTCGATCTGACGCGTCATATTGCCGGAGAGGTCCATATCCCCCAGGCTATTCGAATTCGTAGATAGTGACAGAATAACGGTGGAGGTGAGGTTGTACTGGGTGAATCGGGCCCGGTCAATAGCTTCGAAAACATGGATCGAATCCCAAGTACCTTCGCTTGCGCTTCCCGGTTTGGCTTCTGATGCGGGTATATGTTAGCCGCGGAGATCTCGTATACATCGTAAACGTGGGAGTTAATATATCGCCGACCCCCTCATGTTTCTCGCACTCCCGACTGTCCGTAAGCACTATCATGAAGTCTCAGATGCAAGATCTGTACCCTCCGATCTCAGCCCAGCCATGTATTCCCATTTTTTTCAACACATCAGATCTCAGACCCAATGTCTCATTCCAGAATGAGATGGGGCGCTGGGAGAGCTGAAATCCCGGGAATGGCATAGTGTCCGCTCTGATCAGCAGCCTTCCGAAGCGCCACCACGTCGAAGGATTTCTCTCGTAAGCTATAGCATCTGTAGTAATGGGCCAGCAAGCGGTGACCTATATCCGCCTTTCCAGCTCGCCACAAATCAAATAAAGGCCCATCATCTAATATCATGTAGTGCCATACAACATGAACCAGAGCTCAAGGGGGAAACCCCCAGTTTATAGGGCTATGAATAAAAACCAAAATAAAACTTACCCTTTTTCAAAAGCACAACGCCTGCGAAGCCGTCATCGAGGTTCCAGAAATAAACGCTGCTGACACCACCCTCGTAGTAGAGGTCGCGGTAGACGTCGAAGGCCTCATTGGCGCGGACTTCCATGCGGCGGACCTTCTCGGAGGGGAGACTGGCGGCAGAGGCAGCGCCGCCGTCTAGAGGGGGGTCGAACTCGTTGCTCCAGGGGGAACGGTAGCTGTCGCCATCACGGTTGTAGTCGCAGAGGAGGTAGTCGCGCCCCGACTGCGGGCAGCGTCGCACGGCGAGCGGCTGGTCTACGGAACTGAGCAAGTCCTCAGTCAGCTCTGGTGCCAGCTGAATCAGGGAGCCTAGGTGCGCTGTCGTATGCTTCGGGTTCAGGCGGCGGAGGAGATCCCTGTTTTGGGGAGTTAGGTTAGTTACTTGGTACTTGGGTAGCTAGGTAGATAATAAAGTAGATGGATAGGTAGATAGGCCGAGGCCCCTTTAAATAAGCATGACGTGTTTGTGTTGTGTCTCCAAGTAGGTAGGAAGAGACGTGTAGTTGTTAGATAGCAAAGGTAACGAGCACATACAGAGCTGAGTCGAAGGGGTCGGGGGATGCCATCGTGGCCGACGGAGATGGCACAGTTACTATGGTCTTTTCTTCGGGTTTGTTGACGGAAGATGATATGATTCTAGTAATATGCTAGACAGCCTAGGTGTGAGTTCGATTGTGATTGTGGTGATCGTTGTTATCGTGGTTGTTGTGGTTGTATTTGGTGTTGAGACGGAGAACCTTTGACCTTGAAATGTGTTGGAGGGGAACATTTAGGACATTTAGGTACAATGAGATGTAGTTTCAGTCTGATGGGCCAGTGATGGTGGGGGTTGAAATATGGGGCTACATGTTACTGTAAGTTATAACTACGACGTAGTAGATAGATCCATGTACTTCAGCTTAAACTCGACTTATGCAGTTATTGATGCATCCATATTTCGCTATTTGTATATACTATATCATTGTCTACCTAAAAGAAGAAACAATATGCAATTTTGAGCTATATGTATAGCACCCGCCCATCCAGTGAAGGGCATCAGCTTTCCAATCCCGAAAAACACCACCTCCCACCCTTCCTCCAATACCCAAACAAAGTAATGCGTTGCGGCTGCGTATTCTAAAACTCTGTAAGGCATGGTGTATAGCTTTTGCCGCTGTGTATGTACATAGGTATGTATGTAAGGTAGGTATATACCTAAATTAAATTCCTGTAATATTGAGGGTCTGGTTGGTTGCTCAAAGCAGCCACGAAATGAAAATATGGGTGGGTGAGTACCTTGATGGACCGACTGGTGACGTGAATGCCAAGTTATCAAACGTGGGACATGTGCAACGTCTATATCATGTCCCTTTCAAAGACTCTAAGCCATCCGCTCTTTAGACAATGTTGTATACTCTCTTTGCAATGGTGAAGCAGGCGAGCCCAAAGAAGATCAGCCCTGCCGTGATTGCGAAAAACCACTTTAGGTCGCCCTCATACTCCTGTCCGGGCACCCATACGTTCATGCCCCAGAGACCCGTGATGATGTTCATTGGTAGGACAATGGTACCAAGCACCGTGAGCTTACCGAGGACATCCGCCGTTTGTTCTTGTCTCTCGTTCATTTTGATGTTGATCTGCGCTATGTAGTTGGCATGGCACCGGGCAAGTATCCTAACTCAAGTTAGTCGTCAAGGTACCTAGGTATATACCAGGAATAGTGGGTGGCTATAGTGAAGCTCGAGAAGGGACACAACGTACAACTCGTAGTGACTTAGGTTAGCCGTCATAGTCACAATATGGTCTTGGATGTCGCCAAGGTAAAGCCCGATCTCGGATCGTGGTGCCACCTCCCAGTGTTCGTTGCAGCGTTTCGCGAACCCCTTGATGACGTCGGCCTTGTTCCCGAGTAATCGGTACAGACTCATCACCTTCTTTCTACAATCACCTACACGACGCAGCATATCTCCACTGGCACCCCCTTCGGCAGAATTACCTTTCTCATTTTCGTTCTGCCTCCTCTCATCGATACTCGACGAGGAGGGATCGGAGGAAGAATGAAGCTGCAAGATTCTGTCATCAATATCATCTACTTCGTCCTCAATGGTCTGAATGAGAGGTAGGTAGACGTCGGTGATATCATCAATGATCGCATAGCTAATCCAATCGGAGCTGAGAATCATGAAGTCCTTAAGCTGGCGGATTCTACGGCGAACGTTGGCCGGGTGTGGAGTCTGACTGAAGTGAAATGAGATGACACCTTCGCGGAACACCACGACATACATGTTGACCGGCTCTAGGTGGTTTTCTGATTCAGCATCCTGGTCAAAAGATCTGTAGTTGACGAAATAGTAGTGCCGGAAAAGTTCAACCTTCTCCCGCTGTTCCTGGAGCATGATGTCTTCAGAAGTCAAGGGGTGGATTCCGAAGGCTTTCGAGAGCACTTTCATCTCTGCTTCGGTAGGGCTCAGAACGTCTAACCACCAAACTGGACGCTCCCCGTATCGCGGTTGCTTGTCTCCATTCGTGAACGGTGACTTGATACTGGGAAAGGGAGATCTGGACCGCATCGGGCTTGGGTCACCCGAATTGTCTCTAGAAGGGCCCATAGAAGCTGTGAGCTTGGGTGTGGTACCTGGACTCAGTTCGAATGCCGGATTGTTTGGTGTGAATGATTGTTGTCTAGTCGAGCCTCTGGGCATTGGATCACCATTTCTCACTGAGCTAGCTACTCCAACGAGGGGTTCATCGTCCGATTCATCAGACGAATCTGACAAGAGTGGAGGTTCCGGGACAAAAAGCTCCTTGAAATTGGTCTCCGGCTGAACAAGCTCGGATATACTCTGGCTGTGAATGGTGCTCTGGAACTCCTCGTTAAAGTAAGTGAAGCGATAGGGAGCATCCTCTTCTATTCGATACCAGCCCTTGTGGACTGGTCGCAGCCTACCATTCACTAACTGTGGCTCTGTAATCTTCTTCATGCGCCTTTCCTCACTCCGGCCCTCCTTCTCCAGTCTGGACCACTCTTCGAGGATGGACAAGTCTGGCCACTTAGTCCTTCTTCGACGCCGAGTCCGGCTGGGATTATCACGAGCTTGCTGGGCATCCTCCTCGGCAAGTTCGGACAACCCCTCTTGAGGAAAGCAAACGTCTTCCTGTGCTTGTAGCGCAATCGTATGGCGCCTCTCGAAAGGGAGTTCGTGTAGTGGATCAAGGTCTGTCTCGAGCATGCTATGAGGACTAGAAGCATTCTCCACGAGTTCATCCCTCATCATAACATCCCCAAAGCCCACATCCATCCGATCGGACGGTCCTAATGTAGGAGAGCCGGGCATCGAGGGCGGATAATTGATATTGTATCTCTCGGATGGCGTCATGGGGGGTAGCTGAGGCCTCTTGCCCGATTTGGTAGATGCAGGGCGGCTGACAGATGTATCGACTCTACGCCGTCCATCGCTTGAGCCACCATACCCTCGCGCCGAGTCGCCCTCCATCCGAGATGAGCTAGACAGCAATGGCGCCGATTCATTTGTACCGTCATCGCCATCTTCGTCTTCGTCTTCGTCTTCGTCCCCAAGAGCCCGCCCGCCTGGCACTGTACGTGGCCGACTTGTAGATTGCGACATGTGGAGTGAGGCCGTAAGGGTGGAAGGTCGTCGGGCGCGTGGATACTGGTGCTCTCTATATATCAATTAGTATTTGGTAACATAGGTGGGGTGAGTGAAGGAGCTATGACTTGCCTGTGGTCAAGAAGCGCTTCGCTTTCCATGCTCGTATTACTCAGATTCGTCCTATGCATGTATAGGCCATCTTTGTTACCGGCATGACTACTGGTCGGTAAGCCCTCGCCTGGTATGTCCCCGGGTGGAACGGCAAAGGACTTTCTTCTCGACTTTTTATGTTTTCGACCAGCACGATGCTTTTTCTTCGGCGCTTGGCTTGTAGGCGCTTGGCTTGTAGACCGTGGCGTGTTAGAAGATGTTGAGGGGGCACCAACGGGACGAGAGGGATCGAGGGTAGGAAACTGATGGCTAGCCATAACGACGGATAATCATTATTGTAAGAGAATGAGAAGAGAGGATTAGTTAGGGTCTGTATATTTAAAAAACAGAGCAAGTCTTAAGTTTCTAAGGTGAAAAAAAGGAAAGAAAAAATATGATTTCTTTAAGGGACTATTGGTACTATGTATGTTTGTAGTGGAACAGCTTTGATAGAAATTCACGAAGTTTAAGTTCAACTAGTAGAGTCTAGATGGTGATGTCAACCAATATAAGTGGATACCTACGTGTACTAAGAATGAAGCTTATGCAAGAAGTGAGAATTTAAGACCAATACACTGAATACAGCATTTCAATGTTACCTACTACTAGTAGTAGTAATGTTTATTAACTTACCTACCGAGGTACTTCACATACATAGTTCAATAGTCGTTTCCGGGACCTATACTATGTACAAATATCCCTAATTGGATAATATGCATCTCCCATACACATTCTACATAGTATGTAATTACTCAACATTGAACATTCAACATTGAATGTACAAATGAGAAACCTCCTAAAATCATCATCATTAATAATTGCCATCCTCATTGGACTATATAGTTAAATGCAGGCTAAAATATTAGATCAGGTACTCCACCAATAGAAATGGCCTAATGTTTCTAGGCGTACATATATATGTACCTGTATAGTACACAAGTGCTACACTGCTACCCAGTAGGTATAGCTTACAGGTACTGTGACTGCGGTCAGTCTGTCATTGACTCACTGGTGTAAGTTACGATCGTTTATGGTAATTTTAATATGCGTACGGAGTATCACGGAGTATCCATGGGTAGACTACGAATATATATCCACTTAAGCAAGCACTCAACTGCATACTACATAGTATATAGGTAGTATATACATGATACAGTAAGTACTGTAGGTTAGGTCATATTCAGTCATTGCAGCAGTGTAAGTTATCCACACTAACAAATCAAGGTCACAGCACAATATGAAATGGCAATCGCAGTCCATTATAGAAATAGTACAGATTTAACTCGTATCAATTAACCGCAAATGTCCGTCGTATGTACTATCGATGTCTGCGTGCCTTTACCAACCCTAACCTAAACGCCACTTTCAACCAGCCGTGGGGGTATGAGTAAACCGAGGTGAATAGACGTTAAAAACACCAATGCAAGTTTCATTGTACCAGAGGGGTAAATCAACGTCGCTGGGCCATGAAGCTCGCTCTGAGAGCTAGAATTTGTTGCCGCTCAGCCTCGGGTAGCTGGTCAATCGTCTCTGGCGGAAGGTTCATGACTGCCTGCATCAAAGACTCTGGATCTTGTTGTGGCGCCGCAGCAGGCGCCGCAGGCATGGTGGCCGCAGGAGCTGGTGCGACCACTGGTGCCACGGGGGGCGCATAGGCACCAGTTATAGGTGGTGTAACGGTAGTGGCGCCCGGATGGTGTTGCATGGTGGGAGGAGCCGGAGCTGAAGTGTCGACCACGGAATGGATAGCATCAGGGGATACCAGACCCATTAGAAGTAAGGCCTGGAAGATGGCGTATGCGAGTTGAGGTGCTTGCTGTAATAGTTCCGTCGCGCGAGCGGGGTCGTTGGTGGCGAGAGACTTCATCTGAGAGAGGATGTCAAGCAACTGGCTCGGAGGTAGGGTGTTCAGAGTTCTTGAGATGGCGTCTGCCGCGCTCACGCCGGGAGGCAATTCCTTCCCCGGAGGTAGAGGAAGGGGGCCCGTGGGCGCGGATTGGGGAGCAGCGTTCATGCCACCGTTGTTCATAGATTGCCCCGTCATAGCGGATGAAGTGTTAGTATCATCGCCATCGACGCGACCCTCCGTGCTATAGTCTACACGAAGCTTGCGATTCATGATCTCGTAGTCGTTTAGGTTTCGAACTGCGGATGCGGCTGAATCTAAGATTGAGAAAGTAGTTAGTACAATGCACGAGAGCTATCAAGTTGATAGGATAAAGAGGTGTCTTGATTTACCTGCATCGGGGTATTCTGCGAAACCGAAACCTTTAGGCCGACCGGTATCGCGATCGTAGACAAGACGGAAGTTCAAAACCTTGCCAGCAGTACTGAATATGTCACTGATTTGCTCTTCCGACAAGCCGTAGGGAATGTTGCCAACAAATACAACGCGTGAAGGTGGCTTTGTTGACATGATGGGAGAACAGGCAACTTATAGCAAGCAGCGACTGCGAAATAAGAAGCAAGAACTACCTAAGTGGAGGTCGAGACTCGATCTCCAGGAGCGTATGTTGCTCCTAGCACGGTACGAATAGGTGCCTCGCTGTTTTCAGACCGATGGGAATTGCGTAGTATGAAGCAAATAGGCGTAGGGGAAATTGGGAAATTGGGAAGTTGGAATGGAATGGCACAAAGGTTGTTGTTGCAAGAAAGTAAAGATGAGAAACGAGGACTGCAATTGTAAAATTGTAGGTGTACAATACAATGTACTGTAGCTTGGAAGCACCTGGCACCTGAAAGGTCGAGTTAGTTATCGATAATCGGGTTTGTTCTTCACGGTTGCAAGGGTCGCGTTCTTAAAAACCATGTACTATGCATGTACCCATTTATCAGACTTCTCTACCTTCAATGCCCAATGATACTCGAAAGAAGAAGTGGATACACGAGGAAAAAAAAAGAATAGACAATTATTCGCCGGTGTTTAGCAGGAGCTCCTCTTTATTTTACAGTGCCTAGCTCCGCATCCTTCATCTATCAACTCATCACCTCAAAATTCGGAACCAATATTACATTCGGCACCGTCAAGATGTCGCGAACACCGATGGACGAGTATATGGATAGAATGCGGTCAATGGTGCGCCAGAACCGTCCTGGGTTTCCTGGTGGTCGCCCGCCTGCCGGCATGGGTGTGGCAGCCGCGGGGATTGGCCTGCTTGGTGGTGGCCTGCTTCTGCTTCAGAACTCTCTATTCAACGTCGATGGAGGTCACAGAGCCATAAAGTACCGAAGAATAAGTGGTGTCAGCAAGGAGATATACAACGAAGGTTAGTCCGACTTGTCCGGAGCTCCCTAAAACTACTCCCAGGTCGCCATACTAATTCCGCCACGGGCAGGAACCCATATCATGATTCCTTGGTTCGAGACCCCAGTCACCTACGATGTACGAGCGAAGCCGAGAAACGTCTCATCTCTTACCGGAACCAAGGATTTGCAGATGGTCAACATCACCTGCCGTGTGCTCTCGCGACCAGAGATCGCTTCTCTTCCCCAAATTTACCGAACGTTGGGCCAGGACTACGATGAACGTGTGCTCCCTTCTATTGTCAATGAAGTTCTTAAGAGTGTGGTGGCGCAGTTCAATGCCAGCCAACTGATCACACAACGAGAGAGCGTGGCTAGAATGGTTCGAGAGAACTTATCAAAGCGAGCAGCTAGATTCAACATCCTGCTGGATGATGTCTCACTCACGGTACGTTCCAAATATCCCGGCATGATAAACCTCTGTAGAAGTGGCATAGTCTCATACTTATATTTGCTTATAGCACCTGGCTTTCTCGCCCGAGTTCACAGCAGCAGTTGAAGCGAAGCAAGTAGCGCAGCAAGAGGCGCAGCGAGCGGCGTTCGTTGTGGACAAAGCTAGACAGGAGAAGCAGGCCATGGTGGTCAAGGCGCAGGGTGAGGCGCGATCAGCAGAACTCATTGGAGATGCGATCAAGAAGAGCAAGGCTTACGTGGAGCTGAAGAAGATTGAGAACGCAAGAGCGATCGCGGCTCAGATGCAGGAATCTGGTGGCAAGAACAGACTGCTACTTGATGCGGAAGGTCTCGGCTTGAATGTGTTTAGTGATGATCGAGACAAGTGATGAGGACTACCTAGGTATCTATCTACCTACAGTATGTAGGATGCGACATGAAGGGGCTAAAATCTCCACTGTATTCTTAGGAACTTGAAGGTAAAATACGCGTGTCTATATTTGTATCCTCCAAGTTATATGATTGCTTCGGTGGTTATCACCACTGAATTGTGATACTGCTATGTATCTACCTACCTATAATAGGTACTAGGTACATACCTAGTAGTGTACCTAGTAACATCTGGAACATTGAAGCTTTCAATATACAAGGCGGGGCATTTCTGAGTCCCACCTAGGCTGCCATAGGATCCCCGCTAATACTCAGTCAGTACATATAAACTTCTATAGCTGCATAAATATTCAAGTATCTATCATATAGTATTATCCATAGACCTCTGCCTTTTGTCATCTATGTAACTAGTTATGTCGCTCTTTTCTTACATACAGTAGTTACTGTACCTGTACCTAACCTAGCACCTACACTTATAACACCGGCGCATACAACAAACACAAACACTTAAACACTCCCAACATAAAATCGCATATTTGCCTGATATCTGCCTGATATCTACATCTTCACCTCACACTACCGCCAAGATGATGATCAAGTACGTTATCTCTCGTGCACTTCCCTCCCTCAAATGAAATATCTGGCGATATATCTAGTAATAGTCCAGCTATCATGAAGCTAATACTTGTACTTGTCACAGGGTGCGAACCCTCACGGGCAAGTTGATCTCCCTCGACGTTGAGCCCACCTCCAAGGTAAGCTAAGCTCTCAATATAATACCCTTACACCCGCCTTCTACCTTGAGCAGTGGCCGCTAGCTTCAGTGCGCTACTAGTTAACCTAGAATATTACCCTTGGATAGTCAACAAACTCTTGGCCAGCCAGACAAAGCGCTAACATTGACATCTCTCTAGATCGAGGATGTCAAGAAGAAGGTCGAGGAGAAGGAGGGTATCACACCTGACCAGCAGCGACTTATTTACGGTGGAAAGCAATTGTTCGTATATTCCCCATTCCTCCACTCCCCCGCGTTCATTATCCAAGACCTTTCTATTCTTTTTTTTTGCTAACCTCTGTGTGACGTATCTATCTAGACATGACCAGGTGACCATGGCTGAAGGAGGCATTGTCCCTGACGCCACGCTACATCTGGTCCTGACTTTGCGAGGCGGTTCGCATTAAGCATATCCTCACCCGAGCCCCAAACTCAAGTCGCGCGCGCTTTTTATTCCTCCCCGTTGCAGCTTTAAACCGATCGAAGACAGACTACCCACCAATAGCAATGGCAGATAGTTATTTAGCTACGCCGCCTAAGGCAACAAAGGCTAAAGGGGGGAACGAAAGATCTGATGATGATGATGACGACAATGACGATATCCACGCAAGGGAGGTGGTAGAATGATGCGATTTTTTGGCCCAAAGAAAAAAACACACATGGAAGCCTCGCATATCAAATAGCGTTGAACTCGAGCCCACCTCTCGTTGCCAAACAAAGAGAGAGAGAGAGAGCTGATTCCACCTTACCTTACCTAGATTTTGCATCACCGATGATCCGGTCCATAGCCCTGGAGACAAATACAAAAAAGAAATAATCATCATGACCACAACGGTATGATGCTTTTAGAAGCACCCCGGAATTCACACCTCTTGACTTTACGAGACTTGCTAGATTTCTATTCTGTAGGTAGGTACCTAGCCTATACGCTGATTTATCAAGCGCCTGCCTTTAGTAGATGTAGAACTCCGGGTAGGTAGTACGACTAGAGACCGAGTTCACACGGATACGCATAGACATATGAGGGTTATTCGGAGAGAAAGTTATGTAGGTTAGATATTTACTAGGCACGTACATACCTACCTACTGTAGGTAGTCGCGTCTCAAAAAGCAATCATATTACGAAGGCAATAGTAGCTGCAAAAGTAGGTACATTTTGTTTTTATTATCATGCGCATATGCTTGCCCATGTGGTCATGAACACACCAAGTCCCTAGCCGTAAGTAAGTATGTCGTCGAGCGCCAAACTGCAAGATGCCCATGCGAGTGTCCTTTGCAGGTTATCTAGGTATCTATGTTGTCTTTGCTATTGAATCACCTCACCCCAACCAACACATGCAAGATGACAAGTCTATGCAACAACCAACCCTCTTGCAAACCCAACGGAACCGTTGAAGATACAAACAGGCAAAGCGGTAAGCACCGACAAGGAATATACATGAGTGGAAAAGGGGCGGCTGACAAATAACGACAATGTGAACCCGTCCCAATCTTCTCTCATACATTGCCGAGCTGGGAAGAAAACTCCGGGGGCGAGCTGGTACAATGACATGTTATTATTGTACAAGCGAGTTGTCCCTCGTCCTTCAATCGAACATCATCTTTGGACCCTCATCGTTCGTTCGATACCACGGCCATGCCATGACTCGCAACACAAAACTCTCCATCGTCATCGTAAAGTACATTAAGGGGTATAGAAATAGGAGAATGAACTTCGAATATTTTCAATCGTACAGCCAAATTTCAAGCATGACGAGTGACAAGACATGGAGAAAAAAAATGTAGACGAGGAGTGGATTTCCTCTTCTCCGAAACCCACATTGGATGGTGCTCATCCTGTATTATTGCAACCACCAAGCAAAGTCACGTATGCCCTACATTTAGGACAATCGACGAGGCTTGTTCTTGAGCGGCATAAAGATGTTTGGCGGTGGCTTGCGCTTCTGTCCTGTTATAGGTCTTGGCTTGCTAGACTCAACCGAATCGGCATTAGCTGAATTGCCCAAACCAGCAGAAGGACTAACATGCGATGAAAAATCCTGCTTAATGGCAGTCGAAGGGCGTGAACCTGGGGCAGAGACGCTCAATTTTCCCATTTTTGTCGATGGGGATGAAGTGGGTGCCTTAGAGGAAGTCGCCTTAGGCATGTCCGTATGAACAGGAGAAAGGGTTACAGGCTTATTCTTCCAAGAGCGGCCCATCTTCATCTTGGCTAAACCAGTGAGGCTAGCAGAGCTAGCTGGAGTCTTAGCGGGGGTTGACGAAGCATGCTTTCGCGAATTGAATGCACTTTGCCCTCGGTCAAAGTTGGAACTATCAGCCGCATCATCCTCATCAAACAGCTCATCGTCTGAATCCATGGAGGTTCCATTGTGAGCGACTTTGGTCTTCAACTTGAGGAGCCTAGCCTCGAGCTCATTATCCTCATGCTCACTAGACTCAGTAGCAGGCAGGGGACGGCGAGCTACCCCTACAGCAGGAAGGGACTTGACTCGATAATCCTCGGCCATCGCTGGCGGGGCACGTTTAATCTGTCCTGCGGGGACCGGGAGTCGGCCAGTGGGTGTAATAAGTCGGTTTTGGCGATTAAAGTCCGTCAATTGTCGTCGAACCTTTCGCATCACGCTCCTAGCGGGGGTTGGCTTCGGCTGGAATCGCTTGGATCTGTTGCGGCCACCTGGAGCAGGGCCGAGAACCTTGGCGTCATAATCAATGAGCTTCGTCACTTTGGCATCCTTCGCCTTGTTGAGGGATTTGTAGCCCTTGCTCAGCTTCTCTAGTGCAGCTTGTCTCTCGTTCTTCTCCATCGTATCGTACTCGTCATAAATCAGGGACCACTCAGTAGGGTGCTCAGGCTTGAGATGAAGCTCTGCACATCTACGAGGGAATGTACGAGTGATCAGGCGCTCCCAACATTCAGCATCATCCTCACGAATATGGGGCGAGTTCTCCTCTATCTCTCGCAACTGATTCACATTGTCAAGCTTGAGTAAAATTGGGCGGAGAAGATGATAAGGAGTATATCCGACATCTCTTACCACTGACCGAATAGCTTCAAGTTAGCATTTTTTACAAAGTCAAGAGGGAGGGAGAGTGCGTCCGGGCTGAGATGTATATCGAAGAGCAGTGCTAGAGTATATGAGCAACTTACGTGGCAAATTCTTAAGGACCACCGAGGTGCACATCTCAACTAACGACTTGACAGGCATTGTAACCAAGTAGTTGAATTAATAGAACTTCAGAGTCGCCTGCCGACTCTTTAGGACGCGGGTGTAGTTTGTGTTCTAAGAAAACACCAGCTTATATTATGAGCAGGCGGGAAAAAGAAAAAGAAAGCGTCCTAAGGATCCCAAGATGTCGAAAGCTAGGTCAACAACGCAAAAAAAAAGAGGAACCTTAAATCGGCACTGGGAAATGCCCCTCTTTTTAGTCCAAGTTTCGACTTGACTTTCCAAGGCCTTATCGAATTAGTTATTGTGGTCGTTGTGATCTTGTTATATAAACATTCATGCACTCCCGACGGGGACCGACTCTATTATATGGAGGACAGGCGCCGCAAAAGAAGGATTACAACTTCGATTTGTAGGATTAGAGAATCTAGTGCTGGGAGATGGTTGGGTAAATATACTATTGTCGTGGTCGTTATGAAAGTGGTTTACATGATTCGATCATCCGGGCGAATCGAGTCCGTGGAAGTGAAGTAATCGCAGCCGACTTAAATTCGAATCTCGTTTAAATGGCAATGAATCTGCACTATTTAGTTTGCTTTTGTGATAATTTAAATTCAAGGAGGTGAATCTCTTTGATCGCCAGCACATTGTTTCTATGGCCATATAAAGACCTGAGAGGGAAGTGTGTAGTTGGGAAGTTTAACTTGAGGCTGACACGTGGGTCGACGACCTCTGGCCGGTGCTAACCTTAATATGATAAGCATACCTACCGTACTTTACGGTAAACTACTTCGATTCAAGGTTTCTGTACATATTACGTATTACGTATTACGTACCATATAACAATCCTTCCAGTAACTAAAACATAACTAAGTACTTCCTACCTTATAGGATAACGTATTCGTCACCGTAACAGTATTTACCGTTATTGGTTATGTAGCCTCTTGCGACGCTAGAGATAAGATAGGTCAACATTAAATACTTAGAGTATGTCGCTACGACGCTACCTAGAGGCTACATATTGATAGTACTAACTATATATAACTCGGGAGCTCAACTACATGTACGTACATAGTAGGTACTATCACAGTGCTCTTGATGATGTGTGCACTACTAGTATACAATAGTAATGATAGGTCTGCCTGTACATGTGCAAACACCTATGTGACTGTTTTAACCTGGGAATATTTCTAAGGTTAGCATTCTTATACATTTATACTACGCCGTGCTATGTATAGGTATGTAGCTGTCTACCTACAGTACCTAGGTATGCTACATAGATCATCATTGACAGATCATTCACCACCCCTAGTACTATGTAGCAATCGGAATCAGATGGAAAGACAACATGAAGAATATATACTAGCATGGATTCTCTTATTCTCTTAGAGGATAGAGGATAATCTCAAATAATGCATTACTTCACAACATTGACTGATGATGTATCAGGCTTCCTTTGAAAATAATCATCCAAGGAGCTCGATACACAAACAGAAATGCAACGAACCCTTCTTGAAACCAAATCGTGATTTTAACGGCCAGTATACCCCGCAAGTTGTTGGTATCTTCCTACCTCCTTGAACCCCCCGTACGCCATGACACCCTGTAGACCATATAATGAAGAACCCGACGGGAATATCCCAGCAAGTGCAGAGAAGTTTATACATGAAGCCATTACTTCGTCTTACCATCGCACCCAACCTAGCCGCCGAGCGATGAGAAAATTAAGCTGCAGCAGCCACAGCTCGAGAAGGTGTTGCAATTGCAGGCTCGGGTTGCCCGGGTTGCGATGATTGGTTTTCCTGGTTGGCGATCTCTCCACCGGCTTCGGTCTCGGCCCATGCTCCCCATAATCCACGTTTTCCCCTGACTCTGATGGGAGCACCAAGGGCACCCTCTTTTTGCTCAACTTTAATGGCATCCTTGGTTGCGAGCACCAAACATTCAAAGAACATTTTCGTGGCGTCTGCTTTTGATGTTCTCGCTTCAGGGAGGAGGTCCTGGAATACCACCGATTTCTTCCGCTTCTCTTCATTGGTAGCCGCTTCAGATCCGAACAGATCCCGGAGGACGTGGACCGCGTGCTTTGTGCCTAACGAGACTGGGCCACTTTCCGCAGGGTGTACTATAGGAGCTGTAGTTTCATCAAACGCAGGCATTGGGCTGCCTTCGCGGGGTTGATCATCATCGTCGAGGTGCATAATCGGGTCATCGGCGGCGATCTCAATAATAGTACCATCAGGAGCAACGCTTCGCTCGCCCAACCCTGCATCAGGCATAACTAATCCATCATCTTCCTCGCCGAGATCTAAGCGAGGCGATTTAGATGCTCCTTGTTCCTCTTCTTCCCCAACATCAGCAACTCCACTATCCCTTTTACGCTTAAGATCATTGACTGGTCTAATCGCTTCAAGTGATAACAGGCCCCTTAGTTCAGGTGCCCAAGCTTTGCTTCGTCCATCCCCCATAATGCTAGAGACGAAACTGCCGCTGTTTCTTAACTCAACAAGAGCTAGAAAATAGGGATCTCGCGAAACGAAGCTGGGCGCCTTAAGGATATTCTTGTGGTTTTGTTGTTGTTCTTTCATGTGTGCGCTGGTAAGTTGAGTAGACTCGTCTAGACCGAAGACTCTACGCCTTTTAGACTTCTTCTGGGGAAGCGGTTCAGGCTCTTCGGGCTCTTGGCCTGGTTCATAAATACTAGTATTGTTGAGGCGTGTCCACTCCTCCACGTCCCGTGCTATCGTTTCATCGATATCCGAGAGTGGGGATTCCGAGATGCGCGCCCGATCGAGACCAGGGGCACCACCCATCTCAGGCACTGCTGACTGATCACCAATGTTGAATTGGAAATCATCATCCATGGGGATATCACCATCTCCGTCCGCAATTCTCACGTTGTCGTCCCCAAAGTCGAGGGCTAACGACGGCTCAGGCTCGGCGCCTTTTGCTGGAGGTGCAATGTCAAGTTCACTGAAAATATCATCCTCGACTGCTCGAGCCGCTGGCGCATCTCGTCCCATTTCAATGCTCATGTCCTTTCGCGGTCGTTCGTCGATATCCATCCCAAAATCCAAGATTAATTCTACGTCATCCATAGGATCAAGTGCTACTTCGTCCTCGTCCATGTTGTCGTCGTGCAAGAACTGACTGTTGTTGAAGTCTTCCTGCAAGTTGATATCGCGATTGCTTGGTCGACCGCGGCCCCGAGTACCGGAGCTATTAGGAGTAGCATTTATATCCTCCATTTGACCGAGCAGCCAGTTGGCGTCGGGCGGTGGTAAGATATTTAGATTATCAGCGGGCGTAATACGATCAGGAAGCATCAATGCCTCCCGATTGGGCATGTTTAAATTCTCGGGGATGTCATTGTTTCCCGTGGAACGAAAAGCCTAGCATAGTAATTAGCAACGTGGTGTGTCATATAAGAAGCGACAGGGAGTAAACGAACCATTTTAATCTTCAACAAGGCTTCATTGCAATCATCCAAAAGATAGCGAGCTTTCCTGCTGTATATCCTGACGACACCAAGCAAGAGCTGACCACTAAGGCGGAGCGCCATCGGCGCTTGGTTAGGAGTGATTATGGCATCGACACTGTCAGGCAGGTTTGACTGGAGGATGTGTGTTTTAGAGAGCTTGCGCTCTAAATTTGCCGACAGCCAGACACGAGCCAGAGGCCCCGTCTTCTGCAGCAAAGTCTCAGAGTAGAACATCGCGACAGCGATGAGAGGAAGGTATGAAACAGCAGTAGTGTAAAGTGTCAGGTGTTAGGGTAGTATGTCAAGATGATAAATGGAGCAATATAGATTTCGCAGATAAGCGCTCAATTATTATGACATTAAAGCAATGATGTTTCGGAGTTGATAAGAGTGGCAACGCGTTAAGCAAGGTCCCTTTGTGGGTATAAAAGAGATATCGGAAGTGGAAGAAGTCGGAAAGTTGTAAACAAGGGAAAATGGGAGCGCGTTGTTTTGGGCGTAGATCGCGTAGGAACAGCAGCCAGCAGCCAGCAACCAGCAACCAGCGCTCGTACCGACTTTTTGAACTGAGTACTAGGCAGTCTAGGCTTGCTACCTAGCACTTAGGGTACTAGACTTTCGGTCAATTTTACTATTCGCGTTTCAATCAGCGCAAAAAAAGCGCAATGTAGAATTGATGCGCTTTAATAGCAATGAGAAGCCAAGAGCGAAAGCAAGTATAAAATGAGAAGAATGTCGGGTGGGTGTGTGTGTTCGCACGGTCGGGAGGAAAGGCAAACGGATTGAAATAATAAAAGATTGAAGATTATGAGGCGGAGAGGGACTTTGGGGACTTTGGGGGGGGAATGCGTAGGGAAAAGTGCTGCGAGATTGGACCATTCGCCTGACCGCAAGCAAATGATTGCTGGAAGAGGGCAACTAAAAAAAAATCATCCGGTTCCTTGCTGAGAAAATTCAAGTGGCTGGAGGTCTACCAGGGGTTTGTAGTGGGGCAATTCATACCATTCGAACCTTCTTATTGGTTTGTTTATGACTCAATCTGTGGCTTGTAATTAGGTACCCAGAAAATTTGAGGAGAATTACAAACAGAAACTTTGAACAGACTAAACTTATTCCGGGTCTAAATCATGTGGCTGGTAGACTTTATTGCCTACTTGAGTTACAATTGTTTTTGAGAACTCTCTTATAGCATCGTTGTACACTAACCCGATATGTAACTATCTAGTACTATATAGGTAGGTACTTATATAGCAGCTTAGAAATATGTTGCACATACTAGGTACTATGCCGTAGTGACATATCTTGTAATTTCAACCGCGAGTCTCAGTCTCGAGCCAATACACGATCCATGCCGCTTTCAACCGTACAAGCCATTCACATAGTAATTATGGATGTACGAATATGTATAACAGTATAAGTGGATGGCCACTACATATTCCTCTGTACAGTATGATGCTAGCGGAGCTTAACGAGTTACATATATGTCATCATAGTAGCTTGTATAAGACATCGCGGGCCGTTGATTGAAACCAGGTACCAGGTTTCTTCTACCTACAGTATGCTGGAGATTCCAAGACGCGTGCGCTGCCATTACTATGTATACATTCAATGGCATTTGGCAAGACGCGGTCTGATCATCTCCATGACTAGAGATATCACTTATAACAAGCACTTGTTGAAATCCATAATAGAGATCAAGTAAGTTCATTTTTGTTCGTAATCTTCAATGTTATACATATTAACTAGTTAGATGAAGCGGTTACATAAGAAGTTATTAAGAACTCTTTATGTATGCTTATGTCAACATTGAAGCTTTTGAAGATCATCAATAAATCCCCATAAGACTTCCCCATAAGACTTCCAATGCAAGAGCAACAATACCATAAACTCGATGTCTGTTCAAGTTAAACCCTACTTAGTAACTACCCCCTACTATGTACCTATGCATTAACAGTGTCTAGACTCTAGAGGCTGAAAGACGCTGCAGCCACAACCTCCTGTGGGCAGCCCAGCGTTGCAACAGGGGCAGGACCTTGCTTTGTCGTGCTAGCATACCGCTAAATTGCTACGTTAGGTGTGCTATGTAGCCCTGGAGCCTCAGGCTGGAGGTATGAAATCGGCAAGCTACCTTAGCTTTCCAGATCGGTGTCTACAAATGACTCTACATAGTAATTATAGCCGCCGGGATCCTATCGCATTGGTCAAAAAACTCGGAACGCCCAAAATTGGAAAAGGGAAAAGGGAAAAGTTTAAAGGTAAAAGGTAAAAATTACATACCTCCAGCTACTTAAGGGCTTGGCAACGTTGAACCATTAAAAGCACCAAAAGTACCTACCACCAGTTCCAATTAACCAACCTGCCAAACACGTCACTCTCTACATATTCCCTTCTAGTTCATACTTCAACTGCTAACTATGTATGTAAAATGTATTTTTCTATTACTACATAGTATCTAATACAATACTTCTATTGCTTCATAAACTTCATCAAATACCCCCGACATCTTTTGGTTTCTGTCTATCTCTCACTCTCACTCTCTCTCTCTCTTTCTCTTTCTCTTTCTTCTTCTCTTCCTCAACACATCTTATTTGTGTTGGCCTCATAATCCTCCATGCGGTACTGCGTTCTTGCGGTTCGCACGTCGACCCCATCCCAAAATGCCATGGCCATGGCGCGATCGCGAATCCAACGGCGAGTCACTGCTTCCATTCTCGGTTCCCAGTATCAATGGAATAGGCCAAGATTATGATTATGATCGTGGCCACGATGGAGATGAATTTATCGAAAGGTCGCGCTCCAATGCTAGGAGGCCTGGCCATACCCGGACCACTTCTGCACAATCACGGGTAAGATGCATTCTCATCTCCCACCCAACTGTATTCTAGCTATATTTTGGCTGTATCTGGAATATAGACAACTAAGATCATCCTTTAATGTAGTCTATCGCGGAAGGATATTCTTTCCTAACAGCCACTGACACAGCAGCTCGTCTTCATACGTCCTTAACCCACGGTCTTACTCCTACCGAAGCTTTGTCGCGACTAGGAGATTTTGGTCCAAACGAGATACCTCACGATCCACCCGATCCGTTATGGCTACGATTCTTAATGCAATTTCGAGAACCGCTCATCATTCTACTTCTTGTCTCCGCTTTCCTCTCCATCTTCGTAGGGAACATGGATGATGCCATTAGCATTACCATCGCCGTGACCATTGTTGTTACTGTCGGTTTCGTGCAGGAATATCGATCTGAAAAGTCAATCGAGGCTCTCAATCACCTGGTTCCCAACCATGCTCATTTAGTCAGAGCCCAGTCTACGCGATCTTCCCCCGGTAGTAGAAATCAGGCATGGCCACCAGCTGCGAGTGATATGGAAGAAAAATCAGGGTCAGAAGCGCCCGATGAGGAGTTGTTGGACGCTACATCTTCAAAAGTCATGGCCGCTCAACTAGTCCCTGGGGATTTGGTCTTTTTCACCACAGGCGATCGTATCCCGGCCGATATCCGAATTACGAAGGCTACCGATCTTACGATTGATGCGTCAAATCTGACTGGGGAAAATGAGCCTCTGAGGATGACAGCCGACGCGCGATTCCGTGCCCAAGCGTCCTCCACGTTTGATCAAGGTGGAATGCGCCACCCGAGCCCTTCCGTTTTATCCCCTCCTTCGCACTATAGAGAATCCAAGGAAGACGCGCATGATCATGGAGTCAACAACATTGCGTATATGGGAACTCTAGTTAAGTCAGGTCACGGGCAAGGCATAGTCTTCGCTACCGGCGGCAACACCCATTTCGGAACTATCGCCACGAGCGTGTCAGGGACTGAAAGTCCTCGCTCACCCCTTCAACAAAATATGGATCTCCTGGGACAACAGCTTAGTCAAATATCGTTCGGCATAATCGGTCTCATATCGTTGGTCGGTCTACTGCAAGGCAAGAAGATCCTCGAAATTTTTACCATATCTATCTCGCTTGCTGTTGCGGCAATTCCAGAAGGTCTACCCATCATAGTGACAGTCACCTTGGCCCTCGGTGTTCATCGCATGGCAAAGCATAATTCTATTGTTCGAAAGATGCCAAGTGTCGAAACGTTAGGCTCCGTTAATGTCGTCTGCTCTGACAAGACCGGAACACTGACCATGAATCATATGACAACCGCCAAGATGTGGTACTTTGGTTCCAAAGAACCGATCAACGTTGACTCTGACGACGAAGCGACAGAAAAGTCACCCGATGTTGCGGCACTGAGGATATTGCGAATAGGTAATATCGCAAACAATGCGCGCCTTACTCACTCTGCCCAAACTGTGCTGCCTGACTCTCAAGGCAGAGAGTTCGCGCCGTACACACGATGGGTCGGACAACCAACCGATGTCGCGATGCTGGATCTTCTCGATCGATTTAAGGAGCATGACGTAAGGGACTCGATTGGTCCTCGTACAGTTGAGATTCCTTTTAGCTCTGAGAGAAAATGGATGGGGGTGGTGATAGGTGCCCAACCTGGCAACAGTGAGAAGGAATACGCTTACATGAAGGGCGCTATAGACAAGGTCCTCGACGCATGTGACACATATCTCATGGCAGATGGCCGTGAAGTTGTTATAGACTCGGTTCGACGTCAAGAGGCCTTACAAGCGGCTGAAAGGATGGCTGAAAGAGGTCTTAGAGTACTAGCCTTTGCCAGCGGACCAGTCACCAAGCCAGGATGGAGTAAATCTGGACACAACTCCAATCGAAGTCCTACCCCCCATGGCGCAGATTCCCACCACGAAGAGTTATATAAAGGCCTAACTTTTGCAGGCTTAGTAGGAATGAGTGACCCTCCACGACCTGGAGTCTCACACTCGATTCGGAAGTTGATGCGAGGCGGTGTCAAGGTCATTATGATCACTGGCGACTCAGCTACGACAGCGCTAGCCATTGGAAGGGAACTCGGTATGCAGATTGCGACACCCCGTGAACATTCGTCAAACCAGGTTGCTGTAAAGCCCGTACTCACTGGCGATGAGCTTGATGCAATGACCGATGACGGTCTAGCAGCAGCAATGCAAAATACGACGATATTTGCACGTACCAACCCTGATCACAAGATGAAGATCATTCGAGCGCTCCAGTCTCGTGGTGACATCGTTGCCATGACTGGGGATGGAGTCAACGATGCGCCGGCATTGAAGAAAGCTGATATTGGCATATCTATGGGTTTACATGGAACGGATGTCGCCAAAGAAGCTTCAGATATGATTTTGACGGACGACGACTTTTCCACGATTCTTCGCGCCATTGAGGAAGGCAAGGGCATATTCAACAACATCCAGAATTTCATCACCTTCCAGCTGAGCACTAGTGTAGCTAGTCTAGCTCTGGTACTCATCTGCACCTGCATGGGGTTCAGGACACCCCTGAACGCCATGCAGATTCTCTGGATCAGTAAGTGGCCATTTATTTTCCTTCCACCTTACTTCGTTATCAAGTAATAACTAACCATGAATACAAAGATATCATCATGGATGGCCCGCCAGCCCAATCTTTAGGTGTCGAACAAGTCGACCCTGACGTGATGTCCCGCCCGCCACGCTCTCGAAGCGAACCAGTTCTCACGAGAAACTTGCTTGAGCGTGTTCTTACTTCGTCTGCCATCATCATGGTAGGGACAATGCTCGTATATACACACGAAATGCTCGACGGCGAAGTTTCGCGCCGCGATACGACAATGACGTTCACATGCTTCGTCCTGTTTGACATGTTCAACGCGTTGACTTGTCGCTCGGAGACAAAATCCATCTTCAGGGGTGAAGTGGGCCTGTTTTCCAACAAACTTTTCAACTGGGCAGTATCTCTGAGCATGGCTGGCCAGCTGCTCGTCATCTACTTCCCGTGGCTCCAGGAAGTGTTCCAGACGGAGGCTATAGGGCTCTTTGATCTTATCAGGTTATTCGCATTGGCAAGCTCGGTGTTCTGGGTCGACGAGGCGCGCAAATGGTATAAATACGGGCGCAGGCGAATGGGCGGGTACAGCCAGGCCGTCTAGTGTTTATGAGAGATGGTGTTTGCATCTCCTGTTTGTTGCGTGCGCCTATGAAACTGTACAAAAGCAGAAGAAAAAGACGAAGAAGAGGGAAAAGATTACAAGAGGTCTACGATATGATTTGACACATTGGGTTACGGCATAAACTAAAAATAATGTGAAATTCATTTGCCTACGATCATCCACATTGATCCGTACGAAGCGTTTTCATTTACAACACGGGGTAATGCCTAGATACATGTACTGTAGGTAGTCAACGGTCAGTGATACATAAATAAGCTTAGACTTGGTTAGATCATTAAAAGGGTGGTTTTGTTCGGAGGTGTCAAGCAAAATATATACCTCTCTCTCTCTCTCTCTCTCTCTCTCTCTCTTTCCATTTAATCGTCGATCTCCACGCCCAAGAACTCCTTCTTGAACCGCTTCCAGAGCCTCGTCCGGTAAAATATGAGCGTGCAGTAGTTCATCTTGACCAGGCCGTCGTTCAGGGTGCCTATGCGGCCGCCGAGGACGTCGTGGGTGTTGCGCGTGAGGCCTTTCGTTCGCTTGCCGGCGTATTCGTTGCTGCGCTTGCCCGTCTTGTATACGACCTCGTTGGCCCGGTTCAGCATGATGCTTCGTGGGAATTTGAGGGCTGGTTTTTGGTTTGGGGATGGGGATGGGGTGGACATCGTGGTGAGGAGCTGGTGGTTGTGTGCTATGTATAGTTTCTTCATAGGGGGTGCTGATCACGTATGATTCCACGTGGGAGGGTTAGGTGAGTCTCGCCGTTGCCACTGGGCGTAAATATGAAAAACCCCAAGAGGTGGTGTTATACTGGCCTGTTGCGGAACCTGCCTATCTGTTCTTGATTCCAAAACCCTCTCTTTGCCGCCAGGCTTTCATTATAAAGAATGGGGATATGATCAATTTATCTAAGTACTTCGTACCTAGTAGAGATCACAAAAGGGTCTATACAAAACCAGATCCATGTAATTCTAGGAGAATCCTGCCAGAGCTGGAGTTATCATGTTTCGGTTCAGAAACATCCAGTTGAGAACCCTCAAAGCAGTTTAGGGGTTGGAAATATGTGTAAAACTGACCTCATATAAAAAACTTGACATTTCCTTTATTGAGCCCCTTTTTGGTCATTAATCATTGCCATATTGATGCACACATCTAGGTCTAAGCTGACGTAGCGTTTTCTATTCGCCTGGTTTCTATTACACGGGAGTATGTTACAAGAGATAGTTCCATGTGACGTCCCCTTTGTTCAGAACTTGAATTTGGTTGATATAATTTCAAAATTCACGGCGCGTCTGTGGGATCCCTATGGTTTGATGTTAGTAAATACTACTTAAAATGATGAATATAAGACTTACCAGTCCGTTACCAGCTTCTCATCAAGCCCGTTCATTATCTCCATATCCGAGTCAGAAATCTCAAACCCCCCTATATTTGCATTTTCAATTATATGATTATACTTCGTACTCTTTGGCAGTGGTATGAGCCCATGTTGTAGGGACCACCTAAGACAACCGTTAATATGACCTCTAATTTTACCATTTAGAGACGAACTAACCGAATCATAAGCTGCGTGGGCGAGCAGGAGTACTTTTTGGACAGCTCTAAGATAGTTGGATGCTTAATGCGCATGCGGCGTGCTAATGGAGCATAAGCCTCGATGGCGATTCCGTACTTGGCGCACACGGCTCTGATATCTGTCTGCGTATTGAACGGATGAACCTCAATCTGATTGACAACCGGCGCGATCCTCGGTTTCGATTCCATCAGCTCCTCAATCTAAATGCGCTCCAATGGTTAGCCCCTTTTCCATTAGATAGATAGGTCTAAACGAGCGGCGAAACTGACGTGGCGGACACCAAAATTGCTAACCCCTCCCGACTTAACTATTCCTTTGTCAATCGCATCCTCGATAGCTTTCCAGCTCGCCAACCGTGCCTCGCGACCACCATACGGGCTATGCAGCAGAAGTAGATCGATGTACCCGAGGCCACAGGTAACAAGGGATTTCCGAATAGATCGCTGCACGGCCTCGAACGAGGTGCTATTATCCTTCAACTTGGTGGTGAAGAAGATGTCATTGCGAGTGAGGCGCTGAGTATTCGCCTCGGGATTATCGAGGAAAACCCGTATGGCCCTGCCGGCCTCCTTCTCGTTGTAGTACCACTGCGCGCTGTCAAAGCCTCGGTAGCCCGCAGCGAGGGCACAGCGTATGCTTGCTGTAGCCTCACTACCGCTAACCATGTATAGGCCTAGGTGAATCTGGGGTATGAGTTTGCCATTCGATAGCTGATATTTGCATCGTAGATAACGTCAGCTGGGTGAGACGAGGCTTGTGAACTACAAGTTGGGTGTGTGTTTGTGTGTGTAGACCGTCCCTTACCATAACCTTGCTAGCCAACGAGAAGTTGGTGGATGACATTTTGTGAGTAGGTATATCTGATCCGGGCTACTTGAAGTTGAAGCAGAAGTAAAATGAAAGAAGTAGATATGTAGCATGTAGCATTTAAGTTGAAGTTTCAATGTTGATATCGCCGAGTGCTACTAATACATATATGTACATATGTATGTAGGTATTCAACATGTCACTAGGTACACAACGATGTACATGTAGTCATGTACAGTTACTACAGTACCAATATGTATGACATCTGGAATCTGGATATATGAATGCTTCGCAGAATATTCTTCCATACCTACACATGCAACACCCCTGTCAGAACCTTGTCGGCTGTCGAGTAGATCTACTACCTTCTCCGCTTTTTTATCGCCACCTGTAGTAGTATTATTTCATAGGACCTACATGTACTATTAGTACTAGTTAATTGACTAATTAGCGATAGCCCTTCCTGTGGCTCAATTTATTGGGGGCTATCACAGCTGTCTGCCAGGTGATTTGGCAGCTAGTAGCTTTAACTATTGCTTACATATGTATCTTTATGTCATCGGTATCAACGTCACAACTATCTCTAGCTACTTACTACGTATCGTAGTCCACCTACTTTGTTACCACAATGTTACATAGTTAGTACTGCCTACTACTATCAATATGTCGTATCGAGGCACTACATATGTAAGTTAGGTAGGTAGGTAGGTATGTCTTTTGACTCTTTTCGAACAGCAAGGTGCTTTGCTAAGGTGGTATGAGGTTAAGAATCTAACCTTCAGCAAACAGCGAAAGCCGGGCTATGGGCGAATTCCCATAGGCTGCCCGAGAGCCATATCCGCTGGCCGGTTAGGCCACTGCAACCATAGTTGGACAAAACACAACACTGGGCAACAGGGATGACACACCCTCAATATGTATCATGGCGGCTGCACGATGAAAATTGTAAGGTGAACTACATATGTAGGAACCACTATATTATGTGTGTATATATAGTTATGTACCTACTTAGATACTTCGTAGACAGGGAATACACACCAACATACATATATCATACCTACACGTGTATGTATTATTTAGTAGGCAGGTAATACTCTAAACTCGAGATATCGAAAGCATCCATAATAGAAGAAGACAAATCTCAATGAATAAAATTGACAGCTGTAATGTAAAATATCTACCTAGCAGCTTACATACTGTCATATACATATGATATATATACCTAAGACCTATGTAAGTACGTAGGTAGCCTTAAAGGTGAAGTTTGTTTCTGTCAAAAAATCTATACGTGCTGGGGGTCCATTTTTATTTTTCATTTTATTTTCTTCCTTTTTTCTACATAGATAAAATGGAAAAGGGAGGAATGAATTGACAACCTAAAAACTTAAACCAAAAAGAAACTTGGAGCAAAACAGCAAAAGATTAAACATTGAACATTGAAAAACTAAACTCATGTGCCACCAAATCGTATAGTGGAGTTAAAAGTTGGAAAGTGTGGATATGGCTTGAGGTACTTTCAAGGTACTTTTCTTTAACCATTAGCCTTTGTGGCTGTCCTACATACTATGCACCATGTCGCATAGCACTAAGTGTTAAGTGTGGCTAGTAAGCTTTGTCAGGGTTCAATTTTGGTACCATTCATACGCTACATATGCCTAGTAGTTACCTAGGTATGTATGTACTGTGAGATGTAGGTATTAGGTACCTAAGTTCTTACATGTATTGTACATAACTTGAATGTATGTAACCTAGGTACGTGGGCAACTTCCAAGTTGAAGGTTACAAGTCACGCCAAGAACAAATTCAGGCAAGAACCAGCCGGTCGCCGTCTCTTCTGTCCGTCATCCGTACCCGCCCTTTGCCTTGCAATGCCTCGCCTCGACGATTTCATTTACGCATACAACTCATTCCACCCTCTCGCCATTCTTTGTACACTTAATCACCTACCAAACTTACCTTTTTTTTCCCTTTCCCCCACCGAATATCGCGTCTCACCATTCTTCTTACAATACCTATAACACACAATTATCTATTTGCGCGCATTCAACTGCTTCGCAAATACAAATGTCGAATCTCATTTATTGACCAAGCCATACCAGAAAGAGAGAACTAGAGAAAGAAAACGAAGGAACTAAAAATAAGACGAAGACCACAGTACCAGAAAAATAACGGAAATACAACCAATACATACATACCTACTCTTTTCACTCGCATTACTCGACCTCTCTCCCGGACCTTACTTTATTTTTTTTTCTAAAAAAAATAAAAATAACGAGCCCCATGCGAATAGCACGAAGCCACTAGTTTTGAGCCAAATCGCGTCCGAAAGAATCTTAGCGTTCCCTTCACCGACCGACTCTCCTACACATACACATGCCTCTGAGCATTATCGCATCGATATCTTCCTCTTGTCCATCGACCGAAACCACAGAAGTTCTGGTGAACCCAACTCCAGTCTCGCGCCGCGCCGGCGGAAGGGGGTTCAAGGCGTATGATGCCTGGTGTCGTCATGATGGAAAACGGCGTTCGGGCACCACTACCTGCAAGTCATGACAGAGAATCTGGCCAATTTGTCAATGGCAATTCATCTCCTAGCCGACAAAATGGCAATAATTCCGGACTTGGGGCTGCAACTAACAACGGGGCGACTTCCATGGCGAACGGGAACGGAGGCAGTGATGGCGCGAACTCAGCACAGTCACAGCGACAAAGCTCTAATCCGTCGCGTATGAATGATCTTCCAGATGAAATACAACATATTACCCAGGGGTTCATTCCCTTGGGAACTTTACTCTCGCGCCTTGCGTTCAAGACACACAATCAGCTTGCAGATGAGATTGTGGCATTAGCTAAGATGCCCATACCCGCGCCTGCTGTCAATGGCAACTCGACACACGCTGGGGCTTCAGTGGATGACACTTCCCCTGAAAACTTAGCCAAGAAGGCCAGGCTATTGAACTTCGTCCAGGAGAGACATGCAGACTGGGTAAAAGCGGCTGTAATTACAAGATGGAGCAAGAACGCTCAATCGGTCAGCAAGCTGATCGACCTGATGTTTCTGATCAACTCACAGCGAGCCAAGTACGACTTTATTCCTCGTCAGATGGCCGAACTCAAGGGATCTCTGACCTTTGCACGACTTCCGAACCCCGATCTCAAGACAGCGCTCCACGTACTTTCTACTGGCACAGCCCCCTGGATGCCAGATTTCAACTATATTGAACCTCCTCCCATGGATTCCAAGGAGGAACAACAGTGGATAGAAAACGTAAACACGCTTCTTTCATTGCGTCTCAACTTGGACGATTATGACAACATCCCTTACCAGTTCCGGGACTACACTATTGATTCTGGTCGGGTTACCTTCAAGGTTCCGGGCGAGTTTGAGGTAGACCTCACAATAGCTGACGAAGACTTTGAAAAGCAATTCTGGTTCATTGATTTCCGATTCGGCTTTACTCCTGCGCCTGTTGAAATGTCCAATTCGTTGAGAATGTACTTGGAAGACAAAGTCAATACAGTGCTAGGACAGGAAAGCTTGAGTGGCTGTTACAAGTTCCTCCATGAATTCGTCCTCACTCACAAGCTCACCGAGTACGTACGTCAAGCCTTCGAGCTGAGTAGAGGTCGTTGGGTAGACACGCTGAAGGTAGAGCGGCTCAATAGAGCCATGGGTATCCAGTATTGGGTCGGCCGCTCTCCACCAGATGGTGTAAAGAGCTGGATAATCCTAGGTGTTGACAGTGCTAAGAAATCTGGCACACCTGAGGATCCCAAATCTTCAAGCCACCTTACATTACGTTGGTTCAGGGACAACAAGGAGATCAAGGACGCAGACATTCCGCTCAACGACGTTGATATCTCTACAGAAACTCTCCTGAACAGTGTCATTGGTAGACACGTCGGATACATCCTCGGATCAATACACGCGAAGTTAAAAACAAATGGTCGATTTACTAAGCGAGAAGCCGGTCTCGCTCTGGATCTGTGGAAAGATAGTCCTGCACAATCTACCCTCAAGATGCAGTTAGGCCATGCTGTGTATGTGACCGTTGGCGTCAATTCTATGACTGGGGTAATCTCAATGAAACCACAGTTGGGGTTAACCTGGAGAGGCGAACAAAAACTCAACTGGCAATCGAAGGACCCTGTCCAGGATGGACTTGCATGCCTGGAAAGCGTTCGATGCCAATATGTAGTGGAAGAAATTATTCGACGTGGAAAGAGCACGGACTGGTTCGTATGCAAAAGCCCCGTGAAAATGGAACGTGTTCGAGAGGTGCTCAACTCACGAGAAATGGGTCAACTCATGTGGCTCAAGCGGCATGGTTGGATCGAACGGTGGTATTTGATGGTGAACTTAAGCTTGGGCGGTGATAAGTGGTGTTTGGTTGAAATGTGAGTTCGAAGACGTTGCTTCCTACCCTACCTATTCCGGTATACATTACGACTAACAGAGACTTACAGCAACAATAATACTCCCAATGGGGAGACACGGATTTCATCATGCACTCAGCTACCGCTCAGTTCTTATGCGCCAAAACTCGCAGACACTTTCTTCTCAAACTTGACTATATTCACTTCTGCTGTGATCTCACATATTACGGACATGAGAACTCTACACCAACAAAAGATTAAGTATGTCGCCCGCAATGGATTCAACTACTCCTTACCACCGAGTATGAAGGTGCCTTCTATCTTCATCAAGCTTGCGGATATCTTAAGGCAACCACAGTCACAGGATTCGAAAGAGCGGGTTGAAGATTGGGCACACGATTTTGTACAGATCATGTTCCAAGGCATACGTAGCCCAAGTATCAGGCGACAGATTTTGGACCGAGGAAAGGAGACGAATAATAATGCCGGGGATGGCACAGTGGCGAAAAGGGAATCGTTACATGGATTCCTGGATGCCCGAATCAAGGTTTCTGACCCCTCTAGGTTCGGCCTCCTCCAGGGGCATGTCGAACGCGATGTTGCATATAGTAAGACCCTCGGAGTATTTGCGCTTCGTCTAGAAGCAGATGTCGGAAGCACTATCTTAAATACACTTGCTCATCGCCTGCAAGCTATCGACAAACTAGCCGACTGCGTGGACGCGATACGTCGAAGCGACAGGGACATTCAATGCGAAGCGATCACACTTACTAAAGTTGTGTTCACTTATACCGATCGCATGAAGCAAGAGGGCGGTATGGTGGAACAACCACCTATTGACCGTTGTAGAGCAACCTTGGAACTTGGACCTGGCGGTATCGAAGTGTTGTTCGAAAGAGGCAACCCGCAGCTGCGCGCTCTGGATCTCTTCCGACACCTTGTCAACTCGAACCTGCGCTGCCGGAAGCTCCCCTTTTATCTATCAAGCACGCTGCCGATACAGCGTGCTCTAGACGCCATCGAGGATGCTTGGGAGGGTCTCGCGATGAACAACCAAGGTCGGGTTGAAATATTTTCAGCGCACCTAGATTGGTTCAATATCCATTATTATCTCCCTGGGACGAATAGGAACCCTCGCGCCCACCGCCGGCTCACCTTGCAGATCCGACTGAAAGAAGTTAAGGACAACATCGAATGGCACGTGGAACGGGTGGAGCCTGGATTCACACAGCCCGAGGACGAGTTTAAGCAAGCACTCGATAAAGTTTGGAATGCTGAGGATAAAGTATGGCGATCTCTGGTGCACAGTGCCTCGAGCAAGACGGATCATCATGTAGGAGAGCTGATCAAAGCTGTTGACGAGGCGGTCAGACGGCTCGTGCTGCAGTCACCAACGGCTTATAAGCCAAGCCAACCCAGAGGCCCGGTGCAGACTAAGGGTCAGAGCCAGGGCTCATTAGGCATGTATCATAAGACGATGGCAGCCGGTAGGGTCCGGCCACAGTCGGACGCAAACACCATCGTGGTGTTGGATGACTAAGTGAATGAAGACCAGAGTCGAGGAAGGCAGAAGTGGTACCTACAAAGAGGATGAGTACCGACACCCACACGAGCAGCAGGCATGCAGCAAAGAAAAGGTATAAAGAATGCGATGCGAAGGGAGGGAGGGGGAATGTCGGCCATACTTGAGATACCCTTAGGAAAACAGGCATAGGGCAAGGGGGGGAAGGGGGCAGAGACAGAAAGAGAGAGAGAGGCGATATAGCTTTGCAGACCAGCCCGGAAGGCCGCAATGAATACTATTAGTAATGAATAAAATTCTCTGGAATTGCAATTCTATTTTTATCACGAATAGTGCTATGTGATATTGAGGAGTGCATGTGATAATGCATGCCCAGTACATGGCAATTAATTGAAGAGCATTTAGTTGCGCTTAGGAGGGCAAGGGAAGAAGCAAAAGGGGGCTCAATGTTTATTATGGTAACCCTCTAGTTAGAGGTGTTAGGTATTAGGTATTGGGTATTAGGTAGATATTGAAGGTGAGAGATGAAGACGGGCAAGATTTTGAAACCCCTTTTACGGGTGAAACGTGATGTGGTTCGGATTGGGATACATACTGTTTGATGTATGTAGGTAGGTAACCTAGGTATGTACCCAGTAAGGCCAGTAAGGCCAGTAAGGGTTGGTCAGTCATAATTAGGTAATTACCTGGGCAACTAGGTAGGTAGGTAGTTACTGGATTTATCGAGTTCAATGTTGCTTTCCATTCTACAATATCTACATACAATCAGTCACAGTCACAGTCACAGTCACAACGGTAAAAAAGGGATCAGAATAGTAGCTACTAGGCTAGCTACATAGTACCCAAGGTCACATACATTTGGTACAGCTAGCTAGGTGTTCTTGGATAGCTTATAGAATGGCGTGTAAGTTCTTTAATCATATTGTTTATATTGTTTCCTCTTTCTCTCTCTGGCTCTCAAGCTCTCAAGCTCCTAAGCTCCTCGTACCCCTCCCCTCCTATATCATTCCCGCAGTATATACTGTATTTTCTTGCCTATCCGCCTACTTACCCCCTCATCTCTAAAATAATGGAGAGGGAGGGGGGGGGGGGGGGATGAGAGAATAAAAATGAGTAAGAAGGAAAATGATACCTGCCTACCTATAATAGCAAAAGAAAACCCCTACAGAATTCAAAGGTTGAGTTTACCCCCTAACTAACCCCCACGCCCACTTGGGCACTCCGCACACATTAGTCTTTACCGGCACCACCCGTCTGCGCAACGTGTCGCCCATCCCCTCGTCACCATCAAGCCCCGTCGTCACCAAAGAAGCCGCCGTCGCCGTCCTCCACGACCACGCCTTCTTCCTCCGCTGCGAGCCCGCCTACATGTCGCACCGCGCCCTGCCCTCCCCGCCCGACGCGTCCAACGTCGACCCCGCCACCGCCCGCCTCGCGTACCGGCTCCCCCCCGGCATCGAACCGGTGGCGGGAAGCGCGCCCGCGGTCAAGCTGTACGAGGTCGTCGACCACGTGCCGAGCCCCGTGTGGAGCTCGAGCGTCGTGAGCAGGGAGGAGTTCGTCGACCTCGCGGACGGCGTGTGGGTGCGGATCAGGGCGCCGCTCGCGATCGTGATGGAGAATCGCTGGTCCGTCAGGGAGAGGGTGGTCGAGGACGAGGAGTGGTGGGAGGGGAAGGAAGGCCCCGGGCTGGAATTGGTGGAGGATGTGGAGATTGTTTGCTCGAAGTTATTGTTGGGGATTGTGAGGGGCCAGGTGGAGGGGAATTGGAGGGATATTCACGGGAGGATTGTGGCGAGGATGGTGGAGGGTGGGAAGAAGGAGGGGGGTGAGAGGAAGGAGGTGGGAGAGGGGGCGGGAGAGGGGGCGGGAGAGGGGGCGGGAGAGGGGGAGTGAGTGGTGATTTGGGTCGAGAGTTCGTTTAGGAGTATATAGGTGGTGATGGGCGCGCACTTGAGGAGATACATATGGCACTTAGATACCTGCCTTGTAGGTAGGCAGTCATACATAGACAAGTCGTGGGCGAGATTAAGAATATACATGCATTACAACTACCTTCGTCTGGAACTATACACTACGAGTATCTTAGAGCGATCTTGGAGAGGGCAGTTGCATAGGTAGGTAGGCATATTAGGTTTGTATAGAGTAGCTAGGTAGGTATATAATCCGACTCGAGGCCTTTGCATAAGGTGATGGTATATTACTTTCTTTTATGGCTATAGCAATGTGTATCACAACGGTTTAGCCAAGCTTGTGACACTACCTCATAATACGACCACGCGTACCTACCTAGATAAACTCATAGGTAAACCTATAGAGGAAAACGTATTCGTAATCCGATGTTGTCACGCATTCCGCAAGTGTCCACGGAAAAGCTGTCTGTCTATCTCTGGATACCGATGACCTCGTGTAGCTTCTTCTAAGGGTGCCATTGGTAGCGTGGGGTGTAACCTACGAGTCTGCTGCCATGATCTGGCAGGATTAAAATCCCCGAGTCGGGATTCTTGGCCCGCGTGAATACTACGGTGCCTTATGTGTAGTTATCAAGAGGTAGGTAGGCATCGTTCGCTCGGGGAGGTCGAGTCTCGGATTTGTGACGACGAGGATGGCTTTCGGTTGGAGTTATGTTGGTAGCAGCTCTTTGGGAACTTTGAAGCGGTGAAGGCTTGCGCGCTGTTGTTAGGTTGGTTGGTTGGCTGGCTGGTTGGCTGGTTGGCTGGCTGGCTGTCACGAAGGAGCAAAATTGTTATTTGAACTCGACCGTACTTGCTTATTATTTAGGTAGCAAGCTACTTACTCACTGATGATCCAGCGGGCAGTGATATACTTTAGCATTGTTATCACGTCTCACCCCTATCCAAAGGTCACCTCGACCTGTATACAGTACCTACCGAAGATGCCTACCCAAAATACCTACCCAGGTAGTTAAAGTGATTTCTGCACCGAATCGTAGATCTAAACACCTAGAAATGCAGCTTCGTGTCTTTATGACACCATCGCTCCTCAACAAGTATATATACCTATGATACATCTATACCCGAACTCGCCTCCTCGTTTCTTCGCATTCCTGCCTTTGAATAGGGGTCGATAGCCACAGCCAACGGCCAACGTACCGGTAGCTCGGATCGGGATCCTGGCCGTTGGACAAAGCGTCTCGGGCACAATACGTAACGAGGACGCTTTGACTGGGCGAGTGCAGCTAGTCAAGCTATGGTAATCCCCAGACTTCACAAGCGAACCGACGTCCAGGAAGGAAGGAAGGAGGGTTTGATCTAGATGGGACGGACAGAGTCCATGGGTAGGCAGGGAGCGGCGCGGTGCGGTGCGGTGCAGGTGCAGGCGCAGGTGCAGTGTGAGATCGCCAGGCACTGGATCGCATAGTACAGTAGATCCCAAGGCTTGGGGTTTTCGACCTCGGTGTCACGGACCTATATTGTAGGAGGGATTTAATATATGTAGGTATTGATTTAGGTATCTAGTGTCTACGCGAGGTTCTCTTTGGATGGTGGTATCGTGGACCTTGCTGATAACTGTTTCTACTAAGGCAAGGCACACCCGCCCCTTGGCTACCTGGGTATAGTGACCTGGTACCCAGGCAGTTATAGCAAGCAGGGAGCGATGAGGAGCTGCATAATCGGGCGCCGTAGGGTTAGGAGGTATGTAGGTAGGTATGTATTGTACAATTCGATGACGCGCGTGTCTTTATCTCATCGACTTCCCCTGATGTGAACATTAGTATGGAACTAGCTAGTCTACCCTTTAAGGAATTCAACTCGTAGCTAGGTATACTTGAGATGCTACTTGTTGCTTGCGAGGGCTTCGCTAACAAGATGCCAGGCTACAAACCACGGTGCTAAATCAACACCTCGATACGATAGGAACATGAGAACCGATACTATACACCAAGCACCAAATTCAACATACAGGTTTGTGGGTGAAGCACTTACACCCCGTGATATAGTTTAGTCAAGCCTGTTTAAGATATAACTTAGTCTCTAGTAGCTGTCCTCACATGTAACGTTGTTAAGCATAACTTAAGACTATGTGGAATTTTTGCATCAGGGTCCTGTCCTAGGTATGATGATCTCTAGGGTTTTGACAGAATCTAGACTGCTCCATCCACGATACCCTACTAGAGGCCATCCCATGTGACTTTGGCAGGACAGGGCAGGGCAGGGCAGGGCAGAGCACGGGGCCCGGAGTACTGCGCGGGACTTGATCTACGTGCCTCTTACGCAACAAACACGGCTATCTGCCTTCCCGCTTGTCAGGCGTAGGGGAGGGGGGAGTCCCTGGAGACGTACATAATAACGGCATGCACGTCTTCCTTCTCGCAGTAGCCCATATCTTGTGTGCGTGTCTCCACGACGATCATGTTTCTTGCGACATTTTTTTCTAAAGAGCGACACAGGCAACAGGTTTTGGCCAAGTTATATTACATGATAATACATGATAATACACTGTACCTAGACAAATGATGCTCGTGTGGGAAGGAATCCGCACACACCGGTCCGTGCGCGGATGTAAGAAGTCGGCCGGCTTCCAGGTTGATGCATTCCCGGCCGTCCTGTCTCGCAACTAACGGTGCGGGCGCGGGCGAGGTACTAACTCGAAGCGTCTTAATGGGAAGCGTTCAAGTTTATGTGTAGTAAAAAGCCAAGCCTACTAGGTCAGTTTGAAAGCCATTGACTGTCCCCCCCCCTCCCCTTCCTCCCCCCCTCAACTCCAAAGACTTGCACAACCTACATATGTGTGTGCCTGGGTTAAGATTTAAGGAGATAGTTGAGCTTTCGAAACAGTTGCCCTGCCTTGAATGAGAAAGAATTCTTGCTTATCCCCGGGTGACGAGAAAGCAAGAAGTCTGTGAATTGATAAGACGCGGGGAAGCAACTATTTAGTGTATGTAGGTATGGAGGCATGTGTAGGCATGGAGGCATGGAGGCATGGAGGCATGGAGGCATGTAATAGTAAATGCTGTGCATGGAATCCAGGTGGCGATTTTCATACCTACATATTTATTGTCTAGGTAGGTGTTGTATTGAATTGCACAATACATGATGTGAGAGTAATAGCTAGCGAGGTGCGCGGCATTTCCACGAATAGGGGCACTCATAGCGTTCATGGATGGTGACATGACACGGCCCCACTGGCAGGATTACTTAAATTTCCGATTCGGCCAATTTTACTATGATAGTCGTTAGTAACAGAGGTAACAGAGTAAGGTAAGAGGTAGGTAGTGATGTCAAAGGTTGTCGGAACAGATGTGATACCTAACCTATTATATGCCGTCAACACTCTAGTTTTATGTTTCAAACCCTACGGCCTGCTCTACTACGTAGAGTCTGACTAGGAGATGCCGCATGGGGATGTCTTCCAGCATATAGTGTCATGTATGTGGTGTTTAGTACATAGTATCAGTGTTAACCTCTGAAAGGTTCCCAACTCGTCATAGCGGTCTACTATTAGTGGTATAATGTCCGTTTTAAACATGAATAGTGCGTGGAAATATTCCGGCACTCCACTTGCGATGGTAAAATAGCGGAAAGTCTTGACTTAAAGTGGACTTGCGCCGGTATTGTCAAAATCGAAGTCGTAGCCGAGGAAAAGACGAGGCACTAGGGCTGCGAACTGTTTATCGGGCAGTAATCTTACATGAAGTACTATCCATGGATGTATGTATGTACGATCCATAATCTACGAGACCTTCTTATTGGTGTAATCGGGCACCTTGTGTCGTAAAAAAACAAACAGATCATCGCCTGCCCTTACATAGTACAATAACTTCCCCGCCGTTTGTCGTTTTCGTGATGTGATTAAGCAACGGGGGTTTGCAGACTGAATATGCAAGTTGAATATGCAAGTTGACATCCAACGCTAGTAAAATTTTCTGCCTCTCTTACGTCAAGGGTTTTTCTTTGGATATAAGAACGAAGTCTTGGCTCTCTCTTGTCGGTATTTTGTTGTTATCCAGCTTCCAAGTTTAGTTCTTGGTCAAGTGATCACGACAATGGCGGTAAATCAACCCATACCTACACAGCAAACATCTCTATATAAACGCGTCAGCAGACGGTTTAGGAGACAACGTGCAGGTCAAGCGCAAGATCCGACATATTGGTGATGTATTGCCATCGACAATGGTGGACCGGACTGTTATCGTGGGGGTAGGGGATGTGATCTGGAGTCTGGACTTTGGTAATGAAGTTACGACGACATCGCCAAGACTACCTACCTACGACATCCTACCCCGCATGCCATCTGAGGCCATACACACAGATGAGCTATATAGTTGAGTTTCTTGAGTTTCCTGGTATGTACTGATATATAACAGTGCAGATGAAGCAGGAGTGGGTATGCTTGTCGATATGTATGTAGGTTCCCATGCCACATGGATTGGAGCAAGATGTTGAAAATCTTGAACACTAGGGTCCTCTTCCCCGGCTGGGTACCTAGTAGTACGGACAGGCCACGCGGGAAACCCCCGCCCCTCTCGTCAGTGCTCACAGGGCGACAAGCAGGTACTAGGTTAGGTAGACTTTGAAACATTCAGGGCTGAACTGCCGTGTTGAAGCATTTCAAGCATCCCAAGCATCCCAAGCATCCCAAGCATTTCAACTACAGCAACGGGTACAGCGATGGGCATGTTTCCGGAGAGAAAGAAAGTTTCCAGAAATAGCGTATCATTGCAGGAGCCCTTGCAGAACAACCTAGAAAGGTTTCAATATTGTCCTGATTAGGGGGAGCGTAAGGGAGAAGGCTAACTACATATGTATGCACGTACATAATATGTAGGTATGCTACTACCGTGTGCTATGTTAGCTGATAAGTACATATATAAAAGTATTATGTAATACCTACTATGCATGTAGTAGTCGAACTGCAGGAAGGTCGGTGTCTATTACATAGGTGCCCTAATAGGTAGGTATGTAGATATTTACGTACGTATGTAAATACTCCGATGCCAATATTTTATGATTGTTTGTTCCATACATATGCATGGTAATACTGCATATCTGATATATATAACTATGTGTTACATATAATATAGAGCTCATAATATATATGTAGTAACTATTGGTAGTATTCCTACTTTGTGTGGCAGCGTAGTCGACGATAAGATAGGAGTAATTGTACGATGTAGGTACGGCGTAGGACTTCAATGTTGACGAAATAAAAAAGAAATGGAGAAAGAAAACCGGTTGGAGATGAAATAATAATACCGTTGACCTAGGGTAGAGTAGCTAGGGTAGAGTCGGTAGACGACTGGGCAGTACCTGAATTTACTTAAGGGTTCATTGAACTCCAGGGCAGTTTGGTGGCTGTTTTCAGTGTTTTGACTGTCAAGACTGCTTAGGCTTAGGCTTAGGTACTACATATGTAGGCGTCTTATCCTAGCCTAGTGCTCGGTAGTTTTTGGTCAATTTGCTGCCAATTTGCTGCAAGCGCGCTGCAGTTGTTCCACGAGCAGAAGAGCAGAAGAGCAGAAGAGCAGAATGAGCTACGCAGGGGCTAAAGGGGAGAACTACCTCAAAGTTGGACTAGTGTAGGACCCTACCTACCTAATTCCTTGTCGACTGCCCAATCGTTTTCCATCATCTCCCTGTCACTATCCCTGTTCCCCTAGGTATTTATCCCTGCCACCTAGGATTTTCTGCAAGGGGAATTGACAACCTCTACCATAATACCACCCATCTTGGCCAGGTCCAGGAATCAAGACAAGGATGGAACGGACCCAGCCACTTCAACTTCTGCCGACCGTGCGGCCCGCCACTTCTTGCCTCACTTCACTTTTGTGCTTGCCCAATTCCTTCAATTCTCTCTTTCCCTTGAGGTTTCCAGATAGTGATTCAGATAACTAACTAGTGATAACTAATTATTATCTTTCTTTCTTTCTTTCTCTCTGTCTTTCTCAATGTTCCTCTCTTATCCAAATCCCACTCTCCTACAAACTTCATCCCGCATGCGCATGTGCATTTCCTTTCCTACCTAGTATCTAGTATATTACATGTACGCACTAAGTACATACCCTACTTTCCCTCCCTGGTTCAAAACTTCATATGTTAAACCCTTGTTACTTTTCCAACCTGCGCTCGGATCTCAACTGTTTCTGTTACTACAATCACTTGGTTCGTCGTGAACTCCGTCGTCAACTCCGTTGTATCGTCGTACTGTTATGCAACATTGTAAACTCCATCACTCCAGCCCTTTAGGAGAATGGGCCTCCAGCCTTTTACTGCGCTGTATTGATGTAATACATCACATCGTAGGGTAAAGTACATGAGTATGAGCGGCAGAGTGCAAGAAATTAGAATTGCAAGCCGAGTCACGACATCTGGAGAACGCCATCTTGTCTAAAAGGGCAAGGTCTAGGATGCGAACTACACTATACCACACGTGTATGTATCGTATCTAGTATCTAGTGTAGTCGTATATACTACTAGGTACTGCATATCATTACCCCATCTTGGTTTGAACTTGTCAAAAATCTCGTTTGCCGGGTATTTGCTATCCACATACAGTCCACATACAGTCCACATGCAGTCCACATGCAGTCTCTAAACTCATTAGTACTAGGTACTAGGTTACTAGATAGCTTCTCGCTATACTAGCCCTCCGAAAGCTGCCCGGGATTGCTGATGCTATTCCAGTGTCGATCACTTTTCTCTCATACAATACCTTGATCCTAAGATTGATGAAGGTCCTAGGTACATACCTAGTAGGTGGTAAATCCACACAATCTAGGGTTCGCTTGAGCGTCTGCCCGTCTTTCTTGACGAGATGCCTGCATCTATGTATGCTTTGACCTCACTCGAAGCAAATTTACTCATTGGCAGTACCCCAGACCAAAATGGGACCTACATATGTAGGAAATTGTAACATTAATAGACACTACTATCCCGTTCCCATTTCCCATTGCCTCTTATCTCTTTGAAACGATCAAAATGCTGTTTGCTGATTGACTCGTATCGTGAGTCTCTTTTCGCTTCTAACAGTAATTACTGACAGCAGCCACAGCAGCAGCAGCAGCAACAACAACAGCAACAACATCAACAACTGCTGCGTTAACAGGGTGCACCCCTTGCTTCCTGTCATTAAAGCTTGTTCTTTTTTTTTTAAACATACTTTTGTACAGTACGTAAACTTGGGGGCGTTGACTTTGATCCGTGTCGTCATCTTAAAATCTAGAGTTCGGCTTTCCCAACCTGCACCGACGACTTTGACAAGGCGAACTTGTTTGTTTCACATCTCCCAGCCCACTACGGGCTTGCCAATAATTTTATCGCCCAGCCGCCTTACCACGGTACACACAAAGGACTAGAACGAGGACGAGGACGAGGGACCAATAGCTGAAAGTGCTTCAATATAATCCATTCGACCTCCTCGACTTCTCACTACACGACTTCGGAGGATATTCAGCATCGTGTTTCAAGGCCCGAGAACTGACCAGAACGAAGAAAACCGTGGGCCTATATCTAATTCTAGACTCCCGGTCCATACTTTCTCGTGCTTCAGCTGAGCCCCAAAGTCCGTCTGAGTTTACTCGGAATTACTTGACTGCGTACAGTTGAAACTCAGGGGTATATCCAAGGAACATAGCCTAAGGCCACCCGATATTACGAAAATTGGTGCTCATTCTAGCCCAGGGCCTGGATTCTCGCTCGTCATACTTGAATACTGGCCATCAGGAATTGGTCTCAAATACCATCAGCTTTATTTGACTCTGTTCGACATTTACGCGCAATCAACTTGCCACCCATTGTATGACTCTTCAATGAATACTCGGTATATTCCTGCTTATTACACGAACAATCGGGGGCCTGCATAATCGGTCAGGTCTACCACTACAACGGTTCAGCTGCTGTCTCAACGCCGGGTTAATATCAGGTGACGGCGTGCGACGGTATATGGGTATATTCTCATACATCTCACCACGTGGATCTCCCGAACTCGAAACGGCAACTTATTACAACATCACAGCTATTATAACTTATAAGAGCAAACATGAGTGGGCTCATACCATTATTACTCCCGGCTTCTGCGGGTAGTAAATACAGCTTCGGATCTTCACCTCCTGAGATGGGTAGGAGGGCATCACTTGCAACTCTTTCCCTGCACTCATCTCCACCTCAGTCGCTGGTCCATCGCCGGCAACAGTCCTTGCCAACTATCAGGACATCGAACGTTGGCACCTTCTCCCCGCCGACTTCAATCCCAACCATCCCGTCCACCTCTGTAGAGTGGAAGAAGGCTGTAGACGAGGTAAAGCGCAAATATCTTAACCGCAAATACCGAGCATGCTCGGCAAGGTGTTGTGAGATTTTAGATAACGTTAAGGATACCTCTACAGTCGAGCCTGTCTACCTAATCTACATACACTTTTACGCTGCGTCCTCCTTCGAGCTATGTGCACGGCCTCTATCGTCTTCATCAACTTATCGCACAAGGCTTCTTCGGGATGCACAAACACATTATAACAAGGCTGAGGCATTGATTCAAAACACCGAGGAAGGCATGACGAGGAGGAAAAGATCCGGCTCGATAAGTTCTACTACTTCTAGTCCGCAATCCCCTGGTCTGTCGCCTAGTGTAAGATCATCAATATCAAGCACAACCTTGTCATCACCAAGAACGTCGGTGTGCTCAACCGATGATGGAAACTTATCGAAATCTATGCATAAGGCAGGAGTCAAGGCCAAGAAAAAGGTCTCATTTTCTGGCCTCAATGATCTAATCGAGTTCCAGCCTGAGCCATATATTCGCCCGGACAGCCCTACATTGGGATGGGAAGATGATTTCTTCCCCCAACAGTGCAACACCTCGATCCCGATTTTCCCTGTTCCGAAGAACAAGCCTATAATGTCGCTGCCAATGATGGGATCGGAAGAATCGCCTGAGCCTCAACCGGAAGTGACTGATCATGCCATCACCAAGGATCATCAGTCAGCAGCGGAAGAACCGAATCCTTCAGAGGACAAATTCGACCTCGACGCCTTTTTACAAACCCGATCGAGGAATAAAATCTCTGCGCAGCTTTCCGCCCTGCGGTCGCAAGTCTGCTTCCACCGCGATGGCATCGATGCTCTCCTTGCCGAACCCGAAGATGAACCGCCGGCAACGCCTGCTCTTCCGATAAACCTGGATATCTCAACACCCTCGACGCCTGTGGATTTCATTCCGCCCCGACTGATTCGCGCAAATACCTTACCCATCGAGGCTGAGTCAGATCCCGCAACGCCAGGAACACCGTCCAGCCTTCGGGGAAGCTTTGCCAGCTTACTAGGTCTCGACAGCCCTAGGGCGATTATCCGACCAGCTTCTGTAGCATCAAATGTGCGCTGCACGGACGAGGGCCTCAAGCAGCGAATCGAGCGCCTTCGTGCCGGAGGCTGGCAACGAAAGCGCTTCGATAACCGACGGTACGAAGCTCTACGGGAGCAAGTTCTCTGCGAACTGGGAGCGTGATCACCCACTCAGAGATTATAGTACTGTCGGCCCCCCTATTTTTTTTTCCTATGTACTTTTTGTTTCCCTTTGTTTGTAAATTTACGCCCGATCATGGTTTGCCTACCTACAAACCTGTGTATGAATTCATGGCATCTAGATACCTTTTAGGGAGGGGGGGAGAGAGACCCGGAGTCACGTATGGCACGTGACGGAACGGAGACTGTAAAACTGAACTTTGACATTGTTGTTGTTGTCGTTGTCGTTGTAACCAATATATATATATATACCTGACTATGAGGTCACCCAGAACGATGGAGGAGATGGATTGCGATGCGTTTATTATAACGTGAAACCAGAGAGAAGGAAGGAGAAGGAGAAGGAGAAGGAGAAAAGCGAAACATATTTGCGTATACCTACCTACCTACGTAAGGAGGATGACTCGGTGGTGCCTTTACTGTTTACCTACTACTGTTTTCAAAGCTGTGGAGGAGACGAAGGGATGTGTATTTGTGTACATGTATTTATGTATGTATGTATGTGTGTATATCACTTGTTACTCTTACGGGTCACTGATCCTCATATATATATGTAATATCCTTTCTATAATAAGATTCTTAGTCCTATTATAATATTATAATGACCGAGGAGTACCTAGTACCTACTGAAAGATGCACTGTTTTCTGTGACTAAGTATGTACTGTACGTACGTACCTACATACCTATAGGCAGGTATTTGTAATGAGAACTTGAAGAGCCAGCACCTTTTATTTGTCACCTCAGATCAATATATTGATTGTATTTCTACACTTAGGCGGAGGAGACACGGAGAGAGATAGAGAGACAGACATAGATTCTAGAGGAATAAATATCAAAGTGAAAAGCTCCATCCACACCCATAAACGCCTTACTACGTACATGTAGGTAGTGCATAGAGTAGCTCTATAGAGAAGCTACTTACCCCCTGGGTAGATGTGTAGGTACGTTTTCAAGATTGGTGACTCACGGAAGCAGAAACGAGGAAAAGGGGGTAGGGAGATCAGTTAAGGAGAAAACCAATAAGGATCCGAAAAGCCGCTGCACGAGCCTCCCCCCCTTTCCTCGAGCATAAATCGAGATGCTGGGGGCGAAGCGGACAAATAGCCCTCTCTCCAAAAGTTAACGAACTACTGGCTAGTTCTTGCTTCTTCTCCACCTCGGCTGTAGTATGCATTGCGACGAATCGATTGAGGATGACGCGAAACCAGAGTTTGTGTCCCAACTTTGGTGTCTTCCATTCAGGCTACTCTTCCCACGAATAAAGGGGTATCTCAATTGGGGCACCTTATTTCCATTTACAACCGCGTTTCTCCTAGCCGTGGAAACTCTTCCGCTTTGCTTCCTTTTCTACTTCTTCCTTGACCTTCAACGTTTGTTCCTGTTCCTTCATTTCACGGACTTTGGCGAGCACCACTTCACGGAAGATAGCGCCCTTCATGGCGCGTGTAAGCTTGGCTTTGCCAGTCTCCTCAATGGGCGATGCAGGTTTACCTGCGGGAGACTGGGCCTGGTCGGCCGCAGCTACAGAGTCGGCGGGGAAATCGGGGTTCTCCGGGTCGTCTTCTTGGATCTTGAGTGCTTCGATGCGGTTGGAAAGTTTGATAAGTTCGATGCCACGGCGTAACCGGGCCTTGGCCATGTAGGCTTTGATCTCCGGCAATAAATTGTGATCCGTGGCATTCTCACCACTCAGCCAGATGTGTTTGAGGGCTTGCTGTAGGGATATTAGTATATGTATAGATTGGAAAGTGAAATGGACATGCGCTACACATACCTCACTAGTCCATCGATCATCGGGATTCGCTTGTAGGAGGCGCATAATGAAGTCTTTCGCATCGTCACTGACATCCCTCCAGTACCGCTCATGGAACACTACCTTTCCATTACTACATTCGTCGATCAAATCCTGCAAGTTTTCGGACCGAAAAGGGGAATAACCGCAAAGTAGGGTATAAGTAATGACACCTAAAGACCACATGTCTACGGGTTTGCCGTGACCTTTTTTGAGCATAACCTCTGGTGCTGCGTAACCAAAAGAGCCTGCCATCGTGGTAAGAACTTCGTCCTTGGTATCAAGCATCTTTGCAATGCCAAAGTCTGCTAGGACTAAATCGGAATCGGCGGCTTTGCTCAGGTATAGGAGGTTCTCGGGTTTCAAATCTATAGGTAATTAACATCGTATTGTGACTGCAATAGAAAATCAGTTACCACTCACCTCTGTGTACTACATTTCGGTGATGGAGAAAGTTGACGGCGTCAAGGACCTGCTTGATGGTTTGCGAAGCGTCCTTCTCAGTAAATTTTCCCTGTTCGCAAATTCGGTCGAAGAGCTCACCGCCCGTGGCAAGCTGGGTGACGATGTACCACTTGTCCTATAGGTGTTGATCTTGGTCAGCTGGAATTACGACCAGGTAGAACTAGGGGGCATTACCCTCGACTCGAACCAGTCCACGAAGCGGACGATGTGCGGGTGCTTCAAGCGCTGAAGCATGTCCAATTCATCCCAGACCATTGTCTCGTTTCCTTTTACATTTTTCTTGAGGATGATCTTAATGGCAACCTTGCCACTGGGGCTATCTGCCTCGCGCACAATGCCATATGTACCGGCACCTAAGGTTCGACCAAATTTGTACTTTGATTTCTTCTCGTAGCTTTCCGGCTGGCCTCGAAGGCTACTAAACATAGCGTTGACTGGAGAGAAGATATCGTGGGTTAGTAAAATAAAGTGGTGTTTTCTATTTTATTTGAGTTGAAATAGCGTTCCACGCTTTGGCGAGTCCGAATTCAGGAACTGAAACAAGTGAGGAAACGGGATATAGAATCAATACTATGTATGTACGTATGTATGTATGATATGATCGATTTAGGGATGGCTGCTTGGAGGCGTCTTTTTTGTTTCTTTCCGAGAAAAAAAAAAGGGAAAGGGAGAGAGGGGGAAAGCCAATGGCTTCATAGGCATAAACAGCTATACCTAGTAGGTATACCTGGTGAGCAAGTATACCTGGTAGGTATAGCTTGTCTCAAGTTCTCTCAACTATCCTAGGTAGGTATCTAGCCTAGTATTATGTATATATGTAGTATAGCATTGAACATTGAACTTACAACTCATGGCGACGTGGGGTAAACCGCAGAAGCAAGGAATGGTGGGCGAGAATGAGGGGCTATGTTTCTTCTTTTCTTGGTTTTCTTGATTCGGTCGCCTACCAAGGCACGGGATTTCCGCCGGGGTTTCGTTAGATCGAAAATGAAATAAATCAAAAGAATATTAGAAGGTATCGATATCGATATCGATCAATATGCTTGCTTCAATGTTGTTCAAGGTTAAATAAAAAGACAAGGCTACCCTGGGTTTTAGGTAGTAACTCTGCAAGTATGTATGTATGCATGTACGTATGGAGGTTTAGGTATGAAGGAGGAAGGAAGATCCAGATGATTGAAATCGAGAGTTTAGGTTTCGAGATAAGAAATATCAACGATTCGTATCCAAAGAGAAAAGGCTATATTTAGCCTCAGCTGGCCCTGCTGCCCGTTCTTGTCGCTATCGCTAGTAGTTTTCGACAGGAAGAAATGATGATGACTATTCTATTAACCTGTAGGGAAGTTAGAAACAGGCAATGGTTTCGTTATGTACGTGAGAGTTGAATAGGTGTATTGGGCGTGAAAACGAGTTGATGGCTGTTGACGGTCGGCGGTACTTTCAAGATGTACATAACTATCATTCAATCATTGATTGATGTATGTATCATAACATTGAATGTGGTACGGTCAGGACTGCCAGGTACATATTATGTACTCATTACGCTGTAATATGCATGTATACATACCTGGGAGGTACGTAAGATGAGGGGTACGTATTTCGCTGTGTAGCTCCACGGTGGGTTTAATACATAGATGGATCCCTCCTTCGTATTATTACGGTATTTTATTAAGGCAGCTGGGCAGCATTGGATTTTGATCGGCCTAGCTTGAGTTCGGAGCGAAGAATCGTTTCGATGTTCTTTTCAAATACTGTTGTATAGGTATATAGGTAACTACTAGTAACAGTAGCTTTTGAAATCGAAGGTAAGATGCCAGATGCTGTCAGAGTCGGAACTGAGTATGAATACTGCAGTGCTTATGGATAGATAAGTATGTATGTACAATACATATAGACGATCATAAGATGATTAAAGGGATATCTTGGGATCAATATATGTAGGCTTAGCGCTGAGGTAACACCTCCTTTAAACCATCTCACCGGGTTAGGTATCTGTAGCCCATACCCATAACAAAAGCCTTGCTGGGTGCCTGTACTATACCGTATTGAATTCTCCCTATGGTATTAAAGTTGCGGGTGCTTGTAAATGAGGGCGGCCTACTGTGTACGCTTTCATCAATATTCGGCCAAGCTCAGCCGCAACACTGGGGCAGCCCAATCACCTGTTGCCAGCGAGGTGGATGACTATTTGAATTACCTTTACATACATAAATATGAAGGGTCTAGTAGAAGTGTAGGTAGGTATATACAGATGTATATGGATGGATTTCGGAAAAGCGGCTGATACATGTACTTTTCAATGTTAAAGCTACCTACACTGATCCTACAGGAATGGTTTCTTACACAGTGAATTGCCTCCATAACGATTGATCTGAGGCTGAGCATTCCAATATATTCCGTCCTAGCGTATACTAAGTAGCGTACTACTGATAGTATCTGCTAGGATAGCTACAATATATACCTACCTACTAGGTAATAGGTAACATTAAAGGTCGAAAGCCCAACCGCTAAGGGTGGGCTGTGTGAAGAGGCTGTGTGGTAGGCACTGGGTAAACCTAGTATTATCTTAGACCTACATCCAGACCATTATGAAGATTGAAGATAAAAGATACTGGAGAGCGAGAACATTGAAACTGTAAATACTAAATACAAGCATCTTCACTTATCGATACCGGGCTGCATACCTTATGTAAACACACACAGCAGTAAGTAAGTATGGTTCGTTACATAACTCAGACTAGAACATTTGAACTTTACATTACCAACGTCACACAGTTACATATGTAACTTCAATATACATATGTAGTCATATATACTCGACTGGTGCATAGCGTAAATGCATGTACTTTACGTAGGGAATACTGTTATACATGTGTATTCCTTCAATGTTCTTGTTGTCGACTCAATCGGCTAGTTATGTAGACTGGAGCTTGTTATTTAGTTATGTACTAGGAACTTATGGATCTACTACGTAGTAGCGTCCTTCATGATTTCCATGTATGGTTTGTGTCTGCATGTCAATGGTTTGATGCTGTTAGGTATTAATACTAGTATCGTGATATACATACCTAGTAGTTACCTGGAATCCTGGATACCTACATAAGGTACTGTAGGTACTTATATACATCCATGGATGCTAAGCTTTTTAAATCACCCCGCTGTCTACATATGTGCTACATATAGGCATGTATATACGTAAATGTAGGTACTTACACTCTTATTTATCACTTCTAACACTTCAAATGTTCAAATGTTCACTTAACACGCTATTCTAATACTTAACCACTTACCAACTCTGGATAGGCCACCTGCTTTCTCCCAACATTATACATCCTGGGAGTCTTATTCAAGTTCTCAACTACATCTGACCGTTGTACATTTGTTCAGCCTACTTTGAAGCGTGCTTAGATTTCAGTAAGCACCTCGTGCCTGAAATAGGCGGTTATTCCAACATCTGGGACTGCCTTGCAGGGAACACGAAATTACACGCGCCACCCACTCCTCCAACCTGCTACTATCCAACATCCGCTCATTCATACTACTCTGCGCGCCCAACCCTGCCCTACAAAGATGGCCAACTTGGGCCCCAAGAGGTTGACCAAGGAGCTAGCTAAGGTAAGCCCGTCTCTGATATAAGCTGTGTATTAACCTTTCGGTCGCTGACTAGACATCCATTGATCCATAGATCTCCAATAGCTTACCTCCTGGCATTGCCTTGGTCTCGGCGGATAACCTAGAAGAATGGCAACTTGACATCAAAGTACTTGATCAGAATCCTATCTACATAGGTCAAATCTATCGGCTGAAGTTCAAGTTCAACAATGCGTATCCCATCGGTATATGATCCCCGCTACTCGTGAAACCCGAAACAGTGAATTAATAGGTGTATGACAGAGCCTCCCGAAGTAACATTCGTCAAGCTGGATGATCGACCAATACCTATGCACCCCCATATCTATTCGAATGGGATTATATGCCTTGACCTTCTAGGAACGCAAGGATGGAGCCCAGTTCAAAATGTGGAGAGCGTGTGCATGAGCATCCAGAGCATGTTGACAGGAAACACCAAGAACGAGCGACCGCCTGGCGACGAGGACTTTGTGCGCGGAAACCGCCTGCGGCCCAGAGACATCGACTTCTACTATCACGATAACACCGTATAGAAGCATTGTGTCTTGCGCATTAACACAGGCTCCAAGGTAGAACATAACCATTGCAATACTGCTTGCTGGTACTGGTGCTTATAATTACTGCATTGCGGCGCCAAACCTGATATCGATATATCGATACATTTCCTTTTCCATCTGCATGGTGGCTACTTGGGCTAAATTTTCGAGGGAAAATGGAGTTGAACACCTACGGGTGAAGGAGATTCATCGTCATTATCATCATCATCAAAAGATGCGGAGTTCTGAACGGTCAAGAGCAGCCCCATAAGGCTGACATGCGCGTTGCGCAGGTAGGCTGTGTGTGATTTTCATGTGATTGTCAAGCAACATCAGTGCTGGGAGCCGATGCTCTCTGCGGGGTGGTTTCTGCAATTGTATTTACTTGCTCAGGACGAATATGCCTAATATGCCTCTATGTCAACACTCCCATTCTGTAATCAAGACGCAAATGGAACTGTGAATAATCAACTTATCTTGGCAACTACATACATATGAGCACCTACATACTACCTACTATGTAACCGGTTAGGAGTTTCCAACCCCCCTTAAGTTTGAGGGAGGCATCCACATCCATCCCTTTCGTGTCTATTTTCAGTAGGTTACCAACGTGGATATTCCATCTACTACTAGTAGTAGTATGTACGCCCATTCACACATATGTTTATCGTAGGTCACCCACCGCAAGTGATACATATGATACATATGATACATCCATAGATATCATGCATATTTCAATGTTCATTGTAATATATTAATATATTAAATATATTATGGATCTCTAGACCCTAGATCGATAAGCTTAGCTACCTTATGTACAATAACTATGTACAAGTATTATATCAATGCGGAGCTGTGACGTAGCATCTGCACTTATCCTACTGATTCCTACATACATTCATGTTCATCTCCACTTACGCCTCTAACCCTAAATAGCTTAATCTATTCACATGCTTAAACCCGCCCATACTCGCTTAAGATCATATACTACGCCGTATGTACATAGATAGCTACCTATATATGTAGATACTAGGTACATATACAATAACCTTCCATCATGCATGAATGTTGTCTTATCGATCATTGATGCATGTGTCCCCCAAGCTCATTTCTACATTTGTACATTTAAACATACATATTAGGTATCTAACATAGCACTGTACCTAGTATATAGACAGTTTCAACGTTGAAGTTCGCGTCTTTTTCAAAGTCTTCTGCTTCACAGACTCGTGCGCGAACCTTTCCTCTTCACACACATTTCTTTTCCCTTGGGAGCACCACTCCCATGAAGAGCTCATAATGGCTCCTCATGTGGGGTTTGATGCGGAACAGATCAGAGACAAGGCTCGCAAGGACCTCCTCTACCTCCTCGAAGGCGTAAGTAAGACTGCCTTAGAGAGCTCTGTCTTTTTGTCCAGATATCTGGCATTAACATATCATAATTAGGTTCGCGGAAAAAAGAATCTCATCATTGAACGTAGCCTGGCTGGCCCGATTGGCGTCGTAGTCAAAGTATCAACCTTGCAAGATTATGGCGTCGACAAGTTCTTCTTTCTGGAAAACAACAATGCCGACACGAGCCAACGCAATGTTGTTTTTATGGCACGGGGCGAATGCGCCCGCCATGCTCAGTCTATAGCAGGTCCGTTGGTCCTCTCAGCTTCCCTTTCAATCTCATATGTTGTCCTTGACACGAAACTGCGCGGTTGTTGGTATACATGATGAATCCATTCAGCCTTCCTAATTCAAAACATCGGTCAATAATACTTAGGGGAAAGATCTGACGAGAACCGACGATGGTGTCTCATGCGCCCTCATAGTGTGCTAACATATGACATAGAGCAGATCAAGCGATTACAACGCGAAAGCCAGAGCGGTCACGAATTCCACGTTTTCTGGGTGCCCCGCCGCACTCTGGTGTCCGACAAGCTTCTAGAAGAGGCTGGCGTGCTAGGCGATGTCAACGTAGCGGAACTGCCGCTGTACTTCTTCCCCTTGGAGCGAGATGTTCTATCATTGGAGCTCGAAAACTCCTTTCAAGACCTCTTTCTGTTCAAGGATACAACGCCGACATTTCTTATGGCGAAAGCGTTGATGGGCATTCAGTCAAAACATGGCCTCTTCCCTCGTGTCATTGGTAAAGGCGACAATGCAAAGCGCGTGGCCGAACTCCTCACTAGGATGCGACAAGAAATACTGGCCGGAGAGGACGCCAGCGAGGGAACCAGGTCTGGACTGACTCCAAGCAACACTATAGAAAGTGTCATCATAATTGACCGCGAAGTGGACTTTGTAACGCCTTTGCTTACCCAGCTAACTTACGAAGGACTAATTGACGAAGTCTGGGGGATTCAGAATAATCAAACCGATGTTGATTCTACTATTGTAGGAGCTCCGCCACAAGCCGCATCTCAAAGTACAGCATCGGCTACTCCGCCAGCTGGTGCGACCTCACGCAAGCGCAAAATCCAACTCGATTCCTCGGATAAATTATACGAAGGACTCCGCGATGCCAACTTTGCAATTGTTGGTACACTACTCAATAAGGTTGCGCGAAGACTACAGAGCGATTATGACAGCCGACACACCTCTAAGACGACTGCTGAACTGAAGGATTTCGTGAAGAAACTACCTGGGTATCAAACTGAGCATCAAAGCTTGAAGGTCCACACGGGGCTTGCCGAAGACATCATGAAGCACACGCGAAAAGACCAGTTCAGCCGCATGCTGGAAGCCCAACAAAATCTTGCTGCAGGTGCCGATCCAAGCTCACAAAATGATGCTATCGAAGAGTTGATTGCAAGGGATGTACCTCTGCGAGATATCCTTAGGCTCCTCTGCATATACTCGTGTATATCTGGTGGGATCAAGTCAAAGGACTTTGACCAATTCAGACGCCTCGTCCTGGAAGGCTATGGCTACCAGCATATTTTGACCTTGCACAATCTAGAAAAGCTGCAGCTATTTTTATCCCGTGCCTCGCCTATGGCAAGCATGATTCCCATGCCGGGCTCGGGAACGGCAACCGGGTCCAAGACTAATTACACCTACCTACGAAAACAGCTTCGCCTTATCGTTGACGAGGTCAATGAGCACGACCCAAATGATATTGCTTATGTCTATAGTGGCTATGCGCCGCTTTCTATACGGCTAGTACAGTGCATACTACAGAAACAATACCTCCTCTCCATCACCCGTGGCAGCGGAGCGACGGGCGCTGGCACAGCTTCTAGCAGTGGCGCTCCAGGGTGGCGGGGGTTCGAAGAGGCCATCAAACATGTACGAGGCCAGGCATTTGATGAACTACAAAAGGGCGAGGATAAAGCAGTTAAGGCACGTGCCTTGTTGTCCGGAGGGGGTGATAAGAAGACAGTGTTTGTCGTGTTCGTAGGGGGTATCACCTTTACCGAGATCGCGGCGCTACGGTTTATCGCGAAGAAGGAAGAAGGTCGGTTTTGAGTCCATTCCCTAGTAGTATTATTATCTTCTAGGTTGACTAACATCGCATCTCTAGCCCGGAGGAACATTGTTATCTGCACGACATCAATCATTAGCGGAAATAAGATGATGGACGCTGCTGTAGAGGGCAACACTTTTGTACGGGAGCCACCTAAACCTACCACTTCGTCCACCACTTAGTAGCACAGCCTACCTCGAGCTACTTTATATGCGCCATCGGCCAATATGATGGCAGCAATTTCGACAAAGACGTGTTCATATCTTCTATTAGAATGCTCTACTTATACTTCTTGGTAGGTTCAAACATGAAAGAACATAAGCATGACGATAGACAATAACAGAGCCCCTATTGAACACGGCATAGTGAGATGGTAGATATAAGATGTATTCAGTGAGAAAGATGGCAACTCGTGTCCAAACCGCTCAAGTATTTGGTAGGCAAGTAAGAGAGGTGGGTGGGTATGAATTATAGGCGAATTTAGTTACCTACTAAGTTGTCGTAGCTGTACAAATGATAGGTCTGGATAAAGGATGCTGTACACGCATATAATAGCAGAATGATGAATTTGCGTGAGCATCGAGTATAGTTGTACTGTACAACATTTGAACATTCCAAACACTGAATGAACCTCGATTGTTCAAAACTCAGATATGTAATGTGCATACACGTATGTAAATGTACAGTACCTAGTTATACCTAGTAAGCTTATCACGTGCTTTAGTAGTACCGGAGCACCGGCCTCCTCTAAGGATTGATCAATACATTGGATTAGCTAGGTAGTGGATCAGTGGGACCATTTGATGTAGCAGGAGCTTCACTAATAATTATGTACATACATAGTTACTACCTAGGTATCTAGTTACTACTAACATCTCGAATCCATGATACTACATAGTACATACATACATCAATGTACATACATAACATACCCCAGGGCCTCTTCAAAGTTCTCTATTCCATTTACATACATGTAGTTATGTATTACTACAGTCCCAATCTTAAACCAAACCCTGCCCCCTCGAATTGGGCATATTATCAGCACTGAGATACTTTTCAGCATTAAACCATTTCGTGGTTCTTTTTTTTTCTTTTTTTTTTAAAAAAAAAAACAGATAAGAATAAAGAATTAAAAGAAAACCCACCAATTATAGGAACCCTTCATCCAGTGCTTCATTGACATCCACACCCTGCTAAAACCATATACTCGTCTTGCGATTGAGACGGACAATTCAATCATTGATTGGAATTGGTCGAGATCTACATTTTCATAAAGGTACAGTATTCTTTATGCTTACTCCCCACTGTGCATGATCATTCGATACTTTTGATAAATCTCCAAACCCCATATACATACCCCCATATGAGGCGAGCGTATAAAAAAAAAGACTGACAAGACTCCTTAGTAGAGCGTCAGAATCGATAGACCGAGAGATCGAGAGATCCAAAAGCCCAGGTTATCGGCCACTTACAATTGTTGGCATGAACAACTCATGGACGCTTAGGTACCTAACCTAGTATAATCTACTATAACCTACGGCCAAGTCTGCGCAGATATTTGATATATTCAATTCAATGAGAGTCTTAGCCAAACTCATCATACGCGATTCCCGGACGAACTCGTTCATATCCATATAATCGATGCAACCGTACATCGGTGGCCACCTCGGGATCTGGGTCTGCTAGCTATGAGAAGCACTCAGGGAGCCTTGGTGGAGGAGGGTAATTGCATCGGGTCAGGACCTCTAATGAATTTGGAGGAATTGGATCATCATCTAGAATCGATTCTTGCCTCCTCGGCGGATATCACCAAAACTCTGCCTTCCGCCCTCCTTGCGGATTCTTATATTTCTTACAACAACGAATCAACTACTTCGAGAGACACTCCTAAGACGGAATCCGAAATCATTGTGCGAATTGACAGCATGGATGCCGATATACAGAATACCGTCTCCCTTGTGCCAGTATCACAACAGGGTTCTACGTAAGTCCTTTCATGTGATATACCCTAAATCATAGCTCCCTATCGCCCCCTATTGTCTTGTCCCGTCCCCGTCTCGTCCTAAACATCCAAGCAGGCCCCACCAGGATCAATCAACTCCGAAGGACTCAAAACTCCTCGGTCCTCATGGAGGAGATCCTAGAATTTCATTCGAGTCATCAGCGTCAGCCCTCTCAGAACCATCAGACTTGACATCCTCCCATTCGTCGTCGCCCTCAAGTAAAGCGACGACGCCAGTTGATATGGATGGGGTGAAGGAACTGGCGACAGTACGCTCAGGCATGACTACAGCCCCTAGAACACCACCGAGAAGGCGAACCTTCGATGTGCGACCACGTGTGTCTATCCCAACAGACATCACTCCTTATGACTATGCCAATCAATGCATAGCCGCAGCCGAGTCCTCTAGACTAAATCCATATGGACTACATCAGGATGAATACTTGATGCTAAGGGACCATATTAGTCATGCTCAGGTGACTACCTACCTGAACATCCGAAACGGAATTCTACGACTATGGCTGAACAACCCACGAATCGGAGTCTCTCGGGAAGAGGCTCTCGGTTGCGCTAAAGATACGAAATGGTTTGATGCCGCAAGTGTGTGTTATGATTGGCTCGTCCGCTCGGGATATATCAATTTCGGCTGCGCGGATATGCCATCGACGAAGAAAAGGTCGAGAAAAAGCCCGACCAAGAAGGCAAAGACCATAGTTGTAATTGGTGCAGGTATGGCTGGACTTGGATGTGCGAGACAGTTGGAGACCTTGTTCCAACAGTATGCTGAACGATTTCAAGACTCGGAAGAGGAAATCCCGAAAGTGATTGTCCTTGAAGGTCGAGGTCGCCTAGGCGGTCGTGTCTACTCACGTGCACTAGATGGTAGTAGAAGTCAGCATCTCATAGGATTCCAAGGTCGCCGCCACAGTGTTGAGTGTGGCGGCATGATTATCACCGGATTTGAGCGAGGCAATCCGTTGAATGTTCTAGTCAGAGGACAAATGGCCTTGCCATATTACCCCTTACGACCAGACACCACCCTTTACGACTCAAATGGCAAGGCTGTTGACGAAAGGAGGGATCGCTTAGTTGAGAAGCTGTACAACGACTGCCTCGAGCGAGTAAGCGACTACAAGTTTAAGAACCCACCGTCCAAACTCATCGAAGGTAACAAGGATCTGATAGACGAAGGTCGGGATAGCTCGTCGGAAGGTCAGAAGACAATCGCCCAGATTGAAGAAGAAATGGCCGCCCTCCCACAAGCACCACCAATCTCACAACAAAGCTTAGGGCCTCAAGTCGACCTCGTCCCCGTCTCTACAGATAGGGCGACTGGCAAAACGCACGCTGAACCGGGAACTCCTGCGGCCATCAAAGCGGCTTACAAGGCGCGTTTGATGGGTTGGGCACTTAAAGACCATGTGACTGAGGACTCTGACTTGGATCTCGACGCCGCAGCCAACGCCCCCGGTGCCACCCTTGGCTCTGTCATGGATGAGGCGATCACACAGTACAAAGGCATCGTCGACCTCACTCCTCAAGACTTCAGACTTATGAACTGGCATGTAGCCAATCTTGAATATAGCAATGCCACAAATTACAACCAACTCAGCATTGGCGGTTGGGATATTGATGCCGGCAACGAATGGGAGGGTAAACACACAATGGTCGTCGGAGGCTATCAAGCTGTTCCATGGGGTCTAGCGAATGCACCATCGCTGCTAGACGTTCGAAGAAATACTGATGTCAAACGAATATTCTACGATCCTGATGGCTTGAGAGCTGCATGTGTCGAATGCGAAAACGGATTTACTATTGCTGCCGATTACGTCGTTTCCACCATTCCTCTCGGTGTTTTGAAGCATGGCAATGTCGAATTCAACCCCCCTTTACCCGAGTCTAAAACGGGAGCCATCAGTCGCTTAGGCTATGGCATCTTGAACAAAATCATACTTGTCTATTCGGAAGCCTTTTGGGATACCAGTAAGGATATATTTGGTTGTCTTCGCACACCAACCTCACGCCACAGCACCAAGCAGGCCGATTACGCCTCTCAGCGTGGGCGGTGTTTTCAATGGTTCAATGTATCCAACACTAGCGGAATTCCAGTTCTCATCGGTTTGATGGCGGGAGATGCCGGCTTTGATACTGAACATACTAAGAATGATGAGCTTGTTGCCGAAGCTACCGAGGTCCTTCGGGGGGTGTACGGTGCTAAAGTTCCCTATCCGGTCCATTCCATCATCACACGCTGGGGTTCTGACAAGTTCGCTCGAGGATCCTATTCTTCAGCCAGTCCTTCGATGCGTCCCGATGATTACCAAACAATGGCCAAGCCCGTTGGGAATCTATTCTTTGCAGGTGAGCACACAACCGAGACACACCCTGCCACAGTGCATGGGGCCTACTTATCTGGGTTGCGCGCCGCTGCGGAAGTGATAGACACCATGCTCGGCCCTATCGATATTCCCCACCCGCTTGTGCCGCAGAAAGAATCCATGTTCTCCTCTCAAGGCGTGAAGCGAAAGGAGCGTGGCGATTCATCAAACTCTGTCTCACCGAAATCCAGTAAGCAAGCTCGTGTTGATGCTCACGAGGCTGCAGTCTGGCAGCACATCGTTGCGCAAATTGGTGAACGGCCTTGGCAACCTCGCAAAGTTGCAAGCAATGCCTATCTCCTGTACAGTAAGGCATTCTTTGAGATGGCACGTAAGCGTTGCGAAGAAGGCCGTCGCGCTGGTAAGGGTAAGCCAGCCCCGAATGAAGTCCGGGTAATGACGAGCAAAATGTGGAAGGAAGCATCAGAGGAAGAACGAAAGCCTTTTGAAGACCAAGCAGCCGAACTGAAGCGGGATTATAACGAATCGCTGAGGGTCTGGGCTGAAAAAACCCAAGAGTGGGATCAACAATCTAACGCGCTCAGAAAGGAGTATGAAGAGAGTCATAAAACCATATCGGAGGACAAGGGAAGCCCTACTAGTAATCCTTCCAGTGAGGCCAGGAGGGAGAGGAGACGAGCAAAGGTCAGCAACTATGCTGAAAGTGAAAAAAGTGATATCGAACATGAAGAGTAAGGCCCAGTCACCTGGGTAGTCCTTGGATTCTTACAAACTCGAGGACATATATCTAGGCAGGAACCAAGAAGTGTACAAAAGTATAGGAGGCTGGCCTAGATGAAGGCATGTATAAGGATTGATCACATTGCGGATGACATTGGCGTATAGGGCTTTGCATCGATCGGGAGTAGTCATCAGAGGGGGAGAGGCGTTGAGGCAAGTGTATATGAAGGGGACTCTTCGCATTGCATCTTTTCGTAAACGGCCTGTGCTCCGCACATATAGCAGGTCTGCTCTTGCAAATACATTGTTAATTATGAATGAAATACATTTGGTACTCTTTATATATCGTAGTGTGTATCTTCGTGATATGTGGAGTCTTCCTCTGTAACCCCCCCCCCCCCCCAGCCTCGTCGATTCTTCCTCCCAGTACTCTATAAAAGTATGGAGGCTTGTAGCACGAGTATCTACCTAGGTGCCTATATACCCAAGGTAGCTAGCTAACCAGCATAGCCCACACGCAACAATGTTGGTTGGTGATGAACTGCCCTAGTAGACAAGAAGACAAGAGAACAATACAGCCCCGGGGAGGGAGGCAAATATTCAAGTTGAACTAACGACTCCTGTTGCCAACACGCTTCCCCTATAGAGTTTGCTTGCTTGCTTGCTTGCTCGCGAAGCAATGCTTTCAGCATGTCGATTTAGGTACTGTCTAGCCTCTTTGCGTGTTGGCGGGGAGTAGGAGGGAAGAGGGGAATATGGTGTGAATCTGGAACTTACATACCTAAGGTTAGCTAGCTAGCTAGCTAGCTATATGTCTACCTAGGCAGGTTAAGCGGTAGCTTGCTTTGCGATAGGCGGAGATGATGATGATGATGATGATGATGATGAGTTGGCTGCTTCCGAATACCGGGTCTGTTGGCCTGATTAAAACCAGGTAGATAGAACAGGGACCTTGGAAGTTTAACGGAACGTTGCTGGTTTGCCCTTGAGTAGGTGTATAAGTAGCTAAGTATGAAACCACCAGGTTGGATCGCCAGCTTAAACGTTCATTACGAGTAATATGTGTTTGTCAGTTGCACATAACATCCAACATGAGGGCTGCGGTACTGCCTAGAAACCTATAAAGTACCTAGGGTAGGTAGGTATACGAGTTGAGAATATTATACCTGGTGTTGTGGTCACGTTCCTGCCTACCTACCTAGCTGTGATAAGACCTTATATCAAGGGGAAGCTTTGGAGATAACGTTTAGACGTGTAGAACTGAGGAATTCATTTTTATTGAGGAATTGGTACATCCAGGGCGATAGCGCCGAGGTTTGGCTTAGGGGGTACTTTGATACAAAGAGAAGATGCCATTTGGAATGATTTCACCACCCTTCATCTACCATCTATTTTTCTATCGACCGCTTTCTACATGTCCTCCGAGGCGGTGGCACCGGTGATAATTTCAACCAGCTCGCCAGTAATGACGGCTTGACGGGTTCGGTTGAAGAGAATCTGGTATTTGTTGATCATCTCACCAGCGTTCTTGGAGGCGTTCTTTAAGGAAGGGTTAGTAACGAGACCCAAACGCAGGGTAGGACTTCTTTAAAGGGGTTAAAACTGGGGTTAAAACTTACGTCCATGGCCTGTTGTCGGGCAGAGATCTCGCAAGCGTGACCCTCAGCCAAAGCCCAGTAGAGAGAGTTAGCTAGGGAATATTCGCGCAAGTTGGAGAGTAGCTCCTCGTCAACCTCGAAGGCAGAGAAGTTGGGAGAGTTGACAATGGCCTCTACGGAGAAGGCTTCGACAACAACGGGTTCGTAGCTAGTGGCATTGAGGAACTTGTTGTGGACGATCTTGATATCGGAGTACTCAGTGGGAAGTTGCGTGACCTGGTCAGCGATGGCTTGGGCGTCGGCAAAGGTTGGCACCTCCTTTCCAATATTGGCAAAGCTAAGAACAACGTCCTTGGCATTGGTACGACTCAGCTGGGCCCTGGACTTCTCACCGATCAAGACGAGGTCGGCGGGCTGCTTGTCGGGGCCGAGGTGACGGCGCATGTAGCGGGAGAGACCGGAGTGAACACCACCGCAAAGACCCTTGTCAGAGCTGCAGACAATGTACAAAACCTTCTTTCCCTCACCCTCGAGAGGCTTGGTCTCAGCAGATTCGAAGACGGTGTTGGACGTTTGACCGTACTTTCGGGAGTCGTTCATGGCACGTTGGGCGCGGGCCAGCTTAGTAGAAGCGACAATTTTCATGGTCTTGGTGATCTTTTCAATGTTGCGAATCGACTTTAGACGGCCCTCGATTTCTCGCAAAGTAGCGTAGCCGGCTGCTGCTCCATTGTTGGCGGTACTACACAAGAATACCCAATCAGTTAGTATTTTCTCATAATATACTTGTATACTTGCTATATTGCAAGTACTGTATGAATTGCCTCATGGCATTGTATTATATCATCTCATCCGACGTACCGAGCAGGAATAACCGCAGCTCCAGCTCTCAGAGCCGGTCTTGCTGCCCTAGAAAGCATTTTGAAGGAGTTTACTAGGGTTATTTCTGTGACCTAAGCTTTCCGACGAGTTGATTGCGATGCGACACGCAATCAATTGGTGAGTCGGATCAAGAATATTGGGATGACTCGGATGAGGTTCAAGAGGATTAACGTAAAATGCATAAAATGCGTTAAATGCGTTAAATGTTCTAAATCCCACCAAAAGCTTCAAGGTTTCCTCTTTCTCCACTGGGGCACTGGGCAGATTCCTTTCCGTCAACCCGGTTAATTTTCGGCTTAAGTAAGTACGGCGTAAGTACATCTTTTAAACTTTTCATGTGGTCAGTGCACCTGTACTAGCTGATCGCGTCCCAAGTTAATATGTACTAGGTATACAGTAACTACCTTAACGTTAAAACCCACTTCGTAAAAACCGTATATATACCACATTTATACCGCTTATACCAAAATACCTCTCAAAAAAAGTTAAGGAAATAGATAGGTTATATTTTAAAACGTTTTAAATCAAATAAAACGTTTTATTAATTTTAAACGCATTTAATTAAAAGCGGTATTTTTTTTACAAGCGATATTTAAATAACAACAATAACTTTTTAATTAAACGGTAATAAATTAATTACTATTCCTTACATATTCCTTTTTTACGAAAAATTAAATATTTACATATTAAGTTATATGCATATATCGCATGTCGCATATTCCTATATCCGATATTTTATATTATATCTTATTTTTCATATTTTATTTTTTATATTAAATTTATTATTTTTTTTTTTTTTATTATTTTTTTTTATTTAAAGATATTTTAAAATTTTTACATATATATTAAATTAAACCATAAACTTATAAATTAATTTACGAATTTTACGGATTTTATTATTACGTTATAAGGCATTTATTTATTATTTACGCGCGCATGTAAATAATTTAATTATTTTAATATAAAAGGGTATTATGGGCGGCTTAAAATAAACATTAACATTAAATAAAAAAGCCGGCATTATTAAAAAAACCGGCACCATTAAAAGTGCTAATATCATTAAAAGGTATATACACTTTTTTAAAGGTTTTAATAATTAAAAAAGTTTTAAAAAGTTAAACGTGTTAAAAAAGCAGCGGTATATATATTAATATTTATTTTTAAAGCTATATATTTACGGCTTTTTTAAGCTTTTTAATATATTTACGGCTTTATTTTTAAGAATTAAATATATACTATTTATTTAAATAAAACGTTTAAATTTAATAAAATATTTTAAATAAAAATAATAAAAATATTAATTTATTTAAAAGTTGTTTAATATTTTAATATTTTGAAATAAATACGATTTTATGAAATTAAAAAGTATATTTACGGTGGATAATTGCAAGCGGAATATATGCGGTAAACGCGAACCCCTTATACTCCTTTATATAATTTAAGCGTTTCTAAGATTAAAAAAAGCGTTATTCTATTAATACAACCCATTTCTTCGTATTATTTTTCTTTATTATGTATTATCTAATCACTCTTTACGCGCACAGATCATATTCAGTATAATACCTATTATGTACATACTTTAGATGTATATCCCTAGTAAATTACATATTTTCGATACGCAGTGACTGTTATAAGCATACATATGTAATTCGGACTTCTTGTTGCCGTCCTACTAACTATCTTCTTTCGACTTAGCCCCAACCCAAACAACCAATCTTTTTTTTTAACAGGGATCCATAAATGATTCTTTTGGAATTCCTTCACTACCACTACCAAAAATTCCCTTTCTCAGCTTTCTCAGTGCCACTGTACCTACTAACTATGCTATTGTACCTACCAGGTCCTACCTATTACATAGTAGTAGCGTAAGATCCTGGACACATAGCCCTGAAAGTGGTAAGAGCACCTACAAATTTCAGCAACAATATCGTTGACCTTTTGAAGTTGAAGCCCTACATAATTTCTTACACGCACGCCTACATACTTGTACTGTACTGTATTTGTACAATACAATCCATCCATGATACATACATACGCCTTGCCTACCTTACACGTAGCAGCAGCAGCAGCAGCAGCAGCAGCAGCAGCAACAACAACATTGAACAACAAGCAAGCAGGTGACATTCTTTACTTTACATTTCATTTTTTACATTCTTGAAATTCCTAGGATCAACCATTCATTCATTCATCCATTCATTCATTCATACTTACATAACTAGTTACCCTCTAACCATCCACGTTCCCTCGATCCTACCTAGTACACTGTACCCACTATTCAGGACAATAGTCGACCAATAGGAGCCGCAGCGGACTCAACTGTGGTCAACTGTGGCTAGCGGGCTAGACTTACTTACAGTGAAGCCTTCTTTTCCAAGTCCTCACGTTCGTCGTCTCTCTCTCTTGAACCTTTTTTTCCCCCTTCTCAAATCTCACCATCTCTTCCTTCTACTCACTTTACTTACTTGCCTGTCCCCTTCATCTTATAGATCAGGGTGGTGCACTACGGTGTATTCCACCCTTCTTCCACTCCCAACTTCAACAAATCCTACTTATAAATCCTACTTTTGCGCTTCCCTCAATCGCATTTCCGATTCAAGAGTTATTTACGAACAAATTCCCTTTCTTGTTCTTCGTCTTCCTACACTCCTCTTCCACTTGAACACCTGATCCCAACTCCCATCCCGACCTTACTTGTTCACCATGTCTTCTGATTATTCCGACGACGATATGCCTCTAGCTCGCACCAACGGTCAGCGTAAGTTATCTTCCAGTATTATTTCCACTAGCCGACTTTCCCACTTGGTCTCTTTGTTCCCGTTTTCCGTCACTATTTCGGCATGTCAGATTCACGCCTGCTCTCTCTCTCTCTCACAACACTGACGTGGTCTCTTTCTCTCTCTCTCTCTCTCTCCACGCATACATATACTCAATACACTCGAGACTACATTCCCTTTCATTATTTTTTATTCTTTTTTTCTTTGTTTGTCTTGCACACTCAATGACACTAACACGTAATCCAATACTAGTCTCAGCCTCAACTGTTCGCAAGACCGAAGACGATGCTATGGATGGCCGAAAAGTCAAGCCCAAGCCTAACCCCGTCTCTATTCGAAATGGACCGGTCGATACCGACGCGTCTCCCCAAGCGAATGGCAATGGAAAGCGCAAGTCGCGATCCTCCACCAACCACATAAACTATAAGGACGGATCCGAGTCTGAAGATGGTCGATTGGTATGTTTGATTTCCTTTTGAAGTGGATTGGTTGCAAAGAGTTGGTTAGAAGAGCTGGGTTGCCCGTACTAACTTGCTTGTTAGGCGAAGCGCCACAAGAAGGTCGTCGCTGATGATTCAGACGACGAAGTTCTTAGCAAGAGGAAGGGCAAGCTTCCCCCTGCCGCCAATGAAACTTCCATAGCCGACGATTCCGATGATGATCAGCCTCTAAACGCCAAGCTCGCGTCCAAGAAGAAGGCTATCGAGAAGAATGCCGAGAAAGAAGCAAAGGCTATTCGTGCGAGCGAGTCTAAATCCAAGAAGCCTACCCCGAAGAAGCCCGTTAAGGATGAGTCTGATGATGATATACCCTTGGCCGGTGCGAAGGGCAGGAAGCGGCCATCCAACGGTGTCAACGGAAAAAGCAAGACGAATGGAGTTAAAAAGGAAGATTCTGATTCCGACTTGCCCATTCGTAAAAAGGTGAAGACCTCTGCTAGCACCTCCACTAGCAAGTCTAAAGCCAAGGCTGAAAAGCCTACACCCGCCAAGAAAGCTCCCGCTAAAAAGGCCAAAAAGGAGGTAAGCGAGGAGCCAGGTGATGGTGAAGATGATGAAGAAGCCGAGTACCGATGGTGGGACGCGCCCAAGAAAGAAGACGACAGTATCAAGTGGACTACCCTCGAACATAACGGCGTACTCTTCCCTCCAGAGTACGAACCTCTTCCCAAGAATGTGCGGCTTGTCTACGATGGCACTCCGGTCAATCTTCATGTTGAGGCGGAAGAGATTGCTACCTTCTTTGGCTCCATGCTCAACTCAACTCATAACGTTGAAAATCCGACCTTCCAGAAAAACTTCTTCCATGACTTCAAGGAGGTGATTGATCGAACTGGTGGTGCCACGGATCGACAAGGAAATAAGGTGCCCATCAAAGACTTCGCTAAACTGGACTTCAAGGCGATTTTTGAGTACTATCATGCCAAGAACGAAGCGAAGAAGGCTCGCCCAGCAGCCGAGAAGAAGGCCGAAAAAGCCGAGAGGGATAAAGCCGAAGCTCCCTACATGTTCTGCAAATGGGATGGTCGCAAAGAGAAAGTCGGCAACTTCCGAGTCGAACCTCCTGGACTATTTCGTGGCCGTGGTGAGCATCCCAAGACTGGGAAAGTCAAGAAGCGGGTTATGCCTGAGCAGATTACCATCAACATTGGAAAAGATGCGATAGTTCCACCTCCTCCCAAGGGCCACAAATGGAAGGCCATCCAGCATGACAACAAGGCCACATGGCTAGCAATGTGGCAGGAGAATATCAACGGCTCCTACAAATATGTCATGCTTGGTGCTACCAGTGCCGTCAAAGGTCAGAGCGATTTCAAGAAGTTCGAAAAGGCACGAGAGCTCAAGAAGCACATCGCAAGGATCCGCAAAGACTACACCAAAGACCTCAAGGCAGAATCTATGGCTGATCGTCAACGAGCCACCGCTGTATACCTGATCGACAAGTTTGCGTTGCGAGCTGGCAACGAGAAGGATGCAGAGAATGAAGCCGAGACCGTAGGCTGCTGTTCGCTCAAATATGAGCACGTTACCCTCCGAGAACCCAACACGGTCATCTTCGACTTTTTAGGTAAAGACAGTATCAGATTCTACGATGAAGTCACAGTTGATCGACAAGTATTTAAGAACCTCCGCGTTTTCAAGAAGCCCCCAAAGAGATCAGGTGACGATATCTTTGACCGTCTGACCACCACTCAACTGAATAAGCACCTTTCTTCGTACATGCAGGGACTGACTGCAAAGGTCTTCCGTACCTATAACGCGTCCTACACCATGTCTAACTTGCTTAGAGATTTGAAGGTTTCGAATGCCACGATGGCAGAAAAGATCAAGCTGTACAACGATTGCAACCGTGAAGTTGCTATTCTCTGCAACCACAAACGTACCGTCGGTGCAAGTCACGAGGCGCAGATGGAGAAGCTTGTTGATCGCATCAAGGGTCTTAAGTACCAGAAGTGGCGAAATAAGCAGATGCTTCTTGACATCGACCCCAAGCAGAAGAAGAGAAAAGGAGCCAGTTTCTTTGAGCTGGATCCGGAACTTGACGAAGCCTGGATCTTAGAACACCAGCTCTTCCTTGTGGAAGAGCAGCGCGTGAAGATCCAGAAAAAGTTCGAGAAAGATAACCAAAAGCGTCAGGAAGATGGAGAGAAGCCCATGCCAGACAAGGAGCTTAAAGAGCGACTTCAGGTTGCGGACGAACTTGCGAAAAAGTTCAAGAAAGAGAACAAGTCCAAGAAGATCGAGGCCGAAGGAAGAGGCCCGACCGTGGAAAAGATCGAAGGGAACATACAGAAGATCGAAGAACGCATCAGAACCATGGAACTCCAGGCCGCGGACCGTGATGGTAACAAGGAGGTTGCCCTAGGTACCTCTAAGATTGTAAGTCCTTTATCATCAGTCTCACCCATCTTTGTCAAGGCCAACAAACTAACCAGTGCTTCAGAACTACATCGACCCCCGTCTCACCGTGGTCTTCGCCAAGAAATTTGATGTTCCCATTGAGAAGTTCTTCTCCAAGACTCTACGTGAGAAGTTCAACTGGGCCATCAAGTCCGTAGAGGATAATGACCACTGGGAGTTTTAAGTGCGAGAATCGACAAGAACGATTGTCGTCATCTCCGTGTACCACTTGTAATATCATATAACAACACAGTCTGCGAATTGGGTGTTAGCACCAAATAAATAGCCGCTGTCAGTAAACAGACAGACAGCATTGGAGAGGAGGTGATACGGGTTAGCTAGCAGGGAGTGAGGGTGGCACTAAGAGGAGGGGGGTTTTTCAAGAGAAGAACGTGAAGGGACAACATGACCAGCCACGATCGATGAGCATGATCTCATGGACTCGGGTTTTCAGCATTGGCGCGGTGCATTGCGGGCGGGCGCGGTGTGAGTGGCAAAAGGTCGGTGACATTTTAGAGCTTGTCACTTGTCTAGGTAGCCATTCTAGACCAGCACAAATACGAAGTATTCACCAAAATATAAATTCAAACAACCCTTGAAGATGTCTTGACACTTACGTTTTAAGATGCCTATCTAGGTACTTGGACACTACAACTTAGGCACTATGCAGTACGCGAACGTTTGCTACTAGCCAACGAAGTGATCTTCTAGCATTCATAACAGCCAGCTTATTTCGTAGACTTTGTTCGATTTTTTGTTTTTTGTTTTTTTTTGTTTGGTATTTGCTATTCTTCCACTGCTATTGTGATCTGATCTCTCTTATTCATTCATTTGCCTGGGCAATTTAGGCACATGTTGTATGCCTGCCATATCGTATGTGAACACCAAAAATAGCCAGGTACCTAGATGCCAAATACAAACGCCTGACTGGACCTCAACGGGGGGGAGGGGGGGCTGTTTCCCCAAGTAGGTATCTAGTTAAACAAAGTTGATGATATCCTTCATGAAAAAATTGATGCAATGCAGTCCTTTTTAAAAATGCCAGAATAAATGGGTAGACAAGTACCTACCTATTTGCTAAGTAGGTGCCGAGGTATGCCAGGGCAAAACAAAACCATGCAATTTTCTCCTTAGTTCAACAAGGACAAGCTCGCTTAAGCCCTTGCAAAAAAAAAAAAGGAAAAAAAAACCAGACTATGGCCGCCCAAAGCTCTCGCGGACAGCGGCACCGAAGCGCTCGATGGCATGAGCCATGTCATCTTCGGAGGCGGCGGCGTAGGTGGTGCGGAAGAAGAGGCCGCTAGGAGGTTTTTCCTGCTCAGCGCAGAACCAAGAGCCACGGATGGCAAGGACGCCCTTTTCGATGCCGCGGTCAAATATATCGCTCTCTAGCTCGAGGATAGACTTGGTCGAGGGGTGTTGCGTGTGATCTACTTTCAACCAAAGCTAATAGTAGTAGTGTCAGGTTAGGAAGGATGGGTTTATATTTAGATGGAAAGGAGAGAAAAAGAAAAACGGGGAAAGGAGGTGAGGAGAACTTACAAACATGCCCGCGGCGGGAGGAACCCAGCTCACTATGTCCCGCGGCAGGTACTTCTCGCACGCAGCGAGAATGGCGTCACGCCGCCGCGTATACTCGAGGCGTAGGTGCATCAGCCACCTCATGTAGCCTTCGTGGCCCCACGTCTCGTCGACGAGCTTGTACATGAGTATCTGGGAGATGCCGCCGGGTCCCTGGCTGCAGACCTCGGCGTGTCGGATGTACCGCTCGACGACCTGCTCGCTCGCTGTGATCCAGCCCACTCGCGAACCCGGCACAACTACTTTACTGAACGAGTCCATACGCATCACCCGCCCGTCCACATCCATGCTTAGAAGGCTGGGCACTAGCCCGGAGAGGAACTCTTCAATGGTGGCTGGCGGCGGCACAGCGGGCGAGTCGGGACCGGTGTATGGTAACATTTGCAGGAAGTAGTATGGCTCATCTTCGAGAATGAAGATGTCATGCTTCTGGCAAACTTTGTAGATATCTTTCCTCCGCTGCAAGCTCTGCGTTGCACCCGTGGGGTTCTGCCCGGAAGGTACCGTGTATAAGACGGATGGTTTCCGCGCGCCGTCTCGAGCACTCTCGTCCCACGTCGATAGGATCTCGTCCAAACTCTCAGCCAGCAAGCCCTCCCCGTCCATGCGCACACCAAACACCTTAATTCCCAGGGGCGCTGCTGTCTCGAGAGCGGTTGAGAAGCTGTATTCTTCTGTAAGTATTGCATCGTTCCGGGTGCGATCGCAAAACATCCGCAGCGCCTGCTCCAGAGCCCCCGTGCTACCAATGGTCAATGAACACCGCCAGTCAGCGTATGGTGGGTTGTTGATGAGCTCGGTATGCTCGGTGACCCAGCGCAGCAGCTGGGCCGAGCCGACAGACTGCCCGTAGTTCATGGCGATGGATAGGTCGAAGACACCGCCGTTCTCGTTCTTCGCGGCGTCATACTTCCCTACCTTGACATCCTGACCCGTTGTCGCCGTCTCGGCCTCGGTGAAGTGTGGCGGTGTGGGGACATGCATGCTGATCGAGTCGATGGGGAAATTGGAGGCCGAAGGTAGTCCGCCGCCCAGGGAGATGAGGCCGGGCTTCTTGAGGTGCTTGGCTGCTTGTTTTAGTGCACAGGGTTTCCGTAAGAGGGACTCCTGGCTGAGGAGATCTGGTGCTCTTGTGTTAGTATCAAAATATCAAAGAAAGGTTTCCTCTGCTTGTGAAGAGCTATGCTTACGATCCCATCGTCTTGCTTTAGGCTTATCATATGCTTGCTAGTATACATGGCATGTATTAGTGGGATTCCGTTTCCTCTTCGGAGCTTTCAATGGTATAGTAGAGAATCTCACCGGTGATTTAAACATATCACTATCCGAATAAGCCGCCGTGCCGGCCACTAGCTTGCCCGCCTTCTCTCTCCGAGCTTTGATGCCATTGACAGTTAACGACTCGGGGGCTTGCTTGCCGATCACCGCATCTTGCTCCGCGAGCTTGACATTTTCGGCGTTGGAGGATTGAAGACTCGGGGGACTTGTCGAGAAGGAATGGTTTGTGGAAGGGGTGGTTGTAGATGTAAGTGACATGATGAGTAGACGCCTTCCCGGATTGGTAGATGATGGAGATGATGGAGATGATGGAGAGGAGGAGAGCGAGAAATTAAGCTTCCTCCTTGTTACTCGGTGAAGTCTAATCATTGATTATATAGGTACCCTCACTAGGTACTCCGTATATTAGGTAGAGTGGGAATCTTTTAAAATGGAGATGAAATTATAAATTATAAATTATTACCCTATTTGAATATTTATTAGGTACGCAAGGCAGGCAAGGCAGGCATTGTTCGCCCTTTCCCAACTCTCCTTTGTTTGACTTGTTGCGTCACGGGCTTCGGTGCGATAACGGGCATGGCCGAATAGTTACCAAATACGTGGACGGTATAAAAGGGATCCCGGCCGATTGTAGCCGGGTCCAGCCAGCCAATCCCATTCGTCAATTGCAGAATATCATTACATACATTGCATACGTTACATAGCTAGTATAAGCACTCTGAAGGTCATGTGTGCAAATACGTTATTATTATCAAACACGTTGCTGGCTGTATCACCCCTCCATACTAGTTCGTGTAGATAATGGATACATACATGCATGTTATGTAAGTAGTATGTCAAGACAAGTTGCCTAATGTATGTACCTAGTAGTATGTCGTCCTCCCTATGAGTATGTAGTATGTACCTGGTACCCACCATCTAGTAACGCCGACGCCTTATATATGATGCCCTGCCATGCCTTATCTATAGTCATCCACCTATCCATTACCAACGTCAACTTCATGCCCCACCTTCAGCTATCATGCTATGTATGCTTTCTTAGATGCTAATTATAATAATAACAACCCCCCCCCCAAAAAAACAAAAACAAATGACTCCTATGACCTTCTCATCGCACGCTAGGTATCCATATATTGCAGACATCATCACATCGTACCGTCATAGTAATAGCAACATCTCGTTAATCATTCAGGGAGCCTCACCCTACCCCAAAGGCAGTTTGTAGAATCCCAAAGCCGTAATAGGATCAAGGATATCCTTTATTTAGGCATGAGCATTGTCTACATGCCTGGTAGTAAATGTCGTCAAGTCAGGTTATGCAGGTCTTCGTTGTAGTCAATATCCGATAGGTGACTCTACGAGATGGGCTTTGTGCCCAGTAGCTGGTCGTCTTTGTATGATAAGGAACCCTGATTGTCGTAATCGTTCTTCTACACTTAATTCTCAAAAAAGTGAAGAGAACAAGTAGGCCAAGGCCAGTTTGGCTATATCATCGCCTAAACGAATTATGAAGTCGTAATGGTAATAGCTTAAGGCCAAAATCTCCGACTACTTGCGAGGGTAGCGCAAAAGGTGAAGATGAAGATAAGTGGACACACCGGGCCTAGAGTAAACATATGTCAGTTAGATATCCCAAAAGAAAAGCTCACATTGATTCTGGATATAAAAGAAACAACCTACGCAATATAGCTGAACCGGACGGTACTATCTTCCCCTCCGAAGTCATGACCCATCCTTCGGGTAGGTTAGAGGAACCTGAATTTGAGCTGCTTTCACCCCCGATACCCCCGGCAGGGACATTGGCTGATCCAGTCGCTGTGGAGCCACTGGCGACAGCGGTCGTGGTAAGAGTATCCGCATTGCCTAGGTTTCCATTCACCGAGCCGCCGTCTGATCGGATGGATCCCCAGGAGCCAGATGTGTCGCCATATGTATAGTGGCTGCCTGTACTGTAGTCTGTTATCTTGACAGTCTTGACGCTCATGCTGAAAGGCCCCTGAGAGTAATCAGTAGGGCCACGCGCCCATTCGATAGTGCCCTGCGCGTTGCTGGAATCGCCGCCCGACCAGGAACCGAACTTGATTTGCATAGGTGTCTGCGGGTATTGGCCCTCCTCTGCCTCTGAAGATTGCAGTGTTCGCACCACGGTACCGCCCACAGTCCAGACAATTCTGTCGCTTGTCCAGTCTATCACATATGTGACGAAGTCGTTTTGATTGTCGCCCATCTCATGGAATTGCCCGCGATTGTACGAGGTAGTGATTCCCTTTCCAAAGTAGTTGGATTGCACTTCGGTCGAGTCGGCACCTAGCCACTCCCAATCGATTTCGTCGAGGCAGTCCGATTGCAGCACGAGGGACGACACAATTCCCGCACCGGGGGCGGCCTTCAGGCTAATCTCGACTCGGCCGAACATGATATAGAAGACTGAAGTAAGTTGCGGAGCGTCGCCGCTTTGTCGGACTGTAAAGGTTACGCCGTCGGAACCGTATGTTGGCTGACCGCCGGAATTGGTGAAGGAGTTCACCTCTCCTTGTGTAAAGTCGACATCAATTGCCATGCCGAGAGCAGTGTCCGCCGGGCAAGCTCCGAGGGGTTAGTCTATGGCAGAAGCTGGGAGTAGAACGTGATATCAACTTACATGAAGAAGTGAGGGGGTTACAAGATGAGTACGTCTGAGCGGAAGCTCGCCACGAGAGCAGCACCGCAGCTCCTGCGACACATCTCCAGGCCGAAAAGACCATTATAGCTTAGGTACGCGTCCGCGAGTATATGACAATAGCAGGATCGAGGTAAGCGGTTAGAGGGGCAGATTTCGAGCCCCGGGCTGATAATCCAACGAAGCAGGTGTTACAATGATACAAGAATATATATCTCTTGGCGGTATTACAATTGCACAATTTTCTATGAGCTGTGTGAATAATTACCGAAATGGTAAGATGTTTCTGCAGGTTGCAGAATAATATGCAAGTAGCTCTTAAGGGCAGTGAGAAGATTGGGAAATGATGGAAGCGAAGAAGCCTCCAACCACCCGATATATCATAACCAAGATATGGTCCATGGGTAGGTGAGTAGTTGGCAACGCTACGACGCTACGTAGACGCATGTTCGTCATCTCCGACTAGAAAATTCTTATTGATGAACAAGTATATGTGACTAAATGACAGGGGGAAAAGAAAAGTATGGTGGGACAACAAGGACTTGATCTTGAATACGAGTATGTCATGTACATATGTCATGTATATATGTATGTATGTATGTATGTGTGAGTTGGCCAAGGTGCTGGCCAAGGTGTGAACAGGTGAAATGTGAACTGGATGCTTCTACGATACCTCCAGCCTGAGGCTCCAGGGCTACCTACATAGTAATTAGGTATGTACCTGCAGTAAACAGCTGCGGTAAACAGCTGCAGTTGCCAGTTGGACTGCATTGACAACGAGAAAGACGTTACCAACTTTAATTGAAATTTAGCGGTCTCGTTAGTGGAAACAAATAATTACAAGGTTCCAGGTTCCAGGTTCGCAAGTAAAGTGGCTGGTACATAGAGCTAAACACCCTAAAAAAATGGACTCGGTAGACTCGGCTAGATGTTCCTTGGTAGTTAAATCCATGTGGCTGGCAACTAGTTACGGCGTAATAACTAATGAATTACTTTAGCAGAGCGGGCGCTTCCCGGAGCGCTTAAATCGATCATCTGCTAGGTTCCTGACCCAAAATCTTGGATCGTACCGGGAAAGAACATCTTATCGAAACTTTGCTCAAATTAGTGTGTTCGTTGATTCGTCAGTTCCGATGTCGTCAACTTATCAAATTCATCTTCTCATCTTCGATGTTCTCATCTTCGATGTTCTCATCTTCAATGTTCTCATCTTCGCAAATACAGATATACCTATATCAGTTACCATTCCCCGTGTTTCCCCAATGGCTATATTCTTGGAGCCCAACTCGTTCGGATTATAGTGGAGTTATTTCCTACTGGAGCGTGTCCATACTATGCTTCTATTCTAGCATCTTTTGGGCCTTTTCCATGTTTGAAGGGAAAGAGGCATATTGCTTAGTAGCCTGCAATCTCCACAATCAAACTCACTCTAAGGGACATACGTATATGGGGAGGAGAGTACTGTGCCCAGAAATACGCCGGCATAAAACAAGAGGCGAAGGTCCAAACTCTCTATCAAAAACTTCGAGACACATAGACCGTCCTTTCTGGAGATCATAGCTCATCTTGAACCTTTTCGTCGCCACTCTCTTCTCTAACCTCGCCCTCCTGGGCCAATTTATCGGGCCAAAAACTCCGCGTCATGCTATCACATGATGACGGCAACTTTCCGTGCCCATCTGACAAGGAAATATCCGAAGACATCTGACTTGGCGCCTGGTATGGCTTCATTTCACCGCCGTTCATATGAACTAACAACTCGTCGCAACACGTATGCATAGAAAAGATCGGATATCGGTCGGCTTTGAGGTCAACATCTGGCCGTGCTTTCTTTCGGTGCCATTTATCGGTTGGGATACGCCTAAATGATGCTTGTGAGACATACTTTCATGGGTTCTTTAGCCTCAAGTGTTTTACGAACCTGGCATATTCCTCGACGAAAAAACTCATCCACATGATTAGGATTGGAATGCGGCTCGGCAAGAATGAAAGTGGCGTGTGGGAATAGGGTAATGTGAAGAGAACGGGCACAGCGACCATAACCAGGGCCAGTCCGAAGTGTCTAGCAGCTCGTAAGCCCCAATTCCTGAACACGACATTGCTGAATTACCCACCTAACAAGTGCCTCCCAGATGAAGTAACTGTGGATAAACGTAGAGACCGCGAAGAGGGATAACGTTCTAAGCACTGTCAGTGGGAGCTACTTCAAGTGAATAGCATAGCTAAGCATCTCACAGGTAGTGATAAAAGGCGGATTCGTGTTGAAAGACTGGTAAAATAACTGCAGTTCCGAACATGACGCCTAAAGACAGCGCTTTGATAACACGACTGAAGCCGGTCCCGTATATCCCGGTATGATTAGGCATTGTTCAGTCGTGTGTTATATACCTAGGTAGGTAGGTATATAAGCTATGTCGCAAACTGATGAAAATCTGTCTTCGAAACACGAGGTAAAGAACGAAGTCTTCCGCCTATGTTTCAACAACAACGGAGAACGAGAATGGTCGATTGGAGTAATGGAAAACGACTAAGAAACGAATGTAGAAAATAGGAGGCAGCCGTTCAAACGACCATCAAATCATTTCTATGAAATCGACGCTCTGTAGCCCATACCTTATTCTTTTATCTAACATTTTACTTGCAGCCACAAGGCTTAGGAGACCCATCGGTTCACCTCACAGATATAATGTGCTTGTGGAGGAAACCTGCCTTGGCCCAAGTTCGGCAACGATTATTGCATTGCAGCCCAACTCGTTCTACGACTGCGGTGTTACGATATACTGTTCTTTATCATTCCACGTCGACGCATAGCTGGTTATGATGCAGCCTAGCATCGGTTGCCTTGCTCACACACTTCTTAATAATTGTTCACCGAAATTCCTCACGTGCCTTTACCGTTATCTCATTGGATGAAAACGCTGCAGAGCCTCACAGTCAGCCTGGCAGCGGACCACCTGTTCATGGATATGCAATGCGCTGCGCCTCTTGGAGCCTAACTTACACCATGCATAGTAACACAATGTCTCAAACAAGCGTTGCCCCGGTAGCCTTGAAGTGGTCGAACAAACCCAGCCTGCTTCACTTCACTAGACCTTCTCAACTGCTGACCGCAAAAGCCGAAGACGGCGAATGATTCCATGAAAGATAAAACATGAGTCGGTCGCCATCTACGGTAGTCGCCAGTCGCAGAAGTATGAAGTTTTTAAAGTTGTCCGAATGAGTTTTATAGATCGTTATTCTTCAGCTTTTTCATATGTATTCAACATCGTGTCGTTCATTCGAGCTGCGCGGAGACCAGTTCTGTCCTCAGCGAAGAGCACCACCGTCAAGAGAATTTCCCCTATTACAATTGGCCGAGCTGGTTCCCGCCATGGCATGCAGTTTTGTCACCACCTCCTACATCGTCGAAGCCGAAGCAGTGCTAGATACACTTTCCCTACACGCCGACGTTCGTTTTTAAGTTTTCTTTTTTAAAACTGTTCCCCTTTGTTCAAATTTGAAAATAAACATATGGCGCTGACGGTATACATACTTTGAATATGTGTAGTCTTCTCCCCGAAAATTGGCCCGCTTAATACAGACCAGATTCCTCAGATACGTACCGCCGGGGCTGGCGCTCGGCTCTTGCCTGGTGCTAGGGTGCTGTCTATCCTCGTACGTCCACCGGCGGCGGGACCATGACCCGTATCAAGCGATGGTGTTTATGACCTGGATCGCCTGGGCCATCTGCATTGGCTGGGGGGTAGAGGCAAGCGCTAACTTAGTCACGCTGGGAATCGTGCCGTGGGTGTCGTGCGCAGCCATGGTCAGCAGCTACTGTGCCCACGCCGGAGCGCGCTGGCTATCGGCCAAGGAAAAAGGGGAGTGCTGGAGCACCCTGACCATAACGGATGAACAAAGAATCATGTTCGGGACGTAGGAACTGGAAAGCTCATGGGGAGCAGCCTCCAAACGCTCTGCGACATGCTATTACTTTGCGGATCTGTCTAACCGGCTACCCAATCCTAGAGGCAGACACTCTGAGTACATTAAGCGATACCTAATCTCTCCCATCTTTGGGGTTGAGACGCCATGCCGGATTTTTGTTCACATTACCCTAACTAAAATGATAAAAACCACCAATACATTCGAGTATTTCTCGAGCAATAAGGGGGCATGGCATTGTGTCGGTACACGGGAGAGGGGAGCCAGGGGTAATCGAAATAAAAAAGAAGAAAACCAGAAATACGAGGTGGATTTTATTCATTTTTTTGTATAGTCGGCCAGTTGATTGTTATGTTGGGCTATGTATGCTTTAATTAGTATGGTCTGTAGGCGGCTCCTCTCTCTCAACGTCTTCTGAAATTAGTAATAAAAAGTATGGATGTTAGTCAAATCCCCCCCTATTGTGTGAATTATATACCCATTCATACCTATGTACCTAGGTAGGTGCCAAATACGCGATCTGGATACCAGCAGAAACTCATCACTATATCCTAGGCACGTAATTCCATACGAACCCATTATTTTTGAATTCCATATACACTCCGACCCATTCATTACCTGATGTACTCGGCCCCCCTTTAAACCTCTCCCCTCTTAGCCTCCCACAGGCCAATCCAAACGCCATCGCCGGGCTGAATGACGATATCGGTCCTGATCTTGGGGTTCCCGCCATCGATCTCGTGCATGTAGTTGTCCACGCGCTCGTAGCGCTGGAACAGGCGGGTGAGGACGTAGGAGATCTCGGTGAGGGCGAACTGCTGGCCGATGCAGATGCGGGGGCCGCCGTTGAACGGGATGTACTGCCAGGGCTTGGGCTGCCAGGTGAACCAACGCTCGGGGCTGAAGACGAGGGGGTCGGCGAACTTCTCCGACACGGCCGGGTACAGGTCCGCCCGCCGCTGCATCACCATCACCGAGTACCCGACCGAGGTCTCCTTGAGCACGGAGAGCGGCTGCGTGCCGTCGGGTCCGCCGCCCCGGGGGAGAGTCGTGTCCTTGAATGCGGCGCGCACGTTGAAGGGCACAGAAGGGTAGAGGCGCAGGGTCTCGTTGATGACGTTTTGGAGGTATTTCATGGACTTGAGATCGGCGTAGGTGGGAGTGCGGTGGGGTCCGACCTGGTCGAGGATCTCGCGGCGGAGCTTGCGAACGACTTCAGGGTGGCGGGCAAGCTCGTAGAAGGTCCAGGAGAGGGTGGCGGCGGTGGTGTCGCGTCCGGCGAGCAAGACGGAGATGAGCTGGTCGCGGAGCACTTTGCGGTCGCGGGTGAAGGAAGCTAGCTCGTGCAGGAATGTGTAGCCCTGGTCCGATTTGGTCTTGTTTGCGAGCTCTTCAGGGCTGAGTCGCAACGCTTGTTCTATGTAGATGTTGCAGAACTCGTTGATGGTTTGGATACCCTGCCGGAAAACCTTGTGGGACATGAAAGGCTTCAATGGACCGGCCCGTGAAAGAATGCCCTGAAGTCGTTGTACCTCATTGAAGGCATCAGCGAACGGCTGGTGTGGGTTGCTATAAGTTGGTAAGTCATTCGTCCCCCTCTATCTAGGCTGACAGGTAGGCAGATAGGATGGGGGGGAAAGGGGGTTGGGGGGTGAAAAGGGGTAATAATATAACCGTACTTTAGTGATTGAGGGTCCATCCCCAACAAGAAATCGGTAGTCACATCAAGGGTAAATCTGTAAAACAGGTCACTAATATCAAAGCGTTTTCCGTCACTGACTTTGTAATAGTCATGCTGGTGTTCCCCATTCAGGACCCCGCCATTAGCTATAGCTTTAAACAGAGACTCAAGATGAGACTCAAAACACTGTAGGTCGCTGATACGTTCCCTAGAGAACTGGGGACGTATGAGTTGTCTGCTGGCATGCCAGAGATCGCCGTCGGTGGTGAAAATACTATCACCGAGAAACTCGCACCAGTCCCGGTGGAAACGCCAACCCTTCCCGAAGTCGGAGAACTGAGTCGCCAGCATGGCTTTGATAATTTCGGGGTCGGCCGTGCAGACCATACGGTTTGAAAAAAAGCGACCGAGGGCGGTATAGTTAGGGGAGCCGTTCAGAAAGCCTAGAAAGCCCTCGTAGCTTTTGTCGTTCATGGCAGCAGTTACCTGCCTGTAGATGATTCCTAGGCCTGATTCCTTCGTTAAGGCCTGGATGGCTAGACATAAAATCCAATTCTCATGTGCTTATATGCTTACCGAAAGGGACTCTCGTCTTAATCAATGTTCCAGGCGCGCCTAGCTTTCGGAGTCGAATGGTCTCATCCACTTCATGATATATCACCCTCAACGCCCAAACAACGCCGAGGAGAGTGCAGATGAGCTTGATGGACACATAGTCCAGTAATGTCTCGATTATGCCCATGATGATGGGATAGACACCTACTAGGTACCTAATATAGAGTGCAAAATTAAATGGCCACTGAGTTGGGTAGTCGTAAAGATATTACTACCAGTTACTACTTCATGAGTATAATTTTAGACAAAGAAACATTGACACGGCAGACATATATACCTAATACAATCTAATAAGTGAAGGTAACTATCTATAGCATTTTCCGAATGGCCGGGGCGGAGAGATCGGCGATGTGGGAGGCCGCGGCTTCCGAATGGAGTGATATACGATGTTCAGTTCATCAAGGGTTTCTACCATCATGTACCATGTAGCCTGGTAGCTTACAATGTTTGCTACTGTCTACATTGATAGTCCTAGTCCTACCCGCTACGAGGGTGGGGAATAGAGTTTGCTTGGGTTTGTCTCCAGGATCTCGAACCTGTGCTTTCTTCCCCTGAAGCAGCATCTATCTAGGCAGTCACAATGGGTTATTTTGCCAACGATCCTAGTGGTTGATATGGTTATTTTTATAGCAAATATGTGGAGATGGTTCGTCATTCACCGCAAAAAGGGAGCATATTTCGCGTGATTCGCGTGATTCGCGTAATTCGCGTCATTTGGTCTAGTACGTACCTACACTTATATGCATGGCAATCTCGCTAACAACCTGTAAGGCAAAATCAAGATTCCAAGGTTCAATCATTCGATGTTGATGTGTGACTCAGACATGGATACATAACTTCGTTCCTAGTAACTTCCTACCATGATACCATCAACTCAGGGGGCCGTATGTGATTATATTACTAATACATGTCCATAATGTAGGTATGTACCTACATATGCAGGTAGGTATGCATTTATCCGTCCTCCCCATTCCTCACCTCTCCCCCTTTCGTCTCCATTATCTGTGTACTTTTCGGAAATGCTGCAAAATATGAGTATGTACAAGAAGATCGTCCTCAAACCTAAAGTTGACGCTTTGAGGCCATGGTTGGCCAATATTGCCAAGTAGATTGGTAAAGTATCCCACCCCTTATTGGAAAAGACACGTAGTCGGATCCATGCCCTGGGTGCAGAAAACCATCTGTATGGGTTCGGCACTGACACCCCGAGCGAGCATGCGCTCGCGGAATTCGGCGAGGCGCGGCGCAGCGTCCAATTGGGTGCGGTTCTGGCCCGCCGCGTCAAGGCGTCCGGACCAGAGCACCTCGCCGGCAGCGCTAGTACGCGGCCACAAGATACCGTCGAGGTTGACCTCGTCGATGGCCTCGGCCCACGCCCCCACCTCACCGCCCACCACTAGTTTTGCCTCCGCCTCCGTTAGCCCCGCTCGGGGGTTGTACGAGTATATCAACCGCCAATTCTTCGTCGGCCCACACCAGTCGTTGAATGGGTAGTTCTCCTCGAACGACTCCCCCTCTGCAAAGTTGAGCCATTGTCCGCGGCCACAGTCGAGGTACTAGAGAAGCCAACCTATTAGTCACGGCCCATCGCGTTTATATGTAGAAATAGCATAGCTATCTAGTACTTACCCAGTAGTTGTAGTTGCTAGTAATAACCTTGTGGCCCTGTTCGGTGAGGCTCTTGATGGCCGCATCGCCAAGCCAGGACTGGACAACCACATCATCACCAATAGTGACGTTGTAGCTGGCGGGGATTTCCTCCCAGACCATGGGGACGAGGCCGGCCCTACGCACCCTGTCGTGGTGCTTGTCGATAAACTTCTGCAGGAGCGGGACAACGACAGCCGAGTCGTTGGTGCCGACCGTGGGGTCAAGACTGTACTCATTGAAGTTGACCTCGTCACCACCCGTGTGGAAGTATGCCGAGTATGGCGCGACGCGTGGCAAAAGGTCGTCCATGAGCGTATCGAGAAATGGGTCCACGTCTGGGTTATTAAGTTGTAGCTGACCACATGGGGGCTCGGCGCAGTAAGTTGTCCAAGGGGATGCGCCCCAGCCGGTAATGAGGTCTGGGTGAGATAGAGCTGCGACCCCGAAGTGGCCCGGGGTATCGATCTCGAAGATCACTTCTACACCGCGTTGGATTGCGTACGTCTGGATGGCAGCCACGTTCATAGGCGTGTACGTCATCCCCCGAGCATACGCGCCTTTCTCGTGGAGTTCTGGGAGGGCGGGGATCTCGAGCGGCCAAGATTGAGAGTCGGTCGCGTGGATGTGGAGTCGGTTCATCTTGTTCCACTCCATGGCGTCAATAGTACGATAGATAGCATCGACCGGGAGGTAGCTTCTCGAGACGTCCATGAGGATGCCTCGGTGGTCGTACTCAGGACAGTCGCTAATCGTCACAGGAGCTAATTTCGAGTAAATTGGGCCCTGTGAATGTTGGAAGAATAACTGCGAGAAACTCGCTAGAGCTCGCAGAACACCAGTGGAGGAGACAGCCGTGATCTTGGCATATCCGTGGACATTTACGGTTAGGTTATACGATTCATCAACATCGCCAGCGAGAGGCCTGAGCGTGTCTGGAGTATCCGCCACGGTCTGGACGATCTCCAGCCGTGATATGTACTGTTTGTGGCCATGGAGACTTGGCTCGGTCTTCTCAAGTTGTAGTCGGGGATATAACTTCCACGGGACGAAGTTGTCGTCTAGAATATGCTTCAACGCACGTGATACTCCTCCCTTGACGATCTCCTTTGCGGAGATTTTGGGGCCACCAAACGGTATGTAATCCCGAACCCATGGAATCTATGATATTGATCAGTATATGCTAACATTTTTTTTATAAAATATGACCGAGCGGTTATAAACGTTTGGAATTGAGGTGTAAATAAAAGAAGCATACCGGGGCACCGTTGTAAGTGACGGGTAGATGCTCTCCTATCCAGAGAGTAGAGTTACCCGTGCTGATGGTACTAGGAATTGGCCATATTGCTTGAACCGACGTGGCGGTAAGTAGTGCAAACGAGAGGAAGAAATTCGACAACATAGTTGCGGCGTAGTAAGATGGAGAATCTCAATGATGCAAAAACAGGGAAGCAACTCGAAGGGACGAATTACTAAGAAATAAGTAATGGTAGTGTGCGAGTGTCCAAGAACAGATGTCACTCTCTCATTTAGGAGTGACTCCGATTCTCTGATTTCCCCGATTCACCAATTCTCCGTTTCTTTGGCTCATCCAAATATTCCCAAGGTTCTTAGATGCACGCGCCCGAGAGTTGGGACGACGAACCCGGCTGATGTTAATGCCAATGTAGGTTGTGTTTGTCTCCAATTTGGGACCTCCAATTCTCAACCACGCGATGGGGAGATTTGGCAAGCTTCCTATCAAGATCGAGGTACGGCTGCACCTACGACTTTGATGGGAAGGGTGGAGGCTGAAGAGCTTGAAGAGAGACAGATTATGGTGGCTCGGGTCTCCTTCCCTTTTCCCTTTCCTTTCCCTATCTTCTCACTACTACACACCGCAACGTTACTTGGCTTGAGCTGCGCTGTGTGTTGTTTGTCCGCGTCGTGAATGTAGGATAAGGCGATAAGCACTGACACGAACAGCTGGGATAGGCTACCTATTGTGTACTAAGTAGTAGACAGTTAAACAAGCTGTTGCGCCAGGTAGGACGAAGGGCGGGGTGACTTTTTATTATTGCTTTTTCGTCTTTGCTTTTCTTGGCCAACGGAATGGTGAGTAAATCTTGGCTCTACTATTCTTGTGCAGAGACCAACATACATAGCATACACAGGATACATAGGGTCATCAAGTCTCTCGTAACTTGTTCGGCTAATACAATACAATACCTACATATGTATTTACCTACCTAGGAGGTACATACCTCTATTGTTGCTAGGCATCAGGCAAATCCACAGGGGTGCTTTGATTCAAATGTTGCTTTACGGGATCAGGAAGCTTATTAAAATTAGAAAATGAATCCCCAACGCGATCCTGGAAGTTCATCCTTGTGGGACCTTCCTTGCGCGTGTTACCACAGCTGTTACCACAGTAGGGCATTCTTCATGTTCTTCTACATGCTGTATTTATTTCTTGTGCTAATTTATCTAGCTTTGTGGAATATAAGGAAGTGATCTTCATCCCAGGATCGACAAGTCACAAAAAGTATTGGGCCAAGCCGATTGGGTCAAGACAAGCAACAGTGCCTCACTGTTAGGTTGCTTTATGTGTGGCATACCAAGGACTTGATGAGGTAACATCGACATTAATCACCATCTGGGGAAACGTCATATATCTGGATGTAACGACGCAGGATATATACATACATACAAATGTCCCCAATCTATTGACCCCCTTTCCATCTTAACTGCCGGCCATTCCATATAAGTTGATACAACGGCTTGAACGTTATTCAATTAGGTCAACTGGTTACCTAACGGTTTTTTAGACATAGGTAAGATACTTTTAGGTACTTCCACTTGGCAGTCAATGTACATACATATGGTTTATTCGGGAATTAAACATTGAAACGTTGGAAGGTCCAGGTGCCGAAATCTTATTTAAGACGGACGGTTGAAACATAAACTTCAGATGTCTACAAAGATTAAAGTTCGCGACGGCATTTATTTGCCAAGGCCCTTGTTTAGTAACTACCTACCCGAAATCAACCTCTCACGAGTCACAACCACGTACATACATACATACATACATACATACATACATACATAAGCTCACTATTGAAATAATCAGCTTACGTAGCTAAGTATATAACTATACAAATACATATATATGGAATGGTCTGGTTCCAGATACATCTATGATTCAGCATGGTGTAACAAGTTCGCATACTTCGCCCATCCATCCATCTATCCGTCCACCCATTACAGCGTCTCACTACAAATAGTAGAATAATCGTGAGCTTACATTATCGCGGTCTCTCAAACATCGCACCTCTGCCATGGCCGGCCAGCCTGTAGGGTCGATACTATTTCGAACAATTTGATCATGATGTTCCTTCCAACATTGAGCAGCTCCGCTTCTTACAATTTCTGACCTATGTTCACATGAATGGACTTTGTTTGCGAGTACGCCGCGAGACCGGCCTCTCCCAACTCTCGACCGATACCGCTTTGCTTCACACCTCCGAATGGCACTCTGAAGTCAGAATCATTGGACGAATTGATCCAGACCATGCCAGATTCGATGCGTGCGGCGACGCGGTGGGAAAGCTGGAGATTCTGGGTGAATACAGCCGCGCCAAGACCATACGTGGTATCGTTCGCCATCGTGATGGCATCAGCTTCCGTCTTGAAGGGCACGATGACAACAAAAGGTCCAAACACCTCTTCCCTATAAATCTTCATGCTTTCTTTCACATCGATGAAGATAGTTGGCTCGATGAAAAAGCCCTTTCCATTAATCGGGAGAGGAACGCCACCAGATGCGAGCGTGGCGCCCTCCGACTTGCCAGATTCCACGAAACCCAAGATCCTCTCGTACTGATCCTTGGTGACCTGAGGGCCCTGGAAGGTGTCCTCGGCGAAGGGGTCGCCGACCTTGCTGGTTTTCTTGACCGTCTCCCGGAATTCGTTTACGAATTTCTCATAAACGGCTTCTTGGACGAGGATACGGGAAGTTGCTGTGCAGATCTGCCCCATGTTACTCATGATTCCGACATGAGCCCATTTTGCCGCCTGCTCAATATCCGCGTCCTCGAAGACTATCAGCGGAGATTTTCCACCGGTTTCGAGGGTGATGTTCTTCATGTTGATGCTAGCTGTTTTCATGATTTGTTTTCCTGTGTTTGTTGAGCCGGTGAAGGCAATTTTGTCAATGCCCAAGTGGCTTGCAAGTGCGTGACCGGCATCCCTTCCATATCCGTTGGTGATGTTGACGACACCAGGAGGGAAACCAACCTTGGGAATGAGGTTGGCAAAGTATAGGATCGACAGAGGTGTTTGTTCGGCAGGTTTCAGTACGATCGTGTTTCCGCAAGCGAGAGCCGGCCCCAACTTCCACGCAGCCATTCCTAGGGGATAATTCCACTGCATTATCTAAGTGTCAGTGATGAATGCCACAAAATGGCAGAGTACTAGGTAGGTGCCTGGGTAGCTACCATAGATGGATGAGAGGTGAGCAAGATGAAGTAACCGCACTTACAGGAATAATCTGAGCACAGACACCGATGGGCTGTTTAAGAGTGTAGACAAATTTCTCACTGGTCGTGGGAATAGTTTCGCCGTGGATCTTGTCAGCATAGCCAGCATAGTATCGGAGGACGCTGATGACCTCCTCTAAGTCTCCTAGGGAGTCACCGAACGGTTTGCCGTTGTCCCAGGTCTCCATGGTGGCGAGGTTCTCCTTCTCCTGCTCAACTAGGTCGGCCAACTTATACATCAACCTACCACGGTCAGTAGCAGAGAGATCTCGCCATGATTCATGGTTCAACGCGGCTCTCGCAGCAGCTACAGCCTTGTCAATATCTTCAACACTGGCTGCTTCAACTGAACATATGTCTTGCTCATTTCTAAGTGGAACTGATCAGCTCAAGGTTACCTTTTGGACGAGTGAGTGAGGTTTAAACTAACGTGGGGTTGATGCTGGTGATCTTAGCTCCTCCGCTTGCTTTGACGAACTCATTATTAATAAATAAGCCGGTAGGAAGAGTTATTTTTCTGCCATTTGGGGCAGTAAGATCATACTTTAAGTCCGGCATGGTAGATAGAAAGCGGAGATAGTTGTTGATTTGCTTTGGATGAAGATGTTGTTGATGTTGATGAGATGTCAAAGATGTCAAACTGGAGCGAGTAATTCTGACGAAAGATCGGAACATGTCTGGTATATACCTCTTACCTACTACCTACTAGGCTATGTAGTATGTAGGTGACCTAGGTAGATATATGTACCTCCAGCAGGGCTATCTACGGATATCACATCACATCCACACACATACTACCCCTCTCCGTTACAGCACTGAGTTGAGTAATGCGATCTTTTCCCCGCAGCAAACTAAGCAGCAAAATGGTCCAGTAGTTTCATTGTTTCAAGGTTGTTATCAGTTGTAATCCCGAAGCGTCATCGACAACGATTCGTAGAATTACTTAGTTACATCTAGTTACCCTAGATACATATGGTAGCACCTAGTTATTTGTCTAGTAGCCAGGCAGGACCTGCTTAGATAGGCAGAAAATCTGTAAACACTCCATAAACCTTGGAAGGGTTAAAGGATATTAGGAGGGGCATTTTATTCGCATCATTCGTACTATGTACTATTATTACTACTATATCTGCCCATATCACTGATGTACATGGTTGATTCCAATCTTAAAAAATTCCTTTGGCCCTTTAGCCCTTTCGCCCGTAACTTTCCTCGCCCCGCCTTGTTCCGATATCATGTCCGTCGCCGGTCATTACTAACCTTGATATTAATTCATTGGTGAGATAAGCTGGGGAACCCCTTTTTGTCAGTGCCCTAGGTACGCTAATAGTAAGGTGCCTGGCATACCTGACACCGAAGACTCTTAAAATATATCATAATCAAACCACATGTGCATGTTCGTCGTAGAGCAGAGAGTTATTAACCCCATACATATGTATGGGGTTTGTTATTTGTGAAGAGTGATTGGTGACACATGGGCAATGAGTCAATTGGCATCCGATGACCCTGATGGACACACATATGTATGTATGTCTAGATATATGTATCTACATATCTACTTCAATGTTGTAGGTGAATACTAGTAGCTAGGACCTAGGTAGGTATAGATGTATATAACTAAGTGCACATGTGTATCTATCGATCCTATCTAAGATTTCATATTAAAACCACATGTGTAGACTTCAAGTTCAATGTTTAGCACCTACCCTAGGGCCTAGGTAACTATGTACTATGTACGCTACCTAGTAGTATGCAGCACACGGACCACTATAGTTCATGGCACATAATGGCAGTATTTCTCCAAGCTGCTTAGGTAACCAGACTATTTGTGTATTCACTGTATTGTTACCTAGTACTATTGTATACATGATTCAATGACTAAGCAAAGCTAGGTACATAGTACATATGTACGTGGTAACCTAATCTTATGTACCCGTGACCTATGAAGATTGAATGGATGGCGGTGCGTCCGCGCGCCGTGCTAACAAAGCAGTACTAAGGTACGAAGTACCCTAAAGTAAAAAGCAGCAAAGGAAATTATCACTCTCCCAGATTCCGGCCTCCTCTAGCTAAACTGACTGATCTTTCAATCTTCAACAACGTCATTCTTTTTCAGCAAGTCGACCTTTCAACCTTGTCCAAACTTCACACAACTTGACTTGTTAACAAATCTCTACCTCTTTGGTCATTTGTTCATTTCATACAGCACTGGTTAACTTGGTAAGGATATCAATCAAGTTGTTATTACCCACTTCTTGAACATTGCAACACTGCACACTGAGTTGCCACCGCTGTCGCCTATACAGCCAAGACAAGCCACGCGAATCTTCCCTTTCAATATTGCGACATCGCGACTCTATAACCTATTACTCTTCTTCACCTCTACTCTATTCTACTCCATCATACATCGCTCCATTTCGCCGTACATCGCCACACATCTTTCCTTTTTTTCCCCGACATTAAAAGAGTTCTCCTCGCAATCAAGCACACAAGTCAAAGATGGCTGTTGAGTTAGCCATGAATACGCCATTGGCGGATGAGCTCAACAAGGCCATCCAACCCAAGCTGGTTGAAGTTGGCTGGGCCTCAGGAGGCGCTGATGACTCGGCACTATCCGAGTACATCATACTAATGCTGGTCAATGGTAAGACCCAAGATCAAATCGCTGCCGAACTTGCTGGCGATCTCCTCAGCCTCGGCCCCGAAGATCCTGGTGCCCGAGATTTTGCGAAATGGTTGTTCGAACAGATAGAGGTTTTGAGTTCCCAAGGAAATGGAGGACCAGCTCAATTGGAAAACACTGGTTCTGGTGATGCCCAAAATGCCCTATCTTCCGCAGACCAGGACACGGACATGGCTATGGTAACGGACACTGCTGAGCTCAACGCGTAAGTCTGCTCTTTCATATTACCTTTCTTTCCATCAACTAACATCATCTAGTCCCACAGGTCCCCGATCCATGAGAAACGGAAACGCTCGACCTGGTCGAGAGAAGCGCATGCTTGGCCACATGACTAAGGCTATGGATCGCAGCCATGATAGTGTCTTGCATCGCGTCCGATCGAACGGCAACGAGCGTATCAACACACATCGCGCACCTCCTACCGGGCCGCGAGGTGGTTTTGCGCGTGGCAACAATAACAACACCAGCAACACCAATAACCGTATGGCGAATAACCGCCCTTCTGGATTCGCCACACACATTAACCAGATGGCTGGAAATATGCCTAGTATGCCTACTCCCAATAGCGCCAATGGCATGAACGACATGAGCTGGATGATGCCAGGCGGCGCTCCCGAACAACTGTTCCAACTCATTCAGCAGCAAAACCAGATGATGGCTCAGATGCAACATCAACTCGCTCAGCAGAACCAGGGAGCGGGCGGTCGCGGCAATGGAAGATCTCTCTTTGACCGTGTACAAAACCCGCGAGGTGGTCGACGAGGAGGCCACACCAATGGCCACAGGATGTCTCAGGCTGATCCAGCCAATGGAGCCGAGATTTCTACGGACAACGATGACATTGACATGGGCCAAGGTAAACGAGAATTGCCTAATCCCGACGGTACCATTTGCAGATTCAACCTGGCTTGTAGCAACAAGGAATGCAAATTTGCACACCAGTCCCCAGCAGCGCCACCAAACACTACGATTGATATCACTGATGTGTGCGCATATGGCGCGGCTTGCAAGAACCGCAAATGTGTTGGTCGCCATCCTTCGCCGGCAGCCAAGAGAGCACACCAGATCGAACTCGAGTGCAAATTCTTTCCCAACTGCACCAACCCGAGCTGCCCGTTCCGACATCCGGATATGCCTCCTTGCCGTAACGGAGGTGACTGCGCGGTGGAGGGCTGCAAATACACTCACCTCCAGACGATGTGCAGATTCAAGCCTTGCACCAATCGGTTCTGCCCGTACAAGCACGAAGAGGGACAGCGAGGAACCTTCCAAGACAAGGTATGGACGGCTGACGGATCAAAGGACCATGTGAGTGAGAGGAAGTTTGTGGATCCCAGTGCGCCGGAGGAGCTTTTGGTGCCGGGTGGAGCGTTTGAGGCGGCACAAGAGACGGCAGCAATGGACGAAAGCATCGCATAAAGTTTCATGGGCTAGGTGAGGGTGAAGGGCATCCATGGTTGAAATACAGAGGAATCACGTAAGCGATGAATACGGTCGAAGTCGTTAAGGGGGGCGGATAGGGTAGGGTAGGGGGGATTTGCGAGTTTCCCATTCCCAGTATTAGATTCGTTATTGACCAAGGCGTTTAAGTTGGTGACAGGCAAGGAAAACAAAAAAGAAGTCTAGGGATCTTGTGACATGAGCTTATTATAATAACGAATATACCCAATGCATTTTGTGACTGGTTACAAAACGAAGTCTTTTTTTTTTTTTTTTCTCGGAAGTTGACGTTTAATGGCTGTGAAGTTCAATGTTGATTTTCCAATACATACCTAAAGTAGGTATATATGCATGATAGTAACAGTGCATGTATGTACCTAATGCTGCTATATCCTAGCTAAGTCTATGCATGTATTGTATCACGATATGTACTACTATGTAGGTACATGATGATGTAGTTAGACTGTTAGTCCATCTTTTCCGATGGGAGTCGGGTGCTACATATGTACCCGGAGTATGTAATTGATTGGTACATCACTTCTCAGATACCGACAGACCAGTCGCTATGTATGTAGAAAGTATAGGTACCAGGTAGGTAGGTAACCTTGCTATAAGGTTAGTAGCTTCTACTATAGCTAATAGCTACATATGTACTACCCTACTACATACATGCACTTCAACATATTAACCAACATTCGATACACACGCAACTCACAACTGCGCACATCCTTTCTAACAACATGTAAAATCCACCGCCACGGCTGGCTACCCTACGCATGCAATGACTTTTAAATATCCAGAGGATGCCTTCATCAATCTTCTGAGGTCTACATATTCCCACGCGCGGCATGCTCGTAGAAGCATCTCCCCATCCTTGGCCACGCCGCCGTCCTCGCGCCGGTTGAGTTCCCTAGCATTGGCAACTCCCAGATGGCCTCTCAAACCGTTACTTGTTGCTCAATTGGCCCGTGATCGAACCGAAAAGCTCCCGCGACTCCGAACCCGGTCCTTTGCAACTATTGGTGCTGAGAATGATATCCCTTCCAATATCGCTATCCTGGGTGGTGGCATCACCGGATTGACCACGGCCCACTACTTAGCCCGCCATGCCCCAGATGCGAAAATCACGCTGTATGAGGGATCTGGCAGACTGGGCGGATGGATAGACGGGGGGCTGGAACATACTCCTGACAAATCGAGCAAGGTCCTTTTCCAGCATGGTCCGCGCATGCTTCGAACTGGCAAGTCATCGTTGAAGTATGACGACCTCGTCTTTTATGATGTGGTGGGTAAACATTCTAAGTAAACGTTCTAGGTTACAGGAACCCTGCTAACCGGTGATTACCCCTCCTCCAAGGTGGCCAACTTGAAGATAATGGACAAAATCATGATCCCTAAAGGCAACACTAACACTCGTTACCTCTATTACCCGGACCACTTGGTTAAGCTACCTGAAGGTAACCTCTCCTTAACAAACATCGTCAGGAGTACCCTAAGCATTCTTACCGAACCCATATGGGATGGGTTTCTAAGTTCTGGTTGGAATGCCGCAAAATATAGGGCGGAGACGAGGTGGCGGCAATCTGATATCTCGCACGCTGAACAGTTGGCCAAAGACGAATCCATAGGTGCCTTCTTCGAGAGGACAATGGGAGACGATCGATTTATCAAAAACGTTTTTTCTGGCATGATGCATGGCATCTATGGCGGCGACGTATATAAACTGAGTGTGAAACAGACGGCCTTCAGTAACTGGTGGCGTTCATGCATACTCCCAACAAATGATGGTTGTGCCTGGGTAGATACGAAGGATATTATTCTTTCCTATGATATACTGGATGGCCCAAATCGATTTCAGGTTGGAAAACTCGCAACAGAAGCTTTGAACTACGATACCATAGTGTTTGAAGACGGCCTGCTTACCCTTGCCAATAGCATGATTCAAGATCTTAGGACATGGGAGAATGTGACAATCAAAACTGATTGCCCAGTCACCTCCCTGGCCTACGACAGTAACCAAGTATCTGTACGTGTTTTTGTGTGGCGCTCAAGAGCATCTTTTGCACCAATGCTGACTGCTTTCTAAGATAACGACGGCGAACAACCAGGAGCAGCCGGAGAAATATGACAAGGTTATCAGCACCATCTTCTCTAAACACCTTGCCGAACTAGTCAAATACGAGGATGGCCACACCCGACTCCCTTCACTTGCTGACACCCATGCTGTGACCATGATGGTCATCAACTTCTGGTTCCCAAACCCTGATCTCCTCAGCCGGAACCACGGGATGGGCTACCTCGTTCCCATTACCACACCAAACAACCCCGAGTGCTTTCTGGGTGTGCTCTTTGACTCAGACATCGCCAACCCCAACGAAGTGCCTGGCACTAAGCTCACCGTCATGATGGGTGGCCATTACTGGGATAGCTGGAAAGTGTATCCCTCCGAAGATGTGGCCAAAGCGATGGCTCGCGAAGCCCTTCAGCGTCACCTCAACATTGACATCTCTGAGCCAGCTGTTGCTTCTGCTACCCTCTGCCGCGACAGCATACCTCAGCACTATGTTGGCCACCGCGACCGCATGAGCGAAGCTCACCACGAGCTACTCACCGCCTTTGAAGGTCACCTTACCGTCGCGGGCCCTAGCTACACCACCGTCGGTGTTCAACCTGCCATTCGTGCTGGCTTCGACGCTGCTATGCGCGTAGTGCGCGGCCACGGGCCTCCCTATTTCCGACACCCTCACAACGAAAACTCAAGTTCCTTTTTCGATAGGCTGTGGGAACAGATCCGAAAGAGAAACCTTATGAGCGAAGTACCGGATCACGTGGGCGAAACGGGACTCAAAGAATTCACCCGCCCGGATTATGATACGTACATGTACATGTATAGGTCTGCCTTGCATTACCGCAAGTGGGCTAAGAAGTCAGACGACGAGGACTAGTGAATGGGAATAAGCATCTTGATGAGAACATGAGTAGTAGGTGATGTAAAGAACGAGGATGATATTGTAGATAAGGCCAACATCATATAGAGCAAAAAAAAGAAGGGAGGGGAGGGTGATTTGAATCGCGGTTGCATTAGATGCATTGAAACTACCTACTTACATGTATATACCTCCCTACGGGTAGATAGGTAGATATTTGCTACTACATATGTGTAGATGGAATGACGGAGACTTGGTACTTACTTACATACCTGTATCGTACCTAGATTCATACATAGGTACCCAGGTAGTAAAACTCTATTGTATAAGGTGAAACAGAGGAGGTAGCCGCCGCGTAGACGCATTCACTCATAGATTCCTAGGTACCTAGATAGGTTAGGGGGACGCTTCAAAGAGCCGTACCTATGAAATGCATCATTTATCAACACGGGGAGAAGAGAGAAATAATTAGACAATGAAAGTGATCAAGTGTTTTTGCGTATATCTTGGGAATCAAATATATTCAATTCCGATGCTTAATGCCCCAAAAGGGCAAAGCTATCCTAATGCTAATGCTTGATGCTCAATGCCAATGCTAATGCTAAACGCGATGCATATGCCGATGTAATGATATCCATAATGAGATGCTGTGCTCTCTTCTCCCTTTCTCTCTATGTCTAGGTAGGAGAACCAACCATCTAGCGATCTAAATACCAAGCCAAGTTCGGAGGGAGCCAACTCCGATTTTTTTTATCTATCCATATTTTCTCCTTCCTCTTTTCCTAGGTAGACTTCGGTTTTCCTACTATCCCTAAGCCAAGCCAGTGGCTTTTTACCAATGTGGGTGCTTGATAGGTTGCGAGTGAGAAATATGTTCGTGGGAGACTCTGTAGAGGCAAAGGTGGAGGATCTAAGCTGGGTACATAGAGATGGCGTTTTTGCTACAGAACTCGACGCCAGGTGATGTCTCTCACATGGGTATAATATGATTTGTTGAGAGCTGGCGTCGGAAAAACATATTTCGTATGGGGATAGTGGCATATCCTTCTAATTTGTGCCGTGTCTTTAGAGCCTTGTAAGGCCTCTGTGGAAAGGGGTTCTCTTCTCTCATACACAGGAAGAAAGGCCCTCTAACATAATTCTTAAACGATATACTGAGGATAATCCTCGGCGACAAAGGTAGATAATAATGTGGGTAAACTTTATGTAAGAGGGTAAGGCCGGGTATCAGTGTCGTATATTGCGCTTTTTATGGCTCGTCTTTGCTTGCCAGGTCTGGCATCTCGCTCCTTAGGCTTGTTGTGTAGGAGGTGCTACGTCGGCAATCTCTGCCTCGTCGTCTCCCAACAGCATTCGTCTCCTGCACTCATCCATGACGGACTCCTGGTCCTCGTCGACCGCGTCGAACTGTCTCTCGACACGGGAAGCTAGAACTAGCTTCTTCACACAGGAATTGTAGATCAGACCCTCGATCGACTTATCAGTGATCAATTTGATCACTTCTACGTCTCGAGTCTGGCCAATCCTGTGCGCTCGGTTGGATGCTTGAACGTCTTCTTGGGGGTTGTCAGATTGGTCGAAAATGATGATCTTGTTCGCAGCAACCAAGTTCAAGCCGGTGCCGCCAGACTGGGTGGTCATTAGGAAGACCGGAATCTCGGGGTTATCCGTGAACCGCTGACATTCCGGAAATCGACCAGCCGTGTCAGTTCTTCCTGTGAACAAGCAGAACGGGATATCCGCATGGTCGAGGGTCTCTTGCAAAATGTCCACCACCATCTGGAACCTGCTAAAGACCAACACGCGGTCCCCGTTTTCCATATACCGACGCACGAGCTCGAGGAACCTCTTGACCTTGGGGCTTTCCTCCCACGAACCCTTAGGGATATCAAATTGGCCGATATATTTCTTAAATTCCTTGCATTCAAGGTGCAGCTCAAAGTCCGATTTCTCCATGAGTTCTTTCTCGAAGCGAACCTTGAATCGCTCGTTCTTTTCCTGGACGTATAACTCCTCTTCGGAACACCTATCCCAGAGAATGTCTACCATCTTCTTGACTTTGTCGTCCGTAAAGTGGTGGCGGAACAGTTGATGGTGTATGGCAGCCTTTTTAAGCTGCATCCAAGGATGCGACTCCTTGGCATTGACACCATTCTCCAACAAGTACTTGCCCTTGATGGAGTCGTAGATTTGCTTTTGAACTTCGTGCATTCCCACGATCTCGAGCCGTTCGGTCTTGCTAGGAAGTTCAATGACATCATCCTTCCGTCTCTGAAGAATGAAAGGTGCCATAACAGCGCGTGCCCGATCAACCCGTTCTGATGCCAATGCCGCAAAGTTAAGGACATCCTTGCTCGTAACCTTCGTCTCAAAGATGGTGTGCAGTGTCTCTAAGGAATCCGCTTCGAAGAGGCTTGGCTCGATGAAGCGAAGCAGGGCGAGCAACTCCTTGAGGTTATTCTGGACAGGCGTGCCACTGATGACAAGACGCCAGTCTGAGGGTACACGCATCATCTGGTTGTAGATGAGGGTTTTGCTATTCTTCAGTCGATGTCCTTCGTCGAAGATGGCAGCCTATTATTTTGATTAGCTTGACTCGATTCAGGAAAATGAAAAGGGGTTACGAACATGTGGGTTAAGCAATTGTAGCCACCGGAGATCCTCCTGCTGCTTCTCTACTTGTGAATACGTAGTGAGGACAACATGGTGTTTCCTAGCGTCGCTCGTACTGATCTCCCTACGGCTCTTGCCGGAATATGCCAGCACTTTGATATCTGGCGCGAACTTCTCGAACTCGCTAAGCCAGTTCTCGTATGTACTAGGAGGGACAACTACCAAGTTCGGCCAGGGTTTGGGTGTGTTTGGCTCGCGTTTAGACTCGACCAGGTGGGCGATGAATGAGATTACCTGGCAGGTTTTACCGAGACCCATATCGTCAGCAAGAATGCCGCTGTAGCCTTTCGAGTGCAACAAGTTCATCCAGTTCAGACCAACCAGTTGGTAAGACTTCAACTGAATCTCTTCGCTCATGAGTGCGGGCTTTTTGGTTATCGGTAATTCCACAAGGCTATCCGACCCCTTCTTTAATATCCCGTTTCCGTCCATAGACCAGTCCGCCATGGTGGATCGGATATCAGTGCCCCTGTTGTCGCATTCGTCAATGATGGCAGTGGCTGCTTCACATGCTTCCAGCCAAGTTGTCAATTGTTCAACAATTGCCCCGCCAATCATGACGTTGCGCGTCTTGTGCTTTTTCGACTTGGACTTGTCCTGTTTTGATACATTCTCGGCATCGCTGATTGTCTTGAACGGCCTCGCAGATACCATCAGCCTCGCATCAACAGGTGACCCGATCATGCGCCCCAGGGAATCGGCAGTACAGGTGTTGAGATATTGGAGGACATTGCTGTTCTCCTCGCTCGAGTGCTGGGAGTCTGGGGTGCCGAATTCTTCTCCTCCCTCCGAGTTTAACGAGGGCTCGTATACCATAGCGTTTTGCTTTTTGGAATCAGCAGAATCAGTCTTAGGCGAACTAGTTGTAGAAAACGATTCGCCTGTTTCCAACTTGGCCTTCTTATTAGGGGACGAGGCGAGGTCAGGATTCTCTGATTCCCGCTTTCGCGAGCCCTCCTTTTTGGGTGGTCCAGCCTTCAGGTTAGTTCGTCTCTTTCGGGAGAGCCGAGTGGTTGAATCCGAGTCAGAATCAGATAAAAGACTGATAGTGTTGGTGGGGGGAAGAGAAGGCGGAGGGGTTCTATGACGACGACCTTGCATAAGTCGTCGGCGGGGTTGAGGTGGTGCCTCCGGCGAAGGCGAACGAGGAGACTTCATTGTCTCGGTGATAGAGTCTGTGGGGGTTGTGATCGAGGAGTTAGATGATGAAGGCTGAGAAAAAACAGCAGACGACGCCGGAGAATCTTGAGATTTCTGGACAAGACGTCTGCGGTTTGGGTTACTTTTATGTAACGATTGAATCGAGTTTGCAGTCGTCGACTTTGGATCTTTCAAAAATGAGTGCAAGTTCTTTTGAGTGGATCCAGCAGCACGTCCTTCGTCTCTGAGGCTTATGGGGTTCGATTCAGTGCCGTTAGCATTGTTAGTAGTACGAGAAGAACTAGTACTTGGTGCATTGGCACTTTTTGATGATGGGAGGGGCTTGGGAGTGACACCCATGAGAATGTCAACTGCCTTTGAAACGTTCCAGCTGACATCCTTCTGTAAAGCCTCCTTGGAAGCCCGAATGGTAATTTCAGGGATCATCTTTCGGGCAATCTTGTAAACCTGACTTGTCAGATGCCGCAATCTGATATCACGAATATCACTTAGAGCGATATCCCTCTTATCTGACCACGTAGCCCTAGGCTTTGAGGCGAGCTGAGGGCTAGGCTTCTTTACAAATGACGAAGGCCGTATATCTCCCCTAGTTGGGGTATCATCATCCGAGCTGTGATGCTTCTTATAGTCTTCCAATAATTCATCATCAGAAATCTCCAAATAGTCCTTCTGGCCTTTGGATCCATTACTTGGGCGCGGTGCTTTCTGCGCTGTAGGTGGCCTGAAGGAAGTCCCCGCTGGAGCCATTAGCGAGCCCACTCTACCAGCGACACCAGGCCTCTTCTCCGGCGTTGCTGAGACTCTGGCCAAGCTTTTCGGCTGGAATGGTGATGAAGCGGGGACCTCAATAATCGTACTTGGCGAATTAGGTACCAGAGGGGAGGATGGCGCTCGTAGTGTAGGCCGATTCACTATCTGTGTAGGCTGAGTTGCCCTGCCAACTATCTGGGTCGGCTGGGTAAAGTATGGCGAGGAGCATGGAACGCTGTCAAGGACAAGCTCGTCAAGCTCTTCAACTCCGTCATCATCTCCATCTATTTCGATAGAGGTTGAGGTAGTGCTATGGCCCAGGCCGCCAGGTTTCGCTTTGAGACCCCATGCCGAGTTGCTAGATTGTGAAGTGAAAAGGCCTTTACTGGAAGTCGATGATGTTGGTGCCATGATTGGCAAACCAGATTCAGAAACCTAGAAAAAGGAAACAAGACTTGAGAGATTCAAAGAGAATACTCTCAGCTTGGGACAGATGATGTGAACGAGGTAGCGTTATGGTATATAGAAATTAGTGATTTTAGCAAATATATGAGGATAGAGTGCGCAAAGTAAGATAACACTTAAGGCACACAAAACTGGAGATAAATAGCCGAGTTTTGACGCTTTCAATAGGCGGTCGTAACAGACTATGAATCCAGATTGTTGGTATGCGAATAAAGAGTGTGAATGAAGAAGTATGGAATTGTGGTGAAGGTGTAATGTGCGAAGTAATGTTGGGGATATTATTTTTTTCGGCGACAGTATGCACAAGGGATTAAAGTGGCAACGCGCCTGAACGCGGGAAAAAAAGAGCGTCTATGAGGCGTTCCCGAGCGCGCTATCAGCTGACGTGGAGAACGTTTAATTGACCACGCTAAGTACTAGGTACTAGTTACTGTGTGAATATCAGCTTCAAGAGGTCTATGTGTGCATACAGAAGATTGTAGAATAACATACCGTAGGTAATTCTTGAAGTGAGTAAATAACAAATCAGATCTCCTCTTGTTTGACCTGAGCGATCAGATTCTTGGGTTTGGTTCTTTTTGTAGAAAGAATTGAAAAGAAAAAAGGGAGCACTAGAGAAGTGCTAGTATGAATAAGCTACAAGGGTTATAAGGATAAAGTGTTAAGTTAAGTTATTAAAAGTTAACTTGCCTACCTGCATGTAGTTCCCTTTTGACCATTATTCAATTTCCTTTTGCGCAATCGAGATAACGATAACATTCAATGTATGTATCTTTTAGCATAGTATCCGTATTCACTTCAGTCTTCTGCTATTTACCTACATAGCCAGCTACTAAAATAACCAATTGCAAAATAGGAAAGTGTCTATATTACATAACACTTCATCAATTAACAGAGTTTCAACTGCTTTACAAACACTTCAGCCCAAACAAACTCATTCATAAGGAAAACTAAACAAGATAAAAGAGAAACACCTACACCTACACCTACACCTACACTATGGCAACCCGCCGTATCATATCTACTGAGAAAACCATTCTCGACCAAGATGACGATGATGTCACCAGCCAGCAAGAGCCGAGCAACACCACCCCGGCTGTTCCTATGTGAGTGAGCGTGAGAGAGAAGCTCCTCTTCAAGAAATCGCGTTCTTGCCTACCCACCCACGCCTCCTTTACTCAACTCTCAAGCTGTCTTAAGAAAATTCAAACAGAGTCTGACTTGGGTTGCTACCTAGGCATGTGATTTTCAAACTTCTAGCCTTCACCTTCGCCATGGTAATCGTGCCCATCGGGTCCTACTTCGTGTCGGTGAACACCATATTTAGAGGTATAATCCGCAATCCGCAATCCGCACACATCTCCCTCCCCCTCTCCCTCTTCTACCATGATTGCTCCACAACGACACGACACTCATCAAGCAGCTGTCACGTGACAATCCCCTAAGAAGAAGAAGATAAACTGACAGCCCCTCGCAGGCAATTCCACCTATGCCGGCGGCCTAGCAGCCATCATGGCGAATGTGGTCCTCGTGGGGTACGTGGTCGTCGCTATGAATGAAGACCAGTCAGAGCAGCTCGCGGCGAAGAAGAAAGAAGGCAAAAAGGATTGATCATGCCGATGTGGCCCAAGGACTTTCGAGCGGCTCGGGAATGTTGTTTTCCTTCAACGATGCCGCCCACTGGCAGCTCTCACATGGGACAGAGAGGATTTGACTGAAATGGGAGAGCACTGCGAGGATATCTTAGGTACAAGATATTACTGGTATCTACGCGCTTTGGGGTTCAAAAGTACTCTAACAGCATGTCCCAGCAGCATATGCTAGAGATGTTTATCTAGCAGATGGCATATCATGTATGCTATTGACCCAAATCGCCTCGACATTGAAGCATTCGAGACGAGAATATTATAAGACACCTTACGATCATTTTCACTTATCTTACTATGGTCACTTGTGCATTAAGAAAAGTCGTAGTAGTACGATATCAACAATGTGATATTTATATCTGGCAAATGGCCGTTTATCAAAGCCATTGGGAGAGCCAAGTTATGTTGCCTGTCCAGTCTCTCTCTTCCACGCATCACCCGAATTGGGCTGCGTGTATCTGCCATCGAGGGTGAGGAAAAGGGGTATTAAGGATAGGCGTCGGGGTATGTGTGACCAATAAGTGTGCCTGCATCTTCCAAATGTTCCTAACTTCATAAACATAACCATTCCTTGATGCTAACTCCCTATCCCATGCTGCCTCTCGCGATTCGTCGAACCCGAGGTACTTACACATCTCTGGATGCGTTATTAAGTATAAAAACTCCAGAGATGATGCTGTCTTGCGAAACTGCCCCACATGGACATCCTCTTCCACCTGGCTCATCGTTCAAAATAATGGGTTCGAGTCTCTCAAAGCTGTGCTGTCTAGAACTACGTCTATATCGGGGACGTAACAAAATAATCATGAGAATGACAGGTCGTAGATACCAGGGTATCTCGAAGGATAAACGGCAAAAAACAGCTGCATCACAGATGCCATCAATTCGTCTCAGTCTCGGTCGGAGGCGCGTTTAGGATTTGCTAAATCGCTTGAACCAACTCTTTCGCTTCTCGGATTTCGGGCGTTCTTGTGCGTGTGTGCTGGGCTGTGCGGACTTCGAAGGCTTCCTTAATAAAGATCCTGTCTCCTTGCGCGGAACGGCCGATTGTCCCAGAGGGCTAGCACCAAGCCCAAGAGTCGGGGGTTGCGGCTGGCCGAAACTGATGCCATAGTCGTTGGTAGGTTCCTGTCGTTTCGGTGGTGATCGGCGATCGATTGAACTGTTATCGCTACTGGTCGGGTCTGTTTGGTATCCTGCAGGTTCACCTAAGCTTCCACTTCCAGAGCCAGACGCCACCGTTTCGTAAGATCGATGATTATTTGGCATAGGATAGACACTCCTATCAGGTCCACCTCCACGACCGCTTACAGCTGGTTCCGACTGCATCCGCGAAAACCTATTCCTTGCGCCAACATTATTGTTATATGTGTATCCCCCGCCTTCATTCGCATCGTGATAGGTATCCCTCGGGCCGTTCATCATCACCGATTGTCTGTTATCATACATCGTGCTCTCCGGTCGGAATGCTGAATTCGATCGCCCTCCGTAGTAGCTATCCTGTGGAAAACGCGGCCCATTGTCTAAGGGTATCCTGTATAAGACTATGCACACACCATAACACCAAGAGAAACGAAAAAGAAAGATTGTACTTACTGCCATAGTAGCTGCCTCTTCTGCTCCAGTCTCCAACTGACTCTGACTCCGATCTCATCATAGATTGGCGACTATATCCGCCCTCGATAACGGCCTCGAACGCTCGAATGGTTTCAAGTGGTCGTTCAAATCGACTTCGAGTGGGATTCGATCGATCGGGATCGGCTTTAAGGCTGGTTAGCTTAGACAGCGAAGGTAAGGTAGATGTGTCACTGACTAATGGGATTTCCATAGATATCCTTATGCTGGAAGGATCGTAGGGGAGTTGGATTAATATCCCCCCTGATTTGGGCCGCCATAGCTATAACTTGTGTTAGTATGCGCGATTAAGACTTTTTATAAGAATATTAAAGGGCTAAATGTGACGAACATGGCTCGGATTCCGTTAATGCCAACATCGGGTTGGTTTTGCCGTGAAGTCTCCCTGCTTCCTTCTCGGCAGATGTCTCGTGAAGATCAACCTTTTGTTGATGGCTCTCTGCGCTCTTTCGAGATTTTTCTGATCGGAAACTAAAAGCTCTGGACTTGGGTCTGGCTCGCTCTGGCTTTTGCGGTTCGGACTGTAGTGGCTTCACTGGCGGCGCCGGCTGCGTTGACTGTTGTTGAAATTGCTGTTGCTGCTGCTGCTGCTGTTTCTGTTGCTGTTGTTGCCGCTGCTGTTGCTGGTACTGTTGATAATGGTATTGTGGTGGAACGGGTGTTTGGTAAGATTCGTCGGTGTTATACTGACCCTGTTGCGGCGGCGGCGGAGCAGGCAGTGGGTGACGGTTATAGTTTGTAGACGCCATTGTCTCAGACGGGCCAAAGGCGTATGTTTTATCGCTCTTAATCCCTGAAAAGATGGAAAGGACGGGCCAGTGGTGGAGTCGGGGAAACTGGAGCTGATGTGAGAGTGGACCGGGGGCTCGATTATGATATGCAAGGAAGCGATCGTGGAGAGTGGTAATCTCGTTAGAAATTTAGTAGTTCTTTCCTTATCATAGACGACGTAGGTGGGCTCCAACTGCAAGCTTTCTGGGTCCAGAGTTGCTATCTGTAACGGTATTGCTAGGTATGTATTGATACCTGAGGAGGTATGTAATTCAAATGTTACTTTGTGATATGACCGATGACCCTTGTAAGAAGCCCAAGGTACAAGTCGTTTTTTCTTCTTCAAGTAATGTCTGATGGAGTGGGTTCTTTCTCAGAAATTATTGATAATAATATCAATGTCAATAATCTCAAGATGTCGCAACTAAATTCAACACTTTTGCTAAAATAGAGAACGAATGGTATCCGGAACAGAGTTACCGGGAACTGACAACAAGAAAATACGGTTTCCTTGTATGAAGGAAAAGAGTGAGTAAGTAAAAAAAAAAAAAAAAAAAAAAAAAAAAGGTGATGATCCTCCGTTTCCAATACTGCTTGCGCTGCGTTGGTCGTGCGTGGTGTCGTGCTACCTGCACACTGCTTGGTAGTGGATCGTGGGAGAATCGGGTGGGCTGGTGGGTAGGTTGGTGGGTCGGTTGCTATTTTCTTCTACTATGTAAGTGGTAAAGCGGGTTGCTGGGCTGCTGGGTGTCAACCGGCTGGTCGGCGAATATGGTCGTCTCAGAATGGATCAAATTCAAGGAAGATGGAAAATGTGGCTGGGATACCAGGGTAAAAAAATATTGACAAGGAGGTCCCGGAGCGTTTTTTTTTTTCTTCTTCTCTAATTGTTCTGGCGCTAATAGTTTTAAAGCCAGCAGTTTACGTCGACTTTTGTCTGTCCACTCCCTAAATAAAGCCTCCAAGCTCCAATCAAAGAAGTCCAGGGCTGTTGAAGGTCGAGTTGCACAATAACTATGTACAGGTACAATACGTATCAACTCCGGCGCCTTGGCGATCGCTTTGATGTATGTATTGGGTACCTATATGTATGTACCTAGGGACGGGTACATGTACATGTAGATGTAGGTAGCATTCAAATCAGTCCAAGACTCCAAGCAAAAGGGACGTTAATATTTCAAGAGGTGGTACGACCCAGTCACTGGCTTGGTAAATCGGTCGACTGAATTGGTTGAGTGATTGATTAATTTCTTGCTCTAATTGTTTTCTTCTTCTGAGATTGACTTCGCATTCGTCGAGTTAAGCTTGGACTTGATCTGAATTGTTGGATGAGACTGAATGGTGGATGGTAGTTGATCTTTTGCACACGGCCTACATACAACGCAGAGACTGAGGTTGGTATGAGAGTATAGTGACGTCAACTTTTGATATTCCTAGTTGCCTATCACTGATGGGATGTTTCAGAAGCGGTAAATCATGGGGGACTGGATTTCCTCTTGTTCTTAACAGTACGTTTTTTTTTCTTTCCTGTTCGAGAGAAATAGTACCTAATATGTACGGTGGTTGATCGGGGGATCCGGTATCGAGTTGCAATCCCAAAGCGCTAATTAGAACTTGGAAGTCGATTTGTCTCGTTACTAGGCATGTAATTCTCTGCAAGCCCCCAAGCCTTCTTTCCAGCGTTTAATCTTAGGTTGATCGCCGTATAGATACCTAGGTTGGTATCGTGCTCGAACAATTTTGTGGGTAAAGAGTGGGATGTTTCGTTCCGACGCGATGGGTTACGAGTTTAGTAGCGAGCGCGTAATGAGGTAGTTAGTCCTCGACACAAAAAAAAAATGAGCACCAATTGATATATATCCTAACGAATGGATGAGATATGGGTAAAGAAGATCAGATGTAAAAGGTTCGAAGGGAGATGAAACCCATTATACGACTGATCTCGTTCTAGTCCGACGGAATCTTTTCAAAAAGTCTTGGGAAAGAGGCAAAGATGCATGTCAGCTTGTGTGGCCTGACAAGGGGTGACGAATGTCGAATACTCACTCATGCCCATACAACAACAGTATCATCGAATGAGCTTTTGACCTTCAATGTTCGGTACGCTGATAATACCTACCTGTAGTATCGATGATTGAACCATTAACAGGTACATAGGTACATACTCAAGTACTGTCAGTCTGTCACTCACTGCAATCATCAATCGCAGACTGGCAGTGCCAGTGTGGCCCAGTGATGGTTGCAACATTAAAGGACGTACCTTGCCTTATCGTATCGATAGAGTGACAAGGATTACGGCTGGGCAGATATCATTCTTTTTTTTTCAGCAACCCTGAACCTTGTCCCTGCAACTCCTACCTTAGGTACTCCTACTATTATCTGTCCTGCCGTCCTTGCCTATCCAGTTATCAAATTCGCTTCTTGGAACATTTTACCACCACGATCTTCTAATATCATTTGCTTACACGTAGGACGTACTTAAGAATCTCATCATCTCGTCATTTCATCATTTTATCATTTGCTTAACAAATTTGTTGTCATTTTGTAACATTTCTGCCAACTTTAGGATCAATCCCTTCTCGTTTTGGACGTGACCTAGCAAACAGGTCCATCCTTTTATCGTCGTGGCAAGCTTCGAAAGACACATACTAATAACTACATACATATTCTCGGGTATCTAGTATCTACTCAGCCTATGGCCCTATGATACTATCATGTACAGTGTACATAGTGAGTACATCCAGGCACACTTTTTATTATACCGATGATGTGACGCTATTACATCTTGCGCTGTAGGGAAGAGTACCTCGACTTTAGATCAACGACATCGACTATCATCTAGATGTTGAAACTATTACAGCTCGAAAGAACATACAGGCTACTAAGCATGTAGGCCTTTCCCATGATCGGTCGATCTTTCAACTGCCTATTGCCTAAAAAAGGAGGTGGGGAAAACCAGCACTGCCCCCTATCAATCGTCATGATGGGGGAATACGAATTGCCATTCATCCACGTGTATTCAAAGACTGAAGATGACGGATTTGGTAGTAGTTTGGTATAATTCGAGATCCCATGCATTAACCATCTATCATTTAATTAGGGATTCAAATTAAAATGTCACGTACATAGGTATCTTACTTACCACACATGAACCAGCAGTACATTTTACGTTTATATTCCTCAGTACTACCATTACCAGTTACAGCGGGATTTAGTGTATACTTCAGATATTATTTTCTTAATATCGAGCACTAAATATATTTGGTGTATAACGCTTATCGCATTTCGGCGCCGAAGAAGAAGAGAAGGAAAAAAAAATAGGAAGAAAAGAAAAAAAGGTCCCTCTTTCTCACACAAGACATCCACTTGGATAACAATTGGCGAGTCTCGGCCTAGACCCCCAAGCACATTCCAGGAGGATTACGAACAGCACCATCAGCAGCTTGTCACCGTTTCCCGAACAAGCTTGGCTGCATCCACTACCACGCAGAGATCGTCGACAGGGCCAAAAGTAATGCCTATTACCGTACACACACTATAATATCGCCAAGATGCGCCTGCGGGAAACCTAACGGTTTTGTGTATGTCTAAGCCAGGCGAGTACCAAATTCGGAATGCTGGTTTGGTGCTAATGAAATCGTATCGTATTCGTGAGGTTTGCTATGGTAATAGACTAGCGACAGTGGCATTGCACTGCTTGGTATAAGAAGTTAAGAAGATCTACCTCCCTTATAAGGATAGGTATCTGTTGGTTTGAGTTGCACCCAAAACTCAGAATCTACAGATGCCAGGGAGCCTACACAATTACCATCAAATCACTCCTACTAAATCACTCCTACTGCGGCACATCTCATGCAGGTATACCAATACATCCGTCCCTCCCGAACCTTTATTTTATAGGTCAATTCCGATCGGGCTAGGGTCCGTTACTGCGACGTATCCCAGTTATACGTGCATACCGGCAACTTGAATACGATCATGACATCGATACTATTTCGATACTATTGACCTATACCACACAAGCCTCCCACTTGTGTAAGCACTTTCACACAGAATAGGAGCGCTATATCAAGTTTTGTAAGTGCCCAGGTGTGTTATAGGCAAAAGCGCTGCCTAGTCCTAGCGCACGGCCTTTCTCAATCGCCCGCACTGGACATGCTCAGAGACACCACTGGTTCTAGACGTGAGACTGGATGGTGAGAGGCGTAAATACATGTATTGGCCGCGCGGCAAGCCCCCGATATGACTCCCGACATCCAACAATGCCGGTGGATCTTCCCGGATTGAACTTGATGGCGAAGACACTGATGATTGAAAGAAAAGATCCAATTCATACAAAGCCACATACGTTATTCAACCCCTCTCAAGCTGAAAGAGGGCCTGCCTACATACGGGCCATCCCTGATAAGCTTATGTATCTGTATCAATCAAGCTTTTTTTGCTCATTCCAGTCAAGGCAGTCGGCACTTAATCGCCTATGCATCCGGCGATGGATAGATAGACATAGGCCCATATCTACGTACATAATAGGTATGTACACGGACCCTACTATTGATATGTACATACTACTACCTAAACTATGTAGGCGGTAAGTTCATCTTGCAGATGCAGCGGCCGGACAAGCAGGGCAAAGTAAAGCAACGCAACGCAACGCAAACCCCTTCTCCCCACACAACAGCTAGATGATAACACGGGTAAGCATGGGCACATATCAAAGACAATGGTGCCTAGGTATTCATATGATTGGACACATAGATTGCGGGAACAACTTTCGTATCTCGAAGGTCTTGCCTTGCCTTGCCTGCCTTATCTCTGTTGAGTGGATATTGTACCCATAGGAATGTATTATGTATTGCCAAGCTGCAACCGTGCTGTAGGTAGGTATATGTACATACACACACACGTACCTACACGATACATACATCTATGTAGGTTAGATTACTACTATCGTAGCCTACAAATGTACGGTATGTAGGTATGCAATGAGGCAGGCTGTGGGTTATGCAATAGGCAAGCGGGATAAGGGCAAAACAAATCAGGGCCACCACCGACCAGACCACTCTGCTGACCCGGGCCGAGCACCGGGAAATCGAATCGATATTTATTTATAGCCAAGGGACTGACTGCGGCTCGATAGGGCTGATCGGCTCCGTGATATAGGTACCTACATACCTACCTACATCCATACATATATAGATGTCCGCCTGCCTACCTCAGGTATGTATGTACCTAGGAACCCGGGATATGTAAGTATATCCCGAGACTCGATCTGGTGTTTCCTTTTGTGTGACCGTGGCCGTGGCCGCAGTCGAAACGAGGCCAGCTTGGTTGTACGGTTCGATATTTAAAGTCGTCCCGAGATTCGTACTAGGCTAGGTAAGGTATATGTACCTATTCTGCTAATCGCATTAGATGACTTGTGGCACGCCTAATTACGTTGGTGATAGGTACATAATTATATATGATCGAGGCCTCCTCAGATATACAAGCTGCTCTATGTATCACTTTCGGACCCCCCCCCCCCCCCCCCCTTCTCCACGAACTGAACTTACGGCCCCCATGGAACAACACCCAGCTTTGGCCTTCCCTTCACATGCTCTCGAGATTGGTGGCCTAGACTCAACCTGATCGGTTACCTTAAGTAGGTACATATATCCATTTCCATATCCATACCTATCTAAACTACATGTGTGTATCATAAAACCACATATTCCGACAGCCCATCCCCCTCGCCCAGACACCCCCAATATCGAAAATTCATATCATCGAAAGTCCAGATCCCGAACCCGTTATAACGGGTAGCTGCCTCCCTGGGTACGGTTCGTCGCACCCTTTCCCTGCCCATACCCCTTACCACGACCGCATTTCTCGTCGATGCGTCCGCTGCAGGTAGCCAGCCAGCCCGTCTCGCGGCACCGCAGCCACCCGAGTCAACCGTCGGACATATTGGATGTAATATCAACAACACGTTGTAACCCCACAGCTAGGTACATAGGTCCAAGGCTTATTCAATCAACTCTTGTTTTTGAACTATAATAAGGTTATCCAGATAACGGCCTACATAAACAGGCATTGCCATTCAGCTCGTGTAACTGCAATGTGTCTTGGAGAAGAGTCAAGTTTAGTAGTAGCCTGCTTGGAATAAATTGAAAAGGGGGGGCTGAACCTAGACAATGAAGATTGAGGCAAGAGGCTTCGTCTAAGGTACCCTCCTGGACATTACCTGAGTTGGCGTTTCCACCTTAAGTAGTACTCCTCGTAGCTTGTAATATAAGTAGAGGCCTCATAGCCGACATGGTCACAATTTTAGAACGTCCCTTGGTACCTGTGTGGATTGTTCCTGACCAAGACTTGACGAGTATATTCCTCTGTGGGTAAACTAGAACACCTCCAATGTGGTCAGACACGAACCCGTCATATAGTTGGGTATGTTTGTAGACCCCAAGTCTTGACCTGCCTTGACCTGCCTTGGCCTGTAATCGCTACAGCTCCCCACAGATAATTCATTCAGCACAAGATGGCACATGTAATATTTGGAATTTGTCTTATTAATCGATCTCATCCTAGGGGTTGCGTTAAGTTGGAATCCCACTGCTACTCGGCCCTGAGGCTCTTGACAATTTGCCTTGTGATCGGAGATTTTGGTGGATTTCGGGAACCATGCTCCTTCGTACTTTTGCACTCTGGCATCGATCGATCGAGTTGTCCTTCTCCTCTCACATGGAAATTGATGTCTAATTAGCCATTCACAATGTAAGACTTTTGTTTAGTACCTAGGAAGTTTGTAGGTATTCATTCGTTTGATGCTAGTCGCAAGGCTGAAGCCTTATACCTTGCCTAACCCAGATGCAGCCAATCATGAAACCATCCACACTACCAACTCCGGCCCGAACCCATCTTATATCGCCGAAGGGTAGAGCATGATACGAACAGAAGCACCGAAAGACTTGGAGGGAAGGGGGGTAGCGAACTTGGCACGGACAACACCAGAGTTGCCTACAAAGATGGCAGTTAGCAACATGTTTTCGCACGACAGAAAATGTAGAATTGTTGATAGCATACCGTGAGGTCGAGTGACCTTACCCCAGATCACGCGGATCTTAGTTCCTCGGATCTCTTTCTGGCCTTTGTAGACGTATGCGACCTTCTTGCCTAGGTAGAAACTACATCTCAAGTGTTAGAATTGCGTGTCTGTTGGAGGAATTGATATCTGCGAAACGTACGTAGCAGCCTCGGTATCATCGACGCCCTCAATCTTGATTAAGCTTGTCTTCGGGTGCGTAGTGTGTCGGCTGCGCTGGTAGCTCAGGTGGCGACCCCTAAAGGTGAACTTCAGTTAGCTATTTGCTCGTCGTATTCAGCTGCTTTGAATTGCGCCGCGGGTTGATTGATAAATCCAACAGGGAGTCATTGGTATGCTTGGGAAGCGTCGGCAGCCTTCGTTGCTAAGGCCGTGAATCGTTGGTTTTGAGATGCTTAAGTTACTTACTTGACGTATACTGCAGGCAAATTGATTAGCAAAAGGTTCTCTAGCAAGAGCTTTAAAAATCCAAGGCGCGAATGAGTGCGTTACGCGACCGCGACTCTGTTGAATGGACGAATGTGCAAGAATATGCAAGAATAAAATGCGCAAGACTTACATCTGTGACCTGACTCGGAAGGCATCTTGATTTAGTTATCCCCACGACTCTCAGAAGTCCGTAATGGTACTGGAATCCGGGAGACGTCTTCTACAAAAAAAGACCTTTGTGGTGTGTTGGGCGTTGGGCGTTGTGTCGTCGAATGTTGTGATAACTAAATCTCCAGGTGGACTCTTGACCGTTTGGAGGAGGTTGAATGATGGAGATGGATTGGTGCGAAGGGCTAAGCGAGCCCTGTTGCTGCACAGAAATTCTAAAAATTTTGACTTTGGTGCGGGGTGGCTTGACGGATTGATTTTAGTCTCTTAGCCACAAGTGGCTTTCAATTCTTGTCAACGGCCCGGGTGCACTGCCAAGCTCCACGCTGATTAGTACTATTACTAATTGGTTACATAATACCACTAACCACTAGTTAACTCCCTACCCGAAGAATATCCGATTTCGCAGACAATCTGAGCTTAAGTTTTAGCTTTCAGATCAATAGTTACCTGCCTACGTAATTGTTCTCGCATTCGATCCTCTTTATTCCTCCCGAACGATTTAAGTTCCATTCAACACTGCACAACTGTTGAATCGGACATAAACCACCTTGCTTATCTTCTTATCCCCATATTTAATCATGTGAGCTTCTACATAGCATCTACTTAACTCCGGAAGCTCCATCCGAAAACGGGAGGATTCTGGATAGGATGCAGAGTGTCAGGGACGACTGTTGATCCCTTGATCCCTTACTTGTTACACTGTAGTAGATATACCCTAGCCTTTATAGAATTCTATGAGATGCGTGACACCTGGTGCCATGTTGCGAGTAGGTAGTTGACCATTACAATGCAATCAATATGATCTTACAAACACTCTAAAACCAGCTGGCGAGCAAAATAGGAGTGAAACGGACCTTGCAATGAATATTACATTCGTTAAACGATACGTCTTAGTCTGCCGTGCAACTGTGGTCACTGGGCATCCTTCGATTTTGTCTCTATTACTAGTTGATCAATAATCCCTCAAGCATCACAAATGTGGGTGTGAAGACTGCAAGAGCGTTGCTTGATGACGACCTGATTGCGACCATATGTGAACCAGATGACTCTAGATATATATTTCTCGCTTCATCGGTCTGATATAAGTCTGGAGCAAAAGAAAATGGAAAAGGGAAAATAAGAATATATATCGACCTAAGCTTGAAGTACCCTAGGTAGGTAGTAGATGGGTGTTCTTAGACTGAGCAATGACAGTGAGCATGATGTTGTATGTATTTAGTTGAAGTCTGGTGAAAGGACCCCGCGGTCGGCACAATATGAGCCTGTTTGTCTCTCACTTATAAAGAGAACATAAGCTTTTCGGCTAGGTGAGGGGGGCTTAAGCCGTTCGCTGTAAGGGGCCTGAGTAAGCTCCCCACTGACCGGAGGTATAAAAGAGGTAAACAGCGTGGTTCGTTGAAAATATACCTACCTAGGTAGGTAGCTTATTTTGGATTTGTAAAGCTGAATTTGAACAGTAACACGTCCAAGTACGTACGTGGGTACTTAGCTGGTACTTGACACTTATTTGACACTTGGTAAGTCTTAAGGTTAAACCCACATTGTGCACGTCAGCCACTCGAACTCAAAATCAGGTATCAAGAAAGTACCTGCCTTACCTCCAGGGCTACAAAATAGGTATCTGAGATCGGCCTTAAGGCCTGTTACATATGTTACATACATACAGCGAACTTTACCAAGCCCTGACTTCGTCCGTCCGTCCCGCCCGCTCAATTCCCCCCCCCAAGCTTCTTTTCCACCGTCGTTCCAATCATCCACCTTTCCTCGGCTTTTCCCATTATTTACAACCACTTCTCAATTCCCTTCATTCTTACTTTGCTATCATCATTATTACTTCTCTTAAAAATTAACTAATTGTCTACTTGTCGGTGAGCTTGACACAATGGAATCTGCTGCAAGGTGAGCTCCCAAATACCCCGCGCCCACCCCGCTATTTCTATTATCATCGTCATCTACCGCTCCGCGATATCGCTCCGCTGAGAGTTTTTGTCACGCAATCTTGGAACATTGGCGGGCGGTTTGAGAGGCGCGAACCTCTCGTGAAGCTCAAGGTGTGGTATTATATATTGTAATATAGATTGGCTAATTTGTCTTTTAAATAGTTCCATGGAGCTCAAGGATAACACGGTTATCGTGGTCCTTGGTGCTTCTGGAGATCTCGCAAAGAAGAAGACTGTAGGTGATATACCTTTTCACTTTTGAAGACCTCAATTACTAATGCTTTAATAGTTCCCTGCTCTCTTCGGTCTCGTGAGTTCAACCTCTGATCCGATTTATTTCACCAAGCACGTGAATAACTAACAAAATCGAAAGTACCGCAATCAATTCCTGCCGAAAGATGTTAAGATCGTCGGCTATGCGCGAACGAAGATGGACCACGAGGAGTACCTCAAGCGAGTCAAATCATACATCAAGACCCCTACCAAAGACATGGAGAAGCAGCTCGCAGAGTTCTGTGAGCATTGCAGTTACGTGTCTGGACAATATGACCAGGATGATTCGTTCTTGAACCTTAACGCCCACCTTGAGAAGCTAGAGGATGGCCGACGCGAGACCCATCGTCTATTCTACATGGCACTTCCTCCTAGTGTCTTCACAATCGTCTCCCAGCACCTCAAAAGATGTTGCTATCCTTCTAGAGGCATCGCGCGAGTTATTGTAAGGACAGCTCTTACGGAGGGATCTGGTACTTGTATAATAATACTGATTATTCTGCACAATTAGGTCGAGAAGCCTTTCGGAAAGGACCTCGCTAGCTCGCGCGAGTTACAAAAGTCGTTGGAACCTGATTGGAAGGAGGATGAGCTTTTCCGTATCGATCACTACCTCGGAAAAGAAATGGTGAAGAATATCCTGATTCTTCGTTTTGGTAATGAGTTCTTTGGTGCTACCTGGAACCGACACCACATAGACAACGTTCAGATTACCTTCAAGGAGCCTTTTGGTACTGAGGGTCGTGGCGGATATTTCGACGAATTCGGCATCATTCGAGATGTTATGCAAAACCATCTACTTCAGGTCCTGACGCTGCTAGCGATGGAGCGGCCAATCTCTTTCTCAGCAGAAGATATTCGTGACGAGAAAGTCCGCGTTTTGCGAGGTATCCCAGCCATCGAGCCTAAGAACGTCATTATCGGCCAATACGGAAAATCCCTAGATGGCAGCAAGCCCTCTTATAAAGAGGATGATACCGTCCCTAAAGAGTCACGCTGCCCGACCTTCTGTGCTCTAGTTGCCTACATCAAGAACGAGAGGTGGGATGGTGTGCCGTTCATCATGAAGGCTGGCAAGGCTCTAAATGAGCAAAAGACGGAGATTCGAATACAGTTTAAGGACGTTACTAGTGGTATCTTCAAGGACATTCCTCGAAACGAACTCGTCATGCGTATCCAACCGAACGAGAGTGTTTATATCAAGATGAACTCGAAGCTGCCTGGATTGAGCATGCAAACTGTCGTGACGGAACTGGATTTGACTTATAGACGACGATTCTCCGACCTCAAGATCCCCGAGGCCTACGAATCGCTGATCCTAGACGCACTCAAGGGCGACCACTCTAACTTTGTTCGAGACGATGAGTTGGATGCTAGCTGGAGGATCTTCACACCCCTGCTACACTACCTTGATGACAACAAGGAGATTATCCCGATGGAATATCCCTATGGTGAGTAGAGAGTTGATTTGATATTGATGCTCACAATATGCTAACCTCTTTCCCAGGCTCCCGAGGACCTGCAGTCCTAGATGATTTCACGTCATCTTATGGGTATAAATTTAGCGATGCTACAGGCTACCAGTGGCCAATGACTTCGGCATCACCCCCCAACAAGTTGTAAGTATATGTCAGCATAGTGCTTCAACGATAAGATGTCAGACAGCCTTGGTAGATCTCTCATACTTAGAGTAAATACTGATGTCTTCCTAATAGTTGATTGGGTGCTGCGTCGTTGCTATCCGTTGATATCCGTCGATTTATGATGCTACTTGGATTACCTACCTACCTGCCAGGTACTTCGCCGACGAGGGGCATTTGAGAATGCCAAGCTTCGGCACATTGAATCATGAGAAAAACAAAGGGATGTCTTCATTTCAAGTATCCATTGTTGGGTTCTAGACGATAGGAGGGCGGATATTCTGACGAGCTCTACTGCGTACCTACAAAAATAGAAAGCAATGATAAAGTATGGGCCAATCGACTGCAATGAGTTTTTATGTGTCTTGTGTCGATGAATGAAGCAAGATTTTGGCTTGATCTGATGGACGGTGTATTGTTTATGTTTCGGCCTATATATACATGCTTACCTGGTACCTATAGTATAACATGATAGCTATATAGGATCGGAGTTGAAGGAAGAATTGTGAGTTTACAATCTTGAATGGTGTTTTTGATGGGACGAACCGTCCTGCTGCGCGCTTTCTCTTATGATCGGGCTATATATTGTTTTATATGTCAGGTTCCAAGGTTGCAATTATATGACCCTTGGATTGATGATGGCTTCATTGCATGGCTGCGTCACGTTCTCGATCGCAAGACTCTGTAGACTGAAAGATCGTAATTATCGTACGGCAGTGAGTTGACCTGCTTGCCTCAAAACTTCTCAGCCTTCTCGCAATTGCGATATTTCGTCAATGCATAAGTAGGTAGGCAGGCAGGCACATTGGTATATCTCATACATATGCCCAATTGCATACCTACCTACCTAGGTATGCATTGTATCAAGACTCTGACGGAACCAGCCCATGTTTTTATGTGTACAGATCACGGAGAGAGATGCTGAGGAGAGCGAGACGAGGAAGATCCCAAAGCTTGGAGTCGGGATAATTGCGAACCCCGAATGCCACATAGTATATCGGCACCGTAGTAAGACGCTAGAGTTTACCGAGAACTGGCCTTTCATTTTCTTGCATTTTCTTGCATTTCTTTTTTTCTATACGCCGTAAATTGCTGCACAACTTTTCCCCAACTATGTATGTACGAATACGCGAGATCGCTGATTGGTTGGGCTGTTTCTTTTTTTTTGACTCAACCTGGCTGGAACAAGGGGGATCGGGGGCCTAGATCTACCAGGTTAGGCATGACACAGAGTTGCTACCTAGTTGCTAGGCACACCTTATAGGACAGGCAGGGTAACAATTCGCGATGACGATAGAAGGAAGGACGCGTAAAAGTTACATAAGGGTAGCGAGATGATATATCACTATTGTTTTCTACGTATATCTATCTTAGTATCTATCAATCTAGGTTAGAATACTTGATAATCATACATACATATGAGCAGCGCAGGGTGTTTAATCGAACCCGTGCTAAGCTATCAGCCATGGACAAAGAAACCCTAGAGCCCAAAAAGGCTCTCTTCGACGAGGACGAGAAGAAGAAGCCCACAGCCGCCGGCGATGCGACAACCACCGCGGAGGAGGAGAAAGCCCAGCGCGATTCCAAACTCCGACCGGAGAGGGAGGCGACATTTAAAGACTACATAGTTAGTTCCTTCCTCTAGTTCTAGAAACCATGCCGGGTTGTTTATGGGTAAACCTGAGTAAAATGCCTGTGTATATAGTACTGACACGTCGCAATATAGAGAGTCTTCAAGTATGCTCAGTTCTGGGATATCGTCCTCATGATCGCCGCGTTCGTGGCGGCCGGTGGATCGGGTGTCGTATGTCTACCTTGCCTACCTACCTAACTACATCCCAACTACTGCTTGCTCCTCAAAAGGTTCTAGTTGAAATTAACAGGTCGTTTGGATCTTAGACGATGCCGTTGATGAATGTCGTCTTCGGTAAGACTTCTTTTCTTCTCCTTTCCTCATACTTCGGTCACCGTAGATGCTCAACCCTCTTACTCTTTTACCTATTATAGGCGCATTGGTCGGAGACTTCACTGGCTACTTCCTCCCCGCCCCCACAAGCACCGAGGCCCAGTTCCGGACTTCACTCAACAGGAATGCGTAAGTTTTGAGTCCACAGCCTATGAGCCGATCGCTGGCTGTTCTGACATGATATACAGGCTTTATCTCTTGATTCTGTTCCTGGCGAAATTCGTCTTGACCTATATCAGCAAGGTAACTAGCCACCTACTATTGTGTGCCGTGAATATTAGGTAGATTATAGAGAGCATCTTAGAGAGCATCTACTCATAGTGTTAGTTCACCATACGACTTATCGGCATCCGAATGTCCGCCGCCATCCGGCTAGATTACCTTCGTTCTCTGTTCGGCCAGACGATCCACGTCATGGACTCGATGCCTCCTGGCTCTGCTGCAGGGACGATCACGACCACGGCCAACACGCTGCAGCTAGGGATCTCGGAGAAACTCGGCGTCTTCGTCGAATACACGGTGACGATCATCGCCGCCACCATAATCGCCTTCACCTACAGCTGGTCGCTAGCCCTCGTTACCTGCTCCGTGCTGCTCTTCATCTCCCTTACCGTGGGCACCATCGTCCCGTTTTACCTGAAGGCCACGGCTAGGATTACTAAAGCGGAGACGAAATCTTCCTCGATAGCCAGCGAGGCCTTCTCCGCTATCCGCATGGTCGTTGCGTGCGGTGCCGAGTCCCAGGTCGCGAAGCGCTTTGCGGTCTGGGCCGATGCAGCAAAGAAGCATGGCCAGAGGTCGTCGCCCCTGATAGGCACGCAGTTCGCGATCATCTTTTTCGCCCTCTTCTCCACATTCGGCCTGGCGTTCTGGTTCGGTGCCAAGTCCTTTGTCGAAGGCCGCGTGAGCAATGTGGGCACTATCATCGTGGTGTTGATGTCGGTTATGATGATGGTCATGTCTCTCGAGCGGATGTCGACGCCGCTTATTGCCGTTGGTAAGGCCACCGTGGCGGCTTGTGAGTTCTTCACCGTCATTGATGCCCCCCGGCCGAATGTTGGTGGGCTCGAGGGTCCGGAAATCTCGGCGACAGACGATATCGTGTTTAAGGATGTGGATTTCGCATACCCAAGTAGACCACATGTAAAGGTTCTGGATCAACTCAACCTCACGATCGAGTCTGGGAAGATAACGGCTATAGTTGGACCTTCGGGATCGGGTAAGAGCACGATTGTCGGCCTGATCGAACGCTGGTATACTTTACGCGACCAACACATCATTGCAAAGGCCATCGAAAAAGACAAGAAGAAAGAGAAGGAGGCGATAAACAAAGCTAAGGGTAAGAAGAATAAGAAGAATAAGAGCAAGGATGAATCGGATGACGATACTCCCCCTGAACCCGAAGAAACCGGCGCGATTGTTGAACTAAAGGGATCGATATCTACCGAGGGTCACGAACTCGACGAAATTCATATGAAATGGTGGCGATCTCAGATCGGGCTTGTCCAGCAGGAGCCATTCCTATTCAACGATACTATCTTCAAGAATGTTGCGTATGGGTTGATAGGTTCAGACCTCGACAAGGAACCCGAAGAGCGGAAAAGGGAGTTGGTCAAAGAGGCTTGCAAGGAGGCCTTTGCGGACGAGTTCATCGACCGCCTCCCTGACGGCTATGAGACTCTTGTTGGCGACAACGGGACGAAGCTTTCCGGCGGCCAGCGCCAGCGCTTATGCATTGCCCGAGCCATCATCAAAAGACCGAAAATCCTTATCCTCGACGAGGCCACGTCCGCGATCGATGTCCGAGGCGAGCGCATTGTTCAGGCGGCGATGGACAAGGTATCCCAGAACCGAACGACCATCACGATCGCCCACCGACTCTCGACCATCAAGAAAGCCAATACCATCGTGGTCCTCCAGAAAGGCAAGGTCGTGGAGAAGGGTGACCACGAGTCGCTCCTGAAGAACGCGGAAGGGGTTTACTATGGCCTCGTCCACGCCCAACAGCTTTCTCTCGGAGACCCTACCGAACCTGATTCTGATTGTCCAGAGGAAGAGGATTTTGGGGCGATTCTAAGTCGTGAAAAGAGCGCCGCTTTCAGTGATACCGCAAACGCGCCTGAGAAGGTGCAGTATAAGCTACAAGGCTTGATCAGAAGCTTCGGGCGGTTGTTATGGGAACAGCGGTCTCGATTCCCGTTCTATGTCGTCACGGTTATCGCTGCCATGTGCACAGCTGGTGAGTTCGCCTACTAGGATGCCGTTGAAATTGACAGCGGATGAAATGCTAATGACAACTCCTACTAGCCGCGTCTCCAATGCAAGCATACCTCTTCGCGCAGATTATAGTTGTCTTCACTTACGCCAACGATCTACCACGATTCACAACCGAAGCTAACTTCTGGTCCTTGATGTGGGTGGTGCTGGCGATCGCTGTTGGCATGTCTTACTTCATCCTGTACACCGTATCAACCCATCTTGCACATGTAAGTCTGCTCCTGCCGACACACGAACTACCTAACCGAGCTGTTTCTTTTGTCCTAAACTCATATTTCTGAAATTAGTATATCTCTACCGCCTACCGAAAGCAATACTTCGAAGCCATCCTTTATCAGAAGACCTCCTTCTTTGATGAAGAGCAGAACTCCACGGGTTCGCTAACAGCTCGGGTCGGGAGCGACCCAAAGCAACTGGAGGAACTCCTCGGCGTAAATATGGGCATGGTGTATAACTCGTGCGTATATTATCACTTACCTAGCTCTACCTAGTAGTTTCGGGTTCGAAATCTATGCCACCACTAATGCACCTACTTAGATTTTTTACGCTGATCGGCTGCTTAGCTATAGCTTTCGCCTTTGGTTGGAAACTTGCGCTCGTTGCCACATGCGTTACTATGCCCATAGGGCTTTCGACGGGGTATCTGCGACTGAGATACGAGCTAGACTTCGAGAAGATGTATGCAGAGGTTTTCGCCCAATCCTCGAAGTTTGCTGCCGAAGCCATCGCGGCCTCTCGTACGGTTTCCTCGCTCACACTCGAAGACACCATTTGTGACCGCTACCAGGGCTTGCTTGATCACCACGTTGTAGAAGCTTACAAGCAAGCCAGGTGGAAGACGCTGGTGTTTGCCCTTTCGGATAGTGTTGGTTTGGCCTGCCAGGCTCTCATATTCTGGTACGGCGGAACACTGCTAGCAACTCGAGAATATGAAGTCATGAACTTCTTCATCTGCTACATGGCTGGTACGTATCCTAAAAGCTCCTTGTTCGTTTCAGCCTCCCGAAACCACGAACATGCATGAGGTGCATCCTTTATTAATACTATTTCCCGAATCAGTGATCCAGGGAGCCGAAGGGGCCGGCCAGGGGTTTGGCTTCGGGCCAAATGCGGCTCAGGCCTCGGCCGCCGCCAACCGTATTCTAAGCATCCGCGAGACCCGCAACCACGACCTGAGTGACGCAAGTGCCAAGATCCCTGACACGGAAGGCGGCGTCAAGATCGAGCTCCGGGACGTGCACTTCAAGTACCCGACGCGGAACGTATCCGTGTTCAAGGGCATCAACATCACGATTGAGAAGGGACAGTTCGCCGCGCTGGTGGGCGCCTCAGGGTGCGGCAAAACCAGTATCATCTCGCTGCTGGAGCGCTTCTACGACGTTCAGCACGGCCAGATCCTCGCCAATGACACCGACATCGCCAGTGTAAACGTGTACGACTACCGGCGACACCTATCGCTCGTGGCGCAGGAGGCGACGCTGTTTCAGGGCACATTGCGCGAGAACGTGCTTCTGGGCATCGACCCCGCCACCGTGACCGACGAGGACCTACACGCCGCATGCCGTGATGCCAGCATTCACGAATTCATTGTCTCACTCCCCGAGGGTTACAATACCGAGATCGGCAGCCGTGGCGTCTCGCTCTCCGGCGGTCAGAAGCAGCGCATCGCCATCGCTCGCGCGCTGATCCGACAACCCGAAGTCCTGCTGCTTGACGAGGCCACCAGCAGCCTTGACTCTGAGAGCGAGAAGCTCGTGCAGAAGGCCTTTGAGCGCGCTGCTGCCGGACGGACCATGGTTGTTGTCGCGCACAGACTTGCTACTGTGCAGAATGCCGACGTCATTTTTGTCCTGGGCGAGGGCAAGGTCCTTGAAAAGGGCTCCCATGTCGAGTTGCTAAAGAAGAAGGGAGTTTACTGGAATATGGTGAGCTCTTTTTTTATAACTTTCATCCCTTTTTATGCCTGTCTGATACTTGAATGCTAATCACATCGCCCTCGTTATAGTGCCAGAGCCAGGCTCTCGACAGATAGCGTTCTGACACGACTTCCTATATAATATATGAATAGTACCAACCCAGGTCGGCCAGTATACTATACTCGGCATGATAATCGAACGACTTTACTGGGAGTGCAAGTTAAGGTTGTATGGGAAGCTTGAAGGGTTTAGAGGGATCAATACATCTTAGACGAAATCAGTATGTACACATACCGGCTTGAGGATCATTTATTTGGCGGGAGCGTTCGATATACATAATACCCATTCAGCTCTGAATTCTCGTATGTAAAGTAATAACACCATCTTTGCTTATTATACACTCTAAAATGGGTGTCACCATGCGCGAGATACTAGACTCCGCCAAGAAATTTGAGCGGGCGACGAGTAGATTCCCTACCATGTTAACGAAATCACCGAGCTTAAGGTATATTAGCAACTCTTGTCATGTCTAAGGCACTAACCCAGGCTGATGGCTTCGCAGGATTATTTCTTGAGTGTATTCAGTTCGGAGCTAGTAGCTTTCGCTGACTGCGACGCGGCCTCTTTGCGGCCGGTGTAAATTGCATCAAATAGCATGGCTAGATGGGCACAATCTTCTCGAAGAGAATCGATCCGCTGGCTGATCTGCTCTTCACAAGCCATACGTTTCTCTAGTGCAGCCATCAATCGTTCGAGTTGCTGCATGCGATAGTCGGATCTAGATCGAACATGAACACCTCATACTATCTTTGAAATAGTATTGTAACTTACACTTTCTGTGCCTGATCTTGATAATGGGCTTTGATCTTGCTCTTCAGGATGGCCAATTTCTCGTTGTAATCTTTGTCAATGCTCTTTCGGATATCAGATCGCTTCGACTTCCACTTATCCTAATGCAAGGGGAAGACAAGAGATTAGTTATGAAAATTTCATCATATATTCTCCGTGTATCGGTCACTGAGACTGGCATACAATATTCTCCATAGCCTGCGGAATGCTCGCGCTTGACTTATGGAAGTTGAAGTCCAATGCCAATTCCAAGTCAGAGTCGGAGCCTCCCTCGGTTGGATTGGGTTCCTTGCGATGAGGTGCCATGACTACTCAGATACCCTTATACTACTAGAAGTAATACTTGGGTAAAGGTGCTATTTGACCTTGACCTGCATGTGTTACTATGCTAGGTAGGTACAAGGTAGGTACATATAAGAAGCAAAGAAGCAACATTGAATATTGAACGAAGAAGAAAAAACATTGAAAGGTTGGAAGGTTGAAAGTTGGAACTGAAACATGAAAAAAATGAGATTGAATACTGGATTGTTACTGCTCTGAATGATACCTACTTGCAACTATCGTGCCTGCCATGGTTGCCGTAGTGCACTAATTAACTACAGTAACTAGTGGGGTAAGGAAAAGTAAAAAAAAGGGAGTTTAATTCTGCTAGAGTTCACCGCTTAACTACCTAGTAGAATTCATTGGCTTGTTTGTACCTTCGTATCTTATCCAGCTTATCAAAATCAATCTTCGAAATTATTGAAAATTCCAGACTCAAACAAACCAGTTGGCGCAAGTTTCACCACCTCAAAAATTTACACGACGAGATCAACCTAGCCATAATGGGTCTCGCAGGCCCCAGGAAGTACGAAAGACTTGACAATCATTCATTACCTGTCATTGAACTGCTACTAACTCATTTGCTTCTGTAGCCGTCGGAAACTCCAGCACGACCCAAACAATACAAAATGGACCCGAGACGAGACCACCTTCGGCCAGAAAATCTTGCGTGCCCAAGGTTGGGAACCTGGCCAATTCCTGGGTGCCCAAGGTGCGGCGCACTCCCACCTTCACACAGCTGCCAGCGCGGCACCCATCACCGCCGTTATGAAAGATGACACCTTGGGTCTCGGAGCACAACCTCGTCACAAGCAGAACACCGAATGCACTGGCCTGGATGGATTTAAAGATCTCCTTGGTAGACTGAACGGAAAGTCTGAGGAAGTAATCAAAAAAGAGAGGGAAGTGCGGTCAGGTATCAAGACAAACTTGTACGTGGAGAGGAAATACGGAACCATGAGATTTGTTAGTGGAGGGCTTCTAGTTGGTGATCAGATGAAAGGTTTGGTCAGCACGGATTCCAAAACATTGAAGACCGAATCCTCGGATGATGAGAAGCCGGCCGTTGAACTGGACGATGACACAAGTCGCACAGTGAAGAAAGAGAAGAAGGAAAAGAAATCCAAGAAGCGGAAGACAGAAGAACCAGACTCGGTAGATGGCGATATTGTTCGCGAGAAGAAGCGAAAGCGGTCCAAAAATATTGATTCGCAGGAGGTCTCGACCAATACTCTCGAAACTGAAGAAACTAGTAGCAAGAAAAAGAAATCTAGAAAATCTAAACGAGAGGATGGCGGAGAAGTAGAGCTAGACGGGTTAGAGAAGAAGAAGAAGAAGAATAGCAAGAAGTCAAAGAACGACTCTGAGCGCAAGGCTGAGAGCGACGGCACTTCAAGCTCATCAGAAGATAATCAGCTAGGAAAGTCGGAGTCGAAGAAGGAGAAGAAAGAGAAGAAAGAGAAGAAGCAGAAGGACAAGAAGGACAAGAAGCAAAAGCGATTGGATACTGTAGACTCATCGAGTTCTATCCCAACCCCTCAAGAAAGTGGTGTGTCAACACCATCGGGGACTGGTCCTTCAACTCCACAGCCTTTCTCAGCGCGGCATTATGCCCGGTCACGCAACATAGCTTCAAAACGAATGGCTATGGCCGATCTGCAAGCATTAAACCAGGTAAGTTTGGAGAATAGTAGCTGATTTCTCGGGACTTGATACTAATTATCGTGCAGATTTTCATGGTAAAGCCAGTGTGATTAACATACGCGACTGACGACGTAATAGACTATGAAATTACTAAAACGTTGATACCCCAATATATATGATTCAGACAAAACCTCCTCATTGATCGCGACCCGGAACTCATCGGTGATAGAATATGACTTGAATGATGCGACAGCAGTTGCAAATCTTGTAATTTGGTGATCTTATCACTTGGTAAACGAGCGAGACCTTACATTGTGGCTCTTGTATGACTTTCAGCTGAGCTATACCCTTATTATATCGGTAGTAGTATTCCACCAGGACTTTCTGTATGACTGTGCTTGCATATACGTATGTGGCTACTTAATACCTAGGTAGGTAGCTAGCCTGGGTCTGTTGGTAGCTGAACGGCCCCCAACTCCACGATCTTACGCTGCACAATCCCTGCCGCTTTCTAGAGATAAAAGCAGGCTGAGATTTAAAAGAGGAGTACGTTGGCAGTAATTCTAATCTTAATCAAAATACTAAATACTTGAAATATTACCGCTTGTTCTTATATTTGTCGTGACTACTGTATACCCAAGATCTAAGATATAATACTACAAAGTACGGTGGAGTATGGCCGACGATACACCGGGTCTATCACGCCGGACCGGCTCGTCCCCTCTTAGAGATCGGCCACAGCCTGTTCGGAGGCAATCTCGAAACAGCTCCCCACGACAGTTTGCGGAGATTGTACGGCACATCCCCCTTCACGATCGAGACCGTGTTCACTTTGTAGATGAGCCCGAAGAGTTTGGTCCAGTAAGTGCCTCTATTACACACGAATTGAATCAAAGCTCAACATAGCCATAGTATGATACCGCAACTGGCAATCCCTATGACAGTATCCCACCTCCAGGAATCCAGCCAGTCCAAGGTCACGTCAGCTCGCAAAATGTGTATGCCAATTACTCGGCGCCATATTCACGGGTTCGGGGGCCCACCGAAAATGTGCCGGTTTACGCCACCCCATGGTCGGGCCGACAGCTTAGTCGTCGCTCTACGGGAGACTCATACGTATCCGATCGAGGTCAGCCGATTGCTCTAGCAACATATGGGCGTGGAAGAGTCAGGTTTGCCGAGCCGGAAACCCGTCGTGCGGCTTTTGCGGCCTCACCGCCACCTCCTCCCCCACCCATGCAAAGGGCCACTCGAGACGAATATCTTCCAGACTCGGAAGACGTGGAGGTGGAGGAGGATGACGTTAGGCTTTATTCTACGCCGCCAGCTTCGTATCGCAGCCGGTCCCGCTCGAGGTCACGGGCCAACCGTCTATATGAAAGCTCCTACGTTGATGAGGTAGATGAGGACGAGGACGATGAAGAATTCGATGAGCTCTTGGGTGGTAAAGTGTTCCAGTTTGTCCCTTCCCGAGCTTCGAGGGCACTTTCGAAGAGCGGCCAGAGCATTGACACCGAGCTTTCGTTTGAGAAGTCTGAAGATGGGACGCTCAGCTCGAAAGACGAGCCAAATATCCCTCACCCCCCTGGCAACATTCTCCACGTTTACCAATCGCAATATACTGGGGATGCAATGCCGGATGGATCGCATACCGCAAAGTTGACAGTGATCCATGATCAAAAGAAGCAACGGCAGCCCCTTTTCAGATGGATGTAAGTAAATCTTGGTTATTGACTGGTTGACAGCTCACTGACGCCATAAAAGGCATTTAGAACAACCAGTTATGAACCTGGATGAGCTTTCGGTATGTTGGTTCAAAGATTGCTCTTCACCAATCTCCTAGCTATCTACCTAGTACTAACTGAGCAACTAGGCCGAGATCGCGCGAATTCCGGCCATCACTGATTCGGAACGGAACGGGTTCGCAAAGCTACTCGCAGAGGTAAAAAGAAGCTCTGTTAAGTTCAGGCCAACCTCCAAGGGAAGCAACGTGCGACATATAGATCCGAAGCCGATCCGCGTGACCATCGCCCCCGACGGACGAGCCAAAGACCAGACTTCAAGACCGCTGACCTGGCTGTGCGTGCCTTATTTCTCGCTGGAGAGATACTCGGGACTTCTTTCAGCTAAGACGGCCTCACACTTTCCAGTTGAGACCTTGCTGCAGTCGGAGTACGCTCGTACCACGCAGGAGCGCGATATGCAACAGGCTGTGTGCCAGAATGGCGAGGTGTCTGAAGGCGATTGCTTTCATATTGCTCAGCTATGGTGTATCGTACTGGACAATTGTGAGTAGCCCCCCCTGAAAGCGCCTTGGTTGACTACAAGCTGATCATTCAATGCCAAGCCTTGCTTATTACCTGTGGACGAATGTCAAGCACATCCTTGAGAGGGGACCTCGTACGTATATTTAACGAGCCCTTCAAGCAACCAGCAGGGAAAGCGAAGGCCGTGTATATATCATACTACGACAATGTTCTCTGGGCGTTACCATTGGAGTCTTGCTCAACCTGGTTTGTAAGTTGCCTACTTGAATGGCACATAAAGTCTGTCTATACCTTCTGACACTTAAGATTCTAGGACTTCATGATACACTTCCGCGAGTTTTGGCCACAAGCAATCAAAGTCTATCATCATGGCCATGTGGTAACGGCGACCGACTGGCCACGTATCGTAAACACAGTAAAGAAAGTGAACACCAAGGTCGTTCTTGATCTTCGTCTATCGTGAGTTTCCACTCTACATATACCTAATCAGGAAATAATAAGGCTAATCGTGTTCAGGTTCCATCCCCAACCACCAGCAATTGGCGTATTGACGCCGCAAGAAGGGGCAGCCAGCGAGGATGGAGAAGAAGCTTCAGGCGCGGAACAGCCCAGTAGTAGTCAAACTCAAGCAAAAACCCCCAACAAGGCCGACAACAAATTTCATGTGTTCTCCTGGCTTGAGATGGCCGAATCTGAGGATGAAAATGCGGGTTCGAACAGCGATGGGCTGATCACTCATCTACAAGAAGCTGAAGAGTACTTGACGAGCTCGACCACAATTAGGGACCGAAAAGCATATAATAACTGCATTTCGTCGTCGCAACGTTCGGTTTACGGATATCTAAGGGAAAGGGGATCGAAACTCGGAGAGACAGACGAAGAAATCCAGGCGAAGCGAGATTACGAGAACGGAGTCGACCTCTACAATGCGGCAGACATTATCTTCTGCTTCTTCCTCCCTAAAGGATTGAACAGGAATATGCCGACAGCGGACAAGTTCTGGGGTGCTATTCGAAGTCTGGTAGAGGTAACTACAATACATGGGCCTTGCCTACAACTATCAAAATGATGCAATACTAATTCAACTGGTAACTAGATGGATGGCGACGGCGAAGACCATCTCGACCGACCGAAGCCTCTGCAGCGACGTGCTGGTGGGCGGAATAATGTACATGGCCTGAGATCTAGTCTTAGAGGGATGACAAGGGTAATACAGTCCTTTCAGGACATAGTATCGCATGCGCCAGCCCCTATTCGAACCCGAGTTGAGGTACCTGACAGCCTCATTCGTGCCTGGCTCCACTTAGTCATGGCTATCATTCAAGCCTCACTGGGCGAATTTTGGACTGAGAACATGATGGTCGCGGAGGCTCTGATACGGAGTGGGATGAACGATATCAGTAAGTACATAATTTTGGTTCAATTCTATTGGGAAGTCTTCGTGGCTTGCCGTAATCCTTCAAGGTTAAGGGTGACGTTACAATATACATACTATGCAGGTACCTACCTAGTACGTATACTAACCTCTATTGAAGTCGACGAGATTCCCACAGAGGATCTGGGATTACTCCCTAGCTCAGTTCTCCAGCCTATGGATCTTGTTGCGTTGGTAAGCCTAAAGCTACTTCAAGACTCTACAGGTAAATATCCTAGCATCGATGATACGTATTCAGATTATCTCAAAGGACTGGTAAGTCTCCTAGATCGCCCAAGATTCCCACGTGAATATGCCCAAACTGACATCATCGTAGGAAAATGAGATTACCACAAATAATTCCGATCGTTCTCACCAATTCCGCATCACCCTTTTCAAGCAGGAGATCGCGGCGATTCGGCGCGTAGTTGCGTCACAGCTCAAGGTCGCAGACGGCATGGTTGTTCCCCAGAAAGCCAGCTGGGGGGACCAAACTCGCAGAGAAAGGGAAATGCTGGAGAGGGAGCGCGAGAAGTCAAAGGTCGAGCCTGCGAGGCTCCGATCGCGATCCTACGAAAAGCAGGGGATGGCATACGTGGACAGGGCGGACGGGCTCGAGGTCCAGAACCATTACTCCCATAGGAGCGTTAGCGGCTTGCCTGCGTACCACTTCGCTCCAATCCGGGCCCCCGATGCCTTCGCCAAGCTGGCATCTACCGACCCTGGCGGCTTTCGCGAGCTGCTCGGCCGGGAATGCAGGTCTTGGCTCGAGCGGAGAGAAAATGAGCTCTACGAGCTTGACGTAGAAGCGTCAAGGCTGGAGAATATGGTAAGTCAACCTAACCCTACCTACTTACCTATATAAGTAGTAGTAGCGTTGTTGCTATCCTGTTGGCGGACGTCAGCGCGCTTTTCACGCTAACCCCCTTTTTTCTTCCCGCAGAACGCCAACAAGATCGAGGTTACCAAGGATCGGCAAGAAGCTGCCGTTTACGCCTTCACCATGGTGACCATCATATTTTTGCCACTCAGCACGATAAGCTCTATATTTGGGATGAATTCAAGCGACCTACGTGACATGGAGCAAGGGCAGTGGGCTTATTGGGCGGCGGCGATTCCCACTACGATCGCGGTGATAATTATGGGGTTGTGGTGGATGGGCGAGCTGCGCAACCTGGTCAACTGGGTGCGCGGACTGCCCTCTAGGGGAAGCAGAGGAGGAAGAGGTTATGCACGAGTGTCCCAGCCGGCTGCTGCAAACGGCGTCATATACTACCCTCAAGCAGCAGACTATCCGGGGATGATGGACCCGCCAGCGATGAGACCATACAGCCGAGCTACGTTTGGCCTGCCGGTGCCGCGTCCGTCGTGGCGGCATTGATCGATATAGCCTACCTACTACCTACCTAGGTACTTGATAGACTTGTCTATTACCATTTTGTCACTCTTTTTCATCTTCTTTCCCGTTCCGGTTGTGGGTTGTTTTCCCCTCTTGTCACCTGCCTACCTATCTAGATCGGAAAATAAAATAAAATATGTCCATCCAAACGTACAACGCAGCCACGTCGCGGATCCCGCCTCACTGTGCCTAGGCAAAGTATGAATCGGGCGGGTGGCGTCCTAGATAAATATTCGCATTGCGTCGCAGATCCGTACACGACGCACGCAAAGTACGGCACATATTTTACCTACATACACACATACATAAGTAATGCCCACGGCTAAAACATGTGGTGCATGCAGGCGACCTTTCCCCTAGGTGCATGTACCCTCGAACCTCTGCTACCTATCACATTCCAAGCTTTGTATGACCTAAGGAGCATTTGAAGGGCTCACTCAAAGCAAAAAGCGAGGACGGCCGCACTCGTTTTTCTTCCTTTCTTCATTAGGTCGGGTTAGGATATTTTAACCCTAAAAAGGAAAACGGTCCTATCGCATCGTTGCCACGCTCCGTTCATACATAGGTACTAGGTTAGGTAGCGCGCCGGCCGATAGGGGTCCTATTTGTCAATTGCCTGGGTAGCGCAAGAAAAAGCCCCCCGTCCACCCAGTCGTTCGTAAAACGCCAGTATATGCGTACATCCGTGATTGGGCGACGGATCCCCTCCCTTCCTACTTCTCGTAAGCCACCCTAAAAAAACATGGCCTACCTATCTAGTAATGAAAAAAAAAAAAAAATCCTTCTTGGGCTTTCGTTGTTGGGGGTTTGACAGCAGGGCGGGATGGGGGTGGGTTCCAGCTCAACCTGTGAGCGCCATGCAGGCTCTGGGCTGCCTCGTCATAATCGAGATTTCGAGGGAGGGGGAGGGGAGAAGGAGGGGTCCTCGAAGCTGTCAGCCGCAAATGGATATCATAGGGTAGAACATTCATTATACGGCTAGCTAGCTACCCTAACTTGCAAAGGGAAATAATGTGCTAGCCGCGGCTGTCGTTGATGGTCTAGTATAACGAGCCACACAGAAGACGGGCTAGAAAGCTAAAGGGGAGGGAGAATGCTACCGAAAATCATAGACCCTACGTCACTGGGATCTTTGATCCTTCGCCCTGGTAGTGTGATATGTTATATTCCTTATGTGTCAGTTCGCCTTTACCTAAGCTACCCCAATCAGAGGATGATTATAAGGCTAAAGGATCAATGATGTTTAATTGTATATGGTTTTAGTCATTTAAAGGAGGGTTCTTCTAATACGTTCAAAATGACTTTTCAAGGGGATGGCTTTCAATGCTGAAAGAGGTTGTGTTTGCGTTAATACCCCTATTCCCCTATGCCACATTTTCGTAATACTGGAACTTCGAACATATGATATGTAACAGTGTCTGAAGACTTTAAATGATAATTAATAGCAGGTAGCACATATACCTATCTTTTATGTGTCTTAGGTATGTACTTCGGTGCCGCATCACGGATTGAATTGCGCCAATGAGGTTAACATCAGCCCAGGTACCCAATGTAACTTACCCCTTTTGTATGGTGACATGTAACAATTAAGTTGCCCGGCGATAAAAATAATTAATATATATTATTTGACTTAAAAAAGCCTTGGGAATAGACTATGATTGAATGTTCACCTGCATGTTTCACTGTCAGCTGTGCCACTTACTTCTACGCCGATCAAAAAAAGGGGTCCTGCCTTTATCGACAACGCTACAGGCTTGCTTCAGTGTTATATTCATGTATCATCTGCATATGTAAGTCACAAGGAAATATATGTTACCTACATATCATTCTCATCGTACTTGCATGTGCTTACTATATGTAGTAGATAGGTACTGATTATTTTCTTTCGGTCTTCTTTGGCAAAAGTGGCTAGCACAGCCATTGCATTTGCAGCTAGAGATTTCAAATTGCATCGGACGAGATGGTCTGCAAAGGATCGATCAATACAACGCAAGTCTCATTCTCTACATACTTCCTGCCCTATCGGATAATAATCGATTGACACATTATCCACACAAAGGACAACAACGCGTACCTTATGTGTTCTAACGTAACTCATATTTCGGTGCCGCGCTGTGGTTACCTCATCCTAGAGGATTATTGGATATCAGCCTCAAGGCAATGATGGGCGTCCGTGTCGCCTTACTTCTAAGGCACGGCGACGGATAATGGAAGAACAACGCCCGAGTCCCTGCAGCCCGGAAACATGCATGTCTGGAGCAGGGTTCCGGGGGTGAGCGTAGGGTTGCTACGTGTTGGAATAGGGCTGCGATCGTTGTTCAATATTCAGCTTCGAGAATTATTACTCCATTGCGGTAACCAGGCGGATGAATAGGCATCAATCCGGTGAGATTGTTACGACCTTCTCTGTTTGACAAGTCTGCCGCTTACGCAGTAGGGCCTGCGTCTTCTCTGGTACTGCTGGAGTAGGCCGGATGCTTCGAATGCTAAGACACATACTGCCATTCTATGTGTAAAGCACTATCTCGGCGAATCATGACTTGAAGCTCTGGCTTGAAGCGAGTCCGGCCCCCACGCACAGAGACGGATACCCGAGCGGCGCTCTTCGGCTTCTTCATATGTGATCCCGACCAACTGTAGGTCCGTCTTGGCTCCATCTTCCACGATGCCCCTATTATGTTCTAGAGACTGGAAGAGGCCTTTAGTAATTCCTCAAGGAGATACATCGTTACCCTGTTGGAGTTAGGGTTAATAGGAGACAGCACTGAAGGGTAGTATTGTCAGTCTCGCTAGAGTAACTATTTACCACCTGGTACCTGCCTAGGTATTCTAGCCTCGAGTTCCTGTTACACGAACACATCATACAATTATGGATAACTCAGAGTTCTGAGTGGTTATAGGGTTTGCCAAGTCCTCGAGGTACTGGCTAAGTCTGGCTTACTTGGTCCACGAAGGACAATATTTCCATGTTTATACCACTCCACTCGAGGACCTTGTAGGTTTATTTTAGATTCCTAAATTGACAACACTTCATAAATAGCAACCTGCTGTGTCCTGGCCTTACGATTTATATAATACTTGCATTGAATTGGACAATGATCATGCCAGGAACGTATAGAATGGAAATCAGGAGATAACTCTTATATATTTTTAGAGTACTACCATTGAATCTAGAAAAAGGGATATGGATTCTGGTGAGAATGCCCACATACAACACATTGGGAACATATTTGAATGAAAAAAGGACAGAAAAGTAGTATCAACAGCGGGTATCGCCGATTCCGAAAGGCGGTATCTGTCGTGTCCATATGGCAACCAGTGGGGCAAGTCCCAGAGTTGAAGGTCTAAGCAATGCGAGAATAAGGGTGAATACAGATTGTGTGGGACGTCTTAACTCAACCCCGTGGAGACTAACTATTACTAATTACCTAGGTAACTTGTGACTTTGCTGATTGGCCGTCGTATGGAAACTAAAGCTGCCTATACATACGTACGTAGAATAAGAAATATTGGTGGCTAATACTGTACTGACAACTGATGTCCTTGTCCTTATCCCTATCCCTATCTTCGTATACATACCTAACCTGTGCGTTTGCAAACTAAATAGCAATATTGTTATGTACATTGACAAAAACGGATACACAGCTACCGTACGTGGAAGGGTCTCCATCAGATTGATCCGTTTCTTTTGCTTATTTCGCCTTTTGCTTTTCTTATTTCGTTGTAAAATACAGGGAAATCCACAATAATTATCCAAGGTTCGGTGACTATGGAATGGTGAGCAGGCAAACCGGCTGACAGGACAGGACAAGTTGTCGTAAACCATGGATATCACGGCTGTATGTAGGTGTATGTAGGTGTGTACGAAGTAGGTACTACATATGTATGTGTATGTATATATGCATGTCTGTGTGAGGGCATACATATATGTATGTATTAGTTGTTCGTTACAAGTTGTATTGCATGCACTAAAGCACTACTTTCTCGATAGAGTTAGGTGGGGCTAGATCTTATTCATATGCCGCTATAAGCTAGTATGATGGAAAAGGGGACTTTGGTTGGGCAACGTTGCCGATAGGCTGCAGGGGAAACCTAGGTACCTACATATTGATATATCTAGGTATGTATATAGCAGTGGTTGCTAACGTTATGTGTAATATTTACATATTATTCTGGATATAATATAGTGTCTATCGATGTATTATAGGTCATTATAGTTAGCACGCACATGCCGTACCAAATGATATTCATCATATTAACGATATATCCCTTCAACAAGCATTCAGTGATCAATGATCAATGATCAATGTAACCTGTTTTGCATGGACGAACTGGTTTTTTTCCCGGTCCCATCAACCCCACCCCTCCATCAGCCAAAAAGACACCAGAATATTCAATGTTAATCCAAAAGAACCAAAAGTCCGTGGAGCTGCAGCTTGCATGCAAGCCAATGTCGACGTGTGCCCAGGTTGCCCGTGATAGCATGCTATACCCTTGTAATGCTGGATGAGGATTCTACATGACGACCCTTAATGACCCTTGGTGTCCATCCGTCTCACAGCATCGGTCGGCAACAGATTGTGGCAAAACTTGTCTCGGATGCCCAAGGGTCACGATGTCGCCACTGAATGAACGTTAGGCTCGTGTTAGTGTACTACTAGGCATGTACAGTAGTGTACTGGTGACACAACCTTGGAACTGTTCAATCCATTGATGTTCAAGTGTTTCTTTTATTAGTGTTTGCATAGAGCTCGTTTGAGTACTTAAGATTCTGATACTTCCCACCCTACATGTCTTGATTCTTGAAGATTATTTCCGAAGTCTTTTACAATATAGAAGCGACATTTTAGAAGACACTGCAAAAAGAAGACAGAAGAGTTCTGGAGTCTAATACTATTGAATAGTGTGGCCGAGTTCAACTGTACTAGACGTTTGGAAGCTTAATTTTTAATACTTATACCGTTGACCTAACCTACCTAGGCACTTTATCACTTTATCTAACCTATCAATTGATCGGTTTTGTTGTTTAAAAGAATCAATTGTACCTACACTACCTAAACCTACCTTACCTATTTGCTGCGCGGTTGGTGAGAAACAACCAATCATACCCGGCCAAGTCCACTGCCCACCCTGAGAAATACTGCGCCCCTCAGCCAAACAGCCCCCGTAATACGGGACTAGACCCTGCAGGCCAGTAGTTGGCAGTGCTTTTTATCGATTAAGCGACACTGCGACAGCCTCCTAGACGATTCCAGTACCAAAATCCGATATTCCCAAAGTCCAAGAAAATCCGGTTTAGATAACCGTAGATATCTGTGACGTAAGCGGCATCGCACAATACGACCCATTCCTCATTCCCATCCATATCAACATCTTGTTTCCCCACCATGTGGTATTATACTTCGACAGGTTAGCTATTTATCCTCTTGCTTTTTTTTTTATATATAATTCATATATAATTCAATCCAACAACCCAACTACAACCCATTTTTATAAAACCTTACTACTACCACCATCTTATCCAAACTATATACCCTCAACCACACTTCAACCTTGCCAACTATCTCATCTCATCTCATCTCATCCTCCCTCAGAGACGTCATACAATATATTACCTATCTAGCTATTGCAACCACAATATCTAACATCATGTCTACCTATTTCGCAGCGCCCCGCGAAAAGCGTTATCACAAGTACAAGAAAGTCTTGTACCTCGAACCGCCAATCAACGGTAGCAAAACCATTCGAAACCGAATCACGACCATCATTCCTCCCCCGGAGCCTGCACCATATCAATCATACCAATCACATGAATCATATCAATCATATTCTCCACCACCACCTCCGATGATGCCAGAACACAGGCCTACACCACCTCCTCCCATGGTCGTCAACCCCTTACCCCCACCTCCACCACCGGCTCCTTACATTCCCGAACGAGAGCCTGAGCTTGACACGGAGATCGAGGTCATTGCTGTAGATGTGGAGCCAGATGAGTCTGTCAAATCTGGCAGATCTTCCAAGAGCTCATCCAAGAGTTCGTCTCGAAGCTCGCGAAGCTCCAGATCGTCGCACAGACATCATCGGGAACAGCGCGAGGTGTACATTGAGCGCGAGAGAATGGTTCCCGTCCGAGTACCCGTGCCCTACCACGTGCATCATGTCGAGATCGAGCAGCCCCAGCAGGACTCCTTCCGATACATCGAGGCGCCCAGACGGTACGAACCACCACAGCGACGAAGTCTAGATCAAGAGATCGTCATTGAAGATCATCGTCACCGCAAGTACATCCGAGATGGCTGAGCAAGCAATCAAGCAATCAAGAAATCAACAACACCAACATCAACACAATATGATTCTTATTTTACTATATTACTATTACCATACACATTACATTACGTTACACTACTTGGACAAGTTATTTTTTTTCTTATTAATTTCAATGGACGGGTGCCAGAATTCGAATACACTGTATTAAAGATTGTCATGAGTATCATATGGATGTTAGGCTATGGGGCAACGAGTACAGGAAATTGCTAATTTGGAACGGGGGGGCCCTGAGCATACAGAACGCTACATGGAGCACGGGAGTTTGGGAGTATAATAATTGGATGTTTTTTAAGTTGAAAACATTCCCACGGACGCAATGATTGTCGTCCTCTGATACATTTTTCCTAAGTAATACTATAATGTATACAAGTGACTATTTATTTATGAATTTATTTATGAATATAACGATAATTATATCATCTACCTGCCTATCACATGCAATGGTGTTTGTCCTGAGAGACGTGATGTCTTATCAAATTAGATAATATCATGATGCTTTACTTAGAGTTCGACTTTGATCGACATCAGCCTCATACGTATGATTGACAAGCATGCCCAGTTTACTAATTTTAGCCAGCTATCCGCAATTAGAAAGTCCAGCCCTTCGAAAGTATAAATAATAATTAATATAAATTAAATGATATCTAACATATGTACTACCTAATAGTAGTTGCACATTAATACCCCGGCCCGCATCCGTCCCTACTCTACGCCAACGACAGACAAAAAAAAATCATCACTCGGGCTCCTCGGGGCAAGGGGCGGGTTGCACACCAAACTTACCTACATACCTTGCCCTACCTAACCCATCTAGCCCACCTAAGTAGCTAGTATTAATATCCGATACGCCGAAATAGATGAACAAAAACATTATATAGTTCATCGGAAGAGAGGTCGACGTCGGTACCACCCGCACTCACCTCTCGGCGGTAGCACCCGCAGCCGCAACCCCCTTCGGCGTGCACAGGGACGCCACTTATGTCGTCGGTGCGACGGGCGGAGACGTCTCCTTCCCCCCCCCCCAACACACACACGGCCTTTTTGCTAGGTATTGCTATTTACTACTTAGGTACTCCCTTGCGTGGTAGGGTAGGGTAGGGTATATTAGAGTTGGTTAGGGTAGGGTTCATATCATACGATAGGATTGATTGGGATGAGGATGTGGTGAGATTTTTGATAATTGAGTTGGAGAGGTAGGTACTGTGGAAGTTGTATGGATGGTTGGTTGGATTGTAGATTGGTTAGTTGGGAGGTTAGGTTAGGTGATGGTGTTGGTGTCGGCCGTGCAAATGACAAAACGTGGGGAGTTGGTGGATGAAGTTTTAATCCTGCACATTGCGGTGTGTTGGACTTGGTGTGCAGGCGTGATGTTGCATGCGATCATAGTTACGTAGGTCGCAAGCCGTAGATAGTAAGGCAGGCAAGCAAGGGGGAAAAAAAAGGAAGGTGATGGGTTATTTGGTGAGCTGGATAGCTGGCTAGCCGCATGTTTGACGCGAAGTGCAGCTCGAGCTTCGTGTTTGCAGGACTGAGTTGGAAGTTGGAACAGTGCAGAACCTAGCTTTTCCATGGGCGCAAGGAAAAAGGATAGGGATTTCACACTGACGATGGATTCAGCAAGCATCTTACGGTGCTCTGGCCCTATGCGGCTAGGGTCGTCATCCTGTGCGGAGAGGCGCTTTCTTGCATCATCTATAAGCCCATCCAGGAAGATTGATACTGGGTAAGTAGGATACAACATCGAAAGCTCTTTATAGGTTACTAGGGAGCCAGATGTGTAACAAACTCAGGCATAGAAGATGCGATATCTCATCGTCCTCGCGGGATAGCGCTCCTTACTTTGTGGGTCGCCTCCCTCGTCATGCGTTACAGATCACTGTTCCTTGACCAAATTTTTGGCTTCTCATCCTCCGCGTCGATGATGTTGGAAATGCGCATTGAATACCTTTGTCATGCGGGTCTTGGTAGACTGTATATATAAACCAGTCTTTCCCTCCCACGATCCTAAACCTTCCAACTTTTCCCCTTCGCCTTTTCTTCTTCTTCCTCTCCCGCTCGCATTAGGTAGGTATGGCAGAATTTTCACCATGAAGATGTGTGCATCTAACTCTTTCGCCTTTTGAGAGGTAGATGCATCCGAAAGAAGCACATCCTCGCACTTACTGCAGGTCTGTATTACATTTATTCCATCCTCGTAACAAGGCTTGTAACCAAGGAGCTAATCGTACAACACAGAAGCATCAAGAGTTCACGAGGTGAGTCGCACTACACCAACACCAACTTAAGGATCAGCATCTCCAAATGCACACTCCACTCCATCCTAGGGTCCTCATTCCTTGTCACAAGTCATCAAAGGCACAATGTTCAGAGGTGAGAAGCTTTTTTTTTTGGTCTAGTTCTAATTCTAGTTCTATTTCTTCTAATGAAGTCAATCGCAAGCCACAATAGCCATGATAAAAGTTGGCTAGGTACTCTTTACTCCCTCATCCCCCCCTCCCTCTTCTCCCCTTCCGTTGCCAACAACCCCCTTTTCCTTCTCCCACTCCACCACTAGAAGTCAGTGAAGTCGAAGTCATCGAAGATGGCATCATCCGCGTTGCTGTTGGCGGTATCGTTAGCGGCGGCGGCGGCAGCGTCGTCAGGAGCGGGGCTGTCGTCCTCGTTCCACTGGCCAAGGAGGAACTGGTTCTCCCCATTGGCACCATTGAGCAGGTGGAGCTGGGCGAGGAAAGTGGCCTGCTGCTGCAGTGCCTCGAGGTGAGCCGCCGCCGCCGACGCCCCCTGCTGCTGACTGGCCATCATGGCTTGTTGTTGTGCCTGGGCGAACGCCCCCAGGTTCTGGCCGATGGGGTTCTAACCCATCGGTGCAGAGGCCTGGAAGTCTCCACCAGGCAGGCTCGGCGCCGAGAACGAAGGCGTCTGCTGGGAGTGGGCGAGGGTGGCCGAAGCCAAGACGGCCGAGCTACTGGCGGCGGCGTCCTGTCGCATTTCTGCGACTTGAGCGGACAGGTGGCGGTTGCGCGCCTCCAGCTCGATGATGTGCTTCTCGAGCGCCTCGATCTTCTTGCCCGCATCCTTTAACTCCTCCGTCTTGCGCGCTCGGCTGCGGCGCGCAGACTCCCGGTTCTGGGCCCGGTTGTGGTCACCCTTGGCTTGGGCGTAGCGCCGGTTCCAGGCTTCGGCCTCCGCCCGCTCCTCCGCCGTCATGTCGTCCGTCAGTTTAATCTCCTTCATTCCGGGACGCCATTCGATTCTATCATTGCTGGCGGGGGCTTGGAGAGGGGCGGCGGGGGCAGGGGCGGGGGCTGGTTCCTCCACCTCCATGGCCTTGCCCTTACCTTTGGACTTGGTCTTGCTAGCGGAGCCTTCGTCGCCGTTCTCGACTGGGGCAAGGTCCTCCTGGGGATAAAAGGGAGAGGCGCTCGACGCGAGGTCGATGGGGGCAACGGTCGCCGACGGCACTTGGCTGCCGGTCGACATGGGGAAGTAGGAGGAGGGGGTGTGGAACCCGGCCATCCACTGGTTAGGAATGACCGCCGGCCCTGTTACACATTCGAAGCGATTAGTGGACTCCGAGCTCAAGTCAGTTCATCAATTAATACTTACAGTTGGCCGGGAGAGGACGTTGGCCGCTGGGACCTGAGGCAGCTTGGTCTAGGGCTGCGTTGGCATAGGGGGTGGCGGTAGGCCGGGTGGACCGCTGACCCAGTCCATACATCGACAACATGAGCGGGCTTTTTCTTCTTGGTAAGTATTCCCACATATATATATACATATACCTTGGGTTGGGTGGAGGATACTAACTTGGTAATAGGCCAAGGCTGTTGGCCGTTGTTGTTGCCGGTGGGGTTCTCGTTGGGGTTCATGGCGACAGACGGGTAGTTACTTTGACGATTGGTAACTGAAGGATCGTTATGAAGTAATTGAATATTGGTTACGAGGTAACTGAAGATAGGGTATGAGTTAATTGAGGAATGGTTATGAAGTAAAATAAGTATTTAGTCGGTTAATAAATTGTGTGTATATGTTGAAGAAAGGAGGAAGTTTGGAAACGGAAGAGAGTTAGTTTATATAGTTGAAGAAAATGAGAGGCTCAAGCTTCAGAAAGGGCAAGAACGAAGAAGCATTGCCCATATGAGCAAGCGTTGAGCAATGGCACCACATGATGACTGTGGGTAAGTCACTTGAAATTTCACCAGACATCGGACGAAGATAGGAGAGGCAGGTTGAGCAATTAGGGGGTCCTAAGGAGGACTAGGCTCTAGATGGATGGAGTACTCTGAGAAGTCACTTCAGGTCATGAGCTGCTACAAAAATTGCTTGCTATACAATGATACAACGATACAAGTATACCTAGTATTGGGTCATTCAGGGGTAGAGGGACATAGGTGCTCTTGTTAGAGGCTGATATGAAGCAATGGTACCTGCTGGTTATGATGTGTTATCCTTCTTGATGACATATGTCTTCAAGAAGACGCTGTGTTTTTGCCCCTATACAGATCTTGGTAGCACTCCAGCTATAATTAATATCTGCAAAGCATGGCATTTCAGACTCGGTTGGTATAGTTGTATGGTACCTAGACAAAGATACACCAGTATGAATGAAGCATTTCCCACATAGTGCCCCTTAGCGTACCAACCCAGGTAAGGTACCTAGGTAGGGAATAGATTCACTAGTATCTTTTTTACGTGTGTGACTACTTGTATGTATCTAGATGTACTGTGAGAAAAAAAAACTTTAATACTCACTGCTACAAATCTGGTAATTCAATGGCAGTGATTAAGGGGCTAGAAGCAAGACTAATGAACATGTGCAATTTTTTTCTTTTTTTTCTAGATGAAAATTGACTACTTTTGGCTAATACGACTAACTAACCTACCACAGGAGGATAGATACTGTGTAATATAGAAATATTTCCTTTCAACAGCAATGCCACAGAATATGAAAGGTACTTGCCTAGTACTTGGGTAAGATCATTGTGTTTGCAGCTGTAGAATGCTCTGCGTTGTGATGGTGCCATGAGAAGAAGAGAGCCCTTGACGTGAAATGGGGCTTGTATCTCGACAACATTGATACAAATCAGGTACTTGAGTGGCTTATGACAAAGATGTCTGGGCTGGCACTTGCCATTATTACCACAGTCCCCCCAACAGTAGTTTGGTACTTCCCCCAGGTTAGAACAAACAGAGAATGGGTTGAGAGGACATCGTATGTATAATGATAGACATGACATTCAAAGGACCTGGGAAGACTGCAGGTACCTACTTACACCCATCAGTGATGGATTAGCAGTACCTGTATGGTGTATCATGTAGACAAAACTACAAGAGCCTCAACCAGATTGTGGTACCCTGGTAGGTATCTTCTCGTCTCATGCTAACACGTTTGTGGAAGTATTTGGGTATTTGCCTAGTACCTGTCAGGCTGTCATAACTTATAAGGGACTACTTGAATGAAGTACCTATTTTTGAATAAAACATCCTCGACATCCCCCCACACTTGCTGACTGCTTAGTACCTTCCGCATCTACCTCTTTGTGTTCCTGGCATTCATGGATGACTCCTCCCCCATACCCCAGCCTTAAAGTGCCACGAGGGGATTAATATTTCGGGGCAGGAGCATCAGGGCGGTCAGGGCTCTAGCTGCAACCTGTAAATAGCTCGCAGTACCAAGCCTGACTTAGAAAGTGTGATATGGGAATTAGGAGGGAAGGCACACTCTTCCAAGGTAGAACAACTCATTAATTACCAATACAACGATCCTCGTAGTCCTAGTAGAGGAGCCACTGGCTTGGGCTTATCCATGACCCATGGATAAGCTCATACCTATTTAGCTCATATCGTTCAGTGAGGGGGGTTATGTGAACTACAGAGCAGCTGTGCCCCTCTTTGTCGAGAGTTCTACTGATTTAGCGGAAGCTGGGGAGGGGGATATTTGAGGCTCTTGCCGGCTGCGTGGCGTATGGCTAAATAGTGTTAATTCATATCACAGACCTAGATACTTGAATTTTTAATGATATAAGGAGTTCTTTGTAAATATAAAGATAAATATTATGTATTTAATAGGCAGGTGCATGCAAAAAACTCGATGTGGTGGGCAGAGAAAATAAAATAGAGTACCTGACCCTGTTGTATAGGCCCCTTCCTCCCCTATCAGCCCTACCTACCAGAACACCACACCACAGAACTTCCATTAATAATTTACATCAAATCGATGCTTACCATGAGTAGACCACCAGTATCCTATTATATTAATCTATAATTGTATCGTTGAGTTGCAAAGAAATAAAATGCACCTACCCCCTACTACCCCAGTACCCGTAACCGTCGCAAATTTCGATTTTAGTGGGCGACCGCGACAGCAAGCATCAACACTCGACACTATCATATACTGGTTGCGCAAATTCTCTAGTGGGCATCCTGTAAGAGCTGGAGAAATTCCAGAGCGAAAGCTTGTAAGACTGACTAGATCTCGTCGAGGAAGCAGAGCTAGCCCGCGACCGCGAACCCGACAGCGAGCTTCGCGACACCCTGACCTCCTAAAATACACCCTCTAGCTATCTAAGTATCTAGTACAGTGTTTGCGCAAAGCGTGGTGGCGTTACAGTTTCTAAATGCTGACAGTGCTCGTCGCAAACCCCGATCCTACTAACTTGGAAAATTTGCAGGGCACTTTGCACGATTCCCAACGGTCGCCGAACTATAATTTCCCCCTCCCTCCCTCGAGTCGTAAACGTAGAACCTACCGCAGTAAAAGTCGCTGCCAGCCTCCTCGAAACGATCCCAAAAAACCCCCGGAAACCGCGATTTCAGTACCCCGACTAAACTGAAAACGGTCGGCGGCGACGACGAGGTCGGTTGTAGTAGTCGGGAGGCTTGTGTAAGGGGCGGCAGTAAGGTTAAGTGTTGTCTCGGTCGGTCGCTGTGCAAAAAGGGTGAGATCCTGAGTTTTCCGACCGTGGGTTTGTAATCGATCGAAATCTCGGTATTGTCGCGAAGGGTCAAGTTGTTTGTAACGCCGACGTGGTTTACTTGATTTTTTCGACAGCTTCGGGCACTCTCGTAATAGGTCGAAAGCCTCTGGGATCGATCGGGGGCGCGGTGTCGAGAGCGTGGGAATTCTGGTTTTTGCCTAATCTGGGACGCAAGCACAGTTAGCAAACCGTCTGCTCCCAACGGAAGCAGAGCTCGAGGCCATGATCACAAAACAAAGTTTAGGAGACGTTGGTGCTAGCCGACGGGAACGTGGAGAGAAGGTTTCGGACGGTCGTGTCGGAAAAGGGGGGTGGACGTACCAGACTCAACTATACCCATCGACTCTCCCTCCTTATCTTCTGTCAGGCCGTTGTATCGACAGCAACTATTTCGTTTCCGAAGTGTATCCGATCATAAAGTCCTCGCCGAGGGTAATCGCTGGTGGTAGGATCGATACGGTGGGCTTGTCGGAAGCAGTAGGATGGTCAGTTCTGCCAGACCGGAAATACTAGATTTGTTGTAACCGTAATGAATAATAGGAAAGACCACAAGCGAATTCGTCGAGATCTGGAGCTTAAATCTAGCTCTCTTCGTTTGGGAAACATGGCTGGAGGTATGCATACGTAGCTGGCGACGACGAGGCAAGCGGTTATGGAGACACACTTAAGTAGGCAGGAAGAAAATCATACTCGACTATTCGAAGGATGAGGAATGAATTTAAGTGTTTTTTGGAGGGCCATCGTCTAGTATTAATGCTATGATCGTTGTGGTATCCTTTCTGTTCAAAGGAGATGTATCTAGAGGGGGAGAGATCAGTTTTGGCCACTCCACTCTGGTAGGGTGGGTAGGTGCTTGACCACTCTTACAAAATTCGAGAAGGAACCTCCAGACTAATTCAATTATAGCCATTCACGATCTCAGAAACTGCCTCAATCTTCTAGTGGGGCCATCTCGGCATCGACAAGCAGGCGGGTATGGTCCTCCTACCAGTCGATCTGGCGAGGGCCACCAAGGTTATTGTGATTGCCCATTTATTGTACGATTGCCATGTCTCCACCATATCTCCCTCTCCAAGTTCTTGGTGTTATTCTCTTTGTAGCTATTGGTAGGTTTTCATTTATCATGTAACCCAAGTCTTAACCATTACTGTTAACCCTCATGCTCAGCGTCATTATCATCACGACTGATCATCTAACCTACTAGGTACTGACGCTCGTGCCAGGAGAATCGAAGCTGCCGTCTTCGAGCACCAATGGACACCACCAACAGCAGTTTGTCCACAAAGGGGATTATTTATCACACCTATCCGCCTAGAGAGAGACATATGACGAAGACACTTATGAGAGCTAGGTTATGTAGCTCAAGGCCAGAGAGCAGGGAATAGCCCTTTACTATGAGTAGTTTATTACCCCTTTTCAACTTTCTAGGAATGCTATAAATACTCTCTGCAGTATGTGTTATTAATAGTTATTATTTTTATCTTTCAAAATGAATGCTTTATAACAATGCCATTACTTTTCCTAAAAAAAAAACTATTTTCTGATGTTAATAATAGGGGTAACAACGATTGTGCCTTTGTGGGTTAATTGTTGGTGGTAAGACTCAACGCGACAGCCATGTTAATCACCAAGTGATATACTACTATGTACCGTATGCCAGAAGATATGATAAGTTACATCCATGGATATTTAACCACGTAAAGTGTTATAAAGCGTGAGTGAAGGTAACTTATATACATTTGAAATGCTTATGTAAGAACCTGTAAGGTACCTAACCTAGGTACCTCACCTTACGATATTTTAGTGTGGAGTCGTTATTTCCTTTGTAGTAGTGATCTCTGCATAGATCACTGGTTTCATTTTACTTAAGACGACGAGGACAGCTGCTAATGTACAAGATCCGACAGCTCCGTCCTCCGGAGCCGGCTCACCCGGAGAGGATCCGGATCCTTGCCGCATATGCAGTTTCCCGAAAGCAATGCCGAGCACAACATGCGAGGCAACCTCAGGAAGCAACATTCACTTTTTCCCGCTAGCCCCACAGGTAACCCGTCTTTCTGCATCGGGCCGGCTTCTCTGCATAGAACTAGCGCTCCGGAAATCATTCCTTATAGATTAGGCATCCATGGGGACCATACCACCCACTTCACAGTATTCTCCCGCCAAATCCAACCTCCATATTTTAAACGATTACAAAGGGAACTACTATGAACTGGCAAGAAACCGACCGCGAAGACGTCTTCTCGCGCCCACTCGGCGAGAACGAGACCTACAAACAGCTCGTGGGCGACCCCACGCACCTCCTCTAACACCGCCCTCGTGTCCTGGGCCTCCCAGACCTTCGGTATCGCCACCTCGGTGATCCCGACGGTCCGCCCTATACCCTACGCGCAGCTCGTGTACGTCCGCGGTCCGGCGAGCTGCTGGCGCTAGGCGCACTAAATTTCATTATACGTATAACACATGTATTTAAACCGTATAACGGAACGGAAGAACATTTCCGGGCCCACAGATAATTAACTAACGGGGTTATTCACATTTCACATAAATTTCCCCAACTTTCAACATTCAATGTAAAGAATATCAGAAAAATATTAGTAATCAAAGGTTTAAGTAAACATTCCATTATATAATCGGATACGATAAGAAACGTAGCAAAGAAAGCCTTAGACTTTATGGTAGGTAAAAAGATGGAAAATGGAGGGTTTGTATGCGATAATTTACTATAGGTACATACGTTATATTATACCAGCTTAGCCTGGTGCACTGACGGGACCGGTGTGCTTCCTCCTCACTCACTCTCGCCTCCTCTGCGCCAACGCCAACGCCCACGACCCTCGCCGACCCATTCTCTCTCGCTTGGTGAACTGAGATCACCCGTCTCGCGCTCGCGATCAAAGACGCTGCTGCCCTCCGTGCCCCAATCAACACTCCACAGCGGAACCAAAGCAGCGCGCCGCTGCTCTCTCGTGGGGCGCGCTCGCCCAGGCCGCGGGGGCGGTGTGGGGATCCCGTGTAGCGCGGCGCCGCGCTCGCGTTGCGTTGAGCAAGGAGGATTACGGGGAGGGTTGTGGCGGCGGCATGTAAGGCGAGGGGCGTTGACGTGACGGCTGCGGTGCACGCGGGCGCTCGCTGACGCTGATGATGTGGGGGTAGGTAGGGAGAAGAGGCACTACGCCCAGCAACCGTCCTCTTCGCGCTGCGGCCCTACCTGCCGGAGCCCTACTCCATGCCTGCTTTCGCGGCAGGCTTGCACACGACTGGTGTATGTGTTGGGTGGATTCGGGAAGTCTTTATTTACCTAAAGGAGATATCGATGAGCCTTCTGATAGTACCTATCTACCTTCACCATTGGTGGGGTGTTCTTACCGGAAAGGGGTAAATGCTGATTCATTTTTTTTTGTGGGGGGAGGGGGAGGGATGACAGTGGATAAAGCGCAACCTGCCACAGGACGGAGGAGGGGTTGCCTAGCAGGGATGTAGACATCAGTAGCATCGGCGTCGCGGAGAAGTTCGTCAGACGGTCGTACGGTACCGCGGAGGAGGCCGGGTTCGAAGTCGCGGCGGTCAGCGTCGGGGTCGAGATCCTCTTGCGCCAGGGCGTGGCTGTTATCTGAACGTTTCGCGATGAGCTGAATTCAGTGTTGTTTACAACGAGTCGTTCCACTCGGCTGAGCAGATGAGCCGGTTTGTGCGCACGGTCAGGACGCAGTTGATGGAGAGGTTGGGTATGCTGGACTCTTGAAGGCGTGGTACTTGGGTGGGTTTATCATGCTGGTCTTCCGTTTCCATCAACTTTAGAAAGCTACCCACTATGTAGTCCGTGTTGTGGCTGACGAGGGCAGCTGAATAATTTATCGTGCGGGTAAGGGTCTACATAGCCCCTGATTGTAGGTACCTACCTAGGTATTTAAACAGGTGCCTCAACTTCATCTGATTCAAAAGAGATTATCATTGTTATCCAAGTTCCTATCAAGGTATGCTTAAGTAGGTAGTTGTAGGGACATTAATGATGATATGACTCAGATGTTGTAATCTATCGCCCTCGTTGGCGCCAAGGGGTGTCACGTGACACTCGGGATAGAGCATTGATATTCACGATAACGAATGCCTCTTCTCTTGTAAGTTTACATGGACTCGTGGGAAAATTTAAGGCATCATTTCTATTTCCATATCAGGTATTTACTTGCTATATCTGATCTATGTACCTAGGGAGCTATGGACTTTCTGCTGGTCCAGGAGGTTGTTCCTAGATCGACAAACCTTTATCCATTCTTGATTTCCCTCATAACAGCCACAATAATCGTCGTCATATTAGCACCTCTTTAGGTGCCTACCTACAAGTGACGACATGTATGCCATTTTCTTGAGCAAACGTAGCAAAATTCTGCACGACACCGGCATCTGTCAAAATACACTCACGTTAGCAATGGGTAGGTAGTAGACAAAAAGCTGGACTCAAACTTACATCATGTGTGAGCAACCTGCTACTTTTTCAACAAATGTTCCACATCGATAACATTTCTTCCATCCTTTGGCTAGGGCTAGGGTTTTTAGTTTTTCGAAGTCTTCGCTGGGCCTACAATTACCATAATGGTATTCCATGGTGCACTTGGTGCACGTAATTGCATGGCACTGTGGGCATGATGCGAAGCCATGGATTTGATAACCATCAGGTATGAAAGCTTGGCAATATTGCACATGGCAATAGATTGGCCTGACGGCCAACGACTTGAAGTTCAGTGCCGCATATTTCGCTATGAACTCGTGGCCAAGTAGTCGGTATACTATATCTGGCGTAAACCGGACAGGTATTCCGCAGCATTGGAAAGGTGTCAGTGATCCGTCTTTTATTGAATGCTTGAAGCCACTCGTCATGCAGGGTGCGCAGAAGTAATGTCTACAGTCGGCTTTGAAGAGGTCCCGATAATCAAAATGATACCTGCAAATCACGCACGTTTCCTTCAAATGTGGTGCCCAAGACATAATGCGCTATAGGTAGTCTGATGTGATTTATTTAGATGAGGTTGGCAGATAACAGGCAGGAGTAAAACATGCGCTGGTTTGGTGCTTTATATATCCTATCTGGTGTCTCAGATGGGTGGCCTAATATTACACCTAGAATGTACCCATGAATGCTATCAGTTTCTGGCTGTATCCTTTATAATAGTATTATATCCAGGGATTTCTTATTTAGTCTGAGAAAGTGCATACTACTACCATTGTTCTTGGTAGGCCTAAGCTACCTCAAACCTCTCTAAGCTGCTGCTGCTCTAAGTACCTAGGTTGGTCAATATGAGCTATTGGCAAGGCTTGGGCTCCCATACATGAGAAATCGTGAGCGATTGACATATGGGTAGCTGGATATTTTCAAATATTCATTAGCCCTTTTCAAGGTTATCCTGCGGGCTGGGACTCAAACTTGTGGTATTCGGGCTTTCATGCCTACTATCATTGCCCAACCATCTCAAGAAAGGGGGTATAAAAGCAATCGTTCCTTTGGCAAGCACCGAATTTTCACGGACTGTAGACAAATTTCAACTCGACAAGCTCTGATTGATTGCATGGAAGACACCATATTGGCAACAATCACCGCCCACCCCCTCCCTCTCTTTCTTTCTCACACACACACAGACACAGATACATCACACAAAACACCTACGGCCGCTCAATTTCGATGAAACATAAACCCTAGAACGATGTGTTAAAGTTACTCGACGAAACAGCGCCTAAACAGAGAACTATACCTAATTAATAGGCACCTGCTAAACCTTGGGTTACTAAAGCAAGGCACACCCACTTGTAGGGCTGGTTCAAGCATTATTAACATGTGAATATAAGCTTTTCGATGGCGTCCTTTTGAAGCTCAGCACCAAAAAGTCCCTCCCCCCCCCCCTCCACTGGATCTGATCGTCCCAGGGGTTCATTCATGTAAACCTTATTTTGGCCCACATCGGTACCGAGTGGGTGGTACTGGTGGTCTAGCCCCCCTTGCCCTGTAACTACCAACAATAGAAAAATCCAGTAATCCAGTATCGATGGATCCATGGATATGCATACCTAGATAGCATGTGATAATGGATTACGACCCATGTGCTCTGCTTACCGGCCTTCCAACTGACTAGTTGATATTTGGCATAGTTTTACCACCCATCATGTCGAACTAGGCATTTTGTCACGATAGCATCGCCATCATGTGCCATTCCTACGAGGGGTCAGACGGGTACCTGCATAGATCGTGTAGGTATCGCCATTTTCACATGCTAATCCACTCTAGGTGGAAACCTAGGTACATATAGGTAATAGCTCACATAGATACAAGCAGGAAAGTTAAAAAAGAAGATTGGTGAAGTAATAAATGTATTCATTTTCTCGGCCTGTCCTGTCCGAGATTTTTCATCCGCGAATCCTTTGGTTTTCATTTCCCTCCTCATTTCTATCCTTGGCTTCGTCTCTATTTAAAACGGCCCTCATACCACTTCTAATTGTCTACAAGGGATATACACTACGGAGCGAAGAAGGTATCCCGAAGCAAAAAAATAGACACCGCACAACTCCAAACGTGTAGGGTAATATAAGCACACCAGCTCAATCACGTTTAAAAAGTTGCGACCGCAATCGCGATAGCCTGTGTCTCCGAATGCGAGATGGATACGCTAATTTCTTTGACACCTGCCTTCTTTGCCGCTTCTTGCGCATCACCATGAAGCTGTAATCCATTAGCAAAACTTTCTTGTCATGCATTTTAGCAGGCATTTACTTACAGTGACGATAGGAGCACCGAGCTCATTGGGCAGAATTTCAATGTCCTTCAAGGGTGCACCGGCCCCCTTGCTTTGGACAGATAGGCTCTTGAAAACTGCTTCTTTGGCACTCCACCGACCAGCAAACGAGCTCTGTGGGCTAGGCGTTTTCTGGCAGTACGCAATTTCCTTATCCGTGAAGTTGCGTTCGATGAACGTGGGATTTTCGATATTAATGGCTGTGATATCCTCTACATCGACACCCACCTTGTTATTCTTCCCTGTCTGGAGGCTTTGGGCTAAGGCCTCTACCATCTCCTTGGTACTCCTTTCTTTCGCAAGATGAGGCTCCGCGGCTTGCTTCGCGAAATTGGCAGCGTAGACGAGTTCAGCCGTCTTCGCATTTTCTGTAACTCTAGCATCCGGATTCAGCAAGACAGGGGCCAGCTGCTCCTCAGTGTACGGTGCGTGGTCCTTGGCTTGGAAGATAGCATTGTTGATGATGCCGTTATGCAGGAATCGGTACGCCTTCTTTTGACGGGCAGCCACCTTGGTACAGTACTCTGTATACGTTTGCTTGTCGAGTGTTGCGTACAGATACCTTGGATGAATACCGATCGTCTGAGCACCCTTTTGTCCGAAACCGAACGAAGTCAGTGAAAAGGCCTTTACACCGTCGGTCTGGATGCTTCGACTAGGATACACAATCAGATCAAACTTCTCCATCACCTCGTCGACGTTGTCGGCGTTGCGATTACCAGGGACCAAACCGGTGTTCATCACTTGTAAGCAACCGTTGAACATCCAAGCACCAGCAGCACCCTTCGGATGACCAGTGAGGTACTTTTGGAAGATGCCCAAGACGGCATTACCCTTCTTCCGACCAAGATGGCGCAGCTGCTGGCAAATAACGGAAGATTCATTCTTGTCATTGGCCTTAGTTGAGGTACCGTGGAAGGATGCAACATCTAGATCGTCAATTGTAAGACCCCAAGTGGCGAGGGAACCTCGGAGAGGAGCGATGGTGTTGTCTTGCTTCCAGAAATTGTTTCCGAGGCTTCGCAAAGCTTCCTTCTCCTGCCTTATAGATTCCTTTTCGATGTGGACAGCACGGGCCTGGGTGTATTCATTCTGATCGAATTCGTGACCTTGAGCCTGCATGGCTGCTGCCTCCTCATAAAGGTATTCGAGTTCGGATTCTTTCCAGCTGCGGATTTGCCTCTTGCGAATCTCGATTTGTCGGCGGCGGTATTTCATATCGAGCAGGGGTGATGGGAACTTGCTAGGGGCTTCCCGAGCGGTGGTCAACAGACCTTGACCAGGCGCTGGAACTGAGCGTCCAGTCTTGTCGCTTGCCGTGGTGGTATGGGCAAGGACACCATAGATGGGCACACCCATATCGAGCGCTAACTGGGCCGTCATGAGGACTTGTATACCACATCCTTGAGACTCCATGAATCCACTTCTCGTGGTGGTGGTTGGACGCGACATCTCTTGTGGCGTTCGGCCATGAGCAAATTCGTCGACACTGTTGCTCGTCGCCTTCATGTTGGCAAACTCATATGAGCCCTCCTCACCGAAGTCATCGAAGCCACCAACCAGGCAAATCCGTGCTTTACCTTCCATAATAGCCTCGAAGCCATTGTCTACCGATTCTACGGCTGTGGCGCAGGCTCCGACGGGGGTCTTGATGGGACCAGAGGAAGACAACAAAAGCATATTGACCCAGGCAGCCATTGTATTGATGAAAGACTCCTGTAAGATGTCCTTTTGAATGTCGTGATCCATCTTGCGCTTGGTGTACATCCCGTTAAGAGCATTCATACCACCTTGGCCAGAACCGATGCAGTTGCCGACTTCTGATACATGGACGTACTTATAAAATTCGTACGGGTCAGTGACACCCGAAGCTAGAAGGGCCTCAGCTACACAGATAAGTACGTAGAGGGTGACACGGTCGACTTGGGAGATGATGTCGTCGGGAACACCATATTTCTTGGCATCCCAGCCGGTAGGTATTTGCCCAGCGACAAGGCGGTCAAATCTAAGAGCCTTGGGAATCCACAGAGTAGCACCCTTCCTGAGGCGAATGGTATACTCGCCCGTCTCAGGAATCTCGAAAATCTCGCACTTGTCATCGTGCTGTCTCTTGAATTCCTCAGCCGTTTCCTTTGAGCCCTCGAATGGTTCAAGGTCCTCCTCAAGTTGGATTTCGTGAAGCATCATCTTCTTTTTGGGATCATACCCATCAAAGAGCTCAGGCTCGATGAGACGGATGCCTGAATGCTCAAGGATATATGCCTCGTACTTTCGTTTGATATCCTTATCTTCGACCGGGTCACCGGTCTTGGCATCGACCCAACCCGAGTAGGGCTGTCCTTTGATGGGGCCGTTGTGGTTTTTGATAAGACCCATGATCCACGCCATCTCGACACATCCCTCGATCGAAAACTCGCCATGTGCTTCCATTTCCCAGCGGGTTCTCGAGTTACCCCAAGGTCCTATCTCAGCAAAGCCGGTGACAACAACAACTCTGTCCAAGTCCACCATGCCTTTGAGCTTCTCATTGTGAGGTTCAATCTCCTTCTCCCAGTCGGGGGGAGTAGGGAAATCAAATTTGATGTTGGCGCGCGGTTCGATAAGCTTCTTTTTATACAACGCCTCTGAGTCTTCACCATTGACAACCTTGTTCTCGATCGCTGTCTCCTGAGTGACGGCCTGGCGAACTTCGCTAGTTTCCATGATGTCCTTGCGTATCCGTGTCATCGCATCGTTCAAGTTGGGAATGAACTGGAGACCGCCGTTCAGGTCGGCAAACACAGGTTCGTTCTGGCAGAGGTCTACGATATCCGGGGACATAAGCCCAAGGAGGTTGAAGGCCATCTCTTGTTGAGAAAACGTGCGCACTCCAAATTGCTCAACTCCTTCAGCAACAATGTTGTTGCCAGACATAAGGCCTGTACCACGGGTCCAGCCAATGACGGCACCGCAGATGGTGAGGTAGTTGGCCCAGCTTTCGGAATGCCAGCGGTTGAAAAGAGTCTCAAGACCAAGCTTGGACTCCGAATAAAGACCGTCACTACCAAACGTACCGTGGTTAGGAGATAACGGGAGAACAACCTGAGCAGGCCGAGTCTCAAAGTTGCGCTCCGACTTTTGCGTCTTGACGCAGCCCAAAAGACGAATGAGATTCGTCAGCATGATACGATGGGCAAGTTCGGATTTCGAGTCAATGCCGTCGATTTGGCGACCATTCTCAGATATAGCAGCAAACGGAATGATATAATCAAGGTCCCAGCCTAGTCCGTTCTTAGGATCGTAAATGTATTCGATAAGAGCTTCCACATCCTGCTTGCTGCCTTGGTTGAATGGAACAACAACAAGCTGAGACCCACGAGCACCGTACCTGGCGTACATGGCCTGGTAATACTCTGTTACTTGGCGTGAGAAGCGACTTGTGGTAACGATCACTCTAGCACCTCCACTGATGAGACCTTGGAGAACTTCAGCACCAATTGAGCCGGCACCAGCTCCGGTCATGAGAACGTATTTGTCCTGGTAGGTAACGCCCGACTTGGCAGCTTCTTCTAGGCAATCCAGGTAGACTCCAGTTAATCGTTTGCTATATTCCCAGCCGTGCAAATTATGGCGTTTGAGGTGTAGGAAAGGAATGGTTTCCATCTTGCCTTTGCCGTTTTGGCCGTTCGTCTTCAACGAGGGCTTCTTGACAAAACCGTTTGCTTTCCCATTCTCTTTAGGTAATATCTGACTCTCATTCATCGCAAGAGATCGAAGAACGTTTCCATAAAGGTTCTTGAATTCCAGTTTCGCGGTTTTGGACATTTTGTGTTGCTCCTTGATTAGCTTGACAAGACGTCCCAGGTCATTTTGAACTTTGGTGCGATTGCCGTACTCGGATATTTTACCGCCTTCCGCCATCTGCTGAACATAGTGTTCAAGCTTTCGGCAGCTTTGCCTGGGAACTTCTTCGTAGCTAAGATTTCCGCGTGCATCGATAGATGTGTGAGGGCCGGTCGGAACAGCAACGTCCTTGTAATGCGGTGGTACATTCATAACCTCTTTACAGTTTTCGATCAGCTGTTGTCCTAATTCCTTGGCTAGTTTATAGGTTTCTCCGCGTTCGGTAGGGCAGTTATCAATGTGGTACTGCATAAATTCAAGGAGCAGGGGATTTGATTTGCTCATGATGCGGATGCACTGGCTGACGATTTCCCTGTCGACGGCCTGAAGTCGTCCGAAAATGACATCATAATACATACTGAGGGCATCTTGACGCGCCCAGTTCCAAGATGAATCGTACGTGCGCGCTTTGAGGGGGCTGAACACAGGTTCGATACCTGTCGCATAGAAGTCACCGTGCTCAGTGTTCCATAGATCGAGCTGTGCCTGCAATACCTGTTGGGACTCTTGTGATGATTGAGCGGCCTTTTCACCAGCTCGAAGGTCCATTTTCAGGTATCTCGCTAGCAGTTCAAGCTGTTGCTTGAACAGGGCGCGCTGATCTTTAGTAAGAGCATCGATAGCAGCCGGATCCATCATCATGCCACCGGACCCGCCAGTAGCTGGGCCAGCGGTTGTAGCCGTTGACAAGCTAATGCCAGCGTTGGTAGCATATTTCTGTGCAACATCGTCAAAGTAAGCTTTGGCATCATTCTCCGAGCCTAAGCGGGCGGCTGGCTCCATGGTAAGTGCCAATACGAGTACTCCGTCTTGTCGTCCAGAGCCGAGGCCCCATCTGGTCTCTAGGTATTTGCGTGCAGACGTCATGTTGAAACCTCCAGGCATCTTAGAAGAGATTAGGCGGGCAATCAGTGACTGAGATTGTTTTCCAAGCTGGCCATTGAACGTCGCCTGCATTAATCCTGATAATTCGTCGATAGGGGTATCTTCAGGCTTTTCGGGTGTTGATCCAAACTCCTTTCCTAGGTCACCTAGGATCTCATTCTGGAGTGTGGACTTGCCTGCCTCATCGTTAGCTATGGTATGATGCTCTTAGATCGAATAAACTAACCTCCGACTAGATCCTTTATAGCCTTGCTTAAAGGAATTTCAAGGAAAGGCTTCTTTAATTTTTGTGCTATTAACGCTCGGACGATCTCAAGAGCGGACACAGGTACATCGCTTATGGCCGCCGCAGGGCCTGCACTGGGGGCGGGAGCAGCAGCAGCAGCAGCGGGGGCAGCGGCTGCTGCCGGTGCTGGTGCGGAACTCGATGAGGACTCTGCAGCGGTGGGTTCTGGCTCCTCCTCAATTGGGTCTACATCGTAGTAGATCTCCTTCGCATCTTTGTTGTAACACAAAATTTGTCGTTGAATAGACTTTGCTGCGTCAAAAGCTTCGTATTTAGATGCGATTGTTCTCTTGGCCATTACGCCTAGAGTATCTGCGGGTCCAACTTCAACAATACGTTCTGCTGTCTTCTCGCCGAGGAACACATCTTGTGTTTCGATCCATCTCACAGGAGATGCAAATTGATATGCGAGCAGCTCAACGAGCAAGGTATGAGCAAGTTCTTGCTCGATTTCTGGACGCATTTTGGTTGTAGGAGAGAAATGAGGAGGTGGAGGGGGTTCGGTGACAATCGACAGCAAATGGGACGAGCTCGAAGGAACGCGATGTCAACAGCGTCAACTTGGTTTTGCAGTTGGTTTGAAGGTACAGTCGGTCGACTAGAGAAAAAAAGTTCTAACGAAGGCTATCGTGCTGATCGTGTTAAACGGTTTCCCCTGTTTCTTGCCCGTTACGTATAGTCACCCAACCGAATTCAGCATCAGTCAACCCGAAGACCAAAGCAACTGTGCACCTAAAAAAAAATTCGGGTAAGGAGCGTATGCCAAGCTTGACGATAGGTAACAACGTCAAGGACAGAAAGGGATAGGATAAATGAACAACAGGTTCACTGATTCGGATTGATTATTAGGAGGTTTCTTGAGTAAGAAAATAAGAAATTATGTCGCCGTCGTCTAGTTGGCGATCACCTTTGACCAAAGTTTGCCTAAGTGGGTGGGAAGGAAGGTCTATGTGAGGTATAGTATACCTAGTAGATTACATAGAGCACTGTAAGCACGGTTAGATGCAAGTGTAAGTATCTAGGCGAGTAGATTGATAGGTAGCTCTCTCCTTCTTTAGGGCAATACAGAGCAGACACGAAGGATTGCGATGCATTAGACGGAACAAAACGGAACTTTCCCAAATGTTGAACTGTCTAGGTGCAACAATGCAAAAATTTTGGCGGGATCGTAGACAGACGTCGTTTCCCCCAATTCTGGGCCAATGGCCAGACCTACATGCACAGGGCTATCTTAATCACGACCAGTTACCACCTCTAGGGCTACATACGGCGTAGTAGTAGGTACTTAGACGCAGTGACCAAGCACCCAAGCCTAGAGCATTCTTGCATCGATCCTACGTATCTACCTACGCAACCTACGGTGCCACCGCAACTCCTCAGCGATACCCTTGTCACTTGCAATTCCCACAAGCATTAAATTGATTGATCATGATTTGTTGATTTGCTCAGAAAATCCATAAATGTCCCACTATTTCTCAACCATCTCTTGATATAGTCTATGCCTATCATGGGTTAGCCTGCTACGAGACCCTTTTTCTCCACGAAGACCCAGGCCGGAAAGTTGGGGTTGGCTTGTTCTTTTTATCGCCTCCCTTGTTACTAACGACACTGAGGCCCGTGTCTAAAATCTTATCAAGAGATCAGTAGATTCAGTACAACGGCTAACATATCCTTCCGAGTACATGGTATTACTAACATTCCCGTCTAAAAGCTTAGCTTGCGGTCTACCATAGCATAATTATAGTAAAATATATCTAGCAGCCTCGTACGTTATTCTAGCACTTTTTATAATAGTATAGGTAATAGTATGGGTGTAGTTAATCGTCATCCGGCTTTAGTCTCATGCAAGGCCACACAACTAGGGCAAATAATAGTGTTCCAAAGAATCCTGTTCCGTAACACAAGTACCACACTAGGTTGCATCTAAGTGGCTTTAACTTTCCTTTGCCTATCGTGCCATGCCAATGGAGTACCTAGTCGGCACCAGCCCAGGGTAAGTTCCGGCGAGGAAGTACAGATACTTCTATGGAAGTTACTCTGGCGTTAATACCGGACATCATACATATCATAATGTAGGTATGGAGTAAATTTCACTACGTCTAATGCATGTGTGAGGTGATTCTCATTCTTAGAGCGATGCCCTATAAATAATCCTAGTACTCATTACAGTATAGGATCTTGTGATGCAGCTTACATGTATTCGTGAGATCTCGAGCTGGCTATTAGTATGCAAGTTTGACGGCCTGATATCTGGGGAAGAGCCTGTACTGTAAGATGACATCGCTTTCTAATGCACCAGCAGGATGAAACATGCCTCGACGACAACGAACTCGGTTGAGACATGCCTCCTGCCCTCCCAGGGCCTCCCTACCTAGGTATGTACTACACAGGTAGGCAGTTTTAATATTTGAATGAACTACATACTTGATCCCTAAAAATGATTGAGCTCAGTTTGCATTTTGCCAACAATTTTATCGGAAGAGGGCAGTAGGTAGGTATCCATAGTTGGGATACGCTCCATTGAGCCGAAGTCGTACGGTTGGCCAGCCCCCCGAGACATTCGTCTTCGTAATCGATTGTTGACTAAAATCACTTTTCAAAACGTGGCCGTCGTTAGCTTGATAAACTTCGAAGTCTGCCAGTTACAACAAGCTTAGTCCCCACGTCCCGTTCCATGTTTGACTTCAGCTGACTTGAAGATGGCAGCTGATAAGGCAAGACTGTTAAAACCCGTAGTGGACGTCTTTCAACATCGTCCGAAGTAAACAGGTATAAAAATACGCACACAATAGACATCACATGTGCAATGTTTTAAAAAAGGGTGGAAGTTGAGTCTGGAATTTAGGGCAAGATGGGACGATCCAAAGTTTGACATGCATGGTTGAGTGGCTACATACATCATAAAGAATTTCGATGTTCAAAAGTTGTGTGGGAAAAATACATTTGTGATAAGATCAAAAAGGTACTGGTACTGCGACGCTATTGGTTGTGGATCGGCTAGGGTTGTACTACCTACCCTAGGTAGTACTATAAGTGCTAGTACGTAGCTGCAACGCTAGGTACCTACAGTAGGTGGTGGTAGTAACTGGCAGAAGTTACTGGCTAGCCCAAATGGATCCCCAACAAGAACTTAAATTTTTTTGTCGAGAGAGCTGTCCCTGCAAAATAAAAATTAGGCCCGTTTCGATTAAACGTCGTTGTTAGGTATATGCTCGTTGAGAAGAAACACGACAGGGGCGTTGACAACTTGGAGTTACGCCAGTGCCACCAACAGTAACTTTTTTTTTTTAGAGTTCTCGAATTTTGATAGGAAGGTACGTTTCCCTTCAAGTCGTGATCCATTCAGTCAGTCAGTCAGCCAGTCCTGCCAGTCTAGTCAGTTTCCTTATTGAGTTCTTCCAACGACACTCTTCTGCACGATACTGGAGCTGCTGAATTGCAACTTCTGGATTTTAATCCTTCCCTAATAAAATCGTTTATTTTGTGGCTTCATTCTTGCAGCTCGCAATTGCCCTCCTTTTAAGTCAATCTTTCGCTTGTGTTTGTGCCTGGTCACATTCTTCAGCGCCGTTCTTCCCACCCACTTCTTCCTACCATTTATTTGCTGCCTGAAGCTCTTTGAAATTTTCCCTAGCAAATTCTCGAGTGTCACATCTCCTGCTCTTTGCTGAGTCTACGGAGAAAATCTTAATCGTAAGAAACAAAAGTCCTGTGTAGTAGCTTTTTTCATTTTAAATTCTAACAAGTAGTCGAAGCATTAGTTCCAGCCTCAACCTCAACTCCAATCGCCGCCATCCCACGATACCATTAATCATGTATGGCACCGGCAGCGGCACCGGGCCCCAAACGGGTGTCTCGACCCCTCGATCATCCTCTTCTCTCCGCCCTCTAACTCTTGCGCATGGATCTCTGGATGCCTCATTCCTTGTCCCCACTAGTGCCCATTTTCATGCGTCACAGCTCAAAGATAGGTTTACGGCGGGCCTTCCCGCACCGACAGATGAATTAGCTCTAGACGATGAGCCCTCGTCCGTAGCCGAGCTTGTCGCCAGATATATGGGATTTGTTGCTCACGAGGTAGAAGAGGGTGAAGATGATGCCCAGGGCTCGTATGAGGAAGTACTCAAATTAGTTCTGAACGAATTCGAGCGAATGTTTCTTCGGGGGAATGACGTCCACACCTTAGCAAAGAACCTCCCCGGTATTCTTGCCAAGCAAATTACTGTCGTGCGATGCTACTACGCAGCCCGTTCTGTAGCAAACCGTGCCATCAGACCCCATGAATCTGCACTTTTAAGAGCTGCCGACGAGGGGAATGCCGTCATCTACAGCATCTTCGGCGGCCAAGGGAACATCATCGAATACTTTGATGAACTACGTGAGGTATACGAGACGTATCCCTCATTCGTGGGTGAACTTGTCACATCATCCGCCGACCTGCTTCACAACCTCGCACTAGACCCCAGAGCAGAGAAATTATACGCCAAGGGACTTGATGTGATGGAATGGCTTCGTTCCCCAGATTCTACGCCCGATCCCCAATATCTAATTTCAGCTCCTGTCAGTTTGCCTTTAATTGGATTGGTACAATTATGCCATTACCAAGTCCTCGGAAAGGGGCTAGGTGTCCATCCTGGAATACTACGTGACCGTATTCGCGGAGCGACCGGCCATTCCCAGGGTGTTATTGTCGCAGCTGCCACGGCCGCCGCAGATTCGTGGGAGTCATACGAAAAGCTCGCCAAGGATGCGCTTACAATTCTCTTCTGGATTGGTGCTCGTAGCCAACAAGTGTTTCCCAGAACCTCATTGACGCCTGTTATGTTGCACGACTCCATTGACAATGGCGAAGGAGACCCAACGCCTATGTTGAGTATTAGGGACTTATCCCAGAGTGAGGTTCAGAAGCACATCGACGCTACGAATCAATACCTTCCTGAGGATCGGCACATTGCTATATCGCTAGTTAACAGTCCCAGGAACATGGTCGTCACAGGCCCGCCGATTTCTCTATATGGTTTAAATCTACAATTACGAAAGGTCAAGGCGCCTACGGGCCTCGATCAAACTCGAATCCCTCACACAGAGCGCAAAGTTCGATTTGTCAACCGCTTCTTGCCCATAACATCTCCCTTCCATAGTGCATACCTTTCTGATGCGACTAAGTTGATTGACGAAGACCTGAAAGACATTCACATCAATTCCGAATCGCTCGGAATCGCTGTCTACAACACATGTACCGGTGCCGATCTGAGAGATGAGGTCAAGGGTGATATTGTCCCCTCCTTAGTTCGTATGATTACGCGAGACCCGGTCAACTGGGAAAAGGCAACGGTCTTCCCAGAAGCAACTCACGTATTAGACTTCGGTCCTGGAGGTATCTCAGGTCTTGGTATCCTCACCAGCCGTAACAAGGAGGGTACAGGTGTCCGTGTCATCCTAGCTGGTACCATTGATGGTGCCGCACAAGAAGTAGGCTTCAAGTCTGAACTCTTTGATCGAGACGAGGAACATGCTGTAGTATACGCCAATGATTGGGTCAAGGAATACGGCCCTCGGCTAGTCAAAACGACGAGCGGTCACACTTACGTCGACACGAAGATGAGCAGATTATTAGGCGTACCTCCCCTTATGGTTGCTGGTATGACCCCATCTACTGTACCCTGGGACTTTATCGCAGCAACGATGAATGCGGGTTATCATACTGAACTAGCCGGCGGAGGTTACTATAATGGCAAAACGATGACAGAGGCTCTGTCTAAAATTGAAAGGGCCATACCGGCTGGACGAGGAATTTCGATTAACTTGATCTACGTCAACCCCAGGGCTATGGGCTGGCAGATTCCTCTCATCGGGCGTCTCCGTGCCGAGGGCGTCCCCATCGAAGGATTGACCATTGGTGCAGGCGTTCCGTCCATAGAGGTTGCTCAGGAATATATCGAAACTCTCGGACTAAAGCATATTGCATTCAAGCCAGGTTCTATGGAGGCAATTCAAGCTGTTATCAACATTGCCAGGGCAAACCCAACGTTCCCTGTTATTCTTCAGTGGACTGGTGGCCGGGGAGGTGGTCATCACTCATTTGAAGATTTCCATGCGCCTATCCTACAAATGTATGGCCGTATTCGAAGATCAGACAACATTATACTCGTCGCCGGAAGTGGGTTTGGTGGCGCTGAAGACACATATCCGTACCTCACGGGTGAATGGTCTAAGAAATATGGCTACCCACCCATGCCTTTTGACGGCTGCCTCTACGGCAGTCGCATGATGGTCGCGAAGGAAGCACACACAAGTAAGGCCGCCAAACAAGCCATCATCGATGCCCCAGGACTTGACGATAGTGAATGGGAGAAGACGTACAAAGGTGCGGCAGGTGGCGTCATCACTGTTAGATCAGAAATGGGTGAGCCAATTCACAAGCTTGCCACCCGAGGTGTACGTTTCTGGGCTGAAATGGACAACAAAATATTTGGCCTGCCAAAGGAAAAGCGTGTGGCCGAGTTGAAAAAGAACCGAGAGTACATTATCAAGAAACTGAACGATGATTTCCAGAAGGTATGGTTTGGTCGAAACAAGGCTGGCCAGACAGTTGATCTTGAAGATATGACATATGGCGAAGTTGTGCGAAGAATGGTCGACCTTCTCTACGTCAAACACGAGTCACGATGGATCGACCCGTCCTTCATCAAGCTCACTGGTGACTTCATTCATCGTGTTGAGGAACGATTCACTACAAATCCTGGCCAACCCTCCTACTTACAGAATTATTCTGATCTTAATGAGCCGTTTTCTGCCGTTGAGAGGATTCTCTCATATTATCCCGATGCTGAAACCCAGATCATCAATGCCCAGGATGTCCAGCACTTTTTACTTCTATGCCAACGCCGTGGCCAGAAGCCCGTTACATTTGTACCTTCTTTGGACGAAAGTTTCGAGTTCTACTTCAAGAAGGACTCTCTGTGGCAGTCCGAAGATCTTGCAGCGGTCATAGACCAAGATGTTGGCCGAACTTGTATTCTGCAGGGTCCCACCGCAGTCAAATACTCGACCGTCATAGACGAACCCATCAAAGACATTCTAGACGGCATCCACAATGCTCATATTGCCAGCCTAACGAGAGATGTATATGCCAACAAGCCGGAAGCTATTCCTACCATTGAGTATTTCGGCGGTAAGCTCATTGACACTGAAATGCCATTGGACATTGAAGGCCTCACTGTATCATATGATCAACACAAAAACACGTATCGTCTATCGTCATCTCCTGCTGTCACTCTGCCACCCGTTGATAGTTGGCTTGCGCTACTAGCAGGACCAAATCGCAACTGGCGGCATGCATTGTTCACTTCGGAAGTTTTGGTTCAAGGTCATAAATATCAGACAAACCCAATGAAGAGGATATTTGCTCCCGTTCGTGGGCTTTTTGTTGAGATCCTCTACCCGAATGATCCTACGAAGACGTCGATCATCGTCCGCGAACAGCCTCGCCACAATCATTACGTCGACGTCATTGAAGTTAAGTTAGATGGACAGAGCGAGATTGTCGTGAGCATGATCAAGGAGAGCACTGCTCTCGGTCAGCCCGTATCACTGCCTCTCCGGTTTAAATACCGCCCCGAAGCTGGGTATGCACCAATTCACGAGGTCATGGAAGGACGAAATGACCGCATTAAGGAATTCTACTGGCGTGCATGGTTTGGGGATGAGTCGTTCGACCTCGACACTCCTGTTACTAGCAAGTTCGATGGCGGACGGACTACGATCACCAAGAAAGACATCAACGATTTTGTGCATGCCGTTAGTAACACTGGTGAAGCATTTGTTGACCGCCCTGGCAAAGTGATGTTCGCGCCCATGGATTTCGCCATTGTTGTTGGATGGAAGGCAATCACGAAGCCTATCTTCCCCAGAAAGATTGACGGCGACCTTCTTAAGCTCGTGCATCTTTCCAATGGCTTCCGCATGATGCCAGGCGCTGACCCTCTTCAGAAGGGCGACGAAGTCAAGACTACGGCGCAAATCAATGCTGTGATCAATCAAGAATCTGGCAAGATGGTCGAAGTCTGCGGTACTATTTACAGAGATGGCCAAGCTGTCATGGAGGTTACATCGCAATTTCTGTATCGTGGTGTTTACACCGACTTTGAGAATACCTTCCAACGCAAAATGGAGACGCCGATGCAAGTCCATTTGGATACCTCGAAGGACGTAGCTGTGCTTAAGTCTAAGGATTGGATTCAATTCGATAATAATGATATCGAACTCCTAGGCCAGACATTGACATTCCGCCTTCAAAGCTTCTATAAGTTTAAGAACCGGACTGTTTTTAGCAGTGTTGAGACCCGTGGCCAGGTGCTTCTAGAGCTTCCCACCAAAGAGGTTATTCAAGTCGCGAGTGTCGACTACGAGGCTGGAGTGTCCCATGGTAACCCAGTTGTAGACTACCTCGAACGTCATGGTTCTTCTATCGAGCAGCCGATCAACTTTGAAAACCCCATCCCTCTTAGCGGCAAGAAGCCCTTACAGCTTAAGGCTCCGGCTTCCAACGAAACTTATGCCAAGGTCTCGGGCGATTACAATCCTATACACGTTTCTCGTGTTTTCTCTAGCTACGCCAATCTTCCTGGGACCATCACTCACGGCATGTACTCCAGTGCTGCCGTACGTGGTTTGGTGGAAACCTGGGCGGCTGAGAACAATATTGGACGCGTCCGTAGTTTCCATGCTTCTCTTGTCGGCATGGTGTTGCCAAACGACGATATTCAAGTTAAACTTCAGCATGTTGGAATGATCGGTGGTCGCAAGATCATCAAGGTTGAAGCAAGCAACGAGGATACCGAAGAGAAAGTTATCCTTGGCGAAGCTGAGATCGAGCAGCCCGTTACGGCATACGTCTTTACGGGCCAGGGATCCCAAGAACAGGGCATGGGTATGGATTTGTACAATACAAGCTCGGTTGCCAAAGAGGTGTGGGATAGGGCCGACAATTACCTCTTGGACACATATGGTAAGTTATATTTAACTTGTACCTAACGAGATTATAACTAACACATCTTAGGGTTCTCTATCCTAAACATCGTGAAGAATAACCCGAAGGAATTGACCATTCACTTTGGGGGTCCTCGCGGAAAGGCTATTCGGGAAAACTACATGCAGATGAACTTTGAGACCATTGCCGCGGACGGCTCCGTCAAATCTGAGCGCATCTTCAAAGACATCAACGACAAAACGACGTCTTACACGTATAGATCACCCACCGGTCTTTTATCAGCAACTCAGTTTACCCAACCTGCTCTCACCCTGATGGAAAAGGCCAGTTTCGAAGATATGAATGCCAAGGGACTTGTGCCGCGAGACAGCACCTTCGCAGGTCACTCCTTGGGAGAGTACTCTGCCCTTGCTGCCTTGGCAGATGTCCTCCCTATCGAATCGCTAGTCTCGGTTGTTTTCTACCGTGGGCTTACCATGCAAGTTGCCGTCGAGCGAGATGCCCAGGGCCGGTCTAACTACTCCATGTGTGCTGTAAACCCTAGCCGAATCTCGAAGACTTTCAGTGAGGGTGCTCTCCGATATGTAGTTGGCAATATCGCCGAGGAGACCGGCTGGCTCCTCGAGATTGTGAACTACAATATTGCAAACATGCAGTATGTCTGCGCTGGCGATCTACGTGCGTTGGACACTCTTACCGGAGTTTTGAACTTTCTGAAATCGCAGAAGGTCGATATCAACCAGCTTCGCCAGGATCTGAGCATCGAAGAGGTCAAGGGGCACCTCGTTGACATCATCAAGGCTGCCTCCCAGAAGACGTTGGCCAAACCCCAGCCTCTGGAATTAGAAAGAGGATTTGCCACCATTCCCCTGAAAGGCATAGATGTGCCATTCCACTCGACATTCTTGCGGTCAGGTGTTAAGCCTTTCAGGAATATTCTCCTGAAGAAGATTCACAAGACTTCTATCGATCCCGCCAAACTGATTGGAAAGTACATTCCTAACGTGACGGCGCGGCCTTTCGAGCTCACAAAGGAGTACTTCCAAAATGTGTATGATCTCACAGGGTCCCCCAAGATTGCGCAGATCTTACAGGATTGGGAAAGCTACCAGGATGATGTTAACGGCGTCAATGGCGTGAACTCGCCGCCTATTCAAACTAATGGTCACTAAAAGGACGGTGTGCGGCTTGGGATGTCCTGGATGATGGAACGCATGATATCAATGGTGTTATAGATTCGTTGCATTTGCTAGTTTTCTGCTACTGTGTTGACGAGGTTTGGGATAGGGACGTTGTTTTCGGGTACCCTATCTTCCTATAGATAGATACACTCGGAGTTGAGCCATTTTCAATTGATGAATATTCAGTTACCATTATCGTATGTATGCGTGTGATAGAATGTATGCTATGCTTTTGTAAACACTGTTCATTCTGCTTGACTTATAGTTGGATTTGTAGCTTGAATGATCTTGCCTGTTACTAGATACCTACGCTGGACTTGCAATGAAATTCAGCTGTAAATCCTCATGTCAACCTGGAGTAATATAATACTTATAGTGTGCGAATTACATATCCCCTAACTCCAGTAAGTAAAAAAAAGAGGAAAAAAAAAAGAAAAAAAAAACGTCAGGTCGAAAATCGTGATATCATATAGCTACACCCTTCTTTTCATACCTAAGCTCGTCATTCAGCTTCAAACACAGTAGGTACATGGGGTTACTGAGTACCTAAGCTCGACAGGCGTCTTGTCTTCCCACCATTTTCATCAAACAAATCAGAATCATTCACAACTCGCCATCCTCCACGATCCCCAACTCAACCATCCTATCGTAGATGATCTTGGCAACAGCGCGCATCCCCTCGGCGCAGGGGTGGTAGGCGCCGCCGGAGTAGAACAGCTTCCAGGTGAAGCCGGAGACCCAGGGGTCCGGGGAGCCGATGGCGTGGGCCTCGCTCGGCTTGCCCACAGACACGAGGTGGCACCACTGGTCGCGGCCCTCGACGGCCCGGCTGGTGGCGTCGAGCAAGGTGGCGCACACGGACTTGTGGTGCGCCACGCGGTCCGCGCCGAAGGACACGTCTTGTCCTGGCCGCGTGTCTGGGCCTAGCATGGTCAGGTACTCGACGACGAGGACGTGCGCGCGCGGGGCCTTGGCGTGGATCTCGTCGAGCACGCCGGCGTACCGCGCGGCGAGACCCGCGACGTCGAGGGTGGTCGTGGCGAGGGGCGCGCCGCCTTCGCCGCGCACGTAGGCGAGCACGGAGCCGAACAAAGCGTCGAGCCAGGACGCAGCCAGCGTGTCTTCGAATAGGCCGCCGATGTACCCGATGTCGTTGCCGCCGCCCAGCACGAGGACCACGTCCGCGTCAGCGGGGAGCCCCTCGATCTGTGGCGGGAACACGCAGCCGCCGCGCTCCTGCGCGTCGGTGGTCAGGTTTGGTAGCGTGGCGCCGGCGACGGTTAGGTCGGTTAGGGTTGCGCCGAGGCGCTGGGAGAGGAGACAGGCGAAGTTGGCGCCGGAGCGGCCGGCGGGCTCGTTGACGCAGGGGGGGATGCTGGGGCCGGCGGCGAAGGAGGAGCCGAGGCTGGTTATGCGGAGGGGGGGCGACATGGCTGTGGTGGTGGTGGTGGTGGTGGGAATTGAGGGTGGGGGAGGGGGAGGTGTGGGGTTTGGGGTTTGTAAATTTAGAGAGGGGTGTTACGTGAGGTTAAAGATGATGATGAGTATGACGATGAACTTGGGGAGGCTTTGTTTTGGTAATGATTGATAATTGCGTATGTATTGTAAGACGAGGGGTGCGCGTTAAAGACACAAACCGCAATTGTATGATTGTACCTATTATTATTGTACAATACACAATACCTTCAATGTTACTTCAAAGTTGCATGTGTCTCTGTAGGTTCAAATGTTACCATCCACCTTCCCCCTTTTTGTTCTATGTGATCATAATAATACCTAGTAGTGTTGGAAGTTTTAAAGTTCTAGGTACTAGTTACTAGTAGTAGGTATTGTACGGTATTTACAGTAGCCCTGGAGGTAAATGCTGCATGCTGGTTCTAGACTTTGGGTTTAACCGGGAACCCCTCAGTAATTGTGGTATTCCCCCGCTGCGGGCCAATCGGGAAGTGTTCTGCACTCGCTTTTTCCTTCTTCAAAGTCACACCGCTTAAGTATCCGAGGGATGTACAAGTTGCACATAAAATAGTAACTCAACATTGAAGATATGTATATGTCATCATTTGCAAGCAATTATATATACTCTGATATATATATCACCAGTCTCACAAGTGTTCACTTTTGGTCTTCAATTATTATTGTTGAATCTGAACGGGAGACTCCAGACTACCGGTATAGTATACTGTTAGCAGTTAGCATGTGAATATTCTATATGGAACTTGCTACCCGAGCAATTGATTTAGGAGATAGTTACAGTGCAATGTCGCTCAACTCTTCAATGCTATAAACCCTCTAGATCTAGTACAACATCACCTATCCAAGACATTAACTAGGATAGGGCTTCAAACAAAAGTTATCAGAGTCAACAGTTGTTTGCAGTTGCATTGATAGTACCTACTACGCCGTAGTGAGTAGTCACAGTAGTGGGGTTGATGGGGAGAAAGGGGTATAACTAGCTGGCACCAATAACACCAATAGAGGTGAGTTATTTGCGGGTGCCGGCGTTGACCGGCTTCTGTCGGACTTGACCAGAATTGCTAAGAATTAACTATACTAACCTTAAAGTACTAACCTAGGCAGGTGCCTACCAGGCCCTACCTGGGTATGTACTATGCTGTGTGCCGGTGGATGCTTCCGTTACTAGTCAAGATTCAGGAGCGCCACAACTTGGCAATATTACTGGTAGTTACTAACTGGTACTAGATATGTAAGTTAGTACATGATGCAGGAACGCTCTCCCCTTTTTCGCTTAGTTGTCAGCTACCTGTGTAGGGTAGGTACTAGGTAGGGTGTGTAGGTAGGGTAGGAGATACCAAAGTAATCCATCTATCTAGAAAGATCAATATCTAAAAGATCAATCAATGATTGCCTTATCTAACATCTCACATACCTATTACCATATATCCGTTGGCATGCTTAGTATTGTGGCTAGCTGAACAAACATTCCTCTACTATCAATCAAACCAATCCATATAAAATCTTGACATTGTTTTTCTTTTTCTTTTTTTGTCTATAATCTTCCCCTTTTTATTTTATCGTTGGTTCGTGACGATCAAAATATTCTACCCGTCCCCCTCAACGTACGTCATTTCAAACGTGTTCTAGAAAATCCGGGGGGACGTGCTCATGTTATCCGTGTAACTCGTGAGCAACAAAACACAGCACCGCACCGCCGGGTCAAGCAAAGGCACGGGGCCGGTGTTATTGGGGGAAATACCTAGGTGAACCGGATTGGTCCGACCTGGTATCACCGGATTTGTGACATCTCATACCACCATCCTAGGCCACAACGCGGAACCCAAATTTGGGCAGGTGGTGTGATAGGTCATCTGAACTGTGAAAATCAGGTGTATACCACGGATATATCAAGGCCGGGGAAGAGAGACGGACGGTGTAGGGCAGTTGAAGTGAGACTTGCGTGCTAAGCAAAGGAGCAAGCCGCCATGACTCCCTCAAAGGATGAAAAGAAACATCAGTTGTTTTTGGGCTTGTTCATACATAGTGTCAAGCTAGGCGAGCTGAAGTACTTCCACAACACTGCTGTTTTCGTGGATAGGTCTGGAAATATTGTTGCTATTGAGCCGCAATGTGATCTGAAGAAAGCCGAGGAAGTAGTATTTCCTAAACTAGGTTGGAAAGGGGGTGATGTTGTTGTCACTGCCGCGGAAGAAGGCCAATTCTTCTTCCCGGGCTTCATTGGTAAGTACCTACCTTGGTAGATACACACTGCCTGGGATTTCCCAGCCCAGTCTATCCCTTTCCTTTCTCCTTGACTAAGAAGAAACAGACACCCATGTACACGCACCTCAGTACCCCAACGTGGGCATCTTTGGCAAGTCGACGCTGCTGGACTGGTTAAATACTTACACATTTCCCATGGAGGCTTCCCTCTCGTCGCTTCCAAAAGCCCATAGAGTATATACGCGGTGCATACGGCGAACCCTGGCCCACGGAACCACTACTGCCGCCTACTATGCCACCATTCATGTGCCATCCACCAACCTCCTCGCAGACCTTTGTCTGTCCATGGGCCAACGCGCCTTTATCGGCCGCATTTGCATGGACAACCTCGGACCAGACTACTACGTCGACGAATCAGCAGATCAGAGTCTTAAGCTGACACAAGAAAGCATCGAACACATTAAGGCCATTGACCCATCATACGCCCTCATAAGCCCAATTTTAACGCCACGCTTCGCCCCTGCCTGTTCCGTCGACGCCATGACCCGCCTCGGCGCACTGCATCGTGAGACCGGGCTACCGGTGCAAACGCATATCTCGGAGAACGTCAACGAGGTCCAGCTCGTGCGCGACATGTTTCCCGACTGCGAACACTACGCCGGCGTCTACGACACCTACGGCCTCCTCACGAAAAAGACGATCCTCGCCCACGCCATCCACCTCAGCAACGACGAGGCCGACCTCATCGCCTGCCGCGGCGCCAAGATCGCCCACTGCCCCTGCAGCAACTCGGCCCTGACGAGCGGCGAGGCCTACGTCCGCTGGCTGCTCAACAAGCGCATCGCCCTCGGCCTCGGCACCGACATGAGCGGCGGCTACAGCCCCAGCATCCTCGAGGCCGCGCGCCAGGCCGCCCTCGTCTCGAACCACCGCGCCATGCCCGCCGGCAAGTGGGCCGATCTGCCGGCCGAGGAGCGCGAAAGGGCAAAGCTGAGCGTCGAGGAGGTCCTCCACCTCGCCACGCGGGGCGGCGCCGAGGTCGTTGGCCTCGGCGATAAGATCGGTGGGTTCGAGGTCGGTATGCAGTGGGACGCGCAGCTCATTGGTCTCGGCGTCGTCGATGAGACGGTTGATGAAGAGGATGTGGGGGATCATGGGAACGTGGACGTGTTTGGCTGGGAGAAGTGGGATGAGCGGGTCGCGAAGTGGCTGTTTAATGGCGATGATAGGAACGTTAAGAAGGTCTGGGTGAGGGGACGGCTGGTGCATGAGCGTGTGCGTTGATGTACGTGGTGGTGTGTGTTGATGATGAGTGTTGGATTGTATGTAGATAGTTGATGCGTACCTCTTAGGTATCTTGGTAGGTGTCTGGGTAGATATCTAGATAATCAGAAGCTGGTAGCATAGTTATGGTGTAGATAGATCCTTAGATGAGATTTGATGGGACGGGGTAAGATGAGATGAGATGAGATGAGTAGGTAGATAGATAGATAGATAGATACCTAGGAGGTAGACAAAGAGGTAGATAGGTATGTACCTTACCTACCTATCTAACCCAGATGCTTGCAAGACTTGATCGTTGATATTTACAGGCACGACGTAGTAGTGTGTACCTACCCATTTACATATCTACAGAGCTATCCTAGGTGCTTACCTCCTACCTACCTACCTAACTAGGTATGTATGCTGGGCTTATTCTAGGTTACTTAGGTAGGTAGGTAGGTATACTAGATAGATGTCTTCTTCATTGTAGTTGGGCAGTCATGGCAACATTGAAATACATACCTCTATGGGTACCTAGCTGGGGTACTTAGGGGGAGGGTCGTGGCTTTGTAAATTCAACGACTACCAGTCACGTACACAGCGAGGCATGCTACTACATAATAGGGTATCAAATACGCTTCCTGTTTCATCACCATTGCAACCCAGCTAGCTACTGACCTAGGTAACTACGTAGGTACAGTAGGTCCCAAAGTTAGGTACCTATCCAGCTAGTAAACGCCTAATCCATGCCAAATCCGTTGCCGGAAGCCCGTTAACTCGAGCCATATTCATGCACTTCTAGGTACCTAAGTAGGTAGGTACGTGTCCTGCTTTTATCCCTTACGCTATGTCAATAACTCCCGTGCTATGTAGGCAGCCAGCCCCTTTGGCATATACGTACGAGTGAGTACGCCATATCCCCGTTCCTTTTCGTTCCGCGCGACTACCCGATTCATAGGGTATCCTGTACAAATACATCTCAGATAACTCCTGCTCGGCAACTGAAGGCATAAATATACGGTACTGTAAACAATAAACGATGATATTATACGTTAATTTCAAGATCAGTGCGTGGATCCGCTGGCTCGCAAAAGGTCATACAAAGATTGGTCGTCCGAGCCGGCGCTGTAGCTGTGCCCCGAGTAAGTAGGCATGTTGGATCGTTGTCCACGATATGATGCGGCCTGGCTCGCATTTGTAGCATTGCTGTAACCGCTACCCCTATTGCTACTGTAGCTGTTCTGATTGGCGGTGTTATTGTTGCTTGTGGGCGTTAACCCGTACCAATTCTGTTGAGCCTGTTGATTGGAATTTGCTTGTGATGCTGAGTATGATCCGTATGACTGCGACTGCGACTGGTGCTGGGATTGGGGCTGTGGTAGTGGTTGTGGTTGTGGTTGTGATTGGGGCTGGGGCTGGTTATAGGGAGTATGATGTGGAGCTCTTGCTTCAGCAGTCCTTGTTCCATAACTGTGAGATGAAGATGTATTTGCTGATCTCATGGAATACGGGTTGCTTGTTTGTTGTTGGGTATGTGCTTGGCTAATCCGGGTCTGTGATGTTGGCCATTGAGTAGTTCCAGGATTGGTAGTGCTAGTATACTCGGTTGATGGGCTAAGCGCTTGGGAAAGTGGATTGGATGCGGCAGTACTTCGAGAATATTCATATGCCGGAGCTGAGGAGTAAGTCGCCGATGTCGTGGTGACCGTGTTATGATGATATGAACCGGGTTCATATGGAATACGAGTTGAATTTTGTTCATTATTCACATTGTCATATTGACTATTAGTCGACTGATCATAACGTGCATAGGGGTCGTAGTTCGGGATAGAAGCCGACGAGGTCGCAGTGTAGGGTGTGCTAGCTGCAGTCTGGGGCGCCTGGGGTGGAGGCTGAGATATAGTTGTCGCAACAGGAGTATTGGTTTGTGACCTGTGGCTCTGCCGGGACGTTGTCCGAGCTGTTTTTTGGTATGGCGATCCCATCACCGAGGCTGGCTGGTTCTGGTTTGAAATAGCCGGTTGTGATAGTGCTGTAACTTGATTCAGACTATCGCTTGTTTGCTGGCTGGCTCCCTGGCTTGCCTTTGTAGTAGACTTGCGAGATCTTTGCTGCTTTGGTGCCGCTTGCTTAGCCAAGGGCGGCGTCTGTGTAGAGGCTCGTCCCGCGGTAGGCGAGGATCTCCACACAGACGTGTAGTATGGCCCTGTTTGCGTTGGTGCTGGTATTGATGCTGGTACTGGTGCTGGTGCTGGTGCCGGTGCCGGTGCCGGTGCTGATACCGGTTTTGGTACTGGTATTGGAGTGTGTTTACTGTGGCCCATTGGAAGACTCCGGCGGGTAGACGGAGAAGTGACCTGCCTCTTCTGGTCCCTGACTTCGGCCTGGTGCGGGAAACCTGAGCCCAATATGTGACGACTTGAAGACTCAAAGTGAGATTCGTGGTGTTCGGTATCTGGGAATGTCAATGCTGGCATCACTGAATGCTCGGATGATGGCTGTGGATTTTGTGGAAACGAGGATGCAGTGCTAGTCCCTGGGTAGTATTGTGTCGTCGGAGGCTGTGCTAGAGACTGGGTTGTAGCGGATTGATGATTAACAGGTCCCGTCAAGATATTTGGATCTGGGAAGAATTCTTCGTTGTCGGGATCCGGAGACTGTGGAGCTCCACTAAGTGTTGAACTCCCTTGCACTGGTTCTGGCGATGGCGATGGCGATGGGGCTTTTGCTGGAATTGGAGGGGAGATAGGAGTTGCAGCTGGAGATGGAGATGCTGGTGCCGACGCCGGGGCCGTTGTTGGAGCCTGACTTTGCGCCTGAAATTGTTTATTCTCCTTAGGCATATCTGACTCCTCATCTTCAACTATATTACCGGATATGCCCGACCTTTTCCGACGAGTCTTCGGGAGCGGGTAACGGCATTCTACGCCGGCTTCAACACACACAGAACAACTAGGATGTTCCTTCGTACACTGAGCTGGCATTAGTATCAAGTTACTTGTTGAAGAACGGGATAACCATATGCTCACCTTCAACTTCTTCTCTTTGCAAATCGCACAACCGCCGCGAGTTTTTTTGGTCAGTTTCAGTGTGGAAGTTGTCGTGCCAACTTGGCCACTATCCCCTATGGACAGTACTGCGCCCTCATTTACGGTACGCTCGGCTGCTGTTCCCTTAGACTTTCTCTTCCATGTCTGCTTCTTCTTGGTAGGGGTCTCGGTTGTTCCTGGCATAGATGTCGATATTGGCCCGGTTGGGGTTTCATTGATAGACTGCTGCACACCCGGAGTAGAGGTGTCTGATTCGGGCTGATCTCTGTCTGGGTGGACAATTCGCAATTTTTCCGCGCCGAAATTAGCCAGCATCTCTAATGAGGTTGCCTGTAGATCCGGTGCCTGGTTCGAGAAGATACTGAATTGCTCGTCGGACAGGGTCGCGGGATCAATACCCCTCCCAACAAGCAGACCTATCGCAGTCTGCTTTCGTCGCTCGGCTTCTCCTGGAGGCACATTCAGAACTGAGATAGCATGCGTGCCGTTATATTGTGGATTATGTGGCCCAGCTTCATTCTGCGCAGATTCGCCTTCCCCAAGAGGCACATCTCCCATCGGCGCGTCTGGTGCTTTCCCATTCTTCTTTGGGCGCTTCCTGCGGCTCCCCTCCTCGCCTTGAGTTGGCGGGGGTCTCTTGGCTCGGGGTGTTCGTTGGCTATTTCCATTGGTGGTGTTCAATGGTGCCGGTGGTATATCTGGCTCAAGGTGTTGTACAAGCTGCGCAACGGTTTTATGGATAGGTGTATGGCTATATTTAACAATAACGCCTCTGGCCGATTTCGAGAATGCGATCGTGAGCGTTCCGCGACAGTCAAATGCAGGGCGTGCTATAAAATCAGGATATTATCTCAAGCAACAATGGAACATACAATCTTACAGGCATTGACCGAATCCAGACCACCTTGCCCGCTGTATGCCGCAATTGCAGGCTTCTCGGAATTTTTGGCGTTCGCGCGGGTCCATGCTTGCAGCGAGTCACTGCAGATATATGTAAATGTCCACCCTTGCGCACCTCTTGAAACTTGTCGAACCGTCCACGAACTACTATCAAGAGACCCTATTGCACTGACTATATGCTTCGCAACAATCCTCTGAAGATGGGGATCATCCGTGGGCTGGTTTTGTACAGTTTCGGATGCGGTAACGGATCGAGCTACAGGCTGGTGATGGTTTTGGTGAGATTGAACGGTACTATCGTTAACATTATTTTCGGCATCTGGGTTCAGGTAGAAGACGGTATTATATCGAAGCTCGAAAGTTAGGGAGGTATGTTCGGCGCGGGTATCTGATGACTTAGAAAGTAGGAGGCTATGCAACCTGTCTTGGACATCTTGGATGGAGTTACACAAGCAATTGCCCTTTGAAGAATCTATGAGTGCATCCATCTCAGCGACAGTTCAAGGGTTAGTATAACAACTATTTTTAGTTGTTCTCCCTGGCCGTCGCTAGGATCGCGCAAAGCGAATGAGTCTGAATGCGAGTGGAGATAGTTATTCCAGTACAAACGCGTTCTAAGAGGTCGGAGACCAAAGACCTAGGTCGCGGCCCTGGGGAAGGTGGTTGGGGTACATGTGGCTAGAAGTGGCTAGTAACTAATCGATAATCCACTCTTTAGTTATGGGTCCGATGTCTGTAGTATCATTCACGTGACTAGGTAACTACCTTGGTACCAAGTATCTACATACGCAAGTACTAGGTAGCAACTTCAATGTTGAATGAGATATCGCAAATTTGTCGAAAAGGCCCTCAGGACATCAACGATAAGAACAGGCTTCACCAATTCACTGATACTTCGTAGAAAAAATACAGTCATTTTCGTATTCGTCTAATCTACATACACACATACATACATACGTACGTACTGTAGGTCAATCATCACTCCTAACTCCTGAGCTTTCGTTATCATGGTACACATCAGTACAGACTTTAGCTTCGGCGTATGTCTCCAGCTCCCTATTAGGTACTTGCTACTACTCAGCATGTAGGTGAATCACATATTCCTTTCGATCCACTCTTCCAATCTCTCAACAAGGCTCTTCTTCAGCCCTTTGGTGTCTAGTCCACGGTCATCAAGAATTTGCTTTAGGTCAGCTACCGTTAGCTTTGACAACGTGCCATCCCCATATCTCTTCTTTAATTCGGCATTATCGAATCCTCCTTTGCTGGCACTTGCTTTCGTCGTCGTTGTTCTCGACTTCTTTGCTGGCCTATGCTCGTCCTCTTCGTCCTCGTTCTCCATTTCGCGTTTGATAGCTTTGGCATCTTTCACCATGCCTAAGACATCGTCTGCCGTTCGCGACCAGTCCTGAATGTACTCACCGCACCGGTTATGAATTGCCTTGTACTTGGGGATCGTGGTATCATGAGGTTTGTCAGGTACTTCTTCTTCAAGTGCTAGGGCTTGAAGAATCCTGTAATGCCATTGAAGTGCGGGGTTTGGGTACTTTGATGGATTGAAAGCGGCGTTTGGTAATTGCAATTGCCCAACGATTTTATTCATCTTGTCTGTCAATTGGTCCGTAGTTCGAATCAAGTTGATCTGCCCAGGCCCCTCACGCACGTCGTCTGCAAACGGTATCGGATAAAGCCACAACCCAGCGGGTACGGAATATATACCTGACCTGTGATCAGACTGTGCCCTAGAAGGAATAATAGCAACCAGCCTAGGGTGGGCGTTCGCTCGTGCCACGTGCCACGCAATGCCAATCTTCTTAGACTTCAGTAATTTCTGCCATAAGGCAGTAAAAACACGCGAGGAACCGACGAAGCCATCCTCGGTCGGGAAGATGAAGATTGACTTATCCATAGATGCCCAGAATCCTAGCTGGGACCTATCCTTGAACCCAATCACTCGAATAATCGGGCCTCCAAACTGCTTGATCGACTTTTGTTCATCTTCACTGAAGTAAACAAATTCGTTACCGAACTTGTAGGCTTTCTTCACCTCACCAACCTGAACTGTCCTGGCGCTGTCCTCGGCGATATGGGCAGTTTCACCTAAGGCTATCTGCGCCTTCTCTCCATCTAGCCAGACAAAACAGCTCCGGGCTATGGTCTGCCTTTTCAATATCATATACCCCTTGACCGAGATTTGCAGTCCAGGTCCGATCTCGAAAGCCATGTTGCTGAAATACGCCCGCTTTTGAGTTTGCCTAGAGTTAATATTCGAGATGAGTGAATTAAGAAGTGTAAGGCCGTTAGCCGGTTTAGATGTCGATATCAACCCTGGGTGCGCCTCCTGAGTAGTTGGGTCTCGGTAGATGATATCCTATTTTGTATTAGAGGAATTCAATAATTCGGAATTGGCAGAAGAGGCCTACATCATAAAATTTGCTGAAGTCGAATTTCTGGTCATCGCGAGTGATTGCGAAAAGCTCGATAGTTGCGCCTAGATCATACAAATCCTTCGCGTGATTCGCGGCGGACTCTCTAGTCTGTTTATCGTCGTTGTCAGGTTCATCGTTGTCCGTAACGATGAAGAGTCGCCGTGAACTAAAATTCGGGGCCTTCATGGCAAATATATTTTTGGCTAGAAAGAGTAGGTGCGACATGTGGACTCCTTCGCTAGATGGAACGAGGACATCATCAACATCCTCATCCTCTTCCACAAGCTGTTTAAGATTTTTCACATCTTCAGCCGCAGGGACATCAAGGTCTGTATAGACATAGCAATGTGGATAACGGAGATTTTGGTCATCCAAATACTTGGTCTTTTCAGTGCCGAAGAGTATGATGCCCATCATATCCTTCGGGTTAGATATGATTCGTTGCTGCATCAGCTGGTAGGCGCACTTCAGCGCGGCATATACTGGGGGGTCTTTATCTGCCTTCTTGTCATCTGACGCAGGAGGTGGTTGCAGCATTGACTTGCTAACATCAATGGCGAATATAAGGGCATCTTTCTGAGCGTTGAAGTCCTATATTATATGAGCTTTAACGTCTGTCTATCACTAATAGTAATGGGCTAATATGAGATAAGAAAAATACCTGTTCACCAATCTCGTCTTCCTCGTCTTCCTCTTCTTTTTGTTCATGGGGGTCTCCCATGATGGGCCTAGAGCTTTTACCCCGATCAGGTAAAGTAATAGGTTCGGACGGCATGTATGAATGAGAAAAAAAGAAAAGAAATTGTTGTGTTACTCTTTATACTTAATGGCTTGTGGTGATCGAACGTGAGTAGGTGCCTAGGCTTGGCTATGGCTTAGAGTTAGGATTAGAATTAATAGGATTGGGGTTAGACTTAGGCAGCTGTCGCGGTTTAACGCGTACAAGTGTACATGAAATACGTAGGGTAGTAGGATGTAAAGTGGCTCAGGGCTTAGGCAATCGCGCTATCAGGTGACTCTTGTAAGACAATAGTGAATTAAAGTTGCTTCCAGAAGTGCTAGCAGCGCCCAGGCTGCCCAGCACTGCTAGGCAATTGAGCAAGTTTCATTGGCCCGTCCAATAATAGTAATAACCGACCCGGGAGCTCGGATGGCCAGACCCGAATTTCTATCACTGTCATCGATAATACATACCAGGTAGCTCCTACGTAAAGTATTGCTTCAAGTTGAAGCTAATTTTCCCATTGAGACACATTCGTTCTTAGTTTCCACCGTGCAGTACTCACAAAAAAAAATAAAGATTCATTGAATATTACTTCCCAGGGTTTTTATTTAGCAGATTGCTAGAGATAATAGAATTCGTTCAACATGGCCACGCGGCATTCTGTCGCACAACTCTCACGTAGAGCAGCTGGTCCTGCGACTGTGAGCCGATTCTTAAAGAGCACTTGGTTACAGACGAGATCATTCGCAACGCCGGTGCCACCCGTTACACAAAATTCGGTTGGTTCGAAAGGTCCGACTGCTATGGTATTTCTCAATATGGGCGGCCCCTCAACTGTAGATGAGGTCGGGGACTTTTTGAGTCGCTTGTTCGTATGTCTCATTCACATGCTGCCGCACTTTCCGGCATAACTCTAATCTACGATTAGGCAGATGGTGATTTGATACCACTGGGACGGCTACAAAACTACATTGGCGCATTCATTTCGAAGCGAAGAACACCCAAAATTCAAAAACAGTATGCAGAGATCGGGGGTGGGTCGCCCATTCGAAAATGGTCCGAATACCAAAACGAAGAAATGTGCAAGATTCTCGACCGGATATCACCCGAGACAGCACCCCATAAGCCATACGTCGCATTTCGCTACGCTAATCCTCTGACCGAAGAGATGTACAGCAGACTACTCGCAGACGGTTTCGGGAACGGCAAAGGCGGAAGAGCTGTTGCGTATACACAATATCCCCAATACTCTTGCTCAACGACAGGAAGCAGCATTAATGAATTATGGAAATGGAGGCAACGCTTGGAGGGCAAGGATAAGACGGGTCCGATTCAATGGAGCGTCATTGATCGATGGCCAGTGCATCCCGGCTTGGTAGAGGCCTTTGCCAGCAACATTGAGAAGAAGCTGGCAGAATACCCGGAAGAGCGGCGAAAGCAGGTGATCCTGTTATTCTCAGCGCACAGCCTGCCAATGACAGTTGTCAACAGAGGTAATGGTGAAAAATAAAGAAGTCAGGATGAAGTTAACTGACACATCTTTAGGTGACCCGTATCCAGCCGAAGTTGCTGCCACAGTGTATGCTGTTATGCAGCGTCTGAAATTCTCTAATCCTTACAGGTTATGTTGGCAATCGCAAGTTGGTCCTCAGCCCTGGCTAGGCCCTCAGACTCAGACTTCAGTCGAGGAATATATCGCAAAAGGGCAGAAAGATCTCGTCCTTATCCCCATTGCATTCACATCTGATCATATTGAGACCCTTTTTGAGCTTGATAAGGAGGTGATTGGGGAGTCGGGACACGCCGATACGGTCAAGCGAGTGGAAAGCTTAAACGGCAATCCCATATTTATCGACGCACTTGCGAACCTTGCTAAGAGCCATTTGGACAGCGGCGTTACATGCTCGTACCAAATGGGTCTAAGATGCCCTGGCTGTAAAAGTGAACGATGTACCGAGTCGAAGAAATTCTTCCTTGGGCAGCAAAACACAGTCGCAGCGTAGCATAGAGTACATGACTAATGCAATGCCAACATTTTTCTCTAAAGCCTTTAATAAGGCTTTTTTGGTTTTTTATATTTTATACTTATATATCAGACAATTACCCATCTCAATGTTCTACTAGGCTAGACTTGCTATTTGATCACCGGGTCTTTGTAGAATTATTACGTGTTTGGAATTGTACGATTCATATGGCTGGGTAGATGAAAAGGGATATTTGGAGGATATGATGCATATGTAATGCTCAATGTCAGCAATGTCTTTCTAGGCAACATTGAACACCTCAACTGTATGTGCAACGTGTGCTTGCTTATCTGCATTTACATAAATGCCCGAGATGATACTGGTTGGTTTCGAGTCGGCTATCGGACATCAACTGAACTCCGACTCCTTATAAGAAGTTACCCCCCCCCCAAACGGGATACGTCATCGATGTGTTGGCTGTGATTTCAGCATTTTCGCATTGTGACGAGACCTTGTAATGCATTATTATTATCTATCCCTTTTATAATATCCAAAGTGTTCGTCTTGTTGTACGGGTATTCTACAACATCGTATCAATATGTACATGTATGTAGTTGAGCCGATGAAAAGATAAGATTGCATATCAATGGATGCATCATTGATATGATTACCAATCTGCAATTCAGGAACCAGCATTTGCCCTGATTAGGTACTGGGTACATTAACAAACTTCAAGTTAAATCTGGGGGATTTTCAATACGCCACGCCACGGATACCCACCTCCGATACCTATCAACATTGAATTACTATGTAGTTACATATCAATTGAGTGATTTAAGGTTGCATTCAAGGTTTGTCACTGGTATCATAGTATGACCTCTACACGTGTATTGTACTGTTTGATGAGATGGGATAGGCAGACCCGCATTAAACCCAAAGATACGGTACAGGATTCGGTGATAAAGCGAACTTTACTTCTTGTCTTCCCAATTTAGTCTCCCGTCGGTTTCTATCTCTCCCTGGGCTTGTCTCATTAACCCTAGCACCTTTTGGACATTAGACCGTCGGGCTTCAGCCAAGGCAAGCTTTGGTCTAGCATCCCCATTACAACATCATTCACTTTTGGTACATACCTGCTTCCTATGTACTATGTAGGCCAATGTCTCAAACAAATATCTACTAGGTTTAAACTCCGGACATGGAGCAATCCAACTTCCCTCTCTTCCTCTTCCTCTCCACAAGTTGCTGAAGTCGATATCTACATACCTAGCTGAAAGATCCGGTGTCCGTTGGATCCGAAATAATATCACCCTTAGCAATACCTACCGAATCGTATTATTTATGCATTGCGCTTCACTATACCCTACGTACCCAACATTCAAGTTAGCCCAGTATATGACTTAGTATTCCCGTAGAAAGCGACGCGACTCGAAGTCGTTAGCAACGCCTAAATTTCGACTGCGATCGCGATTGCGACTGCCACTGTCGCTGCGCATTAAATACATCGCCAAAATGAGGAGCGAAGCGCAATCCGTGGGGAAGGATAATAGGCAGATTATACTTATAGACCAGGAGGAGGAAGATCGCCGGGAAGGGTCAACTGAAACAAGTCCTCTTGTCGGCGCGGGCGCCAGGAGTAATGGGACAAATGACAGTAGTAATAGGATGAGAGGGGAAAGCTGGAGAGGACACCAAGAATTCATAGACCTCCCATGGTGGCGGAGACCATCGGTATGCTTGATGTGAATGAAGTTCAAACGATAAAGACGCTGACCTTGGGCCTAGATTTACTGGCTTCTCGGTCCATATTTTCTTTTCTCTCTTGCATTCGGAGGCGTCATTGTGCCCAAGGTGAACTTGTAAGCCATCCAGTCCCATCTATGAAATGCCGCTAATAATCATGACCCTCCTTAGAATTGTTGATTTGGTATGTCGCAGTTATTTCGCCGAGCGTCACCTAATCGATCCCAACTTTTCATATCCCCCATTGGTCTTGGGTGGCGACAATCGGCAATGTAAGGACCCTCGGGTTCAGAAGAACGTCGCTACTTTTACGCTCGTGATAAGCGCTCTCACTGGTGCGCTCAGTGCCCTCACGGCACCCAAGTTGGGTTCGTTATCCGATCGATATGGCCGAAAACGACTCATGGTGATGGCCTCATGCGGTGGTCTAGTGAATGAGGTCGTCACTATCTTGGCTGCGAAGTTCCCTGACACTGTGGATTATCGTTGGTTGATCCTGGGCGCTTTCTTTGATGGAATCGCGGGCTCTTTTACTGCGGGCAGCGTCTTGGCTCACTCCTATACCAGCGATACCGCTCCCCCATCCAGACGTGGAGTGCATATCGGCTATCTGCATGCTTGTCTATTTACTGGAATTGCATTTGGACCTCTCCTCGCAGGTTATTTCGTTACATGGACTGGATCATTGGTTTCGATATTTTACGTCGTCCTCGGCTGCCATACCTTGGTTATTCTATATTTCTGGTTCATTCTCCCCGAGTCGATCTCAAAGAAACGTCAAATGGCCGCGCGCGAGAAACATCGGGCTGAACGAGAAGCTACGGTGATACAGCTAAGATCAGGACTTCCAAGTTCGGTCAAGACCTTTGTTGGGCCACGTGTTACCTCATTTTTCGATGATTATACTGCGACATGGCTGCCAGCGCTCCTGAGCGCCAATCCACTGGCGCCCCTGAGAATACTCGTTCCGAGTGGACGCAATAACGGTCCCCTACGGCGAAATCTGATTCTTCTTGCTCTCATCGACACGATCATCCTATCTACAGCAATGGGGGCCGGGACAGTCATTGTGTTATATTCTGAGTACATATTTGACTGGGGGACTTTGGAGGCTTCACGATTCGTGTCCATCGTAAGCATGGTTCGCGTCGTAATCCTACTTTTTATCCTTCCGGTAATCAACTATGTATTCCGTGTATTACCACTACGACGCCGGCAACGCGAAGGCGCCGATACCAGCATGGATGAGACAAACTCGGGTGCTGATAACCTGGACTTGTGGCTCATACGAGTAGCTCTTCTCAGCGACGGGTTAGGTACTGCCGGCTATATATTCGTCCGCCGAGAGGAGCTCTTTATACTGTGTGGTCTAGCGACAGCCTTTGGCGGTCTTGCAAGTGCCACTATTCAAAGCGCAACCACGAAACATGTCCCCGCCGAGCAGGTAGGATCTTTACTAGGGGCCATTGGATTACTCCACGCCCTTGGTAGAGTTTTTGCCCCTGCGCTCTTCAACGGAATATACGCCGGCACAGTAGAGACCTTCCCGCAAGCATTTTTTGTCCTCCTTGCTTCCCTATTCGGGCTCGCCACGGTCGGAAGTTTCTTCGTGAGACCTCATAGTAAGTATATGCATCAAGTTCCTCTTAATTAATCAGGGCTATCTAACACTCGTCCAGTACACTTGAAGGAGGATGGCTATGTCGCAGTACCAGTTCGCATCCCTGGCGATCCTCAAAATCCCGATATCATGATCGACGAAGAAGTCCAAAGCGAGACCCTACCACGGATATAAACGATGCGTACTTATCCAAGCACCCATACAAAGTAGGCAGTTCATATATTACATAAGGCCCTGGCTATCTGTATTTAGGTTTTGTGCCTCATTACGTCTCGCGACCTTTCGCGGGTTTTGTCATATTTCCTAAGTACCTATATAAGACGGTTTAAACACCTACCTACACATGTATGAGACCTCAATAGATAGGCTGGCGTTAGGAGTACCGCTCGGATGGACTAACATTAGAGTTGATGGGCCACGGGGCGATATATGATATATTTGTATTACTTTTAGACTTAAGCAATTGTGTATCAAATACGTCGGGTGGTTGGTCGTTTACCTCCCTATGTATATGTATGTAGCCAAATATGCCCCTGTGCTTCAGACGCAACAGGATGTATACGAGGCTTACCTGAATATGGACATGGAATATAATCCGTGTGTATCGTTTTTCCCCCCTGTTGTTCCTTGCTCGCCTTCCACAGTTCTTTGTTGTTTTGATTTCCTCCCGAACAATACCGATGATCAAAGTAAACCGCCCTCCCCCCTTTTCTTCCTTTCAGTATATTTCCTTCATCCTCCAACTCACCGCCAACACCCGCGCTCCCAGGAAGCAAGACATGGCGATGGTGTACGAGAGCGCCGCGAAGAGGATCAGCGCCATCCAGCCCTGCTCCTCGGTCTTGCCGATGCTGAGGAGCGCGCCGGCGATGGGCAGGCTGGTGAGGGTGCCGAAGCTGCCGGTCATCATGGCGGTGGAGTAGAAGCGGCCGTACTCGCGGGCCTCGCACAGCTGGCCGATGCAGACGGGGTACAGGCCGAGGTTGCTGCCGGAGGCGAAGCCGAAGGTGACGGCGAAGACGATCAGCATGGGCCGGGAGTCGGCGGCGGGCAGCCAGAAGGCGAGGATGGTGACGACGCAGAGCGCGTTCGTCAGCGTGATGATGTTGAAGCGGCCGAAGCGGTCGGCGAGGAATCCCGGGAGGAAGCGGCCGACGAAGGATCCCGCGTTGAGTAAAGCTAAGAGGGTGTAGGCGTCGGTGGCGTCCTGGCCGTGCGCGGCGGCGTACGAGACGATGTAGGTCAGCGGCGTGAAGATGCCCCACTCCATGAACCACAGCCCCGCGCAGCAGAAGCTGAAGCGCAGGTCCCGGAACAGCGACCAGTCCGGCATGACGGAGTGCGGGTGCCGGCTCGGCGGCAGGCGCGAGCGGATCAGCAAGTTGGCGATGGCCGAGAGGAACAGCAGCATGAAGCCGATGATGCGCGTGCTCCACGCGAACCCGAGCCGCGGCAGCACCGCCTGCAGGAAGATGGGGAACAGGATCCCGCCGATGGAGCCGGCGGTCGAGGCGAGGCCCGTGGCGAGGCCGCGCCGCCGCTTGAAGAAGTGCGCGATCACGCCGTATGCGGGCACGTTGAGCAGGGCGCCGCCGAGGCCGCCGAGCACGGAGTAGGTTAGGAGGATTTGGTAGTATTCTGGATTTCGGAAGTTGTTAGTATAAAGTAGGTAGGTAGTGGAGGGAATGAGGGGGGGGGAGAGGGGGCAGCAAAGCAAAATTTCTTACCTGTACATAACCCGAGGAGCAGCTGGCTCGCGACGACGAGCAGGCTGCCGACGGCAACGGGCCACCTGGGGCCGCCGCGATCGAAGAGCGGGCCGACCTGGATGCCGGCGAAGAAGACGGTGAACAGGTAGACGCTGAAGATCCAGCCGATGGTGGAGGAGTCGTAGTCGGCGAGCTGGTGGGTGGAGAAGTAGGACTCGAAGACGGCGGCCGAGTTGATGAGCCCGTACACCGAGACCATGGCGCAGAAGGAGCCGAGCACGACGAGCCAGGCCGCTAGCCCGCCCTCCGGGAAGTCGGCGTCGTCCTCCCCGACGTCGCTGTCGCTGCTGTCGGGCGACGAGGGGGGCTCGGCGGCGGCAGCATTTTCAATGGAGCGGGAGCGGCCTACCTCGCTTGCAGCGGTGTCACGGTCTTCATCGGCCGGACTGGGGTGGGGGGTTGGACTGGGTTTGGATTTAGTTTTGTGGAGGTGACTCTTTTCGTCAATGTGCTCCGACAGAGGTACGAAGATCCCCGTCGGGACAGTTTGATTTATGAGGCAGCTGTCATCTGCATGTTTCGGCGTGAGGGTCATGGAAAGGAATGACCCTTTGTATTTGTTGCCCTAATTAAATATAAATATAAATATCGATGATGATAGGCAGGAATATAAGCAAGTAACTATATGGATATAAACATGAAAGACCACTTCAGACGCTTGTTAAGGCTCTTCGCTTGGCTTCTAATACCTAGACTAGAGTTACCTATGTAGGTAGGTAATATGCCTTCTCTTTTTCCTTTTTTTTCTTCTCCCTTTCTTGGGTTGTTATTCTTTCTTACTTTTTTTTTTCTTCACACCTGCGTGTAATATTGTGGACTCGCTTCCGGCGTCAAGTCTTGATATAATGGACAGAATAGGTAAATCTGTGTTTCTTGTCCAAAAACAACGTTGAACAAAGGTCATTGATGAAGCTTAAATAAAAATTTTTATTTACTAACTACCCCTTCACTTCCATGATGAAATGACCGGGGGAAGATAACGAACGACACAGGCCTAGTGTTAGGTAAGTTATTGCAGCTTTGCTAGCTACAGTAGGTGGGATTGAACTCTGACTTGCCCCCTTGCCTTCTCAATAACCAACCACCGAACTTGCTGTTACCTAATAGCTTTTTCTCTCAGATTCTACATAATGCAAACACCGCTTCCGACTTTTTTCTATTCCCGCTCTTTCGCCGTTTGCCGATAGTAATCGTGTCACATACATATAGGAATCGACTATAACAGCTAAGGGTAACTATAGCCGTGACGTGAATGTTGGAGGCATTCGTTCTCTCTCATTCGCCAATTCCGTATCTCCAGTGAGATAGTAAGCTAGCTCTTTAATATTCTCCACTAGTACCATACCTAGGGTAGTTATAACTATTTCATTACCCACATCAATGACAGATCTGACAGTCTGGTCAATAGTCGGTCTATGTGGTTGGTGCAAAATCTTGGTTCTTGGAGTACATAGTGCCTGGGTGCTACCGTACTAGGTACATACCTACTTTGTACTCAGGGTGCATACAAATGTCAATATATTCAAGTTCAATTAGGGGGGGGGGAGGTTATAGTCTTATGTCAGCCAGCCATTCTAATTAAACATGAGCATAAAATTGCCAAAGAATTATATATATAAAAAAAAACAAAAAAAAACACATTCATTGAATAAAACGATAATATCAATTGTGTAAAATAACGTCCCATTGATTCCGTTGGACTGTTAAAGTATGTGGTGTATTCACGCCGTAGCCAAGCGAAAAATAGGGGTATCCAATAGGGGGTGCGCCACCAATGATGGCCTCGGCAAGAATTTCGTAGAACACCCATTGATACTAATGTATATTCAAATGCAATAAGTCGTTTCTTTATAAATGCAGCATTTCCAGACCTACCTATATAATCCTCCCAATGCATTTACTCACCTTAAACTAGTTAGGCAAGCTCTCGCCAGCTTATCTAGGTTTCTAGGTACTCACCCACTCAATACTTTTACTCGATGTTTGATGCAGTTGTTGTGACGGCTACAATTACAAAGTAGATATGTCCTCAACGCATCGAACTTCTTCCTTTAGAAATTAATGCTAATCAAACTACATATAGGTACCTGGTGTCAAGGGTCTACCTGGGGGTTCACATGGAACAAAGACGACTTATGTGTATATGTCTGCCAAACACGTAGAACCCAGTCCTCTGTCGCGTATGTGCGTATTAATCCTTTCTTCTGCGTCTTCTAGGTTCCGCCTCGTGAGTCGTGAGAGGATATCCCCATAAATCTATATCCTCTGCCCAGAGAGCATCATGAATTTTGTTATTGCTGTTAACTATCCATTGCTTCAAATACCCGGTCTTTTTGATAAAGAACATTACATTCTGTGTAGATTCATTATTGGTCTCTAGGGTTCCCCGTGGAGAGAAGGAGATGTGTATTGTTTTATCACATTCTTTTATATTCGGGGCCAACTCGACACACTTATCCGAAATGTTCCATTTAACCATGGGCATATATTTACTTGCTCTTCATAACTCATCTTTAGCAACCTTTCGTAGGCCTCAAGGCCCTGTCTCCTGATTTCTTCACGCGTTATTGTTTTATGATCTATTTCCTTGGTGACGGCATTCGAGCCGAGGCTTTCTTTGTTCGAGTCTTTGTTGGGCATTGATGGCGTAGAAGTAGGGGAAGTGTATTCTGGGCTTTTAGATGTTGTAGCGGATGTTGTAGCGGATGTTGTAGATGTTGTAGATGTTGTAGGGTAAGACAATGTGAAGGGCGAGAAGCTGTATAGGATATTTGGAAATGGATGTGGAAAAGGATCAGGTTTTGGCAGCACTGAGATTTTAAATATTGTAAAGCTCTGCTTAAGTTTCGTTAGGTGGTTTTCTTTTGTTGCCTGCCATTTCCAAAGTTTCCATGCAGCCAAATAGAAATTGACTTTTGGTGGGTGATATTCAGCTGTTGTAAAGTTTTACTATTATGGATTTAGATTCTGTCTTTTAATGTCGACAGCACGGGCGGGCCTATCGAGTACAGTATGTAGTACCCTGACTACTGAGTCACGTTCATTGTGTCGTTGAAGAGTTCCAATCCATACCGGAGCCTTGCTATACCTACTGTGTATTACCAGAAACATTGTCCACTATCCTCTGCCTCGCCTTGTATCTAGTGAACTAGTCTAATAGCTAGGTAGTTCTCGCCATTGTTCTGTTGGTTTTGATCTACCAATCCACCACACGTGCTAAATACGCGTCTGAATAGGAACATGTTTGCTATCTACACGGTAACAACCGCAAAGCACTTAGAGTGCTTCTATGGAGTGTTTCTATGGAGACACTGACTCACCTGGATAGATAAACCGAGTAGCTAGCTGTGACCTCGTAGTACTGTAATTATCTGTAAACACTTCATATATGTAAAGTAACAGTGTTAGGTAGGTAAGATCTCCATCATCCTCAACCCTCAACACACGTCTATCACCTAGAATCCTCATCTCGAGCTGTGGACACTTCGTAGAGCGTTCAAGGTCACCGTTAACAATCTATCACTGTAATTTCACCTACTGTCACAACTACACCACCAGGGAGACTCTCTAGCTAGCTATTCAAAAACCTACTTAATGGAAGCCCCAGAACATGCACTTACACAAGAAGCCAATCGAGGAGATATCGACTCACAGATACCGTGGTATCGTAGAACCTACAATTTCAAGCCCAAAACGACTCCACCAGTCCCATCACAGAGATCAACATGCCCCGAAGTTTCAGCCGGCTGGTTCAGCCGACTGACGTTTAGCTGGATGAAACCCCTCTTATCCATCGAACGCCGAAGGCCTCTGGAACCAACCGATATCTGGCTCGTAGATCCGGCAAGGAGCAACCGGCTTCTCAGCAACCGATTCGAGGCATCCTTTCATCGCCGGGCTCGGGATCGCAAACATCCGTTGGTGCTCGCTCTATACGATACCTTCGCGCGAGAGTTTTGGATCAGCGGTGCCTGGCAGCTCGTCGCCTCCCTCTGCCAGGTCGGTATCCCGCTTGTCCTACACCTGCTCCTGTTGTTCGTCACTAATCGGTACGAGGCCGCCGATGCCCAATCGAGAGGGGACAACACGGTGGAGGGCCCACCGCCGCCATGGAATGGGCTAGGGCTTGTCCTCGGCCTACTACTCTTGCAACTCGTCCAGGGCGTCGGCGTAAACCAATCGTCATACCATGGATTTCTGCTAGGCACACAGGTCAGAAGTGTCTTGGTTGTGGCGATGCTCAAGAAAGCCATGAAGATCTCAGGGCCGCTCCGAAAACCCCATGAGTCTTCTAAGGATGTTAGACATGTTCAGAGCGCCGATGAAGGTTGCGAGGACGCTAAGTCTGTCATAAATCTCATGTCTTCCGACACTGGCCGTGTCGACCAGGCAGCGAGGGCCGTTCATCCGTTTTGGACTGCCCCTATCACCATTATCCTCGCCAGCGCCATTGTCCTGTACAATCTCACTTACTCGGCGCTTCCCGGAATCGGGCTGCTCTTGGCTGGAATTGTGGTATTGCAATTCACAGTCAAGTTCGTCGGCAAACGGCAGACCACTCTCCGGAGCTTCACCAACTCTCGCGTCTCCCTGACCCAGGAAGTCCTACGGCACATACGATTTGTCAAGTACAACGCATGGGAGCTCTACCTGCTGAAGAAACTGGACAAGTTTCGGACGAAAGAACTGCGGGTTATCGTCCAACTTCTCCTGACCAAGGACGCCGTGTACGCGGTCTCGACTTGTCTCCCCGTCTTCGCATCCGTCGCTTCGCTTGTGGTCTACGCGAAGGCCGACCACCAGCTCACGGTCTCGACGGCATTTTCCTCCCTCGTCATATTCAACACCCTCCGCGTGCCCCTCGCCTCCTTTTCCGTCTCCGCGAGACAGATCTCGGAAGGCTGGACCGCCCTGAAACGGCTACAAGACTTCTTACTAGCCGAAGAGTTTGTGGAGGATACAATCTGGGACTGGTACAGCTCGGACTCGGCAGTCCGCGTGCAAAAGGGTACCTTCATCTGGAGCGAATCCGCTCCTCTTCAGCAAGCCAGCCAATCCCAAGGTGGCATACCCAGAGTACCATTCTCACTGACAAACATCCACCTCTCCATTCCCCGTGGCGAGCTCGTCGCCGTAGTCGGCGCGACCGGATCGGGAAAGACCTCCCTGCTCCGCGCGCTCGCGGGGCAGATGACGAAGACCGGCGGCGAAGTGAGAATAGGGGCCCGGTCGCGATCCGTGTGCGCGCAGACACCGTGGATCCAAAGCGCGTCCCTCAAAGACAACATCCTCTTCGGCAAGCCCCTGGACCGCGACCTGTATGAGCGAGTCGTCCAGTCCTGCGCGCTAACCGTCGACATCGAGAGCCTGGCCGACGGCGACGAGACAGAAATCGGGGAACGAGGGATCAGCCTCAGCGGCGGCCAGCGACAGCGGGTTAACCTGGCGCGAGCCATATACGCCGACAGCGACTTAATTCTCCTGGACGACCCACTATCAGCCGTTGATGCCCACGTAGGACAGCATCTATTCCGGGAGGCTATCTGCGGCCTGCTGAAGGAGAAAACTAGGATCCTTGTCACGCACCAGCAACATACCCTCCGCGGGTGCGATAGGATCATATGGATGGATGGCGGACGCATCAGAGCCGTGGGCACGCACGCGGCTCTTGTTGCAACGGAGCCGGAGTTTCGGGCTATGCTAGCTACTGCTACTACCACTACCACGCAAAGTGGAATAAAAAAGGAGACTTGCGGAACCAAGACGTCTTCCCATCGTGAAACCTCACCGACAAGCCGAATTAAGGGCAGCGGGCACGGAGAAAAGGACGACAACAGCGATAAAACAGCCAAGAAATCCAAAGGGCTACTCAACGGATTTTCAACATACGCACAATGCTCCGGGCACCTCTTCGACGTGATCCTATCCATCATTCTACTCCTCCTCGCCCAGGGCACCAGCCTGCTGACCAACATCTGGCTCTCCTTCTGGGTCTCTAACCGCTTCCCCTGGCTCACGAGGAACCAATACATCACCCTCTACATCCTCCTCGCAGTGGCCCAGACCATCCTGCTGCTGTACTTCGCCGTCAGCATCTCGGTCGTCGGCATCCAAGCAAGCCGGAACATCCTCGACCGCGCCATCGCCAGGGTCGTCGGCGCGCCGATGTCGTTCCACGACACGCAGCCCCTGGGCCAGCTTGTGAATCTGTTCATGCAGGACGCCGAGGTCGTGGACCAGCAGCTGCCCGAGGCGCTGTGCAGGTTCCTGTTCTCCGGCGCAATCGTGTCCAGCGTGTGTATCTTGCTCGTCTACTACTTCCCGGTGATCGCCATCGCGCTGGTCCCCGTTGCGGCTGGGTTCCTGTATGTGGTGGCGTACTATAGGTCGACTGAGAGACAGCTCAAGGGCTACGAGTCATCCTTCCGAGGAGTCATGTTCTCGCGGTTTTCCGAGTCGGTGTTGGGAGTTCAGACGATCAGAGCATATGGCATGCAGGCCCGCTTCTTGCGAGGTGTCCACGACGCCATCGACGACATGAACGCGGCGGTCTTTCTCTCAGCCGGCGCGCAACGCTGGCTCGCCGTCTGGCTAGACCTCACGGCGGTCACCATGGTCCTTACGACCGGTCTGCTGATTGTGTTTGGCGTGGGCCAGGCGAACCCAAGTATATCCGGTGTCGCCCTGTCCAGCGTCCTGGCCCTGCGGATCAATATCCAGCTTATCGTGCAGCAGCTCGGGGACCTCGAAGAATCTATGAACTCGCTGCAGCAGTTGCATCGTCACTGTACCGACTTGCCCACAGAACCCTACCAGCTGGTATCTGCATCAGGGCTACCAAAGATCCCCGATACTTGGCCGAATGGGGGCAACATTAGCATCATGAATCTCCATGTCTACTATCGACCCGAGCTGCCAGCCGTTCTCAATAACCTGAACATGGACATTCCCGGTGGCGAGAAACTCGGCATCGTCGGACGCACCGGCGCCGGCAAGTCTTCTCTCATCAACGCTCTATTCCGCTTACTCTCACCATCCCAAGGCAGCATCACGGTCGACGGCCTAGACATATCACAAGTCCCACTACTTACCCTTCGGTCACGCATCTCCATCGTTCCTCAGGACCCTGTTTTGTTCCGGGGGACTGTACGGTCGAGCCTAGACCCCTTTGACCAACACACGGACATGGAGTTATGGCATGCGCTTCAAGCTGTTGGGATCAAGGGGGGCACAGGTAACACCAGTAACAATACATGTGCAATATCATCACCATCATCCGTCCACCTCGACACCACCGTCGAAGAAGACGGCGCGAATTTCTCCCAGGGGCAGCGACAACTCCTCGCCATCGCGCGCGCGCTCCTACAACACACGCAGATCGTCGTCTTCGACGAGGCGACCTCGTGCATCGACATGGAGACGGATGCGCGGATACAGGAGGTGATGAATAAGGTGTTCTCAGGGCGGACGCTACTTACAATAGCGCACCGGCTGCAGACGGTCTTGAGATACGATCGGATTTGTGTCTTGGATCAAGGGCAAATTATGGAGTTGGATTCACCGATCGAGTTATGGGGACAGGAAGGGGGTATTTTTAGGAGCATGTGCGATGAGATAGGCATAAAGGAGGAATATTTTTATTGAAAGTTCTCACCGACCCCTTCCATCGACAGCGATACCTTGCTGCATATGTCGTTCATGATGTCTTTTTGCAGCGAGGTTAGGAGGTCCGTAGCTTGGGGGTCCTCGCCCTGGCCTTTCTGCTCGGCAGTACCCCGATGCCCCTGAAGCCCCTTTTTGTTTTCACTGTTGACAAGATGTGTCATACACGCCACCAAAAAACTCTTTGGTATGGCCTGTAACCCTTGTGCGATGGGCTATGTCTGCATCGTCGTCCTTTATCCGTCTCTGTCCCGTAATAGGGTTGACCACGACCCGTCTTTGGAGGATAAGGTCTGCGTCGTGGCTGGAAGCTTGAGGATGGTGCTTCGAGAACGTGTCTATTTATCTCCCAACCACGAGATATCAGCCACGAGTCGACAATGCATTGCTCTACTCGATTTTAGCATCAGGCTTGTTGGCGACGCGCTGTTCAAACTTACGAGTTGCACACGGGTTACTAGACCCGATGCGCTTGTGTCTCGCTTATATAATATAGGTACGATAAGTGTTTGACGTAGCCATGATTACGTCAATATAAAGCTTATAAAGCTAGCTGTCGTACTAGCTGATGTAATTCACATGTGAAAATGGTGACTAAAAGTTGAATGACCATAAGAAGAAAGGATTTATGTACATGTAGGTAGGTGCAACGCCTGCACACCTCTAAATAATCTCACTCTAACCGCAAAAGTTCAATCAAATATGCTTACTACTTATATACTAATGTGTCTAGTAAGTAGCGTACGTAGTAGTGCTACATAATGTCGGTACATACATACAATTTATGTGTGATAGACGTATGATAGGCCGTAAAAAACATCCAAACATCAACCCGAATACATACATGTAGTACTACATATAAATATCACAACAGCTATCACGCGATAGCACCAAGATCTCCAATTACTGCCTAGGTACCTAACCTTCAAGGCCATGCTACGAAAAGGCAGCCTGGCCATAATAATCGACCTCATCTCTGCTAGCGCTCCCCGAACCCGAACCATGACTTCTTCATCGCGATCCGCCGGCCCTATCCACTTTGGCCCGTTTGAGGTCACATCTCAGGTGAGAAGCTCACATCTCCAGACAAAGCACCCAATCACAAAATGAGAAGTAGGATGGAATCAATTCTCAGATTACGATTGCGGCAATTAAATTAAATTAACTGACTGATTGATTGATTTACCAACCAACTAATAAATTAACATCTCAGGTCTTCCTCACAACCCCCCACTCCTTCGCCCTCGTCAACCTCAAGCCCTTGCTGCCCGGCCACGTCCTAGTGTGTCCGCGGCAGCCGCACCGGCGACTCACCGAGCTTACGGCCCCGGAGCTGACGGATCTGTTCCAGGCCGTGCAGCGCGTGCAGCGCATGCTCGCGTGGCACTACTTTACCTCACAACAATCAGATGCGTCAATCAATAACAACAACACGCCAGCAGCCCGCAGTCCAGAGGCCGGCGCCTTCAACATCGCGATCCAGGACGGCGTCGAGGCGGGGCAGACCGTCTCCCACCTACACGTGCACGTGATCCCGCGGATCCGCGGCGCGACCGCGAAGGAGGAGGCCGGGCCGGGGGACCAGATCTACGAGTCGATGGCTGCCGAGGATGGGAATGTCGGCGGTGCTTTGTACGATGATCCCTTCCCCGCTCACCCTAACCCTAACCCATAGTGCTCAATTCCAGTCCATAACCCCTCCCCCCTTCCCCCCCCCCCCCCCCCCCAAATTCTTTTCCATTCTACTAGGTTAGGGTAGTCTAGACGGAACAAGCAACGATATATCTATCCATCTACCCATCTAAAGCAAAAACACTTCTTGGCTTGTGAGTAGAGATAAAAGACGAGATGCGCTAACCACCAAATCAAATGACAGATGGGACCGCGAACTGAAAAGGCTCCGCTCGCAGCTCGGCGATAGGCCGGAGGCGGGCGGTGCGTTCCAGAGCATCGAGGACTCGGAGCGGCACCCGCGGTCGGCGGAGGAGATGGAATCGGAGGCGAGGATGTTCCGCGGCGTGCTAGAAGCGATGCAAGGGGCGGATAGGTGACAGCTACACCCGCCAAATTACTAGGTTAGGTATCTACCGATGGATTTCAGCCGAGAAAGCGGGACAACACGCGACGAGGTAAGGGTTAGCTTCATCAATAGGCATTTGTATTAACCAGCAGTGAATTCCTCGCGTCCAAGGCTACGATAGATCCTGGACATTGTAAATATGCCTTCCTGCGTAAAGAATATATTGCTCCTATCCGTATCTAAATGTAGGTAGGTAAGGGCCGATATTCCCAACCCACTACAAACCCCTAAGCAGCTCGTCCAGCGATAGGGGTTTCCGCACCGCATTATTCATGCCTTCGTGAAATGTGACCCATACCTTGCCCTCACTTTTGCCGGACGAGCCATCACCCGCCTTGCTGTTAGGTCTACTATTGCCGTTAATATCCCTCAACGCCCGCGAATCTGGTTTTTCGATGATGCGACCGAAAAAGTCCTTCTTCACCCCGAGCATAGGTAGTCTCGGCATCTTAGCAGCCTTGACATTCTCCTTGTCATGCAAAATCAGCGGATCCTCCGCGGCTGTAGCATGAGGGTTACCGGCTCGGAAGCGCGCCTGTCTTGCCGAGTTCTCCCGTAGTAGCTTCGCCTTTTGTAGTTCTTGGTCTAATACTTGGCGAACGGCGTAGCGCGTCGGTGCCAGTGTGCCATGAACCACGGCTGCCGAGGTCTCAAATGTAGACAGCAGATCGAGATCGCTATAAGATGATTAGTTGACAGCTCCGATATAATAACAGTGAAAGCATCCTAGACTTACGGTTCCATGCGATACACCCACTGCGCCCCCCTGCTGAACGGGGACTCGCTCTCGATTTTCCCTCGCTGGAGTTCGATACCGACCTCGGCTAGGACATCTGCAGCCCTCTTCACCATAGTCTTCTCGGTGTCTTTCCGGACACTCGCTGTGCCCTTCTGGTCTCCGCTACCTCCCACAACTACAGGTTTCACATCCGGAGATACTAGGCGTATGAGGTACGGCAAGAATTCCGTCGCAATCTCTTCGGCGCTGCGGAAGGCACGCAAAAGTGTGGGCGGTAATTGATCTTGTATCCCTTGAAGCATTGCGCGATTTTCCTTCTCGGACTCGCGAGCGATAAAATCGGCTCTGGGTCCTGAAAAGGGCAACGGTGGTGCCTCGTCTCCAGTATCGCCCCATTTCCTATCGTAGCCTAGATTCGCGCGTTTTATAGGCGACGCAAATAAGTGATGACATGCAAGAATAGGTTGAGAGAGATAAGGGGCTAGTTCCCAGCTCTGAGTGCCGAATAATCTCGACGAACAAGTGTCGTGAAAATGCATCCATTCGTAGGCCGCATCTGGTTTAGAAAGGAATGAATCATCGTTGAATTCGTGATTTGGGTAGTCCAGAAAGACATCTGTTATTACCCTGTCCACATCCCCACTCGTTTCTACCATCTCCCTTAAGCGCTCCATGCCGTATTTCTTTTGCTGCTCGGAGAAGCCCAGTTGGGCTTGCGGTTGTTCATCTTGGTACTTCGATATTGGAGCTGCGACCATCACGTTGCTCTTCGGGAACCCAGCACCATCTTGGAAAATTCGAGTCACGATATCCTTCACATTGCCTCGACCTACGCCCCTCGCGCCACCACCGCCATGGCTTAGATCGTGGACAATATTTCGTTCGACCCATTGCCGTGTTAAAGATGGTGGACTCTTGAGGGATGCGGACTTTAGACGGCCGGCTACCCATTCACCTACGACCATAATGCCTCGTAGATCACCTTCTGCTGTGCTCTCCGCGCCTCTCCTTGCGTCGATGCCACTGCTCATGCCCCACGCTGCTTCGCACAGCTTTCGTGCAGCATCTTTTTCACATGGAATACCTTCCTTTTCAAAAACTGACTTGAGACGTGTCACGACAGCATCCACGGTAGGCTTTCCTACGTGGATAATTTCGGCTAAATTCGATAGACGTAGCGGTCTCAGTGATGGGTGGTAGACATCGTTGCAGATAAGGATGAGCGGCCTCATTTGGCGAAAATCGTCGCCTTTCTTCTTGCGACGTGCTGAGTACTGATTTGTGGTTTCTTGTTCTGAGGCGTTCTTCTCTCCAGTTGTAATCAAATCGATCAAAGCTTTGATGAAACCACCCTCTCCAGTGCCACCGGAGCCGGTTACCACACCATCAACTTCGTCCACTACCACACACACAGGTCGGACCACTTTTTGGTTCTTTTCGCTCCCAAGTTTGTTTTTTTGTACCGTCTTGACATTTTCGGTGCCTAGACTTGTACGAATCCGATTCTTCACAACGTCTCGACTGCGATCATCGCTAGCATTTATCTCCATAACTTCGTAACCAGCTTGCCTCGCACAAACGTGAGCAAGTGTGGTCTTGCCTAACCCGGGTGGGCCGGTAAGCATTAGGATCTTTCGGTGAGGCTTTTCCTCTGCGGCCTCCGTCTTCCCTCCCGGCCGTCTAACAGTTCTTGCCTTAGAGACTCCCGGGAAGACCAGGGGGTCCCATCTCTTTAGCCATCGTAGCACCTGTCGGTTTGTGAGGTCGTCACCGACTAGGTCCATAAAGTTCTTCGCACGGTATTTTTCGGTCCATAGTAATGATTTCTTAGGCTTCTTTACGGGTTCAACTGAGGGCATCGGCTCATCAGGTGTAATGGGGTTACTAGAGGGCCGATTGGCAAGTTCCTTGGTAGTAGTCTCTATTAATTCGTGGATATCGATGCCATAATAACTCTTCCTCGCTCGACCTTCTTTTGTCTTTGACCGGGATGCAACCATTTTCTCGTAGGAGACACCAGTACCGGCCTTTCGCTCCTTGATGCTGATCGTCTTTCCTGAACATGTTGTAACGTTGAAATTAGTCTGTCTTTGATGGAAAGTCAATCGATCGAAAATGGATGTGGCGTTAATTGAGCTCGCGAATGAGCTCAATGCGGGTGGTTGGCTTCTTTCCTGGCTATCTTGGGTTTGCGAGGTCGTTTCGAGAGGTACTGATGGGACTTCCTTAAGCCCATGATTTAAGGACAATGAGGGAGGTGAAGATGGCTCGGTGGACTCGGCAGCTAGACGCTCGCTAGGACTATTAAGCATGCGCCTCTTGGCCGCAGGCTCTTGCAGTAAATCATCATCGTCGGAGTCATCGTCAATTAGAAAGCCAGCTTTCGCGCGAGGCCGAGAGGTAGGGGCCAGATGTGATTTCGTGCGCTTTATTACGCCTACAGGAGAGGAGCTGGCTGGATAGATTACTGGAGATGAGGCAGGCGGCATTTTCAGAGGGTCCAATTGAAGACGGTAGGTGTTGACGAGTGTCCAAGATAGTAAATTTAATTGAGCTGAGTATCTTGTTATTTGAAGACATCTACGAGGTACGTTGTAAAATAATCAAGTTGGTGAATACAGAAAATATATAATATATAATTGGACGACGCGGGGGACGCGACTCGATGCGCGTTTTGGTGGGGCTCAATTCAAAGTAAGTACTGTACCTACTTCGTACCTAATTAGTAGGTACCAAAGTACTTTCAAGATTGATCCACACATGACGGATGTCACTCCACATTTACTACCCCTGTCCATGATACAGAAAGAGTGGGCGACTATCACTTCCCGATGTTTAACCGCTTTGTCCCATCTTTTACGCTTTTAACAAAGCTCGCGTTCTTAGCCAAGATTTCAATCATCAGTCGCCTCGCAACCAGGTTGGCATCGTGTAAATTCTGCAACAAATGTTGGCCATCGTGATAATTTCCTTACATTTCTAGTTGCCACAACCATCAACCTCCTCCCAAATCTCGATCGCGAACCCAATTAAATATGCCCGTCGTCAAAGGAGGAGTGTGGACCAACATTGAGGATGAAATCCTCAAGGTTTCTGTATCCAAATATGGGTTGAATCAATGGGCGCGTGTCTCGTCATTGCTACCGCGAAAAACTCCAAAGCAATGTAAAGCGCGATGGAATGAATGGCTGGATCCAAGCATCAAAAAGATAGAATGGAGCAAAGAGGAGGATGAGAAGCTACTTCATTTGGCCAAGTTGATGCCCACGCAATGGCGAACCATCGCTCCCATTGTCGGTCGAACCGCCAACCAATGCCTCGAACGCTACCAGAAACTCCTTGATGAAGCCGAACAACGAGAATCAGGTGGCCTTGGTCTTACTGGACCTGAAGGCGGCGAGACCCAAGCACCTACAGCTGACGACGTGCGAAGACTTCGACCGGGCGAGGTCGACCCAGACCCTGAGAGCAAACCTGCGAAGCCCGACACTATTGATCTCGATGAAGATGAAAAGGAAATGTTGAGTGAGGCGCGTGCTCGTTTGGCGAACACGCAAGGTAAGAAGGCAAAGCGGAAAGCTCGAGAACGTCAACAAGAGGAATCGCGTCGACTGGCAGCTTTACAGAAGCGCCGGGAGCTCAAAACAGCTGGTATCAACATCAAAGTAGTGACGCGCAAGAAGGGGCAGATGGACTACAACGCCGACATCCCATTCGAGAAAGCACCAACCCAAGGTTTCTACGATACTACAGATGAACAAGTACGAAACGAAAAGCAACGAGCCTCGTTTGATCCCCGGAAACATCAGCTTGCTAGTAAGCGCAAGGGCGAGCAGGAGGATGAGTCCGACAGGAAGAAACGGAAGAGCGACAAAGATGCTCCTTCGGCCTCTATGCAAGCTGCCTTGAAGGCTGGGCAAATGCAAAAGATCCGAGAGGCTGAGCAAAGCAGCAAGAGAAGAGCACTCGCTCTTCCAGCCCCTCAAGTTAGCGACGGTGAACTTGAGGATATCGTTAAGATGGGCATGATGGGTGAACGAGCGAATATACTTGCTCGGACCAGCGAGAATGATGCTACCAGAGGATTAGTCAACTCGTATTCTACCTTGACCTCTCAAACTCCGATTAGGACACCCATGGCCCCTCCCCAAGAAGATCGAGTCGCAAACGAAATAAGGAATATTCGGGCCTTAACCGAGAACCAATCGGCTTTGCTTGGGGGGGAGAATGCTGATCTACAAGAAGGAAGTAGTTCGACAGGATTTGAAGGTGCCACACCTCGAAAACAAGTAGTGTCGACACCAAACCCCTTAGCCACGCCTCTGCGGGCTGGTATGAATGGTGCTGGAGCAACGCCTCGAAGACCAGGCGAAACGCCATTACGCACACCTCGAGACAGCTTTGCGCTTAATGCAGGCGACAGAGAGATGTCCATGGTTGGAGGTGCGGCCAACGATATGCGACTTCGGGAATTATCAACGAAGCATCATCTCAAACAAAGTCTTGCATCTTTACCGAAACCGAAGGAAACAGAATGGGAGCTTGAAATACCGGAAGATCAGCAAGAAATTATGGTTGTTGAGGAAACGGAGGAAGATGCCGCAATACGTGATCAACGAGAGCGTGCTATCAGGGAAGCCCAGGAGCAACTGGAGAGAAAGAGACGTACTCAAGTCATGCAAAGAGGGCTACCTCGGCCAGAATCCGTCGATTTCGAGTCCCTAATGCAACAAGCATCTTCAATTTCCGATCCTGTAGAAGCGCAAATTGCTAGAGAAGCTGCCCTCCTCGTCGCTAACGATGCTGCCAAATTTCCGTCATTGAACTCAAGACCTAGCAGCAATCCTGTCCAAATACCACAGATTGATGATGCTTTGCTAGACGACGCCCGTCTACAGATCCTGGTGGAGGTTAAGAGTAAACCTACCCCTGAAGAGGTCCGGGCAGGTTTGGAACGAGAGGGTAGCAACGCGCTATTGCTCGGCCTTGGTTGCTATGAAGAGGATGAAGAGGAAGAGCAGGTGGCAGCTATGAAAGCAGCATTCGAAGTAAGCACTATAACTCTCTTCCATTTTTATTGTCTATATCTATAATTTGTACTAACAACTCTCTACAGTCAGTGCAGGAGTCTACAATGGAAACCGTTGAAAAGTGCGCCAAACTGGAAAAGAAGCTTACTCTCCATTTAGGAGGGTATCAGCACCGAGCTAAGATGCTGCGGTCCAAGATGGGCGAGGCGCACGAGGCACTTGAGAAGGCCAATTTTGCCCTCAGTGCGTTCAAGACGCTTGCCGTCTCGGAGGAGATTGCCGCCAGAAGCCGGCTTGAAGCTCTGAGAGAGGAGGTCGGCTACGTTAGCCGCAGGGAGCGTGAGGCACAAGAGGCATATCGCCAAACTAAAGAAGAACTTGAAGCCCTGACGAGCGGCGTTAATGGGTATCACTAAATTTAGCACCGGACAGGGGATTTGGGGCATAGAGATTGTATATTATTGGCGTAGTCAGGCATGCATAAGTACATGTTGTACTACTAATCACAAACGACGACTGCAACATAAGGAGAAGGAAAGGGGGAATCACTCGACGCAGCGCAGAATTTTCAAGTACCTAAACTGACTTAAAAATCCTACTCTTAAGAAATCTCACGAATTCGAGACGAAAGGAAAAAGCAACGCCGTACCAATAAACCAAACCAAACGCTAAAAATCAATGCTATTGTGACAATATAGATCCTCCCATTCCCCCCGTTTTTTGCCTCCTTTTTATTTCTCATAGCCAACCACATTATCATCTATCCATCTTCTAGACATAACGGGGCGGCTAAGTAGCTATTTAGGTAGCTAGCAATCATATATAGGCAGGTTACCCAAATCGTTTCCAACATCACTTTCCCTCCCAACCAAAGAATCCAAAGAATCCAAAGAATCCAAAGAATCCAAACATTTACTTCCTCGCACCCAACCTCGGCACCCTAGCCGGCAAAACCAATAGAACACCCAGCGCCGCAAAACCAACGCAGAACAGAAACGTAAGACGAATGGCCGCCTCGTAGCTCGCAACAACCTGGTCCTTGGTGTCGCCATCAGGCAGCGCAGCAACCGCCTCGACACTCTCGCGCACCCGGTCAATAAGCGCCTGCTTCCAGGCCTCGGCCTCGGGCCCCGTTAGCGGGTAGGGCGGGACGAGGTACAGCGCGAGGTAGCGGAGCAGCGCGTTCTGGAGGACGAGGGAGGAGAAGGCGACGCCGAGGACGGAGCCGAGCGCGCGCCACAGCACGAGGGTGGACGTGACGACGGCCTGCTCGCGGTGCTCCGACGCCGCGAGCACCGCCATGAAGGTCCCGGGGAACTGGAACCCTTGGCCGATGGAGGAGGGCACGAGGCAGATCAGGTAGAGGTACAGGGGCCACCCGCGCCGCATGCTGGCGAGCAGGGCGGTGCCGAGGAGGTAGAAGAGCGTGCCGAGGACGAGGGGCCACTTGAGCCGCCGCGTGTACGAGATCAGGAACCCGGTTAGAGTACCGATGGAGCTGGCGGTCACGACGGGGACGACGAGGTACAGGCCCGAGGTTGTGGCGCTGGTGAGGAGGACGGCTTGGAAGAAGAGGGGGCTAGATTGGTTTTAATTAGATACCCTAGGTAGATAGTTTATTGTCCCCCTTTTTCTCCTTGATGGTTTTTATATTTAGGCAGGTAATCTGCAACAGATCCCTTGATATACCGTGATATTACCAATAAAGGGACTAGGGAGAGAGAAAGAAAAGCGAATGACTTACACATTGAAGAGGATGGCGTTAAGCAGGAACGAGGCGATCATGTTGCCAAAGATCATATTGGCTCTGGGAGAGCTGTGGAGGAGGACTAGAGGCATGATAGGTCGCTCTTGCTTCGACTCGACGTACAGACAAGCTGGGAAGCAGACGCAGAAGATGGCGAGTGAAGAGAGGACGAACGGATGTGTCCCTTTTTCTCTCGTTAGTACGTTTACCCCTTTAAACATGCTTGAGGGAAAAGATAGAAAAAAAAAGGGGGGGGAGGGGACTTACATGCAAGAATATTGCCACCGAGGTTCTGCCCAAATAATTCTCGTTAGCAAAACCCCCAAAACCACTTTCATCATATTTGTAAAGCCCAGTACACGCGAAAAAAAAAGAAAAAAAAAACATAACATACCAAGCCCAATATCAAAAACGTAGTCGAAATAGTCAAGAGCACCGAGCCACTGTAATCGAACGTCTTCATGCCCTCGGCGAAGGTCTGGTGCTTGTTCTCGATGCCGAGGTCGTCGGGAATGCCGTAGTAGGCGACGGCGAAGCACAGGACGATGGGGAACACCTGGATGCCGAACTCCCAGCGCCAGCCCATCGAGTCGGCCATCATGCCTCCCAGCGCGGCGCCGAGGGCCGAGGCGACGCCGTACACGATGTTGACGTAGCTTTGGTAGGTGCCTCGGCGTCTGATTTTGAGAAAGTAGTTAGCTTTTATGCACTCGTCCGTGATAACCCTTCTTTTTTTTTCATTTCACACATGTAAAGGGGTTGGGGGGGGATAGGGAGAGACACTTACTCAATAGGCACCAAATCACTAATAATAATACTCCCAATCCCCAGCACGCCTCCCGCACCAAGCCCACACACCGCCCTCGCGACAATGAAGCTCGTCATGCTCTGCGCCAGCGCGCACCACAGCGTCGACAGCGCAAAGACGACCACCGTAGCCAGATACGGCGGTCTGCGGCCAACAGTATCGGAGAGGCGGCCGCCGATGGGCTGGAACGCGGTGCTGGTAAGCAAGAAGGCGGTGGAGAGCCAGCTGGCGCTGTTGGAGCTGCGGAAGTAGCTCGTGATGACGGGGTGGCTCGACGCCATGATGCACGCGTCGAAGCTGGCGAGGAAGTGCGAGAGCATGATGCTCAGGAACACGATCCAGAAGCGGCGGCGGTCCGTGTCGATCAGGTACGACGGCCTCCTCTTGGCCAGGTCGTTCTCGGTATCATTGCCCGCGACGGCCTCGATATCCCTTTCCTCGTCCTCGTCGTCGCCCTCGACGATCGGGGACTCGGTGAGCTGTCCGTGCGTGTGCGTCCCTGCCATGGGCCTGGGTGACACAGACGCCAGGGTGGGCCGCGTCGCACTGCTCCGGGACCGGCGACGTCCCCTAAGCATCGGCGATTCCAGGGACTCCGGCGCGAACCCCGAGCCGCACGAGGTGTAACTCCGCGCGATCCTTAAGTCCGCTTCGTTCGGATCGATGTCGCTCCCCCAGCCATCATCATCGCTGTCGTCGTCGTCGTCGTATCTGGCGCCGCGCCTGCCTCGGCGAGGTATGGCAACACTGGGTGTCTGGCCATAACTCCTGGCACACGGGTCCCGCTGCAGCAGCGCCGTCTGCTCCGTCGCGGGCTCGGGGGAGTTGTTGTGGTTGTACGCACGTGAACGTAAGGGTGCAGCGTCACCGCCATTGGCTGCACGAGGCATCATAGATGATAGATAGTTGCTTTTTTTTTTTTTTTTTTTTTTGAGATTTTTGGTTACCAATGACAAGCAAATCCTTCCAGTTCAAAAGAAAATTCGAAAAATAGATAAAATAAATATCTCCCGCTTCCCCGAGACTTATACCCAGCAGAATGGCTTTCTGCTTTTGGTCGTCTTTCTTAGTTCGGCCAATCTAGGTTCGAAGGCTCCTATAGACCGAATCTTAGTGGTCGTTAAGGAACGAACTAGGTTATTTTTAGTTTCGTCTTCAACTCTTAAAAGTCTACTTTATCTCGCAATAGTTTGGACGAGGCAAAGTTAAGAGAGAGAAACAAGATGCCACCAACCTCTTGAGAACAAAAAACAAGAGAAATTGAGTCGGTGAGAGAGTTGAGTAAGAAGTAAGAAAAGTCAAAAATAAGAAAAAATAAGAAAAAGAAAAAAGAATCCGTAGGTGGAACTGAAAATGGGGACCGGGGAGGAACTTTTTTGTTCGCGAGAGAGAGAGCACGAGAGAGCGACAGAGCGGATTCTACACAAATGCTTCCCCGTAAAGGCAGGCAGGAAACTAACCGTGGTTACCAGGGAGGGGGGGGGGCTTGATAAAGTGGACGTCTCTCTCTCAATGTTTACTATTCAAAATGCTTATGGATATGATATGCGTTATGGATGTGCAGCTCTATCTACTTCGTATGCCCGCAACTCTGCGGGGAACCACCTGAGCGCTTGCGCGTGACTGACACTGACCCCTCTAATTATCCCGGCATAGAAGAGAGCGCAGTCTGAGTTCCAAGGTTTCTCAATCTGAGCCTCACTAATACACTAAGACCCCTAATGCCCTTCTACAGAACCTAAAGTAAAGGGCACACACGGATAATATAAGCTACTAACCTAGGTAGCTAGGCATTTAGTGGGTGGAATCTAGTGTTGATCTATCGAGAGGCAGGGTAGGTGAACATATATCGTTCAGATCGCATTCAGCCAGGTAAGAAGGCAGTCCTTCAACTACAGCTCGTAGATGAAGCTTGAGATGACACAGCTATTGATTACTATGTACTAGGCAGAGATAGGTACCCAATCCGTATGATCCGTGCCTAATACAAGAAAACCTTCATCTCGGGAACATACCAATGCCATCAGTGTGAAATGCAGCATGCGCAACAATTGCCACCCAACCCCTTGTCCCTTGACCCCCTCCCTCAGCCGTGCTATGAAGATACGCCTCTCTAAACTCCAAGAGATTCAAAATATATACATCCACAGGTAATCTCAAGCAGTGTCAGAAGGCTTTGCTTGAGAGGCGCCGCAAAGGACACCTGCACCTTTGATCCCTCCGTCGTGGCACGGACGCAGGATTACCCTCAGAGGGGCATCGTCTCCGAACTCGGTTCGAATTATTGAGTCAAGGAATTGTTGACAGTCTGCCAGGTAGTCTTGGAAGTGAACAATGCAGCCCCCAGTATATCCAACAATCAATTCCATTTTGGCGGGTTTTGACTCAATAAAGCTACCGTTCGGGGTGTTTGCAGGCGAATCACCAAGGGGAATATCATCGGCACACGCGAGAAGCCCAACAATGGCTGCCGCTACAATACCAGCAGCTCTGACTTCGATAGCTTTCGCGATTCTGTATAAAATATCCGCCATTTCTTCGGTCCATTGAAAAGGTGCCTTAGCAGTCGATTGCGGGAACTCCTCCTCAAGCTTAGCTAGTAATACCGGTGTGTTTGGGGGGCGGAAAAGGCTGAGAAAAGTCGTCGTAAGGCCAAATCGTGTTTGCAGTTGTGAGGGCATGGTGTCCACGGATATACCTAAATGGTGCTCGAGGTAATCTATTAACATCAGCCGTCCCAGTTCGCCGAGATACCGTCCCGAAGTCATGTATTCAAGCGGTTGGAACCCAGGTGCTTCGCCTTCAGAGTCCAGTTTAGTATCCCATTGGCTGATTAGGCCATACTTTCGCAAGGCCGGCGCCGTCCCATTGATACTCCATTCGGTGTTGACGGCAATTTTCATGTCGTCGGTTGACTCTCCTTGCAAAACCTTGACTTTGCCAGGCTGTTTGTCCTTGTGGAGAGTGCTCTTCTTGAGAGGTATTGTGGCATTGCTGCCAGTACCGCATATGAGCCCCATCGCCGCTTTATGGGTTTCATCCTCCTGAGACTGGTATATAAATGATACCAGGGTCGCAACGGCGTCGTTCAAGATAGCCGCAACTTTAATTGGTGGCAAGTCTGGGGTTTTCGACTCCTCGTAGCCATTAATCAAATGAGTTCCAAGATGCAAGCGGGAGGTGATGGCAAATCCCTTTCCCATCGCCATGAGCGTTGCGTCGGCTAAAGTCTCTTGAACCATGGGAAAACTGAATGTAACACCCATAGGAAGTTCGCGATCGCGAGACAAATTGAGCGTTTCACACCCTTCTCGTACAACTTCTGCTATGCAGCTTCCAATCCACTGGAACAATGAATCGGCATTCTCTTTTTTGAGGACGTCCGAGATTGGCCACGACCTCTCGAGTACTCGATGCAGGTTAGGTGACGATTCTGAGTCCGGCAACTTTCCTTCGCCGTTCGTGCCATTGCAATGTATACCATTTTCATTCCCCAGTAGCTCAATAAAGCCAACTCTCAAATTAGTACCACCACTGCTAACTTGTTAGAATGAAATGCGTACGCGGCTAGGTTGCATTATATGGAAACCCACATGTCAATCGCCAGATATCTATAACAAGTTAGCTTATCCCAAGAAAATGGTTTAAGGGTTTTCAGAAGCGACGTATGCTTATAACCATGTAGATGAGTGTTATGGACAAGAGACATTTGAGGGCAGCATACCTTCCTTTTTCTCGGCCTTCAGTGGGCCGGAGTATGGACTCTGATATCGGGGTCGGGAGGAACTGATTTGACGAGTGAGCGGATAAATGTTGAAAGGTGCGGAACAGCTCATGCGATAGCGCGTGTGCTTTGGGCTCGTCGATGGCCAGAGGCTCGAGGAAATCGTTGATATCGGACTTCATATTGCTGTGGGCTTTCTTTCCCCCTCCCTTATATTTCTGTCCTCCTATACCCAAGAATAGATATGCAAACTAATATGTACCTAGCTAAATGGCTTGGGTGATGAAATCGAGGGCATGTCTTATGATTGTAGGATTGTATTGTACAATATGAAGAAACCCCCAAACACTTGAAAATAGAATAAAATAAAAATAAAATAAAATAAAATACCAAACCAGAAAACAGGAGAGGTTCTCGAGACTTTATGTTAAGTCTGATCTGAGCAGACACTGCCTCTTTTAGTATGTGTGAGCATACATATATGTATACATAGTATGTATGTAGTATGTATGTAGTATGTAGGTTATTGGTTATTGGTTATTAATACTAGACTATTAAAAGTTACTAGTAGGTCTGGTATATTCGTACGTCGGTAGGTACTTGCCTACACTATATACACTATATCACATAGATGGACGGAGAGGGCAGAGTCAGGGTGCACTGCCGAATCAGCGGCCGTAAATTTCTGGAAACGTTACAGTTGCAGGGTATCCATTGGGTACCAAATGTGAGTGATGCAATGCGTACCGTAGCCTGTAGATACTAGGTTCTAAGTACCTACATACATACTTTGGTAGGTAGGGCTTGGTACGATTAGTTATGCCTACATTGCCTAGTCTACCTAGTACCTACCGAGTAGGCAGGTAAGGGATCAATTAGTACCTAGTAAGTTAGTAGTAAGTACTTCAGTATGCAAAGTGTACCTAGTATGTAGAATATAAATTTAGGTGAAGCAATAACATTGAGATATGAGACAATCGCTCATCCTTAGTCAAGCTTAAATATATATAGCTTAACTTAATCTAACCTTGGAAGTCACCTTAACCACAAGTAACGTTAAACGACGAATCTTGGTGTGTCCGATGTTTTCCCTGACTCGAGTGTGTAGGTTAGATTAGGTATGTTCCGATCAATCAATAACTAACCTTAGTTAACTACTAACTAGAGGATACATGCTAAGATACCACCAATATTTCAGTTAACTAATAACTAACTAGTACCTAACATTTGAACCTTGGAACTGATTTGACAGATTATCACAGATACCGTGACTTAGTTCAGGTACGTACTAGCCTGCCATGTGGAATTCAAGTTGTAAGGTTCCCCTCAGCCACATGTGCCCCCCCATATCACAAGATCATTCACACTGAGGTCTAGTGTACGAGTGGCGCCTGACTTGATCGAATTTTAGTGGATGTATGGAGTACTGAACCCCTGCATTCTGCAATCAGCCAGTTCAAGTTTAAATGTTCTTTACATGAACGATACAGGCAGGAGGCTCTTCAGGAACAGGAAAGAAGTAGGCACATACCTACATGTAATTAACTTGATCCAGTATTCCACATTATTGATCTAAACCCGTGCCCGACCTTCCTCACAAACCTTCTCTCCTTTCTCTCAAAGTCATCGACCCTTCTTGATTGTTTATACTTACCGAATACCTACCTAAGCATACATACCCAGTATCTAGCCTAAGTACTAGGTACTACGGTACTAGGTACTACCTTGGCACCCTAACAACAACCCTGAAAGTCTCCTTTTGGAAATAACTACATAACTGCCTCTAGCTGACAGGATAACCTATTAATTAATTCTTGCTCTGTTTTCTCTCTATTATGCATCATCGCGCTATTTGGTAAAATTCCCATCTATCTAGCCTTACCCAACGCCTCCATAAATTAGAAGTCAACAGACGAAGACGAGACGAGACGAGACGAAACGAAACAATAAACACGAACGAGATGGCTGGCAAAATAAGCCTTCCGCTAACCGAAGAGAAGCGGCCCGTACGAAACTGCCCTCGACGTCGACACCGATCGCTCCTTATAGCAACCTTAATCGCCGCTCTCGTTTACGGTCTCTACGATATCTACCTTACGCCAGCCTTGAATTTTTTGCACAAATCATATCCTTCAGCGTCATTCCCATCCTCGATAAAAAGCGACGATGCTGTCCCAGTAGCTCAAGCACTTGTCCCGCTCGAGGCGCACATTATGAGCAAATGCCCCGATGCTAAGGATTGTCTCAAGGAAATGGTTCTCCCGGCCATGATGCGCGTCAGCGACAAGGTTGACTTCACATTATCTTACATCGGTACGCCTACCGAGAACGACGGCGTCAGCTGCAAACATGGCCCGGGTGAATGTATGGGAAATATTCTCGAATTATGCGCGCACCATCTATACCCAGATCCCAAAATCTACCTCGGCTTTACCATGTGCTTAACCAGGGAGTACAAGCTTATCCCTCAACGGGAGCTGGTCGAGGACTGCGCTTTGGAACACGCTATCGATTTTGAAAAGCTCAACGACTGCGCCGCGAAGGACGACGGTGCTTTTGGCATGGCGATGTTGAGGGAGAGCGTGCGAAGAACTGCCGACGTACGTGAAGCTCGGCTTTTTGAGAACCATATCTACTGGATGAGTTACTGACCTAGTATTTAGGCGAGCGTTACGAAGAGCTGCACGGTCAGACTAAATAACGAAGTATACTGTATTAGAGATGGTGGTGAGTGGTCGGACTGTCCTAGCGGGGCCGCTCCCAACGATTTGGTCATTGCGATTGAGAAGCTCTACCAGAGCTCTTGAGTGGTTCAAAAACTTTCGTCCACAAATCCGACGCCTCTCCCACCGTGCAACTTAGCGAAACACTATCCATGCCTGTCTCATCGTCCCCGGACATCGATTCCAGCTGTTCTATGATAGCCTCCAGCCCGATAGCCTTCCCAACCGATTGGGTCGCAGTCGCATCTAGCATCACGTGTACCACGTGGACGTGGAAATGATAGTAGGTTGGATGATAATGGCAGAATAATTTCAGTTGATCCGTATCGATCTGCGGATAGGCTTCGACCGTGGCGTCGACCAATTTGGCTCGCATATGTTTCAGCCAAGGGACATGTTTCTTTTTCAAATCTCTTAGGCTCCAGATATCGCGTCGTTCGACTATAGCAAGTAGGTACAACGCTTCGATGGTCTTTCTGTCCCAGTGCAGGTTCGGTAGCATTAGGAAACCCTCGTCCCCATCGCGTCCTAGTGGCGTTCTATAAATGACATCTTCTACCTCTTTCCGTCCTTCAATGATATTGTAGATCCAGTTCAAGCGGCCTTCCTCTCGGTACGCCTGCATCAGAGGCCGCACCTTGTCTCGATAGATCTCCGGCGTCTCTACCACCACTCGATATCCTTGCTTACTATGCTTCTTGATATGTGTCTCCGTACAAGGATAGATCATGGAGATTTTGAAGTCGGCGTACTTGTCGTTCTCGTCGTTGGCGAGGATCGGGCCGCCCGACCCCAGAGACCAGGAGTAGATGTCGTTGTTGCTCAGGTTCGTGATGCTGCGTAGACTCGACGGTAGCACGGACAGGTACTCGTCGGCGTCGGGGATCGGTGCTCGTTCGAGTAGTAGAAGCGCGGGCTGCGAGTCAACTTGCCCGTACAGCGTGATGTTTCGTCCTGCACCGTCTTTTTTGGGGGGGTTTTGAGCCTTGTTAGTTTTTTGGTAGATTCTCTAAAATACCTAACCTTAGGTAGGTAGGGAAGGATGCTCGGGTCGTGGTAGATAAGCGCATGTACATGGCATACCTTGGTTTAGGATACGCTCGAATTGGAACTTGGGGATCAGTGCCTCGGCGCGGCGCTTGCTGTCTTCGGTCGCCATGGTGTGGAGCAATGAATATATCTATGTACGGAGTATATGTAGGTATGAACGATTTGTCTGGCGTGCGTTTGGTGGTGGGAGTTTGAGATGGTAGGAGGAAGGTATATATCGTAGTGGTAATACCTAATTACCCCTCAATCGGTAACGAGCCTACCGGCGTTTGTAAATATGTATGTAAGAGAGAAAAAGAGATTCCCTGTCAGAGATCAGCCCCACTAAATAACACCGCGGGCCGTACCCTACCCTTGCAGCCAGGTACTTGTACAGGTCCCTTAGATGGATGCTGACCTGACCCTGACACCCTTTCAATTTTGCAAGGATCCCTTTATTGATGTGTTTATCAAATAATTGCCATGTAAGTTGTAGGTAGTTAGGTGGGCATCATATTCGGAAGACAGGTTGCCATTGACATACATGAAGAAAAGGTAAGCTCAACTTGAACAAACGAGTCTACTCCCTACATGTAGCAAGCACTTGAGAGAGTACTGAGTACTGAGTTCTAGGTAGTTAGTTACATACCTTCCTCGTCCTCGCCAGAATGAAAAAAAAAAGGGGGGGTAATCATCCGCCAATGAGGGGCTGTCTTCGGACTTGGAGTTGATCCCGTTAGTGGTGTTTGTATTGTACTATTTAGCATAACCTCACGATGCTGTGGTGTGTCGCACAGCATCAATTATCCTACCTATGTACCTATACTATGTAGGTATGTATGTACAGTACCATCATCCGTGTTGCATGTAAGTAACCTCAAAAACAACTTGGCCCTCTTCTTTCTCGCTACCGAGTAGTATGTAGGGTGTATTTGCCTACGTACCTACCTATGTATGCCTACATATGTAGTAGAGGGCGTTGAAGCGAAGCGAAGCAAACATTCAATGTTGACTCTACATATGTAAGGCCCAGAACAAGCGAGACGGTACGCAAGTAAGTACATGTGGCACATATGTATTATCTAGATACCTAGGCAGGGTGTCTGTAGATAGTACCTATTATTCATAATGTACCTAGTAGGTATGTATGTATTCGCAACTCCTTACTCTGAGCGACCCAAGAAGAAGAAGAAAAAGAAAAGATATTCGCTACATTTCCATCCAACATTAAATCATAACCATACATACATGTAGTTCCAAACCCAGTTCACTAATCATATCTCAGGAATCGTTCATTTCTAGCATGCCTCTCTGCCTCATACACACACATATGTAGGTAGGCTAGGTAGGGACCGCTTTAAAGGGCAAAACAAAACAAGCAACCAAGCAAGGCCACACCACACACCAACCCCCCATTGTCCGTTTTTAATATAGCCCCGTAGATGTAAGTAGGTAATCAATCACAAACGCCTGACACCAACCCCCTTTCCCCCCTTCTCCAATCCCCCCTTATGTGTCTACATTTATGTACATTGAAAGACTACATTGTATAGCAGGTACCTTACCCAGACAGATAGACACCTAGGTGCCTAGGTAGCTCATAAGGCTAAGCCGGTGCCATCGCCCGTCCACCGGTACAGCGCCAGAAGTTCCCGGCGGCGCTGGTGTTGCTCGCCGAGGTCTTCGGGCACGCGGCCGCGGACTTGGGCGAGAGCACTGCGCATTACCTTGCTGAAGTTCCGCTATAGAAAAAAAAGGGTCAAGGTTAGCCAGATGTAAATAATAGTGATAAGTAGACATGAATAGGGGGGGAAGAATTTAAGAAAAGATAAGCGTGCTTACCTGATACTCCGTATTCAGCGTGACAACACACGCCTCATGCGCGCGGATGATCGTCTCACACGCGCGAACAACACTCGCCGAAGCCTCGAGCTGGAGCTTATCAGCGATGAGCAGCAGCAGGAACGAGCCCTGGAGGAGGTATATGCCGAAGAAGAAGGGCATGAACTCGAGGCCCGGGTCGTACTCGAGGATGTTGCTGATGGCCTCGGCGGCCGAGACGGCGTGTCCGGTCGCGGTGATGAAGCCCTGCGACGAGATCCAGAGGTCGTTGTCGTCGAGGAGGTTGATGGGGTCCCATTTCCCGGTCAGCAGGATGTGCAGCACGTGCATGACGTGCGTGCCGTACGACATGACGATGCGCGTCTGGATGTCCGACTCCGTCATGCGCGAGGAGCTCGTGTGCACTGAGCGCCCCGACGGCGAGCCGATCTGGTCGAGCTCCGATGGCATCTCCAGCGTGGCCGCCTGCTCGTTCTTGTCCTCGGAGCTGGCGTTGAAGTGCCGCTGCTCGAACTTCTTCAGGCTCTGCTCGTACGACTCGAGGTGCCGCACGATCTCCGCTTGCTGGTCATCCCATTCGCGCGCGGAGCGGAATCCGATGCCGAACCGTGGGTGGTTGCGCGCGTGGTGCAGGTCGACGATCTCGCCCAGAATAGTCATCAGGGGGAGAAAGTAGCCGAAGATGCTGTGGCCGGTGCATTCGAAGTGAGGCCCCCGAACCCGGCTCCCATCGGGTCCGGATTGCTCTGCCAAGGCCGGATCTGTCGTGCTGGAGTGGAAGTTCCCGTTTTGCCATTCGGTGTCATCCATGGGCTGGAGAAGACCCTCGCACTCGATATCCAGGAGGAACAACGGCCGGTTGTAGCATAGTGCCAAGTGGCGGTCCACGACATACGTGAGCCACCAGATACGCCTTCGCTCTTCGCGCTCCTCTTCGCTGACGGTTCCGGGGGTCGTGTTGTTGCCTAATCCATCCTCTGTCTCGCCGTCTGCATCGACTTCGTTTCCACTGTTTCCTTGCACCATCGAAGGAGGGCTATACGGAAGTTCTCGGCCCAGCTTTAATTCTCTCGCCAAAGACCACGCGGCGTTCCACCACCGGAGGCTAGCTCCCTTATATTCGCTCGCTGAAACTACGGTAGCTAGATGGATATAAGTGACCACGTCGTCTAGTGTTCCCGCAGCACCGAAAGCCCCGGATTCTCCCGTCAGGTTTTCTAAGCTCATCGAACCGGGAAGAGCAACTCCCAACCCCCCTAATGCCACACCGTCTATTACTGGACTAGAGACGGGCGAAGCCTCTCCTGACGGCGTATGGATCAATGGCTTAAGCAGGTTAACAGTCAGCTCGAGAAGTTTCTGGCATATTTTACCCCTGGCAGAGGGAACGCTGGTTAGGAATGGGGCGTCGCTCGTTTGTGCTGCCACCCAGAGCATACTTGCTAATAATGCTGGTTGGCACTGGCGCGACTTGCTCGGGTGTAAAAAGGACCGTTTTCGAAAGACGAAGCCGAGAACGTAAGGTGACATGGGGTGTGCGTGAGCTGAGGATGAGCTAGCAAAATACAAATCGATCAAGTCACAAGCCAGCGAAACGGGAATGATGTTTCCGAGATGGGGTATCAGTGGGTTGAGAACTGGGTACCTCAGCTGGTGGTGATAGTTGTTTTGCGGAATGTGGGATTGGAACTGCGGAGGAGGTGAGGACATCGACATCCATCCCGGCGACGTAGGCTCCCCACCAATGGGGTATGCGCTGAGCGGGCTAGTACCTATCCGAAACGTCTGTTGAGGGTTGGTCGAGTAGCTAGGAGGGCTTTGTGTCTGCAGTCCATAAGGAATCTCGGGGTAGTTCGAGGAGAGATTGCCTTGATTAGAGCCGTATCCGTTGTGTGTTGGTCCCCCCATTAAATGTCCCATGACTGGCCTATCGTATGGGTTCTGAACGTTCCCATATCCATTCAGATCTAAAGAAGTAGGGCTGTCGAGTCTGTCCCCATCCATTCCTCCTGGGTGCCCTGTCACATGAGGTTGATGAGAACTAAGATCTGCTAAACTGTCAAGACTTCCCGTCCTTTGGCTGCGTTGGATGGCATCTTCGTTGATGTCGTTGAGCGCCTTTTCACTGGAGTTCGTTTGCGACTCTGGCTTTACAGAGGACGTACTATCCGTTTGATGCTCTGCGGAAGGCTCGTTATCGTCATTCGGATTTGGCGATTTATCTCCATTCTGGGCGGCAGAGGCGGCGGCCTGGGCCGCAGCTTGCTGGGCTAGATCCTTACGAGAGGCTTTGCCTCGCTTCTTTCGCTCTCGAATATACTCACAGCCCAGTCCAAATTCTGGCACCGTTAGTTTCTTCGGTTCAGACCTAAAGTATCTCGGTAAAGTCACCAACCTATGCAATGGGCACAAGGGTGCTGTCCATCACACTTAGTCCTCAGTTGATTGCATTGGTCGCACGCCCTGCTTATCCTTCTTCTGATGGGGCCAGCTGTCCCAGTGGCCCTCGTGCTCGGACCCCCATAAGGATGTTGGCGGTGCTTAGGTTGTGGTGCTCGGGCTAGATGAGGTGCATGAACTCCTACGTGTTGTTGAAGGTGCTGAAGAGTATACTGCGATCCGTGGCCGAAGGTTTCTAGACTAGCGGCGTGGAGGTGGCCCCCAGGCACATGAGCATTCGAAAGCAGTGTATTAGATGGCAATGCATGGTACGGAGAAAACCGTTGAAGTGGATTAGACAGCATGTTCGCGTACTCCGTGATGGCGAATTTGACCTGATTTACTTGAGGTGAAGATAGGAGTTGATCCGTCGATGATCTTGTCTAACCCTGAGTATTGTGAACGATAGACAACTTCGAACGAGCGCAAACAGTTGGGTGAAGCATGAAAGCGTCTAAACCGCATGGAAGCTTGACTTGTATCGGGGAGGCGAGAGATAGTTTTAAGCTATATTCTCGTCGAAGGCCTGTTGTCTCTTGCAGCTCTTGGCAGACCGTACCTAGCCTTTCTAGACAGCGGTACTTGGACGGCCCGAAAGCCTTTCACTGTGGGGATCTATCTGGAGGTATGATGAGTATGAGCATGACATTATGTTTAACAGCATAGGGGTCCCCAAAAGGGTCAAAAGTGATCGCCACGTTAGGTAGTATAAGAACGGCACTGCCTTGCAGAGAAGCATGTGGCGGGGTTGGAGAGGCAAGAGTAATAACGAATCGACAACGGTTCTTACGCAAGGATGTACGGAGATTGAAGGTGAAGATACAGAAAGAAACGAGCGTTGTTCCACAGCACCCGTTTGTGAATTAGACTCACTGCTACTCTGGCTGGAGACCTAGCAATAGTAGCACTATTAAGCATGGAACTACCAGAATATTCGGAGGGAAGGTGGACTAAAGGAAGTATAGAAAAGGTCTCATCTAACCAAGGCAATCTCTGTTTAGGTCTGGAGGACGAGGGCAAATAAAGTCTGCGTCCTTGGCATGCAGACAGAGAGAGGTTCTTGCTTGTCTCTGTAAATTCGATTGGAGAACGAGTACTCCTTTTCATCGGGGCAATATAGACAAGCGCAAGTATATTGGCGACGTAATATACAACGGCGGAACAGAACAAGTCCAGGGCGATGGAGTGACGAGATGGGGATAAGAGATGTAATTTTTGGTCATTCTGGTAACAACCCTTCCTGGAGGAGTCCTCCCTCGGGCTATTCTTCTATATGACCCGCTTTCTCACTTGAGTGAATGACATGGGGTTTGACGGGGTTGCAGAGACAGAGAGAGGGTACAGGGGGGGTTAGGGGTTATACAGACGACAGTATTTCACGTAAGAAAAGGATAGTAAGGTCACTCACTAGGACCGACTAGGCTACGATGGAAGAGATCTCGGGGCATGCTATTCCAGTGCCGGCCCACACCGGTGTAAACTCCTGAGAATTAGGAAAATGCTTCATTTTTTGACGCCTTTCAACTCAATGAAGAAACAATTAGACATGAGACCTACTAGCTGAAGTTCGTAAGATAGAAATTTTTGGTAATGTGGGTTGCGTTGATAGAAATGACGAGGTGGATGGATGGCAACATAATGCGGTGTTGCAGCCTCATCCCCGTAGTTATCTAATTCGCGAGGGGCCTTCTCGCCGTCTAGGAAGTTTTTTTTTAAAGCACTGAGACGTAGAGATGATCTAGCACGCTCTTCCTTCATTAGGGCTGTCTGTGTTAGTAGACTCTGTACTGGCAATTCGGAAGATGGTGGAGGGGGAGGAAGCGCGAGTGACAGCCAAGGGTGCTTCATGACTGGACTGTGTCACCCCTGATACCCCAGCTATACAATTATTGCTAGCCTTGGCGAACATGGAGACTCGCGAACTTCCCCAAGCCGAACGGAAAGCAACTTCATATCCGGCCACCGTGTCGCCGAAGGGTTGTCGTCAGTTTAGTTTTGAGCGTTTTAGGTAATAATACCTATAATATCTCGCTTTATTGAAAATCAGGGACCTGAGTAGGTAGACAGATACATATTAGAACGGACTCTAGTTTCAAAGGTGCCGGCGGCAGCGGCTACTTTGGATGCATTCTAGTGCGAGCGAGCTAGGTATTCACCTTTTCCAGAAAGGTAGGTATATAGTATTCTGATGACGATCCCCAGGTACTAACCTATTGTTCTCCACATTCTCATTCTCTATTCAAGGCGATTTCGTCTCTTCTGATCCCTGGCAACTTTAGAAACGAATAATAATTCGTGTTCGTATAGTTGGTTTCTTATAGGTTAGGTTAGAGTATTTACATACTATGTAATAGAGAAAGAAGTAGGCAGTCGAGTAACCTAGGTAGGTATGCAGTTATACAAAGTAAATCAATAATAATTAGCTTTAGCCCTAATTTCCCCGCGATCTCACTAATCAAGATGAGTGATCGTAGGTGGTCGTACGGGGAATATGGCATGATAGGTAGGCCAGGTAGGGAGGTCAGGTAAACCTCGGCCTGCCAGTGTCTCGTAAATTTCAGTCCGGCACACACCACTTAAAACCCCGTATTCGGTAATCGGTGGGTAACCTTAGTGTAGAGAGCGCTGGATAGGAGACATTGATGATTGAAAGTAAACATTTTTAAGGTGTAGGGTTGCAATATGATAATATGATCCAAGGCCAATCCCGTCTAGATGCAGTTCTTTACTGATTTGAGGGTTGTGAAGTTGTCAAATGTGACAAAAGCTTAAAAAGTTGTAGACAGGACTACTAGGTATCAATGTACCTAGGTTAGTAAACTTGAATGGTCTGTGCACACAGTATCATATCTACGTAGGTTTACTGTGTTACTCACTTCTTACGACATGAATACATCCAATATTACGTAACTTGTGCACTGTATATTAATCAGGTGCTAGCTTTGGTAGTGTATCTAACCTAACCTTAGGTACCTACATTGCACTTCTCCAAATAATACTAGTAGTACCCAAACTCATCCATCTTCAATCTTCTCTTCGCCAATTATTACACTGATTTATACCCCAGATCTAGGTATACATACCACATACATATCATATACTGTTATATCCAAGTGCTTATCTACGTACATGTGCATACGTCTATTCCTAAGTTGATGCATTAAAGGCCGAAATAGAGACGAGCTACCCTGTTACCAACATGATCGAGGCTCCAGATGTCTTAGGTAATGTTAGGTATGTAGTATAAACAATATTCCTTGCCTCAAGTTAAGATCATGACAACATCCCAAGATCTCATATCATACCGTAACATGCGCTTCATTGCCGATGTCTGGGAAAGCCAACATACCGAATACCCTCGGCAGCGTATGAGATTCTCGGGAGTCTCAGAGTTGGTATCCTACTGCCTACTTGGGAAGGTAGTTGAATATTCATGACAAGATGAGAGACGATGCAGCTAACCTTTCCATAGGGTTTCCTAAAGTTAATGATTGTCTACCTAGGTACAGATTAAAATTGTCCTAGGTTACCAGACTTGACCACATAGCGGATGTGCTTGGCACGTCTCGCTTATGCATGCACAGCAATATATATTATACCTACCTACCACATTCTTGGCGTTTGTCTCTTAGAACTAAATTTCCTCTTTTCATACCATTATCAATCCTACCTAGGTTAGGTATGTATATCGAGTCTTGAATTCCCTAGATAGGTACTTGTGTGTATCCATGATGATAGAACAACAACTATTCGGTACCTGCCTGCACCTCCTAAGGTTAGGTCACATCATAGGAGGCTACCGTGGTCGATTTGATGTGCTGATTGGTCTTGAAGCTGGAGAGTCGAGCCGGATCTCGGCCCCCCTAGTCGTCAACGGTGGCCGGACCGAAATTCCCTTTTCGTGCACCAGTTTATCGCAAAGGTCTCCTATTGGTGCTAATGCCAGAACCCCCGTTTGATTTAATTCCACCAATGGATGATCATGTTTCTTCACCATATACAAAGTAACCAAATATTGACAGAATGTCACCTGACACAATCCCTCGAGACGTCTACAATACCATTATATATAGCTACGAAGACAGGTAGGTTAGGTAAGTATCTACCTATATTTCGGCGCCTCACGTTCGACGACGTACTCATACTCCTAACCCCACAAAACCCACATCATCAGTTTTATCATCATGTAGAAGGATGATATACCCTTCCAACATCACAGCCGGAAGCCGTCTTAGGTCTTCAAAGCGTCAATATCCACCACAGGGGTAGTAGTGTTTATTTTACAATACTCGAAAGTGAACAGGAGTTAGATAAGTCGTATCAAAGCTAGGGGCCATATTCTCCGACTGGCTGCTTTGGAACGATAGAATCCGGGGATGAATACGCTACTGTAGGAACTTTAACTCCCAGTTACAACCGCGACTGTGACCACAAGCCCTTGCCGTATGGCTCAGGGAAAAAAGGGCCTGTCATTCGCCAAAAATGCAAAAGAAAAAAGCATGGTAGGAGTTTGTCATGTAATCCTGGGCCTCCTCGGAGTGCCAGAAGTTTGGGTAGACGAGACTCCACTGGCACCCAGTACTCGATACTTGATTAAATACCTACTTGGGAGATTTATCGAGTAACGAAAACCCGTGATCTCTAACTACCACTACCTAGGAACCTACCTATATGACAGTAACTAGAATTGCACATTCGCAGCTACGAAGTGTCCCCGTGCCAAGGAGCCTAGGGTACAATCCAGCAGGCACAGCAATTAGAGACGCTGGGACTAAGAACGGAACCAGGACCGACTTCCCACTAACATCGAGGAATATCGACACTCCCTTTATACTATGAGACCAGCCAGGGATGTAACGGGTTCGAATCCCTTCCCCTTATTCATGACAATGGTATTCATTTCATACTTTGAAAAAAATTCAACGATGCCGACTTCCGTTGCTTGTTTTGGCGGAGGATATTCCGGCGCTTATTCTGCTAGCGAAGAATTTGCCGCTGCATGCTAGTATTATAAGCGCGGCATCTATAGAGTTTGAGACATAGGCTATTCTATTGTCAGTTCCAAAGACCAGGTATCTAAGAGTTCGGTAGACATACGTACCTTAGCTACTAGGTAGGAGGTCGGTAGGGAAGTCTGGCGGCTGTTTCCAAATTCACTTTAGTAACATAGGGCTACTAGGTATATGAGTCAGTGACAGGATGCTGAAAGGGGTATACCTAGGCACATGACTCCTTCCCAACCTACCTATGAGGAGATGTAGAGACTGGATTACTCATCACACAACCTACCTACACTGCTGCTGCCCCTGAACCCACGATCGGTTCTCGCACGAACAAAACCAGGTTCGCAAGGCGAGTATCGCAATATCAATGGCCAGACTTGTGTTTCCAAGGGGATCGTGTATCTTGAAAACCAGTGACGGGTCTCACATGATGTTACCTCTCTTCCTATCATTGCGGCTTCTCTCCCGTGGCGATCAGGCCGGAAGAAAGGAGGCAAATAGATTGTTACCACGTGCCTTTCATCCCCCCTTTGGCTTTTTGGGGGCCGAGTCAAAGTACAGGCGTGTCCGGAGTTGGGTTACAGCGGGAGCAAGTCAACGCTGGATGAGGACTACCTACCTACCTACATATTACCACGACACAAGGTCCAAGCCTAAGAAGAGGCTGCCACGAGCCGTTTCTGACAGCATACCGTACTCGCATCTACTAGGTTAGTAGGTACTCCAAGGAAGTCGGAAAATAGTCTGTAGAGATCTACAGTCTACAGCACGGAGCTATGTGATCCAAAAGGCGATTTGTAGCAAGTGATGAGCGGACCCTTATGTGGTCAGGATTATAAAAACGACGAAAGATTGACATTATTGTGCATTTCCCAATGGTCACATATACCGGACACACAGGTACGCATGCCTTGTCAATATGCAATATGCAATGCAACGCACGAAGAGATTCTACCTTAGTAGTACCTAGAACTTTTCTCTTTTCGAGCATTCATATGCCGTTTGAGGAGAAATGCTACGAAGATGGTTCTCTCCTACTACTACTACTATGTAGGTAACCTTGGGTAGCTAGCATATTTCGGTGCCTGCAGGAAAAGAAATGCAGAGTGTGTGTTTGACATGTCATGTCCAGGTTTCCCTAGATCGTGCAGGTGTTCCATGGGCAAGGTATGCTTGCAGGTGCCCCCAAGGCTTAAAGCTCCCGATTTCCCGCCCGGTATTTGGTGGAGGGGCAAGGGGCAAGGGGGAGACGGGACTACAAGCTATACAACAGTACCAGAGTATTCGCAAAAGTAGATCTACAAAAGCGGAATGTTACCCCAGAAATGGCAGCTTACCTCCCAAATCAGACGTTCCCTCCGAGAGGCTGCATTCGCTTCCTGGTCGTTTTCGGCAGACTACGATCTGGGGTAGAGACAAGAAGAACCTACAGTCAACAAAAAACAACCCCCCCCCCCCCCCCCCCAGAATGAGAATACCAAAAAAAAAAGAAAAAGAAAGACTTCATTCACACTAGACTCAAGACATCCGAGTTCCTGTAGATCGAGGATGCCAGACATACATCTCGCGAACCGTTTTTTATCTAATTACCACTGCACTGACTCCGGAGCAAGCAAGCAACCCTCCACCTACCTCTATCCTCTACTTCTTCTACAGCCCGGCCGCCCTCGCCCCATGCTCCGGTTCGACGAGATAGCCAACGGACCATGTAGCTTCGCGCCCCCCTCCCCCCGAAACTCTGATACACCACCGTTTCCAGCAAAGATTGGCGCTGGATGGTTGTACCCCGGCACGATAAAGCGTCTTGGCCCAGCCCTTATTTGGCCAGCTCGGAACCATCTAGATTCCTCCATGACCGAAAAGAAAAGCTTCTTGCCATGCTATGTTTTTTTTCTCTTTGTGCTCTCAACCCTAGGTATCGACCACTTCATATGGTATGGTATGGTATGTGAGAGTGCTGTTTCTTTTGTATCACTCTGGTCGAGGTAGTAGAGGGGCCATCGCTCACCCCTTCTACCATAGCTGGAGGGGGCGGGTCTCCAAGCAAACTCCCCTTAACCACGAGCCTTATGGTATGGGTTAGGTACTCATCTCTTTACTACACTTTGCTCGCGGCTCAGATGATCACTCACCTTGCCACAGCAATGACCCTTGCTATCTACGTAGGGAGGCAAATCATCAATATACGAGACGTGATCTAGACTCCAAGGCACCTAGTAGGTACCGCTGATCATGCCATCGCCACCCCCATTACAGGTCCATTAATGTTTCTTCTCCATTGAGGGTTGAACAGTATATCATATGGGCATTGTCTTACACTGCGAGGTACAAGGTAGCTATCTACCTACCTAAACTGGGAGCTTCCAATTCTTTTCCAAAACACCGTGTACCGCCACATCTTATGCGTGTGACATGATACTATCAGACTCCTATTCTATCATTTCCATCCTAGGAGTATCAATCCGCAGCCACGTCCAAAGAAGCTTTCCTCCACAAAAACTCAAGGCCCACTAGACTCCATTTTCTGATAGATGCCGGCGAAAATCTGGGGGTGGATCTCTTGAGCTTGTCTTGGTTTTTCTTATACCTTTCTTGGGGCTTCTTGGCCATCATGGCCCTTGTGGCTCGTACCTACCTACATTAGCTACTAGATGAAAAGGGGCTAAGTCACTTGGTAAGATGCCACCGATATCATGAACTGTGATGTTTGCAATTTCATAACCCACCCTGGACGACGGTCTCGTAATTTGTTAATTTTGTAGGTCAGCATGAGGCGACCAACTACCCAGATTAGTACTCATCAACGCTACCATGTGAGCTTTCGTATCTTTGAGATGGATAATCTAGAAAAGGCATATGTGTGAGATAATCAATAGGTAATAAGGGCTCAACCCATACAAACGCTACTAATATGCCGATTTGTGAGTAACTCCATTTCCATCCTTAAAGACGCGAGTAGACGAACATGAAAAGTTGAATCAGTGGAGTTGATATATATTTGGACGGTCATAACCTGCTCAAACCGTCACCGGGACTTAAACCCCTCTCATAAATCGTTAGTAGGTACTGCGCCAACCAGGCTGAAAGAAAAGCTCGTAATGCATGGTGGATTGCCATGGCGCCCCTATACTTCTATCCCATTTTTCAGCATCCAACCTAACCCAGCCAACGCAAGATAACGCATAAACCTGTGCATTAACCCAAGAAAACCACCAATTTCATTTTTACAGATGTACAGCTTAGATATACCATTCACTCCTCCAAGTTCGCTAGATCCCATTCATTCATAGAAGCAGACAGGTTGTTGAGGCTGTCGAAATCAAAGTCCATGGGGGATACCACGGTCCGCCCGTTAGTGTTGGGCTGTGAGTTTGATGTGAATATAAACATGGAGGGATCCGATACATTTGATCCGGACGGCCCACTGCCCATATTCCATGTATCGAAGCCAGATTGCCAATTTACACCGTCCTTGAGGTACCAATCTTGTCCGTCGACCGCGTACATGGAGTTTGGGGCTTGTGTTCTTCTTGTGTTTTGAGATTCTGGATTGGATGCAGTACTGGTTGGGATTGCAACATAGCTCTGAGCATAGCTGAGAGCAGGTTGAGGTATTGGCTGCTGATGCCACGCTGGGTTGCCTAGTCTATCGGTCTCTAGATTCACTGGATTGTTCATCATGGCTACATTATTAATCATTTGTTGTGGTGCTTGCATATCTTGTTCAAAATTGGAAGGTGGAGAGTTGATGTTTTTCATCACCTTGGGCGACGAAACCGGTGCTGAGTTGACTGCTGGGGATATGGCAGAATCTGGGGTATTCTGCCCTGGAGGGCTATACGCAAGTTTCCCTTGTGGCGACATCGAGGCTGCAACTGGTTGAGGGGTGGACATGGAATTATGTGACCGAGGCGAGGGAACGTCGGATGTCTTGAATGTGCCCCATTTTTCATCCGTACGCCGTAAAACATGAGAGGCTTCTTCAGGAAGTTCGACGTTCCACTTACGAGCAAGAACGCTGATGATGCTAAGGGTCCGTCGGCCACAGAGCCAATCTTCGGCGATCTCTTCGAGGTGTTTCACTCCATGGATGATGTCCCTCTTAGCAGTTTTCTCGGGAAGATTGAGGATGTGGATAGTGCAAGCAGAGTGTAACATGTACACTGCTATATTACAGATTTGACGGAGGTTGTACAATTTCTTATACAGTCTCATCAATTTAGAGATAGCGCCGGCATTTGCAGTGCATATTCTCCTTGGAGAAACATGAGACGGTAGCGGGGATGTGCTAGGAGAGTATTTGAGAAAAGGGCGGAAAAGGTGAATATACTGAAGATGAAAGAACATACTTGAATTTGTCAGTAGAAATATCCACATAGGACAGGAATATAGACTTACTGCATTAGGATGGCGTTGGGTAACTGCCCCTCTTTGGGTTCAAGTTCTTTAGGCAAATCCGTCCGCCAGTCCTCAAGGCGCCGATGTAATTCACTCAGTTTCTTCAGCTCAACAGACTTGCCGCTTGACCGCCCTATGTGGTTCGGGTGGTAAAAGAATAGAAGAAGGTCGCTACTGATCTCACACAACTTGGACAACTGTAAGCCAATCGTACGAGTTCGTGAGGGCTGTTCGACTAGCCGGTCAAAGCCAGCGTCCGTGTATGGACACCAGGGCTCGGCGTCTTCGTTGGGGAAAACATCATATTTGGGAACGCTGTAGGAACTCTTTGGCAGCTGTGGGAGTCGACCTAGGTAATTTGACCAGCATTTATCGAATAAGAAGCAGCCCCAGAAGGTAACCCTTCGCGCATCAATCTCTTGTTCGTCTAGATTCTCGTTGTCGGCCCAGCCACCGATATCCAAGTTCAGTCCCAAGTCTTGTGCCATCCTAAAACTCATACCACTATACACCCAACCCTTGGCCTCTCGCCCACAACCGGCTTCTCTAACAGACATTAGAGCTAAGGCCTGCACTGTTGTTAACCGTGGCTTTTCGTATTCATCATTGTCGACGATGAGTCTCTTGGCTTCAGCGAAGAAATGATCCCCTTTAGTCCAGCTGTCATCAGCCGTAGCATAGGCGCAAGGAGCGTCAGAAAAATGACATCCTAATGCGAGCATCGCGTTGACTAATAACGGCGAGCAATACGTAGTCTTATTGGGCGATATATGCGATTTTCCTTTCAGAAAGTCGCGATAAAATAGGGTTCGCGATAGAGTCGTAAAATAGGGGTAATGCCAGTTGAAGTACATGTCAAGCAAATGCTTGACAATCCCCCGATCCTTCGTAACATCTGACCAACTGGTGGTTGGATCAACATCAACCGCACTTGGATCTTGAGACTCGCATTCTGGATTTGACGCGCCGTGTATATCCCAATGTATCAAATGAGAAGTACCGCCTATGAACCTCATTGAACCGTTCTCCAGCCTTAGCTCCCCCATCTTACGAGCGAGGTCTCTCTCACCCTCAACGGGCATATCGGTGGCGTAGTCCGTCTCAACCTGCTCCTCATTTTGGACACCACCATTACTGAAATCTTCATGTTTAAGTATGGACTCGGCTACGGTATCTAAGCTATCGCAAGTTCGTATTCTCTTGACAATTTCGGGGACCTCGTCTTCGTCGGCGTTCAGTATGGCTTCGATGAGGATCTGAAGTGTGGAGTTCCGAGCTTTCATGCTATCGATCTTTTCTCGGTACACGCCTTTCCGACGGTGATCTGAATTAGGGTCGTAGATACATTCGGTGCCATACACGCTCGCACAAGCGGCACAACTGGGAAGTGCGCCATCACATTTGGACTTCCGGCGACGACAAGCTATACAGGCGCTATAAAAGACGAGGTTAATGGCAATCACAAGAAGTAGAGGACTAGGTTAAGGTTAGGCATATTTGGATTTACGTACGTGCTAACGCACCGGCGTTTTTGAGTGGATGGATCGCCGCCTCTCCTAGACTTCTTCTTAGTGGGGAGGGTAGAAGGATTGACGAAGGGAAGAGTCGAGGTCAAGGTCTCTTGTCGTAAACCCAAAAGATCGGGTCCATCCATGGTAACGTTATACTACCTACTACGTACCTAGCACGTAGGTCGGACAGGATAAGGCAGAGTGGACTCGAAAATGGTGTTGTTGCAAAGGGCAAACGCGATGGAAAGGTCGGGATTTCAGAGCACATGCAAGCTAAGACTCATAAGACATATGTAGATGTGACGATGATTTAAATTCCGGGGGACGGTGGGTTATCCGGTAGTTTGGGTCGATCTGAGAAATTGACCAATAGATGTTCAACGCTTTCCGACGCTGATGGATGCGCTTAATGGTATTTGGCTAACCGACAAGCAAGCAATCCTTTTGGTCTAATAGCACTTCTCGTCTCGGAATCTAAGGGTTTGAGTAGATAGCTACCTAAGTACTAGGTATGCGAAGAGTATCAAATACCTCTAACCTACATAGGTCGTACCGGTTCTTACCGAATGCCTAGACAGTGTAGTGTGGTATCACATCCGCTGATCCATTGAGACTGGCCCTTACTTAGGGAGGGAGGTATGTGGGGGAGGCAACTGGTTGCGATCGTTCAGCGACAGGAGATTGATCAAAAGCCGAGACCACTTAAACTAGTGTGAGGATTTCTTTATGATGAAAGCCATGGAAGCCAAGATGTGCATGAGTACGCCTCATGGCAAGAGAAAACCTGACAATACTCAATAGAACAGCCAAACAAGTATGTAGAAAAGCAAAGCACAAAATGCAGAAACGCAGAAACGCTCACGAATCAACGAAAGAAAGATAAGGATGAGCAAGATAAGTGGGTGGGCTGTGAATTAAGTAATCAATAGTCTCAGCCAATCATTATCTTTGTTATACTGGATACCTGTACTTGGGTACTATGTAGGTACATGTATGTACGGGTTGGATGTAGGTTATGTAGGTTATGTCAGCTCGGATGACTGCATAAGAAGCAAGTAGAAATAATGTTTGATATAGTTATCCGATTTCTATGGCATTCACCGTGGATGAACCTGCCTAGGTTAGGTAGGTTATGTAACACCTAGTAGTAGAGTAGATGACAGTCAATGACACTGGCCAGAGTATATCACTATATTTAGCTCAGGGGTATAGTCACTTACATGGTACTCAGTTTAGTTATATGCAGGTACCTAGGTTGGTCAAACGCTTGATTTCCAACTTCAAACATAGTCCTGTGCTCGTATCCTCCTCCGAGTATAGCGATGAGGGCTTGAGACTGTAGGACTATAGAAGAGTAACTTTATGGCTACTGGGTATAGAAACATGTATATATTTTAGGTATATAATCTCAGTTGCCAATGATTACCAAGGCAACATACATTATTATGTGACGTGAAGTGATGCGTATAAGACGAGTGAGAAAGGCTCAAAGGTGCTAGGGGGGCTGGCGGATGAGGCCTATATGTCTTGCGTAGAAGAGGCAATCAAATTTATCGGAACTCACAGAATGAAGCCAAAAATTTGGTATGATTGAGCAATACATGTAGTAAAGCAATAATCAGTTGTCTAATACTACTTCTGAAAGGTTGAAGATGAGAAGAGGTTAAAATGGTCCATCACTTCTTGCTGCGCTGATAGTCTGTGGCACCCAGCAGAAAACGGGTGATAGTCACGCAACGATACGCGTCGCTGGGTTCTAAGAAACACACACGCCGGTTCGGTGCCTCTTTCTGTCGTGGCCGTACCTTTAGGACGAATTCTAAGGCTAAATAGCCATATGAGGAATATGTAATTGGGTTTAAATCCTATAGGATCCCAATTCTAAATGACAATTCGCCAATATACGGCGTAGTTGCTGGATATTTGCTAGGGTACAATTGACCTGCTCAACTGTGTTATGTCAAGAAAAGCCAAGTTTTGATCCCTGGAGTGCTCGTGAATCAAGTAGCAGTGTTCGTCAATGGCCGGTTAGGGGATTCTGATCCTGGCGACGATGACCTAACTTCTAGGCATCCATACATCCTCGCCCACGAGTCTATAAATACGCGAGAGAGAGCACTAAAAGAATGTATAGTATATCTCCAGATTAGCCTTTTCAATCTTCTATCACGGCACGTTAGTAACCTTCGACCTATCTCGGCTCTCTCCAAAATAGCCACTATGCTGTTCACGAGAATATATTCGCTTTCCACCTTTGCTGTCGGAGCACTAGCCCTGAATGAAACTATCGCAGGCTATAAATACTTCTTGTCTGGTCCCAAGTTAGCCGGAAAAAAGGTCGAATATGAACACGCGGCCGCGGATACGGCGTTCGCTCTCCTGAGGAAGCGCCTGGGAAACGAGCCCCTCCCTGATCTCCCAGATGACAGTGTAGCGGCAGTGTTGAAACTGAAGCAGGACATTGGCACCGCTAAACTTAAGGAGCTCCTCGCACCTGACATGGATGAGGCGGACGCATTTTGGCACGATGTGATTCACAAGTCGGGGGACTCGTGGGTCTCTGCCGATGCCAGAGGAGTTGTCTTCCTTCCCAACGTAACATTTCTGTCCTTCGCCTCGTGGTACGCTTCCGACAGAGCGGACGCCGCGAACCTTGCCGCGAATCCAGAGCACTATTCCAAAGAAACCGTGTCAACCGGACTCGGTGGACTTTCATCCAAGATTCTGGAAGGTTGGGGCGGCGTGACCACGAACTTCAGTATTCCCAACTTCGGGTTGCCAGACCACATCAAGAACCCCTTTCTCAGACTGCTTCCGGAGTTCCCTGTCCAGCAAGCCGGCGACAAGGTGTTGCGCGACGGCACTAGATTCGGCGTCCTACATATTGCACTTCGCCCAGTCGATGGAAAGGACTATGGTCAGCCGCAAGAGGGATTCGAGATATACTCTACCATATGGTACCAGGACGGTGCCACTGACGACCATCTAGACCAAGAACGCCGGCACATGATCAACGAGATTGTCAACTTGACGCTTCAAGCTCAGAAGGACATCGAGTCTGGAGACTTTGTCCCTTCATGAGGGACAGGTATTCTTTCGAGGGAAATAGCATGCATTGTAAATAGAGATGACTATATTCAACGCGTAGGCTTGAAAGAGGATGTATATTTACTGAAATAGCCTGTATATAGACCTGCCGTAAATCTAGCGAATCGAATATAAACTATTGTTGGAATGAAGGGATAGCTGAATACTCGGTGGGACTTCTGTAACCAGTACTAGCCACCACTGTTAAGCGCCACGTAGTTTATGATGATCTTCAAGCACGAGTCCAGTTGCTCAATTCGGCCTTTGCCTCGGTTGTTCTGCCTCGGCTTACATGAGCAGCAGATCAATGAAGTATGTGCATAACTTTACTACTAGTAGTAGTTCCTGAATATGTATGTATGCTTTGCCACCGGTTCGACACCGCGCGTCTTTAGGAGACTTTCGGAGGTCTCGTTGAGGATAATGGCATTCATTTATTTGACTTGGGAAACTTCAAAACTTATGCTGGTTGTTTGTCGAGTAAAATCGAACAAATAAAAGAAGCAGATAACAGGCTATTAACAGCTGTAAGTTTAGTTAACCCAGTACCTAAATACATTATGCATATTTTCAGTAATTCCTGCATCCTTGCAACTCCAATAAAATATTGGCTTTTGGCTTTTTCCTGGGTTTGGTCCTAATTTTAGCGACTCGACCCGGTTTACTAGACCGAAGAACAGTTCAAGAACTATTACTAGTAGTAGGCTACCTAGTAACTAGCTGCTAAGAAGAGTAAGCGGTGAGAGGTATTCTGCCAGTCTCGTGCGTCACTCTAAGTTTTGAGCTCTTCCTAGATCCACAACAAGGTGCCACACGGTTTTTATTTTATTTTTTGCTTGCCTGCTAAAGCACCTCGGTATGCCCGGTTCCATCATTTGACATTGATATTGTAAGTACTAGGTACTAGATACTAGGCACTATACGAGGTAACTTCTGACTTCCAGTTATCACATGAGCTCTGGAGAGACATATTACTTGGTTACCACTACAAACTCCAAGAAAGTTGGTATATAAGAAGCTTACATGTGCCTCTAAACTTTGAGAGCTCCTAACATCTACTCATATGAAAATATACTGTCGATTAAGATTCACCATAACTTCATCTTACTCATCTTACTCCTCCTCCTCCTCCTCCTCCTTCTTCTTCTTCTTCAGACTCACCAACACCCCTAGAGTTTCACAGAAATCATTCCTCTATTATACTCTACACCCCTCTCTACATTCCTCGTCCCGATCTTCTCACACCATGACCTCGGGACTCTTAAGCGCCAACGGCGCCAGCAAGAAGCATAAGGTGACGGTGATAGGTTCTGGTAATTGGTGAGCGCATTCACCGCCTGATTTGTATATATATGTATATATATATATATATATATATACCATATATATCGTATATAGGTACATCTTACTCTAGGGACTAATCAGAAATATTGCCATATTTTAGGGGTTCGACGATTTCCAAGATCGTTGCCCAGAACACCAAAGCTCACCCCGAGCTCTTTGAGGAGGAGGTACAAATGTGGGTGTACGAAGAAGACGTCACGTACGACGACAAGCCACAAAAGCTCACCGAAGTGATCAACACCCACCACGAGAACATCAAGTACCTCCCCAACATCAAGCTCCCCGAGAACCTACACGCAAACCCCTCCCTTGAAGACGCCGTCCAAGGCTCATCCATTCTCATATTTAACTTACCACATCAATTCATCCACCGGATCTGCGGGCAGCTCAAGGGCAAGATCGTCCCCTTCGCTCGCGGCATCTCCTGTATAAAAGGCGTGAACGTCACCGATGAAGGGGTCGCTCTGTTCTCGGAATGGATCGGCGAGGGCCTAGGGATCTACTGCGGTGCGCTGTCGGGAGCGAACATTGCGTCCGAAATCGCGGCCGAGAAGTGGTCCGAGACCACGATTGCGTACGACCCGCCACCAATGGATAGCTCGCGCAACCCATCCCGCACCGCCACACCCCGCTCTACAACCCCCAACCGCGGCTCGCCCCGCGCCTCGGCCGATGAGCTGAGCATCACCCCCCTCGCTGACGTCCAGCACCGGGACGTCCGCGGCAGGATCAGCAAGACCAAACTGACCCCCGTCCCGCCCGAGTACCCGCCGCTCGACCACGACACCTTCAAGACGCTCTTCCACCGCCCCTACTTCCACGTGCGCATGGTCTCCGACGTCGCGGGCGTCTCTCTCGGCGGCGCCCTCAAGAACATCGTCGCCCTCGCCGCCGGCTTCGTCGACGGCCGTGGCTGGGGCGACAACGCCAAAGCGGCCATAATGCGGGTCGGACTCCTCGAGATGGTCAAGTTCGGGCACGAGTTCTTCGGCGAGACGATCTCGACGGGCACCTTCACCGAGGAGAGCGCGGGCGTCGCCGACCTCATCACGAGCTGCAGCGGCGGCCGCAACTTCCGCTGCGCAAGGAAGGCTGTCGAGAAGAACATCTCCGTCCAGGAGGTCGAGCAGGCCGAGCTCAACGGCCAGAAGCTCCAGGGCACCAGCACCGCTGCGGAGGTCAACTCGTTCCTCAAGAAGAAGGGCCTCGAGCAGGAGTATCCACTGTTCACTGCTGTTCATAATATTCTCGAGGGGCGGCATACTGTTGACGATATTCCTGACCTTGTCGCGAGAACTTGAAAAAGATAATTAAATTCTCTTGTAGCCGTCTTTGTGGCGCATAGGGTTGGAAATTGGCCTTGGGGGTAGGGGGGATAGATAGGGAAGGGGAAAGGGAACACGGACGGTTCAAACAAAGCGCATGATAGATGGATAGGCATAATAGGTAGTGGAATTATTTATCGTACCTAGGTAGATACCTGAGCCAAATCAGAAAGAAGTAACATTTATTCATATTCCAGATTCATATTGATTGCTACTACCTACCTCCTCTTAAGCGCAATATGGCCCACCTACCAATCTGAAAGCAAAGCATTCTTCTCACCCCCCCAAACAGAGTTGTTTCTTATATTCGCCGTGTTACCCCCTCCCCGCCCCCGCGTAGTCCCCGTGCCATCCCCATCCTCATCCTCATCCTCCATCGTATGCTCCCCATCCCCCAACACCGGCTTAACCGTATCATGCGCCATCCACACCAGATTCAGCGCCACCGTCCCCACGACACCGACCCACCTCGGCACCCTGCCCCCTTTGTCCGCCAGCACATAGCCAACCAGCACCAGCAGCAGGAAAAACGGCACCTCGACGATCCAGAACAGCAGGCGCGCGACCTTCTGCCGCCGCGTGGTTATGGTGTACGGCTGCAGGCGGCGCAGGTAAGCCTGGTAGTCGTCGGGGAGGTAGTGCTCGCGCGCGCCGTCGCGGAGCAGGTTGAGGTAGCGCAGGCTCGGCTGCGCGCGGCCGGGGTCGGGGCGGCGGACGGGGAGGAGGAGGGTGCGGCAGAGTTTTTTGAGCTTGTCGGCGCAGTTGCCGCCACCATCACCATCACCATCACCGTCATCGGGAAGCGAAGGCAGCCGTGGCGCGTAGAGCATGTGCGCGACGAACGGGCGCGGCAGCTCGGGGACCGGCGGCTTCTCGGGGACGTGGATGGGCGGCGGGAAGGCGAGGCACGGGGCCAGGATGTCGTGGTACGCGGCGGCCTCTGTGCGGATGACCTTGGCGAAGTCCGAGCGCGTCAGCTCGTAGACGACGCCGTAGAGGCCCTTGGACCACGAGGGCTTGGTGTCGGGGGGTAGCGAGGGGAGGAGTGGCAGCGCTACGTTGGGGTCTTCCTCTTCTTCTTCTTCTTCTTCTTCTTCTTCTCCCACTACTTCTGCTTCAGTTGTATCGGGGTCATGCTTCTCGGGTTGTTTCCACCCTGGAGGTGGTGGTGGGAATGGGGGACTCGGCGGGTCGCCTGGAAAGGGTGGTTTGGGGATCTTGCGGGGCGTGGCGTTCGAGGAGCACGGCTCCCAGTATGGGAATTGCGGCAGGTCGAAGGCAAGGTCGAAGCCGGGCGCGGATACGTTGACCTGGCTTATGGGATGGATACCACGCATGCCGATGAAAGTTTGGGCGCAGAGGTTCGAGCCATAGGCCAGGTATAAGACGGTTGTGGACGCATCGTTATCGGGGGAATCGGCGGAGGCGAGAGCTAGCCTTTCGGGTGATGTCCTCGGGATGTTGGGGATGGAAGGATATGAATTCGGTGTTCGAGACCAGAGAGACTGGATTGAGTTACGGATCTGATTGATTAGGAAGTGCGATTGTTGCAGTGATTGTTGCAGTGATTGTTGCAGCGGATCTACCCGGTGGTATACTGGATGTCCTTGCTCCACGTCCCCTTGTTGTCGATCCATACTTTAAGGTATGTACCTGTGGGTACTAAGTCCGTACTATGAACAAACGCCAGTAGCGCCAGCTCGTTAATCTGAAATGACGAAGTCTAATGTATGGGGTTAAGTTACATAGAATTAGAAGTCTGAACTTGATAAACTATAATCTATAAGAAGGTGGTAAGTACGCTAGTATAACCTAGATAGATAGTTACTGAGTCTCAAGTGTTAAGATCAAGTTTGAAGTAAGACGATAACTACTAACCTTAGGTAATTAACCCCCACTTGTTTCAATGCTGCTATTAATAAGCAAGAGTACCTAGGTACCTATTGATAACATCTTTCTGTATCCCTCATTCTGTCCCCAACATTTTGTGTTTGGATAACTTTAAACTACGTCCCATGTCCTAGGTTTGGCGAAATATTCTTTCCTTGATGTTTCCATCTCTCTTCTAATAGGTGCATTTATGTTACGAGTAAACGAAACGCTTGACTCCTAGAGACTGTCCACGAACTCGCCAAGCAAAACTCACTTACCGGCCACACGACCACTCCATCCTATAGTCATCCTATAGTCACCGTTTGCTTTGCTAGCTGCTTACTTGTATAGCCCTAGTCCACGTCACCACGCATAGTCTTTACTCAATAAGAGTAAAACGCGTATTGATCATGCTTTGGTGATTGGTGATGGGATACCATGCGATTGCCCACTAACAAGACAATCCCTAGACTGTAATCTGCATGTCTCTGCTTGTTTAGCTTGTGATGTCATCTTTCCCAATAGCTTTCACTAATTCATGGAGAGCAAAAAGGCTATCAGGACCCTACCTAGGTAGGAGAGCCTAACGCTCTGATGAGAACGCAGCTCTCCAACAAGATCATGTCAACATCGCCACAGTCCATATCAGCCCAAAAGCTTCAAAGCCGGATTATATACCCACTTTTACGAAGTAATCATATACCTATATCAAATCAAGTTCTACACTTTTCCTCTTATCGCGTGCCAAGAATTCGAGAAATACAGCATTAATGTCGTCAACAATCAAATGGTGAAGTATGGATCGACACCACAAAAGTTTTGGCGAGGCTCATGGCTTTTGTATTGATCCAAGAGCCTGACATGCTTTTTTCGGCTGTATCGGAGATCTACAATAGTTAACCTGTCGGTATGGCACAAACCAAACCTTTGCTGTGGAGTTGTGCCAGTCTGAGACCAGGTATGTCCTTGCCCTCGATCTCGTGGCGGCAATGAGCAGTATCTTGATAATCCCCCAAAGTAAATACAATATAGGATCAGGAAAGATAATTGCCCATTATACGAAAGCCGTCTACCACGCTCACAAATTCACATGTGTTCTATCAAACCCTCCCGATAAAATTACATATGTAAGGGTTTCTTTTCGGTTCTGATGCTACGTACGACACTGAGACACTACCTAATAAAGTGGATGTCTTTCCAAGAAGGGAATGTGGATCCCCAAATACAGACATCTCATTCGTCCAATATATTTACTTCCAGGTTAGTATCACAGGGAAGGGCCGGGAAGACACAGCTTGTCAGCTTCAACCCTGAGAAGTATATTTCAGCCTCTTAATAATGTGTAAGTCGTTAATTGCACCTGTGAATAAGATCTCCATTTGCTGCACTCCCATAGGCTGATGGCAGGTTCCCTTTATACCTTTGATGTTGTGCTAATGCGGGTCTGCATCAGCGGACGTTGCATTGCCGGCGGTACGATGCAGGCCTCCCGAGTATACTTGCATTATTACTAGGTACTGCATATGTAGTGGTAGTGTATTAGTGGCCTACAACTTTATACCTACATTGGTACATCACGACTTTATTTTTCTTCTTTTCTTTTCTTTTCTATAATTTTCCCCTTTTGCTTTGGAAAAGAACAATCTACCGGGGGCTCGGGCATGTCTACGCCTCTGGGCAGTGTGTTCGGCGATTCGATCACTCAATGCCACGCATTGTGATTACCGTCTATCCCAGCCTACCTAGCCTACCTAACCTACCTACCTACAACTACCTAGCCCACCCACTTTGATGATCTACGGTGCATCAAATTTATAGCGTCCTCCATCACGTAGATACACGATGAGGGCCAGATCATTCCGTCTCACGGCATTCGCTCGCTTCAGGGCCCTCGCTTTCTTGGCACATCGTCTGGCAGCCACTTATTCAATCCAGCGATGAGTTCAGAAAAAATGTCGGTTGATTGACTCCGCGAAATATTTAAACCGTGGGCTAGTTAGTTTGTTAGTGGAGATCCATTGCCGTCCGTCCCTGGTGGTTTATTTATACAGTTTGGGCAGTCAGGCTGGTCTAATGGTAAGCTGAAATGCAGGCTTTGCCGACTACCACCCCCATGTGAAATAGACTTGCATTGTGGCTTTGAATCATCTCCTAGACTTCGATGGTTTTGCGTTAGGTAAGGTAGTTAGTTAAGTTGTTGTCTTGGTTTTGATTCTGTTTGTGTTTTTGCTTTTTTTTCGTTTTATCCTTCGGGCACGCCGTTTCTTTCCCCTATATCGTGTCTTTCTACCTAGGGTGTATCTATGTCTATCGAGTGAAGCTATCAAGAGGGAGAAGCTCGCGATATGGCGGACTTCTTCGGTGCAGTATTGCGCTTGATCTTCAAGGGAAAGCCACAAGAGGGCCGCACGGATGAGGAACAAGGAGGAAATAATGCGGAGTCCACGGCAGGTTTCGCTCCCCCCATGAACGCAACTGTGAACGGCCATCCCAGCGCGCTCCCTCACGGCCACCGAAGCTACCTCGTCCCCGAGGACGACGCCTTGACGCTCTTCCGTCTCATGGTGGGCATTAGCACCTCGCCCTACCTTGGGTATAGCGAATCCAGCCCTATCGGGACGCGCCCAGCGGCGAACATTGGCATATACGCACGCGTTGTCTATTCGGAGCAGAAAGCCAAAGACAGATACAAGGTCTTCTCGATCGTGATCAATGCTTGCTACTTCTTCCAGATTGTCGTCGCGGCATCAATTACAGCCATGGGGGCAGCCGGGGTGAGTCACGGCGCGGTAACGGCTTTTGGCGCCATCAACACGATCATCGCAGGGATCCTCACCTTCCTCAAGGGCAGCGGCCTACCCTCACGGCTCAAGTACTACGGAAACGAGTGGAAGAAGATCCGCGAATACATCGAGCAGCGCGAGCGCGACTTCTCGCGTGCTGGTTGCACGCTGGATGTCTACGAGGTCGTGGCCACGGTCGACCGGATGTACAACACCACCAAGCGAGAGATCGAGATGAACACCCCTGACAGCTACACATCTGTGACAGGAAATATGCGGAGTTTCATGAACGGAAGCCATGAGAAGATTGCTGCCGTCCACGCCGCGACGCTCGAAGAGCAGCTGAAAGGTCTGGAAAGCAAGGCACTGGATGTGAGGAACCGCATACATGAGCACGGAAAGGGGATAGGAGAAGACGTGCGCGATTTCGAGAAGACTGTGGTGAAGGAGGCAGAAGAACGAAAAGCGGCTATAGAACGTGAGGCTCGGGAACGAAAGGCAGAACTTGCGCGTACGGTTGAAGAGGGACACCGCGAGGTAATGAACCAGACGGATCAAGTCATAAGGGATGTGGGCGAGACACACAGGACGGCAGTGGGTGATATGAGGGCAGCAGCATCTGCGCAGGTACGAAGAGTCGCTGACAGCCTGAGCCATCACCACGAACCACACGAGAAGCTGGATAAATGACATACAGAAATGTGAATAAAGGTAGAAAGACGGGATACTTACTTGGTGGTTGAACATAAGCAACCTTAATGTCGGAGATGTGGCTATATGACTGTATCACTGTTGAAGCTCTTCCAAAATTAATCATGCCACTACCAGGTACCTTAGGTATAAGGTGCCTTATGTCCTCAGGTATGATGTGATGTCGGTGAATGGCAGGGATTATTCTGTCCTACCTATTCCGATGAACCCTATGGTCCATCTCGTGTCGTCTTTACAACTTTACTATATGCTTACCCACGCTACACACTGGTCATGTATATACCTACGCACGTACACAGGTATATTGAAGACAACACTTTATCAGTACTTGAAAAACGAGAAGCTTGACCTAGAAGCACGTTCTCGCCACCTTCAGACCTTCTTTCTCTCCCGCAACCGCAAAAATATATTACAATCCCGCCCTGGCTAAGAGATAAGCCGAACCTAGATCGGGAGAGGCTCAACGGATCCATGAGATCCTCCGAGTTTAAAGGCATCACGGTCAGCAAGTAAGAGAGTTTAACGCATGCCATAGGCGCATCTAAATTATTAATATGCACGTTGTGCGGTCTCTGCCCTCAACTCTTTTTTCTTTTTTCTCATCTATTGAGTACCACCGAGAGCAGTAAAAGAATACCAGTATCTAACAGTATCAAGAAAGCAGGGGGCCATTGTGAACTCCTTTCCTTACTTTAGGAACGCAACGCCGGTAAGATACAGTGCACACACAGGCAGAGGTCCACGCGCATAGTCCAGAGCGAAGACAAGCACCGTGAAGAAGAGAAGAGAACGCCCACACAGTACTTTCTTTTGCCTATTTATTCAGCATTCCCCTGGCGCAACAACTGCCCATAACTATTTCTACCACAGTGGGAGATTCGTCTTTACAACACTAACACGACACAACCACAGCACAATCCAAAGACTTCACTTCCACCATAAAATACCACTCCTTCATTAATCGTCGTCTGAATAACACCCAACTGGTTCAATTACGGTTACAAAAGTATCTTGCCATAAGCATTATTATTTAATCCCATCCTCAGACGGTGTCATAGACCTAAAGGACAGCGACTACCATCCCACAAACACGGGATTCAAAACCACGTTGCATCATTTCATCACCTCTCCATATCTTTCCTTCTACCATCCATTTGGTAATCTTAACCAAACAAACCCATCACGATGTCTTCTGCTCGCAAACCACTAATCCCCAAGATAGTCCTCACGCCATCCACCCCCGACCCAGAAACCAGGCACGCGTGGTCCGACACTACTCACTGGGCCGACACCACGCTGCAGGACCGGGCCATGGACGAGGACATCCTCATCTCGCGCGCCGGGTCCCGCAAGCCGACGTATGCGGATACGGCGCTGAGCAGATTCCAGACTCTGCTCCTCGACGACAACAGCAACAACAACGCGGAAAGCAGCACCGCCAACAGACCACGGAGCAGAAATACTTCTAGGAAGGAAGCAGGCTCCAATGAGACACGGGGAAAAGATCAGATGAATGGAAAGGAGAAGGGGAAGGAGAAGGGGAAGGAGAAGGAGAAGGGGAAGGAAGCGGGCTCCAATGAGGCCAAGGGAAAGGATAAGTCAAAGGGAAAGGAGAAGGGGAAGGGGAAGGGGAAGGAAGCGGCAAAGGTACACACCCTACCTCTAGGCCGCGCCGCCTCCCTCTTTGGCGCTACCACACACAAGCCAGGTACGAGCACGCAGATGTCTGGTCTCAACGACGAGAACCACCAACACCGACGCCAACTGCCCAAGCAGCGTGAGATGCCCAAAGACCTCTCATACACCCCCTTCGAGGCCAAGCTCCCCAACCCCGCAAAGACAAAGCCGTACCAGCGGATAATCGAGACGCGGAAGCAGCAGCAGCAGCAGCAGCAGCAGCAGCAAAGACGGCATCCCCAAGAGAGCAACGACAACGACATCGCCATCGTCATCGCCACCGCGGCCTCCGCCCCCTCCCCATCCTCCACCTGCTCCACCTCCTCTCCCGCCACCCCACTCCTCCCCACCGATGCCCTCCTCCCCAGCATCCCCGAAGCCCCCGAGCTCCACCCCTCCCCCTCCCCACCGCAACCGCAACCGCAACCGCGCTCCCCCTCCCCCATCCAACCACAACCACAACCCCCATCCCCCTCTCCCTCCACCCCTCCACCCCCCTACCAAACCACTCCCCCCTCCCCACTCCCGCGCACCCGCCCAAACAGCGGTGCCCTCCCCTACTGGCGCGACGCCGAGTCGCAGCGCGCGTGGCAGGCCGAGCTGGCCTTCAAGCTGGTGCACACCAAGCACGCGCAGCTGGACGAGGAGCAGGGGCCGCTGGGCCGGGGCGCGCGCCGCCTCGTGTGCGCCAAGGAGGTGGAGCTGTGGTGGTGGAAGCGGGAGTTTGCCAAGCTTTTTGAGAAGGAGCGGAGGAAGAGGGAGGGGGGGCAATGAGAGATTGAGAGATTGAGATTGAGATTGAGAATCAAGGAGGCGGATTAATAATGTGTGGGAATGGAATAACTAGGTAGGCAGGGAGAGAGGGAGGGAGGGAGACGGAGACGGAGATGGAGACGGAGGTTATAATATGAGTAAGGGGTATTAATGTGTAATATAAAGGGAGAAATGACGGAACAGATCATCTGGTACACAGGGACTCAACTTGACTTCAAAAACAAGGAAACGTATTCTCAGGGCTACTTATTTAATTGCTCAAGAAGGCATTTCCTGCTCTAGATTCATTCTTACCTTATAATCAATGCATTGGATGTGAACTATGAACCATCAGATGATTTGCCGCTCCATACAATAAAGCACGGCTCATAATTGATTCACATATTGACTCCCATTATAAAATGTGCCTATGAATTCCTCCATGTAAATCTCATTCTCTTGTCCCCATAAGAATCGTTATGAAATCATATGTATTCATTAGTTCAGATCCCTCATACAGAGAACGTTGATAGGTATGATAACCTCATTATCCACATCAACTACGTCAACCTCGTCATCCTCGTCATCCATACCACTTATACCATCACCCTATCCATCAGATACAACTTTGTTTTGAGAATCATGAAAACACGAAATCCACCATGAGTCGATTCAGGGGTATCAAGTGATAACGAATGCAATGGCCCGTCATCGTTTTATGTCAAACTATCACAAGTAAATGCCCATCGATTGGTTGTTCTTTATATAGAAATCAGCGTCAACTTCCAACCATGCCACTCTGGCTAATGCATAACCCTCAAGCACGGTACTAAACACCGTGGACTAGACCATCAACGAGCGTCTGCGCATCGCGATATAGCTTTCCAAGAACGGCCGTCTGTTTCGGCGACGCGTTGACCGGAATATTCGATGTAGTCGTCTTTCTGGTGTAGGCGGCGAAAACAATCCCTCGATTCGCGGTACAGCCTTGTGCTGGTTCAGGTTCGCCCGGACTGTTTTGAGTAATCGGAATATGATCGCTGTTGAAGGAACAGGTCCACCCCCTAGATATCATCCCTGGCGATGCAAGCTCATCCCGATATTCCTTCCAGCCTTTAAATCCAAGCATCTTAGAATGAAACTGGGCGTGAATTCGAAAAGGGGATCCGAACTCGTGCAGTCCGTAGCCAGCAAGCAATTGACCAGTCATTCCAGATTTCGAATTAGACACGATAGCGCACTGGGAAGCCGCATGGCCCCCTTGCGCCTTGCTCTGCGCAACTCGAGCGATCGATCCGAGCGATGGGTCCAAGTCGTTTCCTTCACCTTTGGGCCAGAGACTGATAACATAGACCAAGTCGAAATTGTACGCTTTGGCGATGTTGGCCGTCCACGTTGCACCCAAAACTCCCGATGCGTTTGCAGGTGAATGAACTAGGGAAAGAAATTGGGAATCAGTCGGTGTACAAGGCGGAGTAAGTTCACCCGAAGAAAAGTTGATCGCAGTCGTGGGGGCAATCGGCGCATGTCGAGTAGATCGACTTCTACCAATAGGTGTCTTCGGCGAGTCCTTCGGCGGCGGCGTTGGGGGTATATCCGTCACCAGGTTAGGTGCAGTCAGCAAGCTCTCTGAAACATCTTCGTCGTTAAGCGCATAGAACTCATCAAGGGAAGGTTCTTTGAGGTTGCGTTTGGCCCTTCTATATCTAGTAATGGTCGATTTCGAACTAATGCATCCTGGCTTTCGTAAGGGTTGTGCTAGGGGAGCACACGGACTGTCCTCCAGTGTGGCATGGGCCACCACAGGATCTTTGGGTTTGGTGCCCCATGATTCACGATCAGGGTGTTTGTGTATTACAAATTCCCTATTATTCGGTGGGTTAGAGTCAAAGGATGGGCGCGGTGTGAATTGAATTGGAGAAGCCAATGCTGGTACCGGCGGTGATCGGTTCAACTTGACAGGAGAGGTTTCTTCGCCATCTGACTCGGGTGGGGAATCAGGCCGACATTTTGGGAATAGGGACAGTGACTGTTTTCTTGGCGGAAGGGTTAGCTCATAAGTTGGGGTCTCGCTTGATTTCCGTGACGATCGTCTCGGTGGTATGGTAATGGTAATAGGACTTGATTTTGTCTTGGGCGAAGGAGGGTCAGACGAAGTTGACAGAGGCCTCGACGTTGAAGACTCTACTTTTACATCCGCGAATGCGAACTTGGCCAAGCGGTTATCAATAGAGGTGTCAATAGGAGTGTCTAAGCCAAGGGTACTGAGCAGAGAGGAGGTACGCTGGAGGTTCCAGTCCAATATATTCTCCACTCGAGGCTCCTTTGACGGATTTTCGCATGCCGTGTCTTTAGCGACACTACTACCAGGAGAAGCGTCCAGTTTCTCGCTCTTGTTCTCTTTATTGTTTTTGAAGAGAGAGTCCTCGGGGAATCTAAATTGTGATAATTGCTGGTTATGAAGCGAGTCCTCGGCGTACTTGAGAGACGCAGACAATGGCCATATCGGGTCACTAGGATGATGCTTATGATTCGTAACCGTGCTGTTAGAGTCAACTGAAGATGACCTCATCAGATCGCCGTGTGGGTCGGGCAGGCTCTGAGAGCGCTCTTTCACCCCTCTGGAATATGTAATAGATTCCTCTCGAGGTTTCATGGGCCTTGAGGTGGGAGAAATAAAAGACGGCGACGGAAAATGCGGGCCATTCTCATCTTGCGACGGGGAGGATATGATAGAGAAGTTTCTGTGGCTTATGCTCCTCTCCCTATCTCTCCTCCTGGAGCTAAAGAATTTCTCCAGTCGCTCGAGTCCGTTGACCATTTTGGCCGTTAGGCTGAGGGACTCAAGTGTTATTCCCACTATCCCCATGTCAGTGTTTGCATTGCAAAATTCCAAGGGCTGGGAGATATGAAATTGTGGGCATGTATGATAGGAGGACCGCGCTCCAGGTGTACAATTTAATGAGAAAGTTGAATAAATACCTAAATGTAGAACGCGTGTATGATTTTCCACACAATAATTCCCAGAGTAAATCGTGAGTCAGTATGAGAAGTTGTGGACGAAGTCTGTGTGTAGATCTCCCCAGTTTCGACGAATCTGTCCGAAAAGCTCTAGTAAATGGTTAAGCGTCAGAGGGTATTCGTGATGCGCTCGAGCACAGAGTGAACAATGAGCGTGAAGGTAATACAAGCAAGCAGGAGGTCATGAATTACATCTCATTTCGAGGCCCGCCGCACCGGCATTGCACAACCTACAGACGAAATTTTTGGTGCTAGATGGTACAACAGACAGGTTTGGGGAATACTAAGTAGATTTGAGGGTCGAGGGTGAGAAGTTGAGGATAACACAAGCAGATGCTGTGTCGCCAATGTGTCTCCGGGTCTGAGGACTTCCTCCTGACACCTATATGAATCTCGACGTATGAGAGGGCTAAACAAGCTTGGGAAGGAGGTGGGATGTCTCTTAATTGCAGCTGGGGAAGTTGGACACAGGGATGCGAGCAGAAAACAAAACTGACTTACGGTAGATCAGAGTGGCGTCTGAGGGTGTCCTAGGTTGTCCAGTGCTGATGGGGGGGAAAGGTAGCCAGCCAGCTTCAGCGCCAGTGTGTAGGTAGGTAGTTGTAGAGTTTTCTCGATAGAGCAAGTCGAGACAGTTGACGCGATCTAGTACCAATTCGTGGTAGTACCGTGGTAGTGAATATTATGAATGGTAAAAAATAAATAATGGTAAATAGAGGGAAAGGGTCAGTGAGTGATGGGATATGTTTGTTTGTGGAAGTTGTGCGAAATGAGAGGTTCCAAGTTTCTCAAGGTGTGAGGTGTATTGTTTGGTTTCGTGGTCCCGATCTACTACTAAGGTAGAATTAAAGTCGGTATACCAAGTAGATCGGATGAAAATGTGAAGTAGTAGTAAGTAGTAAGTAGTAGGTTAAACGTATTTGGTGGCGGGGGAAATACAACTTGAAGTAACAGGCTTTGGAATCTGAGTTCATCTGAAGCAACCAGTGGTCAGTCCCAGTAGGTAGCCAGGTAGGTGCCCTCAATGTCAGTATCGTATTGTACATACTGTACCCTACAAGGTAGGTACTACTACTAGGTAGTAGTACTGTCAACGGTAAGAATATTTAAAGAAAGGTACATGGGTACAAGGTACTACTAGGTAGTCACAACACAACACCATTGGTTCAGATGGCTGGTAGTCGCCCGATTTAGGAATGCGAACTAGTTGACTGGGGTTCCAAAGAATTGGTAATTCGGACTGGAGGTCTGGTAGTTGTGTGTGTAGGTCTGTCACCGATACCACCGTCCCGTAGACTAGTAGGCAGAATTAAAAATAAAAAGATTCCCAAACCATCTGGGCAAAATCCATTCGTTAGGTAAGTACAGTGCCTAATAGCTAGTAGGCAATAATGGGAGTCACCGTACTTCGTAACAAACCTGCATTAGATACCGCCTCATTCTCTGACGAAATACTGAAAGAGGAACCTCGAGTCCACGAAAGCTCCAGAGTCTAACCTAGGCATTTCGGCTCGTCTCCGTGTAGTTATTGTATAACAGTTTTGTACAAGTTGTACTCGACTTGAATAATGTCCCGCACTCGAGACTCCCTTTCATCCGTCCCTGTTCTGTAACTGTCTCTCAATCGTCACAGTCACCCACTCAAGGAGCCTTAAGAAACCCAATGTAGGTACTTTTGGAAATGTGGCATTTCTAAGCGGTATAGGAGAGAACTGCTGTCTCGACTTCTTGCAACGGTCTTGACGGGAGGGCTCATCCCACATTAAGCGGTGGTGGGTTGTGTAAGACATCATATCAAAGGCTACTACTATGTAAGTAGTAACTATATGTACTAAGTAGTAGAGCTACTAGAGCTGACAAAAATCAACTCAGGTCCCTAGCTTCTAGTTTCGTATCCCTTCTTAAAAAGAAAAGACGTAATGTAGGCATTGTGTGCATGGTACTAGGCAATCGGCGGTGCACTGCCGAGAGAGCCACGTTGATTCTACCAAACCTTGGCTGTCTGCTGTGAGGTGTGATGCGGGATGCGGGATGCGTGATGGGTGATGTGTGATGTGTACATACAATGAATGGTCATTATAGGGAACGATTTCCAAGAAGCTCCCGTACTCTGTAGTCTCACTTCCGAAATAGAAATGCCAACTCGATTCGAGGGACTTAAGGGACTTCGAAGTGTTCGGCGGGATGGCCGGTATGCCTAGCGGTGTAAGGGAAGTGGTGTGTTCAAAGACTTACAAAAGCAATAAAAGCAAGGACTAAAAAAGAGGCTATGGATATAATGGGTCTTCCCATCCATGGATAGGAACCCCTGCAGCGTGGGGAAGATAATTGGGTCCAGCCCTGGAGTATTCACCCAGTCCCAGTACCCCAGCAGTCAGTAACCTACATCATAGGCTACATGTATGCATAGTCCATTTCACAGTCTAGAGAAAACTCAATCTTGTCAGTGAAACCAACTACTACTAGTAGTAAACTTACATATCTATATGTAATTTTCTTCACTACATTAATTACCTTAGGTACCTACCAGGCACTAACTATGCGCTATCATTACAGCAGAAACGCCAACTTCTTGGGTGGCAAAGCTTTTTGCTTCCTTCACCTCGCGTCTTCCAACTTTTCCACCACGAAAACACTGACTGGTCACTGGCAAGGGGCAAGGGGGCATCACTTCAGCTTGACAAAACTATCAGTCTCACGATATCCTTAGCCATGCTTCCCTGAATATCTATTGGTTACTCGCCGGACCCAAATGTCCTTTTGCTGTCTCAAAACTGAACTGAGTCGAACTTGAACTTGAATCTGAACATATCCGCTCCCCTGAACCCTTCTTTTTTTTTTTTTTTTTACATCCCCGAAGACCCCATTGACATCGTCTTGCATATCGATGTCTTTTATTTCTTTTCTTCAGCTTCGCTTCGCATATCGCGAAACTGGGTGTGATTGGCTCATATACTAATATGTCAGGGACGAATAAGAAAAAACATTGAACCCTACAAGGTACGGTACCTGGATGTGTGAGAGTCCACAGTCCACAGTCCACAGTCCACAGTTCACAGTCCACCCGTACATAGGCGGATAAGCTGTGCTTCTCCAAGTCTACAATATTTCCGCGCGAATGACAAAAAGTGACGACGCAAATCACATAGAAGACTATGTCGGTACCTAGCAACTAGGTAGCAGAGCAATAAAGCTCCGGACCCTGCATCGGGAACTTACATACGCCTTCTACCATGATAAATCTCCCTTCCCCATTTCATTGGGTCACAATAGCACCTTGGTGAAGACAATCCTGAGTATCCATGATATCAACAATATGTGACTGGTAGGTAGATCTAATCTCTCTACACAATCTATTCCGACTGATTGGCTCGCCTCGAGGCATTCCGGCACTTGCGATCAACAACCAAGATTTGACACTATATCGCTCCTAGTTATCGTCAGGGGCCCCGGACCCTATTTGCGATGAGAATCATGCATATGCAAGTTCGGATGGATCGCATACACACTAAAGCAGGTTCGCAAATAGATCAGGGTCTACTGCAGCATCACTGGATATCACTGGGACTTTTTTTTTTTTTTTAGTCTGCTGCGGGAACTAATCCCGACGATTTACGAACTGCATTGAGCCTGCGGTTTTTTCTTTTTTTCAATGGACTGCCTCAGCTAATATATCCTGCCAGACGGACTGCGTCATCAGCCCAGCCTACTACATAGGTAAGCTCTAGGATCTCAAGATCCTCGCCCTACCTAACAGGCACTGCGGATCTCGTCGACCTAATCGTGCCTCTTCCAGGAGTCTATCACGTCCTGGCGGGAACGCCCACCCCCAGGGCATCTCGGAGGGATATCCCAATTCGGTTTCTGCTCATAAAGTTAGGGGCCTCCCTAGGTATAGTTCATGCGTAGAAGTCGGCAGTTTTGCTAGTAGATGGGGCCATCTTCAAGAAGAAGCAGGAATTTTAGATCACATATCTTGACTGGGTACCTAGTAATTACCTAGGATAACTTCCAAGTTGTTGTAGAGGATGGTATCAGAATGGGACGAGGCCATCTAACTATTAACTACCCTTGAAACGTAGCACCTGACCCAGCGTTTTCAAGGGAGGGGGGGAAGGATAATGATACCATATGTAGTAGTAAAGGGAAACAAGGGACTCTTCTCAAAAAAAAATTCGTGTCACGCCTCTCCGGGCCTCTTATGTCTCGGTGCGCGGTAACCTGCTGCTGGTGAGCCAATGAGTCTTGGGAGGAAGCGAGAGGGCCGGCCCGCTGGACCCAGTACCGTAGCTACTCTCTGCCTTGGAAACGACATCATGCCAGGTCCGGCAATCAACTTCATTACTTACATACATACATACATACATGCCTAGCCCCAACATCTCCACGGTAGTCTGTCTGTCTGTCTGTCTGTCTCCCCAAATCCAGCCGCCTTTAATGATATATGCACCGTGCCGTGGCAGTTGCGCCGATGTTGCTGCAGCCTTAACGTCAATAAAGGGGGTAGGGAGAGGGGGCGTTTTTTTTTTTTTTTCTTTCTTCAAAAAATAATAATCTGTATGATCTCAAAGCAGCTATCCCACACAATCCCCTGCCTACCTAGGTAGGTACAGTAGGTATGCACCTGGGAATCGGATCCTGTCGGCAAAAGATTCCAAAAAAAAAAAAAAATCTGCAGCGAATACGGCCAACCCCTGTGGCCGGCTGCATGAAGTAGCAATAATTATGTATGTAGGTACCTACATGCCTGACTACCTACATACCTACAGTTGCTATGTAGGTAGAGTTAGGTACTGTACTGTACCTACCCATTGCGAGATCCTGCCGGCCTGCCCCCCCAAAGATCTGCGCGAATAGCCGGCATGATATTTATCTTTGCCCAGCAGCAGCCTCAACCACCAGCCTCCCTCAAATCGGGTTCTGAAGATATAGCAACATACATACATAGGTAACTAGGTCAGGTATTTGGATATTCTTCCGAGCAGGGGCAAATTTTTTTTTATGAACCTTTTACATATCTTGAATTTTCTAACAATCCACAGCAGAAAACATGTGGGAAAGCTGGTCAATACCTACCCGAAACTCGAAAGCCGTCACGTCACTCCACACACACACACACAAACACCGCAGTGTGAGTGTGTACCTATTTGTGCACGACCCTCAAACTCGACATTCGACAGACTCGGCTTTTCCTGGATCTGGTATCACGGATGACGAAGAGGCGGGCACTGAGCCAGTAAGTAAGTCCGTTCCATTAGTTATCAAACAGCAAGAAGATACCTAACTAACCCCAGACTGCAAGTTATGTACCTATCTACTACCTATCCCATCCGGACAAGGTGTATTAATACCCCCATTCCTGGCCTATGTAAGCTGGTAGGCTGTGTGGGCAACGCAACGCGTGCGTTAATTTGATATTATATATATCTTTTGACTTGCGTCAAGCCACCATACATGTTGGCGCGCTAAACTACTGCAATGCTGTCACACCGATCTCAATATATTCCCTAATGAATATAGTGCATGCAGAACTCTGCAGCGTTTTGAGGCCTGTGGCTGGGTCGGCAGGTAAGTTCTATTGCGCCCTTGTATAATACCTAGGTTAGTAGTTTGCGTCTTGTTCTGATATGCATACACCCATATTTGTACTACTCGTTGAAGGTTATTCCGAGTTTGTTAGGGTACATATATCAAAGGGGCTCGCAAGGAGCAACGAGAGGTCCCTGTATGTATAATTCATACCCCCCGCGTGTAGGTTCATGGCTTTTCGCCTAATGACTTTAATGTTTCCCCGTCTTTTGGTCTGGTTATTTGTGACACATATGTATATGAATTGCTATATCACAATGCCACTACCTGGTGAAGAAGGACAAAAGTGTAAAGCCTCATACTTGGTAGAATATCTAGCAAGTACGCCTAGGTAGGTTAATATACAGCACTCAATCACCTAATAAGCAATAGCAAACCCCTACCATATTGAAAAAGAATGAATAAGCTGTGCTGGCACCAAAGTAACAGTACATTGCATACAGCACCTGTCTTCAGGCCCAGTAGTGCCTTTTTTTATAACCTCGAATGTGTCGTGATATCGTGATCACAATCTGTTTTATCTGTATCTTTAGGCACATAGTAGGTACGTAGGTATATAACATATATTCTTTTACTTTCGCTTCGGCTTCTTTGGGCCTAGTTTTGGCTCGCCCATGACAACCAAGAACGCGGTATGCACCACATCTGTCAGATCACTCGCCTGCAAGCTCCTACCCTTCTTATCAAACGCTATGCGAGAACTAACCTATACAGATCAAATATTAACAACTAAATGTCTCGAGGAAAGGAAAAACAGAAGGGGGAGGGCTAAGGAGGGGAGATACGATGATCTCGACATAAGAGACCGACAACACTTACCCTCGCAATTGCTGCGCCACCAAAGACAGCTAAACTCAGCGTCTGCTCCTTGGTTAAAATACCATTGTGGTTCCAGAGCTTATCTAGATATGCCTTGCGCCACGCTAGCATCGTCGCGATAGCGCCCGTCAGTGTATCACCCTGCCCACCGCTCCTCTTCTGCCCACCGGGTATGTCGACCGTCAACGTCGTGTCGCCGTCTGAGACAAAGTCATTGGCGCCCTTCTGTAAGATCGTCACTCCTCCCAGCATATGTGCCAGCGCCTCGACCCGGGCTGATGAATTGGCGCCATCGCTCACTTCGTTATCCTCGTCGCCCTTGAGGCCTTTCCATAGCCGCCCGAACTCGACGACGTTGGGTGTCAGAACAACCTCGCGCCACCCCCTAATCAACTCCGGCTTTTGGATTACAATGGCGAGGGCGTCGGCGTCCAGCACAACGGGCATTCCGCGCTCCCTCGCCGCCGCGAGAACGCGCGCGCACGTCTCATGCATCAGTGGGTCTCGGCCTAAGCCCGGCCCGATAACAAGCACGTGCAATCGAGACAGCATGTCGATGATCTTCGCCGATATGTGTTCGGGGTCCGTGTTGGCTGCCGAAGATTCGGACCCGGAGCCCGGAGAAGGAGACTCCCGCATCAGCGGGTGCACCATGAGGTTGGGGCTATACGTTTTGATGACTGCAGCGGCACCGGGCGTACATATCACATGAGACTACAACGTAGGACTACCTATCAGCCATAGTGCACCGATTCGAAGGTGGTTTTGGGGGGGAAGAGGAAGGGCAAGGAAAGGGGGATTTGGCTTCAATAGGCAACAAACCCCAGAAACCCCGCTTTCTACCTTCATTAATCACGCACCATATCGCAGCCGAGTCGTGCACTCGCCATAGCAGAGAAGTACGGGGCCCCGGTGTAGTCTTCGCTGCCACCGATGACAGCTACGCGACCTAACTGGCCTATTGCGATACCAACGCTCCCAAGGGAGCTTTCGTTAGTAATTTATTTCATCACACGCAATTCCATCGCCCTATATATCTAGGAATCTTTTTGAAATTGAAGAAACTTGGTAACCGTTATCCCGAGCCAGGATTTTACCTACCTTTATGAAATTTGGGAAGCATGGGCGGCACTATCTGCTTCACCTTGTTCAGGATTTCTCGCGTGATTTCTCGCGTGATAGGCAGCATATCGTCGACGGCCTCGGCCTCGGTACTCATGTCTTGTTATTCTTATTCTTTTTATTTCTTCTTCTTCTTCTTCACCTCCTCTCTCATTCACTAGCTACGTAAGTACCTAGGTAAAAGTAGGTGATCAGAATGGAAAAGAAGAAACCAAGGAAGCGCCTGTCTTTGAATCGAACAATGTTCCGATGAGACGAAGAGGTAAGTAAGAGCGACAGATTAAAGAAGAGATGTAAAGATAATGATGCTGATTCAGTGTTGATTTGTTAAATTGTTGAGTTGTAGGAATAATCACAAGTTTGAAGGTTATCTACCTGGGTAGGAAAAATGAGTTGACCAAAATAGAATTTCTATGTTGGATTTGTACGTAAGCAAGTTGGAGAATTGGCATGATGTCACCAAAAAAACAGCTCTGTACCTATGTAGTAGCCTCTGCATTTTGTACCTACATTACCTACCTACGCCGTAGTAGTAATTAGCACATAGTTAGTAGTACCTTAAGTTAGTACATTATGTATGCAGCTCTCTCCTAACGATTGAAATCGCCAATATTCACACATTTACGTTACAGCACGAGGCAAATAAAACAAAATAAAATGGTACAAAAGGAATCGAGTGCTCTTGATTTTTTTGGCTCTATTTTACAAGGGTCGGAGATGGAGTGCTTCCACTTCTACCCGACTTCCTCACTAGTCCGCACCCATACCAATGCTACCTCCTCTAAACGAAACATGATCCTCCATCATAGGTCCCTCAGGTATAGATAGTTTCCCGTATTCATGCAATTCAATTATTCGTTTAGGCGATGAAGCTCTTGGTGAAACTGGGGACAATCTCACGCAATTTTTGCTCAAGCTCCTTGCTGAGCGCACCCTCCTTGTCAATGGCAGCTAGGAGATCCGACTCGTTCGTCTTCAAGTGCGCTAGGAAGTCAGACTCCCACTGCAGGACCTTGTTGACGGGGACCTGGTCGAGGTAACCGTTGACACCAGCAAAGATGAGGGGAACCATCTCGTTGACAGCCATGGGCGAGTATTGCTTCTGTTTGAGAAGCTCCGTCAACTGTACATAGTTTCGTTAGTCGATATCCATTCAACACACAATCAAAAAAAAGCTATCAAGGACTTACACGTTCACCACGGTTGAGGGTCTGTTTAGTGGCGGCATCCAAATCGGAACCGAACTGAGCAAAGGCCGCAACTTCACGGTACTGGGCCAAGAAGAGCTTGAGCGAACCAGCGACTTGCTTCATGGCCTTGAGCTGCGCAGCCGAACCGACACGAGACACGGAAAGACCGACATTGATGGCAGGTCGAATACCCTTGTAGAAAAGTTCGGACTCCAAGAAGATCTGGCCATCGGTAATCGAAATGACGTTGGTAGGAATATACGCAGACACATCACCACCCTGCGTCTCAATAATTGGCAACGCAGTCATCGAACCACCTCCATGCTTGTCGCTCAACTTGGCAGCACGCTCCAAAAGTCGCGAGTGAAGGTAGAAAACATCACCCGGGTAAGCTTCACGTCCAGGAGGTCGACGAAGCAGTAGCGACATCTGACGATACGCCACGGCTTGTTTACTTAAGTCGTCCAGACTTGTCTGGAAGTTAGCAACCTGTATGAAGGATGGGGCTGAGGAATCGGGAGAATATCGTGAGAATAGGTGGGTCAAAGTGAAGCAAAGTATTATTCTCAACCTCAACTCGAACATCCCTCGCTGAATCTCACGATATTCAGGGGGGGTGGAATTAATCAACTTACACAAGTAACGAATGCTTTCCAGAGTCACGGAAGAATTCTCCCACAGCAGCTTGATTGTAAAGGTAAGTTAGTAAGACATCAGGTAGGTAAGATAGGAAAGGTAGGAAAGGTAGTGGAGAGGATATACAAGATGTTGGGTGATAAGGTATATGAGAATGTAAGTGGAGGGGCATATAAGAAGATAGATGAAGGGATATGTAAGAAGGTAAAGGGAGTGAATTGTTATTTAGATAGCTCGCTACTGGCGGCCACCATCTCCAGGTGCATCTTCCCCTCATCGTGAGCGTTGAAGTGCGATGCAAGTTCGAAATACGCATTGCAAAATGTGCAATGATATTCATAGTAAGTGGTTGGTTATTATGCGGCAGCAGCAGTAGGAGTGGCAGCGGCTTTGGTGTGCTTGTTCGACTTGTTGTGCTTGGTGAGAGAAGGGTTATCTTTGAATGCGTAGTCGCAAATAACACGGTAATAGTTCTTGGTTGCCTTGTTTTCGAGATGCTGACGCACAAATCATCCAAGATATTCATGGAGAGGATCCATGACTTGCTGCGAAATACCCTCGCCCCGGATACCCATTCAAGATAATCAATTGGCTACTTGATGCGAATGAGCTGTTGAGATTCCACCTGCCAGAAAGGAAGAAGCTCTATCCAATTGGGCTCTGGGTTTGTAAAGCAATGGTAACGAATGGCGATTTCCATAGTTTGGTTCTTTCGCTCGGGTAATCCGTCGCCTTGGGGACGATACGCAGTGGTCATCGAAAGCTTAGTCCAGAGTGCTTTCCATATCCCTCTCCACAGATCCTAAGTGAACTTCCGGTCCCGGGCCCGTTCTGCATCCTCGGAAAACTTGCTCTTAATCACCGTTGCCGTTTTCACCTTCCGCTTCCTCTCGGCCTCAAGCGCCTCTCGCTTCTCAGTTGGCCATTCGGGGTTGCCTCGGGAACTTTCGAACAGAGGACAGCACGTGCAAGCGGCTTTCCACTCAGGACTCTCGGGTCTCGCCCAGGGCCAGAGATGGTCCCACCTATTGTCGTATTCGATGCGGGGAGCAGCAAAGAAGAGGAAGGTAAAAACTGCTTCGAGGGCAAGGAAGCGCATGCGAATGAGGCCAGACCTGACTTGCCGAGGGATTATGCTCCAGCAGAGGAGCCGCGCTGGATTATAGTATAATCCTGGGCGAAACTTTGCCGAATTGCTATTCGGGCTGGTCGCCGCTGGCTGCCACCCTTTTAAGGTGGCCGACCCTTTGATTGTGTGCCTCGTAGTGTGATTTATACTGCGAGTATTTGTCGCGATATTTACAGTAAAATTCCCACAGGGGGTCGTTTTGGGAGGGCTTCCTCGTTGCGTCCACGGTGGGGTCTAGCTTATTTTTGTGGCTTGGCCGTTCGTTATGTCGGATGAGTTCCGACTCCGAACCAAAGCTCCGAGCAGGCTTCCCCCCAAGCGTTCTCGTTGCTTAACGCAATCTTGTAAGCTGTGCAGACCTTCCCTTCGTATTCGAGATGATGAGCCGTAGGTGCACGCATTGATGATCTTTTCCAGGACGTCCTAGATGGCAGCTTGGGTCTCCTCCTCCTGCTCGTATTCATGCTCGTACTCGTCGATATCCATCTTTGTTTCATCCATGTTCGTTTCGTCCATAATATCAAGATTGCAATATTATATGTCCCATTGTGAAGAAGAGAGGACGGAGGATGTCCATGACAGAGAGGGAAATGTTCGTGTTGATGATGCCGTTGACAGTTCCGTCAACAGAATTGTGAAGATGCGAGAGAGGGGGGAGAGAGAATGGAGTACGTTCAAGAAAGAGGGGAAATTTTCAAGTTTTGAAACTTGAAACCTCAGACTTGTGTATAGGAATGCACTTGCTATGTGTTTTGGTACGAGGATAAGAAGCAGGGAACGAGGAATGAGAAACTCAATTTGGGAGATAGGCACGAGGGAAAGAAGCCGCAATGAAAAAAGTAGGAATCAGGGGTGAAAGGGGAAATAATACTCACCACCAGTGAAAGGGGCAATATATTGTAGAGGCGCAGCCTCAGAGGCAGTAGCAGCGACGACAATAGAGTACTTCATGGCGTCGTTCTCCTCAAGGGTCTTGACGAGCTGAGCAACGGTAGATCGCTTCTGACCAACGGCAACGTAGACACAGTAGAGCTTCTTGGTCTCGTCGTTGGTGTTGTTCCATCGCTTCTGGTTAAGAATGGTATCCAGGGCGACGGCAGTCTTTCCGGTTTGTCGGTCACCAATGATCAACTCACGCTGGCCACGACCAATGGGAACCATAGCGTCGACAGACTTGAGACCGGTCTGTACGGGCTGGTTGACGGAGTGTCGGGGCAAGATACCAGGAGCCTTCAGCTGAGCACGAATTCTCTTCGTGGTGTTCAGAGGGCCCTTGCCGTCAATGGGGTTGCCGAGAGCATCGATGACACGTCCAAGTAGCTCAAGGCCGACGGGGACGTCGACCTAATTAGTGTCAGCGTCGCTGAGTATCTGGATATCAAGAAGGCCAGCTTACGATTTGTCCAGTACGCTTAACGGTCTCACCCTCCTTGACAAGACGATCAGAACCGAAAAGCACAACACCCACTTGTCCAGCTTCCAAGTTCATGCACATTCCCTTCACACCGGAAGCGAACCTATTTAATAGTCAACCACAAATTCTCCCAGGTTGCAAATCAAGAGGGACCTACTCGACAAGCTCTTCGGCCTGGACATTGGCCATACCGTGCACACGCGCGATACCATCACTATACAAACGCCCTAGTTAGCAAGCATAATTTAATTTATATCTGAGAATTTTTTGCAAGATAGTGACTACGACGACGAAATGATCGGAGATGATGTCGACAGCGATTGAAAAGGGTTGTGGCCGTTGCAGAAACAAGTCTTGCGGCGGACCGAAAATCTCTCGCTTCGAGGGCTCCACACACGTACCCGACAGAAAGGACACGGCCAGTCTCAGCTAGGTTATTCTCTTCCGCTACACCACGAATTCTCTGCTCAAGAATGGAAGAGACTTCGGTGGGTGTGGCTTTCGCATCGGCGGCGTAGGATCGAGCCTGGATGTTAAGGGCGGCAGGTGCGGCATTTCGTGTCTATGGAAACCCCCCGGTCAAGTTAGCCGATAGTCCGAAAAAATATATATAGCAAGGCAAGGTAAAGTGAGCGAGTTTATAGCCGGCGCAGCTAATGTTGTGGGAGCTTTTTACAAGCTCCCCCAAGCTTCGAGGCATTGTCCAAAATAGCATGGAAAGCTTCAATTGGGTTTGAACAATGTTTTCGAGATCCATTGAGATCGATCGCATGTATTCTCAGATGGGATTTGAGATGGAGCCGAGGGAGTTGAGGTTGACCTACCGCAGCAATTCTGCCCGAGGCAGAGATTGCGCTCACAGCGCGCGTGGACTGTCTGAGGGCGTTACGAAACATATTAAAGAGGTATATCTAATCCCCCAATGTAAAAGAAAAACCAATTGCAAAATTAATTTGCAATTGAAAGGAGAGGAGATTGAGGTGGGAGGGTTAGTTTGATAAAGAGGTTTTGAAAATGGAGACCTTTTTTTTTTCGAAAGAATTACGAGAACTTTGGGTGAGTCGTGGAAATGATGGGGATGGGGAAAAAGGCGCATGGACCACATAAAAATTACTTTGTATTACTAGTAGTAGATAGATCCGAAAGGTCCCGATGATGTACATATGTAGTTGAAGGTGGTCAGTGCATTTATTTTTCTCTACTGCTACAGTAGTAGTATGTACCTACCTTCAACCGCTGACATCGGAGTTATGCACTAACTACACAGTACATATCATTTTCCCACACACTGGAGATCTTTTCTCACCATCATAAAAATCATAAAAAATCATCTTGAAAGACACTTTCTTTCTTGTTCAAGTTTCGGATGTTGAAATCCCCTCTAGCAAATTTGACAATGGCCTAGGTACATATGTATGTTGTTATGTACATATGTATTCCAAACTGACAAATCGACCTCCACCATCATCTTGATCTTGATCCTAATCCCAATCCTAATCCTCAAAGACCTGCCGCGCTTGAAAGATAGATAGCTCATGTGCTTAAAAGCGAGACTTGACTGTACGAGATTCAAGCTTTCTTGCATTCCACAACGCCCACTACATTGATGGGAAGATGTTAGAAATGTGGATGGCTTACTTAGGTAAGTATAGACAATCAAATCCTACCACACCAAAGGGCAAAAAAAAAAGATTGAGAAATTCACATACTGGTTTCCCCCTCTGCCTTGTGGACCTTGACCACGGCCAATCCCGCTCTATTGGCGAGTTTTCCAAACTGCTGCTCAGATCTTTCCAAGGAAGCCCAGGTCATCATGATGATGTCCATGGCCGCCACCCACCGATGCGGGGACTCGGTCATGATCTGTTCGTTTATCAAGATCCTCGCTCGGGGTTCGTTTTCTGGGAGCGACTCTGCCAGGATTTTGAGGATGTTGACGCAGTCGTCGTCGTCGTAGTCGTGGATGCAGCGTCTGATAAGATAAATAAGTGCCCCTATATCTGTTAGTTATATAGTTATATGTAGACAAACAGGTCATTGCTTACCCTTCACCGGCTGCTCATCGTGGAAGTTAGCCGCGACCTTCCGCACGTCCCTCATCACCTCGTCCCCCGCATGAGCTTCTCGGATATTAGGTATCATCTCGGAGCGGTCCTCCACCACACATCGGCTGCGGGGGATGCCTTGGTACTTGACGAGGTTAGCTCGCAGCGCGTGCCCATAGCTGCCGCCCACGTCGACAATCAGCAGCCTCTCTGGGTCCGCGGATGCGTACTCCTCGACCCACGAGAAGTCGTACGCGCCGGTGAAGGGCCAGGCGTAGTTTGGCATCGCCTGCATGGCGAACCCGAATTGCTCAAGGTGCTCCTTGCCCTGCCGCGCGAAGATCTCCCAGGGCGTCAGCCTGCCGTCCGCGCCGGCGGCAAAGCTCATCGGTATCTCGGTCTTGCCTTTGGGCAGCCGAGATCCGTATTTGTCAAAGTACGCGGGCAGGCTGGAAAGGACAGGCTGGAAATCGTCGTGGTGCATGGCGAACGAGTAGCCATTCCGATCACCGGTCTTGTATGATGGCGAGAGGCGGGAATGAGCTACGTGGTTGGGTGCCGGCTGTAAGAGCTTGCCGGTCGAGACGAGCATCTGGCCCATTCGAACTTTGGGAGGAGTGAGTAAATCACGGGATGTGAAAGACGGGGTAGTTGACCTACTTACCAGGGCTTCTTCTGCGCCAATGGAGGCTGCTAGCTCCTCGTATGAGATGCTTCCTTTCAAGGGGATTCTATCGAAGAATTTCCATTTCATGAACATTCGAATCGAGGCCCACTCGCTTAGCTGGATAGTTGCTGTTAGATTACTGTAATGGGAGTGTATGGATGTGAAGTGTACTGTGATGATTTGCTCTGCGGCTGCTTCCTCGGGATGAATCAACTCGTCTAGCAGTCTCCTTGCTGTAGCTGTCGCTTTGCGTCTAGCACGAAGGTCGTTGTTGTCCAGCACTCTCAGGTCCTCGATTTGGACAGAGAGCTGATGGGACAGCGATTTTAGATTGTTAAAGGTCGGCAGTGTCTCCATGTTTTGACTATAACTTGGGATTGCTTTAGGTAGGTACATGGTGTTGGACCAAGAGAGGGTAGATTCATGATCTTTATACCCGAGATATGTTTCCATACTTGTTGAATCTGAGCCCGGACCACACCCAGACTTATTAAATCCGAGTCGAGTTACCATTTCACGCTACATGGAAGGTATTTCGGGACCGAGAAGAGGTTGTACGGTTGCAGTGCTTGATGTTGTTAAAGTGGGAAACGTTCCATTACCCTTCTTCTAACGAATCGGAGTAATGAGTTTCGCGCAAGTAGACGCGGAAGACTTTTACGGGCAGAGAGAACCAAACGGATATACTGAGACAGGTTTCGGAGTTGGATCGCACCCAGGAAAGACACGGCATCTTACAAGAGAAGTACGTTGCGAGATATGTGTTGCGAGAGTCCGGGACCGCATGACTGCTTACTAGGTTGCTACATATGCATTAGTATGTGTGGTTGAAGCTTTGCAGCATACCTGGATCGGACGTAGCCCCATCCGAGTGGAAATACACCTAAGAAATTGGTATTTCCATCTCCCCTGGATGTAACTCTTTATACAACTACATAAACTACCTGTTCGTACTTGGTGGGCATATGCAAGTATATCAACGACTTACCCGGGAGACCCCCTTTATCACTTATGGTATAAGTATGAGAATTTGTAACTCAGGCTACTCACCAACTACTAGGAACTCCATCTTGTAAACCATCATTGCATGCAAATGTCTCAAGATCGACTTGAAGAATTTGACGATGATGGTAGGTTTCAACCGTTTGGAGACGGGTCTATTTTCACGATGATTATTTCACGACGGTTATTTTACAAGTTAGATGTTGAAGTATATTGAGCTCGTAGCAAATCACATCCTAGCTGACGGTAGATATCGCACATCGTTGGTCACTAATGCGCTTCCGCCTGGCTGGGCGGGGTCCAGGTAAGCACTTGGCTCGGACTACAATGCAGGGTTGATACTCAACCTATATTGGTGGCAGCTTTCAGAATATCGTTGAATCTTCTTCGAAGTTCACGATATGCGAAGGTGTTCCCAAATTGCCTATCCACTTAACGGGGCTGCTGTGTCTCATGACAAACCCCTTGGCAGTGAGTTCCTTATGCCATTGCTTTGCATTATACCAGCAGCTTCACTTGCCCTGCTATCACCATGAAACACAGCATCCTCAAAGATCAAATCAATCTAAAGCAGACTTCCTCTCACACCTACACCATATCCTTCCACAAGGACTGGACCATAGGCCGGGTTTTACACGGGGGCTGCGTCGCCGCCGCTTTGCACCACGCCGCGGCGACCCATATCGCCACCGAGCCCAAGCTAGCAGCTAAGAACCAGCCGGACATCCTGACGCTGCATCTCGAGTTCCTCCGGCCCTGCGATGCCCGCGAGAGCACCATCGCCATCCGCGACCTCAAGGTTGGCGAGCGGACCAGCACGCTGCAGCTGGAGCTGTGGCAGGGCGAGAAGATGAAGGTGGTCGCGCTGGCGACGTCGATCAACATGGACCGCTCCAACGGTCCTACTCACCCCACGGCATGGGCCTTGCATCCGCCGCCCAAGCCCGTGCCTGATTTCGCCGCCGTGCTTGCTCACAGGCCCGACGAGCACTGGCTCCCCGCCCACTTCGCCGGGGACGTGATCCCCTTCACTCGTCGGATGCTAGTTCTGGACCCGCGAGACGGGTTCCCCGTCGACGGCATCTGCGACGCGTGGGCCACTTTCCTAGGCGACGAGCGCATGGACGCGACGTACCTGGCGCTGATGACGGACTACATCCCGTCGATGTCGGACACGCTGCTGCGCAACGGCGGGTTCTACGACGCGCGCGCGAACTTTGCCAAGGTGGACGAGTGGGCTATGGAGCATCCCGGGGTTCCGGCCGAGCTGACGAACTTTCTCAAAGATGCGGCGAAGTTGACGATATTCAATAACACGGTCACGTTGGATATCGAGTTCAAGCGGAGGCTCCCCGAGGAGGGGCTGCAGTGGGTTTTCACGAGACTGGCTAGTCGGATGATGGAGGATGGGAGGCTAGATGCGGAGGTGACGTTGTGCGACGAGAAGATGGATTTGGTGTGTGTGGCACGCCAGGTTATATTGGTTCTCGACGCAAAGAGGAAGTTCGGGGAGGCAAAGAGCTCTTTATGATGGGCATGCAACAGTGAATATTGAAGTATAATGTCAGGAGTCACTTTACTACCCTAGGTAGCTATAGGCCACATAGCTTATCTCAAGTTCAAACCTCCTACCCAGCCATCGACAGGCTATATAAAAGAAGAACAATTAACAAAGAACTCCAAACCGTATGTTTTCGAAGTACATCTGTTATATATCCAACTTAGCACATGCCGCTCATCCATCAGCTTCTACCAACACCTATAGGCCATAAGAGGATATGACAACCTGCACGATGCCTTGAGGATTAGATTGCCTTGAATGGTATGAAGTATTCACCGTATGAAGGTTCCGCAAGGGACCATAGGTGTTCAACAACATGAGCCGATAGCCATGCCCTCCATGGCATGTCGTCTTAAGGGTGTAACTACTAGGTAGTATGCATAGATACCTATACAAGCATGTAGATACTCCTACCATACACTTGATCCAAAATATAGTGGCAGTTAAGAAACAAGCTCCTCGATCGCCTGCATTCCCACCTGTCTCTCTCAACTCGATAGTGTAGTATCCCAGTGATTGTTTTCTCTTTATATATATCTCTCTCTTTCGCCGTCGTCACATGATTCCATTCCCTAGTACCCTCGTGAGCTTCACGGTTTCGGGATTGCCAACATTGCCAGCACAAGCCCTTAAGATCTGTCACCCATTTTGATCCGTCTTCAGTCCAGTTGACACACACTTAGGTACGTAACCTACCTACCTACTTGCTCGAGGTACCCCCTGAACAAGCTTTCGTCCATACAACAACGACAACGAATACGAAGACGAAGGGCATCGCCAAACCAGACAACCACCACCACCACCCACCATAATCACCAACAACAAACCGCAAAATGGCATGGATGCCCCCAGGCGTAGCAGAAGGAACCTACTTCACCGGCCAGCCCCTCGGGCCCCCACCGGGCCTCGTGCGCGTCCTGCCCCCCTCTTCAGCACCGCGCCCCTCCCCCTCCTACACCCACGCATCCTCTCAAACCCTGCCCCCCCGCGTTCTAACCAACGCCGACGTCTCCCTCTTCGGCGACATCGCCCCCATCATCGCCACCGGCCTCGACCCCGCCGGCCGCCCCGTGGTCCTCGACCTACAATGCCTGATCTGCGGCGACAGCCCCCTCGACGTGCCCGCGCACGTGCGGCCGCCGCACCACCAGCAGACCTACTACTCGTCCCCCCCTTCCACCCCCTCCCCCTCCCCCTCCCGCTCCTCCAGCCCCCTGTCCTCGTACTACTTCCGCCCGCCACCCCCCACCCAACTCGAAGACCTCGCCGTCCTCCCCTGCGGCCACTTCTGCGGCTCCTGGTGCCTCTCCCGCTGGTTCCGCTCGCGGCGCTCCTCCCGCCACCCCCCGGACTGCCCCTTCTGCCGCCGCCCCCTCCTCCACCCGAGATGCGGGCACGAGATCCGGACGGGGGGCTACGACGCGGCGCGGCCGCGGCGGCCGCAGCTGCCCTTGACCATTCCGGAGGGCGGGTTCGTGCGCGCGTACTGCGAGCCGTGCCGGCTGGACGCGCTGACGGTCGCCTTCGACGTCGTCGTGCACGAGATGTACCCCGCGGACGTGCCCGAGAGCGCGTTCACCGGCTTGCCGCGTGGGAGGGGGGGGGAGATGTTTGAGAGGTGGAGGGAGGAGCTGTGGGAGGAGTTGTGGGTTGCGTATCATCGGGCGCAGAGCAGGTTCTCTCATTGGTAGGTGGGCGAGAGGAGGATGTGGGAGGTGGAGTTGAAGAAGTGCTCATGATACCTAGCTAGCGAATGCGTCACTTTGGCATTGTAGGTGCGGCCCATCCGACTTTGTGCGGGTGTGTATGTTTTGGCGTTCAGGGGTAAGTCGATGACTTGGTTTGCACATACTGTTTTGTACCAAGCAGGTACTATGTTAATATATGTTCAAGTTATGTTTATAAAAATGAGAAAACAATGAATTAGTAAACTCCTGTGTTGTGCTCAAAGGTGAACTGCTTCTTGGTCAGAAGGGACACGACCTAATATTGGCTTCCTAGGTAGAATAACGCATCAAAGTGTCAACTGTATATATTATCAGTCCGATTCAATACTATAAAATCTGAATTCAACGAGCCTTGGTATCTTTTTCTCCCCAAGCCTATGATATAATACACCTATCCAGGCATATAAACCTTCCCAATCCCCAGACTCCGCGGCAGTATCCCCCTAGCGCACGCTTGTAAAGTGATAATAAACCAATGTCATGTTTTAACGCGCTTTTGAATCTTAAACAGTCCAAGTTGATCGAGGATTATACCTAGAACATGGCCCTTTCATATAACGAAAACCATAATAACAACGACCGTAATATACCAAGCGCTGGTTGGGTATCATACAAGCCTCCACCTTGTCCATAAATGACAGATACTTTTGACGAATCTGTATCACACAGAAACCTTCACACATCTTGTCACTATCACTGACTAGCAACATACCCATCACCGCTCATATCTTGGCAATGGCTCTGAACCTGTGGCACGCCCCGAAGGCCCGGCAATCTCGTGGTAAGAATCCGTTGCCTCGTAATCTTGATCATCGTGGAGCAGCGGAGCACTTGGCTCTGGAGTCTGCGATGAATTCGGAGGTGGCGCCGAAGGCTCTCCCCCATTAAAGTCTTCTGGGACTTCCGGAGGTGCGCTGGCTTCCTGAAGTAGCCGTTGCCGCTCAAGCTCTTGCTTATCATCGGCACGAGATGTGGAAGGGCCTGTTGGTGTCATGTCTGTGAGTGAAGGTGCTGACGGCTCCTCGCCAACATCATTAAGTTCTGGTAGGAATGTATAGGCATTAGGTTGGTAGACGCTATCAGTTGACTGTGCAGAAACCTCCGCCGGCGCAGAAAGCCGCGAGGGACCGGCTTCGGACTCGGAAGGATCTTGTGGCGGTGGCAGCGGCTGACTGGGCAAAAGTCTTTGTTCGGCCTGCCGTACACGCTCCTTTTCCGATAACTCGTTTTCTCGAGGCACTTCTGGTGGTGGTATATAGACTGGAGCATGGGGTTCATGGTCTTGAAAGTCATAATATGACGTTTGAGGAGATGCACCAGGGGGGAAACCATGAGGTGACCTTTCGGAATAACTCCCATCCACGCCTTCAAACTCGTTCCGCCATGTGTAAGCCAGCTCGGTATCTTCGACATTGGCACCCTCGGAAGCGGGTGGTTGTACCGTCAGCGTTGGGCGCACTACCGTTTTGCCCCGCGCGCGACTCGAATCCATAGTTCCAACCACAACTTCGAAGGGAACGGATATCACTCCCTTCTCACGTCTTAGATGATCGGTGTCGACTATAGTGCCATTCCAATTGGCAAGTCTCTTGATATCGTATGCCCCAGCTGTGGAAGCAGGACTGCCGCCCGAAACACCCAAAGCCCCCATCCTACTTGTCTGTTGCGATGTCCCCGTTGACTGGCCAGCGAGTTTCCCACCCAAATCCAAAACAACTTCAACATAATACTTGAAACTAATCAAACCCCCCGGGACAGTTCTTATGCTCGGAAACACATCCTCTGGAACTCTAACCGACGTCGTAATATTCGCCGTGAGAGTGGCGGGGTCTATAATCAGTGGCGCAACGGCCTGAGAAAGGTCCTTTCGAAAAACACTACAGGATCCAGCAGACGATAATGACAAACCCCCCAGACCAGTCCTCGACCTTGGAAAGTAATCTTCGCGCTCAAGCCTTTCGGCATCCTCTTTAGTTAGATCTGCCGTGAACAGAGATATCGGTGGTGAATAATCGACGCGACCTTGACGGTAGAGCGTGACAATAATGCCATGCATACTCTTCATACGACGGTTATGTTCGACATTGATCTTCACCGGTAGCATATCTCCAGGAAGACACCCTGCTTTTAGCAGCTCGACCGTAGCAGTGATCTCTCTGTCGTCGCTTCCCGATGCTCTGCTCGCAGCAACGGATTCAACGCTCGCATCAGCGCCCCTAGCACTATTAGAGCCACTATTGTTGCTTATGGCACTGTCGCCACTGATCTCGCTTTGTAGGTCGCCTATCAAATCGCTTCGCAAGGGACTTCGCGGCAAGTTGGTTCCACCTGGTGGTACTGTGGTTATCTCGCCAATACTTACAGAACTGCCGTTTGAATTTTCGTTGGCCCTCGTAGAATCCAGGTCTGATGTTTGTTCTTGTATTTCTATTGAAGTCGTGCCCCGCTTGGCGGAAGAATTCGGAAGCATCGGCTTCTTTCTCTTCTTCGGTCGTCTGCGCAAAGTCTGCATGCATACCTTTCGCTCTCGCGGAGGGACCAGCAGGCCTATATCTACCTTTTCGACGAGGGCTACTTTCGTTTCGCAACTAGAAGTCGCAGCTATGGAGGTTGGTCGGGTTAGGGTTGCTGTGACCATGTAGGATATGGTTCCTCTCTCGAACTATATTGAAGCTTGATATTAGTACGATTCTTACCCAATATGGCAACGTAGACGTACATCAATGCTACTGGGAAGTCCCTTGGAGGGAAATATCAGGTCGAATTCAAATTCGAACCTCATCGGTTTAAGCCTCCCTTCACCACAAAGGACTTGTTCATCCTGAAAGAGAGAGGCCAGGCCATTGCCAAAGTACCTGACGCTTCGATTCCGATCATGGGATATTACGGCGGGGTTGACGGGGCTAAGCTGCGCGCCAGCGCCAGCATGCTTGTAGACGCGTACAAAACCATGCAGCGCAACGGTCAAATGCGTTATACGAAACGGTTTTACAACGGAGAGGATGACGTGGCCTCGAACATGATCGCCAGCAGAGTATTGGCGATGAGGTTCTTGTAAACGAATGTGGAAATCGGCGAGGTTACGGGTTCGGGAACGAAGGGGGGATGTGAGTCGCGAGAATAACGAGGGTTTCGACGGTGGATCGTCGAGCGACAAGTTTTGCGGTTTGCCCGAGTCGGAACCCATCTATTCGACTAGTCTCGATTGACGGCGTGTTGTGCCTCACATGACACCACACGGGAATCCGTTCGTCTGCCGTCAATTCGAAATGGATATATGGGAATAAAGATCAAAATTCGAGGTCATTCGAGGTCATTCGAGGTCGAAGTTCGCGTGATAGCAATTCAGGAGGTAACTAAGACTCGGTCGCGGTCGCGGTCGGGCCGCGGTGGGCGACAAAACCGCGGAGAAGCCAAGACGGCAACGGTTAGGTCAAAGGACCCCTATTATGATTCCAACCTAAGGAAAGCAAGCGTTGCGGGTGCAAGGAAGAACTAAGAACTATATTTTTTTTTTTGGTCAGAATTGGCTTTGGGGAAGGTTCACCAAGATCTTGGGTGTTGCATGTGCCAAGCTGTGGGAGAGGCTTGGTAAGAAGAGAACTTGGGTTAAGAGACGACCGCCAAGAGATGACCTCCAGCTTTTTATGATTTATTATTAATAGGATTAATAGGTTAGATAGGTTAGATAGGTTAGTTGATAAGTAGCGTAGCGTCAAGGAATCAGAGAGTCAGGGATAAGGAGTGTGAGAAGCGTTAGGGTGCGGTTAGGCCCATGAAATTATGTACATTGTAGAGGGTTGGTTGGTTGATCGTGTCGTATCATTGATGTGTGTAAGTATGTAAGGGGAAGTGATATGTAGGTGATAGATACAGGTACAAATACAAATACAAATACAAATGAAAGATTAAAATGCTTTTCAGAAATTCAAACTTCATTCAGTGTTTCCAAGTTTCGAGTTTGCTTTGCTTACAATCAATTTTAGGATAATATTGCTGAATTAAATTGGACTTGACTTGACTTGACTCGACTCGACTCGACTCGACTCGCCGTTGGACCCTGAAAATACTGGAAAATACCTAGGGTAATTAACCAGGTATTACCTAGATAACCTTGGAAGTAGTTATTGTAGAATCGAAATTTATAAACTTCAAGGGAAAAGTTTAAAAGAATAGTTAAAGAAAAGAAAAAAAAATATTCAAACTTGAAAGAATCAAACCTCGGAAGATCTCCGTTTCGGTAAAGGAACAGGAACAGGAACCCTTCAAGGTTAATAAGTAATTTAGAAAGTGCATTGTACTTGGTAGTTACCTAAAAAAGAGTGACTGGAATCATTATGTAAGCTATGTCGGACTCGAAAACTTGCATTTGGTTCTGGTCATTTCAATGTTGGTGGTCACATGTGGTTGTAGGGACTGGCCGGTGCGGGTGGTTGCAGATACAATGATGGCCCATGGGTACGTCTATCCATCCCAGTTTCTTGGTATTGCTTGTATCAACAACACCCTTTTTGGGGGGTGCATAGTACACACATACATACCCTAGGTACTATGTAGGTACCTACATGTAGTAGGCATCAATGATGTACATAGCAGGCGAGATAGGGTATCCTTACCAACATGAACCTTTATTAATTCTATAATTCTATGATTCCACAATACATACTTCTACTATGTAGTTAGTACCTCCACTGTACAGTAGGTATCTCTAACCTAGTATAATCCCCCCAATACCTCTAACCAGTACATACACAGGTAACACCATGGTGGCTGTGGCTAGCTTCTCAGAATGATGCACAACACCTACTTTTAGGCGAGTACCAAATCGAGGTCAGTGCCATCATCACATAGTACTGGGTATGTGGTGAGAGGGAAAGGAAAAGAAAGGAAAGGCTCAACTCTCCCCTTCCTTCATCATGGGGTTACATCGGATGAGTGCCGTAGCTCCAAATTACGAAATACTTCTCTCTGTGCTCATGCCACAAACTCATGCCAGTCCGTAATTGTAATGGTCGTAATAGTAATAAAACCACGGTATGATGTACAAGCCACCCAAAGGAGGGGGGGAGAACGCAAGTCGGCACACTCAACAGAGGCGAACCCCCTCTCGTTGGCTAGCTACCCCAGGTATCTGATTACGTGTGTGTATACTGTGGAAGCGTTTCAGATACGGACCTGGTCCACCAGATAGACCTGTTGCTTGCGGATTTCGGATCTGTGGCATGGAAGACAGGTTCTGAACGTGTAAAGCCACGTAAGAGGTTGGTAGACCGTATCCTCATAGCTCGCTTGCCGGAGTCTGGAGTTATAATTCCTTCCAAGTCGCTGCGCTTTAAAGACGCATAAGCTAGGTACATAGACACCTACCTGCCTCCTGCCTCCTGCCTCCTGCCTCTATAATATGGATGTATGTACTGTATACCCCTAAGTAGATATAAGCAGCAAACGCCTCAGGGCCTGCCTGCCTGCCTGCCGCCTTCTTCAACCAGCCATGATCTCCAATCTTTCTCTCCTGCTCGCCCTATACGAAGACCTGCACATCATCAAATACATATGAAGCGAAGAATACGCAACCTTACTGTAAATCAGGTTCGACTGCATAGTATCTGCTAGCTCGAGGCTTAGACAGGTACTAAGTATGTGGGAGTGTAGCAATTGGGCTCGACCGTCCCAACGCCATCAGTCCGGTGTAATCCTTTACATGTAAGCAGCAATGATCTAATAAACTTGAACAAGCTTTCCGCTCCCAGTAGGGCTTAGCCTGTCGGCACCTAGCCGAAAGACACATTCGTCTCCCTAATGGACCCCGAGGTTCCAGGCCCAAGAAAATTATTATCACCAGTCACACTGCATACAATGGACCTTGTCAAGATGCGCGATACTACTGCATTGCTGCCTGCCTGTAGGAAGATTGTCGAAAGTGACAAAACGAGGGGAAAATGTCTGTGATTCTGAAAATGACGGAATCTCAGGAGGTGCCGCCGTACCGTATCGTACCTAGGTAGTAGTAAATGGACGAATCACAATAAACATGGATCATCATGAAGCTCCTTGTCCATATCTGGCTGGAAGTGCCTATTACATTATTCTCATTTATCCTCATTAGAGGGCATCTTATGCTAAGTTCGTATCAAAGGTACGTACGCAACCCAAACGCCGTCAATGTCCTGCCGTTAATGCCATGCCGCCAATGCCATGCCGCCTCCATGAAAGAACCGTTTTGTAAATGCAGATGGCTAATCCAGCGCCTCGCCGCTCAAGATGCTCTTCAGAATATCAGCACCGAGCCCTTCTATAGCTTGCTCCAACTCCTTCTCCCCAACACAGCTCGCAACCCTTCTTTCATCCGCCAATCCGGCCCCCGATGTAAATGCATTCTTCTTCCCTCTCCTGCTTGGTGTATGTAACATGGCGAAAGAACCCGTCTTTCCGTCGACAGCGGAGACCAGGGACAACGTCTCGAGACTGTCCATGACCTCTCGGAATTCCGAACTAGACAACGGATGTAGCACTGATTCTCGAGTGCATAGAAGACTATATGTCTCGTATAACGTCTTGATGCTTGGGGCGATGGTTCGCGACTTGGATGGCGTAGACAAGACCGATGAGGCTTGAGATGCCCTGTTTCGCTTTTCGAGGGCCATCAGAGAGCACAATCCTGCCTTCTGTTGCAAGTTCAAAGTCTTAAGTCGTTGATTTGTTCCGTTGCTAAAAGCGGCAGCAGTAATCTTGTTCAGATGCGCTATGCTCACGCGAGGTGCCGTTTCCGGTGTCAGGGCTTTCAACGATTCTGCTAACATCGCTGTTTCTGATGATCGTTTTGATGGCGAGGATTGGTTCATGTTCTCTCCCAAGGGTTTTCGGGACGGCGTAGCGAGGAGCATCTTCTCCTTGATATCAGCCTCGTGCTTCTGCTTCGTCTCCATCTCCACGAGGTCAATGGCTCTTCGGCAGATTTCGAAAGCTTTGCGCAAGTCGCCCGTTTGGCTTGATACCTTGCGAGAACAGAGTTCAATGGCCGCTGGGTGAATGAATGGGAGGGGACTGCCTTCTGGCACGAGGCTCCTTAGGCGTGTAGTGATTATTGTCTTGATTTGTGCTGCCGAGTATGGCAAGAACGGGAGGAGCTCTGGCTTTAGGTTGCGAGACTTGAGGCGTGGGAGAAATCGGTCCGTCAGGTCTAGTGCGTTCGCAATGCCAACTAGGACGAGGCGCGATGACTTCTGCATAGACCATTCAAATAGCTGGTATAGACTCTCGAGGTCCAGTGTGAGTATGTGATCAATCTCGTCTAGAACAACTAGGTAGACTTCTGCCGACTTTTTGCGCGGCACAAAGATTTTCTGGATTGTCGTTGCCACATCTCCGTCGGGTATATCTGTCTCGTCGCAAATTTGGTCCACAAGTGTTCCATAAAGGTCTTTGGACGATTTGATGCTCATACAGTTGACGTACACCTTCTTGACAACACCCGACTCGGCTAGCTCTTGTGTGACTTCGTTTACCATCGCACTCTTTCCCGTCCCTGGAGGTCCGCTGACATAGATGCATCCACTGGGTTGAGACTTCGAGCATCGCTGTAGAAATTCCTTAAGCTGTACGCGCTCGTTGTCTCGTCCAATCAATTGGCCAGGTTCAGCGCTTCGGGAGAAGAGTTGACGTGCGTGGTGATACACGGTTTGTATTGCGGTGGGTGTGAGAGGTGACTGCGGAAAAAGTCGCTTCGAGATTCTACCTGCTGACATGACCCGATGACGAGGGGTGACAGGTACTTTGGAAAGAGCATCTCGGAATCGAGGCGTACTCGGCGTAAGTGGTGTGTATGCTGCAGCAGGTTCGGTTAGACAATAATCTTTGTAAATGTGTTAAGAGAATATTCTTACTTTGTTTGCTACTATCTGCACTGTGGACTCGTTGAGAAGGGGATGTCTTGGCGACTGGTACCTCTGCGTCACTATCGCAATTGGATTGGTCACTGTTGACGGATTCCTCTGGGCTAACATTCTCATCGTTAAGGAGCTGCGAGCTGCGAGTTTGGCGTCTTGTTCGCTTTGTAGGCGTATCGGAGACATCTGGAGCCTCTAGCTTGGGGGTCAGTTCCTGTACTTTTCCTGTACTTTTGGCAATAATAAATAAATCATTGTTGTTCTTACCAATATCCTTTGTACTTCTAGTCCTCTTTCCGAGAGTAGATCGTACCATCTTGACTATTATTGCTGTTTCTGCTTATTGTGTTGGTTTTTGGGTTGATATTTCTTTTTGTCCAAGGTAAGCATGAAGTTGTAGTTGTAAAGATGTAAAGATGTAAAGGGAGAAGGTCAATGTGTAGAAAAAGTCAAGAGCTAAGAGCTAACTCTTAAAAAGTTGTAGAGACCAAATTAACCAGGAAACGACGCGGGTCCACCGAACGCGAGGAAGTCGCGTAAATTGATTTCAAGTGTTTCGACGCTAAGGCGTTCAATGCACGGAGCACAGTGACAAATGTTGAAAACCCCTGAGGCTTGAGCGCGTATACCTATGTAAGTACTCGCGTAGCGGTGGCTGATTGCAGTGGAGACCTGAGTGGCTTAAGTGGGACCTGAGTCGAAATTGTGGCGCAGGAAGTTCTCTAGCCTCCCCCACCTTTGACCTTGGAGTCTTGGAGAGTTGAAAGTCAAAAAAGGAACAAGGCGATCTCCGCACAGCTGGAATGCAACGTTAGTACCCAATCTAGGATGCCCTAGGTAGTAAATGGTCAGCTGCCGACGGCAACTTATCCAAATGCATTCATTTCCATTTATTCCTGACGATTGGTCTACCTTATTATTCATACAATGACATACATAGTATTAGTTATGTATCTACATAATCTATTCATCTTATTCATTGAATCGTCGAGTTGCCACCAAAAATAGGATCCCACTTTTGAAAGCACTTGGGCAATCATGATAATGATTCAGATGCATAAGTGCCATAAGATTATGTACTTTGTTAAACGTTTATCTATGTCACTTACCTATTAAATAAAAACATCCCTTATTAACTAACCCTTAACTCTACTACATAATACCTTGGATAACTCCTAAATGGGTACTGTCTGTCTATCTATCTATGTTGGCGCGTAGGACAGCTTTGACTTATGGATTTCCCGTCTTGACACCATCGATATGACGGACGATGGTAACACGGCATATAACAGCCGCATCGAGGGGCTTCGACAATATGAATTCCCCATGCTACAAGGCAAGCAGACCTTCAAGATATCTCTCTCTATCACATGATGTCTTGACTAACAAGCTCGACAGATGAGATTTATCTCGACCATGCCGGGACAACCCCATATGCCAAGTCTCTTATAGACAGATTCGCTGCGGATATGACGTCGAATCTATTTGGTAATCCGCATTCTGCTTCTTATTCTTCCCAGAACTCAACATCCCGGATCGAGGACGTTCGACTTCGGGTTTTGCAGTTCTTCAATGCGGATCCCTCCGAGTTCGATCTTGTTTTCGTTGCCAACGCCACCGCCGGTGTTAAGCTCGTAGCCGAGGCATTCCGAGGCGGCGCTCTTGGCTTCGATTATTTATATCATCAAGCATGTCACACTAGCTTGGTAGGTGTTCGGGAGGAAGCTGTCAATAATGTGTGTCTCGATGATGCTGCCGTAAACAAATGGCTAGGCGGGACCAGCCCAGCCGCCGAATTTGAGCAGCATGCCAGGCCAATTCTATTTTCCTATCCGGCCCAATCCAATATGGATGGTACCCGATTCCCTTTAGATTGGTCTAGCCAATTACGCAGAAGCCACCCGACGTTGGGCCGCCAGGTCTTCACGTTACTTGATGCTGCAGCATTTGTGGCAACATCACCTTTGGACTTGAGCAATTCAGAGGAAGCCCCCGATTTCATTGTGTTAAGCTTTTATAAAATCTTTGGTTTCCCTGATTTAGGGGGCCTGATTGTGAGACGCCAAGCGGCATCCATTTTCCAGTCTCGAAGATATTTCGGAGGCGGGACCGTTGATATGGTGGTTTGTCTCAGAGAGCAATGGCATGCCCCCAAAACGCAGACTTTACACGAGTCATTGGAAGATGGATCGCTACCAGTGCACAACATTGTTGCATTAGACTCGGCCCTCGATGTTCATCACCAATTATTCGGGACCATGAAAGATGTCTCACTTCATACCTCTTTCCTTACTCAAAGGCTGTATTCCGGGCTGGCTACCTTGAAACATGGCAATGGCCAGCCAGTGTCCATCATGTACTCCCAATCCCCACCAGCCTGTCGGGAGCTGATAGGGGGCCCCCTTGGTAATGGTCCAGTTGTCGCTTTCAACTTGCAAAATCATTTAGGGGGTTGGGTCAGCTTGGTCGAATTCGAGAAACTGGCGGTGCTGAAACGATTCCATGTTCGTACCGGAGGACTCTGCAATCCAGGCGGAATTGCGTCCTCTCTTGGTCTCGAGCCGTGGGAAATGAAGCAGAACTTCTCCGCAGGTTATCGCTGCGGGACTGAAAATGACATTATGAAAGGAAGACCAACGGGAGTAATCCGAGTGAGTCTAGGTGCCATGAGCACAATTTCAGATGTGAACAAGTTCATTACCTTTATTATTGAATTCTACCAGACCAAAGATGTCCCTCAACCAACACCACTTATTACGATTCCTACTCGCCACGATCTATCAGATCTATATGTAGAGAGCATTACAGTATATCCAATCAAAAGTTGCGGTGGATTTCGCATTCCCAATGGAGCAAAGTGGGAAGTTAGGGCAGAAGGGCTAGCTTGGGATCGAGAATGGTGTCTGGTGCACCGTGGAACTGGCCAGGCACTAAGTCAAAAGCGACATCCACGTATGGCTCTCATCAGACCAACCATTGACTTTTCCAGTGGACAATTAAGAGTCTCGTGGCGTGGGCCATCTTTGGGACAAGGCATATCTGAGGTAGAAGTACCTTTATCGGCGAATCCAGGCCTATTTCAAGCAAGCATGACGTCCAAATCGATGGCTTCTAGGGTCTGTGGTGAGGAGATATCTGCTCAGATTTATACCTCTAGCAAGGTGAATGACTTCTTTTCAAATATTCTCGGAGTGTCATGCGCACTAGCCCGCTTCCCTCCAGGTGGGATGGGGAAGAGCATGAGGCATGCCAAAGCACACTTGCAAAAGCATCAAAAGGTCAATAGGAGGGCACATTTTCAGATGCCTTGCCAATACCCGGGTATGGATACTCCTCCGGACTCGGATTCAGAATCTGAGCGACAACGAATCCTGTTGTCGAATGAAAGTCCCATTCTTGCGATCAGCCGATCCAGCCTCGAGGCCTTGAATAGTGAAATAACTAAACAAGGAGGAAAGGCAGCTTCTCCGGAAGTATTCCGTGCTAATATCGTTGTCGGTTCGCCACTAACAGAAGTGTCATCACATGCTTATTCAGAAGATCATTGGTCTAGTCTACGGATCGGACAGCAAAATTTCAAAATGCTAGGTTCCTGTCGAAGGTGTCATATGATCTGCATAGACCAGGAAACGGCAGAAAAGAGTGAGGAACCATTTATTACCTTGACTAAGACGAGGAGGTTTGATGGAAAGGTGTTCTTTGGTACACACATGTGCCATACACCCTTATCAGACACTAGTACCAGAGAGACTCAGTTTCCCACTATCATGGTGGGAGAAAAGGTGCATGTAGATCCTTTATAGGGAGCATAAATATGACTACTTACCAATGATGTACTCCCACATAACTACCTAGCACATGGCTGATATCTATGGACGTGTTGTGAAGAAATACTCTTGTAGATACTACTATGCAAGTATTTGCATTCGTGGATGCTTACATAGCCCGGCATCTATGTAGGCTTGTGAACGTATTTGTACGCGCATTCTTTGCCTCCGTGACACGTACCAGGTAACTAAGTCATAGACATCAACCATACAGTCATAAGTAGGTATAGATGTGTGATGTTTATTTATAGGTCGTGAATTGTTGCCTGTCATGTCTTGTGCACTACCAGGTAATACATACATCTATCTATCTAGGTAGGTACTCAGGTATGCCTTTTTGTTATATAGCATTCACACCATGTGCTTAAGGTATACCTCTATTAGAGATTGAATCTCATCCATTGTTTTGCCCCTGCCTATGAGTAGGTTCGAGTGATTACATAGGTAGTTTTTGGTAGGTAGATTCCCCCCAAAACAGCCCCTGAGGTCACTATAAAAGTACGAGATAAAATAGGGGCAAGGAGCCCAGTCGATATATGCCTACTGCCTCGAAACTATACACTCATATATACATACCTGTAATGATTACCATACCAATTCGATCCCTTGGCTTTATTTACATATCTACCTATCTACCTAGGTAGTAAGTAAACATGGACACCTTACCCACTACCAAAACAACACCCAAATAAGAGTGCGATCCAAATACGTGACTCACTTTCATCAATTTCATCACTCCACGTTAAACAAACACCCATCATGTATATCCATGATGGGGTATTCTACCCAAACAGTTTCTTCAGCAAGCTTCCCATGTGCTTAGATATTACACGTACTTCTTCATCCCATCTTCATTATATCCTTCCCTACAGCCACAGCACAACACGCGCTCGTGTCAGCTCCCTCGTCATGTCCTCAACTTCACTCACTACTCATTTACTGATTCACAACACCGAGTGATTCATAAATGATCACCATCCCAATCCAAGTGAGTTCGTACAGCATCCATCATCGACTGGGGCTGTTCCGGTCAGTCATCGGGAATCTCAACACCATGACAAATGCCGAGTGAACGAATAGCTTACGACACTACACACTGTACCTATCTACGGTATCAGTCCTATTTCTCTTGTCACAAGACACAAATCAATACGTCGTATCATTTCTTTCGATCACAGCTTGTCACAGACCCGGAGCCTTCTGGAAGCCGTGCTAGCGTTGACTTCACCAACCCTATTGGCATTAACTACTGCTACAGGTGCCTCAACTGCTTGATGAATTATCTAGATGGTAAGCCATTACTATGGCAATCGCAAAAACAGCCACGTCCCCTAGCCATCATATACTGACTAAATAAAATATCGCAGGATCCGACAAAGCTCGCAGAAATCCTGCAATTGAGCCTAGGGCTCCTGGAAGGGCTCACTTTCGAGTCTCATATCGAGCTATCTGAAGTTCCAGGAGATGCTCTTGCGCTTTTTTCACAGGCAATCAGCTTTGAGAGTACCCCAGAGTTGGCTCGAACCTCAATTGCCGATTTCATGTGTCCTATCTTTCTCACCTGCCACAAAAACGAGGATGCGTACCGCCGGTTTAGAGGCGACGGAGCATTCTATTATCTGATCCTGTCTGAGTTGGACGCGGAGCACCCTGCCTCACCAATGTCACCAGCTGCTATCGCGCAGCTCGTTTCTCTGTTCGTCGGTGCTCGCCGTCGGTATCTGGCGGGCTCGTCACATACAAGAGGCAGGACAAATCTAACCGTCACGATTGATCCCTTCATTACCATTATAGACAGCGTTGATGCCTCCTTACCACCGAGGTACCATCCCAGCCTAAAGCCGCCCCGTGGGGCCCGGACCGGACGGGCATGGCCACCCGCACACTTCAGTAACCTCGACGTCGCGATTATGGGGGAGAGCGAAACTCGCAAGGAGCTCTTCGGCGTCAATCATGAGAGCATCAGCAACAAACCAGAGGTGTATCCGCATGATCAAGATGGTCCTTTGGAGGTCCGCAAGTACCTCTGTCGGCTCGCGTTGACAAGAACGACTCCGGGTTCTGACGTCTCCCTGTTCCTGGCTCCCGTGGCATTCACATCAAGCAAGGAGCGACAGGAATGGTATCAGCCCACTGGTCACAAGTCGCGGTACTATGCTACTGTCGACGAGTTTCTCAGCTACGCAGCCGAAGAGTTCAAGAACAGAGCCGACGGTGCAAAGCGTCACGTCATAGGTCTGCTGACCCCATGGTTCTTCGACGTCGGCCAGGTCGCGGACATGGCCGTCGAAAGACGAGCATCAAGCTATATGGCGTGGCAAGGGCGCTGCTTCAGGGCCGGCATGATGCTGGCTCTGACTAGGCATGGGCGTGCCGGTGCCAATTCGACTTACGAGCTGGTGCTCTTCCAGCCGAAGATTCCTCAGTACGTCAACGCGGCGGAGCCGAAGAGCCGGAGATCAGAGCAGGAGACGTGGATAGGAGAGCTCCTTGAAAAGCTAGACGATCAGTTTCGAGTAACCCGGGGCTGGGTCGGGGGCAAGGCATTGGCACACGTTGAGAAGCGCAGCAGTCGTCGCGTCTCGCCCGACTCCGTCGAAGTCTCGTGCGAGATCATAGAAGAGCTCATGATCGACGTGGGCACGCTCCCCACCAACAAGACAGAGTTTCTCGACAGGGGTTTCCAGGAAATGGACCGGTACTCTAGTTCTTAGGACACAACTTGGATGGTTTGCGGGCTGGCGAGTGCCCAAGCCCCGAAGAGAGTGGATTCAATCCCATGGGGGGAGGAAACTCTTAGGTACATGTCACTGACATAGTGTTGTATCTTGGCTTCACTTAGAGATCTACCATGGACCGGAGAAAACGCTGATCCCCGGGATTGCTTCATTATACTGTCCTGTGCTGATACGGAAGCTGACATGAGAGGACTCTTCAAATTGGGCCGTGGCTGGTTTTACCGGAAGTACATATCAGAGTAGACCTTCCCTCTCCAAGGAAAAGCGTTGGTGTTATACGCAAGCCGACGACTATGATAAGGATTAGGGAGCCATTAGGGAGTTTCGCCCCAGCAGACGAGATGACTGAGAAACAAAAGGAAGAGTGGTACTCGCCGTCGAATCACTCGTGCTTGCGGTCGCTGCAACTTACAGAACTAGCGAGGCGATTATGGCAAAGTTGTGGCTGAGTGCAGCATCGCGGGTGTCCCAAGCACCGTAAGCAGGCCTGCGAGCCGGAGCAGTGACTACACAGAACAGCATGGCGAAGCGTCTACGGGCCGTGGGCAGCTAAGCAACCTCCCTCATCGGGGAGGTTGCCTTGAAGTTTCTGCATGTGCGCGTTTGGTGCGGTCTTCTTCTCTAGATGAGCATAACATTACATCGTGGACTACATACTAGAATGACAAACTCGGACGCGCGTCTTGATCAACAGATACCGTGGTTTCTTTGGTGCTTAAAGAAAGTTCTTTCAACCTATTTGCCGCCCCTCGACTGTCCAAGGATACAGCCACACTGAACCGAGAGTGAGGCGCTCTGAAAATCGTTGATATTGGCGGGTTTGATTATTTTATCAGATTGCCTTGACAAACAGAGACAACCAACAGAGGTCATCCGATTCCTATAGGATCAAATCATATGTGGTTTTAACGGATAAATCGTTTTCCTTGATCGACAGACGTCGTCGTTAATACGTCCTCCTTACCATCGATTACCTTTGGTGAAGACTTCGATGGTCTCCTTATACTGATACTCGACGATTCGATCGCCTGACCTTTTCCCCCCTCATTTTCATCGAGGGCGGTGTCGACGACCTTGGGTTGAACATTTCGTCCTGTCGGTTTTCGACCGTTCGTGGGGATCTAAGGCGTATCAAGAAGATAGCTCAGCCCACGAACCTATGCGATCTCGAAACATATATGGGGATGACCGGATTTTTGCGGCGATACATCGCATGGTACAATCAGAAGGGCAAGCCCCTACAAAAGCGTAAAACCGAACTAATCGCAACCAAACGGAAGAGTATCATCAAGGGCGTACCAAAGACGCCAACAGCCAGGAAGCGCTGGGCAAAGAGCGTAGCCTTCGAACCCAATGCGGCAGACAAGGAAGGCTTCAGACTTCTGCAAGCCCAGCTGACAGACCCCATCTACCTACCTAATACAGTGGAACTATGGTATGACAACCTTCTTCAAGATAGACGCCTCACTGGACCGAAAAAAGAAAAAAGAGAAGAGAACTAGTAGCTACAGCATCGAACACGCTTCATTCCCAGGTCCACCTTTTCATCTTTTGCAGCTCCTTCCACAGTGCCCAACATATACCACGTCGTGGAGCTTATGACGGATCCGTTTGTTTTGCAGCCCTTGAATACTTGGAAGTTGCACGTATCACGCCAATATAATGTCCGCAACGGTTGGAGAAGGAAAGCCTAGGGAACTCATCTTTTATCGATGTCGACAGGTTTTGTTTTGATAGGGCTGATGGTTAATCTGAGAGAGAGGATATGTCACTCTACTTGGGATGGGATACTGCCTATATATCGCCACGGCCTCGTCGGGAGGACCAGATTGAAGATAAGGCTAGAACTAGAACACCTGTGAACATGGCCTAATTATGAAAGTTTTCTGTGAATGGCAATGTGATAAGAAACATTAAGCAAGCATGTGTACAGTATGATAGTGGACCTTTGTGAATATGAATAACTACATGAAGTGTAATGGATCACGGGTTTAGGGGTTAAGGGGATAGGGGTTAGATCATCGGGGCTCGGAGAAATGGTTTTCCTAAAAGAAAGTAGCCTAGGTTAGTTAGTCACTTTGTAATTCATTTCAAGTTAACAATTTGCACATGTAACCGGGGTACCTAGTACCTTGGGATGCTCGGGCAGCCGGGCTAGTAGGTACGGTATCTAATGTACGGTACCTAATCTATTACCTTCCATCTTTTTGTCCCTTCAATCTTCAATTGTTCCAATTGTTCCAACATTCCAACATTCCAACTTAGTTCCACCTCTCACAACTCCTAAACGACAAACTTCATCCCGAATCAACGCACGCAGACGACTCTGTCAAATTTTCGATATTTTCGATATTTTCGATATTTTCGATACACTACAAAAAACACAATAGTCATGTAACCAAACTTTACGCTACATACCTACCTGAATAGGTAGTTATGTAAAATTCGGCGACTTATCTCACCTAGCGACCTAGCGACCTAGCGACCTACCGGTGTCTACCACTTCCCACCATAATGCCTTATCGTCATTAGCCCCTCTGTCTTGGGGGCATGTCCTCGGAGCATAGTTCATAATTCGAAGTCTAGGTGGGCTCAACAATCATGCGTCTCACTTTTAGAAATCGACCATCAGTGTGTAAGTTTCCTTCAATGCTAACTTGGCCTTCTTGTGTTGTATTGCTACCTACTTAGCATACAACCTAGCATATGTACATATATATATATGAAGCTGACGGGTTCTTTCAGCCGTGAACTCTCGGATACTTCCTTAATTGAAGTGATATGCTTCGCACTCCACTCTTCGCACCTCCCCCTCGGTTCGTGCTTCGATAAGACTTACAAAATGGCTTGAGCTGTCCCATTCTTTCTCGTCGGCCTCGTCGGCATATCCATCGCCGTGTCGTCCTGGGCAGGACGTTAAAAGGCCCAAATTTGTGGATTTCTCAAGAGGGTTCACACGACTGGTCCTAGGCATTGACGTAATGGTAAAAGGCCTGCTAATAGCCATTGGACTCAGCCTGGTTTGGTCTGGGGCGGGACAAGGAAGGCTATGGGTGGTGTTGCGTTTCGCAACAGCCTCACGCATGTACGGCACCCACGGAATGCATGAGCATAATGAATTGTTTGCATGATTCTTTGGATTTCCGGCATACTATAGAATTGGATATGGCGTTCCTCGTCATGTACGGTGAGCATTGCCTTACCTAGGCAGACATATAGTACCTTCTGCACCGGGATTTGCGCTGACTGGCTGTGTCTAGTAAATTAGTGTACGATCTATCTAGAGGGCTTCTAGTTCGGTCAAGTTTATAGATTCGGGCACGCAAGGCACAACGGTAACGACATGGTACCATCGGCGATCTTGTATAGGAATGGTCATGGAACGGCAACTTGGTTTCTTCTACGAGTAAGCATTCGAGGCGTTTTCCAAGGTCTAGGTAGCATTTTAGGCGCCAATGTTTTGTAAGTCTGTCTAATAGACTGCATCATCTTTTCGACACACCAACTAACATATCCAAAGCGGCCAGATAGTCCTATGATCGTCGTCCTAGGCAAGACGATAAACGGCCTTATTCCGACGAATCCACGGATAAGTCTAATAGACTCTAATCAATGATTAGGTTGATTAGATGATTGGAGAAGCAAGAGGGTTAGAAGGAGCCTCGCTCAGCACTTCACTCTACGCTTCACTCTACAAGGCATCGGGCAAGATCGATATTTGATCCCCGAGTGCAACGAACAAAGTGCAGTTTTGTAATTCCATCGACGTCATGGTTTCTGCATCTTGAGAGGACTATCATAGGCTGCATCACCATTCCAGCATCAGATCGCGACTTGATGCTGGAGGGCCTAAAGGCGTCTCGATTTCTGCGCTCGTGGTTACGGCAGTTACGAATATGACCATGCTTGTACTAGTCAGATTCACGGCCCAGCCACCGAAGCTGGTAGACGGCAATTCTAGGAATTAATTTTTTTTTCTTTGTTTGTGCCCTCTCGTAAGGACTCGGGGAAATGTCCCGAGTGCCTATTTGTTCGAAAGTTTTTGGCAATCGAGCTGATCGTATACAAGCAAGATGCATCGGCAATCTGCTTCGCCATCTTGTGGCGACCCCTTGGGCTAATTCGCCAGCATAGGGCTGTTGGCCTGTTGGCCGATTTAGGCTTCGGTGTGGTCGCATGTACCTCCATGTGCTTGGGTTCTTTCTGAAGGAGAGAAGCGCGATAGTAAGAGCGTCATGCCGGAAGCGAGGGTGGATTACCGACTTATTCTTCTTCCTAAGGGAAGGGGACCAACTTGACAACTATTTATCCACTGTCGTCTATGGTAGAAGCTACTTTGCTCCGGAGCCAGCATCTCGGACTAGGCCGAGGAGAACCCATCCCACGCTGATAAATCTGCCTCCTTCGTACTGATTCTGAGCAACCGGATCGGTCGAAGCCACCCGGAGGCGTGGGAGAAAGCTTTGGAAGGAAGATGAATGCCCTCACCACACCTCTCCTGGGATTAGTGTGGTGTGTGAGCGAGGGGCTGGGCTGGTCGCGTCTCTCTGTGGACAGGTTCGCGGGTTCGCCCGTCCTGTCTCAAAGGCCCCCGGCTCGATTGCACATGCCAGCCACATCCGGGCGAAACACAAACCCCCAACTGTTCAAAGGCCCATCTCGCAGTTTGGGGGATTATGGGCAGTTTTCCCTAATATTTGTTTTCCAATTAAGTTTCTTCTGATATCCCCCTCACGATATTTATGCTTCTTGATCCTTTTTTATACATATATATAATCTTGTTTTTTCTGGTCTTTTATCGGCATCAACCAGCGAGATATACCCAAAAGCAAAGATGAGAAAACGACAAAACATAACATCCACGGATCTTTGGATGAACGAGAACCGAAAACCAAAAAAAAAAGAAAAAAAAAAAGAAAAAGAAAATAGGAGGCAACCAGTGGGGACTTTGTGTCCAAGTGTGGGATGTCGTTTTGGATTCCCCTGCACACTGACTTTAGTTAGTAGAATAGCTGGATAGCGTAAATTCAAGCTGGGCATTGCCTCCGACCTGCTGCAGTCTTCTTTTGAGTTGTGATATGTTGAACTTGACTGTTAGTGTTGTTGGTAGGTACATAATGCCTGCGTGTTCTACATATGCCTTCTACATATTTGCAAAACAGCGCTGTTAATTTGCAACCATCATGATAAGAGCATAACTTTCAAGTCAATCGTGATTGGTGAACTAATATATTGAGATTTTGGATATTCTCTAGGTTACAGGATTCAAGCTTTGGAAAAAGGGGCAAAAATGCATTATCACATTCCCAAGTTTTTCAAGAGTACCAACATATAAGGTGCGTATGTAAGTACATAGGTAGGATAATTCATGAACAAGTATTTTTTGTAATTTTTTTAATTATAGAGGTAGTTATCATATACAACCCAACTCAAAACGCCAGCTACCAGCCTTATCATCTTTCCAGATCGACCCTCGGCGTTATACTAATCCATAGCGTGGGTGGTAAAGTAAAATCAGGTAAGGTAAGAAAGAAAGAAGACTAATATCCATTCCATTTCTTGCAATTTGGTGACCCACGACAGCTTTTGTAGGTAGAAACTACCACAGAATCCTGTATTTACTTGACGTTTTTTGAGTTTAATGGCATATTGGGATGCGTATGGCGAGATGAGCTCAGTGATGTGAGGTAGGTCCAGGTAGGTTGGTAGGTTTGGTTGGTAGGTAGGTAGGTAATGTGAGTATATGTGTTTAACATATTGACGCCTTCACTTGAACACCCATGAAGTCTTCTTAACCCTGTATCGCCGACTTGCTTGCGGCTAGAAAAGGGGTTGGGTGTGATCTATTTCGTGGGGCTCTGCGGACCACGCGTGAAGCTGTGTGTGTGAAAGAGAGATGGTTAGTTAAGACACTCTGGCATGTGCGGATAGGGAAGCGTGGGGGGGGAAAGGAGAAACATACTTGTGCCACATCTGCCCGATGAAACCCGACGTAGGCTTCTGCTCGTGGAGGCTGGCTCGCCTGGCCATTGACCTAGGGTCGCTGCCGCGCTTTTGGTTCATCAGGTTGTCGAAGGATGGGCCGGAGCTCTGTAGGTATGGTTGTTAATAGGAGGTTTGATAGGACGGGAGTGTGGAAGCTTCATCGATATGCATGTTGTGTTGTTCACATATACAGGCGGGGTGTGCTACAATGGGAATAAACATACTCTTCGGCGAGAGGTTCCAGAGTTGGTTGGACCAGTGCTGTCTTTAGAACTATCCATGTTGAGTGTCTTAGATATATGTGACTTGAGCTTGTAGCTGGATGTAGTAGGTAAGGGTGGTAGGTAGTACAGTGGTAATAACAATAGAGGAGAGTTTAGGCCGTTGTACAAAGAATAGTAGTGTTTGGAGGTAAGAATTAGAGTTAAGAGTATAGAGTAGAGAGAGGAGGGTAATGATCCCTTTATGTAGCTGTGTAGGTACAGTACTGTACGTTGTGTGTGCCCTGTGGACCACAAAGAACGATTTCCAATCAAACGACGGCAGATTCCAATACTTCTGAAGATAAGCAAGTTGCTTCCTACGCTACTGCATCTTTCCTATTTTCCATGTTACTAAGTAAGTTGGATTGATCAGCGGACCAGTCTACCGGCATTCGGGGCTAGGTTGGTCTAAGGAGCGAAGCTGTCCCTCGTTGATGACTTCACCAATGAGGGTAGGACATCGGGATGGCTCGACTAGGTATCTAGTAAGGGGGGGAGACTAAGAGACTTCCCCGTCTGAATCGTATGTTAGTAGGTTCAATATTATGTATGTATGTATGTCACATACTGTACTTCTGCATTCAAAACTAGGCAACGTCATAGGCGAAGATATGCAAATAGCTCCAGATGTCCATCCTTGCCTATTGCCTGATAGGGAGGGATGCACATTTGCATTTGCTTATTGTTCACATAACTACACACTGCACGGCACTGCACGCTCTTTTACCCCGCAAAGGAAAGGAGACAAGGAGACAAGGAGATCGCGGAGGGTTATATATCGGTCATCGAATCAGAAACCTTCGATCTTCGCTTTGCTGCTGCCTTGACGAACATTGAATAGAAATGGAATGTGAATGACACCACGTACTGTATTTCTAAGCATGTTATATATCAGTATAATACACCAACACCTACCTCCTGTGTATCTACTTTCCTAGGTTAGATACTTATTCACTTACCACTTTCAATGAACAACATAAAGCCACATTCAATTATTACAACAGGCTGAGGCCATGTCCATAACATCGAAACTGATCAGATTGCCACATTGAAGATTAGATGTGCTTAGTTAGAGAGATAGAGACATGATGTCCTAGTCCTACATAGGGTACCCTAGGCAAGGTAGCTTGTAAGTTAAGTTGTAACTAAGTTAGAACTTGCATTGCATGCATTAGAAGCAGCTTGGTGGAGAAGCTAACCATGTGGGCCAATGATGCAACCAGGTCCAGGCCTGCCTACTCTGTATCGCTCCACTTTCCCCAGAAAATCATATGGATGCCGGCTCAAGAGCTTCCTTAGGGGTTCCATTGCTACTAGGTTACGTACATAAGTAGCTGCCAGTCTGCGACGTCGTCTTAGTCACCGAGGTCACCGACGCAAACAAAATATTCATAGATTCCATAGATGGATATGACACTAAAATATTGTAGATAAACCATTCTATTATATTAGGTCTGATCTTGTACATCTGGCACTAGATATGTGCTAGCTACCTAGGTTAGATATTTATCAATCGAGGGAGCCACTCTTCATCCAAGATAAAAGTACCATCTATGACCTACCCCTCCCCCCAAGCTGAAATAACCAACATTCCAGACTGCCCAGCGTAAGAAACAGTGTTGAATTACCTTTACAAGCACGAACTCCTAAAGAAGAATATTAGCTTCCATGTATCGTCAAGCAACATAGAAAGATCAATCCGAAAGCTCCTTCAGTTCTCCAAGGTGAAAATACACAAAATATCGTCACAAGACTGACCTTTCAAGACAGTACGTCTAGTTACGTCAAAGCATACGGTACCTAGCATAATAGTCGAGTCAGCGACATCGGCAATCAGGTATAACGATTGAAGTATAATAGAAGGATATCAGGCTATTCAGGTCAGCTTTAAACATCCAGATAGTATCGTTCGGATGGTTTCATACCTCATTAAATCAGATTTGTTTAAATGTTCATTTCCACGCCCATTGGACGGGATCAAACAGTGTGAATAATGTTCATCATTTTGCGACGGGACAACCAAACTTCAGAAGAGAGTAATTACCTGCTAACGTTAGTCATATTTCCAGGACTTTTCAGCAACGATGCAGTGGAGTTGCAAGAGACAATCAGTTGACGAATTCTCAACAAGAATCCCTCATGGACCTCCTCCCACAAGGTTTTGTACGACCCTGATTTGGACGGGAGAAGCCACAAGGGTTCATTTATGTCCGCCCGTTCGTTCAATATATCCTCATGTGAATATGATAAGAAGGCATGGTGGGTGAATATGTACCTAGTCGAGCAAGCTAGTTAGCAAAGTACACAAATGCATATCATCAAATAGCTAGCAAGATAGGTATGAGGTCAGACAAGGCTGAAACTAAACAAATCTACATAGTATGATTCTGAATGAGGAATTCCCTAGGTTTGTTGATTTCTTCATCACCCCTCAAATGGTAATATTTCCATAGCGTTTGGAATTATAGAGGAAAAAGCACATACCTTTTAGAAAACATACGCAAGAGCGACAGCGAAGTAGTCACCAGGACCACAGACGAGACCTACACTGATTCCAGTTAGTCAATTGGCATCCGCAATGTTAACTGCAATAAAGGCTCAGTGTGCTTGCTCAGATATTAATATGCTTAAGATCCCCATTGTGTTGTGTTGTAAGATTTGGATTGTTCAATTTTTTTTGATCGTCACAGCAGGAAGACGAGATCGAGAAGGTGTATTGGTAGAATGGAAAACTTACGTTGAGATAGAATCAGAAGCTCTTTCAAACATAGAGCAGAAGAAGAGAAGGTAGAGCAAAGTGCATGACTAGAATTGGTAACAATGTCGAATAGGAAACTTTTGAGGACGAAGCCAAAAATGTTTGTGGAAGAAAAAGAAAGTTCGCAAGGACGACGCAAAGAAAATAAAGAAATTTCGTTGGTGGGGATTTGCGGAGCCCACCTTGAAAAAATAAACCGCTAGAGCCGCTAAAGCTGCTAGCAAGTGCCTCGAAGCTCTGCCAGCTGGTCCAAGTGGTCATTGACATCGGACATCGGATTTAGTCCAATCTTAGAGTGTGGCAAGGTAAGTACTGCGCCACGTAACTACCCATGATTACCTAAGTAATCCTTATCGATGTAGATACATATACCCTCGTCATCGCCCTCACCGGTACTTCCGCCACTTAACCTTATCAACCTTCATTTATCAACCCGTTCGTTCGCCGCAATACACTGCGACGAACACCAGTTGAAAAAGATGGTTGCCTCAATAGGCGGCATATGGGCCCCCGCAGCCTTGCGGGTGGTCCGTACGGCTGCCTACAAGGCCAGCAAGATGATTCGGGCGAAGCTTGCCGACGCAACTCGTCCCGTGAACACCGCACTCGAACCCGTCTTCGTACGAAACCACCACCCGCGACAGCCTATCCACCCCACGGCCTTCCTGCGTCAGTCAAAGGGCCGACGATGGAACTCTACTACTACGACTTCAACGACATACAAAACCATCAATGCCGCCGTTCGCCGCTTCATGAGCACCGGCCGTCTCGACGCTGCACCCCGGGTCGACCGATCTAAGTTCCTCAACTCGAACACCGGCCGTGCCGTTGCTCAGTTCGCCGGCCGTGCTCCCTTTGCGAGCACTCTACGACCCAACCTCACCGGAGGTGCTCTACCTCGTACCGCAGGCGGATACGGTCTCGGATCTGGCGGTGTGGGCGGAGCCCGATACTTCTCTCACGCACCAGCCGTACAAGCCCAAGTCGTCCAAAATGTCTCCGCCGCCGTGCGAGCATTCTGGATCTCGGGCCAGAAAGCGCAGTTCGATGGTCTCACCGCACGTGGCGAGAGGAAGTACCGTACCGTTTCCACCCTACAGGATGAAACCTCCCGCAAGATGGCAGCGACTCACCGCACCGCCTCGGGCTCGTACATCGACTTCCGCTTGAACCCCACCATCACTGCTCTTAGCCCCCTCGCCGCTGCCTTCCCGTACCCCTCCGCTTGTGTCAAGGTCTCTTCCCTCGACGAAACCACCCTGAACACCGACGGCTTCCTCGACGTTCTGTCCGTGGACTTCGCTCGCGCACTGAAGGACCTGACCACAACTCTGGCCGATATAAAGAAGCTCTCTTCGCTAGGTGATCTCCCGATTCAACTTGAAAAGGGACATACCTTACGAGTCCGCTTTCCAGGCGTGGATGCCGAGACGGTAGAATCTCTGTGCGATGACCTCGGGCTATCCCGGGGTCTCGTCCGAGAAGACCCCGACTTCGCGGCCGAGGCCGGCGTGCCGATGGCGCTGAAATTTCCCTTCGCACCCGGCCACCCCAACGATAAAGGCACGCTGACCTCGCCGGGCGGTTCGCTAAGGTCCCTGGGAAGCTTCTTCCCGGCGGAGGAGGACTTTTTCGAAGACGGCTTCAGCGAGATGGAGGACAACCCGTGGCTGTCCTCCCACGACGAGCTGGAAGGCTACGCGAGCATGTCGCCGCCGCTCAGCTCAGGCGAGCACTGCTCTGATGACTTTGAGGGCCTCGAAGGGGTCTACAGGTTCTTGGAGGAGTGTGACCGTGCTCACGGGAAATTCTAAGCTGAGCCCGCCCACGATGAACGATTTGGAAATGCAAGAGGGGCGTATTGAGATTTAATCACTTTGGGATTAGTTTGCCAGCCACAGAAAGGGGAGACATTATTGATGACATACACCTATACACCTAGGAATGACGAACGATACCACCAAAGGGATAAACAAGGGATATATAGTTTAGGAAACGGAAACCACACTCATTCATTATAACTGAAAGGTGCAACGCGCATTAAGTCATCGGCTCTGCCTACTTACTACTACTATAACAGTAGGGGGTAGTCCCGTCTTTAGCTTTCTTATGTCCTTACGATAACATACATACATACATGTACATTTTAAAACAATACAAAAAAAGTTTATACTCTGATACGACGAACGTTCGCGAAATGGAATGGGTATCTGAAATTGATAATATCACGTAGTGATTCTAGAGTGTACATATAAGCATGTGTGTCCAACAGTAATGATGAGATAGGTAAGCAAGTTTTTGCCAAGTGGAACACATAAGCTCGACATTGTCTGCCTGTCTGTCCTTCCCACCGTACCATCATCAACCACGTGCGTCGAACCTCGTCTTGCGCTTCCCGGCCGCACCTTGCTTCGGTCCCATCGCGGACGACCCCTGCAGTGCCCCCGACGCTACCAGGGCCGCTGAGCCCTCACCGCCCGAAATGCCACCAGCGCCAGCAGCAGTAGAAGCAGTAAAAGCCGTAGTAGTAGTAGTAGCGGGGACGAACTCAACCGGCGCGCCCGTCCTCCTCGCCCTCGCCTTCTCGGTCTCGGCCTGGGTCAGCTTGAGCTGCTCCTTGTAGGCCCATCGCGGAAAGGCGGTGGGGTCCCAGGCGAGCGCGGTGCGGTACTGGTCGGCGGGGCTCGCGAGCTCGACGAAGGCGAGTAGCTTGTCGGTGAGGGCGGGGTTGCGCAGGGACGGGTTCTGCGCGACCTTGGAGTTGAAGTGCACGCCCTGCTTCTTCAGCTCGAGGAAGCGCTCGAACTTGGCGCTGGTGCCGGGGGGCGGCGAGCCGGGTGGCGAGGGGGGGATCTCGGTGTTGGGGAGGGGCGGCAGGGTTAGGTCCCGCAGCAGCGCGCGCGTTGCGGTGTACGGGGATCCCGGTGGTAGCCCGGGCCCCGCTGCCGAGGAGTCGTCGTCGTCCTCCATTGGGGCTTCTTCCAACGGAGGGAATGTAGGCCCTGCGGATGGGTCTGGGCCTACTTGTGGCCCGATGATGGCTGCTGGTTCTTCATCCTGTTTTTGTGATGTGGTGCTGGGCTCTTTTGTTTCTACTATTCGTTTATTAGATGGTAGCCGAGAAAAGGATAAATTTGCTTTGACTTACTTTGTTTCCCGTTTGTGCAAAGGGCAGTATCTTGGGCAGGTTTCAGTGACTGGCCTCGGCAGTAATCAGTGCTGTCCAATGCCTACCGGTACGGATGCTATATTTCATCTCATGTTCTCACTCTTACCTTTGATTCTGGCTGGGGTGGCACCTCTTCTTCGTCATCACTGCTGTCGTAGCCTACAAGTGCCATATTTGTAGTATGGGGTCCTGAATGGTATGTATCATTCAAAATAGTAGTAGAGGTTCCAAAGCTACAGAATGAGATGATTGGGTTTTAAAACTATATTGTTGATGTGAAGAGCGACGAAGTAGTGAATGTTCATCGTAGACATCCATGGATGTAGGTACATATATAGCTGGTACTGTGTACTAGGTAGCATGTATTATTAGTAGTACATACATGTACCAAGGTATGCTCCTAAGTGGGGCTCAGATGCATTCCCAACTGGCAAACACCTGGCAGATTGCGATAAGTACCTTAAGTGTGTCTGGAAGGCAGAACTGACGCGCAGCTCCAAAGCTCCAAGGTACAAGGTTACACTGTCGAGTGACTTCCAAACGACCTGTAATCCAATCTTTATTCTATTCCACTTGGGAAGCGACGACTACTACAACAATACCACTTACTCTTCTCCCTCAAATCAAACATTCATACTCTTTTTCTACTTCCCTTCTATTCCCTCACCTCCCAAACTGAAAATGGATCACCGACCAGAAGCCTGGGGCCGTGTAAGTACAGCCTACTACTTTGCTGCTGCTTTCCCCAATATTATGGAATTCGTAAAGCTAACCTGACAATAGCCAAGGGACGATGTCTATGGCGCCTACGATGCTTCCTACATGCAGACCAACGGTCCTAACCAGCACACCCAGTCCCCCGTCGTTACGGGAACGTCCGTAGTAGCCATGAAGTTCAAGGACGGTGTCGTCATGGCCGCCGATAACCTGGGTAAGCATTTCATTCTATCACCTCTGCTCTACCCTACCCTACCCTACCCTACTCTACCCTGCTTTCTACCTGCACCCCTCAAAGACTAGAAAGCTAACTTATCTCCCCCATCCATAGCATCCTACGGTTCCCTAGCCCGCTTCACCGACGTAAAGCGCATCCGCACCTTCGCCGACACCTCGCTCGTCGGATTCGGCGGCGATGTCAGCGACATGCAGTACCTGGACCGTCACTTGACGGAGCTCGCCACCGACGAAGCCTACCAATCCGCAGCGCACACCCTCAACGCGCGGTCTCTGCACAAGTACCTTTCCAAGCTACTCTACCACCGCCGCTCCAAGTTCGACCCTCTGTGGAACCACCTTCTCGTCGCCGGGCTCGACGAGGAAGACAAGCCGTTCCTCGCCGCCGCCGACCTGCTCGGCACCACCTTCACCTCCCCCTCGCTCGCCACCGGCTTCGGCAGCATGCTAGCCCAGCCCATCATGCGCAAGTACGTGCCCGACGAGGCCTCCGTGGCCAACGTGACCCGCGAGCAGGCCGTCGAGGTCATCCGCGAGTGCATGAAGGTGCTGTTCTACCGTGATGCGCGCAGTATGGATGTCTACTCCCTCGCCGTCGTCACCAAGGACGGCATCGAGTTACATGAGAACGAGAAGCTCGAGAACCAGAGCTGGGCCTTTGCGGACCGCATCAAGGGCTATGGCACACAGGTCGTCTAAGGAGCGAGTCCGATGGGCATCACCCGCTACCGTTATCTCTTACCCTCGTTCAGCTATCGGGACCACCTCCCGGCTCGTTTCGGTTCTTCATAAACGATTACGGGTTAGTTGGCTGGTCGGTTGGTAGCAGAGGCATATGGAGGGTTAGGGCTTTCAGGTTCAGGCCAGTTTCTATCGTCGCTGACAAGTAGACGAAAAAGGCGAGGGGTCAATGGGTCAATACTATCTATATCTATATTTGCTACCAAGTCACACTGCGTCCTACCTACCTAAAGAAAAGGGGGATACAATACAATGTGCATAAGTACCTAGGGTAGGTAGGTAGGGTACCAAGACAGTCCGGTAACAATAAACCCAGCCCAAAGGACGATACAAAACGTCCGAAATTGCATTTGAAGAATTTGGTTTCTTCATCTTCTCGTGTGTGTCCATCGAAGCCCAAGTAAACGAGTATGTTGTGTTGTATCGATATACTGTTACGGCTACTGCTACTCCAACTACAAGAGTATCTGGTTACTACGTAGGTATCGATATAACTCACGTGCATGTTGGAGGACGTAGTACTCGATCACGGGGGCACATGATACACGCGGGTATTAGGTAGGTAGGTAGTTATCAACCAATTTTACTTTATTCACCTGTCTCGAGTCTAGATAGACATAGCCGAGATACATGTAACATCGCCTTATCTACTTCCTCCGCAATAAAAGGTATCCCACCCCAACCCGAGCGTGGGGGAGGACGATATAAAATCATGAGGGGATGAGGGAAAGACAGTAACTGTTTTACTCTTTCCTACCCTCCTTATCATCTCTTAAATCCACCGCCACGCACAAGGCCATGACGCTCTCAAGTGATCCAGGTCCGACATTCTGTCGTGATATCATTTTTTCGCAATTAACTCCGACATCATCTTGTCGCAAACCCGCCAGGAATAAGTCTCAGACCGTACAAATACGCATAGCTCATTCGACAGTGACCGACTTGGCCAAGTTTCGGGGGAAATCAACGTTCAGGCCCTCCATTACAGCTAGCCAGTAGGCGATAAGCTGCAGAGGGATGACGTTCAAGATACCTTGCAAGCAATCGACAGTCTTAGGGACCTCAATCTTTTGTGCCTGGCTGGCTTGGAACTCTTCGTCGCCAGGATTGCAAATGACGATGGGCTTTCCACCACGGGCGGCAACTGTTCAACTATTAGCATTTTGATTCTACATGTATAGCTAGGAATAAGTGATATTACACGTACCTTGCTGATAAGCATTTAGGGATTTCTTGAAGAGATCATCACGGGTCAGGATCATGATAATGGGCAAGTTCTCGTCAACCAAAGCCAACACACCGTGCTTCAGCTCGCCAGACATGACAGCTTCGCAATGAAGGTAGGAGATTTCCTTGATCTTCAGAGCGCCCTCAAGCGCAGTTGAGAATTGGCTACCACGTCCCAATACCAGTAGGGATTTTTGGTTCTTGAACGTGTTTGAGCAAAGTTCCTTGATGGACTGGTCAAGATTCAAGATCTCCTTGATCTGCTTAGAGATATTGGAGAGACCCTCGATGATCTCTTCGCGTCTCTTGACCTTGGATGCTCGATCCTCACTAAGAGACAAGGCAAACATGACCATGGCAATGAATTGTGAGGTGTAAGCCTTAGTAGAGGCAACACCAATTTCGGGACCAGCGTTCACGTGAACACCGCAGTGGGTAAGGAGTGAGATGGAGGAGCCGACAACGTTGACAATACCAACGGTCAAGGCGCCACGCTCCAAGCAGTATCGGAGGGCCATCAACGAGTCAGCTGTCTCACCAGATTGTGAAACGAAGACACACGTGTCGTCACGGAAAACGGGTGCCTCTCTGTCTAAGAAGTCCGAAGCTAACTCGACAGCGATGGGAATTTCGGCAAGCTCTTCAAAGATACCTCGAACAGCCATGCAAGAGTGATAACTTGTTCCACAAGCAATGAATATGATGCGGCGACATCTGCGAATAGTTGCAATGTATGACCTTAAACCGCCAAGAGTGACAGTCTTGTGTTCGATGTCGAGACGTCCTCTCATGGTGTTCACCACTGATTCGGGTTGCTCGAAAATCTCCTTCTGCATGAAATGGTCGAATTTGCCCTTCATGATCTCCTGGAGCTCGAGCTCCAAGGTCTGGATGCTTCGTACATTGGAGCTACCATCAGCCTTCTTGAGGCGGTGAATGTTAAGCGAGCCCTCGTGAATGTGGGCAATGTCGTCATCCTCTAGGTACATGACCTTCTTGGTGTGCTCAACGATCGCAGACGGGTCAGACGAAAGGAAGAACTCGGCGGGCATGGGCAGGCCATCGTCAGTCATGAATGCTCGGGATTGCGAACGGTGAAGGAGAGACTTGTCGGCGGCACCCAAGAGGGAGTTGGGGGCTAAAAGGTTGCCAGTCTGCTTCTTCAGGGCAACATTCTGCGAGGCAGCTTCAGCGGGCAAAGCACCATTCTCCTCGGAGTATTCTACATCGACAAAGTCGACCTTCATGCGCTTCTGGGTCTTCACACCAATGACGAGGGGCGAACCCTTGCGGGCAGCAACGACTTCGTGGGGGTAGTGTACAGACTTGATCAATAGACCATAGGCACCCTCGAGCTCGGTGATGACAGCCTTAGCCAAGTCAACAAAGTCAATATGGGGATGTTGATCGTACAGGTACTTTGCGAGCTTAGCAATGCACTCTGTGTCGGTCTCGGTCTCGAACTTAAAGCCCTTTGCAGAAAGGAGAGTCCTCAACTCCTTGTAATTGGTGATGATACCATTGTGGACGACTGAGAATTCCCATGTGGGGTCAGATCTAGATGATTCGTGTCGAATTAGCAAAAGGGGGGCCTCGTAAGCTCGAGTATATAAAAGGGATTTACCGGTGGGGATGGCAGTTCAGCCGGGATGGAGGGCCATGAGTAGCCCATCGAGTATGGGCGATACCGGCATGTGAGTCGAAAACCTTGGTGAGATCTGGTTTGGACTCTTCGATGAGCTGCTTGAGCTTGGCAACCTTGCCAACCTCCTTGAAAGCAAGTACTTCCTTCTTCTTGTCACCGTCAACAGCTAAGCCGGCTGAATCATATCCACGATACTCCAAACGGGAAAGACCTAATGAAATTTATTAGCTTCCATTCTTCCATTTTTTTTCTCTCTCAAGTTCATCCTCCGAGTCGGTTCGGCTCCGTGGAACATAAAATGGGTAGTAGTGGATAGGTAATAGATTGTATGTAGGTCACAAAAATCGGGTTGCGGCAGGGTGTCTTGTCTTACCGTTGACGAGGGTATCGAGAATAAACTTCCGATCCTTCTCGACCAGGTAGTTAATGTAGCCAAAAATTCCACTATTAAAGAAAGGTAACAATTAGCACTACGGATTTCATAATAACTACGCGGATTCACTACGACATATTTTGCTTGCTTCTTTGCTCGAACAGGTTGGGTTCAGAGATGTTTAGAAGTCAAGCTTCATACGAAGCTGTGGAGCTGTGGAGGGGCCGATGAGAAGGACAGAATTCCATCCACTCTTCTTCCCCTCCGAATATCAGGGAATGGAGGGATGGGTGGATGGATGGCAAAAAAGGAAGGGAAAAGGAAAAAGGATAGAGTGAAGTCGCTCTGGATCCTACATACCACATGTTGCTTCTGTTTCGGGGTCGCAAAGCAAGAAATGCGGTTCGGTTGCTCTTGTCTGGCCTACCCTACAGTAACGTCTGTTTGTCTCTAGTTGCGGCCGTGGATTTTTAAGGGTTAAGGGTATCAATGGTAAAACGAAAGTTAATGGCGGTGAGCTTGAGGGGTGGGAGAGGGGTGAAAGTTAGGGAAAGAAGAAAGAATAGAGTTTCCAGAACTAATTTGGGGTTTGGGAGGGCGCGACCTGGGGGGATTTTTAAAGCTTTCAAAAAGGCAAAGAAGGGAACTTGATGGCTTGTTTCCTTTTTTATTTTTATTTTTTTCTTATTCTTACGAAAGAAGACAAGAAAAAAATGGTGCTTGTGCTTGATGGTACTTGTACTGGCTTAGGCCTTCTAAACTTGAATGTTAACCAGCGACAAGTGAGGCAGCAAGTACGAGGAGGTAGCTACTATTGTCAGTACTACTAGGTACTAGTGGGGGCGAGGGCCTCAAGAGGTGGGAGAGGGGCTTCAATGTTGTCCAGGGGGGGTGGTCGATGATGTATCTTCTTACCATCGTTTTTTCATGCCTTACTCATGCAAAGTTTAGCCTAGGTATCACTGGTCTCCAATTTGCCTGTCATCCCTACCCAGCGACGGGCCAGCGTAACTTAGAAGGTACCTAGCATGAACCTTACAATATCCTACTAGTACTTTTATGTTGCTCAGGTAGCCTACTTCGTTGCCCTGCCCATGCTGCCTATGGCTTCTCCTGCAGTCGCAGGCTCGCAGCGTACCTATCAATCATACCTCGCCGTAACCTAGCCATGCCCACCTCAAAGTCACAATACATAACTATGTGTTAGTTAAATGTACAATACATACACTTCAATGTTGATACTAGTGTAATGTATGAATTTGTAGGTATCTCTGTGTACCTACTAGGTAGTATCAATGCATCCAAGATTCCAAGTACCTCAGGATGTACCTAGTAGTACCTACATACTTCAAAGTTGACGTATTATTTCTTTTTTATTCAAGTTCAACATGGAAACTTTGAAGCCTTCAAGTTCTTACACATTCATTGGCTTACCAGATAATATCTACTTCTAAAATCATCTCAATATTCTCAACTCATCACTATGTATTATCTTAAAAACTCTTTCTTTAATTCCCTATCACATCTGGTCTGTCACAGCATTGAATACATACATACAACATGTGTACATACTAATATGTACGGAAAACGTTGAAGCATTGACCAGCGGGTATCTAACCAGATCCTCAGATCCATAGCTATCAGCTTCTACGCCATTTTATTCGATACAAATACCCGCAGAATCTACCATACATGTAACTGGTCAGTCATCAGTGGGTGCAGTTTCTTGTTCAAGTATTTTGTCCTTTATGTGTCTGGTCACTTTGGTGTTTCTTCTTTGTTCGTGGCCAATCACTGGTCCAAACCTACCTAGATACACGTAGGTATGCAGCAAGCCGAAGTCTTTAACAGCTAGGCAAGCTGGGCATTAATACCACGATAATTGTGTTGTTATACAGAAGAAGGATGATACATTAGGGTACCTAGGTAAGTATGTATCCAGTTTCAATATCACGTATGATTGCGTCGTCCACCTACCTGGGTATGTATGATGTTTTCTTCTTACCTCTCCTTCAGGTTTCGTAAAGATGAGATGATTGCGACGATGTTTTCTCAACGACTGCGCCACCACCCGATGGAGTGTCAAGCCTAATCATTGGTGTCTTCGTGTTCAGCGAAGATCGATTTGCAACGTGCAGGGTTAAGCTGGCTGGTCGCCGGATCATCCCTGGGGCTATTATGGCCCCCTTATTTTGGGGCTGTACCTGAGCTTGATCTGAGGCTTGGCCAGAGTCGGCCCAGAATGCTACCCTCCACTCCGAGCTCCTTTGCCAGCGACAAGCAAACCAGCCTGTTGGAAATCCCGATATCAGAAACAAGCCAACACCCGAACACGACCTCTAACGGCTTGATGGATCGGCTTGTTGGGGAGGTCAAACGGTGTTCGGATCCAATGACGCATTTCCGTTTCTTTTCCTGCTTGGTACACAATATGTACAAAGGAATCCGGCTATCACAACTATGCAGCATCTCGTACGGGCATGTCCGAGTGTCCGGAACAATCTGCCGCAGCTGCGTAATTCATTTAGGAGACACTTTGGCCAAAACTGATGAGTTCCGCAAGGAATGTCGCCATCATCCTGGTAATAACCAACTCCCATCTAAGTGGCTGGCCTCTGGTAGATCTTCAACCGGTTTAGTTATCGATCATTGTGAAGATGGGATGAATTCCTCTTCATTTGTCTATCACAGAATTCAGCAACCATGATACGTTGCTATTACTAGGTAGGTAGCTTCAATGTTCCCATCGCACATCTATGCCGACGTTGCCTTTGTTAGTCTATTCTATTACTATGCATTATTTATCTACCATGTTATAATTATTATAGTCATAAGAATACTTACCTAGGTTAGGTAAGTATTGCTCCACACAGCTGAAGACACCATTGCGGACGCCGGCCAGTTCAAAGCGTCACAACACCCACAGTCGCCCGCACCGGTCGCCTCACTAGCGACTCGCGCCTTGCGCATATAAAGATGCCTAAGAATAGCAGCAACACGACCGTCACCAATCCAATAGAAATTCATGTAAGGCTTGATCTGGCCTCTGGGCGCCATTTACCAATCCATGCAAGCTTACCGGCATCCCACCCACCATTCTAGTGTCTGATTGGCAGGGGAATTCCAGGTGAGCATGTGCTTTCTTGACTGGGAGTCCGAACGTGTCCTTACTATGTAAGTAACATTGTGACTATGTAGGTGCTACATAACTAGATACTAACTTATAGTATACCATGGTACATAGTCCATGCGCTCGCTTTGATGTGATAGGTCGAGAATCTCACCGCTGACAACCTTGTCTATGTACCCAAGTGACGTTCAACCCATCGTGATACAATACATGATACTTGCTTGTTGGTAGGGATCAGATACTAGGTATAGATGCGACATTGTAATCTGGGATATATCTGCGCAACCGATTCATGCACTGCGTTATCTCGACGAGATTGATACATCATGGTGAGAAGGTTGGCTCGATTGTCGACATCCCAAAATGCCCACTACCCACCAAGGTTCTAGCTGGTGAAGCTTTCCAAGCTCTTGGCTAACCAGCTAAGTAGATGGTCCATTACCTGAGTAGTAAATACGTAGCCAGCTACTGTCTGATAGGATATCGTCACATACGGGAAAAGGCGTATTTAGTTAGTACGGTACCTAACTAGTGGTTATACGGTTTCCTAGGTGCTAACTATAAACCCTTCTTAGCACACTTAGTACAATATTAGACGAGCACTTGTCCTGGCTACTGGGAATGCACACAGTGGGATCAGTCGAGGATGGAGACTTCCATCTTGATTCCCCATACAATATAGGTACAGACCTAGGGCAGGTAGGTAAGTAAGTAGGTAGGTATGTCATAAGAGCCAAAAACACCGGCAATCGGCCGTATACCCATTTTCGACCCATACTTGTATCGAGTCTCCTTCATACCTACATGTAGGTAGGGGGCAACTCAAATACTGTCCATCCAGATTATGACCTACATATGTACCTACCTACCTACAGTACCAGCTCAGCCCTACGCCCCCTACTTAGACGTCCAAACTCAATATAATAATTAAACACTATCCTATCTAGATTACCTAGGTTACCCATGGCTCACCCTAGCTAGATAGACCTACATACATAAGCACTATGTATGTTGTAAGCAGCCAAGATAGGTAGCTACAAACTTGCAAGAATATATATTACCTAGATCAAACCAGATGAGATGTCCTCGGTAAAAGGCTTCCGCCTACTGGCCATTGACACAGACTATGTATTCATGTGGTTAGATACCATGTAGGTAGGTTCGGACTTGGCCCCTGTTCACTTGCTAGATAGGTATACTAAAAGTAGACGAAGACTGCTTGTGTACACCTTTATACGATACACGCGTGCTAGCATGCGGCTCTGTCAGCTTCACTTAGGTAGGCAACTAGGTTTCTATGGATACGTGGGGAGACGTCAGTTTGCACCGGAAGGGTGCCTAGGTATGTAGTTGTTGTTGTGGAGTACCTTGAAGCTTTCCTGTACATTTCCGTGAGAGTATATTCTGTTAGACTTCTAGCCCAAGTACCTAGTTAGGGTTTCTTGTCATCTTTTAAATCTGTAGTTATGTATCAGCGAACAGTAATTTAGACTATAACTATCTAGGTAGGTAAGTTAGTTAAATTGGCGACTACCAATATACAAAGAGGCCATATGCTTACATAGAAATGCCATAGTTCCATACCTGCACAGGTAGACAGCACTCGAGGTACGGGGGCCTATGTAGCTAGTAACAGGCTAAACTAAGAGATATGTATCTACTTGTGAGGACGAGACGGCAACAGTTCTTCCCCAACGACGACCTCAGACGAGACAGGCGTCTATAAGAGAATATACAAACCGCGATAGTACATGTAGGACTGGAGGTGCGCTCTTGTTATATACCAACACTCTCTCTACTGCTCGAAGACAAAGCTCCTATCCCTTCTAAACCAAGCTCATATATCTCAATTAAAGAGGTGAATAACCCTACTTATGGGCTATGTAGTACCTACCTACCCAATGATTATGTAACGAATGGGTTGCCTACTGCCCCTTGATACCTACCACGGCCACCTGCCGGCCGACCATCAAGCCAACCAGCGAGGAAAGAAAGACCAAGCCAGCACATCACAACATATCGTCTGCAATACCTAGCCGAACAAGACTTACCCGCAACCTTCTCTATGCCGTTACCTACCTCCAGGGGGGGGGGGGGGGGGGGGGCTAGCCAGCCATCTGTTAAACATCTAAACATCTTAACCAACCTCAACAACCGCGTGGAACACAGCGGTTAACCTACCTAAGTATCCGATTTACAAACCTGGATAAAGATCACAGAAAATACGTAAGTACCTAACTAGGTGGGTGAGTAGGCACGAAGACTCTTCAATGCATTAAGGATCCATAATCCCATATGTCGTATTTTCCAGCGAAGCCTAGCCCAACGAGAGGGAAAGCCTCGGCCAATTCTACACTGCTATTTTACAACCGAGAGGTTCTACCTAGCTATCTCCCATCTTGCTGCTAGTGTTGGGGTTGGGGATGGCTAGGGGAACGCAAAATTGCGCCGCCCCCCATGATACCACTGCCACTAACCTAACTACGACGGCAGCATTGTCTCTCGTGATGGTTTCAGTTTCAGAAACCTCTTCTCTGCTTGCTTTCTGGTAGAGGGTTTGGGGCATATCAAGGTGCTTTGCCACTACCCCTATACTCCCAAGTACCTGTTCTGGCGAGCATATGTATAATGCGTGCCAGCGCCGCTGTCATGTCACGGCTTATAGCTTCTGGTACTCCAGCTTGCCCTCTAGTTTCTTTGCCTCCGCTAGCTTCCGCACCGCCTTGTTGAAGTCGTCTTGATTGACGGCATCTCGGTATGCTTTGATTGCGAATAGACCACTAGAACTCCACGTTAGCACCGTCTTCCCTCATATTTCCTGCATGTGTGCTATCGCCTAAGAGATGGGGTTATGAAGAAAAATAACTTACGCCTCGGTAACCACATTTCTCAAATCCGCACCGTTCAACCCATCACTCATCTTGACAACACTCTCGAAGTCGATATCACCCTCGGTAACTACGCTTTGGGCGTGGATCTTTAGGATCTCAAGGCGACCGACCTCGTTGGGGAGGGGAATCTCGATCTTTCGGTCGAGGCGACCGGCACGGAGCAGAGCTGGATCGAGTGTGTCGGGACGATTGGTGGCCATGATAATTTTGGTCTTGCCGAGGTAATCGAAACCATCAAGTTGGTTAAGCAGCTCCATGAGAGTGCGCTGAATCTCTCGGTCCGCGCTGGTTCCTTCCGAGAAACGTCTTCCACCGATGGCATCAATTTCGTCCATGAAGATGATACATGGCTCGTGCTCCTTAGCATATCCGAACATCTCGCGTATTAGACGGGCCGATTCACCTATGTACTTGTCCACGATGGCAGATGAGACGACTATACGTTTAGGGAACAAGCGGATTAGCCAAAGTGTAGCATAATTTGGGGTTCATAAGCACATTGTACTTATAGAAGCAGGGGAAACCCCATACCTTTCAAGAAGTTCGTCTCCAAGCTACTAGCCACAGCTCTCGCCAACAGTGTTTTCCCTGTGCCCGGGGGTCCGTATAGTAGCACACCCTTGGGCGGCTTTATGCCCACTCGTAGGAAAAGCTCTGGGTTCTTTAGCGGTAGTTCGATAACCTCTCGTAATTCTCGAATTTGGTCGTTCAGGCCGCCGATACCTGCGAAGCTGACTTGGCCCGGGTCCTCTAGCGACATATTGTAGACAAGTGGGTCAACTTCGCGCGGTAGCATGCGCATGATTGTGAGGGTAGTCATATCGAGCGCCACACGAGTTCCTTGCTTCAGTTTTACCTTGTCGACTTTGGATCTGCAGCCTACAACATATCGGGGTCCGGAAGATGCCTTGACGATAACTATAGTCATAGAAGTTTCATATTAGTACTTGTCTATATATATATCCTCCGAATCAGTTTCGAGGTGGCATGGATGGGGTGGTAGCGTACATCTTTCTTCGTCGAGCTGCTTCAACACTTCGCCGATGATTTGGCCTACACTTTGCAAAGCCTTGATGTTGTCCTCGGTCTGGTTAAAATCTTTCTCTAGCCCCTTGATCTCTACACGTAGAGCCTTCAGTTTGGATTCCCATTCTCGCGACTCGATGAGTTTAGCTCGTAGCGCATTGAGCGCGCTCTCCCGTTCTGGGTCGGAGGCCATGATTTGCGTTGACTGTGTGAGTTGTAGGAGAGGTTAAAAGTTAGGTGATATATGCGATGAGAACGAAGCTTGATTGTGTTGTATGATAATGTGGAGAGGAAAGAATAGAAGTAAGAATAGATGTTGAGTTTGCGAAAATCGATTACGATGGAGTTTTCAATGTCGAAGTCCGTCTGTTGGCAGTTGCAATGTATGTAATGGTAATAATGGTAATAATGCACCTACCTACTAGGTTAGGTACGTAGCTGATGAAGCTTCCGTTTGCCTGGCCCGACCTTCCCAAGTACAATGGATCCACTCATACCGAATTTCTGCCTTCTACCTTCTGTCGTTGCATTACATAATTATTTTCATATACCCATATCTGGTATATGCACTTATACATACCTCGGTACATACGGAATGCTATGTAGTTACATATCCATGATTAGTTATTGTATGTGAATTCTCACCACTTTCAACGACTACCTTAGATATGCAGTCATCATTGATGAACCTATACACGACAAACATAACATCAAGCAAGGCAAGGACGTCGTCAATTGGTTTGTTTTAAAAATATATATATTCTATACGATATCGTATGTGTAAGTCCAGTTATACAAAAAAAGAAAAAAAAAAGTATGTATATATATATACCAACGACAGTTGATCTTTTTGATCAGAAAAAATGAAGTTTTAATTGTCCATTAAAAATTTTTATCCATCAACCCTGAAAACCCGAGAAGGACAGTGTGAATAATAGCGCCATCAATACTATACTCTGGGGGTATATGGTGTAAATTCTTACGCAGCAGCGCCCTCTATGCCCACAGCGTGGCCATCAAGCGGCTGAAAAAGGTTCCCGCTCAACAAGCACCGCAAAGTCCTAGTCTTGGACTTCCTGCAGGCAATGTCGTAAACATGAACTCGTGAATGACCCTCAAGGCCGCTTTATTTTTCATTCTCCCACTCTGCCGCGAGCTCTTCCCGCACTTTCTGGCACCACTTCCAGATCGCCGCTTCGAAGTCTACCCATACTTGCGGATTGTTATTGTATACCACCCCCATAACATCCACCTTGAGCATAACCTCCCATCGCAGCTCCCCGGCTTTGCTCCAATACCTCAGATTGTCCGCGCATCTGTATGGCTTCTGCGTATCCGTGTGGAACGTCCCAATGGCACCAAAGCGTCGCCTTGACTTCTTGACAGCTGAATTGTGGAGCTTGACGAGCCTGAGGCCGTTTTGCATGCTCTCCAAGAATGGGGTTGGGAGCTCTGTTGCTTCACTGATCGGCGTCCATGGAGGGAGCGGCTCAGTTTCCGTGTCGATCGAGCTAAGAAATGCAAGCTCGCGCTCCACTTCTCTCCCCGACCAGTCGCCTTTCACCCATGTCCAGCTGGCTCTCTCCGCCCGCTCGGCTTTCTCTATCTCCTCTTCCTTTCTAAGCATGTCACGGATGCTTTCAATCCAAGTCGTCATCGTCTTGTGCTCGTCGCTACGAGGACCACCGGTGAAATTCCTAGTCGCCATGTGTTTCAGTACCTCTAAGACGGAAAGCAACTCTGAACGTATCTCCTTTTCGGACTTGATGGCATCTAGACGGTCTGGGTGCTCGTGTGTTGTGTAGTAAATCTTGGCAGCGCGAATAGCTAGCGTCGCCTTATCGAGCAGCCTTACTCCCTGAACTTCAAACCACGTCTGTGATGGTTTAGCAGGTCGGCCAGGAGGTAGTATGTTACCCTTTACTGGTGCCGCCTCTATTAACATCTCAGAGGCGTTGTCGAGAGCTTTCGTCAAATCTGCTTTCAACTCTTCACTGGTAGGCGGCTTAGGGATATGCTTCTCTCGATGTTTGTAGGTGCTCGTTGTCGGGGGCAAGACATCTAGGTCAGGCTCCTCAAAGTCATCGAAATTAGGCTCAAACACAGCTTCGGTGGGTGATTCGACCATGAGCCCCCCTACAAAGCTCTGAGCCCCAAGATCCGGGCTACTCCCCAGTGAAGCGTATGAAGAGTCCACATCTGAGCCGGGGAGCTTTGGACTCAGCAACGAAGGAGAATCCAATTGTGACAGGTCAAGGGTAGCTTTCGGATGTCTTTTCCTGGCTAATTGCCCCCCCTTTCCGTCTAGCAGCCCGGTTCTCGCAAAGTAGTACTGAAGATGTGATATACTTCCTAGACTCAAGACACTTTCTCGATGTCTAGCACTAGAGGCGAAATCTGTGCCTTGCGGCTTCGTGAAGCCACGCCTTTTCAGGGGTCTGTCATAACTTCCTGATAGACGAGAGGAGGCATAGCTTGAAGAGGACAACCTAGATCCAGCTTCTCCAGCCCCCATCGAGTTTCGGTAGGAACTATCAGTACTAGAGGTGCGGGAGGCAGATGAGGCAGTCGAGATGCATCGAGTTGGATCCGCACTGTTGGAGCGTATGGCTGCGGATGGGGTTCTCGAGGGCGAAGGTGAATCACGGCGAACCAGTGGCTGCTCGTCTTTAGTTGCCATGACTAATATTCTAAGAACCTCGGTTCTAGTAGGCTAAACGAGGAGACCGTGTTGACTTGGTAGTTGCGCTAGTTGACAGGTAGGCTCAGATATTATTATTGAGTCGCAAAGGTGATCTGGGTGAGTTTCTGTTTGAGAAGGGAAGAAAGGAAGGACAGAAGAAGGCGGGGCGCAGAATTAAAGGAACGAGCGACAGTCGAGGCCGTTCAACGGCGGCTTCGGAACCAGATAGAGGAGTGAAGATGCGAAAAGATGGAATCCTAAACTGGTGAGCCTGGAGAGCCTGATGAAAGTTGGAACGGGGTCAAAGGAACAAGATCAAAGGTCGAAGGTCAAGTAAGAAAGAATATGTAATGTAAAGCGGAGTGAAACAAGTTGGTATCAAATTATGTGTCGGAGAATAAACAATCACACAGAGGGCAACAGAGGGCAACACAAGAGACGCAGAGACGCAGAGAGGGGGAAATGTGGCCGTTTCCACTGCTGTGTGGCCTGGCATCTTATGAGATCAAATTGGTTTAAATTGGTTCAAATTGGTTCAAATTGGGGGATATCTTACCTTCTTCTTGCCTAGCGCTCATGTACCCGTAACCAAGTGGGACTTTGGAGGAATCACAAGGGTTTATATCGATTTATGTAGTTTTGGCCCGAGTACCTTTTTTCTACCTAGGTAGGGTAGGTACCGTAGGGTAAGTACCTGGTAGGCCCTGGTACCTAGTAGGTTCCTGGTAGGTCCTTGTAAGTAAAGTCCTGGTAGGTTATTCGCGTCAGGGCAGCAGGGCTAGTCAGGGCTGGTTAGGTTGATTTCCCGGGCTGGAGTGGAGACTTTGGAAAACGAATCGAAAGATGAGATATTTCGGCCAATGATTAATCCACCCTTTGCCCCTTTTTAGGTCTCTCTGGGTTCACTGGGTTACTGTCAACTGTCTGTCAGCGTCTGTCAGCGTCTGTCAGCGTCTGTCAGCTTCGGGTGAAGCCGTTCTTAAAAAAAGATAAAAAATAGCCGTGGACCTATCACGACACAGAGCTTTCTTTTTATATCCCAGACACAAATAAATGCGATACGCGCATATTAAAGGAAATTCATGAAACATTGGAGTGAAGAAAGAAGAGCATAGAAGTTAGTTAGTCATGCAGGAGTTGTATTATTTATTATATGAATCTCATGAGACATCCGAGCCAAATACAAGTAGGTATTATTACACTCGTAAATAGTGAAGCAATATCCACATTGCATACATGTATGTAGCTGACCGGACAACATGCTTCTATCAGGTCCATACATTCCTTCTTTAAATCATAGTTATTTCCATGTTAGAAGGCCTAGTTACTTCTTTCTTTTCTAATGAACCACAATAGTTATGTAGCCTATCTTCTCATAGTGCATATGCATTCACACAGTATCATTACATGTTATGACCCTAATTATATACACATACATATTCATGTAACTGGCAAAGAAAAATAATCCCATAGTACGGTACATTAATCCTGCAAGTTATCTATACTTAGGTAGGAAGGAAGATTATGTAGTAACCTAGGTTAGTAGCCTATGTAGTCTATTTTTACTCGATTACGTCTTGCAGGTATGTATGCGGCGGGAAGTAATGCATGGTGTGTGTGACAGACTTTCTAGAAGCTTTCAATGGTGCATACATACCTATGTATGTGCTTATGTGCTTGACACTCTCACCATTTCCACCTTATTGTTGATATGCCTACCTACCTAGGGTAGGTGTTGATTAACATTGAAAGTCTTCCAACATTTGAGCTACATAAACTTAGACATTTATAACCCAAATTCCTTACACGATGATGTAAAGTCTAGGCATGTATGACGGCGTTGTTTATTATCATGACATAGGTACATGTATGTAACTAAAATAGATAATCTGCATTATGTATACGGCATAGTACATAATAGTATATACATACTTAATTATTTGTGAATACCTATCAACATTGAATGCCGCGGCATGCATTCGTTTCAAATGGAACGCTTGCAGCGTTGCAATGTTCATTTAATAATACTTCTTCCCCCATTTTGGTCCCGGGACGGCTCCGATAAGATTATGCTGGTAACCTGGTCCTGGTAAAAGTCGTGTCCAACAGTCCAAATGCTTGGTGAGCCTTAACACATCCCATGTGGCAATTCTTGGGGTTTGAAGGTGCACGAGACGCCATGAGGCATTACCATCAATATTTAGAAGTCATATGTTTACAAGGGACAAAGCTGTAGAGATCTAATGTTTCGACGACGAGATACGTTTTATGATGTATCTACATAGGCAAGTACATCAATACTACCCTAGGACCTACATAGGTACTAACCTACTAGGTAGGTAGGTACCTAGTATGTATGTGCTCTCAGTGCTGCTTAAGCCTTACAATGATATGTGTCTGGGTGACCTTGGCATACCAATATTACCGAAAGCGAAAACCCTATTTACTAATAACTCCGACCGAATGGCAGATAAATTAGATTAATGGAAACATTAGCAGGCTATGTGAGAGGAATGATACTTGCCCCGGAAGGAGAAGTTGGAAAGCTTCCAAAGTTAACAAGCGTTATCGATTTTTTAAATTAAACGAGATGCAGCCGCAAAGGGATTCATCAACGTTGCTACTACTAGTAGTATTAGATGTGAGTGAGTGAGCCTATTACATATGCAGTTGACCTGCGGCAGATACCTACATAAGCCGTTGCTTTTTTTTCTTACTTGAATAACTACTGCAAGAGTACGGAATATAAACTTCTGAGACTTGATTAGCTATTCAATGTTGCAAAGGTGGCCGGTTGGGCATCGTCCTCTTTTTTCCCCGACGATCTCTAACCTTCCCCCTTTTCGCATCTTTTTTCATATAAAATATTGCAAACCCTCCCAACCAACATTGGTTATCGTGTTTGTTTGTTCGTTTCTACTAATTTTGACTGTCCAATTGCGAAACGAATCTCCAGACCGAGAGCTTTGCGCCATCTCTCATGACAACTAGTTGATTGGTTTCCAATTCAACAATCAAGAAACACTAGAACAAGACTCGGACAGGATTTCTGGAAGTTTGAAGACGAGTTAAAAGAGGTTGTTTCGAAAGACCCAAGATTCAAAGGCCAGGACAGTACCGCCGTACGGCCAAAAACTGGACTGACCCACCAGAGTCCCATACAAAGTCAAATGCTGGAAGCTTTTCGCAGGTCAAGGTTGCTTGCCGATACTACTGCTGCAGTCTGTCTGCAGTCTGTCTGCACTCTGCAGTGCTGCATGCTTAAAAGGAGAGGGTCCAGTGCTTGCGTAGTGCAACTTGCGCAGGCCTGCGCATTTGAACTTTGAACCTGGAGGGTTAACCTACCTGAAATTTCATTAAAGCCAAGGAAAAAGAAGAAGAAACACAGAACTTGATTGGTCACTAGGCACTCCAGAGGGCTCCCTTCCAGAAGGGCATGTGCGAGTGACTAGCTACCTAAGGTACCGTCCCTGTACCGTCCCTGTATTGTCCCTCAGACTCCCTGTACAACTGTTGTACCACTATCCATTGTGTAACGCATATTTACGCATATATACGTTTTATTACACACGCTATTACATACACTCGGACTGCAAAGTGTACATACTAAAAGTGTATAAACGGTACATAAAAAGTACTTGGACTTTCACTTGGACATTTTCACTTGGACATTTCGAATTCAAATCCACGCCCCCACCAATTAATCCAATTCATCCAATTAATTCTGCACAACTCTTCGACACGCCAATTCATTTCTGTCACGGACCAGTGAACACCTTTACGTGTAATCCTGCTCTCCCCTCCCCCCAAGAAAAAAAAGGAGATCATCCCGTGGCTGCAGACAGCAATAAACAAGGAGTCCATCACCTAAGTCTGTGCAGTGCAGTAGGAAGTGGGCAAGCAACACAGACCTTACCTGACACGGCAATACAATTACGTCTATTCGAAACGGCGCTGCTAAAGAGAAAGCGGTAGCAGAATTGAAACGAGGAAGAAGAAAAGAAGAAAAACAGTAGAAGATTAGAAACAAAAAAGTGACATATTATCGAGGAATTTATCATTTTTATATTGGTAAATGACTGGCCCATCTGGAGCCGGTCCAGCTGCACCAGCATCTGCACCACATGCTGAAGCTGCGCCAGCTCCTTCATCACCTCTCCATCACGACCAATATCTCTCCCGGCCCGTCTCTTCCTCTTCTCGCCTATCTCTTACTCTCTCCCAGACGACCTCCGCTTTTTCGGAGCCAGGATTGTCTAGCCACCAGCAACAAAATGCCGACCCGTCAATCCATCTTTTGACATGTACTGACGTCCCGACCGATCTGGCACACCTCGCGCCTCTCCCAGTTGACAACAATAATAATACCAATACCACCAACACCACCAACAACAACATCAACAACAATAATAATAATACCAACATCAATACCAACAATCCTAATTTATCTAGTGCCATCAAAGCTAAACATCATCAACCGCGTAAGCCTTCCCCTGGCTTAGCAGCCCGTCTCAAGGCCCTAGGCTTCGGTGGCTCGAGACATTCATCGCCCTCGCCTCAACCATTGGGTCGCGATAACATTGGCCGCCTGCCTGAAGATCAGTTACGACTACTCGATCAAATCCATCAGGCCAACAGTGAACTAGTCATCGAACGACGCGGTCGTCCTTGGAAGGGTGCTGGTGCTCCCCTCAAATTATTGAGATCCCGGTCTAGTCGCGAATCGTTTCGAGGTAAGAGCACCAGCGAGGAAGACACAACCATCGTACCTACTCAGGCCGAACCCTCGCCCAAGCCTGAGCTATTGCCCGAGATAACGGAGGCTCCTCCGTTGGAAATGGACGCCAACAAATACCGATTGCCCGACCACACAAACGGAAATGGCACCAAGGCGCAGCCAGATACTCGTAAGCAACACCTTGAGCGGGATAGCCGCGTACCAGAATTAGAAGTCGAGGATACAGACACTCCACCCCCATTACCCCCCAAGGACACACCGCCTGGAAGTGTAAATCCTAACGACTATGCCTCCGATCTGCCCTCCTACTTCAGCTCGCTCGGTCTTCAACGCCCCGGTTCTATCTATACGATATCCCGCCTGTCATTTGCCAATCAGCTCGCTCAGTTGACCGCGCTGCAGCTACCTGATGCTGAACTGCTGTCGAGCAAAGTTGCTGCCATCCCTACAGCCCAGGCAGCAACGAAAGCCTTACTAGGCGCTGCAGAACAGATACGGAGCTGGATATCGAAGGCTTCCGAGGTCATCAGTGGCTTAGACAGTGACGATGATGTTGAATGGGCAGCAGCCGGTGGCAGAGAAGGGTATGAGGAGGTGGAAAATGCCATTACAAGATTTGAAGGGCTCATTAACGTCTATGTGGGCGCCATTGAAGAACTACAAAACCGACCGGATATTGGTAGCGTGTCTAGCGATGACCTAACTAGGGCAGTGACACAAATGGAGGCCATCATGCATGAATGGGCTAAGATTCGTACCACTCTGAACAACGTCAAGGGCCAGGTTGAAACAGCCATGGAGTGGGAAGAGCTATGGAACATGGTTCTAGGCGATATCCAGAATGAAATGGACGAACTAAGCCGATTGATCTTCGAGATGGAGGAAAGGCGTCATAAATCCATAATGGCAGTTTCGAACGGGGACGGAGTGGACATTGGCGACCTTGAGACTATTGTAGAAGAGACGCCACCCGCCGTTGCACGCAATAACCGATATAGTGTACCCTCATTCCCAATGAGCCCAAGCTCTCCGGAGGAGGCTCCTACTCTTACCCAGGACGATTCAAGCTTACTCGCATTGTTTGCAAGGATGCAACCGCTGAGAGCATCGTTAGACTTTTTGCCTATGAGATTATCGGTTTTCGAAGCAAGAGCCTCTGGCGCCTTTCCGACCGCCTGCGAGGAGCTGGAGATGAGGAGAGCTGGCTTAGAAGCCAACTACAAGAAGCTCGAGAAGGATGCCGAGTCCCTTAGAAAGGAGCTTGGAGAGGATAAATGGGTTCTCGTGTTCCGTGGCGCCGGTAGGCAGGCTCAAAAGATGATCGAGTCTGTAGACCGAAGCATGGCAAAGCTACGTGAAGCTGTAGACCAAGGATTGCACCTATCGAGTCCTGCAGCGATGAGTAAAAAGATCGAGAGCTATGAGGCCAAGAGGATACATTATGGACCAGCAATCGAACGTGTGCTTTCCATCATCGACAAGGGCGTTAGTGAACGGCTAACTGTGAACGGAGAGATTCTAAGATTGCACACCGAATTGCAATCGACGTGGGAAGAAGCAAAAGAATCAATGAAGAGGACGAGTGTCATCCTCGAGGAAATACAGGCTGACAAGCAGAACCAACAGCTCCGAGACTCCATTTCGAGCATGCTCTCGAATGATAGGTCGACTGTTGCAAGTGGCAACGAGACCCCCGGAACCTCACCCCCTTCGTCAGTTGTGATGTCTAGTTTAGGCCTGGATCCTTTTACTCCATCAACGCGGAACAAGAGGCGCACTACCACTGGTGGAAGCAACTTACCTCAGCCCGCGTCTGCTCGTAGGAGCACTTCAAACCTGATCCCCCCTACGCGGCGAGCCGCTGGATCTCGACTTTCTATGATTCAACCAGGTGCTTCTAGCTTAACAACGCCTCCTCGAAGTGGATCTGCTACACCTCAACCCAACACTACTCGCCTCCCCAAATCCTCTACCAAAACCGACAGCCGACCACGATGGAGCCATTTCTCGAATACCAAGGACTCTGACGTAGGACATAATTTCAAACCACTCACTCTTACCACCCCAAGCCCATACGCTAAAGCAAGCCCTTCTTCCAAACAGTATTCTAGTACCGAGGCCTCGAGATTACCTCTTCGCAGTTCCATGACGGCCCCATCCTCATCTTCGCCGAAATCCGAGGACACGCCTCCGAGGAAAACTAATTCACGACTCTCCTTCCGAGAGCGGATTAATGCTGCTGCTTCAGGACAATCCAGCCAATCTTCTGCAAAACCTCGATTTTCGGCACAGCTATCCTCCACCTTTGACAACCGGAGAGCCTCCCTACAGGTGCCGAGGCCCGGGAGTGGTGCTTCTGGCCAGGCCAGGCCGCGGCCAGCTAGTTCATTAGCCACGACCAGCCGACGTACTAGTTTGCTACCTCAACCAAGATCAAAAATGGATGATGATTCCGGTCGCGATAGTCCACAGGTCACCGCAGCGGCTATTGCTATGCGTAGAGGTGCCAGTGCGATGGATAACAAGTCCAAAGATTCCAAACCTCGTTGGCACTTTTAAGTAGCAAATCCTCATCCTCTTCTAAGCCCAACTTGCAGCTCGCCATGGGCGTCACAGCGGAGAAGACATAGCTGTTTCCTCTTAACTTTTCCGTTTTTTGAGACTCGCAAGATGAGCTTCCTCTCCTTGTTTTTCAGTTCTGCTACCATGAGGCCATGAAGGACTGCTTTTTCCAACCGAAAAAAAAAGTTGGCGATATACGGATTGCGCAGTTGGTAATGGCTTAAGGTGCCGACGAAGTTTCGCCGTCGACACGAAATACAATCAGATACACGACCAGACATACATACATGTTTCTTTGCGATTTCTCCATCGATTTGTCATATGTCCACCACACCACATTACATTCCCCGCCAAATTCTGACGTGGAAACGAGGACAAATGCAGCATGGCGGAATTTCTATGCGGATGCTTGGGGGGCCGAGGCGTTAAGCGTACTACGGGATTCGAGGTGTCTTCAAAGCAAGGAGCATGCATGGAGTCCCACATGGAAATGGTTCCCTACTCCCGATGATACCTCTTACTATTGTTCTACCCTGTTTTTTGGTTTATATCAACAGCAAATCTTTCGGAGTTTTGACTGAATTTTGAAGCTGTGCTTTTTTCAACCTTTTTTTTTTCGCTTCTTGAGAGGGGAGAAGATGGAGGGGTTAGGGTATAGCATACGATTGTGAGAGAAGGGAGAAGAGAGCAAGTGTCTTGCGGTTCCACATGCGGACAGATTGAGCATGCCGAGAAGGGGAAGTATCTTTTGGGGACTTGGAGTAAGCAAGCGTAGACCCCAAGCGATAGAGTTGGCTTATTTTCATCTATCAGCCCTCAGCCCTCAGCTCTGCGAAGAGTAAGAGTGGGAGGAAAGCCTCTAAGCCAGGTGAAAGAATAGTGTTGTGATTTTTTGTATGATATTTTATCCATTACCCCACATAGCGAAGCCAGGAGAGGCTGGAGGAAGAGTAGTAGTTGTCGAGAGACAAGGGAATATGTGTCGAGTAGGAGGAGGGGAGACCCAAGCGATGTAGTTTACAAATCTAAGAATTGCTAATGAACCAACAACTACCATCCTCACTGATACCTAATCTTGATTGAGGCTTTTTTGTTTACTTGTGAACTGGAAGACAAAGGATGGAGGGTTTGCTTGCAGAGATGTAAGATGTATGCAGTTATGGCTTGTTGGTTTGATCGGGCAGGAGTCTAAAAATCAGTACTTACTACTCACGCACCCCCCTTTTCCCCTTTCGGGCTTTGTTCTATCGAGTCGGGCCTCGAATAAGGGGAATAGATAACTAGTGTCCCTACTCGCAACAGTAGGTACCTAGGATCAAGTTAGGTACCTTACTTAGGTAGGTAGGTTAGTGGGAAGCAATCACATAAACCAGTTTCACGGGCAGATAGATATGTAAATAGTCGTCAAAACGTTAAGCATCTCTCAAGAAGCTACCGAGGCCCCGGCCGGCCTACTACAAATACGCCATGCCACGCCGTGCCACGCCGAGTCTTCGCCTCCTTTCCTGCTTTCCATATACCATGTGATCCATTCGTGTTGTGTGAAAAGTGTGTTGTTAGAAGGTATCCCACTGGTGTGGGGTGTAGTAGTAGTGTTACGTGTTGAAGATGAAAGTGATCATAGGTGCTATATGGATATGTGCGTGCGCAAGTGTGTAAGGGTATAAGCACATCTCACATCTACCTATTTATTTTACTCCGTTTGAATAAGCCGAGGTAGGGCTGAGCCGAACCTCACATCAAGCCATCCATCCCCATCATCGCCACCCAACGCCCAATGCTCCAAACAAGAATAAAGCTTAATCAATGTTCCATAAGTGGTATGCTATTGAAGCCCGCGCCCTGCGACTTCGCCCTACTACCACCAGCTGCGGTCTTCCGGGTGCTCGTAGACGCCTTCTTGACGCCGCTATACGATGACCTACCGCCTCTGCTAGAGGCGCCCGATGTTCTCCGTTGGGACGTTTTCTTAGAACCGCGCCAGGCATTCGCTTTCGACGACTTCGGTGCGGAAGACGCCGAGCGTGCACGAGATGCGACCCCTGTCCCTATCGCTGCCTGCTTTGCGCGTCCACTGGTAGGAGGCGCGAAGTAGGATGATATTGCACCCGCACCCCCATTGCCCAAGTCTGGCTCCAGATCATCATCGTCGATGTCATCCATATATTCGTCATCAGTCGATACGAGATCCACGACATTGCGAGATCCCGATGCCGCAGTGGGTGCTCGGGGATCATTCCGGCCCATCATCTGTTGATATTGCTTGTGGTAACGCCGAATCAGGGGTAAGAGAGCCTCGCCATATCTATTCACCTTATCAACGTTAATACCTGGGATCAAGCACATCTGTTCCAAAGAAACGGTCCACCTTATGGCCATTTCCCGAAGCTGTTGTTCAGTGAAAATAGGCGTACGCAAGTTTCTCAGATTTCGAGTTTTCTCTTCAGTAACTTTCGCTTCGATGATGAATTCGCCAAGGATGTCTTCATGAATACCATCCAAGCCAGCGCCCTCCATACGCACATCGTTCAAAATGGGCGGTCCCATCGGCAATCGTGACTTTCGAGCCTTGGGTCGAGGGGGCACCATCGTCTCGAAATCATCGTCAGACGCGTCGTCAGGGACCACAAACCCATCCTTAGCATAACCATTGCTAAATTTAGAGTAGTCATCGTCGCTTTCTTCGATGTCTGGGGTCACCACAGCCTTCCCCTTTTTTTTCCGGTCTCTACTTGCAACTGGGGACGAGACGTTTGTGGACGGGATGTTTTTTGAGGCAGATCGTTTAGTCGCCGCCGTAGCTGGCCTCTTAGACGTGCCGCCCTGACTCTCCTTGCCCTTAACTCGGGTTGTCAGAAGAAGCTGTCGTTGGTTGTTCAGCAACGCTCGTGACCCAGGCCCGACCTGTATCCAGACGATTAGTGAATGATAATCCTCCTAATAGGCAGGGAGTCTCTTACTCTAAAATATTGGATAGCCATCCTAGCCTTCTTGTTAAACACATTGTCTTCCCTTAAAGCATCCTCAGCAACAAGTTTGTCGATGATACGATGGATTTCATGCTTTGGCATCTGTTTGGCAATCCCACGGTATTCCTCAGTTCCTTTCTTGTACTCTGAAAGTTTCTTCTTTCCCATCACGAAGTCTGTACATTGATTGAGCGTCAGTTTTCCTTGGGACGACACAATCAACAACACGGCCACCGCATATCTGGTGTAGTCCTTTTGCTCAAACACTTCATTTTTTCGGCAATTGTCACAGGTTTGGGCACATTGTTCTTTGGGGAAGGCCTCCCCAAAGTACCGGAGGATCTCAACTCGGCGGCAGTCGCTCTGGTTATCGCAAAAGGCTGCCACTGTGTTCAGCATATTTCTTTGCCTTTCCTTCTGCTCTTCATTTCCGTCACCTTCTGTGATCAGCCTCCTCAGGGATGCCACATCAGCGTAGCTGTAATAGAGGTAGCATTCTGATTGCCTGCCATCTCGGCCGGCGCGGCCAGTTTCTTGGTAGTATCCCTCAAGACTCTTTGGGATAGACTGGTGAATAACAAAGCGAACGTCGGGCTTGTCAATTCCCATTCCAAAGGCTATAGTGGCCACAACAACCTTGACTTTGCCAGCCTGCCAATCTTTTTGGACCTGGACCTTCTCTGGGACCTTTATGCTTGCGTGATAATGCCGGGCTGCTATGCCGTAGCCTCGCAACTTCTCTGCAATCTTCTCTGCAGACTTGCGAGACAGAGTATAAACTATGCCTGTCATGTCACTATACTTCGTTTCGATTAATTCAGCAATGCTTTCAATGTTATCCTTTTCCTTTCTCAATACTTCGTAATAAAGATTAGGACGGTTGAAGCTTTGCGAAAACGTCGCACAATGCTCGATCCCCAGATTGTGTTTTACGTCTAGGATGACATTTTGTGTCGCCGTAGCCGTCAGGGCCATTAAGGGTACTCCAGGAAAGCTGTCCCGAAAGCTGCCAAGTTCTTTATAGTCAGGGCGAAAGTCATGTCCCCATTGGCTCACACAGTGAGCTTCGTCAATGACGAGACGGGCAAGCTTCTTGTTTTGATAAAGAGCATCTAACCCACCAATAAAACTTTGGCTTTTGTTGATCATTTCGGGGGTGACGTAGAGAAGCTGTATGGTATGCTCCGGGTTCTGTTGCCTCAAGACTCCTAGTATGTTCTGGCGATCTTCCTTTGTTGTTTCACCACTGAAGGCAGATGCTTTGATATTTAGCGCCTTGAGATGTTCTACTTGGTCCTGCATCAAGCTGATGAGAGGAGATACCACGACTGTCACACCATGTGTCTTTCCGCTGGTGATGACGGCTGGAAGTTGATAGCAGAGCGACTTTCCACCGCCCGTAGGCATTAGGATAAAAGCGTCTTCGCCTGCCAAAGTTGTATCGATCGCCTGCACTTGATTGTGCCTGAACCCGGTCATTCTGAATCTATCCTTCAGGGCTTTTCTCACATCTCTGAACCACGGACGAGTTTTGATTTCGCGTGGAATTGAGTCCAGCGTCACTATGTCTGTGGGCTTCATGACGGATGCCTTTGGGGGTCGAACACCTATATTTTCTGACATTTCTGAGAGCGCTGGACGATCAACATTGGGTTGCTTGTTTTCTGATGACGATTGTCGAAGTTCAAATTCCTCCGCAAATCGAACCATATCGACGTCGTCACTATAGTCACTCTGGTAGCCTCGTGGGCGACTAGGCTTAGCTTTCGTAGGGCTCTTTTGGGTCTTGGTACTTGTTGATTGAGGGTGCATAGTCATTTTCGTTGTTCGGCGGCTTGTCGGAGGCAGCGGGCCGGCAAAGAGCTCATCATCGTCGTCAAAAGTGTAAGGGCCTACTTCCACAGGCGCAGTCGACTTCTGACGGGTTGATGCTCGTGTTAACTTGCTGGTGGCTGCGGTGAAAAGCGGCTCCTGGTCTTCATCAAGTCCGGCGGGAGGGGAGGCAACGCGACGGCGTTGGGTTCCAACCGAGGAGTTTTGGGTCGCTAATGGCACCTCGTCGTACTTCTGACCACCTAAGGATCGAGGAAGGCCTGACTGTTGAGGGAGCTGTGTTTGAAAGATCACCTGGGTGCTACCCCTGGGAATTTGAGTGGTCTCTCGCGAAAAGGTTGTTGGGAGAGCCTGCGTTGCTTGTACAAACGGGTTGCCAAGGGCGTTTGCGGGATCCTCAGACTCGCTACTCTCAATCACACCCCTATCAATGCCCGCCTTTACGAGGCTATCACCTAGTGATACCCTGCGCTCCTTTAGCACGCCCTCTAACTCTTCTAGCCGACTCTCATCGTCCTGTGTGTCCAAATCCTGGTCGTAGGCATCCGAAATTCGCGTAATCAACGCCTCTTTCTTAACTTGAATTTCCTCGTATAAACGATATTCACGAGATAGCTCTTCTAAGGCTGTTTGTTGTTGTGCTAGACGTTCCTTCTCTCGCTTAAGCCGACTTCTTGGCTCATGATCCCCTTTAGTAAGTGCTCGAACGTAAGCTTCCCTATTTTCTTGAAATTTTTGCTCCAAGAAAAGTCTCCTTGTGTGAATAGCAAACGGCCGAGCCAGGAAGAGTTCTAGGATAGCGTCCTTCTCTTCCTGATCGACCACAGTACTCGGTTCACTTGCGAGCTGGGATCCTTGCGAGAGGCCTCCTTTTATATCTTGATCATAGCTAATTGTTGACTTGACCCCACAAGATGCACTGCGCTCAGGCTTTCTCGGCGAACGAAATGGCGTACGCCTCTCTGTTTGAGTAGTCTGCCTCGGCTTTGCGGGTGTATTGTAAGCAACAATGTGATCAGGATCTTGTGGCAGCTGAATGGATACCCTAGGGGGGCCACTTGACTGAGCTATACTTTCGTATAGGTTGTAATTAGGTGGCGTTATAGGTTCTTCATCTGAATCCATAATAACTCGATCATCGGACTTTACAACTTGAGGTCGCTCCTTCATCCGCCCTTTGGGGGTTTCTGGGGTTTCTTGTAGAGCGGAAGCAAGTCCAGAAGAGCCCTCGGCCTGTTCTTCAACAATGGGTGTTGCATCACGAAAGGTATGTCGCTTCCGGGTTGGTTTGAGTGGAGACTGCTTTACTATATGCTCAAAATCAACAGGTGATAGATCGTCCAAGACATCAGGCTCTCGTTTGGGTCGACGGCTGGATTCTTTCTTTGGTGAAAGTAAGGATCTCGACGGCGTCGGGGTGACAGCGGTCTTCACTTTTGATTTGGCTGGTGATTTTGTGGGAGATCTCTTGAGATGAGACAGTAGGCCGTCATCCTCGGACAATATTTCGTAAATGTCCGGAAATTCATCATCTGGGCCAGGAGCAGTGGTAGTAGGCGGTTGGGTAATTTGATCACTTTTCCGTTTTTTACCTCTTTTAGGCGTCAACGGTGCTGGCCGCATAGCATGTTCTTCGTCCCATATCGCTATATCGCTTCCGAAAGCTACCGAATTTTCTGTCGTCGGAACAGGTGGAACAGGTGCTGGCCGCATAGCATGCTCCTCCTCCCAGACCATGATATCGGTTCCAAAGGCAACTGAATTCTCAGTTGTCGTAGAAACTGGCCCAGGTCGTGCAGCAAAATCTTCACGCCACAAGCCAACGTTGCTTCCAAATGCAACAGAATTGGGAGAAGTCAGCGTGTCATCGTTGGTCAAATCGATGGTGTCAAAGGTTCGGTCGCTCCCCAGTGTTGGCACTGGGGTTGGAAATTGGCGCCGGGGTGAGGATCTTTTCTTAGCCGAGCTCGAAACGCCTGTGATCTTATCTTAGTTATACTCTCCGAAATTGAAACTGAAACTGAGACTAATGAAGGCACTCACTCGAGTTCTTGAGCAATGAAGTGTACTCTCTGGTAAGAGACCCCGCTCCGCTAGTGGAGGTTGGAGAGAGTAATTGCTCTTGTCGTAAAATGAGATTCGGTCGTTTCGATCCAGACTTGGATACTAGTCGCCCCATTCTTCCTCCTGCCGGATCCCTCTCGGGTACGTCGAGTGGTCTCGCCAACGGTTCCGTCGACCCATCAGTCGGTTCTACGTGCGGGGGTCGCGTATCGGGAAGAATTGGATATAGAGGGGGTTCCGGAATATCTCGAGTACGCGTCTCAGGACGTGAAGTATTAGATCGGCTAAAGGTAGAGGTTATATCGGAAGGATTTTGATCGCGAGCTAGTGGAAGAGTAGGCGTGTTTGGCGCGTTTAGAGCAACATTCGCGAAAAGCCAAGTTAATTGATCGCGAAGATTGTTTCGAGTCATGAAGACGCTTTGGAACCTTTGTTCCGTGCAAGCTCCATGTGAGATTTGGAAGGCAAATGGGAGAACAGAAAATCGAGTATCAAAGGACAATTGTCAATGTAAAGAATATCATTATGAATTCCGTCCTTATTTTTTATGGTGTCGACGTACTACTAATTGATGTATGTAGGTAGATACTGTACTAACCTTAAGTTAGTGGAGTAAAATAGGTACTATGGATGTAATTAATTGAATTGATGCGCTAAAAAGTTACGATCCCTCATACATAACAGCCCGCTTCAGAAAAAAAATAAGCTTGGGCCAAGTTACACCGTGTTACACCGTGCTACACCGAGTCGCGCTGCCAGGTGATCAATTTAACTCTATCGCGTTTACGGCTATTTGCATAGGTCTACGAATAACTACATATGTACTCCAATTCTCAGGTGAATAGGACCAATAGGTATGTGTATTACCTAGGTAACCTAGGGATATGTACATGTCCGTAGAGTGCCTGCATATACTCCATATAACTATGTGGATGCCAACATTAAACTCAGATTCAAAGGTACAATGTAGGTATCTTGAGACTTGGATATTACTCATGAAGATGAAGAAACCCTAACACGCGTTCTGGCTTTCCGCTGTCTTGGGCTTTTCGGCGCCGTTGAAAAAATACATGCCCGTAACAAGCATCTTCCCAGCCGCCGATACCAATATGGCCACCCAAGACCCAACAGTCCGGTAGATGCCCGCCCCCGTTAGTGACCCAAGGATCAACATTCCTAGAAATAGCACCCGTCGTGTGCGTGGTCGGTTGTTAAATTTGAAGAGACGAGGGTCAATCATCAAATCCATCCAAGCCGCCGTGGCCATCGCTGTACTGATCTCCGTCATCTGGAACGAGCGAGACTGCACCACCTGACTACCAGAAGCAAATGCCAGAAGGCTAATCACTATCACCGCATTGGTACCTTTCGGTTCGGTCCCGTACATATATTGCATCGCTGCAGCGATAAACACCAGGCATGACTGAACAAAGTTGCAGCTGATGAGCCATAGTCTCACACGCGGACCGACTATATGGCTAAGCTGGCCCGTCAACCATCCCCCCAGGAGAAAAAAACCGAGCGCCGCCCCTATGTTTTCCAGGATAAACATCTCCCCATTCAGGTGTGGTAGAATGATAGCTAGCATGAGGAACACAGTGTTTCCTGTCTGGTTCGAGGCGAAGCAGTGGTAATCGGGAAAGGAGATTGCATCTTGAATACCGGTACAGCTAAATCAACAATAGTGGTCAGTCAATGATTCGGTCACATTATTCGACGCGGGCATCTGGTCTCTGGACGTCTTTTAGGTCTCCGTTGCTTCGGTTCTCTAGGAAATTACTCACAAGGTCAAAAGAAGTAATTCAAATTCAGTAAACGCCGAAGTACGGACGGGCTCCATCATATGGTTCCATATTCTGGACATGATGGATATAGGAGCAGGCGATAATGATGGATCGCGACTGGGTGTTTGCATACACTCTGATTTCTTCTGTTCTGGATCCTGGAGATTGTTGACTTTAGGTTCCGTCATGTCTGCTATGAAGACGCCAAAAGCAGGACGCATTCAAATAATGGGTTGATTTCTGGGTGAGTATATTACAAAATGCAAAGAACACAAGTCACAGATGAGCGAAGGATGGTGAGTAAAGGGAAATCACATCCCATTTATTGACTTGCGGTGCACAAATAATTACACACGTACTGGAAGCCGGAGCCGTTGGATACTCTTGATGACAGCCGTACCAAGCCTACGATCTGAGCGGCCCCGGCTTCCATATCATTGTCGAGTCAGTTGAAAAAAAAAACACATTTGCTTTGTGGTATGGACCGACAACCGTTACAGAAAGAATCGAAAAGAAAACTTCACCTCCCCATAACTCTTTTTTGAATCTTGGCGACGACACCGCTGCTACATGTTAGCCCGGTGGACCTATACCCATTGCCCAACCTTTTTTGTTGGAATACCAGGACAGTGCACCGGCGAGCCGTCCCGAGAGCCTATTGCTTACCTAGGTGCTAACTTAGGTAGATGCCTCTTCCTCCGCCACAGCACTAACCAGAATGGCAACTCATACTACTTAGTAACGTCTGTAAATCCCACTACTAAGATAAGGAGCCCGCTTGCTATTTAACGAGTCATTCCGAGCCTGCGTTTTGTATGAAAAAGCATGGTAACGCGGTTCCCTACGTACATACCTACCTAGGTAGTGCTAGGCCCCTGAACATGGCACGGCAGATATGTTTCCACACAGCAATACGTTTAGGACGCATAGATGTAAACGATCAACGAATCAGATGTTAACCTTTGATTCACATTAGCCAAGAACTCCGATCTGATCCAAGGAGGCTCTGCAGTTATTTACCTAATCCCAACCCTATGTCTAGAAAACCGACTACCGAGTGGATACCCCGAGAACCGTATCCCGAATCGGCCGGGTCCTTGTACATATTTAGTTCAATGTTGCCGCCGTTATCCCGTGCCGCTCGCTCCCCGGTAGTAGTCCACAGAAGATATCTACCGGTGCAGCGGTGTAGATGTGGTTTTCTTGGCTAGATCTAATATCTAATCGATGATTCGGTCTGCTAAAGATCCCTAGACCCGAAAATAAGAAGGTTATTCAACAATCGTCGGAACATATTTAACCGCATCTCGTCTCCTTCTATTCAACGGATGTTGCCGAATATAAAATAAGGAACAAGATGTCTCTACCGCCATTGATTACCAAGCAATGCTTTCAGGTGCTGGCCTTGGCAATTACCGGCACCGACACTCCGGCGCACATGCACTCAACTGCAGATCTCAACGCCTTGTGTCAATCTCATCAACCATGTCAATCTACCAAGCTTGCCCCTTACCCTACAAATACTTCAGTATGTTGTGGATGAACTGAAGTAGTAGAACACGGAGCTTGACTGGGTAGTCAAGAGGCTCTTATATACGACATGCTCAGCCTAAGACTCTTCACACATCTATGACAACTCTCGAGCATCAAATTGATGTTGATAACAAAACTGGCATTACCTGCTTTGCGCCCAGTGAAGTTTTAAAACATAATAAAACATAATTATCTGCATGCACATGCATGGATAACTCCTAGAAAGCAATACGCATATGCCGAGTGCCGGATACGTGGGGGCAGGGGGGTCAAGATAAAAATGATACCCAGATGGTCACTTTCTACAGTCCTAGACTCCTAGCTGCCTACATGGTACTATTATGTTGGTTTCCGTTGAGGTATCACTCCCATTCTAGATCTTAGGATTCCATCTAGCCAAGAGGTACATCTGGTACCACGATCATCGATCGGATTACTTTTTCTCTATACGACTCTCGCTGCTTACCTATACTATATATGTATGCTGAAATCTTGCAGGGATACGCGCATCTGGCAGACGTTGGTGCTTCCTACGCCTTCAAATCTCATCCTATCAAGGACCGAAGCACACAGGTACAGCATATGCTGCATTTCTCTACCTACCCCTCTATTCCTACCTTGATGCTTGGGTTCTTTTGAACGTAAAGCCAAGGCGAGAATTGCACTCGCGGCGTCCTAGGATGCCTTTCACGCCTAGCACGCTAGGCCATTGATAGCTCCGCTCCTTATCTCTATGCCTGCAGGATGGGTCTTGAGAACTAGCCTTGGCTTTGCAACGACATTTTGTACCTAAGAAGTCAATGCGTTTCTCCAGAGGGGGCTCCATCTACCTATAATATACCTATCGCTTCTTACCATGTCTATTTCGAGGTCAGACGGGTGCGGCCTGGGACAATATACACAGTAGGTACCGGTCGAGTGTGCGAGATAGCGCTTGAGTGAGAAATCGAGTGCCTACCTACCTAGGTATGTAATGGGTAGCAGTCACAAAACACACAAGCCGGTATCCCGATTGACCCGGTCCAAGATTTGACGCTCGTGGCAATTCCAAGAACAGCATACATAAATCAAGATATTGTGCTTGCGGCGTATTCGTCCGTGCCTCTGTTGATACGCAGCCAAGGGGACTTTTATAAGACATGTCACATATAACATATACCATAAATAGGCGTACAGAATTTTTATGTCTGTGACTGCGACCTATCAATTCGCTACGGAGCACTCTTAAAACGTCATCCCACCTCCTCAGCTTCTCGTCCTACCTTTCCGATCCTTCGAGGTCAGCTTTTAAGCCTCATATATTTCTCCCCAAAATCCCCCCCCCCCTTTTCGAGGGGAGCTTATGTAACTACAACTATCTCGATAAGTTATCACATAACTTTAGCTTGTAGTATCAGATTAGTATCTAGATCTAGCATCTCCGGTATTCCGGGGTAAACGCACATGCTGTATCTTTGCTAGGGCCTCCCCCGCGGAAAACACTGGTCTAGTTCTAGTGTGGGATCCGGCATACTGAGGCCCACAGCAAGACGTCTGGTCCGGAGATGCACAGTTACACGGGCAAAGTCACACACTCCGGATGATATATACATTGCCCCTTTTCAGACTATTAGGTCACTTGCGAATCATCATCAGCTACGATTTCTCAGACACGACGCCACGGCTTCGAACACGCGGAGGAATCTAGTAGTCGTGAACTCAAAGTCTACAAGCGAATACACATACGCTCAGAACTCCCACTATGAAGCTATCATACCTCTGGGCAGCACCGGCTGTCAACCCCATCAGCCGCAAGGCCCGCTCCATCCCCGTCCTCAACGTCTTTGATGTCTACGGTCGAGTATTCTTCTTCTCGTGGTGGGGCTTCATGGTGGCCTTTTGGGCCTGGTATGCGTTTCCGCCTCTTGTGAGTGTCCAGATAGCCCCCATATCTGTATCTGCTGGCTTAAAAAAGGAGGTACGCTGACAGTCTACAAACCACAGTTGACGCATACTATCAAAGCCAATCTTCACCTGAGCTCTGCCGAAGTCGCTAATTCCAACATTGTTTCACTGTGTGCTACGTAGGTGTTTCATGATAGTACTTCGTACGCCCCCCCTGACGTCCCTTCATGACTGACCCTGCTGAAGATTATTGGTACGGCTGGTTGCCGGACCTGCCTGCGATCGGTTTGGGCCTCGCTGGGTATTCGCCGGCACTCTCCTGCTCGGAGCGATCCCCCTCGGCCTCGCCCCTCTCGTCCACAATGCCCAGGGCCTCTACGTTAGTCGATTTTTCATCGGCATCCTCGGCGGATCTTTCGTGCCTTGCCAGGTCTGGTCGACCGGTTTCTTCGATAAGAACGTCGTGGGGAGCGCCAACGCGTTGACGGGAGGGTGGGGAAACGCGGGAGGCGGCATCACGTACTTCATCATGCCCGCCGTCTTCGACTCCCTCGTCGCCAGGGGCTACTCGGACGGCGTCGCGTGGCGTCTCTCCTTCATCGTCCCGCTTGTCATAACCATCGCCACCGGCATATCCATGCTGCTCCTGTGCCCCGACACCCCGACGGGCAAGTGGTCTGAGCGACACGAGCACGCAAACCAGAACCTAGCGTCCCACACCACGGCCGCCGGCATCGTCAGCAGCGTCCCCGGGAACATCGTCGGCACAGCGAACTCCTCCTCCGCCGCCGTAGCAGAGGCAGACGAGAAGAAGCCAGCAGGCCAAGAACAACACTGGGACCGCGAAGCCACCCTCTCCTCCCAGTCCCAGTCCCAAACCGAAACCGAAACACCCCGCGCCGACATCGCCGCGGGCGAAGTCATCGCAAAGCCCACGTGGACCACGATCCTGCGCGTCCTCGCCTCACCACAGACCGCGTTCCTCGTCCTCACGTACGCGTGCTCCTTCGGCGGCGAGCTCGCCATCAACGCCGTGCTCGGCGCGTACTACGCGCAGAGCTTCCCCTCCCTCGGCCAGACCGCCGCCGCCAACTGGGCCGCCATGTTTGGCTTTCTGAACCTCGTCACGCGGCCGCTGGGGGGCGTTGTCGCGGATGCGGTTTATCGGCGGCGCCGCGGCGGCGGCGTCTGGGCCAAAAAACTATGGATCGTCCTCTGCGGCTGCGCCACCGGCGCCCTGCTCGTCGTCATCGGCACCCGAAACCCGCACCACCACCACCTGCCCACCACGGTCGGCCTCGTCGCGCTCGCCGCCGTCTTCCTCGAGGCCGGCAACGGCGCTAACTTCGCGCTCGTGCCCCATGTCCACCCCGCTGCCAACGGCGTGCTGTCCGGTATCACGGGCGCGGGGGGCAATCTGGGGGGCGTGGTGTTTGCGGTGGTGTTTAGGTTTGTCGGGAGTGGGAGGGGAGGAGGAGGAAGTGATTACGCGACGGGGTTTTGGGTCATTGGGGTTGTCACGGTGGTGCTGAATTTGGGGCTTGCTTGGGTTGCGCCTGTGCCGAGGGGGCGGGGTGGTGGGTTTTGAGGGTGGTGGGGAGCAGGGTATTTTTTTATATATCACCTACCTACATATATGTTTGGGGATGTTTCTTGTTTCTTGTTTCTTGTTTCTTGTGTGAGAGAGACTTCAAAAGTTTATTTTCTAGTTACATTCAAGGCTTGTATCCGGGGATGAATGAGTAACGCGGTTTGGTAGGTGGAAGTAGATAGGGGCATACCTATTCTCATCCGCCCCTGAGATATCTAGGTACCTAGTACCTACAGTACCTATACCAAATTACCTATTGCCATATCTATCCTAAATTTCTCCATAATACGCCGTAATAGGATAGCTGGCTACCTCTGCTTAACCTATAAAGTCAATCAAATGCGGGGTGGGCTGGCTACCTTTGCGATCGACACCTCCTATCATATCATATCATATCATATCACATCTCGAAAGCCAACCCAGCCAGCGATCAATAAAATAGTAACATCTCCTATCTGTGATGTAATCTACAATCTACCTACTAGCAAGTATTGTAGTTCCAAGCTACGGTACGTACTATGACCTAGTAGTACTAAGGTGACAGCCCTACCGACGATGCAATGCAACGTCCAGCAACCTCCGTGGAGATACCCGAGTCGGTAGTAACATGTCACATCCCGGGGATAATTTAACATATGTATCTCAGATTAAGTATTGACTTTAACGTTATTAACTCACATACCGATCAAGGTAGGTGTTGCTGGTTGGCTGGCTGGCTGGCTAGTTGGTTGATTGATAAGGTAGTTCAAAGCTTGTGCAAGATGCAAGATTATCTATCGATAGATATTATTTATATAACTGCCCTTACATTGGATAATTGCACAACGTATAGAGTTCGCGGATGGTATGAACATCAATGTTTTAAAAAGATTTCCTTCCCCAACGTCTTTGTTTACTCACCTCAATGCTTACTGCTATGTACACTATTAGTACAATTTATATAAGTCGGTATGTATGCAGCTTTTCATTGGAATGGATGTTTTCTGCTAGGACCAAGTGTGTGCCTAGGAAAGATCATCATACCAAGGTCTTGTGTATCGAGACGCAGGTACCGAAGTAAGGTACGTTGCTTCTGGGCGGAAGAGGCGCAAAGATCGACAGCGGGGTGAGACAAAACAACAACCGTCAGTCAACCACATCACGCTTAACCCACTGCGGTACTTATCACATGCTGGCATACAGACAAAGAACATCCAAAGAGTCAAGACAGGCAAGTAGTTTTAAGAGGTATATTCAGGGATTGCGGCAAGACGTCTATCTATAGACAAGAAAGTGTGGGTATCAAATCACGATGGAGGACCATCGCGCATTATCTTCCAACTCAATCGTCGTCTGTTTCCAGCGCGCGGTTCCGCGAGCGGCTATACAAACAGCAACAATTGCCCGCCGACTGAAGAGACAGCTGGTCCGATGTGATTTGGGTCGGTTAAAAGGCAGGTCCAATTAAGTTGATTAGTCCTCCATTAGTGTAAATTACCAAGTCCCCCCTTTTGTTCTCAACCCCCCCATCCGAACCCGAACCCAGACCAACCCTACTTTATCGACTGAAGTTGTGTGTTGAGCGTTGCATGCTTATAGAGCCATCATGGCAACAGCGAGACCGCCGAAAAGGGCGAACGGGCCAGCGTTGGCAGCGTTGGCGGCACCGGTGACAACGGTCACGGGAGACGTGGTGCTGGGAGTGCCAGTGACGTAGGTCAGGGTGGTGCTGGCCGGGTAGCTGGGAACAGCGGTGGTAGATAGGTTGCCAGTGGGGACGGTAGCCGGGTAGCTGGGCTCGGGGACGGTGGTGCTGGTGTTGGTCAGGACGGTGGTGCCGGGGTACGAGGGCGTGGTTAGCGGGTAGCCTGGCGTGGTCTCAGCAGTGGTCTCAGCGGTGGTGTAGCTGCTGATGGAGACGGTGCTGCTGCTGGCAGTGGTACCCTCAGTAGCATATCCATCCTTGGTAGCACTGACGCTGGCGCTGGCGCTGGCAGTGGCGCTAGTCTCGGCAGCGCCGCAAGAAGGGCCGCTGATGGCGAACGGGAACGAGTACTGGAAGGTGTTGGGGTCGGCGGCAGAGGTGATCTTGATGCCGTAAGTCTTGTCGGTGCCGAGAGAGCAGTCCAACTTCCAGGTGAACTTGTTGGAGGCCACGTCAACAGCTACGGAAACATGGTTAGCACATATCCAAATCGCAATCACACATATATTCGCGACTGGGCCTTGACTTACTTCCGATGGTGGCACCGGCCTGGAGAGTGGTGGGGGATTCACCAGCGAGGAGGCTGATGGTGGCCGGGCCAGTGAAGGCACCAGCTTCCCACTTGATCTCGAACTCCTTGCCAGAGGGCAGGCTGCTGCCCTCTCCAGGTTGGCTGATGACGGCGTAGCCAGGAGTCTGGGCAATGACGGAGGCGGCAAAGGCCATGGCAGCAGCAAAAAGTCCAGCAGAACGCATTTTGGCGGTTTGATTTGGATTGTTGAATTAAATTCAAGAGGGGATTATTAGGTTGATAAATGAGTGTAAGGTGCCGTTGGGCTGACGCAAAACTAGGCTGCGAGAATGTTAAAAAGGAATGTGGGAGTCTTAAGACGACTGTTGGTTGCTGCGGCTGGATGAGGTGAGAGAAGGGAACATTGGAGGGAAGGGAATAGAGGCAAGAGAAGATGGTTAAAACGATTTTGAAGAAGGCCGAGAAAGAGTGGCACAGCCAGGGTACCTAACGTGCATCCACTGTCATCCACTGTCATCCAGGTACCAAAAAGGTAGCGCGGTACTGTGAGCATGCCTCAGGTTACTACCTCAGGTACCTACATAATAACTACATTACCTTCGCTTGGACAAGATTCGACCATTCAGAGTGAAGCGCTTGATTCCCCATAGTCCTAGTAGGGTTCTATTCAAGACCAGGGTAGGGGTCTTCGCAGGGTCTGTTCCAACTTCCTAGAACTTCCAAGGTCAGATGGAGCTAATAGCCTACCTAGGCAACGGGCTGGGTTCATGCCAGGTCCATAATAAGGTCCTGGTCGAGATCTGGGTTTTTGTCTCACACATGACGCGATGAGGTACTGTTTTGCGGTGAAATGAGTGGGAAAGATACTTGAGCTGGTTGCTGGGAATACCTTCAGCAAGAATTCCTTAGATACATGCTTTAAAGTTGCCTTATTGTCCCCACCATATACATGTGTACATGTGCGGTTAACATTTAGTACTCAAGATTGGTGTAATAGATGGTAGTGCGCAGGTACACATTGTATTGTATTGTACATGACTGATTCAGACTGAAGCGTTCTGCATGTACCTAGTATGTATCCACTTCCATATGATGCTCCCGTCATTCCACTGGTCAATTGACAATTGACAATACCAGGATTGCATGAATTAAGCATGGATTGCATTTCATTGCATGGATTGCCCAAAATGGGCTGAATGGTTAAATTAGCATAGTACCAGACACCAGTTGAACCCCCTAAACCACAACACAACAACCTGGACTCGGTCGCAAATTTCAAATCTTGGCCCTGACTCTGCCTCCATTTTAATCCTACTAATGTACTATGCCGTATTAAAATCTTTTACTGTTCAATGTTAGTATGGACAACTCAACCCATCCAAACCATTCAAACCATCCAAACCCATCGCAAGTTTTGTAAATGTAACTTCGTATATGTAAGTATTGCTTCAATTGTTGGTTAAAGCGTGGAAGATCTTTGAAGATCAATTGGACCCCTCGTTACATTTTTATCAGAGCTATCAGAGATATCTATGATTCTTATGTTGATCACTTTGCGACTTTGAATTCTGTCAATTAGCTAATACGGATTTCAATGTTATTATTCTGCTGGTTCATGTTCGGTTCTGGTAACAGTCTATTAATTACATAGGTAGGTTACATGCTGTAACTGTAACTGTAACTGTAACTTGGCGGTTTGCTTCGTGGCTTGAGGCTGAAGAATTTGATCCACGTTGTTTTGTCTTAATCATTGGCGTTCTTCTTCAATTTCTTCGCCTATTCTTCAGCATCTTGAAATCTCTTGGAAGAGTCTCACATTCTAACCTAATAGGTAACTCAGATCCATAATATCATTATAGTTAAGCGCCCAGTTATTACTGTATGTATCATAATGTATGTACCTACACTACAGTGACTACACTACACTAACCTAGGACTGACTGGCTTGTCGGGACAGGAACAGTTGAAACAAGCTTATTTAACAAAAGGACCAGTGTAAAAGGAAAGGCAAGTAGGGGAAATTTGGTTCACCCGTGGGCCGTGGCTCCTGGCGCCCGCGTGAATTTTACCCATCATCGGGGCCCCGTTTGTAAGGGGATTTTAATGGATGGGAATGGATGAGAATAAGCCGTGTCTCCTGCAGTTACTACTAGTTAGTACATAATATATACTACATCTACCTGCAAATTGCTACAATATGTATGTAAGAGTCAGCCAGCCAAGCCAGTGAACCAGTCAGCACCTTAGCCTTAGGACTGGGGTAAACTGCTTTGGGTATAATACACCTGCATACCTGCATGCATACATCCAATCCTTCAATGCTCTGGTATGTTAATATGTATCGTACCTACATAACTAGTTACACATAGAATAGCTTAGCTTGGCACCGCCCAACGTTATACTCGCTAACTCCGCATGGAGGCAACACGCCCGTTTTACTTTGCTGTATATGCCCAATTTGGAACGTCCCCTGGCGTCTGTGAACTGTGAATCTGTCTATGGTCTGTGTGCCTTCTGGGCTGGTTTTTTTCTTCTCTCTCTCTCAAGCATTAACTAACTAAAGCATTGAAGGGAAAGAAGCAAAGGAAGAATAATAAAAGGGGGCTATGTAAGCTGGCTGGCTACCTACCTACCTACACCAACCTACCAACCTATCATATCATACGTTACACATCGCTATAGCACCTATCGCGTGTCACCACGCCGGGCTAGTTCTCGGTTGGTAATTAGGTTGGCTATAGTAGTGGTCTTATTGCCCGTTCCCCATAAACCTTGACATAGCTATTTATACCTTATACCATGCCTGCCTAGAATTTACATACATCGTGATTTTAATTATAAGGGTTATGACTCGTCATGCTCTAAATTTCTTCTTATACAGAGCTAGGCAAAAGAGAAGAAGTAAAAAAAAAAAAGCCGTGGAGGAAAAAATAGTCAGCCCAGTATCGCCTGTCGGACTCGGCACGCCTCCCCACTGTAAAGTAAGCAATAGAATAATCATGTATTTCTCACCTTATTGCCTAGGTTAGCACATCCCTAAAACCACCTACCTAATATATCGCGGCGGACAAGCGGGACCAGACCAGATCGTGCTTCATGCCACTTCCGGAAAGTCAAGTCGGGTGGTGCTGTTAGGGCCGATTTGCTTCCTTCGTAGGTAATTCTCTTTTGGTCTGGCACACAAGACAGGTTACTCGTGTAGGTACGTATTAGAGACCAGAATCTGATTCGATGCCTATGTTATGTGTGAGAAGAAGAAAACGAAGGGAGCAAACCGCGATGCGCGGCAAGGCGTTTGCTACCTACTCAGAAGGCGTTTGCTACCTACTCAGAAGGCGTTTGTGTGGCGGACTGGACTGACTCGCTCGTGTGACTGGTAAGCGAGAAGTAGTTACATAACTAACTAAGTTACTGACTAATTAGCTCGTAATATTCGTACACGCATAACGGCAGGGAGAGAAATCCTCCGATGCGACCCCCCTTTTCTTTTCGTCCCCTTACAAAAAGTATTAAAAATAATCTTGCGGGCGAGAAGAGGTCGCCTGATCCCTTGTGGTTAGCACCCCTTACTGTTTAGGAAGCATATCCCGATGAAGCAGACTTAGGTCGCCGGTCTAGAGCCTGTTCGAAGGTGTCACTATTCACGTAGGGCTGAGGATGCCTAGAAGCATAGTATATAACAGACGTCTTCTATTACAGAGTCTGGCCCTCGAAGACTTTGCTGTGATATGTAGTGTAGGCAGGCAGCGCCTAACGTATGTACGATGTGAGCACTTGCCACGTAGGTAGGTTGGCGTGCTACTTCCGTGCATAGATGCCTAGAGATGGCGATCAGATGGACATCGCGATTTTTGCCTTGGCTGCGAATGCCTTCAAATCAACAGAGAAGAACGGCCGAACCTAGGTAAACTAGCGACTTCTGCCTACGAGACTATCTGTAACTATACCCACGCACGAATATACCGGCTCAAGCGGCTCCGCGACTATGGAGAGTGCCTCCCTATTCCACTCGGCCGAGAGTCGCGTGATGGAATATGTATGTAGTTATTCATACCGCCTTCATAAGAGCACCAAGTCAGCATCGATATGTTTGCTTCTTACCTACATACATGCTTCGAGAGTATGTATACCTAGGTAACGACCCGTGTGGCACAAAAGAGCTCCTCCTTGTTGAGCCTCATAATCCCCCCCCTCTCTCTCATTTCCCAAGGTCACGCATAGCAAATCGTTGGGTCAAATAGGCGATACGGTCAGTTGTCATCGACGATGGTTCCAAACTCTTGATTTCAAACTATTTTACATATATTACCTAGTTAATGTCAGTTCGTATTTTTTTCTTATCATGGCCCTTTGCTGGCCCTCGCGCCTTGTTGTTGCTATCTCATCGAGCGACTTTTAGGCTACCAAAACCCGACACTTCATGACTATCATTACCATATTCTTCAGGTTGGGATGTTTTTTTCCTTGTGTTGATCCCATCTTTGTTGTTGATCTCATCTGGAAGTCCCGTCTTCTGGGTCCGGGTTCAATCTACCTCGCCCTGTCTTTCTCGAAGGCTGGTAACCCCATATATACCAAGGTATGACTCAACAATCTCCTTCCACAAACCCTTTCCCAGAGAGAAGAGGAAAAAGACAAAAAAGGTATGGGACTCGGATAGTTCACCGTACCACACAGACGGACCACCCCCGGCAGTCCGGCTAGGTCGGTGATTTGAAAGGAATTATTGTATCCGTACTTGGACCTACGTGCTCATACGTGCCCTTAAATAACCCGCCGATCTCCTTCTAAATATGTAATACCTGCCTCGTAATAATACCATTAATATACCTGGACGCTGATCTGATCTATGTGTTCAACAACTTTACGAACTGTTACATTACAACTATGTACGTACAGACCTATGCCCAGGTCTATGCCGTACTATTTCTTGCCCACCTACCTGTTTAGTTGGCGATCGTCATGAGTTGATAGAAAGGTACGCTATATCCTACTAAGGAGGCACACTAGGGTTTGTAGGTACCTGCAATGTGCATACCGAACTAATAGTGTACATCTCGATCCTACTTAATGTGTAGGTACTAGAATGGACACTAGGACATAACTATGACTCGAACAAAATGTATATGAGATACCTAATTTCCGGATACCAGCAATGACCCTTCCCGGGTGCGGATAGGGGTTTGGCTTGCGTTTGGCTCCGAAAGTTCGAGAGAGAATAGTTCATAATAGTGGCATTTCCAGATGTTCATATACATATATGAACTTTGCTAATACTTATGTGAGCGGACTCATACTTGACCAAGTGCAATTGTCTCTCCGTAGACAGTCGTCTCTCTTTCCATTAAAAATACCATCGTATTTCCTGGTACTTACCTCGTAGTCAGGAAATAGCCATCAACGACACGCGTCTCAGCGATATATTTTCAATTTTGATAAGAACAAACATGTTCAAAGCACGGAGCATTTCGGTGATAGAATGTGTACGCATCAATCACCAGATATAGCGAATACAACTGGAAACATTGCAACTACTTTTGATACCGAGTCGGCTCTCTCGTATGTGACAACGTTGATTTAGTTCCACTGTTACCAAATCCACGTTTTTTTGATGTTGAACTACCTAGTACCCGAAAGCCCTCGACCTGAGCAAATTTGCTGAACTGAACCTTTTACGCCACCGCCCACCATGATAGCCCTACCCTTTCCCTAAGGGGTAACGCATTAAAGATCTGAGATGGCCGCAGGTGGCTCATGATATACCATATCAAGACTTCGGATGCCTTGTGCCAACGCAGCATACTTGCAATATAACTCGCAAGGACCTATCGTTTCGTGGGGATCTTATCCACCGTTACTTGCCGGGACTAAATGAATGCAATGTACAGAAAGTAGAGATGTTGTTAAACCATGGAAATCCCCAGAGACCGTGTGTGCAATCATTCATTTCCTCGTTAGCTCGTTAGATGCGATGCTTCTCGCTCTCTATTTATTATCATGATTAGTTTAGCTGTCGACTACTAGTGTGGGCAGAAGGGCCGCCGAGAGTCTTGGATATCTCACCGAGTCGGGAATATAGCATGTACAGAGCCATTCTGTTACATTCTTCGGTTCCCGTGATCGTAACCAGACGCTCGTTGCTGTTGTCCTGAGGTTCGTTTATCTTGATAACACTACCGCTGATCTGGCGTATCTCGTTGATCTTCTGGCCACCTTTGCCAATGATAGCACCGACCATGTCGTTGGGAATGTAGATCTGTTGGGTGACTGGAGCTCCCGCGATGGCGCCGTGCATTGGCTGTGCCGGAGGTCCTCCATGGGCATGAGGACCGCCTATGTGAGGGGCATGATGGGGTGGAATGTGTGGCGCGGCACCATACGCAGGCGTTTGGGGCGCGTAATGCATCGGGACACTAGGGTTAGGCTGCGGGGTTGCCGCGTGCGGGTGGTACGGCTGTGCATATGGTGCTGGTGGCAGCTGATGTGCCCGGGGATCAGGTCGTCGGCCGTAGTTTTCGCGATGGCCAAAGTTACCACCAGCAGGCTGGGGGGAATATGGCACGACTTGCATGCCACCAGGTACAACACCTGTAGGACCTCCACTTCGTGTTGCGTAGGCCGAAGCAGCTGGACCGCCGAAGCGTTCGTTGAGCTGTTGAAGTAAAGTACTGCCTACATAATAAGTAGCAATGTGGACAGCATCAGCAACGCCCATAACAACAAGGGAGCGTTCACTGGAAAGTGGCAGGCAAGAATCAGATGCGTTGAGTCGAGCTCCAGAAGCGTCTTGTATCTCGCGAATACGAGCACCACCTTTTCCAATGATGGATCCTATGAGGACGTGGGGAATAAGAAGACGGAGAGGGTAAGTCTTGGATTGAGAATTTGACTTCTCTGTTAGAGGCTCATTGTTCAGAGTTCGGATGATTAATCCAAAAGCCTAGATATTTGTCAGCCGTCAAGTTTAACATATTCAGGAAGACATTCAGTAGATAGAAAATACCTTGGCTACAGCCTCAACAGCCCCGCTAACGGTCAGAATTCGTTCCACGGCACCTTTCTGGTAGTCGCTGACGGTGCACTTGGCGTTTGACAATTTCCTAATATTGGAAACATTCTCGCCGCCCTTGCCAATAATGGTGGCAGCTTCAGGGCTAGAAATTACAGCACGAATATGAATCCACATAGTTTCATCATGAGCGTTGCCAGCTGAAGCACCGGCAGCGGCTGAAGTTCCGTGGACAGCGATATCCACAGCAAGCTTGGACTCATCAACGTCAGGGACCACTGTATCCCCCTGGTCATCTTTGACGTCCGGCTTGTCGCTGCTGTCGCTGGGCTTAGTGGCAGTGCCATTGGATTCAATAGGTGCCAAAAGGTTATCACCATTGCTCTCGGGAAGTTCAATGTCCTTGTCATTGCCATTGTTAATGACCTTGTCAAGAGCAGGTCGCTTGGCATCAGGCTGATCGGCGCCACGAGAAGGTGATGAAGCATCCTCCAAAGGACGCTTCGCCGGGTTAGTTGGGTGAGTAGGCGAGGCAGACATCTTGGTTAATGCTTATATGTTCACTCTTGAAAAGGACTACGTTGTGCCTTTAGAATGATCGTAATATACTTGAATTTATCGAATTTTCTTGCTTTATCTACACCTGAAGGGTTTTCGAAGGAAAACGTGTAGGTGTAGTGACTCGGGACGGGATGTGCTGAAGAACCCTTCGAGTTGATTCGGGAATGCGGGATCTGAAGGCGAGGTCGGATCTGAAAGGCAGGGTCGATGATGGGACGTAGTCAGCGTTGTCAAGAATGACAACTATGACTGCGAGGAAAGTGATATGAGAGATCCAAGTTGGACCTAGACGCTCGTGTGCTGGCTGGAGACGAGATTTGATAGGACGAGAGTGGTAGAACCTGATGATGGCTCAGGATAATTTGATGGAGATGGTAGATAAGATAACTTGGCCGGAACAGTTTGGATGTGTTGGGGTCAAGTTGGCGGAGTGAGATGAGTGGACAGATGGATGGATGGAACGATGAGTTCAGGAGTGAATGAGTAAAATGAATGAATGGATGATGATGATGGGGTTGGAAAGAAGTGGTAGGATTTAGAGACGTAGATAGTTCTCAAACCTTTTTACCCTGTCAAACGCGGGAAGTCGTTATGACGAATAATCTATTCCGATCCCAGTTGCCTCTTTCTAATCTTTTTTTTTCGCTCTTGCCAGAAAGTGTCTTTCTTTTTGCCAATTACTTATACTAGCAAAACCTTCCTTTGCTACTCTTCTCTTTCCTCGGAAGCTATCTTTTTTTTTGGACCTGAGAAATAGGATGACAATCGGTCGTCTTTGCAAAGTCGATCGAAGAATTGCTTTTACCAAATAGTAATAGCAGTTCGTTCTCGTAGACTAAAGTCGCGTCGCCTTCTCTTAATGAGGGTTTTTTTTTCAGTAGCTTCACTAAAGGGGGATTGATTGTATGCTGTGCTGTGATGGGGGGATGTGATGGAATGGGGGTAGCTCAGATGCGAAATTTCGCTCCAGAGCGGTTAAGAAAAGGTGGAAATGGGGGATGGTAAAACTGAATACAGTAATAAAAGATGGGTTGGGGGTGAAAAGAAGGGGTAGAGGGTTGGTTTGCACACAGAATGATGGTAGAGACTGATGCAAAAGAAGTGTAAAAGGATGGATAAATTGAGGAAGGGGAGGCGAGAAAGTTGTGAGGTGTGAGGTGGAAGTTGTGTTCCTAAGCTTGTCTCACAACGTCTTGATGCAAGAAAGATCTACGGTACCGTACGGGACTCCTTTAGAAAAAGTGAAAAAGCGGATTTCTCCACAAAAGAGTATATTGTCCAAGCGTCATTCACTTTCAATTGGCTTAACCATGAACCGTGGATTAAAAGCTTGGGCCACTAAGTGTCTTAGATGCATAACTCCATGCATTTAGATGGCACAGTACTTGAATACTTGTACGTACGTACCAGATGTTTTCGTCAGCCTCGTTGTGTTCCTTCCATCAATGTTGAACTGTACTCAGGCGGCTTGTGTGGGTGACTGGCACTGCTGCCCAGTGCTATTTCTCCTCACTCACTCTAGTCTTGTGTAATCTGTCAAACTCGTGACCAAGATCGCACAGTGTGTATATACGCATATACATAGTAGTATCATTATATTATGTATGTATAACCTTTTACACTTTTACCCTTTTACTCCTCCAATTCTTGTACCGTTCAATTCTTGTACCGTTGACTTGATTATTTCCTCCGAATCAATTCAATGTTGTTGCATCAATGATTGTACGCCGTAAGAAAAAAAGAAAAAAAAGTCGATTTAATTCACGTAGTACCTGAAAGAACATTGAATATCTTGGATACTAGGTATCCTTTTGTACTGCAGATCTACCGGCAATTCTTCCGCGTTGCATTACTTGGCGGCTCTTTGGTGATGCTTCTGGTCGGATATTGCTTGCTGCTGCATAAACCCTGCAATATGGAAAGATAGACTGACATTGCAGGCTGCAAGGCATCATTGCATTTCACTTACCTACCTGCCTACCTACCTACCTAGCACTTAATGCTTTGCTGCATAGTCTTCTTTGCATTTCGTCTCGCCAACAGCTCAGCTCTTTCTTGGCAACCTAAACCACTGCAACACCAAAGAAAATGGAAATAGACAACGAGACGCGTCTCGCCAATGACGTTGATTTGCTTCATGCATCTCATCTGAGGGAGACTCTACAGGAGCTTCAGGCTAAGGTTAAGGAGCATGAGGCAATACTGAATCGGCTACGCTCTGCCCCAGCGAAGCATCGCGCAAGCCAATCTCAACCGCCCACGGCACCTTGGGAGATTATGAAGGCAGCATATGATGAGCTAGCATCGCAAACCCCATTCTTGCCATTTCCCGAGTCTGTGTTGCCAGCTCTCCTGGCCCTTCGCAAAACTCATCAAACTGTGGAAGACACGAAAGCTTATTTGGCATCTCATAAAGACTCAGTTGAAAAAACCAGGCGACGATTAGAAGTTGAGAAATCCAATCTTGAAGATCAGAAAGCTCTTTCACAAAGCCTACAAAATCGCATACAATCCTTACAGGATAACCTGGAGAGCCGAATGGAGATGGGCCCGGAGGATATTGCAGCGGAGCGAATTGGTGAACTAAAGCAGAAAAAGAAGCATTACGATAGAGAGACGTCTACGCTTCTCAAAGCACTCAGAAGATTCATTGATGAGCACCTAGCAAGCATGCTCGCCGCTGAAGAGCTAGGAGGTCCCGTGGTTGGCGATATGATGGACATCGATGGAGACGACCTTGCAGCAGGGTTCAGTTCTCAGGGCAAACTGAAGAAAGCCAAGGAAAACCCGGACCAGGACAGACGGCAGCGACGCATTGATGAGATATGGGGCGTACGACAGGAAGACCAACCAGCAGGGAGAGCGAACAATAATAGTCGGGATGAAGTAGCGGTTGCTGGCGCAGAGATGCGTGATCTAACAGAGGAACTACTCAACGCGCTTGCGCAATCCGAAGGCGACAGCACAGCTTCTTACGTTCAGCTTCCCAGAGAATCGGCAGCTGCGAGGTTCCTGGTTAGATCTAAGGTCGCACAATTCCACCCAAGGGACTCAACGAGGCTGAGACTTATCGACTTTGGCAAGGAGTTGGATGAGTGATACATATGAGATGCTTCAATGTTGTCCATGACATAGTTGCCTCTACCTTCGCTGCTAGTACTACGATATCCGTAACGGGATACTTGTGTTTGCAATGTACATAGGCAAAGGGCAAACTGCTACATACTTACATGGCGGCAAGCTGAGGATGAAACCAGGAAAGTTCGCCTCCATTGTTACATAGGTCCTTAAGGCTTTGGATTTTCTACATTTATATGTAGATACAGATATGTATTCACACACAAAGACATTGTCTTTTTTTCGCAAATCGAATTTCTACTTGTGATAACTTACACATCATCCATAGGGTAGATGTAGTACAAGGATCTCGGAAGAGTAAGCGATTGGGGATTCCCTGCAGTGGAAGGCTTGGCGCTCAATCTCCATTACTTTATCACGATTGGCCAATTGATCTTCTCTCGTCGCGCCCCATAACGCGTTGCGGCAAGCCCGCTGCGCGTCCCCGTCTCCATCACACTACTAGGTACCTAGGTTAGTAGTTAACTGTTAATGACCTTAATGTATGGATTTTATATGCTAGGTACCTAACTACGTACCTAGTTATGCAAATCCACATGCCCCTCTGCCCTTTCCCTCTCACCGCAATTGCAATTGTCATTTGCAAACACACACACGCACACACACACACACTGATCGCCAGAAAATCACGTTTTTTCTCTCTCTCTCTTTCTCTTTCTTTTTCTTTTTCTTCTACTTCTTTGCCAGCAAATCCTATTTCCACCTTTTCTCCAGTAAATAACAATTTTCCCTCAAATTTTGAGAGAGAAACTTAAAAACCTACCTACACACACGGTATTATTTTGCACAGAGCAGCAGCAGCAGCAGCAGCAAAACTATGACCGTAGATAAAGCCGTCGTAACCTCACCACCAACCTCACCGCCTGCGAAAAGAGTCAAGACTACTCCCACCACCACTGAGCCTGATACCACTACTACTACTACTACTACTACCACTGCTCCTCCCACTGAACAACCTCAACCCACCTCAACCACCACCATGGCCACCACCTCCGCCTCCCCTCCCCCCCTGCTGATCAAAAAGCTCGACCCAGCCGCCAAGCTGCCGACGCGGGGGAGCGCCTTCTCCGCGGGCTACGACCTGTACGCGTCCAAGGAGACGGTGATCCCGGCGCGGGGCAAGGGGCTCGTGAAGACGGACCTGGCGATCGCGGTGCCGGCGGGGACGTACGGGCGCGTGGCGCCGCGGTCCGGGCTCGCGAGCAAGCACTTCATCGACACGGGCGCCGGCGTCGTCGACGCCGACTACCGCGGCCCCCTCATGGTGCTGCTCTTCAACCACTCGGACGCCGACTTCCCCGTCGCCGCCGGCGACCGCATCGCCCAGCTGGTCGTCGAGCGCATCTGCACCCCCGAGGTCGTCGAGGTCCAGGAGCTGGACGAGAGCGTGAGGGGGGCCGGCGGGTTCGGGAGCACGGGCACGAACTGAACTAGGCCGTGGTCTTTGAAGGGGGAAGAACAACTCTCTCGATGCTATTTAACGACGACGACGGCGATGATGATGACGACGGCGGGAGGAAAAGAAATCCCCCCGCGAAGGGGGGTTATGAGATGATATGATGGGTTGAAATAGGATCGGTAGACCAGACGTGAATGAATGAATGAACGGATGGATGGATGGATGAATTACATATGTAGTTCTAGGGAAGGTGGGGAGGTTAAAGGAGGTCCTCATTATCATTAGAAGAAGAAGAAGAGAAAGGAAGAAGCCTACAAGCGGGGGCGGCGTATCTCGATTCTAACCCATCGGGGTCGCAGCATACATAGCTTGACACCACCTGTGACTGGTAGTGGCCTAGGTAGACGTCGATGAATTGCATGTTATAGATGCTACACAAAAGAGGGAAAAGGGGAGGGGAGGGTCAAAAGCTCTCATCTCCAATCCAAATATAGAATCTATGATTCGGAGAAAATGGACTCGAAATTCATGTTTCTGGCCTTGGTTGAAAGTAATAGATTCATACAATACAAATTCATCTACTTCATGTCCACTGCTCTAGGTTAGTAGCATCAGACACTACATAGATACCTATCTGCATACCTGCTAGGTACTCGTGTATGCTTCACATTCTTTCTATTCGCCCTTTCAATGTTCGGATAGGTACCTAGATATCTATATGTTCATTCGTTTTATTTTTGCCGAACTCAGCAAAATCTCCTGTCTATCTCTAAATGCCCATTTATCTACTCCCCCTAACAATCTCTTCTACATCTTCTCCGCGCGGTATTCTATAGTCGGATCGCGCAAGCATCCCAGGTTTCTTACCAGCTTCAGCTCCGAAGCCCTCGACTTCAGGAGGTGCAGCGTCTTCTCGTCTACTTCTCCTTCTTTATTGACGACTGTAGCCATCTCAGCCGTCATGCTCTCGGCTGTGTGCGCCAGGACCTCGTGCATGCTCGCAAGCACCTTCTCGGCAGCCCGCGCGAGCGGTAGGTCTAGTACGTCGACATCGTCGCCACTAAGCCACGAGCGCTTTTCGCTTATCGACTCGTTTCCGTCACTATTCTGTTCTGAGATAGAGGATGAAGAAGAGGAAGAAGGTGAGGAGATGGCCTCGCGTATACGCGCCACCATCAGCGCTGCGAACATGTCACCCGTGCCGCTAAAGTAGCAGTCAAATACGGGAAACGAGATCGTGAAGAGCCGTGGTTGCCGGTCGGACGTCATAGTCGACCCTACGACAGACATGGCGCGCCCCGTCTGCTGTGGTGCGGAAGAGGAAGCGATCGAAGAGGATACCAACGGTATAGAAACGGAGGTGATGACGATGTGTGGGACGCCGTATTCCTGGTGTAGGACACGGACGGCTTCTTTGAGGGAGGCGGGGTCGGTTATCTTTACGCCAGAGAGGAGTCTGTGTTAAGGAGGAAATGGAAAACTGTTAGCCAGCGGAATGTGACTACATAACCTCCTCAACCGCCATTTCCATTGTGAAAATTTCATCCAAGCTTATTCAATATCCCCAGAAAGGATGTAGAATGCCAGGTATGAACAACCTGGACGTGAAGGACTTACTCGGCTTCGAACTGATTCGGTAGTATGAGATCAGCGTAGTTTATCAAGCTCTTGTAAGCAGGCACGACATCATCTGCGACGTACAAACGGCCATTATCACCCATGACCGGATCTAGGACCCAGAAGAAAGATCCAAGCCTTCCCGCTTTCTCGGATTTTCGCCGGAGCTCTTTTCCGATGTTGCCGACAGCTTCCACGGCGGTAGCGCCGGGCACATAGCCCGAGAGCATCATATCAAAGCCATCAAGGTACGACTGCTTAAGCCCGTCCCACAAATCCGTAATTTCTTGGGCTGACACCCGTGTGCCCTTCCATTGCCTGTAACCTGTGTGATTGCCTATTGACGTTTTGAATATCCTGTTAGACACATAGGCTATGTGATGTACATACACGACCTAGGTGGGGGTTCAGGGGCTGAGTTTATGATGGGTAGTTTTACGTACTGAATTGGACTGTATTCAAGGCGGCAACATCACAACCCATAGATTGGAGCACGAAGACGGCGATCTTGTTGCCTACGTTCCTATTCCACGTAAAAGACAAAGGGTCAACAAAGTGATCCGTGGAGGGAGGCATAGAGGTTCTAAGAACATGGGATCTCACCCTGAGACAACCTTCAAGGAAGTATATTAGCTACTGAATAAGAACCCGATTACTAAAGAGGGCATTGTGTATTCCTACATGACTGGCAACGGCCAGGACATTCGTCTCTGGGACTCGAGGTTCGACACTCATACGGAACGACTTTCCTTAGATTCAATTTTGGAATTTGAAGATAGGTAAGTAAATACTTTGCTACCCAGAGGTAGAGGGAGGTACCGTGTAAGAGCTACTATGGAGGTAGACAGCTAGGTATGCAAGCCTTTAATGTTGTAGTGGCCAATGGTGTATGGGGGGAGAAGGGAATCTCTATATCGTCACCCTGGCTGGTCTGAGAAGAGTGTGAGAATCAACAAAATGAGCGGCAAATTCCTCTATGAAGTCATTTAGAAAGAAATTGTTAATATAAAAGAAAAGAAAAGAGAATGAGTAAGAACTTAGAAGATTGAATGAAAGCTTGTGCTGTTATCATCACTTATCCGCCGATTGCCGGTACCAAATACAAAACGGGCGCATGACTCTTTACCTAGTAACTTTGACTGCCCCACACCCCACCACACTGACCACAGATTATATATAAGTGTGGTAGGTGCCTACTAGCCTTAAGCTAAGTTAGTGCCTTCATGATAGGCATGCACTACTAGGTACAATACTACTAGGTTAGTAGGTAGTAAACCACTGGGCACTTTTATTATAGGGAGGTAGGTACCTAATTCAGGGCTCACCTCCCTACACCTTGTACTACTACTAGTATTTACAATCACAACCACGTTCAATGCTCATAAACCATCGTCATATTATAGGCAAGACGAAAAGTACTCAGATTACAGCCGTAGCGTAGGGTGAATTAATCAAACCCTATGAATGACTAGACTTCGAACCTAGGTGGTATGGAAGTGCTTCGTAAACTAATACGCCCAAAGCTCATATGCAGACGCAAGAAGTCTTCGTCTCCGTATAGTTATCCATGTTATTAGCCACCAAAGTCCATAGCAAATCTGAAAGCAGTGCATTCCATCCTGCTGATGTGGTATATTTGTAATCCTTCATTATTCCTTGTTGCTTTATCATTCCCTCTTACTCCTCGTCGCCAATCTGTAGAATCAATATATTAGTAACGTGACAGATATGGCATTAGGAAAGGCGGTGTGACAAACCTTGGGAGCGAGGTAGAATCGCAAGAAACTGCTGCCTGCTAGTCCGTATTCTACCAGAAGGGGCACCTCGTTGGAGAGGCAGATCTTGACAGTACTGGACAGAGCCTGGGCCTTGCAGAAGTTGACCAAGTACTTGAGCGAGAAAGTCAGACCAACGGGCTCGGTGAGCTCGATGTCGATGTTCAAATCCGGCTTGTCGACATTCTGGTGGCTGCGTAGAGTGACGGCACCGTTTCCAATGTCACCATTGCAAGAGAACTTGACACCGTCCTTGCTTGCATCAATAGTAACTTCTATGTGTTAGTCGTAGTCTTCGTAATAAGGTATGTTCAACCCAGGGAAGGGAGCGTGGAGCACTCACCCGACTCTGACATGGCCATCAAGTCGGTGCAGATACGTCGAAACTCGGCAGAGGGCATGGAGATGGTAGCAGCATACTCCGTCTCGGGAATGCCCAGGTGCTCTTGGTCAATGTCCATAAGTTTTAGGTCATACTCGCTAATTCGGTCATTCTCACTGCTCTCGAAAACGAGGTTCAGGGAATCGGGCGCGTCTTCGGCCTTGAGCGTCAGGATATCCTCGTTCTGGGCTGCGCGTAGAACCTTGGTGAGGGAGACAAGATTGACACCAAGCGCGATGTTTCGATCGCAACGGTAAGGGGAGAAGCCCTCGGCCTTCAGCATCATCGAGACAAGTGCGACGTGGGAGTTGTCCATTGCTTGGAGCGCGATACCCGAGTCGTTGCAATCGAAGTTGCAGTCTTGGACTAAATCCTTGATGGCATCCACCACCTACGCCATTAGTATTACTCACGAACGGAAAGAGAAACGAGTAGGAAAGAAAAGAGTAGAAAATACCTTCTTCAGGATCTGAGCCTGCTCTAGTCGTGCTTCCAACATGATGGCGTCTGGATTGAATTGAACTAGACTAGTGAATATTAGTTATCGGATTGCGTGTAAGAACGGTAATAATTAACTTGGAAAAAAAGAAAATAATAGGAAATGATTTTATGAGAAATAAAGAATAGCTTTTGGGAGTTTGTAGGAAGGGGAGAAATACCTATAATTTTTGGTGGTGACGTTGTTGCGGTAGGAGGATCAGTTGCTTCTGGAAAATGTTGTTAAGAAATGTGAAATAATAAATTGAATTTAAAACGCGTGGAACCACTCAACGCGTCGTCAATTGAAGGCTGACGCGAAATGCCCCACCTGCTGTACCTTTAGCTTCGCTTGCTTGCCTAGCTGCCTACATAGGTACGCCAGAATGGAAAGTTCGCCTTAAAAGTTAACCTTGGAAATCTCGTGCTCTTTTAATGCATGCACCGTTGACGTCTTATCTAGGGGGTACCTAATCTTAGGTACTATGTACTTTTCCCCTTTACTGGAACATTGAACGGCCCGATGCCCGCCTCAGGGGATCAATGCCATCAGACACATAGTACCACTGGGTAGAATTGGCAGATAATAGATGACGTCTGCTGAGATACCTTTGCTAATAAGTACCTAGGATAGGTAGCCAAATTTTATATTCTCTCAAAAGAGTCTTTTTATTTATATGTATATACCTAAAGCTAGTAGATAGGCGGTCGGGTATGTGCAAGTATATATATACGGCGACATAAGAAAAAAACATTACATACAACGATCGTATGGATGGCCAGCTCTTTTATCTAAGTCAAGTCACCTCTAATCCCAAACAAAACAGCCCGAGCAGTGCTACGGTGAAGGCAAGCAACTCTAGGCTGGACCCTAGGTTGAACCCCTCTTTCTATCCCAAAAGCGCCGTACTGCAACCAAATATGACCCAGTTCATAATTAACTCGTTACCAACGCCTCGAGGCCCAGTTACTGCTGTAAGTCGAAAAACGAGAAATAATACAAAGTGACGATGTAATTTCAAAGAGAGATACGGCCACGGCCAGGTTTTCTTTCCAACACCCCCTGCAACTCTCGCATCATGCCTCGTTGGGCTTCAGCTCTCGCTTTAGCGATCTCCCGGGACTTGCGGTCTTCCCTCATCCTGACGATTCTCTCTTCCCGCGTAAGCAGGCTCTTCGGCCGAGGAATCGAGATAGCCTCAAAGACTTCTGGCTCGTGTCGCATATCTAGCTCTCCTGGCGGGGAAATGCCACCATTGAGTTTCTTCAATGCGTCAGCAATACCCGGTTCGTCTGAGCTGTTCTCGTCTTCCTCCGCGATGGTTCGTCCACTCATGGTGCTTATAGGAGACATAAGCGTAGAGCCCATGGATGATAGGCGCTTCTCGTTTCTATCGATACCAGACGCCAACGATGCCTTGCCTGTCTGCCATGCTTCCATCAGATCTCGTAAATCTTGGCCTATCGACTCATACTGAGACATAAACAATGGCCCGAGGTCGGTAATATCATCGGCTTCGTTCAAGGCCTTTGATGACTCTTCGCGTAGGAGATGCAACTTAGCTTGCACGCTGCGGATGTTCATGGTCATCGAATTTAGCCTGCGGACTTGGTGACGCCATCGATCGTGATTAGGGGTCTCGGGGCTTCGGGGGGTTTTGGGAATTTGAACTAAGAATAACCTATTAGCAAGCAGCGGTTGGCTAGTTTGTCACAATATACTTACAGTCGTTGTCAGCCAGGATATCTCTCACCCGAGCATAGGCTTGCCTTGTGACGACGTTTAACTCTCTGAACGCTTCTAATATGGTGGTGAAACGGAGTCGGTCGGTGTCGTTTCCAACCGTGTGAAGAGCCAGCAGTCCACTCAAGAACATCTTTCGAATATCGTGGAATAGGAAGGCAGCATCTTTCAACGGCTGTAACTTCTCAATATCCTGAGCGTCTGTCTTCGATAGCACTTGGAATCTTTCTACTACATCAGCAACTGTGAACTGATACTGGGACTGTAGTTGTTGTAGTTCGGTCTGCTCTGCAAATGCCCATATCGTGAAGGCAACCTGATAGTACTTGGAGATAACCTCCGTCAAGCTGTGTCGGAGGGCTTGTCTTAGTTGCAGGCACTTGACGCTTTGCCCATTACTTTCTAACCGGCTGATGGGAGGAATGGGAGTGCTCCTATTAGTACATTAGCTGGTTGCAAAAATCGACTCTGGGAATAGGAAGATATTCACAGTCGATAGCCGCGGGAGACTAGTTCCACTTCCATTATGAAGTTAAGCGCGGCACTGTTTGCACAGTCATAATCCCGGGAAGATGAAAAGAACATCGAGGCTTCTGCAAGCCCTTCTTTTTGTATATTTCGTAAAATTTGCCTTCGAACATATGCTCTAGCGATTAGAAGCACCAGAGATAACACTGCAGCAGAGGCTAGCAACCGTCTCCAAGTTGGCATGAAACCTCCAACCGAAAACCACCGGACAAGAGATGCCGCACCGAACCCGAACACGGCCGCGGCAACGGCACCGGGAACTGTAAACCCATGGAAGCTGGATTCATCGGTCGGTTGTGGTGAAGTAGGTTCTGGTGATGGTTGGTAACCTAGCACTAAGGGGTTGTCTAGAAGCTGGGACTGGACGATGGTGAGCCGTAGCCGCTCGAGAAATCCAATCGATTTGGCATGGTCTATGGAGGAAGTAACAGCCTCCAGTAACAATCGCAAAAGATCAAAAATAGGGGAGGCATGATAATGAAGGTCGTCCAGGTTGATACGAGACGGAAAACTATTAGAGTCGAGATGCAGGGGCTTCGGCAGGTTTTCCCGAAACCTCCTCCGAACCTTGGCAAGGCCTCTCGGAGCAAAATCTCGTGGACTAGACGGCGGTGAGAGGTCGTGATTTCTATCGTCCTCGGGTTCCTGCCACGACAACTCCTCTTTCTCCCCCGTGCCTGTGACAACAATGGTTAGGACTTCAGGAGCTAGGGGCATGGTGATCGTCAAGGAGAACCGCTTCTACCGAAGCGATCCGGGGCTAGTGTGCTGTATAGAACTAGCATACATACCCTCGAGATAATTGCTCAAAGGCGTCCCCTCATCTACGTGAGTCTCCATGTAATAACTGTGGTGTTGCACGAAGGGTCGCGTCCATCTGGCGCGAAATTATTGTGATTCACTCAGCATGCAAACCGTCATACAAGGAGATGACTTTGAATCAGATCAATTCAGTTGTAAGTAAGGTAAGAAAATAATCGTAATAACTAAGATTTTGAAAGACTGGGATGAGATGTTAGTTACAGAAAAAATGAAAGTAGAAAAAAAACAATAATAATAAAATAAAAAAAAAAGATAATAGAAAAAAGTTTAGACGATGGTATGTAAGGAGCGCGGTCTTGTCAAGAAGGGAAGTTCAAGGTTACAAGTACAAGGAAGCTTAGAAGAAGTCAAGTGCTTTGTTCATTTGATGCAGATTACACCTACCAAATACGACTACACTACCTAGCTCTGGAACAACTTCTCTTAATTAAGCAAGTGGCTAAGTGTAGCATTGAATATCCCAGGTATGCATAAGTACTAGTAGTACCTACTAATAATAGATTAGGTGATTAGATACAATCAGATAGTACTAGCAGTTAATGTCCGGAGGCTCCGCCCAGGGGAGCTTCCCCCATATGAACCCAAGAAACCCAGGAAACCCAGGAAACCCAAGAGAAGGAGGCTTCTGAAAAGCCTCGGTTTCGTCATGGGGGCAAGAACGAACGAACTTCTGACTATTCTCCATCCCTTCCCCCTCCGATCCAATGATATGGATATGGATATGGATATGGATATGGATCAATCATGTTTCTTGCCGTTCGCAGCCGGGGGGCATTAACTTTGCCATGCGATGTATGTTTAGTGGAGCCAACATGCACTATTCCTGGGGTTTGGGTACGAATAAATGCGAATAACTCCACATTATTCGTTAAACTTCGTCCAATAGGCAACTAGATCGTTGGGGTTTAAACATTTTTAAACATTACGTACATATGTATGTATGTACAAGCTGTATCTTAGTACCAGACACATGCAACTTTGAACCAGCAGTCTACTACATTATTAGTCTACATATGCTAACCGTAGCATCAGACACCTATGTAATACCTACAGTAATACATACCTATGTAACATACTACAGCTGCGGCATCCATTCAATCCAAACCAGCGTTTAAACATTTTCCATTCCATTCTTGTTTGCTTGTCTCATATCGATCCAACTCATACCCAACCACAGGAATCACGAAACAAAGACTTACCGATCCAATAACCCCAATACTACCTTAACATAGAAGAAGGACGAAGCGCAGCCATGCCGACCGAAAGAGAGCTACAGATAGCACCGATCGTGCCGGAGTCGGTAGTGCACAACTCCAAAGTCAGTATAGTCCAGTCCTGTCCAGCCACCTTGAACAATGCATAGTTCCCCATGCCCGGAAACAATGAAAACAATGCATACCTAGTAGCTACGCCTCACATGCATCGTGTTCGTTTCTATACCTAGGTACCTGGGTATTAGAAGAAGATATGTAACTGACATTGCAATGTGCTTTGCACTGCCTTAGGCTCTATCCAATCTTCAGGCCCTTACCGCTTCCATCTTTGGCGCCGCAGCCGGTATCTTGGGCCTCGAGTCCTATAGCGGATTCCTCTTCTACATCATCTTCACCATCCTAACCACCGTCCTCTTCTACACCATTCGCGTGGCGCCCACGTCGCTGAAGGACGGCCACGGCCTATTCGACACGAGCAGATATTTTCGGACCAAGTACGAATTCTGGGCGGGCGGTCTCTTCAATGGTCTTGCGGGATACATATTGACGTGGACATTATTCTATGGGTTGGTGAGAGCCTAATAGAGGACTGCCTAGTACATCACAGTATATCACAATCCTAAATAAATATGATCTTGTCGTATGGTGTAATAAGATATCTAGGGATCAGCATGATGTGTGTTTCACGAACCACGTGGTGGATACGGCTTGTCCAAAGTCTATTCAAATTCAAATGATGTTGCTAAACTTAGCTGCTCGCTGATGATGTGATATCCAGAATCCACCGCAAATAGGTACCATTTTAAAGAAAATTACCATGTCATACACCTTTCCAGCTATTCACCAATCTCGATCACTTTACCTACGTAACCCTCAAGCCCTGATTTGTCTTTGGATCCCCCTTCTACGAGGACTATCTGAGACCCAAGCTCGATCCATTCTCTGCTATTCAAAAATTCCAACAAAACGTGGTATTCTGCATGATATTCGTCCAGGTCTGTTTCTGACTTAGTACGTTCGAGCTCGAAGTGACCACTCATGCCGAAAACATCATCTTCTTCTGTCGTAGCTTTTCGTGGATCCAAGTCAGACTTTTGGAGTGTAACCCGTAGCACCCGGACGGCGGCACGAACCATCCCCACGTATGCATTTATCAGAGTATTCACAGCCAAGCCCTTGATGTCCGATGTTGGGAAGGAAGCCGTTAGATTAGAAGCAGCCTGTAGAGAAAGCCCGGTCTGGACCATGTGTTGGCTAGGCACAGCCAGGACCTGGCCTTTGCGAATTCTATTGTTCGAAATTCTTGGGTTTTCGGACACATCGCTAGTATTAGGTGCCTCCTTATTATCTTCGTCAAAAACAACTTGGATGGAGCCAGCCTGTCCCGCCTCGATAGTTTGAACTGGAAGCCTCAAGTTACGAATATTCACAATCATTGCTGTACGCCATTCGCCTTCGATTTTCGAGGCTGACAAGATTTGGCGAGAGCTAAGTCGAGCAAACTCGGCGGACGAAGGATGAGGAATTGACAAGCCGTATCCAGGTGATGGATGATCGTTTGGCATCAGGGCGCCAGCATCCTCGTCGTCCCCGGGGAAGGGCCCTAACACGACCTTTTCACCGATGGAGAGCTTCCCAAATCGCAAATAGCCAGTAACTACTGGTGCGCTTCTGCTAAACCCAGGAGTTGCAGCACTCTGAGCACGGCTCAACGACATTTCAAAAACGTCGTCAATATGAAAGAGAGCAGCTGGTTGTTCGGGATTTAAGGCGAGCGGGACGAAGTCCCTTGATGTTGGGATAGGGGGAACGGGTAAGCTTCTGAGCAAGGCGTGAGTAAGTCCAATGCCTATACCTTTAACGGCGCTCGTAAGGATAATGGGAACAATAGACAACGGGTCGCTAGATCGGGTAATAGGGTCGATTATTTCCTCCGCTACTTTTCGCAAGTCTACATCAGGTACCTCCGCAAGGCTGTCCTCGTCACGTGCAAGAGAGGTCAACAGCTTCGGTATTCTCCCCGTAGCTTTAACCTTGGTGAAGACTACGTTCAATTTTTCCTTCAGCAACGTACGCTGTCCTAACTCGGACTTGGTGATGAGAATAGCAAGGGGCATTGCCAGTTTTAAGGATAAGTCCAGATGTGCCATAGCTAGCTCCATTGACGTTATCCCAACCCCATCTGCGCCAGAGAGCGAATGGACACCGGAGGCGGGGAGAGCTTCTTCGTTTGCAGGAATACACAGCAATGTCCAGTGAGGAGCCCATCCGACCAAGGCTCGAAAAATCGTGCGCTGATATCGCGGATGTCCGGCGGAATCTAATAGAAATACCAGCCGGCCATTCTCTGCACGATCATGGATATCGGGCCATTCGTTAATATTATTAACGTTGTAGTTGAATATATCCTGTCCTCCGTAGCCGATCAGTTCCTGGGCAATGGAGCTAGTCCGCCCGGATGCAACTTCGTGGCGATGTCTTAACAAGTTGATTCTACTGCTTCCACGTCCATTATCTAGGGTGCCGTTGGAAAGTGTCCCTAATAGTGTGGTTTTACCCGATGTTGTTGGCCCAATGAGCGATACACGAAGCTGCTCGGTAAGTGAAGCACCTCTTGTCAGAGCAGAATACATCTGATTTGGCTGTTGATCATGCTCACTGCTCTGCATATTTAGGACTGGGATAACGAGAGCCTCTGCGACCCAAAGATCGGCGACTCGCACTTGGTCGTTGGATTCCGAAGTGTCATCTGTCCACTCACAGGCACCAACTGCTTTCATCCGTTGCACTTCGACTCTGCAGCCTAGACTAGCAGCCATTACTTTTAGGGTCGTCATACTCTCGTCCATCTCATCCTTGGTTAAACCCACAAATGTTCCATCGTCAGCCACACCCAGTTCGTAGAGAGCCCCGTTGGACTCCTCAAGACCTAGGAGCAACTTTCCAGGCTTCTCAAGAGCTGTGAGATCAGCGATATCTTCGGGCAATTTTGGTATGACCAAATCACCTCTGGCGGTAGAATGATACGGCGACGACTGCTGTAGCCTCCAAAGGAGCTGGGTGGTTAGATGATGGAGACGGTTCTGTCTGGTTTGGGTCGAAGAGGCCAGCGGTACACTAGACTGCCTTGGATATTTTACTTCTCGCATTGGTCTGGACGCCTGAGACCCTGAGACTTTTAGTGTGGTGCTCATCTTACTATAAGCCCTCCGCGGTCGTAGTAAGAGGTGTAATTTATATTCGATAGGGCCATCTTGCGGCTCTGCTTCGAGTCTTTCCAAGTCGGAGTCTGAGAACTGTTCTGATTCAACAATAGCCCCGGTGGTGACAGAACGCTCAGCCTGGGGCCTCTTGATGGCATCCTGAGCGGATTGCCAGGGGGAATTTACCCGTGGAGGGTCGTGATCAAAGGTGAATATTGAAGCCATAATTTGCTCAGTACCTAACTAGTGGTTAAGCAATACAATTCTTCTGGCTTATAAATTGACTAGGGTGTTATGTCATTTGGTAATGGCTCTATTGTATGGTTCTGCGCTATTCGCTGTGTATAAAATGGATGTATTTGTAGTAGCATCTTCGTAGAAGTAGAGCTAGAAAGCTCCTAGGTAAGAGGGTATTAGTAAATAAGTTTGAATACGCTTGCAAGCAAGATATCAGTTTAATACGACACCGGGATGGCCATTGTGAAGATAGGTTAATGTGTCATATGTGAAGGTGATGAATAGTTGGACAACTCATCGGGATGAGTATGAGTATGAGAATGAGAAGAATGAAGATAGTTAAGTATAAGTATTATGTATACCAAGGTATGTCACGGTGTACTCAATGTAAGATGAATCATCCAGGGGTGTGTACCAAGTACTATGTACATACCTATTTAATTGATATTTACCTAGGGTCATTACGGTCAAACCTCAAACATACATACATAGTTAGTAGTACCTACCTAACCTTAGGTATGCATGGCAGGTGAGATAGGCTAACGCATATTCAAGAAGGCACTCACTACCTAGTTATTAACTTATAATTATACACCTGATGTAGGTATTTGCTAGGTGATTTTCAGTTTTACAATAGTTATACAGTAAAACTTGAGGGCTATCACTAATTACATAATCACTACATACATAGTATTGATTGATCAATCTTACTTTTCTGTGTACGAATTCGTATCTGATACATATAGCATATAAGGTTTACTACATGCTTTCAAGGTTTGTATGTCATGTTAGGCCCGTGTCTGTCAGCTGGGGCCATTCAAGTTGATTCAATACAAGTTGATTCAATACTAGGTACCTACCTAATTATGGCAGTGGACAATGTTGGTGTTCGCCACTGTGGTGGCTTAGTTCTTTACCGCCCCAGTGCCCACCTGGACAGCCTAAAGCCAGCATTTACCCCTAATAGACTATCCTGGAACAGTGCTCTTCTAAACAAAGTAATAAGCTAACCCCACCAGATAAAGTGCTGCGGTCTAGGACTGACGAATTGTTTTGAAAAGCGGTGATCTACACATGTACATATTGATGTACATATTCAATATTGATGTACAATAGTCAATTCTCTACAACATTGAATGTACACATTGAATGTACAAACTCCCTTGACAGGCTTGATCCCTTTAAAGTCCCCTCCTTTTTCGAAACGTAACCTAAGACATCCCGTGTCTACAAAAAGTTCCATAATTCATCACCTTTTATTATAATCATTGGCCTCCTAAAACTTTAACACCTTTCTCCTTCTTTTGCCTCTTTCTCCTTCCCCAATCTCAATCTCAATACCAATTTCAATTTGGTATTTCATCAATCACTCCCACATTACATTACATATTTCGCATAAAAAACACACCATCAAAATGAAGAAGTTTGGCTTCGGCAAGAAGCACGCCGATGGCGATGACCCAAACCGATCCGCTCTTTTTGGAAAGAAAGGCTCACCAGCTCAATCCGACAACCCATATGCTCAACCTCAGACTGCGAACGACCCTTATATGGCTCCCAACATGACTCCTTATCAACAAGTTCGTTCACGCGTTCCTGATCGTCCAGCCGGTGGTTTACCAAATGGTCCGGGCCCCCAGAGAGGTTACGGCGCCCCTCCGCTATCTCGAAATGACAGCAACCACTCAACCGCAACCACTCTGCCCCCTTACTCTAGTGCTCCACCTTCGGTTGCGGGTGGCTACGCCAACGATAGATATGGGGCTTCCTCGGGCTACGGAGCTAGCAAATACAGCAACTCGGGCGGTGCATCGGGTGCTCGTTCTGGTGGTTATGGTGGACTAGGCCGGTCTGATAGCAACGACACGGATTCTAACCGAGATGCCCTGTTCTCTGGCGCCCGAGAGCGGTACGATCAGCAGCCTCATAATCCAGGTGGTGCCTACGGAGCCTCCGGGGCCTCCGGGGCTTCTGGGGCCGACTCTAAATATGGCGGCTATGGACAAGAACGTGAACTTACAGAAGAGGAGAAGGATGAGCTTGAGGTCGATGACATCAAGCGGCAGATAAAGCAAGAGAAGTTGGCCACGGCCAACACTGCGGAGAACACTGCGCGCATCGGTCAGCAAACAGTGGAATTAGCTTCACAAACACTTGCTCGCCTCGGCGGACAAGCGGAGCGGCTCAACTACACCGAGAACCTCATAGATCGGGGTGGCTTTGCGAGTAGGGAAGCTGAAGAGCAGACTAAGAAACTCAAAAGTCTGAACCGAAGCATGTTCGCTGTTCACGTCGGCAACCCCTTTACTGCCAACAAGAGGAACAACGAGATGGAACAGAGAGTTCTAGATCAAAACCGCAGCGAACGGGAACAGCGAGAGTCAACGCGGAAAGACGGGTACCAGGGTAATATGCGCATGGAATCCGCCTTCCGCCAAGTTGACGCCAGCGCAAAGAATGGTGTCTGGCAAAAGCAGAGCGCTGCCGAGAAGTCTAAGTATTCATTCGAAGATGATGACGAAGACGAGGAGACGGAGGATAGAATCGACGACAACATGAACAAGACGGCCCAATCCGTCAGCCAGCTCAACACCCTCGCACATCTCTTGGGCAACGAAATTGATTCACAAAACAAGGTCATCGACAGAATTGGCAACAAGGTAAGCTCTTCTATTACCGCACTAGGAAAAGTAGGTATAGTTCATAGCTAACAATGATGCAGAGCGACAAACTCAACGATGCTACAGCAGTGCAAGTACGCCGACTGCACAACATAAGATAGTTTTTGACGCGGGAGGCCCTATACCTACTCAGTTATACCTACTTAGTATCATTTGGTAGGGAGAATAGGGTTCGTCATAACAAGTCCAAGCATGATTCCTAGGTTTAGTTCGAGACACCTTTACAAGGCTCCGTCCTGGAATTGCGAGCCTGGGGGTGTATCTCGTCCCCCCATAGAATAATGATAGCATTTCGGTTCCCGTTGAATAGAATACTGAAATTGCGTGTGGCCCAACTATATTGTTTTGTTCAAAGAGATGATGCTTAGCAGTACATGGCAATATCTGATTGCATGATTTGTATACCTCCAAGGCTACTAACTTGAAGCTATCATAGGTACCTAGGTACATATATATGATATTATGTACTATTAGGTATGTATGTATGTAATAGTGTGGATCAACGTGTAAATTATGTTCTGCACGGTATAAATCTGAACCTGGACATCTGGAGAATTGGAAGAAGCACTCTAAATTAGCCGTCCGTAGACTATTCATTACGCCATCCCGTTTTCACCATTCGGACTTTGTGTATTACATGACATTCGCCATGAAACCTTCATGGAGATTGCTAGCAACAGCAACTGCGGGCAATGGCTTGAAACCGGCGCAGATGGCATTGCTGCCACCGATTCCCCTCTACCGACGTTTATTCAGAGCTCATCGCAAACATTTAAAACACGAAATGCGCTTGCTCGGCGACGAGTACATCAAAGCCGAGTTCCGCGCTCATAGAAATATCGATAACCCGGCACATCTAGTAAGAGCTTTGCCAGATATGACTGATGCCCCCCCCAAAAAACTATAAGGTCGTATTTGGTAGTTAATTGTGTGTTTTTCTTTCTTTTCTTAGATTGGGTTCCTCACGGAATGGCAGCTATATGCTCAGAAGATTGAGGGTGAAGCTTGGATTGGCGATAAGCTTGATGAAGAGAAGATCGCTAAGATGAGTGGTTTGTCTACCTCAACTCTCTATGTGTGAATGCTATTAGTCAGTTAACAAACAGTATTGCAATAGATCAGCAGATGGGACAGCTTTATGAGCTCATGAAAGCCATACAGAAGAGGAACGAGGAGGAAAACAAGTGATGGTGGATGTTAAGGATTAGATGTATGTACATCCATGGATAAGTCGGTGCTGTAACTTCAGCCCTATGTCGCCGCTTTGGTATTTGATGCCTCCATACGAGTCCATAGATTCCAGAGTTTGTAAGACTTTCGCTATACTACTAGTAGTACGTCACGTGACTCGATAATTGTTCAAGTGGTACAGTACCTTTACAGTTTTACACAGTGCAAAGATTCTCAAGATTATTTCTTCATTTCTTCATGATTATTTTCAGTATTATATATAAACTTTTCACTTTCACTTTTCTACATTCAAATCATATCAACCACTATCACAAACCACAAATTCAAATATGACTGAAGATGAGCATAGGCCAAAAAGGCGCAAGACCAAAGCCACAAATAGTGCATCAGTAATTAAGATTGGAGACAAGACAATCGACATCAGTGCCTATTTGAACCCTCAGAAGAAAGTAGTAGAGCAGCCATCAAGGGATCAGGAGCATGCAGTAATAACTGAGTCTGGGTCTCAGCCAGTGTCTACGAAAAAGCCTTTGAAGGAACCCAATCCAGAAACTTCTAAGAAGAATGCGCCCAAACGATTAGCAATCAGCGGAGACCAGTCACTATTAAAGTCTCGTAAGGCGTTGCCAATATGGAATCGTCAAGAAGACATCAGAGCTGGTTTGCGTGGTGAAAATGATGTGCTCCTCATCGTCGGTGAGACTGGTTCAGGTAAAAGTACCCAGACCCCTCAGTTTCTATGTGACGAGCCCTGGTGTCGGAAGAAGAAGGTCCAAGTGCAGTCCGATACGGTGAACGTAGGCGGGATGATTGCCATTACCCAGCCGCGACGAGTTGCAGCAACTACCTTGGCAAACCGAGTGGCTCGCGAAATGGGGACACCTCTTGGGGCTTCGCGCGAGGGATCTGTTGGTTACTCAGTTCGGTTCGATCACAATGTGCCAAAAGGTACCAAAATCAAGTTCCTCACAGAAGGTATGCTTCTTCAGGAGCTCTTACGGGACCCGAATCTTCGTCAGTACAGTGCTATCATAGTCGATGAAATTCACGAAAGGAGCGTTGATGTCGATATGCTGGCCGGGTTCTTAAAGCAGATATTGTCGAGTGATAAAGCTGGACGGGGGGGTATACCCTTGAAGGTCGTCATCATGAGTGCCACAGCAGACATAGAGAAGATCCAGGAATTTTTCAAGCCCCAGGATCCGAGACCGCCCATCCAATTACTTAGGATACAAGGGAGGCAATATCCCGTGGAAGTCAAGTACACAGACAGACCAGTACCGGATATTCAAGAAGTCCTCCTCAAACGAATCTTTCAGATTCATCTGCAAGAGCCACTACCTGGGGACATACTAGTATTTCTTACCGGGCAGGAGGACATCGAGTCTGCTCAGCGACTCATCGAAGAACATTGCGCAACGTTGGCTTCAGATGTGCCGAGACTATTAGTCTGTCCTCTATACGGTCAATTATCAATTCAAGCGCAACAAGAAGCGTTCCAGCCTGCCAAGAAGGGATTTACACGAAAGGTGGTCTTGGCAACCAATATCGCCGAGACGTCCGTCACTGTTCCCGGTGTCCGTTATGTGATTGATGGTGGAAAAGCCAAAGTGAAGCAATTCCGATCCCAGCTAGGTATGGAATCCTTGTTGGCGAAGGCAATCTCGAAGTCATCGGCGATACAACGGACTGGTCGAGCTGGCCGTGAAGGGCCGGGAAAATGCTACAGGTTGTATACCTCAGATACGTATGATTCACTCCAAGAAGCGGATCTTCCCGAGATTTTACGCAACGATGTCTTGGGCGCCGTCCTGGCAATGAAAGCACGTGGCATCGATGATATTCTTTCGTTTCCCTTGATGGACTTTCCCGACATGGGATCTATCGAAAAGGCCTTGATACATCTGCATTTCCTTGGTGCGCTAGCCAACGACGGCAAGATCACGGAAATCGGGAAAAAGCTAGCTCTCTTCCCGGTATCCGCACCATACGGCAGAGTACTGCTCGCGGCGAGTGACCCCGAATACGACTGCCTCCTCGAAGTCATCGATATCATTGCATGCATCACGTCGGGAGAGAGCATATTCCACCAGGTACAATCGGAAGAAGTAAGAGAAGAGGTGGAAGAGTACCGCAAGGAGCTATACCGCCGCGAGGGCGACATCCTCACGTACCTCACCACCATGCAGCGGTACACGGGCGAGAACGCCGACCGCATCGACTGGTGCAAGAAGCGGCGCATCAACATCCGCAACATGAAGCAGGCCCTCAACATCCGCAAGCAGCTGCGCGGCATCTGCCTCAAGGAGAAGATGCTCGCGGAGCCTCCCCCGCCCGACCCCCAGCCCTTCGTCCCGCTGTCCCCCGAGAGGGCGGCCGCGCTGCTGAAGTGCTTCCTGAAGGGGTTCGGCACCAAGTGCGCGCTCCTCGCGCCCGACGCGAGCTACGTTACTATTCAGGGGAAGCACGTCGTCGCCATCCACCCGTCGAGCGTCCTGCACGGCCAGAAGAGGGAGGCGATCATGTTTTTGGAGCACGTGTTCACGCAGAAGAGCTACGCGAAGAAGGTCAGTGCTGTGCAGGCGGATTGGATTGTTGAGGCGTTGGATGTTGATTAAGGGGGCTAGCTAGCTACGTGGAGGGTTATGGGCTGTTGTAGGTATATACCTAGGTGACGAGAAAAAGATATGAATGAGTATTATCACGACTTCTGAACTGATCTGATCGAGGCGTGATTAAGGGGCACATGACTTAATAGCTGCAAAATCACTAGTACGCATAGACAACAAGCATGCTCGGTCTCCCTGGGTTGGCCTCCAGCTTCTTCTTAAGGTAGGATGGATGGGCTGAGTTTATTGCTCTGAGGCTGGGCGACACAGCGTCTCTAAGCTTGGGGGCCGGTCTAGGTCGCTTCTATACTATCATGTATCTACCTGCTTTATGCCTTCACCAGCGACTTTCAATCCATGGAGCGTAAATATAAGGTTATATACCTACTCCTTCCGTTATCTGCTCACCCTATTCACTCTAACCACATAACCTAGGCTGATGGCAGGCAGCCCGAAGTGACGATGGCACAGATGAGAAATAAGGGGCGCTTTTTAGACGATCGTGTATAGGTAGGTAGGTAGGTAGGTAGGTAGGCTATGCTTACGGTAACTACTCGCAGATAGTACTCACCCATCTACCTACATAGGTATCTACGTAACGTCATGTAAGACATGGATATAAGCACTCTCGCGCATATTGGGGGCCGTAAATATGTGTAGAGAAGAAGAAGAAGCAGGGAACAAATGTTGCATATCAGTTTTGCAACTAATTACCTGGGCAGGTAGGACTTACCTACCTACCTAAGTACACATCGATTTACATACGTCCACACTCAAGTATGTATATCCATATCTTACCCACATACATACATACTGCATACCTAAGTGTGATGTTGTGATGCCGGCACCCAGATACTCCGCTGAGTCCCTTCGTACCTACTTCCTACTTCCTACTTCCTCCCTCTACCATCCAACCAACATTATACCTAGGTACATACACAAGCAGATACATCCATACCAACCTACATACATACCCTTGTTTCAAGTAAGCACATACATAGTTACCTACTACCTATATGTATGTGCATGCGTCTATAAATCAAGCTCTCACCACCAACCCACCAACCTTAGGTACCTAGGTACCTAAAGCCGCTTTCCAACGACCTACATCATGCGCTGCTGCTGCTTACGGCGTTATACTGTACAACGATGTACCTCCCCTCTTCTTCTTCCGCTCCCCTACCCCCCACCCCCTTCCTTCCTCACCCCTCACAGACTAAGATCCGACAAACAGACGTCCGTCCGCATCTAGTTGTAGAAGGATTCCTACCTCCTACCTCCTACCTCTAGCTGTAGTATCACCTACTTGCGATCCTCATACCTATGTAAAGAAAGGGGAGGGGGGGGGAGGGGGGGGGGGGGGGGGGATAGATGTCTATACATATTCCGATTGGATCCTGCAAGGAAAAAAAAGAATACATACCTACAAATCACCTAATCTAGGTAGGTAACCTTGCCGGCGTGAGCATGGCATCTTACGTGAGATCGATGGGAGAAAAGAAGGATCCGGGACGGTCCGGTTAGAGGTTATTGTTCATCTACATACCTAGGTTAGGTAGTTAAGCTACACACGCATCGTCATCGGTTCCTTACCTAAGCTAGTAGACGATCCTGCTTCCTTATGCGGATTAGGCACGGTTTAGCAAGGATTTCGTAAAGGGGAAGGAGGGGGGGGGGGGGGTTGTGTTCAACCTCTTACGGCCGGTTCATTCATATTCATATTCATGCATATATACTACCCAGGTAGGTATGTACAGCACAGCACAGCACAGCACAACGAGCAAAAGCAATAGTATCCCGAACCAGCCCCCAAACCTCATGAGCACATAATCGTCATCATAAACAGCCCTTCAGAGGCCAACCCTAACCCACCCACCTACAACAGAGCGTCCGCCTCCTCGTCGAGGTACCACGTGGAGTCCTGATTAGGATCCAGCTCCCTCGCCGCAAACCCGTTCCCCAGGTACGCGAACCTGTTCTTGCTGGCGCCGCCGTCGTACACGTACACCCAGTCCTCGCCGCGGAAGCGGTCGAGCATCTGGAAGAAGTGGATGCGGCTGCCTGGGTGCAGGGCGGTGACGGGACCGTCCTCCTTGCCGCCCTTGAACCAGGATTTGCACGGCGCCGCCCACGCCGTGCGCGGCATGAAGGCCGCGATGTGCTCGCTGTAGTCCGCGACTGCCGCGTCCGAGGGTGCGATGGCTTTGATGTTTTCCGTCTGGCATTTGATGATGATCCGGGTGATGTACCGCGCAATGTGTTCCGTCAGAGTGAGCACGCTGCCGTGGCCTATGGGCGCGTTGGGACCTAGGAAGGCTATGTAGGTACGGATGTCGGGTTAGAAGCGTGAATGCTGGGCTTTTGTATTCCAGAGAACTTACTAAAGTAATTGGGCACGCCGGCTAGTGCGCAAGACATATAGCCCTTGGGTGTCTCTGCCTTCATGATGTCCTGGATGTTGCCGTTTCGGCCGACGATAGGAAAGCGTGGAGTGAAAGAGTTATCGAAACCCGTGGCGCAGATGATGGCATCCAGCTTGATTACTTCTCCCGACTGTCGTCGGATACCCTCAGGTACGATTTCCGCAATCTCTCCCGTGATTACTTCCGTATTCGGGGCTCTCAGAGCCTCAAGGTAGCCCGGGGCCGGGGTAATGCGACGGGATCCCAGGGGAAATTTGGGAATCAGAGCTTTGCAGAGCTTCTCATCGCTGCCTAGAGCAGTTTTCATATACTGGGTGACTTTATTGGTTGCAAATGCCTGGACTGGACCGCCGTTGATAACCTACCCACGCATGGAATGGTTAGCAACAATACAGTACCGAAACCCTCACATAGATAGTATATCATACCAGGTGGAAGGCCGCGTTACTGTCTTTTTCGATGGTCTTGATAAATCTTCTGTATAATTCGGGGTCGTTTTTAAACCTTTCGATCTGTCGCTCCGAGAAGTTCTCCCCTTCGTCGAACTCGATCTCACCGAGGATACTCTTGGCTGGACCGCCCATTACCATCATTGATACTATTCGCGGAGGTATGATCCATGTGGGCGTGCGGACGAAATGGTAAATTTGCTTAGCATCTGTTATGTATTAGTTGGCGTTGCCTCATTGCCTCGTGTGGTATGTAAATAAGGTGGCTAACCTGGTTGAATCGTGGGGAGCAACTGGATACCGGATGAGCCATTCCCTATTATTGCGACAGTTTTGTTGGTGTGGTCGAAGTCTTTGGGCCAATTGGCAGTATGTATCAACTCTCCTTGGAAACTCTTTATGCCCGTAATATCTGGCCATGTCCAGTTACTAGAGGTCCTCTGGTTAGTAAGGGGTTGTAAATGATGCCAAGTTCATTCGTGAATGTTTATTCTTACTTTAGGATACCAGAGCCATCGACCAAGAAATTGGCTTGATCCCTGAATTCCTCACCAGTCCCTAGGTTCAAGACTTTGATATCCCATAGACCACGATTCTCGTCCCACCATGCGCCTATAACCTTGTGTTGTGTCTTTATGGTGTCCATCATGTGCTCCTCTTCGCATATGCGAGTCAAGTACTGCTCGATCTCAGCGGCGGGCGCGAAGAAATTGGACCATTCGGGATTCCTTCGCCATGAGAATTGATAGTTATGACTTGGTACATCACATCTACACCCGGGGTACGTGTTCTCGAACCAAGTCCCCCCGACCTTCTCGTTCTTCTCGTATATAACGTGCTCATAATTGGTTAGGTTTCTTCGAAGTGTCCGTACCATGTTGATACCACTAGCTCCAGCCCCGATGCCCACGATTCTGACATGTTTAGTAGTCCCCAGAGGTTCCTCTCGAATGGCATAAGGTTCCTTTGCTGTAGCCCGGAAGACGTTAGCACTACCAATATCCCTGACGCCATGATTTGACACGCGGGAGGTTCTGTAACGTGTCATGCTTGAGATGGCGAGATATAGGTAGACTCAACGTAATGGACTTAGAAGCTGACCCATACCTAGCGTGTTGGGGGACGCTGGCGTTTTATAATTGACTGAAGTGGCAAATGTAATTTTCTTTTTTTATTGTCTTTTTGATTTGTACTTGGCGGTATAGAGGATTCGATGTTCAGCTGAAAGCCACGCAATTCAGGGTGAGAAAGCAACCAAAGGCTGTAAAAGTTGAATTTTGAGAAGGAGTGGATAGGTTGAGTAACGGGAGGCTGCGTATATTAGCCTACCACGGTCTCAGGAAGGAGCTTCCCCATCATATATTCAAATATTCTAAAGTAGGCACCTACCAACATAGGCAAGTAGGTGACTTATGGTGACTAGGTTAGTAAGTACATAAGTAGGCATGCCATCAATAAGTGGATAGATAGACAAGCAGATTCTTAGTTAGGATGATAGGATGTTAGGATCAATGTTAGGATCCTGGATCACGGATCAGAGACTGACTACCTTACCTACCAAGTATCCAGCCCATGAAGATTGCCATCTAACATATCTCTCTCTTCTTTCTTTACCCCTCTTCGAAACACATCATCACATTGCGCGTATGGCTGATGTTTGCCTTTAAACGAAGGTGGTCGACCGTTTTCACGAAGACCAGGTATTTACAACCATCTCCCCGGCTCGTCACTTTAGATAGATGATATAACCGATCCATTGATTGCAACTCAGCTTCCTTGCCACAGAAGTTTGATATGAAACCTGGCATAAGAATAGCAGGTTCTTGTAATAAGAGCCAATGATGTTGCTTGCTAGGATGAATGCGGCTGGAAAGCTGGTTCGTATTTGAGCCAACCACATCGCACCCCACAAATCTCCTTGTTCTATGAGTTGAGGGGCTTCCAAATTTATCACCTGGCATCATTGTGTTGCATCACACATTAACAAAATAGGTAGGCCTCTTTGTCCCACTTGGGAATTCCATGTATACACTACATATATCGGATGTAGTATGCATATAACTATGTGATTAGTTCAATGTTCCGAAGCAACCGAGTGACATTGGGTGGTAAGTGCCGATAGGATAAGAGCTTGACATTGACGTATGTAGATCGAGTCTGTTCGACTAATTGAACGTTGAAGTTGTAGATAATACGAAAAATACGAAAGGAGGCAATGCTCAATGCCTAGGGTAGGGAGTCTAGGGACATAAGGTTTAGAGGGCTAGTCGGTATCATAATTAAACCAAAAAAGAAAAAAGAAAAAAAGAAAACGATGATGAAGATAAGGAACAACTCTGGTGTTATCTGAAGTTCCTTACATAACTTACTGTAGCAATTAGTACCTCCAGGCTTGTACTACTACCCGCATCTGCATAGTGCATACCTAGTACTAGGTACCACATGATCCATCAAGACCTAAAAAATTGGTGTAGGTGCATTTCTTTTGCGCTCTAATTGATATCAATCCCTTGATACCTTATTAGTCATATCGTATATCTAATATCGGAAATTCCGAGGAAGAAAAAGGAAGAAAAAAAGGAAGCTTCAGTTTCGGGACCGAATCAAGCATGTCTGGTCAGTTCTCCTTCTCCTTCTCAGGAGATGACATAGAGGATGAAGGGGGGGCGTCAAATTTTATCGCGCCCAGCGTCAGCGCACCCATCCAGCCACAACCCGCAGCTAGCGCATTTCCTGTTGCGGGAAAACCATTACTCCCTGCGACCAGTCATGATCTACACCATATGCTATCTCAGCTACCATCTAAAATCGCCTATAGCACTTTAGATATCGATCTTGACGGCAACGGGACAATCCAGCTTCCTCGGCGCGAGTTGTGGGATGTCCGAGTCCAGCTTATGGCCGAGGACGATGGGGGGGATCCTAAGCCCGGACTAGGCAACCATGATGTGAAGACCGGAGTATACGAAGGCGGATTCAAGTCCTGGGAGTGTAGTGTCGATCTCGTCAAGGTCCTTTCACTTTCCAAGTCTTTTCTTTCCGAAGTAGAAGTGGCGCCAAGGATCATAGAAGTAAGTCGGTTTTGTCTCTTATATATATACCTGGCTGGGTATATATATATATATACATGGAAAGCCTTGCGAATGTTTACATCAACTTACGGTTGAACATCTATAGCTCGGTTGTGGTACGGCTCTCCCCTCGTTGGCCCTTTTCCAGTGGAGCCTCGGCCTTCGAACTTGCAAGAAGGATTCCGTCCTCTCCATGGTCTTAGCTGACTATAATCCAACCGTCTTGCAACTTGTAACACTGCCCAACTTTATCCTGTGCTGGGCCCTTCATCAACGAACTGACTCACCAATATTGGAGAACGCGCTATGCTCCGAGGGAGAACTTGACTTAACGCCAGAAGTCACCAAAGCCTTTGAAGACTTTCTCTCGGATCGCGGAATCTCTCTTTCTTTCTTCTCCGGTGGTTGGTCGGCAGAGTTCGTTGAACTAATTGCCTCCAACGAAACCTCCGGAACGGGAGATGGTTCCAAACGGCAAACCGTCATACTTGGCGCAGAGACCATTTATTCCCCCTTTGCTCTCAACGCCTTTACGCACACCATATTTTCCCTAATGGAACGAGAGAGAACGCATGGTCATGCCGCGGAAGCCTTGGTCGGCGCCAAGAAGCTCTACTTCGGTGTAGGCGGTTCACTGGATGACTTCGTCGCCAAGGCTCGCGAGCTCGGTGCCAATGTTGAGGAGCTCCGAGAGGAAGCAGAGGGTGTTCGCCGCGGCGTAGTTCGCTGTAGTCTACCCTAGGTACTCTACCAAGGCCCTATAAGCTTTCGCAATATACGCTCATAGACTCGTAAAATTATTGCAAGACTCAGATCTCAGGTAAACTCAAAGCGAACACAACGTCTTCTAAACGAAAACGTTGAACTGGTCTGGCATCTTGAAATTATGTTGCTCAGGGATGAGTAAGAGCATGGCAGGTCTCAAACTCGAGACCACCGTATTTATGATTTGTGTAATCAAGTAAACCGGCGGAGCTAACATCTTGAATAAACTTTCCCGCTTACAACGTTCGAGAACGGATACCAACTTCTATTAGGCCAAGATTTTATCCAACCATTCAAACGTTGCTATACGAGGGTCCCGATGCCTGGTGGTTTGGTCGCTTTAGACACTACCCTAGGTAGTGTAGATCAAATGAATGGGATTTTAGGTACGCATTTGGTTCGAGATCATAAAGAGCATTGAAGAGTCGATGTGCATACCAGTAACTAATGTTAGCACACCGCTTTTAATACTAGAAAGTTCCCTTGATAGTCCGGTTGTGGTGCCGAATACTCTGATCATTAATCTTAGGTAGGCAGGCCAAGCAGGCCATTGAGGTGTATGGAAAAGTCAAAAGATATCCATGAATGTTGTCTTTGTGCAAGCACCTGCTGTGGAAGGACGAAGTCAACGCAGTATTACATAAAAGTGACGACTTTTGCATGGACGAGGACGAGCATTCCTTTTAGCTGCCAAGTGACTTTTCGCTGTTGATATCAATCCTTGTCGCGCGGATCACGAGCATTGAAGAATGTCATGGCAATAACAAGATGGTTATGGGAAACCCCCTTGAAATTGCATATCGAGATATCTGGGGAAGCTTTTGTAGTGGAGTTAATCAGGGAATATCCCTGACTTCCCAGATCTATTTGGGCCATTCCTGTGGTTATTAAGCAGCTAGCTTGTAAAACTAACAACCCTGACGTAGCGTGCTTTTTAGGCGAAATTACAATAGCTCCACTTACTGTGCTAGGAATTGAGATTGAGTGTGTGATACCTGCTTCATGTTGCGCAACTTGGAAATTCAAGATCCTGCTGCCAACCGAACCAGTATGAATGCGTATTAAATCCCGACTTTCTTGCTTCATCCTGTCATCATTAGTAGACCTCATTAGGTACATTGAGGCTCTTCCTAGAAACCTAAATTGAAAGGAACTGAAGAAATTATTGCGAATATCAAACGCGCGAGTTTAGTAATTACCCTAATGAGGCTCAGAATGTGTGTGCCAGAGCATATGAGGGTTGGGCAAAAAACTGCTACTAGTTGATGGTTTTCACCCTATTCGAAATTTGATGGCGTCTGCTATGTATTGTACATACGTCGTACGTTTTCTCGAGTAGGTACCTCAAGTACACCCAACCAACCTGGGACCTGGGTACTATGGACATTGAAGGCACATACCAGTTTGCAATCCATGATTGTGACACAATGATGGCCTTGACGAAACGCTACACATCATCTTCGATCCAAACTCCTTGGCGCATAGATATTGTAGTACCGTTGTTGTATATCCATCAGCATTGGAATAACATCGAACTCTGTAAGTGGTCAGCACAGGCGATGGTTAAGACATATTCAGCTCGAACTCGAGAGAAACAGACCACAATGACAAAATGATAAGACATTTTTTTTGGATGTGGAGAGAGCGAGACACCACGCCGTCGCGCTTGCACTGACTGCAGGTGACTGGCCGGACCTGCATAGAACTCTCCGTTCGGCGGAATGCCCAAGGTGTGATTGGTGGAAGGGGATCTACACAAGACCCTTGTACCACTGAGTAAGATTTAGACCTATTCTTCAAGAGGAAAAGTGCACCCCGTTGAGCCGTTGGCGAGTTTAGTAAATGCATATTTTGGCATATTATACTCCTGACTAAACTCAATTGGGTCTGGTGGTCTGGATTTTAACCGTTGTTAGTTACCCTGCTATATCACGAGTCAATTCCTTGGAAGGTGCCCAGGTGTTTTTGCAAATGGCAATTTCCTGGGACGCGGCATACTCTTCAGTATGTAGACAGGTACCTACCATCCTGGCGCCTGCCCAAAATTCAACAAGGGAATTCACCTTCCAAGGTTCTTCTTTTATTCTTTCCCATCAGCTGCTCATCTCAACTTGAGTTTTCACTCTTTTTATCTTCCACCACACTCATTACATCAACTCTACATTATTCTCGTCACATTTTCCCCATATAGTCTTCTAATATTCAAGCAGCGAACAACTGGTAAGTACAATTTCCTATTACTATTTCTGTTCATACATATAGTCGCCTTCCTACATCAGTAAGCTGGCTATGTAGATCTTGGGTAGATCTGAAGAGGTCTCCGTACCTGCTAGTGCTATAACTTGCGGTGTCGCAAAGATGTCTATCGGCCTACCTATCAGATATCGCCATTGACAGAAAGAGTCCCGAGTCGCGTGCTGTGCTACTCAACATTGAACTGCCTGGCGACCTCGCGCCCACAAGCGATGTCAACCTGGAGCTCCAGCAACTGTCCCACTTTCAATTTTTGAACTCCTACTAACATCCTTCATCTTCTATAGCTCTTTTAAACTCTCCTTCATAAATATTCAGTTCAAATCACGACGAGTAAAAATGAAGTCTTTCACCATTGCCGCCATCTTGGCCGCTCTCCCGGCTTGGGTGAACGCCGTTGCCATTACCAACACTAACTTTGATGGTATTGAGGCCGGTAAGCCTTTTGAGGTTACCTGGTCCGGTGCCGCGGGACCCGTCGCTATCACCTTGAAGGACGGGGCTGCTGACAACCTTCAGACGGTGTCTGAGCTCACCTGTATGTTATTCCTAAGGTACCTTATCTAACTAATTGTGGTGGTGTTAACAATATAATCTACAGCCGGCGAGACTGACGAGAGCTTCACCTGGATTCCCTCTTCCTCTCTGCCTTCTGGCACTTACGCCCTCGAGATCAACGATGGCACTGAGGTGAACTACAGCAAGCAATTCGAGGTTGTAGGCGGTTCTGGCGCCAGCTCTTCTGCTAGCAGCACGGCTTCGTCGACTAGTGTGTCTTCGACCGTCTCGTCCACCCCCGTCTCTAGCACGACCACTAGCAGCGCTTCTGCTACTTCCTCGAGCGCCTCCGAGTCTTCGTCTTCGTCTTCTACTTCAAGTGGATCGATCACCTCGTCTAGCACACAGGCTAGCTCCAGTAAGTTGAACTTGTACCACTATTCCATAACTATCTAAGCTAACAATATTACAGCTTCTACTGGAACCCGAGCAACCTCGTCTGCGACCTCGCCAACTGTCGTGCCCAACACGAACGCCGCTCAGACGGTGGCGCCGTTTGTGGCCCCGATGCTGCTTGCCGTTGGTGCTGCTTTCCTATAAGCGCTCGGCGTGTACTCCAACCAAAATAAAACAGTATGATTATTGGTCCCTGTAAGGGTTTCGCTGTATAATAATTCTTGCTATTGCTACCTGTACAACGATTGCCCTTATTTCTTTGCAAGTGGACGGTTGATGGAAATGAAGTATTCGACCGGAGGGTTTCACTGTTCATAGGATTCCTGACGTTTGATGCGTTTATGAACGCTTTTATGGTGTGTACGTAATGTGTCTCAGACCAATAATCATTTTTGGAAGCGACAGATAGTCTCCAAAGTGAATGCAATACACAGACTGCTGTCTCTCCTATGATGATTTCAATTCCTTCAGATTAGTGTAGTCATGCTTTGATAATGTGTGATCTCAACCTAGTACGTATGAACCACGGGTAAGTGCAGTGTATGGTGTGTATTGTGTGTATCATATGATCCTTAGTATCCTACAGCTACATAAGGCAACTCGGCTATAACAAATTGCATGTTTGTCTCGGAAGCATGTCATCACCTACATACCGATCTACCTACGAGGAGGAGCTCTAACTAACCGGGCGCCTGCAGCCGAGTCGAAGACCCCGTCCTTTTCTTCTCTTCTTTCTCTCCTACTCTCATATAAGGTATGAGAACGCATCATTCTGGAATGTAGGAACCCACCAACATACCTATGTACCTAAGAATAGAGAAGAAAAACATTAAGATAAAAAAAGATAAAAGGATATAGCGTTATCGAGGATTGCAACACAATGAACACATGCGTGTCCAGGATTATTTTTTACCATGGCTTGGTGTGGGGGAAGCAAGGAGGTTTGTTGAGTCTCTGGAGTTGGTAGTATGGATGGAGCTTGGAGTTTGGAGTTTGGGGATGTAAGGGATGGAGATGGTGTAGGTAGGTATGTAGGTAAACGGTAAACTGGTGTAAATATGTAGTTATACCTAGCCTAGGTGAAAGCAAGCAGCAGGACATAACTACATACATACATAGTTAGTTACAGACAATGTTAAACATAGGTAGTACCTACATGTAAGTGCCTTCTATTTATAGATACATAGGTACATATAGGTGAAAGGAGATGTTTATACTATGTACCTAGTAGCCTAGGTACCTCTCATCATATGGCTTCGGGAGCAGGTCAGGTGGTGATGATAATGCAAAATCGCCCCCTCCCCCTCCCCCTCCCCCCTATCTGCGCATTGAACTAATATATGTAGTCTGTTAAAGGTATCCGAATGAATACCTTCCCCGTTTTCTTCTTCTTCTAGATACCTGATACCTATGTATGTTTTGAGCAATTCGTATATACATACCATGTATGTAGATCGATGTATAGATAGCTGTGATACATGCAGGTATGTACTGTACATATGTCAAATAGCTCTTCCCGCGTGGCTGATTCAGTACTAATCTAGGTTACCTACCTACGCACTTAAGTCCCAAGCCAGGCCATTCAGCTGGGGCATAAAAGCAAAAAGCAAAAAGCAAAAAGCAAAAAGAAAAAGGGGTTTATGAGGTACTGTATGTAGGTATACCTAGGTAGGCACTTTTGGACATACATACATACTATACCTACTCACTTATAGGAAGGGGCCCGGGACTAGCTTAAGCATCAAGTACCTAGGTATCTAAGTTCAGGAGATGGATGTGCAGGTATGTAGCTAGGTTAGTTAAAAAGTCGTATATCGCACACAAACAACTCGCGTAACCTAGGAGGTATCTATCACCAACACAGTAAGTAAACACGACCACAGTCACGAGAAATCAGTCACTTATAAGCGATGCTAGGTAAATTTCGACCGCTCTCAGGGCACGAAATTTCGTTGCCGCCTCTAGTAACAGAGAAGAGAATCTACAGTACTTGTTTATCCTCGACACGCTGACCTCGCAGACACTAACCAACAATCAGCTTGCACGATGTAGCCTCATATAGAAGACGAAGTTGCGTATATTCCATTCAAACAGGGCCGAAAGCTCCGTCCCATGCGACTCGAACCTTTGTTCATTGGTAGGTAGGTAGGTACATATCGAGGGACGTGTCCCAGCTACTTGACGACTCTTAATGTACGTATCGAATTTCTGCCTCTAGACCTCTCTCCCTTTCCCAGAAATGACGGAACCCCATTCTTAGAAGGTGGAATGATCAAAAGTCAATATCCCCCCTGAAGCTCTCTGGATCGACACCTGGAATAACCTTCTCCGCAAGATCTCTTCTCCCCATCTGTGTGAACACACGACGGAGTGTGTCGTACAAGTTGGTACTCCTGTTCTGCGTCGTCATGGCCTCGAGCTGGGCATCGCTCACATCTCCGCCCAGAAGTTCGCGGGCTTTCTCGCGGCCCTCCTTCTCTACTGTCTTGTGCATGTTGAGGGCGGCCAGTAGGTGGCCTGCAGCCTCGGCGTGGCATCCCATGTTGATACAACTGACTCCCAGGTTGTATCGGGCACGCACAAAGTTAGGTTGTAGCGTGAGGGCTTTCTCGTAGGCGGCGATGGCATCCTCGCTCTTACCGCTGTTGGCTAGGGTTGCACCGAGCCGGTTCCAAAGGAGGTGCTTCTGGTTTTGGCGATTTGATGCTCCGAGTTCCGTGGAAGCGAGGGCAGCTGAGAAGCAGTCCACAGCTTTGTCGTACTCCTCGGCGCCATAGAAGAGCACACCAAGACCGACTTGTACGTCGGGGTCCATATGCTCGCCGTTCGGGCTGAGGCAAGCGGCTTTGATAAACAGCTGCGTCACCCTGTCATGTAGCTGGTGGCGCTCGGTGAAGCCCAGGTCGGAGGGAGATGATAGATCACCGGGGGCGATGACCGAGGGGTATCTGATGGAGAGCCACCGCTCCAGGGTTCGGTAAGCTATGCTGTCATAGCCTTCGTTGGTATAAGAGACAGCCAAGGTCATGAGCGCAGGGGCGTTATTGGGGTCTAGGTTTTTGGCCTGTTCCAGAGCACGAATCGCGGCAGTCTCCTTTTCGTTCTGAGCCTGAGACATACCGAGCTGCACCCACGCTTCCACGTGCGTGGGGTCTTTTTGGACGGCGGCTTCGAAAGCAAGAGCGGCCAAAGAAAGATTGCCACCCTCGTCCACGATACGCATGCCCTCCTCAAATGGGTTTCCGGTTTCCTTGAAGAGGTTATCCTCTTCAAAGAGGTAATTCTCCACTTCCGGGTCATTGATTAACCTGTTGTTGCCGAATCCCCAGTCTCCGATACGGTCAGCCCAGTTGGGGTCCGTCTCCTGGACAATCCATTCCTCATCCTCAACGGCATTGGCAGCCTTGTCTGCTAAGATGCCCTTCCAAAGAGACTCGAAGTCTCCGAACTCGTTGGTTTCTGACTTCAGAATCTCCTCGTCCAACTTGTTGAGCTCTGGCTCGAGTGCCGCAGCCTCGTCCTGTTCGCCTGTTTGCTGTTCCTGAATCTCTAGTTGTTGAAACTGTTCTTCCCATTGCTGGTCGTCCAATTCCACCACCTTCTCTTTTCCTTTACCCTTCCCTTGGTCCACCGCCTCTGCAGGTTGTTGGGGCGCAGGCCGATACATAGGACCGTTGTACATACCGCTCACACCGTAGTTCATAGGCATGCCGTTCATCATTCCCATGCCCATCATAGGACTTTGATATTGCATGCCCGAGGGCATAGGGCTTGCGCGTGACGAATTTGATTGACCAGTGATTCGTTGAAACTTGGCGTAGTCTTCGGGGCCGAATTGCGTGCCCTGGGGTACCTTGAAGGCGGATTCCATAGCAGCCTGAGGGTTGTGTTGAAATTCGTTGGCCCACGCGGGTGAGGTCGAGTTGGCTCGTAGATGCACGCCATGGGCAGGGTGGTCTAATCGTATCTGGTTCATACCTTCAAGCGGCATATCGGGTAATCGTCCATTCTGTTGCAGGAACCCGTTCATCATCTGTAGTAGGCGAATATAATTAGCCTTGAAGTCTAACTAGAGAGTTGATCGCAACCATTCGTGTTCGTTCGTACCTCATCCTGTGCTCCATGTTGGGCGGCGCTTCTAAAACCGCCCATACCTCCCTGAGGAGTTCCATTTCGAAGACGATCTCTCTGCAGGCTGTTGTCTTCCTGGGTATGCTTTGTGAACTGGCTGAGCGGGTTGCCCGCAGTCGAGCACTCTGGCCCACCGAGAAAAGACATGTCGATGGCGTTTCACGTATGATCTGCTAGACACACAAGTTCGCGAAGAAAGCTATAACAATAACGACAATAGTGATGATTTCCCACACACGAAAAGCGGTTAAATGTAAGCCACCTAGGTATGTATTAAAGCTAAGATATCGTTCTTCTTGGGTGTCAGTGGCGAGAATGGCTAGGACTCGTTCTGGTAGGGATTTCGGCCTAATTTAGAGAATGAGGTTTCTCTGTACTAAATATAAGCAAACTTATTTGCAGTAAAACAAGCTATAGAGAAAACGGTAGAGTGTTTGAGGGGAGATGGAAAATTCGCATGTGAGAGGAAGTAGAAAGTTAGGAAGTAGGAAGAATAGGTAATGATTAAAGTTATGTTGTTGTTGTTGCTGCTGCTGATGTTTATTACAAATGTAGGTACCTAGGTATGTACTCCTGGGTAGGTGAGGTCACTACCTTATGTAATACCTAGTACCTAGTACGCTACTAACCTAGGTAGTTAGCGTCCCAAACCTGCCCAGTGCCCAAAGATGCCGAGGATTCCCACGGGCAAAACGGGCAAAACGGGCAAAACGGGCACAACGTTCAAGTGCTAAAGGCAAATTTCTGGGTACAAATACGAAGGTACCTCTTTCGTCCCCGCCGAGGTCAACCGTCGACCCCACCATGGACATCGTGGTTCTTTTCCATTTGATTATCATCCTATGGTACTAGGTAGCAGTCTGGTCTGGTACTAGCACGTCTAGTACAACTTGACCTACCTACTCAACTGTAGTCTGTAGGGTCTACTAATGTAGTCTGTAGGGTCTACTAATGCCAATGATGTGGGCGCAACATATTTCACATCCATTTGAATGCGAACCTATCAGCATTCAATATGGACAAGTACTTGTGCGCCCAGAAACAGAAACATTAAATATCAATCACGGATCCGGTTTCAATTAGAGGGGAGCGATTCATTGTACATTTGGTTTCCATGTAAATAAGAAAAGAGGCAATCCATTCGTGCCAATTTTGTCAGTCCGTATTAGTAGAGATAACCTCTCTACACTAGGACCTCCGAGTATTGTTACAAGTGCAATGGCCTAAGTCTCTTCCATCCTCCAGAGTAGACTTCCACCCAAGATGCCATATTGGTCATATATTGCATGTTCCATCCCATCGTTAACGTTTCATGAACATATGATCACGGCCACCTAGGCTCGAGGCATGAGGCATGAGGCATCGTCAGCTTTGAGATCCATTTACATCATGGGGTTGCGCGAACCACTTCCTCCTCTTGTGGGGTCCCGGCGACCCTGCGCGTAGTCGATGCGCAGAGGTCGGCCACCCATGGTAGCATTGGTAAGAACCTCGTACGCCTTCTTCGCAAGCTCGATATCCGCAAAGTCAGCGTGGGCGAATCCACGGGGCCAGCCAGTGTTGCGGTCGACAGCGACGCGAACATCCGTAACACCATCCAGAGACTCAAAGAGCTTGTTCAGATCGGCATCCGAAGTCTCATAGGGGATGTTGCCAATGTAGATTGACGTTGACGGTTGTCCCGGGGATGATGAAGGGTTGCGCTGCTCCATTGAACCTCTCTCGGAGTTGTTGCTGTCCTTTCTGTGTGCTACAATGATTCGTCGACCATGCCAGAAAGATTGATTGGCCTCCTGGACCGCGCGGTCCGCAGCCTCTTGCGTGGTGTAGGTGATGAAACCGAAACTTGCCATTGAGTTAGCAGATGTATAACATGGCTATCATGAAAGATGGGATTGAATTGGTGCAGTTCACTTACCCTCTGCTTAGTCCGCGACCGTCTCGTAGGATGTGGATGAGACTAATCTCGCCGTACTTGCCGAAGGCTTCTTGAATGTGCACATCGGTAGCATCAAATGTGACATTGCTGACAAATACGGTGAAACCGGCCCTCTGGCGTTCTTGAATACTCTGGGACTCCACAGGAGGAGAGGCTCCATTCTCACCCTCCTCTTGAGCAGCTCGCGAGGTCTGGGAGAAGTTGCGAGCCAGAGGTAGCATAACAGCCGGTCGCGCAGTCATCTTACCAATGTTCATGGCGAATAGCGCGACCTGCTGGCGAGGCTTAGCGACAACCATGGTTGAAGAGCATGCTGCACGAGCAGCAGCACGACGAAGGGAATGCCTATTGGATTCCAAGTATCAGCGTCAATTATTCATATAAATCAGATAGTGAGGATGGTGAGGAGAGTGAGGAGAGTGAGGCATTGAGACTCCTTACATTTTGATGTTGGTTTTCCTGACGCAAGAATACTAGAAAGATTGATAACCTGTTGAACGAATTGAAGAATTGTAAGAATCTGGCTGTGAAGTTGTTGGTGAGTTGGTGAACTTAACGGACCTGCGAACTTTAAGAATCTTTTGGAAAATTTTATTAATGGGAAAAATTTTGTATTTTTTTTACAATCGATACTGCTAGGTGAAATGCTAAGTTCTGCCCCACCTTCGCTAGTACACCTTGGGTTAGCTCATACTGGCATCTACCACTTTAGTCAGCCTAGCTTAGTCCGCACACGCAACTTTTAAACTTTCGACGTTGAAATCTTTATCATAGCCCTGCTAGAGTACAGTAAAGTAGTACAGTGCATACTGTACAAACCGTACTTTGCACGACTTAACTTCCAAACTTGCTGGGTAGTTGATTGTAAAATTTTTGATCTTCAGGGCTATGAATGGATATCACAGCAGTATACACTGTACAGCGCTGGTGTCGTTTGAGTACCTGGGCAATACTACTTAGTACTAAGGTTAGCTAACTAAGGTCAGTAGTATGAAGCCACAACATTCTTCAAGAAAAGGAGGAACCATCGCCCCGAAAAACCCTCACTGAAAATCATGTTTCTCAATATAGAATCATATAGTATGTGATGTGGATGTTGTAGCATCACACATCTTCGCTCTCGGAGCTTATATTTTTTTTTTATGATTCGGGTAGGTGGCCGAACCTCAGTGGATCGTTACACGCTATCCTAATAACTCCCACCGCAGCCGAGTAACCTTTCCCCCCTTTCTCGCTTTTCACGGTGATTCCTCTCCTTTTCCAACCCATCCATCCATCCATCCATCCATCCATACCTAGCTAGGTCCCTACCCTCTCATGGGTACCCACGTTCGTAGACCTCAAAATAACCCAAAAAAAAAACATAGCACAAGTATAGTAGCCGGTAATAACACGGCGGGTATATATGTATACAAACATTTCAACAGAACCAACGCTAGAACGACGGTAAGGAGGAATGCGACAACGCTCATCCTCGTAAAAGCCGTCGAGAATCGAAATCGTCCATCTAGCTAGCCATCCGTTACTCATATTACATCTTATGAGGTTCGTGCTCCCCTTGACGATTAGAACCCCGAAGTTTCCCAGTTGTTGGAAAGTTGGAAGATAGAGGCGATTGGGCGATGGCTGGTTGGCAACCTGACCCTCAACAGCCAATGGCAAGCCGCGAGTCTTTCGAAACCACTCGTCTCGCGGCATCATCAACGCCCCCAGCGTCAAACGCTAGATAATAGTAAACTTAATCCCGACACAGTATTCTCCGTGCCAATTCCATGTACGCCTTGAGTTTTGAGTGCTCGTCGACGAACCGCCAAAAGCAAATGAGGGCGGGCAGTGACCGTCGACTCACACGGGGTATCGATAATAACGCCCTGGAATATTCTACTTTTGATGGTTGCCGCTCCCAGTATGACAACGTTTACAACTAAAGGAAATATAAGTGATTGTGGTCGTTTGCCCCTTAAAACCGATCCGAACGAAATCCATTGGGCCTTTGCCCCTCGTACTGGACACCCGTCATAGACTCTGGGGCGTTAAGTGCTCGTAGAGGAGGTAACTCTGGTCGCTGTGCTCTTCCATACGGATCTTGTGCATAGGGGTCCCCGGAGGGTTGTGACGGTATGGGTGGATTTGCTGGGCCTTGGTTTGGCGGTAAGGCCGGCAAGTTTCCTCGAAGCTGCGCATTCTCCATGCGCATCCTTTCCAACTCCCGTCTCAGCATTTCGGATTCCTGCATCGCATTTTGATAGTGCCCCGAAATATTCTTGATAGTATCTGTTTGCTTTTGATGTTCGGCGATAGCTAAGCAAAGTAAGTATTAAAAGTAAGAGCATGTATTTTTCTTTGGACAAGAGAGGAACATACCCTTTGTTAGAATCTCCCACTTGGAGGCCTTAGACCCTCTTTCCTGCGGCATCAAATCGCGCAGCTGGTCAAACAACTCCTTCATCTCTGTCCTCCTCTTCCGCTCTGCCAACTTATGACTCTGTCGAAGTTCAGGGGTTCTACTATATGGTTGATTGCCATTATGTGGACTGGATTCCTCACTATGAATGTCCGAAAGCTGCTTGTGTTGAAGGGTGTGGTGGTGGATCGTTTGTTGGAAATCCGGCCCTAGGCCATCGTCGAGTCGCCGTTGCCCAGGAGGTAGCCGAGACTCGGTGGTGAACTGACTACTAGCAATTGAATCGGCAATGCTGCTCCGCCTTGAGTCGAAAAATGTATGATTGCCAAGCGAAGAAGGTAACCGTTGTATCTCCTCTTCCGGGAACGCCCAGGCTTGGCCCTTCGTTGGTTCTGCTGCCCTAGCAACACTGCTCGTAGCAGGACCAGTGATGGCAGGGGCAGTTCGGGATGTCTTAGTACCATGTTGGCCTTCGGGAGTGCGCTCGACGTTCGGTTGATACCCATTGGATATTCTGTGTACGGATAGATGGTCCATTCCCACGCGGGGGTTCCGCTGTTGTGCTAAACTGCCCTGGATCGAAGTTGTCGACTGATTCTGGCTCGCGTAAGGTGAATTGCCCAATCTCATATCTCCAAAGCCCTGATTAATCCTACTATCCACGCTCTCCCGCCGCGATTCTGATCCAGCGCTCGTCAAACCAGCCTGTATAGAGTCCAACGATTGAGGTCGGTCGAAACGTCCATTGCCTGGGGATGTCGGCGAGACCATTGATGCTACGCTCATGTTACTTGCGGGGGATACTAGTGGCTGAGGGATTAAAGTCGTAGTAGTCGGAGATGGGGTCTTTTCTTGCACGGAATGGTAGACACTGAGCCCCATTATACCTGACGCTGCCGAAGTGTCTATGGATAGGTTACAGTTAGCGAACCCGGCTACTCTAGTTCTAGTCTTAGCAATTTGATACGCGGTTCTACATACGCTTGCTAGATGCATCCGTACTTGAGTAATATGCCGAGTCACGATTCTCTTCGGGTGCGTTTAAAACTGTAGCCAGCGGGAGCTTCTGCGACGCAGGTCGAGGATGTTCCGTCGCCATTTTTGCTTTTTGGGGGTTTTTGGGCTTTCCTTTTTAAACTCAGTGTTTAACAAATATTATATTCCAGTAAAAGTAGTGTTGCCGACGTAACAGAGGTCTATTGCAAGACCCCAGCGAGGGAGGCGTGCCGTAGCAACGTCGCGTCGTAGGTAGTTGCTAACCTCCCTACTTAACAATAACAAATGAGAGCGGCGATGGCGAACGCGAAGGGGGTAGTATAAGGTTGCGCTTGAAAGTTCGGCTTTAAGAATGAAAATTTACTTCGGCCAGTAGGTTTAAACAGCATTGACACTAGACATCCAATTACAAACTAGGCGCAACTGGATGATTATCAAAGCCTCAAGCGTTGTTAAGTTAGTAATGCGAAATGGACGTGGAGTATAGTAAAGGCAGGTGGAGAGATAGAGTGATAAAGAGAGAAAAGAGTTCAACGAGTCAACTCCTATTATGTAGGTTATAGTTGTGGTAACGGGTAATGTAAGATTTGACGTGTTGTAGTATGTAGTGGTGTGTAGGTAAGATAGGTAGGCAGGTAACGTATAGGCTTAGGTCTAGCTATAGGTGTAGATGTAGGTATGTAGGCGGCGAACATAGAACGACAGTTGAGGAACGTCAGAAGCGTCAAGAGTTTATTTGGTACCAGCACCCTAACGAAACGTGCGGCATAACGACGGGCTTGAGCTTGGACGTGGGCGAGAAAGTGTTAAAAAAGAGAGAGAGCTGGTTGAAATGAAATTTTTGGATAGGTTAGAGAGAATAGACCATAGCCCCCAAATCAGAAAATAAAGTACTTGTACATTGATGTATCCAGGTCAGCGCAGGGCTTTGAAGTAGAGCAGGGCTTGCCGTTATGTATGGATGTATTGTACTATGTACGTATAGGTAGGATGTAGGCAGGTGTGTATGGATGTAGTATGTAGGTCAACTACTAGTAATGACAGGTACATACGATACAACTTGAATTGAGTTGAGGGTGGTAGGGGGGGGGGGGGGGGGGGTTAAGTCTTTTCTTCTTTTTTCTTCCTTCGTCTCTACTAACTTTTAATGTAACTACCTAGTAGTGACTGGAGTTCTGATTGGGGGGGAGAAGGAGCAACTCTTCTTATTAGAATTGAAAGGTCAATGGAGAGAGAATCAATAGGTACCGGTAAGTCTAAAAAAATAAAAATAAATAAAAATAAAAAAAGGGTCAGGGGAGTACATACCTACATAGTATTAACACTTATGTATCCCCTTGTTGAATCGAAGGAGGGAGACCCTGTTGTGGAGGAACTGCCAGAGAATGGCAGGTGAAAATAAAAAAGCCGAGAGGACGGCCATTTCCATTCCCATTCCCATTCCCATTCCTACATGTACAAGAAACATTGAATATTCCTAGAAATAGCAAAGCCACATGTATGTAGTCATGCCCCTTTGCCAGGTGCCCATTAGAACACCATTAGACAATCCATCGGGCTTCTGACTAAGGGATTTGTCGCATGGCTATTTCTAGGAAGATTCAATGTTGAGTGCTACATAATAGACAAAATAGTACATACATACTAACATAGTATGTAATAAGTGGTATCGTAGTGTAGATTGAGAAAGATTGGGGAAGATTGCTTGGCTGGGATACTCGGATGAAGAGTATACAGTACCTGCGGAGCCCTGGATTTTTAGCTAGCGTGCCACTAATGCGGCGCTCTCGTTTCTTTTTCCTCGTGGCTTGTCCAAGTACTAAGCACACGTGAGGAAAGTCCAGCAGGGATATCGTCGCCCATGTGCATGGGAAAGTGGAGAGAACCATGCACAGGACGGCTGGGTGGTCGACATGGGAGTTCAGAGGTACGCCATCTCATGTAAGTACCTATTAACTATATTGTACCAGGTACTACCATTCCTAGTACTAGGTATCATCAGCACATACATATGTAGTACATAGTTACTTCTAGTTAGTATCCATCATTCATCATACCTAGTACTAGGCAATATACCGGCAAGTGCCAAGCACAGGGTATATACTATTACATGTACATGTGTATACATTTGTAATACTTTGATGTACTACAACAAATTGATGATTAAACACAATAGCATTGATAAAATGATAGCATGTAGAGTATCTGAAATAGGATTATATGTATTTTACATGTAGTCTACTTTTAAGCTTTAATGATTTAAATGAACTATGTTGATGGACATCTGACTTGAGTACATTGATAATCTACATACTATGTAGTACAATGCATATAATGCCGTTACTACGCATACATACGCTTAACAGAGGTCAACCAAGTTGAGCCAACATTGAACCTACATAATACACATATGTACATATGTAGGTAATCATTAGAAGTACAATACATAACATACATATTGCATACAGGTAACAGGATTGCGCTGAAATGAGTGAACTTTGGATAGGATTTAGATCGAGCATCAGCGAAAGACTGATGCTCGGACAAACGACCAAAAGGGCCTACTCTATCTACTCTATGACCTTCTATGACTTCAATGATTCCTCTTTCCGACGTTTGGAGCGACCGAGTAACTGACGACAAAGAGGAGAAAAGAAGGGGAATACTCTTGTTAATGATGGGAGGAATTCAAACGCTCTTGAAAACAGATTGATGTTTTCTTTTTCTTATAACATTGACTGCAGGTAATAGGTAGTAAGGTACATGTTTATATACACGTGTAGTATACTGCCTATGGAGTACATACTACTAATACCTAGCAGGACGTAGAAGGATTGGGGTCGGTTGAGTTTGCCGCTCGGATCGAGCCCTGGCTGCCCTAGAGGCCTAACGATGTTGCAAGAGCACTAGGGGCAACATATCCGAAGGGGGAGGGTACCCAAGGCTTCAAGCTCGTCCCTGTAAAAGGGAACAAGCAAGGTATAGGGTGGCTCGTGCTGGTGTCAATGCCGGATACCTAGGTAGTACAACTTATACATATCAAGCGCTTGTTGGTAACAGGTAACACGGATGCATGATATTACGAAGTGGTGAAGACCTTGCAGTATTCTTTTCTTTTTTCCCTTCTTTTCTAAACTATCTTTCATAGGTTAACTAATGGTTGTTGGTTTCATACAACAATCAATAATCAGCCGAGGAACATACTACACACATACTATAAACTTCACATTCTACCTAGCTCAAATTACCCCTATTATCATAGCCCTGGAAGTCTGTACGACAGAATAGTTACCTATAAGACGAATAAAATATTAACTAAAGGCAGCGGCACAAATGCAGCTACCGGAATTAATACCGCTACTTACGTTTTGCACTAGATATGTATGTTGAGCTTAGGTACCTACTATCTGGTCTGAATTACTACAACACGTCACAATATATTGCAGCTCTTGAGTCTTTATAATCAATGCCAAGAAATTATAGAATCAAAAGTCACTCAATTACCTAGTAACCGGATGCAAAAGCATAATGTACAGCGACGTTGCCGTCGGTGTCCCTGAAGAGCAATGATGCCCCGAAGACGACAACAAGTACAGTACATTTGCTGGAGCCTTCGAAACGGTGCCTTGGCTGCCTACGATCTTCCCGCCGCCACGTGAGCTGTACATAACTAACCCTACAGTGCCATTGTGCTGGCCTGATTCGATAGATTGGAAGGCCAAGGCCCGCAGTGCTTGCATTGTGCAAGGTTAGCGGTCGAAGCTCGACACACACACATATGTAGTTATACATACATAATACATAAGGTAGGTACCATTATGCACCAGATCCCACCAAAAGTATGCGGGGTGCGTTCCCTGCGGATAGCTTCCGATAGACCTGTCAGGATTGATCGTGTGGCTCGCAAGGCTGCTACATACGACAGATTGGAGTTTCCCCTATTATTATACCGCCCGCTCTTGCGACACATAACTGTACGATCAACGAGGGAACAGAAACAAAAACAAGCTTCTCCTCGCCGCTGCCATTGGCTGGCCTTGTTATCCACGGGCGGTGAAGATGCCAATTGACACATAAGATAAAACCAGGGATCCAAGCAGCCTGACGCCGCACAATCTCTTAAGAAAGTATATACATATACATAACTAGTACTAGGTAGCACTAAACTATTACTGGTATTGTACATAGGTAGCAGCGGTATCTTACATGGCCCTGACGAGGTGTAACTGGCTTGCCGATAGGTTCCCGTTTCGTGGGAAGGAAATATGGAGGCAACAAAGCTGCCAGCGCTTCAGTTGGTCGGAAACGGCTGATCTTCAAATCCCTTGTCTCGGGGGGTCGAGGTTGTTACTACATACATCCATTGTAAATTCATACCTAGGTAGGTAATAGGTTTACATACTATGTAGGTACATGTATAATACATAAACGTATTGCAGGTAATACATAACTAAGCTCTAATGCAGACATTCAGTTCCCCCAATACCTATTCTATCAAAACTATTAAAGCGCATCGTCGATAATGCGCAAGTAGGTATAAGGAGGCAGGCTCTGTCAGTCTTAGTCAGATGGGGATTGCGAAGTGCTCGTCAAGAACGGCAGTTGCTTAGGTCTCTTTGACAAATCATAATGGAGGATTATATATTATATGTAGGCGGTAGGTATGTAATGGGACGTATGTATGTGTGCTGTACCCCGTGTCACCACATCTGAAGATGGAGTACATGTAATTATATACCACCTACCTACCTGCCTACCTACCTACATGTACTATATATACATCTACGTAGGTCCTACATATATGTAGTTATATACCTGGCAATGTAGTACAATGTCGTCGTCGCCGACCAAACGAGTCCCTTATTTACTACGTACCTAAGTAACCTAGGTAGATACGGTAGATACTCTCCACGAATGATTCCCTTCACCCCTCCTCTACACGAGCTTCCTGCATTCTTGGGACCGGGAGACCTATCGCGGGGCTTCGCCAAGGAGGAGCACACGCGTCGCGCAACAAACATAGGATTTGAGTAATGCGCAAGTACATAAATTTCTTCAACTCTTCATACTTTTCCACCTGTCATCCATCGGTGTGCCATCCATCAATCCATCATATATCACTTTCGGTGTGCCGCACAGCCTTCTTACATAGTAGTCCCTACACTCTAGTCTCTAATATTAGTGGTCTCCCGCGGGAAGTAAGAAATAATAAGAGGAGGACAGAGAGCCTCGGGATGGGATGTGGGAGACAGACAGACAGACAGACAGACAGTGATATGATATCCGGATCGCTAACTGGAGGAGGGATATATATCTCTTGTCTTGCAGAACTCCCGCGCCTCATGCATGTCTGGGATGAGACCTTACCCAGCGCTTTTGCGGTCAGCGAATGGGAAGTTTGAAAGTCCGTACGACGTAAAGGGCACTTGATATGTTGGTTGCAGATGAGTGAGATGGATGTGTGCATCCAAAGTGTATGCATGTACCTATTTGTATACCTATCTTAGGCTACCTACCGGCCTATACCTATATAGGTATACAAGTGGAGGTCATCACAAGCCGTTTTCCCTCGTTTCCCTCGTTTTTTATGCAACTATATGCACCATAATTAGTATAATTAAAGTCGTAGATTCGAGCCTAAATCTTCCACGTGGTTATCGACGGCGTTCCACATGATGCCTACATGTCTAGTATACTAGTATATAGGTATCTCCTACATGTGTGTACATGGTACTGCATGAAGGCAAGTATACCACCACAATATCTAGATGTTTTCCGACCTCGTTAAACTGTTCTAGACAAAGAATAATCTTAATTATCACTTCATTATTCCATAATAACAGCTGTTATTTCAACGTTATTACTAGGTAAGGTAAGATAAGGTATTGTGCACTTTGGGGGCTTTAACGATACTTTTCAATAGGATAGGTATCAAATACTACGTACCTATGACTATTTGAAGACTATTTTCTTTCATTATTCGTATTTTCTTTGGTTTCATCTCAGATTTTCATAAAACTATCGTCTGGCTTTTCCAGGCTTGTTGTTTCTATCCCCTTCCCCCCATCCCCATCCCCCTTCGCTTCTTCCCCCCCCCCCAAATCCCCCCCAAATTTCTACCAAGTGTGGGCGCGGCATGCGGCATGCCACGTTCCTCATACACTTTAAAGGGAATTTTCCCTTGGTTAGTGCCTCCGCCACATCCCTGAACTGCCTGATTCCCTGCCCCAAGTTTGCCAAGCTTCGCCAGGCATCGAACCCCCTGCTGTGTAGCAGTGTAGCAGTAGTAAGGCTAGGGAGTTCCGGCAGGGGGGAGGGTTCGGTGATTCTCGTCATTTCGGGAGTAAGATCCAAGTCCTAGCTCGGCCGTTCCCTAATTCTTTTTGCGCCGAGTTCTGTATTATTATTCGATTGTGCCCAGATCTGATATTGAAGGCAACAAGCCCTATGTTGGTCCGTGATATTTCTAAGACCCCTGATAATTGTAGCAAAAAAAGCAGAAGTTCTCGAAGGGAATCTTTTGCTATGTTGCATAACAGCCACATATTACACTAGATTAGATACATAGTAGGTAGTGTACTCAGACTATTCCATCAGCTTTATGGCACATCGTCTATTCCTGATAGGGTATGGTGCTCGCACGATAATTCCTATGCTTCCCCATTTCACTACACTTAATCAGGTACATAGTATTTTCTTCTTAACCCTTTTCTGCTTACTGTATCTGCAGTATAAGCGCGCCAGGGAGAGTTTAGGGGGATACAGCCAACCCCCTTTGAGGATCAGCGACCTTTACATAGTACCAACGTGGTATGCAGTATCTACCGAGAGGTATAGTAACAATAGCCCACCCATAAGCAATGCACGTGTGTTAGGTAAGTGCCTATGTAGTATACTACGTACATAATGCATACCTCTATATATATATATATATATATGTATACCGACCTACCTACCTAGGCATACTAAGGCCGGAAGGAATGTGATGTGCTGGTGTAAGTGACAACCACATAAAGTCAAGCCGCCGTGTAGCTCAGTTATGGTCACTTCGGGCCGGGGAAAGGATAAATATCACATACGAGGTCCAACCTGACTTGTGGAGTTGAATGTGCTACATATTCTGATAGTTTATACATAATAGGTAGGTACTAGGTATGTAAGATAGGACAGCTCTTCGAAAGCAGTGAAGATATTCGCCACTTAAAACACCTTCATCTCATACTATGTATCTCATATCCCATAACATACTTTTGCGCATGGCTGGGAACTCGTCCGATAGTTGTCAAAACGTGCAGTGGTCTCAAACTATTGGGGTCCGAGCAAATTCGAGCACCCTTCCAGCCTACCTAGTACTTACAGCTTGAGTCGTTTGCTTTTTGACAGGCGGCCTTGAATAGTAATCCGATTATTAATTTCCACGACTTTGGCTGTAAGGGTTCAAGACATATCTCGCCCTACATACCTACAGAAGTACCTACTGTGCTACCGTACTACATCATCTCCTCACGACGAGATCAAATATCTTCCTTTTCTGCCGAAGGAACCAGTATAGAACGTTGTATAAGTATCTACAGATCGAGCCACAGCGTTTAATAATAAGATCTAGGCCTTGGCGACCTTCAATAGCCTCGCTGTCCCCTGGTACAATACTTCGCCGCATCCCCTACCCATGTCTGCGGTGCAGCAAAATGGATCGATTTGCTATCTCTGAGTGGGCAAAAATAGGCACGCTTTTTTGAACCGCCAATGCACGTAGTAGACGATCCGCGTACGATCCTCATGAAAGGAACTTCCCGTTTGGTTTGGACCTGGATCGATTCCTTTCGTGATAACCACCGCATTGCGCATTGCGTCACATCGTGCTGTGGTTAGTTAGGATAGATAGGGCCTGGCTGCAGTTCACACAGCCCGTAGCCTCTCTATGTTACTATGTCAGGTATGTTTCATGTAGGAACTCGCCGAGCGCATCAAACAGCAGTTCCCTTTCTTTCGCAACTTTCTTCCCATATCAAGCGGCGTAGCCTCAGTTTGCTGCTTAGTATCGCCGAAGGAATAGAGATCGGCGCAAGCCACTCCCGCTAGGGGGCCATCCCGTTTAGTGACGCCATCATCGACGTGCTACCTACATACCTCATCCCTTGGGAGGGACAAGTTGACTATTGGATGCCGCCTTCATGAACTTAGGTCTATAATTATCAGTAGGCAGACATGTTTACACCCACTATGGAGAAACTTCATCTACTGATGTTATTGCCTTGACCGGGGAGGAGCGGTATCCTGTTACAGTGTATACATATGTAGGACTATTACGCGAACTAGGCAGATGATGGAGATCAAAGCTGATCCAGGCCACCCCATCCTATTCCCTTCGTCTTATACCGTCAGCCAATAGTCTCCTACCTACCTAATACACAGACCGGCCGTATATACATAGTCGATTGAGTTCAAGGGAGATAGATCTGAGGCTCCTGCGAACCCGTATGCTCGGAGAAATATGACATGGTGGGTGTTCACCAGAATCAGGCCAATCCAGGAAACTGGAAGAGCGTGCCCGCTTTGGCCCTCCCCCCCCCCCAGAGAGGGCTTACTTTGCGCCAACGATCTACAATAAAATGACACGTCTATTTTTACGGATACCGGCATCTCTTCAAGAGTACCAGAGATTCAACGATAACGAGCATGGGATAGTAGAATTACCATGCCACTATGGTGAAAAAAGAAAAAGGGAAAAAAAGAAAGGGAACCCCATATTTGATACATTTGGTACCGTGTCAACCGCTACCGCTTGTGTAATAGACAACTTCCAGTGGCTTCAATGCTATGAGTGTTCCTATCCGGATGCCGAGGCTGCATTTTGATATTTCTTCTAATTTCTCTTCGTCACCATGTGGCCTATCCAACCTACGTAGAAGACTATCTATGTATGTAGACATGCAAGTACTTGCGGCTACTTACTTTGAGATGCTTTCCACATCCGCTTCCAGATCTACTTCCTATTAACATTGATGTTTGTTTGCAGCGGCAGCCTCTCCCTCCGGGCATCGAGTAGGTAAGGTACCCATGGCAAAGGAGTCGCGATCCGACAAAAATGAAGAAGGCTTCCCGCCAATAGTCGGCGCTAGAGGCTACCAAAGCCAGGCGTATCGCGGTCTTTTTTTCATCACACAGCTGAGCCAATAGTTTCAGGTGTCAGCGTGCATAGTAGCATCAACACGCCTCCTCGCTAAATCGAGACCAGAAGACAAAGAACCGAGCTTCTTTTAGGAGAAGGCTGGGCAGGATTACCTACTTGACCAACATTTCTATTGTAATAGCTAGACAAAGGAAATTCAAAACAAAACTGTCCAGGTGTATCACCGGGCGTCAAACGATCCTCATCGTCTCCCATACCCATTGTAGTCATCTTACACCTACATCTTAGATGTCTGTCTACTGAAGGATTCTCTCTCTTTGATGACATGTGGAACCCAAATCCGGTGAGACACGTCCTTACACGTCTTCCTCATGGGGAAGACGCTGGCGAGAGGTAGCCAGTTCCATGACGTCCTCTTCCATATCTTCTACCTAACCTTAGTACTTTAGGTATGTTTCTTCACGTTTAGTGACTCTTCCGTTACCATGGGACCCCCCCTTTTTTTCTCTCTCTTTTCTGGTCATCAGGGTAAGTAGGTACACTTTGCTGCCAGGTGAGACATAGCAACCATACGGCATGCGGCCACGACAGGTCTCTGTGCCTTTGATACCACGTTTCTAGACCCCGAGGTAGCGCGATCTGAATGCGACGACCCGAGATGGCACAGGGTGAGAGTGAGACCCGTGTGTCTCGGGCGCGGATGTCGCGCACTGGGGGGTGTGGTGTGGTAGACCACTCCTAAAGAGTTTGCTTTATTCCTGCCGTCTCCCGTCTACAGCGGCTGTCCGCCATTGTCGCTTGACGGCCGAATCTCGATCTGGAATAGGCAGGAATTCGCGATCGGGAACGTCATCCAGGAAACTCTTTGTCCAGACCGGCCGAGACTGGGAAACCGAAAGCAAAAAGAAATTCCTCTCCTCCTGCCCCTCCTTTCCCGCGCCGCCCCTTACTTGCCGCTTTCGTGTGCTTGTGAGCCGGTGGATCTATGTATGTGCTGGTATCGGTCAGACCTACATAGGTAGCGTGGCTACTGCATGATATCCGCGTGCCTCTACTACATACGCCTAGAGCAGAAAACCCATATCTTTGGCTGAACTAGTCTAGATGCTCAACCAAATGTGCTCTGCTGGAAATCACAGTAGTACCATATAACCCCAGCTAGCTGTGACACCGGCACTATGGCTTTCGGGACGAATCTGGTGGAACGGTTTCAAAGGGACGATGGCGTCCTTGCAGGACACATTAACTAATCACGAGTGATATTAGCTGTGCGATCCTTGTGTGCCTCTTCAATTTTTGACCCAGTTCTGGGGGCCCTGGGACAGTCTGAAGAGGTGGATGCGTAAAGGCGTAGCATACATAAGCCAGCTTCATGGGGATACACGTGGGAGATTGATGGAAATTGGTAGCATCTTATTAATTAATGATATACATGTATATTCGTCTAAACGTCAAGTACTAAAGCAAATAATACAAGCCAATTTCGTTGAACATGCCGAGTAACTAGGTATACATCGAGGAACTCGGCATACAACTTATGAATTGCGTTGAGTGCCACATCAAATAGGTATGTATCGAAAAATTGAACAGACGTGTAAACTTCGTGGTTTATATCTCCACGATTGTCCCTTTTCCCTCATTTCTACGAGAGGTTGCGCGATACCTCCTAGCACGAAAGCTAGCTTCGCCATCCAGTAGATATCGAAATTGCTCTCCACGGAAAGAATCGTGGCACACCGAACAACTACCCAGATAGAGGTCGCACACGGGGAACCCTACGCTTAGCTGGTCCAATGTGTGGTTTGTATCTATCTCGCTGTCCAACCTCGCGCTTGAAGAATAGGGGGTAAGTAGGTGAGTGACCCTCTGCTGAGTGAGACCCAGCGGAGTTTCGCGACTCAGCGGACTTGCGGGCTTCGATACATTGGTCCCCGCATAGCGTCTAGGCGACCTCCGCATAGGTACTCTTCAACTTCTGCTAATTCTGAAGTACACCTAGCAAACCTCCTGGTGTTCACAGACCATGACACAGAAATACTAACCTCCTATATGCCTACCTAGTACCTAGTACCTACCGAGTTGGTTTCTAGAGCTGAATCTCCTTACACTAGGGTCGATAGCCTTCAAAGGAAGTTTCCCCCCTTAGGTAAACTGAAAATGGTATCTTGTGATAACTCTGGGACGTGTCTAAGAACCTCAAAACATATCACACTTACCAAGAGTTCCCTGCCTTCAGCTAGAAGTATGAATCATACCCTTTTCTATCCATCATACTAGTCTACTCATAAACTTATCATCATTGCATCCAGCTGATCATTATCATTCAGTAAAAACTATGAGGACACAAGATAGGAAACTTTGGGGGGGGGAAGCGATTGCTAAAGCTTGGCGTTCCCTAGATACACACCTGATACACGGTGTCTTCCAAAGCATCAGACTTTGCGTGAGTTCAGCCATCTACCATGATCGTGAAGTCGATATCTCTATTTAGGGGGGTCGTCATGGGCAATTATGATTGCCATAAACGGACAAAATAGCCACATTTAGCTTTTGCTTAGGTATCTCGGCAGCCATCCCCCAAATAAAGCCAAGTATTCTGAGTAGTCATAAGAATACATCGCCAACTAGACGTCGAGCGCCTATGCTATAGACTTGCAAACAAGGCACGAGGACAGCGGCCGTGACGATATCCCAGGTGCAGCTCCCACTTAAGCTTTTCGTCTATATTCGCGATATGCTCGAAACTTGCGCTCCCCTCGTGACACTCATAATACTATGCTAATACATCTCCCTCGCTCCTTTTCATTATTCGAAGCTAGGGAGCGTTCGATGATTACGAAGCCAAGCGTAGGCCGAGGCCACTAGCAAGCTCGGGCGCAACGCTCGAGCAACATAACATGTACGCAAGTATTTCTCGCAGCGCAGCAGAGAGCTGGAAAAGTGTTCTGTTGTTCTAACTAACCTAAGGATGGATAGACCTGCCTACCTAGGCAATTACGTAGGTTTTTAGGGTTAGTAAACTAGGTAGGTATCATGATCGTGAGACAACCAAAAACCTGGGGAGAGGGAATGAATGGCAATTACCAGACAAGCATGTGAATTTCTCGATCTTTCCATCCCTTGGCGACAAAAGTACCTTGCCTTCCTTACCTTAGGTACCTACTACCTATGGACCATCGAACCCGAGGGACCGGACGCCCCGTTTGACTGACACCACCACGCAGTGCCGGTATCTGGGTATTCACCCCGGATTTTCTGCAAGCCAAGCAATTTCAGCAGAAATTCCTACCCAGGTAGATACCACCAATGCATGTGATATACATAGTATGAGATCGTTGGTAGTTAGTGTTGAAAGGTATATAGATATATGGAATCTCTAATCATCGCTATCGAGCCATGCTAAATTATATCCAAAACTGAAACAAGCAGATAACTACCCAAACAAACAAGCAAACACATATCTACCTACCACCACTCCACCCTAGATACATACCTATTCTAGAAGAATACAAAAGTTCCTAAGCAGGGGATAGATCTAGAATCCACCTGGGACCTGGGCTAGTAGATACCTAGGCAGACATGTTCCTCACAACTTCGACCTAACCTTATCCCACAGCCCAAAGTTCTCGAGCCCGGCCCCTCCGTCGAATATATCCCTTTCGACCTTCCTCGAGTTGATCTGTCAGAAGTTAGTAAACATATATCCACAAGCCAGCCAGCCACATCCCCGCTCCCCAGGCTAGTAGTTATAGTAAGGGGTAGCTGGGGTAGGGAGGCATCGAATTCTGGGGATTCAGACTCACATGTCTCGGCCCCAACTCGCTCACTTTCTCCACCCCGAGCAGCCTCATACACGTCTCGGTTTCTGCCTTCAGAACTACATTACGCGTTCATCGTTAGCAAGAAATTCAGACCCCGATGAATGGGAAGTGCGAGAAAGGTATGTAATAACATAGGTAGGTAGGTAGGTGGGCGGATAAGCAAACAAACAAATAAGCAAATAAGCAAATAAGCAAGAAGCAAAAGCCAAAAAGAAAAACTCACTCTCCAGCACCCTCTCGACGCCCCTCTCCCCGCCCGCGCCGAGCCCAAACAGCGCCGCGCGTCCCAGCCCCACGCCCTTGGCGCCCAGACACAGCGCCTTGACGACATCGGTGCCGCGCTTGATGCCGCCGTCGACCCAGACCTCGATGTGGTCGAAAACCTGGGGGCAGTACTTGCGGATCTCGAGCAGCGTGTGGACGGCAGGCGGCGCCGTATCGAGCGCGCGGCCGCCGTGGTTTGATAAGATGATGGCCTTGACCTGCGGCGCGTGACGGGCCGCCAGCAGCGCGTCCTCATGCGTCTGCACGCCCTTCAGCACGATCGGCAGGTCTGTGTGCTGCTTCAGCCACGCCAGCGCCGTCTTCCAGGTGAGGTCGGACGCGGTGCCCCAGAAGAGCTGCTGGCCGACACCGCCACCTCCCGGGCGGCTGGGCTCGTCGGCTCCCTTGACGCCGGAGGCGACTTTGACGGCGCTCTTGAAGCTCTGGCGCTCGTCGAGCTCGCGCTTGCCGGGGACGGGGGCGTCGAGGGTCAGGCAGATGAACTTGAACTGGTCGGGGAGGGCGTTGATGCGGCGCAGCATGGCCTCGCTCTTGGCGCGGTCCTTCTGCACGTACAGCTGCCACCCGAACATCTGGCCCGGTTGTGCGTCCGCCACGATCTGCTGGGGTGTCATCGACGCGTTGTTCGAGATGATCTGCATCGCGCCGAACTTGCCGCAAGCGCGCGCGATCCCGGCTTCGCCGTCCGGGTGGCCTAGCCGCGCCATCGCCGCCGGGGCCACGAAGATGGGGACGTCGACTTTCTGGCCTAGCAGGGTCGTGGAGGTGTCGCAGTTGGTGCAGTCGACGAAGACCCGCGGCCGTAGTAGGATGTCCCTGTAGACAGCGTTGTTAAACGACTTGGAAAACGTGTCGTCGCTGGATGAGTAGTAGTACGCCCATGCCTTGTGGGGCATGCGCTTCGTAGCCACCTCCTCGATCTCGTCGAGATTTAGCAGGTTCTCCATCGGAGGCGGGCCCTCATCTTCCTTCTCTTCCTCTTTGGGCTCCGTGTTGTCAGTTTGGATCACAGTCTCGGGATCGACCTGACCCAACTTGGCTTCGGGCTTGAGATTCTCCTCTAGTGTTCCCGGAGGATGTATAGGGTCATACTCCTCCGTCGCATCCCGACCTGCGAGCTGTAGGATAATCTTGGAACCTCCCGGATGGGATGTCAAGAAATCGGTCACGTCATAGACATGTCCGTATAGTATCACCCAGCAACTCTCGGGTGACGTGTGCTTCACGACTATTGAATAGGTACATATAATGTCAGTATGGCTGTAGGCAATAGTGATAAACATTAGAGCGAGCAATTGGGACTTTTCTTCTCACCTTCCTGTGCACTGATAAGCTTTCCCGACATCTTCAAAAAAACACTGCTAGATACGCAAGTACACCTTTCTTATATTCTATAACATAATCTAATTGAGAAGCTCTAAATACTTTCTTTGTTTACCTAGGTGAGTAAAATGCTGGAGTTGAGAAAGCACAGCTAAGTACTAACCTTAGGTAAGTTAAAGTAAGTAGGTACATAGTAGAGGTAACCTGGTTAGTAGCTTTCTTTCGGTAGTATTTAACCCGTGATGATCCGGAGGCTGATCGGCTAGTCGAGTTAGAAAGGGGCCCCGGCAATTACTACATGGTATTACTACTCTTAGGTCCCTATTGGTTAAAGTATCGTGCATATATGTATAATATGTCTGCGACTCTGCGGGTACGGAGTGCAAAGAAATTTAGTTTCTTTAAACTTTCTTAGCCCTCGAGCTAAATTACCAGCCAAGTTACCAGCTAAGTTACCACTTACCTAATACCTATCTGTTAGCTCCAGGGCTGTCTACCACCCAGGCCCACCCTACTAGGTAGCCTCTAGGTAGTTAACCTTAGCATGCAAGTTCAATGTTATAGAACAGAACATTGAATATCTGAAAGTAACTTGTTCACGAGTTATGTACATTCAATGATTCCTCCTCTTGTACAATACAAGTAAGTCGTATGTACCTATAGTACAGGAGTGTAGCAATATTCTTCAATGCCGATTTCGTGAAATGACCCTCTCGGCAGAATGATGCAGCATGAAAAAAACAAGGGGGGGAAAGGGAAAAAAGGGAAAAAGAAATCCTGGTCCCAATACCAACTTAACAGGGACATTCAACTGAACTGAGCAGCCAATAACTGCAACTATTCTCCTGATACTGCTGCATTGCCATTTATGCAACTACTTAAGATGGGAATCCGACCATCTTAATCCAAATCTCCTGTTCCTTGCGCAGGATTTCACGATCCCTTTGACGCAGCTCCTCGAAGCTGAGTTTGCCCGTAGGCATCGAGGTAGAAAGGCCGTTCTCCTCGAGTATATTCATAGGAATGCCAACGAAAGTGACTAGATTGTCTGGATGGGTCACCGGGGAGGCTGTATGGGTTGTAGTGATTGGAGTACTATTCTTTGGGAGCATGGGCTGCTCGACAACTGCCTCCTCAACTTGCTGTACTAGGGAGTATACTAACGAGTGCACCGGAGAGTAAGGTGGGGATTGCGCCGGTGAGTGTGCCGGTGAGGCTGTATGGGTTGTGGTGATTTGAGTGCTGTTCTTTGGGAGCACGGGCGTTGAGGAAGGCTGCTCAACAATTGCCTCCTCAACTTGTTGCACTGGGGAGTATACTAATGAGCGCACCGGGGAATAAGGTGGGGATTGCACTGGGGGTTGCGCTGGAGAGGCTGCATAGGTTGTGGTGATTGGAGTACTGTTCTTTGGGAGCATCGGCTTCGAAGAAGGCTGCTCGGCAACTGCCTCAACTTGTTGCATTAGAGAGTATATCAATGAATGCATCGGGGAGTCTGGAGGTTGCGCTGAGGAGTGCGCTGGCGACTGCGGCTGGGCCTGTATCTCGTCTTGTGCCTCATGCTCAATCTGAACCTCTGCCGTGTTGTAAGTCTGCTGCACTTCCCGGGGCTCTTGAAATTGTGTCTGGCCATGCGGCTCTTGCTCCTGTAATACTTGCTGTGGCATCTGATTGTCTGCTTCCTGCTGCTGCTGCTGCTGAGCCTCTGCTGCGTAGTATGCCTGCCACAGCAGCTCTTGGGCCTCCTGTAGTTGGATTTGAGATGGTAGTGTCTGCTCCAATTCCTCTCCCTGCTGCTGCTGCTGCTGCTGCTGCTCTAGCTCTAACTGCTGCTTTAGTTCGCTCAGCGACTCATTCTGTGACTCCTCATCCGACTCATTCTGCGACTCCTCATCCGACTCGTCCAGCGACTCCTCATCCGACTCGTCCAGCGACTCATCCGACTCGTCCAGCGACTCATCCGACTCGTCCAGCGACTCATCCGACTCGTCCAGCAGCTCGTCGTGCTGCTCGTCGTGCTGCTCGCTGTGCTGCGTTTCTTGCTGCTCTAGCTCCATCTCCCGTTCCATCTCCCGTTCCATCTCCCGCTCTAGCCACTGGCCCAGCGACAGTGGCTCATCTAGCTCTTCGTTGTGCTGCTCGTCGTGCTGCTCTTGCATGTCACGCTGAATCGCAGACTGTGTTTCCAGTGCTGTTCCAAGGCCATCAGTACCAATGTGACCTGCCTAAGGCTGTGGTAGATGGGGTTGGCTAGACAAAGTTTTCGGGGAGACAGACAAGTCTCCTCCAGGCTCGAAGAAAGTCTCTTCAACTATCTTGACGTCTCTCTTGGTTGTAACCTCAGCCGAGTCAGCTTCTCGACTAGCATTGAACTCCGACGATACAGGAGATTGGAGTCCCGTACTTTGGACAGGCTGGAAATGTGCTTCAGCTTGATCGCGCTTGTTTTCCTGGATTTCGCGGCCCAAGGCAGATGGCGAGGCTGGACTGCTCATCTCAGGCACAGATCCAGAGAAAAGTGAGTCGTGAGTGGTGGATGGCGTAGCGTACGCTCCGTCTTCCTTTGGAGCTGTCCCCTGAGCCTCTCCTTTGGCATCACCAGAATCTTCTTGGTCTTCTCCAACCTTGATCTCATTCTCGAGACATCCAGATGCCATAAGATAATCGCCCTCACCCTCACCCTCATCACTCTTGTCATCATCACTCTTGTCCTCATCACTATTGTCTCCATCCTCATCCTCATCGTATTCACCCTCATAATATTCGCCGTTATCGCTCTCATCAAACTCACCATCAAACTCACCATCACTCGTTCCACTATCGCAATCAGACCATAACGATAGGAAGGTGGTTTCGGGAGTATCTTCACGAGCATTTTCAGAAGCATCGCCGAGGGTGGTGTTGAAAGAAGTATCGGAAGTAGTGTTGTCCTGTGTTTTTTGGGATATGTTAGCACTGAAACTTGTCACTACAAATCTCACAACAGGATGGGGGGCTAACCGAAGAAGAGCCAACCACAGGTGGGTTATCCATATGGGCAACCTGAGCTGCGTCGGTTACCAGACCACCAGACATCATCCATCGGTCCTCGTTCGCTTCCTTGATCGCCTTTGCATTAGGACGATCGTAGACGTAATCGTCGTCGAAAATGTGCGGTATCACAATCTCATACATTCGACGTCGTTCTTCGCGATTCTTTGACTCTTCAATTCGAGGGACATCGGCAAATCGTGATTTACCTCGTGCGTTGTCATTGACACCAGCTCCTGCTTCATCGTTGCCACTGACACCAGCTCCTACTTCATCGTTGCCATTGTGGCTCTGTCCGGCACATTCCATAGTCGTTACTGAATCCTGCGGCATCTCCTAGGAGCCATCGGGATGAGCTGTATGACCGAACTCTTCACTGTTATCTACTTCATCTTTTAATTTGATTCTCTTCCTTGAAGAATCATCCTGTTCGCTCATTCTCTTTTTGCCTTTGCTTTTGGCTTTGTCTTTGCCTTTAGATTTGTCTTTGGCTTTGCCCTTTGCCGTATCGCCAAACTCTTCATCTTCTAACTTGATTCTCTTGCTTGGGAGCTTCTTATCCGGGCCCTTCAATCTCTTTTTGCCCTTTGCTCCAGGCTTACGAGACAAGGCGCCACCCGGGGCAAAATCAGAGCCGGAATCCGATGTCAGGCTTGCGCGACGAGTAGCTGCGCGGCCGCCACGAGCTTTAAGAGAAGGCATCTCGCTAGGTATAATTCCAGTTGTATCGGAATGACCTCGTCGTTCTCGAATTATCGCAAGAGATTCTTGTTGAACTTGTTGAGATTTGGAAGGAGGGAATCAATTTCGTCTGATATGATGCGAAATACTTGTGTCGAAGAAAGGTTTAAGAGGGTGGTATAGAATGAATGGGTTCAATGAGTGTTTGCTTCTCTGTGGGTAATTGCGCGTGTTAGTATTTGTCATTGAACAATTGACTGTAGACAATTGATGGTGGATAATTGAAAGTGAACGATTGACAGAGGGTAATTGATGGGGGCGACAGTAATGAATGAATTGAGGGAGTTGGGAGTTGCAATTCGAAGAGGAAAGGAGTAGCTAAATGCGACTTTGCTAGGCCAAGTAAAATTTACTAGGCACCTAGCACCACAATCTGATGTAATATTGAAAATCAATTGATTGAGGGTGCTTCAAAAATAAATATAAGGTACTTACTTATGTTCAGAAGGAATAACTTTTGCGAGCACTCAAAAGTGTGCGTAATTGATCGATAGTGGTGGATAAAAAAAAAAGAAAGGTATTGAGGAGAGGAAGTTGGGAGGTTGTTAAGGAATTGGTTATGTGGGTAGGTAAAAAGAAGAAGAAATAAATTTTTCAATGTTGGCTTGATCAATTGATTGATTTGGGCGAAAGGCCAAGGTTCATACCTTGGGTACCTAGGCACCTAAAAAATAGACCACTTTGTTTTGTATTTAATTCTAAGTGATTTATCTTTATGTTAAAGGTTTGGTTTGAAGGACGAGATGCGAGATGGCAGAAAATAAATTATGGTAGTAAAAAGGGTGGTGTGAGATGGCAGAATAAGTTACGTCAGATCAGCTTTGAATAGGAAGGCGGTGTCAGCAGCACTCCATGATGATCTTGCTCAAATAGGTAAAGCTCACAAATTTCAAACCTCGGCTCGAGGAGCCAAGTACCTAGGGATTAAGTCGGTACAAAGAGTGGGAGTTCCTACATATGTCGCATTAAGACCTTTTGTACATAGCTCTTCGAACTAGCTATTGTAGAGCTATTGTAGTCAATCAGTCGATCAATTTTGACAATTAACTTATAACCCGTACTCCTTATAAAAATAATCCTTATTCATAAGAACTAGAAGTAAAAATGAGCGGTCCAGGAGCTGGGTTCGAATATCCTCCTACTGAGGTATCGTGGACGAAGCGCGATGTTTTGTTGTTTGCCAACACTATAGGTTGCACTTCTGATGAGCTTCACTTTCTCTACGTATGTTTATTAATTATAACTATAATTATAACTATAATACCTACTTCCTGGGGTACCTATGAATGCCCTCCTCTAACCAGTAGCAGGAGCTCGACCCTAACTTCTCGGTATTCCCGACCTACCCGGTTATTCTACGTAAGAAGCACAGCAATCATTTCTTCTCATTAAAGGAAGAGCAAATCATGACTAACTAATGATATAGCCTTTAAGAAAAATGAGACAGAAGTAATCGACTTCTATGCCGCGCAAAAGGCAATCAAGATTCCCAGCGTGCCCGACTTTGACTCGCGGCGCGTCGTCGATGGCCAGCGACTAGTCCAATTCCTGAAGCCACTACCCACCACATCCGCGGGTAGGAAGTTCGAGATGCGCACCAAGGTGCTCGGCGTTTACGACAAGGGACGGCCAGGTTCCGTCGTCGAACTACAGCAGGATCTAGTTGATGTCAGCACCGGCGAGGTCTACTCGCGCGCAATTGGCAGCACGTTTTACGTAGGGCAGGGCAACTGGGGTGGCCCCAAAGGTCCCGCGACGCAGAATTTCCCGCCGCCCAAGGGCAAGACACCCGACGTCGAGTTCGAAGTGCAATCTAACTCCCAGACCCCCTTGCTATATCGCCTGAATGGCGATTATAACCCCCTGCACGCTCACCCAGAGCCCGGAAAGAAGATGGGCTTTGGAGGCGTCATCATCCACGGTCTATTTTCTTTCAACACCACTTGCCATGGCTTGTTGGAGAAGCTTGGCGGAAGTGACCCGGCCAACATCAAGGAATTCCAAGCTCGGTTTGCGAGTCCTGTTAGACCAGGGGATAAATTGGTTACGTCTGTATGGAGAACTGGTGAGATGAAGGGCGAATGGGAAGAGATTCGATTCGAGGTGAAGGTTGCTGGCGGAAAGGTGTGTCTCAGTAACGGAAGGGCGCTTATGAGGGTTGTGGGAGAATCTAAGAGCAAGCTGTAAAACCAGACTTGAGCGATAGTGTTTGAATACTTTTTTTTTCTTTTTGGATATATGCAAGTTGTATACTATACTAAAAACTGGAAGCGATAAAAGCTACGTTGTTTGGCTATTCTGAGAATGAAGTTATTGGCAGTTGATTGTTGATTGTAAAAGCATGATTGGTAACAAGATATGTGTGACGCAGTAACAATTTCTCCCGTAACAAACTCAATTGTTGCCTGATGCCAAAACTGAAATCTCTAGGCAGGGCAGGTACATCCATAGAAAGCTACAATGGTCCTACTAGGTCCTGCATATTTCAGACACTTTCAAAGTTTCTTCCTTCCAGAAACATTGAATATACGAATATATCTATATCTGCAAATAGTTACAGCGAAACAATATTCCAATGGCTACCGATCCCAAGGTTGGTGACCGGGTATCCTATGATGGAGCTGTCTGCACAATCCGATATATTGGCCAGATTAGCGGTACAACAGGAAGCTGGCTTGGCGTCGAATGGGATGATCCAGCTCGAGGAAAACATGATGGTTCCCATAAAGGAGTGCGATACTTTACCTGTAAGTCTCTGAAGCTAAGAAGGAATATATGAATTGAAACGAAATAAATGAATTCTAAATATCAAAAGGTCGATCCAAGTCACCCACCGCCGCCTCTTTTGTGAGACCCACGAGACCCGCGGAGAAACCGCAGAGTTTCGTAGCGGCAGTTACTGAGAAGTACGCCGCCGATTTGGCCAAAACAGCTGTGATCAAATTTTCAAATAAAGTAGCAGAAGAAGTCGGGTTCGACAAAATCCATCGCCAGCAAGCACAGCTATCAGAGTTAAAAATCGTCATCGTGGATAGTTCGCGCATCGTATCAGCATGTGCTGAAGGCGATGAGCCCATCAGTCAGACATGTCCAAAGATAATCGAACTAGATCTCAGCCGCAATCTCTTCCGAGAGGCCGGTACGGTCGTGGACATTTGCTCAGAGTTATCTACGTTACGAAGCCTACGTTTGAAGTAAGCTACTTACTCGAGATACCATATCTATACATACATAGGTACTGGAACGCTAACTGATGATTAGTGGTAATCGATTTGAAGACATATCAAATGATAAAGGCCTCATTAATTCAAAAGACTCTTTAAAGGATATCAAAGATCTTGCCCTCGAGGAAACTTTCCTGAGCTGGGAGGAGATGTGCTATTTTGCAACCAAATTCGAAACACTGTCGACACTTTCAGCCAGCGCCAATCAATTCTCCTTTTTGCCAGAAACTCCTTTCTCGACCCTAGCATCTACCTTGGTATCTTTGAATTTGGAGTTCAATAACTTTACTAGTATCTCTGATCTTGCTAACCTTGCTGGCTTGACATCTCTCCGTAATCTACACCTCAAATGCAATGCCATCTCTGCCATCACCAATGGTACATCCGATGATCTGCCAGTATTATCAACAAGTATTAAATATCTGGATTTATCATACAACCATGTATCATCATGGGCGTTTGTCGACGCATTACCCACTTGCTTTCCAGGCCTAATATCTCTTCGTTTTTCTCACAACCCCATATACAACAACCCAGACCCCGAATTCTCCGCTCAATCTAAATCAGTCACCGAAGAAGCATACATGTTCACGGTCGGCCGCCTGGCAAACCTCAAAACTCTCAACTTCGGTTCCATTTCCCACTCCGATCGTCAGGATGCGGAAATGTTTTACCTAGCCCGTATTGGCAAGCACCTGGCCACAGTCCCGGAGAGCCAGGAGGCAGAAGTCATTGCCAAGCACAAGCGATATGCCGAGTTATGCGATCTCTACGGACCGCCTGTTGTTAACAGAAGAAAAGAAATCAATCCCGCTTTTCTGGAAGCGAGGTTAGTACATGTACAATTCACCTTTCACTCCGCCGGTAAAGTCGTGGAGAGGATAACCAGAATCCCGAAGAGCTTTGACATCTACACGGTGAAGGGGATTGCAGGCAACCTGTTTGGGTCTAAGCCGCTTGGCCTGCGTTTGATATGGGAAACAGGGGAATGGGACCCCGTTGCAGGGTTCGATGACGAAGTTGGAGATAGCAGCGACGAAGAAATGGAAGAGGAAGAGGAAGAGGCAGGCAAAAAAGGTGAAGTGGGTGATGCTGATGACCTGGGCCAGAGCTCCCAACCAGAGGCCAGGACAGGCAAGTGGGTCAAGCGGGAGGTAGAGTTGCCAGACGGGCCGCGGCAGCTTGGGTTCTGCGTTGATGGCTTGGAAGCAAAGATTAGGGTCGAAATACGGTGATGATGTATACACCCGGGCGTCCTGGCTTTCGGCAGTTTGTAGAAAACATGCTGGCTGAAACATCGACACAAGACAAAGTGCAGCATTCTTAAATCTGATCAGAAGATGACATATATGTACTTATCTATCTTTGTACATATATGTAGGTATCTATGTAAGTTTCAAGAGCTCCTAGCATAAAGGGACGATAAACCTTAGAGTTCCTTATAGATTCTAGCTGTTCAATCCGGAATACCTACCTATGTATGCACCAAACATATATCTGCGGATTTGTTTTGGTTGGTCTACTGCAGCATGTAGGTGCAAACAGAGTCATCTTGCAGAACTGACACAACAAACGGTATAACTAGCATTTGCCTTCCTGGATGCCACAACGCCAACACAACGATCATTTTATCAGATATATGTCACCATCCGTAGCCGATTTGAATTATTTCAGTTCACATACGTTTCCTCCGCATCTAAGCTCGTCCATTACTCACTCTTAAAGCTAGAGTACCCAGCATGAGCAATATCGACGGCACATCGGTAGCATCACCAATATGAGTAACCAGCAGACTGTTATCAGCGGCGGGGGAGTTGCCAACAACAGCACCGGCAATAGCCAGCATCGACAAGCTGGCCCCAGGTCGACGGCCTCACTACCCCAAACCCCCAACATCACCGTGCCTTCGTCAAAGCAACAGAGTCAGATCCCGCTACCACAGCACTTCGTCGTACGCCCAGGTGTTACCAAGCACACGGCATCAGGCACAGTGACAGTGCCAGGGCCGATCGTGCCGCTTGTGGCCGTGGACCAGCTGCCCGAGTGGATCGACTTGCTGGGCATCCCGCGCGAGCTGAGTCTCGAGCAGACCGTCGGCCTCACCAACCTGGGCACCATCGTCCGGAACCCCGAGTTCTACCAGGTGTACGTACACAGCGACAACGAGGCAGTCCCGCTAATACGAGCGTCGTCGAGCGAGAGCAACAGCACAACCATGACGGTTGCCCATCATAGCCACCACAGACAAATAGAAGACCCAACTCAACAAGCCCAGCAACGGCGTCGAGCAGATGCGGCCAGGAGTACGGGCTACCTCGTACCCATCGACACACACCCGACGGCCATAGCATCCGCACCGCCTTCCGCCTCCTCATCCACGTCGTCGTCGTCGTCATCCTCATCCTCGGATTCTCCTCCAAGCACCAAGCTAGACCCAATAGCAGCAGCAAAGGCCCTGGCCGCCGCTCGACCCCCCAAGCCCAGCCGAACCAAGAGCGCAAATGAGGCCGCGCAGCAGAGCAGCAAGGACATAGGCATGATACCGCACCTCCCCGTACCACCTCCCAGCAGCAGCAACAGCAGCAGCAGCAGCAGGCCCGGCACCTACGCCATGCTCCACTCCTCCATGCACGCCCCCTCCCCCTACACGATCCAGCACCCGGCCGACCACCTCCTGCTGCACCACCACCACCACCACTCCCGCGCCGCCAAGCCCTCCACCCCCACCCCAACCCCTGCCCGACGACCCACCTCCAGCACCAGCGGCGGAAGTAACAGCAGCCTCTACTGCAAGCACTGGTGCCACAAGGGCACCTGCCGCTGGGGCACGCACTGCCGGTACGCGCACGTGATGCCCGCGACGCCCGAAGGGCTGCGCGAGGTAGGGCTGCCGCGCCCGCCCGCGTGGTGGGTTGCCGCCGTGAACATGAGCATGGCGTTTGGTGCTGCTGCTGCTGCTGCCGGAAACCCGTACGCGTCTGCGTCTGCGTCTGCGTCTGTGCCCCAGCACCCCCACCTGGGTCTTGCGCTTCCGCACCATTTGCAGCATAACCTTGCTGGCGTTGGCACTGGGAGTGGTGGAGGAGGAGGAGGAGGAGGAGGAGGTGGCGGTGGTCTGGCGCACGCGGGGTTACCCGCCCACGCGCACCCGCATCATCCGCGGTATTACAGCGGCGGCGGGGGAGGGGGAGGGGGTAGTAGCAGTAAGAAGGCGCAGAAAGAGCGAGAGAAGGACAAGGAGAAAGAGAAGGAGAAGGAAAAGGAAAAGGGGAAAGACAAGGGGAAAGGCGTGGAGAAGGAGAGTAACACCGTTGAGGCAAGGCCTGGACCTGAGGGGGACCAAAGAGGGGCGGCGGAAGTGAAAGGAAAGGGGAAGGGGAAGCCGGAACAGCAGCAGCTGCTGCCAAAGGAGGAGCAGAAGTTAGTTGAAATCTAAAGGGGGAAAGTAAGTGAGCTTATGGAGGTGCAATTATTCATTCATTTAGTTATTAGCCGCATTGTGGATAGGGAGGGAGACATTCTCGATCTGTTAGAACATACCGACGTATGCATGTACATGATATCGTTGTCACTTTGACAGGATACATGAGCTCAGAAAAATCAAATAAATTAAATCCGAGACGCGCACAACTCCAACCATGCTGGAGAGAAAATAAGAACACGGCAAAAGCCGCGCCTAGACACGTAGTCGTATACAGGAGACCGCCCCAAGACGAGAATAATCAGTCCTGTAGGCATAGGTATCTCAACTCTTCTCTTCCGAGAATCTCTTTTAACTTTATACAATTAGTTCACCCTAGAACATCCAGCCTTCCTGATGAACACCCTGAATCTTTTATCATCCGTCATAAGCTCCAATCAGCTCTAATTTCCTTGGTCTTTCGCCCTAGCTTGAGACTCGATTTAGAAAGACATCTCCTTCTTGATCTCGGCAATGGCCAAGCCTGGGTTCAGACCCTTGGGGCAAGTTCGGGTACAGTTAAGGATGGTGTGGCATCGGTACAGACTCATTGAGTTGTCAAGGGCGGCTTTGCGCTCCATCTTCCTCTCGTCTCGGGAATCAGCTAGCCAGCGGTACGATTGCAGGAGAATGGCGGGGCCCAGATATTCTTCAGAGTTCCACCAGTACGAGGGGCATGATGTGGAGCAGCAAGCGCAAAGAATGCATTCGTATAGACCATCTAATTTTCTGCGCTCGGCTTTGCTCTGTCGGTATTCTTTTCCCTGTTGAATATAACCATTAGTATAACCAATTAAGAAAGGAGTAGTGACATGTGGCGACGGAAGTCTTTATGACGTACATCAGGTGCTGGCGTATCTCTCTGAAGATACGGCTTAATGGACTTGTATTGCTTGTAGAAATGCGTCAAGTCAGGGACTAGGTCCTTGACGACGTAGGTGTGGGGTAGCGGGTAGATTTTCAACTCGGCGTTTGTTTCTGTGGGAATACGGCCTGTTGACAGCTTATGTTAGTCGCATGTCTATGTTGAGTGATTAATTCTCTTCATTATCACATGTCACCTACACAAGCATGCCAAGGTATTTGTTCCGTTAATGTTCATGGCGCAACTACCACAAATGCCTTCTCTGCAGCTTCTGCGGAACGTCAATGTCGGGTCGAGTTCGTTCTTGATTCTGACTAGGGCGTCGAGCACCATGGGACCTGTCTTGTTCAGATCTAACGTGTATGTTTGCATTCTTGGCTTCTCCGTGGGGGTGTCAGGATTCCATCGATAGATTTGGAAGGATTTCATTCGCGAGTCGTTGCTTCCTTTTGGATTTGCTCCGATGGTTGATTCACCTAAAGATGCCATTGATCTCACGAATACTGAAGGAAGTATCGTTGAGCGTGGCATGGAGGTGGAGGCGAGCAGCCGCGACGACGTAGAGCGTAGAGCTGCCATTGCGGGCGAATCCGGAAATTCGGTGCTATAATAATTGCTTGTGTTAGGAGTGGGATGAATACCAGGATAAAATAAGTGTAGAGAGGTTTTTAGAAAATTATTCTTACCAGAGGAGGCTAGATACGTGGCGTAGGCAATTGAATGCTTAAGAGTTCAAGGTTGTAAAGAAAAATAAAGAATCGTGGTGAGTAGAAGGTTTAATCCTACCATCATCGATCTTTCCCACCTGGGCACTTTCTACTTTCCACTTTCCACCCGACCCGATTTGCCCTCGGCTATTGGCATGACAGGTTCCGGCCAATCACATGTATTCAATTAATCAACTCATCCGGCCCATCTTTAATTCCGGGCTTTAACATGCGGATGGGTCCTTCCATCACGCCGCATTTAAACTGTGCTGGTGACTAGTAAGTCAAAGCCACATTTCCGGTAGTTAAATTCAGAGAAAATGCAGCATGTGCGATGAGTGTCAACAGTAGTTACTGTGAAGCACTGTTACATCTAGTTCATCTAATTGGCTGAGAAGTACAGTGCTTTACTGTGTTTATAACCCTACTTCGCACATGATGCATTTTCTCTAACACTATTCTGATAGGTACTGGACCTATCTCAGATAAACCCGATTAACTCACATGCTAGGCAATCTGAAGCAGACCAATAGTCGACGACATAATTGATATCATTCAACGGCCAATGATTAACGCGCAATATCCATTACATTTCATTTACTAACATCGAAATTCCGGGCCCTTTGAGCCTTCAATAAACAACTAATACACATAACCTCTTGAAAACGGGTTGACTCATGACAACAACTAATGGCAAAATAGATACATACCTTTTCATTGTTCATGTGAATCGTTCAGACTGTCTAGACCCCAATATTTCTAAGCGAGACCTGATTGCGCTGCATGGGTATGAAATCCTCGTTTAGGTAGCCCATCGCCTCCTTCATATTGAGTCCAATATAGGAGAATTTCCTTGATTTCCTTTTTAGGTCGCCTGAGGAGAAAGACTATCATGTTCGTCTTTGCTCTTTCTAAGCACCCTTCTACGTGATATATAGGTGTACCATTTCGAGACAACTCAGACTTCCCGGGAGGCCAACTGAGCGAATTGCTCCTGCCACTGAGACTTGGGTGCGGAAAACATTACATCATCAAAAATTACGTTTCGGAAGGTGGACAAAATTCTCGCGATGGCACTTTTGAGATGAAAAAAGTATAGGTTACAGCTGCCAATCCTGAGGCTGGAGAAATACGTAAGATCTGGTGAAGCGAATTCTTAAGAAGAGAACCCTTTTTGAGTCGTAGTAAAAGGAGAGCTCCCATTAGTTAAAATATCTAAAAGTGGATTATATATGTAAAAGTCGAAGGTTTGAAGAAGGCGAGATTCGAACCGTTGCTACTGCTACTTTGTTTAAAACTGCCTAGGGTACCTGATAATATGACGTCAAAAGAAGGTACAGATCACAAGAAATAACTTGAATGGGCTATTTTCAAATTAAAATTTATGCCAAGCGCAAATCTACATATGTAGGCATTCGCAGGTTATTTGAAGCTGATGGAAAGAACATATTACTATCAAATATTCTTCTGCTGTGGTACATACATAACTTAAGTACGATACGTAACACGTGCCGCAACTACGTAACTAATACTACCATGTACCTATGTACATGCATGTATGTCTACTAGGTATTAAACTCACGTGCAACTGCCCAGCTAACATTTATCAATTTTTTAATACCAGGCTGTATTTGCCTCAACATAGGTAAGATATATTGTACCTATAAATCAATTCTTGCAGACCAATGAATTACTAATGGATGAGACTCGTCAGCAAGGTTAGGGGTATAGCAATAAACACAAAAATTTACCGTCTGTGGCCGCTGATGGAAAGCCACCTCCTTGATCTGAACAACAATGCTCTCGATGATACATAATGGAGTACCATTAAGGTCTTTTATGTTGACCCAGGCCCAACTGAGGCCTTCTCACCTATTTTCACCTCTCTTACGGCAAAAGAATCACTGTATGCGTGCCTTTTCTGCACAGCCTATTCTATGGTCACAAGAACCAAAGCCACCAGCAGGCTCTGCGCGCAAATTCACATATCATGTTGCCGCCTCGTTTACTGCCAAACATAAGAACTTCGATCCGGCGACAAATGTGTTCCACTTCAACCCTTATAATCACATTCAGCCACAGAAGAAACGCCCCAAATCGAAACGCCCAGCTAGTGGGCAAGATGCCTTCTTCATAAGCCGCCTAGGTGACACAAATGCGGTAGCATTTGGCATCGCTGACGGTGTGGGAGGCTGGGAGAACAGTGGGGTTGATCCTGCAGATTTCTCGCATGGCTTCTGCGACTATATGGCCTCGGCAGCATACGAACACAAACCAGAGACGGGCGCGTTGCCGCTAACACCTAGAGCGTTGATGCAAAGAGGATACGACGATGTATGCAAGGATGGTTCTATCGGCGCAGGGGGTTCTACAGCATCTATCGCTATCGCTAGTGAGGATGGCCATCTGGAAATAGCCAACCTAGGCGATTCAGGGTTTGTGCATCTACGCTCGAATGCTGTACACGCATATTCGGAACCGCAGACTCATGCCTTCAACACACCATACCAGTTATCCATCGTACCAGCCAGTATGCTCGCACGCGCTGCAGCGTTTGGCGGGGCTCAACTGTGTGACAATCCCAGAGACGCCGACGTCACACGACACACATTAGAGCACGGCGATGTTCTCATCATCGCGAGCGACGGACTGTGGGACAATCTTTTTAATCAAACCATACTACGCATATCTAGTCAGCTGATGACTAGTGTTGGCGCTTGGAAGAAAAGTGATGGTGGTGTACTGGTTGCCGATGACTTGAAACAATTCACCCAAAACCAAGACTCGACTACACAACAGCCGCTAACACTCCAGAGTGCACTGGCAGTGCATATTACGAATGCTGCCAAATCAGCCAGCATTAATGGGCGAACTGATGGGCCATTCGCTAAGGAGGTTCAGAAATATTATCCTCAAGAGAATTGGCATGGTGGCAAAGAAGACGACATCTGCGTGGTGGTGATGATTGTATCCGAGGATGGGAAATCCGAAACGATAAACAGCAAACTATGAGACTGCTACAAACATCAATGAAAATGGAGTCATGAGAACAATATGACATAGATCACTTGGTGTCAGAGAAGGCGAGAAAAGGACTATTAGAACCGTCAAGCAAGTCCTCATAAGTTGGTGTGCATAGCTGGCGTTGCATGCAAATATGTAGATTCTAGAGCTCACGCCGAAGAAAAGAAGATAATATGGAATAAAATAAAATCAAAGTAGAAATAGAAATAAAATGAGAGATCATATAATATTCTTCATTAACAGAGATTCATAGAAACCATATTCATAGATGCTAGTAGTCTAATGTATGTCATCCATATATGCTTACATAGAGCACTTACAGTAAGGTATTCAATGTTGTTAACAACATTCCCTACATGGGTGAATTAGTTCAAATGTTACTACTAGGTATTGTACCTAGTAGGTAACTAATAGCCCTGGAGTATTTAGGGTAGGTACCTACAGTACATGTAGGTATCCTAGCTTCCCCCGCATGGATGTGCCTGGGTCTAGGTGGGGCTATGACCCACATGTTCGACGCCTCTCAATTCCTTGGCCTTACACTGCAATTGCAAACTTCGACAATCCACTTCCATTAGTTACTATTTTTTAATTTCTACTCACCTACCTAACATTTGAACCTACTTACACCTACTTACTTTGGGTGCACACGACTTATACCGTGTCAGTTCATCTTCAGCATAGGTAGTTCAGAAATTCAATAACGCGACAATGGATAACACTGTCGCGCCATCGGAAGAGGCGCTCCTACATGATTCTCTTACAGTCTCCATTGATGGATCCTTGCCAATCATAGATCCCACTCAACACTTTGACATCGATGATCCTCCACACATTCCAACAAACTTTTCTGAGGATACCTCAACTGATACCACTGCTACTAGTAGTTCAGGGGGTAGCTTGAAGCGTGCCAGACCACACGACGAGCCTGACGATGGTTGGCAAATGGTTGAAAAACGCTCTTCCAAGAAACCAAAAAAGGAAAAGAAAGTTCCTGCGCCCAAGTCGACTAATTACCCTTCTATCACATTCAATCATAATGCCAAGCTCCAGTCTAAGATTGCTCTTGACTCACTACGAAACCTCATCCTCTATATCTTCGCCGAAGGGAATGCCCCCCAATGGGTCGCAATCTCTCAACGACCACAATTTAGAAAGATTGTTACAATAATGGTACCAGGATTGGAAGAGGCTATGTTCAAGCAGAATGTGGACTTTTCCACGTACAATGATCAGCCCTTTGAGCTAGATCAAAAGTCCCGCGTCTTAACATCTCCCGACGACTACTACCCGCGACTCCTGAAGAGAGATGAGCTACCCGAAATTCTCAAGGATTTCGCCGATATGTTCCCCCATCTCTGGCCAGTCAAGACTCCCGGAAATGAGAAATATGGCACCATACGCTCGCCATTAGGCACTATGCTTACGGTGCCGATTGAGAAGTCTAAAGAAGAGAAGGGCCACAGGGGTGTCCAGCCCGCGAAAGACCCCAAAGGCTGGAAAGATGAGCGTACCCGAATAACCGAATTTATTGCCATGCCAGAGGATCTTCAAGTAAACGGGTACGTTTTGCATCCAGCCTGCGTACCAGCAGAGCGGCGCAAGCACTACCGGGCACCCGAAGGTTGGGTATACACCAATGTAGTGAACCTTGAGGACGGCGACGTCCCAGAAGGGGAGATACAACAAGGGAGTGTGACGGCGGGCCGAGAGGTTCTCGCACTTGACTGTGAGATGTGTATGACAGCCCCCGACGAATTTTCTCTCACGAGAATTAGTCTGGTAAATTGGGACGGGACTATCATTCTCGACCAACTTGTCAAGCCTAACAAGCCCATCGTGGATTATGTAACGCAGTTCTCAGGCATTACGGAGGAAATGTTGGCTACGGTGACCACCACGCTTGAGGATATACAGACGAAGCTTTTAGAGATTCTTCATCCACGCACTGTCCTTGTAGGACATTCCTTGGAGTCAGACCTTAAAGCCCTACGACTCACGCATCCTTTCATTATCGACACCTCCATACTATTCCCCCACAACAGAGGACCTCCGTTGAAGAACAGCCTCAAATTCCTAACACAGCGATTCCTCAGGCGCGAAATCCAGAAAGGTATTGCCGGACATGATTCGATAGAGGACGCAAAAGCGTGCTTGGATCTTGTCAAGCAGAAATGTGAGAAGGGAAAATCATGGGGGTGCCACGAATCGCAAGGGGAGAATTTGTTTCGACGATTGACCCGGGCTGGCAAAGCTTACCGAGCTAATGGTGGAGTTGAGGCTAAGGGAGGTGCCCAAGTCGCGAAGACGAGCGCTATGATTGATTGGGGTGATCCAACTCGGGGTGCTGGATCGGCTTCAACTTTTCCTATTGGGTGTAACTCGGACGAGGAAGTCATGGAAGGTGTTCTACGTGCTGTAAAGGGAGACCCTGTTGGAGAGGAGATACCGTTTGGAGGTGTCGACTTCGTCTTCGCTAGATTCCGCGAATTGGAATCATTTCAGGGGTGGTGGGGTCGAAATGGCGACCTGGCACCCCCGGACCTTTCCGAAATGTCCCTTGAGTCCTGTGTCCAGAATCTTGCTCGGCGCATCAAGCACATCCACGAATCGCTTCCTCCATGTACGGGATTCATTGTATTCAGTGGATCCGGCGACCCACGCCAAATGGCCCAACTACAGGCTCTACAAACCCAGTTCAAGAAGGAGTATAACACACCTGGTAGCAACTGGGACGAGCTGAGTGTCAAATGGACGGATAGAGAAGATCATGATTTAAGGAAAGCTGTTGGAATTGCCCGGAACGGTATTGGGTTTATCGGCGTTAAATGAGGGCATTTCAATTTACAACGGAGATATAATGATGCGTCCCTAGGTAGGCATGCTACCGCGATAGGGTGTGGGATGAAAGGTGGTTAGGAGTACCTATGAGATACGAGCTATGATCGTGATTTTACATCGGGATTATGAGATACCCTAGGGCTATTTTATATATTTAGAGATCAATGATGTTAGGTTAGGGATATATACTATGTAGTACCTACTTACATACCCACCCTAGGTATAGTTATTAGTAGGTGCTATGTAGGTAGATATAAGCCTAAGTAACACAGCTCAACAAAACGACCATGTGGTCCTAATACTAATGGTATTTGTTACTCTCCTACTCATCGTCCAATACATAGTATTGATTGCCATGAACCACCTGTATATGATTCACGCCTGGGCAGACATCAAACCATGGCAAACATACTTACCGTAGGTAGGTAGGTAGGTATACATACCCTAGGTACCTAGGTATACATGCCTAGTGGTAATATTTAATGGCCTTGACCTGACCACGAGTGTGTCGCGCCTTCCTTCTCTCGTACCTGCCGCCATCTCTTACCTACCTACCCTATGTGCCTGCCTAATATAAGGTATTGCCAGGTAGGCTAAGGAAGGAGCCTTCTAACTCATTAGGGGTGGAGAAGAAAGGGGAGGGGGCCCTGCCTCTTGCCTCTTGCCTCTTCAAACCTTCACATAACATTCACATAACATTCACATAACCTTCCAACTCCATCTTTTCTGTTATGCAGGAACCCGTCCTACTCCATCAATATTCCAACTCCACATCAACCATTTGATCATGATGGAGTCAGTAGCCTATACCTGTCTCAAATGCGCCCAAGTCCTAGGCCAGAGTCCCAACGCGTGGATCAAGATTGGCAAAGCCTACATGAGTCCCGTCACTGGCAATGAAAACATGAATCTTACATTTATAGGCCCTCGAAAGAAAATGGAAGATAAGACTTTGCTAGATGGTTGGTGAGTATCGATTTCCATATACTTATGTGTGAAGTAAGACTAACATGCTTGTTAGCGAGGTCCAGAACATAGCGTGTAATGAGTGCAATGCCCTGATTGGATTCGCCTGTCTCAAGACCCCGACCAACTATGCTCTTCATGAGTAAGTCTCAGCTCGCATAATATTTATCTGAGAACAGTAAACTGATCGTTTTAGTTCCAAAACATTCCTACGACTCGACTCCGTGAGTTTCAATCCTTTGAATCAGGTTGGCCCTATCAAACCCAACATTCAGAGGAAGCTCAGACTCGAAGAAATTGTATCACCACGCACTAGAACTGATGCAAGCTCATCATCTCGTTATGAGTATGACTTGAGATTAACGCGGAGAGAGGTGGAAGAAATGAGGGCAGCAATGATCTCTATCAGGGAGGAAGTGAGAAGTGTCAGGGAGGGAGTGAAGGACATCATCCAGGAGTTCCGAAACTCATTACAAGAGTTTTGAAACGACAAACGACTCTGTGTTCCTAACACGAGAAATCAAGATACTTACGACTGCCTTCACTCATATTGACCAGAAAATGAGCAAAGTTGAGACCTTACAATGCGACGTTGAGATTTTAACACGGGCGTTGATTTGAGCACCGCTCCAGGTATACTAGCAACCATAGTACAATACCACAATCTAGCTTTCCCAAGAGTCACAATCTGATGAATTCGCACTTTAGTAGAACTCAGAAACCATGTGCTGAAGCGTCAGGTACCTAGTACCTATAGAGGAGGAAGAAATTCATGTATACCTAGGGACCTATATAGTAGACTAAGTGCCAAACTCAGCATCCATAACCTCCAATGCAAGCCCAGCCAGTGCTTTGATTGGATCCAGAACTGCAATATCAAAGATACGCCTCTCCTCCTCACCATCAGGGTTCGCCGAGAAAGCGTCGATCAAAGCGTTGATTTGCTCCCGTCCCGGCAGACTCTCTATATCATCCAACAAGCCCTTTGCCTCGCGGTACACCTGCCACTCCGTCGAGTGCGCCGCCGGGCAGTGGTGGACCACTATCCTCAGTATGACCTGGCACATCGTCGCCTGGTCGATCCCGTCCAGCGCCTCGAACACCTTCGTCTCTATCTTTGCATCCCTCCCAACCAACGTAGAAGAAGGGTCGATGGACGCCGTGTTCGCCAGGAGCTTCGCGATCACGAAGAGCCGCTTTACCCGCGGCTCGTAGAACGGCATCGGCCCCTTGTACGGGTCGCTGTGCAGGGCGAGGAAGCTCGCGATCGTCAGCCCGCTCGCGAATTTCCCCCGCATGCTGAAGTAGAGGCTCGCTTCGACGAGGACTGAGGCGAGCGGCTCGATGGCGAAGAGCCCGGCCATGCGCAGCGCGCCGCACAGCTTCCAGCGCCGCGTCAGCTCGCCGGTCCGCTCGGGCGCGGTTATCTGCTCGGAGCAGAGCGGGTAGATCTCCTCGACGTTTTGGCGGAGGAGCGAGTTCGAGTGCAGGGATTGCTTGATGGGGGGGTGGCGGAGAAGGTCGAGGTCCGGCACGAGGCTGAAGGCGTTCAGGGGCAGGTGCGGGTACTGCTGGCACACTTGGTACACGTCGAGATCGTCCGTGCAGCGCGGGCAGGCGCAGTCGAAGTGGTACCGTGTCTTGAGGGATGTCTGCCGTTGCGAGCGGTGGAGTGTGCAGTCTGGTGATGCGGTTAGCAACTTCACAGAGTAACCTACCTAGGAAAAGGTTTCCCCCTCCCCCTCCCGCCCCCTTTCCTTTTTTTTTATTTACTTATCGCTTTGATGTGTATCTTCTGCGCCCTGTTTTGGAAGGCTTACCGATATAGGAGATCTCAATCTCTTCGCCCGCTTTGATGTCCTGGAAAGCGTGGAGCATGGCGTTGCGCCCGACGAACTGCACAAAGGCGTTCGGCACACAGGAGTGGTTCACCATCGCCAGCGCGGGGTTGATGTAGATCCCGCTCTGCCCTAGGTCGGTGTCTAGGCGGTTGAAGGAGTTGACGCGTAGCTGTTGTTGATGGGGGGTGTTAGCACTATCATACACATACATATATGTGCATGTTTACAATGCTCCTTAGATTTGGGGGTGGGGGGGGGGGATAATGGCGATGACGATAGTCCACTACTAACATCCCCAATATCACCTAAAAGGAGAAACACGAAAAAAGGAAAAGCGAACAGAAAAAACTCACCTTACACAACACGTCCACCGCCTCGGCGACTTTCTCATCACTCTCCTCCTCCACCTCCATCTCCCCCTTTCCCCCCTCCTTCCCCTTCCCCTTCTTCTTCTCCCTCAAAAAATGCAGCGCCGCCCGCGCCTGCAGCTCTATATCCCCCCACGTCTCCGGGTCCGCCTCCTTGAGCTCCTGCGCATGGCTCTCGAGCCTATCGCCGGCGAACGCGGCCAGGACGTCCCGTCGCAGCAGCACTTGCAGCAGCGCGCGCGTGGGGGTGGGCAGGGTGCGCAAACCACCACCACCGCCACCGCCACTATCATCGGTGGTGGTGGTGGTGGCAGTATTTAGCTCAGAAGCGCGCACCCGCCGGAACGCCTTGCACTCGCCCTTCCCGTGGGCCAGCGCCCAGTCGAGCCGCTGGCACGCCGGCGTGCAGTAGTGCGCGGTGCGGCACCCGGAGCAGGCGCGCATGGGCGTGGGGGAGGAGGGGAGCGAGGGGAGCAGGCAGTAGCTGCATGTCTGCGCTAGGTGCGGGGTGTCGGGGAGCACGACGCTGGGGGACGGGTCGAGGAAGGTGGCGATTAGGTCGCCGGGCCCGAAGGCCCGGGTCGTGAGGACGGAGCGGCCGCGGGTGGTGGGGGTTGCGGCGCCTAGGGTTAGGCCTGGTGGGAGGGTGGCCATGGTTTTTTTTGGGGGGGGGGTGGGAGGGGAGGGGAGGGGGATGTTCTTGGCGGACTTGCTGGTTTCCTGTGTAGGTAGATTACCTAGGTAGGGGTATATTGATATTGGTGTGGTGGCCCAAGGTCCAAAAACATACAGGTAAGATGGAAGGAAATAGGTTTGGAGATGATTTGGAAATATTTCTTAAGCTATTTACTTGCTGGAATGTGTGGGTCTGCGCCATGGAGGGCCGTCCCGTAGTCCGCGTTCCTCGCCGATCCGTGACGGGGTATCTATCTACTAAGGTTAGGTAGGTTAGTACAATAGGAGCCATCCACGGATATTATATCTTCTTCAACTAAACTTATTGTGTAATCATTACTTTGGCTCTTTGAATAACCGGATAGGTTTCGTAGAATTAAATACTTGTAATCGCGAAATATATATAAAATATATATAAATCAGGCAAGTCAATGCTCCGTCTACTTTTCGACGAAGCGATCAATCAGTCAGCAAGTGCTCGTTACACCATTAACCCCACGCTCGAAGTCCCTTACAGCTGAATAAAATGGGAGAGATGATATCTCATTCGGTATGACTCATCAAGGGAGTGCAACGTTTCGGGTTTATTGCGAAGAGGAAAGTATAATTATCTGCCTTTTCTTTGTCTGAGGTATTGCCGCTGCTATATATATTCGTCTTACATTGTTCGTAGTATTGCTCTAACCTGAGGTGTTCTTCCAATAAGAATCAATGATTTCGTGTATTTAAATATTAAAAAAAATCGAAAGCATGCCACTGGAACTCCAACCCGCCACCGAAGCCGACGCCGGACGCTCCGTCGACATCGAGCGTGCGGCGTATGCTTTGAACCCGCTCACCAGGATCCTGTTCCCCGGCCCCTTTCCAGCCACGGCGGCAGACGATCGCGCCAAGCTGCTGACCACGGAGCTGAAGAGCGACCCCACCACGCGCTGGTTCAAGGTCGTCGACCCGGAGCTCCCGGAGGCCGAGCAGATGGTCGCCTTTGCCAAGTTCCACGTCTTCACCGAGCGGAAGCATCCGGCGCCGCGGTCGTTCGGCCCCGGCTGCAATGTCGAGGCGTGCGAACTGCTGTTTAGTTCCATTGCGAAGCTGAGGGAACGCACGCAGGAGCATGAAGATGGGTCGTACATATGTAAGTACCCGCGTATTTCATAAGCGTGCGTAAACCTGGGTTACCTATGTGAAAGGGGAGAGTTGAGGTAAAACAGTACCTATATAGACGGATCCCCCTTCTAGTACCTGTTTATATGTCAAGATTATAGTGGCACTAACATGAAAAGACTTTCATCTCCTGCACGCCGACCCAAAACACCAAGGCCGCGGCGCCGGCGGCATGCTAGTGAAACGATGCATAGAGGAGGCGCGGAAGCTGGGTGTTACGGCATACCTGGAGGCTACCGAGGCGGGCCATGCTGTTTATAAGAAGTACGGCTTTCGCGATGTCGAGTGCCTGTCCCTCGACTTGAGTAAATGGGGACTCGCGGAGTTGGCTAATTACTGGTCGATGGTTTATGATCCGCGTGAGGCTGTTGAGGGTGAGGCGGATGTATGAGGGTTTTATACATCCGATATACATACTATTATTTATAACAACTTGAGAACTATATGTATATGAAATCAGTTGTTTACCTAGTTACCTTGGAAAACGAACAACATGGAAATCATGGATGGATCATCGCTTGTTTGTCCTCATGAATACCTACATAACTCCTATATGCGTGCTAGCGGGGCCATCAAGTGTAATCCAACATATATGCATCTAAGGGAATAGATCTTCGTATTTTCATCCTTATCCCCTATAGCTAAGCTCATTCTTAATAGTGATCTCTTCATTTCTGGACATAAAAAAACAAATAAAAACTTCCTGTCATTTGAACCTAAGATAGGTACCTCAATATTTGATCTGCTGCTTATTTCATCCAACTAACTATTCAGATCCTCTGTGCTGCCAGCCCCACCTCCGCATCATTTATGCACCCACCCGTTTTGCGTCATCATCATCATCATCATCATCATCCTCATCACAACACCTACCTAGGTATACCTACCTACAGCCACCACCAACCTTTTCCTTCCTCTTTCCCTTTTTAAAAACCCTCATTTTATTACACCCACAATGCTCTCATCCCTCTGGAAATCACCCGCACTCGCAGCAAACATGCCCCCGCCAACCAACACCGAAAAAGAAGACCCCCCCGCCCCCCTCGTCAGCTCCTGGCGCGCCCGCGCCGACGCCGGCGAGCCCGTCGCCGTCGTCCGCGTGCGCAACCTCCAGGGCGGCGCCATCGCCATCGGCCGCGACGCGTGGGGGCGCCCGGGGCGATTGCAGCCCGTGCTGTTGTCGTCCGAGGTCTCGTTTGCTGCGCCCTTTGCCGGCTCGGATGGGGCTAATGGTGGTGGTAGTGGTGGTGGTGATGATGGTAATGGTGGCGGCGGCGGCGGCGGAAACTCCGGGGTCGCGGATAAACTCGATGCGGGGACGGTGCACTACGGGACGCTGAGCCAGACGCTGCTGGGGAGTCTGGAGATGTGGAGCGCAGGGCAGAAAAGTGCAAGGGGAGGGGGGGCGGTTGCTGCTGGGGAGGTGGTGGGGGGGGAGGGAGAGGAGAAGACGCCGCGGACGGCGGACGTCTGCGAGCTGCTGTGGGTGCGCATGACGGGGCGCGTCGTCGACGGGAGCCGCGTCGCGCTGCCGCCGGACCAGCTGCCCGTGCTGGACTTTGCGAAGCTCCGCTCGCTGGCGCTGACGGTGTCGCTGCCGAAGGCGTCGCTGCTGGGTGCGGGGGTCAGTCTGACGACGACGGCGAGTTTTAGGGAGGGCGTGCCGAGGGATGATAAGAGGGGGGGTGATGGCGGGGGTAAAGATAAGGAGAAGGAGAAGGAGAAGGAAGGGGAGGGGGGCGAAAAGATGAACAGCAAAAACCCGCTGCGGTCGTATGCCCGCAGCTTGAGGATACAGGGGCTGCATGTCCCGACGCTGATCGGGGTGAACGCGAATGAGCGCAAGGCGAAGCAGATGGTGGTTGCGGATGTTGAGATCGATCGCTTCGATGTGGTGGATGATATATACAGTGATATTGAAACGTTGATTGTCGAGGTGAGTTTTTTTTTCATGCACATTACTGAGGAGTTGGTGCTTACATATATCCGTATAGACAATGGAGGCCTCTTCCTTTGAGACGCTAGAGGCCCTGGCGACCCAGCTGGCGAACAAAATATTGTTGGACTTCCGCATAGGCGATAACCCAGCGCCTATGAAGGACCGAGGCTGGCAAGTCAAGGTCTGTCTGGAAAAGCCCATCGCCGTGCCTTTCGCAGAGTGTCCTTCTGTGGAGGTGAGGATGGGGCCGTGATTAGGGGGTTGAGTATCTGGTTAGGTATAATGACATGGTACACGGCACATGTAGTCGAAATTACAAGGCTCAGGCGAGTTCTGCTACCGTATTCACATTTATTCTGTACTAATATTCTTGCAGGACGTTTCAACACATAGGCAATTTTTGAATGAGTTCAGCACACGGCCTGGGGTAAAAAAAAAGGTAAAGGGCGGATCTTGAAATATGAACAGCACTGCTTTCTCTGTGGCCTTTGGAAAGGCTAGGAAGTGGTTTATCTATATCAAAGTCCTTTAAAGTCAGTTCATGATAAGCATTATTCGCTATAGGCCCATGATGGGCATTGAGAAGACCAAGTGCCGAGCGCACTTCGGCTTTCATTGAATGGTACATACATTCACCCCTAGTTCCTACCGTAAACGCAGTGAAATGTCAACTCCTCCTCTCAACAGTACCGTGTGGAACGAGTCTCTTGTGCTTATGATAGCTATAGAGATGCATTAGGCTGTATTATATGAGAGACTGGTAACATCTAAAGACCGTCCTCCACAGATATTAGGTATACACTATCTATCTATTGGTCTATGATAAAACTTGGGATCGTGTCACTTAATAGACTGAATATCATGCTACACCTGGCGGCAGTAAGGAACGTCTCCATGAGTGATCTCTTCGACAAATTTAGGATCCGGCTCAAGAAGCATGACGTGGAAGTGCTCTACAGCATGAACGGACTTCAGCGACTTCCAATTCTTGAACCAGATATACTATCCCGGGCCTCTTAGCGCGAACGATATAAGAAAGAAGGAGGTAGGTAATGATAATTCCACTTACACGATCTCTTGGCACCTGGCACCCAAACGTCTTCTGCACGTACTGATCAATCTCATCCCGAGTCTCGTCGGTTATGTCGCCTGTGGCAGGGTCTTCGGGGAGTTCGAACTTGGTCCAGACGACGAGATGGACTATCCGATCATCAATGCCGTATGGCCAGTCGTTCCACAAGATCGTGATGTCGTCGTCGTCAAACTCGAACGGCTTGCCCCGAGGCGTCACGGGTGCCTCCCAGCGCAGCCGCTTGTCCAGGACGAACTTCATGATGCTCCCGTAGTCCCGCTTCAGCTGCCAGGTGTACTCGAGATACCGGCGGAGGTGGGACGGGATGCGGCGGAACGCGCCCAGCCGGTTGTCTGCCACGATCTTCTGGACCTCGGGCCAGGTCGCGACGTGATACTCGGAGTCTGGCGTGCCGATGATGCCCTTGTCTTTTTCACTCAGGCTGCGAAGAAATTCTGGGCACTCTTCGGTCCGCTTGTCTTCGGGTATGTTCATATGCCAATATGGCAGTTTATCGACACTCCCCATCTTGGTGTTTTGGGGGTGAGGTACCTAAGGCAGGTACAGTGGGATGGAGGGTGGGATTAGTGTGGCTCTTGGCCACCGGGGCGGGAATTGGTGGAATGTGATCAAGCGAAGTGAGAAGGATGGGTGGGTAGATAGGTGTGTGCTAAGAATAGCTAGCTAGTACTTAGATTAGCTACCAAGATCGGCTATGTACTAAGATCCGCAAACCTTCAATGCTGCCTTTTTTCGGGGTAATATTGTCAATATTGTCGTCGCTAATGATAAGCCAGGTACCTGCGGCTTGCCTAGTACCTAGAAGTAGTGCTTAGGTGCTCAAATTGAGGGCAAATGTAGAATTCGTTTGTAGGCCTAACACGAAGTCCTGTTCCGCTTCTGGAATAGGAGGGCTGACGTTGAAGCAACCTTGGAGCTTGGGACTCGATAAGATTTAGTCTCCGTCAATAGGAGTAATCATTTTCAGGGGGAGCTACTACTAGGTATGACTGCTGGCTGGCTGGCTGGCTACATAGTAGTGACTGCAGACGGAGTGGTCAGCCGCAAAATGCTGTGAGATGTGAATAATTAAAGTATGTATTGTAGCAGTCTGTAGCAGAAGTGGAGCATAATGCACGAAGGCGCTTGTCAAATAAGAGCGTGTAACGTATTTGTTGCTACAGCACCTAGTAGGAAACTGCAAACGCTATCGCGGGATCATCCGACGGCTTCTCGGAAAGAATGATGGGCATGAGATGGTAGTTATGTAAAGTAAATCGTAGATATAACATGATATGTACGTAAACCGACCCGAGACATTATGCACCTACACATGTAGCTCTGAATATCTAAAAGGGGCTACTGACGCTACATACATCTACAGACATCTTTGAAACATAATCCTGTGCTACATACAGATATGTATGCAACTTCAGCTATGTTACTTACCTAGGTACACATCTACATCACATATAATACAGTTGGCCAAGTGCGGCTCTTATTCGAGTCGTGGAGGCGTCGATCTCAGCTAGCTACCTGGTAGCCAACCTACTTACCCTGTAGGTAAGAATAAGAATTCTATCAAATATGTACATATCAAAGGCTGCTTACATCCCATGTCCCGCAACCCCCACGTGGAAATCTTCTGACTATCTATTTGCTACAATTTTGACGTGGCTGACTCGTCACTTAAATCTCATTTAAATCTTCGACTTCACGAAAAATAATAAAACCTGGAGCTGGCCATCTTTACATTCAGGTCTCTACCTACCACCCAACCTAGTACCTGAACTAGTAGATACTACGTACCTAGGTAGGATTGCACCCCCTGTCGGTATACACATACATACATGTAATTGCCCGAGTGCTCAGGCGGGGATATCGTGCCTTCTTCGGCTGACAACTTCAAATGTGAGGGCTTTCACGGCCTTTACTGGATGCTTATAGTTGAATTTACGTACCCAAGCTAGGCAAGATACAGTGACCAGAAGATTTTGGTTAGGTACACATATCCAAATGGATTGCTCCAGAACTAGAGGTTCATTTAATTCCCGCCGTATTCGAATGGAGTTCATATATTGGATGAACCAACAAGTTGCAGTGGAGAGAATGGTGCCCTAACTGTTGAGATATTTAATACCGGTATCGCGGTTTCATCAGTTGGCAATTGCTTAGCTTTCGCCAGCGGTATTCACTACCGAGTCTTAACGAAGCTATTGGCTTTTCAAGTCGGGGATTGCGCATGTACGCAGAAAACAACTAGATTATTATCGGTGGCTTTTGAAGGTCGACTTTAGGACGGACTAGAAACAAGGCGACGATAATATCCACCCACGCGAGTCCAGTCGGTCAGGCTAGACCTTCATGGTGGATGCCAGCCTAAGCCACTTCTCGTCCCACCCTCCCTTCATGGGTGGTCAAACGGAATGGTGTAAAAAAATGACAGGTCTTTTTGAGAGCATACAATATATGTCAGTATATCTGCCCTTACTTTAAAAGGAAGTTTCTAGATTTTATCTATATCCGCAAATGTATAACTAGACGGAGCAAATATATAGATGAACATTAAAATGTGCTGCCCCCCCTTTTTACATAAGTGCCAACATTGACCACTTATGTAACATGAAGGCACTGGTACTTAATACCTAGTAACTACATGTATTATTTCACTTTGAGATCTCCCATCGGTGTATCGTGGAATAGGTGACCGCACCGGCTTGAAGCCGCGTATTCTGTTGGTGGATGCTTTAGCCGCTTAGCTTAGCTTAGCAGGGTCTAGCCCGCGCCAACAAATACCATATGGGTCCTAGCCCGACGTTACTTGAAGGGGGTTTTTCGAAATGGATACTAGGTGCGCTCCATCTGCGAATGGAAATTCGTGGTCAGGTACAAGGAAAACATTATACACCGCATATCGAAGTTGTTGTACATACATACCTCCGCTTCATCGTGACCCCGGGAGGCAACAAGATAATCTCCTGGAGCTATTAGGTACTATCATTTTAAGGGGTTGGAAGGGGGACTAAATAAAAAGGGTAGATGGCGCCTTGCCCACTTTCAAGTTCAGTCTTGGTTTTCTTTTCGTCTTAACCTTTCTGACCGATTTGAATTGCAGATCGTTAGATATAGGGCATTGATTCACCAGGTAAGTTCTATCTTTTTTCTTTCTTTTTTTTCTCCCTATGCAACAGTGGATATATTGCCTGATTTCTTTTCGGTTCCCCGCTTGGATTTACATGTGATTAAAACGCTCTTTTTTTTGATAAAAAAAGGGGGGGGGAGGGGGGATAATCAACCTACTAAGCATCCAGTGCTACATATGTACTGTACCTCCCAGTGGCAGGATGAACATCAAAGACGGAAAAGAGATTTACATGGCTAGTTTCTATGAAACATTTCTTTTTGTGCTTGGTTGCAATTTATCTATCAGTCTATCTACATAGTATGTAGTAGGTGGTAATATAGTATATTCGCTATATTCGCTATATTCGCTTTATTATTAGCTTCGCTAGTGGCGGGATAGAATGAACATGGATAAGCATGGATAAGCATGGATGAGCATTGAGCATGGATTGGATGGAAAGGGACATGATGCCTGAAGGCAAAAAAAATGCACCAGGGCATCTTTTATAAACGCAAGCAACCTTGAGAAGCAGGGAAGGAACTTGCTCTGATTTAGTCCGCATTACGTCAATGGTGCATTTGGTGCATTTCACTGCAGGAAGTGAGCTAACCCCCCTTTTTAGGTCGAAATTCAAACGGTAGCTGTCAAAAAGCTCCGCCGCCAACCAATTTTACCCCGCCATCGCCCAAGTCTAAGACAAGGCATCGTCATTTCAACTTTTTTGCAAAACTGAATCTTAACCTCCTTTCTTTCTTTATCAAAAATAAAATTCAACAGCCAACAACTTCCATATAAATTCCTATCGAGGTCTGGAAGCTCAAATTCGACCATACAATCCATAAGAGATTTCAAGACATTCCACCCATATCACGAATACCATGGCTCAGGCTATCAAGAGCGCCTTACCTACCCACCTCAAGCCTGGAGGAAACTCGGACGCTGAGTTTATTGGCAGACATCATGGAAAGACTCGATCGCACATGGTGAGTACCTGAAACTCCATTCATTGACAAAAGCCCGTGCCTTCGGATTCCCTAGAAGCTCGGTGACCACCTGTCACCCTGTTCATGATTCTTTGTTGCCTCCCTTCCCTCCTTCTTCGCAACGATTTTACCCAAGCAAACCCGTGGTGTGTGTATGCCTCAGATCTCCGGGACGCATAATCAAGATAAGGTTTCGTCTATATGGTTACTAGACAAGATTCCTTTCATAGCTCTTGGATGAGAGCTCCGCCTGATTACCATATGGTATCAGAGAAGGATCGAGCCTCTGATTCATTACCACTTCCGTCAGACACCTTAGGTTGAGATTGTAATTACGAAAATTGGGATTTCTCTGATTTAAAGTCCCCATAAGAAAAGCTCCATGGCCGCTTTACACACACTTCTGGTTTTCCTTGGTCAATCATACCACATGTAGTTCTTTCGTCCACGACTAAACTGCAACATTTTCATTTCCTTTTCCTTTTCCCATTGCCAACTTACCACCTCACAAAATGTCGTCGTTACTAACTAATGATAACAAGGCCTTCGAGAATGCTTCGACCAACGTTGCAGCAGCGCAAATGCGCAACTCCCTGACCGAACTTGCTGAGACTGTCAAGGATCCAGATGAGAAGAGGGTAAGCTATCGAATGTACGAATATGCGTTACAACATACTAATAAATCCCTAATAGCTATTCGAAACCGAAATGGACAACTTCTTCGCTCTATTCCGCCGATACTTGAATGACAAAGCTAAGGGCAACGCTGTGTACGTATTAGCTATATCGTGACCGAAAAGCACATAGAAAGAAGCTAATATATTCTTGTAGCGACTGGGACCGCATTGCTCCCCCGGCACAAGGCCAGGTCGTCGATTATGAAGATTTAGCTAACTCCGAGTCGGTTGGATTTCTCAACAAGCTCGCCGTCCTGAAGTTGAACGGTGGTTTGGGTACATCTATGGGTTGCGTCGGTCCCAAGTCAGTCATCGAAGTCCGTGATGGCATGTCTTTCCTCGATATGTCCGTGCGACAAGTCGAGTACTTGAACCGAACTTACAGCACCAACGTTCCCTTCATCCTCATGAACTCGTTTAACACGCACGAAGATACCGCAGCTATCATTAAGAAGTACGAAGGACACAATGTCGATATCCTCACCTTCAACCAATCGAGATACCCGAGGATTCTGAAGGACTCCCTTTTGCCTGTCCCCAAGGACTTTGACTCGGCCATCAACGAGTGGTACCCTCCCGGACACGGTGATGTTTTCGAGTCTCTCTACAACTCTGGCCTCCTTGACAAGCTCATCGAGCGTGGCATCGAGATCATCTTCCTGTCCAATGTTGACAACTTGGGTGCTGTTGTGGACTTACGCATCCTGCAACACATGGTTGAGACTGATGCTGAATACGTCATGGAGCTGACCAACAAGACCAAGGCTGATGTCAAGGGTGGTACCATCATCGACTACGAGGGCTCCGTCCGTCTTCTAGAAATTGCCCAAGTGCCCAAGGAACACACCAACGAGTTCAAGTCGATTAAGAAGTTCAAGTACTTCAACACCAACAATATCTGGATGAACACCAAGGCGATCAAGCGCGTGGTTGAGAACAATGAGCTCGAGATGGAGATTATTCCCAACGGTAAGACGATCCCTGGTGACAAGAAGGGCGAGTCCGACATTTCGATTCTCCAGCTCGAGACCGCCGTCGGTGCTGCCATTCGTCATTTCAAGAATGCCCATGGTGTCAACGTACCCCGACGCCGTTTCTTGCCGGTCAAGACTTGCTCCGATCTTATGCTCGTGAAGTCAGATCTATACACAGTCAAGCACGGTCAATTACAAATGAGCCCTGCCCGCTTCGGTGGTGCGCCGCTCATCAAGCTGGGTAACGACTTCAAGAAGGTGTCAGACTTCCAGAAGCGTATTCCATCCATTCCCAAGCTTATCGAGCTCGACCACTTAACAATCACTGGTAACGTTAACTTGCATCGTGGTGTGGAGCTGAAGGGTACCGTTATCATCGTCGCAACAGAAGGCTCCACGATCGACATCCCTCCCGGATCAATCTTGGAGAATGTTGTCGTTCAAGGAAGCTTGCGTCTGTTGGAGCATTAATATGTGTTTTCAAAGATCCGCTCTGTTTTATAATGTAATAGGTTGGGATCTTTGTCGGTGTTGTCGAGTACACGCCTGGAATGTTTGTACGCGCTGCTTCGTGTCTCGTTGTCGAGAGATGTGTCTTTTAGCCTACCACTTTCTTCCCCTCCCCACGAATCCGTACCCCTTCTGCGTTGAGGAATTGGAACTCTATAGAGATAGCAGCAGAATCAGCAGCAGAAAATGCAACGTGCAAGGCATCAGAGAATGAATGATGTATGCACATGGGCGTAGCTATATAGACGCTAGGAAGATAATGAGATTAAATGCTCCATAGTCTGAATCTTGAAGTGCGAAACAAGTGATAAGTGTTTGCTATAGTAGGTATACGGGTAAACAGGGCTTGAAGTGTTCCGTTGATATGCCATGCTTTTTTTTTTTTTTCGCAGCTTCGTAATTCCTCAGGTTGTCATGACAATGATACTTGCTTACTTGCCTCCCTCCCTCCCTCCCTACCTACAGTACCTCCTAGGTTATGCGTAATTCACTTTGATAATTTGATTTACACTATTCGTACCATGAAATTTCAGGACTTTACGGACAATAGTCGTCTTGGTGGTGGTGATGATTCCGAGGTTTTCTTATTATGTAGGTATAGGTAGGTAGGTAGGTAGGTAGGTACCTTATGTAGGTAGTACGAACCTAGGAATCAATCCTATTGTAACGCCTACTAAGTACCTAGTACTGTACATACATACATACATACATACATACATACATACATACATAGTAGGTATGTACTGTATATGCACGTCCGTTCACACTGACGGAGCCCTCCCTCTCCCCATCTGTCTCTTTCTCTTTCTCTCTTCATCCCTTCCTTGATTATCTAGCCTAGGCCGTGATCGTCGATAGAAACGACTAGGTTAACTATTAAGTACGTAACCTAGAAAGTACATAATAAGTTCTGTTATGGTATCAACCAACGAACCAACCGACCAGCAAACAGACTGGCTACTTCGCAAGATCTTAAGGAAAAAGCCAACGGCCAGCCACCACTTATGTACACGCGTGTTAGCTAGGTGCCTAGGTAGTTTCAAGAGAGATAGGCCAATATTTGGGGGATGGGTGGGTATCTAACGTATTACAAACTGCAACTTCCTTCCGCCAGTACATGGGTATCTGCGGTGGTGTAGGCATGCCCTTCTTCATTATTACCTTTACTTTCCCTTCTTCTTCATGTTCTCCGTGCACGAGGGACAGTACCAGCGGCCCTCTGGCTCTGACTTGAGACCGACGCAGGACCAGTGGAACCACTCGTACGGGCAGGCGGGGTTATCGCAGGCCACCATGTCGCCATACGACACGTGCTGGCACAGACAATACTTCTTGCCTTCCTCGTCCTCCTCGTCGTCGGACCCTGTTCCTGATCCGCCCCGATCCGCCATTTCCTCGTCTCCGTCCATGTCTCGGCTGGGTCGTGCGCGTTTGTGATGGTGGCTGTGACTGTGACTGTGACTGTGATTACTATTGTGATGAGGCCGCGGCACCGGGGTACCACTGCCGGCGCGCGACCCAGCGCGCGATGATCGCACGGACTCTGCGTCTGAAAGCTCACTATCGGCGGTAGATGCGGGAGAGCCTTTCGACATACCAGCGCGTTTGACGCGCGAAAGAGTAGATTTCGAGTTCGGGGGTTTCTTGCGACCGACGCCCCCGGATGGTGTTCCCTTCCGTCCCACACCTGCACTCGTCGCCTTCGATGTACCTCGGGGACCTGCACTACCTGCTCGCCCACTCGCCCCCGGTGTCCCCGCCTTCGGTGTGCCGGGTCCAAGAGAAGAATGTCGAGCTAGCCCGCTCGATGCTACTGGGAGTGAACCTAAGCTGGAATTTACCCGTGGTCCCCTCTTAGGAGCACTGTAGGGATCTTGAGTCAGTAATGGTTTCTTCGTATACTTTGGTTTGGTATTGTCTCCGGAGGTCATATATTATGTTCAACGAGTTGATAGAAGAGTGCATGTTGTGATGTTGCATATTAATGATCTTCAGAGGCAAGAACTTCTTGCAGTATTATCGAGTCGAGTAATTTCTTGAAGGATAGGATCAAAGGTCAAGGTAAAGGCTTCTTCTTCTTGAGCCGATGGTTTCACGGGGTAATAGTATTAATGTGTTTGTGTGGTTTGAAACCAATGAATAAGTTTGTATGGGCGGGCGGGTGCTACTCACGGTCCAGCAGAGGACTCGCGCTGGTTGCGGTTATTCAAGATGATACTCGCAGTGGGGGAGGCGGGTGCAGAGCTAGAGATGTGTGTTTGCGACTGCGTGGTTCGGATCTGGGGGTTGGCGGGTCTCGAGCCTGCTGGGGTTGTGTTACTAGAAATGGGGTTGAGCGGCGTGTTGTGAGACGTGGAGGAGACGCCTAGCACACGAAGGCTGGTGTTGCTGTTGTTCGCGGCGCTAGGTCGGACTACGGAAGGAATCTCGTCGGGGTCAGTGAAGCCGGGCTCGCCTCGGTCGCTTAGTTGTTTGATCTGGAGATCGAGATGTCGGAGGTGCTTGTCAAAGAGACTCTGTGCCTTCTGCGCCAGGGCAATTTTCTCGTCGGCTAACTTGTCGGCTCGTGTATAGTTCTCGCGGATAGTGTCGCGTAGGGATTGCTCGCGCGAGTTGGGGGCGTGGCTACCATGTGTACGAATGTAGCGCTGTATCTTAGCATCACACTCCTCAATCGTCTTAACACATTCCTGAAATGTGCGATCTTTATCGGCGATCTCGTCCTGGAGGAAACGAATCTCTTCGGGCAGATTGGCGGTGCGGTGAATGAAGTCTTCGAGGATAGCTGCTGGATCTTGCGCCTCTACTGAGGGTGCCATCTTTTTCACAAAATCTATTGACAGATCGTCTCTAGGCATGGCTGTTAACCTGGCCCTTCTAAGCGGGACTCGCGCGCTTCAAACAGATGACAAAGGGCTAAGCAGTAACACATGCATGTGATTCGGACGGAGGAGAGGGACTTGGGAAAGAATTGGAGTGCTAGTGTGAGATTGTCTTGAAGTTCGTCCCATAGATTGCTGCTCCTGCTGTTTTATTATTTTCTTTTCTGGGAGTCAGTGATCATCTGGAAGTGTTTGTTCAATGTTTGGCCTGAACTAATTTTTTCTTCTTCCCGTCTTTTCTTTTTCGATATGTCGTCCCCGACACTGTGGTAGGTATGCAAGGAGGGAATCACGAAAAACAAGGGTTGGTCGAAATGGTTGAGATGGTGGGAATCACATGCATAAAGATGGAATGGTAACATGAATGGTGATGATTTTGTGCGAACTTGAGCTTGGCTCACCTTCCTGACCAATTCGGAGAACCGAAAATGATCAATAAAATAAAAGGATCCCCCACGTCAAAAGCGGCGCAACGTATGAGGAAGACGCGCTAAGAAGGGGAAAAAGGTGCATGTGGTAAAGTACGTGGTAGAGTGGAAGGTAGGTAGGTAGACTCGGAAGTGGTAAAGTGGTAAAAAGTGGTAAAAAAAAAAAAGAATAGGTAACTATTTTAATTGTATCGCTCCTTCGGGTAACGGGTAACAGTAAATGGGTACAAGAGGCCGTTCCAGAATCCCCAGAGTGGGGAGCTGCGTGCAGTAAGGATTGAAATTATTGAATTGAAGGTGAACTTTTTTTTTTAGAAGGAAACGGCGTGATTTATCATTAAAAAGGATGAATTACGTAACTTTCTCTGATCTTTGGATTTGCGGGAGAAGAGTTAGAGACTTAGAGTAATTCAAATATCGGGTTGTTATTTGTTAAGCCCCAGATTGTCAATGCGGATTGATGAATAATTGGATAATTGGACGCTAACAATCACGTGTAACTACATGCTAGAAGGCATAACTATTCAATTTTCCTTTCTTTTTTTTCTCTATTTCAACATCTAACTAATGGCTTGACTTCTAATTGCACGTACTATGCTATATAGTAAATAACCAACTCGTAAGGTATATCTTGTAAACCCTTTTTGAACTCCGATATCCTTTACGGCTCAACTTCTACATCTTCAGTGATAGTTCAGACGAGATGAGATAGCTCATGGACATGGGCAAGCAGGTAGCTACATACAGTAGCTATGGAGGTTACCCAGCTGGCCTCTGGTTCTGACGTCATTTGTTTAGCACTAAATCTATCTCGCCAACATTTGGAGCCCGTCGCGTCTTCAATGCCCCCTAACCAATTTTAGGAATACTACGTCCTAGTCAAAGGGGGGAGTAAGACTTCTTAAGTTGTTGCTATTTATTAGGTATTCATAATGCCAACATGGGAAACTCTTTGTCAAATGATAAGTTTGTGGTGAAGGGCAGAGTAAGCAACGAAATTACCCCTGAACATGACATTACAACGCTGACAAGCTTTAAAAGACCGTAGCCATCACTGGTGGTTCGCGTGGCATGGGCCTTGCAGCTGGACATCAGCTCGCCGCGAAAGGTGCGAATATAATCATCATTGCACGTGACCGAGAGAAGTTAGCACAAGGAGTCGAGCATATAAGGGTATGCTAATTGTACAAGCTGTATTGTATTGTTCTTTTATAATTTCTGATGGTATTTTAGCAAGGGGCACTGGATCCTTCAACGCAGCGATTTCATCACATTAGCGCTGACTTGACTTCATCGTCTGAATGCGTTCGTGTTATTGATGAGATAGTCTCATGGAACCTAGGGAATCCTCCAGATGTTGTATGGTGCTGTGCAGGCAGTCCACATCCCACGCTCTTCATTGACACGCCCGTGTCAGAGCTTGAGGCCGTAATGAATAGCAATTACTTCACCAGTCTATACATGGCCCACGCAATATTGTCACATTGGCTTAGAACCTCACGAGAACATACCACTCAGCCTTCTCGTACTCCATCATCTACTAACACCTCAACTATCTCCGCACCTCCTCGTCATCTGATATTTACTGCCTCATTTCTAGCCTTCTATACTTTTACCGGTTACTCACCATATAGCCCGGCAAAGGCCGCACTGCGCTCCCTTTCTGATAGCCTCTCCCAAGAAATGAACCTGTATGCTGCAGCACACCCCAACGAACCCCCTATCCGCATCCACACTATCTTCCCAGCAGGAATTCTAACCGAGTCTTACGAGGCCGAGAACTTATATAAATCTGACGTTACCAAGATGCTGGAAGGTGCAGACGAGGCACAGACACCAGAAGCCGTCGCTGCGAAGAGTATCAGGGCACTGGAGAGTGGGCAGGAACTCATCACTACTGACATATTAACATCACTGGTGAAGCGAAGCATGCTAGGTGGCAGTGTGAGAGGAGGGTTTGCTAGGGCGCTTGGGGATTGGGTCCTGGCGTGCGTGGTGACTTTGGCGATGGTATTTGTGCGCCATGATATGGATCGAAAAGTTAGAGATTGGGGTCGTAAATTTGGCGCATCCGGTATGAATAGGGAGGATAAGCAAGCATAGGTAGGCTTCAATTATATCTAGGAAATGAAGCGAACGCATACGGTAAAATACATTGCCCACTTCCGTTCTGGGTGAGATGTCTGGTGGCACTTCGCATACACGAAGTGGAAGCATTTTGTTTCATCTTATTAACTCATTAAGCCAGAACATTACCCCCCCTCGCCTATTAAAGCCCGGTGCGGCTCGAAGGTGCGGGCGGACTTCCTATTGCCCTTATTTTCCTCCGAGGATCGAACAATTCCAAGGTCGTCATCATCGTTAGATCTCTCATCTCGAGACCGCCACTCACTATGTTGAGGAGCCATTTGCCCATGTGACTGCTGACTTTGAAGACCGAGAAGCATCGTTGGTAACGGTGGTTCTGATATTCTCTACCAACAGTTTTGCCTACATGGTGATGATCACTAGTCGCTCAGCCCCTATCTGCCTTACCAACTGAACCTCGGTACGGCGTTGGCATAATACGTGGGGCTTGATCGACTACCTAGCCTTGACTTTCAATGAGAATAAAGGCTTTGCCGTCGGGATATTGCTAACAATTATGTATGCCATGATCAATGTAGGTAATCAAGGACGAGTAATAGCTCTGTTTACTAACCCGGTTCTGCCATAGACGTGAGGAAAGTACGGGATAGTATAGAAATGGGACTGCATTAACATGGGGCCTGTTTACCTGATATGTACTATCTACCTGGTGTTATATAGCGCTTATGCGCTTCATGGGCTCCAACATGGTACTCACTCCTGCTAAATGTGTATACCTACCATTATAGCTATTGCCTCAAAGGATTTGGAGGCGTCAACTACCTACCTAAGCTAACAACCCCGAATCTCGGGCTTCTAAGCGAATCTCGCAAGCTCGGCTGATATATTAGGTAAGGAGACATATATAAAGCTTCAAGTTTGCCAGTTAGAAGGAGATTCTAAAATTTATACCCCCAATCTAGCATATCAAGCATTTTACCTACCTGCTATTGAAACATCCCACTAGACATCGACTTGAAGTTAGCCAGCCATAACACATCCTAAACCCAAAGATGTCTGCACCACCAGTTCTCCTTTTCCTAGGGGCCGGCAAGGGGCTGGGCACCAAGGTCCCCGCCGTATTCTCTGAAGCAGGATACAAGATTGCCGTCGTATCGCGGACGCCGAAGGAGGAGTTCGAGAAGCGCGGGTATTACCAAGTGCAGGCTGACTTCAACAACCCCGAGTCCATTCCAGAGGTCTTTGCCAAGGTCAGGGAGAACGTGGGGATCCCGACTGTCGTCGTATACAATGGTGTGTGGACACATTTCTCTATACCTACCTATCCATGCGGCCCTTAATCTTGGTTGACGATCTCATCAAATAACAATTTTTGGTACTGTAGCCGTGCAGTACGCACTCGATAACCCGGAGGACCCGTTCGCCTCCCTTGCACCGGAGAATGTCTCGCGGTTCCTGTCCGCGGTGGCTGTCAACGGCACTACGCCCATGATCGCCATCCAGCATGCCATCGAGTCGTTCCGGTCTCTCTCACCCGAGACGCCGGGAAAGGCCTTCATCTTCACGGGGAACATCCTGAATCACAGCCAGTTCAAGAACAGGCTGTGCTTTGGCACGGGAAAGACCGTGGCCGCGTACGGGGTCAGATATGCGTCCGTTGCGTATGCAAAGGAGGGGTTTAAGTGAGCAGCTCTCCTCTTCCGATTCGCCCATAAGTTTTTCACAGCCATGTGACTTGAACTTGAATTTGGCCGATACTGACGAAACTTTACAAGGTTCTACTACGCCGATGAACGCTCGGAGGAGGGCCTGCCGGTCATGAGGGACATCGATGGGACGGTGGCTGGGAAAGAATACTTGAAGATTGCGGAGGCGCCGGAACAGCTCCCTTGGCTGTACACATACACCAAGGATAACGGCTACAAGGACTTTGGGGAGAAGGACTATCTGAAAACGGTCGATAGCAACGAGCCCCAGTTTATCAAAGGGGGGCGGTAGTTAAATGTTGGGTCGTAGGATCTGGAAAGTTATCATGAGTTCCGACATTTTATCGTTGATGTTCCCTGCCTCCATTCTAGAATGAGGTCGATAAGAGCACCTAAAATATTATTCAATGATAATTTTTGGTGTAGTCCTGGCAATGACGTAACTAGTAAAGCGATGGTGACATTGCTTTCGGGAATGTCATCGTTAAATTCGGTTGAATCTTAGGCATGTAGATAACTAATTATCAGCCAATCATACCTTCCACAAAACCCGATTAGGTATAGTCACTTAAACTAAACCGAGCTGTCGGGAACGCCAATCCTACTAACCGGTCTATTCTTGGATCGAGGGGCTAGTCCCCCTCTTCCTTATGCCTAACGAGCTGGTTCGTAATAGTGAACTATTTTGACGGATATGATTTGCTCCATGACCGCGAGGATTCTAACAACCACTTTATTTTAATCAATGTCCTGTCCATCATGCCTAGCCTCACGGCGCTCAGGGTCGGGTAGATATCGTTGTCTCGTAGGTCCTACACCCATAGGGCTAGGACTGGTAGCTTAAGGCGGTGCAAACCTTGACCCTACAGATTGAGACTTAAGCAGCACAAGCGATCAACCTCAAGTCGCTTTCAACAACGGTATGGCGTCTAAGGTGGTAAATGTGTGCATTTGTCGGTACAAATTTCCGTGATTCATTAGACATCTCTAGGTAGGTAGTCATGTAGACCAAGGTAGTGCGTTTGCTATTTGCTCGTACACTTCTTCTTTCTTGTTCAACCAAATTCTTTCTCCAAGTGTGATATTTATCACCTCACAGCGCCCCGCCCATGAAGAGCTGAGCTGAGGTGCAAAAGATAAAGACTGGGCGGAGCTTGGTGTTCGACTGACAAATGGCATGTGCCATGGGACATGAACAGGTTATGTAAGTAGTTCTGATATGGATGGAATGAGGCTATTCAGCTTGACAGCTCTACCTAGACACGGGAAGAAAAACATACTAGGTACCTAGGCAACTTATATACCAACACAGTTGAAGTAGAAATGCCCCTTTAAAGCCCCTTTCATGTAAGTCTCTACCCTTATCATTCCATTATTCTTATTGATCCTATCTCATATTTAAATAGAATTTGTTAAGTAGTCTCAACATTTAACAAGGCCGCAGCAAACATTGAAGACTGTGGAACAAGTACTATGTAAGTACTACTAGTAGTATTGATTTTATTTCGGCGATATGGATGGCATCGCGCCTTCCAATTCTAGTTGTGGGTACCTACTGTACCTGGGTATACTAGGTACATAGGGGCGCGATATGTGATGGGGCAAAGTTGAACCTCAGGTACCTACCTACCGCCAGCGCACTTATAACCACCGTAAATTATTTGGCAGTCATTGTTTATTTTATTTAAACCGCAAGATGAATCAGAACGCGTTCAACTTAATTCTTTCAACAAGTCGAAAAAAAAATCGAGATCTCCAACGTGCGGGCGAGATCAACGCCAAAACTTGGAGCACACCTCCTTGTTCGATTACCAAAAGACAGACGCGATTTTTCATAGTACAATTCCCTGATAATAAAAACGTGATCAATCATGTCGGATCAAGTGAGTGACAGAGCGACGCCTGAGCCGCGTTATAGCTCGTCAGATAAGAAGTGAGTACGACCCATGACATGCTGAACCTATCCCGACGCCTACTGTAGTATTTACTCTGACATCGATAGGCTTCTTGAGTCGGGATCCTTCTCGGATGTAATTATCAAATGTGAGAATCGCACTTGGAACGTCCACCGAGCTATCATTTGTCCCCGATGCCCCTTCTTTGAGAAGGCATTCAACGGTCCCTTCCAGGTACGTTCGAACTCTTCGTCTATACTTCACTTGATACTTGGTAGATCCTGTCTTCACAACCCTGGTTTCGCATATTTTATTCTGGAAATGTGGTTGGAGAGAATGCCATTCTAATGTGCTAATGGTTACCAGGAAAGCACCACTGGGGAGCTTGTTCTACATGATCAAGTACCCGGGGTTGTGGATGAGGTTATTCGATATCTCTACACTGGAACCGGTAAGTATATAATCGTTACCCCAGACAGTGATCTGTATTTTAACGAAGTGTTAACAACTGCCAAACAGCATCGAACAAAGTCGATGCTCATCCATTGGACCTCTTCAAAGGCGCAGATTTCTTTGGCGTCCCTTCCCTTGCGTACATTGCCCTCAAGCAGATAAAATCCACCCTCCAGGAAATCGCGAAGAAAGCTAATTATGGTCACTTCATCGACGTAAACAACATTATGACACCCGAGGAGTATGAAGACTTCCTGCTGATAGTCAAAGCTGCATTCGGAAGCGGATCAGCTACCTACCTACCCCTACGAGACCCAGTTCTACGTTTCATCAGTCTAAAGAAGTTGACCCTCGCGAACGACGAGAAATTTCAAGGCCTGTTAGAGGAGCTTCCAATCCTGGCCGTGGAGATGGTCAAGCTTCTCGCGCGTCCACTCACCACCTTCCAAGACCCGAAGCTATGCTGGCATTGCAAGTCAAGACCTGTCCAGGCTGGTAGACTCTGGATACTGGAGCTTGCGAGCCGTGCGAGCGTAACGTACCGAAAGGTGGGAGTATGCGCAGAGTGTGAGGAGCATGGCAATGCGGAAGGTTAGAGATAGTTCACTAATTCGTGAGTATGCGTTGTTTTGTGAACGATATGTACATAGGCTTGAAGCATCAACGAAGGGTTGAAAAGTTCTAGTGAGGCAATCCAAACACAAACTACGACAGAACCGAGACGATTATATTTCCATCGACTCGAAGACAGAATACAAAAACGTAGCTTGATAATTCCATACGAAGCTTCGTATCATTTTCGTTGACTTGAGTAGTTTGACCCTAACTCTATAATTTGGTCATTTCTGCGATCGGCCAGGCTAGTATCGAGTACAATAGGTACACACATGGTAGTCGTTATACCAAGAGACATGTCTTGGATTTCTGCTGCTACCATACAGCCCACTCTCGCATTTCCCCGATTGTCATTCGGACATTATTAGAAACATCGTATCTCGTGCCCGATAAAAACGCAATGAACGCCCGTGGTTCAATCTACCCTATACACCCTCATAATAAACATAACGTTTCAATAGCAGAGTTAAAAACAGGCCGCGTTCAAGTCTCAAATGATGCAGCAGTCGCACGGCAGCGGGCACGGGACGCAGAAGCAGAAGCGGCCCGGACAGCAGGAACCGCGCTCACCGCCGCGCATGTTCCCGAACTCGGGCTGGTCGGGCTGCGGACGCTTCGGGTCTATTGGGAGTTAGTTAACTGAGTTTCGCGGGAAAAGGCCAAGGTAGACATTGCATCGGACGTACCCATTGCCTGAAGAGCCACGGGCTGCGAGATCTGCACGGAGTTGGTGTCGGATCTGCTCGGGCCGCTGGGTTGCGCGGCCTGGTTGTTCGGGGACTGTTGTTCAGATGGAGACATTTTTGAGTGTGTTGAGGTAAGATATAACGAGTAAAACAGGTAGGATTAACGAGGCTATTCAATGGCGAGTAATTATTCTGCAGAATGAAAAAATAATAAGAAGGAGTAAGATCAGATGTTGCGTGTTGAAAGATGAAAGGTGAACGATGAAATACCTGAAATAACTTGGAATAACCTGTTATGGAGCTATGTGGCAGTGTAGCAGTGTGGCGGTGTAGAATTATGTCACCACTGTGCAAATTTCATGCAACTGGCGATAGTTAATAGTTATTATGTCATCAGCTTCGGGGTTCTGCCACAAGGGGGGTACGTACCTATAGTACAGTCACGTGATACCCCTTATTGGACACCACTGTAGGCAAAAGACAAAGAGCGTCGCAACCGGCAGTAGCTTTATTTTTTTCGGGATGAAACAAAGACTATGAGACAGTAATACAATTGATTGATTACTAAAATGCCATTCATCTTTATTGTACATGGTATATTCGAGTATCTAAGGGAGACAAGTAACCGAGGTTACCTAGGTAGTAGACATAAAAAATCTCGTTATAGTTAGTTCAAGTGCAGGAAGTTCCCTTTCTTGAAGATCACCAGATCCACTTCCACTAGATGAGATTAGATCGATCCATAAGATGAAAGGTGGCATGTGCCTGTGTGAGTTCAAACGGTGACAATCATCGTCACCTGTAACAGACTGCAATTCATTATACAGTGACACAGAAGTGAAACCGATTTATTTACAGAGGTTTTGGTATCTAGAGTTAGAAATATTATTGGGTATATCGTAAATATCTATCACATTCGTTCTCTTGTTTGGTAAACAAGGGCTTGGTTTCTATTCACTGTTTCTTTCACCTTCGTTCCATCACAACCCCATCTTACGGGGTGATTCAGCACGATGAGTGAGTATCCAAGGATAAATAATTTCTAACTCGCCGCTGATAATTTGTTAGGGTCCATCACTATCTCTGCTATCTTTCTCACTGCAACAGGGCTCTTTCTCTACGGAAACATCTATCACACCTCTATCACTATGCCGTTCTTTAAGAAAACCCTCGGGATTTTTGGACTTGCTGCTTTGGCTTCCGCTACGAAGCATCAACTTATCATCGGTTCCTTCAGCACAAACTTCCTCTACACTGCGGAGTATGATGACGTGGCTGAGACCCTTCAGCTCATCGGCAAGACCCCTACCGACTCGGCTTCTTCCTGGATCTCCTTAAGTGTAAGCATGCCCCTTTAATTTTCCACTGCGTACATGTTCTAGAAGCTAATCTTGACTATAGCATGACAAGAAGAACCTCTATGGCACTGACTGGAACTCTGAAAAGCCTTCCTTTGTGAGCTTCAATGTCAAGGATGCTACCTCCCTAACCTTCGAGAAACGGCTGATTCAAGACACGGACTGCGCAGGCAAGAAGAGCGTCTTCGTCGCTCCCAACCCGCGACCGCCATATAGTGTCTACGGAAACTTCTACTACGGCAATGCGAAGTGCAGCGTTGTCATGTCTGTCCACGACAACGGAACCCTCGACTCCGTGATTCAGCAGTTCGAGTACGCCAATGGCTCAGCTCCCCACGGCGTCTCGTTCAGCTCTGATTCCGCTTTCCTGTACACCGCTGACGACGGCGGCAACTCACTCTGGGTCCATGACATCAACCAAACCGACGGCACGGTTACGTCCCAGATGCACCTGGATATGTCCTCCTCCTGGGCGCATGCTGATCCCCGGCACATTGTCACTCATCCAAAGGGCGACTACGTTTACGTCGTTCTCGAGGGCACCAGCGAAGTTGCGCAGGCTCTGACCAGCACTCTGGGCAAGCTGTATCTGCTGACGGAATCGTACTCCCTCCTCAAGCCCGGCGACAACGCGACCGACTTCTGGGCCGACGAGGTTGCGCTCTCGGCCAACAACAAGTACCTGTGGGCGAGCAACCGCGCGCGCCACGCCGACCGCAAGGGCTACATCTCCGCCATCGAGGTCAAGGAGAGCGGCCAGCTGGGCCAGCAGTACTTCCTCACGGAGACGAGCTCGAGCGGTGGATACGCGAATGCGGTTTCCCCCAGCCCGTTCGACGACAACATCGTGGCGATCACGGATAACTCCACGGGCTTCGTCGAAATGTGGAAGATGGCTGATGATAAGTCGGGCGCGTCGATGATCGCACACTTGGATATCAATGATGGGAGTGGGTGCTGTGCCAACGCCGTTTGGTATTAGTCAAGTTGATGATATTGGCACTTTAGATGGCCTAAAAGGCCGAACGATATGATGATAACTTATTAGCCATTTACTTAGAGATAGAATGTAGTAGCCATCTGTGCGCAATGTAATAATTTTACCATGTACATTTACTGAGTATACCCCCTGAGTCTTTTCGAATCTAACAATGTGACTGCAACACCATCTTAACAGTCAATCGCGCTAACATTGTCAATTTTGACTTTCTTATAAACCTAGGTAATTCAAGGAGGTTGATACACTTTCTTTCGCTCGAGCTCGGTGTATGAAAATCCGCCTTTGTGTGTGCCATTTTGATTACCTGCGTACTTGCTTGTCAGGTGTCAGGTGGTTTGCCATTTTCCCCCCTCCCCTAACTGAACCTCGTTATTATCTAAGGAATGATGACTGCGAGGTACCTAATAACTTAAATTTTGAGAGAATCGTCCCGAAGAACTGGAATTCTAATAATAATAACCCGGCTTTGAAATCTAACCAGACTTGTTGCAGGGTAAGTTGCCCCACCCCCCTTTCTTGTCGTAAACCTCAAACCAATCGGGATTTATTCATGCAAATAACAGTTTCATCATCTATGCTACAGTTTCGATATTTACCTACTAGGTAGGTGCATGTGGTATAAAGTATCGTTGATTACAAATGTCGAAAGCATAAGGCATTATTAAACAGTCGATAAGATCAGTAATTCGCAATATGGCAGCACTTTGTCGTCATGACCTGCAGTCCTCTGGATCAACCCCTCGCGAATATGTATTTATAATAACCGCTGCCCCGCTGGAAAGTTTACCCATATCTTGTATATAAGAATATAGTAGTGACCCTTTGAATCGTATCAAATAACTATCAAATTGAACCTTGCTACCTTACCTACCTATCTACCTACAAAGCATACCTGATATCTAAATCATCATGGCAGACAAATTGTACATTTCCGAGACGCCTGCTGACGTCAAGAACGCCAAGGGTCTTCATCTCATCACACAAAACACGCCAAATGGCCAGGCCGTACAGATTCTCTTGGAAGAACTAGCCGAAACATACGGGACGGCGTGGACCACGACTCTGATCAACATCTCTACTAACGAACAGAAGAAGGAGTGGTTCTTACGACTGAACCCCAATGGCCGTATCCCGACGCTAATCGACAACAACCAGAGCCCTCCTTTCCCTGTCCACGAGACATCCGCCCAGCTCCTCTATCTCTTGAATGCCGCAGACAAGGACAATCAATTCGGCTTCAAAGACCAGCTCGAACAAAGCGAGCTGATCCAATGGACCTTCTTCTGGCATGGATCCGGAGCTCCGTACCAGGGCCAGGTCAATCATTTTACGCGAGTTGCGCCCGAGAAAATTGACTGTGAGTTCCCTGAAAACTTATATATACAAGCCGAATACGAATACTATCGAGATTAGATAGCTAACTTAGCGCAGACGCCATCAATCGCTTCAAGAACGAAACTATCCGCGTCTACGGCGTGCTCGAGATCCGACTCTCTGGAAAGTACACCGGCGAGCCGCGAGAGTATCTAGCCGGCAAGGGCAAAGGCAAGTACTCGGTGGCAGACATCAAGACATGGCCTTGGGTCAAGGGGTGGGACAGGAGCGGCTTCACGCAGGAGGAGATCGGGCAGTTCCCGCACTTGCTACAGTGGATTGAGCGCATTAAGCAGCGACCTGCTGTGCAGAAGGGAATCGGGGCCAAGTATAACCAATAATTTAAGCGACAGATAGGTATGTAGCTACTTAGAAAAGGTTACCTAGGTACTGCATTTATATATGGTCTGATGTTGAATTAAGCATCCACTTGGGATAATGTCTAGATCGTGGATTATCTTCAAACTACCTGCGAACGTATGTGTCGGATATAGATATCCCAGTGCTAGTACTACTGATTAGTGAACGGTGCAGGTATCAAGGATCTAGCCGACCCTAACTCGACTATGCGGCGTAGGTGCGGGATACCTCGGCCATGCTGTTGGCGCGTTTTACAAAGAGGGGGGGAATCGAAACGAGCTCAATGCCAAGCTGCGATTGGTATACATGGCAGTGATGGCACTACTACCTTCCAGGTTACCACCGTTGTTACTATCGTGCGCTAGGTTCCAAGGTTACCTAGCTAGATAACCACAAATCCCCCCAAATTCCCTTATTTATATATGACTTTTCCTAGCTACCTAGAGTAGGTAAGGTACCTACCTACCTAACTAGACACTTTCTACATATCGCTTTCCACCAATCCAAAGCATCATCACCACCGACCATGAGCGAAGCCACGACGCAGCCAAAGACCGAGCCCAAAGCCGAAGACATCTTCGAGCCCCACGTACTAGCCCAATACGACCCGGAGGTCGTCAAGTATGTCCTCAAGACCAGTCTAGTAGCCCAGGCCCCGTGGCGCATCGACGAGATCCGCGCTGATCCCGCCCGGTTCACGGGGCCGTGGGCCAAGGACGTCACGGGATATGAGAGGGTCGTCGACAGTAGTTTCACTTCAAAGGACAACGCCAGGATCCCGGTCAAGATATATCACCCTGATCCCGCGGTCTTCGGGGACGGCCCGTATGGCGTGCATTTGAATTTTCACGGTTCGTCTTTATATACCTAGCCCTCTAGCGTTAGATTCTTCGATGCTGATATGATTGGTATGTAGGAGGCGGCTTCGTGCTAGGGGATCTGAACACGGAGTCCCACCTGTGTCTAAGCATGCGTGATGGCGCGGGCGTCGTCGTGATCGATGTCAACTATCGACACTGTCCCGGTAAGTCTCAGATGTTACACCTGTGGGATCTATAGCTAGGTACCTTACTAACACCATCCGTAAGAAACTATCTGGGGGAAATGTATGGAAGACGCCTGGGCTGCATTGACATGGGTATGTACCAGCCTCCCTTCTTCACCTGCGACCCGTCCCCCATAGCTCACCGCGCCACAGACCCGAGACTCAGCCGCGACGCTGAACATCAAACCGGACTCCGTCTCCATCGGCGGCGTCTCCGCCGGCGCGCACATCTCCCTCGTCCTGCAGCACCTCGCCCGGGACGCCGGCGTGCCCCTGCGCCTCTGCCTCCCCACCGTGCCCCCCTCCGCCGAAGGGCTCCTCTACAAAGACTACACCGAGTCGCCCTTCCCGTCCTTCCACGAGTTCGCGCACGGGCCCATCCTCGCCTGGTCGCGCATCAAGTTCTTCGGCCAGCACGCCTTCCCCGGCAACCAGCACGAGCGCATCCGCGCCGCGTGGCCCGAGTGGTGGATCTCGCCGCTCAAGGCCGACCACTGGCACGGGCTGTGCGACACGTTTTTGAGGACGGCGGAGGTCGATCCGCTGAGGGACGAGGGCGAGGCGTACGCGCGGAAGCTGGTCGAGGGGGGCAACCTGGTCACGGTGAAGAGGTACATTGGCGCGCCGCATATTTTCATGTACATGGAGTGGTTTGAGAGGAAGAAGGAGTTTGATAGGGACACGATTGCGGCGCTGAAGATTGCGCATGCGTGATGATGATGTGGGGGTCTAGGGAGGTAGGTAGGTAGGTATGGAAGAAAGAAAGAAAGAAAAAGAAGAAATAAAGGGTGTATTGAGGGGTCGTGATGGTGAGAATCGCTCCGACTATCTATCTAATTTAGGTACGGTAGGTACCTAGGTGGGTATAGGTATCTTGCTAAAACATGATGGCCTCGGGGATATATGCCTAACCTAGATCTATGTATATCTAGTCTATTGATATCCGTATTAGGTAGAACTGTATCGGTCTCGCGTCAAAGAAAAGCCAAGAAAGAAAAAACCAAATAAAGTTGTCAAGTTACTACACGTTCATGTCTCTCTGCTAGAAGTCCTGGACCCCCGCGGACTCGGCTCTATGATCGTGAACTCCGTCGTCACCACGATATGGTCGCTCGGCGCCGGCTCCGCCGACATGTCCGACAGCGTGCCCGCCTCGATGCTCGATTCCGGGCCGTGGCCCCGCCCGTGGATGATCTGCTCCTTGGAGTCCCAGGCCCCGTCGTTGTTGGGCCCGGAATACGGGGCCTGCTGTTGCTGCTGCTGCTGGCGTCTGTAGTTGCCGTTGGCGCGGCTGGGCATGCTGTTCAGCTTGTAGCCCCGCGTGGTCACGCTTTTGGTCCCGGTCACGCTCCGCCCCTTGTCGATGAACCGCTTGAAGAGCGGGTACACCATCGGCAGGTTGGTCAGGACGATGCAGACGAAGGACTCGCGGACGGACCAGTAGCCGGATTGCGACGGGTCGGTGTCGCCGAGCTGGAATAGGGGGGCTTATTAGTTCCATGGACGGCGATTGCGATAAATAGGGACGTATCGGATACTTTGAATGCTAGGGGGTGTGGTGATGACGGTGGACGAGGGACACCTACCGTTAGAATAGACACGCATCGTAGGATACCGAAGGCCATCTCCAGGAACCCACCGCTGAACATGACCAAGAGAATAAGCTTCTTTCTCAATGGAAGATTAGATCTCCAGATGAGCTAAGGTGGTACATGTTAGTTAGTGATTGTTATGCTATATACATATATATGCTAAAGTACGGAGACCACGTTAACGCACCGGTAGTGGTATTGCCATGAGATAAAAATCCGACAAGGTGTTCATGACCATCACGAAGACGGTCTGAATAGTTGAAATGGCTGGCATGCAGTGGTCTAACCAGAGCGCCGTTAATAGTTAATAATCCACACCTCAGAGTTGACGGAAGAATCCTGTGATATATGTACTTACTCCCAGGGGAAGGGTTGATCTGCCACTGGTGATCGAAGGGCACGCACTTGAACAAGGCCACCAGCAAGCAGGCGACATACGAGCCAGCCGTGATCACAATGCCCCCATGTATCACCCTCCGCGTGTTGTAGACCCCGTATCTATACTTCCGATTAGTTACATAGTACTTATCACGGGAGTTCCTCCTGGGGTGTGGCTCACGCTAGACGGGAATAGTACAGCAGCCAGCAGGCCTTCAGCAGCCAGAGGAGGGTGGTGTAGAGCAGGAGACCGCAAACATGGGTCTTCGACCCGTTCACGCGCAGCCCCCACTCCAGCGACTGCGGGTCCAGAGCCGCGCGCTGCTCGTCGGTCATGGCGTTGTTCGCGAGGCCTTTCCAGTGGGCCACGACGAGGTACGCCATCACCGACTCGGCAGTATATGCCATCTATGCTTTCCAGGTTAGAAGCCGTCACTTTGGTCTAGGGGGCTAGCGGCTAGGTAGTAAGGTTGAGATGACTAACGATTGCTAGAAGCATCAGGATATCGTCCCAAGCCAGGCAGCGCCATCCCAGAACAGTAAACCGGCTGTAGTAGCGGAGGGCAACTACCACGTATGCGGTCCCCTGAAGACCCCATACCTCACTAATGAACTTCTGTTCAGGACTGGTGGTCGACATTGTGTGCTCTGCCTTGAGAAACAATCTTGGCGAGAAGTGACCGTTTGGCCTTGGGACGTTGATGTGCTAGTTCGGCGCCGAGAAACCTATTTATGTTCAACGACTACACCTCATCATTCAGGAGTTCGTTCTCAATGTGGTGATTTCCATGGCTACATGGTCCTTAGGGAGGTAAACAGGATTTAACGCAAACTGGATCAAGGTCCGAAGTGACGAAAAAGGAGCAGAATGAGAGATGTGAGTGTTGATATAAAATCTATCAGACTTTTGAAAAGTCATATCTGACAGTTGCTAGTTACTAGTTGTACGAGTTTGGGACGCCCCAGTCCTGGGATTGTGTCGCCGGAGCTAATGCCCCTTCGGTTTATTTTATTTTTAAAAGCAGAGTTACCTGCAGGTGGCTTTTGGTACGCTGTCTTCTCTATTTGGGTGTATATGTTAGGTATTGAGTCATGTATGGGTAGAGATTCGGTAAGTTATACATCCTATTCCCATAAGACTGGAGGTTAAATATAACGTGGAAGTTATGACGGTTACCTTACTGTGTATGTCCCGGAAAGTTCTTTATGACAACCTTAGGATCAGATTGGGACAATGCGGCAGCTTCGCCTTCTTTGGCCAACAGGGGCTGGAAATACATATGCATGCATGTTCATAGATTAAAGATCTCTGTAGACGATGTGTATTATCTCAGTTGTTTTACTGCATACCTAGGTAGGCTACCCTTTCATATAACTACAGAGCTTACGATACCAGGTGGTGTTGAAGACTTACCTAAATACCTAGCTACTGCGTAAGGGATATCTGCATATGTAGAGGTGTAAGGTGTAGAACATTGAATGCCACTGAGAGTCATGAAAATTCCACACCGAGTACCAAGCAGATATACCGGGCAGATATACCGTAATGTAGTGGCTGCATGAAACCCCCGATCTCCGGTTTTTTGGTAGATAGAATCTGATAGATATTTATGCAGTAGGTAGGTAGTTGATATCTGTGTGTGCCAATATAATTAAGCGCTAGCTAAGAAGAGAGAACCTAGCAACTTACTTATTTTCATCTCATCCCAATAACTACCTGCTGCAGCTTTTGGATGCGACAAAGAAGCAAAATCAGTGGCGTTAGGCTGCTTGGGCCTGGAAAACGCCGCCATCTTTCGTGCGTAGGCGTTCAGCGACTCCTTAGCCAAGACATGATAGCGTCACATGTCTGTTTGTTTGACCATTGGCATGAAGCTATCTTGAATGATGAGACAAGATCCGTACGTAAGTAGGTGCACAAATAAATCGAGAGTTATGCTGTGGAACAAGATCCGTCCAACCTCTACCAACTAGTAACTAATACCTACGAAGCCTAGTTACATCAACTAGTAGCCCTGGATACTGGATAGGCACCTTATTAGTCGGGATCTAGGTGAATAGGTGCGGTGCGTAAATACTACCCCCCGCATTATAAATCATGGTCACGGCTTGGCATGAAAATGATAAATTCTTAGAGATGATGAGTAATGGGCGGATCCGGGACTTCTCCTTAACGGATCCGACATGTCAACTTCATAGAAATCATCGGGACCACATCCGGGATAGTTAAAGATTTTATACCTGCCTAGGTTAGGTAGTAGACCAATAGTGTCTCGGATGTCTCGGTTTTTCCGCTTTACTTCAATGTTACCTGGCTTTTGAACAGCCGTGAGAGTGTGATGATCTATCTCCTATCAAGTATCTGGGAAAGATGTCTAACGCAGTTTCTTGCTTACGCTCTTACGTTAGCCGAATCTAGATCTGCGTCTCAACTGGCTAATGAGGAATAGATACTACTGGGTAGCTATACTCTCCTCTATCACCTCCTCTTTCCCCCTTTTCTTACCTACCTACCTGGTACCTCCCTAGGTAAGGTAAGTTAGGTATTTAAGACCAGCACGTGGGGTATTCCGTCGCAACCTCTTCATGTTCTCCCTATTCTATCCCGCTCACGTTTCTATTTAACTTTTCACGGCAGCGCAAATTGAAATTGTCCAAGATTGGCATTGATCAAGAAAGAAGTTGACAGGATGGCTGAGACTGAGCAGTTACCCGAGTCAAATGTGGACGTGTAAGTGATTGAATTCAAATAGGGCTGTGAGCCTCAAACTCTGTAAATGATCATTAAATTGCTGACTCTTCGATCTCTGGCCGAGTAGACTCATCATTGGCGCTGGCCCCGCAGGGTAAGTCAGGTACCCGAAACCGATGTGGTTACAATTCCATGTTGTGTCTCCAGCACTCAGGCTTACGATGATACGCATACTACAGGCTAATGGCAGCCTGTTGGATGGCACACTGTGGTATCAATGCCAGGATTGTCGATAAAAGGAACTCCAAGATATTCTGTGGCCAGGCAGATGGACTTCAATGTCGCAGTTTTGAAATATTTGACAGTCTTGGCTTCGCGGATAGAGCTTGGAAGGAAGCGAATCATCTGATTGAGGTACCTAATCGCACTGAAACGAAAATGGCAATTGAGATCATCAGCTAACTGTGTGTCTCCTAGATGTGCATGTGGGTAAGTGTATACCTAATACCGCTACCATGCATGCGTATATATCTTTAAGTACTCTCTATTAATGCCCTACATCAGAATCCAGGAGCTGATGGCATAATTCGTCGTTCGGATCGCCTTGCGGATACTCCCGTGGGATTTTCTCGATATCAGCAGTGTGTCCTCCACCAGGGACGGATTGAGCGTTTCTTCCTCGACAACATCAAAAAGTATTCCAAGGATACGATCCACATAGAGCGAGGTGTCCTCCCCGAGTCCCTGGAGATTGACGAGTCCAAGGTCGACGATGCATCTGCTTACCCAGTTACCATAAAGCTGCGACGTCTTACCGAGGAGGAGGCCGCGCCTGAACAACAAGCCAATGCAAGCAAGATCGCAGACGGGCTTTTCCGAAGCTCTCTAATCTATGAAGATGATGAAGAGGACTTGATCCAGAAGAGCCAGGCCCGAGCGGGAACTGGTGAGGTGGTGCACGCCAAATATGTCATCGGGTGCGATGGTGCGCGTAGCTGGACCCGTCGGGCTCTAGGTTTCGAGCTACATGGCGAAGCAACCGATTTCATCTGGGGTGTGTTGGACATCATCCCTATCACCGACTTTCGTGAGTGAGCAATCGGAATTATGATGAGAGTGAGCCCATTGTTTTAACAGCTCTAACCTATTTTCAAACCAAAACAGCCGACATTCGAATGCGATGTGCCATCCATTCAGCCGAGCATGGTAGTTTAATGGTCATTCCTCGCGAGAACAAAATTGTGCGGCTGTACATCCAGCTAAAAGAGGTGGTTCCTGATGCTTCAGGCCGCGCCGATAGATCTAAAATCACCCCTGACCTCATCCTACACGCCGCGCAGCAGATTATCAGTCCATACAAGCTTGACTACGAGTACTGTGACTGGTGGACCGCTTACCAGGTACTTTCCCTTTATACGTATTCCTGAATCCGAGGCTGCTTGTACTGATCACGTATTGCAGATTGGTCAAAGGGTTGGTACCAATTATGATGCTCACGAGCGTGTCTTTCTCGCTGGAGATGCAGTGCATACCCACTCCCCGAAAGCTGGCCAAGGCATGAACGTTTCCATGCAAGACACATACAATCTTGGCTGGAAGGTGGCTCTCGTCACCAAGGGCATTGCCAAGCAGAGCATCTTGAAAACCTACGGGAGTGAGCGTCGCCAGATAGCCCAAGACTTAATCACTTTCGATCATAAGTTTAGTAGGCTATTCAGCGGAAGACCAGCCAAAGACCTCATGGACGCCGAGGGTGTGAGCATGGAGGAGTTCAAGTCGGCATTCGTTAAAGGAAACTTGTTTGCATCCGGCTTGAGCGTCAATTACGGTGCTAACGAACTTATCGCAAAGTCGGTTGACGCCGCCCAACAAACCGGTGAAGGTGAATCAACCATTTCGACCGCGATGCAGATGTCACCCGAACTCTTCGCGAAGAGACAGGCCTTGGCTGTGGGCCTCCCAGTCGGGATGCGTTTCAACAGCGTCAAGGTTCTCAATCAATCGGATGCTCGACCGTGGCACATCCAAAAGAAGCTCAAAGCCAACGGCCGATTCCGCGTCGTGCTATTCGCCGGGAACATCCTAAGCGCCGCGCAAAAGGCACGCGTTGATAAGTTCTGCGAGGCCCTCGATGCGCCAACCAGCTTTCTGCGCACTGCTGCCACTACTGCCGGCTCGTCGCCCGACTCTGTGATCGAGGTGCTGACTATCCACTCGGCCAAGAGGGAGGAAACGGACTTACTGCGAGACTTCCCTGAGGTCCTCCACCCCTTTAACCCCCACACCGGCTGGGACTACGACAAGGTGTACGTCGACGATGCGAGCTACCACGAGGGCTTCGGCGATGCGTATGCAACCTACGGCATCGACAAGGAGCGAGGGTGCGTCGTAGTGGCGAGGCCGGACCAGCACGTTAGTTGGATTGGTGAACTGGAGGATTTCGACGATTTACAGAAGTATTTTGAGGGCTGCCTTGTGCTTGGCCCGAAGCCTTGAAAGTTGCAGCGTTGATTTTCCTCCGCATTGCATCTTGTATTAGCCTACTAGGTCTAAGGGTTAGATACCTAGAAGTTGCCTAGGCATGTATAAGTAACATAACATGTCTGTGATATTAGTCGCTTCTCCTTTATTGTCAATTGACTCAGATTTCTTAACTATGCTGAACTCACTTCTCAGGTAGTTAGCTTCAAGATGATAGCCACAAATGTCTATTATATCCTCAGATACTGCATCTACTATGTTAAGACACCACAAGAGCCAGGCCCTGGTCAGTTTCAATACACAAACTTGAAGTACCTACAGCTCATCGTAGTTTTCGAGCTTCGCATCCGTCTTCTGCGCACGAATCCTCTCGTGTCTCCTATTACCAAGATAGAACAGGACGAACGCGAGACTCGTGAGCACGAAGCCCAAAGCCCGTTGCGGCCGCGGTGGGGTATCGAGGGCTCTCCCCCTTGATGAAGACATTTAAGTAGACGCGACGAAGTTGGCGCAGTTTCCAAAGCCTGCCATGCCCACGGCCAGATACTTGCGGCCGCGCAGGTTCGCGCTCAGCCAGCCCATCAGGTTCGACATCTGCGGGAACGTTCCCACCGCCGTGAAGAACAGTGCCATATACCGCACCCCCGCTGTCGATACCTGGGATTCGAGGACGATCCACCCGACAAACTGGACCCGAGCAAGAACGGCGCCCGCAAGTTCGCGCGCGAGGAGGTCCATGTGACGGCGAAGGTCCATATGATAGCCGACCCCCAGACGGGCACGGTCATGAGCTGCGCAACCGTCGCCCGCCACCCCAGCTCCGTCAGGATCGTCGGCGCGAACGATGCGGCCGTGCAGTCGCAGCAGAAGAAGCACATCGTCAGGTGTTGCAGATGCCTGATGAGGCACCATAGGCTCCACTAAGCCATATAGCCATATCTATATTGACACTCCGACAGAGTAGTCAGGAATAAAGCAAGCTTTCTTCCTTCCATCTTCCTTCTTCTTGGTTGCAGTTAACTATACTGCAACAGAAGAAAATCGCAATATCGCTGCATCAAGGACCAATCATCATAACCTTATTGTACTATGCACCTGAAGTACATGAACGGCACAACTACTCTATCAACACCAGGTGTCAGGGACCCTGCAGTCGTGATGTTACAGCAAACTTGATATTCCACAGACCGCAACCCACACCTTCAACCGTTAATTAGCTATTAATTAGCTACCTACCTGGAGAGCATAAGCAAGAGCTATTATACACTATCTCTGGCTGCGACTTCGGTAAATCCCTATCGTCGAGGCCAGCTGCTGGTCTGAGTACCATAATGGAGTTAGTTAGCCAACCCCATCCGTGCCGCACACCTGCATCCGCCTAACGGATCTGAACAAATATTCTGACGATCAGTTATTTACGCGGCATTGAAGTCGATCTAAAGACCCCTGCAGAGAGAACCTCAAGGAGGACGAGTACCCGGTTGAAGTCGCCGAGTCGCCAATCGTAGGGGTTCCAGTGAAGCTACTATAGCGGTACGAGGTATTGTAAATATAAGCATACCTAATATAGATGCGTACCCCTATACTAGGGCCACATCGAAGTTATGCCAAGGGAAGTTTAGTTCTCTACGTCGTAGGTTAGATACCTAATTACCCCTAACCAAGATCAGTCAGCTGTTCAGTCCACCTTAATACCTAGTAAGCATTTACCTAGGCAATAATCTAGATATGCTAGAAGAAGATAACATTGCTTCACTTTGTATATAATATCACTTAAGTTTGTGGTGCCTATCTACCTAGGTAGGTATGTAAGTGACGTCTACCCTCACGCAAGAAGAGATTACACTAGGGGGCCGAAACCTGAAATACCGCTTGCATGCAGACCCCATGCGGCACAGCACATCCGTCTGCCTGCGGCATGTAAAGGGAGCCTTGGGTTCATCCACCGGTCGTACACTTCATCGCACATCTAGGGGCCATAGCCATACCTGCCTACGCTTTTTGCGGGTAATATGCACCGAGCCAACCAAATAGATGCCTAGGATCTACAATGAAGTACGAACTTAGAGCGGTGTTTAGTTGTATTATTCGACATCATCGACATAGGCACGCCACCAGCTTTTGTGTATACGCTATCGATGGTTCGGTCCGTGTGGTTAGCTAGTCTTCTACGCCGCGCCACAGATATGCACCTACGACTAGATGCCTAGTTACCTAACCTAGTAACCTACGGAATAGACGAGCAAACAAGCTCATCAAGCCTTGTTCGTATCATCCAGAGGTTCAGGCAAATTCCACTTACATATCTACCAGATGGGCACCTATAGGTTTAGGTTTACACGCGCTCCTATTAGCTTAGCTGGCCCTAATTATATCACTAGGTGCCTGGTCGTCGTTGCCATCCAAGTATCTACTACCCCACTACCGCGTCTACTGCTTCCACCATCTAGTCCTGGGATATGATGAGCTCCTTATCCCCGACCTGCTCGGACCCGCTGTGCGCGGCGACAGAACTGCACGGGCCCTTCGGGAAAAGGACCCTCCATGATCTCCAGGAGTCCCGCCCCGCGCCCAGACCGGCCCGGCCCTCCGGCAGAGCTACCTTCTTCGGTGTACAGGCAAGCTCGAGGGAAAACCCACCAAGACTATTCCCCTTGGGTATTATAAGGAATTTCGATCGAGATAGCTCTCGAGATCTGGAACACGCCCGAGGCGCGAGTTAGCTATCCTTGCTTAAGAGATCGGTCTATGTATCGAAGGAGACAGTGTCTAGAGCGCAGTTTAACTTAATGGTGCCATTACACGAATAGGAACGCCCCGCCCGGGACCGAAACGCGGACTCGGAGAGCATGTCCGAAGTGTCTCGACCCTCCCCCAGGTTCATGGCTTTATCATCAAACCTCTCAGAGGATATTTCATCGTGCAGGTATGCCATGTAGCACAATAGCTTGTATCTGGCTCGTTCGGTACCGAATAGCAGTAAATAAGACAGCATTAACAAGTATGTGATTCCGATGGATGGCTTTGGCACTTTAGACGTCACACAGCGCAATCATGACAACCCAGTTAGTTTGAAATACCGCAAAGGTCGTAACAAGTGATTATGAGTTTATTATGGTTTCGATTTCGAGGCTAAAATATCGGTGTGCTCGGGCAGCAACTCGAGTGAATAGGGGCTGTGAAAAGTGACGGCAGGAGACAGATTATTTCTCGTACTTAACTGCTCACCATAATTGTCCATGCCACATCACCGCCCAGGTTTCATATGTGCTTGCCTGCCCAGTTTCTTGTATAGTTGCTAGAAGAGATTGCCATTGCTATGTGAAGGCTAGCCAAAGACTCCTATTTGGAGCACATGCCAACATGCTGGGTTATACACGCTCATGACACTCATAATGGAAGATTGATGCATGTTTCCAAGCTTACCTAGGTAGGTATATAAAGGAAAACACTCGTGGGCTAGTGTGAGCAAATATATAGATTCATGCTGAAAGACATATATGATATTAGAATAGGGGAAGCTGTTGTGTTGTCGAACATACCTAGGTACCTACTATGTAGGACCTAACCTAGGTTACTAACCTAGGTATGTACTGCCGTCATCTGTTATGGGGCCAGAGCTGCGGATTGTGGGGTTACAAAGGTACCTACTACCTGTGTAGGTACATACCTTCAAGGGTGACTCACGCCGTTTGTGTCATCCTAAGGGCATGGGATCCATCAATGATCAATTTTAGTGGCGCAGTTCAGCAGCTGCCTCACTGCCGTATTGCCCTGTCATATTAGGTACCCTATAATAAATGGTAGCATCTGCTGGAGATCCTATTAACCTGAGAGCTTTCAAAAATTCAAGATTGGTTTATAAATTATGGTTTATTTTTCCCTTCAAAGGACAAACCAAATACTTGTGCATCTTCCATATTTTCTTTTTTTTACTGTCGTCGTCTTCAAAATAATCGTCTTCAATCCATCATCTACCTTACAACACTGTCGCAAAGTGAATTATACCACCTCGGTACTCACTGATTGTTTAGTGACCACATACATTTTACTAGCATTTAATTGGTACAATACCCCGCTAAGGTGCACTAAGCCATGGCTACGGCCCCCACCGAAGCTCCAGAAGCTCCAGAAGCTACAGCAGCTTCATCTCAAGCTTCATCTCAAGCTTCAGCTCTCCCTTCCTCTTCTCCTTCTATCCTCCCTATTGACTCCTATGACACGGCGCTATGTATAATTCCACCCAAACAACTATGGCCCACCGTCAACCATTTGCGAGCAGTCCACGATCCAGCCTACAAGAAATGGCCACCCCACGTCAATCTTGTATATCCATTCGTCCCTGTGCACGACTTATCGAAAGCTTCGGACTTGATAGTCTCCCAATTGCAGAAGCGAAACCAGGGCGATGAGTTGACTGTACGACTGGAGTCAACTGGCTTCTTCACTAATAATCAGAAAAACACCGTTTACCTACATGATGAGGACCCAATCCGTGCAGCAAAGCTCACAGGTCTCAGAGAAGCTATTCTGGCATCTTTAGGACATGCTCCTGGCAACTATCAAATGCACATGACGGTAGGACAAACCAAGGACCCAGATTCTCTACTTCATAAATCTACGCTACAAAAGGCAGGTCTACTGCCCAAATTCGAGTGGGTCATTGAAAAGGTCTATATCATGATCCGGGATAAAGACAAGGCTCAGATCGATGAAGGCATCTCTAGCCAAATGAAAGTTTGGGGAGAAATCGACTTGGCATCACAAGCATTGTCGGCAATGGAGACTCCCGTCAGTCCTTCCCAGCATAAGATGGCCAGTCATCTTGAAGACATCCAACGTGATGTCACACGGAATTCACAACTTCTACCCCATCTTGCATACACATTCTCTCCCGCCGATAAGAAATGGATACAGCAGCAGATTGATTTAGATCTCAAGCCAGCAGAGCCAGCATTGCATTCCCTAAATGTAGCGAGCTACAATATCCAAGCAGAACACCACCTCACTCCAACCCAGACTCGCTATCCCATTATTACCAAGACCTTGATGGATTCCATGGCTCTCTCGGATGTCATGGTCCTACAGGAAGTTACGGATGATTTTCTTATGTATCTTTGCAAAGACGAGAAAATCCGCGAAAAATACCCCTTTATCTCGAACGGGCCCCCTGATCAGGCTGACATCCAGCCTCTACCAACCCATCTTAATGTTGTGGTATTGAGCAAATACCCTTTTTCGTGGGACCTATTGTCATCTCCAGGCGATCACAAAAGTTCGGTGATCGTAAAATTCAGCAATATTGGAAAGCACGAAGAGGGTGTCTTCCTACCCGTCATCTTATGTGGTATTCACCTTACCCCGGGTCTTTCGAATGCTTCGGTCGAGAAGAAAAAGCAAGAGCTGCAGAGTATCTTCGGACATCTTTCCCAGACTTACCCTCAAAATCCTTGGATTATAGCCGGGGATTTCAATATCACGACCAGTGTGTATTCGATCGAATCGGCCGTGAGGAATAAGGGGATCTCTGCGCCCACAAAGAGCACTCTAGGCCTGCTTGAGATAATGCTTACCCAGGAAGGGTTGGAAGACGTCTGGGTTCATTCGCGTGTTCAGTATGGCAGCCAATCATATCATATTCAAGGCCCTCCAGATATAAACAACACACTGGGAGGTGAGGAGGGCGCTACTTTTGACCCAACAGTTAACAAGCTAGCGAAAAGTACCGTTTGCAACGACTTCGAGAAGAGACCCCAACGTTATGCCAGGATTCTAGTCAAGGGAAATGACTTCTTCACCGAGAAGAGAGTTAACCTGTTTGGCTCTGAGGTTTATGACGACTCTGACCTCCACAACCCCTTATATGGTAGTGGACATCGGGGTATCCGATGTTTACTGAAATTCTCTACGGATCCATCAACTCGGTCGCCCCAAATCATCAATACTCCATCGATAGAAACCAAGCCAGCACCAACAAGCTTATCCGAAATCTCTACATTGACAGATTGCGTATCGAAGCTTTCTATGTTCCCTTCCGACGCTGTTAGTAAGGAGAGGCAAGCCGCAGTCAAATTGCTGGGCGAAGTTATCCAGGGAGGCGAGGACAGCAAGACCCGTGGTCTTCCAAATTTTACCATGATACCTGTCGGATCCTACGGACTCGGCATTTGGGATGCGGCAACAAAGATCAACTGTATTTTCCTTGGGCAAATCAGCCCGAGAACTTTCTACGCATTGGCCATCCAACGACTCCGCAAAGCCGCGCCGCGAGGCATCAGGATTCTTGCACGGCTAGAAACTCACCTAGGCACGTTCCTTGAGCTTGAAGTGGAGGGAATCAGGATGGACCTACAATACGGCCCACCACTCTCCAAGGCCGGGGCGTCGTCGGCCGCGTTGATGCAATCGAATAGTGCTGTCCGGACGCTGTCGCAGACTCCTGCAGCGAGACTAAAACAGGTGCATGAACTAGACTATTTACGCAACAGTATTCCAGATTTGGGTGCTTTTGAGCTATCATACCGAGTTGTCAAATTTTGGGCACAGCGACGCGGAATTTATGCCTCTAATTTTGGATATCTCGACGATCGCCAGATTACGTTCCTGTTATTACCAGTGTGCAAACTATTGGCGCGACAAGGGGGCCCAATATCTGTCCCAACAATTTTGACGACCTTCTATAACCATTACGCAAGTTTTAACTGGGAGAAGGATTGTGTTTTCGATCCATTAGTTCCCAAGCAACCAAGCTATAAAAGATCCTCGAGGGAACCTATGGTTATCTTGAGCTTTACCGGTCCTGGCATGAATACAGCACAGATGGCGACGGTTTCGGCAGTTCATACCATTGCGTATGAGTTTAAAAGGGCAGATTCCCTACTATCAGAGGGCAAAATGACCTGGTCACAGTTCTTGGGAGAAGACAAGGGCGCAGCAGAGTTCTTGAATACATATAAGATGTATATCAAGATTACTGCCCAGTTTTGGGGCGTATCTTTATCCAAGGGGAATATTTTCGTGGAGTGGGCAGAGTCGAGATGCGCCCGTCTGGTAGAAGGTTGGTTTTCCCCTTTTTTTGGTTCGTATTTGAAACGGATCGCAGCGCTAACGCAATCACAGATCTAGGCAAGAAAGTATCTCTCCTGAATCCGAGAATTTGGCCAGCACGTTTCGTACATGGCGATGACCCCAAGGAAGATACGGAGTACCAGGGACACTATATCATTGGCTTGGACACAGCGGGTCACCAAAACAAGAAAGAAATCGATGATTCAATAAAACATATCCAGACAGAGCTAGACAACTTCGAGGCCCAAATCGCCAACGACACAGAGAACATTGATCCCAAATGGTCTTGGCTGAGCGTTTCGATAGTATCTAGATCATATACCGGAAAGCTACGACTCGACGATCGCGACTGGAGCAAGTTCGCGGTTGAAGCTGAGGACGGCGACCTAGGCGACTCAGAATTCTGGGCATCGATGGATGAGCAAGAGTCCGCAGAACCGCAAAAGAAAAAGGAGGTAGCTATTCGTACATCGAAAAAGCCCGCCTACGAAGGAAAGCTCCGATCTGCGGGCGACGTGCTCAACCGATTGCGGTGGGATCAGAGCATGGACAGTGGTGACTACATAGTCGGCTACGAGGATCGATTCTCTGGGGTGATGGAGCGGGCGGTGGACTCGTGGAAGTCGGAAACGACACACGACGATTTCATACCCGAACATCGGATCTCGTACTTCAAACGAAAAAGCGACGGGGCGATCGTGTGGGATCGGGAGAAGAGACGGGATGAGATCTTTGGCAGTGGGGTTACTAGCCTGGCTGCTTCGGGTACGCAGGGCACGTTGCATGAAAAAGAACCCTGAAGTGGCGGTTGGTTTTTTTTTTTTTATCTCACCGCTTGGATCGACGCATGTAGCCCTGGAGATAAGATCTTGATAGATGGCTATAGCACAACGCCCAAGATAGGATAGGTCTGATATGTGTTTGCAAGCATGTCGTAGCTCCAAGACAGAATAGGAATGGAATCCCCCCCTAAGTCAGGTGACAGATCTCTCATGCGAGCAAGGGGCGTAGGTTTGCAAGGTTTAGAAGCTTGAAATGCAACGCTTTCTTTCCGCTCACACACACTTACCTAGGAACATTTTATGTACTTATGGGGTAGTCAACTGTCAGGGTATTAAATGTGTGATATCCCCCCCCTGACCCCCTAACTAACTAACCCCTTGTTAAGTTCGTTCGTTCTTGCTCGCTTCCCTCCCGAGGATTAATTATTTCGACTTTCCCTAATCGAGTAATATTCTTTTTTCTATTATCCGACGTCGATAACAATCATCATGGGAATCTTTATTTTTTCCCATTCTTGCTTTTTCCTTTGTACATTACATCAGCTAGCCACTCCTCCCACCTTCTTACATGCATAACAACAACAACAACAACAACAAGAACAAACATTTTGCAGCTTCATTAATTAGCTAAAGAGAGATACAGTAACCAGTACTGGACCTGGGCTCCTCCTACATCCTTTTTCGCAACCAACTATTAACTATTATTTCTAATTCCTGTTTTGCAGAAAATGGGATTCCCCTGTAAAAGCTATTGTGCTATCGATTAGTTATTAGGCACCCCCGCAAATCAACCTACGTACAATACAATACAATACCTACCTAAACTACCGGAACATTTAGTGTAGGTAGTTACCTACATAACCTTCTGGACCCTACAACTGTCAATCGCACGTATGTATGTACTAAGGTCGGCATACAGGTTATAGTAGATAACTAAAAGGGGTACAGTAGTTCGAATGCTATCGCTGGGATTCCGGGGCCTAAAAAGAAAAGGGGGGGGAGGGGGAGCCGCCTCTAAGCTCTAGTTCCCGAGGTGTGCCTTGAATGGCTTGATCTCGTTTGGCATTGGAAGTTTTCACGGCGCGCCTACATACACAGGCCCTACTTACTTAGTACTGACTGTGCTACATACTGTACAAATGAGGTCTAGGAAGTGTGTGGTGTTACAAGTTATGTGGCTGGACTGCCTAATTAAGGACCAACGGGTCGGGCACGGGCCAACATGGAAGAACAGTTGTTCCAACAACGCTTAGGCCCTGTTGTCACGTGACCCCCCTTGGCTCCACCCGCTCCGAAAGGAACAAAGGAGCATCGCTCGGGGGCTCCCAAGGGAGCCTCGGAGCCCATACATTGTAACTAGATATATAAGGACTCAAATATTCAGCTCTTCCAGGTAGAGAGATCTCCAGTTATCAATCTAAGCTTATATCCACCATATAGGGGAGCCTCAAACACTCCTAACGAGCACCAGCTTACTTAAGTGAATCACTTGATCATGCTGTTACCTTCAAACCAAGACCCCATCGACAAGCCTCGTTACATGGACTTGCTGTCCACACACTTCCTAGACCCGATTTGTACATGTATGTAATGCCCGTCCATTGATACAATGTTTGAAGTAATGCCGATATTGAACATCGAAGTTAGAACAGCCTTGCCCCTGCATATGTAGCTCTCACGTGGCACTACTATGTAATACTCTTCATCATTATCACGGCGCCTTCAAACGCGATTGAAAGACTCCACTTAAGAACACATGCATGCTTTAAGGTATGCATGTACATAGGTGTTTAGGTACAGGCCGTACAGTAGTTAAGAAGGCACGTCGCCTACTTGCTTTTGTGATATATCGTTTGTCTATGTAAGTTTCAATGTCTACATGTTTATCTCCCCAAGATTAGAATCACAAGGATATACCTAACTAACCTAGGTAGTGTATATACAATCTAGTCGTATCTGCTTCGACGTTATGTTAATTCTTGCCTAAGGTTCTTTCCTTCCTCACCCCAAATCGCCCCGTAGTCGAGTTGTAAGTACGGTAGATACCTCAGGCAGAGCTTTTGTCTACCTACCAACTTACGTAGCAAAACCCCAACCTAAACCCACAAACTACATCTTAAAAACCAATTCTCTCGAATTGACCGAATAAACTTGAATAATTCACCTACCTAGCTCGCGTATCCCCCAACCTCAATCACGATGTCTTGGGCCTGCGACGACTGCAACCGAATATTCGGCACCTGGCGATCGCGCCAGCAACACCTCGACGCCCTGGGTCACGACCCTCTCGATTACGAGTGCCGCTGGTGCGACGACATCTTCTGCGACGAAGAAGAGCGACGAGACCATGAGGCCTTTGATCACCACTACTGCGGCGACTGCGACCGCTTGTTCCAAAGCTACAACTGTGTCAAGATGGTAAGGAAAAAAAAGGAAAGGAAAGGAAACAACGGCCGATGAAGAGGGAGGGAGGAAGAAAAAGAAAATTCACCAGGACTTTTCTAGTACTAGGTAGAGCATAGAGGCTGACTTCCCGCATCGCATATAGCACCTCAACTCGCGCATCCACCGCGGCAGCGACGGCATCCTGTGCCCCTTCTGCAAGACCGGATACGCGACCGCGACGGGTCTCGCGCACCATCTAGAGGGCGGCCACTGCTCGCGAGCTCCCTTCCTGAACCGGGACGAGGTGTACAAAGTAGTGCGGGCCAAGGACCCATCGGGCCTGATCTCCAAGAAGTTGCTCGGCTGGCACGGCTCCGAGAGGTACGAGGTGACGGGCAACACGTGGAACGGCTACGCGTACGAGTGCTACCTTTGCCACCGCGACTTCAAGACCCTGCAAGGCTTGAGCCAGCATCTAAATTCGCCTGCACGTAAGGAAAACACCTCCCTCAGACTCGGGGTTTTCTCCGTTGGAATTTATCGGGGAGTCAAACTGACCTTGCCTTGAACCACAGACCAACAGCCTCTCTACCACTGTCCGAACCGCCGGAACTGCGGTCGCGATTTCAAGACCCTGGCAGCCGTCAGTAAGTGCTTGCTTGATTCCCCTCTCTTACCCATACCCATACCCATACCCATACCCATATCAGTCAGTATTAGCCCACTAACAATCTCCCCTTTCCCATAGTGAACCACCTCGAAAGCGAAAGCTGCTCCTTCATACGCTTCGAAGACGTGCAGAAGACCGTCACCGACCTCGTGAGCAGTGACCGACGCCTCACCTTCGGCTAAAGTCAGATACCTACCTGCATGCCTAAGATGTAGGTATGCTCTACCCCTACCTCTACCTCTACCTTCAACTCCGCCTCCGCCTATACCTATACCCATACCCACTCTCCTCTCCTCTCCTGTCCACTCCCTTATATGTTTGCCCCCAAAACAAAACCCCCCACGACCTTTGGTAATGATAAGTAGTGCTAATGCTGCTCTTAGCTCTTAGTCGTTTGTAGAATAGGCATCGAATATCTGCCCACTACTTCCTACTTACATACATTCCTAGCTCCCAAAGCCCCCGCGTGGGGGGGGAGAGAAGAAGGGAGGTTGGGTTGGGTTGGGTTGGGTTTCTGTTGCTGGAGTTCGCAGCAAAATTTATCTGCCTACCTAACCTAGGTAGCCTAGGTAGTTATCGGGACGCTACTCTGTAAAAAATAATCATGTTTTCAAACGGAGTCTAGTTGGTTGGGTGTGCCAGATGAGAGAGAGAGAGGAAGTATGAAGGAGAAAGAAAACAAGAAAGAAGAAGAACATGCCCCCCCCCAAAAAAATTCAACTAATTGAGTCTGGAATTGGGTTGGCCGGCTACAAACCGTTTAGGTAAATAAGATACCCTAATTAAGTGCATATCTTGTGCTCGGGCGGTACATACAGTACCTACATAGTTAATGTACATATGTATGCTCCACTTGGAACAAGCTTGGCGACCATTTTTCAACTCCCGAAGAGAACAAAATACTGTACATACATACATACATGCCTAACTTAGGTTAATAAGTTTTGAGGAGACTCCGATGACGATACCGGCGATAATAAACCGAACGAGGGGAGCGGACCGGAGAAGAACGGAAGAAGAGAAAGGGGGGGGTTCCTTTTTTTTTTTTTTTTTTTTTTTTTCATACTGCGTAACATACCCCTTCCCTGATGGATGCCCTTTTCTGGTTCAATGTTCTTCTTCTTCTTCTCAGGTAACCAACCAACCCCACCCCCTCAAAGATGTAACGGTAACGAGGCACCGATCTTGAATAAATCTACATACTACTTACTTACTTACCAACGCAACGCATTACATTGACGTATGTATGTATGTATTTAGGTATGGAGATGCATTACCTACATACATACATACATCATGTACCGGATCCTGCGAATTCATGGTAGGTAGCGCACATGTATGTATGTACATATGTGTAATACATATCTAACCTAGGTACTTAGATATATGTATGTAAAATACAGCCTACCTGTTTACCTAGTACTATGTATATGTCTTTGATCCCTTGCCGCTCCTTCGGTACATACCTAGGTACCGTATACTATGATGCTATGTAAGGTTAGGCTAGTATCATGTAATGTAGGTCTGATACATACATACATACATACATATGTCAAAGGCTGGCCAAGTACTCTAACCTAGGTTAGATCAATCTGTCTTAGCAACATTGAAAGCCTACATACCTCTGTACCTGCCTATGTACCTAGTAGGTAGCAGATAATAACCGAGAAACATTGATGCCTACCTAGTACGGTACCTACTACCTAGTGGGCAATTACCAGAATCCCTAATGCGGTATTCCGTTAGCCAGCATTTGAGGTACGTACATGTATGCGCATCACCTGCATATGTACATCCCATCCATCCTATCCTATCCTATCCTATCCTATCCTTCCTTTCCGGCTATCTACATACATACATTGCCTTACCTGACATACATACATACATAGGTACATGTATCCACGATCGGATATCACCGCCGGGAAGTACTACATACATACATATACCATGATTTGTACGATCTCGTTTGCGGTTGATTGGCTGATAGTTATTTAAACTGCTCCTCGAGCCTTGGATGGATAGATGTGATGGATGTGATGTTTGGTACTGTATGCTGAAGCACCTATCCGAATCCTACCCAACAGCCTTGGTACCACGGGTAGGATGGGATATGTAGGCCAGGTAGGAATATACAATGCACGACTACATACATAGTACATACTACTACGCTGTCTGCGTCGGTTGTACGGCACGCGTAAGGTACAGTAGTTATATGAGGGCAGTTGAGAAAGAACGGCAAATACGGAAGTCGTGGGGTAAACCGGAGGATGAATGAATTTCGCCAACGGTACCTAATGATTAGAGTACAGTATGTAGGAGGAATGGAGGTGAACTATGCGGGCACGGGGAGTATATCAAGCCCCCGGCTTTCACATCCTTCTTACCTCTGATGAGTTCCAATGATGTAATTCACCGTTTACTGATCCTTGATCTTAAATACCACGGTATGCAAGAAAACGAGTTTCGAGGCTGGAAACATGGCAAGCAGTCAGCCTAGGGTCGCCTTTCCTTCTTGTCTCCTCTCTTCTCTGCATATCTATACCTACCTACCCACATAACAAGCAGAGCTCGAAAAGAGAATAAGGCGCTCTGACCTCTCTGCGAACGCCGTCGTCGGTTACCTACCTAGTCAGTTGGCTCTAGCTTTAGCTTTTAGCATGAGAAAGCAAAAGCCAACGGAAACTAAGCACTTGGCAACGGACTCATCCGGTTATGCCGCGGCAAAGTAGCGCATCCGTGTTTCACCGGCCAGCTAATGATCCGATCCCCTGAACGTCGGAAAACCCGTCCGTTGCCGCGAGGCTCTGCTGGGTCGCCGGTGGGGTGTTTAGCGGGATTTCATCCGCCTCGGACTCCGGGGCGCCGATCAGCGGGATACGGATCTTCGATCAGTCTTTTTCATCTCCGCTATGAGCTGCAGATACAATGTAATGACATTCGATGTAATTTGGGCTGATAAATGCGTGCCCTCCCTTGTTTCTCCCCAGTCCGGAGGTAACTGGGGAAAAAAAGGGAAAGGAGGGGGGAACTGACCCAAACGCATAATACGCCAACTACACGAAGGGGGCGAATAGCAAACAAAACTCTCCAACCATTCATCTGTCTTGTGGTCTTTCAAATTTCGGGAAACCCGTCCGGCTCTGTTGTGGGACATTCTGACATTTCGCCCCTTCATTTATCAGTTTCTTTCGTAGACGAACAGCTGCTGAGCGATTTTTCAACAAATATTCCCAACATCCTCACACAACATTAATGCAAGGCTCACAAATCTGGCAGTTGGGCACTATTTGACCGGCATCTCTGGGCTGCATCAAGGTGACCAATGCGCGTCTGGCTCTCGTCTCGTATGAAACTATTTCCTGCATTAGTCGGCCCCTCGTGCGCAGATACAGTCATCCCAAAGTACACCGTGAAGGTTGACAGTGTAGACTACAAATCCGAGCTCGCTATCATGATCGAGAAGACATGTCAGAATGTGAGCGAGGCCAGCGTGCTCGGTTATTTCCACAATCGTGCAACATCCAGCGACGTGTCCAGCAAGACCCCGTAGAACGCGTAAAGCTGGGCTTGGTATTCAAAGCCTCGACGAATCTAGCCCCTTGACCCTATCCTAGCAGTCAACATGTCTAGCCCTAACATCTTTCCCATCCATGGTTTGAAAAACGAGGAAAGGCAAGCCACCAGCCTAAAATGTCAGAATGGCTATGGCAAAGGTTCTGCATTCTTGTTGGCGCAGCGTCGACTGATTCACTTTATCCAACGACATGGGATTTAATTACCCGAGTCTATGAGCTTCCTCTCTCAGAGTGCTATTTCGCCGACTGGATTCGTAATCTGTACCGGAACACATTCCGGCGCGATTTTCAAGCAGGTGCTTGCGACCTCTCTTCAGGACAAAGGACAAGTCCGTAGTGGGCCTTGTGGTTGAATAATGAAGGCCTTTCCCGGTATATAGAAGTGAAACATGGGGGCTGCCGGTCTACAACGTCAAGCAGTCGTTGGCTGAGAAGGTTATGTTTCGATGTAAGGTTGCCTTAAGTCAGCCAGGGGAAAAGGGGAAAAAGAAACCGCGCACACCAAGTTGTCATGAAGCTGGTGTAACGAGACACAACAATGTATACTGTTGCCCGACTGAAGTGAGAGTGGGTCGTAGCTAAACACGACACATAATAATCATAAGGGGCTTTGCAGATATTTCGGGGAGCACCGAACACACCCCTTCAGCCTTGCGAGGCCAAAGCGAACCAAAGCCCTCCGAATACGGAGCAATTTCGAATTTGACAGAGAAACAATTTGTCACTGAGTTGCTTATCCGGTAAGATCCTGTCCTCTTTGAATCGCAACGAGTTAGCAAACCGACTAATACCGGCTACCCTACTGTGATTCGATGTTCTCGGTTGCTCATTTGCCTTCTGCAAATTACAGCCTACTGCGTGGTAGTATTATCACGACTCGTTATTGAAATTTGATCCTACCAGGGGTTTGATGCAATGAAACCTCCGGGAGACCGGATTCGAATGCCGTATGCAAAGGAGACCGTCAACCCTAAAATAGTCGGAAAAGCAACAATCCATCGACTCGGTCTCAGCCAAGCGTCATAGCGCACACCATCATGAAAGACATATACATATTGATTGATACCCCAGTGCATGATGACTTGTGTGCCCTTGCTTCCTGCATGACACCCTCGAATCACAGCTAGTCGTAAAACTGTCCCTTGACGTCGTGTAACAAGCCTACATGTCAAATCATTGGCGTGAAGAACAATTCTGGAAGATGTAGAAATCATGGCTGATATCCCAATGGCTGGTAACCTAGGTAGGTAGATAATTTTTTTAAGCTAGTAATATTGAATTCGTTGCCTCTCCTTTCTTATGAAGGATATTAATATTTTTCGATCGCCATCGGCGCGCACATACACATGTATGTATTTATCGCTCCTTTAGATTCGCATACGAGGCAAGCACTTTAGGAAGGCAGATGCGGATATTGTGATAACGAAGTGGCAATTTCAGGTCCGTGACTTGGCGTACCTGCGAGAGTCTACCTGGAGAGGAAGCAACCATGGTAGGGCCAGCCAATATCATTTGAGGTATGCCTCCGAGTCGCATGTGCTGCTAGGTCAGCCAAGTTGGGAAAGGGATATACAGGCCCTGCTCCAAGTGTAGTAACCCTTATTGAAGCAAATATTACAAATGGAACTTTTTCATTGACGGAGAAATTCGGAATAGGCGAAAATACCGCCTCGGAATTCCACGGTGCACGACGAAGTCAAGACCAAACTTTGATCGAGTACTTCTTCTAGTCCTCATGACCACCAAATAGCGTCATTATGGGAGGCATTACCTATCAGAAATGGACAAGCAGTCAGTAGAACAGCACTCAGACTTGTCCTATTCTCTGTCCTCAGAGTCCTTGCATCGTGGGATTTTGAAGATTTTAAGTCGGTTGTGATCCAGCATATTCCTTCCAAGGATAGCCTAGTCAAATTGAATCCCCTAAACGTAATAGAGAAATTCCCAATCTTGATTCAAGAAACGGGCCGTTGTGGGTCGAAGAAGCCCTCGAGGATGATTCTAATAGTCTCTCTAATTATGCCGACTGCATGTGGCAGGGCCTTGGAGGACTGCAATTTTTAGGCCCCTGAGCACAAATTTTCATATAGTGCTACACAGTAGGCAGTCTTACCGCCTTACCCGTGGCAACTCGCTGTGGAGATGGAGCATTCATAGACGTTTCAGTCAAAGGACCGCGACGTTCCACTATCACGTTGAATAGTGGTCTTTCGATGATGATGTCACTGTACTGTGAACACAGCCAGAGGGGAAGCTGTCAGAAGCCTGCATTCCTTGGCGTCGTAGGATGATTGAGTATCTGTGTGTGAGTAATCTGTAAGGGGAGGCAAAAGGGCTTCCTCTTGACCGTTCCCGAATCTTCTCCAAGGAAAGTGCATAAGCACGCACAAATTATTTGTTCGATGAGGATCAACGGATTGGGGCCATCTACCCAACTAGAACGTACGAGGATAGGTTCTTCTAGTCGATCGTCAAGCTAATGCGTTATCATTGGCAGCATCTTTACTTGACCCCCCGCGGAAATTGCTCAAGTCTCCCGAGGTTGTGCCCCTTTCCAATAACTAAGTACGGAGACTAAACCCCAGGTTCGGGTGTTCGGTGGAGGTGCAACAAGTGGCATTGAAGTTGAACGCGTACCAATGGTCAAACAAGGGGCGCACAGGCTTGTATGACGAAGACGTTTATCCTTAAGTAGAATCTTTAAAACAAGCTCCCTTAATAGACTCGTTAAGGAGGTTTGTCTCGCATTATGTTTGCCGAGATTCGAATAAATACGCAATTGACGGGGTCTATGAAAACTAAGTGAGAATAGTCAAGATTGAATATAGTGTTTTGGTAGTATTATACTTACCGTTCCCCGATAGGATGGGCAGGTGGTTTGAAGCAGAGGTATTCACCATGCAACATGATGGTCTAATCATCATTACATGATCCTGCAATCTGCATTGGCTCATTGGCTCATTGGTCTTGCCAGCCCATCAAACTCGTTGAGGTTTCTGTGTTTCCAGTTGGTTCGTGTGCGTCCAGAAGGGCTTATTATTGCTGCTACTGCTGGTGCTGCTGTTTAAATGGAGTAAACTAGTTGAAATGGTCAGTAATATGCCTCATATACCTCATGGCATGCATATATGAATTAGCTTACGGAGACAAGCATCCTTCGAGTGTCGATTAGAGCCCTGGCCTGCAATGCCAACCAACCATAACCGTTCATTTTCTTCAGTGCGTAGTGATGGCAATTCGAACGCCTCGTACGCCAATGGCGGTAAGCAAACAACCAAAAACGATTGCCTAATTTACGATGCAACAAAGGGCGCAATCCAGGAAAAGGGGGCGAACGAGTAGTAACGATAGGTGCCGTGGGCAAACTATAGTTGAGGAATCTTATGTCGGCGAGATCGACATATAATTACATGCATCTCATGCGCATCGTGCATATTGTATGTAAGTGTGACGTTTGTAAAACGTGGAGAAGTAGATAGACGAAATCTGTCATGAGGGTTGGCGAACTTGTATGAACTGTTTTCTTGTTCTGACAAAGGATCGCGAACGGTCGGTGACTAGGAGGGTAGGTGGTAGATAGGTGGGTGAGTGAGTGGCACAGGTCAAGTAGGTTGGTAAGTAAGACATTCGAGATCAATTAAGAGGGGGAAAAAGAAAAAGTGTATGCTGCACCTAACCATGGCTAACATACCTACAGTACCTGCCTGATACCCCTGAGGATTTATGCCTTAATCGGATCGTTCCAGTTTTTTTTCTTAGTAATTCGGCATCGACCTTTTTTGGATCTGACCCATTCTAGCGGGCTGAGGGCTGAGGTTGGTAAGGCGCGGGGCGCCCCGGGCGGCGCTTACTTGATGTACTAGGGACGTGTGTAGCGAGGTACCTAACCTAGGGTACTACGCCGTAGGTATTTTAGCAGTCTGGGGTTTAGCTTTATCTGCATATGTATGTACTAGGTAGGTATAGTACTGATATCTACATATCTCAAAATATGAATTATTAGTGTCAGTTCAGTTTTAGTTCAGTCCAACATTGAACTTCATTTTTGTTTCCCAGTTTCGCTTCCGTACTACATAATACAACATCAATATCTATACCCTACTAACATGCCTACTCTTACCTACATACTACTATGTATGTATAATACATAGTTACCTACATGTAGGTATAATACATAGTTACCTACATGTAGGTATCTATCCCCGCCATTATCACACATCAAATATGTTGGCTTGCATCATTATCAACGCCAGGTATATTATACGTCGCCATTCAACGGAGTCTCGGAATGTTCAACTTCAAATCCTAATCTTTTTCTTTCGCGGACGGTCTTTCTCTTTCGGTCTCTCCCTTACATGAAGAACCTTACTTGCATACCTACCCGTGTCGCCCAAGTTACAGATTCTAAACACATGCAATTAGGATTTACAGCAAAGGCGCCGCCGACTGTGCACAGGCTGACAGGTAGATCTAGAGTTCGGATCGTGATCAGCATATAACCCCTCATTACCAGTGATTCAGGCTGCTCGGCACCCCCCTTGCCAATAATCCCGTTCTTTTCCTGCCGTTATTCTCGTTCACCGCTCTAGGGGTGATGGCATCACTGACGAGTCTCCTGATTTCACCAAGTTGGGCGTAGCCTGTTGATTGGAGAATGTCTACCTAGGTACCTATCCTATCGCCAAAGCGCTAACTGTGACGATGTCTAGCGTAGCATCACGGCAGTATATGATTTAGTTGGAGAAGTGGATTCGTGCTGCTGGGTCCTATCGTGGTTCGGATCAGTTCTCTCATAGCCATGGATCGGATCAGCCATAGCCACTACCATGTAGTGAGAGTACATATCTAAGTATTCAGGTACCTTTCTCTAAACCATGGAAGACTGCTCAGTGCTCGCTACTTGGATGCAGATGTAATTCTTGATTAGACTTCAGCCTAGCCTATTACGTAGAGTACGCATTGCCTATTTGAGATGCTATCACGACTCTCCAAATCCGGAAGAGGAGGGGTTCAAATAATTAACCCTCCTTCGCCCATTCTGGTGAGACAGGGAGTTGATTGGATGCCATCAAGACGGGATTTAAAGCACCACCATCCACCGCCAACGGTACTTTGTGCTTACGATTATGGCCGCTCTGATACTCTATGTATGTCATGAGTTGTACATGCTTAGATGCCATGGCCTCGTAGGTCGCATCTAGGTATCCGTGTAATGACAGAACGCCATCCCCGCCAGCTATCACCTTCCGGACCAGGTGGGTTTACTTACAAAATTGGGCGTAGCGAAGCGCTGATGGGACGGCACGAAGGAATATTAGTTGTAAGTATTGAACAAAGCACATATACAACGTTGACTTTGTAATGGGGACCTGGGACTAAGTACCTAGCAAAAAACCACGATCCTTTGATCTCACGGATGTGGGCTTTGTGGGTTTCGTTAATCATGTCCCTCTTTCTCCGCCCGAAAAGCCCCAGAGAGATCCAAACCCTAAATCCACTTTTGCGATGATTTTCAGGACAAGCAAACGGGATCGGCAGCATTGCCTATCGCATGCAACTCTGAAACGGAAGGGCTATGTATTATTGCCCGCAGGTGACAGGTGTGACAGTTGCACAGAAGCAGCGAGAGAGAGAGAGGCGTCTGCTGGTTTGGTTATCCCAAGCCTTCCAAGCAGCAGCCCAAGGACCCAGGGGGACAAATAATGGGGAGTGTAAATGCCGATGGAACCGAGCCAGGCTAAGCCACCGAAAGAAGAAAAAGAAAGAAAAAAAAAAAAAAGGACAGACCCTAGGAAAAAAACAGACGGTTGTGTTGACGTAGAGAAAAAGAAATCCCAAGGTGATGTCGCCTAGTAGGGCTTACCATCTGCAGCAAAACGGCCCTAATGATCCAAACTCGGTTCCGTAGCCCACGTGCACTGCTCACCTCGCAGTTCGTTCAACTCTAGTGAGATGGCGGAATTCTGATGAAACGCACGAATCAAGATAAGTACTGTACGAGGCAAGCTTGGGGCTAAAGAAGGCATTTATTACCCATGTAGTACTAGTAGTCTAGTAGTCTAGTAGTACTAGATAGATAGTGCACCGTACCGAATTTCGGACGCGTCGGCCCGTCAGGGCTAGCTGACATGATCAAATTATGTAGGTTAGTTAGTTAAGTGGTCGTTGATGATAGTTATTGGCAAGATTCGGAAATAAGTCGCTGACCTGCGTCGTTGCTTTCTCATGCCCACAGAATGAACGAGCGGACGAACGTGGCCAGGCACCGAAGCTCCGTGCTTTTGTGATTGTGACTCAGGAACAGCTGGCTCCTGCAAACGGCAAATCATTTCACTAAACCATCGTGAACTTGCAGCGTCTTGGATTGCCTTGTGGCTGTTTTTGTTGGCTGCCATTGGCCAATCACTTTCTCACTGAGTCCACAGGCACTGGTTATATACCGAATGAAGTAAAAGCCCGAGCAACTGGGATCTACTGCCTTAGCTTCTGTCAAAACTTCCGCACTTTATGATGAGTAGGTAGCATCAATACCTACTATGTATTGTACATACTTATTATTTGGGTACCTAGTACCTACCAAGCTATCTATCTACATAGTTTAGACATGGGTTTCGATTCCATGTGGTGAACAGCGTTCATATAAACAGTTACATATATGACTTATGACCTGTAATACTTCGTAATGATCTCCTAGGCGTAGTACCAACCTACCTACCTACATATGCATGCAGTCATCTCCTCGATGTAGCCAACCCTTTAGCTACTGGGTACAGGCCTAGGTAGGTCTATACACATCCATGGAAGCTTGGATGAACCGGAGGTCATACACATCTTGAATTCGCGACAAGATACCTTAGGTGGGTAGGTAAGAGTATGTAATGTATGTACAAGTGATGGCAGGCTAAGAATAGACGCCCATGGATACCTTAGTAGGCAGTATGCACGTACATATGTAAGTAGAGGAATCTAGAATCGTTGGGGCCAGGTTAAGACTCATGGCGTCGCCTAGCGGTTTGCTCGTTTTGCTCGTATTGACATTTTCCATTATTGAAAATGGGTTTCATGCATGGACTTCTAATAATCCCCCTTTTCAATTCTAAGGTTGTGTCTTTTTTATTTTTATTTTTTTTTCGTTTTATTCTTTTTTGCAGGGTTTTCAAGCCTCAATTCAGCTCTTCATCTCTCTTATGTAGATATGTGCTTACGTACCTAGACCCTATACGGTATACCTACCTAGGACTGTTGTTTGTCACTCTTTCTCTAACTCCCCCCGTCAGCTCTGGCTTCCTTCATTTCCTCTGTCTAGCCAATCTCATGAGGGCTTGTGTGGTACAAGAACATTTTCCAAGGTACCTACCTTGCAGGACATAAGGCTGCAATGGATAAGCAAGTGAAAGAATTGGAAGCCTCTGACTTACGATTATTACGTATGACATCGGTCCCATGTTGTGGGCACCAAAGGTCAAGAAAGAAGGGAGGCAGGGGACTTTACTGCATGAGGTTAGTAAAGTACCTAACCTAGGGTACTTCGTAGTTACCGTTCTTAAGTCTATTCTTAGTGTCGTTGTATTCGGTTCGAGGGTAACAGCGGTAGGTGAATAGCATGGATAAGTTCATTCCATATCACTCCAGAATCCAGATACATATGTAGATAGTTACCTACACATGCATCTATTCACAAATGCATACTACTGTACCCTAGGTAGCTATGTACCCATCCAATTGGCAATCAAGTTGAATCAACGTCACATGCACCCATCAAGGTATTTTACATTAAACTGGTAAAAATACAGCGAGTGTCATATCAATTGGTATCAATTGGTCAAGGTTCAGCTACTATGTCTACTGTATACACGATGATCTATACCCTCATACATCCAATACATATCAACATATACATATGTATGTAGATAGATAGGTATGTATTGTATTGTACATAACTACGTACGTACTACAATTCGCACTTATGTAGCAAGAAAATCCCGTTTCTTAATCACCAAGGTGCCTCGTGACCCTGGAAATCATGCCACACCGCTGGATGTAACAGTATCTAGGTACTAGGCTAGGTACCCATATTGGAATGGATACATTCAATGTTCAACTTTTGGTTCGAATTTTATGTCTACTAGTTAACTAACTAATTATTATGTATGTGTAATATGTGTATATTACTTGTATATATCTGTCTATAGCATATATGCATAGCACTAGGTATAGTAAGTTAGGTATTATTTTTTTTCATTTATTCGAATCAGGGTAACTATTTTATCTTTATTTTTTATTTTTTTTATTTTTCTCTTTACCTAACCTCCGATGCCTCTTTCCTCTCTATCTTTTCTCTTTGACTCTTGTTTTTCTCTCTTTTGGAACTTACCTTCCCCTCTTTTACTGAGGTTATGCAAAACCCACATATGTGACCTTAGGCTTCCTTTAACAAGATTGGGCAGCTTTGTTATTGACTGCACTTGCCTTACTTATGTATCTATCTAGGTACTATGTAGGTATTACCTACTAGATGGAGTCTAGATGGAAACTATCTTTTTTTTTTCCTTCTTTTCCCCCCTTCGTACTTACCTTGGTAGTCTTTGACTCTTCAATTTCATCAATGTTCTTTTCCCTTATTCGTACATACATCATGTACATACACATCATGTAGGTAGGTACTATGTAGTCTGGTCCAGTCGTAGTCTTCTTTCCTTTTACCCCTGGCCCTAACCCCCCGGCCTCATGCCCTGACGATAGAGCTTGCCTTGTCCTATCCTATCTCTCCCGTCATCAGGAAGTTCACCTACCTACCTTCCTAGGCGTCCGTGATGGACACATACATAAAGTTGGTCCCATCCCAACTTAAATAGCTTGCCCTTTCTTACTATGTAAGAGGTCCTCGTGAGTATCAGCCAAAATTATTTAAAGCCTTTGTTTCCCACATACCCCGTCATACTTCCATCATCATCAACAACATCAAGCTATCTTTGGTAACTTCCTGAATTATTCTGAGGATTGTCTTGAAGATATTTATTCATCACTTTATATACATACCTATCTACTTATTCACTTGTTCTATACTTGAATAGATCTCGTCCACCATTATAAGTGACGCGATTGTTATTAAGACACACACTATATATATCTATATATATACCTATATATCACACATAGTCTGCCTCTGCCGCCCAAGACATACATACATACCTACCTCCATACATAAACCCTTTGCAGCAACCTGGCCGTCACAATGTGCGTCAAGGAGCATCAACCTCTTGTCGACCACTGCTGCACATTTTGCTGCAAGGCAGTTGACTTTGGCACCCACGACTACTGCGGTTACGACTACGCCTGCCCGCGGTGTCCCGATTAAGAGCCTCATGGTTTTAAGCCATGAGGGGGCCAGACGTATGAACACCGTCTGAATCGTCCCCCCTACTTATCCGGCTGCTGTTCCTCTTAACATGGAAACTCTTGTTACTTTTTGTTTCGGCCTACCTCGCCTCGACAAGACCCGACTACTTTGGGTCTCCCGCCTTCTGCTTCTGCTTAGCAAGTAACACTTGTAGTGCATGCTCCTGAAAAAGAGAAACTCGCCGAGAAGGACGAAAATTCAAAGGAAAAAATACACCAAAAAGAGTAACCCTGGCTATCCTGACCATCTTCGCTTAATGCCAGGCTCGACCGCTATCTCTATATCTCGCTTCCTCTATGCCTCAATTCACACTGTTGTCATTCTAGAATGTCAACGCTTTGCATCTGGTTCGCTCATCAGCATGCAAGGCTGACAGTGAGACGGCGTATTGTATGACACCTTGCCTTATAAATGCTCGGACAAGGTTGTTGTTGTTATTTGCAAGGGGCCTGCGTTGGTGGTATCACGTATGCTGCATACTGCAACTGCACTGCAACTCTTCGTTACCGCACGTTGGCTTTCCCCCCCTCCATGCACTTTGTTCAGTATGGCTGGGCTCACCACAACATTGTAGCACCCTCACACCCCCTCCTGTACCACTTTCTCCTTCTGCCTCTTTTTCCCTATGCATGGATGCGCATTGTTGTGTTGGAACCCTTTTGATTATTATTCATTTTTCTTTTTCTATTTTTCTCTGCACTTCCTGATTTGGTATACCTTCGTTGTTGGTTTGGGATACACTTGGATGCGAACTGGAGTTCATATGGAGAAGCGAGCAAGGATAACGGATACATGTATTGCTTGAGTGGCATTATGGGCGCTGCAAGGAGCAAGGACCAACAGATCATCATTGTATTGGGGCGCTGGGTCTATGGTGTATTTCTTTTTCTTTTTCTTTTTTCCCTCTCCTTTTCCTGGGTATGTGGCACGCCCCCCCACCCAATACCCATCTTGCACTCCAACGTCTCCGGAAAATCTAGCTAGAAGACAGAAGAGGACTCCACCTGCTTCTGTTGGCGGCCGGAATTCGCAGTACGAAGCGATTTTTTTTATTTTCTGTTTTTTTTCTCATCTCATCTCTTTCCTCTTCGGTTAGGTAGGGTCATGACAGGCGTAGACTCTTGAACCAGACAAGAGTCAATCGGTAGCTCTGATAGCATGGAAATAAGGATATACTCATACTCAGCCTTTGGTTGAAAGAAGCAATGACGATGATGATTTGATGCGGAAGAATCGGATGGCCGCCAAGGAGCGGAACGGCTACTACACCCACCGGAGTATTCAACTTTGCCTGGAGAGGGAACGTCTAGGAAGGGAAATTGTTTTTTGTCTACATTTTTCCCACTCCGGGAAGAGACATGGAGAACATCTGATTTCCATATATTTTTCTTATTATCGATACCTTCCAACTTGTCACGCGGGCAATTGGGAATACGTTTTGCTTACCCTCGATGGTACCAAAGCATGTTATAAGAGCCAAATCAATCAATCAATGCATAGAAACCATGATACATATCTCTTTTGCGTTGTATATCACTTTGTATATTCATACCCCAGGAAGGAAAGTACCGTTTCGCTCCCATTTTCCGTGGCCCAGCCCCTCTCCATCTGCCTGTACTGCGAGTCCCAAGCCCGAGAATCCCCGTCCGTTCCATTGCATATCGAAGGTCTCGCCCCCAAGGCGCAAGTCTGACGGCCCCCATTGACTGGGTATCGGCGCCGTAGCACGTCGGTCCTGCCGGCGGCCGTGGGGCACGGGAGCTATGACGAGGACCAAAAAAAGAAAAAGAAAAAAAGGTCCCATCGGGGTTCCTGGCCCCGAACCTGGATGAATTTTAGGGTTAATGCTGATTTGTCTCTTGCTATGTATAATATGTAGGTATGTATGGTACTGTGTTTTGTCTGACACGCGTATCAGCTTTCGCTACGATGACCTGCTACTACTACCTTGGATCCTGCTCACGGGTTACCATATATGTAAGTCAGTATAGGTATACCTGCAAAGTGCTTACGCCGCCTCTCCGAATGCCTAGGTAGGTAATACGTAGCTAGCAAGTGAATATAGGTAGATTAAAGGGGGGGAAGTGGAGGGAAAAAATAATAATAGGTAAACTACCCCCTATCCGGAGAAATTTCCGTGAATCTACAAAAAACGAAAACTAGATCCCGAGCCTTGTCCCCTAGGTAGGGGTAGGTACCTACCTACCTTCTCTCCCCCTGTTTTGGGATATATCTTTCTTGATATTAACCACGATATTTTCATTGTTGGCATCATAGATAGATAGACAGGTGCATACACACATACCAGGTAAGCAAGCAAAGCAGGCAGAAGAGTAAAAAAAAGAAGGAAAGAAAAAGAACGCGCAGCCGCCACGTAGCTCCTTTCCTGTGATAGACATCATCGTTGCCTCCACCTACGTATAAACCATGTCAAACCAAACAGCTCCCCCCCTACCATGATCAGAGGAGCGTTATCCCACGAACCAGGATAGCTGGACTGTGGAGTGGCAAGCTTCTCCATCTCTTGCCATCTCTTTGCCATCTTCGCTTCATCTTACTCTTGGTCTTGGTCTTGGTCTTGGTCTTAACTCTTATTCTTATTCGTACTTTTTTTTTTTTTTTTTGATGATCTCGGCAACTATTTCACATCGTCCGGCTGTCCATTCATTTTCTTTTGTTTAAGCCTCGGCAACTAAATTAAACTGGTGAAAGTCGATGATAGGATAGGATAAGATCAGAGAGGGAGAGACAGACAGATTGCATGTATGTAAGTGAACGATGGACAGGGGTTTTATTTTAAGGGTTGACACCACACATGCATACTTACCTACATATATACATACATACATACATACGTACATACTATATAGGAAATCGGTAACATACAGAGAAAAAAAAACACACAATGCCATGCCAGTCAGACAGACATACAAGCAGGCAGGCAGGCAGGCAGCATACATACATACGTACATACGTACATACAATCCATGTAAGTAAGTACCTACCTGCTAATGCATTTATTCCCCTCGGGGAATTTCAACAAAACAGAATAAAAATAAAAAGTATCAGGTTGGTAGGTTGGTTAGCTACCTAGGCAGGAAAAGTATCGTAGCATCGAAACGGGTTTCCATAATCGCCCTTCCAGATGTCTCCTTCCCACTGTTGCTGTTGCTGTTGCTACTACGACTACGACTACAACTACATACTTGTACTACTACTACTACTGCTACTCACCTATAGCAAAACGCAAAACGCAAAACGTAAAAAATTAAAGAACAAAAAAAAAAAAAAAAAAGGAAGCTAAACCCCCCTCCCTATCCCTCCTCCGTCAAGACCCGCCCTTCCTATCGGCGGCCGAGACCCAATCAGCCCGAGCCCGGAGGCGAAACCGATCCGATCGCCTTCCCTCCCCCCCCCAATATCCTTACCCTTAGCGAAAACCTACCTGGGGTTTTTATGTATTAAGGAAGCATTGGAATAAGGGATAGATGGCTGTATGTACTTCCCCTGCTTGCTGCTAGCTACGATGGAACCTCTCTGTGGGGGCGCCAATTCGTTGAACCTGGAGATTTGTTTTTCGATGTTGAAGTTCTCCATATAGGTATGTAGTTATGGCGTAAGGTGAGATGGGAGGGATGGGAGGAAAAGGGGGAAGGGGGAAGGGGGAAGGGGAGGGGACCGGGAGGCAACGATAGAGAGAGACCTGGAAGCTTCGGATTCGGCTTACTCTTTTTTTCTTTCTTTCTGTTCCCATATGTCCTCGGCTGTCTAATCTAGCTAGCTACCTAGGTAGTGTAGGTATGTTAGCTACATACCTACAAGCTTGCCTGCCCGCAAGAATTGCTCCCCTACGACTTAGGTATCATCTCTTTCCCTTTCGGTGAAAGGCTGGTCAGTAGTGGTAGTCGGCAGGTAGACGGGTAAACTAAGCTCGCTCGTAGCTCATATACCGTGGTATGCCTAGCTATACCTACATATCTACATACATACATACATACATACATAAAAGATGTGCTTCTAGCCACGAACGAATTCCCCATCCCAACCATATCCGCATCATCCTATCCTATCCCATCCAAGGAGGCAAAATAAGCCAAAAAAAAACAAATGTGGACATGGATGGACAAAAGGTACACATATCCATGGATTCATTACTGCTACTCCACCAGCGCGCAGCGATTAGGTAGTCCCAGCCCTGTAGGAAGGGCGCTAGCGGACACTCTGCAGGATGCATGGCGATGCAGCAGTAGCAGTAGCAGTAGCCAGTTTATGAATTGGCCTCTCGCGTTGGGAAGAGGGAGGAGGAGGTGAGTGAGTGAGTGAGAGAGCTTGATGCGAAAAAGTCCGAAGGCAGTAGTTAGATGGATATGCATGGATGTACAGAGGGGGGGGGGCTTGTATGTGTGCGTGTAGAGGTGTGTGTATGTGCAGCACGCAAAGCGTGAATCGTTCCTGTCCTGTCCGGTCCTGCATGGCGGGCTGCAGGATAGACCACGGAGTAGAACGTACTCTTATTCGCTACGAGACGAGTGCGTTCTTGATTCCTAGCTACCAGCAGCGGATTTCTCTCCTGCTCGGCTCTGATCTCTCTCGAAATACATACGTAGCAATGTTATGTTAGGTATGGCTCATCCCAAGCGGAACTAGACTGGGCAAGGGGAGAGAGGGAGAGAGAGTGGGACTGGACAAGTCCATGCTCTTAATAGTGTCTTCTATCAGTTCCAAGCCAGCAGCCAGCAGCCAGCAGCCAGCAGCAACAAGCAGCAAAGCAAAGCAAGCAGTACTAAGCCAGCATCAGCATGAGCACCGGGTTCATCAATGTAAGTGCGCGTACAAAGTACCTACGCAGTTAGCTTAGTTGGCCACCCCCGTGGCCTTGTTCGGTCCTCCCAGATTCAGTGAATCGACGGATCCAGTGGAGCCAAAAAATGGTTTAAATTGGGCATCGTTGCGCCGTACCTTTGCCTGTTGTGTAACGGGCAAATCATCTAGGATAGTTATCCATTGAGCGAACTGAGTGGCCAAAGGGTTATTAGCCAGATATAATCATGGGTGGATTAGGTATGTGGCATACCTAGGTCAAAGCTCGCGGGAGACCTCGAATTGAACAGCTTGTAAGCAATACCCAAACTGGTATACCTGGGAAAAGAAGAAAAATGAGGGGTATTGTTATTGTACATCTGTTCGAGCAGGCTGGCTGGTAGGCTGGCTGGTAGGTTGGCTGGCAGGTTGGCAGGTTGGCAGGGTCTAGAGCCAAAGCCACATTGCTACTTGGTGGTCCACTTAGCCAGGAGTACGTGACGAATACGGCAATGGTGGTTAATCAATACCTACATACACATACTTAGCTACATATTATACAGCATGAGCTCTCCCCAGAAATCCCATCTGGTGCGAATAGGAATAGGAATGGGTGGATCTCGTAAATGATATGGTTGGCAGTATGGAGTATGGGAGACGGTCTCGGGCGGTCGCCGCTTGCTTGCTTTGATGCCTTCTGTCTTAGCTAGCACTTGGACTCCTACACTAACTAGTGCAATGTAGGAGAAAGGGACCCTTGGGGTTCACCAGCCTCACCTCAAGGGGGCCCAGGGACCCTGCCTACTGGGCTGCTGGGAAGCATCAATTCCTGCATGCAGGTCGACAGAGTAGGGAACACATTACTTAAGCAGGACGTGCCAAGCGATAGCAATGCAGATAGCCAAGGTCCACAAGAATTCCCAGTCTTTGGTTTCTCTGGTGAACCAGTTTCCGCACCTGGACTACTGGACAAGCCAGGGAGTTACTTTGGGACAGGCGTGCTCCAAGACCTTGATGTTCCTTCGATCGTCGATGCAGGCACGTATCTTTTGTCTTAGCCCAGCGACCTTTTGTCACATATCACATTTTGATATCTCAATCTTCTTTGGGGATTTCAGCCTAGTGGAGCAGTTCTCCACGACGGTAAATCGTCTTACGTCGGATACAGCTCATCAGGCCACACTCAACAATATGGGTACTTGAACATGACCGGGTCCGGTGGATGATCCTCCATGCCATGTGCTTCCTCTGCTTCCTCTGCTTCCTCTGCTTCCTCTAAACTCCAATGCGGGCCGAATGGGTATCATTTCTAAATAACAAACAGGTTGACTGTCGCAATATGTCTTTCCAAATCTTTGGTACCATGAAGGAGCTTCTCGCGGTGCATCATTCCTCGATCCGGTCACCTTGGCCCAGTGACCCCCACTCACATCCAAGCTTCACTTTCAACCTTTAGCTATAGCACCTCTGGAGTCTGCCCGGGAATAATTAAAAGATTTAACTGACAACCCGGATCCTGCTATACTGTAGCATACGCGAAGGGGAAAATCGTCTGATGATCGCTGCGCGTGAGACTGATGCAGTATTTGTCTAGCACATTCCGCAAAGCTCCTCGAATGGTTCACTTAGCCGTCGAAGCTTTCCAACGATCGGGAGATGTCTCGGCATTGCATCAGTAGAGGCTAAGGAAGACGGCCGAGATTGAAGATTTGTCGTACTTGACGTACTTGCCCTTGCCCTTGTCGATCTCGTGATAACGATCCCAGAAACGATTGTAAAGAGGCTCAAGCATCTGTTGCATGTCCTTGGCGAACATCTGCCTCACTTCTCGCTCCATGCTATACATCTTGTGCTTCGCCACTAGATCGTCGAAGGACGTGTTGAAAACTTGGAACTTGGCCTTGATACTGTCCTTATCCTTGCTACTTAGCCCTTTCAGAATCGATGCAGACTCGGATGAACCAGAGGGCGGTCGCTGAGTTCGGTTCGTATGGATCACGTCAAATAGATGCATTGATACATCTTTACAAGCCTCTGTATAGAAGACCTTTGCCTTTTTGCGCCAGACCTCCGAGGCACCAAGCTTGCCTTCCATGAGCGGCCTAAGCTCGGACTCTCGAATCATACGTTCGATTATGGTGATGCTGTTGGCAAGGAACACCCCCCACACAGACTTGCCTTTGAGAAGTACCCTCGCTTTCTGTTCAAGAGCCGACATCAACGTGTCTATAGTATCGCTGCAGTAATGCGCAAATATCTCCTTACCATCCGCACCGATGTCGAACGAAGCCAGACTCGGAATCCCGTCTACACTCGTAGTCGTCGTTGCGCCCGACCTCCAACCTCCATCGCCTATGGATATCATCATGCTAGATATTGGCCGAAGGAACTCGACCATGGTTTGCAAGCGTTGCATTGTCTCTGAGACAATGGGAACAGGCGAGCCATCCGAAGGGAGCGCCTGCATTGCCCCCACTTTGCGCTTCGTGTCTTCAAGTAGTTCGGCAAGTGAGATCTTGCCCGTCTCGCGGACCGGCTTGAGCGCAGCGGCTAGGGTAGACTTGAGCTCTCCCGTGCGTTGTTCAATATTGTTGGAGAGATTGGACATGATTTCTGTCACTTCATATGCGAGGAAACAGTCTGTGCTCAGGTGAGCCTTGATGTGATTGTTTAACTCTCGGATTGTTCGAGCCAATTCAGCCAGCGGGGCTTGACAGGTCAATTGAAAGGCCGGCCCCCAATCCTGTCGCATAAAGATGTTGCAGATGTTTTCGTATTCGGCAATGAACAGACCCTCCATCGCTTGCGCGTACATGCCAATGCCGTTAGTACCGGCCCGATAGATTGCATCGGGACTCTTCTTCTTCGCTGTGTTCACGCTCGCATATGCAAGATTCACCAGAGTCTGGGAAAGATACTGCCCTCTCACATCGGCAAAGATTTTAATGAGCGGATTCTCGGACAGAGTTGAATTACTGGATACGTAAGAATTCATTAGACTCAGGTACGAGATCTTATCTTGGCTTAATACGGGGAACGGCGTGTTCTTGGTGGTATAGTGAAGGGGTTCAATAGAGCGCGGTGTTTCTGCTCTTAGCATCTTGTCGAACGAATTCTCGAGCTGAGTATTTCCGGACTTGATCAATCGCTGAAGGTCGGTCATGGTCTGCTGGTTGGCGCGTAAGTTTGAAGTTTTCATGTCTGTCAATGCCATATTTAAACGTTTAATAGAATTCAAATAATTGGACAGGCCAGCCTTTTCAGGGCCTTGGCGAATGATTGCCTCTTCATCGCTCTTCGAATCGGCAGGTTGGCGGAGGCGCTCGATGGCTGCGATAACTGCTTCGATATCTGCGACGGGTTATGCGGAGTCAGTATCATAACTTATGAAAGGTAGGCAGGTAGGTAGGCAGGTAGTAAGTAAGTAGGACACATCGGAGAGAGGGGGAAAGGAGGCACAGAAAGACCGAGAGAGACAGAAGGAGGTAAGGAACATAAGATGAGTTTGACTCACTATTCCCCAAGGTCTGAAGCCTCTTCGTTTCGCCAGTAAGAGGACCTGACACGTCTTGCACACTCTTCCCAGTAGCCTCTAATCGTCCTAGGCATGCTTGTATCTTCTTTGTTAATTGATTTGTCTTTTCCAATCGAGAGTTAAGCACGTCGACTTCGGCGCGGGCTTCTTCGTCAGCGGCATGGCGACCGTTGGCAAGTCCCACAGCCATGGTTTTGTGTTACTTTGCCAGAAACAGCGCAGCAGATTGATTTATCGGAATTGATATGGATACGGATGCGATATTGAAGCCAAGGTCGTGGTATTTATAGCTGTTGAGTATGGTTGTCGTTAAAGTTCTCGATGTTGTTGTCATTGATGTGATTGTTGTTTAAGATGAAGATGGACTGGCTAGCTACGTCGAGTGCGGCAAGGAGTAGTGCACATTACAGGTACTAACGTAGCGCAGAATGACGGCACCTGCAACCTTCATTATGCGCTTAATTTTAGGGGAGCTGTTAATACATAACTAACCTAGGCAAGCGTCACGGGGCTAATTTAATGCTTAGACCACCCTAATCTTTCATTCATCCCACTAATAATCTTGAACTTTAGGGCTTTAGGCCAATCATGTTACAGGGAGAATATCTCCACATTCTCCTATTGGTATTTAAATTGAAGCACAGGCTGCACAGCACCTAACTTAGGTACTTTGGCACTATTATGTAGCACTTAGGCCACTGTAATATTGTATCGCTACCCTCTGGCCCCTCTCATATCAAAGCTACATAAATGTAGTCTCTCTTCTCCTCAGTCTCGATATAGACTCATATTCCTCTATGAGGTAACTAATCCGTCTTTTGGGTATCTGGATGTTTCATTATATCTATTGAAAAGCGCAAAGGCTAATCCGCACAAAACAACCTACCATCGAGCTACGGCTTCTATCGAAGAGAAGAGCAGAATAAATACGTCCATAGCATGCGGCATTGAGTTGTACCTAACCAATAATAGGTAGTAGACAGATCATGTAACACGGGGGATAGGTAACATAACCCGATTACCGTCGGTACCTTATAACTAATAAACAACTCGTAACAAATACCTAACCTAGTAAGAGGTTGCAGGCCCGCCCCAGCTACGTACCTAGGTTAGGTATTTTTCTTTTTCGGCTTAGTTAACTAGCGTTAATACTCGTTAATACTCGTTAAGTTCATAATCCTTACATAAGCAATTAATTGATGGGCAAGCTGCAACCACTTTAACCCGCGTGTCGCGAAAAACGCGGTCAAGAAACGCGATATGCAACTTTTTGATCCCCCCCTCTAAGTTAATATCCCCTTTCCACTTTCAACTTCAGCCCATACCAATTCAGATTCATGATCCACCCCACAGTCGAGAATTAGTTGGTCTTGTGAATTTAGCCACATACCTACTTACTCACTGTCGTAACTGATCACCTCATTCCAACAATTCGAAGAAAGCAGGAAAGATACAAAAGAAAGAAGAGAAGGAAATAACCGAAAAGAATATTGAGCCATCATGGATAGTTTCATGCTTCGAGATGAAGCGGCCAAGGAGCGCATTCGCTTGGCTGAAGAGTTTCTCGATCCCCGTGAGTCCTCTACCTGCCTATCTACCTCGGCACTTAACTCTATATTGTTTCATATAATATCGCTAACAAGTGTTTCTGGGGGGCAGATGACCAACATGTGAGAAGTTACCGCTCCGACATTATCTTAATGCTTCAAAAAAATCAAAAGCGACTTGTCGTCAACCTAGACCACGTTCGCGATCACGATGCAACACTCGCAGATGGTCTATTATTCGATCCGTTTGAGTATACCCTGGCTTTCAACCATGCTTTAAAGGAGATAGTAAAGACTATTCCACAAGCACGACCTGACCAGACCGACCCCGATGTCCTATACTATTGCGCTTGGGCAGGCAGCTTTGGCCTCAATTCTTGCAATCCTCGTACCCTCTCCTCAAACCATCTGAATCACATGGTATCCATCGAAGGTATCGTCACGAGATGCTCTCTCATCAGACCGAAGGTGGTAAAGAGCGTACACTACAACGAAAAGAAGAATATATTTCACTTCCGAGAGTATCGCGACCAGACCATGACAAATGGTGTAACAACATCAGCTGTGTACCCCCAAGAAGATGAGGAGGGCAATCCGCTCCTTACAGAGTATGGATTTTGCACATACAGAGATCACCAAACCATATCGATCCAAGAAATGCCCGAGAGAGCTCCTGCTGGTCAACTCCCTAGGGGTGTCGATGTGATTCTAGACGACGATTTGGTTGACAAGGTGAAGCCTGGAGACAGAGTCCAACTGGTTGGTATTTTCCGAACGCTTGGAAACCGAAATACAAACCACAACAGCGCCCTCTTCAAAACGATAATTCTAGCGAACAACGTGGTTCTTCTCTCATCCAAAGCAAGCGGAGGCGTAGCAACCGCTACCATTACTGATACCGATATTCGCAATATCAACAAAGTCTCTAAGAAGAAGAATCTGCTCGAACTTCTGTCCCAATCGCTTGCGCCCAGTATCTACGGTCACGACTATATTAAGAAGGCTATCCTTCTCATGCTACTCGGTGGCATGGAGAAGAATCTAGAGAATGGAACGCATTTGAGAGGAGACATCAACATCCTCATGGTTGGTGATCCCTCAACAGCCAAATCCCAGCTCTTGCGTTTTGTGCTGAATACCGCACCCTTGGCCATCGCTACGACTGGTCGGGGCTCTTCTGGCGTCGGTCTCACTGCAGCCGTCACCACGGATAAGGAAACTGGCGAAAGAAGACTGGAAGCAGGTGCTATGGTTATGGCAGACAGAGGCGTTGTGTGTATTGACGAGTTTGATAAGATGTCGGATATCGACAGAGTGGCTATTCACGAAGTTATGGAGCAGCAAACGGTCACCATCGCCAAGGCCGGTATTCATACATCACTCAATGCCCGCTGCAGTGTCATCGCCGCTGCGAATCCCATATTTGGCCAATACGACACGCACAAGGACCCACACAAGAACATTGCTCTCCCCGATTCGCTTTTGTCACGTTTCGATCTACTGTTCGTCGTCACAGACGATATCGAAGATACTCGTGACCGACAGGTTTCCGAGCATGTTTTACGCATGCATCGTTATCGCCAACCAGGGACTGACGAAGGTGCACCGGTTCGCGAAATCACCCAACAGGCTCTTTCAGTCGCATTACAAAGCCAGGACGCTACTCAGCGGCCCACGGAGGTATACGAAAAGTACGACGCCATGTTGCATGCGGGTGTTACTGTGACTTCTGGCCGTGGCGCGAACAAGCGGCGCGAAGTCTTAAGCATCCCTTTTATGAAGAAATACATACAATACTCCAAGAACAGAGTTAAGCCCGTCCTTACTCAAGATGCGTCAGATCGAATTGCAGATATATATGTTGGGCTACGCAATGACGAAATGGAAGGCAATCAAAGGAGGACCTCGCCATTAACAGTCCGTACTCTAGAGACTCTGATCCGTCTCGCAACTGCTCACGCCAAATCACGACTCTCAAACCGAGTTGAAGAGCGTGACGCGCTAGCTGCAGAAGCTATCCTTCGCTTTGCCCTGTTCAAGGAAGTTGTGGAGGATGAGTCGAAACGGAAGCGCAGACGCACCCAACGTCCTGAGTCGGATTCATCAGACGAAGACAGTGATGGCGATGAGAATAACCGTGGCGATACTACGTATAGAGGTTCCACGACTAACGGTAGGACCTCACTTCCGACTCGAACAGCGACCCGAGGCCAGCCATCGAACAATAGTAGCCGCCGTACGAATGGTCGCAATGCAGCCAGCTCGCCTGGTTTAGAGAACGATGGCGATGATAATGAAAATGGGGAGATTTATAACGCTACACCAAGACGCTCGAATCGAAGCGCAGCCGCATCATCATCAAACGCACCCACAACATCCCAAATCTCTTTTGCCTCCTCGGTACCATCTTCGCAACTCGAAACGCAGGATCAAGAGACACAAGATGATGCAGAACTCGCTTCAGGTGCAGCCGATCTCAGCATCGATACACCTATCACCCCCGAAAGGCTCGCGGCGTTCCGGACCGCGCTCGGGCAATTACTTAACACAGATGTATTCGAAGATGATTCAGCAGATTTGACTCGTCTTCTTGAGGCCGTTAACCGTCGCATGGGTGGAAGAGGAGCCGCCTTCGCGAGGGAAGAAGCTATCAAAGCGCTCAAGGAGATGGACAGGGCTAACCAGATCATGTAAGTTTCAGACAACCCTCATTTCAGTGTGTTTTAATGCTAATGCGCAAGCTAGGTACACGGAAGGCGAACTCGTCTACAAGATCTAGATAAAGCCTAGAAAATAACGACGATTACGGTATATGTTTCCAACGGGGATGAAAGGGACATGGGTGGCGTTTTTACTTATCTCAGGGGCTTCGAATTTGTATTTTGCCCCTTTGGACAAACGCGACGATTGGACCTGTCTCGTTGTTGGTCAGACTTTTTATGAAGATGATTGCCTAGGTGCTTAGGTGGATTATGAGCTATGGGTTGCCTACCTGCCTTAAGTGCATGAGTGCCTACTGAGATGAACTATGTTGTCAAACGAAATAATCACGATGGATGTCTACATAGTGTGTACCTGCCTACCTTGTGTAAATAGATAGGAGGTGCTGACTTAATTCATGAGATTGACTTGAAAAGAAGACTAAGTACTATTTTGCAATGGCCTTAGTTGACGCGTATGACTAACTACCTAGGTAGGTAAGGTTAAATACCGTGACATATGAGCCTTGGAACCTTCTGAGTAAACACATGCGTTAGTGTTGAAGCCTTATCCAAAGGTTTGTTAGAAGAGGCCATGAAAAGCTCCCAGCATAGAAGACGAGGCCATACCTAGCTAAAGGATTCTGCCTACAGCGTAGCTAGTGGTCGCTCGGGACACCCAGCCCCATCATAGCATCAAGATCAAAGGATGTCGGACATATTCTTACTCGGCACTATTACTAGGATCGTGGATAAGTATGTACCTATGAACCAGCACTGCTATACTCATGATGAAGGGTAAGCTCCTAGCTCGATGGTATCCTCGAACATGAAAACAACTAGGTAAGCAGGTAAATAACTATCTCCAAGATGTAGTCAAGATCTTAGGGGGTTTACCATATTTCATATGTCCTCACAGTTCCCTGCCCACATACCCATTTGATCAATACATTGATGCTGCGAATAGCACCGTTACGGAAGGGTGAGATGTGACTTGCGGGAATGTTCACGGGCGTTAATAATAGTTGAATGGTACTTATGAGTTGTTGATGGCCTACCTAGCTACTACCCGGTACGAGTCTACCCAGGCGCCTCCTGGTCGCCAGCGAGAAAAAGACGTACCAGAATCCAAAACCCTTCATCATTTCCTAGTATATCTGTACGAGTGAGCCCCTTCTACTACTCACTTTCCATCCTATCGACTCGACTCATACTTCAAAGTTGCCTCACATATGTCGCTTTCATATGCACATGTTTACCCATGTGCCTTAATACAGGTTCACATAATAGACACAAACAAGAGACCAAGCATGTAGTATGATGGAGTTTGGAGCTATAGCGTGCTACGGGTATGCGAGACGAGAAAAGGGAGTTCAGTAACAGAGGCTTCAAACAACTCGGTGTACATTAGCACAGAAACCCGTATATCTCAGAGCTCAGTCAGTCTCAAAAAAACAAAGCAACAGGCAACCGCCTGCATCTATCATCATCGAGCTGCTTGCCTACCTACCTCCCTACGCTCTTGCCAACCCCCATCTATGCTAGCCGTTTCGGCAACGCACGGCGTGTAGCTAACCCATATACCTAATTATGCTCTAGAAAAAAGTCATCCGTCAGAAGCTCCCTCCACCATCCTGTGAACTGAGATCAGTTCAAGTCAGTGCCTACTTGCCTGCCTACTAACCTACCTATCTATCATCCTACCTACCCAACATCTCAAGATCAAATGTCTTGTATCGACTACTTGAACTGCAGCACAATTCGCACAGTACGCCCCCCTTTTCTCACTCCATTGGACCGTCTCCCAACAACTATCATGAAGTTTTTCTTTTTGTTTACTTGGTTCCGAGAACTTCCACTCCCGATATCCCGTCGTAGCTTTTATTCCGCGGCCGGCTCTGCCTCAGAGGAGGGAAGGGGGAAGCGAAGGGAGGTAGGTAGGTGGTTGGTAGGTAGTTCTTTGGTGTTTTCGACCCTTATCTACTACATAGCTACCTACGTGAAAGCTCCCCCCCCCCAAGTTCCATGACATAAAACTCATACATCCGCGTATCCTTGCATAAATCTCCGGGAATTGTTATATTGTTAGGTATGGCAGTTGGAGCCGGGGAGGGGCCGCTGTTCCTGACGCCCGTCCCTGGGAACGGCTGGATCCGTACCCAACGACCCAGATCCAATCTATATTTTTTTTTCTTTCCCCCCAAACCTCACTGCGACCGGCGGACCTACATAGACAATCTATTCCTAGAGTCCGTGGCTGGATGCGTGCGGTGCGGGGGGGCTAGCTATACACTTTGAGATCTCCATTACGCGCGTAGTTGGGTAGTTAGGTTGTGTAGGTAGGTAGGTAGGCAGCATGTTCGAAACATTTTTCCACCGGACCGGTTTTCCCAATGGTGGTGGCGCCTCGTATTCCCTCTCGAGGTCTCGTGCCAAGACACACACTGCCGGACAGACAAACAGATAGAGATAGGAGCGGCGTTTCAACGGGCTAGGTACATGAGTTTTTTTTTGTTTTATCAGATCTCAGCTTACGACACGCAGCCAGCAGCAGCATCTTGGCTCGGTCAGGGAATGATGGATCTGTTGCAGTCACACTCGGTGCGAGCCGAGATCATAAATAGCCTACCTGCTTGCTTGCTTGCTGCACGGTCTACGCTGTACGACCTAGTATTATATATCCCCTCCCCCTTCCCCGGCAGCCGAGATGGAGATGGAGATGGAAGAATGCCCCCCCCCCCCCCCCCCCCCCCCCCCCCCCGCCCCGTCTACAGTTGCCGCACGCATAACATGACCCCAGCTGAAAGTTGACGCGTACGTATCCGATCGGTCTTGGTTTCCGAGTGGCGGTCCATATCTGGGGTCTTTTTCTTTTTGCCAAGGGGGCTTTTGTGCGTTCAGGGGAGATCTCCCCGGGGAGGGGAAGGGGCTGGATCTCAGCTCCCGGGATGCCTACCTACCTACCTACCTACCGTAGTTCTCCTGTCGATCGAGCAATATACCTGGATCTAACCACAGTGACGGAAGGATTTCATGGGCCAAGCAACTTCAAAGGGGTTACACAGCAGAAGGGAGAAGAAGACTGCTATCTTATATCCATTATCCATTATATGAACACCCGGTGGCGAGCCCTAATCGATCACCTAGTGTGCACACCTACATACCTATATATATATATACAGGATAATAAGATACGAAAGAAGCAGAGAAAAAGATATAATACAACCTCGACAGACCCTCCTTCCCGGGAATATCCAATACGATCTGAAATCAAGCCGTCGAGTAAGAAGACGGGGGGATGTCTCGTCGACTGGGCCGCGGTCAGGGATAGCATGTGGGATAGATTGCGGCTCGTTGTGAGCAAGTATGTACCCGAAGATTGCGTGCATGGCGATACTATATCCACGCCGCACATGCCTAGCTTACCCCACGGCCGCGGATTGGATCTCTCTATCTGTTCGAAACTTTTCGGTATAGCCAGCCAGCCAGCCAGCCAGCCATCTTGCAGCAGACTTTTTCGACGCAGCAAGATACCTACATACCTACATATGTAGTTGGGAGTAAGTAAGGGCAATGCAAGTACCTAACCTAGGTACGTAGAGAGACTATCTAAGAGAGAGGGTGACGGTAGTATAGTAATTAGGGGTTCCTGGCCTTTGCATTTCGGTCAATGCAAGCTGACAGATTGGGCCCGTCCACCGCATGTATGTAAACCTATCGACCTAGCAGCCAGCAAGTGAAGTTTCTTTTTTTTTTTTCGATGACGCGAAAAGTTCACGAGATATTATCGAGGCTTCGGGATGAGACGGGCTTCATTTCAAAAACGGGTTGATTAGGTAGGTACATACATAGCTAGCTCGGCGTGCCTTTCACCCCCCCTTCTTTCTTCTTCCCCCATATTCTCCCCCATCCCCATCCCCATCCCCGTATCTCAACTACCGTAACGCGGAGGATAAGAATAGGCTACTGGGCCCGGGGCGCGTAGTGGGTGTATGTACACCTAAGGCAGGTAGTGTGTGCCGCTATTCAATTTAGCATAGGTACCACACGTCGATCTAGATCCCAAGCCATGCAAGCCAAGGCAGAGAGAGAAGAGAGGAAGGCAGCTGGGAAAACCGTTTTCGATGTATGTAACTACCAGCCAACCCTAGTTTTACGTGCAGGATCTACTCTTCTGGATTACACGTACAGGGCGGGATGAGGTTCCCTTACATCCCTAGGTTAGGTACATAGGTATGAAAATTAAAAAAATTTAACGAAAAAAAAAAAAAAAAGTCTTGGCGCGACGACGAGGCTGCGAGGGACGAACCGTTGATGTCATAGGGCATTGATAAGGACGCGATCGACGCACGGTATTACTCATACCTAGGCATAATTATATGTATTGTACATACAATACACTATAAGTTGGGCCGATACTCAACTCTTGTGCTATGCCGTGAAAATCATTGATCTCATAAGAGGCCCACGCGTTGTATAATTACGTACTCGTAGTTGAAGTTAACCCACGGCTTGTGGGTGACTAGGTAGTAAAGCCTTGCTATTCGGAAAATTAGCTAATACCAAAGGATAATGGCGACATGATTGCCAATCCTGTCAGTTGTGTGGGGATGGCGTGTGTGGTAGTTATGTACATAGTTATGGGGACTACACTATGTACGCTTTGTCGTCTACCTAACCGTGATGATAATAACCAAGACTTGCAATGTAGTGTAGCGCAGGTACATAACTAAGTCCCGAAGATGGTTGTTCACATATTCATGCTTGTCGTGGCGAACTTCCCCAGAGTTTGCTAGGGTTACTAAAGAACGAACGAACATGATGGAAGGGGAAAAAAAAAAAAGTCGTAGACCGAAAAAAAGGCATGCGCGAATTAAGTGTAGTTAGTTACTTTGTGAAAAGAAAAAGATAAGGCCCGGAGGAGTGGCTTGCGCCGCATCAACTTTCGAGTACCGGTAGTTTCGCTACTTCGTTCCGAACCAGGGGGTGGGGAGCCAGCCAGCCCCTTACCCCTTACCTGGGCGTAGAGTGAGTTGAGTGAGGATGCCTGGAGTTTAGTTAGTTACGCAGTAGTTATGGTGGCATTTGTGTGATCCTAGCGGAATCCTGGGACCCAGTTTGTTCTAAACCTAGATAGACAGTTCCTTTCGATAGATCGTTTTGGAACGGGCTTTTCTCACGCATAGCCAACCAACCCTCACCCTCACTCCGCCCACGATATTCGTCGGTCGTATCATATAGCGTGTTGTGTCGGAGTCGTATCACGCACACATCGCACGTACATGCCTACCTATCTACGTACCTAGTAGGTATATACACATAGTATATTGTATGTAAAGTACATTGTGATTAACATCATTAAAAGCGATTAATATCTGGTGTTAGTAACGAACCATTGACATGGCTCAGATTTCCCCCACAACTCTTTTCCCTCGATGGACTAGCCGAGATCTCCGCCCCCAAATTGGACCCCCATTCCGCTACCTTAGTACATACACACATCTACTGTAGCAATGTAGCATTGAGATTTCGAGATAAGATGAATTAGATGCTACTGGCGGCGGCATTCCTGGGGGCACAAACCGCCGATCAATCACAACATACATAGGTACAGTACCTACCTAATTACCTACCTACCTACTCAAGCCTTTTTTTACTGTTACTGTATTGTACCATTGTACGTTGCCGGGGGGGGAAAGCCAGGCGAGCTCCGACCTGGAAATAGCATCATCGTCCCCTTTTCCTCCTTCCCCCCCTGAGACATCGTACTATCATGTCTGCCCAAAAGGTTTATCCTTATTATTCGAAGGGGGGGAAATAATAGGACTTGACTCGCTAGTTTCGCGAACCCTGGCGATCTCGTCAACCTCGCCAATCTGTCTCATATGTATGTATGTATGTATGTATGTTAGTACGAAGTACAGGACAGATGTAAAAAAAAAAAAATCCTAAGTCGCACACGAATGAAGCGCCCTGTTTATATGTATGTATGCTGCATTCACCAACACATAATTAGGGGGCTGACTGATAAATAAAAACGCCCACGAAAGAAAAGCGCGCGGTCGGCAAAGAGAAAAAAAAAAAGACGCCTGTTTCGTCGTTTCGTTTCATCATGATATTTTTTTATTTATTTTTTTGCATACGCCACAAATTGTTGGATCACATAGCCAATGGGAACAGATCCTGCCAAGTAAAGGTCGAACCTGGTTAAGGAGAGAGAGAGAGCCAGAACCATGCGGTTCCAACCCCAGCTTTGAATGATTATCAGGAGTTTTTCTTTTCTTCTTCTCTTATGTACAATACATAGGGGGCTTTGGCGATCCGGGGCGTTTATCCGAAAAGAACCGGCGAACATTGAATGAGATGTGATATAACTCACTGATATGTATGTGTACTAGGTATGTAGTGTAAGTAGGTAAGGTTAAGCTAAGTACTTGCCTATGTGAGAAGTTGAGATAGGATCGTGTTGTCGCCCTTGCCGGACTTTTGGCAATGGCCTCGTATCCTATTTCAGTAGGTGAGAGTAAATAAGGGCATGGAGTCAAAAGGGCCGTGAGCTACTGTATTGGCGCGATGTTCTTTTCTAGCTTCGGTTATATATGATCTTTACTTGCATACATCTTCCTACTCACCTATTAATAATCATATATTCCTTTCAGTAACCCTTCGGTTTTTTATATATTAAATATAGAATCAGTTGTGTCGCATGATGTTTCTATGTTCGTCTAAGCGCCCGGTACAGTACTGTACCTAGGCTAGGTCCTTTAGGGACAACCTGGGAGAATATCGGCTAATATAACCCTTTACAAGCTGGCTTCTAACAGTCGCTAAAACACCTACAGTACCCTAGTAGTTAATCGTATTGTACACTTCCAGACCAGGCATCGGAGAAGGGCTGTGTGGGGAATTGGGGTACATAAGGACAGGGATTCGACCCCGTGGAGTGGGAACTAGGGTTGCGTAAAATGCGCACTTTAAAATAAAATGCGCGTATTATTCAAAACCCCTGTAAAATGCGTATTATACCGTATTATTCAAAAGTGGGTCACGTGACACCCCTAACCTAATACACTTAATATATATCTACATATAATAAGGCTTTACATTCTGAAATAATATGGAAGATTTACAGGATTTGAAGCTAAATTATATGGCCATTTTTGCCATTTTCCCTATGCAATAGGGCGCCGATTTGATCATACTTTTCGAGCACATTATGATCAAAGTCTAACGCAATCTTCAAAGCTTAGTTCAGCCGGATCATATAAACGACATATCGAGATTTGCGCGCCTTAGATACCTGTAAAATTAGGTAATATCACCAAATTTTGGTGCAAAATTTACTCCACTTATGTACCGATCCACTTTTCCATTTCGGACCCACTGCATTTTATAATAAAATGCAATATTATATTTGAATAATACGCGAATAATACGTTTGAATAATACATTCCGCAACCCTAGTGGGAACAGCACTGTCTCGTAAAGCAACCCCCACGTCTCGTCGATACGGGGGTACAGTGACAGCGACTGGGGCACTGTACAGTACCTACCGATATACCTAGTAGTAGTACTGTACTACGGGATAAGAGGTACATCATGTATTATTTGATGTATTAAAAGACATCCTGTGTAACGCAATATTGTACAACAGCTAGGTTGGGAAGGCTTAGGCTTTGGGGGCCTGGCCTTTGTTTTGCTCCTGACTCCTGACTCCTTGTGTTGAAGCTCCGACAGGCTTACCTACTGTACCTATCTACCTAAACCTAGTCACATTAATTACCTGCATATCTCCTTTTATTCCCGAACGCGATGACTGTACTCACGACGATCGTGGGCCCTCTCCTATCCTGTCCCCCATACATACCAAGCTCGCTATTACAGTATGTACCTATATGCAGTATTACAAGACATGGGAAGACACAATCCTGAGCAAAGGTCGTCTGGTGGCCTACCACGTATGGATATCGAAGGTTGTAGTATTTTTATGTAAGCCCATAACTAACTACAGGTATGTACATATGTAAGTATGTATGTGTAATGTTTGGAAGACTGCACATCATACAAGGAAAGGGGAAGAGACAAGACAAGAAATAATGATACTATCGAACGCGTGGCATATGACCATCCCTATTACAGTTGGCTTCCTTTTCTAACTACGTTTAAGGCATTCATGTGAAGCGCCCTCTCTCTCTCTCTCTCTCTAGATCACGATTTCAGCCCGTAATTATGTCTCAGTTAACTGCGCTGGTTCCGGGTTGGCTGGGCCAATGCAAGCAAAGCTTGGACCTCCCAACCCCACGCATCTTTCTTTCGTGCTTGCTGGCGACTTGAGTGACGATGTCATTGGACGTGGACAAACTTAGGGGAGGGGGGAAGGCCTTACAATTCCATCACCAGGTCAGTGGCATGGTTTTTCTTGTCCGACTCCCGTGAGCAGTTCTCACAAGCAAGTAGTTAGTTAGTAAGTAAAGTAGGTTAGGTGGTGGTGGTGCATTACTCATCCAAGCTTATCAAATACATATTAATTCCTTCCCACTGAGCTCGAAGGAGGTTCCGGGCAGCCGGGGTTAACTACCTTGATCAATAAATATATTTATCTTTCCCCCTTTCCCCCTTCCCCTTTCCCCCTTCCCCCCTCCCCCTCCTCTTATCGAATTAGAATGCGAGTACGTAGCCCAGCTTTCTGGCGGGTTGGCATCCAAACATTTCCCCCGCGGCGCAGCAAGGAAAAGAGCTGGGCTCTGGGGGCCAGGGAGAACCCGCGAGCCAAGGGTTTCTCCTCGAACGACACCCCACAAAGATGATGGAGGAAGCTTGGTGGCATTACGTACCTACTTAAGTATGAGCCCATGTGTGTGCGTAGTCGTCACATCTTGTCTTGATGTTTCTTGGCGGGTATAGATAGATAGTCTGAGCACTAAAGCCGGACGGGGGTACGTGGTATGTATGTACGTCTGTAGGCGCATGGTTAACCGTACCCGGTTTGCTTGCCATTGCGCAAGAGCACGAACGTTTAAGTGCTTATTTGTTTCTCACAACTCATCTACTTGCTCTCGTGCTCTTGGTGATTGATCATTTTTTGCTTAATTTTTTCTCTCTTTTAGTAGAAAGTTGCGGTGAGGAAAAGAAGACGATTGAGCTTGCGCAAAGCTTTCGCGATATACCGTTGTAATTACGACCCTCCAAGCCCCCTCCCAAGCATCAAGCAACCAGGCATTAAGCATAATAGCAACGACCCTCATCTCCCCTCCCCTCCCCTCCCCCTCTTACCCCGTTGCCCGTTTTCAAAACACCCCTCCTCTCGGAACCGTGAACGGGGAAGGAGGGCCGGTCGATCGGAAAATTCGATCCGATTCGCGACTTCGGGCTTTCACATGTTCCCGCTTTACCCGTTGATTTTCCGACTATTTTCTCTTGTTTTGCTTCTGAACCCGGTACATGCTATGTGGGTATATGTAATATGTATGTGTATTCACTGTATTGTAGCACCGATGACAGTTTTGTAACTCCGGGGGTGGCCGATATTTTATTTTTAATTTTGACGCGTTGAATGAAAAAAAAGATTGGCACGCACGCACGCACGCGCTTGTTCAACTCTCACGATGATCAGGCAACCAACATTGAAAAAACATGGCACGTACCATCTGCTGATCGGATTCCGCCTAGGCCTAGAAAGAAAACTTGCTCGCGGGGGAGTGGGAGGGGAGGGAAGGGGAGGGAGTTGTTTCGATGACTACTGACCCTGGGTAGGTAGGTACTAGATAGGCTAAAAGTTGTGTAAGGTGAAGCGAAGGCATGCAGCGACATAACTACAGTAACAGATCCCCATTCCTTCGCACGTATGTAATGTACGTACGCATCTGAACCCCGTCTCCTGTAATCGTCCGTCCCTGCATGGGGAGGAGGAGGAGGTACTGTAGGCCCTCGTCGTCGGGGCTAAGAAGGAGGAGGGAGGTCTTAATTAAGTCCTTTTTTTTGAAGTACTGTACATAGCATTTCACATCTGCAGGCATGTATTGTCAAAGAATCCAATCATTTGTTGATTTTTACTTGACTTTTTACTTACCTTACCCCTTAACAACATTGAAAGTTACCTCCTTCCATCCTTCCATCCTTGTATTTCCAAGGGGAAGGAAACAACTACATATGTAGGTAAATGGTTGGGGGAGAGGCCAAGTTAAGTTGCAAGATGTATGAAGTAACTAAGTAAATGACAAATCCGGAGCCCCGCAAGATTCAAGGTTCTCTGCAGTTCTCCATGGTTCAAAATGGTATACGCGTATGTACAAAATACATTCCTTGGCTAGTACCTAGTTAGTAACTACCTAGTAGCCTTTCAATGCTCAAAAAGTCTGGGACTCTGGGGTTTCCCAAAGATAATTCTCCAGGGCTACGCATAGCGCTTGTCTCCAGGCTCCAGGTAAGTTAAAAACGTCTTCTAGCGTGCGTACTATGTACCTAGCTGGTATGCGTACTAGGCACCTTCCTACTGTGTCTAACAGACTCTACATAGTAACTAGGGGTATCCTAGATCTGTATCCTTCGTGTCCCTTTGTTTTCTCATTTGTTTTATTCTCATTTTCACATGGAAATCATGATGGCTTTTTTTTTATAAGTCAACCTAATGTTATCTAGCTAGCTTGTTACCGTAACTAAAATAGCACCTAACGTATTGAACATAGCTGTAGCAAGGGGCAAGTATACGCCTACTGTACTACACTGTGCCGCAAACGTCATTATTTCTAACCATGTGTAGATAGCACTGAGGATACATACATCTAGATTTATTATCATTCTATTCTAAGATTGAATATCTGGTCAATCTCGCAATCATCAGCAAACCCCCCAAACTTGCATTCAGCCGTACCAGCTGAGTATACCTACCTAGTTCAGCATTAGAAAAAAAACCATCGGCGGTGTTTGTAAGACAGAGACTACGGTACTACTCTTTGCTTATCATACATATGCCTATACGTAACAGCGAATACGCCCATGGGTATCACGTCAGCGGAGTGAACGAATCCCTTTGAGGCCAAGGTCGCCTTACTTACATGTATAGCATCGAGGCTGAGCCCCCAGAAAAACAAAAAAAAACGAAAACGTAGCCCTCTTGCGACACCGACTGGCTGGCCGGCCACCTTATCCTCACCATAACCTAGCCGACCTAGAAGGAAGGGGTGAGGCTACATATACGCTGCTTGCTTACGTACATATAGGAAGTGTTCCTACTACTTACAATAAAGTGCATACGCCCTACCAAGGTACTAGGCAGGCTGGCTGGCTGGCTATATTAGATCCATATACGTAACCTAGGTGTTTCGAAACTCCACGTACATCAATAGGTATGTAATATGTAGGCCCTTCAAGCAGGTAAGGTACCCAAGCCGTCAACCGCCTTCATTGGATCTACGCATCTACCGCTGGCTGGTCTGGGGTCGCATACCACATACCTACCTGAGCACGAAATAATAATATCTTCTACCTGCCATACATAGTATCCTATCATAATAGTATGCCCCCTTCTCCCACCGCCTCTTCAGCGCAACCCCAGGATTGGCTCCAAAGCCACACCACATCGGGGACGTCCGGTGTTTGAAAATTTATTCTATTCTTCTTTCCTTGTCTTCTCTGTGTCTCCCTGTGCTTCTCCTCGTTCTTCTATTCCTCCCCCCTCCCCCCCCCTTCCCCTTCTTTTTGGCAGGGCTGATGGCTGCTGACGTGCCTTGCTTGCCGCTTGTGCTTCCTGCTTGTCATTTCCCGCTCATCCCATTACCACCCACTTGGCGCGGGCACGAGGCTCTTTTTTTTTTTTTTTTTTCTTAGTAACTACTGTATAACCCATCTTTTTTTCTTTTTTTCTTAAACTACGTACGAAAGAGAAGAAGGAGAGAACGAAGATAGAAAATGTGAGGCATGCATAGCCCGACGTAAGGGTTCTCGTGATTTACATACATGTGGGGGCCGTTTCTTTTTTTTTTTTTTTTTTTTACCTTTGGTTTGGTAGTTGGTTACATGTATATCATTCTTATTGTTTTACTCGGGCAGGTATGTAAGTGTGTGTGTGTGTAGGTAGACATGTATGTACCTACATTTGACTACCTATCCGTATTTTACTTTTCGTCTCAACCTGTCTCGACGTCTCCTTCCACCCGTTATTTCTGTATAGGGTCTGGCGGTGAGCAAGCAACGATAATATTAATAGCCACTCGAGAGAGGCAGGCAAGCGAAATTTCTTTTGACTCTTTATTCTTTTTTCCTGCCCAGGTTGCTTTGCTTTGCCTTACATATATATTTTCTCCTTGTCGGTGTGTCTATCTGTCTGCCTGCCCTGTCTAATCCGTCGTGTGTCATGTTTTTTTCTCTCTTCATATGCGGGCGCCCTTTTTCAATATCGAAATAGGTATTACTACGACGTGTATGTACATATGAAGAATCCATCCAGGTGCCCATCAATATACCTTACCTAACCTAACCTAACCTACCATCAAATAAATGTATTATTCTTTCATGTAACCTAGCTAAGATATGTAGGTACATACCTAACCTCCATCCCTTCAATCCTCCCTCCCCCCTGGTCCTATCACTGTAAATCATGCCGTGTTAGTGATCTTGGAAAAGGGCCTTGGCAAGGCTCCAGTAGCCCGCTTCGAGCCGAAATCCTCAGATTTCTTTCTCCCTTAACTAAATCTTTTCTCCATATTCCAACCCCAGGCAAACTGCATTTTGCATGCGGTGTGCGGGGTGTTTATTAGAACCCCCCCCCCTTCCAAAAAAAAAAAAACCCCCAGGGGGGGCTATTCCTGTGCGTAGTAATCCAACGATATAATACAGTAGGATTAGAAGTAGTAGTTTAGGATTGTCAATATGACATTTTTAAAGTGACTAGACACCATTAGTCACTGGGTCAGCATTCTCTATCAATACTATCTAAGTAAATGACAGGTTTTAGTTCGATCCGTTGTAGGGTCAACAGACGGAAGAAGCAAATGATTCTTTGAACGTGATCTTTGATATGTAATCAGTAATCACTAGAGTGGGATAAAAAACACGGGGAAATCTTTGCACCCGATAACTACGAAATTTGTCACGATAGGCATCTTACAGCAATTTTTGAAGAGCGCCGATTGGTGCTCATATCTGTGAGTCGGGAGTCTTGACCAAATTTATTTGCCGGTGGCTTAAATTATCTGATAACAATATTGAGAACATAATATTGCTTGTTATTTTTTTGAACCAGAGAACCGCCAAGCCTGTACTAAGATATTGGCTCAATTGAGCTGAACCACGCACACTTAGCAAATGCCCCGTATGAACTCCTTAGGTCGCTTGTAAGATGAGAAGAGAGGAAATAAGATAGCTCGCCCCAAGCTCTTAATTGATAAATTTCGCCTAAGCTGAACAATGCTTGAACCCCGTGTCCCAATGTACTAGCTTTATTCCACCGTCTATGAGGAACGGAAACCAACCCTGATATGCCCAACGCTGTAAATAGAACTGAGAGAAGATATGAGAATTTGTGTGTGGAGGAGGAGTATCGATGGTTTAATCTCGTCGCTATTTTCTTCGACGCCTCTGTTTGATTAACGGAAACTCTGGAGTAGAGAAATATCACCCCTAAACCTGCTGGAAACTTGAGATCTAGCCGCCGATGAAGGTTTCAAAAGTCTATAGATTCATGAATTCGCTAGAAAACGTGGCGAGTCCGAAAACTGTCCGGAAAACCTTGACGTTGGATGGTTGCTTGCATACTACCATCGGTAGTCTTATTAACAAGCCGGAATCCCAACCACTGTCCTTTCAAATGCCACCTCATGAAAACGCCACCTCTTGTCTATGTGAAACCTCTATAATTGAAATCATCATTCATGTCCTTGTCGATATATAAGTGCCGAATTCGTGGCCTTACATCCGATCCATGAGGTCGCCACCCGCTAGGCTGCCGCTTGCTGAACTTCGACCGCTGGTATTGTACCCATCGTTGGACAGTAGGTCGTGAACTGCGACCTTGGGAACCTGCGGAACAGGCAGTTTCCTACTGCCATCGGGCCGGCTAATGATATCCGTCAGAGACAACCCAGAGGGCCGAGGCCCGTTGTTGTTCGGTTGAGACGTTGGCGGATAGACGACCCCTTCTAGATGCGGTTCCATCGGCGCTAGTGCTGGCGTGTGTCCTAACGTCAAATTGCGCAAAGTTGGCAGTTCAATGCCAGCGTAAGGCCGTAAGCGAGGTGAATGGGCTGGTGTCGCTAGCGGTGTGTGATCAGGTGTGGGGGAAAGCGAGTCGTGAGAGAATGTGGGCGAAGATGGTGCAGTGGAGTTGGGAGAGTTGGGTCTTGACCGTTTGGCATGACGAAGAGCATGGGAATAGTGGTCATCGTGCTCATCATTTGAATGCGACCTCGACATGTGGTAAGCGGAAAGCGAGGGGAGGTGGCCCCGCACATTATGAAGACCGTTGGGATAGTATGGATGAGGTCTCGTTGCGTGGTGGTGAGGGCTAACGTTTTCCCGCTCAAGCTGGTTTGTGGCATTGGTTAAGAGGCTGATATCCATGCTATGGCCTTGATGCGGGTGATTGTTCCCGCTCATGCTCCGGCCATAGTGGTGTAGAGGCCCCGGATGAGGCATAGCGTATGAAGAATAGGAGTGAGGTGGCGATACGTTTGGCGAGACAAGAGTAGAATTGGGTGCCGACTTAATAGATCTTGGGTTTGAGGGTGGAGGCATCATGGAGTCGGGTGTCAGAGCATGACCTAATCCGTGATGCGTGGCCTGCCCAGCCTTGTTCCCTCTTCTCGAGTTAGGGTTGTTGTGTATCCTTGAGTGGCGAGTAAGTTCGTCTGAGCGGGAGAACTTCTTACTGCAGCCGGGGAATTGGCAGGCATGTGGCTTCTCGCCAGTATGTGTCCTGATATGCCTAGTCTGATGTTCAAGACGGTGAAAGGCCTTATCGCAGAGGGGGCATTTGTATGGTCGTGGCAACTCGTTGGCATTTTCGGTGAGTTGACCACCAGGAAGAGGGCCATTGGGCCGAATAACAGTGACAGTAGCCATATCTACGTCTCCGTCTGGGTTAAGTTTTCTTGAGTTTATATCGTTACCAGTTGTTGTGGTAGTCTCGGGATTCAGCAGGTTGGAAAAATCCACTGCTGACTGTGAGCGTTGCATGTGATCAGCCAGCCAAGTGGGCACCGCCTTTATCCTCACTAGAACAACTTCTTAAAAGGGGAGGGAGGAGGAGAAGATTGACTATGAAGGATGAGTCGTAATGGTTGGTAGTCGAGGAGAAGCCGGTAGTTTTTAAATGATAGCCAGATCGTCCAAATTATTACTAGGTGAACACTAGATAGATTATTGGCTGTTTGTCCCGATTTGTCTGTCTTCTTCAAGTCGACGGTGTCGATGTTGGGTGTCGATGTCAACGTTGTGATGTTGGTTCTGAATATTAAATGTTATATCTTGTTATTCTTTCTTCTTAATATTCTTCTTTCTTTATGTCGTAGCCCATATAACGAGGGTGTTAGCGGCTTTTTGTTTTATTTTAGTCGAGGGGCCAGGGAATGGTTGCAGGTGTAATATTGGTGCGGTAGAATTTCAAGAGGAAAGCCGGTTTGGGGGAATGGGGGCACTGGATTGAATTTAAATTGAAACTGCGAGAGCGGGCGGGTCGGAAAACTTGCGAGTGCCAAAACGTGCTACACTGGGGCCGCCGGCGGGTGGGTGAGAAAAGCTTTAGAAAGTGCGGTACTGTACAGTACAGTATCAAAAAGGTACCTCACGACTTGTAACATCTCAATGTTCCAATTCCCTCCGGGGGCCCTGCCCTACAGGATATCCTAGTGTGGGGGGAGCCAGTAGACGGACGAAAATGGCCTGGGGGAAAGTTGGGAACCCTTGTAAAGAGGGCCCACCTCACCTGGGCAGTCTTCAAGGACTCCTTCAGGGAGGTACACCTGTGTGATCTGGTTGGCTAGTGTCATTGGTCAGTTGGTTGGGCAGTTCTGGGTGGCGCCCCCCTCCCTTAGATACTTGGGTACATGGAGAATACAAGAGTACCTATAGTACGTACCTTAGATACTTTATGAGGCAATTGGGGAACGGGGGGAGAAACGTGGAGGCTGCTGAACCTACTAGTTACATAGTAATGATTTACACAAGGCAAAGAAAGTAAGAAAAAAAAAAAAAAAAAAGGAACTAAACCACTAAAAAACTAAAAATACTGGTCAAAGTGCTCCTTTTTTTTCTGGGCGGGCTATACTACGATATTGGAAATGAAATTGCCATTGTCCAACATTGTCGATTTACTACGCCGTATCTATTTGGGCGGTCTGGATCTCAATTCAAATGCTACGAATGCTGCAAATATTAAATACTCTAACTTATAGGCTATCCTAAGGCGTTTCTCTACTGCACTCTTGCTTCGTCTATTATAGTATGGGGTATATTTAAAGAAAGAAAGGGTGTATGAAGTTATTCCGCGTGTCGAGGTCAAGAGGATTAGGGAGTGGATACATAGCAGATATGTGGACATGTGGTTAGAACAACCGTCATTGGGGCTCGGCTTCCGGGGGGGGGGGAAAGAGGATTTTAAACAAAGATAATAAACAGCCCTTAGCCAAAGGGGGGAAAAAGGCAAAGAAAAAAAAGGAAAGAAGAAAAAAGAACGTCAAGCTAACCTGGTAGGTAGTAGGTACTCCCCTGGTATTCAGTTACCAGTAGTAGGTCCAGTACTGCTAGTAGTACATACTAACTATGTAGACAATCGACAAGCTTTAGACTGAGTCTGACTGACTAATAAAGGCGGGGTGTGAAATTAAAAGTTGTGCAATCAGCTACGAATAACCCGCAATGAACACAACACATGTTCTTCTCTCCTTTCTTTCCACATTACTTTTGTCTCACTCTCAGCGGTGTGTGTGTGTGTATGCATGTATGTTATATGTATGTGTTGCCATGGCTGAAATATTAGATTGTTTTGTACTCACAATACTCCTTTTATTTATTTATTTTTGACCATCCCTTGGAAAAGTAATCCTCATTCAATTCTATTCAATCCAATTCATTCATTCATTCATTGCCTTGGTATTTGTTGAGTCTAAAGAGACCATGTCATAAAAGACCCCCCCTTTCCCCCCCCCTTAACCTAGCTACCCTTTCCATAGCTACCTGGACCCTAGCCACCAATCCTAATCCTAGGCAATCTACTACGGTATGAATGTTTGCATTATTTTACTGTAATTTTTACAAGCCTCAGAGCATACGCATGTCTATGCGTTGCAAGTCATATTCACAACCCCATTTCGAGCAAATTAGTAACAACATCGTACCAAGCTCATACTATTCAATCTTCATCATACTAGCTTCATGTAAGTCATCCACCATGCTGGCCTGGGTAGTGGCATAGTACGACCGAGATGTGTGGGGATAGCAAAGACGATTGTGGCTTTAAGAACGCTCCCGCCCGCGCCGAGTACTGCCTCGGTCTTCCGGCCGGTCAAACGGAGTGGACATGGAGTCTACGGTGCAAATATTACAAGCAAAGTTCATTTAAGCTATTTCGCCATCTTTTCGCTTGTACATAGGTATGTAGCTTGTAATAGCCCTTCCCAAGATCCAGGGGACACCCATATAATGCCGCTTTGTCCGCAATCGAAGGAAGAGAAAAAATTTAATAGAAGGAGGCCCACGATGAAAGATATGGAGAATGTGGGGCCGAGCTCGGCCGCATTTACATAGTAAGGGGTGTATTTGTTTAGCACTTACATAGCACCAAATAGATAAGGTCCATTTTACCATCGTTAAGTCGGCAGTCCACTGTTGAAACTTGGGAAGACGATGGAACAGATGGGGTCCGATAAGTGGACCAGCAAGCACACTAGATATCTGAACGGAACAGGAAATGCTGACATAAGAAGACATAGAAAGGCGAGCTGACGATTGGTACAACTGGCCAGCATTTCACATGTTGTAACCGGCAAAACAAGCTCAGCTCAGCTTCGGAGCGCGAACTATGTAACCAACCAAGTTGGAACCTAGCTGACACTGGATTACGATAACACCCCATGGCGCGGTTTTCTTATATTAGAAGAATGATCTTCGCTTATTTACCCTCTCTCGTGTCGAACCTGGGGTAATTCGCAATGATTGGGTTCGGCCTGCGGACCTATCATACCTCCCAGAGCCTCTCCCCACAAGCCATCTCTCTAAATCTGGGCTAGCTCTATCTTGAATGGCAAGCATCTTTTATCAGGGCGTTTACTCAGGGTGGGATTGTTCCAAATATGACCTGCCAGGAGCTCTTCCCCGGCCAGTCTGGCTTCTTATCAGCAAAGTATACCAGCATTGCAAAATATTGGAAGCGTAACCTGATCCTGATCCTGCCGGCACCACCATCCAGGCCTAGCACATGCCTCCCAGGGGCGGGTGACGATAGGGTATAACACGTGCTGGGGATAAGTGACATCAACAATGCCAATGTGCGGCCAAGAATTTCCAAGCTTCGGTGAATGCGTACTACATAAACGAGACAGGTATGTCTCTATTGACAGAAGAAAATCTCTAGGGCGTGGAATTGGGATTTCATCGGTAAGGAGCAGATTATTGATGTAATGATGTGCAAAGACCCCATACCTGTTTACCGAAAGGTGTCATCGACGCCAAGCTTCTTTTTTAAAGCGTGGGGGTCGGCACGTATAAGAAGGGAAAGGACGGCAGTGCTCTCGGGCAGCGGCGCAAATGGCATTTCTCAATAGACGCTCGTCAATCATTCTTTACTCACATAGGAGTAGTGTATGAATAGTGTATGTGTGTATGTATGTAGGTAATGGTTGCCTTGTATTACGCGCCAGGCCGGAAAGTTGCAGGTATTTCATACCAAATACCTAGTACTCGGACCTTGCAGACCTTGAACATTTGATTGTCATTTGATATAATATGTTGTTAGTTGGGTCGGGTTGTTTGTGACAAGTGGCTCATTGTGCTTCAGCCCCAAGGAGAACCAGCATTGAGATTGCCAATGCTGGGAACATGCCAGTCTTGGTGTACGATGCGTATATTTGTAATTACCGGGAAACATTAGCAATTTGCGTGGCACCAACAGATTGTGAATCTGTGAAAGTGTATGTAAACACATACGTATGTTTAGGGGTAAGTCCGGGGAAAGGCGGGATTCTCGCTGAGACTAATTCATTTGACCCTGGAGAAGACAGCCTCAGCTTCGAACTAGTGGTCTAGCACAGCCCCCGGATTACGGATCGAGTGAGATCACTGAGATTGAAGAAGCATGGAAGAAAGGAAAAGAAAAGGCCACCTATTTACAAACCCATAAATACCTACATGAATCCACAGCTTCTGGTAACAACACACATATAATACAATAAGTAATGTTTCTCATGACCTACTACATCTAGGTATGTATGTACTTTGTAGTGTAGTAGATTTATCTTCCCCACAAAGATAACATCTCTAGAGCTTCCTCTGATCCGGGGTCTCAGGCCCACTGATGGACTGAAACTGTGCCTACTCGCGTTAAGACACTAGGCATTCCCCCAAATGAGGTATACCGAAGCACCTCCTTGATCATCACAATTGCGCAAACGCACGCCAATCTGGAATCCGCGACAAGCTTAAGCACCCTACCACGATAAACCAGCTTCTCTCATCCTATATATAAATGGGGGGTAGCAAACAACCACGAGCTAGAAATATTTCTTAACAATGTGCGTTTTGTCATGTTTGACGTAAAGAAAACCACAATGAGTTTAAACAGTAACAATTATTATGATACTATGATAAAGAAAATCGATATATAGCGCTTGCCCTAAGGGAGCTTACGGGCGCCGTTACTACGTTAGATCACAGGACTATCCTTGTTTTTTCAGTATAGATCTCTATAGGCATGCCACTAAACTTATTCGCCTCCGTTATAGGCGTCACTAACTACAGTGAATTTTCAAAGAATGAAGCCGAGTTTTGTGCGTGAAGGCCACCTACCTACGCAATACGATACGTTTGAATACAGATATTGAATGTCAACTTCTCCACAACATTAAAAGACCTTTCTCCGCACTTCAATACAATGATTTGTTGAAGATTCTAGACCATTTCTAGAATATAATTTAAAGTGAATGCCAGCAAACGCACATAGGGTCCATTGGAGCCTTGGCAAGGCAAGATTGATCAACGACCGAACGAGCTTTCTCTTCAATCGAGCCATACTCTGATGATGTGAATCGGGCCTTAAGACATGAGAGAAACAATGGACACAACAGAGGCGAGACGAGGCGAGCGCCTACGCAGGTACTATATGTACCTACCTAGTCGCTATCAAGTTATTGTCTCAGGGTTACGAAGAAAAAAAAAAAAAATAGACGCTGCGTGCCGCTTAACCTGACAATACTCCATAGAGTCCATCTCACATCCATGTAGAAATCCACAAATTCTTATCGGTAGGATTGCCGGCGTGTAAAGCAATAATACGACCTTGCATACCACATAGTATGTACTTAGGCATGTACCTCCCTGCCTCCTTAATCTACATTTGTACTAAACTCTCCCGCTGATCAGTCTCCTACAACTCCCGAGGTTGTCTTTTTATCATTTCGGATAACGCAAACGACGACACCTCTGACGAACAAAACTACGGCAGGAATCAACATTCACAAGCTTACTTTTTCAGTAGCAGTGGTCTTGACCTGTAACTTATCTAGTTTCGTGGTGGGGCAAGGACATTGGAAATTGGTGGATTGTTACCCGGATTTCCTTTCGTCCCTTCGGTCGCTCCGAAGTCGTCCGAGGTACATCTCTGGGCTTTCTCCGCTATAGCCATACAGCCGAAATGAACCACCGGCCAGACGCCACTGACTCGTGGATCCCAATGCATCGTTAACATTCGCGACACTGTAAGTTCCCTAACCTATAACAAAGATTTATTCGACTTGACGGCCTAGATTATATACGTATATACTACGTGGTATAGCATCGTTTGTACAACATTACGGCTTCATATATGTACCTACTTTTTACGTACTTACTTATGCAACCATCAAGCTGGAAGCATAATATTTCTTCATGGCTTAGCCACGGCATAATCGGGATTCCTTATCTTGGCCTTTCTGCCCTACACGCATACCTTGGTATTTATAGTCTCTCCAGGACTACGTAGATGCCCTCGTCCTACCGTCAGATGACAAAAATGCCGTTTCAGTTTGCCGAAGATAGTAAAGATAGTTTAGGTATCAGATAGTCAATAGATCTCAATCACCCCAGAGGAACCATCCCCCCCGAGTTGAAACTTTCTCCCGACGCGAGGCGTACCTGCAGCAATCCCCTGCTCGCTTTACGTAGGGAGGCTACATATGCGAGCCAATGAAGACGTCTTCTCCGCTCTCCGCATTGAAAGGTCACTAGCCTCATCTATGCAAAGTTACCCCTTAAGGAGAGAAACCTCCCCCTCTGATTCAAGCACGTCGGTACGGCCCCTCTATCCGACTATCTAGCCGCCAATTCCTCTACTATGGTATTGGGTTAAAAAGTATATGTGTACATAGTACGCAAATTTTTGGTGCGACAAAGGAGTCAAAGTTGTCAAACTACATTATCCACCTTGATCTACCCAGTTATATGATGTATGTAGGTGCTAGGAAGGCAGATGCTAGTCTATTGGACTTCGTTGAACCATCTATAAAAAATTATCTCCGATCTTACTCCCGTACATACACTACCTTAGATATGATTTAATAGATATCGGTTAATTCGAGCTAAAGCAAGCTCTAACTACCATGTTGCTCCTCAGATCGGCGAAGCTATCTACAAACTAGGTAGTTTTTTCATAGTGGCAGTGAATTGACAACACAACAGACTATTACATCTAAGTACACGCAAAATGCCCGCACCTTGATGGCGTCAAATATATTTTCTTTGTTCATAAAAAGGTCGTGGCTTGATCGGCCAAGTGTTGTATAAGATAATCTTAAGACAGGCTATGTATGGCTATAAGGGGGGACATTTCAGGACCTCAGGGGGCGGGGGTAGCACTGGGGAATAAAGTGAGCTGTCAGTGCTGTAGATGCAGATGAATATTTCGACGTTCATAGAAGCTGCCAGATAACTAAAAAATACTTTATACTTCGTAACGACACCACATTTCTCAGTATGGAGTCATTGATTGTACCAATACTAGCCTGCTTCATGGATATTGTATACAGATACAGTAACTATGTAGTTGATGATGTTTAAGATGCACATGTGAACATTGAATAAGTTAAAGTGTACCTCTTGTACCTACTGCATGCAGTAATAGTACGGTATTAGTACCTATTAACCACTAAAATGGTGCTAAATTGCCTAGGTGGCATTATTGAATAAACCCCACACACTCGTCACGTGCGGTAGCACTTCGGCATTCGATAGTTACTACTACTACTAGTAGTAAGGAGGGAGACAGGGAGGACAGGGTAAGAAGATCAGCGGCGATCTGCAGGCTGCCCGCTGCCGCTGCCGATGAGGCTCAACCCTACCGAAATTGGAGATAAACCCCAACCTGGGAACCCCAAACTGGAACCTTGACCTAGAAACCTAATGTTAACCTAGAAAACCTTGCCCTATTGAACTACATGCTATGAGCTCTACGTGCCTAAGGTTGGATTTGAGTTTTTTTGGATTTGGATTTTGGAGCTTGTAACAGAACAAATTGATTTCAATTCGTCAATCTGATTAGGCCATCTCCAACTTTATCTCCTACAACAACTACGACTATTACTCTCACTATCACTATCACTATTGCTACCTAGAGCACACGTACATCCCATGAATTGCCACCTAGCCTAATAGAGGTCCTTCGGCTTCCATTATGGACCACCACTCCATCCTTGGCCAAGATATATCGAGCTTCGATCTGACTTCAACCCGTAAGAAGTAGTATTTCATCGTTTGTAAAATTAAACCGTTACTGATTGCCTTCTTTCTTACGTTACCTACTATAGATCGACTACCTACCGTTTCGGCAGCACAGGCCCTGGATGATCTTGGAACTAACCCTCAGCGGTTTATTTCGACGAGTCTCCCGCTTTTTGATCGAGCCCTCAATTATGTCATTGGTGAGCCTAGTAGTGCCTCACCTTGTCCTGGTGGCTTGCAGAAGGGCCAGGTAGTGGAGGTCTGGGGCCCACCAGGGTCCGGGAAAACTGCTTTTGGGTACATATGCCTTTCTCTCTGATGCTACAGCGGCTTCGAGTTTTGAAATTTCTAATATCGCATATAGGATTCAACTTGCTGCAAACACCCTCCGCCGGGGCGGTGAAAAGGTGATCTGGGTAGGTCCGTGTTCCAGCACATACCCTATCTGATCTATAGCATCAACAGTGGCTTTCTACTCCCCCCATACCCCCATAATCCCCTACCCCTTTAACTCGTCAACAGGTCCCTAATTCAGTTAATAGATGGGTTCCATCCGGTCTCGCCTACCAGGTTACGTGAAGTAATCACATCATCCCGATATAAGTCGTCACAATCTGATGTGACGCCTTCGATCACGGGCCAGACAGATAACTTGCTCCATTTCCGAGCACCAACTCTGGCGCATCTCATCGGACTCCTCTGCAAACCTACCTCAACGGCGATACCCGCCGAGACATCTCTCATCGTAATAGATACCTTATCCAGTCTGGTGAATCATGCCTTTCCCAAGAGCTTCGAGACCAGGAAGACCCAGAAAGGTGACATTAGCCAGCATTCCACTCATCGTCTGACTAAAAACACCTAGCTTATGCCCCTTATATTATAGGACCAGGGCCTTCGGCTAAAAGATTACACATCCTGCAGTTTTTGATTTCGACCCTCCAGAAGCTTGCTGCTACCAAGGACCTTTGTGTTGTCATTTTGTCTCAGTGCGCTACCAGGATGCAATTTGAACATGGCGCTACGCTTACTCCTGCCATTAATGCTGGCACGTGGGAGCAAGGAATTTCTACTCGCCTGGTTCTCTTTAGGGATTGGGCTATGAAGAGTGATTCCGAGCACAATGTTCATTTTATTGGCATACAGAAATTGAATGGCAAGTCAAGTCCAGGGGGCATTGGTCAAGTCTTCGCTTTCGATGTCCAAAACGTGAGTTCATGCATAATATAATCACTAGTTCGTACTGCTAACAATCTTGTGCAGGATGGACTCGTTAGCGTTGACCAAGATGGAGATGCATATTTGGCTCTATCGCCAGGCTCCCATCTTAAGCGAAAGCTGAGTCAAACAGATTTTGAAGTCCCTGATAGTGAAGGCGAAGACTATGGCTGGGAAGACGATGATGAGCTAGAGATGCCGAGATTGCCGCCGCAGTGGCAAGGCAGTGAGGATATCCTTCTCGGCCAGATAGAAGATGACGAAACCCACATTGATTCGGATTTAGGAGATCAATTGCCTTTACTAGAGGAGACTACAGATTTGGCTATTGCTGGGGATGCTGGGGATGCCTCTAGTGTAGATGATACCGATTACTGATGTCTACGGGACCCCTAATTCATAGTGCAAGGGGTTAGTCTAATTTGGTATATCAATGTGAGGCGCTCGGTTCACGATAGGACTCCATTATAAAAAAAACATCAACTGGCTTTTTTTTTTTCTTTGGTTCCACTGGGGGCTCAACCCATCCAGCAAAAGGGGGGCCATTAAAACCGGCCAAATGTCGGCGGCTTCCTTAATGTTTCTAGCCTCAAGGGGTCGGCGGTCGCCACTCCACACTTCGGTCCTTCGCGGCCAATTTTTCTTATTGAGCAGGTATGCCTCAATGATGCCTTCGGAGAAACCGGGGTTCACGATTACTGTTTTTTTTCAACGAGAAAACGGTGAGAGTGAAAAAAAAAAGTACACGCCATGGATTGGATCGGATCGCCTTTAAATTTTTTTTCTTTCCAAAACATGGCAATGTCCTAAATATTCCCATAGTGGAACTGAAGGGATTTTGCACAATACGTTACTTCCACGCATGTTGCATGATTATCTCAACGTCTGTCTGTATGTAGTTATCAATGCATGGGTTTTCTTGTTCTGGTTCTGGCTGATAAGGACACACCCCTTGTCGCCGACTACCTACACTGAAGGTACTGATATGACTATAGTTATTTCATATAACTAGGTACGTACGTACTATAGAGTGTGTAAGTACGATGTAGGCTGTTAGGTATGTAAGTAGTTATGTCAGTACTTTAGTATAGTTATGAATTCGATGTAGTCTATCTATAACTACTCAGATCTGAAGGATATTAAATAACTAGGTGCTAATATCTCATAACTGCTGAAACGAAACCCAAAGCGCGGAAGACAGACGGCGCGACGTTGACGATTCCGCGTTATCAGTACAATGCCAGGGTCTCTTTTTTTTCCCCCATCCCCATCCCCATCCCCATTATCTTCCTTCTCTTGGGTAGGTAGGTAGGTAGGCCGGCAGGACAGGACAGGACAGGACAGGACAGGAACAGATCTTTAGCCAGTTACGGGCACACAACAAGGGTCGCAGCGCCTGCGGCCGCCATCTTTGGCCAATACCTATACATACATACTTACCTACATATGTACATACTATCGCGACTCAATAAATAAATATAATCCTATTTTCCGCGTGCCTGCATGATTTTTTTTTTCTTCTTCCACACTTCGTATTAATACGACCTATTATCTAACCTACCTAGCTTTTGTGTGAACCATTCCGAGATGGTGGATCATGCGATTTGCTGTGCTTCTATGTAACTACATGCCTACACAGCACAGCAAGGTAAGCTAGCTCTGTTCCATATGTCAGTCGAGTCTGGTTTGATTGTTTCTGGGGATAAGTACCAGATCGATCAAACACTCCCCCCCCCCCCTTTCCCCCCTTCCCCCGTGTCCCCCCACCCGCCCGCCTCTCTTTCTTGGTAGGTTAGGTTAGGTTAGGTTAGGTATCATGGCCGTATTATGACTGGAGAAGCGCAACTGCAACTCGCCGAAGTGTGTTGGTAGGTAGTACGATAAACCTGATGGGATCGTGATGTGATCAGACTACCTACCTACCCAATGTACAGCTGCAGAGGGGGGGGGGGGGGGTTATATCATGGTTTCCAAGGTTTGCATACCTACTGTACCTATACTGTGATTGATGGTAGGTTGCCTAACGACTAATAATCCGTATATTAACAGATAAGCAAGCAAGCAACCTGTACTGTATGTGGTATATGGATACTCCTCTCAAGCTGGCTTCGAAATCGTCCTACATCACGCCATGAAACTCCACAATATGCTAATTGGGAAAAGGGATCTATATATCTATCTATACTGATAACGCAGAGTGGTTCTTCCCTTTCCCCTTGTGGGGAGGAGAGGAGAGGAGAGGAAAGGAGAGAGGGGGGGGTTTGTTCGACCCTAGATACTCTTCTTACCTTAGGTACGTTAAGTACCTAATGCGCGCAGACACACATGCATCTTCGACCTCGCAAACCCATTTCTTGGCAAATGCTTGTTGCAAGGTCTCGACCAGATCGTCAGATGGATGTCTATCCCTTTGACAAAAATAAAATAATTTGGGGTTGGGGTGCGGAGAAGTCCAGAAAAAAAAAAGGTCGCTCAAAAATAAAAGAAGGGTTTCGCCTGTACCTGCCGCTGACTACTTTACGACAGAGAGAGAGAGAGAGAGAGACTAGGCAGGAAACCTGGTTCCATGAGGACACCCTGCAGCGGGAATGCAACCGGATATGCATCGCCTGCAGGCCGCGGCCTACCCATCAAGCCTCACCGGTCCACGGGTGCAGGGAAGCTTTCTTCCACCACCTCTCTCGGAAGACTCTGCCGTTGTTCCAGCCTGATGATTTGATTTCACATCATTGTTTCCGCTCGTAGGCGAGAAGCGGCTTACCGTCTTGCATTTGCCAAAGAACTTACACTTACCAGGCCCTCCTCGATGAGAAGGTTGTGTATATGTAAATTAGGTAGTTGGTCATGTAAGGAGGGAGGGAGGGAGGGAGGTGGTTTTAGGCAATCTGACTTACATCCCTCCCTCCCCCCTTTTCCTAGATCTTTGCCGCCACCACCAAAGGGTCGGTCTGCTGTGCTACGCACACCGACCGGCAGGCGACGCGACATCCTGGCTTTGCTTTACTTTGCTGCTCACTTCGAGAACCGGGCGATTTCTCTCACTGGGTGGCGGAAGGACGGCCGGCTATGTATGTTTGTATTGTTGCGGTCGGGCAATGAACTACCTACACACATATTAACGACGTCGAGGAACCGCGATTCAAAAAGCGGATCTTGCCTTCGCAGGACACGCACGGGTAGGCGCCCCGGATCTACACACACGTCTCCGTGGGGTTCCCTTTCCCGGTACCTATTTTCGTAGCTACGCCGACGCTCAGCTGGGATTTAGTGAGCTAGGTAGATTAAGTCTCTGTTGCGAGCATAGTAAGCCTATCTGACGGAGTCAGAGCCTCCCGAGCATGTTTATAGCACTCCCCGAGGGGTGCTGAGCAGATGATACTCTCCCTCTCTCTCCGTCCGCTGGATAGCTTCGGGTTTACTTGAGTTGGTGGATTCGTGCCCGGTAGTGCCTGGGTCGAGAGCCGCCGATCCTCTGTACAACATCAATGACAACGACAGCAGCAGCAGCAGAAACCCCTAACCTACGGCCGTTACATCCACCCTAGCAACTAGGACATCAGCGTTTCCCCTTTCTCTGTTCGTGGTTCTTTTTTTTTTATCTTCTTGCAAGCATTCGGGGAAAAGAAGGTGATAGCTCACGTACAGATGTTCGAGCCAACATCGGATCTTGCTTGGTAAGGTTGTCGCACAAGGTTACTTGGGTTGGTAACGGAAAATACGCTATCGCATGATGCGAACGCCCGTGATTGCTTGACCTGGAAGAAGCCGGCCAGATGACGCGGGCTTGGGGGGGTATTACTTAGCTCAGATAAGTATGTGTAATTTATCTTTCACATAGGTACGCTATCACGAGCATGATATGATTGTTGACTAGTAGATGTGATACTGCGTCGAAGTCATGGCCTTGGTTGAGGGAGGATGAAGTCGCGGCTTGTGATGGTACCTTTATTGTACGAGCATCTGCCAGGTCTAGTCTTGGCTGGTCTCGCCTTGGAGTTCGATGGCTAATGCTATGAAGCTGCTTTATACAAGGTAGGTACTGTAGGTAAGTTCCTAGGTGTGTATTGGTATATGTGGTGCTTCGGCCTATTCATCCACCACCGACTGCTTTATAGCTTCCTAAAGACGTATGTATAGGCAGATGATGGTGATATCTTAAATGATACTTATATAGGGGACAACATCTATGTATGTAGGTTGACTTGAAGGAATACCTGATATTTAGTTAGCAAATATTGTGTCAAGGGAATGTAAAGTAGTAGTGTCATGATATATATATTTTATATATTTTCAATTGGGAGTGATAAACCATTTTCTTTCGTTTAGAATGAAATACCTACTAAGGGATGAATGAAATTGGATGGTGATGAAATGATAATTCCTATGAGGGTAGCATGTAGGTACTAGGTTACAGTACTAGTAGTAGTAGAGCGCTGAGGTGAGGGAGCTCGGTGTGGCTTGCGCACTGATCGCATCTATGGCAGTGCGATAATAGGCCCTTGAGGTACCTAGTACATTCTACATGGTAGGTACCTACCTAGTACCTAAAATTAGGTACGATGGAGGCTGATTTGGCCCATTCTTGTCACCCCTAACTGGCTAAGCTCTCCTTCCCTTTTGCCTCTTTTTTTCGGAGGGCAGCTATGAATCGATAACTCACACTAAATTTCATCAATTCGAGTCCATTTTTGACTTCAACGTACCAACATTTACAAACCTTTCATCAGCTACATCACCCGAATTTATTCAATCGATTCAATTCTCATAATATATGATAGCATTGCGACTTATGAACACGAGCAAGAAATTATAAGCAACGCGAAAGCTGTGGCGGCGTTGTGAGATCGTGGCTTGGCGCAATCATCTTGGACTCTTCAAGGTCCAGAGTCCTGAGATGAAATGAATGGCGTCGCTTATGAGGTGAGGTGAAAAACATCAATCAGCAAAAGAGGAATTACGATAAAATATATATTTACAACGACTTGTTTAGTCACATACATTGTAGGGATTCAGTACATTCCCCCGCCATCGTTTAATCGCCTGTGCACCTTTAAGTACGTCAAGTCAATTCTTCCTACTTAGATCGAAAATCCTTAGAACTGTGAACCACACGATATTCATCAATATTCATCAATTCTTGATATGTTCATTAATTCTCATCATCATCACCTCCATATCACTATTGTCACTATTGTCACTATTGTCACTATCGTCACTATCGTCACCTACCCACTACTTGATCCTATATCGCAATAACCACTTACCCACTTGCCTTATATAATATCGCATCATACCCACTTACTCATTCCGCACTCTCAAACCCATGATACCCAAATCTGCCCCTCATAAGCATCGTGCTCAATCCTTATCATATACTATTTCATTCTCTAACATCGATTCATCGTCATAGAAATTGAAGCTATGGCATCTGAAGCCACAGTCCCAGAAGAAATGGGAGCTGGAAGTGTAGATGGCACACCCACCAACGAATTCTCATGGCTGTAAGTCACCATCTTTAGTACGATACACATTTTCATTTTTACTAACGCATCTGCCAAGACAGCCACACGTTATATTCGTGGTCATCCTTGTTGGTGAAGAAGAGACTCCATTTGGAATTCAAAAGGACTTTCTTCGCGCCAAGTCAACTTTCTATGCCTCCCATTTTGCCGACGAACAAGGCGACGAGACCGAGAGTGACAAGCTGGAGCACATTGTCAAACTCCCCCACACTACCCCCGAGGTCTTCGGATTCGTTCAAAACTTCCTATATACTAACCGACTGTTCACTGGTGTGGACACTCTACCCGGTTACGAAGTTCTGATTGCCACCTGGAAGCTTGGATACGAGTTGGGCATTGATGGTCTCTGTGAAGAAGCTCTCGAGGCCATGACTGAGTGTAGACGAATCACACAACATATCCCAGCTACTCCGCTCCTCGTCCAGGCATGGAAAGATGCCCCCGAGGGTTCTTCGATCCGCAAACTTCTCCTTAACTGGGCAGCTGAATACATAAGGTCGTCTGAATCTCGCCAGGAATTCACAAAGTCCCTCCCGCAAGAAGTGTTGAGTGAGCTTGTGATAGCCATGAGCCATCTTAACTCTTCCCCTGCCATACAGGTTAACACCGGTCCATCCCCCTCGGGACAGAACCAGGGAAAGAATGTACATTACCTCGAGGCCGACGAGAGTGATGATGAGTCTCACCACAAGGCACAGAAGCGCCATCATTCCGATATCATGTCGAATCGGCCGAGTCCGAGTGAGCAAAAGGTCAGACTTAAGAAGTCTGCCCAAAGAGTGTCACTGCCTGCACCAAAGCCTGCCAAAGCTAAGAGAGCCAGCAATGGTCAGATGGATGACCACATCTACTCATCAGACCAGAAGTTGAACTTCTGTGCGGACCTACTGAGCCGAATGCTCTCTGGGCCTGGTAAGTTCCCTTGCTGATTTGGATATTCATATTCCGACATCACTAACATCACTCACAGGCTTCTGGACCCGTCTAGTCGGCCCCTTCCGAGAGCCCGTCCGCCCCGTCGAGGACGGCGTGCCGGACTACTTCGACAAGGTCGCCGCGCCCATGGACCTCAGCACGGTCAAGGCCAAGATGGACCGCCGCGAGTACAAGAGCGACGAGGAGTTCGTCACCGACATCCGCCAGATCTTCACCAACTGCTATCTCTACCACAAGCAAGGGTCGCCTATGTGGCAGAACTGTGAGAAGTTCGAGAGGACGTTTGAGGAGAAATACAAGACGATGCCGAAATGGATCTCGAAGATGGAGGGCGAGGAGGCTTCTTAGCCCGGTGTTTGTTCTGTGCTGTGTGGCTTGGTCAACTCCCGCCCCCCCCCTTAAATATCTACGCCGAGCTTGCTTGCTTGCTTGTGGGCTCTTCGAAAGAAGGTGGAAGTGGAAGGTGTAATAAGTTCCTGTTGTGAGATTGTGTGGTGGAAACTACCGAGGCAAATCCAAAACCCCAACCCTTGAAAAAGGATTAATACGATACGATACAATACAGTACGATACGAGCTGATACAAACCATCAGAAGATGGTCTACACAAGACCGAACCTAACCTACCTACCCACTTACCTGGACTACTTACACATTTGTACTACTATAATTAATACCCGCACATAACAATCCTCATGTGCAAACCCAACCCAACCCAACCCCATCCCCCCCCTTCGAAATCTTGGGGAGGAGAAGAAGAAGAAGAAGAAGAAGAAGGCAAGGAAGTTCTCTAATTACGTGGATCGCATTCGTCGTTGCCTACCTATCAAGCTACCCAAGTTACCTAGGTAGGTAACCTTGTTGTTAGTTAGTTAGGTCGTTGTCATAGGTTAGGTATATATAATAGGTAGGTAGGTAGCAGAAACATTGAAACTTGAAACTTGGGAAGGTTCTTAAGAACTTTCTCTGCAAAAAAAAAAAAAAAAAAAGAATTAGTAATATTTCTCCTGTGTGTGTTCTCCTCGCGCCCCAGGTCTCGCTTGTATTTAAGGGGCAGGTGCTCAGGTAGGTCGGGAGGAGTGAGCGCTTTTCATAGGTATGACAGACAGCCTTGCTTTGCTTTGCTTTACGCACGCTTTGTCTGTGGAAGACGTACTGGCTTGTTCAATAAGGTAGATAGATGCCTTCATAAATCCCTAGCCCAACCATTGCCAGCATACCTTAGGTAGGTAGGTAAGATATAACAGATGAGATGAGATGAGATGTTCATAATCTATTAACCTAATACATTGTATATATATTGGTTACTATCTAACGTCTAGCCAGGTATGGTATCATCGGGGTATTACAATTATATAAGGTATATATATATAGGTAGGTAGTTCAGGTACTGTATATATGTGATGTTGATTGCCTGGTTTATGTGTACTCACTGGAGCAATCGCGATTGTGCTGTTTCGGTGTAAAATCCAACCTGCTGTTCCAAGCTGCTTTGCTAGAAAATCTAAATATGCCATGCCTTAATGCTCTATGCTCCTCTATAGTTTGCCCATTCCGATCATTAGTCCAAGGATTAGTTTGTGGCACCACCTCCGAGACCAGTACCGTCGTTTGCTTTGGAAGGTAGGGCCACTTCCGCCTCAGCTTCTGCTTGTGGGTTTATGGAACTCTGAGGAGCCTTGACGCCCTTCCCCTTCTTCGTAGCGCCTTTACCTACGATTTTCTCGGTCCAATTCCAGCCTGGACTACTGGCTCTTCCATCATTGTCTTTACTCTCCTTCGAATTTTTGCCCTTGCTATGCTTGCCGTACGCCATGTCTAGATCTGTGTCGCTATCATCACCACTGTCGTTGAAGTCCCGATCGCTCCAACTTGCCGAGTCGACTCTATCAATCGATGGTCGGGGCGGTGATTCTCTTGAGTTTTGAGACGATTTTTTCTCTCCGGATTGGGATGGTAAATCCGATACTGTATCCGTGGCCTCAAGGGCCTCACTGGCAGTGTGTTTATGGGCCATCCTACCACCACGAATATTTGCACCTCTCTGTGGTTGGGCGTCGTCTTGTGTATGCGTCTCCGCGCCTGTTGTGTCTGGCGCCTTATGCATCGGTTTAGCACGGTCGACACCCTGCTCAGCCTCGTCCCGCGTACGTGCAGCTGCGCTATCACTAAAGTGAGCATCGACTAGGTGCTTCACGACAGGCCAGCCAAAAGCATTGGCAAATTTGCGACGGACGATAATGTTATTGTGCGCATCTGGCTCTAGTTTGACCAGAACTTTTCGCCAACTCAAGCCACGGTGGTATGCTCGTGCGATCTTCTCTTCGACCTTCATGTTGGATGTGTCAATAACCTGGTCAAAATCTCTGTCAGGATCCGTATGTGAATGGTCGTCGTAATCATGGGCTGAGAGGCCAGACTCTACATGATCGACTCCCGAAGTTGACGAATGCGCCTTTCCATTTTCTTCCTTGGAAGTTGAAGTACCACTAGAGCCTGTTGGCCGGTGTCGGAAAGAGAGCGACTTAGTTGTGCGTCTTTTGAGGGGTGGCGGTGGGATGTCGGACGGGTGGTAGACTCGATCATGGAATATGGTCCGGGAGCGCTGTGAAGGGTCGATGAAGTACTCGACCGTTGGTAACTTGGGATTGAGAAGATCACCCGCGGACTCAAAGAACGTAGTCCTAGGGGGGGCTGATACTTCATGTGTTGGGTCGTCGCTGAGTTCGTGACCAGAAGATACCTTGGACCCACTTGACGATTTACTTGGCGATTCTGTGCCCGTGGCCATGTCAATCTTAAGCGTTTGACTGCGCTGGTAAATCTTACTTTCCCGGGGAGATGGGGGAGGTGTTTTGCGTGCCCCCGTTTTAGACGACTCGCTGGATCTGAAGAAGTTGAAGAATCCTGATAAGGGGAAATCATTGTTCGTTTGTGAGTTATGACCCATAGTACCAGCATCCGGAGTTGCTAAGTTCAGACTGCGTCTATCATCCTCTAACGTTGCGTTAGTTGATGGTTGAGGCACCTCGTGCGAGTCGCCTCCGGAAGACTCGGATTCGGCACTGGACTGCGCCAACGATGGTGCATCTTCGCTTAGGGGTGACCACGGTCCTCTTCGCGAAGTCGCATTTGCACCGGTTAGTTCAGCCCATCCAAACCCAACAACGGTCTCAACTAAGCCAGCTTCTCGTCGAGCCTTCTCTACACGACCAAGTCCTTGCCAATCTAGAAATAAGAGGCAGCTGGTGCGGAGCGGTACGATTCCATCGTTTACCACATTGGAATATATGGTTCGGTTGCGGAATTTCTTCAAAGCGGTATGCGCTGGACCAGTTGGTAGAATACGTAAGAGAGGCTTTGACTCTGGTTGCACGTCTCCTATTACCTTCTTATGAGCACTCTCTCCTAGTGTACCGACTAATGCACCCCAGCCGCTTCTGGCAATAGTCGGAGCTCGCCACGTAAGGCCAAGATCTTGCCCGGTCCTTCCGACGAGGCCAAAGTCAAGCGCAAACTTAACATATAGGGGATTTTCGTTGCTAAGGCCTAGTAATGGGGAGGCAAGCGTAATGAAGTTGATGGGCCGGATTAAGTCAAAGAAGGAAGGCGAATGCTTCTGGATATACGCGATGGCGTACACTTGAACTAGGCCCCCTAGGGAGTGTGCGACGAAGCTGATACTAGTGATCTGAAAATTGCGGTTCTGCTTATGATGATGATGACCTCTGTGAATGGTGCTGTGTTTGTGCGCTGGTTTTCCGGCTGCCTCGTCATTCCCTTCGTCGTTCTTAAAAGCACTGGTAATGGTTTCACCGGCTGCTTTTTTCAAAGATGGAAGAAAAGGTTGGTCAGGATACGTCCTGGAAAGTATCCAGCGTGCCAAACGCTTGCCCAGGAATTTGATGCCCCTTTCTGTTCGAGTAGCATTTCCAGAGAAGCCGCGTACTATGACTTCCTCTTCATCGTCTTCGTCGTCTTCATCCTGGCCATCAGTACTCTTTCCCGGTTGTTGTTCTACACCCTCACCCTTTGATTCTTCTTCGCCACCCTTCTCGGCTTTCGCTTTTGCTTTTCTGGCCTTCGCGTCTACCTTCGCTTGCTTCGCAGCCGCGTCAATACTCTCTTTCAAGTACAACATGTCGGCCCCGAGATTACTATGCAGACCATGAGTCAAGATGACCAAGTGGATCTTCTTCGGGGGGCGACTTTTTACACCATCCTCCTTCACTGTTTCTGTTGGTTCCGTGACAGCACTGACAGCACTGACAGCGACTGCCTTATCTCCGCCGGATGCTTTGGTTCTTGCATGATCCAGTTCGTCCCAGCCTGGAAGCGGTGGGCTGTTCCAGAGACTTGCGGTATCCTCAACTTGCAAGGTGATAGCTTTCGAAAAGACGCCCTTTAACTGCGCAGGATGGTGTCCATCTTTTGCGCCCAAGCTTTGTTGAAAATCGGTCACTTTTCCGGGCTGTGGGACCGGGGCCTGACCGCCAATAACGGGCACGCCGCCCAGGGTTAAGCTTTTCTCATCCCGTGCAACCAAGACCTCGTAACCCACAGCGGCGCTGGCGGAAAATATAACCTGACTCGTAACCTCTACGATCCAACTCGCGCTCTTGGGGGCATCTTCGATGGCATCGTAGCCATAGTCGCCCTGGCGAAAACCAGATCCGGCACTCTCGCGTATGTCGTCGGGTACAATCAACTGACATGTCCACGTGCCTCCGGCCTTGAGCATAGGTTCGAATTCAGGGACGCCATAACGCTTGGGATTCTCGAATTTGGTGTTGGGGTCGTAATGAGCCGGGTACGCAGAGACATTGAGGGTATAGGGACCATGGATGAAGGCGGCTCGGAGAGGGATAGGAGAAGTATTTCGGATGCGTAGATGTAGGACGTCGGGGGAGGGTAGGATTCGGTCGTTGGAGGGCGTATAAGTTACGGTATAGCGAACGACTTCACCGATCTTGACACTGCCAACCTGATGCAGGAGAAGCATATTTTATGGAAGTGCTCTTGCTATTGACAGGTTCTCAAGCGCGAGTACTTTTCATTAGGTGACCGTGAATTGTTAGTCAACAAGACATGGCAAATTAGATGTCATGGGTTGATGGATCCCCGATGGATCGGCAAGGGTATGATGGTACGGATCGTACGGACGATATTATCGATAAAGAAAAGATTGTAGATTTTGTAGCATGTGTGAGTTTGTAATAGGTATGTTGGTTGGTAGGTAGATAGGCTAGGTATGTAGGCAGTAAGTAGTATGTAGTATGGTATTGAACCTCAGGTTACTTCGAGAAGTTTGAATGGAGACGACTGAAGAACCACGTGCAGTCCTAGGATGTATTGTCAGGTACCTAGGATGTACAGATGATTCTCATGAACTATGTTGCAAGTATTATAATGTACACAAGTAGGTGGGATGTATGTAGGTAGAATAGAAGATCTGTGGTTCAATGTTGTTGGATGGATTCTATCAGCTGCATTGTATGTACATACATACATGGGGGTTGTAAATTCAATGTTGTAACATTGAAGTGTCAATGGTAAAGCGTGAAGATTAGATTGAAAGGGATAATGAAGATTTGAGTAAGTATGCACAAGTACCTACCAAGTACTTGACTTGCCTACAATGCCTACATCAATGATATTAATATTACTAGTTACAAGGTAGGTACCCTTGCTACTTCTCGTTACAATCAAATACTTCTAGATGTCAGTGTTAAACCATAAAAAAGATCCACGGATCCACAGCGTCGGGCAGAGCCCGCTGGTGCCGATACTGCAGTGCTACTACCATAGTACATACATAATACTGCATAGGTACTACTTAATACTAGGTAGATAGTTACTCTACGACTCTAAATCCTCTAATGCACCCCCGACGTCACATGTGCTAGACTAAAAACTGATCACCCCACAAACTCTAAGTATCCCTTTGAACGTTACAAGGCAACATAGGCAACAAAGTTACTAAAAATAAACAAGGATACAACCAAGCCAAATTACCCACCGTCCCATAAATCTAATATCCAATAAAATCTAATTATTCTGTAGGTACATAATTTACCACTTAATTTTGCGTATGCCACTTGTACCAACAGTACTTAGAATTACACATAGCTACATTACATACAAGTGCCACATCGAGATCGTGGCTTAATGTTTACCATACTTTTTGGCATCAGCTTTAAATCCTCGACGAAAACGTACCCAAATATTATTCCCCTGACGAGCTTGACAGGAAGATGGATTCTTATTTGAAGATCGTACGTGATCAGTGAGCTTGCTATGCAAAAAGGATAGGAGATCGCGTACCTCGGGGTTTCGCGATGGGATTTCTATTGGAACAAAACGCGTACCAACTTCAAGATTAGGAGGAGCTTTTGAGCGACGCGTAGCTGGATCAATATCGTCAACTTAGATGGCAGCCGGGCACAGCTGCGCCGGCGTATCGGGTGCTTCTAAAATCGAGATCAGTTGCACTAGATACCGGATTAATATATTTACCGGCTAACTTTGTATTGCGTTGTATTTGAAGTAAAATTGGATCAATATATGGGGTTGTGGGTAAATGTGGATATAGTGGATTAAAAGAGATGTATTAGGGTTTATTTTTAGTAATTTTGTTGCTCATGTTGCCTTGTAACGTTCAAAGGGATAATTGACAATTGCGGTACGACTGTCTACGACATGTTTTGACTTTTGGTACAAGTAGATAACTACCTAGTAAGTGCATATCTATATGCAAGCAAACAGATGAGATAAAACATACTCTAAATTTAATGTTAGGACCTAGGTTACATAAGTATGTATGTAATAACTCAAGGTTTTTACCATGCTGTCACTACTCACTATTTACATGAACATCAATTATATCAAACAACTCCTATAATCCTATCACATCTCAGCAACCTCGACTCCCAGATTGTTACACTATGTGACAATAGTCAAGTCAGCATTAGGTAGCTCAGGCTATTCTTTAGCGTTCGTATTAGTCCCGAAGGATTCGTACAGCACCCTATCTACACATATAGTAGGTATATAGTAAGTCGACCCCTTCCCGTTACACCCGTCTTAGACTCCTTCTTCCTTGTAAGACACGTCAACGGGTCTGGTGTGACACCAAATAAAGGAGAAAAGAAGAAAAGAAGAAAAGAAGAAAAGAAGAAAAGAAGAAAAGAAGAAAAGAAGAAAAGAAGAAAAGAAGAAACGAAGACTCCAATGCTAGAGAAGAGATTCTTTACTTGAAAGTAACTTTACTTCAGCGTAAACAAACGGAAATCCAGACACTGTTTCAAACTTTCAAACTGGCCATGTTGCTAGACGGCATTTAAGATATCACCATGCAGAAATGACAGCTCATACATAAGGTCTCATTCAAGTCTGACCGCATACTTTCCCAGCCTATTTCCTCGTGGCCATCTTCGGTTTCATGCAGAGAGGTCGAAAAGCAGATGGTTCCTTTGAAGTCGTCCCATTCAGAAATACAACTATTGCCATGTACACTGTAGGTTCTACCTAATAAGTACCTACCTTGGGTACATGACCATATATTGCTTCCAGATGTCTTTCCTGTTGGAACAAAATATATTGGAAATGTCAAGTAATTTGATGACAATTCTAGCATAAGTGATACATGCCTACCTATCTAGGTTACATGTATGTAAAGCTAAAGAAGCATGTAACGCATGAACCAACCATATATATAGGTACCTATGTTGTGTTGTTAACCGGCCGAGGCCGCTGCATCTTCCGTTCGCGTGGATTGGTAGACTACGTGGGAAGGGGTTTTGACGATGGGATTAAGCAAACCCGGAGGGGCAGACAGCACCACCAGTCTAGACAGGAACATGAGCCTTGGGACATCTCCTTTTGGTTGCGGTCTCTCAACAAGGATTCGTCGAATGGTTCATGAACATTTTGGAAGTCTGAGACTACAGTTACATATCTGGATAGGTTGTGCAGCTGTCTATATGCAGTTGGGGTCCTCGATTCAACTTGCCTGTTGCACAGCAGTAGCCGCAAGAAGCACATCCTCTAGCTGCCTGGCGTAGTAGCATTGAAACCTCAATTCAATTAGGCAATGTCGGAGTAGATAAAAAAAAAAGTTTTTTTTTGTTTACTGACACCGGCATGAGAAACAAGGCCAGCTGCATGATGAAAGCGCTTACTAGCTAGGTGCCTACTAGCCATCTATTTGGGTACCTACCTACCTACCTATGCAAGTTATGTAGGCTGGATGGAGGCTAGTTGTACATACATATGTAGGCTGGTGTTTGGAAATCGTGAAGATCATTGATATGTACATGTAGGTAGGGACGAGTAGCAAATGATGGCATCTCGCACATCTTGGGAGATGCAGGTTCTTGTGTAATATCTACCTGTCCCTACCTGTCTGCCGACCTGCCTGATGAATGATCAATCATCCAACCACCCCTTTTTTCCGCATCTGGAGATTGGGTTTCCTTTTAGAGGCTGACGACGATCAGGAGTCGTCAGCGTAACTCGTGACATAATGTTCTCTACTTTCAGTGGTATTTATCTCGAGTCACTTGACGGTAACTGTCTATCATAGGTAATGTCACCACTCTAAAAGATCGTGGCACGAGCTGTGTGTGATGGGAGAGGTCAGTCCTTGTATTTCTTTCCCTCCGTGACAAACAGGACTGGACTGGCATTCCTGGCATGTGAGGGGCATTGGGCATTAGGGGGGGCCACTAAAGAGCTGGGATGTTAGTCGCGCTTGTGCCGCCAGAATCACTGTCCAACCAACCGATAGTCGACTTTCAGGGGTTCCCGGCCGCCTACATCCACTCCTACAACCATTCGGGCCATTCCCCAGGGATTTTCCAGGTGAAGATCACAGCCTGGAGGTGAAATGCTAAAATGGTAGAGCAGGGGACAGCGAAGGCGGAGAAACGATGGGAGGATCCTCACAGTATTAGTATCATGTTGACAGCTCAGGGTTTAGTACCTATGTAGGGTAGTTATGTGTAGGGCATGTGTGGTGGTGGTAGAATTTTGAACTAGAATTTTGATTGATGGCTTGCTTACCTGACCTGCTTCTCCTCCCGTCTCACCTTTTGTCACTCTCAGACACATTCATGCCATACCGGCCATACATACCCAATACCTACCACACGTCTCGTATCTAACATATCTTGGAACATCTTCTATCTCTCCAACGCAACACGAGCCAATTGCCCTACAGAAATTCCAGAAAGATATTAGGTGCGATCACACATTATTCCTCTGCAGATTTGACGTCTAATTGGGGATGTTTTTCGCCCGATACTGCACATCCCACCCCTAATGCAGACTGCGACCATCCAGCCCAATCAGCACCGGATTGAGTGCATGCAAGCAGCCATTCAGGAGTAACCAGCTGTTCATTTCCCACGATACTGGCAGGCCTTTTCAGCCAACCGAAGCAGTAGAGCAAGAGTAGAGAAAAGACGGCTTCCTCTACGAATCCATAGCTACGGGGCTGACACAACGGACAAATGGCACAATTCCAGCATGCCGCAGCCAAGCAACGGGCCCGACGTCGATACCAGACACGCAGTCCATCCCCATCTCGCCACCATGACTGGAACACACAACATCATCCCCCTCCCCATTCGCTGCCTTACCGATCCCGAGAACCTGAAATAACACTAGGGCTCTCCGGCACAACAAAGCCAAAATATTATTCCCAACGAGCTGCAACACCGTCCGACGACTCAGATCTGTCCGACCCAATGCCTCATCCGCAACACCAGCTGGCCCGACCAGCCCCCGCGGCCCGGAACGGTAAAGGCCGGGCCGTGTATCTCGAGATAGATGACGACGACGATGAAGACGAAAGAATGATATCGAGACTGAGGTCCCGCTCGAGGCCCAGGACGCGCTCGAAGGCGAGGAGTACGAGCAGCAGCGGGGACGACGAGACATATGAGCTATCGACGCCACCGAGGTCTACCCCCCAGTACCGCTCGAGGCCCACTTCGAGACTTCCATCCGTGTCATCATCGAGAAGCTCCAGCGTCGACTCCGATTCGTCTGTGTCAACCCTGGATGAAAGAACGAAGCGTCGCGCCCGCAAAAGGCCAAGCGACGTACCCCTCATACCGCCAGCCCCGGGCCGGGCCGAGCATCGACGGCATCGGCCAAGACATCGAGACAGATCCCAGTACAGGGAAGAGGACACGGACGCTGAGCCCGAATACGATACCAGACTCCGTTTACGTGAGCGATCCAAGTCCGTACCAAGGCCTCGGCGACAGATACAGTCACGGAGCACCTCTCGAGTACGCCAGCGCCCACGGGATCGGTATGAAGAAGGAGAACCCAGTACATCGAAGCGGTTAGTAAATTTGTGGACATGGTCCATAACATGGTTGATTCTAACAATTATTACTGGATTAGACCACATCGGAGGAGATATTACGACTCTGATACGGGGTATGAGAAGCCCGCGCTCCCGCGAGCACACACTGCTCCCAGCTCGCATATCACTGCACAGAGTATGAGTTCCTCCTCCAGACCTTCGTCCGCTCTTCTGAATAAGTTTATGGCATCAGGACTTCCATCACCTCCCGAACGATCTTCCAAGATGTGAGTTCGCGTTTCATTTTTTTTGTGATGGTAAACCTGCCAAAATAAGCCGTCTCTAATAAATAATGTGTGTGTGTGTGTGAACAGGGTGGAGTGCGTAGTCTGTCTCGATGACCTACCGTCGACGAAGACGGCCAAACTGAAGTGCGGACATCGAATGTGTAAGTCATGCTTGAAGCGCAGTTTCAAGCTGTCGGTCAAAGACCCGGCCCAGATGCCCCCGAGATGCTGCACATCAGACTGCATCCCGTTGAAGCACGTCGACAATCTATTCGACGTCAACTTCAAGAAGACCTGGAACCAGAAGTTCCACGAATTCTCCACCCGGAACCGCGTCTACTGCCCGGGCAAGAGATGCGGCCGATGGATCAGACCCGACCAGATCCAGCGTCACCACAACGGACGCAAGGTGGGCAAATGCGGCGGCTGCCAAACTCGTGTGTGCTGTGACTGTAACAACCGATGGCACGGCTCCGACCCGTGTCCCGCAGACGAGGAGACGAACCAAATTTTGCAGCAAGCTAAAGAAGAAGGGTGGCAGCGCTGTTTTAACTGCAGAAACATGGTCGAGCTGAAAGAAGGTTGTAATCATATGACTTGGTATGTCATGCACACACCCACACCCCCCCTATCTACCTATCTGCATGTCGGGCATATGCACTTCATCAACATGCTCGACATCTAACAAGCCAACCTAACTTTTCCTGTTATAGCCGATGCGGTGCCGAATTCTGTATGATATGCGGCCTGAAGTGGAAGACGTGCGAGTGCCCGTGGTTCAACTACGACAACATCGACGGCGACCACCTCGACCACATGCAGATCCCCGAACCGATGATCGACCGCGACCGCCTCGGCCCGCGCAGCGCCCCGGCGACCCCTCGCCTCGACCCCCGCCGCGGCGTCTCCCCAGGCCACACCCTGCGCCCGCGACCGACCAACTACGACGAAGACCTCCTGGCCCGACGTTTCCAGGAGCGCCACGACGAGGAGTTCGCGCGCCGCCTGCAGTACGAGGACACCGAGGACGACTACATGGACCCGCTGGCCGACGGCGGCGTCGGCGGCGTCGACCTCGACCCCGTGCGGCCCTTCGGCGGCGGCGGCCTAGCTCCAGGCCACGACGAGTACCGGCGGCGCGGGCGCGCGCAGACCGTCATCGCGCCCCCCGCTCCCGCCCCTCCGCCCCCCACCGCCCCCTTCGAGCGCACGACGAACTCGGTAGCCGACTACGTGACGGGCGTGAACCGCGCGCGCGGGCTGCGCGCGAGCTCGATGGAGCGCCGCCTCGCCGACCGCTTCGAGACGCGACCGACGCCGAGCCCCGCGCCCACGGCGCAGAACCCGTTTGGCGGTCACGCGGTGCCGGCGCCGCCGCCGCCCGCCGCGCCACGAGCGATGGGGCCGCCAGCACCCGCACTACCACTTCAGCAGCAGCCGCTGTCGCCGCCGCCGCAGATGGGGATGGGGATGGGGATGGGGATGCCGATGGGGACGCCGCTGATGATGCGGCGGCACACGGTCGACGACGACCAGCTGTACGAGCACGCGCCGCAGCGGATCCCGCCGCGGATGCTGCCGCGGCGCGCGGGCACGACGCGGAGCTACATCGAGGACCCGCACCACGCCGCCTACGAGGCTGGGGGAGGCGGGCCGAGGGTGCGCCGCCGGGGCCGCGCGGCGTCGACGTCGCCGAAGGATTCGGTGCTCGCGGGCCTCACGGGCCCCGGGAGGGGTATGCACAGGGTCTACGAGTGGGTGAACCATGTCGAGCAGGAACCGGGTGTCACGGCTTAAATAATTTTTGAGTGCTAGGTATCCACACTATTGATTGATATCGCTATGAAGGGCAAGGGAAGGGAAGGGAAGGGAAGGAATGGGAAGGGATATGGAAATCGATATGGGTATGGAAAGGGGGGAGGGTGAGAAGTGGGATGAGGGACGAGGGACGAGAAAGAAAGGATGAGGGATGTGGCAGTTTTTGACGCCCATGATCGGTTAGTTTACGATGTGTTGACGACGTTGACGAGGCATGCATGCATGACGTGGATAATGGGCTCTTATTTTTCATCATTGGTTTTTTATTTTCCGTCTTGTTGTTTTTTTTCGTTTTCTTGTTTCTGAGGATATTCTCTTTATCACGCTCACGCTACGCAAGTTGTATCACCATCTACAAAAATTCGAACTTCTATGGACGCAGTTACAAATCACACTCATACAGACAGACAGACAGAGAAAGAGAAAGAGAAACACATCGCCAAAGTGTTCAACAAAGAAGCAAAGGGGGGTTATTCATTTTATTACCGGACACGGCTTCCAGTCTCAGGACGAATCGATCAACGCGTGTTCAAATCAAATCTTAGCACTCGGATTTACAGGCAGGAGTTGCGGGTATCCCATCCTTTTTTTATCTTCTCCAATGTTCTTTTCGGTTTTTTATTTCTGGTTGATTGTGTTGTTTTTTTTATGTATCTCAACTGGATCTCCAGTTCTCTCTACTACTACTACTATTACCTATTTACCTAGGTACTCAAAGAAACATCGCAGGACATTCTTATCTTTAGAATAAACGGAACTATCGTTTTTTTCTGATCCGTCGAACATAGGAAAAAAAAACAGCCTCCACCCACCATAACCACAACCAACTCTTCGCCTGAGAAATAAAGTAAAGTAAAAAAGACGAAAAAAAAAGACCAACCCCTATCATCAATTCTTCACGCATTACGTTCTTTCCATAGTAACCTTCCCATATTCCATCCATCCATTCATCTCCCTCTTGAAATCCATGTAGTTGGTTGTAGAAGAAGTAGTACTGTAAAACTCGAGCCATGAAAAAAAAACAGCATTTTTCTTATATATAAACAAGAAATATGCTGGGATATCTAGTATTTGCAAACCCGTTGACAAACTCCATCTTTTATCCTTTTCTCAAGTAGGTAAATACAGAGAGAGGGGTACCTATGTGCTTAAACACGTAAGAAAAGTCTGGCACCGCCCCTTACCCCTTACCCCTTCATCCATTCATCTATCCACTGTTCATCGATCCATCCCTTCATCGTTCGTCATCTACTTCCTAATACCGAGAAATAGGCTGCCCCTTCATGTCCGTCGCCCCAGGTCCCGGCGCCGCTACCGGCAAGTGGTACACCGGCGGCTCCGACGGCGCTGGCGTCTGCCCCATCTGATACGAACTCGCCTCAGGATGCGGCTCGGTGGACTGGAGCGCGACCGCCACGGCGTACGTCGGCGGCGTCTCGGCACCAGGTTCTCGCGGCTGGGCAGCGGGCATGTTGGGCGTAGCGCCGGGCGACGAGACGGACGGCGAGTACGTCAGCGCCGGCGTGGGCAGAGCCAGGCCCGACATGGTGGATTCCGTCTGGACCGAGGGCGCGCGTGCCGGGAAGGGGGTGGGCATCGCGTAGCGGACGTGCTGGTTCTGGGCCGCCGGGCCCGCGGGGCTCGGGAACGAGCTTAGGGGGTGTGCGCTGGAGTTGGGGGAGGGCCCGTAGCCTTGCTCGAGCTCGGCTTCTTTCCTGGCGGCGTCGGCGAGTCTTTGCTTCCGCTTGGGGCGGATGCGCAGGAAGTACCAGATGCAGAGGATGAGGAACAGCGCGATAAAGCCGCCCACAACGCCGCCGGCTATCACCTTGCCGTTCCCGTCGTGGCCGTCGCCCTTTCCGTGGTCACCCGGCCCTGGCCCTGGCCCATCATCATCATCGTCGTCATCATCCTCCTCGTGCTGATGGAAATCCCGATCGTCGAGTTCTGCCTGAGCTAGCTCGAGGTCTTTAAGGTTGTCATCGAAGTCGGCGTCATCCTCGAAGCTGTCGTTTTCGCGGCTCCTTAACGCCGCACCCGCCGCTTTCTTTCTGTCCTCGACTCTAGCGTAGAACCAGCTCAAAGCTTCGGGGATTTCTCTTGACGACTTCGAAGTCAGGTCATTCTTATGAGTCCGTCTTGGCGACGTGGTGCCGTCCGCGGCGGCACCCGCTACCAAGGCCAGCAGTAGACACGAACACCTCATAGCATGTGGTAGTAGCGGCAGCAGCAGTATAGAGAAAAATCAAAGCTTCCTCAGGATCTACCTTTTGTTTGCCTTATTACACCTCGCCACGGAAAGATTAGGTACGTTTTGTTGGTGGTAGGTACTGAAGAGTTTGGTATTTTGGTATCAATTTGTAATTGTAACTGTCTGGCAGCACCTTATTGAAGATAACAAGAGGTACGGAAGTTGTTTTCTTTTTCCAGGTTCTCTCTCAACTTCTTCTAGCAGACAGTGGAGATGCGGCAGGCGACAACTACATACATACATACATACATAGTAGGTACCGGTCTTCCAGGGCGACTATGTTACCTGGACCTACATGTACATACATACTAGGTACCTAACCGACCTAGTCCTATTGTGCCAAGATGCGCTGTTCCAGCCACTAACACTCGAAATCAAACTCGCTGAGCTGATTTCACGAGGAATTATCGAGCCCCGGCTCCGCCATAAGGCTATCGAGCCGTACTCCTGGCCAATTGTTACGAGCAAAGTTGCATAGCCCCGGTAGTGTACCATGCAGCGAGCGTTTGAGTGACACGTCCGTCTTACACGAGTTGAACCTACATACATACAGTATTGTACAATACATACCTAGGTACAGTCGGCCGGGTACAGTAGGCCTACAGTAGTAGTGTACCTGGAACTATTGCCTTCCTATTGTATGTCGCCTTGAAGGATGGACTATTGGCCCCGGCGGATGCTTACAGTGTCTGAATCTAAATGATCTTCGTTATTACGTTACCAAGCGAGGATCGGGATGAGCGCCAAGAGTATAACTATGACAGCTTAATCTATATTAAATCACATCATGGACCGAGAAGACGGAAGAACGTTTTTTTTTATGCCCAGACAATAAAAGACAAACCCCGGAGATTCAAAATGTGTCTACAAAAGCCATTTACCTGAGGTCCTGAGCAAACTAACCCTAGGCTATGAGCCGGGTTTACCTACAGTAGCTACAGTGTGCCAAAATCCCATGCACGACAACGGCACATCCCGCTCTCGACGCGTCTGCGCCGTGGCTGAGCCCTGATGCCTTTCTCTCTTTACACCGTAGGATCTGTCAGAAAACTCAGAATATTAACTTTCTCCTGCCCATTCCAGCCATGCTTTCGAATGATAAGTAACACGATCGATCCCCCTTTTCTTAATCTTATCGGTTTCATGCAGGACGATATATTCCATCGCAGCCGAACCTATGTAGGTTAGTTTCAAAGGAAGATACGTAGATAGGTAGGTATGTGTGTGTATGTTATGAAGGGCTGGGGCTCTAAGAGCTTAGCTTAGCTTAGGTACACATCGGGATCGAAGTGTGTGTTCTTGGCCCCCGTGGATCGCTTCCTTTCGACCATTGATGGCCATGACCTAGTCAGCCCAGTCTAGCGGCTTCCGGGGACCGACAGCAAGCCCCCCCAGGGCCCCCACGGCGGCCTACATACACTACCAACTACCTAATCATTAGCCAGCCCACTAGGCAGCTATTGTGTTGTAAATAACTACCTAAGAACCTAAAGCTAGATAGGTATGTATAAGCAGCCAACCCAGAATGTGCAAATGGCCAAGAACGGCCAAACGGTTTCCACTTTTAGCTATTACCTACGCCCAGCAGCAACCAACGGCCGGCAAACAGGCAGAGCTAAGAAGTCGATAGTGCACTGCGCCTATGGTTGTGTGCGTTGGGCATCTACCAAGCAATGTCGAAAGGGGCATTGAACGTCCTCTTAGGCATACCTAGCCTATGACAGGCGATAAACGATCAGTGCGGCGATCCATCCGGGGAGAAACGGTAGATGTCTCCCTTCTCCTCCCCCTACTCTACTCCTGGTCTCCTTCTATTTTCAATCTACTTTCTACGTTGACAGCCTCCCTCGGTAGTTCCATTGGAAGCTGTGCTACCTAACCTAACCTAGTTACTGCATCACATCGCATGTCATTGCTGGGCAGTTCCAGACATCACCAAAAACAAAACTGGTCGGCAGCAAAAGGTCGGGGCTGTGAGGTCGTAGTGTAATGAGCTGCGGTGAGCTATTGCGTCAACTCGGGCTTGTGTCAGTATATTTGCATGGCGTTGATTCCGAGTCTAGGAAGTTCTATATTATTTCTCTTCAGATGTAGTCCTTATTTGAGGCATATCATTCTTTGGCAGTAGGTACACAAGTACGAAGTAGGTACCTGTCTATTGATGAACCCCCAATGTACCTGTCTACACAGTAGACGCGGTGCCAGTTGATGAGGCTTATGTACGAGATGATGCCGGCAACCCGAGATTGAGATTGAAGGCGTGCATACATGTTAGGCAGGTATGTAGGTACCTATCTACGCGCCAAAGATCGGCTCTGATTCCGAGATACGCTCCAGTCTGCATGATCGTGATCGGATTTAAGGTTCGGGTGTCATCTTTGACGTTTTTTTTTTCTTGATTTGCGTGCCTGCTTGGAACCTGTCTGGTGTAGTTAGGTACCTATTTACCTACATAGGTATTTACCTAGGTGCGCATGTGTTCTACAACATGTGAACCTTTAAGGATCGGGCAGAAAGGGGCAACCATCACACACTTCCCCCCCTTTCCGGTTGTCATATAAGCCGAACAGGTACCTATTTACATACATGTAGATACGTATGAGACGCCATTGATTATAGTAGTTATACGGTTTCTATGTAGTTGTTGTTCATTTGCTGTTTTCATCTATAATAAATATGTACCAAGGTATATGACATGAGGCTCTACGTCTGATTTACACCTCCCACGTTTCACGTCCGAGCGATCAAACGCAGGTACCTAACCTGGAAGTCAACACTGAACCCCTTAACACTCATTACGTAAGTTTACAACTTAGGAATCTAACTAGATTCCGGATGTATTTACGGTTATATTGAATGATGAGATAGGCACATGACTTCGAGGCTATTTAGTACGTATGTGCTTAGAGGGGGTAGTAGTGAGGAGGAGGTTAGCAAGGCGATGTAGACGGGAAAGGGATAGTTCAAGACAGACAAACCATCCCAAGATGAAGACAAACATCACAAATCACTAGCAACGAAAAAAGGTATTCAAGTTCAGAGATCCCAAAGACATCCGCGTTCATTCATTCTACTTCAGCTATGCTCCGTTCCCGCATGATCCACTATCCCCAACCGAAGACCCTTTTTGCCGGCTGCTCTGCGCGCAACAACTACCGACCAGCTGATGTAGAATAATCGAGAAAGAAGCACACTCCCCCCCCAATGATCCCGTGAATAATTAACAATGCCGGCGAAAAGGGTACAGCGGTTGGTTTCTTACACATAAGTAAATAAAAAATAAAAAAACATATCCAATAAATATTTCTCAAAATCCTACTCTTCCTCTTTCTGTGTCTTGCCCCCAATCCTCCTCTTCATCAACCAGTGTCTGCGAGGTAGACTCTCTCTCTCTCTCATGCTATTGATAGTGGCTGAGTGTGAGATGGCTGTCGCCGATCTATTTGAGGACCACAGCGTTTATTTCTATAGTGTATTGTTAGTCCCGATATGTCGGTATATAGAGGCTGTCTATGGTACTTACGAGTCTGTTGGATAACAGTCTGGATCTGGGGGATCAGGGCCTGGTCGATGAGGGAGCCGACATTGAAGCCGCCAATGCCGCCGATGACGCCGAGGTCGAAGACGTTGAGCTGGATGGTGCTGAGGTCGAAGTTGCCGAAGATGCCGAGGCCGCCGAGCTGGGACAGGAGCGCGATCTGCTGGAGCTGGAGCAGCGCGTTGATGTCGAACTGGTTGTTGACGAACAGGCCCTGCAGGCCGCCGATGTTGAGGTTGTTGAAGGCGGCGAGCTGGGCGAACGACTGCAGGTCGAAGCTGTTGATGGCGAGCAGGTACTGCAGGTCCTGGTTGGCGAAGTTGAAGTTGTTGAAGGAGCCGAGGTCGATCGAGGCTCGCTTCTCGCTGGAGACGCTGCTCGTGGTGGGGAGAGCGCTGGCGACGGCGGCAAGGGCGCTGACGAAGAAAGTAGTGGCCTTCATTTTGAATGTTGAGGTTGTTGGTTGGTTGGTTGGTAGAGTGAGAGTGATATTGAGAAATTAAAATATTAGATAATATGAGCACAGCTGTATGAAGTTAGTTAGGTGAGCTGTGTTATGGATATAAAGCTGTACTGGAAGCTCAGCTCTGGGAGTAGACTGACCTCTAAAAAGTTCTAATGAATGTGTGTAAAGAATGAAGTGAAACGAGCACAGCTGTTTCAATGTTAGCTGAGATATTCAGGTGAAGGAATATCTAGAAGCTGGTTGGTGACTTACCTCTGAAGGAATGAATGAGGAAGTGATTGGAAAGTCCGAAGATGTCTTTGTGTTGATGAGTGGAATGAGTAAAAAAAAGAGATATATCCAAACGATCTAGACGTGATCTTATATATCAGATGCCACGCCATCTAGACCGGATAGCTTGAGTCCTAGAAACCATGCCAAGATTCTCAACAGTCTTTGATATCTCGGAACGTGGTTGAAGGAGGGATCCGGTGCGTGTCAGGATGTTGGCACCGTTAGGCGGATGTACGCATGGTCAAACGAGCCGTATCCAGGGGGGGAGAGCTTTCAGCGAAGAGCAGCTCAACATCAAGCAAGGAAACATCTTGGCAAAATTATAGTCAGGGTGCCGCAGTGACTATGGCCTCATGTATTGCATACAGACCCCGACGACTAAGGGACTAGAGTACCATGAGAGAGGAGACGACAAAGGCCCATAGCGGCTCATCCCATGCTTGATGCTGCTGTACGTTGGCAGTAGGCTTGCCATTGATCACACTCGGAAAGCGTCTGGGCCGGGGCCAAGGCGTGGATCAAGAGCGCATCTCAAGGGTGACGGTAGTATAGTGGAATCAACCTTTGGTCCGGAACAAGATCTGACTATGCTAATTATCTGACATGTACTATATCCTGCGGTGTACTTCAATCCTCGCGGCAAGTCCCCGTCCGCGTTTGTGTCTTTCCGGCGCGGTTACATCAAGCTATCCCGCTAAACTGCTTGATCGTCAACCAGGATTAGAATCTGCCGTACCATGCTAGTACTGCCGCGTTCCCACATACTATCATGTATCTAGCATCAAAAAAACCAGTAGACGTGAAAATCACTAGATTAAACAGAGTATGATATCGTACTTGTGATCTAAAGAAGATGAATCCCCTCTACCTTTGTTGACATGAGCCTTGGAAGCGTATGCTGAGTGTCAATAGGGTCTATGTTTCCGCACGAGTTGAAGTTGATGAATCTCTGGATGTCCCGCATGGCCAAAGCACCGTTAGCCTCTTGGCGAGTCTTAACTATGACCAGGGTTCCATGTAGGGTAGCTTTACGGATGACTTAGGGTCTTGAAGCCATTCCCGGGGTACAGGCAAAGTCGGCATTGCGAATACCCAGTGGGTTCGGGTTCTCAGCCTTAGCTGTCCCGTGCTTTTCTACTTGCTACTTGTGAACCTAGGCGTGTATCAACATGTAAACAATCAGCTAAGAATTAATATCGGCATAGGATCTACTGTTCGAACTCTAGACATTTGGGTAAAGGAAATATGATCTTCTTCACATCAGTTGCTATACCAGGTAGCCAATCGCCACGATGTTTTACTCATCCGCAAATCTCGAAGTATTCGACATACCCAGACCCCTCTAACATTCACAAAAGATCTACCAACACAAACACCAAGACAGTCTAGCCTACGACCCCTTCAATGGTGTACCGTTACCCCAAGCTTCAAGGTTCTCGATCTTGAACATCGGATGTGTTACAGATATGTGCGATACCTAGTTGCACACAGACCTCGAGCATGATCGCACGCCATTCCTCTTAAGCGCCTAGTATACTAAGATCGATATCATGGATATTAAGGTTAATAAGTCATAGCTGCGAAGGGGGGTTGGCGTATGTACCTGAGCGCAAGTAAACACCACCTTCCCGACTACGTTCGTCCGAAAATACTGGTTTCTTCAAACAATCTTGTGGATAGCTAAATTACCTACATAGTGGGTAACCAGCAGCTACTGTACCTACCCATACTTCAGCCAAATTGCGGTGATAGATGCAACCCCTGAGTTGGTGGATTAGGTAATAGGAAACAAATGTGACGAGAACCGTGGCAATTCCTCCCTCTGACCCTCGAAAGCGGCTATCTTGATCCCCTCAATCTAAAGGCCGAGCATACCTGATCCACCGTGGCCCCTGGCAGGATCATGATAATGATAATATTATGTACTCTATTAAGTGGTCGATGTAACTCCCCAACTTGCTTTGTGAGCTTAACCACGTCCGTATACACATTATACTACTTCACTACCAAGACATCTAGATAGTGATCACACGACATGTTCACCAAGATCCACTCCCAACTTAATCTCTTCACCATATTCAAGCCTGGAAACAATCATAGATCATACTCAAGGTTTCATAAGCACACGTGTGCTTGCTTGCTTGTTTGTTTGCCATTATAAACGCCTAGATACAACGAAACAAGCGATAAACCGCAAAATGAAAAAAATCCCCCAAATTGCAGGTACATAAGGCTTGGGATGAACCTCCCCCCCTTCCTCTCCACCAAAAAAGCTACCCTGATGATATTCCCCGAGTCATGTTTGATAGTCGTCGTGTGCTGTCCAGTAAAATACATGGGGAGCTATTGAGTCCCTTTGCTACCCTTAGTTGCTCTTGCTCTGGCACTCCCGCTTGCTCATGATCGTCCGCTTCTTTCCGCGCGAGGCCTGCTTGACAGTCGCGTTGATGGTGCGCTTGAAGATGTCTAGGTGATGTTTCATTAGCTTTGAACTATCCACTGTTTCCCCCCCGTTCCCCGTGGAAAGGTATTGTAACTCACTGAGGTTGAAGTTGTTGAGGAGCAGCTCCTGCTGGATGAGCTGCTCGATGTTGACGGAGTTGACGAGGCCGAGCTGCTGGAGCTGGGCGAGCTGCTGCAGCTGCAGGAGGAGCTGCACCTGGTTGCCGATGCCGATGCCGGCGATGCTGCTGAGGTCGAAGTTGCAGACGCCGAGGCCGAGCATCAGGTTCCCGATGTTCTGCTGCAGGCTGCCCTCGACGTTGTTCTCGTCGATGTCGATGCCGTCGGCGTTGTTCTCGATGTACTCCTCGAGCTGCTGGTCCTCGTTGTTCTGGTCCTCGTTGTTCTGGTCTTCATTGTTCTGGTCTTCGTTGTTCTGGTTCTCGTCGACGTTGGCGTTCTCGTCGACGTTAGCGTTCTCCTCGTCAGCGTTCTGCTGCTCGTCGACATTTTCTTCCTCGTTGGCGTTTTCGTCGACGTTGGCGTTCTCCTCCTCGTTGGCGTTGGCGTTCTCCTCTTCGTTGGCGTTCTCGTCGACGTTCTCTTCACCTTGGCCAACATCGACCTCAGTGCCGTTGGCGGCAGCCGTGCCGTTGTTGGAAAGCTCGCGCCGGAACACGGCGACAGAGCCCCTGCCGGGAGCGTAGCCCTCAGCGGCGAGGATTCCGGGCAAGTAGGCGGTCAACGCCAGGGTAGCAAAAAGGGGGCCGGCCGTGAACTTCATTTTGTCGTTAAAAGAATAAGTGAATAAATAAATAAATGTGCCGCTGAGAAAGGAACCTGTTAGCTTTTTGACTCCTCAATATCAGATAATGGGAGATAGGAGCCCTTACTTTCAAACGGAAATTTAAAGAGAGTGGAAGAAGAGAATGTAAAGAGCACAGCTGCTATTCGTTAGTAATTGACGAGTGACCCAGGGCTAGCATTTGGGCATACCTCTGAATTATACAATAATAGAAATGAGGGTATCTAGCAGATTGATTGCATATGGAGGAGAAACAAGAGTCAATTACTACGGGAAGTCGACGAATTATATCTCCTCCAAGAAACGGCGATCTTATCAACTTCTGAAGCTTTGTGGCTCCCCCTATCTTCCCCGTGAGAACATACATATATCAAAACATCACTTCAAAGGCGTGATTGAAACGCTCTGTGGCTTGGCCTCATGATATTTAAGACGGCTACGCGACTTGCCGTTAGGATTCCTCGAGAGTTGAGCCATCTCTGAGTTGTAAGCCGATAGCGCCAAGACCCCTGATCTACTCGGAAGGGGCGTTGATGGCACTATTTCCAAGTCAAGGCTTGTGTGTATATCGAAGTCGACAGTTGGGATGAAAGCCATCTGGGGTATCTGAGATCACGTTGTATAGCTCCTTGAACCCTTGTTTCATCCTGGCCCAGCTTGGAGGCTCACCGTAGTATGTAGTTGTAGGTATTTTTTGCCAGTTGGCTAAGGCAGCTGTCACGCCAAGAATAGGAGTCGATCTCTGACATTTCACCTCCGGACCCTGGATTATGTGACACCGCGAGATCGCCGTCCCGAAGCTTCCTCCAATCGGGACTCTGCATCCTTCGAGCAACCCATTTTTCTGTCAACGTGATATCATGACCGTGCCGCTTGCCACGCGATTTGACTACTTCACGCTAAGCTCAAAAATAAGGCACATTGCATGTTAAATGCTTTCTTCAAAATAATATAATTGAACGCACGTGAGATGTTAGCCAACTTCAGAATTGACGAAGCTCTTGCGAATATCGCGCTCTCCCTATCCTGGGGATGCCGTTCAACTACCTGCCTAAGTAGGTAGATACCGATATGATCTACCTACCCGACTACTGTTCGGCTCCATAGGACGGCACTAGGAAACAGATGATAAGAGAATGGTACTGGAAATATATAGAAAAGTATAATATCACGATTGCGACATCAATGTTCTAGAGTCCGATGGCTCGGATAATATTGAGCACAAAGAGAGCGCCAAGGAGAAATAGAATTTGCAATCTTTAAAGAAGATATTCGTGGTGGACAAGACCTTCATATTTTAATAATACATACCCACATATTACTACCTACTGCTAACCACTACCACCCTTTCATGGTAGCGATAATTGCGCAAGTCTAGACTTATCACATTAGAGCCATTGGTGTAGGAATTATTATGTAGGAGGTCGGACAAATCTCTCCAAGTTGCACCAAGTAACGATATGATAACCAGATGGGTGGGTAGATGGGTGGATGGGATGCAGGCACCAGATTTAGGAGTAGCATTCTAGACTCCGGCTAAGCAACTAAAGAGTTTTCTGTCCTTTATTACTAACGTAACTACATTAAGTATTTACCTATCTACGCCAAAGTTCCGACTACCGTCTATTTAGAAGATCAGTGCCCGTCTCTACCTAGCTATTCTGGCAAAGATTCAAGTTCCGCATAGCGAGAGTTAATCTGACTGTGTTGTCGCTATGGCTTCGTTCGTGACCCAAGGGAGGTAAGACACGGCCGTTCACAAAGAATGTAATCTAACCCTTACTCGTACCACTGCAATCCTGTGGCGCCGTTTCGGAATCCCTCGTTCTCATACCTATTTTATGACGTTCTTTATTCGCCATAAACATCCATCAAAGAACGCCCGTATTTGTTGAGCATGCTGCGACACGACACGAAATATCCTCAGGCACTTGTATACGCTCGCTTTGTCTGATACCGGGGGCAATGGCTTCGTGGAAATCATACTCGGGGGAAGGAGCATACGTGCCGTCTATTTCCTCGCCCCTGAATCCATCAAGCACCGAGACACCCCTGAGGCGCGAGAGGCGCGCCGTGCGTAAATATGAGCCGAGCCCGACTCAGAGATTGATGCGCCAGAAGGCCGCAGCAGCACGAAAACTGATGTCTTCTCGGCAGTCTATCGCCGCAAATATCACTCCGACAGTACGTGAGAATGAGAAATTCGACATAAAACCGGCTACGCAGAATGACGACCCCTATACTGTTCAAGCGGTCAATGGTATCGACTCATCGGCTACTTGCGAAGAAGAGGAGTGTGAAGATATCGATCTAGGTGTGCGAGAGGTGGACACTGAAAAGCAGGCACTGGTTGAAAACTATCGGCAAGATTGGCGCTCAGCGGCAAGGACCATATCAGAGACTTCGATAAAAAGACGTCTGATAGTGGTTGTGGGGGTTATATGTATTATTGGGGTTTTCTCAGTTATACGCACAGTTGGCAGGATACCACTCTGGCGGAGGCCATAGTCGTCATATCTGTTACTTATGCGAGACGCGAGCAATATCTAGTTGCTCAAATATCATCATAACGAGCAAACTGGCCGGGTTTACCGATTCCGATCCCCCAAACTAGATGGCCCCCCCTCCCTCGAATCACCTGTCTTTTTACCATACACTGTCATATCGTCATGAGGGATCTTGGGGCATATTATCTTGATCTCATGGCTTCATCATTCGTTCTTCGTCGTATCTGATGGTTTGGCGCTCTCCTCCTTTTCCACCTTCGCCTCTTTCGCCCTCCGGATGGCCCCCTCGACTTGCCATATTGCTCTCTCCAGCTCAACTTCGAGCTCTGGGATTTCTAATATCTTGACGAGTTGTCGTCCATTCTCTTGTGAAAGCAACATCTTCTCTTCGGGCTGTGTCGAGTTATTAAGCGTGGATGAGCTTTTGTCAGCGCCTGCTAGTGGGTCTTTCAGAACTGAAGAGTCAGGGATGAGCGGCGAGTAAATCGAGTTCAGCCCTGAAGATGGCATTAAAGACAATATGTTTTTGTCGCAAAGAAATTGGAGATGTTTCCCCCCTGCAAGTGCTCTCCAGTGCGACCAAGCTCGGTATACTAAATAGAAGAAAGGAAGATTGGGTATTCTAGTAACATAATGATTAGCAACTGATGGAGGCTTCGTGCATGTTTGTAGTAGAATAGTAACCTACACAGGCACAAGAGCGAATGGCGCACTGATAGGCATTCCAACCAAACACCATAATAGTCTACTCTTATGTAGCGACTCTCGTTCCGTAGCCAGTGTTCTCAACACGCTTGTTGCCTTTGTCGTAGGGATAATAGTTTCTGGGAAGACGAGATGGTTCTTATCCTTCCCTAGTATTTCTTCCTCTCTTCGCCTCGTTGATAGAGGAGGTACAGATTTGAGCCCCCATTCTTCATAAGGGATCCTTCTCAACAAGCTATTACCATAAACAACAACCTTTTTTTGCCAACCTGCCTCCTTCTTTTCCCAGCCAGACCAGAGTTGCGCGGCACGAACCGTAGCTTTATCAACCCAAGTTTGCTTGTGTGTTGGTAAAACTTGGACCTTTTGGCAGTATAGTAGGGTTCGGCGGGTTGAGATAGGTAGGAGAAAAAACTTCATGGTTGCGATCAAAGAGAGATTGCGACAACTTGGGATGAGAATCGACAATAGTGGTGATATAGTGGATCGCACAAGTCAAGTCGCAATATAATTGTCGTTACCTCATCGTTAGTTAGTTTTTGTATAAAACATTTTGGTCTGAAGTAATGAAGGTTTGCTATGTAGATTAGTTATCTACCTCAAGGAGAAGTATACTTGGATGACGTTTATAAACATACCTGGTAAGTGAGGTAACCAATTTTTTTAAGCAAAAACACTTGTCAAGCTTGAAAAAAGTGTTTAGGTTGACACTGAACAAATTTAAGATGTTGTGGTGACGCATGTGAACAAGGATGCTGCTGTGACTACACTAGACCTACCCGGTGTAGTACCTACCTAAGTACACCCAGTACGTGTAGCACCTAGTACTATTACATAGTAAGTATTTACATAATGTAGTATTTTGAACCATCTTGAAGTGTGCTAAATGTATGCTAAGCACTGGCGACTACATAGCTTCAAGTTGTAGTTCAATGTTCAATCGTAATTCCCAGAGCTCTGAAAATGTACATCATTTTTAATTGAAAAATTAAGTCACGACAGTTACCCATTGTTTCAATAGACATTGAACAATTGAACCCAATGTCTAGGTACCTAAGTACCTAGCTTAAGTACATAATCATGCAAGCGCCAGCAATTTAACGTTTATGTAGTTGCCTAGTATTGTGGCTGAATGATACATACATATGTGTATGTTCTCAGCCATAACAGTACTAATCAGGTACATGCAGTTCAAGGTTGTAGTGCCATATTTAGATACAAACAGGGCTCCACTGGTGGAAACGAAACAGTGATTTCTTCCCAGAAAGGTCGTGAAGCTATGGCCTCATTACGGCATTATCCGCATAATCAATATCAACAATGTACTTACATATGTACATGCGTATGACACTGTACGTCGTATGTAAGTATCTTACATTTGTAGGTACCATATCCCTGGAATCCCTGGAGTCGGGATCCTTGTTCCTTCAGAGTTCCCGGCCAACCTGCCCAGACCCCCGGTTTAGTTTAACTATTCGTCTTCCAAGTTGTTCAATCTTACATCGTGACCTAAACTTTCTCATACTGCACAAAAGAAGAGCCCGTGTGTGCCGTGTAGTGTACTAATTGAATCTTCAAATCCCTCCACTTCTTCATTATCCTCTCCCACCATGTCATGAGAATGTGCATTTCAAAGGATTTGTCTTTGGTATTACAATTTGTGTAACCTTTGCCTAATATTTAGGTACCTAGACACCCAATTTTGGCGCGCGTTGGTACTTCAAAACTTTGATGGAAGTCGGCGCCTACGAGATCACGCTCACCCATACGCTCACGCACACACCACAAGCAATACCCATATACAAACTATCGACTATCGACTATCGACACACTACTTGAAGCCTCTTTCTACCTATCAAACGTTAATTCCTCCCCCACCTCTTCCGATTCTCTTCCAAGCTCCCGACAACATTAGCCATACGAGATACGAGAGGATGACTAGGATTACTGCCCACTTCATCATCATCAACGACCGTGGGCCTCCTTCAATATTATTCGTAGACCATCGCATACCTATGACATTGTCCTCCCAAAGCCCGACATGACCCGAAACCCGTTGAGGACCAGTGTGCCAGCTTGGGTGGAGCTTTACGATAAAGAAGCCCACGGCCCCAGGCCACAAGAACACATCACTCCTCCCGAAGCAAGCATAAGTCCGGAGCAGAGCAAGGGGAACCATTCACTGAAGCGGAGGATATCAAAGGATGGTTACGTTAACTGGGTCGACGAAAGACATGATCATGTGTCTAAACTACCCGTGTTTCTAAGAAAACGCGCCGATAAGCCGGGGAGGAGATGGGACCATTTACGCACGGCAGAGCCGGTTATTATGGGTCTGGGCTACCGACCGCCTAATGAAGATCCTCACGAAAGATGGAGGCAGTTTATCCGATCATCCTCCTACGGGCGAAATATCGAAGACAACTACGAGGTGGTGTCACCCGAAGTATTCGCGCAGCAAATGCCGGGCCTCGGTATGCCGGTTCGGAGCCCGCTTCATCCTCTGGATCCCAAGACGAAGAGAAAATCCAGAAAGGACACGTGGATAATGCGGTTCTGGAATTTTGTGTTGCGACATCCGATCGCACCGCTCATTTTCCGCCTGGTAGTGTTAATCACTACGATCGCTGCTCTTGCTCTGGCTTGTAATATCTATCAAAGAGAGAGGGACCCGAACACTCCCAACGACAGCGTTCCAGAGTCATCGCAAGCGATTGTCGCGATAGTTATCGATGTTGTGGCTATCCCTTACATTTTATATATGGTCTGGGACGAGTACACAGGAAAGCCGCTGGGACTTCGACCTCCGGCACAGAAGGTGTCGCTTACACTCCTCGATCTCATATTCATCGTATTGAAGGCAGCCAGTGCGGCATTGGCATTCGAAGCACTTGTATATCATAGCGGGGATGGGACTTCGGAAGATCCCCGTTGGACAACAACGGAAAAGGTATCTCTTCATTTGGCTAGGGGTCTTGCAGCATTAACGTTGGTGGGGTTGATCGCCTGGATTCTGAATTTCACTATTAGCGTGTTCAGACTGGCAGAGAAGCTCGGTGGAATAGATAATGTGGCTGAAAAATGAAGTACTTGAACGTTAGGCAAAATAGGTTACAAGCAGATGAATATACCCCCTTCAAATATACCTAGCAAGGATAATTTCTATTGCCTCTGGTTCTACGCCTATGTACCAAAGGCATTTCAATATTCCTTTATCGATGGGGTCTCCTGAGCTTTAGTTCTGTGCTCCCTTTTCGAAAGGGATTGATAGGAGGTAACTGCATGTGGTAGTGTACGGGAAGTGTAAGGCAGGAAGCCTGACCTGATGTGTTGATCAAGAACACGAAGACAAACATTGAAGGGCTCAAATTCTATCGGTTAAGGATGTTAGTGGGAACATTGAATAAATACAACATTTGAACATTGGATTCAATGTTGGTACCAGGTTAGGTACTTATATACACTCAGTGATGTAGGTAGTAGCAGCCTCGAATGTGAAGGATCCATGGATGGATTAACCGTATTAAGGTGACTCCCGTCGAGTACATAGTTACTAGTATGATACTACCCTAGGGCCTAGGTTAGGTATGTACAGCAATGTAGTAAGTGCACATGTGCACCAAACTTGAACAGTGGTAAAGTGCCTTGGTGCTAGGTAGTACCTACTCTATTTAGAAATTAGGACAGTTTTGGAGGGGCAACCGCGTAAAACAAACAACATTGAAGGTGGGGGCACCTTGCGGCAACCAATAGGCAGAACTAGGCCAATTCAGGGTTGACTAAGATGTCTACCTAGGCCCATCCTAGGGTGATACCTAGTACATATGTAATTTATGGGTCATGTCTGCCTTACTTGCTTACTTCATACTGTAGAACAGTTGAAATGCGGCAACCTGAACTCAACTCCATCCATTTCACTCGTCGTCGCAAGTGACTGACAGTGACATCAACTTCGCAAACTTCGCACCACTTTTTAACCCAACTCCCAACTCCCAATCCTTTATTTCTTCTTTTTTTTTTTTACATTGCGCGGAGTGTCCCCCTCCTCATCAATTATTTCCTTGATTCTTAGCCATCCTCTTCTATCTTAGTGGTTTAAGCAATCTACGAATCTTCCGAGGTTCTTTTGAATTGAAGGTCAACGGTCTAACTGGAAGATTCATTAGGTGTCAAAGAAAGCTGGTATGTATTGTTGTGCGTTTCATTGTTTCCCTGTTCTTCCTTATCTATTGTTTTCTCTTCATACAGTGTTGCCTGTACATATATTAGCAGGTTCTCAAGGTGGTTTTTCTTTTGACCCTCGACCATGTTCAAGTTTTCGAAATATCATTTCAACCTTGATCCGTTCACTTACATCGCTGCTGATTTTTTCTTCACATAACTAATGAGCCTTGGAACTTAGATTTTCCAGGAAACCGGCTTTCGTCCCTTTACTCCAGAAACATATCCTCCCGACCCTGTGCGTGGTCTTCTCCTAATATACTCGGAGGAGGGCGTCCCTTCCGAAAACCGCCACCATGTCTCTCACCGCGACGCGATCCATGCCCCAGACGCCGAATCGAGAGGATATCGGCCAGACCTGGGAATACCTTCAACAGGGAATTTCAAAGATTATGATCAACCTCCAAGATGGCATGGATATGGGAGCAGTAGGTTACTCCTCGGTCATACCTTAAATTAATCCATAATAGCTAACCATATATTTACTAGTACATGGGCATCTACACGTGAGTCGATACGGATGGCTATAGATATCTGACCCCTACATGTCCGACTTTGAACTAACTTGATGCAGTGCGGTCCATAACTTTTGCACGTCTCAGAAAGCTGTAGGATTGGGAAGCTCCAACGGGGTTGGCCAAGCTCATAGAGGAGGTACCAATACCAGCTCCAATATTTCAAGCCCTTTAACTAATTGTGCTCCCATAGCGCACCTGCTTGGAGAGGATCTGTATAAGAAACTCAAGGAATATCTCAACAATCACCTCCATGGACTTTTCGAATCATCGAAGGCGCACACCGACGAGGCCCTACTTGCGTTCTACATTAGAGAATGGAACAGATACACCATCGCCGCCAAGTATATTCACCATCTTTTCAGATACCTTAACCGACACTGGGTTAAGCGCGAAATGGACGAGGGAAAGAAGAACACTTATGATGTCTACACTTTGCACCTGTATCAATGGCGCACGGAGTTTTTCACTCCTGTCAACAAGAAGGTTATGGATGCCGTGCTCATGCTGGTCGAAAAGCAGAGAAATGGTGAGACCATTGAACATGGCCAGATCAAACAGGTTGTCGACTCATTCGTTTCCCTTGGCCTTGACGAGCACGATGCAACCAAGTCCACCCTCGACACCTACAGGTTCCATTTTGAGAAACCTTTCCTCGCGGCGACCGAAGAGTTCTACAAGGCTGAATCGAAGCAATTTGTTGCCGAAAATAGCGTTGTGGAATACATGAAGAAAGCTGAAGCACGCCTAGCTGAAGAGGAGGAGCGTGTTCGCATGTATCTTCACAATGACATAGCTGTTCCATTGAAGAAGACATGCAACAAGGCCCTTATCGCTGATCATTCCGCTATGCTAAGGGATGAGTTTCAGGTTCTTCTCGACAATGATCGAGAAGATGATATGGCTCGCATGTATAGTCTTCTTTCTAGAATCCCGGAAGGCTTAGATCCGTTGCGACAGAGATTCGAAGCACATGTGCGGAATGCTGGCCTTGGTGCGGTTGCGAAGGTTGCCGCCGACGCAGAGAAGCTTGATCCTAAGGTCTACGTCGAGGCCTTGCTTGAGACCCACACGAGATATCAAGGCTTAGTCAAGCGTGCGTTTGCTGATGAGCCCGAGTTCACTCGGTCATTAGACAACGCTTGCAGAGAGTTTGTGAACCGTAACGAAATCTGCAAGGCAGGAAGCAGCAAATCCCCCGAACTTCTCGCCAAATACACAGACGTGCTTCTGCGAAAGAGTGGGACTGGTGTGGAGGAAGCTGAGCTCGATACTACCCTAACACAGATCATGACCGTATTCAAGTACATCGAAGACAAGGATGTATTCCAGAAATTCTACTCTAGAATGTTGGCAAGACGTCTAGTACATAGCAATTCTTCATCAGACGATGCCGAGACCAGCATGATCAGCAAACTCAAGGAGGCGTGCGGCTTCGAGTACACTAATAAGCTACAGCGCATGTTCCAAGATATGCAGATTTCTAAGGATCTCAACACGGGATTCCGAGAGCATACTAGAGGATTACAACTAGAGAAGCAGCCTCTAGATTCGACATATTCTATACTGGGAACCAGCTTCTGGCCTTTGACACCACCCAACACGACGTTCTTCCCCCCAGCTGAGATCCAGACCGATATCGACCGGTTCACACTCTTCTACAAGAACAAGCACGAGGGTCGTAAGCTGAGCTGGTTATGGCAATTGTGCAAGGGTGAATTGAAGACGGGCTATTGCAAAACGAAGACACCCTTCACGTTCCAAGTCAGTGTCTACCAAATGGCCATTCTTCTACTATTCAACTCCAAGGATGTCCATTTGTATGAGGACATACAATCGGTCACCCAGTTGACTAGCGAGGTCTTGGATTCTGCCATCGGGATCCTTTGCAAAGCCAAAGTTCTGATTATGAAGCCGGACGGCGAGAAACCCGGCGCTGGAAAGACATTCCACCTCAACTATGACTTCAAGAGCAAGAAAATCCGCGTCAACCTGAATATCGGAACCAAGACGGAGCAGAAGCAGGAGGAAGCAGATACCAATAAGACAATTGAAGAAGACCGCCAACTCGTATTACAAGTGAGTCCCCTAAATGGTATCGTTCTAATATACTAGGAATACTAACAACGAATGTAGTCTGCGATCGTCCGAATCATGAAAGCACGAAAGAAGATGAAGCACACTCAAGTTGTGAACGAATGTATCATCCAGATCAAGTCGCGCTTCGTCCCCAAAGTCAGTGACATTAAAAAATGCATCGAGATCCTACTCGACAAGGAATATCTTGAGCGTTTGGACGACGACGAGCTCGGTTATCTTGCATAATGGGGTTGTAATACCTACCTATCTCAGTACCTGATAAACATACAACATTATACTCATACAACCATTCCGTTCTCCCTTTAGCATCGGTTGGTGGCTTACGTCCTCCTCGTTACATAGGTAGTGAAGGGGCGGTGGATATGCAAGCTCAGAAGTTTGGGTGACCCTAAGAGAGCCTGAAAAAAAGGGAGGGCTTAGTAGGCTATTTGACCCAATAGTTCGGGACGATTACTAGATTTATGCATTTGGCAACGGCTTGAAAAGCCGAGGCTGAGTCAGTTGAACCCCGAAACCCCTAATGAAAATGAACCAGCAAAAGGATGGATTAAGGCGATGCCGCTCCTGTATACATTGATGCAAGGATAACGGATCCTACTGGACAGAGAGACAGACAGAGAGAGAGAGAGCTGAGTCAAGAAAACAAATGATAGCTGGCAGCTGTTAGCTACCTAGGCACCTCACCTACCTACTTACCTCACTACTTATCTACCTACCTACCTAACCTGGTATCTAGGTAGGTAGATAGGTAGGTAGTTACTACTATACATAAGGGAGGTAGGTAGGTGGGCAGGTAAAAAAAGGGCTTTGTGGCCTTTTTTTATTCCCCGTCGATTGAAAAAGACCACGGTTCCACCTCTGCACGCACGTACGTTTGCTATTCAATGAATAAACAATTTATGTACTCCTTTGTGTTTTCCCTCTATGCCTAAGTACCTAGTGATTGCCTATGCTGCTTCGTCGACCGAATATGCTGATGTTATCCCATCTAGATTTTCGTAGTTTGCTAGTGCTTCCAACGCCATGCATAGGTAGGTAGGTATGTACTTACAGTACATGTCACAGCGGGTTGTCCATAACTATGATTTACCACAGTATATACCTAGGTTAGGTAGGTAGGTAGTTACAAGACTTGGCTGAATCATACATACACACATATATATTCGTGAAGTTTTATCGTATTAATTAGGCAGTGTCTGTATCACTTATATACCTACCTAATATCTGTAAATATCTAACTTAGGCATTTAGGCAGACAGGTAGATAGGCAGATAGGCAGGCAAGCAGGCAGGCAGGTAGGTTCATATAAATTAATTGCCTACCTATAGTATGTAGGTAAGTTACTAGGTAAGTTATTAGGTAGGTAGGTAGGTAGATAAACTCATCCTACATAACTACCTACTATCGTCCTCCATACAAAGTACTTACTATTACTACTACAGTAAACCTTGGCCATAACGATTCGGTAGACAACGATATTTTTGTATAACGATATAATTTTGGGAACATTGCAATTTTGTATGGGAAATAACGATATTTTAACCTTAGCGATATATCGTTAATTTTTTGACCGCCACCACCAAGATCGTTATGGACCATGTGTAAAAAACCGTTTATTTTGATAAAATTTTGGTGGAATAAGTGGAATTTTGCGTTTGGTAGCCAATTGGACTGCCCTTTTTTCAGGTAAATCTAATCACCGCCACGATATCTAATCGCCGAAAAATTGGCTTACTGCATAATATCTATTGTACAATATTTTTCATAAAATAGTAAGTACCTTTTCCAATAAAATGGCAGTAAAGGTACAACGGCATTACACGGACCATGACAGTGGGTCCATTTCTACATAACGATATCTCTCTATAACGAATTAAGGGTGGTGTTTTTTCCATATCGTTATGGCCAAGGTTTACTGTAACTACTAACTAGGTAATCCGTAGGATACTAAAGTCCCTCCCTCCGTAACCTACATACCTACCTAGCTAGGTACCTAGGCTACGTACTCACAGTACAATAGGTCCCTAATAGATATAATGTAAATGTAAATGTAAATGTAAATGTAAATGTAAATGTAAATGTAAATGTAAATGTAAATGTAAATGTAAATGTAAACCATGGAAGCAATACAATAATGCTCTGGGTATATAAACACACACACACCCACCCTGAATATGTCCTCCTCGTACTTCATGACCCCCTACGTAGCTACATACTGTACCTAGGTATGTAAGTAAGTAGGCAAGTGACCCCCTGTGTATGTCGTGTTGCTGCTTATGCTGCTATATACCATGGATTACAGGTAATGTACCTATCTACGTAGTAGGTACCTACTTACGCGGTTGTGGTTGTCTCCGCTGCCTTGGGCTTTTCTTCTGGCTTTTCCTCCGGCTGGACCTCAGTCTCGTTCTTTTCCTTGGGCTTATCCTCTAGTTGGACCTCAGCCTTGCCCTTGTCTTTGTTCTTGTCCTTATTCTCGTCTTCATCCTTGTTCTTATTCTCACCCTCACCCTCACCCTTATCCTTCTTCTCGTCCTTCTCATCTTCATCCTCGTCCTCATCTTCATCCATATGCTCAATAAGAGCATCGCTATTCTTCCTAATCTTATCCTTCCTCGCTTCCGGGCTCTCGCTGCCCGCTTTCAGCTGGACGTATTTCCGCGGGCTGGAGGGGCTCGATGAGCCGCTCTCGTCCGCCGACCCTACACCGTCTAGCATGCTCTCGCCGAAGCTATCTTGCGTGAGCGGCCTCCTGTCGTATCCCTCACTTGATCGGTGTAGTACATCGGACATCTGTATCTTCTCGGCTCTGGAGAATCCTGGCGAGGAGAGTGTGGGGCTGCTGAGTGGTGTGAGGTTCTTCTCGCTGATCGAGTCCGTGTTTCCGAATCTCAAAGATCTGCGGTTACCACCACCAAATCCCCACCCGCCGCCACCTCCGCCGGAACTGCTGCTCGCGCGACCCCATCCTTGCTTCCGTTTCTCGCCTGCCCATTGGGCCCAGCTGCCGATGTATGCGCCGGCCCTCGTTCCCACCGAGGGTCCCGCGTGTTGTGATTTCGGCGAGTCTACGCCAGATGCTGTAGATTCGCTCTTCTCTGCCGCTGCCGCCTCTGCCGTTTCCTCAGCACGCTTCCTTTGCGCTTCTCGCAGTGTTTCCATATCAGCATATAACCTGCTGAAAATAGTGCTGGCTTTGTCGCGTCCCGCTGCTAAATTCCTTCCCAGCACCTCCCGCCCCACTGCGAATCTTTCGTCGAGATGTAGGTCCTGTACCTGTTGCTGGATCCGACGTTGGACGTCATCGATCGAAAGCCCCCCCGCACAAGGGTGTTTGGGCTCAACGATGTCGAACAGATGCGAATCCGTATTAGAATCCCAAATGCGATAATTCTCGGTTCTCATCCAGTATTCCACAAAATCATTACTAAAATCAGTCGATGGATCTCCTTCGATATGCGGGAGTGTTGCCTTGGGGTTATGGGCATTCTTGGCGAGATAGTTGTGATATTTTACGGATGAGATGAGAGATTGTATGTACTCTTCAAACTGAAGTCGAATAAACTCCTCGCTGCCACGATACCCCATTGTCTTAGGACGACCCGGATTTGACTCGTCCCACGTGTCATTCACTTCCTGCGTGACGAAGTCAATCCATCTCCTATCAGAATGGGAGAGTACTAATGCAGTGCGAAGCGAGGTGGATGTGATGTTAACCGTGTTCTCGTCTAGATTGATTAGAATATCGCTATAACGATCCCTTTGCTGTAAGAGTAACGAGTTTGTGCTGCCAACTATATAGGATTTCGTGCCGAAATCTGCCAGAACGTCCAATTGCTGAAGGGGCGTGTATGGCCCGAACAAAGCTCCCTTTATACTTGGTCAATATACGTATTTTCAACGTGAATCGTAAGCAACTCACCTTCCCAAATATCTGCAAGGGCAATCCCATGTATGCCAGCAATGAGTTTCGATCACTAGTTCTCAAACTCGTCGGCCGGGTGAGATTCTTCTCGTAGTTATTCAGCTCAGGCCCGGCGCAATCCTGGAGATTCCTCAGAAGACCGGGTATTAAAGAGATGAGCGAGAACTGCATCATGCATAAACGTTCGCACCGCGAGCCGAAGAAAAGCATCTGTTTCATGCATGTAAGCTCATGAATCAAAACGGATATCACTGCAGACTGCTCACCTTGGGCTGCAAGAGACAGCATTTCAGGAGCACCAGGGTCTGCCAACGGAACTCTCTCACGAGTTCTCGGAGGCTCATGCCCAGGTACTGGTCCTTGTCTGTCTCCTCATTCATCTGACCGCGCGCCTTTTCCTCGGCAAGGCTCTCTTGAAATCGCCGCAGAATCTCGGTGTCGCCGAACTCGCGCTGCGCGAACCATGCGCTAGTGACAACAGATAGTCGTTCCCTTAGCATACCAAAGGTCTGAGGGCTATCCGCTATAACCACCACAGCTTTCTGCACCGTTGAACGCGTCACATCGGAGGGTCGAACGAGTAGTTGCGAGGCATCCAACTGTCGTGTGCACGATATGCCAAAGAGCGAGGTCGCGGGGGTATCGTCCGTGCCGGGGCGTAGAAGGGTGAAATAGGAGAAATCCTCTGTAGATCTGTATACGTCAAAGGACCCGGGTTAGTGGTAGACATGCATGCGCGGTACTAAGACATAACTCACGCATGGGCCCCATCACTTAAAGCCATGAAGGGGAGCAACGTCCAGTCATAGTCGGCTGCTGGATCCTGCCCTTCCGCCGCGCCGAACCACCTCTCAACCTCGGGGCCCCTGTGGTGGTGGAAGTCCACCACTGTCACCAGAGGGATAAATCCGGCCTTGTTATTATTTGGGCTGTCCTTATTACTCGAGCTTTCCTTATTGCTACTTGAGCTTTCCTTATTGCTACTTGAGCTTTCCTGATTGCTACTCGAGTTTTCTTGGTTGCTACTCGAGCTTTCTTGGTTGTTACTCGAGCTATCCTTATTATTACTCGAGCCATCCTCCACAACGCTGCTGCCCAAGCTCGGGGTAGCCATGATGCCGGTTTCCGCGCTCGAATATGCGTAAGAGTATCGGCGGAGCTATGTGCACACGTAAAAAACTCGAAAGGGTGTATCGTCGAGGGGCGAGACCACGTAGAGGCAGGTCTCAGGTAAAATGACAAACTAGCAGCAACAGGGTGTCTTTTCCAGCTATCAGTAATAGGCAGGTCCCAAAAGCGGCTTATCCAAAGCGACTCAATTTTCTAACTATTTGGTATAAAGACATGAGCCGGCCGAAGCGAAGAGGAAAGTCGGACAGAACGGTCAAAGGCGGTGAGTTGATGGCACATAGAAATCACCGTGGAGACGTGTGGAGGGTAGGTAATTAGGCACACTAGCCAAGGAGCTTGGAGATATTTTGATAGCAATAAGAGATCCTTAATAATAGGTACGGTTGACATGAAGGCCTCGAAAGGACGAAGCTCTCAACTAGATAGGTAATAATGGCTAGAATTTCGAAATCCAAGTCGGGCCAGACTAACTACCTAGCAGTAGTAGGGATAGCTACCTAGAAGGTATGTATGATAATGTCACCAATATACCGGTGCTGGTCGAGGAGTAAGCGTAATCCAGGGATCTCACGGTAGCTCCCATCGACAACAGGAGAAAGCGCGTAGTATTGTATGTACTTTGGGAAGAATAATAATGGATAGGAAAGGGAGACAGAGTGATGGTAGAGCTCGATTTATGTCACACAAGTGCCATTGGTGAAGTAATATACATGATCATCAATGCCTCCTTACGGGCATTGAGATGTTATGATTTAACGGGTCAAGGAGGTGGTTTATGTTTGTTCAAAAATAGAAAAGAGAAAAAAGGTATAATTAGTAGAAATAATGTTTTCTTTTCTTTTCTTTCTTTCTTTCTTTCTTTCTTTTTCGTTTCTTTTCTTTTCTTCTGCCAACAGACAGTTGGATTGGTTGTTTTGTTTTTTGATTTTTATGTAGTTTGATTCGTTCTGTTTTCTGTTTTTGTACTATGTAAATTTGACATGCAACTGGTAGGTTAGTTAACTAAATGGAGAAATTTCGAAGAAAGATTGGATAATATTTCGTTGATCCGTTTTCCATTTAAGCTGTTTTAAGCCAATCATTTTTCAGCGATGTTACCCTAATAAAGGTCCCCAACAGCCCACTGCGACAGCTACAACTTTCTTTAGCGACTCAGCGAACCCAGCAGCCCAGCGAACCCTCTCAGCTCCCCCTACCCACTCATTATGGATCCATGGATATATGTATCTTATAACTATCCTATATCATGATTATCATCATCCCATCTTCATTTACAGTTAACAAAGTATGACAATTAGTACCAACAAAGAATCCATGAATCTTTTCTTTTTTAACTATCATCTTAATCAGATATGTATCTTTAGCTATGCCTATCTGTTACATAACTAATTTCATACCTATGTACCTATGCATCTACATATCTTTGGTGTGGCCATACTATGTATGTTATGCCAGCTGTCTTGCATTGCATAAACGACCTCCTCAACTTATCATACATACATAATACCGAGATACCTTACCTTTAACCTACCTACCTACCTACCTACATAGCCATTTCCCTCATCGCAACCCTCTTATTTCTTTATCAGCGCTAACTATCTCCAGACCTCTCTATCTCGTTTCTCCTGCTACATTGAAGGTGCTCAACGAAATATGCCACACTGTTGTTACATATCTACCTCAATGCATCATCGGCCGGCAATTTTTCATCTTCGTGGGGTCTCCTTTTCCTTTTGCTTTTCTTGGCTCCTACATACGTCCCCAGAATCCCAGATAGCCCCCCAGCCCAAGGGTATACCAGGTAACTAAGGTATGCACCTATGTAGGTAAGTAGGTAGGAATGCAAAAAATCCCGACAACCTGCACAGTCCCTCATCAGAGGTACTAATGTATGTATTATACCTACATATACATATACATATACATATCAATCTACCCGTGCGAATTAAGATGAACCGATCACCGTCTTTGGACTGCACGTGGGATCGGGGAAATTCTATCTCGTAATGGAAGGTGATTTCGGGGTCGGCTGAACGCGAAAAGCCAAGAAAAGCGATCCTCTCTGCCTCCTTACTTTATTTGCCATTACACGTTATAGGTAGAAGAGTCTGAACAGATAGATACTATACCCATCTACCTGTAAACTAGGTAGTAAGTAGAAATGGGAGTATCGTGTGCAGAGAGTACATTAGGATGTAGGTTATGCATAGGTAGCTTGCTTGCTTAGCCTTGCTATCTATTTACCCTAGGTAGGTATCTTATAGGTATGTAGCTAGGATTACATCATGGTTTTTGTTCATCCCACTCACCAAAACGAACACCTGCACGGCGCCCGTTTCATTAGTTGGGGACATACATATAAGCGAATCTACTCAGTCCCTACAATCCCCGCTCTCTCGCATCGACAAACATGGAAACCTCTCGGAAACACAGGTACCTAGGAAGCCTTAGCAAACAAGTCACTGTCACATCATTCTAGCCATGCATGAGCCTAGATTAGTAGCCACTCGGAACTAAGAAAAAAAATTTGTTGGTATCTCTCAATTACTACTTTTCATGAGCAGTCGGACATGCTAGCTTTTCGCAAAAGAGTTTGAATAAAGTATTCATTCCTCGCATTTGCTTATCCCAACTAAAATTAGATGCCCTATTTCCAAGCGTTCAAGCCTGCCCATGGGTCGTTGTTGCTTTGTGCCGGCCGAGCACCAGCATTATGCGAGGGGGCGCCTTGAGGGCTTCCGTATGGGTAGTCTTGCCCTTGCGGTGAGTAGTGGATAGTCTGCTGCGGACCCAAAGGCGGCGGTCCGGGCGGCGGTGGTGGCGGGACGAAACCCGGAGGCATGTACTGCTGTTGTTGCGGTGCTGCTACTGCCTGCGGATTTCCATAAGTACTGTATTGATTTGCTGTGAAGGATGTCTGCGTAGGTGGGGGCGAAGCAGGATTTCTACTACCAACACCAAGTCCAAAGGTAGCCTGGTTTGGCGGTGGTGAGGCTGGGCCAGGGTTTCGACCCCAGCTACTAGGGTTATACGCAGCTTGCCCGTACTGTTGATTAGCTTGTTGTGGGTTCGGAGTAAAGGATGGCTGCGACGTAGATGTGTATGTCGTGCCCGGTGGTGGGCTAGAATAGCCGGGGTAGTTGGCTTGATTTGGCGGCGGAGAAGTTGGCATTTGATATTGAGTGGCCATGCCGGTCTGGGGATAACGTGGCGTGCTCGTAAAGGAGAGTGGTGTCGGCACAGGCCTTGCCGCACCCGCCTTCGGTGGTGGTGATATACTAGAATCCATGGACATGCGTTCCATTAAACCACGAAGTCTTTCTCGCTCAGTTTCGGCTTGCGTGCTCTTGTTCGCAGCTATTTCTTGCTCGATCTGGCCAAGTAGCTGGGCACCTTCTGATCTCCTATTGTTGACAAAAGTCTCAACGTTTTTCTCGAGGCTATCAACCGTTTCCTTCATCTCATTGTACCAGTTCTTTGCGCTTTGCAAGCCTGATTCCAAATCGAGGAACTCCTGATATGCCCTCTTATATTTGTTCACCACCGAATTCTTTTGTCGTTGTATGGCCTCATACTTGCTGCGCTCCGAGCGTACACGCTTGTCCTGGAAGAGATGATTGATCGATGCCTGTAGTTCCCTCATCAGTGAGGATTGCTTATGATTTGCCTGCAAGATTCGGTTCTGGTGTGGACGGAATTTCTCCAGCTCGGACTGGAATAGTTCTTTCTCAAAGTTCGGTATCGATTTCTTGTTCAGAATCAAAATTTGTGATATGTCATCAGTGAGAACCTAGTTCTTGTTAGCCGCCAAATATCAAATGCTGAGTATGTTGCGCTCACCTTCTCCTTGAGATCCTTCAGTACTTGCTTTCGTTCCCTCTTTACCAGATTTAGTCTCTTGAGAATGTCCTCAACTCTAGCTATCTGCTCCGCAACACTCGGGCTGTCGTCTTCGAAATCAGCATCTAACAGATTCGGCTCGCCACCTGCTGGACTTGACACATTACTGGATTTCGCTTTCACTTTGTTGACGGCCGTTTGGAAAAGCAAATCGACTTCACCGGTCTGTGCGGCCCTCCGCATCTCTTCAAAGTCTACTTCATTTTGTCGGAACTTGGTGTAGAGCTGAGAGTCGCTCTTTGCTGCTTCATCCAAAGCATCCCGGTAATCTCGAATGTTTCCTCTCAAGGTGGTAGTTAACCGTGAGCTAGGCTGCTGTGTCCACTCGCCCTCATACTTCGATCTCATCTTCTCACAGACACTTTCTTCCATATCGAGCTGCTTCGTACACTTATCCAGGTTATTCACAACTGCATCTTTGTCTATGCGTAGCGTATCGAAGATTGAAATCGGATTTTCATGTCCTGCAACATCGTCGCACCAAGTTTGGAAATCCTTGTCTGGATGAATATCTTGGTCGACACCACCTTTGAGAACCTTCAGGGCGCCCGGTAATTTGAGATAGTCCAAGCTTGTAGCCAGCTCACTATCGGCCAAGTCAACTCGCTCGGTCTCTGCACGCACCAATTTCGCCTTCTCCTCGTCGTATAAGCTCGCCGATTCGGTAACTGTAAATGGGACGATTCTCGCAAATAGATCAGGACCGGTTATGCGTTGGACATCCTGGCCAGCATAGAGTTCGTTTACCGGGATTGGCTTTGCCGCAGGCAGTTTCGGTACAGGAACTAAACTCGCCTCCGCCGGAATTGTTTGGTGGTAGATGTAGTCGTTGTCTTTTATCAACTCCTTCAGCTTTTCTTGGATAGTAGTCAGATTCCGTTTTGTAATCTCAGCCAATGAAGGTCCCGTGTCAGCACTCAGATTTGAGCTAGGTGGCATGGTACTAGGGAAGTTATTGGCTATCTTGTTAGCTTCTTTCGCCTGGACTTCAGCTGATGTGAGTCTTGCGACAGCCACGCCATATGAGTTTGCATCTTCGTCGGCAAGGGCTTGGTAATATTGGGCATTTGAAGCCATCAGATTGGCTTTGATCTGGATAAGGGTCAGTTTCCACGCACTTTTGTATTAGATGAGATCTTAAGTCACTTACCTGGGCAAAGAGAAGCCAGACCTTCTCGAAGATGGCCTTGTTGACATTGTCCTGCACACCTTCAAGTGCTTGCTGGTATAAATAGGCAGCCTGACTGGATAACTTCGCTAGTAGGCCTACCTTCTTCTGATCGGCAACCTGCTTTTCAAGAAATATTTCTTGTGCCTGTGCAAGCATAATCTGAATCAAGGTTTTCACGGTGTCTCGACTGAGATCAGATGACGGCGCATGCAAGAAGTTCTCATTTATGTATGTGAACATGCCAGCAGAGGCCTGGAAGGAGTGGTAAGCAGTCTTGAGGCCAGACTCTTCGGAACGGGTTTGATTGGCAGCATGGCAGGACAGGACGGCGGATATGTTGAAAATAATGGAAGCCTTCTCAAACGCAAGCGAGTATTGGGCCGTAGACTTGTGAGTGAAGGCATCAAACCTGAGGACCATGTGTTAGTATACCAATAACAGCTAACCTCATCCGCAACATGGATCAACCATACCAAGTAAAGGATATCTTGATGTGCTGCTCATCGACTGGAAAACGCAGATCTAATAATTCGAGCTGGCCGTAATATCTATATAGCAAGTCCCTTCCAGCAGTACTATCTTTCCCGGCACCCCTCATATCCTGTCGCAAACGGTTAAGTGTTGCGCATTCCTCTGAATACCGTTCGGGGTCATCTCCGTACGTATCCCTGATAAAGGTCTTTAGCGGGGTAATCCAGTCGATCTCGTTGGTAGCCTTTAAAGGCACCGAAATCATCGGCGTTTGTGTCATGGTGGATTGTAGTTCGTAATTGGAAACGTATGCACAGGACTTCTCTTCTTCTTTTCTTATTTGAAACTACCACAGTCCGTTTCCCTTAGGGACAGGTGGTATCGAGGGATTTCGTATCACGGCGTGCATATAGTTTGAGGATAGTGTGAGGTCGAGATTCCTTAATGGTGTGCTGGCGACGACGGCTCTATGGCGATTTATCTGGACACCTGTCTGGCAGATTGGGTGCCAAGTTTGACGCAAGAAAGTAGTTTCAGATCAGTTTACCTGAAGCTCTTTCGTAGTAGGAGTCGATGGATCTACCAACATGCTGTCGCCGAAAAGGAAGAGAAGAAAGGGGAAAAGGGAAGGGAAGGGAAGCAAATGCAAGCCCAATAGATACTGATTCAAGATTGGATGAGTTGGTCGGACAAGGCGGGAAGTGCAGCCTAATAGTCCGGCTTACGATGAACCTGAATGGCAAAAGAACAGGTAAAGACAAATAATACAGAAGCATTAACCAAGTTCTCCGTTATTCAGTCAACGATGATAATATGGCACATGAGTGAAGTAACACGCGGCGCGTCTGTAAATGCAGGGCCAATGCAGTTCAGTTAAGATGGATGCATGAAGGGTGGTCGTGGACATGCGAACGAAAGTGCAAGAAGTTGAAATGCTTTAAGATCTAGGTGTGTAGTTCTTGCCTACCTAACGCTAGTAACCAAGCACTTAGCAGCCATGTACCTAGTAGCCGCCGAGTTGATCTTAAAGCTAAGGCTAAGCTACATGTATCTATGGTGGGGTTTAAGTCATTGGTACCTAGAACTACTACATACATCTCCGCCGGGATAGCCTAGGTTTCACGAACATTGAATTTGATAGGTACATGTAGGTGCTTACATCAACGTACCACATGGTATTCTATACAATGCACACATGCAATTAGAATGTAACTGATGTTTAATGTAACATGGATGAGTGGGGAGATGCTTACATACCCGGAATAAACTTGAATGAACACATACAGATTTCAAATACATGCTCTGCTCTGCTCTGCTCTGCTCTTTCCTCAGTGCTGTCGTTTATACATAACTATATCGGATGTAATATTAGATAATAATCCCTACTCGAGATGCGCTTCCCGATTCTTGGAACCAAAGGAACCCTTGCTTTGGAAACATTACTCGTCAGTGCCCTATTTGACGTTACCTACCCGGTAACCACATAGTACAAGGTGTGTATTGTCCATGTTGATGTGTTACGTAGCGCTTAACATTGACCCAGATTCCCCGATGCCCAAATTCAATTCAATAACTTGAAAGCTCTAATTAACTACCCCTCCTCTATAAAGATCTCTATCAATATCAAAATCGAAAATCCATCGCATTCATCGCGATAGTGTAGTGACTGCGTGAGCACCCTTTTTGTTTATGCAGGTGACGAGGCCATCGGACCAGGGCAGAAAACCCCCTCTATCGTACGTCATTGGCTACAGTTGACATGCCTCCTCGACCCGGCTTGAGATGTGATTGGTGCTTATGGCGGCTAGCGTTGAAGGAGGTAAGGGATATTGGCGCCTAGCGGGCCGCTACTGCGACCCCAACTCAACTTTAAGGCTTGCTCCCCCTCCTCGCGGCTCATCCAACCGAGACCACTTCTGCGACCTTCTGTCAGATCAATTCCTTACATGATCATGCTTCGCGCCTACGTCGTACATACCAACCTACATACATACATACATACATATCACCCAACTACCTATCTCTAACCTAGTATCTATATACCTCCATACAAAGTGCGTACACGGCGATATATCTCGTGGCATTTAAGCTTGGAAGAGACCCCCTGAACTGTCTGAATGTTGAAGTCCTCAGTCTATTCCAGATGTCAGTCACTGCTTGTACGTGGTACCCATAGAATGCATATAGGCACATAATTCATCATGCATCTTTGAATTGAGAAGAGTGGCCTCACACTATTTAACATTTGCTTGCTGACCCTATTAGTACTATACATCTCAGAATACGTAAGACATCGATGTTGGACGTTGAGGCGCGCAAAGCTGCTCTCGTCAGTGACTCGATTCCCGTTTAGGATATTCGAACACTACCAACCTGTCCACAACATCCCCCACACAATCACAATCTCTATGCCTAGTAGCGTATCCCCCTTGGGAGTATGATATATATTATTAGGGAGTGTGATCATATGACGCCTAGTTGTCCAGAGCAGGACATAGCGATCCTTGACTAGATGTCATCCTTGGAGCCGCACATCCTGAACCAGAGCCAGACTATTTCTTAGTCTTTTTGTCGGATTTCTTCTCGGAATCTTGCTCTTCTGGCTTTTGATGGGCCGGGTTATTTGTTAAGTTATGCCACAAAGACTTTAGAAACCCTTCATTTCTATGCGTTTCCGGGTCGTCGTTTTTCGTGGCTTCCTTACCACTAGCACTATAAATTGCCAGTGAGCTATGTCCCCGTGTGAAGTTATAGGAATGATCGCTTACCCTGGTACATTCACGTTCATGATCCGCTTAGCCGATTTGTCGCCCATCTCATCTGCCAACATTTCCAAAATCATTCTCTGGTTGGAGGAGAGATACTTCGGCATCGAGACTCGGAATTCCACTTTCAAGTCTCCCGTAGCGCTGCGTCGAGCACCCAGTTTCTTCATACCTAGTCCGGATAGTGTAATCTTGTCACCTGTGTTCGTGCCTGTCCCAACCTTCACTTCGACTTCCCCGTCCAACGTAGGAATATTCACTGAGCCGCCCAGAATTGCCGTGGTCAACGGGATGGCTGCTGTGTAGAGAATATCCGATCCCGCCCGTCTAAATTTAGTATCAGGGGCGACTCGCACAAAAACGTAGAGATCTCCTCGAGCTGTCCTGGGACTCGATCCTACGCTACCACCAGTAACGGGGGCATCGCCCCGCCCATCTATCCGTAACCTCATCCCATCTTCGATACCGGCCGGGATATCTACGGTAATGGTATCGCGCTCTCGGACCGCACCACTGCCCGCGCATGATCGACAGTCTGAACCTTTGGGAGCTACCTTTCCAGTGCCGCCACAAGTGCCACAAGAGGATGCCATCTGGAAACCACCTGTCATAAAGTGTACTTCTGTGCCCGTGCCGCCACAGTTATGACACTTTGTTTGCTTAGTGCCCGGCTTCAAACCACTTCCGGAACAGGGTTCACATTTCACGAGTGGGTGTATTGTGATAGACTTGTGCGTCCCTTTTGCTGCCTCCATGAATGATATGCTCGTTTGTACCTCGATGTTTTCACCAACCAGGATCTCCTGCGCACCACTAGAGCGACCTGATCCGCCAAAAGGACCTCGTCCGCCGGCAAATGCAGAAAATAGATCATCGAAGTTGAAGTTGGCACCAAATCCTCCTTGAGCGCCAAAGCCTGAGAAGGGATGTCCTGCGCCACCGAACGGATCGCCGCCTCCTGGTTGAGGTCCACCACCTTGGTTAAAGGCGGCGGCTCCGAACTGATCATACTGCTCCTTCTTACTCGGGTCGGACAAGATCTCGTACGCCGATTGGATCTCACCAAACTTATCTTTCGCTGATGGATCCTTGTTTGTATCTGGGTGGAATTTCTTGGCTAATCCATAGTAGGCTTTTTTAATTTCAGCTGCTGAAGCAGATTTACCCACTCCAAGGGCTTGATACGGATCCTTCATTGCTAGGGCATTGGGGGTGGCATGAAAGAACTGCATTGTAAATTAGTTAGCGGAAGCCTTAGGTAGGTAGGTTCAAGACTTGAGAACATACCCTTTTAGACAAAGCAGCTTGGTACAATGGCTGTGCTCCTTGGTGACTTGGTCTCTTGGAAAGCGAACATATTGTGCTACTTTGGGCGCGCCTTCGTAAATTTTGTCGTAACCTCTGTCTTCTGTATATCTGGGCAGGCGATAGTATGCGCGATGGTATCGCTGCCTTTGTGAATAGAGTAGAATTCATCTTGAAAGCTCCTAATCACACGTAAATTCCAACTAGACTTTTGCAATTCGTCATTATATGCGACTAATAGTGATACATATGGGGGGGCAACAGAAGAGAAAAAAAAAATGTTGAATATAGAATGTGGGAGTTTGTCGCAATGACGCTCCAAACTTTTTTTTTCTTAATTTTTGCACTAAAAGACCCGACGCCGCGGGAAGATTCTCGATTTTCAAACCCCCACTCATTGAAGCTTACTTAACAGTGTTAACACAGGTACAAGCTCATTGGGCCCACATAAGCGACCATTCACAAATTGAACCACAATCATTACTACCACCCTCTAACCTAATTTGGTTAGTGCATAGAATAGACAATTATATAAGCGAGCTCCACATACGTGTACTACTAGTAGTAGTACATAGGTACCTACCTAGCCTACCTACATTCAACAGCTTCTTCACATTTCAACATTGAAAGTTCAACTTGACGACCACGCCGCTGAAATTTTTGTGAATAACAACCAATCGTTATAACGAATCCCAGCATAATGTCCAATACTGATTTGCGTTGCTCTCTTGCCAATTTATAACACTTTCGCAGCCATGGCATTGAGTGATACTCTATTACCCTCTCTATTCCAATCCCTTTCCAGAATAGTACTACCCTCGATAGCATATCTCGGGGGTCACAAATCTGTTGTCTTTCGTCTGCCATCTTCGTTAAGCTGAGTGGCATTGTTGTTGACTCTGTCATCCTTGCCCTCATCCTTGCCCTCATCCTCGAGGCGTTCAAAAGTTGCAAGGGATATGTCAACTGCATCATGGCCTAGCCGTCTTGTACCCGCTGCCATTGCCCGCTGCCCGAACCGACTGCCAATAGTTTGGACCGTGTGAAGTACTGCTGGCCTATTATGGACCTTCCTGCTCCCGCAGAACGAGAACAGGCTCGAGTCCAGAAAAGCTCTAAGCAGCGGGCTCAGTACAGGCAATGACGCACAAATGGTAGCTAGGCCAACCTCGAGGCTAATCAACCAAATAGGGTCAACTAGCGTAACTGCGGTACCAAGTCAGCATGGAATCATATCAGTGTCTTTGGGACAATTGACTAGAAGATCTGGCACTTCTTACTGGTGAAATCTAGGTCTGTTCTTACTTCAGCACGAATATAAGGCAACATTCGGACTAAACTTGTAATAGTCGCACCCAGGCCAAACGAAAAGACCGAGGCCAGAGCAACACGTTGGCTATGAGGTAATTGAAGGTTCCATATTTCGTAAATGGGTAGACAAATAATCGCAACATCAGTGACGACGTTTGGGAACCCATTTGCAAAGAAGAAAGTATAGCTGGAAATGCAGTGGCCTGTCGTCATGAATGGGTCGAATACCTTATGGATTGGGTCGCATTGGAAGATTATCACAAGGCTAACAGAGAGCCACCACGCCATTGTAATGGCACCTAGGGTCATACTTCCAATATTCATGAGATGGGTTGGGAAAATACGCCGGTACATGAACAAGATGCTCAGCTTGACCATTGATATGGCAGTCACATATACAAGTTGGCCGGCGAAATAAAGCTAACAGAAAGGAGGCTAATTAGTCTGTCGATTCTCCATATCTACCTATACATGAGTGTGATCAGACTCACCTTTTGGTCTATGACAAGCCTATTGCGATCAATGGCTAAATTCACAATGATAGGCCTACCAAGCCCCCCAATCTCAACAAATAGAACCATGCCAATGTACAGCCCCCATTGCAATACCTAGGCATTGCAAATTGTCAGCATCTTGAGCGGACTAGGATACTAAATATTGAATCTTTTTGCTTATTGGTTAGGTACCTACTTACGAATGAGGAGAGGATCAACCAGTCGTCCAGACTCATGCTCAACCGACGATGGACCTTCACCCATATACGAAGGCCAACTATTATACTCACAATTACATGAAGCAGCGTTGCGAGAGCGATAACTTTGGGGCCTTTGTTGATTTCATGCTCTGTCTGTGGAATCGACTCCATATCTGTCTATCTGTGTCAGCCTTAGACAGCTATCGTATGCGTGGCATATCTACTAACCACTAGGTAGACAGCTAATTTTCTAAGTACCCAAGAATGCAATTGAATATTGCTAGATGAGGCTATAGGGATTAACAGGCAATCCCATGACACGGACGATGTAGAAGACCTTTCACCTCTTTTAAAGGCGGGAGAGAATTATATGTTAGGTACAGCCAGCCTTCTTCGCGTTACATTGGTTCTATGCAGATTAACGCACCCCTATTCTTAGATATTAACCCTCTTCCTCAGCTACCTGTGTATATCCATACCTCATGCAGATCCAACGAAGGCTATGGGTAGTAGTCTGTAACATAAGCACATAATTCAGGTCGTACAATTGCTTTCTTACATGATATGCGCATCATAGACTACGCACATGAGCCAATGGCAATGAGTTTCGCCAGGTATATATTTATATATATGCAGGCTACCTTATAGCAATCCCCATCATCTTTACTTCTATGAGTTCTCACAGTGGAAGAAGAGCACGACGAGCCCGCATTAAGTCCAAGCCTATCAAACTGGTTTCTTCTAAATACATACCTATAGTGGCAAAGCGTTCCACACTTCTAAGCACCCTCCAAAGAAACGAGGTCCAGGCCGACAGAAAACGGGCTCGGGGGGACTCGCTCTATTATGCTACTTGAGCTCGGTAGGCTTTACACTTGATTAAATCGAGGACTTCTTTCTTCATACCCTCGGTTGGGGACATGCTGGCGATGGAGATGCAAGGCTGAGTATCGCCCTTATGAATATGGTGATTGGCCTTTGCTACTCCTGCAGTCAGTCATCCCATGCCACACATGCTGAATGTACCGAGGATTCCGGATATTAATTGAATTGTTTTCTTAGTCACCCAGCGCCTTACTAATGTCAAGCATATCTGGTAGTGGCAATGGTGAAGATCCTGCTAGCAATATTAACTGATATTCTGATGGCTAGGGGAATTGGATACCTATTTGGCCTCAATATCCCATGCGTGTGAGTGTGTAGGTGAAGAAGGTTGTCACGTGGGAAGAAAGTGGGATAACTTAATGCCATGTGCTGAAATAGCGTCACTTTTTCAGTTGGTTAATAAATTGGTTAAATTGGCCGTAAAACGTAAATTACCTTATCGAGCCCGTGGCTTATCGTGCTGCGTGCAGTGCCGTGCACGCTACCGATGTGCCTAGACATGCAAATGTAGGTACCTGGAAAGGTGACACTTTAATGAGAAACACGCCCTAATATGTATGATTTTGACCTATAGAGAAAGGCCCTATGATACAATGACCACCTTCGTAAAGTCGACCCATATTCATTATAATCATTGTCGGTCTTTGTTCCTCCGTGATCGAGTTCCCACCCAGCGCTAAAACTCCAGGATATATGCAAGAAAAAATGTGTCAAGGTAAATGGGAGCCCATGAATGTGCAACGACTAAAAGTCGAGTCTCGCGATGTAAAGGGTATTTGTAACAATGTAAATCGATATGATTCAGACGCCGAAATGATTTGATTTTAGGAGGGTATATAATTTTCATGGCAACGGAGAGGAGTGTGGTAGATTTTTGTTTCTTCTGATCTTGACGATACCGGGGTTTCTGACCTTGTGCACGAAGTCGACAATGACATCGTTTTCTTGTACACCAAGCGCATTGAAATGTTTTCGGACTACTTTCGTGAGCTCTTCTTGACTCTGGCGTCGGTATTCTTGTTTTCGTGCCATGGTAGGCGAGCGTAGACCGATGCCTGGTCGCGAGAGCACCCAGTGATGGTAGGGATTGGCAAAAGCGGTCGGAGTTTGGAGGAGGTATTTGCGACGGTAGTCGTGCAGTACTTCTCGATCGAAAGATTGCCAGTGCAACTGCAAGGGTTAGTTTTCTCAATTCTGCTTAAAATTTAAAGTGAATGGCAGAATTGGACCTACTCCTGGTGCATGGCTCGGTTGTGACGTTGGTGCTGCTGTGGTTGACGAGCCACCGTTCGTAGCCGTCACATCCCGCAATTGTGTGCCAGTAGAACTAGCAACGCGACGAAGTTTTCCGTTCGATTGGTGGTGGTTTGTACCATGACCATTTCGATCTTTGACGCTTGCAGTTTCCGACTTGGAGTCGTCGTGATTCGCTTTCGACTTGGCTGGTGGCATTGGAAAGGTTGTTGGATCAAAGAGAGGTAGAACGCAATGGGATCAATATGGTCGAATTCAGAAGTACCATTCCTAGAGTCGCAAATGCGAACGTGCGAAATATATTATGGTAAAGGCGGGCTAATTTTAGAGTGCAAACCGGAACAAATTCTAAAGAGTATTCAGTATATGTGCTTAAGGGTGTGGGAGTCATGAAGAGGAGTAGAAGGTAAGTAGGTAGAGAAGGCGACCAGAGGAAAAGATAGCCCACATTATTCCCAGGTACATCAACGATTGCTAACAATTTTTTTTTTATTAGGGATGTCATTTTCCTTCGCTGCTTCGCTACAAAGGCAAGCCACCAATGACGACAGTGGAGCCATATCGAGCCACTAGCCGAACATCGGACCCTGCATTTCCAAAAGTAATAAGTGGAGATGCCAAGAGAGCTAAATTAGGTACCTAGTAGGCAGATATTGTGGGGGCCCTGGGGGGTAGTCAACTGACCTTACTTCAAAGTTTGCTACAGTAGGTACAAATATGCACCTGATATGAACGAATGATAGAGTTTCAATTTATTTCTTCTCATAATAACATTGAACCTTGAATATTAACAAACCAATAACAGATCAGACCAGATACCAATCAATACATCCCATGTCCAGAGTTGTCAGTGACTAAAATGGGAAACTCATTCAGAACATGAAGATTGGTGCAATTCCTTCAACATTGAACATCCACCTGGGGTCAACATCATACGAACAGGAATATCCTTTACAAATAGGCACTGTCAAACATCCCACGGATGATGTCCACTTTCTTTCCCTCCTGGGCACCTAACCTTAGGTTTAAGGAATGATAGGTACCTAGTCAGGGCAAGTTCGTCGTGTTGAATAGGCGGTTGCCAGTGTCAGTGCCGCCTCTGCCAACATACTTGTGGTCCGAGGATCGAAGGGCCACAAGAGAAAGATTCTGAAAGCCCCCGAGCTCTTGGGCATACTCACTCTCAGAAACGACACCGCTCTGAACGACACCAGCGATTATTACTATGGGGATGTCCTCATCTATCTTGCGTATGTGCCGAACAAACTCCACCACTGTCCTACCACTATTAATCACGGAGTCCACGAGCAAGACTTGACGATTTCTCGTTATAAGGTGGTCCTTGATGTCCTTGACGTCAGATGCATGTAGGAACTGTGCAAGAGGGAGCGCCTTGAGCACTCCCGATGCCATTGGTTCGCCTCCGCGCATGAGGGCAATGATCAACGTCTGTTTCTCGCAGCGCAGCCGATAGCCATCTGTTTCATGTCCTTGAACGTGTGGTATTGGAACATGCTCCACGCCAAATATAGTTGCTAGGAAATGCACTGCCAAGTACCATCCAATTTCCTTGTGAGCCTCCTGTAGGAATGGCCCGACGATTCTTGCATCACGGGTTGGAGTCATGAGCAGCCGGGCAGTGAGCGTATTAGCCGTCTGGAGCTTAAGACGGCCACATTCCTGTGAAGCCGTATTGATGAAATCTAAGTTCTCGAATTGGATGATTGGTACCTTTGTGGTATTGAGTCGTGGAGTGGTCGTATCTATAAGAATTTGGCGAGCTTGAAGACCGTCAATCCTGATGGCGTCCGACAAGGCTGACTCCATCGATTTGCTTCTGGTATTCTCGTCACCTACCACAACGACTGCATGATTCGCTGCCTTTAACATAGGCAAATCGACTGGGCTGTCTCCGAAAGCATATACGTTTAGTCGGTGGCCGTTTTGGAGGCGAGAAATCATGGAGGACTTGAGGTCGGGGCTGATGATAAGCCCGTTCTCCATGCGCCCACTCCCGAAGACTTTCACCTGATCTGATAGACCCTCGGCGTGAATAATCTTCTCCCAGATACTCTGAAGCCCGCAAGTTAAAACCATCACACCAACATGAACTTGCTTTGAGGCGTTTTGTATGAAGTCCACCATTTGGGGGTACATCTTTGCCGCCGACGCTGTCCGAGTACAGTATGTCTCGAATCCCTCCTGAACTAAGGTCTCCTCGTAAAGCAGGGAGGCCTGTAAAAAAGCATTGTATGAGTAGCCTAACGGACTACCAAATAACGCCTTGAGTGGGCTCTTTCCCGTTGTGCTTGAATGGGGATCCTGATCTACTGATCGAAATTTCCAGAATAGCTCGCCAGTATCCTTCGCGGATAGAGTTTTATCACCATCCAGCACCAGCATAACTTTCAGCAGCTTTCCTCCCTCGAGGATTAAGTCGTCAAGTTGGCGAATGGCACGGTGTTTATTGGTGGCCTCTGTGTGCTCGCGGAAGATTCGGATTTGCATCGACACTTTGTCTAGCAATCCTTGACTCGGTGATATAGGCAAAAATAGGATACCGTTGGAATAGCATTTCATACGCAGCATGTCTCTCTCGGAGTTTTGCCACATGCGTAGATGCTCAATAGATACAGCGGGACGATTTCTTTGGTGGTCATTCTTTCGACGTTCAGCAATGAGTTCGGCAGGAACATCCAAGTAAAGAATGTGAGTATAGGTGTCTAGGTCGTTCTGGGTACACACGCAGACACCGTTTTCCTCACCCTCCCGCCAAAACATGAAGTGTCCTGCCAGGATTGCTGTTTTACCACTGCTGGACGCTTCTTGTCTGATCTTGTCAATAGCACGAATGCGCAATTGGTCCTGCTGTTTCTTGTCCAGGCCTCGGAATACCTCTAAGCCACCAGGAACAAGGTCTCCGATCACTTTGGAGCCTTCATAAAATGCGAAATATTGTTGTCCTAAGTTCTGGCTCAACTGATGCACTGCGAGATATAGATATGGTTAGCACGATCTCACTACGAGTTGGGTCGAGGGGAAAAGCAGTCCCCCCTATCGAAAGCAATAACAGCCACAACCTACACAAGAAAGACTTCCCACAACCAGGAAGACCGTAGATTCCTATCACTACAGGTTTCGCGCCTGCGACAGTTGTTCCCACTTGAGTTGTTCCCATGGTCAAAGCTGGTGTATCTTCTGTAATATTTGGGCGAGTTGCTACTACTACTATTAAGTTCGAGAGAGGAGTCAGAGGACAAGAAGGATTAGAAGTAAAGTCTCAACCATCATGTTGGATTTGAACCTCGTTGGACCCCTTTCTGTTGAAAGGCTTTCAACATTTCCCTCCTTCTTCCTACTGCTATCTTTGATATTGCGCACCTCTATCCAGGCAGGCATTTCGTATATGCCATTCCCCATTGAGATTATGTAGTTGACGGCTTTTTGCATCTGATCCATTGTCACTATTTACTTTGTTTGAAATTGAGAATTGCGAATGTGGAAGAGTGCATATATCTTAGCACATTTGCCATAAAGCGGTGCCACTGTCTTGATATCTGCTATCTTCCAGACCATATATATGTATTAACCTTGGAGGGCATGACACGTCCAGCTGCCTGTGTCCGTCTTTGGTGAAACCGCACCGTACTATATACAATCACAGCTGACTTGATATTCTACAGCATCAACAGTGAACTTTTCCTAGTAGCCGGGTATTTAAATGCATCACTGTTTCTACAGTCTAGAGGTAAGGCTAGATACCAGGGATGTATATCCCCGAGATATATCACTTTCATGATTTCCAAGTGAATCATACTGATTCTCTTGAGAAAAGGGGGCAGTCAGTACCATTGTGGATAATAAGCATAGGATCCATCTAAACACTCATATATCACTTTTGAGTGTTATCTCCTTTGATTGCTAATATGGGATCAAACATCCTTTCTTATCATCAGCGGATAGACGCCTTGCCTGCCTGTATGAGGCCGAAAGGGGTCCAGTTCAGATGACGTGGAAACTGTCTTGAGGCTAGGTGCTTGTGATTGCTAGTACCTAAGTAACAACGAGGAAAAAAATGAGAAGTGACAACTTTAGGTGCTGGATCCGGAAATAAGGAATGGACGATTTTTTTATTATTAAAGCTTGATAGGGGGTTGATCTCTGATACTACGTAACACGCAACGTTGTAACGACTTTTTTTTTTTAACTACTATCTTAACGGGATGTTGAGCAGCAACCAGACAGATTGCCTTGATAGCATAATTGATATTTTGATCGTTACATATCTATAGATCGATTTACGACCGGAGAATTTACCTAGGTAGGCACTCTTAAGGGTAGGTGCATTGGCTGATGACGCTCGCAAGCATCCGAGGCTACCGAGGCTGTATTATCACCACCGGTGACCCCCCCTATGATAGCTACACCGATATACCGTGGAAGCCAGTATGTTGTGAGACCTCATCGAGGCTCTGGCGTACCCAGGTACCTACCCGGAGATGACGACAACATTGAAGCACAGGCAAGGGGCTCGCGTTACCCACCCAGTCACACACACGCTCACACACACATCCGTACATACAGTACCTACCTACCTTGGGTACCTACACACATCCTACCCACCCACCTCCAATCCTCCCACCACCACCACAGCCTCGCCCTCCTCCCTCACCCTCCGGATCAACTCATCCGCCAGCTCCGCAACCAGCCGCGGATCATCCCTCTGGATAAAGTGCCCGCAGCCGACCGCAATCACGGGCCCGCGCGCCCTCCCCCCCCGCGCCAGCCGCACCAGCCCCTCGTTGTACCGCGCCCACGCCGGGTTCACGTACGCGTCGGTCAGGCTCCGCGGCACGCCCAGCGACCCGCGCTCCCCATCCAGCGCGAAGGTCGCCCAGTCGTGGCCGACGACCGTGAGCCAGGCCTCGCCCAGCGCCGGCGAGTCCGCGCGCGGCAGGAGCGAGGCGAGGTTCCGCCGGTCCCAGCGCTCGGCGTTCGGGACCGAGGGGTGGAAGAGGGCGGCGTAGGCGGCGCGCGCGCGCCGGAGGTCGGCGACGGTGACGTCGGGGGGCAGGTGCGCGGTCGCGGGGTCGAAGGCGGGGGCGTCCGGGTCCGGGAACAGGGAGACGAGGTCGCTGTTTGCGATGTTGCTGTCGAGGAGGAGGAGGGCGGAGACGGAAGCCGGGTAGGTGGTGGCGAAGAGGCGCGCGAGGGGGCAGCCGATGCTGTTGGCTATGAAGATTAGGTTTGGTGGGTTGGGGTTGGTTTCTTCTGCTTCCGTTCGTCCTTCTCCATTGTTGCTGCTGCTGCCGGACACATGGCTATGGAGCTTCCAGATCTCCTGCGTCAGCACGCGGAGGTCTCGGACGACCTCGCGGATATCGTGGCTTCCGCCCTCGTCCGCTGGGTCTCGGACCGAATCGCCCTGGCCGTAGCGGTCGTAGGCAAGCAGAGACGGGTGGTTATGACGGTGGCCATCATCTTTGTGGCCACGGTGATCATGGCCATGGTCATGGTGCAGGGGTTGCTCGGCGCCGCTCTCGGCCCATCTCCTCTGCAGATCTTCTATGGTGGCCTGCCAGCTGGTGTGGGGAAGGAGGAGACCGTTGAGGAAGACGACGAGGTGTGTCGTCGATAGGGGACCCTGTCCCGGCACGAACCTGTAGGACAGTGGGGCGTTGGGTTTGTGGGGGAGACAGATTGTCCCTAGCATGATTGATGATTGATTGATTGATTTTCTTTGCTTTCTTTGCTTTCTTTGCTTTCTTTGCTTCCTTCAAGGTTCTGTGAATTTCTAAATTTTCATTGGGCTTTGCTGGTAATACAGACAGTGTTTGGGTTCAGGGGTTCGGCAATAACTGGCATGTGTGCATGTGTTTGACATGTCTTGTCGATGCAGTTGGTGGGCTCGTATGTGTCAATTAATACCCGACCGTGATACAAATATGTAGATATGTATGTACATACTACGGCAGTGTGTTTCCTTCAATGTTTTTTGCTATGATTTGCTATGAATCCTTACAGACATATATTGAGGGGTTGTTTGCTTGCTATTCAAGTACCGACTACCTACTGTCTTCTACGCATGTGTGACATTGTGTGTAACTGTATATGTAGGGTCTGTATGCACAATACATATCTACATAGTCCTACCTACATAGATCCATTACTACCTACATGTATGTATGTAGGTGCCATATGTAGGTTGTGCATTTAGGTAAATAGGGCTTTTGGGTTTTTACCAATCCTTTCAAGAGGTTTGTCATTGCTTGCTTGGCAATGAGTGACAACGTGGGATATTATCTAGATTCCACCCATCTTGACTTACTAGCCCACGAGTCTTTGTAACAGTGAAAATAATTTTCAATCAAAATACCAAATGACGTCGCATCCTCTTGAAGTTGTATGCCGTGTCGGTCTGATCCTACAGTGTAAACCTCGACGAGAAATGGAAAATGCTATATAGCTTCCAAAGTTCACAGACATTTATTCATATCCTACCTTAGATATTCTTACATATATAATTACATAATTACTTTCACACTTACCTGTGGGCAGTAAATAATTTTTTTTTATAATTATGAGTATACCTCAGTCCCATTCACATGTGATAAAAAGGCCTGGTCTTCAAAAATTCTTCTAACACGCCCAGCAGGCTACTCACCTACCTACCTAGGTAGAATCTGGTAGATAGCGATATAGGCAGGTACTAGGCTTACCTAGGTCTTGTTCGGCGATATTATACCAAGCTGATGTTGTCTCGATTCTAATTGTCCAATCTTTCTCCGTAGATAGATATGATAGGAGTCCCTTGAAACCCAGTATCGGACCAACGTCTAACTGTTGTCGTATGTTGTCTGCGACGACTGGTGCAGATGTAAAGTTTGATAGTCGATTGCTTTACAGGTCTTTTCTCATACCTGCCTTACATATGTATGTTACGTTGATCCATGAAGCGGGCCCTGTCAATCTCCGCTACATCTTTAAATGACATTTGGATTCTGGAAAGTGATGGTGGTATTAGAGTATTAGTGGGTGAGAAGGGACCGAATACGGCAGTGAAGAGCCAGGGGTCGTTATTGCTACGATGATATTTCACCTCTACCTAGTAGAATACACTATTACCATAGACTATGGTCCATAGTAGATAGAATGATGATAGGTGCTAGGAAGATAGTTACTAGGTAGGTAACTATGTAGGTAAAGTTGTATGTAGCTAAGAATGGTGCAATCAGCGGGGAACCATGTAAACCAGCTAATCATTCGAAGTTCGGGGCCGGTTAAACGATTGTTACTCGCGTACGGTACTTAGCAGTTACGGGTCGCGAGGGACCAACCACATGTGCAACCGCCTACCTATCTAACAGTTAACTATGTAACTACCTACCTAGTGTAGATAGGTACATACATCTAAGTATTTGACGGCTTGATTCCGAGGGATCGACAGGGACACCGCTTTCCCTTCCTTCATCCTTACTCCGATTCCGAGCCCACCTGACTCTTAGGGGTCGTCATATAACTTCAGCCTCAAAGAATACAAGCATTTGACCTTGAAAGGGTAATTAGGTATTATGTTAGTCCGCGCTGGAACTTGATATATTAAGCGAGAATGGTTTAAATTCAAGGCAGCTGTGGATGCTTTATTTCAAGAGGAACGGACGGAGTCTGATAGTGCGTGTATGCATCTCCAGGGCCATCTCTACCATGGTAGACTGGTAGTGTATAAAGTGTAAAGTGACTGGGTGTGGGGGGGGGGAGTGTTTGGGGGAAACCGGTGTGGATATCTTGATGTCTTCAAGTCTTGATCCCCGAGATCCCGACTCATATAATTCTAGCTGTGTGTATGGACAAAGAGCAAAGGAAAGGAGACGGCCTCTTCAAACCAGGTCCGACGCCGTCTCCACGTCTGTCATTAACTTCCATACAGCCGTAATTATGTTGGACCTAATGTAGGTACATGTAGGTATAATTTATAAAATTCTGCCTTGTTCAGGCTTGTTGAGGACTCGAGACTCGAAGAGGCTACGATATTACATTACGTGCACCTCACCAGATCCTAGCAGCCCAAGTTCCAAGTGGCTTGGCTATCAGCCCTGACACTAAGGGGCACAAGCGTGAGTTAGCACGCACATTACTCATCCTAGTGTGTTAGATTCTATTCGTCAACCTTGCATATCACCCACTGCCACCCCAACTGGAGGAGGATCCCAGGGCCCCCACAGCGTTTTGGTTAGTACAACACAGTAGGGTATTATTATGTATGTATGTATGTATGTATGTATGCATGTATGGTAGAAAGTTCTCCAGAAAACGGGTACAATACCTGTCTACGATAGGTAAACTTGGGTGAGATATGTAATCATAGTACGTACGTACATACGCCTCTTTGTTCATGACGATAATAAACAGCGGCACGGGGGGTCTTACAACAGCAAGCCACCTCTCTCTCTCTCTCTCTCTCTCAGCCTTTTACCAGGCAGAATACTTTAAGCTACATGACAACTGCTATCTAAGTAGGTATTACTAGTAAGTATAATTAAAGTACAGTACATACATAATTACCTACATACAGCACTATCTAAAGAAAGAGCTGGGCTTGATCCTTTATCAATCTCTAATGCATGTCTCGTACCTCTGGAGTGGGTAGTCTAGGATCGCCTTGCAGGGATGAGCTGAAGGCAACGCAGTGGGAGCCTCTGGGAGCAGTGGGAGGCAATCATCAGTGACAGCCAGAGCAATTACCTTCTTGATGACAGGCTGCAGATTTTGATTCGTCCCAAAGTCACAGGATTCGATGAATATGCATTTGGCATTTGCCGATGGTGTGTTGACTCAGATCCCTCCTGAACCCTACCGCCTAATGACAGTCACCTATTTACCTACTGTATTGTATTGTATTGTATTGTACAATAGTTATTTACCTATAACTATCTACTCCTAACATTACTTGTCCCGATTGCCCCGGGTGTTTCCTGGCTTAGCCTTCGATTCTCGGGGGAACCAATACCCATTCAGAAAGAGTAAAAGCCACCTTGAAACTGGCAACCCTTGAGATTTGCCCGACTATTGGTTATGCTACGATTAAGTACCACCGAGGTAAAGACGTTTATCCCGCTCTTTACTTCAAATTGATCTCTACATCTTCCGAACCCGAAGAAACGGTTGGGTTACTAATAGGGTCCCAAATACACTTATGGAGTAGGTGACACTGCAACGTGAAGATCGCTACTAACTATACCTAGCTAAGTACAATGCCTCCATTTTGGGTGGGTTCTGATTTTTCATTACCACAGTGCTATGCCTATTAGTATCTATGTACTATGTACTGCAATATAACTAGCACCTCTAGTATTACTAGCTACAGCACGGTTCCGCGTCAGCACCACGCCTCGTCGGCTGAATACCAGGTATGTAGGTAGGCTGCCAGGTAATCATACTACTTGAGGTTGGAATCGTTGGATAGATAGGTGCAAGTGTAGGTAGACATGAGCAGATGAGGTAAAGTCTCGCTAAAGAGCTCTATAATAGGGCATAGTATAGGATAGGATATAGGCCTGTGCTTTCTTGAAGCATTTCATTCGTCCCAAATAAAACTACATTATTGTGATCAATACCCTAGGTAATGGTAACAGGGGTGTTCAAGACACTAGATTCGCGAGTGGACATTCTTTGGAATCTTTACTAAAGTGCTGAAGGTCAAGGAAGCGCTAATGTGCCCGCCAGTGGAATCGATGGACCAGCCCCTGTCCCTATCAAACTACGAGGGTGCGAGGCCCAGCGAGGGGGGTGACACGGAGCATACCGTACGCCTAGGCCAATCAACCCTATAACGGGCGGTGACACTAGCATTTCGATAGCCAACACGGATGGGGATATACTAGTGTAGCCCTGGAGGTAAAGTAGCGTAGAGAAGCGATAGAGCAGCACTACATGTATGCTATCATCTATGGGCTACCCATCACTTACCAGTCTACCACTACTATAACTACAGTCTACTACTACAACTACAACTGCTACTACTACCCCTAGGGCACTAAACTATACGTATAGTTAATCATTATACGGTATTTATTCATACATACCAAATTATACCATTATACCCATACTAAAGTGGTATAATATACCGTATAATAGATTATCACATACAAACCTTCCATTTTTCATTTTTTTACCTTTAAATTTAAAGCTTTCCTTGCTTTATTTCTTATCTTATCTCGATTATGTAATAAAGTGTTTGTTTATTTATTTATTTACTAATATTTTTGAAAACTTTTTTAAGATTTTTTGAAATTTATTACAATTAATGCTGAAAGTTAAGGGAAAATATTAAAGATATATATGTGAAATGTGAATAACCCCGTTATTTATGGGCCCGGGAAGGGTTCTTCCGTTCCGCTATACGTATAACGAATCATTATACCGTGTAAATACATGTATCATACGTATAATACTTATACGTATAATAAAATTTCGTGCCTTAACTACCCCTAGTTACCTAGTTACCTAGTATCCATCTACCTAATAAGTAACCTACAGATACCACCCACATGCACACATGCCTACTGCACACATCAAATGCCACAGACACAACCCTGATCGCCTGAGAGCCTATACTATGTAGTATACCTACCAGGTGGTAAACTAGGATCTTAACTTACCTACTAGTCCTATACTGTGTTTGTATTGGCTCGAGGCAGTATTAGAACCCTTGAGCATTCATCACTCTACCCCCAGGTCCCAGGTAAGGCAAGTCAATGGTACAAGACATACATACAAGACAATACATATTACATACAACTAGTTGTACATGTACTTGCTTTATGTGTGTGTAAGCTGTTGCTCTCTGTTGCTTCTAAAGGAATCTCGGGTTACCCTTTCAATTGTTGATTGTCCAAAAATCATTTCGAGTCGTGGGGTGAACTTCCAATTCCATATCCGATTTCGTCCTCCTTTTTTTTTTCATCCTGATTGATTGCTTCCCATTATGTCCTACTCTATCCCTTTACGCTTCGCAACCTCGACATAAACTTACCTACGAGGGCTGAGCTGCGAGGAATCTCTCCCCTTCCCATCCGGTTCTCTGCGCCACTCATCCCTCACATCCCCAAGTTGCTTTTCAGCTGAGAGGTTTTTTTTTTGTTCTTTTTTTTTCTTTCACCTTCCCGCCGGCTTCGATAGGCAAAGAGGCATCCCGGTGTGCGCTGGACGGATATCTGACAGAACCCTACCAAATCTGGTCTGCCCACCATGGCGGATGAAGTTGAGCGGCTTGCGGTCGCACCTTTTAGGGAGATTGTTGAAAAGGGCAGCGTTGCAATTGACAATGCGCCAAGTGCGGATGAAGAGACGTCACCGCTTATGCTCAAGGCAGCGCAGAGTCTAGTAAGAGAGGGCGAACGAGCGTTGAAGCGGATTGAACCACTCTGCGCTAAGAATTTCGACGAATACGGCGTGAACTTTGTAGATGCGATTAAGGAAAACGGTAAGACTATATATACCTTATACTACTACTACTTACTATATTTATTTCCCTTCCGGATTAGAGCATTGGTTGACCCGTGCCGCATGCATTAGATGAAATCGCGCAGTACCGATCGGAGCTGGAGGACTTGTTATGGGATTTCGACGAATATGTCGAAGTCACCGAGTTCGACCCCGAAAAATTCGAGGAGTTGCAGAAGGCTTCGAGGAAGGCAGCGCCGAAGATCGTCGATATACTCAAGAGGATGAAACTCGTCGCCCCGGCGCCAACCTCGGCATCGTTGTCGTCAAGATCAGTTATGCCTGACCACCTCAAGCGTCACTCGCATGATTCACAAGTTTCCACAAGTATTGCTACCGACCCTCCGGCACGCACTTCGGCAGATAAACTGATGGAAGAGACAGAGCTGCAGCTAAGCAGCATGATGGGGACCATGGCCGGCCCTGACGAAGGCCTGGACGCGAACCTACCTCGACGGTCGCTCACGGACTCCGACCGAAACCACTGGCGCCGCTCCGAAGCTGAGATATCCGATGAGACCTCCGACCCGCCACCCAGACCCCCCTCTGCCGACCCATGGCAAGTCGGCATCGCTCCGCCCGTCAGCCCCATTGAACGTAACGGCGAGGGAGATCGATGGGAACGAGACCGCCGCCCTCCGGCCCCCAGCGACTCCCCCACTATTCCTCCCGCCCAGCCCGCCAGCCCGCGCAGCTATGTCACAGTACCGTTGCGGACTCGTAATAGAATGGACGAGCCCAGCGATCCGGCTCAAAGAAACGACGACGACGACCTTCGAATGCGCGCGGCTTCTCGGAGCTTCGGAACAGCTAGTGATGGATCCCGGTCCCCCGGGAAGAGCAATCGCTGGACTATCTCGACGCAGGGCTCGATGCCAAGATCGCACAGCGGCTTTATGTCTGCCCGGTCGCCTGGCACCGAGGGATCCGGATCGCCAGGCCCGCCCCCCGACTCTGCTGCCAACCGCTCGCCGTCAGATGCATCCTCTACAATGGGACACACGCCGTCCATTCCCGAGAACGTCGCCGTTCATAGCCAGGCCCCCAAGACTAGCTTGCCGCCTATCCCCACCTTCCCTCCGCGACAGACCTCCTTGGCGAAGCAGAGTAGCCTTCGTCGCACCAGTCGTGGGCCTTCCACCGAGTCTATCAACAGCTCCGTTTTCGATATCATCGAGTGCATGAGTGCTCCGAGCCCCAGTGCAAACACCACACACCGGAACTCGGTCATGTCTGTAGAAGCTACAAGCCCGCGAGGACAACCGCCAGAGTATATGGCAAGCCCGCCTCTGTATCAGCAAGTATCGGGGGGCATGTCCTCTGCCGGGGGGAGCCTTGCAAACAATTCTTCGTCTACTCTTACCGTCCAGCCGGGCATGGTGTCTAGTCCACGGTACGGAGGCATGGACGAGGGCCTGATCCCAGTCGACATGGAAAACCCGTCACCGGAGGGGCAGCTCACGCCGCTGCGGGAACCGGACTGCACTATAGGCCCCTTCAGCTCGTTCTATAAGATGAAGGGCTTCTGCAAGGGAGCCGAGGAGGTCATGGCAGGTCGGCTCGGCTTCAAGAAGATCAAGCGGCCCGTTGGTGTAAGTGCACATCTTAACATTTCTTTTTGGTCTGATGAAACAGAATACTAATAGAAGAACAGGGCTTCTCTATGGCCATCGTGGCCAAGTGCAACCACTGTTTGTTCGAGATCGATTTCAAGTCCGTAGAACAAGATTTAAATAACGACTGTAAGCTTCCTCCTTCCCCTCCCCCTTTCCCCCATGCATCGTGTCATACATAAATAACTCACACAACCCCCCCAGCATCCGGCAGCTTCACCTCGAACTCCATCGGCTTCCGGCTGCGGATCCTGCAAAAGAGCCACCTGCAGATCCGGCACATCGAGGAGCATCTGTACGGGTGCCTCTTCTGCATCCAGCAAGGCAAGACCGTCGAGGAGAGCGACGCGACGGTGTTCTTCAACCAGAGCCAGCTCTTCGCGCACATGGCGCGGCACCCTCGCCCGCTGCCCGCCGTCCCGGGAGTCACCGTCTTCGAGGGCCCGGACCTGCCGCTCGAGTTCCGGGACAACTTCGACCTGCACTTCCCGCACGCGCCGATGCCGTCGGTGATGATGGGCCTGTCGCGCGAGCTGTCCCGCCTCCCCTCCGCGACCGCGACCGAGACCCGCAAGATACAGAACGGCGTCATGCGCTCGCCGCCCGGGCGCGATAAGGTGCTGCACTACGCCGTCGGGGCCAGGATTATCGGGATAGAGTTCCCGATTCAGTACGAGGGGAAGTGGGGGATAGGCTGGCATGATGGCGTGCGCGCGGCGTTCGAGACGGACTCGATACAGATCGACGCGCCGCCGAAGAACGAGATCAAGATGCAGGGCACGAGCAATATCCAGGCGGTCGCCCGCTGGAAGTGGAACCACAAGGGCGATGATAGGTGGCTGAGGTTCGATAAGGGGGATGTGATTAAGAATATTGGCTGTAAGTGCCATCACCTATGCCCGATCCCGTCATCTATCGTACGATCAGACAGACAAGCTAACACTACGTTTCAGGGGCATACACCGACCACTGGTGCTGGTCCGGCACGACATCCAAGGGCTGGGGCATCTTCCCGCAATCGCACCTGGACCACAGCTCGAAGAAGACGGTGCAGCCGGGCGATAACGCCAGCGTGTCTAGCTGGGAGAAAAAGGGGCCGCTGCGCTTCCAGCTGTCCCTGCGAAAGAATTCGGACCGCAAAGTGGGCGCGTTCGATCTTGGCGAGGCGCCTATCCTCCCTAGCAGCAGAATGGGTATTTACTAGCCCCCTTTTCTAGTCCCCTTTTACTTCTTAACCTAGGGTCCTTTACTCCCTAACACCCTGTCTGTATACATACACACTACTACTCCCTGCACTCAGCCCCCTTTCTCTCTCTCTCTCTCTCTCACAGACACGTGCAAGCGTACACACGTGCCCCCCTACTACTATACTGTATAAACGGTGAACAAAACTACTTGAGTCATGTAACTGATCTTTCTCTACGGGTTCGGTGTCTAAGTAGAGGCTCATCCATGAGTGTTGATTTCTTCTTGGTGCGTATCTATACCTACCTAACTCCAGAAGCAATATAGCAAAACTAACAGTAAGATGCACACAGCAGAAAACGATGAACGACCGACTCCTCGCCCGAACACACGGAACTCCTTCTACCAAAACCTACAGCTCCCCGTAGACGTCTTCCCCTTCTTTTTGAATTCATGAAATGCTTTTGTTTATGTTGTGTATGGTTTGGCATGGTTGCGTTGCGATACATTACTTTTGGTTGTATACCCCTTTCGCTTTTTTTTTTTTTTTTTTTTTTTTTTTGTGTTTATCCTCCTCGTATCGTAACGGCGTGAAAGGGAAATATATTTATATAGGGTCGCTTCTATACCGGAAAATCCGCGAAGTTGAGGAAAGGGGACCAAGGGGTAGGGCGGCAAAGGAAGATTGGGGGAGGGGGGCCGGGGCGTTTTTTTGTTTGCCTTTTACACATTTGCCTTTTACTTTGCTAAGGGTAGAAGATGAAGAAGAAAGACGAAGTAGAAGATGAAGATGATCATGAAGATGATGAGGAAAGCTGGAGTAGTGGATAGGGGAGGTTTGAGGTTGGGAGTATAAAGGACAACCACACAAGTCCTTTCCGAATTAGCGAAACTCCGGGCTATACCTATCCATACTCCGTTGATTATCTACGTACTTGCTTAGCAGGTAGATAGGTACATATTTATATATGTGTACGGGCTTTTCGCAAAGTCATCTACATAATGTTGAATGCTGGGGAGATTTATATATATCGACGGCATCACGAAAGAAAGCTTGCTGCTTTACTGGTAGATGCATAATACATATCCACATATACTTACACGCCGGGGATGTATGATTCCCATGTGAACTGGTGACATCATTCAAGACATCATAACTAGGTACATTACATACCTACGAAGCATTCCACGATACAATACAATACATCTCTGTAAGCCATACATCGATATAACAAGCATATCATCAACTTACTAGCCTACCCGCCTACCTACCTAACGATTCTCATATGCTCAAGATAACCAGAGCACTATCCACCTCATCCCTCACGCATCTCCTCAGAAACCACTCTCTTATCCACACCCACCCACCCCCCTACCAACCATGAGCTGGATGGACTTCTGGTCGCGCCCCGGCAAGTCGCAAGCGATACCAGCGCCATTCTACCTACTTCCCGGAGGCGACGCAACGCCGTACTGCCGGTCCTGCGGACGGGCGATAAGTCCGCGCCGGACGACTGCTGCTACCCTTACCACCACCACCACCACCACCACCACCACCGCCACTGCGGCGACTGGCAATGGACATGCCCCAAAGTACTGCTCCGCACGCTGTCGCAGCCGCAAACCGGGACCGCTGGATCGGGAGATCGAGGGGGTGTTTGTGCGCTTGTTGTCTGGTAGTAGTAGCGGTAGCGGTAGCGGGGGTGGTGGTGGTGGGAGTAATGGCGGTGGCAATGAACAAGGCGGTAGCAAACCGTGTAGGAAGAAGGGGAAAGGGAAAGGGGCGGCGGCTAAGAAGGGAGACCCGCGGATCGTGGTCTCCTGTGCCGAGACAGAGAGGGTGGTGTTTGGTGGGCTTGCTGGTGTGGGGGAGACTGACGGGCTGAATGAGAGGGAGAGTGGGAATGAGAAGGAGGAGGAGGAGGAGGAGGAGGAGGAGGAGGAGGAGGAGGAAGGGGAGGAGGAAGGGGAGAATAGTACCCTAAAGACCTATCATCACGGAAGCCCCCAAAACAGCGAAACACCCGGCGACTCAGACACCGCTGTAGTAATTGCTGACTACAACTCCATCGACAGCGACAGCGACGCAGACCCCATCGACCCCGACATACAAGCGCGCATGGCGGTCCGCAGCGGAACGCGCGTGCGCCTGCCACAGACGGTGTCGCTGGTGAACGGCAGCGTGGGCGGGGAAAAGGGGCGGGCGGAGCGGGGCGAGGAGACGGAGGAGAATGCGCGGCGCAGGCTCGAGGGCCATCGTAAGGCGCTGCGCCGCGAGATGGTGAGGAGGGCTGCGAGGAGGGGGGTGGTTTTTGGGTTTGTTGTGGATGATGGTGGTGGTGGTGGTGGTGGTGGTACGCGGAAATGCGAAGCGGTCATGCAGGGTAACAAGGTCGTGGAGCCTAGCTTTGCGAAAGGGGAGTGGGGGATCCGGTGGCGTGAGTGATAAGGAGACGGAGATTCCGTGTTTCTTAAAGAGAAGAGAGGTATCATTCATCTTCGCTCAACCAACATCTATTTTCATCACGGTCTTCATGTTACAGTGCCTCCCTACCTACCAAGTAAGGCCTCATCTCTACAATCAAACTAACATTCGGATCGGTAAAGTTAGCGGAACCGGCACGTTGGATGGGAGCACGGAACGGACCGAGGAGATAAGACTAAGGGTAAAGGGGGGGGGGGGGTGTTTCCTTTCCATCTATTCCATCTACCTGTAACAGTTAATTCTCCCTTTTTTCGTAATTATCACATCTAAAACACCATCGGTAGAATCTGAAGAATCGGAAATTCCGAGAGCCACTGTCGGAAAAAATGCGTCTAGAACCGTACCCATACGATCCTGATTTTTTTTTCTTTCAGCACCGACTCGTAAACCAGATAGATCGACGGATGGGTCAGGAAGAAGAAAAACGCGTGGAATGTTCGAAATGTACATAGTTAGTGTAGATACTAGGTAGTGTAGATAGAGAGGAGCTTCGAGCTTGCTCATACATCGGTAATTACGCCATCTAGTCACGCATATCCTTCCTAAGGAGGCATTGGGTCTGTACACGTAGCCCATACATACTTACATATCCTATGGATACTGTCGTTTGCATTCTGGAGCTTTGCTGCATCTAACTATTACCTAGGTATATTAGGTAGCTTTGTATTTTTGCAACTATACGCGGTGTGTTCTTGTTCTTACCGTGTCTGGCCGCCCTTTTCCTTGAAGACCTGCAATGCAAGATGTATGTCTGGACCGAGACATCATGCGTACATATGCGTACCTATCTATCCGGGTACTTAGTAAGGGAAAAGGAAAACTTAACAATATCGTCTTCACTTTCGTGATTGGTAGATCTACTATGCATTTGGTCCAAGTAGGGGTGATTTGCTTTAAGCCTTTGCATAGGACAAATGTATAAAAGAAACATATTATTTCGCAGAGGGCATGACAACGCGAGGACATGCAGACCATGGTCGTCACCGCTTGCCTGCTTTCACCATCCGCGCCCCAACCACCCACCGCCAGCCCACCTTTTGCTTTCGCTGACCTGAAATCTTCAAGTTCCTACGGCGTAGTACATACCTACCTAGGTACCTAACCTAAGGTATTCCGTAGCTTACCTACATTAGTTATTAGCTGCCTGTGGCTCTTGTGTATCAGCCTAGCTATGTATGTACAGACCTTCACACATTATTGATTGTAGAATACAATGGATTAGGTACTCTGGTACGGAATGGATCTCTTGACATAAATATCCCTATCGGTTCCAGGTTCATGAGCTGCTTACAACCAGATGCATATCCACCATAAAAACTTCCGACGTCAAGATTACGATCGGCTACTTGCATTATGGTACGAAGAGAAATAGAGAGAGAAAGTAAAAGCCAACTGCCGTGCAACGCGAGGCTTTGATTAAAGAGAATGCATACATGTAGTTATATACATATAGTAGTAGGTATGTATGCTGTACATATGGGTAGCCCTAATGTCGCGAGCAGGAAGGAGAGCCATCTTTACCCAGTCGCCCGCCTGCCTACATAACTAAGCACCTACCTACCCATCTGCCCATCTACCTGATCAACTAACATGCATGGCGTCTCGGTGAAGAAGCCGACGAACTTACACTCGCTAAGCACGTACAATACCATACCTGCATACCTTCACAAATACCGAGATGTAGGTAAGGAGTATCTAGTTAGTAGGTAGGTATGTATGTAGGCTATATAGATTAATTACGTACGTACGTAATATTAAAGGAATGGGGATGCCAACGTCAACACGTGGTTCTCACCGCCGAACCTTGTCAAATCAAAGCACGGATGAGATATGCCACGTGTGAGGCCTGCAGTTGGACCAGTCCCTTATCAGCCGCAGAAATCCTTCTCTGTTTCTTACATAGTAATTGTATTTCGGACGATATTAAGCCTCCCACAAGCGCCCTGCTAGGTTATTATACATGTACCTACCTAAGGTATGTAGAGGCGAATAAGTATCTAAAGGAAGTATGTAGGTAGGTATGTACATAAGGAGATATTAAAGGAATGCCTAGCATGGTACGTACTACGTAGGCATGTAAAGAGAAACGGGCAACCCCGGGGAAACCAGGGCGAGTCAGTAATTGGAACTTTTAAAGGACCTCGAGCCTTTTTTTTCTGCTGCGGCAGGGCATCTCACGCCGTCCACCATTCCAGACGCAACTATAGGAACCCTTTTGCCGGGAAGCTGCCTCGCCGCTCCCACGATTCCACGCGTTTTTGAAGGGTGGATGAAACGCGATCCGGTGTAAATAACAGTACATGCATACACACATACATACACACGTACAAAATATTAATTGCCCGCATGGCCTCCTCCTCCCTAGCCGGCGGCCAGAGAGCCTCAGCACAGCATCCCTTTCGTATTCCCCGTGCGTGCATGCTTTTTCCCAAGCAGGATGGAGATGTGGCTCGGCTGCAATTCATGCATGGACCCCGAGCGTATGGAATACGAGCAGAAGTTATTCTTGTTCTCGACCCCTCGTGGAGACACATTTGGTGATGAAAAATAAATATTCCTTTTTTTTTTCTGCAGTTAGGCATGTATTATAACACACCTACTTTATGTATGTATATACTTACATACATACATACATATATCCATGCATCCATCTAATGAGGTAGCCAACAATGGCTTGAGAACCAATTTGAAACTGCGTTACATGGCCATCCAATAACCGTACAGAGGGTGACAGTCGGCGATCACAGCTAGGGTTAGGTACTACGAATTGCAACTTAAAACCAATATACCTGTGTAATATTTCGGCCACAAGAGGGCAAGAAAGGGGTCTCGAGTACCGATACTTTAGATTTCTGTCTTACTTTTGTAAGTAAGCAAGGTCTCTTCTGCGATGCATTAAACACGTGGGAAAGAGGTGTGACAGAAAGCCCAATAGAACTCAATCTTTGCATGCGATGAAGCGATGAGGGTAGGAATTCCACGAGACCAAGCACACTTTACCCAACCTAGCCGAGCAGCATGAGTAAGAACTAAACTTAGCTCACTCAGTCGACCTTGGTTACCATGCCTATGATTGGATAGGGGTCATTGATGACTCTTGGATTTGAAAAATAGGCGAATACCCCAAGGCTTAGTCTGGGAAAAGTCGAATGGGAATACTTGATGTCGTTGGGTGATACATGTAACCTACATACATGTGAGTCCCTGAGAGGGCGCCCCCCCTTTTCCCTTGAATCTCAATCAATCAATCAATCATGCACGCACCTGGTGTTGTTCAACCTGTGATATTGCTCTGTATTATGAATTGAAGCATGTTTCATCGAGATGTGAGAAAAGGGGGGACTTGTGTAAAAGAAAAGAATAATACTCCAAAACGTATCCAAACATACCTAGGTAGGTATCCTGATGAATAATAGATATAACATATACCTACCTATACATATGTATGTAGGTATGACACCACGTATTCAAGAAATTCACCGATAGGCGTTACATCGCCAACTCAAAAGGACGGTGAAAAAAGTCTAGGACCTAGGTCTATGTAGGTATAGGTAGGTAGGACTCCGATTCCTCAATTCAGGGACGTCACCTATAGCTGGAACGTTCCGGCATAATTCCCATTCCCAGATCCATTGCCCCAAAGAATTGGTGATAGTTAATTGGACTTTGAGGTGTTGAACTTTTCAAATTCTTTCCTAGAAGAGGTGGTGTGTCTGCATGGTGATGGAGATATGAATGTGACTGCCGGTCCAATTGATAGGGCACAAGTCGCTGGTTCTCCAGTCACAGACAGCTGCCCTTTTGGGGTCGGTTTTTGACGATATAACTATCATAAAATATCATAAATGATCATTGGCTTTTCCTCGATAAAAATAATCAAAAAATTGATGATGATGATGAATTGATTGTCTTGATTGTACTAGGTTAGGTAACTAGTAACTACCTAGGTACTGTATTAATCAGTTCAGTTTAAACATTGAAGGTCCGTGATCCGACAGAGATAACAAACAGCATGATCCCTGGACATCTGTGTACTTGAATCTACTTGAATCTAACCATTGACCAATTTGACCTATGCATTTTGAGTCTAATGAAGCTTATGTGGATCCATTTTTTAGGGCATCTAGGCATTTCACGTGTGAAAGAGCACAGACTTGAAGACTAAAACATTAAACTAGATCATTGATGAATCCCGGAGTAAGAACCCACTAATCATAAGATACTTGCTGCATCACGCTATCTGTGCTATAATATGCAAGTAGAATATCTTAATAGATGACCTGTGCACGTAGCTATAGCGCAATCATATGCGCTCTCGAAGCGGCATAACCCGGTGTTGCGGTGCCACAAAACGGTTTGAGCGCATACATCATACCTAGTAGCTTGTACACTCTACAACGAGTCTACATATTCCCAGTACTTATTACCTATCAACCTGGCACATAATGTAAGTGTAGGACTACATGTAGGTACAGATACGAGGGTACCCTCCCCCTGCTTTCCTCTAGTGCACATTACTACCCCCCCTGCTCCCATTCTACCCATCATTCTACCTAGTACCCATGCTGCAAGGGTCTACAACAATAGCAACAATGCATACCGCCAATCAATTGGATGAATCTTTCCATTGACCATTAAAAAGGTTCAGCCCTTCGGGGCTCTTGGAACCATTTGGGGAATTTTGAAGGAAATAATTGATTGAAAAAAAAGTCGCAGTACGCAGTACGCAGTACATACATAGCAGTAGCATCCTAGGTACGGTGAAAGAACCCAAGACCCTGTCCCGCCGAGAGGAATTCGAGAACGATGATTGATTGAATTGGAACATATTGACCCTATTTTTTATTATTTTTTTTTGTTTCCTCCTCGTCATCAGAGTCACATAATGAGCCTCGCCGGTGTAAATCCCGTTAAACTCCTCCATTGATTGCCGTTGCGTAGCTACTAAGTTAAGCTACCCGCACTTTACCAAACTTACTTCCTCGTCCTCGATCTATTCTAGAAGCTTTTTATTTTATTTTTATCTTTAATCTTCCCGACTTGAAAAAAAGAGAAGAAGAGAAATCTACATCTTAACAAGGTGAATTGACCATCGTCATTGTCACTGTCGTCGTCTACTTAACCATTATTTTCGTTGCTCTCTTTGATACCTACCTACCCACCTACCTATCTACCTGTTCACTTCCCTGGTCTGGAATGAGAAACTTGGTTTGATATTTGCCTAATTACGAAACAGTTACTTGGTAAGCATTATTACATTACTACTACCTACTACCTACTACCTACTACCTACCATCTACGGATGTACTACCACTTTCAAATGTTGTGTCCATATCGTCAATCTATTCATTAAAGTCTCATTTAACTACTTCCTTTGTGTTGAAAATAACTACACATTACATCACTTTCCCAGTGACGTGTGTACAAACAACATAGATCCTACACCTACTACTAGGTAGTCTGACCTCACCAAGGACCCTGATTGCATTATTGGATATGGTAACGCGATTACTACATCTTCACTTATGTCCAACACCTTTCTGCTTTTACCTCTCATGATTTCTTATATACATACCTGGAGTACCTACCAATCCCACCTTACACTAGCCAGTACCCTTGGGTTACCTTATCCCATCTGCCTACAACCTAACCTAGGTTATATACCCACTTGGTATGTATTGTACCTACATATCCGTCATGTTTTCCTTTACTCCATTCCTCCTCAAACCTGTAATCTGTTTGGCTTCATTTTCGAGAACATCGATCGCATTGTGCGCGCCGTGGGTTTGAGGATCCGCCCGTCTTGCTCTTCACCTACGTCAAGCGACATACAAACATAAGATACCACAGCAGCCACTGATCAACTCACCTACTACCTAGTACATACCTAATAGGTTGGATACTAGAGGTAATTGATAACTTGCGAATCTGGTATGCAATGTCCCCTCACCCTGGCAAAAGAAAAGAGAAAAAAGAAAAAGAAAAAGGCACTTAAGTGGGAAGAGAAAAGAAGGACAGCGGAATGTATTCATGAATTAGTTCATGTTTATTTCATTTCTTCATTTCAAACTTCTTTCTACCTTCAATACTTCAATATTGGGTCTCTTAGATACTAGTCGTACCTAGTAGGTATAGTATCAGTATCTGCCTACCAAGGGTACCCAGATGTAATCCATTCCGGTACATATTCAATGTTGGATCTTCAATGAGGGTTGCTTACACTCACTACCTACATAAGTAATCACTACTGGATCTCACCCGCCTCAAACTGCGCCATCTTGTTTTTTAATGTTGAAACTGCCCGTTTTCTTTATCATTCACTCGTCATTCCCCCTCTAAACTCAATTCGCATCTTGAGTTAGACTTGAACTTACTGATTTCGAGCTAATCGCTAACTGTCTGCCTCTCTGTTTCTCTCTCTATAGGTACCTTGGATCTAAATCTTCTAAGGCTGTCAACAAATTTTGTCATATCTTCCTCCTTCGCCATTACCATCCAGTCGAAACTGTTTATATTTCGCTTACGAGCTTCGCCCAGCCTCAGCCTCTATAAAGGCCTCCAAGCCACTTTCGAGCTGCTATACCTACCAACATATAGTGCTTATTATCGAAGTTGCGACAATACCTACCTACCTACCTAGGTACCTAGCAATCCAAGCTATCTCATCAAACAAAGAACAGCTGTGGTTACTAGACGAACTCTACCAGCTACATACTTCATTGTACGACATCTGGAACACTGAGAGCAAATAGCTAGCTCACTTACATCTATTCGATTCTAAACTGAACCGTCGTAGCGACAGCATGTGCCTTTGGCATTAATTGTCGCAAACTATCTAGGCGCTCTATTTCGATATAGATCGCCAACTTTTTTTCTTATTTAAGCAAACCTGTTCATCCGCCACACTGGCTCCCAATCCAGCACTCCCTTTCTCCATGATGGGTGCTTGTATGAGCTCCAATAAGGAGGAGGAGGAACAAAAAAAGCGAAGCCAAGCTATCGACCGTGCGCTTGACGAGGACTCTAAGAGACTACGACGAGAATGCAAGATTCTTCTGCTTGGTGAGCTTCCCTCTATCTGCGCCTACTGACTCTACTATAAATATCCATGGATATGTTCATATGCCTAGGTATCTACCTAGGCGTCGGTATAACATCATACTAACGAGGTTTATTCACAAGGGTCCGGAGAGAGTGGGAAATCCACGATCGTCAAGCAGATGAAGATCATTCATCTCAAGGGCTACTCTGAAGATGAGCTGTACAATTATCGCGCAACCGTTTTCAAGAACTTGATCGAATGCGCCAAAGCCGTTATTATTGCTATGGAACAATTCGATATCGAGCCCACCAACCCGGAAACCAAGGGCCATGCAGACTATCTGCTTGGCTACACCGTCGAGTCGGGTCCCTCGGCACACATCGAACCAAAGGTGGCCCTAGCTGTACAGGCTCTGTGGCATGACCCTTGTATCGAGCGACTCATGCAACATTCTACCGAGTTTTATTTGATGGACTCGGCTGAGTAGTAAGTTCCGAACATCAGCATTGGAGTTGTGTGCTATGTGCTAAATAACTGGTATAGCTTCTTCGACGAAGTCACCCGAATATGTGCTCTCGATTACCTACCGAACGAGATGGACGTCCTTCGCGCCCGAACCAAGACCACGGGCATCTACGAGACCCGATTCCAGATGGGCGCTCTTAGTATCCAGTAAGCCATCCAATATTGCAGCAGCCTGGGACGACACAGGTTCTAACTTTTTGGTGTTTAGCATGTTCGATGTTGGCGGACAACGAAGTGAGAGGAAGAAGTGGATCCATTGCTTCGAAAACGTAACGTCTATTATCTTCTGCGTAGCCCTCAGCGAATACGACCAGGTGCTCCTCGAAGAGAGCAGTCAGGTATGAGCTACACGCCCGTTGGAATAGGAGTTTTGGGTAGGCTAACATAGACTTAGAATCGCATGATGGAAAGTCTGCTGCTCTTCGACTCGGTTGTTAACTCTAGATGGTTCATGAGAACGAGCATAATATTGTTCCTCAACAAGGTTGACATCTTCAAGGTGAAGCTTCCTCGATCACCACTGGGCAATTATTTCCCAGACTACTCAGGGGGCAACGATGTCAACAAGGCTGCGAAGTATCTGCTCTGGAGGTTTAACCAGGTCAATAGAGCTCACCTAAATCTTTACCCTCAGTATGTTGAATATCCACATATGGAACTATTTAGCTTCCCGGTCAGCTACTAACATATTTATCTAGTTTGACTCAAGCAACAGATACCTCTAACATTCGATTGGTGTTTGCAGCTGTCAAGGAGACGATCCTCAACAATGCGCTTAAGGATTCCGGCATATTGTGATTTCGTTTCCTTTCGACGGCAAGGGCTCTGTGAGACCCAGCCACACCTTCTTTGAAGGCAAGATCCATGAAGCATTGGGACGGAGTTTATGGCAGGGAACTTGACATTTTTCCAATTTTCTTTTTTTTGTGTTCAAAATCTGTCTTTGTTTTTTCCTGCAAGGCGTCGGGGACTCAGCAATTTTAACAGGCTTTAATATGTTCAGGGCATTGGGAATGATATGAAATGGTGTCAGAAGAATCACAAGCACTACATAAGAGAGTTCTGGTGAGAGATGATCATTGTTTTCATCTAGGGGTTTAGACCGGGCTATGCAATGCTCCAGAGCCACTACATATACACCAACCCGATATGAGGTTGACGAAGAAGGAAGGGGCGCAAGCTGGACATGTCTCATTAGGAGGAGGTCCGAATGGCAAGGCGTCAAAAAGATGGGGTACCTAAATAGGTAGATAACCCTACTGGGCTTTGCCCCTATTAGTAGTAGGAAACTATCTACTCAGACACAATAAAATAAATCAACAAACCGGAGCACCGGAGCAAGTTCTACTAAGCTGGAGAGGAACAATATGACTTTGTTAACCTTGAGATAGGCACCTATCAACCAATGTACCTGCTGGCGTACGCATGAAACGGAACCGAGGATCGCATTGCGAATCTATGCATGCCGCTGATGTAAGTGAGCCCAGACGGACGATCATGTTCACAGAGGTAACATTCAAAAGCGTTATGACATAGGTAGCTGTGTCGAAAGATGCAGCAATATGCCAGGATGAGCACAAGCTGCAGATGCCGTGCCGGGTTCGCATGTTCCAATACCAGAGCCCGAACTATAGCGGCGCAGTGTATAGGATTCACATAAACAGAATATACATAGTAGATTCAAGATGTCGTTCGACATTTGGTATGTTCAAAGTTTGATATCGAGATGGTTGGTTCTACTTGGCCCCAGCCATCAAGCTAGACATCGCGCCCCTCCTCCTCTCCCCCCCTGAGCTAGCTAGTTCATACCTAGGTATACAAAGACCGGAGACTAAGTTGGGTACCTACCTATAGTAAGGGGCTACAATTCTAGAGGTCACAGGAATCCAAGGAATGGAGTCCACAAGGGTGATACTATATAAACATACCCCGCACTTTCTGCAGCTTCGTCCTTTGCGAAAAAGGTTGGCGTCGGGTCTCGTGAACTACATATACATGCATACATGTGTGATATGTTGGGCATATAAAGTAGGCACAGTAGGTACATAGGTATGTAATGGGTATACTAGCTAGGTAGGTAGGCACCATGTGTATACATAGACATTGAAGCTGCGCCTTCGGTTCGGACATCTTGGTAGCTACTGGGCATGTGCCTATATTCCTATAGTGATCGCAACTACCATTGATGGGTGCTCGAACATGGTTTCTTGCAGCTTCTCACAACATTTGAAGTTGCTTCATCGTCATCATGCTTTAAGCTGCTGGTGGCATGTTTTTTTATTTGTAGGTCGAATTCTTTAACGACTCACTTTTCTTTTCCACCCCCCCTCCCCCCTGCAAGGCCGTATCCACCATCGAAAGGTATTATACAAACTACCTGCCTACAGACCGGTGCCTTCCTACCGCGAGTGCTAGTAGTGGGATTGGATCAAAGAGTAGTAGTTATTAGTAGTAGTAATGGTGTAGTGTTTGGTTGATATATATAGGTAGGTAGACAACCAGTCTATATACCCCCTTTTCCCTTCCCTTAACTTTCATTTCGACTTTTTAAATACTTCCAAGGTTAGCTGACAATATTGCTTTCCTTTGTTTGTTATTTGAGCTATATACTTCTATTCTCCCTTGTTTGTCGTGAAGTCCATCATACTACATACTACATACTATATTATTATATCGTTAGAACTAGGTAGCAGCAGTATAGTAGTAGGTACAGAAGCATAGCACACAGGTAAGTTGCTATACCCCGCGGCGATCCTCTTTTTTTTTTTTTTTACAAACCAGGAACCAAAGCTCTCCGTCCCCCCCGAACTCCTTCCTCTAATCACAAGCTTGGGAGCTCCCATATTGCATCTTCATTGAACGAAAGAACCCCGCCCCCTCATTCCTATCCCTGCTTCTTTCTTGCTTCTTGCTTATCGTTGGGCTTGAAGAGCTCCAGTCTCTCCTTCAGTCTATGTCTTTCTATAAGTTCGACCTAATCAAAATTGTATGTAAATTCATTCATCTCGCCATTATTCAAATTGCCCTTCTTAATTCTCACTTCTAAACTGATACACTAACCTACGTAGATAATATAGTCTAGTAGTATCTGGCTCTTTGTCCTACGACTGATCTATCCCTTCGTTCCCCCATATCCGAAGGCAAGCCTCGGACCTATAAGCCAGAAAAGATGGCGTCAAACGAACAACGTCTACCAACCAGGGAACGCCGCCCCTCTACAGCTGCACCTATTGTCGACATAGTCGGATCGGTCAGCCCCGCAGGCATCTCCCGCCCGAAACATAAACGCACATACACTGGCTTTGGAGCTAGCGATATCAAAAATGTCGAAGGTTAGTTAGTTAGTTCGTATAGTTGAGAGTGGCACTACTATTTTCTCTCCGGTTTCTTTTCTTGCTTTTTCTTTCCTTCTTTTCTACTCTCGTGATGTCGATCACTCTAAATATAACTACCCATACCCTACCTTACCTATCTACGATATACCCATACCATACCATACCATACCATACTACATACTGACCCTAGTATCCTTGTATAGCGGCGATCCCCGAGCCTCAACGCGAAGTATGGACCAAACACCAGTTCGAAGGCTTCAAGAACAAGGAAGAGTTCGAGAAAGAGGTCGTTCGCCATGTAGAGACCACCTTGGCCCGCAGCATGTTCAACTGCGACGAGTCAGCTGCCTACTCAGCGACCAGCTTGGCCTTCCGAGATCGTTTGATCAAAGATTGGAACAAGACTCAGCAACGCCAGACGTTTACTGATAGCAAGCGTGTCTACTATCTCAGTTTGGAGTTTTTAATGGGACGTGCTCTGGACAATGCCATGCTGAACATTGGCGCCAAGACCACTGCGAAGGGTAAGAACCGGCCAATCCATGCCTTGCATGTGCTGTGCATCCTCGTATGACGAATTAAATAAACCCTGACTAACCCACGATAAATAGATGGTCTCGCCGAGCTCGGATTCCGCGTTGAGGATATCATTGGCCAGGAACACGATGCTGCCCTGGGCAATGGTGGTCTTGGGCGGCTCGCAGCTTGCTTCCTGGACAGTCTTGCCTCGCTCAACTATGCCGCATGGGGGTATGGCCTAAGATATCGCTATGGCATTTTCAAGCAAGAGATTATCGATGGGTACCAGATCGAAGTTCCAGACTACTGGCTGGACTTCAATCCCTGGGAATTCCCAAGACATGATGTCACTGTCGATGTGAGTATCCTTTCTTTCTTTCTTTCTTTCTAAACGATTAAAGAAAGATGATTAGTTTTAACGGTAACAACTAGATTCACTTTTATGGCAGTGTTCGCAAAACTCAGGACGAGAATGGGAAGACAGTGGCGCACTGGGAGGGTGGTGACACCGTTACCGCCGTAGCCTACGACGTGCCAATCCCCGGCTACGACACCCCTTCGACGAACAACTTGCGACTGTGGTCCAGCAAAGCGGCCAGCGGCGAGTTTGACTTCCAGAAGTTCAACAGCGGAGAATACGAGAGCTCAGTGGCAGACCAGCAGAAGGCTGAGACCATCAGTGCTGTCCTGTACCCCAACGACAACCTAGACCGTGGAAAGGAGCTGCGTCTCAAGCAGCAGTACTTCTGGGTTGCCGCATCACTGTACGATATTGTCCGCCGCTTCAAGAAGACGAAGCGTGCCTGGAGCGAGTTCCCCGACCAGGTTGCCATTCAGCTCAACGATACCCACCCGACGCTGGCCATCGTGGAGCTTCAGAGGATACTAATTGATATTGAAGGCCTTGAATGGGACGAGGCGTGGCAAATAGTTACCTCAACCGTAAGTTATGCACCTACATGCGTATGGTCTACATTAGATTGTACTCGCTAACTCTGTCTTCAGTTTGGATACACCAACCACACAGTCCTGCCCGAGGCACTCGAGAAATGGCCCGTTACGCTGATGCAAAATCTCCTCCCCCGCCATCTCCAGATCATCTACGACATCAACCTCTTCTTCCTGCAGTCCGTAGAGAAGAAGTTCCCCGATGACCGGGACATGCTGCGCCGCGTCTCGATCATCGAAGAGTCCCAACCCAAGATGGTGCGCATGGCGTTCCTGGCGGTCGTGGGCTCGCACAAGGTGAACGGCGTGGCGGAGCTGCACTCGGACCTGATCCAGACGACGATCTTCAAGGACTTCGTGTCGATCTTCGGCGCGGACAAGTTCACGAACGTGACGAACGGCATCACGCCGCGCCGGTGGCTGCACCAGGCCAACCCGCGGCTCTCGGAGCTGATCCACAGCAAGATCGGCAGCTACGACTTCCTGAAGGACCTGACGCTGCTCAACAAGCTCGAGCAGTACGTCGACGACAAGGCCTTCCGCAAGGAGTGGGCCGAGATCAAGTACGCCAACAAGGTCCGCCTCGCCAAGTACATCAAGACCACCACCGGCGTCACCGTCAACCCCGCCGCCCTCTTCGACGTCCAGGTGAAGCGCATCCACGAGTACAAGCGCCAGCAGCTGAACATCTTCGGCGTCATCTCGCGCTACCTCAAGCTGAAGGCCATGAGCCCCGAGGAGCGCAAGAAGCAGCTCCCGCGCGTCTCCATCTTTGGAGGCAAGGCGGCGCCTGGGTACTGGATGGCGAAGCAGATCATCCACCTCGTCAACAACGTGGGCAGCGTGGTCAACAACGACGCGGACATTGGCGATCTGCTGAAGGTGGTGTTCCTCGAGGACTACAATGTCAGCAAGGCCGAGATGATCACGCCGGCGTCGGACATCAGCGAGCACATCTCGACGGCGGGGACCGAGTAAGTTATACCTGAGGATTTTTTTTCTTTTTTTTTTTTTTTTTTGATGATGATTAGTGTGGGGTGTGGAGTTGGAGCGATGGGATGGGCTAACACGAGCGATAAAATAGGGCGTCGGGAACCAGCAACATGAAATTCGTGCTGAATGGCGGGCTGATCATTGGAACGTGCGACGGCGCGAACGTAAGTCTCACCACCCCCCAATCTTTCCTTTTATTCCTTGACCGAGTTTCTCACGACCCTCCCCCCAGATCGAAATAACCCGCGAAGTCGGACAAGAGAACATCTTCCTCTTCGGGACGCTCTCGGAAGACGTGGAGGACCTGCGGCACGCGCACAACTACGGCACGCACGCCGTGGACGCCTCGCTGTCGGAGGTGTTCGACGCCATCCAGAGCGACGCCTTCGGCAGCTCGGACGACTTCAACGCGCTCGTGTCGGCCGTGCGCGACCACGGCGACTACTACCTGGTGTCGGACGACTTCCAGTCGTACCTGGACACGCAGCGCATGGTGGACGACGAGTACAGGAACCAGGACGAGTGGGTGTCGAAGTGCATCCGCAGCGTTGCGCGCATGGGCTTCTTCACGAGCGATAGGTGCATCAATGAGTATGCCGAGGGCATCTGGAACGTGGAGCCGCTTGCGGTTTAGGGAGGAGGTGAGGGGCGTGGGCGTGGGCGGGGGGTGGGGGTTGCGAGATGGGGGAGGGGGTGTCTACTTACGTAGGGGCTTGGGCGCTACGTAAACCGGGACTGGTCTGTGGGAAAAGCTATAACCTACCTACCTGGAAGCCTCTAGGGGAAGAAGCGGTTACGATAGTTTAGCTCACGTACACGGAATTAAGAGCTGAGAGGTTACGAACGCATGGGATGGATGGATGGGTTGGTAAAGGGGACTACTACTACTACGACTACGACTACGATTACTGCTGCCCCTATATCACGGAGGTTTGGTGCGAGGAGGGCTGTGAGGGAAAGAAAGAGGGAAAGGGGAACGTACATGAACGAATGGTATTCTTTGCGTGTTGGTTATACCTACTTACTTAGTTACTTGCCTACCTAGCCTACTTATCCACCTATTTGAGTATTCTTAAAACATTGGTTTTTCTTATTGAGGCCTGTGATTATGTATCTGACTTGATTTGAGGTTAGCTTGGGTTGGGTTTATCTTGGGGTGTTGGTAAGAGGCTGTATGTCTGTTTATATGAATTTGTAGCAGATATTTATACATGTGTGCTTTTCTGTTGCTTGGGTACCTAGGTATGTAGGTATCGTAGCGGGAACCCCCTAGGTTAACCTACTCTACTCACGAGAACCATTCTAAACTTCATTATCCAATGAATCCACGCATCCATCCCAATGATATAAATTGGGAGAAATTGGGTTTCCGAACTAGAATGATTCTAATGAATAGGGGGTTCCTGCTACTAGGTCTCTAGGTATATAAAGGGTCTAAGAAGGTCAGTTTCACGGGCACAGGTACGGTAACGGTAGGTAGGTAGGTAGGTAGTATTAGATCCATGGATGTGTTGTCTTAGAGCAACGCTGGCCACTTGCCGACTAGCCGTGTAGGCACATAGGCACGTCGATACTTAGACACTTGGATACTTACCTAGGTAGGTATATGGGCATGAAGCGCCGTCGGGGTTGGTGATCTAGCTAAGCATACATTTTAAGAAATACCTAGGCTAGGCAAGTACGCAACTATAACCCCTGAAGTCCCTCGTTTACCTAGGTCCAAATTGCTATGAATGGCATTTCATGAATGTATCGGCAAATAGGCACCCAATTTGACACTTCGATTTTCCCATGCCACATACATGTAAGTGTCTACCTAGTTAGGTGGATAGATACGCGAGCGAGTGATGTCACCGAGCATACGGCGTGGGCATACATGCATAGCTACATGCCATGTAGCTATGTAGTATCCTGAAGTGTTCCTCCACGTCCTCCGCATCCCCCACAGCCCTCGAGATAAGTAGTAATGTGTAGATAGTTACTATGTTAGGCAGGTACCTAGTCAGGTACTTGGCAGTTTGGTTTTTTTCCCCTTCCTTTGAGTCTCGAAGAGGGCGTAGGTGTGTGTAAGAGAGGTGGCAAAACGCGTGTCGGTGTTGATTAACTTCACATACAAACCTAGGTATCCTGGCTTGTGGCGGAATCAGAGATTTTTTTTTCATGTGTTATTGCTACTATGGTTACTATTTTTTTTATTTTTTTTCGTTGGTTCGAAAAAACATTACATAGCATTTACATCGTTAGAGGAGGGAGGAAAGAGGGGATCTCTTGGCTGATCTACCAGCCTTATGGGATAATGATCGTCAGGGTCCAGGGAGGGTATTCGATGTGCCTTTTTTATGTATAGTTATGTACATACATGTGTGAATAAGAGAGACGGAGATAGAGAGAGAGAGAGAGAGAGAGAGAGAGATAAGTAGAGATAGTAGAGATAGTAGAGATAGTAGAGATAGGTAGTACTTCAGGGTAGTCATGGGGTATTAATGACGACATTTCAGGGGTCTTTTTTTTTCTTCTTCTCTCCTTTCGTGTATGTTCGGGTTGGGTGTTGAAGAGATCTCATTAATGGTAGTTGTTAAACGCCGTCATGAAATTTATTTCTCATTAAGCCTGTGCTTCTGAAGAATGACGTCAACCCTGGGTTGGGGTACCCGTATCCCTCCACCTCTTGGATAACTACTGGACATCGATTAGAAAAAAAGAAAAGGTGCTGGATTAGGTAAGTTGTGTGGGGTAGGACAAGGTTTCATTATGCGTTACTATTTCACCTTTTTTAACTTTCCAGTCTTCTATCTACTTGCCTATCCAGATGTACTATCTCTCCTACTTAGTCCTACTAGATAGTAGTAGATAGTAGTAGACACACTAGGTAAGGTACTTTCACCTTGCCCTAGGCATTAGGGAGCCAAAGCTCCGGTTCGCATATGCCAACATTGAACATAAGAAAACTCAATGCATCCTCGTCTGACTCCAAATGCATGCATGGAACACTCCAGACAACATTGAAGGCATTAATTATCCAACCCTGCATATCAACTTCACGGCGTGCGCTTCGGCGTCGAAGCTAGGAGGTCTGCTTGTGTAGATGCGATACGTCATCCACGGGACTTCTCTCTACGTTGCTCCTCAATGTTGTAATTATTCTTTATATTTTCTTAAGCCTCTCGTAAATCAAACTCGTTGTGGCTTTCCTACCTAATTAGGTAGTGGTGAACCGAGGAGCGTTCTGCGCATACATACCTAGGTTAGGTACGTAAGGAATGGAATAATTAGGTAATATTAGCTAGGTAATATCATTATTGGTATTTTCAGACCCGCTTCGTCCAAATCCCATTAGCGGGGTTGTTGTCGTTGGTTAGGTATTTTTTGGTGTGATTAACTAAGGGTTGTGAAGGGATATCAAGTCATGAGCCCTTTTTCTCTGCTTCTCTCCCCCGGTCAGTTCGGCTCATGCCATATGCCTTCTTAATGTACCGGGGGATTGAGGCTGACAGCGGTATACGTATCGACGATGGGGCACGTACGGCTCGATTGTCGGATGCCCTGGAAGAGTTTAATGCAGTACATACATCGCCAGGATGCTAAGGCTCCCATGTACCCGTTTTTTCTCACCCTCAATCCGCAACTATTTCTATAATAGGTACGGAGTACTACGTACCTAGTTTCGAGATTTACTGGAGGTGCTAGAGGTGATGTCTACATACTATGTATGTAAGGATGAATAACTACAAGGAATATATCGCAAGCGCGTGGCTATCATATTATGTCATTAGGTATCTACCAAGTTCAATGTTAGGTTACTTACTGTAGGTATGTATATCATCTATAATATCTGGTATTATAATACATATGTACATAATAATACCTATTAGTAGGGTATATCATGGATCTTAACTGACTTGTCAGGGATATCTTATGTTACACACGATAAGTACCTGGGCAATGTCCTTTAAGAGCATGCTAACATTGAAGTGACAGGGCAGGCATGTATGCAGAAGGAGAGGGGCAGAGTGCTAAGAGGATTATCAAGTGACGTCATTATTTTTCGGTGATGAAAACAACGCCATCTCATTGGTTTGTTAGTGCTTGGTTGTATACCAATCTTGAGGCATCTCCTTTCTTACTGGTACTATGTAGTATTAACTCTTTATTATCACGCATCTCAGATGTGGCTTGTCTATATCTAGGTATTGGATGTATGTGAGATGCCCCTTGTGGAGATAATGACCCGCTTGATATCTGTACGACTAGCTGTGCGTCAAGTGATTTCTTACTCACCAATCCATCTATCTTGGGTATCTTGGGTATCTTGGGTATCTCGTGGGAAATAAATCGCTGCCTGCTTGCCTGCCTATCCTTCGAATAGAAAGCCGAAGGAGAAATGGAAACCCATGCCGAGAACCCAGGTTCATCGGCGTTATTAGCCTACCATCAGAGTCACATTCGCTCAGGAAAAAGAAGAAGAAAAAAAAACAATTGTCCCATTTTTGAACTTCTATTCAACAAAATTCATCTCTTGTGGTTTGTTCCCTGCATGATTGTACCGTGTTTAATACTTTTGATGGCATGTGTGGTGGGCTGCGGGGTGTGGGTGAGGCTAGGAAAGCTACCATTATTCGACAATGACTGGTCAGCTTGGTGGCATCAAATAAAAGATAGCCTCTTCAAGCAACGATGCAACCCATAAGGAAGAGAGATGTGTCGACAAATATGAGACGGCGGCCGGGAACCATAAATCTTATACGATCTATTCTATCTCCATTCTCTCTAGGTTAAAGTAGGCATACATGTCTAGGTTAGGTAAGTTTCACATTGAAGATGTTAAATATTGGATAGTTCAAATAGTTGTCGTTTGTAGCTTTAACGGGCCGATCCTCTCTTTTGGTGCAACCTATCCCCATACCTAGTACTCCATACAACTCCCACCCATTCATCAACCCCTATTTATATCGTCGGCATTGGCTGTCGACGGGTGCCAGCAGAGATCGACGCCGTTATTGTACCCTCCATACCTCCATACTGAACAGTTTCCTTGGGACGACATTCGTGCTAATTCCTCGTCCCCTGTTTTGCGGTATGTTGTACTGTGTATGTTGCGGGTAAGCGCTTGATCTCGCTGTTCACATGTTTTCTATTGCTATTCATAGCACTTGAGATAGATAGGCACCTACCTACCCATGGATACCCTTTAGACTATTGACCTTAAGAAGAGGCTATCTGGTACGAAGAACATACGTAAAGACAACTTTACCTACCTGCCTCAAGGTTTGGCTCAATCTTTCGTATTGCAACATAATGCTAAGCATGTCAGTGGGGTACATTGCCTACATACATCTATGTAGTTACTAATTAATAGCAAATAACCATGTTTGATGTGCTTTTTTATCTTTCTAACCTTTAGTACCAATTCTTTCGAGATTTCGCCTAGGTTAGGCTATTTTTCCATAGATACTGCAACACAACAAGTAGATTTAATAACGCATCCCATAGTAATAAGAGAGACTTGATATTTGCTTATTTTTTTCTATTTTTTTTTTCTAAAGACAACAACTGTCATTTCGGTATTTACAATTTACCTATGCCACTGGCTTTGATCCTGAGCAATACCAAATCCAAATCTAACTTGACTAGACTCTACATAGTAGCCAGGTTTTGATTGGCTTTGGTAGAATACTGCCCAGATGCACGGTCTGTTTGCGCATTGAAAGGCTCAACAACTCCAAGAGAATCAATCTACTTAACTAGGTGGGTGCTGTGACAGCTGTAGGACAGTGCTCATCACCTGCGCAGTGTCAATTATACTAGGCCTAGGTATGTACAAATGTCCATGAACATACATATGTACATACAAAACTCAGCTATAATGTATATCTGCCTAGTGCAACTTCTAACAGGATATAAAAGATTGAAGTGATAGGCAGGTAAGTACTACTAGTAGTACATGTATGTAGGTACATGAGCATTGATACATATAGTACCTAGCAGCATCAAGCATTTACCTTGGATACGTGGATATATGTACCTATATATATGTACCTACATGGGATAGATGAAATATAGAATTTCTTCGATCGCGATCGCCACTAAAGACTGTCTTCGAATCGCCGTTCCGTGCGTGTTCCAAACCTTATCCACAATACAGCCCAAGCCCAACTTCGAACCTCGAAAATCCTGTTCTTACATCCCACTTTTTTCCCCATCCCCTTAACGGCATTTTCAATATTGCCCATACTATCCATAACATTCATACCATCCATACCTTCACATTGATTCTATTCTATTCTACTCTACTTAATTAACTAGACCGGGACCTTGTTCTATCTTGTCTTGTACTGTCTCGGTTTTTGTCTCTGATATCTAATTGTCGACTTGAAAGAAATCACTATTATCAACGAATACCTCTTACCTCTCTTACCATCCCAGACTACCTAACTTCAGCACTGGTACCTACACAGAAGACAAACTAACTGAATACGGCTTTTTATCTGTGCCCCTCGTTTTCCCTCCTCTTCCTCCTCACCCCCCTCGCTCCCCTCGATCGATAGCTATCAACAATCCCTCCATCTTCTCAACTTCTTTAGATCGACATCCGAAAACTTCAACCCCATTCCCCATCCTCCATCCTCCATCCCCCGTAACCCCCCCGCCTCCCCCAGATCACAACTCGCTATTCGCCATGGCCGAATTTGTGCGAGCCCAGATCTTCGGAACGACGTTCGAGATCACGTCTAGGTATGCTGCCTATTCGTAACCACCGTTTAAAACTTTCCGAATTGACGCAATATTCAACAGATACTCGGACCTACAACCCGTGGGCATGGGTGCCTTCGGTTTGGTTTGGTATGCTTTCCTATTCAACTTCTATCACTTCTGCGCTTTCGATCCTGGACGTAAAACTAATTAGCATGGAATGTCGCCGCACACAGTTCTGCAAAAGATCAACTCACCAACCAAAATGTGGCTGTCAAAAAGATTATGAAGCCTTTCAGCACACCCGTCTTGGCGAAGCGAACATACCGAGAATTGAAGCTTCTGAAGCATCTCAGACACGAAAATGTTGGTTTATTTTACCCTTTGTGGGATCAAAACCTAGGAAATAATGCTCATACTCGGTTCTAGGTCATCTCGCTCAGCGACATCTTTATCTCTCCCCTCGAAGACATGTATGCCTATTTCCATGAAAAGGATCCTTTACCTACAACACAACACTAATCCCATTACCAGCTACTTCGTTACGGAACTCCTCGGAACAGACCTGCACCGTTTACTTACCTCAAGACCGCTAGAGAAGCAGTTTATTCAATATTTCCTATATCAAATCATGGTGCGTGTTATCCTCCACTTTACATGGGGGTAAAGAATAAAGTACTCATAAGTTTGAATCACTAGCGAGGCCTGAAGTATGTCCATTCCGCCGGCGTCGTTCATCGTGACCTCAAGCCCAGCAACATCTTGGTCAACGAAAATTGCGACTTGAAAATTTGCGATTTCGGCCTTGCTCGAATCCAGGATCCTCAGATGACCGGATATGTCTCGACAAGGTATTATCGTGCGCCGGAAATTATGCTCACCTGGCAAAAATATGACGTGGAAGTCGATATCTGGAGTGCTGGGTGTATCTTTGCCGAGATGCTGGAGGGAAAGCCTTTGTTCCCTGGAAAGGACCACGTCAACCAGTTCTCCATTATCACCGAGCTCCTCGGCACACCCCCCGATGATGTTATCAACACAATCGCGAGCGAGAACGTGCGTTGAAACCACATCCACTATTTAGGGATTGTTGCTTATCAAAGACTGTGTAGACTTTGCGATTTGTGAAATCGCTACCAAAGCGGGAGCGGCAGCCACTGGAGAAGAAGTTTAAGAACGCGGACCCCGCAGGTTAGTTAACACTTACATACTTGCCATGATACATGCATAGTTTCTATGAAGACTAACACTGGACAGCCGTGGATTTACTTGAACGCATGCTCGTATTCGATCCCAAGAAGCGAATCACCGCCGCCGATGCTCTAGCACACGAGTACCTCGCGCCTTACCACGACCCTACTGACGAACCCGTCGCGGAAGAGAAATTCGACTGGAGTTTCAACGATGCTGATTTGCCTGTGGATACGTGGAAGATCATGATGTGAGTATCTCTACGCCCTTTACACTGATGGCGATTCGGTGGGAATTGTAGGGAAGACGGCCACCACTAACACAAGCGAGGCAACAGGTACTCGGAGATTCTTGACTATCACAATGTGGAGTCTAGCCACGTTGGAATTGAGGACCAGTTCAATGGTCAGTAGAAGGCGCTGCAGATCATAGACTGGTTTTGCGGACTGCAAACATACTGTACGGCAACGATACCATGGTTTAAGGCAATTTGCATATAAATGCATACAACCCCAGACTTGATTCATGTCCCGGCGTTTCGAGACTGGGTTATGGCTTGGACTGCGTCATGCATGATTTTCTTTCAACGGAGACGGGAGACTTTCCTCATTAGCCGGAGCACAAGAAGGGCGGGAAATATATAAGGATTTGCATTCAGCTGCTGACGGATAGGAGCAGCCAGGGCTTACGCGGTGGTAATATAAAGCGTTTGACATGGGGAAGAGCACGCGATTGTTGGAAACATTTGTCTTCTTTTCGGCCGGGCGGCGAGTACCTATGGGGGTTTGGGAAGTTGACGACATGGAACAAGGCATTCAACCCCAACGTCCTAAATTCAAAGAACACTCGACCGTGGATGGCGCGCGAAACAACCAGGGGTTACTTGTGGGGACGACTTCGAACAGAAGGACGGTTTCACACAAACTTGACATAGATCATGGACGTTACGGTGACACGAAAAGAAAGTAAAAGTAATAGAAGGCATTTTGCCATGAAATATCGTTGGTCGACATCTATCTGCTGTGACTGAGGCGCCACTTATTCCCTCGGCTAGATGACGTGTCTTAGGGTGATGTTTTAATTATTCACCGAGGATGGCCTTCAAGAGTCTACTGAGAATCAGTGTTTAAGCACCTATCTGCCTACATAGGCATGTAGAGCATAGGTCGCATGGCTATGGTATGGTGGTGGCTGGCTAGGGGTAAGTGATCACTTCGCATCGAGCTTTGTTCGTGGTCTACTGACCCATTTAGGACCTGGTTGATGGAGGGTCTGTGAACCTCATCTAATTTCTAGCGCTGACCTAGTCATACCCGTTCATAGCGCAACAGAAAATTTCCGCGACGTAAGCGTTCTATTCTGTTCTGTTCGTTGCATCTCCACAAGAGACAGAGCCTTCGATATATCTACGCTGACTAAGTTCGTTTTTCGACATTTCGATTTCGATAAACGAGGTTACTCGGATACCTACCTACCTATGGTAGATAGTCAACAAGATAATCCGATTCACCTTACCAAGGTGGCGTTGAGGTGGTGGATAAGGGGTGTCAAATAGGGGGAAGGGGAAAAGAGGAGAGGGGTACTTATATCGAATATTGTGGATACTCGCGGATGGGAGGATGGGGAGTTTGCTTCCCGGTGTCTATATTCCATGGTGTCTAGACTCTACCTAACTCCTCAGGCACCTAGGTGCTCAGTGTCAGGTACGCACTCGTTATATCGATTGGTTGGTACCTACAGGCATGTTAACGATGCGGTAAATGGGAGAGGATTTGCCTTCGTGGCCTACCTAAGGAGAAATAGAATAGGGGTATGTCGTAGAGAGCTGTCTGAGGTCTATGTGTTCCTAGGTCAGATACTGTGGATAAAGACTTCCTGGCGATAGGGGGGTCTTACATGCCTGCCTAGGCAGGTAGTAGGTATACATCAAACCTCAGACAGCATACATGGCGATACTCTCAACCGTTCCCTCTTGCCTCTTTTTCGGGCCAGCTCGTGTCTGACGCCTTTTCCCTTTCGTTGTGAAAAGGAGGGGGGTTTGGCAACCATTGCTTCCCCCTGTAGTTCTGAGTTGTTTAGGTTCCGGTGAGAATACCTAGGTATACTATATGGTATGTTGCTTTTCAATATTGGCCTTGTTCGGGTAGATGGAGTCGCTACACCTTGGAGGGAGGTCGCTTACAAGAGTTGTTGTTTTCCGTCCTCCTGCTCCCGCCTTCGAGCTGTCCGGGTTATATGAGAGGGGGGGTGGGGGCACAGGAGGTGGTAGTGAGTTGGGCACCCATCAGGTATGGGGTTCATGGGCTGAACGGACTTCGGGGATTCTTGGATGATTAAATTACTTCCTGGCCTCTTGTGGAGGGTAGTTTGGTCGCCTTCATGGTATATGCCTTTCTTTGGCCGGTGGATAGGTACCTACCTACGTTTCCCGCGGCTGAAGACTCTTGGGTTGAATGGCCGGGATGATGGCTGAGAACCCCTGACCAAGTAGTTAGTTGGGAAGTTCGGATTTATGTAACAAATGGAGTGGATGGCTACTAGATCTATACCTACCTATCTACGTACCTTCCATTTTACTTGTAGGTTTGAGAATGAAGAGGTGGAGGGCATTGTGGGAAGGTTGGAGAATAGGGGGAGGGTTGTGCCCCTGAAATTCGGAACCGGCTTTTTAATAGGTAAAGTTAGACGCTGCCTGGTATGATTAGGACTTACAGAGCAATATATGTAAGTCAATAGATGGTCAATACTTCATTGGCCCTGGGTTTTGTTACCTATGTCTTGGTATGGCTGAGTGTCTTTATATCGATTCTCCTCTCCTTTTGGCCATACTACAGGCATGTATGAGGGCAATTAAAGGAACTATATTCCAAGGAGATTTTAATTGTTAGGCACCCATACGTTTGAACCAAAATCTTTGTTTATCCATTTCGGTGTAGGGAGAGAAATAGGGGAAGGTTGGCATAGAAACGGAGCTACCATCATGTATCTGCGTACCTACCAGGTAGGTATCTATCAAGGCATAAACGTTGAGGACACTGCATAGTTACTCGTTTTTTCAACGTCCTCGATAAGAAATATCTAGAGAGCGCTTCTCTCTAGGTACTCTGCAGGTACCTAGGACAGCAGGTAAAATGGATGAATCCATGATGGATATTAGCGGCTTAAATAGGGGCTAAGGTCACTCAACATTGTCGTGTATCGGCATATGAACGGTGCAATCTGGTATGAGCACCTACCTAGGCAATATACCTGATAAGACTAACATCGAGCTTTATATTCGCTGTTCCTCATTGGACGAGCATTACATGGTTGAGTTGATTCATAAGTGCAGGACCAGCGAAGTGTCTGGGGAAAATCCGACCCCGATAGGAGTTGCATTGTTGTCACCCAGTTTTAGGGTTACTTAATATCGTTTAAGGAGGTATGATATGGAGTATTTCATATTGTGTCGATAGTATAGAAACCATTACTGTAGATCTTGGATGCATAGTAGTCTTGCCTCCTATCTACCTCCTATCTGCTTAGTACGTAGATATATAGAAGCCTCACAACAGGTGTTAAGGGGTTCACAAGAGTAAGGTTAGATGCTCTCGCAGGACTTTGTTTCAGCGCATCTTCTACCAAGACGCTCCGCGAGGAGTCCGAATACGATAGAGGGCAGAAGTTGATTCCAGAGCCAAGGGTCTGCCTTTTGTAGTACGCAAACAGTTAAGATGCCATTGATTATGCAGTATTCCCAACCCCTTCCCGGTTCTGTAGCACCTACCTACTCCAGGGCAAACTTCCGGATCAGATATACCTAATAGGTTTTGGTGGCATGCTCAACAGTCATCCTCCGAGGGTGTAGGTAGAGATTGATAATGATATCGTCTTTTCAATCTAGCTCAGATGTACCCCTATTCTATACTAGGTCGACGAAACTAGCAGCAACGAAAGGACACCACACGATGTGTGAGTTCTTGGGTCTGGGTTAGATAAGGATAATTCATATGCGCCATTGACTACCTACTCCCGAGCATCGGGGAGATAACCCCTGGATACATACCCGTTATTCTATGAACACAATGATCAGTTGAAAAGGTAGGTACTAGGCAGGCACATGCTATACCAATACTCCCATGCCATGCCATCGAAGATCTTTGATTAGTACATACCTACCCACCCACCTCTGTATCCAAAGTGGCTAATGTTATTTTCATTGGATAGGTACTAGGGCAAGTAAAACGGTTCGTCTAATACCAGGTTATAAGAAGCGATGTTACCAATACTTTCCAGCTACGGCAATATAAGCCTGGTTTTGCGCCGGCCGCAATAGATGTGGCCCGGCTCGGCGACGCAGCGGGTAACGACCCGGCCTTTTTGATATACCCTTCCTGCAGGAAAGATCCACTCTGAGTTCCCGAGGGCCTAGCATCTAGTAAATATACTGTACCATAAAGATGGATGCTTTTGGTTGACCCTACGCAGATCTGTGAATGTAAACAGTGAAATACCTATCAATGGTGCTGCTAAGGCATGGCTTACGATGATCAATCGCCCTCATCACTTCCGTGTTGAGGCCCAGTTGCAGGGACGGATCGACAATAAGGCGCCTCCTGCTTGCCATTAATCTAGTGGCTGCCGATGAGATCTCATCCGTTAGGAATGAGCATTGATGGTTAAAAAAAAAAGAAAAAAAAGAAAAAAAAAGAAGAGGAGATGAGAGGAGGAGGAGAAGATAAGAAAAAGAATGGACGTTTTTCGGGATTGTCGATCATGAGCCTCACTCTAGCCTATATCCGTAAATCGGTTCCCGAACCGTACTTCGACATAGCCGGGCACGTGGGATTGCGAAGAAATGGCTTTTACCTATGGAAAATGCATTGGTTTTTTTTTTTTTTTTTCCTTCATAGACGACTTCCGTCCTTGTTTTCGTTGGGTGAAAGTAGGCGCATGCAATGGAACCATAGACGGACCCTGATGTGAGGTTGCCTCCAATGGGGAACGGAACTGCTTATAGCAGGTGATAGTGACGAGTTTACACTCGTGGCTCCTCTAGTCACAACTTCGTATTATATTGAGAACTGCCGGGTTAGAAGAAAAGAAAGGGGATGAGTTACCACCGCCATATTGAAGTGACATGGGAATGAAGAGAAACTTACCCTCCATTGCAACAACTATACACCGAAAAGTATCGAACTTGCACACAACCCGCCTACCCTATTGTATATCCGTATGGCCCCCCCCAAGTCTGTCTGTCAATGCTGACTTTACATACCTTTCCGACCTGCCAGCCCTGCTACCCACCTCCGAAAAGAATAAGTCGTTGATGTTGGTGTGGTGAGCTGTCCATCATGCACTCCAGTTTTTTCCCTGTGTCATCCCCCTCGACTATCCCTTTCCGTCGACCTGCATATGTGCTCCCTGCTTACTGACCTGTGGCTGAAGAATTTTGCCTCTTCGTAACTTTGCCCATTCTCTTGGCCCTTTTCTCTCTACTCCACTATGCGCATACATACCTATGTAATTATTCCCTTTTTCCTTATTCCTTACAAATCATTTTAATTCCCATCAATTGTGTGTTG